TTTTTATAGTATTATTAAAGAAGTAGATTTTTATTTAAATAAGAAATATATTAAATGTTCTAGATTTTTCTAAGAATGATTCTACTTTATCAATTTTTAATCTTTATTTTAAACTATTAATATATTACTAAGCTATAATATTCTTAAATTTAGTAATTTTAATAAAAATATCTTTAAGCTTAATTATTAAAGTTTATTTAATTTTATTAGAAGATAAATGACTATTATTTATCATTATTAAAAATGATATTATTTATCTATAACTCTTTAAATATTATAAGGATTTTTTATTATTAAAAGTTGTTAATAACTTGTTTTAAGATTAGAAATCTTAGAGGATATTCTGTTAATATAAGATGAAAGAGTAATATAAAATTAATATCTAGTGATTATCTATTAAGAATGATAGTAATAGTAAGAAGATTTATTAAATATTAAATAGTAATATACTATTTGAAATAAAGATAAAAGATAATTAATTAAATATATAATAATAAATGAGTGTTTATATATATTAAAAGATATTAAAGCTATACTTCAATATCTAAAATTATTATTTTATTATATAGAAATTATATTTCTATATATTAAAGCCCTACTTTATTAGGTTACATATTTAATGTATATTAAAATAAGGTATTAATATATAATAATCGTATTACTGTATCAATAGCTATAGCTAAACTAAAGATATAGCTATTTTTAGTATTGTTCTCGCAATATATAATTATATTTAATAATAATTTCACTCATTATTGCTTAAATCTTGTTGGGTGCTTATGTAATAGCGTCCGCTATAACATTCATTGGCTGTGACTTATCGATTCTTGTGACATGAATAAGCTTAATAAAATATATTAATAGATTTTATTATTTATCTATTTATCAGCTTAAAATTTAATATAATATTAATAATAATTAATCATTTAATCAAATAAAACATTTTATTCTTTATAAAGAAATTTATAATACTAAAAAGATTACTTATTTATATATCCATTATATTTAGAAATTATATAAAATTTTAAAAATTATTATATCTAACTAAAGAACTATATTTATTAATAAATTTTAGAAATATTTAATCTACTATCTAAGGATTATATTTTTATTATCTATAGTTTATTACTCAAAGATTAATAATCAAATTGAATATATCAATTAGGCTGTCATTTGGTTCGGTTCTGGTCCTCAGTTTCTGGACCAAACCCAAAAGTGGGTCGGTTCGGTTTTATCTTTAATATTGAAATTAAAACCGAAAACTGAATAATTCTAGCTCTTCAAATTGAAATCAAATTATATTAAAAAAGAATTACTAATTATAATTAGATTGATTTAAGTTTGATCTAATTTTTATTTAAATAATTAAATTATATTAAAGAATTTTTAATTATAGTTAGATTTTATCTTTAAAAATATATTAAAATCTTTTAAATTTTAGTGAGTTTAATAGATAAATAATATAAAAATTAGAATTAATTATTTAAATTATAATTTTCTATCTAATTATTAAAATATATTTAAAAAATAGATAGATAATAATGAATATTAATTATATTATAAAATAGATATAAAAATATATATATTTTTTCTTTAATAGATAGATTAGCTATACAATATAATCTAAAAAATATAAATAAAAAATAGAAAAGATATTATTACTATCTAGATAATTCTTAGATTATAATCTAAATATTAAGAATTTATTATAATATTTATAAAAATATCTAAATGAAATTTTAATTCAAAAATAAGAATTCAATTTATAAAAAGCTATTTTGGAAATAATTATATAATTAATAATAATTATAAAGAATTAAGATTAACCCTAAATATTTTAATATTATTAATAGAAATCCACTAGTATTTAGATATTCAGATAAAACTAAATTGAAAATCTAAACTGAATTAGATCTAAATGGATCTTAAAAAACTATATAATCCTAGACTTGGTGAACTAAACCACATCGGTTCACTATATATAGGACCAGAACCGGACCATTCGGGTTTCAGATCGATTTTGGTTCGGTTCGAACCGAACCAAATGACAGCCTAATATCAATATAATCTTAAAATAATATTTATATATATATATATTTTATCTATAAAATAATTAGATTAACTAGTTTCTTTTAACTGAATTTATATCTAATTTGGTCTATTTAAAGATTATAAAGATCTTTCTATTTTATATCAATTATAAATTCTATCTAATTATATAATTCAAAGCTATTCTAATCTCTAATAGATTTATTAGCTATAATATTAAAGAGTTTATTTATTATATAGAAAGAATTATTGATTTTATTTAAATCAAAATATTATTTATATAAGCTTATTATAAGATTGTTATAAATAGATATTATTAATCTATTTATTAATATTAAATAGATTAGAAGATCTAATTAGATATTAAAAATATTTAAATTTTCTAATTATAGAACAAATTAAATTAAAAAATATAAGATCTTTTATAATTATTAAAGTTATTAATCTAAATATATATTAATTAGATCTATTTATGAATTTAAAAATATATTTAATATTTAATATTAATTTATTTATTCTATTAAAAAGAATTCTATCTTTAAATAATAATAAAAATTATTTTTATTTATTAAAGCTAATAGTATAATTAAATAAAAATAGAAGATATTTTAGATTTCTATTAAAATGATAAGATTATAAATATCTTTATTTAAAATATATTATTAAGTAAAATAATTATAATGAATTAATTAAAGAGTCTATTAAATATCTAAAAAATATATAAGAAATTATTATTAACTTTTATTAATAATATTTTTAGAAGTCTAAATCTAATCTTAATAGAGTTTAATTTTAAAAGAAAAAGTACTATTATAATATTAATTTAATCATTTAATCTATTAATCTATTCTTCTAATCTAACTGAATATAATTATAAACTATAAGATGCTATCTATATAATTATTTAAAATTCTATAAATAGCCTTCAAGTAAAGCTTTTAATCTATAATTTCTTCTTTCTAAACTATAATCTCATTTAAATTCTCTAAGCTTCTTAGTTTAAAAAATAAAATTATAAAAAAAAACACTTATAATTTACATTAAACAAATAGTCTTATAAATACATTATTATAAAACTAATAAAATATAAAATAATTTTATCTATTATAATACTCTTATTATAAACAAATAAATTAAACCTGTTAATAACTATATCTCTCTTAGTCTTGGTCTGTTGAAGTATACTGAGATGTACAGCGAATACTCGAAGCTGGGGGTGTTCTAAGAGATCACTATATAAGACATGTCATGATCAAAGGGCTTTCACCACAGTGAAACCCTTCAGGCTATACATAGATGTTCTTTGTATATCTTTGGCTATATATATGAGCCCTAGGTCCCTCTTATGTACGATAGAACAATCTTCCACATACATCCAGAATGCACACATGCCTTAGATTATAACATAGCATATAGACAGTACCTAGCCATAGCAATTAGTTGATTGTGATGTTAACTGCTTTAAAGACCACCTGCCTTAAAGTAGCCTAAGACATGCTAACCTGTCCTTAGCTTCGCATATGTTGGTTTCGTAACATTTAGTAGGATATGTCCTATAGAAAATTGTAATCTGTATGGAGAGATAAGAGATCTCCTGCAGAAATATATCTTTTGCCGGAAATGTTCTGCTAAATCCTAACAATGGGAACTCATATCCAGGACTAATTAGAGTCTATTTCAATAGGGCAGTCAAGGCTAGTGCAAATCGTAGGTTTGAGGGGTTATATCGTTCACCCACCTTAGTGCTCAGCGCTGGGATCAGTGATAAAAAAACAAGAACATTAATTCATTTATATCATGTAATTCTGATATAATCATTGGTTCAATGATTATATCGACATTACAGCAATCCTACGCCTATTTGAAGTCGAACTGGAGCTGAGAGGCAGGTGAAGATTACTAGCAGCTTTCTACATTGGACCAAAATTGGAAGAGGCCATGTATTAGTAATAGAAAGCTTCAAGAATAGGCAGCAATCTGCGACAGATTGGGATTCATATAACCTTATAAAATCTTTATTATTTACAGTAAAACTAGAAAAGGATTGCTTCGGTAAATCCAACAGAAGTTACTCGTGCATCGAAATAACTTAACAAAAGAGTCACTCTACATTTTATAATGTATGGTGCTCAGTGATCACTAGTGTCAATCACAGACACGAGCTTCCATCCTAGACCACTCTTTTAAATGACCTTTTCTGGACCTTGCTCTTCCTGACTAGCCTAGACTGACTCATTCACAAATTTTATTAGCAACCAAAATCACTATTGCAAGATTAAATACGTTAATGCTATATCAGTAGAATAAACCCGCCACAGTATTATTTACTATGTTTTCTGGACTTCAAATCAATTATTAGTAATCTTATATATCATTGAAATACTAAATATTAAGCTGTATTTTGTTATAGGCCGCGCCTTATGAGTGACTTAGCTCCGCCTGTGCGAATAGATCAGTCCAAGATCCCCTGATATGGTTGATTTAAGTTATCTTTTTGGTCTAGTGGTTAACCTACTACAAAGACGGGAAAAGCACTTGTAACATTCGAGAGTTTGTCGGGCCCCAGTTGTGTCGCGCTGAGCCGCGGAGACCTCGGGTGAACCACATCGTGATTTCAGTGCGGGGAAGATTTGTGTCCAATTTCCTCTCTTATAGCTGGATGGCTCCCACAACTATAGTAATGAGTTATATAGGTCTAAACTGAAAGTTAATAATCTTAATTGGTTCCACAAAAGCACTTACTATACACCAAGTTCTTAGTCTTACTGGTTCTATGTGAGCTGACTCAAGATTTTCAAGTCAGTTTTATCATAAGGTAGGAATAGATTTTCGGATTTTTAAGATACGACAGAGATATATAGCAAATAGCCAATATCTTCTAGTAGAAAGTGAAACTCATCACAATTCCTCAATTTACATTCACTTGATTTGCCACTCCTATAAGTTATATAATGATGGACAATCAGTTAGAAACCACCAAGAAACTCAACGGTAGTAAATGCAATAGAAATAATGACATAGAAAAGGACAAAGTGGATGCGAACGAATTCGAGCATGCTACGTCCTCGGAAAGTGTCGATGCCGTTAGGTACCTCAACAACTCACGCGCTTTCAAAGGTGATAATTCCGACGGACAAATCTCTTGGAACGTTAGATCACGCATCGCTGCATGTGCTTTGATAGCCGTCTATGTTGGTAAGAGTTTCTCCAGGTCCCATACCCCGCTCTATACTCAGAACTGACCGATTCTAGGCACTCAGCTCCCACTTTATTTTATAGGAGGTACACTCAACTTCATAGCTGCCGATATTGGCGGAGGGGAAAAGATCTCCTGGCTGCCGGTTGCATTTTCTCTAGCAATTGCGGCCACTTGCCCATTCGTTGGCTATGTTGAAGACGTTGTAGGCCGCCGGGAAATTGCCCTTGGTGGATCCATTCTGCTCTGTGTGGGCTCCGCGGTTATAGGAAGTTCAAGGACACTGGGCCAAGCTATCGCTGGAGCCGCCATTGGTGGTATAGGTAGCGGGGTTGGAGAAATCACGGCTCTCGCTGGGTACATGACACTAGAACTAGATCCCTCCATTTACCTCTCTCTGCTAATCTCTTTGTCTGCAAAAAGTGTCTCTGAAATCGTTCCAGTCAACAGACGAGGTATATTCCTGGCCGGCCTTACTGCAGCTATCATTCCATTCGCACCTTATATGATGTATTCTCAGTACTTCTCCACCTACACGACCTGGAGGTGGGGTTTATGGATTGCATTGTAAATTCTCTGCATTTTGAACACTTTATAAATTCTTACGTGCTCTGTAGGATCGTCAACGGTACGGGAGGAATTTTTCTAGCTCTTACGTATTTCCCGAAACGAGTATCTCAGTCAAGACTCTCAAAGAAGGAGATCCTAGGACAGGTCGACTATATTGGGGCATTTTTGTCTATTGTTGGTCTTACCCTATCGTCAGTATTCTGCCACAGCAATTCTCGAAGGAAGTCTAGCTGATGATGACGGTAGCTTGGTTGCCCTTCAATCTGGTGGGTATACCTATCCGTGGAAAAGCAGCCACGTTCTTTGCCCTCTTATTATCGGAATATTGCTCATTGTAGCATTTTTTCTCTGGGAATGGAAAGGTGCAAAGAACCCTATGGTTCCTAGAGAGATCTTTGCCGGCCAAGGTATTGTTGGCCTCGTTTTTGGCATTGCATTTGTATCTGGCATGAATTTTTATGCGGAGTTGAACTTTCTGCCTCTGTTATATACAAATGTTTTTGATCCGACACCATACGCTATTGGAACTAAATCTCTAGGTGTTGCATTCGGCACGTGTCTTGGCGCCGTGCTGGTTAATGCGCTGCTGTCCATTTGGAAAGATCACAACAGAGAACTTCTCCTCTTTTTCTGTATCATCATGAGTATGTGCTCCTATTTATTATTTCTTCGAGGAACATGATGGATTGACTACTGGAACGGTTCAGCCTCCTTTGGAGGTGCGCTATCAGCAGTAGACCCAGATCGGCCGGCCCTGTCCGTTGTACTTAGTACACTTCTAGGCTTTGGCGTTGGAGGAGTCTTGGTAAGGAAACATTCATCGATAATTTTCTAATCTCAATAATAACTCTCGCGAGTTTTGTGAGGTCTGAGTCCTTGAATTAATGCTTACTCGAGAGCTTCAGGTCCCCGCACAAACCATAGCCATCACAGTGACGCCCGATGCGTTCATTGCCACAACAGTTGCACTGGCTATCTCCATACGGGTTCTTGGCGGCTCTATCGGATATTCAATCTACTACAACGTGTTCGTTAATAAGCTTAATGAAAAGCTACCCCTACTAATCGGCGAGTTTGCCGTGGAAGCAGGCCTTCCTCTTGCATCAGCAAAACAATTTGTCGTCTCATTTCTAACGACTCCGAACTTCATGAGTCAAGTACCTGGAGTCACACCTGCTGTCATTCAGGCGGCTGAAATGGGCTCTAGGTGGGCATATTCCGAGAGTTTGGCTTACGTGTGGTATGTGAGTGTTGCGTTCGGTGTCATGTCAATTGTTGCTTGTCTGTTCTTGGGAAATGTCCGACCATATCTCACACATCGAATTGCTGTAGAGTTGAATTAAGGGGCTTATATATAGTTCTAGTTGAGGCTGAACAGGGCAGGAAAACCCGAAAGCAGATTCTCCCACGATACAGGGCTTTGACATCAGAAAAGCTTATCAAAACGAATTGTCGGAATATTTAGCACTAAATAATTTTGGGAGTAGGTTCGAAATGCCCAAAAATATGTCATAGACCTGGATCCACTATAGTTGTTGCTGGCTGTATTAAAAAGTAATATAATAATTTGTCGAGCTTTAAACCACTATACTAAAAAAGGCGCAACCCTTATTTAGTAAGGATTCTAGTCGCATATTATTTCTGACATATTTTAAACGAACGTAACCCACGACCCTGGGCACCCGCCAGTTTTTCTCCGAGCGCGCATCCTATATTGATTTCAAATCTCAATTTCTAACCTAAAATAATAATTATATACAAATGATTAATTATTAGTGTGATTAGGATATTAAGCTCTTCTATGCCCAAGAATATCACACTCATTATGCTGAAATTGGAGGCATACACATGCTTAAGAAGCTAGCAGCTGAGGCTCAGCCAAAGTAATAATATTAATTTAAAATGCTTTAATTTAATTTTATATATATTTTGGAGTGGCCGACTCGGTTGTGGATTACATTCGGTTAGTTATTTAACTAAAGAGCGCAGCTGACTCATACCAGACATTTGTTGCGGTGATCCAATAGGAGATAAATATCACCTAAGACGTAGTTTCCGTCTCGTACCGGAATCCGAATATCTCGAATCACTTTGAATTCGGCTGCCGCTCGCCGTGGGTGGTTTTTGGTGAGGGCAATAGATTTAGGCCGTATCTTCAATTCACCGCAGACTTTTGGAAGTATCTCATCTAGATCGGATAAATTCTGAGAATCTAAATCAATATGTGAAACTTACTTTGTTAGGACGTATGGAACCTGTTATCATGTGTTGGCAACGAGTCAGCTATTTTGGCAATAGCAATCAATGTTCAAGCTACCCACATGTATATCGATGATAGTAGGTTTTTCGAACCCTAGCGCAGGGGTCAGACTGTATAGCAAATTCGCCAGGTTTATTAACTTGGGGGTCCCAGGTTGGTTCATTCATAGGCACAAGATCAGATATGGTCAGCAATGGCTTGACGATAGACTCTCCAATAATGAGGGATCCGATAGAGAGAACCACAGTAGTGTCTGGCTCATATTGGTGCGCATTTTTAACACCTATGCTACCTTCAATAGTACTAGAACGACCAAAAAGTCCGACCATGTCAACAAAGACCCCGTTTTTGGCCATTTTGAGAACACCTTGTAAAAACGTATAAAATGTGTTTTACTGAAAAAAACGTATAGAGCAATCGTTTTTGATTGATGTCTGACTATTGGGAAGAGCGAAGGATGGATATTTTTAAATTCACAGTAGTAAAATGATTTATGGTGAATTATAATATTTTGTATGGGCATGACATGATTGACGATTTCTCATGCAGATTGGTGTTGTGCTTCTTCAATGGTCAATGCGCTCAACTTGTTTCAGTTCCTCTACAGATCCACTGACACTTCGAGTCAGTGAAGCCGAGTCAGGGAGGTTAGTCAGGGAGGTTAGTCAGGGAGGTTGAGTCAGGGTCGCCGAGTCATAAAATTAGTCAACCGTAGTAAATGTATATTCGCTTCAGACTACTGAAAATTTCAATCCCTTTTTAAAAAAATGTAGGTGGGTCTACATTACTGTGTTGGGACCACAAGCCGTCGTACAATTTAACTGCCTCAGCTCGACGAATTTCAATATACACAGTTCCATTGCAACGTTCTAAATCTAGCGTTAAAGTTAGTATTTTACAAGCTGAAACTAGAAGACCCACAGCACCAAGTCAACGATCCTAGTTGGTTGCGAGGTCAACCCTCATACCAAGCCTACCACTACCTTCTTTTGCTTCTCCCCTGGCCTCTGAGCCTCGGCCTATCGGGAACACTAAAGATAACCGACCATCAGCTGGCGACGGTCGGTGCCTTCAAACTTCATTCCTACAGGGGTACCCCACAAAAGTACCTTGCTCCAGATATCGTTACAAAGCACTCCACAAAAGTACTGTTGTACCCCGGATGGTTAACGTCAAGATTTGACGCTAAAGGTCTTTGACCAATAAAGAGAGGATAGAGGATATAAATGAACTTTTTGGGTTTGTCATAATATTCATAATAGTTTCAATCTAGCTTCGAGACTTAACAGCATTGTTGAAGACTGGTGTCAGAGGTAAATTTTCAGGGCCTGATCGCTTGTGAAACTACATATGAGGTATTTTTTCACGTTTCCGAACATATGCCAAAAAGTGTATTAACCGGACTGACGAGGGGAAACAATGTTTCGAAATGTGCCTAAATTAAAGTATAAGATGGACCTTCCCATCCACATTCCATATAGCAGATAAATTTTCCTAAATAATAGTTATCCTGGTTCATTCCACAATGTTAACATTTTTCTATATCGTGTCTCTGCTTCTTCTAAGGAGTCAATATGTGACTTGTGCTTGCTATGATGAATATGTTACTCTTTTGGGTCACCCAGCGCTTGGGCCGAGTGATGTACAGTTTGTATCTTGCTCATCGGGTGCTGATTCTCCTAAAGTCGTTCCATATAATCTCACATCATTTGACTGGTGGTACTTTGATGCTGTATCTGAGGATGGCACTGAGGAGGTGGTAGTAGTGTTTTATTCTGCTTCTGAGGCTAGCTTCCCTTTTGACCTCGATATAAAATCTGACCTCAGTGTCATGGTTCAAGGCACATGGGAAGGAGGGACTTCATCTCTTCTTTACAGCTCATTCGCTGATGAGGCTACGGTCACCACGGTCGGAGATGGTAGCAATGGGAATTGGACAAATGCTGGTGGCTATTGGACAAGTACATCGGATTTGTCACAGTATTCTATCTCTATTGAAACTGATAATGTGTTTGGAACATTCGTTTTGGAATCGGTAAATCACCTTATTTCTAGCTGCACTGTCTGCATGGTCGTTTACCAGAAACTCATTAACTAATGAATCCAATATGAACTAGGTTGCTCCCGGTCATTATCCTTGTGGACCTCTTGAGGTAGGACAGAATGAAGAAATTTTGCCAGGTATTGGCTGGGTAAACGTGGTCCCTGATGCACAAGGCACGGTCAATATGACCATTGATGGGAAATTACTTAGCTTTACAGGATACGGTTATCATGATAAGGTAAGCAGGCGTTACATGTTCTTGTATTTTGCTACTAATATACCCCACAAATTCTAGAACTGGAGTAATCAGCCGTTTGCCGATGCAGTGAAAAGTTGGTATTGGGGTCATGGAAGGTTAGGTCCATATTCTGTGGTCTGGTATGATGCTATCGCAGCCGATGGAACCGAATATGTCAGTGGATATGCTGTCCAGAATGGCCAGGTTGTGTCTTCTACATGTTCAGGAGTCAAGGTCCGTCCGATCGGAGTTAATTCTGAATATCCTCCACAGCCCAGCATAGGATCGCCTGGTGGATTCAATATTGAGCTACCTTTAGAGAGTGGGGATGTGCTTAGCTTTAACACTACGTCGCCTACAGTCGTTTTGGATGCAGTAGTCTATTTCAGATGGATTTCGCAATTAGTTGGAGGCATTAATGGCGCAGCGGACCTCACAGGCTCAGCATTGTTCGAGCAGTTTGCTTTCTAAATCCTAACATGGCACTAATGGCAGAACTGTGCAGTGTTAGAGTACCCCATAGAAATTTGGATCGAAAATCTTAAGTTGCTTCCATCCACGTTAATTACAGACACATGATCAATTTTAAAAGGACATAAATGAGAATGATAAACAATACTGGCTGGTCTTTTAAAGCTCTCTCACACTTTTTCGGGATGTGTAGAATAAGTAATTTGCAGTCAAAAATATCATGATAGGTCGGCCATCATTCTCCATCTGCTGAACTCCGACAAAGTGTTATCCTAGATTACGACTACAATGACATCAAATTCTCCACAAACACCATCTAGAGATGGATCTTTGGAGATGCTGGTAGCTCATCATGCCGTTTGGCATATCGCTCCCCAGTTCCGCTGGAAAGGATAGAGTAGCAGGCTACCTCCTGACCACACAAAACGGATTCTGGAAAATAAAACCTAAGAACTACTAGCTATATTAACCTCGTAGGTCAAAATTAATAGGCATGGATAGACTATTAAGTTATTTATGAAGAAAATGAGAGACATCTAGACGTTTTCAGTCTGGCCAAAGTGGAACTCATGCGGCAGCGCCACATGGACCAGGAACAGGTATGAGGAGCACAAGCAAACTATTGAGAATGTCGACTCCAAGCTGCCACTGTATATGACGAAAAGGTTCGGGAGGCGGCTGAGAAGAAAAGACGAGAGGCTGCAATAAAATCATCACAATATGTATCAATACAACATAATAATAACAGCTAAAAAAGCTAGCGCACGCCACATTAGAACTATTTTTCGTGCCCACATCTGTATTGACATTACTGTAGATGCTAAGAACAAGTAACTGGTGACTGTCACTTATAACAGCTAGTATGAGTAGTCCCAGTAAGTCGTAACGTATTTCTCCGCATTTCTACCTCTCAACCGAGGCCACCTCGGCAAATTGTCCAAAGTCGTAAAGCATAGACCAACTACTGTTCCAGAGAATATGGTGATGTGAACCCAGAGAGATGATAATTAGAACTTGTTGGGCACTGCAAGGCCACCGACATATCCTACTTTTCCGAAGGAAAAAAGAATCATACTTTGACCATCTGTACATTACATGAAATGCCTTGGTTCAGTCCTAAGCGATGCCCTCTTCCACAAGAGGATATTGTATCTTACGCCTTTGGTAACTGCGACTACGATCATGAGAAACCCGTATGCGCCCCAACTCTGATAATCAAACCTGCTCCAATACTAACTACGGGGCCCAAGATATACCATGACCTAGAGAATCCGGAAAGGACGATGTCATGGACACAAGTTCGCTCAATGGTAAGAAAGCTAGTAGCAGGAATCCGAAAAGCTGGGTTGCAAAAAGGCGATTGTTTTAGTATAATGTCGTTCAATGATGTAGGTACCCCTATCCAAATATTCATTGATATAAGTATTGACAAATCAACATATTATGTACACAGCATGTTTCCTAGGGGGTATAGGGGCGGGAGGAATATTTTCGGGCATGAATCCAGCCTATCGGGCCCAAGAAATACGACACCATAGCAAGGTTGCAGAAATAAGACTTTTTATTGTGGAGCCAGAATTGCTTGAAAGTCTTCAACAGGCTCTTCCCGACCTCTCCAAACAGAATATCTTCATTTTCAACACCCGTGGCCAGAGGGTTCCTTCAGGTTTCCGCTCTTGGGAATGGCTCCTTCAGCAAGGTGAACAGGACTGGGATCGAATCACTGATATTAAAGCCTTGAAAACGACAGAAATTGCTAGACTCACTACATCAGGTACAACAGGCCTCCCAAAAATTGCTATGCAGTCCCACCATAATGCTACTGCATTTCACTTCATGTATGACCAGACAAAAGAGAGGCCGTGGGAGTCTCGACAACTCTATGTTCTACCTTCCTTCCACGTAGCGTCTGTGCCAGCTATGCACCTTTTCCCGCTGCGTAGTGGTGCGAAGGCATGGGTCATGAGACGTTTCGAGCTTGAAGCCTTTCTTGCCGCCATCGAGAAATATCATATCACTGAGATAGGTGTGGCGCCTCCCTTGGTCCTTGCAATCATCATGTCACCTCTGAGGCACAAGTATTCGCTTCTCTCAATCAAGGCGATCGCATGTGGCGCCGCTCCACTCGATGCAAAGTCGCAACGGCGACTCCAAGCGTTATGTGCTCCTGACTGTATCTTTACTCAAGTCTGGGGAATGACAGAAACAACATCAGCACTGAGTTGTTTCCGGTATCCAGAAACGGACGATACAGGCAGCGTTGGAAATCAATTTTTGTACAACACAGACGTCAAGTAAGTTCAGTCGCGCAATTGATTTGTGTGATAATAAATAATGATGACTTAGATTAATCGATGGAGATGGAAAAGACATAACTGACTTTGATGTCCGAGGCGAGCTTTGTGTCCGAGGTCCAACGGTCTTTCCAGGATACTACAACAACCCGAAGGCTAATAGCGAATCGTTTACCGAGGACGGATTCCTCAAGACAGGAGATATTGCATATTGCGACAGAATATCTAAGAAATGGTATATTGTGGACAGAACGAAGGTAAGTGAAAATTTGACGAAAACGCTGCACCCTAATTTGAGCTTTCAAATGACAATTATCAATATTCAGGAGTTGATAAAGGTCAGAGGCTTTCAAGTTTCACCCTCTGAAATCGAAGCTACTCTGCTAGGACACCCAGATATCATAGACTGTGCGGTTATTGCAGTACGTTTTTTGGAAAATAACAACGAAGAAAGGCCTCGAGCATATATTGCACGAAGACCAGGGGCAGTGATAAATGAAACTGAGGTTCGCAAGTTCATCTCAGAAAATTTGGCAAGATACAAGGCTTTAACTGGCGGTGTTGTATTCGTTGACGCGATCCCTAAAAGTGCAGGTGGAAAGATATTGAGACGAGTACTGAGGGAAGAGGCTCAACGTGAACTGCATTCACATGTCAAGCTGTAGGATGTCAAAATGATTTTTCAAGAATGCACCTAGTTGACCGTTATTTAATAATAATCTTCCAAGGTAGATCCCGGACGTAGTCCAATATTGTTAAAATTTTTGCTACTCAGTATGTAGGAAGCAGTTCGTTGTCCATATTCTAGAGACCACAAAAGAAAGTAGTCCGCTTATTTATGTTGTGTTCATTTGCCAAATATAAAAGTGAGCAGAAGATATAATAAGAAATGAAGCAGTCCATTTATACCCTCCAGGATACAGGCCCGTAACTTGACTCGCCATGAACACTTTACCGGATTTTTCTATGAGTAAGGAACTTGTATAGATGGCAGTAGTCTAGGACGGCAACCTAAGAACTATAAGTAACGACAGCTATGCCTGCCCATCTGACGGTGAATACGAGAAACCGCGCAGATTACCGGTAATAAACCCACCTTTAATTAGTATACGAAAGGCCCCTTATAGCAGCACGAATATCTAGGTATCTTAAACTATATTTATATGATGTCTTATATAAGCTTAGTTCTGCCCTTATTATGCACCCACACTTCATAAAACCAGTGATCTTGCGTTGATTCAAGCTATAAATACTAGGGCTGTTACTCTTTACGTCGTTCATACTTGCACTTGACAATCACATAGTTCTCTATAAGGGTTCGTGCTTGACTAATAGAACGCGTATCCATGTGCTTTGTATGTGCTTGAATAGCAGCAAATATAGTACCAACATCAGGTGAAATAGCTGGAGGAGGCGTGGCAAGAGACAACGTCGGGGTATTTTAGTAAAGTTACAGAGTTGATCCTGGTATAGTGAGGTTAGAAATAGAGTGAATTGTAGCTGGCAGACAGCTGCGCTGTGACTTTTTTGACCCTAAGAAGTGAGTTGCGATATCTACTTCGATCATGCTGTGATACAGGTAGCTCAGTGAAAAGGCCCACTTATGCCCCTAGAAATAGTTTAAACCTTGATCTATACTGGTCTCAGTTTTCTTCTATCTGGGCGGTTGCTGGTAATGGAAAAAGGAGTAAGAGAGATGTCGATGCTGGGCTTTCAAATATTAACTAGAAGCAAATCTAGGATTCCTCACTAGTGCTCTCCTGCTTGTAAGTGACATCCGTAAGTTACTAGAGCCGACGTAAGAACGTGAAAAGTATTGAGGGATCCAGATTCAATGATGAAGTAGATGTACTCGTTTAATGTGGCAAGACGCGCCTACCATTGTTAGTTTGCGAGGGATAGGGTGTTGCCACGTTGAGCCATCGAATTGAAATTTTAGGGTATTTGGGAAAGCAAGTGATTAATTGATTGTTAGAATATGAAAAAAGGACTGAAATTGATTTTCATCTATTGCGTGAAATCTGCGTTGATCGTAGATAGGGCTTCTCTTAAACACGAAATTCCCCCACTATTCGTATTTCCTTCACCTTACAAACTAAACTCTAACTGATTCCCTGCGTAATCGTAATCTCTGGCAAAAAACCTCTTAGGATACTCAGCCGATTTTTCACCTGGAAAACGATATTCCTCAGCACATCAATTCGTACACGCAGGGTTAACTCTTCCAATTTAACTTCCCGCAACCACCTAATAACATTTAACATACCCGAATCTGGTTCTCCCGGCCGATCCACCCTAACCACCTCTGAAGCGATTGTATTGCGTACTCCATAATCTGATTTATCATCTGGGTAAGATCAAATAAGTACGGTTCGTGAACTTGAGACCCTATCCTATAGCGTATCCCATGGTTTCCTGGAATTCAGTTGAAATTTCAATTTAGTCACAATCCACTTCCACTTGAAGGCATAGAGTTTGCGATTTGTTTCTAGTAAGTTGCATCTCCTAGATTTATTCACAAGACGTGTAAGTGAACTTCCAATGAATTGTCTGTTAAGCTCGTGGCACACTTGCTAGAGCTGAGAACAATGACCTGTGTGCAAAAGGTACGAGCAATCTTGAGATATGTGGGCCCCTACAAAGAATATGACTTTAACCAGTTTAGGTTGCGATTATTGGAGCTGGTCAAACTGGAATAGTGGCAGCACTTGCGGCTCGGATTTACAAAATTGATAAGCCTGACTTTCTTCAACTTTTCCAGAGGTATAAAGTTAAGACTATTCAAAATGACCTATAACGACAGAATTGATTTTATTTGATTCACATCAAGTATGTTAACAACTTGATACTTAGCTTAAGGCTCGAATACTCCCACTATGTTGATTTAGTATTCCGTAGTTTTTCTGCCCGAAAAAGCCTCAAAATCTATGACAATTCCAGCCTCAGATATTACTAGTTAAATAGGGTATAACGTAGCATATACTGATAATTCATTAAAGATAGTTAATCAAGCTATCTATCAGAATACCAAGATCTAGATCATGGCCATGAATGAGCTATTGATAGTACGAGAAAAAAATCGTAATTTACTGACTACACATGAGAAAGAGAAGTGAAAAAGACTGATCATATGCTCGTTATATAACCTGTTAAGGTGGCGTTCCTAGTATCAGGGTCTGAAACTTGTGAGAAGTCAGAATGAGGTATCTCATCTTACTACTAATCGTCCAGTTGTGCCTCAACGTAAGCCTCTCAGCTACGTGTACCTAGGCAGTATTGGTACATTTACCATTTACCACAATAATCTCGGATATAAATGAACCCGTTCCTAACGAGACTAATAACTAACTTATAACATGTAATGATTGTGCGGATAATTACAACGAAAATTCCTTCCCATACACACTTCGAAGTGTGGTTGATAACAAAGATAGTAGTTGAAAGGGAATGGGAGAAGAAGGGAGAGAGGGTGGGGACGGTATTTTAGAGTCTACCTGATAATGACCGACATTCATCTATAAGGCCTGTGGATAATATCCATTTGTATTCTCTTACAAGGGCTATACACAAAAAGTCCGGTAACATCTGGTATGAATGCATGCTGAGGATTACCGGTAAAGTAGATAACGGAATTGAAGATCAAATAGGAGCCCTATTATTTGTGAGAGTAGGGCTACTATGAAGAATCACCCGAAGTAGAAGTATTCCCACAAGACGACTCCTTTCTGGCTTTCTCCACCAACAAGTCCACCCTCAATTATACCAATCCATCTTGTGTATTTAGGTGCCGGCGTAGAGTATACTATATCGGTTGGAACAATCAAGAACTCATATTTGCCGTCAAAAGCAGCATCGAGGGCAATATTCAGAGTGCCATTTGGATAATTGCTTCCGGTAACTGGTGTCACAGTAACATTCCCAATGATGATCAACGTAGGATCATTGCCAATATAAATACTACTGACTGTCTGGGTGCGTCCTTCAACTGTTGAGAATACGATAGTCAAGTCTCCTACTTGTGCATGACCCCAGTACCAGCTCCCAGCAACTTTCGGTAGTCCAATTGTTCCCCAGTTCTAGTCCAATATAAAGTTATTAAAATGTATTCAAGGTGTTAAGAAGCACAGGAACTCACACTGTCATGGTAACCACTTCCATCAAACAATAGTCGATCACCTCTGATAGTGAGGTCTACACCTCCCAATGCACCTGGGATCGAATTCGCCCAGTAAAAGCCCGGAAGAACACTCTCACTCACATTATAAAGCTGCTGAGAAAGAAGGTTGAAAGGATACTGAGCTGGCGATATCTGGGATAAATTGTCTTTAAATTACCACTGCTTTCAAACGTCTAGCAAAGTACCGCATTGGGTGATTTGCAATAGAGGAATATTGTATCAGGAGTAGACTTTGATTCTTACCGATTTCAAGTATACACTTCCCTGAATGCCTTGTTCCGGTGCATTCAAAGTGAGAACATACTCTGAAAGGTCCGGTGTTCCCTCCCAGCTACAGCCAGTACCTTCCCAAACACCAGAGGAACCTTGTCCAATGGTCTGTATCGTTATATTGGTGGCAGGGACTGATGCCATATCGAATAATGTGCCGTTGGGGAACTTTCCGTTGATAGCGACGTAAGGAAGGATTTCTGATGCATTTCCAAAACCCAATGCAAGTTCGGAGCCAATGTTGAATTGAACAGTAAGGCAAGACTCTAGATCAGAGCTCACCACATCAAAATACCACCATTGGTAGACTGTACTATTTATATAATCAAATTTGGGACCGTCAATTGGACCTTCCAGCGAACTCACCACGACAGTTGCGGGTTTGTTCGCTTCCTGAAGAGTCCAAGATGACGTAGGGTATGAAGACGCCGCCGCGTCTACTAACAAGACAGCGTTGAGAAAGAGAGCTGGGATTGTAAAGGCCATGATTTAATCTCAGCACAATCAACAAGAGCACAATAAACAAGAGGGAAAACAATATAGCTGTTAGTCAGTTAATACCCAAAGTATATTTAGAGACAACTCTATTAAGTATTTATAATACACCAATACGCATCCGCGGCACCTTCATCCTCAGCTTCGCCACACCGTTTCCTACCTACGCACTGACTCAGAGATGCTGACTCAGTGATCGTCAACTGTACGTATTTTCCCAACCAGACTGGTTATCCGAGTTCAATACACATACTATATCGCATTCGTTACACTAGCGCATAACAGACTTACTAGCTACTTCTAGGCGCAGTTGCAAAACTAGTATACTGTTAGTGAAGGTAACATTGGCGGCTTTAAAAATTGGGATAACCTAGTTTCTGTTGAATGGAGGGCGGTTATGGTTCATAGAATGGAGCGTATCAGCGAGCACTGACTAGCGGTGATCTGGAGGTGTAACCAACGAGCTGTATCGCTATCAACTGACTAGTTCCTGTTCCTTGTATATACATTAAGACTCTATCCAGAACGCTACCCTTAAAACGCGCAGAGCTTCCCCAGCACCTTGTTACATTGGGAATTTGCGTTCTGATTGGCTGCCTAGTAGCCTCCAAGTCAAAGCCAACTCGGCGTCTCCACGATCTACTTTACAATGAGAATAATGTTAGGACGTACGATAAGAAAGAAATTGGGGTCTTTTAACGGTTCGTCTTTCGGTTATTTCTTGACCAAGATGTAAGAAGGGTGATCGTAGTTGATCCGTTCGGTTGGGAATTATGTCTAGCGCCAGGCCGCAGCTGACTCGCACTCCTGAACGTTACAGGGCTTACCCATCATGTTTTTAAAACACCTCTCGCCTTTAGTTGTTGTCTTCGATCTTATATACTAGATTGAGTTTGTATGGGTATTTCCATTTCAAGCTATTCACATCTTGGAAGATATATGAATGCTGGTTCTTGTGTGACATAGCATAGCGCGCGTGCAAACTCGCAGTAGGTTCCAAAAATTCTCACCGGGTCCTTGGACGGAGTAGTTTGAAGAGAATAGAACATACTCAAACAGAAAAAATTTCTATTCAGATCTTAATGAATCCCTTGGCTTGTAAAATTTGTTACTATGGTATCAGGATGTCTGCATTCACTGCTGATGGATAGTAGGTTGTTGCCGGACTCTCTTTATCAAATAGTCTCTCCACACTAGGTTCGAATACTGGCATCTGGCCGATTAGGAAACGCTTTTGTTCGAAGTATTCAGGAGTCAATGTCCACCATCGGATATCCTGAAATCTCTCATTAAAGGCACCGGAGAAGGAGTAGAGACAAGTATGCCGGTTCCTTAGACAAACATCTTGCAAGTCAAAAGGCCAGTAAAACTGTAGACTTGCTGCAAACTTTTCTACATTTTCTCTTGTCATGTAAGTACCTCCTTTGAGAACTAGAAACTCCCTAAATTTTGGCCTTCTGGTCGTCAATTTTGTTAAGATTATGATAGCGCAGGAGGAACACACCATGCAAAATAATCGACTAGAGTTTGTTGTCTGCTTAAGCTCCGTGGTGATCTGATAGTGTACATTAGCTTTGAAGATCATTGAAGTAAAAGATAGTACAGACCTTCGGGCCATGAATGGGGGCAGGGAATGGCTACTCTCACCTCCGAGGCCAACGTTATCCTTTCCGTTATTAATGCATTTTCTTCATAATATTGAAGGTTATTCAAGACTTACTCGTAGTTTTAATCTCAGAAGTTTCAGAATGGCTAATCTTTCCACACTACCTGCAGTGGAGAATAGGCATTTATCAAATTGACGAAGAAGCTGCCATCCAATATCTAGGGTATACCACCCCTCAGTTTCCACCCATCCATACAAGACCGCCCGAATAGCAATATCAGCATCTTGTAACATATTAGTGGATATCACACTAGCCCCCAGCTCCTGAACCATATTAATGGCATTGTCTACCACAGAAAATATGCTCATATTGTCGTTATCATTTGTGAAAAGTTCATCTGGCAGACTTATAGTGGGAGCAACAGACATTGTCAAGCTTGGCATTGTTTGGCCGAGACCAGAATTAAGTATGGGTGATAGTTGACTGGATAAAGAGAGAGATGAAGGAAGAGGACCAGGAGATTGCTGGTGCACCTGTAATTGTATTGGCAGTTCTCCCATTGAGGAAGTTCCGTAAAGAACTGTGTCACTTCCCCTAGATGAAGCTACCACTCTATACATCTCGTCGTATAGTTTGAAATCTGTTGTTGCTGACACAGCCAATGAAGATGAAGTTGATTCCGCATCCTCAGACTTTGGACAATCCGAGATTTCAACTCCACGAACTAATTTACCTATGCTTGTCATGGTATCCTTGAGTCTCTCTTTCTCCTCGCGTTCTTTTTGAAGTTGCTGTATTAAAGTTTCGAATTGTCCATTTTCTTTGCTTTGCCCCAAGGCCGTGACCAGCTTTTCCAGGTAAGAAATATATGTTTTTGTTCTTTCGCGCACAGTTCTTTGTGATTGCCGGTCGGTTTCTCTTTTTTTCGCCCGGCGAGCGCTATCCAACACCTGGCGTGTCCTTCCAGATGGACGACCATGAGATAATGAGGACGTAATGCAGCTTTCAGACATCGCGGATTTGGCAGCAATAGAAAATATGGCGAGAACTCTTAGGGTTGATGCGGTTTAGGGAAGGGTCTCAGTTATAGTCGATCCCATGTCACCACAAGGACTTCGTTAGTGTTTGAATGGCCAATCCTTCATTTAGCATACCATGATATGATTTTATCATACGTGAAAAGTTCCCAAGTGACTGACTGGGAGAAATAACCTAGATCATATTAAAATTGTGATCATTGATTGCTGCGTCGTTTCATACTCACCTCTGGCGGCGGAATTGACATATAGCCATCCCACCAAATATGAGCAGCAAAGGTTCCCAGCGATTTCAAGTTCCTAGGCTCTTGAATTAGGCGTACCCTGTAAATTTTTCGTTTATTGGGGTCTGGGGTGTGTAATAAACCCCACAATAATGAGGGGTAGGTGCGGATACACTGGGACGGTCGGAAAACAGAACCAGCCAATAGTTCTCCATACGAAAGTGAAAAACCGAGTCAGCATTGTTGACTCGCTAGCGTAGAAGCTAGAAATAACATTGCGCTTGGATTTCTGCCAATCCGATCACGGCAGAGCAGAAGAGTCTCCCTAAAGTATAATTGATATCCATAATTTTCATTTCATTAGGCATGAAGTAGACAGCACTGTGCATACTCAGCCATGGGTGGTATGGCAACCGAGCAACTGCCAAGATGACGCATGGTACGTGTGTACGCTAAGGTTTCTGTTCTGTACCGTGAAATTGTACTCCGCGGATTTTCTAAACTAGCCAAGAACTTTTCGCGTCAAGAATACTATAATTATAGTAATCCCCAGATCAGTCGTAATCATACCGATACGTTATTCAGCTACGAGCACTATGCGCATGATCACACACCAACTAATCGACACAATTTTCCGTTTTGCAGAGATACAGGGTTTCCCTTTCAGGAAGAGTCGTATCTTCGTCCTGGGTGCTGTGTACAAGGCTTCTATTGCCAACAAAAAATCTATATCAACTTCTGAGCTGAGGTAAAAAATGGTGCAACACAGAACAAGAGCTCGCGTGGCCTGCTTTTCCTGCCACCAGCGGAAGATTCGATGCGACCTTGCGATACATGGTTGTCCCTGCACCAACTGCCGACTGGATAAAAATGATGGTTGCGCACCGTACACGACCGCTTCTAGCAGGTGAGTACTAATTCACTTTTAGACCAAAGCCTGTTAAAATTCCCTTCGAATTGCAGAGATCACCGAGGCTTCAGATTGATAAACAGTGCTGAGTTAGTCTGCAGAAAACCAACCCGTTTTGCAAAGCCTGAGATATCTGACAATGACAAAACACAAGACCACAATGTCTATCGTATTGCATCTTTCAATAATAAAGTGATCTCACAGATCACCTTCGACGAGTTTATGGCGTCTGTGCCAGAAAATCAGGCTCACATTGTTTCCCGTCAAGATTCTTTCGCAGCCCAGAGATCATTAGAAATTGAGGAAATTATGGCCACCGCTTCTCCACTGGGCAATGTGTTCTTTTCTTTTCATCAATTTCTAGACACCAGTTTCTTGTCCACTTTGCCCGCGGATGATATTAGGTTTTTAGCATCTAAAGGTTGCATGCACGTCCCAGATCATAACATAATCCTTCAATTCTTACAACAGTACTTTCTGAACGTACAACCTTGTCTTCCAGTGTTAGACGAGGCTGATTTCTGGCATATGTACTATGGACATAATGATGGAACAAGCCGCGGTCGGAAAATGTCCCTATTTGTATTTCAAGCACTCCTCTTTGCCAGTTGTTCGGTAAGTTCTTTTGAAAAATGAATATTTCATACTGAGTTAACACTATCATGAAGTTTGTTTCGCAGGATATTGTGCGAAAATGTGGTTTTCATGACAAACGTTCTGCAAGAAGTTCATTTTATAATCGAGCAAAAGTCAGTTTAAACTTTTATTGAATTTAATCAGGTTCAAACGAATATTAACCCGTTGCTGTGCAGCTAATGTTTAACCTGAAGGCCGAAGATCGAAGTTGGGCAAGAGCTCAAGGTGCATTGCTCCTCGCATATCAGACTTCCTCAGATGGTCCGCAATCTGCCAGTGTATGGCTATCGTGCGCAATCGAAACTACGATGATAATCGATGCCCACGTGGCTCAATCTTCCTCTCGTCAAGATGACAAAATATCTTTGAAGAGATTATGCTGGTCAATTCTCTTGCGGGATAGAATTATATGTTTAGGACTGCGTCGAGGCTCTCAAATCACCTCAAATCACCTCAATATGTGGCAAAACCGGCTGGATGAAAGGGACTTCGCACCTGAGATTATACATTCCATGGTCTATAATCAGGCAACAAAGTGTGTGCTATTCGACATTTTTCAGACGCAATGTGAACTAGCCATAACGTTAACTGACTTGGTTTCGATCGTCTACTCTCACGGGTTATCACGATCATCAGTTTCTCCAGAAGAATCCGAAGAGTTGATTATTAAGATCCAGAAAATCAAGAGTAGCCTGTCTCAATGGAAGGAAGTTGCTAATATCAAGCTACACTCTATTTCGTCCTCTTCAATTGCCACTAAACCAGTTACCATGTTTAAAAACATGACATTTTTATTGTACCAGTGAGTCATTGGTCCTTCTAGATTCTCTACCAGGTGTCTACTGAAATGGGCTTGTATATTAGCACCGCAAGAGTAGCTCTGTCTCACTATGAAGCGTTCATGGTGGAAGGTCACTTCAAATATTTCCAAACCCGACATAGCAACCAGCTACAGGCAATAGGAAATGAACTTAGAGATGCGACCGCGGCCGCAACTCGAATTATTAAAGACTTTAGCGCAACTGGACAGATTGAAACTTTGCCGCTGAGCTTGTAAGATTTTTTCCCCACAATATTATGGCTTAGCAGGCCAATGACAAGTACAGAAAAATCACTGATGAAGTTTTAGAGTTGCCTACGCCGCCTTCCCGATGATACTTTCCGCGGTAGACCTGAAGCTATCATCCTCCTTCCCGCAATTGACTTCCCGTCAACAACAGTTAAACTGTTTTGCTAAAGTTGTACGCCAGTCTCAAAGTCTCTATGACGTTATGGATGAGGCTGCAATTCTCTTCAACCGTATACTCCATTTAGCATATTCAATGATAAAAGGGTTGTTCCTCCAACAAGATCATTCATCAGCTGCCGGTCTGAAAAGTCGCACATCCAGCTGGCATGATGCCTTTCTCCGATGTCCTAGATTTCACCTTCGATTATCGGCAGCCATGGACTATAGTCTTTCTTATGGTCACTATCCACGCAATGACGCTCTTCCTCGCCTTGTTCGTCCTGTGCCATCAATCCTCATGGAATCCCAGTCATCGTGGATGGTCAATCATCCTAAGACACTCGGATGTGACGAACAAGCCGAGGATGATCTTCAAAATTGTTCCCCCCACGAAGGATACCTTTTTGATGATTCGACACCCATTTTGCTTTATGAAGATTGGTCAAACCATATACATATGACAGAAGAGATGACTCAACAAAAGAAACACGAGACTGAAACAGACGCTGAATTAAAAGGAGAAGGAAGCGTATTAGAGCATGTCAAGTATCACATCAACATGGGGAATGATCGAACCATTCGAAATTATGATCAGAAAAGCCAAAGTTCTGAATATAGTGAAGTATCTATGAACCTCAACTTCCTTGACCTAGATGCTCTCAAAGCGCGAAGCAGGTGAGCATTACGATCACTATAGAGCAGAACCGGCATGATAGTAGCGCTCAGTTCGCTTGGTCCCCAATCAAGAATGCACTCTATCTTAATGTACGATATACATATGATGTATCTAAAGAATCTATAGAATAATCTTGTAAGGTTTGCTTGTAGTATTTGAATCTATTATGTAAAAAACGTCTCTTAATACTCTGTGGTATATAGATAAAATAAGTATTTCTTTATTGATATGTGATCTATTTTCTCGAATTGAATATATTGTGTGAGAATATATTATGAAGCAACACTTGTAAAAATTCAAGAATCAAGTTGGTCAGCAGAATATTAAGGTTTTGTGCCTCATATTGAGTGTATGAGTTGATCTCCTTGGAGATCTCCAAGGAAATCGCTCATTGACAAAGTGGGTGTTTGTATTGTTTGCATTGAATAGTTTGGTATTTACGTGTGAGTGTTTGGCCATGAATGGGTTCTCTGATTGGTGGATGCTTGACCCTTAAGAAAAATAACACAATGTCTACCCACTCAGTGTTCAAAATTGTGGCTGTAATGGATTAGCCGCCGCCTCTGGGGTCTACCATGTTTCAAACCCTAAACTACGAGCGTTTTACCAACATAATCTGGTATCGAAATTTCAATCATATCAATTGGTTTTCATCGAAGAGTCTGGATGTGATAAACAAAATGGATTTAGACAGACTGGTTAGTCACTACTGGGTGTTACACTAGTGCAAGTATCTAAATTCTACCGCAGTCAACGTTACTATATACTTCAAGCATATACTCAAGATAGTAGTATTGTCTAGGAGAATTTTTAAGGCTCGATTAATAGTCCGGTATTTGAGAGTTTTTACTAAGCGGCTTCTCCGCCACCGTGGGAGCATCCTGCACATAACGCTGCCAATGCATCTGGATGAGAAGTTCGCCTTCTGTGTCCCCACAAAAGTTACACCAACGATTATCCAGGTGCTAATCTCCGAAATGTCGTACTAGGTGACGATGATAATCGCAGCGTTTCAATTAGACACGGTAGGGTAAGAGAGATTATACAGGTATGAGAGCACTGCTTTAGCTAATTATAAGAAGATAAGAAGTAAAACCAGAAAATAACACATAATAAGGGGCGATATATTTCAAACACATTCGTTTTATAATGCTCAGAAGGAAATCGGTAGGTAACCATCTTGCCTTGCTATGCGAAAATGATCGCTGCCGCGACAGCGATGGCGCTCATGACGCCGGATGAAACCCCAATAGCGCTGGCAGCGCCTGTGAATTGGGGAATAGATGAGGTTTTGGATGGTAGGACACCAGTACTGGAAGGAATAGAAGGAGTAATTGTCGGCGAAGGTTTGCCATTCTTTGCGCCAACCTCTATGACAGAAGGGCCAGCGACAATGTTCTCATCGGAGACAGTTCCGTTGCTGGAGGTAAGGACAATGTAGCTCTGACCCATTACGCCGCTCGGGATTGTGACTGAGTATCCACCGCCAGACGGAGTGACAGTCGTGAACACTGGGCCTGTAACCGTAACAAATGCTGCATAAACCTTACTCGGAGCCTGGGCATTGCTGCTAGTGGCTAGAACAACTTGAGAACCAGCATTGAGAGTACCAGTTGAAGAGACCGTCAAGGAAGGGAATGCCTTCACGGGTAGCGATGGGTTGGATGAAGGGCAGGACACAATAAAAGAAGAGGCAAGGGTGTAGACTTCATTGAGATCTAGAGGATCATCAAAAGGCTGAGCAAAAGGAACTTCACCAGCTATAGCGCGGAGGTAGGAGCTGTGTCGAGCCTCAACAGTAAGGATGGAGCCAGCCGCAGTCAAGTAGGCTTTATTGGCGATTGAGGCGGCCGCGCCCAAGTATGCACTTACTCCAACACCTTCAAGGATGTTGGCGGTGGCAATGAAACTATCCACGTCGGTGACTGGGAAGGCGTAAGCGCAAGCAGCGGTTGCAGGAGCGCCAGCACCTATACGTAGAGAGTTAACTAATGCGGCCCTTCCATTATCTGAGGCGTGGATCGCTTACTCTTGAGGGCTGTACTCAAAAAGGTAACATGCTCCGCCTCGTCTGACGCCACTCTTTGTAAATTGATGTAGAACGGGTCCGCGTAGCCGGCGTTGATGAAATCAACCTGAGTGAAGTTCTTCAGCCCAGTGGCATAAAATGCAGCTTCAAGATGTTCCAAAGTGAGTGCATAATTGAGAATAGTAGCGTCGTCAACCGCGCGTTTAGCAGGAGAGGCTTGTGTGGCTCCAGCCAATGCAGTAATGGCAAGGTATCTGAAAAGCTTCATCTTTGTAGTACTACAATTCTGTCTGAAGGATTAACGGTAATTCGATACCAAGAAAATGAAAAGGCCGGAAAGATATAGACTTGGATGTGGGAGCGTTCCAGCATGGTTCTTATACGTGATAGACATGATAGTATGATTACATAGACTGCTTAAAATTCACACATAGTTGGCAGGGATGAAAGTTAATTTCAACTCACTTCCTCATTGGGAGTTGGCGAACTCGTATATGTCGTATTTGCCGCTGCTTTAGCCGCTTTGGGCCGACATGCCACCAGATAAGGAAGTTCGCAGTCCGTATCGGTCGTATACGGATCAGAACAGAAAGAGTGCCCACTTTTTAGCAGGACTATTTCTTGTTTGGAAAGAAGCACCCAACCCATTACAGTTAGACCTTTCGCAGCGGTGATAAAAAACTTAATTGTCTAGAAATCTTATAATTATTTGTCAAGCTTGCGCTAGGTCATCCACGACTCACCAATCTGGCTGGGGTTGGCACTGGCGCAAAAAAATCCTCTATCAGGGTCGAGGCGTGAGCAGGAGAACATACCAAGTGCAAAAAGCCATTTTTAGGGTTACAAGTTGAGCTTTTACAATATCTGGGGCACACAACGTGTTCTGGCGACAGGAAAGCGCATTTTGAATAAAGGCGCCTTCCTACTTTAGCGGAAAGCGCTTTGTAGCCATGCCAATATCGAGCCTTTTCAATGTTCAGAAATTCCAACACTAAACTTTCTTGGTGAAGTTGGTGCAGAGGTATGTATCTTGTTGTATTCTTATTAAGAGGAGCAGATGGGCTGCTATATATATGTGATGCCCTACATGTTAAGAGAGGTCTATTGTCAGAGTTCCAGAGCGAGAGATCAAAAACAGGAGTCTATTCATCAACAAGTCGAACTCTGAAGAACTAAACCTATGCTCCCAAACTAATCTATCTACACTTGGCAGGGTATGTCCTGCAGAAAACTGTAACGGGGATAGACGCAGGAAGCATGTTTATGCCTGATCCGGCAGGACCGGGGGGCTAGGAATATCCCGGGGGTCAATTGTAACTTGTCATAATTGATACCATGAGGCCCCGGGCATGATGCCAGTACCCCTCAGCTCGCGATATATGCCTTTATCTAGTTAGATTAGATATCAATGACCTGGGGTAGGGACTCAGGCATATAGGCTTGGTTTCCCACCTAGAGGGGAGAAACCAAGCAATATCTTTTGTATAATATTTGACATAACTATCAATATAAGCCTACTCGGCTTCGAATAGCCTTCGGCTCGAAGCCTTCCCTAAGTATATAACCAAAACCGATAACTTCCTCGCTAGTAGTCTTGCTCTATAGCATCAATATCAATCGATGAAGCTTCAACTCACCCACATCTAGTCTTTCCAGACACCCCCGGACACGGCCCCGCCAGACCGTGTTACAAAAATCACAATCAGTATGGGGAGGTGGGAGATCTCCTGCAGAAATATATCTCTTGCCGGAATCGTCCTGCCAAAACCTAACATAACTAGATTTCGATAAGTATAAAATTTTTAAAAATTAAATTATTAAATATACTTCTACAACCATCAGAATTGTCAGTGTAAAGTCAACTTTGAGTCCAACATTTCTATCTATAAATCAGCCATCTAACAAAGACAGAACAATAGTCCTTATTTAGTCACAGACAATACCCCCAATGGCTCAAAAATTCAAATATTTCTCGAGGACCCATCTGACACTTATGAATACTCAATGGACAACTACTCTCCTATTAGAAAGTCAATTCCACAATTATTAAGCCATTGTCGCTGATATTATATTTTGCAGTGATACATCAACGAACGAGTAGAAGAAAGATTGGTTTCTTCATCTCAATCCAAATAGTAATCATATATTATTGTTTAGATACTTAAGATGCTGACTTTGACTAGGCCGAATCCCAATTATCATAGACACTATTCAATCCCGTTCCGTCACAGTGATGAAGACCTGTGCAGAACTCCTCAACCTTTTGCAATTTGACAAACATAATATTTTTGGATTCAAAGACCAACTGGAGCAAGCGAGCTTCAGCAATGGCTCCTTTTCTGGTATGGCAGCGGTACTCTGTACCAAGGAATCTCAGCTTCTTCAAATGTGGCTCAGAACAGAGCGCCTTCGAGTTTTCCCACACGTATTCACACCGCCTTGTGATTGCTTATCACCGACGCTGACATCGTCCTTGCCAACAAGTTGCCATCAATCGGTTCCGTAAAGAAACATATAGAGTGTTTGGCATTCTTGAAATCCAGCTATCCAGCGAATACAGTGGTCAACCTAAAGAATATCCAGCTGGATTGGGCAAAGGGAAATACTCCATGGCTGACATTGGGACCTAGCCATAGGCGAAAAATCAGCACCTCAATGGATACACAGATAAAGAGATGAAGGATTTTCCACATCTCCTACAGTTGGTTGAGAGAATTGCGCAGAGGCCAGTCGTCCAAAGAGGAATTGGAGAAAAGTACAAACAGTAAACAACTTGCTAACTACTATGAGTGGATATAAAAAGTACACTTGACTAGAAAGAATACTAAGAAGCTCACTCATCCACTACCTTGCAGTCCTTCAGGCGCTCCTTTGTCAATTTATGTAACATATAGGCCACTAAGGCTCATTCCTTCCAAGATATTCAATGTATATAATTAATTGCTTGGTTGATTGAAGCCATGGCTACAGCAGACAAATTTGTTGAAGATATAGGAATTTCTTGAGATTAAGATCAAAGACCCCCTTTACCCTCTAGTAGCCTGGGCAATTACTAGTGTGCAGCTAGTTCTGCTCTATCTCAATCAAATTAAGTAGCTAGGGCCGAATTCTACACATAATATAAATCAAGATGGCTTTGAAGAAACGAAAACCTCTGATAATTATAGAGCAAATGAGGAACTACCGCAACTGTTTAAAGGAATTTCATCCACGGCCAAGGCCAGTTTTATGGCCAAGGGAATGACGTTGGTCACTCAATCACCGCCTATGCTGACCTGGTCGACTGAGAATATGCAACAATCCTCTTCTTGCAGCGCCAGACTGGGGCAATGATGTCTTGAAAGACGAATATGCTAGTAATGGCGGTTAGTAGCAGCCAAAGAGTGCTCTATGGGAGTGTTGTGAGCTCTCTTAACCTATGCTGTTTCATTACAGCAGGCTTGTCTGATCCTGTAATGGCTGCGGTACATCAATTACTACGATTTTCACGGCCTTTGAACCGCTGTAAGATAGTCTCCTTGGGTCGTTCACCGGCGTTCAATATCACGTTGATCGGGTATTCTCTCTCGCATGGTATCAGTCCAAAGCGAGGGATATTTCCGCTTTACCCAATGTGTGAAGTTCCTTATATATGACTAATGGAGGATTTCTTAATTTTATTATAGCTGATCATTTAGACATGTATCAGAGCATTGATCTTTATTAGAGCCAGCATATCGTTCCTTCCTTAAAAGCTTTCAAATTCACCCCATGAACTACCACAGCTTAAGATGTCCAAACAGTCAACCGGGAATGCTAATCTCGACATCAAAATGCTCCACTAGTGTGCTAGATGCAAAGCCACCCCATTTATGCATTGAGCCAGTGCAACAGCTGAAGTACAGAACCAGATGCACTTTAGAATCCCTCAGTACAACCATAATTGAGATGGACTTTCCCTTCCTGAGATATATACAAGGCAAAGTCTTTTTAAATCAATGCTGCAAATGGCTGGCATATCCTAAGGCCCGATGAGGGTCGAGCGGTGCTAGATGATTGCTACAGCCGGGGATGCTACATATCAAGTCGGTTATTGGTGGATAGTCCAGCGGGACTGATGGAAATTCTCATTGGAACTTTTGGAACTCCACTGGGCGGGATTAAGAGCGTTATGGGATTTCTATAGGAGTACGGACATGGGAGTCAAGAGCAACTTTACAAAAGTTTTATAGAAATTGCCAAGGTCTAAAGGGTCCTACTTAGACAGAATTGCCCCGAACGCTAGTGCGGAGTGAAGATACAAAAAATGAAAAGTGTTCGATTGAGGTTGTAGAAGACCCTATCTGTGTAACTAGTCACCCGACCGTGACTAAGCCTACGCAAGGTAAGATCTCGAAAATTATGTAAGGTCGGCCTTTTCGACTGAGGTGTACCAGATTACTACTAGACCTCTATTGGATCAAGAGTACGGAGTAGTGTCAATTGATATGTTTAGAACTCTATCTGCTTTTACAGTTGGATTAAATATCAACCCGTTCTACGTATATAGAGGCACGTCCAGTAAGGTCACATGATATTCAACCTCTAGTTAGCTGAGAAGCTGTCCAAACGTGACAACCTTTGCGAACAAGGGTCCAACGGCTGCGTAGAGCCACCCCTGCAAGCCCCTAGACCAATCGAATCAGTCCAACCAAAATACTTTGCGGAACGTTAAGAGTCAGCTACTACGTAACTGTGCAATAGAGTTTGGATTACGTAACGCTACAATAGATGTTGGATTGGGATGAGACATGCATGTGTTTATGTTGGTGTTGGCTGATTTTAGTGTAAGGAATTTTAGCGTAGTATTAGTGTGTTACTAAATTGCAAGGGGAAGAAGCCTAAATTTTAAATAACTGTGAACTAGATCTAATTTATACCTAATTTACTAATAGACCTAATCGCTTATAATTATCCAAATAATGGCAAATTCTAGAAATTTTCAGGGAAAAATAACACATACAAACCATGATTTTGACAGACCATTCCATGGCGCGTTATACTGCACTAGTTGGCTAATAGTTGGGTTCTAGTAATGAATGATATAGACGGCGCCGAACTAAAACAAACTAATTAATCAGCACCGTAACTATCATAGGAAGTGGAGACTGCAACTGAAAGTAAGTTCATCACCTAGACTAGCCGCTTCGTAAACGGAGATCAGAACTAGAAGTTGAGTTTCTTGGATGTCTAAGTCCTCATTCGCAATAATACGCAGTGATAGAACCACCATCAATACGTAGCTACGAAGTTATTAATAAACGGATTTTATCATGTCTCTATTATCACACAGACTTTTTGAACATACAGCGCTAGTGTATCTATACTAAAATTACTAGCGGCCTTCACTTTTGTATCGATTAGGATTTTCATCTCGAATTGTAGTATATGCAGATTTTTGGTTCGGAAAAGGGCCGACAGGCTTTACCAATAAAATCCTACTACAACGTCAGCTTATTTCATATTCTAGTGGTTTCGTATTGAAAATAAAAGCGGGCTTATCTTTGTATCGATCAGGATTCTCACTTTGAAACGCATATGCAGATTTATAGTTTCAAAATAGCGCTGACAAATTTAAGCCGTGGAATCCGACTACGGTACAGCTTATCTCATTCAAAATAACTACATGTTTTTCATCTTCATTAAACACTTTGGTTCACAAACTGAATACTGTATATAACACGATAAAATCCAGGCAGCTCCTGCCACTAACAGCGCCTCGAAACTGATCGTTATGTCAAAGCATTTAAGCTATTCGCTTGAACAGGTACCACCGCAAAACAACTGTGTCGCCGATGAGTTCGCAACGTCTCGTCAGCACTACAATCAACTGAATGCCTACGTGCCCTATGTTGAACCGGCTAGTCAACAATATTCTGGACTGAATGCGGTTACACGTCGGAGAATTCAGAATAGAGACGCTGCGCGAAAGTATCGAAGTAAGTGTCATGAAGTCTTCAAGTATACGACTTACAGGCTCTGGATACCCTTCGCTTTCATGCGGTCAACAAGACATCCCAATAACAGTGACAACCACTAGGCAATCGATCAACAATCACAAATGAAAGGCCATCGCAAACCTATGCTACGCACAATGAACAAAGTTTGCCTAAAATTAGAAACAGAGCAATTCAACCTCGACCGTCACAAAAAGTTTTTACATCCTTGAGTGAAGAGTTTCCAGCTCACAGGCCTCCAGCACAAACACACAGCGCATACGCAGACTCAGCCGCATCAGGAAGCAGCCATGACGAAAATATTTTGCTCACTCCTCCAAAGTCTACTACATCGTCATCCAGCCGGCTGAGTGGAAGGTCACAAGATATTCCGGATGAGTTCCACGACATGCTAGTGGAAAAAAAGCTTCTATCACAGTGGGTCACCAAGATGCGATCGACCCTGTGTACTATGCAGTATCTGACAGGTATTATCTCTCAAAAGCTTAGATAGTGGATTGGCAGACCTGAATAAGGTACCGCCCTCGATAGAGGCCTATGGAGCTGTGTCGTGGCCCAACACATCTCACTCGGACCATTACCCTTTTATGCCGGACAGCACCAGTGGCAACTTCTCAATGACTTGGAGTGACAGCAGAGAGCGTTGGCCAACTTCAGACTGCACCCACCCACCAGTTCCTGCTGAATCCAGGCAAAATCCTAAAACGACCGCCTCTTTCACACTCTCTTACGTCGATGATCCCACGTATGCCACACCACACAATGATGAAGTGTTATCAAGTCACGACGACTCCGATGGCGATGAAAACTACCAGACCTCTCTACATATTGCAGCTAAGTGTGGCCATGAGAGTATGATTGACATGTTGTTGAAGAGCAGCATTGCTGTAGATCATCCCGACAGCGAAGGAAACACGCCACTTCATGTTGCTGTGTTGGGACGGAATTTGGTCATTCTGCAGCGTCTCCTCGAGTGCGGTGCAGATCCAAACATCAGAAACTTGAGTGGGTGGACGCCAGTCCACCTTGCAGTTCAGGCGGGTTCGGTGGATGCCGTTCGAATGCTGGTAAGCTATGGAGGCGACCTGGGCAAGAAGGCTAGGCGAAATGTTTAGAATGTTTCATTGCATCACTCTACGCTAAAGAATAGACATAAGGGACGGGAAATATTTATACAGGTTTCGTTGCGCTTCAAGAATGCAATTGACGGCTTACTTTGCTATCCTAGTGACATAAAGTCTTTATATACACATCAGTACCATATGATCTACGTAATATGCCGACACGCGGAAGGCTGTAGTGTAGTCCTGGCATTGCGACCACAACTATTCTATCAAGCCTGGACTCGCCAGGAGCAGGGAGCCACGACGTTTAAGCCTTAACTTCATGTAATTTTGAATCTTCCTATGGATAAATCTCGGTTACGAAGTCTAGAGTGGCGAGTTGTGCTCTGCTTATCGGACAGAGGAAGGGCAGACTGGATATCATTCGGCCCATGACTTGATTTTAACAAGTGTTCCGGCGGATGTTTGGTTCACAACTGGAGGAATCAATTGATGACTTCGAATTGCCATATATTTGCACAAATAGCCCTACAGTATTTACCATAATCTTTAAAAATAATTCAATATTGCATTAGACAATCGAACCAAACAATAAACCACAGTCCATTCACAGAGACCAATGAAGGCTCGGAATATGCTACGTTATTTTCATTCAGTTCTTTCTCTCATGCTTGTTTAACTTCACCCACAATGGTTTCTTTGCACCGACAATATATACCTTCTGTTTAATCCAGTCATCGCTCTCCTCGCACAGTTCGACGTCATACGTGAATACAAACTTAGCAAGGAGCATTCTCGCTTCATGATACGCAAGGCTAGTTCCATGTCAATATATTTTGGACCTCCAAAGAGTGAGTCTGCTACTTACTTCTTTCCAATACAATCCCTAGGCCCGGCCGAAAAAGCCTGAACCGCTTCCAAACGATCGTTGGCGAATTCAGCGGGAGGACTTCGGCCCCACCGTTCAGGAATAAACTCGTGTGGTCGAGCAAAATGAGTAGGCGAATGATAAGAAGCGTACTGTGAGTAAAAAACGACTGACTTTATGTATATTAGGCGAATTGTATAATTTAGAAACAAGTCGAGATCCAAACTATCACTTACCTCAACTGGGAGTGAGTGTCCGTCAAGCATAGCTCCTGGCACAACAACGCGGCGAGGGAGGCCACCCGGCACGGGAGGATAGACACGAAGGCCTTCCTCAATAACCATTTGCAAGTACTGCAATTTCGGGAGGGTGATAGTGCTCATCTCGTCAGTGGATTTGAAGGCGCCTCTAACTTCATCCTGCAACTTCCTCATCTTGTCAGGGTTCTTGCAGAGTAGGTAGGTGAGTGCGCTCATTAGCGATGATGTCGTTTCCGTTGCGGCTGTGAGAAGTAGGAAGCCATTTTGCCGCATCTCACCCTTGGTTAGGCCCTGGCCTTTTGCTTCAGCATGCTCAACTAGGGTCCAAAAGTCCGGGTGGCTAGGGTTGCTGTTTGCCAATCTATTCATGACGCGTTCGTCGCAGAACTTGACGTGTTCCAGCCGTTTTTTGATCATAGACTTGGGCATTAAAGCCTCGAAGATTGCCTGTATGATGGGGAACGACCTGAGCACTCTCCGCATAGCGCTAAATCTCACCGTGGCGGTGATGTTGGCCAGGAAAGGGTGGTACTCCATGCTTTCAAGATGGTGCAAAGAGTCTCCAAAGACACAATCGGCAATAAAGTCAAATGTTGCGAAATTGAAAAACATTACCATGTCAACTTTGCCTGCGGCTTGACATTTCTCAAAAGATTTCGCAATTAAAAGGTCTGTATACTTCTTCAAGAGAGGCTCCTGTTCACGGATGGCGCGGTCGCTGAAGGCTGGCGCGAATACCTTTCGCTGGCGGTAATGCTCGTTATCATCAGCGGTCAACAAGCCTTCAGTGCCATCCTTGCGCTGGTTTTTCATGTAATACGCTTTGAAATCCTTGGGAATACCCCCGGCTGCGGTGTTCTGACCGTAGACATCTTTCGAAGCAACTGGGTTGATTGTACTCAGTTCGTTAGGAGCCACACGGACGTAGGGACCATATTTGATGTGTAGCTCGTATGTCATGGCGATCTCCTCCCCGGACATGCGCTTGAGGGCGAGTGGAATTCGAGACGCCGCCAAATGTTTAGGCCCGGGAAACTTGGAAAGAGGGTGGAAATAGATGTTGTAGATTGCCGTGGCAAGAAAGTACCCAAGTGACTTTAAGAATTAGCTGTCAATAACGAGTTACAGCACGGTGAGGTGAATCTCACAATGCTTATAACGACCGGCACAGCAAACACGAGCGGGTGCTCCTGTGCCTCGTACAAAAGGCCCATCGGTAGAGCGTTGACTCCGGTCGCCGACGAAGAGAATAATAACCCCATGATCACACTCTTGCATACGCAAAACTACTCAGATCAAGACAGCCGAAAGTAGAAGGCAAGCCTTCTTCCGAGAACTTTACGTTGTAACTCCTGTCAGTTGGAACTTGCCGAAGTTCAAGAGCTTACAAGGCAGTTACTAGAGAACGGTTAAAAGACTCACTATGAGAGCAGGATCACGGTGTATGGCATATGATACGTGGCTAAAACGCCACGATTTAACTCTAAGTAAATTTTTGGGTACAATTCTGAACCTAGATGCATTCAGTATGAGCCTTGACCAACTGCAATAAGCTGACACAGACCTGCTTTTGACGGGCGCATAAAGTTCTTCATAGCAACCCTAACCGAGTTAGCGTAACGGTGTGTTCTGTACAATGAAGTTGCAACATGAATGATGCGGTAAGCTTACAGGGTTACGGCGCGTAGGATGGGATTTTTTAGCTGGCTTGTTGGTTGGTTGGTTCTGGTCATGCAACAGATGAAGGCATATCCATACGATTTAATTGCCTGGATTTACCATATGCAGGGAGAGGGTCCAGACCGGTGGCTTTACCCATACCGTATTAAATAGGCACTTGGTAATCTAGTGGGGACTACAGTTGCTCGTAAAAATACCGCTAGAAGTTGAACGTGGTCTGAAAATAACGTATACAAGTCGGGCAGAGCCTGAAAGTATTGTAATTTGCGAATCAGGTTAAGCAGGTTTTGAGGCCCGTGCTCCAAATATGGGGAACTTAATTACGGGCAACTGCAAGCCCGCAATAATGATCGACATAATTATGCGGTAAGCTGACGAATAACTGACCAATGTATGCCAGTCAAGCATCGGCGACGTGGATCGTACAGTTGGGGGAGAAAGAACGTATTTGCCCATCCCTGTCTGCCAAGAAATTCACTAAACTCTACATTACTACTATCCTTGGAGCCTGGGCAGACAGTAACAGCCCTAGCCCTATGAGGTTAGAGATGGAATGATTGATGGAACCGGAAAGAAAGGTCTATCATTCTCGGCAATCGCCGGCTTGACGCAACTCGTATAGGCAGTCGGCGACAACGGCAGCCCACCACCAAGCGTGTATACACAGGATGAATGAAAATTCTGAATTAGCTAACGCTCTAGGCTAATGACGGCAGACATGTGGAGAATAGCTGCGCTCTTATAAAGCAGTTGTAATCTATATTTATGAAAATACCCCTATTTTAATGACTGGCCGCCATATAGCCAATCTAATAGGCAGAGAATTGATACCGAGTATTGGGGATATAAGCTTGTTGCAGGATTTGACTTTCCTTGCTATCTCGTGGACTAGGAGCTTTCAGCTCCCCACTCAACATAAACGACCCTACCCGACTAAGTACACGGGTTCCGAACCGATCGAAAGAAGTAAGCTCGTATATTCTCACATTTGTCTCAAGCTTACTTTTGTAAGCTCCACTGAAGAACACTGATTCTTTCGCTTGGCTCGAAAGGGTGTCGTAAAAAGTGCGGTTTGTTCATGTGAACTTGTTTCCTGACGATATCTTGAGCTGTTGAAAGTCCTTGATCAACCTTCCTCCAGCCCTTCAGACAGCAGGAAACACCATTGAGTGTCTACCAAGATGCCTTCCGCGATTAACAATGGGCCTCGGGCTCCTATTGCCATTATTGGCATGTCGTGTCGATTTCCCGGTGATGCGGAAAACCCTTCAAAGTTCTGGGAACTGTTGAAAGAGGGGCGAGAAGCCTACTCGGCAAAAACACATCGATACAATGAGGAAGCTTTCTATCATCCTGGAGGTCAGTTCAACAACAAACGGCAAAATGTTTTACCAGTAAAGGGAGGATATATGCTGAAGCAAGACCCGTACGTCTTCGATGCCGCCTTCTTTAATATTACCGCCGCAGAGGCGATTTCATTCGATCCTAAGCAGCGGATTGCAATGGAAGTCACATACGAAGCCTTTGAAAATGGTGGTATAACGCTTCAAGCAGCCGCTGGAACTAAGACTGCATGCTACATTGGAACATCAATGAGTGACTATAGAGATTCCATTGTCAGGGATTTCGGGAACTACCCAAAATATCACCTACTTGGTACCAGTGACGAGATGATCTCAAATCGAATTTCTCACTTCTTCGACCTCCGTGGTCCCAGCGCCACAATTGAGACCGCCTGTTCCTCAAGTCATGTCGCAACTCATATTGCCTGCCAAAGCATACAAAGCGGTGAATCAGATATGGCGGTTGTTGGTGGCATTGGGATGCTGCTTGTACCTGAAAGCACAATGCAACTGAACAACCTTGGCTTCCTCAGTCCATTTGGGCAATCCCGAGCGTTCGATGCATCGGGAGCAGGCTACGGCCGCGGAGAAGGCTGTGGCATTTTTATCTTGAAAAGACTAGATAAAGCTTTGGAAGATGGGAACAACATTCGGGCCATCATTCGTGGGACAGGTGTAAACTCAGATGGGTGGACACAGGGCGTAACGATGCCCTCAGGAGATGCACAAGCTTCATTGATCGAGTATGTGTATAAGTCAAACGGACTTGACTACAGTGACACACAGTACGTCGAGGCTCACGGTACAGGAACAAAAGTAGGCGATCCGACGGAGGCTGAAGCACTACATCGCACTATCGGACAACCTACACTAAAGCGCGAGAAGTTATGGATGGGTAGTGTAAAGACGAACATAGGCCATCTTGAGGCTGCTGCAGGAGCGGCGAGCGTGGTTAAGGGAGTTCTGGCAATGGAACACGGTTTAATACCACCGACTCTCCATTTCAAAGACCCCAACCCGGCTATCAAGTTTGACGAGTGGAAACTAGATGTGCCGACAAAGTTGATGCCCTGGCCTGTTTGTCAGACAAAGCGAATGAGCACGAGCGCTTTCGGTATGGGTGGCACCAACGCTCATATTGTGCTAGAGAAACCAAACCAACAAGTAATTTCGGAAAAAGGCCACAATCCTGTCATCAAAAAGAGACTTTTCGTCTTCAGTAGTCATGACCAGGCTGGCTTCAAGCGTATTGGTAACAGACTCATCGAACATCTGGATCACCTTGGTGTCAAATCATCAGGCGCAGAGTACCTGGCTAACCTCGCACATACTCTTGCAGTCGGACGGTCAGGTCTTACATGGAAAACCTCGTGTTTCGCAGAGAGCACAGCTGAGTTGCGAGAGCACTTGACCAATCGTATTGGAGAAGATGCTGTGCGTACTACAGCCGGTGAAAGGCCTCGTATTGGTTTTGTTTTCACTGGTCAAGGTGCACAATGGGCTCGAATGGGGCTTGAATTGATGGAACGCAAGGTTTTCGGTGACTCTGTAGCCACGTCTGTCGAGTACCTAAAACAGATGGGTTGTAAGTGGGATCCCATTGTCGAACTATCCAAAGCGCAGAAAGAGTCTCAACTAGCGAAACCTGAAATAAGCCAAGCAATTTGTACAGTTTTACAAATTGCTCTGGTAGACGAGCTACGGTCTTGGGGCGTTAGACCAAGCAAAGTAGTTGGTCATTCCAGTGGTGAGATTGCGGCAGCATACTGCATGGGTGCTCTTACACACAGAGATGCGCTTGCTGCAGCTTACTATCGGGGCAAGGCTTCCTCTGGCATCAATAGCCATGGAGGCATGATGGCCGTCGGAACCGGCCAGGAAGATGCCAAGAAGATGATTGCAGAAGTGAAGGCGCAAGCTACTGTTGCCTGTGTTAATTCACCAAATAGTATTACCCTGTCTGGAGATGTGGACGCACTCGAGACTCTTGCGGAGATCTTTGAGAAGCGAGGCACTTTTGCTAGAAAGCTCAAAGTTGATGTGGCTTACCACTCTTCACACATGCGGTCTTGTTGTGCGGGCTATCAATCGGACATTATGCACCTAGAAACCCAAGACGTAGATGAGCAGGATGAGTCAGAAGATGCCATCTGCATGGTATCCAGTGTCACTGGCAGCTTGATCGACGCTGAAGCGTTGGGTCCATACTACTGGATCCGTAACTTGATCTCTCCTGTTCTTTTTTCTGATGCTGTAAAAGAGTTGATATCCCCTGCCGACGGTGATGGTGGCAACACTGTCGATATGCTGGTTGAAATCGGTCCTCATAGTGCTCTGAGAGGGCCGATTGAGCAAATACTATCTTATAATGGCATCAAGGGTATTGAATATGCGTCGATGCTCACACGCGGAGAGTCTGCAATAGAAACAAGCTTGAGTCTTGCTGCTGAGCTGTTTCGTCGAGGCCTGACACTGGATATTGCCAAGGTCAATGACGACTCTCATTGCCGTCTCCTGACGGATCTACCGCCATACCCGTTCAACCACACTCAAACGTTTCGAGCTGAATCACGCCTTCAGCGTGAGACTCTCACCCAGAAAAACCCTACCAAAAGTATTATTGGCGCTGAGAGACCAAGCATGGACGAGCACGAGCGAGTCTGGCGTGGTTTTATCAATCTTGATGACGAACCCTGGATACGCGACCATACAGTTGGCTCTACGGTCCTTTTTCCCGGCGCTGGTGTAGTCAGTATCGCTCTTGAAGCAGCTCAGCAGATGATTGAGAAGGGGAAGGTGGCCCGTTCTTTCGCATTACGTGATGTTTCCTTCATGGCTATGATGGCACTTTCGGAGAGCACCCCAACTGAAATCATAACTCATGTTCGGCCACACCTGGTCGCTACAACTGGAACTACACCAGCAACTTGGTGGGAGTTTACGGTCTCTTCGTGTACCGGTGCTACTGGCCATGTGCGAAATAATTGTCGTGGTTTGTTTTCGATCAATTATGAGGACTCACGTAGCTCACACATGGAGCGGGAGATTCGTAGCCTTGAAGCCAATCGCGTGGCGGATTATCACCAAATTATAAAAGAATGTCCAGAGAAAATATCCAAAAAAGCATTCTATAATACTCTGGCCAGGTCAGCCCTCGCATATGGTCCTCACTTCCAGGGAGTTGAAAACTGCCGTCCTGGCAACGGCAAGACGACTTTTGATATCGAGATCATCGACCTTGGAGAGACCTTTAGCAAGGACAAACTAACACGACCGTTCCTTATACATGGCGCAGCGCTTGATGCTATATTCCAAGCATGGGTGGGAAGCACGAAAGATGCCAACGGAACTGGCAGTTTTGGGTTCGACAAGCCTTTGCTGCCCAAGAGCATTGGGGAACTTGAAATCTCTGCCACTTTTCCCAGTGAGGTTGGCTATACTATGCCCGGTCTCAGTCACTCCAGAAAGCATGGCTTCAGTGAATGGTCTGCTGATATCACTATGTTTGACAAGGAAGTGTCAAAAGTATTCCTTTCGGTTAACGAATTTCGTCTGGCCGAACTCGAAGTGGAAGATTCAGACAAGCCGGATATGGGAGATGGTGCTGACGTTGATCCAGCCGAGATAGCTTCTGAAGTCAGGTGGAACTACGCCCTGGATTTGATGAGTTCACAAGAGATTAATAATGTTGTCGAAAGAATTTCTGGCTGCTCACGAGATAAACTGAATCATGTAAGTTCTCACATGATGATCTCCCCTTTCGGAACTTGTCCAACACCGGCAACGGTTACTGATATTGCTTAATGACATAGCTTATCGCCATGGCAGTTCATCAGCGTCCGAATCTTGACATAATTGAGCTGATTGGGGATGCTCATCAGCTTGCTCATACAGCCGTATCCAGACTTCCCAAAGGCACTCTCCTGCCAAGCCAAGTTCGCTATGCCATGACCAACGACGTCGATAATGAAGACATTGGCGGCAATGTCTTCGGTCATCCTTTTGCTCTTGGTACCTCCGATACTGCCCTTGCCGACGATGTTGTACCTGCTGATTTGATCATCGCTGCATCAAATATCGACAACCTGGAAGATGTTGTAGAGAGAGTCAGTCGTCTCGCTAAGCCCGAGGCAATGATACTTATTCTTGCCGATGCTAAAGTTCAGCCAAGTTTGCCTTCATTCATAGAGAAGGGGTTTGGCCTTGTTTTCAGTACGCAAGCGGACGCTGATTCGCTTGCACTCTACCATTTCGGTAAAGTAGAAGAGGCACAACCAGCACGTCTCACAAACGGTTCAACCGGGCAAGAGGTGGTTATAATTGAGTCCCCTCACCCTTCAGTAAAGGCGACATCCTTTTCCAAGGGCCTTCAAGATGCACTTAGTGACGTTGGATACAATGTGTCCATAGTAACTGGTGTCAACAGAGCTCGTACTGCTGAGGCCAATGTCTACGTGTCCCTCTTGGAGCTTGAACAACCTGTGCTGGAACAGCTCTCTGAATCCGACTTTCAAAGTCTCCGTGATTTGTTGTTGAATTGTGAGCGCCTTTTGTGGATTACGCGTGGCGACAACCCATCTCTAGCACTTGTTGATGGCTTCTCAAGAACTATCAGGAGTGAATTCGCAGGTGTTAGCTTCCAAGTACTGCATCTAAGCAGCGACGAAATACAGCAAGGTCCCTCGTTGGCTGCACAGATCCTCTTCAAACCAAGTGCAGATAGCGAGTTCAGGGAGCGCGGCGGAATTTTGCAAGTCTCTCGATTTTACAGAAGTCTTGAAGAAGATGATCATATCCGCTACCATCTTCTCGACTCCACTCGAGTCAGGAGCCTGCCGGTTAATGAGACTGACAAGGACAGCACTGCCTTCCGTCTTACTGTCGGAAAACCGGGACTTTTGAATACGCTGCACTTTGTCCCTGATGGAACTATGGAGACTCTGCTTGCTGAGAATGAAGTTGAGATTCAGGTGAAAGCTAGCGGTATCAACTTCCGTGACATCATGGGTTCCATGGGTCTTCTCCCAGTGTCAGGTATTGGACAGGAAGCAAGCGGTGTCGTCATAAGATCGGGAAAACTAGGTGCCCAGACGCTGAAACCTGGAGACCGTATCAGCACACTGACAGTGGGAGGAACACACGCGACTAAGATTCGCTGTGATTATCGTGTTGCAAAGAAGATCCCTGACGTAATGTCGTTTGAAGATGCAGCAGGGATTCCCGTCACATATTGCACGGCATATTACGCACTCGTCAAATTAGCAAAGCTTCGCGAAGGCCAGTCTGTGCTAATCCATGCCGCGGCTGGTGGTACCGGACAAGCTGCTCTGCAGTTAGCGAAGCACCTCGGTCTAGTCATCTATGCTACAGTAGGTACTGACATCAAACGTACTCTTATCAAAGAGAGATATGGTATCCCCGACGAGAACATTTTCTACTCGCGGGACAGCAGTTTCGTCAAAGGCATTCACCGGGCAACTAACGGCCGTGGGGTTGATTGCGTCCTCAATTCCCTGTCTGGCGAGCTCTTGCGACTGTCGTGGGGGTGCCTTGCCACCTTCGGCACTTTCATCGAGATTGGTCTACGCGACATTACTGATAATATGCGTCTTGATATGAGGCCATTTTCAAAGAGCGCAACATTCAGCTTCATCAATATGGTTACTTTGCTTCAAGAGAACCCAGACGCCATGGGAGAGATTTTAGAGACAGTATTCGACCTGATACAGAGAAATGCCCTGCAACCAGCCTATCCAGTTACCGTCTACCCCGTTGGCAAGGTGGAAGAAGCGTTCCGTATCATGCAGCAAGGTAAGCACCTAGGAAAAATGATCCTATCGTTCCCCGCAGATGACGCCAAGGCACCGGTTCTATGCAGAGCCAAAGATTCGCTAAGGCTTGATGCCAATGCAACATACCTCTTCATTGGGGGTCTAGGTGGTCTAGGTCGCAGTTTGGCAGTTGAACTTGTGGCATGTGGAGCCAAAAGCATAGCCTTCCTCTCACGATCTGGTGATTCAAAGCCCGAAGCAAAGGCAGTTGTCGGCGAGTTGAAAGGATATGGTATTCAAGTCATGGTTTACCGTGGAGATGTCTCTGATCAAGCGTCGTTCCTTGCTGCCATGAAGCAGTGCTCACAGGAGCTGCCACCGGTGAAGGGGGTGATTCAAATGGCCATGGTGCTCCGCGACGTGGTGTTTGAGAAGATGACATACCATGACTGGATGACTGGCCTAGCACCCAAGGTGCAAGGTACCTACAACCTACACACCTACTTTGATAAGGAGCGCCCACTTGACTTCATGATATTCTTCTCCTCTATTGCTGGCATCTTTGGCAATCCGAGTCAGGCTCAGTATGCTGCAGGTAATACATATCAGGATGCACTTGCAAAATTCCGACGTGATCAAGGGCTCAAGGCTGTTTCTGTCAACTTAGGTATCATGCGCGATGTAGGCGTTATTGCAGAGGGCGACTCACATTTCATGCAACAATGGGAAGAAGTACTCGGTATCCGTGAACCTGCCTTCCATGCTCTCATCAAGAGCCTAATTAACGGCCAATCGCAACTCGGAAGCGCTCGAGAGGCTGCGCAGTGCCCTTCCCAGGTAACTGTTGGCCTGGGTACTAGTGATATTATAACTAGAAATAAGATTAAGGAGCCGAATTACTTCAGTGACCCGCGTTTCGGGCCGCTAGCAGTCAGTAGCGTCACTGTCACATCAGATGTTGCCTCGGGAGACACGGCTGTTTCTCTATCATCCAAACTATCCAGCTTGAGCAACGACACAGATTCGGCAGCAGCAGGAGCTATTATTACTGAAGCTCTAGTAGCTAAGTTGGCCAAGATTCTTCAAGTGCCGCCTAGCGAAATTGACTCTAGCCGGCCCATGTACCGTTACGGCGTGGACTCTCTCGTGGCTTTAGAGGTGAGAAACTGGATTACGAAAGAGATGAGTGCTAATATAACACTGCTGGAAATTCTCGGTGCGATGCCTATGGAACAATTTGCAGTACTGATTGCGAAGAAGAGTAAACTGCTGAACGGAATTTCGGCTTGAGCCTAGTTGAGACCCTTTTAGCCTTGAATTCCCTACTGTATATAACATATGTAGAATGTGGAAGTGAGAAAGCGAACATGTGTCAAACCAAATCATTTACATTTAAAATATGGTATCAGCTCTCATTCACCGAGTAGTTGCTAGTTCTACTGACCAAAACTGCTCTCAGTTCCGATTGCTTGCTTTGATTACATCGCGGTGGAACAGTACATGTAATCTGGTGTATGACCGGGAAAGAAAATTACGGCTGTTCAATACAACATAATCCCGCAACAGACGGCCTTTTTTGAAACCTAATAGCGGGCGGGTCTCGTGCACTCATATAGGGCAGACCTAAATTCACATGTTCCAGTCTTTAACTAGATCCACGACCTGAAACCTCTGCATCACAGCACCTCGCCTTCCCATCAGCTTTGTACTATATAAAGATATTAGGTGATGAAATTTATCTAATTTATCTAATTACTGACCGCGTCGCGCGTTCTTATTTGTACATCGATACTTAGATACAATGTTATATAATGTGTGACTCTTCCAATGTTTCCGCGTGTGACTACTAGTATTCTGAATTACCTGGTTAACCAGTGTCGTTGTTCCTGTTATAGATGGACGCTCAACCATGTTAATAAATAGCTTCATTGTCGTATGCCTTTTAAGATAAATTGTTTAATAGAAAATCATGGAAATAGTTGCAAGTAACTCCAATTATAACATGAATACGTATATTTTAAAGACCCGAACTAACTAATTAGAAGACATTTATATTAATATAGTGTAACAGTATAGATTAATTTAATCAGTAGATCCCAAGATCATTGATTAGGTTGTGGGATTAGGTAAAATATTTGTAGATTTAGGACTGGATTTGAATATATGCAAGGGCTGCTTCCTGCGGTTCTTTGACGGCAACTTCGTGCCTTGCGTGACTTAAAGCTTCACCTGCAACTTTGGGTTGGTGCGTAATTTCTCCCCATGAATGAAGAAGAGCAACGTAATCGGCCACATGCCGAGAGCGATAAAGGCAAACAGAGTGTTGCCCCAACCCAATCCCAACTTGTTATACAACTGCAGCGCAAACAGCGGCAATACTGCAGCGAAAACAGAGCGCAAAACGGCGGACGCGGCCAAAGCGGAAGCGGCGTAGATAGTAAAGGTATCGACGAGGTAGGTATTGATGCAGACGTTGATGATACATATGCCAGTTCCAACAAGTAAGGTTCCCAACAAAGGAACCGCCCATTGTACATGATACTGTACAGTCCAACCATACAACGCAAGTCCTGCGGGAAGGAGTGCGCCGGCAAAGAACATAGGTGGAACGCGGTATTCCGGCTTACTTGTACCACCATTGTATTTGTCGGCAAGGCTCTTCCTAATGCGATCACCCGTAAATTGCTGAATTACAAGACCCAGCATCATGCCGATACCACAGGCGAGAAAAACAAGACCAACTGTGCCCTGACCGAAGCCATAGTGATCCTCAAAGATGAATGAAAAAGTGCTGAACATGAAATAGATCATGGCGTAGACGAAGGCGGAATAAATGCTCAGTATGAGACAAACAGGTGAGAAGACCAACATTTTGCATGGCCTTACAATAGCTCGCAAAAAAAGTTCCTTTGGCGAGAGCTGAGAGTCAAGCTTCGAGCGAAGATCCATGTTGCCACTTTCTGTCCTTAGACGGTTTGCTTTTCTCTTCAGCAACGTCGGAGCGTGGGATTCGCGTAATACAACAAGACTAATGATCGCAATGACGCCAGCAATGATTGCAAGCAGCCAGAAGATCCAACGCCAGCCTTTGGATTGAGAGAGGAAACCCCCAATTACGGGACCCACAGACGGACCCAGCAAAGGGCCAAGACTCCAAATAGACATGGCTGTTCCACGTTGCTTCATTGTTGTAACGTCTGCAATCGTACCGCCTCCAATGGCGATGGGCGCGGCGCCGACTAAGCCAGCCAAGAATCGAAAAGCAACGAGCATGTTTATATTGGTTGCTAGTCCGCAGGCGACTGTGAAGATAATGAAGAGAACATTGCCAACGTGATATACTATGACTCTTCCGTAGAGCTCGCTCATCGGTGCTAATATGAGAGGACCTCTGACAGATGGTCAACCAACATAAACACCGGCTGTGTGAATAAAGAAATGGAGGCTACTTACGCGGCCATACCTAGGATATATACTGACACTACAAACGTCGAAAGGGCTTCGTTATTCGTTTTGAATGACTGGAGAAGCTGTGGCACTGCGGGTGCTAGCATAGATGAGGCAAGCGGGACGTTGAAAGTAATTAAACCGACGACAGCAATATTTGACCACCTCTTCAGAGGACTCCTGTTAATTTTCCTTGTCAGTTTCTTTTTTATTTTTTCATTCGAGTACGTTGTAGTGATGCAACCGAGCCATAATATTTTTGAGCCAAGTTGGAGAATATTTCGTGGCACTCACCAGTTTTGAGGATTAACTGGATCATTTGGTCCGTCCCAGTCGACGATATTTGCATCAGCACTTTGGCTGTCCTTCACTCGTGCTAAATGGTGGACGGCTTCTTTCTTGTCAGACTCAAGAATCCCGCTACTCTCTGTTCCGTTAACAGAAGTTTGTCCGTTTGGTCGTGCATCTTGCTGGCCTTGCTCCAGCGCCAAAATTTCTGCTCCTTGTGGTCGCTGCTGGCAGTCACACAAGTCTTGACTTGTCGCCATCTATTAGCGGTTAACCCCTGCTTTCTTCTCAAAGGATGTATCGCTGACGAATTGGTTTGGAAAGAGGTGGATTCTGTCCGCTTCGCGAATCTTTGGTTTTGACCCTGAACTAAGCTTGGTTTATCGCTATGGAAGAATTGAGAATGGAGGATGGCGACTTGCATCGGTTCAAATTCGTCGCGAGGATGAGCAGAACTATCTGTGGGCAGTGTTATGCCCCCATTTTTATTTGGGCATAGGACCTAATTACTAATTGTAAGTTAGCCATAACTCGAATCCCGGTCTCTCTTCCCATTGGCACGGAGTACTCCGTACTTGAACGGTCACCTACCAGCCATGTCGATCAAATGATCAGCGGACCCGAGAGCGAATAATCAAATTTAGACTTTCAGGATCTAGTTTCACTTATTGTGAGATAGATCATGTCCATGCAACGATCATTAAACAATAAACAATGTAAAACTTAACACCGGTGATGACATCGCCTGCATATCTGAACTATTCATATATTTGATTTAAGTATACAGGCCTTGTAGGATTAACAAGGCCCGCAATATTACTGAATTATGTGGTAAATACGAAGTATGTAAGATGTCATTGTGCTCAATTTCGCTGTGAAAGTCAGGGGCTGGCCCGAACAGGGGATTCACATTGGCTCTACCAGAAAACAGTGCTCCTTAGTCTGTTCTCATACTCCGTACACAGATTGGTGCAAGCTTCCCTGACCGCAAGATGCTGACGCTCCAGGGCTGTGATTGGTTAACCCTCTTTGCGCCACATTGTAAGACATAGGATATGCACGATGATCGACTGGCCGGTCCCACTTGCCGTCCGGCGGCCGGTTAGTGCTACTAATTTCATAATTATGAGCTTTGAGCTCATGGATTACTAAGATATCTAGATATGCGCTCCATTTTTGTCAGAAATTAACATAGATGCATATGTTTAGAGGACATATTGTGCTGTGATTGTAAGTATGGTTATGTAAATGGACGTTATCCGATATCTCGTTATCTCCTAGCAACTGACCGCGATTCCGATCATCCCAGGCTTTATTTCAATGTTGCATCTAGTAGAGTCGTATCTACGTAATACGCGGTAACAACACACGACATATGCGGGATATTTAGACAATCGATTGAATTGTCTCAGAATTACAGACTCAAGGGAATTCTAAAACGAGTCCCAATGTACAGTATGTATAAGATAGAGGTGCAATGTGCTTCAGTTTATGAGCAGCTGGCTGTGGTGATGTATCATGGTTGTGACGCTAATCAGTAAGTACTAAACACGGCCAATTTGCCTCACTCGGCCGTTATGACGTATACTAGACCAAAAGTTTTCGGAAAGCCTTGGATAAATGGAGAATTGCATCTGCAGTGAGAAATAAGGATATTCTGCATGTCCAGTCCGCTTGATTCATTCCATATAGCGAAGGAGCATGAAGAAGCATTCCGTGCAGTGCAGTTCGACACATGCCAATATACACGTTTGTACGTCCTCAAACCTTATTGAGACCCAGATTGCCATGTTCTAACCGAGGTGTCAAGCCATCAATTGCAGTGCCTTCAAAGTCGGTTAAAGTTCCGCCTGGAGCGGCCTTGCCGAGAATACGAAGTCCATTCACGACTTTCTCTTCATCAGGAGTAAGCTTCTCCATGCTTGAAGCAATACCGGCCTGTTTATCAGTTCCGTTGGCACTACTTGTCGCTCCATTTGCAACTTTTTCAGTTCCGTTAATCATATGCTCGGGAATGTCCATATCCATTTCCGCCATGTTATTGAGAGCATGTACAGCGAAGTCGATTGTTTGCGCTACGTCTTCCTTAGTGAACTTCTGTACAGCCTCGGAAGAGCCAGAGCCTTGGATAACTGCTGAATGTTAGCCAGTATCTATCCACATGGAATATGAGATCAGCTTGCCTGGTTTGAGGAACTGGAAAGCCCTGTCGAAGCCATCCTCATCAACGTCGCTCAACACTGGGTTCACTTGCATCCTGATCTGCTTAAGAGCAGCCATGACGACGAGCAGGAAGAGGGTGTAACCTTCATCTACTTTCTTGGCGTGCCATTTTGAGGCTTGGTACTCGGTGCAGTCTCCTTTGATAGATGCGTTGATTGAAACAGCAGCTGCAAGTGCGCCAGCGACGGCCAAGTGGTGGCCAGATGAGAAGAAGGGATCAATGAAGCAGCCTGCATCTCCAATAATACGGAAGTTGGGGCCAGCGTATGCGGTCGCGCTGTACGAGTAATCTGTTGCCTGCTTGATGTCGGATACCAACTCAGCTGGCTCGAGTAGCTCTCCTATGGTAGGACATAGTTTCATACATTCCGCCATGATTTGTGAGTTGGTTGCATTTTCGCCAAGACTCTTCTTCTTTTCGAAGAAAAGATCCCTTCGCATGACGGCTCCAACAGAGACCGTGCCATTGTGCAGCGGAATAGTCCAGCACCAACCGGCACCATCTAGATGAAACCCTCCTGTTAGACTGTTCGCAGAAAACAGGCATTGAGAATCGTCGAATAAGGAAAAATGGGCTGTAACTCACCTCGCATACCCTCAAAGAAAGGCTGATTCTCCCTCGGAGTACCCTGTGCCCAGGGCGTGTTGTTCTTGTAGTAGCCCCAGATGGCGAGGTTCTTTAGGCCCTCATTGTAGTGGCGGTTTTTGAGGTACTTGGTCGATGTAATACCTACCCGTCCAGTTGCATCCACGAGATATTTGAAAGTGATCTCACCAGAACGACCGTCCTTAGAAGACCACTTTGCGGAAATAGGTTTTCCAGGATTAGCCACCTTTTCTCCGTTGGGGAATTCGCTCTCATAATCTTCAAATTCTAGCGAATTTACTTTCACCCCATGGAAAGCTTTAGCGCCGCTTTCGCGGGCGTGGTTAAATAGGATCTCATCCGACTCGGAGCGTATCACGTTCCAAGAGTATCCGTTAGGCCCATGGGCTGCGAGAAAATCGGTATCTACAATCCCAATCAGTGACACAATTCTCCTTTGTACATATTAAAAGGTTGGGATAGCTTACATCCTTCACGCTTCGAGGTGAGCTTGAAAGCAGCACCGAGCTGAAAAGGCTCTTAGATATGTGTTGTCAAGAGATTGGTTATAACGGAGTTGAGTTCTTACTTTTTTCTGGAAGCCGTGAGCTTCGAATTTCTGTTCGAGATCGATGAAACGCAGTAGAGGCCTTATCGATGGGAGCATACTCTCACCGATATGGTAGCTGCTTGTTGTCAGCCTCTAGATTGAAAACAATCGTTTGCTATCAATTATCTTGAAAGGACTGGAACATACCGAGGGTGCTGATCAGCTTCGAGAAGCACAACATCGTTGCCCTCACGAGCCAAAGCCGCAGCTGCATATGAACCAGCAGGGCCACCACCTGCCACCAAGATCGTACAAGACTCAGGAATTGACATTGTGAATGCAAAGCAAATAATACGTAAGGGGTGAGATGCTTTACAGTGCCTCTATCGTGCACCAAATACTGGATTCACAAAAATTACAAGTCCTCAATATTCAATAAGTTCCTGATGTCAAGGATTTAGATGGAATCCGGCACAAAGACCTTTTGAAACGCTAGATCCACTAACTTAATGTGATTGTGTTACAACATTTTGTCTTATATTTGCTATGATTGACTACCTTCCTTTTTTTTTAGACTACGTACATGCTAAGTAGCGTTATATATTTTACAGTTTTGATTGGTCAGTCAAATATTCGTACGCTAGCCCCCATATATAAAAAGCAATAAAATACAGTTGAAATAATTAGCGTCCGCCACGTTGAAATACGCTAATTCGTACCCACACCTTCGTTTACGTCAGCTTACTGCATACATCTGCAGAAGCTAATGTAGCTCAATTAATGTTAATATGTAATATGCGGATCACCGCGACTGCTACTTATCAGCTTACTGCATATAACAAACCCCCGCCGATCCGCAGGAACCAACGCTAGTTAGACCCTATTATCTTCGGGTCAACAGCGATCATTTATCAGCTTACTACATCTAAGAAATCTCCACAGATACACGATTCAGCGTAGATAAAAACCAATTATGTTGCGTTAAGTTAAGCAATAACCTGGAGAAACGTCGCCGTCAACTGGAATGCGTGTAACATGTTGAGTCATCCAGAGTGACAGCCGGTAGTCAAAATATGGTCCAGTCTTGGTAAACGTGGCATTTTGAGACAAAGGCGATAGACCCTTCGTAGGCAAGGCAATTGAAGTTGCCTCGGTGAACTATACACTAAGTTTTCAGTATTTTCTAAGATATTTCCATTCAACTATCTTCGCAACATCTCGCGTTATCTTTGGGAAACGATCTCGTTAACAGTAGCTGCAACGACAGCTTGGCTAAGGCGACTCAACATAGCTACTAGTTTTGACTGATTCACTTTCAATCTCCAACGTTAGCTGTCGACGCCTCCGCATTCGACTCTGGCAAGCGACTTAACACATTCGCAATCATCTCCTGCGTCAACAGGATCACTATAGCGCCTCAATGAAGACGCAAACAGGAAAAACGAAGCTTGTCTTTCTATTCGGAGATCAAGTTGATTCTTGGCATAATGGGCTTGACCACGTCTACAAAGTGGCTGGCTCAACGCCGTGGCTGCAGTCATATTTGGACGATTTAAGCAAGGCAATGAGTACAGAAATCAGAATTGCCACGCTCGATCCCGCACTTCAGGCCAGCGTAGGTGCTTTTTCGAGTCTGCAGGAACTAGGCGAGAGGTACCGCCATACCTCGGACGATTTGGGCATGGCGCAATGCCTCCTGTTACACGCAGTCAGATCCTCACTTTTGCTTCAAATGGTCAAGCAACAACCACATATTCTCTGGCCTGAATCGACAAATGAGTGGCTTGGCATATCTGGTGGCTTGCTAAGTCTATCGTCATGGGTTATTTCTGAGGATTTCGATACTCTGCGCGAAGCGTCTCTTGAAGTAGGCCGCTTGTTTGTGAGGCTATGCAAATTGGTGTCAGTTCGATCAAGAGCGGTCGAAGATAACACCGGCGTTTGGGGCTGGGCAGTTGTAGGTATCTCGAAAGACGATCTCCGGAAGATTCTCGGTCAGTTTCAGCAAAGTATGGGCATCCCCACCGTAAAACAAGCTCGAGTTGGTGTTACAGGTGCTGGCTGGAGTACTGTTATCGGACCTCCATCAGTTCTGGAACTGTGCATAAAGCAATGTCCTACCCTCAAAAATGCGACAAAAAATCCGCTCAACATCCACGCCCTGCAGCACACCTTGACGATAACACGGGCGGATCTCGATTACATCATTGGAGGTAACTCTCGTCTAACAGAACGTACGCTTTGCCAGTCAGGCCCCCACATCTGGGGTATGGACGATCCTGGAGCTGAGTATCAAAACTGGGGAGAGATGTTAAGAGCGGTCTGTTTACAAGTACTTTCCCTTCCATTAGATATTCCAGAAGCTGTAGCAAAGCTCAATGCTACACTCAAAGGATATGACTCAGTCCGAGTTGTTCAAATGGACAACACTAGTCACGGTCCCTTCATGGCCAATGCTCTGAAGGCATCAGGATGTAAGGTGACTATCACGGAGGCGCACGCTTACCTCCAAGAGAAAATTCAAGATTCACCACAGCCACAACTGAGCGGCCGGATAGCCATTGTGGGTATGTCCGGACGTGGCCCACGAAGCGACAATATTGATGAGTTTTGGGATGTTATCATGAATAAGCAAGATACGTGCACTGAAGTTCCCAAAGACCGCTTCGATATCGAAGAGTTCTACTGTGAAGAACATGGAAGAGGTAACAAGGGTTGCACAATGACCACTAGATATGGTTGTTTTATGGACAAACCGGGCCACTTCGACGCTCGCTTCTTCCATATTTCACCCAGAGAAGCAATGCTCATGGATCCGGGGCATCGACACTTTCTGATGAGTAGCTACGAAGCGCTAGAAATGGCCGGTTACTCCAACGGACGGACCAAGTCGACGGACCCAAATCGAATCGCTGCTTTCTATGGTCAGGTTACTGATGACTGGCATGACCAAAGCCACCCGACAATAGGCTGCGATGCGTATACTCTTCAGGGAGTTCAGCGTGCGTTTAGTTCCGGGCGGCTCGCATGGCAATTCAAGTGGGAGGGCCCAACGTATTCAATAGATTCTGCATGTGCATCTACGACCACAGCAATTCACTTGGCCTGCATGAGCTTGCTGTCCAATGATATCGACATGGCTGTCGCAGGTGCCAGTAATATCTTGAACTATCCCCATTCTTTCGCCTGTCTCAGTAAGTCAGGGGTGTTGTCAGACACTGGTAATTGTAAGCCATATCGAGATGACGCTGACGGCTACTGTCGTGCCGATTTCGTGGGCTCCATCGTGCTCAAGCGCCTTGAGGATGCAGTTGCTGAAAATGACAATATCCTGGCCGTCATAGCGTCGTCTGGAAGAAATCATTCGGGCAACTCAACATCTATCACGTCTTCGGATCCTGGTGCTCAGGAAAGGCTGTTCCGCAAAATTCTGCGGAATGCAAACGTCTCTCCGGATGATATCTCTTATGTAGAAATGCATGGCACAGGAACACCTGTGGGAGACCCAGCCGAGATGAGTGCTGTAGGCAACGTGTTCAAGCACAGGCGGCGAGCTGACGGACCACTTCCGGTCGGAGCTGTCAAAGCTAATTTCGGCCACAGCGAAGGAGCTGCCGGAATGGCTTCCCTTCTCAAATGTATCATGATGTTCAAAACGGACACAATACCTCCACAAGCCGGCATGCCGCATGCCCTCAATCCTAATTTTCCGCCGTTGTCTGAGCTGAACATTGAGATCCCTGCGGAGCCAAAGGAGTTCAAAAAAAAACCTGGCTCTGGAGAGCCAAGACGTATTCTTCTCAACAACTTCGATGCAGCTGGTGGGAATGCGTGCCTACTTCTCGAAGAGTGGGAAGATGGCCGCACCGCCGTGATGGAGGAGCAGCATGTAGCGGATCCTCGTTCTAGCTATGTTGTTGCTGTATCTTCCAGAACGCATGCGGCACATAAAGCGAACAGGCGTAACTTTCTCGAGTGGCTTCGCGCAAACACAACACTCCGGCTTGCTGATATTGCCTATACTACTACTGCTAGAAGGATGCATCACTCTATCAGGTCTGCCTACACTGCATCTACGGTACAAGAACTCGTCTCCAAACTTGAAGCTTCCATTCAAGGTCCGGACTCGGAATCATCCTCCTCGTCATCACATACCCCAATCGTGTTCGTTTTCACTGGACAGGGAGCCCACTATTCTGGCATGGGTAAAGAGCTGTATCACACCAGTCCCACATTCCGTGAGACAGTCGATCTTTGTGCACGGATTTGCGAAGAATATGGTTTCCCGACATTCATCGATATCATTACTGACGAGAAAAGTGTTGACAACCCGTCACAATCTACACTCCGAACACATCTAGCTGTTCTGACGCTGGAGATTGGTCTCGCCGCTTTCTGGAAAGCGGCTGGTATACAACCTTCCATGGTAATTGGACATTCACTAGGCGAGTATGCTGGTCTATATGTTGCCGGAGTGCTCTCGCTCGCAGATGTGCTATATCTTGTTGGCCGACGAGCGACTCTGCTTCTTGAGAGATGCGAAACAGATACATTCTCCATGCTGGCTATAGCCATGTCTGCAAAGGATGCGCAGCAACTCTTAGAATCGACCACGGACTTTTCGTCATGCAGAATATCGTGCGTCAACAGTCCAACTTCTATAGTGATTAGCGGCACAACCCATGATATCACCAAGCTTAAGTCTAGCGTAACTATAACTTCAAAGATTCTTCCTGTGCCTTATGGCTTTCACTCATTCCAGATGGACTCTGTGGTGTCTGAATATAGCACTCTCGCAGAGGGTGTGACTTTCTTTGAGCCAAAGATCCCAGTTGCTTCTACCTTGCTCGGCTCTGTCGTGGAAACGAGCGGTACATTTAGCAGCGGCTATCTAGCACAACAAACGCGCCAGCCAGTGGACTTCATTGGTGGCCTAAATGCTATCAAGGAAAGGATTGCTGACCCCGTCTGGCTTGAACTTGGGCCTAGTCAAGTCTGCACTTCCTTTGTGCGAGCAACAGTGTTTCCTTCTTCTCCTGTCGCGAGGACGATTTCGACCCTCGACGGACCGAACCGTGACTGGGTTTCAATTTCTAAGTGCATGGCGTCACTGTACACCCTTGGCATCGACATCGACTGGCTTGCACTCCATGCACCTTTCACCGGCTCCTTGAAGATGTTGACTACGCCAGCATATGCATGGGATACGAAGAATTTCTGGATTACCTATGCGGAGGCCCAATCCGTGCAAGCTGGTGCACCCCCAACAGCTAAGGGGTCGAAAGAACCAGTCATTTCAACCTTTGCGCAGGAGGTCGCTCATGAATCTTCCATGGCTTCAGGTCAAATAGAGGTAACTTTCCGTGCCTCACTTGCGGATGAGAGCTTGTGGGCAGTTATACAAGGACACCGTATGGAACAGATGGCAATTTGTCCAGGAAGCGCTTTCTGTGAGGCTGCCTTCGCTGCTGCTTCTTATGTCCTCAAGTCACGGGGCAGAAAGGAAGATGCAAGCGTTACGAGGTTGGGGCTTCGAAACCCGGCTATGCGACGGCCGTTAACCAAAAATCTCGTCGGGTCTGGTGGAGAGCTCCTTACCACAGTCACAATGAAGAACAAGGACAGCAATGATATCAACATCTCGTGGAAAGCGGCTACCTCTGGCAAGAATTCTCCAATGTTCGAGCTGGGTACGTGCTCTTTGGTGGTCTGCGAAAATATTGAGACTCTACAAACAAGTTGGGACCGAATCTCCTACCTTATCAAAGATAGAATGGACGGTATAATCAAAGCGGCAAAAGATGGGGATGGCCACCGGCTCAAGCATGACATCTTTTATTCGCTCTTTGCGCAGACTGTGCAATACGACCCCCTTTACAAGTGTATCAAGGAGGCATACGTGTCGGGCGACTTCTGTGAAGCTGTTGCTGAAGTTGTTCTTCAAGAAAACCCTGCAGGTGCCAAGTTCATGGCCTCACCATACTGGGGTGAGGGTATTATCCACCTTGCGGGCTTTACAGCCAATGCCAACCACACGAGGAGCCCTAACACATCTTTCATCAATTCCGGCTTTGAAAGCTTTGAGCAAACGGTAGAGTTTGAGGCTGGGATGTCGTATTTTACGTATGTCCGCGTCCACCGAAAAGAACAGGGAAACAGGGTTTACCAAGTATTCGTCTTCGACTCGCAAAGCAAGTTGGTAGCCCAGTGTTGCAACCTAAACTTTGTGGAAATTAGCAACAGTGTATTGCAGCACAACCTCTCTGGCGGAGCAGTCCAGTCGACTAACCAGCATAATGGCCGTAACACCAGCCATGACACTTATAATAAGGCTCCTGAGCGGGAGCAAACGGCATCACTGGCCCCTACTTCGGTAAAGGTTGAACAGCTATCCAAAGCGAACTTGATACAATCGGACGCCGCACCGGGTTTATTTGAAGTTTTAGTAGATACCATTGTTTCAGAGACGGGCATTGATGCATCTGAATTGACCGATGATACGATGGTGGCTGAACTTGGCGTTGATTCCATCATGTCGATTGAGATTGCCAACAAGATCTCCAATGCGACAGGTCAGCCCATGACACCAATGTTTTTGCAGGAATATCCTACAATCGGCGACTTGCGGCGTGCATACGAAGTCTTACCGCCGGCTACACCCGAGTCTGGGGCTGAATCAACGGAGTACGATCTGATTGAAGACATAATGTCGGAGGAGTCTACACAATTGCAGAACCAGGCCGAAGATTCGTCTGCAGTAGAGATTATTGATATGCCTACGACCAAGAAGACAGTCACGATCCAACAACAGTCGATTGTCGACGATGGTTCCACTGAGCCTACTGTCAGATTTACTTTGCTACATGGTTACGGTACTAAGCGTAGTAAAGGAAAGCAAGTTTCATCAGCCCCATTCTACTTGCTGGCCGATGGCACGGGTTCAATCGCCACGTACCTCCATCTTCCCCCGCACATCAAGACCAAGATGGCCATCTACGGAGTCGACTCCCCATATCTTCAATGTCCGAGCAGGCTTACGCCGGAAATTGGCATCCCGGGGGTTGCTAAACTCATAGTCGATGCGTTGGTCAAGAGGCAACCCAAGGGAGTTCCGTTTTGGCTCGGAGGATTTTCAGGAGGAGCCATGATTGCTTACGAAGTTTCCCGCCAGCTATCTGCTGCCGGTCATATTGTCGATAGTCTCCTCCTCATTGACATGTGTCCTCCGCGTCAAATAAAACCACAAGGGTACGATGATGAGCTTGGTTTGGCAATGTTCAATGCCATTTCCGGGAGAGATGATAGCGGTGTTTGGGATTCGTCTGACAAGACAAATCAACATTTGAGGGCGTTGTTTGCTTCTGTCGGCGCATACAATCCATCTCCTCTAGCTAATGGCGAGAATCCTCCCGCGAAACGCACAGCTCTCATTTGGGCACAAAAGGGTATGATCGACCGGTGTTCTAATAGCCCCCAGTTTAACAAGATCTTGGCGGACCATGGGGTAGTCACAACAGCTTATCCAAGGTTCATGGAAGACCCCAAGCTAGGGGCTGTTGCATGGAGTTTAATACACAAGACTGAGGCGGACCTTGGCTCAAACGGCTGGGATAAGTTCGTGGGAAACGACCGTTTGTTGTGCATGGCCGTTGAAGCGGATCACTTGGAGCTACCTACTCCTGACTTTGTGCACCTGCTTGGCGAAGCAATGGACAAAGCCTTTGAGTACTTCAAGCAGTAATCCTCTTCACGAATAGATTGTATCATTAATTTGTGGATTTGCAGATCCTCGCAGGTTTAAGAAGTGCCGTGGGTTGAGTTTACTCCTTTCAAGCATTATATATTTTCCCCGAACAGTACATGTTCTACAAGTTACATAAAACATTTAACCATCTAAAAGATTGTGCTGCCTGAAGTAAGAACACTTTAAACAAATATCGACGTGATTCTCGAACAAAGTAACCTAAAATCCATGTAGGAATTGCATGGCTTTGAGGATTCCTGTTTATCAGTCTTCAATTATCGATATGGACCTATCACTCATTACGTCAAGTTGATAACCATCAGAAGCCATGATACTATCTATAGCCCTAGCTCAAGTCGGTCACCGGCCAGTCATATCGTGCATTTCCTGGGAAAACCTGTAGGGAGAAAAATAAAGATGACGCTGTACGTCCATCACGTACGCCAGCTATTAATGTATGTCCCGGTCGCTGAATCACAGGGTAGGTTGGATTGCGATACTAGTGATTAAATAGCCCGGAAGTCCGTGGATCGGCGGATTTCCACCCACCAAACAACAACCCTACAGAATAGTCACCTAGTAATTGAGATACGTGCCTAGATAATTCAAATTGGCAAGAAAATCAAACTAGCCTATTATTTGTTTAGTATGATTTCCTAATACTTCACTCCACTAGAGATATGAAGTTGTTCATGTTTTCTTATTATAAGGAGTAGATGGATTGCTTGTAAATACACACACAGATCCATATCTCTGCATCATAGCTACCGGGATATTCAACAAGACTAGTGGATTTGCACAGGAATAGTGTATGTTCACCAGGTGTGTCTATGTGGGAAAGTACGATTGCACAGGAGTGCAGATACACTGGAGACATTAAATCTACAATTGATACCTAGTTATGCATGGAATGAATTAGCAATAAGTCCCGATAATCTCCTCGTGAAAAGCGCTGCATATTGTAAAACAGATCTATAATACCTCTATCTCAAAAATAAATGTTATAGCTCCACAGCAAAACGCTCCCTAAGCCACCCTCCGTAACGATAGAAGAAGAGTGGCACTGGAAGAAAAGCCACGCCTATAAAGCCTAGGACACTATTCCCCCACCCAAGTCCTAGGTCTGCATACAAAGACGGCCCTGCTAATGGAATGAAAGCTGCAAAAAGAAGCCGGAGAATCACGTTCGCAGCCAACGCAGAGGCGGCAGCCTCAGGGCCAAAAGCATCCACCATGTAGAGCTGAGATGGCATTGCGACCCAGAGAACGCCGAATCCAAAGAAGAAGGTGCCGATGATGGGCACGATCCAATGAGTCTGCTTCTCGGCTGCCCAGCCATACCAGAAGATGCCGATGGGCACGGCGGGCATGACCCACATCATGGGCTTTAGGCGTCCTTCAGGTTTGGGCGAATCTCCAAGTGCCTTTTGCAGCTTGTCGCTCACGGTGGCAAAGGTTCCGAGAGAGAAGGCCATTCCAATTCCAACGCCGAGATATGACAAGCCAGAAACGCCGGCGGAGAAGTGGTATTGTTCCTCAAAGACCGTGGGAAACGTGGTGAACAGCATAAAGAGGAGGCCGAAAACGAAGGCGCATAGGAGGGAAAGGAGGAGCACGATTGGCGATAGGATGAGAAGCTTCGTTGGTCGAGTAATAGCGCGGAGGAACAGCTGGCGGGGGGTCAGGCCTCGATCCATCTTCGAAACCAGAGCAGCATTGCCAGTTTCTTTCCGGAGTCTAGCAGCTTTCCATCCTAGCAGCACGGCGGCATTGGTCTCGCGGAGGAAGAAGATTGATATGGTAAATGACACCCCCGCCTAGGTAGAACCGTCAGCGACTCGAGATTAGTAGGGGATGAGCTCTACTCACTAGGATTATGATGATCCAAAAAGTCCATCGCCAGCCAATTGATTCGGACACAAAGCCACCAATTACTGGGCCAAAGACCTTGAAGGATCGTCAGTGTCATGACGGTTTGCGTGGGGTAATGTTACCTACTGGTCCCAGAAGTGGTCCCACGAAGAACAGAGACATTACCCTCCCACGCTGAGCGGGCGGGACGACGTCGGCGACGGTTCCTCCGCCAACTGTCAATGGGCCCGAAGAAGCACACCCGGCAAGGAATCGAAAAACGAGAAACATGCCGGTGTTTTGGCCAAGCGCACATCCGATGATGAAGCCAATGTAAATGACATTGCAGGTGTGGTAGATCACAAGGCGTCCGTACAGTTCGGATAGCGGTGCAATGACCATTGGCCCAACGGCGAAGCCGGCAAGGTAAATGGACACGGTGAGACTGGTAATGGTGGAACTCGTGATATGGAACTCCTTAGCAAGCGCGGCAGCTCCAGGTGCAAACATTGTCGCGGCGAGGTTGCTGTATTTGTATGAGTCAGTACGGGATTTGCTTCGCCCAAGGAGCGCAGGAACTGCCTTACGCAGTGAGCAAGAAAGTGGTGGCGAGGAGGACTTGGGTCATGCGTTTCCATGCTGGCCAGTTCCGCGGATTTTGGGGATCGTCTGGCCCATCCCAGTCGACGACATTGTCCTTTGTCTCTTGTTCAATTGCTGTTTGGTCAGGCTCGCTAGATTGTTGGTCATGATGGCCGTCTTCCGACATGGCCGGCTTCTCATGGGCGGATTCCAAGTCGGCCGCCATGATCTGCTGTCCAGGGTGGTGTGACTGTGGGATATTGGCGCGTGTTTGTTGACTGGTGCCAGGTTTTGCTTGCTATATATTTAAAGGCAAGGTACGCGGCCGGACAACGCCCGCATGGAGAAGGCCGCGCAGAGGAGTCATAGCTATAGTTCTTTAGGCAAGGGCTAATTGCGCCAGTGACTGAATCTGCAAAATGGTCCGTAAATGCGGAGCTAAACTGGAGATTTGCTTAATAGAAGGGGAGCTTGGAGAGCGAGCGGACGTGGAGGTTCGAACGGAGGAGCAGCCATCGTGGGCGGCGCACGGACGATCGACGCGGAAGGTTGACGCGGACGGTCGGACGGTCGAACTGTCATTGCTTTCTCCATGGCCTCTCGGTTTGCGCCGCCAGACAGCTTCTTTCTCTTCTTGAAGTGGCTGTAAAGCTGTTTGAGAGCGGACCAGGGGACAATTCCGCTTTGGGCATACCCAGATTGCCGCGTACGAGGTTGAGCTCCGCGAACGCCTCAATCCAGTCACACCATGTCCGACAATGCTCAACGTCCGCGTCCGCCGCCAAATCGACGCAGAGACAAAGTCCAACTTTCCTGCGACCCTTGCAGACACCGAAAGTACGTGCTCAATAGCCATCACAAAGTCGTGCACAGTTAACTTTGCCAGGCTGAGGTGCGACCGACAGCACCCATGCGGAGCTTGCTCAAGGCGTGGCCTCACCAACTCCTGCAATTATGCGACGACATCTTTTTCTACGCCCGATGCTCAGCGGTCCGTTGCTCCGCGACAGTCCACCAGCCTCCATGGCAGAATATCTGAACTGGAGAGCCTTGTCGTGACGCTCATGGAAGGCCAATCACTCCCAACCCCGCCTGCACCGAAATCGCCGAGAACAAGCTCGCAGTCACCCGCAGATGTGTTCCCTGAGATCCGGACACCAAAGAAACCCCAGGATGAAGCTGCATCCCCGGCAGACCCTGGCACCCTCAAGTTGCGCGAGTCTGGAACCAGCTATATCCAGAGTGCCCATTGGGAGGCCATTCTTACTAAAATCAGAGGACTGAAGGAGGACTTGGTCACTGATAGCAAAGCTCCGCCCGGTTCACACTTGTTCTATGGCCCGAACCGTCATGCAACTCGAGATGAAATACTGGTTGCTATTCCTCCTCGTCCAGTTGTTGACCGCCTCATGGCCCTTCACTTCGATTCCTACATTATCACTCCGTGTCAGTACATCCAAGCTTTCTTTCCGCTTTCAGAGGCATTGACTGCGTGCTGTAGATCTCATTCATGGCAAGAAGTTTCTCCGAGAAGTGGGTTCTTTCTAACCTGGCCGATTACAAGCAGTCTGACATTTGACCAGTACGAAACCTTCTGGAAAGATCCGTCTGCAACTTCTATCGCTTGGATCGGCCTCATGTTCTCCATGTTATATATTGCTGCGCAGTTGCAGACCTTCTCCATTGACTTCACCGACGGACGGGCCGAATCGCTCAAGGCAGAATCTCTTACCATGAAGGATGCCTTCCGGGAGAAGGCCGTTCAGTGTCTTATTCTGGCCAGGTATACGATGGGAGGACCATATATCCTGGAAACCCTCATAATGGTCCTTACTGGAGAGTTTATACTCTTGAAAGATAATGGTACCGATGGCTGGCTTTTGATCAGTATGATACTTCATCTTGCAATGCGCATGGGCTATCACCGGGACCCAGATCACTTTCCCGGAATATCCCCATTCGAGGGTGAGATGCGTAGACGCATCTGGACTACAATCCTTCAATTAGACCTCGTTCTCTCCTTGGAGATGGGCCTTCCTCGAAGTGCCACAGATACGCACATCGATACAAAACAGCCCCGTAATCTGCGGGACTGTGATTTTGAAGAGGACACGACTGAGATGCCTCCGCCGAGGCCAGAAACAGAATGGACGCCGGTGCTCCCTCTCATTGCAAGAGCGCGACTGATATCAGCTCTCGGCTTGATTTGCGACATCAACGCCGATATTAATCCCCCTTCCCACGACGAGGTCATCAAGGTCGATGTAATTCTTAAGGACGTGCACAATCGTGCTATTCCGCCCGTGCTGCGCTGGGGAACTACGCCACACCCCATCACGGATAGTCCAATCCTTGTGATACAGCGGGTAAGTGTAGAAACGACCTACCACAAATCACGCATCCTCCTGTACCGGAGAGCTTTGATCAGCTACCCAGTTCGACAGTCTCAAGAGCGGGACAGGGAGTCGGTGCGAATTTGTTTAGATTCCGCACTCAAGATTCTATCGTTTCAACAGATGCTTCACGAAGAGTCTCAGCCATTTGGTCGTTTGTCTCAGCTTAGATGGAAGGTCACCAATATTTTCAACCAGGATGTTCTCCTCGCAACGAGCGTGCTCTGTCTCTACCTTCAAGATGTCGATAAATTTGAATTGCCTGAGACTGCAGGACAGACAACGTGGTCGCCTAGGGCTGAAGAGATTCGACAACGACTGACGATCTCGCACAAGATTTGGCTTCAAATGAGTACGGCATGGGCGGAAGCTGGAAAAGTAGCGAAAGCTCTGAGCATCGTCCTTGGAAACACAGAAGCGTCTGCCGAGGACGGTAGCGGGCCCGCTTTTTACGACTTTCTGACGGATGTTGATGCCATACCTCTGAATGGATTTGGCGCAACGTTCAACAATCAATGTGAGAAGCACGCTCGGTCATACCGATTGCGACTAACAAAAAGACCTATCAGATTTTCCTTCTGGCCTCTACTCTCCTCTCACATTTTTTGATAATGTACTGGAAACTGGAGGGACGTGATTATTTTGCTGGGGCTGAAGCAAGTAAATCAGGCCCTTCGAATGGCCCAAATGGCGAGCAGTTTTTTCAGTTCAGCTCGCCAGTTCGTTAACTTATATTCGCAGTGCTGCCGTGGTCAATTTGCGCATCGCCGCACACCCCCTTGAGGTTGGAAGTAAAAGTGGTTCGATTGTGATAAAGAGAGAGATGTGTAAAAATTAAAAAACTGAAGGAAGTTTTGAATCTGCCTGTACTTACAGTTTCAAACGTTTAGTAAACTAGGATGTCTTTAGGATCCAGTCTATAATTTTACTCACTGTTAAACCGAATTATAAGTAGGGTTATTTGTGTTCGAAATTTAATTATTCGCTTCAAACTGATGAACGGTTGACTATTTATTTAGTGACAAACAGCAGCGGTTAGACCGTAACAATTCAGCCGTGTCGGCAACCTTGGAAAAGAGATCGTCCTGGATCACAGGGGACTGGAAGCAATGATAGGTCTATTGTAGATTACGAAGTATGTATTAATTCCTTGGTGTACTATAGTTTAAAGTGGGATTTTTGTATAACTTTTTGACTAATTCCAGAGATCTGTCATGCGCAAGATCTTCCCCGCATTCGTAGAAAACTATTGTATAGATAGACGAAATGTCACAGCGCGTATATCCAAGCCAATGCGACGGCGCGCCTTCAAAATTGAAGCTCCAAGATCTTGAAGACAAGCTTCTCTCGTCACGAAAAGTCATGGGCCATTACTGTAGATTCAACAATGCGTAATAGGGTGTGGAGATTAACTAACTCCGGCTTGCTTATGTATTTACCCCGCATTTCTCCATTACCCCATCTGATCCCTTGGATGAACGATGGCGATAGGCTGCTCATCTCGATAATTCGACTGCCGATCAACAACAGCTCTTTGTAATTCGTTGGAAGCAAGCTCTAACTATTATATCACGTCCAATTATTGCATTTATACCTCACTCATGCAGCAACGAATGGCTTAATGCCCCCGTGGAAATCGGAAAGACCCCTCGCAGAAATGGAGTATAAAGTCATCACACGCACTCTTGTGCTTTTTTCCCCATTTGCTTCGAGACACAATTGAAAGCTTCAACCTAGTAGAGCTTTGTTTGTTTCTTCTTTTCCTCACTTTATACGTCTTGTCATTAGATCATCGTTTGCCAATACTTCAATGGACCAAATCCGTACCTCGGACCACGAAAACAACAACCCGTTTTCCAAATAAGAACAACCCTTTCCTCCCACAATGACGGCTATCACTTGTAATACGGCCCTTTGGCGCATGTAAAAACTGTGCAGACCATCGTCCCTCCGTTTGCCGGAGAATTGCAACCGGGCCTGTATCGACCACCAACAGACTGTAAGATCGCTAACCCGGTGCCGCTCGGCCTCGAGGCTTTCGCCCTGTCGAATTTTGTAGCTGGATTGATGAATCTCCAAGCTCGCGGGATCACGGAGCCTAATCTCGTCATTGGGGCTGCCTTTGCATACGGCGATCTTGTCCATCTATGCGCTGGGATGTGGTGTGTAACCCATTTACAATGTACCCATCCCGTGAATAGCAATTCTCCTATCTAATATCGAATTTTCAGGGATATGGCGGCTAGAAATACATTTGGCGCCACTACTCTATCCTCTTATGGGGGATTTTGGATCGCCTTTGCCTTTATTTTCACGCCAAGTGGATTCGGAATCTAGTCTTAGCTGGTGGAAGCTGATAACGGGTCGATGAATATGTACTATAACTTAGTTGGGTTATTTTTCATGGTAATGACTATCTTACCTAGTATGGAAATTTGTGCGTGTGTGCGTGTGTGTGTAGTACTAAACTTCAAGCAGGGCTGGCTCATGAATATTCACATTCCTCCTCGCGCTATGCACCGTCAAATCCACCGCCGTATTATTCAGCCTCTTTGTGGCCGTAGGTTTCGCCTTCTAGCTGATTGGCATTGGCTATCTCAGCCGTGATGCCATGAATGCGCCTAATACTCCCGTACTCAAAACGGCAGGTGTGTTTCAACTCATTGCCATGTTTCCGGCGTGGTAGGTGATACTGGCTGGTAGTATGGATTGCTCGAATAGTTTCTTCGTGGTTCCGGTTTTCTATTTCCCTTAGTTGGACAAGGGGAGAGCTTCGCGGAAATAGGAGAGCAATTATTAAGACTTGAGAGTAGATCTCGCGGCAGAAGTTGGGAAAGAAAGTAAGGTAGACTAGCTGATGCTTGGAGGCAATTTTCCACTTAAAGGGGGAGGAAATATCAATGTTATGTGGACGGCCCAGGGAACAGATCATCTTCAGATCTACGAAAACGCCACGGTTATTTATTAGCCCGCGATGAACCACAGGATGATAGATAGAAAAACCAATGGTTAGGCAGTCGGAAAGTATTGAGCTATCTTGTATCCCATGCATTGTCATATTTTAACTATCCAGGAGCCGAACACCAAGTCAAGCTATAGAAGTGAAGCGTACGGACCTTCTTGTGAACTCGGCGGAAATGAACACTTAACTAGTAGCGTGTATATTGAAGATACCATGATACGACTAAATATAAAATGACTGATGCAAAACAAAAAAACCAACGACTTTGAAAGTTCAAGGGCGTATCGGCGTGTCGGCACTAGAAAATTAACGAAGGGGTAAAGTTCCTCCGAACTGTTGGTACGGAGTAGTAACTAATAGACCATCGGCAAACGGCTAAAGTTCTGCCGATCAGAAATGTTCTATAGTCAAGCAGCACTTCAGGTAATTTTCCTTGCATTGTCCAACTCTTAGAGAAAGTTAGGGGTTCAGTCATTTCGGAGTAGATTGAAGCAAAATCTTTAGGGTTATCGGGATGTCGGTCACCATAATGCCGAGGAACAAGCATATAAAATTGGCAATATTTCAACATTTCAACACAAAGTTGCACGCAGAACCATTTGATCCCTTCAAAATATTTTATATAATTATTTCAGATTGTTCTTTTAAATACTTAAAAATGGCTTTTAATTGGATTCTTGGAGAGAAATTTGATTACGAGCATCCTCATCACGGATCGATGAAAGACCTATGGGAGAAAAAATGGGGGCCTTTGGTATGTGCCTTACGGAAGATTAATTTGTACGTATCTAATGTACAATTTTAGAGTGAAAAGTCCGTGTGGCCATTTACTGGTGGTAATCACGATGATTTTCAAAGAGTCTTTGATGAGTTAATCAAAGTAAAGTTGCCAACACGAAGGCCATTGGAATGACATGTAGCGCTGACCACTTGATTTAGAAAGAGGTTAATGATCCTACAAGTGACGACTACACAAAAGCTTTTACTCCTGTTGTCAAAGATTTGCTCCAGCAGGCAGAAAATGCAGAGGAACAACAGGCAGTACAGCTTTACTCGCGAGCTTCTGCTCTCCTGAGAATAAGTCGCTTTCCACATGTCGGACCTAATTCTTTAGGAGTGAAAAAGCAAGCTCTAGACCTTCAAAACCAGATATTTTTGAAAGGAGCTGCACTGATGGACCCTCCGATACGCGAAGTGAAAATTCCTCATATTCGTAGGAGTGGCAAGGATGGCGATGCTATTCCTGTCCTTCTGCGTTTGACAAAGAAAGGAAATGCGGATGAGCTCACACCTCTTGTCATTATTTTCACCGGTCTTGACGGCTACCGGGCTGATAATGCTTATCAGAGTGATGCTCTAGTGGAGTTTGGATGGTCGACCATCTTGTGCGAAATCCCGGGTACTGGAGATTGCCCTGCTGAACCCATTGATCCTCAGTCACCTGACCGGATCTGGACAAGCCTGCTAGAATGGATAGAAAAGGAAAATAAGAATATGCGCTTCGATCTTCGTCGTATTGCGGTCTGGGGTCTTAGTGCAGGAGGGTACTACGCTGCCCGAATCGCACATACGCACCATGAAAGACTGCTCGGGGCCGTGGCACAAGGTGCAGGGACGCACCACTTCTTAAGAAGAGACTGGCTTGAGAAGGCTAGTGGCCATGAGTATCCTTTCGAGTAAGTCACTCATTACCTTTGAATATTATCAATTGATATAGTCACATGTCTTATGTGAGTAGTGTTGTGCCGCCGTTTGCCGCGAAATGTGGATTTGATAATGCCGAAGACTTTCTCACTCGAGGCATGGATTTGTTTTCATTGGTTAAGAATGGAATAACTGATATGCCGTCTTGCAAGCTTCTCATGCTCAATGTAAGTCCCCATATCTGGTTGAAGCATTTTTGATCGGACTTTTTAACAGACATCGAAGGGTGTTGATGATGGACTTGTTCCCATTGAAGATTCAATTGAGATGCTCAAACATGGGTCTCCTAAAGAAGCTCGGTAAGCTTTTCTAAATAATAAGCTAGTTATTTCGGATACTAACATCTCAAAAACCAGCTTTTTCCCGGGGTATGCCCATATGGGAGGACCTGAATCATTTCCCACAATTCATGCATGGCTAAAGAACCTTCTTAGATAAATCATTCACACGATTTATGATGGGACTGGATTCAAATACATGTTCTTGTATTTCATATTTTGGAATCCTGATAGCCATGTATATTCGCTGTGTGAGTTAGCCATGGTACATATGTGAGGCTAGGGTTAGATAGAGAAATAATACTACAATTAATTGAGCAAGCTTAGCTAGTGTGAACAAGCGTCTTCCTAGATATCTCGATATTTCTGTACTGAACATCCTAACAATGTATATATAGTCTACCTCTGAAGGTCATAGTGCCGTTGACCATTTGTCGTGGCGAATCGTACTTCTTCCAGCAACCAACATACTAAGTGTACCCAGCGTCGAGGCACCCTGTGTCTCAAAAACAGCAATGTCGGCGTCAAACTCCTTAACAATCCAGTTCCGCAGCTCAATTGCCAGCAGCGAGTCAACTCCAAACATCTGCAGCGGCTTGTCATAATTAATTGATGCGCCGTCCCGCAGCGCAGCAATGGATTTGGCCAGCTTCTGAATCGTCGCCTGGGCAACGATCCCTGCCGCTTCGTCCTTCGACATGGATGCAGCAAATCGTTCACGCTCCTTAACTTTATCGCCGGTACGCAGGCCATCTGTCCCTGCGGCAGCGCGCCGTTCACCCGCCAATATGATCGGCTGCAACATTGGTTGTCGATTGTGGTCAACGCTCTCCAACCCGCCGGCACCGTCACCCAATCCAAGTCCGACCACCACTTGAGCTTCCTGAGGCGACATAAGGGCCAGTTTCGGATTGCAGTAGTAGTCTAAGATACTGTAGAACTTTTGCCGCGTAACAGGCTCTATGATGTCATAAGCAAGAACACGGTTTAGGAGCTCCGGACGTTCAGCCAGAATGCCGTCGTCCACCATTGCGCCTAGGTCAAGAGATATGGCCTTCTCGCCGAGGGACACGCGGTATCGGGCGAGTGCATCTTCGTACGTATTTCCAGCGTCGTAGCTGGTCTGCCCTTTAATTCCGACTAACCCAGACGTAGACGCGAGGAGGATGAAAAAATCCATTCCTTTAGGCAGGACAGCATGGAGGTTCCACGAGCCGACAACCTTGACGTCTACAGCAGCTTTCCAATCATCATAGTCTAAGTCTCTAAAGAGCCAGTCCTATTATGATTTATCAGTGAGTCCGCTGAATGAATGAAATGTAACAAAACGTAATGCAATGGAGGTTGTACTGACCCTGGCTATGACTGACATCTGCAAAACACCTTTGATGGGGGGCATATCTGCGGACAGCCTACCGAAGATCTGCTTCATGGTGTCTAAATCTGTAATGTCGCATGCCGGTGTCTCGACTCTCACTCCGATGGATTGCAGATTTTTGATAAGTTCTCTAGCGGAATCGGTCCGAGGACCGAACCGTGAGAGGAGGATAATGTTTCTTGCTCCCCGTTCAGCCATCCACCGAGCTGTTGCACGTCCGAGTCCGCCCAATCCACCTGCAATTACGAACGTTGAGTCGGGATCCATTTGGAAACTCGGTTTTGTGTTAAGCGTAACCTGAAAAAAGGTCTGATTAATGTAATATAAACCTTGGGGAAGACACATGATCTCTTACCTGCACTTGAGATTCAGGAGTCACCTCCAGTACAAACTTGCCTATCTGGTTACCTTCCTGAACCACTCGGAAGACACTGTCAATCTCTGAGATATCGTGAACGCGTAATGGCAAAGCAGTATGAAATTTATGCTGGACAAACATATCTACCAGCTCTTGTAGATCGTGATACGCCGTTTCAGGACGATCCTTCACCCACTGAGAATATTCAAAAGCAATGAACGAAGCATTCTTGTCGAATGTAAACATGGGAAGTTTAGAATTTGTCGTGATGTCCTTCTTTCCAATCTCAATAAAACGGCCGTACGGCGCAATGCACTCCCAAGAGGCAATGAGGCCTTCTCCGACCAACAAGTTTATAATTACATCCATGCCGCGTCCGTTGGTAATGCGTTTGATGCCTTGCGCAAAGCTGGTATCACGGCTATAGAAGATATGATCCTCAGGGATCTTATACACATCCATAAGGAAATCTTTCTTCCTCTTTGATCCTACGGTCGCGAAGACTGTTGCGCCTAGAGCCTGCGAGATCTGAATCGCTGCTTGCCCTGTGCCACCGGAGGCAGCATGTATCAAAATAGTCTCTCCTTTTTCTAGCTTCGCAAGTTGGTGAATAACTCTCCACGCTGTACCGAACTGCGTCGGAATTGCGGCTGCGGTGGTGAACGCCATATGTGGAATTTTGACGGCTACTTTACCTCGAGCGAACGTTCTAAACATCTCGGACCCAGCGAGCATGACCCGATCGCCGGGCTGAAATAGCGTATTGGCGCCTGCTTTGGTGACTACACCCGCGCAATCCGGGCCCATTCTCGCCGTGGAGAGTTTGCCTAGTGCAATTAAACAGTCTTTGTAGTTCATGCCAATTGCATGGGTGCGGATTTCGACCTCATCCGCGGCCAGTGGTTCATAAGCAGCCATATCTTCCACGAAATGAAGTGTGTCAAGAATGCCGACAGATTTCATGCCCAATAAGATGGGTGGGCAATCTTTTACTGCATTCTGGCGTGAGCTCTGTGCGCCTGATCTACTATTTAATTCATGGGTGATGGTCGGGGCCGGGACGATACGCGGGATATGTATAGCCTGTCCAATTTCCAGGTACTCAACGTCAACTATGTTGGAGTTGCGATGGACGTGTTTCGCATATAGAATCTGGGTGAGGCTGGCCATCTGCCTTTCAGACAGGTCGTCTGTGGTCTCAATGCTGAGCACAGTTACATTGAGATCTGGGTATTCGTTCCGAAGCACACGAGTTAGACCATGAATTATGTTATAGTCTGGATTACCGGCCTCCGAACCTCCAGAAAATGTAAGCCACTGCATATCAGAAGCAGTCTGGAAGAGTTTTTTCAGCGGTCCATAAGCGGACCTTGTGATGCTATGCATAAAACTGTAGTCCAGCTCCAACAGAACCACAAAAATTATGTTGTCCGTCTGTTCGATGGCGGCCGCATTTTCCAAGGATCCAGATCGGACATTGTTTATTCCTTCCGTGCGCCAGTAGCTAGCCAGGGCATCGGATACACGCCTCTGCACAGTTGACATCGCATCTAGCATTACAAATACCTCCTTGTCTGTATGTCGTATTGAGGGACCCGAAGACATGGTCGTGTGGGTATGCACAATGTGTCGCGCAGTATCAGTCGGTTTGGAAGCAGGTAATTCCAGCCCAGGATAAGCGAACCCATATTTTACCAGGGTGGTTTCAACTGCCGGACTCTTTTGTATAGCATTTTCGTTCAGAGGGGCATTGGGTTCCGATAGGAACAGCTTTCCCCCGGAAGTTAGCATTTTACTAATGTTTCGTAACATTATTTCATCCTCCCGGACGCTATATGAAGCCAGGATAATATCGTAGACTTCCCCCTTATTCATGGTCATATCCAGGGATGTAAACTTGATGTATGAGTAGTTTTGAAGCTCTTTTTTTCCAAGCTCGAGTACGTCACTAGAGGTGGAGCTGAAACAGAACGAGTTATATCTGGGGTTGATGAATCTACTAAAGTCATCTACCACTGTTAGGACTTGCAAGATATTTTTCGTCAACGTTCGGTCACCAGTATCAATCTCCAGAATACGGAGACCCCCGTTCTTGTGCGCAAGCATGTCGACATACCGTTCCAGCGGCGATTCACTATCACTAACATCTTGGCAGTAAGCCAGGGTAGCCTCAGGACTAAGTAGGTCTGGCTCAGGCTGATACTTAACAAAGTGGGATAGTTGTTGATCTTGGAGGCTTTCGCTGACTGAGTCGCCCTGGTGGTCCGCAATTGCCGTCGCCTGTAAATCTTCGAACTGTACCAATAGAGCATCATTTTTAGGGCTCAAGCTAAACCCGCAGAATTCGACACTGCGTGCATGCCTTGCGCTTATGTAGGCGTATTCCTGAAGCTCTTCTGTGTCTGGGAAACTAAGGCCGGTCTTGCTAACAAATAAGCGCCGCAGATACGTCGGGATCATTGTCGGTGAAGCCACCTTTCCTCCTCCCGAGCAAATACCAATCCCCAAGTGAAAAATAGCATCTAAGCTCGCTGGGTGTATAACATGTGTCTCTGGGAACTCATTCTGTGGCCACTGGAACAATTTCAATTTTGCTCGGACTTGTTGACTATTGAACGATCCCTGAATGACTCGGTGGAAAGAAGGACCGAGTTCTAAGCCACTCTCATTCAAGGCGGAGTAGAATTCTTGCGGGTTGAGTGGTGTCTGACATGATTTTCCTATTGAAAGTGCAAGTTCACGGCACGTGTTTACCTCATCAAGCGCTACTCTTCCACTGTCAACATCATTCTTATTCAGTTCGTATTTGGCACGAATAACCCCATGACAGCACTCCTGCCAGTCACTATTTTCATATGAGAACAGTCTGAATTCGGCTCCTCGACTGAGAGGCTTTGGAGAGTCTTGAGCTAAGTGAATAACTAGCTGGGTTTCAACGCCAGCCGAATCTCGAGGGATTTTAAGTGGTTTCGCGAATATAACTTCGCTGATTTCGAATCCAGTCACACCCTCGCTGGCTTTTGTCATCTGATTGGCAGCCTCGATGGCCATGACGAGCATTCCAGCTCCTGGATAAATCAACATGCCATTAACGGAATGGTCCTCCATCCAAGACATCTCGGAAATTCTTAGGTAATTTCGCCACTTGGCTTCGAATCTGTTCCAGTCCGGGACGGGTTTTCCAAGCAGGTCCAGTTTCCCCTGATCTCCGAGTCGATACTGCGAGCTTAGTCGCGATTCATCCCAATATTTCTGAGAATGGTCAAAGACATATTCTGGCAGACAAGGTAACACCATATATTTGTCGCTAGGGACTAGTCCTAGGTTGTTCACTTTCTCCATGTCTATCGGATAGCCGAGGCATTTGATATAGCCTAACGCATTGAACGTCGAAGTCGTCGCAGCATTCTTCCGCATCAAGAGAGACGTGTATCCGATCTTTGAACTGCGCAGTGCAAGCAATGTATCATTTATTGGGCCCTGCAATGCTGAATGAGGTCCCACTTCTACCAGCGCATCAATTTGAAAGTAGTTGCGGTGACTACTATTAAGCTTCTTGCGCATACGCCGTGATAATTTCGATATGAGGGTGTCCAGCGCATTAACAAACTGTACGGGGGAGACCATGTTTGACACCCAGTATTCGGGATCAATAAGGTCATCCTTCGTAACTCGCTGCCCTGTGACGGAAGAGCACATGGCCACCGGGTTGATGGGTGCAGTACCAGCCTTGAGACCTTGGATCGCTCGCCTGTAATCGTCTGTTACACGAAACATATGCGACGAATGATAAGCAACTCTCACAAGGAGCTTCCGTGAAAATACTATTTCAGCGTCCAAGACAGATTTTAATGCATCAATTTGATCCGCATCCCCAGATATAGTCACGTTTCTAGGGCTATTTATGCATGCTACAGTCAAGCCAGAGACACCAAATTGAGCTGTTATTGCTCTCAAATATGGTTGGACGTCATCTTCCGATAGGCTAACTGACATCATTGCTCCTCTGGGTGCGAATGGATCCGATGCCAGACGGCCAGATACTTCACCCCTGTAATAAGCGAGCTTCAGAGCAGCTTCGACCGTCAAGGCCCCGGTGCTATAAGCGGCTGCGATTTCCCCCGAAGAATGCCCTATCACCGCTGTTGGAAAAATGCCAAATGTAGCCATGAGATCTAAAAGGGCAATCTGAAGAGCAGTACAGCTTGGTTGAGCCAGCTCAGTTTCGTTGATGCGCGAACCTGTTTGCCGCATAATTTCTTCACGAAGATGCCATGAACAACCGAGCCCTAATAATATATGTTCTGATCGCCGCAGGCTTTCCTCAAATGTAGGGAATGCCATTAGCTCACGACCCATCCCCGCCCATTGAGCACCTTGGCCAGTGAATATAAATCCCAACCCTGGATTGTTCGATGACTTCGTCGCAGGACACATGATCTTATCAAGATGTGGGAGGTCAAGCACGGAGTTCACCACGGCGAAAGACTTCCAGGCCAAGGAACTTCGCCTAAATGCAAGTGTATATGCCAGATGGTCAAGATATCTGGGTTCTAGTGTATCTGCAGCTTTAGAGAAATAATCCGCATATGCTTTTGCCTGTCTTTGGATTCCTGCCTCATCATTTGTGGAAAACACAAGCAGCCTTGGTGTGCCTGTCTCGTAGCCAGCATCCTTCGAGATGGGGCGTTGAGGCGAAGAAGAAAGCCTGACTAGGGTAGGCTCGCAGACAGCCTTAGTTGGTGGGTCTCGGACGGTGAGGTGCTGCGCAGAAAGACCACGTTCTTCTAAAAAGTGATAGACATCGTCAAGGACCACGTGCTATGACCCAAATCAGCATGTTTATCACACTTTATAGAGATAGAACCTAGATGCTTACGGAGTTGGTTCCGGCATTTCCGAACGAATTCACAGATGCCCGCCGAAGACCCTTGGTAGGCCATGGCAAGCTTTCCAGGGGGAACTGTATGACATTCAGCATCTCCAAATCAACTCTAGAAGGTAGTTGCGCCAAACCTGAATTCTCAGAAACTCCGCATCAATTTTTGGATTAATTTTTTCGAAATTGGTGTTGGGTGGAATAATGGCCTTTTCCAAAACTAATATGGCTTTGATAATGCCGGCGACGCCGCTCGCACCTTCTAGGTGACCGATATTGCTTTTGATAGCACCAATCCACAGAGGGTCGTCAGTCGTGCGAACCTGCCGAAAAGCAGCTCCCAAGGCTTTCGACTCAATCGGATCACCCACAGACGTTCCGGTGCCATGGGCTTCAAAAAATCGCGTAGGCTTCATACTGAGGCCGGCTTTCTTATACGTGTCTCGTATCAGCTTCGCCTGCAAATCAGTATTAGGTAAGGTAAGGCTTGGTGTGTGTCCATCTTGATTGCATCCTGTGCTACGAATGATACCCCGAATTGTGTCGTTATCTCGAATCGCATCTGCCACCCGCTTGAGGACGAGAACACCGAATCCTTCTCCTCTGCTGTATCCGTTCCCTCGGTGGTCGAAACTGTAACATTGCCCATCTGGGGAGAGCATATTCATATTGGATAAGGCGTGCATGGCATCCGGTGAGGTGATGACATTGCATCCTGCTACAATGCTCTATTTGGTATCAGCAAAACAAACGTATTGTGTTGTATAAACCATCGTGGTGTGTACCATGTCTTCTTCACCGGTTCGCAGGTCCTGACAGCCCATGTGCAGACATACCAAACTGCTAGAGCAAGCTGTATCGATATTTGCGCTGTTTCCAATGAAGTCGAAGAACCAGCTGACTCGATTGGCATTGGCGGATGCTTGTATACCCAGTGCAGTTGTTGTTTGGGCCTGCTCTCCATCTTTGTATTGTAAATGTAGCCAATCTGTAGAAAAGGTACCTGAATATACAGATGTCTTGGTCCCGCGGACTTTCTCCATTGGTAAGCCAGCTACGTATCGTATTAGCGGACGGACAAACGGAAGTTTGCACTGAATTAGTCACCATTCTCAAGAGCTTTATAAGTATATTCAAGAAGTAGTCGTTGCTGTGGATCCATGCTCGCAGCATCTGTCGTCGAAGTGGCAAAAAAAGACGCATCGAAGCCAGCGAGATCTTCGAGAAGAAAGTGACTACGATTTACTGGAAACTAAACGGCAAGTTAGCGCGGCAGACGGTATTGATGTCAATGGAGTCCGAAGGCTTACTTGGCCACGTCTGTGTACGTCTGGATGGTAAAAGGACTTAATATTCATCCTATCCTTCGGTATCGCTGTCGCGGTATTCCTTTTCTTCATCATCAACTCCCATAGTGCGTCCGATGTCGTAGCTTCCTGCGGAAACGCCATTGAGAAACCAATTACAGCGATGGCCTGGAGAGGATCCTTATGGTCTTGAGATCCTGAGTCATGAGAAGCATCTATCCATAAAGAATTTCCGTTTGCGGAAGGACTTTCTATTTTGTGGGGAGCCATAGCTAGGGAAGATGGGGATTTCAGGTGGCAGGATTTTTGACCAAGAGCAACTGATCGATGGTAGAGGGGGTAGACATTGATTGAGTTCTCTTATAGCTTTGAATTTACACTACTTATTGAAGGGCACAGGCGTATGGCAGAGTAGGAGAGAGACTGCTGGTGTTCGATGAGCGCTTAATTTGTCTTGGCGCCATAACAGCGTTTCGACATTTGCTGACCGCCATGTATCTTGGTTTCACTGAAGATCAGATCTGCTTTCCATGACTAGCACTTTCAGGTCAATAGACTCATAGAGCTCTTAGCAATGGCCCCCACTGGATAACCAGTTGGAAAGTGTCCCGTATTAGTTAGTGTAGACTTATTACTATCTGGCGGCACTGCAAAGTGCGTAGTGGTTGATCTATAGATAGATACATATACTCCGTACGGCATAGTTGTGCTACTAGGTGCATTCTGTATCGTGAATATTTCGTCAGCTTTATATCTTCCCCTCTTTCCTAATATGAATAACTGGTCCTTCAAATAGCGCCCTAGAGCAGTCCCAACCACCCAATCGACAGCCCTAGTTCTTATTGAAACCAATAATTGGCTCTCGTGAAGCATAAAAACTCCTAAAAGGTGGCTATCGCGAGAAGACCCGCAGATGGTTCACGAGCCGACGACAAGGAGCGTGTGGCGTACATGAGATAACAAAGATGCACATGACGAGAGTAACAACAGCATATATGTATCGCTATATTTATGTCTGCGTGCTAACCGTTAGGGCCCAAAACGCGAACCCACCGCCTGCTTCTATCCCGGCTAGTAACCCTAAGTAGTTACCCCAGTGATCCAATTTTGATAACACATTATGTGGATACTCTCATTCGGCGACTATCCTGGATATCGTCTAAATTAATGAGGTACAGTAGTCATAAAAAGAATGTTTAGTGCATAAGAGACCCCACTTCGCGCTATAGCTCACCATGCTTAGACATCTGGCGAAGCCCCCACGACAGGTTTGCGCCAATCCGCAAGCCATTTATCTAGCCTTCTGCACGGCACTAATGCAGGTTGACAAGGAAAGTAATAATTATTGATTCGGCGGAAATGGAATTTTCCGAAGTCATATCAGATAGGTTGGCGGCCTGACGCTAACATAGCGCAAAATAACCGAAAGTCAAACAACACTTACATGCGGGTGTAAGAATTACGTTAACTGTACATGCGACGAGCTCCCTGCTGGTTTTATTTTGTAGGGCGCTCTAACTAATACGGGAAGTTCTCGTTCAAGGTCGCTTTTTGGGGGCCGTTGCTAAAAGACTCTATTACAGTGCTAACCCGATACTAACGGTTCTAATTCCATTGCAGACATCCATCAGTGTCCAGACATCTCGGCTCTTTCAATCGTTCTCCTAATAACCCGTACACTAGCCATCAATTCTTCCTGAGCTCTTACCCCTGGCACTGCATGCCCCTCATCATGGAGCAGGAGAAGCCGTAACCTCGGATCACACAATCCATACAGCATTTCGCTACAATTCGCCCAAAGCGTATCGTTACGGCCCCAAATATGTGCTGTTGGCAATCCAGCCAGCATCTGATCTCCATCTACCCGAGGGTCTAAGAAACGTGCATCTCCACTGTCCAAAGCTCGTGGGTCTGTAGGGTTGATGGAGCTGAGGAATATGGCACATTTGAATGGTAAAGGAGTCTTTGGGTATAATATGGCCTGTTGGATCAGAAAAGTGGATGCGAGACAGCCACCCTGCGAAAATGCAATGAGACCGTCGTATGGGCCATTAATTTCAATAAACTCCGACAGGTCATCCAGCGCCTGTTTAACACTCTCCACGGAATTAGGAGAGAAGTAGTCAAAATATTCCCCATTCATAGGGAAAAAGGCTCGAAGTTCTGGGAAATTTACGGGGTCAGTGGTCGAATTGTCGTGAGTAAACGTACATTGCGCACACATACCAGGGTCTAGCGGCACAGGAATAACTCCTTCCACATAATCGTATTCGTGGAGGCTGTCCAACTCATGACGCAAGGCCGCTAGAACGGTGCATACCTTCAGCTTCGAACATAAATCTCTTTTGAGAATTATAAACTCACCAACTTGAGTCTCCACGATCTAATCAGTCAGTAAGTAATCATTGGTCAGATTGGCGGGAAGTTTGTTTTTTAAAGTATGTATGAGATCCTACCTGACTGTTGGAGCCTCTGCCGTGAAAGCACAAGAAACGCATTGCCGATTGTTTGAGACGCGTAAATTTTAGAAGCCCAAGATTATATTGGTAATCAGAACGACAACCAAATCATCTAAATTTTCAGACTGCTCAGAGTGTACTGACGAAGGCTGCTGCTATTATGTGAAGAACCTTTAAGACCACTTTATAGAACTTCATCGTGGGGCCTCGATTTTACACTGTTGATAATATTACACTGTATTGCCAGGAAAATAATAGCCATGTCTAGGTTTGTTGTGGGTATTCTTTCCTCCCTTGAGGTATGGCCTCGTCATGGTTTATTTCTTGCCGCACTAGTACACTAGCCCCAATAATAGCTGTGTCAGAGGCATCAGCAAAGTGGATACTAAATAGACAACTTGGTTGGAAGTATATTATATAACTTTGCAGATAAACCAGGCGGTTGGCTTATGTATCAATACTACATCGATTGTAGAGGGAGGCGCCCCCAACTTTTGAGAAATTGGTGTGGGGTTTATAAGCCCATCTTATTCAAGAATAATTATGCACAGACGCCACCATCTTCTACCATAGAGGACGCAGAAATAAGACAATACAGCATATAAGGGATCCCACCTCTTCTGTACGGATATTGCGCATCGCGCCTATTCAGCTGGTCGTTGATTGCAACAACAGGTTTCTGGGCATGGCTAACCCTCCATCTTACTCGGAAGAATATCTTCGGCAGACGCAACAGCCTGTGATCTATGGCATTTGCTCAGCTCTCATAGTTACCGAGACCCTTGCAGTGGTACTACGCATTGTGTCAAAGGTAGTAGGTCGTTTGAGATGGGGAATAGATGATTTATTTATTGCTCTGGGACTTTTGATCAATCTAGCCATTAATACTTGTGCCATAGGTAAACAGTATCCCTCTTCAGCCCTCTTTGTTTTCTTTCGGCTCATGTCTAGTTAGTGGACGCAAAATATGGTGGTGTTGGCCTACACGAAGCTCGAGTACTACAAATTAATCCCGGCATGCTTAATGTTTGGGGGCACATGATTATCATAATCCCAATCCTGTATCTGGCCGCTGTGGTACCTCCCAAACTAGTTCTGTTACATCTGTACTTATCTATCTTCACTCAGAAAGCCTTTCGCCGAAGTTGTTACGGAGTTGCAGTTGTGGTGCTGACGAATTGGTTCGCGAATACCATTGCCGCTTTTCTTTCATGCCAACCATTGAGCTTCTATTGGACCCAGGAAGGGCACTGCTTTGATGTTAACCAGTTCTTTCGTTGGGGTTCATTCGCCAATATCGTGACTGATGTGGTGATGTTGATTCTACCAATGCCGTCAATTTTGGAGCTCCAGATATCATTACGGTTGAAATTGGGTATCCTCGTGACCTTCATCCTAGGCAGTCTGTATGTTCCGACCGAATCCCCCATTAAATCATTTTTCCTTTAACAACATACAGTGGTCTGATTACTTCAATTGTTCGCTTCTACGAGTTCTATGTTACCAACGCAGAGGTCGATGGGACTTGGTCGGGTGCCACCTTGGATCTCTGGTCAGCTGTTGAACCTGGCATCTATCTCATCACCGCGTGTATCCCCAGTTATCGGCCACTCATCCGGTTTTTCCAGAAGAGGAACAAAGGAAGCGTGCCGTCAATGCCTAGCGATCCTGGGAGTTCCGTTGGAGGATTACATAGTCGGTCCAGCCCAGCATACGAAATGTCAACGGGGAGACGATTTAAACGTCTAGGTAGTTACAAAGGCATGGAAGAGGACGTTGTCGGACTAGTCGACGTGGGTGTGCACCATTCGAGACCCGAGGCCGGAAAAATAACGGTTGATCGCGAGTTTCATGTCCGTAGAGATTGACGTGTCTGAGATAGATTATTATATGAATGTCAGTTGTACAGTACGCAGGCCGTTCAACTAACTCCTTTTCCTTAATTTTTCTCGATGTCTTTTTGCCGAAAATGAGGGCTGCCCTGGCCGCTGCGACAAGCCTCCACTAAATTAGTGTCCGTCAATCTACCGAGGGCGGGTAAGGTCTAAGCTCCAACTATTAAGTTAAAATGTAAAATATTACTGTAAATTATTTCATACATTCCACACACGAGGATCACTGTTAGCTTCCTATACGCGAGAGCATGTCAGTGGCACCCTCCTCCTAGGAGTACTCCGCAGTTGTCATTAGTCTCTAACGTATTTATTACCCGAGGTATCCGGCGGGTGGGAGGTTGGCACGATCACGATTACTATTTGACGGGCAAAATATTGGCGGCGCTAATTTGTGAGCTATGCTACTAGCCGTTATGCTCCGGTTACATCCCGAAGACTACTTCGGGCAGTATATTCATAGTCTAGCTTCTGTATATTCCGTAGATATGAGCTGACACTCGGTCGCGCTACTGCTAGTTAGCATGAGCATGAGGGCCCCATTACAGCATACTCAGTCGCCATTCCTATTCCCACTTTTCTTTGTCTGTCTAGGACAACTATGCTGCCCACTTCACTTATGGATGCCTACCTGGCGACATTCCGGAATTCCCGCAATCTAGCACCCAATATTATATAGCCGTCCATCAGCATCACTCGAATTTTCACTACCCATAAACCCAAGTAGTCAGATCCTAAGACCACCATTAAAAGAGCACTTCTTCATCATGCATCTGAATTCCGAAGAATTCAATCCTCGCGTCCAATTGATCCCCCATACCTTTGATCATTATGCGAGAGTGAAACCCGATGCGATCTATGCGGAATATACAGTCTCTCCCATCAGCTATGAACACGGTTATCGCCCCATTACCTTCAGGGACTTTGCCAACGCCGTCAACGGCTTAGCATGGTGGCTAACAGAGACTTTCGGCCCTGGAAATGGAGAGATACTGCCCTACATCGGTTTGAATGATGTGAGATATCCAGCCTTGATCATAGCGGCTGTGAAAGCGGGCTACTCTGTGTGTAGAAAACTTCTCCCATATCAAGAACAAACTCTTCTTTTCGCTCTACAAGATCTAATAGAATTAGATATTCGTGACATCGCCGCGCAACAGTGTGGCCGCGCAGGATCACCTGTTTAAGCAATTAAACTGCACGAAACTCCTGACACCGGCTCCCAGGCCTCCGCCTGTGGTAGCTCTTGCGGAAATTTTGAAGACAGATGTTTTTGAAATTCCCAGTGTCGCTGATTTGGTCAACAAGAAGTATCCGGATTTCGAATATACACGTACTTACCCGGACCATGTACTAGACAAAGTTGTTGTTATGTACGTAAACCCATGCTATACTGTGAATCTGGTCTAATTCTGCAAGTCACACATCGGGTTCCACTGGTATGCCAAAGCCTTTATTTTACACTCATGATTCATTCCACAAGACTCTGGAAATGGGTAATCTCAGTGCTCCGGAGGGATATGAATCTCAGAACGAATATATGCATGGCAAGCGCATGTTCCTGACATTGCCCGCGTTTCATGTAAGCCACTCCCTCCAGCTCAAGTGTATAATGGAGAGACTTACCCAGTGTTCCAGGCGGCCGGTGTGGCATTTATGATATCAATCAGCCTTGCCATGGAGATCACATTGATTATCCCAATAACAGGTGGTCTTCCTACCGCAGCGGCGCTTGCTCAAGCTACGAAACTCACTCGCATCGACAGTGCTTTCGTTGTTCCATCTATAGTACAAGAGCTAGCCCAAGACTCTGAGCTCTTAGCCTATTGTAGTGAACACCTGGATCTTCTAGCGTATTGCGGTGGTGATCTGCCGCAGTCTATTGGCGATACGGTAGCCTCTAAAATCAGACTGGTCAATCAATACGGTGCCACTGAGGTTGGATTACTTCACTCAATTCACTCAAAAACCAATCGTGATCCTCGCAAAGATTGGCGTTATGTTCATTTTCACCCACAAATAGGAACCGAATTTTTTCCTGTCACAGACAGTGAATCCGAATTAGTTGTGGTGCGGAGCCCGGAAGACCAGAAATACCAAGTTCCTTTCACTATGTATCCTGACCGTCAAGAATATCACACAAATGATCTCTGGGTACGCCACCCTGATCCAAATAAGCGTGATTTATGGCGCTGGAGCTCTCGAATGGATGATATTATTGTGCTTCTAAATGGGGAGAAAACAAATCCAATATCAATGGAACAGCATATAGTTGCTTCCAATGCCGAGATTTCAGGAGCTCTAGTAGCTGGTGCACAGCGATTTCAAGCCTGCCTTATCATTGAGCTCAGTGCAGATTACCTAAAGAGCTTGGGAACAAGCTACCAAGGTAGTCCGGGTGAGCGCATGGCGATGATTGAGAAGTTTTGGCCCAGTATTGCCGAGGCAAATGCCTCGGCTCCAGCCCATGCTCGCATCGCTAAGACGCACATTCTGTTCACAAGTCCCGACAGACCGATGCTTCGCGCTGGTAAGGGTACAGTTCAGCGAGCAGGAACGCTGAAGCTCTATGCTCAAGAGCTAGACGAATTGTATGATCTTGCTGAAAAGTTAGACTCAACGGAAGACAGCGAGACCAGCGGCCCTGGTTCGACCGATGATATCCAGAAGCTTTCACAATATATTGTGCAAACATTGTCAAACATCACTAAGTGGGGGCCGGACAAAATTAATGACACAGACAATTTCTTCTCTCTTGGACTTGACTCACTACAGGCTATCACTGCGGCACGCCGGTTTAGATATGGCCTGGATTTTCCCCGCTTCACACCGAATTTGATTTACCTTAATCCTTCCGTTGAAAAGCTTGCGCAAGCAATTATCCAGTCAAGAAATGACATCAAAACTTCCAAAAAGCTTCAAGTGGAGACTCAGCTTAAAGAGAGAAACGACATTCTTCTCGAGTATGCAGAAAAGATCAACACTGTGGAAAAACATACGGTCATTCTAACAGGCTCAACTGGCAACCTTGGTACATACATCTTGAATGTCCTACTTAATCATCCTTCCGTGGCGCATATTCATTGCCTAAACCGAAGAGTTCCTACCACTGATGGTGCCTCTAATGGCAATCATTTCGATCCACAACGGGTTAGTTTCTGGAAAACAGATCTTTCTCGCCCTGATCTAGGGTTACAACCAGAGGCCTTGGAAAAGTTAAAGGCAGAGACCACGTTGATTATTCATAATGCTTGGACCGTGAACTTCAATCTATATCTTCCTTCTTTCAAACCCCACCTTTCAGGCGTGGTCAATTTGATTAATTTCTGCTCATCAGCTGCCAAATCCCCGCATCTCTTCTTTCTCTCCTCAGTTAGCTCTGTTTTGGGCCATCAGATCGACTCATATAGAATTCCAGAGGCAGTCATTGAAACAAAATCGCCCGCGCCTAACGGCTACGGCAGCAGCAAATATGTAGCTGAACAACTGCTTCTTCATGCTGCTCGCAATGGTTCTTCTACGGGTATGTCCCTCGCTCGAGTTGGACAGGTCGCAGGCGCCGTTCAATCACCTGGTCTGTGGAACAAGAACGAATGGTTGCCAAGTCTCATTCTGAGCTCATTGCATGTCGGTGCCATTCCAGACAACATTGGCACTACTCTCGGTCATATCGACTGGATGCCTGTCGATTCTTTAGCAGAGGTCCTTGTGGAGCTGGCTTTGAGAAATGACTCCGCAACCTCAGACAGACCTGTCAATGTATTTCATCCGATGAATCAACATCCCCTTACCTGGGGAGACATTCGTGACATATTTTCTGAGGCTCTTTCGCAGCGCTCCAGTAAAAAGATTAAGACAATCCCGCTTGCGGATTGGATTCAACTAGTACGAAGCGATATCGAGTCCGCTTCGAAAGATGTGGACTTGCAGGCACTGTTGGCTGTGAACCCTGCTGCTAAGTTACTGGATTTCTTTGATGATGCATTGAACAGTCAATCAGCGGGCTATTCGTTGGAAGCTGCGATAACCGCTGAACGCAGCGAGAAGTTACGGAATGTCAGTGCAATTAAGCCTGAATGGATTGAAAAGTGGGTTGCAGAATGGTTGCAGTGATGATATCCGGCTATGTCATAACGTAGTCGGTAACTGAGTTGGCATTGCAACCAAGTGGGCACTTTCTTTCTGACCGCGTACGGGATATTGATTTCAAATCTCAATTTCTAACCTGAAATAATAATTATATACAACGAAGTCATTATTACTAAAATTATGACATTGACGTCTTTTATGTTTAAGAATATTATACTTATTACTTTGAAATTAATGGTGTATGATCGCTTGAGAGGTTGAACTTGGTACATGTGAATAAAGCGCGCCGTTTTGAAGGAGCGGAGGGAAAGCACGGGGAATGAATTCTCGTTGTCGGCAGACTTACTTATGGCACCGGAAGACGCAGCCTTGGCGACCTGAGGGAGAATAATAGGTAAGATATAGAGATCGCTCATCATGGGACTCGTGTTATGGATGGATTGAAAGTAGATGGGGAGAAAATAGATAGCGTCGTATACGGCAGACATGAGGCAGGCCTGGTAGACGCCTGACGACCACACGGCGGTGCGGTTGATCATGGAATGGGGAAGCAGGTCTTCATCGCCCTTGTGCATGTTCTAGCAAAACCAGACGACAGCCGTGGCCGCAGCGCCGCAGAAGAGGCGATGACGCGAGAGTTGCTCTAGGCATGCTTGTTGCCGCCGTACTGGACGGCGAGAAGGACCTGCAGAACGGCGGCGGCTAAGAGGACGGAGCCAACGAGGTCGAGATACTTTGTGCAGCTTGGAGAGGACCGATAGGGACTTGGGCTTCTTGGTCTGCTCGGGAATTGCCTAGAAGGAAAGAAACAAGACGTTAGCAGGCGCAGACATAGTCAGACACAAAATAGCAATTGCTGCTAGGGACATGACCAGTGTACTCACGGTGCTGATAATCATAGTGTTGACAGCCATAATGTTGTCTGCCGAAGCTCTGACCGAGCGTCGGCAAAGAGAATGATGCGCGCAGCCGACCAACACCAACCGACGTCTGCAGGGTTGCGAGGATCAACTACATGCAGACTACCCTGGAGCAAGAGAGAGAGCACGTCTGTGCCAGATGCAGCCAACAGCAGATGGGCCACAGCCCCTGCAGAGAGCGACAGCCACTAGCAGATAGGAGCGACAGGGCTCACGATGGCACAGTTGCAGTACGATTACAGTGGGGCAGTATGAGCAGTAGGACCAGCGGGAGAGGGCCTATCTGACTGGGGGGGCATAGCCAATTCTTAATCAAATTAATGCTCCTAGTCCGTCTTACTGCATGCTTCTGCACATCACACTTCCCACGTCTCTAGCCAGTGCACAGGGCACAGTCTTGTTTCTCCAAGGTAGCTGGGCTACGCACGGTGGTTGGGCGATGCTTGGGTGGGTGGTCAGCTGGAGGTATTGGGTGTTGTGGCGGTGACCCGAAGTGACATTTTCAGCAAGCCGAAACGAAAGCCAGGACCCTCATATTATCAAAGACGAAGCCTTTCTTTCCGTCGCCATTTGGAAACTGCTAAGCAAGGTTTATTTTCGGTGTAAACAGGGTTCACTGGACGCCCGCATGGTGCCTAATTTAGATTCAGGGTTACACTCGTTGCCATGCAGGGTCTGTCGGCAACTATCCGACGCCACGTTTGCGGCATGTGCATTAGTGCTTAGCGATCAAGTGTCGAGTTCAATGGCCGGCCCCCAAGATGGCTGCAGGATTTCTCCCTGGAGCGCCAAAGATACTAGTCCATAGCACGAAGTACTCCAGAGGCTACTTGCTGCGGGAATACCGGCTATCTAGAAGAATGCGAACTCTCTGTCTCCCCTGCGCTTCTCATATATTCACACCGAGATTGCAACCTCGATCGGCGACCTCGATTAGAGTAGCTTATGGAGAGGCGTGATGCTATACGCTGTCATGCCTGGCAAACAGTCTTCGCCAAACACTGTATAAACAATTTGCCAGTCATTGCTACATTGGGTTTAGCGTATGCTGGTTGATTCTGGTTGGCTCAGGAGTTGGCAGCAGTTCCAAGGCGGGCAATTGCTACGGATGTTCGCCTCAACCTCGGAAGGGACGTCCTCCAACCCAAAGGTATGCGAGGAAAATGCGATTGGGAGGAAACACAAAGGGGAAGCCAGCGGACAATGACTGGCCAACGGACTTCCCAAACTGACTGCGTCGTTCGTTTGCCGAGTCGGAACTCACGCCATTTAACCTGCAAAGGGAGAGAAGCGAAACCTGCTGTGCAGCATCGAGAATGGTCGAATCCAGCTATACGAGCTTCCATTGTCGTCGGTTTTTACCTGGCCACTCCACCGGCAGGCGTCAAGGCCAAGGCCGACGGCTCCAGCAGCAGAAAAAGTGAAATCGATTGCTACCAGTCCAAGAATATTGTTGGCACGTGGATCCTCACCTACACCAACCAGACGACCAATGGCCAGACCAAAGCTTCCCTTTGGTCTCAACCCCCATGGCTTCCTCTGCGACGGATCTGTAAGTGCAACCTCTTCAATCCACGTCAGGGCTGAGGCACCCATGTTGAAGAGCCAGCAGCCTGCCCAGTCCAGCGCAGGATACTATAACATCGCCAAAATGGCCACTACCAAGGCCGCGGCATCATTAGCACCACCATTGCTGGCAACTACAATCCCGCCAGTGTGCTGAACCTCATCCGTATAGACCAAACATCTTCCTACGGTATTTCTATCCTGCCCAGGGAGTCCACATCATGGCCATCTGGTCCAAGTGGGTGCCGGGAACAACCACGTACCCCATCAACTAGTAGTCAGTCGTGGCGTTGGGTGCAAAGATTGGGCGTATGAATTGGGCGCAGAGATCAGGCTGGTAGAATTGTATTTCTTTTTCCCTTTTACAGTGAGGGTGCAAATGTGTCAACACTCCATTTTTGTGCTATCTACAATGCCAATTATTGTGCCGGCAGAGAACCTTGGGATTGTATTCTATACCATTACTTTGATAGATTATAGCAGAGGAATCTAGAGAGGAAATAGGATTATGATAAACATAAAAGAATACTAAAAAAACCAACGTGTTTTGAAAACTATATACTAAGTATTATGGAGGGCTTGAATTCTAAAATGGAAGGCGGTGCGGGAGTGGAAGGAAGGGTGTTAACACATTTACTAGGGTACTGTATTTTATTGATGCATTTGCAATATCAATTCAGCAAGAAGCACCATGTTGACTGCGCGCAATAACAAGGAGCACGAGGCATCATGTAGGGGACTGCGGCAAACATGACACATGATAGCATTAAATTCATGACCCCATTCATTTGTGGTAGAAGAAGCATAAAATCGTAACCATCTTTCCCCGTCAATTGGTCAGGACTTGTCATGTCGGGCCCTGATGGCGACTTGCCACCATCTTATGCCCACGTTCCAGCATACTCCACACCCAATACCAGCCTCTCTTGAAGTTCTCTCATTCACAGCAGTAGTCGCCTGATCAAGGGCAGCACCGGGAAGGCGAGAGCACAGAAACGGCCTCAATTCTGCGACCAGAGGCCAATGACATTATTATCAGGGTCAACGACGTGTCCGACTACGCCCATGCCGTTGGGAATCTCAGTTCGGGGACTGTGTTGTTGGTAGCACAAATCAATATACAAGCCCACTCACGCACAAAGTGCTCAAGAGAAGAAGAGTGAGCGAAGGGGATAAGAGGGAGCATACGTCTTAACACCCCCACCAAGGCCTTCGGCCTTTTTGATGGCCTCACCAACGTCACCAACGATAAACGTGGGGTACACGCCCCAGCCCTCCTTACCGGCCGACTTGGGCGAGTATCCCTCGTCAAGGAGCAGCAGGGCACCCTTGATCGACTTGGAGGCATCAGTAAAGAAATGCAGCGTCTTGATGTTCTCAGTCGCCTTAGGCAGTGCACCGGCAAACTCCCAGGCAAACAGCTCTGAGTAGAATTTTTGCGAGCGCTCAAGGTTTGTAATGGGGATCTCGACGGCGAAGAGGCCGCCCACGGCGGGCTATTTCCCCATTAGCTAACCTAATCCTAAGTATCCTCGGGGGGATTTACTGCGGCAGCCATGATTGCTCGTTATGCTGTGATGGTCTAGGTGTCGAGAGAGTGTTGTGATGTGGAGATAGCAATGATGCTGGTGATGATGGTGAGGTGATGATGCTATCTATCTATGTGGCACGTCACTTCTTTTAAATACCTCAGGAGCTGGTGCACTGCCCCCGCGCTGTCAGCAAAGTGCTGGAGAATTTGTACAGTTTGCTTGTCACTTGCAGCCACTAGCGAAAGTTTCGGCCTAATGCCGATTTAGTACCAAAATTAGAAATCAATTTTATTTTTTAAAACACTATAAATATATAAATTCATGTATGTATTTTATTAAATAATATATGTATAATTATATATATTAATTTTTATTTTTATCTAACTATTATATTGTTAAAATATTTATATTAATAATTAAGGGTTGGTTTTTATAAAGGGCATTTAGGCCAAGACTTTCTGCAGAGAGTGTATATGCCAATGGCAGGCTACAGGCCCTGGATTGAGGCGTGTGCAGGAAGTGGTAGGGCTGCTAGGCACGGTGCACGCGGCGCAATCTGGCCTCCACTGCTATGCCGGCACCGCGGGTGATGATCTGCCTGTCCATCCTCTGTTCGTCACTATATTCTGCAGGCATTGGGTGCCATGCTAACATCTGTATTTACATACATTGGAAGGCTGCCTATCCGGCCAAGGGTCGTGTCGTGTCGGACCCTTCTGGCTCTGCTGGATTGAACGAGTTTCACTAGGGCATTCACATGCACAAAGGCTCTGCAGGGGCTAGCGGACTGCGGTTGGAGCAACCAGCTGGACTCCAACGCCCCCGACTCAAGTCACTGACTGGTGTGCCTGTCAATGATGTCATGCAGCAGGAATGGGAGCCTAACTCCGGGCCCCACTATGGGGGTGAGCTCACAACAGGAGCGCCTACAAGTGATAAATATAATAAGAATATTTATATAATAGATCTTGATATTCTCTTGACATCTGCCTAGGAGGTAGGTAGATAGATTCTTATTCCACTAGATTGATGTTGTCACTGAATGGCGAAATATTTGTGTGCGTAAGCATACCACCCCTTCTTTCTGCTAATAATGATCCTTAGGTCCTTAGGGGTGATCCTTAGTTGAAATTAGACCTCGCCGCGGCCAGCGGGTCTAACCCGCCACCTATTACCCATTTCTTGGAAGTTTTACCCACTTAAGTCGTGGTAAGCTGGATATTACCCCTCGGTATTTGGGTATTACCCATGGATAGACAAACAGTACAAACGGATGTATTTCATGGTTTGCAGGACCGTAGCATTACAATTATCCTCCCGCCTCGCTATTTTATCGACTTTAAACGGAAACAGGTGGTAGGATCTGGCGATTCTTTCATTATGGAGGTAGGAAACATGGCTGATGAATATATGTATCAGAGGTTGTTATGATAGTCATTGACGGCTTCAGATGTCCGCTTGTAGCTGACTGTATCCACATTCGAGTTAACATCAGGCTATATTTCTCATTAGGGCTATTGTATACAGATTATTTATTAATTGACCAGTACACATATTTATCTCCTATCTAATAATCAAAGCAAGCGAGTCATAAGTACATGCAGACCTTTGTCCGCTTGTAGCTACTCTGTAAAAGCCTCAGGCTTGAATATATCAGTGCTAGCACATCAGGCGAAGAAGTGAAATTGATCAATACACACATACCGGCTACATTCTAGAGAATTGGCTCCCCAGTCGTATAGACTTCAGCAATTTGCTCATATTCTGATGGTTCTGAGCAAATGAATCCCCGATATTTTCGAGTGGCCGGCCTTTTGTTTCTGGCATAAATAACGCACCAACTGCAATAGTGACTATGATGCACCCACAAAAAAGGAAATAGATTGCAAACGACGACTTTTGCAGCAAAATCGGGTGATCAAGGCCACGGCAAAGTTTGTAATCTAGTTAGAAAGGAAAAAATGTCAGTTTGCATGTTGAATTGATTGTCAAGTGCTGCCAGCGACATACAAAATTTGCACTTTGCGCAATGCTAGTCACTGTCGCTCTTGTGGGTGCCGGCTGTATCTCACTAGCGAAGACTTTGATTCCAAATGCCCAAGCTTTTTCATAGCGTAGGTGGTTAGACATGTATCCGACATGATCTATTTTCGTTGGACAGGCACTCACTAATGCAGTATGTGATTGAAAACAGGTAGATGCAGACAATAACCACCCAAGGACCGGGCCCCGAAGACTGATGAACGGCCTTTGAGGCATATAGAGAGCCAATAATAGTCAGTATTACGGCTAGCAGCAATCTTCCATACAGCGTTGATGCTCGCCGGCCAATCTTGTCGGTCATAAGAAGGGCCGGGATTGAAGTCAAACAGATTAGTATAGCGGACACTCCTGACGCAAAGAATGAGGCCTGCGAAGACGAGAGCCCAGCTTGCTGAAAAAGAAGAGGCGCATACTAATGGCTTTATTAATTACTAGCCTTCTCACAGCCTAACAAGTATCAGGGAACAGAAGGGAGGAAGAAAGGAGGAACATACATAGAGAACAGCATCAATTCCACTCAGCTGCTGCATTGACATTAGGAATACCGCGAGAAATACTTGCTTCCTAGAGGAGGGTGCGATGACACGTCGTAGGTTTAATATCACCCCTTGGAAGTAATTTCGGATTCTCTGGGTTGTACCCGTGGGCGGATTCGGCTGTGGTCTTTCTCTGTGGTGCAATTCATCCAGTACATCATCTCCTTGGTCAGCGCTAGCAACTTCTAATGCGACCCAAGCTGACGCTGCTTGCGACAACTTGCCTTTATGGGCTAGCCATCTAGGAGATTCTGGGAGGTAGAAAAATGCTGCGACTGCCAGGAGGAACGACAGACCTGCTTGGAAGGCGAAAGGGAACCGCCATGAAAAGCTGCTGGGAGTCTTAGTAGTCCCATAGCACAAGAAATAGCCTACCATAAGTCCGATAGTAATAAATAACTGAACCATCGATGCTAGTGGCCCACGATACTTGGCAGGCGAAATCTCACAAATGTAGCTGGCAAAGTGAGCAGAGATATCACAGCGAACTGCCAAGGTTTGTACTGACACTACCAATGTACTGAGGAACAGTCCTTCTCCTGCTCCAACTATAAGTCGGTCTATGATCAAAACAGATAGCTGACTAGCAGAAGCTTCAATTGCAGCGCCCAATGCAAAAACCAAAGCTCCTATGGCAAGCGTCCGCGTTCGTCCTAGGCTGTCAGACATGGTGCCTGAGAACAGTGCGGCCAGGGTTGCTGATAGGAGGATAGACGACACGACCAATCCATGGACAGATCATGATATCTCATCAAATGTTTCGAGAAAATGCTCCATCACGGTTACGGGGCCAATGATGCCGGTATCCAGGTTAGTAGAGGTGTGTTTATCAGCATCAGATCAGTGAATGACAAAGGGTCGAAGAGCAGCAAACCCATTCAGTAGGCCCCCAACCTACACAATAACGGCCGAAACGAGGTATCGTGGAGGCAAGAATTGATTAATCATAGTTTTGAATATGCCTCCTGGACCTTTTTCTTTTGCTCTTTCTGAACAGTGCTGTGCTTGGGCAAATGGTCCTGCGGGGTCAACGGCCCATTTAAAATGCCGCCCTCTCTATTACCTAGTCCAGTTCAGGTAATAGCTAGCAGTAATATATTCATGGATACACAGCATCCATTGATGTCATTGATGCGACGCTCGCCTTATCAAGAGCGGGGCGCAGTCAAGGGTTCAAGTGTTGGATTGCCTCTCTGGCTGACCACGCAGCGATCACCACTGTGGTTCTAGCCACCTGTAGTTTAGCGCCTTCATTATTTAGGGCCTTCATTATTTGGGGTATATTTGGGGAGTTACACTTGTATAAGATAAAAGTAGAAATTTCATCCTCCTATTAAGAATAAAGATAAGTAAAGGTTGAAAGTTTACTATCATGGTACCACAGTACCTGGGACGATGAAGTTCACACCAGCATCAATTGGTAGTATAACGACTCACGACTCTTGGATCTGCGGGATTCTTCCTGACCTATTGGCGCTTCTTGTTCAATGGTCGAGTGAACCTGTAAAGTTGTAATTCGTCTACCCTGCGATTCCATCAAAATTTTCCGAGGCCGTCAGTTACAATATCCCCATCTAGCAAGCCAGGATAGTGGCTATGTTGTTTCAATTCACACAAGGACTTGGTGTGTCTCATTCAACCATCCACTATTTATCTTGCGTTTCCAGTGCTATGGATAGCCGGCGCGGCATATGCCGTTGCCTGAAGCCGCACTATTAATTGTAAGGAATTTTAGTCACACTTTCTTACAAACACTAGTGTGAATCGCGCACAAGTCTGAATTTCAATTAACTGCCAAATCTGTCTAATTTATACCCAATTTACTAATGGGCCTAGTGGCTTATCAATTTGTTCAAATAATTTTCAGCTGAATATTTCGAGGTAAAATCACGGCGCTAAATCCAACAATAATAAGGGGTATTAATTAACCGGATAAGGAAGTCATCCCTGTTCGAGATGAATCCACTTTCCATCGTTTCTCCGACCGACTAGTGGCGAACAACTTGCTCCAGTGCTCGTAGCTCAGCGGCTTTAGGAAGTCATAATAGATGGGGAGTATCTGCGAGAGTTATTAATCAGCTCAGACCAGATACTGCATTTATTGTAGTTCCTAATTCCCTTGATTGGACCCTTGCGATGATGGGCTGCACGACGTATGTCCGGTCAAATGACTGAACCTACAATTTATTTTCCATTAAGCCATTGGTACGCCTTATATCATGAGGTCCCACTTCTATAGAGATTCTAAGTGGTGTGAAGCTATTTGACCCTCAGCCCCCAATACTATCTCCGATCCGAGATATAGCTGTCTTTAATATTCCTGGCGGCTATTGTGGATATACACTCTAAAGTGATTTTAAGTCTTGATAACCCTCAACCCCCCTAGGGCTTTAATTATATCTTGTTATGTTTTATCAGCAGCTATCGACTTGTTAAGGGTCTTCCTAGTATCTGGTGTTGGGACAGCTGATTTTGGAGCAAGATATTCCTATACCACATATTCATCATGACGTCTACGACCGCTATGACCCTCTTACCTAGTATGCAACTCCTCAGCAGAACCAAATTTGCCACGAATAGCCGAATAATCCAAGTACCTTGTGACTACCGCTAACAATACATTTAATCGTTAGTTACAACACAAATCCATCACGCTCCTCGCTCCAGCTCAGACACATCAACAGACAAAACCTACCACCTCTCAGGCGGCGCAATAGCTGGAATAGTCGTTGTGGCTTCCGCGGCCGTCGCAATCGTGGTGCTCATCATCTTTCGCAAGAGGATCGTGGCTTACTACGGCCGTGACAAAACCCAAGTGGCCGATAACGAGCACGCCTTATCCTCGCCCACGTATATGCCGCCGCAAATGCAACCTGTTCTGCAGAATGATGATTTAGCGTGGCAGGCTTCGGAGATGTCGTCGGAGCAGAATGATATATATGAGATTGGGTCCATAGACGCCAATCCAAAGGGAAATGGACGGGTTATCCATGAGCTTAGTTGAAGCTCTGGGACTGGGGATGGCTGTCGACATGTATGGGGTAATCTGATGGTCTTTTGACGGTCAGGTGGATGTCGGTACTGATACCTGACTGCTCAGATGGTAGCTGGCGAGATTATATGATTTGAGTATTTGTATATAATAATAAAAAATGTAAGTCTTTTGAAATTAAAAAAAGATTTATTAGTAATAATTATATGTTTTAATTATTAATAAAAATAAAAATATATTTAATGTTTCATATCTTATTATTATGATAAATAGCCCTTTATCTTCTATTGCTTTATGGAACTTCTTCTTGTTAGCAAAATATCCTCTGTAATCTCCGAACTCAGTGAAGAGTTGTTGACCACTCTGACAATATTAAGACTATAGAGTAAGGCTACTAGGGAAATAAGACCCCCGGTCTTGCCGGATTTGGCCTATACAGACTTCCTAAACTAGCTATGTTACAGGTAGATAGTAAAAGAAACTAGGAGCTTAGGTATTTATAAGATCTTCAAATACCCATTAAAACGAGATTTCCATAGCTTATAGCCGGGTAAAGTCGTTAAACTTGAATAAATAAATATATATATATAGCTAATAATTTATAAATTGCTAATTAGTTTGTGCCTACTTCAAACTCTATATTCAGCCTATAGTTCCCGCACTTCGCCTGCTTTCCAAGTAACCTTCTGGCACTTTGAGAAAGTGTGGCGCACTTCACTGAAAACTAGAGTTGGGATGATATCGAGACGACAGCAGTAGACTAGATAGATCATTCTATTGTCGATTTTGCATATGCATACGAAGTTGCTAGCTGTGCATTCAATCCTTTGATCTACATCAGGTTACATTCTTTTTCCGCTCCCGGAATACCAGCTGCAACGGTGCGGTCACCAGGGTAAAGGTATCTCTCTTTCCATCTATGAAGTCGTTCACCTTCTGACTGGGTGCAAAGAAGATATCAAACTGGGTCACAATTTGAGCAGTGACATGGCGGAGTTCCATGAGAGCGAGCTGTTTTCCAACGCATGAATACGGGCCTAGATCATTAGGTCATTGTTATGATACTTATTTCTTTTGAATTCGCATTCGACGAAATAAAGTGAACATGGCTTACCACTATTGAATGGAATGAAGGCAGAAGGCTCCTTCACTAACTCTGGCTGTGTAGTCCATCTCTCGGGGACGAACTCTTCAGGACGAGAGAATACACGTTGATCTACATCACAGACAATCGTCGATTTTCAGTATTAGCACAAACGAATATCGATGGCACATAGTACTCAGTGGCTGTCCAACCTACCTCTGAAAAGTGTATGCGGAGGCATACAGACCATAATATCTCCCGGAATGTATACATCACCAATGCTGATGCCTTCGGGCGGTGTCATACGCTGAGTTCCTGAAGGGACGGCCGGATGTAGTCGAAGCGTTTCGTTGATAAGAGCATCAAGGTTCTTGATATTTACCAGTTTCTCATAAGACAAATCAGGCAAAGCGTCTAATTCTTCTTGTAATAGTTTTTGCCAATGCGGATTCCCAGCCAAATGGAAAAAGAGATTGGTGAGCGTTGCGGCAGTAGTGTCACTGTAAAATATTAAATGGCATGGTTTAGTTATGCCCTATGGAGAAAACCGACCACAAAAGAAGTATTCATACCTGCCTGCCACAACGATGAGGTAGCCGTCTCCTTCGAGATTCAGTTGATCCTGCTTCGTTTTTGGCCCTTTGTCAAAGTCGTCCAACACCCAGGAGAACACGTCCGGACAATCCGGTTTACTCTAGAGCGGATTTCCTGTTAATATACTGACAGAAAATCTCATTCTTAGTCAACTTGCCTCTGTTCTTTCCTTCACTCGGTTTCGGACCCAATTCCACATTTTCAAGTAGTCGGCATTTATCAAGGGGATTCGTTTGAAAAAAGGAAACAGCCAGGTCAAGTGGCTGAAAATACCAATCATCTTCATATCAGCATGCAGCTGTTTCAAAAAGTAGGTTTCCTTTCCATCTAGCAACATATTAAAAGATTTTCCAAACGACAAATCCCCCATAACATCAAAACTGTAATAATTGAACCAGTTGCTCATGTTCATCGGCTTGTCAATATTTTTTTGAATCGCACCAATCAGTTGGTTGGTATAGTGGGAGACCCGTGGTTCATAATTTCGCAATGCTGCTATAATCAATATACCGTCGTTGAAGTTTGGTTGACTAAGGCAGGGTTTGTTATGTTCATACATTTTGAGCTAAAAGCTTGGTCCCATACTTTTCTTCTCCGTGCGTGTTCTTGCTTATCTCGACTCATATGAAGAGATACTCTAGGCTCTAGAACCGTGTACCACGGCCCCTTACGAACCTTCGCCTGACCGCCGTAGATATACTTGACGGCTTGAGGATCCGCGATTGATAATTCCGAGGGGCCTAAGGCTGTTTAGCACGACGCCAGCTTTCGAAGAGACAACCAATGCAGAACAAATAATAAATCGTGAACTAGTTCATACTTACCGAGTCGTACATAGTCGCCGTATTTTTTATGCAGATTCTCAACCTCTTCATACAGATGCAGTTTCTTGGCTGAGAGTGCAGTCACGTAGAAGTTGGACAATTTTGCGAAAAAGGGGCCAGGAAATCGGGACAAGCGATGCCAAAAAAGGCGATAAAGGATAATACTCAAGTAGATGCCAACAACATGACAACCTACTGATTTGATCGCCCAATAGCGCTCTAGCGGTGCAGGAAAATAGGGATCAAGCACATTCAGACTCTCAATATAGATGCCAATCACGACAAATATCAAATAATTAGTGACCAGACTGAGGCTTTTGAGATCCCATTCGCCTAAACGATAGAAGAGAATATGTGCCGTTGCGCCACTGGCACCTGCCAGGAGGAATAGCGTATTCATGCTGCGAAGTGATAATGATGATATTTTTCTTTCCTCCCCGCATTTCACTCTCTTCTTGCCATATTTATGTTGTGGGCGTATGAACCGAGAAGAAGTGTGACAAGCCGCGATTTTGGCTGTGATTGAGCCTCTGGACGCAAAATTGACAAACAACGTGATGCATTACCGAGGGTCGGGCCAGAGTGATTCGAGCGGGCAGACATGATGTGGAGGCGGCTCCGGCAAATCTGGGGTTACCTGGGGTTAGCCGGAACAAGTCATTCTAGGGTCACGTGATCTTTATTATTATAGCCTTTGTAGGTGGGTGCTAGTAAGTGATGTGCATGGGATTGATTGGCTGTTGAAAGGGGTCTCATTTGAATACTGCTAATTATGTAATTATCTTGTGGTTCAATACCAAAAAATTTTGAACATGTAGTTAGCGATAAGGTATGAACAATTGCTAATATAGAAAATTCAAATGTTATTAAAAGAGCCAATTCCACATACATTAAAATAAAGAAAAGCTAAATGCGAGTACATATGTAGTTCTGGGCGTAGTATACATGTATTGCCATAAGCCACGTGGGAATGCCAATTCCTGAGTCAATGTAATAGTTTCATTCCCCCAAAAACGCCAAATTCATCCACAGGTTATCCATTTCCAGATTTGTATCTAGGGAAAGGCCACCGACTACGTTAGCTGGTGTATCAGCATTGGCATAATCGATCAGATCCATCAGAGTATTTCCCGTAGATGTCCTCGTATTGGGCTCGTAGGAGGCTCGCTCCGGAAAAGCTATAGTATCGGGGAAAGGAATGGCACCTGGAGATGTTGTAGTTGCCAAGGTGCTATCATAAGTATGAGGACTTCCTCTCTTCTTGACTGTTTCACATCCATCAACCCCCCCTCCATTTGACATGGCCACAGACCGTGCCATGGGTCGGGCGGGTTGAGGAGGTGATAGGGGGAGCAGAGGCTGCATGATAGGCGTTGGAAAAACTACAAATTCATCGAAAGAGGGCAGTAACTTTTGAGGACCGGGAAGACTCAATATTTCGTTGCCAGTCGACATAGAATGGTCCATTATCGTTAAAAGCTGAAGGTACAATGTCGGTTGGTGATCCAGAAACTCCGAAAAGCTTTTACCAGTGGTACGACCTTGTGGAGTCGAAACAATGGTCTGATCGACTGATGAAGAACATGAACGGTCGATGGAAGTTGCTGAAGAAGGATCGCAATGCAACACGACGACTTCAAATACTTGGAGAATCTGTTCGATCCAATTCTTTACATGTGATACATCATAACGTAAGTGAAAGAGCCTCGTAAGTTCCGTGTAAAAATTCAAGAAGCGCTCATGACGTCGGCGATCTATATTGCTTCCGGTAAGCCGTAAACTTATATTCAACAAAATTTGTGGAGTAATAGTGTATGCGACTGCACTGATGGGCAGATGAGTAGCGGTGCCATCGACAATAAATCTCTTGACTTTTTCGTTAATCGAAGTAATAGCACCTAACAAATCTGGCCGATTCTCCTTCTGCGATTGCTCCAATCGGGCATGATACGAATGACAGCGACCTTGTGCATTGTGCCACAAAGAGATGTAGTGAAAAAGTGCTAGTCGAGCCGAACTGTTAAATTTCAAGCAAGATTGAAGAATTAGTCATGACATAGCATTTTCTTGGCCGCCGGAACTTACTCGTAGTACAATGTGGTTAATTGTGAGTAAAACCTTACTGATGAATGGTGATTCTGGGAAAAAGACAGGTGGACCATATGATTACTCTCCCAATAACGAAGGCGCGATTTAATATCATCGGCTTGCAATAACTTCATTCCGATATCGGTATCTAGGTCTTCAATTCCGGAGGGTGGATATATTGTGGTAATAAGCATGGTGAGCGCTGTAACGAGATTACATAGGCTGGTTAGTATTTTGCAAAGCATTACCTTTGTTTCCTTGTTGTAAACTTCGGAGACATCGATCTCGGCTTCAAGGTCTTTGAGTTGCAACGGCTCCCGAGAGTAAGGGTCAAAATGGAAGGGGAGGACCTGTATTGGGCGGCGCATCCCAATAGCGATGATTCTATCGCGAATAAGCACAGACCACCACAGACGTTTAAGTTCCGTCTGTCTAGCTTGTGTGTAGCGATAGTAAAGATGAGCGTTTGCCCTTCGAGCATGCTGTATTGCCAAGGCAAGCCAGGTAGTATTGCTTAGGTGGTCTGTTTTGCATGACTGAAACGAAAGCAGGATACAGGCTTGAGAGAGCCTTATTGGATCTTCCTCGATACCGAAATCATAAAGTAACTATGTATTTCATTAATCCGGTGTCCGCTCTAGATATCTTCGTTTATAAATCATACCTTAGCCCGTCGATAGTACGTATTTCGGATCTCCAAAACTGACTGTTCCCCAAGCTGCTTCGCAACACGAATGGGAATATACTACCATTTTATCAGTATAGTTTGTAGACAAACACATTGAAAACATGTAGAGTCTGGATAGAGAAAGAGGAGTACTCACACTGCTGGCGACAAATAACATCGCCTGGAGGACTAATAAAGAAAATGAAGGCTCTGTATATCCATCTTGTCGAAACATCTTCCAAAACTCTGCTTCATTGATAATAGGTAAACAAGGATGAGTGTACAAAAAGTAATGCGAAAGTAAGACTTCCAGAAATAGGCCCGCAGGAATATGAAGACTCTTCTTAGACTCCAGATAGGCAATATCTGCAGGTTGTAGACGTCCCAAGTTAGGTGCCATCAGGAAGGACAAGTAAGAGAAAGGTAGAAGCGTGGCAGATGAGACGTGGTCAACTAAGTAAAAGTTAGTTGCTGCTATATCACGTCGCTGTCAGCGCCAGAATGATCAACACAACTCACAAGAATCTTTGGGTACAGGTCTCGGTATTTGTCCTTCGCTCCGTGCATCTGATTCGATAACTGGATACGTTTCCACAGTCACTTCGATAGGCAACCCGACATTCGCTGTTTCATCGCCTGTCACTGTCTCCTCGGGAATCGTTAAAGTGTTCCAGTCCATATTGTCAGTGTGATGAAATGTGGGAGGTGTAGAGCCTCTGGCCACTCCATTGGGGCCGCATATGTTATGAGAAGTAATGCATTCTGTATTGTCAAGGCGACAGTTGGTGCAGGGTTTTCCCTCGCTGCTGACGTTACAGCGCACCTTTCGCCGTCGACAAGCCAGACATGCGATGCGCGCTCGCCGATATGCTCGTTGGCGCTGGTGATAAACATGGGGAGTGGCTTGGTTTCTAGTCATCTCATTCATTGTGTGTGTCCAGGACTGTAGTTCGAAGGGTCAGGAAACGCCTCGGTAGTCCTATTATGAAGTGCCTCAGTATGGCGGCCGATGTGGGTCTTAACGACAAAATTCGGTATTTTACATTCCCACATGTTTATGCCGAATTTAACAGTTTTAACGTATTGAAAATTATTATACTGTGATCTTATACAACCTTATTAACATTATCTAAAATAATTATTTAATAAAATATCTTTATAAGCATATCTAAAATTATTCTATATGAAAATTAGCTTTATCACCTGAAAATCAACACCGCCATATGAAATACTATATATTAATTTTCAATATGTGGGAATAAAATTACGCGTATCAATAAAGCTTACTAGAGGATTACGAATTTGATCGCTCAGTTCCGTATGGGCCGCCGTACTCGGGGAAAATCTTCCCCGCATCTCCCCACATTCCCCGAGAATGAGCCCTTCTGATCTGGCGCGGGATTAATTCATTAATAAATTACTAGATGCATTGAGTACCTTTAATGAGATGGAAGGTTTTAAAAAAATGGTTTGAAGTATCGAGACTGTTAGTTATATACAGTGAGCCTACATCCCAATATCCTAGTAAACCCTTACTCAAATTTTCGATGACAGACCGCGTGTTTGGTCATCTTTAACCCATTTTCTCAGCGTTTTCCTCTCAACCTTCCCGCTTGCTAAACGAGGAATCTGGTCAACAATAATAACACCCCCATCAAGTCTCTTGTGTCGAGCAACTCTCTGTTCGACCCAACTCGATATATCGTTTTCCGCGACCTTGTCTTTCGAGTTATCGTGAAGGACAACATAGGCTCGCGGGACTTCTCCTCGTGCACTACGACAGTAATATATTGCTTTTAGTCAAATACGCAAGACAAAAAAAAACAACATTAAATGACGTACCTGCCAACCCCAATAACACCGACATCAGCAATATGCTCATTCTCTCCGAGGACAGCCTCTAACTCGGCAGGTGACACTTGGAGGCCGTTGACTTTAATCAGCTCCTTAATTAAGCGTGTTAGCAGATGTACTGATATCTTGCAAATGCAAACCCCTTCATACTTTTTTCCGATCCACAATCCAAAATTCGTCTCCTCGCGTGACGGCAATATCGCCGGTTTTTATCCATCCATCCCGCTTTTTGGTGTCTTGAGTGGCCTGGTCATTACGCCAGTAGCCTTGAAATGCTTGTGGGCCTCGAATGTGGATTTCTCCTGGTTCACCATCCGCTACCTCAACACCATTGTCAGAGAGTAACCTGCATTCCGTATTGGGCACCAAAACACCAAGTGATGTTGTCCTGCTCAACCATTAGTCTGCGGGAAAGTTTGACGTGGTATTAGAACTTACCCATTCTTTGCCAGTAGTAGTGGCGTTTGGATCGCGGTACATGTGAGCTCGCTCATACCATATCCTTCCAGGATCGTCACACCAAACTGTTTGCGGACCCTGTCGCCCAATTCTTGCGATAAAGGCGCTGCACCAGAAAGAATGTCCTTAACTGAACTCAGATCATACTCAGCTGGCTCTGGCCTGTCGACTAGCATTTTCAGAATAGCTTCACATGTAAACGACACGATTATGTCAGCGGCTATACAAATGAGTAGTGAAGTATGGTGTCTAAGAAAACATACGTGGTACAAGTTGAAGCATGGTAATGCGGTAATCCTGAATCCAGCACAACAAGTTTCGAAATTCAAACTTCTCCACTACGTAAACCGGTGTGTTGAGGTGGGCACACATTAGGCAGTAGTAAAGCTGTCCATAGGCATGGTACATTGGGAGAAATCCAATCCATCTATCATTCTGGGTAGCTACCCGTCCAAGACTGAGCATAAACCTTGCCTGCTCTAGGTTGGCAATAATGTTGTGATGACTGATAGCGACGCCCTTTGGCAAACCAGTGGTACCAGAGGAGAAATTGAGCGTTGCAATCATTTTCCGAGAGGTTTGGCCAGGGAAGTCAGGCCAATGATATCTCTCTGCATTGGATTCAGAGTCAAGGATCACCCTCCAATCAGGCACTCCACGCAATGTTGAATTGGGCTTATCAGAAAATTGGAGGATTCGAGTTTTATATGAGTTCACCACTTCCACTGCTTCTAAGGCGCGATCTAATATCGAAGGATGAACTAAAATGATCCTTGGGGACGTAATTTTGATCTGGTGGGCGAGCTCTACATAAGTTGGTATATGGCTTTGTTCATATGTTATTTGTAGGAGTCACAGACCTGTAACAGTATAGGCGGGACTTGCGCCGCTGGCCAATATCTCGCACTGTTAGAGTGGCCACCTGCATTTTTCTTTGGTACAAGACAGTTTCCCTCACCTGAATATTCTCCCCGAACCCACAATACCATAGAATACCGCTGGAAGGAAGATATTATTGGGAGATATGAGTAGGATCGTTGTTTGTTGCGAAACCTGCTCACGGTCCAGTCCTGATGCAAATCTTTTTGCCCAGCATAAGGCTTGTGCTGAACTTAGAGTATGAACTGGGTCATTCGCATCAACCCATTGGTGTGTCGTTGATGGCTGTCTATGTTCAGGGAACACATGTGAGATTAGATTCTTCTCGGGAATGGTAAGGTCAGGGAAAGGCGATTTTAATGGCATCTTCGCTATCAATGTGATTGATGGTCGTACGGTTGTGCTTGACATACGTCTACCGATGAAATATCTACGTCCTTTTCAAGTACCTGTCTGCAGGGATGACTGTAAAGCCGAATGATTGGCTTCATCCCCACTCCTGGTTGGTACTCAATAGCCGATTTATCCACGGGCCGAGGAGTTCATTCGATTAAGAACTCATGTTAGTATGATTGCCTCTTTGTAACTAGTGATTACGTTTTTCAAGACAAATTGTGGATTAAATTGTGTCAATGCATTATTCTTGAACGACTCTATGGCATGTCCTGTTTGAAATAAATGGCCTTAATATTACAAAACCCTTTCAGCCCTTCAACCCCCCATTCGCAGCCAATCCCACTAGATTTGTGCCCAGCAAAGGGAATATTGGGTTCAATATCAAGATGCGAGTTGATCCAAACGCTTCCTGCTTCGAGATGTTCTGCAATTCTTGCTGCAACCCCGGGATCAGTAGACCATACAGACGCTCCTAATCCCATGCAGCTGCTGTTTGCCCGACGAATGACTTCTTCTTCGTTCGACCATGATAGTAGAGGTAGTATTGGACCTTTCTAATGTAAGTAACAGAAAGCTGTGATGATTTTCTTGGTGTGCATTGTTTGTTATTTAATTATAGGGGTAAGGAAGCGTACCGAAAGGCTCCTCTTGCACAATCCGCGAATCGTCAGCGGGGTTGTCAACAATCGTGGGATTAATAAAGTAGCCAACTGTTTGGAAATCGTGATTACCAGTCGGAACATGATAGTTCTGTCGCTTTATATCGTCCAAATGTTCTTGTACACGGTCATATTGAACTTTGTTCTGCAACGGCCCCATGAAGGCGTCCTTCTCAACTCCCACTTGGATTGACCGTGTGTAGGCAACTATTTTATCGCGAAATTCGTTGTAGATACTTTCATGTACGTACACACGTTTAATTGCTACGCAAATCTTTACCTTGTCAATGCTGGAGAGAGGATATTCAGTGTTTTATGGGACTTACTTGGCCCGAATTCAAAAAGCTGAGTGTTGCTATTTTGGGAACCGCGGAATCGATATCCGCGTCTGAACAGACGATGGCTGCGTCATTTCCACCTCTGGAGGTCGGGGAAAGGTTAGTTCTACCTGATCCTGGCAGTTCAATATAAAACTCACAGTTCCAGAGTAACCCTCGTCAAATTTTTGCTAGCGCTCTCCATAACCTTCTTACCCGTAGCAGTCGAACCAGTGAAGCTAATCTTATCGATTCCTGGATGCGAAGTGAGCCAAGGTCCAAGTCTATCATCACCACTTAGTGCTTGAAAAACTCCTGCCGGAAAGAAGCTCTGGGCTAGTTCGGCCATCTTCAAACCGCAATAAGGGGTAAAAGGTGACACTTTGAGAATGATCGAGTTGCCGGTGAGTAGCGAAGCTGCAATTTTGCCACATGCTAGCATGACTGGATAGTTCCAAGGTACGATGGCTACGGATACTCCGAGAGGTACGTATTTTATGACAATCTGGGTGGTTGCGTCTTTGTTCACCACTTCACTGGGTAAGTCCAAATTAGCGATCCCACGTAGCCAGCGAATGCCGTTCGCTATCTCGCCAAGCGCAATTTGAGGCTGAGTAGGTGCCATTGTTAGTTGTAAATCAAGGTAGGTATCAAAAGGAGATTGATGGTGATAGCAATTGGAAAGTGAACCTACCGGCTTTCCCTGTTCTCTAGTCAACAATGTCGCAAAATCATCGGTATTTTTTTCCAAAGCACCTGCAAATTGCAAAATGGCATCGCGTCTGGCTACCCACTGTGTTTTTGCCCAGCCCGGAAATGCTGCTCTTGCCGCTGCGATGGCTTCCTCAACGTCGATGGGAGTTGAGAGAGGGACTTCTGGGTTTGGATCGCTGGTTGCTGGATTGATACTATGGCGCGTTGCGGCTGTTTCTTTCAGCTCACCGTTGATCACATTATAAAACTTATCGAAGCCTAGTGCTCCGAACTTTATGGTCGCCATCTTATTTAGAGGTGGACTGTAATGTGTATGATGGAATGGCCCTCCGCCGTTACGAATGGAAGCATAAAATGACTTAGAACCTTAATAACTCCGCTGATAGTGCGGGAAGGCAGACCCATACTTATGCAGCATTGTATATAAAACCAAAATATATGCGATATAGCGTATTTTTCCACTCCTATACGCGATGACTAGTATTGGGTGTGCCAAGCCAAAAAATTGCCGGGGAAGTTATGAAATTGCATTACCGGCTCCCCCGCACAATATAAGGTTTCTCGGCTTCGGGCCGAAGCATCACTTGTTAACCGCGGCGTCAAAAACCATCAGATATCGGCTTTGAAGCAAGAGAATCAACTGGGCAATACTTGCAATTTGATTCTGGCATCAGATCAACTTGGATACAGTCATTTTCGCACAGTATACCCGATATTTCTGCGCGTCATGACTGGCCTCGCATGTAATAGGGGTTCTATCTTTTAGAGCGGCTTAGAATCGTTTGAGAGGACAAAGTATCGCTAATATAAAGATTTCATAGTTTAAAGGACTATGTACTATCAATAATTCTCTTATGTAACCGTTGAAGTACTAGTGTAACATGACTGATGCGACTATGTCCATACTAGAACTGGCTTGATCACTGATCCATCTTTGAAACTCGCAAATGCTTGCTGAAAGTCAGTCGCCTGTTCGATAATGACAGGTAAAATAGTCAGTAATTCATAATAACCCAAGTCCTAGATGTACGTACGTTAAAATACTGCACCAATCGGTCAATTGGAAATTTGCCCTCACGATACCACTTTATCATCTGAGGGATATCCTGGTATTTGCAACCACAGGTTAGAAACTTATTCCCAGCAGAAAAGCTGGATTTTGGAAAAGGAAGAATTATACAAACCCTGTTCGGAACACAATCCCCTTCTATACATCCTACTATAGATCGTCCCATCTATGAACGATGGGTAGGTTAGAGATGACAGAAAGATTGAGAGTATACGGCTCACATTAATATGCCTCGTAACATCGAAACTTAGTTCATATCCCGTAGGAGGTACACCTACGACGACTAATTTGCCAAGCTTGCAGATGCTTTCAAGGGCTTGCTCGAGTAGGGTCGGAGACCCAGTAGTATCAACAAAGATATTGACACCATCGGGGAACATAGAGAAAATAGTATTCTTCAGTGAGTTGTTCTTGAGATCTTTCGTATTAATGATATGTGTTGCACCTAGTTTTTCGGCAAGCTCAAGGCGAGATCCAATTCGATCAACAGCGACTATTGTTTTGCAATCATGGATTTTGGCAGTCTGTAGCGGATAAGTTAGTGCACTTCTTATCTTCTCTTACGCTAGGCAGAACTTGAATTATTTACCATGAGCGTCCCCATTCCAACTGCTCCCATACCAAGTATTACAATAACATCCGTCAGCTTAGGCTGTGTAATATTTTGAATAATACCCATTCCAGTCTGAAATCCACAACCTAGCGGTGCGAAGAGCTTGAGCTCGTCATCACTATTGAGAATAGACTCAACATTAATAACGCTTTGTTCAGCCACGATGCTGTAATGGGAAAAGCTTGACTGCCCAAAAAATTTTGACCATAATTCACCATCAGTTTTATGTAACTTCATGAATCCCTGCTGTCCTGGATAATTTTCGCTTTGAAACTTTTGGCAATAGGCAGGATGCTGGTCTTGGCATTGACCACAGGAAGAGCACGAGTAAAAAGATAATAATACCCTATCTCCAACTTTGACGGATCGAACATTGGCTCCTATGGCTCTCACTATTCCAGAACCTAGGTTTTACTTCAATATTGCCATTTTCATTGTCTGGGGGGAAGGGGGCAAACTACCTTCATGGCCACCAACTTTTGGATAAATCACCCCATGAATACCACGAGGTACCGAGCATAACAGATTATCTGTATGGCAGATACCCGCAGCACGTACTTCAACAAGTATATCACCTTCGGCTGGCGGATAGACATCGACGTCTTCCAATGAATAGTTCGGTTTCAAAGGCTCCAGTGGCTCGCTGGCCACGATTGCCTGTGTTACAATCACTTCTTTGCTTTGGTTAGTAGCCATTATCTAGCTGAATTGTACATGCACTATATGTCGCTGGCTCTGGGCGATCGAAGAAGTAGTAGAGGGAGTTAAGGTGGATTATAAACCTTAATTCTAGATGAATTGGTTGGGGGAATCAATAGAAGGATATGACGTTTTACCCGCGGGATCTCGGTAATAACCCGCCACTTTCTCTCGAGCACGTGGACTCTAGTAACTTAGAATCTCAATTTCCTAAGCACAATGACAATTATATATAAACAATAAATTTAGCGCCACTTATATGTTTAAGATAGGTACAAAACAGATTAAGATTTAACTAACATTAATATCATTGATGTGTGGCTGACTTTGAAGCTCCTAGCAATCAGAAGTGTGTATATAATCTTGACTTATCTCTACAAGTGATACATTGTAATAAATGCAATTAAAGGATTATACTTAATTTATGACTGACTGTGTGAAGATGACACCGAAACAGGAACAAGTGCCTGAGAATCATCATTGTTGCGTCCCCTATAGTCGCTATCTTTTTAAGAACCTGACCCGTCAACGCCCATATGCAAATACTAAATCATTCATCAGCAAGCTTCTTATTTTCCTCTTCCAAGGCCTTGGTAGCATCGATTAGCTCGCTAATATGTCAACAGTCATTTCCTATCAGCACACGCAATGCAAGTCTCATACTTATTAAAAAAATAGACCCAAGTTCCGACTTCATTAGTTCTGATCAGATGGCCATGACAATGGAGTAAACACCATAAGTTATCTCCAGACTCTGCACGTATTTTGCCACAAAAACATCAAGGCCACCTAATATAACAAGCGTATCAGGGAGTAGATGGTGACTGAGAACACTGAAGAATAAATTCATGTCCCCATAGCGTTGGAAAGAGACACAGCGCGAGTTTGTAAAATTATAGCTTGGTACCTATAAATATCGACTTTGTCAGATTAACAAAAGCTAAATATAAAAAAAAGAAAATAAAAAGTTTTTAAGTAGACCATAGAACTTCTAAGCCTCTTGTAAATATAAAGAATAGTTTAATAATTAAGTAAAAATAATAGTACCAAGACTAAAGCTAGAAATATTATAATAACCAAATGAATGAATAATTAGTTTAATTTTAATTAAGATACAATTTATTATCTGCTCCTTTGAATCTATATTGGCTCCACGGATTATATATCATCAAGTTTGCTTGCCAAAAAAGGCAGAGCTACATAAAGAATATAATAAGAAGCCAGTTTCAAAAGACACTTAAAAATCAACTGTTACGTTATTTCACCAGCTACAAGTGTAAATGCTCATTTCTGGAGCTTCTACTCTAATAATATATTTAAAATCAAAAGTTTTTTAGTAGGATCCAGCGATACATAACTACATTCCTGATGGAATATAGTGTAGAGAAAACATACTGAAAGACACTCATCAAACGAATGGCCCCACAAGGGTGACTTAAGATAAGCCACGAGGAATGAATGAGAGAATTATGGGTTGAAGCAGATTTATCTTACTTTGACTTAACGTTGTTTGCTGTCTGATCAAACTCACCATGTAATACAGCCTCCTCGTGATTTCTTATCGCTGCGATCATGCGGGTCATGCCAGCCACCGAGGATATTTATTTTAGCAGGCAAAGTATTCGTGGAAAAGGCTGTTGAGTTAGCGATATGACATGCAGCTGCACTCGGTTCATCCGAACACGCACATTAAAAAAAAATAAGTATTAAATACAACCCTTCTTACTCCCGCCCTCTGCTCTTCTTCCTGATCCTCAACCTAAACACTTGGCACAGACAGGTGAACTAAATTAGTAGGTCGGGTAAGCTGAACAGTTTAGTAACAAGCCTGCCAGCATACTAGGCAGCTGAAAAAAGCGCCGACTAGGAGGCGTACTCGGAATAGGAAGCCTGCAGCTAAGCATGGGAATCAACAGCCTGCTTGGACATACCCTTTACATAATTCTCCACTGGATAGTACCTATCTGCGACTTTCAAATGCATTCGGACCCAAAAACATGAATGCAGGTGTACGGTGAGGCTAGATTGGGTTGTGATGGAGCTAAAATATGCCTGCTAGCATCTCGATCAACCTTTGGCCACGCTGATAGTCCGGGGTTGGGCCTCCTAAATTGTTCGGTAGCCGAACACACGCTTTTCCACAATTTGTCAGCCTGCATTTCATTTAATATCAAACCGGGTTTGGTACTGTTCATTATCCTCGATCAAACGAACAATACTTTGCGCAGGTTGATCTACTCAAGACGGATGGTTGTATTATAGGAATTGACCAGCTGATAGATGGTAATTTGAGAGTCTCAAATCTTTAAGATATCGCATCAATTTCTATGCCAAGATACCAGAAGTATGTCACAACATAATATAACGTCATGAAGGCTAGTCTGAATGTCTTTGGAAGTTGGTACCTACATAAGACCATGTACATTGGTACCTAGATATACATGTTCAAGTTCTCGGATTTGCATATATAGGGCTCTAGAGATTTTGAGCAGATCTAATCACGTGCGGCCGTAGGAGGCCGAAGACAATTGATCCAGATCGCTAACATTGGAAACTAATGTAGGACCACCCCAAGACTGGCTAGTGCTGACGTTCGATTAAGACGCTACCTGAATAAGCATATGTAGACTGATCTAGTGAGCCCCATATCGGCGTTTTTGATTGCTACCTCGTGGGGGCTAAAATGTGGCGTCAACATTTTACGTCAAAGAGTGCTGTCCAGCCACTCCTGGACCATCTCCTATCGGACAGGGCCCGACAGACCATGCAGGTCATATCTAATCTAGCGATGATATTTCTATTCACATTGAATTGGAATGGTAGGAGGAATTCAGCCCGTTTTTTGTAGTATTTAGAGGTATTGATCGCCTCCCTGCGAGTCTCATCAATAGTCACCAAAATTGATACTACATCACCTCCTAGATCGACGAGTTATTCAGAGTAATTTAGTTGATTCAATCATCAGTCAGACTCCGAGGAACTTTTTCATAATGAAGGTGAGCTACAACGAACGCGTGCTGATTAATATACATATAATCTTTATATAACTAAACCGAAACCCTAGGTCTTCCTATTGTCCACTGTCAGCTTTGTGTTGCCCGCTCTCTCTGTTGCTGCTGCAACAGCATTTTTTGAAACCTACCTCGAGGCGGGCTGTTCTCCTGCTGAAGCTCTTACAACCACTTCAATCACAGACCTGGCTCCTTGCTACGGTCTAGAGCCATGGCCTGTCGCAAGTTTGAATCTCTATCAAACTGTCAGTTGTGAAGAGAGCAAAACATTGAAGGCTCAGATTTTCGACAATAATTCCTGTACCGGGGATGCCCTGTTGACTATTAATCCTGTTTCTTCTCAGAAGACGTGCATCTCGCTGGATACTGGCAGTGATTATGTGCAAGGCGTTTCCATTCAGTGTCTCTAAGTGACATAAATCACTGCATGGAATAGGCTTACACTATGTGGGGTTGAAGACTCTTTCTTTGAGAGCTTCATGCGATGTAAAGCGTGCGTGGGGTGATCGCGCTCGGATCTCGATATCAATTGAACTACCCCTAAAATTATAGCTCTAAGCAATGCATGTTGAAGCTCTTGATCCTGAACTTTATCCTCGCTTTTACCCTGTGTTAAAGATATATTCGACTATCCTTTATAATAAAAGGCTTCCGATTCCCCAAACTTGGATATCAGATTATCTATTTGACTGACACTGTTATCTTTTGGGATTGTAGTTTGTAAGCGAATCTGCCCTTGATTTATCTTATGACTCTATTACCTTGACGACAGATATTGTCTTCTTACGGTACTATGGTTTGTAAGTGAGCCAACTAATGTGCAGTAGACCTCACTCTAACGCATACATGAGACGCCATTGTCTTGGGCTGTTGTGTTAAGTCATGTAGCTGTTGTTCAACTGCTGCTTAAACATGGTGCGAAACCCAACATACAGAATGGCGAAATTGGACAGCTGTACAGTGGGCTATGGCGCGTGAAGACAACACAATATGAAATCTACTACTATCGCAAATCTGTTAAACGTCACTCCTAAACATCTCTGTTAGTATTCCGAACCGTTCTCTCTGCCTGTTTCGCACGCTGAAATATTGATATGTAATAAGCGAGCCGATTGAATTTCATTAACTTGGGGTGCATGAGGGCTGATACCTGGATTAAGTCTTGTTAAGGTTAGCATACATGAACCGCAGATGCTTGACGTTTTCGGGGCCAATATATGACATTATATCTCTTCAAGAAAAGTGTCAAAGAAAAAAAAGGTTCGATGAACCGAAGACCTCGCTGGATACAGGTTGACGTTGTTGGATATTGATATCACTCTGCCGGCCGTACGTCGTCATGAGCAGTGATTGACAGTCTTCCATCTGTCCGGTGAGGCCCTGCGAAGGGTTTCATGCATCTTACTGGTCCCAGAGTATTTTGACATAGAAGAGTAGCACCAAGTACAGGAAGAATGGGTAGGGTCAGAATTCAGTAGCTTCAGCGCCAGAGACAACATGCCACATACATGGGGAACGTCCCAACAGCCGGTTGGGTCCCGACCAGCGTCAGCAATAGCTATGCAGCCTCGCTAGCCGCTAAGCTGAGGCTCCCCATCTAAGCTAAAAGGCTGAATGGCCCTTTCTACATCTGTCGTTTAGCCTGACTAGCATGGGATTTTCTCAGCACAGGCCTGGGGAGAATACGAAGATGAGGCTGACTACATGGAAATATTCAATATGGACGATACTTTATATCGTTACATCTACAACTGACAGCAACTTATTCATATACACCCTTTGTGTATGGAAGCAGTCATACATCCCCCCCCCGGGGACCAATATTGCTATACTGAATATCGATATTTTAACATGTTCTAGAAATACACATCATTCATTATATAAGTAATGAGTTAGTAGTATATATTAGACTGGCTTCTTTATAATCCTGTTCCCAAATTCTTTTGTGTGACGTCTTATTTAATGTAGCGAAGTGGTTGCTGTTCCGTCCTCTGAAAACCTACTGAATGATCGTCGCGTTGTGTATTATCACAGTTAGAAAAGGGTGATCTGTTGGTTAGTGATAATGTGTTATAACTATGCATACATGCAGCGACTTTAAATGCGTCGCTGATAGGGAATTATGGAGAATTAACGTTGGCTGAGATAGTCAAGACAGGGAAGTCGATCTTAAAATTGTCATATTACTCAGATTACATGGAATTTGGTCTGGTTTCCCTTTATTTCATGATTTCGGTTTCCTTGTTCATTTACTTGGTTTTTTCTCTGTCGTAAATCTCATTTTTCCCTCAATCGTTATAGCCGACACATGATTTGTTTGTTTGCAGACAGAGACTATGTCCCTGTATCAAAATGCCGTCTAGAGAAGGAAAAGGAGGAGGAATAGTTTACTACAATGGGTTTCAAGGCCAAGACCATCCACTTTCAAAATCAGAATATAACACGGAATCAATTTTGAAACTAAATCCAAATTCGACTGACCTATTTGTCTTGTGCCAACTCGGTGTCCTTGCTAGTAATATTCATGTTCTTCACTTGCTCACCTGGAAGCTTAACCTCGGCCAAGAGGGTTTCTCCTTGAATGACATGGTTAGAGCCACCGAATAGCACATCTATCTCTTCTAGCGGAACGTTCTTTGTCTCTGGAATAACCAAATAAACAAAAATGGCAAGTAGGGTATTGATGCCGGCGAAAAAGTAAAAGGCATAAAACCTATTCCCTAGTCAGTATAACATGCCGGTTTTAAAGTAATAGAGACACTATATACCCTTTCTTCTCTAAGAAAATAGGGAAAAATTGTTGGAATATTGTGTTGGCGACATTTTGAGTTTGCGACGCCATGCCAACAGCCTGTGCACGCACATTCATGGAGAAGACTTCCGATGTCCAGATCCAAACTGTTGCACCCCAAGATGGTTTGTCTTCAAGTCCCTTGTTAGAATAGCTCTCAGAAGTAAATAGGGGAGAAGGCTCACAAAATAAAATAAAGAGAAAAAGCAAAAAGACAAGAGAGATGCCGACTGGTTGTGATTTCGCGCCGTTGGCCAAGCTCGGGCTCTCAGTCTCAACTGCGGCGACGATTATCATGCAGACGGCCATACCGATACCACCAATCTCCAATAGTACCTTTCGACCAAAGCGATCAACTATCCATATTGCGTTAAGAGTGAAAATTATGCCAAAGGTGGCATTGAGCGCATTTATTAGTGCAATCTGGCTGCTGGATGTAAAAACCTTTTGGTAAATCTTTGTCGAGTAAGTATTCAAAGAACCCTGACCCGTTAACTGTTGGCCCGCGTTGATAACGAAAGCAAGCAGAAGTCGTTTTCTGATCGAACGATCCTTCCATAGAGCACTGTATGAGCTTGAAATTGCCTCTTTTTCATACTCTAGGGCTTCGCGAATCTGAAGAATTTCCTGTTCAACCTCATCCTCCGTATCGCGAATCAGACGCAACGCTGAGCGGGCTTTTTCTATTTTTTTTTTCTGAATATACCATCTAGGGGTGCCTGGTATAGTCGGTAGGAGCGCAAGAATGAGAATTGGCACCAAGAGTTGGAAGATGACCACCATTTTCCAGTCCCATTCACCTAGAAGGGAACTGTGTTTAGTACACGCATAATTCACCCAAAAGCAAATGAATGACCCGACTGAATAGAATGTCTGCCACAGCGTCATTATTTTACCTCGAATATGCGGTGGAGCAAGCTCGCCTATATAGATCGGACCGGATGCTGTCATTTGTTTTCTCGTCAGCTATCCGCTCAACGGCGGGTTGGAAAAATAATCGAGCCTACTTAAAGCAACCCCCTGTCCAATACCAATAATACATCTTCCCGCTAAAAAACAAGCGATACTATGACGTGGAGAAAAAGCCTGCATGAAGGTTGCTATAATGACGAGCACACACCCGATTGCCATGCCTACTTTACGACCGAGATAATCAGCCACAGGGCCTCCAAAGAAGAACCCTCCGACGATGGCACCGACGGCGTATGCTGTGTTGACTGCACCGATCATGTTGGCATCTGGGTTGTTGAAGTAATCAACCCAGTTTTTGGATCCTTGAACAGAGTTGTAGACAGAGGCATCATAGCCGTACAGCACCATGCATGCTGCGGCGATAATGGATGCATACCTGTAGAGATTAGCAGCTATGCACCCCAAATTTAATCTTGATGAAAGGAGACATGTTACCAGTTATACGCTCTGGCAGAGCCTAGAAAGTTCTTAGGCATTGGTTCTCTTAATGTCTCTAGGCTGGGTGTAATGGATTGCGGTACGCAAGTGCTATAGAAGGAAAAATTCCTAAAATGAGGCTTTTGAGAAATTTCTTTAAGACGCTAGGTAGCAAAATATAGCTTCCTATATATTCTTCTTAATCCGCTTAATTTGATTCTATCATATTGACTATGATCTAATAGGTTCGTCTATTATTGCATAGTTGGCAAGTTGTTCTCTTTTGGGAACCTTAATCAGCCATAATAAATCCACCAGTCACAGTACGAAATTCTGTCATTGGGGATTGATACTGAAATCCAGAACCTAATTTTGAAACTCAAAGTAAGTGCTACGAGCTTCGCTCTCAGACAATACCCCTACAAATAGCTAAATAACTAACAATGGTGCCTTCACCTTTTGTTGCATAACTGTAGAATTCACCGGCTTCCAGATGTCCTTGCAAGGCGTATGTCAGCTATTCTTGCCATAATATAGGCTTGATATATTGTTTGATACCTCTGCCCCAAACTTTCTCAATTTATTATATCCGTGAGCTATTCGGAATACAGTTCAAGAAGCAAGGTCGCACTGTAAACCCCTTACATAATATAGCTCACTACATATGTAGGATTTGTTTATAGGGTTTCGCGCAACACCACAGTTTAATCCTGTATATACCCTTTGAGTCTGATACTGAATTTTCCGTTTTTCGTATCGAGATTACCGGTATGGATAAATAACTACTCCATATGAGAGATAGGGCTGGTTTAGGTATCAAGAGATATAACCTAAATATCATCTCTGACGTCACCCTAAACGAACTGGACGTCTTAACATGGAGATCTTTTTCAAATTTGTCTCATCACACTAAGACTGACAATGCTCAAACCTGAAAGAGAGAACAGAGAATAGGTTAGATTTTGAAAGTGAAAGGGCAAGCTAACGAACTCGCGTGGAATTCCGCTTCAGTCGGGTTAAACGGGCCTAAAGGATAAGGCCCATTCCTGAAACCTGAAATAGTAACAAGAAAATAGCCATCTTTCACGCACATAATGGACTGACTATTTAGGTCAAACTCTGGTGTAATCGGATTGATTGGTGTAGAAATGAATCTCACCGTGCTTTCAGGCTATATCAATGTGAAATCCCCGTCCCCTACCGGTTATTTGCTTGGTGAGAAACTGAAAGTAAACGGATATTATTACAGTCTCTGCCGATTGGTGGGTAAATAATTATGCCAGCAGGAATCGTGGGGTTTCCCCGCACTGGTAGTGCCATCGTTCTAAAGGGGATTCCACGCTAAGAGATATTAATATTTATTATTTACGAGCCGCATATACCTAAGAATAATTCCTTACTTTTAGTATTAATAATTTTTCAGGTTTATTGAAGCGCAATGATTTTGCTCATTGTTATCGGGAAATATATAGGTTCGAGACAGGTAGATGGTAGGCTGGTGGCCGTAGCCACCCCTAGACCAATAGCCTCACTTCGGAGGTTGAATAACACGGCAGGTTTCCCCTCCTTCAACTACATGTACTCTACGCTGCTTTCTGGCCTGCTCCCAACAGTAGGAATGAGTGCCATATTTGCTGTTTTGATATTTTTGCTTTCTGTCCATGAGGATAAATATGCCGTTGGTATCTCTGATGTATGGAAGGGGTGATGAGTTCCTATACAGTTTGTGTCCATAAAACCTTTATACTTCGGGGAGTAAATACATACCATAATGAATATACTATAACTGTGAGACCCTGGATATTCCTGGATATTCGCCAGAGTAAGATTAAAAAGTCAAGGACAATCCCTTTTCCAATTGAAGCCGTTAAAAGTAAACCAGTATAGTATGGTGAAGAAAGATCGTAGGTGATGGTGCGTCTTTCGTTGAATACTGTAGCCCCTATTACTGTTGCCTTGATTAACGGAATAGGGATATACTCGCACACCTTCGAAGGGCGATAGTGGAATTAGAGCCAATGGGAAACGGTCAAAGGAGAAGATTCCACAGCATGGGGTCTTCCCACAGGATTATATCTCTCACCGTTTATGTAGGTTGAAAGTTAGGCAGGGGATGTGTTATAGTCTTATTTAGTCATATTTACCCTGTAGAAAGGTGTGTTTCTGAATTAGAGACAATATTTGAACCTGAATAGTTGCTATATAGACAGAAAGTTACGTGTTATGATGCGCACTAGTCCTTATTAAACGACGACTGGTAGATTCACGACTTTCAAGATTGAGTTTTCAGAGACCGGGGCCAGTCAGTAACCGGTGACGGAATGACGGTATATAATTAAAGTTAGGTGCCTAGGCTGAAGGCCTAGAATTTCTTAATAGTGACTAGAAGTTCATTACGAGATTATAGGTGACAACTAAATATTAATAAAGGGGATATTAAAAAGCGTCTTGGGGTGGTAGAAAGTCTATCAAGTACGCCACGATTAATAAAGAGCGTAGTCAATTCTCCAATTTGACCTAAATGTCCAGAAATAACATTAAAGGACCGACGCCGTGAGGGAATATGCAACAAGGTGGCATAGGATTCAAAATTCCACTCGAAAACTAGCTTTGAACATATTCGCATCATCTAAAAATATGACGATTCTATAAGCTCCAAAGAAATGTAATATTGTCTACATATGTACTCAGTGAAAGTATATACATTGAAACAAATGACAACAAGCGGTAGTCCAAGTGGTAAATAGCGAATGAAAAAACTTGGTCATGGAAGGATGTACCCACCATTGCGACCGAAGAATATTTTAAGACCCCTTCGGTAAAAATAGAAATGTATGTAGGTTCTTGGGTGGCAAGCATATTGAAGCCTTTCATGCAGTTCACGCATCTAAATCAATGGCTGCCTTCAAGCATTGACGTGAAACAACGTCAGCTAGTTTGTTCACGCGCAAGTAGAGGCAGCGTTAACCCAGCCCGTAAGGCGGTTAGCAATATCAGACGCGTAGCATGCAGTAGCACCATTCGCATTGCTAAGATTTCCATCAGCAGCGATGGACCCAGAATTGTAGATACGAGCGGCACGATAGTATGCAGAAACATCGGAGGTTTGAGCGTTGTTAATGCAGTTAGCAAGACCATCACCACTATCAGTACCGGCAGCTATAGGATATCATCAGTATTCCGGTCTTTTTATTTGTATTTGTCAATTACTCACTTCCGTCTTCAATCATTTGAACAATTTCAGAGTCTGGGCATGGGTTCTGAACAGAACCGTTGTCGTTGCAGGTGCCTGAACCCGCATGGCTCTGCATCAGGCCCGGGTTGGTAACGCCATTGCCTGTTGTGTGGACACGGACGCATCCATTAGACTCCTGGAGGACAACGGCGAGAATGAAGCGATGATCGACAAAGGTTTCTTGGGCAACTTGGTTGATAGCGTCCTGGAGCTCTTGGATCTCATCATCACTATCATCAGGAACGCCCATCCAGTCGCAGCTAATCGACATGTGCGCTTTGTTGGCCTCAAACCTTCGTCTTGTCAGTGGCTGAAAACGGTTCGATTAAGTAAAAGCCTAGCAATGGTAAACATACATTTCGTTGAAGGAAACCCAGCTGGACGCAGCGGGCCAGCCTGCGCCAGTAGAGCCATCACCAGTGTAGTAGGTGTAAGAGTCTGTTCCAGCTCCAACACCATCCTCTGCATTCACAGCGGTGACCTGAAGGCTAGTGGCCGTAACTGTTTCGCCAGTCGTGGCGTAGGAAACGCCAACAAGGGCGGCAGCAGAGAGAAGGGCGACGGCACGCATTTTGAATGTTTTAGTAAGGATAAATAACTGATAGTCGGGGTTCTTAAAAGGAGTGAAAGAACACAATGATAAGATATATACTGAATAGAAAAGCTTAAGGAATGAAAGGTACCTGACCGAGTGGACCTGAATGTTGCTTGGTGAAGAAAGGATAATTGAAAAGCAGCATCATGGCGAGGACCTATTTATATTGTTATTGCTGAATTATTCATCATCACATTTAGTGATGAATTATGTAAAATATCTGAATACAACACTGTTCAAGAAACAGCTCCCGCGACACAAAACGAAACTAACTTGTCATCATCGACCACTACTACCACCCTATCTAAGTAAAGTGACAACAGGTCATTGAGGCTAAAAGTTCTTTCAAGCCACATTTTACATCCAAGCTGGTAACGGTAGTATGGAACATACGCGACTATAAATTTCCTGTCATAAGCTACTGGTTACTGATCAAGATGAGGTACAAACTCTCGTCAACACATGATACCAATTTCTTTAGGGGAAAGAATTATAGCATGGTAGACATCGATCTCTAGATCCTCGCACGCTTACCCACTTACTATTCAGCAACGCAAAAGCCACAGTTCTTCAAGAGTGCTGTGTTGCTCCGGTCAGCCAACCAAAGCAAATACTACCTAATGACTCTTCTACGAACGCCACCAACAATCGAGGGAGTTAGGAATTTCAAGTGTCAAGCCACAACGGGGCCGCTGAGATAATCCTGCACTTGCTTCTTTAGATAATTTAAGGGATAATTCAATGTCTAAATGAAGTGGGATGACGGAAAAGGTCAATTCTGGCACGAAGATGACAAAAGGCAATCGCACCAGTCGCTCATGTAAATAGTCAGAGACAAATGGTAGCTCTATGAGTAGGGATTTATCAATCAACATAAATGTCAGCTAGTTATTTGCAATACTTACGAAGTTTAAATTACTACGATGAGGCTCAGAGCTGACTGTACAAATATGCTAACTACAAAGCCCAGATATTCACTAGTTATGTTTGAAACGCAAGCATTCGAAAATAGTGTTGCTTTAGTTCCGGAGCCGAAGAGTCTTGCATATGCCAGCCCGATCATCGATGACAAAATACCAGTCTATGCAAGCGATAAAATCGTGGCGAGATGGATGCACGTGGAGTATTTTAGTCAATTTAACCGTTCTTTGTTCGCGACTTGCAACCATAACTACTGTACTATGCTCCATTGCTGACGGGGTGGCCCAAACGTCAGGATTAATAAGCTTCCTCGTAACGCTAGATAGTGGGAAATTCGCCAGACCTAGGCTTGGGAAAGGGAAATAATTGTGGTCGCTGAACGGGCGAACATGTTCGCTACCCTCAGCTGAAGATTTTCTAGATATAGTCAAAATAGGACGATAGAGTGCGAAGGTCAATAAAAACAGTGTTCGTGCGGCTAGAATTTCTACCTTTGATAACAGTTATTTATCTTACTACTCCATACGCTCTTAAAGTATATGATGCTTAGCAATGATTGGCTATCAAAGCGAAAGAACAAGATCTAGGCAAATCATAGCTTGGAACGTCTCTGGATAAGCGATAAATACGAGTAAATCGCAATTTCGGCTTGCTTCCGTTGTGCCATGGCGCGAAAACTCTAAAAAATCCCCTTCATGATTCTAGATGCTATACGTGATGTTACATGTCATATAGGGAGTTCATGTGGCATCACAGCCGCTGGCCACTAATATAGTAGTAAAATTGAAACGCAGATGGTGGTTTTCTATCCGTGTGCTCAGCCCCTGATCTTGTCCTAGCTCCTGAATCCTAATAGATCAATCAAAAGGTGGCTTTAGATGTTAGCAAATCTTACCAGTAAGAGTCGGTTTTACCCAATAGGCTGTTGACTAGTTATTCACTAGATTTGAGAAACACTCGACTAAAGAGAATGACCTTTTCTTTCCTGAACAATTTCTGGTCACCCATAATTCCTTCGTCCAAATAGTACGCTAACACAAGTCAGCAATTCAGCGATGAAACATGGGGGCCAGGCGAAGCCCAACTTCCACAAAGCGTTAGCTTCCAATCAGAACGATAGTATTTTCAAGACGAAGAGTAAAATGAAAATAGTTATTATTATTGTCATTCTTTCAATATTCGTAATTTTATTAGAGAAGTTGATCATTTGTCAAACCTGCAGTTGGGGATAACGTGACTGTTGTCAACAGTGCCTTGAGGCATCACTTTACGTCATCCGCAGCCGGTGCAGTTCTGGGTGTTCGCTTATCGAACATATTCGCTCCAAAAGTGAGCAGTAAAGATCATTTCCTAGATAATATATAAAAAAAATTCTAACCACGTTGGAGTTTCAGCTATCTCCAGCAACTGTTGCACTTGCTCAATTGATATGTCTGGGAGGTAACCTTAAGTATTCTACTCCCAAAGTTTGTTCTCCTTTTTAGCAAGCCCCTATTACAGGAACTAGTCTTGGCACCGTATTGAGTTGCTTATTTTCAGTTGATACCTGTAGGACTGAGACAGGTACATTACTTAATCAAGTTCCTTTATATATCTTGTTTCATCTTTGTATAGAATTTAGACAGGGCAAAAGAAATTACATAATGGTCCTCTGATTAGGCAGACTGTGAAGACAATCACAAGACACGAACATGACGTAGAAGGTATTTTGAATTTGAATTCGAATTCAGCAAAGATCTATTTAAACATTCGACGGTCGTAAAGTTAGTGCCTTTCATAGACTGAGAGGTCCGAAATTTCACATTGAAACTGGTATCACATATAGCAGTGGTTTGGTGTCAGAGACGGCCTGAGTTTAAGTGCATGACCTCATACGTCTGATCATCTGCACACCAATCATTCACCCCTGCCCAAACATATCAATTTATGCATGCATGTACAGGAACTATATACAGACAGATAGGAAAAATGGTCATTATGCGTCAGGGTACGTGCCTGATTCCAAGGCAGTCGGGGAATGTCTTTCCTCAATAGGTTTCTCTACCTCGTCGTCTTGGCCCCGACCAAGCCCGTAGTGGGCGGCTCGAGCATCAATTTCATCATCGCTAAGCTTGGGCATCTCCCGCGCTGCGGTAACGTAGCTCTTGTTCTCCACATAGCCTTTCGCGAAAATCAAGTCAATTTCTTCCAGACTGCGTCCGGCGGTCTCTGGATAGAAGAGCCAAATAATAGGAATAAAGCAGGCATTCATGGCAGCAAAAAACAGATAAGTGCCCCATTGAATATTTTGTACCATCACGGGAGTGATCATGACAACTGTAAAGTTAAAAAGCCAATTGCTGCAAGTCGACACTGCGTTAGCCTTAGCGCGTGTCTTGATGGGGGATATTTCGGCAGGGTACAGCCAAGGAAGGGGGAGCCAGGTTGCGCCGAAGAAGCACATGTAAAGGAATAGGCCAAAGACAGCGCCATCAGCAGTCTTGGGGTTATTCGGAATGAGACAAGCAAATGTGATGGTCATGGCTGTGAGCTGGCCGAATGAACCCCCGAGGAATAGCTTGCGCCGCCCAATCTTCTCAACAAAGAACCATGAAAAGGTCGCGAAGATGGCATAACAAATCATATTTATACCGCCAATAAGCAAGGCACGGTCGTTGGACTCATTCAACGACTGCTTAAGCAAGACAGGAAGATAGTATATCACGGCATTACAACCTGATAATTGTTGAAACATCTGAGACGAAGCTCCGATCAACATGCGGCGGAGATGCTGAGTTCGACCACCAGTCGTCAGATCCTTGAATGTCACCTTCGTATCCATTGCACCAGATGCTCGAAGAGAGTCGATGACAAGCTGTTTTTGAATTTGTGTCTCATGATCGTTGATTTCACATCCGTTCAAGGCGGCAAGTACGGACTCTCCCTGTTCCATTTGACCCCGGGAGATCAAGTACCGTGGAGAATCAGGGAGAAAGAGCATTCCAACAATAATTATTAGTCCAAAGAAAATTTGGAATGCGATGGGGAAACGCCACACGAGATCGGGTGGGCCGTAGTGTGCGCCAAAGTCTATCCAGTATGCAATCGCAGTGCCGATGGCGATCACACCGCCCTCAATGCAGATGAGAAGCCCTCTATTACTGGTCTTGGAACACTCCGCTTGATATGTCGGGATAGTCGATGTATTCATACCATTACCAATACCAGTGATGGTACGACCGACCATGAACTGGGCAAGAGGGGCGTGGCCAGGAAACGATGTCACCTGAATAACAACACCAATAATCATTATTGTGGCTCCAATCATGATCATTTTGCGGCGACCAAGTTTGTCGCCTGCAACCAAGGCAAAAATGGCACCAAGCAAGCATCCGAGTTCATAAATGGCTGTCACTAGAGCTTGCATTGTGTTGTCGTTCTTGGTGGCAGTGAAAACATCGTTGAACGCGACATCACTAATAATGCCTGACATCACACCCTGGTCATAGCCAAAAAGCAAAAAGCCCATTGTCGCGATAGTTGATATTGTCAAGGAGAGTGGCCTCCCTGACAGCCCAGCGTATTTGGGAGCCATAGTTGGGGATTTTTCTTAATTGGACTATTCCAATTGGGATATCCAACTCGTGGCACGCTCTCTCAGTAGAGTTTGGAGTATATGTACTTCAAAATATAGCAGTACGACCTGCAAGCCCCTGAGGGGGTTATAAATATTCCGTACCTTTCCCCCTGCCTCTGACTTTTCTTTCTTCATGCTACAGAACATGGAGGGTACCCCACGCAATACATCACTCTTCTCCACAGAGGGGCAGCATGAGGGCTCTCACCCAGACAAGGCTTTACTACGATTAGCTACGAGGCGCCGCTGCTAACGATTGGTGCGCAGGCTGTGGGCTCGAAAGTGGGTTGTGGGAGGTCTTTATGCAGTTTTAAGTTGAAAAGGCGGATCTATGTGTAATGCGAATGTCGGAGCCTTACGGAATTACACAGACATAGATCCGTTGAGGTGGATATATTCTCCACTGTTCCTGATGCGAACTTGCGTTTCCACATCGAATGACATCACATAGTTCCGCTTGGGAAGAAGTTCTGCGAAAGATTTTCTGTTATGTTATCCTTTCTTTCCACCCTTCTTGATCTTGGTTCACCGAGTGACGTATAGCGCTTCGGTGAGGTTTTGAGGACCCATTATTATTGGTTTAGCAACTTTAGTCAACCTTGAAATAAGCGCATGCACTGGAGAGCCTCGCTACTTTCAGAGCAGTGCTTGCACTCCTGTCAGATAATATGGAGGTGAAGCCTCACGATCACCACTGTGATTTGTAGCTATCAGTTTTGCGTTTGTCATGCTCTACCATGGGGTCAAAATACAGTGGGTGGGATCGGTGATAATGCCGCCAACACGGTGATTAAAATCGGTCTGGTATTGTTGTTCGGCAACGGCTGTGCCATCGGCCCGACATGGCTCGATTGTTTTCGGAAGATGGGCGGATCAACCTGCGTTTTTACGGAGCCCATCCGGTACGACTCGGTACAAGAGGCGGCCCTTGCCAGAAGCGGCGAGCGCGGCCCAATGATAATCAATGACAGCAATATGCAAAATCCACCTCTGGACGTTATTGCGTCACCGTCCAGCATTCTGCACTCTGATCAATGTCGATCTATTTAAATACCAATAGTCTTAATCATAGTTGTCGTCATATTGCATTATCGTCTTTTTGGCCCTCTCTGCTAGTGAAGAATTTTGAACGCCACTCGGTACACAGTGTATCGATTGTATTCGCCACTTAAATGGGCGCCAATAGTGATTGGCCTGTTGCGCTGGATATTAATTGATGGAACGATGAAATATGCATAACTTCGTATGTGAAAATCATATTTTTGGTGGCTTAAAGGAAAATAGAAGGAAATACTAGGTTGAATTACCAAATCTGTGGTCCACCCTCACTGCCTCGCTGCTTCTCGGTGCAATCTAATTGCCTGATTGCAGCCGAGTGTGGAACTTATCACATTTAATCATCCTTTATTTCATACAGAATGCCGAAAGACGAATATCGACGCTCCAGACAAGGCGGAGGCGGGGTCAGCGATGGCACCTAGGTATATAGACCATAAAAAGCACCCCATATCCAGTGTGCGACCACCGGCTTATTTAGCGCGCTCTATACTTAGAGTCCTACCAATATTCACACCTTGGATCGTTATTTCGCCAGATTCATTGGTGGTTCATTGTCGCCATGTGATATCCTGGAAAAGGTCAAGGAAGCGGTGTCCTTGGGGGCTTCGGACATCGAAAACATCAGGAAATAAAAAGGTGATGAGAATCGTTACAGCCGAGATATTAATTCGCTTTCAATCCACTTCAAGTTTCAGAAACGGAGTATAATGTAACGAAAAACACCCCCCTTGACGAAAATTCAGCCCCTTCCTTGTATTCCATATTTTTCTGTAGCCAAAGTCTCAAAACTCTAGAAGCGCCATACACTAGAATAGCCGTGGTTGGCCAGTGAATAGTTAAAATTACATGACCCTTCGCGCCATTTCCTTTTATATCCCTGCTTGAACACACCCGCTGTTTAATTATGAACTATATATATCTGCAAGGCACGCAGGAACTGAATTGTCAATTTCAGAAGCAACCAGCGGCGCTGGTTTCTAAATTTCAGGTATAATCTTGCTAAATATCGCGTCTCCAAGCGCATCGGTGGCATTTTTGATGTTTTTCAGATCCGACTCCACAAGGGCAGTAGTCGACGCAACGCCCAAAACAGCAATTTCAAAAGCCGAGTACTGAGCAATGAAGTTATCATGAAGGCTGTACACATAAGGCTGGAGCCCGGTGACAGATTATGCAACGGTAGTCGAGTCTGCCTGGTTTCAGCGCAGATGTAGAATCGGTCGTTGCAGTGGTGCTGTTGATTTCTGATAGGAGGCCTTGGGCCTGACCTTGGACTTGTAGGGCAGTCAGGGTTCCAATCAGTGAGCCGTTGAATGTGTTTAGTGTGCCATGAATCGTGACAATCTCGTTAGTGACATTCTTGCGAGGATGGCATCAGCCCCAGATGCAGCTTCAGCAACGCTGAGGCAAGTCGATAGAGCGATGGAATGATATTCTGCTTCATATTACAGTAATTTTCTTCCTGGGAGTATTGTGAGACTCCGAAACAATTAGACAAAGAATATTTGTGTCAATGGTGTAAACAGCCCAAAGACAGAAGTACAGTTGGTCTATCAATATTTTTATGTGAGTAAATAGCAATTGACATTCTTGTGAAGACGAGGATATTAGCCCGGTGGAGGAGTTTACGAACATCTGACACTGCGTAGGCATATGCTCACCTTTGAATCACCTCCATAACGCACACACACTGCTAACACCAGGAAGCGTACTAGTTGTTCAGTCGACGAAATAGAAGGATGATTGGTGGCCATTGATATGGAGATCTGCTGTATTTTATGTATGTAATCCATATAAATATTCCCTTGCATGTCAATACATTACCAGCTTTATCAGTTCTCTCAAACGATAATTCCCAAACCTACTATCCTATGTAATATCATCGATCTCTTCATCTTCAATGTTTGTCTGAATTGGCTACAAAACAATCTAATTCCCAAGACGGTTCATTTCCATTCGGTTTAAAACATCTACGTTGTCTTAGCATGTTATAATTTAACCTTTAGCCAAGAAGTAATTGCCAGATTGTCCAGTCCTAATATCCAACACACTTGTAACATTTAGAAAAACATATTATATACTTCAGACTTTGAGACGTAACTTCAACTAATCAAAAGAAGCTATACTTAATTTTTGGAATCTATTATCCAGCTGTTACTTTCGATAAGTCTCACAAGTTATTAATAATATCGTCAGCGATCTTCTCCGCTAGCATATCTACTATAGGTTAGCCATATATCGTAGAAAAATAATAGAATAGAAAGGAATTATAATATATCAATGCTGTATCGACTTACAGACTGTAGACTGGGGATGCCCTGGTGGTAGAATGGGAAAGGCACTGGCGTCGACAACCCTCAGTCCTTTAACGCCAAAAACTCGTGCTTTGCTATCAATGACTGCTGTTGAATCATCTGCGGTTCCCATTTTACATGTTCCTGCAGGATGCCATAGAGTCATCAGATTATTTCTGATGAATTCGAGAATTTCATCATCGGTCTGAACATCCGTGCCAGGAAAGTACTCTTCGCCAACGATGACAGGGGCCATCGCCTTGCTTTGAAAAGCGGCTCTGATGCGACGAAATATTGCAATGGCAACTTGTTGGTCACTCTCCGTCGCCAGCCAGTTAGGGTTGATTGTTGGTAGATCTGAGGTGTCTGAAGAGGTGATTGTTATATTGCCTCGTGAAGTGGGTGCCACCAGCACGCCTAGAATGGATGCGTATTGGTATCCATCCTTTGGTTGGATCTCAAAGAGGTTGGAACAGTTCCCAATGTAGCCCGCACCAGAGATATACTACATGAGCATGAATTAGTCAAGTCCAGATTCGTGATTGACAGCTTGATTGCAACTCACTTCGGCCTCAGGCCAGTCATCCGAAAACCATGACAAAGCCTGGGTGGTTCCGGAAGAAAAATTGGCCCGTAGACTGCTAGGAATTTTTTCCCAGGCTAATAAATCTGAAATTGGACTAGTCATTATGCCTGTGTGGGTCGTTGCATATGTGACAAACTCTGCTCCAAGATTTAGAAAGTTATTGGCGGTTGCAGTCAGAGTTTCTACTCCGACACGATAGGTCGGAGCAAAAAATGGATGATCCCACATATTCTGTCCAACACCAGCAAGGTCAGACACAGTTTCAATATTGTATTGCTGTAGAATGTTTGACGGTCCAATTCCAGAAACCATCAGCAGCTGCGGTGATTGGAAGGCACCTGCAGAAATGATAATTTCTTTATTGGCTTCTATCTGAATTGTTGAATTTCCTGACGTTGTTGCTTTCACCCCAGTAGCCTGTTTATCGTCGTTGAATAATATTCTTTTTGCTAGCGTTGACGAGTACACATGTAATGAGGAGCTCGAGTTAGAAGTTGCTAAAAATGAGGATTCGGAGCTGCTTCTGGTCTCATCAGAGGGGCGGATTGTGGAGGCACAGTATTGGGTACCGAAGAGAGATCCAGAGTTAAAGTCATCGGTTTTGTTGATGCCAATTGCTTCCATTCCAAGCAGCATCCAAGTGGAGAATGGCATTGCATAGTTTGTATATGAGACCTGCAAAGGCCCACCGTTCGACTCAAAGGCAGATGCCTGGTATTCTACTGTTGCGTTAGGAAAGCGAGCCTGCGTGTTCGGTGGCGTAAACGCGACGCTTTTTTTGTAATAAGGAAAAACTTTATCGAATACATAACTATTGTCGTCGACGGCATCGGCCCATTTTTGCATTGACTCTATAGTCGGCCTGCTCATTACACAATGTAACTCATTAGTACCTGTAGATACCCAGCCGGGAAGGAATAAGTGTGCTGCTCGAGACCTACCGTTGATAAATCATGAAATTCAACGCCGAGCTGCCGAAATAATAAATCAACCCCTGTCTCTATATTCGTATAAGGTACTCTGCATAGCCTCACCTGCCACCGAGACACTTGCCTCGCGCAAAATGGATATCACGATTGTTTGCTCCCGGCTGTTCCTTGGTTACAAAGCCCCAATCGATGTCTGAGTTTGTTGTCGGATCGGAGCCTGCAGGGAATACGTCGGCTATGGGGAGAGCAGCCAGTGACTCAAACTCATACTGTACTCCAGCTTCGATGAGTGCCACGCTGAAGGACTGTTGAGCCAAACGAGTAGCAATAGCGGCGCCGGCGGTACCTCCTCCAACGACAACATAGTCATAAGTGGCATTAGTGTCGCGGCCTTGTAAGACAGTACTAGAAGAGCGCTCGGAGGAAGATTGAGGAAAGGGTTGACATCCCGCAATTAACCCTAACCATGGCAGTATATGTGCGTATCGCCTCATTACTAACAAACTTTGGGTATGTTGACAATGCAGTAAGTTTCCCACCAAATGGATGTGATGGTTCAATAACGTTATATTCGTACCATCAGTCCCCTGTATTGCCGTCCATCAAGGTATTTGTAAATTTGTCTCGAAAGCATAGACAGTGGGAATGGACATGACACCGAGGCAAGTTGCAGTCCAAAGGGTCCATATGAATGTCCTCACCTTCCGCTAGTTCCCTCGTCTATTCTTCATTGTTGACACTTTTGCTCATGTGAATAGAGGTGGAATTGCAGGTGTCATACAATAAAATAAACACTCACCCTTTTTCACATGGATGAAAGACAACAATTTATGTGGGTTCTCTAGTTTCACAAAACGGTGATGTGGCATTCTGGCCGAAGCTTGATTATTAAAGAAAGCTGTAAAAGAGTTGCCTATTTGTAACTTGATTATTACAGTAAACCGTAGAATTAAAGATTCAATTTTGCATAGGACTTAAGTTCCTTAATATAAGGAGTTTCTTATATTAGGTAATTATGAATATATATATATATAGTAAATCTATAAAGTAAGCCTGCTGAGACCATAAATTAGATTTAAGCAGATATATGATTCTTTAGTCATTTGAATTATTTAAAAAGTGCGTTATTAAGCTTTAGCTACTGATTTGCTAACTGTTGTTTAATCTTGATCCAGTACGAGGAGAGCGAGTTGAGAAATGTGAATTAAGGCGAGAGGATCTAGGATAGTAATAAAGTAAGAATTTTTTGACTGTGTATGGCTTGAAATTAGTTTTGAAACTAGAGATTAGTTAAATATGGCTTTAACTAGTATTGAGCGTGTAGAGCAATTTTTTGTTTATTAGTCATGGTTTTTTAGTGTTTTTTAATGTTTTTGTTGATTTTATTAACACGATAGAGATCCCACGTAAAGGTAAAAGTAAACTTTTACATGCCTTAATTATAAGGAATTTGGTATAGCGAGTTCGTAAAATTATAAGGAATCACTTAGAAGTGGGGTAAGAAGGAATTTTGTATGATGTTCAGTTCCTTAATATAAAGGATTTCTTAATGGGGGAAAGGAGGGGGGGGGGCGAGGGTCCTTAATCATAAGTTATATATGAAAATCATCTCATCTCGTCGATTTTACTCAGTGTAGAAGTACCCTGTTATCATTACCATACCGAAGACACATACTCCATAATTATATATCAATAATGAAAGCTCCATAGACCAATAGAGCAGATTGATCCCCTGGATCTACAAAAATGGACATCTTGCTCGGTATTAATCCGATGAGGGTCTTTCTGTGGGCCATCTCAGCATTAGGTCGGGAAATCCGAGCATTTTGAAAGCTGCGACCCAAGAAACTCATTTCCTATTACGAGGATAGCGTGAAGACCACAGTATTGCAAATCACAAGCCTGCGATGAAACCGAAATCGTAGTCAGGACGCTGTTATAATCAATAATTGCCTACGATCCATGTGACTACTGCGTGAATAGTATATAATAATAACAAAAAGTCAGTTCCGTACAAACTGGGCTGACGGTCGCTCCCCCAGAAATGCGGGGGATTGCATTCTTACATGTGGAGGGCTTCGACCCTCGGCACTTTCAATACAAATCAGGATTGAAAATCAACGTTTAGAGCGGTGGCATGACTCGGTCACCGTCGGAATCAGGTCGACTAACCAAAGATAGATAACGGGTAACACAGAAAGACTCCTGGCTAACTCATTTACTAATCGTTCCTAATTTCCAGACGCCGATCTCGCCGGTTTCAATCCCTACCGGGCACTACTAATAGTGCCAGCTGGGAAACATCTCTACGCGGACCCTGGCCGACGCAAAAAGGGCCGGTCGGTTCCTACCACTTAGAATTTTCTTCTATGAAGCTTTGCGAAAAATTTTGCATCTACGATCAACGCCGTCTTGAGGCTTGAGGTCTCGACCTCGTCTCCACGTCCAGTTGTTGAATTGTTGGCCAACTGCTTGGCTTATCCAGCCCCACTCGGGGTAGATCCAGAAGGATGCATCCTGGTCTCCTGGTTTGTGTTAACTAGGGAACTAGCTCCGCGGTCGTCGACTAATACGATATGCCGTCTGCTAACGTCATCGGATTGCCGTGATCACCCGTGGGTTTTAAATCCTCACGCCTAAAGTAGCATCTGAGTACAAAGTCGTCACTACAGAGTACAGGCTGTATTCATCACAATTCAATAATACCCTAGGCAGATAACCTAAGCCCTAAAAACGAAGTGCAACGGTCGGTTCGGCTGCCTCATATCCTGGGCCGGGGCCTCCATGCGTATTCAATGATGCGGACCCTCCGAACCCAACCAACAACAATCATGGTTGATTGCGATAATAACGTTGACTACTATTATTGTCACCTAGGCCTACCAACAATCTAGACCAGTAGTGAGCTTAATCGCAGGTGACCGTACGCCCCTGGTCTAGCGCTCGTCATAAGACCCCATTGGCTGTAGCTGATGCAAAAGGTTTGCCTTTTGCCATTTTTGTTGTAAGCGTGTTCCTACTGGACTCTGGAACCCCCTCTTACGACATGGTCGGAATGGAAGCCGACGAAATCGATTGCTTGGCTCGAAGCTTATAACATGTGAATTAGCCGAGATCTCTACCTGCAATAATAATAGATGAATAAGATCGGACCCGACAACCCATCACGATGATTTCTTCACCGTAAGGCGTCGCGGGGGTTTCAGACACTACTTCCCGCGCAGACAACCCGTTCTCCTAAAGTGCATACTCCGTAAGCCCATAGGGTAAATGACTAAATATCCATGGGGAAGTGAAGTGGGGGATGACGCCTGGGGACGCGCTAATCCACCTGTTAGTTTTTGCTGTCCCGCCACTTGAATACTTGCTTTCTGCTTCCGGCGTAGATACTACTGTCAGCAACGGTCAGATTACTAGTGTTCTCCACCCCTCAACTGGCGTCTTTTATTATCTATGGCCATCCTATGGAGAACGACTACTTTCCGAGCAAAGAAACAACACCACCGACTTTGAAGGACATGCGCGTCGCAGCCCCGTCTGATATGATATACAATGATGGCGACCTTCGCGTCCTTCACGAAAGAATCGTCGCATCAGAACGACGGTAACCAACATGAAGGTCTGTACTGCATCAAATCCAATTGATTCAAGCAAGTTTCTCAAATCTCGCACATCAGGGTACTGGGAACCGAGCCCGAGCCTGGGTTTGCCCCAACAAAACACGCTTTTATTCTTCGACTCATCCGGAATTGCGAGACAAATCAAAGAGCATACGGCGGGACGAGCAGCAATAGATCAGATCTGGAAAGGATATCCTCAGCACTACAGAGAATTGAACCACGACCCGACACGCAATCTATACCAGAGGGCACATACTACCTTTTTTTCACATTCTAACAATCCCGCACATCTTTATCTCCCGCGGACTGGGTTCTTACCGAGCCAGAGTGACGCGGAGTTTCCGTTGTCATTCAAGCATATCAATTCAACAAGACCAGGCCAAGAAGATGAAACATCTCCCTCTCCCACTCCAAACTCTCCGCTCTCTCCCCATCGCGAGCCATGGTCTGGCCATAGGATATCGAAGCCAAATCAACGAGTGCTTCCTGTTTGCGAAAGCTCAAAGTACATAGTAGACTCCGCATGGATGCATTGGCCTGCAATCTGCCTGGAGGACAGGATTTCTGCACAAGCTTGCGACACACATTCTACCGAAAAGGGTGGTACTCAGCTGCGATGGGGCTCAGACTCGGCTTTCGTTTCTGATCAGTTCGTGCCATCATCAGCACATCAATTAAGCCATACACATGCCACAGATACTTGGTTAGGATGGATAACGAGCATTGCATCTAATGGTAAGAGCGCTTTTGGCTACGAATTATCAGACGGCGACCCAGAACTCAACACAGAAGAATTTGACGGCAACGGCAACGGCAACGGCAACAAACACATCGGTGACCCTGAGGATCCAGCTTCCGTTCACCGTGTTCTCCCTGTAATTCCCGTCGACATGCAAAGAGAGCGCAGAATCCCACGCAAAAGGAGGGATTTTACACGAACTGGCCAAAAGCTAGACAGCAAGCAGCTTCGCATACTCCAAGAGGAGCGTAAGAAAGAAATCCACAATATTTCAGAACGCAAACGCAGAGAACAAGTAAATAAAGGGTTTGCAGATTTGTGTGACATTGTTCCAGGAATGGATATTAAAGCCCACACACGAAAGCAAATCCTCATCCGCACCGCAGAGTGGCTTCAAAACTTTCTTCGAGGCAATGAAGAACTGAAAGAACAAATTTTAAAGCTTCAATAACAAACCTTCTCCTCTCTCAAACGAACGCCTTCGTCATTGAAATGCCGCTTCCATTCACAACAACAATTGCAAAGAACCTCATAATAAGGAGACCTAGACACAGAGCTGCTTATCTCCAAAGTCTTTTACCCAGGCCACTTCCTTCAGATACGCCACCTTCCGAACAAAAGTCCGTTGCAACTCGACTAAATGAATAGTCCTTTACCGTTCAGGCACTTGGAGGACCCTGGCAACCTTTGACTTTCTCAGCAAATCAAGCTTTCATCTTCCATCCACACTTTTACTTTGCCATTCGCCATGCGGGCTTTTAGACTCTGCTTAAAACTGAATTGAAATTTTTGTAGGATGTTACGAATTCCAAGAGGACCTGAGATCGTTTCTAGATGCCCTAAAACCGATGAATAAAATCGTCGGGACTGTAAGGATTTCATTCCTCTCTACAGAAGCTATCAATCTTTATTTACCTTCTTCAGGCATGGGATGTGCCTAATTTGTATTTTCCCAGGGTTTATCTTGGCGATTTCGTTCTCTCGGAGTGTTGGTTGGTTGACACTGCATGTACTGGTTTTAGGCATTACCATATTTTTCAGAGGAACGGACCGTGGATCAGTTGTTATCTGTCTACTGTATCTTTCAGATGTGACTATTTATTTGGCAACAATGAACGTTAAAGGCCGTCCGGTTCACTCCTTTTACGCTGCCAATAAGTTATCCCATGCCTCTTGATTAAAATAATTCCTCACTTTGAATGTTGAAAAGATGATAAAACCACAATAAAAGCACTGCCCATCTTGACGCAATGGGTTCGACTAGATCTAGATCTTCCTTCACTGAAACGGAATTCGGGGCTTGTAATCCATATCTATGTTTTCTTCTGTTAACTTTATACATGTATCCGCAAAGAAACTACTAATTATAAAGATTTTGTTTTCCACATTATATCTATATACATATAGTTTACTACTAGCAAACACAATTTCATATATTTGCAATAATAACCTTGTGCGATGTCTTAATCTACATCAGCCGCAGCCTATTCGGAATCGGTTTTATGAAGTCGCTTGCAGCACGCCACTCCTTGTGGCCGGATCTGGAACTAGCAAATCGTCCAGATATACTACACCGTTTTTCATTTTTAATTTTCATTTTTCCTGCTTAGACATAGTTTCAGCTTACAAATATGCTGCTGCATTGTCTTGATATAAATGTAATTAGAACATCACACACATGGTTAATTTCTCAATGAAACTCTCTCCATGTTCTTTGTTGGGATTGCAATTAAATATAATATGAATGACTGCCAAGCCACCTGTCCATATACAGCCGTTCCTTTCATCGCCGGGCTGGCGATACATGACCATAAGGGCATTTTTAATGTTTCGGCTAGTCCTTCAGGTACGATACTACCAACTTGGTCACTACAGACAACGTGGAGAGGGTAAGGCCGGCAGTATTTTCATTCGTCCCATCAAGTGACAGGGTTACAAGAGATTACTGGCTTTTATAATTAGAGAATCAATACTCCGTACACTTTCCGCAACCCACCGCTGTCAGGCAAAGCCGGAAAGTAAGCGGCTGTGGCTGGCTGAGCCGGCGGTAGTGTAACGTATTACAGTAAACAAAATTACTAGTATCAATGTATAGTCCAAGTTCAGTACAAAATCAGACTTTCCCTTCTCAATTATCCTAGATTGCGGGGTCTTGCCAATAAGAGTCTAAAAGAGAGTCATACTGGAAACATTAAGCCCCCAATAAAAATAGAATAATAATAGCGATAGTGCCAGTAATACACACAACTGGTTTGTATTATATGAATTATTATGTATGATTAATGAACGGTGGGGACGAACTAGCCCCTTACCCGGCGACGGCCTCTGGTGGCCTCGAAGTCCGTAGCCGCTGAAGCACTCAGCAACGCCTCGTTCAAGTTTCAATCTACCTATCGGCTGGTTTTGCCTATTCTTCAACCCCAGTGCCACCGTGTAACCACATCGAACCCTTTCTTGCATTTGCCCCGCGTTCGCGAGCCTAAAGAAACACGTCGTCCTCCTAGTCGAAGACGCAGAAGTAGAAATATGCATAAAAGACCGTCTAGAACATGTAGAGGTTGGCTTTCGTGCTATCTCGAGCTGCTGGCCAAGGTTCGAATATTCAAAATTCATTTTTCGGCTGTCATGCTCGTCGCCTGTGGCATCTCACGCTAGCCTCTAAACCTAGCAACGGTGTCTACGTATCCTGCATTCGTGATCGGCTGTTTTCCTTATTTTTACAGCAGATCCCTGCAATGTTCTTGTGACGACCTTATTATACGTAGCCAGCCATATCCACGACAAGGATCTCATAGGTCGACTCGGAAACTCGACGGGGATGTTTGACTTGCTTTTTCTTTCAGTGTCGCATGATGGGTAAGTCTCACTGAAGCTCTGAAGCTTATCGCAAACCTGACTGGTCCAAGGTCCAACAGACTGAACATCTCTGAGACATTCGAGCTGGATCAAAGTGGTTCCAATGCGGATATACATCGTCAATCATATCCTTGTTCAAATAACAGACAATCGATACAGCTCGGTTGGGGTTGAAATGTCCTTCCACCAGTTAGGAAACCCATGGGGTTCTCTCTCCATTCCGGTCTGATGAAGTGGCACACATGGCACACCAGAAACTCAACAGTGACTCGTGGGGAAACTGTAAGAGTGGAAGACATCGATGAACGATTCTGGCCCTCAGGCCTATCCACACATGTGAGCACCAAATTAAACCAACCCTGGTGTTCCACAGACTAGTTTGTCCTAACTCAATAACGCTTATATGGTCTGCGTAGCCCTAGCCCCAAAGAGAAGTGGCCAGCATAAACAAAGCTAAACTTGCATTATGGAGTAGTGGAGCACTTCATGTTTCGGTCAATGCTCCTCAGAGTGATTAAGACGACCATGGCTTTCGAATAATCAAAGCCCATGGCAACATCGGGAATTTTGACTAGTTTCAACTTGACTACTAGTATAAATATTAAACTCGAGGACCAGAGCCGGAATCCGAAACTCAAACTTCTTTCATCTGCTTTTCCATTTAAGCCGGTGCATGTCTTGCTTTAAGTGTTGCACACGAATCTCTGGAGAGCCTACTCTTCAACCTCCTCGATACAGATCTATTACCCCACAGAACTTTTCCTCTATACAGTACTCGAATTCTACCCAGCCGCAAAAGAACACTCCTTTCAATAAGCCTTCAGACAACGCCATAATCGAATCTAAAAGTCCAATTTCTGTTTCGCCTGACAGCAATATGGCCCCCGGTTTACAGGCAGAAACTCCTTCACACCCGCTGTCGCCAATCCCTGGTACGCTGGGACTGGGGCATTGGAGACGGGTATCTGGAGGTATTCTTGACATCGACAGTATCTCGAATGGCCCACCTCGTTCTGTAACATCTAGACGAGTCTCTCGGAAAACCGTTGCAGCCAACGAATCGTCGACTATATCCAACGTGGTATACACTCTGAAGCGCAGGAGTGTCGATGAGTTGGGAGCCTTAACCTCTTCAAAGTTGTTGAATGCAACACATTCAACTATCCTAGAATGGATTCGCCATCAGCGGATGAGCAAACTGCCTCCTGAGGGAAGCAGCTACGACAAAGTTTTAGCATGGGCACAACTCTTTGTGGAAAGGTTACATTCTTTCGATTTGGCTATTGAACATTTTGCAGGTGACAGCTACTTGGCCGCTCAACTTTCTTACGGCTACTGCGCAATCTTGCTAGAGGTTCGTACTTCTTCTCGCTCTTGATTTCTTTTCTTTTTGCTGACTTTATCTGACTCCAATAGCTGGGAGAAGCGAATGCTTCCGCACTTAAAATCTCTTTTGGCTTCTTTCACAGCACCTCAATGGTGCTAGTAAATCTTCTAGAGCGCGCTGAACTCTTCAACGAGTCTCAAGAAATCAAAGAACAGCTAGTTTTTGCTTTAGGGGACATTGTCACCCTTGTTGCGAGTGTCGCAACCCACTTTCACAAGGCTCTGCGCGGAACTTCCAAAGCATCCGTATCTGTCAATATATTTTCCACATTTTCTGGTCAGATCGAGGCTTTCCACGCTCGCTGTGAGAAAATTGCCGAAGCAATGTGGAGACATCAGCTGCTGAGGGATGAGCTAGATGGCGATCAAGGTGAGTTTCCACCATTTCATGTTACTAATATTCAAATATCTCAACCAATATTTTCCATTCTGAATATTACTTACTAGCTGGTTTCTAGTATCCGAAGTCAAGACTATCAAACGCTGGCTAGCACAGGAAGATCGTGTCTTAAGTAGCATTGCCGAAAGAGCCTCCCAGCTTGCGCAAGACCGAGAAGAATTGACCTGTCTTTGGATCGGGCCATACTTGACTCGATTTCTAAAAAGTCAAGAGCTCAAAAGTCTTTCAATTTCTGGGAAACCAGGTTCAGGAAAGACGGTGCTTGCCTCAGTGATTGTCGATCATCTACAGCACCCAATTGGCGGCATCTCCTATCAGACATTATTCGTTCCAATTGGTAAGTGTAATCTGTCTTCCATCCGTCATTATTTGCCTTACTGGGACTAAGAGAAGTAACTTTCCTTTTTCAGACGGCAGGACTCCTACAGAAACTACTCCTAGAGCCGTTGTAAAGGGAATTCTTCGTCAGTTATTTGATAAAAGCATCGGAAACACGCACCTGTTTCAAACCCTCTTTGGCGCATACGAGAAAACTCTGCATATTACTAGTGACGATGAGTATGACGAAGTAATGTGGGGTGCTTTAGAAGCTGCTTTGGATTCTCCTCTTCGTGGGGCTAAGCCGCTAGTTATCGTGATCGATGGTATTGATGAGGTGACTGATGGTGAGGCACACCTTCTGCAGAAGTTGCAAGCAGCTACTTCCAAAGCGTCTCATTTAAAGCTTGTTCTCTTGGGTTCAAAGGGATCGCAGACGCGCTCTAATGGGGTGAATATTGAAGTAACGCCGGAGCTGGTTTTCGACGATATTGCAGCGGTCGTGCGCAACGGCTTTGAAAGCCACAAACCCTTCACAAGCATGCCAGAGGCTGCACAGGAGATCCTTATTGATAGTATTACGCAGGCAGCCAATGGTTCATTTCTCTGGGCAAAACTAGCCGCCAGGCAAGCCCGTCATGAGGAGACAGTCGAAGCTCTACAAAAGTCGGCCAATACCTTAGTGACCTCCAAGTTGACCATTACCGATTTTGTAATCCACAGCTTGCAGACAGAAGATATTACAGAGTACGCAAAGCAGACTCTGGTTCTTCTTAGCACAGCCGATCGTCCTCTTTCCCAGAGAGAGCTGTCTGCTCTTCTCGCCATCCACGTCGAAAAAGGAACCATAATAGAGCGAAACGTTGACATTCTTCGTCTTCTTAAGCCTATAAACTCCCTGGTCTATCTCGAAAACGGATTTGTATATCTCCGTCACACTCAAATTCGCTCTGCCGTTGTGGAGGTGTTTTCTATGGGCAAGCTTCTGCCTAATGTGAAGGACAGACACGCAGACCTTCTTCGTAGGCTTTTGATATACGTACAAGCCAATGTAAATGAAGATAGGGAGCCTTCACTGACATCACTCGACCTCTTTCAAACCGATGAAATTTTGAGAAAACACATTCTTCTTGATTTCGCCGTGCGATACTGGATTGTGCATCTCCGCCGCACAAATGCTTTCACGAAAGCCGGCGAAACTGGGGCAGCAAAAGAGTTTGGCAAGATTCTACCAACTACCACAACTTTCTACCTACTCAATCAAACTATCTTAGAGAACAAGGCTGCGCCGTTTTTGTTGTCGAGGTTTACCATCATTACTCGTCTCTGCCGTGCGGCCCTGACAGCCAAACACATTGCTACTCTACAGACCATAATTAATCTAGCTGTCTTGTATCGCCATCATCACCTCCTTATCGAAGCCGGCCAAGTACTCTACGAGGCAATTGATATTAGTCGGAGTCTTCTCAATGCTCATCATAACCTCACTATAAGCATCGTGACTACCTTCCTAGAAGTCACCGCAAGTCAAATCACTGACTCTAAAACCGAAATCATGACTCGGAGAGAAGAAAGTTTGTTACTCCTTGTGGAATTTTACAAGTCTCAATATGGTGCTACATCGGAAATTGTTATCTCGACTCTCACCCAGCTAGCGGAACACTACCAGTTGATCAAAGAAGAGAAAAAGGCAAGAGAGATCTATATCTCACTCCGATCGTCTACTATTCAACAATATGGCGCAGACTCTCAAGAATTTCACGGCATTAATTCCAGCCTCCATGTCCATCTCAAGGGTCATGTAACAAACGAAGAAGAAGAAACTCAAACAAGCGCAGGTCTTCTGCTGGATACCAAAGAAGAGGATATGTTGATCGAAACCACTAAATTCGACTTCGCTGCCATTCTGCAACTTGCCGAAAAGTACGTCTCCGAAGGCAAGATACAATTAGCAGAGTCTACTTTTATTGAGATCTGGGAACGAGCAAGCAAGCAATGCCGTTTAAATTACTCAGCTGAATGGGAGGAACGAAAGATCAAGGCTGTTCTAGAGTACAGCAAGTTTTTGAAATCACAGAAACGTGAATACGAGGCTTCCTCTCTTCTTGCAACAACATGGCAGGATTATGAACAGCAATCTTCGAGATCCACAATTTCCGAATCTTCCATCTCTTATTTTGTCGAGATTGCCAAGGTCATGAAGACTGTCGGCTTATCCGCCCTTGCCATCTCAGTCTTCAAGCGTTGTGAACAACATTATCGGAATACCAGTCGTGTTGATACATCAACCTACAAAGAAATACAGGAAATTATCCACTCTACTTCCAAGGAAGTCATGCATACAGTTTCCCATTCCAGCTCTATGACGTCCATCACATCGGAAACGAGCTTTGAAGAAATGATTTACGAGGCATCAAAGTCGATTAGCACAATTGATGAAACATCTATAACCGCGATTTCGACCCTGTACTCTCAGTATGTTTCCCAACACCGCTGGCAGGACGCGACTCGCCTGATCAAGCGAGTATTGCACGGAGTTTGGCCCACGCTTTTTGCATCTTCACTTCAGGACGTCACGCTTCCAGCAAAACACCTCGATAGTTGCATTCAGCTATCCGAGCGTCTCATCCAATGCTACCACGCTCGTCGACGCTTTGCCAAGGAAGAAGACATATGCACGCGGGTGTATCGTGCTGTTCGATTGAATCGCAAGGTCGGAGATAAGCTTTTGGATCACATCACCACGGAGCTTATTCAATTGTTTGAGCGGACTTCTCAGACAGAGAAAGTTATAAGTCTCAGACAAGAGCTTTTAGACGACTACATCAAACATTACACTCTAACCCATCCGCTTGTGATTAAAAATCTGTGGGTGCTGGCGGAACTTACTCGTCCTCGCCCGATCTTTGTGGACTACTATCGTCAAATTATAAATGCCGTCAACAAGGACTCAGATATATCCAAGCCAGAGGCGTTTGAGCCCTTCAATATTGTTGCTACTGAACTTTGGAGCCAAGGCCGATATTCCGATGCCGTCCAATATTACAAGGTCATTTTCAATACCTTCCTTCATCAACCCAAGGTAAGCACGAGATTTGAAGACCAAGAGTTTCTCAAAACCTTCTTCACACGCTATGTACAATGTCTTCGATCTCTGCAAAGCGACTTTACTATCATTCATAAAGTCAATGTGGACTACCAGGCGAAAATCAAGGCGCTTTTCAGTGAAACGGCCTCTATTACTATTCAAGCGACGTTGTCCTTGGCTAAGCTCTGTCAAGAGTCTAAGAAATTTGAAATCGAGGCAATTCAGCTGTACGAAGAATTACTCAAGCTGAAATCAGAGCAAATCGACTATCAAGAGATCACCGCAACACTTGATGCGATATACGAAGAACAAGCTGCTACTGTTACATCTACGCGATCCGAGATAGTCTCATCTACACAAGTAGACCGAGCAGTAACTGTGCTTAAACGTCGTATTGAATCAGTGAGACAGACAAATGGTTGGGCCCACGAAGAGTCTCTCTCCAAAATGGAGGAACTAGTCTCCTTTTATTCCAAACGTAGCCAGACGGAGACAATACTTCATGAACTTCAAGAGACCACCGTGCAAACTTTATCCACTGAGACCTCCTCTACAAGGCTGATTGCTGCCGCTAAGACTATTGGGTCCTGTTATGTTGCATCGAACCAGACAACCAAGGCAAAAGAGCTGTCACAAGAGATCTACCGCCAAATCATTATGAAGGATACATCCAAAGCAAAGTCATTCAAGTTTGACCTATCCTCAAAAGAACGTCAGAGTCTTGTATTTTTGGCTCAACTTGAGCACAGTACTCAAAATTCTTCGGTTACGTTGAATGAGATTTTCGCTTCCTTAACAACCGAATATGTATACTTCGAAGAATTCAGAAGCCTCACAAAACAGTCCACAAGCAGCTTGCAACAAGTTTCAATCTCCGCTGCGCGTCTTTATGAATTCCTCCTATCAAACCATCGCCAGTCCACCGCGGATCGAGTATTTGAAGACTTCGTGCGCTATTTCTTAGAAACCGATGCCAAACGCGTCAAACTGGCCGAGGTGGCACAAGTGAAGATTCTTGCCTTGACCTTATTGAGATACTTCAGCAACCATGTATCACACAATTTTCTCCGCTCTGTCGGAATCGCCAGCGAGAAGCACTTGGGAGAGTTGCTTCGTACTGAAAAGTACGTTGAAGCGTGTGATCTTGCTCTTGCCGCCTTCAAGTATATCTCTGCACACCAAGAAGCCTACCGCACAGCCGCCATTGTGAAGTTTGTGTTTCAAATTGGTTTATCTATCTCAGCACGACATATTTCTGCCAAGCCTGATGATGCACTTCGCCAGAGGCTACTAAAAACCTCCGGTATTATCATACAGGACGCTCTGCGTGTTTCGAAGGAGATACATATCAATGTTACCCAACTCAGGTTGGGTAGCTTAAACGACATCAGTGCAGTCCTCGGGGAGAATCGTGATTATCAGTCTTTGGCCTGGCTCCTTACTGTACTTTGGAATAGTCGCGAAGCCCAGAGATCCTGGAAACCCTCTGTTACCTTTACTCTTGGGCGTCGGTTCATTCTTGTTCGCTATCTTGTCGGAGAAACAAGTGCGGCGATTCGTCTGGCTGAAGACATCGTCTATAACTACCGGCGTGTGCATGGAGCCCGTAATCAATCCACGCTTGAAATGTCTACTCTTTTGTCTCAGCTTTACACAACCATCGGGCAGCGTTATCAAGGCCAGAAGAATGGGCAAGAAATAGCGCATCGCTACTATAAGAAAGCTGCAGCCATACATGAAAACATTCTTCGTATTTTCACAGATCCATCCTACGCCGAGCTTGAAGGTGGCGATCTGAGCTTATGCCTGGATGAGTCTACCTCCTCGGTTGATCTGGCAGTAGGTGCTACCTCGCAAAGCGATGTTTCCGATGGCGAGCGCGTTCGTCAGCATTTTCATCTTCTCAAGCACGCTATCGAGCGGTATGGGGACTGGCCAAAAGACTACAGTGAATACGAGCGGATCAATGCCGATGTATTCCGGGAGTTCAAGGAGGACCTGGTTGGAGTTGAAGGTGTGGAGAAATGGAATCCAAAGGGCTTTGGTTCTGGAAAAGCAGAGAGTGGAGTTGATCTATTAGATCTCAACTCGAATCGCTGGGAGATTGTGGAGGCCACGGCACATGCTAGTAATGGTGTTGAGAAAGAGTAGGCCTCTAGCTATATAGGCCATGGGAAGAAAACTGAGGTAATTTTCTACAGTCATTTCAAATTTATAGCTCTCTGAAGGCTTTTCATTGCATACTATTTTTCCGTTTTGCCTCTTTTGTACCGTCTTTCCTTTCCCATATTTCCTCGCGTTACTCCCGTTTAATTTTTAAAAGTCTAATGGTATCTTTATGATCTTGTTTCAGGTCTATTTTTCTCAATTACTAATGCCGGCTTGATGTTATGTAGCATATATGTAAACAAATTGAATATCTCATTGACTAAACAATACATTCGGGTAAAATAGCAACACGCAGCCGGGTGACGGCAATTTTCATCCTTCTTAGAACAAACACTAAAAATACTGGTAAGACTGGCAAGACTGGCAAGACTGGTTTTCTGAAAATGGGGGTCTGAGTTATTTCCCCTTTTTAGTCGAGTCATACATTGTGTAAAACCTGACGCGCAAGCCTTTCAATATCGTCACTAGTAGCCTTGCAGCACCCTCCAACAAGGAAAGACTGAAAATGACACTTTGTACGAGCTTCGTCCAGTACCCTAGAGAATTGAATTTCCCAGGGAATCTGTAGTTGAGTAAGCACATAAAGGCAATTAATCATGCGAAATGAACGTGGGTAAAAAGAGTTGTTCCTACCATATCCCTTTCATACCCTGCAGCCAGTCCATCTGGTTTCTCCCACTTTTGTGTCAATGTATTGTAGATTTCTCCATTCGTGCCGTCAGGATACAATACGAGTGTCGGAGCAGCCTGGATTTGACCTGTAGCAATCATCTTCGTCACAGAATCTCCAAAGGAATCAATGAGGCCCGCTAGTTTGTGAATCTTGGTGCAATTTATACCAATACCCCATGGGCTTGCACCGTCTCTCATAGGTGCAATGGCTGCCGCGGTGATTTCTTCGATTGAGCTTCCGTCGGGTAGAGCTTTCCCCTTGCCTGGGAAGACACACGATATCCAGAATGGTATGCTAGTGAGGCCTACAGCATGAACTGCCTTTCTGACTGCACGTATTTCATCAATTCGGGGTAGTGTCTCGAAGGCAATGTAGGCCACACGCCCGGAAAGCTGGTGATCTGCCTCGAGGAAAAGCTGCAGTCGATCTACATGCCAGTTATACAAAGCATTCTCATTGTCATGTTCAGCATCATATTGACCGCTATACTCTTGTCCGGGACTCATGGTGGCTCCATAGGGACCCAGGCTAAGAGCAATTTTGGTACGTCTTGCTCCCACTGCTTGCTCAGCCACGTCTAGGGCAGCTTTCAAGAACGGACTGACTGCTTGGCGAGGAATGCCATCAGGAAACCGAGCCGTCTTTGTTCGTCCGAATCCTTCAGCAGAGATCTGATATGTGGCAGTAAGAAGCACGTCGATACCAACATCTACAAAATCTCGTTGGCAGGCTAGGAGAGTTGTCGGATCGGTCACGAGCAAATGAGATGCCCACATTGGAGTTGACTTATCGAAAACCACGCCATATTTGTCTTGAAGAGAGGTCCCGAGGCCACCGTCGAGAATCTGAACCACAGTCATCGTGATGCCACCCCGATATCAATTTTCATCCTTATATCTGTTGAATTAAATTTGTATTGAAATGGTTGTTCTCACAATGGCTGAGGGGCTCATTTTCAGACCAGGGTTCGCTTCGCCAACAATTGATTTAATTGGATCAAACCCCACAGAAGTGGGCCTGGTATACTCCGCAAACTGCATGTTCAATCAATGTAATTAGTAGGTCTCTTTCTCATCAATTGATGTATCTAGCTGCTTATTATTCAAAATCAAAATTTCCGTATATACAGTATTTGTTATAAGCATATGTAATTACAGTAGACATGAGAGACTTGGCCCGCAGCTGCCAGGTCACACATCAGTGCGGGCCTCATTCCCATCGCGACTACTGGTATCTTCAGAATCATCCGGACTTACAAGCTTGATAGATATGTCAGGGTCATGGGCATACACACGTAATCCAATTGTGCATACGGCGTTCCACGGGGAGCACTCATTCTCCTCCGTGTCGGTTGAGTCGCTTTTAGAATCGTCCTCCTCTTCATCTTTTCCCTTGCCCTCAAGGAAACTCTCATTGTTCGCATCTAGGCCCTTATCCTTTTGGGGCTCATCATTTTGACTACCAGGAGCTTTGACCTTTTGCTCTACCTTTGGGTCCGTAGAAGGCTTATCAATTTGTTGATGCAGCATTCTGACTTTCCCGAGGATTTCGCCATGTTTATCGCACACTTCCCCCTTGTGATTAACTTTTTGTCCAGCGCATTTTAGAAGCTCTCCTTCATCAAGCTCTCCAATTGGCTCCCCTTCTTCATTTAAGACCTGTCCCTTTTTGTTGACCCTGAATCCGTCCAACATATCTAGCGAGTGAAGTTTCACTTCAGGAATAGCGTCCTCGGGTTTTTCACTCCGAGTATCCTTGTTCTCGCTATTGTCAGTACCCGCTTTCTTACTCTTTCCTTCCTTTCCATCCTGATCCAGCGATGATTCCTTGCCTTTGTTCTCTCCAACGACAACTTTTTTCAAATTTGTAGGTCGGTTTTCATCCAAATCTTTGACCTTGGAATTTGCGATATCATAGTTCTTGCCAACCTGTCGCAACTTTTGTGGATTCCGCTCTGCCCAATCCTTCACAACATCTTCCACCATATTTTGATCAGTATCCCTAGTTGCGAGAATTTTGGGCACAACCTCGTATGTCCCCGGCTCGAGTTCTATCTCGCCATTTACAGATCGGTCTTCCCACGAATGAACAGGTCGTACCAATAATATGTAATCTTCTGGGTTTTTGTTTTTATCCTGAAGACGAAAATGTAGAGAACACTTGTATTGCCCTTCCAAGCCGGCGAAATAACGTTTATCAAGCTAATCTTGTTAGTAAGAAAAATATGTCCAAAATAAGGAGAAATGCAAAGGCTGATACCTGAGAAAGCACAAAAACTACCGGTCCAGGTTTTGTGACTTTGATCTCAAATTTCGTTCGGAGATAACCGGGAACCCAAGGAACGTTGATTCTTGTCCACTGCTGAACGACGGTCCATCTATCGTCAAATATTCTGGTACGGTGCACAAACATGAAGGTTGATAGAAAGTCTTCGTAAGCCATCCAAAAAATGCCATCATCACCAAATTTATGGTCCAGCTTTTGTAGCCAGTACGGTGTCCATTCTTTAGCTCCATCACTCCACGGCCCATTCCACTCGCCGATGCCTCCTCCATTTCTTTCTCCCCAGGGATTTCTACCAAACTGCAGTTTTAGCATGGGGGGGCAATATAAATACAGGTAGGAATATCTACCTGATCAAGACCAGTCTAACACCATTTCCTTCCTCATCTAACTCATGTACGGCCCGAAGAATAGAGTAAGCGTGTCCCAAAGCGAGACCACTTCGAGTTGAATCCCAGCCAGTCCCAAGAGCAGAGGCTGCAAATACAAACTGTCCGTCGGAGTTGATAAGCTCATTCCAAAGCCTATCTATGCTTAGAACTCGGTTAGTTGCAATGGTAGTTGTGACACCTCCAGTCAAGTCTTCAACAGCTTCTCCAGGCCAACCACCTGAGATGGCATCATAGTCTCCATGTATCTTCGCATAGGCCTTTTCCAGTAAGGGTAGCCATGTTTCGTTTGGATCCGCGCATTTCGCGAAATATAGAGCCTCGGATCCTGTTTGATGGTGCTTTCGATGCTCTCGAGCTCTCTTGCCTGTGCCGTCATACCTATCGCCATAGAAGTCAAAGTCGGCCGCCGACAGATACAAATTGTCGTCAACAACTGTCGACACCCAGTCGCCATCCCGGTAAAAGACGTAGCCGTAAACTCCGCACTCAGCATCCCGAGCCACGCAGATCTTCTCCATTAAGTCCTGGCGATTGCATATCGTTGCGACTGCTGCAAGCCACCAACAGTCGCCATTAGCACCTTGTTTAATGTCCGTGGTAGAATAGCCATCAACAGTGAATTGTGGGTTTTTAAAGATCCAATCGATTCGGTGCACTGATCCAGGGAAGTAAGCGTTTTCATCAGAGAAAGTTGTTGGCTTCAAATCTTGCTCTGGACCAATAAAATCCCTCAATGTATTTACGTCAATTGGCACGGTAGAGCTTATGCCAAGAACATGGCTAGCTGCCAGCGTATTCAGAGAGTTTCTTAGTTCGAATGCGCTTACTGCCGGTCTTATTTCGGGGCTGGTATCAGAAGACACAGAGTCATCGCAGCCGCTGAGGAGACCTCGGAGACAGTTTCCCAAGCCCAAATTCTTGTCGCTCTCGATATCAAAATCGGGGTCTAGGAATTTCTCGTTTGTGCGCGTACACTCGCGCACAATTCGTGCTACCTTTTCTTTGCACTCCTTCGCAGCGGCGTCGTAGCTCTCAGCTGCATTGTGGGCCGACGAGGATGCTTCGTTGAGGACTGGATGAAGGAGGTTGGCGTACAGTCTCTGTGGAAAGACTGAAGTAACTTGGCCAGGTTTCTTCGTTATGAAACTATCCCAGAAATCGCCGACGAGCTCCTGGGGGGGTTTATTGGGGTTCTTTTTAGTTTCGAGGGTGTCGGACATGGTTGGGCAGATCAACAAAATTTCAAAACTGGGCTGTCAATTTCATATAACAACAACCGACTAATATATACGATGACTAACGAGGCTGAAGATCAATTGTAGCTGAATGCACGAGGCTGAAAGCTATACCAAGATAGGCAGCCCTTCCGCAGCCCAATGCATGATGACTTGTCGTGTTTCAATGAGGTTAGTATAAGCGACATACTGCTCTCAGCCTCTCACTAGCTGGTGGTAGCTGTTTAATGTTGATGTTATTTTAGCATTGTCGAATACGTATTACAGTATTATCAACTTGTGTGAAACATATCAATTGATGTAATCAGTCGGTTTGGTTCTTCAAATGTTTCATTCCGCCTCAAATCTCAATTGCACGGCTGATGTATATTCGCGTATGTGGGAATTTACAGGACCTGATAGTTAACACGTCGAATTTACTGCTGTGGTATAGATTGCCAATCTAAATACTAATCTTAGGTATATGAAGTCATCATCCTCATACTTGGCGCATAACTAAACAATTGCATGTCCTGTGGCCTCTGCACGTCGCGCAGTTCCAACACCATCAATACCGCCCTCTTGGTTCTCGCCTAGCCACGGCTTGGACGCCTCACCCAGGATACCCTCCTTGACGAAATACACGAAGAGTCCGAGGACGATCAAAACGAAGGCTATCGGATAGAGAAAATGTACAGTATAGTGGAATACCTGGATACCGATAATCAGGCCCCAAAAGTTCATGGTGAGTAAGGAGATATTGAAGAAAGTGGCCGACGAAATACGCAACATGATGGGCGCCAGCGTATAGAAGATGAATAAGACGATGGTATAACCGGCAATATATCCACCAACCTTGCCGTTCCAGGTCGCGCCTTGGAAATCAGATCGCTCAAAAATGGCGCATTGCACGCCATTGATCAACATGCCCCAGAAGCCCATCTGTCCAATAACCTCGTACATGGGGCGTTTCGAGACCATAAACTCTTCAAACAGGTTGCTGAAAGCGTAAATGGTGCTCGCCAGCAAGGCGAATAGATCTCCCTTCAGCTGATTCTGAGCAGGATAATTTGCGCCACGAAGGTAATCCGAGGCGATCAGCATGCCGAGTCCGCCACAGGCAATAAAGATACCAAGGTACTGGGTAATATGGTAGCGTTTGTGCAAGAACACTGCGGAAATGAATACAACGCAGATGATGGTCCAGAAACTAAACAGTTCAGCGCTCAGCAGCGAAGTGTACCGGTACGCTAGCACCATGAAATAATTGCCCTCGACATCCAAAAAGGACAGGATGAAATACTTCCAGCAGTCGGTATACAGCATCTTGAACCATTTCTTGAAGCCGTACTTGTAAAGCGTAATTCCTGTGTAAACCAGATTCAATAGGACGTAGTTCCACAGCGTCTGGAAGGCAGGCATGCTGGTTCCTTCCAAGGACAGCAGAGACGAGAAGGTGGACGAGCTGATATCGGCGAGGGCAATAACTTGACTGAGGATAATTTGGTCAGCAACTAATACTAATAATACTTTTCAATGGGCATCTCAACTCACCCCAACAGTATGAGCAGCCAGAAATCTCGGGTCTTCATATACTGTAAGAATCGAGCCGCTGCCCCTTGCTCCGGCTGCTGATGCTGCTGTTCCTTCTGAGGCTCTTGGGATCCATTCTTCTCGACTGAGTACGTCTGCGGGCTTTTGTCCTGCACGTCCTGCGCATCGGAGACCTCCGCCTTCGTTTCGTTCGCATAAAACCCCGACATGGTGGAATACAGCGGTGCGAGTCAACAATTCAATACCACAGCAACGTCGACGAGAAGTAGAAAATACAATGAGAGCTTTTCGCCAGCAAAGTGAACGCAAAGCTCTGAAGTCGCTCACTGCCGAGTTTGAGGGCGCAAAGAAAAGAAGGAGGGGAAAAAGTAACGATCGAAGATTTAGTAGATAATTTAAAGGCAGCTAGGACCGCGAAAAGTGGAGCAGCGTCCTCGTGTTTTTCTTCTCTTTTTTTTTTTTCTTCTGCAGCAGTGGAGCAGCGCCACGGGTTGACGATGCTGTATCGGGCAAGTATCTTCGCAAACCAGGCTTTGCCGATATGGTCTCTCCAGAGTCCACGCGGCGAAATAACAGTTCTCTATGGTGTTGGGCTGTCGAGATAAAGTTCGCACCATCTAAGTTAACATTTTCTCTGCCGTCACTGTCTCGACTGCAACAACAGGAATTATAATGTGGCGTGAATTTTCAAATGCTGTATGTATCAACTACATGTCAAGTGGTAATGTTAGCCTTTGTAAATTCTAAATTCTAAATTCTGTCTATGGAATCACTTCCGCACGGCCACCACGAACAACCGTGGGTACTTCAAGATCACCTTCCCATCCACACACACCGGATAGACCCTTCGCAGCCTCTGCAAGTAGCGCTGAATAAAGCCCTTGCGATTCTCCTCCGACAGCGGGTCAATAAACGGCCGCAAGCCCGTGCCCTTCACCCACTCAACCACCGCCTCGTGGTTATCCAGAATGTGGTAGTAATGCGTATGCCAGATATTCAGGCTGGAGCATAAGGGAATCAGATTGTCGTAAATTTCTTGTGCGGATTGAAACTTGGCCAGTGCCGGTTGTCGGTCTTTCAAGACTGCAGTCCACGGCCCCCCATCGACCGCCGTCTCACGCATCATGGCGTGCGAGGGCTCGAGATAGTTGTCAGGCACTTGAAAAGCAAACACGCCTCCAGAATTCTGGTTCTCTAAAAACCGGCTCACCAAAGGCAGCCGTTGCTCGCTAGGGATCCATTGAAACACCGCATTCGAGAAATACACGTCAACGGGACCGCCTGGCGATGGAGTCCACGTACTGAGGTCGCCGAGCTCAAACTCCAGCTGCGGTAGAGTCTTCTGTGCCTTGGCCACCATATCTGGCGACGAGTCCATGCCCGTGATGTGAGCATCTGGCCAGCGATTCAAGAGCACCTCTGTTGAGTTGCCTGGGCCACATCCCAGATCGACCACGCGCAACGGCCGTTCGGTCTGGATTTGTGCCAGTAGGTCGAGTGCAGGACGCGTGCGCTCCCCAAGGAACTTGCTGTATTGCTCTGCGTTCCAGTCGTTTGCTTGCCTATACGCAGCCATCTTGGGTGCAGACGACGTACAGAATCGCGATGATTTATAGTGAGCTCGGGCTATGGGCCGAGCAAGACTGGCGTAGATGGGCGTGTCGCAGGCCGTTGGGCGGCAGCGAGCAAGAGCAGAGGTATAAATATTCATTTATTGAATTGGATGAGTTATATCTTGTGTCATTTCCTACTGCAAAAATGCGTCGACTCGCGTTGTTATATGTCGAGTTGTGTTAGTTAGTGAGCGACGCTGATGCGAGAAAGTGCCGATAATCGGAACTGGATTGCACCGACTGCTGAAGCTACGTTGATCTTCTACCAACAACAAAGCAATGGAAACGAGCAATCCTTGCTCTTGCGCCTTTTTCTACGTACGATGTCGCGTTTTTCTTTGTTATAGCTGCTCAATCGGACATTTCTGCCGATGCTCGTCCATGAATATACTAATCATCGGGCCAGGGCATCAGCCGGTTGACATCATCAGAAACATCAATTGATGTATAGTTAGACTAGTCGTAGATTAAGACATGTCGAGAGTTCGAGTATTCGGTCTAGGAAAAATCTCTTTATATCAAATCTAACCAGACGATGTTGAGAATAGTCATTAATACGTGGATTCATTTTTCTTTTTATAAACATAATATATATTTGCCAACGGAAAATAACGCTTCGTGTCGTACACAATAACATCGCATGAGAAACAGAGATTTACGCACGGCTCAGGCTCTCGCCTGCATCTGCCTTAGCCTGGCCATACTTGGCGACACGAATCTTGGAAATGCCAATGAAGCCAGTAGTATCGACAGGGCTGAAGTCGATCAGGGTGTCCATGCTACTCTCCTCGGCGCTATACAGTTTCTCCGTCTCGGAGAAACGGCCAAGGACAGAGACAGCGCCCTTGTAGACAGCGAGACGGACAGTTCCGTTGACGGTATCCTGACTGGCAATCACGCTCTTCTCGATGAACTCACGCTCCGGTGAGAAGTAGAGGCCATTGTACAGCAGCTTCGACCAGTTGAAGGTGACAAATTGGTCACGCAGAGAGCGGACCTCACGATCCAGGACCAGACCCTCCAGGTCGACGTGGGCAGCACGGAGAATAGTCATGGCGGGGGAATCGTAACAGCCTCGGGACTTGATCCCGATGAATCGGTTTTCAACAATGTCCACGCGCCCAATACCGTGCTTACGACCAATGGCATTCAAGGTTGTGAACACATCCAGCGAGTCGGTGAGGGTTTGGCCGGAAGGAGTGACCAGTTTGGAGGGAATACCCTTTTCGAAAGAGAGGGTGAACTCTTCGGGGGTGTTGGGAGCGTTGAGAGGAGAGTCGGTCAGCTTCCACATGTCCTCTGGGGGGGTGATGTTGGGATCCTCCTATCATATCCATCAGCATTTCTCTCTAGTGCAGGCAATCTTTCCACGGTGATTCTTACCAGGATACCGGCTTCATAAGAGCAATGAGCCAGGTTTTCATCCATACTCCAGGGCTTGGCCTTGGTAGACGTGACAGGGATTCCCGCCTGGGCGGAGTAGTCGAGCAAATCATTTCGGCCGGCGAAGCGCTCGAAGAATTCGGGTAGACGCCACGGGGCAATCACCTTAATGGAGGGCTACAATTATCAGTGTGCCGTCCTCGTTCTCTGGAAGAGCCTATATTTACCTGAATAGCATAGAAGGCCAGCTCAAAGCGGACCTGGTCGTTTCCTTTGCCAGTGCAGCCATGAGATACTGCGATACAATCATTTTGCTGGGCCACGCGCATTCTATAAAATACTATATCAGCAACACATTATGCCTGGCGAGATGACAGAGACAAGGGTACGAACTGCGCACGGGCAATGACTGGACGTGCCAGGGATGTTCCGAGCAGGTATCGGTCCTCAAAAATGGCATTGCACTGGATAGCCCTGAAGCAAAGCTCTTCAACAAACTCGCGCTTGAGGTCTTCGACGACAAACTTGACAGCACCAACGGCGAGGGCTTTCTTTTCGGCGGCGCTGAAGTCCTCAATCTGACCGACATCGGCCTTATCAAGGGATATATGTTAGGCTCATTGGGTTCGTGACGGGAGAATTCAGCTGGATTACAACGTACCATGAAGGCGACGACATCGTATCCTTGCTCGATGAGCCATTTCAAGATGACGCCTGCGCCTCGGTGAGTATGAAGGGGTAGACAGCTGTGGGCAGGCACACGACTCACTAGTATCCAGGCCACCAGAGTACGCCAGACAGACCTTGGGCTTAGCCATTGTGTGTTTGTAGGTGTGTGATTGAGAGGAGAATGATGAATATTCTGGAATTTCGAATCGCAGAAGACAACGCTGTTCCGCTCTTATCGGTCTGTAGCGAAGGAAGGAATGCCTGTTCTTGTTGTTTTGGAGTTTGTTGGGGAAATTTTCTGGGCCGCTGTCGGGCTCTTTGAGTCATCGGTCATGCTGCGGCTGCCGATTGGCCACAGCTGCTCGTGTGGGGCGCCCACTACGCTATTCCCAGTCCAGCTGTGCGGAACAACATTCCTCCTGATTTAGGCATGGAGGCTCCCAGGCTCCCAGGCTCCTACATCGATACTACCCAGGCCGACCTTGATGCGACGGCAGTCTTGATGGATGGCAGGTGCTCATTCTCAACAATCATATCCTTTGTCCCAATGCTACCGCATGAAATCGCTCAAGGCACCGGTCGAATGGCTCTTTTGCTGCTTGCTCCACCGCGTCGCCCGCCTATAAAGCACGACATGCCCCCGCCTCCTACGTATCTAATACGGGATACAAGTGAATCTTGAAGAGGAATATACATCTCTATAGGCGTCACCACTCACAATGCAGTCTGCTAAGAACACTCCCGTGTCTGTTGTCGTCATTGGGCTCGGCCAGATGGGCCACAGCCATGCACTGGCCTACCACCATAACCCAGGTTTCAAGATAATCGGCCTTGTCGACCGACGACGATCTGGAAATGCACTCCCACCCGCGCTCTGTGAATACCCCTTTCTGTCCCGCTTCGAAGAAGGTCTTGCCTTGAAACCCGATGTCGTGTCGATCAACACACACACAGCAACCCACGCCGACTATGCTGTCGCCGCAATGGAATCCGGGGCACACGTGTTTGTTGAGAAACCGCTAGCAGCGACAGTTGCTGACGCAGAGCGTGTTGTCAATACCGCACGACGGACAAATCGCAAGCTCGTCGTCGGGTACATCCTGCGGCATCATCCCAGTTGGATCGAGTTCATTCACCAGGCACGGCAACTAGGCCCACCGTATGTCATGCGAATGAATATGAACCAGCGCTCTAGCGGTGATGCCTGGGCGATCCATCAGCTGATCCTTCAGGATGTGAAAAACCCTGTCATCGACTGCGGCGTCCACTATGTCGATGTAATGCTGCAGGTTACCGATAGCCAGCCTGTCCAGGTGCGCGGGATGGGCCTTCGTCTCAGCGATGAATTGCCCTCCGACCAAGGACAGGTCAACTATGGCCACCTCCAGATTCTCTTTGCTGATGGATCGGTAGGCTGGTATGAAACGGGGTGGGGGCCAATGATGTCCGAAACCGCGTATTTTGTCAAGGATATAATAGGGCCGCGTGGTTCTGTATCAATTGTCATGGACGAGAGTGAAAAAGCTTCCACCGGTGACGAAGATAGCAGTTCCGCCGATATCAATAGCCATACCAAGACGTCGAAGTTACGCGTGAGCACCGTAGTCAACGGACGCGCACAGAATAAGATGCTCTCCATGGATGGCGAGCCAGACCATTATGAGCTCTGTGCGCGCGAGCAGCAATTTTTACTAGAAGCTATTCGCGAGGGACACGATCTTTCGAAGCACATGGAAGACGCAGTCCGGTCACTTAGTATTGTGCTTGCTGCAGATCGCTCTATGCGTGAAAATCGTGCGATCGACATTGACTTGCTGTAATATCGCTTTCAAAATCAATTTATTAGTCAAGTTTCATAATATATACCTACATATAGTTGATCCAGTCGCGCCCTTATTAAAATTAACCAATTACACATGTGTTGATGAGACGATGCAATTTAAACTATCAATACCTTCGAAATCCTTCAAATGTTGGATATGGAGTAATGGAAATATATATATCCCGCTCGAGGAACCTAGCCTTTACTTTACTTTCTAACAATTCAATCTCAACGGCGAAACAATCGCCAAATCCAGTTATAATATCTGTATATGTATGATATATCATTGATACTAAATTAAAAATTACATGTGTCATAACTTTTTGTTGATACAAAATCAAATTGAATGTATTGATGCACGCGACGACTAAAAGCAGCCCCAATTACCGTGGCAAGTTAATATTGATTTCATTATTTAATGTGCGCATTAACGTTACATATATCAATAGATAGCTAAGCAAAGGGATCTCATTGAATGTTGTGTAGCGTAGTCCTAATATATCTTTATCCGGCTTGTCTTGTATTGCATAGGTAGCCAATACATAAAGTACTTAACCATCTAGGAACTGGACTACGGTGATGAAGTACATATGCAATATGCATTGGAAATCGCTTTCAGACAAAATCAAAAGATGTATTGACCGGGCAACTCTCTTCAAGCTCATCATATATAAACACAACCACAGGAGTTGATCCTAGAGAAGAGAAAAAGACTTCATGTGCAGTCTAGTCAATATATTTACGACTCAACTGCTTTAGCCCTGAAGCCCACAATGTTCCCATTGGTCGCACTCAGCGCCACAACCCAGTACTCTATTCTGTTATGACCGACTTCTACTCGGTAAACCTTCACATCAATCTCACTTTCATCAACATTCGGATCCGACGCGGCGGCAGCTTCACGAACCGTTCCGATCACACTGCTGTATTGATCTCTGGGATCGAAAGAGCTCGGCGGAAGTGTCTCGATGGATTGTGATATGTCCGAGGCGGCAGACTTGGATGTAGTAATGAGAGAGGCAAATTGGTCTAGATTGAAAGACACATGTTAGCGATGACAGGATCTTTTTTCACCACGAAGAATGTAGTATACCAGGTGTCGGCCATTTCCCTCTCGAAGCACCTTCCCATTCCAAAGCAACAGGTTCAAAGGGTTCATCTGTTTCTGAGATGTAGAACGAATCAACTTTTTTTAGCACATCGGGTACCTTGGCGCTCGTCTCAACCGTCCGTGTGCGAACTTGCTGTGAGGAAGGAGCTGTAGACTCGGCTTGGGGCTTGTCTATACCAGCATCGCGTTGCTGATTAGCCTTATTAAGAAAGTCCATATAATCAGAATCAGAAGCCATTGTTTGTAGCCTGGGCGGAGACACGGTAGACCAAAGGCGCAGTCGCACGTTGAGGCTGGATCGCTTTGGCGAGGAGAGCGCGCGGGCTGCAAAGGATCTTGCCTGTTGAAAATTTTGTATTTGAGAAGTATAATGATGTGTCAGAATAATCTTTGTCTGAGATTGTGTGAGACGTAGTGATGCGGTGTTTTGCGGCGAGTGTGTGATCGCGGGGAATGTCACCCGCAGATTTGTGATGACGCAATGGACAGCCATAGACCTGCTCAAAGATTCAAACGTGGATGAGATGACGTTGAAACAGTGGGGAGAATAATACGAAGAGAGTTAAATGTTATTAAACTCTGATCGAGAATATTTACCAGTCACATCGAGCCGCTATGGATGGATAGTACTGACAGCTTGGCGCGGAGCTTTTTCGCCTGCAAGGAACAGGTCACTGATAAAAATTTGAAGCTACAATAAAGATGAGGCTCGATGGGAACAGTGGTGAGCGGGAATTTCTTCTGCGGGTCTACGGACTATATTTTAGTTGAGTCTAGAATGAGTATCGAAATACGTCAATTCGTCATATTTTCTACTTTTTTCAACAACTAGACGAATGCGCCTTTGTTTTGAAGCTTTAAGAAGAGGTATTCATTTTAGATAGAATCATGCAACCGTGCTACACCCCAACCCATAAAGTTTGAAACCACAAGAAAAAAACAATTAAGCAGTGGTCTCCAGGTCCTTCTTGAGTGTACCCAAGAAAGCACGCTTCTCGGCAGGTGTTTGGTAAGCACCGTGGCCGAACTTGGATGAGGTGTCGATCCACTTAAGGTCGATCTTCTCCAGAGCCTTTCGGCTGACTTGAGGGTACAGGGTCTTGCGGAGGGTGAGGACACGCTTCTTGACACCAGGGACCGCACCCTTGACGATGACGAAATCGTTCTTGATCTCACCGTAGCGGACGAAGCCACCAAGACTGTGAAAATGTTAGAATCAAGGTAATACTTTTAGTAGATGTGAAGATACGTACGGAGTGATAGTCTTCTTGGAGACGTCGAATTCAGTGGAGGCATTGCCCTCATCGTCGCCCTTGCCGATGCGGTAGATCTTGTGGTTGACGGACGTACGGTGGTGGTAACCCATCTGACCAGCGCGAGCAACAGTCCACTGGACGTGGTTAGGATGCCAGGCACCGATACAAGCGACCTTACGGAGACCCTTGTGTGTCTTGCGAGGAAGCTTCTTAGTGCCCCAACGGGAGGTGACACCGTTGAAGCCGTGACCCTTGGTGACACCGATAACGTCGATGACCTCGTTCTGTTCGAAGATGCTGTCGATGTCGATGGTCTTCTCGAAAAGGCCATGGGCGAATTCGACCTTGTCGGCGATGGAGCCACCGTTGACTTGGATTTCCATCAAGTGGGCCTTCTTCTGCTTGAGAGGAGTCTTGCGGATCTGAGTGTGGGCAAGGAGACGGACGACGGTGCAGTATTTCTTGATGCGCTCAAGCTCGCGGGTAACTGAGGCACCGTTGCTCTCGGTGTACTTCTTAGAGTAGCGGGTGAAGGCCTTCTTCTTGCTCTTGTACCAGTTCTTGTAGAAGCGGCGCTTCAATTCGTCGCTGAGATGGTCGGCCCAGACGGTGGTGAGAGATCGGAGACCACGAGGAGTCTCAATGTAGCCGACAATACCAACGGCAACGAGCTGCGCCATTTTGTGTTAGTAACCAGATCATAGCCGCCATGGGGTGCGGTGTTCACGTACAGGAGGGGTCTCAATGACCGAGACGGCCTCAACAACCTCCTTCTTGTGCATCTTGGCACCAGGACGGTCGAGGTCACGGACGATGGTAGTCATACCGGCCTTGTAGCCCATGGTGGCTGTCAGGTGGACAGGCTTCTTGGGGTCATCCTTGGGAAAGCTGTGGTATGTCCTTTAGTACTCGCTTCGTCTCAATGCGCATTTCCCTGACTCACCTCTTGACCTTTCCACGGTGACGAGCGGCACGCTTGCGCGGCAAGTAGGCGAGGGAGCCTGTGATATTTTTCTGTCAGTCCAGCCCGGAATTTTCGACCAAATTTGCATCCCGAGATTTCGAGACGACATCATGGAATAGACGAACCGTGCCTAGGCGCTTCGTACTTGCGGTGACTCCTGGTAAAGCGCGCGAAGTCAGTAATCTGCTTGGTAATGGTAATCACAATCCATTGGCAAGGGCAAACTCACATCTTGACCCTGTTGTCGTTAGTAGTCGTCGAAGTGGTGAAGGATCGAACGATCAAGAAAATCCGCAGTTGTTTCGCCCGCTTGACGATTGTGGGCTTACCTAAGCGAAACTCTTGGCGACGTGGCCATTTTGGGTTAGCCCCTCGGCAGGCACGCTTCACAAGAAGGATTTACCGCTTTCGTTTGATTGGCCAAGATTCTGGCAAATCAAGTATCAGCATCTACAGTCTCTCCAATAGTAGGAAACGGAATTGCTACTTCGATGGCTTAGAGATATTGGGAATTGTAGTGAGATTGGACGTCTATTACCGTATATTACAATGTCCATCCATATCTAGTGGTACAGAAGGAATAGAGGTGAAGACAAAAGGCAAACACAAACACAGAAAACGAGCAATCAAGCATTCCTCTTCTCGCACACAGGCCCCAGGCTCATGTAGTCTTTAAGATCTTCAAGATCATTGCGACTTGCTATAGTAGTCTCTCGAGTGCATTCGGCAGTCGGTGGCAGATCATCTGGGAAATTAGACCCTGTGTGGCTGATATCCTGGTCGTTTGGTCCGCTTTCGGTGGCATCAACACTGGCGTGCTGGTCGTCATCTTCTGGGTTCCTGAGGACTTGTTAGGCTTGTGTATATTCTCAACGTTGGGTACGATGATTTGTAATTACGTCTCACTGCCGCAAGTAGCCTTATCGCTACCTGAACAATCGTTGTAAACGGTCTCGTTGTTTGTGAAACTGTAATATGTATCGTGGCTACAGTCGAGGTACTGGAGAAATGGGAGGCGTCGTGTGTTGTTTAGCAATGAGGGATCATCACATCTGTCGCTCTCGGTGTTAGAAGCTTGGACATCTGAAGCGTCTATATGGGGACTGTCACCACCAGTTACGAGTTGTGTTAGCTTCAATGATCAGTACTCAATTCAGGCTTGGTAATTCTGGAAATATCATGGGCCATACCTAGGCTCTATATCGAGGCGGCTGGTGGTAAAGTCTGCCATGACTGTTATGCTGTGTTAAGACGTGTGTGGGAATTCTTTCAGACGCATGTGGCCGGCGGTGGGCGGAAGGGCAGGGAAAAAAGACCATAATTATACTTATTCTACTTCCCATGAACTGCATAGAAAAGGGGTGATCTAACATCATATAGACATGGGCTTAGGTTCGCTGTTTTGTGATCTATATTGATGACTGCATTCGCGCATCGCCACTAGTGATTAAATCGGCGGGTCCAATCGACCATCTTGGCACGAGATGTATTGGAGTTACCCTTCCTAGTGGTATATTAATGCAGGCCTGCGGGTGTTCTTTTAACGCAGAGTAATTGAAATTTTAACCTGAGTGGCTGTATATTCCTCCTCTAGGATCAATATCAATTGATATAAAACGTGTGGAAAAGATCCCCATACATCAGCATCAACATTGATTGTTTAAGTGTGTGGAAAATGCATACCCAAGAACCAAAATTTCAAGTAGACGTAATCATATTGCGGTAGTACATGTATCCTGGTGACGCCTGACAACACTGTAGTTCCTGTAGCTCGCTTCGTATCCTTGTCGACTATAGCAGCTTAGTCGGCCCAAATTAAAATGGCGATACATGCTATCGAGTGTTTATAAAGAGAATGGTGGATGTTTAAAAAAAAGGAAAGTGTAGAAGTAATGCGTTGCATGGGGAGGCTAACAGCGAGTCAACCTGTTAGGCGGAAATCAACCCATCGCAGTCTGAGTCGCCCAAGCCCCCTTTTCTGTCTACTATTTCCCCCTTTTTCTGAGCATTGTCTCCGCATAATTTCCATGAACAATATGTAGCAACACGGTCAAGACCATGCCTGGGGTCTGGATTGCTTTCTACATCCTGAACAGGCGAAAAGAGAGCATTGGCTCGGTTTTTTACACCGTAATGCTCCATGCTCACCAAGCGTTGTCCGTTCCGTGGACGTGTTGAAACTACCAAGCGTAGTTCTGCTGGAAGTGGTGGCTATCAGTGTCGGCCATAGAAGAGACGCTAAGACTTAGTACTTCAGCTCGTCAACAAGGGTGTTGCCTGAAACAAGCAAGCACCCTGGGATTGCGCGACCTCTACTAGCGATTTAGATTATTTGTGGAACACTTGATTTCCTGTATCCTTTCCGCACTAGCCGTACTTCAAGTGCTTGACAAAAGAACAAGGCTGTGTTCCCGTGGAGGCTGAACGAACAGTGACTGCCTCGCATTGATAGTCGATATTACCACCAAAAACAGCACTAGTAAAGAAGAATAATGGTCTCGTGGCCAATCGAGACCGTCCAGTCTTCATTTTTCACTCCTTTAGCCGAGAATTTCTCTACGAGATCAATCCATGGATCTCTCCCGATCCACCAACATTCCAGTCATTTAAATGGTCGGAACGGCGCTGGGTTTCTGCCACATCCCTTCGTCGATCCACAGCGTAGTAATGCCCCTTCTGTAGTACACTACAATTGATAGCTTTTGCTAGAGTGTACATTGCCGTAAGATCGCACGCTGGACGGAATGTATTGCAGGGTATTTTAGTGCAGTTTTGTCTGAAGGCAAAGGCAAAATGCTGGAGGGCCAGGCTGAAGGGTGCAGTGGTGTTTGCAGGGGTCGTGCGTGCCTTCTTGCCCTGCTTCGCCCTTCCTTATACCCGCCAACCCTCCTCTCCTTCTCGACAGCAACAGAGACCTTCGTTCCTCTTTCACACCCACCCTGCAACACAGTCGTGGAATTATGGTATGTATTGAGTTCTGAGCAGCCTTCGTTTTTGCTTGCTGGTTTGATATGATCGCTCCACACTGCTTTGGACCTTGGTGCCTCACCCCGGACCGGCATCTCCCATCCTCGTCCTGAACAACGGTTGCAAGAAACCTTGCAGAGCAGACGAAAGATTATCTATCGCCGAAACTGTCCACTGTCGGTTGCCTGTCTGGTTGTATATATACGCTATCGCCTTTAAAGGACGCTCTAGGTGCGGTGGGTTACGTGACACCACTGTATCAGCCTGGTGCGACATCACACTCGGTGACGAACTGCTACACGGACCACAGAAGATCTCATTTCATGATGAAAGGACCGGTAGATTGTACTGGTACGTATTCGTAAACACCCAAATGATTTTTGCTATCGTCTCCCAACGCGTATACAGCCCATGTTGACGATGAGCTTTTTTTGGTTAAGACAGCCGAAACCACCAAAAATGGACGGATGAACAAGCCTTTGGTTCCCTTCATCAGTCGAGGGAGTAAAACGCTTTGGCTTCAGAATTACAATCGCCTGTGGATGGCGTCCGATTATTTGCGCGCACTGGAGGGCTACTTCGCTTAGCCTCGAGAACAATCCTGTGAAGAAACAACACAGCCTGAAAGCCAACAAGGGCCAACGACAACCCAATTACAAGTCAGTCGGCAGCAAATGTTTAGAATTCCAGGCTATAACGTGGAGGACATACGCAGAGCTAGCAGTGTGTCGGCGACTGGCGCTGAGCGAAGTCAAAACAACGTTTACGACAAATATTTGGTGGCAGACAAGTTCCAATCAAACACGCCGAAAACCAATCCTTGCTGCACAACATTATTGGAGACCTAATCCTGAATAATAACTACGTCGGACGATCCGATTTACCTGACAGCTGATCTCCGGCTCCACAGATCTTTTAGTGGGCTCGCCAACACCTGGTCAATTCTAGCTCCGACGAGTTTAGGTATAACTCCGTGTTTTAATGTGGTCAGAGCTCCTCAGGAGACCATTTGTGCCAGATTTATCCACTGCTAACTGGTACTAAGCAGTGGCTGCTACCAGCCATCTGCTTCCGTGTGGACTGTCATTGACTACGCATCGCACAATAAGGATTCGCATCGTATTGCGCATGGAGAATTGCACACCCATGTGCGATCGTGTCATCATGTTCCTTTGAGAGAACGGACCAAGCGAATCGTAATTCCGCGCAAACGCATAGTGCGGCCGGGATCGGAGCGACGCCATATTCTAAGCAAACTATTGGCCCATTCCTTAGAGCTGCTTGCTTTTGCCAATCGTTTTCTGCGATTCGCTGAGATATGAGCGCTTTTCTACTAACAACATCAAGCGAGGTTCCATATGGCAGGCATATGAGATACCAGGTATCATCCCGGACGTATGCGACATGCGGATTATGCGCTGTTGCGATGTTGTCAGCACTGGATTTCTTTACACTGTTAGATTTGCTTGCTGAAGAAACGATCTCTGAGAAAGTATTTTCGCCTTTTGGATTATTCCACAGCACTACAATGCTGTGCTCAAGTTGGCAGTGAAAGAAAGCATGACGCCTACAATTCTCAACCTCACTACGCAGCATCACTTTCTACCACATCCAGAATGAGGAAATAATAGCTCGTGTCGCTAACTGGAGCTGTACAATAGCTCCGAGGAGCTGCAGACGCCTAGCGTCGAAATCCTTGGGGATAGGACTAGGGGGCTATGCTAGCCGCCATGGCTTTCTGGCGGCGATCCGCCAGGTGGTGAGTTGCTGAAATATTTTAGGTGAGTCTTTTTACTGTCTCAGCATTGGGTTTAAGGTATCTTCGCATGCGCGAACGCATATAATACTTACCGTTAGGGCAAGGATATATATTAGTCAAATGCCGGATTTGCTCTTAGTGGCCAGTATTGTTCGTACGTATCCAACGCATTGGATTCGAAAGGCGCACAAGTCAATAGATGCGGCCACAAATTACAATTTAAACCGTTCAAATACACTCATCATATCGAGTGCAGCAAGAAAATATATTAGACATAAGACTTGAAAATCAAAAGCAAACAACACCAAACTTCACTCTTGGATGGCTGGAACTTCAAAATGTTGCTCCTCTACTTAGATGTACATTCTCCGCTTCCACACCTGTATTGGCTAGCCCGCTTTGATGGCCTCTTCCATTGTCCACCCTGTACATCCACTGTTGACCAGCTCTGGTAATATTTTGCTCAGTACTAACATCCGCATGTAACGTCCTCACTGTGACCGTCGTAATGTTCTTGGAGACGTGACCTTGGAATGTTTGTCTACTACGAGTTTTCTCGTAGTAGACATGGCGTTCGCGTAGATTTGGAAGGGTTACATGTGCTAGGCTGTTGCTGCTATCAGATGCAGCGTATGTAGAGAGGAAACCCGTGTTTATGTTTAGATCGACGACCTGGGTTTCATTGCTTTGCTGATAAAGTCGGCAACAAACGGCTGTGCATAGAATGGTGCGCGAAAGGATAACCCTGGAGTGTCTGTTAGGGTTGAAACAGGTAGAGACTATGTACAGTGACTGGACGTTGCGTACCAGATACACGTGAAACTCCTTTGGACATAGAATATAGCTGAAAGCCGAGAGACCAAAGGTAGTCGCCGAAAACGCCTGATAATTTCAGCCCGCGAGCCCGCCAATCCATGAGCTCCTGTCTCATCAGGGTCGTGAGGTATTTGGTATACATCATTGTGGGCTGCTTAGACTCACAAGTCAATTGACATTTCGGTGCACGGGTATAGGGCCAATATCATGTGAGATATGACTTCTATTAAATAGCAAAACTCATAACTCATGGAAAATGCTACGAGGTTTAGAGAATTTAGGAAGCAGCGCTGTCTGTTTGCTGCGCACCAATCAACATTTGAAGGTGTTCGGTACTGTCTATTCTCGAGTGTTGAACACTCAAAGGTCACATTCCAACCGAAATGATCTTGATATAGCAGATAAGGAGATTTATTTGTATGTCATGTATCATGATAGCTACTACCAAAACGTCGACGATAAATGTTCGATAATTGTAGTGGTGGGTATTTCTCTTGCGTCTATGCAGTGTGATCTTAGTCCTCTTTGTGCGGTAGGATGACTAGATCTTTCTCGCTTGCCCTGGTTCTTAAATCTAATGACATCTTTTCCCATTTTCCATTTTTCTTAATAAATTCATACGATCCAAACTGAAAAAGTGAAGCACTGTTAGTAAGATCTTTGAATCGTGTTTGTGCTTCGAAGTAAAACGAAAAGGCAAAACGTACAGCCCGGCTTGACTTTCTCACAATGTCCGAATATTCCTTGCCATTCCAGTCCGTCGACTGAATTGTAAAATCCGTTTCCTCGAGAATTTGACTAATTTCATCAAGGAAAGAGCCAAGATCGTACACACGATTTCCATTCACCCCCGTAACAAAATTGCCGTACATGATAGCCGTATGTTGGCCTGGTGAGCCGGCAGCCTGTTCAGAGCCTAGTTAATTTCACCGAAAAGAAAACAAAAGAACGAGATTAAAACGAACATACCGTAGACATATATATCAGCTCACTGTAAATCTCTCGAGTGATATATTTCAAATCTGTGTATGGCGCCTGAAGAATCATTCCGAAAATAGAGGTCACTCGGTCTGTCATCGCATCTGCAGCTAGTTGCAAAGGATAATCGATGACAATCTCCTTTCCATCCCGCACAAGACCAAGCTCAACCGTTTCATGTTCTGTATCATCAAAAGCATCAAAGTCGATGTATTTGGTTATGGGTTTGCCATTGATTCTCAAAAAGATGTCACTATGTTGGATGTAATCCGCCGCTCTCAATGTCGTTCTTCGTACACTGAAGAATCGATGTTGGGCGCCATTTATACTTATTCCATGATTGATATATTCATCTTTTACCCCCATTATACGGGCATCTTTTGGCGAAATCATTTCGCAGCGAAAGTTAAGTTTAGGACGTCCCATTGGGGAAAGGCCAGCTAGAACTTGGTAAACGACCGGGGCAATGCTTACAGTCGGAAGAATATAGCTATTATTGTTTCTAGACACAATCCAGAAACCCGAAATCTGTTGTGTTTCGTTCATTATGACCCCTAAAAGGCAGGTCTGCGCAATATCACTATCAATCTGCACAACATCAATTGCTTCTGCATGATGCAGTGGCGAACTGAAGTCAGCAATTAGTGACCCGGTTACTCTGGACTTTGTTGTGTGGAAGGTATCTGAGTCGTCTATTCCCAAGAACGTGACTGGGTCAAATTCTAGAGGATATGTCGTGGCAAGGTCTATGGTATCGAGTGTTTCAGTGCTGGTTTCTGCTGCATCATAACGTACAAGAATCCAATTCTGCCGATGGTCCATATGGACAATTGTGCCAAGTACTTCACGTCCATCTATGTCGATGTAAATATCACATAGATCGTGGGGACATACTGCCTTTTCGACAAGTATCAACCCTCTACTTAGAATAAACCCAAATCCACTTTGTTTAGCATCCGTGTTTTCGTCTAGACATACAAACGGAGCCGTCCAAGTTAATTGTACAAACCGTCTTTTAATCTCGGATAGCACCGGAGTTTTTGGCGAGATAGCCTTATGATTGGGAAGAGCTGGTTCTGAAACTTCCTGAGATGTTTTTTCTTGTGTCTTGACGTTGGAGTAGTCCCATTCTCCAGTATCAGGATTGAAGATTGTGAGGGACGGTTGTTCCCAGTGACGATCGAGGGTGATTTGCATAGTCTCCTGGCGAGAATTGCGGGTCGCATGGCTATATCTCACAGTAACTCGTTCGCGATCTATCCATTGCTGTCAATGTTTATCTATATCATGAACATTAGTTCTGAAGGGAGCACGAACCCGCAAACTTGATAAGAGTCTTTTCTCCCTCGATCACGTTCGGTGTTGCATGTCCGTTAATCGAGGATATAATGTAGTCTCTTGAATTGTCACCGAGGCGGTAGGTGGATGTCGAATCTGCTACATACAATCCTTTAAGAGGCACCCTCCAGCACACTGCCGTCCTATACGGGACATTGTGAAAGGTGGCGCCGGAGTCAGTGAGGATTCGGGTAGGTGTAAGAGCAAAGAGATCGTGCACCACAAGTTCAAAAATATGAGTCTTTTGGAACCTGATTACTTCGATCTGTATCTTTCTACCGACGTTGAAATTCAAAATGTTTTCTAAATCAGAAAAGTCAACCACCACCTTGCTGTTTATAGATATGAGAATATCGTTGACTCGCAGAAACTCGAATGCTTCGGTTTCTGGGATTATCATAGTCGCAACAAGCAGCCCGTTCTTGTCCGTGTTGATTTCAGCTTGTTTAGCTCGGGAAAGTCCTATCTGTCGGCATTCATAGAACGGTACCCGTCGCCATACTGTGTGAAGAGTGCCTCTCACGACAGGTTGTTCCCTTTTAATGTTCTCCAAGACTTGGAGAGGACAATGGAGTGGGAAAAACCAATCCAAGTGCGAAGAATTATGCCCGCTCACGCATATTCCGATAGCCTCGCCTTCTAGTGTAAGCAGGGGACCACCAGAACACCCTCCCTTGCCGGCTGCAGATGCCTGAATGAGTTCCACGTTGCTGTCATAATGGGTTGGAGACGTCGTATCTAGCCTTGATATCGTACCCCGAAGAATGTTGACCTTTTCACCACTATCATTTCCAATTAAGTAGACGTGAGAACCAACTACGGCAGCTTCTGGCTTTAGTGTGAGCGATTCTAGGTCCAAAGAGCCAAGTTCAGCAGGCGGGCACTGTAAAATAGCGTAGTCATGCTCTGGGTCTTTATATCTGATTTTGAAGTCACACTGCGGGCTAGTTAGCACATCGAAGAGAATTGGTCATCCTGCTCCCCACGAGTCAGCGAGGTGTGGTGTAAACTTGCCCGTTCATCATTATGCGAGATGATATATCCCTCACAAGGACCCTGTACCGCATGTCCTGCTGTTAAGAACAGACCTCGCGTTTTGTCGACCAAGAAAGCACTGGCTTGGTAGGTACCCGCATAGCTTTGCTGATATGATCGCGTCTGGCGCACGGCAATCTGGACCATGCTCTTCAGAATATCGCGTTTCAGTGAGCTGTCTATCGCAGTGCTAGCGACACTGGATTCGGCTGCTGTCACGACTGGCGAAGAAGGCGGCGATGACTCAACACCAGCTTGATTTGGCTCTGCCTTTGATGTGCGCATCTTGCTATCTTCTTTTTTGTGACAGTGTGAAACTCCCACTGAGCTCTGGCTGGTGTTATGCGACATTTTGACTTGCGCAGAGCAATCACACGATGGAAATGGATGCTTTGAGTTGAGTAGGCAAGGCCCGTCCTAACTTCTGGCGCGACAAGGCTGTCAGAGTAAGATTAAAAGCCCCAGGCATACACGAGAAGCTGTCTTTCGAGTGAGTCACAGTGGAAGGAATCGGATCAGCGTCACCAGGACACCTGAGCGAGGGTGAGCTGGAAGCTATACGAGTTGTCAACAGTGCGGGGTAGGCCGGGATAGACACACGAGAGCCTCTGCGCCGCTTTTCGCCTTGTCGCGTCTTTATCGCACACGGTGCTCGGCGCAAGGCTGATCAGTCTCTACCTTCTGGAAACGCCAATAGACACGCAGAAGACAGTGTTGCGTTATGCAGTCCGGCAGGCTGAAGCCCTCTTTCGCCTCACCAAACAAGGCTGAACACACGGTGCTAGGCAGAGACGATTGACGTGTCGGTGCACGGCTATTCAGCCTCAATCTATGCAGTATTACGTGACAAAAGAGGCGAAAAGAAAAAGGGAAAAACAAGAAAAAGAAATCGGTTGGTTGATGACTAGTTATTCTTAGAGTGATTGGGAGTTAACATGATAATAGCCTAGGACTCAGATTCTGCTCACGTCGTTTCTCAAAGAATCTGAACCTAGTTAATTTCACGACATTGATTGACATTGACCTGTAGTCGAAACAGAGGAACAATATGTTTAGTTAGAAAAACACCCCGACTTTCAGTACCCAGATTAAACAAAAGCCAACAGTCAGATGAAAGCCCAAAACATCTCCAGTCTGACAAGATAGTCCGACTGGTTGGTGTCTGCTGTTGAGTTGAGAACTCCGCATGGCTGAGTTCCGAATAGGTACAGTACAAGGTCGTTGTTTTGCCATTTGTGGACAATGCATACCCCGAAGAATCAGTCTTGACCGCCGACCTAACCAAAAAAAAAATACGAATCGGAAAATGCGCTAGGATTGGCAGCAACGTATGCCTCGCATGTAGGATAACCTGTCTTATCGGGACAGCTAGACTCTTCCCATTTTCTGCCGCCAGCACTTTGACCGCAGAAGTTGATATTGAAAATCTGGTTTTCGGGAAATTCTTAGCATCAATTAGTTTTCGAAATTGAAATATGATTGCAAGAATGACTCACAACACTCAGGTTGATCCACTGTCAATCGATATGAAACACTGCTCGAGATTCTAAATGCAGGATTGGAGTTCGTCTCCAATTAGGTGGTCAAATGTCAACAACGAGGCCGAAATCCACCGAAGCAGCAAATGGAGGGAACATCCAGATCGCAAGATCATCTGGAGTTGGAAACAAAACTCAGTACCCTCCGCGCTTGGCATTGAATGCCTCCCCATATGAATTCAGGGAACCGCTGACGACGCAGCCATCCACAGGATTAGGTTTGATGGAACAGTCTGTTCTAATGTGCGTCCCAGATTGGGTGGCAGGGCTGTTGACCAGACTGCAGCCCAGGCTCATGTGAAGACTAATTACATCGCGTGTCTGATCGTCGATGCCTTTTAAAATATGGATTTCACCATATGGATACTCACTATAGTTGTATGTCCAGAATGCCGGCTACGTATCGTAGATATTACTAGGTATATTCTCAAAGTCCACCACCATGATGTGGTCGTCAAATGTGAATCGGCTTTCTAGCCGGACACTCTTGTGCCCAGTGCTGGTGCTGTTAGGAGTCTACCCTAACACGGTGGAATTGTCTACTCCAAGCCACACTTTCTGACCGGACTTGACTACTCTATGGCCTGAAGACCACGCAGAATCAAAGTCGACGTATTCGACGTATCCTTGTGTTAGATCGGGACTCTTGACATATATCCTGCAATATCAGAGATTGACAGCAGACCACTTAGCGAATTGCCTCCGGAGTCCATCGCGCACGAACTGGCGGGATGACCATCTGACTGCCCCTGGGAAACAATCGACAGTATTAAGCCCAGTCGTTACACAGCACGGCCGTTATCAAACTTGATGCCGTCGAAAATAGATTTATATTGAAATTTTCTTGATTGAGATAGTGAGATACGGTTCGTGTCACGGCCAGACTATTCTGGTAGAAATATCCGATAGGAACTTAATGTATAATGTGAAAATGCTGTTCTGGAAGTATATTGTGGCAGAAAAAGGGCGTCAACTAACATAGGGGAGTCACCATCCAGTCATCGATGACTAGATGACAGTCAAAATCGCCAAAATCCCTTTAGGTTGCCTTTCTGAACTGCGTTTTCTCAATTAATAGATCTCTAAACACAATCTCATAGCGAAATACGATATCCTTTTTCTTAGCTAAAATGAAGTCTCTCAGCCTGATCATTGCGTTTCTGTCGATTCTGCGAATCGCCAAAGGCACGTACATTTGATTTTGATATACTTAGTAATACTGAATAATTACTAACCCTCCGTGATCAGGACTGAGCATTACCTCTCCTGTTCAAGGCCAAAAAATCGATATGCAGCAAGGCCTGCCCATCTCCTGGTCCCTCGATGCCAAAGACAACACATCAGGCAATCTCACCATTGAACTCTTTCTAGACAGCTCTTTCTTCCTCATCTTGACACCGTCGAAGGATGGGATTTCTGTCACAGATCTTAACTACACATACAGCTACACCGGCCCGACCTACCTAGACCCACAGGAGAAATACAATATCCGGCTGTACGACAAATCTGGCCATGAGTATAAAACAGGCTTTTTCTCGATATATGATACAGATCAATTTGTCAAGTCGACGGCACTGGTTAGAACCACTCACACCCAGGCGGATACCGCGTTCTCCAACGCGACGCCTTCCACCTCATCTTCCGCGTCATTTTCGAGGGTGCCTTCAACACCAGGCTCGACGCCGACGCCAACACCGACGAGTTCTCAGAGCACAGCTAACCTGTATTACAGGAAGGATCGCACTGGCCTTTTTTCTGGTATAATCATTGGTCTCATGGGCTCAGTTATATAATGTCTCGAACAGGTGGAAGTTTTGGTCGTGTCATCTTGTATGCTTCTGAGTTTGCAGTGTTGGCAGTGAATCAATTCGTTTTGACGACTGTGTCATCAAACCATGATTAATGAAAACCGTCAACGCCTGAGTTATTCCCAATAGAATGAGAACATGTCATTGCCCATGTAGTCATCTCCATACAACCCCCCCTTTCCTGAGCCCGCAGCACCGGCGGACACGATAAGCGGTAGAAAATGCTCTGCCCCACCGTTAGGATGCATTGTATAGGCATGCGGGAATTTTCGCCACTGCTTCAGTTTGGCTATTCGCTCTTGCGCATCATCCGTCATAACAGCCTCGTTGAGTACGCTAGACCATTCGCGCATATTCGCATGGAAGGTCGGCGTTCTCGACGTGCCACTAAACATAACTCTTAAGTTATGGAAGGTGGCAAAGCCAGATCCAATGATGGCGACATTTTCCTTGCGCAGGTCAGCAATAGCCTGTCCCATTTTGAAATGTTCCTCTGGGTCTTCGCTGTCCAGTACAGACATCTGAACAACAGGGATCGATTCATCGGGGATAATCATCTTCAACGGTACAAAGACGCCGTGGTCCCAGCCCCGCGAGCCATCTAATACAGGCGAGAACCCAGCCGTTTTTAATCGATTGAAAATTTCCTGTGCAATGGCAGGCGACCCACTGGCATTGTACTTGACGGAGTAGGCCTCCTGCGGAAACCCATAGTAGTCGTAATACAACTCATGGCTTGAGCCCGAGGAGATGGTTGGCTGTTTCGTGGACCAGTGAGCTGTGACCAAGATGATGGCTTTGGGAGCCAATGGGGTGCCGAGTTTCAATAGCTTGCGCACGCGCGTTTGCCACGACTGTACGATGTTTACGTGCGCAGGGTCGCCGAGTATGGGCATAGGGCCTGCAGAGCACACCCCGCGACTGTTAGCCTTGACGACGAGATGTGGGGGGGGGGGTTGTTAATATTGGAGGACACGAAGAACGTACCACCGCCATGCGTTAAGCAGATCACTGGGGCCTGCATCTGCGCCGCGGCCATTGTGGTTGATGTTAAAAACCGGCGTTGATGAAGAGCTGCACTGATGAAGCCGAGAACACCCATAAATATAGCCCAAGTCCGCCAGGCCATGAAGGATCGACGCACCTGTCGTATTTAAATATAGCGAAGAAGATTAAACACCTGACGCGGCCGATTATTAAAGCTTCGCGGTTTCCGACGGACGGCTTCATTCCGCACACGCTGAGTCAGACGAGAATAGCATATGGTATGGTAATCATTTCTAAGCATCAAATATCGATCCAGTTGGGTCTGCGCAGAGCCGCAATGGAGAATTTCCTAGCCAATCAGACTTTTTAGCCAATTGCCCATTCCATATACGGGTAAGAAACATCACTCCTCCTCTCTCTTGCTTGCTTCCCGTTGCTTTCAAAAAAAAGGGCAGCAAAGCAACACTCATCTTTGAACTATAATAAGCTGACGAAGGGTCTAAAATAGCTATGGCTATGGATGAGCTGACGGCGTAAGTGCATTTTATCTTAAACGCCTAGAAGATGCAATTCGAGATGGGGATCCAATCTGATCCATCATCCGCTCCACGGCCATTAACAGTAATGGGTGAACGTCAGGAATTACGATGGCCAGGAAGCGGTCGTTAGAAAGTGCTATGGGCGTGCCGGTTTGCATCCGTCGCAAATAACTTATGTTGAGACACATCGTACCGGCACTGCTCTTGGAGATCCAACGGAGGTGGAGGCCCTCTCTCGCGTCTTCCGCAAGGATCAGCGAGAGAACACGACACTCATAGGTTCGGTAAAGACTAATCTAGGCCACGGCGGGGCTGCCGGTGGTCTTACGAGCATTATAAAAGCGACCCTTGCTTTGGAACATGGCCAAATTCCCGCTACAATTGGCCTGAAACAGCTAAAGCTAAAGATAATTGCAGAGGAATGGGGTGTCCAGATGGTGACGAAAATGACCGATTTCACGTTAACTGTACGGTAGTCGTATCAGTATCACTTCGTTTGGTTACGGCGGTGTGAATGCTCACGGTATTCTCGAGGAAGCTGGAGTCACGTCACGCAAAGCATTTATAAGACCTTCGCGGAAAACTTTCTTTTGAATGGAAATGGACACATGACAAATGATTTGACGAGCGGCCACACCAATGGCTAGACAAATTGTCACTTTAGAAACCCTCACAAGGCCTGCAGTTCTTTTTCTTACCTTATTCCATTTTCTGCGAAGAAATCTCCCTCCCCGCCGGAACGTGTCGAGAAGCTATCCCAGATAGATCTCAGAGATATCTCTATCGAGGATCTTTCGTACATTTTGGGACAACGTCGATCCCACCTTCCAACACGCGGCTATATTATAGCTCGACAGGACAGCCTCTCCGAAGATATCAACTTCGAAAACTTAAGAACCCCTTCCACTATCAATGTTGCCGACTCCAAACCATGCTTTGTCTTCACCGGCCAAGGTGCGTAATGCAAAGGTGTGGCCCGTGAGCTTCTGTTATTCCTAGTCTCCGCTGATACTATTCTTCAATTGGACAAGGACCTAACCTCCATCGCTCAAAGCACCCAGTGGAGACTATACGATATTTCAATGGATGACTCCGCCGATGGTTTAATCAAAAGGCCGAATACGCACAGCCAATAACAACTGCTGTACAGATCGGTCTTGTTAATCTTCTACGGTCCTGGTTCATCCAACCTCATGGAGTGGTCGGACATTCGTCTGGGGAAATTGCCATTGTGTATACTGCGAGCTTCCTCAGTGCCTGCGAGGCCATTATCATCGCTTACTATCGCGGTCACATCGTGAAAGATTCAATGTCTACCGGAGCAATGGCTGCAGTGGTCTGGATGAGAATGTCGCATCGAACTGGATCAAAAAACTGGAACTAGCTGCCAAAGCTAAGGTGAAATGTATCAACTCGCCACAGAGCGTGACTATTAGCGGAGATGAGGACGCAAAATGAAGACCGATGGTAAAGCATATCACTCTCACCACATGCTTCAAATTGGTGACTCATATCAAAAACTGCTTGAAGAGGCCTATAGTTTCTCGTCTTATACCCCTGTTGCTACCCTGCGCCTTGGTAGGATGTACTCGGCAGCCATCATCCAGCAAGAAGTGAATGAGAAAAATGTTCAACTACCGTCATATTGGAGAACCAAACTCGAGTCACCTGTTCACTTTTCTGAAGGCCTCACTAGATTGTCTGAATTGGTTGAACACCACTTGTTCTTGAAATTATTCTTGAATTACGCAGACGTTTCGATGTGTCGAGTAATAGGTCTTTGCAGTAGCAGGACTCTTGGGGGTTCAGATTGATTTATTAAACATTCAGTCTTAAAAAATTAGTGCATGGCACGTTCAGTCGACTTGATCGTTATGTAACAGCCCGAGTGGGTTTCAAGTACTCGACTATCAACTAGTGCTGATTTACCAGATTGCAATTTTTCAATTTTTCTGTTGCACATGTGAGCTCAATATTGAAGTCTTCGAATGTTAAGGTTATTATTCTTAAGCGTCAATTTGTATTAGTTGAAATGTAGGTAACACCGGGGTAAATGGATTACCCACAATGCATATATGTACGTTCTGGTATTCGTTTAGATACATTTTGTTATTTCCATTCTCACAATATAGGATACACGGAAAAGACGTAACTCAAGTGCCTTACATTATAAATGGCACAAGTAATATGGTTAGGAGTGTCGCGGGCAAATATATGCAGAAACTAGAGCGTTTCGCAGAAAATGATGCGAGGATTGGAGAATATGATTAACTGGCGGTGTCTAATGCTCCGATGGCTGAGAGGGGAACCTCGACGTGCACACCCGATTAGACTCCCAATATAGACGTGCGACTGGGTTGGCAGGCCAGTTGATCCACGCCGTGGAGAATTCATCATATGAATGATATGGTTCGGAGCACCTCAATATGCTGGGCTGCTCCACGTTCAAGTGGGACAAGACACAGATATTCATTCTTCACCTTCTATAATGAGGCAGTGAAGAAGATCGCGGAAACACGCAGGGCGAAAAGCCGAGGTCGAGAAAACTGTACTATGAGCCCGCAGGTTTGCTTCCCACGTCGAATTCGGGGCTTTGAGAAAGATGTAGACAATACCACATATCGATACTGAAACATGGCCAGTGTGTATAGTAGTAGCATACAGCCCCATACAAAAAAGGAAAGTATCATCATTAGATGGTCTTGAGAGTCGTCAGAATCATTCATGTCACATACCCCAACTGGGCCCAAAGTCTTCTTCCAGGCTGATCACAGGCAGATTCCATCCAAGCAAATGTACTCATAACCTTGCTCACTTCGTGCCAGTTTCGTAGTTGAAGTTTTGTACACAGATCCCGAATTTGCAGAGCCATCCAATCCCGAAGACTAAGATCAACATCTTCAGCAGCAATACCGCCAAGAACCATGGCCCAAAGCTGGAGTCTCAACACATATGGATTATTCTGCGCGACAGGGCTGGAAGCAGTCATCGCTGACTGAAGCTGGAAGACAGTGTTCACCCGAAAACGTCGCGATGAAGGAACGGCAAAGGTAATGTGGGTGGTGAACAATAATGCAGAAAGCCAACACAGGCTGTAGACAGCGAATGTCGAGTTAACGAGACTCAAACTGTCCCTAACCGGTACGTCACCAGCAAGGGAAATATCGACGACAAGCATGGGATCATCCGTCAAGTTTGGCAGACTTTCGAATCGGTATTGAACTAAATTACGCGCATCGGCGACGAGATCTCTTTTGATGGGATCCTCACATCGAGGTCCCAACAGTTTTATACTCTGGGCAAGCTCAGCGAGCTCGATGAAAGGGAGGAGAACCGACTCTTGAATCAGCTGTGTTTGCAGATTGCGGAAACCGTCCCCTGTATGGGGAGGTAACTGGGATAAGGTCATTCCAAGAATCTCTAGCGGGGTAGAGCTTGTCAAATCTTCGTCCTTGTGATTACATATAGGAAATGCTGGTTTTGTGAATGTGTGTAAAGCGTATTTAATAGCGGTGCTGTGAGGTTAGTCTCGAGAAACGAGGAGGAGATAGAGATGACTCACTATGAGAGGTTAAACTTTCCCGCGTACGTATTCAGTTTCATGAAACCACCGCGTTGTTTCACGAGCCCCAGCAAGGCATTCCAATGGATATAGTGCACCGGTTGATGGCCGTACACATTGAGAGCCCCTAATGTCGGGAGAGGTTGAGTAAAAGGGTTGTGATCAATTTGGACGCTGCGGGAAGCTTCGCCCTGGCTATCATTGATTGCTAGCATGCAGATAGCAACAAGAACGGCGTCGAATAGACGAGAGCCTATTACTAGGTCTGGATGAGCAAGAACTTGACGTAGAGCGCGTACAGCATTGTAGCGATAAAAGCTTTGTTCAACCATCCGACGTTCATGGCCGGCATCGACACCATTGCTCCACATTAGTGTCTTATCGAAATGAACAGCAGCGCCAAGGCAGCACGTATAGAAAATCAGAGGGTCTGCCAGCATCTGCATATATTCGGTGTGAATACCAAATGACCAATCCTCTCCAGCTCGTAGGGAAGGTATGAGGTTGGTTGAATCTGTCTCTGGATTAGTTACATTCTTTTTTCCAAACTACATGGAAAGGCTTACAATAATGGATCAGCATTTGAGAATTCGGCGCGTTCGCAGCATGTTCGGTGGCGAGAAAAGGATTGAACTTGGCGGCGCCGAAGGTCTGCAAAGAGTTCTCATAGACCCTAGAATGGGTTTGTTGCTGCCTTGGGGCCTCTTCCTTCTCTGCATCCGGTTGAATTGGGTGACAACGACCTGGGAAGTCACAAACCTGACCACATTGATCGCACCCATCGTCACTATCTCCATCGGAGGGTGGGGTTAGGAGCTTGGATTCGGATGGCAAGACCAATTGCGGACGAGCCTGTGAACTATTGTTGCTCCAGTGCTGGGAGGGTAGATGTGGACTGCTAGTATCACTGGATGAAACGTCGATATCGGGATGCTCTGGCTTGGGAGTCTTTTCGATTGTGTCGACGACATTGTCGTCGCTGCGCGAGGAAGGTTCTTTGTATTTCTTCAGATAAACACGACGCATCAGCTGCGACCGCAGCTGGCGACGGGCATCGCGGGGCCCAGCATTGATGATGGTGGGGGCGTTGACGAAAATAAACTTGTCGTTTGTCGTCGGCATCGCGGGCGATGTTACGAGCAGCTAGCTACCTGGTGTTTAGATCATAGTCCGATCCGACTGGGGCGTTGGAGGAGAAGCATTCTCAAGCACAGTGCGTAGTTGGGTGGTTGCCTGTCTGATGGAGAGAAAATGGACGTGGGAGGGTGAAAATATCGGAGGTGTGGTGGTGGTGGAGTGAGAGACGGCGGTAGAGCGGATTGCGAGGTTTGACGAGTCGTCACGGGCGAGACGACGGCGGCAGTGCGAATTCTTAAAGAGCGCAGCGACGAAGGGCCTAGGGCTGAGAGAGAATAGTGGGCGTATAGTCGTGGTGGTTATTTTTTATTGTGTAGGTGTGGATGGGGTGAAGTTAGCGGAGGTGGTTAGATGAGACGACAGGTTCATAGTCCGCTAAGATAATGATTATAGCTGAACAACAATCCCATTCTCTGGCGGCTGTCTGGGGCTAGGAGCTGGCAGGAGCTGGCAGGAGCAGGCAGAAGCAGGGCAGGAGCAGCACGGCAAGGGCGCTGGGAGTGGCAGCGGGTGCCGAAGATGGGGCGAGCGCAAAGAAATCTGCTACAAACCTTAAGACTTCCGCAGTGGGAAGGGCAGCTGCTAGTGCGTCCAGGCCAGCCTGTAACAGCCTAGCAGCCTGCCCGCGCTGTGGAACGGCTGTGAAAATCAGCCAATGGTTATGTGCCATACGGTTGAAACTGACGCCCATTGGTCACTAGCCAGTCACCCCTCCCCGCTCGCCAAGACCCGCGGTGGGGGATGGCTGAGGACTGGGTGTGGTGTACCACTGATTTGGCCAGCATTGTCATTACTTGGCTGTGCCCGCCTCTGCGGTCCCTACGTGCAGGATCCATCACCGCCGCTTTAATCGTATGGGAATTGCCAATATGGCAGCCATTCGTTGATATCTGAACATTCGCAGTAGCGTGGCTCGGCGCGAGGTGCTGCAGCCGGGGATGAGCAGTGGGCCACACTTCCGCGTGGGCACTGGATGCACCATGTGGATCTGCAATTCTGCAGACGCATGGCTCGGCGAATCCCCAGCCAACTCCGCGCTAAGTGTGCAGAAAACGTACCCACTACTTTCAGTACCACCTATGGTTGGCCGTACCCGTCGCCGCCGTGTTGGTCCTTGGGCTCGGTGAGTGCGTCCCCCGTGGTGGGGCCGCTTGCTTAATCGGGATTCTAAGCTGTGAGTGGCTGCTGTACACAATGCTCCACTCTTCTTCTGTTTACCGCTGCTACCTTCCGCATCGGCTTTAGCGGATATCTCTTTCCTCCGTCCCGGAGCATCTAAACTCTGCCGGCCATTATCATTATAACTCACGGTGAGCTTCGTACTTATAAGTACCTCTATAGTGTCGCTTTTTTATGACGTCATGTCATGTTTGCTGTAATATCTCGCTTCATCAATCATAAATTATCCATAGGATTGTCTGTGTTATGAAACTTGAGATGACCCGCTTTGTTGGTTAAGTTGCCTTTGACACGAACGAGGAGGCACTGTACCGCATAGTATTAACATTTAGACTACTTTCCGCCTATAAGCACATTGTAAATTCCCATGTATTGAAAGCATACAAAGACAAGAAGACCAAGCCAGGAAAACAGGTCAAGCATCTAAGACTTTCGAACTACAAGCATAACAAGATATCACTTCCGCCAAAGGGTCCAGTTACGGTGCATGCCCTGTCGTAATGAACTAATCAGCGTCGTAATTTAGCTAGGGGTCTGGTCACTCACTACTTGCGCATATCAATGCTGTCCTACCCTTGAAGGGTGTTGTGATTTTGCCGCCCCCAATTGTTCAACTGCAACTATTACTTTCGCAAGGCATAACCCGACGTACTAGATCTGTATCGTAATTTCATTTGAATCATGTCGCATTTCGATCTTCAGGATAGCTGCAGGTAGCGTCAGCGGCTGGCCTACATCATACTTCATATTGCCAAGCATCATACCTTTGATAGCCAGAAAGAGTCATACTGGATACCAACAGCTTTGTCGAGAGCCTGCTTGGTGTGGATGATAGCGGAAAGAGACAGATCGACGGAACGAATTACGACCTTGATTTTTTCGTAGTGTTCAAGGTCTTCAGCCTTTTCCTGAACAAGATTTGTGGCGGCAATCTCGAGTGCTGGCCAATGCTCAGCACTGGCGGTAGTCGGGAAGAGAAGAAGAAGCGTGGCGTCCGCAAGAAAAGGGTCTTGTCCAACGTATTTCATCAAGTCAATAGCAATGCAGCTGCTATTTCTGTCCAAAACTGATGCAATGAGCTGATGGAGCGGGCCACGGACATTTTGCCAAACTTTGAACGCCGAGTCGAGGGAGCGGACATTATACACGTTGATGTATGGCTGGTCTAGAATGCTTGAGCTGGGAATTTTCGATTCCACGTAATCGACAATCGTTGAGGACGGCATTTTCAGTGGATAACGTGATGTAAGGAATTGCTACGACCAATTAAGATAATAGCGCTGGGTGGCAGATACTGGCAGTTGGCGATGAGAGGAGCGTGAAGAGACCGAAGAAGTATGCACAGTTAAGAAGAAATGAATTTATTTTTCGAGTGATCCTAGGTAATCCTTCACCATGTGGAAATGGACTGGATGGAGAGCAGCAGGAAATGGCGTGGTAAAAAGGCAAGGAGGGTGGCTGGTGTGGACCAAAGGAATTGACTCGACAGACAAAGACATTATCAATTCAAGTCATGAAAACGGACAGCCAACGGAGTGTATTATTCACTGCAGATGAAGGCGCTATTGTCTCTTGTGAATAAGCATAATGCCTTGGGTGGCTGATGTTGTGACAAGGCAGAGGTTGGTCAGGTGATTGTTTTCGCAAGTGTTATCATCACTGTCCTCACTACCTTGGTCAATAAGAAGGCACAGCTTATATAAAGATGACATACATGACACCTTCGAGTTCTTGGTGGTGAAAATTCCGTATTAATATGGATTATTTGCAACAGTACCCTTGTGGCCGTGCGAGACACTCGCCCAAGGAGAACAGGTAGATAGTCCAGATATCGTATTCTGATAGGCTCGAAAGAAGACCATGATTTCCAAACTGTCATTGAAACCAGAGATCATGTTTTGTCAAGTTCACAGCCGCAGTCGTAAACAACCTCTATTTATATTGCCTTCGACTCCCGCCTTCGCATCAGGATGAAGCAAGCCATGACTCCATTTCTCTTGCTTTGGACATTGCATTCCACCTAGTACACTCCTATGGTCTACAACTAAGGCGAGGATGCGATCGCAAGATTGAATGTAACAGAATCTGCAAAAGATGGTGCACCTGTTGAATGACTAACATCTCAATTACGTCCCAAACAGTAGCAAAGCCCTGCCTGTATACGCCTACCGAGATGCTTTCAGACATACTTAGCTTTCAGGTCTCCTTCACCATGGAGATTATCTACAGAAGCACGCCAACAGTTTTATCATCCCTTGCCGCCACGTTTTTTGGTGTGGTGGTACAAAGGATTCCGCGTGACTTGTGAGATGCTCAATAAAGGCACCGTATTCTTCGCGCTTTTCCCCACAACCAACGACTGAACAGAAATGGAATAACCGAAAATCCACGTCCTTATCCTTCGCCGGAAACAGCCATGACCCTGTCACGGGGTTGCCGATTCTCACGGCAGTGTTTTGAGACACAAGAGTTTCTGTTTCGTCCGGATGACGGTAGTATTGCGCTAGCGATCCTTGAGCTTCGTCTTGACCCACATCGTTTGTTGGATGCATCAGAATAAGTCTCTGGCTTCCTAACCGCAGAGAGTTAGGGTATTTCTGAGGAGACACTTGTAACACAGTTTTCGGGCTGAGGATTATATGAGCGTCATGCTCAATATCCCCGGCGAACTGAACATTTATACCTTGCGACCCTTGCTTGACAAAGCTCTTTTCTGACCAAATCTGAGCCGGAATTGTATCATGGAATTCATAGAAACGAGCAAGAGTGGCCGGAAATCCGAATATGAATGTAAAAAACGCTTCGATGTCCTGGGACGTAAACTGTCGGGCAACACGATATGCCTTCGAAGGAATCTGCTCTAACGAATCCTTGACCCAATCTCCTTGGGGAAGCTCCCACAGACTCACACCCACTTTGGAGTTTACTCCACGCACCATCCCTTCCAAGAATAGTTTACCCAACTGCACATTTAGATCAACAGTTAGGCGTTCGGTAACTAAAGTATCATCCAGGATTTTTGGTTCCGAAGGTCCACTAAGCACCAATCTCCATCCATTGCTAGACGACTGGATTCTATCTCCCAAGACTGATGTTCTGGCAATTTCCATCCTGGGCAATGCAGAATTGGGAATAACTGGATTTTCTTCACTATCCAGAACTGTTGCGGTGCATCCAAACTTTTGCTAGTTCTCGAATCATGAAATTCTGTTTCAACGAAAAAGTGATGCACAAATTTGACAAGCGTATCAACATCGTGTTGAGATGACATACCACCTAGACTGGCACGGACGATACCAAGGGTCTTTCCACCGCGAACTTTGAATGGTTCTCCACACCGAAAGCCCTCACAATAGTTACGGCGCATTTCCCAGCTGGATAGTTGCAAATGCCCGGCTATGCCACCTGGGTTACACACACCACCTGTGCGGATCTGGATGTTGCAAGCACTTGCGAGCGTCTCCACGTAATCATACCGGATCAGTGCACCATTTGCCCTGCGAATGTTGAAAGCAATAGTTGGGCCCTGTGTTGTGCTATCGCCGTATGTGCTGTTCATATCCTTGTATATCTCACATACCAACCGGCCATTTGCATGACGCAGACTGGATAGTCCTCGATATAAGCCAATAGTTAACTCTGTAGCGTGTTTTGAGATGGCGTCCATTGAAAAGAACAACCGTTTATGCAATGTGATTGCAGTATCAAGCATGATAAGACTGTGAAACGGCAATGTACCATCCTCTAAAACATCATGAATACTTTCGGTTTTCTTTGCATGGAAATGGCCATGCGCTATGACCATGTCCACAGTTCCTCCGCCAAAATAGCGACGGGACATGAGAATAGGACTTGACTCTTTGCGTATTATCAGCGCCCCAATATCAGGCATGCCGAAGATCTTATAAAAGCTGAAACTTGTGAAGTCGGGAGCAGTCTCCGGATTCGAAAGATCCAGCTGTGAGGAGGAACAATATGCGGCGGCATCAAGAAGAGTATAAATTGCCTGCCCAGAAACACAGGCCCTCTTCCGGATGCGATGAGCCCAGTCCATTGGGGTTCGGTGTCCGTTCATGTTTGACTGTGCCGGGTATCCTATTAGCTTGAGAAAGCCAGCGTCGTTTATCTCTTGGTATATGTCGCTATGCTCAACTGGTAGTTGAGGTACACCATTTTCATATGAGACAGGCGAGGTAATCCATGCTTCCATTTCGTTATCAGAGGAGAAACAATGATACCCATTGCGAGCAAGCTCCCTTATGCCAACTAGGCTAGTATGTGCATCTCCGTGAAATCCGTACCAAAACCCTTTCTCCTGAAAGATACAGGCTACCAGTTTTATCGCCGCCGTCGCATTCGCCACAAATACAACGTCAAAGTGTTCAGGGTCTGCGCGGAAAAACTCTAGCACATGGGTACGTGCTCGGTTGACATATTCTGTGGCCAGTACGGAAGATGCAGAATGAGAGTGCGGGTTACCGTAAAGGCCAGACTTCCAGAGCTTTGCCGAGTCGTTGACAAGGGACTTTGCATAGGGAGTGGTACCTCCATAGTCGAGGTAACAAGTTTCTAATGGACTCAGTGTCTGAACTAATACTTCTATAGGTGTGTATAACTTACTGTTGAGGTTCTTGTACTCCTTTCTTCGGATTTTATCTATGTTGTACATCTTACCAGACATATCGAATGTGTGTGTTGAATAAGATAGATCTAGTCAAACCGACGGTAGAGGGTAGGAATCACAACGTCGGCCCTGATAAAGTAAACCCAAATGGGTTTAAATATATAGCGACTCCCTGTTTGGGTCAGACAATTTCGGAAGTAAGGGTCGAAGTTCTGCCGTATTGAAACAATGTACAACCTCAGCAACTTACAATCGACTCTATGTTCTTTGGAAGATGCCGGTGGTCAGTTGGTTCACAGGCTAAAGCTTCAGACAACATGCACTTTTGGCAAGTTTGGCATTTGGTATACGATAAAGCAATACATTCGTTTAATATGAAACAGAAAGAGAACTAGATTCTAGCCATCTAATGTGGCCGATCCAGGATTTAAAGGCCAGCTACAGGACCTCAGCTCAGCTCATGCGCTTAGTCAAATTACAATGACAGCCATACATTGGATACTCTAGCTGACTATACAAACGATCCATGCAGGTAGGGACTCTTCATTTGTGGGCCATAAAGGCTTCTTTAGTGGGCTACACGCTTCGGACTACCGGAAAATTGAGCTCGTGGATACGAGAGATTCTTAATTGGAATCTTTGTCCTACCTTGGCCGTGTGGCAAACCATACTTTGTACATCGACATAGCACCTACGTAGAAGCGGATCATACACGACTTTGCAATATATTTATGCACTAGGAATGGGACTACCGGATGACAGTCGGCTACATATACCTGCATATTGGCTTACTGAACGGCTTGTAATACGCAGTATATTTAGTGCAAAGAAACTATGTGGCGCTCGAAATTCAGCTCCATGCCCCCATTCTTTTAGCACCAACTTGAATGACTTTCACAGCCTTCGTCTACCGTTGACCAATCTAGCTCTTACATATTAATCGAAAAAAATCCGTAACAGATACTCACCGATCTTACATCACATAAAGTATCCTCCAGGCGGATGATAACGGAGATTCTAAGGATTAAGATTGCAGCTAGAATGTTTCCAACCCACCCAAACAAGTCTAGCATATAATATTGACGCCTTCTATTTGGATTCGATCCGATCTCTAGAATGGGTGATTGAACCACTGGACCTGACGTTATGCGTTCCAATTTTAGGAGTGTTGCGCTGAGCCGAAATTACAACTGACCGAATTAACCGAGGGCTTGCTTAAACTCCTGTCAGTGCCGCAGATGTTGGGATATTTGTACGACAATATCTAAGTAGAGTCTTTCTGATTGGACTAATTAATTGTTTCCAATGTGCTGTCATGTCGGGTCACATGCGGGTCAAAATTCTGGGCGGTTCATGCACGCAGGTAGAGTTCGGACCCAGTAATTACAAAACTGGAAGCGTTCGTCCCTCCAATGTATATCAGAACTAGAGGTAAGGATCGATTTGAGAGACATAGCCTGGCCTGGTTATTGCTTTGCTGTTTGGTTCGTGGATCGAGAATTCACGTAAATGAAGGGTGTAATTACCAGATGTTTCCCCTCGAAATACCCGCAGAATGATTCAGCTAGCGACAAAGTGACAAGGGAGGGAGGACAGCGTGGAGAGCTGATCATGATGTCGGTAAGACCGTGCTCCGCCAGCTTGATAAGAAGCCGTGGGGCGAAGGCCTGGATCGGAGCTTATGGAAACGCCAACCGGGGCGAATTTAGACTGCTCAGTGTGGCGACTGTGTGAACTAGGACGTTCATCCAATACTTGTCGCCCTACAAAATCCCTGGATCAATCATACAACTTGATATCCGGACTACATGACTTGTCCGTCGTTTTTCGCAATCTTCTTCTATTTCCTGAATTCCTCTGCTTTCAAGTTCTTCGATATATACTCGCTTCTGCCGGGAACCATCTTATCATACGACCGACCACTCACAAGGCTGGTTTTGCTACCCTGACAAGGGTTTTATGCGTTGGCAATGACAGCTCAAGTTCCGTACCTAGGATCGGAGATCCATTGGCGAGATGCACGTTGATCGTGTCTTGCATTTGGGCTGGTATCGAGCTGGCGAATAATCGGATTGCAACTTGCAATTGTGTTGGTTCATGTTTTCAAGACGCATTTTAGATTAACTCCCCACCATCATTGTGCGCTGTAGTTCTATATCATGTGAGATGCTAATACTGTATAGTTGGGCGAAGACTTGCTATTTCTGCATGACTCGCTATAGCGAGAAAATGTGGCCATCCCGCAAGTTCTCTTGCATTACTAGCAAACCGTGTCAAGATACGGAGCATCAAAGCGCTGGTAAAAAAATAAATTAAAAAGATGAGTAAGTATACCTATCATCTAACATGGGTCACGAAGCAAATGGCATATTTTACTGCGCCGCCCAGGTCCCAGATCATTATCGCTGAATGAACAAAATGCGCCTAGTTTGACCGCACGGGTCCCGTCTATGGACCAAGTCGTTGCACCTAAATAACCCGCCAAGTTTATTGGTTCCCATCTAGCGAAAATGTCATTCATATTATTTTCTTCCCCATTGGTCTTATGTTACAGCTAGAGTTGGCTTTAGTCTCTGCGCTAAGTGAGGTCATTCATAATCAAAATGCAGTTAAGATTCTTCGGCTCGTGCTTACTGTTTAGTCCGAAATTTTTATTTTGTTCTTGGATTCCACTTTGAGGATGACGACAACTAGCATGCTGTGTCACAAAGAGAGTTGAATCAGATGCGGTTTTGATGTTCCACAAGATATCTTATGGTCTCTGAAACTATTGTCGGGAGATTAATAGGACGAAATTTATGATAATAAGGACTAGCTAGCCATCTATCCTATCGGCGAGTATTCGCATCTGGAACTCGATGATCTGATGAAATTTGGCATAAGTTCTCTTACAGAATGAAAAGACAAGACACCTGAGGTCCTCTTCCGTGTTTCCCTCAGCATCAAGTCCCAGTTGGGGCCAAACCGTAGGGTAACATTCAATGTTCGCAGGTTCCAGAATCAGCCCCAATATTATTAATTATCGCCAAGCACAGCATCAGCCATTGCTACATCAAAGTGAACTTTACGGTTCAAGCCGGTGTTTTACTCCTTGCAACAGCAAAAGTGCAGGGCCGTTTTTATTCGGCTTATAGATGAGCTTAATTAAGGTTACGGATTGACAGTTTCCCCCTTTCCTGTGGATTTAACAACCCCCTTAGCCACATCTCACATCATCTTTATTCGTACACTCTCGCCACTAATTTTAGCCAGTGGGCTTAGAAACACCTCAGTACATATTAGTTTAATTAATGTAACACTGATACTTCGTAAATAATGTTCTCTCTTAACTCGCGAGATGCTACAGACGGAAAAGGTGGTATTACTACTATCAAAGCGGTGAATTCAACCATTGCATTCTAGCTTTATAATAATTGCACGACCCATTGATTATTCTTTGGCAACAAAATACTCCGAGCATATTTATAACAAGCGACAAAGGTCCATCATGCGGAACACGGCCTTCGTCTCTCTCCTCTTCGGTGCTGGAGTTACCGGGCTGAATCTCACGTGGAATATCGATTCCAGTAATTTCCTTGATAATTTTGATTTTTTCACTGTCAGTCAACTCTCATCAACCAATGAAGCACGACACGCCTACATATGTAGATATTGGTAATTCAATCGCAGCCATTGACGTAAGGGTGTTTCAGGACTCAGATCCAACCGGCGGCTTCGTGAAATATGTCGACCAGGGCACCGCTTCCAGCGGCGGTCTTTTCAGCACAAATAACAACCAGATTTATCTCGGTGCAGATCATACCAATACTGTGAGCGTGTCGGGACCCGGCCGTAACTCGGTCCGTGTAACTAGTAAAAATGCTTTCAACAATGGCATTCTTATCGCCGATTTTGCGCACTTGCCGACCGCTGCCTGTGGAATTTGGCCAGCATAGTAAGATATCTCCCTATTAGCTTCGTGAACACAAAGCCTTGTATGCAGACTGACTGTCAATAGCTGGACAATCAACAATGATGGTAATCCGTATGGCGAGATTGACATCATTGAAAGCTACGACGATACGGGCAGCTCCTATGTCTCTCTCCACACATCAAACGCTTGCACATTGACCGGCACCAACTTTACTGGTACCAATGTACGCACGGACTGCAGTCTATCTGGCAACAGTGGCTGCGGAGTGGAAGGCACTACATCTCAGTTTGGGGCTGGTTTCAACTCAGCTGGCGGAGGCCTCTATGTTCTTTATCTAGATGACTCGTTAAAAGTCTGGGTATTTCCGAAGAATAATGTCCCTTCGGATATAACAAATGGCAGTCCTGACCCTTCTGGCTGGGGTGTGCCATTATTTGATTTCGAATCAAACAATGGATGTGATGTGGGCACCAACTTTATCAACCAGAGCATTGTATGTGTAACCTTCTCTGCATATGAAGCTGAGCGTTGTATTTGCACTTTCTAACAATGTTGAATTTTTCTAGATTTTCAACCTTGACTTCTGCGGCTCAGGTGGTGCTGGTGGCCAGGAGTGGTCTCAATGGACTGACTGCTCTACATCGACTGGGTCATCGACATGTGAAGCATACGTTGCTACTAACCCAGGAGCATACGTAGATACTTATTTCCTGATCAACTCTATTAGACTATATCAATAAATTGTCCGGACACAGTCTCCGGATTTTCTTTTAGAATGATGTCTTGATTTAGTTGCCTTTGTTTGAAAAAGTGCGTTTACTTTGCCAATATTTCAAAATTCTTAATAACAATAAAAATGTTCTGGCCTCTTTCGGAGACCTTTGAGCGATTCAAGTAGCTCGTGGTGTAAAATGAGTGTCCGTGGTTGGCTGTTTCTTGCAGAGTACGCCATTGTCTGTTTCAGAGGGAGAACTTTCTGTGCCAATTTTGGTATAGATACACTTAATAAACGGAGAATACAACTTGTCGTTTTTTCTAATTTGAAAGGTTTTCTATGGGGAAATACTCCATTTATTTGGTAGTTTCCTTTATAACACAGTACAAAAGCATCAGCAGGCGCGAACCAGCGATGCTCTCACATTAACAAAGATTCAGGACTTCTCTGCTTTCTTCCAACTTCTTCCATCCTATCTCAAGATCGTTCAAGCTTGGTTGAGCTTCAAAGGAATAATTCCTCAAACCCTGTATTTAAAATGGCCGTCGTTAAACTGAGCTATCCAGAAAGGGATGTATATGAAGCTATCCATCAACGAAAAGATCGAGCTCGCTTATGACCAGCCCTCTGCGCAAGTCAACATCGAAATCAAGTTCATAGACGAGAACGGTAAAGATATTTCATTTAACCGCTTTCAAATAGATGATTTGTTAAATGGAACTTATGAAATTCGACTCAATTTAGTACAAAAGTCTGATCAACGGCCTTGTGGTTTTACCACGATGGAAATTGGCTGCTGGAGTAACAAGATAGTCAATTACCACGGGCCATTCTGGCTAAAGAAAGATTTACAACTTGGTGACCTTGACATTTTTCAACTGTTTCCCAATGTTGACGGTGATTGTATGTATATGTTCCGAATTTGGAAGACAGAACCGATTAAGAGAGCCGAGGCAACGAATCTAGCCCCTGGGGGTACATCGCAGTGTTTTCGAATCACGGATCATCGACAAGGTATGATAAGCAGATTACCTAATGCATGATTGGGGGGGAGGAATGGAACGGTGACTATTCATCTTTGTAATAGACGGTACATGAGCTAGAAAGAGTCTGAGTCTATTGATCAAGTACCAAGCAGTGCATTGTCATTTGGATGCAAATTCTTGAACATAAGTAGTGTTGTAGAGGATATTTGCTACAAGAAGATCGTTTACATATTAGCTTGGCTTAGATGTAATGAACTGGAGTTTGTATAGCTACATTTAAGTATATGGCTGTCTTTCAATCGGTGTATTTTCATTAGCACTTCTATCAATATCAATTGATATTTATATGGAATGGACAAAGCTAGCTGGTAAAATGACTATGTTGACGACCACATCTGCAGTATGCGAGTGCTGTCATAATCTTTACACTTTGTCTCTAATAGAATAAACGCATTTTTGCCCGAAAAATATCCATATATGTAAACCTGGTAGTAGTTCCCATTCTTACCACTTGTGGCACATCTTTTAGCCAAGAAACATGGCGTCAATCCCTTGTGCTGATTGGAATGTGGAAGCCAATCCCCTTAGATTGCAATTTAGTGGATGGGAGTTCTTACCATGGCTATGGTAGACCTTCCGATTCCAACCAATGTCATCGAATACATGGGGATATTTCTCAATCATTTGGCCATGGTATAGATTCAAATTTATGAGAATTTGACTGACGCATAAAAGGATTCGATAAATGATATATGAATGGATATTATTATATTGCTAAGATTTGAAGCGAGTATATACATGTAGAACACCCTTTGCATGCCGAGTTACCATCTCCCATTTAACGCCGTGACCAGTCAGATTATAAGAGTAAACCTCCCAGCGTCTCATAGGATGTATCCAAATGTTATTTTTAATGCGTAGGAATAAGAAGTGAATATGAATGATTCACTATGCCTCGCAAATTGATTTTCTATTGGTTTTACTGATGCAATTCAGCGATGACGTCGGGTTTATCTGCTTAGGCTCTTCGTGCGCTGTCTAACTCGACGGGCCCAGAGGAGGCCATCTCCGAGTACCCAGACTGCCCACTGCGCACTATCGGCTGCTGGTGCGTGGTGGCTGATGGAGCAGTGCTGTCGACATACCCAGCATAGGGTTGGGGCCCCGTGGGAGGATCATACTGCGTCTGCGTTGGAGGAGTTTGTTGGTTATTGTTGTTCGGATATGTCCACGCTTCTTGCTTCGGCGGAGACTGCGACGCCGCGGCAACCGCTGCTGCGTGGGCAGCACTGACACGGTGCAATTTGCGTCGTTCCCATAATGCCCATCCGATTGATGCAAGTGCGATGAGACCTAGGGGAATTCCGACGCCGGCGCCAATAGCAGCATCATGGTTGTTGCTTTGACCGTCCGCAGTCGCTGAAGTATTTTGAGCAGACATTGAAGACGCAGTGCTGGTCGCATTGCAAGACGATTCGGTATTGTTTGCAGAGGTAGAGGATGAATTGGCATCCACGTAGCCCGCTAGAAGGTTGGTGTTGGGCACAATATTTGTATTTCCCATAGTGAAACTGGGGATGTTGTTCAAACAGATGGGAGAATTGCCGGAGCTGACGACATTGTTGCAGCAATAATTCGCCTGGCTGTCCAGGAATGTGAGCAGAACGATAGAAATCCAACTGGTATTGTAGCTGGTTCCTATATCATTTGGATACTTGTCAGAATCTGCACGCTTCGCTACATCTAAGACTGTTCTGCTTACTCATTAAACATTGACCAGGACATTCAGAACCCCAATGCTGGTCGGTACACGACTTTCTGGAAAGTGAATATGGCTGTTCCTCGATGGCGATACAAAGACCGTTTTCCAGGCAAATGTCGCCCGAACCACAGCAGGCGACGTTGGTGCCATTGCCGCAGGGGACGTCGCCGATGGCTTGGGTCTGATCAGGATAGTAACATTTCCGGTCGTCGGCCAGCGATGAAGTTGACAACGCGAGCAGCGTTGTCGCCGTTAACAGAGCATTCACACCGACCATTTTATGGTTATTTTGCCGGTCGATGAGGCGATAATTATGTGCGTCGGCCGTGCTTCAAGAGAAAATTTTATACGGAGGAGAGGGCGACAGGATGAATAGAGGGCGATGATCATTGTATCATTAGATAATAGACGCATGGCCGAGTTTAATTAAGGCGCTCAGTCTTCAGCAGGAAGCGCGCCAGGATTGCGATCCCCTCGGCAAATGCATTATTAGAAACCGAAAGGCCCCCACGCCCGTGCTTGACTAGCCTGGTGGATGAGGTCTACCCGATGGCAGGTAACAGTAAGAGAAACCACTCTTTCTTGCGAGACAGTGGCAGATACCAACAAGTTGTTCTCCCGTCGTGGGTCGGTTGTTGAAGGTAGGGCGTTCTGATCCTATTAATTTGCTGGCGATGTCAATTCGGCTCCCCACCGATGCCGCCGGCCTCTCCAGGGGACGCTCGTATTGGATGTCTAAAGTAGAATCACCGTTCCCCTGAATTCACTTTTAACGCCAATAAACCACTGTTGGTCCCTGATGAGTGGTGTGATTGGCTGTGTGGAATACGCTGGATGGAGAAAGATGGGGATACTCCACTAGCTGAAAACCCCTCCGAACAGAAGAGGAAATTTAGTTGCCGCGTTGTAGGCTCTGCTATGACGGTATTTTCATTTTTTCCGATTTGAGAGCTGCTCATTTGCGAATAACGATACCCACATTTAAAGAAGCTTACTTCCAGCGGAGGTTATTATTTCCAGCTTATGTCTTGCAACAGTTAGTTGTAATAGGGAGTCGAGACTCGAGAGCCTGCCGCTCACCTCGAGTATCTTCAGGCCCCATGGTAGTCGTCAGACCTCAGACTCTTTACGACTGCGGGAGAAAGATTGCTGCACCGCGTAGAATAGCTTGCCTATGAGTAGACTCTTGCCTATACACCCGGCAATGCTACTGTGGCTGCGCTTAAACGTTCCGCTTCGCGCCGCTAACAGCACCGTTGGTCTTTCTAAAACAGCAGCGCCCGTTACCTTGCCATGGAGAAGTTGACGACCCGGAGCATGTGTGTCTATATTCTCACTCTGCACTGCTGACAGGCGCATTGACTCGCCTAGGCTGCGTAAGAGATGGCACAAGTGGACAGCAAACCCGCATCTGCATCGTGGCTTGGAGGCTAGTTGCCACTATTATAACCTATACTCTGTAGAGTCAAAAGTGGCGCCGATCGTCCAGCCAAATGCGCGTGCGATTGTAAAGTGTAGTCCACAGCACTTTGCCAAGCGGACCAGCCAAACAGGGTAACCAGTTTGACAACGACTTCCAAAATCCAACAGCTAACGTTAAATAGTTATTACTACTGCCCGGGGATCCGTGACGCGTGAAGTCTGAGCGGTGGTGGAATATTATTTGTTGGGATCGGCAGAAATGGACCCGTATGGAGGCTCACTTTATTTATCATGATTTTATTACTTATCAGCTGAGATACCGGTTTGTCTGCGTTCATAATGATTGGTTGTCTTGTATTCTCCAAAAGCGTGGGCAGGACTTTGTGCAAAATGTCGCATAGGGTTGGCAGACGTAAACCTTGTACGAAGGTGTTCATTATTTTCTTAATTATTCTAATAAGTTTTAATTGAGATATCGGCCTAAAAGCCGAACAAGGCCAAGCGCCTGTCATGATTAGCCGTCTCGTTCCGCTGTGATGGCCCTCGTTTCAGGCTTTCAGCAGGATTTTCTGTGACGAATTCTGGAACAGTCGAGACTCGCCAGGGATATGTCCAACGACAAAGCTGCGGCTACTACTGCAACCATAACACTAAACTCCGCGGATTAAGACCGAATACGTCGCGTGGTTTTTACAGCCCTGCAGGTGCGGCCCTCATTTACTCATACAAAGTACAGCGTGACGGCTGGCCTTGCGACAGTTCCTGCCTTGTCCTTCTGGCCGCTCGACCTTTCAACACGCTATTTAGGTGAAATCTCGCCTGTTGATGTGGTGAAATGGCGTGCCGCGCAACAGAATAGTCTCGGATTTTGGCAGCGTGTAGTGGCCTGTTGCCAGGTTGTCGGCCTAAAAACAACACCTTGAAAATTGACGTTTGTCAGGCCAATGATTAATCGCTATTGATGTCCATTCATCTATGTAATTCAATCTGCGGATTCCGCCTGCGGCCGATGGCTTTCTTTCCGGCATTATGCTTGCGCTTGGAGTCTTGGCTGGTTAAATAACGCTATCATATGGCAAATGCGCATTGCTGTTCGCTGGACAATAACAGTAGGGTGATGATTGTACACTGGCTGGGCACGTCAATCACGCGTAGATGACGGCGCTAGGCTCGTGGTTTTCCAACTCGTTACCCATTGATCCAGTATATAGATGTTATCCCGGCTTCACAGGGTCATCGAAAATTCAAGAGACTGGTATGACTTGGAGTTCCGATCGAAGTCAGGACACGGACCCATGTCCGTCGCTAAATCATGAAATTCTTCCAAAACGAGCACAAAGTTGGAGACCGGCTGTGATAACAAAATATCAAACTAAATACATGTCTACTTCAGCTATCTAGTTCAGGTGTACATGTCATCTGATACGGATCTATTAGGAAGGAAGGCAGACGCGAAAATTCAAGAGACTGGTATGAGAACCCTTTCAACCCTTTCTCTCCATTCTAATTCCAACGAATCAACTACCAATGCTAAAGTGCCTTCGGCCCATCCCGCCGTGAACCACTTAGTTGGCATTGCCCTCATGTCAGCGAGCCACAAGCTGTAGATGGCCAACGCTATAGGCTCCTTATTGCGTAGTAGCTGTAGGAAATCTTCGGTAATAGCAGCAGGCCACCACACAACATGAAACCAGATACTAACTCGCCGTCCCATGAATGCGCACCAATATCTCAACGCAGAGAGTGCCCGTACACATGCGATTTGACTACTTTCGGATTTCACGGTGGAAAAATTAAGCATTTCTAAACGAGACAGTGCTTCTTGGTGATTAAGATCAAGGATGCCTTGCTCATCAAGATCACGGCCTTCACTAAACAAGCCTCGAAGGCGAGTCTTCATCAGCCGTGGACCTAAAGATGGCGTTAATCCCCATGCCGTCCTCAGAGCATGGATCACATCCAGCCCTGCGATGCACTGATGATCCTCGACAAGCGGTCCAGCAATTGCATCGGTAGAAATCCTCAGTTGGAACATAACGACAATCAACGAGAACCCAAAGATGGATATGCAGTTTTCGTTTGTAATCTCCCTGACGACTGATCGAAACTGCGATGTAGCTTTATGGAAATGCTTTCTCGCGGCAACGTCATATCTCAACGTATCAGGCGGTTGCAAATAGCTAATATGCAGTGCGGACAGGGCCATGATAGCTTGACTGAGGAATGGGCTGTCAATTCTGTGAAGGGGGATTTCTGATTCCCATATAAACTGGGCATTAGGGACCAAAGCCAACGACGAAGCACATGAACTAATGAAGTGGCACAGCAGCTCAGTGTCAAGAACAGATTCATTGGGGAAAGAAGAAGGTTGTCGTTTACTAATAGAAGGAGGAATGATGCCTTGAGAAAGATAGCCGTTGAAACCAATATGTTCTTCAACTTGTTCTTCAACTGATCTTCCTTTGGACGACGAACACCATAGAAAGCGCCGGAAGGAGCAATACTCATTCCGGCGCACGCAGTTATTGCATTGAGGGTAGTGGAGGTTACACTATTCGTAGCAATGCCATTAGTAAATCAATGGGAGCAACGATTGTCAATGGATTACCTTTACTCGGCGGCTCTTGCAATTTGTGCAGCCATTTCGAGATTTTGTGTGATATTTGCGCAACCCCGACATGTTGCACGCAGCGAGTCTTTGTTATGTGCAGAAGAGGACCAGCAGAACTCGCTAGTTACAGCAAGTCAACGACAAACAGCCCAAATAGTAATTATCGTAGTTCGCTGCCACATATTTCATAGTTGTTGTCTGTTAATCAACAACTGTTGTCCAGGTGGCTGTGTCCGCCTTAACCCTTTGTGGCGTAGCGTGAATGGCCTCATGCAGTATAATCTTCTTGCAGGTGCAATTTATGTCCATAGACAACAATCTCAGATATGTTTCTACATGTAAGAGGGTGGTGTCATTTCCGTATAAATCTGTTGGGGTTTCAGTCAATCTGGAAGGAAATATCGGTTAACCTGATATCATCATTATGCGGGAAATTATAACTTTGACTTTCTTAATAATTATTATGATATCAACTAGAATTTGAGAATTTGAGTTTACGAAAATGTTAAATACATATATTTCTAACAAGCGAACAATGGATATCTAATTCAACTCTCCAATCTTGATCTTTTCATAGCTACACTCAAATGAATTGATGTAATTAATAGCACACTCACGGCGAATAAAATGTTCAAACACCGACTATTATAACCGGGCCACTTCTACTACAAGCGTCCCATTTGGAAGCTTCAAATCCACGGGGATTCCATCTTGAAATTTTTCCTTCTCTTTAAAGGACTGTCCTTTCCGCCTTGCTAACACCTCGTCTATGTGTTTATACATGTCGTAACTAAGAATGCACATCAGATAAATTCTGTTAAAGCACGTTTCAACCCACTCACCCGTTCATTTCCTCAATGGTGAGTTTCCCTTTCTCATCCTCGACGTTATATAGCTTATTGTCTGTATTGCTCGAAAATCCTGGGCACGGAATGATTAGTTATTTTCTTCTTCTGTCATTTCGAATAATTTAGATGGCTCACCGATCCGCTCGTTGATATTGTATGCTGCTTTTGCAGCGGCTGACTGGACTTTGGTAGCTCGTGGAAGTCGTACTTCCTGGTAAATGGAAAGAGATTCGTTCACATCTCCCATAAAATGATCTTTGTCAAAAAGAATGCCCAATGCTGCAGCGTCTTCTATCGCCATACATGCTCCCTGGCTTTGATGAGGCATCATCTACACCATGTTGGTTAGTATGGCCACTCCAAGAACTAATATATAGCTTTACTTACTGGATGACCAGCATCTCCCAGTAGACAAGCCAGACCCCGAGTGATATATGGATACGGCTCGCTAGTATAACAAATGAGGATTTGACGGTAATATCAACAGAGACAGCGACTTACTGAACCCACAAGCGCCACGGCTGAATCTCTTTCCCTATGGACAGGTGACCGAAAACTTGACGATCAAGCTCTGGATACTGTGCCAGCAATTCCTCCACTGGTCGATCTTCAGTACCCCATGTTTGATTCGTATAATCGCCTTGAGAACGCGGGAAGAAGCAATAATAGGATAGTAAGCGGCCGCCATTGCAAGGGGATAGAACAATTTTGTCCCATTTGCCCTCTTGGCCTCCCCAGTACTCCAATGCACTATTTTGAGAGTAGTCGACAAGGCCCAAGCGCACAGCGTCTGCTGTGAGGACGTTGGTGTGGAGGCAACTCGACTCTGAAGGCCGCTTTTCAGGATTCAAACCAATTATGTTGCGGACCGCCGAGCCAATTCCATCAGCACCGACTATGAGATCGTGTTGTGCGGTTTCACCATTGGTAAATGTGATCACTCCGTTTACTAAATCGATATCCTTGCACTAGACGGCAACCGGTCAGCTTAATCGATTTTCCAAGAGGCTTTTCCCGTGTTGCTTACCTGATGGTGAACTAGAAGTTTTGCAGGGGTTCCTTTGCCTTTCTCTTCCAATGCAGACTCTTTCAGCATAGCATGCATATACTGGCGATGGAACATATTATAAACATAGCCCCAACGCTCCTCGTAGTCGTCCAAACTATAGACACTGACCGGTTCCCCGGTTTTCCAGTCCCGATTGATTAGTTTTCGAAGCACCACTGGATCACCCTTGGCGACATCAACCTCCCATTCATGTAGCCACCTCGTACCATTAGCGGCACATGATACCGATGCTCCAACCTCTCCAGCAAAGTCGTTACGTTCGTAAATGGTCACCTCGTGGCCAGCGCGGCGAAGTGCAATCGCTACGGACATGCCACCTATGCCGCCACCAACAACGCCGACATTGAGGCGTCGCCAACCATATGCATGTGGAGGGGTCATTGTGGAATTGCTATTGTTCGCAGAATAAATGCGAGCAGCTAACACCTGATACAACGATCTTTTCAACACTCTTTGTTCTGTGGTTTTTTTTTAATAAAGTTGCAAGGGGAAGGAATTAGTTATAAATAAATATTTTGCCATCATGGTCTCATGATAAGCTGAGCTGGAGACAAACCGGTCCTGCTCGTATCTTTGATATTTGTCCCGGGCCGTGTACTTCGGGAGAAATGACTGCCAAATTCGGAAAGGAACATACCCGAGGGTCGCCTTATCATCACCCGAGACTCGACAAAAGAGGATATTTCTCTTCCGAACAGTATTCGATGATAAGATTGGCTATTTTCCACCTATAGAATTGGAATGTCAAAAAGGTAAAACGTTCTAGGCGTGGGTTGTTGTTAGGGAGACACCATACTATCAATTGATACACGTAAGGCTGAATAGTCAAAAGTAGAAAGAGAACGTAAATGTAAACCGTAACAAATACGTATAATTTTCAATGTATTAAAGTAAGTTTTGGTACTGAGAGATTGATAATAATCTAAGATTGGTGAGGGATAACAGCTTAAAAATAATCATTATGGTGGTTGGATCAATTGATATGGCTGTGCTTTTCTAAAGGGGAAACAATAATAGATATACTTAGAGCCACTTAAAGCACTCGGCCAGGACCGAGTAAAAACATAAGCTGGACCATGAAAAATAGCGAACTATAAGAATATGTCTGGATTGCGAATTATATCACTTCTTGAATTCCTGTCTTGCCTGGGCCAATCGGAAGGCCAGGCACACCAGGCCAATCACAGCACTCGCGACACGCGAGGATCAACCAGAGACGCGCATCATTCATAGCTTCATACTGATACATCACTTTCCTCGACGTGGTTGTAATTTAAAAGGCATCGGCACTATTAGGATTATTTGTTCCATTGGAATAAAGCTGAATAAAGTTCACTTTTCCGCAGCAATACTATTTGTATGCACCCTAAGCTGCCTGTCAAGAATCTCAACGTGCCAGTTCAAGTCTGCAAAAGCACGCCAACCTGAGCATAGCTCTAGTACGATTTCACATCAAAAAAACTATGAATCACATATGAATTAATCACCCCAGCCTCCCCGAACCGAACTGCGCCGATGGCTCGACGAATCAACCGAGCACTCATCCAATTCCCCATCTTTTGTGGCCTACTATTATTCATCCTCTTCCTCAACAGGCCTCAACGATTAACCGACAAATCGTTCTCATGGAATATAATCCGGTACAAGACTACCGCTCATTCTTTACCCGACAATCGCGGGGTATGTCCGCGCCTGGCTACTAACAAAAAGCCGGCATTGGTTGTCGCTCGCGTTGCAAGCGACGGCGATCCAAAATGGACGGACGCATTGACTGACAAGTACCATCTCTGTGTATACACTGTCGATGCACCGATTGACAAGACGTCGAACTATCTACAAGTCCCGGCCAATCGGGGCCATGAAGCAATGGCTTACCTTACATTTATAATCGATAATTACGACCACATCCCTGAGGCAGGCGTGGTGTTTGTCCATGGTTCGCGCTGGGCATGGCACAATGACCAACCTACGTATGACAATGCAGCACTTTTAGCAGCACTTGATATTTCCTCAGCACTTAGTTCATGGGGCTATCATAATCTACGGTGTGACTGGAGTGTAAGTACATGTCTAGCCAATGCCAAGCCGCAGGGCAGTCTGGAAACATCTTTGAAGGTTCAAATAAGCCCGTGGGATGCACGCGCAGTATCCGACAATGCTCTTCCGAGTGCATTAGTGTCTATTTTCGGGGGCAATGAAGCCGCCTCAAAGAAGGATAGTAGTAGTAATGCGATGCTCGGCCGGCAAGACATTTTGCGCTCGCAATGCTGTGCGCAATTTGTTGTTTCCAAAGAAAATATTCTGCAACACTCGCGCGATGAATACGTTGCTTTGAGACAATGGCTTTTAGACTCCCGAGACATCAGCAAAACTGCTGCACCGCGTGATGACCGCGTCGCCGGGCGAATCATTTCGTATGTCTGGCACATTCTTTTCATCGCGCATGAAGAGGATACAAATGGCGTGTCTCTCGAGCGACTAAACCGTGTCGCATGCCCGCATGCTGACGAATGCTATTGTCGCTTATATGGACGCTGTGATCTAGAGCATTGTACTGCGGGCAGCTGTCGTGGACAATATAGGATACCGCCGGATTTCAGATTACCGGATGATTGGGCAGTGACGCATCCTTAACTCTCTTAGGGGCGAAACCCCACGGAAATACGAACCTTGCAGCAACCCCACTTGAAAGCTGATTGCTCGGATTCTTCAAAGTAGCCCAGCTTTTCGAGTGTTACCGTGAAATAGTCAACTTTCTGTTTTCTGCCTCCATCTGAAATAATCATATCGGAAGTGCCCCCGGTTTTGACAATGCCTCTTTCCACCGCAGAAGCAGACCTCATTAAACAGGCAGAGTCAATCATCGACAACATTCCAGTATCCGACATTCACAGCGTTGCCAGCGCTGCCATTAGCAGTGACGGGAAAAGCTTCACAGGCGTCAATGTCTACCACTTCACAGGCGGCCCGTGTGCGGAACTTGTCGTTCTAGGCATTGCAGCAGCTGCCGGGGTATCGAAACTGACCCATATAGTCGCCGTGGCCAACGAGAAACGCGGGATTCTGAGTCCTTGTGGACGCTGCCGTCAAGTGCTTTATGATCTACAACCAGACATCAAAGTCATCGTGGCGGAATCCGATGGAGGAGGGCCGAGGGCTGTGCCGATCACGGATCTGCTTCCTTATGCATATTCTAACGACGAAGCATAAGGTGTCAAGAATCAGCACAACGCGTCTTTAGAATTGAGATTAGAAATGATCAATGAAATAAGAGGATGGTATGGATTCGGACGATGTCGACAAAATGCCATCATGACAGCAAACATCTGTCGATTCAGTTCGGCAAAATGGTGTTTTTTTCTTCATAGACCACAAGTAGTTATTTGACAATAATGAGAAGACTTACATATGCTATATGTATGTTACAGTCGTAGTCATTCTATTAAATGCTGCTCGTTGGCAAAAATTTCCAATTCATAACTTCTGTTTTCATTCTATATAGCTATTCTTGACTCGTTATAAGTGGTTGTTTTCAAGCTAGATACTCCTCTACATTCCCTCCAAATGGCACAAATGACAACATCACCTATGCAACTCTACGCATTGAAGATACACACTGATCAATCTTTGATGCTGGAAGACGAGCCTCTGACAAGGTTTGTATAATACGGTGTCATGGCGTGCAATGGGCCATACATCGCCATTCATCCAGCGTCAGAGTGACTCATCATGCATCAATCTGATTGGCCAATCCACCTACAGACTGCACTCTATGTCTGAACTGGGACTAGCGTGGATTCCGTATATGGCATCTTTCAGCTATTAATACGGCCTGGAACATCCTCCACCACACACTGAATGCCCAAGCAGGACAGGAAAAGGATTAGTTTAGCGTCTGATCTATGTTAATACTGTATTAATTACTCCTAGTCAGACTGAGAAAAAAGGCAAGTAAATAAACTTGGAAATTTATGGGTGGGTATAAATTTCATGTACGTAAAATCAGCCTAGTAATACGACTATACCGTAATTAACTCTTCTCTCTTAACACCTCTTCTCCCCTCTCCCCTCTTCCTACCTCCAACTCACCCATTGCTCTACGGTGACACCCCCCATATTCTGAGGTAGAGCAGCTCCAGCAATCAATTTCCTTTCCTTTCCCTTTACCTCACACGCCCTTCCGTCATTCAACCATGGAGACGGCGGCAGTCCCGGTATTCACCAGTCCGCGTCAGTCCAGCGCACACCACTTCCAGCCACAGCAGTGCATTGTATTCGACAGCCACGGTTAACAGCAGTAACTATGAACACCAGTTATTGCTCCCATCTTCTCCTTTCTATCTCTTCCAACCCGCTGCCACCTCCTCTTCTGCTAGCGCCTCTCAACCGCTACACCCTCTTTATTCTGATTTCTTTCCGTATACGTTAAACTACCCTACGCCTCTATCCTCGTCAGATAGCAGGCTTTTGACTGACATCATCCCTGACGAGGATGCGAACATTCACTTGCCACTTCTCCCTGACGATTCTTCTTTGCGAGCCTTGGACCAAGACAATATTCTACTGGGCTACCATGAAAATTCCAGCTCAGGGGCTCGGTACAATCACCTTTCTGTGATGAATTGTCCAGAATCTGAACTTGCAAGAGATGACCTCATCACTACTTCTGGATCTCCAGCACAAGCTTCGTCGGCACTAGACCACCCTGCTTCCGATTCCAAACAGTCTCATATTTCATCTATTCCTAGCGCATCAACCCCATTTCCCCCCTTTCCTCCCTTTCCCACCACTTCAATAGACCCGTCACCAGAGTCTTCTAACCATTCGCCTAATATTGTATCTCACCAATCTGCAACATCCAGCTCGAAGCTATCGAAACGTTCTCTGGAAGATGGCCAGTCACCGGCAGGAGAGAACGAAGCGGTTATCGAGAAGAGACAACGAAACACCATCGCCGCCCGGAAAGCTCGTCGGAAGAAGGACAACCGAATTGCTTCTTTAGAAGAGGAGCTTAAATCGGTTACAAAGGAGCGCGACGAGATGAAACTCTTAGTAGCGCGGCTTGAGGGTGAGAACATGGCGCTGAGAAAGGCGACGTGGGGTTGATTTGAAAGTTTTTCCTCACAATACTCACGTTTATGAAGTGATTGCAAAATTATTCAACCGATGTTTTATCTATTTATATTCGCTCTTGTCTCAAGTTTTAGCTACATGTAATGAAATCAATGGGCTTTACAACTTAGTGAATTTCTGTTGTAATGAATTGCCATTAAAGATGAAAAGGCAGTAGCTACAGATGAGAAATTATGCTGATACCAATTGACAAAAACAATAAACTCTCATACCCTTCAACCCTACATCAATTGATATGAAAATAGTTCTATTTTTTCTACCCAATGGAGAAACAAAGACTTCCGCCCGAAAACGCGTTCTATATTGATTTCAAAGCTCAATTTCTAAATCATACTAATAATTCTATACATAAATTAATTACTAACTCTTATCTAAGAAAAGATATTGAGCAGATATTTAATAATATCTCAATAAGTTTCTAGGTTTAAGTGAGTAATAATTTCTGTTATTTATAGAACGTAGATAAAGTTCTTAATACTAGATAAATTAGGATCAAAAAATGTGTATATAAAAAGGATAGGAGAGCATGAATAGAATTATTTTAAAGTTTTTGAAGCTGCAGAGAGGGATATATTTTAAGTCATATAACCTCACTTAGACAATAACTAGATTAGTAGATAGGTGCTCGGCTATTCATGTCATAATATTCTAGAATATTATAATCTAATTGATTCTTTAATCCTGTCTGCTTGAATATTATAAAGCTATTATTATGAACCAGGTTTCAAAATCTATCTTTATAATAATAACATCTTGAGCTTTTTCTCACTGGTTTAATTGATAGACCTTGTAATAGGTATCCTATATAATACAGGTACTAAACTATCCTACCATTAAGCTTACCATTGATTAGAGGCTTTATTCAATTGTCAGCCTATGTTATAGTATGACTTAATGTATCTCTATAGACCTTTCTAGTTGGTCGAGCCTATAGAAACAACCAAGATCATTAGCTCTACTATACAAGGAAAGTTAATTTGACATATTTCATAGGATATCAGTGAAAAGTATCGGCAATAAAGGCTAGCTAGTTAGCACTATATCGCAAATAATATTACTCTATAGGCTTAAAAAACTTCTTATGCGCCTAGCAATCCTTCACCATGTCAATGCTTCAAATGCTGCTACCCACTCCCTTTGAGTCAAGATTTCACTATATTATAATGTAACATCGAGCTAATTGATTTACACGCCAACGCAAATGTAATCGCCCAACCACAAATCCGTACAGCTGAATCCTACCTGCGGATTCCACTGCTCAATCTCGGTGACGGTGACGCCTTGACTGATGGCGACCCCCGCGCACGTGTCGCCGGATTGGACGAGGGTAGAATTTCGTGCAGTCGCCCACCATCCCCGGCTCGTAGGGCGTTGGCGTGGGGATGCCGTTATCCGCCGAGGTCGTCTTGGTCGGCGCTGTGTAGCCGATGGTGTCGACGCATACGTAGTAGCCCGGGTCGAGGTTGGCGCAGGAGGAGCCGACGGTCCGGTTCCAGGTGTAGAAGGTGGAGAGGGGGATGTTGTACTTCGCGGCGATGGCCTCGCAGGTGTCGCCGGATTGGATGAGGTCGAATTAGTTGCAATTGCCAGTCATACCGGCTTGGTAGGGCGTGGGCGTGGTGATGCCGTCGGCGGGAGTGGTTGAGGTCAGCGGCACGGTGGTGGTAGTATCGGCCTTGGTGGCGCCGGGGACGTCGACGCAGTAGTAGTAGCCGGCCAGGATGTTGGTACAATCTGCTGCATATTGGTCAGTGATAGGCTTTGGTCTCTTTTGTTGTTAACTTTTCTTTAAACGCCGTACGAGCACAATGGAGGAAAAGCGTGGGACATACCCGAGTTGATCGATGGATTCCAGACAAGGAATTCGCTGGCGGTGATGTCGAACTGGTTCTCAATCTTATCGCACGAGTCGCCGGGTTAAACTAGGTAGAACTGGTTGCGATTGGCGGCAGTACCTGTCTATTGCGGCTGGTATGGAGCCGATGACGACGAGGTAGGTGAGAGCGTGTAGGTGGAGGTGGCGAGAGGTGAGGAGCTCGTGGTAGGTGCACCAGATGAAACTGTGCCGACCACACAATATTTTCTGACCAGCCACGAGGTTCGGGCAGGCAGCACCCGGGTTGAGAGACTCAAAAGTCTGCACGGTCAAGCCCCACTCGGCAGAGAAGGGCTGGGAGGTATCTCCGGAACTGACAGCGGACTCATAGCTACAAGTGACCTGCTGACGGGAGGTCAGTATCGTCGCCCAGGTCAGGTGTAGCTGTGGGAGCAGGAGGAGGAATAGGCTCGTCTTGAGTGAAGTCGGCGCCATCATGGTTGTTGATGCTTTTTGAGAAACGGATGAGTGATTCAAAGTAGCTCAGAGCGATATAGAAGGCGACGATCGGTAAAAAACACAACGCCGGAATGTGAAGACATGATGCGCATGATGGCAAAACTTTTTGTACTATCCAGCTCGTACCTGGACAGTCGCAGTCGAGGCTGAAGCCACGGCATTATGCAGCATACTACCGAGGTATGTCACGCCATGCATGCTACAGTATTCAGAAAGAAACGAGCTGCGAGATTTCGAGGCGGTGTACTGAGAGGGAGCGTGGAGCAGGATACCATCTGACAAAATAACACATTCAACTGGTAACTTGATATCGGATAGGTCCACGGTGGAGTACCAACAATGAGTTCAATTAAGGGTCTTGACTGTAAAACAAGCTTTGCGCGATTTGCGGATAATAGATAACCATGGATTCCGATTGGACCGGACACTATTTAAAATTAGCGGAGAACCAGAGATGTAACCTAATAAATAAAGAATAAATTGATCATGCAGGGTTCTGGCTAAATTAGTAACCAACAACGAGCCCTCGACCCTACTAAGTGAGTTCAGAGATCCGAGTTAGATTCTCACAGGGGTACACATGTTATCTTTTCCGCACAGCCGTTCCTCTTTCCGTATTGGTGCATGCATGCATGCATGCATTCATGCATACTATACGACTATTTGGAAGACCCCTGAGAATGTAAACTTGTTCGACAACCTACATGGCTGAGAAATTGGTGTGCGCTAATATAATAAGGGAATGTCGACCTCCAATGAGACCTCGCTCATGCCTAAGAGTGGATTTATACGCTGCCTAATCCATATCCGGGATCGCCGTACAATCTTACTGTCAACAGTACATTTGTCCATCTTGGCTCCGTATTGGATAAGGGAGATTGTTGAATTGGGATTGCCTCACGTGACGACCACCCTTCTGTCTGCAGATTAGTCTTCTGTCTTCACCAAACTATCCCCGTGGTTCTTCTATCTTGCAGCTGCATCACCAAAGTCGGCCGTTCGCCTTCGCAAGTTGCTCGTCATCTCTCACGCAACCAACACTCAATTTTCCCGTCCCAGACGAACTTTTTTTTTTGTGTGTGTTCTATCGATCTTCGACAGCCAGCTGAGCTGTCCGGGTAATTCGCTAATTTGTCCTCCCATTCCTCTCACCTTCAAAGCTTCCTCATCGTCCGGCATGCGCGCTTTCAACCATGTTTGCCCTCTTGCTTGGGCCGCGCTGATGGTCGGCTTGATGACTGCAATGGGCGATGCCACTGCAACCGCCAGTCCTGGCATCTTTGAAGTGGACGCGCTATTCCCACGCAACGAAACTTACACTCCTCAGGCGCTGATGCCCATTGTGTTTGCGCTGCAGAATCCGGCTCTGGCTTCCCCGCTGGTAGCCTCGATGAGCTGGGAATTGTGGGAAGGCAACAACTACACCTCCCCAGGCTCCGTCACCGACGGCGGTTTTGAATTTGCCACCCTGGATTTCTCGTCCAATGACCCTTTTCTGGTCACCCGCATCGTCAACACCCTTGCCTACCCCGACGGCTTTTGGACCCTTTCCTGGAGCCTGGAGATCTACAATTGCTCTCAGTCTGAGCACTCAACCCAATCCATCACCGTGAGCAATGCCACCGTCTTCACCATCAGCAGGTCTGGCCGGGCACCCGATCTTGTGGCAGCCACATCCGCTGACATGTGCGGCACCGCGGACGGCTACGCATTCAACGTAACCTCTTTTGGAGATACATGCGGCGTGCTTGGATCGAGTCCAACCACTAACTCGTGCGCGGCAACTATCGATCCTGCAGCCGCATCCAGTATATACGCCGCGGCCACCGCCTCAGCATGCTCGCCTCTATACCGCCCACAGAATCCCAACATTACTTGTCCGACTTCAACTAGCAAGTCCTCTGCCTCCTCCGCTGACGCCGCGGGCCGATCTCGCATGGCAGCAGCATCGACACTGTTCACGCTGCTGGCCACACTCACTGCCCTGATCCATCTTGGATGACGGGGATGTATGCAATTCAAACCCTAACCTCAAAAAGGCCGCGGGTCTTTTTTCTGTATATAGCAGTCGCTAGCCTTAATCTTGTATATTAGTCCTTCTTCTCCTCGAATCAAAATCTTTGCGGCAGGCAGGTTGGACACAGGGTCTGCGCTTCAAGTCGTAATCTTTGCAGTGTTTAGCAGTGCTGCACCCGCTCTAATTACGATGGTCACATGTAAGCACCCAAGCTTTGTGCATCTGATCCCGCGGTGCCATACCACTCGCACTAATTTAGCCTCAAGAGCCATCATCGCTTTTCATCAAATCACAGAATCAGAGGGTGCTTCGCGGCAGTCTACGCATTGGTCTTGGGTCGAAGGTCGATGAGAACAATTCGCTGACCAACTTTGTGCAGGGCTGAATGGTCAGCGCAGTCTCAAGAAACTTTCACTGCAACTTTGGGTTCGGTAGTCTACGGCTGGACTGCCATTGCCCAAGACCAGCTCTTTGGTTGTTCAATGGATCAGAGTCCTCCATCACTCTCCTCGGGACCATGATTGCCAATGGTAATCTTATTGAGGTCAGCGGCGGTAACCAATCGGTAGACTACCTTACAGACTCGGAAACAAACACCGATATCGAGAACTTTATCAGTAAACCCTTCTTCGGGTTCGCCATCCCAGCTGTGTGGACCCTCTCCGGCTCTACCGCCTTCGTCCTCGACTCGGGCTATCCCTGCAGTGCGCAGAACCCCACTGACCCAGTACATGACCGCTGCCACCCAAGAAGCCACCAATGTATCCTACAACAATAATTTGTACTATCTGGGCTAACCCAATGGCACGTGGCAGGGCTGTTCCGATGAGGGCATTGAGCACATCGATTTCGTCGATTGCGACCAACCACGACCACCACATTGTACCCCAACCTATTTCACTGCTCCACCAGGACTGAGCAGCCTCGGTTCGGGAAATTGGGGAAACATTAATGTGTCTTTTTCAGCAATATGGAGTCCATGACGATCCTACAATCTCGTGCCACTTACATGTTTCTTGATGTCGAGCTTCATACTCCGTAGAAGGGACAGGGACATAGATGACTACCAACGCGGTGTAATCTCTCTATTCTTATTTCGCAATACGGGGATCTAAGCCATAGAAATGGAAAATTTAGGAGAAGACCATGGTCCTGAAATAGTAAATCTTCTACAAAAAATAGAATTCCCAGTACTGAGAGATGTTTATCGAGATCGAATTATTGAGATGTGTTGGAACAGACAGTTTTCGACTTTGAAGGAGCTTTTCAAGAAGACTGAATTGCTCTATGAGGTATATGAATTGTTATGGGTAATACCCCTAGACACAGGCTTTTTTAAGGGTTATTTTAGGGATAAAATTGAGATTTGACATCAACATAGAACGCGTTTTCGGGCTGAAGTGGGCAACTCGGGTGTGGATTACGTTAAGTAGCTAGTTATCTGTCAATTAAACTTATCTTGAAACAGCTCCACGGCTCATCAGGTCCAACACTACACTCTAAACATCACCCCCAAATCATAACATTTAGCTATTGCCTCCACAGCATGATTTACCGACACCTTGAAACAGGCAAGATCGGTAGATGCTTAACTGGGCTGTGCACATATTCCTTTCTAGATTGGGACTACTGCGAGGCTGTGTCAGAATCGGGTGGGCACCATTAATCCACTGTATAGCTCAATTAATTCAATGTTCAGGGGATCGTATCGACAGAGCGATCGCCCATAAAATTAAACGGAATAACTGATCAAAGTTTATTCTGGGTTCTATATTTTGAATCCAAAAAGGGGTCTCTGATGTCGGCTCCACTTCCTCCTCCTCCTCCTCCTCCTCCACCACCACCACCTCTCCCATCATCCACAAACCCTAAGGCACCTTTGAAGCTAAGGGTTAGAACGTATGGCTCCAAGCAGTTCTTTCACACTCCGAAACCGACCCCCGGACCCGCACCGACTGGGGCTTATTTTTGCTACGGCACCTTGACAGACCCATCCATGCTTCGCGAAATCCTAGGACTGCCAGACGAACCCGAGCTTCGACCGGCCTACATAATAGGCTATAAATGCAAGCTTTGGAGCCAATATCCGGCCTTGTTAAAAGCAGATGGTGAGTCGATGGTCAAGGGTGCTGTGTACAATGTCCAGACGGTGGAGCAGGGGGAGAGGTTAGCAGAGTATGAAACAAATAACTACCGTGCTGATGCGTGTCATATTTTCTATTTGGATGACAAGGATCCTGTGCAGGAAGATGGATATACGTTTAAGTTCGTGGGGAACGAAAAAGATTTGACTAATGGTCAATTTGACCTCCGGGCTTGGCTGAACAGAATTGGTAGATGCGAAGCTATGGAGAAATGATATGGAAAAGTTGCGACATGTGATTGAATGGTGTTATTCAACATATGTATGTTCAACCTCTTTTCACATTTTTACCGAGGAGAAAGGAATGATAAACTACCTGTAGCTTAATTTCAACAAATCTATCCTCTTGATCTAGGTTACAAAATGAATCACACCAGTCTCCATTCCCAAATCGCTACTTCTCTACACCAACTACTTTTGTAACTGCAAGAGCGTCCTAGAAAGATTTTGTTAGTATTGTGATAATACGAAAACTCTGGGGCAGATTGATTGGGGATAGGAATAATGACTGATGTTAGTGCATACCTCTTTGCCTAGTAATGGATACTTGTGACACTCTGTTTCGTATATCAAATTTGGGTTGCCAAGAACGTTATCGAGCTTAACACCTTCAGAACGATATCCATTCTTCTTGATAAGTTCAATAAGCCTTTCAGAACCGATCGTTTCTGGCCTCTCCAATGCCTTAAGTTTGTCTCGCTTCTCTGCTGGACTGGCTGTCACCCACTCAAGATACTCTGGTGCGCCTGGTATGATAATATTATCGGCCACAACAGTAGATACCCCAGGTTTTAAAAGGCCAAGCTGCTCAACGACCCAGAGGTCCGGGACATAAAGCTTTTGCCAATGATCGATAAACAACATATCAATGTGGCCATTGACTAGAATATCGTCGTGGACGAATCTCGCGAGCGAGATACTGCAGGGAGCAATCAGGATCTGCACAAAATCACCTAGCCCTGCTAATTCTACCAATAACGAAGAAACCGCAGCGAAAACGGGATTGATTTCAAGGCTGATATATTGCTTGCCTCCTGCTTGGCGAACAGCGTCGCCAAACATTATCGCCGAGTAGCCCACAAAAGCACCAGCTTCAACCATCGTGGATGGCTTATTTCTCTGAATGAGCGACACTACATGTCCACCTTTATCTTGCCCGACAACCATGAGAAGTTTATAGTTCTCGCTGTAGTCGTCGATGGCGGCAAGGATCTTGTCTGGGTGTCCCCGAAGCTCTTCTACATTTGGGAGACTGAATATGTAATGAAGAAGATCGGTCGCTCGAGAGTCCTGAATACTAGTTAGATATATATCCAAATGGGCGGTTGTGAGTAACATACATCATGAGGACTATCTTCTCTTTTCGGAAGATCGATCTTGCCCATTTTCAAGAGAAGAATCTGTTCTTTTCTATAGTAATCGGTTTAAGTCGAAAGTTGTATCTCGAACATCTAATGCTGCTTAGAATGTTGGTAGTAGGCTGGTTATTTCAGTCTATTTATCAAGACTGCAGCGTCCTATTTGAATCGGATGAGATGTCGGCGATGTTGTCTCCATGCGGCAACCCGAGCCGACTAGGAATACTCCCGAGATGCTCGGCCGAACCAAAACCGCGATGTTGTCTACATGTCAATTCGTGCACAGGCTGATTATTGATTGATGCGTTGGAAACCCCGAAACATTCGGTGATACTGTCGCCTTCGCATTTAGAACCCTATTGCGTAGTCATTGCCGGCGATATGATATGTGCGACGGTGAATTTTCGATCACCGACTTAAGTACAAGGCTTGAACGATAGCAACAATCTAAATCCATTAAAATGAGCTTTCACGTACATTACCGACACATGTAGTATTTGAGAGTGCAATATTGAACTACTATAACCGAGCTACAGCTTCTACAATCCCAGCGTATGCGCAGATATCGTCACATCTTATGCTTGTCCTTGGATCTCCGAACGCCTCACAGGGCACGATGCGAACATCCTAATTTCTGACATTACTACGAAATTATGCCTGACACCCTAATCAAAGCCGTTGACATGCTTGTTAAAGCAAGGTTGATCATCGCTTTGGTAGCGGGAAAGATACAAATTCCGTGCAACTTTATACCCGAAGCTGTCTGACTCTATTCCAAGTAGCGGAGCTCATGTTCACATCTCAATCAATAATAACAACTTGACAAATGAAGATAAAGATTAAACAAGCTGCTTGCCCTCTTTTGCTGGGACCATTACGCATCTTCCTGCTGTCCTAGCATTCACTCTCGCACAACAAAAAGTTACTGTCGGGTGATGAGTGGCATTTGGAGTCAGGGTGAATTCGCCGCATGGGGATGGGAGAATAAAGAAACGGCTCTGCGGCGCATTGAACCTAACAGATTTGAGATTAAATTGATGGACGGACTCGCCAACCCTTACTTGGCATTAAGTGCCATATTTGCTGCCAGAATTGATGGGTTAAGGAAAAGTCTTCCTTGAGTGGTGGGCATGTTCGAAGGATGCAAGTCTATTATCGCCACAAGACAAACCTTGAATATTGTAGCACTTCCTAAAACACTACGTGGTAGTTTAGCAAAACTAGAGACTGACAGAGAATTGTGCGGTCTAATTGGTCGAACAGTCACCGGGCCGTATTTTGCTAATAAAAGAAACGAGATGAAGCAGGCTCAACAGTGGACAGAAATGAAGAGGAGGAATTATCTAGTCTCGAGATACTAGTTTCGAGCTGGACTTGGAATTAATGATTGCGGTGTTTTGATATTTTTACAGTAATTGTTATCAAGTTTATCATGCCTGCAAGTATGACGACAGCATAGCTGCAATGGCAAATTGCTAACTGCACACTGCCATTCATAATTCTTTAGATCAAAGAGTATTTGGAACGCATAAATTAATATCGATATTCTAGCCCATTGTTTTGAAGACATTTACAGGGATTACAAGGAGCCATAGATTACTTACGACTGTTTCGAGACACATCTTCAAACGTCCTTTCATAACTCAAAATTCCCACACAATATTTTTATTTCTAGGATAAAATCATGGATTTGATTGCCTACCAGACAAGAATATTCTTCACGATACCAAAGTCATTCGGACATATAGTTGTGAAATAGAACGTGTATAGAGACTACTAAAGAATATCAAAGGGATAGGTCCATTTCGTAGGACAATTTTCGCATCTGTTGCAATAAATGCACTGACATAAGTATATCGTCATAAATTCCAGATTAACTGCCCCTGGTCTTGACTTTAAGTTCCGTCGGTTTGATTTGGGGAAGGTGCCAACTGGCCGACTTGATGTCAGACTGGGGTTTTTTTTATCGTTGTACTCGTATCCAATAGGAATTAACGACGACTTAACTGCGTCTAGAGGCTTCTTTGATGTCGCTTGGATATTTGAGTGGCAGCAGCTGAGATAGCGGCATATGAACGCCCTTTTCGAATTTCATCAATCAACTTTGAATTCTGAATGTCTCCATCTTGCCTGAGACCATCTAAAATAAGCTCGAGTTGGTAGCGGGTATCTTGGAGACGAATTTCGTCGACAGATTTGGCTTTTTGATATAAACCTAGTCGCGATGTGCCGTCGTGGTTGTGATCTGTCGGGTTAGGAAAGGATTAGGAACGGATTAGGAACGCCACTAGGCTCGACAGAGTTAAGCTATGTTGACGTTACCAGTGAATACTTTGTCCATTGGGAAGGATTTCCTTGATCAAAATAATGGGAGAACAAGAAAGTGCAGGATCTGCTTGGTCTCTGTTGCTAACTGTCGCTGAGTCGAGAGGATTAATCATTCTTGAGATGAGCCGCTGGCAAGAGACATTTCAGAAAACTCTCAACGGACAAACGGCTACTTTATATCTAGCCCCTCAGCAAAAGCGGATTATAGCTCCTATGATAAGCCTGGAAGCTTGCTGTCACCGCATTAGCGTGACCCAGATCCGCGCTGCTTATTATCCTTCAAGCCTCAATGACACTGAAATCGGCCCAATTAAGGTATCCATTCCTATACTTTGACTACGTCTGACAAGAAGGTATCTCCCTTGTCAACACAGCTCTCTTTTCAGGAACAAAGTGCTAGTCGTCTTATGTTTCGCCAGCTATTACAACCGTCATCGAATCGGGCATGGATGAGATGCTTATGGTAGTGAAACTATTAGCTGAAATGTATTTCAGTGCTACTGGTCTTGTTTGGTATCAGCCATAAGTAATTAAGTGAAATTAAGGACCCGCATGTCAAAAATAGATTAGAATGGCACTTTCGCCTTATTCTCAGCCAGGTGCGGAAAATGTTCAGCAAAGCAACATTGAATCTATCTGAAGGAACTGAACTTTTAAAAATGATCAATTCACCTACTTTGCGTTATTCCTGGATTGCCGGGTTTGTATCCATCACACCAATATAATACTTTAACCGTGCTTTCCAATTCCTTTAGTACTAATCAGAAGTATCTATTGCACATACACTTTAGCATACGTCTAAGATATAGTGAAAGTAATATGAGCACTTTAGGCCTGATATTTTTCAAATCATGATGCACGAAATAAACGACAACCTGATTTCATTCTTTTACTGCGCTCGTTGACCTTCTTTTCTATCCAAGCCTATCCTGAGACGTTGTCTCACCCAAAATTACTTACCAATTCAGGACCATTCTGAAATTTGCATTGGTAATATTGAAAAGCTGTCTGAACTATAAAAGAAGGAAATGGTTACTTGGTTTTGGAAAAGGTTAGAAGGATATTAGGACTTTAAAGACTTTTCCACTGGGGAAAGATCAATTGATTTATATCTATTATTGTCGTTATAGGGGACAGATAGCACTGATAGTTGCAATCCATCCCACGCTGGAAAATAGAAGCTCGTTTCCCGCAACTGCTTATCCTTGGGTTCTTATCAATTGAAATAAATACTTCTATATGGGCCGTTTCCATACTTCGATACTATCTAGGTCAAAAACATTGAAATGAGTATGCTGGGGCCCGCTTTTGCGCAATTTACGGATTTCTCATTTCGTATAATCCGAACCTGTTGCCTTGTTATTCAAACCAAGCTGATTCGAGGGCATAGATTTGTCTGATGTAAGTGTTTCAATTCGACGGAACCTGATTGGCCTTTACCCCGCATCGATGACCAGGGCATGATAAGCGAGCAATACAGGATGGCGAATCATGACCTCTTCTGCTGCTTTTGGCCTGCCCACTCGGATTTCTTTGTCCTGCTTCCGGGGAGGGAGGCGCACCAGGGTGATAGCACTCACCATGCGTGCTGAAGTCCTAGGATTGGATCGCATACACGTCATTTACATCTACACTACCATCTATGGTGGCCTCCATGAGATCACTAACATGCAATGTGCATGAACAGCCGGTATTTTATACCTAATTACTATTCCCTACTGGAGGAAAGAAAAAGAACGCAACTGGTCTCTCATTTTTCTCATTTCTCTCATTCTGCGATACATTGCGGCTCATACTGTCAATCGCTTTGCCATCTTACCCAGCATCTCAGGGCCGTTGTACGGTCGCAAACAAAGCAACAATCCGAGATGGGTTTGACCTCCGTATTATATGTTCGGTGATAGTCGGAATTGAATAATTTATGGCCTTTACCCAGCCTTACTCGTCTGAAAGTCCGTAACACTCCCGGCGTAACCTTGTTGTTTCCTTTTGATCTTTCCAATAATCTGGTACAATTCGGCTTCCCGACCAAGTGACCGCGAAATGGTGTTTTCTCAGCTGCGATTTTGCAGAAATCTCTAGTTGGGCGGGACCTTCAACCGAACGATCCCTGTTTCGTGATGGGATTTACATCCAATAAACTCTCCTGTTATCCATTTATTGTTCGTAGTCTAAGGCTCCAGGCTAGCCTTTGGTTATGTATAGTTGCGCAGTGCAGTATCCCCGCGGAAGTCACTAGCCTAGGGCTTTTTTTTTTTTTTTTTTCTCTCTTTTCTCTTTTTCCAGTCCTATTTGTATATAACAACTCCAGAAGTCGGGGCCTTTGCGGGCCGATTTTTTTCGCCACCAGACAGCAACAAAAGTTGGTTATATTGTTAATCTTTCGTCTACGGTCAATTAATATAGGCACAATCACTGATGCAACAATTTTATCCTTTCTGTCGCATTTTTGGATAGTGGATGAGCTTCAAGCAAAGTATCGAGGATTGGTTGGGCCACCAAATTCCACCAGAACCTATATTTTTCATCAACAATCTAAGAATCTCGCCACTCACAATATAAAGGATATGAACCAGGGCTCCAGTCAAGTACCCAGGTTTCGTCCTATCGCTCCAAGGTCGAAATCGGAATCGTCCGCAGAGTTCAATCCTGCCGCCCGAACCAGCGAGCAAAGCCACAAAGTTAGAAGGGCCCCGATCGCTTGCATGCCCTGCAGGAAGCATCGAACAAAGGTAAATATAGATTTTTCCAGAATTCTTTCGTGCTGAGCTTCTGTCATACCCCTGGAAAATTCCCCTTCAATGCTTGAATCATCTAAAAATCTAGCAACATCGTTCTGAAAATCGGACAATCTAGTGTAGCACAGAACAACCATGCGCTGAGTGCATCGCCCACAACCGCGAGTGCGTCTATGACCACGCTGCAGACAAGCGTCGCAAAGAGCATATTGAACGAAAAGAACAGGTATTTCAGACGCAGTTGGATGAATGCCAGGATTTTATCAAGAAACTTTTGACCTGTATTCGACATGTCAATGACGATCGACTTAACTATCTTATTGAAGTCATTCGCAGCACCGATGACCGTGAGGTGATCGAAACCGTTGTGGACAGCCTCAGCATGGGTAGCCCAGATCTCGGAAAAGGAGAAGGAGCCGAAGGCTATCGGTTTGGTGACGATATGGGCTTTTATTGAAACTCAAATCAGTTGGTTATGCCTGCCGATCCATTATTTTTGAAGCCTTGTACACCATTCTGCAATTCGGGATTTAATGAAATATCGATTACTTCTGTGGCGTATAAAGATTGTTTGATTCTGCCAATCCGTGGACATTTTTTTTCCCTTGCACCATCAATTTGGCCAATAATTTAGTGTGATACCGATCTATACCATTTATTTTACCCTTAGCCCAAGTTTTATCCGCCTGGGCAAGAGTCACAGCTAAACACAAATAATACTTAGTATTTTCTGCAAAAAGAAACAGGCCGAGGATATATCGAAACAAGTTCTAGTCGAGCTCTGCAGAATCTTGGATTTTGATTGTTAGTGGCGCCTAAGAGCGATAATGAAAAGTCTCGGCAGTACGAATTAACGAAAAACAGAAGTTTTATCTAACCTTCTCGTGGAAACTTCGACATAATAGCATTCACTGGTACGTATTTTCATCCTATCCCTAACTTATAAGGGTATCAGCTGTATATTTTATCTCGCTGGCGTATCTTTCAATTTTTTGCGGGTCATATAAAAGATAATTGTATTGTCTATATAAAGGCATTTTACCAATGAGTTTACTATATCAGTTCTATAAGTTGGTTTGTAAACCGTATTTTGGACCATTATCGGGTAGGCTGTACCTTGAAGCAGATGTTAGATCTGCGAGATATCGAAATCGAAGGCTTTTGTATACGTCAAGTGACACTAGCCATGTCGCTTAGGCTTACTGATAAACTCTGTTATGAATAGGCATGTGGCAGCAATTAAAAGATTCAATGGAAATTGGTTATATATAATTAATCCTCTAGAGGCGCTAACCATTCCCCAATCTTCGAATAATTTCGAGTCTTGGCCTTTATACATGTAAACTGGTATCTATTAAAAAAATGTATGTCTATAAATCTATTGTTTCCTCGCATTTTATTGATATCGTCGATCTCATGAATACTGGACATAGAGTTATTTCCATTATTAGCAGGAATCGAATGTGTATGTTGAACAGTGACATAGATATGAAGTGTCAACTGTCAGTATGCCAGCTAGTATTAGTGATGTCTGTCTCATAGGTACCATTTCTGTCGTTCTCTTCTGTGAGATCTTCAAATAGCTCATCAAATACGCCAAATCCTTCAGGCAAAACCGAATATAGATCGGGCAGACCCAATTGTGCCTCAGAGTTTCTATGTCCTGTTGGCTGATTGACGGGTTGAGGAGGCAAGGAATCCCTGAAGCCTGGCCGATTCCCTTGAAGTACAGGTAATGGCTGTGGTCTGGAAGTGCTATTTCCTCGAATTGTGTCGAAAATTTTTTGAAACCCGTTAATACTTATCGCATTTAGATCATCTTTGAGTTTAGAGATGCGTTGTTCTGAAAGCTCTCCAAACAAAACTCCTCGGATATGATTCCCGTGAGCTGGTAGCACATCTCTAAGAAATATCTCTCGAACGAAATTCGCGTCTTCTGGTATAGAAGTATCAACGTACGGATCTGGAGGAAAGGGGTCATTTGGAAACAGAATTTCGTAAATTTCGTTCCAATTCTCCCGGTCAGACCTTTTGCTACTCCGCTTTCCTAACTCCTGTAGTTGATGTTCGGATGCCCAAATATTCTCTGTCGCAGGAGACAGATCATATTCATCAGCTGTATTTTGTATTGTATCACGCCTTTCAAGTCCATCTAGGCCTTTTGCGGGTTCTGTGGGTCGTTTATGTCTACGCCGAATGTGTTGTTTCACTTGAGCAGGCTTTTTATGACCAGAGCCACTACAGTTTCGAAATCTGTCGGGCCATCGTTTGAAAAAAGGACAAGCGAATCGTGGAAGATGTGGGGGGACTGGATTTTTCATTTCTGATGGTATCTCCAGCTTATCTTTCTCGACATCTGCGTTCCCCAATTTCTTAATTGTGAATTCTAAATTGGATGAAAGGCGTGCACTCACCTGATACTGTCTCAGGATCCTTAGACAAAATTATAGGATTCACAAATGGATGTTTTGCTGAAGATGGGTGAAGCGCAGAGGTATTATTGTTTTCTGGTGAGGAACTAAATTTTCTCTTCATGCTCGGAGTTCGCAATACAGTATCAACCGGGCTGTTGACAGTTTCGATAACACTTCTGGGGCTTCTTGACAGTGTAGAATCATCTACAGGTGGGTGACGAACATGCTGATGGTCGATTGGAAAAGTCAACTGAGGACCTGAGTGACAATGACTTTCAAAACATCGGAACCATTGTTCCCACGAGGTTACAATTTGATCGCATTTTGGGCATTTCTGAGGTATTGCCTCTGGAGTTGCAAGTCCAGTGATAAAATTTTCGTCTACACTACCATATGATGGGTGCATTCTTTGAATATGGGGCAAAACTTTACTTCTTCGGTGTGTTTCCCAGACGCATTTCAAAGATGGACAGCGAAAAACGTGGCGAGGTTGATGTTGTTCCTCCACATGTCGTTTGAAAACAGGTCTAGGAGATAATTCCACTGGTTCGTCTTTTTCGCAAAGCAAACATACATATCTCTGCGGTATACTTCGGTTTGCTCGCAATTTTTGTGAAGACAGAGACCTATTATCGTTTTTTGTGACAAATTGTCCTCCCAGCTCCAAGTAGCTTTGACCATCCTAATTGATATCCCACAATCAATACTTTTCTTGAACATAAAAATACGGGACGATCACTTACCGAGGCAGTTATATGAGATGCCTGGGCTTCCCCACGACATGGATGGGGCTTGCGCGAGAGGTTTGTATTATCTCCGTACAAAGATGCAAGACTTGGGTCTGATGCTGTATTGGCAGTTGTCAATGACGGCGTTCTGAAATACCTTCCCTCCGACACAGAGGAAACTGAGTTTTGGCTAGTAGTAGGCTCAACAAGGAGAAAACTTGGGTTGGTTTGATATTTCTCAAGATAATCGAGATTTGCATCGATTTCAATCCGTTCGCGTGAGGGTAAAGCCGATCGCATTGAACGAGACATTTTTGCCGGATGCCGTCGTGATAGTATGTATTCCTCTAAGCTATATGGCACAGACTGATTGCATTTGGCTGGAGTATGCATATAAATTTGATTCGCTAATAGAAATTCAATTCAAAATCTGTTAGCATTCAAATCTACCTCTGAGAAATACGGGCCTCAAGCTCTTTAAATCATAGGTTATCGATATATCACCGCTGTTCTGACAGGGTTCATTTCGTAATAACGGTTGTGATCAAGCTGGGGTCTATTAATGTCGGCTTTGATTGGGCTAGGTTGGACCTCTCTGCAGCAGGTACCTTGTGTTTTCCTGGCTAGGTTGTTTTTTTTACAATTTGGATTTGGACTAGATGGGGAGGCCACTTGAAGAACGGTTTTTTTTTTCGGTGACTATCTGACATCAAAACGGAGATCATTGGAGTTCGCTGCGCATTCTATATAATACCAAGTATTGTTTAATCAGTACGAAGGGTTAAATGTAAAATATTCTCGTCCACAATAACAATATTCTCAGCAGGGAAGGGAAATCAGAATAAGCAATAAAGAAAACTTCATTTCGACACAGGTATTTAGATATTCGCTATACAAATTAGACCCATTCAAAGAAGCCTCTGAATTCTTAAGGCTGTTTGAGCCTAAATTTATCTTTCCAGGTGGAGCACAACCTCGAACATGTTTGTCTTCAAATTCGTGCTAGTGGACAAGAAGAGGGCGTTATTAGTTCTATGACTAGCTCAATATTAATTGAGGCTTTGCGTTGCCAGCCTATAGGTTCTTGATACATATGGATGCAATTTACTGAACTCATTGGGCGAACCCGCCACTGGCGCCCAACTGTCTAGTGTTATTAGGCATCGACCACTAACCTTGACTCGTGTCTAGATGGCCACTCATTTGGCTCTACATCGAGATTAGATAAAATTGTACTATTTATTTAATGGGAAAGCGACAAGGTCGATATTTGCTCTCTTTGACCGCGAAGTCGTCGCCTTCGCCCATAGGTGGCTGGCCATATGTCGTCATGCCGATATGCAATCCGGTCAAAGATGTGAAATTTTCATACTTGAAATTTTATGTGCTTTTATTTCTCTTAATATTTGTTGATCGATGTGCTTCAAGGCTTCCTTTGGGGCATTGCTGAGATTTTGTTGAGCCTCAACTTTGCACAGGGGTATTAAAAGTCGGTGAGAACAATTTTGCCATCCTCCACGTCACTCTAAAAGCGTTACAAATAAGATCTATTATTAGTTTGTGTATTTCAAGCCTCGGCCAAGCCGGCCACTGGCAGACTACCCACTTGCTCGTGTTTTTGGCCGACTCAGCCTTGCTCTAGAATCAGGCTGAAACAACACACATTACATCAACATCAGCCTCTATTCTGGCTCAATGAGGAAATCTATGACTCTAGGGTATAGACAGGTTGCGAAGCAAGTATGCTTAGTCTTGACTGAACTGATTGTTAGACTTTGTGCCCAACAGTCTGCGTTAAACACGACGGGTTATCGTGGCGTGTACAAGTGACAGCAACATGTTTGTCATCGAATTAAATACCAACCTAACTGACTCTATTCCACTGCTAATCACTGTTAAAGAAGTTTTCGTTTTGTTCTAAAAAGGTGGAATTTATTTCCATACACAGATAAAGTTTCCAAAAACGGCAGAATCGGGGTTACTGACCGTGCACCGAAGTCACGTACAGAATAGTAGATAGGTAAAGGTAGGCAACATCTGATACAAATATGTTTTGCTTTATCGAGATCCTAGGAAGAGAGAGGAGAGATGTTATTGTACAGAACTGAGCATTTGCTTTGTACATAACCTACCGCTGCGAAGGTTGTCACGTTCATACCTACCTAACAGCATCAATGGCATCAGGATAACCTTACAAAGACAGGATGTTTATTTTTTTATGGACAGTGATAATTCGATCAAAGAAATGGTATTCATATTTAATATTAGTTCACTAATTTACATGTAAAGAGGCAATTTAGAATCAATTCTAGTCTTGGAGGTGATGAAGTCGAAATCACCGCCACAAAGCGTCTATGCTAACTAGTATCGGAGAAGTCCTTGATAGTTCCATTGTCTTGGAACTTACAGCTGGGTAAAGCGGTTTGTTTAGCCATACGGGTTATCGAAATTCCCATGAGCAGATACATGGCCACTTTCCTCCATTTTGACAAAATATGGAGAATCAATATTGCACTTCGTATAAGACTGAGGCAGCTTGCCTTCGTATAGAAACTCTCGTAGATGTCTGTCGAGGCAGGCTGACGTCACCGCTACAGAGCAGTGACCATATGCCTGTACCTCGACTATCTTCGAATCTTCAAAAGCCTCATTTGCTGAACGGGCAGCTCTTAGGGGACACACCGGGTCGTACGTAGTCGAGAGAATCAGCAATGGATGAGCAGTCTTTATCCCTTTGCGCGGCAGATATGGGTGCGTTCTCGGCAAGGTCCATTGCTGTTTCATGTAGTATATCTTACTCTGACTGGCACCAAAGAGACTCCGATTGTAAAACGGCACGATCTTATCAAGCAACGATTTCCTATCCTGGGGCCAATATTCCGGGCCAGTGAGACCGTCGTTAAGCGTGATAAATTCATTGGATTCATGTCGCATTTCCCAAGTTGACTCGCCACCGTAAGCCAAAAATGCGTCTGTTGCGTTACCTTCAATAAACCTATGAAGATTGTCCGCCAGAGTGGCCCACGTTTGAGGCTTGAGGAGGGCAGGATAAACGCCGTTATACCAGATTTTCTCATAGTCAAGTAAGCCGTAAGCAGAATTGTCGATGTATACACTAATCGGCTGTTTCTTGAGTTTTTCAATATTCGAGAGGACTATTTCACGCAATTCTTCTTTTGACTTTGCGAGCGCGGCTAGAGAGCACCTGCCAACACCTTCTTTAATACAAGTCTCAAAAAACCCGTCCAGAACAGTATCAGCATCTACGAATGCTTCTGCTTCGTAAATACCCTCGTACCATTGAAATTGATTAATAACCCCATCGATGATGATTCGTCTAGATCGCTCAGGGAACAGTCCCGCGTATGTCTGGCCCAGCAGACTACCGTAACTAAAGCCCCAATACGCCATGTCCTCCTGACCGAGCGCATCCAGAATGCTGTTCATATCGGCGGCTATCTGAGGGGTATTGATATACTTAGCATATTCTCCCATCGTATCAGAGCATGCTCTGATAAAATTCTGCGTCCACGCGTAGACTTCGGGACTGTCATTGAACACATCTTGAGTTCTGACTGGAGCTAACTCGCGACGCGTTCTATCATCCGGATAGCACGATGCCAAGGGAGTAGAGCTATTTACTCCACGTGGATCGAATGACAATAGGTGGACTCCCTCACCTACCAAAGCCTTTAGTTGCTTGCCTCGGCGGTACATCAAGTCGAAGCCGCCTGCTCCGGGACCGCCGGGATTGAGAAGGAGATTTTGGGTCGCCTCCCTGCCGCGCATGCGGATGAGCGGGATGTTAAACGTCTTATTCTCTGGATTATCTGTACTGAATTGATCCATAGGAACATCAATACTGCTACACTCGAGTGATATGTCTTCGAGACTTCCACATGGCGCCCATCTGATATGTTCTCCGTCATATTGAATATAATTCCGTGCACTCCTCGGCAGTGGACGTGACAGCTTCGCCTCAGACCATAGTATAAAGCATATTAGCACCAATGGAATTATGGCCCAATACTTTGACCATTGAGTTCTTCTTTGCGGCTCCCTAGCATAATAATCTCCTGGGGGTCGCTTCTCATCCATAACATACTCGCTGAGTGGGGCTTCGAGAGTTCAGTGGACTGGATAGCATATAATTCAGATGATGGGGAACACACTGAAGTCGACTTCTTGATGAAGGACGCCGGCCTATTTATCTAAGCGTGGTCGGAGTTCGGGGTTCGTTCAAGATCCAGGAGTGTTAAGTTAGACAAATCGAACATCGCTAAACAGGCAACCAGCACATGGCACACATTGTATGTTTCCTCAAACAAGCCTGGAATATTCCTTTGCTCGGGTTAAATGCGTATACTTCCAGCATAGGATAGCCAGTTAAAGGCAGTCGGATTCCGTCTTTTCCTCGGTGAAAGGCCTGAGTACGATGTCTGATTGGACATTGGCTGAGAGCCAATCAAAACAGATATCTCTGTGGGGGTGAGCTAAGCTTACTCGCCCTGACGGGACAAATCGCTGGAACGGCTGTTGATTGGCCGCCTTCGGGAAAGGCCCCCATTCTCCAGCTGCAGCTGAAGGCGATCGCTTTCCTCTCCCTTTTATTTAGCAGTCAGTCCCTGCCATTGCTCCCTATGCATCATTGAAGACAAGAACCCCCCTCTCGACACGACAGCTCGCTCTGTAAGTCCCTGGTGCATTAGCCGGATAATGGTCAATACAGGCCGTCCCAGCCGTGGCTGCGAAACATGTCGCCGGCGACGCGTCAAGGTATGTTTCTGCTTCTATACAGTGCATATGTATACACCAGACAGAACATTTGAATATATCTGAGACTGAGGCATATAATCAATAGTGCGATCAGCGCCGTCCTGGTTGCTATCGCTGTGAAAAGATTCGTCAGTCATGTTCTGGCTATCGCAATTTGGAGCAAGCAGATTCAATTTTTCGAGTCCAGACTCAATTTTCATATGGCCCCCGCAGTTGGCAAAAGCCATCTGCTCGCCATCGATCAAGGGCCGCTAAATTGCCATGTGTACCGGCAGAAGATAGTCCGACCTTGGCCGTCTACACCCCCGGTGAATCGTGGGACTTGCATGTCATACCGCTGATCTTGAGTCAATTTTCGTCAGTCGCACCAGGCGGAGGCGTGAGCCGTGTTTATAGTTCACTTGAATCCGCTTTCAATCCTCTGCATACAATGGAGTCGGGATCTTTACTAGACCTGGCTTCTCATGCTGTAGGCTCCGCTTACTTGGCGAATAAGACGCGTTCCCCAAATTTCAAAGCCACACACCAGCGCCTATATGGTAAAGCTTTACGTGTTTTACATGTGGTACTGCAGGATCCAAAACTACAGAAACAAGACTCCACGCTGTTGGCCGTTTGGCTACTTTGTCTTTACGAGGTGCGCCCATCGTCCTTTTTTTTCTAATTTCCTCTCTGATAACGGCTAAGCAAGACTTTTTATCAATAGTTGATGACAGGTAGCTCGATTTCAGATGAGTTAGGACCAGGCCCCTTGAGCTGGGATATTCACAGCAGAGCTCTCGAGTCATTCTTGAAACTGAGAGGCTGCGACCAGTTTTCTTCCAAGACCGGTTGTCAGCTTTTTCAGCTGATATATCATACTATTGTATGTCCTGGCCGACATACTATCCTGCCTCCTTTTTAACCGTTACACAGCAAATCCGATCAATGCAAACAGGCTGTCAGCCTCCTCCAGAGGCATTCCAGTGGTTTGATAGCGTTAAGTCCTCGGGCTATCTTTCGGATACTATATTTGTCCCGTTGTTCTCTGACTGCGACAAGGCTGCACGAATATGTAGCAATATCCAATATCTAATCCACCAATTTTCTCTTCAAGGAGTTTCCGAGTTTGTACCAAGCATTTTCGCAACTTGTAGCGATTTAGAAGCGTCCATGAAGGACCATTTCAAGAAGGCTATAGAGTATTCATCAACTGTCATGACTCCGGAATCCATGGAGCAAGCCCTTAGAGTCATAGCTGGTCTCCAAATTCGCAACCACATTGATGCATGCTTCCTTCGACTAGACCAATGCTTATTGAATTTGCTGCACCATGCTTCGAAGCAGTCTCAACAAGCAGTCGGTCAACTCGAAGAACTGGAGCATCTACGAAAACTCACAATTTTCAAGTCCCAGAATAGAGCAGAACGAATCCTAGAGGCCGTCCCACGTCTTTTGCCAGTCTCTCACTCCTGCCGTATGGGAGGCATTGGAAATTGGGCGAACGCGCTGAGACTTATATGGCCACTTCGATTAATTTCGTCGTTTCCTGTTTTGCTTGACAGCCAACAGTCAGCGGCTAGCTCAGCTTTGGCAAGAATTGCCTATGATGTGGGAATTATGCAGGCCGTTGGCAAGTATCTCGTCGCATATGAGGATTTTATAAATATCACTCAGCCAACGCCCTCTTCCTATGACGCTAGCTTTCCTCGACTTCCACAAGTCGAGCAGTCTTCGAAGTATATACCCGTAACAAACGACGTACCACAATTACAATTTTGAACTCGAGCACTTTGCAAAATTTCGAATCAATCCGGATCAAATCATCCGAATCTACCATTTCTATTGCCACTGGAATATGGTATGGACAAGATGGCTACCAATGTTGCCTCGATCATTCAACTTTCCCGAAAAGGGGCTCACGTCAGCACTGCGTCGCTTTTTCAGTCTATAATAGCCTACTGAAACAAACCCAGGATGGGCAGTTCGGTATTAATGACTAGCACTTCAATCACATTCCGGAGTCTTCAGAGTAAACAATGCTATAGGGATGGCTTATTGTCTATGAATATCTACCCTAGGCAGGTCCCTCGGATTACGATACAGCTATTCAATCGGCCTTTATTTGATGATGACAACATCTTCTGATACTATGTGTGCCTCTGATAAGCAAATCCGCCACATGTTTAATGACAGAAAAGGATTTAGGGTCTTATTGGTTTAGCACAGCCATCTGTGGCTGCGCTAATTATCATGTGAAGGCAATTTTTCTCTTGGGTAACATCTTACACCCAATTGAAACTACCAACGCCACATTCTATTATTGTACATTGTCTGTTTGTACCAAAATTGTCATATTATATAGATTTCAATGTTATGAGTAAGTAATCATTCATAGCAAGATATTGGAAATAAACAACATTAAACGCGATCATCTTGTCAAATTCATTGCATGGTGTGTTCAAGTTTGAAGCAAGATTTAAATAATATGACATCCAAACATGACAACCATTGAAAAGGAAACTGCAGTGAATATTATAAGTACGTTAATAAATGTAATCAATTCTGAAGTGTTTAAAGAATACTCTATATCCAGGGATTCTCTTCGGCATTACCAATCCTAGAAGTACATTGAAAGCCAATATCGAATCAATAATGCAAATACTTTGACATTCAAATGTTCAAAACCTTGCAATAGAGATAGCTCCTCTTCGGCGCAATCAAATTGACTTGGTCACATTCTCAAATACCCCTGTCAACCAGTCCATTGTGACCGTAGAAAGCTGTGACTCAGCACCCAGACTACAATGCTCTCCAGCACCAATGTTTGTTTTGAAGAGGTGGTATGTTCCTTTATCACCTAACAGACGTGCCATTTCTTCGGGCTGACCGGGTGCAACACTATCATCCTGAGCAGAAGCGACAAACACAGGAGAGCTGATGTTGTTTAGCATCTCTTTGCTAATAGCCATTTCACTCATCTTCTTGATCCACTCAAATGGGCTTTCTGTGTTGAATGACCACATACCTTGATCAAGCGCCCACTTAAATTCAGTCGAAGTACCTGGGGTGTTGTATATCTTCCTCATTATGAAGTCAAATGCGGTAGCATTTCCACTTTTGTATAGCTCAACAATCTGCTCGGGATATTTCTGTAAAGCGGATTCTTGTATATCAAGCATCCCGTCTATTGCGATGACAGCGGAGAAGCGGTGCTCGTGGCTTGCAGCAAGTGGCGCCAGCTGGCCTCCGAACGAGAGCCCAACCAGAGCAATACGGTCGGTATCCACGTCGTCACGACTTTGCAGCCAATCTACTACTGGGGTAACAGCATCCCACCACTGGGGAATAAAGCCGATGTTCTGCTCACGTCGTACTGTCGCCTGTCCCGGGCCTTCGTAAGTAGCAAAGTTCCAGCCACGAGCAAGCACTTCATGAGCGAACTGGTGGTAAATGTCTTGCTGAGCACCGTCATATCCAGTTCCAAATAGAACAGTAGGTGCTTTGTGCTTGTATTGACCTCCGTTCACAGCAGAAGGGGCCTGATAGAAATACACTGGCACACGAAAACCAGTTGCGTTGAGCTCAATTCTTTCAGGTGGCTGGGGAAGGAGCTTTGCGCCAGCCTCAAAGTTCTCTAGCATAGATGTCCACAGTGTCATGATACGAGGATCAGACGCATTTCCATGCAAAAAAAAGTCGGCTGCACGGTAGTATGACGCAGCGCGGAAGTGTGCCTCTCGAGCCGAGACGGCAAATTTGGCTGGATCTCTGATTGAGGCTGCCTGTTGCGCCATTGTGTCTGCGAAAAACTTGAATTCGGAGTAAAAGCTTTCGAAATCTCCTGGCTTGATCCGGGATGCTGCACGAAGCATTTCTCCAGTTGCCACGCCACCTCCACTTGCTAGAGACATGAAGGTCTCTAAGACAAAGGCGAATTCGGGATCACTGCTGAGCTGGTGCATGGACGTAGTTGAATTCGTAATGGTAACATTTGGGATCTTTCCTTGAGCGAACTGTTGAAAATACTGTTAGCTCACATTGTTTGATTTGTTTAAATAGCCAATTTCCTACCACGCTTGCTGAGAAAGCACTAATAAGGAAAAAGGAGTGCAAATTCATGATCAAAATCTTTTTTAAAAAAAAGTGATACGTCTAGTTGAAACTAAGCTGTAACGAATTATATGTGCCTTTGGAGATGGTCAGACAAGGGGAAGTAATATATGACAGATGCGAGTTGAGGTTGAACCGTAATTGAAAAATGATGTTCAACCTCAGGCTTTAAATAGTTCTCAGTTCATTAGAAAACCGGGCACCCAAATCCTCAATCTCACTCATCTGGTTAGATTCTGGCCTAGAAGTCAGAAATATCATGGCTATGTTCATAGAATAAGGTGAGATGAATTAGGGCCTAAATAGGAGAGTAGGAGGAAAGAATTTTCCTCACCCTCTGTTTGGCCCACCAAGACCAGCCATGAAAGGCCCACCGGGCTCCCATGTTTCTTAATATTGTGTAATATAATACTGCTCATCTTATTTACAAGTTCTTCATTCGCTCGATTGTGGGCTTGTAATGCACAGCTAGAATAGGAAATCATCGCTAATCCAATTTTGGAAATTGCATACGAGACCCACCAGAACAACCGTTACCTTCTCAACCATCTGTCCAACAAACAATTATTTCAGGATGCATGTAATTTTAATTGTTCATACCTTACACCAGAGCTTGGTCTTACTAACTCGTGACGTTTTCCAGAAATGGTTCGCTCGCATGGCTTTTCCAACTTTAGGGTTAGGGCTATCGGATCAGCTTGATAGATTTTTCTGGTCTCTGGTTGCAGATCCATCCAGTTGGCTCTTTGGAAACCTTTCTGGGGTAGAAATATGTAGATCTCATTGATAGAATTCGGAAATATCGACGTTCAATTCGGTTGTGACAGAAATCCAGTGCAAGTTCAGGGGATGATCATTTATAGAACGAGGTTGAGAGGCTTTGGTATTTTTAAAAAAAGGTATTTATATTTAGCAGTGCTATGTTAATTGGTTGGTCACTAACTACTCTGTCCTTATTAATCAACATAGAAGAAGCCGTTAGAGTCATGTATTTTCAGAAGAATCATGTTAGCATACCTGAGAATCTTTCCTAAATTTCCATTCAGGGACACTTTCATGTGTTTTTATTCCCACTTCTTAACTATAAACAAATATTATAGACTAGAATAATCACAACGCGTCATCAATGCCGTCATTCCAATGAACTCTCCTCTGGTTGCTCCGTCTAGAGGGCCCAGCTACATCAATCTCCATATTATCACCCATATCCGAATCGACATCGCCATCCGTATCAACATCCATATCGACGGCCTCGGTGTCTAGCTCAGTTGCTGTAGTTGGCGACATCCTCAGCCCTTGCTCTCGTTCCGCTCCACTCCATCTTTGTATTTGTTGCGGTACTTGTTGTCTTATCGCCCTTGTCGGTGGCAACGCAGGCGGTGATTGCGACGGTCTACCTCCACTCGTTTCACTCGCTCTTCCAGCGAGTTGTTCCTGTTCAGGTGTTCTAGCCCTTGACTTGCCCTTTTTCCGCAGGGAGCTACTCGGTGACTGCCGCGACGAATGTGAAGATGCTACATTCGACCGCTTTCGAATACCCATTTCCCATCCATGGGAATCATCCGCCTCGACAACGTCGATCACATTGTTGGGGATAGCGCCTCCCTGAATCGCTCCAATGTATTCTTGGGCCTCCAATCTTCTTTTCAAGGGCATAACGGTTCTGGCAGAAGGCTTTCTGTCAAAAGCAACATTTAGAGCAGCCTTTGGATCATCTGGTTCAATAATTTGTGCTAAAAAGCGTCGTCGTGTGCGCGGCATGGATTCATTAGATGCCAATACATGAAGCATGAGGAGCTCTTTGGATGCTAGAACGCAATGTGCCGTATTTTTGACTTCGCGAGCGTGAGTTCGCATTCGATTTTTCTGGTTGGATGTAGCTTCGGGTATTTGAAGCCCATTGTTTGGGTCATACCGGTGAGTCGAGGCTTGTCCTGGTCCAGCATGTGACGATGACTCTGAATCAGTATCTCTGTGGTGTGCAGTTCTGCTATTATGGACCATATAGCCAGTTCCTGATGGATGGTGCGGCCTCGGCATTTTGCTTTCGAAATATCGCGTTTAATTTCTTGATCTTCTGCTTTTCCACGCAGACGTAGAAGAAGCTGACCTTCCCAAAAACAAATATAGGGCTTCTCTGATATGTATTCTGGTTCAAAATAACATCAAAGAATGCCTTCTGGCAATGCAGTTGATTAGCTATGAACAATATCGGTGGAGATCTAGGTAGGGTCTGTGTTCATTTCAGATCCTTTCCATGGAAATTCGTGATTTTTCGTCCGTATTCATATGCTTGTTCGACAACGTGGTGTTCGAAGCTCCAGAAGTGGGGTCTGGATATGCTTTAACGGAATATTGACCAAAACTAAGCGGCCCATATAGTTTTCTTTTGGTATTTACGTCGCAAATGGACTGGGCATTGTCTCACGCATGAGACGGTGTAAGATAATTCCAGATACTATTATCATTTCGTGTTTAGCTGTTGATTAACAAAGCGGGAGACGATGTGGCGCCGTCGGCGTGGACACATTGGAAGATGTTTGTCTTGTTTGCAAGTACTGCATCCGAGGCCGTCATTGGCTGGTTTCTGCAGTTATAACATCTATGCAAACAATATGATTAGAAAGTCTACAACTGTATTTTTGAGGTTGTAAGATGATGGGCATATGAATATTTGGAATGGACTAGATTAAGAATCCCATTGGTGAATCTAACCCAGAGAAAACAGTAATGCAACATGTGAATAAAAGATAGACCGAATGAGCGAAACGCAAAATCATCAACTTTGCAAATAACACAGCTATGCATGAGGTGCACGATATGAACGAAGGAATTGTTACTTCGTTATTTCTTTCGTCCGCACATATGTATACAAGATGACAGAAGCACCTCCAACGCCAAAACTCAATGCCGCTGATCAAGATTCGCACAAAGCACTTGGGAGCCGCAAGCAAGGAGTTAGAAATAAGAAATCTATCGAGTTTGAGAAACCTGTCAATCGACATTTCGATGTATATCTAGCGATTTAGTTGACGGTAGGATAGAATTGGGTAAAAGACCCCCCTTTATAAAGAGAAGTCTAGTTTTGGCATCCGTGGACAAACGAATTTTCAGGCCAGTCGTACGCATCAGACCTAGAGAACATCAGTATATGAAGGTTATCTAAACGTGATTTGGCCTCACCAGAATGTCAAATTAGGATTATGATAGGGCTCCGGGTGATTTTTGATGTACTCAGTAGTAGGATATCCTTCAGGGTCACAAGTAATGCTGATATTGTTCGGGTCCTGATAGATCCGTACGTAGTCAACACGCATAACAGCGGGAAAGGTCGTGGCTAGTGAAGTCCAGTTTATCATTGCAAAAGTAGGCGAGATACCGAAATTTAGAATTGGGTACATGGGCTCCATAGGGATAACTCGCTGGCCGATATTCCCATTAGGTCCGACTGCTCGAGCGTCCATTGTCCACGTTTTGTCACTACCGACAAACCATGTAACATCACCTTCAGCGCCTGGAGTGTACTCAAACGCGTAAATTTGATACTGTTTCCCATTATACCAGTCATTGTTTAGGTTTGTTAATCCTGATGCTACTTCCTGAAACGGACCTCCGCGGTAGCTGTTGATGGAAGTGATCCTAGGGTCGTATACCGCCGTAAAATCTAAATCTATTAGAAGAGATTGAAGTATTTAGGGGAACGCACTTACCGTAATTTGGCATATACCAAATATCGTATGGTGCAAGTTGCAAACTCTGGGATACAACGCCAATACGATTCTCCAGCTGGTCCAAAACGGTCACACTGGCTTCAATAACATCAATTTCAGGTGCTCCTCGTGACTTTCCCGGCGATGGATGATCAGTTCCCGGACACGAACACGCAGGAAGTCTCATGCCAGGTAGATAGCTTAGCCCATCTGGAGAGCTTTGGTTGGGCGTGATCCCAACGTCACATTTATCATGGTAGCTATACGGCCACATTCCATCAGTTGTTGCGGCGTATCCTGCACGGCCAAGATTTCCCATAGCCCAGAATCCCGGCCAAAATCCAGATATGTCGCCCTGTCCAGGAAGTGATATACTGGCTTCCAATCGACCGCCTGAAAAGCACATCTTATTCCAAGACTGTAACATGCCAGAGCGATAGTGAAGATTATGGTTGTTGAAAGAATCAAATCGAATCTCCAAGACACCGTCCTTGGTTGTGATTGCGTCAGGGTCGTACCACTAAACAGGTCAGCCCATCCTAATTAATGTGTCGGACCTCATACCTCGAGATCTTGTGTCACTCCGTACCACAAGTCTACGGCTTGGAAAAAGGGATCGTCCCCATCGTAAAATGTTCTACCAGGGTCATTGAATTCGTCGGAAAACTAAAACAGTTAGAGAAGCAAACAACGTTTAATGTCAATTCAAACCTACAACTAATTTCCACTCCGTTCCATCAGTTGATGTCTTCGTCATTGCTGACTCTGGAGTTGTTGGGTCTATTAGTCCAGTTCGTAGATTCTTAAGTAATGGCCTGTCATAGGGTAAACATAACGGATCGTTGCTGCATGGGTCGATGTGTGGCTCGATGAGTCTTCCGACAAAAGTGCTATAATCACTTAGTTTGACATTCCACCATAATTCGACAGGCTTTTCATACGTAACCGGGTAAATTATAAACAAGGCGACAATACCAATCGTTAAAAAAGCAAGCCCACCGATATTGAAAACACCTCGCGTGTTACACATATCGCACTCTCGCTCTCTGTCGGCCGAATCAGGGTTATGGAGATAGTCATCTTTTTCGACGTCTTCGGGAAACAAAAGCAAGTTTTCTGTCGGCATAATGTTATACTTTTCCGAGACTGTTTGTGTGTTGACATTTTCGTCATCGCTATCAGCACGAGAAGGGCTTCTGGAATCTGCAAATGGGTCAAAAGTATAGACACGGCTGTCACGGCTGCCGGCTTCTGAGTGCGAATCCCAGCTGGTCCGTCGGTATGAAATTGCAGAAGCCAATGTGGAACGGTCTGGACTTCCTCGTGAGCGTACTTTTCTAGGGGGAGGGAAAAGCAGCTCTGAAGAATCAGTCGGTGATATAATTGGAGGCGATATAATCGGTGGAGATGGAAGTGCAGGCTCTGTGGCAACCACTGTTGATGTCCTGTTTATTGGAACAAGAGACCGATGTGATTGACGAGAGTGATGAGATTGCACGGATTGTATAGATTGTATTGATTGAACGGATCGATGAGATCGGTTTGGCGCCTGATCAGTCAGCTCTTGAGATCCTTCTTCCAAATCAACGAACGGCTCATAATGCCCCGAGTTGAGCCGGATATGAGGAGTCGTCCGAATAGTCAGGTTGTTGTCTGTGTCTTCCGCCATGTTGTTCTGTTTCCACGTCTCCTTTCAGGTTATATTGGAACAATCAACACTGAATGGTTCTGTATGTAGATTAATATACCTTGACAATTCCAGTGCACGTCAAGATCTGTCCTTATTCAACTCAGAAACGACCAGCACGGACTGCTCCTATTATCCAAGTCTAACGACGAAGCCGGCTGATCTCAAATCATAGCACCAGCATTGAACATCCTCAATCCTCCACTGTCTGCAGGGGCCAAAACGAGCGAATGAAAAAAAATACTAAGCGAGGTAAAGACTGACGAAAACAAAACCAATATGTCGAAAGCACAGCCTAATCCCAGTCAAATTGTTCATACAATTGACGGGTTAAGTCGTGTTGTTGCACATAAGAATTACCTCGAAAAGAAAGCCAGTAGATAGCAATACCAGCAAACAAAACCGGGTCACCACGGTATTTCGTCCAAGACAGAAGATCATCGAGGCATCTAGGGCATCCAATAAAGCTGTATAGTTGGCGGGGCAAGCAACAGCGCTGGAGCCGGAGAATGTTATGGCGGCATGTGCGCGCAATGAATGAAAGGCAAGCGGGTCTGTAAGCCAACCTGGAATGACAGAAGTTTCCGATATTGTTTCAAGGAATTGATCATCAAAAAGGAATACTTTCCTCTGAGCACATACATGACTATCAACATCACAACTCCGGGAATTCTAATAAAGAACCAAACGTTGTCGCTTCAGAGCTAAATGCTACTATCACTAGACGGCAGTAAGGCATGACAAGACTTCAGGTTTATGCATTTATTCTGTTTGGAACAGACTGGGTGGGTGGAGGGCATCATTGCACGAAGAATTCAGTTGCCGCATGAGCTGTGGAATGCAGCTCTTTGACGTGTGCAGGGCAAACCGGTAATCAAGGGAAGCTCAATGGGATGAGACATTCAGACAGTCAGCTACATGCGGTCTGTATTACAATTCTACCATTTTGCAGTTTTTCATCATTTAATTTCTCTATAATATCAAGTATCAAATGTCCCCAAGCTTCAATGCTGGTCAAGTATTTGCATTCACTCAGTTCTTCGTGTGGTTACCCTTTTCTGAGATCCGGAAAGAATAAAATTCAATAAAATATTATAGTCACCCTGGGATGAGTGGAATATGTTCACAGTGACAACTATTTCAAGTAGCAAAATCATCAATTCTCGGCCCTGGCTACCCAGCTCGTAAAACTAAGACATCAACGACTGTAGATTTGAGACAAAATATCATATTAGAATGCAAAAGAAAAGCCAAGGGAAGAACAATATGATTTTCGGTCAAGAATGGCTGATTTTCAGGTTTTGTCGGTCCAGAACGTTGTTTGACCCTTCGTCCTGCAAGGGGTGCTGATAGTTGGCCGTACAAGTAGAGCCGAAGGGAAACCCGGCCCACGACCTACAACTATCGAGTTATTTTGTTAGTTTTGCTAGGATATTATAAGATGTTTATTCTTAGAATAAAAATCCAAGTGACTACGTCATTGAGTTGATGCTATACTTGTTATTAGTACCTAGTCAATAGTCAACTATGGGCGATCAACCATATCAAGTGCCGCCGAACGACTACCTAACTTTAGATTTGCTTCGAAGATGAAAGTGATACTATATAATATTTTAAGTAAAATTCGTAATTGAATTAATATTATTTCCGGAGAATTTTCTTTGGCTGATTGAATGGGGCGACCTCAACATATCAATGTCGCGGTTAGATGACCTTCTACACACATGTAATTAATATAAATCACAATCTTAAAATAACTGATTGAAATTAGAATTTCTTAATAACTAAAGATTTCGCATCTAATTTGTCTTTTGGCATGAAACGATTTAGAAGAAATTTTGGATTATGACGCTCGGGAATTTAAATATATATTTCATGCTCACCAGTTGCTGCTAATGGCACGGAAACATACACATCAAAGTAGTCAACGGTTGATTTCGCTGTCGAATCTCAAACAACATTAATTCCTACATTATCGTACATATCAATTGATGTATCATTACGTAGAAATAATTGTCAACATCGCACTAACTAACTTAATTATGGGTGTTTTATGTAACATTTGAACATCATTGATGTGAGCTCTCTCAGCGTCAAGTGCATGTAAATGTAGCCAGTCAAACATGGATATATCAGATCAATTGACGTATGAGTCTACGTATGTACATGTACTCTTAGCCAAACACAACTCCTCCCTGCGCTATACAGAAATATAATAGTACCTAGTTCCAGTGTCATACTCCAAAATCACCTCACTCTCCATCATGCCGACATCAATAACGACCTGCTGCCACAAATTCATCTCATAAGCCTCCGCTATCTGCCCGGGCGTCACGAGTCCACACAAATACCGCGCACCACTACCGCCAGTCTCCGTGCCTTGTGCTAGACCATCCTGGTGTCCATTTTCCGCTCGATCAACTACGAAATTCACACCGTCCCGTACAGCCTCAAGTGGGGAAAGGATAACTGCCAATTGTGTCCGTTCCGACGTTTTGAGCGCTGGGTCGCTGTCGCTATGAGCCCAGCTAACCACCATACCCGGGCGAATGCGGTCTTTGAATGGCACTGTAGCAGCGGAAGGAGATAAATCCCGGCTTGAATATCCGCTTAGCTTTCGACTATCAGGGGTTGACTCTGCTGATTCATTCAGACTATCACTCGCACGTTGTGAGTCAATATGCATCTGCCAGAGCTTGGAGCGGAAGGCCTTGGCTTGCCCGGCGCTGACACCGGGGGTCTTAAGGCATCGATTCTCAAACTCTTCCGCCGGGAGATGCAGGAGTTGGGTGCCCGATTCGGTAGGTGCAAGGATAGAGGACTTGATTGGGGGGTAGCCAGACTATTTAGGACAAAATGTCAGTATATGCACTTGGCCTAATCGTAAAGAACTTACGTTCTTCGCAACCCACTCCTTCAATTGTCTATTCGTCCATGACATTGGAGCTCGCGGGTTAGACTCTGTCTTATCGGCCATCCCAACCGGCACCTGCACACGCAGCATCTCGGCATATCGGAGCGTGTTCTTGCTTGGACTTACATCGGCAAGACTTGGGTTTACGCAGGCGATTACAACCGTCCTGCACACACGACTGCTTGCAGGGTCGAAAACGTGTTTCAAGACCTTCGTCAGCGCGCTTTGTCGGAACGGCACTCGCGGTTTGTTTCTGGTTTGCTTTGATTTGGAGGATAGCGAATATGCATATGCGTCGGATTCAACCTTACCCCGTATGCAGTCTTTCAACACCGACAGACTCATGTTGATCTCGCGTGTCTCACGCATGCGGTCGGCTCCGTGTACTGCGACGTCACGCGCTGCTTCGGACCCGGCCAGGTCGACGAGATATAAAAGCCCTTCGGAGGCTGTCGCTGGGTCCTTGATGCGGATACGACATATGCCGTGGGAGCGCGACGAAGCGTCGTTCTTCTTCGTCGGTGCCGTGCGTCTGAACGACGCCGCGCTGTCAATTAAATTCATGACCTCGGCTCTATCCTGCACGAGGTGCTCGGTTGCCCCGGCCAGTTGAGTGACTCCAAAGGAATCTTCGAGGATGGAGATCGGCTTGCGGGAGCTGAGTAAGTCGTAGGCAGAGTTTCCGGCAAGATCGATGATGGTCATGTAGACTTCCCTAGTGCCGTCAAGGCCAGTGTCTTTGGCCATCAGCGACATGGCGACGAGTTTCTCGAGTTGGCTGACGGTGAAGGTCTTGCCAGAGCCTGTCTGGCCGTAGGCGAAGAGGGTCCCAATGCCGCCATTCCAGGCGAAGGGGACGAGGTTGGCTACGAGGTTGTCGTAAATATCCTCGGTGGTCGCCTTGGGTGTAAAGAGTCTGTCTACCTGGTATTTGGAGGACTATTGTAGCATTGGCATTATTAGCATGGATTTAAGGGTCAAATATTCATATCGAACATACCCTCAGTACTGGCCGTCCCCTGGGATGATTATATAGATCGTGGAGGTCAACAACACCACTTTTCTCTGACCGAGGGTATACAGCACAGGGAAAACCAGCTGCAATGTCTTCATTCAACAACGGCCTGATTCGTGCACTGACTATCATGTTCGAACTCGATAGTTCAGTGGACGGTTTTTTGGTCTGAGGCGCAGACACATTTGCACTCCTTGTGTTGTTGAAGGCCGCAACTAGATTCTGGTACAGAGCATTGTTTTCAAGGTAGAATTTGTCCATATTGGGCAGTATATCGCAGCTGTTAAAATGCTGCACAGAAAGCACTGTCTGGACCGATGGTTATTTATGTTGATTATTTATGTTGAACTTGTGACACGTTCGATGTGGTGACTGCTGCCTGGTGTTTGTTTGTTTATGTTGCCCTTCGGTCGGCATCAGAATGCGAAACACATACATGTAACAACAGGTCGGTTAACTGAATAAACGATGAATAATGTTCAGATTTCTACTGATCAAAGATAATATTTTGGATCTAGCGACATGTCTAATTGCTTACTAGCACCTATCAACGAATCACGTGACACCGCGACGGGACGCGATAAATAAGGTAATAACTTCGACATGAATTTTAACATGGTAAGCTGTATCTGCAGGTAGATCTATCGATCTAGTTGATCCAACAACTATGTGCATTCTTGCATGACAACATGGCGTGACGTTGTGGGTATAACCTCAAAAACCAAAACAAAAGAGCCGCCGTACGCCATCCGTTTATAACCCACACAAATTAACGATGCAATAATTTCTGTATGCTAGGATGCGAACAAAAGAGAGTTTAAGCAATCATCCTCAGTTCTCTATACATAGCCTGCTCTGGCTGAACGACATCTTCCTTCTCATACAGAACTTCCGCCTTGACTTTTCTCCGGAAGATGTATCGCTTGACAAAGTACGGGATCTGGCGCAGACCCCATGCCGCATGGAAGCGGGTTGGTACGGAGAAGACCTGGTCGAGTTCTTCGAGAGTCTTGCCCTTTGTCTCAGGCATAAACATTAGTATGAGCCACCATCCAATCACGTTCCATGCACCGTACCAGGCAAACCCGCCGGGAGTCGAAAACGCGGCTGATAAGGACGGCCATGTGATGGCGAGAATAAAATTGAAGAACCAGGTGGTTGCTGTTGCCAGAGACATCCCGTACGATCGGACGTACAGTGGATAGGCCTCTGCGGAATAGGTGAACGGAACCGGTCCTTCTCCTGGCGAGTAGACTACACCGAACAGGAACATGCCCAGGGATATGCATGCTAGGCGGGCCGTATGGTGAGTTTCTGGTATCCAGAAACTAAAGCCGGTAAAAAACATAAAAAGCGCCATGAGGGGAAATGTCGACAAGAGTAGATTACGGCGCCCAAATGTATCGATTGTGTATATAGCTGGTATGGCGAAGAGCCAGTTGACAACGCCAAACCCTAGGGAAGCACTGAAAGCGGAAATGGGCGAAAAGTTCGCCTGCAAGAATATTTCTGACGAGTAGTAGGCAATGACATTGACGCCGCAGAACTGACATCAGGGTTAGCAGGGGATAACAACAACCAATATAAGTATAGTACAAGTTGAACTCGGGTACAAACCTGCTGCAGAAACATAACCAACTCTGACGCAATTAAAGCACGGCGATTTCGAGGCACGGAAATCAACTCTACCAACTTCTTCTGGCCAAGTTTCATGCTCGTCTCGGCTTCGAGCAGGGTGTAAATATAGTAAACATCTCGCGCTGCCTGTAGCTTCGTGTAACGGAGCCGACACATCGATTGATACGCCTTGTCGAAACGGCCTTTGCTCATGTACCAGCGCGGTGACTCGGGACAGAAAAATACCAAAAGCAAGACAATCAAAGCGGGGAACATTGCTGAACTCATCATCAGACGCCAATTGAGCCCGATAATATTTGGCGGGTCAGGGACTTCGAAAAAGGCTAGATCTGCCGCATACCCAAACATGATGCCGAACGCTGTCCACATTTGCCATTGCATCACCAAGGCTCCTCGAATGGCCGGTGGACTCGACTCCGCGGCGTAGATGGGCACTGTTGCGGATTTCGGACCGATACCAAATCCCAGGACAAATCGGGCGATGAACATGTGCCACCAAGTGTTGACACAGCCCTGCCAGACACAAGCCAGTGTCGAGATGACACACGTAATGAATATCGTACCCCGTCGACCGAACCAGTGGTTGAATGGAATCGTCAGCCAACAACCCGCCAAAGCACAACACAGATAGGGCGCCGAGTTGAGCAGGCCCACCAGCCAGGTCGAGCGAGCATCGGCATTACCAATGCCGAATTGATACTTGTAAAGGACCTGTGCCCCATTGACCACCGTCTCGTCTATGCCAGTCAGAAAACCACTTCACAGAAGCAAACAAAGTCACACATACCCATTCCCTGGACAGCCGCGCAGATCGAACATATCACAATCACCACATACATCAGCGGCGGCTGAGACCACCGGTTCGTGAACTCTTTGCGCAGCACGCGCAGCTCATTCTCCGTCAAGCCCTCGATTTCCTCGAACTTCTCGGGAGCCTGGGCCAGCACGGCGCCCATCTCAAAGGCCCTGATATCCTCCTCGTCGCCCATCTGGTGGGTGATGCTAAATCGGAGACCCTGCTTCTTCAGCTCGTCGTGCGTGTAGCCGGCGAGAGGGTTGGCGAGTTTGGCGTTGAGATTGCGCCTCGCACGTTCGGCAGCTGTGAGATGCGAGCGACGGGGCGTGAAAGTGTCTTGCTGGGCGACATAGTCAATGTTCTCGGCATGCAAGGCTCTGCCGCTCCCTGTGGAGCTCTTCCCATCGGCCATAGTGAAGCAGCTGAACCTGAAGCGCATTGGAGAGGTTCTTCACGAGGTCGCCATGAAGGAAGCAGGAGAGGACGGAAAGAAGTCACCACCAGGGCGGGGTAACGCCTTATGCCCAACCAGCTGGGGCGATTGTCGAGTCAAAGAAATGGCGCCGCTTGATGTTTTTGTAGGAGGCTAATTAGTGGGGAGTGGAAGAAAGAAAGGAACAGGAGGCTGTCATATACTGAGATTCCAACTAAGGTTAATAATAAGAGTGGCGGTTGCGAAAGAGGCAGTGGAGCAGGACTATATGCTAGTATCGAAAGAGTATACATACAGGATATACATTCAGTGCAGTCCGTCCGGACTCTGGGGATGTGCGGAATATGGATGGTTATACGTATTAGTAATGATTCATGCAGCACTTGAACTAGTGAGCTGGTAAGCACTGCGACGAAGCAAGTTAGCGGAGGTCGCTGTCAGGCCTATGACACACCGCGATGTGTTGGGGTCCTTGGGGAGCCTCGTGTAATTTGCGAGTCAGGAAGATGAACAAGAGATTAATCATTATTTTATGGGCCTGATTCGCGCTGATTAGCCTGCATAGCAATTGGCTTGGCGAAGCGTGCCCGATGGATACATGGTATTTCGTCGAGACAAGTATTATACGAGGATGAATTTGATCATAAAGTAAATAATCACAAAAAATAATACATGAAATAATCACACAGTGAACAGTAGGTAATACGTAATAAATAATAATAATAGTTAGGTAGAATAAGAGAAATGAATAAAGAAGAAGAGGGGGGGCATGTGTCCTTCCAGCCCGCTTCGAGAACAATTCAAAGTTTGGTGGCGCCTGGGGGCCAGACTCACATGACCTCGTGTATACATTCAAATGGATTTGTATATTCACGTATGTATATAATAATGTATAATATATATATAAACATATATATATTAATGTTGAATAGGAGTCAATTGTATAGTTAATAAATATGCAGTGAACTGTAGCAGGTAGACACCCTGTGTGGTATGATGTATGCACATGGAGCTGTCAGCAGTAAGATGATGACGATATAATTGATCGATGCACGAGTCGGAAGCCTCGGAGAATATCCTGACACACGTGGTATTGTCTGTATTATACCCCAATTCGAATTGCAAACCTGTTATGCGTAGTATCCAGGCTCAGATTATAGGAGTATTGGATTATTGGATATTTTTATTGTGTTACGGATGGATGCAAGTAATTAGATCACCAGTACTCAATACGAAACAGCACCGCATCTCAGCTACAAATGCATTATAACAAAAAGCCTCCCAGACCGACCAGACAAAAAAAAAGAACTTGAACAAAGAAACTTCGAGGCCTCGACCAGGCTATCACAATCCGGCCGTTAATTCAGGTCGCACAATAACAAGCCCACTCCTAGCCCGCATACAATTGTAGTATTGTTCATGCGCTGACTGAGTATCGTTGCTCGACTAACACCGCCTTTATCACACTGACGGCTCGACGGGCCCTCCCGCCAGCCCGATTGATAAAAAACTCATAGAAATCGGATTCATTATTCGCATGTGCTTTGCTCGCGACGTCTATTTTGAGGTCTAGAATCAAGAAAGAATGCTATCGCCAAAAGAATATGGATGAATAGATATGCGCTGCGCACGAGCCCTAGGGTCAAGACGCGGAGCCCTACCATTGTCCACCGGGCATATAATGAGCAGCGGAGTTGTGGAAGAACAGAATTGATTGTTATCAGAAACTCGCAGTGAGGCAGAAAGTCAAGGGCGAATCAAGGTAGCATCGACTAGGAGAGTTGTTGGCTGAAGACAGTCACGATCAGCACCGGTCACCTCAGGTATAAGCAATGTATATGTGAACAGATGAATGCTTACTCCTTGGGGGACGGCTGGTTGCCATTCGCTTCGGCGTGCTTTGGATACGGCGACGATGAGAAGGGCAGCCAGAACAAGTCGCGAATGAGCCACACAATGTACAGAATGCCGAGCACATAGAGATAGGCGACGATCTTGTACGTCGACGACCGCCAGGTCACTCGACGTGTCAGTTGATGGCCATACGGGCTCTCGATCGGGCCGCTTCGAGCCATGTGGGAAGAGGCCTCTCCGTTGAGGAGTTGACAAGCGTGGACGGAGTTTGGAGCTGTCGTTAAAGTTGGATCAATTTGCGATGGGCCACGCCGCCACATGGTGGTTGACAACGGCCAGCAATGAATTGTTTGTCCCGCGACACGCGAGGGCGATGATTTATTTGTCTAGGTTCGGCAGGACGAAATGAAAAACTAAAAATTTTTGTTCTTTCTTTGGTCGCTGAAAAAGCAGAGTTAGCCTCATCAACGGCCCCTCTCAGGAGCATTTAAACCGGAGCACGGCCGCGTTCGAAATTGGCTCGCTTGTGTCCGTTGTGTGCGTGCTATCTGTTTCGCGTGAGTTTGCTCGCCTCTTACAGGCGGCGTGCAGCTGTGCAACCTGCAAGTGATCGAAATCTCAGCTCGATCGAGACCAATGAGCAGCGTCACGGAGCAGCAACAGTGGGTGTCGAATCCACTCTGGGAAGGCTGCAGATCCAAGGGGAAGGGCTGCCAGCCGAAAACAGTTAAGGCAGAGCTGGTGGTGATGATGATGAAGTCGCCGGCGGAGCGGACGACGCAAGATGGCGGCCGAACTGCCGAAGGTCGTACTCGACAATACTATCACCTACCCACCGGGAGGCAATAATAAGAATAATATGATATAAGAAATACTAATTGACAGGGGGGCCGCAGGACGACAGCAAATCAATCCCAGCAGTAATATGGAGTAGTCAAGGCGACCAGGGGCAATGCGACAGTGACGGTGCGACGAGCGGTGTCCAGGGCATCGCTTGCTGGGCTGGTGCAGATACAATCAGCCTCCCTCGGCTAGCTTGTGCACTTTGCCAAGTTCACTTGCAGGGGAGAAATTCGCACTCAGTATGCACCGCTGGTATACCGGACGACTGGGTTGTCCTCAGATTAGATGGAGATGCGAACGCTTCAATTGACCCTGGGCTCGCCTGTGCGTCACTAGAGGATGAGGAATAGCTGCAATCACACAAAAATAAACATCATGTCATGTAATCAGAACAAAAATAGAACGATGCAGCGAAGAACGAAGATCGCGATCCGCTGAGGATGGCGAGGGGAAGCCACGGAACTAGCCTGAGCGGAGGTAGCCAGGCTGCACCGCGGCAGAGAGCAAGGGCCACCACGGTAGTTTAGGTTGGTATCAGATTTGCTGCATTGCGGTGCTCCAGAGCTTAGCGACGAGGAGAGAGCAGTGGGCGAGCAGCATCAGCAGCGAGGAGGGAAGTTAGTTAGGCTAGAGAGCGAGCGTGAGCGCGAGCAAGCGAGGGCCAGCAGTCTACGAGTTGGTTGGTTGGAACTGATAACGAATACCGTATAGTACACCGACAACCGCCGCATTTGCAGGTTGGCACGCGGCAGGCGCGTAAAATACGGTATAGGCCACGGGCCGGGCTCAGCTGCGCATGCGGGGTCTGGTCTGGGTTCTTTTCTTCGCCTTCTCTCTCTCCCTTCTTTGCGTCTTCCCTTTGCGTCTTCCCTTTGCGTCTTCCCTTTGCGTCTTCCCTTTGCGTCTTCCCTTGATATATCGCTTGCAGATCCTGTGCATCTTCTGCATCCTCGTGCATTAGCATCTGTATGGGATCTCCTCCCTCTGTCGACGCCCTCCGCGCATGTCAGAACGGTCAATTGAGAATATCGTCAACAACAATGCTAATCTTGGCCCACAGCGACCGGCCCGCCGGCGCGAGGTTCCGGCCGCCTTACCAGTTGACGAGCTGATTTTACTGGCGCCTGCTCGGCCAGTGAGGCCGCAGGGAACCGTGGATTGGGTAGCATGATCGACAGCAGCATCCTCAATACCTCTTTTTTTGGCCAGTCGCAGGCGCCACTTCCTACTATTACCCTCGCTACCGATGATTGCCCGCCCTGCCGTGGGTATATGACTGGACATGAATCATGACGACCACTTCTTACTTCTTCCTTTTTCCTCTGTAGGACATATATGTGTACTGCCGTGCAGACCAGCAAGACATACATAAAGACATGTTCTTTATTAAGAGCGACAGACGTTCACTGACGGCAACCTAGTTGCTCACTATATCTTGTTCGACTTGCCCCCTCTGAGAATATTTATATCTGTTCAGATCAACCACTGAGGATTGGCATTGAATTGATGCGGTGAATGTCGATAATCTACCCCGAAGATCGTCCCTCTTGGCGGCTGCCATGCTTACTATTTTTACAGCAGGCGTAATGTTGAACACAAAGAGTCTGCATTGGCAAATACAATCTGAGCCGAGCCAAGCCCGGAACTCATTTCGGCCTCATGAAGCAGCCTGGATTCGGCGTGCAGCTTACCTTGGCACACCGAACACCGCCCTGTCTGATATGATGCTGGCCAGATACTGCCCAATAGGAACGAGAGGGATAGAAGTCGGCAATCATGTAGATTGACTTTGTCGAATCACCCTCTTTATCGACAGGTCACGTGCCTCGGGCGGGCGCAGAGCTAACTATGCTGACTATCATGCTCAGTCATCGGATTACCGGAACTATTAGCTGGGCATATATTTATATTTATATTCAATATTTTATATTTGATAATTTTTACCATATATATATATATATATATATACACACACACTTGGAAGCTGTCGCGTATTTAATACTGTATCGGTGACTCACGCCTGTACCTCGGCAGCCGCACGTCCTGCCCCCGCGGGGAAAGCTGCCCGTTTTTGTCCGAGCAAGCAAGTGACTCAGACTCAACAGTCGTTCTTAAATATTAAATTAATAGCTTCAGACACCCTAGCCATCGAGCACGCGACACCATTGAATGTGCCAGCACTCCCCGCGCTTGAGTTATCCCCAGTCAATTGTTTAATTGTCTGCGCGCAGGCCTGAGGGCCTGACAGCGATTGCTCTGGACACCATGTGGAAGGCCTCCGACAAGCTGGCCGCCACCATCAAACACTATGCGAGCTTCCCCGCAACAGGCGTCTCGCTGCGCCAGATGGTGCAATTCGGCGAACGGCCATCGCCAGGTTGGTGCATCTAATCCCCAGCCAGAGCTCTGTATGGGCAGTCGCTGATTGTGTGCAAGGCACCTTGTTCCGAGCATCTCAGTTCCTGTCTGAAGAACTGCCGATCCGTTTAGCCCACCGCGTGCAAGAGCTGCACGACCTGCCTGATGGGCTCAATGAGATGCCCTCAATCAAGAAAGTGCGCGACTGGTACGCCCAGTCGTTTGAGGTGCGCCGGCAGTGTCGTTCGTGCAGATCCAGCTTGCTGACTACACACAGGAGATCATCAACGTCCCCAAACCGTCCTTGAGCCAGGAAGTCAAGGCCCTTTTAATGCGCCCTATGAAGAGTAACGGCGAGTCGAAAACACTGAGCAAAGTAACGTGGAATCCAAGCGTCAAGGAAGGCCAATACAGATCATCCCCGACATCCATCAATGGAAGCGCACATGCCGACCCGGTCATAACAAGTAACGGCAAGGTCAAAATCGCTGCGTCGCGACGCTACTTTGTTCCCTCGGATGACCGCATACAGTGGCCGCCGGAGATTGACGATTTCAACCAACGCTTCGGCCAGACCTTGAAACAGATCAAACGAAGGCACGATGGCGTGGTGACGACCGTGGCACAGGGAATTCTAGAGTACAAGCGCAAGCGTCAAAGACTACAAATAGACTCGAGTATACAGGCCTTCCTCGACCGCTTTTACATGTCTCGTATTGGCATTCGGATGTTGATCGGTCAGCATATTGCATTGACTGAACAAACGCATGCCCATCATCCAAACTACGTCGGGATCATCTGCACAAAGACAAACATTCACGAAGTTGCGATGGAGGCGATTGAAAACGCCCGCTTCGTTTGCGAAGACCACTACGGACTGTTCGAAGCACCCAAAATACAGCTGATCTGCAAGCGTGACCTGGATTTCATGTACGTGCCAGGCCACTTGTCGCACATGCTGTTTGAGACCTTGAAGAACTCGCTGCGTGCAGTTGTCGAGAGACACGGCGCCGAAAAGGAGGACTTCCCAGTTACAAAAGTCATTGTCGCCGAAGGGAGGGAAGACATTACCATCAAGATCTCAGACGAAGGTGGTGGTATCCCACGATCGTCAATCCCACTCGTCTGGACATATATGTACACAACCGTCGACCAAACACCTAACCTCGACCCCGACTTCGACAAGAGCGATTTCAAAGCCCCCATGGCCGGTTTTGGATATGGCCTACCCATTAGTCGATTGTACGCCCGGTATTTTGGGGGAGATTTGAAGCTGATCAGCATGGAAGGGTAATTCCCCCCCCGCGGCCCCCTTCACCCGTTCTTTACACCTAACCTAACTTAACCTCCCAGATACGGCACCGATGTATACCTCCACCTGAACCGGCTCTCCTCAAGCTCAGAACCACTCCATTGACAATCACCAGTCATGAGGGACGGTCGTGCCCGGTTTAACTCTTTCCATCGACTCCATCCGTATTACCCGGAGCCTGCGGAGTCTCTGCAGAAGCCGGCGTCCCAAGGATTGACTCTTATGAGCGCCCAGGTGCTGCGCCATCGACTGCGTAGTCGCGAGATCTCCGAACGAAAGCAAGTGAGCGATGTGGAATCTGTGTTGCATTCGTCCGGCGAGTAACGACAGTCATAGACCCGGCTTGTATATACTATACTACATACGTATACGTATGTATACGGCTGATTGGTTAACGACATGTTTATAAACCTGTGCAATGAACAGGTCATTACAGCGAATAGCGCTGGCTAGCATCGTTTCGTTATGAACGAGTGTACTATATTGGACATTGGCATATACCAATTTATTGTTTGCATTGTTACCATTTTGATCTATCATAACTATTCATTAATTATGCATTATTTACATGCAGTCTACACCCATTCAGACAGCAGTTGGACATGTAATTTTCACTTTCCGCATGCGAGAAAATCTCTCGGAACAGTCTGTGTGAAAACATTGTCATCATTATGGGTTCTCTGGCCAAATGTGGCACATGTGTTGTATTGTAGGGTAGAGGGTTATGCTCGCGGTCCGAAAAAAGAATCAATCCGCTGCTGGGTCTCGTCATGCTGCATACTTCCTATCCCACCGCGCGTGCGACGTAGGTCGTCGAGATGCGGTTTACTATCATGGGACAGCACCGTCATCGACCAGCCAGCCAGGGGGTAAGTGTTACCCCTGCCAACAGAGGCAGGAAGTAAAGGCTGCGCAAGGACAGATACCTCCATAAACCCAGTATTACTCCACATCGGAAAAAGTCCCTGACTCCTGGCAGCTTCGACCTCAGGGGCAAGTCGTACATCCGCCGGCGAGAACAACTGTGCCAAACAGCCCCATAACACGCGGAGGATCATACCGTGCGCGACGATGGCGACATCCCCACTGCCATCGAAAATGACAGGGAGTAGGTATTCGCTCAGAAATGCGTAGGCGCGGGCTCGCATGGAGGATTCTGTCTCCACTGCTACTGTTTTTGCTGGCTCTGAGGGGCGGACGGATGTATTATTGCTGCCCCGTCGAAAACTTGATCCTTCGCGGGATCCGAAATGCTGCTCTTGCAGCAACGGAGTCGTTACGGGCAGCAGGGATGGCCCAGCGCCTTGATTCGGCGATACGATGCCCTCCGCGGTGGCCACGGCTCGTTTGAGATCGGACGAAAACACGTGCGTGAAGTTGGCGTGCATGGCGACAAAGTACTGGGCAAGACGCTGGATCTGGAGGACGCCATGATTTGTTAGCGAGGAGTCTGTGGTGCCGGCCCTGTATGCGGGATTGTCAATGGCTTCGTAAACAATAATGATATGCTGCAGTCAAAAGGGAAAAGCTGTACCAAGCCTGTCCCACGTTGTCGACAGTCTCAGCATGGCGGATGAGAAAGATCTTCATCCTGACTCGTCGTTACATAGCTCTCGAAGCGAGATGCATTTATCTCTGAGAAGAATAAAAAGAGAACAAGAATAGATTGGCGTGTATTCCTGCGAGAAGAAAGGAGAAAGGGAAAGAGGGAAAAAGGAAACAGCAAATAATGACGACACCAAATCGGGCCTAGCAGCTAGTCCGAAATTTACATGCAAATTGCGGATCGGCCCGCCAATCACAGCAGCGCAAATCTAGAATTTACCCTGGTTCATTTTTTTTTGTAATTTTCCAGTACCAAAATCCCACCACGAAGAATGGCAGTCTGCAATCGCCGCCAATTGACTGGTTGGCTGCTACAACAAGGCCAGGCTCTGCTGATCGATGTGGCCTGACTGCATTGGCCTCGTCGTTCCTGGTGCTGCCCAGTTTTCGCTTTTCACCGCTCCCAGCCTGATTTAGAAGACAGCGAGGGAAAAGCACATGCTCTTGTTTGCTGAGAACCCTCTGTTGTTGACTGCGGGGCTCGGAGTCTCCTCTCACTAGAGCGGAAATTTTTTTGAGCCAAATAATAATCCTCAGGCAGAAGCGTGGGCTTAGGCCTGGTCTCGACACAACACTGAGGCTTCTTTCTGCATGACTGACGACTGATTCCCTTCGATAATCACATTATATTCTTAGGTACTTGACCTTATTCTTGTGTGGGCGAGACTAAGACCAGGGTCAATAGCGCGATCCTCACAATGGCCGACGCTGTCGAGCAGCCTGAACAACAACACCAGCAACCGTGGGCTAGTATGTGCGCCCTACCTGTTATTGTTGTTATTAACCTCGCTGAACGGTCAGCTCCCACCAAGCAGCCCTTCCAAAATGGCGTTCGCACCACCGGCCGCGCTTTCAACTCGTCCAATTGGCGCATGAAGACGGACGACAGCCCTGTCTCCCACCCGGCCAGCAACAACTCTCCGCGCTCGCCCTTCAACAGGTCATGGCAACAGACAGTCTCCCCAGCCATCACCGAGGGCCGCCGGCTCTATGTGGGCAACATGCCTTACATGGCCAAGAAGGAGGATGTCGAAACCATCTTCGCAGACGGAAACTACAAAATGTGCGGCCTTTGAATGAGCTAGAGTGCGCTGTCAGACTGATTCTTTCCTGCTTTTCATAGCGAGCGCATTGACATTTCGATCGATCCATTCACAGGCCGCAACCCATCTTACTGCTTCGTGGAGCTGGAGTCCAAGGAACAAGCCGACCGCGCCATGGTCGAGCTGGATGGGAAGGACCTGCTGGGACGTCCTGTGAAGGTCAAGCCCGGCGTCGCCAAATCCTCGCAAGACCGCGCCTCTCCTCGCCCATCGAACAACTCGTCCCCGCGCGCCACCAACGACAAGCCCGGCTCCCCCCCCGTCGCCTTTGATCGCTGGCAGCGCAACGACGCCTCGGTCCATTTCAAGGGCTACAGCGAGAACGGCCGTCGTCTATATGTCGGCGGCCTTCCAAAGCTCTCCAGCCAGCAATCTGTCGATTCTGAGATCCAGAGTTTCTTCAATGGGTACAACGTGTGCGTATATTTCGACCGCGAATGGTGTGGCCTGTCGAATACTAACCTAGTTGCGCTTTAGTGAGGCTGTTAGCAAGCTCATCTCCCCCCACCCATCCAAACGATTCGAATCCGGTGACCACTACTATCTTTTCGTCGACTTTGCGAGCGCAGACGAAGCGGCTGCCGCACAAGCAGCTCTTGACGGCAAAGATGGCCCTTGGGGCGGCAAGATCAGAGTCGGCCGGGCTCGTGGCGAGTCATGGAAGCCCGACGAGAGGCGCAAATGGAACTCAACACAGGAAGACGGCGATGACGAGCCTGCTGTGGATGTCACTGCTGCTACGTGAGATACCGTGGGAGGCGATTTGTATTGTTATCCCTCTTCTTTGGATTCGGGCGTTTATCAAGACGAGCCACACTATAGATCTTTTTGCTTCTACTATTCTACCTATCTGTTATACGGAGTCACCAAAAGTCTACTATTCATGGATCAATCAGCCAGGGGCTTGTGGCCCTGTACACGCGGCGATGATTCATGACCTGAATGAATAACTATGTGAATGTCATTTTTCCCTGCAATAAATAGATCATATATTTCAATAGCCCAGCTCGTTCCAACCGCCCTGCATTGTTCATTGTAAAGCATTGTTTGGTGCGGTTGTATCTACATATGTACTTGACCGTTCTGTCAAGCTTCCCCGCCCTTCCTCCTTACTCCCGCCGCCATAGAAACTTCCCCCGCGCAATCATCTATTGATGTTTCTTAATTACCACCGCCGGCCCTAGAGACACATAGCTACGCCTCGCAGCAGCTATAAGATCTCCTGTCGTCGTGTGTCTCGTTTGATTGGGCTGTCACCACCCACTGCGGCCACTAAGATCGTCGTCGCCATCATTCAATGCGATTCTTATTGCACGTCGGTTGTTGCACAGAGGAACGTTCGGCACCTGCATCCACCCCAGCGACAACACCCTGCTCCCACCCCGTGCTTCGGTCTGCATATGATTATTATTCCATAAGTACGGAGGTACAGTGTTCCAATCCCTAATAAATAGCTCGTCTGCACCCTCCTGCATCACGGCTTCCTCTCGATCGCTGTCGACTCGGCCTACGGGCTCGCAACCACCATGGCATCTGGCAATTCCGGTCGCAGAGAGTCTGCTAACAGAACCTTCTTTGCTAGTGTGAGTAACCCTGGCTCCTTGAACCCTTGTATGCCCCTTTAAACCCATGTCCATTTGCTGTGCTGCTTTGTCTGCTTTGTCTGCTTTGTCTGCTTTGTCTGCTTTGTCTGCCCTTTTGCTTTTCGTATGCTCGCGTGACTCTATGCTACGTTGCGTCCGGCCTGTCTCTTCTTCTCGAGCCCCGATCTACCTTTTTGGAGACTATATTCTAGACCTTGATCCTGCCATTATCATCACTGCAGTGTGCTGGCCATACTGCGCGGCCAGACTCGGACTCCCCCGTTGTTCTAGGCGCGCTGTGGGCAATGAGGGGAACATCGTCACCGCCGAGGGGTCTACCGTCTCAACACCGAGGTTCATTTACGACACGCTCCGGTTTCAGTTCGTGGTTAATAGCCATTTTCTACCATGGATGCTGCCGACTCCCGAACATTGCAAGCCGCCGAACAGCTAGAAAGCTTCCTCCCATCAGGTGACGTCTGAGTGCATGGCGTCTCAAAATTAAATACCGCGACAATTGCCCCATAAATCGGCGGGGCGTTGACGGCTGGACCATCTGACTAGAAGCAATATTCGATCCTCGTACGATTTACAGTGCTTAGGCGGTGAGAGCCCAGCTGATTAAACTGGCTGCTCGTTCTCTGTCAGCAACAATTGTTTGTCGAGGGCAGCAAACAAACCTCGTCCATGTAACATTGAAAAGCTTGCTGAACTCTGTCACTCAAAAAAGCCAATATATGTTGATCTATCACCAACCGATCGATCGACATCATGACCCAGACAGCCGTGACCGTAACGCAGAGGGCCCATATTCGCTTCAGTATTCCTGTAATTACTCGCTACCCCATCCATTAATTTTTTAAATTCTTCGTTGTGGTTTTGTTCGTTCTGCTTTCCTACCATTCAAAGCTGGGGTTACTTACTATATCGTCACATTTTTTTACTCGCTTCCTTTGGCGTCACTGTTGTGTTAGCGGGCCCCTGATGCTAACGCTGTTGCTCAGTCAGATGACACGAAAATATGTGTCGTTATGGTTGGCTTGCCAGCCCGGGGAAAAAGTCTCATAGCTGGAAAAGGTATGCTCAAATAGCTCTATCATGCATGCACTAGTCTAACGATGATTAGCCCTTCGATATCTTGCTTGGGTGGGAATCGCGGCCCGAATTTTCAATGTAGGCACATATCGCCGTGAGAAGTCGCCTCATCCTGTAGCAACCTTCTTTGATCCGCACAATTCAGAAGGAGAAAGAATGCGACGAGCCGCCGCCGAGGCAGCCGTGTCAGACATGCTCAAATGGTTCAGGCAAGACAACGGCGTCGTGGCTATATTTGATGCGACAAACTCGACGAAAGCCAGGCGAGCATGGATTCACAAGACCTGTGAAGAAGCCGGTATTGAGACTCTTTTTGTGGAATCTTTGTGCGATGACGAAGAGATTATTATGAACAACATACTTGAAGTCAAAACGACATCGCCAGATTATAAAGGACAAGATCCAGAAGTCGCTGCCCAAGACTTCCGCAACCGCATTCGCAATTATGAGAAGGTTTACGAGACAATAAGTGAAGACGAGAAATCGTACACTTACGTCAAATTGATCAACGTGGGATCCACAGTTATCATCAATCAGATAAAGGACTATTTGTCAAGCAGACTTGTCTACTACATTCAAAATCTTCATATCAAACCTCGGTCCATCTGGCTATCGCGGGTATGTGATCAAACGAGTTCTTCTATGGCTATCAAACTAATCTGATACTTAGCACGGAGAGTCGGAGTTCAATTTAACAGGAAAGATCGGTGGCGACTCCGATATCTCATCTCGTGGAGAAGCCTATGCTCGAGCACTTCCTGGTCTTCTCAAACAATCCGGCGTTCCACCGGGTGCCAAACTGACGATTTGGACATCGACTCTAAAACGTACGATACAAACAGCACGGCATCTTGCTGCAGAGACTGGCTATGAAAAACTAGAATGGAAGGCTCTCGATGAACTTGACTCTGGCGTCTGTGATGGCCTGACTTACGAAGATATTGCTGAGCGATATCCCGAGGATTTTGCAGCTCGAGATGAGGACAAATATAACTATCGCTATCGGGGCGGAGAATCATACCGTGATGTCGTGATCCGGCTCGAGCCAATCATTATGGAACTCGAGCGCAGTGAGAATATCATCATTGTCACCCATCAGGCGGTCTTACGATGCATTTATTCCTACTTTCACAACATGTCACAAGAACAAAGCCCGTGGATGGAGGTTCCTCTCCACACCTTGATCAAATTAACGCCTCGCGCTTATGGAACTGAAGAGAAGCGTTTCAAAGCGAACATTCCTGCTGTATCCACATGGAGAGGCAAAGGAAGCTCGGCCAAGCACCAAGAACCAGGTGAAGCGAGTCATTAATTTCATTATCGGAGACCACCACCAACAAGATTGAGTATTGTTCTGTTTCTTTATATATCGCACGCACCACTTTACGAGTTTCTCAATGACCTTTTCGCCTCTCATCTCACCTCTCTTTGATACTGCATCTTAAGTACTTGAAGATAATTCTTCTTTGGCCCGGAATGGCAATGTTGTTGCTTCCTGGGGATGTATTAATGCACATGGCATGGCATGGCGTTGGATGACACGATACATGATTATATAAATGGGGTGGGGAGGTTTTAGCAGCATTGATCGGGATATGTACTCTCTGAACCTGGGCTGTTCCTGCTTTCAAAATATAAAAGATTTACCAATGTATATGTTGCAAGGGAATAAGATACCTATGATGAATGAGTACTCAAGATACTTAGCCACCTTCTAACAACCAATTTCCAGGTCATTACCTTGAAGTAGGATCTAAATGTAACACAACAAAACAATATATCGCAATCATAATAAATCAATTGATCTACAAGAGCTATGTTGAATATTGGTCACATGACACCCGTCATTACGGGGCACGCGGATGCTATCGATCATGACCGCCCGCAGCTCCATGCATGCATTGTCCGACAGACCAGCCATGAAGCTATTGCGCAATGCAGCGCACTATCACTAACCCCGCATTCTACAAATTATGATTAACCCCGCTAGAGTTCGAGTTCCCCGTCTCGAAAAGGTAGGAGGCTATCTCTGCTGCGAGCGCTGTCGCAGCCATGTTGTCCGCCTTCAAGCCTCGGCCGCTCGTCGAACTCAAACCCCGCGATAAATCCAAAATCGAGTCGATCCTTGCATACGGCGATCGCCTGCTTGTTGGTTTGAATAATGGAAATCTGCGAGTGTATCGCGTCAACGAACAAGCCCCGGCTAGAGACGTTGAGCGAAACGGTCATGTTGTTGAGGACGCGGCGGCGGCTAAGGACGACCAAGAAACGACATCTGCCTCCGCAAAGTCAACGGATCTCCTTCGCGAAGAGGATAAGTTCTCTCGCTACAAGATCGATCAACTGGCGTTTATCAAAGAGGCGAATGTTCTAGTCTCTCTTTCAGGCGGCTATGTTTCCTTGCACGACTTGCAAAACTATGATCCTCAGGAGCAGCTCACGAAAACAAAAGGAGCCACCACGTTTGCTGTGACGTCAAATGTTGAGAACGATATGGAAACGGACGTCCCCTCGATCGTCTCCCGTCTCGCTGTAGCCGTTAAGCGCAAGATTCTCCTATGGACTTGGCAGGATATGGAACTCAACCCGGATACGGCTGAAATTACACTTGTTAGTGGGATCAAAACATTGACGTGGATATCTGGGACGAGGTTAATTGCTGGCCTTACTGCAAACTATGTTTTGGTGGATATTGAGACTATGGAGCTTAGGGATATTGTTGGGCCCGGGAGTATTGGAGGTGGTCCTGGGCAGGAATCAAGCCGACTCGGAGGAGTCGGAGTCGCGAGCATGAGCTATATTGGAATGGGTGGAATTGTTCCTAAACCGTTGGCTACGCGGCTGGGCGAGGGACAAGTGCTCTTAGCAAAAGATGTCAACACACACTTCATCGACATTGACGGTGCATCTCTGGGCAAACGGCAGATCCCATGGAATGCCGCTCCCGAGGCTCTGGGATATTCATACCCATATCTATTGGCATTACAGGACCCTTACAAAGGTACCTTGGAAATACGGAACCCCGATACTCTATCCCTTCTTCAGTCAATATCTCTTCCTTCTGCCAGTCTGCTTCATATGCCGCATCCTAACATCAGCTTGGCGCATGCTGGCAAAGGCTTCCTAGTCGCCAGTGACCGTGTTATATGGCGTATGGATGCTTTGAGTTACGACAACCAGATCGATGCGTTAGTCGATAGCGAGTATTTGGATGAAGCGATCAGCTTGATTAGCATGCTGGAGGACGCTCTCTTGGCTGACAAGTCGGGTCGGTTACGTGAGATTCAGTTGCAGAAAGCTCAAAAGCTGTTTCATGACCGCAAATACCGGGATGCCCTTGATCTCTTCGCCGCCGTTTCCGCGCCCCCAGAGATTGTCATTCAACTATACCCGAAAATAATTGCAGGTAATCTGTCGTCCATAGCAGAGGAGACTGGAGAAATCGAAGAGAATGGAGCGAATTCTTCAGAGCGTACCAATGGACTGCACTCACATACAGAGGAAGCAGTTGCTGACAGCTCCGCGCCTGCTAAAACTTCTACTTATGCGCCTTCTCTTGCTTCTTTTCTCCGTGGCAAAGGGGATGAAGGTAGTGACGATGGAAGCATCCGGGGGAAACCAGCTGAGAACACCCAAGGCGAGAAACACTTAGGTATGCACCGCCTCATCGTTTGACTGACATGATACTAACTTTTCGCAGAAGGGAAAGATTTGAAAGCGGCCGTGCGCGAGCTTCAAGGTTATCTTGCTGATGTTAGACGTCGCTTCCAGAGATTCTTAAACCCTAATGGCACTCTACGTGCTGGATCCTTGCACCACGGTGGAGAAATCGATGAGTTCGAAGAGTCTGTGCGAATGCTGCTTGGTGTCTCTGGAGAGATTGATGAATCTGATTTCGAAGAACGATTGTGCGAAAATGCCAAACTGGTAGACACGACCTTGTTTAGAGCTCACATGTACGCCACGCCATCCTTAGCAGGCTCCCTGTTTCGAATTGCGAATTTCTGTGACCCGGACGTCGTTATGGAAAAGCTTGAAGAGAGCGGGCGCGACAATGAACTTATCGACTTTTACTATGGGAAAAAGATGCATCGTCGAGCCTTAGAGCTGCTTCGGAAATTTGGACATTCACAAGCGAAAGACGAAAATGATGATCCATCGGCTCATCTTCGCGGTCCTGGCAGAACTGTTGCTTATCTACAGCACCTCTCTCCAGAGTATATTGATCTCATCCTTGAATTCGCGGAATGGCCTCTTCGAGAGGATCCTGAGCTCGGTATGGAAATCTTTTTAACTGATACTGAGAATGCCGAGACACTACCGCGTTATCAAGTGATTGAATTCCTCGAAAAAGCCGATACAGGACTTGCTATCCGCTATCTTGAGCATGTGATCGATGAACTCAATGACATGAGTCCTGATCTCCATCAAAAATTACTGAATCTTTACCTACACAGGTTACTGCGACATAAACAAAGACAAGAGACGTTTGACAGCGAAGACGACTTCCTTTCATGGAAGGAAAAGTTTTTGGCATTTCTGAAATCGAGCTCTCAATATTCACCTGCTAAAGTTCTAGATCAGCTTCCGCGTGAAGACCCCGACTTTTACGAAGCTAGAGCAATAGCGTTTAGCAAAATGGGACAGCATCGACAAGCACTTGAGATTTACGTTTTCAAATTACATGCGCATGAGAAGGCAGAAGAGTAAGTCGGATTCGTACTCTCAGACTAAAGCATGTTCGATTTCTCATATTTATCTAGGTATTGTAATCGTATTCACGTCACTGAAGAAGCAACCTCTACGGAGGTATCTCCATCTCAGCGTCTTGCGCCAACCGACGCCGACGAAACGAAGCCCCCAATCTATTTGACGTTGCTATCTCTCTACCTATCGCCTCCACATGGTTACGACGCACAGTACGGTCCAGCACTAGACATCCTGGCCAAACACGGCTCCCGCCTACCTGCAAAGTCCACACTCAACCTGATCCCGGAAGACATTGCAGTTCAAAACCTCGAATTCTATTTCCGCAGTCGTATCCGCGCAGCTAGCTCTATTATGAACGAGGCGCGCATAGTTTCGAACCTACAGAAGGTACGAAACATTAAAACGCAGGCTCAGCTTCTGGTGGGAGAAGGTCTGCCAGACAACAACAAAGCGCGGAGTCGACATGTCACAATTACCGAGGAACGTGTGTGCGGGATATGCTATAAACGACTGGGAGGAAGCGTTATCAGCGTGTTTCCAGAGTATGTTCGCCTGAATGTCTCTTCGAACGTCATAGCTAACACGTTCTGCAGCGACAAGGTCGTCCACCTGGGCTGTGCCAATCGGATGACATAGACACATACATCGGATTTTGGGGTTGCTTATTTCTGTTCTTTACTTGTAATTTCTATGCATCGTTTGTCCCTATTCAATATTCGCATGTCTGAGGTCGCATCCAAGTTCGGTATTCGGTTTCATTGTTTTCGTTGTTGTGATTCTTCGCTTCGATTATAATCGGGGCGGCGCTTTTCCTTGCGAATGATACCCTGGGTGATGTAAAGTAGTCGTTTGAAATGTGAATACAAATTCAAATCGTTTCTTAATAACGCGTAGATCCCCAGCTGGCAGACTGGATTTAACCGCCTAGTCATCCTCAACGTTCTCCTCGCCGTAATTCTGCTCTTCCTTCGCTTCCAACTCCACGTCCTTGGTGCCGCCCGCCGCTTTCTTGTCTTCCTCCATCCGCTCGGTCAGAAAGATGTTCACTTCTCCCTGCACCAGGGCCACTAGTCCACGCAGCTCGGCTAGGTAGGCTTTCTTCTCAGCGACCGATTGACCCTTTCTCAGTGGCGCAGCCAGTTCATGCTGGTAGACCTGCGCTGTGGGAGGGTGGGGAGAAGAGTATGAGGCGGAGATGATAGGTTTGTCGCTGGTGGGTGCCATTGCAGGGAGTTGCTGGTCTGAAAATAGCAGCTCTAATAATTATGCGATAATCTAAAGAAGGAAGATTGATGAGGGGAAAAGAATAGACAGTGGGCGGGGGTTAAGTACGGCGTTAGTAAGCGGCGGCGGCAGTCAAGTCACCTCAGCTTGAGAGCCCTGCGATACCTTCAGCACTCATTTATCCATTATTCTTTCCTCGGCGTGGCGCAGTCGCATTTCCAATCTCCCTGCGCTGTTGCTGACCATGGGCCGTGGCCCTCGCTTCCTCCCTACTTGTCTCCGGCATCTACGATAACCACGCCAGTGCATGGTCGCCCATACCGTTCGAACACTCGTTGCCTGGGTATCCGACAATGCCCACCACCCGTCCTGACCTCCGAGCGACGCCCTCGCAGCAACCAGATAGTCGCTATCAATCCCGTCAAGTCGACCGCCCTAGCTCGTCCAGCAGTGATGCCTCGTCTGCCTCGTCGCAGGTGACCACCCTGTCCCGCCCTAAAAACACTCTGTATTCCCTCAATTCCTCTGCCTCCCGCCATCCGCCGCGAACCTCGTCAATTAGCGGCCCCAACGAGAACAACAGCACCAGCAACATCTCGTTGCCTTCTGTTACGACAACTCGACCATCTGGCGCTCCCTTGAGAGCGCAGAATGATCCCTACTCCCGCAAGCCATCCCCGCGAGGTCCGGCGGCCGAGCTACAAAGGCATCGGCCAAGACAACATTCACAGGGCTTCTTCGAACCGTCTCTGCCTACTGCCAGTCACACTGATCATAGTGCGATGATGACGGTCCTGACAGCTTCCCAGATTGCCGCTCAGGCGGCAATGCAGTCGACCCAGCACGTGCGGCACCGATCACAAACGATCCCGGATGATCGACAAAAGGGCCGAAAAGGAAGCCGAGACTCGCCATCCCCTTCCCCGTACGCACCATCGACTACGACTAGCGGAGGCGCGCGAACATATCAGAACGGACTCGTGGGTTCGCATGTGGCTGCAGCGACAACTGCTGCCAACGTGGTCTTTCCGCGAAGCCCGGTCTCGGAGGCTGCTGATCAGAAACACAAAGCAGAGAAGTCGAAGAAGAAGTTATTCTCTAAACCCAAACATATTGGAATATCCCGAGATAGGGATTGGAAAGATAAACCTCTGCCATCTCCTAGCAAGTTAGGGTTTGGAAGCTCAAGTGGACTATCTAAGATTGTCAGCGCGTCTACGACAAATTTGACCGAAATAAGCTCGAACAATTCGTCCATGTATAACCTTTCGAATGCATCTGCTAGCACGGTGGTGCCAGTGGAGAAGGGCGAGAAGGACAAGGACAAATCGCATAGACACCACTTTTTATCTAGGCAAAAATTGAAGCTTAAAGATGACCACTTTAATTTGCCATTGTCATCAGCTTCCAGCAACTCGAAACCGTTAGATCCGAACGCCCCACAGTCCCTCTACAGCTTTACACCATCCTCTCCGTTATCAAGTGGGTTTGGGAAGTCGGGGTTGGATTTGCTACATGGTGGTCGTGCCTTACGAGAGAAGAAGAGGGAAGAGAAAGAGAAAGAGAAAGCCATGGCGTCCTCACTGGACATAAACCGAGACGCGGAATCCGAGTGGCCCACAGGTGCTACCGGCCCTGCTTATGCCCCCTCAACGATGGGTAGTTCAGTGACCACTTTCAACAATGACGGGGTCAAGGAAGCCCTACAGGGGTTTGGTTTACATAACATGACTGCAGAGGATGTTTGGGATTTCCTCAAAGCAAAATTACTCGTCGTTTTCGATGGAGGGGATGTGCGTATCGCGGTGGAGGATTTGAATAAACTGGTGGTCATACATATCCAGCGATGCGTACAGAAGCTTATGCCCACGGTTGTCGAAGATTTGCGAGATCTTTTATATACGGGGTTCTCGACTTTGAACCATTCTATCAGTGGTGTACCTGATGAGAAGCTTATTCCACACCTGGTGCAGATATGGATGTCAGCGTTTGGAACAATCCTCCCATTCATTCAAGCAGTCTTCCTCCCATTAGATCTTGAATTAAAAGGTCAAGGGACAGTTATGAGCGCACGTGAAGCTAGAGAATTCTGGGGTGCTTTGCCCACAAATGCAGACTCTCCAGAAGCTGCTATAGGCGACGAACTGGACGTTCGAACCATTGTACTAGTTGCGTTCCGTGAGGCTGTTATTCTGCAGCGGTATGAAGGGCTCAAGGCAGTCTTCTCTCGGCTGAGTCTCGATACAATCGATGCTACCATCGGCGCTTTGAGTGGTACATCTAATAGCAGCAACAGCGGCGGCCGGCCAGCCACTGCAGCCTCTTTAGACCCGAACTACAGTAGCTTCAACTCACAGTCCTCTACGGCCCTCAATATTGCCGGTAGCTACTCTTCAGATTCCGTCAGTGCAACACGGAGTCGCGCAACCTCCAATACATCATCGAACCCAGATCAGCTCATCTTCCAATCCTTCACCTCGCCGCAGCGACAGCTCCAATCGTTCCGTTTCAACCAAACCCCCGATACCTCACACGTCATCACGGATACTGTCGGGCGTTTACTGCAATGCTTCAGCATCTTGGCCAGCGTGCAAAGCGGCGACGATGCCCAAGAACGAATCGAGACATTGATGAAGTCCCTCAAACACAACTGGCTCGGCCGAGGCCGTACTGGGCGCGACAGACGAGGCTTTGTCGGAACCAAGGTCCGGTCAGCTGCGCTTCCTCGCCATGATAGCGGGGATTCGATGAGTATGACGACCAATGGCAGCAAGTGGAACATTACCTCCTCGCCATGGGGGAACCTGAATATGAATAGTGTTTTGTGAATGTGTATGTGAATGGATGGGATGGATGGGATGGATGGATGGGATGGATGGAGTTGATGATTTATTTATGCTGTACAATACCCGAAAGCCGGCTCTTTCTGATCGGCAATGAAATGAGGATATATGCAATTCTATGATGTTCTTTTGTCTATATCATAACACTTTCTAGTTTCCAATAGCGATATCGCTTCAGCGTATCCGCTCATCCATCCGGTTATACGTACTCCTCTCGAGCATCAAATGTGTCTATTAAGCATTGGATTTGAAGTAAGACCCATTGACCGCGCGGCAGTGGTATATGCATGATCCTCCGTCAACTTCTATCTGACAACTGGCTATCTCAAGTTGTCAACATTTGATGTATTGCCATCATCCCCACTTTTTCGCGCGCGGCTGACGTGATCAACTCCCCCTGTTCCTTCGTTAGGGCTAGGTTTTTCTCGAGAATATCAATGTACGGAGTTAACGACAGCCACATTCTATGGGAAAACCCGAAGGATTGAAGAAGTTCCTAACTCCGAGTGCTTGTACCTGTTGGAAATGCGTTAACTTGTCATTGGTTGAACGAGCTCTTCCGCTAAGCACTACATTACATCTACTGGGCCGCGCGATATACAAGCTCTTTACTAGTCCAGGAAAAGGGCTGGTTCAGATATGCAGTTGTACAAGGTGAAATTAACACGCATAAATAAATCAGCTAACGTATGGGCTTTCATACGGACAGACGGAGATAAGCCGCGAACTGAGATGTTGCCAGAATTAGCCCGGGTTGAAAAGTATTTGAGACGTGCATTCCCTTGATACATTCCAAGATACTGATTCCCCTTTTCACCTTTATATCAAACCATTAATCGCTTATACCGAGTACTACCTGAACTTCCTAACTTATAACCATCTCAAGATGCCCGCTTCCAAATACGACAAGCTCCGCGACTCCAGGGTCCTTCTTCTGGGAGGAACATCAGGCATCGGCTTTGCAACAGCCGAAGCCTCCATTGAAGCTGGCGCCATAGTCATCATCTCCAGCTCAACCTCCAATCGTCTCTCCTCGGCTCTATCCAGGCTCAAGACGTCTTATCCGGAAGCAGCTACAGCGAACAGGATCCACGGCTACATCTGCGACCTGTCCCAGGCTGAGACCCTCGAGGCAAATGTCAAAACCCTTCTGGAGTCCGCCACGGACAGCAACACCCACAAACTCGACCACATCACCTACACAGCGGCCAATGTCCCGAGACTCCCTGGTCTGGCCGACTACCAAGCCTCCGAGACAAAGCCGTCCACTATCATCCTCCGCTACGATGCTCCCATTATCATAGGAAAACTAGCACCGGCATATATGAATCCCGGTCCGCGCTCCAGCATCACCTTCACCGGCGCATCGACCGCGAGTAAGCCGACTCCTGGTCGAGGTATACTGACGGCCTTGGGGGCTTCGACGGAGGGCGTGGCGAAGGGTCTCGCGGTCGACCTCGCGCCGATTAGAGTCAACGCTGTTGCGCCAGGAACAGTAGATACAGAATTACTCAGGGCCCTCGCTGGCCCGGATCCGAAGGCTCTGGCTGGATTTAAGGAGATGTTGAAGAAGGTGACGCTGCTGGATAAAGTCGGCCTACCGGAGGAAGTCGCCGAGGCTTATGTGTATCTGATGAAGGATGCTAATGTTACTGGTGCGGTTATCCATACAGATGGTGGGAGGTTGTTGAAGTAGAACGAGCCGCTCATAAGAGCCAGCAGAATCAAAGTTGGTGTCTACTCTAGTTGAGAATCTGAGCTGGGATTTGTTGTATGAGATATAACAATTTGTGATGAATAGTTAACTTCTAGTACCGAGCAAGTAAACTACATGTAGTAGGATAACCTTAAGCGCATACATGGATTATTTCCTTGATTTGTTAGGAAAGAGTTGAAAATATCAATGGTGCATTTGGAAACAACAAAGGATTGGAGACAGAAACTGGATACATCTGGAATAAGTGAAGACATTGATAGTCATTCGCATTTCAGAGCAACATTTGTATACCATAGGTACTGCAAGCCACGTGATAATTAGTTGCCTGAGGCTGGCTATTAATATAGAAAGCCCCACCACATTTAGATCAACCGTTGAACGGCGGCGTCCATAGAATAATATTATAGGAGTAATACAAAGACGATTAATACAAGAAGACACAGGGCGAAATGTGCGAGAACAATGAGCTTTCGAATGGCAAAGCACTCCACCCTCCGCATCACTTTGAACAATCCATGGCCATGCACACGCTGTTTGGCTGGCTGCAGCTACTAAGTAACTACTAGCCACTAGCTATCAGCTAGCCGTTGCAGCTTGCGTAGCTAATATATCCTGCATCATCAGCCTGACGGCCCACAAAAAGTCGGTGACGCATCACTTCATATCGGTGGCAGTTCTAGCTAATCGTGGCTCCAATCTAGGACATCGCTCTCTGCAACTCTGGTAAGAAACAGAACCAAGGAGACACCTGGAGACCCATCGATGTGCTGAGGAAATAACCGAATACATGAATCGAATAATGTACGAGTAGTATATGTAATCTGCGTGGCAGACATGAGATGCTTCGGGAAATATCGCCACCCCTGGAGGTGCACTCAGATTGTGCAGCAGAGATCGCCGTCATCCCCCATGCTATGCCCGAAGAGAAACGACAATAATATTTCGCACAGGGATAAACACAGAGTTATTTAATATCAGAAGAAGAACAAGGACAGTGCCCCGAAGGATGGCTCGTGCACCCCTCATGCTATACTGTACTCGGCTAGAGAGTGGTGGCACTCCGCATTACCCTCAGTTCAGCCTCGCTCAATCATCGCCCATCATCGCGCATCGCCGCCAGATCCTCCAATCCAATGGCGGCGCTCGCTGAACCCCCAGGGCCCAGGGCCACCTCAGCTGTCCCTCGCCGCCTGCCAATCGCCAGTCGATCCCCCCCAGGCAGACAGGACTGCCTGGAGTTTACCTACAGGTTGCTCGGAATACGGCTCGGCTGCCTGCGACGGTGTCGTCCATAAATACTCCTTCGGCTGCTATCGCAGAGAGGGTTCGAAAATATTAGGAAAGTGAAAGGAAAAGGAAAGGAAAGGAAAGTAAACAGAGCAGATCTATCATCCTTGCTCGATTTCTACATCTCCACTCGCTACTGGCCCCGTTCTGCCTCACATTGCTGCTTCACTTTGCCTCTCACCGCCCCAGCTCGAACAACTCATCCGTGCAACCAGATTGACTGGCTCTGCCTTCTGCGCTTGCTTGTCGTGTTTCTTTGTGCTGGTTTCTGGCTTGCCTTCTTGGCTCATCTATCATTCCGCCTTCGCTAGCGTCGTCCCATTGCGGATTAGCAGTACGACAAGGCGTTTCTGCTGGATATTCCTATAAGACGGATTTCTTTTCTTCTGTATTTCCGGGCTGTTCGATCTGCTTGATGAGAATTGAATTTATAAAGCTGTGACCTCGGATCAATGCAGCACGAAGAGGGGACTCCTCCAAACCCGCAGACCCCAGTATTCACTCCCACGTCAGAAGCCCCTCCTAACCAACGCGACGAGCAACAGTTTATTCAGCAACGACAAGTTACTGTTCCGTCCAGTATGTCGGACCATGAGGGCACAGAGCGGCAAACACCAACCGCTGAACCGATGGGTTCAGCCGCTTCATCTACAGTTGCAGCTACATCAACTATCGCAACGCCTGCTACAAAGGATGACATAGCCTCTGTAGCTGACCAAGTTTCCCCCAAGGTCGATTCCGCAAATAGCCCCGCAACGATAACGAAGGGCGACAAGAAGTTATCTTGTAAGAAACATAAACACAATGTGTCGAAGAAGAAAGATAGACTCAAGAAGCATAAGAAAAATACGAAGAGAAAGAATGTCAAGGAAGAATCTTCTTCAGAGGATGACACCACATCGGAGTCTGATGCATCAACTTCTGAATCGGAGGAATCTGAATCAGCCGAGTCTACTCCTGAGACTAGTGAGACTGACAGCGAGTCCGAGAAGCAGAAACGAAAACACAAAAAGTCCAAACATTCCAAGAAGAACAGAAGGAGACGACGTGGCCATAGGGACGAAGATGACTCTGATTCGGATTCAAGTACCAGTAGCGAGGAAGACGCTATCGCAAACCGGAAGGCCTTGAAACGATTGAAGAAACGCAAAGCAAAGAAAATTGCAAAGAAGCTTCTGTCTGACGATGAAGACGAAGAGGAAGAAGTAGACTCGGAAGACATCGAAGTACGCAGACGAGTAGCTAATTTACGATTAAAGCAGGCAGGGTCACGCCGCCTGCAAAAGTTGAAGGAAGAGTCGGGAAAGAAGGGTAAAACTAAGAGAGCTTCCAAGGTTGCCTTTAAACGTGTGGATGAATGTGAGTGCCAATTTTTATATCTGTGAGGGGTTTTTATTGACCACCACTTCAGTATGGGACAGCACGATCCATAATTACAAACTACGAGAGACACTTGATGACCCCGACGCGGATGAGTTTGATCAATACATTTTTACTGTACGTCGTAAATTTGACTGGGAGAACAAATACATGGAAACCGTGGTAGATATTAAGAGCAAACCTCTCCGAGAGGCTCTGAGCACAGTCATGGAAGGCGTCAAGGCCGTGAGCTTGGTAACTGATAAGCCAATTGTGGATCCGAACATGCTCTTCCTGTATCTGGAGGAAGCCCGAGCTCACATGAAAGAACTTAAAAAGCTCGTCAAAACAGAGAAGAAGAAGAAGGCTCGCAAACTAGCCGCCATGAAAGCTGCCCATTTGAAAGTCCTAATCAAGTACCTGGACACCGATTATGCGGAGACCAAGAAGACACTATACCCGTTGTTAGATTCTAACATGATCACCTTTGATTTGCTCTGGGCTTTGTTCAAACCAAATACTATCGCCTACACTCCTACCTACGGCCATGCCGATGAGCCTCGGGCATTCAAGATCGAGTATGCCACCAAAGAATCATCGTTCATGAAAGGGACATGGTATGTTATCGAGGGTAAATACCTCGAATATGACGGCAAGACTTTTGGTATGGGCAACATGGCAGCAGACGTGGAATCTTTCAAGGGGGCCCGTAAGATTACTAGCCTCGCTTGCTATCCTTTGAAGTACCGCCGCGATGCCGATGATGTTAAGACCAAGCTCATCGAGCGTGGCAAAAAATTCGTGGCATTGCGTGGCATGAACTACCGTTTTCACAAGGGCATGGCTTTCTTCAAGAAGAAGCGTTCTGTGATCAAAGTCAACATTAATGGTCGGGTTATGATTGACCCTGCCTTACACCGCCGGATCAATCCAAACTATGCTATAAGCACCGTTCGACCGAAAGATCCCGATATGCTAGACTCTGACTCCGAAGAAGGTAGCGACGACTGCTGTTGTTGCGCTTCCTCGTCAGAGGACGATCATGCTAACGGCAATGATGACTCGGAGCCTCCTCGCCCTAGATATAAGTTTGTCCGAGACAAGCAGGGCAAGGCACATATCATAGAGGTTGAAATTGATGAAAATGGGAATGAAATTCCTCCCAAGGAAGATTTCGATAAACTTGAAAAAGACAAGGAGGGCAGCATGGAGGAGCCAGAGCTGGAATTCACAGAAGAAGAGCTTCTCATTGCAAGCCCCGTCGTGTTGGGCTTTGCTTTCGGGGAAAAGCTCTGGCTCGAATTCAGTGTTTCAGGTGTTAACGAAATTGAATGGAACGACGGCGCCTTCGATTCTCTTGTTCTACCAGACAATCAAAAATCTATTGTCAAAGCTCTCGTCGAATCTCACACCTTCCACGCCGCCGAAAACATCGATGATGTCATTCAAGGAAAAGGAAAAGGCTTGGTTGCAGTATTGCATGGTCCTCCAGGTACCGGCAAGACGTTAACAGCCGAGGGTATTGCTGAGCTCTTGAAACGGCCTCTCTACATGGTCAGTGCGGGTGAATTAGGCACCGACTCGCGCAGTCTCGAAGGCGAACTGAATAAGATTCTGGACATTGCACACTCGTGGGGTGCTGTCTTATTACTCGACGAAGCAGACGTGTTCCTCGAGAAACGAACCATCCAGGATATCCACCGTAATGCCCTTGTTAGTATCTTTTTGCGCTTGCTGGAATACTTCCAAGGCATTCTATTCCTTACAACCAACCGTGTGGAAACCTTCGATGATGCCTTTCAATCCCGTATACACATTGCCTTGCGGTACGGCGATCTTACTCTCAAAGCCAAACGCAGTGTCTGGAAGATGTTCCTCGACAAAGTCAAATCAATTGATGGCGTCCAAACCAGCGAGTTTACCGACAAGGATCTCGACGTGTTAGCTCGTCACAATCTGAATGGCCGTCAGGTATGCTATGCTACTTTTCTTTTTCTTCCGTTCTGAGAACTTAAATACTAACATCCACAGATCAAAAACTCCGTTCGTACAGCGCAAGCACTGGCTGTTAATGAGAAGTCAGCTCTATCGATGTCTCATATCAAGCGTGTTCTTGAAGTTGCAGAGACGTTTGAACAGGATCTCAAGGGTGGAACAGGATACATGGATGCAATGCGGAGTTATACTTAGATCGTTGTTTGATTTCACATCTCTTCTCCTGTACCTCACCTTTGCATGTTTGCATTCCTGGATTTGATTTTCAAGATTTGCGTTTATTTTCCCCACTCCTCTGCATTTGATGAACTATGCTAGCGAATGCTTTATCTGTGATGTTCATTTGCAATTCTCCACTGCATCGACCCTTCAGTCCGACCAAGTTGAGATCCAGAGCAATTTAAGAATTCAATCTCAGTTCCTTTCTATGTATACATAGTAAATAATCTAACGGACCAAAAATTATTGCGGATATCTGTAGACCTAACAGAATATTATAGGACATATAAAAATTAATTTATAATTTATTTTCTTTTGAAGATACTCTCAAGGACGTTTATTTCCTTAAAGTACATTGATGTACATAGATATTTCTGAAAACGCTTATTATCTATAACATTAATTCTTATTCACGTTCGCGCGCATTAAATTTGTAAATTGTTTTATCTCTATAAATAAGATATAATTGCTTAATAATAATACTAGTTGCCACAGACAGTATAAGGACTTAGTGAAAAAAATCTCTATTGTTCCTAGCTTAAATATCGCACGTTGTAAACGGTGGTTTACCACAATTGTGGTCTATAAACACTAAGGGATTCAACAGGTTTGTGAAGGATATCAGGCGCTCAAAGGAGGAAAAAGAAAAGAAAGCTTCGAAAAAGGGGTAGTCTACCACAATTGCGGTCTGACAGAAATTGCACATTCTATATTGCAATGACAGGGGTATTAGCAGCTGTAATTGGCTGCGATGCAGGGCTGAATCTGGTGGAGAGTGCGATAATGGAATTAGCCAATAGGATACATTGTTGTAGCGCGATTCTGGTACATTCAAGCTCGGGCAAAATTGCTGTCATTGGCTATTGCCGAAATTCGGGCCCACGCATCATTTCCTTGTATAGAACTACACAGAACTAGTTGTACAGACAAGGCTGAGGGTGATTTTGGTTATTATTTATGGTATGAATGTGTGTATTCGGGAAAGAGCCAATGAACTGTAATCTTAATCCTTGCAATGCTGCTTCCACAATATATAAAGGGCTAAAAGGACGTCCAATCCAACATTTATATCCGAAGGTCATAGCTATATTCACATTTCCAGTACCATTCCGCACAATCTGACGCACTCTAAGCTTTCATCCTCGGCGTCAATTGACTCCTAGATGGCTCGATCCAAAGAAGAAGACGCGGCTTGGGAAGGCTATCGCAATGAGCTTAAAGTTATGTTTTTGGATCAACGTCTCACCCTTGAACAAATTCGACAATACATGTCCCAGAAATACAACTTTTCTAAGAGGTAAGCATTCCAACTCGAAAATTTTTTTAGATCAAATAAATAAAACTAACCCCTTTCTCAGCAAAGGTCAATATACCAGGCAGTTCAAAAAGTGGGAGTTCAAGAAGAACTTCACCGACGATGATTGGCGCTTTGTTGCACATCGTCGTGAAAAGCGAAAGCGTGAGGGAAAAGATCCAGGGCCTGTGAGGATGAATGGTAACCTGGTTCCTGAGGCCAAGGTCAGAAAGGAAATATCACGTCATATTTTACCATCCTCTCAGTACCTAGGAACTGTAAATGGCGACGTTGGTATGTGATATTATGAATGCTTGGCACAGAACATCAATTTAGAATTATTATTGATTCGTGCTATAGAGCCTCGAACTCCTGAGGGAATTGTTGTTGGCACTCCAAATTCAGAGATGCAAGGCGCAGATTCTCGTTATTCTGTATCGGCTCTTCAAACAGACTGGCTGTTAGATTCTCTAGAAGCAGGTACAGATCGAGATGACTTTTATTACATCTTTTGGAACTAAAGATAAATACAGGAGCAATTCCAGATATCGAGATGCCTGATTTTATTCCAACTGCTGATGGCATTTACGGTCAACTACCCATCGAAATCCCAGAATTGCTTAACCCAAGCGCATATCACGTCCCAGTGATTGACGGATTAACTACTGAATATTTTTCAGACCAACCGGAGGTAACTCTGGAGTCAGATATAGATCTTACTTCTTCAAATGCGATACCTACCCCTCAGAGTGGATCCAGTCATGCCGGTCTTGAATCCCTCAATAAGGAAATTGTGAAAGGCACTGAGTCCCTTTTCATGGAGTACGGTGTAAGTCGTTCTCGAAATATTTGCGGCTTAAGTAAATTCCTCGAGCCTATCACTATTGGAAGTGTTCATAGCGATTTGATAAGAAAAGCTAGGACTATATTTCAGGCTGATTCTTCTGACAATCTATCACACTACCTAAGCCTCTGCGTCTATCTATCATCAAACAATCTTTTGCCATCGTATGCAATGGACAAATTAATCAGGTTACTAGCGAAAACGAAACCTAAACTCAGATTGAAAACCCTCTTGCAATCACATACCACGACTACGGAGATATTCATGAGCGATTTGCTGGCTAGTGCCGCTTCGCTGGGTGAAGTAGAGATCACTCGCATATTGATCAATCATGGAGCAGATGTGGATGCCATGCGAGGAGATTTTCCGAGAGTGACACCTCTTTGCCTAGCAATCGAGGGGGAAAATGTCGGTTGCGTCAAACTATTGTTGGAGGCTGGTGCAGATCCCAATCTAGCAGTAGCGGGGAACACCCCTCTTCAGACCGCATGCTCTGCATTCGAGATTTCAATTGAGATATTGGAGCTCTTGCTGAAGTCCGGAGCGCATCTCAATCCCGCACAAGACTCTGCCCGACTCACAGCCCTCCAATTGGCAGTGCGACGACGTCGAGCAGATGTAGTGCGCCTGCTCATTCAATGGAAGGCTGACCCGAACAGTTACACCACCTCTAAACACGGTACCGCTTTACAAGTTGCATGCAGTTCATCAAATGTGGAAATACCAGAGCTTCTGATAAATGCAGGTGCAAATATTGAGGCACGCTCAGACTACAAAGACAATAATGAATCTCTCTCGCGCACATATTTCGACCATAGTGATGCGGAATCTATTTCAGAATCCGATCACGATTACGATCACGATGAATTTCCTGATGGCCTGTTCCGGTTTAAATCGGCCATAGTCATAGCTGCTGACTACAAGAATTGGGAGACAGTTCAGATCTTGCTGGAGGAAGGAGCTGCCGTTAATCCCAGCATGAGGGTGTTTCCAACCAAGGCTTTGAGAGCACAATTTATGGATAATGATGTTGATTGGGATGGTGATTGGGATGTTGATTGGGATGGTGATTGGGATGGTAATTGGGTCCGTCCAGTTATATTAACCCCATTGCAAGCCGCCGTACGAGCGGAGAACATCACCATGACACGGATGCTTCTGAGTGCCGGGGCGCACGTTGATGCAAGGCCTAAGGGAAGGTATGGTCATACCGCCCTCCAGATTGCTGCTATGGTAGGGAATCAGAGACTTGTTCAGATTCTTCTGCTAAAGGGCGCCGACATCAATGCGGATGCGGGTGTCTTTAATGGGAAGACTGCGCTTCAAGCAGCTGCTTGTCATTCAGATACCGGCCTTTTGAGTTTCTTATTAAACGAGGGAGCCGATGCCAATGCTCCCCATCCCAGAATAACGGCAAGTCCGCGCTACGGGCGGCGATAGCAAAGGGAAACGTAGACGCGGTCAGGATTTTACTTGACGCAGGTGCATCCGTCAATATCGACAAAAATTGCAACGAGGGACTGGTCGCTCTTCAAGAAAGTATCCAAATCAAAGATTTGGAAGTGAGAGAGGAAATTATTTCTTTACTTCTAGAGGCAGGTGCACATTTTGAGCCTCCTACAGACCCCGGAAAACAAGGATCTTTGGGTACTGCTGACCACGGAAAACATGGATCCCTTCATACTGCAGTTGCTAGGAGAGATATTGACATGACCAAAAGACTGCTGAAAAGAGGCGCGAATCCGAATATTGGCTATTGTATGACCAATAACCATACTCCTCTCCAAAGAGCCTCATATCTGGGAAATGAGACTTTAGTGCATATGTTGGTCAGCCATGGAGCAGATATTAATGCACCAGCCTATCCTTCAGGAGGTCACACCGCTTTGCAGTTGGCTGCTTCACAGGGCCACGTGAAGATAGTAAAAATCCTATTGGACTCTGGCGCTAATGTTAGAGCGCCAAAAGCTTCGGTGAATGGAATTTCAGCAATAGGAAGCGCTCTTTGTGAATGCAATCACGAACTGATCAAAATCTTTCTCAATAAAGATCCTGAGATAATCTCTTCTGATCCAATTACAAGGCGCGATGCTCTCGGGAATGTCTTGGAATCGTGGAAATGTACCGTATCTCTGGTCAATCTCTTACTCAAGAACGGGGCTGATGTTAATACCCCACCATGTTTACCCGCGTTGAAGCCGTGTCTCCAAATAGCAGTACAGAAAGGCTATTTCGATATAGTTCAATGTCTACTTACTGCTGGTGCTGATGTGAACCGTCGTTGGACACCAGGAAAATATGAGCGGGGAGTTACTGCTCTTCAAGCTGCTGCCTATACTCGAAATATTGATATTGTTCGGATGCTGATAGAGTGGGGCGCTGACGTCAATGCACCAGCATCTCCTACTGATGGAGGACGGACAGCTCTGCAAATAGCAGTGTCGGAGAATTACTTTGAGATGGTACAGCTATTAGTGCAAAATGGGGCGGATATAAATGGTCAACCAAGTCCACAACGAGGTCGGACAGCGCTTCAAATAGCAGCAAGCTCGGGTTATATGAAACTAACCAAATACCTTCTTCAGAGGAATGCTGACATCAATGCTCCAGCTGCCCACTTTGGTGGCATAACTGCATTGCAAGGTGCCTCAATCAAGGGCAACATTCGAATTGTTATGATGCTGCTTGCTGCAGGCGCCAATATCAATGCGCCCCCTGCTATAGAAAATGGACGAAGTGCCATCGAGGGTGCTGCCGAGAATGGTAGACTAGACACATTGCATCTTCTTCTAAATTATCATCCAGATACCGAAGACTTCGAGATAAGAAGAAAGAGAGCAGCCAAGCTCGCTCTCGCAAATGGTCATCTGGCAATCGGAAGATTTCTGATGGCATATCGAAAAAGCGCATGGAAGTGATAGCTACATTGTCGTGGCATATTGCACGAAAATAAGTAATAAATTTTTCATTTTGTTTTATCTGCTGTTATGAAACTGCCCTCTTTGCGAGATTTTGGAAGATGGAGAGTCAAATTGAAGAGAGTTTTGTGAATGTTGAATGTGGTTGAATGATTTATTTCGGGTTGATTCCTGTGTTTTTTTTTACTTGTCAAATTCGTCGATGTACCCCAGTCCGTGAGATATTTAATTGAAACTATTTAGGCCCTTAATAAAAGCTACGAGACAATGCAATATTTATCGAACCCAAATCTAGCATCAATCTCGGCCACCACTTCACTCAAACACCAATAGCACGCCTTTTAACGTTTACCTGAAGTGGACATGGTTTGTTGAACCAGTGATTGACTGTGACGAATTCAGCATCAGGGTTGGCTAGCTTGATTTCGTAAGTTCGGAGAAGCTCTGGGACGAATTTATGAATTTCGCAAAGTGATATCTACTCCACTTTAGTACGATATATTTCGTGCATGAAAAGAAAATGAACAGAAATAATAAAGAAATACCGAAGGGAGAAAAGTGACCTGGGGTAATGCTTACATTCTTTCCAATACAAATCCTTGAACCACTTCCAAACTATTCATAATCCGTAATCAGTCACTATCATGGGGATGACGAAAAGTAATCGGCGAAGCTCTTACTTGAAACATGTGTCGGTCCATATTGGCTGTATCTCCCCGAAGCCAGCGCTCTGGGTTAAACTCGTTTGCATCTCCGCCGAATATGCCTTTGTCAAAATGAACTACTGCAGCGTTCACGCCTACTCGGAGCCCTCCAGGGAACCACTGCCCTAAGATTTGTCGACCGCCAGGTGGAACAACTCTGGGCAGCGTCATTCCAATACTTGGATGTATCCTCATTCCCTCCTTGCAACATGCGATGAGATATGGTAGCCGCATGGCTTCAGCATACTTAACATGCGGATAACTTAGGTTTCCTGCGGCTGATGCCTCGTCAATCTCCTTCATCAACTTGCTGTAGACGACAGGGTTCTTAATGATATGAAACAAAATAGATGATATCGCCGCTGCTGTAGTGTCGCTTCCCGCGAAGCTGGATCACGGTAGTTTAGTCGTGATATAAGTTAGCTTGGGGTTGGTACGCAAAACTTACAAGCCACCATACGCTTCAACTTGGATGTCAGTCACAGTGAAGTCTTGCTCATCGCCTCTGCTCTCATAAATACAGAGCAGTTTGTCGAGGATGTCTTCTCTTGTACTGTTGCCTTTCTCTCGTAGCTGAATCCGATCTGTGACGCTTGTCTCCGCCGCCTGGTTGATAGCAGAAAGCGCATGCATCGCGCTCCTTATTGGTGAGAAAAGTAGGCCAGAAAAGAGGAAGGGAATCCGTATGTACTTAGGCAGCACACCGCTAGCACACACAATAGGAAGGCAATTATCGAGTGACGCAATATAATTGTGAGAGTCTTGTCTCTCCTTCATGAAACCAAACATTGAGCTGAAATAAAGCTCTCCAATCACGTCAAATGTGTACCAATTCACCCATTTCGCAATGTCAACTGGATTTTTGGTTTCAGCGAATTCTCCAATTCTCTGCAGGAAAAGTTCCGAGCAAATATCTATGAGGTCTTCGGACTTGACAATGCTAGTCATTGAATAAATGTTGTTCACTATTTTCCGCCGTTGGCTATGGACTTTCTCATTAATCGTGGTAAAAAGATCCGGGAATCGTGCTGTATGAGAATTCGTTAGTTCCAGGGAACAGCATTGAGAATCGACATGCAAACATCAATCGAGCAAACTTACCAAATTTTGGTCGGAAGGAAAGGTAAAAATCGGTCTAGGAGAGAATCCCACAAGTTATACAATTACCAAGATACCGAAAATAGTTTCTCACCTTCGTAAAACCTGAATTGACCCCATAGATAACCTTTATGAACTCTGGGTCCGAAATTGACACTTCGTTTGGGGCTATTCGTACAATGGGACCTAACAAACCATCAGCATCCGTAGCAGAATCAATATATCAAATGGTACTATTTCAGTGACAATATCGATTGATGTATACTTACCAAGTTTCTCATGAAGGGACTTCTGTGTTATATGTGCGTGCCCTTGAAACACCTCGAGTACCAACCAGAGCCGTGATATTGATGCTAAAAATGGGCCTGGATATTTCGAATAAGGATGTAACCATACCGTGAATAGTATCCATAAAGCCCAGTAGACTCCCATAAATCCAAGAAGAAAGAGAACATAATCTGACAAAGACATGCTGATCACTTCCATTACTCTCCGAATGAAGGTAGTGTTAGAGAGGAATGTTGACAGAACTGTCACTATGATTATGAAATAACAACAATAGCTTGGATGAAGATTGAAAAGTAGCAGGGAGATCACGTCTTCTTAAGTGAATTTCAACGAACCCCCAGAAAACCTAGGTTATCTTGTCTGATAACCCCGCATCAAATCATCGAATCTCGATAGTTAAGACTGTATCACCAGGGAGTAGCGTGGAGAAACCCCCGAGGACGTGGCACTATTCTGCAATTGCTATTCCACTTTTCCTGCTGAAACAGCGTTACAAATTCTTATTTAGGACAGTGCTTCTTAAAATTTCACTGATGAGTTTTAATTTCAGTATATATTTCTGCAAAATTCAGAGTTACCTTCAACTTTGAACTGGTTTGAATGATATGGCACAGCTATTAGCAATTCTTGCTTTGTAGCTTGCTTGGTCTTGTACGCCTTAGATGCGTATGTGCGTGTGTATATCGAGTTGGAGAATAGTTTCTAGAAATGGAGAGAATTACAATCTTTGTTGGGCGACCAGATAAAAATGACGCTATTAAAAAGCAAACTTTAGCTCCGGAACCAGATCTTTACCAGCAGCCAACACTTACCATGGTAACAGCATAGTGCAGGGGTTAACTCCAAAATAATTCAAAACACCAGCTCAATGCGATGGAGCGCTTTGTTTTCTTTGTTCACAAGTGATGATAAACTTTCCTCAAACAAAGAATGGCAAAGTCAATCTACACAATGTACGGTCAGTCATGGATTCTCTAGCCCACATGAATCCCTCCAATAGAAAAGACGTGATTACCATGAGATTTTTTCGTTAGAATTGGCACACAGTCATTTTCTTCGCAGCGCATAAGGTTAGGTCTATTTTAAGCCCAAGTACATACTGGAGCCAACCAAACGACTTCACTGCTGGAAGGTTAACATCGATTAATCATTTTTCGTATTATCGGAATATATCGTACTAATCTCATAACAAAGATTCCCTCATTTTATGGTGTTTTTAAATATGAAATAGCGACGAGAGCTAGCAGAAGCGCCGATATTTGGATATTAATGAAGATCACAGCTATGTACAAGTAGTTTGTCGGTTCATTGTAACCAACAACGCAGCCTAAATTTGATATTAATAGAATGATACTTAGGATCTTAATTTAATGATGACATTAAATGATTTACTTATTTAGAACAATTTTGATTTATCTAACCCTTCCTGGAGGTGGTACATAGTCAAGGTATGCAAGGGAAACCCCAAAGTTTAAAGTCATCTTTGCTTGGTCAGATAGCAATGCCGCATATCTGGTGAAACGACACCATGATACATACCGTCTGGTGAGACTGCCCATCCTCCCTATAACGGGAGGCAGGGTTGCGCAAGTAATAAATGGGCATCTTTGACAAGCAGAGCTTGACGACTGGCGGTGGGCTTATAATCTTCAATCCATGGTATGACAGACACATTAAGCACAGATGAGATGTTACAAGGATTAAGCCAAGACAACATGTGCATTTTTATGCTCACATAAGACCTTTCGCCTTCCTTAAAACAATGAAAATATCTATGTATTGGTTAGCATAACTACTGCAAGACTGTTACTTCGGAATAGGCGGATATGGAAGTGGAAATTCCATATTTCTCCATTTTCCACATCAAATGCAGCGTGGGGACAACCTTTCTAGACCCATGCTGAAAATCCCGGTTAGTTGACACATGTCAGGAAATGTGAATAGGGTAATTGTGTTTAGTAAACAAACGCTGCCTATATTCAATGGTTTATAACATGAACCGGACAATTCCAGGAATAGTAAGTTCAAACTAATCCCTTTCTTGACGGCATATGTAATCACTGTTCATTTTCCTAGGATAGCAGCATTTGTACTAATGCAGTCGTGAAGCGAAGGTAGTCCATGGAGAGTCTTCCAATGTATCGAATCCATTTCTTGTTATTTCCCCGCGGATTCTCTAAAACTATTATAAGCTTAGGGGGGTGTGTTGGATTATATATCAATAGTTAGTATCTTCTATTTGAGTGTTGAGTGCGCGACGATGGAGTGTCAACCTATCAGTTTGATCGATGGAAACTTTGAACATTTCTGAGACTATTCGACATGACGTTCTTTTCGGCTGACGACAATATTGAACAAATGAACAAAACTCAACTGATAGGGTGTTGTCTTAGCCATTCGGCGATTTCAACATGACCTTCTTTCTCTGCGTATATTGCTGCCACTTCACAAACAACTCTGAGATCCTCATCCCCATCGTAATGATTCAAAAGTAATTGTAGCATATCGTGTCTACCATGCTCTGCAGCACCATTAATTGCAGTCCTACCATCCTCACGTGCTGCGGGTGCAGCTACGTATGCGCCGCGTCGAATAAGTTCGACAACCAGGCCTGTAAGGCCATTTATTGAGGCTGCTTGAAGCGTTGTTATGCCGCGGATCTCTGCTGGGGCTGCATTAATATCTGCACCACGTTCTAACAAAAGAGAAATAATTTCCATATGCTCTCCTTTGACCGCCTCTTGAAGTGGGGACCCTATTCTTTCGGCGGCTGGAATATTTATTTCAGCACCCTGATCAATTAGATACTGGCAAATATCAATATCGCCTCGTTTTGATGCTCTTTGTAGCGCGGTTGTATTACCGTCATCTCGAGAATTGATGTCAGCTCCAACCTTCAGCAATAGCTCCATAAGCTCTCGAACTATTTCTCCTTCCGTATATAGCGTAGGCAGCTTGTGCCATGCTTTCTGCACTTGGTCATCATATATATTCTTTGGCAGCTTATTAAAAGCGTTCAGAAGAATTCCAAAGGTTTGAGAGTCCTCGACATCTTCATGGATAGCACGCGCTAGGATATCTTCTTTCAGGCATATCCTCTCTAGATCTTCGTATCTTTTCAGAAGCAAGGATGTGATCTCATGGCTCCTCTCAGAGATCAATCCTACCGAGAGTGCGCACCTTCGTTCCGGATGGAGAGTGTCAGACACGGGAGTATAGATATTCGCACCGTTATCTAACAATAAAGCCATCATTGGTATGTTTTCATGAAATATGGACCACCCTAACGCATTAAATCCCTGACAAAATCTATCAGCATAGTAGTATCCCTCAATATTAGAACCAATGTCGAGCAGATAGCTCAACCCGTCTAGCCAGTAATTGGATGCAGCTATCGCTAAGCAACGGGATGAGCCATTGCCAGGTGACGACGCGTTAATATCGGCGCCATTTCTCACGAGAAACTCAAGGATTGACCTATTTTCGGAAAATATCGCGGCTTCCATGGTTGTAAAGCCGTCCTCTTCCGCCGCTGGTCCGTCGATTTCTGCCCCCAAATTCAATAAATTTCTCACGGTATCTAAATCTCCAGTCCATGCCGCTGCTTGTATAGCTGTGAGACCCGAAGAATAACCTGGAGGGGCGTTGATATCGGCACCAGCAGCATACAAATAACCTGCCATCAATAAATGTCTATTCATTATAGCGGCTTGCAGGGCTGTCCGGCCACCCTTGTGCCCTGCCGGAGCATTTAGGTCTGCGTTTTTGTCCAAAAGCATCCATAAAATTTTAAAGCTGTTATTTCCCGCTGCCGCTTGAATTGCTGTGAGACCATATGAGGTAGCGGGTGCGGCATTCACGTCCGCCCCATGCTGTAGCAGAAGTTCCGTGATTTCAGGATGATTGAGACGAGCTGCCAATTGAAGTGGTGTGTCACTAAAATCCGGATCTGGTCTTCTGTAATCGACACTAACTCCTTTTGAAAGTAGAAGGCGAACAAGAGTTATGTTCCGATTCCTTACAGCGCTGTGAAGGGCGCGGGTGCCAGGTATGGGGCTTATCACAAACCCTACATCCACATGAGCCCCGCGACTTACCAACAAATGAATCAGAGAAGTGTTGTTTTGCTCTGCTGCGATCTCAAACGGTGTATATCGTGGCCTTCCCTTTTCTGCGTATACGGATTGCAATTGCATTCCGTATGGGAGATTCACATCTGCATCTCGCTCAATGAGAAACTCGGCTAATTCCAAGTTATCGGTATAGGTTGCTGCCTGAAGAGCAGTCCCGTAGTAGCATGGAGCATACGAGTTAACATTAGCTCCTGCCGCCAAAAGCATCTCAACAGCTTTCAAGTTTCCCGAGCCTGTAGCGTCGACTAAGGGGAAGCCGCGTGGTCTGCCTACAACGAAACATTCTGGATCCGCCCCAAATAGCAGCAGTGTTCTTAAAACCTCCAGGTTTCCTAGATTCCAAGGCAACTTTTTGGACTGATAAATTTCAATTTGTGTAGAAAATCCCTCTTTACAGAGCAGCTCCACCATTTCCTTATCGTCATGACCGACCGCAATCGACATGCAGTGCTCGATTACACAACAAAAACTTCGAAAAAATTGCCGGTAATTGGTCATATCAATCCCATGGTCAATGATAATTTTGGCTAGTCTAGTATTTCCAGACTTCACAACTGCAGGGAAAATCTTTCTTGTAAATATTTTCATTGGAACCGAGTTTAAGCCAAGCAGGTACGGAAAAATGGACAAGTCCAAAATTTGCGATAGGCATTCAAGCTTTTCCTTAATGCCATCATGGTCTAGCATATCGTTACTTGTCATAAAGACAAAGTATTCTAGGAAATCCTGTAGCTTATTTGATGGATGCGTCGTCCTAGAAGGATTAGATGTGGATAGCGAAAGATCGCCCGCATCACTGAATGGAATGTATGAAGCCAAACGTGCGAATTTCCCAGAAAGTCCTTTTCGGAAACTCGGAGTAAATGGGTAATCACTTGGTCCTGAGTTTAGGCCAAACATACCCCCGGTTGGGTATATCGACTTTACCGCATCTCCAAACGCAATCTCCAGAAATTCGGCTGCTGATTTCCTGCAATGTAGAATGTCGAGTTGACTGCTGGATTGATCCAGTATATTGTAGTAGGGAGATAGCCCGAATATTTCAATGCCCAGAACTTGTGCTGCCAAAATTAGAAGAACCCTTGAATTTGAAATTTGAGATCCTTACTCATCATTTCGATATCCCTTTGGAATTGGAACCATGGAAGGTTGTCAATGCACACTTTTCGAAGTGCGATAGGCGATTCTTCAGCGCATGGAGTGAATACTTGGATACCCTCAGGGGTAGGGATGTCTTCTAAAAGCTGCACTTGACTGGTATAGGTCACGTTTCGGGAAATTTCTCTGTCAATATACGATCTTGATCTCTTTCTTCCACGAATTTCGAAAAGGGAATCTTTGCCCTCTAGTTTTCTTTTCTTCTTTTCCTGGTCCACGTACTTCCACATAGTACTGTTTGCATACTTTTCTAACCCCCAGGCTTTGATCTTGGTGGTGTACTGGTTTTTTCTTAAACAAAAGGTTGTTAGCGATAAACTCAAGTGGATTTAGAGAGTAGATGCATACGTGGCTTTGAAGCCGTGTCTTTCTGCCATGATTTCCATCGTTTTCTCCAATGTTTCTCTCTGATAAATAGCAACAATCTCGTCTTTGTATTGCTCCCATATTGAAGAGTCGATTCGAAATGCTTTAGCCTTCATTTTTTTGACCTAGTAGAGAGTGGGACTATAAATGGTGAATAGTGTCAAATGTTCTATTCAAGTTGACCTGTAGAAAGAGAGAGACACACGAAAAGGACAAAACAGCGAAAGATGGAAAGGGAGGAAGTCGCTCTTGAAATAATAAAGCTCTCGAGAGCATGAAATAACAATTATTGCTGGCGGCTGCATGTATGACACAACCTCAGCTCCCATCGAGGAACGGCATGATTGGCCGATTGCACAATCTGATTCAGCCTTGTTGCTTATGGTTGGCCAAGTACGAAATTTGTATATTTGCTTTTTCTAAACAATTAAACAAGCCCCACAATCAAATCAGAATCTGGATTGAGCGACTGCGCGTTTTTCACAGCCTTTTCCAAAATCTGGTTTCAAAAATTAACACCAAATTTTGATGACCGCGCTGAGTGTCTCCACTGTCATTGATTGATAGTTGCCAAAATCTTATTTCAAGGGAGCTTCAGACGCCCGCCCACATAACGCATAAGTACAGCCACACTGTGGTCGATTTGCATCCGGTCTTTATCAGTTTAGTGTTCGCATTATTTTTTTTTGTCGTATATGTATAAGAGATCCGACATGAATAGTTTTCACACTTTCTCGAAATACGCATCCGTAAGCTGCTCCTTAACATTGAAAGACTAAATGGCTTTGTCTGCAGAAGCGATAATTGCACTTATCACTTTGGTTGTCACCTGTCCTCCATCGCTGCTGCTGATCTGGGTTTTTTTGAAGCGGACTCGTCGGACATTACTTGAATCGAGTGGGTAACGCATATACTTCTTAAGAGCTGAGCTGACTGACTGATTCTTCATTTCCTTATTCCAGGACTTTTACCTCGCCATCAGTCACAGAGTGTAACATCTCAGATATCGAATCGATACAATCCGAACGATCCAAATATACTTTTCGACAACATATTTTACCGCCGGAATATTCGTACAGAGCTTGTCTGTTCTTCCCATTTTTGTCAATAATAACACATCAACTAACAGCAAAAACGTCGACTACCTAGCCCAGGTCATATAACAGTCTATCCCTGAGGTCGCATCATATGACCACCCCAATGACTTTTCCTCAGTCGACTATCGAAGGGTAATCTGCTTTCTGTCTACATTCAGCCTAATGGTAACCACGGCTAAACACTGCAATGTGTATTCAGGGAGCCAACCTTCCGTCAGCGGGATGCACGAAGTGAGAGGTTCGAAGGTACCATTATTGTTGAACAGCATTCAGTCACACATGCTTCCTTGACTATACCTGCTCATACAGTAGGGATTGTTTAAGCACCACGGGTTTCTTCAGATTACAATGGTTTAGGTTCATACTGAAGGAAGGAATGGAGTCTATTATTTGTGGCTATACTACAACTTGCGGTGTTCTATCTAAATGTCTTCTTGGTATTATGGTTCCGGCTAACGGTACCACCTATTGTCAAATATTACTTTCCATAAACAGTTTCTTATTTTCCCGTCGTCGAAAATTGTCTTTCTTAAAGAATACTAGTAGAAGATGCCCACAAGGCATCCCAAATCGACCATCAGCAAATGCGTTAGGCTCAGAACTCGAATACTCATACGGTATAAGTTTAAAGAAAACGGCGTTTACAGCTTTTACGTTTATATGCAAGGCTTGGGATCAATTAAAAAGGCCAATAAAGTCATTAAGACCAACTTTTCTAATAAAAACGGTTGATTGGCATATAAAAATTAGAGTGATCGCCTTTCCATCGAATGATCTATCGCAGACTTAGAAATTGAGAAAACGACCTATCGACTAAACCGAAATATCAAAGAACGTGACAAGAAGAATAAAGGTACCTTTAGGTCTCTCTCAATGTTATTTTACATGTTATGTGCGTATTTATTTATTATACAATTGAGTGGCCACGACTCTACACTAGTAGCCACCACCTTCTTTTAAGTAGAACCGCCCTTCCTTGTGTTTCTACTTCTCCTGGGTAGTTTCAGTGTTGTCACCGTGACTCTCCTTCTGCTTCTCCTTTTTGACATTAAGCCATTCCATGAAAATACTACCCAGAATAGCCAGGCAAGCCAAGGTAAGAGCAACCCGAAAACATACGCGAAGTGAATCATTGTAAGCTTCCAGTGCTGCAGTGTGATACTGAGGCGGAATGATTTGAAAGAGACCGGTTATACCTGCAGTCTCGATTTGCTGAGGTGTAATACTCGTGATACCAGCAAGACGGCTAGCTAGTTGGCCATCGACAACATTCTGGCCAACCGAGACGAAAATGGCACCAAAAAGAGTCTGGGCAAACAGCATGAGCGAGGCACCGATAGACACTTGGTTTCGTTGTAGCACTGTCTGCGCTGCCATATTAGGGGCCTGGAAACAAGCCCCCAAACCGAAGCCATATACAATCTGATAGCCAATCCATTGGCCGACCGATGTGTTTATATGCAGAGTAGTCAGTATACCGGCACCGACCGCTGCAATGCAAATGCCTATTATTAGGAATGGCATATAGTATCCAATTCGGGACGTCAACACGCCGGAAAGAATTGATCCAACTACAAGAGAAATTACCACAGGTAGGAGGTGAATGCCACTCTCAACAGCTGAGTCGCTTTTGACGGCCTGGAACCAGATCGGGAGGAAATATACTTTATTCAGTATTAGCATAGAACACATCATTGACTCAATGGAAATGGGGGGTTTACTCAATAGTGTTTGATGTGCACCAACGCAGCAGCTCACCCAGAAGCCACCAGCAATACTGCGCTGTGTGAATATGTATGGTGGAACAATGGCTTGGTCTGGCATCAAAATCTGCGTTAAGACAAAGGCTATCAAAAGCACGAAGGCGACCACAAGTAACGCGATAATACGTTTGTCACTCCACTAGCGATATGATTAGCCCTGCTTATGCGTGGCAGTACAAATGTCCTTTCGAGACAGTTTTAGTCTGAACTTACGTTATATGTAAAACCTCCCCATTGAAGAGCAAGGCATAAGCATATCACTCCAGGAAGAAGGCTGATCAGACCCCCTACATTAAGCTGCTTCAACTTGTGTTTCAAGGTATCCGAATTTGTTGTAGAACGATCAGGAACCTGAAGCAAGAAGAAGATAAAAACAAAAACCAGGCCTCCAAGAGGAAGGTTGATGTAAAAACACCATCTCCAGGTAACATTCGTGGTAAAGGCACCGCCAATCAACGGACCAATCACTGATGCAATCCCATATATTGCACCAAATAATCCCTGATATTGGGGTCGTTTCTGAAGAGGAACAGCGTAAACTATGATGACGAACTAATACACTGCAGTGTAAGTAAGGTTATTTAACAAGGAGAATGCACACGTACAACTCCAGATTGAATGCCTCCGGCTCCCAGGCCAGCAATGGCTCTACCAATGATGAAGGCGATTGAATTTGGTGCTGCCCCGCAAATAGCAGAGCCTACCTCGAACAAAACCACGGCCGCTAAAAACGTAGCTTTTATATTTAAAAATGTATATAGTTTTCCAAATACCAACAGGAGTGCGCAATTCGTGAGCAAGTATGCCGTACCATACCAACCAATATCGTTCGCCGCACCGAATTCGTCAGTAATTGCCGGTGTAGCAGTTGAGATGATAAGTTTATCCTTTTAAAATGGCCGGTTAGCTTGTGCATACCCGGTAGAGTGTTTGCTACGTTGATCATACCAAGGCCACAAGAAACATGCAGATGAAAGTGGAAGTCATAAGCAGGGCAAGCTTAAGACCGGAAGGGTAGACCACAATAGCTTCATCTGAAGGTGCCATTCTGCTTTCGAAATATAGATGTCAAATACCAATTTGTATCAAGGAGAGCCCTAGTTTGAGAGTACGGTATGACGGGACAGCTTAGCAGGAGGGCAATAGGAAGGAATGTTCTGTTTTGCGAACTACAGAGATCAATGTAAAATATTGAAACAGGACGATGCTGTGCAGGTTTTATATTACCTCCCTTTATCGCGGACGGTAATTGCATAATTATTCACTTGTGCTGGCTGACGAATAAGCTTTCGTTGAAGAGGTTATTCTATAGTTTCACCATAGGCGTAAGACGACTGTCCGACTGTCCGCTTTTCCCGTCTCCGCGTGTGTATGTATGTGGCCGATGGCATGAGGATAATATAACATCACAATTGATTTTATTTTCTTAGCATTTAAAACTATTGTTAAATATTGTGACTCAAACGAACCGCGAGGGAAAATATTTTTCATTCTGTAATAAATAGTTGAGGTGTTGAGAATCGTACGCGAACGTACTGAAATTGTCCTTGATTGTATCAAACCGACGGAAATCAAAGTGGATATTAAAAACTACTGTTCATCAATGATTCAATTCATAATATTGGAGTCATCCTACTGACAAAAAGTAATCCATGCAAAAGACTCCCCACCCCATCATTTATCTAGCAATTAACTAGTGATGTATCATACCACCAGGCCTTGGGCGCATGTAGTTTTGGCATCGAGAATATGATTCAATAACCAATCAAAAGAAAAGGCCAATCATCCGCCTAGGTCATGCTTAGTCAACAAAGTGATTGGTGCCAGATAATTTCTTAGAGAATCGACCTCCCACATGCCTCTCGCTGATGGCAAAAAACATATCGGACATTCTTTGATACATATTGTTTGAAGATTGTAGCATTTGTTGATTTCCATGCTGGTCAACGATAATCCTCCCAAGAATGGGACGATCAGCATCCGATAGTAGGAGACGTGACAAGCCTATACTGAGCTGCGCCTTCTGCAGGGGTCGCAAGTAAGTCAGCCTCTTCTAGTGGGATTGGCCGTACTAATGCCCTTGTAGGCTTCGTTGCGACAGGCAATCTCCTTGTAGCGCTTGTATACGACGTGGAAAGTCTGCCGAATGCATCTATAATTCTACAGAGCAAGAGCGAAAAGATGCTATTGACTACAGACCTCATGCTAGAGGTCAGCAGGCTCGTCAGAGAATTGCTCGTCTTGAAAAACTCGTTACAGAGATGAGAGACATGACACAGAGCTCTCCTCGGACATTGGATAGCATACCATCACCTAGTGCAAGTCTGAATGAGCTGCAGCCACCACTTGTCTCTTCGAACGATAACGTGACAGAAAACATGGGTAAATTAAGCCTCACTGATAACCATGCAGTTTATATAGGTAGCTCTCATTGGGCTACTATCTTAGAAGACGTGAGTAGTATCTACAAGACGCTTTAAATGAACAGCCTATTGACCAGACCAGATTCAAAATCTCAAAGATGATCTATCAGATGAGTACCCAGACGATATTGCAATCAAAAGATTGTCGTCTTATGATTTTGATGGGATGCATGATTTATCGCCCCCCAGTATTTCTCTCCTCAGCAGTGTTGCCTGCCTTCCGAGAGAAGAAATTTTGGCTATGATACCTCCTCGAAAAGTAGTTGATAGGCACATCTCGCGATTCTTCAATTCCTTCGACTTCGCTTCCGGTAGGTCGTGAGATTTGGATCTTATATGATTTTATTTTATTTGAGAATGTGCTAACTCATCATATGCAGTCATTTTACACCGAAAGAAGTTTCTTGCAGAGGTTAGCAGTATGTGTTTGTTGTGAGATTATTGCTCATGCTGTCTGTAGTACACAAATTTCTGGGAGAATCCTTCATCTGCACCCATTATGTGGATAGGCCTCCTGTTCAGTATCATAAACACTTCAGCATTCCTCCAACAGAAGCAAGATATCGGGGGTTTTGGAATGTCAGCTGTGGACTTCCAAGACACGCCAGAAACCTACCGAACCCTCACTATTCACTGCTTAGTTGCCGGGAACTACCTTCGACCGAGTAATTACACAATAGAAACTCTCATATTACACTTTGCCATGGACCAAAATGTAAACATCGATACTAATATAGGCAACTGGGTCCTAATTGGCGTTATCATTCGGGTTGCGATGCGCATGGGGCTTCATCGGGACCCTTCTCACTGGCCAAACATCCGGCCAATTCATGGTGAGCTTCGGCGACGAATATGGATCATCCTTTACCATATGGACTTTTTTACGAGTACACAGGTGGGACTTCCACGCATCATCAAAGACTCGCAATGTGATACGCGTCCGCCCGCTCACCTGGTTGATGATGATCCTGCTTTTGAGACTGGTGAAATTCCACCTTCAAGACCGTTGACCGATTCTACTCCTCTTTCACATATCATCCAAAGGGATAGCATTATCAAAATAACAGCTGAAATTTATGACACAACTGAAGCAGCAATACCACCATCACCTGCCACTGTTGCTATACTTAGCACCAAACTTGAAAAAGCTATCGACTCCATACCAGCATGCTCAAGATATAACTCGCTAGAGGCATCAGTTACCGAAAACCCGGTCACAATAATGCATCGATTGTTCTTAGATATTCTTATACACAAAGCTGTTTATCTTCTCCATCGACGCAGCTTCGTCAAAGGTTCGGATGCAGAAGAAGAAAACCCCACATCTCATGAATTATGCATTACAGCTGCACTGGCAATCTTGGAGCATCAGCAAAGGATGAGTGAAGAGACACAACCTGGAGGACTTATGTTTGACATTCGATGGAAAGTCTCATCTTTGAATCATGAATTTTTACAGGCTACGATGATGTTGTGTTTTGCTTTGACTCGACTCGATGAGGATACGGATGCTAACACGACGAAATTTTCTTGTGCTCTAAACAGGCGAGACGACATTGTTGAGGCTTTGAATAATGCAAAATATTTGTGGGAAAAGAGCTCCGACTGGTCTGTAGAGGCTCAGAAAGCAGCGAAAGCAATTAAAGCGGTACTCAAGCAAGACGTGGACACTTCGAATCTACCTAATCTTGAAACTGGATATGGTAAGTAATGAGATTTATTTCGGAGTCTGATCAATTCACTGATTTTCGTTCGTTCCCAAGAACTCTTTGAACAAATGCCAGGAGGTTCCTCAAATCTCCATCTTAGCAGTTTTGACGCACAGAACATGGTTCTAGATCCCTCTTTTTTTGCGGTCGATAATGATATATCGACGTTCGGGGTATGTTAAACGACTTCGTACCTGGATCGAGCGACGTACACTGAAGGTGAGTCGGTAGTTTTAATTTACAACAATGCCATATCTTAGTGTGTCCTCCTGGGAAAAGCAAATCTATTCAGAACTTTTACGACTAATCTCATTTTCCTACTCTTTGGTAGGAAAACAGTCTAAATTGTGTATAACCTTCAAATAATATCACTGCTACGAATATTGAATTGAGATAAAGTCTTATATTAAAGCTATACATTGACGATAAAACCAAGAAAGTATCTTTCCCTCAATCCCAAGCGGTTGACTCTTAGGTGCTACTTCGATTCCTTTTCAGATCCCTCATTTCTCGCACGGGCATCATCCTCTCATTTGTTGTCGAGGTAATAGAATCTCGATCCCAGGCCCAGCGCTGTGCAAGACTTTGGTCTAATTGCCCTTCAAGCATTTGGACAACATACTTCCCTAAGATGGGGAAGAATTTCCAACTATGGAAAGATCCTCCGGTTGCCATAAATAGATGTTTACAGCGCGGATGTTGACAGATAATGAAGTTTTGGTCAGGAGTGATAGCGTCCCTGTCAATATTCAATTGAATCAATAAGCATATATAAACTGAGAGAGAAAGTCTGCTTGAATCTATGAAAGATTGCGATATATGAATATCACGTCTCTCCTTACCAACATATGCGACAATCTTCATATTCAAACGCTTGTCCCTGATCACCGAGCATATGCTCGCTTACAGTAGCGAGAGCGTGATTCATTTCGGCTGCAAACGCTGAATAGTTTGATAAAGGGTCACTCGGAGGTGTTGAGATACGATTTCCATTGCAAATTTCGATGGTGTTTGTAAAACTAAGGTCACAGGTAATTTTCAATTCATTCTCTGCGTTTGGTGGTATCATCCCTCCTGTTTTGTTTCAATGCAATTAACATACGACTACTTTCACTCGGGTAAATATATGCAACGAACAGTAAAAGAAATTACTACATACCTTGGCCTTCACCACCAGCGAGGAGAAAAGCAGGACCGGATCGGAATTGCTCTGCGTCTTTCTGACCTAATTTTACGACACCCGTGATTAGCCCCGCTGCCGACATTCGACTACCTACGTGAAGCTCTGGGGTCTCTGGAGAACTTTTCACTAGTAGCCTTGCGGTCTCTGCTCCTGTCGCAAGAATAACGGAGTCCGAAATGAACACCTGACCATCCACAGACCGAGCTCCAGTACAAACACTCCTATCTTCATCCAATATGAGACTGGAAATGTCCGTTTCAATGTACTTCACCACTCCAGTAGATACAGCTGCATCAATAACTTTCTGTAAAGTTTCTCTAGCTTCAACCCACCCGCTGCTCTCGTTCAGGAGTACTTCGGTAAGATCACCTAGGTCGGCACCCGAGAAAAGCCCATGGTTAAGATCACGAATTGCATCTGGAGTGACGAGCTCGCACTTCTCGTCACTACCTTTCACTCCAAATCCTTCATAGTTAGCAATAACATTCTTTGAAAATTCAGATCTGTTGATGTCTGCCCAGACCAGTCCTCTTTCATAATAGAAGTCCTTGTACAAGGGATCCGTTCGCCACAGATGTTTCGCTTCGAGAGCCAGTTTCATGTAAAGTGGATCCGGGTAATCAGCACGAATTATTCTACTCTGGTCTCTCGAAGCACTTTTGTGATACGAAACAATCGGTCTATCGATGAGAATGATCGGAATTGACGTTTTGGAGGAAAGACACTTTTCCGCAAGGTGTAATGCGGTGGAAGCCCCGAAGATTCCGGATCCAATAATCAAGTACGACGAATGGATTTCGTTCGTCATTTTAAATAGCAGCTTATTCTGCTCTTAGAAGAGTAGAAGAGTTGTGTGCATAGCGATATGAAACTACGTTCCATAGTTGTTGCATGTAGTTCACCTCTTCGATGTGTGTACAACCTACCCCACCCGACAGAACCATGCATGCCCAACGCCATCATTCATAGGCTCAAAAAGTGAAAGTAACTAAATATAGAAATATCTTGAAAAAGAAGTTTGATTCCATAGCCTCATCACTGTAGGCACCAAACACATACCTACACATTAGTTTTCCAGCAAAAGGAATGTTATGTATGATTTAATGTGAGAAATCCAGCTTCACAATACCAGTTGGCATATGCATGAATGTGAAGTGTGATTAGATTTGTAATCTAGTGGCGTATAGCATTTTAGCATTCACTTCCACAGGCATGAAGTCTTTGTAAGTTCAATATACAAGCGGCGGTAGGCGAAAGCGTCGAAACTCACGTGCAGTCCCGGCAGAGTTCATTTCCATGCGACCGCTTAAATAAGACAAATATACCAATTCGAAAGGTCTATCAGACTTCCATACTGATGTTGAGATAAATTCACTCTCCTCATTTGCATAATTGGGAATGACCCCGTACGCAGACCCAAGTGACTGATCGAACAAATCCAGCACCTAGCCTCTATCGGGGCATAACCAATAATTACTCCGTGAAACTACAGAAACGGTTAACCAACAACAAGCAGTCCAGACTCTAGACTGCCGTCGTGAAGTACTTTTCCAGCGATTTTCATTGGCTCGTCATGAGCCTGATCATCTCTCCCCACAGTTTATCAGTCCGATATTGGCCGGCGGTCAATCTGATTCTGATAGCTCTCTGGTTAGAAAAGCCAAGAGATGCAGGAAGATGTACATATCATTCCAATAATAAAGTTACGGTGAATCGATAGTCAGGTGAATAGTATCCCTGTGTTCCTTCTTGTGTGGCTTGCGCAGGATTGACCCGCCCAGGCCCGCTAAGTGTGGACTTTCATACTCGCTTTGTGGGGTTCTGTTATCAGGTCAGTCTCTCCGACTCCGCAGATACATGAACTATACTAGGTACAGTAAGTACAGAGTAGTATTGGGCCAAAATTTTTGCTTTGTTTGCTTTTTTGCCGTCTATCAGATGACAACCTAGACCGATTCATGCGTAGTCTGGTTTGATAGCCCCCATTCACAAAATAGATAAGCCAGCAAGCCATACATTATTTCGATCAGTAGCTATCTCTAAATGTCTCCTCAATTGATTGATTTGGATACCTTCAACTGCTCATGTTAAGACAAAAATAGTGATTATCATGACAAAATTGCGTTTCTCTCCAGATTTATTAACAGATCTGCCAAGCTCCAAACCATCAGCTTCATGGCATCGTACAATTAACAACAAGCGGGGAGAAAACCGCACTGCTATAAAGCTTCTCCACGGTTTTTTAATTCTCTGTCTTTGTCTCTCTATTTGGTGGACGTCCGCCTTTGGGTCATACCCTTTGGCAAGGACAGGTCTTTTTTCGGGGAGGGAAAACCAAATTATAGATATCGAAAATGAACGAATAATACATCCCGCAGAACAACAGATTTTCCGATGGGATGATATCGTCCCTAGCGAGTCCCTCGAGTATACGCCCTGTTTCTCATCTTTTCTCTGCGCGCGATTATCCGTACCGCTGAATTGGAACGCTACCACTACCCCAACAGCAAGCAATGATGAGCCCGAAGAAGCAGAAACGCGCGTCGCAGTGGCTATCATAAAATTGCCCGCCAAGGTCCCAGTGACCGACCCTCAATACGGAGGACCTATCATCGTCAACCCCGGCGGACCTGGTGAATCGGGAATCTATCAGGTCCTATCAGATGGCGAAAGCCTGCAAGCACTTGTTGACAGTGAGGGCAGCGATATCACCTTATCGAATAGCGAAGTCCAATTCCCGAAACACTTCGATATCCTGTCATTTGACCCGAGAGGGGCAAACAATACCACCCCCCGTTTACGCTGTTTCCCAGATGCGTTCAGTCAGCAAGTCTGGCAGTTGCAGTCGCCAGACTATGGGCTATTATGGCATAGCGAGAGCATTATTGGGATGGATTGGGGGCGAGCAGCGGCACTTGGAGCCAGTTGCTCACATGGAAGAGACCACGACGCAGAGAATATTGTTCCGTACTTGAATACGGCGCAGACAGTCGAGGATATGCTTCAGATTGTTGAAAAAGAAGGAGAATGGCGAGAACAAGAAGCACGAAGATTGATGACAGGTGAACGCCCCAGGACAGGAAACAGCATCGGAAGCGAAGAGGACGGAGAAATCATCAAACGAGTAGCATACCGACCCAGTGAGGAAAAGATCAAATACTGGGGTATGAGTTACGGGACCCTGCTAGGCGCTACCTTCGCCGCCATGCACCCTGATCGGGTCGGCCGAATGATTCTCGACGGCGTCGTCGATCCAGCCGACCACTACTCCGGACGCTGGCTAACCCAACTGCAAGACTCTGATCAAATCGTGTCGAAATTCTGCGAATATTGCTTCCAAGCTGGACCGGAGAAATGTCCAATCTATACCGGCTCTTCACCTGCAGATGTTGAAGCGCGGTTTACATCCATTCTCTACCATTTGAAAGAAAACCCCATTGCGGTGTCTCCTCTTCGCTCCGACGGTATCAGTAGCCCGGAAATGGTAACATATAACGACGTCCATTTGCGACTTCTCTCCGGCTTATATTTCCCATTTACAATGGCAGAGAATTTCTTTAGCCTTCTGCTTGCGCTGGAGAGCAGAAATTCGTCCTCGCGAGACTTGGTGACTATGGTCAGTGGAAAGCAGGCCCTGCTCACCCCATCCGGATGCCAACAAAACGACGAAGAATCATCCGAACTCAATGTTCCCTATGTATCTGGCGTAGGGGCCTTCCAGGCGATTTCATGCATGGATATTGGCGGCCCGTTAAATCTCACGCGGCAAGATTTCCGAGACTACCTGGCTGAATTGCTAGGCCAGAGTCAATGGATCGGCCCCAGCTGGGCACGCAACAAACTGGCATGTGAGGGATTCACAGTGACGCCTGTATGGAAACCTGCTTTGAAGTTTGAAACGCAAGAATGGGCGAATACTTCACACCCGCTGTTGATAATTGGTAATTCGCATGATACCGTAACCCCATTGCGCAACGCGAGGCGTGTCTCAAGAGAGTTGTTTCCCGGAAGTGCGGTGTTGCACCAGGATTCCGAGGGTCATTGTTCACATTCTAGCCCGTCGTTGTGTACGGCGAGGGCAATCCGAGAATACTTCCAGACCGGACTGGTGCCTGAAGAAGGCACAGTCTGTGAACCGGAAATGAAACCCTTCCTGGGCTGTGTCTCGGCTAAGAATAATAGCGATGCTGGCAGTGAGTGTAATTTCGCTGATGTGGCAGACGCAAAATTGTGGAAAGCTTTGGTTGAGCTGGCGGATCCGTTCCGGCTTCAGATTGACTCGATGAAGATGGCCAGTTGGCAGCCTGCTGGATATCCTGTCAAGGGTTATTGATTTAGTTGATGATAGATTGACGAATTGACGTATATATAGATTTATTCATGCTGATACCGGTTGTCTTTGGCGAGCTTACATGTATTGAATTGATGGAGTTACACCTACGCATGTTGTAGTAATTAGTCAAACAAAAGAAAGCTCGTTATTTCAGTGGTTTTACAAAACATATAGAACAGATAGAAAACGGTCTATGCATTAAGCCTCTGCATTACACCAACGCTTCAATTGATTTACTTGCATTTAAGGGTTGGCCTTGACAAACTCAACACCCTTCGCGATGTTCTTCTTCAAGTCACCAAGGGCGGCCTCGAGAAGCTTCTCCTCATAAGCAGAAACCTGGCCAACGGGGAGGATCTTCTCAACACCATTGGGGCCGAGCTCGACACGGGAAGCGAAGAAGTCAACACCCTGGTCCTTATAGAGAGGGCTGTCAACAAAGGTAGGCTCAATGACACCCTTGACACCCTGGGCAGCCTTGAGGAGAGACTCGGCGAAGCGGGCACCGGCGAAGGCCATGGAGAGGGTGGCAGAGCCAGCACCGTCCTTGGCCTTGACGACCTCGTCACCACCGAACTGGATGCGGTTGACAAGAGCATCACGGGCCTCACCCTCAATGTCGGCGTGGTTGGACTGAGAGAGGAGAGGAACGATGGTCACACCAGAGTGACCTCCAACAACTGGGACCTCCTCGTTGGCAGGGTCGGTCTTCTTGACCTGGGAGATGAAACGAGAAGCGCGAACGACGTCGAGGGTGGTAACACCGAAGAGACGCTTGGGGTTGTAGACGTTCTTGGACTTGAAGACCTCGGCGACAATGGGGACAGTGGAGTTGACCTGCTTGTCTATTAGGATTATACCGTGAAAATTCCAGTACAGGTTGCACGTACCGGGTTGGAAATGACCAGGATGTTGGCGTTGGGGGAAGCTTCGGCAGCAGCCTTGGCGAGGTCACGGACAATGGAGGCATTGGTGTTGAATAGATCTTGCTTCTGATCAGTACGGTAGTATGGCACTACAGATCGTTTAGATGCAACGTACCATCACGGGTCATGCCAGGCTTGCGGGGAACACCAGCGGGGATAAGGACAACCTCAGCGCCTTCGAGGGCCTCCTTGAGACCCGAAGGAGTAGGGTCATAGCCAGTGACAGTGCTGTTGGTGTTGATGTGGCTGAGATCAGCGGCGACACCTGCAAATAAGCTTGTTAGTACTCGGCGGCGCAAGAAAAAGATAGGTTGCAGGTGTTGTACCAGGGCCGCCACGGATATCGTACAAAGCAAGCGTGGTAACACGGGGGTTAAGCTTCATCAACAGAGACAAAGGCTGGCCAATGCCACCGGCGGCACCGAGAACGGTGACCTTGGAGGCCTAGATATGATTTTCAGCGGTTAGTAGACCGATGTACTAGTTGGTAAACACAGCACGGCAAAAAGAGAAGCGCACCTGGCGAGCAGAGACCGAGAAGGCCCGCTTCTGCAAGAGACCGAACGACTGGCGAGCAGCGAACATGATGAAGAATGGAATTGTATTTTGAGGGGGATATGAAAGGATGCAAAACACAGGCACAGAGATGGGCAATTGGAGAGGAGAGAAAGAGAGTCCGACTGCAAAAGTTGCACTGGAGGAAAGCCGAGCCGGGCGAGCGCTAACCGGGACCAGCCTAGCAGCCCTCCCTGTCTCCGATGGGCTCCGCGTCCCGGTGTGCCACATACAACTCTACTACTACTAACTAGTTCATTAATAGTACTACTAACTTACTCGGAGTCGAGGTGATTAGCCGCGGCATTTCTGTGTGTGTCTACGTAGCGATCATCGGCATCGCTTTACTTCTCGGGCACGGCTGTACGGCTGTACGGCTTCAATTGCACTTGAGTTCCTCTTCCCAAGGTATAATAGACACGCAAATCACGTCATTGCAAGTAAAAGTGGTATTCTGTCCCAAACGCCGGCAATAACAAACCACAAACACAAGTATCTATACAGGACTGCTCGCAGAACGCTGGAAACTGACTTTGGTGGGTGCTCACGACCTCAAGAAGTGAAGCACAAGCCAGCAGAACAGGAAAAACACCACCACTCCGCCCCAGAATATCCACTTGTCCTCTTTTGCCCGGCGCTCCACCATCCGGATAGTATCGCCGCTGATGCCCAGCGTGTTACCCACGCTGTAGAGCCTGCGTTGTGTGCCCTTCAGTATATCTCGCTGCTGTCCGAGATCATTCAAGACTGCACGGCCGCGGTCCAGGAACTCGTCGAGTTGGTTATTTGTCTGTGCGAAAAACGACTGCTCGCGTAGAGCATGCGACTCGCGCTCGTATGTGCCTGGTCCTGCACCGAAACTCAACCCGGAGCCGGAGGCGTTTCCATTTCCAAAGGCAGATGTTCGAGGGAGGGCGGAGTCTGCGTAGGGGTTCTCAGGCGTAGCAGCATTATGGGGGCGGCGACCGAAGAGCTCACTGCGATTCGTCACGGATGCCTGGACACACATTAATATATACGTATAGCTAAACAACAGACGTAGGATTCTGCTCGTGCTCGTCTTACCGCTTCTTCTCGTTCTTTACGCAGCCGCTCAAACTGTTGTCGGTAATCGGTCAACGCTGTGCGGAAATTCCTCTCGCGTTCTGCTGCTTTTTCTTTCTTTTCGGCGATGATTTCGCTTTTCGCTAGGGTTGAGTAGTCGTCTATTGTTCTCGCATAAGAGGCAAGTGACGCGGATATTTGGCCTGTCATAAGTTTAGAAGCGAGAACAACAAACAAATTCATCAGTTGTAATAAACATACCCTGCAACGCAGGCGATGTGGTAGACGGTGACTCGGCAAATATATCAAGATCGCGACGTATTGCAGATGACTGCTTCAAAGCCGAGTTGAACAGTGAATTCTGTGGTTTGGCAATTAAACTGTTAGTGGTCGCGCGAGGTGTAAACTTTCGGATGGTCACATACCATTTCATCAACTCTCGCTTTCAGACTCTGCCACGGCGAACGCAAAAGTCCAGGCAATAATTTGGATATCACAGATAATAGTTTACAAAGGTAGAGAAGAAGTTTGATCAAGAATGGTGGCGTGACAGCTATATTGTTCTCGGTGGGCCGAAGGGACACCTCTTCAAAAGCCAAAATAGTGACGCCATTCACCGCCTTCAGATAATCCGAGATTCGGCCTCGCTCTGAACAGATGTCGACAACTTGATATCCGACATTTATAATATTTCCCTGGAGTTTATAAAATAAATTATGTTAAGACGTATTTCATCCGCCTCTTTCAGGAGCATGTGCAAAAACCAGGTTCACTCAAGGGAAATCACTATTAAATCTACAACATGGTATAATCGATAACTATTCCCAGTAGAAAAGCAGAGAGGAGACATTCTACCAACCAACACCGATATTTAAAAAGGCTCAAAAGAGTCAGACATGAGAAGTACGAGCAAGCAAAGCGATCACGACTTCGGTCAATCCCACTGCGCATTATCTCCAATTTAGTCTTTCTTGGGGTATTTGTTCTGGATGAGCCACCTATAACACGTCGTTAGTGAGAAACAATACATCAAAGTTAGTAGCAGCTAACACCCACTTGCTAACAAAGTAGTCAACACCAGCAAATAGACCGACAGCACCGGCCCAAATACCAGCAACTTCCCACGACAAGCGTCCCTCGGTATGCTTGCGATAAGCACCATATCCAAGCCCTGCACTGACGGCAGCAATAATAACGGCATTTCCAATATAAACGGGGTTTTCGGCGTTGTCGCGTATACTTTTAGCCTTGGCTTTTCCTTTCTTGCTCGCAGAAGCCTTTGACCGGGCGAGAGCCTCCTCGGCCTCCCGCTCCAGTCTTTCGGCTTGCGTGGTGGTCTTCACTTCTTGGTTGAGAAAGTCGGAGTGAACAGACTGGACCGAGGGTGCATCGACATCGACGAGAGAAGCGGTGCTCACAGATTCTGTTTTGACGATCTCAGGCGGGGCCGGGGCACGACTTCGTCGGTTAGATATATGTCAAGGAGCAGAATTCAGTGCTTGTACTCACGCCTATTGCAGGGTTAGTTATCTAAGTACAGTCACCCATCTATTTAAGCGCAAGCCGGCTTACCTCTTCTGGGGGCTGGGGACCTCCCTTAGCAGCAGCAGAAGCATAAGACATTCTGGCAGTAGGTAGTCGGATACACTGTGAGGACATTAATACCAAGAAGCATACTTAACGGATGTAACATACAGATGGATGTTGTTATACAGGTACAGACGAAACTGTCGTGCTAAATCTTGCCTGAAACTGGTGATCGGGCGAAGAGGAGTATTTAAAGGCGTGACCACTTGCATCTGCCAGGGTCACGACACCTACGTCATCGCCGGGTGACTCGCACGTGTTCGGGCCAGAGCTGCCGCCTTGGGACTAGCGTGGAATGAGCTAATTCTGCATTTTGTTGATGCTTCATACTACTACGTAGTTATGTATATGCACTCCTAGTGCTATTAGTATCATGAGTATTTGTGTTGTATGCCCAGAGGAGGTAAAGCAAGTGATCTAGTTTACCCTGCTTCAATGTGGGAGAATTTCAAGGAACGGGTCCTGCATCTCATGGTAATTGTACATATACCCCTACATGGCCTAGCGTCGACACCTTGGGCGATAGTAAATATGTGGACTTAGAGCCTTAGAGCCTTAGAGCCTGGAGTCTAGAGGCCTCAGGCCCAAGGCCTATATTCATTGGCTCCCCTAAAGCCTTCATAAACACACTCGCATGTGATATCTCTCTACTACTGTCTAAATTCTAAAATGAAGCGATAAACTTCACTCAAAGGGCAAGCCGACTAGATGTACAATCTAAGATACCAACTTTTTTTGGCATCCAATCCTTCGTCCCGGGCTAGCTCTTTGCTGGTAAAAGCAAAAGATCACCTCAAAGAATTATCACTTCAAGACAGAATGTTTAATCAGCATGGAAAAAGAGGTTAGACGAGCAGATTATATAGGTTTTCGCCCTATTTGAGACTGTCTCCTATTTTCGTGCGAATTTCCTAGGAATTTTAAATTATATGTTATGCCTTGTTAATACATATTAAATATAGAGCGTCTATATCCAGAACAATTCAAGTCATCAAGTAGTATTGTATAGACATTTTACATGGTCTCAGCTGATCGGAATACCACAGGATTCTTGTGTCAGTTGGGAAATGCGTTGCAGCTACGATGCCCACGAAATGAATCCAAACATTAAAGCAAATGGGGAACGATGATGGATATCTGAAGTATCCCTCCCCCTTTATTGATGATACTATTAATAACAGAAATAGATTCCAAACAAGTAAAATTGCCAATTAGCCGACGAAATTGATAGCTTCAGCCCTACACGTACTCACTGCCTTTATCAAGAAATGTTTCACCCTAAGAAACCTTCATCTATCAACACTTGGAAGTAGGAAAATCCTAGAAAGATCAACAATATGATTATAGTATTCAAGAAAGTCAGCAAAAATAAGAATGTTACTCTACATTTAAATGTTCTGTAAGGGTGTTAATGAGTAATGACTGAATCTTCATTATTTTATAAAACGTAAATTGAGTAACTAATCAAAGGTTGAAACATATTTTTAAGCTGATTACATAGGCAACGTTATCTTATGGGCTGTGTAATTTTAAATGTCACCCTATAAATGGCTGTCAAATACCCCAGGGCCCAGTGTATTATTGATTGCAACCATACGTGTGTAGCCAAAGGGTACAATTTTGCAATGATGACTAGTCACGAGGGACCATAGACGTTAATTTTATTTACTAGGTCTTTATGCTAGATACCAAAACAGATATCGCCCTACCGTGACTTTCTCAAGTGCTATACTTGTGACTGAGTTATATCGATTATACCAGTTGATGGATGTATATGTGCCGTTCCAAGGATAATTCAAAATTACGTAGATAGATGGACTGCAAGGCAATTACATTAATTAGAAAACTCTTATCCATTAATTGATTAAAATACTATTTTCGCATAAAAACAACATTGAAATATTACACGCCTAACGTCGAGACAATTTGCTAAGAATCCAACTGTAATATGCATGATTCCGAAGAGACAAAATGAAAGTAAAATGCCGAATTTTAATGTTCCCGAAAATGCAAGGAGCATGCATGGGTTACAATGTCCTCTGCCTTAAAAAGGCCACAAATTCACGGTTCCTATAAAACGCCTTGGGAAAAACCATCCACACGGGATTCTAGGGAACACGGAAGAAATGTATAAAATAAAGCGTCAGAACGAAAAAAAGAAATGATAAAAATAAAAACACTAAATAAACCGCATTCTTTAGAGTAAACTCCTCCCATGTCTGTTCATAGCGGCATGTCGTAGCATTATAATTAGGTTGAACTTATCCATTTTGGAAATGGCTTTGACCACCTCTATGATTAAAAATAAAATGTTGTGGCGAAATTTCTGTCGGATTTCTTGGTTTGTTGCTTTGTGTGACGGGTTGGAGGGAATACATGTTTGCATTCAGTGGTCGAAGAGTAGAAGTCTGGTTACGCAAAACTCAGAACAGATCACGAGTGAAAACCACTGCAGGATGAATAACACCACTGACAGAAACCTAGGATTTGGCGGAATGGCAGTTATTGCAACGGTTATACCCGCAGATCTTGCACCGCCATATGGCCGTGAAGGGACCAGAGTTGCAGTCGGAGCAGCGCCAGGTTAAAATGTTGCCATTGGTGCCCTGGATGATGGCGAAGACATGGCCAGAGCATTGGTTTGCCATTTTGCAGGATAGTAGAATTTCCTGTTTGGTGAGCTTTATTCAGGCGCAAAAAAGTGTAGCTAGGGACATCACATACGGTTGAATAGGTATGGGTTGTTGGATAAAGTCGTAAAAAGATGAGGACTAGGGCAATGAGCATACAACGAAGACAACTTCGAATCAATGACAGAGTTAGACTTACACTGCAAGCTGTATAAAAGTTGTCAAGACAAGTCAATGGGAAAAGCTGGTCTGTAAAATGGGATGGTTGACAGAAAGTGTCCAATTTATAGACCTCGATCTCGTAAGGCAACTTCCGAGTGCACGATATTGATGTACTCCGAGTGATAGACCGAATTGCAAGGACTCAGTAGCAAAAGAGTAAACAACGAACGAACGACAAGCTAAGCACTCCCTGCAACTGGATCCCTAACGGCCAGCAGCACGCATCCGATTCGGGGAGGGACGAACGCTCAGATCGGGACTCGGAGCCTCAAGTGTAATGTGAGGTCGAAATGCGGTGCATGTCTCCAACTCGATCGTAGAGCCAGAATTACGAAAGTCAAAAGTCGGAAAAAGTAAATGAAATATTCGGATTAGGGGCCAATAGCAACACGTTGAAGTAAATACCGAAACGGTTGACGAGGACAGCTCAGAAAAAACAATTTCAAAACAAGCGGTATCAGACTATCAGCATTTGCGCGAGTGCGGAAGCCAGTTTCAGCGCAGCCCAGGTCTGGCCGGCGACATGGGCAGAAGGAGGATGCAGAGGAAGACAGGGCATCCCAGCAGGGCTTGGTCATTCAGGCAGTCAAATACAGTGTAATCGGTCCAGATAAACATACGGAGGAAGACACAGCATTATCCATGACGCACCCAGCCCAGCTGGCCCAACAGCGCGGCAGTTCCCCCCTTCCCATCGCTTCATCACCAAAAGTCGCCAGGCGCTAGTAGCATTTTCGGTGGTACCGCTGCCATGGGTCCAATCATGGCAGCGTATGGGGTAGTTTTCGTGCTAGGGGGCGAACCCATTGGGCCTAAGTCCCTGCAGCTCGTCTTAATCTTCGCACAGCATGTTGTGCCATTGGCTACGCGATGTCGAGGCTGCTCCACCCGACAGGGACTAGACAGGGACTACCTACCATCATTGAATGTGCAGTGGACCTAGGATCGGCCAGCAAGATCAAAGACATGGTTCAATAAAGCTGTTGCGGCGATACCATTGGCTAGTGCGGACTTGGTTTCTGGGCTGGTTCTGGCTCAACCAACGGAACCATTGCGTTTCATCCGTTTAATGCATCGGCATTGGCTCCAGAGGGGCCAGCCACTGGCCAGAGCTGGATTTCCGGCCCGCCCGGACACGCCAAGCCGGCTGGTGGTTGGCACGTCTCAGGAATGCCAAAAAAAGAGTTTCCCGGGGATGCGGTCCCGATCCTAGCTAGCCCTGCCTAGTGCGCGACTAGTGTTTGCCCTTTTTTGTTCTCGTCTTTTCTCCCTCAGTAAGCACTTGTACGCGGTAGACCAAGTCATAGCAGCTATTTGCAGTTTGAGGCTTGATTGAGCTAATCCCTCTATCCTCCTCCTCTCCAGATCGGGCAGGAGCTTAACGTTTGCTCTCTAGTATCTACTATTCTTGGTACTGGACTAACATGGTCTAATGCACAGGCTGTGTCATACACGTCCGTAGTCGGCTACACACTGACGATTCAATGATTGTCATGATATTCATGGAGACCGGATACATCAACTCATAGCTTGACAAACGGACGGCCTAGCTTCTATCCGATCCTCACTGCCTTAACTGCGCATTTATTAGTGGAGCAAGCAAGTGCCGGAAATTTAACGCTTCGACCCTGTCCGCACATCCCCTGCTGCCAGTCACTACCCAGCCTGCCAATCAGACGTCTTCCTCAGCAAAACAATAGTCTTCCTGCGTGCCACCATCCCCGTTTTGAGAATGTACGGCGCATTGCTAACCATGGACTCGGGTTCAGATAGTGTTCTGGATCGACGCTTTCTAGGTTTTTCTTTTGGCTTTCTGCTTTATACTTTCCACCAAATCGACTATTACTGCCTAGCTACATTCTTGCCCGAGCTAATCGACGGTCTTGTTATTCGGATTATTTCGTGCCACAACGTACGACGGTTTCCAGATGAAGTTACTCACAACGCAGGCCTTCCACGGGCAAGAATTGCGACAGAACACGCTTGGTTATGCCGAATAATTCCAGATATCGTCAGGATTGAAACATATACCAGCTCACACTTTCCCTTGTTTTATTTTGTTATGCTTGTCCCATATAGCACAAACACTGAATATAGTGTGTTGCATCGCTCGCGAAACGCTATTCTGCAATTTTCCCGAGAATGCTGCAACCCAAATCAATTGAACGTGATGCATCAAATACAAATACTACACAACAAGCCCTTTAGTCACATGAAGCAGACCAGTTGCGAGGAAGCTCCACCTAGAAACCATAAAATTACCCCCTATCTACCTCTCAAATTAAACTATATTTAACTCGACGTGAAACCAGCCAGCCTCCTTTGATCTATTTAGTTAATCCGCTGACCGGTAAAATAACTAGTTGTCGCCACTTTACCCGTTTCTTTACGTTCATTGTTACTCTGACTACTCGCAATGCGTCAGGCCAATTAACGCTTGTCGGCTATCAATGATTGATGATGTGATATCGATTGGGGCTCGATCCAGCCCTGTCTTTCCCCACTGCTGACGGAAATCCGGGATCCCAAACGTGGGAAAAACAGCTAATTAGGTTCTAATACTAGCCCTGCTAATCTGACTAAATCTACTAAATCTGACAGGTAAAAAATAACAATTCAAAAAATAAGTGTTCTAATTATGAGTATGAACTCAAATTGGGAAAGGAGTGCTAATCAAGCCACGTTTACGGTGTACTTCGTTCGTGGAAGCTGAATGACTGTGGGAAATTTACCCTGACCGACTAATCAGACAGCATGCAGCATTCCAGAGAATCCAGACCATCCACCTCTGCTCGTCTGCACCTGTCCCTTGGAGTGAACACCAACAATAGAGCGGTGAGAGTTCGTTCGACTGGCTACAAGTGATCACCTCGAATCCGGATTATCAGATATGTTCCCTAACAAAGAAGGTAGTCTAAAAATTGAATGAACCAAAAACCCATCGCTGATCATTTTGCCGTTTCTCGTTAGTACTTTGGTTATTTATTCTACAACCAATCTATATGACTATGAAGTATTTGTACGACATGAAGAAAATTCTGCAAAGTTGACGAGCATGGCCACCGGTGATCGTGTACATGTACCCCGACTGGACAATCTGAATGAGAGGAATTTCAGAAAATAAATAAACTTTGGTGTCTCAATGTTGATCATTCATTGCTTATAATAATGAAACTTAATCGAGAATGCATTTTTATCCAGTGTTTTCCTAGTCAGGTATAGTTTAGAAAATCTCCGTATATCTCCGTAAATTTATTGTACTCAAACATTCAATAATATTGCAAGTAAAAGAGAATAAAGTAAGCCTTGGATGGCCAACAGTATTTTTGCTTTGGTATCGGATATTGCTGTTCATGGTAATTCTTTGAATAGAAACTTCTGGCTTTTTTGACCTCTCGTATATGGCAAGTGCTCAGGTGATAAGTCTTGCCCTCGTGACGTGTTGGTGCATATTATTATTGCTTCGTTGGTTACATTGCTCGATGATCCTCCCTGTACCTTTGGATGTAGGTACGGACAACACGGAACGGTCTGCTTCAAGAAAAGCACTTACCCAAACCAGCCCCGTACACACCGCAATTAGGTACACCTCAGGTAACTCCGATGATTTTCTTGTGATGATTACTACGTCTGTATTACATATCAACTACCGACGACAATAAAAGAAGATGGAGATTGCCACATGCCGTGCTCACCGTTGGATTTGGTGCTGTTGAGTCAAGCCCGATTTAAATTCCTCTAGACAAGGAATATTTGATGAACACCGTTGGCTGTTTCCCTGCATACATACATTCGGACTGATATTTCCAATTCACAAACTACTATCCATCATTGACTTATTTCAATGAAAATCGTCTTACATCTCCCATCAGTCATGGTCTAGACAAACCTCCTCCATCTCACGCGATCCATCAGAGAGGTAAAACAGCCGACATGGAGCGACCCCCATTGGGCGACATCTAAATAAGCACGAATCCCGTTGAACGTGTGACAACCTGAAATTTCAAACGGAAAGCTAGAATCTGGGCTTCTGCTTAACTCACACCCAATAATAAACAGGTCAAGTTAACGCCACACAGAGCTCTTTGCCGGATTGGGATTCATGTGTCTGATGATCACGCGGATATTTAGTTGTTTTTTGGTTATTTTTTGGTTGCCACCGTTTGTGATATGATCTCGGCGGAAAGATTTTGTATATGTACGCCTAGTTAAAATGAATACGGAGGATGTAACCATGATATTTCAAGGAATGTTAGTATATTTGATTGATGTAAGACAAAGGTCGGTGCTCAGATGATTTGAGTTTATTCAACCTCTGCCGACGAGTGCAGGATGGAAGATGATACAATGATGAATTTCGTCAAGAAGACTTTGATTTATGAAATGTTCGAAGATAGTATTGCATTACTTCCATCGTCAATGAAACTTGAAGCAATGACAAATTCCCCGTGGCAAGCTGGGTATGTATTTTGCAAATAAACGAGCAAAAAACATCCATGTTCAGTCTGCACCATTTTTTCTCCCAACGCTCCGTTAAGAACATACTTGTGATGACGATCGAGACAAAGCTCGATCACGCAAGAAGCTCCTGCAGGACCCTTAGTGGACCTGCATCGTTGGTTTGACTATCAGAATATCTGATGGCTACGTGATAACTGCGAAGGAAGAGGAAAAGAGTAACCCGTTCCGTAGCAATGCCCAAATATTACAGTTAATACACACGAGACTACCATAAGAGTTGTCTGAGACCGGCATAAAGAATTGAACCACCTCATACCTCGTCATAGCTAATCATAACATCGTTTCAGAAAAGGTCAATTGCCAGCTTCTAGTCGGCTAATTGGAAGAGAGCGGAAATGCTAGATATCCGTCAGTACAAGTATTACAGAATAAGTTGATAAATTCACCTTTCACCATAATGGTGACGCCGGATGCTTTCCGAAAGAAGGGTCGAGATGTCAATGACGATTAATTTCTTGGACCGACGAATCTTGTCGTCTGGGATAGGGAAAGAACTGGTGACGATAATATGATCAATTGCGTTACAGCCTTCCATCTCCTCCAAAGAATTATCCCCAAAGAGACCGTGTGTAGCAATGCAATACACTTTCTTAGCACCGCCCTTCCTGACGACGGTTTCCGCTGCTGCAATCCAAGACCCGCTCCGGTCGATCATATCATCAACAATAAAAACAGGTTTGTCCTTAACGTCGCCGACCAGTGTTATCGTTCGTTCCTCTTTAATACGTGTGTGTGCGTTCGCCTCATCGTCGTCTGATTCTGCTGCGTCATATGTGCCACCTAGTGCATGATCAGGTTGTAAAGAGTTTAGAGATACGATGGACGATGTCATCTGATCAATCATTTTCTCGCTATCCCCACTCTCTGAGCCCGCCGGAGGGACTGGAGTTGCAACCTGCGTAAGATCCTCAGCATAGTCATCGTCAACCAAATGCCCTTGTACAAGACGGCCGGTGATAACCTCACGAGCCCGCTCGTCGTTGGTATAGTCAGCAGCTTCTAGTTCGGATGGACGGCGAGCAGAAGGCGGGGTTTCTGGACGTAGTGTGTCCGCAGATTTGGAAAGGAAGTAATCATCGACCGCGCTCTCCTGATTGTCTTCATGGATAGTTGAAGTTGGTAGCTCCGCATGCAATCTGGCTGCATTGCCCTTCTCGATTGTATCGAAGAATATCATGCTATCACTCATCGATATATTGACCTTCGGTGGTCTACGTCTATCGGTAGTGACGAGGCCAAAGTTGAGCTTCAATGTGTCTGCGAGAGATGTCACTCTCTTTGTACCACCGGCGTTCTTGCTCACGACGACAGCACTTTGCCATCCAGGCACATGCATCCGAATCCAGCGTGCTATCAATGGTTCCGCAAAGAGGTTATCGACGGGCTTGCCAAAGAATCCTTGCATTTGGGATGCCTATCGCAAATAGTTAACCCAGATACAATGTGAAAAGCTTGTATTTTAGGTGGCATACATGCAAATCTAGAGTGATCACATGGTCAACCCCGGCGATAGTGAGCAAATTGGCGATCATCCGAGCTGTGATAGAGCCCCGGTGGCTCTTCTTTTTAGACTGCCGAGAATAAGGAAAGTAACTTGACAGGTGTAAGCGAGCTATTACTATTTAAAGGTAAAGGCATCATACGGCATGACAGCTAGATAAGAAAATCAGCGGAGTCTTCAGTGAAATAGTGCAGCCAAACCATACCGGTAATGGACTTCGCTGATCCACCCTTACAAGCAGAGATCATGATCAGCAGCTCCATGAGACTGTCGTTGATCTTGCTGCTCCCGCTCTGGACGATGTAAACATCCTGGTTCCGAACCGAGATGCCGATATTGACCAGCGTCTCCCCATTGCTGAATTTCCTAAGCTCTGCGGGGGCAGGCACAGCTCCCAGCCGTTCGCAGATCGACTCCGTCAGGGTCGGGTGGGACGTCCCCGAGAAAATCTGCACGCCTCGCATGGTGGTTATCGCTGTATCGGAGACACCCAGGGTCCCAGTTCATGGAGAGAGGCTGTATTGGCGGGAAACAAGCTGGGTGAGGCGAGAGGGTGTGAGACAGGCCACAACATCGTTGTTGCAAGAAGAGTGGAATCACCGTCAAGAGAAAAATCAGCAGGCAAAAAAATGCGGCCGTGCTGGCAGCTGCCTGGTCCGTGCATCCGCCAGACCGGGATCAGCCGTGGGGGAAAGAGCACCTGCAAGAGATCTCTGAGAATACATGTACTTGGAAGAAATGACTTTTTCTGCATCGGCTATTGTCCCGGGATGTCTCACGAATTCCCCAAGGTCCAGGGCGGAGGTTCCCTGATCGTCGCATGGCAAGTCAAGGATAAGCATGTTCTCGTTGTCGGAGGCGGCGAGGTGAGCTACCCCGCGTCAGGAATATCTCTCTCAATCACCAACATTATATCTAACCTCCAACAATCTGCACAGGTCGCAGCAGGCCGGATACTGCACGCCCTCAATGCCGATTCCAGAGTCACCGTCGTATGTCCCAAGACCGGATTGAACGACGAAGTCGCCTTCCGCGTTGCGCAGAACCAAGTTTCGCATATAGATCGCAACTTTGAGCCTTGCGACCTGGATGGTGCTGATATGGTGCTGTGTGCCATCGACGACCCGGAGGCCTCATCTCAGGTGTGGAAGCTGTGCAAAGAGCGCCGGATACCAGCGAACATAGCAGATGTCCCTCCAGAGTGCGATTTCTTTTTTGGGAGTGTGCACCGTGACGGACCATTGCAGATCATGGTCAGCACGAACGGGAATGGGCCCAAACTAGCCAGCATTATAAGGAAGAAAATCGCCAACACCTTGCCATCAAATACAGGCGCTGCCATTGAAAATGTTGGCCGACTACGAAAGAAGCTAAGGGAAGTCGCGCCTGATGCGAACGAAGGTCCGAAACGGATGAAATGGTATGTCATGGCCCTTCGGAGAACGGAATAACAGCTGAGTCTTGCTAGGATGTCGGGTGTGTGCGAGTCGTGGACTTTGGAAGAGCTTGTCGAGATGTCAGAGAGGGATATGGATGGCCTTTTGAAATTCTATTCAACCACCAAAGTGCCGAACCTCCGAGAAGTTCGCGAAGACTCCCACTAACATGACCGATGCAGATCGGACATATTTATTCGAGATAACCATTCATTGTTGTGTAGAAAACAATAATTTGTAAGGAAGATCTAATGTAATATATAAATATCGTAGCAAGTTTTTACACAGCTGATAAAGCGAATCGGGTGATCTATTCCACAGACAACACGAAGAAGATATTCTTTTGTAAACGCCAAGGTATGGTAACGACATCGCTACTTCAAGTCATAAACACCCAGGGAGAGAGCCTCCCAAGAAAGGAAAAAAGGGTAAAGTCGAAGAAAACACAAAGAGAAGTTAGATACATCAGGACATTTCCTTATACAATCTTTAAGTGACCACTGCCCTATTTCTTGTTATGCTTGAACGCGCTATTTGATGGCGCTTCAATAGGGGTTTGAGGTATTGTCAAACCGAGCTTTACCTCCCCAACTCGTCGAAGCAGGGATTGGAGTGCAAGTCGTACTTCCGAGTTCAGCTCGCGACCTAGTAAATCTATAGCCAATGGGTAAAATGTAGCAATGTGTTGGGAGAAGCTGTCAGGTGGGAAATTTGTGTATCCTTCCATCACATCAACCACGACAGGTCTCCAGGCGACGATGTTTCGATGCTGACTTTCTTCATCGAGGTGGGCGAAGCTGCGTATAATGTCTGCGCATAATCTGGAAATAAGATTAGCAAAGAATGTGATGATCGGTAAAGGAATGGTACTTACGGAACAAGTGCAGCTTCGGTCTCGGCCCTATTGCTCCTTCTCTCTTCTCTTTCGTCATGATACATGCGGAAGAGAATGTTAATATAGGTAGCAGCACTGCCACTTTCCTGTTTTAACAAATTCGGAGGCTGCTTCATGAATCCTTGACGCCAAAGCTGCATTCGAAGGTCCTTATCTTCATTGAATTTTTTTGCAAATTGATAGCTCTTCTTCAATAGGCTCATCAAGCGTAGAAGCTCAGGACTAGGTATTTCAGCATAGACATTGTCGTTAGAGAAGAGCTCATGAACCGTTTCAATCATCAACAACTGGAGAACGCAGTTGGTAATGATGCGGTTGAAGAACCGGCGCCTGGCTACGGTCACAGCTGCCGGCTGTTGCTGCACATCCGCAGTTTGTGGACGGTAGTCTTCGAGTTCTGCAGTGGGCGTGACAGTCTGTAATGCTTCGGATTGGGCAGTGGTTTCTCCAGCATCTCCATTCTCGGCTGACCCATTTGTAGTAGACGATTTGTCGTTCTCTGTGACGGCCTCAATAGACAGTGCTGATGCGGCATCATTGTTTGTAGCATCACCATTGAGTTTGAGTGTCTCCGATATTGGGGTCTTGGGGGGGGAGACGAAGCGGCAGTGAATAACTCGTATGCGGTAGTCTTGTCGAATAGCTCAACGAAGGCACCTACGACTCGGCTCCAATGGTCATCTGAGAACTTGGTCACATTCTGAAGAATTAATTGCTGTAAGCAATTACTTCCAATCCGCGCAATGGTGTCATTTTCCTGGCATATACAAAGAGTCAATAGCCCTAAGAAGCGGTCGAGCATGTGCTGCAATGCATCGAAATAATGTGTAAATAGAGTGATCATGTTTCGCAACGCTTGAATCATGGTTGTCGATAACCAGACAGAAAGTTCCTCGTGGTTGGGAACTTTTGACATCTCAGATTTGGACTGGAGAACGACAAAGATGGGGTACAACAATTGTCTCCAGAGCACATCCCAGAAATCAGTTGGGAAGTCGCCGCCATATCGGAGCAGTATGTCAAATAGATAGTTAAGCGCCCTATGCAATTGTTAGAATATACTCGACTAAGCTACAAATTGGCAACCTACCTAGAGCGAACCTCAAGATCGTCACCGGTCATCAAAACATCTTGGAAAGCAATCAAGACTGGATACCAGAACTGCTCCTCCTGAGTTTGGCGATTTAATTGATGCGCTAGGTTAGAACCAATGTCTTCCGTGGGCTTCTTGTTAGAGATGTGTTTGTGAGAAAGTGGACATTCGGGGGTCTTTAGCATCTTTGAGGTGGATGATTTCAAGGTCTCAATAGCCTGTAATGATTTCTTCTGGAATTTCGAGTTCTTGGAAAATTCTGTGAGACAGACAATCAAATCTGCGAAGGCTCCTTGACTGATAACAACTCCGAATCGTGTGTTGTAGATCTGCGTGACATGTTCAAATGCCATGCTGACAATACCCTCTATCGACTTGTTAGAATGTTAGGAAGAGGTGAGTTGAAATAGAACGTACCATAAGGCTCTCTGGCGGCAACTGTAAAGACGCCAAACATTGTCTTCCATCCGGATCGTATATTATCACCGCGTGCTTGTATCATTTGAATAAGACATCGCAATACCATATCCTTCACTGTCACGGTGTTACTGTTGGCCATAATGTGCTCGAAAGGTTTCAAGAAATCCTTTTGGAATTTGAAACCCGGAAGTTCTTCGAATTCCATGAATCGCATGGAAAGTTGGCGAAGGGAATCCAGCGCAAAGTAGACCACGTGGGTGTTGGACTGGCATCCAACCTCGTTAAAGTGTTGTCCAAGGATTTCCCAAATCTTCGACCACTCAATCCTGACTCGTGTCATGTTGTAGTAGCTAATTTCTACTACTTTCTGAAGACTATAAGTACGCGGCGATTCACTCTGCCCGGAGGATTGAATTTCTTGCAGGCTGACTTCACTCAGTGCTCGAACAAAGTCTACAATAGCCTCATGGGAAAGGTTTGCCGTGTTACTGAAAATACGGTCAACGGCATGTACGATTTCTGCCGAGCGACTTTCAACGGCGACTTCGGGTCTGAACGACAAAGAGCTAGTATTAGATCGTTGGCGTGGTCTTCTTGTAGCCTGCATGGACTTTTTGGTTCCATCGCCTGAGGCTGAAGGCACGATACGGGCTCTCGAGACATCTGGCAAAGCCCCTTCATCAACACCATCACTCAATAGCTGGAATCGATCCAGCTGGCTGACGCATGTCAGAATTTCACGCCACGACTCCTTTAGATGATTGCCTTCAGAAACTGCGACTTCCAGCAATATTTTTAGCGCCTCAACGTTCTTTCCCGTCATTTCTCGCAGATTGCCAAGATTTGTGAACTTGGCCAACCCTGTCACGAATGCAACTCGTGGAGTTTCCAAGTCGAAAGAACAAGAAATACGGATCGCTAACTTGATACCCTCCATACATAGCCTGACCTTTTCGATGCTTTGTGTCTCTTGAAGGGGAGCAGACAAGCCGGAAAGAAAGGACATCCAAGTCACATTGAACATGGGGCCAACATGGCGCACTGAGCTGGCGGGAATGAATCGCGATAACTCGTCTCGTAGGGCAGTCTTACGTTGCGCCCTAATGAGACTTCTGTAGAGCTGTTCAGTCTTATTAGCCATTTCTTCCGAGGCCTGAGCATATTTTTCTCCTTGAATATCTCTGCCAACTGTGGCAAAGACCTGGCCGGCTCTAGAAGCAAATCCAGCAGGTGCAGATGTAGGAATGCTTTGATTAGCAGCATTTTCCCTTTCAGAGTCAAGGACGATCTCATTCTTGGAGATTTCATCAAATATCGAGTTGAGATAGTCATCCGGAAGATCTTGATTATCATTGATACCTCTGTTATTCTTAATGAAATCTTCCTTTGTCATTCGTGGGCCTTTCATTTTGCTGCTATGTTGGTCGGTGTTGAGCAAGATCACAGAGTACGCTAGCACATATGCTGTATCTGCGTTTGCGAAACTGTTTGGATTTCCAGATAGATATCGCTCAGCAAACTTGAGCATGAAACGATCAATTTTTTGAGCCTCGCCAGGCAATCGGAAACTTTGCAAGAATTGCCTCAGAGCGTCTACAAAACGACGCTTGGCAAAGTCCATAGAGTCGACGAACGCATGCATGATTGCGACATTCTCCGCGTCTCCTTCTCCAAGGTATTCACCAATCATGGCCTTGTCTAAACGATCGTTGCGGAGTAAGAAACTGGCAATATCTTTTGGAGAATCAGATCGAATAAAACCATCCTTGAGAAGGAGCTTAATTCCCCGCTTAGGTTTGAAATTGAACTGCTGAACTGCATGAGCAAGTGCCATCTTACGTTGCCTAACCTTCTCAATTTCGTTTGGATCATCCTCTAACGCTGGCGTTGTCCGGCCGGTTGCAGTACCACCTGTGCTCTCAACACGGGGCGACGGAAGAGCTAGAGAAATCGAGGGCGTATCTAACGATTCCCTGTAAATTTCCACAGACTTTCGCGATACGTCTTCCCTGGTAGAAGCATCTAAAGGGGGCAAGCGTTGAGATGACCAATTGTCTAGGGATCGGAGAATCTCAACCAAGCACTCTAAGGCTTGTTGTTTAATTGCCAGTTCCGGTGTTGTACTTTGCAGTCCTGGTGCTTGATTGTTTCCGAGACTTGCAGTAGTCAGGTTAGGAGGAAGAGTGCCGCGCTGGTACCAATCAGCATTGGTTGACGATTTAGTACGAGCATCTTGACTCTGTTGTTGCTGAGAAATGGTTGGCGCCGGCATGATCAGAAAACGAGAAAGTTGTTCAATTAGCCTATTTTGATTAGCATGCTGTAGTGATGGTTATTTCATTTCGATTGAATTTACCCTTGGAAGATGTTCTCCAACGCAGCTCTGTCACAGTCATAATTAAGATATAATTCTACTAGAGCTCGCGGATCCGCTGAAAGTCTTTCGAGAACTTCCATGAAATACTGTTTCTGGAATGCGGGAGAGTTTCGTCGCTCAAGAATGGCAAGGTATATCTCTTTCAAAAACACCTCCAATTCTTTCTGTGTCATGGTTAGAATTAAACAGTAGATACAGTAGGGGAATCCTGACCTTGAGCATTACTCTCATGTATTTGAGCATAAGCCAAAATATCTCGCAGCAAACCTCAAAGACTCTGGGAACAGAGCTGGAGCCATTGCGACTAAGGCTCAAACAAAGATGTGGTCTGATAGCGTATAGAAGAGTTGTGGAGTCGGAAGCGTTTCGGATAGTTGCCAATGGCGAGGTCAAGGCGGTAGTGTGATTGTTGATCAAGTAATGAATCAAGTGAAGTGACAGCAACTTGGATCGCATATTCTGCGACTTTATGTCTTGCTGTTGGTCATGCGTAAGAGCTTTGTGGCTTAGTTTACACATGGCCCTGAAGACCAAGAACGCGTCTTTGATATAAATCTCATCTACTTCGTCTTCTGACCCATCATCATCTCGGTCATCTGTATTTCCAGAGACAGAGCGCGAGGGTCGGTGGCTTGGTTTTGCGCGTGTCACCATAGTCGGGGCATTGTCGTTGACCATTGTATCATCCTTGCTGGATTCGAAGCTCTGTAGCGTGAGCTTTTCCGTAGGCTCCTTCTTTACAGGTTGGTCGGAAATATTCGAGGCACCGTCGACCGATTCCGACAGTTGACTACCATCCACAGCATCAAGCTCTCCGTCCTGGGGGGACTCTCGATGCTCGCTCGGTTCTCGGGTGCGAGCCTCCTTCAAATCTAATCTTATGCGAACTCTGTCAAATACCGTTCCGAGCATCTGTGTCAAAGAACCCTGTGCAATTTGTTGGTTTTGACTCGACTTGGAATAAATGAAGATGTTGTATATTTGTCGCACAGCCTTCAGCAAGCCTGCACCGTGAACGATGATTTTGTCATTTAGCACGGCCGCCAGGAGCGATTTGATGATCTGCTGCTGAATCTCGACGGGTGTGGCTTCATTTTCAAAACAATCGCATATCGTCTCAATGGCTCGTTCGATCAAGGGGATTCCTGTATCGGTAGCGTTCGCATCGTCTTGGTTGGGATGGCTGGAGGGGAAAGCAAAATAAGAGTATGAAATCAATTTTCCAATGCAGTCCAAAGCCGTTACCTGAAGAGGGATGCTGAAGGTTTTGGTGGCTAGTTGTAGAGGTAGAAATATAGTCTCGGGATCTGGAGGTCTGTGATCCGCCTGTTTGATGTTGGCTAAAGCTTTCTGGACAGCATTCTCCAGCTCTCGGCTTCTCTTGGCCTCTTTGGAGGCAGCGATAGTTTCCAAGGCTGTGACAACAAACACCGTCGAGCTTACTGGCATTGATCGATGCGTCGTCTGAGTAGCAGTCGTAGATCGCGAGTCCGAGCGGTGTCGTGAATCGAGGACAGCTTCGGCCGTAGCTGGTTCGGTGTCTCTATGAGGTTCAGAGGTAGATTGGGTCTCTTTGTCCCCATCCGCATCTGTTCCTTCCTGAGGTCTGGGAGTCGTGCCTGTGTCTTCCGTGGCGGGATTGTCGGCTTCTTCGACAGGACCAGCAGGCTCCGCTGCTGGTCCGTTGGCATTGACGGCCAGACCGTCTTGCGACTTCATGGATTCCGCATCGCTAATATTGTTCCATCCTGCCTTGATCGACAACTCAGGCTTGTCGGCCCTCAGCGGCTGCGGAGACACAATCTCAGGTTGAGCGTCCGTGGGATTGGTGTCTGCCTGCGAGGCCTGCTCCGTAGCTTCGTGCTCGGAGTCTGCCATTGATGCGCGCGCAACTCCGCCTGGACGAGTTCGAGGGTCAGTATGTCAGCATTGATTGTGTGCAATAGCTGCAGAGAGATCAGGACGATGCCAGCATGCTCCCTTGGGCTGGATATGCAAGTTGAACCTTAGACTGGAGCTAGCCCGGACGCAACAACTAACAAATAAGTTAACTAAACAGTAACGGCAGCGTGTCTTCAACCGCTACGGCGGCCGGCACGTGCCCGCCGTGCAGATGCGCGTCTGGTGCTAGCCGCTTCGGGCCCTTGTTTGGCTGAGTCAGCGCAGCCGCCTAATCGGGAGCTGGCACCGCCGGATTTATCCGTTCTTCTCACCGGAGCTCTCAACAGAAAAGTTCACAGGTTCTCAGGCGTGCCCCCAACCCTCGTGTGTGCAGCTGGGATTGTACAGTTTTCAGCCTTCGTTTCCATCGCCTTGCGTGCATTGCCATCCGTTGCCGTCCATTGAGCGCCGTGGGCTCCTGATTTTTTAATCTTCTTTGGAATTGGCAGCACTCCCGGCACTCGAGCTTGCCTAGCTGGTGACAATGCGCTCTCCCAACGTCATGATCTCCCAGGGCACCGCCTTCCTGAGGCGCCCTCAGACCCTTTACAAACTCAAAGATGCCGCCAGGTACGATCTTCCTATGGCTTGAATTGGAATATATGATTATTCTCGATACTGACCGTCGCTATCCGCAGACCCCAAATACCTGCTATCTCCGCCCTTGCCCGCTACTACGCCTCCAAGTGTATGTGTTGTGTCTCTCGATGGAACCACGTTTCTTTTATTTACAACAATAAACGACCTAACGTGATGTCTAGCCTTCCCTCCTCACACCATCATTAGCATGCCTGCATTGTCCCCCACGATGACCGCCGGAAATATTGGCGCATGGCAGAAAAAGGCCGGTGATACCTTGAGCCCTGGTGATGTTTTGGTCGAGATCGAGACAGATAAGGCACAAATGGACTTTGAATTCCAGGAGGAGGGTGTTTTGGCCAAGATCTTGAAGGATGCCGGCGAGAAAGACGTCGCCGTTGGAAGTGTGAGTGTTTTCATGTAGTGGGCGTGTTTCGGGTTATTGACGGTTACTAGCCTATTGCTGTTTTGGTCGAGGAAGGCGCAGATGTATCTCCCTTCGAGGCCTTTACTTTGGAGGACGCCGGCGGTGATAAGGGCGCTCCTGCCCCCAAAGCCGAAGAATCAAAGGAGGAGACTCCTAAGCCAGCCCCCTCGGAGACCGAAGCCCAGCCCGAAGCCGTTGAACCAGAAGTCACTGGTGAACGCCTGCAGCCTGCTTTGGATCGTGAACCACAAATTAGCCCTGCCGCAAAGGTTCTGGCCCTGGAGAAAGGCATTCCTATAAAGTCTCTCAAAGGCACGGGACGTGGTGGCCAAATCACCAAGGAGGATGTTGAGAAATACACACCTGCTGTCTCTGCCGCTGCCGCTGGACCTACCTACGAAGATATTCCTCTCACCTCTATGCGCAAGACTATTGCCAACAGACTTCAACAATCGGTACGCGAGAACCCTCACTATTTCGTTTCGTCCAACCTCTCCGTCTCGAAACTCCTGAAGCTTCGCCAGGCTCTCAATGCCTCCGCAGAGGGCAAGTATAAGCTTTCCGTCAATGACTTCCTCGTCAAGGCCTGCGCTGCAGCTCTTCTGAAGGTTCCAGCTGTCAACTCAAGCTGGCGCGAGGAGAACGGACAGGTTGTTATCCGCCAGCACAAGACTGCGGATATCAGTGTCGCCGTCGCCACACCTGTTGGTCTCATCACCCCTGTCGTCAAGAATGTTCAGAGCCTTGGTCTGTCTAGCATCTCCAACCAAATCAAGGACCTGGGTAAGCGTGCCCGCGACAACAAGCTCAAGCCTGAAGAATACCAGGGCGGCACTTTCACTATTAGCAACATGGGCATGAACCCTGCCGTTGAGCGATTCACCGCCGTTATCAACCCTCCTCAAGCCGGCATTCTGGCTGTTGGCTCTGTTCGCAAGGTTGCCGTCCCTGTTGAGACAGAGGAAGGCACCTCTATTGAGTGGGATGACCAGATCGTCGTTACCGGAAGCTTCGACCACAAGGTCGTTGACGGCGCTGTTGGTGCGGAGTGGATCAAGGAGTTGAAGAAGGTCGTGGAGAACCCACTCGAGCTGTTGCTGTAATATGACTAGCATCTTGGTCGGAGAAGAGGCCCATGTAGGATGTAGCTAATTGCCAGAAGGGTACCGGGTTCCATCCTTGCCCAGTTCTTCTTATTTGTACTAAAATTACTTATTCTCCTTTGTTCGCCAGCATTGAATGATATCTTATTAGAATTCCTCTTAGAATGATTGTTCGGCGCGCGGTCACATGCGCGGCGGTGCCTGTTTCAGCGCGCTCCTACCTAAAATGAATATCCTGGTTTCCAGTCGATTTTCGTACTTCCTTCTTCTCCCAGCACGATCGAAGGCATTCGCAACGATGGATGTTGCTATGGATGTTTTTGGCCCATTCGAAACAACTCACGCGTTGGGTGGCCTGAATAATGATGTAAACCAGGCTTGTCTGAGTCCTACAGCTGAAGACGTCATTAAAAAGGAGGCATGTCAACTTCGATTCTCGTTACTGCACATATCCTCATTTAACAAGTTAGTAGTGGAAGAACTCACCAGTATTGATCCAAAGTCTCTATGATCTCCTTTTCAAGGGGACTCGCGACGTTCATGCTTTTCATCTATGGTTATACATGCTAGATGAAAATCTCACGCCAAACGCAAGAGACTTGACAATTGACTACGGAACAATCGAATGCATAAACAACGACTTTGGCCTTACTCGCGTATCCATTCGTTCAAACGAAGACTCAGCATTAAATCGAAAAACTCAAATACACGTCCTCGCGTTTACCTCCTATTCCAATGATTACTCGAGCAAAGTTCCATGGGATATCTTTCTCAAGGAGTTGGAACATCTGCATATTACAATGCACAGAAACGGGGAAATTGATGGGGACTACGACTGTTTCCTGGCGTATAAACAGCTCGCTCGACTCTATACTTTACATGGACAAGAACAGCCCAATACCAGACAATGCTGGGTTCCATTTAGCGATGACGCAATGCGGCGATATAGCATCCAACCTCTTTTGAAAGACCCGCATGACGAAGGACCTGTGTTTGAATTCAAAACTCATTACACATTGATCACGCGCCTGTTGAGAGCTTTTGCTGGCAATGTCAATATTCCATATGTGTGCGTTTCCCCTAGGTCATAGTTTTATGTTGATGATCCATCCTGAAAGTACGGGTTTTAGGAGATCTATAGCCTGCGCAAGTGCTGATATCTTGGAACCCTGGTGCTGAACTTTTTGAATACTGCAGCAATATTCAAAAAGGTTAGTATAAAAAGTGCTCGTTATCATTCATACCCGCACCTTGTGATCAATGTTTGAATACACTATCTGATCAATGAGCTGTTAATTTGACAGTAAAATAAAAATATATTTACTCTTCGACTGACTCTTTCCCATAAAATGGTAGTTCAGCTTGCTCTGCCTTCCAGGTATACTGGGCTTTGTGATGAGATGGATGTAGTCTCGAGCTCTCAGGCTCACTAAAACAGTTCTCTCTAAATGTACCTCCAGGAACAGCATAATCATCCCAGGAAGCCCACGCTTCCGGAAATAGCAGTCGAATAATAGAATTAACCATATCTGGAATAGCATCAATTGATCTATTTTCTAAATATACATGACAAAAACGACAAGCAATACGACACCGGCAACACCTGGCAATTTGTGATCTCCATAACTTCTTGACGCTTTATTGTATCCAATATTAAGAGAATTATTGTTGAAACCCACGCTTCTCAACCACTCAGGAGTCGGGCTATCCTCCACCAACACATCAGAATGATAATTATCAACAACACCGGAAAAGCGAATTTTGAACTTTCCTTGAACAGCATAGGCTTCATCAATCTCCCGAGTTGTGTTGGAAAGTGAGACATTGGTTAACACATATGGGTAGGCTATGAAATACCCATCTAGAGTAAGATTTGCAGTGCTATTATCAAACTGGAGGTTGAGAACCGGATAGGTCCAATCCCAGCCCACGTTATTCCACCATTCATCAGTAATAATAACGACTTCCCACTCGTTTCTGAGCATAGAAGTGTCGCAGGAAGTTAGGTTTGAATAGAGGGTCTGTCCATCCGTACTATTTAAGATACTTGAGAGGTTATACGGGGCGCTCTTGGTTTCTGCTAAGCTGAGGTTGAAGTACGGCTCAGTTATAGTTGAGTTTTCAGTCCCCCTGTACATGTATTCGGGGCTGATCAATTAGTAACACAGGCCGATTCTGGATTCGGTAGGTTGAAAACTTACTTAGATGAACATATTATGCCCCCATTTGGTGGCTCATAAGTCCAGGCGTAATCGATCGGTATTGTCGAAAAATTGAAACCCGATGACCAAAAACCCAGCACCAGACTGACTGGATTATGGGTATGATCGTTTTTCCCTGGCTGGGTGATGGCAAGGACAGAGCTATACTGAAAGCCGAACGTCTGATTCTGCAAGTTGGGACATACAGAAAAATTGACTGTTGATCCAATCAGAGGTGTGTATTCGACTGTCGTGGTTGCGTTGTAGTACCTAGATTTGTAAACTTTCCTTAGATATGAGACTATAAAACTCGCTGGGATATTAGACATACGATCCAATCCAGTCATAGATTCCAACCAACCCAGTAACATTCTGTGGGCGAAAGTTATACGAAGGGTCATAGGTCGGGTCTACGCTGGCAAGCACGGTCGCAGCTACCAGGCAAAGGACGAGAATCCCATACTGGGGCTCAAAAGAACGCATCAATATGTTGATAAATCGCTTTTTCTTGAAGCCTCAAAGTAACGAAACACTTGCAATAACGAAACACTTGCAAATCCGAATCTAAGAAACAAGGAAGGAAAATGAGGCTTATGAGGGGGGGCTAAGTTTATTTCAAAGCCTCCTTCAGGCCCTCATGGACACAGTTTATCAGCCTCCCTATCTCTGAGAAGTATCCCATTGGACAGTACCAACTACATGTACTTAAGCCTCGCCTGACCCAACTGTACCCAACAACATAATGACTAATAATTAGGTCCCATTGGACTATCGCTGATGTGGCGCGGGACAGGCGTAACCTTGCAGCGGCGTGCCCGAGCACCCCAAACACTTCACATACATATAACAATCTCTGAACAAATTACTTCCCACCAGATAAATAATAGAGTCTCACATATTTGGTGCATTAATTAATAAATAAATACAGAAGACTGTGTTTAAACAGTAACTTACGCCACATTATTTGCACCAATAATCCCATCCCGCTAAGTATAAACACTCTGCAAGAGTATCAGTTACAAGACCCTTGTTTAGGTAAAAGAACTACTTACCACAGTAATTTGGTTGACGGACAGACCAGGCTCTGCCATCTCTGCATCCTTCAGGAAATCCATGGGCATCCAAACTAAATGTCCCTTGATCTTATCAAGGCTCTCGCGAACCAGGCTCACAGGCAAGAAGGGGTCGTGGAGATGTCCCTGTTTAACAGTCTTTCTCGGAGCAAATTCGTCATACTGCTCAAAGGTTTTGATGTTGTCATCAGGGTCTGCGCGGAATAAAAATCTGAACACATCTGTGTTATTTGTAGCTTGCTTTTTCCATGTTTCCCATAGCTCTTCGTCCAGTGGATCGCGGACGACTTCATGTTCGGGGCTCTCCTCGTCATTGTTGGGACAGTCGCCAGGGGGCTGTGCGTTGGGATTGTGAGTTGCGTCAAATTCTTGAGGCAAGAGTAGGCCGAGATGTTCACGCCAAAGGTGGCGGCGGAGATTTGTTGCGAGACGTGCAGCGCGGTATGGTTGGCCGTTCATGGTGCTGTCAATCATATCGGTATCTTCGAGGACAATGGCCAGTTCGCTATCGCGGTCGCCGAGTTGGGACTTTTTTTCATTAGCGGGCTGAGAACAAAATGTTATAGAGAAATGGAACTCACCCGGTCGTTGATGTTGGCACTTCCGCATATGACGATTCGATCATCAACAATGCAGATCTTTCCATGGACATATAGCTCTTCCTGGATGAAATTTTCTTTCTCTTTTTCTGGATCGGCGCTTTCCCACTTCTCCTCGCTGACCTTGGGCTCATTAAGCATAGCATCTCTTGCAATTGAGTCCCTGCTCTTGACTTTCATATCTCCATCGTAGGTGCTCTCACGTTGCTCTTCAAATCTCCGCAACTGATCAACCCTTTTCTCTACCTTTGCTGGATCGGAACTTTCGTTAGAATAATCTTTCTCTTTTTTGTCCCCCTCCTTTCCAATACTCGGATGAACACTTTCACTCATAATCTCCTCCGCCTCGGCGCGTTGTATATCTTGGTATCGGACACCTGACTTTTCTTCTTGCTCTACTAATTTCTCAGTTTTGTTGATGCGGTCGTATGAACGAAGATTGAAGAAGAAAATATGCTCTGCTTAGGTCAGCGTAATGCGCTTCCAGACACTTTCTCTATGAATTACCTGTCGGATCCACGCCCTGTGCTTTGATCTGTCCAAAAATGGAATTTTCGCCTCGCAGGATTGACTTGTACTGGTAATCCATAATCGCACGAGTACCCGCTGCAGCGTTCTGACGAAGATCTCCTGCAAATCCAGGGATTGCTGGGATGATTATGATCACTCTAAACTTTCGACCCTCTTTGCCAGCGCGAACCACTGCATCAACAATGGCACGGCCGATTGTATTTTCCACTGGATTTTGCTTATCACCGGTCGCAGTAACTTTTTTGGTCAGAAGACATTATTTTGTGTTGCTTTAGATTCATAACTCACCAAAGAATTGGTTTTCGATATAAACATAATACTGAGCGTTCCGAATGATCTCCGAATAGGCATTCTGAATACTATGCTCGGTTAAAATACCAGAAGACCAGTCTCCGCTACTTCTGACAATCTGAGCATGGACGGTCCCCTGATCTCCACGGGGTTTTGTGCTCAATGGCGTCAATGGATGCTGAATATACTCCCCGCAAGGATACTTTGGCCGTTGTACGCCTACTAGACTCTCGTCATCTCCTGTACGGCCTTCGAGTACCAACCAGTCAACCTTATCATTACGTTTGTACTTGTCTCGCTTCACGCAATTCCATCGCAAGACAAAGTGCTCAGCGATATCGTAGACACAGTCACCGATCAAGCCCATTGCAACATCGTGCCAGGGCATACGTCCGTAATCAGTTTTGTTGAGCTCGTTGTTCTGCCAGTCTGCGACGCTTTGGAAATCCATAATACGGTTGTTATTGAAGTCCTGGCCAGGGAATATCTCGTTCTGGACGCCAGCGGGGTGGACGTCGGCAAGTGGATGTTGATGATTGTCCCATCTGCCAAAGCAGAGATCAATACCCCCAATGAACGCCATAGCGTAATCTATGACAATGAATTTTTCATGGTGGGCCTATAAAGCGATGAACAAAACGGTGTACCGAGCTAGTTTTAAGGATTATAGGTGGCTCACCCAGTAGAAAGTCATATCGCCCATGTTTTCAAACATGTTGTGGTCTGGATGCCGAAGAACATGGATGTTCCCAGCACCTTTTGTACCCTCTGGACATAGGTCTCGTAAGGCATGCTTGGTATGTGCGGAATTGCAGGTAATCGCTTGCTCGACCTGTGTAATAATCGCAGGTTTATTAGCATTGCTCCTTACTACATCCACACCCAAATGGTGCCTACTTCTTTGTACACAATAACATAAATCTTCACGCCAGCCTCGGCACGTCGTTTTAGAATCTGATCCAATCTCCATTCCTGATTAAAATACGGTGGTCGCCGCATGAACAACTCTGGGGACAGCCACCAATCGGCAATGTAGATGGTCTCCTGGGCGCGATCAAGGGCTTCAGAAACGGCCCAGAAGTAGTCGGAAGCGTCGACATACCATTTCACGCAATTCCTGTCCCGCTCAGGCGCAAAGGAGCCAAACCTGTGCGATTCAGAAATGGCAGTGCGCTTGCGGTCCGTTTCCTGCTCGTGGGCCTCGTCATGACGATGGTTTGGGTTGAACAGGTTCTCTAGCTTGCCGACTTTATTTTTTAAATGGGTTGCTTTGACCTTTACATCGTGGAGATTGGCATCTATAGAGGTTTAGAATTTCTAGTCTCTACTCAACAGGATTGGGACAATAAATACTATGGAACTTTTCCTTTAGATGGTCCATAGTGATTGGTGGAGCGAGCGATAGATGGTGTCAGACGAGCCAATGGTGATGGGCATCTGTAGAAACGAGATTTGAATGATCGAGGGAGCGACGCGAAAGTACCCAAATACAAGCGAACGGCAATATTCAAAAACGAAACGCGTCTGGGATAATAAGCAGGACCAGTCTTGACGTAGCAAGCAAAGAGTTGGCTGACTCGTTGTTTGCTGAGCCCCTCATGACATCATGGTCGATCTTGGCGTTCTCCAGTTCTGCGGCCGATCGATCAAATCGATTAATTTAATATTATCAATATTATCAATTATCACTGCCATCTCGATTCTCGATCTTGCTATTCGGCCGATCAGTGCCATGTGTGTCTTGCCCAGCTTGGCATTCTATCACGAGTCGCCCATTCGCAACTGGACAGCAGCCCCTGTTGATTCGATCCAAACAACCAAGAGGCCTAGTTCTAGCGACACGCGTTCATGCTACGCTAAGCGGTAGGATGAACTCGTCTAGGAATATCTATCGACAAGAGATCGATTTTAGAGCCTTGGCGCTGCTGTCGCCGGAATTTGCGAAACGGTAGGGTTATTATTTTAGACGGCGCCTTGGGCGGGATCACACCAACGGAAAAGTTGACAATAAGCAGTCTTAAAGCAAATGACCAATTAAACTTCAGTGATCCAGACGCTGTTAGGTGTGCTTATTCTATCCAACTATCCGTTCTTAACGGATTGATGAAAGATGCTGACTATTATAGGCAACTCACTAGGACCTTGTTGGAACGAGACTTCAAGCTAAATGTGGATCTCCCTGATGATAGATTGTGCCCACCAGTAGGTACGAGTTCGGCGTCTCTATATGCATACTATACTGAACGATCACAGGTACCGAACAGGTCAGTCGGATGACATTCATATATCTGGAGAGAGATTGTCCTGAACGTCTACAGGTTGAACTATATTCTCTGGCTCCAAGATCTCCTCGACACGACGTCTGAAGTTGGAAACGATGAATATGACCCTGGTAAAGAGATTCTTGGTCTTGATATGTACGTTCTACATTTTGATGATATGCATATGCTGATAGAGAGCAGAGGAACCGGATGCTGCGGTATTTACCCCCTGCTGGGTTGTTCCATGCGTCCGTCGTGGAATTTTGTCGCCACAGGTAGCCTTTTGTCCAGCTATATATATATATATTTGATATTCAAGTTAATTGCTTTCAGATATTGACGATAAGAACCTACTCTCATCTCGGCAAAACGTCTCCAAAAATAACATGGACAGGCGGATCAAAATAGTGAAGACCAACCCAGACGATTTTCTTATTCCACTTGACAAGCTTGGTGTTGACAGGTATGGCTCTCTCAATCATCATTGTTTGATCTCTTAGCCGTGTATTGTATTGGGATTGCGGTATATAGTCCAAGTTATGTGGACTATCTATCACATACGACCATAGGGTGTGGAAAACAGGGCTTCCCGTCCGCTCAGCCGTACTTAAGCCACACGCCGGCTGGTTAGTAGTTGGGTGGGTGACCACCAGCGAATCCCAGCTGTTGTATGTTTTCTTTTTGGGGATTTATTTATATTTATTTTGACTTGATCGATTAATCTTTTTGATCCTTATCATTGGGAAGCAAATATGAGGGACGTGGTTGATTCTTTGCAGATTGGACTTTACTATGTGCAACCCACCTTTTTACGAATCCGAACAAGAACTACTTTACTCGGCAGCTGCAAAATCAAGACCTCCTTTTTCAGTCAGTGTATCCTTTTTAGAAGGTGATTATTTCTAACAAGGGCTTTAGGCATGTACAGGTGCAGCAATTGAAATGATTACCAGCGGTGGAGAAGTCGCCTTTGTCACGAGAATGATTACGCAGTCTGTCACATTAAAGACAAAAGTTCGCTGGTATACAAGCATGCTTGGTAAAATGTCTAGTGTATCAACTATAGTGCAGAAGCTCCTTGAAGCCGGTGTCACAAACTGGGCTGTTACAGAGTTTGTCCAGGGGAAAGGAACTAAGCGTTGGGCTGTTGGCTGGAGTTGGATGGACTGGAGGCCACGAAGTGTAAGTGACCTTTGTCGATTTTCCCACTTTATTCATATATGTCAACGGCTAACTTGTGGTGATAGGATATTAGTAGAGGACTCTCTACCCTCCCAAAACATCTACTCCCTTTCCCATCACATTATAGCATTGAGCTTCCCAAAGAAAAGAGACTCAACGAAGCCGGCAGGAAACTTGACGCCGAGTTCTCATCACTTAGATATCTTTTCTATACATGGTCTACGCATGAGTCATGCATTGGATTCGCAAAGGAAGATGTGTGGTCAAGAAAAGCCCGGCGAAAATTCTCGAAAGAGCAACACACAAAGAGTTCCAATGATAGCGATGAGATGCGTGTCGAAGAGGAATGGCAGAATATTTCAAAAGAAAAAGCGGAATTAGGGTTTCGTGTTGATTTGAGACTTGCTGCTGATGAGAGAGTGGTGTTGACCATTCGTTGGCTAAAGGGGATAGATCAAGTGCTCTTTGAAAGTTTTTGTGGCATGGTCAAGAGGAAGCTATTTGAAGAGACGTGATATGAACGACCATACTTGAATTAAATAATTAATTAGCATCTGCTATAGTCCAAAATTTTTTAGAAGTTTTGAAAGATTCGGCAGTGCGCTCTGAGTTGTATTTCGTAGACATTTATTGTCGCAAGATCGCTATCTATATGATCTATAATTATACTTATCCAGTAATCTCTTCCTGTAACTCTTTAAGTTGCATCCACCCATCAGTCCCTTCAAAGAACTCTTTACCTTTACCCAGTATTCCTCTTACCGCACTCCGACTCTTGAATCTCCAATCAGCAGCAACCAACTCCTCGCCGTCTTCTCCTTGCCCTTCTTTCGCCATGCCGCCCATCCTTGCATATCCATCTCTGACGAGTCGCTCCGTGGCCTTTACAATCTCCTTCCACTTCTTTTCATCGCCCATTTGGAACGCAGGTTGCGTGCAGGTGGAAACTGTTGCACGCCATGCTTTTTCCTGCGCAGCCAGAGCTTTGCTAGGCTGATTGCGGAACAATTCTACCTTAGAAACCAGAAGCCAGAGGGGAGCCGAGTGGGTGATTAGAGGAACGATGGCATTGTCGATAAGGCTTAGAATCTGACCTGGAACTGTGCCGCTACGTAGGATCTTTTGGTCTGTACCGTCAACTGGGATGAGAAGGCCCTCGTATTCGAAATTGTTGACGAGGTGGTCTACTAGCATAGATAGAATAGCTAGGTCGACAGCCTTTTCTCCCTTTTTGGGAGAGACAAGTTCGACAACTTTCCGTTGGGCGAATACAATGTCTTTGTATGGGGTTAATGGAGCGGGTAAGGAAGAAGCCACTGTGAGTATATTGTCCCAAATGCGGTGATCTGTTTGTTTAAGTCGTGCAGAATGATGAAGTGCTGTGAGGGCATCACGGGTGTGCTTGTAGGGATCTGGTTTTTTGGCTTCGGTCATTTCAGATTCTTCCTCGTCCTCAGCTTTAATATCAGCTGGTAATAGCTCCGAGGAAATGGCTTCTCCCGCCTTTTTCGCAGTAGATTCGCTGTTCGAGGAGGCATTTAATAAAGCAGCAGCAAGATTACTCCATGCCTCTGCATCGTCCTGCTCGAGTTGAACGGTGCGAGTAAAGGATTCTACAGCATCGTCCCATTGCTCTCGGTTAAGCTGCACACACCCCAGCGCGAACCATGCCCCGTGGTTCAATGGGTTGATTTTCAAACTCTTCTTGTACGCTTCCTCAGCTTTGTCAAGAATGGGAGGCTGAGACTTCAGATAGAGCCTAGCTAGAGAACGTTGTGCGCGTGCATATCGTTGTCCAGAAACATCCCACGCTCGTTCGTACATATCCGGATCCTCATTAACGTCTCCCAAGATGCAGAACAAACGCGGGGCATCTACTGGTAAGGGAGAGAGTTCTGGGCCTTCATATCTCTCATTTTCTTCATCCTCTGGCTTATTTCCGTTTGTTGGGTGATACAATTGCCGCCGGACAATGGCTTTAGCTTTCTCTTCTCGTTCCGTTGCAGCATAGCAGAGCGCTACTTCTGCCCACATTTCTAGCCGCTCGTAGATGTCCAAAGCGGTTCTCAGTCCACCGAGGCTAACCCATCGTTGAGCCAATTCTGCTTCAAGATTCCATCTTGTCTGAAAGTTTAATGTCCAAATATATTCCATTCGTTCTTCGGCTGTTGCAGATTCTGACTCTTGGGGTCTTGGCAAGAAAGTTGTGGGCTGGTTCTCTTGTTCATTAGTGACTGTGTGGCTGCGTACCACGGCTGAGTCGCTGGTCGCTGTATCAGCAATGACCTGATCAACTAGCGCTTGCATTTGCAGCACGCCTCTCTCCACTGTTCGCGACTTGTATGCTTCACATCGACTTCGAACGAGAAGTGCCTGTGTGTATATTTGCCAATTAGAACTGCCACCCTCGATGATGCGTGTGGCATAAGGCTGAGTCTCTTCACGGGTCAATCCGTGTTCGGGGGAATTGTTTGTGATTGCGGAGGCAATTGCGAGGAGCAAAGAGGAATCAAGCGGATTCAGCTTTGGTTGATCTGATGGGTCGATTGATACTAGAGCAGCAGGCAATGAGGATTCATCCTGTACCGTAGTGATCTTTTCTGGTTTGTTGCCTTCTTTTGCGAAAGCAATTGTTTCAAGAAGAGTATCATCATTGAGATCGAGTGCTTTAGGTTGAGACACTCCGGATTGTTCTTCCTTTTCCACTCTAGAGGTTACCTTAGTGGGTACTGGATCTGTTGTATCTGCACTCTTTGCCAGGACGACCAGTTGACTGATATCTCGGTCCTGGAATTTAGTCCGTTTCCCCAGCTTGCCAGTCAACGCAAATTCAAAGCCATTCTCCACTGCAGCCTGTTCTAAATCCAATCTTGCCTTATGATCAAATCCGTGATGCGTATGTATCGTAGCCCTTTCGAGTAGGAATGCTGCCTTCTCTCCACCTGAGGAGCCAATCTCTTTTCCTAGCACGTCGGCAGCAAGAACATCAAGGTCATCATAGATTGCTTTTTGTAATGTTCCTGTCACTTCAGACAGCATCTTCTGGTGCAAGAAATTGACCCTCGCTCTCGCCGTTGTTGCGACAAGGGGCGAACCTTCAGTGACTAATACTCCAGAGTCAACCAAAATCGCTTTCGCTAGGCAGAACAGTTCAATATTTGGCGTAAGCGGATACACGGCCTCTCCATCCACAGATAAATCCCTTAACATTTTTGTCCTAATAGCATCCAAAACCGACCTATCACTTGTAACTTTCTCTCCTAAAATGACAGCCGCAGAATCAAACTCTAATGGAGGACCTGTCACGTTCGACTGAAGGAAAAAAAATAGTGCCGCAACACCGGTATGCAGAATGTGCGATAACAAGACATTGCGCTTGCTCTGGTCGTCTGTTTTTTCGATCGAAATAGAAATAAACTTGCGCACGCGCTCTGCAACCCAATCTGTGAAGGATTTTTCGCCTTTAAGTACTGGTTCAAACTCGGAGACATTGTCACTAATGTCTTGGACTAGGAGCGCCTGTGCGATGGGGGTCTGGAGTAAATGATCGGTGGTGCGGATGCGGATAGGGTCATATTTCGTCTTCGCGATATTGTTTTCGTCATATATAGTACTGTATTGAGGGGGTTGTGTGTGTGTTTTCGTTTCCGAGGCCATACTTAGCCTGGTATTTCGAGTTGGATCTTCACCGTTGGCTCTTTTCTAAGAGCGCAAGGTGTGATCTCCTAGAGTCTTTGAGTTCAATTTCAAGGCCGAGTCAAGAGAATAGTGGCGAAATAAAGGAAACCAAACAAAGATACTCGAAATAGTCATGTCATCAAAGAGAAGGAAAGAGTCATATCCCACTGAAACGACAGTAGCTGTGTCATTTAGAAAATTGATGTGGTGCTTGTTGCGACCCCGCGGCCAGACTTTTTTTTCTGCGTTATCGATACCAGATTACCAAAAAAGGATTAGCGCACTATTCATCCCACTGTGGTGGCTGAAGGAGAGATGAGTGGCAATAATCATACAGATCAGGATTGAACAGTGTAGGAATATATAGTCAATTTTCCCCATCGTGTCTAATAAATCAGAATAAAGAGCTTTATTTCATAGTAGTAGTACAGGTTCTGGATCTTTCATATCAGTCCCTCCGAATCATGCATCTCTTGCCCGCCATAGCCACCCCAAAGCACTGCGTCGAAAATGTCATCAATCATTATTTCATTTTCATTTGTGTTGTCGGGGAGAAATGATGAGATCTCGCCAATCATTTGGGGGTCGAGAGAAAAGTAATCTAGATTTGAAAAGTCCGATAAAAGTTCTGCCTCTGTACGTTCGGAACCCACTATAGGGGGCAAGTTAGATTGAGCATCTTGAAGATTGGTGTCGGGTATGTTTGATGGAAATTGGGTTTGAACGGTAAGCGTGTTTTGCTGATCTGCATTCCTGGAGCTCTGGTGCTCGTACATCTCCTTTAGTGCCAACAGGCCTCGTCTGTGGGGACCCCAGAAACGATTTTCGGTGCCGTCAGCATCAGGTTGGTCATATAGTGTTCGAAATAGGCGCCCTTGTAGTTCGACGACTTCGCGGTCAACCTTGCTATAGCCGGTGATAGCAAGGATTAGCGCAGAAGCTAGTCCATTATGGAGCATTGCTAGAGATCTCCTGGCTACTATACTTGTTGTTAGAAGATCTAAATAGGCATGCAAGGAGCTCTTGTAAGCTCCCAAACACATAGAGGCTAATCGATCTCTTTGATTATGCGAAAGATGTGTCCACTTTTTGGGACTTAAAGAAGGGCGCAGCAATGTTCCAATGGTAAACGACGAGTGCAATTGAAAGCAGAGCTGTTCGATGTGATCCTGCATAGATTTGCAGTTTTTCCGAGCAGATATCGGAGCCCGTAAGCTGGTTCTTATCTGTTCTACGTCGTTGACATCTGCCAATATTTTCTCATATGTTGGAGGTATCGAAATCAGAGCGTGGTTTCGCGCACTTCCCATTAAAACAAGATAAGTGAGCGTATACATGCCCTCTTGGTAGTCTAGTGGTTCATCACGAGGCAACAGTGTGTGGAAAGGATCCAATGATTTCACGGCAGTGACCGGAGCCCTGTCAAAACACATGCAAAGCAGAGCGTCCTGCCACATGATTGTCCACCTTTAAGAAAGTAAGATATTTTCATATTATTTTCATAATTGCTCGTATCATACATACCATAGCTTTAGATGATAGGGCACCTTACCACCATCTCGTTGTGAATTAAACTTGACATTATGTAATCCCAATGATTGAGCCTGACGGCTAAGGAGGCCGAGAAGAGTCCAGGCAGCTTCTGTCATAAGTTCATTTTGTAGGACTTGAACAATTATGATGAGTGCTTGGAGACATTTTATCGATGGCTTGAGCAGGCCTTGGGTGATACCAAGGCATTGATATGCAGTGCTTACTTTTTGAAAGGTCAGAATCATGCATAAAAAGAAAGAACTAGATAGATACATGCCATAACGGCGGATTGCAGCCTTCGATTCAGATGTTTGAGTGCTTGTACTTTGCAGACCACATGCCAGAACTGCAAATAAAAGGGCTGCCCAGTCGAGGTCGTGCCCGAACAGTTGAGAAAGCTTAATTCCTTCCGTGGGGCTAGATACCGCTTCCAGATGGGTGCATAACCTTAGCTCAAAAGCATTTAGGTCCACAAGAAATGGATTGAGAGGATGGACAACGTGACGATAACGAGCGAGAAGCCTATTCATGTCTTAGTAAAAGGCACTCTGCTCTGCATTATGTTTTATACTTCTAAAGAACATATCACTTACTCCAGAATTTGATCTTTCGCAGGTAGAATATCTAAGAGCTTTTCAACTTCTTCATTTCCTATATTCCATCGTGGGAGTGATTTGTCATCCAGCGACTGAAGACCTAGCATTGGCAAAGTCGCGTCCTTCATCTTGGCAGCACTGGGATTGCTTGAATAGTAATTTTCCGCTACAAACGACGGCACCGATTGATCCCCCAGGAGTACCCCTGGATCTGATGCTGCAACATCTTCGCTTTGTACCAACGTTTTTGTTGGCGTGGTTTGGTTGTGGAATCTGACTGGGGGAGCGACCAGTCCGTCACTTAATAGAACGTGACCAACTGTTGAAGTACTGTGACTGGATGAAGAGGGCTTCTTTGCTTTAGATTCTGGACTTGGCTCATATGAGCAGAGCTCCTCATGTGAACGGTCTACACATTGTTTGCAGGGCCTTGCTGTGTCGCATTTCACCTTTCTCTGCCGGCAGGGATAGCAAGGGCGGTTGAAGCGACCCTTGCGCTTTCGCCTCAGAATATGGTTGACAGACTCGGGAGAGAGCATTACAACTCGGTCCTATCTGTACCATGCCAGCTTTATGGGGCGGTATCGATAATCCTAGATCATATATGTATTTGCAGGTTTCCGTACTGGATAGGACCGTGAACCTTCTTTCGGAGCTTAGTCATCAGTATTTTTGGAGCTCCGACCCTTCCGTTACCATACCACTACAGACCGTGTATTTATGATTCGACAGTGATTTACATTTATGATATTCTTTCAGTTTACCTACATTATTCGTGAGGGGGAAATAATAACACAGAGATGCACTGGGAGGTATAACTTAAGGTCAAATGCCCACTATACTTCTCGCCATATCACTATGCATTCCATTCCATCTTTCAAAGTCACCCGTGTCGATATCAAGAAGGTCCAAAATTCTCCCAACTGTCTGGTTGACTATGTCATCCACTGTTTTGGGCCTAGTATAAAATGCCGGCACCGGTGGAAATATGATTGCACCGTTCTGAGTGACTTTCATCATATTCTCTAGATGAATACCGCTGAGAGGGGTTTCACGGGCTACCAGAATCAGCCGTCTCTTCTCCTTGAATGTGACATCTGCAGCTCGAGATATGAGATCGTCACCGTAACCAGTGGCGATGCTACTCAGAGTCTTCATGCTGCATGGCACGACAATCATGGCGTTGACCTTAAATGAGCCGCTTGAAATTGGAGCCGCCACATCGTGTGAGGAATACGTTTTTGTGGCTAGGTCCTTGACAGCACGCAGCTTGTAGTCAGTTTCATACGTAATGGTAGCATCTGCCCATTTACTGATGATCAAATGCGTCTCGATATCCATTCGGCGAAGCGTCTCGAGTATTCTGATCCCTAGGATAGCACCCGTCGCACCGGTCATCGCGATGATGACCCTCCGTTTTCTTCTCATCGGTTTTAAATCCGAGGAAGGGAGCGTCGCAAAGCTTAGCTTTTCTGTAACAAATGGCTGGCTCTGGTCTACCCGTGCTTGCGATGATAGGTTCTCGTCTCCGGTGGACCGTTGTTTTCGTTGGTTGCCAAATGTAGGTTTGCCGTCGAATCTCAACGAGATCTTGTTTTTTGGAGACTCTCGGTAGAGGATCTTTTTGAAACTAGAGAAACTTGTTGCATGGCGTATCACTGTAAGATACCCACAAAGGCATGCAAGAGCACAGTATACAACAATCATGCTGACCATAAGTAGTATGTTTTAGCTATTGCGATGATCGAGGTGAAAGAATATGATTTCAACTTTAGCATATGCATTCTGTGTTTAAAATCACGATGTGAAGTATTTATACTTAGTTATTAACCACGATTCGTACGAAAAAAAAATAATTCTTCAGGGTGTCGGAAATCTCGTGGACTTCGGTAACTTCGGAAATCTCGGTGAAGCCTCTCATTGGTCAATCCATTATTTTTTACACAAAATGAAGAGATGACATCTTCAACCTTTGCCATCCACTGTTAAGTAAATCGCTCATGGGTCATTTGTGCACATTTTATGAAGGGCGTTACATAAAACCTGCAATATATAATGCAGCCATCAGGACTGCAGGTTGTGAATCAACGTCGACAAGCTGATTTTCAAAACAATAGTGAGAGTTGATCACAACAGGCATTTGAACACAACAACAGAGATTTCCAATTAACAATGGCTAGTGAAATACCACCCCATCTCAGCTTTCGATCCTTTGTCAATGCTCTCAAAGAGGATGGAGATCTTGTGGAGATCAACGATGAGATTGACCCTTATCTTGAAGCTGGAGCGATTATCCGCAAAGTGTGCGAGACCGATAACAAAGCACCTCTTCTAAACAAGCTCAAAGGCAATAAAGATGGACTTTGGAGAATTTTGGGAGCTCCGGCCTCACTGCGCAGAGACCCCAGTCAACGATACGGTCGTCTCGCTCGACATCTCGCCCTACCACCTACCGCATCTATGAAGGATGTTGTCGACAAAATGTTGTCCGCAAAAACCAGGTCTCCGATCCCACCAAGAACTGTCAAGACGGGGCCATGTAAAGAACATATCCTGGATGAATTTGATCTCAACCAATTGCCCTCGCCATTCTTGCATCAGTCCGACGGCGGCAAATATATCCAAACCTATGGTATGCACATAGTGCAGTCTCCCAATGGTAAATGGACCAATTGGTCTATTGCAAGAGCCATGGTTAAAGATAAGAATCACCTGGTTGGTCTTGTTATAGAACCTCAGCATATCTGGCAGATTCATCAGCTTTGGAAAGCTGAGGGAAAAGATGTCCCGTGGGCTTTGTGTTTCGGAGTCCCCCCTGCGGCAATCATGGCTTCCAGTATGCCACTACCAGAAGGTGTCACTGAAGCAGACTATATTGGCGCTATGACTGGTACACCGTTAGATGTTGTTAAATGCGAGACGAATGGCCTACTTGTTCCAGCAAACTCTGAGATTGTGTTTGAAGGAACTTTGTCTATCTCTGAGACTGCACCAGAGGGGCCATTTGGTGAAATGCACGGATATGTGTTCATGGGCGACTCGCATCCTCAACCTGTTTATACCGTGGCGAAGATTACCCACCGCACCGATGCCATCCTACCAGTATCAAACTGTGGACGTATAACAGATGAGACGGTAGGCAATTACTTTCTCTTTCCCAAATTCAAAACTCGGACTAACTAGAATTGCTGTAGCACACGATGATTGGAACACTTGCGGCAGCTGAGATTCGCCAACTCTGCCAGGAGAAAAACCTACCAATCAAGGAAGCAATGGCCCAATTCGAGACCCAGGTTACCTGGGTAGCTCTGCAAGTGGACACAGAAAAGCTTCGGCAATTCCAGTGGACACCGCAAGATTTTCGCAAACGCGTCGGAGATTTGGTATTCTCTCACAAAGTTGGATACACAATTCATCGTCTTGTTCTTGTTGGCGAAGACATTGACGTGTACAATTTCAAGGACGTTATTTTCGCGTTTTCAACTCGCTGCAGACCAAAAACTGATGAACTATTCTATGAAGACTGCAGAGGATTTCCTTTGGTCCCGTACATGTCGCATGGGTCTGCGTCACCAACTGTAGGCGGAAAGGTTGTTTCGGATGCATTATTGGCTTCTGAATACAAGACTGGCGTGACTTGGGAGATTGCTGATTTTAAGCATTCCTACCCTGAGGGCCTCCAGAAGAGCGTTGTTGATCGCTGGCAGCTATGGGGCTTTAATGCATAGGGCCGCTATTCAGGTTGTAGCCTGATAATTGATATATTCAATTATAGCATCCTTAGTTTACTGTAAATTGAGATAGTATGATATGGTTTGACACAATTAAGCTGTATTTAAGAGCGCTAGAATGGAGTTTCTGTAAGTTCTTGTAGAGGGCCTCAGCTAAGTAGCCACGCTGCTCGTAGGCATAGAGCAACGATGTATTTTAACCTCACAATTCTCTCGACGGTGTCCCCCGAATGTTGAACCAAAAGCACCCACTGCTCTATTCTAGAAGGCGAAGGCAAAAGCATCTGTTGTCCAAATCTTAGCTCAAGATTGTCATGGCCTAGAGGCTGGGTACAGTGGCTATACTTGAATATAATAACAATATAATAATATAATCATTAAAGTTGATTTTAAGCCATCCAAAGTGCTCTGGCAGCTTTTTGCCCTACTAAAATGCGACGTGTAGTTCTGTTAACGCGTGTCACGGCGCCGACCCGAGATGCCATCCGTAGTTGGCTGCATGTATTTCGTTGTGACCTGGCCGATGATATGTATTTTTTTTAATGGATAAAATATAATAATGCCAACATCTGATAATCATTTAAATGGGGTTCATTATTATTACAGCGATCATAGCGACTGACGGTATATTAACGTGTACAGAAAATGTCAAGTTCATTATGTTAGCAGAATCCTCTTGAATTCCTGTTCAGAGGTGCAAGGTTTCATATACTTCCCTGTGGCTGTTGAAGGAACCCTTTCGAGTTAGCTTCCTGGATACCTTTGTACCAGATTTGGGCCATCTTATAATAACCTAGGTCATTTGGATGTGTTCCATCGCTTAAGTCGTCAAGCTGCGGTCCATATTGATTGTGCATATCTACTAGTACAATCCTTTTCTGCTCGACTTCCTTTTGTTTCGACACAGCTCTGAACTGTTCATTGGCCCACAGCACTCGTGATTCGGTTTTGGCATCCAAGTTAACTAGCAATGTGGATAGAATGATAGTTGAATATGGAGATTCCCTCCAAACATATTCAAGCATATCATCCATGCGTCTACCAATGTGCTGGATTTCGAATCCTTGGATGCTGTCGTTGGAGCCTGCGTTGATCAAGACGACATCTGGTGCGAGCGCGGGAATAGACATTTTCGCTTTGCCTTGTATCTGATCAATTCTAAAACCTCGCCACCCCTCGTTATCGTTATTACGCATGGAACCAGCTTTTCGTGATCCAACCATTGTGACTAAAAAGCCGTCTGAAACGAGCATCTCATATAGCCACTTTCTGTAGCCATTTCCGTCAGAGGATTCGCATCCATAAGTTACAGAGCCACCAAGTGGCATCAAGCGCATTGGCGCATCGTCCTTGCGCTCTATGGAGGTGTTAGAAAACCTTTGCCAGTAAGTGTCAGTCGAAATATACCTCTAGTCCACCGATGAGAGCTATTGACGGCTGACACGAGCCCCCTCTTGTGAAACAAGGTTGGACTTCCGTTTCTCACGTATAACGGGAATGCGCGGTGAGATAGCATGCTAAGGGTTTTGAGAAGATACTTGTATGTCAAAGCAGAGACTTGCGGTGACAGAATTAGCAAGAATGAAATGTGCGACATGGAGCGTAGAGACATCTATACCTTAGCGACGAAAAGAGTGCTGGTTTGGCGGGTCAGTCGGGCGAATTGGTCGCCGAGGAGCTTGAAAAATTAGGAGAACGAGTCTTGGGCCCGATTATTATTATCAGAAGTATGAAATAATTAATTTGGAAGTTAAAGTTCCGGATTTATACTCCACCCCGTGCATCGGCAAAAATATGGAACGCCGGTCCACTCAACGCTACTACCAGGTATGGTCAATCTCATGCAGTACTGTATTGTCGCGGGAGCCGGACACGACCCGCCTGCAGTCAGGCGAGAAGGCTACTGATGTGACCGGGTCCGCATGGCCCTCAAGCGTCTGCAGCGCTCGGCAGCTTGAGCTGGAATTTGAGGACGACAGGAAATTTATTAGGGAACAGACAGTCCGGGAGTTCTCGGCTGGCCTTGAAACGGTTTTGGGCGAGTATTAGAGTCCGCAATCTATAAGCCGTTGGCATTGGTATGGTAATTGCAAGCACTAGTAAGGCCCTTGCTGGATGGCCAATAAAGAGACGCGAAATCATCGCTTGCCTGTCAACGGATTATTACAGCCAGTATATTAATTAGCATATAATTCACTACCAACGTGGAATTCCTCTTAATCAATTATATGTCCGATTTGACCCTTCATTTTACTAGATCGTAATAAATATCATCATTCCATATGTACATCACCATAACTGCACGAATGAGACGAATTTCCTCCATCGCGGCAATCTCTCATATTCATCCAGTTCTCGAATTTCGCCTACACTCAATGGCCTACGTCCGGTCTGCAAATCCACTTTGCGCGGGTCACGCAATTTGGTTTGGAATATTATTTTATAGGCAATGGTGCTGGCGACAATCAAGATCAAGCCTATCATGTACTGGAAGAAATAATATGCGGTTGGTGTGTCGGACCTCTGGATTGAATGTTAGCAGGTGTGCATACTCGGTAAGGAAGGGAGGGGAGAATTACAATCGGGTACAAAGCAAGGTAGAAGGAGCAACCGATATAAAAAAGAGAGCAGGTAAACAACCAGATAGGTGGGAATGGCCACCAGGTGGACTTCTAAGCGTAGATCTCGTTAAAGCGGGGATCATTCTGTGCCTTGAGGGCTGCTCGGAAGCTAAAGGAGATGATCGAAATGACGAACCAGACCATGAAGAATCCAGTGCTTGCAATCTGGGACAGCCAGTTAAAAACAGTTGTGCCCTCTCCGCTCAGGTTGATGTAGGTCATCACGATGGTGAGAACAGCGGTGATACCCAGCGAGACTCGCGGACGACCCCGTGAATCAACCTTTGCCACGCAGGAGGAAATGAGACCTTGATGGGCCATAGATTGAAGAATGCGCGACGCGACAAAGAAACTCTCTGCAGCAATGGCTGCTACCGCAAACAGTATCACAACATTGAGCAGGTCTGGAAGCCCCTTGATGCCGGCCTGGTTGATGGCGATGACGAATGGGGATGCTGCGACACCGCTGCTGCCCAACAAGGGCGGGTTTTTAGGAGAGATCAAGATCCCGATAATGACCACGGAAACCAAGTAGAAGACGGCCACTCGGATAGGAATCAAAAACACGGCGTGCGCGACGGAGTAGCGGGGGCTCTTGGACTCTCCGGCAAGGAAACCTGTGAAGGTATTGTCTATATCATGGTTCAGCAGGTGTATCTATGAGAGAACTGGATGAAGACCCACCTCCAATAGCTAGAATTGCCAGCAGCACGCTATTGCCAAATCCTTTGAAGCCATTGAGAAACGCCATCCCGTTCTGCCAATTCTCGCCATTGTGAACTGTGCCGTCAGCGCCGGCACCGAAGATTAGAGCTACACCGATGATCACAAATAGAATCAAGGCAACGATTTTCAAGATAGACGTAAAGTACTCGAACCATCCGATGACGGTATTGGGAAGGCTGAAAATGGCAAACATGAGAATCAGGAAGAGGGTTACTATGAAATGTAAGCCAAACTCATCTCTCCAAACCAATTTCCAGTGTATTTTATAAACCGGAGGTCAAACATATACCAGACGGCTTCAGGCACTTTATCATTTGCCCAGTAATTGACAATCACGGAAAAGAATGTCGCCTCCGAAGCAATGATGGCTGTCCAGCCGATCCACATCGAAAAGCCGGCGGCAAAAGACAAGGCGCGATCGACAAAGCGATCCGCGTAGTCGATGAAATTACCAGAGGTAGGAAAGGCGATAGTCATCTCACTGACGGTTTGAATTACAGCCCAAACGCACGAACACACAACTGCAAAGCCCAGGAAGAGAGATGCCGGGCCGCCATCCCGTAAGTTCGAGCCGGCTAAAAGCCATCATCCTGATGTCGAACCATAACAGACATAGGTTAAGCATTGGATAACCATGCTCAGTGACATGACGGAAAAGTATATGAGTAGACGTTGAATTACATGAGACTAGTTAGTGATCATACCACACATAATGATGTGGGTGTTCCCTAACATCGCGTAGCACAGGAGTAAAAAGAAAAGACACAAAAATAGTCTTCAGGAGAATATAAGGTACCAAGGGATTTAATCTTCTTCACATCCTCTTCCTCATTGTAGTCATCTTGAATTGCGTAATTCTAAGGCGTCGCTTTAGGAGTAAAAGTCTCAGAGAGATGGATAACAGAGCATCCAGTCATGATATTGGTATATTAAGGCATTTTCTAGCACTGCTAGTTGCTTTTTAGTCTAGTTATAAAGTTGCTGGTCGATGATACTCGTACCTAGTTTGATTGTATCCTCAGCTGACTAGGGGCAATGCGTTGGCTTTTTTGAGTAGAGTGCTATTTATGCCAACCTTGTCAATGTACGTGATAGAATCTCGAGGATGTCTGGTGTGGTTTCGATACGAAGTATGAGCTCTCCTTGGTTGCCTTTAACTTGTCTCATTGTGTCTTAGCTTGAGTTTGTTGAGAATTTGAGGGATATCTCTCTTGCGAAGCACCAAAGACATTGTATGACCAGCCAGGCAATTTTCCTTGACAGCGCCCACCATGAGATGGTCCTCTAGTGGTAGCAAGGTTTTGGGGTGACTGTTGGATTGGTAGTCTCTGCCGATGATGGAATCACTGTTGCCCATTTTCTGTCAGCGTTCAAGACCTGTTTATTCACGTCTGGTTTGAGGTTAGTTGACTCAAAACGCAATTCAATTCAGGATATAATCTAAATCCATTATCCATCTTAAGCGAATCAATTCTCCTTTATTTTGTTTCCCAGGTATTCCATATACAAAGATACTTCAATAACGACAAAACCGAACCAACTTTAGGTCCTTGAAAAAATAAATAAAATCTAGGAAAGACACGTTAATCATCATGTCAAACTCCATAAACCATGTATGTAGTTAAGTCGTCTGAATCTGTACAGTAGGATGATAAATTTTTGAATATAGCACCACAAAAGTGAATTTGGTATAGGAGCCCTCCCCAGATCATTTATAATAATATTTGAGCTTTTCATATTGTCTACGCGTGGATCCCAAGAAGTCTATATTTTCAATCGGACGTAGATTGGTGTAAATACAGACAACGGGTTACGGCGGACTAATTTTTACATAGTGGCACAGCGAATTTTAATATTTCCACATATTGAAAATGATCATATTGTGGTTTTATATGGCAGTATCGATTTATATGAGGCAGGGCACCACCCAGCGTTTATATGGCAGGGTCGACTTTTATGAGACAGGCCGCTGCGCAGCGTTTACTATTTTTATTCGAAGGCTTTATATAAATGATTATATGGGACTATACTCACCTAACGATTATATGTATATGATATCGTGAGTTAATAATAAGACAAACATCTGGGAAAATGTACATGTAATATAGCTCATTAAAACAAAATTAATACACTTAGGTTGGTTTGCCAGGTTAGTACCGATTTGATATCGAACTATTCAGTATCAAATACTAGAAAGGTATTTCGCCTCAACTGGGAAAATAAGTATGTACAAGATCATGGATCAGTATTAGCCTCATAAATACGTTTTGTAGAATGAATTCCAAATGTCATCAGTCAACCAGTATAGATTTCCTTTGCTTTTCTCAAGTCTGTCAAATGATGCCGCCAAAATTCAACTCCCGGCGCTCAAAGATAAAGAAAGTGAGACGACGCAATCTAAAAATACAGGAAAGGGTTCAAGGGAGTTCTATATTGTCCCGCCATTCATTCAAACTCTCACAAGATCTAGGGTTTTCTATTGGTGAAAAGGTGCTGTGATTGAAAAAATCAAGCATATTCCTGAGCTCGGTACCTGGACGATCACCTTTAATTACTCCTGTTGCCGACGAAGGCATTCACGGAGGATGGTTTCCTTCCTTTCTTTTCCTCCTCAGAGGAAGGATAATTCCTCATGCACAAGCCAAATATTGACGCCAGGATAATCAACTTCCAATCCTAACGACAGACTATCGTTACTACTGAAAGCGGAGACCGGAAGACATGTTGAACATCTAGCGGAAATTTCAGGATATGTGCTGTGCACGATAAAGCCTTTTTGACAAATATGTACCATTGATGGGGATGACAGAGATTGTGCGCCTATGATAAGACATTTGCTTTTACCTATATGAATCTTCATCAGCTCTTGTCTCTTGTTTCTGTGGATATCAACTTGGATTTCAGGAATAACAAGGTAAACGGGTAATGTTATGGTTCCAATCATACTCCCATGTTCCAGATTACCGTCTCAGAAAATAAGTGATTCAGTTAGAATCTGTGTTAATATTCGAGAGATGAATAATTCCCCCATTAGTGCCTCGTTACGGAGAAGACTGAGTTGGACGGACCCACTGTTATTCTTCCGAGTCCCTCGCCACGTGGAGACGGATACGCTAGCACTTTAGGGTATGATATGTCGCTTCATCCAAGTGGGGCAATCCGGGGTAGAAAATATTCAATAGCAGTTTTAATGTGCAACAGCTGTATCCCAGCTAAACACTCTCCATAACAGATTTCAGAGGTAAAAATATCCTTACGATTTTAATTAACGAGGTCGTAAAGTGTAGCGTTGTTATTGATTAGTTCTACAAGATGCGCGTCGCAAGCACTGCGTACACATAGTGAATTTCTGATATCAAAAACAAAACTGTATTCGAGTAATTAAGCTGGGCAAAACGATCATTCAGTCAATGAGGTAATTGGCTGGAGTCTAAGCAAGAAAGAACACGTGATATGTAAAATTTCACACATATCCTTACTTCTCGCGCTCGCTCGTCTCTCCCTTTTTTCTCTTCCTCCTAGGCATCACATCATCATCTCCACCATCACCATCAAAATGTCTTCTGGTAAGAACATTAACTTATCCAAACTCATTGTGAAAAGTGTTACTGAAATAATAATCTTGTTTAGATGCCAACATGACCAACGCTGCCCCCCTGCTGCCCCTGCTGCCCCTGCTGCCCCTGCTGCCCCTGCTGCCCCTGCTCCCCCTGCTCCCCCTGCCAACACCACCGACAATACAACGGCTGGTAAGTAGCTCAACTTATATAACTCGCTTTGAAAAGTGTCATTGAGATAATAATTCTGTTCAGATGCCATGGAGGCCGAGCCCACCACCACCACCACCATCACCACCGCCCCCGCCCCCGCCCCGACCCCGGCCCATGCTGCTGTGAGTTGATTCAAATGACATGCATTCTGGACCGTATGGCTAACTATATAGCAAAAGGCTGCTAATGCAGCAAAGGGAGGCCTCCCTGGGGGGGTTTGGCCAACCCCCACCCCCCGCGACAAGAAAGTCAAGGGGAAAAAGCCCGCCGCGCCCAAACGGCCTAGAGAGACTGAAGTATGTATTACAATTATCTTGTATTCTATTCAAGCTGACCGATTCGATAGGTTGTCGAGAGTGCGGAGGTTCGTACTCCCGAGGAGATGAAAGAGGCTCAATTAAAATTAAAAGAGAAGATGACTGCTTCGCTGGCGAAGCAGGATGGCTGGCAGATCACTGTTGAGACTCTAGTAGAGCTCATTGCTGCGGAGAAAGTAGAGTACGAAAAAATGAGGGTTCAACGAGAAGCAATTTTGAATGCTTATAGCCGTCGTGTTGCGGCTGAGGCCTCAAATAAAAAAAAAAAATTATAAGGGGGCTGGACCCCTTTATGGGGATCTTTGAGATTTGTCTTTTGGTTTTTTTTTCTTTGTTTTTTTTTCTCTCTCTTTTTTTACGAGAGTTTAGTTGTTTTTTTTTAAAAAAAAATACAAGACTTCAAGCTTCAATAATCGCCCCTATCCTATTAGATAGAGTAGAATGTCTTGCTCTCTCTCTCAACAGGAGCACGAATTGGACCTTGACTGCTTTCCGAGAAACCTGTGTAATAAGGACATCCTCGCAAGAGTCATCCACTCAGGGGTTGCAGAGTGTCAGAGCATAGTGAAGTACATCATTTATTCCCATTGCCTATTTAATTGAGGAATTGATCTCACTTACCATTCTCTAAGAAGCAATATAACGACGCGGGGGACATTTGGAGTTGGGAGCCTTCAATACTGTATATTCGTGTCGCAGCCAACGCGAAGGATTGATCTATATTCACAAATCTGTAGCCGTTTATAATTACTTTCGGGAAGCCTGCTTAATAACTTTCCTTCTTTTAAAATGTTCTTTTCTTGTAAGAGTCCGACAATACTTTCATTGAACACTACGCTGCAGCATGCACATACGAAGTAAAGAAAATCTTGTACAGTTCATGATGCAATGCCTCTCGAAATACGGTGAGAAGAAACATAGGAAAAATGTATCAGCCAAACATAGAGATTATCGTCTTGACTATGTCTGTTGATTTTTCAACCCCTTCGATTGACGCGCAGACTATAGAAAGGGCCATTAATTGTAAGCGTTATAGCTTCATCGCCGGAATACAAGCCTGTGTAGCATAGAGATGGCAGGACGGCATTTTGATCAGAAAAAGCCGTTTCCATCAAAAAACTGCATCCCAGGAGGGTATGGTTCCACATCGGCAGGACCCTGCTACTCTCACTTCCATATCCGAGTCTGTTGCGTGAACAGCATTCCGATCTATATTTCCATGCATGACCACCTCTTTCCGTGGGATTCGCCCTTGAAAGTCATAATATCGGCCCATATCGGCCCACTCCGATTTTCCGGTTTGAACCGTGTGAAGATGATTCGACTTCATCAGGCCAGTCAAAGAAGGAAGGAAAAAGGCATTGGATGGGGAGACAAATTGTTGTAGTTGTTCACTTCTTAAATCGTAATCGTTAACCATTTCTGTTCAAGGTTCTAATATAGTCAGTCACCACAAATCAAGATATAAGTCATTAAAATGAGCCTACTATTCCGATAAGGTATCCCCTGAGGTAAGGGGGACGGAGCGATTGGAATGGCTGCAATAGCAGCGGTCGAGAGACCATGAAAATCCGAACTTCCAAATATAGATAGAAAGAAAAGGAACTGAAATATTTATGTATTTTCCCACGTACATCAATGAAATGTGAGATAAAGGTATGTATGAATGTCTTCATCGTCCCTGGTTTTTGCTGATTGTGTGGCTGGCGGGTGTCAGGCATGGTTGACGGAGTAGGTGCCTGGCCTGACCGAGTTGGAAGATAGAGCGCCTTACTCTACACGTGACCAAGTACTTTGGGAAAACATCACATCAACAGCTTCAAGATGCAGATGTACTGATGTGGTTTGCCCTGCGCCCAAAGCTCGTGTACAAACCAATGGAAAGTTCTCTTCTTCTAGAATTCGTAGAGAGATTACTGGAAGTAGCTTTGTGATTCAGCTTCCCAAGGAAACTGAATCTAGCAAGATAGTAAACGCCCTCCCAGATCTTAACTACAAAATTCCACTAACATCGGACCTATTCTGGGACCTCAGGATGGCGCTTCAACTCAGGCATCATATACTGTAGAACATATAGAAACAACTCCACTTTACTGATAGATGGATGGATGGATGGATTCTGATACCATGTAAAAATAGCGACCCATGCAAAGACATGTAGAAGCATAAGTTGAGCTACCAGTCACCGAGAATGTGGAAGTGCATTCGTGTTTAATGACGGAGGTAAAAGTGACAGAACGAGCGAAGAGTATGGAGTGTTCTATAGGAATTAAGATGGTACCACCCTGAGCCTGAATATAGGTTAGGCCGTAGTCCAATCAGAAAATTAGTATATTTTGGCTCGCTATATTATCCTCCATGTAAAATAGTGCGTAGATAATGAAATACATGGAGTAGAACATCGTGAGTAAGACATGACAAGCAAAATTTGAGTAACTATCCCGAGATTGCTACCTGCGACACTTGACAACATACAGTATCCATCTTGTAGAACAATAATGATGGACAAAGTCAGACAGATACTCGAGAGTCAGACTGAGTTCCCCATTACAAAGGTATAGACTTGTGTAGACTTCTTCGGATAAAGAAAGGGCTGTAAGCAATTGTTCAATTTTCAAAGATGCATTGGTTAAAGTTGAATGTAAGTCTTTACGTGGTCTTCTGGTTTAGCAATCACGTGTTGACGACTACGGTATCAATGCTCCAAGATAGAGACTGCAAACGCGGTTTCGTCGATGAAGAAGGAAGGAAGGAAGGACCCATCGGTTCCATGATACTGTCAGTATTGGACGGGTTTGGCCAATAAATGGCTGCGACACGCGGTACAGCGGCGTGTGGCCAGGGGGGTTCCTGCCAGTTGAGGAAGGACCGGGAGAGGTAGGCATAGCAGTAGGTATAGCAACCGTAGATTCCCTCCCTCCTTTTCTACCCCCCCGTGAAACGAAACCTATCGAGGTGAGTATAGCCCAATTGCCAGATGCTGCGGTATCTGTAGTATGATCAATTAGTTAACTAGTAGTATATAGCCTTCACAATCAAAATGACACCAACTTCGCTGTCCCTTCGTCCCAGCGACGCAACCAACTCTCTCTCTCAGCGTGAACTTAGTTCTCACAAACTTAGTTCCGATGAGAACAACCAACCTTTTCGGCCTGTAGGTCGTCGTCTGAAGCGTCGTCGAGTTATTGAAGACTCCGAAGATGACGAACCTGCTGTCGATACAAATTCGGCCGTAGGGAATAACCCGGAGCCTGTTCATCGTGAACCTAGTTCCGATGAAACTCCTCAATTGGCAAATCGCCATGGGCAGGATCTCCGAGTGATCGCAGATCCTGACGATGAAGATGAACCAATTGGCAAAGGAATGGATCCGATGGTTACCCCTAGGGCCCAAAAGAATGACACCTCAACTCCTCCGCCGCTGCCTTCCCCAAGCGCCTTTACTTCCAATTTCGTCCTAGACGAACTTCTGGAAGAAGAGGAGGATCTTGAGGATGCGGCTCCGGAGCTTGATGATGAGGACGTTCTTTACGAATCTGGTGATGAAGAAGAAGACGACGATGTCGTTCTTTCGCTTCATGACGATAGCGGTGTGCTGGAGGGGCAAAAAGGTGACTCCTTTGCGACCCTTCTGCGCTCTATCATAACCGCCTTAGTCCTCTGGACAAACCAACATGATGTTTCGAAGATTGTAGGAAGAATGCGCCCAATTACATTGGGTTTCTGGTCACTTCTGACGCGTGTTGATATTGACCTTCTCATGGCGTTGTACTTGCCAGCCATCCCCCGGCAAGTTATGCGGCTATTTGAGAAATCATCCTGGTCACTCGATGATCTGATGTCACTCCCCTCTGTCCGCGGCATCTCCAAATACGGGGTTTATGGGAATTTCCCAACTGGAAACCTCAGTGTCAGAACCGATAGCTCACCTGGGTGTGAATGCTATATTGGTTCTACACAATGCCTGGATACGAGAGCTGATCAGCATCAACGTCTAGCCAAAAAGGAAGTAAATGACCTTCCTAAAAGCCACAAAAGAAGTCTTCATTACAACCAAATCTGTCGTGAAGGTGTCAAATCACACTTCAGGGCTTTAGCGGTCTTTGAGCAGCCGGTTGCAAAGGGATACTTAAATTTGCTTGAAGGGATTTTCATGATCCTCTTTCAGACATATAGGTATCGCCGCTACCATGAGCATGCACCAAAGGCTTCTTTTGACCTTTTCGACGAGATCTCGGGCGTTGTGAAAATCCCCTCTTCCGCATGCACGTGGAGAGGGCTAAATGGAGCCTGGCCTTTGCGCCAAGGATTCTTCCACCCGTCATGGAAGAAGTCACTCTCATGCCATAACGCGGCATGCAGTCGAATGACTATTCCTGGAAGGCGGTATCTCTTTGCTCCCTTTGATCCGTTGGGTCCATATATCTGCCCACTATGCTACATGTATAGACGGCGATATGGGAACTTTCCAAGCTCATCATTTACGGAAAGTGTCAACGAGAGGATAGAGCGTACCAACAAAGTTAGGGAACGGAGAAAGGCCGCAGGCGGAGATCTCGCATGCAGTTGCTGTTCCCGGGTGGAATCTCAATTTCCTCGCAATGCCAGAGGAGGGACTAAGATTCGCCTACATCGGATTCATCCGAAATTCCCAGACATGAATCTTTGCAGATATTGTTATATGTTTGTAGATGAACACAACCGTCTGCGAAGTTCGGAAGAAATCGAGCAATACTCGCGTATCTTTGACTTGATTGTCGCAAGACTAGGTGAAGGAAAAGTCGTATGTGAGAATTGCAGTGCCGTAGATGGCCATCCAACCTGCCGTGGACAACATAGATCCAATGCAGAGACAGGTTTGGTACTATGCACACCATGTGAAGAATACCAGTGCCACCACCACAAGCTTCGTGATCCATTCTGTCAGCGGCGCCTTGAAGTCGTGTATGAAGCGGATCAAACGCGAAAGCGTGGTGAGCCGGTACTGTGTGCCTTCTGTCACCGTCCAGAGACTGCTGGAGGCTACAAGTTTTCTGTCTCGAAGAAGGGCCGCGGCCCTTACTGTCGGATCAGAAACTGCCGAAGAGAAGCAGGAGCTGATGATGATGACGATATTGCAGATGGCGGACGGAGAGCCCGTCTCGCCGATACACAGAGATTGCATGCAAGGCAAAGCGATGCCGGTGAAGACATCATCTGCCGTTACTGCGGAGATGTCGAAGGGAAGGGAAAATCCAAAAAACCGTATTCCATCACAAGAAATGGATACGGTCCCTACTGTCATCGAAAAAAGTGTAGGGCGGAAGCTAGAGCAGGACGTGATCCTGTTTACCCAACTCGTTGAGATAAACTCACAAAGTGCCATTGGATCTTTATGTGTTTCTGTCACGAGCTCTCCCATCACGGCGGAAATTGTCTAGGCAGGTAATTTCTACAGGAATCGGGTAGTTCACGTTGTCAAGATTGTTATAGTCGTTGACTCGAGAGCCCGGGGAATGTTCGGTGAAGTTTTTTTTTTCGGTCGCAGACCGATCGCACAACATGCTAACTGGGCGATAAGTTCAACGTTCCCCTCCAGTTGCCGACGAACTTTCTAATTCTTTTTTGTTTCTTTTCTTTTGTTCCCTCTTTTTTTTCCCTCTTCTTCTCGTGCTTATATTCTTATTTGTATTCTTTCCCTTGGGGCCGATGACTTCCAATGCGGTCGGTCGCTGGGTGATGAGCTCAATCTCCAGTTCCCAGTTGCCGGCGAATGCCTTGGTGAATATTCCATTTCTTTTCAATTTTCCTTTCCCTCATGGAGATTCGACGGCCGATAATAGAGCTGTGCATTGACGTTACTTTGATGTGGCTTTCGACGAATGGCTTGGTGAAGCTGCGGTTTCTTCCTTCCTTCCTTCCTTCCTTTCTTTCCTTCTTGGAGGGCCAATGACACATACTGCGATAGCTGAATATTCACCTTCGACGCGATACGTGGTGGATAGGGTCTGATATGGCAACAAGGAAATATCAAGGTTTGTATAGTGTCCGCGAAATCCCTAGTGGATGATTGATTTTAGTCCTAGTAACCGAGAGTCGATACGCCAATTGCAATGGCTGGTCGATGTCATGATGCTGAACGTTAGACTTACCTTGCTGCGATATCCGATGGATGGCATCTGATGTGGTATCCAAATAACAACACCCGAATATAGTGGCTGAACGACACAATCATTACAGCTACATTCTCACGCGTTTTCCGGCTATCTCAGACACAGATTGCCATCGGAATCGATTTCTTGGCATCGGCCAGCTCATTTCATATTTTGCAGACGGAAACACATTCGAAACCATTGGCGGCTGAGTTTGGAGAGTTGACACATGCGCCGTCGGTTACCTATCCGCCTTACCTATATGAGATGATATTAGTTCATATTTCTTTTGTGAACCTTGACTTGGATTTTGAAAACGACTGCTTTATAGTACCACACTCTCCACATGACTGATTGCATAGAAGACTGACTTATTGAGGTTTTGTGTTGGTTTTAGAAGGATAGATTCGTTAATCCGGAGATCGACATGCTTAAGTCGACAAGCGTACGTGCGTGCATATTTGCGTTTGTTATTTTGGGTCGGACCTACTTTCACTTCTGTCAATGTCATTGGTTCTCATCTTCCACAAATTACGACATTTACTTTGACAGAAAAGGTTTTGCGAGTTGCAGGTCAGCCTATCTCAAAAATTTCTCGGCTTTTTGGTATGAGATCCACTCCTTGTTTTACTACTTGCGAAACTAATCTATTTAGAATTGATGATAGTCACTGGACTATATTTATATCTTGACATGGATCAACTGATGATTCAAAGATTGGGGATAATAGTTATCCAGCCTTTCTGTGACTCCCTCACATACATCATTAGTACGCTTTGACAATTATGCGGCTCAAGTATGGCCTATTCTTTTCCCCTGTCATTACCACCAATGCTGACTCCTCTATGGTCGCTGTTGGATTGCAAGAATGCATTTGTAACTCGAGATAGGGATTAATGGTGAAGAGAAGAGAGAGAGAGAGAGTATCTGCATGTGTGTGCCTGTGTGAGTGTGTGTGCCTGTGTGAGTGTGTGTGCCTGTGTGAGTGTGTGTGCCTGTGTGAGTGTGTGTGCCTGTGTGAGTGTGTGTGCCTGTGTGAGTGTGTGTGCCTGTGTGAGTGTGTGTGCCTGTGTGAGTGTGTGTGCCTGTGTGAGTGTGTGTGCCTGTGTGAGTGTGTGTGCCTGTGTGAGTGTGTGTGCCTGTGTGTGTGTGTGCCTGTGTGTGTGTGTGCCTGTGTGTGTGTGTGCCTGTGTGTGTGTCGCTGTATGTGTCGCTGTATGTGCAAAGAATCGCATCATGTGAGTTACCTTGATTTCAGATCTGCTGGTTTGCTGATTTGGGATGAGTGCGAACAGCCCTGCTTGGGCCAGAACTAGCGAGACTAGTTGGATGAGAAGATTTTGCATTTTGAGGGTTTTCACGCAACTTGACATCAAAGTGGACCAAGATTATCACTCTTCAGTGCTTCGCAGATCCAGATTCTCGGCATCAGAAGTGACCAACAAGAAAACCTCAAAGGTCCTGTGGTGTGCATATCAAGTCTCTGCTTTGGTAAGTCAAAGCTCTTTATGATGCTGAAAAAATAGCAATAGCAAAGCCGAAGCAGCGATGTTTTGAATACCGATCTAGCGAAAATTTGTGCGGTCTTTCGGCTTCTTATCGCTGGATCAAATAGTGAATCTGTTATTCATTGCAGTCGACACCCAGAAAAGATGGTTATATCTGCAGCCTCATTTTTCGCTTGATTTTTTAACTCCTGAAATTATTTATCAGTTTCGCTTCCCAGCTTTGAACTTCGACTTGATTGTCTCTTTCCTCAAACACTTTTACCTTTCCAATGGATTCTCGATTTATCATTCCTTCCAAATTCAAATCTCAACTCGAACATCGCTTTTGTCAACAACCATCTGTCTTCTCTTTTCGACCACTCAAATTGTCCTTTCTCAATCTAAGTTTTGATTTAACCTTTTCTTTTTATACATTTTCAATGTTTGTTTCTTTTACCTTCAATGTATCACATCTCTACAATCATCTGGCTTTATTCTTGATCTATTTCCCAAATTATCGACTACCTCTTCTTTTAATTTTCTTTCAGACTCCTTTCAATTTCTTCTGCAAGCTGTCTTTCCAACTTAATAGACAGAGACGGCCAATACTCTGATATGTCTGAGAGAGGAAAAATAGTATGTGTGTTTAATTGCGTCGAGTTGTACATTGCGCTGAGCTGTGGTGTAGCCACTGGATCTTTCCTGCAGACTATCTCATGGACGAGGTTCATATTGTGAATATGTTGATGTATGTTGCCTTTATTTCCTACTCGAGATTATTATCTAACCAGTTCCTAGAAAGATGTCTCCCTCCCTCCTATGTTATTCGAAACTTCTGAAACCTCGGAATCGTACTCTATCCTATACCAGGCGCATAGCACCGGCTACAAATACATTAACGTCCGGTGTTACCTCCACACTAGCATCAGTGCTTCTCAACCAACTTCAATGGTATCTGAGTCAAATTTGCAGCCTGCTAACGATATATACGGCTCGTCGTTGGACCGACAAATTGACTCCTGTGCGCACACGAAGAATGTTAAAATCGACATCGGAAAATCTCTCATAGGTGTTCTACTCCGTGTCGAGGTTTATATCCACCTATGGGATTAGGCTCTTCATATACCTACACTCAACACAGTCGCGATATAACGTCCGATATTCTCTGAGCTTCTTATCTTAAGTGGAGCGCTGATACGCAGACGGCCATGGTTTCGGTCAGCTTTTCCTTGGAAGGACAGTCACCTCTAAGCCAAATTACCTCTCATACGAATACTTACCATATTCCTAACACAAAACCTATGGTCATTCTACAAACGCCGAGAAGTCCGTGTAAATCTCCCAGTCTTGAATGCTGATTCCAGTTCTATAATGCTGACAGAAAATGAGTAATAGTGATCCCATCATTGGCAGAGTATATTAATCTAACAGTTACCTCAAAATCTTGCTACTATTAGAGGACCATCTCATAGTATTACTGTTAGGAAAAATTATTTAGCTGATGCTCATACTAAAAGGTGAATTATTCTCTGTATTTTCTACGAGACTTGACTGCCTTAGTCGAGACGGCAATTCCATATATCCTCGTATTGCGCAATAGCGATGGAGCTGAAGCTCCTTGGGAAGAGGTAGAAAGATATCAGCCAACGCCCCGTCAAGCCGCCGAAATACTCAGTATCACTCACAACAAGACCACGTGAGAATGAAGAGAACTCGCATTTGTTCACGGGAGTTTGTATGAGAAGGCTTGCAGATAAAACTAGGGTCGGAGACCTAACCCACTTTAACAGCCAACGGCAATGGAACATCGGGCGATGTCATGTGCTTTCTAGCTTACTGCTATGGCTCGTTGCAAGTGTGGCGAGGAGATGTTCTCTAATGAGGATGAATAGTTGATATGCTGCAATTTTGACTGTCAGAGCGCTTTAATGACAGTTTCCCATTGGTCACTTATGCAAAAAATCTGAACTTGTGAGAGAAACAAATCTAATCCACTTTGACTGTTGGATTATGTGAAGTCCTTGAAAGTCCACTGGCTTTCTCATCTATGTAGTCAGTCGCCTTATACACTCAGGCGAGTTGTTCGAACCTATGACAACCTCGAAGATGGGAGCCAAGCAGTCGGTCTTTCTTTCGGTATCAGAAATACACGCGAGGACTTTGTAGTTTCTCGTTTATTGAAAAATTCTCAGTAACGTTGTAATGTATCAAACAACATACTATATCAGGGGGTGCATGTTAGGAAAGGATAAGATCAAGATGCCAGCTGAGAACCCTAACACGACAATACATCACTAGCTAACCGTGTGTTTGCTGAAGGGTATATCTCCCCCTCTTTCTACGAAGCAACTGTTGAACAACGCCGCACAGCCAGCCTCGATAATCACACATTTAGTATCTTACAACTATACGATGTGTCTGGTGTAATGTTCAAAGTCACTCGATTTAGGATATAGTCTAATTCATCATCCTTTTTTAGGATTAACTCGTCTTCACGAGACATCTTCCACATACCCCGTCCCATTCGGAATACATCGGCAATGAAAATCAAAATTGACTGCGATCTTGACAAAGGATAAAAAAACATAGGAAATATGCATTAATCATTAATCCAGACTCCGTGAAACCATGTATGTAAGTAATTGAGTCCCCCGGACCTGCGTAATCTATTCGTCCTCATCGAAAACACCACACCTCCGCCTGGACACCTATCCTATCCCCTTTTTATGGCTTCAATTACTCGTCCTCATCAGAGAACACCTCTTCACCACGCTTGCGACGAGCCATACGATCCTTCTTCTTCTTGCGCAATTCTGAACTCGTCAACTTGACCTTTTTCTTGGGTGCGTCCACCTTGTTTCCAAGTGCATCTCGCTGCTCTTCTTCATCGCCCTTCGCGCCCTGTGCCAGGCGTGGCCCGACGCCTTGGCCTTGGATCCAATTATGGCCAGAAGGAGTCATCTTTCCGTCCATAACAGCCCAGACTTCTTCGGTGAGGTTCTCAGTGAACTCGCGGGAGTGAGTGATGATGACAACACCACCCTCAAAGGACTTGATGGCCTTGGAGAGAGCACCAAGAGAGTCACGGTCGAGGTAGTTAGTGGGTTCGTCGAGGACGATCAAGTGAGGACGTTGCCACGAGCAAGCGGCGAGCACAACCTTGACACGTTGACCGCCAGAGAGACCACGCATACGAGAATGAGAAACAAGCTCGGCGTCCAAACCAAAGTTCGAGCAGTGCACTTCAATTTCACGGCGGACCAGAGGACGGAATTGACCGCTCGCAAGAGCCTCCTTCTGGTCGACCTCAGCAACCATCTTGGCGTGAGAAGCCAGAATTTCGGTACGAGGAATCCAGGCGTTGTCCTGAGTAGACATAGGAGTCCATTTCTCGTTCTTCATTCCGACGTTGTCACCAAGGGCGAAAGAGCATTCGTATTCATACGAGTTCTTGAACTTGCGACGAGAGTGGATACCAATGACACGACGCTGGGTACCTTCGATCTTATAGATCTTGTCCATGGCCTTCTCATCGTCATCGGTGATGATCTTGTTGGCACGATCCATAGTTTCACGATCCTCACCAGTCTGGAAACGCCACTGAATGTATTCAGAAGGAGTTTTATCAAGGTGGTTATCAATATGAGCGAAAGCGTGTTGCTTGATGTAGGCAATACGGATGTTCTCATGCTGGTAAACGTCACCAGCAGTGGGGATAAGTTCACCAGTCAATACGTTAACGAGAGTGGACTTGCCAGCACCGTTGGGCCCAATGACGGCAATACGGGAACCAAGAGAGACTTGGAAGGTAATGTCGGTGATTTGGGGCTTGGGAGTACCAGGGTACTGGAAGGACATGTTGCTGACACGGACAATAGCCTTGGCCTTAGTCTTGACACCCTCAAGGAAACCGGGCTCGGGGAACTTGAACTCCATCTCAGAAGCACCGAGCTCGTAGTAGGAGCGAGCAGAAGGAACCTTTTTGACGAACTCGCTCAAGGTACCGCGGTAACGGCGGAGCTTGAAGCGCTCATAGTGGACGACATGCTGGATGACGTTGTCCAAGAACTTGCTGTCGTGAGAAACGATGATGGATGTGCAAGGAGAGTTGATAAGGTATTGCTCCAACCAGGCAACGTTCTTGACGTCCAGATGGTTGGTAGGCTCGTCAAGGAGGAGAATATCGGGTTCTTCAAACACAGCACGGGCGAGAGCCAGCTTCATCTTCCAACCACCAGACAGAGAGGTGATGGGGTTCTCGAATTGCTCCTGGAGGAAGCCGAATTCGAGCAGCTTCTCCTGAATAGCATCTTGGGGAAGGTTAATGCCAACGCTCTCGAGCTTCTTCTGGGTCCAGCCAATGACAGTCTGCTCAGTGTCGGCAGCGTCGAGGTCGTGCTCGACGAAGACAGTCTTGACTTCGTCCTTCTTGGGAAAACCTTCGACTTGTTCGTTGTTGATGGCGCGCATAAGGGTAGACTTGCCGGAACCGTTGGGTCCCAAAAGACCGTAACGCTGACCACGCTTGAGACGCAAATGGGTCTGGTTGAGTAAAATCTTAGCACCGTAGGCCAAGTTAAATGTGCAGTTGCAGAGGTCTTCGCCTTCCTCTTCATCGCTAAGGACTTCCTCCTCCTCGGTGGCGTTGGGTGAGGCACGCTTGCGGAGGGTTTCAGCGATTGACTTGGCATCAGCCTCGCCAATGAGGGCAGTGATATAAGGCAGAGTGTTCTCGGTCCAGATGATAACCTCGATGACCTTCTCGTCAATCAACTGACCTGCAATAGCAGAAATGTAGTCAATGGTAGCCTCGGCACCAGCGATTTGAGCCTTGTATTTGGGCTCAAGGATCTCCTTGAGAATGGCGGAGACGGTGGAAACATCACTGGCATGGGAGAGTTCAGGGATCTTGCCGTCCTTGACATCACCAACACGGATGAGAGTCTCAAGAGCCTGCTTGGTCTTCTCACGGGCTTCGGGGTCGGCAAGAGTGTCGTAGTTCTTGTTGAGAGCGGGCATCAACTTGGGCAAGAAGGAGGCGACGATCTGAGGATCCTCGACAAGCTTACACATGTTGTCGACAATGACAGCTGACTTACGCTTGATAGCGGTTTCACGCTCAGCAAGACCACGCTCCAAAAGAGGGACCATGATAGCGAGGGTAGGCTCGTGCACATCAGTGACGAAAGTGGTGGCACCGAGCAAGTGGACGGTCTCGGGGACATTTTCAGGCTTTGAAATACATTTGATGAGCTCGGGAATGAAACGCTCAATATCCTTGTTAACGATCAAAGCGCAGATCTTCTCCATGGTGCCGTAGGCATACTTCTTGACCTCAGGCTTGGTGTCCCACATCGACTCGGAGATGACTGGAATCAAGCTGGGGACGAGGAAAGCAAGCTGGGCGGGGGCAGTCTCGACGAGAGACTCCACACACTGAAGAGCAGTCATCTTCTCGGGCCATTTCTGGGCAGAGAGAATCGAGTTGATGATGGAGGGAAGAGCGGCCTTGGTGGCGTTAGGGTTGATAGCCTTTGTGAGGGCGATGGCGGCGGTCTGGGCGGCATTCTTGACGCTGGTGATTTTGTCACCGACGGCGGACAGAGTAGGACCAAGGAGAGAGACGAGGTGAGGCTCAACGCCGGGAGCGACGGAGGAGTGCTGGGCGATGGCGCGGATGGCCTCGAGAGCACGCTCTCGGGCGTTGGCATCCTTCTTGTTGGCGAGCTGCTTCTTGAGCGACTCAACGGCCTTGAGGGGGACGGTCTTCTCCTCGATTGGGCCGTTCAGCAGCGTGGCGAGGCTGTTGGCATGAGTGTTACCCTCATCAGGGGTCTTGGAGATGGAGAGGTTCTTGATGAGGTTCTCGACGAGGGCGACGGAGCCGGCGGTCTCCTTGCCGGAGACGGCGGGGACGGAGGCAACATCGACAGCAGGCATTTTTGCGGTAGAAGAGTGCGTAGTGAAAGACTTGTTGGACGAAATGGTGGCGGATTAATAGAAGGAGAGGGCGATTAAAGCGCACGAAACAAAAATTCTATTGAGGGTATCTGCGATTAAGACGGTGGCGGCCCACGTATCTGCGTTCCAGCAACGCAAATGCGCTCTAAAAGCGGCCGGTGATGGAGAAATCTATTTGCTGTCTATGAGAAAGCAAGACAGAAACAACACGTCCGACCTCTAAACGAGATGGAATTAAAAAAGAGACAAGGATGGGAGAGAGGAAGATGGAGGAGGAAAAAAAAGGGAGGGGTGAGCGAGTGGGCTGGCAAGATTATTTATCGCTGTGGCCGCTTGGCCCGCTTTTTTTTCGCCAGCCCGAAAATTTTTTGGGAAAAAAATAAAAAATTTTAGGCAGGGCTCCGCCGCCTGTCCCAATGGGGCTTAGCGCTGCAGAGCCTGCTTCCACTAAGCCCGAAACAGGCCGGGCCCGCTCAGCATAATCCCCTGGCGTTGATTGGCTAGTGCTACTTCTGCGCATTACTTGCAGCGAGCGAGGAGGGGCGCCTCCTCCTATTCTTCTACTTGCATACTGTCAATAACACTCTATTGAACAACTGCCAGCCGTGTATACTATTGCCCTCCTCGTATTGACTCTGACGAGTTAACTGCATTCAGCTCAGTCATTGCGGTCGCCATATCAACCAATCTCGCTGCACGCACCGTCGACCAACGCGGCACGATGTGACAAAACAATGCACCGTGCGGATAATCCCATAGGCTGCGACGACGGGCACCGGCGGGCTCATCCCTTGAATTCCCCTGATCGATAACTCGATGGCTCGATGACCTGCCGGTTGGATCATCAGCGTTTCGCCGCTTTGCCGCCTATGAGACGCTGCGATGGTTGGCCCTGCTGGGTCCAAAATTCTATTTTGGTTTGCCACCCAGGCAAGCTGGGCTTATCGCGCCGTCGATTCGGTGGCGCAGCCTGGAGAGACCGAAATATTTTTTTTTTCTTATCGCTAGTATGCGATTAGGATTCTGGCTAACCAAGGGTTGCTCATCCAGATGCAGTTAACAAGACAAAAGCCGAACAGAACTAACTATCCAAGAGAGAAATCCCAGAGGAAAAGTCGGCTAATTGCTCCGTCGACGCAAAAGATCATTCGGCCTTACTGTTCGGCTTGTGACAGCCGGCCCCTGACTGCTCTCACTAGCAGACCTTCTCACGGAGATGATTGATCTGCAGACTATCGTTGCTCTGGATTGCTGCTTAGTACTAACCAATGGTGACTCAGCGCTGTTAATATTACAGGATACGGACGGGGAAAGAGATCAATCAAGGAGACACCCTACGGGGCGATAGTAGTCGGCGGCGCGCATTGTCGTACCTGCATAGCTTGTTCGTTCCAGAAGCAGATGAAAATTTTAATCGATACATGTCACCTACCACCAAGAATGAGAACAATAATAACACCACCGAAAGATGTGCCGAAATTACGTAGCGTAGCCTGTTTTAACGCTCCATCTCCATCCCTCTCGACGCTCCTGTACCCCATACTAATTTCACCCCATATTTTTCTCTTCGTAGCGCCGCCCCTTATCGTCTTATCGAGTCAGCGCGTGTTGCCCCTAACAGCCCCTAACAGCCCCTAGTAGGCCAGATAAGTCAGACTGGGGAAAATTTTTTTCGCCCTCTCGCAATCTAAGCGTTATCCTCCAGATTCTCTCCACTTCGGCACCCCGCGAAAAGCCGGAGAAGAGACGCCAACGCTGCGAATAAAAACCGGGTCATCCGCAGAGCGGGCCTGCGAAACCTTAACCGTACTTCGCGATATGGTGTGTATTCGCAGCTGAGGAAGATGGATGGGAGCGGTGAGTGGCTCGCACGTGCAGAATAGACGGTGAGCAGGCGTCGCTCGCAGCTGGGATTAAAATAACAGCCCTGTTTTGGCCGGAATGAAATGCGTGACTCGGCGCAAAAGCTGGAAAAAGGAGGTGTGGCCGGGCAACCAATCAGGCGCTGGCATAAGTTCGCAGCCAATTCGCTTGGGGGGATTATTTAATATTGGGGGCATGAAACATTCATTAATCTTATTTTTATTTATAATGTGATTATTTGTCACTTATTTACTAGTACTCTACTATTCCGTGCATTCGAGTACGTATTCCCCTACTGCACGGAAGTTCCTCGGGTCAGCCTGTGATGAATGCCAAACCTTGTCTTTTCCTCTGCCTGGTAGCCGACAAGACTGATCGCTGGTACGTACGAGAATACGATTGGAGTTCCCGTTTCTAAAATGGGCGCAAACTCAGACTGCGCCACCCATCCGACCACTCATCGGCGAAAACTCATCGGAGCAGTTCCTTTTCCGGTGGGTGCTCAAAGGTTCTAGAAGTCTTACTTTTTTCGCTCTCTCTCTCTCTCTCTCTCTCTCTCTCTCTCTCTCAGTATTATTGTTCGCAAATAATCTTCTTGGTGGTTTGAACGTTGTGAGGTGTGGGTAATTCGGGACCTGGTAGTTACACGATCCTTCGATCCCTGCTGTCGATCGAGGAATTCCGCCTGATCCGGCGGCCCGTCGTCCGGGAATGCCTGTAATCGTTAATATGAAAATTAACTGGACGGCCAGATCTGAAACACGATACATCCGTTGAAATGTGCTTTATAATGTCGTAGATGTGCATTCATTCGCATTCTGATTATAGTCGATGTGTTAAGCTATGATCAGGAGGGAAGAAGGCGTGCCTTCCGCACAGCACATGACTGTCATGGCTGACCCAGTCACCTGGTTGCTGGTAAAACGCTCCTTCTTCATAAATCTCTATACCGAGTGGTATTATTTAAGCATAAGTCCACAAGAAAAGGTTCAGCCAACTTTCAACGTCAGACAGAATGGCTTATATTAATTCCTACCGTCGCATTAAGTACGTCATATGTCTACCTCAAGATATGTGCCCTCTCAGTCTGACATGATCTCTCAAGATGTCATTCAGACCTTCTCTCTAGACACACTTATCAAAGTGAAAGCAAAAATCTAGTTCCTCTAGCTCCTTCTCAGTCATTCCTCTAAAAAGCTCTGCAAACTCGTCGGAAAATAAGCAGCTAGGTACGTCTGAAACACACCACGTAGCACATGGCATTCGCTGGCTCAGGGAGTTGGATGCGTCAATTTTGCTGTTGGGCTTACTTTATCGATCCACTCTAGCCGTGGCTGAAGCACGGCATTAACCTCCGGGCTAGGATGTGTCACCCACGTATCGAGTCTCAGTCTCTGCTTCTTCTCCACAAAGGATTGAACGGTGCGGTTCCATTTACTCTCGGGACTTGTATGGAGCATGCCTTGAAGACTGATATATATATATATGTGTGTGTGTGTGTGTATGTATGTATGTACTTGTATAGCCAAGCCGACTAGTGGATTTGATACTTGTTATAGATGCGCAGCTGCTCGCCGAGTAGATTATACCCTTTTTGGTGGATGGCTTCGGTATCCTCAGCTTTTGACGGGTCTGCATACACAGGCCCGAATTCGCCATTCTAGATGGGTGTACCATGCGATTTCATGAATTCAGCTTTGCGGTGGGACTGTCGTTCTAATGATTCCTTTGCTCGCCGGTGCCTTTGTACCGCACCCCGGTGAGAAATCCCATCCCCTATAATGCTTCGTCAACGTCTTTTCAATAAAGAAAGGCTTTTTCGACCTACAGCATAATAGTGCAGCGAATAGACACTATTCGGAAGCACCTTATCAAATCCATTCCACTCCATTGCGAATGTATTCCGTCCAGCCAGAAAATATTATCGAGGTCAATCTTGCGAATAGCCTTTCCACACGCCCATAGAATGCTAGCAAATGGATGTGTTGAGAATCACAGGGCTCGTTGAGTAGATTGTAGCCTGCTACCCATGGTTTCCCCTTGTATCTTACTACAATCTGCTCCCAAAGCCAGAAAGCGCGATCCGGATGGTCTTAAATTCCCAGAATGCCGCAGAGTTGCTTCCACTTTCCGAGTGCCAGTCGGGGTTCTGCTGCCAGGGGCAGTGTGCAGGTCGCTAATGGTATATAATTTCGATTTGGCACACCAACCTCTCATATCAGTATTCTGAGGAAATCCAATCTTTTGCAAGCAGCAGACAACTATGGCCGCGTAAGAGATCAACAACCCGATCCAAATGCTTAAACCCACTCACTCTCTTTCAGCACCCGTGTATTCATATCATCTTCGAAATGGCGATAGTAGATCGGGATTCGAATGTAATTCAATCCTAATCCCGAAAATAATTTTGCATCGGCTTCGGTGAAGAAATATTCACCCCATTTATCAAAGAAATACTGATAATGATCAGGACCGAGAACTTTGAGCGTATACGCTCTGTGCTGGTACTCATGGGCGAGGTATCCAGTGATGAGATTCTCCATGCTTTCAGCATATCTATTAGTCTCATCGACCTTCAGGACGATGCAAGAATACTCACTTTAGCCATCCACCCAAACCAGCACCGCGTAATATTACAGGCTGCCGATCTGAGCCGACAACTTTGTCGCCCTGCACTTTGAGGATCCCTGTCGCCATGATCACAGAATTAGACTTATTAGTAATAAAATCAATCAGGTTGTTGCTTGTCTGTTGATTCATCAGTATACTGAACGAGTGTCTAGCTGCGGGTCAATACTCAACTGACGATATTTATTTATCTATAGCTTCAAATACTCCAACAGAGTTACGTATTTATTTCTCTTTGTATCCTCGTCGGACATTGCCCCGAGCCTGACACCTCATGGACCCCGCAACAGCCATTAGCGGAGAAATGTTGTCTCGTTGGATAATCGTGGTGATACTGATTTATTTAGCCTTTTAGGCTCAATGGCTTCGTCGATTCAATGATGACAACATTTGAAGTAGAGTTTGGATGATTTTGATTCGATACAGCGATTGAATCCATAACCTGCTAGAGCAAGCCCAGTACCACGTGCAGCGTATGTATCAATGAGTGTTTGGTTTACATCAATTGATTTCATGTACTTGTCGGCCGGGTGAGAGATGGTAGCAACAGGCAAATTTCAAATTTTCTAATTTGCCATGTCTAATGGATGTACTGGTAACATAACAAATGGTAGATAGTCAAAGTGGTATATAATTATAAGAACTATAATACATGGGCAATTGGGTATCATGTAATCTCTATATCATGCATTCTTTAAACGACCATTCTCATCAACACCATCAAACAAATCGCGAACCTCTTCATCCTTCACGGCCAGAGTAAGCCGTGGCGCTCGCCGATGAACTGGGAAAGTATACCTGGGCCCTTTGGCGGTATTCTGGACCAAAGGTGTGCGATGGTAGATCTTCTCCCATATCCGTTGCATAAACCGTCGTGTGACTCGATGTGGCCTCTCAACGACATATGAGTCAAAACTCACTCCCTTCTGGGGCCCGTCAAACAAGAGGGATTCCAGAGGAGAAATCTTCTCATCCGCAGGACAAGGCTGCGTAATCTTCTTGCGGCGAACCGGCGCTTTCCATGGAAATGTTCCATGCAGCAGCCTATATAGGATCTCCATCTCGGCGGCGTCAAGAGGAAGAAGTATTCCAAACTTCGACCGATTGTACCACTGTTGTCTGATTCTTTCACGGCGCCTTTTCGGTGTTGGTTTTAAGCAGGTGGTTAGCTCTGGAATCTTGACCTGCGCGGTTACTCGGAATCGGGTTGTGCGGTCACTAAGCAGTTCCTTGGATGACTGCTGTTGAGTCTTGAGCAGCGACACTAAGGCGGGGGGTGGTTGCCAATTGTCGCTAAATTTGTGTCCGCCATCTTTGGCCAGTATTTCCCGGACATCCTTATCTGTGACCAGTTGTTTCGACATGCCAGTCTCTCGTAAGAAGGCTGAGAATAGCTTATATTTCTTCGCGCCGATGCGGCCGTACGATAGCATCAATACTCTTTCCAACGGTCTTTTATATCCTTCGTTGGCTCGTTTGAGGAGAGATAGCAGGCTTTTCGCAGACCTTCGCAGACGTATCTGTCGTTCGACGCTGGTACCGTTATTTTCTGTACGCACAGAAGGAGTCGGGTCATGGTTCTCTCTCGAGCGGAAGAAGGCTATCTTGTTTCGGTATCGATCGAGGGTGTACTGTCGCATGTAGGACTTGGCGATCGGGTCTGGCAAGTAGGTGCATTCTCGCAGGGTTGCTCGAAGCATATGGCGCCATGCTTCGGGCGGCGCCAGGAGGGTGACAGGCATGCAGCGGTGAGGAAAGGGAGGAAACAGGGATCGTTGGAGTGCAGATTGGGTAGGTGTGCCCAGAAATTGATATACATGCAGGGTCGAAGTTCTTCCGGACCGAGCGGCAGCCGCCCAAAGAGGCAATAGTGCTGGGCGGGTTACGCGAAGCACGAATTGGCAACTAGCGCCGAGGCGACGCGCGAAAAGGCAAGAAACAAGACCAAACCCCGCGACTCCCTCAACACGCATCCTCCACCACTGCGTGAAAGAAAACACTCGCATAATTGCCCTGTCCGACCGTCCAATAGCTGTGCACCAGGCTTCTCTATACAGGCTTGCATCTTGTCGCTGCTATCGCCGTCTTTACGCCCTATCCCGTCCCGCGCGGTCGGCTCGACTCGCGGTCTACTTCCGGCCAAGCCTGGGACGCGCCGCCCCTTCTTCAGCGCCTTTTTCGTCCCCTGCGTACAACTGTCTGTAAAACTTGAACATCATTGCTTTTCCGGTCAGCCCCATTCCTACGTATTTTCTGCTCCTCTTTCCTACAGTCCTGGTTTAAACAGGCAGTGTATTCCAAGCATGTGCTAATTCGAGCACACTACAGTACACTGATGCACGCGTTTGCCTGACTACGAGCACTGTCTGCAAGGTCCCGTCGGTGCAATGGCCACTAGCAGCCACCACCGCCAACGCCCCAGTCTCACTATGTCGTACTCGCAAAATGACATACAGGCCCATGGATTGCCGTTGTCTTCGCAGATGAGCTCATTCAATGCCTCCCAATCGCCAGCCCCCACGCCCTCCGGCCGCGGCTCGCAGCAATCTGCCATGTCGTATAGTTTCACGAATGGCGGGACGCAGCCGTCAATGCAATCCAGCTTTAATGGCTACGACAATTCTAACGGCTATGGATCGGTCATGTCGTTTCAGGAAGAGTACAAGCCTCAGATTTACAGGGTATGTGGTCTGGCTGTTCCCGGCATATTCAACATTCAGATCGTCAGGATTGAAGAGCGCTAACTTGTACTTCCCCCAGGCTGTTTATTCGAATGTGTCCGTCTATGAAATGGAAGTCAACGGCGTTGCTGTTATGAAACGCCGATCGGACTCGTGGCTCAATGCTACGCAAATTCTAAAAGTTGCTGGTGTGGTCAAGGCCAAGCGAACAAAAACCCTAGAGAAGGAGATTGCTGCCGGTGAGCACGAAAAAGTCCAGGGAGGCTATGGAAAATACCAGGGTACTTGGGTTAGCTATCAACGTGGAGTAGACTTGTGTCGTGAATATCAGGTGGAGGAATTACTGCGGCCGCTTCTCGAGTATGACATGGCTGATGGAAACACACGACGAGCATCTCTTGAAACACCGACCAAAGAGCAGGCGATGGCCGCTCAGCGAAAGCGCCTTTATAATGCGGAGAGCCGTGGAATGAGCCAATCTGCCCAAGTGACATACTTTCAGAACATGTCTCGTACTGCTGCAAATGCTGTCAACGCTATTAGCAAGGCTCGTTTTGAGTCACCGAACAAAAGGCGACCAAGCCTGATGCGGAACTCATCACAACAATATAGTAGTCAAGAAAGCCGCGGTATTCCCATGGTTTCACATGCCAGTACCTACATCGACAGCGGTTTTGGAAGTCAACACCCAAATGGCGGACAGAACGACCTAGCCTTTGACCATGATGATGCGCTCGAGCCGCCACGGAAACGCGTCAGAAGTGCGTCTAATCAGGCACGCTCATTCGGAGCAAACAGTACGTTGTCTGCTTATGAACCTACACCCACAGAGCCGAATGAGTCCTTTTACCAGCAAATGGATGGATCATTGGCACTGGACGATGTTCATGGTCGGAAGGAAACGCTACCTCCAATCCATCCAGACCGTTTCCAGAAGGTAAAATTGATCATGACATTATTTTTGGACAAACGTTTGAAGGATTTTACAAACCACCCTGCTATTGCGCAGCTTTCTGGCGACGATCTTGAAATCCCTTTGGATGAATACCAGAATAACGCTTTACACTGGGCTGCAATGCTCGCTCGACTTCCTTTGCTACACGCCCTCATACAAAAGGGCGTCAGCATCTTTCGACAAAATTCTGCTGGCGAGACTGCCTTGCAAAAAGCAGTTGGGACGAGAAATAATCTTGACTACCGAACATTTCCTCGGCTACTCGAAGCTCTCGGGCCTACAATTGACATTGTTGACCATAGTGGACGGTCAATTCTTCATCATATTGCGGTTATGGCCGCAACTGGTGGAGGGGGCCATGTGTCGGCGAAGCACTACCTAGAGGCACTGCTTGGATTTGTTGTCCGCCATGGAGCTGCGAGCCATGAGAATACGGACAAACCAATGGCAAATGGCGAAAACGGGATCACGGGGAATGGCCGCACACAGGGTGAAATTATCAGCCTGGGCAAGTTTGTGTCTGAGCTAGTTAACCTACGTGATGATCAAGGAGACACCGCTTTGAATATCGCTGGTCGCGCAAGATCTGTATTGGTGCCACAGTTGTTGGAAGTTGGAGCTGATCCTTACGTTGCTAATCACACGGGTCTCCGTCCTGCCGACTATGGCGTTGGTGTTGACATGATAAGCGAATCTTCTCAGTCACAACAAAGTGGAGAGAAGAAGGATTCTTTTATTGACCAGCTGACTAAAACTAAGAAAGAGATTTTAGATGGTAAGCCTACTGGTTCACCGTTGTCTTGTTTGCTGTTTACTAATTCTTATATAGCTACATTGGCTCAAATTGGAACTCTCGTCGAGGAAACGTTGGGCGGAATTGATCGAAACCTGACTTCTGACCTGAGCAAGAAGCAGGCGGAATTCGATCACTGGCATGCAAAGATCCGCGAAAGTGCACGCGCAAGACAGATCGACCAAAATGAACTTGATGATTTAAAGCGAAAAGCAACTAACCGGACTGAAGTCGGGCGACGGATAAAGAACCTTGAACGAGACTCGGAGGACTTGGTTATCATTTTGAAAAAGACCCATGGCGATGACTACGAAATACCAGAGTCCGCTCCATTTGGGCATGCTGATAAAGTTGCTGGTGTTGATGTTTCCGAATTCGAGACTCTATTTTCGGGATTCAACACTGGTAGTGATTTCTCTGAAGATCAAATGAAGCTTCTTGTAGGACTACCGTCTGCTAGTGTGTTGGAAGCTCGCCTAAAGGTATATCAGGACCTCAACAGTGAAATCTTAGCAGAAGTGGAACGATTGAAAACCAGGAATGTTGTCCTGGGCGAGAATTACCGCCGTGTTGTCATGGCCTGTACCGGGTGGTCTGCCGAACAGGTTGATGAAGCTGCCGAGGGATTGACCCAGTGCGTCAGAGAGTTGAATGACAATCCCATGCCGGAAGACGAGGTCATTGAGATCTTGATGAAAGATCGTGGCCAAGACTGGTAGTAACAGTCTAGAGGTCACCCCATCCTGTGTATAAATTGAACTATACTAAAGCAACAAGCAGCATCACCGTCGGCGTTCACTGATTGATGTACTTTAATTTCTGTCGCAGATACCCATGTCTCCATACGCATTTATGAGATCACATGTTAATTAGTGTTCTATATACATAATTTCCACGTTATTATTTTTTTATTATTATCAATTTCCCACATGAATCTGCCACTACTTTTTTCCCGCCTTAAAAGACGGGGGAATATCGGTTTATTACACTATCCGTCAGACTAACAACCGTACTCGGCATCGCCTTACACTGATGGTGACAGACTCCGCGATGAAGCTATCCGAGCATGATTTCTAATTATCGCGTCTCGTCGAAATTGAAAAGCGAGACTCGTTGGCGCGAAGCGATACAAATATGGCATGAAATGTTACAGATCTTTCCTCATTCGGTAAATCGCATGAGACACTGGCTGTCTCAAGCGGGAAGCTTGGCGCTACGATTAAGCTTAGGCACAGGGTCGCCAACTTTAAAACTCCGCCATTATCGTCTGAGAAGGCCTGAATCCTTTGGCTTGGCGGCTTTAATGCAAAATATGTGTCGGTATTTACTCGTTTTGCTTTATGACTCAGGGGTAGCATAATTAACCTCACTCTAGCTAGGCCGCATTGTGCGGCCACCTCTCGGCTGACTCCGTACGACATCACCAACGACAGTCGTTCCAAAAGCCTAAAATAAACTGAAGGTGGGTACCTATCATCTGCCTCAGGGATTAAGGAGCTATGCTTCTAACTTAATTGAGTTTTTCTTCTCCCTAGGCTAGTGGCTCGGGTCTTGCGTTATCTTTGCGACGACGGTATACGCGGCCATGCTGTTGATCGCGACTTAATCTCGCGCCGCGATCACGTTAGTGGAGAAAATTTAGCCATGTGTTGTCAACTGAATCTCTCACTATTATTATGATACTGCATCATGCGGTGGTGCCGCCTAAAGGGACGCCATTCTAGCACTATGTCCATTCTTGGCACTATTTCTCAAGTGGGTGGGTCTATACAGCTCCTATGCACTGGTGTAGTGAGCTAGCCCAGACCCTGTGCTGCAGATTCCGTCACAGAATTGAATATAATAGGAAATTTTGTTGACATAGCTTCATTCAATGCCCGAAAGAGCTAGTCATGACATGTCCCGAATATCAAACGCGAGTCTCACGTTGAAGCAGGAAGCTGAGCTCGGCACAAAAATGTGCTCATGGCATGGACTAGTTGGTATGTTCTGAGAGAAAGTGGCAGGGGAAATTGGATTCAAGGAGAAGGAGCTGTGATGGAGATCTGTGACTTGTTTGGGGAGGTCTTGTCTTAGATATTTTTTGTCTATAAATGGCCGTATCTTTTCTGCTGTCCATTTCTCATTTAACACTCCAACGAGTACAAAACTATTATACAAAGGCAGGGCCAACTACTTCAGTAAGGACTACGAATACCAAATTCAAAAGAAAGTACTGACCATCATCAGATTAATCAACACCGCTGGCCGAATTCACTTCTTCATAATTCAGTCAATTCTCATCTATACCAATCAACAAGAGCTTCTGTCTCTTATATCTTAATTCATACACAATGCAGCAATACAGCACCATCGTTCTTCTTTTGGCCGCCCTACATGGCCTACCTGCTTTTGCCGGAGTTCTTCAGAGCAACATTGAACTAGCCTTTCTTTCCCGAACATCAGGCCCTGTCTTAAGTCGACGAGAGCCAGTGGCACTTTTCAATGACAGCGCCTCACCCAACAAGAACTTTGTATCTCTGAAACAGAGACTGAAAGTGGTTCGAAGTACCACACCTACAAATTTACCCAACGTCGACGAGGCCGCCTTCAACCAAAGTGTCACCACGGCATGTGCCAACGCCGTCAAAAACTATACCAGCGCCGTTAACCCCAGTGGTATTGTTGCTTGCTACAATGTTGCCGCCTTCGACAATTCTACCGGTATCTTCGAGACTGATGTCAGGCTCTACCAGAAATCCGCTGCCTTTGGAGAATTCCAAGGCATCGCGGTGTCTGATTATTCGATGTCCTTCTCTATCCCTGAAGCCACCGTATCATCGCCACAGTTAATGGTTAATGGCTCCACATCAAACACGCCAGCTTCCGGTCAGCTTTTAATGGGGTTTCAAAATGTGGGCCAATTAAGCAAGACCATCCAATTCTCGAAGCTCACCACGTAAGCCCCCTATCATTTTCTTTCTTTCTTCATTCGTGTAACTTATGTATCTTAGCTCCGATCTCAAATACCTCATGGTCCCGGCCATCACACTCTCTGCCACCACTAATACCGGCACTGTTGCCAACACGTCCCTGGCATCAGACATGATATCCTACGTCGCTGGCCAATTAACCCAAGGTAACGGGGCTCCAACAAACATCACTACGCCCGAGGCAGTCACAATGGCAACCGCCATCGCCGCCTCTGCATCTGTCTTTGTTTTGCCAGGCACAAATATCATGGTGGCCCCTGTGGGTCTGATAATTACATGCATCTGGTCTGGACTGCTTATTGCCGCTGTCGGTGCTGGGACGATCGGCCGATTTCAGTATCGCATGCAATATCGCCGTGCCCAACCTGGCGAGACCTCCGCCTTTGGAAAATAGAATCACTGTTTTTTTGTCTTCATGTTGGATACCCCTGTGCTTTAGAATGAATTATTAATGAATTTAGAGGTTTTCTACCTTTCCTGTCAATATCATAACATTTTCAAGCGTGCTTTATGATGAGAAATGAATATCAACCTTTCAACATTTGATTGGGGTTTTGCATGCTAATATCAATTGCCACTGAACAGAAGCCACCATAGTAAAAATGTACTGATCCTATCTTAAAGCGTCCAGTTCACACAGAACAGCCAAGAAAGAATTCCCCCTCAAATAGTTGTCGATATATGGTGTGCTGATACCAGGATGCATCGAAGCCTACTCGGGTACCGCTGTGTACCCCAAATACTATAGGCATACGCTACAAAGAACGAAAGTGGTCAGCCGATTCTGGCTCCAAGAGAGAGGTCTGAAGCACTAATATTGAAGGTAGTAGGTCTTGTTATCAGCCACATGGCCCTAAACCCCCTCCCTTTCTTCTGTCTCTCCATATATCTGGAAATGTTGAGAGGCTGTAACGTTGGATTACAATGGCTGATCCTTCCCTCATCATTATGTTCATAAACCATCTTTTTACTAGATCTGCCTTACTAAATACTTATCCAAGTTTTTGATTAATGAGTTCTACGATATGCGAGGTTATTTCGGGGAACAAGAACATGTGTTACAAAACATAAAAATGAACTAGTGTGGCCTGTTATTTACCTTCTCCTTCGACTATATGAAACACTGGAGGCTAATAGAGGCTAATAAAACATAGCAGAATACAATATTGGAAATTCGACCACGTTAATCGCGAAGATTTAAACTAAAATCGAAACTGGGGAAGCCCCCCAAGGACCTGCGACCCCTCAACCTGCTGTTATTTCAGCCGTCCGTAGGCTCCCCCTTCCCCGGGGAGTCCCTGCTCGGCACAGATGTCGGAGTAGTAAGTTCATCTGAATGACCTAGTTCTGATATGTGATAATTAACTTCATAGAAACTTGGGAAGATACAAGAAGATTCCCTTCTTAAAGGATATTGCCGAAACCTCAGTATCGAGGAGAGGGGTAACCAGCCCAAATAAAAAGGCTATAAAAAGCCCCAGCAGCAGCAACAACAACAAGATGTCCTCATGCAGTGCATAAAGCGAACTTGGAGGACCGCCGTATGTGTTACAAAAGAATCAATCATTCTATATCAATCTAAGCTAATCAATATCGATAGATCATCTCTAGTGCTAAAATGCGCACTAATGAGGAGATGACACAGGCTCACTTGAGCTTGAAGAACGGGATTAAGGCCCTACAAGCCAAAATCGATGGCGCCAACCTCACCATTGAAGCAGTGCGGGGATTGATTGGCCGTTAGGAGGCAGATGAGGCCAAACGGGCCCAACGCGACGCTATCTTGCTTGCGATCAGTTGCCGGAAAACTCCAGCATGAAACAGTGATACCTATTCGTCGCGTCCACCTCTCCCCGTCAAGCACATCAAATGTTGGAATTAGCACGGATACTAAGTTAGAACGGGCACAAGGAGAATCAAAGGACGAAATGAAATATCTCCAATGAAAATCGAGGCTCACCAAAGCGTTATCGAGGCCATGCAATATACAATTGAAAGATGGAAAGCAGAGAAGAAGGCCAAACAGTTTCAACGAGATGAGGCGTATATGACCATCAATCGTTGCAAGAGCGGTAGCAAGAACAAGTAGCTTGTTTATTATTTTATTTTCTTCTTCTCTACACTCCTTGACGGAGTTTCTTCATTGATTGACAACATATTGTGTATCGAGCACCTCGAGCCCACTGCTCACGACTCATTCAACTGCCTAACCAGTAACCACCCTGCTAGGACGGTTTCACTGTCCATGAAGTCGAAAAGCTTATCGACTCTTGAAGAAAGTCGACGGAAACCATGTCTACTTCAGTCTCAGAAATTCAGGGCCTCTGTTGAGAACTTTACCGTTGCATACAATCCACTTTAAGATATTAAAACCCATTTGCGAAAACACACATAATGACAGCCAGAATTGAACATGACTTTGTATAGGGCAGTAGAGGCCAAGCGTGGTTGTAATCACGCAAACTATCGACTAGAGCACTAAGTAGAGGATTTTTTGGGCTGGTCATCATGAATCCAACGGAGAAACCAGTCGGATGAGCAACAGCGGCAACGAAGCCAAATAACCCAGGTTTCGCTTGCATAAAAACTGTGTATGGGTGGAACGGTGACATTGATTAACCTCCATTATCTGAAGCACCGTGTATCGTAATGCGTCAACCCTCTGGATAGGATATGGATGGCTGCCCCACAAATCGCCAAGGTGAGGAAAGTTCTCTTGAATAAAATGCATCGCACTAGAATCGTTCCATAGAAAATTCATCGAGCCAGGGTGTAACCTGATACATTCATCGCGAGCCATGCCCCATCCTGCCTCGGCAGTTCTTGCCCCAAATGTATATGATGCAAAATCCCAGGAACGACATCTTCATACTCAGGCTCTGAGCTGGATCGGTCGACAGGGCAAGACACGAATGTTACATCAAAATTGTCTCGGTCTCCAAAAATGTATGAGGAAGCTGGATTTGCTCGCTAGCGGGCATTTAATCATACAATATTGATGGATACTCTTGCAATAGGCAGCCACCACTGCCGCGAGAGCAGGATAAAAGCACATCAATTGATATGAAAGTCAGAGCTTTTAGCTTGAAAGAAATCATATAGAACAAAACTCGAGCGACGTGTGTTCAAGGGAAAACATACATATGCTAATTTTACTTTTCAAATCAGAGAGCTAGTAACGGATAAAAACAATATATATTGGGGAAATAATTACTACGGGCATCTCGAAACAAACCACCAATTACATCAATCAATATCAATTGATGACTAGCACCGAACAAGATTTCTGAAATACCGGAACTGACAGAGCATTATCAATCATAGCAGTGCATTAGTCTACAAGGCAAGGATTCCTTTTTTTAAACAAAGAGGAGAAGTATTAAGAAAGTAAACGAAGAAGCCTTTCTGCTTTGCATGTGAAGAGGATAAGGGTCTCTCTCGCCTCCGGCTGAGGTAAGTTTCGGTATGAAGCCTTGTCCCATAAGTGAGGCCAGGGATCGCCATACACAAATGCAGAAACGAGTCATGGCTTTGTCTTTTAATATGAAAAGAGTTTTGGGATTCAGTTGAGCAGAGTGCCAGGTAGGAGTGTTAAATTTTGGGGTTTACCAGTACCGTAATTACAGGGGACTCTGAGACCGTCATAATACATACCACTAATTTAGCGCAATTAGTCAGCTACCAGCGGTGAGTGCATCTTGGCCAATAGAAGACTATATAATCTAAATTCTGCTGACTTATAGGTAATTCGAATAATCGGCGATAATTATTAAGAGCCAATTTACCAGTAATTACTAATACCAAAACTTATTGCAGCAAACAGAGTGTCAGGGAAGCATTCAAGGGTCCGGAATAAGGTTGATTGTGAGGCATGCACGTGCTGCTTCTTTCAAGTTTCGGTATTTGACGGGTGGGTCATTTTGATAAGCACTTGTCTATTTAGACCTATTATTTTAATGCTTCACTTCAGGGTTTTCAATTGTGGATTCAGAGTTCCAACTGACTGCCGTTCAACGGTCTGGTAGTGCGTTTTTAATCGCCATGATACAGTAGTTTACATCCCCACTAACTGTTCGATTATGTACGCCAAGGCTAAACCTCGGAAAGGGGCTCACACAATTTACTCAATTAATACTCGCAATCAAAACAGAATTTCAGTAACGAAATCTTTCTTTTCTGTTCTGTTTTTTGGGATAGTTCTCTGGGGTTATCTTTGCGAGGTTGAAAGACCATACCAGCGGGTGAATTAACGGTTACGACATTTTACATCTAAATATCAATTGATGCAAGCCGAATTCACTACATATGATTGGAGTCACTAATTATATCTATCGCTTTGTTGCAAGTGTCTAGCCGCACCCTACATGTATGTGGAGGAAGAAATCAACGGCCCAGGCGAACTATTACGCTGCCGCTTTCCTGGGCACATTTCCGAGGAGATGTGATTCGTAGGCATTCACAAATTAGGGTTTTCGCTTGCAATGGATTCCCATCCAATCTCATCTGGAGCCTCAAAATCCTTACTATGCTCTGGGCAGAATGCCTTTACCGCCTCCAAATTAGGAAGTTTCGAGTTTCCTAATAGAACTTGGCGTGGATTTGGGTTTGAGCTATGTAGCGCCATCCAGCTCAATAGTTCGATGCTAATTTGGTCGCCGATCCGATGCGTTGGTGACTATCAACTATTGGCACGGTGACCTCGCCTGAATTACCATTGACTGAAATAAAAATTAACCATCGATGGGCCAAGATCTTGGCGGTACTATAGGCTACTTTTCTGGTTGAAACAATAGAATTGGCATTGAGATATCAGCTTCGGAATCTCTGATTTACCTTTCAGGTTGGAAAGAAAAGCACGCGTTCCCATGGCATGGCGGTAGCATCGGTCAATCAGACATCCACCGAAAAGAACACAGGGTTAAACAAAATAGATTTGGCAATTGCTATGGCCTCGAATATGCTTCTTGCAAGACGAAGATAGCCCTGCAATTAAGCGACGGTCCGAAGGGAACTTGAACAGGCGAGAAGCGTCTTTGGTAATTCTTTTGCAGGTTCATTGGATATACCGCTACCTCATTCTTGGCGGTGAGCGATAGCGACACTGGCGACTGAAGATTATTCTTCCAGTGGCACATTATTGTCCACGAATTGTCCATTCCAATCATGAGCCGAGGAAGGGAGCTACCTAAGCAAACCCAAGAGAGTCTGCTTTTCATCAGCGCCAACCCGTCCTCGAAACAAGAGAGATCAAACACTCTTCGGTTGGTACGATCGCATGTTGGACGATGGAGGCAGAAGCAGATTCGAAAGGCCAATCATCAAAGTATCGAATGGATTAACGATGCGCAGGTGACTTCTTTAGAACATAGGAGTACTGCACGCGAAGAGATTGAGCCTTTTACCTCGACGCCTTATAATGAATCTCCGTTTTCTGATCCTTTCTCTTCACCCCTTGTGGTAGAATTGGCATCATCGAGGGAGGACGCCGTAGAAAATCAAGAGGAGCTTCAGATACAGGCCCGGGACGCGGCTATATGGGACACCGCTATTACTGCTTCCCGACAAAGTTCCATGGAACGAAGCACAATATCAAACCCGAGATGTATAGATGCAAATATCCTTGATCCCTTTCAGGCTCATGTTGTTTCTCCATTATCGTCGAAACTTGTCAGTGCATCAAATAAGTACTGTAAGGACGCTTTCAGTGTGTTCCAGAATGACTGGGCTGACATATTTCCTAGCACTTTCTACCTTATGGCCAGGATTAATGCCACTTTCATGCACAGGTAACACTCATTCTGGCGTACAAAATTGGTTCTCCAGCTCCAGAGTTCATCCCGCGCTACATAGCGCGATGTTATTCGGCTCTTATTCCCACCGCCGGGCACAATGGCTCATGAAGGGCCAAGGCCATTTTGGTGTCGAAGACATGAACCATATGAGGATTTGTGAAAACGAAACAATCTCAAGGATCAATGTTGCGCTACAGGACGAGGTGCAAGCAGTCTCCGATGCCGTGATTCTCTCCGTTTTATGCCTCGCCACGAATAAATATGATGGCGCTGTCTGGGAGCCAGATGCCCAAGATGCCCAATCACCTTTCGCAGCCCCGTTGCGAAGCTTGCAGTGGCTTGATGTCTACGGGCGATTATCGCCGAATCCCGTTCATCAAGCGGGGTTGGCACGTCTTATACAACTCAGAGGCGGGTTAGAAAAATTAAAGCTTCCAGGCCTGGCTGCTGTAATATCCTTGTACATATCCCCTTCCGGGCATAATCCCTGGCGAAACCTTCAGCTGATCTTTTGCGACTATAGTTCCAGCGTATTGGGCGCTAGCAAGTCATTATCACGACCGCACCTTCCATTTATTTCTCTTCAAAATGGGCATCAAATGGTATTGCAGGATATCCTGAATATTCAAGACCCGGGTATACCCGAAGACCCCTTGGTAGAAATTCACATAACGCCAGAAATGCATGATGTCTTTCGAGGACTGCGGCAATATGTGTCACTCGTTGAAGAATATCAACATGGAGTCGAGAGAATTGACCATATAATATTGTGTGATCATCGCAATCTCATACAATGGCACGTCATGTCTTTGTTGCCTGCCAGTCAGCTGGGACCAGTAATTCTTCCATTTTGCCCGATGTATGAACCGTGTCGTCTCTCACTCATGATTTTCGCAATTGGAATCACATTCCCCTTGCCTCCTGATACAGCTTCCTTGGCCAAACTTGCAAGGACATTGCAAATAGAGTTAAAATGCCTCGGTCAAAGTGATATCTTCAAAAATAACGAATCTACTGAGATGTACTACTGGTGTTTGGTAATAGGTGGGATTGTTGCCACCGTGCCGGAGAGAGAATGGTTTGTCCAGGAACTTGTGCGCTGCACTGGAACCTATGACGTGTCAACATGGAACGATCTGGAGGTGGTTTTGAAGCGCTGTCTGTGGTGGAATATCGCTTGCGATTCCGCAGCAAAGCAGCTTTGGGCGGAGGTAGAGGATTTGATGCCTGCCAATACAGTGAGCAGGAGCCCTAGTTGATGAACTTGTTCTTCATTTCACACTCATATTAGACCAAAAATAACGATAAACTTAACTTCTTGTAGCAGTATAAACTCTTTCAAAGGAAAATCATTCATTGATGGAAGTTACGGGAACTAAACACAATAAATGATGAGAAAGTCCTCTATAAGGATGAGAATTCATTATTTTCAGCACAATAAGTAAGCTCTCGAGCGCTTGCGCTAATTGAGACAGTAAAAGACCCGAAAAGCATTTTCCTAATTAGGTATGTGTCGAGTTGGCCTGTGGCGTGCTATCCCACTCTCGGAATCGTTCATCATAGGCCCATTTTATGGTGCATAAAGCTAGTGTCAGATTAGGAAAATGTATGAAAGCTCCATCTAGTCCCAAAGAAGTTAATGTAGACAGTTTAAACATTCTATTGGAACTTGGCGTGCTGTGGACTGAAATTGGGAGAGAGATCTCTACAGCATCACCCACTTTGGAAAGAGTAGGGCTATTGGCGTTAAAGCTGAGGTTAGTTTTAATGTTGTAGCTAACTAATTTCCAAGTCATTCTTCCGTCGATCCTCAATATACGCCCACTTCAGAACCGAAGCATAAGCCTGGTAGATTCCGGAAACTTTCGAGTCGAATTTATTTGGTCTTGGAGGAGACCGCATTGAGTGAGCATCTTTTCCTGTGCAAATGACTTGCGGCCTTGCTTGAAAACGTATCAAGAGACTGCAGATGCAAAAATGGGTTTCTTGGGGCTCTTCGGATTATCGCTCTGGCTAGAACCTTTATCAACTCGGCTTTCTTTGACTTGGGCGGTCCTCCAGGTCGGTTTGGTTGTTCAAGGCAAAATTCTTTGGGCCGGACAGTATTTTTAGGCACGAAATAAGTTACAATATAAATCCAATTCTCATCCCAGCTCAGAATTCGGGACCAAAGCTCGTATGGTTCATAGGGTTTAATTCATTTTCGGAAGACGCATTGCACGCCACTCAGGATCATCACCGGGGGGGTTTGGTCGGACGAAATGATAGTCGTTGGCTTAATAATAAGAGACTTAGATTTCCGCGTGAATACCCTGTCTGTAAAGTATGTCGAGTTCGATTTGTGGATATTATAATCGCTCTCGCTGATAGGTGATCTTGTGCAGTGAACGGCTGGGAGGAAAAGGTATCCAGGACTCAGCTGGTCAATTGCAATGGGCGATATGAAAAGGCGAGGGACTAACGTTCGAGCAAATCGAAACTATACATTCGAAGTTAGCATGTCCATGATATTGTGTTGCGTGTGCGTTGGTCACCGGGGTGTACGCACATGCCACATCCACGGCAAATTTTTATATGCTAGAAGGAATATTACTATTGAAATCAACAAAGACGGTTAAATATTTCTCCATGATTCTAACATTGTGTCTTCACGAAGAGTTTGAGTAGAATAAATCGGCGGTTATAGGAGCCAACTTCAATTTGCACAAGTGGCTTCCTTTAAACTTTTCCAACACTTTAGTGATATGTTGGAATTATCTAGAATCGTTCCTCAACATTTTGAATTGCATAGCGGGACAAGATTTTTGGCAGATGTTTGATTTGTCCTAACTATGTTTGGGGAGAAAGATTACAATTGCTCGGCAGGGGAGTACCGTGATACGTACCTTCGGTATTCGGATATAACACAAGTAGTGAAGAGCTAGGGGCAGAAATGGATGCATGACCCAGAATAACGTCAAGTTCATGGCTTTTTAAAGCTTCAAGGTGTTAGGACAGATCGTGATATTTGGTTTCATGTTCTAGGACTCGACTCTGTATATTCGGGAATGCGAACTTGTAAATATTTCATAGAGATCACTCATTACTTCGAAGTTATTGGGAGACCAACAACTTAGAGTTATTACATTTAATTTAGAAATTGATAAACCTACATAAATTTCGTAAAATAACAAAAACATATCTTTTCCATACTGATAAAACGAGAAATACGGTTCGTCTTAAATTTTGAGGCTGAGAGGGTCAGCGAACTGTGACCCAGCCAATTCAAAACCTTGTCTTTCGTTGGAGTATATGCTCAAACTTGTACTGGAGTCTAGAGCCCGCAGCAGTTGGCGCCAGGTGCCGAACACGTGTATAATATTTACCAATAAAATTGAATATAATAATAATTGATCCCATACCTCCCAAGTGGTCTAGCCATATTCATAGAAAACTATTGACTACATGTTTCACTGTATTTGTATCGTCCAAAAATCTACTTCATCTTCAACTATTAAGATAAATTTAAATAAGAATATCCCTAGTAACAGGAATAGAGAACGACGTAATTTCTTTCATTGAATGCATCATAGTTCACTGAATGAGATTACGTTGCGGAGGCGTGAAGTGTTTAACCTTAAGTCTTGACTAGTGAATGGACTACCCGGTTTAGTAAGAATTATGCTCTTCAGCATTATCAAGGCAGCCATTGATGCATCTCATGACTCATATATTTTGAAAGTATTCCTTACTGTATAATTCTATTTTAAATGAATATTGGTCTGACGAGGCTTGATGTGCTAGCCTAGCTGGTTCTATATAATCCATTTGATTTACTGACAAATCTCTCTTCAAATATATTTCACATGTGGTCCTCCAAACAACCATAATATCATCTTGGTTCTTTAATACTTGCCATGGTCTCTGCTGACACCTCGCATCCCTGGGCCGACGGACCCTGGTCTTTAATCGAGACCCCTTCAAGAACTAAAGACGTGGTGAGTTCCTGATCTAGAACACATCGAAGACAGCTGGAAAATTACTGATGTGTTAAGACCAAACATGCCGCCATCTACATCGCCAACGAAATGGCCTTTGCCCACAACGCAATGCTACGCGGATTAAATAGCATCTACTTACAAGCTCATCACGTCTCACAACCCAGGGACATCGCCGACTTCCTCTCCTTCATCCACGCCTGGACCGGGTGGGTTTCCCACCACCATAAAATGGAAGAAGAATCCATGTTCCCCCGCTTCGAGGAAATTATGAACAAGCCACATGCCCTAGAGGGTAATGTCCAGCAGCACCACACATTTCAGCCGGCCCTAAACCGGCTCGTGGCCTATAGTGCTGAGACTAAGCCGGCTGATTACCAGGCTGGAATTGTGCGGGAGCTGGTTGAGGAGCTTGCACCGAGTTTTCGTGAGCATCTTAGTGATGAGATTACCAGCCTGCTTGCAATGGAGCCTTATGATACTGCTGCCCTGCTCAAAGTGTACAGAGAATGCGAGGCTGAGGCTGGGAAACAGGATAAGGTGAGCCGATCTATGTTATTTTACTACCCCCAGTTAACACTAAATGCCACATCTACACAATCTAATAGTCTGTTCAGCATATAGTACCGCCAATGGTCCTCGGCCTACGCGACATCACATTTGAAGGAGGGAATAATTGGCCAGTGATACCGATGTCAAGCTTATCCATTCCGATTATCAGGTACGTATTCGCTCGGAAACACGCCGGGTCGTGGCGATTTCTACCATGTGATACTTGGGGTAAGCCGCGCCCATTACCCTTTGCTTCCGAGAGATAGGGTGAACCGAATAACATTTGGTTTTGGCATGAGAAGTGAAGTCCCTGGAATTGACGTGGGTGGTTATTGATGAGGCTTTTAATATAAAGTGCTGGCAATGATAGATATATTAACTCCAGTCTATATTCACCATCTGGTCTATCAATAACAACACACAAGTAACAGAACTGAGAAAAAAAAAAATCAGCTCCTTTAATAATAAACAGCTATGTATCAATGCGGAGACACAAATTTATAAGAAAATTAAATCTCCTCGAAAATAGACACCAAGAAGAAAAAAGTATGCGTGATGTATGCATAACACATTGACAAATAGTTGAACGTAGCAGGTGAAAGCGTAATATATGTATATCGCCGGCCATGCAAAAACAAAAGTTGAGCAAGATGCTGTACATGATTCAATTCAATTAACGAAAAAATGGATAAAAAGCAAAGAGTTTAGGGCTTCTTTTTCACATGGTGTTTCCCACTAGTATTGTCGGATAGGCCCGTCATACTTATATTATTCTCGTCGCCATTATTGCCCTGTAGAATTCGAAATATACGGCGAATAGAAAACCCGCCGGAAACGAGATAAATGGCCACCAGCCAAGCGGAGAAGATATTAGCGACGTGGTGGAGTAGATATGCATAAGAGACCCCGTATACGGCTGAATAGCCGGCGAGGCAGAAGAGAATGGTATATGTGACATGTTTGACTCTGAGGTGGTTGTTAGATATGCTGGTTTCTTGATTTGTGGGTAAAGAACGTACCGTGAAAAAATACGTGGAATCATGTGACCGCTCGTCATGGTCTCGACTAGAATCAAGAAGGGCATTATCGATAACACATTGTGGTGCGACGAGAATGGTGTCAGCCAATGGACAGCCAGGTTGTGAACCCAGACTACCAGGACAAGAATGTTTATCGGAAGAACCCAGAGCATGAGTGTCAGAATCGAGTGAGCGTAGTTGAAGAAATTTGAATTGAGAGTGAGTCGCTGTACTTGTTAGCATGACCTAAATAGAAAAAATTATCGAGTACATACTGTCTCTCTGAAATGCCATAATGCGCGCACACATGTGGCAATTTGCACTAAACATGCCACAATATATGCAAACTGGTACGGGATGACCGTTGCCACAAGGATGAGAAGTATGGTACAATTGATTATTCTTCGGCGTGGGCTAGGATGGGAAAATATTGGGAGATTTCTGGAACTGGTCAGCTAATCCTTAGGGTGAAATAAAAAGATCACATACCCCCGGTCATCCCGACGAATATAGCCCGTTTTCGTGCGGAGCATCCCATAGGCAGACGACAGCAATGTTAATATCAGTAAAGAAACATAGTTGATGGCAACACATAAGCCAATGCTGATCAACCCAAAAAGCGGCACCAAGAACCAGAAAAATGCATCCTGAGCGCCGAGTAGTAAATCGTATTTCGTAAAATCGACTACACTTTCGGTTGAATTTTTCCTCCAATTAAAAGGGTCATCACTCGGAGGTAGTCGTCTTGTAGATGCCAGAGAAGACGCCAAAAGGGACAACACGCCCAGCAGCACAGGTAAAGATGAGCGGAGACAGAGATTCAAGCTTTCCATGAAGGTGATGAAATAGCCAGTGTCGTCATATACTTTGAATTGTTTGCGCAAGACAAGAGCGACAACAAGCAGGGGAAACGGTGCGAAAACAGTTCTATACCGCATCACTAGTTCACCCAAACTATTCGGAATGTTTACCGCCAAAGACAGGTCGACGCTTGACGAACATGTCGGATCAGACCACAAGTGGAATGATACCCCATAGGCAGCCTGCTCTCGCAAAGGAGGGGGCATATACGGTGCAACACCATGCAGGTTCACATTCACATCATCATGAAGATTAACGAAGAACTTCGATTCGTGCGGCTCTGGCATCGACTGGCGCAAGAGAGGAGAAAACAGCGGAGCAGGATCTGAGCATCCAGCGGTCCGCACCGAAAGCTTGTATGCCAACAGACTAGAATGCAACGAAGGGATTTTGACTTCTGTTAGCATTGGTCTGTTAGCAGGTAATTTCACATGAAGCCCAGCGCTCAGGAGACGACCGAGTCCCACGCGAGTAGGAATGACTGCATCAGAGCTGTCGGAAAATTCGGCAACAACCCAGCCATTACTCGGAGCTTGTGCCTTGTCTATTACGGCGACGAATTGGTGTTCGGATAAGTCTTCCAGGTCGTATTGCAGGTATGAGAAAGGGTGTCGATTATCAAAAGCTTGCTGCGATGAAGATGTTGATGCGGGGAGGTGTATTCTGTCCTCCGCAGCATTCTTGCATGCCAAACGTGTGGACCCAGATTCCCCACGTGAAAAGTCTAGGTTCATTGAGAAGTATGATGCAACCCTCCCGGCCTGTAAAGGATAAACAGCGCAGAAAAGAACTTCCAGGTCACCTTCTGGCCTGTCAAATGGCCGGTCTGTCAGAAGAGTGAATTTCTTGCCGGGTACGCCTTGAGGAGGAACGGGGATCAAATGTGCTTCTGACTCCTTGTGGTTACCAAGCCCACGCAAAACGAGGCGTTCGCCCTGAGATAAAATCGTATTCGTGCTAGAATCTAATGTAAGAAGAGTATTCGGTTCTGATTATAGTCAGCTTCTGAACAACATATAAGATAATCCTTTTCGCCTACCTTGCTGCGGAAGCGTCCGCTCGGCTGTAGGCTCCATGCCAGTCAAAAACCATTTTTTGAAAATACGCATCCTTTCAGCTCGGGGCCGCGTCTGGCTTGAGCGATGCACATCCACAACTTCGAAAATCGATTTTATAACCGCTTTGCGGAATTGGTCGCACCATGTTATCGATAAATGGTCGGTACCTACCCACACGTCGGGGATGGTCGATGTAAACACGGTAAAGCCGTGAGTTTCAGGAACCAGAGATGCAAGGCTAGCATAGTCCGACCCCACAATTGTATCGCGTGCTCCTCCAGCAATAGAAATCAAAGTCACATGCCATAGAGGGTTATAATTTGCCCATTCTTGGGAATAGGCAGCTCGCCAATAATCGTTAATCTGTTTGTACGTATGCACTATATCCGAGTCGAAGGACACCGGGGGTTTCGCATGCGGGGTGGACATGGTAATGATGGTGTTAACCGAATTCGCCTGATAATTAGCCATTGTCAGGACAGTACGAGCAACAATGCCACCCATTGAATGTCCGATCAATATCACGGAGCTGGGGTCCGGGAGGCTCGGATCACGGTTTAGACGGCGAGGATCGTGGTAGAGCGAAAGAATGTACGTAAGAGCTTCGTTGACGTACTCAGCCTGGTCCAGAATGGTTTGGCCGTGGAAGGCTGCGAGATCCTCATTGAAGTCCACCATGAAGAAATCCAAGTTGCGAGCCCCTGCTTTCAAACGATCCCCATCTTGTTGCACGACATCCCGGTAATGTCTCGAGGCTTCGGATGCCAATGATCGGACTTGCTTGTAACTACCAGCATTTCCGGGGAGGAAGAGGACAGGCGCACCACTGAGCTGTAAAACAAACGAATTGTCAGTCAGGCATTGAAACACGTAGCTCTCAATTGACATACCCCAATATTATCTTGCGAGTAATAGTCCACACCCTCCTCACGGTAGAGATATAAATTGTATTTGCTTGCAAAACGAGTGTGCTCGGCGTCGAATCCAAGCATCTTCAGATACGTCGGACTCATGAGAGGAGTTTGACAGCCGTCGGCGCCAAGCGGACGGCGCATAAAAGAGTGCATAATGAACAAGAAGAAGAAAACACCAGCGAGAGCAGTGGACAGAGACAGAATTGAGACTGACCAGGGGCTGCGAAGGCGGAACTGGCGACCGCGCTGGGCCTCCGGCGAGCCCTCGATCGAGGGCTGCCAGGAAGCCAACGGGATCATGTCGGCAGCGGCGGGGGAAGCGGGAAGTTTTGTAGAAGCGGGAGTAGGGGGCGTGGTGGATGCATGCGAAGGCGAAGGCGAGAAGGAAGACCGGACGGCGCTCGAATTCCTGGATCGCGGCGCAGAGAATGGATGATGAGGACGAAAATCGAGGCTGGCGGCGGGTGCGGCTATCTGCGACGGCAGCGTGTCCCACTGAGCCTGAGTGCTGGGGGAGCTGTCTCCATGACCGGTGGTGGTGTCGGGGGAGAAGGAAGCGTCAGTCTCGTCCGAGGGATCGGACGAGCGCCTGTGCATTTGAAGATGTGGGCGGCGAAGAAGGCATTCAGGAGCAAACTGGACGAGAGCAGAAAGTCTGGCTGTGCCTGCACGGAGAGGTGTGAGCCTAGCCTGAGGTATGCTGCGCTAGGCCGCGCTAGGCCGCAATCGGGCGGCTGCGGACGGCTGATTGGCTGGTCGTGTGGGTAGTATATTTACAGTGCAAGTTACTAGTTACGTTAAGGTTGCGGTGGCTGAGACTGATTCAGAGATTAAGACATTAAGAGTATAGGACAGCACGTCTGCTGTACTACCATCCAATGGCTATCCATTTGTTCGCAAACACAAGGCTGGGAACTATCTCGTAGATCTATGGAATTACGCGCATCGGTGAATCGCACACATAAATCATTAAATCAACAGTCCGTCATATGGGGTTTTAATTTTGCTCCGCGTGCTGTGCGCGTCCCTGCTCCAGATCGGCCTTCTCGTCGACACCGAGTTTGCGCACTGCAACTTCGGTCAAATCCTCGTCGTGCTCGGCATCAAACTGTCGGCCTAGACGCTCCGGGCCCAAGAAGCTCACAATGATCGTGTATGCATACACGCAGCCCATGAAAATGCAGATGACTTTGCCGTAGTCGTAGCGACTCTTCCCGGCGGAGGTAGGTGCCAAGGGGAAGCGTTCGCCGATTGTCGATTCAATGGTTGACGAGGCTGACGAAACAAGGTTTCCAAGCTGGTACGAAGAACCAACGACAAATGTACGGATGGGACCAGGGGAGAGCTCCATGAGGTGGATGGGGATGACACCCCAAGCACCCTGCACACAGAACTGCTCGAAGAAGGCGGCAGCCATGACCGAGTGAGAACTAACAAAGGTATAGGGATAGAGAAGAGCACCGCCGACAATGGAGATGGCAATAATCGAGAAGCGACGTCCAAATATCTGACTAGCCCATCCACATAGCGTACCGCCAGTCATTGCACCTAGGTTAGCTACCACCTGCGTAACCGTTACGGCGTCGGCAGAGAACTCGAACTGGGCCTGGAGGAGAGTCGGGTAGAGATCTTGAGAACCGTGAGACTAACAAGACGTTCGAAATTAGTTTACGCCTCACCAAAAAGGCGAAATATGAAGTGCAGAAAACCTACCATGAAGTTGAATCCGGTCATCAAAAGAACAAGGTAAATAAGCATCAGCCAATGGTTTTTAAGAGCCACTTTGCCTTCGGACAGGAAACTCCCAGCCACACCGCCCGACAACCCCTTGCGCACTTGCTCACGACTCCGGAAAGCCTGTGTCTCAGGCAAGCAGAGACGGAAAAGGATAAAAAGCACTGGCGGGCAGGCTCCAAACCAGAACAGTGGGCGCCAGCCGTGAGAGGTGGTATCAACAAGGCCGCGCGCAAAAGCAGTGACCAGCAGATAGCCAAAAGCATATCCTTGCTGCAGCATACCAGATATAATACCCCGCGCCTCTGGAGGGCAGTCCTCCAACGCAGTGGCTGCAATATTGCCATACAGACCGCCCATAGCAATCCCGAAGAGCGCACGACACGCCAGGAATTGGTTGTAAGTCTGGCAAAAGCCTGTGCCGAGCTCAAGAACGATGAAAAGGACGTTGTTGGCGACAAAAGGCCATTTGCGGCCGTACCGATCGGACAAGATACCAAATATGATGGCACCGACGGAGCGCAACATCAGCACCAGCGTGATTCCCCAAGTGATATCCGAGTTCTCCTTGCCAAAGTACTTGGCCAAACTGGTGACGGAGATTGAGACGGAGAAGAAATCAAAGGCATCCCAAGTCCAGCCGAGGAAGGCAATCTAGATGTTCTGATTAGTATGTGCAGAATAAGCAGATTCTCACAGGGAGCGGCTCTTTACCAGAAAGAAAAGCCATTGCTGTCTATTCAGCAACATCAGCGCCTTGAATGGATTAGGCGCCTTGTTCATAGGAGGGACCAGGGTAGTGACGCGAGTCGCCAAGTATCTGCCGACTCCCATGTGCTGCTCCTCGAAGTGGGCAGAGGCCACTCTCGTCGCGGCAGGACTTTCTTTGGGTTCTGCCATGGTGGAACTGAACCCGCCGTGCTATATAGAAACGGGAGAAATAGCCTGCGTCAAGCGATGATGAGAGAGAGCGGAGAAGCTATGAGCAGCAGCTGTCGGGGGCGGCGCGATAAGTTAAATAGCATTAATTAATAACCGTGTTCAATGCCCCCTGCTTCGGACTCCAGCCGACAAAAATGCCGGGGACTTTGAGTCTTTGGCTAAGTGAGGGATAACCCCGCCTCTTACTGTGTTGGTCTGTTACTCCGCATGTTGGCTGGGGTTGAGTTCTGCATCCACGGCTTCTTCGAGCTCATGATTGGAGCGCGGCGGTTTCTTCATCCACCGGCGCGAGTTTAGTGACGATAAGCATTGCGCTGACTGGTCGTCTGCCGCCACTGGGTTACATGCGCCATGCCATGTGCCAAGCATCAAAACGTCGAAACAGTAAATAGTAAATATGTACAAGGCCGGTTGCTCCACCGTTCGCTGTAAACGCCGAAATTGCCGATGAATTTTTGATCATTGCCATTGATGATTGACGTCAGCAGGATAGAGGAGATCTCCCTAAAAAAGGATGAGGAGCAGGAATGTCGCAAAACCTTGCCACTCTCTTTGAAAGAACTGATATTTCTGATCAGTTTTCTCCAATATATAGACTTGGACAGCCAACTTCAACATCTTCTTTTACTATGACCCTACAAAGTAAATTGTACTATGTTATTCCTGTGATCCAAGAGGACCGACCTTGATCTCACCCTGGCTCATATGTTTCTTAAACTGCTCGCGTATTTTCTCCTGCTTTTTCCTCTTTTTTTGCTCAACCTGAAATCGAGCTTTCGTGCCGAATCGTAATTTCATGAGCATATCTGCCGCCTGGCCTCTAGTGACGTCCTTAGGTCTGATGATGCGGTCCCTGATATTCATTCTGTTCATCAGCGTCAACTGTTTGGGAGTTGCAGCTGCTTGTCGCCACGCCTCTGATATTCGGATGGCATTCGAGCTCATATGACTTGCCGCAAAGGTATCCGCACCGTGGGCTGCTTGTTCTAGATCTGGTGCTCGCGCGATGACCCGTGGCCTTGTTAGTATCGTTCTACCGCTGATATCGTTTTTTATTTTCTGGACGTATTTCACCACAAATGGGCCGTCTTGGACATCCTCACTCTTATCGATTGTAATCCATCCTGATTTCTCACCCAGAATATACCGGTCACTATCAACACGAACCCACGCGTTATGACTCAGAGAACGGATATGCCGATCGGTTTTTTCGTCGCGGAGCAGATCAAAAATGCTGTCGTACGTCGTAAATGTAACATCAACGTTGTCATCTGTAAGCGGCTTTGCACCATTTGAAGAGGTTTCAAGCAAACTAGGATCTCCATTTTCCTTCCTTTCTCTAATTTCTCGTACACTCTCTTTTGCCAGAGCTTCTTCGGGATCAAGCCCAAACAAGGTTGGAGTGGACATGACGCCGGTATTCAACGTCGATACCATATCGATGATATGGCAGTTTTTCTTCCCCTCATGTAATCGTAGTCCTCGGCCGATCATCTGAATCAATAGACCCTTTGATCTGGTAGGACGTGCAAGAACGACGCAGTCTATGTTCGGAATGTCGGTCCCCTCAGTGAAGAGTCCGCAATTGAGAAGAACGGGGAATTCTCTATTTTTGAATCCCTCCAGCTCTTTATTCCTGATCTGTCTAGTTGTAGTCGCAGTAATGTATCGAGCATCTATACCGTGCGTTCGAAAAGTATGGGTTAGTTCTCTTACATGTTCTGTGTCAACGCAGAAGACCAATGTCGATTTCCGATCGCCCGCATTCGTGAGCCAAGATCTCACTGTAAGGTTATTGACTGTAGCAATATTGACAGCTTCCGACAAAGCTTTTGTCATGAAATCACCTGAGCTATCCTTAGCAACACGTGACAGGTCAACGTTTGTTTTCACCGTGGTGAAGACGGCATCCGATAACCATTTGTCGCCGATCATATCAATATAATCCTTATGATACACGATATAATCAATTGCAGACCCCAACCTCAACCCATCAAATCTGAAGAAAGTCGCAGATACTCCGACAAGCGCCGGCGCATTTTTAGAGGCCTCATTTAAACCAAAGTAATCGAGCACCTCGCGATATTGAGAAGCGACGATGTGGTGTGCTTCGTCGACCAGAACAAGTTTGAATCGATCAGGATCAAATTTTTCAATTCGATTATTCGATGCTAGGCTTCTTATCGAGGCGATGGTTATATCTGCAGCTCCAGACGCTTTTGTTGGGCCCATTTCGATCTCCACGGTCTTATCAGGGTATGCCAGTCGGCAGTGGTGGGCCGCCTGTTCAACAAGCTCTTTGCGATGAGCAATGATAAGACACTGGTCTGCAGTGCCATTTCGAGGTGGAATGCGACCGATGAGTTGCGTAAATACAATCTAGGGTAGACGGCAATTAGGAAGAGTAGAATTTCTAGGAGGGCACCGCACATACCGTTTTACCCGAGCCAGTAGCCAGAGATAAGCCCAGACGGTTGTAGCCTTTGTCGATATGACCTAATACTGCTTGGATAGATTCCTCCTGGTAGTCACGAAGTTGTATGCTGCTAGGCGGGTTGTCCCCCTGTAGATTGATAGTGGCGTTGGCGGATAGGTTGGTAGAGGCAAACCGACAAAATCTAGGACACAGCAACGGCTTTTTGCAAATGTGATGAAATAAAACGGGTCTCCTGTACAGCCCTGAGACTATGCAGGCTCCCCATTGTCGCAAAAGAGGCTCCATGCAGAGATGAATGTAGGCATTCGCAGTCTCAAGACACCCGGTGGAAAAGAGCTCTGGGGAAACAAACATAGCAAACACTTATCGCCTCATCTTATCTGGAATATTTTCGATCGGCCGGAATGGCGACATGAACAACACCTGCGCACACGTTCCTTTTCACAATTCCTGTATTTCTATTCCATACGCTGAAATGGTTCCAGATGCGAATTATGCTGGAATCACTGCAGCCACGTTCTTGCCTCATACGCCACTCCACCAAACTCTCACCCTTCCACTCGGCCTGTTGAGCTGGTAACATGAACGCAGAACATGAAAATCACTCCGACATAGACGAAGACAACGACTACGTTTTTGGTCCAGTTGAAAATGCCCCCGTACAAGTCTCATCAGTCTCAGGACGTGAATCCTCCCCGAAGCGGCATCTCAAGACGATAATAACGAAGAGAATGCTGTTGGACCTGGCAATGGCGAAGATTTGACCGAGGACGAACGAATAGAAAAAGTCTCCGAAGAAGAAGCGAAAAACGGCCGCAGGCGGGAAGAACATAGAAAACATGTTCTCGCCGAGTCTTTTCTGCGCAAGAATCAAAGATATTATCTGTCGAAGAAGTCCGTGATAAAGTATCGAAGTTTGCTAAACGATATACATATTGATGCGGTTTATAACCACGACAAGCTCGGTGAAGAATCATCCGGTATAAATACGAAGCTTGGTCTTGTGAAGTGGACGAATATAGAAGAGGATCGATTTTTTACTGCTCTATCTCGCCTGGGGAAAAACAACATTCGACAAATTGCGCGAGCGGTGGGATCAAAGTCTCAGTTGGAAGTACAGGAGTATATTAGGGTTCTACAATATGCTGTTGAGGAAACTGCTGCAAATAATGAAGAGGGTCTTCTCAAACAGACTGGCATACCGGCTGCAGTAGAGATCAGTGAAGGGCTTGAAGGCGCCCTTGATCGTTTCGCCACCCATATTTCAATCCTGGACCAGAATTCAGATATGTTCGAAGGTAGAAAGAAATATGGGCATGAATTCTGGCTTATCGACTCTAAAACAGCCGAAACCATTGAAATGCATATAAAATCAGACGATGTCGATTCCCCTCAGTCCGGCATTTTTCAAGTTGCTGAATTGTTTCATATGAAGCAATGGATCAAGCTGTCCGAAAATCTATTCATGAATTCAGGCACGTCCAATTTTGAGGATAATTGGAGAAACATTGCCTTCAAAGATGAGAGCCCTTCGCTTACAGCGGATGCATTCACTGAGTTTTACATGCATGCGGTGAGCATCATTCAAAATTTAGTCAAGGTGTCTCATCTATTCGCGCAGGATCGATTAGCTAGAGTTCTGCACGCTGAGCGTGAAAAATACGTGAGAAAAGAAGATGTTTTGAAAACATTGACAATTTTGAACATGAAAACTAATTCCTCTGATCACTTCATCGGTGCTGCGCGCAGACTGCGACTCGATGTTGCACATATATCAAATAAGAGAGGCAAGCAGAATCGCTACATATCGTACGATGACGTCGAGGAGATATTATCTCGAAGGCGTCCATATCGTAGCGGAAATCCATCTGCCGATAAAAGTGGCGGGGATGGCCTGGATAGTTCTGACAATGAGGATGAGGCCGATTTATACTCATCAGCAGGAATCAGTGAGGAAGAGGAGGAAGAAGGTGAAGGGGAAGGACAAGAGCCAGAGAATGATGAAGGTGGAGATGGAACTGTTAAATCAGACGAGAACGATCAAGCGCTATCATCTGTCGAGGAGACGGACAAGCCTTCCGACATGGAGACTGACAACGAAGACGGGTTCGACCACGAGGTATCCAGGACTCAGAATGAAAATTTTATTGCCGAAGACGAAATGCGCATCGATGAGTACTTGGATTATATCGACCAAAAAGCCAGCAAGAATGCTGAAAGATCCTTACGCGCGATGCTTCCATGTCCAGAAATAGATAAGCTCCCTCCGATCGTCAAGGCAGAATCAGGATTTGGTGAAATCCCATCGGCTCCTACAGTTAAGCGTATCAAAGACAGTACGCCTGACTGGAGAGATGAAATAGTGTACCGGGCTGAATGGGAAGCCTTCGGAGCTAACCTCCCAGAAATTGACAGGGCCATTGCGAGGAACCATGGGAAAAGGCGCCGTGTGGACTAACAAGCTCCGCGTGTCGACCATCTTGAACTATTATAATCATGTGATATTCTTTTCAAAAAGAAGCATGTAAATTACTTAAAAACTAATCAATACACATACGACTCAGTGCAAGGCACGAAACGTAACAAAGTAGAAACTCCTCCGAATTGCGCCTTTCCTTAACAAAACACACCGGTAGATCCTCTTATTCTATGAGGAACAAGTTCATGCAACTTCTCTCCCGGCTTTTGCACACCCTTTCCAATCTCACCCGGCATATTTGTACAGCACATGAAAAAGGCAGGAAAGTAAAACGAGTTAAAATAAGAAACAAAATCGGCCACTTGGGTTCTCATTTCCAGAGAGAAGCATAAAGTAATGGAGTTTCGACAAGTCTTTAAAGTTCGAAATTCTTGAAATCCGCCCCAGGATGAGCGCTCAAAGGCTGAACGCCATTTCTTAAATCAGGCTGGGGTTGGTTAAATTGATAATGGGTGCCAATTCCGGCAATAGCAGCGCCACTGATTGCTAGATTAGCTGCCTCGCCTGGGGCCTGTAAACTTGCGGCTTGTAGCGCATCTTGAACCTCTTTGACCCTCGTCTTGAAAGCCATCCGGTCAAGGAAAAGTTGCTGACGAGCTGCGTCAAGATCTCGCCTTTCTGCTTCGACGATTGACTCCAGTTCATTGAATTGTTCCAACTTAATCTCCAGTTTCTGAAGGGTGACGTTGACTGCAGCAGATACGAGACGCGTCATCTCACGCTCCTCGTGTGAAGCAAGTGCCCCAGCACGAGCAGCGGAGGTAGCGAGCGCAACTGTTGCGAGGGACTCACGCTTCTCGCTAGTTGATTCTCCCTCACGAACAACATCAACATCCATAGAGTCTTCTGCCTTGAGCTCCTCGGCTCCCTTTTCCTTGCCCTTGTCAGCTGGAGCCTCCTTGGTCAGTTGACTTTTAAGTTCCTTGCGAATCTGCTCAACAGACCGGCCTGCTGCAGCTGCGGCCACCGATGGATCAGCCATTTGAGCGAGGAAAGCCACGACTGACAGAACTGGGTTATCTAGTTGGCTGACGGGCTCCCGTCCTTGCAATGCACGCGCGGTGTCACCATATGGTCCATCGATATCCTCGATGTACTTGTCCTCGATTTCTAAATGAAGGAACTTCATCACACATTCTTCTCTTGTCCTAGTTCCAACATGATCGGCAATCTGCTGCCAATCGTCATCAAAATTCTCGATTCCTTCGAGGAGTAAGATAAGTTCCGCGTCAGACCATGGCGCATCCTTATCGGGGATATTTGTATACTCTTTCTCTTCTAACCTAACAAAGTCTGCGGCGTTGTGACTAGACGGAAGCCTGCCTTGCAAAAAGCAGTTGGGACAGACGTCGTACTTGCCATCGGGCACATTGGTGTTCGAGGATACAGGGGTGGATTTTGCATAGTGAAAACGTAGGCGGGTGCAGTCAATACCGCACGACCAGCAATTGAACGTTTTGCGAGGTTCACGAATGGCACTTTCCATTGCTTTTGTAGCGGCTTCAGAAGATGTGCCATTGGGAGCAGGTGTATCCCCGTTAGTCTGCTTGTCCTTGTCCTCGGCAGGTGTGATGTCTTTGCCTTTGTCATCATAGATGTTGCGTCGGATCTCCAGATTCAGATCGGTCTTGGCTGGTGTTCCTGAGGCAGCACGTTCGGTAGCAGCCAACGGCTTGCCTGAAGTCACGATATGATTAGGCCCAGGCTGGAAGGAATGGAGACCTCGTGGAGTGTCTGCGACAACGCGGAAATGACCGGTGAATGGAGGTCCAATGTTGGATGGGCGCGTTTGCGGGTCAACCTGATATGTCAGTGACATGGTTATTAAATAAATAGATCGCACTTACTTGGTAGTTAATCAATCCCCATTGTTCAAGGAAAGAGTGAACGCGCATAATAGCGCAAACATCTCCAGCAAGGTTCCGGCGGCATGCAGTGACAGTCAGGTATTCTATGGGATTCAAGCGGTAGGTGTTAATCATGAAATCTCTGTAGTCCTTATAAACAGCCGGGGTTTTGCTTCGGTTGCGGCCGTTAAAAAACTCGCCCATAGCTTTCTTCTCAATGGGGTGGATTTGGTGCATATCAAACCAGCTGGAATAACTTGGAAGGATGATAGAATGTGTCTGGGAAACGAGGTGACTACGTGCCGAAGCTTCCAGCGCCGCTTTTCCTTGAACTGATTGTTCATCGCCAGCGCCTTCCGTGCCTTGAGCACCCTCAAGACCTTCCTCAGCGCCATTCTCCTTCTTCGTCTCGGTTTCGGTGCCACCCATTTCTTCGTCTTCGGGCTCTGCATCGTGGTCTTGGGGTCTTGGGGATGCAGGGGCATCTAGTGGGTTGTCTGAGGCGTCCTCAGTGTTCTTAATGGGCGAATCTTGGGGAGGTTGCGATGCTGGGAAATATTCAAAATCAACAAGATCATCGCGCGAAGTTAGTCGCAAGGGGCAAATACCTGACGCCTGGCTAATGTCACCGACATCTTGAGCAGCCACTCCGGCCTGGTTTTCATCGCCAGCTTGGCCAGAAATGTTCTGTGTCTCATCCATGATAGCGCGTGCGATGGATGAGGATCGTAATCAAGGCAGATTGATAGGCGCTATCCAATCGCCAGACAGCAAGGCTCCTTCGAACCAGGGTAAATACACGCTGCGCGTCGTATTCAATGATGGCAGGACGAGCGCTGTATTGTGTCAGAAAAACACGATAGAGGTGTAAGCCAGATGCCTGCAATAAACACAGAATTAAATCGTACTCGGAGGTCGATCGCGAACACGTACGATGGCTTCGATGCTATCCCCAAAATCTCGCGCGGCAACGGGACAGTTCTGTCAGCGCTAACCGCTTCCGTGCACTTTCTGCCCAGCCACATCAGCCACACTCTTAGTAAGCATATGTGGCTGTATCTTCTGCCTTGACGAACTTGTTGTCCGCAACAGATACAATTACAATCACGATGACTACGAATTGGAATATGTGTTTTTTGGTCAATCAAAAACAAGTTGGATCTCAAACATCTTGTGAGTTCAGCAGCTCATGGGGAATTTATTTTGCAAACGGGCAGGACTCGTTCAAGATTCATGAAAAAGACCATATCATGTTTTTAATTCAACAATGCAGGAGTTCTTTATCCATCGATAGTTTATTTTCCCTTTCCACTTTTATTCCTTCTACATGGAAGCTCTAGTTGTCACAGCTTCTATGTACCTGTATCTACTTCGTAAGTGGAATCCATTTCTAGACTAGCGTTGTTGACGCGCTCCGCGTCGCGTCTCCCCTCTACAGTAAGATGGCAACCAAGCCGGTGGTTAACGGGACATCTCTGCGAACAAAGACAGACTCGAATATTTGCTGCATGGCGGCTGCTATTCCGTCGTCAGAATTTGATCCGCTGGTATATCTTAATTCAGAACCACCAGACCTTGTGCAATTCGATGCTGAGCCGGACCCTTCATTTTTCACTGACGACCTGGAGGCATTAGAAGAGCAGCGTTTAGAGATCGCGGAACGGAACCGTCAAAACAGAGTGGTCATTCAAAGCCGCACCTGGAAACTATCAGACGTGTTTCGGAGTGACGAAGATATACGCCCTGGTAGGTGGTTGTAAACGATAATGTTGGAGGCTGTCAAGCTGACTTGTCATCAGTAACACCTACAAAATCTCACCGCCGCTTGATCCATAAAAGCATCATATCCGATACCATTATACCTTCGTCCCCACCGGTTGCAATAATGCCACTCATTTCTTCGCCTCCTACACACCCAGCCGGCCCTCCTCTAGTGGAGGCACGGAAACGGAAATCAGAAGTACCGCAACAAATAGATGAACCGAAGCGACAGAAAGTAGTTGGAGGCTTTGTCGATGATGATGATGATGATAACGATCAAATCGAGGCTTTACGGGAGGCTTACGAAGCAGAAAATGTGTGTCGCATGCCAAAGGTCATTGGCGGCTTTGATGATGATGAAGATGCGCTAGCTGAGATGCATGCGAATTATTCTCCTTATTCTGCACCTTTCCGAGAACAACAAGAGAAATTGGAGAAAGCAAAAATATCAAGACGACTAGTTCCAGGGCCGTTTATTGAAGAGGACGATGATTATAATTCCGTTGACGGCTTGGACGGTACCCAGGTGGAGAGCGATTTCACTCTTCTTCAATCAATGTCAAAAGCAGCTACGACAGAGACAATCCCAAGTACGACAGAAAGTTCGAATATAGGTTTTGGCGGAGCGTCTCTCTCTGGCACTACAATTGATATATCGCCAAAACAGGGATTCATTACAATCAAGACTTGTGCGGGAAAGATACATCGAGTAATTTCCCGGCAAGCCACGGCTGGTGTTTCGTACGAGAGACTCATCGCAAGTCGCTCAACCCAGGCTCCAGGAAAAGCTCAACGGAGCTACTATGGAATTGAGATCCACAAACTATTAGATGAGGCGGCTAGACAGAGAAAAGATGATGCGGACCGCGCGGAAGTTGCACGTCAAGTCCAACCGTCTATTGAGCCTGTTGGCGTGGATAAAAGTAAAGAGAAGTCGTCTAATCTAATGTGGACTGAGAAGTACCGTGCACGGAAATTCACGGACCTGATCGGAGATGAGCGAACCCATAGATCGGTGTTACGATGGCTAAAGAGTTGGGATCATATTGTCTTCCCTGGACTTGCCAATCCTAAGAAGTCACAAAAGGGGAATGATGAGGGTGAGCGAGCACACCGAAAGATTCTTATGTTAACCGGGCCCCCAGGGCTTGGCAAGACCACGCTTGCCCATGTTTGCGCGCGACAGGCTGGATACGAGGTTCTTGAAATTAATGCAAGTGATGATCGAAGCAAGGATGTTGTCAAAGGCAGGATCAAAGATTCAGTGGGAACGGAAAACGTTAAAAGCGTCGGCATGGAGACCGATCCACACAAAGCTAGCAAAGCCGCTCGACCTGTTTGCGTTGTGGTCGACGAAGTTGATGGTGTTGTTGGCGGTTCTGGGGCAGGTGGCGAGGGAGGTTTCATCAAAGCCCTAATTGATCTAGTTATGACGGATCAGAAAAATTCATCCCGAGCTAACCAGGGCTCATCAGTAGCAAAGAAAGGGAAGGGTGACAATTTTCGACTCCTTCGACCAATGATCCTCATCTGTAATGATGTATACCATCCTAGTCTGCGGCCTCTCCGTACTGCTAATATTGCCGAGGTCATACATGTTCGACATGTACCTTTGGAAAACGTCATTCAGCGGATGAAAATGATTCTTGGAAGAGAGAAAGTTGCTTTTGACAATGATGGAGTCAGAAGGCTGTGTGAAGCCTCTTGGGGTATAACTGCTAAGAAAGACCGCACTGACATTAATCGCGGCACTGCTGAGGGTGACATACGAAGTGTGCTTGTCTCTGCCGAGTGGGTGGCGCGAAAATTGCGTGCCACAACAGCAGATCCTCGATTGACGAGAGGATGGCTGGAGAAGCACATTCTTGATGACTCTCAGCGAGACGGCTCCTCAAAGGGCCTTGGCAGAGGAGGGATCCGTGACGTTGTTAATCGTGTCTTTGTCGAAGGCGCAGGTTTTCCAGCACCTCCAGTTGGAGCCGACTCATTCATGGATCCTTTCGAAAGGGAGAAAACCAAGACACCGGTGGGAGTTGCAGATTTACGGAGACGCCATGCGATTACAAAATTACGTGAGATGGTTGAGACAACTGGCGACTACGATCGATGTATCACGGACTGCTTCATAGCCTATCCCACTCGAGCTTTTCAGGACGATACATTTCTCTCGAAACCAAATTCTGCGTACGATTGGTTGCACTTCCATGATATGGCCTCTTCGAAGGTATACACAAACCAAGACTGGGAGATGAATCCATATCTTAGCCAATCAGTTGTTGCATTCCACCACCTTTTCGCAAGTTCCAAAGGCTCTTCAGTAAGAAACAATAAGATGGTCGATGACAATGAAAGTGAGGAAGAGCATCCGTTCTCAGGACCGAGAGCAGATTTCGCAGCATTCGAGGCCCTCAAACAGAATAAATCGATCCTCGTTGGATTCCAGTCAACTTTTTCGGCACCTCTACTGAGACTGTTCCGCTCTTTGGATTGTGTAGCCACCGATCTAGTTCCTAGCTTAATGCGCATCCTATCCCCAGATGTGAAGCCTGTTGTCGTACGAGGCAGCGAACAGAAGAGTGTTGCTAGTGTGCGCAAGGAGAGCGAGAAAGTTCTGGTCCGCGCTGCAGTGAGGGTCATGGTTGGACTTCGCGTGACTTATGAAAAAGCTCGAGTGGAGAATGAAGGTGTCCACGGGGGGTGGGTTTACAGATTAGAACCGTAAGCTTGGTTTCCTTTTTATTATTGATTGCGTACACATAGCTAACATTAGACAGACCCATTGACACCCTTATTGGCTTCTCAAAAATCAAAGGCACTATCCTTGATGCTGGTGGTTCGGGTCCTGTGCGATATGCTGTTCGACAAGTGCTAGATCAGGAGTACCGCAAGGAGACGATGCGAAAACAGTCCGAATACTCTCAAGCCAAGTACGGTGGCTCGTCCAGCAAAGGTGGAGACCCAAATGAAGATGATGATAAGGAAAATGGAGCAACGAAAGCGAAGCGGGACAATCCTGGTGCGAAGAGAGATTTCTTCGGCCGAATCATTAATGAATCTCTGTCTACTACATCAGACAAAGATAACCATACCCACAAACGCAAATCCAGTGGACAAAAGCAAGGACAACACAAGGTTTGGGTGACTTTTCATGAAGGGTTCTCGAATGCGGTTCGCAAACCGATTTCCCTGAGTGAATTGCTGGCCGAGTTGTAGATGGAAGCAGCATGTATTGATTTGTATTCAAACAGCGTGAGATGATTAACGAGACTAGTGTTTATATTATATAAATGAGTAAACTGCATAGAACATCAAATTATGTACAGTAACGCTCCAAACACAGCCAGAATACTCGTTAAAAACAGTGCAAACTTAAATCTTCATGTAGCCAGTCGAATTTGTATCCACGACAAACCAACCATCCCAATCTGCTCCAAAACAGCACATCCGAAACAATAGAAAAGCCAAACAACAAAATTCAGTTAGTCAACGAGACCTTCCTTCCAAACCACTCTGATCCCCCCTTCTTACACACCTCTTCCCATATCCACTCTCCCACATCTGTTCGAGTAATGAAATAACCAACCGCGGGTTGATCCTCGGTGCCACTCCTAACCTTGGCCAATCCTTTGCCAGCAGTTAAGCTCCCATCACCTGTCAGAAGCGACGGTTTCGTAATGACGACGCCCTTGAACAGATGTTTATTTTCCGTAGAGCCCACAATCTCCTCCATTCTCCGTTTGTCGGCGTGTGGAACAGCCAGGAAGTAATGATATAGAGTTCTGAAGAAGAAAGGAACGTCTTCTTTCTCATTCTCCGAGGCCAGACCCGTGGTAGATATGACCGTAACGAATGGCTTACTGTTTTTAAGATTGTCGTTCTCAGAATACAGATCCTTCAGAGCTGTGACGAGGGTTGTTGTGGTTTGTTCGGTGACATTTGGATTGTCGATGGTGACGGAGAACCAGGTGCCTTCTTTAATCATTGGTGAACCACCTAGACCAGATACAATGCCGTCAACTAGTCTAGTTCCTCCATTCTGCTGTTGGAACAGAAGTACTCTTTTCACATCTGACACGTCTGTAGCATCTCCTTGAATGATTGTCAATTTTTTGGAAATGACGGCATCGGTGAATCCCTGGCGAATTAGAGAGTCCTTCAGCTTCTGAGGAGTGCGCGCAAGAGCAACGGCCTTGTAATCGAGGTTGGATTTTATCAGATATGCGAGACAGGCGTTTGTGCAACCGCCAGTTGCGCCGAAGAAGGCAATTGTTTTTGTGGGCATCCTATATATCTGATAGGTTTTGGTAATTTAATGTTCAGTTGTTGTTTTTATCTTATTAAGCGGTCGGTTACTGGGCGTATTGGCATTGACTTGACCTCATCAGGACCTTCGTGATTTATATATAAAAGAGTTACATCGATGCTTGTCTGAGGGAGCACAGCCATCCTTGTCGATACGATACATACATAAGATTATGTGAATGGTGAATGAATTTATCCGCCTGTTGAATCAGCGGCTGAATTAGACATCGTTCGTACCCGCTATGGGCTAGCTCCGGACAGATATCTCTCCGCTCGGAGCAATTTTCCTCTCATGCACTGGCTGTGATTGGCTGGAATCGGCATTTATTTCAGACTAGGAATAGCGTGATCGGCCAGATTCCTAAGGTCTTTCCGAGTTTCTCTCTGATTCCTCAGGCTCAACACCATGAATTTGCCAAATGAGGAAAGAATCTGACAATTAGGGCTTGTTGTGGTCACGCATTCGCCTGTCTCTACTATGCCGTTGGAAAATTGATCTATAGATGTGCTTTTGTCAATGGCATCTGATAGTACCATAGTGTATATGTATATTCTGACAGGCTTGCATCTTGGAGGGATCAACATTGAATAGATATGTATATTTAAAGTGGCATCTGGAACTCCAGATGTTAAGAAGCGTCAACCGGTTTTATGGTCACGCCCACCAAATTGAATTACGATGATAAAGTCCAAGATAATCATTTGGAAGTGTCAAACACATGCATTTTTCAGAATTAGAGGCAAATATTACCAAGGTCGCAGTATGCATCAACCAGTTTGAGCTTCCACGTTATCCCCATGACCTAACGGTGGATTTTTGCGAATGGAAAGTTCCATATTAGGACTTCGGCCGCAAAGGATACCACACAAGTATTCGATCATGCTTTGGCTGACAATCTCATCTGAGGTGCCCAGCAATTTTAGAGCCAAGACAGCTTCGATCAGTATATCACCCTGTTTCCGCATGGCATCCTGCTTACTCTCTAGGGCACTGTAGAAGTCAAACACCGTCTTGACGACCATCCACATGAGCCCTTCCGTGTTCAATAAGATAGTATCCTGACGATGACGGCCATGAGCAATATTTGGGTCTAAATGATGATTCAGTTTGTTCACAAAGAGCTCTCCCAGTCCTGCAGCATCAATATGTGATAATGATGACAACCTAGTTTCCCAAAGAACATATACAACGAGAAATAGAGCAAGGAAGTGAGAAGACATCAAAGAATATTTGCTGTATTTCCAGCCTCTTGATGTCAAGTAAGGTGAAAGCGCAGTTGAGGACAGCAAATAACGAGTCGATTCCTCTATAGCAAGGTCGAACGATGGTAATGGTAATGATAATTTTTCTGAATTCAACTTAGACGAAGGCGAGATAGGACCTAATTCCGACTCATCAATGTTGTTTTTCCTTTTGATGATCTCTTGCAGTTTGCCCAAAGCAAAATTTGCTCCTCCTGAACCAGTTAAAGTGATGTCCTCTACGGAAGGCTTGCAGACAAGGTACGGCATGAGATGGCATGAGTGAAGTACCGGATTTTCTGAATTCGTTATAATCTCTCTTAGTCCTTTTCTGCTCTTGATTGCCGCTTCGTAGCCTCGTAGGTGCACTTTAGATGAGTTCGGCGGCGATATCCGAGATTCGGTGATGGTCGCCATAATAATACCGGCGATCAAATCATCTGATATTGCACTATTTCCGTTTTTATTGATGTTTTTCTCGTTCAGATCATTCTTCGGTAGTGCCTGGTTAAGGGTCTTGTACGCAACTGACATTCGTCGGGAGAGAGATCTGGGGAGAATCTGTCCGGTTGTAAAAAATGCCTCGGCTCCAATGATTATCCATTGCAGCGTTGTGGAAGATTTGCACGACAGGGCAAAACTGACATCGCGAACAGGATTGAAGGCGCCATCTGGTCGAACCCCATATACCATACTGGGAACTGTAGTGAGATCTAGCGATCACGTTAGTTCTATTGCCATTTAAATTACCACAGTAATGTCGAAACTTACAAAATTGTAACAATTTACTCTCTTCTTGGGTGAGATCATATGGCAAAGAGCAAAAGGGATCTAATATGGTCATCAATTTCGAAGTCGGATCTGGTTTGTTCAATAGGTGTCGAGCGTGAGAAGAATTAGTGTGTAGGCTTTGATATTTTCCAGTCATTTGACTCTTGGTCTGAGAATCCTGGTTTTGCTTCTTGGTCTTTTCCTTAAGCAGTTTTTTAAATTTCCTGTGCGAATGAGGATCGAATAAGTAAAGATCATCGATCTGAGATTTCTTCTTCTGCAATTCATTCTTATCTAAAGGTATGCGCCAGGTAATCAGTTTAAACCGTTTCCCTTCATCTGGTCTAATCATGGTGAAGAAAGCGATGAAGCACTACAAATTTATCAAGTTCGTATGCGAGGATAGGATATTTTTCCGCCGTCCCTAGACTCGGGCTGTATTTGTAATACCGCTATCTATAATATACGGGGAATCACCAAATTGCCAGCCGGAAAGTTTACCGCCACACCAAAGATGATTACCCTTAGCGGTATGCGTCGGTAAGCCCCTTATATGGGTCTGGGCATTCCTGGCACTACAGAGAGCGGCCGATAAGCCAGAATGAAAGTACAGATGTATTGAAACATATTTCTTTTAATTACATATATCATATCTACGTATTATTTTTACCGCTATCTGGAACTTATAACTTGTCCTCGTTGACATCTATCGACTACGTGTACACCCAAGTTTTGGTATACTCTCATAAACTATTTGCTGTTATCTTTGCTTTTATGTCGCCTTCCCCGCGCAGGACTCGCGCGCCGATCGCATGCCAGCGATGCAAACGACGAAAAACAAAAGTATTATTCCCTGCAATTTTTGAATTGTATAATAATCTTTGCTAATCGTTTTAAAACAGTGTAATGGGGAAATACCCGTATGTTCAGCATGCAAAAAATCAGGGACAAGTACAATCACTCAAAATCTTTAATAATCCTCTAAGGTATCTTGCTAAACAGCTCCATCAGGTTGCATCTGGCCCTCAGCCAGCCGTGTTACTATACCTCAAACAGAAGAACAGTCCCAGATGTTGCAGTACACAGCTCAATTGGAAGGCAAAGTTGCTGAACTTGAGTCACAACTAAAATCGCAGCAGGCTAGGGAGCAGCCTAACCATCTCATCGATGATCTAGCACATAACACCCCGGGCTCAGCTTCTAGTACTCCATTTCATGTAAATTACAATGGGGAACTTTCGACAGATTTGGTTCTGTTGAGTATGAATGCAACCGCAGAGCCCTTTTTCGTGGGCCCCACGTCGGGATTTTCATTATCTAAACTCGTTGAGGGGATACTGTCGGCTGCTGAACCAACAGGGCAAGATCAACTAAACCAACATTTGCAAACAGATAATCAAGGCCATCTGCCGTCGGCAGAGCTCGACACAGTGAGTATCCAGGCAGAAGATACTCTCATCGAGACGTATTTCCACAAAGTCCATTCGCGATACCCCTTTCTAGATCGCTCATCATTTTACGAGAGACTCAATCGCCAGAAGATTACATCCTCCGATGCGCAGAATCACGCATCAGAGCTTTTTATTCTTTATATGGTGTGTGCGGTAGGATCTAGGGTAGTCAAGCTTCATCCTGAAATAGCCGAGTCGGCAAGTCCAGAGGTATGTTCATCACCAAAGTTTGACAGAAACCTTCCTAACTGTACCAGATATACTTTGCAAAGGCTCTGCGATACATTGACGCCGCAACAACGCAGCAAAGCCTACTTAGAATTCAGGCTCTTCTCCTTCTAGCTATATATCTTTTACGAACACCCGGGAGCGTGTCCAATCTTGGAAGCTGGCATATAATTGGCCTCGCAGTGCGATGTGCAGTCGAGATGGGCTTACACCGGAATTTTCGCGGTCAACAAGGGAAAAATCACAGCCTATATTCCATAGAGGTTCGGAGACGAACATTTTGGAGTGCATACATATTGGATAGAGCAGTGTCTTTGACACTCGGGCGCCCTTTTGCGCTGGCGGAGCACGATATTGATGTTGCGGTATGGGCATGGAATTCTATAGACAGCGTGAAAATACTAATTTTACGATCTTAGTTACCTCTGGATATTGATGACACTACTACCGATGAAAACGTTATCAAATTGGCCCAACAAAACGGAGCCACTGGCACCTTTTCAACCCTCTCATCTTTTATTCACATGTGTCGTCTTCGGCGAATCGAAAGCAAAATTCAGCACGAGATCTTTGGTGCAGGCGATGAAATATTCATTCCTGATAGTTCGTACGATGAGAAAATTGATCTCTTACGAAGGATGCTAGATTCATGGAGAGAAGTCATTCCAGTTCAACCGAATTGCGAATTGCAAGGTGGTCGAGGTTACTCAATATACGATACCAAAGAGTTCCTTAACATACAATACAGCAAAGCTCTACGTATGCTACTACAACCTCGTATCACTACAACGAGATACTCACCTAACGACGACAAAACCGCATTCTATTTCAGCCTCAGCGCCCGTGCAGCGGGAGATATTTGCCAATACTACAAAACTCTTCATCAGCGACGACCACTAGGATGGAACTTGCTCGCTTTACATTCAATTTTTATGGCCGGTCTGACGCTCCTCTACTGCATCTGGGCATTGAGGGAAACACCAAATCTCTCCGTTTTGGAAGATATAAGGGCTTGTTCGAATGTTCTGTTTGCGATTTCGGAGAGATGGCCAACAGCAAACCGATTTCGGGATGTGTTTGAAGTGCTCACGAAGAAATTGATGGAAACTGTGATGAATGGCGAAGTGCCAGCTACCAATGACTGTGAAGGGCATGACTTGGAACAAGAGATGGATTTTGCCTCGCCGGGCTTTGAGAGCTTCTGGACGATATTTGATGATCTCGTGGATGATGAATATATTCGAGATCAGTTCAGGTTCGATGAAGGGGAGAACTCAGCGTTTATGGGATTTTCTACAAGCCGCTGACCTTAAATGTTTTCTTGGGTCTACTATTTGTAAACTAGAATGATATTTCTATGTCTATGGTTCTGATCATTAATTTTTAGTCAAGGAAAATTCTTGGAAGACACCCTCGCATGGAACCCCTTTACAAACCCTCACAGACCTTTTTGATAAATTATAGAGCACACAGCACACCGTCGACGTCGGCCCTGAGTACGGGCCCACCTCGTTATTTACCGATGCGCCAATCTTCTTATGTCCTTCTGTCGTGTGTTCACACAGGCTATGCGGATACCCAGCATGATCCTGAAACGCATTAATAATATCAGAATCTGTCAACGCCCCTCGGCAGGCCTTTTGTTTCACCCCAGCCTCCAATCTATCCCCTCGATACCAGGAGCTGCCCCCACCGTATGTATCGAAAACTTCAGACTGTGCGAGGAATTGCGGGGTTTGAAAATGGTTACTATGGATCAAATAAGGAGGTGTGGATGAGGAGGATATAGACACTCTAAAGATTGTCTTAGGAGTCACTTCGAGACACAGGCCTATGTTCTCTGCCGTCGAAACCATGATATTGCTGGAAACATGCCGCGGCGTGCGAGCGATACGCTTTAAACCGTCTGCAAAGTTGGACTGTTCTAGGAAGAGTCGTCGTAAGGCGCTGCACGGAGGTATTTCAGGGTAGGCTGAGGTTAGGCCGGAGTTTTCCGCTACTGGCACTGGGCCCTCGTCCATTGAACTCTGGAGTGAATTGGCTGTGAGGCCAAGTCCGGCGGAGTTGATTCCTGATCGGCATAGCTGACCTGCTTCGGTTACGATGAACATGGAGGGTATATTTTCGCTTGGGTCAGGGTGAACCTCGAGATAGATAACTGAATCCTCTGTATAGAGACGATGGGACATATCCCAGTTCTGAGCAGTGAAGACATGTCCGTTGCAAGTAGCCTCAGAAAGGAATATGGCACTGGTGCACTCTGGTGGTGCGGCTGACGAAAATCCATTTGTAGTTACACCATTGCAACCACTTGCATCGTCTATGGTGCCTTTTGGTTCTGCTGGAGACGTGTGGAAATGCGACAAATCGTACCGAGCGTTGAGCATTACGATATCTTCAAGATCAACGCCAGCACCCGCGGCAACACCGCGCATCTCTTCGAGTCCTGATGGCCAGTATTTTCGCAGACCAGGAATATAGCATTCTCGGATGATTTTCGCAGCCAAATGCCTATAGGTGTAAGTTGAGTTGATATGTACTAAGGACTATTCTGAAACGTACAGCGGCACGAGTTTACCGGGCTGTTTGTAGTAAGCAATGTTCCGTAAAATCTTGTCCTTGACTTGATATCCATGGGAGAGCCCTCGGTCGTAAGGCAGGCCACGAACAATCACATGTTGATAGACATCAGGCGGAGCCAAAGAGTGCATTTTGAGAAATAGACTCGAGTCTGATGATAAAACAATTAATGTGTTAGGAAGATAAGCTGAAAGGCAAATATACGGCTATATCATTTCAATTATAAATGATTAACGAGATATGAGCAAGTAAAACAATCCTATCAACACATGCTCGGCTTTGCCGATAGATGCAGACACGTCGGGAAGCTGCCGATGCAAATGTTAGCCATCGGCTGTTACCGACGCCAACTTCTCTCCTCTTTCCACCAACAACTGTGGGGGACAGGTCTCACAAACGTTAATCTACATATGAAACTTGATATTTTACTTTCGTATCTCCGCGTTTATGCCCAAATTGTCAAGTCCTCGCGAGCAAGTCGGGGCATGACCCAACCGTCCTGCTGAGACGATGAAACTCGTTAGCATTGCCATAATTCTTATCAGACTTGGCAAATTATGTTTTGATAAGAACGATAGTTTGGGCTCGAGATATAAGAACTGGTGAGCTCCATAATCAACCCTAGGAACTACATCACTGCTTACCACTCTCTATAGGCCATTGGTTAGTTAGTGAAAATGGGAGAAGTCGAAGTCCAGCAGGCTGCTATCACAGCCCCAACTCCGGATGTGGAGAAGAGCAAACCAGCTCAGGGATATGATGAAGCTGCAGATATCTTCGACGGCCAACATGGGGATACTGTGCTTGAGTATACCGAGAAAGAGGCTACTATTGTGCGATGGAAGATTGATTTTATTATTGTGCCAATGGTGGGTATATGGGCGAAATTTGTATCTTTGTTGACAATAGCTGATTGGTTTAGATGTGTATCAGCTATGTTTTGTCTTTTATTGATAAGGCTATATTATCCACTGCAGCAGTATATGGGCTGCAGACCGATCTGGTATGGTGTCGCTCTCCTGGAGAAACCCTTTAATTCGCAAGCTAACTCCATTCAGCATCTCCATGGCCAGCAATACAGTTGGGCGTCGTCTATATTTTACTTTGGGTAAGTGGAGGCCACTGGTATATCACATGTCTCTGACACACTGCAGGTTCCTTGTCTGGCAGTATCCCAATTCCATTTTCATGCAAAAACTCCCCATAGGTCGATGGGTCGGATCCATGATTTTCCTCTGGGGTCTCTGTCTTGCTGCATCTGCTGGGTCCACGAATTTCGCTACCCTGGCCGTGAGTCGTTTCTTCTTGGGCGTATTCGAGGCTACAAACAATCCTGCCTTTACTCTGCTAGTAAGTCAATACTTTACTCGACGCGAACATGCACTTCGCTCTGCAATCTGGTGGGCTGGTGGTCCGATTGGGGCTTTTATTGGCGACGGGGTCTCGTTTGGAATCGGGCATCTGCATGGAAGTCTGGGACAGTGGCAGGTATTCAATATCTTGTTGAATTCTGAAGTATCAGCCGGTTATTGATTTTACATTTAGTATTTATTCCTCATATTCGGACCTATCACCATGGCCTGGGGATTGCTCCTTTTTTTCTCCATGCCCAATTCACCGATGACAGCATGGTTCTTGACGCCGCGGGAAAGAAAAATCGCAGTTGTACGGGTGAGTATCCTACTTCGGGATACTGTAGGTAGCTGTCTGATAAGATGCTTAGGTCCTGCAAAATCACACTGGCTTGCAAAACCGACAGTACAAGTTGTACCAGGTCAAAGAATGCTTTCGAGATCCTCAGGCGTGGATGTTGTTTGCGATTGTATTTCTTCAATGTATCCCTGGTGGGGGACTAACAGCGGTAAATTGAGCACAAGAAGTTCTCGATAAGTTTGCTGATAATATTCTAGTTCAACAAGATAATTCTCACCGGATTGGGATATTCTAGCGTTCAATCGACACTAATGGCAATGCCGGAGCATGCGATTCAACTTGTATCTGTCTTACTAGCGTATGTTCTCTTACAAATCATATGAATTAGACTGATGATTTAGGGGTGGTTTATGTTCCTATTTTGGCCAAGGACGGTGCATCGCGATGATATTGAGTAATGTCTGCGTGTTGATCGGCAGCGTACTTCTCTACAGTGAGCTCTTCCTTCCTATTTCATTTACGACGAACTAACAAAACAGCACTACCTACCTCGATGAAACTGTCTCGCCTCGGGGCTGTCTACTCCCTGCTCACCTGCACGGTATCCGAGATTATGTGCATGTCGATGATATCGTCCAATATCGCGGGATTCACCAAGAAGGTTACTGTGAGCGTGAGTTTCTCCAATATACAAGTGTAAATGATGTGTACTGTCATTAATCGATATAGGCAATGGTGTTCATCGGCTACTGTATCGGGCAAATAATCACTCCCCAGTTTTTCATTTCGTCGGAATATCCGACGTATCCAACGGGATTCCGAGCGTATTTTGTAACTTCGTCGATGATGGTGGTTTTGCAGATCGCATTAATGTATGATGTCTGTCTGTCCATGACAACTGATAAACTGACCAGCACCTAGGCTATATTTGATGAAGGAGAACAAGCGGCGCGATAAAATAGCGGAGGCAGTTGTGCTAGAGGAAAACCATGGTCATCGCGTACTGGAGACGGACTTGATGGATTTGACAGATTGGGAGCAGCCGAATTTCAGATATTCGTGGTGATCATCACCAATTACTAATTACCCAATAAAGCCATGGTTTGAACAAGGCCATCTATATCATCATATGGATTCACAAAGATTTATTAATAATCCATCATTGATTATTGTATTACTTATGAGTCACTCCATATTAGCAATGGACAGTCCTAGAAGTTGTTTTAAATTTGTTTACCCTATAATATTAAATTTGCTCAAATTTCGATTTCCATTATTAAGACGAATGATGTCATTGTCTCAATATTATATCATCGTCTCCATAGCCTTGTTACTAGTATTCCGTGAATTACTCCGAAAACCAACAGAGAAAAATTTTTTAAGCCTCATGGCCAGAAGAGGCGCAGCCAGCACATGCATGCTTAGCGGAGGCGGTGCCTGGCACAACGTCAGTGGCCAGGCCCAGTCCATGCTCGGAGTTGCCTCAGAAATGGCTAGTATTCCGATGAACTCCGAGCCTGCTTTTTCCTTTTTTTTTTTCCCAAGCTGCGGCCTCAGCACATGCAGGGTACATGTGCATCGAGTGGCTAGTGGCTAGTGGCCAGACGGATAATTATGGGTATAGCCAAGTTTAAAGTAACGAAAATTTGCATTTCCCTTATATAATAATTACTGCATTGCAAGTTGCCTGACAATTTGGCGTAGCCACTCCGAGGATATGCGCTGTTTGTGTTTCAAGTCAATTTTGCGAGTATAGCATTTAGCGTAGGATTCAGAAGCGAAGAGTCTTTTTTTTATGATTCTTAGTTTCGTTCGTTCGTTGTATTGTTGGATTGATATTTCTGTAGTGGTGATAAGTAAGGTTTGTTAAGCTAGCTCGTAGAGCGCGATAGTTATTTACCTACATGCGCAACCAATGAGTAGTTGAAACTGTACTTCCAAGTCTATATATTATACAATAGAATATTTAATAAGAAGCAGCATCAGTGTTCAGCAGAGAATCATCACTACTCGGATAGCATACATGCGTAGACTGGATATATCAGCTGCTGTTCGGGCATGCTCGGCCATCCACGCAATATACTATAAAAAAAATCCTTGTATTATTATTCACCGCCATGTTATTCATCATCGATCAACCGACCGTATATTCTTGGCCATGTATACGCGGGTAGTCGTAATATAGGGCTGATCGGAATAAAACAGGGTACTCCGAGCAGGCATTCCGGCCAATCACCAGCCCGGATGTCGGCATCCCGAGACCCTTTCTTCGGGGCCCACCGCTCTAAGAGTAGATTCTAGAGCCGAGTGTGTCATCGATACTACTCGGAGTGGATTGTATACGGAGTTTGTGGAGGCTCGGTTTACAGTCGAGACTGGGCCTGCCTGGCTGGAGGAGGTATATAAGGGCCATCAGTCCTCGTCCAAATCACTATCATCATCATCACATCAACAACATCAACAACAACAATTCAATCAAACATTCAATTCACCTCACTCAAGAAACCTCACCAAAGGCTATATTCTTCCACTTCATCAAAACTCCTCCCTCCATCATCAAAATGTTCGGCCAAATGGTTACTCCTAGCATCACCCGCCGCGCCTTCGACGGGTCCGATCTGCAGCTACAACACCAGCTCGCCAACGAGAAGAGCTCTCGCAACAGCAGCACCTGCACATCATCCGCAGCCTCGGTCGTGTCCAACAGCGAAAAGTCGTCGCAGAAGGATGCACTGAAGAAGAAGCGCGCCAACCAAGTCGCCGATCTCAAGGAGCGCAATGCGTTCTTCAGGGCTGCTGGCGCTGTGTTCTCGCTCAAGGGATAAATCTACCTTGTCGAATCAATTGATATAATTATCATACTCTATTTTATCGCCGTTTACATACACACTGGGCTGGTTGGGACTATGTTCTCTGACTAGCCGGACTGGATCATACACATCACGATGCACGACTAATCAAACGATACAAAACGATACCATTTGATATTCTATTCAAAATCCTCATTCTGAAATTGTGCGGGAGTTTGGCTGCGATTATTATCGATATAAAATAATGGGAGGTCAGGACGTCATGCTTATTTTGCTGCTCTAGAATTAGATAATACATAAACTGCATTACACCGCTTCACTACTTCATCACTACTAATAGAGGCTATAATCTAGTAGAATATTCGTGAAAATCATTTATTGAATTATCTCAAACCAAAGCCAAACCGTCCATCCCTAACCCCATAACCAACCAATCTGAATCAAAAATAAAACCAACAAAAGAAAGAGTATTCAAGTGATCTAGATGAAGCAGATCAACCACCGAAACCGTACAGGGTGCGGCCCTGGCGCTTCAAGGCATAGACGACATCGAGCGAAGTGACGGTCTTGCGCTTGGCGTGTTCGGTGTAGGTGACGGCGTCACGGATGACGGATTCGAGGAAGGTCTTGAGGACGCCACGGGTTTCTTCGTAGATCACTAGTTCGGGTGTCAGTATTGTGCTTCATGAATGGGCAAGGTAGACGAGGTAGACGCACTGGCTGAGATACGCTTGACACCACCACGACGCGCTAGACGGCGGATGGCGGGCTTGGTGATACCCTGGATGTTGTCGCGCAAGATCTTACGGTGACGCTTAGCACCACCCTTGCCGAGGCCTTTGCCACCTTTGCCACCTATAGTGTGTTAGTATAAGTATGTATAAGTATGTAAGAGCATGGGGCTAGGGCAAGGCGTCGACGCGCGACGCGCTTACGTAATGAATCACGAATGGACAGCAGAGACAAGACAACAAGATAACAAGACAACAAAACAGGTAATAACAGGAGATGGTGCGATAGGTGGCATGAAATAAATAGAACCAGAGCCAAGTAGTAATAGGAATACTCACGTCCAGTCATGTTGTCGATGAAATCCGATGAAAAATGGCGAGAAAGTGATGAAAAGTGGTCGGTGGGATAGTGGGCGATAGGAGTGGAAAAGAGAGAGAAAAGAAGGCAGAAATAACGGGGGCGCCCGTTTAAATAGGGATGGAGAGCGCGAGCGTGATTTGGCTGCGTCGTGACTAAGCGGGGGCAGCGAGGGGAAAGAATGAAGCGCTGATTGGCGGGAAGGCGCGCGCAAAATGGCCGTTATGAAGTGCTGCTTTCCAGCGTGTGTTTCTGGCATGTTGAGCTGCCGCGAATTGGCTGGCTGGCGACCGCCCGCAGCCCCGGGTGCGGGAGCATCACGTGACCGGCTTGGCGTCCTGAGGACCTATCTACGGATACAATTCGTTATTGATAATTTACAATATTTATTTACTATGAATTGACGACATGGTGATGTTTTACTCGTTCATATTGGCATAATATAACGGATAACAATGCATAATCTTGTCTCATGACTCGTAGCCACTCATGCACAACAAAGGAAGAAAACAGATAACGCCGCGACATCAACCACCAAATGCACTTTTGTCCAACGCCGTCCATGATCCCGCCAGACTAACAGGTGCTGATAATAACAATCAAGAAGTAGAGCATTAAACAATATAGATATGGATAGGAGTATGAGTATGAGTATGAGTATGAGTATGTTCAGAATAGAGTCGAAATAACACGGCTGCGATATCACCCCGCAATAGCCGGTGAATGCGATTCCGCGCGGAATCCGTTCGAAAATGGCGGCTGATATAGCGTAAACATCATCGGCGAGCCGTTGTACGGGCTCATCGATGGCGATCCAGATCCAGATCCAGACCCAGAGATAGACCCCGACTCAGAATCCGAGATGGAAATCCCAGAGTCGACCCGAGGCAGTTCAGACGGAGACACCGACGCCATATCAAAAGTCAACGTACCGGAAGCCGGGGTTGTTCCCATGCTTTTCGTAGTGCCAAACTGTGGTCAGTCAGTCGATATGAAGAAAAGGCGTCAGGACACGGCACTCCTTACAAAGCAATACTTGTCCACGAGTTCCTTGTATGATGAAGATTCGTGGTGGGGCTTAGTCGACGCGATGGCCGCCACAATGGCTGGTGGCTGAGGAGAAGGTGACGACCGTCCCGACCCGGAAGATTTCGCTTTCGCGGTCAGGGACGTGCGATCCTCTGCAGCTCCGTCGTTGCGAACGGCCGAAAGGGATGCCCCAAAGTCATAGCGGTTACCCCAGGCCTGGCGAGCCGGCTTTTCTCTAGGCTTGGGAGGTTCCAGGTCATGAGAGTCAATTGCAGTGAGCTGGAAATCCGAGTCAGGTTTTCTGTCTCGTGAGAATGGAGAATAACCAGGTGATGAGAAGGAGGGAGATTTGAATACCCCAAATGATGGAGGCATCGAGAGCGGCCGCGACGCCGTCGGCCCGGCATTTCTACTCCGTGGTAGAGGCTGCGTGAGCGCATTTCTGCCGGTCCTTTCCGCCGTCTGGACATTTTCCACTTTGGAAAAGTCGACCTGGTAGTTCATTGAGGCATTGTTATCCCAATAATCCTGGCCTGCCACTGTGTAGCGAATGCAGAGGAACAGAGTTTTACTCTCCAAATTCGTAATGTCAGCGAGTTTGATACTAAAACTAAACCGATCGTATCCGTCGTTGACGTCTCTGCGGCGGACATCATGGTTGAAGTCGGCAGTAACTTCCGACACGGTAGTCCAATAGTCAAAGGTGAAGCGAGCAATCACCTGCTTGTGAAAAGCTAGGTTGGCGACGACAACAGCGCCGACTAAGTTCTGCTGGTCTGGTGACAAGTAAAGACGGTCCAGACGGACAATCTGGTGTTTTCGGGACGGGTTGTCGGAGGGGAAGTTGGGGAGTTTGATTTCCCAATCGACGGATTTGTTACCAAAGGGAAATTCGGGTTCGTTGGTATATGTCTCCACAGGAGAAGTGTTGGCACTCACAGCCAACGGCTTATCTAACTGCAAAAAGTGTCTGATGTGTTCCAGCTGTGCATCAAAATGAACATTCTTTGAGAAGGTTGGGGTGCCGGGCATGCTCGATGGCCGTCGCTTGGTGCGCAGAGCTGGGCGAACCACCTCGCCAGACTTTTTACGAACCATTGGCGGCTTTGCATCTAGATCATCGCGGTCGCTGTCGATGGGCGAAGAGGAGAGAGAGTCGGCGAGGAATTGGATGTCGGTTTCGGTGGAGGAGCGGGAGTGCGAGATGGATCTGGCCTGGTGGGTAAGAGGCAAGACCTTTGTTCGACTGTGAATGGCGACGTTTGGATTCACAGGGGGGCCCTGGATGTCAACTCGTTCCGACTGCAGCGACCTAATGGCAGCATCAAGTTTCTCGACGGGTAGCGGACGGACGGTGGTGGGCGAGGTCTCGTCGTCACTCGAGTTGGCAGCCGACTCGGGAGGTGAGATGACGGCTCCTGAGGGTATTATGGCATTGTTGCGTGGAGGAGGGGACTGGCGGAGGTTGCTATCTCGCAATTCGCATTAGTCTGGATTATTTCATACTGTGATGCACCGACTCCACTCAGAAGTCGTTCGAGGAGAGGGGACATACGGAAAGGACTGCTCAGGCTCGGCGGCCAACTTGCTGAAGGAGGGGCTTCTTCGATGCCGGCGAATGTATGTGTGGGCAGAGGATGATGATGAGCGCAGGTGATGAGGGCGCTCCGGGAACATGGCCGGGTTGCCGTTGCAAGAGAGCGCTGCAACGGGGGAGAGGGCGAGGGCGAGGGAGAGCTGAGGCGAGGTATATGGCATGGACTGAGGCAATCCGTCCGTCAGTATCGTATCCATCAAAGACTCTTCCTGAGCAGCGACGTCGAGGATGGCCACTCTCTCGCTGCCAATCTGAGTCTCGATCTCAATCTCTATCTCTATCTCAGCCAAGTGGTCGCCGCCACTGTGTCAGCGAGCACAACACTGCACAGCAGAGCAGAGAGAGATATCGGAGCGGCGGCAGGCGGCGCACGGGAGTAATAAGTGAGACTAACAGTGGAAGGGCCTGCTTAGCGCGGGCGGGCTTGCAGGTGGGGCGCTGCAACTAGCCACCAGCCCACTGCTCTTGGCGTGCCGGTGGATGCGGTGGGCTCCATCGTCAAATAATATACTACTTGCTGAATGTGTATATGTGTACGGGCTTGCGTGTGGCATATATATTGTGTATTTTGTGGGTTTGTGTACCGTTCGATGTTGTGTGGTGTATGGTGTGCAAGTGCCGGTCGCGGTGGTGGCACAAGTTCATGGATAGCCTTGCATGTCTTGCATCCCCAACAATCCCCAACAAAGCATTGGCTTTTGCCACTATCGGCAGGCTATCTTACGTCCATTAATTAACATTCCTCTGACGAGCTCCTCAATTGTGGGATGGGCTCGGATACGGGGGTAGTTCTTCTCCGCTCGTGTGGGAGAATCCTAGACCGGTCGGTGCTTATGGTCGCTGGGAAAATGTCGCCCGTAGAGTAGCATTCTTATATTCCTTCTACTCGATCCGTGGCAGGATCTACCGTGATAGACTAATTAATAGTCGAAGCCAGACCGAGCAGAATGTTGGAATAGTCGCATAGCACAGGTAGCAGTGCTCTCTTCGTAGAAACCTGATTGCAGTAGCGTCATATTTCCAAGGCACAGCAAAGCGGCTGTTGCGGCTGGATGACGTCACGACATTTACAGTATTGATTACCGTAGTTCTACTGTACAATAGCATATACAACAGGAGAGAGTGTTTTACTGCATTGTATGTATGTATGTTGTATGCTGTATGTAAATGTGTGCCGATATATAATTGTATGTGTATATCATTATATTATGCGTAGACTTTCGTAGAGCTGGTGGCAACATTTGAAGTATACGAAAATTCAGACCGGCCCAGACCGCGCTAGGAAATGTCGCTTCGAGGGCTGCGCCAACCAGCTGCAACCGACGGATGCGACCGTGCTGGCTGTTTCGCATTCTTTATATCCTAATTTTTATTAAATAAAACATACATATTGAATATTATCAAATCGATATTGAACTGCAGTTGAACCGAGTCCGCATCTACAGGGATGGCCCATATACTGGCATGCTCGTGGCGGCTAGCCCGATCCGGTTATCCGTGCAACCACTAGATGACTGTATTGAGGCGCCCATCAGTAATCAGATAGCAGAGATACCGTAGTACACCATGTCAATATAGGAGCATATGCATTCTTCAGTTTGACATTGATACATACATCAATTAGAATACATCTATCAATTAGTATACATCTAATATCATATTATTTGCTAATAATTATTAATAGCACGATATGTTGAATGTTGAAATGCCAACCATAAGGCTTGCCCCACCAGGAGAATTTTCTGCTAAGTTTTCTCTTTCGCCCCTTTCTTCGACGCCTCGACGCCTCTCGGCTAGGCTGAAACCCGTTTCTGTGCCCACGCCCATATTATCAGTCGAGGCTGCATTGCACAACACGGCTGATTGGATACGCCCGAGCGCAAAGTTGGAGCGTCAGTGCGATCGGTGATCTGTATTCAGTTGTACTGCTTCAGGTCTGAGCAGAGTCGAGCTCGAGTGTGGTCTAGAGCCGATTAACCCCCGGTGAGCCATCTCTTCTTTCTTCTCTTTCCGTTTCCTTTATTTTTAACTTTCAGTTTCCGGTTTGCTGGTCATCGCCGTGGGTCGGCCCACCTGTTCTGCTGCCGTTACCGTGCTTGATCCTTGGATATGGAGAGTGAAGAACGACGTCTGGGGCCTGGGGCCCCCGCGGAGATTTCTATGCTGGCCTTGAGAGTGTATTACCTATCCAACATGTAAAACAGTGGATTTTCGAGTGGAAGTGCAAGCGGACCATGGACAGGTTCCCACAGAGTTATGCTGCACATGCTTATCCACGCGCTGTGATTTGCAGCCCAAGGTAATGCCAGGAGCGGTTCTAGACTGGTCAGTGCTCGGTCTGGCCACTCCATGGATCTACTATACTACACTACCCTGAATAGTGTTTATGCTTTATACACCCCAACACGGCTGCTACCATATCTGCTTGTCATTGATCATGGCCCTTTGATATTCACAGCATCGTAGATGAATTGAGTAAAAATAATCGCAAACAAAAATCCCCAACGACGACACCGATAAGAAAAAGCCCGCCGCCCGACGTGCTTATCAGGTGGGGCGGCCGTTAGCGCCACCAAAACAAGGCATCCCACCCTCCTTCGCTCTCCTCCTCTTCTCCTCTCTCCGTGAGCTGACCACCGATGGTTGTTACAGTATAGCACTAGCGCGCTCGTTCCCTGTTTTCCTGCAGGACCAAGATGAGCCTGGTTTTAGCCTGCGACTTGACGATCGCTTGTCGAGCTATCAATCATCCAACAAGCCCTACTATGGCACCATCCAATCGCGCCATCGTGTGTTTAGCATCGACAGTCAGGTGACCGCCGCTTGCATCGACATCTATTCTCCGACATGCTGATGAGAGAAGCGGTCAGCACCAGATAATTGAGTTTATTTTAACTTTGTCCATCTGCTGCATTCGATTGTTCAACATTCACTCTATGCATGCTATGCTCGACATGCAATCCCTGTCATGCAGTGCACGACGCTGCCTGCAATGCCCGTGCTCTGTATGCACTGACACAACCTCCAGCTCAGACATGTCTGAGCCCGCGGGGTGTGTCTCTCGCTTGGCCGTGCTCTGCATGAAACTGATATCTACAACTTCTGGTGCAAGCGGGGTAGCTGCTGCTGGAGTGTGTGCTTACGAAGCTGCCCCTTGACATGTTTATTAAGAGTCTGGTCACGGCCAAGCTTAACTTCTGAGATCGCGGAGATCAACCAATCTGTGCAAACCTCACCGCTGCTTGTCCGGAGTCGTATCCGCCAATCGATCGCGATGCGATTTGCCATCGGGGACCGTAGCTTTGCCACAACGGGCACTGCCTTATGAGACGGGTGTTGATTACACAATCGCCGAAAGTGTAAAGCGGAAATCGTACATAATCATACAATCGGCCTCGTAATCATGCAATCCATCGGACATGGGTAGAAGCAATAGCGCTCGACATAGGCTCGAGCTCCTTCATTGTCACGCGCTCAATATCGGGATTGTTTGATGCTGTGTAACCGACCTTGTCTCGCTACGTGTCGATGTTAATTAACTATATTACTTATGAATTATTAATTAAGTACTAAAAATACATTATCACTAGCTGAGATAGATCGATGTTATGTGTTATGTAAGCGTCCTTAATGTTAGGCATACATCATTTTTTATCACGACAAACGATGTCTTAGTGAATCCATTGCTATCGTATAGCATATGTCAATATTATTCTAGTTATCATTGAATCAATTCACATGTACTGTAGGTCATTTAGTGCGTCACCTGTACTTACTTTATGTGCTATCTAATCCATTGACCTGACTAATCTATCAATTGATCAATTTATAACCCCTACTCATCCCGACTCCTCCCTGTCCATCTCCAGATGGCTTCAATAGCAGGGTGATCCAAGATACACAAAATGGAAGGTATTCAAGGTTTGTAATTAATATGTACATGTCCTGACACTTACAAGTCTACATATGTATATACAACGAAAAATTCTCAGGTCCTAACTTAGTTCACCTGATCCGCAAACGACAGGGTAGGAACAGACTGGTTCCAGATCATGTACTTGCTGATATAGAATGGAATACCGGCGTTACCACGGCCCGTCACAACATTCATCCACGTACCACAGTCGCCAGTCGACGCATCACCGTTCTTCAGGTTCGCGCCTGGGATGGTCACCGTGTTGGGCCCGCTGTTGGCAGAGTTGAAAATAAAGTCAAGGTCTGGCAGCGTCGAGCCGCAGGGGTACTGCCATGAGCCAGACGAGTTGGAGGAACCCTCGATCAGGCCAAAGTACGCCGAGGCGATGTCCGCAGAGACAGAGAGAGACGAAGTGCCAGAATCAAAGTCGAGATCGATGGCGGCGGCAGAGAACACCTGGCCACCAGACCCAAACTGCGCACCCTGGTACACCCACTGGCCCTCGTTGCCGGAGCTGGTGTTGGCAATGGGGATGGTGGTCAGGTTGCCAGTGTAGGCAGCGCTGTCGGCGTATCCGAAATCGATGAAGCCGGAGTTATTGGTCTTGAAGGCTGTGCTGAAGACGGGCTCAGGGACGTAAGGTTCGAGGCATTCCATGAAGGTGCACTGCGGCGTGGGGCGGATGGAGTTCTCGACGCCGAAGCCCAAACCGACAGGGCCGTCAGTGTCACGGCTGCCGGAGCCACCGCCGCCGTATCTCAGGTCAGAACACACGCCAAATGGCATGTTGGGCACAGTGGCACCGCCGATATTCACCGTGTCCATGGCTGCGGGGCCAGACGCGCCAGAACCGTCGGCGTATCCCAGGCTGAAGTTGAATCCGGTCATCTCTTGGTAAGTCGAGCTTCTGCTGGGGTCGTAGATGGATCCCGAGGTGACGGTAGACTGCTGATCGGAGGGCATGAGGGTACTTGCGGTCCATCTGGTATTGTTAGTTTTGACTTGTTCTTTTCTATTCTATTCCAAGACACGTACAGATCAGAAGAACCAGTGTCCAGGTTCAGTATCACTTGCTGCCCACCAATGAGGACAGGAATGATCCAACCACCGCCATCGAAGTTGTCGTAAACAGCGCCGGTATCATTGTTAACGGACGCGCGAGAAGGAATGAAGCGATGGGCCGGGCTGCGAATGCCTCGCTTTTGAAGTGTTGGAGCCGCGAGCGACTCGCTGACGAGCAGCAGGGAAATGGCAGTAGAAAGAATGCCGGCCATGATGAATATAATCCTAATGAATGAAAATGGCTGGTCTGAGTAGAAAAAATCCAACCCGTGACAGCAGGAGTAATAATATATATACAACAGTAATTTTATTATTATGCCCAACATGAATAGGTAAAACGCCGACGTCGCGCCCCAAATGGGAATATGCTGACCCTTTCCCCATCACAGCGCAGATCCCACCTCGCATGGTCGTAGTATGGTAGTATTCCATCTGCAGCCCTAAGTTAGTACATAGTTGAGCATGGCTGTGGAGTTTCAGCTTGGACTCCGCGTTTCTATTTCTATTTCTATTTATATTAGCCGGATCTGATGTTGACTAGTAAATGATTAGTTAGCGTAACTACGTTGATATTTCGATACCTCCTATTAGATTTAATGAAGAGGCTGACTGTTTATACGAAGCCGGCGGAGCGGTTGCTTAGACTATGCCAGCGTGAGGAAAAAGTAAGGCCCCCAACAAGCCTCACTGTAGACAACAATTCTCTTCGACCCTTTTCACGATCTTCATCACGGTGGAGACAGGATGCAGGTACACAGCCTGCTTATTGGTGGCGTCCGATGCAGCGTTACAATTTTAGAACACTAAGTCAACACCAGCCTCTAGCGATGGATTTAATACTGCTGCTAGAGAGAGAATAAGCTTTTGGAATATTCCATCTGTATTCTCTTGCTTGTTCCTATATTTGTTTCAAAGTAGAGTCTGTCTTTATATTATTTAATAGAGGTTTTAGTATCATGCTGCAATATTCTATGACTCGAAGAACTAACGTGCCATCAGTTTCAGCTCCAAATTCAGCATTAATTGGAGTATTAACGGTTGCAATGACTACCTCCCCGCGCATAAGCGTCCGCCCCAAAATAGCCCTATCCATTCCCGACTTCCGCCTCTACTCCAGCTTTCCAACAATCTCGACTTGATCAAACATCTTATTTGAAAAATAACTCTACCGAGGTCTGTGCAGCTGTACCATCCTCTTAACTCCCCTCTAAACAGAAACTGCTCTGTATTTCCGAAAACTCCGCTGTTTGCCGTCTTCTGCGGTTTAGTATCGTGGGGGCCGCTCCACTACTCGGGGCCGTACATTACCATCGCAAAACTAACAACGACGATTCGAATTCTGGAGACAAAGATGAACTACTTTCGAAAAGAGACCTGAGGCGTACTATGTTCAGGCTTTAATTCAGGCCGATATAATTGTAACCATTTGCGCATATCCATAAACTGAAATAATCTCCAAAGAGTGGTGCGATGAATACCTTTATCGACCTCTTTCATAAGCGCCTCGTATTTTGGGCAGATCAACGAGCTGATCTCGTTCCTCTTCAGTGATCTTGTGTGGTGCGCCTGAGCGAGGCCTTTATTTATTATCACGACTTTTTCCGAGTCGAACGGTGCCTTGAATCGTGTCCATGGGGGTCTCTGGGTGCAACTGGTGAACTTTTCCATAAGAGGGGCCATATGCTTTCAATTCGCATATTCGAGAGCGCATTTGAGGTGTTAATTCGTGTCTTGAAGTACGCGAATTGGGGGCATTTTGGGATACGAATAGCTTCATGTTGAAGCAAAATAATGAGTTCATAAAGCGGCATATGTAAATAGCGCGTGATTTCGGCCTAGTGCCATATGGGAATCGATTACAATTAGCTGCTGCTGATCGCTTATTGACTCCAAATTATTCATTCTTCGCGATCAGCTTTAATTTTATATCCATCCAAGTGCATTTGAGCAAATTTCTAATCAGATGTATTATTCAGAATTTATGCAGAACTGTTCATTTCGATGCTACGTGAATCACACTGCCACTGAGTGTGAAGAAGTTGACTAGGGTACTGATATATGCCTCAGGCTTACATCTAGGCCCCGTGGGTAGGAAAGCCCTAATCCGATCTGTCAAGTCAAAGGTCGTAGATTCGACGGAGGGACATTTGTCGTTGCTTTTTCTTGCTGATGCATGCGATCTTAGAGTGAATATCAATGCTTACCTCTGCAATTTTCAGCCGGTCTGAATTGATGATATACTTTAGTCCTATATCTAAGTGATACACACAAGTAGTAGCGACACTAGTCAAGTCATTAACACATCAGTTATTAAAATTGTTATCGTTTTCTTTTGAAAAGCTGATACAAATTACTTCGCTGTATGAAATTAGACCTTGCCGATCGCATCTCGCAGGTCATCTCAACATTGACCCGTTCTACATATATATACATGCTGGAATTCTTAATGTCATTCTGGTTTAATTTCAGTCTGTTTTCCATGTAATAACTTTCGTCTGCAAAAACTCATCCAGTGCACGAATACCACCAAATCGACCATACCCGCTGCTTTTAACACCTCCGTGTGGTAGCACAGTTTCATCGTGAATAGTAGGCGAATTGATGTGGACAGCACTAGATAAAAGCGCTCGTCAGCATAAAAATTCAGAAGGATTTGAGTAGATGGCCTTTTCTCACCCAGATTGGATCTGACTAGCAACTTTGAACCCTCTCGTGAGGCTGCTAGTGTAAACTGCAGCAGTGAGGCCGTATTCGGTATTATTCGCAAGTTCAATTGCCTCATCTTCCGAATCCACAACAAATAAAGAGGCTAGTGGCCCGAATGCTTCTATGTGATACAGATCTGAGTCTTGGGAGACGTTTTCAAGGATGATAGGCTGCATCTGAGAGATTGTTTGATCCTTAGTATCAGGAGGTGCGAACAGCTTTTCAGCGCCTTTATGCAGAGCATCAGAGACGAGGCTTTGAATCCTTTTACGCGAAGCGGCTGATACTAAATTGGGTACAGGTGAAGAGGCACCAAGCATTCCCTGAGCTTTCTCGATCAAAATGGTACGGAAGGATTCGGCAACTCTTCGCTGGACGATGATGCGCTCCGTTGACATGCAAATTTGCCCGGCCTGTAACTGTCAATCACGGTCACTGAACGGTAATGTCTTAGCCACTTACGCCCCTAAATGCGCCAATTAGACATCCTGAGGCAGCTTCTTGCAAGTCTGCATCATCAAGTATGATGCAAGGTGCCTTCCCACCAAGTTCCAGCAACACTGGTTTCCCAAAATTGCCAGCGACAGACGCAATCGCATGACCAACCTGAGTGCTACCAGTAAAACTTAGTTTTCTTACAGCTGGATTAGCAATCAATGTATTTGTGACTTCGACTGCGTCCGATGGCCGGTGAAATATCACATTCACGCAACCTTTAGGCAGACCAGCCCTGCTAAAGATCTGACCAAGTGCCCAAAAGCATTTTGGCGACAACTCCGATCCCTTGAGAATGACAGTATTACCTGCAGCAAGTGGCAGAGCAACCGCACGCATACCCAGCATGAACGGTGAGTTCCTAACAAATTAACCCAGAATTAGCGTGCCGTCCTTTATTGAATAGGACAACAATGTTACCAAGGAGCAATCCCCAAGACGACACCATACGGCTCTTTCAAGACTACTGCAGCCTGACCCTCCTGCGCAACGGACGGCATGGTCCCTTCGACAAGGGGAATCATAGCAGCAACATCTCGCAGTAGATCTGACGCACGCTTGACCGCACGGTAAGCGTTGTCTAACGCAGCTCCCATTTCTTCCTGCTGGTAACGAGCCAGTTCATCCTGGACCGAATCCATGAAATCTGCTGCTTTCCAGAGAAATTGCCGCCGAACATTAGGCTTCAGCTTCGACCATTGTAGAAAGGCAGCTTGTGCAGCTTGTACAGCCGCATTGGCTTCCACAGTTGAAGCACTACTGCTTTGATGACAACATTGGTTGTTCAACGGACTTACAACGTCGAATTTCACCTCGGTGACTATGTTTTCGTTGTCTATCAGCAGTGGAATGACCGGAACATGACTTAGAACATTGCTCCCATTCTCCATGTCGAGCCGTATAGTATATTATTCACCTAATTTGCAAGGCGTACACAAGGTTACTACAAAACAAAGTCCCTTCGATATAGAGAGAAATCGATGGATTGAACTGTTACGATCTCCCGAGTTTCCGGGGCCTCTCCAGGCACCGGATACTGGGTAAATGTCTGCTTATTGTCAGAGAGTAGCAATAACCGCCGTTTGCTTAACGTGCGGTGGCACAGACCAGAAAGTTCTTCAGGTGATTAAGCAGGACATGACCCCAAACGTACTCCATTAGTAACAAGGCTCCGGAACGCGTTCCGGAACCCCGTCATGTGACGCCGAATGCTCCGAATGGCTTCCCGCAACAACATCCCGAACCCTGCAACTCCTTGGACGACGATTCGTATTCATCTCCTCGGGATCCGATCCGTGCAGAGACACAAAATTGTATCCCATCGTATCAACCTTCATGTCAGCACCCGAAACACGTCGGCCACGAGGCAGTGTGAATCGGGAACCCTCTCCGGGCGAACCCCGTACACCTGCAGCTGTTAGTGTACGCCTGGAGCATGGAGAACCGGCAACAAAGCGTCGAAAGACAAGGCTGGCCTGTGACGAATGCCGCAACAAGAAAATTAAGTGCGATGGAGTTCGACCGCGTAAGCACATAATGGATGGAGAATAACGCGAATGGCAACAAAGAAGAAGGGCAGTTAAGCTGATTTGTATAATGTAGTATGTGGCGCCTGTACGAAAAAGGGTTGGTCCGAGCAGAAGTGTGTATACAATAATGCCGATCGGAGAGATTGGGCAGGCATGAGACAGTAGGCTACGAGACCTAGAACAGTGATGAAATGAACGGCGTGGGCTAATGCGACTTGACGCAGACTCGTTGGGCAGCTACAAGGGAGAATCAGGTCTCTCGAGCATGAAATTGCAGAGCCCATGCCAGGCTCAGAATCTCAAGTCCTTGTGTCCAGACCCCCACAACAGCAGCATCCTGTCTTGACAGGAAGCGATTACTCTCGATTACTCTACGATGTAGGCATCGCCTTTTTCAACTGCAGCGTATGAGGCGTATTGCACTGACTGCTTTCCCCAAGGACGAAACCTTGCCTATGCAAACGTCTGTGGCCCCGAACCGCCAAGATCCAACTCAATTACTATATCACCCCAAGGAATCTCAAATCTCTGCGTCTCAAGACGTTTCTCTGACATCGTCTAGGATAGCAGACTGCCCGGATAATTCTACTGTTCCTGAGCGAGATGACTCTATCTCCATCCATGACAGGTCCAGAGGTGTAAGTGCCATTGTAGGAGCTGTGACAGGTGAAGAACAGAATCACAGCTTCCATGGAACCTCCTCCGCCGTGACTTTTATGCAGGAGATTCGTCAGGCGATCAACGCACGGGTTGGAGTCTCCCCAGCGAGTGGGCATGATGGGTACCAGAATAATCAAACATTTAACTATGTCAGTCACCAGCAACGCTCATCGGCCGGCTTTGTGAGGAAGCGTCTAGCTTCTGACTACGTTTTGCCGCCCCGGAAACTGGCGGACGAACTCTTTCAGACCTATTGGGTATACGTATATCCCCTCTACCCATTTTTGGACAAGAAAAGCTTCATGCAGAGCTATAACAGCATCTGGACGGGGGATTGGCCGAGTACGTCAACTTCTTCATCTTCCACTCCCGTATTAGGTGTTGATGAACCTACGGCAATTTGCACTTTCAATATGGTTCTTGCGTTAGCTTGTCAATATTCGCATGCAGTAGAGGAAGAAAGTCGTCGCGACACAGCGAAAACTTTCTTCTTTCGTGCCAAGGATTGTTTGCAGTTCGACCCTGTAGATTCATCAAACCACTCAATTCATTTAGTGCAGGCATTGCTTCTGTTTGGACAATATTTGCAAAGTATCGGAAGCCCTCATGAAGCGTGGGGGGCGATAGGAGTGGCTACGCGAATTTGCCACGAGCTGGGGTTTCATCTGAAAAATGAAAGTACTATTCAGACTGTGAGGGAGAGGGAGACTGTCAGACGAGTGTACCACGGTTGCGTAATGATGGACAGGTACGTTTCCAGACCAGCAAGCGAACACTTACGATGATCCTAACCGACTTCAGGATGCTGTCTATGAACCTCGGCCGTCCGCCCATGGTGTCAGTTTCCATGGCAGACTCATTGCCATTGCCGTTGGACTTTGACGAGGATTGGGAGGATGGTAGGGATAATAGAACAGCCGAGACTTCGGAACGAGCTTCTAAGGGCCCATCAACGTTATCGTTCTTTACACACTCTGCTAAACTCTACAGCATTATGCATAAAATACTGTTGTCCATCTATCCCGATGAGAAAGTTGAGTTGTTGGATGATTCTGAGCGATACTTCATAGGGCTTGAGCCCACCTTTCAAATCGATCACGACTTGACGAAATGGTGTAGGTCAATACCAGACCACTTGAAGATAAATCCGGCTCTTGACTCTCAACCAATTGAAGAGCAACGTTCCACGTTTTGCAGACTGAGTTTTATTCTTTGGGCGAGGTTAGTATTATTTTATTTCACCCGTCTTCTAGTTGATATCTTACTGCCCCAACGACCCCATATAGCTATACAAGATATTTATGACACTAAACACTACCATAGATTTCTTCATGTTCGTCTCTACCTCTTACGACCTATATTCGCTAGGTTCTGCATATACTCCCAGATTGCACATAACCATAATAATCATATCGCGGGGACCACGGATCATTATGCTGTATCACAAATACCTAGTTACGATATGATTAGTTACCGAATGGCACTGCAATGCTCCATTCTATGCGTCAAGACCGCCAGAGAACTTATTGCTGTCATATGTAAACAATTCACAGCAGAACGTTCATGGGGCCGAAAACCATCATGGCTATTAAGCGTTTTACGTAGGTACACTTCTCATAGAACAAACCCCTCCCCCTTCTTAATTCATTGAGAAGACGTCATAACTCTTTGGGTCTTCTTTATTTGAAATGCTTTCCGGATGCTAACCTCATTGAAATTAAGATGTCTACCTCGCAGCTGCAGTGCTCATAGCAATCCGCCTGCGGCCCGATATTCCCTGGGAGGTCACTGAACCTGAGATCGAGGCTTCATGGACGTCCGCATTAGAAATCCTTCGCGACTATCGAAGCGATAGCCGATCTGCCCAGCGTTGCGTTGCGGCGCTCGAGATCCTCCACGAAAAGCTGTCAAGTAATTCACAGCTCGGCCAGGCTCAACAGGAGCAGAGGCATTGGCAGGGTGACCTGGCTGAATTTGAGACACAATTTCGACTTGATCAGGGGTATCAAACCCTAGATGGAGCGACTGGAGCGTGGAATTGGGACTATAAGCAGACTTGGTTAGAGGATTTTATTTTTCTTGACCCGTTGAACATATGAATGTACTGTAGACATATGAAACCTTTTGACAAGGCCATTGTTCTTCCAGCCGACCAGCAAAAAATATAATTTACGCCGTGGTGCCAGATACCAGGATCCGATTGGAATACATATGTATTCCAAATGCCCATGGAATATGTTAGTTGTATGGATACAAAATTATAAGTTATTATTTAATAGATACCGGCAGGGCCTGTGGGATTCAAGAGATGAAGGTTTTCGTGCGTGAGGGCGAGAGTGACGACTCCTCATACCCAGTGTAAAAAATAGCCACATGTGTTAGACCTTGGCAATAAAATTTGTCAGAGCTGAAATTTATCAGAATTGAGAAGATTGAATAAGCATTGAATGACTATTCTCAAATTGGTACCTAGTCGCCCTGACCCGATTCAAGAGGAAGTTGAAACCGGCGCGTCTTGAAGCGCGCGTCCTCACCCATATCCTCCGTCTGCCCCCCGCTCTGTCCGAAGTATATGGAGTAAAAGATTCCACAGAGATGGTGAGAACATGGCCTTAGACATCTGCTATTATAGCCTACTCACACAGGGGCGGTCGAATCTTTCTTGTTGCCAATATCCACCATCACAGGTGCGATATCTTCCATCTTGACTTCTACTCCCGTCGTCCTTTGTCCTTCAAACACAACATCGATCTATTCCATAGTCATCCCTGTGGTCTCTGGGAAGTAGAAGTACATGACGATGCATTCGATAATACACCAGAAAAAAGTGATAAGATAGAAACCCTAGGTGATGCTCATTGCAAAGGGTATAATATAAACGTTAAAGAAAGCTGATAGGTAGACAATACAACTATAAGCCGCTAGTCCATGCGCACGAAGCGAGTAAGGGAGCACCTCAACAGGGTACAGCGCCGAGAGCGGTGTCCACACGAATGAGTAGGCTCCAAAGAAGAAGAATATCAGGAAGACTGAGGCGTCGGATGCCGATGTATTGTCTGAGCCGGAATATAATTTGGTGAGAATAGTATATATGATTAGAATTAGAGCCATGACACCTGTGGCAATTACTAGGTTTCATTAGCTGGGTTCAATATCAGGGTCAAGTTGCGGATAATAAAGATTTTCTTACAGAAAGAAGGATGGCGACCAAGCCTGTAGCAGAAGACGCTTCCAAGGACAGCCACGATCAAGCTGAAGCCATTTATTCCTATGTTTATACCAAGTTGCGTTTGTACTTCTGTAATGCCGGCAGTAGTGAGAGTATCTCCTAAATAATACGTGATAATATTATTCCCACTAAGTTGACCAAAAACTTTTGAAATTGTCAGCCCGCTTTCCAATGCGTTATTATAGAATAGGCTCACTAGCAGTGGCTGCCACAACACCAAATCGCCATCGATTGGGTCTCGTAGCCAGGAGAGCTTTAAATTCGATTTTCCGTGTTTCCTTCTCGTACGCAATGGCTTGACAGATTTCTTCGTACTCGAGGGCAACAATAGGAGCATCCACATCACCGCCTCCGTGATACTTAACGATCATCGCCCTAGCTTCTTCATGGCGATCTTGGTATATCAGCCACCGAGGAGATTCTGGCATAAAGGCCAAGGGTACAATGCTTAGAACAGACGGCGTCAGTTGAAGCTTGTTACTGTCAGTAAATTTGTATTGAAGGAATCAACTTCATGACCTCACCAAAGATGGCAATCTCCAGGCCCAAGTCGAATCAATATATTGGCTGCCGAACGTGATTGCTGCAGCCATAATACTTCCGACATAATAAGCAGAGCCCCACAACCCAACCAGCATCTCGCGATTGGCAGGATGAGCTATCTCAGCAAGATATCTTGATAAGTTGCATTAGCAATAGCAAGCATTCTTGTATACTCCACAGACCTACGCTGGTGCTGCAACGGATCCAACCGTTATTGAGATTCCTATAAGTAGCCTTCCGATGCAGAACATCGCTTCATGTACCGCAGCAGCTTGAAGCACGCTTCCAGCAATTGCAATTAGTGAACTTATCACGAGTCCCCATCTGCGGCCCCATCTGTTCGATAGCTCGCCTGCGAAAGAAGTTGCGATTACAGCTCCGACAAAAACTATGGCCACATTCAGAGAAGTTGTTGCGGTCGTGAGCTGGAAATAATCGCCGTATGAGGGCAATATTTGAAGCCCATTCTACAGGAATACACTTTATTTCTTCTGCATTCAGATAACAAGGACAAATTCAGCAAGCGACATACCATCATCGATGAGTCGTAACCTAACGTTGTACTATTCATGATAGCAACGAAGCCACACATGAGGAGGAGATAGTTCTCCTTCAAGTTGGCGTAGGACATTTTGGAAAGCAGGCCGTGGTGGTGCAGAATATAAGTTCAGAATTTGTCAGCTGCTGCCGATGACCGTATATTTTTTCTATGTCAATGCAAAAATGCGGACATTGAAGGTGCTTTTATCTATATTCTCTAGCAGCAAATGTGGAGCAAATTCGACTCCGTTTTATCTTCAGGAGACGCCCGGTCAAGCGTGATAAAAGGTAGAATACTTTTAGGGACCGATAACGACAAGACGAACTCCTTAGTGGTTTACTTAATAAGTTGTGTGCCAGACGTTATTAGGTTAGGATTAGTTAATTCGGTCGTGGTTCGCTGTTGACTGCCCGATCGTACAGATATCCGAAAAGGCATGACAGGGTTCTTGAGATTCAAGATAAGCTCCACTTGAGAGATTATAAGAGCTGAGTAAAAGAACCGCTAAGCATTGGCACCCAAAACAGACCACAGCTCCATTACATTCACCAATCCTGACTATGGCAATGGCTCGATCGACAATCCTGCCTAATGCTTGAAATGAACATTGAGTAGTTTGATTGGACGCCTCAAAACTACTTGGCTTCGACCTGCGAACAAACAGGTGTCTCTGATTATATATGCAATCACATAAGATCTGTTATGGATTCAACAATTGTTAGGCAAATGCTACTAAGCTAAGATTACTGAAACTATCGATACTTTTCCTGTTCATTGAACTAAGGCATCCATGTCTCGGGATCATTGATCATGACCTGTCTAATTACCATTTTGTCATCGCCGGCATTCCTTCCTACTCCAATGTTATACACCCCCTTCTCCAGACTCCATTTTCCAAGTTCGACATTCCAATAAGCTAGCTCTCTACTTGTGAATGACATTTGAAGTCTTTGTGATGTTCCAGGCTGCAACTCTGCAGTCTTCTCGAATGCTCGAAGCTCACTTTTCATGTATATCTTAACATGCAGCTCAGACAAGAAACAGCATGTGAGCATGAAACAAGGATATTTGATCCAAACTCCTAGCCTGTAGAGAGAAATTTTCGAAAAGAAACACGAATGATTCATTATCAACCAATATATCGCTCTGGGTAAAAGTTACCTTAAAGGCAGATACAATGAGAAGTAAAAGGTCCTTGTGAGTGTCGTATTAATTAATTATCGAGATATCTAGCACATTTACTATGAAAATTATCCAATTTTTACATGGCGTGCACTTTAGAGCCGCTTGTCCACTTTCTAAAAGTCTTCCCCCAAAACCAAAATATAAGACCACAGAGACACCAGAGCGTTATCAAAGCCATGTTGGTCATAATTGGCGTAATGTATCCACTCTTTAGGGTCCATTCAGTGAGATATTTTGAGAATCCGTACCCCCAGAGGTTCTTGTTAATCGTGATGGCCACGAATAGAGGACCTGTAACTGGCTTGTACGAGTCTACAGCATAGGTAGATGCAATTGACGGGAGAGCAGCGAGCTGGATGCCAGCACAGGTATAGCCAATGATAACGGTAATCTAAATGCCATGAGATTTCCTCTAGAAGATAAGAGAAGTAGAAGAAGAGATCTTGACATACCTTCCAGTTCCAAGAGTGTTCATATGCAAGAGCGACAATGACATTCCCAATAATCATAATAATAATGTAGGGAATCATAGCTGGCAATCTCATCTCTGGCTCTCTAATACCGTTATTTCTCTTTGTTAACCACTTTGCGATAAGATCACTTAAAGGGCCGGCTGTGAATAGGCCGATCAAAACGCCCACGAAAATTGCAAAATTGAAGAACCCTATCGTAGAAGAGCTAAATTTATAGGGTGGTGCAGTAAATACTTGCGATTGAGTGAGATTAAGTGTAAGTGATGCAGAGCAAGACCATGCTACAACCAAGGCAGCAAATTGAACGATGGGAAAGAAGTACACTTTCCACGGGAGCCATAGCTCCAGCAAAAAGTTACCTTCATATGGTTGGAATAACTTCCACTGGCTCTTTGACGGCTTTCCCTTGGTTAGCCATTGATGGCTATGTGCGGGAGTTATACCTTGGGCTCGAGATTGGCCTTCTTTTTCTGGATCTGAATTCCCCACAAGTGATCTGTTCTTGGTTTCCACCTGTTCGAAGTTGGAGTTCTTCTCGTCAGATATAGAATCGTCAGACGTAGGTTGGTTGGTTGTGTTCTCAAGCACAGGCCCCTGTCTGAATTTTGTCTCGGGAAGTAGAAAGATGAAACAAACCACTGCGAAGCCCTGAAGAGCAGCATTCAGCCACCAGAAGCTCGGTAATCCAGCGTACTCTGCCATGTGACCTGAGAGAATAGGACCCAACTATAGTATATCTCTAGTTAGAAGGTGGCAAATATCCTCTTTATAGGTTATATGAACTGACCTGTAAGGCACCAAAATAAACTGCAAAATACAGCGTTTCGTACTTTCCTCGATCGTGGAGGAAGACGACATCTGCGATGATTGTTGGCGGGGTACTCTCGCAAGGGCCTGCGCCAATCCCATTCAGCCTGTTAGATAAGTGGTTAAGCATTCGAGTCCCCCAAAATTATAAGGGAAAATAGCCACGTACACACAAGCACCTAGGAAACTTCCGTACGATGTGGCCTTTGCTTTCCAGATGCTACTAGCCAAACAAATTAAAGTCGAAATCACCATCACAGGCCGTCTCCCAAAGCAGGACTGGATTGGCACCCTTTTTATATCTCAGTAATAATTTATATCCAGAGCATCTGACACCGCATACCAGATAAAATTGCTAAATCCTAGCACTAAGATAGTAATTCCGGTGAGTTGCACGACATCCGCCAGGCTTGAGTGAAATTCCTTCATGTAATATGGAAACATAGGAGCCTGATAATTCGTCAGTAATCAAACCACAGAGTCTTTTAACCTTTGGGCGGTGCTTACCAAGGCAATCGGGCCTATGCCTTGCACAAGAGAGCATAGCAGCGCACAATATATAGTAGAAAACTTCCAAGCCCGGGTCCAATTCTGAGAGGGATATAAGATTAGAATGTTACGGGACCATCTGGGCCTTCATCAATTTATAGGATTTCCTTACAAGAGGGTCATTTTCAGCGTCGCTCGGCTGAGGCACCAGCACCGAGTGTTCGCCGCTGGATGATTTGACAAAATGGTGGTTTCCCACATCTGTCATAATCTCCGTCCCAGGGAAAATTTCCGTCTGCAGCTCCTGCTCCAACTCCCGCCGAGTGTTTTCCTAGTGTAGCCAGTCAGCACAAGAGCATCAAAAAAGCGCCAAGGGGCATAAGGTCGCGACTTACATCGAGATTCTGCTCCATAGCTGAATACTTCGTTTGTCTTGACGCTTCCCATCTTCTGGCAACAGAACTGGTCGACTTAAAATAAACCCCTTCCAAGCCCAATTGCCACCAACAGACTTTGTCTTCGGAATCTGTTTCCGAGAAGAAGCTATTGAAATGCCCACCTCCGCAATTGCTCTATCAGCTCTGACTATGGGGTAAGGGGTGGGGTTGTGGGGGACTCGAGGCTGATGCGATAAGGTTGAACGGCAAGATGTGTCGGGTTCACATCCCGAATATCGGAATGGTTTCCGGGAAATCCAGAACCTAGGACGAATTTATGTGGCTGCGTTCTCTTGAGGACTTCTGCCCTCATTTGCTGTAGACGAAAGTAAAAGCGGAATTTCTATCTCCACACGCTCTTCTTTGTCTTCTCTCCTATCGAACGAAGGCGGTTTGGCAGCTTTACACTCGACCATGCATATATTCGACAAGGTCGAATTCAGTAGCGTCAAGCCATTTGATATCATCATTGTTGGTGGAGGCGCTGCTGGTATTGGGGCAGCAATTGGAGCGAGACAGGCCGCACCTGATGCCAGAATTCTCCTTGTTGAGTCGGAGAGCTGTCTCGGCGGCGCGGCCACTCACCGTGGAGTGTGTGCATATTGCGGCCTGTTCACTGTGGACGAGAATCCGAGACAGGCAGTTGGCAGTATTTGGCTAGAGCTGAAAGAGAGGCTGCGTGCCGTCAATGGGACAACCGAATCACCTGTGCGAATTCGGGGTGTTTTTCAAGTACGTATAAACGATAGTCCCTCTCTTTACATATCGATTTCCTTTGGCAGAATGATAATTGTCTTTCTTTTAAAATAGGTTGTAGAGCCTGAGCCATTAAAGCTTGTCCTCGATGATCTCATGAACGACTATAATATTGACGTGCTTCTGCACACCACTGTTGTGGGCGCCACTCGATCAGCATCGAATATGATCACCAGCGTCGACTTACAAGAACGAAGGGGTCGATTACATGTTTCAGCTAAAGCATTTGTTGACTGCTCTGGCGATTGTGACTTGGCCTACCTTGCGGGTGCTTCAACGAGATTTGGAAATCATGGTACACTGAATCTGGGTTCCCTGTCTGCCCGCTTCGGTGGTATAGATCCGAATACGAGGCCATCTGTAGCTACCTGGAGAGATGCAATCATTTCTGCTAAGAAAAAGAGGCCTGAACTATGCGATATTATCCCCAAAAACGGGTCAGCACTACTCCATATGCCAATTTCGGGAGACGTGATTACATTTCTGCCTTCTGCCTCTTACGACCCAAGGAGCTCAGCGAGCATTACAGCGGCGGAGAGATCGGGAAGGAGACAGGCCCAGGAATACCTACAAATTCTACGTGCTTTGCCAGGACATGAGGGGATGTATCTGGTCTCTACAGGGCCCAATTTTGGTACCCGGGAGAGTCGGCATATGAACTCGATGCACCAGCTTATGGCAGAAGACATAATGGATGATCGCCGCTTTTCCGATGTCATTGCGCTTGGTGCATGGGGATTTGAGTTTCACGATGTAGAGCACGAGAGCTGGGAAAGCACATTTACGTACCCTCCGAAAGGGAGATTTGACATTCCACTTGGATCACTCAGAAGTATCGACACGCCAAATCTGTTTGCCGCTGGAAGGTGTATAGATGCAGACCAAAAAGCAAGCAGCGCAGTGCGAGTGATGGGAACCGCCCTCGCCACAGGACAGGCTGCGGGGGTTGCGGCTGGATTTGAGGCAAGGAGGGAATCTAGTGGTGGATGGGATGTATCGCAGGTACAGGATTGCTTGCGAGCTCATGGAGCTCTCCTAGACTCGGATTTGCTGCCAGACGTGGGTCCCATTGAGCAGATCTATTAAGACTATAACTGATCAAGGGCATCTGGAGTGTTGCTCTTGATATTTTCGAGTACTATTTCGAGGCCCTAGCAATAGTTCTACTCAGTTTTCTTTCTGGAAGCATAAGCTCTCTCTTAACAATAGACTTAGCGCCTTGGTTAATACAACAATGTAGAACTCAGGTCTGGTTATAACCAAATGTTTAGTGGTAGCCTTCTTCTCAACATGAAATATTTAGCTATACAGACTCCCATGATAGTATTGGCTTTACAACGAGACCTGCCTTAAGATCTTCAACGGCTGTGTTGAGATCGATAACTGAATACGTCCGTGAAAGTTTATCAATTGGAAATAAACCCTGACGATATAACTTCACCAACTCTGGAATGAGCTGATATATTGTTAGCACTATGGTTTTTGCCTGTAGGGTTTTTAGAACCCACCGTGACAGGATTTGATGCTCCTTCAACAACACCGATCAGTCGTTTACAGGAGCGTAACATGTCGAGGGGGTCAACTGTGATAGTTTCGCCAGGACGGGGTGCTCCAACGATTGCAAAGCTTCCTCCGTGACCGAGAGCACGGACACCATCCTCGATCAGAAAGCTAAGCCCAGTAGTGTCAATAATTTGGTTAACCCCATCCCTGACTAGCTCTCGTAGGGCCTTCCCGAGGCTTTCGACTTTTCCGGAGTTGATAGTATCGGTAGCTCCAAGAGAAATTGACAGGCTCAATTTCGTATCCAGGATGTCAACTGCGATCAGTCGCTCAACTCCTATGGCTTTGGCAGCCATCAAAGCGCTCAAGCCTACTGCTCCCATACCGAAGATAGCCAAAGCACTCTCCTTCTGAGGTTTCAAAACTCTCATCACGGTCCCCGCACCCGTAAGATAACCACAGCCCATCGGTGCCATGATTGCCAATTCCTCGTTGGACAGCTCACATTTGACGATTGATGTTTCAGAAACAACAGCAAGTTTGCTGAACGACGATTGCCCAAAAAACTTGCTCCTAACACCAGTGCCGCTACTCAAACTTGCCGGATTGCTCCCATCTTTGAGTCGAGTGCCGGTAAAGTTGATCTTATGTATGCGAGCACACAAACCATTCAGACCTTGAGCACAATATGAACAGTTCATGCAGGAGCTGAAACTCAAGAGAACCCGATCACCCACCATCAATGACTGATCTTTCAAACAGCTTCCAAGCCTTCGGACAACGCCAGCTCCTTCATGACCAAGGATCGCCGGAAAATCTCCCAGGGGCACCCGCCCTTGTTGGACCACAAGATCCTAATTACACCTTGTCAAACCCGACGTATACAAGGACTCTAGGTATGAATTACGCACCGTATGACATAAACCTGAATATTTGATTTCAACTAGTACTTCGTCATCTCGCACTTCGTCTAAGATGATATCCTGTAGAACGAAAGGGCCATGGGGTTTCTCCACCACTAATGCTCGAGTCGGGATGTTTTTTTCTGGCAGTATTACCTTCATTTGTGCCCGCGTATGTTAAAATAGCTATGTTGAATATAGCTAATCATAACGAGAGAGCCATCTGGAAATTTTTTTGATTTCTGCAACTCCTGGTGCAATCAAGAATGAGAGTTTAATTCTGCATTGGGTAGGGTTAAGGTTAATGCGACTTGGATTGAGGAACCCGGAACATCATCCCGGCACACTATTCAGGAGACATCACCGAGAATCTACGCAACAATTTCGCCACACAACAGTCAAGACTAGCATCATCCAAAATGTGTGGAATGCGGGGGCGTAGCATCCCAATCGTTATTCATTGTTCTTTATCAACATAAATTCTAAAGATTACTGATTTTAGACATGCTGTTATGTTTTGCTGTAAACCAGGCGAAAGATAGTTGTTCTACGGACGCGTAACTGCCGTTTCTTCGCTCTCCAATCGGATTCCTAACACTCCGTAGGATGCCAATGCTTGGGAGACCGGGTAAAGATCCCGAATATGATCCTCTCCGCATGAGGTTAATAACGTTGGGGTAACACATAGTCATTTACCTTGGTAAAGGCCGATACTTATCACACTAGTTTTTACTATTTAATCTCTATTAACATTAAAAGCAGACATTCAGTCTTTATTATCTATCTAATTCATCTTATCGATCTATTTGTATAATACTTACTATATGCTAGATATATATGTTAAAAAATTTATAAGTTTTCTAATTTAACTTCCTCTAATGCTATCAATAATCGAGGAAGGATCATCAGATCCATCTCCTTGCCAACTTATGTATTGATCAGGGCGAATGATTGTTATAGAGGCAGGATACTTGGTCCTTGCGATACGAGCTGGTAGTTTGAGCCACGTTATAGGAAGTCCAACTCGATCAGCAGCATCCAAGAAACATTTAACCTGAACTTCTGACGCTTGCACATCCAACAAAGTGAACCCCTTTCCGAAGTGATCAAGCAATGGCGATCCATCATCGAGCCATAGATGTGGTGCACGATGCCCAGGGCAAGCATAATGCCAGTACTCAACTGCACTATAAGGAGGATCTTCCCAGCAATCTTTAATAGTTAATGGAGAATCATCATAGCGTTGTCCTAGAGTGATTCCCAAACTGTTCCACTGCTGGAATGTGGCCTGATAGGCAGTTTCACCTCTGCGAAAACGTTGCTCTTGGCTAGAATCTGCTCCAAGTGGGGGTAATTCAGAGAACAGATTAGCAGCCTTTTGCATCAAGTAGCTGTTCTCCATAGCAGAGTTACAAACCCGATCCCCGACCGGTCTTCGTTCGGAATCATAAGTCGATAATAGCTTTTCTCCTCCCCAACCATTCAAAACTGCCGCAAGTTTCCATCCAAGATTAACGACATCCCCAATACCAATATTCATATTATGCCCTCCTGTGGGAGGGCAGAGGTGAGCCGCATCCCCCGCTATAAATAAACGACCTGTGGAGTATGATTCTGCAATACGAGTGAAGACACGGAACGAGGAGGAACTGATTACTTCCAGAGGCACGTTCGCTCCTAAAATATTTTGTCCCACTTGCTGGACTTTCTCATTCGGTGGAGATGGATCATTGTCCTTGGACATAATAGAAAAGCCCCAGTTCTCCTCGTCTGGGATACTAATAATGGTACAGACTTTGGGGTTCAGCACCATGAGGAAAGCTAGGGCATCATGAGCGGGAGAGCTGATCATATCGCGAATCTTGTATCCTTTACTTCGGACAACATAGCTATCAGCTCGGGCTATAGGACCGACACCCTTCTGAGAGATACCAGCAGCTTTTCGGACCTGGCTACCTGGGCCATCACAGCCAATCAGATAATCCGAGTACACGCGATGAATGATACCTGTTGGAGATTGTAGCTCCGCCACCACAGTTTCGTTCTCTAGCTTTATGGATATTGCTTCCCAGCCCCGTCGGATTTGAGCACCGAGTTCAATCGCTCGTTTCTGAAGAACTCGCATCAGGATTGGTTGAGGAACACTCAATGATGGCTCCGCAGCATATTCTTGAGACTCTTCGATATGCCGACCATACCGAAGAGGATAGGCTCCCAGTGGCTGTTCATTAATTGTTTGCGTAATTATTACTTTCTGGTTGGGATTGCGCGTCTGCCAGGCAAGGCGATGTAGTTCACTACTGACCCCCCACCGGTGGTAGTGCTCCAAGGTACGAAGATCATTTCCACGGCCTTTGGGGTGACCATCAACAATCTCTAACTCGCGTTCAACAACGAGAACATCGATACCATGTAATCGTAGTTCGATGGCGAGAGAGAGACCGACGGGGCCCGCGCCAACTACTATCACCGGAAGGGAGTCCGGAATTGTTGATGGAATATCTAATGCTCCCATAGTGCTAAAAAGAAAATTGAAATTGCATACGTAGCAATGTTAGGTATACAATATGAAAATGTGATCATTATCTTTTGAGGTTGAAGAGAGCGGCAATGAACGAACATACGCGAATGTGACCTGGAATGGCGTGCTCTTTTAGTCCTGAACTCAAAAAGAAGACACCATTTAACGTATATATCACCCCATCAAAGGCTTTTCAACTTTCTTACAACCTACATTTTGTCAAATTTTTGCGAGGATAATCCGCATACGGTTATCTATAAAATTAGGCATAATTTACTCACTATATCATGCGGCTGATTTGTATGATTAGGTGTTGAACCTAGTAAAATATTAACTTTAATGATGGTTAAATATAGTCCTAAAAGTTTGCGACACATGCTATCTTATCCTAGCACAATAATAAGTCAGTTCAAGTAACCCTAACCCGAAAACTAGTCCTGGTATGCGGGATAATCAACGTCCGACTGACCGGTCACTCTTCTTCTGAAGATTTCAAAATAGGGATAAAAGCCGTCTAATATCAAGTTGATTATACGATGATCTCTCCATCTTGATATAACTGAGATTATAGCCCAATGGCTAGTCTCGTGGATATACAGTTTTCTATTATTTTTATCTACTATCAATTAATATTTCCAATATTCAGCCCTCTTTAGCTGCAGATAAGTATTTGAAGTATCTGAATAGAGTTCGTTTTCTATTTCCCTGGTGGCATGAACAAAGTATACATGTATCGGGAGCCAATTGATATTGAGAGAAACTATCTAATATCGATACCTGTATTTAATAGAAAATGGAAACAGACTGCAAGCGAAGTTTAAAGCTATCTGGATCCCGATATATTTCCCCCAACAGGGCCGTGAAAAATGAAGATTGTCTTGAGTTTAGATCTTGCATGATTGCCTGTTGTGGGTTTGCACCGTTCATAAGGAGAAGGCCGGTGGCCCATTTATCACAATTAGCAGCTGCAATAAAAAGAGGCGTCCATCCACCATTGTGCTCTGCATCCACGTAGGCTCCGTTCTTAAGAAGGGCTTCGATAACTGGCAAACTACCCTCCCGAGCCGCAAAATGTAACGGGGTGTTCCCTAATGAATCCTTTAAATTGGCATCAGCACCTCTTTCAAGTAATATTCTAGGGATTTTCCGACTGATAAGACCTGAGTCAACGGCATAATGCAAGGGAGTTCGTTTATCATTCGCCCGTGCGTCCACATAAGCGCCGCTCTGTAGAAGAAACTGAAGGCTTGCCACACGACCAAATTTAGCAGAGCAATGGAGAGGAGTCACACCAGCATGGTTTTTCAAATTAGGATCAGCTCTTTGATCAAGTAAAATCTTCACAATATTGTCATACCCTAACGAAGCTGCATTATACAAAGCCGTTTGGCCGTAAAAATTCTTCAAGTCTACGTCACAAAATCTGCCGTCAAGTAGGACTTGGACAACTTGCTCGTGACCCCTATCACTGGCAATATGTAACGGAGTAGCCCCGATTCTAGTTTCTGTTAAATTAACATCAGCTCCTTTATTAACTAAAATTTTGGCGATATTATCATGTCCCTGGTATGCAGCAATATGTAGAGCTGTTTTTTTATTGCTCTCGGCTACGTCGACACAAAGCCCATCTTCAAGTAAGATTTTGACAATTGCCGCCCTATTTTGAACAACGGCAAGATGGAGGGGGGTTGCTCCAAAAATGCCGTCTTTCAATTTAGCATCAGCCCCTCTGTCAAACAAAAGTCTAGCGACTCTCTTATATCCCTTCTGCACAGCATGGTGTAAAGCTGTTCGGCCTAGAACATCCTTTGCGTCTCGGTGAGCCGCCCTATTGAGTAGTAGTCGAACTACGTCTTCATGACCTTCTATGGCTGCATAGTGTAAGGCTGTCTTGAGATCTTCATTCTTTCTATTCACATAGATTCCTTTATCGAGGAAAAGTTTTGCTGCCTCCACATTGCCGAACCTTGCAGCCTCGTGTAGCGCGGTGTTATGGTGTTTGTCTCTTGCCTTTAGGTGGGCGCCTCTATCAAGTAAGTCTTGCAGAATTTCATGGAGTCCCGATTGGCTAGCAATATGTAAGACTGATGACTTAAATTTGTCTTTCACAGTCGCATTAGCTCCTCTTCTAAGGAGGAGCTGGGCCATCTTCAGTTCACCTGATTGAAGTGCAAGTAGTAAAGCTGTGCGCCCCCAACCATCCCTTGATTCAATACAAGCTCCTTTATCAAGAAGCATATGGGCTATCCTCGTGTGGCTAGTTCTCACTACCGTATGTAACGCAGTTTGTTGACGGTTAGTTCCCTCTAAGTTAATGTCCCTTTTCATCAACGCTTTCACAATCTCCACATGACCTTCCATGATCGGATCAAATATTAAGGATTGGTGCAATCGATTCCCAGGATTCACATCAACACTGAATTTGAGAAAGTAATTGACTAATGGAAGATGACCATGGCTGGCTGCAATATGGAGGGGGGTTCTCAGTAGCTGATCCCTCGTATTCAAGTTACCATTTTCTAGAAGTGAATATGAAGCCGTATTAAGCACTCCATGCTTCGCGGCATATAGAAATGCGGAGCTTCCTCTATACCGTACATTAAACCGGTAGAGCTCCTTATCCAGTACACACCAAAGTCGTCGACTGGTTTGAACCAGAGAGTTGATATCCGACTGTCTATACAGGAATTTCACAACTTCAAGTAGTATCTCGTCCGGGAGGGAAAGTAGGGACATTTTGGAAAAGAGTAGTTCACATAAGAAATCTTATGGTGGCAATTCCTTTGTCAAGTAGCAAAGTAATTCAAACTTAAGGTGTACTTATCGTATAGATTAATACCTTTCGTTAGGTATTGCTATAGAACATGGTTATGTGGATAGTAGTGACGATTGTTGAAAACAGAGGTATTCTTATAGTTCTGAACTGGTCACTCTTGGTCTTCTGTTCGATGGCAATAATAACAATGAAAATGAATAATTTGCGGTCAGGGTAAAAGATAACTAGAGGAATCAGACCAAAAAGATGACAAAAGGATCTCCTTGTTTTAATTCTTGTAAGTCAGTATTCTTTTAAACAATGTTAAAGGCATTGTCGATTGTGTTTCTTGGGAATGTTGTGCATGAAAGATCTTTGAGGTGTCTATGAGACATCGGCTTAAGTCTAGGGTCAACAATAATTACCATAAGGTACGGCAATCTACTAGGCAGCAGGTATTAACTGAAATGATGGCTTCATAGCAACCATGGCAGTAAACCCTCTCTTCTAAATTCCAATTATTACACCTATTTCCTTTTCCCTTGCCATCCTTGCGGAGGGGGTCGATTTTCATGCTTCCTAAAGGTACCAGAAGTCCACGAAGATCCTTGTTGTGAAGGCGTTCCAGCCGATTACGGCTGCATACTCCTCTTCTCTTTTCCTTTAGGCTGCTTCTCGGGGGCTTTTTCTCTGGAAGGAAGTGTTCGGATTCTGATTGACGCTTCTATCCTGTTTTGAAAGTATAGATGACTTTTTCTTTCTTTTTTTATATGGAATAGTCGAAATACATAGCCATTCATCCGCCCAGCTACAGCGCAATAAGATAACTAATATGTTGCGGTAAGATAGCAGGATGGAAATATTGTATACTGAAAGAGAGTTAACAAGCGAAATGCATACACAGAAAGCCCTCCTGCTTGTGAAAGTACCGATGGAGATCACTACCAACCACCAAAAAGTCCGCATCCGCGCGTACCACCTCCGACGCTGGAATCCGAGCAATCACCTTCGCCAAGTCATTTCCGTTTGCATCCATCAATCTTTTGCAAGGCTCACACAAAAGCAAGCCACAGCCATTTCCCTGTGAAGATAACGGTCCAACATCCCTGCCAAATTTATCCAGAAGTTGTTCGGTATTGCAGCGGAAAAATGCCGGGTTCAGACAGAGTGTGCACCATGGATTGGTTTGTTTGTAATTTCCTCCTACGGCTGACTGTTCTAAGCTATGAAAAGCCTTTGCGTAATCGAAAGTAGCAACCTCGTATCCCGGTAAGGAAGAGATTTCATGGCCAGCACACCTGTGCATATATAGCCGATCAAGGCAGCAAACATTGCAGATTCGTGTTCGTGGATAGCCGGCACTCCGGTGTCCTCCAGATAATTCTTCCAAGCCGCCGGTAACGCCATAATCTGCAACTTCGACCTTTTTCAGGCCCAGACCGAACATGCCAAATGTAAAGTTCATGCAAAATTCGCACGGCTCATAGGTTTCAGTACCAAGTTCGACGTCAAGGGGATGGGCAAATGCGGTCATGATGTGACGAACGGTGGGTTTGTTGGCCTCATAGTTGCTGGTAGAGCCCCTCACCACCACTGATTCGGGCTCAGAAACTTCTTCGGAATCGGCATCAATCAAATCGCTGAATATGTCACGGTTGGCTAGCATATTTAGGAATGTCTTTCCACGTATCGAAGGAAGTCTCAATTTAGTGACGAGTGCTTGCTGCTCTGAGGGCTGCTTAAGTGGCGTTTCAAGTTGCTGCTCGATTTCTTGTTCGATTTCCCGGCCAAGTTGCTGTGCGAGTTTTAAGAGCCCCTCAGAGGGTTGCTCTTCTGATGAAATCGAAACAACCCTCTTTTGTTTTCTTTTCGATCTCGCTTTAGGAAGATATGTCTCGTCGCTATCGTCATCCGATTCGATATCCACTAGATCCGGGTTTGATCGGCGAACTCGAAGATTATAAGATCGTAGGTAATTTCCAAGATTCCCATGGGGAAACCCCATCTTTTCAAGTTGGGATTTGGATTTTCCGAAAAGACGAAGAGCTTTGCGGTATCGATCCATAGAGTATGGCTGAGTCCGCTCACAGCGATGAGCCTTTTTCTTTGAGCGGATCATGGTGAAGATAATCAGTTGCAAAAATTGAGATGGGAGATGACAGAGGTGATCACAGAGCTATAACATGTTAATGACCAGTTATAGAGAGGGGTAGAGTTGAAGTAATACCTGTAGAAGATGATGGTGATGATAGACGTGGATGGTGTGAGAAGATAAGAGTGAGAGGGAGGGGGTAGTAGATAATGGGAGATTGGATGGAGAGAGTGTGAATGGAGGATGGGTGGATGGAACGAGAGTGAAGCTGAAGATCAGAGATTAATGATTGAAGCCCGCCAAGTGAGGTGACATGGTCAGAAGGTCAAGAGGATTCCAATTGCAGGATAAGAGTATCGTGATCAGATAATACAACTTCGTGTGCTAAGTAAGTTTCATATGATACATGCAAGTGCAAGAAACAGAGTAAAGAGCAGAAGAAACTTCGAGAGAGGAAACTTCCAAGGTAATCAACTTCCAAGGTAATCACTTAAATCGGCTCCAGAACCAATGGTAAAGACTGCGCCATTCAGCAGCGTCATCCTCAACGTAATCACCTACAATCTCTGCCAATTCATTCGTATCATCAAAAGGGGAATGTTCCGACGCATTTGAGGTCATATCCACAGACATATTAGAGGACGTCAGGGACCATGTTCCTTCTTTGACTGTCTCAGCTAGCTCTTTTGCTCCCTCGCGCGCAACCTCTGCATACGCCTCGGCCTGTTCGCGAGCGATAACCATCAGCTCATCAGGGGATGGGTATTTGTTCAGCAAAATGAGGAGAGTATAGTAAGTATTGACGATGGAAGAATGTACCACATCCTTCGTCAGCATTGTAATGCCGTGCGACAAAAAGCCCTTGAGAACTTCGCCGAAAAGGCCGTCATACAATGCGCCGATTCCTTCTTGCACTGCTATTGACTGAAGAGTGAAGAAAACTTCAGGCCTAAAGTATTTGGCAGGTGAAGTGTCTTTGCTTTCATTGTCTGAGGAAGAATCTGCTTGAAGTCGCGTTTTGGCTAGAGAAACTGGGTATGTGATTGTAGAAGCGACAGCTTTGCTGATAGCTGCAAGCAGAAACGTCGCCGCGGCCGGTGGATTCTGCCGTTTGTTGCGAGGAAGCAGTGCATATTTCAAAAATTCATTTAAGAAAAATGTGATAGATGGGTTCAATGTCAAGAATAAAGATGCCGAGTAACCAGCCCAGAACCCAGTAATACCTTTCTCGGCTTGGATTTGTGCGGTGACCTTCTTAGTTGAGATTTCACCATCTTCGCTCAGAAACGCAGCAGTCTGCTTCCTGGTCACAATGTTTGCAAGTGGCGTTGTCCAGAACTTTGAGAAAGCCCCAGCAAGCACACCAACAGCCAGCTCGTCCAGGATCGGGAGCACGGTGCGCTTTTTCCCGCTTGCGTGTAGTTTAGAATTGAGTCTCTGTTGACGCAGGGCAGTATATGCGAGGAAAAAGAGAAACGAATCCGCAATGGTCTTCCATGTATCATCGCCGACGCCAGTGAAGAAGCCCTTGACGCCTCCTTCCTTTGCGTATATCGTTTGTGCCGCGTCGACAATTCCCGAGTACGTTTCTCGTGTCGAGCCAGCTTTTTCTTCTGTCGGCTTAGAGCCCTTTTTGCGCGCAGCAAGTCTCTGCATCTGCAACCGAGTCACGATCAACCTCAGCGGGTATGTCGCGACATTCGACACTGCCGACCCCGCGGCACCTGCGACTGCATGTCCCAATGCTGGAAGACCAGGTCCCCGCAGCGCCGCAGTTTTCCAATCTCCGTGATTCTTCGGGCGTTCTGGATATTCATATTTATGATAAAGCTCGAAGGCATCCTATTGTTGGAGAAAGATCGTTAGCTAGCTGATCTAACGGCGGCACGGGAGGGGTAGATCGAGGACACACCAGCCTTGCTTCGTAAACGGTTTTGTCGTTGTCTGCCATGATTCTGCCTTCTTTCAGTAGGATCAAACTGAAAATCAAGATTATTCGACGTAAGGACCTTAATACAGATGGCTATGATAGCTGAAGCTTCGATGCATTACGCAGCGGGCAAACCAAGACTCACTTAAGCCGCGACAACTGGCATGCTACTGCAGGTTGCTCCAGTCGGTCTCTGCGTTAGTGGTGCATAGTATACAGAAGTTGGAGCATGCAAAGCTAGAAAAGAATGGACATGACTTCATTATCGATGTAGCATCACCTAGTCTGCGAAACAGTCAACCGAGAAGGCGCCGTAACCGAGGAGGGCGCTCGTCAACGTCATGCTTGGCACGTCACATGCTCCGTCCCCATACCAAGTCATTATCACAACCAAAGCAAAGCAAACCCACCAAACAGCCCAAAAAACCACATCCCCTTCTCAGATTCCATGAAGGCCTTTCTTTCAATGACTTAATCCGTATCACTACTAGTATCACTGCACTCTTCGTCGCTATCTTTATCGTCCGATTCTACCTTAGCGCCATCGCTTTCGTCGCTTTCCCCTCTTCTCCGCCGTTGCCACTTATCATCATCTTCTAGCTCCTTTGCGACGTCGAAATTAATATTATTGGTAGTTATAGCTGGGAGAGTTTTATGCCCTTTGGACGGATGCTTTCCATTGTCTGACTCTTCGTCCGAATTCTCGCCGTCTATCTCCTTCCCTTTCATCCGCTTTCTCCAGCCTGGAGGAACCGTTTTTCCTCCCGTAGAAGGATGGGAGGTTTCCCCAAGCTGTGACTCGTCCAATGTGCGTTTCTTAGATGCCCGTTCTTCTTCTGCCTTGGTTTGCTCTTGAAATAATTTCACCTCACTTGCGACTCGCCGCCGTTCGACAAGTTTCTCCGCCTCGTAGACCCATTTGATTTCGGCCGAATTGAGCAACCCATCGCCTCCCAGGAGCTTCTGCTTGTACTTCTCAAGTTGAGGGATCTTTCCACGGACCTTTGTGTCGTTGGGGAACTCGGCTAAGAAGTCACGCAGAGTCTTTTCACTCTGAAGAAGCCGTTCGATTTGTTTCGCCTTTTTCTTGTCATCTTTCGTCGAGAAGACGGAAAACTGTGTTGATGTAGTTGTAGTACGGACTTGGGCGTATGATGTTTTGTATTGCTTTGGGAGGGGAAATGCGTACTCGTCTCCGTCATCGCAGTCGTCTCTATGACTTTGTGCCTTTGGAAGAAGCCTTCCTTGCTGTGTCAAGGTCGGTATCTGTGGTAAGCTTTCAGAGGGACCTGCAGATGGCGCTGGTCTTTTAATATCCTCACGTCTCGTCGTAGTAGTCTGCTGCCTATGCGTAATGGGACGGAGAAACACAGACTGACGAGCATAGGTGCGAGGTCGATTTTTCATTCTATGTATTGGACCACCCCGTTGGACACTCTGGGGGATTTTTGGAGCGACATGAGAAGGTCTGTGTGGATTTGGCTCTGGGCCAGAATCAGTATCAGCTTCGTGAGGACACCAGAACTAGACTTACCTTCGTCATCATCTTCCGCCTCGTCACCCTCGTAGTCGGCGAATATTTCATATGTTTCAGGCGGAGGACGGAAGTAGTTTGGGCTCTGATCGTCAGATGCCATGTTGTACGTGCTGCCTAGCTGAAGTTCGGACTTGTAGTGGTGGTAAGAGACGGCGTAGGATTGGATGGAGGAAAAGGTGAAGTGAGTTTGGTCCAAGTTGGAAAGTGGTGAATGGAGTTGATATGAGCGACGTAGGTGTAGGAAACTGAAGAAAAAGTGAGATGAACCTAGTATAGGTTAGCAGGAACAATACATGTAGAAGATTGAATACAATGGTGAGCACTCATACCACGGTCATGATCTAATTGTGAAGGACTCCGAGTAGTCGAAAGTCTCTATAGAGAAAGGGTTCTAAGTGAAGATACTAACGATTGTTTTTACATTGAGTGGTGAGGGGATCAGGAGGGTAGAAGTCTTAACAGAGAAAGGATTCAAGATGAAGAAAGTAGCATGTAGTGATAAAAACTTATTATACAATTCTATATTCTTTTGAGCAGCTATTTTCTCCACGGCAAATGCAGTCAGGTTATGGTATACATTCAGAATACAGACGGATAGGAGTGGATGTGTTGTCACAAATGAAAGTCGTCGGCAGGAATTGTCTTTATAGTGGTGGGAAAGGCAATATGGTCAATTAGTTCTCCGTCTTCTTCAGATCCTCGCCTTCGCTTTCATGCCACGCCCTCGGAACGAGGCTCTCTTCTTCCTGAGCACCGTCTTGTGTACGAACATTCGCCTTGCGTATTTCCTCAACTTCGGCGCGTTTCTCGGCTTCGTTTAGACTGGCACTTGCGGGATCACTTGCTGGGGTTTCCTGCGGCGGTTGTTGTTGATCCTTTCGAGCTTGGTCTTCTCTGTCTCGTTGGGCGATTTGCTCGGTCAGTTGTTCATCGACTTCGTCCTCCTCAAGTTCGGCACCGTAGACGTCCGGGTGGAGGCGGAAACAGTCTTGCATGCCCCTACGCAAACAACATTAGTCCATACTCCTCGGAATAGAAATACGAGGGTGGGTATACTTGAATTTCTCAATACAATCCATTCCCTTGGGCTCCTCGGTCGAGTAGACGAAACAGCTAAACGCTTCTCTGAATTCTTCACCACACGGCCCGTGAGCCATCCCGCCTAAGCATGGGCAATCCCAGTTAATCTCGCCAGTTTCCGGGTTGAAAGCACCTTCAGTGCCGGCCTGGGATTCCAAGTCCTCTAACCCCTGTCCTTCCCCGGCCGTATTTGGTTGGGAAGCGTCTTCGGACTTCGTGGCGGTCGAGCTGGATTGTATCTGTTGCTGCTTCTGCTCAGCAACTGGCGTGACTTTCACAGCATCTTCGACTGGCTGAGAACGGAATAGGGAGAAACGTGGCTGCTGCTCATCGGCAAAGACACTCGAGGTGTTGTAGTAATAAATCGCGGCGCCGGCAAATCCCAAGCGCACCAGTCGATTCCTCCAACTCCGCTGCTTCTGCGACGGTGGCGGGGGTACAATCGGATTGCTGCCGTTGGTGCTCGCGAGTCGTCTTTGGAACGCAGTAGAAACGGTGGAGGTATTGGTGTTGCGTAGCAGTAGACCTGCTCGTCGTGCGGTTGCTTGTCGCAACATTTTTTTCACGTACCCTTTTTTATAGTGGGAAAGAGCTCAAATAGAAAAAAAAGAAGAGATGGAAATAATATTACATGTAAAAAGAGAGAAGAGAAATACAGAGCCCCTTCCCTGTGTAGCAGGGATGATTCAATTGCTGGCAGGAAACACGATTGTTCAAAGTCGAGTATCGGTGATGATGATTAGTAACATGAGAAGTTAACGGTTTGCGAGGGGACGGAATCGGATCCAGTGGTCTTGGCATCATCAATGTATATACTAGACACACTCTACGCCTATGGGTTCGATGGGCCAGATTATTTTCCATGTGAAAAAAAGGTAGGCTATTTGGCCCATGAAAAATTTATTATTTTAATGGGTTTACGGCTGCTAATGTCGTCAACCCCCATCTCTCACGAATTTGAAGACTGAACAAGACACTCCAAGGAATATACATCCTGAAAGCAAGAACACAGCTTTCATTTCAAACCTGGGTATCTCCCCGTAGTCAAGAACGGAGTCGATCAAATGTCGTAGAACACAGTACACAGCTGCCAACGCATTCACAGGCAGTATTCCAGATATCAATAACAGCAGGTTACACAGGTCCATCCCGTAAGGCTGACAAGAAACGTCGGTGCAACTTGGACAGGGTGCTGCATGCTGCTACCCTACCCAGACCCAACCGTAACCACAATGAACGGCAAGGATATCAATTATCAATTGATGTAATTAGAGAGTAATTAATTGTAGAGAGAGGAACAACAAATAAGCTTCGAATGCAAAAGAAAGCAGCCAGCATTGGCCAATGGGAGTGCTTGGCGGGTGGCCTATCTGTCATGATTGGCTGTGTTCCGCCAAGCCTGTGTGCAGCCCCACTCCGAACCCTTTTCGGTTTGGCGGCTGTTCCCCTGGCTCGCCTTGTCGCACTTTTTTTCTTCCATGACTTTCTTTGCTCTTGCTAATCTTGGTGTCTTCTTCGCAACAGAATAATAATCCTTGTAATCATATTCCGTACTTGTTGCTGTGTGCCGTGGATGTGGTCTCGGCTGCTCCATGATTGAGCATGCTCAACCATGGTTGACCTGGGACTCGCGTGGAGATGCCGCATTCCAGGAACCCATGTGCACGGATCAGTATAGCTTGGCCAAGCTCGGTGCTGCTATTCTCGACGTCCCATCCTTATTATTATTTGAAGCCCGCCCGGGTTGATTGAGGATAAGGAGTTGGCAATCGTCCTACCCAACCATGCTGGTTACACGTAGTCATAACAAGCGACATAAGACTGGTCTAGCAACAGCTCATGAGAACAATCGCATCTCATAGCATATTTTGTACTCCATACTAAATGCTCTATTAGTGAATCAAATACTGGAGTCCCAAATAAAGTTAGGATTACCAGGTACGAATCGTCGAATACAAATTCATCCATAGATCCTTTCCTTAGAATAATAAGAATAATAATAATAATACGTGGTGGTTAGTATTAAGGATAGCTGCTGCCGCAGCGCTGATTGGACGGCTGGTAGCCGGCGCCCGCACTGGCAAGCCCCTTTCTCGCTACTAACAAACGCCAGAAGCGCATCTCCGTTACTCCTGAGTCTCTCTCCTCCTACCTGACCCTTCTGTTTTCGCCCGTTATTATTCTTTTTTGGCCATTCGCTACACCCGCTGGGAATCCCTCTCGCTGTGGTGTCTGTCTTTCGCCATCATTTTGTGTGGTTCTTTATTGTTTCTTGTGGTGTCCGGACACTCGTTTATCTGGCCTTCGCCTCGTTGTACGAATCAGGACTCCATCAACGGTGAGTCGCACCTCGTCTTCGGGTACACACAGGGACGCGATTGATAAAGCTGCTGTTCCTGCTGCTGTCGACTTCTGGCTAACGGCAACACCCCCTGCAGGAAAAAAAACGAATTGATCGATTGTAACTGCCTCGACCCGGACTGCAGCTTCCCTCCTCGCTCCTGCCTCCTCCGCACCTTCGTTTATACAGACTCCGGTCTCTTCAACAATCATGGGTAAGCCTTTTCATTCATTCATTCACTCATTCATCATCATCATCACCACCACCGTCGGCTTTGATCTTCGCCGCCATCTTCGTCTTAATCACGGCTGGACGCTCGTTCGCTCGCTTTCTGAGTCGCTTGTCGGCTCGACCAAAAACTCAAAATAAAATAAAATTGTCCCGTGGTTGGAGTAGGAGACAATGAACCGCATTATCGACATCCAGTTCCGGCCCAGCCTAGATCAGAGTTCCCTTCGGCTCTCTCGTCCAGACTTGCTGGGCTCGCTGTCAATCAACTCATCTCCAAAATCCGTGCCTCCCACGCTGCCTTCTCCATCCTTGTCATCGATTGGAAGCAACACCATGGACGATATTGAATATGCTAATTGGGATATAGCCACTGCTACTGCCAATGGCTCTGCCACGGCCCCCGCTGAGAAAGCTACCTCCCCCGTCCCCAGCAACTCCAGCAAAGCCGCCTCCCCCTTTGTCGAACGGAGCAACCCCATAGGTGGTGCTACCAATCCCCAGACTGTGATCTCCAAGGACCCCAAGGCCGCTGCTCAGGCTGCCAGCGACATGCGCAATGTCGTCCGCCGCAAGTTGACCGGATACGTCGGCTTTGCCAATCTGCCTAACCAGTGGCACCGCAAGAGTGTTCGCAAAGGTTTCAACTTCAACGTGATGGTTGTTGGTGAGTAGATGGCATGGTTTAACATCACTAGCCCGTATTGATTTTGTCCTTCTAGGTGAATCTGGTCTTGGTAAATCTACTTTGATCAACACTTTGTTCAACACCTCGCTCTACCCGCCCAAGGAGCGCAAGCCTCCCAGTGCCGACATCATTCCTAAGACTGTCTCGATCCAGTCAATCAGTGCCGATATTGAGGAGAATGGTGTCCGTCTCCGCCTGACTGTTGTCGATACCCCTGGATTTGGCGACTTTGTCAACAACGACGACTCGTGGAGACCAATTGTTGAGAACATCGAGCAACGATTTGATGCCTACCTCGAGGCGGAGAACAAGGTTAACCGCATGAACATTGTCGATAACCGCGTTCATGCTTGTGTTTACTTCATCCAGCCTACAGGCCACTCCCTCAAGCCCCTCGACATTGAGGTCATGCGCCGCCTCCACACCAAGGTCAACCTGATTCCAGTCATTGCGAAGGCTGATACCTTGACCGATGAGGAGATTTCTCAATTCAAGCAGAGAGTACGTTGATCAGCTACCGTTCGCGAATTAAGGGCTAATAATATTATCTATCTAGATTCTTGCCGACATCCAGTACCACTCCATCCAGATCTTCGAGGGCCCCCGCTACGAGCTCGATGACGAAGAGACCATTGCAGAGAACCAGGAGATCATGTCCAAAGTCCCTTTCGCCGTTGTTGGTGCCAACGCCGAGGTGACCAGCCCCGATGGACGCAAGGTCCGTGGTCGTCGCTACCCATGGGGTGTGATTGAAGTCGACAACGAGGAGCACTGTGACTTTGTCAAGCTGCGCCAAATGCTTATCCGCACACATATGGAAGAGCTCAAGGAGCACACCAACAACAGCTTGTACGAGAACTACCGCTCCGATAAGCTCACCCAGATGGGTGTTGCTCAGGACCCAAGCGTCTTCAAGGAGGTCAACCCGGCCGTCAAGCAGGAGGAGGAGCGCGCCCTGCACGAGCAGAAGCTTGCCAAGATGGAAGCCGAGATGAAGATGGTCTTCGAACAAAAGGTCCGCGAAAAGGAGAGCAAGCTCAAACAGAGCGAAGACGAACTGTACGCTCGTCATCGGGAGATGAAGGAGCAACTAGAACGACAACGACAAGAACTAGAAGAAAAGAAGGCCCGGTTCGAGAGCGGACGGCCTATCGAAGAGAAAGGCAAACGGAAGGGATTCTCCCTCCGCTAAAAGCCGAGCGCGGTTTACGCGGACAAAGGCTGCCATACCCAAAATGCGACGACCTAACTAATGGTGTGAATTATTCTTATGGGGGAAGCCGGCTACGGAGACTTTGCTCTTTTCAACTGTCCATTGATTTAATCGCTCGTTGTTATTACATCTTTTCTTATCTTTGTTCCCTATCACACATACGCTCATTCCCTCTCCTATTTCACCTACCGACCTCCGGTAATGACTGCTTTGCTATCGGGCCAACGGAAGGAAAAAGAACAAGCTCTTTTTTTTCTCTCTATTTTTGCAAAAAAGAAGAATTTTAATACAGGGTGTGCCAGGCGACGATGTGGGATTTTCGAACCAACTGGGCATGTCCTTGCGCGGGTTGGATTCCTATTGGAGATGCTCTCCAGGCGCGAGCATGCTTCAGTATTTGATTTCTTTTTTGAAGCGTGCTGATTCACCCGAGTCCGATCTCTATTTTATCCTTCTTGTTATGTACTTTTTGGCCCACGTTATACCTCTCCTCCGCCGTCCGTCCGGTTTTAGTTTTGTGTTTTTAGGTGACCGAATGTTATTTGCTACTCCAATTCTCTTAGTCTACTTGTAGTTGTACCCTGTCTATCCAACATCTCATGTGAACGGCATGCCGTTAGTAGACACGCTGTCTATACAGTAATTGCCGTATCTAAAAATCGCATAAAATCGATGTGTAAGCAGGACGAGGACGTCATTGCGCAAGCGGGTCACGGCCAGGGCTGCAGCAGCCAATGAGCAGCTCCGGCGCCAAGGCTGTGAGGTAAGGTGGTCCTTCCCGGAAGCATCGAATAGGCGGAGGCTAAGACAGTCGACTTATCGCCAACCTCCCACATTATTACTTGCTTGCCTGTCTGCATCACATTACACAGCCCGGCCAGCCCTGAGGACGCACAATCAGCAGGCTCCAGCAATTGAATACATCTTACTCCCATCCCCGACACCACACTCCTCTCTTTTATCACTTACACTGCGTCTTCACCGGTTTTTGCACCTCGGCTGCTCTTGACCAAGTTGTGTGTAATGGCTCCTCCTCCGCCCGCGACCCTACCCTTGGCCGACAGGGTCAAGGCCCTGGCCCAAACATTACAGTATGTATCTCCATTGATTGACATTCGCTCGGCTCGAGGCTTTGGTGACTGACATCTCAACAGGTTTGGCTGGTTTGTCGGGTACGTTTGGTAGCTGCCTGCACCTTCCCTCACCTTCTCATGACTTCGAGTCTGGCGTCTTCACTTTGAAGAAGGCTTTCTGACATGCTTGTAGACACCTGACTCTCCTTTTAACTGTCTTCCGATATGGCCTGTCCTACATCACTTTCAACTATTACTCTCGCTGGGCCAAGATCTCTTATCGCCTCGCTTTTATATCCGCGGCGGCGACCTATGGAATTGTTGTCTACAAGCAGTACATTGCCAGAGGAAAGTTGACAGGCTCTCCACTCCAGATTGCCGTCAAATTGCTCGGTGATGAGAATGTGCAGTATCTGGGTATGTCTTTTCATCTCGTCAACTATGTCAGGAGCTGATGCTCACGTGCACACAACAGGCATGGCCCTCGTCTGGCTCTACTCTCGTCAGATCCCTCTAGCACTATTGCCATTCAGCGTGTATTCTGTCTTTCACGTTGCCACATACACCCGAACTTACCTGCTGCCTACCTTGCAGCCGAGCCCGCCGGCCACCGCCGCCGGTTCCGCTTCTCCTGGCTCTCCTCGTCCCGGCACGAAGCAGTCTCCGCTAGCAGAAAACATTGGAAAGTTTGTAAAGCAATACTACGATGCTAGCATGTACCTCGTCGCGACATTGGAGCTAGGACTTCTCTTCCGACTTGTCCTCTCTGCGTTTACCTTCTCGAAGGGAAGCTGGGTTTTGCTTGTTATCTACTTGGGTTTCTTCCGTGCTCGCTACTCCCAGAGCTCTTTCGTGCAGAGCGCTGTCGCCCGGTTCACTGCCCGTGTCGATACCCTCGTCTCCCACCAAAGCACGCCTCCCCAGATTCGTCAAGGCTGGGACTCGTTCAAGGGAATTATCGGTCAGGCATACGAATCTACCGACGTGAAACGCTACCTTGGTGGTGCCGCCGGTCCTTCGGCTGCGGGCAAGAAGCCGCAGTAAATTAGCCCGTTTTGACAAGAGGTTGACAGCTCCGGTCAAGATGTTTGCAACAGTCGTTGCACACAAGCACAACCTCCTGCGACCTTCTAACGCATGACGATTATATGTAACGGGGTACGGCTTCCGGTTTTATAGCTGTGTTGTGACATGCGACATATGCAATAAATGGTGTTGGGGATGCTTCCCACTATCAAAAATAATGAAAGGCAAATGGCTCTATTTTTACTGGAGGTATATGTAGATTCAGGCGTCCACTGGATAGCGATCAGTCAACAAAGGTTATGAGCTTTTTATCTCCTGTTTTCAGTTTCTCTCTCTTTTTGTTGATTCCTAACACTTGCCAATGGTGTACGTCATCTTTTGAGCATTCGCTGTTTTCACTGCAAATGATATGTTTCTGTCACGCATGCTTCAACAACTTGTACAGAAGATTCCTCATAGTATTCTTTGGTTGAGTGCAATCGATCATATAGTGAACTAAGCTTTATCATTACAGATCCATCATTCTAGGGTATTCCAATTTTATCATACAAGTCTTATTACTCTAGTAATAATAATTAGTTAATGCTCTATAATAATTGATGCATCAATGATATCAATTGATAAGTGGAGACGGTGCAATCCCGAGCTCGGAGAAAACCATTCGCCGAGCAGTCCCGAGCCCGACCTGAAAAAAAGAAAAGCCTCAAGAGATCGCGTGCAAGAAGACGGCCCTGGGCAGTAATTACATCGTGCACCTGGATAGACCGCCGTTTTTTTTGAACCTTTTTTGTGCATTTTCCTCCCGGCTATGACAAGTCTTTTTATCTAATCTTTTTCTTTTCGCTCCTCCCTGACTCATAGTACCGCACTCGTTTTCGTTTCTTTCCTCGTCGCCCGCTTCTGTCGAGTAACGCAGCTCTGGACTTTGACTTTCGAGGTACTGGGTGAAGACAAAATAGCTATTGGTGGTCCATTATTCTGGCTTGTGCAATTTTGCCATGAGCCTCGAGTCCTCGACGCAGGCTTCGAATTTCTATTCATCCACCACACATCCCAGTGATTCACATCTACCGTCTCACCATCCGCCTACCTCCGGCGATCGTCATGTTTCGCAACTGAAGTATACACAAGGCGCTACTGTGCGCGGAACCCAATCAACCGTGAAAGGAGGGCAGCTCACGATGGAGCTATCTGAGGCAGCGACGGCAACCGCCAGCGACGAGCACCAGAGCCGTCCACTCTATCTACATGTATGTTTGCCATTGAAAATCGGACGAGAAATAGTGGACAAGCTCCTGTCCATCTTCTTAATCATTCGCGGCTAATATTCGAAACAATTATTAGACAATGCTCGCTGGTGGTATTGGTGGCTCGTCGGGTGATATGCTGATGCATTCGCTCGACACCGTCAAGACGAGGCAACAAGGCGACCCTCATATACCGCCGAGATATACGTCGACATCAGCCTCATATCTCAAGATATTCCGCCAAGAAGGATTTCGAAGGGGACTGTACAGCGGAGTTACGCCTGCGCTGATGGGCTCGTTCCCTGGCACAGTTATCTTCTTCGGCACTTATGAGTGGTCGAAACGGAATATGCTGGATTATGGAATCAATCCTACTCTAACGTATTTATCTGCCGGTAGGTGTCACATCTTTCACATCTTGATTTTTTAGGTTTGTTGCTGATTTGGTTATTATGAATACAGGCTTCGTCGCTGATTTAGCCGCATCTATTGTCTACGTTCCGTCGGAGGTCCTCAAAACGCGATTGCAGCTCCAGGGACGATACAATAACCCATACTTTAATTCAGGATACAATTACCGCTCAATGACGGATGCCTTCCGAACCATCGTTCGAACAGAAGGCTTCGGCGCCATGTTCTCCGGCTACAAGGCGACTATCTTTCGCGACCTGCCGTTCTCGGCGTTGCAATTTGCATTCTATGAACAGGAGCAGCACTGGGCGAAGGAGTTGGTTGAATCGCGAGATATCGGGCTCTCCCTCGAAGTCCTCACGGCCACGACGGCCGGTGGTATGGCTGGCGTTTTGACATGTCCATTGGATGTGGTCAAGACGCGGATTCAGACACAGCAGAATCCGGATACACAAAAGCCGACGTCATCATCGTCACAGAAATCGCAATCGCCCTCGTCGTCATCTTCGACGGTAGAGCACTCCTCGAAGGATACTCGACCGCATTCACATCATACTACTAATACCTCGACAACCACATTAAAGAACCGCTCACGACCTATCTCCACTTCATCCCCCTCTACATCCACTGTGCAGCCTGGCGCTCCCATTCTGAACACATCTTCGATCTTCACGGGGTTGAGGCTCCTCTACAAATCCGAGGGCCTAGCCGGCTGGTTCCGTGGAGTGGGACCGCGCGCAGTGTGGACCAGCGTGCAGAGTGGCACGATGCTGGTCATGTACCAATACCTGTTGAAGCAGTTCGAGTCCTGGCAGCAGCCGCAGCAGCAGCCGGCGGACGAGCTGAACCCATTGTAATCTCCTTGACATTCTCATTCTCATTACCTAACCTCGACACTCACTCACTCAATCATCACGTACATAGCGCATGAGAGGCATGCTGGCGTTTGGGACGCACTTCATATCGCTGGTTGGGATGCATATAAAGATCGATTGACGTATGGTAGACCGCAGTCTGTTCCTTCATGTACACTACACTGCTCGGATTGTTATGCATAGACTTGAATGACCACTCAGTAATACATTATATTATAATACGCACCATAGTCGTAAATCATAAATTTGAGACTCCATTCCATGCGCAGTAATTCAGCTAACCCGCAACGGCAATGATCAGGCACGATCACATCGCGAAAACACGCTAGGCGGGCGCCAGTAAACATTGTCAACAATGCCGTCAACACACGAACTAGTGCAGTCCCAGCCCCACGAACTCTCGCCTTCTGCCGCTACTCGCGTTTACCAGCCACGCCATTTTATTCTGCCTTGCCATCACCACCCCTCCCCCTTTACTTCGAAACCCTTCCATACCCTGAAGCTCGCAGTATATAGTATATACTCTTGACTTGGCTTGAATCGTCGTCGCATGGTCCACGCGATATAATCTGCCCGTACTTCTCAGCACCACTATCGCCACACCGTCACCATCACCATGGCGTCTTCCACCACAACCTACCTGCGCAATCTGCGCAAGGGCGAGCTGACCGAGTTTGCCGAGATTTCAGACTTGAAAGAGTGCGTCGCGCGTGGCCACGAACGCACCTGAAGCTTGCTAACCTTTGCCTTCTAGATATGCTGATCTGAAGAAAAGCGAACTCGAAGCCGCTTTGGATAAACATTTGCGCGCAAACAGTTCCATCTTCTCCGGCGAGAAACGCCTCGGCGACTACTATAAACGTCTCTTCCAGCCTGCCCGCGTCTCATCGCCGGTCAAGAAGGAGCCTAAGGCTGAGACCTCCTCTGCGGCGTCCGAGGAAAAGAAGACGACGCGCAGGCGCAAAACGTCGACTGAAGCGTACGTCCCTGCGCCGATGAACTTGGACACGACGCGTCGCGTCGCATTCTAGAAATTTCATACTGACTGGGAAACAGAGATGACACCGAAACTGAAAAGACTCCTGCATCTACCACTGCCATCGCGGCGCGCACTCCTGCGCGATCGCCGCTGTCCTTCAGCTCCCTGCCACCGTCACCCGCTGTTGTCACTGATGCGATCGATCGCCAGACAACCATTGTGCGCGAGAAGGTTTCTGACGCCTGGACAAAGTCCGGCATCTCGCAGCGCTCCGACGCTTTAAGGTCTGCTCTCAGCAGCGTCAAGTCGATTGAGACCATCATCGTCCTTCTGGAGCTGGTCAGCCTGTCTTACGAGCTGATCCCTCTGCGATACTTGACCACCTTTCCAGCCGTTGACACCATTGCTACTCCGGAATTCTCGGTCAAGATGCCCGATTTGTTTGTCCTCATCACCGGCGCTTTCTGGGCGCCGTTCTTGCTCTGGGCCTTGACCAGCCTCGCTTTGCCGTTGACCGTTGCCTACTTCTTCAACCTCAGCCTTCGCTCGCAGGCCAGTCACTCGCACAGCACGCGTCGCGCGTCGGCGACAGCTGGGCCAGCGACTTTTGACCCGTTGGTGTACAACATTGCGAAGGCTTTGATTTCGTACCTCGTGTACGCGAATCACTTCACCTTCTGGGACGTTTTCAGCCACTTCTCAGTGGAGAAGGTCAATGTGTCTATTCCTGGCCAATGGCCCGGCCTTGTTACCGGGTCTGCCATCGGCATTCTCACCAGCTTGTATGAAGCTATCTTGAAAAAGTAAACAGCTGGTCTTGAACCATTACATGACTTGCGACAGGAACAGTCCTGACGCAGCTGGATATCCTCTAGCTAAGATCAGAACTATATTTTGAACCCCTTGTAGTTTTTGTTTCCGTTTTTGCTTTATGTCTTTTCTCGTTCTGGCTCTGGCTGTTTTGGGGTTTTAATTCCTACTGGCTTGAACGTTTAACTGTTTCCTCGCTTTATTCTTACCTTGCATAGTTTCCGGCGTCTTGGAAAACCGGTCTTGTCTTTTTCTTTGACGAACGAAAACTGGAATGCGTGTAACGAATGCGGAGTCTCAAGTGGAGGTTCAATACTTTTTCCTTCTTTAGTCCACCTGGCTTTCAAGGCGTTATAATTTGAAGGTTTGAGCTTGGGCTTTTGTCTTTTTATTCTTCCAGATATCCTTTCGTTTACTGCACATGATTGATTGACTGGGATGACTTGCACTTTATGCTGTTATTGTTTGGGTTTTGTTTCAGTATGGCTAGATGATACGATGGATGGCTGGGTTTGTTGTGATTGGAAAAGGTTTCCGACTGACGTGCTGATATCAGTACTGATGTTTATATGGGTACCAATGTAATTAGTCCGCTTGCGTGCTTGTCTGGAATTTGAAGTTTTCACTAGGATTTGGAATTGATCATGCGCCGATGCTTAGGGCATACGGATTCAGCATATCGACTACAATCACTGCATCCTTGGTTAATCACACGTAAATGTATTCATACATAAATCCACTCGTCCTACTACCAGCAACATTCTTTTATCTTTCTACCTTTTTTAACCCCCTCGCCAACTCCACCGTAAACAACACCGGCCTCCCAAACCTCTCATCAACCACAACCTCAATCTGCGCCGCGCGAATATGATTACTCGTCGACAACTGCCCTCCTATCTCCGTCTTCCAGTCCGTCACATCCCACTCAAACCCAGTCAGCGAGATGACCGTCGGCCCTGACAGGGGGATTACGCCGACGTTTTCAGAGAACACCCATTTCGCATCCTCTGCATCCGCCTGTCCGTCATCTTTCGCGTGCAAGTCTAGTCGATGGGTCAATGGTGTATGGATTATATTCTTCCCCGGCGGGAGAATAAACGACAAACTCTCCTCAGAGAGAAGATACAGCTCTCCAATTGCCCCCGCAGAATAATTAGCCTCCATCTCTCGCCGCTCAATGTGCGCTGTGTATAAGTGATGGATTTGGGAGAATCCCTGGTCAACCCTCCCGCCGAGACCGCCAAGGACAACTACGTCCAACTTCTTGCTTTTCTGGCCCCCTGCTGCTGTGGTGGTGGGGAATGAAGTCATGTATAAATCATGGTTATCGGATAGAACCGGATTCTCGCGTGATATGATCGCGTGTGCGTGTACTCGTAGGAAGCGGATGCTTTTCATGAAGTCGGTTGAGTACTGGTCTGGGTCGTGCAATATGGGGACATGGTGTGAGGCATAGTGCGCGTGGGTGGAAGGGTGGATAGAGTCTAGGTCGCCGAGGATGCAGGAGGGGAGCTATTCAGCAGTATTAGAATAGTTCTCGTGAATATCAATATCTCGTTAGTATAAAAAATAAGAAAGGGAAATTGTACGTCGGTGTTTTCCTTAGATCGCAATTTCATCAGCTCGTAGTAGCGGTTTGCGCCGCCGTCAGCGACGAGGATGTAGCATGCTGTATAGGTTGGTTAGTTTAGTGATTGGGTTGATACATATGTGGTATATGGATTATGCAGGTTTATATGTACATCCAGTCGATTAAAACACTTCAAACGAAAAAAGCAGACGACATGGATTGATATTGATACAAAGCGGGGATATGTCAATATCTCAGCAACGCAGTTTGAGAAACACGCGTCATTATCAAGACAAGAATAATTTAGAGGTTATGAATAATCGGAAAAGGGAATGGCAAGTACACACCATGTCTCCTAACAGCATCAAAAGCTCTCTCGTTAATCGGCTGATTCAGAATCAAAATCGCGAATGGGTTTTTAGGGACGCTGTCCGTCTGAAAGAATAATGACGGATTCCACTCCATTAATTTGTTTATTTTCATTCGCCGAGGACAATGCAAATGGGAAAGGACGTTGGTTGTGCGTCGAACGAAGGCTGCCGTGGGTTATTCCCACTGTGGTACAAATTTATAAGGTATGACGTTGAAACTGACCTCAGATAAGATAAAGCTTATGGTGGTGGTGGAACCGTATCGCCAGGTTTGTAACACTTGTCAGGGTTAGGACAGGCCGAGCACCACTGTTAAGTGGAGATGTGTCTTTTCTTTTTTTTTCTTTTTTATAGAATTCGATTGTGCTTGGGTTTGCTGGAATAAAATGATTGCCTTTGTCAGGCAATATCAATTGATCACGTGGTGCATTATCTAAAGCTGCAAACAAATCCATTCACGAGATGGCGTCAACTGACTGTCACTTTCTGACTTTTAGCTTATAGATGTTAATATTAGAATTCCAAATTGAACATCATCTAAGTAGATACTATGTTTGTAGGATGAGACGAAATCTTTTACTTTTACTCTCAAAATCAGTAACTTGAAGTTGGCTCCTAAACAGCTGCTGAAGTGCTATTACATGCATCACTATCTTTGGTGCAGACAAGAATTGCACGTCTTTCCTGAGATATTCACACGGGCCTTGTTTCTTCTTGTTGGATTCCCTTTCCACAACACAACTCACCTAGTGGTCACCCGTAGGATACAGCCAAGCGGTCTTGTATAATACATGAATTCGATCCACTGTATATAATATGCAAGGTGTGGGTGTCGTTGGCGGGGGCACGAGAACCGCGTGTGCTGGAGGAATTCGGTGGATCTATCGACATGGATTGGTAGCTGGATATTAGCAGGATTTCAGGTCCTATTCAAAAATTAGCAAACCCCAATGCTGCATAAAGTTAAAATGAAATACCAGTCAACATCGCTGAGCTGAAGTCGGCGTGCACGGAACTGGGCACGGTTCGATTTGTCCATTCTGTTGTCTCGCGGCGCGCGTTTTTCGAGTCCTTTAACATTCTTAGCACTTGACTTCCTAATTGGGTTCCTCCGAATAGAAAAGGGTTCCTGGGTCACAGAAGGAAGGGCATCTTCACCATCGGTTTGTTCAGCATCTCCTGGGTCATAGCTGAGAACAAGATTCTTGATACGTTGCTGCTCTTCACGGTCCGCTTGTTGCTGACTCTTCATCGCGACTGCAAAGCTAGAATCAGACGGCATCTCAATAGTGCGCGTCTACGTATACAAGTCAGCACATAAAACGATGAAACGGAACATGTCTCGAATCGGACCTGCTGTCGATTTCCCTTCTTCGTCATCAAGGAGAATGCCATCGTATTAGAAGGTGGCGGTGCCTCAGCTGCTACTTCGTCTCCTCCACCGACTTCTCGGCGAGATGGCCTCATAGGAAGAGGTATGTCAAATGCAGCCTTTCGTTCAAACCTTCGACCATCCATACTCTCCGCGATCATCTTATCAAAAGCGCGGTCGAATTCCGCCTCTGCTTCTGGATCTCTTTCTTCTTCCTGGCGCTGAACGAAAATCTGCTCTTCTTCTGATTCAGAGTCACCGTCTTGATCAGCGTGGTTGATGAATGGATCAGCTTCCTCTGTTGAAGATTGTGCATCCTCAATATCGGGCACGCCGTCTTCCTCTAGGCCATCCTCGCCATTGCCGTCGGAAGACACACTTTCGATCTCATCCTCTTCACCATCTGCGACTCTATCGCCCTCCTGAACCTTGTAGTTTTGTGCAACAGCTTCGCCGAACAATTGAGCAGCTTCCTCAAGATCAGTTGCTATTTTCCATTGAGGACGAACCAAAGCGTAGGTGTCTTGAACGAGAAAGTCGACATCCATCGGCATAGGCTCCTTGGTCAGTATGTAGAACTACCATGTGTCAGCGATAGAAAATAATTCACAAAGTATAATATACCTGAAAGAAGGTGAGAAAGAAATCCAGTTTCTTCTTTGCCGACCCTCGGTCAAAACACACTCCACAAGTATCAAGAACTGTGCAGACGAGGCGGATTCGAAAAAAGTCATCTGGCATGTCCAATGGATTGATCTTTCCAGGTGCTGGTGTCCCGTTTTCTAGAGAAACTGTTTAGCATTCATCATAATTATGATATCTAGTGAGCTTACCATGTCCGAATACAACGATTCGGTACAATGCGTCGAATATCACTGGAGAATCAATCATCTTGTAATTGTACAATTCACCCAGATACTTGACCTCTGCAATGCGCTTTTGGTTGAACTTGAAGTCGGTCTGCTCCAATCCCAATGTGATCGACTCCAGTACATTGTCCACCACGCCAATGACAAATTCCTGGTGGTAACGATACAAAGCACTTGCAAGAATGGCCAGTAAGTGAATATTACCATACTTCACCTTGCTCGGCCTGCTGAAAACGCGTTCAAGAATGTCAACCACCTGATGCATTGTCAGTACTATCCTTGCAAAAAAAAAAACAAATATATACCTCTTGTTCCTCCCAATGGAGTTTCCGGATAGACTTCAAAACCTTTGTATAGTTTCGCTTATTCATGTCCAAGTATATCAACTTCCGGATGTAAAGCTCCATTGGGGTGCGTTCCTTTTGTTGAATCGCAGGTCTTTCAGGGGGATCAACATAGTACATCGCATTTTCGATGATCATCCTCTCTTGCTGACCCAGATGGGTAGCAGTCTTCTTGCGGCCCAGAGTTTCGAGAAAAGAAGCCATACGAGGTGACGATTCAGGATTTCGTAACAAATAGCGACCACAATTCTCGAGAAGGTTACCCATAATCTCGATATTGGTGCGAGAGAAGTCGTCTAGGCAGACCTTGAGGCAGTGAAAAATTACGTGCTCAGGAACAACACCAAACTTGGTCAGTTCTGCAAGATAGCGTATATTAACCATACGGACCTGGCCCAGAAACTCCTTTTGTTTGCGACGCTGCAGACTCCTGAATTCCTCGTCCAGATAAGCAATCAACCCTTGTGGAACGTCGGGCATGTGCTGTCCAAGAGTAGCGATCATTCGTGAGTATAGAGGTAAAAGGTCGGTACGGCCCTTGGGAATATCCTGTACCGCTTTGATCAAGCGATTTCTAGAAGCTTTCGAATTCAAGAAGCAAAAGTCTAGAGCAAGCTGATCCACCTGATCCTTGTTTTGCAGGTCAGGTAGTTTGATGAGCAGAGCGTCCACCTGTGCTCCAACAGTCTTATTCACAAGTGCAGCAGACTCGCTATCAGCTTCCGCGGCGGGTTTTGCGTCTGATGAAGGAGTCCCAGCTGAAGGCTCTGCCTTTTCTACTGTGTCTTGACCTTTAGTCAGCTCTTCTCCCTCCCCTTTTTTCTTCTTGCCATCTTCCAGCAGCACAGCAGGCACTTTTCCTTTAAGATCGACGAGGTTCTCGTAGAATCGGCGCTCCTCCTCATCTTCCCAGATCCCTGCCCCATCGCCTTGCCCACGAAGATATTCAGCAGTTTTGACAAGACCGATTCCTCCGCCTGCTGAAGCATCAGTGGCTTCTTTATGGGCTAGAGGAGGCATTTCCACTCCAAGAATCTCACACATTATCTGAGTGTTGGCAACCAGTTTCTCGTGCGTTTTGGACTGTTTTTCAAAGTTCGCCTGGCGGTCTTCGAAGATTTCGCCACTCTTGACATATGCCTCTGCATTTCGACGGTTTTGGGCAGCCAACGCCTTTTGATCGCGAACAAGGTGGGCCTTCACATCCTCCAAATACCGAGTAAGAATATTCTTGAAGCGCATCTGCAGTTTCTCACTCGTCAATGGAAGTTCTGTTGACGATTCTCCATTCCCATTAGTCTGCTCGGCTTGTATATCCTGATCCTCAGCAGTAGTAGCGCCATCCGCGTCAACAGTTTTGCGACCTTCTTCAATAGGCTTTGCACCCAATACATCCCAACTGAAGGTTTTCACAAATAAAACAGCAAGAGGAAGATTTACATGCTCCCTGTCATGACCCAAAAGGTCCTTCAATACTTCCAAAGGGAAAGGGTCCGTTTCCTTATCCTGATCACCCTTGCCAGCTCTTGTCTTCGAAGGTCCATCAACGGTCTTCCCTCCAGCGACTGCGGCGCCATCCTTTCCCTTCGCACCAACATCATCTGGCCGTTCTATATCATCCAACGTTTTCAGAAATCCCACGAGCCATAACTCAGTCACTACTCGGAGAAGAATGCGGTGCCTTGACATTCGCTCCTTCTCCTCCCGCTCACGAACTTCCTGGCTAAGTGCTTTCAGTTGCGATCTATCGGGCGAGCTCAGTCCTCGTCCTAACAACCACCCGACCTGTTTCGTGAATTCATTTGGGCCGAATCTCTGGTGCAAGGCACTCGCGATTTCCACTCCTGCGGCAACCTCCCCGGGAGACTTCAATTTCGAGAGGCCTTCATAGCAGGCTGAAATAATCTCCGAAAGGTATTTATGAAGCGACAAGGTACGGATATCGGCGATGAACGTAGAGAGCGTAGAGGCGGTGATTCCGGTGCGGAGACGCTTTATGAATGCGGTATTCTTTTTGAGCGATGAGTCGAGGGACTTGCTGACGTCAAAAATGCCTGTATGGTTTATCAAACTGTGTTAGGAGTCATTTTGAAAAACTGGCGCAGAGGATGATCGAGGTCATACCGTCTTCCCCAGCCCACGCACGGTCATTTAGATCGCGGAGCTCCCCTAGAGAGAGCACTGTTAGATATGGAGTCTTTGACATGAAATGGTGATGATAACGACGTACGCTTCCTCTTCTGATCCATAGCCTCTGCTCACCTAGGCATGGAGGGACTTTGGCGGTCGGAGATTGCAAGTGTAGCGGAGACGAGGTTCTCTTATCGAGCCGGGAACAAGAATGCCAGACGCAAGCTGAACGCCACATTGGATAAATGGAGGTGAATGTCTGTCGCTATACGGAGCACCTTTTTCTGCCGACCTGACTTGATTGTGTTATTTGCGAAAAGGGCGAAAAAGGCACAAGAAAAGAAGTCGCACAGCTGCAACAGGCGCCTCCGTCAAGTCAGTCCAAGTCTTTTGCGGGCAAAAGTGGGCTGCCTTCCTTGTCTGCAATGGCGGTGGCGGTCTCCGCAACCAAGTTAACAGTCAATACCTTGCATTCAGTCAACATCTAAAGTACAGGTATGACTCATGCCAATACATATTTGCAGTTCTCTGGGACTTTTTTTATTTCGATATATGAGGATTTATTAGCATGAATCAACTTTGAACTCTCCCAACGATATATTAGGTATACGAAAATATATATATATTTACCGAACGAAACTTCAGAATTCTCTCAGTTCAATATCAGCCTTTGAATCAATTGATCAATTGATGTTGGAACAATGAAACACCCAGTCATGGTTTACAAGGAGAAAATCATATATTTGAACTCAACCTAACATTGACAAGAACAACATTAAAACGCAACATTGCATTGCATTGGTGGTCGCCTCATGCCACCAAGAAGCGCGGATCTCATTCTTGTATATGCATCAATCCAACAAGGATCCAGGTACATGCGTTTTCTTCTATATCAGATGACTGATATAGACAAGAGTATTGGCAATGTGAATAGCCTAAAAAAATGGCCCAGATGTTCTTCTAAGCCTCGCTTCGGTTTCTTCAATCTGGCATATAGATAGTCGCGATTTCTGCGAATATAAAGCACCGCTTTGCATACCGATTCTCGTGTATCGATCGGAACAAACTATTGAATCTCACGGTATTCATAACAAACTCGTCACTGTAAAGATTTTCTGAACCTGTCGTTTCCCGGATGCAACTCAATCTTGCGCAAATTTCTCTGTATAACCCGACTGCTCTCCCTTTACAGGCCGCAACAGCCGATCATGCATCTGCCGCTTGAGGTCCTGATTGCTCCAACTGTGCTGGCGAATGAAGTGCGGCTTCCATGATGAATTCTGCCCGCTCTTGTCCTCGTTGCTGCTGGTACTAAGCTTGGTGTTAGTTTTTTCGTTGACGTCGCGGCTGTTGTCTGCGGGGATTGTGGGGTTGGCTGTCTCGTCGCCTGCTGGTAGGACTACGGTGTGCTGTTTTGCGGCCTCGTCGGAGAAGGGGTCGCTGGTGTGACCGGTAAGTGGCATTTTGTATCCCTTTTCGTGCTTGTGTTTGATCGGGCTCGTGTTTGTGAGGCGGTAATGAGCAGCAATGAAGTTGGTGCGGAGGTTGGGAATGAACGTATGATAACTACATGTGGTGGCAATTTAAGGCACAAGCCCATGCATCCTCACATACATGACGACACCGTTGATGCAAACTGCTAAATATCAGACTTTAGGAAGGAATATAGACAAATTAGCCAGAGTACACGTACGAAAATATGGAAGATTGGTCAAAACTGGCAGAACGCCAGAGTTGGAGTTTTGAGGTGAGTTCGATAGTAATTGATATCGACATCTTACCCATGTAGTTACACCGTGCTATTTTGTTTTGTATAATAGATGTAGTCTATAAATTCAAGAATATTCTAGTTTTTGTAATTCTTTTTTATATCTGGAGCGTTCAAATGTTCACAGTATATGTATGCTAAAACTCTTACCAAACCAAAGCTGTTTATAAATCTGATATACAATACATCATTTACTTCTTTAACTTTTCCGTTAACTCCGGAACCTTCTCGAACAAATCTCCTACCAATCCCACATCTGCGACTTGGAAAATCGGGGCTTCGGGGTCTTTGTTGATAGCCGCAATGACCTTGCTGTCCTTCATACCAGCCAAATGCTGAATAGCACCCGAAATACCGGCAGCAAGGTAGAGTTGGGGAGCAACGTTCTTCCCAGTCTGACCGACCTGGAGACTGTTGTCGGCATAGCCACTGTCAACGGCGGCACGAGAGGCGCCAATGGCAGCACCAAGGGAGTCGGCCAAGGGAACCATGATGCGATCGAATTCCTCCTTTGATTTCAAGCCTCGACCGCCGGAAACGACGCGAGATGCGGTTCCGAGATCAGGTCGGTCTGACTTGGCTAGGTCTTCAGATACCCATTCTGTGGTGGATTCGGCCTTGGGGTCTGCGCCATCCACGATCTCTGCAGATCCGCCCTCGGTTTCGACTCCTTGGAAAGCAGTGCCTCGGACGGTGATGACTTTAATCGGGTCTTGTGACTGAACGGTAAGAATAGCGTTACCGGCATAGATGGGTCGGACGAAGGCTGTCTCGTGTTAGTCGCGCATTCGAGTCTACAACTCTTTGCTTGCGGTCACACATACTGTCTTCGCTCTCAATAGCGGTGATATCAGAAATCTGTTGGACATCGAGAAGAGCAGCGACACGAGGTAGAATGTTCTTGCCAAATGCCGAGTGGCCAGCAATCACATGTGTGAATCCTCCATTCTTGACGGTCTCGACGAGTAGCGGGGCGTAATTTTCTGGCAAGCTCTGTAGAGAAAGATGAATAAGTAACCTAGCCTAACCAAATTCGAGATTAATTGAGCATACCTTCTCATAAGCGTCATTCTCTACCGCCACGACTTTTTCCACGCCTTTGATCTTCGCGGCTTCGGTGGCAGCACTGCCCTTCACGCCGCTCCCGGCGACGAACCCTGTTATCGAGCCTCCGAGTTTCTGTGCTGCGGCAATGGCAGAGAGCGAGGAGGGTTGAAGCTTGCCGTCGCGCTGTTCAAGCACCGCGAGTGTGGACAGTAGTCGTTGGAGCGCCGATAAGCGGGCGTCGAAGATCGGCCGTGAGGGACATAATTGCGACCGCGCGACTCGCAGGACCGACGGCCTGGCGACAGAGATCATATTGAAAGAGACAGGCGGCTGGGCCGATGAGAATCAGAAGTTGACCTGAGTTGGCCAGCAACGCAATACAGGGTGAGGTGAGAAGTCGCTATTCCGGGTATTTGAGGTGGGCTACTACCTAATAGTAACAACTGAGAGTGAGTAGGCTATCGTCGGGTCGGCCAAGACAGTCGGCCCTCCTCGGCTATCTGACTTCTGACCTCATCCGTGCTTTCGCCGGAACAAAGATTTTTCCAGCCACATTAAGCGCCAAGAAGTTTTACATTCTACACCAGTAGAGCAGGACGACGTCTAGCATGACAGAAAACCAATTAATACTGTAGACAGCCGGTATCAACATATCAAATACATTTCGTAGCAAACAAAAACTCCCGAGTACGAATTCTTTTGGACGCCGCATAAGCCATGCAAATTACGAAGCCTGCCAAATTGGATGGCTGATTTATCACTTCCTCTTTGCGCTGGGTGATGTAGTGCCATCGTCAAGCGCTTTAGCCTTCTGCTTACGGAGCTTCTCGTTCCTGGCAGTGTCGTCCTCATCCACGGGCGCTTTTGATTTCTTAGACTTCTTGGTTGTCTTCTGCTGGACATCCTCTTCAGCAGTGATCTTTCTCTTCTCACCCTTCTCGCTTTCGATCTGATTTGTATCCTTCTCAACATTCTCCAAGACATCCGTCTCGTCTACCCACAGCTCGCTAGCCAGCCAAATCGGCATGGCCATTGTCGTGGGGCCTTTGATATGAATCGCTTTCACGTTGCGCCAGCCCTTGGTGATGAACTTTCCTGTCAGTCCATCGACGACCACCTTTACGTTCTCTGTCAATTGGTCAGGTGTAAAGCTGCTGGTTCCGATGCGTAAAGCTGTCGTGGCGGCAGGTGCAAGGTGAACAGACGCGGAGTTTAGCGCTTTCTCAATCTCCTTGGCAACCACCAGCGGGGATGCAAAAGTAGCATTAGACTCATCTTTCGATGACTTCTTTGTGTCCTTCTTGACTCGCTTTCCATCCACCTTGTCCACCTGTTCAATGCGGATGGGAATCGGGCGTTTGCTCGACTTGTAGAATGTTTTGCCTAGAGTCACAGCAAGGCGAGTGATTATCCGGTCATCGGCTAGGAAGACGTCGTGTTCGGAGAGCAATTGTCGACGGCTCTCAAAGCTCTTGTAGCGTTGCTTGAGTTTTGTGAAACCAATGACTTTGGTGATGCGAGAGGACAGGGTGGATGGGAATGAAGGGTCGGCAACGATATCTTTGAACGCTCTTTGGGGATCGGCAGTGATTATGCAGATGTTGAGAGAAGGCGAACTATTGAGAGAGTGTGGAATGCTGATTTTGCCGGGCTTTAGACGATTCTTGTCGACCACGTGCTTCTTCGTCGTCATGACAAGCCAAACAGGCTCATTGACGGACGGGACATCTTCCTCATCAGAGGAATCATCGTTATCTCCAATGAGGGTCTTTTTCGTTGACGTCTCTTCCAGTTCTTTCTGCTGCGATTTCATATATTTCAAAAGAGCGGTCGAGGCTCGTTGCACCTGAAATTGCTAGTTAGCAGATATCTTTGCGAAAAGGCTTAATCGAAAAGTACTTGATTGTTGTCAAGCTGGTAAGGTGTCCCCGACGCCACTTTCGTGGTAAGAGGTCCTGTTGCTGAAACCATTTTTGCTGTTCGTGGTTATCAGATATCACGACTCTCGCGATATGAGAAAAAAAATTAATCGTTGGAAACGGGCTTGGCGCCGGGTGGGTCATCGGTGGGATTGCCATTGGTGATTGGTCTGGTGAGTCATCAATTGGAGCCTGAGGCAAAAACTGTCCCCAACTGTAGTCACATACTATTGGCCCAACAGAGGATACTCAAGAATCTAGATGTAGAACCTGAGGATTGATGAGTACTGTAATTTTCTCTTTCGCAAAGATCTTAATATAAAAGGTCAATTGTTAGCCAACGCATTGTTTTGGAGTATTTCTTTGTGTCACAAAATAAACTAGCTGAAGTGTCTGCAACTAAGCCTGAAGAATCAAATGAGCCAACTAGGCTCGTCAATAATCCAGAGCTCTATATGAAGAAAGGGGTATATTTAGCTGTTAAATCGAAAGCTCAAAGTTTGTCGACAGGACTAATTTACACTGCCTTAGTTGCAAGCCGAGGTCGTCGGCTGCCTGGTAACCCTAATATAATTTAATAGCCTGGGATGACGACGCCTGGAAGCGTAATCTCTATTAAGATTGACATTATTCATGCACGGTCTTTTGCTTATATGTATAACGCTCGGTTGACTTGCTAAGACCCTTTCAAGTACGTACCGAGCTTGAACAACATCAAACCGACCATCCGGTGCCCGACAAACATTGTACTCAGCCCGTCAAGTGTCATTGATAATTCAATGTACTCGATTTTCTCGTTGCCAAGGATTGCGCAGGCTTCAAGTTTTCAATATCCATCAATTGGTGTTCTTTAGCAGCGATCAATTGTGGAATCTGAATCGACTGTTCGGTATCCGTACCTGACTATTCATGTATCTACAATAATCCAATGATCCACTGAATTGTTGACTCAAGCAATCAGCAAAAGTCTAATTACACTATCACTCAATTATTAGCAGGATGAGCTCAGTAGGATTACGTTTCAAGATCTTCTTCTCGACTTCAATTGGACATGAGTCGACGAGTAAGAAGGTTAGAATGAGGTAGATCATGATAAGTTCATGAACATCCTTTTTACCCATCCAATAATGAAGTATTTTGTGGGGATTAAATTATTACATCATTTGAATCACCGAGTACTCTGTCTTACAGCGGGATGTCGTAGTCTTATGAACAAACCCCACCAAATCCTGGCAGACCATTTTCGAGGTGGTCGATCGGTTGATAGCCTGGGATTAGCCGGTGACGCCGTTATTGCGGTATATTACCTGTGCGCATGCATGTAAATCTCGGGCGGGGAGTGAGACGTTTTGGTGGCGACAGCAGCCGTAATTGTAATTATTCTCCGTGCCGTCGACCGGCGTCGTGGCGGTGTAACAATGTAACAGGCGGTAACGCGGACACCGCCGCATGTATCAAATTGTCTCAATTGCCATTCTAGCGTGCAACCTTGAAGCCCCTAACACAATCGATGGCACTGCTCATTTAATACAAGCCAGTCTTCATGTGGGAGCATCAGTAGCCTTGTGCAACTGCATAAACGACTCCCATAGAACCGCTGGCCGCTGGACCACGGCGACGTCCTAGGATCCTCATTTGCGGGTCCCACTTATCCCCCTAGTGCGCTGCGGAATACGTATGCCTTGAGTCTGTCTGTACGGAGTATGTACTATATAGAGCTCGGTCCACCAACAAAAGCCCCTGTCACTATGTCGGACTACGAAACATAGTGCCCAATACGAGATCACCATATGCAACGCGGTGTTTGGGATGGATAATGCGAGCTGACGAAATTGATTATTGTCGTAGTAAAGAAGAAAGATATGCATTGCAAAGCTCCCCATGTGCCTGCAGGAGCACATGGGTGTCGACTAGAGTCTAGGGTGGGCAGGGGGTACGACAGGGGGGGATATATAATAGCCTTATTAGGAAGTACATTCGGGTTCATTTAGGGCCTGCTGATTGGCGCGCCGCGACTAGGACGGGCCACCAGCGGGCGCAGGCCAGGAACAGGAAATGGCAAAACAACCAGCTCATGGGTCCGGCCCAGACTAGCGTAGGCTTGGCCTCCCTGCAGGCCCCCAGCCAGCCTGTGAGGGGCGAGCATTCGGCTGGCCCATGGCGATTGGCTCGGTCGCTGTGCAAAAACTGCAGGTACTTTCCACATCAGGCAGGCAGGTTGGTTTTCCATGCCTGAGACGGGATAGCGCACAGACTAGCAGACCGACGCAGCAATAAGAACCTTACCGATCCATGCCGCGCAAATTAGACGGTATCAAACTAGCAGCGATGGACGGGGTCCCTGCCTGACGTATCAGGGCGATTAATTACTCGGCAGGAACCTGCCCCTGGTTGGGGAGGGCGACCCGCCCCAGAACAGAGACGCCAGTATTTCGCCTGTTTATCGCCATCCCGCCCCCTTCCTTAACTGCTTCACCTCCCGTCCGCCTTACGCTCCCTGCTCTTTTTGTGTCTCCAGCACTTTGAGAGATTCCCTCCGACCAGAGAGAGGCTCGCGCTCTCTACTACATTCATTAGGAATTTCTTGAACGCCTTCTCCAACCCACGAGGCTTGTTATCTAAAACGTTTCCAATCAACACCGTCTCCTATCAACAGTACATCTACACCATTGTTCACCCCGAGATCGTGCTGAGTCTCGTGCGATACCCAATTGCGAAATATATTCTAACATAGCCTGCCATCTAGTAGGACTCTGGACATACCGTCTTTCACTATGAAGTTCTCTGCTACTCTAGCCCTCGCCGCCGCGGGCTCGCTCGCCGCTGCTGAACACAACCATCGTCGTGGCCACGCCCACCACCACAAGCGTGATGTAGCCACCGCTACTACCGTTGTCGATGAGGTCATTACTGTATACCAACTCGATGGCACCCCGATCCCAGTCGCCGATGTTTGCAAGGGTATCAAGGACGGCGACTACAAATGGGCCAATGGTGCTGGTCCTGCTCATGCCTGCGACCCGGTCGCCACCAGCACCAGCGTCTCGGTCAAGGCTCACCAATTCCTCGAGACTTCTACCTCGTCTGCAGTCCCCACCACTTCCACAGTCCCAACCACTACTGCAGTCCCTACCACGTCTTCCACTCCCACTACCACCTCGACCACCAGCACCAGCACCAGCACCACAAGCATCAGCACTACCAGCAGCTCTGCAGCCGCATCTACTACTCCTGCATCTACCGGCATCAGCGGTGGCACCGGGCTCACTGCTCCTTTCCCCGATGGAGAGCTTTCCTGTGATACTTTCCCATCTGACTACGGTGCCGTGGCCTTGGACTACCACGGTCTTGGCGGCTACAGTGGTATCCAATACCCGACTATGAACGCTCTCGGAACATTGGTGCAGTCTATCGTCACTGCTGTCACAGGCCAGAGCTGCACTGAAGGTGCTTACTGCTCTTACCACTGCCCGCCTGGTTACCTGAAATCCCAGTGGCCTAAAGAACAGGGCGCAACTGGCCAATCCGTCGGTGGTATCACTTGCACGAACGGCAAGCTGCACCGCACCAATACTGAATACGATACTCTCTGCATTGCTGGTGTTGAAGGCATCACTGTTAAGAACACCTTGGGCGGCACGGTCTCTGCGTGCCGTACCGATTACCCTGGTATGGATCCTCTCAACTACGCTTGACCGTGCAGCCTTACCGTAAGAATTTGACTAACCTCATTGAAGGTACTGAAAGCGAGACCCTTCCTCTCGAGGTTAATCCTGGCTCTATCGAAAATCTTGCCAACCCTAACGGCGCTTCGTACTTCTTCTGGGAGAACAAGCAAACTAGCGCTCAATACTACCTCAACCCCGTCGGATTCGGTGCAGACAAGGCTTGTGTCTGGGGTACTGCGGCTTATGACCTTGGTAACTTCGCCCCAATGAACATGGGTGTTGGCTTCTCGGACGGAACAACTTATCTGTCATTGTTCCCCAACAAGCCTACCACAGATGCGCAATTGAAATACAACGTCAAGATTGTGGGTGACGTCTCTCTATCATGCTCCTACGTATACGATGGGACTAATGGGATGTACTATGAGAATGGTACTCCTAAATCCGCGGGATGTACCGTTGGAGTTCCCCAGGGTGGCAGTGCCCAGGTCGTCTTTTACTAGTCAATATAAGTGGTCAACTAGCAACTTGTCATGGATGGTTGTAATTCCAACGTTACGTTTCCAGTCATTTGCTTGTGGTTCAGAAAGAGACGGATTGTGACTTCTTTACCGAGCTTACGATCACTAACTTTTGGCTATTTGTTCGAGTTTGTATATCTACTATTGCTTACATACCTTTTGAGGCTTCGTATTACTTTTTAACTACTCTTATATCCCTACGCCGTCATGTCAAAGTTTCTTTGGAAGCATACGGCATGTTTTGAATTAAGATGTTTGACACCGTAATGCCATTTTAGGACAATCTCCGCCCTTAACTAAAGCCGTACAAAGTAGTAGCTTTGCTAATGCTACGATTGTAGAAACTGTTAAGATATCCGAATGCATAGATGATTAGCTTGCCACAAGCCATTGGCGCGTTGTTCCGGTATTTGCGCAAACCCTACTATTCCAGCCTTCAGTCGCGAATTCCAGATGATTCATTCTGCAAGCTGAGAACGAGGCGCCTCGGAGCCTGAGGCTCTGAGGCTCTTATCACGTGACATCGAAGTATATGTAAGCAACGCGTATTCCACGATCTACATGTTTTCGAGATATGCGTCCTAGAGTGTCGATTGAAGGCGTGTTTCTTTAATTGCTCTTCGTGACCGCGGTCAGTAATCCGCAAGCACGCAACACGGCTGCCAGCGTGCAAAATCTGACGGAGGTAGCGCGAGCAGACAGTGGGGACTGGCTGGCGCCTACCTCAACGCGTCTCGGGTGGGCAAGCGTGAAGCGCAGCGTGGACATCCGCGGTCTGAACGAGACGAGACGCAACGCACGGAAAAGCATTCCTGCAGCACACACGAACCGCCCACATTTCCCTTCACGGTGGTCGGTCACCTCCAATTCCCCTCTGACGCCAAGTTATTCTGTCTTCCCAGCCTCATAACTCGCTTAATCACTGGATCTTTTAGATCTACTTGTTTCTCCATTCTATTGTACTTTCTTGTATCCATCGTTCACTGACTCCAAAAGCCTTGATGTCCAGCCTCGAAACACAACGTGTCGAGCGTGACGAATAAGCTGTATACCTCTTAAGTTCTCCTTCCACTCTCGCTTTAATCCATTCAATATGGAATCGTCTCCTCCCAGGGCCGCGTCTAGTGGTGCCGGCCCTGTGGCAGGCGTGAAGCGTCCGGCCTCACTGCTACCAGCCTTCGAGCCTTTGAGCTCATCACCTTCTCTCCCACGACCGCAGAAACGAATAGCACGAGACGAGAGCGATTACCCAACTCCAGTGCCAACCTCTTCAACCCATGTCCTGTCATCGTCTCCTCCCCACCTACCACTGTCTCGACCCAAGCTGCAGCGTAGTGTTTTCTCTACGAGTTCCGAACGCGCCCCATTGTCGACGGTTCCTTCTCTGATGCTCCCAGAATCTGGCGAGCCTCTGCTCATGGGAAGATCTAGCGCGTCTTGCCATCATCAGCTCTCGGCGAATCGGTTGATATCGCGTGTGCACGTCAAGGCAACCTACAAGTCGGCCGGCAACCCTTTCGATCGTGATCGCGTCGAGATCGTGTGCACCGGATGGAATGGCATAAAGTTACATTGTCAAGGGAAAACATATGATCTGGCCAAAGGAAAGACCTTCTCGTCAGATATCAAAGACGCGGATATTATGATTGATGTCCATGATGCTCGTGTTTTGGTGCAATGGCCTCGAATCGACCGCAAAGGTTCCTCGGTGGACTCTGACCCAGCCTGGGAAGAAAGTTCTCCTCAGCGTAATCCTAAATCGCGTCCAAATGGCGCCGAAAGCCCCTTGAGAGAACCGATACGCCTCACATCACCTATATCCCCATCACCCGCGCTTCGGTCTCGCATCCCGCCATCTTCACCATTACCTAGTCCTAGTCGCCTTCAGAACACGATTACTATCTACGAAGACAGAGTCTCGTCTACGGACGAAGGTGAAGAAGAGAAACTAACTCGCGAATCACATACCTGTCCCTTCGAGGCGTCGAATGCCGCCGGTCAACACCTCGCGTCCAGCGACTTATCACAATCCTACGAAGAATTTTCTGATCATGACGAGGAAAACGATCCTATTGTTCACTCATTTGGTCCCTTCGGCGAAAACCTCTTACCACGTATGGCGTCTTTCCGTGCTGGAGATTCACCATCAGTAATTTCTCGTGTATCTCGCCTCCAACCTGAACCTCTTCGACCAGTGAACTCGCCCCCGCAGCCACTTGTAGCTCAGGCTAGGATCAAGGAAACAAATGAAGAATTCAAGATCGATGAAAAAAGAGAAGCTGCAATTGCAGCCATCCAAAATCACGCCGCCAATCAACTTGCCTTTTCTCGTCTATCGTCGACTCCTTTCTCTACCATCCTTCAGAACTTGCCGGTAACTCTCTGGAAAGATGAAACAACTTTGGTTGAGCGATTTTCACGACGGGAAATTAGAACCATTCTCGAAGATTCGAAATGCATTGGCGAAGTTGCACGCGAAGGGAAAGACGCAGCCGGAAAAGCCTTAGAGAGTGAATTTTACTACATCCCCGATTTTGATGAAGATGATATGCGTCGACAGGCTGTTGTTAATGATCTCCGCAAACCTGGTCTACGGAATTGCAGAAAACAGCACAAGGTGAGCCTAACTCTAGACTTCCGCGATACACTTCAGACCTTGATATTGATGACTTTGGATGCAGCAATACTACTGGCGGAAACCAAAGTAACGTGGACCTGCATCTCTTTCAACTGTGAACGTTTGCCTTGCATTTATTGTCGCGTTCGTTGTTACTCGATACCAAAATCATACATTCTTGTGAAATACTTTGACACCAGGTTTTTATATCCCATAATTTCGCATAGCGCTGCGTGGGCATGTCCATGTTGTATTTATTGTTTTCGACCCGACCCTTGATATTGTCGGGGATGCTCCATATATCGGTGACATGGCCTTGAATATGATGAATTTAGTATGTTGTGCCTCAACTGTTATTACGAAGGTTTACAGCCATGTGTCTACGTACAATGATTGTGTTCATTGCACGATTTACTATATGATGGAGATTCCTTTGCCATACACCTTCGTCTTGATAGCTTTATGCCCCTGTCCGCCTTCTTCTGTTTAATGTCCTGTATGACTAGTATTGTTGTAGTCAATAACATTTTATTTAAAAAACCTTTTGTCAGACTTAAATATGACGTATCTGAACCAAAACACTTGGTATGAAATTTGATTTCGAGGCCATGAAAAGGGTAAGGTAGCGCTTGATGCCGAATCACGGTTTTCAATTAATAACACAACCGAGCATTTCAACGTTGAAGAATATTTTAGGGGACGAACTTGACATGAAGAATTTAGATTCAAAATTAATCAATAGATCTAAGCCGAATACCAATTGAATTTCAGACAAAAAGTCGACCAAGAAATTACAGAATGATTCGCATTTGTGAGTGAATCACTAATTCTCAGTAACGCATGTTGATGTTGATATTGTGGTATCCATAAACCCATGCCACGTTAAAAATATTATACTTATTTCTTTCGTTCAACCATTAACGTATCAATAAACATATATATCGGGCAAATGACTTTGGGCTGGTACAGTAGGATTCGAATGACACAAGCTGTACAAACGAAATTTCACAATTATCATGTCAAGCGAAAGCTAGTTAGCCAACTTTAAATTCCACTGTCCAGAGCCTCCTTTGATCAATGCCGCCTTGGAAGTATTCCCGACATCGTCATTTGCATTTTTTTCGTCGTCTGCCACTGAGATACGATTCTCTAGAGTTATCCTGTCCTCCGAAGTTAAAGCAAACAATGCTGCAATAGCTGACTCTTTCAAAATCTTAACTTTCCGGATCTTGGTATCGAGAATTATCCACACTAAGAAGATGATTGAGAAGGTTACTTGGACAGCTAAGCAAGCTATGAAAGGCCATCGGACAATAACGTATGTATCGGGGGCGTAATTTCGCCCTTGAACAGGTGAAGGGTAAAGTGAACGAAGCCTGCAGAATGACAAATGACCAATTAAGTATAAGCTCGGTATTCAAGGGAGGAAAAGAGTTTGATTACCAATTAGTTACTCCCTTGGCCATGTTTTCGAGAACAAACTCAATATTCTGACGCATGAGAGGATCCCGCTCGGTGCCTGTTGTGACATTGAGTTTGTGGTTCTCATATAGCACCTGTCCCATTGCGTAGCTGAAAGGTGACATATCAAATAAGCCCCCTTCATTTTGATGATAGTAGTATGCTCCGAACATCATGCTTTGGAATACCTCGGCCATCGAATTTCCGATATTAGCATAGGTGTAATTTTGACCACCTACCGTGAATGTCCTATTATAGTTTATGACTGGTTTCGACCCGTCTGCAAGGTATCCATAAACAATCAAGTCAGTGACATTTGAAGTAGTTGAAACCAAGGTTGTAGAAGTTGTTCCGTTGACCACTGAAATATTGTAGGTCTCTATGCACATGTAGAATAGTGCCTCCATTGCGCGTGTATAGGGCATGAACAATTTTCCAATACTGGGTTCTTGGAAATCATTTGAAGCGACATCTGACTCGTTCAGATATATTAGCTGGGTCGCTGAAAATGCAGTATATGGGCGGCTGCTATTTGAAAAAGACGTCAGCCTTTCCCAGCCATCTGTATGGTCAGAAGCGTATAAATCCGACCAAAGCATTGTTCCAGACGTATTCAGAGGGGAAAGGAGGCCATGTTGAAGATATAGTTCCTTATTTTGATCAATCCCTGCTTGTGTGCAGTTGGTACAAACTGGGGCGGGCTGATTCCAAGGCTCCCATCTATTCGCTGCCGTGATGTTCTGCCAGCAGCATGGCGTGGCGAGTGTCTGAGTAACAATTTTGTCTATAATATCATGTGTATCGACACAAACCGCGAGCGAGCTGAAGGTTGGGAACTTGCAATTTCCTGATGTACATGTTGGCTCGGTGTAATTGTATGTTGAGTTGACTGAAGTAAACATGGCACTTATCAGGCTGCCAATGAGTTCGTTGAGTGAATCAGAATCACCTTCACGAGTATAATTAGCTTATATTCACCAAATTGGAAATAAAACCAACCAAAGTCATTTTTCATGCTATTAATGACAGCAGTCCCTCCAGTAGGAATGTACCGTGTACCTTGAGTAAGGGCAGCTTGGGTTATCGTCGATGTGACTATCGAGCTGACTAATATCACCGTGGCCATTAAGATCGAAAGCCTACCAAAACTATTCTTAGTGCGATGCATGGCGAATTGTCAGTGTTGAAGGGAATAACTGACCTTCCTTTTGTGGTAAAAACAAGTAAAAAGCTACCCCATGAGCCTCGACTGGCATTATCAAACTTCCCAAAGTCTGACAACGGCCTGTCCTTGTTGACAAACCAGTTCCATTTCATCTGCGAGAGACCCTGAAAAACAGGATTTAAAAATCCCGCCTGGCTGACGGCAGTTAAAAATGCCAATAGAGTATTGAGGGTGATCCCGAGAGGCCATGAAGGCATACTCTGTTGATTATACTGGTTGAGTACGATGACTATAGAGATAAGTGCGGCAACACTCATGGCGCAGGAAAGTATCTCGATGGTCCACCCTCGAGGCAATACTTCCAAGAAGAAATGTGAGATTCCGTGAACCGTTGAGTTCTTTTTGGTACTTCTAATACTCTTGATTTTTTCTTTATCACGAACATGCGTATTTGATGATGTTTTACCACGCCACGACGGAGGACCAACGTCTGTGTTATCCGAAGACACATCAGAACGTGCACGGCTTGAATTCCGAGAATGCGAATAAGATGGTGGTAATAAGTCGTTATTTGACGAGCGGCTTGGAGGGAGTGGTGGCCGTCGAAGGGGTTCATAATTCATAGCACTCATGTTGAAGAAAGGAAGTAGGTAAAAACTTTAACCAAAATATTCATCTCATCGCTCAGCGACAATACCAGCTCCTATCTATTAGTTATATTAGAGCTCATGGAATACATTAGAGGCGGCGGCTCCTCGTTGTACTTATTTAACACTTGCAAGTACATGTATAGCCTTGATAGCGTGAAACAAGGTCAGAACTCTTTCGTGCTCAATGTATTTTCCCGCCTGAGAGTACTGCTTCTTGAGATAAGTGCATAAAATCCAGCAAATGGGACAGAATAATTCTGAAGGCCGACTGCGATATGTTCCACATGTGCAGCGCCGCATGGCGACATAAGACGTGTAGTATGCATATTGCCTAGGACGCAGTAGCTTCTCTGCCGGCGTTTGCCAATTATAGACCCAGCCAATTATTGTACGGTTGCAATGCAGGGATGCGTATTCGAATGCTGCTCTGGAGATTAGCGCTGTAAGCCTAGATTGGTGACTGTTAAAGACGCTGTGTTTGGCAGATATTTTGTCCACGGCTAATAATGGCCAATCGGCGCCGACAGGATGATCCTTTCTGGTATGCAAGCACTTAAGTTTCCCGAAAAGACTAGTGGAATGGCTCACATAAAACTTGTTGTCTTCCGAATGGCTGGGATTTTTTTGTCTTCCTTGCATTTATACGGCGACAATTGGTGCTGGAAGCACTGGTGGGTGTGCAACCGGGTCGTATTAGACTGCGATCGGAGCCTGATCAGGAAACGGTTTCAAATTGGACATCTAAAAGCTTGTGGATATTAATGACATGAAACCTTTTTTATTTTCTCAATTCCTCTCACTAGGAATTTCAGAAATAGACCTCGTCGGCCTTCAAGCAAATACTCTTTTGCCTTGTTCTATAACTATAACTATAGGATTTCAGCTAATTCAAATGCCCGAGCGTTTGATCTATGGTAGTATGATGTGCACTCAAATAGCGAAAATGAGATCCTAGTCTTAAATAACAAATAATAGAGTAATATACAAATGGTACATACATTTAATAGATCAATGCTTTCTCTGCCCACATATTATAGAACAATCGTGACGTTTCCAGAGAATTGAAAGACTGAAGTACACTGATAGGCTGATTTGTACACCTAATAAGATCAGAAAACGCCACTTAACAATGACAAAAGATTCTAAAACGTTGATTTCTCCATCTACAGAGGTCCCTGTAGTCCGAAGCCTGGGATATTATCAGCACGATTAGTCGGAAAGTCTTTGAAGTCAATTTTGGATAATAAAACTGACCAATTTGTTATTCCTTTCGCTGTATTGTTCATAACAGCCTCAAGAGCTTGCTGCATTTGGGAGCCCCTCTCCACAGACGTGCCTCCGTCAATGTCAGAGTTATGATAGATGGCATTTCCGATGGCGAGGCTAAAAGGGGTCATGAGTAGCATGCCAACAGTTGTTTGGTTGTTGTATTTTCCCGTCAAAAAGCTATCTAAGAGCTCGCTCATCAAGTCACTAAGCAAATAATAGCTGTAGTTGTGACCATTCAACACAAATGTACGGTTATGCTCTGGTGTATAGTGATAATTATCTGTTGTGTATTCAAAAAGCTGTGTGTCTGTGACATAATCCAGAGTCTCTGTCACGTTCGTGACCGTCGTGCCATCGATTGTTGAGACAGAGAACTCTTGAGCGCAGACATAGAATAAAGTTTCAACAGCCCGTGTATGCTGTAGATATTTATCTGTGTCCGGCAAACCACCCAAATAAGTGTTCCAGGTGGTCTTCGGAGAGCCTAAATAAATGGTATAGATTGAATTAAGGCCATTTTGTGCGAAGGATTCGTAATCAAATGAGGATACTTGATTCCATGTTCCGTTTTGTACTCGCATGTTCGTGATATTAGCAACATATCCAGCACCAAAGTAGTCCAAATAGATATCAGGCGAGAGAGCTACGTATGAATAATTGCTGCAGATGTTGGGACCCCATGTTCTTCCGTTCCATTTATCCTCGTGCTGTTGGTAGCACCATTGCTGTGGACTAACCATGGTGTAAAGCTTGTCTGAGACATCGTGGCTTTTCGCACATACCGCAAGGGAGCCAAATGATGGATATTTGCAGTTTCCCGTGGGGCATGAGGGTGCATCGAAATCATATGTATCATTAGCACGAGTGGTCATCGCGTTCATCATCATAGTCATCGCGTCATTGACATTATGAAAATTGATACCTACATGAATAGGCGAACGTCAGTTACCCTCATTATTTGACATAACAGAAGCGATAGAGGGATAACTATCACGAACCTGAATCATCTATTGCCCTAAGGACAGAGGTACTTCCTGAACCAGGGACATATCTCGTACTCTGATTGAGTACCGCCTGCGTGAGCGTTGATACCACAGCAGATATTATCAAGAGAACGGCGGCTAATAGAGCTGAAAGTCTATATCATAATTAGAAATTATTTCAACAAGAATTTCAGTGGTCTTGGGAGTGACTAACCTTCCTTTCGTACTGAACCTAAGTAAAATGCTTCCCCATGCCCCTTGACGGTCATCAAACTTTTTGAAATCATGCAATGGCTGATCTCCATAATTGAAAAAGTCCCATCGTATTTGGGACAGACCTTGAACAACAGGATAGAGAAAGCATAATTGAGTAATAGCCGTCAAAAACACAATGACTGTGTCGAGGGTAATGCCGAAAGGCAGAGATGGGCTGGCATGTTGGTTATACTGGCCCAGAATTATAACAATAGTAAGAAATGCAGCAATGCTAATTATCAAAGAAACAACCCCCATACTCCAGCTTCGAGATGACAAGTTCGTGGAAAGATATTCATTATCTTTCCATTTGGGTACTCTCCACCTTGCTCTTCTTGTTTGACTCACATCATGCATGTGTTCCTCAAAGGCAGGGTTGTTGAACAGATGAACAGAAAAATCTTTAATAATACCAGGGCTGTCGGGTCTAATATGGCTTGTGTTCTGGGTGTCTTGAGATAGGGAATAATCGTTCTAGGAATCGTTTGGAAGATGAGGGACCGGCCGCCCTGGTAAATATCTCTGATTGCTCATTTTGAAAGAAGCAATGAATAGACAAGAACAATGACAGAGTACAAGAGCAAAACTGAAATAAAAGAAAGCCCATAAAATATTCAAATAATCGAGGAGTTAGAATGAAAATGACCTGTAGGTGGCTTACCTTCAAATAGAAGAGCTCTTCATTGTCAATAGCCGCCGTGCTAATGATCCCTGGTCTTTCAGCAACATTGCTCTAAGCCGAATAGTCTCATAATTGTGTGACTAATCCCTGATCTACTAATTCTCTACTATTTGGATGAGCAGACATCTCAGCGATACGCCTCTGCGCCGCTTTTCATCCGCATACTATATGTACGTCTGGAGCTGCGGCTAGCAACGAAAGACTTCCGGATCGCCTTTCAGTGGCAGGCCATATTTAGAATAAGCCAATCACTAGATGTGATCTTTATTTCTGAGACAGGAGGCTCAAGGATTAATGTTCTGGGATGTTGATCCAGTAATGTACCTGCTGATGTTTCCGACCAATAGCTGCGAGTCACATGGCGCCGACGTTATTTCGGTTATACATGGCGCAGACTGCCAAGAAGTTTGAACAAAGAACACGGATGGTAGTTGGTCTAAAAAAACATCTGGATCAATGCTTCTACTTTTAGTTCATTGTACTGAAATCGTTCCCTGGAGTCGCTCGGCGTTTAAAAGCTTTGTTCAAATTTAGGGCTTTTTTTCGCGCTGCACCCAATTGGGAAAGAGCTTCTTTTTATGACCGTTTAAATCCAGTGGAATTAGGCTACGGTTTATTGCTCTTCCAATTCACTAGAAGTGAAGACCTTGGCGAGATTGTAAATTTGGTAGTGACTTAACTTTTGTTATTCGCCTATTTTTTATTCTTGGTTAAGGATGCATATAGAGACAGCCTGTCGACAGATTGCTGGTTTTATTCATCGCACTAGACCTTGCGGACTTTTTGAATGTTGCCATAGAAGTATTCCATCTTATTTATTCAATCCATATTCACTTTTGCCTCGGATAGACCTTGTAGTCTCCGGTTTGGATCTTCGGTGTTCAGGCGGCCGCGCCACTCCAATGATTAGGTGCTGGTAGAAACTGCGATTAAGAATACTTCGCGGTTGATTTATTAACCTCATCTTTTACTATTATGGCAGGTGCGAGTGCAAATGTCTGAGAACAGACATTCGATTAGTAATGAGTGGGATTGCTCTAACTTGATATGGCAAGCAGAACCAAATGGTCAGTGACCAATCGGTCCAATCCATGTGTAAGAGTTAAATATTTGCCAACAATAATGCCCAACTGTCGACGTTGAACAAACCTACCAGCCGGTCAGAATACTCAGCCTACTTCCATATTCCTCCGCCCTTCACTAACATGGAGAAAATTAGTGTCATTATCTGCTAGTAAGATCCCGTTCCAAGTAATTACTTTAATGGAAGCGGAATCCAAAACTGATTTACGAAAAGAGGGGTTTTTAGCCCGTTTTGTGATATTAAACAGTTGAGCGCCTGCACTACCTATTGGAAATTGATGGTTTCCCCATGGTAGTGTTGATTTCTAAATGAAAGCCGACAGAAGAGTTTCTTTGAGTGATATTTATAATGTTATAAATAGAAGTTTTCATTTCACGTTGACCAATGAGCCGGCTGCTCCGCGATGTCTCTACTTCAACTTCCTAGTGAAATTATTCTCATTATCGCTCAATACCTAAGCACCCAACATGACATTTACAGCTTGATGCAGATAAATCGCCAATTGTATCATCTTCTGCAGCATATCCTGTATCGCTACAATGTCAAGTATGGCAAATGTTCGGCTATGTTGTGGGCCGCGAAGAAGGGTAACTTGGGTGTGATGAAGAAGCTTCTTGCTGAAGGCGCCGCGACAAATAAGATCGGGTTTAAAATTAAAGAGAGTCGCGACCTATGGAGTCTTTCCAGTTAGTAAGATTATTTCCTGGAAACGTACAGATATTGATTTTACTTGTCTCTTTTTTCTACCGATAAAAGCTCACAAATACAGATCTATATAGCAGATTTTCACCCCTTGGAAGTGCTCAGAACTTGGAAGATAGTCCACTTCTTTTTGCAGTAAGAGAAAACCATGAAGACATGGTAGAGTTTCTGCTGTGCGAGCTTGCAAAAGATTGTGAGACACCGGTGATGCTCATGCTGCAAGTAAATGAGACCCTTGCCACCGCCGCTGTCCATGGCTATAATGAGATTGTTCTACGCATGCTCAGTTGGGGCGCCGATATTAATTTCAAGATCACGCGTGGTATAAAAACATGGACTCCGCCTCTAACTTTAGCCGCCTCTAACGGACATGTGGAGACTGTTATGTTATTGCTCAAACACGGTGCCGACATAAGAGGCGGCAGCCGACAAGACTCTGCTCTATATGCTGCAGTGAGAGGTAATCAGACCAGCGTTGCAAGGCTACTTCTTGAGAAAGGCGCAGATCCGAATTCAATCTATGCAGATTTGCTGTCTCCAGCAGCGGAAAGAGGCGATGCAGAAATGGTGGATGTTTTACTTAGCATGGGGCCTCAATTCCAACGATCCTTGCACTGCCGGCGAGCCCTGTTTAAGGCGATTGAGGGAAGACATGAACAAGTCACAAGACTCTTGATTGAGAAAGGAGGGGCAGATCCGAAACTCTCGGACGATGTGAGCGGTCGCAGCACAATGCGAACTGCAATACGCCACGATCAGCCCAACTTGGGTTTAGTAAAGTTATTGTTGGAAAAGGGCGTTTTGCCAGACAGCCAGGATCTGCGATTGGTGAGGTTTCATGGAAACGAGGAATTGCTTCAATTACTCGAAGAGCATTCCGATCCCCGACAGGAAAATACTTGAGATTTCTTGCCAAGGTGTGTTTATTTCATGTAATTCCCAAATATGTATATGATCATAGAACTAGTAGCGAGTTTAATTGCCACCGTCGCTTTTCGTCCGCTTTAATCTTGCTTTTCGGTCTATCGATTGTGTCTGGTTATCGACTTTCGGATGATTTACACATATTTCAAGCATCAGAGTCAGATACATAGATGAGACCATGACCGTCCGGGAATAATGCTCTCGGTTGGTCACTGTGAGGATTGAAAGTGAAGTACCGGGATAAAGGATATTTTTAATGTCTCGTTAAAGGCAGAGATAGGAAAAGAAACGAGAAAGTAAGGCTCTCAGCAAGGCGTTTAATTGTTATTTATTCCGTAACCTTAGGTTACCACAAACGAACACGCATTGTCTGCAAAAATAATTGAAGAGCAAATTATTCTTCAAACCGTCAAATGGGAATGCCGACGAAAGAAAAGCAACTAATAAATTTGGTAATAGTCTAGCTGTAGCGGACCCGCTCCTCAGATCTTTGTGTTACGGGCAAATCTGGTAGTGCAGCGATGGTGGAGGAGGTATGAATACCCAAGCTTGGCTAGGAAAAAGCAATATTAGATCAACCGTGATCCACAAGTGTGAAGAATGAAGCAAATTTCATGAAAAGGAACGGCGCTATTGCAAATTTATTGAAACAAAGAAGGGCGCCAACACCACGATCGATAATACTAGTGTAATGATTGGGAGCCGTAGTCAATGACTAAGGTTGTATACTCCACACGCAATTCCACTGGCTTGTAGCATGAAGACATGAACGTGATGGGTGAAATGGTGCTTCCTTAGTGTACCTCCAGATCGGTAACTTTGCCTGCCCCCGCCCCTGGGACGCCGCCAACTGGCTGGGTCTGTCGGGGAGTGGAGCGCTTGTTGCCGAATATTGAAAGTTTATTGACGAATTCACCTAGAATTGTGGCATTTTTTTTTAAGGATCTTGATTGGCTTTTTCTGAATTAAGGCATCGCTGGTTCCATGGATCGCAGACTCGATCGAGGTGGTTGCAGATAATAGAGATGCCTGCAACAGCCAATCACCAGCGTTTTACACAACCATCACACTGGAAATAGTATATATTATCGCATAGCCGGACTGCTGATCTATGTCTAATCCGTGGGGTACAGGTAGGAGAATGACCGATCTTATCCGAGGATGAAGTATCCTTCCTTGATTTCAATTAGGGTTGATGCAGAATTCATCAAAACCAATACTTTTCATGAATGATTGCTTTTTTTTGGCTGTCAAATAGTCCGACATGCCCTCCCCAGGATGACCTTTCATGTAAATCCATCCACCACCATGTCTTTCCTTGGATCTCAATCTTTGACGACTTATAGCCTGGTTAGTGGTGTCGCTCTTCATCTCTTTGCACTGAGACATGGAGAGTGGGATCAAAGCGCCCCGACCATTGTGGCCTGGTATCTGGTTATTACAGCCCTCGGAGCAGGAACAAATTTGATACAGATACTTGTGGGAACTGCATCAATATCTCGGCTTTTGGGATGGCACTTATTAGGTTTGTTTGGCAGCATAGTCATCTACAGAGCATTCTTCCATCGATTACGAAAATTTCCCGGCCCCTTCGTTGCTGGCGTCACGGCTTTCTACGCAAGTTATCTCTCTGCAAAGAAGTTCCATAAATTCGAAGAAGTGGGAAAATTGCATCGGCAATATGGTGACTATGTGCGGTTGGGTCCTCGGGAACTGTCAGTTGCAGATCCACAAGCTGTGCCATTCATCTACGGCCCAACAGCGAAAACGACAAAGGGCCCCTTTTATGATGGTACACAGCCCTATGTTTCTCTGCACACGGATAGAGATAAGAAACAACATGCACGACGGCGAAGAACCTGGGACCACGCCTTTAGTACAAAGGGTAAGCTATTCAATTGTTGGCGACGAAGACTACACTGGATTTTTGACGCTCACGAGTTGATAGCTCTTCTTGACTACGAACCCCGCGTATCAAAATATAGTGCACAGCTACTATCTGTTGTTTCCCAGCAAGCTGGCCGAGCAATGAACGTTGCTCGCTGGTTTAACTATTACAGCTTCGATATCATGGGGGACCTGACTTTTGGGAAGTCGTTTGAGATGCTGGTCACCGGGAACGATTCATATATGCTTTCGACGTTACACGGAGATATGCAGTCTTTGGGTCCATTCCTTCATGTGATGTGGATAATTCCATTCTTTAAGAGGGTACCAGGGTTGAATAGAAGCTACGTCGCTTTTTGGAAATGGCTTTATGAGCAAGTCGACATCAGAAGCAAGGTGATTCCACAACTGGTCTTGGAGAGAGTGCAATTTGGGCTAATTTCCATTCTCAACAGAATGAACCAGAGCGACCGGATATTTTCACATGGATTTTGAAGGATTTTCGATCTAGGGACCAGACGGAGAAAGACAAATTGTTTTTACATGGCGATGCAGAATTAGCGGTCGTTGCTGGGAGGTCCGTCCTATTAATCCATCACTATAGTATACTTTCTGACGAAGGTCAGTGATACAACTGCAGCTACATTGACGAACCTATTTTACGAGCTCGCCAACTCACCAGAATTTACCGCCCGGCTCCAATCTGAAATTGATACTCTCATCGAGCCTACATATCGAGAGATGGCTCAGTTGACACTTCTCAACGCAGCCATTGACGAAACACTACGCCTGCACCCGGCTCTGCCTTCTGGAATGCAGCGAGTGACGCCGCCACAAGGTGTTAGAGTTGGTGATGTGTATATCCCCGGTGACTGTCTTGTGCAGATACCTTTATATACGCTCTTCAGAGGTGACCTTTTTCTAAATTCACGAATCGGGTTCTACTCAAGCTAATACATGCACCATATAGATGAACGCTGCTTCCACCAACCGCATGCATTTATTCCAGAGCGTTGGAGTACCCGACCGGAACTGATCAAAGATGGGTCGGCCTATATTCCATTCGGCAGCGGTTAGTAATTGGAGCTTCTATTCCTCTTAATCTTATTATTTCAATTTTAACAATAAGTTTATAGGGCCCTTTGGATGTGCTGGGAAACAACTTGCTCTTATGGAAATTCGGCGTATAACGGTTGACCTGTTGTCACGATACGATATTGCTCTCTCGAAGGAGCAGACCCACGAAGCTTTTTACGAGGGCCAGCAGGATGTTTTCACGCTTGTGCATGGTAGAGGACTGCAGCTTGTTTTTACGGAGCGAATAAAGGCATAGTGGAATTTGCAGAGCTATCGTTCGATGCTCGCTATATACATTATACATGCATTGAGCGTTCACTACCTTGTACCTATACATATATGGAATCGAACACCGGATTATCATAATGTAAAGACCCTAGTACCATCGACCCAGGGCCTAGACTCTTAATAGGCTAATGTTTTTGATATTTTTATTGGTGACACAATTGATCCTTTGGACCCGAAAAAGCAAATGTAAGCACGCTATGAACCAACTGTTATACGAAGGCGCCACCGTTATTATAATCATATGCAGATAAACGACCGTACTGGCAATGATAGACACGCTACGGACCGGTAAAATGCTTGGGCCTTGGAAAATACGAAGCAACTGAAACAGATGATCTACTAAACAAGGGAGAAGAAAGAAAACCACAGACGTCTTTTTATTGTGAGACTAGATTCTCACCCATACTGGCGTGCTTTGATAAAGCTATGGATGTCGAGTTCCAAGTAAAATAGAAGAACAGTGAAGATTCTCTTCGGGATTGATGGTGGGCGATGAGTGATGATGGGTGGTCAGTGGGATGAATAGATTTACAGTCTTGAAACCGCCCGAAGAATAAAAATTCAAGATACCAGTTAGGTCTTGACGATAGCGAAAAACCTAAAAAGCGGTTATCGAAATTGATGGATTGGTGCATGGATGGTGCTAATAGCTAAGGTGGGGTTATTGGGTGTTGCCGCGGTAAGCAAGGAGATAAGGACCGCACGGTTCACACAGCCCGCTCTGAGGGATGAGAACGAATTCTGAATTTTGATTAGTTCGACTAGCCACCTGGTAAGCTGCTCCGCCAAGACTGTCGTCAGCTGAATCTGCATGTATTTAAATGTTCAACATTATTAGGTGGTACATATGTAACTAGGTGAAGGTGGTACGATGTGGTGGAATCGGCGACTACTCAGGCGAGGCATTAAAAGGACAACCAATTTGCAGGCGCCGAGGCTCTGTTGCAGGGCAATCTGACGCACGTACGGATCGTCGACCAACTAAGGTACAATGACTATCTATGTGAACAGTGTTTACGGATATCAAACACTAGGACGTACGGCCCGACGTGATTGCAAGTAGTTCCGAGTCGCATGTAGATATAGTTCTAGTGTATATATTCGGCCTGATGTTCTTGCGTCTTATCTATCAATCACCCTCTTCTATGGAGGTCTCACTAAGTGTTCTTAGGCATACGTCGATTGGAGGCAGCCTCAATCCTTTACAAGAGCCCCAAGTGATCGATGGTGCATGCACGGAGTAACAATGATTAGTTATCACGCAGCACTGAGTCTGACCGATTGGACCACAGGGAGATCCCTGCATTGCCGGGAATAGGTCTAGGTGTATGGGGCTGTTGGAGGAGCCCCAGGAATTTGGAGATCATCCGGAGCCGCGGTCGCTGAGAATGATTGATAGCGAATCAGGAAAATGCGACAAGGCCGAACTTACTCCGGAGTACATAAGCCGTATTACATGGTGGTAAGAGTGGAATAAATGCGGCGTGAATGGCGGGTGAACGGCGTCCCCGGGTATTAGGAATCTGATTGGGGGCGGTGGGAGCGTAACTAGTGCCTATAAAGTGAACTCAGACCCAGGGATTGCCTGATTGTTGGGGCGCTCATAGCGCTGGGACGGGACAATGGCGATAGAGTCCTGAGGGCTGGGACTAGACCGAATGACGACATCGAGTGCCAAGCGCTTGCAATCATTATCGTGAGTCAAGACATGGGTTTCTTCCGCGTTAGGTAACGGGTAAGCGACAACAAAAAAAGAAAGTTCAGAGTCCAGACACCAGAGTAAAGGGAAGAGAAAAAGCAAAAAAAAAAAAAAAAAACGGAAAAAAACTCAGCGAAGGCTTCATTCCTGCACGTGGACCCTCGAATCCTCCGTAAGAACTAAAGCGGGTGTAGCCGGGCGATATTCGTCTTCTGACAGCCAACTTGTTTGGGGGTGATGTGTCTCATCTTTCGACTATTCATTGGAAGTTGGTACTAGATGGTTAATAATATTATGAAGTTGACAGTCCACGCTGCACAGACCGGACTTGCTATCTGTATCTCCAATTTCATTATTAGATGGGGATTGTGCACTGTGCTCCATCACCGAGGTTGTATTGGGAGTATTATGGTTTAGCAAATCCCGATGATCTTTGCCCTTCATGCTGTTGGAATCAGACATGATGTCGGCAGTGAATACTGCCGACATCACGTCGCAGTGGTTGACTGTAAAAATGCACATCCGCTGTGCCTGTACATTCGGCGACTAAATCTCATTCTGTCACCCACCAGCCCAAAGTGCAATGTCTGTCATGTTGTGCAACACTGTTGAACACATCCGCCTTGCACCCTGGACAGCACAGGCCAACCGGAGATGGGCTAGCGCATCCCAAGACGAATCCTTCCCCCCACCATCCAACTAGTCAAGTATGTAAGACGGTAAGACCGCCACTCATTTGTTGTGAAGCTCGAGCAAATCACACAGAATCACGCTAGACTACCGGCCCAACCAGCGATGTTTGATTGGACAACTGGTGTAGTTTTGGCCAATGGGCTCTGCTGCCATGTCTCCGTGTCCCTTGCTATCCGCAAGTTTAACCTTGTCTTGAATGACCCGTAGCTGAGGACGTGGCTTTGTAGCTGGGCTGGTCGAATTATTCCCTACCTCCGTCCCTGTTGCTCTGCTTTCTTTCTGTCCGCCCGAAGCTGTCATCAAATCGACGAATTCTCTTCCCCTGAGCTGAGATAGAATCATGGATTCGCCCAGGATGCCAGCCGGCCATTTGTGAAGTGACTTTGCCCACTGAGCACTTTTCTCAGACGATTGCCTGCGTTGTCGTCTTGACACGGCGATCCTCTAATTCTTCCTTCTAATAAGATTGACTCCGCTGGAAGAGACGAACAGATTTCCTGCGACGCGACGACGAAGCCGCCCCTTGTACCTCGCAATTCGAAGAGAATGATACCCCCTTGACAAACAAAAAAAAATAAAAATAAAAACATCCGCATAATGTCGAATCTCACGGATGTGCCAGCCGACATAGCACACGCCTTCGAGGTGGGCAATATCCCACCCGGCATCACCGTCGAATTCTTGATGGAATCGCGCGATGGTCCGACCAAGGCTGCGATATACTTTCTATTCTTTTTCACCTTCGCATTGATGTTGGCCCGGTGCTATTCGCGCATATTCGTGGTGCGGAAGTTTGGACTTGACGACTGGCTGGCGTGTCTGACCCTGGTACGCTCCGCTCCATCATTTCTACACAGCGGTTCGAAGTGGTAACTGGATGCTGACAATGCGTTTGATAGATTATTTATGTACCCGTTCTTGCACTTGCCATTGTATGCATAGACAATGGAAGTGGCAGGCGTAGCGCCTACGTCCACTATGTCATGTCGCTAGACAACGACCGCTCCAACCAAGCCGAACTCGATGACCTTGTCTTGCATTTTCTGTACACCATCGCATTGTTTACCTGCCGTCTGTCGGGCCTTGCGTTCTATACCCGTCTCTCTGCCGCCCACGATCATCTTTTCCGGACCATCAAGATCTGTGCAGGCATATTTGTCGTCGTCTTTATAGTCCAATTCTTCCTCCTTCTATTCCACTGCATTCCCGTGACTGGCAAATGGCCTTATTCATGGCAACCGGATTACCACAAATATAATTGTATTACCTGGGGCGGAGTTTACATTACTATGTCGGCATTGTCATTTATTTGCGATGTGATCATGTTTGTGATTCCTTCAATGTTGATTCACTTACTTCATGTTCCGTTGCGAAGGAAACTGGGGCTGGCACTGGTAATGTTTCCTGGTGTACTGTCAGTATATGTCCCATTCGTTAGTCTGGAAACGAAGCCAACAACGCACAAGAACAACCTGCTAATCTACTTTCACGCAGGGTCCTACTAATAACGATCGCTCGCATTTACCTTGTCTGCCTCGGCCAGTGGTCCACCGATAACACCTGGCTGTATGACCCTCAGCTTGCGGTTGAAATGGCCGAAATTGGCTCTACACTCATTGCTCTTTCTATACCCGCCTTGAAGCCATTGTTCGGTGTATATGTCATGACCAAAATTCGTTCGTCCAGCGACGATAACCGTAACGATAACATGCCGTATTCGAACCAACTTATTCGGTTATCCTGAAGATACCCCTTTGGATTGTTACGTTGAGAATAGCGTAGCTTATTCTATGACATTTCACCATTGCGGGTCCCCTCCATACGTTTTTTTGTCGGCATATATGCTTGCCTAAGGCACCCGGTCACGTGGGAAGCAAACGCACAGTTTGCTCTATTGTCAGAGTTGCTCCTCTCTATAGGGTATGAGGAGTGCCTCCCTCGGCAATTTTACTGGCGTTTTGCTAGGGACAGTGTCCACGATGGTGCTATCTAGCGACTATAAGCTGTTATGACGTTGGAGAAAGCTCGACACGCCGAGATGGCTATGTTTAGATCCACAGCGAATTTGTTAATGGATAATCCGTTAGGATTAGGTCTATTGCAGAAAATTGGTGTGGTACTCAAAGACCGCCCATCCAAGATTTTGCCCGTAGCTTGGGCATTCTTATGCCTAAGTGACGTGAGAAAGCTGGAAGGGTTTGAGAAGAACCTATCGGATATGTCTGAAGGCGCAAATCATTGGAAATTAATATTAAAAGCCTTGTATTGTCACGGAATCCTGAGCTTTTAATAACCACCATGCAGCCATGTAAGTTTTATGTCCATCAATGTAAGCTATGCTAACAATATAATAGGCGCCGCCTGGCAAAAAATAGATCTGATTCTTTAGATAAACCCCTCTAGGGAAGGAAACGCAAAAGAAATGATGCTTCGCGTCACAATTCATCGCCTTTAGCCACAGCAATTGGCATTTTCAAACGCTTGAAAACGTGACAAAAACTGTATAAATACAGAGACTGATCATTCCGCTATTCTCGATTGTTCTCATAGTCATCCTTATTCAATGAATAAGTATAAAGATAGCGAACATAATGATGAACGATCAAAACTTTGGAATTATCTGAATTGCTTCTGGCCCGAGGATGAAGTTGAAGCTTGGTCCAAAGTATTAAGTGGCTGCCGGGGTTCAGAGAGACTGGAAAATATTATTACGATGGAGTACTCAGTGTACAGAGCTGAGGGTTCAACCACGAAGAATCCAGCGCTAACTAGTGATCGATGACGCTTATATTTCATTGGCTTATAAAGAATACGAACGCTTGCTCTACGCGCTCCTAGAAGAGTTGGTCCCAAAGCCTATAGTATCACGATCGACAATCCTCATCAGATCCGGAGATCTCACCCCGCTGATTACAATTGATCCAGTACAACTTCGTCTTCCAAACAAGAGTCTAATTACGATGCATTAGCATCTTAATAGGATTGCAACTATGTCAGCTGCAGTCGAAATTGATGACTATCACAGACGTAAAGAGGAGGATGACGACGATTACGATGTCCACGTCTTATGGCAATTACTGGCGATGATTCCAATCACGCAGAATGTATCATGTGGAATATACACCAATTAATGTGAAATTAAGAATATAGAGTTAGTATGATCCCACCCGTGGATAATGCTGAAGGTTGAAATATTATTCATATTAGTATGGGGAGGTCTCTTTTACCCAATCTACTTTGGTTCTATATTCAAACATTTGCCATTCTACTGGATCTAGAAGCGAGAAAGCAGGTACTCTGTCTGTAAATTGCCAGACTGTCTAATGAAAAAGGCGGTAGTCCAACATAATCATAACCATCAACATTTTCATTCTCATTTCAGATTTTTCAAACTATGAGCGCATGGCTGCCCGCATAAGAAAATGAATGCCGTCATGTTTCTTTGGTACCATTCCAAAAACTTGGTGATACCTCATCGACATGTCCTATAAGGCGTTCAAGCGGTAATATTGACGAAAGATTTATTTCCCCTCATATTTCTTTCTACACCGTCTATTTTTTTCCTTCTATGTAGCAGCCCGCTAAGCAAAATACTAACGCCAAGATGCATATAGACGAAGACACCCAGTCTGAAATGTCTTACTTGCCATTATCCCACATGTCTATGACTGAGACTGAGGTGCTAAGTAGCGTCGATGATTCTAGTTCCGCATACAGGAACAATAATCCTGTTCCTCATGTGTCGCAATCATGTACTCCCTGGGTCGACACGAGACTTAACGGCTACCGGCCTTTGCTGCCATTCCCCTACAAGTATCCGATTGAAAAGCATGCTGGACCTATGCTCATCCCACCTCACGCTGTCACCCTCTGTGGTGTGTGTGGCATGTGCATCACCCTCGAGGATGAGCGGGATATGCTGCCGATGAATTACGCTCGCTACAACAACGGCCAGGCTGCTGTGGAGCATATTGATGCCGGAAATAGAGAGCTTCAGAAGCTGCAAGCAAAAGGGGCAGGTGTCGATGGTGAATATGCAGGCGAGAGAAAGTTTGGTGTTATGCCCAAGCCAGGTTGGACTGGGCTTTACCGTGTTTGTGAGTAACCCAGTCAAGAAATCTACATATGAATGCTCATTTCACAGTGATTTGTCGCACAAAGCTTCCACCCAAGCGTGGAATGTCGCAATATCATGTTTCCGGTATTGGCCGTTTCCATCTTTGGGACAGCGATCCTGAAGCCCGTAAAATCCACGGCAACTCGGCGTATGGCGAACTTCAAACCGGTGACGAGTACGAGCCTGTTTTCACCGTGCCTTGGAAGAAAGATGAGCTGCTCATTGACCGCCAGCACTTTTACAACAAGACAATCCCAGACGACGAAAAAGATACCACGACTAGCAAGTCTCTTGTTAAACGTATCAGCGTATATCCGGCACATTTCCACGATCAAAATTATCAGCAAATCTACCCTCATGGGTTCCCAATCCATGCAAACTGCTGGGCTTTGGCTGAACGCGTTATTGGTAGTGATTTGATTGAAAAGAATCTCAAACTGTTCCTGAATGTTCTCCAGCAGCGATGGAAGGATGAACCAATGTTCGTAGATAGTCAGGAAATCGCCAATTGGATTATTGACCGAGGTTCGTGGCGCAGTGGGTTTTACTCCGACTATTTCAATCAAAATTACCGCTGCGAGTACGAAGTCAATCGCAACCTTGTTGCCATTCGAGACCCTATGTGTGTGTATGAAGTAGAAGAAATTATCGCTGAAAGCGCGAAGAAATACACCCTACTGAAGGAGAAAATGGGAGACACTGTACCCGCTCCGACGACCATCATCACGTCCAGTTTCATTCTGTACAGCATACCGTACGAGGTCTGGATGGTCATTTTCGACTGGCTGCATTACAGCGAGATAGTCAAGCTGCTGAGTGCGGCGCGACTTCGCATGCCCTGGTCCTACTGGCAGCAACGTGCCCCGAGAGATATCATCTGGGAGCTTGATGACATTGATTTGCAGACTACCCCAATCGACTGGCAGCACTTATGTCTACGTGCTGAGCGCTTGTGCGAGGAGTCGCTTGGTCTGATTAACCGCCAAAGGATTTGCAATATCTTGAAGGAAGTTGGTCAGAAAGTGACCTTCTTCTCCGATGTTGTAGTTACCGATGATCAAGCGGAAACCCCAAACACAGCAGTACCAGTATCAGATTCTGTGGCTATCGAAACTCGCAGTGCAACTGTCACTAGAGACAAGTCAAGAAACGAGGAAGCTCCTGAAGAGAATCTCTATGATGCCGCGGAGTCTGAGGCAGATTCAGGACTTTCTGAATGGGACGACGAGTACGACAAGGGCGACTACCAGGCTACAGCTGAATGGGATAGAGTCACACCATAATAGGTTGATGACTGCACTTGATGTTCTGGCCACGGTCAAGATAGAACGAAAGGAGTTATTTAGGGAGCCCATTGCTGATGTTGAGTAACAGATGTTATGTTTAGAAACGAAATCTAGTGATCATTGACAAAGAGTTTAATTCCACGAATTTCCATTCAACCCTTGACACCTTAATGGTGGAGATTCCCACCATGGGAAATAATACGACCACTCGACCAGGTATACTAGATAAAATAGGCGGTCAACCAATATCTAGCCAAAAGAGGGAAAGCTTAGCCATTATTTTTCAGTTTGTTAGGCGAAATGCGTTTGCACAAAAATGACCCTTTGTATGGGAGAGTTCTGCACCTACCACCTGCGGCTGGAACAAAGGTTAGATGATGGTGTATGCATTGGTTCTCACCAATTTGAGATGATAATGAGCAACTATTAACTTCTTGTTTATTGGTTTATTTGTCTAAATTAATTATTTGAGAGCAACTGAAGTCCAGCAATAATCTTTGAACGTTCACTTGTTTTCTTCGAAGCAGCACTTCGGTTCTTCTTGTGAATGCCCCTTGTCGAGCACTTATCAGTACTCTTTAACCATTTGAGACACTGGGTCTGTCAAATATCCTGCTTCGAATGCAGCATCCACAATCTCGACTGCAATGCACCTTTCTCTTACCAATATCTTTACCCGGCATCATCGTAGGTGATGCTGTAGGCAGACGTTCACAGCATCCACAATTCTGATCACGCCAGCCTCCACGGACCTAACACTCCTGTTGATTTTTGAGCTGATGCTTTTCTCGACGACGTTGCAGGCTATATTCGTGGATCCATGAGCCGTTCGGCGTCATGTTTACTAGGTCGGCTAGTTTTCGCCTTTTGGTTCATAGAATTCCCGCAGCTTATTCTTGTCACATTTTGAGGTGTTGGTAATGTTGTTCCTCATCTTGGGGGAAGCTCTTGTCGTCCCTAGATAAGGGCGGTGACTTTTTGAGAGCATTGATCCCCTCTTAGAAGTAGGTTAGTTTTTGATAGTATTCACGACATTGATTCTCCAGATCGATGTAGCTCTTGATCCAGCTTTTCTGAGGTTCCGGGTCCTCATAGCAACTGAAACTTTTGTTCTAACTGCGCATTGCCTTACCTCGCGGGTAGAGGCGTGCCGCGTCAAGGTTTATTTCGGTAAGAATGAGGATTCCCATCTTGTTGTTTTCTCTTCTCGACAATCTGAATATTGATTTGGACCTTTCCAAATAAGGCGATTGACTGCGGAATGTCAAGGAAAAGATGTGAAGCGAAAAAAACGAAAGCCTTTTGATGAGTAATACAGTTGATGAGTGCCAGATCATGTCATTGTGTCACTATTACCGCGATTAGCAAGCTTCTGCCTATGGAACTGCCTAACAATATCACACTTACCACCATAGGCAAGTCCTTGAAAATTTGATCCATGATATAATTGCATCAAGAATTTTTAAAACATCGCTCCCCGTGCCGAGAACCACCCTTGCACTGCATCAATCCCCAGTCTACCAGTCAACATGATCTTGCCAAACATATCTATATCATCCGGCTGCGCGTAAGCCAGTAAATCCGTAAAATCTAGATCCCAAACTAGAAATAGGTTTTTCTGCGCATATGCTAATGCGAACTCAAATGGTGACTGGGCTTGCCACAGCTGCGACGATATGTACCAACAATGTGGGATGCCTAGTTTGTGATCACATTGCAGATTCTGGCTGCCGCGTAGAATCTCCCATATTCTAGTTAAAAAGTTGGATAATAGCATTGTGCGGCGTGTAGATTCATCAAAGATCCATGTATACCAAAGGTTTTCTTCGGGGGATGAGGACCGGTTGACTATGAGAGCGCGTCTAGGGACGTCGCTGAGTGATAGGGTATCTTCAAAACACGTGTGACGTAGAAGCGCGGCCACAGCTAAGCGGAATGATGGCATGGCCAGCTCAGCAGCCATGCGACAGGACACATCGTCGGTGAAGAGCCGGATTGTTTGATATAAAATTAGAGCTTGCACACGTGCTAGGCATTCAAGCGGGGAATCTGGTTGCTCCGAAGCTAGAAGTCCTGCTATACGAGATTCAATGATTGATGTTATTGTTGCAGAATTTGCTGCATTTCTTGTCAAGTGTAAGGAACAGCATGAGTAGGCATCTAAAGTTGTCAACGATTAACTTTGAGACCCTGAGACCAAGAATTAAAAGGAGCCAAAAAAAGCCATATGTTTCTGCAATTATTCGTACCTTGCATGGATTGTGGCATTCCATTTCGATACAACAGCGGATGACACCAAGCCGTCTGGTTTTCAAGCACCATAATCCTCGGCGCGTCCAATAATTGCGTTAACGCAAACCCTATCCGGGACATGACATCGGGTGGCAGAGGTGGGAAGGTCGGTGGGACCAAAAGAGTAATATCATCTACTCCATATATATCAAAACGTGGTGGCGGCGGCAGTGGATGTTGTTGATGTTGCTGCGTCATTGGCATGCTAACAAGGCCATCAAATGAATGCAGGTCGAGTGGACTCCGATTCCCAGACGAAGCGTGGCCGTGGTTCAGAAAAGGATAATGGCAATTGAGCTGCCGTGTACTACAGCGCGAACAGGTCGGTAGTGCTAGATCACATCGCCTTTTGGCTTTGGCGCATGCCATGCAGGACTTGCGGCGCGGGATGCCGCCATCGCGCTCTTTGAAACGTGGCGTTTGCACAACGGACATTGCGATAGATTTAGGATGAAGAGAGACTTTTGATCATATGTCATATGATGCATTGGGTTTGGCCCCAGGCGTCTGTCCAATGTCTGCTACATGCTTGATTTCCTGCGACAGATGGCGGAAATGCGACGACGACGTGAGGAACTCCGCGTGGGGCCATTTTAGCTGTACTCGACACAGCCAATAAAACTGCCTATGGTACACCATGACTTACCGTTTACGGACTGGGCGGGCGGAGTTCCGTCATATAATTCTTCAGCCCACTTTACCTCAGCTGCTTGTATCGTCTATTATTAGCTAGATAGAGGTTGGCGGTTTGCACAGGCAGCAATCTATACAGGCTGGGATGTGAGATTGTTGGGGAAAACTGGGATATAAAATGCGGGACTTCACCCTGTTCAAGCTGCTTCGAAGCATTGTCTATCTCAACATTTCGTCTATCCAAATACCCATTTCCAATCCAGAAACCTTCATTCACCTCTCAACATGTCTAATAACACCTTTTTTGTGACCACTGTTACTGGCGTGCAGGGTGGTGCAGTCGCTCGCCACCTGCTTAAGCAAAATGCCACCGTCCACGCAATAACGCGGACAGTTGACTCTCCTGCTGCTCAAGAACTGCAATCACTCGGCGTCAAACTCTTCTCTGGGAACCTCGATAACAAAGAAGCCCTCAAAGCTGGTATGCAGGGCTGTACTGGTCTCTTCCTGAACCTTCCACACGACCCAACCGTCGCCGTTACTTATGCTCAAACCATATTGGCAGTTGCCAAAGATGCTGGTATCAAACACGTCGTCTACTCGACCGCATTGGGAGTAAACGCCCCAGAAAAGTTTGCTGCCTGGGACCCTAACGGCATGATCGCTATGGTTATGCTTCCTAAGCAGACAATCGAAAAGCTACTCACCGATTACGGCTTTGAATCCTGGACAATTGTGCGCCCCGGTAATTTCATGGCGAATTTCACCAAACCAAAAATCTTGTTGACCTATCCTGGTTTGGAGACAACAGGGGTTTTTCGTACGTCGTTTGAGAAAACGAATGTTATCCCAATGGTGGATCATGATGACATTGGCAAGTTCGGTGCTGCAGCGCTGCTCGATCCCACGCGCTTCAACAAACAGGCCATCGAGATCGCATCAGAGCTTATGACCGTTGACCAAATCATGGCCGATTTGAGCAAGGCTACAGGCAAAAAAATCTCGGCACACTATTTATCAGACAAGGAACTCGAAAGTGAAGCTGCCCAGGGCAGCCCAGCTTCGTGGCATGTATTTTTGCGGGATTTGGCCCAGTTTGTGGATGAGAATAAGCTTAAGAGTTGGGGGATACCATTGAACTCGTTTTCTGATTTTCTGGCAAGGGAGAAGGAGGCCGTGATTGAGACATACTCACAAGCTCCTTAGATAACCGCCAAAATTCTTATAGTGTATGAAAATGGAGAAATGAATGCATGCAGTTTAGCTTCTTGTCAGCATCTACCCCATTAGTTAACCTTAAGAGCATGAATGGGATAATAAAACTAGAAAGTCTGGAATTAGGTGTAGTTCTAGACCGTAATACATTAGGTATATTTAACAGGGTTACAGTATGGGCTTAGAAAGTTAATTATAGCTTATAGGATGTACGTGGGTTCGAAACGATCACTGGAATTGATGGCAGAGACTCTTCGGCTAGAGATGAAACCTTTTGCTGTTGATGTCCTGTCTATCGTAACCGGGGCTGTAAAGACTCGGGGACAGACTTTATTTTGACGAATTTTCCTTTCCCGAACACTCTTTGTTTAAATCAATTGAGAGCTTCGTTACACGAAGGGCATAGGGCGACGATGGTGTTACGAGAATGGATCTGATGGACTATTCAAGCAAGGTTGTGGACCAGGTCACTCGCCAGGCAGTAGGAAAGTTTTGGTACGGCGACCGCGCATCTGCAATGAAGTACATTACAGCGTACTTCCCATCATGGATACTGGTAAGTCTCCATGAACTGTCCCATTTATTTGAGCTACCATAATGAGAACCCTTGCTCTAACTGCCATGTAGGATAGTTTTGTCCTGAAACACACTGGCTTGGATGTAATCGCCTCTGAGCAGCAGAAGGCCTTGTGATCAAATATGGCAGGCCATGACAGCGCGTAAATCGAATAATATTGAAGTATTCAAAGTTGAAAGGACATTGAGCTGGAGACTTATTGTTCCTATAATGTAATGTAATGTTATATATACCAGTTGAACAGACGTGGACATGATAAGCACATGGAACCCTTACTAGACTCGGACTGAAATGAGTGGATCTAGTCGATAGACAAGGCTTCCTGTGTTTCAAATCTATCGATGAAACTGGTAGTTCATGAATGCACACTTTAGTCTTGAAGATGATTAAATGGGGCGCTGCGCCATAAGAGGCAGGCTTTTCAAGATCGCATGATGCACTCCTGGAGGCAAACCCGCCACGGGGATGAGAGTAAAAACTTTGAGAGCACAACTTAAAGGAAAATCTATTGTCTACTCTAAATATGTATAAATATGCATCCGTTAACTAGAAAATGAATCTCATCAATCTGAAGCCCCTTTCCCTTTGTACAAATCGTACAAATCTCGTCCCGAGTTCGCCGACCACGGGCGAAACTTCTTTGGGTTATTTTCGATTCTCAGAAGCTTTCTTTTGTTGCTTTTGATATCTACGCTGTCGCCAATTGATACCTTTGTTTATTATAAGCCACAGGCTGGGGGAAGCTGCGACAGCAATTAACCCTAAGGTAGTGTATGCCCAACCATCCCCCATTGCTGCGCTCATAGGACTGATTGCAGCTGACGCGGCGGCGCCCAACTCGCAACGAAATAGATTATTAGCCGCAGTGGCAGCTGCAGATCGATCGGGCCATAAATCAACCATCAGTGCATTGAGTACCTGTGACGTCGCTTGCAGTCCCCATCCTGCGAGAAACAGGAGGATGATGGGGGCAGCCAAGTTGACATTTCGGCCGACAACCCAGCCATACGCTATCACTGTTACCACACTCAGATAGTATGTGGGTAAAGCGACCTGTAACCGAGCCTTTTCGATGTTGAAGTTGGTTATATCTTGTCGAACATTTTTCAAGATTGGGAATCCTGCGCGTTTCGCATTTCGGCGATAGTTCCAGTCCACGATTCGCCCAGTTGTGAAAGCAGATACAATTCCTCCTCCACCAATGGGGAGATACATTAATGCAGTCTGGATATTGTTGAAATGGTAGATATTGTGGAAAGATGTTGTGGCACCAGTCATGACGGCATAGAAACATGCAAACATTAAACCGGTCGTCATTAAAACCGCACCTGTTTCTAAGTCTAAGCAGATCCTCAACGTCGGCAATGGTGAAGGTATGCGCAGAGTATAATTTTTTCGAAGTTCGGCAAGTTTCTCGGGGTTCGGGACAATTCCATTCCTCTTTCGTCTCCGATGTCGAATAAAGTCTGTCAGCGACATATTCAAGGGAGGTGGTGGAATTGATCCGTCTCCGACTACTTTTCGACACGTTTCTGGTAGAAGCAACAAGAGAAAGGCAAAAAATGTCCCCGAAAAAATCAGAAGAAACCAAAAGATCCAATGCCAATCTAAATATTGGCTTATTAGGCCACCGATGATCGGGGACAATGAAGGGCCCAACATTGATCCCACAGAAGCGAATGCGATGTATGCGCCGCGTTCGGAGGCAGAAATCATGTCACCCACAAGGCCATTCGCCAGCGCAACAGTGCCGCTACTACCTGCGCTTTGGAGACACCGAAGAACCATAAGAGCAGCATAGCTGTTTTGGAGACTAAGACCGAGATTTGCGGCCAAATAAATTGTGAAGCAAATGATATATGCGGGTCGTCGTCCTGCTTTATCGGAGAAACCCGCTATTAACATTGGCGCAATTCCTTGCATAATCTGAAAGAAACAGTTAGCTATATCAATGCTCAAATCGCAATTCCAATTCGAGCATTCACCAAATAAGTTGTGATTGTGAGGTCGATATCTGAAGTTGATCGATGCAGAGCGACTGCTATAGAATCCAACGCCGGAAAATATATGCTTGACGACAACGGAGAAAAGAAAGATGCAAAAGAGCCAACCATAACCATTACTCTCTTTTCGTTGGTAGTGAAAACAGACAATTTTTCAAGCTTAGGACCTGCATTGCTTTGTGCTTGCTCTTCGTCTTTTGGGGGAACCGCAGTTTCGCCCCGCTTGTCAGGGTCTGCCCCGATTGAATCGCCCATAATAATAGAGGAGATGTTTCTAATTATTCTAGTAGAAATACAGTCGCCATATATCTAGCAGAATTTATTGATTTAAATATCGGCAAAGGAATATTTATATATTGCTTGCATGTGATGGAAAACCGGCCCGGTGTGATGCCGGTAACGGCTTTGTACTGATTAGCTTACACTCTATCAGCAATCAACAGCATGCTTTAAACTTGCCAACAGGAGTTTTTCTCAAACCGTGAATCATTCTATCCTCTAGCATTATTGGCTTCACTCTCACTAAAACAGGGCCAAAAGTTATGTTGATGAATCCTGCTCAATATTCCCGATCCAGGCTCATGCGAAAGGGGTTTCCGTCATTAATTTTGAACTGACATATGGGTATCATTTCATCTGAACCAAGCGTGCATACCTCCAATATATTCATGAATTGCTTTCATGACAGAGTGCACTCCCCAGGATGTCTAATAAATATCTTTGTCTATATACCAAATGCCGAGGACCAGCAACTCGGATACAAGTATGTGCAATTTCTGTCACTTGTCTCGCTTGCTCCTCGTTCGCCGTTAAGATCGCGTCAGAGGCGATGACCGCTGAGTTTCCATCGGAAATAACGATCAAGCTCGATGCCAAAGACTCGTCTTGAAGAATTCGGCGGGAGAAATCTTCAAAAAGATCGTTTCTTACGATAAAATCGATAATCGAGGGAAGCGATCGTAGACCAAGAATGGCGGTCGGCAAATCGCTAGACGGTAATTGCAATGCCTCATCTGTTAAAATTATTCGAGTGTGTTCGATAAACCCGAGTTCGCCAACTATTTCAGCCCAGTTCAAGGGATTTGGAAGATGTTGGATAATAGGTCGATCGTACCCTATCGTATGTCGCCAATAATAATTGCACCAGATCATGGAAATAATACAAGGGGCCAGAACTACATATCCCCACCATAGCGTAGCTGTGAGAAGTGACGCAGCTCCAGCGATAAGCCCGGTAGCGCCGTTGATGATTGAATGCATCTGTATGGATCCAAGGCGAGGTTGAACCAAGCTGTTGTTGACATCTACGGGGAGGAAGCGAGAAGCTGCACGGCCGTGGCGGTGTGCTCGAATCCAAATGAAGATGGACCAAGCCGCGTTGACAATGGAGTAGCTAGCTGCCCATGAGTTTCCCACGTACCCAGATAAAAGATTGCTTGCAATAAAAACTTCTGGATCTGCTCCACCAATAGCCATGAGTGTCCCAACACCGACGAGCAGAGCGCCACAGCCCATCAAGATCTCCATCCCTAGACGGTCAACAATTTCGGATCCTAGCTCTCTACGCGTCATATCGAGGAGGACTCGTTGAGAATGTTGCTCGCTGATAGAAAGTTGTGTTTCTTCGTCAGATGAGCCCTTCTTGGTTGTGGCTCGAATTCGTATCCGTTCTCTCCGAAGTAGCCGAATGTTCGCCCAACTGCTACAAGCATCTTTGAACGCAAAATAAGGTATAGAGAGCGCGAGTGTACCCCCGATAGCCATCAAAACTATTGCAAATTTTGGCGGAGGAACGTCGTTCCACACATTTGCGGCAAAATCTCCTGCATTGGCGAGTTCTAGATACCCGACGGACATAAGGAGGCTATTCTTCAGGGTATTCTCGGTGCTGAGGATATAGCGTCCTTTGCGTTTCGGAGTTGTGAAAGTCGCTGAACATGGACCAATCGTGAATGGTGTTTGCTGAACGGATGAAATGGTTGCGAGGCATTTTTCTTGACTGACGGTCTTGCGTGAGCCGACTGATAGGATCACTTCGGGTTCAGGAGTAGCTACGGCGGTGGCCGAGCCGGAATCAGCGGAAGAACAGCTTTCAACAGACATTAGGAAATAGAGGCTATTGATGATGAGGATAGGCTGTTATGCAGTAGTTTCCCTTGATGATATGAGAGAGAATTGTGGGTTGTAGCCGAGATATGTTCTGACACCAGACTGAGGCAGGAGGCAGGAGGAGTCGTACGCTGCCCGTGGGGACTTTCCCTCTCCGACAATTGAATGTACGAACCTGAGCTCCAGTATAACGTCAGCCAAATACTCATCGCTACTACTGCCCGTGGAATCAACGATTCTACAATATGGGATGATGGCATACCAATCCAACATGCCAGTATTTTAGGAGACAGGAGGATGGTATTGTTTGGCAGTACCCAATGGCAGTAATCGTTACTTACTTTTTAAGATTTTGCATCGGGCAAGCAATTGAGAAGCCGATTTTCTAGAGAGAAGGAATAGGAAAGCTGTCGCGTGCTTCTCCACGCAGCATTGTAGCGTCATGATGTGGTTTTACTTCAGCCAATCAATAATCATGAGGTAATAACACCAAAATCATTCCGACCTGCGCTAGTCTCGAGGTAGAACTAAAGCTAACCGGATCGGGGACAAACCGGCCAAGATTGGAAGTTCCTGGATCCTGCAGCAAATCCGATTCGTAATGTGCAGGACAATATGCTTGGCTAGTCACGTGGAGTTATAGTTCTGAGGCTATATAAGCGCCCACAGTGGTCTTTTCTGGCAATTCATTATATCCTACCAAAGGAAAAAGTCTATCCTCCCGATATCTCGTCACCCCACCCTGGTCGTTGAGCAGAAATCGACGAGTTAGCGTGTACCCATAACATATGACTGCCTCGACAACTTCACGCGTTGAGAATGAAGTACCCTGCTAGACTGAATCCTCTCTTCGTGGTAGCTCTGGCCCTTTCTGTATACGGCGATTCTCTGCCGTTTCGGGCCAACTTCTCTGATAGCCCACAACCTTTCAACATCGACGTCGACAAGGACTTTATTGATAATACGGTACTAAAAGCTTCACTCACGCGATTTGTAACTCCGGTCGACGAGAAAGAATATTTGGAAGGACCACCTGTTCACAACGCTACGACCGTACGTGACTATTGGGTGAACGAATATAACTGGTACAATACACAGAACAGATTGAATCAGAAGTAAGTGAATTTGTGCTGGCATACTTATTTTCTCACAGAAATGAATACTTCCTAATACCAACCGAGACTAATGCGTTTTTCTCCTAGACTGCACCAGTATACCACCACCGTAAAACTGAACACATCAGCACAATATTCTCAGCCGATTCCTCTACATTTTGTCCATCACCGATCTCCACGCGTCGACGCGATTCCCCTGCTATTTATCCATGGATGGCCAGGCTCTTTCATTGAAGTTGAGAACATTATTGACGGGCTTACCAATCCACCAAATGCTACACTTCCCGCATTCCATGTCGTGGCTCCCTCGATCCCAGGCTTCGCGTTTTCTCCTGCTGTAGTAGCGACGGGATTCGGAGATTACGAAGCTGCGCAGGCTTTCCATGCACTAATGATGCAACTGGAGTACGAAAAATATGTAATCCAGGCTGGTGATGTGGGTGGAATAATTTTACGCTATCAAGCTCATTTATTTCCAGACAACGTCCTTGCTGGTTTGGACAATTTTTGGGTAGTTTCGCCATCGGAAACAGACAGGGAACGCTACAGCCGCAACCAAACAACTGCAGACGAGACGTATATAATCGATTCACTTGATAGCTTTTTCGATAATCTCTGGGGATACGGTCAAATCCAACAGACAAGACCGCTCAAGCTAGCTCATGCGATGACAGACAGCCCGGTCGGACTAGCCATGTGGATATATGATGCGGTTATACAGGCTGTTGAGAATCGAGATGTTTGGACACCGGAAGAAATAATCACATGGACGATGATGCACTATATTCAAGGTCCCTATGGTGGATTTAGACTCTATCGAGAGGGTGCCTTGGTGAGTCTTCTTATTTTCTCCACCTAATATTTCGTCTTTTATATTTATTTTATTTTTAGAATGGTGCATTTAATCTGACTGCGTTCAACGATTTACCCCCTGTTTCACAGCCGGTGGCCATTTCAGAGTTCCCGCTCGATATCTGGTACAGAACTGTGAGTAAAAGCTTTTTTTATCTACTTTCCCGTTTATAAGAGAGAAAGCTAATGAAAGGGTTAATTAAGCCATTGGAATGGGCGCAAAGAACTGGAAACGTACAGAAGAGATATATTCATGACTACGGCGGCCATTTCCCTGCATGGGAAACGCCTGACTTGCTTTTGGACGACATTTGGGATTTTTTTGGTGATCTGGATATTCTAAACAGTTACCGCCAGATCAGGTTGGAAACAGGCAATGATGTCACAATCTAGGCGCAAACCCTAAATGATAGCGTCTTATAATAGTGTTTGTTAAGTTGGACGCATGCTGGTATACATGCCTGCGTCTGGCGGGATTGTATTTAAAATTGAAATATCCTCATAACTATTTCATGTGCGCAGGCTAATATCTGGAGTATTAGAATTCTCGAATCAACGAAGACTCTACGTAATTCTTTTTTCCGTGATATGGAAACCAAATTAGTGACTAGACCGGCATTGGTACTTCGAATAACATTCTCCAATTTTGCCTGTAGCTTATCACGCACTTGGAGAGGTATTGTTTTAAAACATTCACTGGAGGCTCTCTAAGAATCATACGATCCACTTCCTACGGCGTCCAGGGTCTTCCATTGTCAACACAGCCTCAATTCTTACCCAGAAAACCGATATCGCCGCAGCTGCCAATAGAAGGCCCACCATGATACTCGTATTCTCGTAGTTCTTCGGGTAGCTGTTTTCTTGATTACTTCGAATTAGCACCCCTGCAACTGGTGTCCCTACCAGAGTTGCCATTCCTCGCAACATGTAGAGTAGACCATTTACACTGGCAAAATTTTGGACCCCAAACAACTCCACCAGACTGGTAGGAAATAAGGAAACATATGCCGATGCAAATATACCATAGAAAATGGTAAACGCGACGAACAAAGCCCGCCCGTCAGATTGGGTTGCTGAAAGACATGATGGTAGCCACAGTGCGAGAGCAGAAATTGCGGAAATGAAGGTACTCAGGAGAAGTGTATTGAGTCTTCCAAATTTGTCAGCCATGTATCCAATTGCAACCTTTCCAACGGCATTTGCGGCATTAGATAAAGCAATGAAATTAGCAGATGTTGCTTGTGAGTAACCTAGCGTGCGAGCGTATGACGCAAAGAAGAAGACTGGCGTGTAGTATGCGGCTGCTTGAAGTGCTCCGCCAACAGCTTGGGCAATGAATTTGCGTGAACGTGCAATCTGCCAATTGACCACTGGTAGTTGAAAAAGACCAGAGGAACGAGACATGCTTGTAGAATTCTCGGCACGAATGCGGGAAATTTGGCTGTCCGGCCAGCGTATGAAAAAGCCAGAGGCCCAAGTTAACACAAAAGACATGGCACCAGTGATACGAAGCGTGTTCCGAAAGCCGACATTATCGATGAGCGATCGCAGCGCGAGAGGCCAAGCAACTCCGCCAATTCCAGTGCCAGAAAGAATTATACCCATAGCCAACCCACGATGGCGCGTAAACCATGTTGGCGCAACAGTTACGGAGGGCATGTATGAGAGACAAGTGCCAATACCAAGAAGTAAGCCTTGTGTCAGTAGAAACTGCCAAAGTGTTTTACTGAAACTGGCAAGGATCAAGGCGACAGAAAAGATTAAACCCCCAGCTAGAATTACAGATCTAGGCGAGTAGAGCTTAGCCCATGATGTTGCAAAAGGGGCACCCAACGTCATCAGTGATATTGAAAGTGTTCCAATGAGATCAATTTGAGCTGGGGTTGCGCCAGTGAAAGGAGTGTGTGGCTGGGAAGCCATAGAGTCGTAAAGTTCTTGGTAAACACCGAATGCAAAGTTGATCCCACATCCTGTGAATATGAGTGTTGTTGATGCAATTAGAATTAAGGTGGGCTGTCTAGCATATAGTTGTTTAGTATATTGAAGACCAAAACATTGGTAATAGCCTCACATCCTTTCCCACCAAGTTTCAGTTTGCTGGCCTTCACTATCGGCTGTGGTAGCTTCCGTGAGCTCGATTTGGTTTTCCATATGGGAGCACCTGGATAATCTGAAATTCAAATCGTCGGATGCCGTATTTTAAGAAAAGGTGTATAATTATTTGGGCGGATTAGCGGAGTTGAAGGACATCACCACAATTATTGACATGAGTCATCTGATGTGGGGCGTCGATGTTGATGCCGATTCAATCCGATTCAATGTTGGAGGCGAAAAAAACCATGAATACTGGTTATGGCAGTGGTTTAATGAGATATCAAAATTTATCACCTCTAGAAATATTCAATTACAATACTTAAATCTACGTTTCTCTCTAAATACCGTGGTATTCAAAATTACTGTGCTGAATTACTACTAAAGAATCTCCAGTGACCCCGCACGCCTTTTGACAAGGAGATAAAATTTCTTAGTCCCTTTATCACTTACTAACCTTCGACTATCTTCTAAACAATATTTTTTCCTTCCATAAAGAGAATTTATGAAACCGGGAGAATGCAGTCCACAGTCGAACTTCAGGATATGAATACGGCTCGTTTTCGAATTGCAGGCAATGACTCGAACGCTCAAGACTCGACATATGCCGATGAGACAAACGACAATGGATCTATTGTTAATGTTGCCTGGACGTACCCCGATGGTGGTCGACAAGCCTGGGGCTGTGTCCTGGGATCTTTTTTTCTTATGTTTCCATCTTTTGGATTTGAGGTTGCCCGTGAGTTTCTCCTGGAATTCGTCCCCTACGCGAAGAAGCAACTAAGCACGTACATCACAGTCGGCACTGTGCAAGACTACATAGCTACGCATCAGCTCTCTGACTATAGTCTCAGCGATGTTGGGTGGATCTCAGCTATTCTCGTTTTTCTAACTCTATTTCTTGGTGTGCAAGTCGGTCCCTTGTTTGATCGATATGGCCCGAGATATTTACTTATTTTGGGGACATCGGGAAGCTTTTTATCATATATTTTACTTGCTCAATGTACAAGGTACTGGCAGTTTGTGCTCTGTTTAAGTATACTTGGCGGAGTCTCATCGGCAATCGTAACGACAGTCGCAATCGCGGTACTCAGCCATTGGTTTCATCGCCGCCGTGCTCTCGCCAGCGGGATCTGCATGGGTGGTAGTAGTGCCGGCGGGGCTATTATCCCGCTCCTGTTGAGGTATACATTTCCAAACTATGGATGGGCTTGGTCAATGCGTATAATCGCTTTCATTTCTGCAGCCTGTTATCTTGCTGGCACCATACTTGTTCGCGGCCGCCTCCCGTTGGTGCGTAGCACGGCTGCTCCTCGGGCTGTGGTAGACGTTCGTGCCTTTGCTTCTGCACGCCTGTCATTTCTGGCACTCGCAGTATTCAGTTTCGAGTTCATTATATTTGGCTGTGCTGCTCTTTTGCCAACGTATATTCGATACTCTTCTTCTACTGGAAGTTCAGAAAGCGAGCTGCCATCTGATATGCAATTCTATGTTCTGACTGTTTTGAATAGCATGTCTTTTCTTGGCCGCACCATTCCAGGATTCTTCGCTGATAAAATGGGATGTTTCAACGTCCTATTACTTCTTGTGATAACTACCCTAGTCACAATGGGAGCTATCTGGGTGCCCGTTGGCTCTCATTCTTCGGCATCGGTTCTCTATGTAATTGTCGCACTTTTCGGTTTTGGATCAGGCGGTTGGATATCGCTTGCACCCGTCTGTGCGGGTCAATTATGTCGTACAGATGAATATGGCCGATTTTATGGGACTATTTATATGATTGCAGCATTTGGGGTTTTATTAACAGTACCGATTGGAGGTGAACTTTTGCAGTACGCAACGCCCCAGATTTTGATTGGGTTTTATGCAGGTATACTTGTTTTGGGCTTGCTTGGAGTGATGACATCGAGATGGGCGATATTGGACTGGAAGTGGAAGTGGAAAGTGAAAGTATAATATTTCTCTCAAATTTCAAACCGGAAGATTTCGATGTTGATTTCCAAACAACGAACATTGAATCGTTGACCCGCTTATTACTGGTTTTCGAATTCCGTGGATCTGGGTTATTGATTAGTAGCAGAAATCCAGGGGAAATATAGCTATATAAAAAATATGAAATGTAGCATAAATTGCTCATATTTGTTAGAAGTCCCAATTTTGGGGGAAAATTAGTGACGAAAACTTACGAAAAAAGAAAAACAGAGGCGCGATGTCAAAACTCCTCGTGTATGAATTATGACTCATATTGTATCGACTCTTTGTATTCATGCAAGTTCAAATGTTACCGGCGATAAGTGGGGTATTTTAAAATCCTGAAAGTAACATTGGTTTTCTTCATCTCTTCTCGATTCAATTTATTCTGGATATTCTACAATGCATCCAGTCCAATAACAAGTTGCTGCACCTCGTGTGCCACTGAAATCCGCTATGTGCTGCTCCGCAAAGTATGCCATGCCACATCCGGCTTGTAGATCACAATCGGCAGTACATGATTGAACGCCATCCCTCACGTATGATTAATACGGGATGCCGATATTGAAATTAAGTCAATATTTAAACAACTTTAGAATTTGCTGATGCGAAGCCATAAAAGGCTGACATATCCGCTTAATCCAACTTGTGACTTGTAACATTGAATCCAGCAATTTCTTTTTTTTTCGGTTCCTCTTTAACAGAATAAACGGGAAAATGTCGATTACCAAACCTCGCCATGCTCTGGTTATTGGCGCCTCTGGATTAGCAGGCTGGGCCGTGGTCAACACACTCCTGCAAGAATACCCGGAGAAAGGCACATTTGCAAAAGTAACGGCGGTCTTGAATCGCCCTCTCAGCATGAAAAGATCTCGATGGCCCACTTCCTCCAGCGTGAAGTTCCAACTGGTGACGGGAGTGAATTTGTCGGCAGGATCTCTAAAAGATTCAGTTTCTTATCTTCGAGAAAATATTCCAGACTTGCACACAGTAACCCATGTTTATTATTTTGGTGCGAAAATTGTTGAATCTCATCAAATTTTGGTCGTGCAACTAACACAATTCTGATTGATGCGATATAGCCTACCAACAGCAAGACGACCCAGCAGAAGAAATTAAAGTAAACATATCCATGTTGGAAGGTGTAATCACTGCATTAAATGATTATGCGTTGGGACTCGAATTTTTGGTCGTTCCCACAGGATCGCGGGTATGCAGAAACCAACTTCCTCGGTTCAGTTAAGGAGATCGCTGACCGTCCTAATATAGGCGTATGGCATCTATATTCCCGGTGGGTGTTTCACACCACCTTACAAAGAATCAATGGGCCATGTCCCAGAACCAGAAAGAAGCAAACTCCATTACTACCCAATGCAAGATTATCTAGCGCGTAGTAGCAAAGGCAAATCCTGGACGTGGTGCGACGTAAGACCGGATGCAATCGTGAGTCATCAGAAATTGCCTATCTACAGGTATAAAACTAACTATCTTCGAAAGATTGGCTTTACTCCCAACGGAAGTACCTTCAGCCTGGCTGCTCATTGGTATAACTACTTATCCCTTTACGCCGCAGTCGAGGGAAAGGGGGCTAAAGTACCATATCCTGGAGTCGAGGCTGCATATAATAGCCTTTTCAATGGAGTATCGTCAGGAATGATTGCCAAATTCTCTATATGGGCATCACTACACCCGGAAAAAACAGGGAATGGGGAAATATTCAACATTGTTGATCAAGATCGTCCACTATCAATGGAAACTCACTGGCCAGTCATCGCAAGCTTTTTCAACCTGGAAGGCACGGCGCCGGTAGAGGACCAGGATCCAATTTTACTACGGCCAACCAAATATGCTGAAAAGAATAAAAAATTGTTACGTGGTGGAAACGCTAGTCAGCTATGGAAAGCATCATGGCTGGACGAGTATGGACATTGGTCCCGCTTTGATCGCCAATATTCTGTTGATAAACTTCGTTCAGTCGGTTTTTTGGAAGAGTGTGATGCGAATTCATCATGGCTTGATACGTTTGCTCTTTTAAAGACGGCCCAAGAAGAAGAATTGGATCATCAAGAAGTTGAATGAATGGGCTGAAACTTTGAATAGTCTTTAGACCCCTATCAGACAAAAAAAGATTCTATAGGGAATTTGCCTCAGTTGACTAGGCATGGAAAGTTTTCATGAGTCTGCATATCTTTAATATTTTCGTCAAGTTGTTATCAGAGTATGGCTTGCTGGAGATGTGTCACCAGCGATTAAACATGATCGTAAAAAAGGAGGCCCCAAATCTAGCAAGCAAGTGTAATTTGACATGATTCTGTCAATATATGTCAAATCTTCAAATCCTATGCACCAAATGAAGACAAATGTTCTCATATATTGGCTCCTCAAGAATGGATGAATAGTTGTCTAGGAATAGGATAGTAACTTGAGAAGAAAACAACGCGTTATGTGGCAGAGCTCTGGTCTAATGTGTGTGTCTGTGACGAAGTATGAAACGCCATCCATGCACAGCTACCTACGGTATAACGAAAATTTGAAGTAGCTAATCTGAAGCTGACATTGCTACAGTTTTTGAGAAACAGTGAGAGGCTATTCAATGTTGTTTACGATGGTAATCCTAGATAAATTCAAAGCGAGGTTCACCCTACCTTGTCGACGAGGCTTGGAGGTACAAGATAGACCATCCCGGGCGTTTTTGCTTCATACAGAGGAATATAGGGTCAAGTTCAACAAATGTTATCAACTTCCTATTATGGGAATTTTTGGTCATATATCTGTACATATAAGAGAAGCCGAGACACTGTTGAAAAAGGGCATCAAATTTTCCTACAACACAATCATCTCTTAAGCGGAAACACCAGCGCTAATAGCCTTGAGCTCACTCCAGTTGAGGCTGTCCTCACCCAAGCTCCAGGCCATGACACCACCCAAGCTTTTGTTGGCAATAATATCGGTAAATTTCTGAGTAATAAGATCGGGGGTGTCCCAAGTCCAGAAGATGTTGTGGGTGCTGTCCCAGTAGTACTGGCCGCCAGCCTCTTTATCAGTGATACCATTGGCCTTGGCAGTGCTCCAGGAAGCCAGAGCAACGCTGTCGCTAACTTCGGGACTAGTCTCTAAGGTGACAGCACCGGACTTTCCAGTATCCTGTCCTTGGGCATCCTCAAGAAGAACGGTGGCGCATCCGAGAGGCTGGGTGGCACAATCGGAGGCTGGGTCGGTGTAGAAGTACTTGGAGTAGAAGGCAATACCAAGGTTTCCCTTGCTGGCGTTCATTCCAATGTCAATATAGTTGTTGACAGCCTCGAGAGAGCCCTGGATGGAGGTGTGGTGCTTGGTAACGTTGTCACGACGGTTCATCAAATCGTAGGTCATAATGTTAACCATGTCAACAGGTTCGAAGATGCTAGGGCCCTTGTCGGCAGTATAGGCAATCATGTCGCGTGCCAAGCCTGGGACAGCAATAGAAAGAACCTTGTCGGCTCCGATAGCGTCACGAATAGCCTTGAGAAGAATCGGGAATGTGTCGATTTCACCGGTGCGCTGAGAGTTGGGAGTGGTCTTGTAATCAGCACCGTCTCCACCAGGGTACTCCCAATCAATATCTTTGATAATTAGTAATCATCTCTGTTATAGGTTTCAAGAAACAACCTACCAACACCATCATATCCCATTGATTGCACCATGGCGGCAACGTTCTTAGCATAAGTGTTGATCGAATCATTGGAAGCCACAGCAGTTGAGAAACCACCGTTGTCGGCCCAGCCACCTAAGGCAACCATAATTTTGGTAGAGCTCGGGAAGAGAGCGCGGAAGCTCTCAACAGACATAAAAGGATTGAATGAGCTTCCCGAATTGAAGGTCTCGGAAGGCGCAAAGGCCATGATGGCGTGCGTGACAGACGACACCAGGTCGGATGAGGGAAGGCTGGAGTAATGCCATCTTTTCGTAGTAATTGGTTAGTCTGACAACTCGAATATTAACAATAATGGCTATGGTGAAGGAATACTTACTCGTCAACGTACATGACGTTCCTCAGAGCTGCTGCCTGCGCAGCGAGGAAGCCGGCAATCAAGGTGGACCGCATTTTGAAGGAGTGAAAGTATGCAAGGATAGAACAAAAAACACAAGTCCGAAAACAGCAACGTGACTTAGAAAAAAAAGGTTGGTGTTGTTGACAACATTTGAAACCGATTAGGAGGCGCTTTGCCGGGCTTATATCTTGGAATGCTTGGATGGCAGGGTAGGGGACTGACACAAAAACATCACCCCAACCCCCATATCGCCGCGCAACAAAACCATGTTACATTCCTGTATCGACTTGCTGACTACGTCAGCAGCACCGATAGTTACATGCCACGCGACGCGGCTCATGGCAGTAAGCCTACGCTAGTAATGATCTAGATCTGATGATCAAAATGCTAAACAGGGCAAGTATGGTAAGGTCAGTCTACGAACATACGTTAGATATGTAGTATTTTCTTAATATCTATGGAATAGAAACCACGCAGGTAAATCTTCATGTTCCACATGATGCCCAACCTTCGCTGACTATACTGTTCGCTCTCCTATTAACGTAGCAAAGCTTTGATATCAATCACATAATCTAGGTGGCCATGGATTCTTCCAACCCGTGCACACACTACCCCAGGTCCAAGCAATCCTACCAAGATCTCAGACGTGATACTTCCGGGGCAATCAGCAACAATGCTACCAAATACTACCTTTTCCTGCGGCGATCTTGAAACAATGTGTTACTATTCCAGCCGTTCTACACTTCGTACTCAGTGAATGGATTTCTATGGAGTATTTATCTACAGCGCTCAACATCATTGGATTACATCCCTGACTACCATATTTCAGTTGCATTCCTCTGCAGCCGTCTCTCAGTAATTGGCTGCAGTTATTTCGCCGTACATTCTTGGCAGAGCGCCCAGTGCGCCACGCCGCCAAAAAGGCGTGCCTTGTGGGCAACGATCGGCAGTTTGCCCTTGGCAATGGCACCTTGCAATTTGTGGCTTTTCTAGAGTTGGCCTAAGAATATTGTGGTATAAGTAATACTATATTGTGCTGCCTCCGGTGATATGGGCTCCCTTGATGCAGCGGCCAATGCTATTGTTCGTCGGCTTCCATCTGACCGGTGGAAAGGTAGCAGCTTTCTGGAAAAGGAAATGTTGCAGTCATATCTAGGCATGGAATGTAGATCGTACCTCGCTGGACGTGAATTACTATATTTCGCTCACCATTTCTCACGCCGTGCAAATGAGTTAGTTCTGGGAGAAGCCGCTCGGAACGGCCGTAAATTTTAATTATGTAAACATCGAAATGTTAAAGTCGTCTAAGGTCACATGGTATTGGGAAAGCGCTGTGGCATGATTAGTACTTATTTGGTGGTGATTATTTTAGCATTATTTCAGTCGATATAGTCTCAATCCAAGTTTTTAACTGGACGCTATGAATACTATAAGTTTCAAACTATTCATGCACGGTCACATCCTAGTGTAGCCTTGTTTGGCATGAATAAAGGGCATTAGTATGCTGTAGCTGGTATAGTAGCTATTTGAGGTGGTATAAATTGCCACCGAAAGGGCCCCAACACCCCCAAAGACCCCAATAGGCCCTACAACGGCGCTAAGAGAAGCCTTTTTTGAGCCTAATTGCACTGAGGCTTACTCCAGCCTATAGCCTTCCGATAAGTGATGTTTCAGGCTGTCAGCACTTCACTATTAATGTTGGTGCTAAGTAACTAATCTTCTGCCTAATATCTGAAACGAGATTGAAACTAGGGGGAGTTTCAATCCCCTTAAGGCAGCGAAACAAACAGCATTATTTATGCTTGAAGATGGCAACTATTTATTTAGCTGCATTAGCAATTTTGATTACTGGATGACCCTTTGTTACCTAATAGCTCGCGCTGCCACTGATTTTGTAGTGTTTTGAGACCTGGTGCGTATTTTCTGATATACACCAACGACTATAAATTTATAGTAGCAACAAGGAAAAATGGTCATAGCGAAGAATAATGAGAACATTTGATATGTTTGCAAAAAAAAGTCAACTATCAGAGTAAGCCAAATAGTATGCATTTATGATAAAGCTAAACAAGCAGTTCCATCTCTTTCATCTCCGGATACTTCTCCCGAATCATTTCAAACTTTTGTGTCAAATCTGCTGGCCCCAAATTTGCAAACCCCACAAACGAAAAGACAAAGTATTTAAGAAAGAGGATGTCATGAATTCGCTGAGCTGTGCCACTATCCGGTACGTGTGAAAAATGCAAAACCACATCGGTGATTGTGTTTGCAATCTCGAATAATTTTTGTAGGATACCTGACCCATGGATTCCGACAAGATCGCGTGGGATGGAGATTAGAAATTGACGCAGTTGTTTGGACAGACGAAATGGAAAAGATAGAGATAATAACGGTAAAGAGTTGGCCGAAGAGGAGAGTAGGATATTGGACAAAGCGATTTGCCAGGTCAAGGTACGCAGCCAGTGACGTGTGATGATCAGGTCGGCTTGTAACATCAGCGGGAGGAGGGAAACCTCGCGATGCCAACCGTTGTCTTCAAGCTGCTGCTGCTTCTGCTCAACCCATTCTGCTGTAACGCCAGACCGATCACCAAGCCAGAAGTCAAGGAATTGGCGGTCAACCAGTCGGAAATTTGCGATGACATGATTAAAGCCTGCCTCCACTACGGCTGGCAAGCTAGCATCATGGTCCGGGAGTGTCCTTAATGGCTCTAAACAAGTGGGACGGTAGTAAGTTAGCGCTGTAAAGCGCTCGTGAATGAAGCATTCCCAGTATGCGCGCTGGCGACGGGAGCGTTCTTGAAGATCAAGAGTCTCCATAATCTCATCCGAATGTATATGCAACATGTACAAAAGAGATATAGCTTCTCGTAGGTACAAGAAGCCGAGATCAAGCTTACGCAGGCCGACAAAAGACATTTGAGTAAATATACTGCGCATCACGGTGGCAATCGTTGGCTGCATATTGAACCCTATCGTAGTGCGATGTTCTAGCGAGCGACTAAGGAGTGTCGCGATACGCTCGCGCGTTTCGGGGGCTTCTTGGACAGGCACATTGAGCGTCAGATTAAGAGTGACTGCGGCAAAGCTATACACAAAAGACGCAGTTTCGTTGCTTTCATCCATACGTAAAACCATCTCGCGAACCTCTTCTACGGGGATGACGGGACTCATTGGATAGACGTAACGCTCATAATCGGGAAGAAAATCCAGCAAGAAAGCCGAATTGATATATGATCCTATGAGTCTATCGGGGCTGGACAAAGACTCAGAAGCACTAATGAGCCTACGACATTCGGCAAGGACACTTCCTCGCCCGACATGTTTCTTCGATCGGCGCGATGGGCCAGCAGTGTAGGTGCAGGGCAGGCTGGCGTGCGTACATTGCTGGCAACCTGACTGGCCATTGCAGCGTACCTTTCGCCTTTTGCACTGGTTGCAGGCCTTGAGCGTCCGGCGCTGGTCCATTTCACCGCCTGCTCAATAACTGGAAGGGGAGAAAGAGTATATCAAGGGAAGAAACTGGAGGCTATTGCTAATGCGAAGCCCCCGCATTGATAAACTCGGCAAGGGCTCCGAGAGGCCAGCTCTGTGTGGAGTGTCGCAAAGACCGGCGCGTTGCCCGATATGTAATGATACAATCCTGGCCATCTATATACCCGGGCAGATTCTAAATATTGTCTTGCCAATGTTCAAAAATTTTCCCTTTGTGAAATGTTATCAAATTCTTAAGAAAAAGTCTCGATGTTGACTCCCCCCTGGTGCAGTTAATTAACTATGTGTCTGTAAGGTAAGGTGCCGGCCTAAACGTTAATGAAATTCCAGTGCAATTCAGGTTCCCTCTTATCGTTAGAATGTGAAAATATTGAAATAAGTATATTTAGATATGATCGAATTGATCCACTCCCCAGGAAGCGAGTGTAATACCAGGAGACTGGTAGCAGTGGAATCAAATAATGCTCATTATTACAAGCCCTTGGAAAACGAACCACCACATGAGTTCCCATTGGCTGATGAGGTTTGTTCTGGCCGCCAAACTTGTCATAGTCACATTCATACTAGGCTCATATGTCCCTGGGGTTGTCGTGTCGACGGTGCCGTTCCAACAATACCGACTAAAACAGTCCACACAAGCACTTGGCACTGAGGTGTTCGTCCGATGCAGACTGCGACTGATAATTGCACAACCAATGCAAACACTCCATTGAGTTGAATTGGCCATGGTGGCCACGTTGTAGCCATTGAGCACCAGCGCGTCTCGTTCCGTGTCGTTGAACTCGAGCGTTAAGGTCGAAACGTTAGAGTTATAAGTATATGGGCTGTTTGGAATATAAACAACCAACGGCGCCGGAGGGATCCCTGTACTGTTCATCGAATCGCAACCAAAAAAAGTGGGCTGCCTGTTCAAACCCAGGTTGACAAAACTATTCTGGTCGGGCACAGAAGGAAAGGCGGTTCCATTCGCAATGCCCGAGGAGTTGCTATTGCGCTGGTAGGTCGCCACCATACTAGTTCCATTGGGCCACCGGGTTAAAGTGTCGGCTGAGCTGTCGATGGCGAAGATCACGTCAACTTTGCGGTTGGCCTGTAGGAGCGGATAAAAAGGTATATTTTGCAGGTCCTCTCCACCGTCGACGAGGATGAGGGCTTCCTCTTGAGCATTTTTGTTGGTCGCGTTGTTGTAGCCGAAAAAGGGATTAGGCTCGTATACAGAGACGTCATTAGACGACTCATTGAGGTTTTGTAATAACGAGGTGGTTATTTTTTTCAAGGCGCCCTGGATAGCGGTATTGTTGATCTGCAGCAGGGCTTGGTTGAACAACGAGGAAGAGGTGCCCATCACGAAACCAACATTGTCAAAACCGGACACGCAGCTGCCATTTGTTAAATTACCTTCCGTAAAGTTTGAACCCAGGATACCGAGTGGCATAAAGCCGAATGTTGTCGGATCCCATGTGCCCATTTCCCATGGATTAAACTCGTAGTCGGATGAATTCAGGTCTGTTGAATTAATGTCAACATGAATCGATAAACTTGCAGTTGGACTCAAGTATGGAGCTAGGGATGTGATTTCCTTACTTATATTTTGTTCGCCTGGTGCTCTTTCAAGCGCCACAATGATCGGCATTGGCATGTTCCCGTCTGCAAAGTCTGTCGTTGACGCGATGGATGACCATGTATAGGCAGGACCACCTTCGGTGTCGTTCACCAATTGATATGAGAGCCCACGACCCCTAGAAACAAAGGAATTAATATGCATTTACAGCATATTTTTAATTGAAATGCGACAAGAAGGGCGATAAAATTAATTATCGGTAAAGACCTAGGAAGTTTCCTACCAGTAATCAGTAATCGAGACCGGAAATCCAGCCTCCTCTTTGCCATCTACAGTGTTAAGAAGTTCCCGGAAATAGGCCGTGTCATTCGTAGGTCCGCTAAGGACCGACTGGTCAAATTGCCAGATTCCGTTGGTGTTGGTGTTGAGCAAAGCAGTTATGGTGGTGAAATTGTTTGTATAGATTGATCCCACCAGCCACGAGCCGCCGCTGAGGCCAGAAACGTATGTGACAGATTGTAACAGCCCACCCAATTGGCCAGGTGCAGTCGAGTTCTTTGTGCGCTCATCGAATGCAGCAAATGCACCGGCCCCATTGAGTAGAGCTCGGTAGCCGCCTCCTGAAAACGCGATGCCGATGTTAGGCAAAAATGAAGGCTGAAAATTGGCAAAGTATTGTGTTGCATTGAAGCCCGTAATATTCAGCCTTTGGAGAAAACTCTGCATCGCCGCCAATCTCTTGTTTTGTCGTCTCTTTAACCAGTCCGTTTCATTCTGGCTTATCTCTGCGGCGTTGCGCACGCTTGGATTAAATAGCGGGCATTGCACCCCTGACGGAATATATCCATTTGGCGCTGCTGGTAAAGCTCTGCGAAAAAAGGGAGGGACAGAACTATCAGCCAAGGATGTATACACAAAATGAAGGCCTAAAAATATGTAGATAATGACTGGGAGACAACTCCGAACTTTCCAGTTCAACATGGTGAAAAAGCTGGGACTGGACTGGCAATCCGCGAGTGATGCCTATTGGGTGGAAAAGGACATAAATTGGCCTTTTAGTCTTGAAAGCATACGTTCAATATTGATTGCCTTATATGGAACGTGAACATCTAATCTCCGTTTGGACAGAAGATCCTTTGGTGATATCGAGATAAATGCATTGTTGTTAAATGTGTCCATTCTTCTCCCAAACTTTGGTGTAGGCGGCCTGGAACCCGATACCATCGTAACTGAACGGCAGACAAGGTCGCTCATGGAAATGACATCATGAGTGTTGCGTATCGTCGACAAAAGGCAATTATTAATACGAAGAGTGTGGTTAACAACATGAGACACACTGCATGAGGTTTAGAAAATAAATGGTCAGCTGGATGAGCGTAGTCAGGCAATTGAAACCAAACAGTAACAACGCCCGCCAATCGATGGCCCAGGCCCGATGGACTATGAAAGGCGGTCCCCGCGTTTTGAGCTTCTGAGCCTGCTTCATTAACTGGTGGCGTAACCGTTGGGATGGTGGGACATTTGCGGCACAGCGCGGAACAGCCACCAACGAAAAGTTAGGAGTCCCACTGGCAGGCTGGGTGGTGACATACTTGATGTAGAGAATACACTGTGGTCCGTACAATTGATCTTGATAGCTAGAACTAATGGAACCAAATACAATTCGTCGAACCCGACGAAATGGTTTTCCGGTTCCGAGGGAAATCCTATTCCGGTGCATCGTACCAAGGGCCGTATGAGATCATATGATCTCCGCCAAGATATTACAGCCGTTTGGGAGAAATCGTCTCAAGATCTTGTCTATACGAAGAAATGCAGGAAATTGTACATTTGGAAAAATTTCTAAACTGATTAATTGAACCAAGGAGGCTCGTGGGTGAATAGAACCCCTTGTTTGCTGGCCGCTTGATGTAGCGTGTCATCTCTCCAATGCAAGGTCGTAAAATTTGAATCAGGTGTTCATTGAGTAAACAATTCAAAGCGAGTCAGCCAAAAATGTCTCCGTTAGTAACAAATCCTCGATCGGTCATCCAGATTCAGCCCATGTATGAACTGGAGCTTGATAGCTGACCGAATTAACTTTTAGACACATGGAATTTTATCTGGGCTGCACCACCTGATCTGTACTCCCATGTTGACAACTGGAAGTCTTAATAAACAGATCCTACCCTGGTAGTGATCTAATCATATTATATATCCAACAATTATAGCTTGTACACAGAGTGTCGAGTATCTAACCACAGTCTCGATATCAAACACAGCCTGGAATCTAAACCTTGTCAACCTATTAGTCTTGACCTATAAACATGAGTGATGCAACAGACATTATTCGGCCAATCCTCTTCGTCATTCGCCTGGCTCTATGGATTAGTGCAGTGATTGTGATGGGACTTGCTGCTTGGGTAGTCACTCATGTGAAAGGATACCGGGCGGTCTTCACCTTAGTCATTGTAGGCTGATGCTTCCCCTTTTTGTATAGTTTACAATACGATTCAAGTTAGGCTAACATTTTATTATGCAGGCGGTACTCACAACGGCATTTTACATACCCTCTTTCTTCACTTCATGTATGAGTCGCAACCGTGGATATATGCTTCCATTAGATATTATTTTTTACGCCCTGTAAGTTGATTCAATACCCAGACCCTTCGTTTTTGATGAGTGTTTTTGGCGTTCTGAAGAAGGCGAAGCTAAATCTGAGGGATATCATTTCTTAGGTGGCTTTCGGCTTTTATCTTTGTAGCTCAAACTGACAACGTTTTGGGCACTGATAATGTCGGTTGTAATTATTTCTCTTGGACCTTGACTTGGGGCTGTACGAGACGAAACTCCATTGAAGCATTTACCTTCCTGGCCTTGTGAGTAGAAACCGCAAAATTCCATTTTTTTGACTTGTGCGTCTATCTCATATCCCTCACAGTTTCTGGACATTGTGTGGCATGTGTCTCGAGATTGCAAATATTTATCTACACGCCCGGCAGTTCAGAAATGTACCTCCCGCTAATCACCCTGAGAAACCGACGGTAGTTCGTGATGGTCCGGCGTGGACAACTCCAGATGCTCCTACGCAGACAACCACAGGTACTACGGCTAGGCCGGCTTCAGCCGCAGCTGATGAGCAAAATGTAGTCTAAGATGATCATCTCCATCGCCTCAGACAGCGGTATTCGATACCTTGCCGAGTTTCGATTTGATAAGTCTTCGGTCTAGGTACACGGTCGTTGGGGGCGTAGTAGAACAAAAGCTCTTATGTCATGTTTGTGGTGTGGAATTGTTTGAGGTGCAATGAAAAACCAAGATAACATCGTTACTTTAGCAAAACCATTACTTTGAACTTTAGTGTTTGAATATCCGACACGCGACGGTCTATATCTCGCGAAACCCAAGCTATTTATTGGATTTTATACAGGACAGCGAAAGTCTGATGGCAGAATGGCAGGATCATATCCCGATTTGATAATGTGATGACAGTCAATTTATGCAAGGAAGTCGCTCTATGTAATAGTTAAAGTAAATATTACGGCATAAACGATGTAACAAATCTGGCAGGAATACATGTACTTATTAGGCACGGGTCGAAAATGAGGTATGCTGGGAACTAGATATAGGTGCCAATGGAAATATTAAATCGAGATGAGCTAAGAGAACATTAATCTAAAGATGGGCATGTATATATAGATGAAGTTGAACAAAAACTCACCCAAATGACTTCAGAATCATCAAACGGTGTATTCCAATACCAACTCATCTTTGCATCAAAGTTCCAAGCGCTAGAAGGAGAGGGACGTGACCTGAATCTAGTACTATATCGTCGTCCCATATACTTAGATTAGAGTCATAGGGTTAAGCTCCCTGTTTAGCAACAATGTACACTCGACCCTCGTACGGCTGCAGTTCATGGAGTGATCCTGCCTCGCAGTTCTTAATCAGTATCTTGTGCGAGCCTGAGCCGAGATGTGTTTCTAAATCTACAGCTTGCCGCTCAGCGGTAAAATTGAGTGCTACAACAAGACGCTGTTCATCGCCAATCTTCTCAAAGACGAAGAGCGAACCGTGCTCAGAGTCAGTGTCGACAAAGCTACCCTGTGCAAAAACCTGGGGATATGCTCGTCGAACACGTAGCATCTTGCGCCAGAAGGACAACACGGAGTCAGGATCCAGAGTCTGTCGTTTGACATTCAGCAGCTGGTAATTGTCATGAACACGCATCCATGGCTTAGCGCCGTCACTGGAAAAACCACCGTTTGCTGTTCCGTCCCATTGCATCGGTAGTCGAGCATGATCTCGGGCTAGATGATCCAGAGCTTTCTTTGCTCGCTCCAGCGCCACGGAGTCATCAGCCGTAGACTCACGTACAAATTTATAGTGGTTGATGCTCTCGACGTCCTTGTACTCGCTTACGGGCCATTCAGCAGGAGCATTGACCATACCAATCTCTTGACCTTGATAGACGTATAGTGTACCCGAAAGGCTGGCGACGAGCATGGCCAGAAGCTTGGCACTGCGTGCCCATAGTTCGGGGGTATCAGTACAGCCCCAACGCGAGACAGACCGCGCCTGGTCGTGATTCTCGAGGAAAGCAGTACTCCAGCCATCAGTTCCTTCCATGAGGTGCTGAGTGGAGCGCACTCGCTGCTTGAGTTCAGGCAAGGTCCAGTTGCGTGGAACCGTGTCGTATTTCTGGCTTCTGGAAAAGCCAAGGTCGACAATGTCAAATTGAAACACCATGCTCAACTGCTGCTCACGTGCTGAGACGTAGGAAAGAACGTCAGCAACTTGTGGCGTGTGCGGTAACTCACCAACTGTCATGGCGTTATACTTGTGTAGGATCTGTCCCATCTCACGCACGTACTCATGAATACGTGGGCCGTTACAAAACAGGTGAGGTGCCGCCTGCCACTCAATGCTGGAATCTAACACCTGTGCATCACGAAATGATGGATCTTTGCTGTACATGTTGACTGTATCAACACGGAAGCCATCAATTCCTTTACGAAGCCAAAACTCCATAGCAGACTCATAAATAGCTTCACGAGTGGCCTTGTTCTCCCAATTCAAATCAGGCTGTTGGACTGCGAATAAGTGTAGATAGTATTCCTGTGTGACCTCATCCCATTCCCAGGCACTGCCACTGAAGAAGCTACGCCAATTATTTGGCGGTCGGCGTTGACCATTCGCATCGTAGCGAGGCGGCTTCCAAATGTACCAATCACGTTTTGGATTGGCCTTGGAGGAGCGAGACTCCTTGAACCAAGCGTGCTCGTATGAGGTATGATTAATGACGAGGTCTAGAAGGATACGCAACCCCCGCTCATGACAAGCCGCGATAAGAGCCTCCACATCGGCCATTGTTCCGTAGGGAGCATATACCTCCTCATAGTTGGAAATGTCATAACCCATATCATACTGGGGGCTATCGTACATGGGGCATAACCAAATGGCGTCTACGCCAAGTGACTGGATGTAGTCAAGCTGAGATAATATTCCTGGAATGTCGCCGATGCCATCTCCGTTGGAGTCCTTGAAGCTAGCAGGATAAATCTGGTAAATCGTAGCGTTTTTCCACCAAGGCGTCGTCTCGGCTGGCATTATGAACTTGGATCTGGACGAGGAAATGTGCTCAACAGTTCCAAATAAAAAGAAGAATCGCCCAAGACGAAAATGTAAAGTAATGAGAAAAGTAACAAAAAAAAAAAAACAGATCAGATTCTTGTCAAGATTGTCATTCTCATGACTTGTCTTTATCCTTCAGCCCTCCGTCCACTCTGCTAGTGACATTACATTTCATTGGACCATTGTCGGCCCGAGATACAATCCCCTCACTCCCCGCATTGTTCTCTGATCAAGATATGATTGGTCTCATACTGGGCTGACATACGTGTTAGAATAATATGATTCTAATTTTTGAGATATTTGCCACTTACCCCTTCATGGGTCAGAGCAAACAAAACAATTTTCTACTGCTGGTCGGGGGTGGAGCCAAAACATCCTCTATGGGAAGCCAGATGCGTGTACAACCAATTCCAGGGCAACTGTATGATTCGCCCAATGTCGGCCCGAGACACCCAAACTCCCGGAAGACCCTAGAATAGCAGAGATTGACTCAACCTATACTACAAGCCCGTAATTCAAGGTTGATTCAAACCCCACTGCACAATAGGATCGTAGAGCCGGACATATAAAAGGCAACTATTGGCTCGCCCTGTATCACAATGCTGCACATGTGGCTGAAATTGTTCAGAGTTGACCCTCTTTGGTCCTTCTGCATCAGTTTTCTGCAGAGTTCTGTCGAATTGGTCGAGTGCAGTTGATGGGCCTCTCAGTATGTAACCTATATCCTAGCAATTTTTATTTTATAAATATCAAAAATGTTGCTTACTTGCGAAGGAGTTTTGAATTTTCTTTCTTGTGATGCTAGAATAAAGCTAGACATGAAACATTGAAGTTCGGTACCGTAATAGGAAGAGATAATATTTCAGCAGGCTCGCCGATTGCGGAAGGTATATGTATTGATAAAGACCTGGGCGGCATGTAAATAAGATCTGAAAATTCTGCTTTTATTACTCGCTTCAATGTAATTATAGATACAGGCAAGCAGAAGCAAAACATTCATCAGACCTGGTTATTATAGATTTGTGTAATGAGTTTTTCGACCTGCCTGAAATCATCATCACTAGCATTACGAAACCTGATCATCATCCCATGGGATTTCTTCATGCGTATGACTAGTATTTTTTGTTCTTGTTGTTCTTGTTGTTCTTGAAGGTTCTGAGACAGTGAATCCATTGGACCATCGGTGGGGCTCTCAAGAAAGTACACAATTTTGAACTCGCCCTGCTTCTCAATTGCAGAGAATTGAGAACTTGCAGTTTGTAGCCATTCTGCTTCCTTTCTCAGCGCTGCTACTTGGGGAGACTGGAGTGTGTCATCTGGAAAAGATGACGAAGCCAGGCTTCCAAGTCCTTGGCCGACGTCTGGATGTGATCCAAAAAACATCACGCCGACTGTTGAAACGAATATATCGTTGTACCCGAGTGCTGATGAATTGATGAGAGCCTAATTATTTTGAATATTATACCAGTATATAAGTCAGTGATCAACGTACGCCTTTCAGTATCAATACTCCGAAGCTATGTGCCAAAAAGATTATCTTTCTTTTTTCACTCTAAGTTTGTTTATAAGCATCGTTGCTTCAAGTTTATCTCACGGTTGAAATTACCTTTGTATGTTCTCTTAGCCGAGAAAGTTCTTGAAGCAAAAGAAACGCGATTTCTGGTGTAGACATTTTTGATAGTGGTGATTTCGATCGAGGGTACCCAAATGACAAAACCCTTGACTTAGGAACAATGCTAGGAAGCAGATCTCGCAACCAAAATACTTTAGTTTCAGAATGCGACCATGACCTCTCGTAATGTCCACCGTCGCCGTGAATGGCTACAAGACTTTACTTCTTGTTAGTGTGTAGCTGTATTTACAAACAAGCTTGGTATCACGCACTCGACATCACATTGTGTATTTTCGCAAATAAGCTTTAACCCAATATCTTCAGATATATCGAACCTGTTTGATGAATCCTGGGTGCTTTGCTCTTTTGTCAAACGGCCTTGTGTCCGTTTAAGCCCTATTTTTTCCATAAATTTTTGCATTCTGAGAGCTCGAGCTAGTGATCAAATAATTTTGAAGGAAAAGTGATTTAAAAGTGAGGTTAGAGTTCTTCAGTTCGGATGAAACGCTCAACCGCTGACACTAACGTAATCGGACAGGCACCCAATCACCCACTCTGAACGCGGCTTACTATATTGATTTCAAATCTCAATTCCTAACCTGAACTAATAATTACATATAAAAAATTAATTACTGGTATAATTAGGGCACTGAGGTTTTTGATACTCAAGAATATTATATTTACTATATTGAAATTGATAGTATATAACCGCTTATAAAGCTGATAAGGAGTAATAATATTAATATAAAATATCTTAATCTAACCCTATATAAGTGTTTAAGCTTTCTTTTTCATAATTTCTTTCTTATGAGATATTTAAGCTTTAAATCTATAATAATAATATTATTTTTCTTATATATAACTTATAAATACATGAGCGTGAGATAAGATAAATACAGAGGCTTCGCGGCGTATTCCCTCGATCATATCGGATATGGAGTAGTTGATAATCTTTCGAATAAATGATGCTCCAGATCATAACTGAGCCTGTCATGTATAGGCAGGAGACAGAACCAGATTGCGGCAAACCAATTCATTGCTAATCGTTGTTGTGCGGAGAGAAGTAATAAATTATATCGCTGAAGCTAGGTGGGAAACGGTGAGTTGTGAGGATATGCTACTATTACTGCCTCGCCTCGTTCTCGAGATACCACTGTGATCATGGTCAGTAAGCGTTCCTCAAAGCTCCACTAGGCTAGCTCAAACTTCAAACCCAAGAGCAAAAGGGGCCAATTGGCAAATTTACCTGGACGCCTTTTGTAACACCCTCCTTCCAGTCCACCGCTGGCTCCCACCCCAACTTCTCCCTTGCCTTGCCTATTTTAAACCATCGATTCGAACATATCATCTTAACCATCATCCGACTCAGTAGAGGCACTTGCCCACGACCCCAATCAAACCACTCTGCCACCCACGCAAAGCACAGCGCCGTGTTGACTCCAACAACTTTGACTTCTTCCAGCTTCGTTCGATCGCCAGCGGCTTCCCACACTGCTCTCGCGAATGTCCAAAACGCGACGGGGTCGCCTCCATTGGTGATGAAGAAAGACTCGCCCGCGACACCTTCAGGAGACGTGAGCAGTTTCTGGGCCGCCAGGATGTGAGCCGTTGCCGAGTTGCCAGCGTAGGTGTAGCTGAGCTGATTGGTGTTGGGCCCGACTTGAATTCTTTGACGGCCCTGGCGCAAGATCTGCATCAGCCTGGGGATGATGTCGCCGTCGCGTTCGCCGTAGATTAAGGCGGGACGGAGGGAGGTGGTGCGCATGCCCTTGCCGGAGGAGTCATCGTAAGAATGTGTAAGGCGTTCTGCGGCCGCCTTCGACTTGGAATATGGCATGGCACTCTTGTCGCCGTCTTCACATAGTTCCATAGTCTCGTCGCCGCCGAAGATGTCCATGAGCAGCACTCTTTGCACCACACTCGCGGAGCTCGTAAAGACGAATGCCTTGACGCCGCCTACGGCAACGCACTCTTCTAGTAAGATTCTGGTACCATCGAGGTTGATGCTCCATAACAGGGCTTCCGAAACGACCTTTCGGCCCACGGTTATGATGCCTGCGCAGTGGAAGATGACGGTTGGTTGAGAGGCTTCGAGGGTGCGCCGGACGTCGGAAGGCTGGGTGACGTCGCCAGCATGGTAGGTGACGCGGGGGAAGCGATTCTTTGTTGGGTTTCGGGAGAGAACAGCGATCGCGGCGGAGGGATAAGCGTCCAGGAGCTGCGAGACAATATGGCTACCCTGGAGGCCGCAGCCACCAGTTACAAGGTACGATTCTGTAGCCATGCTAAGATAGAGGTTGCTCTTAATGATTGGCCTGATTGAATTTGAAGAGTCCTATTACTTATGTGGCAAGAATCCTGCTCTATTGCTTCGTCAACAGTCCTTACTTACTTCTGCGCGTACTATTCAAGGGAAAGTGACAAGAAGTACGGGTCTGTAGCTCAGCCGGAATCCGTCTCAATAATAGTAGATTTCATTGACCTGTGTAGCTAGCTTCTATACTATCGCCGCTATGTAGGGTTGCGCAAAGGGGCTGGCTGCACCATGTGGAAGTCATCTAAGAAACACGCTAACAAATGTAAACACCGCGAACAAAGTCAAAGAGCTAAAACCACATGAAAACACGCAAATGGTTAATCTCAACGTCTTCATTGCGCCTCTCTCACCCCGTCAGTTGGCACGCCGCGCACCCCAACTATATGCTTATCACTGCGACTCGGCATGCCTAGCTATGCCTTCCTCCTCTCCCCTCGCTGGGCCGACATCCTCTCCCCGAATCACCGGGCCGTGTCCTGCTTCGGCCGCGGTCTCAGCCTGAGCCTCCACCTCTGTTGGTTGGGCGCCTAGTGCTTATGGATCGACATCCCGAAATTGGTCCAGGACGCCTGCCTCAATTATGAATTGAGCAACAGCGATTGCTGCCTCTTTCTCGCCAATAAGCTTGTCGAATTCGGTTTTATGATTCGTGTTGCGAATTCACCTCCACATGGCGTGTCGCTCTGCGGTGTACAATGGGCATGACACGATTATGTGTCTCGGGGTTTTACCCCCAAAGCCACACGGACACTATGGTGAGTCCCGGCGCTTGATCCGCCATAAATAGGGGTTCAAGGTGACAAAAGCTGAATGGCCAGATACAGGGTAATGCGTTAAAAAGACATTGGTTTTGTAGGTGCTTAATTTTGGTGTTCTAGTCGCTCTTTTGTCGACGTGATAAGGGAGCTTCAACGTTAAAGGGTAACTTATAAGAGAGAGCAGGAAGGTTTGATAGATCAATTGAAACGTATGAAGGCTCTGCAAATTTATGCGATAGGGTAGTAGAGCTTGTGTAAATTTCTATTCGAATTCCAGGTAATCTAGTATTGCCTCCATTTCGGCTGATTTATTGTCCCCATTCAATTCTTCCACTAAACCTCTAGCCAACTTTATCAATGCCGAAATTTTCTGACGGCAATACTTGGGGCTCCCAGTAGACTCCATGTATTTCCTTGCGAATTTTTTCACTGCATCATCACTGCTCTTCTGTCGAAGAATGTTAAGCAACTGCGGATTTTTTGGGTTTGACCGAATACTGTAGATAATAGGAAATGAAAACTTCCCTTCCGTTATATCCTCACAAAAACCCTTGTTATCTGTATAAATACCACTCCACAAATTTTGATAGTCATCTCGTATCTGAAAGGTGATTCCAAGGAGATCAACAAGAGGCACATAATCCCTAGCAATTTAACTTAGTGCACTTCTTCATTAATCTTATTTACGACAGGTGATATTACTTGTCTTGTTTGCTTTCTAGTTGCATCAGCCTCACAGCCAGTCGAAAGAGCCCCCCAGTTTTGTTGGAGACCATTTCAAGGTACTCTTCTTCAGTAGGACAAATAAGTGAGTCGCGCCAATAGAGATCCATGCCTTGTCCTCGGTGAAGACTTAGGAGTTCCTCAGTGAAGATACTAAACGCCTTTGGATTCTCTAGAAGCTCAAGCTTCTTCTGGGCAGCGAAGTAAGCATAATTAGCAGAGTTAATGGTTTGTGCCACGCCAAAAATGCTATGGGCGACTGGCTGCCCTCGTCGTAGCTGGGAGGAGTCTTGAATATCATCAATCCTAGAAAGCAAGGTTAGGAATATCACCCGTGGAGTCAACTATACACCCACAGTAAAGAAGCTGTATGTAGAAGTTCCACAACACGGTTGATGACCTCCAGCTTTTCTTCGGGTACTTGAAGCCACTGATTGAATGCTGCAATCAGTTTGGTCCTTATATTCTTTCCTTGAGAGGATAGAAGGTAATCCAATGGGGCAGAAATAATCTGCAAGTCATTAACATCAAAACTTCGAAAGCTTTCAATTTTTCAAAAAATTAGTATACCTGATCTTTATCCAGTTGCCCATTATCTGGTTCTTTTAAAATTCTTAGTGTTAGATCTTAATGTGGCTTAGGATAGTTCAGACCTCGCTTTTGCTCATAAAACAATCCTCTAAACCCCTGAGCGTGTCGCATAGGGGTCACGGGGTAATCACCAAGGTCCTGTAGGGAGCCTTCATGACTCATATCATGAACGCGTATTTCTTGAGAACATTTCGACATTTCGTAAATTGCCATGGTCACTGTCCTATTCAGCTTCTGGAGGTTAAGTCCTTAAGTAATGTAGACGGAGCAAAGCGTTAAGAGTCGCGCTACTGATTCCAAGTAGAGTTCCACTAATAGGGTTGGAGGAAATCAAAAGGTGAAGCCGCCTTCGACTGATAATTTCGATCCGTCCTTAAAGCTCACACCTAAACAGCCGGTTCTTCAAGAATACTCATCATGTTTATAATAGAGAGCTGCCTAATCCGTAATTTTACAGGGTTCTTTACATGAAATTTGTCAAACCCACATGGTTTATGTGGTAACCTTTTGCATTGATAAGGTTGGATTTGGGGATTAAAAATTACTATCCTGGGCATGACAGTCCTTGACCCCTTGCTCGCGTCAATGCGCTGTACGCGCAGAAGATCAGACCCAGGCTAACCGGTTAGATTACGTGGCTTGCAATGTCGGAGCTGAAAAGTTTATTTGAGCTTGCTGAGAGAGCGACATAACTGCCACAAGAATCAGGGTTAAATACGTACGAGTCAGTTCAGCTCGCACTAGTTAGTTCCAGCAGGTATGGCCTCTCACAGCCCCACCATGCTGATCACCCCGAAAATCTCCGTCATCGACCATTCAATATTCAGCGCTGTCTATAGGCTAGGCATGTTGGCTAGCTACCTAAAACTTATGGCTAAAACAATGACATGACTATCCGCTTCATTAATCCTCCCCCTTGGTTCTCCTCTGTAGCAAGTAAATTAGCCCCACTTATACAAGAAAATGTCAATGACAGATCCCGAATTCATAGGAAGCCTTATCAACACGGACTAGTGCAACTAAGCCGACTGAAAAGGAGGCCAATACATGCACTATTTGGGATAGATGAGGATGACTATGGTTACCTCTGGACGATCAGGAGTCTCATACAAATAGTGTAAGTGTGATCAGGCTAAAGCCGGTGGAGTCCGCGGGCCTGCGCTACGCAGCGAACCGACCAATACCTAGCTCGTCATGAACTGAAAATGAACAACCCCCTTTCAAACCTCCGTGCCGGAGATTGACTGAAATATTTGATAGATGGGCCTAATTGACCTAATCTTGCTATAGTGCAACATTCTGTATGGCACGTTCTGCAGAAAATGAGGTTAGAAAGATTAGCCAGCTCCTGTTCACTTGTGGGAAGTCTCATACGATAAGAAGATATCATGGAAAGGCTATAATCTACATGGTACTACTAGGTAGAGACTGACGTAGGAAGCAATCAACGATGGATGAGCGATGCTAGGAAGAAAACTCTCTACGATACAAAATGTAGTGTGTAGTACTACTGTACTAGAACGGCCCCAGTAAAAGTGTCATGAATTTTCACCCCCTACCGCTTCAGCTTAGATGTACTCTATCTAAGAAATAAAAATAGATAAGTCAAACTAGAGAAACATCAGCGTTCTCTTATTTCTTCGTGCCCTACGGGGATGGATGAAAGTGTAGGCCAATTCAACTTTGATCTGGCCGATCAACCAGACTATTGAATTTCAGCATTAGCGTGTAAATCTACCGAAGAGCTAATGAGTGGAGCCCAGAAGTGTAATCTACGATCGTACTCTAGTGTAGGGTTTGCAGATCTACTAATTGGCTAGTATTGAAAAGTCGGTCAGTTGCATAACTAGCTGCAGCTCTCGAGTCCAAGCGCCATAAGAGCCAGACTTTTTGTCCACTTCATCATGGTCTCAGTTTTAGAATTCAATCCGAGTACCAACTCTCTCGTAGTAGTGGATGAATAGAGCAACCTATTATAATCTACAACACTATGATGAGGCACAAAATCCTTGTGTTAACAAGCAATCCACCTCAGACTTGGAAAACCCACCCGCGAACCCAAACAAACCCGGCCCATTCCCAAGTCTATACCTCAAACCCACTTAGCGCACTTCCTTTGGGATAGCCTCGCGTGAATAACCCTTATGGAATCGATTATATAAATGCTGAGGCCCGACATACGGTTTGGAACGCCTCAGCGATCCTTCTTGCATCCATTTATAGCGTATACTTGAGATCTACGGATATCTTCTTTTCAATTTTAATAAGCCTTCGACCAGAAACCGAGACACCTTGTGTATCCATTACCTTCATGTATTAGTCTTCTTTAGACACCCGAACTTAACAGTCATGGATATCGATATAACACATCTAAAACATTCCCTCATCTGGCAACCGGTATCAATGAGTATAGGAAGCTTAGGACTGTCAAACCTGATTTGTCATGTGCTGTATGGCGTTCTGGACTGGAGGGCGGTAAGTTATGACTAAAACTCGGCACTTCATATTCAACTTATGCAGGGAAAAGGTAGCTTTGACCACGTCTTTTCACTTTATCAGCATTGCCTTGGACCACTACAAAGATCATCTACAATCTTATAAGATCGCAAAACAGAGCAGGAATCAAGATGCTCTCAATATCTTTCAATTCACACATTGGATGATCTTTTTATCCGCACTTATCGCTGTTACAGCACTTACGCAATGCCCGCTATCTACGACTGTAAAAACGGCCTGTTTTGTTGCACCGGCACTACTGTGGGATTTTCATATTTTTGAATTTACTTATAAGGGAAGAAAGGAGTATGTCTCTGTCAAACGGATTCCTGGTATTAAACCGTTTCTTGTTGGATTTATCCGTGGGTGCGGGACTTACTTAGTTGTGGAGTCCATCATGACCCCAACTTACACTTACCAACCTGTGTACCCATGGAACCCTTTCCAGCTGATTGTATGGGTAATGATGGACAGATCATGTTATTCGGTAAGTTAATAACACCTCTTTAGTATTATTAATGCTGACGGCCTTTGAAAGTTTCTGTTAGATATACGTGATTATGATGAAGATAAGAGGGGGAGCGTACGCACCCTAGTGGTTCTACTGGGCTCGATTCCTCTTTCCAAGTTGTTCCTTGTTGTGGCCCACTTCATTACCATTTGCATCTTTCACGAAAACCTATACATTATAGGTGCGGCGCTCTACGCAGCGGCTCTTGGGTTATATTTGGACCACAAGAGTCACGGGGTATGGTTCGATCTGAGCTGTCATTCGCTGACTTTCGCTGTTGCTGGCTACTTCATTGTTCAATTAACATAGTGTCATGTAATGCTGGTGTATTTGCTTGGAGGAAAATCTCATATAAAACCTGAAAGTACTAGGGTAGAGGATTGTTTCTAATACAGAGTATTGCAATACTCCTCCACCGCATTATTCTACACCAACCCGCTTGTCATCCTTCATCGTCTATTCCACGTGGGGCGTTCACGTGAGACTATCATCTACTACTAGGAGAATAAGTGCTAGGATTGAATTCTAAAACTGAGACCAGGATGAAGTCGACCAAAAAGTCCGGCTCTTGCAGCGCTTGGAGTAATAGTCTAATCTAAACTAACCAACAGATTTTAATCTTTGGATTGCCTCTTATAATTAGCTTGGCCCTGCGACTAGTTGTGTGACTGACCGACTTTTTAATGTAAGCCAGTGCTTGCCCTCGGTCCAAGCCCTGGGTCTGGCTGACGTCCTGACGTCACTAAGATTCCGTACAAATATTTTGGACAAACTTAGGACGTTTTCTCTTGCAATGTTGTGCTTGTTTACTCCTTACCTGTCTATCGTAGGTATAGGCACATACAGCAAGGATAAAAGTTGTAGTAAAGTTTTATCTCCACTAAGCTTCCTATCATTGATCCTTGGAACAGCCACAAACCACTAGTTACGGGAAAAGGGTGCTAACACACTAGACAAGCTGTTCTCGGAGCTCCACTTTTTATGATCTGACCCGGATATTGGACCGATGCCAAAAGTTGACAATTGTTACGAGCGCTAAAAGTTTTGGCCTCTACAGCGGCTACGCATGTAGTGAGAATACACTATTGATATGGGCACCTACAAATTATTAGGGGCGTCTAGCTTCTCTTTACCCATTTGTGTGAACTGTGAAGGTTCTGGTCCTGGATGTACTCGGGCTTCGCTCTCGTTGATGCCGCCACTCTGATTGGTTGACGCCGCTTCGGGGCCCCCCAGCGTATATGTAAACACTCCCGAACTCCTGTACGAACCTTCTCCTTTCTTTCCTCACTTTCGAATCTACTCAATTCAACGTATCTAGATTAGGGCGGCCAGGCGGGGCCTAGTCCGTAACATTTTTCCCAGCTCTGTACGGAGCTAGGCACCAAAAGGGATGAGAATTTCAAGACAACCAGTGATCTAGTTGCTTTTGGTGCCCAGCTCTGCACTGTACTCCGTACAGAGTAATAAATCTTTGTTAGATAATATGAGGTGCCGAGTCGGCACCTAGCTGGCCAATGTGCTAACCAATTGGGGAGAAACACGTATGCTGAGGGGTTTGAATTCTTCGCCATATTAAATAGAATGCAAGTGGGCCAACAATCAAGCAGTGAGGCATAACATAATGTCGAACATTTTCTTGTTTCCTTACACAATTTTGTGGGTAAATGACCGGTGCTGATCCAACAAATCTTAATAATAAGGCAGGACACACGTCAGCTAAAGTAGAGTCTGTGCTTCTCAGAGCCTATTAACATGATTAAGCTAGTCCTAAACTCCACCTGAGATGGGTCTACAATATGAGCTAACTGAATGGAGGAACTCAGAATCACTGTCTTAGCCTTTTGTTCCATTGGACAACCTTCTAAACTGACTAGGAGGCTATCTCTTTTTTTCTCTCTTAATATTCTGAACTAAACTTGTATCCTGTATAGGTTTCAGTTATAAACCTCACTACTTTTTTAGAAGTCTTTGCAAGATACTTGATTCTAATATCAAGACGCCTTGCATCTCACTGGAGCAGGTCGGAACCAGTTAATCTTCACTTTGTTTCTATATTCCTTGAGCATGAGCGCCTTTTTTCTTAACTCGACTTCCAAATTATCATTAGTTACCAACTATGGATAACTACATCACTGGGATCAAGCTTGCCTTGGTCATGTTGTCGGTGACGCTGGTCGCGTTCTTGGTTCTGCTGGATATGGCGATTATTGCGACGGTACGGTGATAAACTTCCTGTTTTCTAGGCGAGAACATTGATCTGACATAAGTATGATATCAGGCAATTCCTCGCATTACGAGTCAGTTTCATTCCCTTCAAGATGTGGGTTGGTATGGTAGTGCGTATCAGTTGGCTAGGTGTGAATTCATTGGAAAAACTACCCTGAAGCGTAAACTGATACTGACACTAAAATAGCGCGTCTCTCCAGCCGCTGGCTGGAAAGCTGTACTCTCAGTTCCGCTCAAAGGTTGGTCTCAAGTCGAGCTGTGTCATTGAAAGTGAGAATCGTATTTAACAATCTAAAGTGGATATTTCTTGCTTTCTTCTTCATCTTTGAACTAGGCTCTCTGGTCTGTGGTGTGGCAACATCGTCCAAAATGTTGATCATTGGACGAGCATTAGCGGGTATCGGGTCTGCAGGACTTGTTAATGGCGGTCTCACAATTCTGTCTGCATGCCTACCGTTGCATAAACGGCCTGGTATATTGATTTTCTGGCCTGTGGTTGCTGATTTGGGTAGCTAACGTCGTGAATAGCATACATTGGGGCCCTATTAGGCAGTAGGTATCTGTTTTTTTTTTTGGAACCTAGAATGGATGGAGATCTGACTCGTTCTTTTTCTCTCCAGTTTCTCAGCTCGGCGTTGTATGCGGTCCACTTCTTGGTGGTGCATTCACCCAATACGCGAACTGGCGGTGGTGTAAGTTGATGCAGACCCCTATAAGACCCTACAAAACTTAATCTAGGTTCTCTAGGCTTCTATGTCAATCTTCCTGCTGGGGCTATCGTTGCGGTCTTGTTGCTCTTCATTCACATCCCAGACAACATTAGACCGCGGGAGATCTCAGTCCTACAAACCATACAGACCAAGCTTGACCTTGTCGGCTTCGGATTCTTTGCATCAGCGTCCATTCAATTCTTCCTAGCCCTCGAATACGGCGGAAACCAATATGCCTGGAATAGTGCAACTGTGATAGGACTCTTTGGCGGTGCAGCAGGCGTCTTCATTGTCTACTTGGTCTGGGAATACTTCAAAGGGGACGAGGCTATGATACCATATTCCATGGTGAAACAACGCGCAGTGTGGTCCAGCTGTCTTGTCCAGCTCTTCTTCTGGGGGGCGCTCCAGCTCAACACGTACTACCTGCCCATCTATTTCCAAGCGATCAAAGGAGCGTCACCGATGATGAGCGGCGTCTACATGCTGCCCATTGTCATCAGTCAGTTAATTGGTGCTGCGTTATCGGGGCCGGCTGGTAAGTGGTAATGCAAAGATGGTTTATGAAGGAACCCCTGCTGACCGAGGTAGTCAGCAAATTGGGATTCTACCTCCCCTGGAGTGTGGGCAGTGCCATCTTGATGTCCATTGGCAACGGCCTGTTCTGCACCATTTCCCCATCCACCTCCACCCAGGAATGGATTGGGTACGAGATCCTGGTGGGTGCGGGGCGTGGACTCGGGATGCAGATGCCAGTCATTGCCATCCAGAACACGCTTTCTCCTGATGCAGTTTCGATTTCTATGTCTCTTCTATCTTTCTCGCAGACCTTTGGTGGCGCTGTATTCTTGACGTTTGGAGACACCGTCTTTACTAACAGTCTGAGCACGACTGTGCCGACTTATGCACCGGGCGTCAACCCAGAGGTGGTCATTGCGGCCGGAGGAACGGGTCTTCGGGAGGTCATCAGCAATCCAGAATTGTTATACGGGGTTCTGGTCGCATACGGCAAGACCATAGACCGGGTGTTCTATCTCGCGGCGGGTTGTGCTTGTGCCACGTTTTTAACCACGTGGGGGATGGGATGGAAGGATATCCGAAAGAAGCAAGACACAACGCCGAATGCAAAAGCAGAGAAGGTTTAAATCGGCATAATCACAATTGTCGAGCAGTGTACCTTGTGACGATATCGGCCGCCGATTGTCGAATCATATTGATCGCAACCAGTGTATGTCAAGTGTATCATTTCTCGCGGTAGCCAATCATATCCACTACACTTCAGGACCAGTGGAGATAGGACTCATCTGCAAATTTTCAAAGCCCCAGCTTTGAAATATACAAGCAGCCTCTGATTGGCCCAGAAGTTTCGAAACTCATACAGCTCAAAAGCCGCTTATAAAACATATATATTGATGGGTTATGGTGTTTTACTGGCCTAGAGAGCATAGAGAAGAGTGGAATAGTACTTATTCAGTAAAGCAGGAGCCTAAAATCATAGCATCCCGACGCCGATTGACCCTCCCTCTCTTGTCTGGCAGTTCATTAGCTTCGTGGTGAAAGCTTCGCACAGGCCCTTGGTGACTAGTAGGCTCTATATCCGAACGCCCAAGGTGTCCTGTTGCGGGCCTAACCGCAAGCGTTAATTGTTAGTTTAGTAGTGGACGATTTGATGGTCGTGCTGACAGAGATGTGAAAGAAGAGGGAAGGGTGTTGAAATCGGACTGCGCGCCTCCACGCGGTAACACATGGGCAATGTGGCCGTGGCCGTGGCTAGAGCGAAACGTGTTTAGATATCAATTTAGCTGGGGAGCATGAAAATCTATCACATCCATTCAATATGCACCTCTATAACCATACTACCTGGTCTAAATCGCTCGAAAGAAATACCTGTATTATAGTTTCTGAACCTGGTGCGGTCGCAGAATCGACTGCTGGGTCATAGAAGCCACCATATTGCCGCTTTCATCCCAAACCCGGCTCTCGGAATACGTGCGTCCGTGAGCTCCCACGTGTGTAACATTCTCTCGCAAGTGCCAATTGTTGAGGTTAACATTGGGAGAGAAGATCCGAAACGCGAAATCTAAGCTAGAACACGCGGATACGTCATTTAGGAACATATGGTTGTGAATTAGAGGAAGAAATGAGAGCGCGCCGTCAAGCATAAAAGCAAGACCGGCTACATGATCTGATTCTTCATTCACGGGTTGTCTTGGTTGAAACCACTGGGAGCTAGTCTTCTCTGTGATGGGAAGATGGTCCTGTGTCGTTTGAATATCTTTTCCGATGCCCATAAGAGTCTGTCCAGCGATACTTTCAGGACATAATCGAACATTGAAGAGCCGTTGTAGTAGCCCAAACATCTTGTCGAATGCCTTGGCCTGCGCAGAACTTATTCTACCAGTTTTTATCATCTGTATCTTCAAGTCATCGATGGGTAGGCAGTTCTTCCAATGACTATACTTGATCTTCGGTGGGGTAGAAAAATTCAGCAATTCAGGCTCTGCCTTTTGGAAATCAGCCAGAAGCTCAAGACAAATCCGGGTTGAATTACTGCCATCGCCCGTTATTTGTGAGACCTGCACTCTTCGTGTCTGAAAAGTTTTTGTACTTCTAGATGAGAACACTGTGAGTGTCACTTTCCGTTTGGTGCTAGCAGGACCAAGGTAATTCCCCATTGCCGAGTAGAGACGGAAACCACCAGGCACCGTCTTTGCGGCAGCGTTAATAGCTAGGGCTATCGTGTACCCTCCGTATGAAATTGGTAGAGTATTTCCCATTGGCTCTGCAAGTCGCCTGGATTGAAATATCCAGTCGGACAGCCGGTCTACGGCAATGTGGTGAGCAAAGGAGTCGTCCATCTTGTTCGCCTAGGTTTGTTCTCAACACTCGCGTGAGTGTAATTATACTAGAAGTTAAGGTAAACACATCTTATACACATTTTGAAATAATACTTAACTGAAACAAATTAATAGATCTGCGGCTGACAAATTGTTGATAAATACTATACTAAAAATGGCGTAACCCTTACTTAGTAAGGATTATTGTGGTTGTTCTAATTGCATATTCTTTCTCTTATACCCACTCGGTTTATGAAGAAAATCTTTTGGGTTTTGTATAAGCTAGCTAGGCTATTCTTAGATGTAATATTAAACATCTCGTTGGTATTTCTTTTAATTATATGTAGTGGAGGCTTTTGCGCTCTGCGAGATTTTATTGAGAGGCTTTAGGTGCTTTGGGTGGTAATTTTGAAACATGTAGACCAAATTAGGTCTTTAGGCTTATAACAGTTAGACTTTTAATTATGATACTAAAAAGGGCGCAACCCTTACTTTAGTAAGGGTTTTAGTGATATTATAGTCGCATATTTTGTCTGACACAAATAAAAAGAAAGATCGGTTCCGCCTCGTGTTTCTGACTGGTCAAAATCCAATTTGCAAACCATCTAAACCCAAATAGGAAGCAGAACAGTATAAATATCGACGCAAGGGGCTGTTATTTGGTATGTCTTGCCGATGTGTGTGGGCTTATGTGTATTGCTGCTGTTTGTCATTTGCTAGAGCCTTCGAGCCTTGTATATTATTAGTATTAACAATTATAGCAGCATTAACAACCCTTAATATAGAAAAAAGCACAGTAGAGAGTTTTGACCGTCCCCAATAGCACATGGTTCCGATTGGATGAAGTATACAGTTCTTGTGTATACTTCTTGGGAAGGATCGGGCAGTAAGTAATATTATTGGTATCAACTATCAAGAAAACTTCACTACATGAGACTTCTTGATGGTTTATTTGTGACACGCAAACAGCGCGGTCACCTGAGCACTGCCCGAGCGCCAGGCAGGGCCTGACTGGACAGTCACTTTCCTAACTATATCTCATAAACAACACATACCACGTCAGTGATATTAGACTATGTTCCTCTAAGGATATCTGTGACCTATGATCGCTTCTTTGTTCTGCCCCTGTATGCATCTTCTTCTTCTTTGGCCTTCTTAACTGCTGTGGCTGCAGCGGCCTCTTCTTCGGCCTCTCTCTCCCGCTTTTCCCCCATTTCTTGCTCCTGCTTACATGTTTGACACTCACTGTTGGGCTTGTAGTATATGTCTTCATGGACTTTACATTGAACCATGTGCACTTTCCTCACGCAAACGGTAGTAAAAGTTGCCTTACAGTCGGCACTGAAATCCAATAGTCAGTTCCTACTTGCTGAATTTTAAGTATGCTCTCCATAAACAACTTGCCAATGATGATTGCGTTTCTTCTTGGCATCTTTTTTATTCGGCATCTTAGAGGGCATTTTAAAGAATAATAAGAAAATAATGTTCAAGTACTATCTAACCGAACGTCACTATCAATGTTAACCTTCGAAAATAGTGCATGCATAAGTTCTACAGGAACAAGACGAAGTTACGTATGGCATATATAGAGAATTTCACGGAAGTCTACGTCTACAAGCGCACTTCTCATCTTAAGAAAATTTGAATACAAAACTGAAACAAAATTTTCTACAATATGACAAAAGGAAGAATGGAGGGAAATATACTAGATTTTACACCATTGAAGTTAGGCCAGAAAACTGAAAGAAAAATCAAAATGAAGGGGAATATAATTCACTCGTAATACGTATTATTAGGTACCATTTACAGGCAACTTCAATAAAATATATTTCGAATTACGTATCAAAAACCTACACCAGAGGTGAATTACCTAGTAAATACACCTTAGTGCTTCATGCTTCGGAACTCTGAAGGTATTACGTCAATATTTTCTCTCTTATTGTTGAGAAAATATGAATACCGCATTTATGCTTGAGCTTACAGGTATATCTCATGTAGTAACGCATCACCGGTTGTGGCATAAAAGGAAACTTAGATATCTACCTTTAGGATGTGGCTGTTTCAACAAATTAATCCATACAAGATTTGCTATTCCCTGTTTTAAATTATGACATGGAGTTAAACAACAGAAGGATCATATTCGACTAAGAATGAAATAGTTTTAAACCTATAAAACAAAACAGCAGGGTAAAAACTACATCATTATACCTTTGTCTATCTAGAAAACTAGACTTGTCACTGATTTTTGAACATTATGGTTGAATTGTTGTCAAGTTTATTTTTGCATTGATTTAACAAGATAATATAAAATAAAACTAGAAAGTTCATAGTAACTGAGAAAGGTATAATGAAACAGTTTGTTTCAGCCTTTCAATAGCTTTTTTGCTTGCGCCGGCTGACTTCTTGGAGGTTTTTGTGGACAAAGACCTATGAAGCTTGGACAAAGAAGAAAGATTTGAAACGATGTGACTAATTTTCACAATAAAATGCTAGGTGTAATTTATTCTCCAATTCAATTATTCCTGGAGGCAATTTTCCATTATATTTACTCCATCCCCTATATTGCTAAAACGTATTTACGATCTACACCATCTTGTTGCGGAGGCAACTTTCGGTTACGCTACCAACGATATGGCAGAAGCGATAGACGATGCTAACAGCCAGGATGGCAATGACCTCTCAAGAATATTCGGAAAAGTGCGAGCCATCATCAAGTTAGAAAACCTGCCACCACTAGCCGCTCGTGTTCGCAGCCGTATGACTGGAAAGCCTGTTGAAGACTACTTGACAAATTGTCATACAAACCCTAACCCCATATATGGTTCTAGTAATATCCTTTTTGAAATCGAATTTTCAGATAAAGTTTGCTGGCTGTTGAAAGTTCCCAGTAACGGATATCCAGGTGGTTTCAGCGAACACTCTGCGAAAGAACTACGAGCGGAGGTGTTGACTATGCGTCTTATAAAACGAGAAACGACTGTGCCTATCCCAGAGGTTTTTGAATTCAATAATTCGTGCGACAATGAGGTCTGCTGTCCATTTATTCTAATGGAATACATCAAAGGAAAGGCACTGCAACACGTCTGGTTTGACCAGACTGTGGATGTAGAAATTCTTGAAAAACGTCGACGTCGAGCTCTCTCTGATGTAGCCAAGGCTATGATTCAGCTAGATAAATTTACCTTTTCTCAAGGGGGTATGATCCTTTTCGATGAAGACGATAAGGTGGACGGAGTTGGACCAATCCGCACTGTGGATTTGCAGTCTACAATGAACAGACAACAAGAAGATGGTGATTCAGATGGCGGTTCCAGTGATAATTCTGACATTGTTTATGATGTTGGTCCAATGGTAGATATGAAATCTTGGTTCACTTCCGAGTTAGAAAAACGCCAACGACCTTCTGACGCAAGTGGCCAGGGACTCTATAACTTCATGGATTTTTGCATTGACCTTGCAGTAAGCGAGTGCCAGTCTGCGTTGAACGAAGAAGAACGAAATGCGCCACAATTTGTACTCGCTCATCCTGATTTTGATATACAAAATATGATCGTTTCTGAGACAGATGGTAGTCTTCAGGCACTTATAGACTGGGACGGTCCTATCTCCGTTCCTCGGTATATGCTAGGAAATGAAAGTTATCCTGGTTGGCTAACCCGTGACTGGGATGAGTTGATGTATGGGTATGAAGAAAACAGTACCCCGGGACCTGACAATCCTAATAATTGGGAAAATTCACCCAGTGAACTGGCTCACTATCGGAGAGTGTATCAAGACATCATCGAAGATCTTACGAAAAGCCAGTCTATAAGAAGACGCACTGCGCGGACTTTAGCTCTACACAACTTGTCTATCGCTGCCGATAACTTTATGAACACTCGTCCTATCATGTCCAAAATCTTCGACGAAATAGCAAAAATCACCGCCAAAGCGGAACAGTCCAGTAAACCATATGAAACTGCTAGCGAGGACGATGCATCCACAGATGTGGTTCTCAATGAGAAGGAAGAGGGGAAGGAAATCCTCAAAGAGATATACAAAGAAACTCAAAAGGAAATATATAAAGAGACTCATAATTATACAGGAAAAGAAATTTCGAAGGAGTTATGCAAGAAAATATACAAAGAGATCCATTATTCACCAAAAAAATCCGAAGAAAAGCAAGGAGAAGAGAACTATGAGGTTGAAGAGGATCAAGAGGTCAAAAAGAATCCAGAAGACAAAGGAATTGACGACTCGTTCATAGAGTATGTGGTTTTTACTAACTGGGCTGAGGGTAAATTGTCAGATAATCACAAGGAGCGACTTGTTCGTGGTTTCAAAGCTCTTCTTTCCGGGATTGAAGGGATGGATTGAGATATCTCTCTACGTGGGATGGAGGGTTTCAGATCGGCTTATAATTTGTCCCCGAAATATCATTTGATTCTCGATCAAGCAGACATCAACTACTAGATGAAAAGAATGTACTTATGTGTCAATCTCGTGGAGCCCTAAGGCCGTCTTGTGATTGACTAGATATCAAGTCAAGTTGCGCGAAAACGAATTATTGTATTCGGGATCACTGCAGAATTATGTCTTGACGAGTTAAAAACTACAAATAGTCAAGTGCCTGCTAATGAAAACTTCGACCAAAATGCGAAACCATCCTAATAAATTCCTTTGAACAAAGATCTTTTTACTAAGTATTTTCTATGGTAGTCTCTTACAACTCGTAGAGTTGAGAGGAGCTTCAAGGTCTTTTGAAGCATAATTCACCGTGGCCGACTTGCGATGGTGGCGACGCGGTATAGATGAAGGTATGAAAACACAACACACGGTATTGATACTCCTATGTATTCGAATATGGGGGAAAGAAACAATAGCTTTTCTAAGATCAGACTTTTCAGGCAAAAACTTGGAGATCTCCCTCGATTCACTACGTAACCAGCTGCGCCGAAGTCCCATTAGTGATATCGCGACTAGCAGCCCATACCACCAGTACCTTATCAATATCGAGATGTGAACAGTGTAAATCGAAGAACTGGGGTGGTAAGGCGGAGAAGTTGTTAGTGACTTGTCGTTCCGCTGATGCAGCACGGAGTACTTTACCTAGACTGTCTTTGATTTGAAACATGAATAAAGTATCTAATTTTTAATTGTCGTGGACATAATGATAATCTTGCGCACTAAACACTATCTTTGTCCCAGAACTGTAAGGCTGTACATAGTAATATCGACGTCGAGTGATGTTTCCACGCCTGCGATGCGTTCATGAACTGAAAAAAACATCAACTAAAGAATTTCTCAAAAAGCTAACAATATATAGCAAGAATGAAAAGATACCAAGGAAAAATCATGCCGCTACAAAAAGGGGGAAGAATCACGCCATTTTTGCAATCACTTCTCTACAATCTTGCTTTCTACTTGCCACTTCGCTCTTCCAGCAGCCGAGCGTCGATCAAAGGGTTGTTCTAGGAATTGATAATGTATAGCTCGTTCGCAGCTAGATTGACATATGAAGTAAAGCTAGAGCAAGCTTCAAGATCCCCAAAGGAGGCAACCGATATACAAGATTCTAGAAAGGCTACCCATATAGTGTCACTGAAAGGAAGCCAGGCCACGTTTTCATTAAATGCAGTCAAGTAGGAACCAGTGAGTGTAGGTGATGTAACTGAGAATGTATTAGCTATTGTAGATATTGATGGGTGCGACATTGACAGGTTTCAAGCTGGGCCCATGGTCGATGAACCATCAAGAAGTTCAGTCATCCAGTATGCTCTTATTTTTCCTCTTGGTCGATTAACGTATTCGGAAATGGCAGCATCCTCTGTGGCAAGGAGGACGGGTTGTGGAAATTGCTGCATTAGTGCACTACTAAATCATGTAGACCTAGTAAAAGGGATTGGTCAGAGCCCATTTACCTTTTGCACGAGGCTACCAAATTCCAAAATTTAGACAGCTTGTCATTGCCATATTCTAGTACGCTAACACTTAGAACTGCCTGCAAAAATGGCGGATATAAAGAGTCCATAGCCTACGAAGGAATCAATCGAATTTATTGCGCATAGTCAGCTCAAAGGATTCGACGCTGGTCGAAACTCAAGCTTGTGGGAAAACCCACGTGTGACAATGCCACTGCCGCAATAGCTTTCCGCACGATAAATATAGGAGACAAGTCTATGTAAATAGAAGTGTCTTGTAAAGTCTGAATAACAGTTGGTAGGTGCAGGATCGGAAACCAAGCGTGGACTTTGTAGAACCAGGCAGTGCATAGTTCGGCATATGTACTTCGCGATGGACATCGGGTTCCGTCATGTTCTGTGCGTACTGACATGGCAGGAGGAGCGGAAAGAGTAGCAGAAAGGTCGCTGCTGATATGTATCGCTTCATTGGCATTTGAAGAGAGACTTGGTGTGAATGGAGATTGTTCAAACTGTACATTTTCTAGCAAAGACTTGTCAATAAAATGTCTCAAGGCTGAGAACCAGTTACTATATACGGACTTGTAGCAAGCGACTTCAGTTCTCGAACTTCTGCTTCTAGTAATTCCAATTTGTTTTTTAATTGTGATACATACCGGCTCTCAACCCCATGCTCCTTCCGATAGTCAGCATACTGGAATAATGATACTGTGCCATTTTTGATACCAAAACTGCAGCTTGGTTTCTGTCGATCGTATTTAACTTTTCTTCGCCAGTAGAGCCATACATCGAGATGCAAACAATAGTAAGCATTGTCTCTTGCCATTAGCGGGCCTTATAAAGTCCGTGCTGCTGTATGCCATACACTGTTTTGCTTTTCGGGGAGGACACTGAGGAGTTTGTGGTATCAGAAGCGTGGCCATCGAAAGTAGATGGGGGCTGCCATTTTGGTAATCTATAAATTGCAATCATATAATAAAGACACGTTTACCCCTTCTGTTAAAATGAGACCTGAAGTGCAAGTCTGTTTAAAAAAGAATGACAGGTGACAGCAACGACAAGCGGGGTCGTGTTTCGGCCAGGCGTACTATTATCAACAATGATCCTTCAATTACCTTTAGTTCGGTGTTCTCTCCGTCGATATTCAGCCTCGCAGTCAACCAATTATCAATACAATAAGTCGTTATCTTATTTCTTTTCTACCTCTATATTGATTTTATTCTCTTCGTCCTTGTTTCTCGTTTAATAATTGATCGTAGTATTCCGTTAAACTTGCACGTATATATCACCGACATAATATCATTTTATTTCATGTCTTGACAAATACTCGGAATCGATATCTTCCAAGAATTCTGGTGGGCCGGTCATCGCAATACGTCGTGTTGGTGATTTACTGGCCATATGTGCGACGCTTCGATGACCATTCGAGCGTCAGCCATGCGAGGGGCTCACGATCCGGCAGTACCAGGTGCAACTTGTGCACCAGTCGCTTGTGCACGATCTTGAAGCTCAATAGCGTTAAGTGATGCCTGATCTTCTTCATTCCATCCCTCTCGATCATCCTTGACTAATCTCACAAAACAGACATCCAATATAAGGGCAACAGCACTTAATGCCACACCGAAATAAAGTGCTGCCCGGTAGCCCATTATTTGATTGTCCAGTCTTTTTGAAATCTGGGTCTCAATCGTGGACGCAAATCCCAGTCCTAAGCTATTTCCATAAAGGTTAAGAGTGCCGATAATAGAACTGGCGATACCTTGTTGATGTCGACGTACCGAATTACTTGCGATTATTTGTCCGGCAGTATATACAAGATCCGGACAAAAGGAAAATAGAACTACTGATGGAAATATCTGAGCCCAATAGGTCTGATGGACGGGTACTGTGGCCATCAATGCATTGGAAATCAAGATTGTGATAGTTCCAATAGCGAGTATCCACTGAGCGGCCAAACGGGGAATGAGCCAGGCAGCAAGAGAGGCGGCGGCGGTCGCACATATAACAAATGGGGTCCAGCCGACAGCAAAATGGAACACTGACCAGTCCCAGACCACTTGTACCCAAAGGACCTGGTACCATATAAGTGTGCCGACGGCCATGTAATTAAGCAAAATGACGAGGAGTAGTGTCAAGAATGACGGCGCTTTGAATATATCCAGTGGCATGATAGGATGTACGGCAAAGTCTCTTTCCCAAAGAAGAAACCCCCCAAATAGTATCAAAGATGCAATCAGTAATACAATTTCATAAGGCATCGACCACCCTACATTGGGGGCTTGACTAGTGCACAATCATATATCAGCAAGCTTATCATCGTATTCAACTTTATGTATTCAGACAGGCTTACTTCCAGACAAAGTTGAATAAAATCAAAGAGGATGTCCCTAGAAAAGAGCCTACCCAATCGATTTTCCCCTGGCGATCAACTGGGGGTTCGTAGGGGGCAAGAGCCCATAAAGGTATAAAGGTCAGGACACAAAGGCAGGCTCTGAGAATATTTAGCTTTATCGGTACAGTTAGTTTCAGATACAGCATACATGAAGATAAAGCACCATTTCCAGTCCGTTTTCTCCAGGAAGGCACCTAGAAATAATGCTCCCAAGTAGCCCCCGATTGGTGCAGACGCCCCGAAAAGCCCTAAACTCAGGTTTCGCACCCGGCCTGGCGGATTAGTTACTGATATCATAGCCGCCGCGTTAGGCATAATCAAAGCTCCTCCGACCCCCGCTAGAGCACGCATAGTGACAAACGCAAAAAAGTTGTTGCAGAAGGCACTAATCAAGATACAGACGCTGAGCCATATCCCACCGATCACAAGTAACTCTCTGTGTCCGAAAACATCACCCAATCGGCCGCTCATCAGGACGAATGTACCTTGAGTCAGCCTATATCAATATCATTAGCATTTGCTTTCTGATAAGATCAATATTCTATAACCTGATAACTTTAGAAAGGCATGCCTACGCATAGCTAGCGGCAATCCAAGCCGCATATGAAGGTTTAGCACCCATTGCATTACTCAAAGAGTTTCCACCAGCAACTCCAGTGAAGTTTACAATCATCTACCTCGATAAGTCACAGTGGTTAGTTGGGGAACTCCTGGAAAAGTACCTGAACAAGATTTGCTAGAATAAGTAGCGCAGTGGTTATCAATCGGCGAATCCGCGTAACCCCAATCGATGGTACGCGGTCAAACACTGGATGGCCAGTTTCTGGAGGCGTGGCGCCATGGGAGGATATATTTTGAATCGTTGAGACCTCTCTTGACGTCTGAGGATTAGAGCCAGCAGGTCCTGTAATCACAGAGCGAGAGGACGATTGAGTCGAGTTGACTTCGTAATGAAGAGTTTGCACCAAAGACATATTAACACCAACTTTGTAACATGAATTGCATAGGTATAGCTGTGTCAAAATTTTAAAGGATTTTAAATTGTTTCAGAGTTGTTGAAGCTTACTGAAAAGTGGTGGCGATGACTGACTAATTTGAGCGGGGTAAGTGATCGGAGCCTACACATAGGCAACTTGTCACGATGGATCATCCTTCATTAGCTGATATCCAGGCTGAAAACCAATGAAATTAAAGCAAGGATAAGTACGGTTCCAGTTTTTGTTCACCAAATATTGATTAATTGGGGGCCTTAGATGGTAAATTCCGCTTTGCGACTCCCTTCATATCAACCACACACTATCTGAACACTTTAAACCTCTCTCCACCTCCCCTCCCCGTTTCCATTTTTCAAGTGGGTGGGTCTGAGAAAATGCCGAGAAGCTGGAACACTTTAACATGCCAAAATGTTTGAAATTTGTATAGTGCGATCTTCCTGAAGGAGATTTTCAACATATATCGAAGCCAGTATATCAAATGTCGTTCCAATCGATTGGTCTGTTGTTTGTTTGTTTCTAGTCCCAATTCCACAACGGAACAGCCTTCAAGTATTCTGCACCCCCTAAATCCACACATGTGTTTACATCCTTTTGATTAAGGCTCACTAATGGGGCCCCTGAGCAATCGGAGTTATTGTATGACTGAATCGACCAGCCAGGGTTTGTAGTTATCTGGATGGATTCAAGTGTCGATGGCCGACCGTTGACAAAAGTGAAGGCCCAACAGGGCTCAGGCCCGAAGAATTGCCAGGTGAAATCACTTGCGCAAGTGTTTGAGCTTATTGACAGAGACATTGTAAGAGTTGCATCCGATGGAACAGCAACAGAAGAGGAATTGGTAGGTATAGTTGGGGCGCCGTCCAAGTTAGAGAGGAGATGGCCATTATAGTTAGCGATGTGGTCCTCTATAGCACGAGACGGGCCAGTTAGTCAAGCGATTAGCGAGAGGAAAAACGAAAAGAAAAAGAATGAGAATAAAAAAGGAAAAATTTTGCAGTACCTAGGCTGAGAGTTGAGTTGCCATTTTCATTAGCATAGGTGCCGTCACAAAAGCACTTCAAGCTACCACCATTGATCAAAGCACAGTTCTGGCATGTTTCCTCAAAATTTCCCCTATGAATAAATGGGTTAGAATTTAATGTCTCTCGAAGGTATGATAGTGGTTTAATTATACCCGTCCTTCCACTACTCATCACGAATATAGTCAGTTGACTTGGTTTCTTTTCCGTCACCGTGGGCGTGAGGGGAGGGGGGGGAAATCTTACAGTGAGATTACCCTCTTGGTTTTCAATCCAGCCTGGCAAATAAACACTACTCGTAACGGCAGCGCCAGAGTCGTCTGGGCATGTCGCAATGAGCCAAAATGCGCTATTCATGGTGATATTGCTGCAGGCGGAAGAGAAACCTGAGTCTCGCACAATTGGTGTGGCGCAAACGAGTGAGCCTGCCAGGCTAAGAAATGTCCAGAGCTGGATTTGGTACATTATCAAAGAAGATGGTAGCAATTTTTCACTATAAATTTTTGATTATTGTTCTGAAGTCAAGAATAGCTAGGGACTTTGATTGAAAATAGACCCAGCAGATTATTCCACGACGTGATAAACACCCCAGAACTGGAATTTTTTCTTAATTTATTTAGTTGTTGTGGTGAAGACCACCTCGTTCCATCGGGTGTTACCTCCTCTCGGCCTACGGGGACTGCCGGCTGACATACATATCATCAGTGATAAATACTCACGGTATTGCCAATCCTGACAAAAGTTCTAGATTTGGAATCCTGGGGTCTAGGTAACGTAGTATACTTCTTTGGATTATAAGGAATCCTGTAGAACGTATCATAATTGGTCTTATAAAAGAAAAAGGCATAGCGTGAGGCACTACTGATTAGCTTGGTGGTACTTGGTTACTTTTGTTCTTGGTGCTTATGTAGCATGTAACGATGGCTCATGCGGTCTTTTCCGTCATTCCAAGCGTTACACAAAATACAAATTTGTTAGGCATGAACCAACTATACGAGCGAACGAATAAGCGCAGAATACGCGTAAGAAATTTTGAAATTAGGGTCTATACTTGAAGGTGAATGAGTCTACTTCGTACCTAGGTGGGATGGGATTAATTCATCGAAACTCGCCGAATCCGCCGACATCCTTAATTGCTTAACCAATGACATTTCAGACAATTTTAAGTTATTATTGGTTTTATATTAATGGCCCACTGCATAACGTAATCCACCCCCGAGTTGGCCACCCACCCGAGTTGGCCACTTCCGCCCGAAAACGCGTTCTATATTATTTTCAAAAATTCAACGCGTTAATATACCACCAATTCGCAATAAAAATCAGTCAAATTCTCAGGAACAAAAGAAAAAATTCAATTAGCATTATCCAACTTAAAAAATAACAAAATTCGCTCTATACATCAAACTGCAGAGATTTATAATGTTACCCATTCAACTCTTCAAAACAGATTAAAAGGCATAGCATATCGAGCTAAAATACACGCTAATAGATATAAATTGACCAAACTTAAAGAGAAATCACTTATAAAATAGATTTTAGATCTAGATAAGCATGAATTACCTCCTCAGCCATCTCTTATACAAAAAATAGCTAATTATCTTCTCTCACAACATAAAAATCAACAAATTGAAAAAAATTAAATATACAAATTTATTCAACGTCACCCAGAGCTCAAATCTCGATTTTCACAAAGATATAATTATGAACATACTAAATACAAAAATCCAAAGATAATCTAAAAACATTTTAACCACATTCAAGAGACTATATTAGAATATAGCATCTTACAAAAAGATATCTACAACTTTAATAAGACTAGCTTTACTATAAAGCTCTATACGATTACAAAAATTATAACTGGAAGTGATCGATATAGTAAACCACATCTATTACAACCTAATAATCAAGAATGGATAACTGCAATTAAAATAATTAATTCTACTAGATAGACTCTACCTCCATATATGATTTTCAAAGCAACAAAATACTTATAAAAAACCTGGTTTAAGACTCTTCCAGATAATTAGAAAATCAGTATTAATAATAATAGATGAACAACAAATAAGATTAGTATAGATTAGCTCATTAATCACTTCATTCCTCATACAAATAGCTGTATAATGGAAAGATATCGAATACTTATTCTTGATGATCATAAAAGTTATTTAACTGCTAAATTTGACCATACATACACTAAGAATAATATTATTCCAATCTATATACCTCCACATTCCTTTCATCTTTTACAGCCTCTTGATGTTAACTATTTTACTATTTTAAAACAAAAATATAAACAACTTATTAAGCAACAGATAAAACTTAAATTCAACCATATTAACAAAATCGACTTTCTTACCACATTTCCAAAGACGCGTACAATAACATATAAAGCTAAGACTATTCAGAATGGCTTCACAGCAACTAGATTAATACCATTTAATCCAGATTGAGTCTATCAACAGTTTACTATTCAATTAAAAACTCCAACCCCCCTCCAAGTCGATTAAGTAATTCATAATCATCTTACTTATAAATACCTTAAAATCCACATCAATTCAAGCGCCAATCAAGTACAATTAAAAGACAAATTAACCAGCGTAAATTAAGCTTATTAAAAGTTATTAATTAAGCAATTGATTAGATGTCTAAAGCTTATAAAATAAATATAAATAAGCTTCTAATTATACGAAAAGAAATTCATAATTTACAAGCTACAAATAAGAAAGAGAAGCAAAAACGTCAACAATCTAAAAAATAGATATCTTATAAATAAGACCTTACTAAAGAGGAAGCTCAAGCGCTTATCTAAAGTTAGATTGAGGCATCTTAAAGTACTATTACTGTTCCAGCCAAGCCTAAGCTTCCAGTCTCTCAGGTGCGCGTACACCACCAATTTCAGTGTAGTGAGTGTAGTATTCTTAGGCATAGAAGACCTCAATGCCCTAATCATACTAGTAATTAATTTTTTGTATATAATTATTATATAGGCTAGAAATTGAACTTTCAAATCAATATAGAACGCGTTTTCGGGCGGAAGTGGCCAACTCGGGTGGGTGGCCAACTCGGGGGTGGATTACGTTATTGAAAGCGCTGCTTACCTCATTATTATAAATACACATAAATCCAACATCAGCGATGATTACAGGCCCGTCTATATGTATGAGCCGAAGAATACTACGACGGCTAACCAAAATCTTCAGCCACGAAGCCCAGCTTGACATCGTAATTACTTATCGGATAAGCACGGTTATGTGCCCCATCGTGGTTCAATCACAAACGTACAGCAAGGAAAGGTGGGTTTCCAATAGATAATTCATGCAGGGACTGGACAATCAGCCACGACATACGAAATAATTTTGTTGGAGTTATTTCGTCATTCTATAATATTCCCTAATTGAATTCTCACATGTGCCCTGAGATATTCTTAGCAGGCTATTTTATTTCCAAATCTTAATGTCAAGAATTTGCATACTGAAACGCGCAAACCATATGCGATTATGCTATCGTATTAAGAAAGTATATACAACATATTAAATGTGTAAATTAAAAACAAGTCAAAAATGAATTACCATCGAAAAGCTCGATTCCTCACAAAGAGGAAAAGAAGAGAATCAATAAAAGTTTAGAGGAAGAATGGCACCAAGAAAACACCAACGGCGACGCTCAGTAGGCCAGTTGAAAACACTTTTGACAATGAAGCATCGCTAGAATGGTGAACAGATGACTTTTCTGGGCCTGGAGCATTCGTGGCCCTCTGGGTTGGTTGTGAACTTGTTGGTGCGGCATGCCGAGAAGGGCGACCAGACGGCTCTTTCGACACAGTAGATGATGGATACGCTGGAGCAGCAGCTGAATTACGAGGTTTCTCGGGTTGTTCAGCTCCAGATTTACCAGCTTCTGGAAGAGCACCAGATTCATGAGAGCCTGTTCAAGGGGATTAGATAAACCACCGATATATTATAATTGGAAATTTTAAACTTACCTAAGCCTAGAGCTGGTGATGGCGGGTGGGGCATCTGGGGATGCTCTGGATGACCGGACGGACACGGAGGTGTGGGATAGCCTTCATGACCTTCTTCGGGCTTGCCGTTGGGATGGGGATTTTGCTGATCAGCAGCATATCCAGTAGGATGTGGCTCTTGCTCTCCCTGAGGGTTGCCATCCGGATGGGGAGGTGGCCCACCGGCATGCTCAGATGGGCTTGCAGGGTAGGAAAATGGCCCCTTTGGTTCTGTAGGAAATCCTCCGTGTTCCATTGCACAGGGACAAGGGAACGGGGGGGGGCTTCCTATTCCAAAAAATGGCGGTGGAACTTCATGTTTTGGTTCTACTGGGGGTGACCCTCCAGCTCCAACAAACGGCGGTGGCCCTTCATAGTGAGGTCCTGATTGGGGCGGGCCTCCTACTCCAACGAATGGTGGAGCTCCTTCATGGTCAGGCTCTGTTGGATGTGCACCTCCGGGAGGTCCTTCTGGAATTGTGTGAGGTGGCTCACCACCTGGTAGGGATGGATGAGGCGGCTGGGCGCCATAAGACCCATGTGGACCCGGAGTTTCAGGATGTCCAGTGGGCTCTTTGGGATGTGGTCCTTCCATTGGCTTTGAAGGCTCCGCAGGAGCGGAGTGAGGAGGATATGGGGGATGATCACCAGATGGTTGTGGCGGTTTAGGTTGTTCATAAGATTGCGAGCCAGGGGATACATCGTGAGAAGGATGTGGAGGGGCTAGATAGCTTGCTTGAGGATAAGGCGACTGAATGAAGGATGAAAGAGGTCGAACTGGATCACTGGAGGGGCGTGGAGGGGGTCTAGTATGAGACGATCCCGGTGGTGGTGCATGGCTAGAAGGAGCAGCTGGGTGGAAAGATTGTGTCGTTCCTGATGGAGCATAGCCGGATGAAGGTGGTGGTGCATAACCAGAAGGAGCAGCTGGGTGGAAAGATTGTGTCGTTCCTGATGGAGCATAGCCGGATGAAGGTGGTGGTGCATGGCCAGAAGGAACATAACCGGATGAAGGTGGTGGTACATGGCCAGAAGGAGCAGATGGGTGGAAAGATTGTGTCATTCCTGATGGAGTGTAGCCGGATGAAGGTGGTGGTGCATAACTAGAAGGAGCAGCTGGGTGGAAAGATTGTGTCGTTCCTGATGGAGTATAGCCGGATGAAGGTGGTGGTGCATGGCTAGAAGGAGCAGCTGGGTGGAAAGATTGTGTCGTTCCTGATGGAGCATAGCCGGATGAAGGTGGTGGTGCATAACCAGAAGGAGCAGATGGATGGAAAGATTGTGTCGTTCCTGATAGGGCATAGCCGGATGAAGGCGGTGGTGCATAGCCAGAAGGAGCATAACTGGATGAAGGTGGTGGTGCATGGCTAGAAGGAGCAGATGGATGGAAAGATTGTGTCGTTCCTGATGGAGCATAGCTGGATGAAGGTGGTGGTGCATGGCTAGAAGGAGCAGCTGGGTGGAAAGACTGTGTCACTCCTGATGGAGCATAGCCGAATGAAGGTGGTGTAGCACCCTCACTGTTTGGCGGGGAGATATTTCCTGGAGGTTTAGATGCGAAATAAATTGACGTTGGTGGGCGTGGGTAACTCGATTCTTCTTTTGATGGAGCACCAGATGGAGCACCACCAGTAGCAGTAGGGTGTGGACCGTCTGGTGCTGTAGAGATAGGAAAGTCCGGAGGTGGGAAGTAACCCGAATCTTGATGTCCACCAGCAGAATGATCGGATGGTGTAGGATGAGGAGGACCCCATGGTGCAAGCAGAGAAGGAAGGTGATATTCCTCGGGACCTCCAGGATGATCATGGCTAGCCTCGCTAGCATCTCTTGGAGCAACAGCAGCAAGGGCTGAGCTAGCAAATACCAGTATTGTGAACTTGGAATTAACCATTGTCGATATGCAGAATGTATATTCAAGATAAAGTCAAATCAACAAATCAACTGTTTATCGGTTGGTTGTTTGGGTAGTTGATGAGGATGCCTTTGAGGGGAGAACACAGCGGTCTTATATACCTTTTGAATTAGAATGTTTTCACAGCTATAAAATATATATCATAGTATATTTTAACCCTAGATGGTGCTTATGATGGGTTCAGAAAGCGTTGTTATTTTTGATTCTCCAAAAACGGAAGCGCCAAGCCCTTGATCAAACTTTCCGTTTTAGGAAGCAATGTTCTCCCACTTGTCGCTATGGCCGAGGACGGCACAGTTTGCAGCTGTCAAAAATTAAGCTTCTGTACTGTTGACCTGTGCCAGGTCCAGTCTTTGCCGTTTACCGGCTGTAGAAACGTGGCATTTGGTGTTCTATAATTCAAAGGATGGGTTTACGTCTATAGAACTTCTGGCTATAATTACTTCTCGCAAAATTTTTGGCAGGCGCATCTTTAATAAGCATCACAAAGTGCAATCTGCGATACCATATTCCATACAATACATGTAGAAGCGTTTCTATATATATAAATCTGTAGGCTTCAACTTTCATTTCCATGTATAGCGTGGACCAATTTCGAATTTGGTATACGACGTATAAACATCAACCCATTTTGTGAACAACAGAAAGACATGGCTGTTACTGAACCCGGAAAAATGCTTATCTCATTTTGGCAGAGATCGATTGGTTGGGAGCGACGAGCGGAGCGGCCCAGCGACGCCGGGCCCTCCCGCCTTGCAGCCCCTGGAATGTTCCAATTCGGTACATGACAACATTGACATTTTTCCTATCCAGGGCCAGACGCATCTATTTCGCGTCCAGCGCGCTACATAACTATGTTTCTTTGAATCAGTACAATATATCAAAAGGAACTCACTTTGGAATGGATATGGGTGCAATTGTGCCGAACAAAGTAGATATTTTGTTTGATCCCATCTGAGCCTCTCTCGACGGCTGTGTGGCAACACGTACGGGACAGGGATAAAGCTTAAGAGCTAAGAATTTGATCGGGAATAACCACCTGTGGCTTGCATAGCCTTAGAATCACGCAAGAAGTCATGGAAGAGGTTGGAGGGAAAGCCACGTGGAATGCTATCCCTTATTTAGCTGCTTTGGGTCCAAAGGAATGTGGGTAGATGGACGCTACCAAGCAGTGCGCTGTACGTGCTGGCATCCTCAACTATGTAGGGATGACGGGCCAAGTATGTAGCAAGGAGAAATAGGTAGGATCCCTGAGTTGATAGACTCAATCCGAAAGCACACTAGTTGGCCCCTGACTGTACATTTTGCAAAGCGGCTAGCAGGGTCTGTGCTTTAAGCATGGCTATGTGGTATGATGTATTCTCTTCCGGCCGAATTCTAGACCGTGGTAACCATCATTCATAATTAATAATCATTTTTCTTTTTTAAGATTAAAATCTAGAAATTAGACGATTGGGGTCCGTTTTCGCACTAGATCACGAAGGCCGGACAATCTTTGTTCCATATAATTAGTAAGGAGAGGTGTGGGGTTGTCATCATGATTATTAGGCAACACCTCAAACTGCCACAATTATTATCGAGACCTCACAGCCAAGCTAGCATATACAGTTTGAGGGTATAATTAAAATTGAAGCCTATCAAAATGCCTCACCCAGAAGTCAAGGTTATCCGAGGCAAGAAGACATTTATTCCGCTCGGTTCGCCACTCTTTTCTGAGGAGTAGCCACCGTTTAATGACTTTGAACCAGAAAATAACCCCGAGGTAATGAGACAGCTTGCCGATAATCTCGGCGTTTCTTCGGATCTAGAATTTTATGACGTGCTCGATGTGGACGACAAGGAGCTTCTTGCCTTCGTTCCTCGGCCGGTTCACGCACTTATATTCTTGTGCCACGAAGACGTTTACCATGCCACACGCGACGAAGTCGAGGAGCAAATGAAAGCATACCAGGGCTTTGGCTCAGAGGAGCCCGTCATGTGGTTCAAGCAAACAATCGGCCATGCTTGTGGATTGATGGCATTTCTCCACAGCATTTTTAACGGTGCCGGACGTGGCTTCATACTTCCCGAATCCGAACTTAATAAGTTACTCCAAGCTTCCATTCCTCTTCCTCCTCAGCTACGAGCAGATCTGTTGTATCAATCCGAGTTTTTGGAGTTGGCCCATATGTCTGCTGCCACAGTTGGAGATTCTGTGGCGCCCTCTCCGGAGGACCCATGTGGGTTTCACTTTATATCCTTTGTCAAGGCGAACGATGGACATTTGTGGGAGCTTAATGGCGGTATGCCAGGGCCTTTAGATCATGGCATTCTGGACCCAGATGAGGACGCCTTGAGCCCGAAGGCATTGGATCTGACTGTCAAGAAGTTCATCGCCAGAAAAGGAGCAGACATAAGATATAGTATTGTTGCCCTTAGCTCAGCATAGCTTGCGAAGAAATTGCTGCAGATTCTACATCATCTATAATCTTATGTTCTTAGACCGTATCAATTACACGCCAAAGCTGCTCTAAACCCTGGTGAACCTAGAAATTTGAGTACAAGCGGTTCATCTATTTATTGCGATTACATGCGTGTAAAATACTGTGCATTTATTTGCGGGGCCAAACTCTTGAAGCAGGGACTTCAGTTCTATGATACGAAACCCACATGTTTTTAGTGACAGATCAATTGATAATAGCTTATATATTTATCTATATATATTCCCATAAAGACCAATTATGTAAGGCCACCCAATAAATCTGATAAGCCTACGTAGAGGGATCAGAGTAACTTGTCACTCTAGTTAGAATGATGCTGATATGAGCTGGCTGATATTCAATTCCAGCACTCTTATCCGCAACTTCACTTAACAGCAATCGAAAAGCTTTAATTTCAGACCCGGCCGCCGATTAGGATCCAATAGTTTGGGATAGCTGATTTGGGGGCCATTCCAAGAATCATCTGATAGGCGGGATATAAGGCTGTTACCCCAGTTTAAGATGCTTTAAATAGATACGGCCAATCATCGAGGTGCAGAACGCGCCGATGAGATATTTAAGTAAAAAATCGTTAGAGGGACTAAGGGTCCAAAGCCCATAAGACTAAACTTTCTGTCTTTCTAAGCTTTTCTTAATTTGAAATAGAAGCATGAGCTTATGCTTGTTTAGGATAGCGCCGGAGTTAGCTCTCTGACCGTTGCAAACAGCTCTCACGGTTAAAAAGTAGCCTGTCTCCACAAGAAAGAGAGTTGCTCTGTCAACGTCGACTGATGCCCTATCTGTGGCGGCGGCAAATGATCACACCTGGCCAGGATGCCTTCACGCCGATTTCACATCAAATCGCGCTATGGCTGCTTCCGGTGCAAGACTAGAAAAGTGAAGGTGGGTTGAGTTGTTTGTGGCGGATTCCCGACCGCGACTTTTTCTGTTTTTCATTCTCATTGTTAGGATTACTTTGCAAATCTTGGATCCTGACATCTCCTTTAGTGCGATATGCAAAAACCAGTATGCGGACACTGTTCTCGAAGAAACGAAGAATGCATCTTTCCCAAAGATGTTCCGAAGCGACCTGGCGCTAGCGCTGGCTCTTTTACTCACTTTACTGCGGTTGACCATGACAATGATAGCAAAGCATCTGGCAGTGCGTCAAATATGAACTACGGGGATACCCTGTTGATTACGTCTCCATCAAATCCAGACCAGATGTTGCTCGACAATTTCTCATCTAGGGTCAGTCGAACCATGTCCCATATAGACGACCTCCAGAAAGTCTGGGCTGTGAACATCACTCGAGATAGCTATTCTCATTCCCATTTGATGCACGGATTGCTTGCCGTTTCAGCGCTCCATTTCTCCCAGAAATCAACAACCCCAAAGGCCGATGCCAATCATTACCGCAGTTTAGCCATCGATCATCATAATTTCTCTGTCTCCCTGTTCAGACCTCTTGTTACGGAATTGACATCGGAAAATTTTGATCTCTTATACGCCAATGCGATGCTGATACTTATGTTTAATTCGGTCTTTCTAGGATCAACAAACAACAATTCTTCTTCTCTGCCCAACGACATGGTATCAATACATGAACTAGCCAAAGGTGTCACTATCTTGAGAGCTCAAGCTTTGAAAATCAAGAGCGATTCGAAGCTCTATCAACATTACCGAGACATCGGTGATTCTCCGCCGTTCGAACTACCCGAAGGAATTAGCCGTACCATTAAAAATATCGATAAAGCAGTAAACTGCCTACCCGATTTCGGTGATGGGAGTGAGAAGAAGCCGGTATACTTACAAGCAGTTGCCCTACTGCGGTACACACTCTACGGATTTTTCGTCAATCACGATCACCCGGCTTTACTATTCGTATGGGTGGCCATGGCTGATCGCCGGTACCTCGATCTACTGATGGCGAGCGACATCATGGCTTTGAGAATTTTGGCACATTTTGGTATCTGTCTTCTGCAGGTGGGTGACGAATGGTGTGTGAACAGCTTGGGTAAAAACATTGTGAATGGCGTAAGACGGATGTTTGAACGGGAGCAAGCTGCGGATGTGCGTGGTAGTGGTTTGGCGGTTACATCCTCTCCAAACAAGCAGCCAGACATTTTGGTGCTCCCCATACATTCTCAAGCTGGACTTCCGTCTTAACATGACCCCGAAGTGGCTCCTCAAATCTATAGCGGCTTGCTCCGCGCCTTCGCCCAAGCGAACCCTTCATCGCTGTGTCCGGGGAGCAATTTTGCCTGTGTGCGGGTACGGCCCTGTTATGATCCACTATCAGTTGGCCTTTCAAGCGATGTCTGGTCTTGTAGACAGGGTCATTACATTACAGATTTGTCTGCTCGGTCTCTGCGCGTGATACCCTTGCTGCCTCAACAGATTGCCAATACATCTGGGCGTGATTTCTTGTGCGGACTTGTCGCATATACAAGTTTTGCTCTTGACCAATTGGTTGGATGCCTGGCTCTTCTGTAAAACCAAACATTCGGGCAACAACGAATCCGATGGTGACAGCAGCACCGGCCCCAAAAATGGCGATGATGACGATGAGTTCGGGGTTTATACTGGACATTATTGATTATCGCAGTAGATACAAACCAGCCTTGGAGATATTCTGGACAAAGAAGATGGGAAGTGTCAAGCGAGTGAATAGCATATTAGGAGGAAGTCTCAGCTATTTATGATGGGTCTCGACTGAGATGAGACATCCTGCTCCTATCAACCTAGAGCAGGGTCCGGCCAGTCTGATTCCAAAGGAGAAAATAGTCTTCGGCTTGTTTTAAACCTGAATACGCTCATCAGCAGCTGCGAATACGCTGCTCTTCTCATGTAATAGGTTCATGAAAATGCGTGATTGGCCATTTGATGTGCCCACTATTCGTACTATCGTAAACCATTCTAAAATAAGTATAGTTCGTATCCACAACTGCTTGAGAATCATCTCAACCCTCCTATTCTGTTTGATCTATGTTTTCCCTCTGTTTCGAATTCAGCTCATATGTAGCTTTTTTCTTATCAGTTAGTCATGTTCTGGCTGTTATCATTTTGTGGCTTCAGGTCAGCCAATGCTGCGCCACACGATCAGCCCTTGGAAGTATCGAGAATTCTTGATGCAACATTGAAGCAGAAATTGAAACAAAGAAGTAAATATGCTGAAATAACAATAATATTTATCAATTTTGGTGAAATTAGGTAATTAGGCTGCTAGTTAAGTATTTGACGAGACAACATGGGATGATATGTTCCTAAAAAAAAACAAACTCACGCCAAATTCAGTTTGTTCCTGAGGCGGTACAAGTAGGCAATAATTATTGCAATATAAGGTAACAAACAAGGGGGTATATTTTTATTTCGTCAGATTTTATTTTAAGTATTTAGGCTGATCTTCTTATAGTTCCAATTGGTGATCCCCCGTTGAGCGGTTAAAATGCGCATCAACATCCAATAATCAACTCTAAGTCGCTGATTTTGTGCATACAATACTCCTCCAACGAAACTTTGATGCTATGAGATTTTCAATTATGCAGTCTTCAAATCTTATTCTACCCCACATACAAAAATGATTAACGCTCAATATCCTATTCTATTGATTCCCTTTTCTCTAAATAAAATACCTTGGTCACGAAGAAACGTTCTCGTGACTTCATTTTCTATACCCTAGCTCTACCTTAACAAATATGTTCCATTTTCTGCCAAATAGTCAACACTGCCAACGTGAGGAGTGATCGCGGTAGGCCAAGCCAGAAGGTATCCAGCGATATTCCATGAAGCGTCTTCTGTTGCATGGAGGAAAACGTGAGCGGAGTAATCTCTGGGGTCCTCGCGTCGCTTTGGAAGTTGCTAGTGTAGGTATCCACCCATGTGTCATAATTCTCAAAAACCTCTGTCTGAAATAACGAAAAGTGCTTCTTCTGCTTCGACATACGTATTGTCTTATGAATAGTTTGGATCCTCGGTGTTGAGCCGAAAAAAATCAGTCCCGTAATCAGCAAAAATTCGAAAATGATGAGTAGGCTGTGAGGTGGCAGATGTTGACTGATCGGTATTTCTATCTTGTAATGTTGTCTTGAGTGATTCTGCTTCAAAAGTAAGAGAGAGGTTCCTTCACTGGCAGAATCCTGAATATTGATATCGACGTCGAATGTTGTCCTAATAAAAGTTGTATCTTGCTCATCGCCTAGCTTTTCTACAATACTGCGCCATGCATCTTCTAGATTCAGCACCGGTTTAATGTATTTCTGGGACTGTGTTTGCGTGTAGAAGATAGCTAATGGTCTCGGGATATTAGAAGACATTTTCCATCCCTATATAAAAAATAGGATCTTTATGTAGGTTTTTGGGGAAGGACAGGAGATGACTTTTGAACTTGGTGTTGTAAAAAGAAGCGAGGTGCAGTGGACACTCACAGGTATCATACGTTAGCCCTTTTTATCACTAAACATATTTGCCCTTCTAGCTCTATCATATATGAGACGATGGAACTCACTGAGGTATTGATATATTTCGACTTCCTAATGGGTATTCAGCACCAACTCACCATTGCTGTTTAGGTTATTAGCATTGAATTCGTGGTGTTGATGAATAAATACAGCTTAGATGAGCCGGCGAAGGGAACTCTACGGCATAAACTAGTTCTAGAATTGATTGCACTTCTTGGAAGTTCTCATTACTGGCCTATTGCCTGTAAAGAACGAAGGTTCATAATTGCACAAGTAAAGGAAGGCCACGGAATTTGAGGTAAATTCCAATGCTATTCTATTTTGATTAGGTTGTGCTAGGCCAGCAAAGTTTTTTCAAGACTACGTGAACCTGGATCATTAAGTTGGTATTTAAACTCTTGGCTTTAAGGTGTAGCACTTTATTTGATGCTTTAGGCAAGGCTGGGGTGTCAACTGGTTTCATAGGATATCGATTCATATGTTACTTAGGTTTACCTTTCTTATTTATTTTGTTAAAAACCCAAGCAATATATCATCCATTGAAAAAGTTTCTACCGCTAGTCTCTGGTTAACGAAATTTTAGCTGCAGATCCCGGGCATGCTAGATGTTCTTATAGATGAGCCATAACCAATCAAATTTCAATCAAGGTCTAAATGCAAGAGAGTCTATTATCAATTGAAATGAGAAAAATGTTGCATCTATCTTGAGTCGTACCCGTCTTTTCATACATGTACCTCAAAGCCGACAAATGTTCCAAATGACTTTGAATGAATTTATACCATAATCTGAGATCTACGAGAGTCAACCGGTGCATTGTGATATATACGCTTGATAAATTTGGATAGTTTATATGTATCTTTATGGTTTTATTGACCCCTATCTGTCATCATCGTCATATATGTATTATTTGTTTCAATGTTCTATTTACCTTGTCCTCCTTTCCATGCAAGGCCTTGTAAATTTAAATCTGAAGTATATAGTTGTAATTTATTTGCATCAATTGAGCTTCGTGATCCTTGACGTATCATATTTCTAAGTGACATAATCCATCGGGTATAAATCGCTAATAACAGTAAAAAAGAAGAAAGAGCATTCGCACACAGGGTCTACCGGCCTGGCCCATTTCCCGATGCATCACTTTCATATAGCCTTGTCAGTTTCTCCTCATCGTCAGGCACCGGATTCAATCGTTCGGAGCTTTTCTGCGGCCTTCCTTCTTTTCCAAGCTGGCTGCGACTTGAAAAAGGGCTCTTTGGCCACGAAGTGCGATGTAATGAGTCTTGTCTTACGGTTCTAGTTACATTGATAAAGTGATGACCGCTGTATGCTGCTGGAGGTTCTCGCATTTCGATGTCGGCCGTGGTTATGTTGCTGGTGACCTGGCTATCTTTATGCCACGACTTGTTCCATGACTTGTCGATTGATGAAAGTGGGAATAAGCTCCGTGATCGACGCCCGCGACCACTGCCACTCTTGTGACTCGTCCCGCTTCTTTCGGAAGTGTTCGGCGTGAAGTATTTGCCGAAAAAATATTTCCTTCTAGATGACTCAAGGAGTGCGGGAACGTAGCGATTGAGGAATGGGCGAAGGGCAGGCACTGATGTCACGATCTACAAATCTTTATTAGCCACGGCAATTTTTGCAAATAATCAAAAACGAATCTAAACTTACCAGTCCAAGACCAATTTCGACAATCGCAGAAATACAAGTTGGCCAGCCAACCCATGATCGATCTAAGTTTGTGATCACCATGCTGCGATGGACATAATAAGTTCGAAATGCGCCGGCGACATTGACGAACACACCGAGCAGGAAGATGGTCATGACGGCAATGCGTTGTCTGTATGGTAAATGCAATGTGGCCACCAGAGTGACTGGGATGAGTGTCGTCAATAAATCGGTGATAGTATTCGCAATACTTGCGCCGTACGTAAGCATATGGCTGTCAACACTGCACGTGTGTGGATATTGGGGTAGAATGTCGAATAGGGCTTTTAGAGGGCTGCGCATATCAATCAACACTGCTTAGTTGAACGGCTCAAAATTTCTAGATTTGAGCAGGATTGTGAGGCCAACATACCGACATTGTACGAGTAGCAGGATAATATAAGTCACACCAAAGGCAACGATGATAGACATGACAACGACAATCGCGATATCATGAAAGCCCCAGCTTATTTTCCTGCCGTCACCGATGATACGCCGGCAAAACCAGAGCAACGATAGCTTTGTCAGAGATGATGCAAAGGCAAAAGTAATCTGAAATACCAGGCTATATTTGTTGGCCGTAGGCATTTTTTCGAAGGGTAAATCCCATATGTGTATGCTGAAGCCATAACTTTGCGAGGCTATGGATAAGCACACCATCATCGCTATCGACCACGCCTTTTTATTCCTAGCTTTAGTATACTGGATTGCCCGGGTCGTGAGGAATTACTAACCCAAGCGAATATAATAAGTATATCGTCCGCTCCCATGGTGCGTGTGATCCATATTCTAGTATAAACTCTCAGTGCTGTTGCAATTGTTCCCACGACGCCAAAGACGACGCTCGCGATCACGATACCATCGCCGCGAGTTACTGGGTCCGCATAATTTGGCAGAGGCCAAGAGGCCACAATCTCAAGAAAACTCATCTAGGTATGCGAATACCGTTCCTTTTCCGGCGACGAGGAATCAGAGATAGGAATGGTGAGTCATCGTTAACAAAATATGCTTGCGTAAAAGTTGTACAAAGCGAGAAACACTCCCAGTAGGTAATGAGAGGAATAGACCACCAAGAACGAAGCCGGAGATAAATGATGGAATCGCCCTCATCGGCGGATTCTGTGAGCGGAATAAGCGGGCCTATTAATTATCGAGCTCATTCCTCGCGGCAAATAAGTCCCACAACGTGGGAATGGCCAGGCCCACGGGCAAAGGACGCTGAGTAGCCTGTGCCATGAGCGTGGATAAAACATATCGGTGAGTGGCCTCGTACGGAGGGGCTAACGGACGATCTAGTAGGCTAGTCAGCGAGATTTTGGAGATAGATCTACGAGAATCATGTGTACCGTTCTGTAGAAGAAAGCAAGGTGGGGGTGAAGCTCTCTGCTATGCTACCTTTCGTATAGTTTCGTCGGGTATGAAACGCATGGCATAAATCCAGGACGCCGATCTTGAGGCATAGCGTGTCGTAGACGAACTTCTCTAACTTCTTCAAGGTAAGCCGCCGGGGCCAAAGGCGTGTCAAGGACCTGGCATCTGCTTCACAATTGGCTTCTAGCGTACTGGTGGGGTCTAGCTTTCAGAATGAACCGCGCTTTGACAACAGGAATGTAACCAAAATCTTATCACTTCCGGGTCATTCCACGTGAATGCGGTTCTATCCACGAACAGATTCCTAACGGAAATTCCAGAAGATCGACTATCTATGCCGTCCGCTTTTGCGGTCATCTTACGCCCCGCAAGCATAGATACATTATTCAGAAGGGGCTTGCTGTAATTATGCATTCACAGCCTCAGATGGTGCGAAGGCCATGAAGTGCATATTTTGCACTGGTCAGCCAACATGACCAATTAATTTCCACCCGTCACCAACAAATCTCCCAGGGGTTCTGATGTCGATAATGATGCTGCCACCGACTTGGCAGCCAACGTGATCGCCAGCCACGCCACAGTTGGCCCAATTGCGTTTCTATAATTACCACGCCCTTGTCATCACACCAACATTCGATCGAGCTGTTTATACGCACTGTCAGCCGCCGCAATGTGTTCGCACACCAACCGAAGCTTGGCTCTAACCCGGCGCTCAAGAGCCAAGTCATAACAACCTATTCGTCTAAAGTACGTAGGTACGTAGTCTGATCCGTGCTTTTTTCTTAATTGCTCCTAGCGCACTATCATGTACGCTCAGATGCGTATGCTACAATGCCGGGCCTCAACCACGTGCTGATGACCACTTTCATCATCCCGCCCCCATAGCCCAGGTTAGCTAGTTTGAACTACCGGCATCAACCCCCTCTCGATTAGAGACCAAAGTAACCCTACGAAGCCAGCCTCCAGTTTCACTCTTGCTTGGCATGAGTAGCTTCCGGGTTTGGCTGTTTATAGGAGTGCCACCGGAGAGACTTGCACATTACGCGAGTCGCATTTTGAATTCATATCCGGTCTGTTCTGGTTAGGTCTTTTCCGCTGCATATTGGATTTGATAGAATTGGAAAATACAGTTAATTAAACAACCGTTGCTGCTGTGTGTTATGTTTGGTCTGGAATTGGCCCGACTTTCCAGGTATTGCATGCAGATCACATGGGCCAGGAAACCCTATGCGTTAACTGCCTGACACGAGGCTTGAATGCTCAACAGCTGAAATGCACTAAATCTTTGCCCCTGCGCTTTTTTGGTTGTCAGAAGCAAAAGGAACTTGTATTCCCGTGCTACTAGTTATATGCTAGGTGGTAATCTTTCGCTAATCGTATCATGGCACCTTGCGGCGTAAGAGAAACCATTGGTTTGGTGGGATAGAAACTAGGCCGCGGAAATAGAAACCCTTCGTTTTCAATATCTTTCCACTCATTTGTTAAAATTTGGGAAATTTTCATTGGAATTGCCTGCTTGACAGACCCGGAACGTTATTGTGTTAGTCTATTTGTGGCTTTAAGTGTCAAAGAATTATTTATACGTAGTGCTGCATAGATATAGCTTCAGTACCGGCAATGACAAGGCTGACTCCGAATATGCTTCACCGAGCGGAAATGTATTGTCCACAAAACGCGTGACATCGGCTATGAAAATTTTCAAGACGATGTCACAAAAGACAGATACCGTGGCTTGACAGCTTCCTTTCGACTCCCTTCTTCTACGAACCGTAGAATATTTATTAACTCAATAGGTGCGTTAGGATGTATCTATTCTTTCTATATTTATGATGTTAGAGGAGTTCGTCTTAGCCTCGCCAGAGTAGCTACTAGACTCCAGCACCACGTTGAGGTGCGAACTCATCGCTAGAGAGATAGTGGCCTGCCAGGTACCCGCAAAAGCAGGATTTCGACAATAGTGACCATAGAATTGCTTTCTGATCTCTGAGATCACACGCGGCTCCTCCTACTGCTGTCTATGCAGCTCCTCACGCCGTTCATCGCGGTGTCGCCGCGAAGGCGCCGCAGCCCTGTGACTGCTGACGGAGTTACGGCTGGCGGAGGAGGAGAGGGAGGCGGTTGCCATGGCTGCGAGAGGGGGGTTGCGGGGACGGATATTGGCATCAGCCCGTAGCTCGCTCTGTTATACCTTGTCAGACTGAGTATATCACTGGGGACATTGTGGTGAATATTGTTACCATCCAGTGCAGGCCTTCGCGGATCTTGGACTGCTTGGTAGTGTGCGCTGTGCCGCCACATCGCGCGCAGCGTAGGGAGGCTGAAGTCATTAGCAGCATATAGATATAGAGATATCTAGGAAAATAGCTGTCGATTCTTCACGACGCCTTTGCCCTTATTAGGGCGGCAACGATCACCACCGTCTCCACGGCGGTCTGGCCTGCCTCCTCCAGAGCCAGAGATGGCGGCAGCACCAGGAATGTGCATGCTCGCCTTGAGTCTACAGTAACTAATAACAGCGGTGGACATTTTGGGGGTGGTGGTTATTAAAGAAGTGGTAAGCGGGTGGAAAAGAAGTCAAGGATACGTGCAGCAAAGAATCAGAAGGTGAGCCGTCGAGATAGCTGTTGGGATGAGAGACAAAGAAGGAGGGAGGAAGAAAGAAGAGGAGAGGTGAGAACAAAAGACGAAAGAGAGATGAGAGGAGGAAGAGGCTGGGATGGTGCGCGTTTGCTCGAGCGGTGCTAGAAAAGGAAGGTATAAACAATACACCATCACTGTTAACCATATCAACCATATCCAAGCACCACACAAAGCGTTGTGTAAATTACTATGTACTAGGTCTGAACGAGGTCAAATAATCAGTTCATGCAAGTAGTTTTATGACATCTGCTCACTTGCACCCCACCGGTTGCCCGCTTCTTCAAAATTTATTTATATCTCGACTCGTCACTTGGAAATATCCCTGGAGAGAGTGGTCTGGGTCCAATCTGTCGCCCCTCAAATAAACGACAACGATAACGACGACCAAACCTCTACCTTGAGCGGATTCCTAGAGTTTCTGTCACTAGCCCCATATTGTCTCCTCACTCTACTCGTTGAGGCCGTCGACGAGATGATAAAGCATAAATTGATCATTGGGGTGGACTTCGGTACCACATACACTGGTCTGAAACACCCATCACTTCTCTGAAGTCCCAGTCATACAAACTAACTTGATCCTCTCTAATTCCAGGTGTAAGCTACGTTATGTCATCTGCTTCTAGCATTAGCGACGTTCATATAATCTGTACATGGCCAGGACCCAGTGCAGATGGTGTGTGGAAAACACCTTCACGGGTGGCCTACAAAACCGAAAATATTGGCCTATCTTCCAACGCATGGGGCTATCAAGTAACGCCAAAGATGATATCTTACTGTTGGATGAAGCTATTACTTGATAGCAAGACTTCCCTCACAGAATATGACGATCCAGGGTTGAAGAATAGCCAAGGCGAGGGACTCCTGAAGCTACCCCAGGAATGTCGGCAACAGAGGTTTGCGGGGATTTTCTCACTAAAATCTATCAGTATACATTCGAATATCTGAAGAAGCGACTGGGAGCGCCTGTTGTGGAAATGACCTCTTTTGAGTTTTGGTTCACCGTGCCAGCCATCTGGTCATATGCGGCGAAAGCTGCTACATGGGAGGCCGCCCGTCACGCAGGGTTTGGCTCACGAATCTGCGACACGGTCAACTTTATCCCCGAGCCCGAGGCTGCTGCAGGTGCAACTCTAAGCTGGGCATCGTTAAATAACAGCATCAGGCCAGTTCAAAAGGGAGAAATACTCATCATTTGTGATTGTGGGGGAGGTACCGTTGATGTAATTACATACATCATTACTGATACCGGACCCTTTCGTTTTGACGAACTGATAGCAGGTGCAGGGGGAAAGTGCGGATCTACATTCGTCGATCGAAATTTTCACAAATGGATGTCTTCTCGCTTTGGAGTTGCGTTCGACGATGTCGCAGCGGAAAAGAAAGGGGTTGGAAGCCGTTTTATGAGAGAGTTTGAACTACACAAACACGACTTTGGGCATGCAGACAACTTCTTAGACATTCAGTTCGAAGTTCCGCTAGTGATGTGCAATGTCAAAAATGGAAGAAACTATGATACAGAAGACTGTCAAGTTAAACTCTCAGCGTAAGTCTCAGTGGCGGAATGGAGTTGATATTGTCTAACGTCCTCTGACCATCATCCCCGTTTAGAAAAGACATGCAAACCTTTTTCGAACCAGCGGTTAATAAGATCAAGCAGATTTTGAAGCAACAAGTAGATGCCGTCCGCCATAAGCATTCGGATAACATACTAAAGATTATCCTCGTTGGAGGATTCGGTGACTCTCCGTACTTGAACAATGAGCTTGCGTTGTGGGCTAAGTCGCAAGGCAATATCGAGCTACTCTGTCCTGAAAACCCACAGGCCGCAGTTGTCAAGGGAGCCGCGCTCAGAGGGCTACAGGGCATCAAGTCATCTAAGAAGAGAGCTAGGGCCCATTACGGCATAGAGATGATGCGAGAGTTTCGGGAAGGCATCGATCCAGAGTCCCTTGCTGCTTATGATCCGTGGAACATAAACGAGAAGGTTTGCCTAAATAGAGCTATCTGGAAAATTCGCAAGGGCGATAGCATCGACGAGAAGTCGAGAATCTCTCAGTGCATTGAAGTAACCAACTCAGACGATGAAGATCCCTCTTTCTCTGCAGATCTCTATTGTTGCAAGTCTGACAACCCCCCGGAGTACACTTCAGACCAAGGCGTGGATATCGTTGGGACTTTGCATTTGGACCTCTCCAGATCGGATTTACAGCATTTCAAAACGAAGAGAATCGATGGGGTCAAATACTGGAAAATCGAATACGATCTGCACATCTACCCCGCCCCATCGGATGGTTTGTTACACGTTCGAGCTGTCATGAATGGGGGGAAAGAAATTGGAGTCACAACAATTCGGTATGAAAGTGATATGGAAGTACCAACATTGGGTTGAAGATCAAGGTCAAAATGTCGGCGAGTAAGGAATGGTTCTTTTGAGGATAAGGCGTACAGGAGGTATCCAACGCTAGATTGAATATGAGTTTTGTCTTTGATTGAATTTCTACCTTCTCAACTTCGTAACATATGCCTGAGAAACGAATCAATTCTGCTACCCGCATCTAGGACAGACTGCATCCTTAAAGGGATGATGAAACTCGCAGCACGGCTCTGGCAGCGCGACATTGCAGAGAGACTCCTCCGAAACTTCCCACCCTCCATACTTTCAACAAGTTTTTCAATCTCTTCTTTCACAATCATGAGCTTCATATCAACACGGTCTTTGTATGAAAGGATTTCATCATCACTTGGCACTGAAAATCTCTGAATGTTTTGAGGGCATCCAGGAAGACCTTGTTCTGAACAAGGGTATCGATCCCGGCTGCCACTATCCCCTACCAAGTCGTCATGAATTCTGGAGTCCCCCAAAAGCATATGGCGAAGAGCGTCAAAGAGAGCATATGCAAATGTCATACATGCCCAATTTTCAGCCATCCATCCTATGAAGCGTCCTCGCGAAATATTTGTAAGAGACTCTATGCCAAGAAGATGGGCTGCATGGTAAACACGAAAATGCTTGCATGTACCGTTGCCCTTCGTATTCACAGGAGGATATTCTATGGTTTCGCTCATCTGGATTGGTTGATCCAGTTGAGCAATAGAGGCAGTTTCGTTATAATCAGAGCCTATTGGAGTTTGCTCGTCCAAATCGTAGTCTCCAGTATATAGATACGACAGCACGCGCTTAATAGCACTGGGAGGACCACCAAACTTAATGACATTCTAGAATAATAATATAAAAACAAAGATCAGCTAGCGATACGTTGATTGTGAGGCGGCTAAGCTTACCTGTGAACGTTCAACAACTGCTACCCCGAAAAAGGGGGATTGTGAACAGACGATGACTCGATGCGCCTTGAATGTCTGGTCTTGACAAACAATTTCCAGGTCTGTGCATTCTTCTTTTGCTAGTATATCGCTCATCATATTACGGGAAGTCGATGAAAACGCCATAGTGAATGGAACTTTGTAGACTGTTCCATAATGAGAAGCTTGACTCAATTGAAATCAAGTTGGACTAGGGTATTCGAGATTAAGTCGATAAAAGAAGGTAGATCAGACAGAGCTTCGGGCTATCGTGAGGTTTAGATGAAAAGGACAAAATTTGAAGTGAGAAGCAAACGGCCAGTTGCCACGGCTGGTGTCGGTGTCCAGCGGAAGGTGGGTGGGTGTGGGTAGGCATGGTAGGTCTCTCCAAACCCATCGATTTGGCCTTTGTCGTCCGTTTGCACTTGGTTGAGATGCCCTCAATAACCCTCGAAGATAGCCAGCTCTTATACGATTACTTCTTCTAATTATCTCACTAATCGCTTTGACAACAATAACTACCAGGAGAATCTTTCAAGATATGAAGCCAGGAAGTCCGAACACTGAGAACGTTAAAATGATCTCTAGCGTGTCTGACCAGCAAGACGAACAACCTATCGACTATCAATACGGCTACTCCATGACTGATGATGCATCCAATTCGACCTCAGACAGCTACTCAATTGTGTCTTTATCACCGGAAGTAGATCATTCTCTGCAGACGATCATTAATGAAGCAAACGAAAGCAATGGCCGATTAACAACTTCCTCTCCCGAAAGTCCCATGCAGGCAATACAAGTCGATCTCACTCCAAGGACCAAAGTCGGGTTTGAGAGAGAGGCTGCTTGGCTACGCGAGCAACTCGATCGTGCCCAAAGAGATCTCGCTGCGTCTATAAATCAGAATTTGCTATTACATTTCCGTATACAGAGACTGCAGACACAGCTTGTAGATGAACACAAGGAGCGTAACGAACAAGAGGCTCTTCTTCAAGAAGCTCAGCAAAAGGCGTACAGCCTCCTGGACCATGCAACATGGGAATCTGACACCGAGAAAACCATACGCCGTCTTGATCAATTTGGAAAACATATCCAGCAGTGGTGCAAACAATACTCTGTCAAATTGGCACTTCATGAAGTAGCAGACACAGAGGCCGTCCGGAAGGTTCTCGGACGTCTAATACCAGTGGGCAAAGATGCTAATTCATTTAACGAGATGGGGCTGAAATCTACGGGAATGGTGCTACAGGCATGCCTCACAGATTATCTTTTCCGAATGACCATTGAAAACCCGTTCTATTTCTTCGATAGCAGAATGCAAGTAGATGTCAACACACTGACCAATCAAACAGCAAATGAAGGAATGCTAAGTAAAGAGTTAGTCGGCACTTATTTTGACGCATTTTCATGTGAGTAGGGCTTCCTATTTTTAATTGAGCCACAAGTTTTGACAAGAGCAGATGACGAGTCAGAAGCTAACAAATGGCGAGCTCACACTTTGAGACTTCTTTGCCCGCGGTCCAACACCCAAGATTTTGAGAAGAAAGAACTCATCAGCAGAATTGGCGAAAGAACGCGGACAGCTATTAAACACGCTTGTTCGAAGCTCGCCAGTGCATTTTTGGAATCATGGGGATCCTGCCTGATTGGCATGGAGCAAGATCAGGAGATGCGGCAAAGTCTTTTTCAATTATTCCATGAAGCCGGTCAACTTTCGTACTATCTTGGCACACAAAGATTTGATGTACGTGTTGCAAGGCTGGACAACCTGCGTGTTAAGGAATTTCACCATCAAAATCAATTTATGGAAGCGCATTCCTCGCATCAAATTCAACTGGATCAAGACGAAGCAGCTCTGGATGGACAGGAGATATATCTAATGCTACATCCTGCTATTATCGCCTTTGGTACTGCCGATGGGTCCGATTACCACAAGTACACTATTTGGAAAAAGGCAGTTTTGTGGATGGGTTATTCAAATTAGGCGGGAGTTCCGCGCAGTGGGCAAGGAAACATGAAGATAGGTATGAAAGAATCTCCCGGCCTCGGTTAACGTGTCACAAGACGCAGGAGCAGAAATACTATCCATAGGTTCAAATTCTAGTCCAGAAATACCAAATTGCCATTTTCATTTGAAATCCTCTCGTCCAGCCTTATCCATGACTTGTCCCAACCTCCATGTCCATTCCCCAACTCTGCCTCGAGCACTCTTCCTCCATCGACCAACCTTACGTGTCTCGCCGATGCGCCGAAGTTACCTCCCCGAGCCCAGTTAAATCTCCCAAAAGTGTTGGTCAACACGTTATTTAGAGAAATAGATGACCGGTTTGGATGACCTGAAACTGTGCGGCAATATGCTACCAGCTCATAGTTCCCTTCAAGCCGAACCTCATTCGATGAGACGGAGAAGTTACCACGGAGGTTCTGGTCATGAGTCTGCCTTATGGGTACAGGTGGAGTTTCGTGATGATGGTGATGGTGATGGTGGTGATGATCATCATCAGACGATGACGATGAGGAAGAAGATGAGGAATCTCTCCGTCCATTTTTCCATTTCTTCTCCTTCTTTTCTTTCTTTTTCTTGTGTTTCTTTATCGCATCCTCGGCGACAGATCCGGTTAGAGCGCCACCTATAGCTCCAAGAAAGCCATGATGGACCTGGTGACCGGCGTATGCACCCGTAGCACCCCCCGCCAAAGCACCGAGGACACCCTTTTGCTCTGGCGCCGCTGCCGCAGGGTCAGATGGAGGGAATTCTGAATTATATGGAGGCGGCTGAGATTGCTGGTGTGGGGGCTGTTGCGCATATCCTTCTTCAGGCTGGTAATAAGGAGAATGAGGCTGCGGGGGTCCGTACGAACCCGGCTGGGTGTTTGGACGCGGTTCCTGATATGGGGGGTATGAGGACTGAGCAGGGTTCTGGTAATTGGGATAGGGCTGAGTCTCATATGGGCGATTCACATTTGGTGGCCCCCAGGCCGGCCGTGGACTGTTGTAAGGACTTTGAGTAGACGGCTGCTGTTGGTAATTGTTACTGTCGTAATGATGCTCTGACGGTGGATAGGAGCCTTCATAAGCACTCGAGCTGGGAGTGTTAATTGATGGAGGCGGCGACCATGGAGATTGATTGCTACTTTGTCGATTGTATTGCAGCTTTTCCTCGTTGCTCTGGCCATATGCCCCTCCTCCTCCTCCTCCTCCTCCTCCTCCTCCTCCTCCTCCACCACCGCCAAAATATTCTTGTGCTGACATCGTCGAGGCTCCGTCAATTAGCGGGGTTGCTTTGGAAAATGAAGACGTGTGCTAGACGACCACCGAACAGGTTCCTGCCCTTATAGTCGTACGATATCGGATGACGCTGCCTTGCTTCTAATGAACTTTGCCAACCAACTCTGTAGACAGAAAGAAAGAAAGAAAGAAAGAAAGAAAGAAAGAAAGAAAAAGACTTGTTGGTTCCAACACGCAGTCGTGGCTGTGGTGGGCAACTGCACTGCCACACGCTACGACCGCGGGGCTGGATGGCGCAGCTCGTGATTACCGCCTGCGGTTCGCTGATAACAAAGATGTCTCCATCTCAGCGGCAGCGAGTCGCAGTTGAGACGCTACCAAATATGGCTTTAAACAGACACCTTGCTACGGTTAGTATACTCGACTTAGGGATGGTGGCCTTCCTGATTCGCACTCTGAATACTCAAGCTAGGCTATTTACAGCGGAACCACCAGTGAGGCTTTCCCAGATAAAGAGTCCACATCCCAGGTGTTGATTTAGTGACGAGGCAGATTGACACAAAAAGAACGAAAAAGAGAGAGGAAATCAAATTATGTCAAGAAGTTCCTTGCCCCATTTCATCTGCGAATCGGCTTGATCCTAACATTCAATGGCCCCTTCTCCCACAGCCCGAAGGTCGGCTGGTCAATCCATTTCTCACTGTCTGGCTGGAGCGCGAGGTCGAAGTTGTAGAAAAGCTTACATACTATCAAGCGCAGCTCTGCCCAGGCAATGCTGTGGATTCACACATATTAATATAGACCGCAAATGGAATCGGATAAAAATCAAAGGCAAGGAAACTCACCTCCTGCCCAAACAGTTGCGCGTACCAGTCGAGAACGGATGATAAGCTTCGTGGTTATCTGCATCAAATTTCGGGTCTCTCGTTTCATCCATGATCCATCGTTCAGGGATGAAAGAGTTAGGTTCGACAAAGTTTTTTCTAGACCTGTAGCTGGAGTAGTGGTGCATGCCTACCGATATTCCTCCAGGTACGTATCTTCCACATATCATTTCACCGGGATAAGGTGCAACACGTGGAAACGAATTCGGAGCCGGTGGATACATGCGTAGGGACTCATTTAGAACCGCTTGCAGGTATGGCAGTTGGCTAGCTTTGAGAATGGTAATATCTGATTCAACGGTGAATGCGGATCGGATTTCGGTCGTCAGCTTTTCCAAGGCTGTGGGAGTTTTTAAGAGATAATATGTCATGCCAGACAACGAGGTTGCTGTGGTTTCACTGCCTGCGAGAAGCAAAACCTGTGCCTGGGAAACCATCTCTTGGAAGGTAAGACCATCTTCACCTGCTTGTTCTTGGGATCCTTTGAGGATATAGTGAACTATATTAGTCAGTATAGTGCTTTTCATTTTGACATTAATATAAAACTGAATACCAAAATCCTCTCTCTTCATATCTGACTCCATCCTCTTCTTTAACTTTTCTTCTGCCAAACTCGTCTGATACTTCAGGTCATCGATCAACCGTTTGGGGACAAATAATACTAGAAATAACTCCTTCAGGGGCGTGAAAAAAACCTCCAATATGAAGCGAAGATAAGTGAAGACTTTAACACTACCAAATATTGTGGTGACATATCGATGCCACTCTCCGCTATTTAGCAGTCCAAACGGCTCACCGAAGGACAAATCTCCGATAATATCGAAGGTAGTGAAGTTAAACCATTTAACAATGTTTACGATGCCTTCTCTAGTATCTGGTTGTATCCGGAGCTGCTGAATAAGGTGATCCACGTAACTCTGTATAATGGGTTCTTGTGCCTGCAGTGCTTTATCAGAAAAAGCTGGGGCCAGAAGGCGACGAAGTCGACGATGTTCTGCGCCGTTTGCTGCTACCTATTGTTGCTTATTAGTCCTCTTTTTCTTCGGCCTTGAAATTATGGGGATATTTCTTGGGCTCACTATATGACGAACTCCTTTGGGATTCGTTAGAAAAAAGGCAGAATCTTTGTCAAAGCTCCCTTGTAGACTTGTTCTATAGCCGTGGATTTCTTTCCACGCCTGGCTAGAACTATATGACAAATAATTTGGTGCACACCGAACTACATCACCGTATTTATCATGCCATTCTTTTTCCTTCGTGTGTTGAATTCCCAGTGTATTGAGATATAAAGAGTATGCACTTGTAGCCCTTGCAAGTAACGGTCCAGGATAGTGGCGAAGCGGGTGCAAGTGGAGGTTGTAAAACAGCCTTACAAGGCATCCTCCAAGTATAAGTGAAACGATTGCCTGTACATGTATAGTTGTGTTACTATAGATTTGGTACCACCGATTCTTTAAGTTAGAAGACTCACTTTTCCGATCGTGATGCTGTCTACGTCAGCAATAAAACCCAACGCCATAATTTTTTCTTTTTTTCACCTTTCGCCCAACTGAGAAATTATGTAGCGAAAATAGTGTGAGGGAAATCATGAATTCTTATTTATGCATGGGTAATTGACAAGAGGGTACGATCCCCCCCGCTCTCATAATATTACGAAAAATGGCATTTGGAGGCCAAAGCTGCACCTAGTGCTGCACAATGCAAGTCATCACATGTAATCCCTTTTAACTATAAAATTGTTGGTTAGAAAACAGTAGCTACATACACTCATTGAAATCAGCCAATGATGGATAATCAATCTATGTGATACAACATTAGTGTTGTGACATGGCGTGAGGACTCAGATGTTGGACAGATGATTCGTCAGTCATTTGCTAATATTTCCTTCCTTAACCATTTCAGTTTCCTTTCGATTGTTATCTCTGTAAATAATTTAAAATTAATAAACAAAAACCAATTTGTACTTAATTGTTTCTGGTTTAATTGACAGCTTCTATTTCCGATTAACTTTGTCAGTATTGCTCTAGTCTCAATATTGCATTAATATCACTAGTTTGTTTAGTTTAGAGCTTTGACGACTCCAAGGTTCCTTCATGCTATTCTCCAAGACTATAGCTGATTATACTCAAATATCTTCTGCTTGATAGAATCAATACTAATAAGTATGCATTAATCTGTCTCTATCGATTTCTTCTACAGTGGTGATGGTTGGGAGTAATATAGCAATAGCTAGCCAATATAAACCTTCCTAAACGGGAAAACATTGGGTACCCCTGATCTCTCTTATTTTTTACATTCAAACAGCCACAGCAACAAAGGAAACAGCCTCCTTAAAGCTCATACCTTCTCTATCCAAAGAAGCAGCATATTTACCCCACACCAACCTCCCTATCTCAAACTGAGATGTTCAGTGGTATCCTTTCCCACGCAAATTTCATATGTCATCCAAAGGCAACAGCAAAAATGGAGAATACCAACAAAACAATCCTTATTACTAGTGCTTCAGCCTATCTTCCCTCTCATATTCTACGCATCTTCTTGGAAGCTGGATACAATGTTCGTGTAGCAGTGAAGACTGACCTGGAGGCAAGAACTGTTCGTGATGCTCATCCTGGATATGACGACAGTCGTGTGAGTTTTGTGCACATTCTAGATATCATCAAAGAAGGTGCCTTTGATGTCGCTGTCAAAAATGTTCACGGGGTATGTCTCATCTTCCTGGTCTGAATTTGCAAAGCGTCGTCAAGGTCGTCAAGTGAAGGCTCTAATACAGATCAACAGGTCATACACACTGCATTTCCAGCCTTCCCATTCAACACTGTCGAATTCGAGAAACGAATCGTGATACCCGCCATCGACAGCATATATCACTTGCTTCAGTCAGTGCACCGGCATGGGCCGACTGTTACTCGCGTGATTATCATGTCCTCCTTCGCAGCCATGATCAACGTCGAAAAGGGCCTATGGCCAGAACACATGTACAACGAGAGCGACTGGAACCCAGACACGTACCAAGTTGCAACTGGAACACGAATCATGGCTCAGGCTCAATTCGCCAGCAGGAAGCTATCTGAGAAAACTGCTTGGAATTACATGAGAAAGGAAAAGCCGATGTTTGACCTCGTGAGCCTCTGCGTTCCAGTCGCCTGGGGACCTCTGACTATCCCGACTCCTTCTCTGTCTTGCAATAGCGACCTTGGATCAGGCGTTCGGATTATTCATAATCTCATGCATGGATCATTTGGGCAGACCTCTGGTCCTGATAATTTTTACCCGTTTGTTGACGTGCGCGATGTGGCTATTGCCGCACTCAAAGCATACCAGGTAGCTCACGCAGCTGATGAGCGCTTTTTTCTTGCCAGCGGTCGCGCCACCGTCCAAATGCTTTGCGATATTCTCCATGTACAATTTCCCGAGTTACGCCATAGACTTCCCATGAGACAGCCCGAAATGGGTGGCCTGGAGACTGTCTACGATGTCGACGGGTCTAAAGCTGAACGCATCCTGGGCTTCAGATATCGCGGTTTGCTCGAAGCTGTCGCTGATACCGCGATCTGTCTTCTAGAGATGGAGAGAAAGGAGGCAGCTGAGAAGGCTGAAGGGCTGGCCAAGCTGGCGGCGGCGTTTTGATCTACCTCACTGAAGGATTCCCCCCCATGTATCTCTCGTGGCTAAATGTGCGACATTTTCGGTAACGAACTGTTACAGGGACATGCATATAGCCAATGTGGAATTTTCATGGTGGTTATGGGAAGGTGTTATTTGGTCTAAACAAAAGTTTTAAGCTACATCTCTTACTGATAATCTGTCGGTGAAAAACCATCACAACCAATCAATTTCTTTCTTATCCAAGATCCAATAGGCTGTAGCAACATTCAAGTCAATGTACATGTAATGATGAAGTTCCCAAATGCACACTTAGGTTATAAGATGGATTTCAATAATTCTATAACCAAAAATAGCCCTCGTTCAACCAATCTTGACTGAGAAGATTTTCGTTAATTATTACTTAAGGTACTATTCACACTGCTTCATGACTGGCGAGCACATTAGAGGGTCACCTGTTAAGCAAACACGGCAGAAAATACTCTTCTTCTTATTGTTTAGTCAAATGGATGTAGTAATTGGAGGTATACCATTTCAACAACTTCAACCTAGCAACTCACATTAATAAAATCACTGAATGACTGATTCATCAACGGCTTCATTGACATTATTTGTCATGATGAATACTTAACATTTGAAGAGGGGACCGTGAAAAAATACCCTTCTTGTATTAGCGTGTTGATGATAGACGAAGAAGCTTCTTTTTTGTGAACAAAATTGTAACTTTGTAACTTAGCTAATCGCGGATCCTCAGGACTAACAAGCAATGTGTCAGAAGCCAATTCAAGGTAGACCTTTTCGAGGATAAGAATATATCAATTCGGTTGGTATGAGTATATATTTTTATTATCTAGATTAATTATTACCTATACTTCGACGATAGGTGGAGCCTTAATCGGGAAGGATATAAGTTTCGTTTGTTGCAAGATCTCTGTTACGGCACAGCAATCAGTCAATGCTAGTATTTGAACGCAGATCCACACAACATAGCTGGCAGGGCATTATCCTGCATAATTCTCTCGGTCTTGTGTGGCTCCGCCACGGGGTCATCCATTCATCCAATCCCTCTAATGCGAATCAAGAATCAAGCACCATATGGTGCTGCGATCTCCGAAGGCACACCACCAAAGACGAGCCATTCGCTGGCTAATACTAGTTCCTACACGATCGGCTTTGGAACACCACGTTCGAATGGCCGTCCCCAGCCGAATAACTCATGCACTCTCGGTATTACGAGAATTCAACCTTGTCGACAGCAAAGTGGATTTCAAACGACTACGACGACGGTGTGATGGATCACGGCCTTAGGTCTACATAAATGACACTGTTAGCTTTGAATTGGCATCAAACAAGTCAACAAAGGGGGTGCCTAATTTCCAAGTCGCTACTCTCGACACGTTTTACGCAAGCTTTGTTTTGCCGGCACCTCAGGCCGGCTTCTTAGGTCTTAATCGACCATGTGACTTGCTTGGAAGCACGTTAGTTGAAATAAGATCTGGATACCATGCCAGTTTCATCAATCAGCTTTATGAGCGTGGTCTTATTCCTGGACGCACTATCAGTGTTTATATCGGCCAAGATGTACCAGATATCGACAATGCCATGTTGCTCATCAATGGCAAGGATGCCGCGAAGAAGGCCTCAACTCCCTCTACCGTTCCGATGGACACATCGCAGGAGATAAATGCGCTTGGGGCCAATCCGTCTCGTTTTCATATCAACGTCACCAGTCCAGTGGCACTGACGACTTCCAAAGGTGCCTCAAATGCAACATCCAGCCGTTCTTCCACCCCAACAACTACCTATCAGACATTCTCCTTATCCCCAACAGACAGCTCGGCCTAGTTGATAGTTGTAATGCAACTTGGGACCTTCCCAGCAGCTTTTGGCTGGCGGTCAGCTAATACTTCCAGGTTTCCACCACTAGTTCAAGCGGATTCACGTACTGCGATTTGCAGGACGCTGATCCGTAACAGAATAGAGTCGATGTGTACTTCAACGACGATAAGGATCATGTAAGCATCCCTCTGGCGAGTCTAGTCTCCACGTTTGGGTCGGGTCAATGTGGTGTTTGGCTTGAAAGCGGTGGTAACATTGAACGGTCTCGGCGCTCCTTTCATACGACAGATCTAGGCCCTATTCGATTAGGATAATTTTGAGTCAGAGATTGCGAATGTTAGACATACCGAAACGGATATTCTGCTGTTGTAGATACATGAGGTTAATGCATTGACTGAAATTTGGCAATATGATAAGAGCTGCCATCATTTTGAGCATGGAGTCAACTTATATTGCATTATGACAAAGTATTAAGTGGTTTGCTAAAGCTTGTGGGAAATTGTGGGAAACCGAGAATGGAGGTCAACTGGTATATAACTACTCCCTAGCAACAATATTCGAGTCACCATGACTCATTTAAATGCTTAATACTAGTGACTCACTATGCATGACGACATTTAAATCCCCCAAAATAATTTACTACCAGAAAAGCATATTGGAGAGGTTGAATATGTAATTTATTCACCTCTATGATTCAGTTTCCGCTAGCCTTCACCGATGTCTGAATAATCACATGGCAAGAAACCTACAAAAAACATTGTATAGTTGAGGAACTAGAAAACACCGTCCATAAGATATCAAAATAAACACAAAGGAAAGGTGAAAAATGCCCAGTTCCCAAGGTAATCATCACGTGGTTTGACTGCCTTCCCGCTCATTCGCGACTTTCGTCCATACGTCGGGTATAGGAATGTCCGCCGTTCATTTTATCGTAGAGGTATTTGACAATTTGGTTATTTAAGAGCCAGGGTTGGGGTTCATCTAATAAAGTTAGCGACTTGCTCCTTATGCTGTACGGCTGTCCCATCATACCTTGCGCTTGCCACCGGTGAGAGTGACGTTAACGAATCGGCGGGTGTAGATAATCCGCTTGCGAGCACGGCCCTTGGGTTGCTTGGGCTATAGATAAAATTATTAGATGGTGCTATGGAATAGATGAACTGAGCAGCATACCTTCTCCTGCTTGTCGACCTTTGGGGTGGCGGCCTTGACCTTACCGGCACGAGCCAAACTTCCCTGAGAATGCTATTAGTATGTTGATTGCAGCAACTGATGGTGATGGATGTGGTTAAATAGTCTCGTGTCGCGCGCGAATCCGAGCCGTGTTGGTTGAAAGACAGTCTGTGAAAGCTGGATGAAATGAACCCGTAGATTTACTAGCACAGACACCGATAGGTCTCGCCTTCTCCCGTGTTGTGTCCATCTTCTTAAATTCGTATAACTTCATCTTATCGAACAAAAAGAAGTCCAGTGCCTTGCCGGAAAACTTAATTGAGGATTTCCATGATTTCGCTAGCGACAGAATTTTCGAAAGTGACTGTCGGATCGATCGGATTTGTGATGGCTCGTAGATTCGCACGGTCGCACGAGACTCACACGCAGACATCTGCACCAAAAAAGTAACATATTCAGGGAATCAACTTACGTGAACTTTACCCATGTTGGCGGATCGAAAATGGAATCAGAAGATATCTCTCTTTCTCGATGAAACAGGTGCGCTGGGCGAGCGAGGGAGAATGGGAACAGTTTGTGGAGTTAATTTGTGCTTCGATTAGCCGGGTTTGTGGGCGAATGACTAATGCCCCGGAACATCATACTGCCGTGCCGAGATATTGCCACAACAGTCTCCAAATTTTCTCTCATTCCTCATCGATGAATAATTTTCCTAGGCTGCTTAGCTGCCTGATTTCTGAATGAGTCATAATTACTGTTTTGTTCCTCGTTACCTAGTCAGAGACTGTCATGCGGCGTCCGCTTTGGGAGATGATGCGCGATTAGGGAATCACTTTATGTGCATTTATCATTTTCTATTATTGGTGAGGAGGGAAGATGTTCCACTAATTTACAGAAGCAAAAGGCCCCCATCCTGCATCAAGACTCTCGCTGTACATCGCGGATAAATGAGATGGCGGCGTCAAACGCATTTCGTCGTGTTTCCTCGTTAATAGCGAACGAAGGAACTGTTCTGAATTAGTTGATGCCCAATGATAACAGGAGAATAAGAGATTGTCTCACGTTCCAACCAACCGTGAATTTGACCCTCGAAGAATATTGCCTCCACCCGACCGCCCTTCGATGACTCGCTTTCCAATCTTTGCACAAATTTGGTTTGCTCATCTAAGAGAATGTCTACTTTCGGTATGACAAACAACATGTTCTTAGGCAACGAGTCTCTAGTAGCTAGGGTCGGATGGAGACGCTGGTTTTGGATGTTTTCCATTCTACATGCTCCTACATATGAATCGAACAACGAAGCCAAGAAAGCGAGCGGGTCCTTCTGTGGAAAGCCTGGTGGTTTGGGTCTCTCCCATGGCGGAAGGCGGAAATCAACCTTGTCACCACGTTAGGATTTTTGCAGCAAGAAGCAAGTGGATGCATACTGGTGTATAAAAAGTGACCGATCCCTTTACGATCTCTTGGCCAAGAAATTGTGCCACAGCCAAAGCTAGATTCCCTCCAACTGAGAATCCGCTCACAGTCATCATCCTTTTTGGGTCTGCACCCCAGCGGTTCTCAGCATGCCGGACGATATATTCAGCTATGTCTTCGGCATCAGTGTGTGCTATTGGAAATGTATGGCGTGGAGCAAGTCGATATGAGATTGACACCACAACGGCGCCTGTCTCATTAGCTACCTGTTTGCAGAAAGGGATATCTAATTCGGGAATGCCACCAACAAACCCGCCTCCGTGAATGTCGAGATGTAACGGTCGCTTCTGCCCACGAGTTGTAGGAGAGGACGCCCCAAACACGAGCACACGAAGTGACTGCCCAGGTGTATGACGTAGTGGGATCGATTCAACCGAGTACTCGCGAGAGAAGAGGTAGGGAATCCATTTCATAGGATATGTAAGCAAATTCAAAGGCTGTAAACCTAGTAGTGATAAACGGAGACGAAGGGGAATAGAAGGGCAAAGCAGGGCGTCATATAATGGCGAAAACCACGAGAGAATAAATCGTAGGCCCAACATTGGTTCTATCGATAATGAATTAATCTAATCTCACATCACCCACGACACCTCGCTTGTTCCTAGAAGATCTTGACAATCATCATGGAGGTGAAGTGCATCCTCTCGTATTCAGTCACCTGACTTGGGCTGCCTGAGGCACCAGTACAGCTTACGGCTGTTACGTGACTCTCTTTGTATGTCAGAAAGGAGATGCAACCAAAACAACCAAGATAATTCTTATCAAGTAAGGGTTGCGCCCCTTTTGGTAGGGTGGTTAAAAGATCCACATTTTATATCCGAACTAATGCACACAAATCGACTTGTACCCTTAAATCTACGGCACCCGGGTCCAAGGTACAGGACCTTTACGAATAAAAGAATCAGCTCATAGCATCGGCCTAGAATACGGCACAAGGACATCTCCGAGCCACACTGCCATCATTGCAACCATCTCCTTGGTGCAGCTGTGCCCTGTGTTCTCCTGTACAAAGAAGGTGACATTATCATGTCGCTTATCGCTTTGCTCACTTCGGAGTCGCCTTCTCTCCTCCACCCATGTTGCTGTGTACTTTACGGGCACCAATTGGTCATACATTCCATTGCACAGCAGCAGAGGTATATCTGAAGGAAAATCCTCTGCTACTTTCCCATCATCTCGATGAACAATTTCGGCTAGAGCGAGAGGCCAGCGTCGTTGTTGCGTCGTAGTCATGAGTTTCTTCAGTTCATCGTATCTAAAGGCCCTTGGCTCCTCGGTTGATGCCGGTGACAGTTCTATTTCGGCTGAGTCAATCCCTAAACGACTAAGCAAAAGAGACGCCAAGTTGGGACTGCCAACTATGATTGCGAATGCGTGAAATTGGCCTGGGGCAGCTAATGAAGCAATGCGCCAGGCAGTATGGCCGCCTAATGAAACACCAGCCATGATATTGTAAAAGCGGGTAAATTGGGGAAGATAGCAAGGGAGATAATCAACCACGAGTTTGAAATCATGAGCCGAACCAGAAATCATGGATACCAGGTCCATCCTTTTCCCTGATGGTCAGTAATAATTTGTTATCAGCGGGAAGCAGACTTACGCATGATTCTCATTGCCGTCTTTCCATGTTTTATTCGCCTGGGGAAAGACCTACTGTATAGGTTAATGCATGCTGCCGCTCTGCAACGAGATTGATATAAATACCTCGCGGTCTCCATGATTTCTCATATTCATCGTCAGAGCAATCAACCCCACTCTTTGGCTCTTTGCCGCGTGTGTACGGTAGCGGTACAAGACCTCATGAGCCAACTCTTCCATAACACGATATGTACGGGTTCGGTTGTGTGCGAGATACAAGACTGCTATCTCTTGATTACATCCCACCAATTCATCAATCTCCTTGAGACCGTAAACGTAGACTTTGAGGCCGCCGATCACCAATTCTGTCTTACTCGAGAGCGGTGTACTCGATGGAAGAGAGAAGCGAGGTTCCAACCCATCCGAAGTTTGAGTTGCCATCTTTTAACTCCTCTACTGCTTTTGGAGTTCAATTGTACAAGGAGACAGTTTTGAATTTAAGTAAACATTGGAAAGGGCTCCTAGCATCGGCTGCATCGGCAAAACCGAGATAATTACCGAGAGCCATAAGCTCAAACCCACATACACTAGGCAATGGCTTGGTATTAAAACATGGCATAAGGCGCTCCTTTCCGTTAGAGAGTCGGTCAAGAAGCAGTCATGGGTTCGTAGGCAAGTGTTCGCGAGCCCTGGCTTTGAGGTCCGAAGACTTTCGAATCACAAGTCTTCGCCAGCCGATTACCTAACTACGATACTCCGGAATCCGAAGCCTTTCAAATGTAAGGGTAGTTGTATTGAAGAAGGAAAAACTTGATTCATTATCCCATCCCCAGAGAATAGCTGATAGGAGGAGTGACCCAGGCCACCCTAGGTCTGACGTACTATCTACAGTCTGGCAACTGGTGGTTTCGGAAAAAGTCCAATACTATAGGAGTAGCATTGAAACTCGCCGGTTGATGACCCGCCTTTTGATTGTCGGCATTTGGGATTGTGCTAGGCCAATCATGTCCAATCACAGAATCGTAAACCAATTGAACTAGCCCAGTAATACCAAAGGAGTATTGTACAGTATTAGAGGCTATTGAGGTTGTGATGTTAGAACTGCTGTTCAACCCGTCTCGTTTAGCCCACTGCCTGATGAAATGCGGGATAGTGGGTAAACATTCATGCTTTCGCTCCCCGCCCAAGTACGGAATAGTCGTATCGTTTCCGCCGTGGAACGCAAGAAATGGAATGTTTCTACGGGAAGCATTGCAGGGAATTTCCACCGTAGAAGGCGTACACGGAAGAGTGTCGACGTAGTATGCGCCTGAAACTGGAGCAAAAGCCGCTAGTCGTGCCGACAATACAGCATCGCAAGCGAGACGATTACAAAACCCACCACCGTCGGATTTCCCTGTTGCCCATATATGCTTTGAATCAATAGAGTATCGTGATTCGACCTGGTTAAGAATATCGGTTGTGAATTGTGTATCGTTCGTATTGACTCCCGGAACGCCTTCCCATTTTTTCTGGTTATCTAGTATTAGCTCCATGGAAAAACAAGGATCTCTCTCACATAAAGTCCTCGACTGAAAAGGTAACTTACATCAATTCCCTGAGGATACACCACAATCAAATCGGTGTTGAACTCTGAATTTGTCAGCTCATCGAGCTGCAATTGATCCAGTGCAGTCCTATTTCCCCCATGGTATGACAGAATGGCGCCGGTGGGAGTGTCTGGTTTGTACAATGGTGGTATGAAAAGAAGATAGCTGCGGTTCAATCCACCGCTGATGATTGTGACATTCGACACGCCCGGTGGAAGTTGATTGTTGACATCTGAACTCGTTGGGGTAGCTGAAGAGGTAGCACCTAGTCCCAAAAGCCCTGCAAATAGGGCGATAGAAACCTTGAATGAAGCCATGTTCGACTCTGAAATGTGCCCTAGAAGTCCTGCAGACAGTTGTCTGCCAGTTAATAGTGATATGATGGTCTCATGTGTTGTGTCAGGATATAAATTGTAAATTAATTGGGCTAGCTTTGACAATCGGAAGGGATAATTGCCGAATTTGCCGAGATACCGAATTTACCGGTTACGTCAGATGGCATTTACGTCAAATCTTAGCAGCCTTCAATTGATAACATGATTTTTAATGTAAGCCTCAAAAGTAATGGTATTTGCTCAGTAGTTGGGATTTTTTTTGAGAACATGACGGATCTTGTGGTAATACCAACTTCCGAGTCTTGTGTACATTCAAATTCCATGTTCTGAAAAACAAAATAAAAAATTTGACATCTAAATTTGATAAAAAGATCAAGGTTCTTCATTTCAACTATTCATTCAATATTGCATATCAATTTTGATGTTCTCTCTACCTGGTAGGAATTGATACATATGTATCAAAATTTCATTATGGTCTACTTATTCTGGGCAATTATAGTAGAGCGATAGCGCTCTATCATGAATTTTGAGCCAGATGAACAATGAGATAAGGGGTGCGAGCAGAATAGAAACAGGACTGAAAAGCATATAGAAGTTTGAAGGTAAATTATATGCGTCACTGTGGCTTCTCCTCTTCTAACGGATAGCCTATAACATATACCGAAATTCCTTATTTTGCATATCTGTCAAGTTCTCTTCAATTGAGTCTTGTTGAGTGCCTCCCACTCGGATTAATTCACCGTTCCTCTTTGCATTTTCTCTGCGTAAGAGTAGATAAGTCCCAGAGCCTATGACCACAACACCACACAAACATACGAAACTACCGATAAACCCAGCACGATACAAAGGCCCGGGAGAAGCACCGAAAATCAGTGGTCCAATAATATTACCAATGCAATAGCCGACGAAGGTGGATGCACTTGTCGTTGCTTTCTCTGTGAACGTTTAGCATTATATACCGACGAAGAAGTCTGTATGAAAATGAAGATGTCTACTAACTCGTATGGCCGGCTATGTTGGAAGCAGCCAAAGAAACTGCCAATCCTCCGGCGGCGACCTGAACTGCGGTGAGGAGGATGCCTGCGAAGAGAAGCCCACGGTTATTTCGAGGCCCAAACCAGCAGATCAAAGTCCCTGCAATCGAGATGAGAGCGCATATGACAATGCATAAATAACGAGTACCGTTTAATTTGCGGGTTATATAACCAACTAGCAAGATTGAAAATGCAGTGATAGCACCGATTGGACAAGTTAAGGCAAGAGAGTCAAAATGGCTGAATCCGAAGCTGTTGATAACGATGGTTCCGAACGTTCCTAAGGCACCAGATGGAACGCCTGTTAAGAGAATGATAAGGGCGCAGCTATACATCTTATAGTCCCGGAATGCTTCGAATAATTGAACTCTATTAAAGACATGACTGATTGTGCCTGCCTGGTTTTGTTGTAGTCGCTGGATTGCTATTTTGCGTTCCGATTCAGTTAGCCCTTTTGTGGTAAGAGGGCTGTCTGGGAGAGCAAAAAACAAAACAACAGACCACATAGTGGTCACGGCGCCAAGTAACAGAAACATTGGTTTCCATGAATCAAGTGAGCCGTGTATTTGGCCTAGTCCGTAATTGATCAAGGGAGAGATGGTGGTGGCAACACCGACACAGCAGTACCATAGACCTGTTCTTAAGGCTTGTTCCTCACGTGTCCACCAGAATGTCACCAAAACGGTAAAGGTGGGAGCAACAGCCGATTCGAGAAGACCGAGCATGAAGCGATTGACCATGATACCGGCGTAATTGAAACAAACAGCTGTTGACATAACGACTGCACCCCAGAGCATGGTCGCTAGTGATATAACATGCGACGTCCGGTAGTGCTGAGATAGGTATACCATAGGATAGGTACCGACTAAGTATCCAACATAGAAAATCATTGAAGCATTCGAATACTTTTGATTGTTCGTAATCGGCGTTCCATTGGTCTCGTACCCAACGATGGTAGTCAAGCCGAGATCGGCATTAAAGTTGAACTGCGTCGCGGCGCTCATGATGCCTTTGTCGTAGCACTGCAGAGTATAAGTGACCATCATTAGAGGAACAATCCTGAAGAAGTCAGAGGAATAGTCTAGAGGAAATCAAGGTAAACGATCGCACCAAATATCCAATTTGCGGACTAACCGTCTCTCCTCAGCCAGTGAGAAGACTGCATTGTCTGGTTTATCGTTGCTCATATCCTCAGCTCTCTCTACTTCTTCCAGACCGAGCTTCATAGGGCTGCTAATAGAGCCGTCCATGTTGTTAGATTAAAAACACGGAAGTCATGTACATTTCCAACTGGAACTGTAATACCACGATCCAAGAATAACAGTCGGTATTGTGAGCATTTTATAGGCCAAATTGGCCCAGGCCATCATTTCGAAATCGCGAGGCCCACGCACTACCTCAACGTGTGATGTCTTCCCCGGATTCTTCTGCGGGAAAATTGGAGGAGTGTGCCGAATGGCCCGAGATGTGGGGGCGCGATTCAAGTGCCAGGTATTATCTTCCCGATTCTACCGCGGCAATTTCATCCTTCTTTGCATTTCGCATACTACCAAATGCAAAAAAGCGCGATGATGAGCACCTATGACCACCACGGCAAAAAGATATCTCGGCGCTCTCGTGTAGCATGTAAGACATGCAACCGGCGCAAAGTACGCTGCGATGTGACTCAAACAGGTCCTCCCTGCTCAAATTGTGAGCACGAGGCGGCTGTGTGTGAAGTTCTGCCTCGAAAGAAGCACAAGTAAGATATAATAAATTTATCCATAGCGATTGGGCTGATTAGGAGTAGGCCGCGGGTGTCCCGAGTTGTGAAAGAAGTCACAAGTGATAGAAGGGCAACGGATGAGATCGCTGATCAAGTGCCAGATACAGAAGGCATTTTACCTGATGATAGCGCATGTTCCTATATAGGTACGCGTATAAGGAACCAAAAGATTAATCAATACGCAAGTCTATAATATTAATATATCACAGGCGATACACGTGGTCCAAGGCAATCTGTTTACGAACTCTGCCATCCAAGTGTCCCTCAGGAGGAATCACTTGAAATTGTCACCCGTAACACGATTAATGCCAGTACTAATACTCTCAAACCTCATGAAGTGGATTACATACGGCACGAAGGGGGCTATAAAGTATTATTACCTGAGGTCTGCGATGAATTGATTCGCTGTTATTTTCATCATGTGCATTCGTCCATGCCAGTTATCGACGCACCTGGGTTCTTAAATGAATACGTGGAAAATGGAAGTGGGAATATTAATCCATTATTGTGGTGGAGTATGCTTCTCGCAGCGACAAATGTGAGTCCCTGTCTATAGTTCTTGCAAAATTTTGGATTTTGATTTGGGAGATAGTTCGCGAGTCTTGATATATTGCAGCGAGCAGGCTTCTCGTCGAGAAAAGCTATGAAAAAGGCCATGTATACTAGAGCAAAGGTAAGTGTACAAGAACTGCAAAATAAAGTGATACTTATTCCTAGATAGTGCTTCTATGACCTTGATCGCGGAACCGATAAACTGATTTTGATTCAATCAGTCCTCCTGATGAGCTTCTGGTATACAGACTCACATGACCACACCGGGGCGTGGTACTGGGTTGGCATCGCTATCACCCTCGCCCAAGGGATTGGAATTCACAGATCGCCGCATGTGCAATATAGACACCGTGAAAAAAGCCAGGATGTATTATCGGAATTACGACAAAGACTCATTCGTCGTATTTGGTGGACATGTGTCGTTCGTGATCGGTGGTTGTCACTAGCTAAAGGACGACCGATGCGCATTCACGATGAAGACTGCGATTTGAGTATTCCGATTGACAACGATGTCCTCCATGAGCTTCAAAACTTATCTTCGGGTGCTCACGGGATATTTATACCGACTGATATAATTCAATTGGCTGGAATGTGGGTTCAACTCGTTAAGATAAGCATCGCAATGGGACGTGTTTTGCGTATGCATTATCGGCTAAACTCTCCTAAGCCTAAAGCTGAGGACATTGATCAACTGGCTATTGAGCTGTTCGAGTTTGAGCCAAGCGAAAGTTCGTCTTTGTATGACTTGACGGACATTCTGCTTCTTCATAAATATCACCTCGAGCTATTCTACCAGTGAGCTTCTGACTGTACCCCCTTCTTCTAGTATTCTTGATACTTATTTCCCAAGAGCGAGCGTTACAGTACTCTATCGGCCGTATATCTTAAATGCCCCTGCGTCATTCCCTACCGACTCATCTGCAACCTGGCAGACGACAGCGCAACGGCGTGCTCGAACTGCAGCCTCAAGAACCAACAGCATTCTGGAGAAGATAATCGACTTGGATGCTGTCACATTTATAAAGCCTATGATGTATGCAGTTACCGGCAGCTGCCAATATTATATATGCTGATAACTTGCTAGCATTACATCCTTGATCCCAGCCATGCAAATTCATCTCTTTGATTGTAAATTGGGCAACCGGCTGCAAGCCAATCTCGGCCACAACAAGCTCCAACTCTGTATGCTGATTCTCGATAGTCTTCGCGAGACATATTGGAGCGCGGGAGTAATGTTTAGGTTATTCGGTCGCGCGCAGAACATCCTCAACAGTCGCAGAGACTCGAGCAGTATAAGAACCAAGCTACCGTCCAATTCAGACAGTAGTTTCGCCAACCGAAACGAATTCACCCCCAATACGAGTATGTCGGTCTTTCCGGTTCTCAACCAAGGCCACTCAGACTCTGTTGTTATCGGTGAAGAATTGTTGTCAAACAGCAACGGCGACGTGTCACCATACTTTAGCAGCATTGATCAGCTTCTCAGCCCGGGATTCTCACTTTCCGAAAGCCACGCGGACGCGTATTTTATAGGCTACCCAAATACTGAAATTATTGGACCAGCTCCCATGAATTTGTTCTACGATATGTCATAGAATAAATATTAATATTTATTTTTAATCAAATTTGTCTATTTTAGTCGATAGCCCCACAAAGCACATTTCCAGTTTAACGCCGAGTCGGCCCACATTGGCTATTCGTGAGTTACGGCAGCCTCGCTCCTCACAGCCGTGCCTCGTTCCTCGTTCCCGCGCAGAAACGGCTTGGCCCCCATTGCCCAACCTTGATTCTAAGCAGCAATGCTAAGCCGTTCTCAGCATTCACTTCGAGCCTTGCAGCCACGAGGAATGCTAAACCGTTCTCAGTATTCACTTCGAGCCGTGCAGCCACGTTAGCTTCGTCGGTTAACTTGAAGGGCCATCTCGTACTTCTTCCCGTTCTGGATTAAGGATCTGCGTCCAGCTGCTAGCTGAGCCTATCTCGTTCCTCGTTCCAGCACCCGCTAGAATTAATAGAATGAAGAGCTTAGTGTTTTATATCATCTTGTGGTTCTTGCGAACCTTTTTCCTTCACACAATCTCCACTATCTCATTTCTATTCGCTAGACATCCGGCGATGACTGGGGCTGAGTTACTTAAAATGTAAAACCCTTCTAGTTGGGGATGGTTGAATTTCGTTTTCGTTTAGAATCCTCTAAACGCGGAGGCAACACTTTTTTTGGAATTGGTAGGATGTTTACTCATGTATATAGCTAAGTGTTTGCCCATCCGCTAGCAATCTCATCTTCATAGTCTTAGTTATACTTCTATCGACCTCCTCTTCCTGAGTACATCCTTTCTTTTGCCTTACCCAGAGAGTCAAAAACAACCGTGTGTTTAGAAAGAGAAATCAAAATGATTCCCACACATACCGACAAGAGTCTCGATATCTTTCAGCTGGTGTTTTATATTCCTCTATTTTTCCTGTGCCAGTACCTGCTCATCCGCCACGGAAAGCGTGGTATCCTAGGCTGGTTTTATGCTGTCGCGTTCTGCATAATCAGAATCGTGGCTTCCGCTCTTAAGTTACACGCAGATATACAAGCCACACCGTCTTCTGGGTCTGTCATTGTCGACAACATTGGCCTCTCGCCACTTATTCTTGCCGCTCTTGGGTTCCTACATCAAGCGTAAGTCCTAGACTCCAAACCCTTTTTGTGATTCTAACTGTTGACTTATCGGATAATGTAGTCGGTCTGTCCGGGGGTCTATCCGTAGCGAGAAAATCGAGTGGCTCGCAGTTCTTCAAATTCACGTTCTCGTCACCGCCGGCTTGGCTTTGATCGCTGTCGGTATCTCTTCTTTACTCGGCACAGACCCATCAGACTCCGACTGGGCCCTTCTGAAAGCTGGGTTTGCCATTGTCTTTATCGGATGGGGCTTAGTCTCTACAGGCACTCTGTTTTCATTTCGACGTCCAGCTTTATACCATGAAATTGACAGCAATGTCTTCTGCGATGGAACAATCGTGGGTGTTCTCTAAACCTGAATGAGTTGGAATATGAAAACTGATTGATGACAGCTCCTCAATGCCGTTTTCTTCTCTCTCCCTTTCATTCTGTTACGTGCAATCTATGGTTCCATCAGTCTCTTTGGGTCCGGCAACTCCATCGGCTCTTCGTCATTCTCGTCTAATGTTGCAGCAGATGTGATTATGAATGTTCTTCCTCAGCTTTTTGCTGTAATTATTTATGTCGTCGCTGGTCTGCGTACAGTGTCGTTGAAAGCTGCTATGGAACGAGGATCGAAGGCTAACAGCCATCCTCTGGTCTAAATGATTTTGCTTCCCCTATTTTATTCAAGAATAAGTTTTGAACTTATTGTTGTAATGCATATACTTGTCATTTTATAACCTTGAATAGATTAATTCCACCCCAGTGATGATTGTAAATGTGTCATGAAAATTTGTCTAGCTCATTAGACTGCGACGCGGGGCCCGTTGCGCCCCACATTGACTGTGAAGACTTTGGATGGAAAGCTATTCTAGTTTTGGCTTTCCATCTCTTACTCAACTATAAAGTCCACTGAAAAGCTGTTGTTTCTCATCAAAAGGACGCCATGGATAAGGGTACCGAATATCCTTTCGATCTCGGTACATATCACCGTGTCATCATAACAAGTTCTCCTGCCGCGCAGCAATGGTTCAATCGAGGCCTTAACTGGACGTATGCATTCAACCATGAAGAAGCGGTGAATTGCTTTCGACGTGCCATCGCCAGTGACCAAGAATGCGTGCTTGCATATTGGGGATTAGCTTATGCCCTCGGTCCCAATTATAATAAGCCATGGGAAAGCTTCGAGGGGCGTGAATTGCAGAACTGCCTGAGTGAAGCGTATACGGCTGTGCAGCGGGCGTCGGAAATTATAAATAACAAAGCCATCAACATGACCAATAACGACACCAATATCATGCTGGTTGAGCAAGCGCTTATTAAAGCGATTCAATTTCGCTATCCCTCTCAGAATCCTGGTCATGATCACTCGATCTGGAATGTGGAGTATGCGAACGCGATGAGAACAGTTTGCCATGAATACCCAAATGATCTGGACATTGCCGCGCTCTTTGCAGACGCGCTCATGAATATTACTCCCTGGAATTTATGGAATCTGAAAACAGGAGAACCTGCTCCTGGTGCAAATACCATCGAAATAAAAGAAGTCCTCGAGAAAAATGCACTCTCTCAACCGGACGGGCCGAAACACCCAGGAGTGCTTCATATGTATATCCATCTCATGGAAATGTCCGGTACTCCGGAATCTGCACTCCGAGTATCAGATAATCTTCGCGGATTGGTACCTGATGCTGGCCATTTGAATCACATGCCTTCTCACTTGGATGTTTTGTGTGGCGAGTATCGTCAAGCCATTATGTCTAACACGCAAGCCATTCATGCGGATGAAAAATATGTATCCATTGCAGGTCCCTTGAATTTTTATACCTTGTATCGAGCCCACAATTATCATTTCCGACTGTATGCGGCCATGCTTGCTGGCATATCAGGAATCGCACTGGAGACCGTTGCCAAGATAGAGACTTGTATTCCTGAAGAGTTACTGAGGGTTGACTCTCCCCCGATGGCGGATTGGTTGGAAGGGTTTCTGGGTATGCGAGTACATGTCTTGATTCGATTTGGCCAGTGGGAGGATATTCTTGCTTTGGAAGTACCGGAATATCAAGACCTTTACTGCTTCACCACCGCTATGATACACTACGGCAAAGGAATCGCAAATGCTATTCTTGGAAAAACAGCCGATGCACACATACAACAAGACCTTTTTACAACGGCATCCAAACGTGTACCATCTTCGCGCACTATCTTTAACAATACTTGTACTGACATTCTGGCCATCGGCCAAGCTATGCTAGCGGGTGAAATCGACTATCGCAGTGGCAATATAGAGCAAGGTTTCAGCAATCTCAAAAAAGCGATTGCATTAGACGACGGTCTCCCATATGATGAGCCATGGGGGTGGATGCAACCGCCCCGACATGCATATGGGGCTTTGTTGCTCGAGCAGGGCCGTGTTCAAGAAGCCTTAGAAGTCTATGAGGCTGATCTCGGAATTAGTGGGGTATTACCGAGAGCGATGCAGCATCCAAATAATGTATGGTCTTTGCATGGACTATATGAATGTTTGATTACATTGGGCAGAGGAAATGAAGCCTCTCTACTTAAGAGATCACTTGATTTGGCCGTCGCAGTCGCCGATGTGCCTATCAAATCATCCTGCTTCTGTCGGCTGGATAGATGCCATTAATCCATTGTTCTTTCACCATGGAAGTTATCACGCAATTATAGAATCTGAATTTCTTAGTAAAGCATCCGTGGTTATCTAATGTAGGTAAAGAACTCGATCTCTCTGTGAATGCCACATTCGAGCGTTCAAACATGCGCTAGAATAAAACCTTGCCATTATCAGAGACAATTGAAATTCCATCTACTGAGGCATCCTTCATGAAATACAAGTATGCCTCTGCAATATCTTCTGCCTGTCCTATCTTCTTCGTCAACGTATCTCCTTTCGCCTTTTCGAGGGCTGAAGCAGGCCATTTACTGGCCAACTCTGTTTGGAACAAGCCTGGGTTGACGACATTGACGCGGATTGGTGCTAGATCGTATGCTAATCCCTTAACTAGACCTTGACAGGCACCTGACAGCATGGATACAACCGGCCAGGCCTTGCGCGGACGTATGTGAGCGGTCCCAGAAGTAATCGTGAAAGAGGTTGCAGCCGATTTACTGACAAAGTCCGACGTTGCAATGACCTTGGCAATAAAGATAGGCGCATAGGCTCTAACAGTCATCACAGAATTGATATATTTGATATCCGCGTCAGAAATCCCGTTGCCAACGTTCAAAGAGTCGCCAGCAGTATAGACGATGTGGTCGATCTTTTGCCCTCCGTTTTCTGACACGACATCGTGAAACTGTTCCCGCAGTCTATTTTCTAGAATGTCGATTTGAGTCAAGTCATTGACTAGAGTCACAATTTGACCGTCTTTGACATCTGGGTAAGACTTTCGCAGACGATTAACGGTTCTGTCCAGCTTGTCCGGGTTTGATCCGGATATGATGAGCTTTGCTCCATGTTCGAGCACGGCCTCAGCAACCGCGTACCCTATTCCGGAGGTACCTCCGAATACGAGGACAAGTTTATCTTGTAGTTTGTTTAGGAACTTGCGTTGAGACATTTTCGCTCGATATATATGATAATTAGAATGAAGATGATACCAATACACATATCGTAATGAGAACTTGAACCTCTATTTATACCTATGTTCTCCGTGCCAGATACAGCCGTCCCAAGGAGCGAACCATGCCGGATCTAGTAATTTTTGAGAGATTGTATTAGAGAAATACGAGTCGATCCTGATTATCACCATTATCACCCCATGAAGAGACAGACCGTGCAGGATCATATCACAAAGGAATGTCTTCTTCTATTTTTAAGAGACTTACGCTGATTGGCTCGTCTAGATGGAGAGCGGATCAGGCTAGTCCTAATATAGTAACTTTTGAGATAGAGTTCTGAGGTCATGTTGGGGGATTGGATTTGTCATCTATCGGTACTACTGGACTCATGTCTTATTTTCATTATCTATAAAATTCATATATGTGGCCAAAGTATATCGCAACTCTTTCTCAAGGTAGAAATATCCGAGGCTGCTTCATACTTAAGCCATGGTTCACCGGGGTCCCGCAAGGGGCTGCCAGCGATGCAAAGATCGTCACGTCAAGGCAAGGCTTTTTACTTCCCTTCCTCGGAACTACTTAACTCGTTCGCCACTAATAGGTCATAGTGTGGACGAGAGCGTCCTGCATGTCGACAGTGTGTCAGACTTCAGTTCAATTGCCCTGGTTACCGACATGAGCTTGACGACGTGCTCAGGGACCACACTGCCTCCGTCATAGGCCGCCACGGAAACCACCAAAGACAGCGAAGATCGGAGAGACTTACCACCAACCTCCGTACGGCCACTGGTAGGTGCATACAAGTATCTTCATTACCCAAAGAGGTCGCTGTAAATGTCGACTCTTGGGTCCTTCCAATCCTCTTTTCTGGAAGTGGGTTGATGAAAGCAGGACGGACGAGTCATGGACATCTAGACTATATACCACCATTATATAATCAAACTACACCTGGATCCCCGCTTGCCTTAGCCACAGTATGGCTTAGTATGTTGTCGATGCGAATAACGTGTGAACGAACTAATACGCAGGAACACCATGCCGGAGAAACTCGTCAGCTAGCAAAAGTTATCCGAGCCGTTCAGGATGCTATCGCCGACCCTGCTAGAAGCGTTGATATTGAGACATTAGCAGCAGTTGTAATTATTGGATATGGTGAGCATTTGAGGAGTACGACGGAGAGTTCGTCGTCGCAGCCGGAAGCGGCCTTGAAAACATTCGTGATTCATCAAGCCGGTGCAGAGGCCCTCATCCGGAAACGCGGCGGATTGAATTTCCAGGATTATCCCTCACTCGCTCTATTTGATGCTGTCCGACATAACGCTGTTAGCCTTGCTATTACAGGGGCTAGGAGACACGCGTTCTTATCCTGGGACTTGTGGTATATCACAGATATCAATGTTCGTCATCTCTGTGATTCATACACACCCGCAACTAATCTAGATGCTTATGGTGTGAAAATAATTGTCTTACAATCCCGAATTGCAAAACTCAAAAATAAATCAATGGATGAAATCAATCATATAAAAGTGGATCTGCTGGATCTTCTCGAGCGTTTGCGCTCCTGGAAAATCCATATTTCGGAGGACTGGGTATTTACTGGAATGGCAACAGATGGAACATTGGAGCAAGTACACATGTCTCCAGAGATGTGCTATTTGTTGAATGAATGGTACTTCCATCAGTTGCGTGCCAGCCACCTTCTAAAACAACTCAATAAGAAATTAAATACAACCGAGGTTAGCACTCAAAGCTTTTGTTGCGAGATGGAGTGGATAGACGATGTGATCGCATCTTCCCACCAATTTTTGAGTAATTCGCCACATTTAACCCTTAATATTCCTTTGTCAAAGAAAGCTGGGTGTTTGAGTTCTATTCAGCCAAGTGGTGCGTCATGGATTGGCTCACGTCTTTTCGGTCAGACGCTCTATCAATTGGATATTATTTTATCTGATGCATTACGGTGCTTGTTCTTGCCTCAAGTGATAGAATCGAGATATCGTGAGGTTATGAACTGGGCACGAGGACAAAGAAGGATGTGTGTCAACGTACCAGTCATTTGAGATTTGTTTCGATATTGAATTTGATCATGCATATCCAAAATGATTTTTTAAGAGCAATTAATGCTTCCCGAGTCTTACAAGAATAAATATTATTTATTCATCGATTGCTGACCTATGCGATAGTAAGAGTTCAGGTAGCACTTGATATGTATAGTCGGCCATTCTATTCTATCAAGATCGACAGGTCTCAAGATGGAAAAACAGAATTAAATCAGCAATCCAATGTAGATAAACATGAAATTAATATCCCATAGGTCTTAAAAGTCTTGCTAATATTGATTCAGTTGAGAGAAATGGCATTTCCGAAGATGACATTTTAAATATCAACCTAGGAACCTAAGAACAAATCCCATTCCATGTCGTCTAGTAAATTTAACAAATTTATTCTTAATGGCTGGTATTATTAATAACCTCTCAGGCTATGGCGCAAACAGGTTATCCCAATCATTTTGAGCTTGATAAATTTCCCCTAGAGGTCTAAAGCTGCAGAGTCGCCCTTTCTCGGTCTACATGAAATTTTGGACTTTGCGAAGCTAATATGCGCTCTTCTATTGTTCTTTCAACATGACCTTTCAGATACCGGTTCTACTCATTTCTCTGCGCGATCCATTTGTCACGTAGTCTTATAAATTCGAAGACGAAGCATCTCAATCTGAGTGGCAAGACGAACAATGGGGAATTGAATAACCTGATTGGTTTCCTTGTCTAGGCATGGTCGATTCTTTGTCGCACGCAATATCGAGACTGGAGGCAGCTTGCCGTATGCGATTTTCATGAATAAAGCTTTGTGGGCAACAGGCAAACTGTCGTCTATTTAACCAAGTATAGCACGTTCCGATACCCAAACGTTGACGAAAGATGTTGTGGTATGATCTGTAGGCATAATGGACGTCCTACGATGTGATCCCCCAAAACTCGAATTATTATCTCGTTTTAATGATAGGGATTATATATACCACTGGTATGACTCCATTTTGACACCATCAGGATCTGCGGGCACAATAAATGCGGTAATTACTTTCGAGGTGCCTGGTTTTCCACTTGTGCGTGCGAACATAATGCAATGTGTGGCTCTATGCTGACCAGTCTGCCATATTTTTCCCCCATTAATAAACCAATCCGGCCGTGTGTCAAGCGATGAATCTCAAATTGCGATGGTATCGTGGTGCGTTACACTGATCCATGATTTGGTTCGGCCAAGCCAAATATTATCGGAACGTTACCATCTAGGTAGCCCCATATGTATCACTTTTTCTGTGACAAGGTCCCGAATCGCAAACGCTTTTCTACCACTGGAAGGTTACCAACAACAGATAATTCAATTTGTAAGTCATTAAACAAGCCTAATTCCTGAGCTACAAGATGTCCTCTGATAGCCGCCATCCATAGAGTGCTTCCATTAGTAATTCCTCTTATTCTTGGGTTGGAACTCCTCCTGCATTCCACTCAGTTCGAAAATTTTCTCGCCAATGGTTAAAGAATTGTTCATTGTCGTTAGATGGCTTTTCTTTCTCGATAAAGGCATCAAGCAACTTCAAGTAAGATATAAGTTGCTTTGGTAATTTAGAGTCCATTGTGTGAGGTTATCAAGGGAATTGATCAACGACTTTGCCACCCTCCATATCATGCTTTCAAGTAATAGTAGATTCTCTATTTAAGACGTCTGTTTCCTTTTAATGCAAAGCGATCTACATTTCTCAACCCCCGCACTTCGGCAGTATCATGCTGAGAGTATTTTTCAATCGAAGGACCGTATGTTAGGACACTTAAGACAACCAAAGAAGGAATAATAAATATGATAAAGAACAACGTAATATTATATACTATGGCTCATGTATAACTGAGAACTATGACTATTTCTATGTGTTGCGCTTTTCTCAGAATTCAAGAACACATCACTGGGCCGCAATTCCAACCGCCTGCAGACTTTTCACTGTATCAGCGACACTCTCTTTCAAACTTCTATATTCCAAACCAAGGTCATTTCTCGACGCAGAATTATTGTAACCGTATTTTGGGCCACCTGGGGGATACGATCCTTCCTCAAGTGCCTTATCACCACTTGGCAAGCGATCTTTTAATTCTGGGAAACTTTCAGCAATTGTCTCCACCACATCGCGATTGCAAAAGTTCCCTGCAGTTAGAAAGTACCGCTTTCCTGCTGATTGAGGTTTCTCTACTGCCAAAGCGTGTGCCAAAGCGACATCACGCACGTCAACCCAGAATAATGATCCCGTGGGAGGGCATTTCTCACGTGCGGCGCCAGAGATGAAATCTCGAAACCGCTCATTTGAAGTGTTTATAACATCAAGAGATCGGAGCCATGGCTGGACAGGTCCAAATATAAGCGATGGATTCAATGTTGTAAGCGTAAAGCCAGGTTTCTCTTTTTCCATAAATTCCCACGCTGCCTTTTCTGCGAGTGCTTTACTAGTTCGGTACCCTGCTTGACCGGCAGAGTTTGTCGGGTCTTCTGCGGTCTCCCAAGTGACAGGATTCCAATCTCTTTCTGACCACTTCCATCCAACCGCCTTGTTCACATCAACCATGGCGGCAAAGGAAGACGTGATCACGACACGCTTTACTGTTGGAGCGTACTTCTTTACTGAGTTTAAGATTCCAACTGTCCCATTGACCGCGGGATCAATCATGTCTTTTTTGATATTGTTGATGGTGTAGTGGAATGGACTGGCGGTATGAATGACTGCATCGAAAGGTGGGTCATTGACAACGGCTTTGTCAAAAGCATCAAGCTTCGCAATGTCTTCGACAATAACGAAGTCCAGCTTGTCTGAACTAAAATGCGTGCGCATATCCTGAGCCTTCTCCAGGGTACGAACAGTAGTCACAACATGATACCCTCGAGCCAGCAAGATGTCAACCACGGCAGCTCCGAGGAAGCCGGTTCCTCCAGTCACAAGAGCTCGTGTCATTCTGGATTCTGGATTCCAAGTGTTACTTCGTAAACAAGAAACTTGTAAAGTCTGTGTGGTGCTAATTGAAAGGCGACTGATTGAGATAGTACCTGGTCTTTCGGGGTGTTTACAGCCAGTCTACTCCTAGGATACAGCATCAATTTATAATGAGCATTTGATTTCAGACGTCTATTATATCCGGTTAAATCCTGGCCCGCAACTATCGTATCTGAAGTACTTCTCGTTGGGGCGCTATGGAATAGGAAACACGTGATTTACTTAACCTTATTTGTACCGGAGCAGTAGGAAGCGCTCCTAGCCCTACCAAAAAGGTAATCCGCTCTGCCTAAAGAGGATTAGGGCGATGCTTTGTCCGTCAACTATCGCCGGACGGAGAAAAAGTATCGATTACAAATTTCTCGGCCGGAAAACTACCGGGTTACAGCTAAACGGGTGTTGCAACCCGTACACTCAAATTTAGTGCCTAGCTGTCAGGACCAGCAGAAAGAAAATGACGAAAAGTAATAATATTTAGCCGCCTAAGCCACCCGTTGAGCTGTACGTCCGAAAACCACCACACCAAAAAGGGTCACCTCAAGGGTCACGGTAATTAAACTGAGCTCTTCTTTCGGCTGACAAAATTTCATGACAGATGTGCTTATCTGATAAATCCGATGATCGTCAGACGATGAGGGGTCGTTGCAGAGAAGCCGATATTATCATTGAATAATATGAGATAATAGACCTAGTTTGAATATCACTGTGAATTCTCAACCACCTCTGAAGAGCCAGGCCAGGAATTCTGTATATAATCCTCACAGTAGCTGAATCCTCACATCAGTATATTATTGAGATTATGAAATAGCCCAATAATTCTGGGTATGACACTACAGAGACCTTGAAAACTCTTGTGTAGTCCGGATACCTACCCCCCTCCCTAACCACAAAATAACGAAGAACATCGATTCGAGATCAATATAGCTTTAATCTTCATCCGAGGAAGACCCCTCATAGAATTCAAACGGCAGTCCGTAGTCTTCAGTCAGTACTCTGGACGTTGTCTCTCCAAACCCATCCGTAGAAATCAGTTCTTTACAAGCCACTGCGGCTTCTACCATCAGAGTGCTAGTAATCTCTTCGGACTTCTTTTTCGCCAGTCAGCCCGCCCTTTCAGGTAGAACAAGTATTTTGATCATCAATATTTATTCACATTCCTTCTTATCATCGTTTCCTTTTCGCCGCATTGTTGTCAAGTGAAAGAATAAATATATTCAGCAGAACGGCAAAACCTAGAGGTATGCCAGGTGCGTACACAAAACCGAAGCACAGAAAGAACAGGACTGTCCAGCAGACGGATCGCCGGTTAGCTCGGGCCCATGCGTGAAATTGACCTGCTGCGGTCCACATTTCGGCCATATAGTGAAGGCAGACCTCCGATCGTGTAGGGTTGAGAAGGGCCTTCCATCGTAGGTGCAAGCTGCGGTGCTTGGAACTACAATATGGGTCTGTTTTGATTTGCCTCGTAAACCAGCTCTCCCAAAAAGCCTTCAATTTTCCATCCTGATTGTATGGTTCACATTGTCTGAGCCAATTTACCCATTTAGCGCATACTTCGTTGGCATCATTTCCTTCAATTTTGAACCATTCCGTCCTCCCCTGCTCGAGGGTTCGTTTTGAAATTCTGACGGCGGTTCCCGTTCCCCGCTCTTCGCCGTTATAGCTGTGTTCACCTCGGTCGCCTGCAAACTTTGATTCTTTCCTCTGGTTCCACAGTTCCAGATGTACTACCCTTTCAGCCAGCTTGAAATGGACGAACACTACTGATGCCGTAGCTTTCAATGTTCCAAAGCGGCTCTTAGGGCTAAGTTGGTTCATTCTCTCTTTGAGATCATCTGTAGTCCACCCGATCTTGGTGTATCCGGGACTTTGTTTCCGTAACGCACAATATAAACGGCCGAGAATTTGTGGAGACTTCAGCTGTCCTGGCCCGTCGATCAGCTTTCTATATATCTTGGTCTCGATGTCGGTCTCTTCTATCTGCTCCTTGAAAGTAATGAAATCATTTTCCACCGACACCGCGAAGTTTCTATGGTGGTGACGGGAGGTTGAAGTAGGAGTCGGGGAGTATGGAATATGAGTTACTTCGGCATCGATTGAATCAGTTAGTATTTCGATACATTGTGACAAGTCCTTTTCAGTGTTGGGCGATTCAGTGACAATATTTGGACTCTTTCGTAGCCAAGATTCATCGTTTGGTAGAGTTGGATATAATAACGGTGAAGAGAAAGAAGTTCCATGTAGTAACCTGGACTTCTTCATGAATGAAATGGGATTACAAGGCTTCGCAACCGGGGATTTGAAGACAGCCTTGCTTTTCTGGTATCGGCGATTCCGCCGCCGTAATTGAGTTCTGTTTTTCTGGCTACTTCTGGGCGGAAAGTATGGGCTTCCTTTCCATTTAGTTGCTCTATTGTAGTTAGACATAAGTAATAGTAGTGATATCTGTCGAAATGGATGAGTGTAGCAACCACCCCTCCTAGAGTGAGTCGCGAAAGGATATTGCCGATCTAGCGTTTATGAGGCGTAGAACTTCATTTATGCCTTTTTTGACAAAAGTGTGGCACAGATGCCTTCACCCCCTCTGGAGTCAGCCTCGCGGCTAGGCGAATACCAATGTCTCAGAAGCAGTTTATGCGATACAATTAATTGGTCATCTGATGATGGAGCCGGCCCGTTCCGTGCACTAAGTGCATAAATCTCCAATGGGGTCAAATATTTCTTTCGTAGCGTGGGGGCCGCATATAGGCTCCAGCCTTTATCAGCTGTAGCGTGATGTCGCGATACGTTAAAAATAGCAGGGATACAGTCACGATACTCGTCTAAGCCACTACTGTATAATTTTATCTATTGCATATATGATGAAAAATATGTGGAGACATGTGCAAATTGCCATAGAGTTTCGGGATGTAAAGTTCATTGGTATGTTGAATGTTGTCTTCAACCCCTTCACACGAATTGATAGTACAGCAAGAATACGTAGTAAATTGTACTAAATGTGCTCATTTGGATTAAAATAATTTTGTATCTTAATTATCAATTAATGGCAAAGTGGCTCGTCGATGGAAATAAATCAAAACAGCCGACCTGTCCTTAACACTTGAGGTCTTCCGCTATGTTCTAAAAGAAGAGGTTCGGGATTATAACGGTCCTATTCTCTCTGAGTTTACCAGACAAGTTCTGGTTACAAATATTTTGTTCAGACAATTACACTAGTGCTAGGAGATGGTCGCGTGAAAGGAAACGCTACTACTCTTGAACCCCTGAGCTTGAGACTATGTATTCTAACCTTCCCCAGAATGAAATATACTGTTTGAATTTCTGACCTTGAAATGCTTTTACTTCTACGCGCGAGTGGTGCTGCATGGATTCATTATGGGGACATCAAATCAAGAGAATTGAAGATCTCGGAATCAAGGAGTCCTACTTTTTCCTTAATACCCTTTGATTTGCCGCGATATCCTAGAACATGTTTTGTTTAACAGAAATATACTTTCGGTTCTGAGCTTAAGTATTGTAAGTGCGTATCAACTACGAGTCGGGAGCCTTGTTTAACAGACAATGCTAGCAAAATCAGGACGAGAACTTGGCCAAATCCCCAAGTTTCCTGAGTCACCATCCAGAAGCTCCTCGTTCGCCGCGCTCAATGCATTCACCATGTAGGTATGCAGAGGGCATTGAATCAACGCAACTTTTGGATTGAAATTTTGTTGTCAAACAATGGGGCCGAATCAAACAGTGATCTTTTGAAAATCTCAATGAAAGGAGACTATTTCTGCGGCATCTTTGAAATGGGAATTTGGTCTCACAAACCCATATTACTAAAACTAGGCCAAGTCCAGAGTATGATACATACCCATTATCTCGGGGGGGAAACTAAGGTGTCCAAAATTTTATTTTATGCCTCGGGAAACCTACGAGAAAATGCATATTCCGCGACCTGTACACAGGTGATCATGGTAGCGACGAAGTAAAGAGACGTCACTGCTAGGTATATGTTATCCAAGTAAGGCTGTGTGAGGACTCGGAAGTTAGGATTGTGTCAGTATTGTAGTGCTGGCCAGGAATGTGATTATCCCATTTTCTTAGCTTCATTCCGAACGTGATGGCTTGCAAGGCGAGGTGTGAAAACAAAAAAACAATCGATAAAATGGAACGGTTCAAGATGCGTTTTCTTGTTCCGAAGACGTTCACAAGCGACGCACATACTGAAACTCTGTTATAGTATTTAGCCGAGTTGTCGGTGTTATATGGAAGTAGTGTTTGGTGTATGATTGCTACAGCTAGAAAGCACTGCATGCCCTTTTAAATTAACTGTGTCGTAGGTGATATGGTAATAGCATAGGTTCAAATTAGAGCGTTGAGCCATAGCACAATTAAATGGGATATTCCTCAGTGGGTTTCATGTTGATTTTTGGAGATATAATTGTGACAAGGTAAGCCGGTTTAGTTTCATTTGCCATTTAGTGTCTGCACGTCACTGTTACTAGCCAACAGTTCATCCATGTACCACTTTTTATCCGGAGATAAACCTAATTTTAGATTATATTGTACTAGAGGTTGTGCCATTTTCCATGTCACCATAATGGGGCATTCGAAAGAATTTCTCGCAGAGCCTCTCAAAGAGCTGGGCCATGGCCTTCAAAAAGCCTGAATCCCTAAGGGCGATGTCCAAATCCTTAAACCATATGGATAGCGCAAACGACAAACCGGCTTGAATAACAAAAGAGAGTATGATCTGTTTTAAATATTATGAGTCTCTTTTGAACTGAATAAACCGGGAACTAGAACAGAAGCAATATTATTTTCGCAAGTATGACCTGACCTAAGCCTTGCAATAACAGGATTTGAGCTTCTAACGTTCTTGCAAGTCATGCATTTGATCAATCTATCGTGGCTTTAGATACATGTATTTTTGTATATAAGTGCAGAATATGAAACCAGGCCAACGCTTTTCGTCGAGCAGTTGCAGGTTAAAAGCGCGTAGGCGAGGCTGACATTAGCGAAAGTCTGGGCCTGCTCTACACAGCCTTGGGGCATTGATCATTAATAAATATTCATGTGCTACGATCCCGAAAATATGATCAGATATTGTCACAATATTTAAGCGAATGCCACATACAATTACAGGTACATATTTGGCATTGGACCGATATCCCTCAACCAATGTCGCCTAGAGAATCCGTAGTAAGAAAGTTGGTGATATAATCTATATCAACCAGACGAAGCATTTAGGTTATCATCATTCTACCAGTGAATAAGTTGCACTGATCAATTATCTGTCCAATACATGTAAATACACTTTCTTGCTAAACATCACTAGTAATAGCTTCATGAGAGACAAAGATTAAAGAAAAACAATTACATTAAAGCTGTCGCAGCGCGTCTAGAATCTTAGATGAAAGTGTTCTAAGTCGCTTCTGTAAGTCGAGATCTAACTGATCCAACGTCGCGTCTGAAAATGGCATTAAATCCAACTCTTTGTCTTCATTTTTTGCATACTCCGACACATTTATTCTATGCGATTTAAGTTTTAACGATAGTTGATTAGAAACACGACGAACGAGGTGAAGCTCGCTGAGTACAAGTTGCGCAGCCATTCGTGACGAGGTTTCGCTGTCGACACCACGATCTCTTTCGAATACGATGGGATTTATAATTTGTTGGCGTTTCAGAGCTTTAGACGAGTCATTGAGTCTGGCCACTTTGCTAGCTGCTATATCATACCATCCCAAAACTTTGGATACAATAAGCACAATGATGGAAAGCAAGTAAACATCTTGTGAGCAAGGGCATTGCAGCATCGCATCGACAGCTTCGATTGCGGTTTTGTTTTTACTGATGATGCTTGTTAAGGTGGGACTGCAGGCATTCTTATCCACAGTCTGATTCACTGATGTAATAAAGGTCCTTGAAGGACGAGGGAATAACTGCTTCATGAGGCCAAGCGCCTGGAATAAGCATGGGCAGACTTTGTCAAAAGTGTATGTCTTTCGGTGGCTTTGCAAATGCTCAATGGGAGACGTTCGGTTGTTATGAGGTGAGTCTGGAGCAGAAAAATCAAAGAAATCAGAAATGGTGTCTCCAAAAATAGGGATAGCGCTGGATAGTCCATCTGATCGGTTGCTGCTAGAGTCCCTAGTGGTAGATACGAATTCTCGATTATAAATAGCGACCTCATCGGCCATATCTGGGAACGACTGTGCCATGGGTGATGCAAGAGAGTCATACACTTCCATACTTAGGTCTGTGTTCATTGACGAAAGAGGGTGGTTCGTGGGCGAAAGATAAGTCAGAAATGTTTCGGAGGAGCTCGGTATAGCTTGGTATGGCGAATGATGAGTAATTTCTGATGACGGAACAGATTCAGCGCCGGAAGTGAAGGAATTCGGAGTGAAATTATTGTTCAAAGATGGTGGTAATTGAGTCTTGAAATTTGCATTTATGATAGCATTTGAAACAATATTTGCACGGTTACTGTTTGCATGTGATCGGCTTCCGGGTTTTCTCCCTCCACGCTTCATAGCCACATACTCACAGGCAATATTACGCTTTGCACAGCGGGAACATGTGGGCTTCTCTTTTGAGCACTTCAATTTGGATGTTGCGCAGGCGTCACAACTATCTCGAAGTTTAAGTGGTGCTCCAGCCTTCGAAGGCGTTGGAAGGCCAGGCGAAAGAGTGTGTAAGGTAGCCATGAGTTCTATTGATAGATGAAATTATCAAATCGAAAACTGATTTAGCAGTAGATACAGTATCAACTACCTGTAACGAATTTTGAAGTATCAAATAATTGAAAAGTTGTGTCCATACTCGCGCGGAAAAGAGGAGAAAAGGGTTTTGCAACTTAATGACGTTATAAAAGGCCTCAGAAATAGCGATTCGTCTCGCTAACGTCCAGAGAAAACCCCTCAGATCAATCGACAGTCATTCAAAACCCTGTATGTACCCTGGTTGCAAGTGACGAGATGCTGTACGTGCTTAGATATGACTGGCTATTTACCATGAAGGATTCCCAGCCGTCATTTCTGTCGACACTTGACCAATGTGGATCATTCAGTTCTCGAGGCTTCGGTGACGTAGAAAGATATCTAGGAATGGAAAAGATACTACCGGCTGGTTATCCCTGTCCTAGAAATAGAAGGCTTCACTAGTGCTATTGAGCGGGAATCAAATACTCAACATAGAAAAGCCGTCGTGCAGGGGTATGGCGGAGAGGGATGTAAGCTACAAGATGCATGCACAAGGAAATCCAATCACATCCCAACCTATGAAGCCTTGAGTAGTATTCAGTTACTTGGCTGGGGTAGGGGCCGGAGTAAGGCTTGCATACTTCTTTCTTTCTTTTTTTCTGTTTATGCTCGGTTCTGTGTCTGCTTCCGATAGGCTGGATACTTACCCGCCCACAGCAAAGTATATCCCCGTTTGTTACACAAGTAATAAAGACTTATAACCTTTTCCCCGATGAATGCTTTCCCAGTTCCGACTGTTTACCATGTGCAAAGCGAATGTTCTTAGCAACAGGATAGAATAAAACTGCGTTCTATGTAAATATGGCACATATGATCCAGCTAATTGACATTGTATATCCGTATCTAGGTCAGTCATTTTTTATGTAAATATGAAAATAAAAATTTTATGAATCTATTAGTTTAAACTTAAAATAACTGTGTAAAAAACAATGCTATAAAGTATCTTCAGAGACTTAACATTATAAATAAAAATAGATTTATTTTTGCGACTTAATTTTCCAGCACCTTAATTAAGCGATATAAACCATACACTACATACGTATGTGGATTGTGTTAAAAAATCCAGCCAATTTTTCGTCAAAGTTGTTTCCACTTAAACATCTTTTCTTTATCTAGTACAATGGGTTTGAATATCCAATGAACATCTCCAAGAGGAAACTCTTCAAGGTGTGTCTCGGCTCTGGATTGTCGGCGAACCGAGCAGTAGGTGCATTTCGGCCCGGACCAGACCCCTCTCGACTCGAACACGCATCAAAGGCAATAGATGGTACATGGGTCTATTGTTGAAATTGATACACCAACTTCCGGACTGGAAGCACATTTTCTTGCATATTCATTGTTAATAAAAATGCTAGCTATGCTAGAATCATGGAACGAATGCTACCCCATAATATTTGACGAGATCCTTATCGGGAATTCAGGATACGATCTTACGTGTATTGAATGAGTTTTACATTAGTCAACTATGGCAGGGATCAAAGCAGAGTGGAGCTCACACAATTTTCAGATATGAAAACATAGTGATTATTTCAATACATGACTGGTGAATTTCGGCCATCTAAGATATATCACTCTGGAATGGGGTAATGGCAACCTGGGTTTCATGGACGCCACCTATGGAGATAATTCTTTTGTATGATATTGTCAACTGGTATCTTGCACTGATATTGGTCCTACACAGGTAACCCCACTCTGTGTTCTACCTGTATGCCATCTCTCCGGGTGGTGGCATTGGCCTTTACAAGGTGTTCGCGCCACTAATGCAATCGCTATCTGTAATATGCAAAAATTTAATAGATCGTATTTTACATTGATTTCATGCATTGTGGAACGTAATTTATGACGGGGATCCGAGTACGTCTTGTTGTGGTAGACTATATTGATGCACCCTGCATGAGGAATGTATTAAGCCTAGTTTTCCGACAATCGGCGCCGTTTTCATTGGAATATAATTTGTGTATCCCAAGCTCAATCTTAAGTGGAGTTACTGCTTCCGATGTGATCATAAATATACTCTTACTGTAAACCCCTCTCACGGACCAATTTGATATCAATAAAATACTACACTTAACAAGTAAATACACAAAAAGTCACTCCTGGATTTGGAACAGCCAGGTTCACAGTATATATATCAAAGTACACCCCTACCCTGCCGATAGTCAAGCGTGCCTTTTGTTTGACTCACACCCACCATTCTAGAAGGATTTCTACCATGAATACTTTACTGTTGGGCACTTCTAAAGACCATTTACGTCGAGATCTGATCTATTGGGCAGAATCCACGGATTTGCAGCAGAAATATGAGGATCAGTTGATGAATAAGGCAAGGTTTTGAAATGGACTAATGTGTCTGATTTGGAAACCTTCAAATAAAAAATGGCTAGTATATGTTGTGATTGCTGTGCATCGTAACCCTGCATCAATGCTGTGTCTACAAAAAACTGGCGAGTTGAGACCAAGTGATTTTTATTAAGATGCATCGTCCTTCTGTACGAACTAAGTCTAAGAATTGTTCCCAAGGATGTTCATAATTTTTGCCGATCAGATACAGCGTCATAAATGAAACTAATTAGACAAAGACTTTTTCCCTCACGTAGCTTTTGCGAGTAGAATACGACATATCAGTTAACTAAATCAGCATCAATAGATACAATAACGCTCGATATCATAGCTCCTAGCTCTATAGGTTCATTAACAAAAAGACCGCAATAACATCAGCTGATCTGGAGATGGCTTGATAGTTTCGGAATCGTCTCAAATACCAATTCATATATATCCGTTTTTGAGCTTCAAGGTGAATTATTTTGAGAAGGTTGACATGATACTTTATGAAGCGTTTGTTTCTATTTATGCCCTACCTATTATGATTGTTTCTGGCCTCCTTCTAAGTCCTCATAGATTCAAATATTGTATCTATAGCTAAAATAAAAAGGAGCTTTTGTTTGAGAACTTAGCAAATCCCATGGTCAAATCCACATTTTCTAAGCATCGCAAGAGCATTGCATGCATATACCGAATCACCAATGGAATATTTGCCGTGTAATTATGCGGTGTAATTTGAAAATAGGTATACCGAAGTGATAGTACGGTACTTTATGGGTGAAAGCTCGTATGTCATTCTCTGTCAGCCACAGTAAAAAATAAAGTTAAGTGGCCATTAAAGTTGTAAATTTGATTCTACATTTCAGCCTTACTCGATAGAATGGAGTTATAACTGTTCGCATGTTTTCCTACTTTCTGATTCATCCAGCTAGTATAGGAATGTAATAACTAACCCTTCTTTTCAAATTCGTTTTATCCCATCATTTTTTTGTTATAATAGCGCTAATTGAAACATTTTTCGTCCACTAATTGTAAAGAGGCTTGAGACTATTCGTTCTACTCTGACTCAGAAATGGTCAAGAAATAAATCTTTACGTTTGAATTGATCCCAATCTTATGGTGAATATTTCCAAACCAAAGCATCAGAAAATGAGCTTTTCATAGGGTGGATTGTGGCTAAAAATTCGAATTCGCATCCCTAAACGCTTATTCGAACATCTCTATGGTAGAATGCAATAAATAGTGGCTATGAGTCAAGCATTTTCCATACGGCGCTTTTAAATTCGCGGATACTTCGCTCTCTTGCGGTGAACGGACATAGACCCGTGTGGGTGTGGACGACGTGGACGGGGCGGGCAACATGGCTAATGCCACGCACCACTGTGTCAACATGTGCACGCCCACATCAGCGTTTTTTCCGTGCAAGCAAGCTACTCAGAAAAAGGTAATGACAACAAATATCAGTAAAATTGCCCGAAAAAAGGCCACCAAAAATTAACAAAAACTGAGTTGTTTCCAAAGATTGAGGAAGGGATGAGTGCAGCAGCCCACGGTTTCGAATGGTAAAAGGCAATTCGAGAGTTCTTAGTTAGACTGACTGCATCCCTAGTGGGGTTATCCAAATAGTGGCTTATAAGGTAGCAATTATTGTGGTTTCGATTCCGAGCTCCCCTATTTTTTTTCCCCCCTCTACTGTTCTCTCAAGAGCGTATTTTGGCAATGGCAATGAAGATATGCAATGATGAAAATAGATGCCAGTAAGATCAGCCGCTTGAAAAAAAAAATTGAGGAAAGGTTAAAGTGAGGCGGGATTCATTTTTGCTGGAGTAGATCACAATTTACAAATCATCTTTGAACTCAACAAATTCTAGGTATCCACAACCAATAACATCATTATCGAGCAATAATACGCTGTGACAAAAACGTTCCCCGCCAGATTTTGTCGACTATTAAAATTGTAAGCGATCAAAATTCTAGGAAATGACTTCACTCGAGTAGTCCTAGTTGTGTCACAACCTGCCATCAAACCTCAAAACCTTAACTAATGACACATTGTCAGGACGTTACAGGAAATTGGCTTGTCAAAGCCCTTACTTAGGCAATAGTATATTAGAAATTTGATGTCATGGCCTTTTAAATATTGAAACCGTGGCTTTTCGCCAGCAATTTCGTTAGACTTTTGGTCAAACTGACTAATTTATTTAGTAGATACTAGACAAACAACGGCCACGATTCAGTGTATTATCACTTCACCCTTCTATTAAAATATCGCAGTGAATCCTTCCCATATAAGGAAAGAATGGATCCAGGCAAAACTTTAGGCTTTCTTCCTATTTAGGAAGAGACTCGAGAATATTTCGTAATACTGCCCCCAACGTTGTCCATGTAACTTTCCAACAGTAAAAAACCAACACCTACTATTGTTGGAAATGTTACGCTACCACACTTACTAACCGAGTTATTAATATTAATGACCCAACGCCAAGTAAGCTATTAAACACGAAGGAACGTTCTGAAACCGTCGAAACATTGCTTGCTAACCATCAGCCGTTTTACTTGTAAACCTGTGCGTTGCACGTGCGATTAATAGCGGTTGAAGTAACATATAACAACTAGGTCTTAATTTGTTTATATAGATCGGATATTTCCCTCTGGTTCGAAATGATGTTGATATGACAAAAAGTTAATAATGAACAATTAAATCTGGAATTTGATCTGAGACAACCTGAACCAGCTTTTGAAAGCAAGATGTCTACTCTCAGCCTACTCTTCATTGCAACTTCTGCGATCGCCGCCGCAGCTGTGCCTACTAGCACTTCAATCCCAAACTTGAATATAAAAGTCGGCTCTACGTGGGATTACCCTCTCGGTTTCGATCTAACAACAAGCAATGTTGAAGTGAGCAAGAAGTTTTATAGCGTCGACCTATTTAACACGGAGGCATCTGATATTGCAGCCCTAATCAACAAAGGCCACTCAATTGTCTGCTACTTTAGCGCTGGTAGCTATGAAAGTGGTCGGCCAGACTCGAGCAAAATACCACCCTCGGCCATTGGCAGTAAAATGGACGGATGGCCTGAGAAATGGCTCGACACTCGGAACAAGGGAGTTCGCAGTGTCATGGCAGCTAGGATACAGACAGCTAAGGACAAAGGATGCCAAGGTGTAGATCCCGACAATATTGATGGATTCAACAATGAAACCGGCTTCAATCTTACGCAGGCTGACAGCGTCGACTTTCTCAAATTTTTGGCTGGAAAGGCTCATGATGCCGGCTTAGGCTTTGGCCTAAAGAATGGTCCCACGATGGTCGACGAAGTTGTTGACATTGCTGAGTGGGCAATCAATGAATCCTGCATAGAATATGACGAATGCGACTCTTTTCAACCTTTTATCGATTCTGGTAAACCCGTGTTTCACGTCGAGTATACTGATAGCGACAGCCCATCTGATACTTGGAAAGAAAAAGCATGTGGTGTCAAAGGGTTCTCAAATATCATCAAACATGAAGATCTGGAGGACTGGAACATGAGTTGCTAGGCCCTTATGATTTAGTTTTGAATGGATATTCGAATTAATCAGTTGCAAACCTTGAGACGGCTATCATGATGGTCTATGCGAAATAACTAGATTCCTGATTAATCAAAAAAACGGTGATTTCGCTATGGGGATAAAATCATGCAGGTCTTTCGTCTCGCGAACGAGTACTTATTGATTCACTCAAAATAGTCTCATGTCAAGCCAGACTAAGGGCACTCTTTCTAATATTGAATCGACCTGCCTTTGACATAATCTATTATATAATCGACAGTGTAATGTGGAGTCTTGAAATACCTATATATTGATATTTGTAAGACATATTTGTTATCATCTGTTTCGTATAATATAGATTGCTATTAATATTTTATTGGGGCATGATATATTTATTGAAATATTAAATAGTTAGCATGTCATAATTTCTTATAGAAACCGTACACTCTGCAATTAGTTTATTATATAAATTGCTTTCTATTGTGGCTAATTTAGTCATTGCGCATTCTATTCTTCCATAATTACGTATTAAAAGTTGCGACTGATACCAGTTTTGTAGGCTGATTTGTCAGGACTATTTGCATCACATATTAATATCTTTATGGCTCTCTCTACATTGGTTTATAACTAAATGATTACATTAGTACCACTACCTAGCTGATACTTATTATGCACATTTGAATTAGATATTAACTTCTTTCAGCGTTGTCCTAGTTTTAAAAGAACTTGTTGTCGTGGAGTATAATGCTAGTGTTCCATTATGATTAGGGGACTGCTGGATCATTACCTTAGGGGTTTTTGATTACTAGCTGTCATTTTAAGGAGTGGTTATCTTATAAACAAGAAAGAAAACTAAATGGGAAGTTAGGGAAGAGAGACAGTATAGCAAATAAAATTCCTAAGTTAATGCACAATAATGGTGGAATCTAGGATAATGCACTAAACACGCGGGACAATGTAACTTTTCAAACTTCCAGGCTCCAGCCGCTGCAATAAACAGCCCCCAAGCTCCTTCAGTCATTTTCTTCTCCAGAAGAGGTCTAAGGTCGGAATTACCCACCAACATTCTATGGCCCTCCGCCGACACCGATGCCCCTAGCCTCTCCCGGGAGTGAATCCACTAAGTCCCAATCCGGAAGAAGCAGATCAGATCCATCTCTTCCGTCATTGCAATATCTAGACATCAATCCTACTATCAAAATTCTTCTCTTTAAGATATGTCCCACGACAAGGACACGCATATAACATATAACATACCACTGTTTATCTTATTGTTTTTCATTCCTATTTACCTCCCGACTTTCTCTCTAGGCGCCACCGCGTCATCGTTGACTAGTCCTTGAATGGAGCACGTACCTATATCTGTCGAAAACAGAAAATAAACGCCCCCTAATAATCTAAGGAAAGAAACTCAGCCAAACGATATCTCTTGTTGTGTAAGTAATACATTACTTTCTTGAAACTCTAATAAGAGTTATTAGATATGGGAATTGCTGCTTGTTTTACACGTGCTATGTATCTCGACATGAACCCATTGATGCAGTCTACAGCTCTATATTTCGGTGGCATCTCGCCATTGTGAAAACTTCCATACCTGTGGAATTCGATCAAGAACTCTTATTGAGATTGTGTAATTACATATTACTAATATGATCGTATATAGACCGGTTGTTCCATTGATCTTTTATCGCCATGATTTCTACTTCTGCGAATGAGGACGACATCCCCGATAATACCCAGCCACAAGGCTTCAACCCAGTTAAAATCGCCCAGGTAGATTACCTGGGAGAACAGCATACTAACAGTTGCACCCATCGCGACCTTGGATTCGTTGGCCAAGTCGCCGGTCGGTGGTTTGCCATCTACGGTGACACTCTCTGGTGTAAGCCCGGGGTTACCGACTCTAGCCAAGACCCTGAGGGATTTCATGGCATGGTGCGGGATTCTATCGCGGAATGTACCGACAATGCACTGCGTGTTAATTTCACGCAATTGAACGAGGACACACCGGTGGCACATCCAAAACAGGTTTACCTCATCCGGCCTCTTCTACAAGAGATATTTGGTTGTTATTAACTTAACTGCAGTTTGTTCCTTATAACGAAGCGTGGGGCGAGTCTATAACTACTGGATTTGGAGGGACCAGTCTATGCCCTGTGGATGAAGAAAATAGTCTTCTGTTCTTTCTGGTGAACCAAAACTCCGAAGGCCTTGTGGGAGCCGGCGTTGCGCAGGTACAACTACGTGACGGCATTCCAACTGTTGTGAAACGATACGGCGACAACGGCTGGTGGTGGAATGCAAACAGCGAAGCTCGTTACGGCGATGTCGCCGCGTACCGCGATGAGAATTCGGAATTCATTTATGGCTGGGGTGGCGCACCAACAAATATCAAGGATTTCGTGCCGGGACAATATGTCTACCAGGTCCGGGTGATGGCATCAGCGGCTTGGGACAAGTCACAGTACGAGTATTGGTGGGGACGCAGTGCTGGCTGGAAGAATGCGCCTTTGACAACATTTAACAAGGAGACCGCTGTCATGTGGGGAGTTGGACAAGGCAGTACTTACTACAGCCCCTACTACAAATGCTATTTTTATGTGCACTTCAATAATGCAGACAGTACGTTCTCTTCTTTCTCCTTTCCAGTATAGAAACGCAAACTGAACCCTTGAAAGTTTCTATTCGGACAGCACCTACGCCGGAAGGGCCCTGGGCTGCTGATGTAAAAGTCTATACACCTACCCCCATCCAAGGCGGCTTCACATATTCACCAGGGATACACCCCTATCTCGATCCGACTGGACGGTCTTTAACCATTAATTATACAAACAACAATCATATTCAAGTTATCAAAGCTACGTTCGAATAGTTATGTCGCTTTAATTTCTTTTCTTTCCTTTTCAAACATTCTTTTGATATTTTATTCTGAATTAAGATTTCGCAGCCTCCTCTGGACGCTCGATAGGCTTCAGATCCGCATCATTGAGGATGACGTCATCAGAGGTATTGCTAATATCAAAACACGAAGTTTGTGATATTGGAATTGCGAATATAAAGAGCAACGGGATCAGCAACGCTTAGTATAGCACCACCTCGCGCAAATGAGTTGATGTTAGACCCGATCTAAATAATGTAAGTGAGAAGGAATATTTCCATTAGACGAGAAAACATACCGTCGGGTCAGAGTTCCTTCCAAGGTTACCATACTTAGAGCATTTGATTAACTGATCCTGACCCGTAATAGTCTCGCCCTTGTCGTCCTTGCGAATCACGGTCGCTTGTGCAGCTATGTCTATTTCGGCCGACAGTATTATTTGGTTGAATCAAATGAGCGATAGTACCAGTTGTGCTCAGAAGATTCCACGAATTGGCGGGGTTGTAAACCTCAGCTCCAGTCTTTGGGTCTTTCAAAAAGAAGTCTCCATCTTTCATATCTGCGGCAAAATCCTTGTTAAGCTCTTTTATGGTTGTCAAAAACTTTCCCTCTGGCAACTAACAAAAAATTGCCAGTACTATTTCAGTATCGTTAGCCTCCAAATTATTTGGACTTCTTGAGTAGAATAGGCATACCACTGGGCCTTCACAGGTGAATCTTACACTATAAATATCTCCTGAGTATTACCTAGGACCCCGGTTTACTGACCACTCGAGATACTCATCTTGAACGACGCGGGTGGCATCCGCAATTTGCCATCGGCGAGGTTCGCCTGGAAAGGAATCCTTGACATAAATTTTACACGTCAAAACAAAGTAACTTTGTTTGGCTTTCAAATAGATGTCATGCAAGTTTGGGGAACGCATTCCATTCTACAGCCTGCGGATCCTGGGAGTTGTCGAAAGGTGTTTCGGCGCCGTTGAAGAATTGAGCTAGGGGCGTACGACCCTTACCTACAATGCCTGGGTTTGCTGAAATTTCACCGTTCATCCAAAAGGATATATAGACTTTTGACCATATTTCCTTGTTTTCTTCAGTCAGATCGTCCAGATTCCCAGGGGGGTCATGTCTGCGAAGTTTCGAATTCTAAGTCACAGCCATGGTTTTACGAATTTTCAATTGCTCGATGAAATTTTGGAATTTTGAAATTTTGAAGTTAAGTATATTCAATAAAACCTGGGCTTTATATGCATATTTATATAATGGGAACATACAAATCAACTAATGTGCCGAGGTCGGTTCGTTCCACACACAGAAGCTCAAAATCGTACAAATTTCATCTCAACTGCACGTACTTTTGGCACTCTCAGTTAGCCAATCGTCCTAATCAGCCAGCCACGACAGTTTCACTGTCAGGGTGTCCACTGCAAGCCGTGACGCCCTCAAGCATCTAAAGCACAGGTTTCAACAAAAATGTGACTTCATGTCAATTATCTAGACTGGAACTTGCCACTACGGAGTAATCGATACAGACAGTAGGGTAAAAGGCCTTTTATTGGAAAGAAACCATGTCTTTATTGTGCACCTGTAGATTGCCTGATGCAAGCTGCCCAAATGGTCTCACAACCGGACATTCCTGTAGGACAATTTAAAAGAAGAAAAAGAGCTCTACTCCACGTCACAGTTTGGAGTAAATGACAAGGGGTTCATGCACTGTTACCCCCAGGGTAATTGCGGCCAATAATAGACCTAGTGACAAATTGAACACTGAAGCATTAGCTAAAGCTTTTTCACAACAAAACGTAAGAGGTTATAGACTTAGTCGGACTACATGTATTTCATGTTACGCCGTTTAGATCGTAAAGCTGCATCAAACCATAATAGTGGTTGATATTACTTTAAGACTTTCGATGCACTGGCCAGAAATAGCACGTTCGTCACATAAAATGACCAAGAATCGTAGGCATTCAGCTAAAGTATGGCACGCTACCTTTCGATGATCAATTGAAAAAAGCCCTCAAACTTTGAATTCGTCAACCTACTTTCGGTCATGTGTAAGTAATGAGGCTGCGTGAAAGGTACTTATGACCATCTTTCCGAACAACCCCTCCTCCGCCGCAATTACAAAAGACAAGATATTCAAAATTTGGAATTATTGGCATTTAGTGCCTTCGTCTAGCTGTTGGGTATAAATAGATTCCTGCTTGCTATGAACGTATTATGAAACCTGCCCGCAGTTAGTAGTCAACTAGACAATTCAAGCTAGGATAAACTTCTAAAAATGACAGGACCAGAGATCTGGCACCGGAAATTCACAAGAGTTTCAGGACCGGATACAGAGTTCTTGATGGAAGACTCCCATCAAAAAGATGTGCTCAAGGACAAGTTTGGTCAGTTTTTGCAAGAAAGCTCGCACTCTTCGTTTCTTACTTTTGACCAAATGGTTTCTTACTATTACCGTGCGCCCTCCCAGGGTGGAGTTTGAGCAGCAACAATAATGCTAATGGACTTAATAGAAGAGCCAAAACTGTTCCCACAACCTTTTCAATTGAGGGTAAGTGTTGTTGCAGATGGTGCGCACGTTCAACGATCGAGTTTGCCAGGCAAGGATAAAATTTGGCTTAATCCACATTGTCGTCTGCTCGCCGTTGCAGATTTTGCCCTTGTAAATGAGCAAGATGTTATATTTATCATTGGCTCCGACGATGTGCACAACTCTCAAAGATTCCTTCAAGCGGCTAGCTGGAATGGAAAGAATTTTCATTACTATACTGTATGTGAGAGGCCTGTCATTATTTTCGGCTTATTGCTAAACGATACAAGGTTGAGGACATCAACGATAACTCGAAAAAGAGAGCTTGGACGTTTCAAGCAACATCAGCGGATGCATTCACAGACCAAACATCATACGATGTTTCTTATCTTGGCCCATTTAACGGGCATGTAAATGGGTGCTTGCATCATGAAGGAATTACATGAGTCAGCATACCTCAGCTGAAATGCGAAAAGATGGCTGATTTTATCTCTACAGACCGTGGTACCACTGGTATACTGGCCAAGACCTTCAGGGCTGTCTAAGCGATGAGCAGAAGAAAATCCTCACAGGTCTACCGTATCTATCATCTTTCTCTATTTTTTCAAAGGCAATGAAAGCCGAGAGTGTGGAAGGAATTGTCACGAATTTGGTCGAGAAGTCGTTCGATTTACGAGCTAAGCAAGATTTACGAGCATTGGAGTTGGTGGCATCACTGTGAAGGATTTACAAGCCAATTTCCATCGTTGGATAGCACGTTTATTCCTTACTACTACAATTAATATTGCGAGTGGTGTGTCGGTGCAAGACTTAACTGCAAATAGTCATTTGGGATCTAGCAGCCTGCCATGGAGAGCACCTACCGACCTTTTTCTAAATTTCGAGTTATTATCAAAGAACAAATTCAGTGGGTTTAGTGTATGGTTTTTCCAGGCTCTGGACTCTGTTCTAGTGTTTTATTGACCTAAAGCAGACACATCTTCAAGATCTGTCACTCGAATATAAACCCGAACACCACTACGCTGTAGTTGGCAATCTTCGATTAAGCCTTCTGCAAAAATGGTCGTCAGAAAAGTTTCCGTCCGGTGTCCCGGTTGTCGAACTTCAGAAAGGAAAATTGGGAGGCGGGAAACAAACCGATCCTTATGATGTCATGAACTTCTTGGAAGTAGCAAGTAATGCCGAGGGCAAGGATATACAATTTGTTGCCCTTTAAAGTTCTCTTGAGGATAGAGTGGGGGTCCTTAATCTACCTGAAAGCCTGGTTAGTGACAGGCTTCTGCGCTCCATTCTGATGTTAGACTTCTACAATCCGATCTACGGTTGGCGTCGAGGCGTATTGATGCAGTATTTGCCTCAGAGTACAACCTTTGTTGGCAATGCATATGACTTGGAGACTAATTCGTCAAAAGCGTCCGTAATTCGCCATATTCAAAACAAGACGGGGCACTAGAGCGCAAATTCCTCTCCCTCTATGATCAAAATTTTTCGGATCAGAAAATTGAAAATCGGCTCAATACTTATCTAAACAACGTAAAACGGAGGCTGAAAGAGATCGATGGCCTAACTGACTTCCTCAAACTAGCCGAATCAAGTTGTCGGATTTATCGTCCCCTACCTCTAGATGAGTTCGGAATGACACTTCCCTACGCAATTCAGCTCGCCGTCACTTGGAAATGGATCGAAATGAAAGAAGATGCTACCGTTGAGGATATTCCGGAACTGGGGCTTAAATTTTTGAACTGCTGGACTAGTTCGTTGCATAGCTTTGATCCGCATTTGGTTCCACAGGCAGGCTGTTATGGGCAGGCGAAGGCTGCGCAATGTCCAAGAAAATAGTTAAATTCATAGTGAACATTTCATTGAATTCTTCATAGCAAAATTCTGATGCTATACCTCTGATACAAGAGGGGACATAAATATCCTTCTACCCATTCCGTTAGCGTCCTTGGGGAAGAAAATCGTAATACTATATTCAAACTATTGTTATATGAGTGTACCAATATCTGAAAAAAGAAAGTTCCTGTCAAGTCTCATCCTGTCGTTAGTGTATAATCCCCAGACTAGTTTCCAAACTAATTTGACATCCGAGTCTAGTGGTACTTACCGGAGTGACTGATTAGCTTCCATATACTACCTACAAAGACTCCGATGTCAACAGAAGAATATCCTCCCACTGGCCTATAGGAACATCTTTAGCCTTGTCAGAAGTTGAGCACGGAGAATCGTCGCTAGAATCGATTAAAGATGCAGATTTAATGCTCAATTCTATTTGCTGATAAGTTTCTGTTGTTTGAGCACTTATGCTTTTGTTGACGATGGACGATGAGGAGTTTTGCGAACTTGCCGTATAAAAACCTTCTGAGAGCTTTCCCGCCATATCATTTCGTTGATCGAAAGTGTCCTTCTCCGCTTGTAACTTGTCGCTTAAACTGCTATTTGCACGGCATACGTCCTGGCCTTTGATATCGGTCTCATCACCATGAGTTCTATTCAATTCGTCCAACGCGTCAACTGTGAGAGGTTGGGGCTTTGCAGAGACACTTTGGAGTACTTCTTCTTTTCCACCTTTAATTTTATCCAAACCAGAATATTGGTGTCTCGGCTTTCGAGGAATGACGTCTCTCTGGGGATTATAGTCTAGGTTATGAGTATCAGCCACCTTCCCCTGATCATCATTACCGTACCAATCTTTATCCTTAGGTTTGATTTTAGCAGGTTCTGGTCTGCGTTTATGCTCCTGCACAACTCTCTTGGGTACATGAACATCAGTTCTCGAAAAGCTGGGGGAACCTTGTTTAATCAAAACGTGAGGCTTAGCCTTCAGTTCGGATTTCCCTGCCCTGACTGAATCCACCTGCCTTGCCGTCTTACTAGAAGATATTTTTCCAGAAATGGGTGATACATTGGACTGAGAACGTCTGTGTTGCGGATGTTGAGGGCGTCCCCCAATTTCGTCATGTTTCTCGCCATGCTTTTCAGCTGCTTGGAAGTATCTTGAGAAATTTGTTATTCGAGATGGCATATAATATGGGTTCTGGCCAGGATAATACGGATGCAACTGTCTTCCAAGCCCGTAAGACTGTTGCCATGTGTTTCTGTATCCGTTGTCGGCAGGTGGAATGGGATATTCGTGAGCTACTGAATGCGATATTGGTGCAAGGGTTGACTCATCAACTGCATGTGGCACAGGATTAGTGTATTGCGTTTGCTGCATATATGTATAATTAGGCCAAATTTGGGGGGTATTTGGATACTGCGCATGATGTTGTGTAGAGTATAACGGCAAGCCGACAGTAGTAGAGACTTCAAGAGAACTTGGATGATTAAGTCTTTCATAATAGTATCTATTATCGGGATAGTCCCAACCATGAGATGCATAGGATGAGCGAGAGTCACCATGCAGCTGATGGTTAAAATTCAGAAGAGCGGGATTTTCATCAGCTGCTACCCAATTTCTTGATGATGACTCGATATTCCTGTCGCCAATAGCCACGTTGTTAGGAGCACTCAAAGCGAATCCTCGACTCGGGTTTGAAGGGGGTATTTCTGGATAGCTTTGGTAATTACAGCTACCATTAGCTGCTAAAGGCGAAAATAGCGGCTGCTGCGATTGTGTAGGAGAGCTGTCGATGTGTGAATGATTTCCGCTGTGTTGTACAAACTGCGTAGGGTAGTCCTTATCCTCGTGGTATTTTCCACGGCTAGATATTTCTGAATGGACTGAGGTTTGATGGACGTGGAGTGTTTTGGGTTTTGCATGACTTGTCTTCGTGTCTGGGACCTTCATCTCCGATGCAGGCTTCTCGACTGTCAGCGCATGATGCTTGGGTTTTCTGTCGTCTTCCAGTTTGTAATTCCTTGTTTTCTTATTTGTTTTCTGAAAGCCATTTCTATTTCCGTTTCTTTCGCCTCCAGCTTTGTAGCCTTTTATATCAATATTCACTAGAACTGGTACCTTCCCATTAGAGGAAGAGCCATGTCTATTGCGAGATATCTTAGGTTGCTTGGTGTGATGTGTTTGATTGCTTGAAGTCGTATGATGGATAGTCCTAAGTGGATTTGATGCAAAATTAGCGCTCTTTCGGGCCAGTTGGGTAGTAAATTTTGCATCAATATTTCCGACATCATGAGCATCGTCATCAGCACACTCTTCGACGTACGGTGCTTTCTTGGTCATTTTTTGCGGCAGCTGAGCTCGGATTTGGCACTTATCAAGTAGTGAAAGAGAACAAGGGATCATTCCATACGCAAGGTCAGGGTGTATTTGGATTTTGACCAAGAATGAATGGGCATCAGCAGGATACCGAATCCATCCGAGATATTACCGTAGCTGACGGCGGGGTATTCGCCCATCGATTTCCACGTGAGGCTGTGCTTCAGCCAATTTAAAGACGGCCAATTAAGAGCTCGCCCCCATTAGCCTATGTCAACACGTCATTACTGAGATATAAACCGCTGTTTTCGGCAGTCTCATTAGGTCATTGAGGTTTGTGAACATGAGAGCACACTTATTGCAGACAAATCCATCCGCAATATGATGAATTGATCAATAGCAGTTTTAATCTTCATAGTCTTTGTGGACTTTGGATAATATAAGATACATTTTCAGATTTATCTCGTGCAGGAGCTTTGACGGTTTTCCCCACACCCCCGCTACATGACATTGTACTTGAATTTACTCTATAAATGCAAGAAGCGACTGTTGATGCCACCGAATCTGGCGGCTCATGCTGCCGCTTTTGGTAGTGGGAGACAATGAGGGTATTGAAACCACCCAGGTACACCGTCCTTCCAGGCACCGACTTGTCCCCTATCCGAAACCCCTACTTCCAATGGCTAACGAACAACAGCTGCCGACTGTGGATGGCAACTGCCCTGTTCTGAAAATAATACAGATGGGTATTGCACGATGCCATTGTTCTTATTCTGTGTGCAAGCCGTCGATTTCTACCTTTCTCTTGCTCCCTGTCCTACGTCTGGTTTCTCGACCCTAGTATAAACGTAGCTTATTGTATACGATCATTCAGACATCCTTAGTTAGTTCCATCAACGTGAAAGTTTCACATGTCCTCCACAAGGCAGCGATCCAATGTGTGCGAACAAGCGTTCTCTGGCCAGCAGTCTGTTCACAGCAGTACATTCCGGTGCAGCCGAGATGACTGAGTGCAGGACCAACTGTCCCAGGGGCGACTGGGTGTGGGGGCAACAGTTGTGAGAGCCCAACTCTTTGATCTGTGATCTAAGTGCGGGAATCAAGATCTTAGATCTAATATCTACGATGGAAATCCGAAGAAACCCTGTAATGAACCAGGTTTGCCGTGCCGGTAAATTAGCGAACGCTAGAGCGGCATTTATTGGCCGTGTCCCGTGTACATGGGGAAAGGTACGCGAGTAGCTCTACATTGTCGCCGCAACAGCCTCGTCATTATCCGGGTTAACGATGCTAACGAAATTTAGGGCGTGCCGGTATTAGGATTGGGTGAATAAAAGAAATGTGTTACCGCGCATTTTGATCTAATCAAGTAATGGCCGAATTTCCTAATTCGGAATTCGAAAGACCAGAGATCACATAGCCAGTGTAGTTTTTCTGTGCATCCTGTCATTTCGACGAAAATACCGTTTACGGCGAGATGCTGATGGGTAATGTTGCAAACAGTAAAAGTCTACATGTGTTGCTCTTAGGCCTGTTCTCCGATAGTTGTTAGGCAAATACCCCGGCATATCGCATCCAACCAAAACTTTAGGTCTAGAATCCAGCGGAACCGTCGCTTCTCTCCGGGAAGACGATCCTTCCGAAACTGAGGAGTCGCACAGGTGGAAAGTACGCGATGAGGTCTTCGGCCTTTTATACGGGGGCGGCTACGCGGAATACGTCGCGGTCAATGAGGGGATGTTATTGCTAAACCCGAGGGACTGACAATAGAGGAGTATGGCGGTCTCTGCGAGGTATTTAGTTCTCTGTCGTCATTTTTTGTTTAGTTTCTGAAAAAATGACAATGCGGTCAGACGTGAGGCCTGTGAGGAAGAGGCCAAGAAGAATCCCGACGCCGAGACCCAAGTACGCAAGGCCGGCAGCGCCTGACCCGAAGCCATATTGGTCTTTAAAAACATAGGTAAAGGTGGTAAAGAGAAGGTAGAGGTATCCGTAGACTATTGACGTCTCCAGGAACAGGAGCATGACTATGGGGGAGAGGAATAGCATCTTGAGAGGACGAATAATACCTTACGGAACATCTGACCCGGCGTTCGTCCATCAGATCCAGTGCCACGTACTTGAAATCGCCGGATTCTTTGCGGAGCTTCGCCGCCTTGCGTCCCAGGGGGGCCGGGGCATACGCCTCTGGGACAAACATGTTTACTACCGTAAAGATGCCGGCCTGCGGAGGTATCTGTCAGTCAAATACTTGGTATCGTGCAGGTGTTAAACATACCAAAATGGCGACAAGCCAAAAGACCCAACGCCAGCCAACATTTTCAGCCATATATCCGCCAATGACTGGCCCAAGGACAGGTCCCTACACGGTAGAAGGCCCAGCGGCCTGTGTATATCACAAAGATGACGACTTTCTAGATCTGTCTATCACCTACTAGAAGAGGACCAAGCTGCCACCCACTTAACACCTGGCCCCTGTGCTCAGGGGCCATTAGGTCGCCTATGATGCCAGCACCCAAGACAATGGGGACTGATCCACTGAGACCCTGGAGTAGGCGAAAGACAATAAACATGGGCATATTCTGACTTACAGCACAGATGATGGTAAAGATGAGAAAGGTAATGTTAGCTGTGCATGACTATACTGCGACCATACAGCTCGCTAAGCGGTGCGAAGACGAGTGGCCCAAGAATAAAGGAGACAATGTAGGCGGACACGACGAAGCTGGAGAGCGAGGTGCTCGTGGAGTTGAACTCGCGCATCAGCTTGGGTACTCCTGGTGCGAAGATGGTCGCTGCAAGCGAGATGTTGAATGTGACTGCCGAGACGAGAAATATGATGAAGAGCTTGCGGCCCTGTGGCCAGTTGGTTGAGAGGATTTGTAGGGTAGTCGGGCCCATCCCAGTCGACAGTAACGGGAGCGTCATTGTTGAGGTTTGAAACGGCGATCTTGCCATCTTCAACGATGGTCAGCTCGTTGGTTCCGAGGTCGCCACAGTCTTTCTGGGCGTCATGGGAGGCAGTGGTTGATTCTGACGACGAAAACTGCGTCGTCGGTTTTGCGTCGTCGTACGGACCTGACGCTGGGTTCGCGTTTGAACTCATCTCCGAGAGATTGAACGAACTACTTGCTGTCGAATTTTGGCGGTTACGGCTTTGCCAACTTCAAAGAACAAATCGATCGGTGCAGATAATCGGGCCGCGGGAGCTATAATGCTTTGCAATGCCGGAGAAGATCAGTTTGACGGTACGATTGGGCAAATTCACCCTCAGAACCTTTTGTAACAGAACGACTCGATTGCCGCGTACATAAAAGGATCGAGGGACGCAAAACTCTTCTACACTTCAGAGTGCTTGTTGGAAAGATTTTTGATATCAACAAGTACAAGGCTGGATCTCAGTGGCTTTCTCTTCTCGTCAAGGTTGGGCTGCCAAAATGACACCGGGCTTAGAGTTTAATTCAATTCGATTTAATGGATCTAAGACGGGTTTAACGGAGTTCGGTGTAGGTTGCACACCTTTTGCGGTTCTAATTGATCCAAAATGCGCGATTTTGTTGTGAATTCAACGTAAGGGAGCTACAATGCTGGATTGTACGCACAACGCCAATAGCTCCTCAAGACATTTCAAAGCTTAGGGCAAGGAACTAATTGTACATTTTCATAACTAGTTCGAGCTACTTGATAGAGTTCACCCTTTCGTTTCAAAAGAGTAGCTAGTCGGGCTATAAGGTGTGTTGAACTTGTTGCAGGATATGATGCAACTAGTCGAAATTTGAGATGGTGAGCTGACAAGCAAGAATTCGGCGTAGCCCGAACCCCTGGTAGTTCGTTCAACTAGATCTGCTCATTAGGGCAACCCCAAATTACTAAAGGCAGAAGTAGGCCATTCGATTGTGCATACTGCCATCTTCGATTTCGATGTGAATGGGTACGTTACTCACAGCATCGTCTATCGTCTTCGGCTTTAAAGAGGCCTTATCGGAAATAACGGATTCCGATGGAGATAGTATTCTGGACAACGCAGAGTACAATAGTACAAAAGTACAGTCCAGATATGGCTTGCTCTACAAGGCAGGTATGCCTGTCCTCAACTACGGTTCCGCCAACATTAAAGGGAACCCCCGAATTACCAAATGCAGAGCGATTCTCGCCATTAGCGCAAATTGTGCTGGCCCGTTCAGCTTCAGGATTAGTGTGCGGCTAACTAGTGACACGATTGACATGTCAGCCGCTCGCTCTGTATATCCAATTGGACCGAATCGGGGAGCCGGCCCAATTGCTGACAGGTACTTGACAGACGTCCACCAGCTGTGGTTAACAGGGGCACTGCCCACGGCAGGATTCATGGCCACGAGGCTTTCATCAGCGGCTTCAACATAAGGTAATGCTCAGTTCAGACAGGACCCGGATAGACTAGTCGCTGTTTCTGCTTCCGTTGGCAATTTTAATTCACTACTCGTTTGTACGGATGATTGGTGCTGTGATACTGATTGACGCATTGTTGTGACATATAATCTATATTACTCCGACTCATGTCTAGAATGAGCCGTCACTTCTCACTTCATGCGGTCCTACTCTGCGCAGTGAGCCTAGTAGAGGTCCTCAATTTAGCTCATGTGGCAGCAGATCTCGCCGCACCTTGTGACGGACATGTCGAAAACTACCCATTGTAGAAGACACGCTCATTTCCCCCAAGATAACATAAGAACACCGTCGAAGTCTTAGCAACGTTGTGATGAGCTTCATTTGCGTCTATGTGTTATCTTTCCTTTTTTTTTAAAATTTCACAATCCCCCTTTACGTGTAATATACAGTAGATCGTCAAAAGCCCAGCGACTCAAGACGCACATTGCAACAACGAATCTTTTGGGGCTTGATGGTTTACTCACTTGGTTATGGAAGCTGATAAATGCCCAATGGTTGGCGTTGAACAGCTGGCGATAATATGTTCATACGTATGCCTGGAACTTTTTTTACGATCTCTGCTTGTACTCGGGGTTGCAATCGACCAAAAATAAATACATGGGACAACTCACTATAGATATTTGCCTGAACCCCGCCCCCCTTTTAAAAACATGGAATAGGAAACTCCTCCCAAATGTGATATATCTATGCGTTCATTTATCATGTATGGTTAACATTGAATGTTTGGTGATATACCCATGATACAGGCATATATTTGGGGCAAAATGTTTCGGGTTTAATTTTCAATAAAAACGCGCGCCGCTTCCTGTCTCGCACTGTCATAGACGTACAAGGTTATTTTTGCGTGATGAAAGCGTACTGATGAACTCGCTGGAACATTAATACCAATGCAAGTATAAATTGCAATTTCATATTCGATAGATATTTGATGGAGGTATATCTGCATGAAGTTTCGCGATCACGATGTTGAAAGTTGTGGCGTACATCAAGTATACATACAGATAAAATGATGAAGACCGATATTTTATTTGACCACGAAGTTTGCAGCTTGTGCCTAAATGAGGATCATCAGCTTAAACAGATGGTACTCCCATTCTCGACTATGACGCTAGCCAAGACTACTGGTATGGCACTATGAAGCCATGACTGACGCGAATTACGCGATCACATAATAGCATTCTCGACCAAAAAATTACTACCAATGCTCCAATCCGATCACCAAAAACACAATAGCGAAGGCGCCAAAATTGTGAGACCTAAGTTTTGTCCTCGGGTCCACGTCCAACTTGAGTAATACTTTTTACACATCCCGCAATTTCGTTCATCCACTAGGCATGAGGCATGGATTTGGTTCTAAATTTAGTCAATGGTGCATCGGTTTCAGGGGCTCTCTGGCCGCCAGCCAACTTGCCATGGTTCAATAACACCTACTATCGTCAGCCGGTGTCTTACCTGGGAATGCGGACTCGGTTGCGCCACAGAATGGAGCTCTAGTTGGAAATAAGCTTTTTATTGCTGCTGGTGGGGCAGAGGATCGAGATGCCAATGCTCCGTGGCTACTTGGCCACTTGGCAGCGAGGTACAGGGGATAGCTCACCATGCAGTGCGGAGAATTTTGGATGCTTGGCTATGCTATGATTCACATGCGCCCCTGCATTGCGAAACAATAGGCTCCCAATTTATTGGAAATTGCAAAGATCAGGCCACCTTTATCGAGCCGATCAGTGGCTTAGTGTTGACGCCGTCATTGGCCCCAAAATCCCGCTTGTTGATACCAATTACAATTACCCCTCTACCCCTCTTCGTCGCCAGCTGGAACAAGAGCATCACCACGAGGCATTCGTGGCCAATCGTTCCTTTCCTGAAACAACGCTCCACTCCAGACCGGCGCGTATGGGAGGTCAATAGTCAGCCGGGTCAAGTAACCTGCGGGCGAGTAAGGTCGCTGAGACACGTCATCGCGCACCCCTCTGAGAGGTATATGAACCCCTCTTTTCCTTCTCGGACTCACCCCTCAGTTTCGACCATATCCCACTATCTCTGAATACATTTATACCTACAGACGTCCAATAAACACATTCATCACCATGGGTTGGTTCAGCGGTAAGTAGTGTTCTCAATTAGCTTCTGGGATTTCAGTCGCAATCACTGACCTCGTATGCTCGACTTCTATAGACGACTCTCCTCAAAGCGGCAGCTACGACCAATGGCAGAATTCGAACCCAAGAGAGCACGAGGCCAGTTTCGCCCACGAGTTAATTGCCGGTGCCGCATCCTACGAAGCTGCCAAGGCTTATGAAGACCACGTTGCGCGAAACGGTGAGTGCACAATCCATGTTTTCCTACACACCAATTCCTCTGTAGGCAGTTATGACTGTTTACACGTTTTGTTTTCTTGCTAACCGGCATGACCATATAAAAGGCCAACCCCCAAGCCACGAGAAAGCCAAGGAGATCCTAGCTGGATTCGCCGGCGCCTTCATCGATCGCGAAGTCGAAACCAAGGGTCTGGATTTCATTGACCGGGAGAAGGCTAAGCGTCAAGCTCGTGAGCACTTTGACAGTGTTCCTGGCAACCAAGTTGGATATTAATCGCGCATGTGGCTTGGTTGATTTGCTCCGTCGACGACTTTTCTTCTACTCATGTACCTAGCTTGGCCACAATAGCTCTAGATACGAATGCTAGAATGGTGTAACATATCGGACTTCATCACTATCGATCAAATTACTCATTACGGACCCGTTTCTTCAGTGAATAATGTAAACGCCAGAATTCGTACGGCCTAGTATCCACCGTCCTGGACATAGACTTAGTCCGACATTTCTAAATATAGTTAGCAAGAGTCTAGTAAGAGAATTATCTAGTGTTATTTTTTTTCAACAGCTAAGTTAAAATTGTAATGAACATAGGAAAGCTTTCGATCAGTCTTGAATGGTTTGATAGAAGAATGACTCCATGGGTTGTTAATTTGAGATGCGAGAATGCTGACGGCGTTGATGAATTCCGTTGTTGAATATACGTTCCAATATTCCGCGCGCGTATGAAGATCTTATGGCAAACAGTTTCTACAGATACCGAGGCCTGGCGTCAGACTACGCAAAAGCAGAGAGTTACATATGTACTGCTCAGAAAGTGCGCATCAATATCAATTGATCAAAAGAATTCGATAGGAAAGAAAAGGAATCAGACAAACTTTCTCTATACCCCTCTAGAAGCCCTCATTTATACATTCCAAATTTAAGCTTATAGTTTGAAAGCATATCACCTTAGCTTCAACTTCAGACAATATCCTATAAGCTAAGTCAATAACTAGGATTTGTTCTTTATATTCTATGTTGGCCAAGTTTCTTTATATTGCCGTTAGGAATAGCTTAACAAGAGCGAACTTTAGCAAAGCCTAAACACTGATACACGATATATCTAATTCCTCCAATCAATTACCTAGGTACGATATACTTATTATCTTATCAGTCGTTCGGTATATCTTATCTACATAACTTCTCATGCGTCAGCCTTATTACCACTTTGTCTAGTCCAACCAAAGGGTTACATTGCATTAACTTGGTAGGCTGTCGTCATTTGGTATTTCTGTGCGGTAAGCCTGTTGAGGCTGGATTTCATGTTCGTAACACTATGTGCCACAGCGGATGAAAAATAGATTCTCGGGCTGTTGCACCTGAACCGTGCGCAGTCGCTGTCACATACGCTCGCCGCACTACTGATAACAGAGAGGTGCGAAATGTCTTTGTCAGCATAGGGACGAGGATCAGTCTTACTGCGCTTGGGCAAATCTTAATTTCTTTCACAAGCAGGCGACAGCGAGTTGCGGGCGCAAACCAGTCCGCTTTTGGGATGGCCACAACGACCACACTCCCAGACTGGCGAACATCACGAGCTTATGCTAAGGTGCACACACAGGTTCCAGGTCGATGTGATTGCTCCTTTCAATACTCGCTCATTGCCACTGCTATTGGATACCAACTAAAGACACTCATGACACTACAGTAGGCACGCTTAAGCTGCCATTCCTGATCGAGAATTAAAAATGGCACCTGTAATAGTCACCATCAGACCTGGTCGCTATGTACCTGCACAGCGGCGATTGAGAAGCGGCCCTGCATTTCTGCAGGCTCGCTGTCGCTTTCCTATGCTGAGTTCTAGAGAATTATGAGACACCAGCCTATCGGACGCTGTCTGTAGTGATCGTTCCGCCGAAAGTCGTGGGTATTTATCCAGGATGAATCCCTATGTGTCCGACTGGTCGCTTGACACAACCAACCATCAAATAGACTCTCTCTATGTCTGTACGAACGGCGTGCTCTTTGAAAAAGAAGGATATGTCGAAGAATGAGCTCCCGAATGAGTCGGCACACAGGGCTTCCTCCTACAGGATTCCGGACATCACTTACCGAAGCCCAGGTATGGAGACGAGGACCCTTCTTGTGACCACACGATATCTAAGATCTTTAAACAGAAAATAGAAGAGTGAAAGTCATCGCGGTCGGAGCTGGTTTTTCGGGTATTCAAATGGCATACAAGATTCAAAAGCAATGCGAAAAGTGAGATCCCTTCCCTCAAGTGGCGGCCAGAGTCAGGGCTGAATAGCGACGGTAGTGTCGAATTCCAAATATACGAAAAAAACCCCACAGTGGGCGGGACGTGGCTCGTGAATCGATATCCCGGCTGCGCCTGCGATGTTCCTTCGCACGCTTATTCATTCAATTTCGCACTCAATGTGAGCTCCTTGAGAGACAATACAATGAGGCCTCCACTAACTTGTTGTGTCAGCCTGACTGGCCTCTATTCTTCTCGCACGCTGAAGATATTCAAGACTACCTTGAAAAGGTTGTTAATGTGTTTAATCTGCGAAAATATATGCTGTTCAACTCTGAGGTTATGGGATGTCACTGGAATGAAGTTCAGGGAATATGGACTGTCAAGATCGTTCAGACATTGCCTGACGGTACACAACGTGAGATTCAGGATACTTGTGATCTGTTACTACAATGTACCGGTGTCTTGAGTCGTCCAAAACTGCCGAAGATTGAAGGGTTAGATCGTTTTAAGGGAAAGGTTAGTGAGATTCGATTCCTGACCGTGTTCGATATACTAATAACATCTCGCAGATCTATCATACAGGCGCCTGGGATAATACTTACACTAAGGAGCAATGGAAGAAGGAAAATGTTGCAGTCATCGGCTCAGGCGCTTCTTCCGTTCAGGCGGTGCCAAACATGCAGGTACGTTATCTCTATTGCTTCGAGGTTGCAGAGCCTGACCCAAACAAGCCTTATGTCAAGCATATGGACGTATTTGTGAGGACGGCAGTGTGGTTCGTCAAACTAGCAGATAATTATGGTAACAACCATGCCTACACGGATGAAGAAAAAAGACGCTTCAGATCCGAGAAGCAAGCTCTTGCCTCTCATGCTAGAGACATTGAAAACCAGGTCAACGGGGATTGGAATCTTTTCTTCGCGGAAAGTAAAGTGCAGAACGCGGCCAGAGAGTTTTTCACCGCACGAATGGCAGAGCACATCAAGGACCAGCGATTACTCGAAGGTTTTACTCCCAAGTGGTCGGTTGGCTGCAGGCGTGTGACTCCGGGCGACCCGTATATGAAAGCCATCCAGGAGCCGAACGTTGATGTGCATTTTACCGGTGTGCGTGGCCTTCTTGAGATGGGAGTCGTTGGCGAAGATGGTATTGAGAGAAAAGTCGACACCGTGATTTGTGCAACTGGCTATGATGTGTCTTACCATCCTAACTTTCCGATTATAGGACAAAAGGGTACTAGTTTGAGCGACCAATTTGGCGATGCGCCAGAGTGCTACCTGGGCATTACGGTGCCTAATTTTCCAAACTACATACTCTTCGGCGGTCCGACATGGCCAGCTATGAATGGGTCGGCTTTGGGACCTCTCCACGCGGTTGGGGACTATGCTCTCCAAGTCATCAAGAAGATGCAAGTTGAAAATCTTCGATCATTTGCTCCACGGCAGGATATCACAGACAGATTTAATGCCCACGTTCAAGAATTTGTCAAAGTATCGGTTTGGAAGGACGAATGTCGGTCATGGTACAAGAATCCTGAGACTGGGAAGGTCTTCGCCATCTGGCCTGGCAGCAGCTTGCATTACATGCAGACGATAAGCTCGCCACGATGGGAAGATTATAACATCACCTATCATTACGAAAATCCGTAAGTCCAACCTTGATGTTGTGTTGCAGATGCAGTGCCTAATAGATCTGTAGGTGGGCACACCTAGGCTTTGGATTCACTCTCGAGGATCGCGATCCCAATGCGAGCACCGCACCGTATCTCACTGCCGAGGCTATCGATGACGATTGGATGGCGCAGTTCGAGGTTGAAAGAACAGTTGTACCTAAAGAGAATGGTATTAAAGAGCAAACTGCATGAAGTAGAACAATCTTGTTGGATATGTCCGAATAAAGTAATCCACCCTCGAGTTGGCCATCCACCTGAGTATTACTACTTTATAAAGACCTATAGTTTTTTTTTATTTTTTAATATATTAATAGTAAGTTGTAGTCTTGCTTTATAATTTGTGCCATTTTTGATATGACAGATGATAGTACTGTTTTAAAGTAAGTGGCAATTGAAAAGTAAAAGAAAAATTAATGAAATGTGCCGGATGCTTGTGGAATACGTTATCAGTTGTACTCAGAGGACTCTATTCTATAATAGCTGGTATCTCTCTAAGTAATAGAACCGGGCCGTAACGTAGACTGCTTTCTATAGTGCCTGGTTATAGCTTGTATGGTCGATCTAGGACCGAGTCACTGGCGGCTAGGGCCATGTCGTCTCTTCAACGCGATAGACCAGCTTCTCACCACTATACCTGCCCTTCCTCATCTCATCCATTCCAGCCAATGCACCCAAAAGCCCACAAGAGCCGACTCGTTGTGGATGAGGTTTCCATCTTCCTTCATCCCACAGTTTTTCAGCTATTCGCATAAACTTGGACGCAAAATCAAAGTCCTGAGGACGAGCGTCATACTTTTCTCCCTCAAAGATGTACGATTCGCCGGACACAGAATAACCGAGAAAGAAGGTTGATTGAACGTCAGACCGCGGACAATCCAGGCCTAGTAGATTACAATACCTGCCGCCATCGGGACCAATTGCATCGGCGCATATTGCTGCCGAGGATTCCACGTTTACTGTGTCGAACACGATTTTCAGTTTGTCGTCCGTAGCAGCCCGGATTTTCTCTCCAACCTTAGGAACGTGCTATTTGTTCCGCGAAGATTAGATCGGCGCGGTATCAAGAAGTAAAAATGTCAATACACTCACATAATCGAAAACGAGATCAGCTCCTAGCTGCCTCATCAATTCGAAATGCTTCGGGGAGCATGTGGTGACAACTCTCATTCCAGACCTAGAAAGAATAACGTCAATCACTCTCGCCAAATTGACTCTGCACGAGGAAAAGACTAGGAAGATGGCAACTTACATCTTTGCGAATTGAATGGCGATCGTGCCGGTTGCAGTGCTTCCACCATAAACCAAAATGGTCTTATCACTCGGTTGTTGCATCGATCCCGGAAGAGGAAGCTTAAGGACATGGTATAGAGCATAGCCTGTGGTTGTAACACCAACACCAACGCTGCACGCTGCCTCAAAGCTCACACCATCTGGTATATGTAGCTGAGTGTCGCCTTTGACCGCGATGTACCTGGCAAAAGCTCCGTTTTCGGGGTTGGCATCATTTCCTGTCAAACAAACTTAGATGGGTGACTGCAAAGCCAGAAATTGTAGGACGGGCTGTGATACCTCCATGGGCAAATCCAGCAACGCGATCCCCCTGTTTGAATGGCGTTCTGACAGATTTACCAACCGTTTCTACAACACCGGCATAGTCACATCCAACAATAGTTCCATCGTCTCCAGCAGCATCGAGAGTAGTCCAATCTGTAGGATTGAGTGCGATAAAGGCCGTTTTGACCAGGATATAGTCCTCTCGAAGCTTGGGCACCGGAATAGCTCGCAGAACCGCCTTACCAGCCCCCTCCCTGATCAATCCGTAGTTTTTCATTTCTCCCGCTGTTTCGATGGTGTTTTCCATTCCCCGGTGTATTGCTTGCTAAAGTGGTCTTCCTCTCTCGCACTGGTATGGATAGTTGGGACAGCGAAGGGGGAAATGGCTGAGAACACGGTGCTTGAAGATAAACTTCAGCAGTGTGCTTGTGGCGGCTCATGGTGGTGGCCAGCATTTTCTCCAATGGAGTCGAGGCATAACTAATTAGCTGGTGGTAACTGACAGCGAGCACCCTCTCCTCAAGGTCTGGGGAACGGTTGTGCTAAGTGGGGCTCTGACAACGCCGTGGCGTATCTCATCACTCTAGATCTTCTATTTCGCTAACCATTGGGAAAGCGACAGCGAACACTCTCCAGATCAGAAAAAGACACCTTTATCTAGCACACGCAGTTTCACGACGCCCGTTTTTGCCACGAAAAGAAACAAAATATGTCACAACGAAAGCTGTTCTCGTTGTCTCTTTCCCTGTTGACGAAACGCCCGCACCCCAGACCATGGGAAATGACTCGCCGGCTGCAGGTTGATCTTCCAACAAACTCTATATAAGATCTTTGCGATACTCATGCATCACGCTGTTCACGACAATTGTTGTCGTCAGCAGATGCACAAGTTGAAGTATGGGTGCGACGGAAAACAACGGTCAGCCTCTCTCTGAGTTGCTTCTGACTAGGCTAATATAAGCAGTCTCGAAGAAGAGCCTAGGCTTCAATGCCGACGAGCAGGACGCTAGTTCTGTCTTTCATCAGAATTCAGAGATAATCACTACCCAAGCTACTAATCTTGGACTCGGTTTCGCTCCAGGTCCTCATGATATCAATGGTTTCAGCATCCTGGCACTCGGGTTCAATATCTGCAACAGCTGGATTGGGATGGCCTCCAGTCTTGCCATCGGGATCACACTCGGTGGCACAGTTACAGTGCTGTACGGTGCCTTGGTAACGACTGTAATCTATCTTGCGACAGCCGCTACCTTGGCAGAATTGTCTTCGATGTGAGTACTGCACCACTCTTTCAGATATTCTCCCCTACTCATTCTCACTGAACTTCAGCTACCCAACGGCCGGAGGACAGTACCACTTCACGTCGCTTCTAGCGCCCAAGAGATACAGCAGATCGCTCTCTTACGCTTGTGGCATTGTCTCGGCTTTTTCTTGGATCTCACTTAGCGCTGCTGTGGCCATTTTGAATGCTCAACTTCTCATTGCGATAGCTGTTATCTGGAACCCCGACTATGCTCCACAAGCCTGGCACTATTTCCTCATTTATCAGACGCTCGCCTTCCTTTTACTTCTTTCAAATCTCTTCGTCATTAAACGCGCACCATGGTTACATGATATCGGATGTGAGTTGCTGAACTTCTCCGTAAGACGAATAGTACAGTCATTAATGCGCGCGCAGTTATTCTGACACTGACAAGTTTCATTGTCATCCTCATTACGTGCATTTCATGCTCAAACCATAAGCAACCCAGCGATTTTGTGTGGAAGACTTGGATTAATGAAACTGGCTGGCCAGATGGAATATGTTTCCTGACTGGCCTGGTCACGCCAGCATTTATGTACGCAGGTCTCGATGCAGCGCTCCACCTCGCAGAAGAATGCACCCATCCCGAGAAAACCGTGCCCAAAGCTGTGATGTCCAGTGTGGTTATCGGCTTCGTGACCGCATTCTCCTTTGCAATTGCCATGCTCTATGCTTTGGGCGATTTCGAGGCTGTTCTCGCAACAGCAACACGGTTAGAAGTTGTCCCGTGACGGACTTGCTCTTAAGCTGATCTGTCTCCAGAATGCCAATCATAGAAATTTATCTTCAAGCAACCGGCTCACGTGTTGCTACGACGGTTTTTGCCGTCATGTCTCTATCAATTGGCTGCTTCAGTCTCAATGCAATCCAGCAGACATCGTCACGCCTAACATGGGCCCTTGCTAGAGACAATGCCTTCGTTTTCTCAACTGTGGTGTCCCGCATCCAGCCGACATTGCAGGTGCCGGTATGGGCGCTACTAGGAAATTTCGGCGTGATCTTCTGCTGTGGCTGTTTATACTTAGCCTCTACCACAGGTGCGCTGCAATCTGAAACCAAAAAAAATTACAATAGCAACTAACGCTAATTTCCAGCATTCAATGCTTTGGTCGGTATCGGCATCGTGCTGCAGCAGCTCTCTTTTGCATTCCCAGCCGCGCTTTTGCTTTACCGCAAACGGTCGACCAGATTCTTGCTGTCAACGGCTCCTTTTCGCCTGAATTCTGCACTTGGCTGGGCCGCCAACGCGCTCGTTGTGGTGTCGGCACTCATATGGTTTGTATTCTTTCAATTCCCTGTTACTCTTCCGGTGACAAGCTCCAACATGAGTAAGTGCTATCAACCCTAAAGGATAATTCTGTCATTGACGATTTTCAATTCCCTAGATTATGCATGTGTGGTCACAGGGTGCATGTGCCTACTAGGAGGTGTAAATTGGATCATCCATGGGAAAGCTCACTACCGTGGTCCTCGCATTGAGTACGGCCTAGGAACACAGCTTTAATCGGAAAGAACGTTCGCAAGAATTTTACTTGCATGCAACAGGAATCTTTGATGATCAATATCGATGAGAAAATCTAAAACAGTGAACCATGATAGTCCGTGTAATAAAGAGCGTATGGAATGTAGCGTATGTGGATGAGCAGGGAGGTGTTTTAGTACGGGATAATTGGATTAGAATTTGGGCAGATCAAGGAAATATCGTTGACTGGGCACACTTGAGGCTATTTCTCACATTTTAACTCTCTCAATAAAGCAGAGTGCCGGGACTATGCTTGCTTAGTGACCTGAACCGAAACCTGCGGGAATATGTCAGGTAGCATCTGCTGTCATCAATCGCCTAGGGGACCTTGTGACAGTCGTAGATATCTTGAAAGCTCTTTCACTTGCCATCAAGTAATCCTACTACCTACACATGTTCACACGGACATCCTGGTCGTCTCCTTGGTCTATTAATGTAGTTGCTGTGCTCATGATAATATTCTGGTGCGGGAGTCATGTTAAGAATGTCGAGACACACCAAGACATCCCCTGACAAATACCTGACAAGTCACGCTAAAGACTTGGTCGTCTTTCAAACTTCAAGTCTTATACACAGATAATAGAAAGGAATACCTGATACCCCGAAACAAATAGTCTGCGATATTCTACCTATTCACACTAGACATTTTTTACAGTCCTCTGGTCTAACGTGCCCCGGAACTAATATGTGCCGGGGATAGTATCCCAGGATCATCATCTCAGGATATGAACGTACATAGGTTATTAATATGGGTCGGCTGCATTCCGACGATACGCGCTATCTAGAAGGTATCATAGTCTGGGCTCTCTTACCAGAAATCACGGAAGACTAGTTTCACTTGAAGCTTAGGAAGCATATGCAAGGTCAACTATAGCGTAGATATCTTTCATAATTGACTTGAAGGGCAAGTAAAAGTGAAGCTATATCATGAAAGCTTCAAATATCGACGCCTTAACTTGAGATAATTTGATGATATCTTCTGTGACTTTCTTAAAAGATGAATTATATATCACGTCATAGATTGATAAGCATCTGATAAGGAGATTTTTAGAAACTTAAAAAGTCTTTTAGTGTTTCATAGTTATTACATAAATGCATTCATTCTGTAAGACCTTTGTATATCTGTTAGATATTTATATTATAAGTTAAAACACCACTGTAAAACGATTGAAATTTATCGTGTTTATTAGGAAGGCGACAGCGCACGGACCCGCTGCAATATTCCGGAACAATATTCTTCCAAGCCGGTTGTTGCGATAAGGCCGCCGCCCAACTATATCCTGCAGTGCAGCACCATTGACTCATCCTTACATTCAACTAATGGCTGCTAACATCAATACATGTCACTCCGAGATGAAAACTTCAAAGTGCAATGCTCCACCGAGATTTGCCGAGCTTTGAATCATGAGATGAGCTGTTGTAGTGGACGGATGTAGCGATAATCTGTAAACGACCACATTGGCTCTTTCCCTAGACGTGCTTTTACACCAGGTGTGCGACTTGACAAGAAGAACCTCCATGTCTTCCGAGAATGCACGCAAGAAAAGGCATGTCTCCGGACTAGCTTCGACAAAAAGGTCGAAAACATTTACCGGCTGTTGGACCTGCAGAAGACGCTCGGTTAAGTGTGGCGAAGAGAAGCCTACGTGTTGCAGATGCAGAAACAGTGGACTGTCGTGTGATGGGTATGGAGTTCGTTTGGTCTGGCCAGGTCAACATGGGGCCAAGATTGCTCAACGCCGAAACTGTTACGATGATTCCTTATTTACTTATCCCGTATTCAGTGAGGAGGCTGTGGATTCGGCTCTCAATGAGATAGACACCGCCTCAAACCCAGAGGATCTCACCATTGGGCTTTTCTCAGTATTTCGACTCCAGCGGGCCAGCGAGTTCACGTTGGTTAACGATTCTTGTACAGATGTCGAGCTGAAGTATGGAGGCTGTTTCCTTATTGGCGAGGAGGGAATGTTCCCTGGGGAGCAGGATGTCGTTCGGAGACTGGCAACATCTTCAAACTGGGTGGGAACTATGCTCTCTGATGACGATTACGTTTCAACTTCGGAACTGAACAAAGCCCGCAGAGGTTTGGATCAAGAATTGCATAGCACCTCTCGAACAGCATTCTTGGACTTCTCTCTTTCCACTCAAACCAGCATCGAACGCCAGTTGATGAATTATTGGGTCACTTTTCTGAGTGGGTTGATGACCCCCACACCCCGACAAGACAATGCATTCAAGGACATTTTCACTTCGTTGGCGGTGTCAGCAATGGGTACGTCTCAAAGTTCGCCAGCTCACACAGCGTTTTTGCACTCTCTCTATGCTTTTGCGGCATTTAGCCGAGCGAGACTGTGCTCTTCTGGTGAGACGGAGAGTGTAATTGGCGACCAGCATTTGAAATGGAGTCTTCGACAGTTGAACCAAAGTTTGAACACATGCGAGCTGGAAGCACAGCAGGCGATACTCGCAACGATTCTCGCTCTCTCTATGATTCCTGCTTTCACAGGGGAAAATTCCGACTGGCGTGTCCATTTCCGTGGGGGAATTGCTTGGCTAAAGACCACAGAGAAAAGAGCATGGAGATACAGTAGGAACATGAGCACCTTATACCAGATTTTCGTCTGTCTCGAGGAGTTGCGGCCAGCCTACGGCGCTATTGCAAAAGGGTTTGGACCACCCGAGTTCGGCTTTCGACAACCAAGTCTCGCACCAGAAACGCTCACTGGTGACAAAGACATGGAATGGTACCTCGATGGCATTTTCGGAGTTACCAGGCCTATAATGGAAATCATTCACGAAATCAACCAACACGTATTCAGCGGAGCACGGCCTTCCCAAGTGGAGCTCGATAAACTTGAGCTTAAAATATACCGCAACGACCCCAAGTGGTTGCGATCGCAATTCTCAGGCCCAGACGAGCACTGCAGAGAGCTAGCATGGCGCCACGCCCGAACATTCTATTATGCATGCCATATTTACTTGGTGTGTTCATTGCGAAAGCAGCCCCCTCGCAGTGTCACTCACTTCGTGGAGCAGGGCATTAAGCAGATCGAGGCGATCAGCCGCCTCGAAGCAGGCTTCAATGTTTCCGGCCTCATGTGGCCGTGTTTTGTAAGTTGTTCTACTCCTCCAAAATTTGTGCTGCAGCTTCCGATGTTTCATGACACCGATGGCTATCCAGATTCAGCTTTTAATGCCCCTACAGATCATAGCTTGTGAAACCGAAGACCCTGACCTCCGCCTTCGCATCAAACCGTACTTCGATAAAAGAGAATGCTGGGGGATTGCCAATGTAACAGCTGCGAAGGAGGTCGTTTTGGCTGTATGGAATCGCAGAGACAAGGCAATACAAGGGGGTTGTGTCCTCTGGCACGAAGTCATGGCGGAGATGGGAATTGATATCATATTGTCGTAGAAAGGCGGTATAAACGCAGCTCAGCACTATGTTCGACCCCTACTACTCTGCTCGGTCATAACCATCGATGAAAGCTAAGTAATTTTAAACGATAGGTACTAAGGAAATAAAAATATTCTAAGGTAGATATGTTAAAATACAATTTAATTTAATTGGAAAAGGGTAAATATTAATTATATAGGAATCATATAGTACCATCACCGCATAGAATGCCTCCCCCGGCCGCACGAACTAGATCGGCACAGGCACCCACGATCTCCCCTATGACTATCTATGTAAAGCGATAAATAATTCATCGGAAATGATACAGTTGTTATATGCGTGCAAGATCGATCTAACACACTGCTCTTGCATCCCCACTTCAATGTTAAATAGGCTAAATATAGATCGATTTGTGCGACAGGACGTCATCGACGTACGGAAGAGACAATCTTCGTATAATAAGATCTAAAGTATTTTCCGACCAGGTGGTGAACTAAATCCATCTATAATTATGTTACATTCATCTTATCAAGGAAAAATAAATTGCAATGTATGGACAACTAGACACGAGAATTCAATAGAAGGATACTCGATCTTGCGAAACAATCGCATTCATCGAAATTGAATTTATTGGATCTGACATAAATATAAATTGTTCGAAGACTTATTAAATCCGAATGTTTATTTCAGTAGTGGTGAGAAGGTTCGACCAAACTCGCAGGAAAATATTTTTTTATCGGTCTCTTATTACCTTTCGTATTTTCAGATGTCATCGAGACCGTCCGTCATCTATCAACGGATGGTCGGTTTTTATTTGAAACCGGACATATGGGTCCCTCAAACTGATATCCTGATATCCTAGTCGATAAGCGTACTATTAAACAAGGCATTTGAGTCAGAGTGATGTTGTAGATTAGTATTCATATATTAAAAGGATGTCTGTCAGACCATTGGTAAAATAGTGAATTTGCCTTAGAGCTACGTTAGTTATCCTAGCTTGTTTAGCAAATATTCGTCTGACGGCGCCTCTTCAATTGAACTCAATTACTTGGCTTGTTATTTTAAGTTGCTTTCTTGCAATATGTTTGCTAGTAAGGAAACATTGATCGGATGAAGCAAGAAGCAATAAACGGGCAGTGCAGGGCAATCCGAAAATGGTTTTCTATGCTGATTCTCAGATCTCTCTTTAGCGCACAATCCACCTGACATTTACAACCCCAGTGGCTCCTCTGCGTAGTCGTGAAATCACGAAATGGGCAATTTGGTATACGCAGTATCAACTCATCAAAAGGAACAGACTCCGTTACATCCAGAAATTGCATAATATTTTCGATAAGTAAATATAGAGTAAGAAATTGATGAAAAAAAATAGAAGAAAAATTATATATGAAAGAAACCTAATTCGCCCCTGTAGGTTCCGCTGTTCTCATCAGCCCCAATGAGCTTGACTTCGCCGATATTAGACCTGTACGTGAAATTCACAAAGTCGGTGCTAGCTACGTCAAATCAAACTAGTACCACAAACTTGATATCAAGGAACGGAGAACTCCTTTCAGCACGAATAATCCAAATTTTCATGCCGAACGCCGTCGATTATTTTGCGGTCCTATTTCGGAGCAGTCTATACTCAATATGAAGCCCATTATTTCCCATTCATTGAACCAATATCAAAAGCCTTGCCTCCACCGCTGTTTAAAAATGCCGCTGAGACTGATGCTCGTAGTTATACCGATCAGTCAATCCAGCGTTACAAAGACCTTATAACAATAAATCCGCTTGACCCCATGCGGACGCTCTTACAAAGCTATATAACGGCGGTCAGGATGGAAAAGACGGTATGACCGATGAAGAGATCGTCCGTAAAGCCGTAGGTTATATGGCCGCGGGGAGCGATACCACCGCTGTAACATCGACATATTTGGTCTTTGCCGCCTATTCAACCTGGAAGTCCAGAAGATATTGATAGCTGAAGTTGCTGATCTACCCAGAAAATCTGGAACATAAGCATGTCCAGGATTTCAAATGTTGCCATATTTGAACGCTGTTCTCAATGAGACTCTCCGTGTATACCCAGCAACACTATTTCCTTTACCCCGTGTTGTTCCCTGCGCCGGTGCTAGATTGTGTGACCACCACATTCCCAGAAACACAATCGTCTCTGCTAGGCTTATAGCTTGCATCGAAATAGGAGTTGTCTTCCTAAAGATAGAAAGGTACGTTATTCTTTGCTGCTTTCATGATGATCAAAGGTTTCACTTACAATTAGGTTTGAACCTGAACGTTAGTATAACCCAACTCGAGAAAATGAAAGACACCTTCCTGCCTTCCGGAGGTTGTTCTCGAGGTAAGTCTCACGTTCCCTTCAATTTGTGCTCTCTATACCTGACACAAAGGCTCTTCTAGACAATGGGCTTTTAATCGACGACTAATTCATTATGTAACAGTCTATACCGGTATACATTTAGCTAAAGTCGAGCTTCGCATGGCAGCTGCTCTCTTTTTCAAGGCTTTCCCAATGCACGGTTATTCACTTTTGAGGAGACATCGGCGGAGGAAATGGATCTTTTAATGTTTTTCAGTTCGACTCCTAGATAAATGCGGTGCTTGTGGATGAAAAGTAACCAACATTGACGTCTTCTTTTTCTGTCTTTCTAGCAAAATATACGTTCCACTTTTGGTAGCTATTTTGAGCTTTTTTACCTAACATTATCCTACGGAAACCTTGAGTTCTTCTGACAGAATTCGAGTTTTATAGAGATAGATATTGATTAATCCACCTGAGCGGATATGGAGGCTCCAGAGGCTTTCAACAAGAATAAACTACGATTCTTCATGTTGCGTAAAGAACGGCAGTAGTACTAATTTTTCATCAGCTGGAGCAATTTACCTAGAAATAGAGAAGTAACTCGCATCTTGTTCAGATTATCGACCAAAAGCGACCAGGTAATAATCATGAAGCGTAGAATCCACCCAGTCGCCCATAATTCAATTTTCCCAAACAAGGTAATTAAAGCCCAAGGGTATTGGTTCCGAGTGCTTTCTGTTATTTCCTTGAGGAGAAATAGAAGGCCTTGGTGGTAAAACCGCAAGTAAGAAACCGAAGACGATTTTGCTCTTTTCGACAGCACACGGTTCAAGGCTGTGTCCAAGAACTAGTAATATCTCGGTGTCTATCTTCAAGGGCCACATAGAAACAGTCATATCGTCATAGAACGGCAATTATCTCGGGAATGGCACATATGGCACCTTTTTCATTTTCCACCATTTAAAGAAAATTCGGGCGCTAAATACAGACAGTCTTATCGCAAACAATTCATTTAATTACTCTCCCTTGTTCTTTGAATCCGACCACCCGATCCGATCGTCCGCCGCGATTCTCCTCTTAAGTAAAATCCGCAACGCTAAGGCATAACGCCGCAAAATAACTACGTGACTTACTTTAGTAAGACGAAAGGTTTCGCAAACTAGCTCATGTGGCTGTTGTAAAGCTCAGTATGTGAAGCCCCTTATGTTCTGAATTCCTTTTCCGGATTTAATGCGGGTGATGCGACAAGGCAAATTCCTTATAACTGGCAGCCTTGTTTCAATATCCTCCTAGTCTTCATCTTTGTGTTACTATTGTCAAAGGAGTTTTTATATTATCATCCTTTCCAGCTCTTTTTGAGATTTGCTATAATCCCCCTTCTTCGCGAAACTTCCGTATCTATCAATTGGTATCATCCATCATTAGAAATGCCTTCTAATCGTGCTGCTTATCAACCAGGCCAAAAGGCGCCGTCCCTGGAAGTCCAAGATGCCCCATACACATCTGCCGAGGCCGACAAAATTGTGGTAAAGAATGGCGCCGTTGCTATCAATCCCATCGACTGGCTTATTCAATCGCGAGGAGACATTATGTTTACTCATCTCGTTTACCCCTTCGTTCTCGGCTCAGACGTGGCAGGAGAGGTTGTCGAAGTTGGTAAAAATGTCACTCGATTCAAAGTTGGTGACCGCGTGGTCGGCTTCACTCGAGGGACTGATCAAAAGATAAATGACCCTGCTGAGGGGGGCTTTCAGCTCTACACAGTGCTGCGTCCCAATCTGGTCTCCCACATTCCAGAGAAAGTTACGTATGAATCTGCTGCTGTGATTCCTCTGGGTCTTGCTACTGCCGCCGCAGGTCTTTTTGAGGATACAGAGTTGGCACTCGACCTACCTTCGGAGCCGGCGAAACCTTCTAACGGAAAGACGCTTATTGTTTGGGGAGGATCTACGAGCGTCGGTGTTAATGCTATTCAGTTAGGGGTTGCTGCTGGTTATGAAGTCTTCACCACCGGCTCTCCCAAGAATCATGGGTATTTGAAGTCACTCGGTGCCAGCCAAGTTTTTGACTATAAGAGTCCGACAGTCACCGCCGACATGTCTAAAGCTCTTAAAGGCAAATTTACTGCAGGTGCCTTGTCTATCGGACAGGGCGCCGCTGAGAAATGTATGGAGATTTTGAATAAATCAAACGGCAACAAGTTCATTGCCATGGCCTCTTTTCCCGTTCCACAGAAAGAGCCACAAAGCATGATTTTCTTCCGAACTGTCATTTTCTTCGTTTCGTGGATGATTTCCTTCAAGGTCAAGGGTCTCTTCAGGGGTGTCAAATCCAACTTGCTGAATGCCGGTATGATCACCAACAGTGGGGTGGCCAAGGCCATATTTGTGGATTACCTTCCCAAGGCTCTTGCTGCAGGTACATTCACGCCTGCTCCAAAGACCGATGTTGTCGGTCACGGACTTGAGCATATCCAAAATGCTTTTAACACTCAAAAGAAAGGTGTCTCTGCCAGCAAAATTGTCGTGACGTTGTAATGCGGCATCTATATCCTTTCCTTGTTTAAGTAGCACCTGTTTACATACGTAGTGATGGGTATTTAGCGTTCAGTTTTTACAAACACAGGTAGTTAATACATGTGCCTTAATATATATAGAATTATTATTATCATCTACCTCTATCAAACTTTGAGTGTCATAATATCAACGATATGTTTGTCGATCAATATAGAAAACTCACAGATTCACTTCTTTCGAGGTTTTCGATGTTCAGATTTCTTGCATGATAGTTTATGACGTCGCTATGCCGTACAATTAGTTAAAACCAGATGGCTCACATTGAAAATTCTTCGGCGTTAAAGTCGGACATACATATAACATTCAATATTAGACATTACCATATAGATGCCGTACATAGATGTAGCCATTCGACAATCAATTGATATCCACGTTAGTAGCTATCATGACTGAAAAAATGGTCGTGCGATTCTCCGTGGTTCGTCATGTTCTTTAAAATAAGTAATATTTATATCAATCGATATGTCTGGTAGAACCAAAAATTCCACTGCCATTGAGAACATCTGAACTGGTTATCCCCAATTCGCAATACCTTGGTTTCTAATTACAGTCGAGTTGTATTACTGGTCCTGCAGTTTATAGTTAATTATACTTAAAAATTTTATCGTTGTCAATAAACCCACTGGGTGATGGGTAGGCTTATACGTTTCGGCTTGACGAATTGAGCTAGCCACATTGGTCATAACAGAAGGAGGAAATGAGGAAATAACACCATTGGATGACACAGAGAATTTCCGAGTGAAGAGACACAAAAATATTAACATACAACAGCTGGGATTCGCTGGTGGTCACCCACCCAACTACTAACCAGCCGGCGTGTGGCTTAAGTACGGCTGAGCGGACGGGAAGCCCTGTTTTCCACACCCTATGGTCGTATGTGATTGAATCTGCGTGTATTGGAAACTATAACATCAATAGACTCATCTTCCATCGGATACACGCCGAGGAGAAGCACCAGCAAGTAATAGGCATGCTCGGAATGAGCCAAGCTGGCTCTAATCACTAATATTGCAACGTTATCGGGACGTTTCATGTTCTTTTCAGTGACTTTGGAGAGTATAGTCCCACTCTCGGGGATTTACCATGTGTGATTGGGAAGTGTCTGAAAGGCGTGGTTCGCTTTTGCCCTGGTATTACAAGCTATGACTTTTCGCCCAGTCGTCTCTCAATTCCGGCGATTATAACCTTCGGACTCCGGAGGGGTTTTATTTTCCTTTCCTTTTCACTTCGTTTGTAATTCAGACGACCACCAAGGGGTAAGATGGTAAATTTCGGTTGTTGGGATTTCTGGTAATAGTTGTAAAAAATACCGTCTATGTCTGTTCGCTAGCGCTTGTCTGGACAAGCTAATGAGGCGTGCATATTTAGTGCATATTTAGTGTATGCAACTGCATGGGACCCAGGAGTACAATAATAAGTCTCTACTACTATGTCTAAGTACGGACCTGGAAAGGATGGGGAAGCTGAGATAGATGATATGGATGATAATATGAAGCTACCTAGGCTGCTGCGGGGGCCGTTATGCGTTCACTAGTGGGCAGTGAAGGTGAATAGCCTGAGGCATCCGAATAGGACTAACTATCAATCACCAGGTTGGCTCACTATTATCAACGATTCCTATTTAGCATTTTAGTATTGCTGCTATTGCTATTAAAGAACAAATTTTAATTCAAATTTAAAGGCTACAAGAGATTGAACTCAAATTCAAAGGATAAATAGCAACGAATGCATGTTCTAGTCCATGTAATTTCCAAGTAAAGAAATATGACTAGTTAAGAGGCGCAGATGCGGCCCCCACAGCGATCAAAAGGAAAGTGTCTTCAATTATACAACAGTTACACTAAACGAGCCCTTTACGTTGCTTCAAACTTGTAATTTAGCAAAAGGTAATGATCGTCATGAGGTTTCAAAGGTAAAGGCTTAAAGCTAGTTGTAAATAACGGGAGCTATCGTAACGTCGTATTCGTAGTCGTACTAGGTAGTAATATACAGTACATCCTAGTTCATTCATCGGCATTCTGGAACACTTATCGAGTCGCGCCCGTGCTGATCAAAGCATATTAATAATACCATCACTCCAATTATAATTCCTCATTTTACTAAGACTATGTGTTAGTTGTCTCTGCAGTTGGTAGGCGGCGTTGATCGCACTTTTGAATGATCGAGGGGACTGGTGCTGAGTCCTGGCAGCCACAAAGAAAGCCTATGGAGAAACAGGTCTTGGAGTCTGAGGGATAATAATATCCCTGTAATAAAATCGTATCGCCTGAAAGGCTATAATTGCCGTTTTATCCTGTTAGAAAGTCTCAAAGGCGACCACCCACATATCGCAGCGAATTCCTTGCGATTCCTTTTGTAGGCATACGTGCTTTTCCATTTCTTTTTATTATCAAATATTGATGCATGGGGCATCAATATCATATATATGACAGATATTAAGTAGTTTTATAGCGGAACTAACTGTAATTTCGGAAGAGGGCCAAATTCACGTACCTGCAGAAAGTTCTTAGTCCTAAGGCCCAAGGATCTTCCCTTTCCTGATTTTCAGTCGCCACTCTTGACACATTATTAAACGTTTCTGTGGAGACTTAATGGTTAATTACCGGGCCCATCATTGTGGAAAGCGCGTGTTAGACGCATGTCATGCCTACTATTATTTTCGCATGAGCCTACTTTTTGAGATAGCTTGCCAACAGCGAAGCAAGAGAGACGCGAAGGAATTATGGACCGTCAAAAGGAGCAGGCTGATGCTTTGCTTTCGAGAGAGCTGCAGTTTGATGACGACTTCACGCCATTTCCAAAAACAAAAACAAAAGCACGGCATACCTACAAATTCATCCTCGTAGAGTCGATCGCCATATTATCCATCATTCTCAATATCATCGCCGCGGTGGATTACTTTGCTCCAAAAAATGTCTCTTTTCGAGATGTGCCAACAGATTACAGTGAGTTGGAGCTTCGCCGACTAAATATTGAAATCAGTGTGTGTGACTAAATATACAGGTGGTCTCCCCCATGACCAGCCAGTTGTCTATGACTGGGAATCTCCCTTCGGCCCTGGAAACCAAAACTCAACTCTACAAGACGAGGTTTGGGAAGCCATGACAATCGGCCAGGGAATTATCTCTCTACCCAAAGACTGGGCTAAGGCTAAAGGACTCCATCCATCAGCGACCTTCCCCTGGGATCATAGTCGTGCTGTGTATCTAGTCGCTGGCTACCACAAATTACACTGTATTGTAAGTTTATTACTAAGAACTTTTCACTCTTTTAGGACGCTTAGATCAGGGCTAATGGGATTGATACGTAGAAAAAAATACGGCGCTGGATCGTCGCAACGGAACGTGGATCTCAACGGACCGATCATTACGAACATGTTTTGCACTGTCTCGACGGTATTCGCCAGGCAATTCTCTGTGAAGGCGACGACACGCCTTTGTACCTGAGCGAAGTTGGAGACAAGATTTCTGGGCGTGATGAGCCACGTCAGTGCAGGGACTGGTCGAAACTGGATAGATGGGCGAAGGAAAATACTGCTTGTTATGGATATGACAACGAGGCTGCAGATGACAGCGGCGGCATTAAGCACTACAAATACTGTCCTCGAGACTCACCGTATGCACCAGTGATGAGGGAGTACTTTGGCCTTCCGGACGATTACTATGAGGAGCCTGTGGAGGAAGTACCTTCGTATTAGCATTACAGTAGGGTGACAAAGGGTTGCATATAGCATCACCGCAAACGTAGATTGAGTATAGCAGCCCTCCCCATACTAATATTAATAATATTTAAACTTTTTCCATTATCTATGGGCGGGACTCTAGAAAGTATGTGGTTAATCTGACGTAAATTGGTGAAATGGAGGCGAAAGACAGAAAATCTTAATACTATATTCAATATCTTGTCACATGAGTGTAAATACAAGACTTGGAGCAATAATAATCAAATTGAAGTATATTCCACTCGTAGAAGAAATTTAACTCTGTCAACAATCCAACTGACACATCCGCTCACCAACCATTCCATAATACCGTTGAAATAAAATCGATCAGCAACCGAGAATTTACTACTCCTAGTTAGCGATAAGTTAAACATTGGTTGGATGGCATACAAATCGTTCAACTCAATATTTCTCGCCTACAGAGGGCTCGCACCGAGACGATCCTTCTGGGAATTTGCTCTCTTCAAAGGGGGGGCTAAGGTGCTGTCCTCCTCTCTCTTCAAAGGAGCCGCCAAGGTGCTGTCCTCTTCTCGCTTCAAAGGAGGGGCTAAGGTGCTGTCCTCTTCTCGCTTCAAAGGAGGGGCTAAGGTGCTGTCCTCTTCTCGCTTCAAAGGAGGGGCTAAGGTGCTGTCCTCCTCTCTCTTCAAAGGAGCCGGCAAAGTGCTGTCCTCTTCTCGCTTCAAAGGAGGGGCCAAGGTGCTGTCGTCCTCTCTCTTCAAAGGAGCCGCCAAGGTGCTGTCCTCCTCTCTCTTCAAAGGAGCCGGCAAAGTGCTGTCCTCTTCTCGCTTCAAAGGAGGGGCTAAGGTACTGTCCTCCTCTCTCTTCAAAGGAGCCGGCAAAGTGCTGTCCTCTTCTCGCTTCAAAGGAGGGGCTAAGGTACTGTCCTCCTCTCGCTTCAAAGGAGGGGCTAAGGTGCTGTCCTCCTCTCTCTTCAAAGGGGGCGCCAAGGTGCTATCCTCTTCTCGCTTCAAGGGAGCCGCCAAGGTGCTGTCGTCCTCTCTCTTCAAAGGAGCCGCCAAGGTGCTGTCCTCCTCTCTTTTCAGCGGCGGCGCAAGCACATTCTTTCTATCAGCTCTGTTCTCCACGGGACTTGCAACGATATCTGCTCTAGACCTGGGAATAGTCAAGGAGAGGGAGGTTGCGACACAGAGGGCCAGCGAGAAAACCCCAGAGACACGCATTTTGATGATAATACACAAAGTAGCTTTATGGTTCAAAAATCAGAGGCGGGCAGAACTGGATACCCTCTGGAATTCTGATGCTTCCTACGGTCATACAAATATGATCATAAGCGCAATCTTTCTAAAATTATGCAATCACATATGGACTGGGGGCAGATACCAAGCCTCCACCCTGGTTACATCGGTTTAGCCATAGTAAAAGATACCGTCCATCTGATTACAGTATTTATTACACTATGGACTGCATGATGAAGTTCAAATGAAGTTACATTGCTCTCGGAGTAAGCGTAGATGCTCTACTAGCCATGTTCCGATTAAGAACTTCCTAATAATGTGCCTATTATCCGTTGAATAATCGCTGCAGCCAGCTAACTATATCAACTTTCCAAGAAATAACTTGGAAGCCTCGGCCCTTGATTTCTTAGTGAGATTCCATCCTAGAATCAACGTTCCTTAGTGTAATCATTGAGTGCTTAACTCTCTTTTCTTTCCTTTTTCTTTTCGTTTTTTGTTTGTTAAAATCAAGTCTTTATTAGCAGTCTTTTTCCGCAGTCAATTGAGTACGTTTATTGTTTTACTAATATCATCTTGTGTAATTCTCCAACAATTGACTTGACGGAACCATACTTACAATACCACATCAACTATTAGTATTGTTATTACTAGTTTGAGCCCCAGAATTTCCAAAATAACTTGCAGATCGCCAGATAGATGTAAATCCTCGAAGCACTCCTACTCTAGACTATAAAAGCAATGATCATAGGAAAAATTAGCCGTTTACCAAGTTCTATGTAGGTTGCGTGGATATTACGTAGTAGCGAATCGCCAGGGATGTACGCAACCCTAGCATTACAAATACATAGCTCTAAATATACGCGATTGCTTGTGTGACGACTCTGGGTCAAGCTTTATGTAATCGATTCTATCACCGACAATACTGACATTTGGCGAGTTTGGAGGAGACAAACAGAAGGATACTTGGACACTAGTCGGGAACCACCATTTCTGTGGCAGTAAACTTTTCAAGCGTGTCTCAGAAATTCTAGCGATCGATCTGATTACCCAAATGAGGGGATCCGCACGGAACATGTCATTGATGTTGCAGCTTAGCACTCGTTTGCAGGTGTTGCGTGATCAGGACGACTGTGGTGGAACTGGAGTCAATAATACATTAGCATGGCTCCACAAGTCCATTTAATAGCGAGAGTCGGGACGAATTTCTGGGATACGGGCCCTGGGGCCAAACACCTATAAGACCTTCTAATAATAAATACGAAAGTAGTAGTCTATTCGGATTCTATATAGTGTAGGATCACCAGTACTCTGTATTTACACTAAAGTCAGTTGTACCCACGGATTTTCACCGATAGGCCAACCACCGATTTAGCGGATTTGCTTGGGTCTACTGTATGTAGCAGAGGGGGCAGGCCGGTCCCTGAAACGGGAGCATAATCCTTCGACCTTATGCGGAGCTAAGGAACTAACAGTGGGGCCTAAGCATTCAGCGCCGAGGTAAACACCTAGTACCACAAGCACCACTTGCTTACTATATCGTTTTCATGATATATAATACCTATTCCTATATATTAAATGTTATGAATTCATACTAAATCATTCATTCTTTGTTGTGGGGGGGGGGGAGTACGTAGCCGAAAATCCTTGTCGTATTCTCTCATGTTGAAAGGTTGGTGGACTTTACGCACCACCTTGCCAAAATTCGTTTTGTTACTGTTTTCCGTGAAAACAATTCTAAATTCCAATGGAAATATCAATCGTGATTACCAGACCAAGAATATCAATTGTTGGCGATAATTAGGCTTAGTGTTGTAATAAAAGGACCGAGAGTGTCTGATTACATGTATATTGAACAAAAGTGGACATCTGGAGACAACGGCAGGTGTTTCAACTTTAGGAGGCACCCAGAGGCAGCGGGCGCGCACCCCTTATATAAAAATAAATATGTGAGGAAATCAATATTAGTGATTTGGAAAATAAAAAATAAATTACGAAAACAAATTTTGGCAAGGTGGTTCGTATAGTCCGCCGTAGCAATAATTTGAAATAAGTAAATTACATACCATTTACAGCTGAAATACGCTTGATGATCCCTACTTCGAAAGTTATATTTTACTAGCCTTCCCAAGGAGTGGGACCCCTTTTAGGTGTAGTGGTTTTTCGGCCAATATTTCTATCTAACCGAAACGTAGAAGTCGACTCCACGTCTAATAGAGAGCGAAAATATAGGTTGAATGTAATTGCGGGTTGAAGTTAAAGGCTGCCAATCACACCATCAACGTGCTATTCAATTAAAGAAAGTCAGAAAGAACAACCAGCCAGATGTCCATCCCAACAGCCCTTACTCCACGCTTCGAAGTGCGCCAGCTCGAGGCCAAGGATGTAGCCGTTGTGTCTGCAATCATGTCGCACACCAATGTCTTCCACTCACCCATGTGGGCAGTTGCACAACCAGATGACCAGACCAAGCGCTGCTATGACCTGTATAACTCGCTCGACTACCTTGTGGGCGCGGCGATCGCCTCCCGATTATCTTACGCGGTTTATGACAAGGAATATAAATTTAAGCGACCAGAGTCGGCTGTCACTGATGGCGCTCTGTACTGGGATCACACAAACCTGACCGCAACGTCTCAACATCTTCTTGACGAGATAGACAGCCCGTTAGTCTCAGTATGTCTGGCCTATGATGGCTTTCATCCGTTAGACCTTAACCAGTTGACGGACCTCTTCGAAATCCTCCCACTATTCGCCACCATGCACGAGCATTTCCATGAGATCGATACGCGCGACCCAAAATCCTGGGAACCCACAAGTGCCGGTCAGGTCATCATGCGGACAGGGACATCGACTCGGGCGGACTACGCGGAAATGGGTATAATGAAAATGATGGCACACTGGGAGATGAAGGATGCGGCTGCCAAAGGGTTTCGCGGAATCAACATGGAGACGCTGCATCCAGCCGTCGATAAAGTCTGGATGAACCCACCAGCACCATTCAAAGCGACGAGGGTTAACATTTTCAACATGAACGAGCTTACCATCGAAGTGAACGGGGAGAAGGTCATTGCAGCTCCGCAGGTTGACGTGCTCGCGGGACGCATGTACGTCGATCTAACCAGCTAAAATCGCCGTCTAAATAGCGTTCGGGCAGCTTCATACATTGATATTGTTCAGTAAGGTCTGTAATCAAATAATTAATTGTAGTCTTCTATCAAATTAAGGTCTTATCTACACAGTCGTACACCGTGCCAGTACTAAACCAGCATCATATATCGTGAAAATGAAAAAGAAAAGAAAAAGCCGGACAAAGTAAAGTAACAAATACTACAACAATAATATTGTTTTCATTGAAAACTTTCTCTTACAGGGATTAATTTTTGCTCGCTTGCGTTATGCATTGTCTTGAGTGGCAGACTGCTGCTCTGCTCGTCAATGTTTCTGTATCCGTGTTTCTTAGCTGTGTTGTCGGTCGACATCGGATTAGAGCGTTTCGCTGACCAGGAGCGCCCGGCATCGTCGGCCATTATCAGACCGGACTGTAAGCTTGTCATAAATGGCTGCAAATGAGGAATGCAAGCGGTGACAATAGAGGCTGTCTGCACGACCTGGGTGCAAATGATGAATTTGTAAGATTTGAAGGTGAAGTCGGGATCGAATAGTTCGTTAATATAGCTGAGTTGGAATATTGTAGCGATTATCACACTATAAATGTTAAATAATAATAAAAAACCTCCAAAAAGCGGACATACAATATGCGGCAGGAAAATCTTAATATGACTGTGAGCTTCTTGTAGATCGGGAGCTGCAAAGGCCACAAAATGAACACAGGTAGGGCGACCGCACCCAATTCGAGAGGGACACTAAAGCTCATAACATAGAGCAAAATCGAATGCTAGTCCCTCTAGTTAGTAAGTCTATCTGATTGGCATTTACTGATATCACTTACGCGACTTCTACACGTCTTGGTGATGTAGTCCCACGGCCCAGGGAGCGAACACTGAAAGGACAAAGCAAGAACCGAGGTCAACGTCCACAAGATAACAAATCCTCCAAGAACCTGTAACGCGACACGGTGCCATGAGATTGGGGATATAGGCAGGATGCTCGCCGGGATAGATATCTTGGTGCATGCAATCGATAGCACAAACAGGATGTTGCCCGCGTATTGCGCCTAACTTGTCAGCTCACTTGCCCATCACATATTGATTTCACATAGCATAACATACCCTCAACGCCGGCATAAGCGATGTCGCTGGAAAATCTTTACCTAATTTCCGTCCCCAAGCCTGACCGGCCGGGACTAGATAGGTGACACTCTGGCAAATAGAAAACACCTGTCTCTTTAGATATTGGCGTACCTGGTGGATGTCATTGTTACTCACGAACGCAGAAATTATAAGTACATCATCCCAAGCGAACCGCTTTGTTAGGAAGAATCGTGTCATCAGCCTGATAAGCAGTGATAGGAAACTTGTAGCCAACAGCATCCATGTTATGACCTGGACGATCGGGGCATAGTTTGTGGGTGTGACATCTTCGCCCGCTGCAGGAATATCCATGGTAGCTATCAGTCAATATCAATTGATATCAGAGTATCAACTGATGGTATGTTGAGGCTGGACTCAAAGTTGTGAGTACTGCTAAGTCAATTCAAAATAATCGATAAAAAGATTCATCGCCCGAGTCTAAGGAGAACCTAATGTAAGACATCGGAAGATCTCCCTCCAAATTCTGATCATAAGCTAAAACGCAAGACATAGTATTACATTCCTGGACGATCGGGGGTAAGGGCCAAAAGATGGGCCGCGGTCCATATTTTTTTAATCGGAAGTAACATTTACGTATTTTTGTTCACTTTTCCTTAGGGACACTCCGCCCCCTAGCTAGCTGGTGAACTGCAACATGCATTCCACGTAATTGTGTATTTTGATACAGATACCGACAGTATCATCGTAAGTTAAAACCAGGGTCAATGTAGCATTCGTTACTCTATACTGAAAAAACAGCCATGAAAACCGACATTGAGCGAAATAACATAGCTAATATAAAATTTGAACTCAAATTCAAGTTTTATTTCAATGCTTGATACGGATCACTGAATCATTGATCCTTCACGAATAGGAATGTACGGCTCAATATACTCCATAGAGCAACACTGCAACAGCTGACCTCAGTTGACCGCATTTCTTATCGTTTTTCACTTTTTCTAGTTTTAATTACTGTCTAGCTGCAAGCAAATAAACCAACACTCCGAATAAATATAGCGAAATGGCCGTAGATTAGGTGTAGCGCTAGTATGTCTTTTTACGTATCAACTGCTAAACCGCATGGAAACGCTGATTGTAGCGCAATACAAGAGCTAAAGGGTCTAAATGTTCAGCTAAGGATAGTAAGGAACCAACTAGATATTAGGGGCATGAAAAAAGCCTCATCCCTGGCCAATAACGTATTGAAAACAGTTTTATCGGCTAGCAGCGTATATGCTGTATTGTTTACCGTATGCAAACATTGATTAAGCTAAACATGTCTAGTTCCTTGGCGGCACATTACTACTCCGCACTCTGTAAATTTTCGTCCTTTTAGACATTTTAGTCTCCAATCCGGTGGGTTACATCGTTGGGGCGGGAAGTGGAGTTTAGCTTAGAAGCATATCTCTTGGACTTGTGGTCGTTGTAACCATATACGGCAATAGCTTTTTGTACTCACAGAATCTCGTTATCGCCTAGTGTAGTTTTCTTTTCTGAGGACGTTTCTGGATAGTCCCCTTGAAGTTTTTCTAGGTGCGATCGTGAGACCACAGAGACAGCGCGAACGAAGACAACATGAAGTCTACTGAAGATATCGAATTGACCTTCGCCCAAGCGGAGCAGGGAGGGACTGGAAACGACTTCACAGCGACGACGACGTCGAGCATTAAAGATGACAACACGTTGATGCGCCTAGGAAAGACGCCTGTGTTGAAGGTATTAAGTATACCAATTGCTTCTGGATTCCATCAATCTAACAATAGCAGCGCACATTCGGCTTCATGGCGGTTCTCGGATTTTCGTGCACGGTTTTGATCACTTGGGAGGGGGCTCTAGTGTAAGTCGCGGGCATTTGAAACATGTTAATCAATTGAATCGATATTAACGGCTTTTGATCATTAGTGTCTTTACCTCAGCCCTTTTAAAGTTTGTCAACTACTCAATCCTGATTGAAGAATATGAATTGATTGTCGCACAGTGGAGGTACCGCCGGCGTGATCTGGTCGTTCCTAGTTGACTGGCTGGGAACATTATCAGTGTTTTCAGCCATTGCTGAAATAGCGTCGATGTAAGTGATGTTTATTACCTTGTTCCGGCCTATATGTATGCTAAGAGATAACCAGGGCTCCGGTGGCAGGCGGACAATACCAGTCAGTGGGACATTCTGCTGCAAGACAGCATAAAGTTTAAGAAGATGCTGACTAGAATAGCTGGGTGGCAATGATGGCACCCCCGAAATACCGCGCTTTCTTTTCGTACATAACAGGTACATGCAACTCATTCCATTCCGCCCGGAGCAAACAAACTTATGAGATTCTAAAACCTACTATACAGGCTGGGCCACCGTGTGTGGCTGGTTGGCTCTCTGCTCTTCCAATTCCTACCTGATTGCAGGACTCTTTGAATACTTAATAATCATCTTCAACCCTGACTACTCGCCACAGCCATGGCATACAGTGCTATTCTACTGGTCCGTGTTGGCATTCTCTTTAACCGTGAACGCCATGTCAAGCAAAGCGCTCGCTCGCTTCGAAGGTACCATCTTCATCGTACATCTGTTCGGATTCTTCCTCGTGTTAGTACCCCTGGTTTATTTTGGACCGAAGGGAGATACGTCTATCTTCACGACGTTCTTCAACGGCGGGGGCTGGCAAACGCAAGCGCTGTCTTTCTTCGTGGGCATGCCAGGGTTAGGATTTGCGCTTTTCGGTAAGTTCAACTCCACTTTTAAGTAAACTCTGGCTAATTTGAATCAGGCGCTGATAGTACCGTACACGTAAGCACCCAATAAGTTTATATCCATCCGACAATTACTGACATCACCAGATGTCGGAGGAAATTTGCAATGCTGCCATGGCGGTTCCCCAATCACTTGTCTTCAGTCTTATTAGTAAGCTCTCCTAGAAACAATAACAAGAAGTGGGAATTAACTTGTTGTAGTCAACGGCAGCCTGGGGTTTATCATGATGACCTGTACCATGTACGTGATTGGCGATCTTGATGCCATTCTGACCGCGATCGAAGCAGGCGAAAGCCCCGTTCTGCTTATCTTCCAACAAGCTGTGCGTTCTCAAACTGGGGCCGTACTTATGTACGTTATCATTCTAATCATGGCCTGTGCATGCACAATCGGTTGTTTTGCCTCTGCCTCTCGTATGCTGTGGTCCTTCGCGCGTGACCGTGCTGTGCCGTTCTCTAGCTGGTTAAGCAAGGTTCGTTGGTATTTCCCTGCGTGACAATATTATTATATAAAGTATGCTTAGTACGATCCTGACAAATGGCAGCTCTCTCGTCAATCAGTGCCTCTGCGTTCCCTAGCGCTGAATTGCTTCATATCAATGCTTCTATCGTTGATTTTACTGGGCTCTTCAGTGGGATTCTCCGATCTCGTCAATCTGACCGTCGCCTGCCTCTATTCCTCCTACCTGCTTGCAACTGGTTTCCTCCTCTGGACACGCTTGGCTGGTCGAATTAGTCCCCATGATCCCGATGCTCGTATACGTCCGGGAAACCTTCACTGGGGGCCGTGGAAAATTCCGGAGCCGTTCGGCTTGTTGAATAACATTTTTGCCTGCTCGTACCTCGTTCTCGTATTTTTCTGGAGCTTCTGGCCGGCTGCCCGCGAGGTAACACCATCAACCATGAACTATAACGTTCTAATTTACGGAGTCATGGTTAGCTTCGCAATTATTTGGTATTTTGCACGTGCTAGACATTATTACACAGGGCCCATTGTCGAAACAGCCATGTAGGAGTTTCAACTCAATTTTGCCTAATTAAATGAGCGGTTTCCGTTTACGTGTATAGTTCATCGAAGGGTCGAAATTAGCTAATAATGGTGTTATGGGTATAGCTAGTAAATAATACTCAATCGTGACTGCCTTTACTGGCATTCTCCAGAATGTCGGGACGTTGAGTAAGGGTATAGATTTGCCATAGAATTCTTATTTACAACCATCAATTATTATTCTTATATCATAACACACACGAAGTCTCTACCGCGATGACGGCACTAATTGAAGTCGAAAATGGCGCTGGAAATGGTGCCGGAGACTGATTTATCGCGGTGTGTCCAGGATGGCACGGCCTTGGATACTCGAACAACATCGATAATGGAGTAACCATTGACCTGGAATATCTGAACCAAACCACCTACAACCGCCAAACCAACATCACCAGCGTTAGCCCTGGCGGCCATTGGCAAGTCTATGCGGAAATGCACAAGTATGGTGTGATAGTCACTGGCTGCTGCGATGGTGACATATGGGTGGGTTCCTGCTCGATGGTGGAGCGACATATACTAATCACTTGGCCCATGTTGGCTTTGGCCGTGATTCAGTCGTAAATTATGAGATTGTACTGACCAATAGCGCCATTGTGAACGCTGAAAGTGGCGAGAACTCCGATTTATGACGCGCTTTGAAAGGTGGTGGTAGCAACTTTGGTATCGTCACACGTTACGACATGGAGGCTTTGGAAGACCGGGATCCCACTCATGGGATACGGGTGAGGGCGGCAAACTACACGTCACAATTCGAGAATGCGGTCGTCGGCTTTACTGAAAACCAAAAGAAGTATGATGACGATGCCCTGATTAGGATTTTAGGACACATTGAAGGTAGTGATTTCTTGGCGACGTGAAGCGGATATCGACGACAATGAGGAAAGCTACGGCTTTGAGAAGTTAAGACATATTCGAACAACCTCACCATTTGCCCACAATGTTGAGCCTCTCTATCAGGCAGCTGATAATTCAACTCTTCCCGGAAACTCTTACCAAGTTAGATAATTGATACCATCTGTGATGGAGGCTAAAAAAAACAAGGGTTAGTCAACACCTTAACGATTAAGAATAACCAGCTCGTTTGAGCTATACTACTAAGGAGCATAGAGAGTTTTGTCAAGAGTTGAGCTAGGGCAGAAGAGCAGGAAACTTCTACGGCCTTCTCTTTTTCCAGCCTCTACCTTCATGCTTCGCAGAAATCAGCGAGGATAATGGAGTAAACATATTTGGGGGCATTTTAAAAGACCATAATTCTGTTTTATGGACTGATAGTGAGTTCGTGTACACCAATCAGTCAGACTTGGCAATGGTTCAGACTCGGAAGAATGAAATGGTTTCGAGAGTCAAGAGCAATTCTACATCAGTCAGTGCAGATAGCCACCTGGTTTACCTGAACTATGCGATTTCTCGCGGAATCCTCTCGGAAGTTACCCCAAAGAGCACATAGAACATATGAAAAATATGGCCGCCAAGTATGATCCCGAAGGTAAATTCCAGATCCGATTCCCAGGAGGATTTAAGATCTCCCGAGTAGAAACCTAAATAAAATGATTCACCAAGGCAGAATCAATCACGCCTTTCCCCCTCCACCAGAAAGCATTACTCATCCAAGTATTGGGTGGGATATCTGGAGGTGATCAATTCTACACAAATGAATCCAGGTGTAGGCCTACGATATTTGAATATACGCTGAAACACAACACAGAGTTTCAGGCAGAATTCAATATTACTGATGCATTTCACATTGATAGGAGAAATTTCAGATAATAAAGCAACGGAATATTCATTTTGATTCGAAACTCAAACAATTGAAGTCGTACACGCGCATTGAAAACTTCTCGTTAAATTTGAAAACATGATAACAAACATTCAACCAGACCCGTAAATTGAGATCAATGTTCTTCAACGGTTAGTCATCAGCATTAACCGTAGTTAAAACTGGTGTGATACCATTGAACCCCTCAACCAACCCGGGACAGAAATGATATCTCCCAAACCTCTCATCACTCCATTCAAACATATACTACAGCCATTAAAATTAGTTTCATCAGCAGAAAGGTGAGATGTGTCAACTTACAGGAAGGTTCAAATTGGTACATAAAGGTGACCAATGCGGTTTCCCGCCATTGGGACACTCTACTCGATCAGTAAAACACCATGGATCCATAGAGAAGGCGGGTGTCGGCCTCAGGCGACGTTTCACTGGGTGGGGATCGTCTTCTTCTGCGTGACGCGCAAAGAATTTATTAAAGTTCCCTAGCCAACGTTTTACTGGGTATGGATGGTCGTCTTCAATGTCTTCTTCTTCGCGATGCGCAAAGTGTTTTTCAAAGTTGGCTCTATCTCCGTGCCTTAGAGTCTGTACGGAAGGAGATAGTAGCCCTGGTGGCATCGTGACTTGATGAGGCGGAACCAATGATGAAACCGTTGTTTGAGGAACTGGAATTTTTGATGCAGTTGTGGACGCGACGATCGCGTTGTTGGGGTCTTCCATGGTAGGGAGGGCAGCAGCAGTGATGGCTAAATAGATAGCCAAGATAGCGATGAGTAACTTCATGATTGCTTTCTTTCTTTTGGACGAAAGAGAATTTCGAGCAGAGATTGTTGTACTATTATACTTTGGTATTGAATGAGGCTTGTGAAGTGTAAAGAGGAAGAAATTTCCCATCCGCAAGGAAAGAAATCGCGCTTCCTTTTATACCCTAATCTGGCCTCTAGACCAACGCATTAACTACCATCATGACTCCCCCAAATGTTCCAAAAAGGGGCAAGTATTGAATTTTCATGTATCCAATTAGGTCTGGTAGTGTGTTAGGCATTCAAGGTTTGGATTCTGTCCCAAAGAGGATAGGTTGCTCGAATAGGCAATAGTTAAGGGACAGTACTTTCCCCAAAGCGTCCAACTGCGATCTCGTGTTTCAATGCTATATTCGCTACCTTGCTGCCTTCAATTCCAATGTTCTCCTGTCTTGGCGAATGCACATGGTAGTTTCTACCGACATGTGATTCTGAGGTGGATGCCTTTGGCAGGAGGTGACGAAAGTTTGAATAAGACACCACAAAACTGAATGAGGTATAGGAACCCTTCCCAAAAAGAAGTCTAAATTGACGGATGTGAATTGGTGCGAATCCAGATGAAAGGCAGAAAATCTTAATACTATATTCAAACTTTTATCATATCAGTATAGATGGACAGCTACTACGAAAGGCAAGAAGAGATCTGTAGCAGTTCGATCACTTCATTGAATGCTGGTCTCATCGTTGATTCTTACGGTTTCATGTTTTACTGAAAATAGCATTACATGTCCTTGATGATTAAGTTTGAGTGATATTTCTTATTTGATAAGTCTGGTTTCTAGTAGGATAGCAAGGCGAATCATGCATTCCATCCGTTCCGTAACACATGTCATTTTCCGAAATAATACTGGATATGCCAATTTTCAACAACAATCCTGGCAAAAGTCTGATCCAAAGCATTGAAAAAGACACAAAAGAAATTAAGAGGAAATTCGTACAAGCTGCCATATAAAATGTTACGTTTGTGTATCATTCAAAGCGCAGGGGCTCACGAAGAAGAGAGAATCGTCAAAAATCAAAACTAGACGGCGCACGAAAAGCCTCTCCACGCCCACCCGCGGACCAAGATAACAAAAACAACGCCACCGGCTCAAATACACTCGTAGGTTACACAGGAAGGGAATAGGTCACAAATGCGAGATTTCGAAAATGACACTTTTAAAGAAAATCGTGTCGCAGAAGCGAGTGTCTGATGTATCATCCAGTTCGGTTTGATTGCGAAATAAAATTAATGTTGCTTTTAGGCAGATTCTGGCTTAGCCGAGCCCGAATTGCCGTTAGCGGCGATACTACCATTGGCAGGAGCACTTCCATGCGGGCTGCCCTTCGAACCAGTTCCAGCGCGTTTCTCATCTTCAGCGTCATCGTCATAGTCCTCATCGACGTCCATCTTTCTAGCTGCAGGCTCGTGCACTGGCAGTTGCTCCTTACGAGCAGCTTCATCCTTCACCGATGGTGGAGGAGGGCCGGCAGACGGAGGATTTGATCCCGGTTGAGGAACCTCAGAAATTGGAGGCATAGATGAACCGGACGGGTGCGACATCGTTTGGATAGAGGGCAGTGTCGGTGGGTGGTGAGCGGCCTCGGATGGGTGATAATTCTCGTTGGCACGACGTTGCTCTTCACGGCGCACCTCAGATGAGCTACGGAGATCCCTTGGAGGAGTCACTCCGCGATTGATTTGATCGTCCTGGCGTAGACGATTTTCTTCGCTTGCGATTTTTTTCGATGGACCATTCTCCGCACTGTCCCATTCACGACCACGTTTCATGGCAGACGGCGGACGTTCGTCTCTGTCACGAGCAGCAGCATCAGCTGCGCTCGTGGCAGAGGCTGGCGGAGGAGCCCCTCCGGCAATGCCATTCCCTTGCATACCAGGACCACGGTGAAACTGCTGATGAGGATAAGTTGAACCAGGCGACGATGGACGATCAGAAATGTCACGAAGTGGACGAATCTCAGTTGGAGGAGTAAATGGGCGCCCATATGCTGAAGGTACACCAGGACCGGGAGCACCATTCGGTCCAGGGGGGCCACGGAAACCAGCACCGTTGGGGGCTCGATCATGAGGCCCAGGGCCTGGATGCGCCAACTGAGGCAAGGTATGCGGTTGGGGATACGCATTCGTGGCCGGAGAACGAGGCTGCGGGCCGCGAGGTTCCGGCAACGAAGATCGTGGTAGTTCTTGGCGGGGGCTTGGATGCTGGCCAGGAGCAGGACCGCGAAGGGTATCCCGTTGGTCGTATGCAGTAGGAGGTTGAGGTGGAGGCGCGTTCTGCAAGTCGTTGATACCACGATTCCAATCAGCGATCTGACGCGGAGGTGCTGGGGGCTGAGGAGGCGGGCCGCCCGTTGGAGCGGGAGCACCCCATTGAGGAGCGGGCGGGGCGCCAACACCTGGTGCTTGGTATGCTTGTGGGTGGACGTCTTGGGGTACTGGGGCTGGAGCACTGCCCTGGGTCTGACCTTGCATCTGACCTTGTAGCAGTTGCAAACGAGCTTTGATGTGTACATTGGTTGGGTCAAGGTCAGCAGCACGACCGTAGGCATCCAAAGCATCTGCCGTTTGGTTGTTGCAAGACTCGTAAAGGGTTCCCAGATCATACCAGACTTCGGAAATGTAAGGGTTGAGGCGGATGGCGCGGGAGTAGGCATCGAGAGCGTCGCGGTATTGGTTGATCTGGTAGTAAAGGACACCGATCGAGCACCAAAAGGTAGGATTGCGACCGTCACGGTAAACAGCTTGTTGGTAAGCTTCATATGCTTTGGGGTATTTTTGTTGCGACATGTAGCAGCGACCCAACAGGTACCAGCTTTGTGCGTCATTATTATCTGTCATAAGAATTAGCTTCTGAGGATAATGTGACTATCATTGGCAATGCTTACCTGCGCCGACCGACTTCTCCAAATATTCGATTGCCTTTTCTTGGCTTGAGTAACTATTGCTCTGCTGGTGGTACAGCCATCCGAGCTGTTGTAGCACCTTGGCGTGATTCGGATCCTTGTCAAGCACTCGGCGATAGGCGGCCTGCGCAGCTTCGAACTGTTGTGTGACGATCATCAGCACCGGGAAATGCAGTCAAAAACGGGTGGCACAATACTCACGTCCTTTTGCTGTTCGTGCACATGACCGATTTGGAAATAGATATCCTCCTCGGTCAGGGGGCGAGGAGGGTTATTCACGATGTATTTGAAACATTCCAAACTCTGACTAAACTTTTGTTGTTGTTTGTAAATGATACCAAGGCGGAAATAAATTTCATTGGCCTTTTCAAATTCAGGCGCCATGCGCATGACCTGGGAGAAGGCCTCTTCAGCATGATCGAGCGAGCCGTAACGGTCGTACAAAATTCCGATTCCGTACCACAACTTCGGCTCCTGTAGTAATAGAGGTTAGCGACGACGAGTGGGTTTTAAATAAGCGGCCAACCTTGGGATCGCGCAGATGATAGAGTGCCTGCTGGTATGAAGTATACGCGTCTTGAAGATTGTCCATCATCAGATGGCAATGGCCTAGCACGAAGTTAGCCCGTGTCGCACAGAACAATTGTTCGTGTCACGCTAAACACATACCCAAACTTCCCCACGTCTCGCCGCTCTGGGGGTCCAATTTGAGGACGTTCTGCAAGTATTCGATCGCTTTGGGGAACTGTTCTCGAGTCCGCAGGATTTGCGAGATGGCAGTCATTGCGGGAATGGACCACTGGTTGTGACGAAGAGCTTGTTCGTAAGCACCCATGGCGCCATCGAGATCGCCCATCATCTCGGTTAAGCTGCCTGTAGTAGTGTGAGTTTGTGCGAACGACGGTATGCCCATGTATCTCGAGACTTACCGATTTGAAGCCATACTTGCTCATTCAACGCAGCAATTTTCTGGGCGTTGGTCAAGTGAGGAGCTTTCTGACCCTGCGACTGCACGGGAATATGGCCATTCACTTGAGCATGGGCTGCCAAATGGCCGTGGTGCTGGGGAGGGACGCCTCCGGGAGGCGATGGCTGGGGATGCGCCATGATCTATCTGCGATTCGACGAGAGGGCAGACCGGCGTAAGGCCAAACACAACCAAAAGGAAGGGAGGAAAATAATCAAAAGAACAATTGATTTGCGGTTAGAATTAAATTGAGGTGAAGCGACGCCAGGTAGTCCAGAGGGAGATGGATAGGCTGGCGGGAGAGCAAGCGCAGCAGGCGGCGTGGCGTGTCGGCAGTAGCAGTAGCAACCAGCAACCAGCCACTGCGGAGGGCTGACAGCTGGGGGACACGAGTAGAGGACAGGAAGAAGCAAGGAGAGACCGACTGAGAAGGTCAATGGGAGGGGTTAAAGTCTCGGCAGAGACGCACAGGAAGCGATGCTCGCAGACGAGACGGGGTGCAGAAGGACAGAGAGAGGAGAGAGGAGAGGAGGAAGAAGGGAAGGGAAAAACGGCAGCGACGGCGCAGCGACGAGAACGGGGTTCGAGGGCGGGCGGAAAGAGGGCGATTCTGGCCAAGCGGCGCTAGTGGTTGTGCAGCTGCGGCGGCGAGGGCAGTCGCTGTCAGCAGCAGCAGGAGGAGCAGCCAGCCAGCATGAGCCCAGCAGGCAGGAGCGAGCCAGCGCCCGCGGACGGAAGGGCGAGATGGCACAGACTAGCGCGAGGGTGCCAAATTGGCGTTATTAGGCTTTGCGCTCGGCTTAGGCTTTAGCCCAGGGGGGTCACGGTGGGGCTCCGATCGGTTAGTCAGCGACACCTCTAGGGCTGCTAGCGAGCGACGACGTAGCTTGCTGTTAGCCTCCTGCTAATTACGGCCTTCGCACTATCGCTGTTAGACGATGCGACTCATCGAATGCGACCCTATTATTGTGATTACTGTCATACCAGCACCCTAATCGTTGATCAGTACTGTACGCTGGCGAGAAGATACCCATACAATGATATAACAACAATACAGTCGCCCATGGAACCATGGATGGGATGTTTGTTTCAACCCATTCTAGAAATAAGCTGCCAGTGACCCAATCCCGAATGGACGAATATCCGATATCATGTACGAAGTACTATATAATAACCTTTGGTGCAACCATGTGTATGTACTATGTAGGATGTGCTATGTAATACTGCCGTGCGGGGACTGCCCAAACAAAGACGCCTTCTGTGTCCTCTGGTATCTGTCACTGACTGCACCAGGCAAGGGCGCCAGCGTCTGCAGTGTGCCGTTTCGGGCGTTGCAGGGAGGCCAACGGCAAAACGGAAAAAGAAAGCAAGAAAGAGCTACCTAGCAAAACCCAAAGGGGACACGGTGGAGTGGAGCCTTCCCCCCTAACTAAGCTCGTCAGGAATCCGCAGCGAATGGTTGCAAGCAGTCTAGCGTGACGCAAGACTCGCAGTGCCAGAGGATGGGTGGGGCAGGCGTCTCCACCGCCGACGCATGTGGCCCGTGGGCAGGACGCCCCCCCCGTGCCGAAGCCTGATGGTCGCTGGCGGCCTCTAGGAGTCTAGGTAGTCTCTGACTTTGGCACTCTGGAGAGTGGAGCCCTCCAGCTGCAGGTAGTGGGACCGCCCCCCTCTACTTATGCCGGACCCGGCCTAGCGGCCTGTAGACTGCAGTTGGTGGGCCCAGATCCACTGCGTCGAAACAGGAATGGGCGCCCTCCTGGGGTCCACTTCCAGCCTCCACCACTGGATCCCGGTCGCTGCGACCCGCCAGCTGCCAATCCTGGAGGCTGGAGGACCGAGGAAGGATCCATCGCCCATAATCATATTAATAAATAGCCATGAATCAGGCTTGTGCGTTAGCCACAGTGTTAATTAAACCAAATATATCGCGACCGGAGTTTGCTCGACACTCTGTTTCAATCATGGGCAATCAATATAGTACGGGTGATCAATATAATATAGTCAGTATACTTGCTTGATCCTGCCTCACCAGTTTGAAACCATACAGCCTGAACCAGCCAACGCATCGCAGTTCCCTCGTCAGCCCGCGACGTCCCCGCCCAGCTGTGTCGCTCATCGGCGTCACGCAGGGCTAGCGCCGGCTGTTTACCTAGTATGATGGCTGTGGCTATGCAGTACTATGCTACGCAGCTAGGTGCTACCATTCGGGGTGATTGTCCTTAATCACAGCGTCTGTCCGTTCTCACCATACTGCGAATACGACTAGGAACTAGCTTGTTTCTGATGCCGTTTCTTATTTAGTTTCGTGCCATCACCTTACATGGCCGATCATGTTGACGCACTAACCCCCGTTAGATCTTTCCTTGTCTTGCACTCACTCGCGCCGATCCGCTGCCGAGCAACCAGCAGGGAAGAATAAAATATCCGTAATACATCCATCTCCTAACTGTGCCATATCTCCGCTTCAGCCACAGGGGCGCAGCCACACCTTCTCGCTCTCGCTCTTCATTAATTTTATTCGGCTATTTTTCCTTTCCCTTCTAGCGCTTCTTCCTCTTTAAAATTGCTGAGTTACTGTTCAAACCTCGAACGCAAAGTTGTTCCATTCCACTAATTTGGTCCCACTCATATTAAATATGGAGCAGTCAATCCATCATTTAATAGCGCTCGTTTTTAACTTTGATTCCTTTTTCCTCGCTCGCAAAGTCGATCGATCCAACACGCTGATCACCCGATTTACCACCGCGTAGTCCGTGTCTATCTCGCGAGGCGCTCGATGGTCTGTCGATAGCCCAACCTATCAATTAAGTTTATAAGATTTTATAACCCTTTGCATTGTCACGATAGTGATTAATGTTTCGGAATTCAGATCTACTGCTTGTCCGCTGGTATAGTCATCTGCCATAGATATATACCACGTCAGACAGTCAGACTACAAGTATCAACAGACACAGTAATTAAAGATATATCAACTGATGGTGAATAATATCGCGTCCTATACATATATTAAATTTTAAATATTTACCTGACCATCCCGCCCATTCGCCGCATATTTAAACTTTCCCAAATCTCACGACCCAAATATTCATCCGACGCCGATAAATATTTATTGCATTGCCAGCGGGTATATATAATGAGCCACGCATTGTGCAACCCTGGTACAAAATTATGGTCTCCCAATCCCAATCAACAGCCCCAAAGCCACGTTTCCATTGTTTATAAGTTTCGGGTGATCACTGATTAGGATCGTTGAGATCACCAAGGCGATCTAGATCTTACATTCCAGATGTCACCGCGTTATGCCATTTCTACTTGCTAGCAAGATCGATCAGTAGATTGGGATATTGATTACTATTCAATATAATTATTGGTAATAATGCAAAGCCGGGTGCCACTAATTACAACGTGAGAAGGGTAAGCACTTACACGGATGAGAATATGTCATGCTGACTGAGCGGGTTGCAACCCCTGGCGTATCATCGTATTCTCGGTCATTTGATCAATATCGATACTTATAGTACTAATTATTAATCCATAGATAATTAAGATTGTACATGCATCCAAGAATTGAGACTCGATATCAACTTTTCCTGTCGGTTTTCATCTTTTATATATTTTACAACTTCCTCTGGAGCTTTCCTATTTTGATTGACAATATTAAGGACAAAGAGCCAATCCAGTCATCTTATAACTAGGGGATATAATATTCCCAGAATTTAAGGATTTCCAACGCCGTCGAACGATGTTCGTGACGCACCGAGAACCGGCCCCCGTGGCGGCGACAAGACCAGGGACCCTAGACAGAGATCATCTGATTAGCTCACAGTGAGAACAAATTCCAGCCTCAAGAGCCAAGAAGTTAGAACAATAATGATACGGACGTGCTAGAGACTAACTAGTCCGCGACCATAAGCGACCTATTATTAGCCGACAACCCCCTTACCACCCTGGACTTAGGCCCCAGATAAGTAGTACGTAACTGCCGCGCCGGCGTGCGATAGGCTGGACGCCCGATCGACGGACGGCCTTGACGCTGTGACGGACGTGCATGGATCATTAAAGAAAAAGAAATATGGCGGCCCACGTGAGTCGTTCACCGGGGCACGACCGTGACTACTCATCAAACTGGAGCAAATACAGCCTGGGCCAATTATAATGCTACGACAACTCCTATATTCACTTGTTTTACCTGTTTTAGTATTTTAGAACCGGTCACTATTAGTATTGTCCAAAGCGGGGTAGGAAAGCTAGCTATGTGGCAGGGGTGACAAGTTTCTTCCCTGATTTGCATTTTAATTTCCTCGAGACTTCTGAGTTGCGGCTAACATGGAAGCGGTAGTAGCCTAGCAGGTATGTCGGAATTTATATGAAACTCTAATAATAATATGAAAATTGAGTTTGAACATCTGAATCTTGTAGGCTGAAGATCGTTGATATGACATGATAGTGTACATGCGTAACTTGCTCTTTCCTACTATTATTTAATTCACCTAGGGTATATTGTAATACTGGAGTCGCTACATAGCATAACGATGTAGGCAGGATGCCGAGCCCGCAATGAAACAGATGTAACCCGTGCTCTGCACGTCTCAAGCGCCTGTCTTGGCATGTCTGTGTCGATAGTAATAAGTACCAAGTATGTATGAGAGGAGCAATTCCTTGGTTCTACAAACTCAGCCACTCCAAATAATCATAATTACTGTTCGTACCCTCCCCAGCCGCAACTATTTGGGCAAAAACGGTGATCGCATTCCGGACGCGCTGGAATTCTCGAGCGGGTTTGATCGGCACCGTGGCCAAGAATGACGCCATGACACGACATGCAGTCTTATTCCATTCATATTATGGGCTGATGTGGAGCCCCAGGCCAGCATTGCCGAGGGGAAAAAAAAAAAAGGCGAAAAAGATGGAGACAATTGATGCCTGAGCCGCCAGGTGTCGATGCTAGGCCCAGAGCGGCTCCGGAGGCTGCAGTCGGGAAATTAGAGGCCGCTGAGTTAAAACCAATCAACGCCGCCGCTTACGGTGCTTACGTGAGATGTCGGGAGCGAATCAAAACTAGTTGACCAGCTGTCGTGCATCTGATGCATCAATAACAACCACAAACACCCATGGATGATAAATTGATAGTGGATAGTCGATATGCATATCAAGACAGTCCCTAAAACCAAACCGCCGAATTGCAACAGTTGTGGTGAGCTTTGCTTGCATATTTTCTGCAAGATTAGCTGAATAGACAGCTCCTGATTGGATCAACTCAAACCCATCAGTACGAATGATCGGCTTTTTTGGGAGAATCTTAAGCTGATTTGTATTTTACTTCTATACTTACAATTTTTATCTGCCTGGGTGATTACGATTGGTCGCGTCGCTCATCTTGCCGAATCAAGCTAGATCGGCCTTTTGGTCGATTGATAATCTGTGGAACTTTTTGCGCCCTCACACATAACTCATCGCCAAAATAAATAAGGATTTTCCTGTGCTGGTTACGCGGAAGACGATAATTGAGCATGTATTATTTCCCGGGACCTTTTGAGTTATAGTCTTTCCGTCATTACTTAGGCGGAAAGTTAATGTGCAATGACTATAGTTGCTCAGTCGCTCCCAAGGCCTAGGGCCGGGAGAACGCTGGCGTTTAAGCCGAAGAATAGATTGGGTTGTATGACTTGCAGGTGAGGGTCTATTTAGAAATTCGTGTTTAACATCTCTTATACTTTGAGGCTGTTGTCGTAATAACTGCGGGCTAGAATTCGAAAAGTCAAATGTGACGAAGAGAAACCAGCATGTCGTCGATGTGTTTCCACTGGACGTACATGTGACGGTTATGAGTCAGTGTTTCGGTCATATAACTACGGGCATAATATAACTGCTCCTTCTCAAGCCGATACCATATCTGTTCAACGGATGTCTTTTCGTCAACTTCGGACCATAACCTTCACAACTTCTGAGATCATGGAAGTCTCTCGTGGTCTTTCCACAAAGCCTCCCGCCGAAGGCGGAATTGGGTTTGAAGCAGAGGCTTTGTGCATTCTTCAATCTAGCATTCGCTCCCCTCCAGTCTATCAGGCTCTAGCCTGTATGCGTATGTTTAGAAAATTGCTAATGGAACACGGAGATATCTCATATCTAAAGAATGATGACTTGTCTGGCTACCGCAGGATCGTTACTGAATACAATATTGTCGTGGCAAAGGTGATTAAGCAGCTGTCCAGAAATGATTCACGAACAGTCGAGGTAGCGTTGAATTGTTGCCAGTTGTTTATTACCATAGATATCATGCTGCAGCAATATGCGTCGTCTATCAGACATTTTGCGTATGGATTGCAAATCATGAGAGCCTGCCGCACGCGACCACAATTGGATAGTGCCGGAGAGAAGATTGTGCCGCCGATACAACAGGGACTTGCCACTGTGGATATATTTGTTATCAAGCTATTTACAGCACCATGCCCTTACGTAGAGCACCTGATGCGTGAGCTTCGCCTTGAAGAAAGGAAGAAAATGCATGCAGCCGACAATTCATCTCCAAACCGAATCGATTTCATGACATATCGACAAACCCTAATCTCGGTAGCGGCAGAAACAGTATATTTATTAAACAGGGTGTCATCAATGACATCTGTGCATGAGGCATTAGGGCTAATCGAGGAGAAAAAAAGACTTCTTATTAAATTGGAGGGACTGGATCGTTACAGTAAGGGCGGTGTGGTTGGCGAGGACGAATCTCCTTTACGGAAGTTGATGAGTCATTTTCAATTCCTCTACTCTTCCGTCCTGAGGGTAGTCCTGCAATCTGTATTGCTGTCCGCGCCTGTGGATTCACCCCTAGACTTGGATCTTACGCACATGATATCTGTTGCGGAGTCTTTAGAGGGTGCAGCGAATAACTACCTTATACAAAGCCAAGCTTAATAATACAATCTTCTTGGGCATTAACATACTTAATTAAGTTAACTAAGTACGCAAATTCCGTGTCAAGCGTTCAATCCGCCATCAACGCTAAATTTCCGATTTAGGAAGAGGGAGCGAGGCGCCGAATTAGGCTTACGAAAGGATCTTACCATAGGTAACGAGATTGGACAATAGCCAGCTTTTCAACTAGAAATACATAGTCACATATCACAAGGATATAGTGTGGATTTGTAATCATGGCGATTGTGAAAGGTATAAAAGAAGTGTCCGGCACATATGGAGATGATGCTATTTTCCAAAGTTGTATCTCCCTCAAAGTGCTACAATTGATTCTAGGCATTCAAATAATCTCTTTTCGGCCCAGTGTTTAAATTCCTTGAAATGTCGAAAATCATCACCGTCTTTGGCGCAACAGGATTGCAAGGCGGCTCTGTGATTCGTGCTATCCAATCGCATCCTCAGCTTTCTCATGAGTTTAGAATCCGTGGGGTCACTCGAGATCCTAGTAAACCTGCCGCAAAGGATCTGGCTTCTAATGGTGTGGATATAGTGAGGGTACGTTGAAGAAAATAAGAATTAGGCCATTAGGTACAAGAAACACTAACCCATCACAAGGCTGACCTGAACGATGCTGACTCTACTACTACCGCAATTGAAGGTTCCCATACTGTCTTTGTGGTCACACATTTTGAAGATTCCTACTCCTATGATGTGGAGATTCAGCAAGGGAAAAATGCTGCAGATGCTTGTAAAAAAACAGGCATTGAACATATAATTTTCTCCTCCCTAGTCGACATTTCTCAAGCCAGCAAAAACGTCTTTACCAAGGTGTTTCATTTCGACAGCAAAGCTCGTATAGAACAATATATTCGAGATGTTGGGCTCCCTGCCACCTTTGTCCTTGCTGGCTCCTATATGCAAAACCAATTTTATACAATTCGGAAAGAAGGTGACGGATACGTTTTACCTCTTCCAGCAGGCGATGATATGCAGTTCCCCTTGCTTGATGTCGCTTCTGATTATGGTAATATTCCGCTACTGCCTTATCGTCACGACAGACCTGGAGTTCTCAAATACTAACGCAGAAAAGGTAAATTCGTGAACGTCGCTCTCCTCCAGCGACATGACATGTTGGGAAAACGGATATATGCAGCGCAGGAATACTACCGCCCCTCTAGAATAGTTAATGAGCTATCAGAGATATTGGATAGACCAGCGCGAGTGCTCAGTCTTCCGCCAGCAGAATTCCAGAAGCTGATGCCGGACGCAATGGCTGAGGATTTGACTGAGATGGGTCAGGCGTTTGTGTCGCCTGGCTATTATGGTGGTGCAGATCTTGCAACGAGTCAAAAGTTGCTGCAAGGTAATTTGACCACGTGGAAAGATTTTGTGAAACACCACGCGGAACGGTTTCTTCAGGATGCTTGACATCACATTACCTACTATTCTCATTGGGGGATGTATAGCACTTATAGCTTGATAGTGGGGATGCTAACGCTTCTAAATTTCCCATTGATGTAAATTGACATATAACTTTGTTTTTTACAAGTGTTAATTCCGGAGCATGCCATTCTCCAGACGCCTTGAGAGTGAGACTTGGTGTGCTGCCCTATGCATTAAATTGTTTGGCTCGATAGCGGGTCTCGAATACACGAGTCATAAATATCTTGATATATCTGTTTTACTCATTCTAATAAGAAGATTTAAGTGATTTACGCAAAATGATTAAGTCTGATTGCAATTTGAAGAATATGGGAGGGTATACAACAACATCCTGTTCTATCTCTTCATTGGCTTCACCACAATTCACCGTTCATAATGATAAAATATTTTACGACAACTCCAGCAGCTCTGATCAATAAACAGACCTCTAGACGTAATCAAGTGTGCCCCGTTGATCCAACGGGCTTTTTCCTCGCGTAGAAATGCGACGGTAGATGCGATTTCTTCCAGCTCTGCTATTCTAGCGCCTACTAGTGTTTTATTTATGATGGGCTGTAGGATCTTCATTTGCTCCTCCCCGGCCTGGGAGAATCCTCTGTTTTGGTTGGACCTGGACTAACTGCAATAACAGTGCACCCGTACTCCGGGTTAGGTCTTTGGCCCTGTGCTATGTCCATTAGATTACGGGTTCGAAAAATGTTTCAACGTGTTGGACTCACCAGCATTTCATGAAGGAATCGACCATCCGCGAATGACTGCTTTCGAGCATTGAAACTGTGTAAAAATAGTGTAATAGAAAACTATCACATACACCAATTGATATGTAACAAACGAGTTGACATAGTTATGAAGTTTATTGAAAGAAAATCAGTTATAATGAGGATCAGCGAAATGATTTATAGAAATAATTAAACAAAAGATGCACCGAAGCACTGGGTAGATGAAAAACGATATGAAGAGATTAACCCTTTTGTGAAGTGATCAGGTAGTATTATCCATTTTAATCCTTTCCAAAATTTCGCGGGCGCCAGCGAATTCGAATTCAGCCATTGTCTCATCCCATAGTGCGTCCATAACAGGTTTCCCTTCCGGGAGATAAACAAGATTCATGAATCTATTCGCACTTTGTATTTAGTATTGCTCATCTATCGGGGGAAGCACAAGACACGTACGGGTGAATATCCCAGTCCATGCAAAAACTGCCATGAGACTCTTTACCCTTTGTCACGGCAGCATCAATGTATGTCCATGCTCCGTCCTCGGGATTACGTCCAGCTATACATTTCCAAGTATCCAAGAAGACAGCAACAGGCCCCTTAGCGAATCTGTGGAGATCAGAGCCTTTGCACATTCCCGGCTCTACCAGATTGACAATGACGTCATTTCCGTTGACTTTTTCGGCCAAACGAGCGAAGAAGAGGTGCCCTAAGCATTTTGAGTCGAAATATCTTTGTGTTGCGTTATACGGGAGGATTTCGGGGTCGTCAAATGTAGTCAGAAATGGCCGTATATTTCTAGTTGCCAACTTCGCCCACAGGGCCGTTCCAGAGCTGACAATCGTAAGCCGACCGGGACTATCCTGAGGTGCTTTATTTTTGGATATGGGTAGCATGAGAATTGCTAGAAGGAATGTAGAGAGATAGTTGACCTGGACGACTTCCTCGTGGCCAGTGGAGCACACTTTGAAAGTTGGTTGTATGATACCAGCATTGAGAATCGTAATATCCAGTCGTGGCAAATCTTTATCAACTCTCTCACAGAAGCTTTGAATTGAAGGATATGAAGTCATCTCGAGAGGCCAGACTTCTATTTTCGCAGCTGGATAGTCAGAACGAAGCTTTTGTGCTGCCGACGCACCCCTCTCCAGAGACCGCACTGCGAGAACAAGATGCGATAACTTCAGAGAGAGAAGATGGCGTGCAGAGTAGAATCCTAAACCTGTACTACCGCCGGTAATTATAGCGACTTGTCCCGACAAATCAGTACCGGCTGGGGCTTGACGGGTTTTGGTCAAGAACTGAGACTTGATGAAGGGCCGCCAGAAGCTTGTTGTAGCCATATGGCCAAGCTGCATAGACTTAGAAGGAGGAAGCATGGTAGGATACCAGACAGGTTATCTTTTGCCCTAGTAGGATGGTTGAGAATGGTTGAGGAATAGATTTTGTATGAGGTGAACTATGAGTGGCATCGACGTTTAAATATTTCGCCAACTGCCATATTATATGCTTGCATCTTCGACATCTGATTGGCCAGACGCAGCCAGGCTCATACTGGCTTCGTTGCTTTGCTTCTTTGCTTTGCTTCTTCCGAGTGACTTGAGATGAGCCAATGATATGACTCGAAATCAATAAACTGTTCCTAAATAGGCAATCAATAATGTCTTGGCACGCAGCCTTCTCGAGGAGCGGGCCGAGAGTCCCGTGACTAGTTGGCTTTTCTTCACTGTTTCGTAGACCATCGACTTCCAAAAGACAGATTAGATTGATGCCATGATTAATGACTTTTCATACAGCAGGGTTATTGAAGGGACCTTCACATGGGTACCAAAAAGCATGAATCGGCTTTCCGAAAAAGGGAAGCCGGTCAATGCTTGGAACGGCCTTCTCGTGGCCCCTTCATCATAGCCACCGGCCATGATAACATCAAACCCGATGCAAGATCCCGGAAATTTATTCGCCACCATGTAATGCGAGGCAAGAACCAGAAGCGTGTCGCTTCTCAGGATTACCAGTTGGGTTCTTGGATAAATCGTGAGCATGAAGTGCCCATGTCGCAACTGGTCGCGACAATCAAAGGGGCGTCGGAAGGCCGTGTGCCTAATCCCATTAAGCTCCAAATTAGCGGGCTAAGCTGCATTTATATAGGTTTCTCGGCGAATGATATGGGGCCATGCACACTGCAGCTTCTGTATGAATGTGAGAGCTTCTTCATCCACATCTCTTCTATGTAGTCCAGATGCGTCTACTAACACAAGACACACGCAGTTATCAACGCAGTGAACAAAGCAATGTATCCGGGTGAATGTTGTGTTGATATCCATAAAGCAGGTCAATGTTGGTTCGAGAGTCTAAGCTATGATCCTGCGTATGCCCAAGCCGTGCTGTACACTGCTCAAGCCTACTTCGACTTTGTCAAGAGTCGGGTGTTAGGGCCAAAGGCTATCAGACATATAAACGCCACCATGCATCTGCTGCAGCAGTCTCTCGCAGAGCCTAATGAAGCAACTAGTGACTCGACAATATTTACAATAATGGCATTGGCCATGGTTTCGGATGTTCTCGGAGACCTTGAAACGGCCAAGAAACATCTTCTTGGTTTATATCAAGTAATCAGTACCCGTGGTGGTATAGAAACACTTTCTCAAAACCGTTCATTGCAAGTTAAATGTTGCAGGTCAGCTTCACTCTAAATACTATATTCTTTCCGCTGATTGAAAAACAACGATGCAACAGACTTGATCTTCTAATTTCTCTCAAAATCGACAGCCGGCCGCTTTTTTACGCGGGTGATAATATCTCGTGGAGCACATATCTCATCGCTACACAGAAAATATACCCAACAACTACACCGGTTAATATGATGTGTGAGATACCGGACTTCAGACTCGCCAACGTATGGCTTGACCTTCGTGAGTTTATAATAGCAATCAATCTAGCGCATCAAACCCACCGCACTATCTCTGCAGAGCTTTTTCAAGAGACTTTAATTTCGGTGCAATACCGTTTACAGCACCTGAGCTATAATAATTGTGACCCGCACGAAATTCTTCGGCTCTCGATGCTTGCCATTTCGAATACAATATTTTTGAAAGCCGATGGGGATACAATACATTACCAAAGCTCCGCTGAGAAGCTGAGAGTCGCTCTGCAGTTCCGAAACCCGAAAGAAGACCGTAAAGGGCTTGAGCTAAACTTATGGCTCATATTTGTTAATAGTATATATATATTGGATTTAAAAGGTGATGCCTGCCTTTTGATGCGCGATATGCGTACTATAAGTCGAGAGTTAAGATTAAGCACTTGGGAAGCTATCAGAACGGTGTTGAAAAGTTTCTTATGGGTGGATGTGATGTACGATAAACATGGGAAGAAGTTTTTCAACGAAGGAAAGGCTTTGGAGAGTGGCTGAATTGAAACACGATTTGCGAGTCGAAATAAGTAACATTTCCCGTTCATGACCCCTGAGAACCATTTGAATATCTTATTACCTAGATTGAACACGCCCTGGCACCCGAACAACTGTTGTCATAGAAGGGAAATAGTCTAGAACATGATTCTTCTCGTGAGAATTTTATTGATGTTAACATTGAATTTGATATAAATGGAAGGTCAAGAAGAGGCTATATACGGGGATATCTAATGACTCAAGGAACGATGGATACAGACAGATTATGAACATCCGACGAACTTTGTATTTATGTAAGATATTGTATAAAAGGTCCATCTTTTATGAGAGTTTATCTAAATAAAATAAGTAGTAGAAAAAATAGTAACCCACAGACATAAAAAGTCACTCCTTCTACTTGCAATTTGGAACGTACTTGTCAATTCGAAGTATATGTACCGATTCTCACTGATTCGTCGCCCAATCTATGATGCTTTCTACAAAATCGTAGGCTATATCAAATTTGACTCCGTCTGGGTTGGTCACGTTGACTAGTTGATCTGTATGTCAATAGTTAGCAATATATCATGATATGAATATGAGCTATAATCATCAGAATAGAAAGAAGTCGACTAACACCAACTCTCATCGGCCTCAGGATGGGGACCGACAAGCCCAACCCATCCTTTCCCGAAAGGAGTCACAGAGGCAGCAATATCTCCGTTACTTGAATACTTTCCAAGAATAAGCGCGGACGCGTTTGGTGCCAATTTCATGACAGCCCCGTCTTGGAAATACAACCATCGACCATCCTGTTCTTGGCCTTTGTTTGGGCCTGTGTGGAAAGTCCAATCAACTTGGATGACAGTGTCCTTGTAGTTCTTCACCTGCGCGCCGGGTTGATCTGCCTCATCAGCTATATACGAGCCTGGAGGGAGAATATCATATCCAAGTTTGGGACCGGCTAAGTACGCTCCGAGGCAAAACCCGGCATATATTCCGCCTTGAGCGACATAATCGCGGATGGCTTTTTTGTACTTTTTTGTATGCTTCCATCCGGGCTCGAGATCTATCGAAAACCGGTTAATAATGCGACATGTAGGTGGTGTAACCAAGTCAAGAGTAGAAATATCTTTGCGATATGTAAAAGGAAGACAACAACTGACCACCGCCTCCTGGCTGAACGAAGAGATCAACTTCATTCAAAGACTCCGCGTTGATATCAATTTCCTCATTGGGCCCGGCGTACTTGACAACGAATTTAGACGAAGAAGACTCGAGGATCGCGGCAACTGATTCTGGACAGCCGTCACAGGCAGCGGGTCCACGATAAATCAATGCCTTTGGACTCGAATCAGAGTCTCGGGTGGCCATCACAGTACCAAAAAGAAAGAGAGCGAAATTGAACGAACGCATTGTGCTGGGATCTGGAACTGAGCCAAATAAGGGACTACCTGTATGCTCTCTAGTTTGCAAATCCAAATGGGGAAATTACGCAATATATAAATGCACTACGTATGACTAGATAATCAATAGGCAGACGAATTATTTAGTCAGCTCGTATCCACAAGCACCTTGGGATCTGCACGAAGGAATGCGCTTTCCCGGTGCTAGAAGTAGTTTGATGAGCCGCTGAACGGGCGTTAAAGCTTAATTGTGCAATTGAACCAAATTTGTCGCCTGCGGATAGAAAGACACATGTAGTTGAATGGGTGTTACTAAAAATAAATCCTCACAAACCCCTGCACACCCTCAACAATCATTTCAAATTTCCTACTGCGCTCTAATATTAACCCTAATCCTACATATGTACTTACCCCCTAATCTAATACTCCTACAAAGTAAATGATCCGTTGGTTCGATGCGATAGAGGGATAGGATCTACCTGAGACGGCGTGAGCACATCTGTTGCCCGTGAGCATTTCAAGATTTGTGCTGCAACTGCGCCTCAGGAGGAACACGGTATCGGTCCCAGTTCCTCCCGGCGGTATGTGCACTGTATCTAAATGGATGAGGAGGAGTTAGTGTCTGTCATCTATAAGGCGCCGCCGCGAGAGGGCTCCTTGAACAAGGATGGCTTGGTGAAACTCATCCTGAAGGACTGGGAGCCGGACGTTATGGTTCTATTATCAGGTGCGCGATGAGGGATCCAGGGAGAGTGAGTATCACCGTTCTTCCAAATTTTACTTTGGTAAATAATATCTATGTAGGATACGGTCCCAACCGAAATGTCAACATTGAAGGTATCAAGATGCAGAATACTTAGTCTCATTCATTAGGAGATCATCTACTTCTCAGCACATGCAATTGGCAGACTTGTTTTCTTCTCCAGTCGGTGCACAGGCATTGATCTTCCTCAACTTCCGCTAGATGAAGAAATCGAGCTTCCATCTCTTCCAACACGGTTAATGGGTGTGATGGCTTCAATTGGTGCATTGAGCTTTTTAGCGGTTGGGCCTCCTGGGTAAGTTGTAGATGTGATAGAGAAGCGGATATACGAGACTGATATTGATGGGTTTAATGTATCATTTGTGACCACTCTCGGAAAATTTGAAGACGTAGTTGATCTTCTTGTGCCCGAGCTACGACGCTGTGGGTTGTACCTGAAAAGCTAGAATCCGCAGAGGAGCCTTTAACGGCAAGGGCAAAAGTCTATGGGCAGAGTCAGAGTAAGCTTCGTGATGACCACGTGGGAAGCTGATATGAGTATGACATTTATCAGGAAGATCCTCTATTTGCTCCGGAAGCGAAAGCTTGATTATTTATGAATTTAACTAGTCCAAAATTTTGGTTTTATAGAACCATCGAAATTCAACAATTATCTTGAAATCCTCACATCTCTAAATTTCCAGAAATACAACATGGCTATCAATGCAATTCCCGCACTTTATTTTGCCTGGTCCCTGATTCCAGACTATTCTGCCATTTACATGTATAATAATTACCAAGGAGCTAAAATACCCCACAAAAACACTCGCCTACCAGTCATGGGAAGTTTATCAGAAACCCGGCCAGAACCCGGGCCGCGAGAGCCTAGTCATGTACTTGGGTCGTGGTTGATCGTTCTCTTCATTGAGAAAATAATTACAGCTGCCGTCGTCCGGTACAGGTGCGTGTTTCTATAATCCGATATCCAATACGATTCCGAATTTATTTTGGGCCAGGTGCTTCAGCAGGTTATTAAATAAAATTGTTTTAAAGAAAGTTTCCGTATAATAAGGAGGTGGCCAAGGACAAGGGAATATTGGTACCCTCGTTAGATCAGACTGAAATGGGAAGTTTCTTGATACTGTGCCGCGGTAATTTACTTTCTACTAAGAACATATTGATTTATTCTTTCCATGGCAGTGTTTTGAAGTAGCTACCAATTTACGCGTCTAAGGTTGGGTTTGAGAATGCGTTACAATGGAGATAGTCCGTATTCCGTAGATCTTTTCTTAAATCAGTAGTAAGTGACATTAAACTATTCATGGGTTGTTAATGCCTCCATCGACGTAAATATTCTGGGCAGTAATATAGCCACTGGCTGGACTTGACAAAAAGAGAATCGTAGCCGCAACTTCTTCGGTGGTTCCTTCTCTCTTGATGTGTTGGTTTCTCTCTAGCCTTGCAGCTACTGGGGATCCCTGCATACTCAGATCGGTCTTTATCGGACCAGGAGATACGACATTGATGGTTATTCCTTTGGGTCCTAGTTCTTCTGCTAGCGCAGATGACATCGATGCCATTGCCCCTTTAGAAGCCCCGTAGACCGGAAGCATATACGATCCCAATTTTGCGATGATGCTGGAAATATTGACAATACGCCCACCACTGCTCATATATGGTAAGGCGGCTTGGATAAGAAGAAATGGACCACGGACGTTCACTCGGAAAATGTTATCCCAAACATCCACGGGTACCTCGGCAGCGCCATCATGGATGACCGCAGTTCCAGCATTGTTCACTAGAATATCGATTTTTTTCGTATTAAATGCCTTGAGAGTTCCGGAGACTAGAGCCGTGCCGAAATCTACGGAAGAAGCATCCGCTTGGATGGCAGTTGCTTGGACGCCGAAGCTTTTGATCTTGTTAACCACTTCCTGAGCTGCAGCGGCATTAGAGCTGTAGTGTAAAGCCACCTAATTTACCAAAACAGTCAGCTGTTGTTTACTTTTTGGGTTTCTAATGAGCTTGGGAATAGGAAATGTCGTACATTTGCACCATGTTCAGCCAATGCAATGGCAGTCGCGGCTCCTATCCCGGAGAGCTTTGAGGATCCAGTCACAATGGCCACTTTGCCAGAGAGATATTGGTCTTTAGACATTGTTCTTGAAAGTGTTTTAAAGAGTACGTTATATTGGTATGTGTCGCAATTGAAAATGGTGACGAACTGCACCAGCTTTGGACGACTGAGGATTGGAGTTGTGACTTCTTTATTTGCTGAACTTTTATTCTCTGTTCTCAAATTCCCGGTTGAAGAAAACCTTTATATAGTATAACCAGGTAAGCTAAATATAGATGATCATAAAACTATATCATCAGTAAGCAATCGAAGTTTTATTACATTAATAATCTCATGCTTGTTACTAAGCTTGTTGTCGACGAGAAACTTAACGAAGACACTGAAAGTTCCACGTATTGATGCATTCTAGATAATCATACGTTCACCTACGTCTCAAGAGCCTGTCCAATAGCATGAATATACTTAGTAAGACTTGCATATTTTCACACGACGGTACGATCTCAAAAGAGCATTTGTCACTCCTAATTTGTCAGCTCGGGTTGTCATTGGCTATATTACGAAAGGCTATACCGTTTAAGGCTTTTTAGCGCCGCCGAATCCGCCGGCGCTAACACTTTAGCTTCATTCTCGCCGCGTCGCCGAGAATGCTCAACCAATGACAATACTGGAACTTTTTGGTTCATCCATGTCTTCATATTCATGCATTTCAGCTGCATTTCTAACCTTCATCTGTCACTATAGGCATGATAAATCATATCATTTGTCAGGTCAATTACTTTGCCAGAAGACCTCGCCTGGGATAACATCATGTATATTAAGCAAGACTCTAGCCACTATTTCTACTACATAATTTGTGAAGGATATCTCAAGCAACAATAATAGTAATTCACTTTCATCACTACAATTTATTCTACCGTACTACGTGATCTATCCATCTAGCTCAACTCAACAGTGGTTATTCACATCAAACATCATGCCTTCTGTTTTATTGGTCGGTGCAACTGGAATGCTCGGAGGTAATAAATATTGCGGTTACTGCTCTGTTAAAGTTATTAATTGATATCTGACATCTTTCCTCACCAGCATCACTCTCCCGGCAGCTGAAAGAAAAATATCCTAACTGGCCACTTACTGTATATTTCCGAAATGTACAGGCTGATTATTGGTTTCGCAATGTCGTTGGTGTGGACACAATCGAACATGGAGCATTCGAGGATACGGCCAAAGTCCGAGCTTTAGCGGCAGAACATGACATTGTGATCAACACCGGGTCTTCTTTTGACCCCACTCTATCTCAAGCAATTGTTGAAGGATTGAAACAAAGGAGAGGTTCCCAAAAGGGAACTCTGATTCATGTTAGCGGTGGAGGTAACTTTATCGACCTTCGAAAGGATGGGAAGTATAGCCCTGATAGTAAAGTGTGGAATGTGAGTTTTTATTTACTTTTTGTATCTCCTTCCGAGAAAAGAACAATAGTTAATTCTTGATACTATCAATATAGGATGCCAATGAGGATGACATCAAACTAATCAACAGCAGCATGCTTAATGGAGCGGCAGATCGCCTGTAAGTTGTCCAATCTCAAAACTCGTGTGTTTGGGAATTTTCTTATCGATAGGATATTCAGAATTCTAGATGCTGGAAATGAAGGCAATATCAATACATTCATCGTTTGCCAGGCATTGACCTATGGAGTCGCAGAAGGACCACTACCATCTCTTGGTATCGGATACAAAATTTTAACAGGAAATGCCAAATCAATTGGATTTGTTCCTTATGTTGGTGATGGCAGCGCACTTCTTAGTGTAGTAAGTCAAACAGAGCAGATTCCAGAATATTTCACACGGGAGCAGTCGGCTGATACCGAGTAAAAACAGATCCATGTTAACGATGCATTGAACTTCATATTGAAAATTGTTGATCTGGCTGTAAGCGAGGTAGTTACTGGCCCTGCGGAAAGTCGGTATTACAATATCTACGGGGAACGAGTTGCCTGGAAAGATGTTGCCACTGTGTTGGCTAGAACTTTGCATAAAAAGGGGCTCTTCTCTTCCTCGGAGGCCCGAAGTGTACCAATTGAACAGGCAGGCGAAGGCGAGATTCCAAAGCTTTTAGGGTCTAACATGTTGATGCAAGGTGATAGAGCAGCATCACTAGGGTTCAAAGTGACTGCTAGATCTATTTTGGAGCACATCCCAGAGGACTTGGAAGCATACTCTTTCTAATAAGACCGCTTGGGTTTGATAATTTCAATATCAACAGCAATGCTAGCAAAATAGCGCATTATATTAGAGAGTTCTGCAGGGCGGCCAACGCCATCGTTGCATACATGTAATACTAATCCACATTGTTATCTCTTTTCTTCTTATGCATTAGTCTAGCAAGCAGCAGCACGCTTTTTTCATAGCTTCTATTCTGATATTATTACTATATTGAAGGTTTCTTGGCATGATTGACTTTCTCATAACGACTGGTTTATCTTACACGACAAAAAGTTTGATTATAGTATCAACCCTTTCATCATTCCAGCCGCATTTATATCAAATTATGTCTATTAAATTTAGACTTCTCGGGGGATCACCGGTAGATAATGCAAAAGTTCAAATTGTATTAGAATGGTTATGAGGAGAATTCCTACATCTAGTTTCACTTTTGTGGTGCTATATTCAAACTTTTGTCACCTTACCGTAACCTCACTGTTTTCAATGCCTTAGAAGTTTCATCCATAACCAATTCATACGTGTAATAGTGAAAAATAACATGGTGATTTCGTCACTTGCATCACTTCCGACAGCCGAGTGTCGACAGGCTTCATTCATTAGCAGCACGGACAGCTAACTTTCTATGAGCTGGAGCAATTTTTGACCTGGAAATTAAGAAGCAACTCACAATTTCTTGGTAATATTATCCACGAAAGGATACCACAGCACTGATATGACGCAGAGAAGGATCACAACAAGCCGAAATACTGGGTTTTCGATTAACGTAGCGAAAAGGCCGTTGTGGCGGTTCGAAGAGAGGCAACACCTGAGGCAGGAAGTCAGGCGACTTCCTCATTTGCACGCATAAAAATGACTTCGATTTCTCTGCGTATCATAATTCTCTTCTCTAAGCTTAGTGTTTTTCGTGAATAGACACCATAAACCTGCTTTATAACTGGCCTCTCACAGCCGGGAGACTGCTTGCCAGTCGTTCCTGCTATATACTTGAGGAGAAATTCGAGATCTTCACCGTAGAGTCAGGAGTAGAAATTAGAAATAAACTTACCATCTTTCGAAGGGTCCGGTTTACAAGCTATTCATAAAACCAGAATACCTGTTGAGGGAACTAATCATATCATTAGTTTCTATCACTTTAGATCCATATAATACTCACTTCGTAATTGAGTTAATTGATGTTAGGAGGCCTCAGGCCATTCGCCTGCACCGCCCACTACAGAACGCACAAAAGGCCTCCGCAGCTTCCTCATCCTTCTTCAATTGGGAAGACTGCGAGTTGACATTTTGGATGGACGAGTTTTGGATAAACGAATTTCGACAGCGTCTGGCTAGAGGGTTGGGGACGAGGTATGGAGACGAAAGGTTGTAAATGTGACGGTGCTGGCAACCCTTACTATATGAGTACGTTGTGGAGAGGATTCACCATCCTCAACATTCTGGTCAGTTGGCGCAGCAGCTTAGTAAGCGAATACTCCTGCTTGCGAGGTTGTAAACAGGAGGGGAAGCTGAGGCAGAAGTAAGATAATTTGAAGGCGAGGAAGGTACTAATTACCTCCACGTGACGCTCTGCTCTTTGTTTCTATGTCCGCACTAAATAGAGGGATGTCCAGTTAGGATCCACGAAGGCTTAGTCTGTTCACGAAATGCTTCTAATGAAGCAACAATCGGGGGCTTTGATTTGCCATGTATGCTAATAAATTTCTTGAATATGGCATTTATTACCGTCCAAGCGTGGAAATTTTGCTGTCCATCAGGCATCGATGACAAATACGTTAAGACCACAGATGTGGCAAGGAATGGGGGATCTTGTCGGAATAACCACATCCAGCCAGGGTTTATAATTTCTGCTTCAAGAGATAGGAGTCTCTGTAACATATTAAGGGCCCGGGTGAAGTTCCTGCATAAGATTTTAGAGAATTTCTCGCTTTTGTGACCCTAGAAATTGGCGCGGATCTTATCTCTCACGGGCACAAGAAAACTTACTCGAAACTATGCGATGGAGGAGGCTGGCCGAATCTGATATAAGCCTGTCCTGCCATTAGTCGCATATGGTCACAATCAATTTCGACGACTTCCTTTGCGAAAGTTGCTAGAGACATCATATCATCGCCCACAGCAGTAAAGTACGAATTTGCTCTTTCAGCTCCGGCGTCGATATGTCGCATTTGCTCATCATATGAGCGGCTTCGCAGATTCTGTCGAAGTGGACAAAGCACCTTGAGAGTTTCTCGTTTCAGTAATATTGTGCTCATCTGGGAAAATGCGCCTGTTGATCGTGGGGCGTCACTTGGCTTCGAAAAGGGGCTTGTATTCCAGTCGCAGTCGTTGACATTTTCAGGAAGCTTTGTATCCCAAGCAAACCCAAGTACTGTGATTGCGCCTTGAAGAGCTATTGCTCTCTGATCAAGTAAGATAAGCTGATTCCACAGTCTCCTACGATGCTCAGCACCCCATGGGGTATAATTAAACCAGGACGGATCTCTATGGAGACCAAGGCGTTGAGCATTACGAGCGGCAAGCCCAAGTAAAGTTGTTGCAGTTCGATAGTATCCTCTCGCAAACAAAAAGGTCTAGCATACCAACTTGTTAATATTCGCAAGGATTTCAAGCCTTTCTAAAAGAAAACTAAGAGCTAAGCATACCAGGTAGTAGAGGAATGTCTGAAAGACAGCAATCTTGTTGCTATTAATAAAATCGAGGTGATACAAGGCCATTTCTTGTGCTTCTTGGTATTTATCAAGAATCGACTCACGTTCAACCCCGAAAGTGGCTACTATGCTGTTGGGGTTGGGTTCCAAGCTGGCCGCAGCTAGTCCGTATACGGAGAATAATAGCGATGTGAAAGTACGCATCTGAGGGTGCTTCCCCTTGCGGAAAAGAGACAAGTCTGAAAGAAACGTGTCTTTATGCACCATTCGAACAAAGGGATCGACGTTGTTAAAGAAGACCGTCACTAGAAAATCTGCCTCTAGTTCTGGGGGTTGATAACTCTCCAAAGTCTCACTCTGGTAGGCAATTCCAACAAGGAAAGGTTGATAATTTTCTTTTGGGCCTTCCTCATTTTCATCTTCAACAGTCATATCGAAATGAGTATCTCGGATCTAGTATACAGATATTAACAAGCTCGCTATCGGCACCCGCAACCAGAGGTACAAAATTACAACAACTCACCTTAGGAAATAGTTCAACCCAATGCATGTAGTAATCAAAATGGACGGAAAAATCGTTGCCTAGAATCTGGCGACCACAATGACACTCTAGCTCAGGCGATGCTTTGGTAGAAGTTGCTAGTGTGAGGTTGGCATCGGGGGAAGCTGTCACAAGCCCGGATGTAACAAACTGTAGCCGAGCTTCCAATTGTTGTATTCGTTCATAAAGCTCAGAATACGTATCTGTAGGAGTTCGCGTGTCTGGTTGATAGAAACAATCTGAGAATGCCTTTTTGCAGTTTTGACATGGCTTTTGCTTGTCGCACTTGATTTTCTTCTGGCGACATTGTGAACACGGGGGTGATTTCTTCAATAGTCCTTCACCAGGGGAAATCTCGGAAGTCATCAATACAGGATCATTCATCTTTGGCGAATATTGCATAATCAGCGTAGAAATGCCACGAGCTGTAGGTGATGCACGAGCGATGACAAATGAGCTTGAAAGAGAGCGATTGGTGCAGCGTGCAGCCCCGCCTTGAATCGCCCCGCCATTGTGGGCGACAAGTTAGACTTCTGACACTGGTTTACAAATGGCCACGGTCGTCCAGGATCCAGCGCCTTTTTCGAGTGTGCATGATAGACTAGATTTTATAGTTGAAGATTATCTTTTTTACCCGGTTGATATAAGGCGCAGGTCCAATCTACGATCTATCGATATTCATGTCAAATTTGTAGATGATAGACTTGACAGCGTACTATCGAATTCGTCTTAAACCAATCATATATCAGAAATACAAAATAATTGTGGGTCGCTTGACATTTTGTAGGCACTGTGAGCAATGGTGCAATCAATTGATTTGGCGGCTCTGTAAGCACTAACGAATAACTAATGAGTATGACACTAATGGAAACATGTTGGTTGGCCTTGGACTAGAAGGGAGATGCTACCTCAACTTACCTTCCAATATATCTACTATTGAAGTACAAAAAATCGACTGTCGCATCCATGGCAAACACATCTCCCGCATCACAATGTCGCCTCGAACCTATCATCCTGAATGACGAGGACCAATTCATCGAGCTCCAAAGACAACGCGTCCTGTGCGGGTGGGACTATGACCCAGAAACTATAAAGAGATGGAAAGTGAAGCAAGAAGAGAAACTGAAAAGCCTCTTTTGGATAACGATACCCGATTCTAGCGACAAAGACAAGGAGCTCCTCCGCACTGGCCATATCTCCTTAGACGCAAATTCAAGCTTTGACCCGCCGGAGCTTAAAAATTTCCCACACGTAAAAAACTGTGTGTTTTCTATCAGTTCGTTCTTTATCCTACCCGAATATCGTTCATACGGTTTGGGAAGACATGCAATGAAAATGGCGGAAGATATGGCTGTCAAAGAGCCGTATGGCAGCCCGAATTGCCGTTTTATTGCACTGAATGCCTTGAGCAAACGGTATATATATGATGAAGGGCCGGACTGGAGAGGAGTCTGGGAAAGACTTGGGGTGTCGCCGCCGTCATTCAGTATTCAAGAGTGGTACGAGGCGCTTGGGTATGTGAGCTGGAAGGAAGAGCCTTTGTACGAAGAAAAGGCTTTAAACGGGGATATCGTTAAGCTATGGGAGGCATTCATGAGAAAAGAGGTACAGAGGATAGCATAGCCGAAAGTGGAAATCCCCTTAGAAAGACTTCTAGAATTTCAATCACTGAAAACTGCCCTGCTCAAACTACAGCATCGGCATAAAGTTATTAAACATCAGGAGGGCCATCGAGTATACAATTTTACCTGGATTTTAATACGTTGAGATATGTTATTAATTTCACCTAGACTTTTGCTGAATGATTGTACCTGTAAGCTTTGGGCGAGTATAACTTTCAATCAGCATCGAGGAAGTAAGATACATACGTTAGCACAAAAACATTACAAACCCCTATTTTGTCGATATCTATGCACGGCACACAATATTTCACAGTCAAATTTTTGTAACAACTTTCTTACTACGCATAGACATGTTATGCCGAAATCATCGGTATATCGGCACAACTCCGACAACCCCCTCATTATTGCATAGCCAGGATGCAAGGATCGACATAAGATCTTCACACTCCACACCCCATAACGGCCGGTTGATTTGAATGTCAACTTTTTACATACACGGGATATTCTTAGCCATAGATAATTCTCACATGTCATACTTCAAGTACGTGAAACTCTTAGAGAATTTACAGAGCTTCTCACTGGCAGATATCAACAATGTTTCCGATCATAAATAAGGCTTTGGAGTAGATATTACGATCAACAGCGCATTTGATTCATTTAACGAGACATAATTGGTGATGCCGATCATACTGTCTTGTCAGGCCTAATTCGGATTTACTCCGAGGGATTTCGGGGTCTTGTTAAATCGTATTTCACAACCGTATGCAACCCGGGGTTATGACGCCCCGGGTACTTTGTACATTAGATAAACTTGCATATTGTCGATATTTCTACACTTTTTATCTATTGTTCATCTTCCCTATTTCAAATTCAAAGTGTGGATAATCTGGCCATACCAGTAGTGGCACGGTTGGGAAGCCTTTGGAGGACACCCAGGCTCATATATCAATTGATTCCACCATCCTCCCTTCGATGGAGTTAGTTTCTCATCGCAGACCCGCATATAGACCCTAATAAAAAGCAACATGTTCTACACAGGAACCACTTGGCTTCGCGGAACCCCCCTTCTCTCCGCTATCACCTCTGTCTGTGCTTCTGCCTTTCTCCTCTTCGGCTACGACAATGGCGTCATGTCCGGCGTCGTCATTTCGTCTTATTGGCTTCAAGAAATGGGCCACCCTTCCACAATCATGGTTTCGACTATAACAGCCTTGTATGATGTCGGGGCAGTGTTTGGTGCCATCGCCGCTGCTTTCACAGCAGAAAAGCTTGGTAGAAAAAGATCGTTGATATTCGGAAGCATTATAGTGGTGATCGGGTCGATCTTGATGGGAACCAGTGTCGAAAGAGTGCAAATGATGGTTGGAAGAATTGCGACTGGTTTTGGTGCGTGAAAAATTTCAACATTGGTACATGGCTTTCTTTTAACCGACTCTAGGAATTGGTTATTTGACCTCAGCTGCCCCGGTTTACCAGTCTGAAGTCTGTCTACCGTCCCAACGAGGCTGGCATATGTGCAGCCAGCTGTCAATGATGCTTTTCGGGCTTATGATCGCATATTGGATGAACTACGGTTTTTACTTCCATCCGGGCACCCTCCAGTGGCGCTTTCCTCTGCTCTTTCAAATAATTTTCGCCGTCTACATGATTATTGTCGGTGTCTTCTTACCAGACACCCCCAGATGGCTCATGTGGCACCGCCCATCCACAGACGAAGGCCTTGCAGTCCTTTCGCGGCTTCGGAATCGCCCAGGTAGTGATCCTGCAGTGGTTCAAGAGCAAGATGAAATTCTTGAGGCAATTCGCATCGAGTCGCAGGAAGAAGGCACATGGATGGATCTATTTCGTGACGGGGGTACTAGAGCCGATAAGCGGTTCTATCTCGCATTGGGTATTCAGTTCATGCAGCAAATGGCCGGTATCAATATAATCACGTACTATGCGCCAACCTTGTTTACAGAGAGTCTAGGAATGACGCAAGAGCGCGCGCTCCTGGTGGGGAGTTTTCTGCAGGTGTGGTACATCTTTGCTTCATTTTTGACAGTAAGCCAATCACTTTATCCTGCAAGCTTTTAGAGAATAAAAGCTAACATCAACTTAGTGGTTTATGATTGATGTTGTCGGTCGACGGCGACTGCTAATCTCTATGGCACTGGGAATGTGTGCCATTATGATCTTTGAGGCAGTATGTGTTGCTATTGATAATCGATCTTCCAACATTGCAGCCGTAGCTCTTGTGTTTCTTTTTGAGGGCTGCTTCACCTGGGGTACGGCCGATAATATTGTAGATGTCATGTTGATCATGATAGCTGACCTAATCTAGGGTGGATGGCATGTGTTTGGATATACCCGCCGGAGATCCTTCCATTGAAAATCCGAGCCAAGGGCGCAGCTTTAGCTGCAGCAGCAGATTTTGTTGGTAATTTTCTTGTGCGTTCTCTTCTCTTTTCGTAGACAAATCTATTCTATCCAAAAGCCTAACAAAGGTCCAGGTTGTCGAAATAACACCCCCAGCTCTTCAAAATATCGGCTACAAGACCTACATAATTTTCGCGGTCTTCAACATCGTAAATGCTGCAATTGTCTTCCTCTTTTATCCGGAGACCATGAGCCTGCCTCTCGAGTCTGTCGATTTGCTTTTCATTCAAAAGAACGAATCGATGGACGAGACATCTTCAAAAAGAAAATCATTTTATCAGCACTTACAGTGGTGGGTTGTCCCCAAGGCTTGGGAATTGGTCAAGGAAGAACGAACAACCGGCACTGCAAGACTCGTGGGAGGTGAAGGTAATGCAATCGAGAGGGCGGAGGAGCAACGGTCAAACGAAGATTCCCCTGTTGGTAATATCAACAGCTCAAAGGGGGATGAGGGTAATGCGGTGCAAGCCGATCATATCGGTTGATTAGTGGCGTTTTCAAAAGGAAAGTGTGGTATTAAGTACCAAGTAGTGCTTGTCATTCAAAAGATGCTATCATACACATGTAGCGTACTCCTTTTGTTGATAAAGGGCAATTGGTCGGCCGAGGCTAAAACCATTTCTCCCCACGACTTATTCAAGAGAGACGGTACTATGGATATTCATCTTCTTTGTCTTTCAAAGCCCAAAATCTTTCCCGCAACAACAAAAGTCTGTCAATACACGGGACCTAGGTACTTGCCAAAGAACTTCTCATTAGTTGTCAGGATTCGTGGTAAGTGCTTTCTTTCCCTTTAAGAGTGAGGACTATGGGGTTGAAATTGGCGCTGTTAAAGCATCATTGATTAGATATCATCTATATGGAGCACTCTACCCTGAGTTTTTTCCAGTTTACTCTGGTTAGCTTTTTATTGAAGTTCTTTCCAAAATAACTATTATGGGACTAACATTCCTCCACGGTTATAATCGGAAATAATCCACTCCGCGTAGTTATTGAGATCTATTTTGAATAATAAGATATACTTGTAAGAAAATCAACCCCCGCAAGTTTCAGTCTAGTCTATTTTCTCATCATCAATACATGTAATCGCTGCACAATTACCTCCCCACAATTGCCGCATCCCCTTCAAGCCAAGACACTCTGACATCCCACTTCTTCACTTTCCACAATCCATCAGCATCATCCTTGACGAAATCAACAAAATACACTCCTCCAGTCAACAAATGCTTCGTTGTCGGGTCCAAACCCTCACCCTCACGAAAATGCTGCGCAATAAAATGCGAGGTCGCAGTAGCCTCCTTGGCGCCGTCTTTCACATCAATACGGATATTACTAGTCGTATGGGTAGTTTGCAACGGAGCGATCTTTTTGTACATATGCTCATTGATATTGTCGAATCCTATCAATGAAGTATCGAGCAGCACGAATGCGGTTTCAGGATCGTCCACTAGCCAGGCGGATTTGAATAGGGCGAAGTCAGCGGTGTCAAGGCCGACGATGCAACGATAGAGAGCATCGGTGATGGCCTCGCGGAGGGTGAGGGATTCGAGGGCAATAGTCGACATTTTATAAGCTTCCAATGTGTTGATTGGTTGGAAAGAGGGCTTGATGGATATTCTCAAGATTCTCAGTGCATACACATCAATTAGTGTCGCACATAAGTGTCCAGTTCACTGGCTTCGGTCTAGATATATCCATGTCCGATATCCGAATTGCCGTTTTCCTCGGACGAATCGCTTTTAATGTGTGAGTCTTGACAATCTCCGTATGCACGCAAAGTATGGTTGACCTTATCTCCGGCTATCTCCAAGGTCGTAGGTAGTCCGGGGACCAATAATTAACCTCAACAGTTCGTTGGTTATGACGGCATTTAGATAATTTTGAAATTTACGTAAGAGACTGTAATTCTCTTCATGGCTATATAAAATATTGTTTGTCAAACTTCAAGGCTCAACTACTTTGTATACACGTTGAGGTGGCTGTCAGGTAATATTGAACAATTGATGCTGAAGAACCTTATTACCTCAAGAACAAGGCTCGATGGGTCATACACTTTTTTTAGTCCAGCTACAAGTGGGATGGTGGAACTGCCACTGTATGCACAAAATCGTATTCTGATTTTACTCCAATCCAACCAGACAATATGTACTATCTAACGCCCTTTACACATCTCCTCCATATACAAGCTAGACGCTACCGGACTAGAACCCTGCGCCGACACCCAGTCAAATATAAGATAAACAAAAAGAAGCCCAGATGCGAAAGACCGCCAGCAGTGTCGTCTAGTCAATAATATACAACCGTTAAATTTTATTGTCGTAGCCGGATAGATCGGCATGAAATGATCGAGATAGATATAAACGATGGGAAATAAAGTGTAAAAAAGACGAAGCTCGAAGACGGATGGTGAGTAGTATGATGAGGTGATTAATCTTCGGATCTGCGATGAGCAGTGTTGGTGGGTGACGATGGACCGACTACGATCTCACCCGGCTGGATTCGGGACGAACGATTAGTGGTGGTCTCGTGGCCATTATTTTCCGTTGCTGTTGTGTCGGTCATGGTAAAAGGATGTTTGGCGATGGACGACGGCCGAGATGTCGGGTGAGGTGAAATTAATTCTTCTTCTTCAATGCTACCGTCCGATGATACAGACATGCGCGTTGACGATGTAAAGCTGACAATGCTGGATGGCGCTATGGACATGCGACTCCGTCGCAAAGCTTGTTTGGATGTGGCTGGGGAAGAATGTCGAAAATCCCCAGGCGTTGAACCTGGCAGTTCATGGATCATATCCGCTCCCGACAGTTCAGAAGGCTGCGTATGATCACCCGCGACCTCAGCACGGCCACGATACAGCCAGTTCCGCAAACGACGGGGTGCAAGGCTCTGGGAATTTGGCACCGGTGGTTTGTTTTCCGGATTCTTTTGTGCCTTGTCTCGTCGGCGGAGACAGCCGGTGAAAATATATCGCTTGCGCAAGACGAACCACCATAATATAATCAAAATGAATATAAAGCCGGCTAAAGAGCCAACTATAATCCCCGCCTTCGCACCCTTGGACAAATGTGATTCGCTCGTCTCCCCTGGAAATTCGCTATCAGGTACTAGGTCGATCACAATAAGCTCGTTCTCGTTCAGCAAGTCACCCGCCCAATTGGCTTGAGAGACGGAAAAGTTCCCGCGTTCATAGTCAACAATGATGTACGCCTCTTGAAAAAAGACGCGGCCTATGCGATATTCATCGCTGTTTGACGCGGGTTTTATAGGGAAATAAGGTATAGTTTGAGAAGTGTCGTTGAGGTAAAATCCAGGGTATGGATAGCTGATAGATTGATCGAATGCGGAGAAGGGTAGGGTAATATTGACGATTTCTGACGAGCTGGAAGTGTCGGCAATCGCAAATGTGAAGGAAATATTAGCGCTGGCAAGATAATCATGGTTGCTCGGATCATCTCCGTACGTGTAGAGGTTGATCCTGTCATCCCAAGTTAAATTAAGAGCTTCGCTGAACATGTCGCAGGTGTCTTGGGGGAGCCAAATATAAGATGTCGATGTGTCGAGGGTGAAATACGAGTTGATAGAAGCCTCCACAAGTTCAGTCATGGAAGAATTGCTGCTGCGATTGACAGAAGTGCCTTGAATCGATGACAGCGATACAACAGGGACATATTGGAGTGAGAGATTAAATGAAACATCGTTCGGCACGAATCGAAGTTGGTCATATCCGCCGATGACGAGTGAAGCGGGGACACCTTTCAAACCTGCGAGGAATCAGCAGGGCAATTTATCAATATGTATAATATAGGGGAGACGCACGGTAATAAGCACCAGCAGTGTATCCATATGAACAACTCGAGGCCGAAGAACGATTATCCCATACGTTTTCCATGAATGTGGAGGAACCTAAATCGCTCAAAGCGGAACGACTAAGAGCCAGTCCGAGAAAGCCGACCCAGGTGTCAGTACTATTAAACGTAGCCACGGATGAAGTCAGGTTGCCAGCTACAGTTGGACCGTAGCCGTCCTGGAGGTCGAAGGAAACATAGTCATCGCCATAATTGGCGTACAGTGAAGTCAACCCGATTCCGTTGAAAGTTGCGTTTCGATAGCCGCCGGCCGATTGCCAGGTCGATGAATTATCTGAGGAAAATAATCCACCGCGCTCGCTCGAGCAGTCCGCGGCCGAGTCTACAGACACAATCGACGTCAATGACTAAATTGCGAATCTTGGGAGGCAGAGGATTCAACATACCATGCAGACATCCTCCCCTGTCGTCAACGACCAGAATATCGACTCCGACGGTATTCGGGAGGACAGCAACAGGTTCAGAGTCGTTGCCGATAGAAATATATACCCTGTGGAGTGGTGGGTTAGGTACCAGCCAGCAGTAGTCGAATTCCAAAACTTACGTGCTCCATTGTCCATCATCTCCGAACCTGGCGAAACGAAGACGGGTTAATTGCACGCAAATAAATAAACGGCGTGTAGATATCAGTGCAAACATACCAATCAGTACTGCATATCATCGAGACAGGCAGCACCTGCGTCTGCGCGGATCCCACGTGTATGCAGATTATGGCGAGCGCCAACAACAGGCACGATAGGGCCGGTTGGCCAAGTTTTCTCGGTGGGCCGCAAGAACCCATTATTAGGGACATCCATGACCTTTATGCGACCGGGAGATATGAAGCGTGCGAGACAGCAGGTCTCGCGGCCGCGTTACTGGCAGGAGTCAGCGGCGATTGATTTTCCCTGGCGACGGAGTGGACGCAGATGGAGAGGATGAGGGAATTGGAAATCTAGAGGAGTCGGCCCTGCGACTGTCTGACCAGGAGCGACCGGCACTACAGCCACAACTAGCAGCGCTGTCCAGCTCCACTGTGCCGACGCTCGCCAATACAGACGCCCAACGGCCGCCTTGGCTTTGCGCTACAAGCGCGCTAGGCCGGATTTCGATCGTCGGTTTCACTCTGAGTGCTTCGTCTGGGCCCGGTGGAGTTGTGGGATGGGAGGTCCGGTCGGCGTTAAGTGATGATTTATCGATAGCAGCGCCTCGATACGAGGCCGAGAGTTCAACCTTTCGCAGATGGGTTGGAACTGGGCAGTTGCCAAGGGTACTTGGCAGTTGGCAGTTGGCAGTTGGCCGTACCAGTGTACCAGACATGTGCGTTCCACATAAAACTCTGACGGTCGACTCGCATCGACGCTGGATGGATGGGGGTTCGCCCGCTGCTGATCGCGGTCTGTGGCTGCTACGCTGCGGCTGAGACTAAACCCGAGTGCGAGGTCGCTGCCAGTCACGTGGGCTGCTTGGCATGGGGCCGCCTAGCCCTACGCCCAAAGCCCTAAGCCCTCACTCGGTCGCAGCTGTTGACAGTCCCATGATTGATCTGTCGAGCAATATGAACATGCTTTCTCGCTGGATTGCCAGGCTCTGTCATTGCAACATCCCTTAGTCCGCCCTGGTGTTTACCCAGGACTAATCTTAGTCGTGGGAGAAATATCTGCCGACATCGAAGGGGGTTGGCGAAATTACCCGATTAACATGAAACCCCGGCTGCGCGTGGTGCTGTCTTCAGCATAAAACGTGGATGGTTTGGAATTTGGAAAGCCCTCGTACAGCTGAATTTACCCCGGACCCTTGCCCACAGGCTAAACTAGCCACGCGTAGGAAATGATGGTTGATTTTGCCTTCAATTGAAGCGGCAGTTGTTTTGCTACCTTATTTGCAATATACATGGCTCTGAAGAACATATAAATATCGCCATGATCACCGGTTTTGTTTCAATCGATTCACCAAACACGATATCTTAAAACACTAAATACACCAGCACCAGGCCTCGTCTACAGAAATTCTGTCAAAATGGTTGCCCTTTCCACTCTTCTGATTGCCTTCTCCTCTATTGCGGCGTCTCTTGCTGCCCCTGCAAACCCTGAAGTCAAACGAGACGAGCTCGCCGAACGCGGCCCTCATGACTTCTTTCTCGGCCTCGACAATAGTCTCAGCCGTCGTGCTACCATCAACTACGACCAGGACTACACGACCGGCGGCACAGTCAATTACTCACCGTCAAGCACCGGCTTCACAGTCAATTGGAGCAATGCAGAAGATTTCGTGGTGGGAGTTGGATGGAAGACTGGATCTACCAGGTACTTTACCGGCCCCGTTCCCCTCCAAACAAGAATAACTTGCATTCCGCTAATTCAGGAAATAGTTCCATCAACTTTGGCGGCTCCTTCTCTGTCTCTGGCACTAGCGGAACTGGTCTCCTCGCCGTATACGGCTGGACCACCAGCCCACTTGTCGAGTACTACGTGATCGAGGACTACGTCAACCCTCCGCAGCAAGGAACAGTCAAAGGCACATTTACAAGCGACGGGTCTACTTATACGATTTGGGAAAACCAGCGCGTTAATGAGCCTTCGATTATCGGCACAGCGACATTTAACCAGTACATCTCGATCCGTAACTCGCCGCGGACTAGCGGCACTGTCACGATTGAGAACCACTTTAAGGAGTGGGCTAACCTTGGTCTTAATCTTGGGACGTTCAATTATCAGGTCATTGCTGTCGAGGGTTGGAGCAGCAGTGGATCGGCTTCGCAGAGTGTTAGCAACTAGCTAGTTTGAGAGTAGTTCTCGTAATGGACTAAGCTGCTCAACCAGCCTAGTTTCTACAGGGTGCTATTTGCGGTATTAAGCGGGGAGGAGCTTAGTTATGTTACAGTGCAGGCAGGGGGGTGCAGCTTTGGCCCCCATGTTTGATGAAGTGCGCGCTTCGTTGACATTTCTTGACGTTAACCAGTCCATGACTTTATCTGAGAGTGATTTCGAATACAACGAGTTTATCATTACTTTTCCTCATATCTATAAATTCATTATTTATGTAGAAGATAATCAACTTCTTTACAAGAACCAAAATAAACCTTTTGCAATCTAGCACTGCAATAAACACGAGAAAAGCAATTTGCAGATCATACCCATAGCCTCTTGCATCATCGTATAATTAACATCTAGGCCACGCCACAAGGCGGAATGTCGGGGGGATAAAACAAAATCCGAGACCACAGAGCATTAAATCAACCCCTCCTTAATTTAATCCACACAGTCAACAAAAACACGCTTTCCGTTGCTCCGCATTCCAGCCCTAAATGTGCAGTTCTCGGAATCGCGGGGGGAGCCGGCAAATACGTTAAGGCTAATTATGCTTAATTTTCAATTGTGCCTAAATGCATATCTGCAACAAGCATTCTCTCTACATATACGCTTTAAAGCAAGTTTTATCTAGGCTATTTCCTTGCCCCGGATTTTCCTTGCCGGCTAAATTTGTTGACGGTATAGGTACTGGTGCGAATCGACTGATTGAGGAAATAGGTGTTCTTTCGGTCAAAAGGAACACTTCAAAATTGGCCTGGTGATGTTGGGAGGGAGCAGAATGAAAGGAGTCAAAGATGATGCTTGTGCGTACTTGTCCACACATGCCAACTGTCAGCATGGCGTTTCAAAAGTTATATAAAGGCCATCTGCGTGTTGTAACAGAAGAACGAATTGATATGTCACCATCCACTCTAGCAACAAAACATCTCTCAATCCAACAATCTTAGCTTCTTCTCGCCCAACCTTTCTAAAAAATGTTGTCCAAAACCATATCGCTTTTACTTCTCATCAGCAGCGTTCTTTCCACCCCTCTCGACGCCGCCTCCAAGCGCGCAAACTGCCCTAACATCCACGTCTTCGGTGCCCGCGAAACCACCGCTTCTCCAGGCTATGGATCCTCCAACACCGTCGTTAATGAGGTCCTCCAGACCTACTCCGGCTCCACCGCCGAAGCAATCAGCTATCCAGCCTGTGGCGGGCAGTCATCGTGCGGCAGCGTCAGCTACTCTAGCTCCGTAGCCCAGGGAATCCAGGCCGTTGCATCCGCTGTAAACTCTTTTAATCAGGAGTGTCCTAACACGCAGATTGTCTTGGTGGGATACTCGCAGGTAAGCCGTCATCTTCCTCGCCTGATGTATATATTGATAATGCTCAATGTTCTGATCTTGGAATTTATCAGGGCGGTGAAATCATGGATGCAGCGCTATGCGGCGGCGGTGACCCTAATCAAGGCGTCACTAATACAGCTGTGCGATTATCTTCCTCTGCTGTCAACCAGGTCAAGGCAGCCATTTTCATGGGCGACCCTCTGTTTCGATCTGGTCTGTCGTACGAAGTCGGAACCTGTGAAGCTGGAGGTGTAAGTTAACCTGACAAAACGGAAGAAAGAAATTAATCGCTGAGAAAATAATTAAATAGTTTGATGAGCGTCCTGCAGGCTTTAGCTGCCCATCAGCGAGCAAGATTCAGTCGTATTGCGATGCTTCGGATCCGTACTGTTGCAACGGCAGTAATGCAGCTACCCACCAGGGATACGGTGCTGAGTATGGCGCGCAGGCTTTGGCGTTTATCAAGACAAAACTGTCTGCTTAGGCTGTGCTATGTCGACTCTTGGAAGTAGATAGCACGTAGGGCATGTGTGCATGTGTGCATGTGCCCAATGTGTGGACTTGTCGATGAGGTTTTCTTAGGACGCCGGATAGTATTGGTATTAGGAACAATATAGTTACAATTCAACATTCACTCTTTAACCCAGTATAAAACCTCTCGAGATTATATTTTCCATATGTAGATAAACATGGACTAGTATGTAAACCGATTGGTAGCAATTAACTTAGGGCTAAAGCAAGTCCAGCTAACTCAGAGTACATATCAGGATTTCCCCCCAATCACTATCATTGTTAATATATCGAGAAAATAAATATAATTAATATTTATTTGATAATCCCCAGTACATACGCAGTATATCTCCCTATTTGTATGAAAAGTAAGCACAAATTTCCCTTTCGGGACGCCGACGACTTTCCGATCATATCGGCGACTTTCATAAGGCTGCCCCGCTCCTACTGACTGCTCGCCAGATCTGACAGGTTGCGTGGAATTAAGGAGTGAAAGTGGATTAACTGCAGTGTGATGGTGATGAAATCCCTGTTTCGGTGTCCTATTGTCGTAAGATTAGTAGAATCCATGCATTAGTATGGGATTCATGAATTGTAATGATCGGCCTCTAGTGCAGACACATGTCGACATTAGGTAAGGGACTAGCAAAAATCGCTATGCGTCTGGTCCATAGTCCTGTGCTCAGCAAAACCAAATAATAGTACACGTAAACATCACATATCACACTCACATGCTGCCAAGGTCTGTCTTTTTAAAGTTTTATTACGATTATCAAAGAGCGTCTTTAGCGCTCAAGTACACGTAATAGTACTTGCTGTGCCTCAAAACCTGGAACATTGGCGACTTCTTGTCAAGTCCCAATAGTGTCTCGGGTCACGCAATCTCTGGATCTTGGCAGTACCATTCGTCCATGTGGCAAGGACTAACTCTACTAACGCACGGCGAGCAACAGTAGATTAAATAATAATATAATGCATCACCCCGCATGCGTCTAGGCTCCCGCGGTACACACTCCATACTATGGATGCACTGTAAGACGCTTAAAGAAATGGTGCATTGTCGATCAATTGTTGAGTTGGCTCATGAAACAACATTTCGTTTCTATTATTGACGGAAGATGGTTCTTTGCTCAACGTTCTGGTTGCAACAAAGCCAAGGTCTCGGCTCTTGAGTTTTTCTACCTTGGCAAGGCCAACACCCAACTGTCCAGCCAATCTTGCCAAGAGGCCGGAAGTTTTGGATGCTTGGAAAAAGTTTTCCCGGTAAATGGTTGTTGAAACCGTCGTCACCCTTTGTGATAATCCTAAATTCCGCCTCGGACATCGGTCTAGATAGTGCACAAGGCTTTGTTGATTGGTCCGGAAGGGGATGGAGCGTCGTCAAAAATTCCAAGTGACGCTTTACGATATGGTCGGAAATCGTGATGTGGAAAGCTAGCTCCCAGAGTGGAAAGCTATTCGTGCCAAGTCAAACCGGAGAAGGATACCGGAAACTGTCCGGTGAGTCTGGTAGCGTAGATGCAGACCGCCACACAGGCTGCAGTATCTTCGAAGAAATCGGCCAGTTAACAATATTCACTTCGATAACAAGTTGTAACGAGTGAATAAATGGTCCATAAAATCTAGAGACTGATGATGACAGCAAGTTGCCATCATATCTCGATACTGAATGATGCTCACATGCAAAATAACTGGGACATAGCCGGAAACAAATCTCTTGGCAAAGATAACAAGTAGAGAAAAGTCTTCAACACCAAGACTTGGCCCAGGTTGGCTTGGTAATTCTATGAAGTTAGGCACAATTTCACCATACAACTATCCAGTCAACTGATGTGGGAGGAAGTTGATCCAAAACCTAAAGTCACAAGTTGGAGCTCTAAAAAAGCAACCGTCTAATTAGGTACGTAGTCAGAACTTAGATCAGTGGCAGAGAGGAAGACCTATTGCACAGGTATGGATGTCGTATAGATCAGGGATGATGTGTCTCAGGCTCGCAGAAGAGACTAGCCAGCGGTGCCAGCGGAGCAGTCGGGAATTAAAACTGGGAGGCCAAGAGTCATTGGAGACGATCTATCATCAGCATAGCGGCAACGATATCGAATTCTCGACGTCGCCGAGCATTGGCAAAGGCTGGGCGGGCGGAGGCATAACGTAAGAGATTTTTGCCGATCGATGGCAGATGGCAGATGGCATATGGCATATGCACTCGCCCTGCAGGAGACAGTGCAGCGCAGGGTGGAGCCAACCTGGGGATCTACGGGCGCAAGACACGCGAGAACGAACGCTGCAACAGATGGGGTCGGGATGAAAGTGAGAGTGAGAGTGAGAGTGGAAGTGGAAGTGGAAGCTGAGCAAACCAGATATTCGTTTTGCTTCATTGTCATCGATACATGTCCGTACGAGGCCATTACGAGTCCATACGATGCGGCGCCTTTGGCTGGGGGACTGCCCGCGTGGACAGCCGCGGCGTGAAAGCGAGCTGCCAATCACGTAGCCATACCAGGCCCACGGGAGACCACGCGCCAAGGCCTTGGCGGGCTAGTATGGTAACGCAGTTACAGCGCCGTACGGGAGGGACACGGCAACTCCCCTCCGCTCCTCCGCTCCTTCCAGCAGGTCCAACGACAGCCTACAGGCTTTTATCCATCGTTGTCGCTATCGCTTCACTTGTCACTACAGCCGCCTCAGCGCATTGCTGTGTCTCCCGGCATGTGGCGCGGACTCCTGGCTCCGTCAGCATCGTCAGCATCGTCTGGAAATTCTAGATTACAATCTTTCAAGATGACCATCACGCCAAAATAACGCCAAGCCCAAGCCAAGCCAAAGCCTCCCAGCAATTGGTCCAGATTCAGGCCGATCGAGCAATGTACGCTTGCATCCCCAACCGCCAAGGGCTCGGCATTTCCGTCAAGCCCTTGGCTTTCTTGGTCTCTCTCGCAAAACGCCCGCCGAGAAAAATGACGACCTCCCCCATCTTATCTCGCGAGCCTGGCGAGAAAGAGGTGTCTCGGCAGGAGTCCCTTTCTTCTACTACCACCACCTCCCTCTCGATGTGGTCCATTCGTGTGCGTTATGCAGCCCTGTATATCTAGGAGCTATCTCTCACCCCTCGCTGTTGCAGATCGGTGTCGTACCACCAAGGCCCCTCTCGCAGCGACACACAACACCGACATCACCCTGCATTCCAGAGGTTGATCCTATCTACAATCGATCGGGAAGACCGCTTTGCGTGCTGTCTACCATAATAACGACGAGAGAAATCACTCACGGACCGAACAACCAAGGGTTCTCGTCTTTGATTTCGCTTTGTTTCGTTCCTTTCGTTTCAATTCCTTCTCGATTGAAGTAATATCGGGACAGAAGAAAGAAGACTACATGACGGAACAATGACAATAGCAATGTCACAGCATGACTACCCTTCAATGCATGACCATGGCGACGAGCAGTTCGTGACAGCCGTTGCGCCGGAGCATTATCATTCGCACTCGCCCTATGTGCTCAAGCAACTACCCAATGCGTACTCGTACCCAGCCAACTCCTACTACTCTGCTGCTGCTGCTGCTTCGCCACCAGTTGCCTCGTCTCCAGAAACTCGTATGTCGGTGTCCGGCTCGTCGACGGGGTCGTATTCAATACCACACGCGAATTTCGACCCGGCCATTCCGCACCCCGAACAAACTAGTGTACCAGCTACGAATGGCCGCCCGCAAGCATCTCCTCAGCTATTACCACCCTCTCGACCAGTCACAGGCGTCATCGCGGAATCATATTCGAAGGAAGGCCAGACTCGTGCGAGCTGGTCGCCAAGGATGTCCAGCTCGGACGGACACAATCCCCGCAGTCACCACGAAGCACAGAACACAGTGACGGTATACACATCAGACAAGGAGCAGGTTTCAAGGCGGGAACCCAATGCCGTTTTGGTTCTGGTGAGTTTATCGAGAAGCACGGGATATATGCATATGACTAATATAATATTTAACCAGCTTCTTTTCTCCGCACCAATCCCTGTTTTCTCAATGGGCACAGCAATATACACCTTTTTCGCCTTATTCATTGTGATATTCACCTCTCCACTCCGCCTCTGTCCCCCCACGCGCTTCTTTCGCTCTACCACATTTTCTACACAACTCTGCCAGCTTCTCGCCCCAGCACTGCGCTATCATGAACGTCTTGCTCAGTCAAGTCGCTCAGACCACCGTTACCACCACTCACACCATCCATACACCCCTGAAACCTCAACTGAACAATTCGCACCGCTCTGGTCCAGCCTCGTCCTCACTCTCGCCCCATTTCTCAGCTTCGGTCTGTTGCTTGCTGCCTGGACAGCCGCATTTTTCTGGATCTTTGCTATGATACTCGGAAATCCAGACGGAACGGAGAAGAAAGACGACGGCCGCGTTGCCGTTCTCGGGGTGAACGCATGGTGGCAGACGTGGCTACGAAAAAGTCGGCGGCGGCAGTAACGCCGTCACTATTTTATTTTCTCAGCATTCGAGCTTCGTGTATCCGATTGTTTTGACGACATGTACGAAAATAGGAGATGGATATTATTCATTTATTTTCAAGATGTTTTTTTTATCTCTCGTTGATGATCATTGTCATCAACCGAACTGCATTTACCCGGTGTTGGCGCGGTGATCGGCATAGTCTTTTGCATTCCCCCTCACATGCACATTTACATGGCTTGGTTGGTTTATTTCTTACTCGATGATGTGTGAGAAATCTATGCTTCATTTCTGTCTTATGATACCAGATTAGCTATTCTTGACTTGTGATTGATCAATCACCTACAAATTCAAAACAAATCAAACAAATTCAAAACTAGTACATCGTCCATGTATACTTTAAGCAAACAAGAAAATCAACTTCAATGTTGATTTCAATGTTGTCCCCTACATTTCATTTAGATATTGAGACATGTAGATCAATTTTTATAAAGATTTTGATAAACCCATAACTAAACCATGCAAAGGGTATTCATTGACATCAAACAATTTCACCATCTCCACTACCGCACATCTTTAGTATCCCTAATCAATCTCATTAAACTCCATCATAATCACTTTTTCTATAATTCGCTGCTAGTCAATCCCTCGTCAACGGCGTCCACGACCTCGCCTGGCTACAAAGCCACTTCCACTCCCACCTCTGCCACCTCTGCCACCCCTCCTCTTCTCAATCCTCCCCTTCCCATTCCCAGCACCAGCAGGGCCGCGAGATTTGGGCATACCGAGTCCTCTGCGCACGCCTCCCTTCTTTTTGGAGTCATCCGCACCCGCCCCGTTCTTCTCGCCATCGTCGTCATCGTCAATATCCATGCCGTCACCGCCAGTGTCCCTTTTGTTGAACTTCAATCGCCCCTTTTGGCCGCGCCGTACGGCTTCGGGCCCGCTGACGGCTGCGAGATAGGCGTTGATCCCGCCTGCGCCTTCGTCTTCGCCTTCGCCTCTGGCGCCGGTCATGCTGGTATCGTCCTCATCGGCACCACCAATAATCAACTTCCCGTCAACGTTAACCTTGGCACCGCGTTTCTTGTTCCTCTTGCCAACGCCGGCATCGAGGAATCGGACTGATGGTTTCGTGGTAGAAATAGACGCGAGAGCATCGGGGGCGAGAAGATCGAGAGGATTCGATTCGGGGGATAGTTCGCGGATGTATTGTTCGCCTTGCTTGCCGAGCTTCTTATTACTGCCTTTCTTGCCCTGTTTCTTGACGGATGTGCGACCCGCATCGTCAACGTCAATCTCACTAGCGTCGTCCAGCTCAGAGTCATCCTCGTCCGAAGACATATAAACAGCCTTATCGAACTCGTTTGAGAACCTGCTATTAGCATTATCATGCTCATCTGCGTCATCTCCCACATCACCCCCGCTAGCACCGTCTTTCTTCTTCCGCTTCTGGCGCTCGCGCTCCTTGCGAATATTAACGACGAGTTTGCGGTCTGCTTCGCCGACGAGGCTTTCAATAAGCGGCGCACCGAATCGACGAACAAGACGGTCCAGGATCCCCTTGACCTTTGTGCGCAATCGGCCCTTGTGCTCTTTACTCCAGACCATTAGGTTCGGCACCATAGTGTTGAGGCGAGGACGGAGCATGTCTTCGGGCAGACAGACAACAGCTACTTTGGCAAACCCGAGCACCGAACGAACGATTTCGCGATTGTTGCTAGTCAGGAACAGCTCGACGGTTTGCACGAGGTCGGAGAGTGTTTGCGTGGAGAGGGCGGCGCGGTACTCGAAAAAGAGACGCGAGAGCGCGGTTACACATGCTGCTACCATGTGTGGCGAACCACCTGCCAAGCCGGCGGAGACCATGGTGAAGAATTCCTCAAGGGTGGCTGGTGCGTCGGCGGAGGTGTCGGGGAGATGGGGGACCAAGGAGTTGCGGATTACGGTGCCAGGTGGGTTGCGGTTAGTGTCTGTGATGCGCTGGGCCAGGTGGATGAGGAGGTCGAAAGCGGCGGTTCGGGCCTTATCGTTGGATTCTTTGCAGCCAAGAAGGACTTCGGGGAGAATGGATGGGATGAAGTGCAGGTCACGGGTAGGGAGGTATGTGACGAGCTCGTGGATGGCTACGAGGCGGTCTCGGCGAGCTGGGGAGGGGGTTTTTTCGGCGGTCGAGAGCATCAGTGCCTGTAACTCGGAACTTCGCTCGGAAAGTGAGTTCTGCCCGGTTTCAGTTGTTGCGAGCCGAGGGATGAGCTTGTATGCCTTTTTGATCAGCTGGGGATCGGAGGCGTGTTGATTAAGGACAAGAGATGCAAGTTGAAAGAGGTTTGAGAAGCTCGTCCGAGGTAGGTAGATGGACATGGCAATGACCAGGTCGATCAGCGTGTGAGATGTTGGTGGCATCTTGTTGTCAGTTCCCTTTGGCAGGTTTCCCTGTTTGGCAGCTTCTTCTTCAGAGGGTAGCTCGGACTCGAGCATGGTCCTGACGCGGGCGAATGTTTCTTCGAGTTCCTAGATCAAGTTAGAAGTAGTCCCTTTAATTCATAGGCTATTGTCTCACCTTCTCTGGCGTTATGCTCAAGAAAGCATTGATGCATTGCAAGATATAACCCCTGTAATGAGGCAACGTCTGGCTATAAACATTAAACAGCACTGCCAACAAGTTACTTGCGAAACCGGCCATATGCTGTAGATTTTTCGCCGCAGCATCCTTTGAAATACGTCGTTGAAGGACGAGGTTTTCACCCTCCGCACCAGTTTCAACTTCGACAATAGCCTGGTTTGACTCTACTATATTCTGTAGAGCCCGACAGACGTCAACACGTAGTTCAGTCTGTTTGTAGAGGACGTTGGACAAAAGCTCTGCGAATGATTGATCAAATGCTGTTTCCAAGTCGAGTGGCAGCTCGCAGTATCCTGGAAGCATGGACCATATCTGCTGAATGATAGTTTCGAAAATCTTGACTTCGACTGTCTTCTCAGCTTGCCCAAACTCAAGGACACGCTGGTACAAGGCCTCGCTGAGAGGAACCATTTCGGTGCGGAAATGCGCGAGATCTGTGTTTGATACGTTATCGCGGAAAATAGGCAACAGCCAGACACGACCAGGCTGGCCGGCCTTCTGCTCTGTGATGTTCAGAGGTAGGATACGGAGGATCTCGCGGGGGCCCATTGCATAGACAGCTCGGCCGAGTACTTCGTCGGCCTCTTTCTTTCCATGGAAAGACTCGTTGCTGCGTAATTCACCAACTGTTTGAACGATTGAGTCTAAATATGATGAGGATCGCCATTTGAAAGCTTCAAACATGGCAGAGCAGACATTGAAGACTTCCGCCCAGGCGGCCTGGTACTTAACAGACAAGAGATCCGACGCAACCTTGGCGAGTTTCCCCAAAGTCTTCTCGTCATAAATAGACGGCTCTAAGATTACGCTGTTCGGGATACAGTTGGCGAGAAAGGATATAAGACATTCAGACGCAGAGACGCGGATATTGTGTGATGGAGCAGCGAGAAAAGATGCAACCATCTCGAACAGAGCTGGCAACTTATCGAAGGTATCTTGTGGATCAATCTGAGATGACACGTCGTAGCCTCGCGAAAGCACTGCAATCCATGGCGGTAGCAATTGCGCGTCGTTCTGTGCTGGTCGCAGTTCCTGTATAGACTCCAAAAGACGGGGCAGCTTGGACGAAGACAGCTCATCCGCCATTCCTGCGAAAATTACTTCAAACACCTCAAAGGCCCCCATTGTGATGTATTCATTGCTAGACCGCGACACATTCATGAGCAGCTCACACAGCGGCTCAATCTTTTTGCTTGGCCATCCTCCAGACGCAGTCGCAACTGTCTTGACAAGGTGCAAGGAATGAATAATCGCCGGTTCTTGGTGGCTATCCTGTCGGTGCTGCTGGTGTTTCGACTTCTTGAGTTTTCCTGCAGCAGTGACACTATCATGTAACGTCTGCAAAGCGGTTTCTGCGCACATATCCGCTGCTGGGTGGTCGAGGGACGGGCTTGGCGGGGGGTTCTTGAGCACCTTGACCAAGGCATCCTGTGCCCTCTTGCGCACCTTTGGGCGGTGATCAACAGCCAAGCTCAGCAGACCAGCAGTCGCTCGGCGAGGGCCGATTTGTGTATGCGGGAGTGTCCAGGAATTGGCGTCTTGCGCAATCAAGAGCGTCTCGAGAACGCCAATCGATGGACGCAGCAGCGGGGCTTCGACATCGGCAAGCGTGAGGGCGGGGACAAGATTGGACAGGATCTGGGAGAATTTCGACCGTAGGAGAGGGGGGGGAACGAATTCTGCTGTTATATCGATTAAATATACTACCGATGTAGCTAGGTCCTTGTTGACAATGCCATGCGTGTTGTTGAGGGCCTGGCTGAGCAGGGCCAGTAACGCTGCAAAGTATGCGGTCGCTGAGAAGTCGGCATTTTGGTCGCGCAGGGTGTCTTCGACAGCATTCAAAACTACTGCAGTCTAGTCTATTGTCAGCTTTATATTCACCTTCTTAATTGGAGCAGCGCAGAATAACAGGCAAAAAGTGGCAAACTTACATGATGCTGGTTCTTCAGCTTTGGCGATTTTATTTTCTCAAACTTCTCCGCCAGGGTCGCCATGGTGGGAATATCCTCTGGAACGAGGGAAACAGCAAATGCAAACGCCGCCAAGGCAGCTCTGAGCAAAAGAGAAGACGACGGACGTGGCTGTCGCTCGGCAGATTAATCGGCTGGGCTGTTTGACAGGCGGAGATAGCACACTTATTTTATTTCTGGACGACGCCGATAATAATTTTCACCGCCGATACACAAGGCTTGGCGGCACTACCAGCACTATCGATAGCCGATTAGTTATGTCGCTGTAAACCTAGCCTAAACAGGTTTAGTGGCCAAGAGATTCGGACAACGACAGCCTATGATGTTAATGTAATACAACACTTGTGGTTGAACATAGCGGTAATAAGACTAATATCAAAAGATTATATGTATAAAATATACTTAGAAACTAATTGTGAGAAGGCTGTCCGACTTGAGATGTAAGATGCTTTTATGAAAATATTGTAATGGCAGAAATTGTGGAATTCTGTCAATGGTGTTGAGTGCGCTGGATAAAATAAACTATGTAATGCACTCAAGCAAAAGGGTTGACCCTGTAGACTAGGCTTAGATACTGGTAAATCTATAAGCTGTTTTATAGTTTGTTTTTCAGTCATAATTTTAATCATACATACTCAGTTCGGCTAAAATATCCTGTACTGCTGCCTAGAGTAAATATATATTTCCATTGTAAAGTGCCATGGCATGCGGGAACCTCACTCGTACCCTCCAATACATTCTGAAAAATAAGATTGATGCTACAAATAACAATAAAGGCGATAGATATTACTTAAAACAAAGACTATATCTTAATATTTCATTAATGAATAGAATAAATAATATCGTTAGTATGATCAGAATCCAACATATGTATCTTTGATTCTAAAATATAAATTAATAAGCTGCATAAGAGGCACCTGACTACCTCTAAGCAGATAATTAAGCGAGAGTTATGCTAGTATAGATATCCTCAGTAAGGATATGGTATTTCAGTAATATGCATTATCCTCAATTTGCGGATATGGCATATGACCCAATATCCAATAGAGGGGATATTCCGCAGTCTAATTTAGAGTAAAGCTTAGTATCTAGATATTATTATTATAATTATTATCATGTATCTCTTATCTTAATCAGTTTTAGAAAATAGTCTTATAGTTACAAATTTGAATTGTCTAGATGCCATAGTTCTTACGGCATTTATAAAGCTAGGATATAGTCATGCTGTATCTTCCGTTGGATTATCACTACCGAAACAGTTCAATGTTATTTTGTACGTGCAGATCAGGAGGTCGGAATGGCTACTCATACTATTTATTCCGGTGTAGAATCTTGAAGATTGCCACTGGTATCGCCCCCCAGCCAGTGGCCATGCAATGGAATCAAATTACAATACCTCAAGCTAATCAATCAAACAGTACGATTAAAGGGAAATCAACAGCATTAGATTCTATGGAATCTCAGTCAACTGGGAATACTTTGTGTTGATTGACACATCTTGAATAGGACCCGTCAACATTGGCAGGGGCCTCTCAGGATGCGGGTTCTGAACCCAATTTCCATGGACTTGATTGCGCGTTTGGAAAGGCAACTGCGCAATGGCGACCGGTTTTGAGAAATCATTGGCGTCGAGGATGACCAATTCTCCCTTGGGGGACGATTCTCTCTGGGTGTAGAATATGATCCAGCCATCGCCTTCATCACAATCGGGCCCTCGAGGAATGTATGCCGGCTCCGCTACACTGCCGTCTTCGGGTGCGTAAAACATCGATTTCTCGCCCGTCTCCGTATTCAACTTCATGATTGCACTGAACGTGGGTTGTGCTCCTCCTTCAGGGTCCATCATGACCGTCAAATAAACGATCTTACTCTTGCGGCCAGTCTTCCACTCATCGAAAATGGGAAAATCAACGATGCCCTTAAATAGCGTCTCAGGTGGTGGCACGGCAGTTCCATCTGGCTGGGAAAGATCAATTGTCCAACGTTTCCAATCGCCGCTGGGCTTCTCTTTAGGGCCTCTGTAGTCTTTCGGATTGAAGAAGTCAAAGACATTGAAGGTGGCGAAGTGGCTTTCTAGCTTCAAGACGCCATCTCCTTCTTCCCATGCATTGCCAGTGTGGATGATCAAACCATGAGGGGCGATATACTTACGGAATTCGCCAGGCTTCCAGCCTGGATGGCTCGGGTTTTCTGCCTCGCGTGGAGTGACAAGGAATTCCGAGGGTTGATCAGGAATGAATCTCCAGTAGTCGCCCCCAGCTTTCATCACCTTGTCGCTATTGACACCGAATGGCATGTTCGAAAGGATGATCCAATTATCCGTGATCCAGCCATCATGTGGCCACCCGGGCTTATCCTGCTTGAACCAGTGTACATTGGAAATACCCCCATCGGGGCCAATGGCGTAAGTACAAATATCTGGTGTACTAAGACCTTTGGCAGCATAGCTCCAGGTGACTAGTTCATTCTTGTGGGGATCGATTTTGGGATGGGCCGTAAAAGTCTTCGCAGTAACCTGACCACCATATGGATCTGCACCCCTTGTCTCGAGCGTGTCTGGATCCAGTGCATACGGTAATCCTCTCTCTGCCAATGCGAGGAGGTTCCCACCCCAGTAGATGATGTTGGTATTTCCAGTGGTGTCATTCGCCAACCGCACGCATGGGTGGCTGTCGAAAGGATTTCGATAACGACCAAAGAGGCGGCGACCGGCCTTGCGCTCCAGTAGCCATCTTTCAGTGTGGACGTATTTGATCTTCATAGAGATCTTGCCGTCCTGGATGCGAAAGGCGCAGACATGCCCATCCCCATCGACGAAGGGAGTTCCCACCTGCGGGCAAAAGTGAGGGTCTACAAGGATACGATACCAGGTACCACTGATCTCCGTCGGGATATCACCAAAGATGACCATCTCATCCAGTTCGCATTCGAATCGACCTTGGGGGGCAGTGTCGGAAGGACGGTAGTAGTGTTCCCATGGTGAGGTGAGCCCGAAACGGGGGTTCGCATGCTGACCGTTTTCGGTCGGTGCTCTGAGTTCAGCATGCACGACTTCAGACCCTAGTTTTGCCATTGCAGCTAAGTGTAGGCTTTGACTATCACGATGTTGATATGTTTGCCAGTGTACAGAGAGAGATTTGAAGTGCACGGGGTTGAAGCTCCATGATATCCTGAATATATCACCATGGAATACATGGTCATTGCTGTTGTTCTGCACTCTGCTTCCGCTCTTCTGACTGCCACCCGATCATAGAGCCGCGGAAAATGAGGGTTTGGTTCGAGGTCAGGCATTCCGCGGAATTATTTCTTTAGCCTAGTCTTGAACATCCTACTCGGGTTAGCCCTTGTGCTGTGTGAACAATCGGAAAGTGAAGGTTATGCATCGTTGTGCAGTTGTGTCCTGGACTGGTTAAGTATGCATGTACGATATGACGATAATTGTAACGTGCGGGTCCATCTCGAGCACCAAATTGTTGCTAGGGAATATAACTGATCACATAGCAAAGTTCCCTCAAGGTACCGTACCCCTTACAACCCCACAACCTCGCCAATCCAATGACATCAGTTCAGCGTTCATTTCTGGATGTATCATGTACTAAGCTATCAAGGGAAAACCCCAGACTTGTTATTATTCAACGATGTAACATATTAGGGTAGAATAAAAATTCATTAATCCATTTTAATATAAACCTTTGAAGCACTGATGCCTTCGCTTTGTCTGCAGCGGACATACTACAAAGGCCCTCATGGTCAGGCAATGAAGAAGTATTCTTTTTGCAGTCCTGTGACCAGTCGCCACAACAAGCTTACTACTAGCAGCTCTCGCTGACACCCCAATCTTTCAGAGTTGAATACCGGGGCTTCATTGGGGCGTCCAAGTCATTCCCCCCCCAGGCTTGACTTAGTCATAAAATCAATTTCTGTGTAGAGTGCCGTTTGATGTCGACGGAATGCACAGCACTGGCCTAGACTTCACGCACGAGTTAGTCGTTTTGTGTTGTATTCCGCGGAATACCTCTGGTATCCGATTGATTAAAGCCGATTGGCTTTTCCTGCATAATCTATCTCGTCGTATTAATATCACGAAACAGAACAAGCACAAGCTCCAAGAAAACGACACCTACCTCGCTTCCTCTACCTCTTGTCTTCCTAGGTCGCGTACAGTTGCAACCATGAGTCGTTATCAAGATGAGCTCAACACCTCGGCCGTCACTGCTCCTCAACGTCATCCTTTAGAAACACTCGGTCATGTCCGACTTCAAGATGAAACAACAGGCCTCACGCTCCTCGTGCCCCAGCCGTCCTCCAACCCCAACGACCCACTTAACTGGTAGGTCTCCTCGCAGCTTTACAGCGCCTCTCCAGGCTTCAAAAATCGTTGATTATGAGTTCCAAACTACAGGTCAAAAGCTTTCAAGATCTATATTGCCGTGCTTACATGCACGGCGTTGACCTGGGTCAATTTTTTTGCCGCTGGCCCCGCAACTGTTCTAGTCGAGATAGTCATCGATCTCTTCGGCGTATATCCGCCTGACTCCAGCAATCCCGCCACACAGTCTCCGGAGTCGACTGCGGCATACGCAACTGGAGTGAGCAAGGCAGCTTTGCTCTTCTCCACGACTACTCTAGCTGCCGGCGTGTCCAACCTACTGTGGGTCCCACTCGCCGTCAAATATGGCCGTCGCGCGGTATATACTTCCTCTTTTCTCGTTTTTGGACTTTGCTGCATGTGGTCGACACGTGCTACCTCTTACGGGAGCCTGCTGGCTTCAAGGATCATAGCAGCTTGGTTTGCTGGCAGCGCCGAGTGCGTGGCTCCCATTACCATTGCGGATGTTTTTTTCCTTCACGAGAGAGGTAGAATGACGGCGTAAGCAAAAATCCGTGCCCCCTTTCCCGTGATATCCAAAGACTTACAGCTGCTACGTAGGATGTACTCGGCATCGCTCTCGATGGGTGCCGCTTTAGGGTCACTGATCTCTGGGGTCATGTCAATCTCTCAGTCGTGGAGAATGTTTCACTATTTGTGCGCTGCTCTCGTTCTGACCACGACCGTCTTGATTCTCTTCACCATGCCCGAAACTGCGTTTCAACGTGACATGAGCGGAACAGAACAGGAGACAAATGAGAAGGTTTCACATGTGTCCGAAGTGGAGCGCGTCGAGGCATCCAGCACACTTAAGAAATCCTTGCTCCAACGGATGGCCTTCAGTCGCTCGTCTCTCACTCATGAGGCGATCTGGAAGATTGCCTTCCGTCCCGTGGCGGTCCTACTGCTGCCACCCGTCCTTTGGTCCACGGTATCTCTCGGTATAGGAATCGGGATCTTCGTCATCCTGGCCACTACAGCGGCAACAGCATTCTCACAGGTTTACAACTTTACTGTCTGGAGAGTGGGATTAGTCTGGATCGCGAGCATTGTGGGTAATCTGCTGGGCGTTCCTTTTGGTGGTTACTTTTCGGATTGGGTAGCCAACCGCGCAACCTCGAGGAATGGTGGTGTTCGTGAGCCGGAAATGCGCCTTCCTGCTGTGAGCATCGCCATGATCGCCTATCCCGGATCGCTTCTGCTCTATGGACTGGGGATCAATTACAAAACAAACTGGATTGTGCCTACGTTAGGCGTGTTCTTATGTCAGTCCTTTCTTTCCTCATATCTTAAATGGAGGATGCTGACGTTGTAACCAAAAGTCTCGTTCGGGTGTAGTGCTGCGATCGGTATCAGTGTGGCCTATACGATTGACTGCTACAGGCCGATTGCTGGGGAGGTTGTAGTAAGCCAGATAGTCTTCAAATGTAAGTTATCTCCCGACAGAGTTTTGATAACCCCGCTGCTGACCAACGGACGTTCTAGCCTTCATTACATTTCTCATGTCCTTCTACGCGAATCCATGGGTGGAATTAGACGGCTATGCGGAAGCATTTGGAATCATGGCAGGCTTTAGTTTCGTCGTCCTGGCGTTGTGGATCCCCTTGTATATCTGGGGCAAGCGGATTCGTCATGCCACTCTCAAATGGCGCTTGATGCAACTTGTCCGCTGGGATGCGGATAGGGAGACGGGCGAGTAGGTATTGCTATCATTTCACGGAAGTCATTCCCTCCTATAGTGACCCTCTAGGAGAAATCTGAAATCTTATCAATTCACACGTCATGCCCCTTATGACAATGCCATGTAAGAAGTGAACATGTCACTTTTGTAAAATTTACGGTGGCCACGTGCAGTTAACACTGCGTCACAAAAAAAACAACACTCAGGAGTCGGATTTAGGTTGGGTATATAGAGATGTCTCTTGATCTAACATAGGTAATTACACCTTATTTCTTAATATAGGGCCACGGGCTCGATATTGTAGTATTCAAAATAACATATCAGGAGCCGGATTTGGGTTGGATATATAGAGATGTCTCTTGATCTAACGTACGTAATTACAACTTATTTCTTACTATAGGACCACGGGCTCGATATTGTAGTATTCACAATAGCATATTGGGTTGAATTGAAGGTTATTCTAAGTTTGCGTATTATGCAATCCTAATCACAAAGCATGATCTCGACGACTTGGAGGGTTAGGGTAGACACCACATTGCTTGGGGGACCGGAAAGGAAAGATTAAACGATGGGGAAAGAGTATGAGATGTCCTCAGAATTCCCGTTGTGGGATATCGTTGATAGTATTCTGGACTTATTGCGCTGGCAGGGTAATGACAGGCACGATGATCGTAGAGTCATACTTCCCACCGAAATGAATCGTATGTCGACCTTCGTTCAGATTGTCGAGCTTCTTGTCGATGTGGCTGGGGAAATCCGAGCTCGTATCAATGAAGCCTTGGACACGAAAGAGCAGGCCCTCCCCAGCTTCAAAATAGATGCCCATTGGCCAAAGAGAGATTCCTAGCTTGACGACATTTCCTGGGGGTATCTTTTCTTCTTTATCGTGTGGGTGGTATGGAATCAAGTGCGTGCTGAGTTCTGGGGCCTCGGCGCGATGCGAAGCCCGGAGGATACCGGTTGGTCCAGTGTACTGTGGCATGAGCCCGGTTAGTGTGTTATCCCAATGATTTACCACGGCATGCCTAGCTACACTAAATTACTCACCTTGACGGTCTGCGCCATTGGAACATCGTTTTGGGTATTGACACCTTCGGGAAGAGATTCCCAGGGAACATTCACGTGTTCTAAAACTATTCCACTCTTGCTCAGTTTGCGAATGGAGACATAAACATCCATGTCGTCCTTGTCTCCGCAAGACATCCAAAGTTCCGCTTTTGAATGGCCAACAAGGGTTGTCGTTTTGTCGAATACCAGCACAAATTCTGATGGTTTTGCGTGGTATCCGTCCACATTATGGGTCACGGATCCCTCGTTGGCCTGCGGTGAGATAGCCAACTGTCCGGAGTCTCGCAAGTAGAGCTTACGATACTCAGTTGACGGAATTGGATAGTCAGAGAATGGAACATCCCATATTGGGCCCTATTGAGATGTGTCAGACGGCCTTCAGATGATTCAGTCATTCGACGTACAGGCTCAAAACGATTCCCATAAGTTAGAATCGAGACCCTAGCTTTGGGAGTTCTCTCCCACCCATTGTCGATGCCTTTCAGGTACCGATCGAAAAACCGTTGCAGGTCGTCGATGTATCTTGGTGTGTACAGATCGTACCACTCCTGAGTCGGATGGAAGCGGATCCACTTGTCCTTTGAGGCTGCTCCTTTCCAGCCTCTTACGGTACCAGAACCGTGATTCCCCGAAGAGTAACTTGCAAGGGCATATATGGGTATTGTAAGGTCACTGGTGTCGTAGACCTTGTCCGCCCAGTATCCATTGAACAGGGGCCACTTGGCGAGCGCTCTCCCAATATCCTCCCGACGATTTCGGCCGCGAATTGTTTTGTTGAATATGAACGAGGCAAAGTTGGTCTTAGGAACACCACCGCGGCATATCAAGTCTCGATACTTGTCCGTGAACGCTTCCCACGGGGCTATGCACTTGAGTGACGGAGGCTTTTCGATGGCGGTTGCCCACTGCTCCGTTGCCAGCCAAGAATTGCCACACATGCTCACGGCACCATTGCACCAATGTTGAGCTGCAATGAATTCGACCGTATCGTAGCCATCCAGACCTGACCGTGGTCAGTTATTGCCATGTTAATTTCTTCCAGATGATGGAGCAGTAGCCTACCCATCTGGCTTCCCTCGATATAGAGATCGCCTTCACTATCCCAGGTGCCTCGGATATCCACGTTGACTATTGCATAGCCGCGAGGGCACCACTCGACGGGGTCAGGCCTATGACGCCTGGTTAGTATGTCTTGTCTGATACCGCAGGCAAGGCTTATTTACCCTTCGAATTTCTCCAGACCAGATGTGGCGCTCTCTGGTAGTCCGAGTCGGAAGGGTATATTGTCAAATATGCGGAACCCTTGCGGCGATGTCACAGTTAGACTTGTTTCAAGTCCATAGGTCAATGCCAGTCACCTACCGTGTCCATTTTTGCCATATGGGCTAACAGCTAATATGGCCGGTACTTTTGTATCTGTGACAGGCCTGAAAATGTCACAGTAAATCTGATCTTAAGACACCAGATCAGTAAAGCTATCTGTCAGGTCCCCTGCGGTTGACAGACCTTGACTCCGTCTCTGAGCGGAATTTCGACCACTTCATCAAATATGACTTCTTCATGGAAGGGACGTCTGCCTTCCGCAAATTTCCAACCAACAGGGAGCTTTCTAGTGTTCCTAGTCTGCTTCCGGTAGGGGTACGTGTTCGTCTCATCCTCAGGTCGGTTGGTAGGCACCCATGGGATAGGAAAGCTCCCAAGCTCAAGGTTTGGTCCGGTCATGATGCAGATCTGTAGAAACGTTGCTGGATGGCCTTTTGCAATAGATCAAACGTGGACTCTGACAAGACGTTTGGGCGTATTCGATTAAACCGCACTATTTAGTGAACATACTTATAGTCGACAGTGATACGTTTAGTGCTGGTATCAGCCACATGATCTCAAGTTCCGCGGAGCTAAAAGATGGTTTCGCTGAACTCGGAACCTTGCCGCGGCAACTCATTAGATGCTGTGGCAAGACTTATCTCCTCATCTGCTTACGACCAAGCATTTCACCTGGAAGGATTCCGTGCAATTGTACAGTCTAGTTCTCATGCAAGCAATGTCCAGCCAAAGACAGCCTGGAACTACATGGAGCAACACTGCGTTTGGCGTTCATGGGAGGATCGAAAAAAATTGCCCAACAATATCACTAGCAGGGACCGTTGATCGACTGGACCAGTAATACTTGTTGTCATATCTCTCAGCCAGCTTACCTACTGTCCTCTAGTCATATACTCCCGTAACATACCTGTACTGCCCCGTCCAGCAAGTACCCGAGCAGCTTCAAGAATAATCGGAGGTCATAGGCCATTAATTGTGCTGGCTATGACAACTGACACGTAGTATTTCTCGCCTTGGAAAGTGTACAGCAATAAGGGCGAAAAGGAGACACAGAAGCAGGTGCACGCGAACGAGCTTCACTCGGCGCCGCCTTTCGGGTTCCCTTTTAGGGTTGCATGAATCTCATACTTCACACACCACAGCTCATTAATTGAAAAAGGTCAGAATGACTGACCAATTTTGACTAGCTAGAATGGCGAGGATAATACAGTAAAGCATCGATATAAGCGACCCTCCTATGTTAGCAATATGACACTATTGTAACACGGAGGAACACCGAGCCCCTGGGGGACTGGACAGTCTACTAAATTTGAAGGCTTATATGGATATGGATCAGATATAGATACAGGCGGATATGTGGCCTCAATATAGATGCCCGGCTTGATTTAATATACATCTTAATAAATGAGCGGGGCTTGACATAGTAATGGGCTAAAGAACTTGGGTAGATCTGGTAAGTGAATGATACAGGCTGGGCGAGCTGTAAAATTAACCCAGTGGTTGAAGGCTTGCTGAGGCGGAACGGAAAGGCTTTTGCTCCGTTCTGCCGGCATCCGATCGGATCGCCCGGAATAGGATCCAAGCTGACCAAAAGCATGCCTTAAGTTACTAACCTGCTTGTGCCAGTGGCCAAGCATGTCTATTCTCGGCTTGGATTCCGCACTCTTTGTGCTGCTGCTGGACGTTGCTTCTCTGGCTCATGTTCTAGACGAACTTCATGTTGTTGAACTCTGTATAGCATATGCTCGTCAGAACAATGCTCCCTCAGAGCAATCTCGGGTTGGCCATTGCAATGCAGGATCAATAATTATCATGAGCCACGGTACTCTAGTTAAGATATTGCTCAGCTCGATGAACAGAGGGGCTGGAGCTGCCTCAATCAAATACTCGACCGGATTTCTCGGTGCTACTCTGGGCGTGATAACTTTGAATTCAATAGATGTAGAAGTTTCATGCACTGTTAGATTAGTTACGACGTCTCTGTAATAACTCCAGCCTGTGAATGACACAGCTAGTATTCAAGCAACAATTGTGATACAGATTGCGTGAATGATATTATGGAATCTTCCAACCGTATTTAGGTAATAGGAGTCTCGGGATACTTGTGATGAATTCGTTTATAGCCCCAGCCAATAGAATGAGGCTCACAAATACGGGCACTCATAATAGGGGCAAGTTTTTTGCCTCTTCAGCCCATTTTATTGAGGTTAAACATAGAAGTAATTTTTGGGTACATAGATTGATTTGGACTCGTTATTATGGCAGATTATATGACGCGGTGTAGCTAGCGCATTTTCGGGGTGCCAATACTTCTGAACCCCAGTGTAGAACCCAATACGGAACATCGGGGATTTGGTTGTTATGATTCTTTCATGTTCTGATACGGCGACTGGGACACGTGTAGGTGACCTTTTGACGAGAATGAGCTTACTGGATGTTCAAATTCGGAATCACAACCTGTACAATGGAGTTGTGTCTATGGTCCTTGCCGACTCTACACTTTGCCTCTCGCCGCAACATGTCTCCGGGAATTGAAAATCGTCTCGATCGCTGGTGTATGATACGTAGATTACGCATGCGGAGATTCCAGCTGAGGAGCGTGAAGAGATAAAGCCATCATGTCAATGGATTTTAATATCACTACATTCTAATGAACCTTTCCGCAGGGGATTCAATCCTGCCAAGTAATGGATTTTGTCCGCAGGAATTGGTCAAGGCCAATGCTTCCGCCATAACGACCAAAACCACTCATCTTCATACCGCCGTGAGGCAAGGCAGCCTCATCGTGAACGGTCATCGAGTTGATATGAACGGCTCTAAGAAAGCAGATCAGTAAATTGTGGCCGTAAAAAAAAAATCTGCAGGACATACCCAGACTCAATTTGCTTCGCAACCCTCAGCCCTCTCCGTAAGTCTTCAGAGAAGACAGATGCCGTCAGACCGTACTCTGTATCGTTAGCCACGGCAATGGCCTCTTCATCCGTATCAACGACAATGAGAGACACGGTCGGCCCGAAAGACTCGGTTTTGAAAATCCGCATTTCACTTGTGACGTTATCCACAACAATGGGTCTCATGCGCGTGTCTGAACTCTCTCTGTTGTGTAAGTCTCCAAAGAGCAAATTAGCCCCCTTAAATACTGCGTTGGATACCAGGTCCTTGTTCCTGTTTACGGCGCTTGCGTTCACGAGAATGCGGGGAGTGGTGGTACTGCCATAAAATTTCTCCACTGCGGCTGTCAGGATAGGGCGAAATGCATCAACAACGGCACGCTGCACCACAATTCTTTCCGTTGACATGCAGATCTGTCCAGACTGCTCATTGACAAAGTCGGTTTAGTATAGCTTCAAGTGCAAAGAAATAGTGCTGTCGAGACTTACGTTCAAGAAGGACCCAATAGTACAGGCAACCGCAGCCTTATCAAGGTCTGCATCGTCAAGAACAACACAGCTGGCCTTTCCACCAAGCTCCAGCAGAACCGGCTTTACATATTTGGCTGCGAGAGCGCCGATTATTTTACCAACGGCAGTGCTGCCTGTGAATGTGACTTTTTTGATGGCTGGGTGCGCAATCAATGCTGCAGTCACATTTGAGGCATCCTGAGGGCGATGGAATAGAACATTTAAGACTCCATCAGGAAGCCCAGCCTCGCGGAAAACATCGCCAATTGCCCAAAAGCACTTTGGAGCTAGTTCAGAGCCTTTCAAAATGGCAGCGTTGCCTGCAGCTATAGCAATGACAACCGCCCTGGTTCCAAGAATGAAAGGCGCGTTCCTAAGGTCAAATAATGTTATTTTCAACCTAATATGTTCGTTCGGGGCAATCAACATACCATGGGGCAATACCGAGAACCACACCATAAGGCCGTTTATAAACGATACCGCTTGTACCATCTTCTTTAAGGGCGGGTACAGCACCCTCAATAGATGATATTCTTCCGGCAGTGTCCCTGACCAGATCCAGGCCAATATCGTATATTGTTTGAGCGAATTTGATGTCACCTCCCATCTCATTGCACATGTAACCCATGAGCTCTTCCCTGCGATGCTCAAAAATGTCGCCTGCACGGAGGAGAATAGAGCGTCGTACGTGTGGCTTCGTCTTTGACCAAGTGGGAAAAGCGCGTTCTGCCGACGCAATAATACAATTCACATCGTCTATAGATGCACCGCTGCACTGATGCTCCAGAGTACCCGTGCTAGGATTGATCACATCGAATGCAATATTCCCGACGACATCCTTGTTGTCGATGATGAAGGGAACTATAGGCATGACGGCGATTTGCGAAAGGACTACAGCAACTGCATGCTCTCCTTTTTCTCAAGCGGCTGAGATCTCAAAATCCAACTCTTGTAGTCACGCTCTTAACAATATACTAGCTGAACAATCAACAATGACGCTTTTGAAATCCCCTAGTGAGCCATCTACTCGTGGTCATGCGGAATGGTTATTCCAGCGCTATGAGTGGATCAACTGCGTGTTATCATTACAGTAGGGGACATACCAATACGATTGGATACACTTGCAAATCAATCTAATTGGCTTTAAATGTCCTATGGGGATCCACTACATTACTATAAGTTGGATTCCGCGGAATGATCCGCGGAGTGCTTAATCGCTCGGCAAGCAGCACTGATTGACTTAGGGTACTTGCTCGATATTGACAATTTCTAATGGTATATGCAGATAAAAGCTATCATATGTGTATATAAATATTCATGTATAGCTGAAGGAGGATAATTCTAAGCTCACATGAAGTTCAGAATTGGTTCCCACCAGTCGTAGATACAACCACTGAACGAAAGCTCATGTTATTTGGCTAAAAGAAGGCAAAATTGACCGATAACTAAGCTACCTAGGCCTTAATTATCATGAGATCCAAGGACTTGCATATGGCGATCATTGCACACAGGCAAGGGGAGGGTGTCCAGGTTTGAACATTTTTTGCCGCAGCTAGTCAAACACACTGTCGACATATAACATATCAGTTGCTGCCATGCTGACATCTCCCAACATGGATAAGAATTCTGAGTCCGGCGTACGAAGCCCGTCCAATACGTATCCCTCGCCAAAAGGCTCCCCATTATAGACGGGGTTGTCGGTGCCTTCCTTACGACTAATCAAGGGCCCTGACCGCTTAGAGGGTGACATTTGAATAGTTTGAGCAATCTTTTCAAGCTCCTCTAACGTCTTCCAGATGTTTATATCCGGATCTTCGATGCAGTCCTGCACGCCACTGAGTATATCAAGAGCATTGTAGAAGGGCTTGCTCGACAACGGTCCGTAATCCTCAGCACAGTGTGAGACCGTAAAGACCATGACAGATAGAGAAGCTAGAAGGAATTTGATGGCCGAGGGAAGAACAAGTGGACTGATTTCACCAGCTTTCATCATTTCCAGATAGAGATCCACAGAGTCTGTGGCTAAGATGACTAGAGCCTTAGCCGACTTTGGTTGATAGATCACATCCCTGATCGAACCCGAAGTGCCAATGTGGGTGAGCATTTTGATATGGTTAACACGAAGACGGCAAAACCATTTCAGTCCAGTCCGTAGCCATGGTGGTGAGGCTACTGTTGGCTCTATGGTTGTAAAGTCCTCAGCAGGTATGTTATCAATAAGCTTTTGTAATTGAAACTCAAGAAACTCAATGCGTTCACTGTTCCCTCCTGATGCGGATGACGGAGCGTTGATGATATTCCATGTCTCGGAGAGGTTTCTGTCTAAGGATATCATAGTTGATAGGAATGACTCTTTTGGTTCCTGGACCCAGAGATGTAAGCCGTCAGAACACAGTTACACGCCCAAGTGTTCGGATAGGAATCCATACTATTATAAGAGCAGACAAATCGATGTCTCTGTCATGTAGGGTCCAGGGAAGGCCTGAGTAGAAACTACATTTCTTGTCTGCATTGTAAACACAGGCGAACAAACGCTTACACTCAGTAACCTGCTGCGGGGGCATCTTGGCATCTTCAAAAAACTTTTCTCGATGGATACCAAGCTCGAGACACAATTTGGCGGCAACTCCTGACATTCGCCATGCTTTGACTGACCTATGATTGAGGTCTAAATAGATTGACTGGATGGGACCGGGACCCAAGAGTTCACTTTCGTTAGCAGAAGTCGTGCGCCTGGGGTCCGGATGAACAGCTCACGAGCAAAGTTGCCATGATAATATCTTCAATTTGAGGTTGCTCCTGATCGAAACAAGCGTCCACGTTCCACACCAATTGGCCTTCCAGGTCAGAGGCTAAAGGACTTTTTGTGTCACCCTTTACTAGCAACGCAATTGCCAACACCGACTTCAAGATCTCCACATCAATTATATCTAGGTTGTAAGTAACCTCGTGGGAGGTATTGTTCATCAACGAAAATACAGCATTGATAACTTCAGGCGCCATTTCTAGGCTGACGCAAGGATAGAGAGGGTAGATTTCATGCTTAAATATCATAAAAAGCTCGGTGGCCTTCTCATGACCGAGTTCCAGAATGGGCCGCACAGCTTGCAGTAGGGTAATCAAGACATCGGGAGATTTTACTTCCTCTCTAGCGACGGAACTAAGGCCGTCGGCTTTAGAACCTGGAGGAGATCGCAACCCCTTTGCTCTCATAGCGTCTCGCGTCAGGTTCAAGATATATCGGAAGTCGGTAGGAGAGAGGAGTCTACCCGGGTGGATTTGAACGTTGTTCCTGTGTCTTCGTTGTGGATAGGGCTGGCGTGAATGAGCGGGCCCAGAGCGCCCCATCGATTGTTGAATCTGCTCACAAATCCTGTTCATTCGTAAGACCGTGAGTTCAAGTTCTTGCTGGGTAGACTGTGGGTTGGTGATGCTATTTGCTGATCAGTTGAAACATCAACGACCGGGACGACGATGTGTGATATCCGTGGGGGCATACTCGGTTTCTGGCTGGGATGGATCATTGTAGGTACATTCGCTATGGAGTTCCTCACACCGGTAGCATGGTTGGTCTCCGCTGCATTTGACCTTTCGTACCTTGCATAGGGAACTATGTACGGTAAGTAACCAAGGCTTTAGGAATGCATTAGAGGCATCGCAAAGGCAAACCCTACCAGGCCATTCTTGTATATTTCTCCCTTTTCCGGGGACGGGATTCCCGAAGCGCAGCCGGGGGCCTTTTAGCTTGAGATTGTTCTGAGGATGTAGCGGCTTTCATCTTGACAGTGAAGTGAAGAGTGAAAATGAATATTGGGAATGAGCCTCTTGGTGTGCTTTTAATCGGCGCAGCGTGGGGGATGCCCCCGATACCAACCCCCCGTAGTTCCCACTAGGTTAACTAATCTTGGTTCATCATCAAGCATTGTGGGCCAATGAGCACCTAGAGGACAGGAATTCTACAGAACGGGGTGAGGGGTAAGGGTGAACCATTCCCCGCACGTTGTGTGATGCGCCTCCCGGCAGATGCCACCGGCTGCTGGTGCTGAGCAATATGCAGACTAACTCCGCAACAGTAGACTATTTTGCAGCTGTGGGAGAGTTATGTGCCGTATATATCCGTGGTTGGGATGGACTTTTCCCACGTCTATAAATCCGAGTTTAAGGAAAGGGGAAGCTAGTAGTCGTCTTGCAGTACACTAATGAGTATCGATTGATATTCTGTTTATCTTTTCTATTTTGTTTATAAAATATGACCATGTAACTAAAGCCACTGACGGGTGCAGATGTGTTGCGTAGGAAAAGCGACTTACCACCAGTAGATGAGACAATGATGACTATCCACTTCAATGCAGACTTGCGCCCTATAGTTGGTGGCCACGTTGGGATGTTACATTAAATCATGGACCCTGAAACCTCTGGTTTCATCATCGCCTATGATATCTCGGAAAACCAAGTCTTGATCTGTAATTTTGATGTGAGTTCCATTCCAAGCATGTCCTAGCCAGCATATTAAATGAGTTGCTGACGAACTTAATGATATACAGCCTAAACGACATCCCTTGGACTCATGGGACGAGGCTCTTTGCCGCAAGACTGTAGACGCAGCCATTGGCAAGAACATACGACTCTTATAGACCTTGGGTCCTCAGTCGGAAAGTAGTCAAAAGTCATCAGGTCAATCGGGTTTTCCTGTATGCCAATGCATTTGAAGCTTGCGTCCCATCAAGTGCCTATGTTGAAAGTTCCTCGCTAACGGATTCCTCACAGAGCCGGGAATGCTGCATATCCCTTCCCTCCTACAGGCGGACTAGGATTGAATTCGGGCTTGGGTGATGTTCACAATCTCGCATATAAAATAGCTGCCGTCCACCAAGGCTGGTGAGGGGATGCTCTTCTGACCACATATGATTCTGATCGGCGTCAGGTTGCGCTCGTAAGCACCAAGCAGAGTGTTAAAAACGGACTCAAGACCTTCAGACTACTCAAAGTTCTAGGGACCGCCGATGATAACGTCGAGGTTGCGCGATAAAATATTCACCGAAACCTCGATGACACAACGGCAATAGTTGAAATCAAACAGGGGATAGAGGAACAAAGAGAGCACTTTGATAACCTCCGGCTCCACATTAGTTATGACCACGTTGATACAAAAATCCCCAGTAACGCATCTATTTTCCAGGCACTCTGTACGCCCAGTGCACGTCTACCTTATGCCTGGATTAAGATGCTTGCCCCACCCAAGGTGCGATTAGCCCCTATTGATTCGTCGTATATTTGGAGTTTTGGGACGATCAGTTTAAGTAAAAACTATACTCGACGCTTGATCTTTGCACTTTTAACGCCTTTACGATCGTCGTTGATGATCCCTGGGCAGTAAAATGGAAGATATACGTTCACGAAACACGAAAGCTCTTGCTAATGGCAGTCAACGCTGTTTTGAACGTGGGGCTGGCTGTCCTTTGGGTACTTTGACCTCGAAGTGGGCGAGAAGGGCTTGCATCGGACTGAGTTGATGCAGTTGAAAGAGAGACAAGCGACGCTAGTATGGCCAAATCAGCACATTTTAACTTGCTTCGACTCATCCAGGGCCGATTCTTCAGATCTGCTGCAAGCCCTTTAGAGCTATCTAGCTTAGACTACGGCGTAGATTTAATATTCAATTTCATCGGGCATACTGTGAGTAGTTTACTAGACAATTTTTTATTTTCCTTACTCCAAACCCCACTTCAAATGCATTCATTCAGGAAAAACCTGTACTGTAGTCATGGTACGGTTGTTTCCAATCCTCCTTGATATCAATAGAACAATGGGATTGACCTTATTTTAAATTAATGTGGAATCAAAGTCCCAGCTTTATTTAGCATTTTACAAGTTTCAACACTTTGTCCAAGGTTTTGGTGGGCTCTTTTTGCATGATCATCAAAAGCTGTAACGAGGTCCATATAAATTGGCTTCTTACATGTCTCATGTTCATTAAAAGATGATTCTTTGTATCATCCACCGTGATTCACTCATGTCGCTCCACACGGCAGTAAATACAGCCGTATCCAGCTAGCCAACTAATTTGTCAGCCGAAAGAAGAATCGCAGAGCATTTTCACGTTCTGTATCACCTGTCTCCGGAACGAGCATGGAAATTCCAGGCACAAATCTCACTTTGAAGTAACAGAGAAGAATGCCCATTCTATGTGATGGCTTTTGCAGAGCAACTCGCCGATATGGCCGCAAAATATCAAATGCCCCGTCAACACAGGTTCTATAGCTGTCGGAGTATGAATACTATCTCTTTATTATCATTCTCCTGTTTTAGAAGAGCGCTGCCTAAATCGTAAACCGAACAAACCTTGGAAGCTTCCGAACGAGGATCGAATATACCTAATAGTGGCCTAGCCAGCAAATCGCCTTGCTCGCAGTGGTACCTGTCCCCTATAGTCAATTCACCTCTACCTACTACGAATTACTTGACTGCCGATCGGCTCCCGCCCGCTTAATTTATCTATTAAAGAAAAATTATACTAAAATTTACTTCCAATGCTGATTTTTAAAGAAAAAAAATATTATATTATAATTAAAAAATAAACTTATATAGTTAAAAAATAAAAGTTTAGTAAGTTAGAATAAAGTAGATTTTATCATTATAAGATCGATTTCTTTTCTAAAAGGAAAAAAGATGCTTTTAGCAGAAGAAAAACGGGAATTCGCTGGACGCAGAGCATGACACTGCTCGGACCACTGGCCGAATGGTATCAGAAAATATGGCCAGCGTTCGTGACTTGAGCAAGTATCTTCACGACAGTCTGCATCAAGTACGGAGCTAAAGCTTGCTGAGTGGGCAGACAACGAATACAATTGAGAACCAAGGGGGTTCTCGAATCCGCTCCTACTATTATGTTGGGTTCTTATTGTCCACGGAACTGTTTCGCAAATTCCGGCGCCTCGACGTTGACAACTACCCTAGTTGAAAACCTAGATGCTGTACGGAACGAAACAGGTGGAACCGAGATGCAGAGAAAGTAACTAAACTGAAGAGTAAACTAGGGTTAAATGAAAGGATCTCAGGAGAGCATGTCCTTGTGGAACCCTGCTTGTACGGCTAACTCCCTTCAGCGTACGGCAATTGTCACCGCGGAATCATCGGAAACCACACTTGTGCAATGTGGGCTTTAAATAGCTGAATAATAATCCAGTCCAGAGTACACTAACTCAGCTCAGTTCTACTGTTCAAATTTTGAATCTGCATCGAGATTTTGCATCATGCCCTCGCACCTTGCATACCTGCCGCATAACATGCCCGTGCTCATTGCTGTGTCAAGCGCTCTCCTTATCCTATATTATCTGATCAGCTCTCTTTTCGCCCCTTTGCGGGATGTTCCAGGTCCAGCACTCGCCCGATATACCCGCTTGTGGGAGTTGTATAAGAATTGGCAAGGCCAATTTGAGCACGTCACAGTCGCTCTACATAAGCGATACGGTAACTTGATCCGCCCAACGCATGTAAATGCCTGTATATAATAAAGTTTTGGTAGGTCCTATCGTCCGGCTAGCACCTAATCGATACAGTATAAGTGACCCGAAGGCGATTCACACTATTTACGGCTTTGGTTCGAAATTCAGCAAATCCGATTATTACACCCCCTTTGGTGCACCATCCATGGATCACAAGGACGTCTTCTCTGAGATGAGCAATGAGAAGCATGCGCTTGAACGGAAGAAGACCTCCAACATGTACTCTATGAGCTCTTTGGTGTCATACGAGCCATTCGTTGACAAAGTCAATGGCGAATTTATGGACGCGTTGGCCGACCATTCTCAGCACGGACGCGCATTCGATTTGTTCACCTGGATGCAATTTTACGCATTCGACGTAATTGGCGAGATCACCCTAGGACGATCATTTGGCCTGATCGAAGCTGGCTACGATAAGGATGGCCTTTTGCATGCTGTTCACGTTGGCTCAGTAACTTACGGTTCCACGTTGGGACTAGTGCCTGAGATTCATCCGTGGTATCTTTGGTTTCAAAATGTCTTCCCCATCGAAAGCCATTGGCGAACCGTCCAACGAGTCATACAGAGGGAGATTGGTGCCCGAATGCAGGGCGTCAGTGCTAGCGACCGTAAGGACTTCCTAGAAAAGTGTGTCGAATTGAACAAAGCTGGAAAGGTGGATGAGTTCACAATTAACAATGTGCTTGGTTCCAACATTGGCGCTGGCTCCGACACCACTGGTATCAGCATAACCGCCATCATCTACTTCCTCGTGAAGCATCCACATTGCTTGCGGAAGATCCACGATGAAATTGACACAGCCACTCGGCAAGGAAAACTTTCTAATCCCACTACTTTTCAAGAAGGCCAAAAGCTTACATACTTGCAAGCTACCATCAAAGAGGCTTTGAGGTTGCATGCAGCTGTCGGCCAGATTCTCAGCAGAGTGGTTCCAGAAGGCGGTGCACAGCTCGCTGGAAGACACTTTCCACAAGGCGTAGGTTGCAAGAAAATTCTTCAGAAACTGTCACTAACTATAAAATTGCTGGCAGACCGTGGTGGGCGTAAATGCATGGGTGATTCATGGCGACGAAAGTATCTGGGGCAAAGATGTCCACGAGTTTCGACCAGAACGTTGGCTGGTCGACAAAGAGCACATTGCATTCTTAGATCAACATTTCTTAGCGGTAAGCGCTCCTTTCTCTCACACAGTATTAAATGAAAGTCGTGCTGATGTGGTATACAGTTCGGTGCTGGTGCAAGAACTTGTATCGGCAAGAACATCTCGCTTCTTGAAATGACAAAACTGCTGCCGCAACTATTGCGGAGGTTTGACTTTGTTCCTGTAGGTAACAGCCAGTGGACGACTACTAGTATGTGGTTTGTCAAACAAAAGATCCAAGTAAAAGTTATTGACAGAGATCTTGAGACCAGTCGAAATGTCTCGTAGTTTTGAAATTGGCTGTGGGCTTAGCATGGTGAGGATCTACCGGAAGCAAAAGATTCTGATTTGACAATTTTCATGTCTTAGAAGGCCATGCACAAATAAAAAAAGTAGTCAAGCAGTTCGGCGTTTCAATTTGTACTCTTCTAGGGTGTAGAATATGACGAGTAATACCAGGAAGGAGTATTCAACATTTTCTGTATGTAACAAAATGAGGTACCTACTCGCTTTATAGGCGGCTAGCCAGGCAACTTAAGGTAGGTGCATTTAATATGCACCATGAAGCTGCGCACATGTAAATAGATTCTGGCTATCTTAAACATGCCTGAATTATTGAATGAATAGTAAGTAAAATTCCTTGCGAGGTTTAGTTACATATCCTATTTGAGTTGGGCTTATTGTTTTATGTTAAATGTTATTTGTATTAATAATGCCTTAGCATTTTATGGCCTATTAGGACCAGTAGTATTAGCATTAGTATCTAATGATTCGTTATTTTGAATAATAAGAACGACTGATGTAGTGATAGTCGGTGATTGAGAGCACGCTCTTACTGCCAACTTTAGGTTAGTCCGTGCCGAACTCCTGAATATTCCGATTCCGCGGAATATTTTTATTTCTCGTTGCTGATCACAATAAGTGTTGCTTGTGTCAATTTTGGCCCCATAACTTTTTCGTGTGAAGATATTTATACTCTGTATCACTATTCCCAGTAAATCATAGAGCACACCACATCACAATATACCCCATTATACACCTGATACAGCACGAAAGGTGAATCTAATATCGATATGTTATACCTTCCACAAATGGACAAAATAATACATCCTTATGCTATTTTCATGTTTAAGTGTAAATTTTACTCCGACTACACTCCGACTTCACTTATAATGTCCAATTTGTCGCCGACCACCATGGTCGTTCGTATAATCGATTTGAAGAGCTCTAATGCCATGGTTCAAGATAAGATCTTGTCGGCCTACAAATGCCCTAATTTTACGACTAAGCCGTGCTACCTCCTTCCGGTATAGTGCTATTTTCGGCCTACAAATATTCGGAACTCTTCCGTAAAAGTCTTGAGAGGGAGCGCAATGTGAGGTTGTTGAGGTTGTCGGTGGGAATAACAATCTATGGATTTGGTGACACGAGAGTTTTCCCGAATTCCAACCCTCTCGACGACCTTGAACACCCGAATCAAATATCTGTGATTAGGCCATCATCGGAACTGTACCTCCACAGTATCGGGGACGTCGATGTAATAGGAGGCAATTTGGAATCCATGTTTCATTTACCAAACGGGGCTTCGCCAACTAAGGGGAAAGACGCGCCAGCTCAGTTTCGGTTACCACAGTTCTAATTTCCAAACAAAATCCGATGTCACGAGTAAATACTCCTCAAAGGTCTTTGTACCCGACTTTCGATCTAGTCAGCGAATAGGGACAACGGGTAGAGCAATGAATTTGAAATACTCAACACTCTAATATTTCCCCACTTCAAAAGAAGTATTCCGCGGAACCGCCAATAATCATCCTTGAAGGATCTAATTCGATATTGAATCGAGAAGGTATTGAAAACTCCGTCTAGTGTGAATTGGCCTCAATTCTCAGTTTCTACATATAACAACCTACCTCCAGATTTTCGGTGCTATTATTCTCACATTCGCCCATGCCTGATATCCCGGTCAAAGTCTTTGACTCCATTGGTCAAATTGTTGACTGGATGGAAAAAGGTCGAACTTGCAACCAAGAGTGAGTGCTGTGGCGAAAATCGGACAATGTCTCTAATTTCTTGCTACAGAAACAAAACTACAGAAGAATTCCGCAAAAATGCAAGGGAACATAGACGTATCATCGAAACACTCTTCCACAATCACAAAAGTCGGCCTTTTTATTTCCAAACACAAAATCTGGGCAAAGGGAGAAGCGCTATGAAGCAAAATACAGAGGACCATCGAATCCAGGTGCATACAAACAAGGCGAACAAGCAGTAAAATGCACGTATGGAATAGGGGCAATTGATGGATGCTTGACTGTTGAATATTGCATGAGTAGTAAAATGAATCCGACGGACCAATTTTAGGTATTGGGAGAATATCGCTTTTTTTTAATTACACGGTGACATCTGTCTAGCTGGTAGAATTGACCAGAAGACCACACCTCGACTTCACCGAGGCAACTAAGTGGAGCTGCTTATCAGCTTGCTCATTTAAGAGTGATCGATCCAGGAGAGAGTTGTTCATTAGTACTCAGGATTGATTGTATTTTCTTTTTACATCATTCCTCTGAGCATGCAAATAACAGCCTTTTCTAGGACCTCAAACCACCAGAATTCCAGCAAAAGTACAGGATTTCTCCCGAGGGTATCACGACGCCTTCCCGTTAAAAGAATATGGCTGGCATAACCACGCTTTCTCTAGAAATCCAATTACTCCGTTGTAAAGTTCCCGGTCAACAGAACAGTAAAACCTAGCCCTTCGAGCACTTTATAGCTGCCGTTCTGTATACGGTCCCCTCCCCTTTTTTGATTGGTACGCGTTATAGGTATGGATATGCTCAAGTATACAAATTTTAGAAGACTATTTCGCATCCAAGTGAAGATGTCAGGCAAACATTTGGAGATTCCGTCTGCATCATCATACACCCCATCTTCTATCGTATGCGCGCGTCCAGCAAGGCGGAACGGCCGCTTTTTACAGTGTCCACAGCTTCCGGCAGCTTTCGTGCAAGTTCCTCCACATCACTGGCTTGTCCGGTCCAGCATTTCCCTCCCGATGCACCCTTTGCGATAATCCCGTAATCCGGGTTCGGCGCGAATGAGATGTTGAGTTCTTCGTTGCTGACCTTGGACCCCAATCCGTCAGGATGAACAAGAAGCAAAGACTTACGAGGCGCATTCCATCCTGCAAAAACATCGTCGTCAGTCTAACATCATTCGCAATGCCTCAAGAGTCTAGATTATGGGGATCAACTTACCATTGTTATTTAGCACTATAGTCAACACCGGTATCTCGTACCTCTGTGCAATCCAATACACACTGGCAGGGATAGAAAAAAGAAAGCAACCGTCGCCAATAATTTGACAAACAAACTTCCCTCTTCCTCCGTGACAGTAACGGGACGCCAGTTTTATACCAAGAGCCGCGCCACCTGACCAGCCCAGCCCACCCGCGCCGGCACTGAACACGCTTGCCGGCAATGTTGCCTGCAGCTGATCGGCCACAGTGAATGTGTTAGTGACAGCTTCGACGACCCAGATAGTGTCTATCGGACATGCCCTTCGGACTTGCGAGATGAGAAAGCCACATCCGAACGAGCCGTCCGGGTTCGGTTCGGCCTGTGAAGCTATCTCTTCTAGCTTTCTCGTGTATGACGCCTGCAGGGCCGACCAGCGACTTGCGTAATACTCCTGGTTTGCGCTGATTTGATCCGAGAGCTCGGTCTTCAGATGTCGGACGATTTGGTCAAGCGCAAACGCAGTGTTGACTCGACAACGCAGTATGGCATTGATATAGAAAAGAGGCATCTGTTGTTTCAAAGGGTCGACATCGAAATGGATGATTTTGGTCCCATCTGCGGGTTTGCACTGCGTGTTAATCCATGGCACATCGCAATCCACAACTAATATCGCATCGGCCGTGCGGATAGCCTTGTCTGATCCGTACCTCACGCTCAGCCAACCAGGGTGATTTGCAGGAAAGCTGAGGTCTGAACCCCCCGTGTCGAGTACACGTAAACCCTTGACAATGTTTGCCAACTCTACAAGCAATGATACCACGGCGGTATCTCGTCCGCTGTAGCCCGTGATGACTAGAGGCTCCTGGGCAGAGACTAAAACATTGCAAACAAGGTCCAGATGCTTCGGTGTCAAGCCGCCGAGCTCCACAGGGCTCCAAAACTCCTGTTGTATCTCGTACGGTTCTATGACCTCTTCCATGACCTCCCGCACCCCTTGCAAGTAAACTGGACCTCGGGGATCGCTTGTGGCAAAACTCAACGCTCGATTCACTACCTGTTTGATGTTCTTTCCCTTTTTCAGATCGGCTGTGTAACGACAGTATTGTGATACTATCGCTTTTTGGTCAGGGACGTCTTGTAGCCAGTGGATGAACTCGGTTCTACTCCCACGATATTCGCCTTCTAGAGTGCATGGGGACAGACCGGCAAAGATGAACACAGGCACACGACCGACGCTGGCATTGTGTACGGCGCAGCCGAGTGCCTGGGTTCCGACGTCGACGTGCACAATGACAGCTTGAGGTTTTCCCGTGGAACGAGCGTAGCCGTCTGCAATTGACAGCGCCACCATTTCGCTTGGACAGGTGATGAACTTAGGAAACCTGTCTGGCCTCTCGCGCTGGCCTTGGATCATTGCCTCCATGATACTGGGATGATCCGATCCTAGATTTACAAAGCAATACCGTACGCCGGCCTACACAAAAGGATATTAGAAAAGTTTGAAAGGCTTATGAGCCTTCCGTGGTGTACTTGGCCAATACTCACATCCCACAGCGCCTCGAACAATGCCGATGATGCTGTATACTCCCTATTACCATATTTAGCGTGTTACTAGATGTCAATATGGGCTTCTCCCTCACATTCCACTCAAAAGTTAAAAACAGATTTAAGAGGTTCAAACATAAAACTGTTTCAATTTGTGGCTTCATCGCGTAGTCAGGGATGTTGTGTGCCAGTAATATAGCGGGGGAGCAATAATGTATTTTACGGACGAGGTGCGATCTCGGCTTACAACAATGGCGCCTGGGTCTGTCATGTACAATACTAGGGATTGCCAGGACACGTCTTTCTCGGAACCTAGTCCTGGGTTTGCTATGCGCAAATTTGCAGTGCTGGAGACTTGCAAGAGAGCAGCGGTTCCGTGGAATTGACATGTCCCGCCCTAGCTTACATGGTTGTCGGAAGCGCAAACCACAACCAAAATTGGAAAGAATTGGTCAGCACGTTGTCAGGAATTAGTTACAGCTGGGAAATTTACTTTAAACTAGACATCTCTCGAGCAATTTCTATTTTCTACGAAAAACCCTATGTTGTCTACTACTTACATAACTGTAGAAGAACTCATTGGCAGACATGGCAAGCGTTAATTATGTCTTCAAGGCTGTCAAGTACGGGGCCCAGAAGGTGAATCTGACGGCCACTGTGCACTTGCCTAAAGACACTAGCTCAGTCAAGGGAATAGGTGAGACTCTTGATGGAAGAATTAAACTTGTGAAAATCCCAAGCTGATCCGAACTCAAGCGCTGTATTTTCACGGAGGTGGTTACGTCGTTGGCAGCCGAGCAATGCTTCCAGCTGCGCATATTGATGCCTTGAACGAAGGTGGTTTCGTCGCCGTATCTTCAGACTATCGTCTCTCTCCAACAATTTCAGTACTGGATGGTCCAGTTGCCGATTCAGTCGCCGCGTACGAATGGGCGCAGGACGAGCTTCCCGTACTACTAGAGAGAGAGCACGACATCAGAGTGAACGGCAAGAACATCGTCACCCTCGGTCACTCATGTGGAGGTGGTCTTGCGTTGTTGATGGTGAGTATAAGTTGTGCAAACCGGAAGAGCCGGCTATTGTTGATCACACAACCAGGCTTCTCGTGCACACCCGCCCAAGGCCATCCTTGATCTATTCGGGTTTAAATACCTTCGTGATCCCTTCTACCACACTGGAAGCAGAACTATACTCCCGCCTGGCACCCCGCCTCTACCTTCCGCTGAATTTATCGAACGGGTCTTTGAGGAGACTCCCCCTCCAACCGCCGCACTCCCTCCCTTTGGTCCCAACGGACTCGATCTGTGCACCCCGCGCCAGGCCTACCTTATCACGTCTGTTGGGAAGGGTACTCAATTCGATAAAATCATCGCCGAGGATGAGTACGATTATGTAGATCCAGAGAAATTGTTGAAGAGACCCGACTTCCCACCAACATTCTTCGTTCAGGGGACGGCAGATGTTGTTGTTGACGCAAAGTTTGCTCAATGGGCCCACGCGGAACTGCACAAAAATGGGGTACAGGCTAAACTGTACCTCGTAGAAGGCGGAACTCACGGATTTGATGCCAGGTTGAACCGTGACGATGCTGCTTTTGAGCCCATTCAGAAAGGCATTGATTTCTTGGCGTATCACGTGGGTGTGGGCGTGGGAAAATAAGGGACAGGAGTTCTTCTGGCTGCGCTTTCGCCGACACTGGTTCCGGATATTTCCCTATGGTTGTTGATACTAAAGTAGTATGCTATTGAATAAGAGAATTTGATAAGATAGACTAAAATAGTATCCTACTTTTGGCCAATCCTATAAGAATCCTCGACTGTTAACAGAATTCATCGATCTGAGTGACGAGTTGTTGAGCACGATTCGACAATAGTGCCAGATACTAATGCCTTTGATATTTAAGGTGAGCCTCTATGTGACCCTGGTATGTTAGATGCCTGATTAGGTTTTCTTGCATAAGCATCCTATGTAACATGGATAGGTCCAGGAAGCATGCTCATGCCAAATCCGGCAAGACCGGGGGACTCAGAGATATCCCGGGGTTCAATTGTGATATATCATAATTAATACCATAATACCCTGGGCATAATGCAAGCACCCCTCACCTCGCAATATATGCCTTTATCTAACTAGATCAGGTATCAATGACCTGAAGCAGGGACTCAGGCATATAAGCTTGGTTCCCTCCTTCCAGGTTGGGAACCAAGAAAAATCTTTTGTATGGTTTTTGACAGATGTCGTGGTGCTACGGAGGCCCCGCGAGACAGAAGCTAGCAGTATAATCAGGATAGAATTATGGAACTATGGAAGTATGTATACTAATCAAGGACCGCAGTGGTGCAAGCTAGTCCCACGAGATAGACATATTGCCTACGTGGCGGGCGATGGCCACGCGAAGCCATGAAGCCACCGCGACGATGAGGCGAGCAAGGACTCTGTAGGTAGAAGCCAGACGGAACTACGAGGCTACTGCACATGTGACGCGACCGTAAGTTATATTAAAGACTCAAAAGCCATCTACGAAACTAGTATATAGATATATAGATAGAATGGTGATCAATAAGTGATTTAATCATTGAGTCGATTAGTGCGAGCACCGCGGTGGCCGGAGCTAGGAAGGTGCTATACACTACGTACGGTGTAATTAACAGTGGGTATGATGACTCAATCTAAAATATTTGACACAGTGATCTCGTTGCATATCTGCAGGTCCAGAGACGGGGGATCTAGACCTGATACAAAGTAGATGATGGACCATACGACGAGACTAAGGGGAATGAATACAAAATGTAAATGGAAGCTAGGCGCACTTCTATATCTTAAAGCTATTCGTCATACAAGAAACGAACCTCTGTAAATATGTCTTTCCCCAACATCTAATACCGCAGAAAGCCTAATAGTGGCTCTTCGTTCAAGGGAAGCTCCAACGGTGTTTTTGCTACGGTTAAATCAAATGGTTGAACTGTTACATCCGTCGATGCACCACATCCAGGCTTGTGAGCAAACTGATCGTCCAAGAATTTCAGCCATGCTGGTGCTGAAGCAGTTATAGTCGCGGAATGATCGAGTCCAGGATAGCGGAGCAAGTGGACTTCGTTCCCTGCCGCGACAGCGTCCTGATATGCCGCCACGGTGGTTTCAGGAAGGATTGAAGTGTCATTCCAGCCTTGTATGACTAGGATTGGTCGTGAAGCTGGATCACCTTGTGCTGGGGCATTGATAGCTTGAAATTGCTTCAGTGTCTCATCCGCTGCTGGATTTGCATCAAGCGCAATGAGTTCCTCTCGTGGCAAGTCAAATGACATGCCCATAAACGCTAAGGTACAGGACTGTAAGAGAGTGGTCAGACCAAGCCTCCGTATCATACCGTTACCAAGCCATGGAGTCGTGTAGTTGGGAAATACTTGCATGACTCCGTAGGCAAGAGGGCCCATCTCAGCAGAGACAACAAACTGATGAAAGTCTGGTCGAGGAAGAATCGAATCAAAGACAACTTTCGCGGTGTCATAGAGCTTGGCTCCTGGAGATACTGCAATAGTCCCTAGATATCCTGAGCTGGCGTTTTGCACAAGTGGGTGCTCAGATAGCTTCCACACCGCGCCGCCTCCTTGGGAGTGACCAATACTCATCCACTCTTCGGTGAAAACTCCAGGAAAGGTTTTGCGAGCAGCCTGTACCGAATAATACAAGTCATTTGCATGGGCGGCATAACTGGAATATTTATGTGACGTGAAATTGTTCCCAAGGCCGGCATAGTCAGTTGCCACAATAGCGTACCCGTGGAATATCAGTGGGGTCCAACTATCATAGTTGAAGACATCGGGAGAAGATGATGGCGCACAGCCACGATAAACACCAATAGTGCCGTGAGCGAACGCGACAAGAGGAATCTTTCCACCATGGGCAGGCTTTGCATATGGGAATGCGATAAATCCTGTTGAGGGCACGGGACTTCCATCTAGGTCTCGAGAAGTATACTGGAATCGGAATGTAGTCATTCCAGCAGGGACATCTAGGTTAGAACTGTTGATCGCCCCTAGTTTCAGCAAGTCGCCTGGAACCGACGCAGAGAAATTATCTGCCGTTGCGTAGAAGTCAAAGTCGAATGCGGTTCCAAGCGTCTTAAGGTCGGCTGCGTTTGTGAGAGACAGGACTTTTTGGCATGTCTCATTGCACCCGTATGTCAAAGCTACTTCCTCGCTTACGTTGAAGTTTGACGCCTGGCCCGTGGCCATCCAAGCCCGTGCCATCGACGCGAGGAACAGAATGGCGAGCCCGTTAGAGATAACCATTTTGAGACTGAGACCGAGTTCAACGAAGATGTTTGGAAGATGCGCTTTGAAGGCTATCTAGGAGGAAGAGGAGGGTTCATGCCTTTATACCCTGGTGATGTCGACATGAGAGGCCCTGTGGATTGACAGGGCGGTGCAAAGCTGGGTAGCACATGAGATTTTACTCTTTGATGATGTATGATAAATAAATATGGGAAATGGCAAAGGGTCGCCTGAATATTTCCATTCCTGGTTACCCACAGATAGCAGATCGGTGTCCCCTTAGCTGGCAAAATCTTGTCGCTATGCCCACACGGACATGAACCAGTCCGAGAATGGTTTCCAAACCAGTCTTGCATACCGGTTCACAAGAACTAATGTAGCGCTAGAACTATTGGAGCCATTGATTTCAGGCTGTAATAAGTCTTGTAAAGCTGAGACCCTTGTCGTGTCTGTAGCCCCTTTTCTGAGTACTCAAACATCGCTCAAATGTTACAGTAACTGGTTTAGCGTAATTCTGGTGACTGCTTCTGCCGAGGCATCCCAGATCCTCCCTCTACCGCTCAATGAGCGCATCCCGTTCCCAAGTCCACTCTCTCACCGCTCCGATAGCTGGAACGTTCTTGTCGGGAGAGGGTAGTGGTCTGAACGCTCCAGGCTGGTGTCACTTTCATGGCTGACAGAAGTCAATGGATGATAGTAGGTCAGTACTAGCGCCACTCAAGAATTAGGCTTGCCTGGGAATAATACCGCCGTATGTGTTGCGGGATGTTAGAGCCCGATCCTGGCAGGGCTTTATATCCAAGCATCTTGTCCTGCTTGATTGGCTTTATTTCTTTCCCTGCCCTTCTCTTCATTGCGTCGGAGCACATTGTTTCTGTGTACAAAGTTTTTCTCCATTTTTTGTCCAACATGCGCACTCAACTTGAACTGCAAGCCATCTAGCAGAACTGCCATGCCCTGATACCAGGGCTGACGACTGCCTGAGTGCGATATTCCCCCCCCCCCCCCCTTCTTTCCCCTCCTCCTCGGTAGCTATACAGGTATAGGTGCTAACAATTGCCCTAGCGATTTGCTCAGCCGAGGTTATTGGTTAGGCAGCAAGATTGTGGTCATCCGAATGTCCGTATAACTCGACTGCATTTCTGATGCAGATCTCCACTCTGATCATTGCTACGTCGATTCTGGCTCCAGTCCGCTCACTTCCGCTGGTGCTTGGCACCACCCATCTAGCGCCGAACTTCTTCACCACTGGCATCTACATCGTCCTGGGACGATTCATCAACCTCCTCGGACGGCAATCATCGGTGATGAGACCGAGTCTCTGCCTCTGGATCTTCTGCGCCTAACCTAAAATAATAGAGTTGAATAAAAAAAAATGGCTAAAGAAAGAAACAGTCTATAGTATCATAAATATAGTCATAGAACATATGTTAGCAGTTTTATAGTATTTAAAAAAGTATTATTATTTAATATCTAGAGCTTTTTTAGAAAATTTTATCTTTTTTTGTAGGTGCTATTCTGGTTTAGAGTAGATCTAAGAGTTAAATACCGCGACAAATATATACTGCTTGAACTTCCTACAATGTATAATGTTGCCTGTGCTTTTATAAATGCGGATTTCCATCCTTCCAGGTCTCAGGCCCATGCACGGGTCTCGTAAATCGTATAGATCTAGTCTTCCGATCTATCGAAAGTAAAATGAGTCCAGAAACAGTAGTTATAGCTCGAGGTCAAGAATTTTCATAATGAGGACAAATAATGAGGACAATGATCTGCTTGCAAAATCGTCCAGACTAGGGCATCCCGTAGAGGCACTGAACTGTTGCTCCAACTACATGATAAACAAAAGGTGCCGAATTCCAGAGGATTTTCTACAGTAGTTCAAGAAGACCGGCGGCATCAGACCTATCAACTCGAGATTTCGAGCAAATGAACTCCTCGGGCAGCCAGTCCATCAATTTGCCCTCTGGCAGAACTGGAGAACCTTGGATATGTTCATCTTCGAGGCCTAGCATCATCACCGCTACTGCAGCGCCTGACAGCCAGGCTAGCACCATCCCTTCTCCACCGAATCCAGCGCATATCCATTCGGCAGGAGGCAGCCTCTGGATCCCTTCATATCCCTCACCACCACAATTGCTATCAGATCTCTGACCAAATCTGTCGACGTTTCGCCTCGTTAATTCGGTCTCCAGCTTCCCGACATACGGTAGGGCGTCTGCCGTGAATCCCATGCAGCCAACCCAAGCTTGTTTGATGCGAGAGCCGTCGACGTCATCACCCCAGTTGTCTTTTCCGAATGTAGCGGGTAATATGCCATCCAAGTACGCGCCAATGGTGCTGCAAAGCTGATCATCGCGCCAGACTCCACATTCATCAATGCCCCTTCCAGGGGATTGGATCGCGCCGCCACCCACCATGAGCTCTCTCCCCAGTCTATGAACTTCCGAGTGCGGCTTTCCCGGGCGCTGCGAAATGTATTCATACCCTCTCCGGCCCACAATAGACCACGACCGTGAGCCATCACAGTCCGGGAACCTATTACCCGGTCTTTGGGCTGTCATATGTCCTCGGATAGGAAACAGTTTCCCCCTGATACCAGGAACCAAGACCGGGGCAAATGCATCTGTGGCATGTACAACGTGTCTGGCTGCAATTTCTCCCCTGGAAGTGCAGACGAGAAAGGGCTTTTCCTTATCGTTTTGAGTCCTGACTTCCGTGACAGGCGTATTGGTTTCGACAGAAAATGTTGACGCAAACGTGGACAAGAGAGTTGCATAAAGTGAAGTGACAAATCGGTACGGCCAAAGAGCCCCTGCTTGGTACGATATAATACCAAAGCAGTGTTCTCCACTAACTCCGAACTTCTGCATAATCAGGTGAGTACGCTTAGGAACAATATAAGAGGTCTGATAAAATAGACAACAAACGCGGCATACCTTGCATCCAGCTTCCGCTTCATGGATCTCCACGCTTTCGGCGACATCAGGCAAATCCTGTCGCAATAAGTGTACCATGCTCTTCGCTTTCTTCCACATTGTCTCATCGGTAAATATGTCGATAGTTTCTACTTCTCGGACCTCCGCATGTGTAAATTTCATCCTCTGAGCAAAGTCAACAAGCAGCGGAAGGGCCTTTCGCTGGAACGCGAGGAGCTTCTTCGCTCTCTCAGAGCCGAACCTCGCTTTAAACCCCGCGTATACAGCATATGGGGCACACTTGATATGGCCCCCATTCCTCCCCGTTGCGCCGCTGCAAATTTCCCTAGCTTCAAGCACGACCACCCTAAGGCTTTTCTCTGAGCGAAGTGATGTAAGAATGGTGTGAGCAACGCTGGCCCCAGAAATCCCAGAGCCAATAATGACAATATCTGCCATTTCAGGCAGTGATTTGGACTGGATGTTCACTAATTCTGGCAAAACAGGGTTTTGCTGCCAGAAGGAAGCACTAGGGTTAGGGATAGGCAGTGATGGGCGCAAAATTCGGTTGCGAGCTGCATTGAGATCGGCCCTTGCTTCCTCCATAATGCCTACTAGGATACGAATGCTAAAATAGGCGATACGAATGTGAGAGAGGATACAGCCCATTGTAGTTGCATTGGCTGCAAAAGCCGGAGAACTTGACGAGAATAACTTGAGGTGAATCAGGGGATACAACAATGCAGTACGTCCAGTTACGTCGAGGGAAACCGATCTGCTTAAGGTTCAATTGATTTCGTTTGCAGGAATGGCATTGAATGTGCCTCCGCTATGACTAGGTGTCTGCAGATGGCCTAGAGTAGCTTCTGGGTTGTGCTTGAGCCTGGGAAAACGTCACTGGGTGATTGTACGATCGGTTAAATAGATGGGCACAGAGCTTAGGCTCCACGAGAGACTGACAGTTACACAGATGCGTCCCGTTTAGGGGAGTGAGAAAAGACCACATATCAGTTTATCACTAGTTATACTAAAGGCGCACCGCTCGATTATTTCCAGATAGGGGAAGTGGGGTAGGCACAGATTCGCAATGTGGATAACCTCGTACTACCACTACCTAATAGTTGAGGGGGAAGTTGATACAACGGCCGAGGCTGAGAAACCAGGCGTAATATCAGCGATTGTATGTATGGACATGAGGAATATGCTTCAGGACTTTTCTCTGAGTTAGAATCTACGTACATACAACGTCCTGGTAGTAGTGATATCCCACCGGCTCGGATTGCGCTCAGCCGTCCCGCACGAATACTTCCCTAAGCGGTTTAACTACTCTGGGATATCGTGTTTATTTTCAAGCGTCGAGAGTTACGTTCTCCATATATATTATTTTCTTTTATATAGCCTGTAGAGGAAACCATGTGGATGCAGCAAAGCTTGGCCTTAAACAGAAAGTAGGAGAGTATGTAAGCACTTTGCAGTGGCAATGACTTGGTTGAAGAGGAACTCTGAACTCTCCCCGTCTCCATATTTGAAACGGTGAGCTTTTATAATGTGCACCATAAAGTTACATTTGACAATAAGGACTATAGAGTTGCGAAAGCGCCAAGTGACCAGAACACGCAACCTCCGATGACGCACGTTACGCACTATACAGGCCCTTTCTCACTTAACCCGAGGCTTGGTTAAGTAAATCTGCACCTAACTAACCGTTCCCAACTGCCTGACTGTCACGTTGGTGCCAATGACCAGGCAAGTTGGATATCGGCAGTAAATGTACGAGCTACTACGAAGCCTTTGTTCTCAATCCGTTGAAAGAGTCGCAAAATCCGTTGTCGATGACATGCAGACCGCACTTCCAAAGATATCCCCAGTAATAAGGGAAGATAGAATACGGACTCCAGGTTGACCTTCATCAATCGTTGTTCAATAAACGATAAAGCGACGAGACTATGCGATCTGATCATTTCCTCGGGGAGAAGTGGTAATTCCTCGTTTACTAACTGCCACAGCGGATCAATGAAGCGCCGAGATACGCTTACGAGCCCACAGTAATAGAATGGCATGATGAAGTCCAGAGGATAATCCTGTCCAATATCACACTCCAGTGATAGAGACGGTGCCAGGTGGAGGATTTCGTCGCGGACCCGAAACCCTTCCATAACGATCTCTTTGCCGGCCAGAAGGTGAAGTACCCACTTGTTACTGTAATTTTCTGTGAATATTGATTTATCTATACTGTGAGCGAAATGCGTCTTGATTCTCCGGGAGTTGTACACCCAAGTCAAACAACTGCAAGGCGTTCAGTAGTGGCATTACGGAAAGGGGCTAACGAAAACTCCACCGTTTATTTAAGCTACCCAAGAGGGCCATACAATGTGCCAGACGCCCTTCTTTCTGACCACGAAATTGTCGAGACATTGTAAATCCGGTGTGAATATGGTCAGACGTTTGAGTATCCAGATTCTGCCATTCCATAATTCTACTATCTTCATCGAATGAGAGGGCACGCATGCCTTCACAGATCCAGTAGAGGGAAAGCAACGATTCTTCTAGAGTCCCTGAAAAGCCTCGCGGGCCACGTTGCCATACCTGGTTTCGCAATGCCCCTTTGAAGAGTGAATACCACCCAAGGCCAGAAGCGTCAGTTGCCAACTAGAAGCAAGCTAGTGAGTTGAGTTGGAATACAGGGAAGCCGTGTCCCTCGAGGATAACTGACCTCCAAAAAGCCTAGCAGAAGGGCCCCCAAGAAAGAAGTATCATCACACTTTACAGCTTTCCCTTGAGAAGAACAGTGTAGTTGGTAAGTGACATGTAGTCGCGATTGCTGAGCGGACTCCGTGAATTGGCGTTTAGTCCTTAGGCTGAGCTTGTCGTCCTTCCTTGCAAATAAAGACCCGAGAGCAGATATAATCCGGGTCACTGGGGTTGAGGCTTGGACGATGGCCCCGATTGAGTCCCACGAGAGCACAGAAAGTAGGGGAGAGCATTCAGCTCTGATGCTTTCGAAGAATCTATCTATGCATAACGAAGTCAAGTCTCCAGATCCTGACGCTGCAAACCGTGAGCATATGGCCCCAGTCATGTCGAGTATCGCCAAGTCATCCCTCATCGGTTGTACATCTCGACAACGGACACCACGTCCCCAGCAGTTAGCACAGGGTCGACTCCCATCACACTATATGAGTTCAAATCAACGGCCGGGGTCTGTCAGAAAATCCTAAGGATATATTGACTAACCTTCAGGCGACTACGACGGCATCGAACACACCTGTGGCCGTTCAGTCTCTTGTCTCGGGGCCCACAGAGCGCAACACGACTCAGGTGACGGGTTTCCATCAAGAGGAATGGCCTAGCGAAGGGTAAAAAATATTTAAACAAGAAACCTGAAGACACTACGCCTTGACTCAACTGAAAAATATTTCCGGTTAATGAAAAGAGATAATAGAAATGCAGTCCGAGGTCCAGAGGAGGTTTGCTAGGACGTACCAAATTTGCCACAAAGTAAATTACAGGTCTATCCCTAATGCAGCAACCTGCCCTAGTGGAGGTCGTGCACTAGGCTTCGCGAGAATATTTCCTTATCAGGACAAGCATAGGCCATGGATTGAGCCTAGGCTTATCTTCGACCTTTCTTATTGGTCGCTGGGAGTAGAGTAGCTTCGTAGATCTGGTCTACGATCCCCCCACTTCGCCTTGGACTTCAAACCCGTTTCATCTTGCTCAACACGTCGAAAATGTAAGCGTACGCGGGCCTCGCGCCAAGAAAGATTAAGACTAGTTTTACTCAAATATAGGTTGTAGTACGTCAAGGGGCATACAGTTTAAACTTTTCTCTGTTCTTCTACCATAATTGGGCAACTTGTTGGACTGTTGCAGATACTGGTAAGGGAAAAGTATAGCAGGCATATCCATTGCTTGGAATTGTCTGTATGCCCTCTTCCTCTTAGGGAGGACCTGATTAATATAGGGCAATATTATATCGACACCTCAACTAGCTAAATCGACACCTCTCCTTCCTAAAGCCGTATTGCACAAAAATTGTCTTCCATATCTACGTGTTAGATTGGTCTCAACAACTTCCTGTAAAGTACTGGCCCAGTCAAGAAATGTACAATCCCATGAGTTATCAGATACCTTACTGTACTCCGGCCTCAAGACGCATACAAAGAACAGTGAAGAAGCAAAAATAAAGTTTGAACGCCTATGCCTCCTTGATTAACAACGAACCGTCATGTGACTCGTAGTCGATAGAACTCAGTCTACTTCGTAATGCAGCGTAACGTCTCCGTTGCCGTAATGTTAGACATGTTGTCACCAGTGAACCAACCAGGAAGGATAATACAATGAAGATAACGATTATAAGCCCCTTCTGCCGGTGGCCAAGCCAGTTGATAAGGAAGGCATCGAAGCTGTGCCAGGAGGATGATCCTAGATGGCGGAACAACGGCGTGTCGACATATCCGTTCAGCATGTGTAAGCGTGGATGGCCAGGGATTCCACCCAGGATCCGAAGCGCAGAACGATTCTTATGGAGAGTGAAGATAGTACTACGATTGTTGATATCAGTGGAGATCATTCAAATCAGAAGACACGTGAACTTACGATGCGTAATGACAGCCAGTGCTGAACATGACAGTCACATAAGGAAGAAAAAACCAAGCGTGGTTATATCTAGAAAGGTTGTCCACAAGTTCGTGCACAAAAGGGTTGCCTGGGCTGGACATCATAAAGCCAATGGAGAAGCCCGTCGGGTGAGCGGATGGAGCTACAAACTCGAAGCGCCTTAGGGGGTCCAAGTTCCGTTTGCAGGCGAGATCAAAGTCAAGAACGACGCCTAATCATTGAAGGCTAGTCAGTATGACATTCATAACTTGTTAATACGCACAATGATCGAAAGTTCAAGTCAACGACGCAAACACCGCTCTATTGGGTATATGATATCCATGCAGACCAACCTCCGTATTTTTGTAGCACCATGTATCGCAATGCGTCAACCCTCTCCACCGGAAAATGATAATTATCCCACATTTCCTTAAGGTGGGGAAACTTTTCCTTGACGAATTCGTTGGAAGCCTTGTCATCCCAGATATACGCCTTCCAGTCTGGGTGATATTCAATGCACTCGTCTCGAGCCGCCATCCACTCTGGGGAGGGCTGCTTGGGACCTAGGTTTATATGGTGTAGAATGGGGGGGACGACATCTTGATATGAGAGGCCCAAGATAGACTGATTGACACTGTATGAGGCGAATGTTATGTCAAAATTATCGTGCTCTTCCGAAATGTAAGACTGGGCAGATCTGTCGTGCCAGCGACTTGGAAGCGCCACAAGGTTGATGAGCACACCCAGGAGAGGCAACCACCATCTTTGCGAAAGTAATAGCACCGCAAGAGCCACAATGAATATTTTTGCTCGTAGGGAAACCATTACTATGGCTACCTGCAAATCCACCTCGGGGATGCCAGAGGGGATGCCAGAGGGGAAATATAATACGACCGACAGTTTGGAAGATTAGAGAATTCTCCTTGATGCAAGCATCATCTGGTACTAAGTGCGAAAGAAGTTAATAGCGCTAATAGAAACGGCACTAGCGAGCTTATTGGCAAAGATGCTCAGCTTATATACATAGGGGACTACTGGATGGAAAGTAAGCTGCCGAGAGTAATGACACATCATTGTTTCACAGTCCACCCTGATTAGATCACTAAGGGAATTATTCGGGCGGAGCTAGCGAGGAGGGCAACATTTCTTAACCAAAGCTCCATTTGAATTATAATATTCTAGGTTTTTCAATGGATCTTCTCTATTCCCTTTAACTCAGTGATGTGGACCCTTAGACAAATAAGTTCTCACTAGTCATATCTGTCCCTATGACTTAATGTGGGCGCCACCCGGAGAACGAGAGAGAATTTTGCCTCTAATTTGTTGTCTGTATCACGCTCTGTGCAAGCCGCGTTTCATCGGATCGGCTCCGCAGCAAAGTGTGGTACGTCGATCATAGGAGTAGGGCTCTGACCCTGATTGCATATGCCCCATCAGCGTAAAGGAGGTCTGATTGAGCTCAATGTGCAAGTTGGATGCAGAGACTCGAGATTCTTATTCTTTCCGATGTATCCGCAGAATGTTGGCAGTCTTCGAATAAATTAATAGCTGGCTACTAATACCGTGGTATGTTCACCCTGCAAAATCACGCGAAGCCGCTTGATCCGCACTGATGCCAGGGACTGAGCTCCTGCGAGATTATGGCGATGAGGAATGCTTTCTAAGTTACGGTGCACGTAGACATGAATGAATGCGTTCGATACTGTAGCTCAGTACAGATTGAATTGTGGAGCGTAGAGTTGCACACAAGACTTTCCACGCAGTATTGTAAGAATTGTGCATATTTAGATCATGACTTGTGAGACCTCGTAATTGCACAAGTGGAACCATATTCATCTTATGCCTGTTGGCCTAAGAATCAGGACTATTACCGCCATACGTCCATACCATAGGTACAGCTTCGGCCTAGCCTATTGAGGAAGTATTCGAGCGGTGGAGCCCATAGCAAACACTCGATATACGCAACATCTACGGAGTACTCGGAAGAGCAAATAAATAGTTAAACTTATTAACAAGTTAACATATTCACGAGTAATCCGCAAACTCGTGTAATGCATAGAAAATGGGTTTATACAGATCACGGCTTTTGAAAACCGTATCTTGATCGCAATATCATCTATACAAGACCTAATATCAAACAGTCTCCACGGATCGTTAAATTTGTTCTAATGGTGCTTCCTTCCTAGCCGTCCCATCCGCTAGCTGAGATCCAGAACATGTTCTCAAATCCGTTGGGGCCAAAAGTCTTACTAATAATAATAATGAGTTGGATGCCGGTCCGAATTACAGTTTATAACCCATCTTCAATGGCTCTCTGTGCTACAGACCTCTCAAAGATTCATGGATGCCATCGATTCCGGGCCGAACTCCGGACGCCCTAATGTCCGAGATACTCGTAATGGTACCGGAACCAGTGGTCTTCCGTTACGGGCAGTTTTGCCTAAAAGCAGATCAATGATTGACTGCTCTATGAAATTTCCGTTATCAGATCGTAACCAGTACTTGAAATACTAGTGTGTATTTTATTATGGAGCTTCCAGTTATTTTATATCTGGAAATCCGGCCCGCAGGTAGGAGGTTTATTAGGGCTGATCAGATAATTAATATCCATATGGGCCTCACCGGAAAAAACCCTTGTCGACAAGCTAGGTGCGAACACTCCGGTCCTTCACTATGAAGTTAGGCGAGTCGGAGCTTGGCTTAGTGCACAGGGATGGCGATCTACCAGCTCGGCTCGGATACGTTTTCTATGCCGGCTGTGCACCATCCGCAGATGCCTCGCCGCCATAAAACGGGGCCAGGCCTCTCCGGAAACTGGCTTGGGGCCCATTGATCTTGGACAGAAGGTAGAATGCGCACGGATTCGAAACGAGGCAATATACAGACTGCATCAGTATCGGAGCATTCAAAAGTTCAGCACTACAACTTCTAATGATGTCTTTTTTTGCAATGATGGGTATTCTTGGATCTTTAGCGGAAACGGTACTGATGACTGAGAGGATCAAGTTCCAACTGCTAGGTGGAGTAGCAGTTCTTGGACTAGTGGTCTTGACGACTATTGGTTTCTATCGCTTATGGTTCCATCCTCTGGCATCTTTTCCCGGACCCAAAGCAGCAGCACTGTCGACAGACTGGCTTTATCGAGCTTCCTTTGGAAAATACGTCGAGAAAACTCTAGACGAACTTCATGATGAATACAGTGAGCTCACACCTCGCGTCAGGATAGCCCATGGTCCGGAAGCCAGTATCTTATCTTTCGATGCTGTTCAGACAGTAGTGTTATCAGGATTGCTCCCAACGAACTTCATATTCGAAAACCTGAACTGTACAAAACCATTTACAGTCAAAGCACGACTTACTACAAGCCTTGGTCTTTCTACCAATCTCTCAGCATACCGCACAGCTTGACCACCGAGACTGATCCCGATATGCACCGTGACATGCGGCGTATTCTCAATCCATATTTTTCCAAGCGCTCAGTTGAGCAATTGAGTTCACTTGTGATAGCCAAAATCGAAAGACTGGATACCAAATTACGTCGTATGGACAAAACATTTGATGCACACAACGCCGTCATGTGAGACACAAGATGGGAAAGCATCTTTACCTTGATAATAACGGTTGTTCATACAGGTGTTTGACTGTCGAGCTTATTACGGAGTTCCTTTTTGGTAGACAGGTGAACATGATCGAAGCTTCCGAGAACACTTTTGACGCGGATTTTCTTGAAATTTTCGAGGCCGCGTCAACCGGCCAGCCAGAGCTGCTCTTCCATCCAACCATGTCTCGAATAAAGTTTGCCTTGCCCCGGCCATTGCTACTTGTTTTGGACAAGAAGCTTGGTAAGCTCCTACAGATTGGGGTGGTAAGTAGATTGGACACAATCGTTGTTGATGTAGCCATCATAGACTGACTTACTGAAAAAGTGGGCTCACGGCTGCGTGGATTACCACAATACAAAAAACAGGACAGGGGAGCGCATCGGCCATCCTGTTATATTTGACAGTCTCGGCAATCTTTCTGACGTCCGTAAAGCTTCGATGGCTACCGAGTTGCTTGTGGCTGGCTCAGACACCAGTGGCACAACGCTCACATATGCCCTGTATCATATCAGCTCGAACTCAAAGATCAAGGAGAGGCTAACCGAAGAGCTGAGAAAGGCTATGCCAACTTTAGACACAACCCCCGCCCTGTTGAAATTAGAACAGCTCCCTTACCTGGTACAGTTACCTCCTGGATATTGCTACGTGGCTCTCTGGACTGACGGTATCTATAGAGTGCTTGCGTTAAAGAATCACTGCGATTAGCGTGCCCTGTTCCCGGGAGGCTGCCTCGAATTGTGCCCAACGGCAAGTCCCTTATTGTCGATGGCAAGCATATTCCCTCTGGTGTAAGTTCTCAGGTGCTGTAAAGTCATAGCTTGATCCTAAAGACAACTAGACTATCGTCGGTATGTCTGCTTACAACTTGCATTTCGCCGAGAGCCTCTGGGGTTCCGACGTGCACGAGTTCAATCCCGATCGTTGGCTCGGCCAAGTAGACGACAAGCTCGATCAGTGGCTTGCACCATTTTCCAAGGGTGCACGGTCTTGCATTGGACAAAAGTAAGATGCTTTCTTGCTATATTCCTTCATCTCGGTAGCTGACAAAACGTCAAGTCTGGCCCTCGCTGAAATCCGAATGACTATTGCGGTTCTGTTTCGGCGTTTCGAGTTCAGCCTTCCACCGGGATCTAAGATCAATTCGAAACATGACAGCTTCACGGTTCACCTCGCTAGTCCGGGCCTACCTTTGCAATGCAAGCCAAAGAAGGAGTAAGATGAAACTCAAAGCTGGTTGGTAGATAAGTTGATAGGTTGGCTTATAAATTATTTCGTTGGAACGATATATTGCCTCCTCCCTCTTTTTTGCTATTTGGCCCTTCCCTCTAGACATGTTCCCGACCTGCCGCTGGTCTACCGGTTTTGCCTATACTATATCGGCGATAATACTAGATCGCAATAGCTGGAACTTTACCAATACTATATAAGCAAATAATCAATTGTATCGGCCAAACCGGCAGCTTACACAGTAAGAAATTAGAACGCTCATGTTTACTATACTTCTCAGTAAGGTTAATGAACTGGCAGATCTCATTCCATTCCTGCCTCTGTTGAAGACTTGCAATTGATCCCAATCGAAAATGCTGACTTGCTGATATGGGGCTTCCACAGATAGTCTTGCCGGCTACTGGCTACCCGCTCAGCCGTAACCAATCGACAGTCGAAACCAAGGAACTTCGTAGCTTTTCAGGATTTGGTCATCCATTAAGCACAGTCAGAACTCCATTCTGCGTCAACCATTTCCCCTCGTTCCTTCAATACACGACTTACATGCATGTTTCCCTCATTGTGACCTGCATGTTATTTAAGGGCCAAGTTGACATGGTTAGAGCTCTGAAACGAATATGAATATATTCATATTCTTTAATACCAGTGTGCCCGCTGGTGCCGCTTTGTCATGCTAGATTGGTTTCAACAACTTACTGTAAAGTACTGGCCCAATCAGAGGACTTTACATCAGGGCGATCAAGGCCAGCCTATATTGACATCAAGTCAAAAGTCTTATACAGTCTTGTGGGGTCTTTTCAGGTCTTCCGAAGTCTATCCAAAAGAAGTAAATGCTTTGTAGTTCAAAGCATTGTAGGGTTATTTTTTTTGTTAGACACATTTAGAGTTATTAAGATAGAAAACATTTAATATAATATATAAAGGGCATTTAACTTTTTATATCTAATCTAGCTGTGAGACGGTTATTGGAAAGCAGGCAAGCGTTGGAGCCACCGGCCGAACATAGGGTCCAGGTAGATACAGACTGATTACTAACGTATAGTATATATAACCCCTAGTTATGACATTAGCTGCTTCAAAGGCCGCTTGCCCTTAAATGGTTTAACCCGTTCTTTCATGCATGTTGGTTTCGCAACAGCGCTGAGTGAGCGGCTTCATGGTGCTTAGCACGCTGAGGGATCACTCTCTCTGAGCGCTCTGAGCCCACAGATGCCGCTCAGTGAGCGATCCCGAGCCAGGCCGAGCATAAAGTGGCACCGTACTGAGCGCATTAGCGCCGCACATTTCCAGTTAAGTAGGTTAATTTCACAGCCACGAGTACAAATTCTCGATGATCGTTGCAGCTATCACAATAATTCAAAAGCTATATACCTTTCGAACACAATAATACTGCCAATCCCAATCTCAAACGAAGCATTTCACAATATTCTGCGACGCCTGAGCCTCTGCCACAAACCGCGGGTATTATAAACTAAACAATGATAGACAAAGCAAGCATGTAGCGAGGATGGATTCTGAAAATAGGCACAAGCGAGCATCAGCTCTCGCCTCCCGCCACAGTGTGGCATCAAGCCCACCTAAAGAGTCCTTCGGCCAATGTTGCATTTCCTGAAATCGACCCCTCCCTTGCTCATGGACTCGATATAATGAGCTGGTGGTCATCATCACCCAGATAAGTGTGTTTTCCCATCTATTTGTCTTCCTAGCCGACTGTGCTAACAACTTACGTAGCTCAGAAGAGCACCTCCCCGCTGTGTTCAGGCTCGAACCCAAGTTCTGATAGTTTACCGTAGCTCTGTTTCTCTTTCTTCTTTCGCTCTTCCTCTTCTTTCGATTTCAACTCCTTGATTTCCTTGATGGATACCCTGGTAAGCGTCTCGGGCACGTCGTCTTCGGTATCGAGATCCTTGAGATCAGCGAGTTAGCACAGCCTGACAATACAAATATAAATGAGTAGCTTCAAGGGCTATACTCACAATCTCTCCCAACAGTAGAACATTTTCGCCGCGCACGAGGAAAAGGCCGACAGGCTCTTCGGCATAAAATTTACCGGAATATGTTCTTTCAACGGTATCTTGGAGCACCAGATTTGCTGTAGGATTCGTAATCGCGTGTCAGAGATAATTTGTTTGGGTTTGACCATCGGCATGGCATAGCATATAGTAGGTTATAGAAGAGTCATACCGAATTGATCCCAGCTACGAAGGACACCGATTAACTTCCGGCCATCGCGAAGGACAAGAACAAGTTTTTCTAACACAAGACGGTCAGCAATGCAGGGCTAATGGCATAACCACATGGAACCATATAAAGAGCCCTTACTATCTGTCAAATCCAATAACTGCGCTGCCGTCGTGAACATCTGCGGGGGGAGCTGAGGGGGTCCCTGGGTAGGGGGCGGCGGGCCACCAGCATTTTGCTGCTGCTGCTGCTGCCCTTGTCTGGGGCTGCCAGCTCGCTCGTGTATCGATAATCTTTCCATATTTCGTCTGTGGTACAGAAAGCGATGTGTGGGTGGATGGGTATGGCGGGGACAGAGCGGGCGCGGCGATAGGAAGAGTCTTGTAGGTTGATGAGGATAAATTGGGTCACGTCTGTAAGAGCGAGGCTGATAGTCTCATTCTGAGGATGGTTTGAAATAGTTAACGAAAAGCATACAGAAATAGCTGCGAATTGCCTCGAGCAATTGAATTGGTAAATTCCAGGACGCGCGATGTGGTTGAGCCAATCCATCAACCGCAATTCTGCAATCGGCAGAATGAATCGTGTTTGCCTTGTTTGCACGCCAAGGCGCAGTACATACTACAAACGACAGAACATTATTCTTTGCATTTATAAGACCTGATGCTTTGATATCCTATTTTTTTTTTTAATTATTACAGGCTTGATATTTCATTCTTCGACTTCTCCTACTTCTGTTATTTCCTTCACAACCCTTAAAAAATAATGAAAGATCGAGAGATCGAAAAATAGAAAGTCTGAAAGCATCAAATGTCAGAAGGGCTAACGAGTCAAAGGCCGAAAATGTTAAAGATTACAATGGACATGCAGTTCCACAATCAGTTACTGGTGTTCCGACACTGAGCCTGGGATAACTTTCAGAGCATTGCATATTGATATTATCAGATTTATAGTATGGATATAAATATATTGATCAGGGACACGCGGAAGCGTAATTGATTGCGGTGACATACTTCCTACGACAATGAAATCTCCAACGCCGAATCCAAAGGCTAGAACCACATGATGAGCTGGGGTAGTCTCTTACATACAATGCAAATAAACTATAGCGAGGAAAAATCAAATTATACGAATAGATAGAACAGAGGTGGAATGACGGTAGATGTCTTATGCATTCACGCCCTGACTTCGGGGGTTGTCTTTTAACTCAGCTTTGCGCGTATGCACGCCACTCTGGCTGGCAGTAAATGTACATTGCCTCATTAAAGGGAGCCAATAGATAGACATAATTTCATCTCTTGTGTGGTATTTCACTCCTGGAGTAGATACAAGATAATAAAAAATGAACAACTTCATTCTCAAATTGCATATATAACATTTGGACTATTAACCATCCAGCCTTAAGATTATAAGTCAGGCTGTGGTCTAAAAATGAGAAATACGAATAACAATTTCGTCTGCTATGTAAAACAGGGGAAGAACAGGACAACTGCAAATAGTAAACACAGGAGGTTCTGCAACAGACTCAAATTCAAAAAACCGCCCATGCCATTTCCAGCTAGCGCAAGCATAACTCGTCAACGATTGGAAATATGATATCCGAGCCACGCTATGCAATGCAATCTTTACCACTCATAAAGGTACAACAACAAGGGGGAAGAGAAGAAGGAGAAAAACCAAACGCGGGAATGAAAAAGGCGAAAACTGGACTAAAGTTGAGATTATACGAGCCCATACAATCCGCACACGGTCAAACCACACTGATACCGCGACGCTGCTCCCTCATCCGCTTTTCGCGGCGTGGGCTATACGTTGAGCAGTAAGGTTCGTCCGAAGAACCGATACTCGCTCGGACGGGGTCTTGCGAGGGGTGATATGCGGGGCTATCGGGCGATGGGCACAGTTGGATGGCCTTCAACTGGTCCTCTGTGATGACTTTGGACTGGTACAAGTATTTCATGAGCTCGAAGCTCGGTCGTGTGGTAGCGAGGGAGTGGCCCTTCTCAAAATGCTCGTGGGCGGTGTGTTCCAACATTGCGTCCCAGGATCCAGCCGCAGTCTTCTTTTTAAAGTCCATGGCACACCACTGACAAGTTGCGTACTGGGGTAGTGGGCAACCCCGAAAGTGACTCAGCACGTGTGTCTTCCAGGGCTCGATGCGGTCTGATCCGTGGTCGCAAGGAAGGACGTGGAAGAGACAATAATAGGCCATTGGGGTGGATTGGCCGATGGAGGATGTTGGCGACGCGATGAGGTTCCCTGTGCTATCGGTCTCGAGCATGTTGACGACCTGGATTTTGGCTGCCATTCGAGACGATATGGACATGTCAGACATGGACTGTGAGCCGTTCGACAGACTGGGCGCCGGTATGGAGGATGGGGTCATGCTTTCCGGGTTAGAGAGGCTTGAGATTCCGTTCTCTGCAATGACGGTGTCGGTGGATGAAGCCTGCGTGTGACGACTGGTGCTAGATTGCAAGTTTCTGGCAGCAGGTATGTAGCACCTGGAAGCGATTCTATCACAAAAGCCCCCGGAGGGATCCTGTGCCCAATATTTTAGTTGATATTGCTCGGCAGTCACTACCAGGGCTAGTCAGCATTGTTTTCCCTCGTTATCTCCATTTAAACGACCATTACACACTTTTCACATCATTCTAGGTGTATAACACTTGAGAATGAAAAGGGGGAAACAATTTAAAATAGACAGTGAGTTGTATAATCCGAGGTGGGTGGATGAATAGAGATTTGGGCAGAGAAAACATATTAAGTAAACCAGACTCACACTAAGCCTCTGTCTATCAGAGGATGATAAGTAGCATTTTCGCGAATTCCCAAACCCTTATCCAACGCAACTGCAATCTGCAGCCTGCAGTAAGCCAATCGAGAGTTAATTTCCACACACACACTCATGCAACCCGTCTCAAGTGTAAGCGCCAAAGATAGCCATTTTCGTGGAGTGGGAAAAGAAATTAGAGAGTGTGAGAGGGTTTGAGCCTCAATTATTTTTTCACACCGTCGGGTGTGAGAGGAGAAGTATTATTAACGGCGCAATCACGCGCAAATCGGAGTTGATTTAAAAGAGACTCTGAGAGAGGAGGGGGAGGAAAAAAGTGCTATTGGGCTCGGGCAGCCAGCGGATGGCGGCATGAAGGAAAAGAGGAAGCACGATGCAGAGACGGGCCACGTTGATAGCGACTGTAGTAGTGTCAATTCAATAGTGCAAAATGCAATGATTGCAGCAGCGGGGTTGCGTCAGGTAACGCAAGAGGGCCAATTGAAGCCGAAGTGATGCACGCTTGATACTCGATTGGGGCTGGAGAGGGAGTGGGGAGCGAATGAGAGTAATAATCCTCACTATTTTCACAAGCAAGTCGAACGGCTTCTCCCGCTGCACTCTGCACGCAATATTAACTGTCAATTAGTAGAATATGCTCACTGGCCATGAAATTGCGATCGAAGACGCGGTCAGACACACGTACTGTACAGTTCTAGTAAACGATGTATGCAGTGTATGCAGCGGCTTTTCTACGGATTATCTTGCTCAATTGCGTGAGTGGTGCGTCTCTGTCGCTGGCATGTTCAGCAGTGATCTCCAATCGCAGCTTTCCACATTGTACTGGCTGACATGGTGGCTATATGTATGTCTGGTGTGTCCAATGCCATGTCGATTGTTACACAGCATCCGCAAACTTAAACAAAACGTATGCAATAATCGGATTATTACAAATAGAAACAGAGCAAAAAGTGGGGTTTGGAACAATTGAGAGCTTTTTATTGAGTAGTGAATATATACAAGTGAACTCGAGTGTCTTAGCCATCAGTTCAGTCTGAGTCATCCAGATTCAAAGAAGATCGATCCCGCTTGTCTATCGTCGTCGAAAACTCGGTTTTGGCGACGATGATACCGGACGGAATATTCAAATGCTCTTCGCTAGAATTAGATGGGTCTCTGCGCATTACTGTTGCGGTCGATTTGCCGTAAAAATGTGCGTCATCGGCGCGTGTGGATGGTAAGCCGGCATCTTGGCCAGCGTAGCGCTGCGCTGTGCTATCCATGGGCATTCCGCTTCGAGAATTATCGCGGTTCGTGCGGATGAAGTCGACTAGTTTGCCGAGGACGGCGAATTCGAGTTTCAGTTTGAGACTGTAGACGGCGGCTTTTAGTGTGATCTGGATTGCGTATTCGCTGGCGTATTCGAAGCCAAGGAGGACGAGGTCCATGAGGATAATGATGATGTTGATTCCAATGAGTTGATATTGTGTTCGGCGGTGGGAGTGTGAATTATTAGAAAGACGGAGGAGTCTAGCAGTCTCGTATAGATAGAAGCCTGATATGACGGTTTCTTGGATACTAAACCCAGTCATTTGGATCTTCTCCATGATATTGTAGCCGTTGATAAACCGGGATGAAGTGGCGTTGTGAACGTTCGACCCATATGTCAGAACAGATGTTGGGAGATGCAAGATGACAAAATTAACCATGATCATGTATAGCAAACGACGCAGTCTTTTCTGGTCACGCATGACCAAATGAAGTCGGGAATAAAGGACTAGTGATTGGCCAGTCACCATCACCCACCATCCAACTGTCAGAATACTGACAGATACCCATACGTTCACTTGGCTGAAGAATTTGAGAATAAATCCGACCGAGTAAGGAACGACCCCAAGCAGTCCGGACAAGAGAAGACTCCAGAAATAGAGGCCTCGGAACCGCTTGAATGATAAAAGCACGAGGACTATGAGTTCGATGGCGTTGTATAAGGCCAGTGATAGGAATAGAATCACGAACATGGACAGCACGGTGTATTTTGAACCAAGATTGCCCGAGATGCCATCAAGCGGGCCGGAGGGGCCAGCTCCATCGTCGGCGTCGACCATGTTGAGGAAGACTTGTCTTTAGCAGAGAAGATGATCAAAACCTACTTCCCCAGTTTGCATTTGTGTATAGTGGGCATCGATTGGGATCGTATACCGAAATATAGAATACTCGGCTGAAAAGGTGTGCGTATAATGATATCGTCCGGCGAGTAAGAATCCGTAGGCGTTCTCGTCGCCAATGCGGCAACCCATTCAGCGAAAGTCCTGTTCCATATAGCGAGGTTATTTGCAAAGGAGCATTTTGAAGTATGGCCCCTTTGTCCCAGAAAACGCCAGCTATCGGTTGTGAAGCGGGATCCCCGGACTGGATAGCGCTGACAGGGCTGACAGAATCAGCAGTCAATCCAAGCACACGGTAATCCTGTTGAAATTTAAGGCTATCAGCACAAATAGAAATAAGCAAACTTTTTCACTGTTGAAACTTGACAGTCAATGTGAACAGACTCCGGCAGGGTCTGCAAGGATTACCCAGGCAGTAGACGATGAACGCCAATGGGCAGTATATAGCGAACAGCGCCAAAACGCCCCCAGTGCAGCTGCGGCTTCATAGCCTTTTTATCCAAACCCTATCGAATCCTGGCAACTAAGGGAAATAAGCTAATAAACTTTGTATTGTTTCAGGTTAGTTGGTTCGGGTGTCAACAAGCCAAGATCACCGAGCAGTGACTTAGGTCCACGGTAGGTACCGTCTTATTGGCTGGGGGCTTGGTAGTATTTGCTTATTGCAAATTATTTGCGATGCAGGCGGTGCCAGGTACAGACCAGCAGCAAATTATGTTCGCACCTCAATGGCTGCGAAAGCCCAAACTTAGGGCATGAAAACGGCACGAACTAACTAGCCACATCGCTAGTGTGAGGTATTCGGCCTGTCAAAGGCTGGGAACCAAGCCGTCAGCACGATAAGTGGCAATCTTCTCCGCAACGAGAGCCACGCCACTGAGCCATGACTCGGCGCATCATCGGCGATCGTGGTTTTCCTCGTATGCGAGTGATTGCTACCCCACCAGGTGTACCAACGCGGCGCCTCGTTGGTGGTTTGGTTCCGTGGCCGCTATTCTAGAAGGAAAAGGCTGATCCTCAACACCCCAGGCCTTAGCACTGCGTATGTATTATCGCACGTTGGCCATGCTGTGTTCGTGTTAGTAACATTTACTCTCCAACATTCTAATCCATCAGGATTCTGGTTCATGATTCAGGCTTCAGCGACATCACGCTTACCTGTTAAGGTTTTATTAGGCGAAAAGTCTCGCCCTGACCTTCAGACGGAGAGATTTCTCCGTGGTTTGACCCAGCCGAAAAATAGAGGTTAATAAATAAGCATTGACCATATCACCCAATATCACGCGCTGGTCGACGCACACAAGCCAATGTGATTGGTAAAGGGAAAATGTAAACGGCCGTTTCTCCCTGGGTTTCGGGGAGATAAAACCGACTCAGGAGCCATTACGCGGCCCTAAAGATAATGCATGCTAACTTGGTTGAGGAGGTCCTGTAACTATGGAATTGCCAGCCACGGCCCAACAATACGAGCTGACAGCCTGGACCAACCAACGCAAAGTATGCAGCTGATGGTTATCGGCCAAAAAATGACTAGGCTTCACGCAAAATAGATAAAGTTTGCCCTAATTTTCCTGGCGAATCCTCCTCGGCAACGCCGTGTTAGTATCCTGACTCTCAACTAAGAATTCACGTGTTGGTCGTCAATAATATAAGTTAGATTGCAATATAACAGGACAAGGTTCATAGCCGCACAGCATCGGTTTCACATGAGTAGCATCCGCCTCTTCGCATTTCTTATGTTCTGCACAAAAAGAAAAGAAAAAGTTTCGCTTTGACCTCAAAACTAGCTACTCAGGCTTGACTCCTTGAGGCTTGACGCCGCTTGAGAATGGAGTTCTGGTATTTCTGGACCCCTGTACCCCGCAACAAGGGGTAAATGTCAAATGATCTGCAACAACTTCTACGAGCCATGGGTTTCACTCCTTCTAAGCGATCATTGTGATAACGGCGCAGAGCAAAAGACGTCGTGCATGTGATAGGACCTCTGCATAGCTTCGGAGAACACTGCCGAAATGGTTTAATATTGTGAGGCTTGTCGCGCCTAGACTAGAAGAGACTGACGCTAACTATGCGTATGGAGTAGTTAACAGTCGCCTGCAAAGCAGAAAGAAAGCATAATAACCAGAATAGATGTCATCATCATATCATCATCAAATGCATATGTCACCTGGAAAGGCAAGACTTCGCAAATCATAAAGAGCAAAATAAACCCTGGGGGCTGAAGCAAGATTCTGCCCAACTCTAATCGCTGTTAGTGCTAGGAGCAGTCGTACTATCATCCGTCACTGTTGTGACAGCACTGGACGGATCGCTGGAGTCCTCGGACTCATCCATGCGTTGTAACAATAAGGATTTGCTTCTAAGAATCTCCGCGGCCAGTGCAGCCGCCCGGGTCTCAACCTCGAGTTTATTGATCCCGTCGCCAACCTCGATGATATCCTCGTCATCAACCCGTATCCGGCAAATGTACACGAGCTCACAGTCCGCGTCGCTCTGGCCTTGACCCGCAAGCTTCTCGGTTCGCGTGCTGATCAAGACCTTAGCTGACTTGGCTGCGATGTATAATTGGTTGCGGGGATGTAACAATTCAATGTCCCCACGAATAATGCGACGTAGGTACTGGAATAGGCCAATTCGCTCCAAAAATCCACGGCAAGTATCCAAAGATCCGTGCGAGTCGACAAAAATCGCTCCCAATATACTTTCAATAATGTCGGAGAAAAACTTGCCAGCATTGATTCGAAACAGTCCTGCCCAGGGATATGTCGATGCATGCTGTAATGCCTCGTCAACTTCCCCGCTCCAGGTTTGATACCGCTGCATGGTTTCTTGCTGTGCGTTGACGATCTCCCACGAAGCTCCGTGCCTCATCATTTGCCACAAATACGTCTTATACTCAGTTTTTACAATCGACACGTGAGCCATCCCTGGAACGGCTGCTTCCTCGCGCTCTTCGACGATGTAAAGACTCAAGCACAGAAAAGCAAGAAAGTCTGCGTTTACAAGCGTTGTCCGCATTAGATGCATATCTTGATGCGATAGCTCCGTTGGAGCATTATTGAAAAGTTCCTGGACAACAAGGTGGTCAAGCACTGAGTCACCAAGAAACTCCAGTCGCTGATACGAACCGGCTTCGTCCTGACAACATGGGTGCGTCAGTGCTTCAAGGAGCAGACTGGGCTTTGTAAACTTGTGCCCCAAGATCTCCTCCATCTGTGCCAATTTCGGATGTATCTCCGCTACATCAGACATCAACGACCCCTGATTCAACAGACGAATCCCCTCTTCTAGAGACGTCCACTCAACCTCTGGAAGAAAGACTCGTGCACAGGTAGACATTTTGTCGATCCCTCCATCCAGATAGGCAGCACCCAGGAGAGCTTCTACAACGTCGGCCAGAACCTTGGTCGACAGCTCTCGTTTTGCATTGGGCGGTTTTTTCGCCTCGTCAAAGTCAGAGACTCGGCTTGGTCTCCATTTGCGTCCCGTGAACGGCTTGGTCAGGATATACTGGTCCAAGCCAATCCGTCGGGCGGCTTGCGACAATCGGTCGTTTGATACCACGTTATCCTTTGCAGCAGACAGCAACCCCTCGTGCCAAAGGGGGTTGGCCGCTGTCAATTGAATTGATGTGATAAACTTCAGGAGACTGTCTCCGAGGAACTCGTATCGCTGGTAATCAGTAGGCTCCCTTGCGACTGAAGCGCTAATGGCTGTCAGGACATGGCTTAGATCTTGGAATTTCACCCGAGATAGAATCGTTCTTGCCAGTCTCTCAGCGATGTAGAGCGTCTCTACCTTATGCGTGATTGAGGGGACAAAAAGAGCGAATTTGGAGAATTTCACAGGAAGTCTAGAAATCGAACAAGACCGAAGGGGTATGCACTGCTGTGTTGTATGTGCCAAGGGCGCTTGAGCATCTTGAAAGATTGTATGAAGAAAGTCTGCACGTTTGGGCAACGTACGGCCCTGGATATGAGGTTCTGGTTTGGGTGCGGTATCTTCATCTCCTTCAATGTCCTCCATAGCGTCATCTGTCGCTACTATATGGACGATTCGCTCGACTAAAAAGGGCCGGGAATATAGCTCGTTGCTACGAGCAAGCCCTAACGCATCTAACTGGCCTGCCGTAATGCAATAAACTGCGTCATTGGCTTCATATTCTCCTTCGATTGAGGAAACCCACTGCTCGACAGGCATATGTAAGCCTTTCTCCGGCCAGAATAGTGTAACGTAGTCATTCTCTTTCCATGTTATGCGCCCCTGATAGGTAGAATATAGAATTTCGTGGGTAAATCGTGCACTGTGCTGATTACTGCCAGTTGGCACTACGCCATGGTCGTAACACAGGCGCGCTTTAAAAGAAATCTCTTCATTCCAAAACAATTCAAACTCCCAATCACACGGCAGACGCTTGGGTAACAGCATCACCATATCTGGTAACCCCAAGGGATTTGCCTCGAAACAAACACGCGTGGGAATCAACGCTACATCGCTCCTTCGTAAATGGGCTATATCAGCCCAAGGGTCCCAGCATTCAGAAACTTTGACAAGCTTCACTTGCTTCTCCTGCGCGGTATTTTCTGGATCCAAGTGTTTGGAACGGTGAATGGGCATTAGGTTATCGTTTACCAGACCTGCTTTGTACAGCGCGAGATATGCTTGAAAAGCAGCATCCCTTTTAGCCCGTTTTTCCGTTCTCCATCTGAATTTTGAGTGTGCAACACGTAGTGATGGGTCGAGGTAACTTGGTAGGACAACTTTGGCCGTAACTTCGTCTGTAACATCATCCCGAGCAATGACGAAATCGGGTCGGTTGTCGATAAAAGCGCACGTTATTGTGGCGCAGAAATATGCTAAATATTCTCGGGCGTTCTGATGGTGGAGGACAGCGCTGTGTGATCATTAGAACTTCCAGTTCAAAAGTAGATCGTGACATGCTCACTCAGTAGTAGGTATCCGAAAGAACTCCGTACTATCTTCCTCAATATCTTCCAATGCCTTTATTTCCTCTAGCAATCGCTGGTCGTCCGCGTATATTTTCTTCAGGTGCTCCTCCATCGTGATCCACTTGGCAACACTTTCAGTATCAGCGCCATCAATAAGCAAAATGAGCTTAGACTCCTGGTCACGAGCTCTGCCTCTCCTTTGTATGAATGACCTCAGTTCTTTCGGAGGGTCAAAGCAAATCACCATATTGCACGCAGGAACATCAATTCCTTCTTCCAGGACTGAGGTAGCTACCAAAACGTTAATTTTTCCAGACCGCAGGTCATTCACTGCGTTCTTTTGATCTCTTGGAGTAAACAGTTCTGTTATATTTGACTTCCTTTTGGCGTAGCTCGAGCTGCCAAGGAAATGGGCAGTTATTATCCCTTCCATGAGCGGATGGACTGAGAGCATATGTGCCAACATGATGACCGTGGCACGCTGTTCAGCAAAGACAATAATACGATAACCCGGGTGAAACGATTCCACAATTTTCCTCACTAATAACTCCGCTTTGTGCGATATTTCGTCGGGCTGGCTTCCCCAGCGCCTTCCTTCCATGGCGGGTTGGAGGATTGAAAGACGATTCATCATATATACCTTCTCTGCATCGTCCCAGAGGCGGAAAACGTTGTTGTTTGATTTCTTCACAACTCCTTCAATGAATCGCTCAGTGCATGTGGCAACAAACACATCTGCCGCCCACGAACCAAGCCCGGTTTGAAGGACTTGAGCTCGCTGGGTGAGAGATTCGATTTCCGTTCTTGTGAAGGTCTTTCCAGACTCGAGGGTCTTTTCTAGCGTTGCTTGACTCTTCGGATCCTTTCTCACTCGAAGTAACTTAATATAAGGGTCGTTTTCAATATCCATGAACGTGGTATATAGAAGAGTATCAAGACAGTTTAACAGCTCTGATCTCTCCTCCGTTTCTTGTTGATACTTTATTAGCACGATTTCTGGGGTATGGGTATGCTTCAAAAGTTCCTCTCGTTGAGCGACTGGCGTGCGGCAGATAGCATGTAAGTTTTCTTCTAGCAGTCTTTCCTCAAATCAGCACATCCCCAGGCTGAAACCATACCATGTAAACTCACTTGACGGCAGCCGCAGTGGCTTTCGCAGCTGGACTTGCAGTCAGCCCCAAAATTCCAGGCAATTCAGCATATTCACTTGTCAGACGCGCATGATGATATAAACGCATGATGCCGTTGAAAGGACTGGCTCCGATACATCTGTGTGCTACAACATGCCATCAGAAAACTACCAGAAAAGAAAAGAAAAGAAAAGAAAAATGACTGCAAAACCAGCAATTACCTTCGTCAAATACTAGAAGTGCCAACTTCGACAATTTAACGAAACCGCTGGACATAGCATTCAGCAGCACCTGTGGCGTTGAGACCACGATGCGTTGATTCAGCAAGATCTTATCCCAGATTTTCTGCGTACTCCAATGATCTACATTGTCACTCCCTAACAGCAATCTGCTTTGATATAGTGGTAGTTGTTTGCAGAAAACCGCGTACTGCTGCTCGGCCAATGCCACTGTGGGTGCTAAGAACCATACTAGCTATAGTATGTCAGTACCTTGGACGCATACATAACACAATACGTAGAACCTACCTTATCTGGAGAACACCTCATAATTTCTTCCTGGACTCGGAGAATAGCACTGGAAAGAAATGAGTCATTTGACAAACACCAAGTATTTGGGGTATGGAAACATACATCTGTGTCTTGCCACTACCTGTTTCCATCTTGACGATAAATCCATATTGGTTAGTATCAAAGGTATTTTGGCAAGCATCGCAATGAACCAACCGCTACTATTATATTCCGACGCAAACTTTCAGTGAGCATTTCTTGCTGGTATGCTCTTGGCTTGAAGATCCTAGCATTAGCCTCATCGATTGGCGTCGAAGCCCCTTGTAGAAGGCCTTCTTCGGCCATGATCGAAAGGATCGATACGTGAAATATCGCAATTGATATTTTTTGATGTCTAAAGTACCAAGCAATCTTGTCTGTTAAACTTAGGATCATGCCAAGGGTCTGTCAAGCTTCAATGCGCTATTCCTTGTGTCATCTTTATCCAGGTGCTGATGAACCAAACGCGGGGCAAATGCCCAAGGCAGAGGTGCATAAGCCACAAGGCTGGCGCTTTCGACCTGGCTCTCTTCGGTTTATTAGGCTAGGTAAAAGATCAATGAGGGTTAGATAAACGAATTGAATAGAAGTATATATAAGATGTAATGGGACATATATGTCGCTAAATGTTTAGACCCTTGACACAAAAGCGAGATGTTTTCGGTTTGTATATTTTTAGCCAGATAAAGATCGGTTCTGCAAGGGTCCACTATCAATATTTACACAGCACACCGCCACATGACCGGACCGATTCATTTTAGGTATGTATTTGCGCATTCAAATTGTTTAATGAATTATTATCATGAAATCGGAGTTAACAAAGCATCCTCCAATACAAGTCCTACGCTTTGCTGACCCTGGAGTCCCTCAGGCGAACCCACCGTCCTAACTAGCAGATTCATTGCCATTTATCGAACGCATGTAGAGAAATGACTCTACTATAATACAATAAAATGTAGCGTAAATTCGGCTAAACGACACTATTAGTCGCATCTATAGATTGGTCAAGTAGTCTTCAATCTCCTCCTTGGTGAGCTTCCTGAACCGTGGCCCTCGGGCACCCTCTACTCCTTGGTAGCCCAGCAAATGATCCGCAGGGGGTCCGACGATACCTGAGAGAGTATTAGTATAAATATAAGATATAATGGATGTAGTAACGTACCAATCTCGACAGTCTCGCCGTTCATTTCGCCTTCGATCGTCTCTTTCAATGTCAACAGAGCAATGTGGATAGCATCTTCCAGTTCCAAACCCTCGGTGTATCGCTTCTCAAGAAAGGTCTTAGCGCTCGTCGCGCTTTTGCCAATTGCCGTGGCTTTCCATGGGAAATAGCTCCCGCTGGGATCGACCTGGTATAGACTTGGGCCACCCTTGAGAATGCCACCAGTCTTGCCACTCACTTTCTTTTCACTACCTTCTTCCGTAGCCTGCTCAGCTTCGGGCTCGACACCCTCGTCCCATCCTGCGATAAGCAGACTGACACCGTATGGGCGAACACCTCCGGACTGTGTGGCTTCTTGAACAACACGGGCGACGTCTTGGACCAATATACGTGTAGGCGGGTATTCGTTGTAGATGCGCTTGTAGCCGGTGTGAGAGACTTTGCGGGCCTTGTCGACGAGAACTCGGTAGTCAGGGCTCATGCCAGCATAGACCATTCCAATATCCGGCGTGACTAGAGCGACTTTTTCCAGGGAGGGAGGATCGATTAAAGGAGACGACGATTTCTTTTCGGTAGCAAGGACAACTCCATTCGTAGCTGTGACCAGTCAATGGGGGAGGAAGCAGCGTAGAGAACTCTTCCGACGTACCTTTGATACCCAGCGCTGTGACGCCTGTGTTGACGGCGTTCAAGGCATATTCTGTAACGGTTAGAAGCTTGTCGAGATAAATAGCACTTGGGGCCAATACCAATCTGGACCAGCTTTCCGCTGTTGATGGCTACTGTTAGCTGCGGTCAATCGTTGCGGCAGATCTGGAGCTCCTACCTGGGGGAGAAAGTGGTGAGGGAGAAGGAATAACGGTCCGCCATGGATGTAAGAAATGTATGGAAGCTTCAAGGCAGGTATAAGTCTGAACACGAAGCTCCGTTGCTGGATAAAAAGGAACTGGAGATGCGAAACGAAGCTGTCGACAGGACGTAGAGTGATGATAGCACCAGGCGGCCAGATGTTGACGCGGAAGCCGCCTGCCAGGGCGGTCAGAGCCACTAGCCCCAGACAGGGATAGCGCATATAAGCTGCAGCTCCGCACCTCTTTTTCTGTCATTTTCTGCTTGCTTCGGCTTTCTCGTCGTCGAACACTTGCTTTCTACGAGGCTGCTTTGGCAATAGGCGATGCTTTGTGCAAGTTTGCTATGTGATCTCGTTTGATCCATTATATACTGTACCTCCCTCTCTACGCTTACAGGCCCTCTGCCGCGTCCGCTGGACACGTAGACGCCTCTTCTGGATGTGACCATGGCTGCAGCTCCCAGGGACGTCCCGGCTTGGACATGGCGGGATATTCTTCCCCAATCTCTAGCTGGAATCTCTCCTGAGGATCCTCAGACGCACACGGAAGCTGCTGATGCTACTGAAACCACACCAAACAGACATGCACATGGCTACCCCCCGCGAACATGCCGTATCTGCTTAGACACCGTCTACCCAACCACCGAACCGCCATCAGAATACTTACCAGGCTTTCTTCAGTCAAGACCACGTGTCTTCTATGTATCTCCAGACCCAGAATTCGGCCGGCTCCTACGACCGTGCAAATGCAAAGGGTCTTCTCGCTACGTCCACGAGGGCTGCCTGCAGTCATGGCGGCATGCAGACCCCAGCTATGGATCACGGAACTACTATCAGTGTCCGACCTGCGGCTTCAAGTATCGGTTTCAAAGGGTAGTATGGTCTCGGTGGATTGCTAGTACAATGGCACAGGTCGTGCTCACGTCATCAATTCTGTTATTTACCATCTTTTTGCTCGGTTTTGTTGCTGACCCTATTATTAACCTCTACCTCGATCCTTTGGATACCATCATTGACTCTGACTACTGGGATCCGACATATGTTGCCGACATACCAGATCTCTATGGGAGGGCTACTTGGGCGGACCACTTCCTCAAAGGCCTTGCTTCTTTAGGAGTTTTGTCATTTGTAAAAGCTATTCTTGCTGTATCTCCCTTCCAATGGTGGCGTCTACGCGGCACTGGCCTGGGCAGTAGCGGTGGTCGAAGAACCGGCCGAGACCGAATTGCCTCCATCGGCTGGCTTGTCATCCTCATTGGAGTGGGCACATTCTTATTAGTATGTTAATCCCTTTCACTTTTGATGTATTACCTAACCAGTCTACCAGGCTGTATACAAAGGCGTTCGCCACTGGGCTCGCAATACATTAGAGAAGGCCAGTGAACGTGTTCTGGATGTCCAAGGAGAAGAGGATGACGAAGGTGAAGAAGTCGAGCCTCCACCCGAAGCCTCCGATCACGATAAGAAAGATGAATGAATCCACTTTCCACTTCTAAATTTTTTTCCCTATCGCTTAGTATTCTTCCCTCGCACTACTTAAGTTGCCACGCTCCTGTCAATGACGTGCCAATTAGTCAATGTGCGAAAATTTACGCCCTCCTTCACCAACTCTTGGCAGGATTCGAAGAGTTAGGCATGTTATATGTTCTGCTCGTTTCCTCGGATGCCTGTCCTTGAGGAAGGAGACTCCGCGTGCTTGATTCCCCAGGCAATGTGTGACCTGTTGAACAAGTCTACTAAGGCTTATGCCTGATTAAGTTGCGGTATATTCATGTCATCTCGGCTAGTTTTGAAATAAGATAGACCTTTGAAAATTTTTGGCATAAGCTATAAAACCTGTAAATCAAATATTAGCGTTGAAGCAACTTCATCCTCAATGACTTAGCTGTAGCCAACGATGGTGTCGACATAAGCAAATCCCAAAACTAGGACATACATTGTTGCCAGCACTCCCACCCTGCACAGACAGTTATAACGCCACCTCTCCAAACCTTTCGTATTTAACTTTGTACAGCTGCACAGCCAATTAGCGTTATCACTTTTTCGATCCCCGCAACATGAAACTTTCCCAATTAGGAACATAGTCTTTTCTTCAGTGGGTTTTGGTGTACCTCTTTCAATATGTTTGTGATCAGTAAGAGGTTGGATAGGTGGTTTTTAGGTGGTTTAGCATTGCCTCAGAAGCGATTTGTAAATAGCTATTGCTAGCTGGTAGAACAAAAAAAAACCTTGTATAGGATAGATCTGGTTACACAGCATGTCTGGAGTTCATGAGTAGCTCACTGTTCTTATTGTTTCCAAAACAGGCATGATCACTGGCTTTATTAACATAGACATGCAATGCTTCACTAGGATAATTCTCACTAGAGTATAAGTAAGTTCTAAAACTATGTGAATATCCCCGTAGCTCTCTGGCAGCAATGGGGTTCCTCCTTCCCCGGGCTCTCTCCGCCTTTCCACTTCAGTGTGACCGCCCCAAGACACTGTCATGGCCTTATCTTTCTTTATTTATTCCAAACATCCATTCATCGAGTGAATCATTCGAAACAATTATTATTTGCAATTGCGTAGCTGTGGTAGAAAATTGGGATACCTCGGCAGACTTCATATTGCCATATATGTGCACAGATACGCGTTCGCAGGAAAGCTGAAACAACTCAAATAACCGAGAATAGAAGGAAATATTGCTTCTGGTAGTCTGTTAGGTAGGCCAAAACCAGAACAATCGTTCAATACTATACTTACCTGGGGGCTAATATTCCAGACATCCGTCATCTTTATCGACAACATATAAGTTGACATCCAAATAAACACCCAGTGAAGGGAATATTGAGTTCCTTCATTCTTAACGAGCGAAACGCAGAGATCGCGGTAGCTGCATTTCGGATGTTCTGTTGGCCACAAACACTCCCAGCGAGCAAAGCACTATTGCCTGGGTGGTGTGTACACGGGAGGCAACATGCACGAATTACTGGGTATGAAGAAGAACATCCCTCGCGAGGATTGCACGCCAATATTTGTTGAATACAACAGCCAAACCCTACCGTCGACTGCCCAAGTCACCAGCTTCCATGTCGACCAAGTTGAGAGACAGGGATCTAGGCGTCAAAATAGCTCAGAGTCGCGACTAACAGCTGGTTTAAGCTATCAGTATTACAATGGAAGGAATAACAGGGACATTGTCAAAAGCACACAGCCACCATCTCCAACACACAGCGATCCGTTCGATGAAGAATTACCTAATGACTTCAAACCGAATTGCTGCAGTCTCGATCGAAAACAGGCTTCCTATCGACCCAGGACGTCTTTGAGAGGGAAAGAAGGAACCAGTAGGAGAGAGAAACTTGCTCGACAAGCTGCAACAGATACAAGACATGGATATGGAAAGGTGAAGAATGTACAATGGCAGCCATTTCCTGTCTGGGCAGGTGTGAGAAGGAAGGACCCCCAACTCGTGCTTGCCCTCCCGCCGACACTCCCTGGGAACGACAAACGCACTTCCTTTCAAACGCACGCCGATTACCTCACTTTTCGATTCAATCATCTTCAATATGAACCACCAGAGCTGACAACAACGCCCTTGTCGAAGAACAGAAGCAGGAGCACCACGGAGCATACTTTGCAATCGTCAGACACAATGCCTCCTATCGTCCGCATTCAACATCCCCTCAGGGATCAGATAGAAGCAATCAGGCAGGTGGAAGAAGCTCTATCCGGTCCTGAGATAGACGCATCATTCCGCGACGAGTTTGTAGCCTGGTCCCAAAAACTGGTGAATTTGAACTTCCTAACGCGAGTCCACGCAATGGCTCCAGACCCTGATGGCGGGCTCAAAATCACTGAAAAGGATAGCCATAGAATCGCGGATTGGGCGATTGAGGTGGGCACCCGAATCAGCGAAAGAAAAAATATGATCTACAACGCCATCAGTACTGCTGAAGATATTAGAGAGGAGTTCTTGGCCATGACAGCAAGAGTGAACTTCAACACCGCGACCCTTGCAGAATGTGAGAAGAGCTATCAGACGATGAGAGTCATCATGCAAACGTAAGTGCTAGTGTAACATTAGACTTATATGCAACCTCTGACATTCTCTTGAAAATAGTCAGTGCAGCACCCCTAGCATGTACAAAATCGTTGCACTTGACAGATTCATCAGTCTTTACAGCATCTCACTCTTTGATCCTTTCAAGGACTTCAAATTTCGCTTCACCATTGTTGAAGACGCACCACCATACGACAAAGTAGAAATCCCATTGGATGTTGCTACGCCCCTCGAAGCACTCATGAGAGTTCTCAAAGAAATGTTTGCTTATTACGGAGATTTGATCAACTTAGTCGAAATTATACGGCATGATTTCTTCGAGTCGCTCGAAGAGCGTATTCCGGGTGCATCAGATCGCGCCTTGAGCTTAGTAACTGCTGCAGGACCACCGAATCTGATATGACTGTGAATTCTGTCAAAGGACAGGTCCGGCAAAAACGAAGAAATGACTGGATAACTGCGAGTGATGGGACGACGGTTAAGCAGATACTGCTATAGGCATACTATGCATATTATTCTTGTAACTAGCTTATGCTCCACATTAGGATTAGGTCTCAAAGCTATTACTATTCACTTTAATTAAAGTATTTCCTATTAGGTTTCGTGCTGTCTGCAGATAATGCCAAAAAAGAATTGTTGAAATATTATTATTGTCCATATGGGAAGGACTCCTATACCTCATCCACTCTTGTGATACTGTATTCAAACTTGTATCACTTTGCTGTAATTACAAACACCAGTACCACATGTGATTACAATAACGGCACAAATATGAGGTACCCCGCCGAAGTAGGCGAGTACAAGGAAGCACAAAAATGTTCAAACTTTTGTCATTCTACAATACATCAAAATAACAAGCATCATTAATGATTACAGTACCACGATTATTGTTGGCCGTCCTCATTGCCGCCAATATTAATCCTTGGTACTACCACCTGGGTCTAAAAATGGATACATATCACGTTTGAGCGTCTTAATACTGGCAGAGCATAGTGTGATGAAGCAAATGATTCCAATTTCGCCCATATCTCGGTTTTAAAAACACTCCCTTAAATCTAGGGCCACGTGTATGGAGTCCTCTCCAAGGTTAATTCAAATATAGCAGTGAATTTATGATGATCTTTTTGGCGATCCTCCTTACTATGCCGAAGAGTGGGTGTGAACGTATAATGAATCTGAATTGAGATCTTAGGCTTGTCAACCATATATGGTGGTACTAAATTGTGCTCATTGTTACAATATTTCGGCGGAATAAGAGGCGAAGGCATATACTTGGCATAGACTCTTGAATAGATATCTGCAGTGCTCTGAACGGACATCTCTTGGTCTGGTGGTTGCTCCTTCGGTACTACCAGAACTAGACACGATCGTATGCCATTTACTCAGTTTTCGTGTATATGTTCCTTTTTTTAACAACCGCACGGATTGCAATACATATTTCCGGGTCTGATTCCAAACAGAAATGGGACAAGATTGCTGCGCTCCAGGAATATAAATGTGTTGCGGCCATAAAAACTCTTTGTGCTTCCTCATGTGCCTAGTGAATAACAGACATGACCGCGAGAATATTATTGGCAGAGTTATGCTGTAGCCAATGCCGCAATTATGAGGCCGAATATCTCTCGGGCGCCAACACTCTTCTATTTTGATTTCTTCGAAACGCAGCAGAAAAACGGAGACCATCAAACTGCAGCTCTGGCGCAGCCATATCGTACAAGTCAGTCATCTACGTGAAGTGACTCATCTTTGCTATCATATTGTGTCTTGCAGAACTGGTAGGTTATTGGAGCTTTGGTGCATAACCGTCCAACCTCAGTGCCGTGACTGCAACTTCTTGTAGTTCGTCAAGTTGAAAGCTTGTAAAGCTAGACGGATTGTGTATTTGCTGTACAGTATCATTTAGTAGCTCCGCTTTGGTGACTTACATAGTTTGAGAACTTGAGGAGGATGGTGAGGGTATTGGCCAGATTGTCTATATTATAGTCTCTCTGCACCCCAGAGGGGGTCTGTAGGTGAGGTGTTGCGAGCGACTTCATGATGGTAATCAGTATCTGTTGAGCTGACACGAAAATGAGAAAAAGGCTGATGCAGTGAAAGTGAGAAAAGAAGGAAGGAGCCCCGCCAGCCCCTAGGGCATAAGGCCCCCGAATCGCCCTGTGCATATAATCGGCTTGGGACCAGGAATTAGTTAGTACATTTAAACGCTAGGCACCAGTCTGGGGCAAGAAGTGGGAGGAATTAGGGGCCTAAGCCCCTATAAGACCCCCTAGCGCCAACTGAAACGAGGCCTTCATAGCTTATAGCTGGGTAAGGTCGTTAAACATAAGTAAATAAATGCGGCAAACGGTCAGCACGGCTATCCATCATTACCCAATGTAAGTTGCGTATAGTACGCACCTATTCTCCTACCCCACCTCGCCTGCTTCCCTCCAGGCATATTGATCATCAGTATCGTTTATTAGCAGTTCCACTTTCCTATTAATTACTGCTAGACGCCTAGTCATAATGTAAAGCTGCCCGTTTCAAAGACTCAGTTGACTAACAAACCATTGTTGTCCCAATTTCTGTGCCTACCTAGTTACTCTTGGGATATCCTTTTCACCACTATGATAGACCTCCCAAAATCTACCACTGCGGATCCAGCCAGGAGAATGAACAGCCTCAACCATGGCAAGCCCGTTCATTCAAATTCTGGGGTAGTTTTGTAGCATTCTGCCTTCTTACCTTTGTCTCTGCCCTAGATGTCGCCATCATTACCATCGCTGTTTCCGCCATCGTCGCAGACATCGGCAGCTCTACTCATTATGTCTTGCTTGACATTGTCTGCGCAGATTTGGTTCATCTTCGAGAATGCGGGAAATGTTCTCCTGGCCCGGGGCTTGCTGCTACCATAGGGCCGGTGATCGGTGGTGCTCTCGCGCAAGCAAATTGGCGCTGGATATTCTATCTCGATATTCCCGTCTTGCTTTGGCTGCTACCTTGCTATTCATGCGCACGAAGACGGGAGCATTGAGCAATAGAGGGTCCAAACTACAGCAGGTGGATTATCTGGGAAACCTCATATTCATCCTCAGTATAATATCGCTTTTGATCGGATTATTCAACCTCCCTGGTCGTGGTGGCGCATCATCCTGCCACTCGCCCTTGGTGCCATGGGTTGAATCATTTTCCATATTCAGCAAACCTTCACGAGAAATCCCAGCGTACCTGGCCGCAAACGTCCTCGCTTTTCTCTCTTCCATTATCGTCTAGGAAATCTCATATTCTCTTCCCATTTATTTCCAAGCCGTCCGTGGAACCACAGTGCTCCGCTCCGGCATCTGCTTTCTCCCGTTTGCCGTCTTCGCTGTTATCGCCGGAACCGTGCTCAGCAAATTTGGTCAGTACCGTCCCATTCACGCCACTGCCTTTGCTCTTTCCGCCATCGGGTTTGGCATACTTATTCTCGATAATCGCAACACCCGGTGGCCACGGTCGCTTGGGTCTTCTTCAAGCTGATCGCCAGTGCCGGTGCAGGGATGATCATGTCCGTGCTACTCCCTGCAATCATGGCTGCGCTACCTGATTCCGATGTCGCGTCCGCTTCGGCAACATACATTTTAATCAGAACATTCGGATATATCTGGGGCGTGACGATCCCCTCCATCATTTTCAATGCTGTTTTCAACTAAAACCTGTCGCGGATCTCCTTGTCTTCTCTACGTGACCAATTGAGAGATGGCGGAGTATACCCGTTTGCCAGCAAGGCTTATCAGGTTCAATCCACCGTCTCCACGCCTGTGTGGTATGAGATTGTAGATGTGTACATGGTAAGCTTGAAGACCTTATGGTTTGTAGGCTTGGGCATTTGCCTTTTGGGGTTTTGGGCTTTGTGGGAGCTAAGGAGTTGGAATTGCGCAAAGTCCTGGAGACAGAGTATGGAATTGACAAAAGGCTAAAGGAGATTGAGAATCGAAAAGAGTAAGCTTGATCTTTGGCAAAATTACCATTATCCTGGTAAAAGAGATAAAGTTTATATATTATAATTTTAAAAATATATTATGAATATTATATGCTTAGCTCAAGGGCCGGCCAATGACACCTTGGTATTGTAGCTAATCGGCCAATTATTGTACAAAGTCAAACCTGCACTGGATATGAAACAAGGAGAGTGGGCCATCCAAAGTCCTCTTTTAGTTTTACAGCAACCATGACTAATCAAATCAACACATCTTAGAAAACATGGTGCGCTATATCATTCGATGCATGGACTGACGGAGTGTCATCTTCCGATAAATTTCTGCCGTCGAGATCCTCATCTTCTTACCCCATACAATTAATGGGAGTGGGAGCAGAAGAACGGCAAAGCAAATAGCCGAGATTTGTATGTGTAGGTTTAAAATGCCTGTGGCTTCAATCCAAGGGGTGAGAGCGAAAAGCACGATGACAGAGAAGATGTTCCTAACGAAGACAACTCCGACTAATGCATCACCGACAATCTATATAACCAGGCGCAGTGTCAGGGCAAATTTTCGGAAACGCATTTGTAAATATCTTCTCTCAACGAGAGTGAGATTAACACTTACATCTTGATAGCAGTCTGTCAGGTATGAGAGCGCGATCTCGCCGGTTACTGTGAGTCCAAACCCAAAAATTCCAAATCCGACAGCAAGAACTATCCAAGGCACGCCCTATCCAGTATCAATTGTCAGTACTTTATGTGTAAGTGAGTGTGATGGCTAAGGAAACACAGAAGGAGAAGGGAAACGAAACAGAAAGTGAAAATAAACAGCAAAATATGTGCCTTACATCAGCAAGCCCTATACCAAACATCAACATTCCTGCTGGTGTGATTATAGCTAGAGGGAGAGCCATCCAAAGACGCATCTCAGGCTCGTATATGCCAACATTCCGGTTTGACATATAGATAATCGACTTGTCGTTCAAATATCCACAAAAGAATCCCAGAAATGCGCCGATAAAAGGTGGAAGATTCATTAAACCGACGCCAACAGCATCGAAGTTGTACGGCGGCTCAATCAAGTATGTCGCCTGGACTGAGGTCATGATCGAAAACCAGCTCAGGGTACAACCCCAGGTGAGCGCGGTGTACCCGACAGCCGGAAAACGAAATAAAACTATAATGGGCTGATAAAAGTGCCGGAGCAAGGGTTCATCTGTTTTGGTGATCAAGGCCAATCGCTGACGATATGAAGATTGTTTGAATTCAACATCTCCGGCTGATCGACTTCTCACAGCTTCATTTCCACCCTTGATATCTGCAGAAGCTTTGAGTCCGCGGTCTTGGTTCTCGCGGTCTTCAACTGCCAGAGGCATACTCTTGCCATTTTCTACGGGGACATATTTGGACTCTTCGAAAAAGAGAGTCACAAATAATAAATTCGCCCCCAAAAATATGACGCACCACCACCACATCCATTTCCATCCCTGTGAATCAACAACATATCCAGACGCCACAGGGCCAAGAAAAGCACCAATGCTTTGGAAGAACACGAAGCACGCATTCAAAGTCGCGTGCTGATGAACAAAGAACATATCAGCAATGGTGATCTGCACGATTGTTTCACTGATCGCTCCTCCCAGCCCTGATATAAAATTGCTGCCAATCAAGTCCCCTGAAGTACGAGTTTCTGCCGACCACACAGAGGCGGCAAACTGAAGGGCGGAGCTGAAAAGGTAGACTGGACGGCGTCCGTATTTGTGTACGAAGGGGATAAACAACATGCATCCAACTGCTAGAGCGGCATAGTTTGTTGCCGAAGCTGAATTGAGCAAATCAATGGAGAAGCCGAGCTCCTCTTGGATTGGACCCCATGCCGTGGAGCCTATATCAAGCTGGACAAAAGTCCACAAGACAAAGAAGCAAACAAGACCAAAGTTGAGCGCTTTCCGAAAGGTGGACCAATTTAGAGGATCATTTGGATCCTCTGACGGGAAAGGATGGAGAATCAACCTGTTCGTTGATTGGTTTGCTAGGCAGGGCCGTTATTCACACAGACAAGGAAATATTGAAGGTTGAGAGATGGCCCTTACTGTTCTCTAACACAATAGTACCAGGAGCCCAAAAAGCCTCATCTCGTTCAGCATGCTCCATAACTCTTAAGCACTTGAGCACTTTGGCAGAGATATATGGAAGCTAATGTATTCCGAAGGAAGAACGAGCTTGAGACGAGAAATAACCAGCGGTGTCCAGCCAATCACATCACTTTGCGCGGTACAATCGCCCCTATCGGCATTGGGCGGTTACCCCGGATCATGCAACCTTATGCCGGATTCTAGAACATGTCAATCTATACTGTAAACCACCGATATAAGCACCCCCATATTAGCACTAATCCGATATAAGCATCTGAACACCGTGTTAAATTTGAATTCACATATAAAAGTGCTTAAAACCCCGATATTCGCACCGTGCATTTTTTGGCCACGCGTTGATGGCGAAATAAGGGAGTACTATATTAGGTTAGCATATATTAGAGTTTACGCTAAATTAGTTATAGTCACCAAATAGTGGCCGATTTTGGCATATATATCTTAAGATCTGGATTTTTACGCATTTTTAAGTGAAATATGACATTTTTATATGCAGATCAATATAACCAATAATCCATTATAAGCATCCAAGCTGTGTGTCTGAATCGCGTGCTTATATCGGTGGTTTACAGTATTGGAAATATCGAAACTAATGACTCGGGTATGAGATAAAAGGGCCTCCAAAAGTATCAATTGGTGCGGGAGACCCGGATTATAAATCTTGATCCAACGAACGTACCAACCAACCAAGGGTCTCATTGGACAAGATTCGGTGTTCTTATACTGGCCTTCCATGTCGTTGCAAGGATCTAGAACTCTGAAAGTCGTGTATTTCAACCAATAATAATAGTTGTATGTATGCTCTCCTATGCAGGGGGTTATTTTAACTTTTGCACTATTGCATCTGAAATTCTCAAGGACTCACATTGACGCCACCTGCTTGGCAAAATCTCGAAGAAAAGGACTTAAACAGCCTTTAGACAGCACTTTGACATGACTCAAGACAACACTCAGACAGCACTCAGACAGTACGTAGACAGCACTAGTGCTTAGACCACACTTGGACCAAACTCGGTCCAAACTCATTCTTGGCCGGGCTGCTGACTCTTCAAACTGTCTAACAACTCATATACTCTGGCATACCAGATTCTTTCTTACCATGAGTCTCAACTTCATCCTTACAATGGGCCAAAAAATACCCTATTTTCTTTTTTCATGAAGGACCTTTCGCTGGCAAATGAAGATGGCAAACGATACAGGAAGCTACCAAGTCCAGAATAAAATTGCCACAATTCTCATGAGCATTCTTGCGGTGGTTTTCTTGGGCCTACGCTTCCTCACGCGACATATGATACACTATCGCTATGGTGTCGACGACCTTCTTCTAGCTATCGCGTTGGTATGATAGATCACAACCTTCATACACCCTGAATGTAGAAGTTAGCCACTAACCTCGATTTCTTAGTGTGCCATGTTCGCTCTACTTGGGTTAGATATGCGAAGTAAACCACCCCAACTGGCTTTCGTCGTGCTGTACCCCATGAACTTAGCCCTCCTTCTAACACGGAATAGTGGTACAATCTGGAATCGGACTGAGAACGGATGTATTTCCACAGGAAAATCTGAGTTATATTTTCATAGTACGTTGGTCCTGCCTACACCCATATTGTGCTAATACTAACTGCTCGCAATAGCTAGATTTCGCCTTCGATTATGTTTATATTTCCGCTTTAACGGCTATTAAACTTTCTCTTCTCATTTTATACCATCGGATATTTGTTGATAAACCAACTCGCATCGGAGCTCGTATTTTAGGGGGAATTATATTAGCCTGGCTGATCTCCAATATTTTTCTCACCACTTTTCAATGCATCCCAATCGCAAGGATTTGGAGTAATGGTCCAGGTGGATGTATTGATACGACAAGTTTCATATTGGCTGCTGCGATACCAAACATAATAACCGATGCGGCAATTTTGTGCTTGCCTATGACCAGCGTATGGAAGCTTCACGCGGCTGTGGCTTATCGAGCTTCCATCACCTTCATGTTCTTATTGGGAGGATTGTATGTATACAGGATTCTCCCCCCTATTTCCAAATAATGTAAATCCTCTGACTCAACATTAGTGTCACTTGTACCAGCATCTACCGCGCTGTATTACTTTCCACCAATAGCACAGATGATGTCGATACTTGTAAGTGGTCTGTGAAGTTTTAACTTTCAATGAGCGGTTAAATGTTCTTGTTAACATGATTTTTTTTAAATAGATGCGGCATCTAAGGCTTACACGTGGAGTATAGTAGAAGTCTCTGCTGGAATCATCTCAGCGTGTCTTCCAACGTTAAGGCCAATAGTAAGAAAATTAACGCATCGTTTTGACTCTACCATTACGCCTAGTTCAAGGACTGGTTATCAAAACTCGGCTTGGGGACCGACGACAAACATTTCAACCCCCAAACCGCGTCGAGAAGTCGGTGATTCAAGTACCGAACCTGAGTTTAACTTCAGTGATCAATACCCTCTCAATAGTATCCGCGCAGAAACTACATGGGAATTATCGGTGCAGCCTGCGCCCGGGAACCACTCTTCACGTGAGAGTTTTGCATAGAAAGTTCTGATTTTGTACGCTACTGTATTTTTAATATCAAATCATTTAATTCCCCAATCGTTGATCTGTAAAGTATAGCTATGGTGTTTTCTATTATGACATAAATGAAAGCAAAATTTTTCTAGATAGAAGTCCATGCACATCTATTGGGAGTTAGTTGGGGTTAGGGGTCAATAAGGACGCTCTACCGGTCTATTATTGACCCGCGACCCCGGAAGTCTAGATTGGTCTGGTGTGACATGTCTTATCGCCGCATTCCTGAAACATGTAAATTGCACGTGCACGTTATCTCCCTTTTGTCAATGTTGGCGAAATAGAGCCTGGTCCTCTGAACTTGTCGAAACAAATCTTGCATGAAGGGCATCTGAGATTTTGCTTTTGCTTTTGCTTGCCGGCAGTCAAATTCCTGTCGAATATCTTACGTGGATAGGAGATACAATGGTGACTGCTACACCACGCTCAAGGACTCGCCCCCCGCCTCGACTCAGAACGAAGACGGGATGTTTGACATGTAGGTCTTAGCAGACATATGCTCAGAAAAAAGACACCGTTCCTAAGTCGCTTTTCACTCTAGGTCGACAGCGGCGGAAGAAGTGCGATGAGGTCAAGCCTCGCTGTTCAGCATGTCAACATAACTGGCTAGAATGCGCCTGGCCATCCGCTTCCCACGGCACGAGGAATACTTCAACACATGAGCCACTTAAATACACACAGCCAATCTTAGTTGGGTCTGAAGAGACTTCTACCTTGATCCCCAATCGGCAATATGTATTGGATGAAGCTGTTCCGAAATCATCAGCAGAGTCGGCAGTAGAAAAGTTCGAATCGCCCTATCTACAGATTCAAAGAGCCTTGTCATGCGCAATAAATTCACCTCAGCCCTTGTACTCACCGCCAGGTCTTCACAAACCAAGCGATAAGTGGAGCATTCTGCATTTCATTAACGAGCTTGGTCCCTTCATCGTTCGATCACATTCTCACGCAGGTTTTTTTGACCATTCATACGTCGTACAGTTGGCGCTTCACAATCCAAGTATGATGGACGCGTTGGTTGCATTCTCTAGTGTGCATAAGGCCGCTCACAGTGTTGATGATTATCCAATGGCCGTTGAACGCTACGGATCGGCTATAAAAAGCATTCGGCGAATGCTGGACTCCAAGACCCTGAACGGAACAGAGGATTGGTTGTTGTTGGTTGTGGACTTTTTATGTCTTTTTGAAGTAAGCTGTCTTTCTCTAATATCTGTTCTACCATGCTTGAAATTGGCGCATTGCCTACGAAACAACTTGACTGACGGACTCTTATATTCTTAGAGGTGGAATTCCTATTCTGTATTGAATCCTACGGTGCATCTCACTGCACTCATTCAGATGCTTAAGGCTCGTTACGCCAAAAGAGATGTTTCTCTTTCTTCGCCTTACGTGCACATTTTCGAGCGAACCATGGCCGAATCTGTCTTATATCAGTCGGTCTTTGTGGGGCTTTTCTACAATTTAGAACACCCAGTTATTGACAACCTTTGCAGTTTTCTTCGGCCAGTTCTCACTCTCGACCCATTCCCAAATTCACCACGATGGATTAATTCACCACTCTTGGGGTATTCACCAAGGCTTTTCGAGATAATTCTGAAAATCTTAAAACTACGCCTCTTCGTACCTTTGAGTCTTGCTTATCGTCAAGAGGCATATTCACTCTATCATGAACTGCTGGTCCTTGGCCTGGAATCTCCCAATTTCGATGCCAGTCACACAGACAAAGATGTAAAGGCAAAAATGGAAGCTTGCTGGGATACGACAAGATTATTTTATCTGAGCGCCAAAATTCTTTTGCTGAAGTTTATCCACCCAGAAATCAATTCGCAGAGCAATCTCGTACAAGTGCAGGTCAAACAAGCGTGGGAAATACTAGCGCCCTCCAAGCCTTCCACATTCCGATACGACCATTACTTAACTTGGCCATTGACCATCATCGGCCTATGTGCGATCGGCAACACGGAAAGGACCATTATCTGCGATATCTTGCAAAAAATATGGGATATCAAAAATTGTGGCGAAGTTAAACGTTCTCTAAATCTGCTCAAACGAGTATGGGTCGATTGTGATGATCAAGAGAACTGCGACCAACAACAGTTCGACCGAACACCTTTTAAACCTTTAGATTTACTCACTTGTAAGAATGGGCTATCGACGTTCTATTGAATCGAAGATACAAGTATCCGGACAAGACTATCTAAAATTTGGCCCAACAATGCAAAAGTTGAATGACAGATTATATCGCAACTTCATTGTTTTACTTTAAGTACAGATGCAATCTCCTCTGCAGCCGAAAGTAGTTCTTCGTCCTGATATCTGCGTCCTACTACCTGAATTGCACATGGTGCGCCGTGCACAATTTCGGCATTATCTACTATGATGTTAACTCATTTTGGATCTGATTGTTAGAGGTAACCAGATAACTTACAATCCGCAAGCCCTCGATCGTTAATATCTCGAGAAGCATCTGCTTTCTCATAAGGAATGATGCAAGCGGGGGACTGCTCAAAATAAGTTTACGGCAACGTGGAAATTATGGAACTTGGGGAGAGAAAAACCCACGTCTGCGAAGTTCCAAATGAGAGTATAAGGCGGATGGCCATATGATTCATGTGGACCAGCGGTCTTTCTGTGACCGGGCATGATAATAGCATCCAATTCGTTGTCAAGCCAAACCTTCTGCCAATCTTCCATGAACTTATTCCTTGCCTGGTTCATCGCGAACAGGCTATCGAGCGTGAATGTCTGACCTGGAAACGTCATGTTACTCGTCTCAAGAGACTGGATAGGCGATTCTCCACCAGCAACGACATGTTGCATTGCTGTATTTTCAGTATCGAGATTGAACATCTGAAAGGCGATAGTCACTGCATCTGAAATCGATGGCACTTTTTGTAGCTTCTTTACCGTGTGACCTGCTTGCTGAAGCGTTTGAACTGCAGAATTAAGTGCACGAATAACTGGAGGGTGGAAAGGGTATGCCGGATCTTCTTCGCTCAAGCAGCCTAGAACTAATGGCCGTTCATGGTGGTTAATTTTTCTCCAAGGAATCGCCAATGCGGTTACGTCGTAGTTCCACGGGCTACCGCCTATGACAGTTTCCATGAAAAACCTCAAGTCTCGGAAACTAGTAGCCAGTGGTCCTGCGCAGGCCTGGATGCCAGGGTTTCCTTTGCGGCCGCCAGACCCCTGACCACCGTATGGAACGCGAGAAGATGTTGGTTTGAAGCCAAAAACGCCACATGATAATGAGGGGATCCGAATAGACCCAGCCACGTCTGTGCCGACTCCCAAAATCGACCCTCTCATGGACACAAGCGCTCCCTCGCCTCCGCTACTGCCCCCTGGACCCCAGCTGAGATTGTGAGGGTTGAGAACACGCCCGAAGACATTATTCATCGACTCCGGAGACTGGTTCATAAGAATGCCCTTAGAGTCGATCTTTTTATGTGGATATAGGGATACTGGAGAGTGTGTCTTACCATCTGAGTCTGAGGGAGATTGGTCTTGACGTAAAGCACAGCTCCCAAGTCCAATAGCAGATCGACTAAAGGTGAATTGGTAGTTTTTGGAGGGTTTCCCACGAAGGAAACGTAGCCTACCGTGGTCTGGACGCCGGTGACGTTGAAGGAGTCCTATTGAATTAATTTAGCATTGATATTCACTTTCCATGGCCAGTCTGATGCTTTATCTCTCTACCTTGAGACTTATAGGAAGCCCGTGCAAAGGACCCTTGACCTTTTTTGTGGTCTCCAGGTACTTATCCAAGTCCTTTGCTCGAGCAATCGCATCATCGAAGAAAGTTTCAGTGAGACATCTTGTCTTATGGTCCCGTTAACTAGAGGTTAACATACAGCCAAATGAAGCGCGTATGTAGGGGTATAGATTCACCGATACATCTTCTGTGGCTACATTTCCTTCATTTATTGAGATGAAAATATAATTCGACTTTTTAACTCACCAACTGTCCAGCCACAGCCGCTCTTTTGCAAAATGCAATTGCTACCTCCTCAGAGGTGAACTTGCACTCTCGAATTGCGGCCACGAGTGCAACAGCATCAAAATTTTCTGTAATTTCTACTTCTCGGGTTGACAAGATGCCACATGTACGTGGAACATCCCTGACATCCCATACCGAGGTGTCTGTGACACGATCCGTGTAATGGGATGGTAGTCGCCATTCTGGAGGGATCTGTTGGTAACACTGAAGCCTTTTTTCCTCTGCTATAATTTCCCAGGATACTTGTTGCACATTGGAAAGAGTAGTCGACACCATATTGGGCGGTTGGTCTTGCACGAGTGCTTTATGTGGGAGTTGTGATAGTGTATAAAAGGAAATGACAGAAATCCGAAAAGTCAGAGGAAGACAGGTTAGAAATAATGCAACTCAGTTCACACTTATAACCAATTCTCCATTTCTTTTATTACTAGCATAAATCTCCATCTTTTTACTATATACGGTCTTAGCTTGGCCCTATATCCTGTTCAGTCCATCAATCCACACTAGAGACGACTAGATAACACAATAGGCTTAGAAGTGGGTGACTCGGCGTAACCAGCGAATCCCATCGCTTTGCGCGGTACAAGAATTACCCGCCTCAAACACGTCTTGATTAAACATCCGAATTTCTATCAAGAGACTCCGCTGAAATGATTCTTGAGAGTGGTTTATTTTTTTGGCTAGGTAGCGGGGTTATTATTAACTGCACTTGATCCAGACGTTCTCTTCATTTACATTGTCCCGTAAAGGAAGTATGCATATTGAGTCAGATTGTACGGAATTGGTGCTTTAAAAATCATAGTAGATCGCATGTTGTGGAAATACGTATCTTGTCACCTAAGTTCGACATTGTGACAGCTCAAGCTCATCACAGTTGACCTCCTCTCATAGCCCGACTATAGTAACCAACAGAGCATACTTTTCTCCTTCCTACAAGCCAGTGATTGCACAAAGTTGGAATTCTTAAAAAATGGGTGAGTTCTTCTGAACAGGAAATATATTGTTCGCATTGAAACTGAATGCGGCTACGTTAGATCCGATAAAAGAAACCATCGAACGTATGCACCAGGATCCAGGTCTGCCCTCCAATAACCCTACTACAGCTTTCTGGCAGGAACCGGCGCATCCAACCCTGAAAGACATACAATCACCAGTCCTTCCTACCAGCGTAGATGTGGCGATTATTGGTAGCGGCATTACAGGATGCAGTGTTGCCAACACTCTACTCTCTGGTAACGAAGACCTGAAGGTCATTATGCTAGAGGCACGCACAGCGACATCTGGCGCTACTGGACGCAACGGAGGTCATATTAAGGAAATGCCATTTTACGAATACTCAGAACTCGCGGAACAGCATGGCAAAGAGGCTGCTCAACGGCTCATACGTTTTAGGCTGTCACATCTATATGCTTTAATGAGCTTCGCAAAGCAGCTGGGTCAGGAGGCTGTTACTAACAGTGAAATAAGAATAGTTGAGACCGTCGATGCCGTCTTTGACGAGGCCCAATGGCAGCATATCAAGGCATTGTTGCGGAATTTCTTGGATGATTTCCCAGAAGAGGTTGGGAAATGGCATGCGTATGAGAAAGAAGAAGCGATAGCAGTAAGTTTATTATATCCCTTCCACTCTGTACTCAGATGCAAATATGCTAATGTATTATCTCCCTTTCTTTCAGGGTTACGGAATTCCAACCGCTGTGGGCGTAATCACAGGCCTTGCTGGAGCCCTGTGGCCGTACCGACTGATTACTGAAGCCCTGGAGGGCCTCCTATCATCCCACAAACAAAGATTCAGCCTTGAAACACACACTCCTGTGCTCTCTATAAGCACAGAAGGCTCCGAGTCCTTCCAGTACCAGGTGATAACTAATCGAGGCACTATTAGAGCGAGACACGTGGTCCACTGCACTAACGGGTATGTTGGACATCTTCTTCCCAACCTGCGCGGCACCATTTTTCCAATGCGGGGACAGATGACTGTTCAGAACCCAGGGCAGTCATTTCCTACTAACGGAGCCCGACAGTCCTGGGGTTTCGTCTACAAGAGAGGCTTCGACTACATGACACAATCAGCTGTTTCGAACGATATTTATCTCGGGGGTGGATTTGCCAATGGGGAGAATAAAGGTCTCGACGACCTCGGCGTTTCGTCGGATGAGCAGCTCAGTCTGCTAGCTTTGGCTCATCTAAATGGGCTGCTTCCTACTCTGTATGGACCTGAAAACTGGGGTCTCGACGCCGCTCACCAGCCTAGGGTGAAAGCCGCGTGGTCTGGAATCATGGGTTTCAGCAGCGACGGGATGCCATGGGTCGGCAAGCTACCGGACGAGCTCAGCGGCCGCCACGCACATCCAGGAGGTTCAGAATGGATCGCAGCCGCGTTTTGTGGCGAGGGCATGGTCCATTGCTGGCAATCCGGAAGGGCCTTGGGCGAGATGATTCTGGGCAACGAAAGTGCTATAGCCGAATGGTTTCCCCGGCTTCTTTACCCAACAGTAGAACGCCTTCAGCGTGCACGAGTAGAGGACTTCATAGCCCGAACTATATGAGTGCACATATTAGAGGAAGCATGAAAAGATGTCAGCTTTGGCAAACTAGGTGCAGGTGAAGGTCAATAACATGTGTCGTCGCTGTTGTGGTTATTTTTGGTCTAAAGAATATCTGAATAATAAAGGAGGGATAATTTTGAGTATTATTTGTAAGGACCGACCATGGTGACCATGATCAAATTAAAATTTCCAATAAATCGTTTGTATTACTTAATCTACTTAATATAATCTACTTAATAAATTATTGATCCCCCGGCCCGCTCGCACATATTTGTTATATAGATAAGCTATACGTAACAAATAAGTGCGATGACTGACGGCCAAGATCGAAATCCAATGCCGCTTTCACAAAGAAAGTCAGTTGGTACACGACATCTCCGGTTGATTTCCAGGTCAGAGAATTTCACTGACACTATATTCAACACGCTCCCATATCTGCGCAAGCAATTTCAATAGCTAGACGCCAATAATCTGTTCTATTAGGGATACTAATTACAAGTTAGAAAGTATAGTAGAGGAACGGGGAAATAGTGAGATGCCGTTCTACAACTCCTTGTACCTCAACCCTACTATAAATCTAACAAGGTCGTGGTGTAGGGTATCCCTAATACTTCAACACAGTCAATAATGGGCAGAATCAGTAGTTGAGAATCATTCGTCAGTTATTAGCCGAAATTATCATTTGCTTCTGTGGTACATCCAAAGCTCGTCAAAATATTCACAGAGTAGAAAGTGACAAAATATTAGCACCAGTCAAATCCCAGAATATGTCATATTAAAGACAAAACAGGGCAAAAAAGGAGATCATCAAAATTCATAAACGCCAATTCATGATACAATCAAGACAAAGCAGCAAGTTGTGTCGAAAAAGCTGCTTTGTCCCATTTAACATACTTTCCTCTGCCCTTGTCAATCTCATGGTAACGGTCCCAGAAACGAGTATAAAGTGGTTCGAGAACTGCCTGGACTTCACGGCCCAGCGCGCCACGTACTTCACGCTCCATGTAAAGCTGCTTGTGCTGGGCAACTAGGTTTTCAAAGGCAGCATTAAATGATTTCCATTTTTCTTTGATTGCTTCCTTGTCCTTGGAGGATAACGCTTTGACTACCTGAGCAGAGTCGACGGGGCCGCTAGATGTGGGACGAGGACCTCTTGAGGTATATTGGACGTCCAACAAATGCTGTGATGTCTCACGCCAGGCGTCAAGATACGCGGAGGTACCGCGTTTGCGGAAGGCGTCGATTCGTGAAATGCTATCAGGACTAGAAAGGTAACGTGACAACTCGGAGCTTGCGCGAATGGCTCTGTCCACGACACAGAAAATATTGGAAATAAAAACACCAAGAACTGCTTTTGACCGATAAAAACTGCGGCCCCGGGATTCAAGCGAGCTAATCATAGCTTCAACCATATCCAGAATAAAATGGGAAAGTAGAGTTTGACTGTCCGGACTGACATCTAGTGGCGTCGTGCTCGCGGACGCAGACTTGGACTTCCAATTACCGTCACCAAGCGAGGTAAGGATTGATGCCAAAGGACCAGAGTATCCAGTCAGCGTTGTTAAAGAACTCATTACTTCATTCACGAGAGGAACCGTCCCGCCATCTGCCGGCAAAACCGTGATACCTGATGCTTTTTTCTTCGTCTCATCCAAAAGCTCCGATAATGATGACTTTGCTGTCTCCCGTACTGGTCTGAGGGCCTCGATGAACAGACTTTTCAGTTCGCCTGTTTTTGAATCTATTCTATACGACATCGCAGTCACGATCTCGATGATTTCGAAGGCGAGAAAACAATCTGTCATTAGATTGGATTTAATGTATTGATTCAGTTCTCGCAGGGTCTTGGAGAATTCCGCCATGGAGGATTTGCATGTAGCTTGTAATGCCCGGCCTTGCTGATCTCCTGTGTATATTTTCACAATCGTATCATACTCGACTACGATAAATCCCTCCAATGCAGAGGAATAAACCCCGATTCCGTTTGTACCTTGCTTATATGGCCCATCGGCAGGACGTCTCTTTGCAGTACTGATAGAAGCTAGAGCAAGATTTGACAGGCTTGACGTTATATAGGGCCCGCGAATATCGGAATATATGGCAATAGCTGGTTCCTCCGACACTCCTCGTTGTGGTAATTGGGCGGCAGCCGAGCTGATGGCGACCGCGATTGGTCCAAGATCCTCAACTGTCGCTTCGGGGATAGATGGAAAAGGAAGTTCTTGAAGTTACAATCAGTATATGTGCCCATAATAATAATAGATTCCGGGACAGTTTACGTTTCGTAAGATAGTGTAACGGTTCAATCTTTTCGATATTCTGCTTCAGCAAGGAACGATACAGGTCTTGCAGTTTCTGACATCCAATACTCAAAAGTGACGAGAATTCAGAAATGGCTTGTTGATTAGATCGTAAATTTGTCGAAGTTAGGTTCTGGAGGGCAAAGTCGATTCGCTTCAAGGCAGCGAGATATTGCGACAAACCGGCACTCTGGGGTCTGTAACTGTCAGTGAGAGCCAATTTAGCCATTATTAATGATTTCTTACCCAGCCCGAATAATGCCTTCCTCCCGGCCTTTCGCATCAAGTGGTTTCCTAAGCTTATCGATAGCTTCGATCACACGGTCAATGTTGCTGTTTGTTATTTGAAGCGATTGTGTGTTGCTGTAAATTGGCCCAATTGCATCCTTCACTACCTTTCCACTGGTCTCCAGGCGATCAAGAGACCCTTGGATCTTTTTCGTGAGCACCTTGAGCTTGTCGAGGTTCGCATACAGGACCTCGACCTCTGCGCTCTCTTCCGCATACGCGGTGTTCTTCGTCCCAACCATGGTGTCGCGGTATATTCAGAACACAGTGGGAACGGGCATGCCGGTGGCTGTACCGGGACAGCCCCTTGATGGAAGAGACGAAGAGTCAGGATGCCCAATCAACAAATGATAAGAGAGTTCAACAGGGAGGGTTCGCGGCGGGTCCTCAATAATGCTCGCCGAGATGGCGCTATACTAGAAGCAACCTGGCGTCGACGCCTCAGGCCTCGGCTCCCCAACGCGCATAATCATAACGTCATAGATCGACAGGCACGCCAAAATTCTGCCTTTTGCATGCCTCGTCGTGCTTCACGCAGGCGGGACGTGCCTTTCTCAGCTACAATCGCTTTCGCCATGCAATAGATGAAGAGTGCGTGGTCCGTCTGTTCTCTACGCCCTACAATGTACACTGCAACACTGTCCCGCCTGCGCTGGACTGTGCCTCCTGCGTTTTTGGCGGCATGGAGCAACCTTGGTTCCAATGGCCATGAACGCCTTCATGCCGACGGCCCTGTAAAATTATGGGATCAGAAAACGTCTTTCTCATCTACGGCCGACCAACTGCATGACAAGGGCCGCAAATCAGACAAGCAATCGTGGCGATGCCGCGAAAATACCCCTCCTCGCGACGAGGCAGAATGTCAGAATGCGTGGTCGGTCTTTACTGATAAATTCGGAGTAGCCAGGGAGTCTTTTACATCGGTGGAGTGGACGAACATTGGTGATAGTATCAAGAACTATATTGTTCCAGACTGGGCACGCTTTCTGCCCGCTACCATGCAAAAGCTTCAGCGAGAGTTATCAATGGCTCCAGGGTCTCTCGCGGATGACATATGGAGAGAGGCCCACGATCCTTATTTGAACCCAGAGATTGCTCTCGAGGCGAGTGTTCGCGTCGCGGATGTACTGTGTGGCGAAGAACTTGCATTCAGGAAGAAACGTCAGGCACACTCTATCAAGGCATTAGCGAAATATCTGAACTTGAAAGAAGACGAAATCCACCCGGATGATGTTCCAATAATTGCCATGTGTGGCTCTGGCGGAGGTCTACGGGCACTCGTTGCGGGAACGGGCTCTTATCTCGCTGCACAAGATGCCGGACTGTGGGATTGCGTTACGTACACTGCTGGTGTAAGCGGTAGCTGCTGGCTGCAGACTCTGTACAATTCCTCAATAACGGGGCGTGATTTCAACAAGCTGGTAGACCACCTGAAAAGTCGATTAGGAGTCCACATCGCATTTCCCCCTAAGGTTCTCTACTTGTTGACAACAGCCCCGACGAACAAATATCTTCTTGGTGGATTGGTGGAGAAACTGAAGGGCGATCCGCAATCGGATTTCGGTTTAGTTGATATCTATGGACTTCTACTTGCAGCACGGCTGCTGGTACCTCGTGGGGAGCTTGATCTCTCGGATCGAAATCTTAAATTATCTAATCAGAGAGACTATATACAAGACGGAAGCAGCCCTCTCCCAATCTACACTGCGGTCCGTCATGAAATACCGGACATACATAAAACCGAATACAAAGGGCATCGAGCCGCAGAAGAAATAGAGATCGAAGCAAAGAAAGAGGCTTGGTTCCAATGGTTCGAGTTTACTCCTTACGAATTCTTCTGTGAAGAATTTGGCGCTGGAATTCCCATGTGGGCTGTTGGTCGGCATTTCGCCGATGGCAAAAGTGTTCCTCTCGATCAGTATGCTGTACCCGAACTTCGTGTTCCAGCATTGATGGGAATATGGGGTAGTGCCTTTTGTGCGACTTTGGCGCATTACTATAAGGAGATCAGGCCTGTTGTCAAAGGGCTTGCAGGTTTTGGGGGGATCGATTCGCTAATTGAAGGGAAGAATGAAGAACTAATCAAAGTACACCCATTTGACCCCGCCTCAATACCAAATTATGTTTTAGGTATGAAGAATAAGCTTCCGCCATCGTGCCCAGAGTCTGTCTTGGGCACTACTAATCTCGAACTCATGGATGCTGGGATGAGTAACAACCTCCCAATATACCCCTTGCTTCGACCAGGAAGAGATGTTGATATCATCGTGGCCTTCGATGCCTCGGCTGATGTCAAACAGGAAAACTGGCTGTCTGTCGTTGATGGATACGCTCGGCAACGAGGTATCAAAGGGTGGCCTATAGGGGCAGGATGGCCAAAGGAGGGAATAAAACCTAGCGAAACCGCAGAGAAGCTTCGTGAGGCTAGTAGGATGACAGAGTCTTCTTCAACAGAAAAGCTCGAAGAGGCACAGAAACACAGCGCGAAGAACCCAGATAGCGATCAACCTTTGGTAGACACTCTGATGACATCAAGCTCACAAAGCGACCCTCAGTCGAAGCCCCCGGTGAGATCTGCAGAGGATTTGAGTTATTGCAATGTGTGGCTGGGTACGAAGCAGGAGATGGCTTATGAACACGAGCCTCCATCTTCCAAGAGGCTTTTCCATCCTAGTCACGGAGATCCCCAGGACTCTGATTTCCACCTCATGCAACCAGATGCCGGAATCGCCGTTGTATACTTCCCTTTACTCCCGAACCCATCTGCACCAGACTACAAGAGTCTCATACCAAATCGAAACAATCAAACCCCCAGCGTCGCTCTACCTCAGAACGAAGAAGCCGATCCCGAAAAACCACAAAACCCGAAGCCAAGCTCCATTAACCCTGATGTTGACGATTTCCTATCGACCTGGAACTTTGTCTACACTCCGGAACAAATCGATTCGGTTGTGGGACTTGCCAAAGCCAATTTCAATCAGGGCGAAGCCCAGCTCAAGCGTGTTGTACGCGGTGTTTATGAGCGGCGGAAACGAGATCGTCTCCGTCGAGAACGAGTTGCATTGGAAAACGCAGTAAATAAAAGAATGGACGAAATAAAGAAGCAACATGAGGGATATACACCTATATACTGATCATCGTCATTTACTATACCCATAATACATTTCTTTCATTGTTTTGCTTTGGATATACGCTAATTTTCTAGTGCCCATATAACAAAGATGTGCAATGCTAATATGCGCAGCATGGTGCCTGCTTACAGAGCGCTCACTAAGCAATCACTGAATAAGATCTAGATAGATTAAAAAGAGCAATGAACACTTAGTGAACATTATAGATGACTTCTTATCAGATTCCACAGTCTCACACATTCCAATTACAGCCATTGTTTGTTCCCTAAATGTGATACAAAGGCACCACCATCCCCATTCGCTATCGAGGCTTTCCTGGAGACGGAAAGGACGGCAGTGACCGACTCCTCGGGTGTCAGAGGACGGACAAAGTGTGGCGCATACTTGCTGAACTTGCCCACGAGAATAGCAGCTTTGTCGGCGTCTTCTGGTTCTGCTTCAACTGCAAATGAGTTGTTAGTATGTACGAGCATGGGAATATCAAAGTGTACCTTACGACATACCTTTATTTCGTTCGGTTGCGACATATCCAGGGCTAATAGCGAGGAAGAGAATGCCTTCCTTGTTGTAGAGAGCATTATACTTGGCAACGGCGATATTGACAGCGCCTTTGCTGATAGAGTATGGGCTAGCGAAAGCGACTTCGGTCGCGTTAATCAGGTCAATATCGGCCATACCGGTGGAAATGGCGATGACCTTTTTGTCATTGCCGTTGCGGATTAAAGGAAGAAAGGCCTGAACTGTCTTGATAAAACCCAGAAGATTGATTTCCAATGATTCCAAAATGTCCTTTTCCAGGGTCTCGAAATCGTCGTCACTACTCATTGTCAGCATATTCTACCTCGGTCAATAGAAAATCCCAATACATACAAGTCACCTAAGGTTTTGAATTCGCTGACGTGGGAAACGATGGCGGCGTTGTTCACTAGATAGTCCAAACCGCCCTTGGTGATCTCTTTGACAACTTCGGCTGCTTTCTGGAAGGAATTAGTATGGGTTTCATAATCATCTGATGAAAGTCTACGAACCTTCAGCGATGAGAGGTCCGTGTACTGAGCTTCGACGATATGGACGCCGTGAAGTCCCTCTTCCTTGACCTTTGCATCGGCGGCAGCCTTGTTCCGGACAAGGCCAATGACCGTGTTTTTTGGGTTCTGAGCAAGAGCCCGAATGAATTGGAACTATCGATATTAGTCCACACAAATAAAAGCAAACAAAGTAGATAGTCACTAACTCCAAGACCACGGCTAGCGCCAGTTACAAGATAGGAAGACATAGCTAAGACAGGGGTAGGTTGGTGTTATCGAAGTGAGTATTTTTATTAACCAGAGGAACCAGAATACATTCTTTATATATAGTATTCTCTCCCTTTGGCTCCCTTCAACAATAAAGCTCATTATAAATCCTCGCCGTTTATAAATATGGTGAGGTCACTTGCTTACCAATAACTACATTGATTAGACGGATCATGGAACAGGTCAAGTATTTGCGAGCTAATAAGAGGCTGGTACCGTATTATTAATTCTCAATCTTCAAGGTAACGATGTCCACCACCGGGCTAGGCCATATCAAGGAATTTGAAGCTGCCATAGTATTCATTTGCTGCTAAAGAAAGATTGGTCAAGGGACCGAGCACAACAATAGAGATGCTATCACGCAATACACGAAGTATCTCCTTGTGTGCTATTTCGATCTGCCTTCCTTCCTAATAGATTAGTATCAGATGACATGTACACTTGGACTAGATAGCTGAAGTAGACGTGTATTTAGTTTGATATTTTGTTATTACACCCGGTCTCCACCTTTGTTCCCGTTTTGGAAGAATTTCATGTTTTAGCGACGGGCATGGATCCGTGTCCGGACTTGATCGGAACTGCAGGTCAATCAATAGTGATTTACCACGCAGCTATTTTTGTTTAGATGTCTGCGGCCGCAACTTTTCCGACAAGAAAATTCCAGGAGGCAATTTCTCGCCACACTAATTTAAAGATTATGCCATGAAGAGCGTGAATAGCTGAGGCGTCGCTGCTTCTGTCGAATCTGGGCCAGTGTCTTTAGCTAACAAAACCTACAACATCTACCATAGCACCTCTAATCTAGCTAGTGATGGCTACCACGTCTGGTTTAGGTGCTATAGTGGTAGAAAGGATTGTTGATCGTGGGGATAAAGTGATCGCAACGGGTCGCAATGCTGAGTAGCCACTTGCCGCACTTGCAGTCCGATTCCGTACCGGGTCTTGATCTTGATGTAGCAGCCAGATCAGCTGCTACAAAGTCTCAAGTGGATAAAGCGATCGCCTTTTTTTTGGAAATGTAGATGTGCGTCTGAACAACGCCGTTATCTCCACTCCAAAGAGCATCGAGGAAGCCGAGTACCCTTCTCATTCTCTCTACGCAAAAGTAGGTATAATATTGTTGGAAGTAATTATAGCATCCAACTTCAGAACATAATCCAGATCGTTATCATGCTCGACAAGGTCGTCTTGAGTCCAGGCCGCTTGTACCATGCGATGCAATCCTGCTAAGCTTCTTGAGCGTGAGATCTTTCCTGCCTTTTCTATAAGATCCAGGATCAAGATCCTACGACCCTCAGTCTTTGCTTCACATCCTAAAACAAACAGTGGGAATGGCACTTGGCCATCTTTAATGGTTTCGAGAAGTTGGAATGCCCGCTCCGCATGTGAGCTGATCATGTTGGACTGGCCCGAGAAATTTGAAGATACTCGTTCCAAATATATCAAGCTAGCCAACTTGTAAAGCTCGACTACCGTTGCATGCGGTTCTATGTCATTCTGTGGGGCACCTCTGCTGGAGTTAATGTTTGTCTGAACACCTCGAATCCTCTCTCCAAGACTTTTTAATGATTGCGTGTATTCGCGGGTATGGTATCCTGGATCACTTGGTTTCAAAGTAGTTTTGAATAGCTCGTATAAGAGTCGAAGAATCTCATGCGAACAACTTGCAACACCTTCTATCTAATCCGCTATATATTAAAATCTTTCATTGTTGATCAAACACAAGCACATACCGGCTTCTTCTGGCACACCCTTGGTCTTTCTGCTAGGGCGCTACTATAATGCTGCGAGTATACATCATCCAGTGACATCTTGTGCCAGTGTCGGATGCTAAACTGGCCGACGACCACGTGATAGTCGACCCAGTCACCTATAATCGAAAATTCCGTTGCCCGTGGATGATCCGCAGCATCGATTGCCTCCATAAGGTGCTTAGACCCGCATACGTACCCTGCGCAGTATCGTCAGGGTTAACAAAATATACTTGATAATAGTGCGGTCTTCCTGAAGCAGAATGCGAGTGAACTTACATAGCCATTGGATAGATGTTGCATCTATATCCTCAATCTTAGACCCTTTTAGCATCTTCATACGTACAAGACATAAAAAAAAAAGGCCTTGTCGTACCTCGAAGTAGCACAGAATCATTCCAGCTGCCATGTGTTGGATTCCTTCTACAACGTCGATACCATTTTGGCTAGCAGACTCAAGCTCCTTTATAATTTATGGTTAGCCCAGTCACCGTCAGAGAAATAAACTATGTCGCAGAATGAAAATGTGTTGTACGAATATTGAAGCACAAAACAACCACTAATGCTGCCAGAACAGCACACCTAGGTGGCGTGAGCATGAAACATACTGACCTGGATAGCGCGGAGTTTGAGCTGCGCAGCTTCCATCTTCAAGCCGTATCGATGAAGTGATGAGTAAGCCAAAGTAGCCTGGAGTACAGCATTTGAGGCCGAGGAACAATTCGACAATGCTAGTCTAAGTAAAATATCTCGTAGCTCCTGACGATCTTGTCCAAAAGCTGCTAGGCTGTTGAATGCCACGGATTGAACTGGAGTTCATTTATGAGAACCATTGGACTGTTCAAATTGATTCGTGTATAGGATTTATAAGAAGGCTCACAGTAGTCAAGGAGGCCCGTATCACTTTTTTCAAGCTCCCAAGGTGTCTGGGGTAATGATGGGGGCAGTATAGGATGTGATGTATAATTGTAACCTTGGCCGGAATATGCTTAGCGCGTGCAGTTCAAGTCAGAGAATTTGGGACACCGTATAAGTACCATGCATTCCCGAAGAACTAGACAAGTAGTTGTGCAATTCAATGTCCCAGAAACCGGCATTAATCAGCCGAACGTCTCCAGGCTGAGCCATAGTAATGGAAGAACCAGAGAGTAGCCGTGCTGACCGTTTGCTATTATTTTCCTTCGGCCATGAAAGACGCAGACCATAATTGCATTTTCTATCGAATTTCTGGCATTGCAAACACCGTCCTGCCGTACGATCGCACAGTACTTTCCGGTCTAATAAGCTCAGTCAGTCACAACGTTCCTTGGCAGGAACTGTCAAAGTTCAAAACTTGAAAATTGGTATCAAACCTCTACAAGTCCAGCAAGGTCTAGAAGACATTTCTAACTGACGTCAGTGTTGGCTGACAGCCAATTGGCACCAAAACTCTTTCGAAGGTTGCAGGATCCGGCTGGCTCGCGCAAAGATGCCTATTGTCTATATTATGCCAGCAACCGATGGCGGAGCTAGAATTCCGTAAGACGTGGATAGACAGAATAACACAAGTGCTAGTTGGACTTTATCCGTCAGGATGATACAATACGTCGTACTGTCAGAAGTACAGTGTGGATACTAGCACAAATGGCTACACTATAATGAACGATGGGTGTGTCTGCAATTATCGAGTGTATTGATAGTTGATCATCTTGTTGTTCTTTTTTCCTCTTGCTGCACCTTTTAACTTGGTAGTTGACCAGGCGGAAGTAACTTGGTAGATTTTGCGGGAGGACACTAACATTGAAAAACTGGAGAACACAATACACGCCTAACATATTCCACCAACACCTGGCGCACCCGCGAACGCTCTGCAAATTGAAGCCACTTGGATTTCTACTCAACACTAAAAAATTGATTATATTTCTATATAGTAGATCTTTTACATGGTATGAGACTCGCGACGCCAAAAACGTCTTCAATCCTCGGAATCGCCCGATCGGGACTGCTTCATCCTACTGTGGTTTACTGTGTCCAGAAACGGCGTAGCGTAGTGGGTTTGATCCGAATCAGGTATAACGCCTCAGCTGCTCGTTGTCTGAGTATATAAGCCACCAGTGCGTTGCTTGATGACCCATTCAAAACATATGGGAACGAGAAATTGACGTTGAGCTGACATGGGTGTGGTGATGCACACCAAAAGCATGGTGATTGGCGCGCTTAGGTAGAGAAGAAGTTGCGTCATCCCCACACGATCTCGATACTCCCTGTTGGATTTACGCGGTTATCTGCACTCAATACACGATGGTGTGATTCTCAATTCTTGAAGTTTTCTATAGAGAGCGATGTCCCCTATATTGGAGATTTACAACCCCTCATTCTGCTACGTGGCAGTAGGCAATTGGTCCAATATGATATAGCATCACTTCTTATCAACTGTCGACTTCGACTTCAAGAGCTGTATTATGTAATCCAGCAGCTTCTGACATGACTCATCCTAATTGGCCAGCCTCTATTCACTAAAAATGTTCTGAAGCATGTTAGGCAACAACTCATGTTGCCCTTAAAGAAAGGGCAGAAATTCGCTGTGCAAGGACTAGATGGAGTTGTTGTTGAGTTTATTATCGAAACAGGTAATACTCTCAAGCCACCGCATGTGGAACCTGGATATGAGTATATTGTGTACACTCATCCATTTCAACGAAATATATTAAATGAAATTTAATCTAACAACCACTGAACTAAGCCAAACGCCTCATATTCATTATGTGTCATTTCAGAATCTCACTTTACCCAACCGGCTTCCCAGAAATCATGACTTGCTATATTGTAATGTTCGAATCTACCATCGTCGAGTTCTACGAAGCATCACAAGGAAAGAATTCCCGGCAAATAATCAAATAAGATCTCTATCTGATAGCAGAGAAATTTTTGCAAATAACTCACAGACTTGGTACAGTAGTAGCCAGTGTGAGCAATTGAAATCTATACTGCTGTCAATAACAACACCAGCGAATATTCGCAAAATCATTGCTTTTGGTCTAGGGACCATTGCAGCACGCTGGCCGCCGTGTAGCTCAACAGGATCGTCATATCAGCATGCTTTAATCTTAACATTACAGGACATTTTCCACAAAAAACAACAAAAACAACAAGGTGCACATTTATCTACCATAATATCATGCTACTCACAGGACCCAGCATATACATATACTGATAAGATACTGCTATCTGAGTCTGGAATTACGGTTCTGGATGACCCGGACGGCTTTCTGGAGATTGATGACTCGACATTAGTTGTTTCATGCGCGCCTAATGCGCCAGTTAAAGAAATAGTGTCAGATATAGCCTGCCCAGCTATTATGATATGGAACAGAGTCAAAGATGAAGACCACATAATTAGGTATGTTGACAACTTTCTATCATACACCACTAGGTGTTGGTAGCCGAACTGTGGATCTCATATATCTCTTCAGGGCCGATCCGGACTCCCCACGACTAAGAAAAATGATTATGAACATGTATGATATTATTGAATTTCCAAAAGACATGACAAATTTCAAAGATATCGTGATCTATACTCGGAAGATGGATGTCCAGTCTCTTGATACAAGTTTCTATGGAATACATGAAGCATTTAGTCGAGTAAAAGCGTATTCCTAGCAGGATATGCTGATAAGAATTATTACATTCATTCTCTTAATTATCTCTATATGCGAAGTGTTCGCTGGTTGACTGAGCACTTCCTCCTCCTCATTTCATTTCATTGTTCTATTTTACTCTTAAATAAAGAATACTGCCGTTCCAGCACGCAGACAGTCTCAAGGCGCCGTGTATCACTGGCATGAGTCTTGCTGCCGACATCCCGACATTTCAGTAGTGGATGGTGTACCATATTGCAGTTATTGTTCTGCTGTGCCTTCATTAGACGATAATGGGGAAATTCCAGCCTTTCATTTCCGGATGATCTCTTCAAATAGTCGCGCTAAAAAGAATCTTGCTTGGCCATCTATTGTCGATTACAGCCATGCCGATTACCTACTTGATGACCACGGGTACTACTCAAAAATCAGCGAAGAGGCGTTAGATAAACCGAGAACAAAAACTTTACACAACACGCCAATGGGAAATTTGATATTGCCTGACATACAGCCTCTGAATGACATCCGTCTATTGCGACTAAAACGTGACTCATCTCAAAGCCCTATCCATGTCGAGTTTATTGGAGCATGTCTCGAAGTTAATTTTCTTCCGAGCTATGACACAGTATCATATACGTTAAATAATGACCCTCAAGATTCGACTATTGATCCGAGTTAGTATCAACCAATATAGGTTGGGCCCTATTGGGATGTTATGTATGTCGCACAAAATTGCCAAAGGGCTCTTATGCTGCTAGGAATGCGAAGACAGATCAGTTACTTTGGGTCTATTCATTATGCATTGAACAAAATGATGCTAAAGAAAAAACCCAGCAAACTATACTTGCCAACAAGATATACTCTGAAGCATCTAAGGTGATCGCTTACGATCATTTGTGGTCAACAGTCAATCTCATGGTCAATGGCATTATCCACACATATCTTTCAAAATCTTATGGCCCTCCATGGTTATTAAAAGATGAGCCATGGTATGGGCTTACCAGTCAAGGTCTTTCGTCTTTCACTTAATATGTCACCCTATTAGTGCTCAGACCCTCGAGACAAAGTCTTGAAGGTGCTGAGTCTCATATATAACAGTGATATAAATCCCGACTACCAGCTACCTGAGAGAGTGTTTACTATGGTGGACTATAGGGAGGTGGCAACTTTTTCAATTTTGACAAGCTACCGCACGAGACTGAACAACCAGCACCCATTGCATGGTGCGGCCTTCTACTTCGAGTCTATTCGAGTCATTCGTGAATTCAATGTTGTATTAATAATATTGTCTGATATTCACACATCCAAGGATTTCCATATCTATAACCATGTAAAAGCTTCAGTCTTTCGAATCTCCGTTTCCATTGCCGTAATATGACCGGACTCCCTCCATATCACTTCCACCCTCGTACTCGTTCGAATCCAGCTTTGCCCTTTCCGCTTTGGCTTTCTCTCGCTTTTCCTGCTTTTGACTCTGCGTCAAATCCTCCACGCTGCTCGCCAAACTCACATCGTTACTCGCATCCGTCTGTTGTCGCAGCCCTAGCTCTTTGCCTAGATGCGCAACTTTGTGCGCTGCAGAACTAACCGCCGTCGCAGCGGCAATAGTAACCTCCGTGGGCAGCGGGTGGTTTGCGCCTTTCAAGCCTTTCGTCTCAATATGTGAACCTGGCGCGCTAGTTGGATTCCCGACGCCGGTTTGCTCGAAGTCTTGCTCATCGGCATCATTCTCTCGAACGAAATTATCGCCCCTCCAGTCTGCGGCGTGAGATTCATGCACCGGTTCTCCTGGTTCTGGTAGCTTTATGACTTGACTTTGAATCTCTTGGTGTTCCCCTTGTTGTCGCGGTTTACCTTCTAGTTGATCCTTGGAAGCGTACCGCCAAACGACTTTGAGCCGCTCCAGCGCCCTTGTTCCTTTCCTCGTGGTACCCTTGATGCCATCGAGCTTGTCCCATTCGCACTCAAAGACTCCAGATTCATGCTCGTCGCCGCCTTCAAAGTAGGCGTTGAACCATACATGGGCAATCGACGTAACCATTGCCCAGCCTGTATATGCCGCTTTGCTGCGGCGCTCAAGGTCAATATTCACATCCGATGTCGGCACAATCACTGGTTTCTGTGGACGCAGGATGGCAGCTGATATCGGCGTCGTTTCCTCTTTGGGGCTCCCTGGTGCCGGCGAAGTGACAGTTTCTGTTTCTCGCACAGATTGGTGTATAGATGAAGATAACGGCGGGACGCCCTGTCGGATTGAACCTTTGCCAGCGACATGGTTTTCATCTCGCCGGTCAGGAGAGTTATCGCTACTCCCCTTATCAATAATAATCCGCTCCTTCTTTTTGAAAAGATGAAAACATTTAATCCTCCTCCCCTCTTCGACAAACCCTTCAACGGCAATCTTCACACCATCCCTCAGACCCCAAACATGAACCTCCAAAATCTCCACCGGCCGCTCCACGTATACTTTCCTCATCTTATTCGTCCACCTATTCACATACCCAATCCACCTTACCTGACTCGCTATACTAACCCCCTCCCCAAACCCAACCCTCATCCTCCGCTCCGTAAACCGCTGCATCGCATCCTCCATCTTCCATCCCTCCTGGCTAATCAGATAACTACACGACACCGTCCCACTCCTCCCCTTCCCAGCCTTGCAATGAACAACAGCGACCCTCCCCGTCCCCTTCGACGATCCATCCTGCTGCCTCTTTTCTTTTGTCTTGTCAGCATCCCCCGCAAGCCAATTCCGCATACTCGCCATAATCGGTGGGATTAGGGCAAACGGCGGCGGATGGTGGTCTGGGAATGGGAAATGGTGGATTCGTCCATAGACTTCGGAGTCCGGGTACCCAGTTCCTTCAGCGCGGAACTCCCATATCGCCCAGTCCGCGCCATGCTTCAAGTCGAGGAAACGCACTAGGGCGTCGGTGGGGTTTCGGTATGCGCGTTGCGGGTATGTTGATGAAGGGCCAGATGTAGCAATAACTAAATGGTCAGCACTGTCAGGGTTATGGATGGTGGGAAGATGTACGGGAATCGGTCACGTAGCAGAGGTCCAGGCCTGTTTCGGGGTGTTGGAGCCTCGGTCCAGCGACGATTTGGCGGAGAAGTGAGGCCTGTTTTCGATTATATGGTTTAGTGACCGTTTGATGCGTAACTTGTGATGGCATGGGACATACCATGGTGCTGTATATTGCAGGGTGGCGACTCGACACAAAAGCACACTCAATTCACTGCATGGGTGCTTCTAGCCTGTATATGTAATAACCAATTTCTATCGGTACGTGGCATGAATTAAAAAAAAGATGCTGAATTGTATATTTGCGTAAACAAAGTGACTGTCTGGTGTGGGCTGTTGATGACAGTGGCACAGACCGCGATGATGTCACACCCGGCGCTTCTCATCCGATAAGCTTGTTATCAACAAGATTTGCAACAGCCATGCAGTGCCAGGTTTACGTTGATGACGCAGCAGTCATTTATTTGAGGTAGTTATCTACTTGTATCTATAATATACAGCGAGTATCGTGTTTCAAGTTATACATATCCAGTCCTTCGCCATCAGATCTAGCTAGGATCAGTTGGACGAAGACTCGCCCTGCTGGAGCCGCGGAGATGAATTATGAACAAGTCTCAGAAGATTTTCCACATCTGCAGCACCATGGTCAGCGCAACCAGCGCAAATGCGTTCAGCGACCGTCTCACTCAACTGCCATCCTCGTTCTACGAGATCGACAGTATACATATACGCTGAACGATAATTATCCGCCTGAAGACACAGAAGAATCAGCACCTCAAGCGTCTGTCTATTCGGCTCAATGTCCAGAGCTGCCATCTCCTTGGCAAGAAACGTGCCTGCATCGGGTCGATTCGCATGAAGGCAAAGTGTGAATAGGTTATTGAAGGTAATAACATCGGCACCACTAGAACACACATCGAATATATCCCGATAAATATCCAGGCCGATATCAACTGCTTCGGTCGCTGAGACAGAGCCCGGTGCTGAAGCAGCATCACAGTACTCTATTACTGCATTCGCTAGTCCGACTGGGATGTTGAATTTCTGTTCTCTTAACTTCGTAATTGATGCCCAAACATGAGTTGGGTCCGGCATCAATTGTTCTAATAACGTAAGAACCGGCTGCGTGGATCGGGGTCGTATGAGAAACCCGTCGTTCTGCATCCTACATAAAATCTCGAGGCTAGAATCCAAGTCCCCATTGACAGCATAGGCTTGTACCACCCTTTCATAGTACTCCTGAGAGGGCAGTTCTCCGAGGATGATGAGCTGGCGGAAGACAGACTCTGCAAGCTGGGTATCGCCATAAAATGAGGCAAGGTCGAGAACATCGCGACAATGCTGTATACTCAAGTCTGCATAACTCAAATCCACTGCATTCGTCCACACGTAGTTCACCAACTCCAGGTGGGAAGCTCGAAGCGATACTTCCAAAAGATAGAGCCACATTTCCTCAGATATATTATTAGTTTTGTCGGCTCGGCCGCGCATCAGATTTAAGGCTTCGTCTAAGTCGTCGACGGCGCAGAGGTTGTACACTATAAGGCTATGCAGCCATTGCTCAAGGCGTATTCCTTGTCTTTCCATGTGATTGACACGGTCTAAAGCTAATTCAAGCTGGCCTTCGCGAACCAATCCGGTTATAAGGTGGTGCCAGCCAGCCGGGCTGAGGGATAACCATCGAGTTCGAAGCGCGCCAATGATGTCTTGGCGCAATATATAATCAGGGTGGACGGCAAGAGCCTTGTAAAAATACGAGTTAGAAAGAAATCGAGATAAAGTCAAGGTATATACTCACTTCCAACGCAGCATGCAAGGTAGCTGAATCCACCGTAATCCCTTCGGCCTCCATCTCTTGGAGTAGACTTCGAACATTTTTCGGCGACCCATGGAGCGGATCGACATTCGCCAGAATCAGAGCTTTATAATGGCGGCTATTAGGAAGCACATTAGGGTTGCGGAATATATATTGTAAGATCCTTGCAGTTGCGGGTATATCGTTTCTGCGCTTCAACGATTGCGCTTCCAGTCGGTCTTCCAGAATTTGGGCTGTTTGTTGCGAAGAAGGGCTTTTTATCTTCGAGGAATGACCATCATCGATGTGGCCTTTCCCTTTCGGCGGTATGATTTTGTTTTTCGCGAGAGGTTGTGCAACGTCTTGAGGGCGCGATTTCTTGACGAAGCGGATGCTGGCCGATGATCCGGAATTCAGACATCGTCGCGAAGCCTTCTGTCGGCCGTTGAGTGATAAAGCTGGACGGTGAATATACGATAACTGAAAGGAGGGACAGAGACAATACCACAACCCGTCAAACTTCATGGGCAGACGCCGCATTGTTTCACGGGCTTCTGTGTTCAAGTCATCTGTTTTGAAGTTGGAAGCTGATTCTAAAAGATAGTGGTCACGTGATATCTCCGTGAAGTTTCCGCAAATCGCTGGAGGAATGTCCAGTTGCTGCGATTCAGCAACAGACGATGATATTACAAGACTGACATCGCCTTGGTGAACTAGAACTAACTATTTCGGCTGGTAAAATCCCCATACACCTCACTGCTAGGCCAAAGTACGCCGATACCATGCACGTGCAAGTCCCGTAAAAGTAGTACGACCGCATGCCTCTCCAAGCCGCCTTTCATATTCAGGGTATCTTCTTTATTCTCTCGTCTCGTAATCTTCCATCAGTTTGTCCCAATACAACCGCCTTCAACCACCGCGTCCACGTCCACGACCGCGGCCTCCCCTGCCGCCTCTGCCTCTATCTTTACCGTCGCCTCGTCCACCACGACCGCCCCGGGATGAGCCCCGATCATGCTGTTGCTGTTCCTTAACAATATCGATGATTTCTTCTGGGACTCGGAGGTATTTAATCTAGCAATAGTCAGTTGAGGGTGACTCTCCTGCACGAAAGGAATTGAAATGAATGACGTACGTTATTTCCTCGCACGTAAACTTCTGGTAATCTATAAAATCGGTCGCCTTCGGGGCTTGTTTGGACAACCTCCTTGAGTGTCAGGTTCATCCAGTTGTCGCAATTGACAAGATGGCCGTTCAGTGTCTCGCCATTTTTCAGCTCCACGAGCATGGGATGGCCTTGCGCGGCCGTCAGGAGGCCGAGGGGAAGCTGAGTATCGTTAGCTTTTGCTTACAAAAACCTTGCGAATGCGATTGAAGTGCGAAACTGTCGTGGCAGTAATGCATACCATGTTCGAGAAACGATCGGAAATGTGAGGTAGAGGACAAAGTGGGCTATGGAAGCAGACAAACAAGGCTACTCGAAAGCCAAATCTCCCTGCAATCGGGCCCTCACGGCAGTAAATGATAATGCAAGAAGCAGCCTCGACTGACTGGTAACTCAGAACTGCGGATAGATCAACAGCATGCACGATGTCAAAGCTCCGACTAGCTGATCTGCCCGCAACGGAGCCCGCAACAACGTGATGCCGCCCCGACTGCTTAGTCACCGATTAGGGCTGCATGTCTTGAACAAGTTAACTCGTTAACTAGCAATAGCCTTAGTAAGTAGCTACTAACAACGCCGGCGTCTTGCTTCTTGCTCTACTTTCTCTCGGCCTTCAATGCTGCTACCCCCGTATGATGATTATCAGTCGATGTAAATATATTATTAACCTCATTGTAAAGCTCACTGCCGTATATTCCAACCCGTCATCGGGTCTCAGTCATGGTCCATTTGACATTATTAACAACCAAGATACCTTGACTCGTCCATAATGCGTGGTGTGAGCCAGGCAGCAGTATTACTTCTACTACCAACTCTAGGACCTGTCATCACCCACGGTCAACCAACACGCAGGCGTACTGCAGACGCTGCGATAGACGAACGTCCTGTACTTTGGTGGCGAGGTATATCTATTGCCTTGATCTCAGTATCTTACCCTAAACTAACGACGTGACTAGATACGGACGGGGTCGTTGTCCAATTCCAAACGCCATGTGCGGGGTGTGAGAGCAAGTACTTGGTGAGCACAATCACGGATCAGTGTTTCTAACTTCTGCTGACCTGCAATCAAGCCAATTAAGCTGGGTACTGCAAGCAACAACGGCGTTTGCGAGAATGTCACGGTTTCTGTCAACGGGCGAGAGCTTAAGCATCAATGGGACGGCAAATCGGCATCAGGGTCGGGTACAATACCTGTCAGTTCGTCACATTACGAAGAGACCGAGTTACTGGCCAGTTGGCAGAGCATATGCTTGACGGCTCCTCTCGACGCCCTTTCAGGACGGGATGCTCATATCTTAACTCTTGTCCTCAATAATGGGACGAGCTCTTCCCAAGACAACGTCGGTTTTACAATATCCTTCACATTCGTGGAGCAAATCGAGATTCTTCGAGTTTCCAACTTCCCAATTCAACTCAGTGATGAAGAATGGGAAACATGGAGCCGTCCACAAAATGCAGGTGCTTCCACAACCGAACAAAACACAAGCCCGGAACAGGTCAAGCCAGAACTAGACTCCATGAAGATTGAAGTCGAAATCGAAACCGAGCTACAAAAGCTTCAATATCTTCGATATCAGTCTGAGGTAATACAGCATTTGATCAACTCACAAGAAGAGAAGATCCACGAGCTACTCCGTCAAGACTGCACATCGTTGTTCACACAGTGGAAGCAGTGCAATACTCTCGCCTGCTATTTTGAATCTTCATGGAAATCTGTACCTGAAATATACCGGTCGATAAAATACCGCTTCGGCCCTTTGGAATCTCAGAGACTTTTCCCAATCTGTCCTCCCCCAAAAGCCGGAGATGCCTATATCAATGACCCTCCAGCCCCATCCGCAGAAATTCCTTCACCAACTGCACCAGCATCAGCATCTTCCCAGCATACCGCTACCCCATCTACAACAAGCACCTTTCTCGCTCTCCCCGCCATCACCGACATACCTCCATCCCTCGACATCCCACACCCCCTCTCCGAAAAACACAACGACAACTTCCTCACCTTCGACATCCCCCTCGACTCCCCAACCAAAACCTCTCTCCGCTCCTACGCCATCCTCGCGCTCATCATCCTCATCCTGACACTCGTCTTCCGCACCCTCCGTCGCTCAACAGCCTTCCGCCGCCGCCGCCGAGACCTAGCCTCTCGCCGCGAAGAACAACGCACTCGCCGCGCATACCGCAATGCCGCGCGCCGTCTACGCTGGCGGCAGTGGTGGGAAGGCGGCGGCAGCGACGAAGTAGTCGGTTCTGGAGCCAGAGCCGGTCGGGAAGGACCAGGAGCAAGGACAGGTCGAGAAACAGGCCGCTCCTCATCCCTTGGCCGCAGCGTGACATCCAGCCACTCCCTCCCGGATCTCGATCATCCACCCAACACAGCGGCCTTACAGCACTCTAACAACGACGCAAACCCCTTTCCCTCACACAATACCGCTGAAGAGAGCGGCGGGATAATGCACGCCGAAATCCTCGGCCTGCGACGGGTACTCGAGTACGTAGGCGAATTAGTCGAGACTAATAACGACAGTAACTCATCACGACGAACCACAACCACTCGCTCGCGCTCACATTCGCGGCCGCCGCCGCAGTATGAGGATATTGATGGGCAGATAGCAGGGGTTGGCTCGCCGAGGGCAAGTACAATGTTTAGTCTGGAAACTGGGTCGTTGGTTACGCTGGAGACACTGGATACGGATACGCAGGGCTCGGAGGGAGCGCCGCCGTCGTATCATGCTTAGCTTGGGATTTATTATTGATCATTTATCATTTATGAGGTTATTGGTTTTTAGGATTGGGTTGGAGGTAATATGGCTAACTAATGGGTATAAGTTTAGGTTGGTTGACGGCTTTTAATGGATGATCTGAAAATGATTTTGACTTTTAATAATTAGGTGGATAAATTACTTGGAACTATTACAGTTCGAATATTTAACGTTAATTGCATCAAATGACTAGCATACTAAGGTAGATGCTACATTTTAGGCCGTTTCGCCGCTTCACTTCTCTCTGCCTCATCTTCATCCTCATCTTCGTCGTCTTCAACGGCATATTTCCTCTTCGGTCGCATGGTATGAGTATCAGGTCTGACTGAATCATCCGTTTCAGGTGTCGAATCCGCTGGTGGAGGTGCTGCGGTTGCCTTGCCCTTTTCGCGGGCACCGAATACCGTCAGTAAAGCCTCGTAGCCTTCCTCAACATTTGACGCTGTTTCATCAAGCTTCTGTATACGTTCTGGCAGGTCGAGTTGGATGAGGATATCGCGAGAGCGCTTGTATAGGCGCTGTTTGAGGAGCATGCGCCACCAGTAATATCTCCGTTCGTTTTCGTCGTCCGCTTTGTGTTTTTTGGTCAGAAGGCGAGCCATGTTAGCCCCGCCAGCAGCGCGTTTAGGGTGGGGAATTTGATTGAGCAGGAACATTTCTAGAATGTGTGCGAATTGAGTAGGTGCGATTTTGTACTGTGAGCGGATTTCTGTAAGTTTTTGTGTTGGGATGAGTGTGGCTGTTGGCACATGGCGTGGGCGGCGTTTGCCAGCTTCAGCAGGGTAAGGGTTGGGGTTAATGTTGATTTTCTGTTTGATAAGCTCCGGATAGAGGGTGTGGTAGTCGGCAGAGTCTCTCAGGACATCAAAAGCCTCGTTTGGATCTTCCACAGTAAGTTCGATAACAGTGTCATCAGCAATCGTGGCTTTGTGGATGGTGTTGTAAAGTTGGGAGCCATGGCCAGAACCTTGGTGAGGAGGGAGAATAAGGAATTGAGCGATACGCAAGCGCGACGGTAGAGTTGAAAACCGAATCTCTTCAGGATATGGGAATGTCCCATTTTGTATCACACCCTTCTCGCCTTTTTGCTCGGGGTAGAACCACCAACGGTAGGTTGTTGAATAGCCGACGAAGGAGAACTGAGAAGCGGTTGGGGTTGGAGGCGTTATCTTTTCGTAGCTGCAAGCAAGTAAGTATTAATCAGATGAAACTGGAAGAAATTCTCAGAGAGCATACACAAAATATACCGTCCATCTCTCCAATGTCCATTCTGGGTCGTCGAGAACAAGCGGTGTCCCCGCCTCAATGAAGAAAGGGACAAAAATCTGGGCGCGTGCCAACAGGTTGCGGACAGCCGAGTCTGCAAGGGAACCAGCCCATATCTCATAATTCCGTTCCTTCGACTGGTACGAATGGACAAGCTTTCCGGGTGGTGTAAAGTCTTTGGCATTTTCATCCTTCTGGACAGCATTTTCGTACTCAGGTAAATGCGCAAAGGCAACTTAACAATCACATCCTATCAGCATCACTAATCATATGCTATATTTGCTATCCACATACACTCTGGCACCCAATCTCTCAAGGTCTTGTTCAGATCCGTAGCTGCAGCATCGCCGACAGCTTTGAACTTTTCGTCGTAGGAAATGTGCACATGGGTGCGCAAGTCGTGCGCCGCGAAACGCAGTCTGATGATTAGGCCCTTGTATCCGAAGATCTGCTCGTCGTCACCGAAGATTGGATATGTGAATTGCGGGTGAAATATGTCAAGAGTTGCTGGCTTCTGCTCTCCAGGCTGGATCACAGAGAGTTGTACTGCGTCATTGGCATCGCAGGACCCTAGATGCAGGCATGTCAATAAGTGATCATTACAATATACAGTAAATCGAAGCACTCACAGTCGCCTTGATCAGCCATGACGATATTGCGCCTGGTAAGGTCAGAATCGACGAGGATAAGGAAGGCAGTGCGCAGAAGTCACGGTCAGTTGCAACGATCAAGACAGGAAGCGGCTGGAGCTCGGCGCGCGACGCGAAGTCATTAGCTCCTGATCAGGACTAGTGTATATATCTCGATCTGGCCAATGATCTTCCCTCCACAGGCACTTTTGATTGTACATTTACAAATCAGCCTCGCACAGTAGTTATTCAATAATATGGGCTCAGCTAGTTGTCATTCGCGTCTTTGTATGTTGCGATGTAGGCTATGTTTCTATTGGGTTTGCTATTATCGGTGTTCTCACACGACTCAAAGAGTGGTATTGGGATAGGATCAGTTCTGTCAATATCGACACTGCTACATATGCAGACTGGCGAATAAAATACATTGTTAAAAACTAGTAGTAACTCATAAGGTTTATTGTTGGCCTGGTTAATTACATATGTACACTTTATATTCATTGATGCTAGCAATGGTTCTTTTCTCGGCCATTCAACTTGAATATTTTCATGTTTGCACAAACATCAACTGATGTAGTTAAAATTCAAGTGATGAACGATCATTGAAAATTAGACTAATGGATCAATTTATATTTATATATTTATATGTTACTCTTCGAATGATGCACGCGTGGCTTTGGGATTGTATATCTTCGATGTTCGTTGTCCGGGTGCCAATCTTCCAATTCAACATTGAAGATTGAATTGATATTGAAAGGATGGTTGAAATGAGTCGAGTTTTTGTTTTACATGATTATGTGGCTTATAGGTGCTGGAAACCCATCAATTAATCTCAATTGATTATTGCATCAATCTATAATATATTTGAAGTTAAAAACTCATCATCAGCGAAATGTATAGTTCACACATGGAAATATTAACATAGAATCAATTTAGCTACAAGTTGTTTACCACAAGAAAACACATAGGAAGCAACACATATTATATCAATAAATATTGGTACTCCAATCAACATAGTAATAACTTCAAGTTATACGTATACATGTTTGTAAATAGTCCCTGTCAAAGCACGTGGGTGATGCGGCGACTGATAGGCTGCGCGGGCGGCCCCACCTCCACCTGTAAAGTGTAAGATCCGATGTGTCCTCCAATCTATCAATGTTGTCTAACACATCACTAAGAATTCGTGCTTCTGGATGACAGATTAGATCCTTTTATATATCACTAAAATCCACTCACCGATTGCCTCTATACTCGAGAGACCACCTAGCCTGCAACGGCACCATGCACCGCGCGTGATTAATAACCGGAGCAAGCGTATCTGCGGAAAACACTAACAACATCAACACCAGTCAACCAGATCATGGAGGGCCTCTTCACACTGCTCATCTTGAGCGTCGTGATGGCTGTCACGTAAGGCTATCGCCTGAAAACACTTCCAAATTGATGTCTCCGCTGACATTTACTCTTAACAGATCCTTTGTCGTCGGTGCATTACCACTCAGTTTCACATTATCGCCGTCGCAGCTACGATTTATCTCCTCTTTGGGAATGGGTGTCCTGGTCGGCACGGCCCTTGTCATTATTATCCCAGAAGGAGTCGAGACACTCTACAGTTCACAACATAAGACCCAATCAAGTCTCCAATCGCGCGCTGTTGACGTACGATGGCAGCATCAGAGTATGCCTGCTATCCTCCCTGAAATCGCTACCATGCCTGGGCCTGTCATACCTGGGGCCGAATCTGCAGTGGCATTTGATTTGGAATCAGAAAAATCGAAGAGGGCAGAATCAGAAGAAGAGGATGCAACCGAACCGAACGAGAAAAACGCTAAGGATCACGAGGACGAGGACGGGGCGCTTCATGCCTGGATAGGCATTTCGCTCATCAGCGGGTTTATTTTGATGTACCTGATTGACAAGCTCCCGGCATACGTGACGCCGCCGAAGCCACGTCGTCTACCGTACCATATCTCGTTGGATAACCTGGGCGCGGCTGGACTGCGCAGAAGCTCTTCACCGACTCGCGATGGGGGCCTGCTGGAGAATGACAGCAGCCATGGTGGCCATGCGTCAAATCCGCATAGCTTCGCCATGACCACCGGGTTGGTCATCCATGCCGCAGCAGATGGCATTGCGCTTGGTGCATCAGGCTCGAATTCGAGCCTGAGCTTTATCATCTTCCTGGCGCTGCTTGTCCATAAGGCGCCCGCCGCGTTTGGACTCACCTCCGTGCTCTTGAAGCACGGACTTACGAGTCGCGCGGCGCGCGGCCATTTGCTAGTCTTCAGCCTGGCCGCCCCGATGGGAGCGCTTCTGACGTTCCTTGCTATACACACTCTGGGGTCAGGGTTTGGGGGCGATGAAAGCTCAAACCGGTGGCGCACGGGTGTGTTGCTTTTATTCTCTGCGGGCACATTTTTGTAAGTCTTACCCCGCTGTTTATACCACATTTTCAAGTAGTTAATGCGTGCGTAGATACGTTGCCATGCATACGATGCAAGAAAACGCGCCTCACTCATCGCGCGAGTTGCACAGCAATGGCTACGCCGACTCTCGTGATGCCCCCAAGCACAAGGAATCGGTGAGAGACCTCGCAGTCTCAGTCGTTGGCATGGTCCTGCCACTGTTCCTGCAGATCGGCCATGCGCACTAGTTTTTGGATAGGACATAGACTGGATTTACGAATGTGTTGTAATTTGGAAGTGCCATTAACTGTTACGCCGTTGTATATCTGTAAAATAGACCTTTTTGTTCCCGCTATGATGCTGCATATCATTGATGCAATTTGATCTAAATAGAGTTGCTTGTTTATTATTTATAATTTTGGATGAATGACGCCAGATCCTGCTCATGACCAGGCCCACGGATCTATTCGGCACCGCTGTCAACGTCAACTGATGACCCAAAAACTGTGTCATCTATATAACTTATCTGCACGACGTCTGACGAACGAAATCCCCCTGCAAGACGAGACCAGCTCGATGCGGCGTTCTAGAATCGGCGCCGATCGAATACCCAAAGATGCAGCCAGCGCCAATATTAGCTGGCTGTGAGCAGTGTGAAGCACTCTTGTTGTCGCACGATGCACATGGAGCCCCTAGCTGTGGAGCTGCTCTAGCCACGAATCTCGCGAACAGGTGGTTTGGGGTTAATGAAGGCGGTTTGATCAGCTTAGTCTAGAGGTTGATCAGTCAGTGCGACGCTGGCATGCACCTTCGATAACTCCGATTCCTACAGTAGTATGCAATGCGATCTTGCCTGCTTGCTGTCGTTAAGGCAAGAAGGTGCGAAAAGCAGCATTGTGACGAACCGACAGGGCCCGCAAATAATAAATTTATCGCCTATCGACTTGGCAGAATGAATAGGTGCAGTCCAGTGCAGTTTAGGGCCAGTTAGACAGTATTAGAGAGTGCCTTTTGGCTGTCTGGCTGAATGCATGCTATGCTGGCTTAGTTCTGCTGTGCTGCTAGACGGACCCGCCCGCCACTAATTACTACTTACTCGACTTCCTACTACGTACATAGTTACTCATCAGTACGAGACGACCAGTATTGAGTCTCGATCCAACATCGCCAAGGCTTCTCTAGTGTCGATGAAAGTCAACTTCGCCTGCCTCTCGATCCCATCCCCATCTGTCGTGCGACTCGACCACCGCCTCCCGACCGCAGCCAAATACGCTGATTTTGCCTCATCACGGCTTCGCCCACCCCATGGCTGCGCGGTACATACCGCCGCGCTCCCTGAGCCAGCATCGAGCCTGCAATAACAATACTAACAGCGAAGGCTCGATTCCTCGCAGCGTGCCTGTCCCACTGAGCAACATGCCCCCGCGCGTCTCCGCCGCGGACCTCTCGACGACTTCGCATCATCCTCAGCCGCTGCCAACCCCCAGCAAATCCGGCTCTCCTCTTCCTGCCAACCTTTTCCCCTCCGCCCCAGCCTCGCCGCCGACTCCAGCGCCCAGTCCAACACCACACCACAGCCTGTCTCGCTGGCATCCAGCCGACGAAGACGAGGAGGAGTCTGGGAATAATTTGCTGCTAAAGGCTCAGATCCACTTTAGCTCACTGGGCAGTGCCCAGAAACAGAAATTCCTAGTCGATATTCTAAATCTCTGCGATAACCAACAACTCAGTTTCATTTCCAGCGTGATTGGCCCTCGGTTGAGGAAAGACCCTTTTCAGACCTTCCCGAATGAAATCTGCCTGAGGGTAAGACTGATCAACCCAGAAATTGTTCTCTACTCACTACGATACAACTAGGTGCTCTCGTTTATTGACGACCCCCGGACTCTCGCTCGAGCTTCGCAGGTTTCGAAGCGGTGGCACGAACTTCTCAACGACGACATCACGTGGAAACACTTGTGTGATCGACACGCTTACGCTTATCGGAGGATGTCTGACGACGAGCGGGATTTCCTGGATCCTTTCCACAGCAGACGACTTTCGTCATGGAGCTCTGAGAGTCATACTTCGCTGAACTGGAGGAGACGATCGACGTCATCCGCTACAGAAACTACAGACGCAATGTCTTCAGATGAGCATATGGAGTTATCGTGGCCGATGACGCCGTCCCAGCGACACCGTGTCCAGCCGTCATCCTACCGAATACATTTTAAGCAGAAATATATGGTTGAGTCGGCCTGGAATAAAGGCGGGCGCTGTTCGCTAAGACACGTCACCCCTGACCAGGGAGTCGTGACGAGTCTGCATTTAACGCCAAAGTATATTGTGGTTGCGTTGGATAATGCGAAAATACATGTTTACGATACGAATGGCGGCAGACAACGCACTCTGCACGGCCATGTCATGGGTGTTTGGGCCATGGTTCCTTGGGACGATTTATTGGTTAGCGGCGGCTGTGACCGCGAGGTTCGGGTGTGGAACATGGTTACGGGGTTGGTATTTTTTGGTTGTCTATTTATTCGATTGCTAACTGTTGTTTTGTAGAGCTTGCACTCATCTACTACGCGGCCACACGTCGACAGTGCGGTGCTTGAAAATGTCAGATAAGAACACGGCGATTTCCGGGTCCAGAGACACTACCCTGAGGATATGGGATCTTGTCACTGGAAACTGTCGTGCGGTGTTGGTTGGCCATCAAGCTAGCGTCCGATGTTTAGGCATCCACGGCGATCTGGTTGTGTCGGGGAGCTACGATACGATGGCTCGTATATGGAGTATTTCAGAAGGACGGTGTCTGCGGACACTGACTGGCCATTTCAGTCAGATTTACGCAATTGCTTTTGACGGCCGCAGAATCGCCACGGGAAGCCTGGATACGAGTGTGCGGATATGGGATCCTCAAACGGGCCAATGCCATGCTGTGTTGCAAGGCCACACGTCGCTTGTTGGACAGCTGCAGATGAGAGGCGATACATTGGTTACCGGTGGCTCAGACGGCTCAGTGAGGGTCTGGTCGTTGAATCGCATGGCGCCAATCCATCGACTCGCCGCTCATGACAATAGCGTGACGAGTCTGCAGTTCGACAGCACGCGCATCGTCAGCGGTGGCAGCGACGGCCGTGTCAAGGTCTGGGACCTCAAAACCGGCCGCCTTCTGAGGGAACTATCCACTCCAGCGGAGGCTGTATGGCGAGTGGCATTTGAAGATGAAAAGGCTGTGATCATGGCCAGCCGGGCTGGCCGCACGGTAATGGAGGTACTCATCTCTTTCCTCCTCTCCTGATATATTTATACTAACTGGCCAGGTCTGGTCCTTCGCTCCCCCCGCCGAAGACCTATTCGACGATAATGTCGTCGTCGAAAGCGCCTCAAGTACGCCGGGTCTACGACCGAAAGAACCCAAAACCGACACCTCCACCTCAACCAAAATGTCAACCGAAATGGACGCCAAAACCAGCCAGCCACACCTCTCCGACCCGCCTCCCGAGATCTCTCTCGACGAAACATCAACATCAGCATCAATCGAGGAATCTAACGACTACGCTATGACGGATGCTTCTGCTCAGTATCGCAATGATGAATTATAGACCTTACGTACGTTACGTATTGGAGTTGGCGTTAATATCCATTACCCTTATCCACCTTGCCCTCTTGTCCGCTGCTGACGGCTGTTTGTCTTATGATATCAATTGATAAAGGGTGGCGAATTGAGCGAAACAATCGGATCAAATAGCATTGGGTTATTGTTTGTCTACTACTTGACTTGCCTGTCAATACCTCTCTCTATCTCTACTTCCTATCTACCTACCACTTGCTTAGTAGTTTAGCTCAATGTTGGGCTTGGCTGCTTGGTTTGCATATATACGAGACATGTATCTGGATGACAGCAATACACACTACATTAACATGAACATTAACATTAAAATCACTAAATATGAAAGATAACCACTTGTCATAACTGACGTCAAGTCAAACCGACGTCGAACAGCTTGTACTTACTCTCCAGACGGTGATCCTGCATCCGGTCAGCCCGGATGCCTGTTATAAGAGAGCTTACCTACTTCGTAATCTCCTGAATGATCGCATTCTTGTACTTTGGTATAGAGAAAAAGAAGACAAGTGTGGGGTTCGTACTGCACAGAGCTGGAAAGAACTACAGCAGAACCGTAGGAGAACCGAAACACGGAGCCATCTTGTCATGCCAAATAGGTTGGCCTATATCATTGATCTATATTCTCGATCCACATCTTCTAAAAAGGTTAGGGTTATCGCACCTAGAATAAAATACGTCTTTGTACGTGGACTCTAATTGAATATGAGAAGTATTACAGAGTAGTTAAGCTCTGTATAATATAATAGGAATCTATGACCAGAAAATAATGATTTCCCTCGTAACTGTTAACCCTGACATTGGCATCTCGTAATACTAGTACTTACCAGGTAGTACAACTGTAAAATGTGAGTGGTTGTGGGCCGGCACGTGGAATTCGAGGAACCGAAGAGGAAAGGAAAGGAAAGGAAACGCGGGGGCTCTTCCGCTTATCTTTTCCTCTTCTTCCTCCTCCAACATTGAAGTCGGAAAGATGGTCGCTTGATGATACTCTGATACTCTCATGGTTGATTGCAGCGACTACTACAGATGTGAAAAGGACTGCATGCTGTGGTCATTATCTATGATCGATCTCTCCCCTTCCAGAGTTTCATAGCATGCGTGATGATATGATTGATCCGATTGCGCGTCCGCCTGCATTACCGATTCGTCTGCTTTAGTATACGAATACCAGAAAATAATACCGGAGATATATCGATAATTCGACGAGATTATTGTTAGGATAACATGTCTTGCGCTGAGTGAGGATAAGATGGTGTATAATGGGAAGCCTAGTACTGGCTGTTACTTGTGTCGGCGGCGGAAGATCAAGGTGTGTTTTCTTATTATTTAGGCACTCGCTTGTTGTGTTTTACTTGGAGAGTGAGAGTTGACTAAGGAAATGATAGTGCGATGAGACACGACCCGGCTGTCGCAATTGCGAGATCTACGGTAAAGAATGCCCGGGATACCGCCCGGCCATCGTTTTCCAAGACGACAGCAGCAATAATAATAGCAGTGTGAGCCAGACTAGAAAATGGAAATCCCTCACTCGCGATCGACGGTTCAGTGAAGCGCTTTCACCTTCGACCTGCCATGGCTCCGATGACTACGCCCTGGTGCCGAAACCGCGCTGGCTGGCGGAAGCGAGCATGGAAGACCGCGCGCTGTGTTATTTCTTTGATCAGTACACCATCCCCGAAACACCGACGGGTGCGCCCGGCGTGTTAGAGTCAATTCCGCCGTTATATGTTCTGTGTCGCGAGAATCAGGTTGCAGGCCATCCAGAGTCGTGTCTGCGATGGGCCGTGGAAGCGGCTGCTCTAAGCTCATTTGCGCATGAGGCGAGTGATCATAGTTTAGCGCTCAAGGCGAGAGAGAAGTATGGCATGGCGTTGTATAGTCTTAAAACGACGCTGGAGGAGTCAGTGGAAAAGGTGCAGGATGGGACTCTGGCGGCGATTCTGCTGCTGGTTCTTTTTGAGGATATTAACGGCGAGAGAACGACGCTGCAGAGCTCGCATACCGCTGGTTTGGAGCTATTTGCGCAGCTGCATAAGCATCGCAGGCTGGATGGGAAGTATAGTCGATGTTTATTCAATTTCGCCTATACACAGTTGGTACGTTCTCCCCCTTTTTCACATGTGGAGATTAGCTGATCAGCCAGCAAATCCAAATTTTAGGGCTAGGAGGCCGGCCGCGGTTCGATCTACAGTCCTTGATTGAACTATTTGACTCGTCGGACCCATTGCAGAGCCTGATGGGCACAGTCACCAAACTCAGCCAACTCATCCTCAATGCCCCGTCGCTCCTCACCAGCCCGCCCCCAGACTCCCCGGTCCTCAGCACCGAGGAACTCTTCCACTACATCGCATACGCGCGATCCCTCGACACTGAGCTGAGCCACTGGTGTCGCAATGTGCCGGAGCAGTGGCTGCCGCGCATCGTCTACTCGACGACGGGCGAGTCCATCATCACATACGCCAGTATATCTACCGGTTCATTATGGAATTTCTACCGCTCGGCGCGCATAATCCTACAAGGCGTGATCGATAATATCAGCGTCAAACTCGAAATGCTCGGCGAATCGGCGCCAGTGCCGATTGACGAAGACTTGGCCATGACCGACGACACTTCCCCTGCAACCATCACGACAGCAACAACATCGACGACGGAAAGCACACCGTACGACATCGTCCAGAATATGATCGTCGATATATGCCGAAGCATACCATTCACGCTCGGCGATGTCGATTCGAGCGGGAACCCCATCACCAATACCAACACCAACACTATGCACTACGATATCGACCAGAACGGAAAAGGCGGCTCCCGCCTCAGAGCGATCGAGGGGTATGAGCTTCTCTGGCCGTTTTGGCATATCTTGACCTGCCATTTCTCGACGGCTAAGCAGCAGAGACAGGCTAAGGCGGCGCTGGCCAGGCTGGATGCCGAGTTGGGGATCAAGCTGGCGTCCAAGTTGATGGCATATGCGGATTGATTTTACGATATGCAGGTAGTACATGTAATAGCTTCAAATGCTAGCTTGATGTATATTATTTATTGTGTGCTGCATATATATTTACTATCATAATAGTGTTGACCGCGAACAGCGATAAGGTGACGTCACCACTGATTGGCTGTCGGATGCTTCGGCTTGCTGTGGTGCATCCAGATCGCTTGTCGATTGGCTGTGGGTGTAAGGGCGAGAGCGAGCCTGACGTATTGGCTGGAACTCGGCATGATCGTTCCTGGTTATCTTCTCATTTATCTTCCTCTCTTCCACCTCTTCCTCAGAATATTGACACTCTCCCCTCAATTGCCGTGAATTGCTTTCAATTGTTTTGAATTGCTTGTGCATTGCTTGTGTTGCCGTTATCAGCGCGTATACCTAAAACACAGATAAGCATGGCGACAGCGCAGGAGAAGAAGCTGCCTTTTGGCAAGATCGATCTCTATTCCAGCAAGTATTTCTACGCCTGTACTGTGGGCGGTATCATCGGTATGTCTCATCCCAAACAATGAATGGAATCGACTACTAACACATCTTAGCCTGTGGTGAGTTCATCTACCGTACCCCTCACCTAAACCAACATCAATTGATATATCATTAACAGGCCCAACTCACACGGCCGTCACGCCTCTCGACCTCGTTAAATGCCGCCGCCAAGTCGATCCCAGCATCTACAAATCCAATACTTCCGCATGGCGCTCAATCTTCGCCAAGGAAGGGCTTCGCGGCGTCTTCTTCGGCTGGGCACCAACCTTCGTCGGCTACTCCCTGCAAGGCGCCGGCAAATACGGATTCTACGAAGTCTTTAAGTACTGGTACGGCGAACAGCTCTTCCCCAATAGCAACCGGACCCTCGTCTACCTGGGCGCCAGCGCCAGCGCCGAGTTTATCGCTGATCTCGCCCTGTGTCCGTTCGAAGCGATAAAAGTGCGCATGCAAACTTCCCTGCCGCCCTACGCACATACCTTGCGGGAGGGGTGGACAAAGGTGGTTGCGCAGGATGGTGTGAAGGGGTTGTATAAGGGGTTGTATCCGCTGTGGGCGCGGCAGATTCCGTATACGATGACCAAGTTTGCGACGTTTGAGGAAGCGGTGAATTTGATTTATAGGACGATGGGCGGGAGCAAGGATAGTTACAGTCGGTTGACGCAGACCGGGGTCAGTTTTGCGGGCGGGTATTTGGCAGGCATTCTCTGTGCGATTGTTAGCCACCCGGCTGATGTCATGGTCAGTAAGCTCAATGCTGAGCGGAAGGGTATGTTTTCACTTCTATTCCTGTTGTTGGACCCTACTGATGGCTGTATAGCTGGTGAAGGCGCGATGACGGCCGTGTCCCGGATCTACGGCAAAATCGGCTTTGTGGGATTGTGGAATGGTTTGCCAGTGAGGATTGCCATGTTGGGTACTCTGACTGGTTTCCAGTGGTTGATGTAAGTTCTCTCCTTCACATATAAAACGTCTTATTAACCAATGTTTTAGCTACGACTCCTTCAAGGTGTTCTGCGGCTTACCCACTACTGGCGGCCATTAGTACCAATTCTAGGATTTGGCGTTGCATGCAGCATGTTTGTGCTCGTGATGTATATTTCCTTGGTATAAATCATAATGAAATTGCGTAAATATAATCAATCTTGTCTTGTAGCTGTAGCGCATAGACTCTGAACTATAGAGGTGTGGCAGCACTCACCGCCCGGCTGATGGGCTGATCTGGGCGGCAGAATCCGCATTATTTGCAACCTCACATTCAGCTTCCCAGCCATTAATATTCTCGCGTCAATCGACTATCACTCCTGCTATTTCCCATTATCTGCTCATCTAGCTCATCTAATACGTGTAACCGACTCGACGATAGACACTACATTGCTAGTGGGCGTATTTGAATTCGACGGCGTGAGCTACAGTCTGGCCTACTCCTGCTATTCACAATTGTCGACCGAATTCCACCATACCACCACCTCATCATATATACCTCTAAAAGAAAGAAAAGAAAGAAAAACAAAAAAAACAAAAAACCGAAAATGGACACCCCCCAACCAACCCCCCAGTATCGAACTCGCCTACAAAAAGAAATGCATCCAACTCAAAAAACGGCTTAACGAAATCGAATCCGAAAACGACATCATGCGCGCCCGCAACAAACGCGCAAAGGGGTACGTCCAGAAAATGCGGCTCGAAACGTGCATTATGCTGGAACGATTAGCGACGTTGACGGGTATGTTTGAAGAGCAGCAACCCAACACCACAGCCGGTAATGGTGGAGTGGTGGGGAGTGCGGAATTGAGAGCAAAAGCAGCGGCGATTATGGGTGAGAAGAGGAAGGCCGGAACAGTGATGGGAGAGGCGTTGGATGATGAGACTGAGGGGAGTAGTGAGGAGCGGCCGCCGACGGTATTCCTCCCTTCCCTTCTTTCTGATTAGGGGTTTTGGGTGTGTGTGTGTGTGCTAAGATTTGTTTTGACAGCCTCAAGAACGCCCGCTGCGCGTAAAACGCAGCCGGAGGTCGAATATGCCGATTGACGAACTAGAAGCCGAAATGGCGACGCAGCTTGAAGCTGATAAATCAAGCCCCAACCACAACAGCAACAACAACAACACGAGCAGCAATAATCATGCAGACGAGAACAATGCGAGTCTGCCGGCTCTCGCGCCAGCCCCGTCGCAGGAGCAGCTTACCTCGAGCTTCAGGGTTGTTAATAACAACGGGGATAGCAATACTTACACCAACAGTGGGCATGGGTCGCCGGTGCCGATGGATGTGGAGCCGAAGGAGGAGAGTTGAATATTTATTTTATTTATTTTTATAATTTATGGTTTGGTTTGATGAGCGGGTTTGTATAATTATGTATTGGTCTCTAAGGATTGTGTTGAGTTTAATTGATATTTTGCTGCTGAAGATGAGATCGTAATGGTATATACGGATAGTACATTTATGGGAAGTAATGAGGGAGGTCAATATCGTGTTATTATAACAAAATTGTGCAACTCTCACATAGCCAGGCCATATTACATACATGAACTAGACGCCTATATCTTACACCCAACGCCGAACGACTACAATCCTATTCAACGCCAGGCAATGCAGCAAACCATGTACGATAGGTGGTGGTCTATTCCACGCCGGCATACAAATCAACAATAATGTTGATTGCAGCAACCAGGATCTCGGCGGCAATAAGCACGATGACTACGTTGTTAGATGATATCATATTGTATTGGAAGGAGGCTTACCAATCCATTCAAGGTATTCCCCATGTCGATGGCTGAGCTGGTCTTTCAGAACAGCGAGTAAATCCGCTATAACGTCGAGTCGCTCTGTTAAAAGCCCCACGCGCTGGTCCATTTCGAGGTACGTGCGCACTGCCTGGTAGATAGGCTCGAGCTGGGGTTCGGCCCACATGAGTTCTGGGCTGTCGAGCACCGAGCCCTGTAAATGGATATTAATACGCAGAATGAAGAGCTCGCCAATCTGCATGTTGATTTTCTTCCGCGTCATATTCACGCTCCCCGTTTTGGCGATTTGCGCGGGTAATGGCGCCGTAGTGGCGATGGTTTCCGAGACAAGGTCCTCGAATAGAGATGTTTTCACGGACTGGGAGAGAGCGTGTGAAATGGCGAGTTTGATCATGTGGTTGCGCGGGTCGCGGAGACAGATGAAGTCGTTGTATATCCGTGCTTGGTAGTCGCGCGCATAGTAGAAGTTGAAGTTTTCGACTTGGCGGTCTTCGTTGCTTAGAATCGCTGAAGCAAATTTGGACATGTCTGCGAGGAATCGCGACTCTTCGGAGGGTGTCATTCCCCATATTACGACAGTACCGTAGTCGAAGAGGAACACTTCTGGCGTGTGCACTGTTGTATCTAGATCTAATTGTTCACCGGCGCTTGACGATGACGGGTCTGTGGTTTGATCTTGAGAATTTGAGGTCGCTTCCTCAAGATTGATCAGGTCTTCGCGTATATTCTTGCCATGCTCCTCAACTTCCACCACGCTGTCCGAATACCTGCGTTCTTTCTGCAGTCTGGACCCAGAATTCCATCCATTCCGATGCTGATTCTTCTGCTGTTCGAGCTGTTTCAATTCATGTGCGTACTTAAACGGCGAATAGACACATTCATCAAACAGTTTTGGATTTGTCCCGCGTGTCTTGTCGCGGGATTTGAGATACCTCATCACCCCTTCTAATCGGTACGAATTGGCCGTACAGTACGCGGTGACGCGCGGAAGACGATCTCTATCTGCCTTTCCTAGCCGCGCAGCATCCCTTCTTGCAGTTGGCTCTTTGATGCGGCCGATCTGGGTATACACATCCCTTGGAAAGCCATCATCAACGATCTCTTCCTCATCCCCCGTTTCTGGATCAGGTAGGAGTTTTAGTTTCTGTGTATTTTTCGATGTTCTTTGCGGACCAATCTTCGGTGCTGCCGAGATAATAGGCGCTGTTGCTGGCGATCCTGCGCTGTTGCGTCGGCGCAGCTTGCTGTTCAGTGCGGACAGCATGGGCTGTCCTGACGGGCCAGACGAGGCATGGCGAGCGGGTGGAGGACTGGCTTGTAGTGGCCGGGTCGAAGAGTCTGACTGAGATGTGCCTGTGTTGTAGGTGCTGATGGTGGTCAATGGGTTGAATGTCACAGTGCGCCGGTCTCGATCGGTGCGTGGTGACGTAGGGGAGAGATTGGGCTGGAATTGCGGTAATAATGGCGAGGTTTCTGTAGTGGCCATAGTTGCACGGGCATTGGCCTGCAATAAAATAATACAGTATCAATAGGATCGCATCCAGCCGGACAAGAAAGGTACTCAGGAAAGCAGGAGCAGACATCTGGAGGTGGGAAGGTCGTCCGTCATCGAGAGTTTCTTGAGCTTGCTGCACGGATCCACAGCGGACCCGCCTGGAATCCTCCGCTTGGAATCTTCCGCCAACGGTGGACCACGTGCACTATATTACTTTCACTATTTCCATCCGAATTGCGAAATGGGCTTTTGTTGATCTGAACGATGCGAGTGAGTCTCGTCAGGGGCTTTCAACTCGCTCGGTCCATCCAGAAACTCATCAATAATGGAGTCGATCGTCATACCGATGGAGTGAACCGTACCGATCGATGTATTTATATGCAGCAATTGATCGACAAATATTCGATGGATCTGGACGTGAAGCTGCCACCGAAAGAGACACGGATGGATAACTTGACAGTAGTGTACACTGGGTCCGCGGGCTCCCTAGGAAGCTATATATTACAGTCTCTCATTGACTCGCCCCGCATATCCAAGATCATTTGTCTGAACCGATCAGCGGATGGACAGAGGAGACAGACAGCTGGTAATAAGTCGAGAAATTTGTCCATCCCGTGGGAGTTACACGGCGACGCAACAAAATCGGTTGTCTTTTTAACAGCAGATCTATCTAAACCTGATCTTGGTCTTGGAGAAGCGATATATGGCCAACTCCTAGTTACAGTCGACGAAATGATCCAAAACGCCTGGAAAGTTGATTTCAACCACACAATCGAGTGATTTGAAAAGAGCCATATTGCTGGGGTCCGTCGTCTCATTGACCTGAGCAGTAAACCTGAGTACCGAGCGCCGATCCTCTTTACTTCGAGTATCTTCACGACCATGAAGTGGATGCAGAAACACTCTGGAGAACCTATCACAGAATCGATTAATCATCCATGACCTCGACAGTCCCGAAGACCTAGGCTATGCAGAATCTAAATATGTAGCGGAAAGATTTATTGAGGCTTACAGTTTTGCTTCCAATTTTACGTCCTCTTTTAGGAAAGTCAGCCAGATTGCAGGTCCCGTTTGTCTACCGCAGGCGTCTCCAATGTGGTGAATCCCCTGACGACACCATGGCCAGCCCTACTGGAAACAACCCAGATAGGTCTTGGTGGACCTGCCACGATTCGGGTTGTTTCATTGACTGAATAGATAGATGCATTGGAACGCAGTGCACTGGATAACCACGGTTTTGTAGTTGAGAGTAATCCGGCCACTAAACTGTTAGGCATTTGGAAACATGTAGCTGATAAAGCAAACATATCAGGTTTGCAAAGAAAAATGAAGAGCCTAACGACGTTGTGAGTCCTCAGAGGGAGTCGGAAGTTGCGAATCTCCGGAGCCATAGTTCCGAGTCGTTGAATGACGGCTTGTCTCGCCTGAATATTTGAAAGTATGGTTCGAGCAGTGGCCTTTTTGAGCAAGAATGTTATCTGATGCTAACAATGCTGTAAAAAGAGAAATGAAAAATGTGTAATCTGGTAGCGTATAGATTATATCATATTTTAATGGGGGAACGCACCTTTAAGGCCTTCCTTGCTGGACACTCTCCCTAGCATCTTTTCCACGCTTCTTTAGACTTCCAAGTTCCTTTACTTGTTAATTTCAATTCTTAACATCTTTACTACGTACTATATCTACTATATACATTCTACTATGCATATGTGGAATAAAGTTGATATACACTCGTTGATATTCATGCTCATGCTAACTGCACTAACGCTCATATTAACTTAACTACCATTGATGTAATAAAGCAATCTGCTAAACATGCTAATTTGTACCGCTGTGCTCAATAATATTTTCAACGTATTGTAACCGAGTTCATGATAGCATGATAGATATCTATCGCCGTAAAAAGCCCTGTGGACGACTAGACACTCGCTTGAGTCCTATAGGGGCTTTCTTCCTTCGCTGACCACTCATCCATGCCGCCTTCAAGTCCCGTCCTGCTGTTAAGCTTTTTGGTGGCAGCATTACTTTCTTATCCTCGAGAACCCGGATAGTCACGTCCCCGCGATGCAAATCCTTGACAGGTTTTTCCACATCGTCGAAGAATTTGTGATATTTAGTGCTTTTTGGCTTTTGCTCCGGCTCTGGGGTGGGTGGCCGATAGACTGATTCGGCATTTAGAATTTCTTCCGGTAATAGAGCAGGGAGAGCCAGGCGCCCAGATTCTCGCACGACAGATCCCTGTAGAGTTGCTGTGCTTTCTGAAACTAAATCGTCGTCTTGTCCTAGAGATGGTTCTGAAGGACGAGTTGCGGATGGGTTTTGCTTTTCTGGCCTGGGTTTTTTCGTGGCTTTTGCTTGTGATTTATTTCTCTCGTCTTGCAATTTACGTTTCTGTTTTCGTAGATTTTCGTCCCTACTGGTATTAGACGTGATTTTTAAATTTGCGAAATAAATGGCTCACCTCTTTCTTGCTTTTTCCTGCTTCTGCGCCTGTACTTTGAGCGATAGCAATTGCGCCGAATTGTCGACCACCTCAGGCGCTTCATCATCATCGCTCGACTCTTCTTCGGGTGGAACGACTTGAGTTTCTGGGATTTCATCGATCTCTTTGGGAACCGGTGTAGGCTCCTCACTATCAAATCGAATGTGATTTTTCACAGGCACATCGTTCGACGCCGTGTTCTGCGGTTCATCGGTTGTCGCTATACCATTGCTCTCGTCATTTGCTTCTTGCGTCTCTGGTACCTCATCGTCCTCTGCAGCTTTCCGTCTCAGCGGCATCTCCACCACAACATTATCTTGCGGAATTTCAGACTCTTCCTCGCCCATTCTCCTCCGTTTATTCGATTGGCTATCAGATCTCGTCGCTCGAGTTTTCCTCTTGCCGGCTGTAGCCCCATCTGCGCCATTCGCTGGAGATGACCCTACCAGGCCCTGTCGTGTAGACACCACCATTTCGGATTGTGCAGGAAGGGATGTGCCGGTATTAATATTATTGTGTGTTGAATCAGGCGTAAAAACCTGGGCGGTGACAGAGCTGTCGTCGGTGGCTGCGACGTCGTTGCTATTGAATAGCCCCTTTGCCTTGTTGAGAATTTGCGAGAACATCAGATGGCAGAAATGATATATTTTGAAACCTTGACACCGCCAATACTCTCGTAGCTGCTTTGGGCTATGGCTGTGAGCATCTGGTCCGTCGGATATTTTTGTCGATTTCTTTTTTGTCGATTGCGACGGTGGGTCTGTATCCGGGATTACGTTTTGCCGAGTCTTATCAATTATCTATAATTCTATCAAATTGATCTCAATGGAGAAAAAATATTGTGATTGAAGGCGAAAGAATATGAGTTTGAAATCGGGACATGTTCATCTTAAGGATGTTTACAAATTTAAGCATCTATGCAGGAGGACTTGTTATAAGATCCATTATTATATTCACATATATATGCACAACATTTGAAGCATAGATAAAAGGCCGCTCATTCAAAATCAACACAATAGACAATATCAATGCAAACCAATTGTAATCCGAGACGCCTCGCTTTCCCAAGTCCCATGATAACTCCCGTAATTGATGTAATCACACCCAAAGCAAGTACTAAGTGGTGATCATCCTCCGCTTCTCCTCAAACTCCTCATCAGCATCCAGAAAATCATCTTCGCCTATATCGCTCGCCTCGTCCCAGAACTTCCGGAACTCATCCTTATTATCGCCACTGACCGCCCACATACTCTCTCTTAACCTTTTATTCCGCTCTCGATCCTCCTCAATCCGCTGCTCAATCTGGCGCTTGTCAACCCTCATACCCCCGTTTACCTTTGTGCTCGCTGGTGTTCCGGATCCATCGGACGGTTCATTGTCGAGGACGTTGGACGGATTCGTTTCTCGCTCTTTGAGTGCAGCGCCAATCTCCAGCACAGAATCACTAGATAGCACTTCCTTATCCTGCAAGCCTTGCAGAACCCGACGAACATGCTTCACATTCGCAGCGCCAGAGCCGTCTGCGGGGGCAACAGTGTCGACGATAGTCAAAATGTCGCGTTGGATCATGCGCACGTAGTTGAGGTGGTTTTCTTTGGTTGCCATATCGCAGAAGTGTTCAATAAAGTACAGGATGTTTGCACGGTTATTCATATTATTCTGCTAAAAAATTAGTGGCGGGGTGTCAAAAGTTCGTGTTTGTGGTGTGGCTCACTCGCTCGAGTTGCTCTAGAATACACGAATGGAGGTCCTCGTCCATGTCTCGGTATTTCAGAGCGTACTGTGCCGCTCGCTGTGACGAGGAGACTGTAGCACTGAGATGTTGCAGTTGCATTGTAAAGCGCATACGCACTTCAAAAGGATCCGCCATTTTGCTGGTAATCTGGGACAAGAATCACCATAGCATGCAGTTATATATTGGGTCAGTATCAGAGAGGCAAAAGACGCGTATCATTGGCCTCGACTTAAAGCGGTGAAGGAAATTCGGCCGGCAGAACGAAGTGGGATGGAGAGGTTCCGCCGGGTAACGTGCCGGTCACATTGATATACATCGTTCAATTTATATCCCAGTATCTCAGACTCAATTGTGTGATCAGAATAATATACTCCAAAATGACGGCCCAACCCTCAACCACAGCCTCCGGGGAGAAAACCCTGGCTATGCTAGGATGTGGTATGTACCCCTGAATTCTAGCTGTAGAAGATACCAACCCTAACATGGTCCAGGAAACCTCGGCCTTGCAATCTTAACTGGCATTCTCTCCTCCCTTTCAGAACCCAGCCAAACGGAAGAAACATCCTTCAAACCCCCTACCAAATTCATCGCCTGTGTCCGATCCGACCGATCTGCAAAACGCATCCAAACAGCTGTTAAGCCATACCCAGGAGGCTCAGTCACAATTCTCCAAAACGAAAACATCAAAGCCGTTGAACAAGCCAACGTGATCATTCTGGGCTGTAAGCCCTACATGGTGAAGGAAGTCCTCGCAGTTCCGGGCATGCGCGAAGCTCTTCGAGGGAAACTCCTTATCTCAGTCCTGGCTGGGGTCGAGGGGCGGCAGATTGAAGAAGCGCTGTATCAGGGCGAATCAGTGCCGGTATCCGAGCGATGCACGGTTGTGCGCGCAATGCCTAATACGGCGGCCATGGTACGTGAGTCCATGACAACGATTGGCGTGTCGGTCCCACCGTTACCGAAAGAGTGGGATGATTTGATTTCGTGGATATTCACGCGGATCGGCAAGATTGTGCGACTTCCGCTGGCGCAGATGGATGTGTGTACGGCGTTGGCGGGCTCGGGGCCTGCCTTTGCGGCGTTGATGTTGGAGGGGTTGGCGGATGGGGCGGTGGCCATGGGGCTTCCGCGTGCTGAGGCGCAGTTTATGGCTTGTCAGGTGCTCAAGGGCACGGTTAGTATGGTTGAGAATGGAGAGCATCCGGCGATTGTCAAGGAGAAGATTTCGTCGCCTGGGGGTTGTACGATTGGGGGCTTGCTTGTGCTTGAGGATGCTGCGGTCAGGGGAACGATTGCGCGTAGTGTTCGGGAAGCAACTTGTGTTGCGAGTGAGCTAGGAAAAGGGACGCAGAGAGTTAATGGCACCCGGCGGTGATCTCAACAGAATTAATCGTTTAGATAGATTGCCAGTGACTTACTTCAAGAGGTGTGTGGGGCTTGGGCTGAAAAGGACATGATAATGAGCGTAATGTCACAGTTTACGAATACAAACTGCATTGTATATCACTTATACCGTCTATATTCTCTAAACCCAAAAAAAGTCATTAAGATAAGAGCACCTTCTTCCGATATACACACTAAAGAGACTCCAAAGATTGTCGGCCCTCTACAAGATCCATGTCTTCATCACTGGGATTGGGACTAAGCAAGCCTATCTCATCCGAGTTGGTAGCTTCTCTGAGAGGCCCGTCTCCAAGGCCCTTTTCTCTGCGGCTCTCCACGCCATTCAAGACAAACCAGACATCCTTCTTGGTGAGAAGGCCCTTGAGATTTCCTTTATGCACAAACAGTACATATCGTAGACCGAGCTTTTGGAACATGCCTAATACAATAGAAAAGCTGATACGGCTGTTGAGGGTAATCGGCGTTTGGTCCATCCAGGGCCGTAGGTCAAAAGTTTCATGTGGATCGGCAAAAGGCTGATGTACAAAGAAAGCTTGGGTTTCGGGGGGGAGGTTGCGGGTTGCAGAAGAGGATTCCAATGCATAAGATAGTTCGTTTCGCGAAATGTATCCCAGTAGAATTGGGTTCGAGGTATCCAGAACCACCGGGAATCCACGGTATCTGGTATGAATGAGAAGGCTTTTTAGCGTTTCAATGGTGTGTCCGACAGCAGGAATAACGGTGAGATCGTCAACATTTGTCATGATTTTGGACGCTGGAACATCCGGCGGCGGTTTGTCGTCTTTATGGTCTAGGAAAGGATACTCGTTGAGATGGATCCACGATTCGTAAATACCACGTTTTCCAAAAATATCACCGCACCATTTGGAAAGCATCACGGCAATCATTATTGGAATCACATATGTCAGTGCGCCAGTCAATTCAAACATAATGACCACGATCGATATGGTCATTCTCGTCGCTCCCCCCAGGGCGGATGCCGCGCCTATGATTGCATAAGTGGCCGGGGTGATGCAGGGAATATCAGGGTCACAGCTCTCGAATAGAAAAAAACCCGGGTAAGCAGACTGCCACATTTCAACTCCAATGCCAAGAGCACGACCAAAAAGAGCCCCAATTGCGAGGGATGGCAGGATAATTCCAGCAGGAATCTCCAGGCCAAAACTGAGAGATGCCAAGAAGAAGCCCATTACGGCTGCCATCAAAAGAAGAGCAATGACACCAAAAGATGCAGCCCCAGTTTTACACAGATCTAGTTGATCGTCCGTGGTAGTTGCGCATTCAGCAAATAGCTGATACACAAGCTCAGATGACTGAGCTCTCATGAACTTGTTGGGGAAGTTTATCATAGCCGTAAGAATTGCAATGAAGGCAACCTCGAGTATTGGAAAATTCCACCCCCTGGACTTGCGCCACCTGGCTATTCTCATATTTAGTTTTATGAATAAACCGCCGTAGACACCACCTAATATGCCCAAAATCATGAAGAACATGATTTCAAATCGATGCCACTCTCTGGTGTATGTCACCTGGTATAGCACGATTTTTCCGGTGTGGAAAGGATCTAATGCCTGGAGCGTTACGGCTGCTATAGTGGCACATACAAAACTCTGCCACATCGTTCTATCTGGGAAATAATACGAGAGTTGCTGGAAAGAATGAGACAAAGCCAGGGTTTGATATAATGGAGCAGCATACCTCTAAGCAAAACAAAACACCTCCAATAGGTGCACCGAAGGCGACGGAAATACCCGCCGCAGCGGCAGCCGACAGAACCTCTCTTTTTCTCGCTGCTCAAGTTAGCTTTCATACTACGGAAATATTGTCACCGTCTCACCTTCATTTTGATTCAGACTGTCAAATGGCTTCATGATAATGTTGGCGCAACAACATGCGACGTGCACCAAAGGACCTTCCTTACCCAGCCACATGCCGGATGAAACAGCCAAACACTATCGTATGTTAGAAAAACAAGTTGTGTTCTACGATTCCAAGCAAACTTACAAGTCCTATGGACTTAATGGCCAGTGTCCAGCCGCCCATGAACCGTTTCATGACAAAGCCGCCAAGCACTGTTTTGATTTCAGGTATTCCGCTATGTTTGGCGTACGGCGCAAAACTCCGAACTAATATGCATGCGCATGATGCGAACAAGACCTGTTTGGCCGTTAGAAAAGTTGCGCTAAGCGATAGCTGCCAGGGGTCACCCACAGAAAACATCACAAAGAAAAAGTATTCCATGACATAGCCTCCACCCCTGGAGGAAATACCTAGGGCAGTTCTCCACGGCACCCAGCCAATACATTGTGAAAAATCTAAATTCTTATAAGTCCGAGGCGCCGAAACTAGAAATTCGCCGCGTACCTTCATGGCCCCAACAGCAAAAGTTTCGATTAAGATAGAATTGATTAGCCCCCTGGTCGCTCTTGCAGTATCCAAGCTTCAAATCGCCGAGCCAATCACTTGCAATATCGATACAAGCTGCAATAAGACCGACAGCGACGCCTGTTATTACCAGCACAGCCCAAACATGACTTCCGTCCAAAATTTGTCGCAGGTGCCCTAACAGGCCTTGGTCTGTTGAATATAATAGCCTCTTCCGTTGCCGTTCTTTCATATACTCGAAAACCCAATCAATCGCGGTGAGATCGTCGTAGGCTACTCTCCGGCCGGGCCCCTCTACATACCAGTCGAGAGGACCGTCTTCCTTAAAGCCGTTGATATCTGCATGAGTACTCGTGGACCTCTGATGGGTTGCGGTATCCGTCCACTCTCTCAAAGAATGTGCTGTATTCGGTTGTTGACTCGTTGATCTCTGCGGGGTGCTGCTGTTCCTCCCGGAGAATATATTGGATAAGCTGAAACGAGCAGGTTGCTTTTGTTTGCGTTTGAACGTTATACTTGAACTCGTTAGCATCATCTCAACTCGCCAATGGTTTTCAACAAATGACTAAATGTATGGCTAAACGTACGGTTCTGTACTGCGCTGGTCGAACGGATCCTCAGCAAATACAGCCTCATCGTGCTGGGGCTGTGAAGTTATGTCGTCGTCCTCGGAGTCGTTTGGGGTGTAAATATCCCGGGAAGTCGCAGGCTGAGGTCCCCCATTACTAGAACCGGGGGTGATCGGTGACATGACGCGTTTCCTGGACGCATCGGCGTAAACTGGGCAGATCGCAGCTGCTCAGCGCTAGCAGGACATCAACAGCTCAACATGTCTCGAGGAATCGGGATAGACATATGATATACTGGATGGCGATCGTAACAGCCGCCAGCGACACCTGACAGGCCCCGGCAAAGGCGGTGACCAATGCGGGCCCCACGGTTATCGCGGCAGAAAAAGAAATCGGCCAAAAAAGTTTCCCTTGGCTCTTGCCCGCAAAGTCAATTGACTGCCATTTTCCCTTTCAATCACGCCGAGGGCTTCTTTGCCGGGATAGGTACTATCATGGATGCCAGACCTATCTACGAGCAGAAGCTCTCAGAGTCGGAAGCTCTGCGCCAGCTTCCCAGCGAACTCGCCGAGCGAATTCGCAATGCATCTGGAGCTCAGTATCTTGATGCGATTGCACTGGCGGCACTACACCCGGGGAGCATCGAGTGGATTTTTGCATCCTATGAGCCTTTAATCGTGGATCTGGCTTCGAGATGGTTGGATCTGGACTTTCAGATCTATTATGCGCGCATTATTTCCACATTTTCCAGAATCCTGCCCTTTGCGCCTTACCTTCGATCGTTCGCGACGAATTATGTTCTCGCACAACCCGGGCCTCTGGCAAGCCACCGAGAGTTAAAGTTGCTCGAAATAGACGACAATTCCTTACAAAACCTTCTCCTTTCCATGCATAGACTGCTATCCTTCGATTTAGAGTCTTTTTCTAGCGTCCTTTCGCCGATCCAACTTCAGTCACTTTTCCAACATCCCGATAAATGCGTGCGGTACCTAGCCATCCGATGTTTTTGCACCTATATGCATGCTGCAGATGCCGCGACACAAAACATGCTAGATTATCATGTTGGTTCGGAGCCTGTCTACGGCCCATGGGAAGGCATCACAATCGACTATAGAGTTCTTGGTCTGTGGGAAGAGCGGCGCTGGCAATACCTCAACTCCTGTCTACGCGAGGAGCGAAAGACATTATTGAATGGAGGGATGGATTTTCTAGAGATGGTTAAAACCCATGTAACGTCTCGTGTTGCCAATATTGGAGGAGTTCTCGTTCCCAGGGTGCGGTGGGACAAGCCTGTTGCTGAATCCAGCCTCGTCCATACTGCGACAGTTCAGGTCAATCTAAGGAACATAGGATCGTCGCTTCTTGATAATAGACCCCTCCTTCTCATCGGCTTACCTAATTCGGGAAAAACTTGTTTGGTTAATGATATCTCGAGGACGATGGGCCAGGGAGCTTCTATGGTGACGCTTCATCTCAACGAACAGACGGATGCGAAAAGCTTGCTGGGGATGTATGCCACATCGTCAATGACCGGAGCCTTTGCTTGGCAACCTGGTGTATTGACCAAGGCTGCAAAGGAAGGCCGTTGGGTTCTCATCGAAGACCTTGATCGAGCCCCGTCAGAAGTTATAGGGCTTATACTACCGATTATAGAAAGAGGAGAGCTTATCATACCAAGTCGAAAAGAAAGAATTAAGTGTGCGGATGGGTTTAGAATTATTGCTACGATGAAGTCTTCTCTGAATAACAAAGGGGAAGAGGTTGCCCCCAGCCACGGTCTCCTAGGTATCAGGCTATGGAGAAAGATAAATATCCAATCTTTGCCCCTGGAAGAAATTCGCGAAGTTATTGCTAATAAGTTCCCGTTGCTTTCACCAAGAGTCGGGACCCTCATGGATATCTATGACAGACTTTGTTCAGCCTTTCACAGCAATCTGGCGGTGAGGAGTTCCCAAGGGAGGACACCAGGGCTTCGAGATTTGATTAAGTTGTGTGATCGATTGCATCGTCGACTTGGCCGTTTGGGTGCAAAGACTGGAAATGAAGAGACCCCAGAGAGCTTTCAAGACGAGATGTTTCTTGATGCGGTAGACGTTTTCATTCGGTTCCTGCCGGATCGAGATCTCGGACACAAATTATCACATCATATTGCTGAAATACTCCAGCTATCACCTCAAAGAGCCCATTTTTGCCTTCAAGAGCGCACCCCTCCGTTCGCACAGCGTGACACCAACTTTTCGGTGGGTAGAGAAATCTGTACTAGGATGAAAGTGACAAAGACTTCCAAGTCCAAATATATGCAAGCATCGTCTCGCTTTGCGCCGACACGCGCGGCTTTAAAAACTATGGAACAGATTGCAGGCGCTATTCAGCTAGCGGAGCCAGTTTTGCTTGTTGGAGAGACTGGGATCGGTAAAACGGCAGTCATCCAGCAGCTGGCAAACTTGATGTGTCAGAAACTCACAGTAGTCAACCTCTCACAGCAGAGTGAAAGCACCGATTTGTTGGGAGGCTTTAGGCCTGTCAATCTTCGTTCAGTGGCCGTTCCCCTTCTAGACGAATTCAACGAATTATTTGAGCAGACTTTCTCAGCAAGGAAAAACCAAAAATTCCTTGCATCAGTGACAAAAAGCTTGACTGCAAGCAATTGGCCACGTCTTGTGAATCTTTGGCACGAATCTGTTCGAATGGCGGAAAATGTTTTTCGTTCCCCCGCAGATTCTAAACAGACTGAGCAGGCCAATGAAGAGCAACCATCAAAGAAAAGGAAACTCGATTCTCCTAAATACATTGCGCTTAAGGAAAAGTGGAATCTCTTTAACGCCCAATTGAACGACTTTGAAGCCCAGGCGGCCAGAAGTGATTCAAAATTTGCATTCGCTTTCGTTCAGGGTAAGATAGTTCGCGCTTTACGGAATGGCGAGTGGGTTTTACTAGATGAGATCAACCTGGCTACCCCTGACATTCTTGAGAATATTGCTGGGCTATTACACCACGGCGACGAAGGGCTGCCGTCTGTTCTACTTTCGGAAGCCGGGGATGTTGAAAGAGTCTATGGTCATCCCAACTTCCGAATATTTGGTGCTATGAACCCCGCCACAGATGCAGGAAAAAGAGACCTTGCCCCCGGGCTGCGGTCCAGGTTCACTGAGATTTACGTTCATTCACCCGATGTTGACCTTGATGACCTCCTTGGTTTGATACAGACATATCTCGGCGATTTGACTCAAAGTGATTTGCGTTTGGCCTCAGACATCGCTAGTCTCTATCTCGAGACTAAGAAACTGAGTGCTGAAAACAGATTAACTGATGGCGCTGGACAGAAGCCACATTTCAGTATCCGGACACTTGTACGAACATTAGTTTACATTGTCGACCACGTCCATATATACGGCATCCGAAGAGCAGCATACGAAGGCTTCTGCATGAGTTTCCTAACACTCCTCAGCCAAGCTTCAGAAAAATTGGTACTCCCATTCATTGAAAAATACATATTCGGCTCTGCCAAATACGCAAAATCAATCCTTGGTCAGGTGCCCAGACCCCCAAGTGATGGCAACGAATATGTGCAATTCAAACATTACTGGATGAGAAAAGGCCCATTAGCTGCAGAGAAACAGCCTCACTATATCATCACACCTTTCATTGAAAAGAACCTCAAAAATCTACTCCGTGCTAGCTCTACACGTCGATTCCCTATTCTGTTACAAGGGCCTACGTCGTCGGGAAAGACGAGCATGGTTGAGTATCTAGCTAAAGTCTCAGGGAATAAATTCGTGCGTATTAACAACCATGAGCATACGGATTTACAGGAGTACCTTGGATCATATGTATCAACCGACGACGGCTCTCTAAGATATCAAGAAGGCGTTCTTGTGGAAGCATTAAGAAATGGATGTTGGATTGTTCTAGACGAGCTCAATTTAGCCCCATCAGATGTCCTGGAAGCTCTCAACCGACTGTTGGATGATAACAGAGAACTCTTCCTCCCAGAGACCCAGGAAGTTATCCACCCGCACCCGAACTTTATGCTCTTTGCTACTCAAAATCCAGCTGGTCTTTACGGGGGCCGAAAGGTTCTTTCAAGGGCCTTCCGGAATCGATTTTTGGAGTTACATTTCGATGATATTCCTGAAGATGAATTAGAATTCATTCTCAAAGAACGAACACAGATAGCGCCTTCGTTCTGTTCAAGGATAGTGACTGTTTATAAGAAGCTTTCTGTTCTGAGACAATCTACTCGACTTTTCGAACAAAAGAACAGTTTTGCCACGCTCCGTGATCTGTTCAGATGGGCTCTTCGCCAGGCAGATGACCGTGAGACTTTGGCTATCAATGGTTTTATGCTTCTCGCGGAGAGAGTGCGGAATTCACAAGAACGAGCCGCTGTTAAGAAAGTGATAGAAGAAGTCATGAAGGTAAAAATTGACGAGGACGCAATATACAGTTCCTCAGAACTTGAGAGACTGTCCCACGGCCAACAAGCGCTCTGTAAAGGGGTTGTCTGGACGAAAGCCATGAGAAGAGTCTTTGTTCTAGTCTCACAAGCGTTGCAGAATAACGAGCCTGTTCTGCTAGTCGGTGAAACTGGTTGTGGAAAAACCCAAATTTGTCAAGCTGTCTCCGAGATCCACGGCAAAGAACTTCTGATTGTCAATGCGCATGTCAACCTCGAGACTGGAGATCTAATTGGTGCACAACGACCACTGCGAAACCGTTCTGCTGTAGAACAGCAATTACTAGATGATCTACAGGCAGCTCTGCCAATGAAAAGAAATAATGACGGAACGAATCTGGAGAACCTCAAAGTTTTGTTCTCCCAACTCACTACTGAGCAGTTGCAGGCAATAAACCCTGAGACCTTACAGCGTATCAAGACAAATATCACAAGGTCGCAGGCGTTATTCGAGTGGTCTGACGGGAGCCTTGTCACGGCTATGAAGACAGGCCAATATTTTCTTCTTGATGAAGTCTCTCTCGCCGACGACTCTGTCCTCGAAAGACTCAACAGTGTTCTCGAGCCTCACAGATCTCTTCTGCTCGCAGAGAAAGGACCTATTGATTCTTTGGTTGTGGCACAGAATGGATATCAATTCTTATCCACAATGAACCCAGGCGGTGACTATGGAAAAAGAGAACTTTCTGCCGCCCTCAGAAATCGTATGACAGAAATATGGGTTCCACAACTCTCCGATGAAGAGGACATATTACCAATTTTGAGGAGTAAACTTCAATTCGTGGATGAAAACGACGCAAAACCAATGCTGGAATTTGCGAAATGGTTTAAACAAGTCTTCCATGGATCGAATTCTTCGTCACTGTCTATTCGAGATCTTCTCGCTTGGGTCGAGTTCATCAACAAGTGTCCTCCCGCCAACCCTAACTTTGCGATTGTCCAGGGTGCTGCCATGGTTTACATCGACACTCTAGGTGCAAACCCTTCTGCAATGCTGTCTATGTCCTTGGATAGCCTCGTGGAAAATCGAAAGCTATGTCTTCAAAAGCTTACCGAGCTTTTCAACGCCGACGCTGCTGAAATCTACGGTGAAGCGGCTACGGTATCAGTAGACAATGGTTACCTCTCCATAGGCGCTTTCAAGTTACCAATGTCTGCAAATTCATCACCAGATCCGCATTTCGTCATGGACGCCCCTACTACCATTGCCAACTCCGTTCGTATAGCACGTGGTCTACAGTCGTCAAAGCCGATTCTACTCGAGGGCAGTCCTGGTGTTGGAAAGACAACATTGGTAGAATCTCTTGCCCGTGCGTTAGGAAAGCCGTTTACTCGGATCAACTTGTCTGAACAAACGGATCTTACGGATCTTTTCGGCTCCGATGTCCCCGTTGAAGGAGGAGGCATTGGCCAATTTGCCTGGCGAGATGCTCCTTTCTTACAAGCAATGCAACGTGGGCATTGGGTTCTCCTTGACGAGATGAACCTTGCGTCTCAATCGGTACTAGAAGGCTTGAACTCGTGCCTTGACCACCGCCAACAAGTCTATGTGGCCGAATTAGACCAGACATTCAAGAGGCACACTGATTTTGTGCTATTTGCTGCTCAAAACCCACATCATCAAGGAGGTGGTCGGAAAGGTCTTCCGGCATCGTTCGTCAATCGTTTCACGGTCGTCTATGCGGACAGTTTTAGCGATACGGATCTCAAACGCATTTGCTCGAAATTATTCCCCAAAACTCCTGCTGAAGATACAGACAAAATAGTGGATTTCATGTCTCGATTGAATACGGCAATTGTGCGTGACCGGAGGATTGGCAATATCGGAGGTCCATGGGAGCTTAACCTTAGAGACATAACGCGGTGGCTCCAATTAACCAACAATGCCGATATCCAGGTTCCCTGCGGTTACTTCTTGGAGAATATCATTTGTCAAAGATTTCGCACAGAGGAAGATCGTCGTACAATCTATGAATTGTTCAATGAGTCATTCGATGGACCACCCCCAGCGAAGTCCTATTACCACGACATGGCGCTGGATTATTTTCAAGTCGGTCTTGGAATAATGCAAAGGGATAACACCAAGCGGAGCATGATTAATGCCAACATCCAAATTCTTCCATTCGATCTCGAAGTTCTGGAGTCGTTGATATTCTGTGTACAGCAAGCCTGGCCGAGTATTCTAGTTGGTCCTTCAGGTTCTGGTAAAACGGCCACTCTACGCAAATTGGCCGCTATACGAGGTGCCAAATTAGTAGAGCTGGCTTTGAGCCCGGATACAGATACAATGGACTTGATTGGTGGCTTTGAACAGATCGACTACCGCCGTCAAACTCAGGCTCTCGCAAAAGATTTTGCAGCTTTTCTACATGAACAGATCGTCTCTATATTTACCTCTGGAATCGGCACGGAAGAGACACACGCGTTGCTGGATATGTACGAGATGTGCAGGAGGCCTGGAGTTACCATAGACAAGTTATCCGCAGCCATAAAATTGCTGCAACCGCATTTTCACGATGGAAAATTTGACAGCCTTGTCAGCCAGTACAATTATCTGGCGCAGATTTCATTGAATGCAGATAAAGTCGGCTTTGAATGGACTGAAGGCGCTCTCACAGAAGCTATCCAGTATGGATACTGGGTCGTTCTTGACAATGCAAATCTCTGCAATGCTTCAGTTCTAGATCGCCTCAATTCACTGATGGAACCCAAGGGGTACCTAGTTCTCAATGAGCAGCGCACCGAAGACGGTTCGGCTCGAGTAATTAAGCCTCATTCAAACTTCAGACTTTTCCTTACCATGGATCCTCGGAACGGAGAACTGTCCCGGGCAATGCGAAACAGATCTGTAGAGATTTCATTCTTACCACGATCGGAAATTGTCGAAGCCGATAATATCCCGTGTTACACTCTAGAGTCAACTCTCTACCGTTTACGCCATGTATGGGACTCTACTAAGCAGGCTTCTTTGGTTGATGATCGTTCCTTGAGTGTTCGTTTAGACCACGTGAGAGCAGCGGAAATGACAGAGTTTTACAGCTCGCTTCAAAGGCTTTTTTCATTAATGTCTTCTGACAGCAAGTCCGATGGGTTTCACGCAGTTTTCGAACGATATGTCGCGGTGGTCAGAGAGAATCCGCAGTGGAGACTACTAGCCGACTCAGCTTTACAGTATGGTGTATCTGGTCTGGAACTCGTCCATCCGCTTGTCAACGAGCCAAATTTAGTCCGGCTTCCAGAATCTCTCGACCGAATGGTTATCATTTCTCTATTGCAAGACATCAAGAAGGATTTGCATCATTTACAGCGATGTTTGATTACTGCGAACGAGAACTCTCGGCAGCTGAAACCGTCACAGATGACAAGACTGGAGCGTTCTTTCGCTTCGAGCAGAATTTCAAGCTTAATAAAAGACTCGACGCAGCCCGTGAGCTCCTTTTTGATAGACTGTGTCCGAGCTCTTCATGAAGTTATCCAAAATCTAGATGAAAACAGCGCAAATTCACCATCTATATTCGCATTGAGAGAAATTTCAAGGTTCTGCTGGGAAATATATTCAGCTACTCAAGCTAAGGAGCTGGATGAGGGGGAGTTTCAAATCTACTTGCAAACGGGACAGAAGGCCTTGAAATCTGCTTCGGACCAAGGACCAATTCTGTCTACTTTGTCTTCAGTCATGTCTCCGTCCTTTTCAAGGTTTCACTCAGCATGGATGCTTACTACAGGTTTGAGCATGCGCCGAATCTGGGATATTTGGAGGCCTATTACTTGCTCCAATCCGGAACAATTGAGTTTACTTCTCGAAGTAGAGGCGGCAACCACAGAATTCTCAAAGGTTGCTCTAAAAACAAGTCTAAGTTTGGCACAGCTAGGAATGATGTGGAAATCTCTTGTTGACGCTCAAAATGCAATGCTACTCCAAAACGTCGATGGCAAAGCCCTCGTTCAAGGCTTGAGGGAAAAAGTACAAAATCTAAGTTCAGTTACTGAATTATACGCCTCATCGCAACTCCCTCATTTCTCCAATATTTTCGAGACTATTTGCGAGTACCATGATTTACCGACAATATGGAGTAAGACTCCAATCAGCACTCATACTCATTTGAATGAGACTTTACCACTACTCGCCGGGCGGTCCGCACACAGTATAGTGTCATCGAATAACAAGTCGTCAATCCCCGATATTTTGCACAAATTAGCACTCTATAATAGCTGTGAAGGAAAGTCAGGGGCAGTTTCCCCCTGGGGCAAGACCTTTTCCATTGACTTGCTACGGCGCTTGGACCATGTCAATGAAGTTTGCTTGGGGCGACTCGAGTTTCTGCAATATGAACAGGGTGCTTTGATAGAGGCTTTGACATTGAGTTCTAACGAGATAGCTTTGGCTCAGGAGAAAGTTCTATCAATGGCATTTACACGGGTACTCTCAGAGTTGCTATGGCTTCATCAAGATTTCCTAGAAGACGAAAGCCTTGGGGTAATTGGTAATATTCTGGTTTCGATTGAGAAAACAGGTAATTATGAAGGACCAGTGCCATTGCTTAAGCCAACAATCGATCTTCCAACCCACCACTACTTCCGACAATTTATTGAAGAGGCTTCGAAGTGTATACAGGTGTTGGCCAGCATTGGAAAAGATCCACAAAGCGATCTGTACAATTTGGGATTTGTCTCCATTCAAATAGCAGTGATGTGTCTTCGACTGTTCGTCCCTGACAAACCATATGACCCATCGCTTGGTCTGGTTATTGAAAGACGACGGTACTCAGAGAAGCTCTTGCAGCTTGAGAACCAAGCCCAAGCATTGACGGACTTTGAACTCAAGTTTTCTGGCAGGGCTAGTAATTTGCGACGTCGCTTGATAGAGAAAGAATTACAAAGCCTTGGATCGGCACCACCAGCTTCCCCTGTCACCCGTCCCGCTAAATCGCAATTACTGGAGTTGCAAGGCGAGTTCTCAAATTTGTTCAACTCTGTCTTGAGCAGAGGTCCGGAGAAATATGGTTCCACGGAATTTCAACAATACGGACGTCTATTGACAGATAATATCCGTCAGATTTGTAACCGGCTTCATACCAACTTCAGGGCTTATGATGACATAACAATACTAGTTACCCGATTTCTGCAGCTCTTGGATTTAGGGACATCTCTTTGTTCGGCTGGTTCTACCAAAGACAAGTCGATAGACACGCCAACCCGACTAATCATTGAGATGACGCCGTTCCTTAGTAACAATGGAGATTTATTGCAGGAAATACCAAGAAAACGACAAGCTACCACCAATGCCCCTCTAGACGTTCTCCTTCAACAGTTTTCATCTCTGGTTCTACGTCACAGCATCGATTCGTCGACCTTTGCTTCACAGCACTACCTCAATGAGCTCCAGGGAATTTTCCAGTCTGTCCACCAGCTTTGGAAGACACAACTCACTCAAGAGCAGAAGGAAACTGCTGAAAAGAATCAATTGTACCGATATAAAGGTTCATTTGAGGAGAGTGAACAAATTGAAGAATCAGAACTACGCGAGTTATTCCCTACTTATGAAGAGAGCACAGAAGAGCCAACTAAGCAGAGTCGATTGGATCCTCAGACCATTGCTTCAAAATTGACACAGCTCCACGCAGCTATTTTCGAAGGCGGTGACGTGCAAGTAAGGTTAAGACAATTTATCACAGAATCTACTCATATGCTCGGCTCCTTGAAGTCTGAACGGAAACCCCATTCAGACCCCAAAAATCAACTTTCTGGTGTTCTTCTTGTTCTCGCAGATGACATGAACGGCTATGAACAAGTCTCGTCAAGGCATTATAACTTCTACTCCGACGCCAACATTAACGAGGCAAAACGTCTCGTCTCTTTAGTACTCTCTATCCGCACCCGTTTCCTTCAGCTTCAAGCAAGCTGGCCTGAGCATGCAGCTATTCATGATGTTTTAAACTGTTGCCAGGAAATTTTACAGTTTAAGCACAAGGAACCAATCGCCAAATATATTACCAAGTTGGAGAAACTGTATGGATTTGTTCATGAGTGGCAACTAGTTGCTAGCAGGGAATTTTCAGCTGTCACTCTGTACGATGAGATAACTGCTTTGATCATCAGCTGGAGGCGACTGGAACTGTCAACCTGGGCTAGGTTGCTGGATATTGAATACGAGAAATGTGAGCAAGCCGTTAGCTCCTGGTGGTTCGTGGCGTATGAAGTTTTGATTGCCGTCCCACTACAAATCGCCGAGGCCGGAGAAGATCTCCAGACCTATACAAGAGAGACACTCGCAACCCTTGAGGGATTTTTCAAATCCACTACTCTGGGCCAATACAGTCCCCGTCTTCGCCTAGTAGAAATATTCAAGTCGCTGCTGGTGTTATTTGTTCAAAGACACCCGTCCTTGGCCTACATTATTTCTGGTCTGGAGAACTTCCTTTCGCATTATCGGATATTTGAACCCGTGATATCCAAGACCTTGGAAGAAGGAAGGAAGTCCCTCGAAAAGAATGTTAAGGAGCAAATCCAGCTTGCTAGTTGGAAGGACACGAACATCACGGCTTTGCGAGAAAGTGCCCGTCGATCACATTACAAATTGTTCAAGTATGTTCGAAAGTATAGGGAACTATTGTCTGGAATCACAGACCAGCTGCTGCAACAAGGAATGCCTGAAATTCAAGAACAACAGTTCTTTCTGATTCAGCCGGTGTTCAATGTCTTCCCAGCAACTTTAGCTTCTGAAGCTCTTGCTATTTGCCAGACGCAAAATTCATTGTGGACGAAACGCGCACCCCGATTCAGAGAGCCTACAAACACTGCGTCAAATATGTTACGTGTCTACAACAGTTCGCTCTCAGAGCTTGATATCTCCTTACAATTGAGCACCTTTGTGACAGACGTCATTGAGAGCATCAAGGCATTCAAAGCTGAAACCCCTGGAACTTTGACAGAAGAAAACAAGGATGACGTCCAGCATCTCAAAGCTCAGAAACGCCGCTTTTATGCCGAAACTCTTCGAAAGTTGCATTTTATGGGCATCAGAAGAAACGTCAGCACAATCTTCATTGAAGAACAAACCACTACAGCTCAGATCCTATCCAATACTCCTAGTTTCCCACATGGCAATATTCCTGGTGATGAGGTGGCAAGATGTGCAGACTCATACTTTCAAAGACTTCTAGATGTCCTACCACGTGTCAGAGTAGCGTCTCGTGATTACAACGAGGATTTGAACCCTACCGAAGTTACAAGAAGTGCAGGATCTGCCGAAGGATTCCTCGTACTGATTAGGAAACAGCGAGATGCTTTATCTCCTGCAATTGGGCACCTTTCAAATCTAAAGTCAACCTTTGGTAAAATGAAACTTCTTTGGAACCATGGGGCTTCTCGACTTCAACCAGAGAACCCGTCTGGCCGACTGTCAAGAGAAAACGTATTCAAACGCGTCTCGTGGTTAATACCAATTCTCGGTGTCGCCGTGGAGATAGTAGAGATTCATGCGAAAAACTCGGGTACTGACAGCGTCGCCAATTTCCTTCGAGGCTGGAAAGATTCATTCACTTACTTCAAGAGCGACATCGAGCGTCTTCCAACGTTCCCTTCGGGTGTATCATCCGACGTCTTATTTGAAACTGAGCAAAATATTGTCAACTCACTCCAACAACTCAGTGATGGGCTAGCAAGATTGATTGACCAGCGGCCCGACCTAGCTTTTGCTCTGGAGCAGATTGTGTCCTGGGTCAACATCTCTTTTCCTAACCATGATTATGCTGTCGATCATAAGCTAGCTATCGAAGACTTGAACGATTACTATCTGTCTGTGGTAGACAAGGTTCTCGTGGGATTACAAGGGCTGAAAGCTTCATTAACCTCTTTACCACCAAACATTGAGGAGAAGGACTGGCTTTCTCAAACTGATTCTGCCTTGTCAAAGGCTCTCAAAGAGTTGCACCTACTGGACATCTATACATCGCTGAACTCAGTTCTTGACAAAATCCAATATCTCCAACCATCTGGTTCTGGTCTTTCTCTGATTGCTGCCATCATTGCAGGACTTTTGCCAATCACAAACCAGTATCTCAATATATGCGAAGACTTGATCAGTCGCTATCTTTCAATGCATCGGGAAGTTTGCAAAATGGCTTATGTGCTGTCAAGGTCTTTCACGCAGATTGCATCAGAAGGGTTTTGTAGTCCTCATGAAGCGTCTACTGATCAGAGCGGGTCCGGAAAAGTTGAAAGTGGAACTGGCCTAGGCGACGGTGAAGGTGCTGAAGATATCAGTAAGGATGTTCAAGATGACGAAGACCTATCTGACCTTGCACAACAACAAAACCCGGAACAATCTTCAAAAGATGACATACAGCAATCCGAAGATGCCGTGAATATGGACCAAGAGGACCTCGAAGGTGAATTTGATGACAACAAAGAAAAGGGAGATACAGACGAGAGCGATTCAGACGATGACGAGGCGGAAGAGGACGAAATCGATGAGGAGGTTGGCAGCGTTAGTGATCTCGACCCTAATGCCGTCGATGAGAAGATGTGGGATGGAGATCATGATCAGCAACAGAAAGAAACCGAGAATGAAGAAGGGAAGGGCGTTTCTGAGTCTGACGAACAGGCCGCTTCAAAAGAGAAAAAGGAAACCAAAGAACAACAAGACAGTGATGAACAGGGTAGTGGTGAAGAGAATGAAGAGGAGGAAGTACCTGAAAACGAAGGAGAGGAAGTTGGCAAAGAGGAGCTAGATGTGACTGATCCACATGCTAAAGAAGAACAGGCCCTCGACCTTCCGGAAGAAATGCAACTTGATGGTGATGAAAATGAAGGGGTGGACCAAGATATGGATGAGGATGATGGAATGGACGAATTATCTGATTTTGAACCAGATATGAACGAAGACAAAGCCGAGGAAGGTCCCGAAGAACCAATGGAGGATGAAACTACTCCACAGCCAGGTGATGCTGATACGCAGGGAGATGAGAACGAACTTGAAGAAGGGGAAGACAATGAAGAAGCTGATAAAGCTGGTGGAGAACAGACGGCCGAAGAGGAACAGGAACAGGAGGATAATATGCGTTCTCAGGTGGACGATGCTACCGCAGCCGATGATAATGCTACAGAAAGTGAAGCATTCTCTAGTGGAGTTGGATTAGAGAATGAGACCAAAGATGAGAAGGGTGCCTCAGGAAATACACAGCAAGAAGGCGGGTCTGAAGAAGCCGGTGCTGAGGAGCTTCCCAATGGAACAGCAGAGGACGGAGAAAATCGAAAACAAGCCGATAATAGCTCCGGAGGGACTGGCGAAGATGCACAAGATGATCCTCAAGCTCAAGCGTTCAAAAAACTTGGGGATGTGCTCGAACAATGGCATCGTCGTCAGAAAGAGATAATGAATTCCTCCAAAGACAATGAATCCCAAACACTTCCTCCAGACACCGATATGGCAGATGCTGATTTTGAACACCTGGCCGATGACCACGACGTTGCCGATACACAAGCATTGGGCCAAGCCAGTGAAGAACAGGCTAAGGCATTGGACGACCAAAGAGGCGTGGAGACTGAGCCTCCTACTTCTAATGACGACATCTTGCCAGATGTAGCTGACGATGACAAAGACGTCAAAGCAAACGAAGATTCTCTCGCCGAGGCAGCAATGGATCTTGATGCAGTGGACAAGAATGCTGCGCCAGGTGCCAATGCAGCAAAGAACAATACATTTGTTGGCGAACCGTCCAGTGTTCAAGATGGTGAGGCGCCAATTACCGAGGAGCTAGACGAAGTTGATAACCACCTTGCTGCCATCCATCTCTCATCTACCCTTGCCCCAAAAACATCACCTGAGGAGGCTCGTCAATTATGGTCACATTATGAAGCTATCACCAACGATCTTTCTCTCTCTCTCACCGAACAACTTCGCCTTATTCTGGCTCCAACTCTCGCCACAAAACTCCGCGGTGACTTCCGCACCGGCAAACGGCTCAACATTAAAAAGATCATTCCCTATATTGCCTCTCAATATAAGCGCGACAAGATATGGATGCGCCGGTCTATTCCAAGCAAACGAAATTATCAGATAATGCTCGCCGTTGATGATAGCAAATCCATGCTCGAAAGCGGAAGTGGGCAGCTCGCCTTTGAAACCCTTGCGCTTGTAGCCCGCAGTCTGAACATGCTTGAAGCCGGTGATTTGTGCATAGTTGGTTTTGGAGATGAAGAGCATGTCCGCGTGGCCCATGACTTCGGCAGACCTTTCTCCTCTGAAGCAGGCATGCAAGTCTTCCAACAGTTCAGCTACCAACAAACAGGTACAAATGTGCGGAAACTCGTCGCCGACTCAATAGCTCTTTTCCGCGAGGCGAGAACAAAGAGAGCAGGCGGCGGGTCAAATAACTCGACTGATCTCTGGCAATTGGAACTCATCATCTCGGATGGTATTTGTGAAGATCACGACACTATTAGACGCCTGGTCCGACAAGCACAAGAAGAGCGTATCATGATTGTCTTTATAATTCTTGACGCCGCCAAGGGCAGCTCAATTCTGGATTTGACACAGGCAAGTTTCGAGCCTGATGACTCTGCAATTGGCACGGGAGAAATGAAACTCAAGATGAAGAGGTATCTTGAAGGGTTTCCTTTCGCATATTATCTTGTTGTGAGAGACGTGCGTGAGCTACCGGCCATTCTCGCAATGGCTCTGAAACAGTGGTTTGCAGAGGTTGTCGATACGTCTTCATAGATAATTTTTTGTCAGAGAGCAAAAGTGCATTTTACGGTGTTATAAAAATGGGTTATGATCTACGAGACATTTTACAGTTTGTTTAATACTGCATTGCATGTATATATATCATGAATATATTCTCTATACAAGTTTCCTGTCTTCTCAGACACTTTAAAATTTCAGCACACGGGCACTAAATTCCGAGCACCGGGTAGCTGGGTGTACCAAACATGGGCACGCCACCCCATACACACCTACAGACGGGGGTGAAACCCTAGTCATTAACAGAACATGTCATTTCAACCAAACTCGAATAATAATTGTTCATTTCCAGCTTTTTCCTCAATGGCCAAGCTAAAAGCATAAGCCGAAGCTTCAAGTTCGACTCTATTGGGATCGTGAAGGAAAGAGACGCGAGATAGAAGAGGGCGCGAGGTTTCCCCGCATTTGATAGCTCGACGTCTGGACCGATTGACTGTATTAATAACTCGGGATTGCGGCACCGACCATAACTCAAACTCGGACATCCTCTTCAAATGTCCTTTTCCTAAAATTTACCTTAACTCTGCTCAATTTTCTCTCCATCCTATTCCTTCTCAGCCTTGTGTGCACATGCATTTCTCTCACTCCCGTTTGATAACAAGAATGGCATGATTCATCCGTTGTTACTGGCTTAATCTCGAAAACCGGAAGTGCCGGCAACTCACAAGACTCCTTTACCGATGATTGAGAGTGATCATCTCTAGGCCATGCAAAGAACTGGGAGACCAAAACGCCCAAGGGCTCTTCAAGCGTGTGAAGTGTGTCGCGCCAGAAAGAACCGTTGTAGTGAGGATCGGCCATGCACTTATTGTGTTGGTGAGCTGTGCATGACTTTTTGATTTTATGATTGGAGATATATCTAAAACGCACAGAACATGGTTTGGAGTGTACCTATTCGCGAATTCACCGAGAGAAGAGACCAAAACCACAGCAAGAGCTCCCCAATTCGGATTGTATACCCCGGCTGACCTGACTCTAAAAGGCCAATTTCTCAGATTAACCATGTTACAAGCTTCAGCTCTCCACGCTTTACTCAAGGACCCATATCAAGCAGCATCGACTTCTGGTCGAACAATGAGAGTCAGACACTGTCTCTCCATGAGCGCCCTGTACAGTATTTGCGCTCCACTGATGCTGGCCAACTTCAGCGCCAAGGCGTGACACCTGCTTCATCGGCCATGGAGGAGAACAGCCGCTCCTCGTCTGTAAACCCGCCTCGAAATACTGCATCTTACGTGATGGATACCAATCTCCACACGAACAACCTCGAGTTCTATGGGTCAACCTCATCAGTCGCATTTTTCCGCCACGTGGAAACGTTGTCTAATAGCCAGACTACGGACTCTTCAGCAGGACCACCGGGGCTATCGTCGGCTGCGCTTCTACACAATACTGGATACCAACCTGATATTCTACACAGCTTACCTGTAGATTCCCGGGAGGCTGAAATTAATGCAGATCGATTTCACTTTCGCGTTGCAAGACGGTTCCTCGACGCTTACTTCTCCAACATCCACCATATCCAGCCTTTGCTCGACGAAGAAGTGTTTCTGACTCGCTGTGAGGATCTGTGGTTTAACAGACCAGGCAAACAACCTTTATCCTTTGTTGCTCTTTATTATGCCACCTTGAGTTTGGGAAGCCTTGTTATGACGTTTGAAAACCCCGAAATATATGGAGCAGATCGATTCGCATGGAGTCGCAAACTATTCAATAATGCACTTGCTATCGTGACGCGACTTGGCACAACGACAGATGTGGAAATGGTCCAGTGTTTCTACATGATGGTGAGTTTTTATCACAGCTAAGAAACCGCTCTGACTCTTCAGACCAACGATACTGACTGTCTCAAGAGCAAAGTATGTCAGCACGAGCTCAACCCTCACGGTATGCCAAATTTGACGTGATTTCTTACTTTTTCCTAGCTCACACCCCTCTTTAGTGGCATACCTATACTCTGGTCAAGCGGCGAGAACCTCGTTGGCAATCGGAATCAATCGCAGTTCCATTAATTCGGATGCAGCAGACCCGCGGGCGTCGACTACGGCATCAAAAACGTGGTGGTAAGATATCCAGGGTCTATACAATCTAATGGTGTCTTTACTAATTTGAGTAGGGCTGTCTACTGCCTTGACATGTACGGTGAGCTTTATTTTTTCAAAAAGAATGGCACTAAAAAATGCGTAGACAAACTAGCTTTGCTTTAGGAAGACCTGATAGCCTCGGTCCCGATCAATACCACACACAATATGTCCCCACAGAAGCCCCAGGAAACGCAAGTACAACCCCTCAGATCCTCCATATTGTTCCGTGTATGGTTGGCCTGTCGCGAATTATGCGGAAAGTGGCGCTCGATTTATACACTCAATCGTGCGAAATGGAACAAAAACTTCACCTAGCAAAAACACTCGACGCTGAGTTAGAGAATTGGCTTGAACAAGTTCCCTCCCACCTTCGGTCTCAGCAGCAGAGTGACTCAGATATTTCCTTGAAACCTCGGCGGCTCGACAGCTATACAAAGAAGCAGTCCGTCGTTCTTCAACTTCGTAAGCATTTCGAGTAACTTCAATTTTAATTACATTCTATTCTGATCATATTATAGGCTATCTCAACCTTCGAATGGTAATCCACGGTGTGTTTATGACTGATGCGAAAATAACTATATCAGACGAAGCCGAATGCCTTCGGAAATGCCAATGTCTCTGTATCCAATCTGCAGAAGACGCAATCGATTTGATATACTCAACATTTCGCGTAGACGATTACTTTCAGACCTGGTATGTGTTTTCTGCTATTGGTCACTTTGGTTACGAAAACCAACTTATTCACATCATTTATCTAACCTTTACGATTCTAATTTCAGGTGGTACAATGCAACGTATACCTTGTTTGCCGTGAGCATATTGCTTGCTGTTGTCTTTCGGCAGCTCACCAGAACCCGGCAGGAGCTGGAGAGTATTTATGCCCATATTGACCGTGCGATTGCGGTGCTCCATGCGATGGATGACTGCGTGGTCGCTAGAAATGCGGCATCCATCATCAAGCGGACACTCGCTCGAGCCAAGCAAATGTCTCAGCCAGCCCTTGCACCATCATCATCTCAGGATGGTGACCTCAATGGCGTGCTACATCCCCCCGTTAATTTAGAAAACCAAACAGAATCTGATAATCGTGACACGCTGTTGCAGTCTCAAGAGATGAATGGTGACGAGCTGGGTGAAGCCGTGGGTGATCTTGATTGGATTAGCACCTATCCTTTTAATGATAGCCAGCAAGCTTCCTTCTGGACTGAATGGGCTCATGAGATTAATACTCTTGGTACATAGTATATGTATATTCAATATTGTATTTCAATACAATTCTCGACTACATAAAAACATAATTAGATCCACTTAGTAGACAGTTCTTTGCTCTTCTGAATTCATCGCCCTATTCGGTGTCGTGCTATAGTGTAATTCTGCTTAGTATTTTACACCGTGGAATTTCTAGAGGCCAAGGATAGTACGATCGAGGAAGGATGATTAGGTCCGGTATGCACGACATGTTTGCCACGATTTAAATTTCCCGGGACACGATCCAATGTAGGGAACTCCGGCAGAGTCACCTCATGACCTTTGATCTCCAACCTAATAGACTCCCCACGTTCAAAAATAATTCCAGAGGGCCACAGTGGAATATCGAGGCAAACAATCTGGCCCCGCGGAATCTTGTCCTCCCTGTTGTGAGGATGCCACGCTACAGCAGGAGCAAGCATCGCAGTCTGCTCCTTACTCAGAGTAGGGTCAGTGCTTAATTCCCGATGAGAAGCTCTAAGCCTGCCATTAGGGCCTAAGTATTTGAATATGTTCAGATTTGGGACATCTTCGACCGTTGTTCCCTCCGGGAGCGCTTCAAGCGGGATGTTCATCTGCATCAACGGCTGGCCGGATGCATCGAGTTTTCGACAAATAACGTACACGTCCAAGTCATCTGTTTCAGCACAGGACATGTATAATTTGACTTGGGAATAGCCAATCAGCTCGGTATAGCTACTAAATATGTGGGTGAAGTGCGCGCCGTCGTCATCCCAGGAGTCGGATACGTAGCTAATTGAAGAAGATTTCCCAGGAGCACCGCCTTCATTCATCGTCCCAGTTTGGCCATCCAAGAAGAATGTGCGGTGTTTCACGTAGCTCGGCGGGTATATAGGCTCAGGCCTGTTCACAATACACTCGCGGTTAAATCCGAGTAAGCTATGTCGCACTTTAGGCGTCGATTCCCAATCATTAGGCTTTCCGTAAAGATATCGATCGAAGAATTTTTGCAGGTCATCGTTTGACCATTTTTGATATAAATCGTACCATTCCTGAGTATGGTGGATCCGTAGCCTATATCTTTTAAGTCAGTAGTGATTTTCATGAACTTTGGATTCAACGGACCACTTGTCTTTTGATGACGAGAACAGAAACCCTCTGATCGTGCCCTCGGTGTGTAGCATAGTCGAGAAGCTCGACAAAGCATAAATCGGGACGTCGATCTGAGCGAACTTGGCACTTTTGTCGTCCCAGAACTGATTCCAAAGTGGATATTGACGGATCATGGCACCTGAGTCTTCCTGTCGGTTCTTTCCTATATACGTTGAGCAGACTTAGCAATTTGTATAAGCTGTCAGGATTTGAATATGTCGCACCACAGTAACCACTGCCGCGATAGTCAACAAAGGCATCGTTCGGAATGCCACCTCTGCCAAGTAGTTCACGATAATAGTCTGCAATACCCTCCCAGGGAGCAATGGCTTTCAAATGAGGTGGTCTTTCAGCAGCAATAAACCTGAAAAACGAATTAGCTGTTGTCTGTTTGATTAACCAGAAGATCAGTTGTGCACCCACCACTGTGCCGCAGCAAGGTATGAGTTACCAGCAAAAGCAACAGCTCCATTACACCACGACTGTAAAGCAATGAATTCGACGGCATCATAGCCGTCTCGGCCCTCCTAGATTGTAGAGGGGTGATCAGATTGACAAAATTTAAGGAAGAGGTTAGTGCTAGGGCTGCTCACTTGTGTCCCTAACATGAACATGTCTCCATCCGAATCGAATACGCCCCGAGAATCCACATTGACAATCGCATAACCTCGAGGACACCATTCAGCCGGATCCAAAGCCTCAAACTTTTCGAGATCACTGGTCCAATCTCTGGGTATACCCGCCCGCCAGGGGACCCTATCAAGGCTCTGAAAACCTGGAGAAAACACTCAGCGTGTCACGAGCCAGATATTGTTAAAAAAAACATACCATTGCCTTGCTTTCCATATGGACTCCATGCTAATATGGCAGGGACAGGCTGATTATCTGACACCACTGGCCGAAACACATCCGCCCAGATCGCAGTGCCGTCTCGGAGAGAAATCCGAATATCTCTCTCAAAGATTAAGTCTTCGTCTAATGCGCGTCGTCCTTCGGCTTTCTGCCATCCCTTGGGAAGCACTTCCTTGGACGGACTAAATTGGTGCCAGCGCTTGGTGAAGTCGCGGTTTGCTTCTTTGAAGAGTATCTCGATGCCGCCAATAATAGTAGCCATGCTGCCGCTAGATGAGAAATTTGCCGGGTTTGAATCACCTTCAATATTTGGGTTAATTTGCTATTTGCTCTGCATACTAATATAGAAGGCATTCTATGGGCGACCGGGCAGAGATCTTTCTGGTCTCGATCGAGCGTCGCCTGACCTGAAAACAGCCAACAATATTTCTAAGCAAGGAGCCGCCGGAAATCCCGGCGGCAGCTTGCTCCATACGGATGAGGCTGCCCCAGATTTTCCCCACGGGGTTTTGGACCGAGAAAGGATAACCATCAGGGTTAATAAAAGTCCTTTCTCCTTTCCCTCCGCGATTGCCGTTAAATACTACATTATGAGATATGTATTCCCCACCAGCGCATTACTAGTGAGCCCAGCATTACAAGATTGCAACCTGATCCATGTCAGTAGCCATGTCTGACGTGCAGAGCCATACGGCCCAGCCAGTCCCGGAAATCAATACAAAAAGTCATGGAAAATATAATCTTGAAGAAGTGGAGCATGCTGGCCTGTCCCCTCAAAATGTCAACTTCGACGAAGAGGAGGTAGAACCGGAGTTTCATGCTCGCACTTGGTTTGCGCTGGCAGCTTTTTTCTTGTTGAACTATACCCAGGTTGTGGCTCTACAAGGCCCTTCTGCCGTTGTAAGTGCCAATAGCTTCAGTGAAAAGGCTTTCCCCTTGCGTGGAATACCATTATTGACACCTTGCAGGTTAACTACATTGGAACAGATCTCCACAATACTGAAAGCCAAAGCTGGGTAGTGGTTGTTCTTTCACTTGTACAAGGAACCCTGGGACCCATTATTTCCACAGCGTCAGACACATTTCAAGCGCGTAAGCTGTTGCTTGTTTGCTGCTGTGCCGTATCCTTTGTTGGTGCCTGTATCGCCCCCGGCTCCAGCAGTATCTATCGACTCATCGGTGCCAATATTCTCATCGGCGTTGGCTTTGCATCTGTTCCTTTAGCTTATGCCGTTCCCAGCGAGATTCTACCCCGAAGATGGCGTCCCTGTAAGTTAACATTTTTAACATGTATGTTTGGGATAATAAGCTGACAAATGTCTTTTTTAGTGGCGCAAGCAGGGGTTAACATTGCGGCCCTCCTTGCGACTATTTCGGGCCCATTGATGATCGGTGCTCTGACTAAACGCAACGCTCACACTGGTTGGCGCTTATTTTTTGTAAGTGTCGGACATTCAATAATATATTTCATTATATTATACTTAAAATACTGACCCAATGCAATATAGTGGTTTCAGGCTGCACTTTGGGGAGCCACCACCGTTGCCATCTTCGTTAGCTACCATCCACCTAAGCGACATACAGACGTAGATTATCTGTCTTTCTGGCGCAAGATAGGCAAGATCGACCTGATCGGATGTGGGCTTCTAACTGCTGGATTAGCCCTCTTTACCACAGGTACCAGTCTGGGAGGTGGTCTTTACAGTTGGACGAATGCCCGCACTTTGTCGACTATGATAGTTGGGATCTTTATACTCATTGCTTTTGGAATCTATGAGTGGAAGGGCACGAATACCGGAGTCCTACACCATGATCTATTTCGTGGTGGGCGTAACAAGGGACGAACATTTGCCATCTGTGTTGCATTGCTTTTTATGGAGGCCATCATGATCTTTGGCTTTGGTCTCTTCTACCCGATCCTGTAAGACTCGAAGCATCATTACGAATGATATCATCATACTAATTTGAACAAAGGACACAAGCTATATTCACACCAGATGCATTTCTGGTTGTCGCTCGTTCACAAGCATGCTGGATTCCAGCAGTTTTCTCCACTATTGCCTGGGGATATGCCTCTACTCGCTTTCGCACCATTCGAGAGCCATTGCTCATCGGATTCATTTTGTTCACGAGCGGCTTGGTCGGACTTGCAACAATTCAACCCGGTCAATCGATTAATGCTATCGCCTTTTCCTGTCTCCTTGGTCTCGGGTTTGGAGCACCGCTCATTCTCGTGGTTACCGGTGTTCAACTATCCACGCCGCACAGATTGATCGCTACAGCCACGGCTTGTACCACCTCTTCGCGCGCGGTGGCCGGTACCATGTTCTCCGCGATCTATTCAGCTGCCTTCAACACTCGTTTGAAGAAATATTTGCCCGAATATGTCACAAAAGCTGTATCAGCTGCCGGACTACCTGCGACCTCCATTCCAGAGTTTATAGAAGCCTTGAGCCAAGGCGACACAGTGGCACTAGGCAAAATTGCGGGGGTCACTTCTACAGTCATTGCCCAAGGAACTCGTGCTTTGCAGCAAGCCTATGCCGACTCGCTTCGGGTCGTATTCATTATTGCTGTTCCATTCGGAGTTGTTGCTTGTGTCGCCTGCTGGTTCCTGGGTGATCTGAGAGAGACGATGAACTACCGCGTAGACGCACCAATCGAAGTAAGACACGAAAAACACGAAAATCATACAGGGGCCGCATGACTTTCTTTCAAAAAGATCTAATGTGAATTCCTCTCGAACTGTAACCATCGCTATTTAATCTATAGTTTTAAGTGGGAGGGGGTGGGGGTGTCTATTATTCCAAGCTTAAAGTGTGACATCAATCGATATTTGGTGAAAATGTCATATTAGTCTAATATCCTAGCTCTACCAAGAGTCGATAATGTGAATATGCTTTTCGGTATTATGTTGAATATTCAGACTGTAAATCGACAATGAGTACATGAGTGTATAAATTGATACGAATTGAGCACACTTTCGAAAGCCAGTTAGAGTATGGATTACGTTACTAATTTATCACTTACGCCGTCATCTAGAGTTCCGCAAACATCACGTACGGCGATATCACGATATTGCACAAATACCCACTTACTCTTCGATTCTGTGCACTACCTGAACATTGAAGACAGCAACAGCGAGAATCTTCACCCGCCTTCCAGATCAATTTATAGTGTGTAGTGTCTGTTGAACCATGTTATCGCCTTTTTTGGTTTCAGTAGGCGGTTGAAAATGATCTCGCAATCCTCCCCAGCTTTCCTCACTATACTTTGGTTGCAACTTGGAACATTTGGTCAACCCCCAGTCCGTGATCCCAACCATATAACAGCTCTCAAACATAAACGCCATGCTTCCCACGCCCGCCTTGACAGGTACGAGCTCCTCATTGGAAGCTTTATCAAAGGCTGTAGAATCTGGACCATGACTGCTCATGCAATTGTGCAGGCTGGCACCGGCTGCCTGGAATCCGCCTCCTCCACCTTCCTTAGCGATATAAGTGCCTTGAATCAGGCCCATAAACTCGCTCATGCAGTTGCGGTGGTAAGAAGGGGGCCGAAAAGTATCTTCAGCCACCAGCCAGCGGGGTGGGAAAATGACAAAGTCGGCAATTGCGGTCCCCGGATGTGCGTTGGACGTTGCGGTGAGGACAGTATTTAGTGATGGGTCCGGATGATCATATGAGATGGTACCAATAGTATTGAAGCGCCCTAGATCGTATTTGTACGGATAATACCTCCCTTCCCAAGCGACAACATCAAACGGCGTGTGTATTTGCCCGGCAGAGAACAGCTGGCCGCGAAATTTATTGTACACCTTCCAACACGACTTAGTATCATGAGTGTATGCCGCGACAGGTATCTGGAAATCTCGAGCATTTGCTAAACAATTCGAGCCTATGGGCCCGAGTTCGGGCAATTGAAAGTGCCCGTTGTAGATCTCCAGTGCGAATCCCCTGATCGGCTGGTTGTCCACGAGATCGACACGGTATCTGATACCACGAGGTAGGACACATATTTCGTTCGGTCGAATGAGTAACCGGCCCATTTCCGTCCATATATCAAGCGCGCCTAGCTGAGGTACAATGAGCATGTCACCATCAGCATTATAAAAGGCAGTTTTCTCAGCCATTGACAGGGTAGCACCGTAGATATAGTAAGCAACACCGTTCTTAAGAGCAGGGTCACCTGCACCGGCGACCATATTCAGGCCTCGAATCCAGTCAACATCCTTGTTGACATCAAAGGGATCCCATCGGAGCTGATCGGGAATGTAATTAAACTTTGCTTCTAGGTTGCTGCCGCTAGGAACCGCCTCAAATGCAGCGTGGGATGCTGATGGAATGATCCGATATACCCATGTCTGCTGATTCTCCCATCGTGGTGCTGTAAATGCCGTTCCTGAGATTTTCTCAGCATAGAGACCGTACGGACATTTTTGGGGTGAGTTCTGTCCGATTGGCAGGGCTCCTGGGATAGCCTCCGTTCTGATCCAGGAGGATTAGCCTCTTTATATCAATAATACGCAGTTGAAAAATCACATACTCTAAGTTGGCAAGGAAACCCGTCTGGTACAAATATCTCTCCGGTATATCAAAGGTTGTGAGGGGCATCTTAACTGAGGATTAATACTCTTAAACAAAGATGCTCCAGATGTCCTATGCTGAGTTAGAGAATTATCAGAAGATAAGACTCTTTGTTTTTTTTATTTTACTTAATCTACTGCAATAGCCGATACTTATCACCTGGACTGATAATTGTGTCCAGTTTAGTTACCACTAGATACCTTACGGAGAGATACATGCATTGACTTATTCAATTTCCCCGCCGAAACTGTCCCGCCGGAACGAATTTGTGAGAGTTGCGGCTTGAAAATCCGCCGGGAATTCCGTCGTTATACTCTTGAAACGACCAATAGCGTTTTTATATTCCGAAGAGTCATGGCAGACGGTAAGTACATGAAATATTCTGGTCAACAGTGTGATTTCCTGGGTGTGCCCTCTTAAAAATCCATATGTACTGATATTGACCTTTCAAAGAGAACATTCAGCAAGATCATGGAGTCTCATAGCAGCTGGGTGGATATACCCAGGGAGTCGCATTTCTCCCTGGCCAATATACCATTTGGAATCATCACAACTTCATATTCAGTCGAGAAGCATGCAGCAGTCGCTATTGGAGATCATGTTCTAGATCTACATGAGTTTGCGTCCCGCAGCGGTTTCGTGGAACTTCAGGACTTTACTTCTGCTCAAATCGCAACATTCTCACAGCCTACATTGAATGATTTTGCCGCACTCGGCCAAGAAGTTCATTCCAAGGTGCGTAAGTATTTGCGAGATGTCTTTTTGAAGGAAAGCCCGTTCCCCGATATCCTGAGGGACAACATAGAAGCCCAGCGCGCCAGTCTCTTTCAAAGAGATCAAATCACTATGCACCTTCCAATGAAAATCGGAGGGTACACAGATTTCTTCGCAGGCAAAAATCATGCGTACAACTGTGGCTGCATATTTAGGGACCCTGCAAAGGCCTTGCAACCCAACTATCTCCATTTGCCTGTCGCTTATAACTCACGAGCTTCATCGGTCGTAGTGTCAGGCACGGATATACGCCGACCTCTAGGGCAGACTTTGGATACTGCATCAGCGTCCGAGTCAATATTTGGCCCTTGCCGCCGGCTTGACATGGAGCTTGAGTTAGGCGCGTTTCTCTGTAAGGGCAACAAGCTCGGCGAACCCATCAATGTCGACGAGGCTGAACAATATATTTTTGGGTTCATCCTGCTGAACGACTGGTCAGCTCGGGACATACAAGCTTGGGAGGCGGTTCCCTTAGGACCTTTCAATGCCAAAACTTTTGCAACGACCATCAGCCCTTGGGTTGTGCTAAAAGACGCTTTGGAACCATTCCATGCTCCTGGAATATTAAATGAGACTAAACTGCATAAATACCTGCAGGAATCACGGAAGGACAACGTCTATGAAATCAACCTGGAAGTAGAGTTGAGATGTAAGTTGCAAAACGGCCTGCTTTTCTCTAGGATTCTATGCTCACAAGAGTTTATTCAAGCAATCGACGGTGATACGGCAACTCTGTCCCGCACGAATGCCCACAATCTCGTGTATTCCTTCGCACAGATGATCGCTCACCACACAATAGGTGGTTGTCCTCTCGAAGTAGGTGATTTGATAGGGTCGGGAACAATTAGTGGCACTGAGCCTGGAACGCTAGGCTCATTGCTCGAGGCTTCTAATGGAGGAAAGAGGGCCCATCATCTATCTCCTACCATTAATCGTACGTTCTTGGAAGATGGAGATCGTGTTACTATTCGAGGGTGGTGTGGTAGTGAAAAGTTGGAACTGGTTGGATTTGGGGAGTGTTCAGGAACAATCCTTTCAGCATCCAAACCGGCGTGGTTGGATACCTGAGGCATAGAAATTTAAGCGAGGGATGTTAGTTTTATCGTTGTAAAGGAACCCTGAGGCCTGGATCATCATCCAAAAGAATTAACACAGAATTAAAGAGAATTCCAATTGTACCTACCTCGCCGCTCAAAGTAGATGAACCAAGTTATGATACCGCCAGAGCTAATGAACTGTTTGAATAGGCCTGATTGCTCAGGCAAACTATTGTGCCGAGTTGCAATGGCCATATGTAGCCAAGCCTTATTAGAAGAATGGAACCTGCCTACTTCGACAGAGCACCACCTAAACCGATATGATCTAGCTAAGTCGGCTTCTACAGAAAGTGGGGTGTATAAACCAAATGGAACCAATATTATACTAGTTCTCATGGCAGCATGGGAGGTGGTTAAATATTCAGCCCAAAACATATTACTTAAGATAAGGATGGAAAAAAGCGGAAAAAATCTGCATATTTATAATGGTAATGTGTGTTATGATTTGTAAATGATATAGTTCATACTTTATATATCATATATTTTTCGAATTTCTCGAAGTAAAAAATGCGGGACGTTGTTTCACATCTAACAATAACGTCGTTAAGACCATTAAATCCGCGGTACCGATGGTGGTGCTGGTAACGCGTAGCTGAAGTCGTTACTTACCAAGACCTCTTTTGGATCATTTAACTAGTTATCTTTCGATATGTTTTGTTGCAGCTTCACTTTGCTCCAACCACTTCTCAAGGCGAACCCTGTCGCGGACACGAAAGCCGATTTTGAAGGCTTTCGGCTCAATGGACAATCCCGATGGGTTGGCGTTGCACTCGAGAGGACCTGCCAGGATTGGCCGTTGTGCTGGATCCTTGGCAGGTAACACTTCAAATGCAATAAGTATGCGTACGAACGTGACATACATTTCCCTGTACGCCAGATGCGAGCCGGTACACATGCGAGATCCTGCTCCAAAGGCAAAGTGTTGCGTGCCCGATCCTTCTGGGATATCCAGAAACCGCTCTGGGGTGAATTCGTGGGGTGACTTGAAATGGTCAGCATCGAAGTCTGCCGCCCAGGCGTTCTTGATGGAACCGCTGCTAGTCAACACATCGAAAGTCAGGTAGTATTCTGTCACCACTCACCATTAGGAAGGTAGTTCCAGCAGGAATGATCGCGCCTTGCCACACAACGTTTTTGATGCTTACGCGGGGTAGGGACATTGGAATGACGGTCCAGAAGCGAAGTACCTCTTTGCAAAAGGCTTTCACATATTCGCATTTCTCGTCTTCGAGGCACCTTTCCCAAGCATTTTCGTCGGAATATGTCTTGTGAATGTCTTCCAGCAGTTTTGTTTGAAGCGAGGCACCCTGGGGTCCTGAAAGAATTGCAATGCCGAGTAAAATAGTCGCAGGTGTTGTGTCAAGACCCCCTGCTATCATTGTCACGCAAATCGATTTTATTTCCTCTGCATGAAATGGTTAATGAATGTTCGGAAATGGCAGACTTTTGTGGTAAGGTTCTAACCATGAGTGAGTTTGCATTCAGGGTCTTGTAGAATGTTTCCTGTGATGCAAGATACTTGAGTTCCCAAAGATATCCTATCCTTGAGTTTTTGCAACAGGTGTTCAAGATAAACATCTCTCCGTCGACGCAGATCGGACGCCTCGTTTGTTCTCTTAGAAAATAGTCTTAACAGAGGTATGAAGTCCTGCCAGTTGTTACTAGTACTGCGAAGAGTGCTAATTCCACGTTCCACGGTGATAATTTCGCGCAAGAGCTCGTTGTCAATGGAGCCATCGATGCGGAATCCGTATCCAAGGGTCAAGCTGAGATTGAGGGCGAGTCGTTGAAACAACGGATAAGGGTCGAGATCTACTTGTGATTCACTGTGACCCAGTTGCTGTACAAGCTCTTTAATACCAACGTATGACTCCAAATCGACAAAAGGCATGTAGGAGACAACTGATGGTCGGTTCAATGCTGCAGCGGCGGCTTTCCGTCGTCGTTTACAGGACTCATCCCATGGGGAGGTTCCGATAGTGAAGCCTTGAGAAGACGAAAGGACATTGTGAAATGTGTGTAACGTAGGCCGAGATATCAGACTGGATTGGTTATTGATCCAAAGTTGCTTAATAGACTCGAAGGTATTTGCGACTACGAATCTCTGGAACAATTCAGTTGTTTGTCTTTGTTCATTAGAGGAAAGACTCACTTTATTTCCCAATCTGATCTGAAAAACGGGTCCATGTTTTTTTGACAACTCAGCCAAACGTCGCGGCTGCTCACTCCCAAGCTGAACAAGGTTTCCCACTATTGGAAAGCCAGGAATCGACGGCAAATGTTTAATGAAAGGCACATCTGTACTATCGGACAGCCACAGGGCCAGAAGGACGAGCCCACCGCAAATAAGTACCCAACTCGTAAGGGACGTCAAGTCGTCCAATTGCAGTATAGCTCGGAACTTGGCCATCACTACTGGCAACATCTCGGGGGTCTTGTAATTCAGCATATAGGTGTGGAAAACCTAGGTTCACCACTCTTCTATAAGATACCAGGCCCCTTAAGCTTTTGAATAAATCACATTTGAGGAGGCGTATTCGATCCATGCAGCTAGAAAAACAGATCTCGCGAACCAAATACTGTGAACTAATTTCGGATATCCTATTTCGGAAAGGTTTCTTTCATAGACATCGGGATATCCGCCGGGTCAGCCGTAGTCTAAATCAGCCGGGTGCTAATTGTGTTTTTTGGTAATCTCCTCAAGTTTCCTGGTCGTGTTCTGCTTTTCTTATCTGTCTGTATTCGTAACGAAAAATTGCAGTACCACTTTCTCAGCTGTAGAAACAGCAATTCCACAATATTTATCGCACATCTAAAGTGTTTCTAAGGTTCCATACAGATAGTTTCGTAACAAGGCGTTACCATGTCAAAACCCTCAATTATTTTTATTCCAGGCTCATATACTCTGCTATCAGACTACCAACCGCTCTTCGATGCCGTCTCCAAGGAAGGTTATGAGATAAACGGCATCCATCCGCCTACTGTAGGCTCGGGCAGGCGGCAAGGCAGAGATGGTCTAGCGCCTTCAATGTACGACGATGCGGAAGCGATCGCAGAGGAGGCTGAGAAACTTGCAAACCAAGGCAAAGACGTAATTCTTATGGGCCACTCCTACGCTGGTGTCCCGATGTCCCAAAGCGTAAAGGGGCTGGGGAAAGAGCAGAGAAAGGCACTAGGCAAACCAGGAGGAATCGTTCGTCTCGCTTACATCGCCTGCCTTGTCCCTGCTATTGGAAATTCAGCCGAGTCCCTCTTGAGCAGATTCCCTGAACCAAAAAGGCCTCGTTTGTCCATCGATGTAAGTATCGGAATATTCGCCAACTATACCATCATCTATGGCTGATATGAATTTGAAGCAAAATGGCTGGATGCTTTTGGAGGATCCGGCAGCGACCGCTAGCATAATATGTCAGGAATTGCCTTCTAAGGAAGGTGAAGCTATCATTAGGGGTTTTGCAAAGCATTCGGCGCAGAGCTTTGGCAATGAATTGACGTACGCTGGATACAAACACGTTCCAGCGTCGTACTTGTTGTGCGAAGAGGATTTGGCGGGTCCTCCTGATTTTCAGAGACACATGATTGCTGTAGTCGAGGAAGCAAGTGGCCGAAAAGTTGATGTCACTAGTATCAAAGCTGGCCACTGCCCGCATTTAACTGCTGAGAAGGAGACGATTAAATGGATTCTGAGTGTCGCGGAGAAGACACAACAGAGCAAATAGACTTGAATGTTCATTCCTAACCAATGCTGTATTCTACGATTGGTCTTGGGTAACTATTATGTCAATATTTTTAGCACATAGGGGGAAGCACTATGGGTATGGCCTAGTGGCTCAGAACACTATGGAACGAGCGTATTCCCTTGACTGGTGGCTCGATTGTTTCTTGTTGGTCTTAGAGCTCTATCTCAACAGTAAAGAAACGCGTCCCTTTCATATAATTATCGCTCCGATATTGTGTCTGTACAAAGATAATAATTTAACCAGAACAAGGTACATACGGCGGACTGCTGAGGCATTTGCTCTTTTTAACTTTTTGTGGTACGTCTAGGGCCGATTGATAGTGTAACTGGTAGGAATCGATGGGTTGCTTATTCCAGGGCGAGCTAAATATTTAGTGGTTTGCATTTTGGGCCTTGAATGTAGTTTTTGCCAACAGCCAACAGCCAACATGACAACTAAGACTGAATAGTGTTCGCCGGTGAACCGTTTATGAAACTAATGCAGGTCCATGCAGGTCCATGTGGCCATTTCATGATCACGAACCAATAGTCTTGTTTCAACTTTAGGCCATCCTGAACAAGGTAGTATTCTTTATCGATGCTATCTAAGTTAGGTAATATCTAGGCAGCAAGCGTAGTAAGACAAGGCTATTGGCTAATCGTCGAAGTACTCTCACCTTTCACTTCTAGACTGTAAGGTTGTGGAAAGATTTAAATAGGATGATGTGCAGTCAAACTGGCTGAAAGTCGGGGGTTTGTTCTTGCACATCAATTGATTTCAATACCAAACTACGTATACATAAAGATTCCGAACAACAACAGTCGAGAACAAGTGTAGAATCATTCTTTTTTGTGAAATATCTTACTCAACAATTCCACTCCTGTAACGAAAATGCCCTCCATTAAAGAACTTATCGGCATTGCGGTCCTTGCTAGTACTTGTTTCGCCTCTACATTTACTCGGCACTCAGCAGGTGGAAGTCGTGGTTCTCACCTTTCCACCTCATCTCTTTCTGGCGCCGTTGACGTTGCCGGCAGTGGCAATATTTTATCGTCCAGCAACTGGGCTGGTGCTGTACTTCAGTCGACTGGTGTTACCGGCGTAGCCGGAACGTTCACAGTACCCACCCCGAAAATTCCCTCTGGAGGCGATTCCACAACTTCATACTGCGGTTGTGCTTGGGTTGGAGTTGATGGTGAACTTGATGTTTGCCCCAATGGCGGCCTCATTCAGGCTGGAGCTACATGGTGCATCCGGGGAGGTACTCCCTCGTTTTACGCATGGTTCGAGTGGTGGCCTGCTCAGCTAATGATGATCTTTGATAACTTCAGTGTCAATGCTGGCGATGAGATCCAAGTTGCTGTGACCGCAACGAGCACCACCACTGGAAACACGGTACTAGAAAATTTGACCCAAGGGACCAGCATTAGCCATACCTGGAACACAGAGTCACCAGCCCTCTGCAAGTTGACTGCTGAGTGGATTGTCGAGGATTTCACCGACTACTACAGCAATGGCTCAATTTCTCCCGCCCCATTTGCCAACTATGGCAGCGTCACTTTCACCAATAATAGCGCCACCGTTAATGGTGCGAGTGTTGATGTTTCAGGCGCCCAGCCTGCAAACATGGTTGTAAACGGAAAAACAGTCAGCCAGTCTACTATTTCCAATGGCAAAGTCACTGTGACCTATCAGGGTTAAGCATCAATCTTCTTCATACTAGGATTATAAAAAAACAAGTGCCTGCGACAGTTTCTTAGTCTATTTGAAGCAACTTGATGGACATATTTGTTACATATGTATATAAATTAAGTTCTAAAATATTGTATTCAGAATGAAAACTATCATCCTACCTATTTACAAAAAGTCAGGAATACGGAAAAGGGGTTTCATTTTCAGTATGCTTAGATTTGATCATCCTATGGGTGTTGTAATCAATAAACATAACGAAAGTTGGGGTTTTCATAATCTGTGAGATCCTCAAATGCCAAATCATGGCATATTTCACTAGACAGCTCGTTCTTGGACCGATTCCTACGCACAAGAATGATTCTGGTCACAATGACTAAACACAAATAAACGGCGTATATGACGATATGTGCCAAAAAACCATGTAGATACCTGGGGGCATCTGAGTTTTGGAAGATTTGCGGCGCAATCAGGTTGCCAACAGCCCAGCCGATGAATAACAGGGTCATGGTGAAGCCCTTTTTAGTTTGTCCGGCAATATTACGCGTGATCAGGGAGATTATCATGTTTCCCTCAGCAAGAAAGAATTGGGTGCAGTAAAAGGCGATGAGCATTCCTCCTGCGTTGGAAGCTGACGGTGTGACCACGAGGATGACAATTGTGCCAACAAGGCCTGGAACGGACCACAGCTAGATTGTTTAATTAACATATATGATGCCTACAACCTGGATATTATCTACTTACAATCATGACAACGCATGTCTGTTGGAATCTCTCGGACGCCCATGCGGAACCTACCATAACTGCAATCGTCCATGCTCCTTGGGCAATGTTGAGGAGCTCCGTCTGCAGCAGCGAAAACCCGAATTGTTGAATAATGAGGTTAGAAAACACCCCAAGACCGCCGATTATCAAGTTAGCGACAGTGATGAGCATGACACAGCACCACACAAATGGGTCTTTGATGGCTTCAATAACCTGATATTTCTTATAATTTTTGTTCTCAATACCGGTCTCGTTGTGGCGGACGCGTTCTACCATCAAGGCTTTGTCCTCCTCACTGAAGCACTTGGCCGACATAGGACTATCAGGTAGAAACACACCAATGCAGATGGACCAGATGCAGGTTACGACACCTAGAACTAAAAAAAGGAGCTGCCAGCTTTTGATCGGCCCATCGGTGAAATGGGAAACACCAAAGGCCAAAAGCCCTCCGATCTTTATTTTGTTAGAATATGGTAGACTGATCTGAAAGGGAGATCTGAAACAGGATATGTGCATACCATCAATTGCACTCCAGTCATGCAATACCAAATTGAATTCAAGAGAGACTGCTCCTCTCTTTTGTACCACATTGTAGTCCTGGGCAAGAATTAACAAAATAGTCTTTCCAACGAGTTGAAAAGAAGACAAACAGTAACATCATGGCCGGTTGAATGCAGCTTTCAAAAAAACCTAGCAGAAACCGGACAGCCATAAGCGATGCAAATCGAGTTGATGCGGCCGAGCACGTCACAACAGCCCCCCATATAAAGACGTTGACGGCAAGAGTCTTCGCCACTGGAAATTTTTGTAGGAGGATGTTTTGAGGATATTCTCCGACTAGTATACCAATATATAATATTGTTCCTAGCCATGAATACTGCAAGAGAAAACGTCAGTAAGCCGTGAGAGAAAGAGCGGTCACTTAGGAATGATGGTTATCTTACTTGCTGCCCCACAAGGTTTGCATCTTTCTTAATCCCCATAATAGAGGCATAATTGAGGATTCCCTTATCCAGAGATTGGAAAAAGTAAGTGATCACCTGAATAACGAGAATTCGACGACTGATTATCCAGAAGAGCTTTCTATTGGTAGCTGCGTCAATTTCAATCCCTGGGTTGGTCGCGTAGGCATTAGCCTTTTCTTTCGCTTCGAGATGGATAGTCGTCGGGTGCACTTTCGAGGCCATAACGTAATGAATCAGAAACTACTATTGAATTGATCATCATTTGTGATGTCGCTAGGATCGTGTTAGACCAGGGTATTTGTAGCCCTAACTATGGCTACCCCGCGGAGAATCGGTTAAATATGGACCTGCTTGATCGCCGGAGAAGGGGCCGGCCATTCCTCCGGAGCAGTTACACGTAATGACGGGGGCAGTTGATAAGCGCAAGGTTAAACTTTGTTCTACTCCGTGATTTAGTCCGTGCGGGTGACAGCTTCGGGCGTGGAAAGCGTAAGTGCATATGAAACATTTTGGCTCCAGTTTGGGGCAGTCGGCGTGGGGAATTAGGGGTTTAGACCCCTAATGACCTCCCTAGTGCCCACTAAAACGAGACCTTCATAGCTTAAAGCTGGGTAAGGTCATGAAAATTGAAGAAATGAAGAAATATAGTACGTGCGTTCAACATGGGAACGAATGTCTCGCGAATGTCTCACAGTACATATGCAACTCGGCAAAACCAGATGCTTCTGGCAGGATCTCAGTAAGAAACACCAATGTTTGAGACACAGAAAAACGTCAATATGATTCCAGCGTTGAACGATAATTAGCGACATTCATATATGTATATTTGAATATATTCGTACTGAAGTTATCTGAGTCGAGAAAATTCACTCGCGGTACTTTCAACGTCTGTGTGATGCAGAATGCGAAGTACACAACCATCTCGACTTCATTTTCAATTAGAAAATGGGAAAGAAAAATATGGATAATTTTGTGATTATAACAGCATATGTCATCAAAGTCGCAAAAATCTTTAAATCGGCGATAGTTGCAAGGATTATAGCGATTGATTTTGCGACTTTATACTTGGGATTTCAGATTTGGCTCATTCCGTGTTTTCAACCAGGGTTTCTAAAACGTCAATTAATTGGGTCAAAGTAGCACATTACCCTTGTACAGTCTAGGAAATTGAAAATAAATCAATTGTCCAAAGTATACATTCGGAATGCTGCCTAGGAAATTCGATATAGCAGAGTGCCAAACCCGAGACCATCAAAGCCACCGGAAGTAGAGCCGTAGTTCCCACCACCACCTTCAACACCATCCGTGGAGTTGGCGTTAATGAAGTCCCGATAAGCATCTGTCCATGAAGAGTTCAAGCCTTTCAATTGGCCGTAATGTGCTGACAGCAACTCAAATCCTGGTCGGATGTCCCCCCTTGAGTTATTGGAAATAACACTCTGGTTCCCCTGATAGCTATCATAAGGTGTGTAGGGAACGTCATAGCCGATGTTATACTTCGAAACATACTCAGCCCTAGGAAAGCCTTGGTTAGTGAAAGAGCATTCAGAAAAGAGAAAGAATCAACTGGATTGTAGCACTCACGCATTAAGTATTTCATTGTTGTATGCGGCAAATAGGTCGTCGCCTTGGTTGTACGATTGACGAGCAATGACCCCCAATAGCACTATATCAAGTGTGGCATGACCCTGGTCACGTCCAGCTTCCTGACCTTGTATTAAAACCTTCCCCGAACCGTCTTCGGTGTAATTGGCAATATCGAATACAGGCAGAGCGCCATTTGACGGACCCGTGAGCATGTACTGGACAGCATCATCATACATGGTCTGATTATCAGTGAAGATGCCGATTGCAATTAGTGAAGCCAGATTGCATTGGTCCCAGTTGGCATAATAGTGATAGTCATTTTGACCATTATGGTTTTCCAAAAAGAGTGTGTTCATGGATGCGAAGATACTTGTCAGCATACGTCCAGTCGCAGTTTTGTTGCTACTGTCCCATCCTGAGTAATCCCTCATGAGCTCGGCTGCATTGGCCATCTGGTATCCATACAGTCCTGAGGCCAGAAACTTATCACTCGTGCCGTTGATAGCCGTCAGAGTTGCTGCCCAGGAGCCCAAGATGTTAATAGCAGCGTCTGCGTAGGCGGAATCGTTGGAGATCTTCCAGCGCACTGCAAGCTGGTAGGCGGCTGCGGCATCTTTATACAGATACTGATAATTTTCCGCATCTACTCCGTTGTAACCCCGGTACACAGTTGCTTGTGGCTTGGGCTGGTAAGATGATTGTGCGTAAGGGCTCGTGGTCAACAGTCCCCAAGTGGTGTTCCATGGTTCATCCCCATTCACTACGTGGGTATTGATGCGCTCAAAATCTCCCGACGTATGAAGCGCCCCAGGATGAATAAAGGCTGATACATCTGAAATGAGAAGGGCGGCAAATATGATAGGAAACATGTTTGTCCACGGAGATGTCATATAATTCAATAATGAAAATTGTTAGTAAATGAATGTAAATTCCAAGCAACAAGGATGCAACTGGAATAAAAAATTCTGCATGGTTACATTTCAACAGGTTTTGCGGAGTATTTATAGCATATTTTCCCAATTTCTCTGTAAAATTATTTTACCAAACTACTTGCAATGTAATTAACCGAATGTTTTGGGTTGACGCGGTCCGTAGCAGTTTAATTAAAGATCGACGTTGCGTTTATGAGTTAGATTGATAATAGCAGTCTGTAATCAGATGAAATACGAACTACGAAATACCAAAGCTTCTAAGGACGACCCTTTTGGAGGCTGTGCTCAAATGTTTGGCAACTTATGTCATTAGACATCTATATGCAACCCCGGACTATAAAAAAGCCTTCACTGCCTGCACATATTTTGAACCCCATGGGGCGCGGGGTTGTGCTAGGAAGATGACCGCTACTTTTCCCGACAATGTTACAATTTGGGTAAACCATACCATCCATCAAATTCCGGCAAACAGCGTTAGGAAAATATCCGGCACCTGTCCCGAGCGGGGATCGCTTGCCCTAAGCCATAAGCTGCAATGATGTCGAGACGACATTATTTTCTCTAAATATGCGTGAAACTGAGTTTATTATCCATTTATCAATACTTGGTCGTGGTAACTGTAAAAGTTAAATAAGAAATGATTTCAGACGCGATGAATGTGAGTTGTCTCTCGGTTTCTAGGAAATAAGTAATACATGCTAAGATAGGGGAAAGGAACCACCTCAAAAGAAACTACGGGCTGAACAAGAAAGTAAATGCTCGGAAAATGTTCCTCAGATAGTCATCGATAGTCTGTATTCCGAGTCAGTCGGCGCACGCTTGTGGAATGTAGCTTGCAGGGCACTGGGAAAGGTGAGTCGCTCCAAAATGCTGATGATCGTCCCTGACAGCGATCGCAGAGTGATCCACCTACATTTTATCCTGAATACACTGGCAACGACGGCGCAACTTACGTGTATCGGCACCTCAGCTTTTGGACCTCTGGTTTTTTTCCGGGTTCATTATACCTTTTGCTCGAGCGTCGGAAAAATAATGGCCAAAGTGGCACGCAGCATTCGTATCCAAATTCACTGCAGCTCCATCATCTTTGTCAGTGGTGGTCCATAAACTTACACCAGAATGCAAGCCTCAAATCGACTCACGATCTGGGCTTTATGATTGCTCCCTGGGCAACAAAAGCTTGGGAGCTCTGTAAGGACGAACAAGCATTCAGCAGTCTTGTCCTTGCAGCTCATTCTCTGGCAAGTCGATTCTGCCCGAAGGTCCAATCTATTCGCAGCTGGGATACTTGTAAAACCAAAAAGTACGCCTTTCTCGACACCTCAACGGACTTTCTCGTTATAATCGACAACATGATAAATCTCGATATGCTCTTTTGGGTAGCTAAGCACACCGGAGACCAGAATCTGTATGATATTGCAGTATCGCATGCACGAACTACCCAAAAACAGCACGTACGACCTGAAAAAACCACCTTTCATGTCGTAAACTTTGATCCTGAGACAGGTTATCCCAAACAGAAATTTACCAACCAAGGCTACAGCGAAGATAGTTGCTGGGCACGAGGGCAAGCGTGGGGAATATTGGGCTTTGCGCAAACATTTCATTGGACAGGAGACAATTCGTTTTTGCGCACATCTCAAGATCTTGCAGACTTTTTCATCGAACGCCTGCCTGCAGATGATGTCCCATACTGGGATTTGGATGCTCCTATAACACGCGAGTCTCCTCGTGATACCTCTGCAGCCATGATCGCAGCTTGCGGTATGCTATTGATATACAAAGCCCTGAAGGCCAAAGGACGTGATGATGAGGCGATGCAGTATGTCAAAGCTGCAATGCGCATTGCTCGTGGTACATGCGAAAAGTTCCTAAACCCTCCTACGCTCAGGTTTACTGTCTCCCCATCTGGGAGGGCCATTCAGATTTACGAAGAAGGCCTTGCTTCTGACTACCAAGAGAAGTCGGAACCTGGGTTACTTACCATAGATGATGGGATAAGTGCCACTGGCTTGTTATCGACCAAGAAAAATGGGACAGTACCAAAGGAACCACACACGGCGGAAACCATACTTACCGGGGCTACCATAAACAACTACGAATTTGCTCCTCGCAGATGGGCTAACCATGGGCTAGTCTATGCAGATTACTACTTCATGCTTCTAGGTAATATGCTGCTAGATCTTGGGTTGGTAGAGCCAGACCAGTAGAAGTCTAACTCGATTGGTTTGTTTTATACATCTGATTGTTCCTACGAAAGACTCACCTGCCATATCTGTATGTCATAGATTATAGAACTTCTCCATGTGAATATCTATCAAAATTCGTTTCGTAATCAAGATGAAAGATGTCGCATGCAATATAGAACCATAGAAGATTATCGATATTGCATTGAAAAATACTACTTTTTGATTAAGACTACCAATACACTCTATCTAGAGTGCTATGAACGACGAGCTAACCACTATGTTTCGTATCGGCTAGTATGCGAGTTTGGCAGTAATTCCACAAATGAGTAGGGTATCCATTTATTTGACCATGGTTTCAGTTGATAGTGTATGTACATTATTGTGAACCAGAGTACCAAAATTGTGAGGCAGGTAATGTTTCAACTGACCCAGTGCCATAGAAAGTTCGCTCATGGCTTTTTTCAAGCAACACTGGATCTAGTATGTTCGACTCGGTCAATGGCGCGTATTGCAGCTGCAAGGATACAGGGAGAGGGGGATAAGCGAGGCTAAGGGAGTTACTGAAGGAGCCGGTTGGTGATAGACAGCTATAAGTTGATCCTCCATGGCCGTCATCATGTTGAATTTGGTATAAGATATTGGGACTAACGGCATTGTCTTGCTGGCTTAAAATGGCTTGTGGACCATCAATGGCTGCCCGTGTCTCTGGAGTGCTATTATGTTCTCCTGAAGGACCAGGATTAACCCTCGATTGAGAGTCCGAATAGACCGCTTGCCGGATGTCGAGACTACCACGGGCGGATGCGGTGGAGTGAATATGTTTCCTGGCATTGGCCAGTCGTTTTGCAAATACGGATGCTAAGTTTTCACGGTCTGGGGAGTTAGGGCCAGCCCACCGTCGAGATATTTCCGATAGATTAGAAACGATAGTATCGAGCTGGTCTGGGATAGGAACGCTAGTGTATCTGCAATGGGCTAGCAGCATGCGCCCCGCAATAAATAGACAAAAAGAAAACTGCGGATTGGTGAGAATGGGCGAGTGGTGTAGAAAGTGGTGACCAGTGGCTGCAATTTCGGTTGCAGCCTCAATGCATGTGTCTACTGATACGTTTGAAGGAAGTCGAACGGGACTATTCTTCCAATGAGGTGGTGGGTAGGCGATGCTCTGATGCAGCAATATCACAGCCGTGTTGTGAGTGATGTGCGCTAAGGTGAGGTTTGGATCAACCACCCCATCATCATTGAGCACAGACGCTGTTCGCCATTTTGGAGGCAGGAAAAGCTTCCACTGAACAAGTCGTAGATCTAGCTCCTTGAACCTCATCAACCAGACTTGAGCGTTTTGTGCATCTTTCAAGTCCAAAGCATGATGAACGAAAAAGTTAATGACGAGTGTAAGAGATTCTGTCGCTTCGATGCAGTAGGCAAATCCCCCAACAGCGTCTTGCTCAAGGTTATCTTTCAATTGATTGTCCACAAGGGTCGGGATACTGCCGGGGAAACAGCTCTTGTCAGTGATGCCAAAAAAAGGAGCTAGAACTTCATGCTCCTTTTCCCATAAAGCGCCTTCACATGGGAGACGACGTCGGACATCTGCACTTGTGAGACTGAGATTCCATCCGGTGGAAACACTACAGAATCGGTCCATCAAAAACACGGCCCAGAAGAGTCTTCGTCGCTCCTCAGCTTGCCACCAAGTCTTAGTAGGCTGCAAGAAAACCATTCGCCGGATTAGGTATTCCCCTTTTTTCGTCGATCTATCTTCTTCAGGTTCTTCAACACTAAGCTGGAGCTGTTCCACTGTCCTGGTCATGCTCCCTACAATCGACCACGCCGATGGACCACGACCACTACCGATCTGCTCTTGGTAAGAATTTGGTATCAGTACGGTGTCTTCTTTCTACATACTGTATTAAAGGCGATTATCACTAAAGCCTGTAGGTTCTCGACAGAGAACGACTCCATGCTGCTGAGTATCACCTTCTGTCGACTTACAGCGGCCATCTGGACCCTTGTTTCATAGCTACCAACATCCACACATTTAACCAAGCAAATACAGGTTGCCACGATTGCATGCAAGATCTGAGTTGCACTCTCCCACCCTTCTGATGTTTGAATCTGTAGTCGGAACTTTTTAACATGTAAAATAGGGATCCAGTGGTGCACGTTGGCAAAGTAAAATTCGACCAACTCATTCATTATTTCTCGGGATGGAAGATCATGATCGCTCAATGTGTGAGCCGATGGTGTTGCTAGCTCTGTAGATTTGGATTGTGAAATGGTTTTTCGACGTTTAACGGGGTATGCATCTTGCTGACAGCTTTCTTCGCCATCTTGCTCACCGTTATTTTCTTCTAGAGGAGACTCTTCATCACCCGGTGTCATTTGGAGAAACGAATCTTTTACCTGCTGACGATACTGGTCAAAGCTTGAGGGATTTGCACAACATTCTCTGGACGAAGGGTTGATAGAATTCCATATCTTTTGCCAGAGTAAGCCTTGGCCAATGAACATATTTTCTAGCGTCTCGACACGGTGTTGCAATTGCTCGACAGCACCAGCCCGCAGACCCGGTTTCAGACGGCCATCGTCGTAGAGACAGTCGACATTGAATCGCACGCACTGCGTACATGGTTGTTCACGATCGCATTTCGCCTTTTTTCGTCGACAGGACTGGCATGCCGGAATTTTATCCTTACCATTCTCTAGCTGGTTTGATTCGGTTGCCATTGAGGGTGTAAAGCGACAGTCACTCTCTATGCTTCTTGATGGATCATAGAATCGAAAATTTTCATCCCAGCTCTTAAGTCCCCCATGAAGTGGGAGGCCCCTTTGGCCCGCGTTGCCTATTCATAACTCCACCTCATTTGCGGGGAAGCTTGAAGCAAATACCGATCCATTCCTCATCGAGTAACGTTCGGGCCCCGGGCCAAATGCCGGGGATGTCCCGGCTTCCCCGCACTGAAATATAACAGGCACACGCTATCTGCAAATGGCATTCGATATAGAACGTCATTAAATCTTACTGTAAGACCTTAGAGCTGCTAGAATGAAGAAAAGGTCACCCCCCATAGCCTGGTAGGGTGCAGTCTGTTCAGACGTCTAGGTTTTTATGAGGGAATTATCCCTTAGCATTGAAATATAGTTGTGGAATTGTTCACTATTTTCTTCCCTGTTAACGTGCCTCGGAAACCTGTGTTTTGGTTGATACATGAAAAAATTATAACTTGGATGGAAATCAACCATTGAATTGGTAACTCCAAATAATGTGCGGGATGTTCGCCATTCCTACTCCTCTCCCTTCGGTCGTTTCAGGTTATGAACAGACTACACAGGAAGTGTTGTAGTTCATATCTTGTGAAGAATACAACGAATAATAGCATACTACATAGTAACTATATATATATATATATTACGACATGGATTAGTGTCTTAATAATGAATATTGAAACGAAATAAACAAAAGAATAGATGAAACAGCGAAGATACATATGTAGCTTCAAATCTATCTTTAATCTAAGTTCTCAATGAGTATAAATATCATGCGTATATGTTAAAGTTCTGAATACTTTCCGTCTAGTACTGTATGTACTACAGACATATTCAGTGCTCTTTAGAAGGTTTCCCCTAGAGAAGGTACGTGTCTACTATAACCTTAAAAACTGTGAATAAAGATTAAATTCAATTACACCTGTTACATTTCTCTACTCATTTACAGTCAAGTTAAAGGTACATATATAAATTTCCATTTTTGAAAAAATACCAGCTACCTTCATTGAAGTGCTACAAGCTAATGGCCATTGTTCCAAAATATTAAAAAGTAATTCAATGTACCCTAATTGATCCCCTGGTCTGCCCTGGCCTCGCTCAGTGATCGCTCAGTGAGTGCTCTGCGAGCGGCCGGCCGATCGGGCTGAGCATAAAGCGGAATATTGCTGCGCGCATTAGCGTTGCACATATCTGTTATAGAAGTACTATATAGGTCTCGCGTTATCAATTTATAGAAGATCAACCCGGCAGCTCAGGAATATCGCTGCCCTGCAATTCATGTAACTCATGCCCACTCAGCTCTCCACCTGCTCGATGTCCCGAGCCCATCTCGCTCATAACTTTGACCTGCCCTTGACTGCCTTGTACTTCTTGTGAGGCACTCGAGTCCGCTTCAACCCAGTTCTTGAGCTTCGCATCAGGTTCAAGTTCGCTAACGCGATTGGCATGCATGCGATCATTCTGTTCCATTTGCGTTTTCCGTCGAGGAATCACAAAACAGAACCACCAAACCGCGATTGCTCCTATAATAGCTGCCACGATGGCCCCGACAACGATTCCTGCAATAGCACCACTGCTGAGACCGTTACTTTTATTACTACCTGTTTTCGGTCCAATGCTAGCTGTTGCTGTGGGTGTTGAGAGAGGCTCTATTGTGACGATATTTGACGCTGCGCTGGCATTCCAGACACGCGGGTGGACTGAGAAGTTGCTCCGCTCATAGTCTACAATCACATACGCTTCCTGAAGAAATGTGCGTCCAAGGGTGTATTGCGTGTCATTGGCAGCCTGTTTCAACGGAAAGTACGAGGAACTGTTTGATACCAACGGGTATTCAGCAGTCAAGTCGAAAGCAGCGTACGGCAAAGTTATGTTAACTGATGAACCACCTAAAACTGCTGCCTCGATTGTGAATATTACCGATGGGTTGGCAGTGAGAAGCTGCTTATGTAGAGTATCATTGACCAAATATAGTCCTGCTGTACTGTTGTATGTCAGGTTAAAGGCTGATTCAAATGCCTGACACGCTGTTACAGGGAGATATATCTCAGCGACAGAGGTGTCAATAAAGATATTGATGGAGCCTGATGACAACATGTTTAATTCCTCACTAATATTTGTCGTTATCGATGAGAGGCCAACTGTGAGATCTCTAGTCTGATCGCTATTAAAATCATAAGACGAGTCAGTGTCCTGGAATTTGGAAGTGTCGTATCCGCCCAGGATAAGTGTACCTAGGGCCTTGTTCAGTCGGTATGGCGCGCCGGCGGTGTAACTGTAGGATAGACTAGGGATATGGCTTTGATTTTTGAGTAAAGACATGAAGCTGGTTTGAGGGTCGTTCAAGGTCGTGAAATTGATTGGCTGCGGATTTAATGCGAATATGCCGAGATAAAACTCTGTCCCTGCTACACCGCCGACAACAGAATGGTTAACCGTCGGGCCTCCGCCTCCTTGATATCCGAGGCCGACTGTGGAACAAGTAAATCCTTCCATTCGCGAACGTCATTGTTGGAGTACAAAACTCACCAGTATCATAGCCAAATTCCCCCGCATCGTTATGGCCCAAACTGGCTTCAAACCCTAGATTGTAATCCCCAATCTGGCTCCATGTTGTTGATGTGCTCGTATTGAAGAGTCCACCACGAAGATCGGCGCAGTTGTACGGCGCACTCGACGAACAGCCCAGGGGCAGAACAACTAATGTTGATGTCGACGAGGTACCGGGAAGAACACGGACATTCTGGGCTGGAGTGCCAACGCGGAGCTCAAACGAAGACCATGGTCCATCGTTCCCTTCACTTTATCCCGTACAATGCGTGAGTTTACCACCTCGGAATATATACTGGAAGAAGCTCAACTCACAAATACTGGCTTGGAGATACCTCCACTGGAGCTGGTAACACGCGGGCAGCGATTTCCTTCGCACAGCATGGCTGAACAAATGCGAAGAAGCTACCTAGCACTACGACGACCACCCACATCTCTCTCTATGTGCCTGTTATTTTGTAAGATCTTTGCGATTGATTGATCTGGCATGTAGTCAAGCTCAAGATGAAGAGAAGCACCCAGGTGAAATTCTAGCCCTCCAAAGCCTGCTAATAATTCTAGTGTAAGCTAAGTAGCAGGATCGGGGATGGCCGCTCGCGATTTTCCGTTTTTATTGAGTGAATAATATGAATGGGGCGCAGTCAGGATACGGAAATTGGATCGTTATTGTTCGGCATGTGGATTTCTTTCTATGAACTTGGTATACAATTAAGTTAAGCAATACTTACTACGAGTCATGGGCTAGCAAATTATCCCATTGTAGTCTAGCCTGGTAGTGCAGGCTTTCGACTAGGACATGCTTTATTTCTGCTTAGGAAGGGTTCACCCGATTTCGATCCTCGTAGGCAGAGGCTCGAGCTCCCAGTTTTTGTTGGCTGCTACTAAAGTCTTATAGATCACAGTGCTGACTCCGTCATATTTGTACATTCCACACACCAAACAGTCCTATTGCGATGTGACAGGAACTGACAGCTTTTGACGTGTTCTTCAACGCCTCCTCTACACAAAAGTCAAATAAAGTAGCTCCGTTCACCGCGAAATGAAATTGGACAGGAACAGCCGCAGCTGACAGATAAACTTTGGGCGTTGATAAACCATGTCAAGCTACAGAGGGAAATTTCAAGGTTTCCCACGCCAACTTGTGATATTTATGTAAATTCGTTAAATTTACGTAAACCCCCTAGTGCATATACTCATCCCAAGTAGCCAAGGCAATCAGGTACATCAGCCATTATTCCCAATCATTTGTCATCCACGTGTATAGTTGCTTACCTTGTGGGCTTACGACCTATGTAAGGGCTCAGAAGAACGTCGTTGGCTAGATAGCCCGCTTACAGTTGAAAAAAACATTTACTAGTCACCACGGGGTAAACAGGTTAAGCAAACAGTTTATATGCACTTCGCTTCGTATATGTAGCTTGGGTGCCTGGAAATTGCAGCCTTCTTCATTATAAGGCCTGGTAATTGCAGAGGACGACGAGACCGGAAAAGCACATAAGGTCCAGACTATACTTTTGTCCCTCCACTCTTCAGTTCGTCAACAAAGGGGAAAATGCAGCTTCGTCCGTTCGCAACCTTGATCGGGTTGTCCATTCTGGGAAGCGCAAATGGATCTCCAGGTTTGTTTAACAGTCAATCCCAGAAGCACCAACATTGATCAGTATATGCAGTGGTATATGGAAATGCTTCCACGCCTGCAATAACTCCAACTCCAACACCAACTTCGAGTTCAGATGGCGGGTACGCCTCTGGCAGTCCTACTCTATGCTACAATACTGACTTTGTGGGTGTGATCTTGGACGCCTACTCCGGTCTATCTACCGATCCGGGCCTACAATGCCAATGTCTTACCCAAATCTCGAATTGGCTCTCCACCACCAACCCAGGAACTCACACTCTTACACGGAGTATCGCGATTGGAGTGACGACAACGACCGAGACGACCGACGGGATCACGACAACGATTACAACGGAAGCCGTCACTGTTGGAACATACACCCTAACCGAAAATGGTGCAGGCGCAGACGGGTTCTTTTAGTATGGTAGTGCTACGCCACCATGTGCGAGTTTCCCTATCTTTCCCCGTTGAAAAAGATCCCTCTAATCCGATACCCAGTGTTATTCATGCTCCGTTGCAGCGGCTACGGTGGAGATATTCTATTGGCAAACTCGTGTGTGGCAAAATACCATTTTCCCCCGAACTTCCAAACTAACTACCTACAGCTGCTCCGTCCGATGTGGTGACATCCTTCGTATCTGACGACATTACCTAGTACGTTTACCCTATTCAAACCCTTTAATCTAATTATAACATGCGCAAGCGTCTCCCCGAGCGTCTATATTGGATTCTCCTCGCTGTATGCATATGACTACTGCGGAACTGTTGGTCAGCCATACACAAACACCACAATCGCCTTTGACCAAGACGAACTGTCCACAGTGCAGTACGTGGAGCAAACATTGACATACAACACAACGGCCAATGTCGGCACGGGCACCAGCACCGTCTGGTCGACCTTTCCCACCACGTCGACCTACTATTCAAGCACCACGCCAGCGCCGCTCAATTTCGAGGTCCTCGGCCAGAATTGCTCGACTATCTCGGGGTATACCTATGTGCCGGGTAACCCATCGGCAGAGCATGTATTCGGGTGTAGGCTTTTCCCTCCTCTTTTGACTATATATTGCGTGTCATTCAGGCAACCTGACATAAATGTCTAGCTGTCGACCCCTGTCATCCAGTCATCGTCGTACCGAGTCGCATAAAAAGGTTACAGCCATCGTGGAATACCTGCGATGGTAATGCTATTGGCGGGTACGTTCGACCCTGGGTCCAGTCTTTCATTTCCGTTTATTGACATTTACTGAACAGTTTCTACGACCCCCCTTACCCTTTGACGTCGGTGTCTGGATTGCTTCCGCCCACTACCACAACTTCCCAGCCAACTTCGACCCAACCGGCGGCTCCGGGGTCGACGGCGACGAGTATTCCACAGCAAACCTCGACAACTCCGTTCCTAGATCAAGAGCCGACAACGACGGCGTCGGTTGGCAATCCGGGTACTAGGACTAGTCCTGCTTCCGAGACTTCCATTAGTACCGCTACTGGTTCTGGATCGGGCTCAGGCTCTGAGTCTAGCTCTGGTTCAGGAAGTACAGACTCCGGCTCAGGTTCAGGAAGCACAGGCTCAGGTTCAAGCTCTGGCTCCGGTTCCAATTCAGGTTCAGATTCAGGATCTGATTCGGGCTCAGGTTCGGGAAATACAGGCTCGGGTTCAAGTTCGGGTTCAAGCTCTGATTCAGACTCGGGTTCGGGTTCGGGTTCAGGCTCTGGGTCTAGCTCGGATTCAGGAAGTACAGGCTCCGGATCAGACTCTCGAGGCGGCAGCACGAACACTGCAGTAGGATCATCTGGTACAGGGACAGGAACAGGAACAGGAAGCGGATCAGGCAGTGGATCTGGCAGCTCTGGGTCTGACTCTGGAGAGACGGATGGAACCAGTACTATATCCTCATCTCCTGGCTCCCCTCTAGCTACCGGCGCCGCATCACGACCTAGCCTAATGCTACATACCAGTGGGCTAATCGCTCTAGTTTCTTTTCTTTTTTATCGTTAATCTGACCGATTCTAATGATATAGTGTAGACAATGCGCATGATGAACGCATGATTAATGTAATTAAAAATGGGAGTAATTGATAAATATAATTTTGTGGTATCAATTGATGAAATAGAGTAGCGGCTTGATAAACTATTTCCTGGTCAATCATAATTTTAACGAGTGAACAACTTAGAAAAAGAATTCAATTAACCAAATACTGCTTGCTCGGGATTAACAGACGCTGAGCAGAAATTCGTTAGTCTTACCGTTACGCTGGGAATTTTAGGGTTAGGGTTAAAATGCTAGGTCCCGAACGCCCGGACTCGCAGTCCAAATTCCTGGATCGGGGTCACATCGAAGTATATATTAGGAAAGGAGTCATGGAATGTACTGGTTCATGTTTCAGGTTCGTAGTTAGCCTATGGCAATTACGTTTGTTCTGAGAAATTACATGAATGGTTTGCAAAATCGTGGCTCACAGTAAATACATTCGACTATCTGAGATGGAACGTGATTTCTGTCATTCCCTGGGGAAATGAAAATACATCATTTCGATTAGAGCTTAAATATTTGAATCACTTGAATGTCATTGATCATTATCATCAAAATGACAATCCCTCAAATTCACTGAATAATACAAGAAGCCTGTTGGGTATATACATTCTAGAACAAATCAAATCTATAGCAAAATCAAGGCTATCACCATCCGTATCTTGACCCTGCCTCCTTTTTATTCCTCCTCCCAGCAGCAAAGCTTTCCTCGAGCGCATCCCTTTGTGAACTTGCCGCCTGCACAAGCTGTTTGAGGGAGTGTTTCCCAGGTGCGATCGCTCGAACCGGGTTGTGCTGTTGTGCGGCAAGCTCGTCTTGGGTTGTATTTGAAAGCATTTCTTGGTTCGCGGCATACTCCGTGTCTGTGTTGAAGTTGACAACTCGGGAAGTTGGCATTGATGAATTACGGCCCATTAGTTGTCGTCTCTCGGCGCGAGAGAGATTCAGATCGTTCGCGATTGCGTCGAGACTTGATTCTTGCTTTGTAGAGGGTGTGGGATAGGATGATGATGCTTGGTTATGATATTCCAACGAGGCGGAGTCTTCTTGCGGATCATTGGCGGCCGAAGGGTTGAATAGAATTGATTCATATCCGCTAGTGGTCTCGACTGGCGCTGCTTTCTCTTCGTTAGAGAAAGAGAACAAGCTGACCTTGGGTTTTGGAGGTTCGACTGGCTTGGGAGCTTCAGTGGTCGTCGAAGCTATAGGTTCCAAAGCAGTGGCTTTCGGCGCTACCGCTGTCTTTGCATTCTTCGCGCTGGCTTTGGCAGCCACGAACGCCGCCGACTTTTTCTTTGGTCCGCTGCGAGCCACAGACAGCGGCTTGAAAACCATTGCATTTCCTTTCTTCTTGTAATTTTCCTCCTGGAGCAAACTCCCTTCCTTGTTATCACCAGCAAACCCTCCGGGCTTCGGTATCGTGTCATCCTTGTTGCTACCAGCAACTTCATTGAGAGCCTGCTCCTGACGCAGCTCAGCATCCGCATGACGGTCGAATCCCGGCGCAGATCCTGTTTTCAGACTGAAAGGATTTCGAGAAGCTCCCGTGCTATTCGCAGTGGCAGTAGCCGCCGGTTGGTTCGCGCGCTTGGGTGCTGGGAGGATCGAATTGAAGCCAGAAAATAACCCCTCCCCGTTTGTTCTCGGTTTCTTCCTCGCCGGTCCATCTTCATCGCCCTTGGCTTCTGGTTTGATCTCGGGCAGTGCGACTTTTATTTTCCGCGGGTTTCCTCGGTCGACTAATGACGAGTATTTTTGCGGCGCATTTGATGATTTCGATTCGGCGGGCGCTGGCTCTTTGCTCAGAACTTGGGGCTGGGGCTGATCCTCCGAGTCGGAGCCCTCTGAGTCGGAATACTGCACAAGAGCCATTGTGAGCGGTACATACAGTTGCTGATGTGATATGTGACGGATGGTGAAGGATCGACGATGTATCTGCGATGAATCTGCGGCACTTGGCGTCAGGCGGGCACCTGTAATTACGCTGCAGACAGCAGCCGCACGGACCATGCGGAGAGCCTCACCATCGCGTTCATGGTATCTGCCCCCAACTTACAGCAGTATCATATTACTTCATATTTTACATCTAATTATAGTCATTATTCTAATTTTAAGTGATGAGAACCGCCTCTGGACACCCCCCTAGACACCTTACCCCTACAAGGACCTCTCTAAATCCTGTATATAAACATAACCAAACTAACCCACTCAAATACATGTATAATAAAGAGTTTTTGCATCTAAGTATCTTTTACCAGGACCGTGATGGAGAGGGTGGAATTGAAATTTACTATCTTCATTAATTACATAAATAAATACCATTTAGGTTGCACCCATACGCATTTTTAACGTTGATGTTCATACTCACGAAGGATGCCTCACAAAAACCGAGCTATGTACAACCCGATACCTTGGATTAACATTTCAAAGATTAGAGGCACTATTTACCAAGTTAGCCGAAAATATATTTTCGAGAAAACATAAGAACAAGAAAGAAAAAAATGCCGACCTACCTGCCACATGGACGCATTTTGATACGTGCATGTATACGGCTCTGCACAAACAAAACTTCCAGTCCAATTTGTTCCTCCGCATTGTCCATGCTGCTCCACAGCCGTGGGAGTGTCCAAAGCCAGGATTCTCTCTGATGCATGTTCTGCCGCCACCACAATATATGCAGACGGATTCGTGGTCACAATGCCGGGGAAAATACTGGCGTCAACAACAAACAGATTATCAGTGCCGTAGACGCGAGTATCAAGATCTACGACGGCTGAACCATTGAGACGGCCGTCATCAGTACCGAGCTTGCAGGTCCCTATGAAATATGACATGAGAATTTTGCGGGTACTTTTGTTATGGTGGGGTTGACTTTAATACCTATCCAATGGTTTGACCCTCTATTCGTATATGAAATCGTCATCTAACGGTCCAAAATTAGTCGGTTTGCCATTCACATATGTTATATAATTGTAATATGACTGATGTGGCAGGCATACATTATTGACAAAATCCGTCACCGACTCATTTGCAGTGGGATATGTCCAGGTAAGATTAGCAACATTTTTCAGGGCATTTTGCAAATTAACAATGCCCTGAATGACTGCCTGGATATCGTTTTCATTGCGTAAGTACGGTAATGTCGAGACCTCTGTGTTCAGACCAGATGTTATCGTCATTCGGCCACGTGAAGTTGCGCCCCTGCCAAGGTATTGGGTCATAGTCATTGCATCTGAGGTCTTCTATCAGCATACATCTCAGTGGTAGTTTAAAACGGAGAATAACATACTGCCGTCAGGGGTCCCATGTGATCCTTCAACGCGGGCTGTCCATTGTAGCTGACGAACGATTCCATCGGCACCCTCAATCTCGTCCCAGAACCTGTATTTATCTATCAACGTGGTACAAGATGAAGAGAAACTATTAGACTTACATCGGACCGATATTGGGTGCAGCTTGTGTTAGGATACCAGTCCGATTGCCTAACGTTAGTCAGCAAGCCCTGGTATGTCTGAAGCTCACTATTCCCTTACTCAAATAATCCGCGGCATCAGTCTTGTCTGGATCGTTATATGATGCATAAAAATCATAGTATACCACATCCGGATGGGTTACGACGACGTCGGTCTTCCCTCGTTAGTGGTTTTACGAAAGAGACAGAATGGTTACTCACACCGACATGGTCTTCCAAATTATAACCAATAGGGAGATCGATCCAGGAGGTATTGGAGATCATTGTGGGACCATCTGTAGACGACTGAACCACTTCCAATTGGTCCGTAGGCCCAATACCACCTACCACAGTTAAGAAATTTTTAATAACTGAAAAGACTTTTCATACTTACTTCGCATTAGGATCTTTGGTGAGCCAAAGGCTCCAGCTGAGAGAATAACTCTTCCTGTAACAGATGTCAAGTTCACGGTTCCTTCATAACCTCCATCAAAATACGCTTCAACCTCTACCCCAGTGACGTGGCCTCCAGTTCTTATCACCTTTTTGACTGTTGTATTCAGCCAGAGATGGAAATTGCTTCTAGCTTTTGCAGTCACGAGGTATGTAGCCATTGGCCCACCACGCTCACCGTGAGAGTACATATACTCAGTATGTCCGTACGTATGATTTTTCAATTCTGGATAATCATTGACGGTTATAGACTCCCATCCGGAACCTTCTAACCCACCTGCTATTACGTGGAAACCTTGTTGTAAGTATAGCTTCCCGTCAGTCGATGGGTGGTCAGTTCCAGGTATTCGTGAGAACACCCTTTCTGTGGCGTTCTCCATGTCGGCGGACTGCCAACCATCAGGGAAATTGTAATCCCAATCGAGAGAATATGGCTAAATTGGGCTGTCAGTTGGAAAAAAATCAGGGGTTTACCTAGGATATCATTTTCACACTCACTTTCCACCAAAGTCCGGCATTAACTGCTGTTCCCCCACCTAATACACAGCCTGCCATCGGCTGCACGTCCGTACATGCAATATCAGCAGAGTCAACCCAGATCTCGTTGTAAAATCCGGGGACGTCGAAGCGTGTCAGGTTTGACCCTCCCACCCAGTCAGGTTTCAAAGTACCACCCCAACGGCCAGATGATGGTGGGCCCTTTTCAATAAGTAATACACTCTTTCCACCTTCACTCAGTTTATCGGCGAGTGGAATACCCCCTGCTCCACCGCCAACCACAATATAGTCAAATACAGAGCCGCTGGGTACGGGAACCGATGTAGGGGTTGGTGAGGCGTCACCACCCCCGCAGCCTCCGGTCACAGTCTTATTGGCGAGGGTTGCCCAGGTGTCATAAGACGAGCTAGTAGCATGGTCGTCAAGATCAGCAGTCCAAATATTTTGAGTGTCGTGCTGGACAAATGAGGCATTGTTTGGACAAGATGGATTTGTGGGCGATTGAACTGCGTGGGCCCATCCAAGGTCCAAATTGCCTTCGCTAGTTGATGCATTGCCGCTCGTGCCATCTTGTTCCCATGATAGACAATCTTTGCACCGAAATATCAAAGTATAGTTTGTATTGGTGATAGTTGAAGATATCTGAGTGAGCGTTGCGTTTCCTTTGTACAGATCGGGCAAAACATAGCCATTGGCCCACCGAAAGGTTGTTAAAATGGTTCCGTTATATGGATAGGCCATCAACAGCAAATTACCGACCATCGTGCTTCCCATAGAAATCCCACACCATCCAGTCGATGTGGAATTCGTGGACGAGCATTGCTTTAGGCGAATATAGTTAGCGACATTCATTTATCTTCTTTTCTGCGGTGATTCAAGAAATACTGACAAGATACCCAATGAATTCAGTCGCATCCGTGGTCAACGCGTCTTTCGGAAGGGCGATACCGAATGTCATGCCACCTTGGGTCAGGGTAGAAGGAACCGGCCAGGTATCGAAGGTGATCCCTGTCCCGGGGTCTTTGTAGACCGTCGGTGTGGAACTTTGGGCGAGACATAATTGAACGACTGGGATTTATTTTCAATGTCAGTACTCTTTTTCAAGATCACAGCAACCAGAGAAAAGAGTGCTTATTTGTACATGGTAGTGTACTAACGATAATCCGAACGAGTTTATCGAATATCATCATATTGGCCAGGTCCTTTTATGCATCCTATAACATAGTTACATCAAGGAGTTATTTCTGGAGAAGACTGTTGTTGGATCGGCGGTTATGACAATCTATCCAGCAGCTGTGATTCACTACAGAAACTGTAGGGCAGAGCAGAATAAGGCGAGTTGATTGACGAACCCGATTTCAGGCACGAGTTCTCCTATATAAATTGATGTGTGAAATGACAAATAAGGGCCTTGAGATCAGTCCCATTATCTCCTCTTGCTATGTAGTAGGTTCCGTAGGAATCCATGCGGAGAAAAACAGCCAGCAAAATGACCATCAGCTTTCCAACCTGCGGAGATTTAATCGACTATGCAGATCGTTTCGCCGACGCTGGCATGGTTCTTGGCGGCTGGCTTTCTATGTAGATCGGGAGCATTACTGAACAACGACATTATTTGATCGACATGGCATGCACCAACTCAGGACCATTACATATGTGCAAAACTCGCAGAGGTCTGGTCCTATTTTCCATGTTATTAAGTCTAAATATACAGAAGTATATTTTTCATAAATTATGTATCACCGTTACTATCATATAGAGTGCTTTTTTGACGTTGTAATGTTTCGTGTAGACGATTTGCTTGAATGGAATCTTAGATACTTGCAATTTCCGCAGAATGCTCGCGATTTCCCCGCAATTCCCTTCCAAAAGCCTGGGTTACACAGGTCCCAACCCAGCGCACAGCACGTACCTGGGTAACTACCGGCAGTGTTTGGATAGGATTCCGGACTCTGTTCGTGTACAACCTAGGAGACGCCTGAAAGATCAGATCCCATTCGCACAGAACAGTCAGCTTGAAGAACTGCTCGTATTCTGCAATTATGCTGAAGCTAATATTGATGCTCTCAAGTGCTGTGTGAATTTCGAGAATTGCGTGGTGATGGGAGACGCCGACCTCAATGTATCTATTTCGGATGTGATGACGCTGATAAGAAAAGGACTTAGGTCTGTTGAATTGATATTAACCCGTGGATCATCCCCTATTTTATCCTTACTGAGAGCTTGAAACTTAATATTTTGGAATTTCCAGAAGCTCTTGCGGGTTTCTGAAACATATCGGAGCAGGGTTTTTGAGAGAGAAATGAGCGATATTTTGACAGATCCCGTACATCTCCAGATGTCTCCACTACGGGCGCCTGTTACCAGTCAGTGGGCTCAGGAAGGTGAGGCTGGAAGCGGCAACATCTCTATCATACGATGCCTCTGGTCATCCGCGCTGTAGAGAAAATTCTGCAAACCTACGGCAAAAATGGCCTTACTAACTCTGTTTTATTAACAATTTTATGAGGAAAGCATGTCTACTTGTATTCAGGACGCCATAACTCTCGTTGCATATACTAGTCCCACCTCAGCGGAAAAAACAATGCTGCAGACTGTTGAGAAGCCCTCGTGTCCCTTACGGTATGGCATATCCTGTTTTTATATATATATATATACGTATATAAGATAACTTAATCGTTTCTATCTAGTGAAAACAGTTGATCTAAATACATCAATTGATATGTATCTAGTCGAATCCGGGTACAGTTTCCTGACTAGGAAATCCAACCCATCGGCCTTCTCCGGTCATCCTTGAAACATCGCTTGGAGGCAGTAAATAAAACCGCATACGCCACAGTGATCTACGAATATCCCTCAACTGATTGGTCTATCGCAATTCACTCACTGCTACTGAAAAACTAACTTGAAATCTAACATCACTGCCACCCATAATTAGGTAATATCCAGCCATTGGGTGGTACGACTCTGAAGATATTCACAATTGTAACGGTTTTAATGAAGTCTATTTCCTTAAACAATTCGAACCCCATGAAATTGGTCACCTAAATACGCCACCTGCTCGCATCTAAACGCCACAGAAAAAAGGAAGATCGAAGTGCGGATTCGAAAATGCGGATCACGCGTATGTTATGCAGGGTTATGAGCGACTTATGTCGCGCTGCGAGGAAAATTTGCGCGGTTCCAAGACTCAAGCTCCACAACATCGCCAATTCCGGTATGTCGCCCCCATATTAATGATCAGATTCGTGGGTTAGAGTCTTGGCTTCACTAAGTTTTTTCTGACTTCCCAGTACAAAATAAAAGAAATTTCTACATTTGAATTAATACCTCAAACCAACATGACCAGGCAGTGCCGACTCATGACCAAGAAGTACTCGGTTTTTTTTCCCTGGTTATTATCACTAGCATTTTTATACTCCCGATAGCCTGAAAAAATGGGCGTAGCTTCTGTTCACAGCAATGACAGCATCCGGGGAGCCAAGCAGAAAAAGGACTCGTGTGCTCATGGATCTTTAACACACTCCAACGCCAGCGACAAGGATGCCAACGCGACAGAGCGACAGGATACTGCAAACACATCGGAACTAGTAAGAAATAGATCTACTCTGCAGGTTGCTTTCATGTCATTTGTTCTAGCTTCCATTCCATATGGACTGTCAACCACTATGTTTTATCCCCTTATCAACGGAGGTCCCGTAACTATCATCTGGGGATGGCTTGCAGTTTCATTGATCATCATCTGCGTGGCAGCGTCCCTTGGAGAGATCACAAGCGTATATCCTACCGCTGGCGGAGTTTATTATCAAACGTTTATGTTGTCGCCTGTCCGATGGAGAAAGTTAGCAGCCTGGACTTGCGGCTGGTCTTACGTTGCTGGCAACATCCTCATTACCCTGGCCGTCAACTTTGGAACGACGACATTCCTCGTTGGATGTATCAACGTTTTTGAGTCCGAAATTGGAATTGGTGGGCTTGCAAGTGAGACCTATCAGCAGTTCCTGATTTTCGTTGGCATAACCTTAGTATGCAACGCCGTCTCGGCACTAGGAAATAGATGGCTACCCTTACTTGATATATGCACCCTTTCCCCCGCTTTGGCAGTATTGATCCATAGCTGATTTCCTTCCAGACCTTTGCCATCTTTTGGACATTCGCAGGCTTGATCGCTACTATAGCTTGTATTTTGGCCCTAGCTAAGAATGGTCGACATTCAGCTGATTACGTCTTTGGACACTTTGAGCCCATGTCCGGCTGGACCTCCGGCTGGGCATTTTGTGTAGGCCTTCTGCAGGCAGCCTATGCGACATCTTCTACCGGAATGATTGTATCGTACGTCCTAGAAGACCCAATGCGATTACCCCATCAACTAGCTTACACTCCCTTGTAGCATGTGCGAAGAAGTTCAAAACCCGAGCGTCCAAGTCCCAAAAGCTATGGTCGGAGCAGTGATTCTCAACACTTTCGCTGGACTCCTTTTCCTCATTCCTTTGGTTGTCGTCCTTCCCGATCTCTCCGAACTTGTCACTATTGCATCCAGCCAACCTGTCCCCGTGATCTTGAAATCTGCGGTCGGTAACTCTGGCGGTGCATTCGCCCTGTTAATCCCGCTTATCGTCCTTGCTATGCTATGCGGCATAGGCTGCACGACTGCTGCCTCGCGCTGTGTGTGGGCATTTGCGCGAGATGGTGCCATACCAGGTTCACATCTGTGGAATCGAGTGGACAAATCCCTTAACATGCCTCTCAATGCAATGATGCTTAGTATGATAGTACAAATTGCTCTTGGACTCATTTACTTTGGCTCGGTTACAGCATTCAATGCCTTCTCTTCTTCCGGTGTTATCTTTCTGACTGTCAGCTATGCGGTACCCATTGCCGCCTCACTCTTCACCGGACGCAAACAAGTGAAAAATGCCAGCTTCAATCTCGGTGTCTGTGGTGTGTTCTGTAATGCGGTTGCTCTTTGTACGTTACTTTCATTTTCTCGACTACATGCATAGTCATACTAATCCGCTATTAGGCTGGACTGCGCTTGCAGTTCCCCTCTTTTGTATGCCCACATACCTCCCGGTTACTGCGGAAACGGTTAATTACGCCTGTGTCGTCTTTGTTGCCGTTATAGTCATTGCCTCCGGATGGTACTGGATTTGGGGCCACAAAAACTACCAAGGTCCTCTCGAGAATGGAATTCCAGTAGGTGTTGAACACCATACGTCAGATATATCATCTGAAGAAGTGGTCATTTGAGAGCCTCCGAGGACTTTGGAATATATATAATATCGTTTCATTCATATATCTTCAATTGGAAATCTTCAAATGTTGAATATTGGAAAGTAGCGCTGACTACTAGGAGACTCGCAGCATACATTAACGTACTCCAGGTGTGGAGCCCAGTAGAACGAATCCTGATTCTGCGCATTTGATCGAGTATTAAACTGTGAATCTCGGCTACAAATATTGTATTCACAGTGCATATCAAGTAAACATCTATACAAATATCCAGAAGAGAACTATTCACGAGGCTTCATTTATTACTTTAAACAGTAATGATTATGTATTATTTCAAAAGTCTATTATCGATTTTTGCTTCTTTCTATTCATCATATATTAAATGACGACATGCTGGTTTGACAATTGGAGTGTCGCCCATGGATTTCATTTAAAAAAAAACCGCTACCATCACATGCGCGAGTAGGCCTTTTTGCTCAAAAATGTCAAAATTTAACGGAAAAAATAAAGGTCTCGCGGGGAATCGAACCCCGGTTTGCAGAAGATCAGCCAATCAAATTGGACATCAGAATCTGCCGTGCTACCGTTACACCACGAAACCATTTGTTGGTGGGTTTTTCAAATAAAGCTTTAAGAAGGTGAACCATAATTGTTCAGCATAAATCATCCGCCTTCCAGAGTTTCATAATTTTTCAGTGGCACATTAAGTGCACTATAATTTCCAATACTTTTAAATAGATATAAGCTACATATAATAGTTCTCGTTATATACTCTAAAGTCAAACTAATTAATCTAAAGTCCCTGATAACACCTCTATACAAATATAGAGTGGTTGGTGTTGATTCTATATAAAAGACATGATATAAATTACAGGGGACTAGAGGATCACATCATTGATGTCTCAGCACCAGACATCTATATATACTAGGCCAAGTCCTCTGTGTGTTATTAAAGCCTTATTCATTCCTTAGTTCGGTACAAGCATAATTCTCTATTCATGTATGTATTTACAAGTCTGGCTGGTTAATAAAGCTTTAATAAAGTAAAATGATGTTAGAGGCGCCGATATTGAAATAAGTAAAGGAAACACTGAGTTTCCTGGGCTCACAAGTTGTTTAGTCTATTGTCTGAGTGTGGGATATCCTCTCAACCTCACGTCGCATTTCATCGAAGCCCACTCACTGCTCGACATCCTCGATATTAAACAGTGCATACATTGGTCAGTAAACTAGGGGCGGTCCGATTGTATCTGCGCTAAACCCGCCAGCCGGTAGAGCACATTTCTTAGCCAATAAGAATTGGTACTAACCCCTCGCAACCGTTGCGCGTGCGCATGGCACATGCTCGTATGCACAACATCTCCGGTCCTGTCAGCACGTGTGTTGTCCACATGCATACTTATTTACCAAGGATTAGATGCCATACTCCATACACCTTGCTCTCGCCCAGTTTGACGGACGTTATTCATTCTTATTCATTCCTTTGTAACACATCACCCGTATCGAGATTAATACATTCCACGGCGTGCTCCGCTCCAAATTCCCAATTTTCAACTCCCAATTCCCAATACAACGCTGGGCATATCCGTTTTGTCATGAGTTCTAGATAGTTTAAATGTATTGATACCCTCCTTTTTTTAACGATTTTCTTGTCTATCTTTACAAGTGAAAATGCCCTCAACGAGACCAGAAGAATTCGACTACACAGGCGTGCATGAGCCGCTGCTTGGCGATGATCGATCTGTGGACGTGCAAACGGGCAGCGATGAGGCCTTGAAGAATGACATATCGCCAGAGTCTGTTATACCGAAAGTGGTTGCAGTTATGATATGCTTCGTTTCTGTAGGGATATTCACTGGGTCGGTTGGGGTAGGTATTTTTGTCTCTACCATGTACCTGACATCTTGTACTAATCCCGAGATTCCTACTCTAGGCTCTGATTCCTTCAGTTAGTTCTCCCCTCCTGTTGTATTTTTCTCCTCCATTTCTGACTTGAACACAGCTAGAGACATATTACAATATCCAAGACGCCAAAGTGACTTTGATCTTGATCATGAGTGTAGCCGGATATCTGATTGGTGCCGCCAACCTCGACAGTATTCATCTGCTCACCGGCCGGCGAGGTGTTGCCCTCATAGCCGCCAGTTTACATGTCCTAGGGATTGCTATTCTTGCGACCAAACCAACATACGCAATCGCTCTTCTTGCGTATTTCTGCTGCGGCATGGGCACCGGATGCGTTGATGCTGGATTCTGTGCTTGGGCAGCCAATGTTCATCACGCGAACGCTGTTCAAGGCTCAATCCACGGGGCCTTTTCTGTGGGCTGTGTGGTTGGTCCTATTATTGTCGCGGCTCTGGAGAAAGCCGGATTGGAGTGGAATGTGTTTTATATGGTCATGGTAAGACACCATTCAGCTAGTTTCTCATTTGCGAGCCACGATCTGAGGCAGCGCTAGCTAGGAACATTTAGCATCGAACTGTGTGCTCTCCCCTTAGCCTTCCGACGTGATAACGGCCCGACATATCGCGCATCTAGGCTCGACGAGACTCGAGCTAAGGTGACACTTGCCGATGGAAAGCGGCCGATCATATACTGTGCCCTGTTTTACCTTTGCTACGTCGGGATTGAAAGTACGTTCCCCCGCCCCAGCAACAACATTGAATGTGCTAACTAATATCGCGACAGCATCTCTATCCACCTGGCTAGTAACCTTAATGAGCCGCAGTCGCGAAAGCTCCACATACGTTGCAGCGCTCACTTCATCAATGTTCTGGGGCGGCATGGCCATCGGACGATTCACACTGGGCCCTCTGGCACGCGCCGCCAATCTGCGACTAATCGTCATTGTATACATTCTTCTCTCTCTCCCAGTACAGCTATTCTTCCGTTTCTCTCTAAACGGCGGCCTGTCCTTGGCATTGGCAGGCGGCATCGGATTCTCATTTGGCCCAATGTTTCCGGCTGGAGTGCTCATGTTGAGTAGCCAGCTTCCGAAAAGCCTTCAGGTGCGAGGCTGTTCAGTTGCTGCTAGTGTAGGCCAGATTGGTGGTGCCGGCGCACCGTTTCTGCTGGGTTTGGTTGCGCAGTCGTTGGGCATTGAGCGATTGCTTGATCTGGTGCTGGTCATGACGATTTTGCTGCTTGTGATCTGGTTGAGGTTTTCTAGGCGTGACGAATGATGATACAATTTACCACTGTGTAAGTTTACTATTTGTGTATGCTGCGGGCGGTTACACTATTTCGGATTCTTATTATACATATTTGGAAATATGATATTTTTTTACGTACACATGTTGTGTCTGCAACCGTCATGACGCGTGCCTACATCAAGTAATATACATACTACCAGGGCTGAAATCAGGATGACATCCACAATTTCATAATAGCTCATCAAATAACATATTTCGATACTACACTTCGAAATTTAGTTGTCCTAGTTGGTATAATGTAATGTTGTCACCGCGTCAGTTGCGGTTGGTGGGTCCTCACTAATGACTCGCCGTGGTCCCTCACCTTAATCTCATCAGGATCGATCTTTCATACTCGCGCCACGCTCACTATTCTCACACCAGACACGGTTTTACACCCACTTGACAGTCATTCTTTAAGCAAATGACGCTTTTGGACCATTCTCAAGTTCGCTCTACATCATGCTACATCTCTCCCCGTGAAGCTCATCAGCTGAGTAACCACCATGGAGGCAACATCCCCATCTCCAACTCCCGTTCCCTCCGAAAAACATCAGACAGGAGACAACCCCAAACCCTCGCGCTCCTCCAAATTCCGTTTCAAATCTAGTAAACGCTACTCATCCCGCGACACAGATGACTCAACAAACCATCGCCATCGCCATCGCGATCGTCATCATCGATCCCACCACTACCACCACCGTCACCGCCGCAACCATGCCTCCGAACAGCCCAAACCCTCCTCCCCCTCCCCCTCCTCAAACCACCACCGCTCCATATCCCCCGAAACCGCATTCCGCGAATCCCTCTTCGACGCCATGGCCGACGACGAAGGCGCCTTATACTGGGAATCCGTATACGGCCAACCCATCCACACCTACTCCGTTCCGTCTGTGCCCGGACCAAACGGCGAATTGGAGCAGATGAGCGAGGAGGAGTACGCGACGTACGTGCGGCGACGGATGTGGGAGAAGTCGCACGAGGGGATGATGGAAGAGCGGGAGCGACAACGAAAAGAGAGGGAGAAAGAAAGGCATCGTCATCATGCGGCAGAAACAGCCCAGCAGAGGCAAGGGTTTGAGAAGGCGATGGAGGAGAGTCTGCGGCGGGGGGAGAGGAGGAGGAGAGTGAAGGTCTGGAAGGGGGTGTGGGAAAGGTATATGAGGAGTTGGGAGGAGCTGAATAACGCAGCTGCGTCAGCAGCAGGGAAAGAAGAAGGGGGTGAGGGGGTGAGGAGGCATATACACTGGCCGGTGGAGAGCGGGAAACAGCGAGATGTAAGGCGAGACGCGGTCAGGGAGTTTGTGTTAAATGCGCCATTTGCAGCAGATGGTAAAGGGGATATCTTAAGTGTGATTAAGAGCGAAAGGGTGCGGTGGCATCCAGATAAAATGATGCAGCGGTATGGCGGGTTGAGACTAGGGGAGGATAAGGCAGTGGTGAAGAGTGTGACGGAGGTTTTCCAGATTCTGGATGATTTGTGGACGGAGGAGAGGGGAAGACAGTGATATTATATGATACGGATTGATGTGCATGTTGAGCGTGCTGTTATGATACCCATCAGTTATTACTTTTATATTCGAATTGAAACTACCACGGCTATGTTTACACCTCATTTTGATAACAGACGTAATACATGAAAATGAAACGCTGAAGAGCAGCATCGAAAACAACAACCATCCCGAAAGTCAGGAAAAAGAATATTCAGGAATGATGAAAAGGAAACGTAGCAAAGCATTCAACTATCATCAACCCCTTTCAGTAAGCACGCTAGAATCTGGACTGTCTCTTGCTAGTCCTATAAATCGTGTAACCAACGTACGCACCGCCGACGGCACCTAGGAACAGGAAGGTCTTGAAGAAGAACCACAGCCAACCGCCAGACTTCTTCTTCGGCGTGGACCGCGCGCGCCCGGGCTTGCCAGAACGACGGTTTGGTCCGGTGCCGTGGTGGTCGTACAGGTTGTTGGTGGTGACGGAGATGATGTCGTGGTTGTCGGTGACTTCGCCGGTTTCGCCAGAGAATCCGAGGTATGCGACGGAGGGGATGTTGAAGTTGGTTTCAGGCGAGTTCAAGGAGAAGCAGTTGGTCCATGAGCCGTCGGATTTGTATTGTAGGTCTAGTGTGAGAGATTTATCTTGGAAGTAGGTCAGTTTGGCCTTTGTGGGGACCGATGCGTCACGAATGCCGCGGGCCTGTATAAATCTCGTAAGCTGGGCTAATAATCAAATATATGAATTGTTCGTACCGAGCAGCCTGCAAGTTCATTCTCCTTGCCATCATGGGCCTGGTCGTATGCGGTCTGGCCATCACCCAACATAGCCATGACGTAGGGGAACGAGGTACCGGGTCTGTTGTTCTTGTATGTATCAAAGAAAATCCCCAGGCCCTCAAACTTGTCTGCAGAGCCGAATACAGGGCCTGGGATGGCACGCTGTTTCGTAAGCCAAAGCGCGAATCCGTCGCCGTGCAAATGGCCTGAGCCGTGGAGCTTGAACTCGAATTCGATCTATTCCAGCATTAGACTCGCCATCATACTGAAAAATTGTGGAATGAGTGCTGACCTCCCAGTTTGTGGCGGTCAGAGGAACGCGTGAGAAGATCCAGCCTTGTTGGGACTGTCGCTCGGAGGTGAGACGGACATATCTAGTATTCACATTCAGCATCAGCATTCTGCATGAGCAGAGATTATGTTCTTCACATACTGGTCGGTACGGATAACAGTGTCCCCGCCAAAATCCCACCATCGACTATGCATATCCGAATCCAGGTACGGCTGTACAGTTTAAATTAGCAAACCACTCTATGGATTATTCCAGCATGGTGGTCCGTACCGAAGATAAGCTATGGGTTCGCAACTAACCAAGCGCAATTAGTATGCATTGTTGACGTTGATTGATCCGTTCTCAACTCACCGGTAGCATTTTGATATCAGTGTCCTGCCAATACGTCGTAGCTGCGCTCACGGACAGGGCCAGGCCCACGACCGTCGAAGCTAGCTGCGAGAACCACATGGCGAGCGAGCTAGAGGAACCAGAGCAAAAGATTGTAAAGAAGAAAAATTGTAGCAGACAAATTGTCGGGATGATGTGTATGTAGACAGAGAGCGGAAGAGTAGTGCAATACTCGGTAGTATTCAACAGGCGAGTCTCATACAGAGGACTCGTGCGAGCAGGTAGAAACCGATGGCGGCTGAGAGAGTGAAGGTAAATAATCAATGTCACCGGGACATGCAAGAGCTCGCAAACATTGACCACCGAGATCGTTTGCGGTGGGAGTGGCAGGGCACAGTTGGGTTATTGGAGGGGATGTAAAGACAGAAAGGTGGCTTCTAGAGGGTGCAGTGCAGCCACTGAGGAACTGTTGGAGATCGCGGTGGCCATACCTTACAACCAACGTTATTTACAGGTGTCCACTTGCCTGTGGCTGCGTGGCTGCGACTGCGACTGCGGCTCAACCCGGCCTAGTCTAGACTAGCCACATCTCAGCCACCCCGGTCAGTGAGGTCACTGCAAGTTTTTATCTATCATCTACAAAATCACCAAACCCCGCGAACTATCTGCATCCAATACACATACACATACACATACACAGCATCACAATGGCGCTCTTCGGTTCCTCAGAAACCAGTTCTTCCGATAGCTCCACCGAGCTTAAGAAATCCCTGATGCAACAAGTCCAAGCAGAGGCAGCGATGAGCAATGCCCGCCTGCTAGTCGCTGTACGTTTCCCCTTCACCTTTAACTATCCCAGAACAAATCTAATCCAATAAAACAGAAAATCAACGAGAACTGCTTCGAACGCTGCATCCCATCGCCCGGATCGTCGCTGTCCGCTGGCGAAAACACCTGTTTGTCGTCGTGTATGGAAAAATACATTTCGGCGTGGAACTTGACGAGTCGGACGTATGTTGCGCGTGTGCAGAGTGAGGCGAAGAAGATGGGTGCTTCGGCGGATGTTTTGGGGGGTTTGTAAGCACACAAAACAACAAGAAAGCATGAAGAAGGAAAGAAGGAAGGACGGGAGGGTTCCGTCTTGTATCATTATAAAAAATCATTATAAAGGGTCATTGTACGAATAGTGTACAATAATGGATTGTCATGACACACATCACTGACATCACTGCATAAATAGCATTCGATTATTCAATGTTGAATAGAATTCCATTATGAAATCTTGCTTCATATTGTTTACTAACTTTTATAACAATAGCAGCCTTCTATTGGCGAAATTCATGTTGACGAAAGAACGAACTCCTGGGATAAGATAGGCCAAAGAAATAAATGCCGAATATACAATAACACTATAACTCCATATCTCAACCCAAAAAGATAAGAAAAAGAAAGAAAAAAAAAAAACAACAAAGGCAGAAGAATAGAAGACACCATTCCAAAGCCCGCCTTAGATTTCCAAGCCATCTTCATAATCAATCCAACCCGTCTGCTGCACTCATCATCTACCCCCTTGCCTTCAGCTGTTGATAACAATAACTGCAGCCTTGCATATATAAGTAATACAAAGGCTGAGGAATCCACGCTTGAATCATTGAGTAATGTATGTCTTATCTTGTTTTATCATTTAGTCTTAGAACATATTTCCTTCTAGGAAATGTCAGGAACCCCATTACGGTAGTAAGTCGGCGTGATCAGATCTGTGGGCGTCGATTTTAGAATCATCCTGCCATGAATGCCAGCTGATTAAAACTCGGTGAAAAGGTTGTGATATCTAGATTGTCCGTTGTCAGTCGCAAATAGGGTATAGTATTGGAAAACAAGGGACTTACGGGTCTTCTCCATGAGCACCATACGCTTCGTTCTCCTCCGGGTACTTGTCAAACTGACTAGCATCGCCCTGTCCAGCTCTGACCGGAGGCACATATGGCGCATCGATATCCTTTCTCAACAGCCGATCCCACGTGACCTCGGCAAACCAGGGATGACTCTTGACATCCTCGGGACCTCCGTGCAGATTTCCAAGACGCTTCGTTAAGTCCGGTGTGATGAGTTGTGAGAGCAGGTCGACGGCATCAGGGTGCATGTACGGCGGAAACTTGATTTTTCCGCGCAAAATGTTCTCGTATATTTTGACTGGGGAACCGCTGTCCCAAAATGGGGTGAAGCCGCAGAGCATCTCGAAAATGAGAATGCCTAATGACCACCTACAAATCATTAGACATGCTACCTCTCCTTTAAACTGTGACACTTACCAGTCCACCGACTTGTTATATCCCTTGGAGGAGACGACCTCGGGAGCTAGATAATCAGGGGTTCCGCAAAGGGTCCATGTGATATCAGGTACTTCCTTTGCAAATCCGAAATCGGTAATTTTCAAATGCCCATGCCGGTCCAGCAGCAGGTTCTCGGGTTTGAGATCCCGGTAAATGATGTGTTGAGCATGTAAATATTCCAAGGCAAGCGTCACCTCTGCAGCGTAGAATTTGGCGACGGGGTTGGGGAATCTCTGTATTAATTAACAACAACCTCAACAATCAATCCATCTCATCAATCAACCAGAGGGGAACTTACTTGTGACTTACGGAGCAGGCTAAACAGCTCCCCTCCTTCCACAAAGTCCATAACCATGTACAAATTCTTCGAGTCCTGGAATGTTCCCCATAGCGTGACAAGAAACGGGTGTTTGACGCGCTGCAGCATCCTCCTCTCGTCATTGGTATGTTCGACCTGCTTCATCTTCACCACCTGTGCCTTTTTCAACACCTTGACGGCGTAGAAGCGATGGTTATGTCTCGACTGGACCAAGTGCACGCGGCCGAAACTGCCAGTGCCCAGCGTCCGTTGTAGCGTAAAGTCTTCTAGTGAATATTTCCCCTTTGTCTGGCGCGGCTGTGACTTTGCGATCTGGAACTGGTTCGCCTGTTGCGAGAGCGCCTGCATGGCGGCGGAATCGGCGCCATGTTGTTGTTGCTGCTGTTGATTCGGCTGCGGCGGGTTGATGATGCTGTTTATGCTGCCTATGCCCTGGGTGTACTGCTGGGTTGAGTTGTTTGGGGGCGGCGGGGAGTGATGGGCGGTGGAGGTCATTGGGGTATCGGACGGCGTGCCCTTGTTGGAAGACTCGGTTTTGTCGCTGGAATCCTTGCCGGACGGGCCCGGGAGCTGGTCGGCGTCAGAGGTTTGTTTATTCTTGTTGTTGTTATTATTGTGATTGTGGTTATCGGCGGATGACGAGGGCAGGTCCCTCGAGCCGGTCGAGTGTGTCTTTTTCTTTTTCAGCAATCCTCCTAATGTCGGCATGGAGCTAAGGGCAGCAGCTCTTTTCAGACCGCCGAGAGTCTGAAAAAGAATCGGGCGATGATACGATCAATTGAGGTGTACCGGTGTAGGTTACGCGTGGGTGTAGGTGCCAGGAAGAGGCCTGCTGACGGTACGCAACGTAATTTGGCGAGCTGCTACTGCCGACCGCAATTGGCGGCTCTGCTGGGGTCGGATGAGGGAGAGAGGGGAGAGGAGATGCGATGCAACAATGAGGGGAGAAGATTGTCAGTCTGTTGTCAGTCCAGCTAGTTAGTATGCGTAGTGCATCAGTGCAGGATGTGCAGCGCAGTCGATGACCACAGGACTTGCGAGCCGGGCCCCCTCTGACGTACCAAGCGGGGTTGGCTCAAGCACCCAATTTTAGCCAACAGTCGATAAGGATGGCGATGCTGTTGATGACACTTGATACAGTTGTGACGGACAAGGGACGATCAGCCTCTGTTCATTATTTGCTAAACAATGATCTGCTCTTTCAGCACAGGACCAGATGAGATTCTGATGCATCAATGAGGCCAGACTGCAGCTTAGAGTCTCAGCCAAGGCTTGGGAAAGGGCGTCAATCCCTCCCGTTTGCGGCGTCCAGTCTGCGGGGCTAATAGTATGGCTGGCTCTGCTGATTGATCAGGCTCTGACAATATTAATGTTATTGTTCAGGTGATAGAAATAATTATGGCAGATCATGAATGACGATGAGTGAAGACTGAAGAATGCAGTTAGAGTTTGTATGCAGCGTCAACGTTGCAGTGGACAAGGAGCCAGACAATGCGGCGGTTGTCACCATTAATTAAGCCATCATAATTGCTGCAGATACAAGAACAAAGAGTCCTGTATGCCACATACTGTGCTTATGATTGCTACTCTAATTAAAATCAACCACTTTTAAATTGATTTATTATCCTTATCAATTTATCCTTTTTGCACCTTATAAGGCCAATAGCCATATCCCCGTACTACTAGTTACTAACCTACTAATTCTACCGGTTTACTCCTTTTATTCTCATTCTTTATACCCTAATAGCCCTGTTTCATATCGAAAATTCAATACCACGTCAATTTCAATTCTTATGGGATTTCGCCCCACCTCAGGGATTGTCAACTGTAATCTAACAACTGTGACCATCTTTCCAATCTTTTTGAGCTAGCTGTCAATACCGGGGTTGGGGGCTTAATCTGCTACTGATACCACATTAGACAAGGCTGAATTGGTGTGGGGGTGATAATACTCACCACCTATTTACATCCGCACTGTATGTGAGGACTTGACTGTTAGTCAACCGATGTTTCTATTAATACCTACCTATACATACGTCTATCCCGGTTCCTTCAACGATGGAAACTTGCGAGTCTGATCGTATCTAGATCTGTCTTCTCATACTACTCTCTGCGCGCCACCAACTCTTCCACATCCCAATTAGCAGTCACAATAGTACCGTGAGGAAGCCGGCCTCGGGGTTGACATGCCAACTACAAAGTGACTGATAACGTTTAGCCTTTATAATGTTGTATGAACGTCGTAGCCTATATTCTGAGGCATGACATCCACACGATAATCTTCTTGGAATTAAGGATTCTCGCTTCCATTCTTGACGCCTCATTATTCATTATAACAAGGTTGTAGCAATAACAGCAAGTATACCCAGTGAGTCTGCTCCAGCTGAAATAATTTGGGCTCTAATAGTTCCTGATGATAAACAACAGGGCCAGGGGTCTAGATATTGACAGGATTTGTTAAAATTATATATGTAAGTTGGGATTGTTATATCTACAGGCACAGGATATAAATTGATGGATATAAATAGCCACCATTTGCTATTCAGTTTTATGGAGTGATATATTAGCTTATAATCTTCAAATTTTCCGATTTTTATTAATGTCATTGAATATTCTAATCCGTAGAAGGGGATTCTCATTCCGCATTGGCCCTGTAACTAGAAAATACAGCTAATATCATCATTACCACACTCTAACTGATGAAACTAGGGAGATTATTTACTGTGCCGCTAGTTGGAGGAACATGAGTGGATGTAGCTTTTGAACTTCTACTTGGTGTTAGTGTGGATGTTGCTGTTCTCTTGTTTATCAACAAAATGGCATTGATTTGAGTTTATAGTTTATAAGCAGAGAAATCAATTGAATCAGGGTCAGTTGAGTTGCTAATGATAAGCCTTAGAGTCGAAGAATTGTTCACTGTTATCTGAAATTGTGGCTAATAGATATATCCAGTTAATGATCAGTATTTTCAGTTATTGCTATCCATAATCCCCTTATTTGCTTATTGAGAGAGTATTTGACAGGTATGACATTATAACTCATATTAATATTTAAATCCAGATTACTAAAAAGGTATAGCAACTTGGTCGTGTGAGCAGTACCAAACTCAGAGAGGGCTGACTGAAGTATTATGTCCAGCCATACATATATAGAGTTATGTGTATACTGAAGTGTATGTCCATACTGGAATATTCCTGTGTACGGCTTCCACTACACCCTGGTATCCTGGAAATTTTAAATGGGTGTTGGTAACAATGATTGCTATGGCTTTAATAACAGCCAGCCTGGTTAAATTGCTGGTTAGAGATTTGAAAAGAGATAAAGAGTAATATGCTTAAATAAACTGAGCAGTGGTATCAAAGTTATCATAAAGGAATTCTGTATATTAAGATGTATTGGTATTCTAATAATTTTAATACTGTTATACTGGGTGAGAGTATCTATTATTCTTTTTTGATCTTTAAAGTTTGTTTAGTTAGTTATTATTTAGAAGGTAAAATAAGAATAGTTATATGTATACTAAATCTAATAATTATTAGAACTCATAGCCTATGATTTGAGGGGTGCTTATTGATAACAGTGTTATTTATATAGGGCTAGAAAGAATTTGTTTTTAGATTGTTGATGTTAATATGGTTAGATGATTTGAGTCCTTCATTTAGGAAGGTATTGTTTTCTTACACCTCTTTCAGCTTGGCGATAGTCTTGGACTTTAGACAGGGTTTTTATAGAGAGGTCAGTTTCTAGAAACAAAAATAGGAAAGTTCTGTACTCCCATCACCCACACTGCACTTAAGGGCTTTGGGATATGGTGCACCAGTGCTTTACAGGGTCGAACTTAAGAGGAGTTGGGTACTAGAGATCGACTCCATGATGGTAGTTTTGAAGAGAGAGGTGCTTAAGGAAGATAAGTAATAGTAAACATGTTTATAGCATCAGCTGATTCTTGAACTAAAACCATCTTTTTCTGTTTTGGAAATTTGTTATGAGTTAATATCTCCTAGTTTAGCTTATGACTAAATTTGAATATACTGTGTCATCATAAGAGAAGTAATGTTGTTTTGAATCTACTCTAATCTGAGAAAGATGTCTTGAATCCTTTAGTTATTATAAATTCTGGTACTATTAAGTCTTAAAAAACTAAGAGGTATAAGTCTATAGTTAATTAATACAAGAATTCTATTCTTATCTATAATGATATAACTATCGTATAGAGGATTAAAACTTCTGTTAAAAATGTCTAATTCTATTGTAGACCTAAGCCTTTACTAGGAGCTTCAAGTCTTTAATAGCACTTGATAGGGTATTAACATCTATACAAAGATTAAAAGATTGGTCTATTAATATTCAATAAAAGGATATAAGATATTTATTGAAAAGACCTATAGTATAGTGAAACAGCCTGGCTTCATTGTGAATATGGTCTGGTAACTCATAGTGAAATGAAGAACTTGTTGATATGGTCCTAGAAGAAGCAAGAATTGTGCCATGGATATTTCTCCCTTATATAGGTAGCTCCAGGACTCTTTCTTATTATTTTTCTAGTATCTGATTTGACATCATTTTAGCTCTTTCAAGTGGCTAGACTTAGCCAGTTTGACGACTGAGGCTTAACTAGACTGCGTTTTAGTTATAAAATATGGATTAGCTTGAGCCAACGCTTCAGTCACCGTAGACCCAAATGGCACGTTAATTCGTGTAAAGATCAACGCATGTAATTGCAGCAACTACCGTGGTAGCAACTACAGGCATATTACCTACATAGGAAGGACTCCATACTTTACTATATAGTAAAGACAGAATTTGTAGTGGGTGCCAGGTGAAAATAATTACAGCCCGGCAGATATAAAATTGATATTAGAGGTCAGAACTAACCACATCAGCAAACAGTGAATTTCTAGTAAGAACATCTGTAATTCTGCTCAGTACATCATCCGCTTGATTGATATGACCTGTTTCAATTGCATGTTTGGATTGTTCGTATAGAGTAAAATGATTCTGATTGGTCAATTTCTTCAATTTTGGAATAAGCAACTAGCAAGGCAATCATTTCACGACAATATCTAATATTGCGGAGCAACGCATTATTTTTGACTTGGAAAGGAAGAGCCTCCATTAATGCCATTTTTTTCAACATATTATTCTAAGCTTGAGTAATGACCTAGAATAGTAATTAGGGCTCGAGAGATCACGCAAGAATAGTTCTAGATTCATAGGGCTAGTCCTATCTGGGCTCGTGAGATGTTCGGCCAATCAGCGCATGGTGTGATCCAACAGCAACAATAACAACGTCAATGACTTTTCTCAACGAGGCGGTAGTATGTGTCAGAAAGAATATACGACTATGATACCAATGGAAATCCTTACTAAATAAGGGTTGCGCCATTTTTGGTATAGTGGTTAAAAGTTCAACAGCATGTATTAGCTCGAATACATGTATCCATGTGCTAGCTCTACTACCATAGCATGAAAGCTCAGGAGTAGTTAACCGAGTTGAGCAACTAATATATATGTAGTAGTGTAGATGGTGGTCAACTAGTGTCCATATCAATTCCCAGTCAGATGACCGATCCTACCACCGAGCTATACAAGTGGCTATATTTGTACTTCATAATTGATATAACGCATCTCAAAGGAAATGAGCCACTTAGCGTCGCACTTGATTTGTTATAGTCATTTATAGAGATGTATTCACCAGGAAAAAAAATGGTATCCTTGATATTCCGGACAACGAAAATGCCGTTAAACCCCAGCTTCAGATATCATGCATGTAACAGGACTAGTAAACGCCATTCCCATTGCTAATAAGACCAGCCGGCCACCACGTAAGAAAAAAAAACAAAAGAAAAGAAGAGCGGTACACGTGAATGAATCTAAACCCGAAAATGCTCCATGTTCTTCTTAATCTCGCCAACAATCTCCGTAGCCTCGGCCTCATTCCTGGCTTCAAAATCATAGCGCTTCTGCTCATGCCCGTCTGTTCCGCGAAGAACCACGACGCGGAAACTCTTTGGGTGCCGGCGGCTGACTTTGCTGCCGACGATATCGTTGAAGTTGATCGAGCGCGTCTTTCCCGGGGTCTCAAACACGCCCTTGCCGGTTTCGCCGGGCATGATGTGCAGGTAGTCATTGTCGAGGACAAGGACTTTCTGGTTGGACGCGGTGAAGGACATGGATTGTTTGCGGTAGACGTAGTAGCGCCGGTAATAGCCGCCGACGAGATCCTGTTTCTGGGGCTGGGAGAGTGGTTGGAGGACTTGATGGCCTCTCTTGCCTTTCTTTGCGGCTACGAGGTTCGCATTGCCGATTTGAAGAGGTGCGTTGGGGGACGCGCTTCCAGGGGATCCGGCGAAGGATGCCCCGGCACCGAAACGCCGGCGAACGACGTCGAGTTCGGATACGTTGCCGAGGACTTCTACGGTGCGATCAAGTGGTGCGACTGTGTTGGAGTTCTGGACTTTGAGTAGGTAGTTTGCTTTGTCTAGTCCCCATCTCTTGCAAACCGAGTCTAGGATCTCCGCAATGTAGCTGTCAGTAGCGGTATTGACAGTGGTTGTTTGGCTCGAGCCTTCGATATTGACAAATCTGACTTTTAATGTCTTCTGCACGCCTAAGCGAGGTGTGGCATGAGACGTCGGCGCGGGCATGTCGGCTGGTGTCAAAGTATTGTCATTTAATGCCGAAGAGAATGGTTGGCCGAGGATCGGATTGGCTCTTGGTACCGAAGGCGCGGGCTTGTTGATTTGAGGAGGAGTAGTGCTAGAAGGAGCTTGAATGGTAGGGATGCCTTCGCTGGGCCTAGAAATAGGCTCGGGGTTGAATTGTGGATAAAGTCGAGAGTTTTCTGCAAACTCTGCATCCATCGCCTCAACCAACGCGAATTCATCATACTGCTTTCCTCTCATTCGGCCTCTCATACCAGCAGAACGATTGTTGTTCGAGGTAAAATCTTCCAGTGGACGGTTTCGACCCAAGGCAGGGAAATCATATTCAACTTCCCCATCCTCTACCATGCGCAACGTCCATCGGTTCACGTTCAGCTTATTAGGTTCGATAGATGGTTTGAGGTCCTCTTTCATATACCTCCACAAGGCTAGCCCAATGGCTTCTGTAACTGTAACGGGACGCAGCTGGTCGTGATCTCGGGATTCTCGGAATATAGGCATGTTGAAAGGTTCTTCTGGGTCTTCAGAAAATGGAGCGTAGATCTTGATGTTCAGAGCAGTGTTGGACTCAGCACCCCATAATGACGCAAACATCTCCAAGGGATTCTTAGGCACCGCTTTGCGCGCATTCAGCTCTTTCGACAACAAGCTAATTGGTTGCAAGGTGCTAATTGGTCGAGGCGGAGGCAACTCTTGCAACTCCGGGATCGCTGTTTTTAACTTCTTAGGCGATGCGCCGTGAGAGCTTGCATTGGGCAATTTGTGCATTACAGCTGGAGAGTCTAGAGTAGCGTTAAGCTCGACACCAGCCAGTAATGAAGCTGATCCAGCGGTAGCGCCAAAGTCTGATGACAGAACAGAATCAACAGATCCAGGTGCATAATCTTCGTCATGATCCTGGAGATCTCTAGAGTTCAACTCGCTGTTCTCATTCACATCATCTTCCGGTTCTTCGATAACCTCATGCCTCGAAGAAAACTGTATCTGCCGCCGTTTAAAGAGGGCAGGATTATCACCCTCAGACATGTCACTGCTAGTAACCGTATCGCCCCGCGGCCGCCCTTTTGTGATCTCAACAGTCCCAACAGAGCTTCGTCGATGCGCATTGTTTGCGGATGGCCGACTTGCCAAGGGCGCAGCTGACTCCGACCCTGATCGATCTCGCACTGGCATTTTGGAGAATTTGATCTGTTGGGCAGCTCTAGTGTAACACGTCAATATATACGCCACAATCATGCCGATGAGCAACTCACCTTCCACCCTCGCCTTCTTCTTCACTATCGTCGCTCAAATCACTACTATCTTCATCGTCACCCGCTCCTTGTTTTTGCTGATCGCGATGCTGGCGATCTCGTCGTCGATTCTTTCGGCCGCCGCGTGTGTGAATCCTTGCTCCGAACACGTAAGTACTGCCACCACCCCCGCCCGTCACCATCCCGCCCTCGTCCTCATCGCCATCGTCACCAATGCTGAAGCGATCATCCTCATTCTGATCACCATGATTATGTCTGGCAAAGCGGTAATATTCTGACGCGACGGTGGCGGTGGTAGGAATCGGTGGTGAGTATGTTCGCTTGATGATATCGCCGTTTTCCTGGGCGGTCGGATTCGTAGTGGCCGGCAGCCATCCAGCAGCGCGAAAACCCGGCGTATTGAGTACTGAATCGTTGACTGTTATCAGTCGGTCGCCGATACCGTCTTTGATTATTGAGAGGTAGGATGTTCGTAACTGCCAAATCGTAAAGCTATAGATATTGATCAGCGGGGTTCACGCGGTGGAACAACAGCAGTGTTCACGTACTCTTCATTCTGGAGTAGAGACATTCTGGAGTAGGGCCCTGCCGCTTTCTCATCAGATCTCCTAAGTCACCTCAATCCCTTGTGTGACGTTGTTAGATCGTAGTTCGTTATCTTTCAATCGAAGGGCCTGGAGAGGCTGCGGTCACCATAGAAGCAAGCCACGCCAAGATACCTGTTGCGTAAGACCTGGCAAGGGGTCCGGTAATATCAGGGTAGGACCAGCCTAGGTAGAAGAGAAAGAGAGCGTAGAGCAGCGTATAACAGAAAGACAATGCTAATGAGTATGGATAACTGCAGTGTTACTGTTCATCGGCAGTGGCTGAGCGGAGGTTAGCTCCACCGTATGCGCCAAACTTAACGACAACATATAGTGTCAGACTGTAAGTCGTTATACATTAGTATAGCTGATTCAAATTCCTGGTAATATAGTGATATTGCGATATCTTAGTATTCTTAATTTTTTAGGTTATACATCTAAATCTTTTGCTTGCTGGTCGCCCTCGTGGAAGATTAAGCACCACACTAGTCACGTGCTGGCTTTGTCTCCCTCTCTCGGATAGCAGCAAGGCAGCTCTTCAGCTCCTCCTGAATCCGTCTTATCGGTACCTCTTGACCTTCTCCACAATATGCAGCTATGCTAGCATGGTCGAGTATTACATGCTTTCCTGACGGTAGGCATCCGGGCCATTGTTTTTCATGAAATATGTGCCGACACCCATCCACGCGCCTATCGTAACACATTCTACTAAGCCGAAGCGACGCTGCAGCTCAATACTGAAAGCTCCGACGCTATCCTAATATCGTTGCCCCGCCAGCATGGGCTCTTTTCAGGCAGGCAACATGCCCATCTGCACTCAATTCCACGTATTACTCACCTGTATCAGACTGGAATTCTAACGGTAAGTTCTTAAATTCACGAGGGGCCGCTTTATTGTAGATGAGACGGAGAATATTCGAAAGCGAGAGATCAGATTCGACTTGAACAGGTTCGCAAGTGTCGCGGCAGTAGAAGAAAGGCCGCGGCTTTACGCCAGTATTCCGCCCAAAACATGTTTATTGGATGGCGGTAACTCATGCAAGCTAAAAACGCAGACCTGTATGAAGTCATCGAATTTCGAAAAACAGCAGCATACGGGCTGATCTTTCTTGCGCGCCGCATGTTCGAATATGGCGAAGCACACTTCCAATCGCTTCATGTTTATCTGAAAGACACGTGGGGGGACTTAGCTGCCGTCACTAGCGACATCCTATTCCCGTTCGACTTTTCGGAAACCGATATCGAGCGCATTAAGCTGGATAGCTATCGTGCGGTAGTGGGAACTGAGCTTTTTGCGGTGGCCAAGGAGAGAATGGGCGATTTATGGCCAGACAAAGGCTTTATTGAACACGACCGATACGATGATTGCAAAGCTGCCCTCCAAGAAGTCAAAGATCAGATATGCGAAGAAAGAGCTGAGTATGAGGATTATTGGCCATTTGACTACTCCTTATCATATAAGTTTATACATTGGAATGGTTCGCTCAAGCCCGACAATTTGATGACGAGGGTATATCCTCCGACCCACGACGATTTTAGGCAGCTTGGCCGAAAAGTAGTCGTCCCCAGCCCGGAAGGGCATCTATGACTGGTAAATATTCTGCCGTAGTATCCGATCGTATCTTCATACTCTCAGAATTTAAATTGCTCGGATCCTCAATACATCTGGTGTCCTTAAGAGTACAGTTGAAATCATACTAAGAGGTTGCAGCCAAAGCTGGGTGTCGAGGAGTAATATAGGAATTCACCAATTCCGTGTTCCCAAATCTAAGATCGGCGCTGATTTTGAGCGTCTAATAATGATAATCGGATGTAATCTCTGCCATTTATTCGGGTGCTGGTGAGGTCTTATGACCACTGTTCACAGACAAGGTATCGCTTTGTTCGGGGTATAGGTGGAGACAGATCTGTTAATAGTAACATCTCATGTTTCTGATAAAGAATTAGACGTCGCTAAAACCTATCTATGCATGATCTACCTATCATAGGCTACCAAGATTTGATCTGATTTGATTATACTATAGACAATAATTATATAAATATATATATAGATATAGTTTTATAATAATACATTTATAAGTAATTTATTTCTTGGCAGGCGGTTGGACCCCTGTATATGACCATAGTTACATATCTGTACATATCTGTACATTATGTATTCTTGATGCGTTCAAAAATGTAGCTGTGGCTCTATATACCACTCCCAAAGTCAATTATTTCCTAGGAAAAATCGATTTGTGTTTGGCCCTTAATGCATCTTTTTACGCCTTTTCCTAAGAAAACATTTCCTTTGCTTCCGTTCCTCCTATATCTATCAACCACCATTGTAGCTCAGCCTTTGGATGACACATCCTCTGGAATTGGTCCACGTGGCTCTTGTTTGTCCTGCATTTACGGTAGTGACGGAGACGAAGATTGTGACGGTCTACCATTGAACGCTATCCAGGATGGGCCAACAACCGACGAATCGGCAGGTTTAGGCTTTGAATTCGAAACTTCGTCAATCCGATTCCAATCAGATCATTGTAATTACGAGGACACGCACCAGGCAAAGGGGAAAATGGTCAATGGACGGAGTGGAATAAACTGGAAGCTAACTGCAGATTTTTTGGATATAGGGGTGCTTTCGGCGGAGTATATTTTGGATGGTACACAGATTAAGATTGGAGCTAGCACTGCGGAGGCAGCTGCGAAGGCTGTTGCAGATGATATCGTGAGGATGAATTTCTCGTCACTCATATACGTGTACTTGTTGACACATCGACTTCTTTAGATTTCATGGAACCCGTTTGCTGATATGACTGACAACAAAGTATCCATTACCGGCAATCTTTGCAACCCTTGGACTATTTTTGGTGGAGGTACTGCGGGTGAAGTTGCGACAATCCAATGGTCGCCGCAAGTCACTGCCCCTATGCCACTTCAAGCCATTTACGAACTCTTTGGTCAGCGAACAGGCTCGATCCTGTTGCCGAAGCCAACACACGCCAACCAAAATATGGTTATGGTGACCAAGAAATTCTTCCAGTCTAATCCCAATGGCATGTCATCGAATGATATTCAGGAAGATGTGTTAGGTTTCTTCTCAATAATTATGACATACGCTAAAGCGGCCGATAAACTTGACGAATCGGGTCCTAAGGCCCTTATGTCAATCATGCCTCGGACTGAATTCTCTACCATATTCAAGCTGGTCAAGTCACGAGTTAAGGGTGACCTCTACGAGATTGTGAAAGTCCTTGCCTGCTATAAAAGTAACGAGAATGATGTTGAGTAAGTGGACAAGGGCCCGCGTCAGCTTTGGATGATGATTATGCTTATTTACTAGCCTCGATTCTCACTACTGCTCAGGAACCGTTGAGAGTCCGACGCCGAATGGCCAAATGGATAAACAGAGCTTTACACTTGTTATGGATGACAAAGGCAAACAGGACAGCGCTTCGGTAAAGGACTGGATGGACAGTATTCAGGCTGGGATTTCGCCGGACAGGCTGACCGAAGTTGATGAAGTTCGGAACAGCCAGGTCGGGGGCCTGGGAAAGGCACTGGAAAATCTTCTTGACAGCTCACAAGCAGCTCCGCTTTTTGAGTTTAGACGCCTTGCGAAAATTACTGCATCTGATCTGAGTGACTTCGCTAGTAAGGTAGAGAGTGCGGTCATCGATTTTCACAAGAAATATAAATAAAATAAAAACGCAGATCTTGCTTACGACTGTTAATACCAAGGAGTTCCCAGACAGGCCGTTTTGAAGATATTATTATCCTTGCTCTCATTTCGGCGGATGTCTGTGATGCCACATCACCTTATCTGCATTTCTAGCTTCGCAAAGAAGGCATCTTCCACAGCAAACGTAGGTTCGCTTTTTTTATCTGAATACAACGCAACTTAAGAATTAGAATTTAAATTCAATACCACAGAAGTTCAGAAAGCAACCCTATAACTTGGACAAATAGGGAAAGGTGTAGTAGGAATAATCTTCACTTTGCCACAGTAAGCCCTCGTCAACTACTTCATGTAATCATCCTAGAGGACTTCTGTTGCCTGATTAGCTATTGTAAACAAGCCAGTAATTCACAGCACTGGTATTATTGGTCGTTTCTTGGAATCCTAAAGCGGACTGCATAACGGTCAGTCAATATGCAACTGTCCTGTTCCTACCTATACCACACAATCTTGTTGCAATGAGCCCGGAGATGCAATTTCCTAGACCATAAGAAAATTTCTTCCGAAATCTCGATTGTTCCACAGTCTGTCAGACTTCCAATGGTATCCATGGGTGAGTGCTGATTGAAATTGTTGTCATACAACAGAGTGCTCTTCTGTAAAGTCCCGATCAGCAGAGAAAGTAATCAAGACTGTAAAAATTATGCCTTTTCCTGGAGGAATTTCATTAGGCTGATTGATCTTGGACGTAGAATGGTGTTTTAGTGACTTGAGCCCAAAAAGCATGACAGAGCTGTCTGATCAAGAGTTATAGAAGAAGACGCCTCACATGGTAAAAGTCCAGATCTCTGACTTAAGAGTTTCTTATGGAGTCATTTGAAAGAAAATGCCTCTCGCATTGTCGGCACATGTTGCTTGTTGAGGCGGTTGCGCGCGATCTGAATTACTTTTTCAGAGAAGATCAAACGGTTGAGCTTACCAGGTGTACCAGGCAAAATGAAAAAGCCCAAAAAAGCAAACGGTAGAGTGGTGCTGGCATTAATAAATTTAATAAAAATTTTAACATAATCTACAACTTAAACAACCAATTCGGGTTGGATGAGATTGCTGGTAAATTCTAATGAAGCCTCAGGATAGAGTTGTTTTGGCGGTGGTGGCTCTGAAACAGATTTGTGTCTTTAAAATTGGAATGGTCTTCCCCAAAGCCGAAGTTTTTCAAATCAAATACTCAGTTTAAAAGATTTGGATTTGATCGACTATATCCTATCTACCCTATGGATATGAATATAGACAATTGATAGTATTTTTTTTTTTGGATACATTGATCAAATAAGCAATGATTCACGCCGGTGACCATGAGTTGGCATAGTATGACCCTACGTTCGCTTAGGTCGTTGCAGGTTCTAGTACGGTAGGGACAGAGGCATTGAAGACGTTGATACTTGTGATGTTAGTATACAAGCAATAGACTTGAATATCTAAAGATAGCTGCATGGGTAAATATTGAGACTTACTATTGACTGGCCCCACAGAATTCATAAGGGTTACCGGGACAGGCTGAGTTGCACTGTTCGTCTTGGACTGGGACTGTAGAGGCATCGAACGAATCGCCACAAAGACATTGACTAGATCGTGTGGATCATATAGTTCAGTTTACAATCTTTGTATCCGGATTAATAAATAGGGGTATGACTGTTCAACCTACTTTTGCCTGACTCCGGAGTATTTATGACCCAGTTCTGCACAGGTATTCACGCATACTTGAGGGTCGTTGGATTTGCCGTCATTTGGAGCAGTGGTGGACAGAGTTGGCTGTGGTGTGGTAAAACAACCCACATATTCATAGGATGTTATGTTTGAGAGTAGTCGCGGGAACGAATCGATTAATTGTGCTTTTCCACTGAGCTTGAAAGAGACAGATATTGTAGAGTCATAATCTAGTGCCAACGAATAATCGCCCGGATAAACCCAACGGTCACCGTTGACATCGGTTCTAGCAATATTGTCTAGCGTAAGAGAGAAATTCAATGTTTGTGTGGAGCCAGGTTCAATCCCATGCAGCCGACCATAGGACGCAAGCTCTTTGTTCGGGTATGGCGATGGTCCTCCATTCTTGGTTGAAATGAAAACTAGACCAACATAATCGGAGACTACCTTACCCGTATTCTGAACGTTAATTGAAACCGTAACGAACGGTAGGAGATCCAGATAAGGACCCTTAAAGCTGCGATATGAAGGCCAATCGAGCAATCCTTGGCTTGGAGCAGTGTGGCTACTGGGATCTGCTTTCACCGCAACTAATGATTGAATGTCATAAGTATTTTTTGGTTTCACCTTCCAAGACACCGAGAAATTGGTATAGTGTAAGCCGTAACCAAACGGAAGCACGGGGTGTCCTGTGTACCATGCATATGTGCGACCAGGGTTTCCAGAGCTGGGTCGAAGATTCATATCAAATATGCTTACTTGATTCACATAGTCCGCTGGGTATTGCGTGACAGGCAATCTGCCGGCTGGTGCTTGCACACCAGTGAGGATATCGTAGATGGCCTGACCTCCGTCTTGTCCTGAGTAACCCACCCAAATGATGCCATTGACAGATGTGTTGTTTAGCAGAGTGCTGTCATCTATTTGACCTGCGCCCCATTGAACAATAATTAATTTCTTGCCCAGTGCTGCCAATTGCTCAATCAAATCAAGTTGATTACCCGGCCAATTAATAGTGGGACGGTCATGGCCCTCATATTCAATACTGTTGTCAATACCTCCGACATAGATAATGTAATCGGAATCTTTTGCGGCTGTGATAGCAGCGCTGAAATTGGTCGTACTGGTTGTGTTCGTCAGAGTTCCCAATTCATACTGCACTTCAGACGCTCCTTTCTGGAATGCCTCCAGCGGAGTGACAAAATAAGGCGGTGTTCCATAGTAATCGCCTTGCATTTGAGAGGTTGCATTTGCCATCGGCCCAATGATAGCTACTTTACTCAGGGTCTTGGGAAGAGGCAAAATACCATCATTCTTTAACAGCGTTATGCCTTCGATTGCAGATTTATAAGCAAGCTGTTGAGATGCCACGGTATTTACGTCTGCCCATGACAGCGATTTGTATTCTGCAGGGTTGTCGAAGTATCCAGCTTGTATGAGGGCTGCATATGCACGAGTAGCCGCCTGATTCAAGGCGCTCTCAGTGGTCAAGTTTGCAGGAATTGACTCATTCAAAAAATTATACGCAACGGGTCCACAGTCAATATCCGTCCCTGCATTTAGAGATACTGCAGCGGCTTGTGCCATTCCCGAAACATACTTATGGGGATCGTACACATTCATAACAGCACCACAGTCGCCGATCACCAGGTTATACGGATCAGAAAAGTCCCAATGCTCCCGAACGACATTTTGCAGGAGATACCGGTTTGCACAGGAAGGAATTCCGTTAACAGCATTATAAGAGCACATCACCGCTCCAGCCTTCGCATCGCGGATGCATGTTTTGAAGCCTTGCGAGTAGTAATCTGCCAAATCTTGTTGTGTGGGATTCAAATCGTTGCCATTTCGACCATCCTCAATATCATATGCAGCGTAGTGTTTACATGTCGCAATAATTCTCTTGTATTCAGGATTCAGACCTCCTTGCAGTCCAGGGATCAGGTTCTTAGCATAGTTCTGGATAACAAGCACTGCTTCTCCTGGAGTTTCCATTCCTCTGCCCCAACGTGGATCCCGAAAACCGTTAATGTTCGGTGTCATGTAAGCTAGACCAGCTTGTCCACCATTAACAAAGGCTCGAGCCTCCGTTGAAATGGCGGAGGCAATCTGACCCGTCAAAGCGTCATCAAATGATGCAGCAATGGAGAGCGGGGCTGGAAAGCTAGTTGCAGAGCTGAAATTGAGCCCAAGCGGGGTCTTAAAATGAGCGCCTGCGCTGTTTGCGACACCGTGAAGTGCCTCGCTGTCCCACTGAAATGATGGTATTCCAAGTCTTGCAACTCCGGAAGCCGTTCCTTGAACATTATTAATTTTCTCTTGCAGTGTTAACGCATTCACTAATGCAGCAGCACGGTTCGCAACTGAAAGCGAAGAGTCACAAACGTCATTGGAACACAGTGGGTCGTAGGCACAGTTGGGGAGTGTCGGATTATAAGGACTAGTGCTTGGGTTTGAGATCTTATAGACATCGATTCTGCATAATTGAATTTACATCAACTAATAGACCAGGAAAGGCATAGTATGGGATTAATTCCGCATCGACAACTTACCGATTGCCACCGCCACAAGATTCACTTGCATTTCCCGGACAAGGCGTGTTACATTGACTTGTGTCGACTTGAGTGCCAGAACTTGTACTCCAAAGGATAGGATATTGATGGCTGCAAAAGCATTGGGTAGAGTATTCAACTCCGGAATAACTGTATCCCGACAAACCACACTGGGTTGCACAAGACTCAGGAGTATTTGCATTGGAATCAGGTAATTGAGTACCATTAAGCGTCCGAGGAGTGGTCTCATCCGTAAAACAACCGACAAACGTGGTATTAGCATTGTAGGGAGGCAAACATGTTCTCCTGCCAGTTAGGCGCGGTGATGACTGCCATGTCGACAAAGCAGTAACCGTACCAGCTGATAATAGAGCAAGGAAGCTAAGAATGAGGAAAGAGATCATTTTAGCGTGCCCTGACACGATCGGGGACTAGCAGGTTAACAGCTACTTTCAAGGCAAACTTAGAACTGTGCTCTTTTACTGTATCTGAATACCTGCGAGGGGATGGTGATCTGGATTCAATGCCTCTATTTATACATACACGAACAGAATTCTGGCACTTCAAAGATTGTGGACTGCAATTAGTCTACTAGTACCCTTCAGGATCCTTGATTTTAGCCGGATTTTCACGGGACTGTTACATTCATAATCATGCTGGAGTAAAGATGAGAGGGGTCTTTGCCGGAAAATGGGTACAGCAATGAACCTTATCCAATCAGTTAGTCATATTGTTGCTGCCGAAGGGTAAATTATACTAGTAGTGGACTACATTGCCATAGCAAAATAACTCATCGGCTCGAAGTTGAGATGGACAACTACACTTAGCATGAAGCTCGGAACTTGTCTACCCAGTTTTCGTATCCGAAGCCAGCAGGTCTAGACGGTATCCGACGAAGTGATCGTGTATCCGATAAATTTTTCCTAAGAGGTCATTGATGCACCTCTCACTTCCTTGGAGTTCAATGGTATCATAAGTCGCCGGATAATCTCGAATAACGAACCGGGCCCTTCGGATGGTATGAAAATATAATTAACTAGCCAATTTAGTGGGGTTGTACCTGCTGGATAATTCAAATATCGCATTAAGCAAAGATTACGTCACTAATCTAGCAACCAGCTGCCAAATCTAACTACAAAAATAGACAAAATAGAGATCTCTAAAACACAAACTAGCAATAGCACACGGTTCCCAGTAATGGTAGGTATAAGAAGGTGTTCAATGACCTCGCAGGCATTTAAAACAGACACTGCTGAGGCTCTAGGATTTTAAATAGACTTCTTGGACAGCAACTCAAAGGGGAATCTGTAATATTCACATTATCTATTATGTCTAGCAGAGGAACGACTCCCCAAAGTGGAAAGTGCGGAGTGAAACACTCGTATTCTATACCACTGGTAAATAAACGGAGGTGATCGACTTCATCGTCTAATCGACTTGCTCAATAGCCGGCTCCCGGTAATTAACAAGGGTGGAAGTAAGATGTTGTTTAATTTTGCAGGGGTACTAGTTGACGCGTCCCCCACAATTACGGATAAATGAAAGAATGCCATGATTCTCCAGTGCACAGACAAAACAACTCATTTGCCACATACATGATCTACCTGCAGATTTCTCATTTCCTGCACTTAGCCGTGGGAAAATGTCACCATTTCATCCGTTCGTATTCATGTCATGTGCTATGGAATTCACTTTTTGACTCACTTGAATATAAAACAGCATCCGGTAAACCAGTGTCGTTCGGCGTATTTTGTATTGATGAAATGTCTATAAATGTAATGATATCTCGCCCAGAAGTGTTTTGCATCAACCAAGTGAAATGGTAACACCAGTAATCATGAAATCAAACGCAATTATCTTATATGCCTCCATGGCGACTTCTGTTTTTGCGAGTTCGGTTAATCTGACGGTCAATCCCTCTGTACCAAGCTCGGCCAGTTTGCCAGTTCCTCTAGATTTTCAATCATTTTCAATTGAATTCGCATTCTTCGCCGATTTCAGCGGTAAGGATATCTACGAGAGGGGCGAGACAGACTACTCATTATTACAGGAAACAAATCTCATCCGAATAAATTCTCTAATAACCTCCTAGCCAATCTCAGAAAGTTCAATGGAGATGTGCCACAGATCCTCCGCATTGGAGGTAATACTCAGTATGTTGAAACTATTCTCTTTTATACTTTCTTGATCTTTCTTTGATCTTTTTGGTCCTGCTGTTAATAGCATTGTCTAGGGATCATGTCACCTATTATCCCAACCAAAAAGAAAGTATAATCAACAATTGGGCTGGTAATGGAGGAGATCAACCTGCAAACACATCTATTGGTCCCACCTTCTGGGAATCATTTACTTCTATCGATGGTCCCAAGTATATCTTCGGATTGAATTTTTACAAAAATGATTCCTACTATCTCGACAACTTGAAAGGAGAGGTACAGCAGTCATTGGAGCAAATCCCTGCTGAGCGGCTGCATCTTTTTGAGATAGGTAACGAGAATGACTACGGTGCATTATCCGGATTCCGTCCACCAAACTGGACACAGGAGGACTGGGTTACTGAATGGAATAATCGTGCCGAACACATCCAGACTGCCAACCAGTCACTTCGTTTCTTTGCACCATCAACTTGTTGCTACAATATCACGACCAAATGGTCATTCTTTTCCCCTTGGACGATATGGAACAGTACATTCAATTATAATCGACATAAATGGATCCATGAGGTGTCCCAACACGGGTTCGTATTCCTTAAAAACCTCCCCGGAAACTTCTAATTAATTATTTATGATGAACGCGGTCAGATACATTTCCGGCACTGGTAACCACCCTACATTACAAGGTAACTATACTCCCATTAAGCTCAACCTATGAACCGTGGCTATAGCCGGGGAAAGAAAAATTTGACCAATAAATAGGGACTCTAATGAATCACACTAGTGTGGTTAAAAACGGCACAATTCATCAATCACTCAACGCGTTGAACACCGCGGGAGGACGGTATTACACTCTAGGCGAAACGAACAGTATCTCGGGCCAAGGAGCGTGGGGAGTGTCCAACGTATTTGGTGCGGCCTTGTTCATAGTTGATTATGAGCTTTACTATGCTTCCTTTGTTAGATTTTCTCTACCCCTTTACTATTTTGTCTTGTTCTAACAGATCGATGTTGTATAGGGCGTCCGCCGCATGCACATGCATCAAGGCACTGCCTATCGCTATGGAGCCTGGATGCCAATTTCCCAGAATGGAGTTGGCCCTTCAACTAACCCACCATATTATGGACATACGATGGTGTCTAAATTCATCGGTAATTCCACCAAGACGCAAATTAACAATATCGATCTCAAGAGCGATTTCCATTCCGCATATGCAGCGTACGAAGATGGGGAACTGGCCCGTGTTGTCTTGCTCAATTTGCAGGAATGGAATCCCTCAGGAGGAGTCAACGCCACCAATGCTACAGATCCTAGTGTCCAGGCCCTCAGACCCAACACAACGTTTACCTTGGACTCGGTGATTGGGTATTCGTATGCAACAGTTGAGCTTCTAACTGCTCCAGGGGCACTATCGACCAAAAATATTACAATGGCAGGTGTGAGCTACGATTATGAACTGGCTGAAGGGAAACCAGTAAAAGTCGGCAACGAAGTTGCCGAAGTAATCAGGCCTCAGAAAAACGGCACTTTCTCTGTGAGCGTGGGCGCGTCGACTGGAGCGCTGTTGAAATTCTACAAGGCGTGAATGATGCGCCCCCGGAGGTGTGGACTTGGTCCTAGTAGAAGCGCCAAGTTATAGGTTGGCACGACTGTATAGTCCAGGCGCCTCATTCGGAGATGGAAGAAATAAAAGCTAGTGTGGAGTGTAGCTTGAAGTAGACGGGGCAATGAAATAAAGTTAAATCTGTTATCCGTGCGACACATTGGCCGAGAATTAAGCCGACAATTGTGGGGGTTAGTGCGTAATACTGTAATACAAGATTGTATGGCTAATTACGATTCCCACGTGGCTTGTAGATCCTGCTTTACGTTCGGTATATGCACCAATCTAGAATTGACCCTAATCATAACTTACTAAAAGGTAATAAAGCACATAAAAATACATGTGCTAGGTCATATTATGCTCTGTTGGATAGGAATAGCCAACATCCCTAAGCTTAGTTTTTGCTCGCCTCCATTGTCTATATTTATCACTAGATTGATATACTGCAGGATCATACGAAGGGTTTCCCAAATTTGTAGTGAGCTTCTATGGCACCAGCTAATCGACCTGCAATACATACTCAAATGAGGGGTCCGGATGACTGGACTTGCTTTGTGTTTCTTCAGTCGAAAATTGTTAAGTTTCACTTCGCAGTTTACTAATTGCGTTAGGATATAGTTGAATGTGGGGAAGGTGACATTCGGCTACTGATATTTAACTCTCATACCAGTTGCCGGTAACTTTTGAGGTTTATTTATTAGTTACGGACATGTCCTGAAACTGAAATACAAGGAACTTAATAATGCCAATACGAACATAACGACTGACTTTCCGTACAGCACTTGCTCTTATAGCCTAGATGGTATTGGAGAAAGCTCACTTTCCTGACCCAGATTAAGTCATCAAAAAAGCTTGCTTGTCATTTTAATATTACGGTATCTATGAATGTCAAAACACGGATTAAATTTCAAAGCAATCTTCCATCCTTGCCAGTGACTTGGGCAAATATCAGACAGAGGCGAGGAACTGACTATGTGGGATATACCTCAATTTGTCTCGTCATTTCCGAGTCCGCTGGCATTTGGACGCGTTAGAAATTTACCGAACTTATTGGAATTTGAATAGACGAAGAGAAACGAATTACGAAAAATGAAGATATAAGCTTAATTGATATAGCACAGGAAGATTTCGTTAACACTCAGTCAGAATCTCTAGGCCGGCGTAATGAGGTCAAGAAATTCCATCCGTTCACTCATCAACTGGGGGTAGCGCATATGAAATTTGTACCATTTCCAGACATGGCCACGAATCCACTCTGCAGGTTGTGAGTTCCTGTTAGTCCGGCAGGATAATAGCTAAGAAGATCATTGGCGTTGAAAAGGTCTTTGACAACATTATCACAGGAGTTGTCTGATGCGTAGGCTGAAAGTGGTTTTGTTACGCCAGTGACTGTATTCCCCGTCACCTAGAAGAGTCAGCTTATACTGATTCTTCTTCACTGTGGTTATACGTACTGTAAGGCCCCCCGTCCAACCATTAATAGCAACTGGAAATGTGATATGCCCAGAAAAAGTATTACCGCTAATTGTTGCCGGGCCAGTATAGATGTATGGGCTTTTGCAAGGGCCTGACCAAACGCAGGCACCGATAGATATGCCTGCCCCAAACAGCAACTTTCCCGTAATTTTATTATTAGTAACCTTGACATTGGTAAATTTGCCATCATATGTGCCATCCACAAGATTGATAGCACCGAACCCGAGATAGGAAGAGGAAGAAGTTATTGTGTTCTCGTTGACAGTAGTTCCTGGAGCACCAAAGAGAACAATTCCACCATCAGTACTTCCAGTTACCTTAAAATGCTAGTTAGCAAAAGCCATTTCGTTCACTGTATCATACGAACGTACTGTATTACTCTCGACTAAGGAATTGGTGCAGGCGAATGATATGCCATCCGCCCATAGTCCATCTCCATTTGACGTCCCAGACTGACCGCATGGCCCAATGTCATTATTGGAGACGGTTGCATTTGTGCAATAGTCAGAGGATAAACCTCCTTCGGTAACATGGAGACAACTCCAAGCCCGTGGGTTCTTCGAAGCAACATATTTGACAACCTGGCCATTGCTGGTGCCACCAATCTCAATATTCGCGCTACCTTATGATGTTTTCAGTTTCGTTGTTTACTTTCTCACAAACATATGTAACAGCTTACCATTGTGAATATAGCCCGCGTTGGCTCTATTACCGTCAACCTGAATGTTCAGAATCCGAATATAGTTTTTACCAGCCCCAGAAATCAGGGCACTTATGCTTGCCCCACTAGCAATTTGAAGCGTAGCACGAGTATCACCAGTAGGGTATCCCTCAGTTGATATCTCTTGGTTGTCCGCTGTAAATTCAATTGTTTCCGATATGCTAATTGTGATACCAGCACATATCTGAACAATAGTCCCTTTACCACCACTAGCGAGAGCATTGTTGATTGTAGTGGCAGAAGTGCCTGAACCAAGGCAAGCGGCATTAGCGACCTGCCCAGCTAGGATGGCTGCAAACAAAGGCAGATATAAAATCATTGTAAAACAGTTGTGTAATGGCAAGAGTGGTACAGATTTTGGCATTAAGTTAATAGAATATAATACATAGAGTTTGAGCAATAAGCTTTCTATTTAAAATTTTCAGATACATGGCTAGAGATTAACCGCCCAACTTTAGCCGTTTAACTTTAGCCGCTTAAAGAAGAGATAAATATAGCGTTGAGTGTGAAGCAAACCAGACTCCACCTCCTCATGAATATTTTATACGCGTCATTTGGATAATTTCAAATTCGTTGCAGAACGTCTCGCCTTCCCAGTATCAAGCAAAGAAATATTCCATCCCGAATAGGGTTTGGTTTCGTAAGTTACTCCTTAATCTTATGTGGTGTCCGGAAAAATCCATGATGCTAGGACAGGAGGTGGACGTTACGCAACCAAACAACCACATTCTCGAACATTTGGCACTAAAAAATGCAACCATGGACGGAAATTCATCGAAAGCTTTTCCCCATAATTTTTGACACTACAAAGATTATTTCCATTTTGGAATACGCTGAGAGGTTTTTCGATGAGACATAGTTAGGCCCGCCGCAGATCCGACATTCAATGATATCCACACTGCCGACTAGCTTGGTTTCAATCTGACCTGAGTTTCTTTAATTGTTCTTATTTCAGTAGGAGTCGAGGGGAGAAATTAAACGTTCACACTGGTGACGACTAACAGGTACACAGACTTCTAGATACAGTCCTCGTAGACCTCCAAACGATGTTTTCAAATATACGGATCTTCAGCAAGAGGTTCAAACTACAGTTCCTATCCTTGTTTTAGTTGCACGGTTGCTACTCCACGCTTACGTCGAAATGATTGGTTTATTTCGTTTCATGTTCAGCGAAGTATTCCGTAAATATCGCATACGACAATAAATACGGCTCAGCTGGTTGAGCATATCACTACAGAAATTGGACTCTTCTATCATACTTCAGAAGTAGTATCTTACTATTGAGAGAGAAGGATCAAGCCCCTACAGTGAGTAAAGGTGTGCTATAATTTATTCAGCAAAATATAACTGTTGTCAATTACTGGGACCCTTTCTTAGTGGCTCACACGTCATCAATGTTACATATGGCATGCGGCAAAGATGTTAATCAGCCTCAGCGTAATTAATAAAGTAGCCTTTTGATATCAAAGATGTTGATTAGGTTTCTGTATTTTCAAATCAATATATACTACCATTACTTACATGGTAATTTTCATTCTTCAGTGCTAGAGAATATGTTAGAAGAAGGAGGGGCGCACCAGTCCGAGTGGACTTAGAAGAAGATATTATGAGATTTTATGCTGTCTTATGGTCCGTCTAGGAGGTTTGTAGTAGTTTACTGAGTGTCTAACGTACGTACGCCGCACGACGAACAAGTCTTTGCAAATTTTTAATTTTAACTTGTTGAAACCTGCATTCCACCCTGGGCACTGAGAGGCGAATTCGATAGGAGAATTAACAAGTTCCAATTCTAGTCAGCAGATACAATCTCTAATTTCGTGCGGACTGTGTTGCAGTTTCATCCGATCTGGGGAAAAATACGGATAAAGAAAATATGATGCCTCTTGATTACAATAGGTCTCGGGTATTCGTTTTTGAAAATATCCGGAAAAGAGGGTTGTTACTTCCATATGGTCGTCAGCATGCTGGATTTCGTTGTCGTCATCCCCCGCACTGATTCGGGAGTGATCTCCAGAAAAGAATTACTTTGCGAGCATATTCTACATATGGTTAGCAACAGGACTACCAGGGGCTGTAGTAAACTCGGATGCGGTCAGTGCGCCGTACGAAGAACGTGAAACAGAATTACGGTACATACCATTACAAATTTTCAATTATTAGCCCCCTTTTTGGTCGGAAATGTAAATTATTATATTTAATGTTACGGTTGCTCACTAGATATCAGAATCAATACAAACAAACTCAATGACTACATTTCTAACTATCTAGGTGGCTTTGCACGAGAATAGCGAGACAGGGAACAAAGGGAGCAAACGAATGCAATTCTGTGCGAACGGAGTTGATATGATCGAGGCCACGTTAAGCTAAAGGAATTATATAAGTTAACTAAAATTGCTCCTTATGTACAGAGTACATTCAGCCATATACCAACAAGAAGTTGCGACCCCCCGTCCTTTCGAGTGCTATTTCCATAAATTGTTTTGAGTCAAGTCACTGATTGGCTACACATATAGTTAATACTAAATCATCCTATAATATGCGCTCTCTTAGCTTTACACCTTCAAGCCTGAACTGACTAGGTGCGGTGAAGTCATAATGTTTAAATCAGAAAATATGATGTTGAAATTATTGGAAAGAAAGAAATAGGAGTTCTCTGGTGCAGGGATTTTAGTTCCTGATATTGTTCGCTGAATTGGAGAATTATATGCAATTGTCATGGTGGCAGTGAAAGCGGTGGGTGGAAATGCCACTAGGAACACCAATTTAGGATCTTGAATCTCAATTGCAAATGAAATGGAGTTCTGTAACAAGAATGATTTGTGACACGGCGCCGGTTTTCGGGCGCGGTCGACTCGGAAGGCGGCGTCTTCTATCTATTAAGGTGTTAATCTGAAAAGCATATCAAGAAGCTTGATGGGGGTGTAGGCATTCACATATCTTTAGAAATGTGTTTCTGCTTATATATGAATAATGATATCTAACCATAAATTTGAATTGATTCATTACCGTTCGTTTAAGGTATCTAGATTTGCAAATGATACGTCTAATATCGACGTGTTATACTACAGTAACTATCCCATGGTAATGGTATATCCAAATGCTTTTATGGAAACCTTACTCGAACTGTTCAACAAGTAGTTAAGGAACGAATGCTAAACCTCCTAAAGCCAATTTCAAGTGGCTAGCCCAAAGATTCAAACAAAAAGCAAAACAATTCTGACCCAAAAGCAGTTGATCAATGATGTTCATAACGTCTAGTGACATTGTAGCAGTGGCATGCTCGTAGGTAACATTTTCTGGACTGAGCCGGCGTCCGGGTCGTCTTTATACACTCCAATGGAACCTAGACAGCAATTAGGTAACATATGTGAAATATCATGTGAAATACTGGAGAAAAAATCGTACAGAATCCGAAAGTGGCTTGATTGGTTCTGTCGTACATTTGAACATGAAGAATACTTGCACCATGGACCACTTCGTTACCGAAACACATGATATCTCCGGCTCGAAGGTATTAAAAAGGGCGCGGGCATCGGCTGTCAACCTTGCAGGACCTGCTTGATAGGCTCCGACATCAAAACGGGCTTCCACTGCACCACCAGTCAGGGTTTCATGGTTGTAGACCTCCTGGCACTTATTCAGATCCGCAAGCTAGCGCCCACCAAGCAGATGCGTTGAGTGCCCAGTGTATGCCAACGTGATGAATGTTCCATTTAACGTATCGCGGCTCGTCATTTCCATACTTCCATATTTAAATTGATCGAACCTAAACATAGGTTCGAGAGGATGTGTGCCGAATTCTTTCCGGGCAGACTATGGTCTACTTCGGCATATTCAAGGAACTTGTGTTCCGGTTCATGAGAAAGACACCTTAGTAAATGGTAGAAAACGCTATCATGATCTGTTTGCGCCAAGGCATCTCATTTGTCCAAGGAATTATACCTAGTGGTGTTTATTTCCTTGCGCGATTGCAAAAAGTTAGATGTCTTATTGCAGAAGGAACTCCCAAACGTCCAAACCCCCCCTCAAATAGAAGGAACAAGAACAGTAACAACCGAAGAGCAAAACGTCTCATCAAATCAATAGTTCCATCCGCATGAAACCGATGAGGAAGGAGAAAGAGACCTGATTGGACTAGTGCTTTCGCAGCCGAGAAAGCGCCGCTAAAACCATGACAGTACCGAAGACACCCCTAACACAATATCCCACGCTGGCTTGGTGATGAATAGTTTGATTACAAGTTCTGATCGTTCTATCGAGGCGATAATGCGACAGCGATTGACGCCGCCCTCCATTCAAATCCTAGAAATACTACCACCGGGATGAATTCGCGGTCATTGATGTCCGTACGAGGTGCATGAGCTAGACCATTCACATTGGTAATGTTTGTAATAGTTCGGGCATTCATACACATGCCACTTTGAGAATCAGCACTGTTTCTATTTCGGCACGGCTCCAATCAAAGCCAGCCGGCGTTCATTATCCACGATGGGGAATGCGAAGGGGACATAAAACAACAGATGAAACATTGGTGTTACAGAAGGCCCTCTCATTTTGGTAGTCGATGGTTGGTAAAAGAAAATGAATAACGCGATTTTTTTCCTGGATCTATCTTCTTTAGAATAAGTGGTATGTTCTACTTATCCTCATTGGCTGTTTGTGAAACATATAGTTTTTTCGGAAGCAGAAAAAGTGACAATAGGTTATGACATGTCGTATATTTTGATCATTACGCCTATGCTAAATCCAACTCACAAACACGGCAAATACGAGTAGTCTCGGCCTTCCTTTCAATCTAGTCACCAGATATTTATGGAACCCAAAACAAAAAATCCAGGAAATTTCTTTTATTTCCGACCATACCCAATAACAAGTCTCGTTCTCTACCTATCCCTAGCGCTATTCTCTGTACCTTTATGTGCAGTCAATCAACTCAGATTACGGCCTGGGCAGTTTATATATTCTCTGTCGTATTACTAGGGCTCATCGTGCCTTGATGCTACGTTGAAAGACAGGAGTTGATGAGAACAGCGATTAGGTCACCCTTCGTCGACCGCTTGTCGGATTTAAATCGCACGAAGTCATCGGTCCCCTAGATCCAAAGGGTGTCTTACAAGGTGATTATGCTGGAGCTAGTGGAGAAACTGACGAGACGTCTTCTGATGGGTTCCAATATAGGTTTGCTTTAGTTAGGGTATGACTTAACATACCCTAATTAGACGTTGACTATTCATATCGGTTTCACTCGACCTTCGCTTGATTGTTGATTTCAAAAAAAAAAAAAAACTTATTTCGTTCTCAAATCTTCGTCATGATTTCATTACGATTGATTATGATGATGATGCCGTCAATCGACGCGTCGTCCGCTGGAGGAGCAGGAAGCATACCGCGCTGGCTAAAGCCATGGTGAACATGGAAACAGAAGAAAAAATATTTGCGGAGAATGGCATTACAAATGCATAAAGAAAAGATGGCATAGTAGATAGGTTATAGAGGAATCGGCATCATGTCAACGTTTTAACCTAGTATAACATTTCACAATTTAGTAAAAGAAATATGATTAACTCAGTGATTCCGCTAGATGTTCATCCTTGCATATTCATTTATGAGGTTTTAAAATGAGATTGCTATTCATAATTGTTACTTCAAATGGATCATACCTCTTCTTAAAGGTTTTTTCCCTACGATCCTGTCCACATAAGACAATAGTCTCTACTTAGAAATGAACCGACGTTGAATCTATCAATTGATGACGAGTCAAACCGTCTGCTTAGGCGTGTTGAATGATAACAGTAAGACCCAGAGAACGTAATTTCCATCATGTACTTCTTGACTGCTCATAGTGTTGGGGCTGTTGCTAACATTGGATGTTTTTCACCACGCTCTGCCCATTCTGCTTACTCTGGATGAGGTAATGAATGTCCAATGTTTAGAAACCACGCGTGGACCAAAGCCACGGTCGCTGGATCCATGGCTACAAGGGAGAAGGAAAACAGGTGCTAAGGTGGTGTTGACAGCACTGCTGACCGTTTGGATTTGGCTCAATGTGGTTCGTGAGGAGACATACCTCACAGCAAACACCACATGTGCAATTGATACAGGCCGCCCAGGATTTTACATTTAGTTTCATACACGCATGATTTGATATTTACATGGTACACACGTATATAGACTCTTAGACTCGTGATTGTATTTCATAGACATGCAATCATTTCGACGCGACCAATTGTGGCCATCCATCCGAATCCCAACTAAGCAGGTTATACCCAAACCGCAGACCATCCAGCTTTGGATTTGCGTCCTGGTTTGCTTGAGTGATGTTCCAATACTGGTAATATATCACCATGCCTAAGTCTGGGTCATCCAGTATTCCGATGGAGCCAGGAGCAAATACTTGTCCATCGTCACGACTAGCCAGTATGGTGGTGCCAGCACGATCGATACCACCAGTCAAGCAATCTACTCCATCGCGGTCGAGGTATGGGCCGGTGGGAAGATCAGTCACTGCCTTGCGACAAACTTGCACTCTGTACACGGAGTTGTTGTAGTCTGTGTCGTCGGCGGCGCAGCAGTTGCCGATTGAATAGAAGAAATAAACATAGCCGTTATTCGTCAGTAGATACGCGCCCTCTATTGCAAAAGCAATAGTTAGTTTTTCCCCAAGAGGATATGTTGGTACAGTGATTTACGAACCGGTTTTGTTGCCAGAATACTCTCCTGGATTGTACTGTTCTAGATACACCATATCCACAGTAGCCCCGTCTTTGATTGTAAGGAGGTCGTCGGAGACCTGGAAACCATATAGGCCCCACTGGTAAGAGCCAAAGGTCATATAGGTGAAATTATCTACGCCGCTTGGGTTGGTTGAGTCTGCTAGCATATTTCCATCTAGACGAACATAGCTCGCAGTTGCCTGGTCGTCTCCGGTCGTTGATACAGGAACGTTCATGCTACCATGATCAGTCCAGTTATCTTGCTCCATGTCCGGCGAAGTGGCGACACAGAGATCAAAATTAAATGGCGGAGTGTTGATGCTGTAGAAGAGGTAGTAGGTACCATTCACCAAATGCACCTCTGGCGCCCATACATTGGTCTGAGTGCGATCAGTCACCATCGGATTCACGAGCTCGGTGAGGATCTCGAAAGCATAGTTCCAAGGTCCACCTAGAGCCGGTGCAGTAGCTACGGACAGCCCATCGCCGGTGTTGTTTGATTTCGAGTACCGGAAGTACATGCCATCGGATTCACGTCGAATGACAGAGAAATCCTGGTATGTGAGTCCTCCAATGTCGATACAGGCTGGTCCAGTACATGATTCAGGCAATGGATAGTCTTGTGCGGAGACGCACAGAATATCCAATGCGGCCAAGATGAGCCATGTGAACCAAGATCGAGCAATCATTTTCATGTCCAAGGCCAAAAGACCATCTACTTGCTGTCGATTGTGAGTATACGATGTGCTTCGATCCTCATAGGAGGCAAAACTGGTTCATATACTATTGTTATGCGTCAGAAATAGGTATTAATACGAGGCTTAACATGCCCAAGGCCAGGCAGTGCTAAGCAAGTCATCGTTGCATGAATCAGTAACTAACAGTTTGGGATACTACTTGGGGTCCATAACCTCCCAATAATGTAGCCCAGTTGTCAAATTCTGGTGGGGCCTACTAGTACAGAAAATTAGATCCGCAACACTTGAGGCTGTACGAGGGCCAGCGTCCATTCCGATTGGGGGCCTGACGGCTACGTATTTACGCTGTGGAAGACATTATTGATCTCGTTGGTCTAAAAATACGCATAAAGCTACGAACCTTTCCTATCTATGATATATATGGTACATATATAGTAATGCATACATGTTTGAAGGCCCAACAAAATAAGAAAAGTAAGACGTAAGATGGGGGAATTGATTATTTAATATGATTTGAATAAAATACATCTCGAAAAGAACCTCACCAATATAGACAATATCTAGGCCCTAATATGCAAAAATTAAAAGAACGAGGAAAAAACCCAAGAAAAAAATCGCGGCTTATCTTGAACGAACGAACTGGCGGTAATAGAATTAAACATGAATTGTACCATGCACTAGTCTACATCAAATATAGCCTGAGAGCCAACAGGGCTTCCTCACTTGGCTTTACCCTTGCCCTTGCGGCCCTTTTTGGGTTGCTCGTCTTCATCACCGTCGATAAAATCGTCATCCTTCTTCTTTCCTTTTCCAGTGGCTTTTTTACCCTTACCAGGGTTTCCTTTGGCAGCACCTCCTTTGGCTTTGGGCATCTTCACATACTTGTCTTTCTTGAGATCTAACTCCTCGTCTTCATCCACCTCTTTGGCATCCTCGACGATTTCCTCTTCGTCAGATTCGTCAATAGCATCTTCAATATCGGGCTTAACCTTGGGGCCTTTCTTGGGTGCGAGGACGTTGCTGGCTTTCATGAAGGGCAATGGATGTGAGCGCTGGTTGTAGATGCGAGTGAATGCGGACTTTGTTTGAGTTGCGATTTTGACGTTCTCTTCGTTCATGGGACCTAGTCCAAGTTCGACTAGGGCATCCCAGTCTTCGCGAGTAAGGAAATAGCTATCCATCAAGTCTATGACCTGTTCAACTGAGTCCTTGCCTTCATCCATCAATGGACGAACGAGCTTGTTCCACAAGACTGGCATATACTGTTGTCTGATTTCTTCGCGATCACCAGTAGAACGAAGTCTCATATGACCTTGGATTTCTTTCACGTAGCGTCCTAGCTTGCCTGTTTGATTGTTAGACCGAGTTCAACGTCTTACAGGATTCTTGTGTATGATACTTACCATATTTGCTATTATTACCAAGCCAGCTAGTAAACGTCGGACGTCCCCCAAAGTTCCCAAATGTATAGCTAGCTGGTCGAACGAAACTGAAGGCTGCATGGGTCGGCATTAGACTCCATTGTTGTTGACTGCCATGAATCATCTTATCAACAAGGTCGCCATCACTGATGCTTGACGCGGCGTCATCGGCAAGTTCAAGGAGTTTGAGTTGACGCTCCTTTCCTGAGTAATTATTAGCAAGCATCGGGCTTGTCTTCAGATAATTTTCTTGAAGCATGAGGTAACTGAATTCGTGATCATTGAAATAAAGTTCGATCTTGTCATTCAAGGTCGATTGTGATGTTGGGGAGAACATCTGCGCATTCAAAATTTTAGACACAATGTCCCAAGGCTTTAAAATGACGTGTTTCTCCCAGGCTTTCGATAGTTCCACTCCTTTGTCGTAATCGAGGCTTTTCTGGTCGAGTTTTACAGTCGACAGCATGTTAATCACCTGTCGAATATCTGAGCCTGTGCCCGCTATCAGGCTATCGAGAACTTGCGGAGGAATCTTCATTCCTTCGCGAAAGCAGATTGTAGAAAGTCGTGCTCTAATCATGTCCGGAGTTGGCCGCCTGAAACCAAGCTCGTAGGTAACATGGTCAAAAGGCTTCATCTTGGGCAAACTTCGTTCGTTGCAGATAAGAATCAATGGCACATTGGTCTTCTTGGCTGCAGCTGCCAAAGCTCCAACACCACCTCGATCTCCAGCAGACATTCCGTCTACTTCATCCATGATCAAAACAAGGTTCCGCTTTTGACTTTCGACAGTTTTTCCTTCACCAGAGAAGTAGCCCTGGAGGGAAGTAGTGTCCAAGACGCCAAGAAGCCCGCCTTCAACGAGTTTCTTGCTTCTGGTATCACTGGCATTGGTCTCTACGACATCATACCCCTCCAAATTGGCAACTACATGAGCAGCAGTAGTTTTTCCTATACCAGGAGGTCCATGAATCATAACTGCTCGATACAGACCAGACCCATCTTTTCCTGGCATTTTGAAATTTTTCTTAGCATTTGCTCGCCAGTTACGCAACCACGTTTGTAGCTTCTCGACCTGTCCTTTGTTGCCGCAAATCATGTTCATTGAAGTCGGAGCATATTTAGTAGTCCAAAGGCGGTCATCTACCTGAGACTTGGGTACAGTGGTCTGCGAGGTTGAAGAGGCTTGTGAGTTGGGCATTGGCACGGGTTTTGTTTCTACTTTCTTCTTTTCGAGTTCATCCATTTCCGCAGCCAAAGCACGGATCTTCTTTTCCTCGGCGTCTCGTTTCGCTTGAGCTTGTTCTGCAGCTTTGCCACTTCCTCCATTTGCGGGAAGTCGTCTGATAAGTTCGAAAAGTCCCTCTTCGTTTATTGTTTTTATGTTCATATCCCGGATTTTCTTGAGCTTGCTTGGACCGGCATCGCTACCTAGAACGACATAGCTTGTCTTCGAGCTCGGGGCTCCAGTGACCTTGCCGCCATACTTTTTGACTAGACTTTGACCCTCTTCCCTCCCGAGTGTATCCAATACCCCAGTGAACACAAACGACAAACCAGCTAAGCAGTTGTCCGCGCCAACAGGTAACTGCACTGACCCAGCCCCGGGTGGAGTACGAGATCTCACAGTGTTCATGTAAAATTTCGGTTTCTCGCCATTGTCTCGGGGGGGGTTGGCGCCCTTACTGTTGGAATATTATCAAATATATTCTGAATCTCTTTGGATTCTGGTTGATCTTTCTTTGGAGTGGCTTTCTGTTTCTTGGACGCGGGTTTCTTCTTTGGCTTCTCATCATCAACTTCGTCGAGATCAAACACTGCATCTGACTTTCGCTTTCTTCCAGATTTTGTTTTTGGAGGAGGCGTAGTTAACATTTCAATATCATCATCCTGTTCCTCTACCTCCACCTCCAACCTTCCCTTCTTTGCAGTTGCTGGCTTGACAATGATATCATCGGAGTCGCTTCCATCGTGTTCTTCGACATAATCATCATCAGCTCGACGGGACTTAGCGAAGTCGGTTGCAAAAATGTCATCGCCACCAAGATCGCCATCATCTTCAACTATCCTTACAGGAGCTTTGGAGCGTCGTCCTGCCTCGCTCTTCTTCGCGGATGACGGCAGGTCTTTGGTTTTTTGGGCTTTCGGTGTCCTATTTCCATTCGTTGACGCGTCTGCAGACTCTTTTGCACCGGCAGCTTTTGAAAGCCGACCTCTCTTTTTGCTCGATGCGAAGTATTCTGAGGTGGTTGTTGGCTCTCCTTTGTCCTCCTCCTTGGCCCTGAATAATTACTTGTTAGAATATTGGTCATATTGAATTGAGCGGTACTGACGGCTTTGTCACTGGTTTAGTCTTTGGAGACTTCGGTTTGGGATCCTCATCGTCACTGTCATCGACAACCTTTCTGCTTCCTACACAAACGTTAGACATGTATGTTGAGATGTGAACGGCATCGTTACGTTTCTTGCGGGCTGTAGCAGGATCCTGCTATTAAATTGTTAGTGACTTGAATAATCAGAGATAGAGAAATGAAAATATTCCGAATCAAAATAATAGAAGACGATTTTCCGATAAAATGGAATAAAACACGGTAAGATGGCATAGTTTCACGTACCTCCTCTGCCGCTGGCTTTGCAGACGCGGTCGCACCCTGCCCCGGCTTGGCGCCAAAGAAACTCCTGATATCAGGCATTTCAAATACACACAGTCCCATATGCAGTGCAGAATCGATGGACTGCCAATGGGTTGGTCAGAGGTCGCCTTCAATTCACCGCGAATTCGAGTCCGGACGACACATTAAGCTCATACGCGGGGAGACGCGCCAACGCGACAGCTTCCCGCTCATCACGTGATTAGACACTTTGTCCATGCTGGGATTAGCCTTCTCCATGGTAAGACTGCAGCCGACGTATACTGCGAATAGTCTGCTGTCAACATATTGATCGTAGTGAGGGTTTATATACTCGCACACTGCCGAGCATCATCTCAATATGTTCGGCAAGGCCCAATTCGGCCTTTTACGGCCATGTAAGTACCTTCTCAGAGTTATCTTGACAGCCATAGCGGGTTTTTCGCAACTCCAATTTTTGACACTGACCACTGACTGACTCTTGAATCTCAGACACAACCCCCAATTCCACACCCTTCCACCTCTCACGATGCTTCTCCACCACTTCACCCGCCATGGACTGGCTAACCCCTAAATTCGCTGAAAAATCCAAGTCGCCCAAGGGCCGACCGAAGATGCGCACAGGCGGGTCGACTCGGGGGACAACAGTTGAGCATGGAGACTACGGACTGCGCATGAAAGACCACGATCGTCGGCTATCGGCGGCTTCACTGAAGCTCGGCGAAGAGACGATTCGGCGACGGTTACGAGGAATGAATTATACATTATACAAACGAGTCAGTGCGAATATCGGTGTGTATACGTCTGGAAACGAAATGCGGATGGGTAAGGGTAAAGGTAAATTCGACTATTGGGCGGCCAGAGTGCCGGTTAGTAGGATCGTGTTTGAAGTCAAGGGGAATTTGCATGAGAAGATTGCGAGAGAGGCATTTAGGTTGGCGGCTCATAAGTTACCGGGTATGTTACTGCCACGAAACTAGGTATTTGGCTAGGATGGCAACGCTAATGCTAGTTATTCTAGGACAATGGGAATTCGTCAAGAAAGGTGATCCCCCGATTGTAGGAATCACTAAACTCGGCAATGGTGTCACATTGGAAAGCCTGAAGCGACCGCGAAGAGCGATTCCATTGGGAATGGAGAAAGAGGCCAATCCACCAAAGACCACATCATCCAGCACTTCTCCAACGCAATAAACCATCCATCATCAATATTCCCGCAACTTCTCCAAAATTCTCCCAATAAGTCAACATCTAAGCTCCAATCCCAGACTCAGGCCCCAACTTCTGCACCGTTCTCGATCGGCGCGTTTCCTCCTCACCACCATTTGCATCAGGTTTCAAGTCTAATCGTGTACAATATCAACACATCAGCTTCAGTTCTTTCTCTTCATCGCCGATAGGGCAGTAGAATAACCAACATTCCCTTTCTCATCAACATAACCTATCCACCTGGGAATGAAACAGTCTAGAACATAAAAACCAATCATACCTTTATCAACCTCTCCAGAAACACTAGTCGTAGTTCCCAGAAACTGCGGGTCATTCAGATTTGAATCCCTCTGGATATCGTCTTCATTATCCTTATCACCACCAGATAGAATTCTGAGTTCGCTGACGGTGTTTTTCTGATATTCTTGTTTACACCTTTAACACTCTGAATCTTTAGTAGTATGTTGGTATGCACGTACCCCCAAGCTGTCCCTTTTGCTTCGGTGGTGTTTGGGTCACGGTGCGAATGGATTCGTATCTAGGTAAAGTCAATATATTCGCAATCAACAGTGGAAAAGCGCTGGGAGATGTACTGTGTGCTTTCGCCGCCTGGTTCCATGTTTTTATTAATTAATATGAATTGATATATATCCTATATATTCTTGGATTACGACAAGCATTGATGTTGCTGAACGAATGTAGCTTATATTGGCGGTGGTATTTGCGAGTTATGACGTAACCTATACCATGACCAGGCAGCACCACATTGAGATAGTCAGAGAATTTTATTACTGCGTAATGAATTGGTATTACATGAACTACAAGCTAAAAAGACTGCTTAAATATTGTCATTTCTCAGAAAATCGTCTAACGACCATGCACCCATACAAAATCCCACTCGGTTTCCACATATGCGCCGTGCAAACATCCCAAACATTCAACTCAAAAGTCCATGTTCATTAGGTATCTATATATATCCATGTTAAAAATGAATACAAACCGCAGGAAACAGTAACTCACCCTTCATAGATACGCATAAACTTTGCCACAAAGGCTTCTAGATGGAATATGACTTTCTATAGAACATTAGAAGCGATCGTTTAGCTGATAATAGCCTGACTTACGCTGCCGAGTTTAATGCGGTGCTCGTAAAAGGCGGACCACTTGATGACCTCTGGCTTTAGGGCATCGTCTACTTTTGTGATTAGTTTGAAGGTGAGGGTCTGATCGTCAGCATATACAACAATACGTAGTAATGGTAGAAGAAGTACCTTGAGAATCGTCGTGGGCGGGATACAATGCGTCAGCAAATCATAAAGCCTTTCTCGAACCTGCAGTATTCGTGCCGGCGAGCGCTCTGCCAGAATATCATCGGCGATGACAGAGATCAGAGCCTCCCAGTCTGGCGGTGGGATGGGGGTTTTATCAGACACTTTCTCACTACACACACTATCAGCATCACCTGCAACCCCAGTATTCCGGTGGACAACAAACTTCTGTGCATAAATAGCCTCAAACATCAACAACGCCCTGCGCAGATTCCGCCCACTCTCGCTAGCAATCCTCCTATTCAACGACTCCTCAACCACCCAATTCTCCCTCTCCGCCGCACCGCGCAGAACAGCCGTGATATCCGCCTCCGACGGCGCGGCGACTCTAACCAGCAGCGTTCTCGACCTAATCGGCGCGATGATATTCGACGTGCTATTCGCGAGTAAAATCAGGCGCAAATTAGGACTGTATTTCTCCATTGTGCGTCGAAGCGCCGCCTGGGCATCGCGGGTGAGATGGTCTGCTTCATTGATGACGACGACTTTGAAGCGCTGCTTGGCGGATTGATCGACCTGCTGTGTTTGCGCGACCTCTTTGAGGAGTTCTTGCACAACCACGCGGTCGTAGTTCCCAACATCCGAGGGTGTGATTTCAAGATGGTAGACAGAAGACACAATGTTGAATTCGAGTTTGCGGTTGCTCGTTGTTTGGAAGACGCGCGCGTCGACTTTGATTTTCTCGACGCCGGGGCCGTATAGTTCTTTTAGTGTGGCGATGATGCGGGTTTTTTTGCCAGCGCCCGATGGGCCGTAGACGAGGAGATGGGGAAAATCGCCGCTTTGAGCCTATATTCATGTGTTAGACGGGGGAGAGGGAAGTGGGATGGATGTGAGTGTACCAAGGATCTCAATCGTGCTGATAGCTCTGGATGATAAGTGAGCGTATCGAGTGTGCGTGGACGCAGTTTGTCAACGAGAAGAGCCATCGTGGAGATTATATCAAATGGCCTTCGGAAGAAAATGATGTACATGTAGTCGACGGTGTCTTTTGAGCTTCTCGGGAACGCGTCGACGCGCCAGCACTTAATACTTGGTCCGTGCACAGAGCTGCCGGATCAGCGCCATACTTTTGAGGCTCCAAAATACAGCCTACGTTTTTAAGTGTCAATTGTAGTGATGATTTGGTTTTAATGTACATATCTATACTATGCTAAGTTTCTCTTTATAATCCTACATCCATGTAACACACATAGAACGCCGGCCATGAGTTGAGCAATATACAAATGGATTCTGTCCCATAATCATCCAATATCAAGACATTATGCAGAAATCTTTCAAGGAGTAGGTCGTAAAACACCGTTGTCGTCATATCTCGCTTCTATATAATCATCAGCATTCCCCAACCAACACAACCGATTTAATAGGTAGAGTGAACACTCACTAAAAAACGTATACGACAGCGTAATTGTATCAATATTCCGCATACTCGGATCCTTCGCAAAATCCGGATCAATGAAGAAGAAAACTGGCATATCGACGGACTCGCCGGCATTCAGCTTCTGTTCTTCAAAGCAGAAACACTGGATTTTGCTAAAATATGGGGCGACTTGGCCTGGCGTGACGCTGTAGGTTGCAACGCCGATGATGTCGGCAGGACCCTTGTTGGTGGCAGTATAAAAAGCGAGGGCGGTTTCACCGGGCAGAACGCGCACTTCACGCTGCTGAGGGGTGAATTTCCAGGGTAGGACGTCGGAGACCGAGCCGTTGAAGGTGATGCGTAAACGCCGTGAGTCGGTGACGGGTTGAAGGCGCGAGGTGGTATCGCTTGAGCCAATTGTGTGGACTTGTACTGGTTGGCCGTTCCAGCCGATTTGTTGGCAGATCTTTGATATATGTAATTAGCCGACGATTCGATGTAGAGATGGGAAAGAGAGGGGATAGCGTACCATTTTGTATAGCGGTACAGAACCATAGGCTAAAGCGAGGGTGCCCATTATGACGCTCAGGGTGTAATATCTAGTCTTATTAAATTTACGTTCTTGGATATGCCAGCCATCGTAAACTCACAATGTAGAGGTATTCTTTTTCCTCGACTCCGCATTGCTGTACGGCGACGGCTGTTGTCGGAGATTCGAGTGTTGTGAAAAGAATCGTAGGTCATTGTATGTTGATTTCGCGAGTGATTGTTGTATCCAATGCCTATGGCATGGATTTAGTCTCCGTGCATAAGGTAGCGCCATACCTTGCTGCTTTTATTTTAACATTAGAAGCAGAACAACATGTCGAAAGATTCGGCCGCGCGAAAGCTCCGCGGCGCTGCAAATCATGACATGTCACGTGATATAAGATTTTACCAGGCTTGTGTTTTCCTTCTTTTCTGGACATCATGTATGCGTTGATAGGTATTTATAGCAATATTGGGATAAAACTAATGTGGTAATTCCTGTTGTATATGTATAATCATTGAAATTGGCGTTTCTGAGAGGCAATGGCTCATGGATTTGCGGATTAGTGTCAAATTAATGTTATATATGAATCACTAGAAGTTAGTTCCTTCCACCAATCACGTAGTCAATAGAATGTTAGAATACAAGAATTGAAATGTAATATGATACTGAAGTCGCCGTCTCGCCGATATAACAGACATCCTGCACCGAGCAATGCAATCAAAAATTTAGTTCTATCTAAGATAATTTTGAGCCTGGGGATCCTTTTTCATCCAATCACTGACGATAGCACGCGTCCAAAGACGCCTCTAATCAACTCTGGTTGCTCTTGAGCGCATGTGAGGATAATAGCCGTGCTCATGGCAAAGACAATTTGTTCCCGCGCCAGATACTGTACCGAATGTTAGCAGAAGAATACAGTTCAGCTAACGCACATCAAGATGAAAAAAGCAGTGAATGCATGAAGCATTAACTACTACTGTCGTACAATGTCACATTAAGTTCCATGAGAGGACCTGCACATACCTTTTGATCATACCGTCGCGGTAGTAAGGTTGCTGCAGCTCTTGGTGCGACGAAAAACGCAACCTCTTGTCGCTTGGCTGGGTTCTCTGCTAGGATGCTCCAGCCACACATAAAGCACCCAGCGCCCACACAGAGACCAGCGTCCCACATCATGGGCGTTACTGTTTTGCGGTTGAAAATCTTGGGGCCCAGTCTCGTACGTGCGAGACAGACAGAGTAGTAGAAAAGACTTATGAAGAGGGAGAGGAAGGACGATGACCGCAAGGCATCCTTGACGGCTCGGGTGATGGTAGCCCCGGTTTGTCTGGAGCGTACCCGAAGTAGCAATTGTAATGGTAGGTAAGTCATTAGGGAGAACTTGAATGCACGGGCGAAACGAGATACAGCATGCCATTCGCAGCTTGGCCCGCACCCCATGTGCACCATTTCACAGGGTATTGGAATGGTTTTGGCCGGGTCTCCCCATTCAATTGGCCACCCGTACTCCTTACACATGGGTTCGAGCAGCGGTGCTTGACCGGTATCCTTGCCATAGACAAAGATACCCCTCCTTACCCGGCGTAACGCTTCGATTAGCCTAGTATCCACGCTTGCAGCTTGTCCAATCCATTTCGCGTACGAACGTGGCAGTCTTTCTGGGGCATAAAACCACGCCCACATTACCACAGCGGCACTTCCAGCAAATACACCAGTGTCGGCAAAATGCGCGACGAAACCTGCCATTCGAGACTGGTTACCACGGGTGTTCCGCCGACTGCTCCAGGCGTTCCAGGCTGCGTACACGACTACGCTCGCAGCCCTGGTGAAAGAAAACAAAGTAAGATCTAGAGTCTTCCCTGCAAGGTCTGCACGCTTATGCCCTAGACCAGCCGTGCCGTTCAGGTGGCCGCCATTTATGTGACGTCCGTTTGGTGGTTCAATGGGTGAGGCATCGCTATTGATAGTAGCTGGAGGACTACCATGCTTCTTGTTCATTAAATGAAACGCCACCCATGCCGAAAGGAAGGCAGACAGAAACCGCACCAGACGAGCAATCGGTTGGGAGTAACGCAGATGCTGTCCAGCAAGCCATTTGCTACACACAGAGAGAATTCGGAAGCACAGAACAGGCAGCCACGTCGCGCCACTTACGAGGACAGCGCAAGACGTGGGAAACCTGTTGAAACCCCAACCGGAGAGAAGAATGCGAAGAAGCTGTGACAGAGTTCGTATCAGAGTTGAACAGGGATATGCATCAGGGCTTATTCATACTTTTCTGAATTTCTCCCGGAATTCGATATCCTTCTTTATAAGTTCTGGGAACAAACCCAATAGTCTCGGCGTAGTCAAGGCCAGGTATCCCAGTCCGTACGCTTTAAGCACGCTGCAGCGAGATTAGTTTGAATTTGACAATGCGAATACACAATGGAAGATAATACGTACGGCTTGAGGTTCTGGCCACTGACCACCCTTCCTTCCAGGCGTGCCATGTTGGGGTTGCGATAAAGAGCGCCGCATGCTCCCTCCTACAGCAAGACCAGCAGTGGTCACTCGACAGATAGGGTCGAGTTAATCAGCGCGTCAGGATATTTAACTATGCAAAAGCAGACATGATGCGGGGGTGCAGTCAGGAGAAGCCAGAATTATTTGTTTGCGGGCAAGTTCATGTGAAAGCGCTGGCTATCAATACAGGGGCCGCTAATACTATTAGGGCTGAGGAAGGGAGCTTGCCGGTAGGGTCGTACACTGACTGCACTGGCTGGATTGGACAAAGCAGGTGAAAGTCGAAATTTGAGGCAACGTGAAGATGCGTAGAGTGCTGGGCGGACGAATAGGAAGCTGCAGGACGCAAGCAATAGCACAGGCCAGCGACGTTGCGATGCAATGTGATGCGGCGAGCTTATTTCCGCCTCACGACGTGAAGGCCCTAGTTAATGCAGCCTCGGTTCCTATCTGGACGGGTCAGGGGCAACGCGCCTCCGGTGTCGATCGCTCCTGGAGAGGAATTCCAATCAAAAGAAACGAGAAAATGCTCCGAAGTGCCTATTAAGTTTAGTAATAACAGGCCACTGTGCTCCCGGCACTGCTCGTGGCACCGGCACCGGCTGCAGTACCACAGTGCTGCCCCCGGACAGCAGGCAGCCTAGACAAGACAGCTGGAGATGAGTAGAGCAGAGAAATTATAGTAGTGATGAGAATATCCCCGAGCATTGAATGGAGTCGTAAGTAGCGGGGAGCAATTTGGAGGATAACACGACGTCACTCACGCGATGACGGCTGCCCGTGGCGCGCACGGGAGGAGAGGAAGGAGCGAAAAAATTGCATGTGATCCAGCAGAAGATGTGACTCGTGGAGTGTAGGTCCACACTCCAGCACTCCTTAGCACTATGAGTTATTGTTATTATCTCACTGCGGCTGTCTCTCGCTGTGAAAATCTAATCTAGTTTCATTCATTAGTGCTGTTTCTCATCAAACTGCCGGCTATTATCGATCGCACGACGTGCCATCTGCCCACCGCTTATCTCGCACACGCCCGCAGAATCTGTATCCGAATCTGTCTTCCCCAGATCCAGCCTCCACCCCCGCTTCCGTCACCTCGATTTGATTCCATTTCCTGCAATTTGCAAGCACGCATATACTACACTACAACTCAAGCAGTCAACAAGTAACATCTTCATTTGGCGCCGCCGCTCAATTGCTGATCCGCTACGCTCATCCGCTTAATTTTTGGTCCGTTGCGCCGCGCCCGTGGATGCCATACGGGCTGTATGACAGTATTCGTACCTCGGCACCGTGCTACCGCTTACTGCTGTAGGAAAGCGCACTGCATAGCAGTTGCGAAGAATAACTGCGAGCACATTCGACTATCAACAGGCTGAGTGGGACTTGCGCGCTCCAAGCCGCCGCCGTTATTCCCGTCATGAATGCCAGAGGATCCCAGCCGCAGACACAAGAGCGTCACTCAAGAGACTCGCCGCCGCCGGGCCCGTTTGGATGTGAGATGTGGTGTCCTGCCAATGTCTTGAGATTATGCTAATCAGTTCTGTCGTGTAGTCATCTTCGATGCCGGCCCAGCGCCGCCACCTGGCCCTTCTCTTCTCGACGACAGCGAGTCGAATATGCTGGATAACTTCTTCACCACACTGAATACAGGGCAACTCGATGTGAGGGATAATTGGTTCAATGCTGTCGCTCCGGATAAGGGAGGAAGTTCATTTGGGATGGATTGGGCAGAAGAACTGCCGCCGAATTTTGAAGGCTCTGCAACGTCTTTATCGCAAGCCCCTGCATTTTCATACAACAATGCCGCCAAGGGAACCAATAGTTTAATGGGTGGCCTGGGCCCAGACTCAGATATACTCGCTGCAGCCTCAATGCTGTATGCAAACGGAATGAGTTCAAACAGCTACCCAACACAGAATATCTCCTTTCACAATGTCCTGGCGGATCAAAATGGCTTGAAACAAGAGCAGTCACATCACCGACTAGAAGGCATTAATTCTGCTGGCTCACATCAGCCGTTGGTTCAACCGCAGCATACCTCTGTTTTTCACGTCGATCAACCAGTTCCGGTCGATCCACAAACGACAACGCATGTTCGAACGCTTCGCTGGGGTTCGGACGCCGGTTTCGTTGACCAAGGGTATCTACGGCCATCAAATGTGCCAAGCGGGGAACAACAAACTCTAGACTTGCTCGATACTGTCAATACTCTTATTCCCACTCAATCGACAAGTGCGACAAATACCAGAGCACCCAGTCCCGCGAGAACGACCGAAAACATCCGCAGCAACAGCCTAAACGAATCAAACACATCTCACTTAACCCCAGACAGTCGTGACATGGATAGCCGGGTTCCCCCGAAGAAACGATTCAAGACGAAATCTCAAATAGACGACTACTCTGATGAAACCGGCACACCACCACGAACAAAGAGGCCCAAAAGCTCATCTGGAGGCAAATTTAGAAGAGGCTCTAGTGAAGCCTCGTCCCGGAAACAAACAAACAAACCCACGCGGGAGAATCTGTCCGAGGAACAAAAACGCACAAATCATATATTATCAGAGCAAAAACGACGAAACCTCATCAAGAACGGGTTTGACGAGCTCTGTTCTCTCGTCCCTGAGCTCCGTGGCGGCGGTTTCAGCAAGAGCGCCATGTTAATCCAAGCCGCAGATTATCTCGACGAAGTTCTAGAGGGCAACGAGGTCCTCCGACAGCAACTCAACCAGCTAAGATCGCTGAACGGCTTTTTTATGCAAAGATGAACCTCTATCGATATTAATCACTGAACCCCATATACGAAAAACGGCCCGTCGGATCGCAAGCGGCTGTGCTTTGAGCTAAAATATTTCCAGGCTCTTCCATGTTCAAAATTTACGATACCCTGCACAATAGTTTTTTTTTTTTTTGGCAACCCTGAGCATTACATGTCCTTTTTTGGGAGCAAATCGGAATGGGAAAAGGACGGCTCCTTCATATGCCTGCATCAAGCGAATTCGCACAGTGAATGACACTGGGTTGGCTTTAGTGTGGAAGATGCTGTCCTTCAGCGGAAGCCATGATGAGCTGAATATATAATGAATAATCATGGTCATGTTAATACTATCATCTCATACATATGTATGTACTGTGCAGCATTTAAGTTCATGTAGATAGCTGGTGTCAAGTATGGGCGCCAAGCCATCATTTGATGTGGGGGTCGCCGTTGTTGATAGCTCCGTAGCTATTACGACTTAGGAACAATCAAACATCAACCGAACAATTACAACTCACAATACAATCAACTATCCCAATTCCTAACATTCTCGCAGCTCACAATCTATAAAGCAACCTTCCAGCCCATCGCCATTCCCTCATCCACGCAGCCTCAAACATGCCAACCAAAAAACGATCACGCGCCTCCTCCGACGACACCACAAGAAACCCCAAGCACTTCGCCATCCTCAAACCACAAGTCAAAAACATCTCCAAACGCGCCATAAAATCCAAATGGACGAATCTACCCGAATCTGCACAGGAGAAAGTACGCGATATGTTCCGAGCCGTCGAGAGACCGGTTATCATGCTGCAGCGTGATGAAAGGAAGCGCGTCGAGGCGCAGACTGCGCTCGGCGCGGTGGTGAGAACGTATGTTTATATACATATTCACCTGTCTCGGGAGGCTTGGAGATCAGAGAAGCTGATGTGTACAGGCTTGAGCGAAGACTTCCGCGAATGCCCTTTCCGCCGCTTGCGAAGGATGCGACGTTTGATTATGAGGCAGCGCTTAATGAACATGTGAGCTGCGATTATTGCATGCAGCGGGAAGACAGTATGCTGACCAATGCAGCGCCTCTTAGACGCTCAGCTATCAACGGCGACGAACGCGATCGACGTACTAAAGATGGAGATAGAGAGAGAGGAGGCCCTCCTTACGAAAGAAACTAAATATGTTGAGGAGATGGAAAAGAACGCCAAAAAGGCCGAGGTTGAACGACGACGGCAAATGAAGAATGTATATAATATCCGCTTTCTTTTGAGAAGCGTGGTTAGGTGATTGCTGACCTGCAGCGTTAGGAACATCCCGTGCTACGCCATATTGATAATCTGTCGCAACATGCTGATAGACCTGCGGCGCCGTTTGTTGTGGATGCTTCTCGGCAGGATGACGCGACGCTTTGCGAGGTATTCCCTTTTTCTTTCTCCCTTTATTTGTTTGCATCGGTGGCCTGACTAGGACAGATTGACCCGGATCCGGAGCTGCAGTCACTGATCACGCAGTTGAATGGGCATCTCAGTTCAATGAGTAATAATTTTGGGCCATTTGCGGACTTAAGGGAGAATATTGCGCGGGCGCAGGCGTCGTTGGATTTACTCTTCATCCCGGCGGATTGAGTGCCTACATCGCCAAATATTCTAAGTTGAAACAGAGCAGAATGTGCTATATAGTACTTCCGAAAATTGGTGACACCACATACACTTGTTGATTATTTCTCGAAACCTAATTACTAATATCCACTAGTACATATTTGGAGTTTATCCGAAAATCCCCGTCAATGGGGTATTATGTTTACAAGAGTAGCCGGGACTGTGGCGGGTGCATTCACTCGTATCGTTAATACACACCACCACCTCAACTTCTCCCAGGTCTATAGTCCTCATATCATCCCTCGCAACCGCTGAAAGAGTGCAGCCTTGAGACATGGCGACTTTACCGGTGACGATCCCGGTCAACCGTGAGTTCAGCTTAAGAGAGCGAATTGCGGTGCGTCGTCGTTCTTTTTTTGCCTGACCGATGCTCAGGCGATGCTAACCCCGCCCCACCTCATCCAGGACCATCTCGCGCTCATGCGAAAGTTCAAACGCATTTTAGAGGATGTGGAACGCCCCGGTAGGCACGCGCATAAATTCCCGCGCCCTCCACCTGGCGTTTCAGGTCAGGAAAACGAGGGTAAATGGAGAGTGCAATGCCTCCTTATGAGCGCTGAGGTCCGGTACTCGTTGTACCTTCAAACTTTAGAAAGGTGGATTGCGTCTTATGGTCTCAAATCACCTAAGGATAAGTGGCCACTCCCACCATGGTGTGACAATCCAAATTTTGTTTTGCCTCCTCTTCTGGGGCATGGGGAGCATGTGCTAACATACTTTGGCAGGGATGTGGCCATCATATTCTACGCCCATCTCCTCTCACCATTCAATTTCCAGAGCGACATCGAATCAAATTTCCAAAATCTTTGGAAAGCAGAGATCGAATTTCCTCTTGCAAGGATGCGCTCAATCAATTCAGATAAAGGTAGTGAACGTGCATGGATGAAGGAATATCCTAATATCGCTTATCAGGCAGTGGAGTTTACTCTTGCTGGTGATCACGCATACATCACTACTGAGAATGTTATGGACATACACGGCTATAAGTGCGGCTCGAAGCATTGCCTGAAGAAGGGAGCGTATGTCATCCAAATGACTGAATGGTCCAAATACCGGGTTGGCCGAGCCAAGCTCACCTGTCCTGGTTGTAAGACGACGTTCACTAACAGAGCGTTCGAGCCTCAGACACTGCTTGAATTCTCCCGTGCTGCGTTCGGGTTCCCCATCTTCAACCTATGGGATAGCCCTCAACGACAGTTTGGTAAACAAGGTTTTGTGGACCGGATTCTGGCCTTGACCCAGGCTCAAGGCCAGATGCCAGACCATGTCTTCCGCTATCTTAAGTTCCTGCAGCTCATGAAAGAGAGTAAATCCATCCTTGTCCCGACGCTCGACATCGATCTCCTCTGGCACACCCACCAGCTCTCCCCAGTCGCCTACGACAAGTACTGCAAGACGCACGTTGGGCGACGGATCAACCACGTAGATACCATCCGCACGACGAAGCGCTCCACAGGCCTGGACGACACGGCGCGCCTCTGGGCAACGTGGTACGGCGAGTCCTACTTCGACCCGGAAAATACGGCCAAGGCTACGGAGATCGAACGACGCAAAGCCACGTGCAAGCAGAAGCGGGAGGACATGGAAGCCAAGCTGGCCGCGTACGACTACAATCACCAATATCTAAAGAAAGAGCTCGACGAGGTAAGCGACCGTATCGCAACCAAGCGTGCCAGCATACGCGACGCACATGTGGCGGCGAGCGCGCTCGGCGCGACGGTGGCGCGTGTGGAAGCGGCTAAAAAGTCCGTCAAGCCGTCACTGCGGCTGTTCGAACTGCGTTACTACAGCCAGACGCAAAAGCAGCAGCTGCGGAAGCTAGAAGATAAACGCCGACCGCTGGTGGAGGATTATATACACAAGCGGCGCGAGGCGGAGACTCTGGAAGATGAGGGCCGGGATTTGTGGCGGGAGCTGGAGCGTCACAACAGGAAATGGAAGGAGGCACAGAAGGAGAGGCGGCTCCTGGAGCAGCGGCTCGCGGCCGAGGTGGCCTTGGCGACAGAGGCGATCGGGCAGTTTAATGTCGACGGATTGGATAGGCGTGATGATCAACACCAGCAGCAGTACCAGGAGGACCGGTATGACGGGTCGTGGTACTCGGTCGTGCCGTCAGAGGTGCAGCCCTGTATGTATCCCATTATCGATACAGCGAACGATGGGAGGGCGAAGGTGCGAACGTGGGCAGACACATACAACCCAACGCGTAGCTATGCAGGGTATTCTGGGGGAGGCGGCGGCGGAGGATGTGGCGGCGGAGGAGGAGGTTGCGGCGGAGGAGGATGCGGCGGAGGAGGATGCGGTGGCAGTTAACCCATGGAATAATAACGCAGTGCCGTGACAATCCACCTCGGTGAAATAATTCGACATCAGCAACTCATATCTTGAAACTTTATATAGGGACCACGATTCAAAAGGGTGAATGCGATGAGGGCCCTCGAAGCGGTGTGTACAGCATAAGTTCAGATGGTACATGCAACACTTGGAGTTTGGAGAATCTACCACCGGAGTACCACCCAAGTACTTCTGCCGTGTCACTATCGACAATATATCTTGGTTGTCCTTCGGGGCGAATGCAATTAGTCACCTTGGAGTCCCTGAGATTATTTATATGTCCTTGCTGGACACTGAATCTAGCTAAGCGGTATCCTACAGAAGATCATCTTTTACACTCTTATATGCTAGATCGATTCGTAAAAGGTGGGCCTGGAAGCATTGATGAATTCATAGGACAATGCATTGCCACTCTCAAGCTATATTCCACCAGTAGGCTAGGAATTCTATTTATGCCACAGGACTTCAGCATATTATCTAAAATAAAAGTGGTTGTTGAGATATGAAGTTGTAATTTATCGCTTTTAATATGGTGTTTTGGGGTCCGCTCGCTTTGGAATCACAGTAGTGTTACGGCGTTGGGCACAAAATGTATTGTAACTAAAACTATTTTAATCTAGTTTTATTAATAGTAAATTATATAATTAGATTTTTAAGCCAAAATAGTACATTTGAATACGAGATCAAACGCCATAGTGTAGGCGCTAGTATTGGTACATTTAGTGCCAGACAAGACTTTGTGCCCACCTCTGTATGTCTCCAGAGGTACCTACCTTAGTCATGTAATAATTACGTAATATTGTTTATTCCGGCCCCATTCGTAATAAAGTATATAATATCTTGGCATTCCCGTTTGAGAAACAATCGAAGAGGGTAAGTGGTGACACCGATTTCCGGAAGTACTGTAGCTCTAGTCTGCTGTCAAAGGTGCCGCGTCGCTCGATGTCCCAGTGAGGCACCCGAATACGTGGATACCTCGACGAGCTGACAGCTTGCGGCTGATACATAGCAGACTAGGCATATAGGGGCCGTATCCAGTCTGTACAGCTTTAATACGCTCTCCTCGTATTGCTAGCTAGTAACTAGAGCAGCATCCAGAACAGACAATTAACCCAGGCAATTATCCAATCTACATCCTTCACTGAATCATTAAACAATGTTTCAAGCCTGCCAAGCAACAATCCGAGAATGGGCCGTTAATTCCGAAGAATAATCGCCCATTAGTCCCATGAGGGTTCGACTAACCTTTAGTATTCTAGTTAGCGGCATGAAATTTCCGCACAGACCCACGAATTGGATGGCGTTTGAGAACGTGTGAGATGCTTATTCCAAATATACTATGACCAACCAACCAATAAAATCGAGATGCGAAGGTGGCTTGAAAATAGAATTTTTCGAATGGATTTCCCGAATAGGAATTGATGCACAGCATTTCTTCATAAGGGTGGTGGTGTCAACATTAATAATTAAATACTGCTTCGCAACCGGCATCAATTAAATATTTCATGTCCTCACATCTTCAAGCGTTGAGGTTGATAGAATAGTACTGCAAAAAACATGCCGAATACGGGTCGGCCAAGTCGCGCTTGCTACTCATGTCGACAACGCCGTATCAAAGTAACTCCAATTCCAGTCCTCTTATGATATTGAAGTTATTGACGTTGGGAACTGATCACTAATATGTGGAATGGCTAGTGTGATCTCGTGCGTCCGGCGTGCGGCCAGTGCTTAAGAAAGAGACACGCATGCCCGGGATACCGCAATGAGCTGGATGCTCGCTTTCAAGTCCAGACCATGTATTCATTCGAGGATTACATGAACAGTGATCGACGCAAGTCGTATAGACAGAGTTACCGTGTCCATGTATCTAGTAGATATGAGACTCATTTTCTCCACCGACCCACCACGCATGAACACGTACGGCTAGCATCATCAATGCCATCCACTCCGGACACATCACTTTCAGCTCGGTGGTATTCGATGACTGGGCCCAAAGACGCTGATTTCAAGATCTTACGCCCTCTAGGACGGTGGACAACCGTGATTCCAGTGCGACTTGGATGGAATGAAGCGCTTGACACCGCGGCCATCTATGCGCTAGATGCCTGTACAGCACACTTTCATCCGAGTGAAATTAATGCGCGTAAGGTGTTGGTTTCGGCGATGAAGGCTGTGCAAAGTCTTCGGCTTGCATGGCAACAAGCTACACCGACGAATCCAGGAGAATTGATTGATTTGATGCTTACTGTTCAGCTGCACTTTTCTGCAGAGGTATGGAAGAAATCCCGCAGAGTTGTAATGGCTGGTTGACCTAATTACTTGGACTCTATCAGGTCTTCAGGCGTCTCCAATCTAGGGTGTACCTTCTCCATATGACGGCTCTATCGACGCTGCTCAAGTCCTGCGACCAATCAGTTCTGAACACAGATATAGCTCAAAGTATCTTTAGCTCTATCATCTACGAAGAGGTCAGAGGATTGATCAACCCTACATGTATACATATATGTAAACATCTGCTCATAATGGCGTTGATTTAGGTCGTATACTCCTACTTCTCCGGAACTGATTCTACATTTGACAATCCATCCTTCCTCCAAGGACTGAAATCAGGCATCCTATTATGGAAAAGCCCATTAGCCACCGTGACAGCGTGGATATATGAACATCTCATTCAGCTTCCGCGTGCGCTTCGACTCGTGCGCTCGTTATACGGATCTCAGGATCCCAATATCTTCGCCGAAACAGTCCAACTCATCAAAAAGCTATATAACGATGACTGCGACCCGCTCATACCTCAAATAATTGAAAATCTAGCCACCACCATTCCAACACGCTCACCCGAGAACGCAGGACTAGTCCCGCTGTCCTATCAGTTTGAGTCGACATATATTTTCAAAATATTTACCCGGTATTTTACATTCAGGATCTTGCTATATGGCCTCTTGCAGGGATTGCATCAGGTTTATGCACTTGATATTGATATGGCTGTCGTCCAGGCAAACGACGTGCATACAGCATACTCAATGGCAATGTGTGTAGACCACGCGTTGCATACGTACCCGGCAGATGGTCTTCTGTGCGTACGACTCATCCTCCCCCTGCAGTTTTCCTTCATGTCGTGGCATCAGCTAGAAATGAGATCGGAGGCGATGGAATCTGAATCTGCTGCGGCGGACTATCAGCGTGCCACGGATATGAAGTTGTTGGTTGTGAGGATAGTGATGGAGATAGATGCCGCGTGGGAAAGAGGCCAAACATCGTTATCTAAACGATATGAAGTTTGTGAAAGGCTCGCTCAGGCTTTGGGTGGTGGGCCGCAGAACCAGCGTTTGCAAGACTACACGGATACGAAGCAGATCATCGCGTTGGCGGGGGATCCGGTTGTTGATGAGCGTTCATCCACACAGAAGACTTTTGGGGTAGTAGAACAGTGAAAAATAAGACTGTTAGAAAATATTTTTGGGTTATATAGCTAGGGACAATGTTCATAGAAATCCTCTCGCCTTTACAGTTTATATATATGAAAGAATACTCCCCACGACTTACAAGAATTATGACGGCTGAACTCAGTTTTTGGATTAGAAATGGTCGAGAATACACCTCAATAATAGGCCAGATAACTCGTTGCGTCGCATTTTCGTCTAGGGGCAAATTCGAATAATTAACAGTCTGATTCGCTTCAACATTGAAACAAATTGTTTTAATCAACCACCCCTCTACTGTATCACCTATTTGAATGACATATTATTAGTTATTAATTAACTTACATCATCCTATACAACTTTATTAAACAGGAAAAATAGGATAGAGCCTTTAGATCTAAATGTGAGACTGTTTGGAAAGCAGGCAAAGCGTTGGAATTAGAGTCAAATCTAGGGGTAGATATATGCACAAACTGATTGCCGGTCTGTGTAATATTTCCCACAGCATTGAGGTGTGTCCTATATAGTATATACTATAGGCTTCCAGATGTTCACATATCGATGGTGTGCCGTGTTTATAATACTATGTAACACCCTAGTGACTCTCACATATGATTATCCTACTCTAAATATATTAAATTTTTATATAATTGATAAATTAAGCTAAAGGGTAATTTTTAATCTATTGATTTGTACTCGAAAAGGGCAACAATAGAGACGGTGTTTCTTTTTATTCGACTGTTCCGTCATAGATCAAATTTAATTTGAGTGGATATATTTATTTTGTTCATTTCTCAAAACTCCTTGCGCTCTAAATATAGACTGATATCTTGGGTACATCACTAAGAACTTTGAGAAGAGATCTATCTAGCTCTAATTGAGACCCATATACCCTCTATGTGCAGCTTTTATAATTGAATGAAGTCTAAATTAATACATCTACTGCTTGTTAAATTTGGGGAGAGCGATAATAGTTTCTCCGCGATATATTTAAACGAAAGCTATTATGCAAAGCTATGGCTAGAAGGCAGAATGCTCAAAGATTTTACATTGTTGACAATTACGATTGCTTATAGGCCCATCATTCTTGCTAAAGTTGAATTAAATATATTTATAATGTGGTTTTTATATAATTTAATTATCAAAACCTACTTAAAGATATTTTAAAAGACATTTATATAAAACAGATATTATAATTTTCGAATATCTTTTGATGACATCTTAATTCCACGAAGATCCGTATTGAGACAAGGTAATGTTCGTTATCGCAACAGCACCATCGTCTACTACCATCGTAATGCCGGTGGATTCAAAATATCGAGGATAAATCCTTTGAGTGATGGCTGTCCCATCTGAAGCAAATATTTCCAGGATCGTGCGATCTAGTAATATGTCCAGTCCTAAAATATTGTTACCCGGAATCGTAATAACTGCATTCACAAGTCCTCCTGGGCCATATCCTGCCTCACTGGTGTCTATCGTAAGAGTTTTGTTGGCCACAGTGTAAGTGAGAACAGTTTTTTCTGCACTAGAGGAGAGGAAATTTAGGGAAAATGACGACGCGGTTGTCGTATTGAGATTCACAGATAATTGCAACCGCCCAGTTGAACTATGTCCAATAGCGAGTGAATCTTGCACCGTCTGTGGCCCAAAGCTAACAGGGTTCCCAGTTACAAGACTGTCAATCTCCGTTATGAGCCGGCTGCCCAGGCCCCCATCGTCACGAAGGAAGAGCTCTCGAGTGGCAGTTGTGGCGCCAACGTAACCACTGTCGATTATTAGATCACTCATAGTTTCTATTCCAGCATCTGGAAGACTCACTTGACTCGGGATGGATATTTGTACGTGCCGAAATTATATATCCAAGCCATTAGTAGATTGCGACCCGACTCATCAACATACCATTGTGCGGCATATATGGAACCAATATCCAGTAAGCCGGTCGCTTCGCTAACAAAGTTCGTGCCATTGTAGCTCCCTATGTGCCACCAACCTTGACCGTTTCCTCCGTAAAAGAGCGCCCACTTGTCACCTATGGGAAAGAAATTAGGACATTCCCACATGGTTCCGGTGGTTCCGTCTCCTTCAATTAAAACGCCGATATAGGTCCAGGATATCATGTCGGAAGTGGAATACAAGAAAATCTTCCCACTCGTAGAATCACCGCCTCCAAGTACCATCTTCCACGTATTATCTGTTGCATCTAGAAATACTTTAGGATCACGAAAGCCGCTTGGAGAGTCTGGAGGTGGTGCGGCAACAACAGGATTCCCAGTGTACAGCTGGAAAGTAATGCCATCAGAGCTATCTGCTGTTGAGACAACTTCACTCTCGGCACCAGGATGGAAATTAGTATCCGTAAAGTCTGTAAAGAGAAGGCGCAAGGTTCCATTGTCATTCACTGCACTGCCAGTCCAGCGACCGCTATTGTCTGACGAGTTAATGTCGATATAAGGGGGAGTGAGAGCAACTGGCTGCCTCCTCCAGTGTACAGCATCGGAGCTGATGGCATGCGACCAAGAGATATGTGCGCCAAATGGTGAATCCGGATTGAACTGATTGAAGAGATGATGAGTCCCATTCAGCTGAGAGAGACCACACGGGTCATTGGTCCATCCTTGGTATGGTGTATAGTGATATTGTGGTCGGAACGGGTCGACACTGTATAGTTGCGCATCGGGCAAGCTCCCGTCGGCTGGCTGATTGGCCTGCCCGAGGATGTTGAAAGTAAGATTACCATCGCCGAGGGCAGCGCAACCCACTCGGATATCGTCAATATTAATATGACCCCACGAATTCGAAGTGCTGTTGTCATAGGCTACAATATGAACATTTTGGCCAACCCACGCACTTGTATCCCAGATAATCCGGATATAAGCTTCATCATCCATTCCAGTCTGGTTAAGAAGTAACGCATTATCGGAGTCTCTCACCAGGCCTATATAGAGATTGACTGGATCCCAACCGCCCCCCACGAGAAAACTGGTTACAGAACTGGCCTGAAAAGAAGATGACTGAAGGACCCCGATTGCTGGATCACCGTCATTCCCATAACCCCAAACAGAATAATTACCAACTTGGTTGAAATCTCCACAGCAGCTTCGAGAATCGGTTTCCCCAACGATGGAACCTTGACCGAAAGCTGTACCGCTTACAACTGTCCATCCGTCAAGAACGCCAGACTCAAAACTGGGGTTGAGCGGTCCTGGATATTGGTATTTATCGCAGTCGCTTAATGGGTACGCCTCTGCTTGTAAATAATATGACTTAAAGAAAAGAAGAACCCCGAGGGGATATTTCAATCTCCGAATCAAAGTCATCGCTGAGGTTTGTCGGTTGTTTAGGGAAGTTAGAAAGTAAATCTAACTAGTAAGGATGTGGTATGACAAGAACATCTTATCTCCTCACAGCTGTCCTGCCATTGTCGCCCCCTTTCCGGGTAGTGACTGAAAGAGTATCGTATGCTTTTTGGTGCCAATGAGAGTGGCGCAATCATTGATAATAGGTCAGCATTAATAGACACCACACCTTCGCCGCTAAGCGTAAGGAAGCTTGGTAAAACATGTATGAAATTCATTAGTCGTAGTACAACCGATTTCAGGCCCCATTCCTAGGTAGTATCAGGAATTATGCAGGGGCCATATTTTGCGTAACGGACAGAAATCGGTTCTTATTCGTATACTACGTAACTTAATTAGTAATACTCTAGATTCGTAGTCTCTAGAACCTCCCCTATGTGACGGCTCAGGTGACACGTCATCTAGAGCTTTAATGATATTTTGAGATGAATATTGGTGGTAAATCAGTTCCCTCTGCCCTTCATATGGCTAAAGACTAAATCCACCCGTAATAGCCTACATGCAATTTGATAACATGTAACAATAGTCATAAGTAAGGCTTATGATTGTAAATATTTTGTAGACCGAACCAAGTCAAATGGCCTGACTTAAAAAGAATAGACTCGAAGTATATCATAAGGAAAGAACTGGCTAACTATAGGAGTAAATTTGCTCAACCTCCGGCCCTAGACAAAGGCTCATGCGATCTTAAAACTCGATAATAATGGTCTAAGAAGGGGTTTTAATGCAATAGTTGTTGTTTACAGATTGAGTTATTGTACCCTACACCACAAGATCCATACCTGTCAAGATAGCAAACCCGTTCCCGGCTACGGTCTTGTTCGACCCATGGAGAGTAGATGTGCGCACTTCCCCGTACAGGGTGTCAAAGAATAGAGTTCCACTTATAGTTTAAGCAAATTCCAACTGCTAATCTGACATCTTTGACAACATACTGTAGCTCGGACGTAATGTTGGGGTAATGTTGGGGCTAGTACCCACAAAGATAATTGACAGTGGCAGATCCTTCGAAGGTTTGCCTTTGGTGAAAGATTCATGCCTGCCGTTTGCTTATTCCCGAGGTCGAGAACCATTTATCAAACAGAACGTTGAAATTAATTCCCATTCTCCATCATATATATGTGGTAGGGTCACCTACTCATCGATTCATCCTAGATCCTCAGACAATCCTTTAACAGATTACGCAGTTTTTCTTGAAATATGTAACTTCGAACATATTAAATAATATACCCTCTCTCTCAATACATTAATCTTTTATCATATTGTTTTTTTGAATATATTTCCTGTTTGCAAAAATGTGCACACAGTATACTATAGTGTACAAATGAATGCTCTCTCGGGTCCTAATTCTCAAATAGAGTTCGAATTGTCTGGGACTGATATCCTGATTTTCAATGACCGAGTCGTGACTCTTGGAGGTTTGGATTCGTAGTACATTGCTCAAGCGTGATTCCGAAACCTAAGTGTTGTTGAAGAAAACACGTCCCGCAATGGGTACTCTAGGCAGACAACTATTTGTACAGTACTGAACCATATGTAGCTGGATACGGCCGAATGTATTATTCACCAGGTTCAAGCTGTTATGGTATTGAATAATTTCATGAGAAATTTGTTTACTAAGTATTAACCAACTTACTATGGATGTCATTCTCGGTCGGATCTTGGAGATAAACTCCAAGAGTATAAAGCTATTCAAATTGTTATCGCTACGAGGAGGGAAGCTCAGGTCTTCAGGTTAAATTTAGGAGCAGTCTTCAAATGTTTAAGATAACTGTTCAATCAAACATATTCCTAAGATTCATATACGTATGGCCACGACAATAGCTACATATATCAAGTTGAACAGTAAGGTCCATTTTGTCAAGCCAAGGGAGCATCATATATAGCATTCTGGCGAACCACTTTAATCTCAGTCAATTATACACATGACATCAGCCGATATATCCTCGTTCCCAAAATAATGCACATGCAGTCTCCGCTTCACTTATACACAACGGAGAAGGTGCCATTTGCCGTCTCCGACACAATGGCCTCCTTAGAATTGCCTCGGAACTCGACACGTCCATAAGTTCCAATAGAGCTCAAGATCACACCATCTCCCTGATTTCCCCGCGCAATGTAGATGGCGGGACTGGGGGTGAACACAAAATCCGCACCAGGCTTGCACTCGACCACCGCAACAGGGGAAATTCCATCGCGCTCCGACTTACGGGCCAGTCCTACCACGTACGTGCTGGGACTCGGGATCTTTGCATCAGTGGATATGGTGAATGTTCCATTATTTGAGGTGCTAGAACCCGTGTCCTTGATGCCGATGGCGTCGTTGTTCTCGCTAACGTACAGCGAACTTCCATCGTTGCGGAACGAGCCGATCGTCACCGAGTTGGAGGCAACCAGTGTGATCTCAGTTCCGGAGGTCATGCTGGAGCTGGTGCTTGCGTTGCAGTAACCCGCAAACCCGAACGATTCGGACGTGTACCGGAACACATCCTGGCCCTGGTTCACCAGCCCCTTGGACTTGGCCCATTGGGTGCGGAGGGCGCTGGCGATGCCCCCTCCAGATACCCCTGGGAATTCAGAGTAGACGACGTACACACGGGACGTATTGGCATCACCGGTGTCGTTTTTAATGATCACCTTGTAGGTTGTTGTCATTTTTGCGGTCGATATACTGAGAATATCTGTTTTATACCTGCTTTGCGCTGGGAGACGATATGAAAGTGATGAAAGCAGAGGAGGAAAGAATGGGAGAAAACCTGACCTGAGAGTGAATCAAACGAAGTCAAGAAATGATATCAGAGGAAAGAAGGGTATCTTATACATCCTCAAGATGTGGACCACACTCGCAGACTCCGATTTTCACATACTTCCCGAGAGACCCCTCACCAGTCCTCCTCTATACCCTCCGGCGTACAAGGGTCATTTGGTCATAGCTGAGGTGTTAAATGAAGGGGGGGCTGAAGAGCGCGCAAAATCACTTGATCCTATCGTAGAGCGTAGAAGAGACACACCTGCTAATTTAGTCAAATGTACGAAAAAATAGGGAGGACGACTAGAAGTCCCATTCGAAAAGGGTCTAGATCTGGTCCAACGTGGATATGTTTGATAAAGCTTCCCTGTTGTCATCTTCACAAAAGACAGCTGCAGTGAAGTTGCCTGTTGATTGGGAGAGACGGTCGAAGATGGCTTTCGTGGGCTGCTGGAATTTCACCAGTTGATAGAGTTCCTAACTTCACGGAGGGTTTCTGCGGCTTTCGGTGTCAGATGTGAACGTTGAATAGTTCCATGCACAGAGCCTGGTCTCAGAGTAGCTCAGGTGGTCCTGGAGATGACAGCAAACATTCCTACACCCATGGAGCTTCGGAATTGCATTAGGATTTGGACCAGCGTGCTTTAGCTGCAGCGGAGAGAACATGAGTGTTCCGAATAGATTGGATGATGCACGGCTTCGAAACTAAACTTAGTTAAATTGTGTGCTAAAGAAAATGCGCGGCTTCCGAATCTATAGCGGAATAATCACTGGCCTAACAGCTCCCTAACAAACCTGACACGACGCTTCGTCTGTAATTCACCTACAGGGTCACGCAGAGGCCAATAGCATATCCAAAAAACGTGTCTGCCTGCTGGTGTAACACAATGTCTAACACTAACAGTCGTGGCTACTAATTGTCAACTTATCCTGTCTTCCATGTAGGGATGTGGTTTTTCGCCAGGGAAATCTTACACCCTTCTTGTGTATGCTCAGTTGGAGAGGTGTTCATGTTATAACCTCACTTTAAATTCTCACAGCAAAATAGCCTCTCATCTGAGGTTATTTTCTCACTTTCTCCTATATATTTCAACGTGATATTCAGATTCATAGGGGAACCATTGTTATTGGATGTTGCATGAATGGTTTCAATTTCCAGAACTAATGTATGGCGTACATGGCAGTCGTCAGCGCCGCCCACGTAATACCCATCAGCTAGTTAACAAGATCGGATCTGCAAGGCGTTACAAACACAAAATTAAAGTCAATCAATGAACATGTGGGTATCATATGATGAATGCAGAACCCCACTTTATGAAAATAAGCAAATTTAACCGATGTTCTAGACCAACGATTTCCTCGGCCACCGAAGGGTTGCGGCTCTGTTTGAAAATGTGTTCCCTGTAGTTGAAACCGGTCACTGCGCCTCATTTCTCCATCTTTTGGGACTGTGAGGAATGACAAATAGGGCTAGTTGGGGGTGTACAGAAGGGATTCTGAAGGCCAGAACGGGATTCATACATATTCCGCATATGCAGTATTCTTACCATGTTAATCAAGGTTGATGGAGGGTATGTAAGATATTCTAGCGGTATTTCTTTATGCAGTGCTCTTGACTAGTGGCTATGGGGTCCTCCTAATGCTTTTCGGTTTCAGTTCTAGTTCCAGTACTCACTAACTAACTAACTTAACTAACATTGGGGATATCGCAGACTCATGAGGCTTAGTTAGTTGTGCTTTGTGTGTTCATGTCCTCTGCTAGGGCTTTTGATTTGTTTGCCTCCTGGTTGGGCGGCGACAGGATTAATAAATGTATTTCAGAAGCGAACGTTCCTATACTACTCTTCTACCTCCAATATGGATGTAAATAAGACGTCCCAAAAGCCTGCTGTGAACCAAACTGATACACTGGCATAAATTGGTAACCGAATACCGAGCTATCGTACGTGTGCCGCCTAGTCGGGAATCCAAAAGGAACAAACACGCGTCGAGGAGGACTGCGGGATGGGCTACTACTCTCAGAAGACTCGGAGTACTCATCGACGCGGTGCGAAGGGCGTTGACGTCCGACATCCTCTTTGTATCTGTTTCTCCCTCTCTCACGGTAGCCCGGGGACGGCGAGGGAGATGATCTCTGTCGAACGCAATCGGTAGTAGGTGCCATTCTAGGGTTTTCGTAATATTGGACATCACCACCCTTGAATTCCCCATTGTTCACTTCGGCGATGTAAACTTGGTCGTCGTGTCCAAGCTCAAACTGTCCCACTGGCTTGTCTTGTTTGATGACTGTGCCGACCGTGACCTGTTCGTTCGCGGTAAGGCGAGATATACACAATTGGGCCTTGGGAGTAAATATGACCATCTGCCCGGGCGAGTATGGAACAGCAGCGACCGGCACCACGCGCTGGTTAATTCGTCTGGCGAGGCCAATAATGTAGGCGTCCGGGTTTTTTATGTCGGACGCACAATGGATGGTGAAGGTCCCTGTAGCTGACATGCTGCGATACTCCTCAATAGAAACACCGTCATCTCCATCCTGTTTAACGAGCAACTCGGTACCGTTGCCTTTGGTTCCAAGGACGACAGGGTGAGAATTGTGGATGTAGAGCCGGTTACCAGCCTTCAAGCCCTTGTCGCCCTTGAATAGGCCAACGAACCCCAAAAATCTAGAGGAGATGTCGAAAAGATACTGGGCATTGCGAGAGAGTGGCTTTGACAGCTGGCTGACGACGGGAACCGCCTGGCTCACTCCTCCACCCTCGACATCGGGCATCTTGGAGTGCACAAAGTACGTCCGTTGAAAGTTGCTATCTGGGGTGTCATTGCGGACATAGACTTCGTAGGTACGTTCCGTAGACATGGTTTTAGTGATTAGGTGTGAGATGCTATGATGAGGTGCGAGATTATGCTAGAGTATAGTTGATAGGGGACGAGATACGTTCTGGGGATCCTTTCGCGAAAGACAATACTGGTTAGTGTTAGTTGTCTACGTTGGACTACTCATCTAAAAGATGAGGGGCAGTTATAAGCAAAGCCCTGACTGGCTGCATTTGGATTTGATGCTTGCCCAACCATTTGTTTCCCGGGGCATTATAAGACGTTGTTTTCGGCCTACCTTTTTGATTCTCCATCCCACCCCCTCTTCGCCCATTATCCCCTCCTCCACCAGGCAAGAAGACTGCTCCTTGTGCTCTTACCACTCCCTTTGAAAATTCAAACTTGCTCATTGCCGAAGGCCATCCGATTACCAAAGGCCTTTGAGATGGGTCCCCGAAGAATTCGTGTCATTCATCCCAATGTGCTATACGGAGACACATTGTCCTACGGGACTGCCTTCGTGGCCATCCAGTAAACGCCTCCATTGCATTCGGAGTCCCTTTAAGCCAGCTGACGCTTTTTTCAGGTGGACCGTGATAATCAAGACACCTCGAGACGCCAGGGTGATCATACTGTCAGATGACTCGTAAGTCCTCGCATAGATAGTCTTTTCTAACCGGTCTCTAACTACACTCTAGATCCCAGATCATTATGCTGTAGGCTGCGTCTACGAACTGTATATTGGGCAGCAGGGAGGATGGGAATGGAAAGCCATACGGCTTTCCAGAAGGCCACTATAGGCTCCAATTAATCTTCAGGATATGTATTTAGTGTGTCTGCAAGCATTAGTATCAAAAATATCGTTCAGGGATCTTGACAAATTCATTAGAGCCAGTCTTGCATACGCACCTGGCTGTTTTTTGAGATTTCCAGATGTAGCAAAGTCCCAGATAAAAAGAAAACTCCGAAGAAGTACGACTTCATGTTCTTCTAGTGGTCAATGCATCCCATGGAAGATCAGGGAATAATGATACGAGATGCATCCGCCTATCGCCTCTAAACTCCCGACTGACCTGGTGTCTATCGTAACCTGTAGGCTCGATACGGAACTAGACTTGCGTAATGGTAATAATAACCCTACTGAGACCCCCTATTTTATGAATCAGATGCTGATATAGTAGAGAATTGGAAGGAGGGGTAGGTGAGCCACGTCCAAACTACAACTGCCCAATAACCAGCAAGCTCTAATGCAGTCATCTTCCAGTGCTGGCTTTTTGTACATGGGTTCTGTCATCCGCTGTCATCCGGTTTTAATATATCCAGTGGCTTGCATAAAGACATGGGTAAATATGTAGGAGTTGCTCTGAACTTGCCATCCAATGAGAATCGAACAATAGAGCCGCGGGATTACTCTTCTCTATGGCCCCTTTTATCCCATCTAGCAAGCTGGAGCGAGCCTAGAGGTGTCAACTGGTATTTACCTGACTCTTGCGGCTCTTGCTGTTGTCTTTTGGTCAGTTCTACTGTGTATCAAATCTCTCGAATATTTCTAGCAAAACTAGCTGAGATGGCGGCAAAGGCACCAAGTGGACCGTAAGCTATAACAAACCGCCTCAATACCCCAATTTTACCGTCGCTAATGCTCATCCCATAGAATTCGTCTCGGACATACAGTTCCAAACTTCAATGCGGACACAACGCAGGTAAATTTAGGGGTTAGGTTTTCGCTCACTACGTTCTAACCGTGCCGGACAGGGAAAAATCAATTTCTATGACCAACTACAGGTAACTCTCCCAGTGACCACATTTACGCCTCAAAAAGTGACAAAAACGATCTATAGGATCATTGGGCGGTCGTATTCGCTTTTCCAGATGGTATGTACATAACTGTCAGGCCAGTTTACAGAGGTTATAAACTGACAGCATTCCTCATACTTCACACCGGTCGCAACGACCGAACTGATTACCTTCACCCTCCTCCAAGCTGACTTCGCCAAGCGCAACGTCAAGCTCTTTGCCTTGAGCACTCGCAACACCCTTAACGATGACGGGAAATTTGAATCCCACCAGACTTGGGTGCGTGATATCAATGATATCAGCAATGAGCCACTCCTCTTCCCCATCATCAGCGACAAGACGGGAGGGATTTCCCGTCTTTTCAATGTGTCAGTGCAAAATAATTTGTTTGATTTCAGAAATAGAAGTATAAAAGCTCTAACTCGTTTGGTCATAACAGGCTAGGAGAGGGTGACGCCGCTGCAGTGAAATCAGACGATCGGGTGGGCGAAGGACTTGCCTTCAAATCCAGGACGGTCTTCATTATCGATGCTAAGAAGAAATTCCGACTGATCTTTAGCTATCCGGCGGATGTTGGAATCAATACTGCGGAGGTCTTGCGGGTCATCGACTGCCTGCAGACAGTAGCCCGAGCAGAGTGAGTTTTCTCACCCATACGCTGCACTTGCAAGGTAAACAGGGTATTCAATTTTATTCTGATTAATGAGTGAAGTATCCAAACGCCTGCAAACTGGATCCCAGGAGCGGACGCGATTGTGCCCCCACAGTACGATGATAAGAAAGCTAAGGTTTGTAATTTTTTCCAGTTCAGAATTGACTTCAATCCGGCTCCCTCGTCTCTGACTTTTCTGTATAGGAAAAATACCCTGGGTATCAAGTTCTGAAGCCCTACCTCCGGGTGTGTAAGCTTGAAGTCCAGGATACGAACGTAGAGACCATTGAGGAAATCTCTGGAGAGGCGACCGAGGAGTTTCTGAAGATGTAGTTTGATGAGCAAATGACACTTATATGAGATCAGAATAACTGTGATGAAGTTGGGGGTTTCCACATATATAAGGTCTCTGCAAATGTGTGCCTGACTTATAGCTCCGAATAGCACTCATCGTCTTCCACCTCTATTTCGGCCTCCATCTCCTCGTTCATATCCTCCCAGTGTCATCAACTTGAGCCTCATAAGATCACCTCCACGCCCTCTAATTGGACTGTGAAGCATATTAATATACCACAGCCGCTTAGCCCATGGAGCAGCTATAAATTCAACGGCCGTAGAGATGTATACAGATGAGTTTCGTCGGCATAGTGAATTATACACCATCGATTGCCGCTTTAGGAACTAGCGTGGCTTGGCATTCAAACCCGTTTCGGTCAGCTGGCTGGCTCATACCATTGGCTGTATGATGGAATGTGTCCCACTTAGCTCATCTCAACCAATTCCTGGACAACAAAATCGACGTATGCCTAGGAAAGAAAATCCTTGGTGAAAGAGAAGCCTTGTTCTGCCGGGTATAATGCATTAAATTGAAAAGGGAATATTTAATTCTCTAAAAACCGATAATATGTGAAGCCTCCCGCTTATGCGGTTAGAAAGATACTTACATAAGCCACGCAACCCGATTGGGCGGTGGCGTCAAATGCGGGGGGGCACGAGGCAGCATCAAGAATGATCCTCGGTCGATAACAATTTAACAATTGTTACAATACTACAATAATTGCGTGACACAGCACCCAGCACCCAAAATCCTAACTCTCCATGAGCAGGGGTCTGGCTATACAGCTCGCCTCTCCGTAAATAACTCCCGCCGCCAGCTCCCCTTGCTTTTGGACCATCGCTCCGAACTTCCCCGCGCCTGATCCCGAGGGCGTAGGACCTGCAGCATCATAATGGAGACAACTGCGCCGGAGGAGAGAGCACACGCAACGACAGAAAATAATATTGTCCAAGCGGCCCCGGATAGTGCCAGCATGAAGGCCACCGATCAAGCAGCACTCGCTGCCAAGGCGGATGCAGCCCCCGGCCAGATGCATGCCTCGCCCAAGAAGCGTCGCAAAGTCAATCATGGTATGTGTACACACCTATCTGTGTAACGATGCGATAAGAGAATGGATGCTGATTTAGGCTGCGATAGCATGCGTGTATTGCAGGCGCTCGGTAAGATTTATTTTGTTCTTAACACCAATTTCACAAACCACCAAATTGAATACAACATAGGCTAACTGTTGGTTCTTATTCTAACCGCAGCATATGACGTGCGACTCGGTAGGTGCATTTATTTTGAGAAAATTTCATCCGACCATGGCTAATATTTGTCGACAGGACCGCCCCTGCTCGCGATGCATCAAGCGCAATATCGGCCACTTGTGCCATGACGAACCCCGTGAACCCACCAAGAAAACCCGCCACGACCATGAGGAGGAAGATGTCGCTTCGAATGACTTCGCGGCTTCGCATGGCCTGCCCGATCTTGGACAACCAATGCTCCAGGATTCCCCGCTCAGCATTCGCCCTTCTACCATAGACCCGGCACAGACCGTACAGCCGTCATCGATTACAACCCCTGTCGGTCAGCCTTTAGATGCCAATACACAGCGTGGGTTGCAGTGATTTTGCACGTTTGATGGAGATAGATTGACTTATACTTTTTGTAGTATACAATTACGGTGATTGGCCGATAAACGGACGGAACCAGTTCCAGGATATGCATACATTCCATCCTTCGTACATGTTCAACGCCCCCGAAGTCACCAATGAATACAACCTGCTTGGCGACTTTCTCAGCAACAGTCTCATGGACGACAACGCAATGTTTGGCAGTGATGACCTTCAAGGCCTATACTCGGACTCTTCACTAATCAACATGACCACGAACTTAAACGGAAACAATGCACCATTCGCTCAACAGCAGAAAGCGACCCAGCTAGCAGCTGCTCAGAACCCGAATCCGCAGAACTCCATTCAACCGCCCGGCAACAGTTCCACCGTACCAAATGACAAAGCCCGCGAGAAATACTATCTAACCGCTGCGGATCCCTCGGGCATGGATCCCCCCGAGGAACGAATGAACAAGCTGCTCAAAGCCAAATATGAAGCTGGGATGCTAAGACCATTCAACTACGTAAAAGGCTACGCACGGTTAAACCAATACATGGAGCAGCACATGCAGCCCGCCCTCCGCCATAAGATTCTACGGCAGCTAGACAAATTCCGTCCCAAATTCCGTGAGCGCATGCAGAGTCTGACCGATATCGAACTCGTCCTCTCTGAGATGTGGTTTGAACGCAGTTTGATGGAGTATGACCGAGTTTTTGCTAGTATGGCTATACCGGCTTGCTGCTGGCGGCGAACCGGGGAGATATTCCGTGGCAACAAGGAGATGGCGGAGTTGATTAACGTTCCGATTGAAAATCTGCGAGATGTATGAGGCGCCCTACTACTATGAACAGAACTAATACTAATATTTGATTAGGGCAAGCTGGCTCTCCACCAAATCATCACTGAGGACCAACTCGTCAGCTACTGGGAGAAATTCGGCGCTATCGCTTTTGACGGCTCTCAAAAGGCTATGCTTACTAGCTGCACACTGAAGAGTCCCAATGAGGATGATTCAAAAAAGGGAATTCCCTGCTGTTTCTCCTTTACCATTCGTCGCGATCCCAATGCTATGTAAGTCTACTTTTTCTTTCCAGGGGTTCTGTGCTAATGCTTTGATACAGTCCAGCGCTCATTGTAGGTAACTTTTTACCTTCTCAGCGACCCAAGTGAGCTGTGTCTCGAATTAATTCGTTGTGGTTGTCATCGTCTGTCGGGTACATGTTGTATGTGGCGTTTGGGATAAATACCATTTCAGTCTGGCGTACCTGAGGAAACCTTGTACATTGAATCGAAATCGAGATCTTGGAGATCTATAACCTTGACAAATTTGAATCTGAAAAGTTATCTATTTAAATAGATTTATATAACTATGTTCCCGCTGGTGGTGTAATATTGTTCGGTTGCTGTAGTTGACACGGCGGGAAAGACCGACCTCGCCCTCTATCGCTCTTACTTTTTCGGTCCTGCGACCTTTCATCTTCCCCTTTCTCTTACGTTGTCTTCCTAATTTTCTTTGCCTCTCTATTTAAATATAACGAAAGAAAATCGTGAGCTTGCTCGCTTGTAGTCATGGACAGTAAGAGCGAGTGTGACCCGAATGAGGTTGCTACCTCAGTGTGCGGTTTGTCTTCCACATCCTCAGATCAGTTCACTCAAACAAAAATATCGCCACTTTCATGCAAATTTCACTATATATCATTGCTAACGCAGCTGTTTTGCTAGCATTCATTGCGGACCTGCTATCACAGATGGAAGACATCTCATCCTTCACCTCGTGGATACAGACCTCGGAAGTCGTCGAAGGACTCGATAGCTCCTTGAAAAAACTTCCCCTAAATACATCGCCACTGTCCTCTCGTTCTCTCACACTCCTCAATTCATCTGGCACTGCACTGTGGAATGCTTTCAACCGGTTATTACCGCGCATCGACGATAAACTTCCTGCCCCAATTTCTCTGATTCAAGGTAAGACATGATTTTGTATACAGGTGCAGTACCTTATTGATCGACAGTCCCTCTTCTTGCGTGCCAAATTCTGGCAAATTGTATTTTGAAAGATGAAGAAACCCTATCCGGTATTTTCTTAGATACTATCATATGTCTGGAAATGACTAATGTGATACCTTTGAAAGATGATCAGAGATATTTCAAGGTTTTGGTCAAGTGTGCCGATATCTTCTTAGGTTGGGATATTCTATATGCAAGGCTGTTGATATATTGCTAATTACTCTTAGGGTTGGATGCGGGCGATCAAGCTTCAGGGGTTCTCAAACAAGCTGCATTATTAGTGGATATTCTGGAGATCTGCGAAATTTCCGACTCAGAGATTCTGATTTCCGTGGCAAAATATCACATTCTGCGCGCTTTGCTAGTAATATAGCGTTTCCTATTACTGCCTGGACATGCTAAGAGGTGATAGGCGTTGAAGAACGAAGATCTCGAATTGGCGGACGAAATGCTATCACGGGTCTCCAAAAGCGCCATTGAAATGAACTCGACTATTGGGGAACAATATGTCGAGTTGTGTCAGACGGCGTTGCGGCTGGCATTAAAACACGGCCGCGTCGACTCAATGGAGATGTGGTTACAAAAGATATCCGACGCATTCGGTATATTCCACAAATATAACAGTCTGTATGAAGACTGCAAGAGAATACACTTCGGATTGCTTCACGTACTCGGTATGCCCAACCAAACCAGCAATTCAAGACGATACTAAAACGTATCAAGCTGTTTCCGATTTATCCAAAGCGTCTGTGGCCTTTACTACTTTAGCAAAGGAACTATGTCGGGAAATTGAGAAGGTAGAGCCCACCTATTCCTACTTTCTGAAATTTTTAATGTAGTTCTAGGGTCATCCGAAGCATCCTTCAGTTCTCCTTTTTCAGCTCGAATATATGTCAAATGAGGAACAACCAGACAGCGCATCATTCCATCGAGGTAAGGATGTGGTTCAGCACGGCTACAATTCTCTTATGTTGACGTGTCAGCGCTTATGGGATACATTGCAATTATGGAACCTACCATTCGCAATTTCAAAAGGTATTACTATCACCCCCAGTCTGAACATCACATTGACAGAAAAGATCTTTGCGATACATCCTCAAACTGCGAGGCTCAAGGTAAGCGCTATATTAAATATTGACGAAGCAGGGTATTGATCACAACAGCTCTAACCAAGCCCTCGAAGCCCTTGAAAACCTGCTTGCAATGATAAGCAGCTTCTCTGACAATACAAAATGGCTGGAGCAGATATTTGTTGTGCTACTTAGACTATTTACTTCCACACCATGGTCCTCCATAGAGTATACAAAGTTTCTGGAAACCGTGGCAAATATTTTCAGCGACGCTCTACCAAACTCGTTGGAAAATGCCGCGAGTGACGCATCTCTAATAGTATACATCCCCCTCCCTGAACTATCATAAAAGTCTAGTACTAAATTAAGTGAAGATAATCTGGAAACAAGTTGAATCATATGCCCTGCAGAAGAATTTTCTGCATGCGCAAGCATGGTGCAGTCTTGGTCGACATGACCTATTCCAGCACGCTAGCATGGTGAACCGATCAAGAATACTCAGGTAGAAAGTACTTCATAGACTCTTGAAAGTAATTTAACTGATATTTCTCCAAGAAAAGGAATGTTTTGCGCCTTTCAAGTTGTAGATTTCGTCGATGTCGAGCGTGCTTGGACGTTACTGCCTGAACATGACAGAGACTCGGAAACTGCATACCTGATGTACCAAGTTTATCTCAAGGAGAAAAAGACCAGCTCGGGTAAGCTTATTATCATTAGTTCTAAAAAGAAGGCTTATCTCACGATAATACAGCTGCCCATCTCCTGAAATGGATTGACGACATGGGAAACGAAGGACCGCATTACACTGTAGCTGCCATCGCCGCGGCGATATGTTTACATGAGAGAAAACAGGCCTTGCAAATCACCCAGACCCTCATTGACGAAGGCTTGGATACATATAAAAACGGGCGATTCAGCTTTGACTTATTCCGGTAATACAAGAGTGCTATCCACCCATCAATCACTCGCCATGCTAACGATATCCAGAATCGCAATCCAAATCATCATTATTGAGTTCCGCGAGAATCAAAAACACGTCGAAAACTTGATCAGCCAGATCTACGAGATTTTTTCAAAAGGTCATTCTACCGCATTATCAGTGATCATAAACCGAGCTCACTAACGCGATAGTCTTCGACATCCTTCAGAAACAGATCTTCGAACTCACCGATCTCGACTGGTTCGCACGCTGTAGTTATCTGATTGCGCTGGAGATGTTTAAAGAAGCTGGACATTCTCATACGTTGTTGTTACTCGGTATTTCTCTCAGGGTAAGTTCTTCAGTATCTTGACTCTCTGCTAGAACCCAGCCTCTAGCTAAACTAACTTCACACCAGTTCACAAACCTCTACCCCGAAACCATCGGGTCAGACGTTAAGTCTAATCTCGAGCACCATCGTCTATCATGTCTCTATCTCCAAACCCTCTTGCACGCAGCGAAAGCCCGCACGGAAACTAATTCATCTAGAAAGGTACCCCATTCCCATTCCCATTCCCATTCATTACAAAACTATGAGACAGAAACAGCCTACTGACTATTCAAGTAAAGGAATCATCATACTCCGAAGTGATACGTCACTTCCAAGCAACCCAAACCATCCTCGACGCGCAGAACATCAAACATGAGAATACATGGCCTGCGGACCGGTATCGTCAGCTCTTGGTTTTCAAAGTAGAAGCGACTACGTTCCTCTCAGCGACTATGGACGTCGAGCCGTCAATTCCTTCGTGAAATATACTACTTCCGATAGGTATTATCTACGGGATCCAGGATATATTCAATGTTACGATTGATTTATATATAATTAATATGTGAAAGAAATGATAGAATATAATATCCCAACTCATCCAGAGTAGCGGGACTGGGTATCTTCGAACTAGTCTATATAAAAGGGATAATAATAAAAAGTGGTGGAAAAGAAACGAATAAGACAAATCCCACAAAATGAAAAAGACGGCACGAAAATTGGGAAGAAACAACGTCATAGCATCAATAATATGGTCAACGTATGATGGAATAATCCTGAACGCGTTAATAATACCCATACAAACAACCAAGGAGCAACCCGCCAAATAATGCGTTGCCGCTTGTCATATGTGAACAGAAAGCCGATAGTAGAAAAAATACTAGGGAACCCAGAAGAGAAATGAATGAATGAATGACCGGAAGAATGTTTGAATGAGGAAAGAATGTAATCGTCGTATCAGCCCTCTCCATCAGCATCCCACGAACGGCTTCGGGAGGCTTTACTCGGCCCTGTTCTTGACAGCAGTGGCGTCGACGGGACGCGTCTGGCAAGTCTTGGGGTTTTATTAGGCGTAGTGCCGGCGACAGGTCGTTTTTCCATATTCAGCATATTGTTATTGCTGTTGGCGCTGTTGTTGTGGTTGTGATTACTGGTATTATGATTCTCCTTTTCACTACTGTCATTCTCGGTATCCGGACTTGAGCTGTTCCGCTTCGCTCGCTCATTAAGCGCGTGGATTGTGAGTTGAAGTTCGCGTTCGAGTTCCTTCGCACATCGCGGATTTTCACCTGCCCCCTGGAGTTTTTTCCGATATGCCCGTAAAGTGCGACAGGCTTGTTCGGTGGACATGTTCAGGCTGCCGAATTCACTGGGTCCGGTGGATTTTGTTCGTAGTGATGAGGAGCGGAAATCGATGGATGGGCGGCGGAGGTTGGTCATGCTTGATCGATGGCCCACCCCGTTTGAAAGCTTGGTTTTGGGGCTAGGTGGAGATGGGGATCGTCTGGGGTCGAATGATGGCATGGGGGAACGACGAAGGTTAGGTAGAGGTGGTGGTGAATCGCCACGTAGGCTGCCGTTCTTGGGTATCGGCGGGGCGAGAGAGTATCGGGAGGTTTTTTTGCGTATTCGAGGTGGCGATGACTCCCGAATTGGTGTTGGTGTTCCCAATGGACTATCCTGTCGGAATCCAGCCAGCTCGGATCGAGACAGAATACGGCGAAGAGGCGGTTTTGCTGCAGTTAGTTCTTTCACAGGCGTCTCCTCTTCCTCGCGGATATTGACTTGTGAAAGCTCTTGGACCTGCTGCTGTTGAACCGAGAGACTCCAAATCATGATAACCCCATCCAAGCCAGTGCTGACTAGCGTGCGGCAGATCTCATTTGTCGAGTCCCTCTTTTTGCCCTCTAGTATTATTACATCACTGACGCCCTCAGAATGTCCGAATTCCTTTGTCAATAATGTGTCGCGTTCAAAGTCGTAGACTCTGATGGATTTGTCTGTAGTTGAGACACCGACTAAAAGACGTGGACTTTGGGCCGGGATTTCGCTGGCTACTGTCAATGAGCCCATCACGACGGCGTCGATTGCATCAGGGTCAGAAGCTTTGAACGAATGGATATGTCGGCCTAACGAAACATCGAACCGTTGTATGTGACGGTCAATAGTGGAAAGGACAAGCGTGTCAGGGTCATCAGGAGCAAGAGTCATTGAGATCGGTGATACTTTCAGCGTAATAACTTTAGACATTAAATACGCAATCGTCGTCGACCCATCAGCCCCTCGACTAGCCTTTTCACGAACAATCACGGTACGATCAGCAGAGCACGAGAGTAATCGCTCGCCGTCATTCATAAAGAGTAAACCCCCAACTGCGCCTACATGATCATCCATCGTTTGGATGAGCTCAAAAGTCTGCTCTGTTTTCTTGAAAAGTTGCACCATGCGATCTCGCCCGGAGCTAGCGATCAGACAAAGACCAGAAACAGACTGGACCACAATATCGGTGACTTCGGAGCCGTGGGCTCGTACTTCATTGATGCACCTCCACGGATTCGTAGCCAGTATTCTGAATCCTGTCAGTATATGAAGGATATCGAAAATGAAATTCCTTACCTCAGCACTCCGTAGCGGTCACCTGATACAAATGCGTTGAAGTCTTCCGTAACTCGTAAAACTTTGAGTTCGTTTGCTGCCTCATCTTCCCCTGTAGATAGCTGTTCGATTTCAACTTTGTTCGAAGCCTGACATTTCCCCTCAACATTCCAGAAGTTCACGCTTCCCTCACAAGACCAAGTGAAAAAGTCAGCTTTATAAGGGTTCGGATCTTTCAAAGGCCGAACTCCCAAGATTGGCTCCCGATGAGCTGGCATTAGGCTCTGCTTTAGGCTGTCCTCGTCTTCGCTTCCAAATGTCTCCACAGGGCATACATGGATAGCTCGTGTCGAGTCTACTGTAACGATATGGGTAGACAGATACGCCATAGAAATAAGTGTGGGAGTTTTGCCTTTGGGGCTGTTGACTTCATTGGTCGTACTTGGAGTCGGTGACCTGGTTTTCGTTGATTCACGGATGTAACCCAAGTCCAGCTTGAATATCTTCCTTCCCCGGCCAGCAAGCCAGACTACACCAGTCTCAGAATCACAAGTCACCGATGTGAGTCCAAATGGGACGTATTGAACCACTGAGAGCCTTTGAGCGTCTTCGGTGTCGTCCAGGAAACAGACCGCGCCGCTATCAGTGCATAGTACAGCCTCACAATCAGATACACTGGCAATGCAGGTGAAGGTGTGTTCGCCAAGGGGGCCTAAAAGACAGTTCCTTCCCGCTAATGCTTTCGGAGAAGTGCTAGGTGAGTTGACATATGGTTCTGCACTAGGCCGTAACTTGGATGGCGATCCCGGCCGTGCATCAAGCCTCCAGACTTTGACATGGCGTATTCCTGCCCTAAAATGTGTCAGTGTAACTCGCATGGGGTGGATATATTGCTCTTACGTGATCAACGTCTGGCCCATCCAGCACATATCACGAATGAAAGATGTGCATTTATTAACAGAATGAAGTTTGGCAGCGCCACTTCGCAAATTGACAGCCCAGACAAATAGAAACCCATCATTCATGTCACCAAGTGTCGCTAGGTATTGTGAATCCGAACTAAATGCAAGACTGCGTACGCCGAAGGAATGCTCCGTCAAAATTGTTAGGGGAATGTCGCGGGATGCGTCAGCCGCCGCAGAAAAGATGAGCACGCGGGGATTATATCCGGTCTGCTTTTATCAGAATACCGTCGAAATCATTACTTGAATGATAAGCCTACCTCTCCAACGGCTAGAAATCTCCCATTCGGACTTATGGCAACGCTGGTCACCGCCTTGATTCTCTCCCTCGATGTCCATGTTCGTGAGGTACTACCGTCCGTCCAATCGCCAGTAGGAGTGAAGCCGCCTGCAGCTCCAGCTCTACTTGCAATTGATCTATATCGGTTATCTGGTGTCACAGGGCTTGTGGGTTGGTTGTAAAACGACACCACCGGGTTTATCGGGAGGGCTGTTGGGCGCGCGCGAAAAAAGCGCTGGCTAACTATCCCATCTTCCTCGACCTGCGCAAGTATCGCCGCAGAACCTACACACAAGGCAAATGTCCTACTCGGTTCATGAGAAGAGAAGCCATTTGGGGTAGCGGTGGTAGTTCCGATGACGGTCTGTAAAGTCAGGGTAGACTGGTGAGGCGAAGGTTTGTTAGGCGATCGTGTACCCGGTCTCAATATGGGAGAATTGGCGGGTGTTATTTTCAGAGATGCCCCAGATCCCGGTATTTTGCCCTTTGCGCTCCACGAGTTATTAGCCATCCCACCGATGTGAATATGTCGGTGCTAGGTCGATGGCCTGGACAGGGTGGTCATGTAGAGTCATTGGTCAGGCAATCAATTCAACAGCAAGAATCGGACTGGTTTTTTGACGTCCATATACATGGTATTCTAGGCTGATCCAGTTTCGATGGGTTGTTGAGGCGATTTTACGGATGAACGACGAAAAGGAGGGGGTATAACGGTCGGCGTGACCAGGCGCAAGAGTGAATGGCGGAAGATTCGTCGGAGAAAGGGAATATGTAAGGGAGTGGAGTGGTGTTGCACGAGGTAAGGAATGGAATTCAGCTGCAGCTGTGGCGGTGAGTGTGAAAGCATCAGCAAACAGTCGTTATAATTGTGATTGCTGCTTGGATAAGCCCTGTGCAGGAGCTGTGGTGGTCCCTGCCGTCCATTTGTTTGGTGCATTGCCGCTTCGGGTCTAGTGCTTCCCCAAGCTCTTCCAGTGCGAGAAACGGCAGACGCTGATTGGCTGCCATATTGCCGCTCCACCGTTTCCCCAGCCAGCCAATCATATCATGCATCTTGGTCACTCAGCAATAAGCATAAATCGCAATGCTACGTCGGGTCTCCTATTTGCCGTTATTATTACATATGTAATATGTCAGCCTCTTCGGATTGCCACTTCAACCAGACCCGACATCTACTATTCTCTCTTTTCTCGCCTTCACTGCCTATATGGCCTATCAGCAGCATCTCGGGTGGTCTATAAATGGAACTTGTAAAGGGTTGGACTCCCATTGGATTAAACAAGCACAAAGCATTTAACCGAGACTTGGTTTTCATTTGAGGTGGCCATCCGTTCAGGGACTGACAATTCATATCTAGAATGAAAGCGCATAAAGCTGGATATGGCGAGTGTGTACCGAAGGCCGCTTATCACGAGTTGGCCATTTATATTGAGAGAGAAAGGTCTTCGTGGAAATTTTTGAAAGATCTGAGAAATGAAAACATAAGGTTATCAATAAACCGAAGATGCCGTTTAAATGGGGTAAAGCACAAAGCGAAAGGCGTTAATATTGCTATTGAATCAGGGGACGACTAGGCCTAGCACCAAAAAAGTCGTCATATTTTGTGCCCATGTCCCACTTAATAACCCCCAAGTGCTGTATTCAGGGCAAGGAAATATTTTTGCTGTTATTCAATAAAGTTCTCTCACCTTAAACAGTGCTGTTTCTAGTGATCGCTAGTATTTTTATTGTACTATAAAACATAAGAGTACAGCTATTGAGATTTATCCCATTAAAGCATTCCAGAATTCCTCAAATATACTATACATTTCCTTTTTGACTCTTTGGGTAAAAGTATCAATCAATCATCGTCGTCAAAATTCCGTTGGTACAGTGGTGGCATTGAAGTAGTTTTATAATGAAGCGCTAAACAGGCGCGCTTTAGTGCCAATACTAATAAGACTAAGCTAAAAACCGAAAAATATCCTGCTATAACGGTTATATTACAAGTATTTTGATTATATTACCATCATTTAGGCCTCGTGATAAATTATTATTGGTTAGTGTAAGCACTAGCCCTTAGTACTTCATTAGAACTACTTCAGTGCCACTGTAACCCTAAATCAGATCCTCATACGGGGCCACTAGTTGTCAATCATATCAATGCGTGATTACTGCTAGAGCACAACTCCACAACAGGTTCAAAATAATTAAAGACAGTCTTAATAGACAAAATTGAGCACTTCGTATAGGATCTTATCTAATAGTAAAAACCCACAGCCTTGCTATGCATATACTGTATTCGCCATGTTACATTTCTAGGCCCCAGACAAATTTCGCCCCAAGTCCCACGACTAGTTGCCAACAGTGGCACACGAGATGACGCATAGCTGAAACTTTCGATTAAATTGCGGTTAAATCGTGCTTGTCTCGCCCAGAATTTCGCAAAAATTTCGCCAAAGCATCGTTTAGATGCAATTTAAGTGAGCCATCGTTATGGATTGGACAGTATGAGTGGTCCGTGCAAGAATTTTGAATTATTTATTCACGAGACATCTTCTACTGTGAAGTACTTATAGAACAGTGCGTCCAGAACATTTTTACCACAAAATATACACCCACTCTGATCTTTTTCTTTTTATCTTTGTTTGACACCTGGGCGTGCCATATTCGAGATTGTTTATCGAGACTCGTTCAATCCTCATACTATTCGGGATTCTGTTCCGGGAGGCAAATTGCTCTATTTTTATTTTGGAAGATTTCGGAATTATTCTGGTGATTTTTGGATATTAAGTCACATATACACATAACTGCTCTACATATTTTGACTATTCGAGGTCCACCAAGAGACTTCAATATAAACAGAAATCATGAGAGCAACTTACCTGGCGCTTGGTTTGGCATATCTCTGCAACCAAACTGTTGCAAAATCAGTCTTTGCCCACTACATGGTATGTTTTACAACCAATATTATATATTAATACTCCATTACTCCCGTTCAATCCCTTTGACGGCACATATCTGACAGATATCGAACAGGTCGGCACTATAACCACAGACCACGCCAACACCGACATCCAAAATGCCATCACAGCAGGCTTCGACGCCTTTGCTCTCAACGTGATGAGCACGGACAGTTGGTCTACCGACGCGGTCAGCGCACTTTTCAATGCCTCTGCCGGCACCAACTTCAAGCTATTCTTCAGCTTCGATATGACCCACTTCTCTGACCCATCAAGCTTCATACCTATTCTGAAGCAATACGTCGGCCACGATAACTACTATACATATGATAGCAAGCCTTTCGTCAGCACGTTCGACGGCGGAACCCTGACTTTTGGCGCATCAGACCCCAATTCGGGCTGGACGAATTCGTTCAAGGATGTGCTGAGCGGTGCCGGCATTGATGTCTTCTTTGTCCCCGATTTCGACGATGCAAGTAACTACCCCACAGACTTTTTCAGCACGTTTACCGTTGTTGACGGCGCTTTTTCGTGGGAAACTGCTTGGCCCACTGTGGGTGCCGGAGTAGTAAATGTCAGTGACACGGTGGATGCTAGTGTTCTTGGTGATGCGCATTCTGCTGGGAAAATCTACATGATGCGTGAGTCCTCGTCATCCAGTCGTTCGCATTATTATTAAGCTGACGAAATACACAGCACTGTCGACGTTCCAATTCAAGCACATTGACTCCGGGCAAAACTGGTACCGAATCGGCGAGTCCAATATTGTTGACCGCATGTCTCAAATACTCTCCCTGCAACCAGACCTCGTTGAAGTCATCACTTGGAATGACGCAGGAGAAGGGCACTATGTTGGCAGTTTCTGGGACGAGTCAATCGCGGGCAGTAACATAGGTGGCTATGCCGACGGGTTTGATCACACTGGCTGGCAAAAAATCATCACACCGTTCATTACTGCATACAAATCTGGGGCCACCGATCCAAGCAACATCACGACAGCGGATGGAAATCCCGTGGGCGTAATGTGGTACCGCACATTGCTCACGACATCATCGTGTTCGAGCGACTCGCTGGGCAAGCCTAGCGGATGGAACGATGCGCAGGATGCGATCAACTATGCCGTTGTTCTACCTAGCTCGGGCAGTTATACGATTAATGTCTATAGTAACAATTCCGTTATAGGCTCGTTTAAAGGCCAAGCAGGGTTGAATGGGGGCACAGTTACAGGGCTTGTCGCTGCCAGCGCGGATAGTCAGCGCGTGGAAGTTGTTGATGATGCGAATGGTTCTAAGGTGGTAATTTCTGCGGCTGGTACGAAAGATGTGCTGGCTGATACTTCGGGGCTTTGTAACTATAACTATGTGGTTGTTGGTATGTCCTGAGTTATCTAAACATCGGGAATATGTGCTGCTTTGTGTTAGCCATATTCATATATCACTTATCATGTACATCAATTGAGATATATTCATATGCTGAAGATAGTTTATAAAGGCACTTCGATGTTGATAAGCATTCTAATTATCCAAGCAAACCTCATTTAGACACATGTGTATTATGTAGACAATTTTAAAACTGTTTATAAACACACAAATATACATAATTATCATATTGAGCATACCCTTGATGACTAATTTGATATAATACATATAATACATATATTACATTTACTATTTGTAGTAAATATCAGTTTATCTAGTTGTAGATCAAAAAATTGCCTTCCATATGTATTTGTTCACACTATTTCACACATTGACCAATTGTTAGGTGTCACAGACACTGCTCCCTGCTATAGGCAAACGCGGGCCCACAAATACTCACCTAGATAGCTTTGTAGTTAGTCCTCAATACTATCATATTGTCGCTCACATCTCACATTAATAAATCAATGACATTGAGTTCTTGCATTAGTCTCACTACTCAATCGATACTATCAAAACCAGACCGCTTAGGCCGTTAAGCTAATCGGGACAGGACCCTTCGGACCAATGCTACCTGCAATGTTTGCTTGATGCATAGACCGCGGACCCATTTTCAATGGATAGTCAATAGCAGAGTGGAAAAGACCATAATTATCCCAAATCACCATATCACCCTCTTCTGCCGGAGCCAAAAATATGTACTCAGGTCGCAGTATCCTGTTCTGAATCCCCAGTATAAATTTACGAATTTCCTCCACATCATCGATTACACGGGGCTCTTCGTCCTTGGAGCTGCTCAGATGCAGTCGTCGTGCGCAGATTCCATGAACTTGAAAGGCCTTCTCTCCCGTCAAGGGGTTCACCCATACCAAGGGATACTAATTAAGTTAGCACGATTATTCTATTCCTATAAAAAGAGTCGGTGTTTTGTACCTTTTTTACAGCTGAAGCATCATATTCTCCAAGTTCCTCGATAGTCAAACGTGTACCTCCTTCTGCGAGGCCCAACCCATTGCTGTTTCCCTTGCAACGCTCAATCCATTTATACGGAAAAGGAGCATACTCAACCCAGCTATGATCTACTAGTCGCTTCTCCTCTTGCGTGAGCATGCTGTAGAGTTGTGATGTACTGAAAAATGCAGTTCGTCCAGCCGGCGATCTCATGCTCAGACCAGACCCATCTGCCCATTCAACAGTGAGATCCTCTCCGCGAGGCAACTTGACGCATCGTAAGGTTGTGAACCATGCGGGGTCCTTCCCATACAATGGGGCATCAATATGCCAGCGCTGAAAACGTGTGATTCCATTTTCAAAATCGCTTGGTGATGGAGGAACGGCGTGAAAGTCATTGCTGAGGCCACGCTCTACGGTGTGGTTTTTTATTCCATAATGATCTTCTCCTTGGAAACCCTTACCGATAAGGCGAACATTTTCGGCTCCTGGAATGCCGACGACTTCTCTTCCTTGCTAGATAGCACGAGTATGAGAGATTTGGATTACATTCATTTCAAGAATGGACATACTGCCAAGAGCCCACCCTTAGCCCGAAAATTGGTTATGTTTCCGTGGCTGTGGCCATCTGTAGCTTTGGGATCAAGCCTCGTAACAAGCTCCCATTGGTTTTTAGGATCGAGGTTCTCCTGATTCTTCACAACCACGACCTTGTGACGCCACACTGCGGCTTTGAGACGATCAACTTCGTCATCTAGCATATATTGTTAAATTCACACTCTTTATTAAAGTAGCGCGACTAACCGGATATATTATTCAGATCAATCCCGGTCACGAAAGCCCCGAACTATCTCTTCAAGTCAATTCCCGTAATTTCATACAACGATACGAATGACTGACATTGTATTTTTCCTCGGGTTTCCGCTCAACAGCGGTCACAGTGAAAGAGATTGATTCAGTCATCATTGCGAAGCTTCTTGTAGGTAATTAGTACACCCCAAACCTACATTTCCGTCAACACAAATAGGTCACTTATATCTTGCATATGTGTTTTTGTTTGTAGGCCTTATCTTGCGACGGGACATCTCGGCCGTTCCCCGGCCGAGCTATCAATTGATTTGATAAGCTTGTATTACATTCGGCAGTCTCTAAACAATGTTTAATATCTCTAGGCAAAACCAATATTGAAAGTTGCCTCGGAACTTTGCTCTCATTATTTATTCAAAGTTCTAAAAGCTAGCCATAGTTTGTCGAATGCTGTAAACAATGCGTCCCATCCTCATCCTGGCCGGTCTTTCTGCCGCAATTGCAGCGACAGCGTCAATCGCTGACCCAACACTCAGCATCAACAGCATTTCCTTCGCTACTCGGGCGTACTGGATGCGTCGGGCGAATGAAGCGTTAGCAGAGCTCAGCGGATCATCATGTCCGTTTGCTGCATTTGGAACAGTCATTGTAAACCATACGAACAGTAATGGATTAGGGGACCTGGTGTGCATAGGTGTCAATGAGAATAGCCAGACTGGAAATCCATCCCTGCATGGTAAGTTTTTCTATATCGACTCGCAGTGTTTTCCTCATATCGATGATATTGTGTAGGTGAAATGGCTGCTATCAAGAACTGTACCGCCGTTCTGACTGACCCGCACGGGAGATTCCGACTGAGCCCATCCGCGGCCGAGTCGGCATTCGCCGACTTGACTCTATACACAAATGCGGAGAGTTGTCCAATGGTAAGATTTCCATTCCGTCACTCTACTATTGAATGATGAATTAAGCGTGCTAACAATAACGTAGTGTGCCTCCGCCATCCGATGGTCTGGGTTCCGTGAATACGTATATGGGACATCCATTAATACCCTGATTGAGAAAGGTTGGGGTCAGATTCGTGTTGCCTCAATAGATATCTTTCAGGCTTCTTTTGATTTACCTTATCAATCTCGATTGATTGGCAATGTACTCACGAATGAGACGGATCCATATTTCTTGTGGCAGTATGATCCAGGTTATCCATGCCCGAAGGGGTGTTCACGTTCGCAGGATGGGACGAGTTGTAAGAAGTCTACAGGGAAATAAGAGTTGAGCTATAATAGTCTCCGAGGAGTGGATGAAGATACTATTTTCTTTTGATTTTCTATATAGATCATAAAAAAGATCTCATATAAAGTTTATTATTTGAACGCACGATTATGAGCTACTTAGGCATTAACCTTATCCAGCAAACTTCTAATCGCTTTTACAGACCCGTCCAGATCTTGCAAAATCATCTGATGTCCCACGTTCTCAAGCACCGTCACCCAAGCATTATCCCCTATCAACTCCTTTAATCCCACCGATCTCTCCGGTGGCGATATCACATCACCACTTCCTGCCAATAACAAAGTTGGCGCATTAATTAGGCCATAGTTCGGGTCTAAATGATCCAGGCCAGCAACAGCTTCACATGTATTTGCGTATGCTTCGGCTTTACATGCAGCTACTGCCTGTCGAACACTCTCGCGCAGTCCTTCCGGAACCATAACCCCAGATTGAGCAGGGAAGTTAGATACTGCAGCCACCTCTGCGACGGCGGATATACCCTCTATTCGCGCTTTAGTTGCTAAACTCAACATCCGTTCTCTGGCGGCTGGTATATGGGCGATTGATCGGCCGGGCCCGAGTAGCGCGAGGCCGCGAGTGTGTTCTGGGTGTTTGGCGGCGTAATGCATGGCGATAATTGATCCGAGACTGTGCCCGATGATGAGCACTCTGTGTTGGGTGGAGTTTTGTGTCGATTCTGCTGCTGCATCGTCACTTTCCGCAGGTTTTTGTAAAAGTGCCACGAGAGATTCCAGCTCGTCGACATAGCGCGGTATGGAAAGTTCGATGTCCGATGATGACAGACCTGTTTTTCCAAATCCCTCGAGATCGACGGATACAATTCGGTTTGTCTCTGGGTTAAGGTAGGGAAGAATTGGGACGAAAGTTTCTGTTGAACCTCCCAGGCCATGAAGAAGTATTACCAATGGCCCTGTTGGATTTCCGGTTTGGGCCGCATGGAGATTGGTTTCGGGGGAAACCTGATAATACGAGGATATTTGTGAGAGCATTGTGGTGTGAGTATTTAGATTTTTTTGATTTTCTTGCTCTATCAAAGAAACTAGAAAAAAGGAAACTAGATGGCTGATGAGGTTACTCGCAGAAAATATTTTTCTTTATTTCGTCTATCGCCTTGCTTGCATGGAAATATCTACTCGGGTCCGGGGTCGGCCGAGTCACCCGTGCAAACCACCCAAAGCGAATCAAAACATAACGATATCCCTATTCTTATCAAATACACTTGTTTACACGGAACAATTTATCTATAGTAAACTTACAAGAAATCCTAGAAGAACTCAATTCGGCCGTATTTTCCTTAGTTGAAGTATTGCAGCATTATTGATAAAAAAAAAAGCCGAGGCGTTATTAGGGTTTATAAGATCCAGGAACCATGTTCACTACACTGTCCGTTATCATTCACATTACCAACGATAAACTATTAGCAAAAAACTACTATTCTATGAAAAATGGTCTTCGCTCTCTCAACGACGACCACGGAAGTCGAGAAACCTAAAATTCTCACTGTGAGAGAGGTGTACACACCCCCTGAAGCGAAAAGCAGCAATGGACGAATTGTCCCTATACAACATGCAGCTGAAAGCAAGGCCAATTTTGGAGCCGAGGTTTATGGAATAGATCTTAACCACTTCACCTCTGCCGACTTTGAATTAATTTCTGATGCTCTCCACCGGCATAAGCTCCTTGTCTTTAAGGAGCAGCCCGAGATGTTGACGCCCCAACAGCAATACCGATTGACTTCGTGGTATGTTTATAATTTAATTCTGCCCGTGTTTGATTTTGTTGCTGACATAGTTGGGGGAATAATTAGTTTCGACCCCGAAGAAACAACGGGCGGCTTTGCCCATGGTGCTGATCCAGTCTTGCATCAAGAGAACGGGGTCACCATATATGGTCTCCCCAATCGCCCAGCCATCAACGCTCAACCTCAAGTTCACATTCTCGGCCGCGGAGAACTTCCGCCTAATCACTTCGACTTTCCGGCCGGATTCAAAGTAAAGGGCATTAATCATGTCGACTTCCATATACCACCTCATCTACCGCAGGAAGAACGGGACCAGGGTGCCAGTCGTTTCTACCAGTGGCATTGGGATGGGTCTTTATACAACATTCCTCCACCACGCGTTGGCTGTTTACTCGCCGTGCGTACACCCAAGGGCCCCGATGTCACAGTACACTGGGGTGATGGGACTGGTCGGACGATGAAGATTGCCCCGGGAGCTACCGCCATGGTTGCTGGGTCGCAGGCGTTGGAGCTCCTTGATCCTGAGTTACGTAACACGGTTATGCATAGTCGTATAGAGTATGCGCCACATGCGTTTCAGTGGATGTCGTCGGCGAGAAGTGCACAGTTGGGCCATATCATTGAGACTGAAGGTCTTGAGAAGCCATTGGAGGAATTGTCGCCCTGGACCAGGGATAAAATTTGTATATATCCCATGGTTTGGACGAATCCGGTGACTGGGGAGAAATCATTGCAGGTTCATGGACAGGGTGCTTTCAAGTTGTATCTCAAGGATACCCCTGATGGGGAGGAGGAGATAGTGACTGATTTGAAGGAGGTGAGGGCGTTCATGCACAGGTATGTTGCGTCTCATACAAACAAAAAGATGGTTTGAAACTGATAAGTTATGGCTATAGGATAATGAGCCCTGTCCTGTCCCCCGAAAATATCTACGCACACCCGCACCAGGAGCAAGATGTTATTCTTTGGTATAATAGGGCTCTTTGGCATAGTATAGTATGTGATTTCCTTCTAGTTTTTCTCATTTATAAGCACATACTAATAGTTTACTCGCGCAGACTGAATTTCCCGAGTCCTATGGCCCTCGCGTTATGCACCAGTGTAACATTGCTGCTTCCGACCATCCGTCTGGATAGAGAGCAGGCTATGGCGTTTTCTTTTCTTTTTTTCTTCGTGGCTAATTATTGCTCAGAAATGGTACTTATGGTTACATACTCTTAAAGCCGGGTTGATATGTAGTTGGAATATCAAACATGTAATGATATTTGTAGGAAGGAAGTCAACTATTTAGAAGCACACTCACGTATATATTCAATTCAAACTATATTAGGCAAAGGATTTAGGTATAAATAAATTATAAAGACTAGATGTTAATTTACGACAATAGAAGGCCAATGGCGGCCTCCAGATACGGATCATTATCTACATCGTTAGCCTAGACTAGCATTTGTCTATGTTTAATTCCATATCTTCACTATTCTTTAAGATAAGATTCTTTTTACAAAATTTTAAAACAATCCGATGTATTATATAAATATTAATGCGCATTGGATGAGGCAAAAACGATGTCCGAATCATTCTCAGGTATAGAAATTAAGCCAAAACAATCATCACGCTCATTTACCCTCTCTTAAGAAATACAATATCCAGTTCTAGACAACTTTCCTGATAGAATTATTAATCGACTTCTCGCCCCCCAGTATTGTCGAATCTCTCTCGATATCCGAATCGGCAGCGGCTAGATGGGCAACAACAACACCTGGTACAACAGCCGGAATGAGAGTTTGTCGATGCGGCCAAAAGTAATTCAAAGAAAAATACAACGTCGTCGAAAGACCGAATCCATATAGATAGTTTATAGAGTACAAGTGTTCCAGTCCGGTATCTATATGGACGTTGTGAGGCGTCACGGCGTTGGCGAGACCTGGTAGAAGGGGGACGACGACAACTAGAGTACATGCCAACGCACGCCAATTTGTCCCGAACTAGATTCATTTCTACATTTAGTTTGGCAATAAAATTACAGAGGATCGAGGAAGAAACTTACTCGATAGTAGTAGATTCCACGCGGGTCGTACAAGGCTGGAACGTCGTATTTTCGTCGTTTGATGAGCCAATAATCGCAGAACAGAATTCCTGCAATCGGCGCCATGAAAATGGCATATGCGCCCATAAAGCTGAGGAATGTAGTGGCATTTTTGATGATGATCCATGGACAAAGTGCCCATCCGCCCAGCAGCATGCACACAACCATACCACGTCTGATGTTGATCCACTTAGGGAACATCGTAGTAAGATCTAAAAAAAAAATACCATTAATGATTTCTTTCCAATACTGCCAGGAGATATCGGTTTAACATACCATTGGCAAATGAAACCGAATTAGCGGAAATATTATTGCAAATCTGAGCAAGCAGCCACAATGAAGCACAAAAGAATGCTGCCGCTCGGCCGCCAGATGAGCCCTTCCATTGATCAATAATATCCAACGGACTCCAAAGAACGGTACCATAAACTCTCTGTGAGGCGCTTGCAGCAATAATGCCAAAGAGACCAGTTATAACCTTAAAAAGGGGAATCATTGGTAGCTGCCAGAAGGGGCTACCTGGTTTCTTGCTAAATCGAGAAAAATCAGATATATTAACTGCTAAAGTCGAGAAACCACCTATTTTATGTCGTTAACTGCTGTCTTTACACAAGAAACTAAACGTTAAACAATTTTTATGTGCTGTCCGAGGTACGTACCGGTAATTGAGGTCATATTCATCAACCACAACCAGGCGCGCTGGGAGCCATGTACTGTTGGAGGTGCATGGAACAACTCGGTCCCTCCTCCAGCTTTGACACTGATCCATATAACCATGGCTAATGCCATAGGTGGGACAAGAGCCGACTTGAAGATGAACATGTATTGTAATTTATGTGTTGGGATGAACAGGAAAGGTGCCTGGAGTACATGGTAAATCACGTAGGACACCATTCCCTGTGTAGTAATGGCCGCTGATGCAGGAAGATGATTTGGAAGATTCGCATAACTTGGCCAAATAGCAGTTATAATCTGGAATAAACCCTGCTTGTTAGAGGAATACGTGTAGCAGACCTTCGAATCATTGCCACTCACAGGAGTTACACATTGCCCGCCGAAGGAGCTCTGAACTCCAAACCAGAAAAGCGCAAGAATGGCCCTTGAGGCAACGCAGAAGTAAGCGAAATAGGTTCCATAGCTTGCACGAATAGCTACTGGAAATGGAACATGCAGATCTGCTCCCACTGCGCCGTTGAGTACTACATTTGATTGTCAGTATGCATACTACTGGAAAAGTTGAGGATTATTTACCAGTTGGAATTGCATTACAAATTGCGGCGACAAGAGTCAACAGCACAGTATCTGTCGCAGAGAGACCAGAGGCAAAGGCCGAACTTGCTGCGGACCAAGTCGAGACGGTGACCAAATCCGAAAGCCAGTACTGGGTAAAAGTCCAGCCGGTCCATGTCCATTTCTCAGGTGGAACTGGGTCCTGATCTATATTGAAAATAAAGCGTCAATCTCTAAGCACTTTAAGTGGGCTTGGGAGAAGAATGGATACCACTAACCCGCATTACTCCACACATGCTCTGGGGCTATGCTGCTGGGCTGCTTGGGCAGCGCCCACTTTTTGGGCTGGAACCAACGCATCGCGGGTTTCAGTCTTCATAATTTATTATTCCAAACAGAAATACCAATTGACGATCGGCATACCTGGCCTAGTCTTTAAGAACGCTTTATGGGTATCACGTGTGCTCTTTGGCCCTAGCGTGATAAGATGTAAGGGTTGAGGTTATCTTGCTATCTTGCTATCTGCAATCTGCCCGATATCGCTCTTGGTTCTTAATCAAGTCCGAGAGCTCGGCCGAGGTGATAGGCTGATATGCATATAATATCACTGGCTTTGCTTCTGCGATAAGTATAACGGCACTTTTGTTTTCCCGAGAAGCTGTGCGACCAGTCCCGTCTGAAGCCGTCCAACAATAGAAATCGTCGGCCATGAATCCGTCCGCACAACGGAAACGACTGGCATGCTCCGAGTGTACCAGACGCAAGATAAAGTGTGACAAGGTACTACCTTGCCGGAACTGCACACGCCGGTAAGAAACCGCAATTGGGATCTAAAACCTGGACCAAATAGTCACTTGGGGATAATAATCTCACACATAATACAATGGTAGTGGAAGTGCTTGCTACCGAAATGAGCAACACCGAAGGGCGGCGTTGAGATCGCCTGCAATTACTCCAGCCGATCCAGCCGTGCTCGCGGATAATTTGACCGCTTGCATCCGCGATCTGCAAGAAACGCTTCAGGCAGTCAGGAAGCCTCCCTCATCCGCTTGTGACTTCCAAGACAGTGCTGTATCTGTTGCAGTAGATACTCCCGTGGACACGGCGAATGCCACACCGGCACTATCGGAGAGCGATCACAGGTCTCGACAGAGTGGCACTTATACCCATGCCCTTTCAAGTCCCGAGTCGGTAGGAGTCGAGGATGCCGCGACCATTCTCGAGTTTTTAGCTTGGGGCCGAAGGAAAGTTTCCACATACGATGACGTTGTTGGTTCTGATACAAACAGCGGGCCATCTCGCTTTTCGGGGGATGTTGCGTTAGATCAAGATGCAGCCGCAGACCCAGCAGCTTCACAGCTGCATCTGTCAGATCAATCTTCGCTTTCGCTCCTACAACTGCTACTTCCACAAAAGCAGAGCACTGTAGCCATTGTCAGGTATCATTGCGAATGTTTACTCTGGTACCATGGATCTTTCCACGGACTGGTATTTCATAAGGAACTCGACTTGTTTCTTAACAATCACCAAGGGCTGATTGATCATTCAGGTGTAGATCTACAATGGGTGGCGCTGTTGTTTGCTGTTCTTGCAGCTAGCATGGCCTGCGCTCCTCGACCCGTTGCAAGCTCGTGGGGATTCGAGGATCAAGAGCGCGCAACAATGGCTCAGCGATGCTTCAAAGCGGCCCTGATATGTTTGAATCGGGCAAACTATACAGCGTATCACTCCATGTACGCGGTGCAGTGCATCACGACCATGACCATGAGCGCGCATATGTTGGGCCACTCCAACAGTCACTCAGTAATGCTGGCATCAGCGGTCAGAATCTCCCAGAGCCTAGGCTTCCACCGCCTAGGAAGCTCAAGTGAGGATCATCCAGCAAATACAATAAAGAGGGAAACCGGACGAAGAGTCTGGACAGAACTTTGTATTCAGGATTGGTTCTCAATCCCTTTCTCAGAAACCTACTTAATCCGTCAACTTGACTTTAACACAGACAAGCCTCGTAATTGCATGGACGAGGATATGCTCTCGTTACCCGATGAGGTTCCTACAATAATGACCTACCACCGTTTCCTATATGATATTGCCCTTCTTATGCCACAGATGCACGACGACCTAAGCCGATCAAATACAATGTACGCAAAGTATGAACATGTTCTTCGATATGATACGCGAATGCGCACACTAGCAAGCAAGCACATCCCCCAGTGTTTGAAGAGCGTAGCCCTAGAGCCATCCTGGCCACGCTACGTGCCGTGGGCTCGACATTGTCTCACCATCAGCTCCGCCCACAAAATCATCATGATACACCGCAAATTTTTATGGCAGAGTTTCACCAACCCTGCCTTCAACTTCACACGCAAGACTTGTATTGCAGCCTCAAAGACGATTATTCGTGCGCAGAAACAGGCTGCGAAGGATGATGGGCCAGACTTGTGGATTTACCACGCATTCAGCGTGGCAGCTAGTGTGCGTTCCATCCACTCCATCTCGTACTGTTGGCCTTGCTTGTTTTAATTATTTTCTTCACGCTTTTTTCCCTGCTGAATCGGCTATAACTAGATAATCCTTTGCCTAGACATGAGATTTCGATCGCCCTCCGACTCCGAATACCGCGAGCATCACGCTCTCATTCGTGACACGATATCAATTTTATGCCAAAGCGAGACCAGCATGATCGCAAAGCGCGGAGTGAGAATCCTTCGTCTGTTGCTTCAGCTGGAACAAGATCGTATTTCAAAACCAGCTCCAGAACAGACACATCCAGATGCACGGGGTGAAGGACCTAGTATCATTGCCACCAATGATAACTCTTATCGATATCATCGCGAGACGAGTATAGATGGGGACAAGCTTGCTCTCGATATCCACAGATTAGTCGGCCAAGTGTTCTCTGAACAGGAAGTTGTTTCTCAGCAGAGCTCTTCGAATTTCCGTGAGAAACTGTATCAACAGAACGCAGCAGGACAACGTCTGGGATCGACTTTAGTATCATCGCCGCCAAACATGACATTTTATGATAGCGATAATAATAATAATTGGCCATGGCCTGATTCAACACAAGATAAGTATGACCTGAGAAGATATCCAGAAGATGCAGCAATGGGCACTGCCTCAGGTGTGCAGTCTCGGTTTGCGATGAGTGATTCATTAGAAGATATTTTGTTCTTGGCGCAAAACTGTGGTCCGGGCTGAAACTTTTCGCTCAGCGAACCAATTTTATTTTTATAGTTCAATATCTTCAATTACATGGTTTCTTGTAATTGCCCAAAACCGTTGGTGGTCAATTATCCTGACAGAATGAGCCATAAGACAAAGGATGTAGCTCTACACGTGACCAACCTCACAGAATGAACGCAAATATAAACATCTGCTCGGTCATAATAATAGAAAAGTACGTATTACTATCTCATCGGAGGTTTTTGGTCTCATGTTACATCGGCCTCCAAGGCTGTTTAGACGACGCTCCACTTCATACGTACTAATTACAGCCTAGGGCCATGCGGTACGAATAAACATCAAAGCTTAGCCTTCAAACTTATGTTTCGCTTCATTTGATTCGATTCGGCAGCCATTCGAGCGAACCAATAATATATATGCAAATTTCCACCGAACTATATACACTGAAAACCAGCCCGCCCCTTCCAGCATAAAGCTCAAGGCCGAGGCTAAATTAAGGCAACAACCAGGTTGTCAAACTCTGCGAATACAACGGCCCCGACCACGTCTCCCCACTGCTAAACGCCACGGTTACTTCGACCGCATTATTGAAGCCGTTCTGGATGACAACCACCCTAGTGCCGTCGGGCTGCACAAAGGCCTGCGCCTCGACCTTATCGCCATTGCCGTAGTCATAGCTCCCACCAGTGCTCAGGGCGATGGACCCGCGAGGAAGAAACCGCGAGAATTGCGCGAGCCAGTAGTAGTCAGCCGTCTTGCTGTAGCTGCCGCTGCTCGTGTCGACCGTCACGATGCCTCTGCAGGTTGAGCAGCCGCCGGAGAGATGCGGGCTGTAGTTGGTGTCGGTGCCGAGGGTCCAGGCAATTACACCAGCGGCCCAGTTTTGGAGCGGTCTGCGTGTGTTTATATTAGCAATTTGGTTCTTGGTGCGATATAATCAGGCTGCTTACCCCATGGTGAAGTCGATGGTGCTGTACCAGGAATTGGTCGGCGAGGTCCAGCATTCGGTCATATATTGAGTGGCGTCTGGATTGGTGTTGTGGAAGTCGGTGAGGGCACTCCAGTTGTTGTTCTGAGCATAGCAGTGCCAGGCGACATTTGAGACGTAGGAGCCGGCGCCATTAAGGACAGTCTGAGGGTAGCTAGGGACGTCTTTTATCAATCAGTACTACTTAAGCTCAATAAAAAAGGGCATCAAGGGGGGGCACCTGTATTGTGGTCATAAGCCCAGATCTCCGTCTTCAAACCGGCCTTCGCCAATGCCGGTCCAACATTATTTTGAATCAAACTGGTCGCACTGTCCGCGTCCAAATACATAGTCGGATATCCCGACTGGCTATTGAGCGGCTCATTCTGGATGGTGATGGCATCAACATTGACACCGCCGTTGGCAAACGCTTGGATGTATTTGACAAAATACTCGGCATAGGCGTCCGCGTAGTCCGTGTTAAGATTGTTATTGTTAGTGCTGCCGGACGTCACCCCGTTCAGTTTCATCCACCCCGGCGGGCTCCAGCACGATCCGAGTAGTTTCAGGGAACCACTCGCCGAGGCAAATTTGCTGATCCAGCTTATCATAGAGGTGCCCGCGGACGTCAGGTCCCAGCTGCTGAGGCTGGTGTCGGCGTTGCTGGCGTCGTCGTATGTGTAGACGCTGGAGGAGAGATCAGATGAGGCAATGGTGTGACGCATGAGGTTGAAGGAGGCGCCGGAGGCAGTGGTGCTAGTGAAGAGGTCGTTCAGCAGGGCTGTTTGCTGGTCAGAACTCAACTCGGAGAAGACAGTCACAGTTGCATCGGTGACGGCAGCTATGATGAACCCATTAGTCTATGCAATCGATTATACGTGTAGAATGCGTGATGGTACCGCCAAATCCGTCAATTGTCTGCTTGTGTCCAGACGAAGAATCATCTACACTCAGGTTCCAAGTCGATGAGATGCCGGAACCGCTACCAGAGCCTTGCACTGGAGCAGTATAGTTTGCAAGCTGATAGGTGCCGTCATTAGAAGTCATCCACGCCTGAGCTGAGGAAACAGATCTCTTTGAGATCGTGCGTCCAAGACTAGACGCAGGCAAGCCAATAGCCACTAGGCCAGCAAGCTTAAGAGATTGAAGTAGCATATTGGCAAAATACTTTGAATAGCAAGACTATGTATCTCTCAAACTCCAGCAAGAAAAGACAAACCCAGAATCCACACCCGGGCTTTCCTTGGCTATATACTGGACAAAACGCACGCCCTCGGCATTACTGAAACATTTTTACTTCCGAAACACAGGAAGAGAGGAGCCATCCCTTAAACATGATTAGCCGGCAAATAAAGTAATAAAGTTGAGTGGAGGATTTACATATTTACACTTTTGGTTAAGATGACTACGTGTAACATCGAATTAGGAAAATCCACGACACCATATTTCCGTCCTTGTGATGGTGACGGTTTAACCTTTACCGGCCTGAAATTTGGACCCCGAGGTGGCGTGCGTGTTTATGATGATTCATCTGGTCTGTCAGCGAAGTAGATCTGAGTGCAGTCAATTACTCCTATGACCTATGTAGTAGTAGTGGTGGTGGAACAGACCGCCACTTACTCAACAGCGGGATTACATAGTAGTAGTTAATCTATAACAGAACTACTTAGTATATTATTACTACTTAGTACTGATACTTAGCCATCTTCATTTACTGTACTATTTGGGTAAATGGTGTCAGCCCAAGACACCATTACATGGATCTAGTCGGGGAGAAGACTCCTCTCCTCGGATATTTGTCGGAGATATTCTTGCCTTGTGTTGTTCACATCACGGAAGGACTGTTCCGAGCCTTTCCAGAGGTATATTTGTCACGACACCTTAGGGCCAAGTAAGGGTGCAATATTTATAATAATTTGATGATGTGTGTGCATCACTTGACTCCCTCTTTGACCCATTCCGGCCAAGATCGCTGGTGATAGTTCCCGATTAGGAAGCTGACATGGGTAAGACCAGGGCAGATCAGGTTAGCCCTTCCCCACACTCGCTGCATCCGGAGTCCGGAGTATGTATTTCATCACGTTATTCGATCGATTTTGATAAATATTTTGATTTTATTTGCTGTTGTATTTATTTAATGGTGTGTATATGTGCAGCGTTTAATAATCAGTGGGTATGCTGGGTCAGCTGAGACAGGCTTCAAGCCGGCTGTTTCAGTTATTAGGGTTAGATTCTCGGTGCCCATTAACAGGGGAAATATTAGAATACTAAATAATACTAAACGCCACGCACCCACCCATTTTCTAATTCGAGTTAGCTTGCAGTTCTTTATATCTATGTTCAGGCCTCCCCTAAAATACAGTGTAACAAGACGGAACTTTAACATTCATAATATGAGCATGTATATGTAGTAGAAAGGAGTTACATTTTCGCAAATCTTATTTATAAGAGTTTATTTGAGGTTCTGCTTCCTTTGCCAGGTATAGTTATATTTGTGGGCTGGCATTGCTTGTGCTTGACATTCCATGTATCATCGTGCCTGAGGCATCGCCACCAGCCCCATAGAAAAGGTCATTTTTGTGCAACCGACATTCCCCTAACAAATGTGAAAGATCGCCCTCGAGGTTTCTGGCGGTTTCTAGTTTTCCATTCCTAGTTAGATGGTGCTGCACTGCCTTTATACCGCAAGCCAGATAGGGATAGTGTTGTTTAATTTGATGCTGCACTATGTTACAATATCAGCCTCAGTACGACTCTGGCAGATCCAAGTCCATGGCAGAAACCACAATCTTCAGGTAATTCTAATTCGCATTTATTTATAAGACCTTGTGCTGCTTTATTATTAATTGGTGTAAGTTATTTCAATATCTATGGTAAAGAATTAATAAGGTAATCCTATTTACAATATGTATTTCGTACAGCTTTCTGGACATCTGGAGGATCTCTTCTAACTTAATTACATTTAGTCTGACTTATCTTTTAGTGTGGTAGGAACTCTCGGGCTCAGAGTATTCTTCTGTTGTGGTTTACAGATTGTATAGTAACTTGACGCATCTTAGTACAACCAAGACAAATTGATGACCGTGACAAATTCAAAGAAGGGATATGCAAATACAATTTCAGAGACCCTAAGAAATATTAATTGACAACAGTATTATTTCAGTATATGTTATAATTTTAAATACACTAAATAAAGCAGACCTTAATAGTATTAGATCGGAAGTGAAGATATAAGACTTTAGTAAAGCAACACCAGTTGGTCAGAATAAGGAGCTTGAGCCAATTTTATATCATTACTGCGTGATTTATAAGAGAATTGTTGAATAAGTCCTCCTCAACTAAGATTACAATTGACAGATAAATGGAGTTTTGAGAAGTTATAACGCAGATTTTGCCTCGATTCCTAGCTGACTATTCCCACCATTGACCAGTACATAGCTATAGTAGCTACCCCTCATACTACCCAGCGCAACAATTACCTACAGGCTTCCTACCACTAGTAGCCTGCCTATGAAGACGGTATATCATATGATCTAGCAACTTAAGTTGAGAGGTCAGGGTTAATTAAATCATCATCATCATCATCGCCTGTAACGGATCTTGTGTTGGCATTTTGCTTGACAGTAGGCACAGTTTTGCATAGTACTGGCTACAGCAATGTGTGTTTCTTATACAGAAGAGGATAATCACAATGATGTAGCTTTAGTCGCAAGCATAGATTCGGTATAAAATAAGACTAAACAAGGCCCTGAACAGTGCATAACAACAAAATCTATAAACACCTCCATACTCGCCTGCGCTCGCCTCCTCATATCTGCTACCAGCTCGACAACCTCCCGTTGCTGATTCATAGACAGCTTCCTCTCAGCTTTATCCAAATTATAAGGATTAATCGTAACTAGATATCCATTACTCGCCACACACACACACACAGCCACTACCAAAGTCGTATCATTGAATTAAATGATATAAACGTGGGTAGGAGACGACCTTTCCCCCTGGTTTCCCAACATTCCGACATTAAACCTTTTTTGTGCAGACCTTAGCGCAAGTTATGGAACCTGACCCCGATCAATGCTTTGTTTGGCGAAATCCTTTTCATGTTGCTTCAAAATTTGGTCATAACTACGTCGCTCGTGCCATATGATTATGGTCTTTACACTTGGGATATGATGTTCTGAGATTCTCCAAATGCGGCGGACGAGGGGTGGAGATATTTTGGCTTTGGATTGGAGGGCTTCATTGATTAGCTGCTGGTTTGCGTGGTCGATACTAAGGCCCTCTATTATGCCGGCAAGCTCTTGGGGGTCGACTGTGAAATCATGCTCCATCTTCGCGTAGGTATAGTATGTATTTTAGGGTACAGGAAGTTGTTAGGATTTGCGACAGAGACACATTAAAGTTCCAACAAGCTTGACGGCTTCTCGAACCTACAATACGATGTGAATTCAGTCAACTGGTGCCTATATGTGCTTACTCTGAACCCTGATAGATGTGCCATCTCCAGCAAGATAGCGAGGTGAGCCCACCCAATCTATCAATATGTTTGAATGTAATGTGATTCATATATCTATTCTTTTTAGTCAGATTTCATTTTTCATTCCTTGTTCTTCTTCATCTTCTTCTTCCAATTATCAGGTGGGTTCCAAGGTATATCCCAATCGACTCCCACAAACAAGAACAGAAGGTATAGATTATTATTAGACTGGGGAACGACATTTTTATAGCGCGTGGATCATTGGCATGCTGCCGCTGATGACAGCTACCTCGTCTTAGATAGCGACATCGGGTCGCAGTACCAACTACTGTTCCCCTACTTCGTGGAATGGAGATACGCCTATTTCGAAGTTTTTGAGGCACATGAGTATCGAATATACTCGGGTGCTGAGCTCTATCCTGATAATGCAGAACGCATTTCATGGTTGACTGAGGGTTTCTTATTCGCGTGCTAGATAGCTTGCCACGGGGATGTTAGAAAAATGTCATACGAACCTGAGAACATCAAGTGCAGACTTTATAGAAACGGTACTCCAGAGAAACGCGATTTTAATGGCGTCATGTGCGACTTTCTTGGTGATATGGACGGTTTTATTGATGGCATTAAACGGGAATAATGTCTTATCACTAATGACTGTCCAAGTGGGAGCAAATACACACATTGAGCCCCTATCAGGGAGAATGCCCACCATGAATAGCTAGGTCGTACATGTTTGGCGCGGTTCAATGTTGGTGCTGCCGCCCGACAGTTGCCTATTTGGTAAACTTTTAAGCTTTGCATGGATTTTACCGTTGATTTTATATGAATCACTCGTCCCCAACTTGGTATTCGCGTTCGGTTTCCTGCCAGCATGGGCTGATAACGCCGTGTTGGCTAACGCGAGCAAGCTAAAGCCTGGAAGCGTCGCATGGTGACTATGATAACTGGTAATCATAGACTGTGTGCTCGTAGAGAGTTCTCCATAGAGGACTTAGCTTTCCTTATCAATTGATACCCATTACTAGACGCCGTTATATATGTAATTATATATACACGGTGAATGCAGTGCAGCGCAGAAGTCCGGGAGAGCATTTTCCAGCTGACCACGCTCTGCGAGCCAAGATGCCCTTATAGCCCTAAGATGCCGTATTGAGTAACTATATCCGTCAATATTTCTGTCTTATATGCGATCCCACGTAGCATATGCAGATAGTAATATGCGGACATCTCAATAAAAGGAGTTATAATTAAATTTTAGGTTCGTTGTTGCTCTAAAGCCTTTAATGGATAATTTGTAACTGCCTTTGTACGGGGATACACAAAACCTGAAGGCATCTGTCCTGGCGGCGGCGGCGGTCAGCACAGCGCCAACCAGACCATTCCCGCCGGCCAGTTCATCAAGATCTCCATGTGCCACCCCATTATCTGCGACATCGAGCCCTACTCTTTCATACTATTTCAGCTTAGGGGTCTACAAGGACCTTGCTGACATGTACGGCTCGACGGTCAGACAGATCCAGATGCTGAGCCCGACGTAGAACTACAGTTACATTGCGAATGAGGTCGGTACAGCTCCCCCCATCAGTCTCGCACAGAACTGCCGTTTGTTGTCGTCCAACTACACTATTTTGGATTAATCAAGCTCCATATTAAGCTCGAGAGGCATGACGAAGCACCACTAAACTACTCCTGATTGGCTTTAACGTGAGTATTATTAGTACCAGCTATATTGACAGTGACGAGAGTGGGATATTAAATTCAGCCATAATTTATAAGCACCTGACTGTCCCGACTTCGTCGTAAACAACCTCATACTGTCGGTCAAGAGTCCAACGAACTCGTGGTTTTCGTCCTCCCTTGGCGGACAGAGTAATGGTATAATTGCGTTGGATATCAACACTCTAGATGGATACTAGATACTAAAACATGTTATGTCGCATACGGTGATAGGAACTCTCGAGGCATTAAATGGGTCGGAATGAGAGATGCTCGTTATATACTAAGTTGGTGCTAGTTTTGTTACAAATATATGTATACATATTTTTCGTCTACTTAACCTGACCTACAGGAAACGAGACCTTATTATGCTGCAAACTATGTCCACTAATTACATTAACCATTACGGCATATCCGAGGCGTATCGGCAATGGCGCTCCATGGATTGCAAAGACGAAGAGAAAAGGTGCTTAGCAGCCCCTTGAAACTATCCAGGTATAGACCGAAGACAGCAGTAAAGAGAGAAGGGTCAATTGTTCTTAATTGACTATGCACTACCTTCCTTGAACCAATTCGCAGCTACCACTGGCCCCAGGTTCGTATCCGCGATAAACTGTTGAAGAGGAAAATTGATACGATTGAGCGGGCTGGTCGGCGTAGTAGCAACGTACGAAGCATATTTTGCAGGAATTGAAAAATGTGGAGGTTGATGGAAGGCCAAGAGTGTGTAGTCATGGAATTCCCCTGCGGGTGGTTCAGGCGCGATGTAAGTGGCGACTGTGGTGAATGGATGGGAGGAGTGAGAAGCTGCGCCATTTTCATTATATGGAGTCAGATTGGCAACCATCGTGTGTAGCCCAACGTAGGTGGGATGGGTAGTGTTGATGTCAGGGTCGACCATCATGAACACGAACAGGTTCGAGCCGTGCTTGGATAATGGTCCAACATCCGCTTCTGGCGCATCCACGGTGTCTACCACGTAAATTAGCGCTTGCTTTATATTGCTTTTATTGTTCTCGCTTTTCCTTGCAGGCGAATTGACAATTGGGGATATTAAACGTACCGCTTGCTTGAAGAGTGCCCCCAGGTTGCACATTGACCGCGTACGGTGGCGAACTTAACGGAAACTTCACATCAAGGGTCTGCGACGGAGCACCCAGAACCTGCAATTCAGGTGGCAGAGTATTGCTATTGGCGCGACCGGAACAGGCCAGTCCAACCTCAATCAAGCCCAAGAGAGCCACGTCGCAGCCTCTCATTTTCGGTGCAGAAGGCGAGTACGATCTGGTAGAGAAGTGACTTTACGAGCGGTGATTACCAGGCCCAAGCTGAGGAATATCACAGGTAATGACAGTTACGGAAGAATCTCGTTGTCGAATGCACGTGGCTAGAAAAGATTTCAAATCGAGACTAAGCCTACTAAGGGGAAAACATAAAGCGCCGATACATAACGTTTTCTTTTGGGCTGACTCGAGTCATTTATTTTGTTGCTAGTTACGTGGCTCTAAAGGAGCTACTTAAGTTGACTGCCCGTCTCTTCCAGCGGACTTATGCAGCAAATAACACGCTAATCAAGCTAATCAAGCTAATAGAATTAGTGTGCGCCACATTCCAGATACCTTTCGTCCCCGTAATTAAAGTACCACGTGTAAATATGTCCAGTCATCGTCAAGTTAGACTGTCGAATTCACCCAAGACAGATAAGCCTTCGTATCGAGATTGTGGCTCATTCATTTCCGACCACCCAGTGAAGTTTAACTAAAAGACTAGAAAACATCAGAGCCGCTTACGGTGGACTGATGGCCATGAATACGAGATCAAAAGAAACAGGATGGAGTTAAATGAAACTAGTCCTGCTATGTTGCATTATCTAAATCTCACAACAATAAATGCACGCTAAACAAAAAAATCCGCCCACCGTATCTCAACAATTACTCTAGACTCAAAATAAAACAAACTATTCTTCCCACTGGTCAATGATCATCGGCGTTGGTGCTAATCAAATTCCACGTGCAGCAAGCACTTTTGATAAGCGTTGTTCGAAGCCCTCCACATATTCGGCATTCAGCATATCGGCGTGGTCTCCTTCGCATTCAATCACCTCGATCGGTTCACGAGAGAAGTCCTGCCACGCGCCCAGATGCTCCGCAACCCATTTCTCTTTGTTCAGACAGACGGATTTGAGCGGGATACAATAGAAGACATCCATCTTTCGCACGGTTCCCTCGGGCTGGTACACTTTACCCATCTTGCCAAAATTGTCCGTCACATGCACTATAGCCATTAATTGCGCCGTTGTAAGCTTGAGTTTGGCAAGTTGTTCTGGGAAGGAGACTTCCAGGAGTCGGTTAACCACTTCGACTTGAGAGAGGCCTTTGAATTCCACCTCGTACTTGGGAATGTCATCTTGCGCAATCAGTTCAAGGAAATAGGTAACTCGGATAGCAGCAGCCGTCCAGTCAAGTGGTCCAACTAGTGGGATGATATGCGGCGGAGAATCCAATGCGGCGCAAAAGGCTACTTCATCTCCATTCGCCTCAAGCCTTTTCGCTAGTTCAAACGCGACCGTTGTGCCCAGCGAATACCCCGTCAGGGCATAAGGTCCCTTGGGCTGGGTACGCTTGACATGTTGAAAGTAGGTATCGGCCATTTCGGGGATGCTGTCGAACAGTTTCTCATTATTGCCCAGTCCACGCGCCGTAAGAGCATATAGGGGACGATCAACGATGGTACGCGCCAGAGGTAAAAAGGCAAGAACGTTTCCGGATGCAGGATGAACGAGCCAGAGGGGCAGTTTGCTTCCCCGCGCTTGCAACTGTGCCACTGGGTTGTATTCATGCGAATTGGCATTGTCAATTGCCGTTGCAATATCCCGGATGACCGGGCTGTTGAGGAAAGTGATTATTGATACTCCGACATCCAGAGAGATGTGTTTGCGTAGTAAATGCTCGAACCGGAATAATGTGAGGGAGGTAACGCCTAATTCGAAGATGGTTCGATCGACGGAGATCAAGTTCGCCGGCATCTCCAGCATCTCGCTCAATGCTTCGACAACTTTCGTTTCAGTCTTATTGGATGGGGCGACGTAGCTGGCATGCACGTATGTCTGTATTGGTATTCTTGAGCGAATACGAACATCGTCGAAGACCCCTTGATCGAATTGTTTCTTCAGCCGCGTGCGCGACAGCTTTCCTAGTGAGGATTTTTCTAACCGCGAGACAGGCAGCGGAATGAGCCATTCCGGACGCACGCCAGGTACGACAGATGCAGCTCGTGCAATAGACTCGGCAATCTCATCGCGTCTTTTAGGGTCCTCGAATGTGTTTTCGGGGCTATAGACAACGCAATATCCTTCGGTATCGCTTCCCTTTGGTCGGTGAGAGAAGGTCGCGAAATATGATGAGACAACACCGACGAGGCTAGCCGTCTCCAATGCCGCTTCGATATCCTGAGGTGCACGGTTAACGCCGTTGATGATGAGAATCTCTTTGCTTCGGCCAGCAATATTAAGGCCTCCGTTACGATCAATGTATCCGCGGTCTCCAGTCATGAACCAACCGTCACTCGTGAATGATTTTTTGGTTGCTTCTGGGTCGCGATAATAGCTTTTAAATATGGCATTGCCAGATAACTGAAGTTCTCCGATTTCATAGGGCTCTGCTTCCTTTCCGTCCCCGAAGACACGCACTTTTGCTGCTACAGTGGACTTTCCAATCGATGCAAACTCATGCTCTTCGTGATCCTCATATTCAGGATCGAAGAGGCCGTAGGTGAGACCTGCACTAGATTCTGTCAATCCATATGCAACGTATAGCACGGACCTCCTAACGCCCAGCTTTTCCAATTGTGCACATAGGACTTTGGCAGTCTCGACTAAATTCGCTTCACCTCCGGAGACAACGGTCTCAAGGCACGAGAGATCGAGATCAGTAATAGTTGACGCTTCAGATTCAGCGATTGCTAGCCGTTTAGTGAGCAAGGCAAGGAAGAAGTTCGGCGCAAAGGTATTCGTAACGCGATGGGTATCGATCGCTTTCAAAAATAGAATGGGGTCTGATATGACATCGTGCGCCTGCATTTGCACTTGGTCTGCTTTGTTGTACATGGCCAAGAGGTGGATCTCGACCAGGTTAGCCACATGATCCAGCCCAATCCAGTTAAGGAAGCGCGCATTCTCTGAAACGCGAAGGGCCTTGGATTTGCCACGCACAGCTGCGATGAGCTGTGGAACAGTCAACTCCACAGCTTTGGCATTTCCGGTGGATCCCGATGTCAACATCAAAACAGCAGGCTCCTCTCCAGAAGGAGGCTGTGCCTCATATTTCCCATTGGTAGTATTATGGGGCTCATCAATAACGACATTGCTAGCTTGTGAGAGTAACTGCTCGATGGTAACCGTGAGCGACCCGGATCCGAGTTCTGGGTAGCGTTTGATTAGGCGATCAGTACTCAACACCACTGGTGTCTCCAACAAGGTTGTCAAATGCTGGATATGCTGCTCTTGCTGGGCCACATTGGCAGACAATGGCGGAGAAATTGCAGGCAATAAACCGGCAGATACAACTGCCCAAAACCAGGCAATACCGTCGACATGATTGTCGAAGTGCAAAAGAACAATTTTCCGCTTCTCAGCTAAAGTATCTGCGGGGAACTGAGTTTCCAGATAATGCAACAAGATTTTGGCCTTGCTCTTTGCATCTGATAGCAACTCTTTGTATGTCCATCGCAGAGGAAGTGTTCCATCTGTCTCCGGCTTGTATAGCCACAGGCCTGTTTCTTTTCTGGCTTCATCTTCAGAGAGAGCGGCGTTTTCTAAAATCTGAATAAGAGTCTGAGGACCCAGCAAACCGTTTGTCTGCACGCCATTGACGTGGCGTTCCACTGCTGTGGGTGCCATCAGAGAAGGGGCCGTGCAAGGATTTGGCAAATCCTTGCAGATTATTGCAGTGAATGTTATATTTTGTGCGTTGGTGAAGAATCCCAGGGATGGGGTTGCAGTTTGGCACTAGCCTTGTCTATATACTAGCATAATAAGTACAAATGTAGCCTTTCTTGCGCAATAATTTTACAAATAGGTGGCAACACTTTGGGATATACTGTAGACGTTTGATTGCGTCGGGGTCTGGCAGCAATTTTGTACTGTTGCACTGGTGACCATTCACCGAGTGTCGATCGAATGAACTACTTCTGAATGGCTTGAAGCCACGACATTCCTGCTACCAATCATTATCATTTGACACGGGTAGAAAGCTTGAACCGGCATCTCTTAAATTCCTCTGATATACCTCCACCGCGTTCTGTACATAATACTATTCTGTGACTTGCAGGTCACAAACTAGACAGGTCGATCATGGCATATCCTCACGGCGCATGGACGGTGGATTTCTAATAGGCAGTCTGTGCACAGGCAGCTGGTTCGTGAATTTGGCGGCCTTTCATACCTCCTGTTCCTGAGTGAGGAATGTGTTAATGAAATCGAAACGCACTCGAGGCGTTACGGAGCCCCACATAGCTTCAAGCCACACAGGAAACCACCGATAGAACACGGAATCAATCACGGGTATGAGTGCTTATATCGGATTAGTGCCTATATCGACTTGTGCATGTATGTAAAGCGTTCATATTTTACTTAGATATGCAAAAGTCCCCCACTTAGTCAGCTACTATATTCGGTTAGTATTATTAATTTAGCGCAGACTCGAATATTTACTCATGAACCTAGCCTAGTAATCCCTTGCTTCGAAATAAGTAAGCATAAGCACGGTCTTAGTGAAGCTGAAAATTGAGCATGGTGGTTTACTGTGCTACGGACCTTTGTCAGCAGATGTCAGTCTATGGTACATACATTGTACTTGGTGCTGCGAAACCGAGCCTGAAGCACACATAAGAGTCCGGCATTACCCCTCGAACAGAATACGAGTCAGCTATCGTTTTGCCGTTAAGACCGAAGCTTTTTAGACTACAGTTAAAGTTTGATCCCGCCGACTGTACGGCCTCTTGGCCAGTCAACTAATACCTAATCTTGAGCGGCCCGGGCGTGTAATTAGTGGGGGCCGAAGGAAGGTATTAACTCAAGTTAGTACTTACTTGCCGCTCCAGGTGTAGAGAAGATCGGCGTTACACCCACTGCCTTTACATCCTCTTCGATATAATTAAGTTAATTACTTGGTATTTGAGGGCCAGGGCGGGGACTAACACTTCGCAGGGTCACATGTGAATATTCATTCTCGCAGTGGCTGATTCGTTCATAGTACGCACTACGCGGAGTATCGTAGTTCCTCTGCCGCTCTAGCGTTGAGGTACATGATGTATGTTCTCGTACTCGACTTGAACACGAGACACGTGGACTGCCGCTGACGAAATTTAGCCCCTTCTTCAGTTCTTTCCCTTCAATCCTTCGCCTAGCTTTGGTTCCACTGTATGGTTGGATCGTTACATGGCTATGTATCTGCTACTAGATTGCGATTGCGCTTGCGCCGATCTATTCGGACCCTGATTTGTGCCGTCTCAACCGCCGACGTGTCTCCCTCGACCTGCCTTGGTAAAAATTGCCTTCAAAAGAACACCACAGCATTCAAATTAGCAGGATACTGGGGACTGGGGACAGACAAAGATGCCTGCATTAACGGCAGCGCAACTGGCGGCTTGGGATGAGACACTTCAGCCTGCCATTTACGGCGTGTGCATCACGTTTTTCGTATTGGGTAATATTTCGGTGCCGATGAGAATATGGTCGCAATGGCAGATACATCGAAAGGCAATGCGGGAAGATTATTTCTTGATCGCGGCATTGGTATGGATACCACTGTGCAAGGAGTTCAAAATGTTATTGATTTTGAGAGTATCAGCGTGCTAATTGAAAGGACAAAATTCGCAGATTTCTGCAGATGTGGTCACATTGGCTACCCTGATCGCAGCGAGAAATGGGTTTGGACAGCACGTCTGGAGAGTCGAAGCCACAGCAATTGATGCCGGGGATAAGACATTGAGCAATATGCAGTCTATCTTCACTGTAAGTGATGCATTCTGCAATGTAGGACTTGACTAATAGCCGCCTTTTCAATAGGGCATATGGTTGACCTCAGTTTTCAACGGGCCTTGTTTGATTTCCATCAAACTCGGTCTTCTCCTCTTTTACCGACGACTATTCTATACCAGCCAGAAATGGCTCGCCATTGGATGGTGGGCCAATTTGATCTATGCTGTTGCTTGGGCAATCGGATCAACTGTGTTCTTCATTTTGCAATGCTCTCCTACATCCTACTACTGGGAACGATTGAACCCAACGCTACACATTACCGGGAAATGTAGGAGCGCTACACATATCGTCGCCATCCCACTTATTCTCTCCACTGTTTCTGATGCAGCAATTCTGATTTTGCCGATATTCGTGCTCGCGGGATTGCGCTTAACGGCTCAGACGAAACTTGGACTTGTTGCACTCTTCGGATTTGGTTTCATGTAAGCTTGTTTTCTCTCTCTTCATCCGGGATACATAATATCATCTTGGATAAAATGATATAGTTCTAATCATGTCTCAAAATACAGTGCTGTCGGATGCGGTATTGCACGCCTGATCGTGCTTGAAGTCGACACCGAAAACACTACCGATCCCACCTACGGTACCGTTGCATTCGAGATCCTCAATGTGGTCGAACTCAACCTGGCCATTATCTGTGCCTGCATCGTGCCGATATTTTCCAACATGCGCCGCCTAATCAACGGCGATAGTGCTAAGGCGACTAGCACACCACACCTAGCCAAGCAAACCTACGGTTTCTACCGCCAAGGTGAACCGGCGAGAAGTCAAGCAAGCGAATATTTACATCTTAGTGAATACCCTGACAACCAGCCCGGGGTCACATCTTCAGCAACCAAGAACTTTTCGAGATCCTTTTCTAGCTCTGGCAATGGGGATGCACCTCTAAATGGGGTTATCCAAGTAAAGACGGAGTTGCATTTCAGCAGTGTATAACCGGATATCTGGAGTTTGGGATTTTGAAGAATAATATACGCATTGTTCCTTGTAACGACCTTATTGAATGTGTTTATCTGTCATTAAAATAATGAAACGATTTCTGTATATATTTACGTACATAAAATTAAGTTGAATTTCAGGTTTTTATATATATATCAATTGGTGTATTGAGTCTCTATTTCCGAGTTGCAGACCACCAGATCATGCACATTTGCGGTTCTGCCCATGGTGCATTCTTGGTTTGTTCCATCTCGTCTCCCCAATAAGTGCCCGCGTCGACCGTCCATTGAGTGCCGGTAGCCTCGCCAACATCATGCCAGAAGCCTCGAATGGTCTGCTCATTATGGCGATAATTCCGGTACTTCTCCCCATCCTTTCGCATGCCAATCATGGGATACCGTCCGCCCAGATGGCTTCCTAGCTGGCGTCCCGTAATCATTACGCCTGGCTTGTCCTCACACATCGCCACCATTCTCCTCGCAACAAGGACCTGATCCTCGTAGTCCCACATATGGAACAGAGACGATGCAAAAATGGCCTGCAATTTATTCTTCAACCCTTGTGCCAATGCGCCGCTCTCATACACTGTTTCTTGGGGCTCGGTCAGATCGCCGACGAAAAACTTCGCGCCTAGCTTCCCATCGCCATCCAGAAACAGGCGATACCCGAGATCAATAAAGACCTGCTCTAAATCGCATCCGTATAGTTGAGAATGTGGGATTCCCTGGTTGGCAAGAAACCGAATCTCCTGCCCAAAACAGCATCCGGCGTCTAAAAATCCGCCACCGCTAGGGGAGGATTTGAGTAGGTTGAGGATGCGTTGATAAAAGGGCATTTGGGAGAGATTGAAGGATAGGAATCGCATCTGGCCAATGCAGGAGTAGTGGTAGACGGAGAATGCTTCGTCGCGGAGTGTGAGGACATGTTGGAGGACGTCATCTGGTTTGATGTTGCTGTATGATTCGAGGATTGCTTGGGCTGCTGGGTTAATTATGTTTCTCTTTTCCTCGAAGTCCTTCTCTGCTTCGACCTTTGACTGCGTTGCCGGAGCCGATGTTTCGTCCGGTTGTGCTGAAGGAGCCATAATGACAATTAGTTCAATGTTTTCCGTTAATTTATTGTCTACGGAGCAATGAGCAACGAGTTCAATGTTGCAGGGGTGAAAAGAGTATCGACGTATGCCAGGTTTATGTAAACTCTCAACTTCTCCTCCCCCCCCTCACCACGACATCAGAAAGATGCTATACTAGCGCATACGCCCGGAGTACCATGGAAGCTATAAGGTGTATCCAGGATGCACGTCTATGTCGATCGCAGAACTGCTTCCCACCATTGACATTTGCCTTTGGAGCTGGAGCTATTCCCGAAACACCTGGCCCCCAAAAAGCTTGCTAGCTAGGAACCGAGATGTCCTCGTAATTGCCACAGGGTCAACTTGTTGCCACACAATGCACGCACAATATTATTAGCATTCGGTTTCTACATTGACGTTCAAAAAATCAAAGAAAATTGGGCTTATAGGTGAAATTTATAATAATATTAATGGAGCATTCTTGTATAATTACTAAATGTCTTAGGGCGTTCTGTGAGTGTTCCTAAGCCAGCTCTCATCGCTTTTACGTAAGTATCCAGGTACAAGTAACTACGATGTTTAACAGTGCCTGAGGCACCAATAGATACTATTGCATGCTAGCCATATAAGGAATAGCTCCATAGAGGCTCTACCAAAATCTTTCCAGCAATCAAGAATAATAATAATAATTACACACCTGAGATCATCAACACTATTGTCCACAGCTGTCACAATGCCTGCAACCTGTATTGCTGCAAACCCGTGGATAGTCTCTCAGTCAATCCGAAGCATTTTTATCCCCCAATTTACGGCTCAAGTGTCGAAAAGCCGCGTGCCATTCCACGCTACATCCCAGTCATTGTTCACACGTCCTCCATTCAAACCGACTCCTCGCACTATATCGCCAAGGCGGTTGTTCGCAAGCGTTCCCGTTTTGTCGAATAATGAAAAGAATGAAAGGCTGGGCAAAGATGGTGAAATAAATGACCAGGACGATGATTTCGTACTGGACTTGTCTCCCCCCAAAGTTGAGGTTTCAAAACAGGAAAAGGCCAAACAGGAAAAGAACACGCAGAAGAAGTCAAAGAAATTAAAGGATTCGACTGCCGGCGGTCGAATAAAAACAAGCAAAGCAATAAAATCGGGCGGCAAGAACACCGACGAAGCCCAGTCGCGAAAACTAAAGCCCAAGGATTGGCAAATACAAAAAGCAGCTCTGGAAGAAAAATTCCAGGAAGGATGGCGGCCGCTCAAGAAGCTGTCTCCAGATACTCTGGACACAATCCGTCATCTCCATTCCACCAAGCCAGATGAATGGACAACGCCGGCGCTGGCAGAACACTACAAGGTGTCGCCTGAAGCCATCAGACGGATCCTCAAGAGCAGGTGGCAGCCATCAGAGGAAACAAGGAACAAGCGCCAGGAGAATTGGAGGAAACGCCACGATAGGATTTGGTCTCAGATGGAGGAAATCGGGCTGCGGCGGCCGAGGACGAGCATGCGCGATGTTCCTGATGATGCTAGTAAGCTTGGTGTGTAGACGCGATGAGATTCTTGTAATATCTTAATACCTACGGTTATGTATACTATAATAAATTTTTCTATATTCCAACATGCTATGTAGTTCTGAGATATTGAAGAGTGGCGCGCTAGGCCGGACATGTAAAGACTAAGCGCAGTGGTGGAGTACACCACCAATACTCCAGATCCGATCCCATCTGCTGTCCTAGTTCCTCACAACATAACCTCACCACCTATATTACCATCGATCACCATCAACCACAACCACACATGCATCGGGCATGACAATTACCCTGTAGCAGCATGCTCAGGGGTAGCAGCACCTTTCTCGCGGCCAGATAACCCCACCTCCTTTCTCCTTCCTGCGCACCATCGCCATTCCCATTCACAGTCACATTCACCCATGCAGTAACACACTGCCATGGTCGCCATGCCATCGGACCTGCAAGTGTTCGTGAAATGGAAGGAACAGACCATCTTTGCCGGCGAAGATGTCGAGTGCACTATCACATTCAAGAACGTTGCCGAAACCGCGAAAGAAGAGCCCAAAACACCCGCGTTGCATCATCAGCGTAGGATATCTCGGCCACTCAATGCTGTCACAGGTAATGACGGCTACTTCGCCGCCAAATCTCCGCAGAGCTTCTTTTTCAATAATGGCGGTCGCCGCTCTATCCCATCCAGTCCGCGCCGGCCAGCCCCCGGTTCCCATCGCGTGTCGGCGTCGCTCAGTTCGCCTTTGACGGGGTCTCATAGCTTCCCTCCTCTCCACACGCCCGCACGTCTTAACAATGGTCCGGGTCATAAACATAAACGGTCCGTTTCGATCCTCTCAATAGAAAGCGATGGTGGCAATGCGGTGGAAAAGACTCCGGTTCAATCCCAATTTACCCGCTCGCGGCCGTGGAGCCACGGCCGGTCTGCCAGTCTACAGGTTCTTCCAAAACGGCCTTCAGGACCGGAAGAGATATTTTCTCCTGGTAGATATCCTTTAGAGTTATTGAATGTACGTTTTGCTAATTAATGTTTCTTAGGCGGAAGACTCCCTGTTCGGGGACTACCCTCGGCGGAATCAGCCCTCAGTCCTCGCATCGAGGCCGAAAGACCACTCAAATCAAGCAGAGCTGGCTCAGGTGCCGCAAGTCCGATGCGAAGTCCTCGCCCAGGACCGAGTCCATTGCCTAGTGACTTTAAATTTCCCTTGGCCCCCGCCCTGAATGAATCCGAAGGCAGTCTTTCTACAAACGATCAATCGATAGGAACAACCGATGATGGAGCGTCTACACGACAACTTCCCAGACAACCTCCATCTCTTACACAACAAGCACATTTGGCCCCAGCAACAAGAATACTTTCCAACTCGAGCGTGAATGGGAGCACTAGAAGTAGCGGCGAATTCTATGCGGCGAGCAACAATTCAAGCGACACCCTGGAATCTGAGTACACCAACTATGGAGGAAGTCGCATCAAGAGCAATGCGACAAAGCACAGACGGCACCTTTCCAGTCTGGAAACCAGCATGAAAGCACGAGATGCCCTCACATTATTGATGGGATACGCGCAGATAAATGCATCATTCACTGTTGACGGCTCTTTAGTCAACCAAGCAGCATTCGAGGAGGTGAAACGAAAAGGTGTTGTAGGAGCGCCTGCAGGTGGTGGTCGTACTCAAGAGAAACCCCGTCGGGGTGGTGGTCTTTTGGGCGCTTTTGGATGGAACGCAATTGAGGAGTCAATCAGCGGCTTACTGTCTAATGGTGACCTCGAGGGTCTTAGAGATATGCGAGGAGTCACTTCCTCTAAATCGGTTCCCCTGTTATCTACTCCACAATCTCTTCTTTTCGTCAATCTTTGCCTCGGTCCTGGCGAAGAAAAGTCATACTCCTTTTCATTCACGCTGCCGAGAGGACTGCCCGCCAGTCATAAAGGGAAGGCGATCAAGATTTTCTACAATCTTGTCATTGGAACTCAACGAGCGGGGGGAGCAAGAGATACACAACAGGTTAACCGTATCAATGTTCCTTTCCGAGTGTTCAGCGGGGTTAACGGTAGGATCATCATTTCTATTAATCGAAGCGTACTAAACCGTTTATAGGTCAAGGAGATGTCCTTGGTCACGATCTCATGCAACCATATGTGCTTCTGCGTGACGAAGCACGCGTGTATGCTGTATCTAGCAGCCCTCGCCCTCCCCCGAAAGACAAAAGTATCAGTGGCCCGGCTTGGACCACCGCTCCTGAATTCTTATCCTACGTGGATGAACTACTAGAGCATCACGACCAACAATCTCTCCGAACCTCCATAGCACCCCCAATCACGCCACTTGAGAGAAAACCCTCCACCAATTTTAACGATCCAAACATGTCTTCCAAAGACGCCATCGACCTCGCCATCCTCCGCGGCAACCAAATCACCAGCTCCAACCGCAGCGCAAACCGGTTCGACATTGCCCGCAACGGCCGCCGCATAGCCGTCGTAGTACTCAACCGTCCATCGCACCGCCTCGGAGAAACCGTCTTCGCCACCATCGAATTCACCAATGCATCTCTCCCCTGTTTCTCACTCCGCGCAACGCTCGAAACATCTGAAAAGGTCGACCCATCCTTAGCCGTACGGTCTACGGCAAGCATCCACCGCGCCACACGCCGCATTCACGCCTCCTACTTTGAAAACACTCTCTTCTCCACGCGGGTAGTTTTCAGCCCGGCAATCCCGATCTCAGGCACCCCAACCCTATTAACAACTGGCGTCAGATTAGACTGGGAATTGCGGTTTGAGTTTGTCACAACCCATTCCAATAACGACGCCGATGTGACTCTGTCGGGGACTAGACTCCTCGAATCCCTCGGCGAAGACGAGCGGGGCTCGGTCTTTGCAGCGTTGGAAAATCTGCCAAGCGAGTCATTTGAGATTGTTATTCCGTTGACGGTTTATGGGGAGACGGTGAGAGAGCCGTTGACGGAGGAGAAAGAAGGGTATTCAATTTGAGCTATTTTCTTCATAATATGCAATACAATACATATTTGGTAGATTTACACATACCCTAAATATGAAAAGTCTCGGAATAGTCACATAGCAGATTGACGATCTATTCAGTGTTCGTGTCCGCGATACATAGTTATATAACGTACGCCTGTCATTGTCATCTCCGAATTGATGACGTCTAATAGGCTTTGTGTATATTAGCTCTGTATATCTGTCTATCGAGATAGTTGTATAACTAGCATTGATACTAAAATAATTTTTAAGCAATGTATATTTCCACCAATTTAAAGGTATATCGATCTAGGACGAGGCTATATATCCTGAAATTTCCCTAATAGATTCATCGGTTTTATGTCCCTGCTTCCTCCCCAATCAACGAACAAGATCATAGGTAAAATATGCTCAAAAAATACAAGCTGTTTAGAGGTAAATGTACTACGCATTTCCACGCAAAGATTCGATTTGCCACTCAAGGAGCTCTCACTGACTGTGTGACCTATGATTTTAGACTTCTGCCTCGGCCAAGGCAAATACTCTGACAACTGACCCGCCTCTGACCACTCTGTATGATACCGAAGTGGCACCCTTGCCGTTTCCGACATACACAGCATTACCAGCAATGTCTGCCATGGCGTGGGCAGTACATTGGGTAGTACATTGGCTACATTCTGGAGAATCAATTATTATAAAACCCTCTTGCTGTCCCCCGCTGTGACTACGGTATCGCCCTAGTGTTGGCCGTTCCAAGCATTACGAACAGTATTCTCAAAGTCGTCATCATCTGGCAGCCGATTACAACGTGCCGTGTCGTACTCCCAGTCAACAGCATTGATTATGGATAATACACCGGCGATTAGGAAGACCTAATCGACGGCGAATTTCGGAGAAAAGCCAGCTTCTCTCTGGTTGAGAGATCGTCTCTGTCGAGACTTTTCGTCAGAAAGAGCAAAGCTATAGGCGCCACCGGGTAAATTCACGTACCCGGTCTCAGCAATGTATTATCTTGGATCATTACATTCACTGTCGGCAAAGCAACTAGCACCTGGTCGTTGTTGACTCCCCCAAGACGTCAATACTGAAAACACCGATATCCCCTCGACCACCGAAGCCTTTTCCAAAACTTTGTACACTGTGGCATACACCATCGGATACTGTTACAACGTCAGAATAAGAGCCATCGCACTTGCCTACCGCAGGGGCCATTGAAAACTTCCATGTTTTTATAAGCACTCCCAGGGGCTGCTCAAAAGCCAATAGGCATCACCAAAAGTAAACCTGCAAATAGTATCATTCGAGGGCCAATTTAGGTAAATTATTGCCTGATATAGCAAGCATGAAGTGAATTAATCCACGTCAATAAACTTCTTAAGGCTGCTCCTCGGCTATAGAATGATTTTATTGGGTGTGGTAAGGTCACCATTTCGTAATATTGTCAATAGATCCACGTGCATTGGCAAAGATGGGCTTTCCGAAGTTCACCAATTACAGATGACAATATCTGTTATGCCCAGATGGAGTCTAGCAAAGCGGGAGATGTTGCAGGCTGGTGTATATGTGAATTAACCTTTTATTAACCTTGTACCGAAGCCGTACAAGCGATCAGTCAGCCGCTCTTAATTAAGGACAATGCTCTTATCACTGTGAGGGATGTTTCTTTATACCCACCATCTGAAAATGAGCACTCTTCAGCCGCTTCCAGAACATCTTCGGTTTTCTGAAGCCGTTCCAAGACACCAGCGATTGGTCTGTCTACGAAAAGCCACTCTACCGCTTCAGACGGATTTCTGCCAAAACGAAATCACTGGGCTCGTGTCATAACTCCTTCCATAGCTCCTTCAGAGATATCTGATTCCGATGAGACCCAATCTGGTACAGATGATCCAGAGTCTGACCCTAAGACAGATGCTGATAATGAAGAGTTTGGCAGCTAGGCGTATATATATATCTAGAGATATCATGTTAATATCCTCAATGCTAGCAAAAGTTCGATAGATACACATATGAAAGCTGGAAAAGGAGCTAAAAGGTCTAAAAACTGTGTTAAAACTATTTTCAAAGCAGAAACGAAGATGGTATTAGAGCTTAAAGAAAATATCTCTAAAGTGTGGGGTCCGAAAACGTATATATTGTTCATTGTTGTTTTTTTCCCCATTAACATCATCCTTGGAATCCATATATACAATATGGCCATCCAATTGATTGCCAATTATAAAACAATACAATCGTGACTCAGATAGGTCTGGTGTTTTCTCGACAATGGGGCCTGGGAAAAGATTCACGAACGGAACCTCTCTACCAGTTAGCAGATCGCTAGTTATAAACCAAGGATTTCAACACTAAGAAAACGAGGACTTGAAAGCCCAGCTCAGTAATGTATCATGAAACTTAGCAGTTACAGTTTTTTTCAATTCGCTTTTTCTTATTAACAATACTGCAGTTTCTTCCTGAATCAATATATTTTTTCATCTCGACTACATCATTCCTAAGCGATTGAATTTCTCTCTGAAGTTTTCGTATACATGCAAGGGCATCTGCTAAAGATTGCTGAGACATCGGGCTTGGTGAGGCCTTGTTTTTTATTGTTGATTGCATGGTGAGTCTGGCAGAAGAGCATTTCTCTATACCCTGGCCTGGTTCATCGGAGCTAATGGTTTGCAATGCTTCAGCGCTGCAGCATTTTAGGTCATCATCAGTTGCATGAGCAGTTGAGAAACGGTGATGACTTGTTAATGAATGTGATGACTGCGAGTCGTATTCCGTCAACTAAATGGAAGATGTAAGCAAAATGAATTTATTTTTCGCTCGGCTTGTTTATCTACCGAGGGGAATGACGGGCAAAAATACGTGTCATCTGTAGTTATATCAGCAATATATCGAGGGAGTCTTTTCGAGTCATATATGCTCCTAAGCGCGGCTGTAGGCTCCTGGTACATTAAGTCTTCGGGTATATCGAATATATGATCTTCCACAGGTATATTGCACGGCCAAAAGTCAAAATGTTGCATAAGATTATATGGCTCGGTGGGGTTATTTTGGAGATCACCAGAATCCAAGAACCGCCGATTTCTGAGTAGGTAAGGACATTGTGGAAAGTTCCTAGTCTATTCAGCCTGCGAAAATGAGATAAACGTGCGAATCAACCTCAATGAGGCTACCAATGATTACATTTCTTCCAGTTCAGTGCGCTGCAAGCTTTCTCTGTGAATCTAAAACAAATTTTATAAATTCAAATGATTTTGGTATCGTGGGTTTTGAGACGTTGTGGGAGCGCGATTCAATATCTCCGAGTTATTTGCTCCTTTGCATGCTAATCTACGTCGTGCAAGCTATTAGATATTAATTGCAACATCTCTGCCACGTAACAGAAGAAAGCGTGTTCTTTCGAGACAATTACAGACAATGTATTTAATACTGGGTCCACTATCTCATCACTTCAATACCAGTTTAACAATGAAAGGCTAGATAATAAATGCCAGGCATTTCCAAATCTTATGATTTTTTGTAGTCATATTCTTACTGGTGGACAAAATTCCCGACCCCTTGTCATCCCTGTAAATCCAACATCCCCTCTCACGCACAGATCAATACAACTAGTCTTAGTTCTAAGCCCCATCCATATAAATGAGGGCTACAATTTATTGTACTGAAGATACTCCCCCGCTGGAATGATGCCAGACAGGATGCCAGCAGACCTCCAGCAAAGGGAAGCTGCTACGCCGCAACCAGTGGAACGGTCTAGATTTTAGGAACGTTGGACATCATTAGGTTTGAAAAAATGGGTTATTTGTACCAGAGCTTTAGTCTGCCACTGAAAGGGTCGTATTTTTTCAATTATAAGCAACTATGCCAGATGATGAATTGAAGTGTAATACCTGGACTTCAATATCAAAGGGACAACAAATGCGCTTTATAACCTATCAGGGGTCATTGTGGTATTGAAGGAGCGCTACAGTCGCACCCACTACAAAATATGATATTACCTGGAGGATATCGTGGTGGATTTTCATCAACTCTTTCCAGCACATTTCTCCAAAGTAATGGAGAACGTCACTCATCAGTTAGGCTTTTAACACAGCAACTGCCAGCTCCCGCTAATTTTTAGGCGACGATGCAAATACTTCACGTTCCGCACGAATCCGATTTTTCGATAATTAGCGCTCTATAGATAAGTATCCAAAAAGTGAAAAGGAAATTGTTCCTCTCCCTTAAATAACTGGGTTACTTTAGAGTAACACTTCTTTTCCCAGGGATACTGAACATAGCACAATAGTCAATACACTTGACCTTGATCACCGTCATCACCCTGCGATGCAGGAGCCATTACGGGTTCTAAAGATTTATTCTAAACAACGCCGCTCCGTCCTCGCATCTACTTCGACACTGTTGTATCTGCCGAGATTCAGCTCCACCTTTGAAAATGGGGTTGGGGTGCGTCGCTTATTCAGGCTTCTTGGCCCTAAGTGGGAAAAGTTGGCAGCCTGTTTCCAAGCTATCCTCATACCAATTCAGCGCGGCGGCGATAAAATGGTACATTGGTTAGTGTCACATGTATCTTCAAAGATAGTGCTTCTTGAGACTAAATACGGTCTCCGACTCACACTTAACGATGGATGTATTTTTGAGTTCACCAATACATCTCACCCACACATGGGGCTGAACGGACGCTGTGCAGCCTCAGTAGATGAGCCTTTATTGCTACGGCCAACAGTTGTTGTTGGAAATTTACCAGCAACATATCACTATCAACTCTCTCCATATTGGCAATCCTCAATCCTTGTGCAGAACAACAGTGGGAAGCATACGCTGGCCACTGAAGAGGGTTTTGGTGCGAGCGTGATTGAACAACGTTATCCAATCCTAGCGCCGCTCTATCATGCATGGGTTGACAACTACAATTTTGCTGTCAAACAGAGAGGCGAGCACCTGTTCAAAGGTGTGGATGTGTTCTCAGACATTTACGAACGTGTAGCTTGGGAAATTGAGGGATTCTTAATGGCTTGTTGGCTAGGATTGCAGGATAATGTTGAGGCTGTTGAATACTGCCCATATGATATGTATCGGATTGAAAATGGTGCGGTGGAATTATACCGATTCCTTACACATATGCATGAGTTTGTGTCCTGTCCACAATGAATGCTATTTCCCGTTCCCTGGATAGCAAAATCTATATAAATATTTGGTGGCTTGTTGTTTTGAAGGCCTAAAGGTCGGGATGATCCGGGACTAGATGTAATATATGTCCCATGCATGTGTCCTATTTCCCCTCTCGTCTTCTGGGCGATGGGATGTCGTCGAACAGCTTGGGGCATATAGTTACAAAGCATACCCGTGGTCTTTCCCAAGTGACGTAGCTATACCAAGTTGAAAATATGACGTGGATGCGGTAGATGTGGAGGATGTAAGGAGAGCTTGGAAACACTGTTGGGGAACAAAATATTGAAAAAAGGATCTATTGTACAGTACATAAACATGTGAATGTCACATGCATACATAGTTATTAAGTAGGTGACGAGGCGTACTGCTGGCTAGCGTACCCACAATCCCGACTGATCCGTATGGTCTACTATCAGTGATTAAAACCACTCGATTCAGAAGGATAATGCCAGTCTTTAATTGACCGATTAGATCGGTCTGTTCAACATGGTCACATTTTGTGAAATAGTAGGTAAACAAATACTAGGAACAGGAAGCTAGATAAAACTATCGATGATGGTAGGGGGACTCTTCTACATACAAAATAGAGCGTAAACGTGTCTCCACTAGAGCGAGTGGGATCGCTACGGTTGGTCTGCTTAAGCTAGCCAATGGGCACCAGGCGTTGTCTTAACACTAAACGACAAGGATTAGACTCACTATACTAAGGTTACCCAAGGACTACGGCATGCTTGGCATCTTCAACTGCATAGTGACCACTCCATTACATATCCTGGCCCCGGTCTCTTCTTGATAGTATTAGCACGTTTAAATGATCTCTCAGGCGAAGGGAATTGTTGGGAGAGCCGCGGTACCACGAAACCATTGTTGTTGGGGAATAGCAGGCCTCGGGTTTGTATAAGATGGGCTTTAATATTCTCGCTCTACCTAGCTCCTACACTGACGAATATTGTGAGTAACTGTCAGCCTCACCGCAGAGTAGGGGCTACAAAAGCAAGAGGCCGCGATGATCGGAACGTCGACTGCTGAGTATATCTTTATTCGTACCTGCATACTCTTTCTTCACAATATTGCTCCTGTTGGTATCTTGGTCACCATTCGGCTGTTACTCCGTCCGTATCTCCCCCAATTTATTGGTTGCTTTCATATCCCATTTCCCATCGAAGCTTGGCTGGTGATTGAGGCGGTTTTTTTTATTACGGTCTTCCTACCACTCCGATACCGCCTCAAACGCTCTACAATCTATTCTGAACCCCTATCACAAGAGGAGAGAGACAAACTGTTTCGATACTGCAACAGCAATGTGGTGAATCTAGAGGAGTATCTTAGGCGTTGGCTAATGATCGCAAAGGATGGATATATCAAGCGTGAAAATGTCAAGGATTTTATCAGATGGGCGTTCTTTCATACTGAACAGGTACAGGAGCAATATGAGCCTCAAGTCGAAGCTTATACAAGAGAGACAGAGAAATTGTTTGGAAGAGAACTGCCACCTGGAAGGGACAATGCAAAGAGTTTGGGGCAGATTCTAAATGAGTTTGATGGTTTGCATCGCAGTCTCCTATGGTATACCGTCTGTCATATCTGTGCTGACCGTTTTGAAACCCGCAACTTGCTAACCATACTGGTTTCATTAGTGTATCTTTGTAGTTGACACTGCGATGTATTGTGCGATGTTGTCTCATGGATTCAACCCCCACCGCACCTCCCTCCGGCGCTTCTTTACTATCTTTCCTTTCCGTCCCCCCACGTTATTCTCTACTCACATGTCACCGGCCAAACATCTTACGTACTGGCATCGGCAGCATACATCGAAGAGCCGGCTACCGGTGCTATTCATACACGGTATCGGCGTTGGACTGTATCCATATACTAGGTTTCTCGGAGACCTCGCCAAAGAAGGCGCCAGTGCAGATGGCGAAATTGGAGTTATTGCGCTCGAGATTATGCCCGTGAGCTCACGCATCACTCATTTCGCACTGGAGAAAAATGTTATGGTCGGTGAAATCTGGGAAATTGTCAAGTTCCATGGCTGGAGCAGCTTTGTGCTTGTCTCTCATTCTTATGGTTCCATTATCGCGACTCATCTCCTCAAATCCAGTCTCACTGCGCCTCTTGTTGGCCCGACCATGTTTATTGACCCGATCTCATTCCTCCTCCACCTCCCAGACGTTGCCTACAACTTTACGGCCCGCCAACCGGTGCGACCGAACGAACATGAGGTGTGGTACTTTGGGAGTAAGGATATCGGAGTTGCGCATACCTTGGCTAGGAGGTTTTGTTGGAGTGATAATATCATCTGGAAGCAGGATTTGGGTTTAAAAAACGAAGATAACAAGAGAATGGGCAGGGATGTTACTGTTGTGTTAAGTGCGAAGGATCTTATTACGGATACGGAAGCCGTTGGACGTTACCTTATGAGCTCTTTGCCAGATGGAATTGTATCAGAAACAACACTGACCAATTGCAAAACCAAGGATGTGGCGGGAGAATGGAAAACGCGGCCGTGGGTAGGATCAGGGCTTGAGATCCTCTGGTTTGAAGAATTAGATCATGCGGAGGTTTTTAATTTTGAGAAGACCAGGGGACTTGTTATCAAGGCGATATCTGTATACTCAGGTACAGGGTGAAAATATTGCTGGAAACCTTATCAGGTACGAGAGGTCGAATAACCTAGACGATAACACTCTTTATAACAGCTTCAATATACACACGTTTACTAGTCAATATTCTTCCTGAGCCCCTATTCCCCTAAATTTCACAACACAGTCAATCTTAAACTACCATGATTACATAACTTATGGCGTTTGCATTTTGTAATTCATAGTTAACCAGGTAGTCAACTGGATGGATTAACAGCACTATTATTCATCATATTTGTTTTCGCTCTTGTTAATCGAATTGGTGCGTGTGATGGGTACATTCTCACAAACTCGTGGGTAAAACTTTCAACATTGCCTGCGCCTAATACAAGTAAGTAGTCATCCAATCAAGCGATCTATCTCGAAATATAACTGTATCATAGCAGTAGCCAAGGCATTCTGATATAATGCTCCATCTGACTGGATTTCTCGTTAGTGAATATACAGGGCCTGCATCAAAAGCGATATATTGTATACAAGGGGTACATCCTCTTGCAAGATACTTAGACACTTGCTCGCGAAGACAATTTTCGTTATGCTCTATGGCATAATCGCTCCTATTAGTTAAAGTTTGGATATGTAGCACCCGGAGGAGTGGAATCCGAAAGACATGATCCATATAGCTCTTTATCAGAGATTAAAAAAAAAACATCAGCGAGGAATGGCGGTAAAGTAACACATAAAAATCTGAAGCTCATTGGCTTACCAAGTTATGCATTGACAGTCCAAAACCGAATTCCTCCAATAGAGCGCATTGCACACTGATAAACTCTAGACAATTTTGATCAAGACCATATGTTTCTTCATTTTCGTTCCGTGTTAAGACTGAGAGCACCCTCAAAGAAGAAGAATGTAGTCTCGCCAAACAAGCTAGGCATGAAGGTATCACGTGAGTAGCCTGAGGTTGAAGACTCGGTGTGAGACACAGACTCTCTAGTCCAGAAAACGAAGCAATGAATGTGATCAGACTGGTAGACACGAGATTTGTCTTTAAGCCCGTGAGTCTCACCTTACCTGCAGTCAGCATACCCCAAACATTTTCCGGATTCTCTAGCAAGGAAGGAGTCGTTTCCAGTGTGAGTATTTTTAAATCCACCAGAGAAAGGTAGTCCCACATCGGCTGGGATGGTGAATCCAAATCGACAAATCCTCGTAGATCAAGAGTCTTTAAATTCAATACCTTTTGTCCGGCCCAGTCATCAAATGTTGGGCGAAACAGAAGCTGTCTACTTTCATCTGCCCTAAGACTAAGCTCGTCCAAGTTCTTGCTGGAAAATAGAACATTACCAATAGGATGAAGGATAGCGCTCGTATTTATGTGGATGAGAGTCAACGATCGCAGGTTGATATATCCATCCAATCGGAGAGTCGGATGGAAATAAGGAAAAGGGGTGTCATTCGTAGAAACTCGCAGCTGTAAAAGCTTCAAGTTTGAAGCCAGGGAAAGTACAGATATTAGTTGCTGGGTGGGTGTGATATGTGCATCCCAGCTGCAGTTTATGTGTCAGTTCAAAGTTGGTGGGCACCCCAAAAACACGCAATATGGACCTAGCACCCACATGAATTCCCTTAAACCCCACATTTTAGATATACAGGTTGCAATGAGAGCGTTAAACATTCTCACTGCAGGCGATACCATATTCTCTTGTCCCAAATCGGATTCGAGCTGATCGTAGGACCAATACCAGGAGCCTGAAACCATCACTCTCCGGGTGTACTGAGTGAGGTTAAATCCGGGCATGGAGAAGATTTCCAGTCTGTCAAGTAGACGGTCGATAGACAGAATCTGGCCAGACAAATGAAAGCGTACATTGCGGTAGAGGATGGGATTGACAATCCCATTAAAATCTCGACAGACTCTAGTAGCAGAAAATAGGTCATGATGGGAAAGCTGTCACTCTTAGAAATACAGCTTCAAGAGAAGGGCCTTTGAAGCGCATCATTTCATAAAAGGCAATAAATTAAATAAGCAGATGTATATACTTCACGAAGAATGCTGTGCCATATGCCTAGAGATAGGAATATAATCCTACTCATGGTTGTTCTCAATCTAATATTCACTTATAGATTAGCATCAGCGTAGAGACCACCACCCAAATTTCTAAGATTGTGGAGGGGAGGGGAAGGAAAAAAGAAAGAAAAGAAAAGACAAGATATGCTGAATTTTGGTATTACAGTTCTTGAAAGGTTTCCCTATGATCCAGGAGGTAAAGCTAAGGGCATGGGAGGTATGAAATGAACACTTAAGAGGTATCACTTCGTCTTGAGAATCTGGATTTAAGTCACAGTCTGTCCAAGTTAATAATATTGAAGATGATGGAGACCGGGTCATTTGAGGAAAAGAATATTTAATCCCTAGAAAAACATTGGTTGACTTACGGAACCTTGCCGTACTTTATGTGAACCGCTGGGTGACTATGAGAGGAGGTATCATCATCGGATTCATAAGCAGGGAGAAATCGCATGAGTTTCTCCAAGTTCGTTGCCACCAGCTCCACCGTATCCTTTGGACATTTGGCTGCTCATGACCGAATGGCCCTTCTTTTGCTAAGGGGGTCTAGAGCCAGGCCGATGTCTCATTAGCGTTCTTCCAAGGCTTAGCATTGAATCCCATCACAAACCAACCACTGCCTGTTGTGTCGTCAGACCCCCTTCTACTAACAAATCATACGAGGCAAGACACTTGGTCAAATTTTCATTGGTTAATAAGGGATATTAGCCAATAAAAGCTCCCACATTGACCCGCCTTTAAATTACGCAAATTGTCATGTTTGACACCGATTCCTACCCACCGACATGGTCATGCCTCGTGCGACTTCATGGACTCACTCCTGTAATTCACTATTGGCAATACCAACTGTTGAACGGAGGTCTCATATTTACACCGTGTATTTCTACAGCCAAGAAACAATTCTCATTCAACGATTGCTATAGTCAGTCGTACGACAGTCGCTTGAAATCTCGCAACGGCTCTCAAGTGTTTATAGCAACCTGGTCGGTAAATGATGATCCTACGCTCCACACAACAAAGCTTTTCCCGAATACTCCAAAGCTATGGTCCGGTGATAGCGGTTTCTCTTTCTATGTTTCTTTCAGCAGTAATAATAAAGGACATCTGATGGGCACCGCATGCAATCCAAGTCGCCCCGCATGGCAGTCGCATCAGGGTCTGCGACCGACGGCACACCAGAGCACGACAATATAATCCGAACCCATCTTCCTTCCTTATCAACCGATTCTATCACTACCACCTCCTTTTCTGTCGCCAATGACGCATATGTCAACAAGGTCGCCATACCTCGATGGATAAGAGGGGATAAATCAGTCAACGAGGTCAATGCAGAGGTTCTCCAACGAAGCTCAAGGGCATGCGAATCCTGTAGGCAGCGGAAGGCAAAGTGTACCAAGGACTTACCAAGCTGTCGAGCCTGTAATGATCTCCAAGTCTCGTGCTACTACGTGGATGGAAAGATTATGAGGACGAAGAGGTATCTGCATTGTTTCTGTCCCCGCGTTGATTTCCACCAACTAATGAGACACAAGAGAGCTCGACGATATAACCCTCAAGGCTGTAGAGTATGAAAAGTTGCTTCGCGATCTCAGCACAAGAGTAGATGAGATCGATGCCAATCGGATAAGAACCACTTTGGAGAAAGTACCCATAGTCCCCAATATCCACTAGCCTTGCGTCAGCTGATTGCTGCCTTAGTGTATATCGTCCGATGATGATCTTCCAGGACCTGCTGCAGTACCGTCCTCGGACGAAACAGGACGCGATGGGCCTAACAACGATATCGATTATAACTGGTGTACAGATTTTGGATCACTTGGCGCCGTTGACTGTGTAGCTGAAGATTTTAATAGAAATGAAAGGTCTAGGGCATCCGGATACATAGGCAAGGGCTCAGAACTTCACTGGTTACAGCGATTGAGAATAGCATCCGGTGTGACGAGCATTAGACCGCGAGACTTTGACCATCCTTTCCACCATGACTGCGATATGGAGCCGAGCTCGACTTACGAGACCCTCGCTGAGTCGTATGACGGCTTATCCATTGTGTCGTTGAACTACCATCTTGACAATGTTGGAATCAATGTGAACGAGACAATTGACCCTTATAGTATTCCACCAAGGGAATATGCTGATATGTTGCTGAAAGCTTATCTAACTTCTGTGCATCCCTATTTCCCAATTCTAGGGAAAATAACGTTCATGTCTCAGTATAGGAGATTCTACGATCAATCTGGGGTCAAACCTAGCGATAAATGGCTTGCAATCCTTAATATGGTTTTTGCTATATCCGCAAAATATTCCTACATCGCTCGGGTCAACTGGGTCGATAATGACAAGGATCATCGGGTATACTTTACTCGTGCAAGAGAACTCAGCATGAATGGGAAGACTCTGTTTGATCACCCAGACTTACAGCAGGTTCAAATCGAGGGTCTAATTGCTTTCTATTTCCTTACAACTGAGCAGATCAACAGGTGTGTCATTTCTAACCCAAATCGTGCCGGTTTGAAGCTTGTTAACCGGTCCAGATAGATCCTGGAGGGTCTCTAGCATTGCTATTCGCTCTGCAATTGGACTGGGAATCAATCTGAGCAGCAAAAGCACACTTACTTCTGATATCTCCAAGGAGGTGCGATGCCGCGTATGGTGGTCGTTGTATACTCTCGAGCATGTCCTTTGCACTATGACCGGGCGGCCTACTTGCATCAGTGGTGATGTTTGTCTCGCACCTCTACCACTTCCATTCGACGAGGATGATTTTCATTTGCCGAACGTCTCTGCGCTGCTTAGTAACCCTGTGTTGCGTCAGCAATGCATAACCAGCCTTACGACTGGCTTGTTTAGTTGTATAAAGCAATCCGCAATGTATTCACCAGCGTCAATACCTTGTCAGACTGCTAAGGACTACGGGGCACGGTTCGGTTCTAGAATATTAGAATCTATTACTCCAAATAGCTCGCTGTGTTTCCTCTACCTGACCAGTTTAACCTCAATAACTCAAGACATCATCAGTCGACTCTATGTCAGCCATGCTAGAAAGCCAAATTTGGATGAAAATACTATCACGAATGGCGCCGCACAGGTCGATATATGGCTCTCCAATCTTCCTGGCGAGTTCAATTTTACTATTGAACAGACCTCACAGGTATTCTCAAAACAGAGACTGCATCTTGCGTGTCAGTTCTATACCACGAGGATATATCTAAGCTACCCGTGTCTATTCCTTGCCGACCGAACCAAACAGCATTCCACGGGATCATTCCATAACAGGATTGCGATTTTATGCGTTGAGTCAGCTCGTCATGTACTGGAATTGATTCTAAAGCAGCCTAACGCCAGTGAGATTAATGTGCTCAGTCCATGGTGGTGTCTTCTGCATGTAATGGTACAAGCGACAACAGTTTTGCTCCAGGAACTTTTCTTTCATGCAGTTCACATGCCTCATGAGATAGCCAAGATATTCAAGCTGACGAAGAAAGCAATCCACTGGCTACTCCGCATGTCTAATGAGAGCTCGGCTTGCCACCGAGCCTGGGAATTATGTGATGCATGCATGAGACACATCGCTCCTCACATTGGAGTGGAAGTCGACTCTCTTCTAGACGTGGCACAGAACTCCCTCACGAAGTCCTCCCTCTCTGGGTTGCATAATCGGTCTAGTATTACGCAGATGCAGCTTGATATTTCATCTTCTCTGCCTGATATGCTCTACCAGCCATTGCCGGTTCAGCCGCTACAGGAACCAAATCTTGGAGATGCGTGGATTGCACCGGAACCAATACAACAAGATGAGGCTTTGGCCTACGATCTTGCCAGAGAAGAGATTCCTCCATATTTGCCTAATCCCTATGATATGGATTTGTGAGCCTGGAACTTGAATATAACATTTACACTCACCTCCTACCAGTTTTTACTCAGTCTACAGTGGCTAACCTTACGGGTGAAAGTCAAGCATGAATTCATTGTCGTTGTCCCTGTTGCTCTCCCTTTTTCTCCACTGTCCCTTAGCTCCCTCTCCTGGAGCTAAGGGCGGTGGCAATCTTGCGAGCTGTCACAAATCGGCTATTACCCTTTGAGCAGTCGACTCATGGACCTACTCACCCGTTCCAGCATAGCTTCCTGATGTGGGCTTCACAATCGTCCAAAATTTTCATGGTCATATCTCGCTATTTGTTCTCATCAACTCAGGGAAATGGGCCCCCTGGCCCGTGGGGCATTCTCTAGAACGTGCTAACAGATTGGATGAGTATCTTCATACTCACGATACTGCTGGATCAACTGGAAGAGGGGACGGGAATTAGCGGTACTCTCCTTTGACACGATCCCATTCAACTTTTTACTGTGCCTCCTAAGCCTGCGGTTGTGGCGACTCTCGACGCCTTTTTCTAGTTAGCCGCTAGGCCACTCGTCTGTCTGTTCGACCTCTTCTATTCCGAGTCAATCGCTCACAGGGACCGGATACCTCACTTCTGCTGCCAAACCTGGTGGCTCAGATTCATCTGATGCACGATTTTTAGACTTGCTGTCGTCTCGTGGACCTTCCTTGGTTTGATCTAATGGACTGTTAGCTCGCGTGCTATTCATAAATTGACAAAGCCTCCCTCTCATCTTCCCGTCTCTGAATTATCTGCTTCTTCTTGCCCTTGAGCGTATATCGTGCTCGTGCTCGTGCTCGTGCTCGTTGTGTTTCAACCATCGTACCTTGGGTATACGATGCACGGCAGCGATAGCAAAGTCCTCATGTCCCGCCACCACTACTGAAAACAAAATCTCGGCATTTTATAGAACAGAATTGAAGCAACGCACGCTTCTGGCTATGGCCATGATCATATCTGAACGTGCATCAATTGCTACAATCATAGCGGGTGGTGTGGTCACATATGCGTACCAACTGCAGTGTTTCTTTCCGTGCTTCTGGCACATCTCATTGGTTGCATGAGACAGCTCTTCGAGCGAATTTCAACGGCGACCAAGGCCATATGCCTAAATATAAGACAACCACAGAGACAATATTTCAGTTCATCCTTTCACGCCGTCCGAAGTCACTAATGATGGCGTTATCAACCGATTGCCATGCAGTAAATGTCGCGGCATTCTGGATAGGAGCATAGGTGCCGAGTGCCAATTCCGTGGCTGGGTGACAAGCTTTTCTTCTTTTCCAACCGTTTGGGCACAGCTAACGTATTGCGAGCTGCACTATTTACGTGTCATCGTCCCCCATGAGCGCTGTTTCCATTCAAATACCTGCCCGGGGTCCCCTTTCAAATCTGAATCCTACTCCGCGGTCAACTGAATCATTTGTTCCCATGCTTGAATTCCTGGGCTGAATTTATGAAGAGGCTGATTATGATTAAGTATTTGCGTAATCTGGAGTCTTGTTGGGTTGTATCGGTTCTTCGACAGGCGAACGTGGGTCATTGTGTGTGTCCCATTCATGATGGGAGTCATTTCCGACCAAACCTGATACAAAATAATGCAGAGGAACGTGCACGCTAAGATAGCGTCAAAAAGTTAACCGTCTCCACCCATATGTTAGCTGTTCTAGAAAGGTGTGTGCTATAATATGATCTCTTTCCGATTAAGTATCTGTAGGTGTAGCTGTCTAGTGACTAGTTGTCCTCCAAGTTCATTTTGAGGTGCAATCCACATTAGAAACATATTAAATCCACTTTTGTTGCCAGAACTTTCAGGATCTGCCGTCGACAACTTTCACATGGTATGAATCCGAGACATGTTCGTGCGTGAACAGTGTCTAGAGTGACGAAGCAGTAAGGTGGCTGGGAGATACCCACAATTGTGACCCGCTCGCCGAATAATGGGATACGATATATAACAAGGCCAATCAGCATAACGGCTCTTTGAGGTTGAGTTACGTTGATATTATGCCCACAAAATCTTTCTTTTCTAATAACTGTCAAGGGTGCCGTGATACTTTCTTAGATTTCCTAACAAACAGTTCAAATACTTGCCATCATAACTCTCATTTAATATAAGTCCCAACTCACCATAGCACTGAGGTCATCACAACGGGCTTACCCCTCCCCAAACCACTCTATGGTAGTCTGGTTGAAACACGAAGACTGGATAATCATGTACATATTCGAGTGTGGCCACCATCTCGATGGCCCTTCTCCCTCCCTTCCCAAAAGATGTGGATCAGTTGGGCATTATCCCTCGGAAGTGCGATCGAGCTAAGATTAAAGCTCACCTTCAGAACAAGCCGATCAGAGATGAAATCCGACGGATTGACGAGGTCATTATGCAGCTCGCTGATATTTATGACAATAAAAAGCAGAGATCGGACGCGGAGGGGCAGTTTCTAGCACTTCTCGAACACAAGAGGATATTGGGTAGAAAACATAGAATGGAATTGGAGAATCTTCTGAGTAAATTTGAGGGGCGCTGGAGTCAAATGCTGCAGGTGGTCATGCTTCATATTTAATCACGTCTCATCTTCCTTCAAAATAATGCTCTTTAAGTAAATGGCAGTTTCCCGGTTGAAAAGTCCGTATTGGATAAACTCCTATGTCGTTATCCCATTCTGCATAATGCATGAAATGTACCACCGCGACGTCACCTTTGCTGCAAGTCGGTACTCTAAGAGAATCTCACAAGCTTGTCCGGTGTGAATTGCTTCGATGGCGCTGGAAGCTGAGAAAGCTAAGCTTGAGGGGTCAACAAAATGAGCGAGAAGGTATGACAATTTCTCGTTCTGTTCGACAGGACGGCTGTGACTGATTGGTGATGTGGTACGACCGAGGTATGACTTGGAATCTCCAGAGCTTCTTATGGCGCAGCACTGTTACATTTGAAGCGGTGAATGGCCAGCTAATAATCGAACTCACCCTGGCTTCTCTAACGCTCATAACACAGCTGATTCAATTCAAGGTTCACCCGATGGCGCATAGGTCCGACAATCGCGTAATCCAACCCATATTCGACATCAATGTCCCAGCTACCATCACCATACAAATACCTGGCTTCCGCCTTAAAGATGCAGAATAGGACGCGTTATCCGCATGACTAATGCATCTATCCAAAGAGGATAGTCCATCCACACCCTAGATGAACTTAACCCTATAGGTCCACTTCCATCAACTCCGGTTTGTATTCTATCTTATGATAATAACTCCCTTACATCATTAATACGATCTTTTCATGTTTTGCTTGTGCGAAGGTGGCCTCTACAATATAGGCCTTATATATGCAATTGGAAATTCAGACCCAAAAACGTATGAACATATAGTACTCTCTAACGGATGTCCCTTGAAGACGGCTACTCTCAATGACGATTACCTAACACTACCCCCCCCCCTCCCCGGACCACCGGACTTTTTGATGACGGGCGCATCACTTGTTAAGGGTCTGGCCTAAGTGTACTCGGGATTCGCTCTGGGAATCATTGTCGGAGTTCTGTATTCTTTACATAAAATCCGGAGCTTATTATATCTGGAGCTCTTATGTTCCTGCTCAATTTAATTCTACTCAATTCCTGTAGTTAGTTTAGACAGTAATATCGATGAATGACCAATTAGGGCTATCGTTCGCTACAGAGAAATAGCTCTCAATATGTGAAGAGTTATAAGAAACTCAAATCATATATCTAATGTCTATGACAATAAGCACACACATGCGGACCTTTTCCAGGAGGTAGACATGGAAGTGGTCGGCTACGTCGCTATGAGTGCTTCAAATATCCATGGAGAATGACAGTGCCCTGTGTAAGATATGATATTAGCCGTCTCACTGACCTATTCTGGAGAATGGCGATCTAGCGAACGCATATTCTTACGCAGACCATATTGCCGACTGGGAGCGGTATCCTCAGTAGGTTGCAGCGATTGAATAGGGCGCGGTTTTCAGGTAACCATATCTTTGCAGGTGACGAAATAGCAAGTGGAAACACAATAACATGGTAAGTATGCTTGGAACGCATCGTTTCTTCTTTCTTCCCAGAAAATCTCGTCTGGGGAGACAAATATCAATGCATAATGACAGAAACTTGGAAGGAGAGAGGAAAGAAACCCCAAAAATCCCAATTATGTAGCCCATAGGTTAGAAGTACTTCGTATTGTGTAATCGCCGAAGCTAAAACACGGAGGATTCGTTGTGTAATAGTCCAGACCGTTGAAATACTCTTCACTCTGAGTGTCGGTACAGTAGTGTATTTTTCACACAGGCTTTATCCCTGGCGTATTATGGTAGTCTCGTATCTCAGAATCACTTTTGACAATGCTATTAGCATTTGAGAATTACTGACGAGCAAGATGGAGCATACATTATCCTCTTCCATGTATTAGCTGACAAGTCGGCATCGTTGAAAGCCAATTTGAACTGTCCTCTTGAAATAGGTTCATTGACCGGGTCGTGGTACTGGATAAGATACTTATAAGTAAGAGCTTGATATGCACAAACTCTATTTCGCGGGTCGAAGATAAGCATATTACCGAGGAGGTCAACAGCTGTCTCGTCAATGTCAAGATCATCCGCGGATCGTAGAGAGCTTACCCAATGGATCAGCACTTTTGAATTTGTTGCTAAGCGATCGGCTCTCTATTTTTGGTAAAGAATGAACAAACGTCAAAGTCTATGTCATGGTGAAGGTTAACCATAGGTCACAGTGATAGGGGATTCGGCTTACATTCTGGCCCCAGAGGTTTCGAATTACATCGTCAGGAATCGCCCCTAGAAGCTCAGTGATACTCGAGAATTGACACCTATAATCTTTCCCTGGGAGTAGCAGCTTTCCTTCCAACATCTCTGCTAGAATACAGCCTGCGCTCCATATATCTACGCCATTGTCATATTTCCCTCCATTTAGCAGAATCTGGGGAGAAGAGGGGTGACCGGTGGAATGGTAATCTCTCTTTTCGGGCATGATGCGTGCTCGACCAAAATTTGAGATCCTCAAATCGCAATGTTCATCAACAAGTATATTGCTTGGCGAGAGGTTACAATGGGCTATTCCTGCAGAATGGATATACTTCAGGCCACGCTGCAATCCACTCAGTTATTTAAGTCTTCCTAGAAAGACCAGTATTAGGAGGCATACCAGTATCTGACATAGGACGTGCTTCACGGTTTTGTTTTCAAGAGTTTCAGAAACAAGAATGCTTTCAAGATCGGTTCCGACAAACTCTGTAATGACATATCTATAATTGACAGTGGACATTGGTGGAGTGAGACATGGAGACGGTAGCACGAATTAGGGGTGGCAGAATTATGACTTACATATTCTTACTGGGTGACATAAAAACGTCCCTTAATACGCTAACCTTCAGGCTATCAATTTATACCCGTATTCAACTTGTATTCAGTGGACAAACATTTTTATGCTGCAGGTGCCTTAGTACCTTGAGCTCCCGATATGCCTTCTTAGAAGTCATAATAGAGCTAAATGGCTTCGTCATCTTCTCAACTGCAACGATTTGACCACTCCGTTGATCTTTAGCCGAACTAGACTTTGCTGGTTAATCATAGCAGTATAACCTATCGGATCCGGATTAACATACCAGACAAGGCCTATTCTGCCAAAGCGAACATGTTGTAGATGGGTGTATCTGACTGACTATCAGCAGGAGAGATCACCACTTGACGAACATTCGATATGTACCTGTTTGTGATCTCAAAGGCTGTGTCAATAGCATGGGAATAGATGAATTCAGTCATGATGACGGTAATACCCACAGGAATATAGGTATAATGCAGGGTAGGAGACGGCAATAGAGGTGTAGAAACATTCAAAGAGGTGGTAATAATGCAAGGATTATGCCTTAAAGCCGAGGACTCACCATCCCACGCACTTCATGTCCCAGACCTTATCTTCTTATTAGTTAGCCCTACCGTCTCTTTTCATTCCACGAATCACCCGATATGTTTGGTTCACAAGATCAATGCACCATTTATAATGGGCTAATGCATTAGGTGTATCCCTAGTCAACTAGTTATCTGTCCGTATGTAGCTCGATGTGGAAGCAAATACGTGATTGGCTGAGAAAATATCCGTCTATCAGCGTCGATCTTTTGGATAAGCTGTAGAGGTGCCGTGAGTGATTGGCACCACCTGTGGGCTACAGAAGCTCCATGGAGATTATAGCCCTTCCCATGTGATAATCTACGGTGACATCAAAACTGAACATTTAATAACAAGATGACAAGCTGACATTTCAATCACTACTACCATCAGTACTAAAATCGCAAAAACAAGAACAAGCCTGATCAGTGGGCAGATATTCTGCCACGTAAAGTAATTAATTCAATCTAGTTCCTTACCAACTGTCCTGATCTGTCCCCCAATATCTCTCTCCATTCCAATGTTTTCCAGACTTTGTGTGGCGCATTTTTAACATCATCCCACGCAATCAGGTTCTCAGTCATTCCGGTCAGGTCTTCCTGCTCCCTGGACCACTTCTCACTCTTCCTAACCTCAGCACCGGAACTAATAACTACAAGTGGCGTCTTGGGGACAATATATTCTGAGCGCTTGAAATCTCTCTGTAAGTCATGAGCTCTGCGACCAGATTCTCCTGCAACTTCGCTTTGATGAATTTCCTACCGATATATGTGTACTTGCCGAAGACGCGATCCTCTCTCGTATAGTGCTTAAAAATTGTGCACGTGAGTAACCATGTGCTCTCTGAGAAACCGCCAGTAATATCTTAATCAGAGGAACTCGGATCTGACCTTGAGGATTCTGACTCGAACGCAGAGCCGGATACTGATAATGAAGATTCAAAAGACTATTGGGAGTACACACGTATGGTGGCGCGTCGTATGGATTCTTCTAGTCGTAAGATGGTAAGAGTTAGGTGGAAATATACGTGGGAGCCTGAGGATGAGCTGAATGGGTTAAAACCAGCGTTACAACTTTACGCAAACAGGGAACGGCGAGAAAAGCAAAGCTCAAAGGAAATACGTCTGAAATGTGGGGCAACCAAGCGCAAGTTTCTTGCATAAAAGCGCAAGAGGATTGCCAGGCTTGATTATCTCTAGCGATATCTCGCAGTAAATATGAACAAGATTATGAACGAAAGGTTATCTTAGTGTATAGATACACAAAATTATATATTATCCCAAAGACTACTTTGTCAATATGGCATTATTACTATATATCTGGTTAGGGCTAAACTTTCGCATGTAACGTTCTGTAGTAAGCATCTTCTTCTCAATTAATAAAGCCTTTTAAGAATCCTTTATTAAATTCTTTTAACTATTTATAATCACTTCATTATATTATACTACCAAATAAAATCATAATATCATTTTATAGCAAATATATAGTAGATAAAAGCCCCTTAATCAGATCTATTTTATTTTCGTGTAATATCAACTTTTTTTTTAGTAAATATGATTAGATAATATCCTAAATTTGTGATAATATATCTTGCTAATTCGTAATAACTAAAATTAAAGAGTTTCTTAATTAAAAGAGATCATCTCTATTTTAATAGCCTAGTACTAGATGTATCGATTTTGTCTTAATTAAGTGATATTGATAATCTATTATGGTCTGTCGCAAAAGTTCTCTCTTTTTTTTTTAACTAAGTATTAATATACTATTAACAGACTATTTGAAGATGAGGTTAAGTCATATAAAGACTCTTGAAATTGTGAGAAAATGTAGTGAAGAAGTATAAAGGATATGGTTGTTGATTGCCAACCTAGTAAAGCCGAGATATGCTCCATCTTCACACTCACGAAAATATTGTCCAGATGAAGATCTGGATGTGAGGTAGTTTGAGTTCTCTCGCCTTCTGAAAATGCACTGAATTCTATTTCATCTTTAATTGCTTAATACCTGATAGCGTATGTTGAAAATGGAGGAAGTAAAGTAATTTCTGCAGGTACTGATGAGCCTGAGAAGCTAAGTCTAAAGGAAGCCATGCTAGGCATTAACATCGGTTCCATAAGCCTCTCTTTTATGTTGCATTGAGTATTGACAGTTTTGCAATGTAGAATAATACTGTGATTCAGATCAATCGAGATATTATTGATTGATGTCAGTTTTAAATTGGACTCATGGAAGAGACGTATCACGTGATCCGTCACCCAGGCAACGCGTCAACCCACTCGCAGCGTGGGAAGCGTCATCACTAACTTCGAGATGGAAGCCGAAGCTAAATCATTAATTCGATCTCAGTTGCACTTAGTTACTACTGCTAAGTAACTGTCTATCCAGATAAACGAAATTTATCAAACATCTCCTACCGCAGCAATCGACAATCACACTCCATTTAAAATCGAGGAATCCCCCGCCCACACAAGCAAACACCTTGGTACATACCATCGCCAAATTCCTAGACTGGAATTTGCGATAAGAAAAGCCAACTTGTACCGAGCTCTCAACAACAAATACGTCACAGCATGGCCTCCTTTATGAATACCATGTACGTTCATCCATCTCCCCCCGCCTCTTCTTAATCCAGAACAATCACCAGCGTTTTGTTTCACAATGGCGCAATTCCGAACCTCCCTTCTTGCCCCTACATCCATCAACCATTCCGAATCGACACAGACAATCAACGCCCGTCGTTACTACATCCCCTCCGAACCCCCCTCCTACCTCTCGCCAGCCGTTCGAGCTCTCAAGGGGAGTTTGTGTGTACTAACACCACCCAGCAACGCGCGCACCAAGGGCCCATTCAAACCCCGTTCTGCGACCAGGGGCACGAGCAGTTACCAGCTTAGGCGATTTGCTGAGGAGACGCTGGGAAGTGGGAGTTTGCGGAAAGCAGTCAAGTTGCCGGAGGGGGAGGATGTGAATGAGTGGCTGGCCGTGAATGGTATGCCCCTTATAAATTCAAGGACGAATTTTGTTGTACGACATGGCTGACGGAGAGGCGATAGTGGTCGACTTTTATAACCAGATAAACCTGCTTTATGGCTCGATTACAGAGTTCTGTTCGCCGCAATCCTGTCCCGAGATGAAAGCTACAGATGAGTGCGTTGGTGCAATTCATAATTGGGATCTGGATCTTTCTCTAAACGTGCAATAGATTCGAATACCTCTGGCAGGACTCCGAAACATACAAACGGCCAACCAAAATGTCTGCTCCGGAGTATATCGAACACCTGATGGCCTGGGTGCAAGGAAACATTGACAACGAGCAGATGTTTCCCAGCCGAACTGGTACTTTCTACACACTGCCTCTATACACGATAACAAACAAGTCACTAATACAGTAGTACTAGGTGTCCCATTCCCGAAAGCATTCCCCTCGCTGATTAGACAAATGTTCAAACGCCTGTATCGTGTCTACGCACATATTTACTGTCATCATTACAACGTGGTACTAAACCTCGGCCTCGAGCCGCATCTCAACACCAGCTTCAAACACTATGTTCTCTTCATCGATGAACACAATCTCTCGAGTGGTAAGGATTTCTGGGGTCCGTTGGGCGATTTGGTGGAGAGTATGTTGCGGAGTGATTAATACTTGTACTCTACGCATCTTTCTGTTGATCGGTGGAGGGTTGATTGCATAAATAATTCGAGTTTGGCGTTAGGCATATTGGGCTTGTATTTTCTATTTTCTATTTCGATTTTCGACTTGAATACGATCTTATCCACGGGATATCCGTTTCTGTAGGACTAGGATGGGCATTATGGTTCACATATGTAGTATTAGGGTGTATTATACAATTCTACTGAATTACGAGATATCAACTAACATCAATAGCTATATTGAATGTAGTGTGTATAGTATATACAAAGGAAATATGTCGATTCTGCTAACAATAATCTAAAAATCCGACAGAAAGAAAAAAAAATACACGATGCAATACATGTAGTACATCAATCAATCCATATCAAAGTATAGTATTCTCTTCGATATGAATGTTGTTCGAGTACTTTTTGGTGGATGATATGTGTACCATAAAATCTTCTGCTAGGCTAATTTACAGTGCATCGGTGAGGGCCTTGTTCAGGCGGTTGATCTTGGTCGAGACGCTGAGGTCGATAGTGCGGCCACCAACTTCGACGATCAGACCGCCGACGACATCGGGGTTGACCTGAGAAAAAATCAGCATCAGCATCTTTGCTACACGTGGTGTATGTATTATCTGAGGGACATAGACATACCTTGGGGACAACCTTGAGTTTCTTGCCCTGGCTGAACTCAGACTTGGCCACAGCCTTCTCAATGCGTTGGATAGTCTTGGTATCAAGTTCCTACACAACCCATAACCTCATTAGCCTTGCCCTCCCTCTCCTTATTATTTTTCTTTTTGGTGGACATACCTGAGCACTGGTAATATTCAACTCAATCTCACCCTTGTGCGCACTAATCAACGTCTCAAACTTCTCAACCACACCCTCCAACAGCCCCAATCGATTGTTCTCCGCAAGGGTATTAAGGAAGTTCTTCAGAATCTCGCCCTTGTCGGCTCCTCCCGCGACTTTCTGCAATTCCTGCACGATCTGTTTCTTATCGCCGACGCTGAGGGTAGGCGCGTTCAGGATCGTGGTGAGTTTGGGGTCTCGCTGGAATACTTCGCCGAGTTGGGCGAGTGCTTTGGCGACTTGGTCGAGAGACGAGGTTTTGGCGGACGCGGTGAACTAGAAATTTAGAGAGAGGGTTAGTGTGGTGGTCGGTCGGTCGGTCGGTTTGGGATGGTTGGGTATTCTGCAATTGTGCAAGCCAAGGGGAGGAAGGTGTACCAGAGCACTGGCATAAGTGCCATCAACGCCGTACAAAGCAACAGGAGGGCGCGTGTCTGGCGCAGCAGCAGCAGCGTAACTCCTCAAGCCAGTTGCAAAGGCCGATCGGGAGAGTTGGAAGTTGGAGGAGGCACGCAGGCCGGCGCGGGCGACGCGAGAGGACAGCATTGTGAGAATTGAAGACCGTTCCTAATGAGAATAGAAACAAATGCAAAGTAGAAAAAAACAAGGCGAGCCGGCAATGGCGTCTTGCGGTTCAAGGAAGCTTGGTGAGGAGTTCGCTGGTTGGCATCCCGAAGTTCTTTGGCGGTTCGCATTGGGGGTCACGTGATCAGGGCGGCACCCGAAAGTTGCCGCAGGTTATGCTTTTCGCCAAGATTTTCATACTTCTCCAATTGATACAGTGATTCATGCACTGGTTGATGACAGTGGGAGTGGTGTGAAAAACGTTAATTTGCACTAAAGTGTATTATTGGATAGCAGCTTCATCAATTTCTTGCCAACTCCATTAAATCACCTAAATATAGATTCGATAATATCCCCGTCTACTAGACATCACAAATTTGCAGCCATCTTTTCTATATACTAGTGTATATTGTATATACCATCCCTTTATAATTAAGACCAATAGTATACTGTTTAATGCCCATTTGTACCGTTTGCATCTAGCTGCGCCTCGAATTCATCTTCATAGGCAGCAAGCGACGTGCGGCTCCGCACGCGGTTGAGTTGGTCCGTAACGTAGTTGTTAAAATGCACATTGGTCTCGTGGGTTGGAGCTGCAGAGGCGTCATAAGACTGCGCGCCGTCTTCGCTCTCTTCTGCGTCCCCATTCAGCACCGTTTCAAAGTCACTGCGGTTTCCGATTGAGCGACTCGTTGATGAGCGCCGGAGTAGTCGGCTTTCGGAGGGCCGCGTCGGTTTGGTGGAGCGAGAGAAGATGTCGTCGAAGTAATGCGCTGCGGCAGTAGATGGGGTGCGCGGGGTTTGGGGAAGGCGGCAGTTCAGGCTGGAAATGTTAGTTGTGACACAACGAAAGTGACAGAGAGAAGGGGAAAGGAATACCCTGTATCGTGGATGATTTTGGCGAGAAGTCCCGTCCATCCACACTGATGAGTCGCTCCCAATCCTCGCCCAGTGTCGGCGTCGAAGAATTCGTAGAACCACAGGTAATCCTTCCAGTGCTTGTCAAAGTCAAGGAGGTCGTTCCCATTGTTGATTGCACGTCGGCCATCATAATCCCTAGCATACAGATGCTGCAAGCGATGTTGCAGCTCCTCTGCAACATGTCCTAGATGCATGTAATCTCCCGAACCAGTAGGACACTCGACCTTGAGCGAATCACCATAGAACATATAAAAGCGGAGCAAAGATTCAATCAGTAAGAAATTCACACAGATCCAGATCGGGCCACGCCAATTACTGTTTCCACCAAACAACCCGCTGTCCGAATCGCCCGGAACGTAGCCAACTTTGAACTCCTGGCCATTGACATGCATTGAGTACGGGTTCTTTTCATGGTATTTGGAGAGAGATCGGATGCCGTGGTCAGAAAGAAACTCGGTCTCGTCTAGCATTCGTCGGAGGATCTTCTCGAGACGATCTCTGCTGACAAGAGCAAGGAGGAGACGGTCATCTTTACCGCGTCGACGCATGCTGGCAATATTACGCTCGGCGACGTCGGTTTTGTTATCAATGAACCAGTTCAGTCGGCGTCTGAATGAGGGGAATTTGTTGATGATTTCAGGTTCGAGAGTGAGTACCGCGTACAATGGGATCAACCCGACTAGCGAGCGCACTGGGAGTTGCTGTGTCCAAGGACCTCCATGTGAGATGGCATCATAGTAGAAGCTTCAAGAGTCAGCATTACCTCATCAAGGATAAATTAATGAACTTACCAGTCCTCTTCATTCCAGAGAGAAGCTTCTCCGTCCTTGTTTCTGAATGTCATGGCATCACTGATCAAAATGAAGTGCTCGAAGAATTTCGATGCAACTGATATTGTCAGTAAAGTCTCTCAAAAAGCTGGTCATGACTTACTATCTTCGTAGGTACGGCGGTGTTTGGCAAGTTCAAGAGCAATATTCAACATATTGAGACAGTAAAAAGCCATCCAGCCGGTACTATCAGCCTGCTCCAGCACACCACCGGTAGGCAGCGGCTCGGAGCGGTTGAAAAGACCGATATTATCTAGACCCAGGAAGCCCCCTCGAACACATTCTTCCCGTCTGCATCCTTACGATTAACCCACCACGTAAAGTTCAGAAGCAACTTTTGAAAAACACGCTCCAGAAAGTCGAGATCCTGACGACCGTACATTTTCCGCTCGATCTTGAACGTGCGAAAGACAGCCCAGGCATGCACAGGCGGGTTCACGTCGCCAAAGTTCCACTCGTAGGCTGGCAGTTGACCATTGGGGTGCATGTACCATTCTCTGGTCAGCAGATCGAGCTGCTTCTTAGCAAAGTCGGGGTCGACCATGGAGAGCGGGATACAGTGAAAAGCGGTGTCCCATGCTGCAAAGAATGGGTATTCCCAGGAATCAGGCATTGACAGTATGTCATCTAGATACATATGTCTCCATTGCTGGTTGCGAACGTTCTTTCGGCCTGGAGGAGGAGGGACTGTGTTTGGATCACCGTTGGCCCACTGGTCCCAGATAAAGTGGTAGTACTGCTTGGTCCACAACATGCCCGACAGGGCTTGTCTTTGAATGTTCCTAAGGTCATCAGCAATAGGCAGAGGGCTGATTCGGTAGTAAAAGTCATCTGCTTCGTCCTTGCGCTTGTCAATTACATCGTCGAGCTCCTCTTCGTTGACATATTCCTCATTTTTCCTAGAGAATCGGAAGCGCACGACAACGCACTCGCCTGGCGGAACACCATCTCCCTCATCAAAAGCATACCAAGCTGCAAATTTAGTTCCCTCGTTTTCTGGATTGACAGCGTCTTTCTCCTCGTCAACGATATATCGGTGGAATGCATCCTTGACATAAGGCTGATCATTCTTGGTCCCCCACAAGGTTTCATTATTCGAGTCATTTTCAGTGAAGAGCAGACGGGGTTGAATATCGTCGTCCCCGCCATTAAACGGCGGCGATGGCGAGAGACGCACGTAGCGATCGCCGAGACGATGATGCGAAGATTTGACTAGCAGGGGGGTTGCCTGTTGGATCAGAGGCTTCTTCTCCTTATCCTCCCAGCCCCAGGCCCAGGTATTTCTGTACCAGACTTGTGGAACAATGTGCAACGGTGCTGGCTCGGGTCCTCTGTTGTAAGCAATGACTCGGAAAGACAGCTCCTCTTCATCGTCTCCTTCTTTGGCAGTCTCGATGAAGATATCCCAGTAACGGTTCTCGGCGAAGACACCAGTGTCGAGAATCTGGTATTCATGGTCTTTCTTTCCCCGACGGGCGTTCTCGTCAATGAGATCCTGGTAGGGGAACTTCTTCTGGGGGTACTTGTATAGGTACTTCATGTAAGAGTGCTATAAAATATTAACAACGTCCCCAATACCGTTAACAGTGGAAATTGGGAACGCACCGTAGGCGTATTATCCAGATGGAAATGACACTCCTTGATACTCTCGCCATGGTTTCCCTGCGGGTTCGAAAGACCAAACAGCCTTTCCTTCAAAAAATCACTACCGAAATCAGCGTCATCTCTAGGAACCAATGACATACGTACTCTTTCTCATTCCAAAAGGAAAACCCAATATTAAGCTGACCATGACTGTCACAGACCCCGGCTATACCATCCTCGCCCCATCGATAAGCTCGCGAGCGAGAGTGGTCATGCGAAAAGTCTACAGCAGATCAGCAATTACTTCAAACCAAGAATCCGGGTAACGCACGACTCCATGCATCGCCATTTTCCCTGTCATTCAATTAGCTTAAAAACATTGAAATGTTCGCACGCATTGACTTACGAGTAGTCCTCCCGCACTGTTTGGTGGTATGGTCAGCAAGAACTCGGAATGTATGACGCCATTGACTGCAGCGCGGGTGCAGTATCAGCTATTGCAGTATGGAGAGAAGACGCACCAGTCGCCCATTGTCTTTCGGCGACATAGGGACCCCATTTCTTCCAGTACCGGACTCGCGTGCGATCCTCCTGCAGCCTCCTCTCCTCCTCCGACAGGTATTCGTGGTCGTCGACGATCACCATGCTGGCGGGGTAGTCGATTGACAGCACAGTAGCACAGCGCACAGCAATAGACGGCAGACAGCACAGCGGGGGAGCTGTGTAGCTGGCAAGCACACAGGTAAAGAAATAGAGAATAGAGGATAGAAATGGGATAGTTGATAGCTCTAGAAAAGCTTTTAAAGAAGCTGCGCGATGTAGTCAGCGGCGCCGGCAGGAGAGGGAAGCGCGGCTTATCGATAAAGCAGGGACCCGCCCAGAGTTCCTTGATTTTGCAGTCTAGACGGGTCGAATGGCGCTGCAGCGGCTTTCCGAATGCAACTTTCCGGCTGCTCTACTACTTACTATATATGCAAACTGCATCCTGCATGCTGCTATTGCTGCCCAAGACATCGTATCGCATGCGGCCGCATGGGACTATTCGGTATATACATATTAGTAATCGGGATGTGCTACAATTACTAAATCAAATATCAATTGATATTCCGGAATGTCCATTGACAAGTGCAGCAACATAGGAGATAAGCGAATGCGGTGTCTCGACCAGCTACATATGTAAGAGATGTAAACGAAGATGCGGAGGAAATAATAGGGCCTGCCCGACTCCTGGAGCTCCTTCGCCATGGGGATTGCGACAAGACAGTGACGATGGCTAAATGTATTCAAAGTCGAGACATAGGCGGCGTCATAGCCAACGGCCGTTCAACAGTCGATGCTAGCCGTTGCTTTCATAACACAACGGCGGAGAGCTTGACAGTATCACACCACGTCAAAAAAAGCCTCTCCTACGCTACCAAGCCATGCTGTACAAGAACTATCAACAAACAAAAAAGAAACATATCGCCCAGAATGCACGAGTCGGAGTAGAAAAAACAGATGGGTCCAACTCAGAATTAATATATGTAGCTCCCGCTCATGACGTCTCCTTTGCCTTGCCGTGGTCCTCTCCCACATCCAAGTCGTGAGAAGTGGCAGCGGAATCTGTAGAGCCTTGATCAGATGAATGGCCGTCGGAGAGGGCCGACGATGTGGGAGATTGGGGCCCTGCCAGCTCGGTCTCACCTCGTCCTTCCTGGTCTGCAGAGGAGCTTCCGCCTCGGCCGTTGGCTTGCGACGATGGCTGCTCGTCGCTCTTGTCCCTGTTCAGCCGCTCCTCGGCCTCGCGGATCTTGGCCTGTAGAGCTTCCAGCTCTCGGGCTTGGATGGTCATCATCTGTTTTCTGCGTGGCGACAAGTCAGCATCTCTCTCGGCTGCGATGTGTCCGTGGCGATTGTGTGCGTTTTTGTGGGCGGTGTCGTTCGTCGTGGACAGATCATAGATCATCGCACTTACTTCTGTTCAATAGACTGTGTGAGATGGTCGACATCACTGTCAAGCATGAATGCATTATCAAGCGCGAGAGAGAATGCCTGGGCCATGGTTCTAGTTGCAACGAGGTTAGCTGTCAGTGGGAACACAGTATTGAAGACTGGACTAGACAGGACAGGATGTGACGGAGGGGATATAATATAAGCAACATACGACTGAGGCCGGCGAGGATTGGGCTTCCATTCCTGCTCCGTGTCCGACATGGTTATGACGTGCCGTTTCCTTGGCGATTTGTGGTATGTGTTGAAGAGTTTCAATCCGGTATGCTCTATCGCCAGAACAGCAGCCAGCCGGGTTGATAACGCTCACGATCGCACTGCGCTGTGCTGCGCCTCGGTTGACTGACGAACGAGGCCGTCTGTAGTGGAATCTGCCGGTCGCACAGGCTGCGGCAGTTTCCGAGATCGAAATCGCTGTGTTGAAGCTGTTGGGAGATGAGGCTGAGGGGGCGAGGCTGTCAGGCGGGGTGACCAGCTTATTGACAGTTGACCCGATCACCAGAGGCACTGCAGCAGTATATTGCAGGTATTATGATTATTAGTCGAGCGAGAATCGCAATCAGATATCTATAGGAGGAAACTCTTCTTCTGTGTGCCCTCCACGCACGGAGAAATAGTGACAGTCGCTGTGACAGGCGTGTTACGGCCAGGAGGAGGATGGGTGGGTGGCCCTGGCGTCTTTGAAGGTAAATAATTGCGGGACAGGACAAGAGATTGGCGCTTGATCCGCAAACCAGCAAACCAGCGCGCGACACGGGGGTCCACCAGGGAGTATCAGACTATCGGCATTGGATCATATTGTCGGGATTTGTTGCTTTATATTATTCTCGACTGCTGTTCATCTGATTGTTGTCTACATTGCAGGCTACTGATGGAGTCATGCTATTGAACGGCCGCAAGGCTTGCCTATGCACTGTTGACATTATTACCTTGCGGAGGCGATGGAATGACGCTGTCAATCACTACCAATTTGGACTTCAATAGGGGTAGCCTGGTAGTAAGGGGCAGGCTAGTGGATTCAGGAGGTAGGGCACTGTGCAGACAAGTTGACAGTGGACGCAGTGGCGCCTGAAGGCTCGTGCTGGACCCGTCGTCGGTTTAAGGGGGAGACTCACAGACCCGACTATCCGTCCGTACATCATGATCGCAGCTCATACTATCCTATCCGTACTTGTAATTAGAATGTAGAATCACGGAGACTCTGCCGAGGCGATGTTGTTACCGACTAGCTGGTTGGCGGCGACAGTAGATCGGCAGGACATAAAACTATTAGAGGTAATTAGATTGTACCGAATATACACGAATATCTAAGATGTTGCATAGCAAAGGTTACAACAAAGACAAGACGGATCACGTGCCCTGGCGGCTGCCATTCGCCGAGCCGGTCGCTCCCTTCCCAGACCAATTTTTCGCCTACCAAGTTACTTTTGCTTGGTACAAGATGATGCCACATTGAGCTCACTACCGCCGTCCATCAAATCAAGCCGACTTCCCATCAAGTACAGTCGCTGGATCACTCCCGGCCAGCGCTGAGCCCCCGTCGCGTCCTCCGTACCTAGTGCGCGTCCACTCGCATTCGACGGTCGGCCCGGCTCCCTGCGCGCTAGACTCGTGTTGAAGCTATTCGCACTCGCTATGCATGTCTGCAAATATTAATCAATATTCAACAGCTTCGCTTCAATCCTCATCGTGGCTCCCATAATATCGAGCCGTTCCGACAGGCAAGGAATGCCGCCGCTGTCGGCTTACACGCCTTTTGAATCTCTTCTCTTCTTCCAATGTCTTGCCTCGCTCGCCAGCCAGCCCGTTAACTTTTCCGCCATATCGGATACCCTGTGCAAAAATCAGTTTGTGAAGGAAAATGATGCCTTTGATACGAGCCGTCTGAGCCCCGAAGCTCTAGAGGACCTCTACACGACTTTGCTGAAGGAAGGGGTTGACGGGAATTCTAGTATTGGTAGTGCTGAACCCAACGGCCATGCCCAAGATGCTGCCAATACGAACTCAAAGAAACGCAAGATTACGAGTGGCAATGCAAGCGCCGTTACGGCTCAGCAAGCAAATGCGACAATCCTACCGGGACTGGTCACCCAGCTCTATGCTCGGTATAAAGATAGAGTGACCAAGGAAATTCGAGATGAAGAGAAGAGATACAGGGAAATTCGGGAGGAGATTGATAGGCTGCAGAAGGAAGAGCTTGAAAAGCCTGCTGAACCGACCGCTGCAAAAGAAGTATTGCCAGGTCCTGCAAAAGCTGTAGCTACTCCGAGCGGTGATGAAATCCAGGTCGATGAGAAATCAGATGTTAAGCCCAAGGCGACACCTACACCCGTGGCTGCCAATGTTCGTCAGGAGGGCCAACGACAGCAGGAACCTATCTCCATTCCGACGCATGCTGCAAAGTCAGATGTACCACCCGTTCCTCCCACCAAGGCGCAAGAACCTGTTCCTCCATCAAAACCAGAGGTAGTCAAACAGCAAGAAACACCTCCAGTCGCACCAGCACCAGCTCCACCAACCACCGCACCCCTGTCGCAACTGCAACCTCGTGTTCCAACTCCCAGGGAAGGCCCTGTTGATATTCATCCTGTCCCTACGTCCAAGCCCACCCCTAAAGCAGCGCCATTAAATGGAAAGGCACAACCTCTAGCGCCACAGCCACCAGCTCAACATCCGCATGTACAGCAAAAAATCGAAGTTAAGGTCCCGCCGCCTCCCCAATCGACTCGACCACCGTCGCAAACGCCGTCACGTTCAGGACCTACGCCGAGCCGTAACCAGCCGGCTCTTCCTCCAGGATCAACTATTGTCTTTCAAGCACACCAAGGGCCGAGCTTACCGGCTACTCCGACTCAACGCCATATTCCTCCGCCGAGCGCGCGCCAAATAGCCCCTGTTCCTACTGGTACTCCAATCGCCCCGAACATTCCGCCAGGGCAGCAGCAATTTCAGCAGTGGTCGCCTCATGCTCAGCTTCCTTACCCAGCTGGTACTATTCATGCACCCATTCCACACGGCACTCCTCATGGTCCTCCACATGGCCTACAAATGGCGCAAAACTCTATGATCCCTCAGCAAGCACAATTTGCCCAGTCTAGTGCTGGAAAGCTGGTCCCAGCTCCAATTCACGGCGCATCCCCAATCACTCCTATTCCAGACCTTGCACAGGTCCCTCCACAGACCCCGCTTCCAGGAACTCCGTCTTTTCATACAGGCGTCAAACAAAAACCACCCCGTCCGTCTATGGATACAGTTGGGTCCCTGACACCGTGGAAACGCACTCCAGGCTTGAGCATCAATATCCCGGAAACACCTGGATCTCCGCCACGACCTAATCCTGCCGATGTCAGTCCGATCAGCGACAGAGCACCGTCACCAATCGGACTTCCCGAACCTACGGCTAAAGAACATGAGCGAGGGAAGCGCGGTCAAGCAGAAGGTGAAAAGCCTCGTCGTGGCAGGAAACGAAGCGTTCCACCCCTTGACCTAGAGAAAGTAGAAGCAAAGAATGAAAGGGCGGTAGCAGCTTCCAAGGCAAAACGAGCCGGTAGCACTACATCGACCAGAGCTAGGGCAAGATCTGGAGCCTCTCGAGATGAGGACGTTGCCGAAGTACCTGCGTCACGGAAAATCAAAGACGAGGCACCGGCGACTCCCGCTGGCATTTCGGATGACACTGAAATGGAGACGAGGATAGGAATGCAACGAAAATCAACTGTAATTGGGCGAAGTGACGAGGGCAGCCAAGGTAGAGGCCGCCCAAAACGAAAACGCGGTGTTAGCGAATCCCTAGACACAGACAACATCCAACCCGCACTCGGTCGTCCTTCTGCCTCCCAACTAATCTATTGCACGCGCAACTTCACACGAACCGGCGCACCGCTCATGAACGATGTATCCGCTCACAAACACGCCTCCATCTTCGGCAAACCCCTAACCGAACGAGAAGCGCCGGGTTACAAGGACCTAATCTACCGACCCCAGGACCTCAAAACCATCCGCTCAGCGCTAAACCAAGGCAACAAAGCCGTCGCCGCCGCCACCGAAGCCGTAAACACCCCCATCGACGGCGAATCACCCAACCCTGCCTCCTCCAACACCCCTTCCAAAAACGCCGCCTGGTTGCCTAAAACCGCCGATCTAATCCCGCCCAAAGCAATCGTCAACTCATCGCAGCTGGAAAAGGAGCTAATACGCATGTTCGCCAACGCCGTCATGTTCAACCCGGCACCTGACCAAGAACGCGGGTTTGGTCCATCGTTCCGAATTGGCAAGGCTAGCGACTCGCGCTCAAGCTCGCAGCCGTGGGAGCTTGATGAAGGCGGGATTACGCGGGACACGCGCGAGATGTGCGATGATGTAGAGAATGCAGTTACCAAATGGCGTGCGGCCGAACGGACCACGGCGGAGGATTTGAGTGGGAAGAATATGTTTTCGCTGCGCGGGAATAGTGGTGAGAACGTGGACAGTACGGATGGGGAGATGAAATAGATGCAGCAACAGAGGTAGTCTGGATCTCAGATCTTTAGAACTATGATTCTAAATGTTCAATTGATATACCAAGCCTTTTTATTTATCAACGCCTCATGTCATGTAATTTCAGCAGGTCTATGCACTAGTCCGCACCCCGTCTGCTATTTTCAACCTACATGCATGCTATTCAAAATAAATCAATATACCCATGTCTATCTGTAAACGCCTCTGATGCTATCCCCGCCGAAAAACCAAAACTTGCTACGCCCGCACCGCACTCTGCCCCGGCCTTGTCCGTCCCAAACCGTCTTTGGCATAATAATCCATAGGATAAACGCCATCCTCCCACCCTTCCCTTCCCCCCAATGCAACCAGCGCCTCATACGGCGTCAACAACGGGCGCGGGAACGCATACCCCCAATCAATACTCAACCTCGGACAGGCCACCTGCACCCAACACTCGACATCGGGCATAGCTGCCAGTTTGCCCGGAAATATCTCGCTGAGGAGTAAGTTCACAAAGGGGATGTTTTGGGCTTGGAGTTGCTGCTCGATTAGCGCCATTGTATGCGGGTTGCCCTGTCGTCCCAGTGCGCCTAGGATTATCCCCCATTTGCGCGCTGATTTTGCTGAGTTGATGGCTGTGCGCCGCAGAGTGTGCATTTCCTCGTGCTCATACGTCTCGCGGGACAGGACCCGGGAGTAGGGATCGTACCGGTAGGCGGGGATGGAAGGGTTGTGGATCATGGCCGACTCAAGGTGGAATCGCCCGTCGCCGAGATAGAGTAATATATCGACATTCTTCTCGTCCAGTTTCGGGGATGTGCAGCCTAGGATCTCCCCCTTTGAGAGCGGCATGATCTGGGGGATGAGGACATTGAAGCCGGCACGCTCGAGCACCGGTTTGAGGCCATGCAGCGTCGCATTGAACTGAATTGTGCCGACTGTCGCGATGGTTTTGCCCGGTTGGAAGTTGCGGTCGAGCGTGGCGAGGAGGTGTGTGGTGTCGATAGTGATGTCGACAAAGATATAGAGGGTTTTTATGCTGGTGACGTCGACGGGGATCAGGCAGCTGTGCGCGTAGTGCACGAGAAGATCGCAGCCCAGCGCGCGCGCCGTGTAGTCGTCAACGCAGCAGGCGCCGTATGTCACGTCGCCCATGATGAGCGTCTCGATGCCAGGGCAGAATTCGGTGAGGATGTCGGAAATCGTGGTGGCGAAGATGAGCAGACCCTCTGGGAATTGCAGGGCTACGCGTTTGGCTTCTGAGCTACGGATGCGGTGGATGGTTTTGGGAATTTCGAATGAGTAGTTCTTTGGGAGGAGGGATATCGCTGCAAGGATGTCGGGGTTGGAGGAGATTTCGGCTGGGATGTGGTTGAGTGTCCGCGGGGGTCTTCTGGTGGTTGCTGGTTGGTGGGTTAGAATATTCCTTTTGATATTGATAAGAAGAAATCGCAGTGTAGTACCTTTTTGGACAGTTGTGTCGCTGTTTGATGAAGGCTCATTTTGGGTCTGGGCGTCTGCGGTGCGGCGTCCGACAAATCTTTTTTTCGGCTGGCGAGCCGTGGTGGGAGGTGCTGCGACGTCCTCCATTTTGTGTTCAGTTATAAAATATAAAAAGAGTTATTCTCAATGTCTAGAAATTATCAAATTGGCGGCGCATTAGTGCTAGATGCAAGATGTAGACGAGATCGTGAGTTTCCACAAAGCCAACCCTAAGAATTAAGAAGGTGGGGTGACGATACTGTCGATAAGCCGACGCCGCCGCGCCTACTCTGGCTAGCGCTCTCCGCATTTCCTCTCCATCCTCTCTCTCTCCCCTCGACTGTCTTGCACAACTGTCCTCCACACGGACATGCCTTGACAGGACTGCCCATTTCACACCTCTCCCAAGCGACTGCCACAATGTATCAGTCCTCCCTTCCACGCCTTCTCCCTCGCACCCTCCGCGCCGTTCGTCCCCGAACTACTCGCAGCTTCTCGACTGAGGCTCGGTTAACTGCGGACCACGTTCGCGTCGTCGAAGTTGGCCCACGAGATGGTCTCCAGAACGAGAAAAAGTCCATATCACTCAAAACCAAGATCGAGCTAATCGAGAGACTCGCAAAGACCGGTGTGACGACAATCGAAGCCGGCTCTTTCGTGCCTGCAAAATGGGTGCCACAGGTACACCAAATCCGCCTTCTGCCTGGTATTGCAGCTGACCGGCGTGACTATTTCTAGATGGCAAGCACATCCGAAATCCTCCAGCATCTCCTCCGAACGCCTCCCCAATCCGGAAACCAGATTTCATACAACTACCTCGTCCCGAACATCAAGGGCCTAGAGAACTTAGTGAAGCTCATGGAAGCGGAGAGTGCCGCGGCTGGAGCCAATAGCGACTCCGAAGCTACTACAACAACAGAAATATCGCTTTTTGCAGCCGCTACCGAAGCGTTTTCAAAAGCGAATACGAACTGTACGATTGCCGAATCGATTGAGCGAGTTAGGCCGATTGTAGCATTGGCTAAGGAAAAAGATATTCGTGTTCGCGGGTACGTCTCTGTTGCATTGGGCTGTCCGTACGAAGGCCCGGATGTGTCGCCTCTGAAAGTTGCTGAAATCACGGCGACGTTGTTGGAAATGGGCGCGGATGAGGTATCTGTGGCGGACACCACGGGCATGGGCACGGCGCCACGCACGCTGGAGCTTTTGCGGACTTTGACTGCTGCGGGGATTGCTAATAGTGATCTCGCACTTCATTTCCATGATACCTATGGACAGGCGTTGGTGAATACTATTGTTGGGTTGGAGCACGGAATCCGCATTTTCGACAGCAGCGTGGGTGGGCTAGGTGGTTGTCCCTATTCCAAGGGCGCCACGGGTAACGTCGCGACTGAAGACTTGGTCCACACCCTCCACAGCCTGGGTATGCATACGGGCATTGACCTCGAAGAGATGGCTAGGATTGGGTCCTGGATTAGCGACGAGCTTGGCCGTGCGAATGACAGCAGGGCAGGCAAAGCCACTCTCGCACGTATCGCGGGGGAGAAGACATGTCCTTGATCTACGAAACAATCACACCAAACATCTAACTGCTGTATAGCATCATAGTGGCGCAAAAGTAATGTACATAGTATCTATCAATCTAACAATTCTTTCTTTCCTTCTACCACATTTCAATCTATTATATCAGAAATCCGTCACGCGACCATTATAACTCCAATCCCCCTGATGCCCCCAACGCAACGGCTCATTCTTCGGCCCGCCTATCTCGCCAGTCTTCGGATTTTTCTCCCCGTCAAACTCTGGCTTCACGCCCTGCCGCATATCCGGATGCAACTCCTCGCCTTGCGTTATACTGCCCGCGCTTGCCCTTTTGCTCTCGCTTTGTGTAGTGCTTGCGACGGTCTGTGGCTGCGAATCAGGCGATTGATTGATTTTTGGAGGTGCTGATCGCGGCGTACTGAATGCGCCGGTTGATTGTCGCTGTAGTTCTTCGAAAATTTCTTGCTCTTCTTTTGGCAGACGCGGCGGCGCTGGGCCGTCCCCGAAGGCTGGTTTGTCGGCTAGATGTCGGTTATACGAGGGCAAGCTGTGGCGAGGGGCTGTGAGGAGAGGGCGGTAGGAGAGGGCGGTGGCGGTGGTGCGTAATGTTCGTGAGAAGAGTGACATATTTTCCGTGTTTGGCGATCTTTTTTGGTGGGTTTATGGCTGTTGCAGATATTATATTGACTGATTGATGAGAGAAGAAGTAGTTCGGCGGCGAGTAGGCTAAGTCAATCTTGCGATGCGTCACTAGCCGGATTAGGAGACTCTAGTGATTGAAATTGAAATTTAATGATCAATGATGATATCATGGATTATAATATAAATCATTGAATAATATTATTAAAGTATTCACATTTACTCGCATACTTTATCAGTCAGATCGTAGATTGAAACCCCTCAGGAATCATGTGACATCTCCATCATGGAATTCTATCTCATAACCCTAATAACCCTAACCCTAGGGTCTTATGTTGTCTAGAGTCTGGACCGACTTGATTACAAAGTAGTTAACCTCGAGCTTATTAGTCAACTGTTAAGTCTCATCCAGTCGATCGGATGAGATCGAATAAGATTCCTGGACGCAGTTAGCAAGCAGTACGCCGAATTTCTTTCGTTCGGGTGTGAGCACAATCTCCGTTAAGCCCGCCTGTGGCGAGTCGAGGCACGTGGAGATAGGCGTGAAGAAGGAGCGAGCCGCTCCAGACTCTACTGAAGGCGTGTCTTATTGTCGAACAAATGACATGGTGCGAATTGCTATATAACCCTCCGATATATGTACCTATGTAATGCTCACTGTCGTCGGCCAATCTCCTCTACCTAGGAAATTCTTTTAAGGCTTGACTCTTTTAGAATCGTGATAACGAGTAACGCGATGGCTTCCAGGATTGCTCTAATCACTGGTGAGTTATCTAATCCTCTATAGCGTTTTATTACGCCTAGGTATGCCCTTCTCTTCCCTTTGGCTTATCTCGAATCATTACACTACAGGCGCAAACTCAGGAATCGGTTTTGCAATCGCCAAGGAACTGGCCGCTGCTCCAGAGGGCTTCCATGTCCTCCTAGCTGGCCGAACTCTCAGCAAAGTCGAGTCAGCCATATCTGAGATTGAGACCTCTGGCCATGGCGCAAATGGCCTAACAGCGCTGGAATTAGACGTCACAAACCAAACCTCCATTCAAACTGCTGCATCCGCCGTGAAGCAAAAGTTCGGGCGTCTGGATGTGCTAATCAACAATGCTGGCATTGAAAACAGAGACACCGATCTGGTGACCAAGTTTCATGAGACTTTTGCTACCAACGTGCTTGGTCCTGTCCTTGTTTCTGCTGCTTTCCGCTCCTTGCTCCTTGCTTCACCGGCCCCTTACTCAGTTTATATCGGCAGTGTGACAAGTTCACTGACCAGTATTGTCAACCCGGACTCGTACTTGCGTACCACCACGGCTGGCACCAATGCATATCGGGCTAGCAAGACAGCGCTGAATATGATTGCGATGCATGAACAGCTAGAGGTGAAAGATACGCCTCTCAAAGTTCGTATCATGTGCCCCGGTTTCGTGGTGTCCAACTTGCGCGGCACCAGTGAAGAAGCCCGCTCTGGAGGGGGTCGAGCTGGTGATCCTGCGAGCTCTGCACGGCTTCTCCTCAGTATTTTGCGAGGGGAGCGTGACGGTGACGCGCAGGGCCTGATTACCACGAGTGGTGTTTGTCCTTGGTAATATTAAATAGTAAGGTATGACTAAGGTGTCACTCTCTGACGGATTGGGTGCCCAGCGTGCAGAAATGCGGCCAGTTAAGAAAGAATACACAGCCAAGTCACAATTTGGCATATATCCCGTGTTAACATTGAAAGTTGAGAATTTCATTAGGTCTTTGGCCGTGTCTCTATAATATTGAAAAACAGGTGTAGAAATATGTGCATCCAGCTCGATATTTTAGTCGACCATTTAAACATTAAAAAAAACGCTACATGAAAGTGGTCAAGAGTTGTATATCGTCTTAGGCTTGATGTAGTTGAGGTCTAATGCTACATAGCTGTACAGAACTGATATATACAATAGATCTCATATGTGGTTTGTATACTATGTTTCTTCAACATTTTACGTCCGGTTTCCTCGCGAATAGACACTAGTAATATTGATGCCTTATTATCGACTGATCCTTCACACATGTGATCAAACTTCTAGGCCAGTTCACTAAAGAAAACGCACCGGGCAGTTCCAGGAAATGATAGGATCAAGTTGGAATATTAAATGTAACGGGGGCTGGAAGTTTACTGTAGATGTGGATCGAGATATGACACATTCATAAGATGAGCGTACCAACCAATCAGAGGTAAAATGCACTAACATATTCCGGCCTCGGTGGTCTGGTAATTCCCTCATCCGTGATGAATTGCCCACGACATGGGCAATCTCGACTTAGCCATTCTTATCTGCCAAAGACTGTAAATCCGTATACCGCCCCGTCTTCTGTAGATCTCGAGTTTTGGATATCATACTCTCTGATTCCATATCCGCATTCGAAGTCTTGATCGGCAGATTGCGCTCTTCTAGGGCGAGAGAATGCTCCAGCAGGTACCTTACCATCCATCCATCTAGCTTGTGAGACTCTGTGGAAAGGAGGCAGAGGCTTTGAAATGCCATCAAACGGTTAATCTACAAGAGACCAGTCAGCTAGGAGATAAGTGATATTGAGACAGGGGTCGCGGTCACCATTGCTTCCGTAGCGGGCCAGTAATATTGAAGATCTATCAGCGCCTCAAAGTTTGTCTTGAGCTCTTGACGAGCCGTGTGAAGGTCCTCTGGTCCACCGAAGAGAAGGCTATGTACCAAGACGGAAGAGGACACTGCTGTCATGTGGGCAATGGTGGGGCAGTTGGCTCTGCAACCCTTTATCTGGCGAGACAAGTGAAGTAGGCTGCTGAAAGATGAGGCGTGGTGTTTGCACAGAGCGATATACCCGGAACCGTCCGCCGATGAGCACTGCCGGCCCTCGAGGAAGCGAAAGTAAAGCAGAGTTGAGAAGTGGTGATAGGTGAGATGTAGCGTAACGAAAGCTCCACCGATACCATTTTGCTCTTGTCTGATTAGGTTCTGAATCGACATCTGCATCTCTGGTGGAAGCTGCCGACTCCACGCCTCCAGTTCGTGCTTGAGGTTCTCCATCTCAAGGTCAACTTTGCTGGTATCCTTGACCCCGGTCGCAATGCGGCGGTTGAGGTCTTGGATTGGCACAAGGTGACGACCCAGCTTGACCAATTGGGCCCATATGCCGGGCTTCCACGTAATGTTCGAGCCTTGCCCGACATCGGGGGTAGAGAGCGTAATGTGAGTTCATCCATAGGCAAGGTACTCTGATCGTCAACATCCTCAACTCGACAACGGAGACCGAGTCCCGAGAAACACAAGCGGTCTGCAAAGTACAGTGACCACCATATCTTCCGTGAAATCTCCCGCTCAATGATTGGAGCGTCGGGATGAGGCGAGTCGAGGTGCAGGATCTCGGCCATGCTGCTGGCAATGCCTAACTGGGTTGAGAACTTGGTTCAGTCGCGGAATGCTTGTAAGTGAGATTACTTACGAAGATAGAGTGCCTGAGATTGAGTCTGACCGTTCCCAGCACTCAAGTTTGCTAGTATAATACAGGTCTGTATATTTTCAACGCATATATTCTCTAGGTCGGCTTGTAAAAAGCGTTTGGCCGCTTCTGTGAGACGCGGTTCGAGGTCGCGCCTCTCAGGATCCGCCCAGAACTTGGATCCCAGGGCACAAATGGCATACAGCAGAGCACTGCTTATATCGTCGTGCTTCACTTTGACCCTCAGTGTCGCCGCATGGAAGATACTCTGGGTTCGATCATGAATCTCCTCGAGGTAAAGCTCAACAAGGTGTATTGCCAGATGCGGAGCCAAGTCTGCCCTATGGCTGGAGGTGTGATGATGCGTCCGACCCTGGTCATCGGAGCCCACGGACTCCAGTTGGCCGGCCTGCTCTAGTTTCGAAGACAACGAGTTCTCAGCTGGACGATGACTTGTTCCATATCGCGCTCCCGCAGGTTCAAGCCCACACTGTAGGTGCCTTCGCTGGCATGGGACACAGGGCTCGCAGGGCCCACGGCTGGAGCATTTGCGTTTCGATTGGCGGCATTGCCAACATGCCCTTGGAGCCTTCATCTGCGGGACGGGATCGCACAAGAAGTCCTACCATTCATTACGTTAGTAGATGGGGGATGGATGCTTCTTAAATGTCAAGGTGGGAACTCCGACATGCACGGAAATGGGCGTCTTTGAGTGGCGGGTTAGTGGCATATGTAGTCATCTCTCGGCCCCATTTTGCCCTTCACGGCGTAAGCTTGCGGAATAGCGCTCTTGCTATTGGACAGCTCCATAACAATGGAAATTGGAGCCTCATCATAGTTCAGCATCTGGTGCAGTTGTCATCCGCTTGATTTCTCAGCAGACATTAAAAGTTGAAGAATATAAAGTATAGGTCCAATGACTGACTGTGGTCTCCTAAAACCTACCATCCTCCTCCTTCTAGATCAACTTCCCCAGGCTTCAAAATGTCCAGTCTCTTGGATCCCATTACCATCGGTGCCCGGCTTGACCTGAGAAACCGGGTCGTTATGGGCTCGATGTCCCGCAACCGATGCGTTGATGACAATAAGCCAGGTCCGGCACAAATCAAACACTATGCTGACAGGGCGAGAGACGGTACGGGTCTCATTGTGTCCGAGGGCGTGTTCATTGACTGGACTGGTTGTGGTTGGCAATACACGCCAGTCATGATCACAGACGACCATGCCGCGGCCTGGAAAAAGGTGACCGACGCAGTCCACGAGGCCGGTGGCAAGATGTTTCTCCAGGCCTGGCATCCGGGTCGTTGTGCCCATGACGAGATGCCCATTGCCAAGGAGCACAAGGCCCAGGTTCTGGCTCCGTCTGCTATCAAGGCAAACGCAGGAGAGTACCGTGACTTGCCTGGCCAGCCTGTACGTACAAACCCCTTTTCCTCCAGAGCAAGATACTGACCTTTTCTGTGTAATGTAGGGACATACGGCCAATGTCCACGCCATCGAGGACCCGAAAACAGTCATTGAGACATATCGACATGCCTGCATTCTAGCTAAAAAGGCTGGATTTGATGGTGTTGAGTTGTTAGCCCAAGGGTATGTATCTGTCTCATCGTCATGGGAAGAAAACGCTGATCAATTCCCTGCGCATACAGTGGCTACTTGCCTCAACAGTTTCTCAATTCGTAAGAAGTCCTTGGACTCAAGTTCCCCAATAGGAAATATATTAACAAATTTATTAGTCGCGCCAACAAGCGAACAGACCGTTACGGTGGCACAGTCGAAAATAGGTGCCGTTTCATCCTCGAGACGATCGATGCTATTGCCAAGGTTTTTGACGGTCCAGATGCTATCTGCGTCAAGATCTGCCCTACCGATTATTTGAACGACTCCGTGGTAGACTTTGGCGAGATGAAAGAGACTTATACCTACTTGATCAATGAAATGGTCAAACTCAGGGTGGGAATCATTGCTCTGTGCCGCCGTGGAGCATCTAATGGGGACCTCTTCGGCCGCCTTAACCGACCCAAGGAATTTCCCATTCCGGAGGGTTATGACCCAGTTCTAGATTTCGGAAAGCTTGTCAAGTTCCCGGGCAGCCCGTCCAAACTCATGGCCAACAATGACTACACAGTTGGGGAGGCTGACAGACTGATAAAGGAGGGAAAGCTGGACATGATCGCGATCGCCCGGCCTTTCATTTACAACCCGGTGAGTAATCCACTCTCCAAAGACTCGCAATATAAACTGACATAGTCAGGATGTAATTCATCGCATCAAGCATGGAATTCCATTCGCTGTGAACAACCGGGGAAATGCCGTTCATTATGGCCCGTACAAAACACCCGATGAGAACTACAACGATTGGCCGACTGCTGCTACTCTTGGTGCCCATACATCCAGATGCTAGCACGAAGGAGGACGGGCTACGTTGTGAAATTGAGGCTGCAGCTTCGTTGGTGACTGGCTAAGGCTTTCTTGAGACACCGTTGTAAAAGTAAAGTCAGTGGTCTAGTAATATATCAACAGTTTAAATATGCAGCTGAAGGAAACAAGCTGCTTAGCTACATAAAAAGCGGTGTCCACTTAGAAATATTCTCCAGATGGTATTAGTCTAAACAAATAAGGTGGTGAGTTGGGCATAGTAGAAAGAAAAGACGGTCGGGCATCGACAAGCTTACGTGCGATATTATGAGCAGCAGCCTGTAGTTGCAACCATCGACGAAGCTCTATTACATCGATTTTAAGACATAGTGACAGAGCCAGGTGCTACCACTAGGATTTCTCGGTCGTTCAATTACTAGTGAGGTAGTCTCATTATCTTACAGGTACGGCAGCGGAGTGAAGAGCGCAAGAGATAGCATTGCTCGACTGGATAACCGGCTCAACTATGTAGCTGCGATTTCAACATCTGTCCAATGGTTTCTCAAAGGATGGGATGGCGAAAATCTCAAGACGTCTCACAAGTTGTATCACCTTCCATTGGTGCGATTCGGCCTATTTCATCAGAATCACTAACGAGATGAAACGGTAAAACATCAATTTTCTTTCTTTTTGGGTGTTGTCAAATTTGGATATATAGGGCTAAAAATCTAATAAGGGATGCTTATCTTTCCTCTCACGTCTATTGAACTTACGCTAACTTTCGTCCTGTTTTAATTGCTGACCCAGATCTATTAATGATCACGAAAGGCTTATAAATTGAATATTTATTCTATGCATCCTTGCATCCCTTTCGATTATTGAAAATATCTAGTTTAGATATTGGATTTGAAGAAGAGAGTGCTGCTGTTATTGCAGCTTGCCAAAACTTAAAAGTAGGTCTGATGGAGCTTTCACATCTCAATTATACCAAGTTAATATTCCATTCTCTAAGCAATGTAAGGCCGATTGATGCATATTGTTCTTATTCATCAGAGATGTTCTTCTCAGAAATCACATGTATTTACGGTGATTCGATATTGCGGGATATTTATTTTAAAGAATTTTTGGTGTCATAAGATTCTAATAAAATTAAAGCTGTTATAATCATCAATCATACCATCTCCAATACCTTCATAACCTTCGTAACTAGAATTGATACAAAACTCAGATACCAGAAACAACTTTCCACCCTGCAATGAGCCCACCAACCAAAGTGAATGCGCTCCGAGCATAATTCATCGTCTTCCATCGCGTCAACAATCCCTGCACAACCACCTTCTTCTCCTTCTCACTCACAACTCCCGCACCACTACCCGTCTCATCCGCAATCTTCAACAAGGTGTTGATCGTTTGCCACATACCGAGCCTGGTCCAGGGTAGAACGGCAAATGTCGCGACCGCCGCGGTGCTCCAGACCAGGCGCTCAGTTTTGTCTTTTGATAGAAAAGCGACGACCGCAGAAGACGCAGAGCCGACGATCGTGAGGGGCACGACAACTCGAAGACCCGCGTGGTAAAAGTCTGCGAATGCGCCGGGGGTTACGCGCTGATGGTCTAGCTTGCTCAGAAGTGGGATAACGAGGTTGGAGCTGCTGAAGAAGATGCCTGAGGCCAAGAGAGAGGCGGAGATGGAGGCTAGTTTTGCAGCCTGTAGGGTAATTGGGCTTTGGAGGGCTTCCATTTTGTATCAATATGTATGGGAGGAGCGTGATTGGTGTAGTTTTAGAATAACAATAGTTGATAATTGATAACTGATTAATTAATAAATTGTAACGGTCTTGTCTGGTTTTCAACTGTAGCAGGATTGATGTTGGCGAGATTTGATGAAGGTGATAATGTGCGACCTGCCTGGCAGTCTTTTATACTCTGAGTTGACCCAGGAAATAATAATGAGATAATGATCCATGCACGGTTTAAAGTTCGAGCCAATCCTCCTATACGAAGCTCGGCCGTATGGTGCAGCTCGGGACAACCAATGGCCGACCTGTCAGTTGTCAGCCGTGTCAGCCACGTCGCCAAGCATAGCTTGTGAACATTGGCTTTCAAGAGGCTAAACAGCGTTAGCTAGGCTTTTGGGGAATCGAGACTCTCCATTTACAGAGTACTTTACGAGCAATAATGTCAATATAATTTACTGCTATTTATAAGCGGAATATGCGCGGCTGATTTCCCGCGTTCACGGTTTAATGTATCAAAATACCACCAATATTAATAAGAGGTGCCCACACGGGGAAACCATAAAGCCGATTGGGCACAGTGTATGCAGTGAATAACCCGGAATCCGAAGCATTCTCAATGGATGACTCTCTCATGGAACTAACTATACTGGGCATTCTCTTCGTTTTGTGTGCTGAAGGTCGCTACTATTGGTAGATAAACATAAATCAAGTCCACTCTGTAAAGCTAGGAAATCTGACGTAAGGAAGGGCTGGTTACAAACAAATAAAACATAATATCCAACATCATAAATCCTAGCCAATCTGATCATCACAAGCCTCCTAGATATGGAAATAGACCGAGTTCCTCCTTTTCCAGAACGCCCTCCAAATAAGTTGCTATTAACGGGTCGATTTCTGATTTCCACGCTCGGGCAATACAGTCGGCCAGCTCAAGTGCTTAATATGTCTCTCCATACAATTCTTCCATATATTCGGACCATTTGGGAAACGGCACCTTGCGGCGTTAACGGATACCCGTGTTGGTCTCCCCTCAAGATCTATAATCCTGGTGACGGGTTGCTGACCGTTGTGATACATTGATGACATTTTTAAATATAAACATTGAATAGTTCTGTACATATGTATACTGGTATTATGTACAGCTTTGCATATTAGAATTTAAACATATTTATTTTTTAAAATTCGTAAATAATTTTAACTGGGTTAAGAAACTTCAGCAGGGGGTGATATTATTATCATGTTAACAGTTTAGAGACTACGGAAAAGTAGATGTTTCATAATTATTCTTAGTATTTGCTATTTAATCTCTGATCAGTTCCTTCCTTAGTCATGAATGCAGCATTTGGGCCTATGGCAAAGGAAATTTATTGATCTCACGAGCGATTATATAGGACAATATTTGAAGACGGGAGATTGCGTGGCTTGATTTCAGCCCTGTTCTGCATAACGCCAATATTCGCTTATTGGTTCATACATCGCGGGATGATCAGAACCTTTGGACACCTCATCATTGAGCTTTCTTCTTGTAAACAATATGAGGAGACAAGATCGCCTGTTGTCACAGGAAGGCAGATGGTAAACACACCTCGAACTCGATATATCTCATTTGGATACTGCGTTCTATTATATCCCATAGCAACTAAGGCCACGACAGAGTAGCTACCTCGACATGAGTTCCGCAATCAGTCGTTTCACAAACGCCCTTCTCGCTGGCTCCCATGAGAACACTCTGGCACTAGCTGCGCTCAACTTTGATTTCTCACTCTAAAAAGTAGAGGCGTCGATCGAGTAAGAGAACTTAGGAGTTTGCCTGTCGGAAGAAAGAAAGAACCTTGCTGAGAGCGGCTCGCAGCACGTTGCGGCGAGAAAGATGGGTGCTCTCTTCCGAAGCAAGATGTCTTGAGTACTGAACCTGATCAAAGCGTACGGAAAGCGTGTATCAGAAATTGCACGTATCACAGCTCTGGATGCAAACCAAATACCCAAGCAAACCGTATCGGCGAATAAGATGGGAATTGACGGTATCAATATCTGAGCTGCAGCGACATCTGGTTATGAAGCTCTAGATATGCAACTGCTAGCCTGCATGCTTGCGCGATTCTGGCAAGCACCCGAAGCCGTCTCAATCTAAGCAGAAATCGTTGAGATGAGGAAGCAAGAGGATGAGCTGGAATTTCCAGAGGTTGCTGCGATACAAGTGAACCTTTCTAGAGACCAGCTCTCAGCCCACTGAGTGAAATGCTGGTACCAGGGCATGGCTACATACAGCTGATGCTTCCATGGAACGGCAGCAAACCATTCATTATATACTCACGAAGACATTTCATAATTTGCATATATAACTATAAATGAATAAATTATGATTATGGTTAGTTATATTTTAATTCTTTTTTAAGGTATAATCATTTGAAAGTGTCATGAAGTGTCATGACTGAGGATTGGTAGCTATGGAATAGTACGTAGATAGGCCAATATAGTAGCTTGCGTATAGTCAGCATAGGACATACGGATCATGTTCGGACACATCCGACCCTAATATAATAGGAGGAGCCTCCCAATACAAAAATAAAGTCCGCGATTAACGGTCTTGGTCTATTAACTGATACTGGTTGATATAAAAAACGTACGGCCTGGAGCACACAGACAGTTCGTTGATCAGGATACTAGGGGTCGAATACCTGTCAAAATAGGTGGATTGAAAAGAGACACGGAGGTTGTGCATGAGACTTGGATTCTCCTTTGAGTAAGGTAGCTGTTTGCTCGTCAACACTTTCCCTGTCAAGTTCCCAACAAGTTGAGTGGCCGTAGAAACACTATCAATGAAAGAAGTGTATTCCATAGAAAATCCATATATACTCTTTAACACGTTGAGCCTAGTCACCTGACTAGACTGCCCCCGGTCACTGCCAGCCAAGCGTCATACATAGATACAGAGTCGGGTCATAAGCCCAAGCCTCAACTCTAGCTAGCACTACCCAGACTCCATGATCTATCCCAACTTGAAGATCGAGCTGTCCTCATCTGTTTAAATGGTCCCAATGCTTCACATCTATCTCAAGAGAGGATAGTAGGGCACAAATAGGTGGGGCTTCAGGACTGTCACCCCATTCATCTTCCTTGTGGCGGAATGTCCGGCCCGGGTCCTCCCATCCAGAGCATATCCAGAAGCCCAGCTTCTCCCCAAAACGCAGATCAATCGTCTTCCAAAACCGCCAGTTCATCTCACTATCCCTTTCAATTCTCAGGTTTTTTGGGTAAAATGCCACGTGACTTCGCACCAGTGCTTCCCATGACCCTTTTTCGATGCAAATTTCAATTTCACTTTTTCCCGGACCAAGTGCGCAAACCAAATCCCTAATCTTATCTAATCCATACACTTCCAGAGCCTCGCCTGGACGGTGTACTGGCTTAAGGTAACCATATAACGAGATATGCATATAGCGAACGCGACTAAAAAGAGAGGCCGTCCGTATAAACTCGTGGATTATATCGTCTGTACTTTGCCCTGCCAATTGAAGGTCCCAAAAGTAGCAGATCAGCTCCACTGACCGAATACTCTCTAGTCTGTGGAGGGGCAGAAGACGAGATAGGTTCAACAATAAATTTGGTTTGTGTAGGTGAAATTTATTTGTTGTGAAAAGAATATCCATGCCCTCTTGATATCTGACACGGTAGTGTTAGAAAGGGAGAATACATCATCAAGCGGACGCTAAACTTACGCCATACGACAAGAAAGAAGCCATCCCATGATACCAATAGAATGCTCTCTAGGTTTTCTCACATGCTTTCCATCACCACCACATGAACAGACCTGGCCACCCAAGCAATTATCGCCGTAGGGTAGGTGCATGTGCCCTGGATACTTAACACCACGATGCCAATGTTCCCATCGAAAACATTCACAGCTAAACCATTGCCAACTTGGACTCTCTTCGTCGTCCGTTTTCAAACCAGGGTTTTTTAGATAGGTATCTCTCGAAAGTTGTTTTTTTTGGTGGGCTATATTTAATTGAGAGGGTATATAATTTAGGTCCACGTGCCAGGTACGGTTGCCAAACGCCTGGATCAGAATTTGGCGACGAATTTCCGGCGGAAGTTTTCCAAAGATACCGTAGCTATCAATATTGAGGAGACAATCAGTTGATGGTGATGGAGTAATAGGATTGCGTTTAGTTGGTAGAAATGGTAATGGGTCAACTTCTGAGTTTTCAGGCACTTCAAGTTCGGCTTTAGGCGAGGGTTGCTTTCGACGAAGCCACTTTCTTAGACTCGACATTTTTATGGCTTTGAATATGTTAGATGCACTACTTTATAATTTACACTGAGACAAAGAGTTCAACGCGCCCAAAGGTGTGAATTTCAAGAGAAAGTTGCCGCCCACCAACATCACCTGACTAATAAGCTTAACTAGTACTTGCATAGGCCCAGCGGCGGTGTCTGACAGAGCTGACGAATATTTGAAAATCCACGCCAATAAGGATCAGGGAGCATCCTTTATTTATATCTCGTTCCCAATCACCTTTAGTTATATGTAAAATACGAACCAAATTTATCTTGGACCAGTTCATAATATTGATAATATGGATACCACACTATGGTAAAATAGAAGTGGAAGACGTTAAAAAGATACATTAAAATACTACATATATTGAGAGGAACTCTCTTGGTCGTTCTTCCTAACTATTTAGGACTCTGTACGTTCTTTTATGGTTGCTCAATCAGTAAATGGGGCATTAGATATATCGGTCTTCGATTTGGGGTCCTTTTTATTGTGCATTTTCTGTAACACCGCAGACCTTGTCGGACTTTGGACAGCTAGTGATTAACTTAGTAATATATATATTTATAATATATAAATTAAAACGTAATACGAATTGATATAATTAATTATTAATCTTTGATTCGAAAAACTACCTCGAACATGCCTTATTCTAAACTGTGGGTCTTATCTCCGCACTCTAATAATGTATAGAATCAATGGACTGAGCAGGACCATTAGGTATCAGCTTTACGATAACAGGTAATTCCATTAATTCGGTCTTTAATTATCCAATTACCAGAAATACGTCTCCATAGGTTAAGTTTAAGTAACCCGTGTATGGGAGGAAATTGAAAAGTGCATCACTAGATCAGGTCCTAGCCAGGCCGGGTACTTCAATTGGTGCTAGAAAGGATACAGTTCTCAACATTTTAGGTCGCTACTACTCCATACCTAACGAAGTAACAATTACGAACTTCCATGCCGAGAAACAAACCAGATTCGTTAACGCATTCATTAATGCTGGAGGTTGTAAATTTAGAAACTGGTAAGGCCTATACGGATGTAACGAAGGCTTATCTAACTGTACGAACACAAAATTCATAGCTAGTATTAAAGGACTGGTTCTTTCCCGTCGAAGACTATATTCCAGACTCCAGTTTTCATCCAGCCACACGATTATAATAAGCGGCTATTTCTCTTTGAATGACACGGACACGTTTGAAATGAGAACTGCGCTCGAGCACCACCCGGTTCTTAAGAAACGTCTCCATATCGCTATTGGAACCTTGGTCTCAATAACGTTCATCCCAGTTATCGCCCGGTTGGCTGATAAAGGGACATCGACCGGTAGAATGAATACATGGGGCATTGCAGCGGTGGGTACTCTCTTACCTACAGAAATAAAAACCTTGGATTGTCAAGCTGAGTGAAATAAAACATATAGTGTCTTAAATCTGGAGTCTTCCTAGCTTATCAGGTGCTTACTACGCATGTTGATCGGTTCAAGAAACGGGCCAATACAAAAACATCTGTCACCCTCAATATTATTAATACTATGTTCTGGTTTGCCCTGATCATAATAACAATTCTTGGGACTATCGGAGAGACGTCTACAAGCAGCCATTCCTTGAGGGGATTACAATAGTCCTATTTTCTTCATCACTCGCCGATTTTATGCTTGGTAGATAAAGCTTGCCTCTTCCAAGTTAATCTCCGGATGGAGTCCGTAATTGACTCTGCATTATTGCAACACCAAACAAACCCTCTTCCTGCTAGAATGCATTGTTTTGACCCCATAACTACTCCTTCTTCAAGTGAATGGTATTTGCAAGGTGGATGTTCATACGCAGATGCATTTCTATTTATTTTATTATTTTATTTTTCAAGCTGTATCTGTATACCTGTATTATATGTTACTCTAAACAGACTAGCGGGTTATCATCTAACCCTAATCGCAGATTGACCATTTCACATGCCAACCACAGCTAAATCTATACTACTATAGTCAACACTATCACCATAATATTCTCTCCTTATCATGTTGGAATACGTGATCACCGTACATATATATACAAATTGTATTGTTCTGCAAATATGTTGAAATGAAAACTTGGCTCAGTTGTATTTCGGACGAAGACTCGCCAACCGTGCGATAGAATATTCCAACATAAATGTAATCATTCCAAAGCAGGACCCATCGTACTTGCAGGCATCTCTGCAGTGGCCATACTCGCAGATTTTCTCAAATAATATGGGAACATCCTTGGCAATCATTAGAATTAAAAATAATATCAATTGATAGCAAGTCGATTCACTCATAAACATACTATACCCAAACTGTCTAGCGTGGCCTTATCGATAAGCCTGGCCGATGTTCGGCAGACAAACGTTGAATTTATTCGCTCCATGATTCCACGACAAATGACTCACTCAATCCATCGCAATAGCATCGTCGCGCTCTTGCCATTGCCATTGAACAAACACTCCATATCCTGTCCTCGCATATATTTATACTAACCTACAAAATGGCTATGCGAGCGGCCGCGCACCGCCTGCATTCGGTCCCAAAATCCCGTTCAGTGTTTACCGCGCATTCATTCAGTACGACAGCGCGAGTATCTAGCTTGCCTAAAAACGAGAAAGCCCGTATTCAGGTACATCCCACATTCTTCTCTACTATAACCCGGATAGAATTGCCCTTGCTAAGATAGTCTCAGAATGAATCCCTCCTCCCCACACCCGACCCTGGCCCTGACTCCTCCACCGCCGCCTTTCTCAAACAACGAACCCCATACATGGTCCCAACCTACGTCCGCCCCATGCCCATGTTCGTCAAGGGCCAGGGCTGCTATCTCTGGGACATGGAGAACCGTCGCTTCCTCGACCTGACGGCGGGCATCGCAGTCAACTCGCTAGGCCATTGTGACCCGGAAATCGCCAAACTCATCGCTGAGCAAGCCGAAACTCTCATCCATGCATCAAACCTCTACCACAACCCCTGGACAGGCGCCCTCAGCAAGCTCCTCGTCGAAACAACCGTGCAATCCGGTGCAATGCGCGACGCAGCGCAGGTCTTCATCGCCAACTCCGGCACCGAAGCCAACGAGGCAGCCATCAAATTCGCGCGCAAGGTGGGCAAAACCCTCGACTCGTCTGGCGCAAAACACGAAGTTGTGTCCTTTCACAATTCCTTCCATGGACGAACCATAGGCGCGTTGTCCGCTACGCCAAACCCTAAATATCAAACTCCCTTTGCCCCTATGGTCCCGGGGTTCAGGTACGGCACATACAACGACATTGAGCAGCTGCAAACGCTCATCACGGACAAAACCTGCGGTGTAATCGTAGAGCCGATCCAGGGCGAAGGCGGCGTGAATGTCGCAACACCAGAATTCCTGCTCGCCCTGCGCGAGCGCTGTGATCAGGTCGGCGCGGTACTCATCTACGACGAGATCCAATGCGGTTTATCACGCACCGGCACGTTCTGGGCCCACGCCCACCCATCCCTCTCCCCCCCCAGTACCTCTACCAAACCCGCCGCGCACCCCGATATCCTCACCACCGCCAAAGCCCTCGGCAACGGCGTCCCAATCAGCGCAACAATCCTAACCCGCAATGTGGCCTCCGCGATAGCGACTGGCGACCACGGCACAACATTCGGCGGGAACCCGCTCGTGTGCCGCGTAGCACACCACATCGTGTCCCGGCTCGCTTCATCTGAACTACAAAACGGCGTTGAGCTGAAATCATCCCTCTTCACAACCGGCTTCCACTCACTAAAAGAACAATTCCCTGACGTAATATCTGAGATTCGTGGGTTGGGCTTGATATTGGGCGTGCAGCTGCATGCGAACTTTGTGCCTAAGGCGGCGGAGATTCTGACCGCGGCGAGACAGCGTGGTCTGCTGGTTATTACGGCTGGTGAAGGTTGTTTGAGGTTTGTGCCGCCGTTGACGATTACGGAGGAGCAGATTCGTACGAGTTTGGGGATTTTGGAGGAGAGTTTTCGGGCTGTGTTGAATAATTAGATAACTTTAAGTGGTACTTATAGAGCTGAGTGAGCGTATGCAAAAAGTTAGATTTATTTGGTTATTTTTTCATCTACATGTCACGCAGATGTATGCAAAATTGTGTATGGAAATACTCTGTTCATAATTCGTAACCATATGCCCAAATCCCAGCCCGAACTTTATAGCGATGTCGATGTTGAGGGTCACGGCGTCCTTGCTCCCTCACCCAACCCCATCAACCCCCCCGCCAACCCGTTCATCCTCCTTCCGATCAAGTCCTCCTCACTCGGCAGCCTTGTAATCGTCGATCCGTTCTCTGTCATGCTCGTCGTGCTCTCGATCCCCCGGTTACTAGCATCCGTAGCCCGCGCCGCCGCCGTGTTGTTGGTTTTCAGTTTGGGCAGTGTGAGCGGGAAGGAGAATGGTTTTGCGGAGTCACTGAGGGAAGAGCGACGAAGGCCTGGTTTCTGGGTGGATGAGAAGGATGATTGAGGTGGGAGGTTGGGTTGATCGGTATTTATACCGGCTGGATGAGGCCCGTCAATTGATCGGGACGCTGCTTGTTTTGAGATGTATGATGAGGAGGAAGGTTTCTGCGCTTTGAGAGGCGAGAGTTTTCCCACGCTCATTTCCAACGGCCTGTCTTCATCAACGGATGATTCCGCGGTTGAACTTCGGCGGCGCTCGTATGAGGGGTTCTCGGCCTCGTGTAATCCAGAGAGATATAAATCCTGCCCCAACGAGCCCATCATCCCATCACCGATAGTGGTGGAGGCTGCTTTGAGCTCTCTTTCCGTAGCCTGGTCCAACAACTCACGGATCCATTTCGCGCACTTATTAATATGTCTCCATCCCTCCGGAAACAGGCCTGGGAAATTCAGAAAACCGTGCGAAATCGCCGGTACAAGGTTCACTTCGACATGTTCCTTTTCGTTGAAGAATACCTGCGACTTTTCAAGTCCGAGCTCTTGTCGTTCGCGGAAGCGCAGTAGTTTGGCTTGGCGGATTCGGCCGGCGAAGATCACAGTGTCGTCGACGAGAGGGTCGCGTTCGCCAGTTAGAAAATATGTTTTGGGGAATGAGGCTAGGATGGCATCGGGTGCGAGGATGGGGGAGAGGAGGAAGTCGGTTTTGAAGTCGGGGCGGTTGTGTGGACCAACGTATAGGATTATCATGGCGCGCATCATTTCGGGGGTTAGGATGCGGTCACCAAAGTACGAGATCATTGAGGATACGGCGATTCGGGTTTTGATTTGGTACGGTTGTATGTCAGCGAGTTGGGGTGGGAGGGGCTCGTCTTTTGTTGGAGGTGCAGCTTCTGGTTTTCTTGGTTCGAGGTCCAAGCCTGGAAAAGAGGTCTTGTCAGAGTGAGACGAGGACGGTGTCAGGCGGCTATAATCCTCGCTTTTCCGACGCAACACATTTTCGTTGGTCTTGCGCATGCCTCTATCCTGAATCAACGACATCTGTTCCTCGGTCATCCAACTACCGATATTCATGTCCAGCGACGGATACACCAACACAAGCCCATCTGGAGGTGGAAGTGGGGTCTCGCCTTGCCATCTGCGAGTCTCAGTCCTTCCAGACTGGAGAATCATAATAGTCATCCCCGTGGCCAGGTTTCCACCAGCACTTTCCCCCGAAACGATGATATGCGGACGACTCTTCCCATTCAGACCCGCACATCGGCCACGGCTAATGACGATCGACTGGTATACATCAAAGCATTCGTTGAGAGCATATGGATATGGGTATTCCGGCGCCTTTTTATAATCCACACTCAGCACTGGTACCCCTGTCTTCCCTGCCCACGCCAACAGCCTATCATCCGCGGTTCGCGGGTTCATAGCCACAAACCCGCCTCCAGGAACATCCAGCACCAGCTGTCTCTGCGCTCTAAGCTCTGCTAATGACCCATCAAAATATAGCCATGCATTAACCGGCTCTCGATACGACGAGCCCCTTGGCCGCGGAATCCGTATCTCCCGTGGTGGGTTCCTCATGAACCGTGGTCGTATCGTGCTACTCAACAGCGCCAGGTACGGCGTGGTGGGCTTATTCCAGGAAACGCGCAGATGCTCGACTGTCAGCGTCGCCCGCACACGCCGCACTTTATCATCCGCTTGTTCCGCGGCGATCAGGTAGTATAGCGTGAATACTATCGAGGCGATGTCCTTGAGCCAGTTTGGCTTGATTTTCATGGCCGTCCAGAAGCCCGCGTCGAGCGCCGTGGTGATCCATGTGGCACGGAAGTAGGAACGCGAGTACAGGTTTGCCAGTGGCTCGGGGCTCTCGAATCCCATGATTTTGGCGAAGTTACGTGAGATGTACAGCCAGAGAAGCGTGATGACCATTGTTTGCCAGGCGGTCAGCCGTTTGGATAATTTGCTGGAAAGAGCGCGGAGGCCGGGTGGGCCATGGTTGTTGCCTCTACAGAGAATTAGTACTATCTCTATGGTATGGGTCCATGGTATAGGTGAGGGGGCTTGCTTGAAGAGGTATAAAGACCAGAACAGCACGACCGTGAACACCTGGATTTTCCGGAACTGGGTCGATGGACGACCCAGGACGTGGTCTGCACGGTAGTTAGAGAGGACAAGATGGAGTATAGGAGACATGTATGGATACTAACCAATCATTTCGGAAAGGCGTACTTGATTACGACAAGGATAAATGCGACCGCAATAATTAACACATGCCGTGATGCACTACCGGTAAAGGAGATCCGAGGATCAAGGGGTTTAAAATGATGGTAGTATGAAAAGAGTAGCGTGATGATAATACTAAGAGGGAGAGGATGATAGTGGGTTGACTGAAGCCCATTGAAGGACCGTTTACCTCAACTCTGCCCGTCAAGGCTGAGGATGGGTTTGATCACATGCAAAAATAAAAGGAAGGAACCGCCCCTAATACAGTAATACTACCCACTCTACATGAGCATAGTGCCAACCAGTGGCTATTCCACATCACCAAGTAAACACCAAATAACTAAATAATGACAATAATTTTTGGATTTTAATTTAATAGAAGAATTGGATCGGGAAATCCTTTCATATTCTGCTCTTCGATGCTCCCCAGCCAAGAGAGTTGTAGGATTCATATTGCATGTGAAAATGACGCTTGTGGGGAAGCATGTGACGTCGCAGTTAATCCTTAGCGTATCTTATTAAGCAAGCATAATATTGTTATTTTCTACAATCAATTGATGTCCGAGGCTGCATACCAAGTCTAACTCTATGATTGCCTGCAGTACGGTCTTCCTCGAGAAACCTGCCACCGACACAGCCATACCTCCATCGCCATTCCCAGAAACCCGGCGACGCAGATGCCAGCGGAATCACTCACCGTAGCCGCAGCCAGAGAGAACTCGCGGTCCTCTACAGGCACTCGGTCGCCGATTTCGGCAAAGGTGTTAACATAGACAAGCCCGCCGAGCAGACCTTCCCAGAAAATCACCAGGAAAATGAAGTACACGTTGGGGAGAAAGTTGAACACGGCATGTAGGGTTAGGAGGGTCAGGTTGATAACCTGCAGGAAGGACGGGAGGTATAAGTTGTGAATGCGGAAAAAAGGCGTTGAAGATCGCGAAATAAAGACGCCAATCTGATAGACGGCATTATAGGCTGGGTAAAAGGCTCGGAATTGTTCGAAAGGGGTTTCCTTTAAAGGGAATAGAAGCGTGGGTGCAACGCCCTGGTTGATGGTGTATTCTGCAATGTAGACCAGAAGTAGAGGCAGCATGCTACAGACATTAGACGTAGAAAAAATGGCATATAATGGTAATTGCACTCACAAAGGGAAGAAGAGCCCTTGAGCACGCTGTAGCTTGGCTTGAAGCGAAGCCCACGCAGTGCCATTTTGTACTTTTAACGATATTTCCTGTCCACCTGAGTTAGATGTCCCATCCTGGCGGGACGCTGAAACCTCTTCAATATCATCCGCAGAAGCGATCGGCTGGTATTCCGACCGAGTTTTAGAGATATAGCGAAGCGGCTCCAGCGGCAGGACCATAAAAAAGTTTATCAGCATAATCGCTGGCAAACAGGCGGACGCCAACAGTGTTGTTTTGACGCTGAGACCGAAGGAAGTGGTCGCAATGGCATACGCGCCTGCCCCAACAAGCCCAGCTGCGCCCGTCCCACTACCCCATGCTGCAAGGCTGAACGGTCCGTAGTAATGCGTCAGCCCAAGAAAGCTGAGCTCTCCAGCGCCGCTCGAAAGACTTGCCAGGACTATACCAGCCAGTTTCGAGGAAATCGCGGCGCCATCGGTAGTCGAAGGCGTAAGCGCAATAATGAGCATTCCCACCACGGAGAGAAACACGAATATTAGGACTCTGACGGAGTAGGGTACTAGGTGGATGAAGTATGGCGCCGTCAACTTTGTCGCAAACGATGGCATGACGTCGGCCAGCAGCACAACGCCTTTCGGAAAGCCAGAACCGACGAGGTCGAGGGCGGCTGAGAGGATGATGACATAGAGGACATTGTTAATCAGGCCTGGTGTTAAAATATCGGACACGATCAGTATATATCTCACAAAAAGAATGTCGGTCAAGTCACGCGACCAGGTATGGAGAGCAAGCACTCACCAAAGAACCAGAAGGCGGTACAAACACGAGGATCGGCATCATTGAAAAGGATTTTGAACCTGTCCCGGAAGGCCGCCCATGATGCGCCAGGGCTTCCAGGGAGAGGCAACGGCATGGGACGGTCGAGGCTGTCTGTCTGCGAATCGGGCATATCACCAAAGTAATCACAACGCTTAAGGACGGGTCCGTCAGAAAGACATTCTTCGGTAGAACATTCCCATATGTTTCTGTAGACGTATACCTCTATATACCTATGTAATAGAGTATATATTTGGAATGAACGGAGTGCGAGAGGAAGAGGAAGAGGATGGCGCCGTGATCAGAGCACGGACACTTAGATCGGCTGATAAGCTCGATGACTCTGCGGCTCCTGATTGGTTATTTACACTTGTCAGCGGTGCAAAGTCACAGTGAAGTTGTAAATCAATATTAGATAATGATTAATATATATTTATCTATTCATATTCCCCCCCCTGACGAACTTGTAAAATGCTTGGGGCCATGTATATGCAGAGACGGGACTCGTTCCTGCAGCCTCCTGAATGGGCCTTTTTTTTGTTGTTTTGTAACGTGCGTTATGACGTGTGTGTTTCAGTGTTTGGGTTCCATACACCACACAATTCAAAGACATTATTCTTATTATTGCCACTGTTATTATGATGATGATGAGTTGCTATGTTGTTATTTTCGTATGTGGCACCAAGCAAGAGGGCTGCAGGTCGAAAGGCGCTAGCGAGTTAGTGATAATTAGTGGACTGGGTTCCGCGGCAATCCATCCATTTAGCTGATGTCACGAGGCGATCGTACATTATTATTATTATTATTGCTCCTATATGCTCATATACCCGGTTTATACCGCCGCTTTTAGCGTCAAACACTGTATGTAACGCACATAAAATATTTCTAGATAACTCCTCAAGACATTTGGAGTCCACGTGAAACCAAGGGTTTGTCACCGTTACACACACTGTTCTTAGCTATATAATATGTAATAGCTCTAGTCCTGCTTCTGACTAATCGGATGGATAGCTGATTATGCTATGTGTATCCAGATAGCACGAGATCAATGTTGAAGAATAGTATGTTATAACGTTGATGCCTAATACTACTTTAATCTATATGTAAATTAAAATATGGGGTTGGAATTTCTGGTTCACCACCTATGAACCAAAAAAAATCAAACATTCAGTTCTGTAGTAGCCGACTTCTCAATATCAGCCTTATATGGCTGGATCTTCTTTTCCACCACACCTTCCGGACCACAATACCGTTCAACAATCTCCACACTACGGCCAATATATAGTTCTGACCTTAGCATGTCGTCGATATCACCCCAAATCGGTTGAAAGAAGCTTGTTGCCTTAATTCTTGATACCAGATCATTTGGCTTTCCCTCAATTTTTACAACACGGGCGGCTTGATGCGATAAGACACGAATCTGCTCATGGGCTTCCTGTCTCGACAGTCCTTTGGCACATAGCCTCATAATCAAACTCTCGGTAATCATAAATGGAAGCTCTTCCTGGACCCGTGAGGCAATACGCTCTGGGTATACAACCAGCCCACTAGTGATGTTGTCAAGACCACCAAGGACAGCATCGGCAAGAAGGAATATCTCGGCTGACAACTCTGAGTTAGCAATTGCCTATAGTCTTGGCATGTCTCATCTCCAGAAACAGCTGCAAATAACTAGGAAAGGGAAACATACGGATGTCGATTCGGCGAATAGCGCTGTCGTCGAGTGTTCTTTCCATCCACTGGTCGGAAAGAGTGTTCGCAAAGTTGGCTGGTTTTGACAGCAGCTCCCGGGCAAGGCTGTAAACTCGTTCGGAGCGCATTGGATTTCTTTTATAGGCCTTTCTTACTGTTAATCCTATCCACGTTCAGGAATAAGGTACTTACCATGGCTGATGAACCGATCTGGTCAGTTTCAAACGGCTCTTCCACTTCCTTCCAGGATGCTAGATGGCGGATATCTCCAGTGATCCTTTGCGCTGTAGCACCAAGGCCACAGATTGCATTGGCGATAATCAAGTCAACTTTGCGAGTATATGTTTGGGTTGAGACATCATAACAGCCAGCAAAGCCGGTTTTTTGACAGAGTAATTCATTAAGCTGGTCACATTTGGAACCATCGCCGCCAAAAATCTCTAGGAATGATGCTTGCGTTCCAGTGGTTCCTTGGGCACCTAAGATAGTTAGCATTATATGTATAACAGGATTGAAAGCCTACCTCGTAGCAGCAGTCCATCTCGAGCATGCTCAATACTCTCAAGGTCGAGTACAAGATCTTGTGCCCATTGGGCTGCTCGCTTGCCGACTACACTGCGTTAGCAAACTCTACATCATAGAAAGCCTCAGTTTGGCGATATACCTGTAATCAATTGCGCTGTAAAGAAATAATCAGCATAGTGTGTCTAGGGCTAAAAAAAAACTCTCTGGGCAGAAATACCTGCTTGTAGGTGAGTATAAGCCAGTGTAGGCATCGCCTTCCACTCCATAGCGAATTTAGCTAGGTTTGAGATAACTCTGGCCAGCTTTGGGAGGAGGAGATTTATAGCGTCACGCATAAGAAGAAGTTCTGTATTATCGGTAATATAGCAGCTAGTTGCCTGTTAGGTAATATGGCTTTAGTCGGTAGATTCGTCAAAAAGTTACGGATTCATCATTCAGACTCACACCATAATGAATGATACCCGCCGCAGCTGGTGCCACGGCTCCAAAGGCGTGAACATGAGCCATAACATCGTGTCGACGCCTCTTTTCCTCAACCTTTGCAATCTCAAAGTCTGCATCAGTTACTTCAAGATGCTGCCTCATCTGCTCAAGAGCCTCCGCCGTGATCGTTTCAATGCCGAGCTCTTTTTCACACTCTGCCAGAAACAACCACAGCGCACGCCATTGTGAGTGGCGAGAGCGCTGGCTGTAGAGTCGTGACATCTCTGGGCTACAGTACCTCGTTGTCAATGAGGTCTGGTAGGTGTCGAAAGGCGAAGGCCCACATTGGCCTTTGGCACCTTCAAGTTGCTGCTCATCTCTGGGCTGGAATTCAACGTCGACTCCTCGGTTCGTCATTTTTCCTTCGGCTCTTCAAGTTGTGGGCTCAATCGTTGGGAAGTCGAGCGTTATTGATAAGTGTCGATTTTTTGTTCTGCCGAAAATTTTCATCACACTATTAGCTTTTGCCTTTACATAACCTTATCCCCCTCACCGTCGCGCTTGTTATATTTAGCGTCTTGGCATTATAATATTCTCTTATTGGATATATTTTTGGCCTACTACTAAAATGATAAAACCGCCCGAGGGCGGTGAGCGTCTGTCAGCTACTCATAGTGATGGCAGGAGTCGAAAACTGCGAATGAGATTACTCTGACTACTATTATTTTAATAATGATTGTTCCACAGAGCCAGACACACCTAGGAAAACTTAGCATCTCCCCACTACCTATAATTAATTCAATAAATAAATAAATGAATGAATAAATGAATAAATATCATTACATAACACATAGTAACTAACTTACAGCTCGAGCGTCATTAATGGCAGGAGAGTGCAGGGATCAGGATCGGCTGGGAAGGGCAAGGGTAGACTCGGGTGACCCACCGCGCATGCTAAATTTGCGCGAGTCGGCCATCCCATTTCTTATTTCTCCACACACTAAGCAGGCGCTAATGGGGCGTGTGCACTGTGCGTGGACTGTTTTGAGAATTGCTCGCCCGACTTGGAGCTGCCCTTGCAAACACACCACACCACCGTCACCATCTCATCTCATCTCATCTCTCCTACTCTCCATCTCTGCCCTCGCCGACTCCTCTCTCTCCCGCCCAGTCAGCTGCCTGCACGTGTGGTGGCACTGTGGTATCGTCGCGCTCCACCACATCTCCAGCCCAGAATTCCTCGCTGCCGTCCCCACCGCATTTTCGTCGTGTTAATCGGGTCCGTCATCCTCAACAGCCACGACACAACTCCTCCCTCGTTGCGAACTGTCTGTATGATAGCAGCACCAGGTCCAGCGAACGCTCGCCGTCATGGACTCCCAGCGTCCACCTCCACCGTTTTCTCGATCGTCGCTATTCTCTGCCCGCCAGTATGCACCAGAACAACCGTCGCGGCCAGACGCACGCGCACCCCCAGCCTTGAATCCCCTCCACCAACCAGAGATTGAAGCATCTCGAACAACATCACCCTACAGTTACGCTCCCCAGTCATACGCGCCCGAGATGAGACCCGAGACCCTGCCTCTCGCGCCGATGCGTATGCGGCCTGACGGGACTTTTACTACAAGAACGTCTCCTGTGAAGCAGAATGGAGCCTCTACGAAGGAGTCACCAAGCATGTTTTATCGCGATGGTAGGTTATTTTCATCCAACCTGCATTCGCTTCATCTTCCCCTGTATTACTCTGCCATTCATGCTATTATACTCTCTTCTTCTGTTTCGATCCCTTCACTACAACCCATAACCCAAGCCAGCAAGCTCCCGTGAAGAAGTCGCATGTTACGCGGCTGTGCGACGTGGTTATTCGCCGACGCGGAACGAGGTTGCAGGTGGCAGCTGTCCTTGTCGAGGCATTCCAAATGCCTCCGGGATGAGCGTCACCATCACCCCGTCACTTTGTCTGCTTTGTTGATGCATCTGGCCCCGGAAGCGCTAGCCTGTCTGGGCCACCTGCACCCCTGGCCCGATATGTACTAGCGTGACAGCCGGCAAGCAGACCTGCAGCTGCCACTACTACCCGGCTGCGACGGCCTGTTGTGTTTCTGTCTGCCTTGTCATCTTTTTGTCTTGTTTCTGCTTGCAACCACGATGCCCTTTGTCTGTATATATTTGCTGCTCCATCTTGTATAAACCTAGATCATGCGCCGTGCATACCCATCGCGCGACCAGGACGGCCGCCTGTTTGCGAACCGCAGTCGCAGTGTCGGGCCCCCTAGTGGCGGTGAGTTGCGATGATGAGGCTATCCTCATTTCGGATGAACACGACGAGACCGCTTTTTTGTTGCTGATCTGATCAACGATGCTGACCATTGCAATTGCAGGACCAACAGAGCCCGTAACATCGGCGATGCCTTTCACCAGTCGCCAAATGCCTCCACCGTCCCCTCCTCAGCCATATCCATCCCGAAATTTATCCGTGTCAACCGCACCTCCTTCCAATTCTTTCTCGCGGGAACCAGCCCCTGCTCCATTGCATCGCCCAGGGAGCAGCATGTCGATATCGTCCATGCTCGGATCAGATCCCGATCGCCTGTCGCGAGAGCCGCCGCCCTCACTATTTTCTCGGCCGTCGATTTCATCATTTGGCACAACACGCTCTTCTGGGGGTGCCATGTCCCCCCCAATGGCGCCTGCCCGTCCTGCATCTTCTCTCGATCATCCTCTTTCGCGACGATCGCAAACCCCAGATAGGCCATACGCAAAAGATCACTCGAGCCGTCCCTCATCGAAACCCAATTCGGCGGGCCCATCTTCAGAAACATCAAAATTCGTCTTCGGCAGAGGCTCTTTATCTCAATATCCAGAAAAGGCTTCCAACTCTCAATTATCTCCCCAAAACACGCCCTCAGATGCTCCCTTCTCCCACTCTCGCCATTCTAGTCTAAACGGACCGGTGCAGCGACCTAGTAGCCAACCACAGCACGAAGATCATCGAGGCCCGGGGTATAGTCCCCGGTCTAGGATGCTGGGTGAAGGACTTTTAGGAACTAGCCAACGCGCTCCATCTTATACAGATCATGATATGCGACCCCTTCAAAGATTTGCTGGCCTCTACTCGGACCGAGCTAGAGAAGAACAAGCTGCTCGAGAAAGAGAAAGGGAAAGGGAAAGGGAAAGAGATCGAGAACGAGATCGAGAACGAGAACGAGAACGAGAGCGAGAGCGAGATCGAGATCAAGAAAGGGAACGAGAAAGAGAACGAGAACGCGAGAGAAATTCTTTACGTGGGCCAGATAATAAAGGCCCTATAGGATCCTCACATGGTAGATATGGAGCCCAATCCGTCGAACGAGAACAGGATAGAATAGCAAGCCATTCGCCGTGGGACATCGGTAGATCACAACCGGGATCACCTGAAAACCGACGTTTTGGCTCGGACACAGGGCCTAGATTTGGCTTTGGAACAATACAAAGTTACACAAAATCTCTTGGTTCCCAATTAGGACCTTCACGCGCATCTCAGGGGTCCGCCATCCAGTCCTCTACTGTCTCTCTCCAATCTCGCCAGGGACAACCAACTCCGCCTCCAAATGAACAGCCATTTCACAGCAGACTCGGCCAAGCTCGCCCGGTTTCTGTGACATCTGTACCTGCAGCTAATCAGCCCCTGCCTGGGTCGTCAGCGAATGACGAACAGCGTCGCAAGGGGAGTGATGACTTGATGCAACACCGAAGCTTCTTAGGAATTAGTGGTGATGGCAGGCGTGCCGGACGGGCTTCTCCATTGCCACAAGCCGTCCAAGGCGCTCAGGCGCAGATAATCGGGCCTTCTGGGGAATCTGGCCTAAAAGGAGAATTAGGTCGGGTGTTTGCAGGCATTGGTAGTGGTGTAGGCACCGGCACGTCGGGATCTGTTGGAAGCGGGTCCTCTACGCCAATGACTATTAGTCCCTTCAAACGAGATAGCCTGCCGGGACGACCTGAGAGTATAGAGGATACCAAAGTTAGGCGTCGGGCTGCCCCCAGGAAACGAAGCTGGAAAGAGAAAGACGAGGATGCTCTGGGTGAGAGTGGTGACCAAACACCGGATGCTCGGACTGGGTCTTCTGGGGGCGGCCCTCGCCGGGGTCGCCACGTCCATCACCATCATCACCAGTACGCCGACCGTTTTCAACATTTGTTGTCACCAGAAGCTAATCATTCGAATCACAGCCACCATCATCACCGTCACAAGAATGAAGAAGAGGCCGCAGCGTCACGCACACCTGGACCAGCAGCGAATGGTTTTGGACGGTTTGCTACGTCGACAGAGGCTGCTGCTCCAGCAAATCCAGTTCAGCCGCACCACCATCATCATCACCACCACCACCATCACGCCCCCCGACCTGCTGTGCCACCTGTTAGCACCGCTCCAGCGCCACCGCTTCGAGAGGCTCACACGCTTGTCAATATCGAGCCACTACTGAAGAGCGTTTCCCATTTGCCGCGACACCATCTCGGGTCAACTCTGTATGCTCCACATATTGACGTGCCCAGCTCACATTCATCATCCGAAACTCAAAAGTTTGGCTACACCAGCACCCCAGTGCCCATACCACGTTTTGAAGGGAAGGAAAATTGTACCTTTACCGTGCGTATTCCTCGCTACCGTATCGACACGAGCCATCGTGAAGAGATATGCGCACGCCGTGCACTTTGGGGGACTGGAGTGTACACAGACGACTCGGACCCAGTCGCAGCTGCCATCCACTCGGGATACATCCGTGGGGAATGGGGAAATGACGTCGACGTGTCGATGCTTGACCTCGAGTTCAAAGACGGCTACAACCACGCGCCCAAACCGGCAGAAGGAGGCGATACGGGCTTAGACAAGACACGTATCCCCCCCGTTCCGCCTGCAAACAAGGACTTGCATATCACACTTCTCATTCTCCCCCGTTTGGAACGCTACGAATCTAGTCTGATGTTTGGCATGAAGTCTCGATCCTGGAGCAGTACACACGATGGCATGAGCTTCAAAGTAGAGCGAGTTGAGTGGGTAGACGAGGGTTCAACGCGAGGCGAAGAACGCAGTGGTGCTGCGCGCCGAAAGCGACTACGAAATATGATGCTCTCTGGACGAATCTGTACGGGCCCGAGCTTGCTGCGCATGCGTGGAGGCCCTGCTAATAGAGTGGCTGATAGCAATATCGCCGCCAGTGCTGCACCTGCGTCTGCTACCGTGCAGCCTGTTTCATGATGTAACAGTTATAATCAACGAATTTCTTAGCTGTGTTAATAGATTACGGTTTTGGACAATTAATTACTTGAATTTTCTTAACTGGATCTATTATTCGATACTGGCTGGCCTCAATAATGCTGATATTTCAAGATGTTAATCTAATAGTTTAGATTCCTATGCATATTGGCTCTCGGATGAGCGGGCGGTTAATCTTACTCGGTCGAGCGGACTGCACACCTGGATGTCAGGTGAGATGTCATATTCACAGCTTGGTACTGCTGCATGTGTCTTCTCACGCAGCAACTTACCACCACTCGGCTTGAGTGATGGCATCAACCTGCGCGATATCAATTTGTTCAATAAAATCGTAGTCGCTGGCCGAACGCACTACGGACTGCGGACGTAAGTGCCGAGGTCCGGGCAACGGCCGTAACTTCCCGTTTGACAATGGTTAGTTAAATAGCTAAGGAATAATATGCAGCTTATAGAATATTAACGGCAATTGAGACTGATGGGATATATTATTTATGAATATAATAAAATTGTGTAGCAAAAATTAGTGATTACCTGTAGCCAAAATACAGAAGGTGTCCAGTAAGAAGGCACATGAGGGGCAGCAACACTATGCGCCCGGCTGCAGCCGAGGTTCGCAGCGGGTAATCTGGCTAACCTTCTTCCCGAGCCTTCGTGGACCAGGGTACACTACACACTACTACAACTATTTTATCGCGCTTGTGATTGTCGAGTTGCTGTTGCTATTCTTGTCTTTTACTCCTGGTTTTTTATTATTATCCCCTTTCTCCTCACACGTCAGCCACAGTCGAGGGGATGTTTCTGGCTTCTGCGCGAAGCCGTCTGCTTTCTCCTTCTCTCGGACGTGCTCCTGTTCTACGGCTGTCGAATCGAACTTCTCCTGTGAGAAATATCTGGATATTTGAGAAATTCTTTGCTTACATCTGCAGATTCTAGCAATGGCTCCACAACGTCGAAAGCAGTCATCTGTTCCGGAGGGTAAGACGTCTACTCTATGTATACAATAAGATACTAACAAGACAGGCTATGTTGAGGACCTCTCCAAAGGCAAGATGCTCCGATTCGAGGACTCCCTTCCCAAACTCCCAGTGCCCTCTCTAGAAGAGACTGCGCGCCGCTACCTCAAGTCGGTACACCCGCTGCTCTCCGCCGCCGAATTCGAGCGCACCTCCAAGGCCGTCAACGACTTCATCAAGCCTGGCGGCCAAGGCGAGACGCTTCAAAAGCGTCTCCTCGCTCGCCGCGACGACCCCAAGATCAAGAACTGGCTGACCGAGTGGTGGAACCACGCTGCCTACCTGGGATACCGCGACCCTGTCGTGCCCTACGTCTCATATTTCTACTCCTACCGCGATGACCGTAAGCGTCGTAACCCGGCTGTCCGTGCCGCCGCCATCACCACCTCCGTTCTCGATTTCAAGCGCCAGGTCGACGATGGTTCTCTCGAACCAGAGTATCTGCGTCGCTTGCCCATGGCCATGAGCTCACTGCAGTACATGTTCAACTGCTCGCGCATTCCCGCTGAAGGCGCGGATTACCCGCAGAAATACTCGGCGCAGGAAAATCAACATATCACTGTTGTCCGCAAAAATCAGTTCTTCAAGCTCCCCATCGTCGTTGACGGTAAGCAACTCACCAATGCCGAGCTTCAGCTTCAATTCGAGCGTATCTATGAACGTGCGGAGCACCCGGTCACCCCCGTCGGTGTCTTGACGGCGGCGAATCGTGACCACTGGGCTGCCGCCCGTGCGAAGCTGCTCAATGCCAGCCCGGCCAATGCCAAAGCGTTAAAGGAGATTGAGTCTTCGGGCTTTTTGGTCTGTCTGGATAATGCCGCCCCGGTTACCCTGGAGGAACGCGCTCATCAATACTGGCATGGTGATGGTTGCAACCGCTGGTTCGACAAGCCATTGCAGTTCATCATTAATGACAACGGTACTGCCGGCTTTACTGGCGAGCACAGCATGATGGACGGCACGCCTACACAGCGTGTGAACGATTATGTCAACAATCTCATTTTCAACAACAAGCTCGACTACGACAACACCTCCGTCCGCTCCACCCTCTCGGCCCCGGTTCCCATTAACTTCGAGCTCAACGCCGAGACTGAGCAATCCATCAACGAAGCCCTCCAAGAACATCGCTCGCAAATCGCCGCACACGAACTCCGCGTGCAAGCCTTCCAAGCATACGGCAAGGGCCTGATCAAGAAATTCAAATGCAGCCCGGACGCCTACGTGCAGATGATCATCCAACTCGCCTACTTCAAAATGTACGGCGTCAACCGACCAACCTATGAGTCCGCGACCACACGCAAATTTCAAGAAGGCCGTACCGAAACCACCCGCACAGTCTCCGACGAAAGCACCGCGTTTGTTCGCGCCTCACAAGACCCGACCGTTCCCCGTGAACAAGTCGTCAAACTATTCCGTGCTGCTCTCGCCCAGCACACCAAATACACCCTCGAAGCCAGCGACGGCCACGGCGTCGACCGCCACTTGTTCGGCCTGAAGAAGTCGCTGAAGGAAGGCGAGCCGCTACCTGAAATCTTCCAGGACCCTGTCTATACTTACAGTGGCTCTTGGTACCTCTCCACCTCCCAGTTGAGTTCAGAATACTTTAACGGATACGGCTGGAGCCAGGTCATCGACGACGGATTCGGAATTGCGTATATGATTAACGAGGATAGGTGAGTCCTTACCCCCACAAACTCTTAATATTATATATAGCATGCTGATATGTGGTTGTCTAGCCTCCAATTCAATGTCGTCTGCAAACGTCTTGGCGCCGAGCGTATGAGCTTCTATCTCAATGAAGCAGCAATCGACCTCCGCGACTTGCTGATGCCCGATCTGTTGGCGGAGAAGGAGAAGGCGAAGCTGTAAAAGTCTTCGAACTGAGTATCAGTGTGATAAATGATGGCTTGATTTAGATTAGAAGTTGAAGTTGTGTTGATACCATTCCTGCAGATGTGCAGGATATATATTATACATTGTAGTTGTATTTCGGACGAACTTGGTATAGATTGATATACTTAAAAACTTCCTATTGACAGAGGTAACGCATCCTTCTTCCGTCCTGTCTATCAAAATCCTCCTCCCTCATCCATCTCCAGCTGGGCCTGGAGAGAGAATCGACATTCTTGCAAGAGTGTGTCCTAAACCGTTGTGTATTCATCCATGATGTACTGTTGTAAAATTGTAGTCCTTTTCTCCATACCAGGGACGTATGTAACCAATCAAATCCTGTTTTAAATTACCGGTCTTTTCCCCACCAGAGTATTTCTGAGCATAACGCATTGCGAGAGATTATCCCACGGTTTGGTTATCACATGGAAATGCCCCTTGCATTAACTCATTTAAATGCCCAAGGACATGTGGATGCACGAGTCGTCTGCTTGTGAAAATAATGGCAGCCTGCGACGAAAAGATAGGTGATTAGAATGCCACCGGAAGAAGGTAAAGGTATTTGCACATTCCACCAAGAATTGTGTCCCGTAGATGAGACCGACAGGCGGAATAAGTGTGATCTAGCTGAATCTGGTACCTATTTTTCAAGAGATCGGACGACAATCTATCAATTTCACATCCCCCAATTCTGCTAATGTGCTGAGCTATCTGCAAGGCACCTTTCTCGGGACCAGCAACTTGTCTGGTCAGGTTTATATGAACTATATATATCACTTGCTGAAATGACGGGTCTTAGCTGATTTACAACAATACTATTTTCAATTTCGTAAGTATATATCGCTTTCTTGGCTCCTGTTCCAGTAGTATCTAGAAGCTAATACTGATTCATCCCTTGCTTGGGGACCTATGGTAACCCTACCATCATCGAACCGCTCCTTGGATGACCGACTACGGTCAAGGATTGTTAGAATTGGGGAATGACAGTGGTTAAAATCAGTTGAGGTAATCTGCTTTTGATCTTTATGTAAAATTGACTATATCTACAATTTTCCGGTGACATGAAAAAACAAATGGCGGCACAATTCTCTACCATACAAGTAATAGCTGAGAAATTCTGAGATTGGTGAAATGATTTGCCACTCTCCAGTGTCGGAATTCACGAAACAATGAAATATTCCCAGCTTTATACTTGTATAAAGTTATTCAAGCGGGTTTTGTACGGGAAGAAGTTGTAAGGTGTTGGACTTTCAGCTTTCATGATGTTATTACAGCAGGTGCATCTATACACATGATTTGAAGATAACCCGGTATGTGCAAAGCTCAATGTTTAAGATGAAGAAAAAAAACCCTCCCATTCTCTTAGCAGTTGTAAGCAACACTTTTAGCAGCGGCATCCAAATTATAACATGTATCATTCTCGGTCAAACTGGCAAGCTTATCCCCTGAGCATTCATCAGTGAACACCGTTGCAATGCAAGCAGATGTAGGGGGTGCAAGTCCATATTGAACTGAGATAGACCAGAATCCCTCTGAGATCGGGGTGCACCCTTGATTGACAATATGCGGAATTGTCCCACCAGATGGACAGTCGGTTGAGTTATAGACCGTGAACTGAATATCCGCGAGAACGGAGGAGGAGAGTAGAGATGTCACTAAGACAATGAGCGTTTTCTAACAAACAGAAAAATGTTTTTCATCAGCCCGCCTTTCATGAACTTAATGCAAGATTCTATGTGAATGCATAGAATGAATATTTACCTGATTCATGTTGCTTTTTTGATTAGCCGAGTCGGTTCTAATAAGATTTCAGAACGGGCTAATTTTCTTTTTCTGTTTCTATGTAGAAAAACCGAAAGATTGATACTATTGATTTTTGATACTATATTTTTATCGCAGTACTTTATGCAGCTAATCTACTACCTTTTATATTCTTAGACAGAGTTAGTACATGCTTATTTTTATCAGCCCCGAAGGAAATCGTATCAAAGCTAGCTTCTGATGATATTCGCAGGAAAGACATTTAGGATTGATTGGTCCATGAGCTTCTATGTTATTTCGGATGTTTTTTGCTGGGGTCAAACTTCACCAATTAATTACTGCCAGTCAGTTTGCAAATCGGACCTCAGCCTCAATTATAGGCTGAGCCACCTACAAGTCTCAAAATTTATGGGAGCTAAGGAAAGGGAAGCATGTAAGCCGTAGGGCGTCCAGCAATATATCCGTATGCAACGGTTACAATGGGAAGGAATGTTTGAAAAACGGATCTTTGAAAGGGTTTAATCCTAATCCGAACTTGAGGTGTAAACTTTGGAGTTGAATTTACATAAAAACGATGCCGTAGAAATTTTTGAGAATCCATAGTTGGCCCCCAAATCCATAAATTATCTGAATTCTTGTTCTACCTATCGGTCGAATTCGCTCATATACTAAGTTTATGCTGAATATGTCGATTAACCACCTTGTAAGTAATGTAACAATGACGCAGCATTATTGTACGGGTGAAAATAACCATTGTTGACCAAGCCAAATTCGCGCGGCGCCTCCTGTCAATTGATATCTTTACAAGAATGTTTATCGGCAGTTAGTGAATGTTGTTCATTCGCCTCAAATAATGGAACCGAACAAATTAAAGCGATTCTCGTAGTGAACGACTGCGTGGCCTATCTTCCACGCAAATAAAATTTATGCTGTACTGGTTATATATTTTCAATAATGGCAAGTCCGCAATCCAGGCGACATACGTCAGTTTTCGGCGAGGGGAAGCGAAAGAATCTTGACGTCTTAAAACCGCCCCTATAACCAGTTAACTTCTCTCAATAGGATACGGGAGATGAATGTGACCCTTTACTTGATTACTTGTCATTGCCATTTCTATTCCAAGTCCCGATTTTGTTCGTTGCTGCACAAACATTAATCGTAGGTTTTTAATATTCTGGTCGTAATATCAACATAAGATTGCACAAATGAGCAAATTCCTTACTAAAGGCAAATCAAATGTAGTTCGAATTGAGTTGACTCTTCGAGATTCAATCAAGAAGCACTTTCTGTCTGCAGGAAAATGCTGTGAAAACGACCAAGGGGAATTCCCGTATGCAAGCTTCCGTAACCTACACTGACCTTTAATGACAAATTTCGAAAGGTCTTCTTGATTGTGCTACAAAGCAAGAGAAAGTGCCGATAATCAAATTTTCACGCATTACAAAGTTTGGAACTCTTTGTCAGCCTAAAGCGTGAGAGATTGTGGAATTCTTTCATTTCTCCAGGGAAATCCTTTCGTTCCTAGGACAAAGGTATCATCCACATCGTTCACAGATTCCATTTTCATCCAATCTATTAAGCCAAGCAATTATTGAACATCAAGGCGCAGCAGTTGAGGTCATATATTTCATAATAACCGCATAATAGAGGTTATTTCCTGTATGGCCTTGATCATTGCATTTCAACGAGTCTCCATTTCACTGCATCCAGTAGCCAATTCGATTTTTTGACCACCGAAAATCTAGCTGCGAGCATTTTACAAGTTGATAGATCACCTCGTATATGCGGCTGCCTACCATTGAACTCCTTTTGGAGAGGTGGCCCTTGGCGAAGGAGATCTACATATATCTCATTTGGGGAGCACGTATATTTGCATCCTTGGGTAAGGGCGGGGTACATATATAGTAATATGTTCTTGGATATAAGTGGTTTTCCAACGTTAGAATAGTAGAAAGTAGCTCATGCTTTTTGGTTCTGTGGAAAATCCAATAAACGTCAAGGTATAGTACACACGGAAATTAAAAACACGAGGCTTAGGCTTTCAAGTGTTGGTTTTTAGGCAGATGGACCCCAATTATCCAATCATTATAAGATGACACTGCCCCTGAGCAACACGAGTGTTACTGTAGGCACAACTCGGTTACACCAATAAAATTCGTTGTTCCATAAATTTCAGCCGCGCTCTCGTATCTGCGTACCGAAGACCCTAAATTTAGAAATTGCCAACTGATCTTCCACAAGGAATTTACACTCACGAGCAGAAAAACGGAGTTTTTATTTCTATTCAAAGGTCGGGAATAACATCAATTGATTTACTGACACAATATATTAGTTGGGAACAAAATAACTCTTAGGAACAACGCACCACAGCCCCAAACAACAAAAATGTGCTGTCATCAATCTATTCTCTTCTGGTTCAGGAAAGTTGCAGCCTGAACCGGGGATTTCTCGTATTCAGCCCATCGAGTCGTGCAATAGACTTTCACCCGCCCAAAATGGGGCGACCTTCAGCTACATATGTACAAGTCTCGATGTAGATAGGAAATGGAAAGCGTAAGAAGGTGACATAGAGAGTGCACCAGGCTGTTATCCCATTTGAATATATTTAATATTTCCCTCCAGCCTGACCATCAGTTGATAGGGACTTTAGTCTTTCACACTCGTTATATTTTACTTCTTCCTTACTCAAATATTGTATAATTTCACCAATTTAATCGCTAAAATGCGTGTTTCCTTCTTCCTAGGGGGGGTTATTTTCCCTCTGGTATCCCTGGCCGATGAGGGAACTCTTCGATTGCCGTTGACGCATGCCCGTCGTGCCGTCAGTCGTCGAAGTTCTGGAACAACCACAGTTCCTCTGCAAAATGCTTACGTAGAATACCTCGTTGAGGTTTCAGTCGGTACACCCCCTCAAAAGATTCAGTCTCAACTAGACACTGGAAGCAGTGATCTATGGTTCCCGACCGCATCCCAATGCCCTGACACAACCACATGCCCTTACGGCTATTGTGAGTATATCGTATCTCTCCTCGATACAAGAACGTTGCTGATATGTTGCCATCAAAAAGTCACTCCTTCCAAGTCTTCCACCTTTGCCGAGGTTGCTCCAAATGAGTTCAATATCACTTATGGTGACGGCTCGGGTGCAATTGGCGACTACTTCAATGATACATTAACAATCGCAGGCACTACTGTGAAAGACTTCACCATGGCTGTCGCCAGGGAAGTTACTGGTGAGCCCGTGATTGGCTCCGTGATGGGTGTCAGTTATCCTGCCCTAGATGCATCTAACAAAGGGGTAACCTATCCGAACTACCCTCAAGCCCTTGTCAACTCTGGGTTCATTAATACCGTTGCATATAGTCTGTGGTTAGATGACTTAGGTAGGCATATTCCAATCTCCATTTATAATATCTTGCTAACAACTCAATAGCCGCTAACACTGGAAGCATACTCTTCGCTGGTGTGGATAAAGCCAAATTTTGTGGTGCATTAGAAGTGGTTGATGTGCAGCCATATCAGGGAGGCATCTATGCTTTCTATGTTACCCTGAACTCCATATCATATACTACCGGTTCTGGCACTTCTACTATTGCTTCCACTGCCTCTCTAGCCCTGCTGGATTCTGGCACCAGTCTTACTGCTGTGCCTCAGGATGTTCTCCAAACCATTGTATCCCAGTTTCCAACAGCGCAGTATGATAGTCAGTATAGTGTCTATGTTGTTCCTTGTTCAGCTGGCCAGCAAGCAGGACACTTCACCTTTACCTTTGGAAACAAGGCTATCAGAGTGGATCTCTCCGAGTATGTCTTACAGGAAAATGAGCAAGGATCCTGTAGATTAGGATTCCAGGCTAGTCCGGATGACACTTACATCCTGGGTGACACCTTCCTCCGCTCTGCATATGTGGTCTATGATTTAGTGAACAATCAAATTGGCTTGGCTTCGTCTAGCTTCAATGGTGGTGAATCCGATGTAGTTGCTTTCCCCAGCTACGGAGCTCACATTCCTCAATTGACCGGATCGTGCAGCAGCACTACAACCACCAGCACATCTGCATCCTCGACTTCACATTCCCAGACATCATCCACTCCATCTGCCACCAAAACGCTGCCTGCTTCCACCACATCGTCAAACCCAATATCTTCTTCTCCACCAGAGCAAGCTTCTACTACGACAGGCCCGGTTCTTCCTCCGACTAGTAGAGTGACTCCTCCCTACCAAACGACCACCAGCTATCCATCGGCCAGCCATTCTGCGCCGTCAGGGAGCCTCTCTATCTCTCCAAGTGCGCCATCTTCGCCAGCTTTCACGGCCGGTGCATCCCGTCTAGTGAATGTACCAGCAGGTGTTCTTGTCGGACTTGTTGCAGGAGCAATTGTATTTTAATCAGGCGTCCACATAGGTAACTGAAGTGGGGACTGATCTCGTTCGTGAGGCCTGCCGCTTTAAGGAAAGGTGATGGATTTGGTGATTTATTTCTATTCTTGATCATCCTACATTTTAACACTATTTTGACACCAAGATAGACGCAAGCTTATCTACATGGTTTGTAATATTAAGATTACTATTCAACCTACGATAAACGTAAATTAGGCTGATCAAGTGAGTCATTCGCTGACAATCCCACGAGGGCTTGACTTTTCACGTGCCAAGCCGGGCTCCCACTGGTCGGTGGCCCTATTAGTAATGTGCAAAAAGTTTCCGGTTTGGGCTGGCTGACAAACCGGCATGGCGCCGCTTAAGTTAACTAATTATTAATAATGACGCAATTAAAAAAAAAGGTTTAGAACTCAGCGCTGGAAATTGTATATGCTCATTCTTCGATTCTTTGGCAGAACAGTACTCTATCAGGCTGTATCCTGGGGTATGGATCATCTCGCGCTAAATCGTGAATCACAGGTTGATTGAATGCGTATCAAAATAAAATCATGTATGTAGGTCATTAGTTGATCAGAGGTCTGCGTTTCTCGTCTGGCGCAATTTGTAAGAATATGTGATTTAAGGTGTTCCTATACGGAGATTTCGGAGTCGGAGCATCTTTATGTGCTAAATATATGATACGGTCGGTTTGATCCGAATTTCTTGTATAAAGTAGGATTCTCATTGGCTACGGCCGTGATTTCTAATAGGGTGGATCATTTACGATTAGTTTTGCTGCACTAGAACGTGTTGGAAAAAGGCTATCTATATTTCCGGATTTTGCGGATTTGTAATTTGGTACAGCCATTAGAAAAGTTTCGAATCGGTGTTAAGGGAGATACAAAATATGATAGGAAATATAAAGCTCGTCATTTTCCAGCCTAGTATGAGTTCTGCTTCTGTAGATAACTGATATCCTTCTGAGACGGTTTCACACTGTGACTCGATTTTTTTTCAATCACAAGGGTGTTCGTTAAGCTCCACCCAATCAGATATCCAAATATCCGGCCCTATACAAGAAGACTCTAGAAACGCGTCAAGAATATCAACCACCCCGATGGCGGCTTTAATTCGAGATGCTCCCTTTGGGCAGCTAGTACGTTACTTAACAAACAACAAATATTTCCAATATCCTGAAGAGAAGCCGGACTTCAAGCTTCCCGAGCCATGGATCAAATTAATGAATGAGTCGGACCCTTCCGCTTCGACATATCCAGAGAAGGAGAGGCGACAAGAGAATGGCAATAACAACCAAAGCAGTGAAGATATCAGCCGGGTCACCACTTTAAACAGCTTGCCATTCACAGAGGCCCGTCTCGAGGCTGACGAGCAACATGAAATCGAAAAGGTCAAGTCCATTCCAATCGTCCCAAAGAAGACAAAAGACGGTGCCGTCCTCGTGGACTGGTATTATACCAATGATGAAGAAAATCCACACAACTGGTCTAATAAGAAACGGGCTTTTCTTGCAACCTTAATTTGTCTTTATACGTTTGTTGTCTATACTACGTCGGCCATCTATACATCATCCGTGGTGGGTGTCATGCAGCAATTTAATGTGAGTGACTTGCTTGCCACCCTCGGACTATCGTTATATGTCCTTGGGTATGGTACTGGGCCATTGATCTTCTCGCCTATGAGCGAGATTCCCTTGATTGGGCGGAACCCAGTGTATATTATCACTATGTTCCTTTTTGTTATCATCTCCATCCCCACTGCTTTTGTCGGCAACTTTCCCGGTCTCATGGTCCTGCGTTTCCTTCAAGGGTTCTTCGGATCGCCATGTCTCGCATCGGGAGGTGCCTCCATTGGCGACATGTACAGCCTCATGGCTCTGCCTTACGCCATGATGGCTTGGGTCTCAGCTGCCTACTGTGGGCGTAAGTTTCCTCCTATCTCTTTTCACAATCTTCCACTGACAATACGATATAGCTGCCCTTGGACCACTGATCAGTGGTTTCGCCGTCCCCGCCGAGTCCTGGCGATGGTCTCTTTTTGAATCCATTTGGGCCTCCGCTCCTGTCTTCATACTGATGTTCTTCTTCCTCCCCGAGACCAGCAGCGCCACCATCCTGCTTCGCCGTGCCGAGCGACTTCGCAGGATCTACAACAACGAGCGCTTCATGTCCCAATCTGAGATCGACCAGCGCAACGTGAAGATGTCACACGTCGCCATTGACGCACTGATTAAGCCCTTGGAGATCACATTGAAGGATCCCGCCGTTCTCTTCGTTCAAATCTACACGGCCATCATATACGGAATTTACTATTCCTTCTTCGAGGTCTTCCCGCTAGTCTACCCCGTTGACTACCACATGAACCTCGGCCAAATTGGCTTAGTCTTCCTGTGCATCTTGGTAGCGTGTCTTGTCGGCGTCGCCGCCTACTTCTCTTACCTCTACTTCTGGATGAATCCCCGCATAGAGCGCTTCGGCTTCCCCGTCCAGGAAGCCCGCCTGATCCCAGCCCTGCCCGCCGCCTTCGGACCTACGATAGGCCTCTTCCTCTTTGCCTGGACCGCCCGTGCCTCGATCCACTGGATCGTACCGACCATCGGCATCACGATCTACGGCGCTACAGTCTTCATTGTCATGCAGTGCCTCTTCGTTTACATCCCGCTGAGCTACCCGCAATACGCTGCCAGCCTCTTTGCGGCGAACGACTTCTTCCGCAGCGCTCTGGCATGTGGTAGTGTCATGTTCGCGCACCCGTTGTTTAATAACTTGGGTGTTGCCAGGGGTGTCAGTCTACTTGGTGGACTAAGCGTTATTGGTATTTTCGGTATCTGGCTACTCTACATTTATGGATCTCGGCTCCGGGCTCTGAGCAAATTCGCAGTCTCAGAGGAAGAGGAATAAGACTCGGTGTTCTTTTAATATCTCGGTAGATATGACTTGTGGCAAAGCATGTTAGGCTTTGAATGACACATTAATGATGATGGATGAATAGACATTTAGATATTTGTGCATAGCGATAGATTTTTCATGTATTAATAGCAGAATCAGTTGCATATTTTGAAATTTGAGTCGAAGATAATAATGTTAAGGGAAAGTGTGAGCAATATAGTTCTTTCGTCCTAGTTATTTTGAAATATATGAAAAGAGTGTTTTGGACATGCACTAAGGGTTGAAGACAGTAGATAATACATTGTCTTGAACATTTGAAAGACAGGTCTAATATAAAGAGATTGATAAATAGTACAGGAAATTCATCAGAGCCCAGTCTTGCAATCTCAGGGTTTCGCTCACTAGACTTGAATAGAAGCGTATATTACTTTGAGAATGAATTGGATCTGAAGTGATTCATTTACCACTTATTTATGAGAGAATAAATTTGCATTATGAAAGTGACAGTATATATCTATCAGAGGCAATCCACAGTTTTTAGTTACTATCGTATATATACGTTGCTGATTCCAGATTTTCCAATGCAGCCCTGATTGGCCTTGTGGATAAACTCCATGTCGTATTTCATTAATTAATTATTTAAGTATGGTTTCCACGGAAGCCACATTTGGGAATACGAGAAGATTAGGCTCAAAATTACGAGGCTACCTCCTAAGCTTGAGCTTAGCTACAACAGTTCACTCAATACGAGGTAGCATCGGGGCGCTAAAACAATCATACTCAAATAAGGCGGGGTTCAAATCGGCACTTCTCGAAGCAAGGACATGGCTTTCTCTCTAGCTAGGTATCCAATATTACTGCTATATACCCTGATAGTGAATAAGTTAGAGTCAGGTGCCTAAGCTTTATGCTAATAAACCAGGGGCCATTTTGGGTCCATCGCAGAAATGAGAATCATATATATGGGAAAGGGGTAGTTCAGCCTGCTTATTCCGTTTCGAACGCCAAAAGTTAACTTGGAACTATGAATGACTGGCATATCCGAGCAAGTATATGTGAACTAGGTGCGAGTCATGCACGCGGGGATACGAAGTCCTATGAGCACCTACTTATTAATTTGCCTCAAGCTGAGCTCATAACACCTGTATTCAAGCAACCGGGCAAATCGCAACTCCCAGCACTGTGGTCAGACCCAGAAACGCAGAGTAATTATCAAATCAGCGTCTGCCTACCATCACACTAATGCGTGCCTCGTTATGCTTATGAGGCCAAGAGACATCCTAATCTGCATGATGGCAGCTGAAATTTGATAACCGCTCTGCGTTGGCCAGCTCGAGCTCTTCTCAGGCAACACATAGCGTAAATTAGTCGCCAGTCTGTAGTCAGGTTATATATCTTAATAATGCCAGCAATGTTGCTCCTAGCAAACTTTTGGAAAGCCTATTCGGCATTGGCTAATTAGCTTTCAATCAAAAAGAAAATGAATGGTATCTTCGTGCTCGTCGCTTTCTTGGAGCTCCTCCTAACTTTGGAGGCTTTCAAGCACAGCTTGAGACCCACCGAGTCTCAAAAGAAGTCAACTCAGCTACAGGCTGGGTCTCGGGTTGTTTCTCAGGCAGCACGGGGAGTAGCTAAAAACGCAACTTTCTCCCTAGCGACAGGATTAGATCTACATCATTCGTTTATGGGCCTATCCCCCCGGCAGCTAGAATGCGAACCCGGATTCTGTAAGTCGCTACAGAGGCTTTCCCATAACTACGGTCTTCCGATTTATTCTTGTTGTCAGGCTAACAATCTTCGGCAGACCCGTGCCCGGATGGCGAGTGTTGCGAGGATGGCACCACATGCGTTCTAGACGGATGCTGTCCAGGTGCAGAGGAGCTCTGCGGTACTGGTTGCTACAATCCAGAAACAGAGGTATGCTGCGAGGAACAAGGCACAGCCTGCACTCTACCAGACATCTGTGCTTCCAATGGAGGCTGTTGCCCCGAGGGTACAGAACTATGCGGAACAGATGACTGTTACAATCCTGAAACAGAGGTTTGCTGCGCCTCGGACAACTATCACTGCAATTCAGGAGAGATATGTATAGGCAATGATCGCTGCTGCCCTGAAGGCCAGAAAGCTTGTGGAGATGGGTGCTATGACCCCGAAACACAGGTTTGCTGCGCTGATACATCGACGTACTGTGAGGAAGGATATGTTTGCGTTGAAGACGGATGCTGTCCGTCGGGGATGGAGGAGTGCGGTACCAATTGGTGCTTTAATCCAGAAGAGGACGTGTGCTGCGCAGAAAACGAGAATGAGGCATGGGCCTGCAAGAATTCCTACGAGTGCTGTAATCTTTCCGCGGGTTGCTACCTCCCCGAGACCGAGATCTGCTGTGAGGGGGGCGCCTGTCCCGTTGGAGATACATGTTGTGGGGAGGAGTGCTGCACTGAATATGCTACGTGTGGTGAAGACGGTTACTGCACCGCGACAGCGTCGTTTTCAATGTCTGAAACCGTATCCCAGACGCCAATATCGGAACCCACAGCCACAGAAACTGAGATAACCTCTGAAACTGAGACCGAAAGCTTCAGCGAGACGATCACCAAATCTACCGTGACCAGAACAACTGATAGTCAGACGACTACACAAAGCACAACTACTACGCGAAGCCTATCGGTCACAACTGCGACTTCGACTACCTCAGCCAATTCTACCTCCACCACATCGACTGCGTCGGCATGTTCCATCTCACTCGGAAAACGTGCTACCCCCTTGCCGACATTCACCATTTCGTACGAAGAGAAGATTACCGTTTTCCCCGTTACTTCTACTGTGTCTGGCCCGACTCCGTCAACAACCGTCACATCAACAACAGTTTGTGTGGACAACAGAGAGGTACGTTGCGTTGATCCACGAATCAGGAGTCTGAAAATCTGACAAATTACAGATATTAGACAATATGTGTGAAGGTGAGCTATAAGTTTTCCTACGGCCCACTTAGACGGTCTCTAATTTTTATCGCAGGAATTCTCAACTATACTGGGTGTGGCACCAACGATATGATGCTCACATACGCCCCTTCTCTGAAGAAAGACAATCGAAAAGCAAAGTGCCCCAAGGGATACTGCTGTAAGCCGTGTCTACTAATTTTGCACTTGACCAGGCTCAAGTTCGTTCTATACTTTACTGACAGCAACATATAGCAAAATATAACGAGCCATGTGGTAACCCGTCAGCTCAGAATGAGATCTGTAATCCTTATTACAATCTCATGAACCAAGCCAACGGTACTACCAAACAAGACTTTCTGATGTCCTGTGATGAGTTCCCTTTTGGTAAGCCTGTTGAATCTGTTTATCAGGGCCCGCTCCTAACTATCATACGCAGCCGCCTCGCAGCAGGGAGGGGACCCAAGCAAAGGATCGACACGATGTGTGCCGGGATGGGAAAACTCTTCTCAGGGTCGTCAGCTTACCGGCCTCTACAGATATTTCAAAGGAAGTACGAATAAAGACTATATTGTAGAGGTTACTGGCTTTGATTGCCGGACACGCAAGCCAAATAATCCCACAAACTGCAAGTCCCCCGCAAAGAGAGATGATATAGGTGGAGCATCCATAACACAAGGTATGTACATGGCCAGCAAACCATGATGCAGTCGTGTACTGAGAAACTAGACGACTTCAACTTCTTCACCAATGTAAACGGATCGGCAACCAATGCTCTAATGATGATAGTCGGTGATATAGACGCTGGAATGTAAGCTCCCCCCTATCAGAACTCTTGAAAATTCTGGGATAGATTTACTGAAGGGCGTCTGGAAAACAGATATACCTACAATTTGAATATACATTCGGGCAACTTCCCGACTGCAATGGCAGTTGACTCTGAAGGCTTCATTCTCTACGAAGTCCCTGGCGGCCTGACGGCTAAAACTACGGATCAAATTGTGACTTTTCAGGTCGATGACTTCGAGATCAGCGTGTCGCTTTGGGCATTCACATCTGACACCGAAGTCTCCGTCTCTTACAACATATCTAGCGAACCACTACCGAGCGGAAACTCTACAACCTCTACAACCTCCACAACAGTTACGGTAGTTAAAACCGACACAACCACAGAGCCATGCACGTCGAGTACGCCAGTGAGCACAACTACATCCGCTAGCACCATAGCTACTGTAGGAACGGCATGCAGTGAATGCGAAAGTTTTGCATCTAGTGCAGGTGAAACGTCCACACCAGTTACATCTAAGAGCATGGCGCCATCATCAGTCAGCTCGGGTGAAGCTTCTACGTCGGCTACAATCGAACCTACAGAACCGCCGTCCACTGGGCAATCACCTATAGAGTCTCCGACTACCGCGATCTCCGGACAGCCGTCGGGTTCAAGCACAATACCAATGGTTACAATCTCCAACACCGCGCCCCCGTCGAGTAGCAGCCCCACCGGTGTACCGGTATTTACAGGTGCTGGAACCGACCTTCAGTTTGTAAAATATTTCTGGGCTGTTTCCATCATTGTTGCATCGTTTATGTTGATTTTATAATACAGAAGCCATACCGTAATGTTCTTCTCTTATTAGTATATCAATTGATAACCGTGCTAGTTGATTTTGTAATCCCTGGCCTGTGAACCCTCGAAGATGAGTCGCTCCTTTAGCCACATAAATGAGATCACATGGAAGAGTGGGTTCACTTCTGACTTATTTCTATTATTTAAGTAGCCTTCACTGTAGCTCATTGGGCTTTGGACAAAGAAGACTAAGTCAGGCTAATCTAATGATTGCTCATCGCGTATGTATAACAACTTACACAGCCTTGCTAAGTAACCCGTGAATTTCGTCAAATTGGGACGAACGAAAGAGATGCGCTTTTCAGCCCCTCGCTGCGGTCTGCCGCTGCCTCGTGGGCCAACCTGCAATTTTCGGTCATACATTGCAATATATTTGATCATTTGGAAAACAAGAGGTTAGATTTTACTGGTACAGTGTTACTTAGCGTCGTGCATTCGGCCCGTTTTTCCACACTATGGATCATGATCGTCTTCATGGGACGTTCGAAATCTGATCCTTAGTGCACGCTAGCATCATTTTGATTGATTTACTTGTATAGTCAAATGATGATGACCTCATAATTTTTTCGTTTACCAATACAGCTACTTCAAAAAGAAGTACATTAGGTAACAGGCCAGCGATCATTCTCCCCACTTCTTGGTCGCTGGGGACTGTTTATTTGCTAAAAAATCAAATCTCTACTACGGAAATACTCATATTATCCGATAATTATCTGTATTGCTTAATAGGGGGCTGCTTTTGCGTGATGTATACATCTCATACCATGTCATGGAGCATGCTTCATTCCAAATCTTAATACCATATATTTAAAAAAAAAGTATAAAGGTAGGCCCCTGACCCTTCAGAAACACTTGGTATCTCGAACTATCGATTGCAAATACCAGCCCTTCTATTGAAACCACCGTCAGGACCAGCAACGAAGACAAAAGTTAGCATCATTCTACCCAAAATGAAGCTTAATATTCTCACCGCCTCCACCCTTTCCGCTATTTCCACACTTACCAGTGCATACAATCTTACCCTGTATACCGACGAAAGTTGCTCAGAGGGTGGCACAGACTTTAGGTAGGTATATAACACATTTATGATTCGATATCAAATAAAGTTGCCACTGTTAATGAAAGTATAGTGCTCCTGACTTCCAAGGTGGCCAGGGAACTGTTGGTACATGTACAACTATTGGCTTCCAAGCCAAAAGCGCCTGGTTCACCCAAGACACCGACACCGAGCAGCAACTCAGTGGTTGGGACGATCCCCAGGAGACTTGCATAGCTAGCGAATCCGGCCAAAGCGATGCTGATGTCACCTTATATACCTACCAGCCAGTAGACATGAGCTGCCAAGACATTACGGACGGTATCTACAACGCAGGAGATGGAATTGCAAGTTTCTTGGTTGGCGTTGTTGGTTAAATTTGGCCGCCAAGCTTGATGCTATTTGACTACTGGGAGAATATATCGGCAGTTGAGAAGGAGGAGGAGTTTGTCATATTAGAGAGATATATAATACTTCAGCGAATAGAGCATACCATGCAGATATCCCCAAACAATATAAATTAGAAATAGATTGCGCCTAGCTCAATGGTTTAATGCTGTATGCTGGGATGCATGTAGATAGTGTTTAACATTTGAAGTGACATCCATACTTTTTATTGGATTTGTTTGCTATAAACCTGTTTATTTATTACATTTAATTTCTAAGTCACCCGTGATTTTCGATAAAGTGGTACATATTAGTATATGACATATTAATCTATTGTATAATAAGTCGTCCATCGATAAGGTAGAGTGTACGTACGTCTCAAACTCCTGATAAAATTAAATCTTTCCTGATTAACCCCGATATATTTAGTTTAGGGGTAAATGTCCGGGTCTTCATCTATTGGAGAAATTAATGATCAATCCTTTCTCAGATAATGCTCACTGCTAAGTGACATGTAATTCAACGCTCGGGGTAACTTGGAGATGGATTGCTAGGCCCACGAGCGGAAACATTTGAATGAATCATGCTGGACATTCACTAGTCCCGCCTCTGTGGAATGGTACGATTAATAAGATGACCAATCAAGCATTATATGAAACGGGATTTCGTTAGCTTCACTCATTTCTATGCATACTCATAGTGGAATGGCTCTTCTGCAGTGTAGGGACACAGAAAGTTCATGTGTAATATAGTTCAATTGAAGAGTGCTAAGATTTTTAAAACACCTGTACATTACTTTTCGGCTATATACACCTATGCCAACTCATATAGCATTGCAGGTCCCATGAAATTTAGATTTAAACAGAATTCTTTTCTACTTGATTCCCAAAGGTTTCCAAGTTTCAATTTGCACCGTCAAATCATGCAGATGGGCTTTTTTGATGCTTCCACCGTCTCAGGTATTCTACTGAGTGCTTGTATCGATGGTCATCAAGCTGCTCCAACCGCTTCAGTCCCGCATTACTGATTCAGGTAAGCTGGTGAGTGCTTTATTGATGTTGTGTGCAGTGACGTGGGGATAGTGAGCAGAGGTAGCAGCGATTATCTGGTCTTTCAATAGTTCGTTTTTTTTTTGAAAATCAAGTCTTTTCTGCTCCCTCCGAAACAACAGCCGCGTCAGCTTCACCGCCCACATTTGTACTTCCACTAGCCGCTGTAGAGGCAGTGGTATTTTCTGTCGAAGATAAACTGGTAAGTTGACGCTCGAGCTCCCTTATCCGCATACGCAGCATCTGATTCTCGCGGGTGAGCATAGCAGCTTCCGCCTGATAGAAAGCGCTCTCGTCCCTGCTGTTACGACGGGCAGTGGTAGTCGGAACCGCCCCGGGGTCGTTAGTCGCTAAAACAGACCAGTCCGAGCTGAAGCTACTATGGGCGGGGTCGATTGCAGGTGTATGTTGTGTAGACGTGGCAGCAAGATTAGGAGAAGCCGCTTCAGATGCGCGAGATCCACGGCGGTGAGAATGTGATAAAGGTATTTGCATGGATCGAGAGCCGGGGGTTGGAAGAGGCGGTATGGAAGGGAATGATTGGGAGCGTTCTGAACTTGGCGTTGTGTCGTCGATGACGGCGGCTTGGCCGTGTTGATGTTGCTGCTGCTGGTGTAGTTGGTGGAGTTGAAGCTGTTGTTGCCGGATCATCTGGAGTAGCCTATTCTTCAAGGGTGTTAGTTTAAATGCATGAGTCTAAATACCGGTTTTAATCCGAAAAGTTTCGAGCCTACCACCTGAGCTTCTTGCTCTTGTTCAAGCTCCTGATGCAACTCTCCAAGCGACGGCGCCCGCTGATGATGAGGGTCGCCTGTTCCAATAATCGGGCTACCTCCCAAGCTTCCAGGACTGGCGGTACGAAAGTAATTACTGAAAGACGAGGAGCGATGTTCACGGGCCTCGCCAGGTGGCTCGTTCAAATTCAGATGCATTCCGATGCCAGACCGTCGACGGCTTTCTGAGATGGAAGGTCTGCTACTGTGCGGGGAACTGCGATGGCCGCTGAGAGACGAGCGGTGGGATAGATCGGTGGTATTATTATGGTTATTATTCATTGGCGCAGCGCTTGAAGATCGCGGTGAGGCTGTTTGTGAAGTCCCGTTATTGTTATTGTTCTGTCCTTCCATGGTCGATGATGGCAAGTTGCGTTGCTGCAGTGGGGATGACGTCGATGATCGAGAAGGAGGAAGGGAGTTGAGGTCAGGGGCCATTGCAATTTTAAGAAAGAATATACGGCAAGGAAATGCCTGCAGAGTCTGTTCTTTTATTTCCAAGTGAGACAAAGACCGGATCCGACAAATTGTGTTGAACACGTATGATCTGTTAGGAGCAGGTGCATCAATTGATCTTTTGCGGGCGCATCATGTGACACGTCTGTTATTTTGGGTGGCCGCATCCGTCGATCTATGCGGACGCTTTAGATGTTTCATTCCTAATTTTCAATATTAAATGTTGATATTCGAAGTTGATTATTTGTTTGCGAATTTGTGTGTTTGTTTGGTATTGTTCATCTGTATTGTCTTATGTTTATATAACTATACGAGTATATACAAGAATATGATACCTGAGGCGGTACGTACTCCAGTATCATGAGGGGACACCCTCGTATTCCCAGCCCTCGATGACTCTTTTCCTCCTTCGCGAGATCCGGTTGGAATTGCATTTGACAAAAATAATTAAAACAGTGATGATAAGCACGACGATCGCAGCAATTGTAGGAATAAGAATCGTTCGTCGCTGAACATCATCAGGGTCGGCACTGTAGGGACAAGAAGAATTTGTTCCTCCCAAGACCCAGCAATACTGAACCTGCATAGAATTCATATTAATCCATATAGTCTGTTCGCTGCTGTCACCAACTGAAGATACCACAGAATCATACAAATATGTATTTTCCAGTCCTGTACGAGGTACATCAAAAGAAGAATTCTCCGGGCATCCGTAGGCAGAGTCAGAGAAGGACTGGCTATTTTCTGACAAGATCCATGAATACGGTTGATTGTCGACGCGACATGCAGCGCGATATTCATCAGAGCAGTTTCCAGCTTTCCAATGCCCCGCTGAATTGGTGTCCATGAAGGCACACCGGAACGTTCCACCACTTTCAAACTGTGGATCACCACTTGCATTTCGAGGCTCGCCGATAGCCCAAGACCACATGGTTGACATAGATGCGATTCGATACCGGTCGATATCAAAATCTACGGTCTCGCCACCAAGTGTCTGGTTAAGTATGGGAGAGATGCCGCAGTTGGTAAAGTTAAGTAACAAAGCAGAGATCTCAGGAGTGGTGTTAAGATCGATATTGGTAGGTACCCCCTCTGCCCAGGATGAGTTGACTTTCGATACATCTGTTGTTTGAGGATTAAAAAAACACCCGGATCGCAGCCCTCTTTCATCTGAAGTGATTGAGATAGTGGTGCTGGACGTGACTTCGTCCGCCGGAAAAATGTACGAGGAATCATTGTTGAAATTGTAATTTTCCATCTGAGAATCAACCGATCCCAATCCAAATAGTAGTCTTTTGTTGGACTTTTGGGAGAGATAGGCCTCACAGGGCCATCCGTCCGGTGTACTTTGAATGTTACTGGCATCACTATCTGTGATAAAGTAGCTGGCTAGAAGGTTTGTATTGCCACTGGTGTCGGCATACCATGACGCATTAAGATTTCCGCGCTCCTGTGTTAGAATGGTTGGAGTATATATATTCAACCCTAATTGTTTGTCTATTATCGAGCCTAGCATTGTTGGCCCCGACGGAAGACTTGATGCCGGTAGAGTAGGCGGTGGCTGATCAGGTGCATCGCTGTCGGCTGCAGCATGCAAGTTGAAAATAATATATAGGAACGTAGCTCCCACGGCCTGCCCGGTATTCTGTATATAGCTATCGAAGACCCCTGTGAGAGTCGTAACATCGAAGGAACTAGAGCATGTATAATCGCCCAAGATATATTGAGAGGCTCCTGATGCATTCGAAGCCGAACTCGAGGGAATCGAAACAGGGCACAGCAGCCATTTCTGGTTTTCATGCGACCAATATATATCGACAATGAAGCGACGATATCCCACGGTCAAAAGGTCTGACAAGCATGATGAGCCTGCCGCCCCGTCGTAAGATTTGTCTCCGAAACAAGCCGCGGTAAGAGCAATCGCCGGCTGCGTTACGTAGTTAATTGGGACTTGGAAGGAGACATCTCGCTGACTCTAGAGGATCCTGAATTAGATGGTTTTCAGCTGCAGACCGATTCAATGCTTACCAAGAGATTAACCCAGAAAAGATCAGTGAGCAAAGAGGTATTCGACGTATACGTGCCAGACATTGAATCGCGCCGGACACGAAACAACCACTGATTAATCAGGCGGCACCAGAAGCATCTCTTTTCAGAATGGCTTCCACATCCCTCGATGATAACGCCAGCGACTGGAAGGAGCAGGTTGATATATCTAGGACTATTGCAGATCGCGGTTGTCCATGACCGCAGATGACCCGCCGCGCTTGACCCGTTCGGGATGCGCACCTTATAATCTGGCCTCTTCGGAGCAATAGTTGACCACCTCCAGAAAGCCAGACAAAACTCTCCCACTCCCTTGTTGCCCGTCAAAAACCGAGCCAGGTGTGATTATTACACAACGAGCCTCAATATTTTGTCTACCTTGTGTCACTCGCTACAAGCACCTCCCCACCACAATGGCTGCTCCTCCCGGCATGACGCCGCAGCAGATGGCAGCGTTTCAACAGCACATGCAACAGCAACTGGCCGCTGAGGCCGCCAAGAGGGGCATGACCCCAGAAGAATTTGTCAAGATGCAGCGGGAGCAGGTCAATACAGAGGCAGCCAAACACGGCATGACTCCGGAACAATATGTCAACACTATGAGGATGCGGGCCATGCAACAGCGAGCTGCTCAGCAACAGGCGCAAGCGCAAGCACAGGGACAGGGCCAAGGACAAGGACAAGCGCAGGCACAGCAAGGACAACCACAAGGCCAAGTGCAGCAACAGGCGCAACCGCAACCAGTCCAGCAGCAAGTACCCGTAAACCCAAACAACCCTCCAGACCCAAAGGCCATCGCCGTAGCAAACTGGCTGCGTTCGCAAAACCTCAAAACTCGCACATGTATTCTGGATGGCCAACGCAAGGATATGTTCAAAGGTACGGGTTACCGCCCAGTCAATTAACCAGGTAGCAGATACTAACATTGAACCTGTCTCTTAGTCAAACGTGCCATCCGTGCTCTCGAATCTCCCGCATATGCCAAAGCTTCTAGCAAGAGCAAAGGTCTCCTCCCTCCGGTGACAGACAGAGCCTCTGCGGAAAACACCTTTAAACTTCTCCCTCTTTCATTACTCGCGTTACGAGTCTCCAAGCACGACCCACACGCCGGCCATGGCCATGGCAAAGGAAAGCGAGTTAAAGGACTGTGGACTGTCAAAATCGAACAGCACCAAGAGACGGACCCTATGATGCACTACGTATTCCTTTACGAGGGCCCGCAATGGAAGCAGAAGGCTATGGCCGCCGCCGTTGTTGCTGGGATTTTCGCTGTCGTTCTCTTCCCCTTGTGGCCGATCATGCTGCGTCAAGGTGTGTGGTACTTGAGTGTCGGCATGATGGGTCTGTTGGGTCTGTTCTTCGCCATGTCGATTTTCCGACTTATTCTTTTCTGCATCACGGTTTTTGCGGTTCCTCCAGGTCTTTGGCTGTTCCCCAATCTTTTCGAGGATGTAGGATTCTTTGACAGTTTCAAGCCTGTTTGGGGCTGGCAAGAGGTATACCCTTGTCCCATACTTTCTGACGTTTTCATAAGCTAATCATCTATTCAGAAGAAGAAGAAGAAGCCCAAGAAAGCCAAAAAGACCGTTGCTGCTGCTGAACCCGCAGCTCAACTCGCAACCACGACTTCTGCGCCAACCGATACAACCTCGTCGGCCACCTCAACCGGCGCAGCCCCTGCTGCAGGCGCAGACACACCGACCAAGCGCGCACCTGCAGCAACTGTCGAGGACGCGGAAGAAGAATGAAGAGAATATCAGACTACATGAGCATGGATTTATATTTCTTTCTCTTTCTGTTAGCTAGTGCATTGAACCTTTTTCCCTGTTCCTTTTTTCGAATAAAATCATTTTTCGTCTTCATTTTCTCGGTTGATGGGACTTTTGGCAGGTATTCATTTCACGGGGCGTTTCTTTTTCTTTTTCTTCTAAATGTTTATTCATTCAATTCATCGACAGTTGTATGCATGCATGTGACATGGATATCACTAGCCACTATGTAATATCAAATACCGACAACGATGTCCAACGAAGTAAAACTACCTTTAATAATCCCCAGAATAGTGCATTAAACCTGTCTGCACGCCGATTTTAAGATATGGTGTCACGTGCAGTATATCAGATGAGCATACAAACAGACCACCACCCGACCCCGAATTCTAATAGTTTGAATGATTTTCATCAATCCAGTATGAACTCAAAAAAAGTACATGTTAATTCTGGTATCTAATATACATAAATCCAAATGCTAAACGGTGAATATGCTAATTTGATCGCCAACCAGCCCATTATTGACCACTGATCAAATTTGATCGATGTGTGAGATGTGTCAATATGCCCTTGCAATGAAAGATTCAAATGCCATGTTTCCCAACGAATGCTGGTGATTTCGCCCATCAATATGATTCGATTGAACGATACAAAAAGCCAAAAAGGTCCGTCGCCATTTTCTATACGCGGACAGTTCAACCACGAAAAAAGTGACAATACAATACAAAAATAAGACAAGCTAGAATGATAAGAATCCATGCATCCGGTGTCATCTATATGGGAATTCCCTATGGTAATATATACAAGGGCAAGAAAGAAAGAAGAAACTTTTGCAAGACCCCATGAACAGGGCCAGGGGGGGTTTACGTATAGTCATTTGCATGATATACTCACAGGCCGTATGGATCATGACGGGTTGTTGTTGTTGATGATGATGGAGTTTGGATCGGTACAGCTGACGATGTCGTCGAAGTCATGTTTGCTGTAGGAATCGGAGACATTGCATTCTGCCGCCTCACAGTAAAGCCTACTTGACGCATTTCAGGACTGGCGGTGGGGATAGTCGAGGAGGTTGAGGAGAGGGAGGCGATGCTTTGCTTGCGCGAGGCTTCCATGTTGGGAGCTGGTAATAGGGACGATGCACGTGGTGGGATGGAATGCTTTCGCCATGAAGGCAGGGCTCGGGGGGGAACGCTAGATGGAATTTCGGGCAGTGGACAATCGGGTGGAGGAGCAGGAGGCAGCAGGGATAAATTCTGTGTACTCTTTTTTCGTGGCGAGGTTTGTTGCTGGATTGGGTATTGCTGGTTTTGAGGTAAAAAGGAAAAGCGGCGTGTGGAGTGATGTTGGGATTGGGGTTGTTGCTTGTCTTGGTGGAGCGTTGTATCTATTCCACCGACGACCGGGAGAGCAGTTGTGGGAGGAGCCGAGGGAGGAGACCTGGACACCGAAGGAACAGATATTTTGCTTGCTGATCCGGCTGCTCGGGGCACACCAGAACCAGTGATGGAAGGTCTCCGTGTCTGATACGACACTGGGGTGTGTTGGGAGACCGGATGGGGAGAGGACGGAGACGTTCGCTTACTTCGGTCAGTACTCCAAGCAGACTGTGCAAGACTCGGCAATGCAGTGGGAGTACTTGTATCACCTGGCTTCGGTAGCCTCGTAAGTGGGCGACTCCTTTGCGCAATAGCTGAGGTAACAGCTGGCGATTGTGATCGAGTTTCACCGAACTGACTTGGTCTTTGCGAGATGTCCGGTGACTGAACTTGGCGTGCATATCGTAAAGAAGGTAAAGATGGGCTGGCAAAAAAAGGAAGGCCCCTGGGTCCGCTAGTAAAGGAAGATTTGGTGGGTGAAATAGGAGTTGGTGTATTGTTTCTAGTGGTCTCGGCAATCAATGAGTGTCGTTTCGCCGGTTCGGGAACGGGCTCTCCTCCTAAGTCGATATTTAGGCCAGGAAGTTGTTGTTTCCGAAGTTCATTCGGGTGCACAGTTGACGAGTCAATCGAGGAAGCTTGAATGGACTCGGTTGCTTCAGACGTGACGGATGGCTCACTACCACGACGGGGGATCGCAAATCGTGAACTGAATGAAGGCACGCTAAAGTTCGGAAGAGTCGGAGAAGGGCTCTGGGAAGGAGAAGGAGCGTTGGCTACATATGATAATCGGCGGCTGAACTCAGGATCGTCTGTGGAACGGTCTGGTTGTGATTGTGGAGGCGAGGCGTACATTGAGCGTCGGGTGCTAGACGTGCCGGTTTTGCGTAGTTGGCGAGGGGTAGCAGGGAGTGATTGAACGGGAGAATTTGCAGGCGAAGGCTTGACGGAAGAAGGTTGGGAAGGGACATTTGGCTTCCGCGTTGGGGGCAAAGGAGCATCTCGGGGATCTTCGTATATAGTATTAGGATCCCGAGAGGTGGCAGTCGTAGAAATGGATATAGCATCCGAGGGTGCGGTTATCGAACGCCGATTCAATGCCTTTGCGAGGTTGCTTGATGGTGCTATATCCTGATGCGAGTTCTTCCTGCTGACTGAAGGCGCTATCGACGTTCGAGAAGACGTGCGAGACACTCCTTCATTCATCAGAGCCGATTTCCGAAAACTCAATTGTCTCGAGCTGCGTACGGACAAGGGCGGTTGGATAGGATGCTCGGTTGCTGCATATTTTTCCTCCGATGGTGATTCTGGGACGAAATTTTTTCCTCCCACGGCTTCAATGGCCCTTCGCAGTGATACTAGCCAAGCGTTCATCTCTTCGGGTTCCGTCAATACCATAAAAAAATTCCGTGCCATGCGGCGTGCATCGGTTCCCTGTATACCAAACCTGGACCATAAACCCCGGCCGCTCTCCGCGGGAAGCTTGCCATCATCAGACAACTTTTGAGAGACCTGGATTACGTATGGCTTTCCGGGAATGGCATCACTGGCAAAAGCTGCTGATGTTGGACCTAGGCGCATTAATTTCTCGGGAAGTCGGTCATGGCGGCCGTCACCTGAATACTGCAGAAGACAGCCTGAGGTTACCAGAACAAATATTTTTCTCGTTAACGAGGTGTCACTATGCGGCACAGATGTCCTTCTTGCTTGTTTCTTGTCCTTCTCTTCCTTTTTCTTTTTTGCAGCTGCAGACCCTTGGGCCGTTGAATTCTCGTCTTGGGTTGCCTTTGGTGCGGCATTCTTTCTGGAAGCATGAAGGCGCAGGATCGACTCGGCAGACACATTTGGGGTAAAGACGTATGCATGCCTCAGCGCCTGGGGATACGCTTGGAATAACGGTGGCGGGATCCACGGGGAAGTCGATTTTTTAGTGGGCTTTGATTTAGTCTTTTTCTCAGTATCTTTCTGCTCTGAATTCAGGTCGGTGGGAGTCGCAGCATCTGACGCAGGAGCAACAACCGTTGGGCTGGATTCCACCGTAGCGGTAAGTGATCGTGGAGTATCTGGAGCGTAGGCAGAGTGTGCATCTGATTCTCGTCTCTCGCCAAGCTGGGGAAGAGGGCTGTCCGTCCTTTTCCCGTCGCGAAGAGCTTTATTTCGACTGAAAAGACTCTTCAGACTAGACTTTGAGGGTTTCCGCTTGGCGGTTTCGCTATTCTGAAGAGGTGCTTTATTGGCCGGGCTAACAGGGGGTTCGACCGGCTGGAGACGCTGCAATCGTTGTTTTTGCAACACGGGGAGCTTTTGCAATCTCTGTGGCTGTGACTGTTGTTGTTGCTGCTGTGGCGCCTGCTGCTGAGCTAGATCGGTACGGATAGCAGCCAGAGGCGGTCCCCGGCGAGGTATCGCAGACTTGGGCGCAGATGGCGCATCCATGAAGCCGGTTTTCGCTCTCGGGCGTTATTTCAGCTCATCCCCATCACGGTTGCCCAAGCTGTCTCGGTCGAAGGATTCGGGTTTACACTGTCACATGTACTCGGGGCCGAGCGGATGGAAATTTTGGACGGTGGAATTGATAGCAATAATATCAAGTCTTGGTGATGATCTGAAAGCAATTGAGCTTCTTTTCCTCCTTGTTTGTTCAATGTTCTTAGCTACACTCGCCCACAATGCAATCCTAGCTCGCAATCGCAATTGTCATGGAACGGAAGCCGCCAGCATTGCGGTTCCAATTTTAATTGACCGAATGGCGCCGGGCATCAAATATATGAGTAAGTGAGCAGCGAATAAAAGACTACTGATAATAACAAAGAGAAAGAAGAAGAAGGAGAAGAAGGAGAATGAACGACGACCGGCTGAGCTTGGAAGTTGGAAGAGCATTAAGAGCAGTCGAGAACGAAGCTCACGCCAACAGAGGGCCAAAAGTTAAAACGAGCGGAAGAGGCGAGTGCTTTGTCTCCACCGTTCAATTAGCATCAACTTACTCAGTGGCAAGGTTAGTAGCATTGGGGTCGCACATCATTGGAGGCTGGTTGGTCGGTTTTGGGGCCAGCCCTGCCCAACGTAGCCTAACAGCCTCACACTGCCAAATAAATAGGCCACTAAGATGAACAACCGCGGGATTAGCGAGTCTATTGGGCTGTTTAGTGTGGCCATGTTTGGGATTTATTACGATCATTATTATTAGCACGCGCCGTTAGTCTGCATTTCGCCTAGAGCAGGATTAGCGCAGGCTAATACTAGGTCCATCATGATTCATTCAATTTTATGATGATCCATAACTCCATATGATTGTTGGTAACACGCTTATAAATACCGTGCCGGCCGACAACAAACATATATAAATGAGCAAGGGGGAGGGATTGCACATATTTATCCTATCCTCTCGATTATTATATTGACCGTGGGGCGATAATTGATCTAACACCAGAGATCTTTCGGATAATAGAGCACTTCTACTGACCATACTAGTCATGTTAATGGTATTCCTGGTCCTCGATAACGCTCTATTAATCATATAACAATTATTGATTTCCACGGCCCTACACCCACCTCTGTCGAGACAGAAAACATGGGGTATTCGTATAGAATGGCCAACCATGGATCATGGATCCATCCAGTATAGGCTTCCGGGCGCGCTCCGATCGCGTCCCAAAGTTCTGGGTGGAGCCAAGCCAAACTTTGGTTTATTCTGATACAGGACTTCGGTAAGTATGGTTATTGTCGCCAGGAACAGGACTCCGACACGGTGTGTGTCTCGTATCATCCCATCTTTCTCGTCTTCCACGAGATAATCTCTAATCTCCAGGTAATATCGTACGCACTCGGTCCAGGAGAATGTCTGATCGGCTCAGATCCCGTTTTTCAGCACGTTCCAACGTGCATGCACTAAGGCAGGCTAAGGTTGACAGCACGGTCAGCTCAGCACACTTAGCGCCAGGGGCATAGAACTAATATTCCTGATCAGTTTCCGTGTTAGAGCATGATGTCTTGAAAATTTTCAGCGGCTCCACCAGAACTACGTAATACATAACCTTGTATGAGCATAGTAATTATTAATTACTTATATAGTAACTAGTTATGTCATAAACTCAGAATGATAACACTGCTTGGCGTGACGCGTCCGGTCTCTAATTCAGTTCACTCGTTCGCTTAAACGGAGTATCTTTTCATCTCCGACCAGTCTTGGTCAGAAAAAAGAAAATAAAGAAAAAGAAACGAAGACAAGGGGTGGGAAAGAAATCACTCCGTGTCACCGTTTATTGGCTGCCTCGGTACCGTTTTTTCCCATCTCCGAAGCTTATTCGTGAGCTGATAATATATGTTGCACTATTCATTGTATTTGTACCAGTTCGGATTAGCTGGTGTTGCTAACTGACGGCATATGTGATTGATTGCGCAGGGGTTGTCATGATCCCCTTGGTTTTGTTATCGTTGATTCGATAGAAAAAGAGTAGTCTGATGTTGTCAGCCAATAAGTACCAAATTAATTACCCCACTAATGAGGGGGACCCTTTTTGGCGTAGTGGTTTTTCGGCCAACACATGTACTCCGAGTAACAAGTTCTAACTATTGTAATTGATAATCAATACATGTAAGTTATCTGACAGGTGACAATCTTGCATATGACAGGTTTTTTTCCTCCCCTGTTTAAACTTTGTACACCGTCATTTTATGTACTTTGGCCTAACCAAGTATCTACACCGTGTCTATTTTTCTTTGAATCAATTGCCATGCCTCGAAACCGCGAATAACAACCCATTCAATGTTGTATAGGTTACCTCGAAACCCGTAAGTCAAATAATAGTAAGAGTCAGTCAATATGTAGTTATGTAATGCATCATCTCTACTATGTAGTACATGTATACTAAAATCTCGAGATTGGTGTCTTTATTGGTGTCTATCTGATACATTGATGTACACATGCCTATCTATCTATCGTACAGCATTCAGCATATCTTCAACGCGAGCAAACTTCTCGCGAATCTTCCCCCTTTCTGCTCCTCTCTCCCTTTCAATGGCATCAATCCGCTGCCAATCCTTCCATGACGTTGGCAAAAGTCCTCTCTGCTGCGCCTCCGCTTGAACACCGTCCCAGCCAAGGCCACTGCTTCCTCCTGATTCCGAATTGAGGAACGATATGTCTGCATCGCCCCTACCCTTTTGCGCCTCCCAGTCCGCCGCAATCGAGTCTGCTGTTCCAAAGGCGTCCATCATCGTAGATGCTATAACACCCGTTGGACCACGCTTGACCCAACCCGCGCAATAAAGTCCGGGTAAGTGAGAGATTTGCTCGTCATCTAACGGAGTCTTGGTGTTTTCTGCTGCCTGCGTAGAGCTTGTGACTCGTCCAAACCCGTCATTTGGAATAATGCCTCGACGATGGTCGAATTGAATACCTAGAGAGTCGAAGCCCGGTAGAGGAAGGGACTTGTACCCAATGCTGCGGAAAAAGATATTACTAGGGATGTTTACCTCTGCCGGATTACCACTAGATAAGAAGTGAGGCTTGACTTTAGCATCCGGCGCAAAAGGATCTGAAGAGGCTATCTCGTTTCGAATGAATTTAGTGTGCGATAGTCTGTATGGAAATACGGGAGACCAGTGCAAAGAGTGGGGGGAAAGAAGAAAGTCGAGGGACCAAGCTTTACCCGCAGTGCTGGCATCGGTAGAGGAACCCTTGGCTAATAGTTGCATCAAACGTTTTTGTGCGCGGGGAATTGTCGCAATGACATCTTCTGGGGGCATCAAGTCCTTTCGAATGGGCTCAAATGCAACTGAAGGAAGTTGAAGAAGCTCGCGGACTTCCTTGATTGTGAAGGATGCCTAAAACACAAAATTAATACACTTTTGTCGAGTTTGCCAATATACAATAAATACCTGCATGGGACCTCGCCGACCCACAACGTGCACACGTTTGATCCTACTCTTCGCTAACGCCTCCAATGCATGTTCTGAGATATCTGTTTTGCGCAACGTTTCCACATCCGATAATAGAATCCGCGCCACATCAAGTGCGACATTTCCCTGCCCGACGATTACAGCGTGTTCACCAGCAGTTAGGTCTGGCTTCAAGTCACGATACTCCGGGAGTCCATTATACCAGCCCACAAACGCTCGCGCTGATAAAACATTCTTGCACGCATCTTCTCCAGGGATTCCAAGCTCGCGGTCTTGGGACGCTCCATATGAGAATAAAATCGCGTCGTAGTGGGCTTTAAGGCTTTCGAAAGGGAGCTGAGAGCCGACAGAAACATTACCGATGAAATTGAATCGCGGCGATGCGGCAACTTCGGTGAATTTTTCCTCGCAATTCTAAACTGATCAGCGTAAAATCTTCCCAAGATATCGGTTGGCGGAATATACCTTCACTTCTGGATGATCGGGAGCCACACCATATCGTACCAGGCCAAATGGTACCGGCAATTGCTCATACATGTCAACCACGGCATCGTCTACCTTGGAGAGGAGCCGGTAAGTGGCATAGAACCCTGCCGGGCCAGAGCCGATGACGGCGACTCGGAAGGGCCGACCATGTCGAGTGGCAGTCAGGGGTACAGAAGCGCTGTATGTACGGACTGCGCGCCATGATCGCAGAGTCCTTCTCGCACAATGCGTGCACAGCGAGGAGGCCGGCAATAAATTCATGGTTGGGTTTACTTTTTCATTGCATCATCGCACTTCGGGTCATCTTCGGGCGGCCAAAAGGGCACGTGCGTACTATCTTATCGCGGTTGCCCTGTCAACGCCGCCGACCCAAACATCAGTCGGCCCTGGCGCCGGCCATGAACCATCATTATCATTATTATTCCAACATTCTTATTATTATCACTGCTATTACTGCTCGCTCTTCTGCCGTCTGCTGTTAGCCTCCAGCATTCCGATCTATCCATGCACCGACTGGCCTCTCGCTCGTTTTGATCTCCGGCATTCTTGCTCTGAAGTCTCCATATACGTACAGCGACATTCCTCAACCCCAGGTTTTTCCACGCCCAAATCCACCACCATGGGTGGATCCTCATCCCCTCCATTCCTCTATGATCCGCCCTCAAAATGGTCCTTCAACGATGCTATGTCTAGCAACTTCAATCCCAAGATTGTCACCGAAGCAAGCAGGGCGCCTCGCCCGCAGAGGCCGCCTCAGGAAGGGCCGTTGGTCAATTTCAACCGCCATCCCGACTCAGTATGCCCAGTCCTTGTTGCTGTACGTGTTGAAAATTCTCTCTAACAATAACAATCTAGTGGATGGTTCCTCGTCAAAGCAAACCCATAATCCCCATGAGTCCTTACACCAAGGCGCGGGTAAAGCGGACAAGAATATTTCAACTGTTACTGCGCCTTGTTGCTATACTTGGAGCTCTCGCTATATTGTTTTGTGTTATATGCATTAACAGAACAGATGTGGCTTTGGGGTGGATTATTCGGGTTGCGGTAGGTTTTCAATGGCTTCTAATTTGAGTGTAAATTTCTGACGGAGCGGTCAACTCAGCCCGTTGTGGCAACTCTTCACACCTTATATGCGATTTACCATCTAGGGCGGTCTGCTGCTTCTAGACCCCCGGCATCATCTTCTAGTTATCATCTATTCGCTTCCTTCATAGATGCTGGATTGGTGCCATTCTACACATTTACCAGCTATATCGCTTATAGAGAGACGCAAGATAACATCTACGGCTGGGGAACCCTTGTGGATAGTCCAGTGTTTCAATCTTATATTGTCAAGATCTTATTCTTTGCTAGTGCAGTATGCGGTGGCTTGCACCTGATTTCGTTCGCGATCTCTCTCTATCTGGCAGTTGTTTTCAGGCAAATTACGAAGCTTCCTCCGGACATGAACCCATTGGAGGATAACTTGACGGCCCGTGCCCCAAAACGGAGCAGACGGCCCAAATCAGCTATATCAGAAAAGCATATGAGCACCAGTACGCTAGACTCTGCGTACTTCAGTGTCAAATCTCACCTAGAGGCCCCGATAGAAGAGGCGCCGAGGACCATTCCTTTCTCTCACACCAGGCAGCAATCTTCAAATAGCGTCGTAAATGATCAAAGACCAACATCCATACACTCTCACCGCATGTCTCGAACGAATCTACCTAGCCAAAGAGCTCGCCTTGAAGAGCAGGCAAACCAGTCTACCTCATCATTAACCCGCGCTACGGCTCAGAAAACTCGCGATTCACCATCAAGGCCGAACTCCATTGTCGCAGATGCACCGGTACTTCGCCCAACTGGACCTAACTATGTGCCCACCAATTTCCGATGGAGTAGTCCTGCTCCATCAGAGGACTCTGGTAACTGGGAAGCCTATCCTTCTCGAACCAACTCACCGAACAATGACGAAGAGAATGCTCATCAGATAAGATCCATGCAAAATCGCGACAAGGCTTTATCACCTGTATACAACGATTGGCTCGGCCCAGTACCGAAATTTGGTCGCATCGAACTTGGAATTTCCCAAGAGAAGGCTCGCGGGGAATACGCCGCTTTAGAGATCAATGAAGGCCATGCTGACTACGATCCTTTGGTCGACAAGGAGAATGTTGAGGAAGACATCACCAATTATTTAGCTAAGCCACAGAACCCTCTTGGAATGAATCCCCCGACACCGCAACCAAAGGAAGACTCAGAAGACACAACTCCAGAAACCAGGAAAACAAGCCTACGCCGGGCTGTTCTTACAGATATTCCCAACCTTTCAGCCGATAACCAAACAAGCAAGAGCTCTTTAATGCCAGAGGTAAAGGAGGTGAAGGCGAAGAAGTTCGGTAGCATTAGGATATGGGGACGCAAGTCTAGCAAGTCGGCCTATGAGTCTGTGAAGATTAAGGAAGATGAGGATGCGTCTGCCGATGAGAACAGCGACAACGAGGACTATGAGCCAGCCGCCTTGACAACACCAAAACGACGTACCCTGCAAAAGAATGCACCAGACAAGAAGGAGGCGGACCGCAACGGCCGTGTTGTCAGCAATTCAGGTGTTGATCTTGGTGCTGGATTCAACCTAGGCACTGGCTCCAGTTCCTATGGTGAATATATCTCTGGATTAGGTGTTGGTCGGAGACGAGACGTCAGTGGGAAGGTTGCGGAAGAAGGCCGTGGAGGAGTTGTCGAGAATGAAGAAGGCACACCAGAAAAGAAGTCAAATCAGGTGCGGGCTGCAGGCTGGGCTCGTTTTGCCGGTCTTTAGATGATGACTCTACTCGTAATGAAGGGAAAGGGAATGTGATTTCTCGGTACATCATCTGCTCAATTGAGGGTAAATATGGCATGCAGTACGAAGGGACGGGTCATTCATCTTGGGTCTGAGATTGGAGGAGGGATATATCATGTTGAATTTTGTGTTGTTTGGGTTTCGGGGGTTCGTTGTTGGAGTACATATTTGTTGTTTATCTTTTTTTCATATTGTGATTTACTTTTTCTTCCTGGACAGCGCCTGGGTTATTCTTTGGTACAAATAGCCTTTTTGCATTAGGTAGCTAGTTACATATTTACCCGAACATCTGGAATGGATGCATACATAAATTCATCGAATGACTCATTCTATATCTATGTACCATAAGAGAGATCGTGGGTGTCACACACCTGGGCCCACTCTAGTTGTCATTGGCTGTATTAAGAAGTTATATGATATATCAAATTACATAAAGATTTTTTAAAAATAACTAATAATAATATATTAAAATTATCAAAAAATTTAATAATAAAACAATATATATTAAGCTAGGGTTATTTTATTAATATAGATTTGCTGTTATATAAGGGTTATGATTGACTGAATTTACATGGAATATCAGGGGATTAGTGTTTCTGGATTGGAAATATGGAGTACTGTTGTGGCTGAAGGTAAATTGGAACAGGCAGATAAGGATGCGGTCCAGTTTAAAGGGACTATACGAATTTTCACCAATCGTCTGGTAACGATCACTGGATAGAGAATCCACCGAATTAAAGTTTAGTCTTATTCAAATAGGTAATATAGGCTTTGTAGTATGGAAAAACAGAGTACGGATAATTAAGTTGAATGATGATTTCTTGATCAGTATGAGCAGCTCTGGGAATGATTCTGATCTTTGAAGTTCAATAGTGAACCGTCATCAATGCCATCAAATCCTGATGTTCTCTTTTATATCAAATTATATATCTTTGCGACCAAATTTCTCATTGAGCCATTACTTCAACCATGCAGGAGGCCTATCCACAAAGATCATAGTAGCTTCTCACTGAACCGAGAGCCAAATAGATAACTGCAATTAGGTCCAAACTGAGAAGCAATCATTAACTGGAAAACTTCATGAGTCAGAAGATAAAATTAAAATGATAGAGAAAGAGCTAGAGAATACGCAGTCTATAGTTGTCAAACTGCGGGCGGAAAACCATGAGATACACTTGATTGCAAAAAAGGTGCGCGCTTTTACTCACCTCAACGGTCTTTTCTCAGCTATACTCACCTATCGAAAATTCTTCGGAATTTTCAAGGAAAGGGAGAAAGCCATTATAAAGTCAATTATCTCACAATCATATTGCTCAGAAGAATATCATTTAGGTTTGAGCGAAATCTTTGCAGCATTGGTTTTTGTTGTCAGACATCGATTTGTGGACAGAGATACTGCACAAGCTGCTTTTAAAAGATGTTGGGGCCACCTCAAGGATTTACAATTTGAGCAACTATTGATTCCTGTTGGGAGGGGCTTGGCGTCGTCTTATGTCCTAGACGATCGTTCCTTTGACGCAATTTGCCTCCTGACCAAAATTCATGGTAGAAGTCAGCCGTTTGGATGACTTGAAATGACTATCAAGTTTCATTTTCCGACAATTTCTACTAGTAGGCGTCCTCGTATCTTCAAGGGTACAGATCCTACTGTGATCATAAGACTACGCTAAGCTGGACGAAACTACATTTTTCTGAACAAATTCAATCAATAGTCTTTAACGAATATGAAAAACCATTCAACTAAGAAGTAGAAAACAATGCTTTATCCTTTTGCCATTCGTATTCATTCATCTTCGCTGCAGCATCCGCATCACGAATAGATAGCTCCTTAGCAATCAAGTAACACGCAGCATCCATTCCCGATGATACACCGCCAGCTGTCAGCACTCTAATACCATTTTCAGTCAGGCCTCCATCCTCATATCGGCTATGCACTACATTTGTGTATCCCTGATGCACAGCACATTGTTCCCGTAACAAATTCAGACAAAGATGGTGCGTTGTGGCTGTCTTTCCAACTAGTACCCCTGCAGCGCCTAGAATCAAAGCGCCGGAGCAGACCGAAAACATAGTCCGCGGTCGCGGATCTGAACCGCCTAAATCGGCTTTCTGTTCTGAAAATGCTTTGACGAATCGGAGTTCTGGAGAGTCGGCATTCCGTGCAATTGCAACTGAACCCTCGATAGAAGCGCCCGGCACGAGCAGGATATGAAAGTTGTGCAGGTTTTCGTGTGCTTCCTCAATAGACACATCGCGGGGAACGCGAACGTGACAGCATGTCTGTGTCACTTCAGATTGTGCAATGATGGTGAACGAGAAAGCACCATTGAGGACGGAACTCGAGAGGATGCCGAGAGGGCCGGCAAAGTCAAGGATATCAACGTCCTTGTAGATAAGGATTGCAACGGAGATTGGCATTATAGATATAGATTAAGAACGACAATACAAAAAATTCTCTAGCCCAGTTCTAATTGTTAGTCTTGATTTTTATTTGTTTTCTTTCAAATGGCATCTTTCACTTAACTTCTTTTTATTCAGAGTAGTTGGAGAACGCCCTAATTTAGCTTACGGGGCTGAGACAGCCAGGATTGAGGTGGTTACAGATGTTTATTATAATTATATATTTACTGTGATATCTCTTAATTCATTATATAAAATTAAAAAATATACAATTATCTTTTATTATCTATAACATAGCTAGCTATAATGAAATAGAAAATATTAATCGGTAAATTTTATTAATATCTTATAAAAATAACTAATTATAATAAGCTTTATGAATATCACTTTTAGACAGTAGTTTGGCTGTCTGGATGCCTCCTCTGGCCACAGGCTTGCTGCTCATAAGAGCGGCAAGCTGCACAAACTAGATCAGGACAGGCACCCATGATCCCCCTGTGACTATCTATGTAATGACTACAATATATCCATGAAAGGGCTATGTGTGGGGCGACTAGAGCCACTAGGTTATGTATGACTCAACAAGACACCCCGCAATCTACGATACGAATTTTTTCTGAAAACAAATATCATTATAACGAACAACATTGAAGATAGAATGTTACCAGATACCTCGACATGGCTCCGTGGAATCCCCAAAGCCGAACTGCACATCCACCTCGAAGGCAGCATCAAACCGGAGACTCTTGTCAAGCTATCACAGCGTCACGATCAGATCCCACTAACACTAGAACAGGCACAGAAACTCTACATCTACAATGACTTTCAAGAGTTTCTCGAGGCCTTCAGCCTCGTGAATTCACGCTTACAGACACCGGAAGACTTTGCTTTGATCACATATGAAATGATCCGCTCGCTCGCCTCACAAGGCTGTGTCCATGCTGAGGTCAACTTCTCATGGGGTATTCTCCTGCGACGCAAGCCGCATCTTCAAATGCCCACTGTCATGCAAGCGATAGAAACTGCGCGTATCCACGCCGAACAAGAATTCGGAACCACAGTGCTGTGGATTGTCGATTTGGTCAGGACACATAGTCCAGAATTGAATCAGAATGTTCTGCAACTTGCTATCACGCTTAAGGGCCAGTTTCCAAGCATTGTTGGTGTTGGAATTGGTGGCGATGAGGCCGCTGGGCCGGCACCTCTGTTCCGTGAACTGTATGCCGAGGCAAAGGATAGTGGGTTGCGCCTCGTCGCCCATGCTGGTGAAGCTGTTGGGCCCGAGTCTATATGGGCTGCTCTTGACATAGGCACAGAGCGTATTGGACACGGTCTTTCCGCGCAGTGTGATAGGGACTTAATGCGAGTTCTGGCTGAACGGAAGATTCCCATTGAGATCAATGTTACTTCGAACTTGAAAACAGGCAATTGCCCTGCGCTCGAAGATCATCCTATACGCCAATATTTCGATGCTGGTTTGGTTGTGATAATAAATTCTGACGATCCGCCTATGTTTAAGACAAGCCTGCTACAAGAATACGAACTGGTTCAGAATCACTTTTCCTTTTCCGAGCAGGAAATGAAAGAGCTAGCTGCCAATTCGGTCATTGCAAGCTTCATGCCTTTCGAGCGCAAGAACAAATTGCTAGAGATGATCAGGAAGTACTAACTTTGAAGGTGGCGCTAAATAGAGCATTAATCGATGTACGTATATAGCGAGTACTGGTGCATGTGATACATATGTTTACTTGGACAGAAATATGTGACTGTGGGATATAGTGAATTGACGTTGGTCGGAAAAGAATAGTTGTACCAATACCTTTTTCTGATTTCCCCAACAGTAGTCATTCGCAGATCGTGATATGAAATAAACAAATATCAAATACTCATTTCTACATACTGAAAGAAATACTTCACCCATTCCTCCACCAAACTTCCAAAGATACACTAACAATCACCCCATTCTCATATCCAGACTTGAGAACAGAACTTCAAAGCTTCTCAAATGCAGCAACCGCAGCCTTAGCAGTAGAAGCTGCACTAGCCGGATTCTGGCCAGTGACCAGACGGCCATCAACAACATGGAAGTCATCCCAGATACCTGGAGCACGCTCATCTACGAAATTAGGTCAGCAAGATTCCTACCCAATAGCTTAGTATACCTGACTTACAAGTTGCACCGAGTCTAGCTGCTAGTTCCTCAACTAACTCTGAATTCCAGCTCTTGAGTTCCTCAGCGATTCCCATTGTATGCTCCGCCTCGGTAGTAAACCCAGTAATTTTCTTTCCCTTGATAATGTGCTCATTCGTAGAGAGATCGACCACGTTAGCGAAGATAGCAGGACCATGGCAAACAGATGCCACAATGCCACCGTTTGTCCAGACCTGTGATGCGATTTTCTGCAGCGCAGAGGCTGTCGGGTAATCAATTAGAGCGGCGTGGCCCGCAGAGGCGTAGAAGATACCGTACTTAGACCCATCAAGATCAGCGGCCTTGGGCATATTATCGAGTTTCTTGCGGAATTCACTGTCGAGGTCGCTCCAGGTCGAGAGGGTCTCGCCATTCAGAAAGTCGGGTTGCTGAGAGAGCCAATCAGGGGTATAGGAACCGGTCTCGGAGGCCAGATCGACATCAAATCCAGCGGCAGTTAGGACCTGATATGGGTGAAGAGCCTCGCTGATGAAGAGACCTGTGGTTTCTTTGCCATTAAAAAGTTTGGCTTTGGCAGAGGTGATACTAATGAGAGCACGACGAGGAAGAACCATTTTGCTGATTGCGGAAGAGCGGGTCTTAGGGTTTCTTTCCAATAAGGTTATGTTTAACGTATATGGAGATAGACAAAAGCGATGTCAGTCGATTGCGAGATATTTTGGCTTTGGATGATAGCTGGTTGAAAATTGTTATTTGGTTGATTAAAAAGAGTTCTTGCTGAACGCGCTGGCTTGTTTATATAGGCGCAGTGGTCTCCATGGATCTGTATCACTGTATGATCGTAAGGTGATTAGCGGGGTCGGAGTCGGAGTTTGAGAGCAGCGCATTACACATAATCTCCCATCCATCGGCATAAGACCCATTAAGAAAAGACGAGTTGTTCTCCCAATAATTTGCAATAATATTACGCCTCCCACTGCGTAATGCAGAGTGGAGCAGGAGTTACTCCTATTGGCCAGCTGTCACACATAGGGAGATCCTCCTATTGGACAATTTTTGACTTCTTCATTTCTAGGCCTAGATTCTGCCACTGACGTATAATATTTATTAATGCTTCTATGTGAGTAGAGTGGCCCAGACCGAAATCGACTTGAAATTGATATCTCTAAGTTTAGGCGTGTACCTCATTATCTTTAGATGCCTTGGGGCTGTCTGGCGCATGAATCATATCATAACTGTCGTTGCTGACTGAGTGGATTTTTATTTTTAATTTTCATTACGATTATGACGACAATTACATTAGACTATAGAGGTATTAATTAATGTTTCATAATATTCATTTCAGCTGCGAAACGTGAATTATTGTAGACATGCGGCCAACCAATCAAATCAACTCCCGTACTCCGGCGAGCTTAGTACCACAGCCACTGCGACATTCCCCATCTCCATTTATTTCCTTCATTATGATTCTAATTCATATTGAATAATATATTGGCCACCATGGCTTCCGCAGAGCGAACTCAGTACCGCCAACAAGGCAGCAACCTTAGGCAGAAACGGAGGCAGGTGGCTAGAGCTTGTGATGGATGTCGAACACATCGTATCAAATGTGACGACAGCTTTCCTTGCTCCAACTGCAAGGCCAGGGGACAAAAATGCACCAATCTCTCAACAAACCAGCGCCCTACATCTTCTGCGGCGAATCGAGAAATCAGCCGTTTGGAACAGAGAGTCCAGGAGTTAGAAGCCGAGGTGGAACGGGAACGCCAAAAATCGGCGAATTTGTCTCGTAAACAAATTGCGCGGCCACTTTCGAATCCTCCACCACCCCCTTACCAGCAAAGAACAATTCATGGATATTCTGCTTCGAAAAACGGACGTTGGGACGGCATTCATATCCGCCCAGCACGATCCCCAAATGGTGCGTGGTTTGGGGCATCGTCACTCTACCACTTTATCCATCGGCTGTCCTTACACCTGACTTCCACTGCCAAGGGAAGTCTTGTGGTAGATAATATGATCCCTACATCAGAAGGTAGGACAGACCTACTTAACAGATCAGCCTCTGAGCGCGAAAATCAAACCAACCTAAGTTCATTTGACGGAGAAGATACCAGCTCTACAGCGACATTCTTAAACCCGGCACAAGAAGGTTACTTTATTAGCCTTTTCTGGGAAGGCTATCATGCCTGTTTCTTTCCTATCATAAATGAAGCTGATTTCAAGGAGCATTATCAATCTCTTTGGAAAACGGCCGGAACTGCACGGAAATCGTCGGCACTCGCTGATATGATCATCGCTACGTGCATGCAATATGGCTTGTCAATCCTTCCTAGCGAACAACAGGGAGCCGTGGGGGAAAATATCGACGCGACTATGGCTGGCAGGTGGTATTATCAGCGTAGTCAGGCACTGCTCGCTTTCGAATCAGACAGTCCGACCATTACGACAATGCAATGCCACATGTTATGTGCTGTTTACTTATGTGGGGCGTCTTTTCATAATATGACAGACAATTCTATCGCTCTTGCCGTGCGAGCCGCTTATATGCTTGGTCTCCATCTAGACTCGCCCCAGGGCGGCATTTCTGAGCAAGAAAATCAGCTCCGAAAGCGCTTGTGGTGGGCTGTATACGCTTTGGATGCTAGACTTGGTATGAAGCTTGGTCGGCCTTTCTTGATACCTAATTCTCAGTCTATGCCGGACCTGCCTAGAGATGATTTTGAAGCATCCACACTCTCTGGGTCTATGTTTGCACCCATTGGAGAGAGCACTACCTGGCTGAGCTTCAATCTTCAAATGACAAAGCTCTACATTCTTTTCCGAGCCGCCCATGAAGCATTTTATGATAGTGATTTTGACCTAAATTTCGGTAAAACTATATGGGATGACCCTCGAAATCTCGAGGCGAGCGCAGATATTCTAACTACACACACCAAAGGTCTTCAGGAATGGGTTGATAATGTCCCAATTGCTCTTAAAACGAGCCGACAGCACCACATCCCAGCTTTCTCCGTCGATATTTCGGGCCTGGAGATCGAACAATTCGCACCCCAGTGGCTTCAAAGACAACGCATTGTTTTGGAGTCAACATATCACCATCTTTGCATTAACCTTTTTAGACCTTTTGTCTCTTTCAATTCGAAACCATGTCCTGGAGGCCTCGCTGAATCATACTCCACAAGGTGTGTCGGGCATGCTATTGCGTTGTCCAAAATCACACATCAAGTACTATCAACCACATCCATTCTAAACGGTTGGCATGATGCGTTTCAATATCAGTGGAATGCCGCCATGACTCTTGTTGGTTTTGTCCTAGTGCAGCCCCAGGCGGCATTGGCTTCGGATGCTCGACATGCAATCGACCTCTCTGTTGCGATCTTTGATATCTTCAAAGCCAATTTTTCAATCGCTGGCAACGCCTCTAATATTGTACGCAGCCTGTGCGCTAAACTCGATCATGTACAAAAGTCAAGGGAACGAAAGATTGCGCCACTAAACTACAGCATAGATGCTGTGCAGCAAATACCATCTCAAGGTGACTACGCGTATTCAGGCAATGAGGCTTTCCAAAGAGAGGGCTTTCAAATAGATACATCGGTCAGCAGAGATCCGATCCAATTCGATGACTTGGTTTATGGGATGGATGGTGATTTATTTGACATGGCTGTTGACATAGACTTTTGGGCTAATTTGGACGACTTGTTACTAGAGGTTAACTGAGTATTTGAGGTTAAATCTATATCTGTTCAGTGAGGTGCGTGCCGCAGGTTATAATATTGAATATCAACATTAAATTAGCATTATCAGTATCAAGCAACTGCGGCTCTTGACTCTATTTAAGATCTATCCTTGGAGTTGCCCGAAACACTCCAGAAGAAACGTAAAATATTTATCTGCCACTTTCCCGGTCAAATATCCAAGATATTGCCATATATATTTGTTATAAAGTAGCCTGTTATGAGGTCAAAACACTTGTAATCATTGATGCTGCCGGGTTCTCTCGCTGGGACGTTTAATGTCCATTTGTCGCATTTTCCGATTGAGCAATTGTTCATGTGTGCGTTGGGCTATTTCATGCTTGAGTTCAGCCTCCTCCTCCTCATCAATCATAGTAATAAAATTCAGTTTTTCTTCATCCTCTTCCTCATCACTTTCAAGCGCCTTTCGAGGGTCTTCTCTATCTTCAGGAATTTTCTTTTCAACTTGTTTTTGTTGCTCCTCTGGACTGATTTGCCTGTCAGCTTGCTTAGCTGGCTCTTTGGTGGATAATTTATTCTCCCGTTTCCGCTCGTTGTTTGCTCGCTCCTTTTCTATGGCTTCGTCTTGAGCTCGGAGGGCGTCTTTCTCCTTAGAAAGCTGGATTTCATCAATTTCTTCAAAGCCGATGTCTTCCAGGATCTTTCCAATGAGGTGTTGATAGCGCAGATGACCGTTGACCGTTTCACTAACATTCACATTCTCCACGGTGGGTACTTCCTTGACAGCCTGGAGACCGGAAATGTCGACCTCAAAATGTGTAGCACGATAGAGAAGTGCAAGGACAGAGTCTTTCTCGGAGTAAATGTTAACAAGGCGGCCGCTGACCACTGCTCGCATTAGCTGCCACTCAACAAGGTCAGCGGGAATCGGTGATCCCATGAGAATCGCCGACTCGATTAAACCATAGGCGCGTCGTTTAGCTAGACTCCGCAGGCAGGAATATATGACTCGTGATCCTAGTGAATATCCAACCAGCGTGACTGGCCGTTCTCCCTGCGCTTTATTGATAAGAGCATCGGCGAGAACCTCTCCAGCCTTATCTGCCCGTGAAATAGCAACGCTGAAGGGATTCGCTGCGATTCTGGCAAGTCTCATCAGGCCCACTGGCAATAGGAGAGCGCTCATGAGACCTGCGAAAATAGTTCGAACTAATATTTGATGACTCGCCACTTTCCATGCTGCAGTTGTCACTAACGCACGCATGGAGTTTCCAAGATTCAATAATGCCTCATACTCCCATCGAAGGGCGAAAACTTCTGAATCTGAGTTGAGAACTCGCCATGGTAGAATAATATGGTCTTCTTCTGTAGCCCAGCCAGTGATACCGACTGTAACCCTTAGTCGATGATCTTCTTTTGCCGCTTGCTTCTCATCTTTAAACTGCTTCATCGATCCGCGAGCCGGAATGAATGCAAAATCTTCAACTTCACGAGCATATCTATCCATCATTTTACCTGTCATTTTTCCACCATAAGCACCAAAGAGCCCGCCGACAATAACCCCACTGCTAGCTAAAGCCCCGAGGTACGTAGCAGCGATTGTGCCTCCTAGACCCAATCCCCCCATAATTGTACCGAGACCAGCAGCAACCAGTGGAGCTGCAAGGCCGCCAGTGATTCCTATAAGTGCCGCTCCAGCGACTGTGGCGAAACCAACCTTCCATTTGCGAAGATTGCGGTTTTCGTCTGCTTTTTTCTTCGCTTCCTCATCAGCAGTCATAGTCACAGCAGCATCTAGTAAACCGCGGGCAACTTTTGCCTCGTCATCATTCAAGTCTTTGAGCGTAAGACCAAGGCTAGAGGTTATATGCAGTAAAAGCACTCGTGAATATGCATTGTAATGCTTGAGACTGAGAAGTAGTAGTAACAATGAATGCAGTATAAGAAGCCTTTCTGCTTTTGCCAAACTTCGAAGTGAGTTGTCAAACGGGCAATAAACTTGTTGCAATCTGTTCGTCGTATCCGTTCCAGATTCGAGAAGATCCTCTGGCAAGTCGCCTTCATGAGTAGACAACAGATTATGTTCTTTGGTAGCTTCCCGTCTCTCATTCAAGACCTCTCCCACTCGCAATACTACCGAGTCCCGCCAGTCATCAAAGTATCTGAGTGCCTCAGCTTCTGATTTCGGATCTAGGCCACGTGGTGTCTGATCACTTTGCTGCAGAGGCTGTTGCCCTTCACGCCCAGACCCATCAGGTTCGTCGGCATTCTCCTCCTGCTCAGATTTCTTATGACTAGATATGTGGGGCTGCTCGAAGTTGTCGAAGACTATTTTTCGCATGTGCTCCAGTACTTCGGAAATCAAGACCATCAAGGCACCACGTTGCGCGTCGTCCAAGAGGGTGGACAAACTTTGTTCTTCATCTTTGTTTTTGGCCTTCCCATGGTGGCTGGGACGAAACATGGTAGCCATGATTGAAAGTGACGGTATCAAAGCGTAGGTATGCAGAGCCGACTCTATCAAACCACAGCTAGGCAATCCCGTTTCAGTGGTGAGGGCGAGATGCTGTCAGCCGGGACCTTACGTCATTAGCCGGCTGAGACCCATTTTCTATATATATAATATACGCTAGTGTGGATGCGGCTGGTCTTGTATTTGAAGCTATTCTATATTAGGTTAGTATGTTTATTATTGCCTTTCATGCTTAATATTCCCTTCACTCATTCCATGATACTTTTATACCTTGTGAGTCCTCTGCTAAAGGTATTTCAGTCATATTTGGGTTAATTTGACTTGTATAGGTAAATTTCCGAACGAAAAGCGCTAGCATGAAAAGTATATCAAGGTACATCAAATTGTATCCGTTCAGGAAACTAGTGCTTTGCTTATTGTCGATAGAAAAGTTCCATCATTGATGCTATGAAATGCTATTCTCGTCGCTTAATACATGGTAATCTCGGTAGGTATATAACTTCAAAAATCCATTAATCCAGTTATAGGAAAGCCAATCATCTGTGTTCCACTGCAATGCCAGTTTTTTATCCAGTATACTGGATAGCCTGAAAGCCTCGCTTCGACAAGACACCGTTCTGCGGGAATGCACATTTGCAAGCAGCTGCAACCTTTGTGAGAGAGTCATCGGTAGTTGCGCAACCGCAATGGTTGTTACCCGTGCTAAATTTTCCGTTCCCGTAATAAAAGGTAAACGAAGGGTCGCCGACGTCGGTGAATGATTGGATCGTCATGACATCCGCGAGGTAATTATCTTCAAGTGTGTATGGTGAGTTACAGTCACCGTTGGGTGAGTATGCACCAAGCAGCTTGCAGCCGTTGTCGAAAATCATGTATGAAGCGCTACTGACATATCCAGGGAATCCGGGGGTGATCGGGCCACCTGGGATAGGAAGGCCACCCATTGCGACAGTCATAACAAACGTATATTGACCGTCACCCTGGGAGTCACACATGTCTGGTTGATCGCCGAGGACATCGCCAATGTTCAGAGAGTTGCCTTTACCGTCTGTACCTACCGTTAGGGGCACGACATCGCACTCGGCAGCAATCAGGCTGAACAGAGCGGCAGCAGAGAGGAAGACTGCTTGCTGAAAATTCTTCATGATGCTTTTATTCTTTCTGGAGAGGGAAACATATATAGAAATGCTAACCTGGGCTTTAAATGCCGTTGAATCACTTTATGAGAGAGAAGAGGATAAACTTCTTTCAAATAATTTTATCTGGAAACTAAAATTTGAGAACCATGCAACACCGTGGGTCATTATATAACCTTTTAGTTACGTGTGCTATGGCCATGAAATTTCCGCTGTGACATCAATTGATAATATGGGCAACACATATGTACTATACAAAAGATTTGCCAATGTTATTATCCATGAACATGAGATACAGATCTCGCTGTTGTATTTCCGCCCCATATTTGACGTCAAGTGCAACATTTGAAGTATTCGAAGGGTGTGGGTCAAATATACCCGAAGAGAATCATTGCGTAAAGTAGTAGATACTGTTCAATTTGGACGCAATTGATTCGCTCGTAATGCCCCTGGTATCAGCCCCCAATATTATAAACACTCAATCGACGATCTTTTCCTAAGCTTTAGCAACTTAGATATTTCTGGAAAAACTCCGGTGCAATGTTATAGCTCTCAATGACCTGCAATACCCTGCCTAGCAACATCAATATGAGAATTCAGTCCGTGTAGAAGGGACTAGTAGTTTTCCCCTTGTTATCTTCGGCACGTAAATAGTAGATATACTTAGGAAAGGCCTGCATTAGGGTTATTGATAGTATATTGGATTTTATTGATGCGGTTTCTCTCTGATTTTGCGGTCGGCTATTTTTAAAGCAACAAAAGCATGAATAATAAGTCTATTTACGCGGTTTATCAGCTTGCCTAATCAAAGAACATGGATGTGCATCCTACTGTTATGGAGCTGCAAGATTCTGTAATGGTGCGGCCTTCCCCCCTCCCCCAGATCCCCCACGGTGATCGGCACAATCCGCCCCAGAATTACGTAGGTGACAGCTTGTCTAACATAGCAATGGTGCATGGTGCATGGTGCAGATCTTCATTTTTTTTATTGATGATTTTCTCAGTTTGCATAGATTCACTTTGAAGTTTGACGTAGAAGGGTTGCCAACAACATGAATGGGTCGCTGGCATCTGTTGACTAAATGGTGAGTTATGGTACACCAATATGACAAAAGCTGAAAATAGTATTAAGATTTCATATCTGACTTTCCTCTACATTTATACCCATTTATATTAGAGCCATCCAGGCTTCTTGGAGGGCCACCCGTAGATAATACAAAAAGTTCAAATATTATCAACATTGATATGGGGAGAGCTCCTATAGCCAATGCGCTTTTGTGGTGCTATATTCGAACTTTTGTCACCCTGCTGTAGAACAAGACGGAATAATGGCTATAAACGTGCCAAAGAACTCAGGACAGATCATTTCAGTAAGAAACTTATACGACCGATCGGCAAAATGAGGAATGGTTGATTTTTACCTTTAGGCTGAATTGTATTTTAAGCCGTAATTGGGTTTTCCAACAAAGCATTCTCCCAAAAATTCTATCAATTACTGGCAAGCGATGTTCACTGTTTCATTGATCTATGTGAGAAATATGCCTTTTGAAAACATGATCGATTAGCTCAGTCGCTTAGAGTACTAATACGTGTTAACGCCAAGGTCATGGGTTTTTTTCCAAAGAATTAGATAGGCGAGTCTTTTAGGTTAAGTATAACGCTTCTGTTTCTTATAATGGACCCTTGGTGGGGGAATAATGTTAAACCTAGTAATAATCCACGATATCTGGATTTGTAACTTCGACGTTTCCGAGGGCAAATTAGTTGAACTTGTCAATAGTCGCTAAAGTTGAATTCGAAGCTAACTAACGCCAAATGACAAACTTGAAGTCACACCCTAATTCCTTTAGGGTCGATGCTAAGGCGCCTGGCAAACTCCGCGGCTCGATAGTATTGTACATAATTTTGCACATGTTTTGTCAGAGGTTCCATGCTTCCCTCTTGAAATAAGTTATCCTCCTTTTCAAGATTTTCCAATGCCGTGAGTATTGTTTCACAGTCCCAGCATAAACATGGCGAGTAGTCTTCGCCGAACCGGATACGAAATAGTTGCTTCGTTTCATCCATCCCTCCATGTAGTGTTTGCTGCCCTATCTTGTCGTCATGATTTATATAGCGATCCGTGCGTTCGAGCATCGATTCTTCATAGTGCGCCGCAGAACACTGGTGAGTATGCCAAACAAGATCGATGTCCAAGGTCGGCACCAGCATCTTATTGGGATAGAGTTGGAAAAGCTTGACGAACTTGTCATATCGATCGAGTGAGCGACGAAGAGTTCCTTCTACAGCAGGACTGCGGATCCAGAGATGATCGTGCATCTTGTCCACAAACGTGGCCTGACGCTGGACATTCTCGATCAGTGACTGGCTTTTTGTCTTTTTCATTTGGATATTTATTAAAAGATCAAGAAAAAGCTTTTCTTTTTGAGTCAAAAGTGCGTTCTCTAAGTAGTCCCACAAACTCCCAATAGGTACATTCTTGTCGCCATATTTAGTCAATGCCCTATAAATGGGACGTGAAACTATACGGACGACTTCGAGATATTGGTAAAGATCGGGCTCCATATTAGCGACTTGTATGGTCCAATCCTTTGACTCGCCAGGAAGGTTATAAGTGCAGTCGTTCGAGTCTATTGCACTGTGCTATTTGCAATCAGTGGGGCATCGACGAAAATATGGATCGCTTTGGACTTACAATTTGTGCCCATGGAAACTTTACCTGCCGAATAACTTTCAGTTTATGGCGCCTACAATAATAATCAAAAGAGAGAGGATTGAGCAAAAAGGCGTGCCAGACCATGAGCACATCTAATCATAAATCCCAGTCAGCTTAGTAGCTCACAACTATATAAAATTGCCATATTTACCTATTGGAGGCAAGCATGGTAGAACTACTTCGGTTGATGAAGGAAGTAAATCTTTCCGGTCCAATGCCGCCTCGTCCGCCTTTCGAATCCAGGTTTTGAATCGTTCGACAGCAATAGATAGATAGTAAGACCATTTTTCTCTCCGCCTATCCTTGAATGTAGTATCTCGCAGTCGGACTGGCGCATAAATGTACTTTCTCTTTTTGGTATCGTACTTTTTCCGGTACACAATATTATTTACTACCTTCACTCCGAAGGTATCGTCGAGTGTCTCGGAATTAACTATTTTCCCGCGTAACGCAAAGAAAACCTCGAGAAGCTCCAGGTGTGTAGCACATTGACCTACTGTCGGTAAATCCTGCTTAGGCGATGATGAATCTTCTTCGATCTTTGAATAAAGATCTGTGAAAAGAGAGGGCGCAGGAATCAACGGCCTTCCATTCTCATCCGTTTCTCCTGGGTACAGCAATGTTGAAGGGTCAATTTGGTAATCATTACTCTTCTCACATATTCTGATATAAGTAAGCTCTGTTTTGCTAGCTTGATGAAGAGTACTGATTTCGGAATGGCTAAGAAGCGACATTATAGGTGATTTAATATGAGTGTGCGTATTTCCGCTGCTGACAAAAACGGGAGAGAATGAGAGATAGAGAGAACAAGAAGGCGAATAATTAATTCAAACCCCATCAGGCAGAGTGTATTTGTTACATATAAATCGATCTCAAGCATCGTTGATTGTAAGGCGCATTTACCGTGGGCCCGGGCAGTAGTAGGGCTGCACAGCCACCAGCCAGATACGAAATTGCACACACCGGGTCAAATGATCCACCAAACTACTCGATGGACTAAATCGAAGGCTAGGGAGGATATATTTTAACCTATGAAAGTGTCTGTATAGATAGAAATGATATAACCGGTATCGACAATTTCAACTTTTCCCTTTCCCTTGAATCCCTCACATAGAAAGAAATGCTTTAATAAGTAGCTGAATTATTGTGTGCATATTCAGTGACAACCATCTAGCCTCTTAACTAGCATTTTAGACTAGTTAGCAGCAAAATCTTTGGTCAATTTCCAGCATTTTAACTTTAATCATTCAAGGTTTTCATTTGATTGAGTGCCGTGTATTTTAATCATTTTACACTGCCTACGTGTAAGTTATACTCAGAATTTCTTTTCTTGCTTCTCACATTTATGCTGTGGTGCTATATTCAAAAGTTTTTCACTGTACTGTAATATGTCGCTCAAATCCAAACTACATATATATACATGTCGTCGGTGACTTTTATCCGGTATTCAGCTTCAAACTCGAAAGAACATTAGAATAGCCGATTAGACAGACGCGCCTGTAGAACTTAATTGATATCTGTATGCTACATACATAGAAAAACAAATATAGACCCATTTCCATTTGGAACAATATATATCCTTAGAGCTTGTAGAATTAACTGCTTCCACAACTGCTGCCACCTCCGCAACTACTACTCCCTCCGCAACTACTTCCGCCTCCCCCTCCACTACTACTACTACCACCACAGCTACTACTACCACCTCCACCACCTCCAGAACTGCTATCCCCTCGACTTCCGCAAGCTGAACCTCCACAACTGATGTTTCCACAGCCAGTGCCGCATTTTGATCCACAGCTTGTTACAGCACAACCAGCCCCAGGTGCTATGCCAGGAGTTTGACTTGGGAAACCTGCATTTGTATAATAGTCATCACTATCGAATGTCCACGTATCTCTCTTCACTTCGGATTTGCGTTTGCTATTCCCGGAAAACTGAAATCGGCCAGCTATACCACCAGATTTCGAAGGCAGGTCAGCTACACCTGAAGAACTGATATCCTTAAGGTTCATGCGCTCATTTCGTAGTTTCTCGTAAGCTTCTATTTGCTCTGACCTTGGCCACAATGCCCACTCCGCAAGGAAATATTGGTCGAAATTTCCGGCCTCAAAGTAGTGGCTGTATGGCTGAGCGCGGTGGATACCCCCAAGTTTCACGCGGGCTAAAGATGGCTGTAGAGCTCGTAGCCCAGCCCTTGGTTCTGATCCTGAAGAGTGAAGCCACGCTGTTGTTTTCCGAAAAGCGTCTGTTTTGGACATTGCTGCTGCTGCACGACAGAGAAGAGCCGAGGCACTCAATACGTTTAACCGGTTTCGCATCCAGGCCGCCGAAGTCGATGTATCTATTGTAGTGGCACCCTTGGATAGTGTGTCTGGTGCATACATATTCTGATCCCGGGCCAAATGATGGGAAACCATTGACCAAGAGTCGAACGGAAACGCCCAGATATGTTTAGAAAGGTTGCATTCCCCGCAGCAAACTGGATAACGGCCATATGCTTCGGTGCAATCCCAAGGGAAAAGATCCTGATATCTATACAATGGACCTCCAAAAGCGCCCCAATCGTACCAATACTCCTGGTACGTGTCGATGATGTCGGCTTCATTGTGCCTACCAAAGTATAAACGTAGCAGATACTCTTGCGTTAGTCCGTTAGGAACATCGAACTTGGTCCTGATCTTTGGTTGCATATAACCTTCATCGGGACAAACGAAGCTCATGAGATATAGTGGCTCTGACTCGAGGTCCTTGAATTTATTTGGTCCATGGACAAGTGGTTCAAAGATATGATGGTTGATAAGGGAGTTACAGAATGTATTGTGACTGTTCCTGGCGCCATCCCCGATAAGGCATGTTTCTGGACTCAGAAGCTTATCCGTGATGACATCAAGGTAAACCGTAACACGACTTTGCAGAATCGTTTTGGCCTTCTTCAGTAATTCTCCGAGTCCTGATTGAATGCTATCGTCCTTTTCGGAGTACGATTTGCTCACTATCAAAATTTCACGAACAATATCAAGCTCTGAGCCGAAGGGAAGAAGCCCGCTAAAAGGAGCACCCACAACTTGCTTCATGACTGCTTTGTAATTTCTAGCCTTCCTGGAAGGTTGGACTTGTTGCCACAAAGCTCGATCCCTAGAGCCTGTGATTGCGAGGTTTCGGATTGGATTTCCAGAAAAGTTTGATCGCTGATGGAAAACGGGCGCCTCGCGCAGCGTGATAAGTGCTCCTTTTTTGGTCCTATTCTCATTTCTCAGTCAAATTGCAAACGGAGGTATCGTCTTTGAAAATTGAACCTACTGCACTACACCATTCTCAATTATCAATGGTCCAACTCGAAGCGCCATGTGAACTTCTCCAAATGGGTCTTTTTCAGCATGCTTTCTGAAACAGTGCGGGATGTCTGTGTCTTCATATGGATCTGTGACGAGATTCTGGTATTGGCGATTACCGTTGGTGGTCGATTTTTCCGTCGAATTCACTTTACTGAATTTGTGCGCTTGATGCTTGTTCGACATGTTTTCATGACTTCTACCTGGTATCTTTGGAACAGTAAGCTTTGAAATAAGTCGCCGCGAGTATGTCGTTCTCTTAGCCCCTGTACTTTGTTCAATTCCTTCGTATTTTGCATCGGTTATTATATCTTTTAGCCTGAGCAAGTCACACACTATAGCCCCATGGCCGGTTAATTTTGCATGGTTGGTGGTATTTTTAGAGATTGGAAATGATGCCGGTGGTTTTTCGTCGTTCTCATAGACACCGGCTACCTGACAATGGCAAATTTTTCTAGCAACTTCCGGCGTAATGACCTCTGGTAGAATGCAATGCTTATACGATTTTGAATAAGATTCTTTACCGTAGTAAAAGTGCCAGTAACAATCCTCGCAGATCACTCGCGGTTCGTCTCGATTACGAGAAGTAAACATGCTTCCGCTGATGATGGCATTGCAGTCTGGCCGTGCACAATGCATGGGTCGAAATTGTGGTATACCATACTGATCGAAGCATGATAGATCAACTGGAAATTTATTAGTCAATATCAGTCAGGTTTCGTCAATAAATACTTACGCTGTGGGATAGCTGGTTTTTTCTTCGCCAATGGTTGATGCTCTATAAACTTTTCAATATCAAGAAATCCTATTCATATTTAGTCCCGGGTCCAATTATAACTAGGTATTAATAACAAACCCGTGGCCTGAAGTAGCATCCAAGCTCGTTTTTCAATGCCAGAGAGATTTGGTAAGTCTGCTTCGCAGTTAAAAAATGAAATATCTTTTTCAAAGTACATTAGAGATACCATCAATCGTTTTTCTGACAGATGATTTTATCTTTGAGCTGATATACTCTGCTTTGCGGTCGATCACGACCTCTTGCAGGGCAGCCGGGTATTTAATGTGTTCCTTATTATTTCCCTTGAGATCTGAAAATATGGCCAGTCAGTGGATTCCAGGTCTTTGCAGTCGATAGAAGACATGTACCAACCATAGCTTAGAGCAAATTCTCGCGCCTCTTGGCTGACCTGATTGATAAATGTATCGAATCCATGTATGAAATCATCTTTTTCATCCGGTACAGTCACATCCGCAAATTCAGGCCGCTGCCATACTTCCAAGGTGCGAACTATGTTTTCGAGCTCGTTTTCAACACCTTTCCAGTATAATTCTTCAAGTTCACCCCGCAATTTGTCATTGCCTAGCCCGATTGGGGACCATGCTGCATCAGACGAGGATTCTGATTTGATGGTTGGTTTGGAAGAATGGAGATTTAGACGGATGCCTCGAAGGCGAGACATTCTGTGCCGACAATTTTATTGTAGTCGACGGAAATAAGGATCAGACGAAAAAGCGAAGATGAAGAAATTAATTGGTATTAAAAGCGACAGCTTAAATCATTCATAAAATGATGTCTTCTCCCGAATTGCGCCGGTCAGCTGATGAGGCCGTTGCCCGACGAAAGGCCAATGCACAGCCAAATATTTTCGAAGTTATTATGGGTTCGAGGAATCTGCCTTGGATCTATACTACTTTAGCGCATTCCTCAAATCGGCTGAGTTAGCGATGGCGTTCTGCACGAGATACGAGATGGACCCGCCGGCTCGCTGTAATGGCTGCGCCTCAGCGGAGCCACGAGGCGCCAGGAACAACTGCTAAAGTGTGCTGATCTAGATGGATCAGGCACTCGCTAAATCTAGCCTTATCGAGCCTCATTTCGCGATTCGGCTATGTAACGTACTTTGTTATTAGGCTATTCTCTATTCTATCAACATTCTAGAACGACAGACATGTATACACTTCTATGTTGTTACAAACCCTGTTGTTTCTGTTTCTCAACAGCACTCTCAACTATCAAACTCCTGTGATTTTTCGAAATGCCAGCCACTTCAGTCGTTTACGCAATCAATTTGGGACCAAAGAAAATGAAGCGGGCCACAAGTAACAAAGCCGAGCCTCCCAGACACACGACACCCGAAAATATAATCGCGGCCGTATAGGTCCCATAACTGTTGATCATGGCTCCCGTGATCGGTGTACCAGTTAATCCGGCAATGCCCAGAAATCCCATCGCCATACCGACATAAGTTCCAATCATATTCGGCTTTGGTGCAGCCATGGCAATCATGGAAGGGAAGAGTCCAATGAAGGATCCAGAGAAAAATCCGTAAAGAATTGAAAACACGATCATACCACCGAGTGACTTGATGGCTAGCCAGCCTAATATTAAAATACCGCAAGCAGTACTTGAAAAAAACATCACATTTGAGCGACCAAACTTGTTTGATATTGCTCCACCTAGCAAACGACCAAAAAGGGACGCTGCATTTAAAATGGCGATGAGGTAATTCGACAAGTCGACTCCAATTCCTATCGAAATCGAGTATCCTGGAATGTAGAAGAACGGTGTAAACATTCCCCACATCAAGAGGAAAATGCCAACGTTTTGAATTGTATATCCCGGGTTCTTCCACGCTTCAATGAGAATCAAAGGACCTGCTTTTCGGCGTGGAGCTGGTGAGCTGACAGTTACAGAGGCCACCAGACACATGGCAAGCATGATGAATCCGACTACGCGGACTGACCAGCCAAAGCCGAGAGATGAGTGATTTAGCAAGCGGTTTAGTGCAATTGGAAATATGACTCCTGCTAGAGAGGAACCACTTGATGAAATACCCATAGCTATCGGACGTCGCTTGAAGAAGTATTGATTTACCGCTGTTACAGTCGGCGTATAGGTCAAGCCGTTCATCAGTCCACCCAAGACACCTTGGGCTAACATAAACTGATAATATTCATGACAAAGACTTGTCAACATGACCGATAAGACAAAGAGGACTGAGCAGGGAACAACGATAATCTGTACATTGTCAATTGGCGTTGAAACTGAGGATGGTGTTGGTCATCTGTCTGGGCTCATGGCTTACCTTTGGACCGTAACGATCCATCAACGGGCCGGCAATGAGGCCACCCGAAAACATGAAGAATACTTGAATAGATCCAATCCAAGCAAGATTCGATTCACTCTCACTCTGTAGAAGGTTTTGCGAATAGTACGATTGGTATATTCTACCGAGAGCATGAAATCCGTCAGTATAATTTCCCGTCAAAAGCTTGACTGGTTCTGCAATAAAACCCAAGCCATTAATTGAGACATACCCAAATGCATTAATATAGCCAAATGTGTTAAACATAATACACCAGCAAGAGACTACTGCACACCATGCCTTAAGCCCACCTTCAGCAAAGACTGGAGGTTTTGGTGGAGCATTCTCCGATCCTTTCTCGCTGTCGACACTCATCCTGTATTGGCGGTCTTTTGCAATTATCATCGATGTCTCTACTAGATCAATTGCTCGACAGAGCCATATTTAAATTCATGGATTCCATAGATTGATAGACTCGGTCGGTACAGCGTAAAAGGGAAGCCGATGCCGCGATGCAAACTTTGCTTATAACAGAAATTAAATCCGATAACTAATCCATATTCGGATTAGAATGCCGAAACACTAAACCCGGGGCCGAGGGATGCGATATAACTCCCTGGGCATATAGTCGCTAGAGATAGACTATTGTATTCAGGTTCATGTGTCCAAAACTATTTAAATAGCTCAAAGAATAAGTTTGTCGGCTACTCCTCAACCAGTTCCAGTTGTCGAAGATAGTTTCCCAAGCAGTATTACAAGAACTTTGTCGGTTGCTTTTGAGGTCATTGCTACGTGGGTTGGCTCATGGGGAAAATTGGGCCAGTTCGTGCTGAGCTTTGGTTAGCTAGCTGGCAGGTCTTCTGCTTTGCAGCTGGAATATCTGTCTTTTGGGGTTCTCCAACCAACCCATAATCTCTGCATCTAGTCTTATTGGAGAAACAATTCTTAGCCGTCTGGGACTAAGAGGGTGTGATATGTGCATGCAGATTCTCGTCCAGCAGGTAAGCGGCTATAAACGTATTGTTAACGGTTTCATGCATATGGAGAAAATACAGGATGAAGACGGGGTAATGCAAAGACAAAGTTCTATATAATGCTTTCTGCCCAATTCCGATTCCTAATCCGTCTGGTGCGATAAGTGTAATAAGAGAACCCCTGATGGGGCCGTCTATCATAACTCATAGTTGGTGGGATTGATTAAATAATGATGGCGATCATGATAGGCATCTTCTGGTCCTTCCTTGTCAGCTGACGTAGCCAGTCCATCCCACTTGTCTTTCATCGTCGTCGTGGTGGATCATGATCGAGATACCACGAAGATAGATATAGACACACTTTGCGCTGTTTGTCAAAGAAGAGTGGTTATGGCTTCATACCACTATATCATCGTCATTGTTCATATTATTTCCAGGCGCGTAAGATCGTACGCTCATTACGACTCACTTGCTCGTCAATATGCTTCCACATCCGCGGTTCACATACCTTTTGAACCCAGGGCTGTAAACCCCCGTAAACGAGTCATTTGGCGGCGAACGCGTGCCGTCGCGGCGAAGATGGGGATAAAGTTTGTATAGCGTCATATTTAAGTCATTCACGACGTTCTTCAAATTTCTCTTGGGGAGTGACTACATCCGAATCGAAATCAATGAGCCTAGTTGCTGATCGCACCATCGGAAGGTGCCTTCAGCTCGACTATGCAAAAGATCTGGTGCATGAGTCGACGAATGCACGAAGAGGGTCTTTTCGGCAGAAGTAGTTCGCCCCAAAAACAGATAACCAAGGTTGACGAGCCCGGTTGTATCGTTTCATGACTTGACTTCTAGAATATTCCATTGTGAGTACGATAGCGCGAGTGGTTAGAGCTTTGGAGCCTGGAGTACTCTTAGATATTAGATTCAGGTTTTGGATTCTATGGGGGATTTTTTGGGTTCTATTTGTCGCTTTTTAATTGTCACTACAACCCAAGGTGTGAAGAAGATCTATTTCTACGATTCGCCCGTCGTATTGTTCTTCACAGCACGTGCAGCTCAATTTGGGTAAGAATTATCAAGCAACTACAACACCCAGTTCAAAGGGATACCCACAGCAAACGGCGCTCCTTAATGGTTAGAGTGTCTGTGTATCGGTACCCGTATCTGTCTAGAAGATCCGGATTCATTCCGGGCGTCGTGTTTCTTTTTTGGCGACAAGATCGAGGACATTCCTTTCTTGCGTAACTGCTGCATATCTCACCACTTATTAGCAGTAATCAACAAAACCAACAATGCTTTTTATAAAAGAGCAAGGTACAACCGACGGCGAAAAGGGTACGTAATGAAATGACGGGAGAAAAATAGCAAAAAAAGATTCAAAGATAAGAGGGAGATAGAAGCGGAATAGACGAATGAAAAGCTATTCATTGGAACTGAAAGAACAAGTGTGCTAGCAGGAGGAAAGGTCAACATGGTCTGAGGGAAATGGGAAGGAATTCTATTGGATTTTTCCTTCCCTGTCCGCCTCATGACCGCTGACATCCGGAATGTTGATGCCTAAGATGATGACAGCCTACATTCTTTAATCCTATCTAAAAGATTCATTTCCCGAGCACTAAAATAGACTCAAAGCTTAAAAAACGGAGGAATAAAAGAGAGAGAGATTCAGTGAAAAGGCTTTGTTCAATTGATGTTCGTTCCATGTTGTCGGATTGATCCAACTTTAGCATTTGAGCTTCTCCACACGCAGTAACTCAAATTATTACACGAAGATAAATAATAATTCTAGACATATATGATCTCTAGGTTGCGTCTTGGAGGCTATTTACTAATGCGACATGTCATGATTCTCACAACATCGGAGTCCAGTTACGGACATGATTAGCGGGGCAAGTCTTGCAGTATAATCAAAATTCATGTCAGCGTTATTTTTACACCCCTTTACTAAGACGCACCAACTACTATAAGTTCACCATGTCTACCGAGAAAATATCTTTGACAGCAGTACCAATTGACAGAGAGAAGGTACAGTCCATTGAAAGCAACACATCCATATTTTCAATGATGGACTTTCTACATTCCGCGGGGTTCGCCTCTCATGTGCAAACCCTGATGGATCAATATCATGTTCCAGGTCTGGCTGTTGCGATTGTGCAAAATGGATCAGTTTCATCAACTGGTTTCGGGAACGCGTCTCTCTCGCCATTGGAGCCATGCACAGCAGATACGGTGTTCGATATTGCATCATCTTCCAAATCTTTTACTGCTGGGTCAGTCGCCATGCTAATCGACGACAATGAAAATTTCCCCGAAGTGCAATACGAAAGTACCATGTCTAGTTTGCTACCTGATGATTTTGTCATGTCCGATACTGAATACACGAGAAATGTCACACTGGCTGATGTCGTGAGCCACCGCAGTGGTCTTCCTTCGTAAGTGGCAATGATTCCCAAGAGGGAAAACATAAATATGTGACGATGCACTACTAATATGATGAACCCAGTCATGACTTTTCCTACATGAGTATACGAGCGGCTCACCCCGACGATGCTCGCTCAATTACAAGGAATTTGAGAAATCTGCCAGTGGCTGCACCCATTCGTTCGAAGTACATGTATTGCAATATGATGTTCACGGTATTATCGTATCTCGTTGAGGTCAAAAGCCGCCTCAGCTTTTCCGATTTCCTTGAAAAACACATATTCAAACCACTCAATATGCAGTCAACTGCTCTCCAACGGAGCGGAGCACGCGCTAAGGGTGTGGCAGACCGAATTGCAATGGGGTACTTCTGGGATGAAGACAACTCGACATATGTTGATTGCCCAATGCCGGAAAGCCCAGAGGCACAAGGTGCCGGCTCCATTTTTACAAGTGCGAACGACTTTATAAAATGGGTCCAAGCCTTGATGGACCACAAGGGGACTCCTATCAATTCTAAAATGTACGAAGGTCTTGTAGAATTGCGAAGCTTTGAGGATCCCAATGGAAAGGACGCAGCACCTTTCAAGTATACTTCCCCTGCGTTCTATACAGCTGGGATGGACGTATATTACTACAAGGGATACGTAGTGGTCAGCCATGACGGTCATGATAATGGATATGGTAGTCGCTTTTTCTTTCTCCCCGACATGAAATTCGGCGGTGTGATTGTTGGAAATTCGGACGGAGCAAATGACATGAGTCCTTTTTTGGCCCAGTATATGATCCAGCAATTCCTAGAGGGGAATGCATCCAGCCTAGATGCATTAAATCAGAATCCGGCGGAGGCTGCCGCTCAGAGTGAGATGGAGCAAAAATTCGACCATATGAGAGCCACATCCACGCCGCAGGAAACTCCTCTTCCAACCTACGTAGGTAATTATTCGAACCCGGGTTATCACGAGATGAATGTTCAAGTGAAGGATGGCAAGCTTTTCATCGATGCTACCGACCGATCGATGGGTTTTACCCTTACGTTTGAACATGTTGCAAACCAGACGGAATATATAGCTCATATAAGTGACTGGCAAGAAGGCGGGGATGATCCTGTGAAAGCCAGATTTGTTTTTGAGGGCAAGGAAGTGGTGAAAATGGGGCTGGATCTTGAGGAAGATCTGGACGATTTGATTTGGTTTGTCAAGGAAACAAAGTGATGAAACCCACATCATGAAACCAATGCAAATTAGAAGGTCATTTTACCCTAGAAGGCCGTTATGTATACATGGATAATAAAGACAACAATATTTTGGTCCTTATGCATTGACTGATTCGAGAAGTTAGAAATAAAGAAATGAAACATTTCTCCATTACTATCGGGACACATTCACATTCTCACTAGACGAGTCAAGCCATATTGACTCCTGATGTTGACATGAGAAGTAAAATTCATACTAGTCAATACAGTTAATAAGTTACAATTCCGGAGGAGTCAAGTTGAGGCGTAGCTGCCGCTTACGCCGCTTATCCTTCACTGACAAGGAATATAACTTTTCAGTGGATGATTTTCCGTTGCCCAATGCTCAAACCGGAGGAGAAATTCAGGGAGACGTGAGAAGAGTAATAACATCATCAAGGCTGCCGAGTATAAATATCCATTTCTTAACGTGAGATTACCCCGGCTCTGGATATTGTTGGTCGGAATGAGATCCTGCTGTTTACGACTCTTTTGATATAGCAGAATTACTGCTGAAGTCTCCAGGCTATGCTAAATTTTGCAAACATCCAGCAGGCTGATGATCAAATTTGTAGAGTCGGTTCTCCTTTTATAGGCCCTGAAGGGTTGGGAGAGGCCGTTTCGTGCAACTCCGGCGGGTGAAAGGTAGTATAATTGTGAGTACATGAGTCTCACAAATATATACAATATATGTCCCAGACTATAATGTGATACTCCTTTTGCTGAGCCACCAGTGCGAGAAAAGAGAGTGCGCTATTTCAGCCTCGATTCTGAACCACGAAATATTTACCGATGGTTTTTGTCGCTGAGCCCAGGGCATTTCCATCCCATTGGTCGCTATCGGCTCTAACTTCGTTCTCAGGGGCAACGCGCTGTATCTTCTTGCGACGGCCGACCACATGTTCCTTAGCCAAAGCATCCTTCAGGTGTTCCAATCCAATTGTAGCTTCTTTAGTAGCTTCGTCACTCTCATCACGAATTGCACGTAGGGGCGTTACATCGGCGGCATTGACACGTTGGATCTCTTTAACAAAGTGGATCTGCGACTCCAGAGTTCTCAACATCACTGTCTCTTCTTCCTTGTCAAGTGGTTCAGGGAGTGCTGATAGACGGAGTAAATGGCGAAGTTTTTCCGGTGTGACTGATGGCGATTTCTCAAGGGCATCGCTGTTGGGGAGAAGAGACCGAACCGACCATGTTGGCTTATCGAAGAGACTGGCTATATCTTCGCTGGTATATTTTCGTGGTGCAGATGAGTAGAGTCGTGGGTTGGGAGCATGTCGTAGATGTTTACCACACGTACAAATTGCACGAGGCAAACTCAAATTGGGGGCAATGCGTGGCATTAGAGGAGAGAAGAATTGACGTGCATAAACTGTCGTTACAAATGGGCGAACTCAAGGAGATCTGAAAGCCAAAGGCAGTACTAAAAAGAGTGTAGTGTTCCATGTTGAGGCGGCCGTAAGGCGGTGAAGGCGTGGGGCCAGTGGCAGGAGCCGATAAGACCCCGCTATCAACTCCAGCAATGATCGTGTTTTCTCCTGCGTCACAACCAACTCGCCGCGAACCAAGCCTGTGCATCCTCAATCTCAATGATTGCTGAATTAACCAACCGGGAAATCTGATTTACTTTTTGGTCTGACAAAATGGGAGATCCGCGAGCCCTACTACAGAAGGTTTTTATCCCCAAACCAAGCTATACCAGCGTCACCCAAGTACCTGACATGTGGCTGACGTGGTTTCTATATTAGGCGGACAAAACTCTACAAGGTGCCTCTGGTGGCTTTAGCTTCTTTGGGGGCAGGACGGAAAAATATGAAAATGCGGCGGATCTTTATATACAGGCCGCAAACGCATTCAGAGTACAGAAACTAAGTATGCCGTACTGATCTCCAGTGTCTTCATGAGGAAGTTCACAACACAAAGAGTATCTACTGACATAAATGCTCTAGACAAGGAAGCTGGACTTGCCTTCGAAAAAGCAGCCGCAGTTCAGAGAAACAACCTCAACGAACCGGACGATGCCGCGAACAGCTTATCCGAGGCCTTTAAGGTTTACCGCAAAACAGACCCTGAGGATGCGGCAAGAGTCCTCGGTAGTGCTATTCAACATTATATATCCAAAGGAAATTTCCGGAGAGCGGCCACTCACCAGCAAAACCTTGCGGAGGTTTACGAAGTCGAGATCGGAGACACCAAGAGAGCCTTGGCGGAGTATGAGAAAGCTGCGGAATGGTACGAAAGTGACAATGCCGAAGCGTAAGTAGATGGACCCATTATACTCTATTCAGTTTCTAAATATGTCACGATACAGGCTTGCAAACAAATATTACCTCAAGGTCGCCGATCTTGCTGCTATAGAAGGCGATTATTACAAGGCGATTGCACAGTATGAAAAAGTCGGCAAAGTCTCCGTCGACAATAATTTGATGAAGTGGTCGGTCAAGGATTACTTTTTTAAAGCTGGAATATGCCATCTTGCGTCAGGCGTACGTATTTCATATACATATAAAACGAATAGTTCCGCTAATCAGATGTCTAGGACCTGGTCGCCACCAACCGTGCTTTGGAGAGTTATAGAAACATTGATCCCACCTTTGCTTCCACCCGAGAACATCAACTTCTAGTTGATTTGTCCGAAGCAGTTGAGCAAGGAGAGCAGGACGCCTTTGCCGATAAATTGTTTCAGTTCGACCAATTGAGCAAGTTGGACAAATGGAAGACAACCTTATTTTTACGCATTAAGGACACTATTGAGGAGATCGAAGAAGATTTCTCATAATCTCCTTTCGTCATTTGTCATTTCCAATCCAATTGCAATAAACGGTATAATTATACCCTATAGCTGGTTTTCTATACGTCTGGCTTCTTAATTGTCGATTTCCTTGATACTTCATATCCATAGTAGTATACCAGTTGACCTAGTAAATTAATTGGTAATGACTAGCTAAATTGAGACTGATAAATCTTTAACCACATGATAGTGACATCCTTGGTCCATTGATTGGTATAAACTAGGATTTAATTAGCATATACTACAGAAATAATCAAGCCAACTCCTAGTATGCAAGTGCCTCTGAGCAAGAAGTTACAAATAACGCCCAATTTTTCAAGAACGCCGGGTATCCAACGAGTGTCTAGAAACTGAGACCACAAACTGTGCATAAAACCAACGAACCATGCTCTAGGAATCTTTTTTTGAAGCAAATCTAGAGAGAGCAGGTCCGAGCTCCTGTCGTTGATTCTGAAGGGCTTCATTTTGTCGAGATTTACGCTCGCTCTGCAAAGCCTCCGCCTTGAGACGCTTCTCGTCGATAACATTGGTCTTGCCTTTCTTTCGAAGGTACTTTCTGAGAGCACTATTGCGACCGCGGCCACGGTTCTTAAGTTTCTCAATTGCGTCCTCTGGTTTCTGCTCTTCTTGTCGCTCTTCACGGCGTTTCGTTTCGGTAACGTTGTCGATCTTTCCGATATAATCGGGGTCCAATGATATCATTTCAGGCTGGAGCTTGTTCAGTAATGCCTTAACTTCTGCTTCCTGGCGCTGTTTGATGGTTTCGTATGGGTTGACTTCCATGGAGTCGAAATTTGGTTCGCCTGCACCAGGAACGATTACGCTGGCAAATCCCTTGTCATGAGTAACACCTAATACATCCTCGAATGGGCACCACCGAACGGTCTCGATACGTTGTCCATCGCCACCCCACGACATGTAGGGGCTTTGTACTTTCTCTTCATTGGCCGCGGCCGCGTCAAAAAGTCCTCTCCAGACACTGACTTTTGTTCCCCAGCCGACAGCAGTAAGACCACGCTCGCTAATAGAAACGCTTGCTCCCGGTTGATAACAAGAGTATGAATGAATCGACTTGAACATGCGTATATCCCAGACGTTCATTCTCATGTCTTGCCCTGTTGAGACCATATATCTGCCTTGTCGGTCGATAGCCATTGACCGTACTGGTCCACGATGGACAAGGGCTTTCACAAGAGCGGTTTGTGAGTTCGGTGACCACAGACTTACTGTGCCGTTTTGATGTCCCACGTGTAAGATTGCATTCCAAGGGTTTTGGCATAAAGATGTAGGTGATCCCAGTCGAGTTGGTAATTCCGCCACCAATTGTCCTGTCGATGTGTCGGTATATTTTAGGAAGCCACTGGTTGCCTGGATGGAAATACAAATTAGCGAATCGATCATTCCTTTTCGCAAGGAGATTACTCACAGCACTAGCTAAAAGAAAATGATATGGCAAGAATTCCAGGTACCGAGCTTCGACGTGTTTGTTGAGACAGTGGAGTTCCGCGCCGGAGTGATCGTAGATGTAGACATATTTCTGTTGCGCAACCGCAAAGTATTGATTGTTATGCAACCATTTCGCATCACGGATCGTTTCCCCAAGCTGCAACTCACAACCTAACTTCCCAGCTCGCCAGTCCATAGTCGCGATATGGCCCTTCCTCCCAGCCAACAGCAGGTTCTTGCCATTGCGAGTATAATCGGCGCGATACGGCCCAAAATCCTCCAGCTTTAACTCGAAGCCTTTCTTGGCTACTTCGATCCCGATGTTTTCTTTAATGTCGTCCTGCCTAACCTTGTACGTCTTTTCCAGCTCGCCTTCAGGCTCGAGAAACCCGCCGTCGTTTTCCAAGAGGATCTCCGCATCTTTCGCTCTGAGTGCAGCTGTTTGGTATCGATCTTCCACGGCTCTAAGATTCCCGCGAAGTTTTTTGTCCTTGATCCCCTTCAATCGTACTGCTTTGCCGCGGCCATACTTCTGCGTCGCCTCGACCAGGCGTTTCTTTCCTTCCCGGGCTGCGATGATGTCTTGTGGTGATCGCTTTTGCCCGGATTGCGCCAAGGCTTTTGTCACTGCTGCCATCGTGAATCGGCGCAGGACAAGTTTCTTATCTAAAATTTATGCAATGCTTGAGAGTATTCGTTACTTGGAGAAAGGAAAAGTAATTCTGCTTGATTGCTGGGCAAACGTGAATTGGAGAAGTGTCGAATGGTAGCTCTGTCCAAGCTCAGCCAAAAAAATTCTTGCCAAGATTTGCAGGCCGACCGCTCGCTTGTCCGCCACAAGACATTAGTTAAATATTTTCTTATCGATTAGCACCGACTGACTCCCCACCTCCCTCCGCAGAAAAATAATTGAGTTGTAAAATTTCCAGTCTTCCTCAGCTTCAATTTGTGCTTATGACAGCCAACAGATACAGAGAGCCATAAATTTCCGGACGCTCTCTCCCATACTTGGAATTCCTCACTCTGGCATCGCTCCCATTTCGGTTCAAAGGGTCAGACGGTGCCAACATGGCACCGATCACCCATGCGGTGCACCACCACCGGAACACAACAAAAACATCCCACAAGGCTTTCAAGAGCAAACACGCCTCCAAGAGCGCACTCAAGGAACGAAACAGAGGTTTGCAGAATCTTCCAATTTAAGTTTCTATTATCTGACTGTTTCACAGGTAAAGTTGAAACTGGGGAACGGGGGGTACGCAAAACCCCTCATCAACAGCTCATGTCGAAGCTCGATCGGAAGAACCAGGCTCGTCAGAAACAACAATTGAAACATCAAGAAAAGGCTAGCGCTGTTAGCATATTCAATGGTCAGAACGGCGCCCCTCGCCAGGTGGCTATCGTGCCTCTCTCCGACAGGGTCGATATTCCTGCTGCCATACGCTCGTTGAATGAAAGTGTCGATGTTCCTGAAAATGCCTACGCGGATGGATTGTCCCGCATACGAATCGACCGCTTCAAACAAAACATTTTGTATATCCCGACAAGCTACGACTTGATGAGTGCACTAGACGTATGCCGGGTTGCAGACTTTGTTGTCTTGGTTCTACCAACGGATGTGGAGGTTGCGGAGGAGGGAGAGAATCTGTTGCGATCGATAGAAAGTCAGGGTATCTCCAATGTATTGGTTGTGGCACAGGGTGTGGATAAGCTGAATCCGCCGAAGAGACGTCCGCAGGTCATCTCTTCATTGAAGTCTTACATCAACCACTTTTTCCCATCTATCGATAAGGTTCTTTCTCTCGACTCCCGACAAGAATGCTCGAATGTTGTCCGTGGCTTGTGCACAGCAACGCCCAAAGGTATTCGATGGAGAGACGACAGAAGCTGGATGCTTATTCAGGATGTCAAATGGCCAGAGAACAATGGTGATATAGTTGACAACGTTACAGTCACAGGCGTAGTGCGAGGCAAAGGTTTAAAGGCAGACCGAATTGTGCACATACCTGGCTGGGGAGACTTCCAGGTTGATTCTATCACTGCCGCACCGCTCCCAACCCCCAAAGGCAAGAAGGAAGATGTGATGAATATCGACGACTCGGAAGGTACCCAAGTTCTCGATCAGCCAACAGAAGACTGTGATGATATGGCGACTGTTGCGCCTGAAGAAATTGAGATGGAGGATGACGCGCTATCAAACCCTGACGCCGAACGACGAGGAGTCTTGCTTGATGATCACCACTACTTTTCTGAAGACGAGTCTCACATACCCTCTCGCCCCAAGAGATTACCTAAGGGTACATCAGATTATCAGGCTGCATGGTTCCTGGAAGACGACTCCGATTCTGGCTCAGATATGATTGATATGGAAGATGAGGACGTTGATATGGATGTTGACGAAACCGAGGGCCGTCCTGAAGACGGCGTGTTCCCAGACCATGGCGACGCCATGACCGAGGCTGGTCCCTCGGAATACCCTCAATCCGAGATGTTCCTCGACCCCTCTCCCGAAGACGAAGCAGACCAACTAGAAGAGTATCGTGCCAGCCGGAGAACGGAAGAAAAAGACGACCTGGAGTTCCCCGACGAAATCGAACTCCACCCTAACGTCCTTGCGAGGGAACGACTACAAAAATACCGTGGTCTAAAAAGCCTCAAGACGAGTAACTGGGAAACCTCAGAAGATCGACCATACGAACCAGAGGACTGGCGACGGCTGTTGCAATTCAATGACTACAAGGGCCTCAGGAATAAGCTTGTCCGCGAGGCCCTCGTGGGTGGTGTCACTCCTGGCACTCGCGTGAACGTGCATCTGAAAGCTGTTCCGAGCACTCTTCGCAACCGGCCACAACCAGTAGCATTATTCTCACTGCTTCGTCACGAGCACAAACACACCGTTATCAACATGAACATTACGGTCAACTCCTCCGTCGAGGAACCCATTAAATCCAAAGAAGAAGTCATCATCCAATGCGGTCCACGTCGTCTTGTCGTCAACCCGATCTTCTCTGGAGCTGGGAACACTCCCAACAATGTCCACAAATTCGACCGATTCCTCCACCCTGGTCGCAGCGCAATTGCTTCCTTTATTGGCCCGGTTATCTGGGGTGCTGTTCCCGTTCTAGTCTTCAAGAACCAAATTGTAAAAGACCCCGAGGTTCTCGACTCTGCAGAAGATGCACCTGATTCCGCAAACACAATCAAGCGTCTGGAGCTGATTGCCACGGGCACAGTTGTCGCGTCGGACCACTCTCGTGTTGTTGCGAAGCGTGCTATATTGACGGGCCACCCGTTCAAAATCCACAAGAAAGTTGTCACGGTTCGGTACATGTTCTTCAACGCAGAAGATGTCCATTGGTTCAAAGCTCTGCAACTCTGGACCAGAAGAGGCCGCAGTGGGTTTGTTAAAGAGAGCTTGGGAACGCATGGGTATTTCAAGGCTACTTTCGACGCGAAGATTAACCCTCAGGACTCGATTGGTATCAGTCTGTATAAGCGAGTGTTCCCGCGCCTTGCGCGGGCTGTCGAAGAAGTGGAAGCTTCTGCTTAAGAGCGCGCTCTATCTTTGATCCTTATTACGATTCTTATTTCTTTAGCTTTCATGATGATCACGAGGTTAAAAATACCCATAAAGACTACAGCTAGAGACTACACATATACTGACATATGCGATGGACGAACCATCAATGTACCGGAAAAGTTCAATGTTATATCAATATCAATCCCAAGTTTATTTCTCCAACATCCAACATCTAGTCCATATCTTTACACAGCGCCCGACCCCCTAACCGCACCATTCTTCCATCTCTGCAAACTCTCATCATACCCTCCACTCCCCTTCCACGCACTAATAATCAAATTGACAATATGCTCCACACCATTCCCATGCTTTACAGAGCCAAACACCGTCGGCCCACCTTCCCGGATCTTGCCCGCATCACGAGCCATCACATCCAAATCCGCACCCACCGCTTCCGCCAGGTCAACCTTGTTGATCACCAACAAGTCACTACCCGTAATCCCCGGCCCGCCCTTGCGCGGCACCTTGTCGCCGCCGGCAACATCGATCACGTAGATAATATAATCGGCGAGTTCCCGCGAGTAGTTGGCGGCGAGGTTATCACCGCCGGATTCGATCAGCAGTAGATCCGTGGTGAATTTGCGTTGGAGGGTTTGAAGAGCAAGCAAATTAGCGCTGATATCCTCGCGCACGGCTGCATGAGGGCACCCGCCGGTCTCGATGGCACTGATTCGCTCGGGGGCCAGGGCTTGGTTGCGGGTGAGGAACTCGGCGTCTTCCCTGTTGTGTTTGTGCGACGTTGCATTAACAGTCTGTCTAAAACCCCTTCTTCCTCTCTTCTATCTTATAGATAATGGAAAGGTGTACCTTGTGAAAATATCATTTGTCACCGCCGCGATGTTATATTCGTCCCTCAATGCCAGGCATAGCTTCAACATCAACGCTGTTTTGCCTGATCCGACTGGTCTACATAACAAGCAATCAGCTTTGATGAGTTTGTGATATATTCAAGAACTGACCCGCCAATGCCAATCGTGAAAGCTCTATCCTTCCAATCCCTTCCCTCGTGGTTCGACAGCGGCTGTTCGCGGCTCAGAAACGAACCGGGGCCGTCGAGGATCTCGTGCGTATGGCCGTGGTCACCGAGAGCACTGTCATGAGAATGGCTGAACCCGCCATCGTGGGAATGAGTGTGGTCTATGGATGCCATAATGACGATTTCGGTTGCGTGGGTATTCAGTAGTAGGCTTATCTGAAGCAGGTTCTCGTCGTTAGCGGGATAAGAAAGAAGAGTGGGATAGGGAATTGGGGTAAATAATCGACTAACGTGCTTGCTAGGGTATAACTCGGCTTATAGCTCTAGAGGCAACGGATGTAAGCAAGCGAGGGCAGTATTTGATGGTCGAACACCTCAAGTGCTTACAGAGCTTGCTCGATCGTGACAATCTCGTCCCAAGAGATAGAGTTCGCCCCGCCATAGTGGAGACTGCGGATCTAACGCGTTCCGCCCATGTACGAGCCGTGCGCATGATCAGTTAGATCAATTACCATACACAGCATTAAGCATAAATTAAGGCAAGGGTGGCATTGTTAGGCCCGTTGAGGTTCGGGTTGTGCGTGAGGTGTGTTGGTTTTAGTGTTTATGTTTGAAGGGAGGTGGTCATTGATGCTGCCATTAGAATCGTCTTAACATTCAGGACTATATCCATGCCCTAGATAGATATCGGGAATCTCATCTCGTGCAGTCTTTTTGGCGGTAGAAAAACCAGAGAATATGAGACTGAAAGTTGACAAAAGCCACAAACACACAAATATTCGCCATAGACAAAACAGTGCACCAGCGCCTTGAACGCATGACAAGCCGTAGAAGAGATAACAAAGAGGAGATGCCGAGGTGAGATGGCCAACGTCGATCAGGTCATCACGGGGTATATCCCAGTCTCATACCATATGCAGTAAGGAATTCACGCGAAGGAAAAGGCCCGACGAAGCTGTTTAGCAGAGGATAAAAAGAATAAAGAATACATGAAAAAGGCCATAATATGTCTGAATGGCTGGCCCAGATGCTGATTCCTCAACCAAGGAAGACACGAAACGGATGCAATAGAAAATCGTTTATCCTCTCATTCCCATCCCCATTGAATAACGAATAAAGTAAGAAATATAACAGGCCAGCAAAGGCCACGAAAGTGACATACACGCTAGACGTTATGTGGGAAATAAATCACGAGAAAAGTTAGCAAATAAAGACAAGAAAGCGGAAGACCTCAGGTATACTCCGGAAAAGACGAAACTCCCGGAAACAAGAAGAAAGATGGCAAGTCCTGTGATACGCCGTAATCCCCGATTATTCCCCCTTTCCGAGTATAGAAACAAAAAGCAGTCGAACGAAGTAATGAGAGCAATACATCGTCTAAGTAGTACCCTTCTGTCTTTTGCCGCCAACGCGAGGGCTGGCTTTCACTTTCGACGCACCACCTACTGGTCCTGTCCCGTTTACTTCGGCACCATCGTCGCCCTCTGTCTTGACGGTGCTCGCACGACGACGTTTGTTGGAAACATTGGGACTCGTGTTCGCGCTCGTGCCTTGGTTTCCGTTCGCGTTCATAGCAGCTTGGTTTTGGTGCGGAATCATACCAGGTCCCATGAGATGGCTCTGAGCTGGGCTAGGCTGAGCCGAATTACCAAGGTGAGGTGAAGCTTGTGCACCAGGCAAACCCATCTGGCCCACCAAGGGAGATGCGAATTGAGATGGCGCATTGTTCATGTTAGGTGTCCTCTGTCCTTGTTGCTGAATTGCAGCATTCATTCCTTGTTGCGCCATCATGGCAGTAACTTCTCGAAGCACATCTCCGGCGCTCTTTTGAGGGTTACCAGCACTATGAAAGATTAAACTTGTCATGGATGATAAAGGCTCTGCAATCTATACACACACATGGCTTAGTCAGCGAGCTATCAGAAGCATTATGGAGATGTTCAAAAAATACCTCTAAAAAGCACTGAACGCTGGCTGGAAGTCCATTCTCATTTACTAGCGACTCTGGAGGGATGATGGTAGGTGGCGGAGGTGGTTGCTTCTGTTGAGCACGCTTGTTACCTGTCTTTGATACACGGGGGCTTTGCTTCTGCTCAGGTGGTTCCTGAAGTTGCAATAGGTTGCGAGGAATGTATTCCCTGAAACCGCTCACCGAAATATCAACGAGATCGAATTTGAAATCGGGATTCACGAGGACTTTGAGAGAACCATTGACAAACAGCTAGAGCTATGTAAGTATTGTCCATAGAATAGAAAATTCGGGGTACGAACCTGACAGTCATTTGAGAACCAATAAATGAAACTCGTCTTGGGACTGTATACAACGCGGTACCCGTTCTGCGGAGTAAACTCCTGCGTGGCCTCCATATGGGTTTGTATTCTCCTGATTCCGTTGTTGAAAAGCGTGACATAATACCGCGGCAGGATAGTCGCATTAACTTCAAAAGACTTGGAGCCAGTCCCCGGTAACAGAACACCTTGACGCAAAACTCCCCACGGCTGCCCTGTACTCATTTGGAATGTTGTATTGTAAAATTTATTCACCACGTCCTGCCAGAATAGGAGATCTGCATCTTCACCGTTGCTCTAGAAAGACGGAAGTTAGCAGCTTTTCTATACTAGCCCGAGAGTCTAGATAACATACTTGGAAATTGCTCAGAGTCTCGAAATAGCTATTGACATAATGGGTCAATGGCCCTTTGTTACTTTGCATGATAGGATTTGCAGCACGCCGTTGTTGTTCTAGCATGAGTTGTTGCTGCTGCTGCAATTTCAACTGGTCTGGGCCGGACATTTGCTGCTGTTGCTGCTGGTTCATCTGAGCCTGGTGCTGTTGCTGAACGGCTTGTTGTTGACCGTTTGGGATTTGCGGTTGGTTAGGTTGCTGTTGCTGTTGTTGCTGATTTTGTTGCGCTTGTTGCTGTTGTTGAGGCGGTTGCTGCGGATGTTGAGCCTGAGGAATCTGTTGGTGTTGAGGATTAGGGGTTGGTTGTGTTGGAGGCTGCGAGCCTTGATGAGATGGAGGTTGTGGTGTAGCATGTTGCGGGGGATTGGACTGTTGTGACGGTGTACCGCCTCTCTGAGGAGCTGGATGGCCAGGTTGAGGTTGAGGAGTGACGCTTTGGGGAGGGACAGCTGCGCGCTGTTGTGGTGTGTGCTGGCCCTGTTGATTGGCTTGAGCTGCCGCTTGTTGCTGTGCAGCAGCCTGTTGCGCAGCCTGTTGCATGGCCATGTAGTGCTGCTGCTGTTGCAGGTTCGGGGGTACATGAGGCATCTGCTGCTGGAAATGCATCATATTGACAGGCCCGCGCATGTTAGAATTTTGGAGGGCAGAGAGTTGAGCTTGGCTCATGCCTTGTGTTCCAGCTGGCATCGAAACTGGAATACCGCCACCGTGGTGTTGTTGAGCCGCTAACTGCTGCTGCTGTAGCATTCGGTGTCGCATGGCTTGTTGCTGCTGCAAAATTTGGTTATTATTCGTTGCATCTACACGTGGAGAAATGTTAGTGCCGCGGTCAAAACAATAGCTTAAGGTATGAGGCATTTGCGTGTGGGGATTAGGGGGATCGTTGAAAAACAGAGGTGTATACTGAGGGAAACAGGAACCTACTCATGCCATATGGCTGCTGCTGCAAGAGGTGTTGCGCCTGGGCCTGTGCGGGGTTCAAATGTTGCAAAGCATGGGCATTCGCAACATGGCCTCCAGGGCCGGTTGTCGCGCCAGGAGGCATTCCAGCCATCATGGGCCCCGGCTGGCTGACTTGAGGGCCAGCAGCAGACACACCAGGATGCATCTGCTGTACCATACCAGGGCCTTGCACCATATTCGGATGCTGAGCCTGGGCCATTGGGTGGCCTGGAGGCAAACCGGGGTGCTGAGGGATGCCTTGATGGGCCGGGAATGGCTGAGTCATCATCATCGCTATGCCACCAAGTCCTCAGCCGTATTCGGGCTCGCGAGGACGGTGCAGAGAGGGAAGAGAAGGGAAAGCAGGCGGGCGAGGACGCGATGTGATGGGACTCCTCTGCGGATATCGGTTTCGAGCGCGAGAACTGAGATGACAGCAGGGCCGCTTTTAGCGTGTGGTCGGCGGCCAAGACACGACAGGCCGGCGAGAAGGGCCAAGGGCAGGCAAACTCAAGAGCATCAACCACGGCGCAGTGATCGATCGCGTTTGGCGTCAGACAAGCCCTTTGCCGGCAAGAGTGTTCCCAGGAGCTGAGGGAGTTAAGAAGAGGTCAGGAGTTAGTCGGATGCGTTAAAATTGAGTAGAAGACGAGTAGCGACCGGGGGGCGGAATAACCCAACACGGGCGGACATGGACATGGAAGGTTGCGGGAGGGGCTAATCTGGACGGCTCGACGGGCTCGTTAGGGGCTGGCAATTGCCGCCCGTCGGTCCAGCACAGCGGAACTCACTCACCTAAAGTCACCTTATCGGCAGTACTCAGCGTATGGGATTTGGCGCAATCTCCTGACAGCGCGCTCTCGCTCGCTCGCTCAGCCCTCTGTGGTGTGATCGTCACGCAAGCACTGCACTGCTCGGGGAATGGCGGGCTGGGGGGAGTGGCAGGCAGGAGGTCGCAAAGCAGAGGCGAAGCACAGCGGGCAAAAAGAAGAAGAAGAGCACGCAGAGGCAGAGGCAGAATTCCCATGGCGAGCGCAAAGGAGAGTCTCGCAGCTGCTGAAACGGAGGGTTGTCTGGGGCACGCTATCCTGCGTTCGGCCATCACGTGAGGCGCGCTATTTTTTCTTTTGCTTTTCCCGTTCGTGCTGCGTCCTCCTTGCGTTTGTCTATTCTTCTCTCGCTTATGCGTTGCCACCGCGCAAATTTTTCTGCTTTTGACCATTTAATCAAATTATTTAGTCATTTGCACGGCCTAGATAGCAGAGGCTGCTGATGCCGACTATTCCTTGCAGAAGCGTTCGTTGATCGGCGGTGTTTGTTTTTTTTTTTATTTATTGACTGTACGGTCCGATTTTTTTATCTCAACAGGTAAGCTGCTCTTGTTTCGTCGATCTTCCCTTCCGCGCACTTTACAAGATGACAAAACCCTTTTACTTCTTCATTTTTTCTCGAATCGCCCTTGAAGAGACATTCGGACCTTCCTTTCCCGGTTGGTCTGCTACTTGCCAGTATACCTTGTCTGACTTTTTTGTGCCAATCCTGGACTTGCCACCTCGCTGCTTCTTGCAAGACTTCATTCTAACTGGATATGTTTAGGTCAATTGCTCTCGTGGAAACGACAACAGCTGCCTGGAAGATGGAATCGGGATTTTAGAGGTGTAGCTTTAGCATAGTCGTTACAAATCCATTCATTTTCATGATGTGCATTACAGTGCTGAGCCGCGACTGCCTGTTGCGAGGCGATCCCCTGTGATCGACTGTGTAGCCTCCGTATTGGACCTTAGACTTCGTAAAGTCGTCAACTGCAGCGCCAAAACCGACAGTGATAGGCGTGTTTGTAGATTCGCCGCAGGTTAAGGCCAGGTGCCAAGACTGCACTCATGGCGACTGCTGTCTGCTCTAGACTACTCCATATCAGGCTAGTCATCGCCTAGCCAAAAGGAGTAAGTGTAGATTCTTCTTGATGCCGACCTGAATGGACATTATTATTTACGGTTCCCTTCGACATTCACTGCAACAACCCGCCCTCACCCTCGCATCTCCCGGCGCTCTGTTGCGCGCGTTGTCCTCGGCAGAAGCAGTCTCTCGTCTCTAATTGACCCGACTCCGTTAGAGCACCGAGAGCTCTCCAGAGTCCGTTGCCATGCAAGGCGCCCGACTCCTGCCTGCTCATATCGTTCGGTCCTGTCGTCTTATCGCCGGTCGTCGATACCCTCTCGCTTCGCCCACGTCCTACCGGCACTTCCATCAGTCCCTCCCACGATCCTCTCGGTCTCCCTCAGAACCCAATGGCTCTTCGAATTCAAACGAGGACGCTTCCAACGAGATACCGCCGGCCGATGTACACAATGCTTCGTCCGCGGAAAATGCAGAACCCGGGATTGGTAAGCAGTCATCAATTGGTCGCAAAAGCTACGTTTCCAGTCTGCGTCGCGCCATGAAAGATAAAAGAGGCCCGCTCGAGAAAGCTCCTGTTAATGTCAGCATACCGCAATGGTTTTACGATCGAAATGTTGCACTGTTCGATAGCAATGAAAAAACCAAAAAGTCGCATACTCGTCCCGTAGTCATTGAGGTTCCCCAGAAAATAAAGGAGAAGAATGCTCAGGCGGAATCAACCGGCGGTGATAATGGTGACAATACTGGCCGGCAAGATTCTAGTGAAGATCGCTATTTACTGAAGTCAGCCGTGTGGAGACAATTGCAAGCCTCAACGAAGGCTGGATTCATGCTTCCGTCAGAAGAATATGCCAATCATCCCTCAGCTGAAAAGTCGCACCTTCTTCTCCATTATCCTGGTGATGACGGAATTGTGTTTCTAGATGCCGTGGTTCAGAAGCTGGCACATGATTTTGAAGCCAATTTAGTGACGTTGAATGCTCAGGATATAGCCCAACTATGCAGTGAACAGGAGAGGCTTCACGGTGCCACCTTGTCTTCAATTCGAGACTTGGGCTATGAGGTCTATAACGAATCCCCACCTGAACTGCCAGAAAAACAGGATTTGGCTGCAAACAACACAGGCACTCCTTTACCCTTACCTTTTTCCGCCCGCACAACCGCGTATAGTATCCGTCGAAAGCAACCTTCCCGATACACAACTTCCAAATTGGCTGTTATCATTAGCAGCTTCGGGTCCCGACAATCAGATCGGCCGCTTAGCCCAAAATACCGAGTCCACGACATGGTCACTCCTGATCAATCAGATTTTGTCAACAACGCCTAAATCAGTAGCTACCAATGCAGGTGGCGATGCTAGCTTTCCCAACAACGAAAAGAGGTCGAGTTCCCAGTCGAAATTAATCATTCAAATACAGGATTACCTGGACTTGTTAGCATCTCGAGAGGGTTCCAAGTTCATCAAATTACTACAAAATACAATTCAAAACCGCAGGCGTCATGGTGAACAGATTCTTCTAGTTGGGACGCTTTCAAAGTATAAATATGAAGCTCCTTGGTTGTACGGAAGTTCCGATGCATTCAGTGCCGATCTATTAAGGCTGCAGTCCAGCACTTCAGACAGTCCTTTTGCTCGATGTATCAAGATTTTTCCTTCCACATCTTCGAAAACCGTCAACCAAATCTTTGCGGGAGACCGCAAATCCCGCAAGATGCAAATAAACATACGTCATATACAGGACATGATACGTACTCGTGTGAATCAGAAATTTACTTCTCTAGACAACGACATTTTTGATGATGCATTGTGGTCCTCGAATGCAACCTTAAAGCAGCGTCTCCAGTCTAAGTATTGGGACTTCAACCGTGTGCACGCGCTCGTGACTTCTGCCATGGGTCGCACTCAACTCAATGACACATTTAGCCTAGATCATATTCAGCAGGGATTGCAAACCATCGAGAAAAGCGACCTATGTCATGATCAATGGCTTTTGGGGCCATCAGCGTCAAAGAAGCGGGATCCTGCTAAAGAGGCGACCGAAAAATTCAATGCGAGACTGGCAGTAATAAAACAAAACGCTAATCGGTATGAAAAGAAACTTTTCAATGGGATAATTCTACCCCCAAACATTCGAACAACCTTCGCCGACGTGCATGTGCCGCCCGACACCATCGAGGGCCTGAAAACACTAACTTCTTTATCTTTGCTACGGCCCGAGGCCTTCAAGTACGGCGTCCTTGCCACGGATAAGATTCCTGGCATGCTTCTCTACGGCCCACCCGGCACTGGTAAGACCCTCCTTGCAAAAGCAGTTGCACGAGAGAGTGGAGCCATAATGCTGGAGGTCAGTGGGTCGGATATCTACGACATGTACGTCGGAGAAGGGGAAAAGAATGTCAAGGCCATCTTCAGCCTCGCCAAAAAGCTAACTCCCTGTGTGGTTTTCATTGATGAAGCGGATGCTATTTTTGGGGCGCGAGGAGCAGGCGCCTCCAGGCAAAGAACGAGCCATCGAGAAATCATAAACCAGTTCTTGCGCGAATGGGACGGGATGAAGGAGATGTCAGCATTCATTATGGTCGCAACCAACCGACCGTTTGATCTCGATGACGCTGTCTTGCGACGTCTTCCTCGGCGAATGTTGGTCGATCTGCCCACGCAAAAAGACCGAGAATCGATTCTCCGGCTGCATCTGAAAAACGAGCAGCTCGATGCGTCGGTGGACCTTTCCGATCTAGCCGGACGGACGCCTTTTTACTCGGGATCCGATCTCAAGAATTTCTGTGTCGCTTCAGCGCTTGCGTGCGTCCGTGAAGAGTACGACCAGGCAACGAAGCACACTGGCGAAGAGCCGTACAAATACCCGGAGCAGCGGGTTCTCACACGCGCACACTTTGAGCGCGGCATCAACGAGATCAGCGCGTCCATCAGCGAAGACATGTCGTCTCTCCAGGCGATCCGCAAGTTCGATGAGAAATACGGCGACCGCAAGGGGCGGCGGAAGAAGAGCGCAGCGTGGGGATTCACCCCGCTTGGCGCTGCTCCGGAGACGGGGGAAACTGGTCGCGTGAGGACGTGATAGATGTAGGCGGCTTGCTGCACTGCACAGTTGTAATAAATAACTAGATGTTGGCTGTAATTAGCATGCAGCGGTGTATTATTATCGTTACGAGCCAAGTTATATACTAGTCTGATAGAGTTGCGCCTAACACTCGCTTTTACTCCTTCTAGCCCTGCTTGCCGCTTCGGGCCTAGAGCGCCTTCCCACTGGCGGCGATCAAGTCCGGACCAAAAACGACCATGGTACTAGGAACTATTTGGTAATTAGTAACTGACTACTGACTGTGCGGTCTATCATGCGACCTGCTGGTTCCCCTCATTCTCTTCTCATTCACTCATTCATTCATTCATTCTTCACTGCTCTGCTTCGCTACCAGCTTGGCGCCCTGGTCGCTGCCTGACTGATGCTGGAGCTACACCTGCTGGCAACAGTACACACCAAACCGTCTATTTTGCATGCTTAACCAATAGTGTCGTCATCATCTGTGGTGTCTACCATCCGTTGTCCATTTTGGCTTCAGCTTTAACCCCGCCTTCCCTACACACACGAAAATACAGAAAATGGCCGCTGACCCGCCATCACAAACGTCCGTCTTCGCTTCGCTCCATCGCAAATCCAAGACCACGACTAGCGACACTTCCGTGCAGGAGAGTCGCGAGGCCGCTGTCCGCGACGCCAAGCAGTATGTGCGAGATGTCGTGCGCAACGACTGGGCCTTTGACCCCCCCTTGACGCTTTGGTCCTCCTCCGCCTCCCCCCATCGTCCAACTCCATTCTGTCCATTCCCGCTACTGCGACAACGCCGACATCCACTTCGACTTCGTCTTCAACCGAATTGCAAGCAGGTGATGTCGTTGGGTGGCGGTTACGCGACTATGTTAGTTCGGGCTCAGATACCGACGTAGGGCCTGCTGAGGCGAAATCGCATGATGGAGAAGAACGAAGCGCGTATCGGTTCGAGAGCCCAGATGCTGTTCGAGCCAGTGTGGTTGAGCGCAGGCGGAAGCGCCGGGCTGCATTGGAAGAAGAGATGCAGTGGAATCCCGGTCTGCGGTTCTGGATGGAAAGACGCAATGCCTGGACTGGGGCTAAGAAAAGAAGAACTATATCTGCAAAGAAAAAGCAAGAGGCCAATCTAAACACTCATGATACGCTGCCTGATAAGCTAGCTGGCGAAGATTCGAATATGATTGATATGGAGACCAAAGAGTCCTCGACAGCAGGGGCGACAACCTCGCCACAACCCCAACAGAGGAATTAAACAATTTGAAAATTTCAGAAGATACAGAATACGACTGCTACGAATCCGACGATTCCATAATACCAGTGATGGGAACATTCATCCCCAATTTGGATTACGTCCGATCATCCATCACACCCGCTCTATACCCCTCTATTTACAGCAAAGTGGTGCTCCAAAGTCTCACTCCGACTGTCCCTATAAATCTAGCCGATGTTACGAAAGCCATCGTCACAGGGTGGAAAGCTGATGGACAATGGCCGCCCAAACCGAGCATCCCAGTACCAGGCTCAGACGTGCCGGTGCGAAAGAAAGGACATTCTGGCGGGACCAACAATAATAAAACCGGACGACGGGCAAGTCTGAGCAGTCACGGATCAGGGGTGACAAACGCTGTTAAGAAAGTGTTAGGAGGCCTATCGAGTCACTCATTCCATCTACGACGATCAAGCCGCAGTTCTACAACCGGCGAAACAATGGAGTCTGGATCTGCTCCTCGGGCTGGGACAGAGGGTGCGCCGGTGATGGAGGTCCCTGTTGTAGAGGAGACTGGTGGTCGCTACTAGAAATACAGTGGAGGATGTTATTATTCCTAGGGTGATGACTTTAATTATCGCTGTTCTAACGCATAGGCGAGCATTGGATGCTCGCTAGGCCATTATTATGATTGGTGTTGATGGCGTGAATGGGTGCATGAGCATGAATAGTATATATATAAAGCTGTATAAATATGACGATGTCGATGAGACTGTTACTAACATCGAATCACATTCGCCGATTTACCAGTTGATATTGATAACATTACATGTAATAGCGCTAACATCGAAGCATCCGTCAACATGATCAACATTGAACACCACGTGCAGTTGACCACGGAACATCTCCCAAAAACTCAAACTACAAATTATACACATAAACAATTCAAAGTCCCAATAAATTATGTGTATATACAGTATCAAAAACCACATCGAAACAGCATTTAATTATAAAACATTACCTTTAAACCAAGCACATGTACCTTATCTGTACCTAGTTAGACGTATATATATACATAAACATGTCTAGTCGTCTGGTATTAATATTATCGCAGTATTCACTTTTATCATACAGGTCATAATTTCATAAATAACAAATCCCAAAATGACAGGACCTAGCTGGTGTCAATTACATCTACGTATAAAATACCTGTATGTATGTGGGTACTAGCGATGTACTTGACAGAACATTCTTGACTAGTTTGTGTTTATTAGTTGGTTTACTAACTAATACCAACCTTTATCAATAAGATACGTCGAATTATATATGTAACTACTTAGTAACCAAATGCAGCATTATGAATGGATATGGTTTAAAGCCAGTTATTCAATTAAGATATTAGATTTATTCTTGTTATGCATTTTTAATGTTTTCGATAAACTGGTATATTGATTCTTTGTTTAATACATATACCTACGGCATTAAATATTGAGTTTAATCGCTGAACCATGTCTGTGTGGGGTAAAACTTTATATTTAGAATATTTTTCAGAACTGACCACCCCAAATATTCAATCTTTCAATCTTACCAGATTGATAACGACTGGTATGATGTATTCAAACTGGTGCTAACCTCAACTATGAACTTGCAGCTTTGACATGATCTCAGGGAGCGAAGTATATTCAAGTAAAAAATTAACTGATGCTTACGTTTATAGGTTGACAATACACAATACCTCTGTCTGATATTGAAATAAATCACGGATAAAATTTACCCTTAAGCTACTAATTAAACTATGATAGTTAATACATAATACATACATGAGGTGAATCAACTTTTAAATACATATGTTGTTAAGATACTGTATGAAATTTAATCTGTCAGCACCAGACAGATTTATATACTTTTTACAAAAGTCAAGCGGAAATGAATTATCTTCAACACCGAACATTGAAACGAATCAACACGAGCAGGTCAATTTTATTACTGGTTTATTAGGAAATACGCCAATTCGCTAACGTTATTTCATTAAATAAGTCAGTAAATCCTCCTACAGCATGAATATCAAATTCAGCAATCACTCGAGTTACCACCCATTCAGAATACAAGTCGCGAAGAGGGGAGAGAATACAAATAGAAAATAAATATAAGAAAAGGCCGTAAAATTAACAATTTCAACTACCAAACCCAGAACCATCAACAGCCAGCTTTTTCTCCGTGTACACCGTTGAATCCATCATTAACTTACACCTGGGAAACAATTGGAAAGTATTGAAAGAGACTAATTCGAGTAAACAAGAAGCGAATATATTCTCGGAATGATATGTTAGTTCAGGCGGAAGGAGTCGATGATGACTATTCCGAATTAGTGATTGTACTAGATATGAGGAAGGGATGAGATATATTACCTTCATGCCCCCGACGGCAACCAGATCCAACCCACATGACGGTATTGACAAAGGCGTAACGGTCATCACCGGTTTCCATGGAGAGGTTGACGCGGTATTTGTATGTGCTCGGGTTGATCGAGTCTGCCACATTGGGGTCGGCGAGTTTCTCCAACACGTCTTTGGCGCCAGTCAGCCAGCCTTTGGTCTTGACGATGATGTATGCAGGTTGCTCATCGGCTGTCTGCAAAACATAGTTTGCGCCAATCGATGTAGCCAGCTCTTTGACCGTGACCTGTGAGTCTTGTCCGCCGGGCTGCGTGTCTTGTTAGAGAATGAACACGTTAAAAAATGATAATCTTATCACGTACCAGAACAATACCCTTTCCCCATCTACCAGCCCATTGGCCGCCAATAAATGAAACCCAGTCGCGCGAGCCCCAAATGCCATTGCCAATGTTGACCCTGGGATTCAGCTTGATGCTCATGCGGAAGTCAAGTTCAACACTGGGAACGGGTATTTGGAGAGACCGAGCGACGTCACCTTCTGGGAAGGTGTGGAGCAAATTGTTAGCAGGGATTGAGTCTTTCATCACATTCAAGTAAGTTGGGCATTCGAGCAAGTGCTGGCGCTGACGGCTGGTGTTCTTTGCGCGCACTTGCTGACAGTAAATGCACTGCACCGACAAACACTGTCATTGTTAGCAGATTGAGCTACTGTTTCTTATTTTGACGACTTACTTTGTCCTCTTCCTTCGCGCGGAACTCGACGAATGCAGCGTGGACATCATCAAGAGGCGGCGCGGGAAGGTTAGATGTGCTCTGGCGATTGGGCTTCGGCTTGGAAGCAGAGTGAGAGGGAGGTCTTTGCTGCGAGAGCGGCGTGGCAGATGGGCCTGGTGCTGCCTGAGGTACGGGCGCAGGCAGGGAGGGACGGTTTTGAAGATTCTGTAGAGGAGTTTGGATAGGGGTCGCATGAGGATTAACTCCATTCGACATCATCGTCGGGCCACTGGGGGTTCCCAGCTGTGCGGCGGCTGGGCCTGGCCCAGTAGGCGCGGCAGCAGAAGGTCCATTTGGTGTTGCAGAGTAGCCGTTGGTAGCACCGATGCCGTTGGGGCCAGGAGCAGTGGCCTGCGGCTGGGGAGCAGAAGGGTGGCCGCGAAGACCGGGACACTCGAGCAGATGCTGCTTCTGGCGCGAGGTGTTCTTCGCGCGAATCTGCTGGCAGTAGATGCATTGTACAGACAGACACTAGAAACTTGACAGTCAGTATTGGTGCGGTTATTACCAAGGATACCGGGTCACGTGCCTTGTCGTCGTCCTTGGCGCGGAACTCGACAAATGCAGCATGCACCTCCTGATCGACTGTGCGACCCATCCTTGTCGTTTCACAACGGCAGAAACAGGTAGAATAGAAGCGACAAAGGCGAGCACAAAACAAATAGCAGCTGGCGAGCGCGAGGTTTGCGAGACGAAGCAGTGGGGAGAGCGAGGCTGGGGCAGGGTTCTGGGAGGGAAACGCGAGCGAAAGAAAGTGGAAAAATAACTTACTGGAAAAACAGCGCGGTCGCGGTATTAGTAATTCCCGTGACATGGCCGGCCCCGCCGCTAAATACCAACATGGCCGTCTGGCGGTGGTTATTACCGAACAGCACATTAGCACGATCATACCGCGATCGAATGATATTCTCATGAAAAGCGCCGCCTAGAATCCTTAGCCCTCTGCCCGATCAAATCACGGCCGCCGCCTTCGCGCCCGTGGCAAAGACAGCTTGTAGATATTCTCCTCCATCTTGGCGGTTGGGCAGGCTGCGTCGCCAAATAATGGGGCTGAGGTTAACACCAAATAAAAAACAACAATAATATTATTAGATATTATTAATGCCCGAAGAGCTTGTAATTTAACTCGATCAGCGCAGGACGCTTGTAGTTCCCTGGCGGTGCGCTGCGTTGGGCGACTTTGCTTGCTGCGATGGATCATGGATGGCACACTCGCATTGCGCTCTGATTTGTCGGCAGTGGCGTCCAATCATTGCGCGCTGGCGACACCGTGGTCACCGGTGCGTAAGCAGGTTGGGGGAGAGGAGCGTGTAGGACAGAGTGAGGCTGAGAGAGGCCCGGATGCTGCTGTTCAGTGTTGATCGAGAGATGCTGCTGTTGGAATAATGACAGAGTTGGGAAACGAGAAAGAGACATCTCTAGTAGGGACGTTCTTTGTGGTATTGTGGTATAGCATACAGCGAACGGTTCGATGAATAACCGTAACGAGAACTATGGTATTACGTACTAGATATGTATTCAACTAGTTTGATGCCCAGTCTTCGAAATACCATCGTAGGACAAATAAATACCAGATAACTATGAATTTAAATAACACAACCCATCACTCCTCGCATCATAGTATCCCCTCCTTGCTGTTCCTCATTGCCCGAACTCAAATACCCATTCCCCGTAATGTTCCTAAATGATAAAACACAGCGAACTCGTATCTCGATAAATATGCTAGTATTTTGTTACTCGGGCCTTAAGATTTGATAAAATCTGTCGTCATCTATAATGTTGTAAAATAAATATCATGTCGCAATAGAAGCAGATGGTGTCGATCTTTTCCGGCAATCGATTTCACTCACAAACTCCCTTCGTAAACTCCATGGCCATTGATTGTCACATAAATTTCGCCCATATCCTCGATGTTGGACAGCATATGATGAGCGCCATAGCTCTGCGAGACTTTAATGACGTCTTTAGTCGCCAGTGTGAGCACATGCATTAACGCCTGAGTTGCAACTAAACAGGATGTGGACTCCGTTGGGAAAAGCTGAGAGAAGCTAGATTCTTTGAGCAAAGGGGTTCCAGTGCGACCTTCGTTCTCACCGCTTTCATACTCCACTGCCTGCATGCGAATTTCAAGGAATTCAAGGAAGTTTCTGTCATCGTGACCCAAGCTTGATATCGTGGCATGCGCGTCAATCGCACTCGATCCTTCCGTGCCATGCCAAGTCTCAGGACGCCATGATAGAATGCCTTGCTCCATGTAAGCATTTAGGTCATCATCGTATAGACTCCCAAAGTCGTCGAGGGAGAGGCCAGGTAGACTATCACGTCCAAGTAGATCCTGATGCAAACTTCGCCGTGCAAGTGGACTAGCACTTGGAAAGCGACCATTGAGTCTACCTGAACGCTCAAAGTGTCGACGAGATGAGCGGTCAAAGCTGTTTAAGGGACGACCGATACTGGAAGAACCGGCGACTGACCCCTGCAGTGAGGCTGTGATATTCCATGGCATGCGAGAAGAAGCATCATCAGGCAGGGAGGCAGGGGCATCAAGGCCAAGTTCGACATCCTGTTTGCTTGTTAAATCAGAACACAGCAATACCGTGCAGAGTGTATGCGCATACATTTTGCATCAAGATATCTGCATTATCCTCTCCCATTCCATTTGGCCTGGAAAGTCCCTTTTCGACTTCATCATCTGCTCTCTGACGTACGCGTCTTGTGACATCAAGCTCATCATTGCCAGCTTCATCAGAGCTTCGTTTGCCAGTATTGCTTGACAACGCAGCAAGAAGCTGTTCTCCGCAAAATGGCTGTAAAGGATGCGGCATTCGAGAGACTCCAAGTCCAAGTCCTACAGAGCCAATTCCGCAATCTGAAACCCAGAATGTTGCATTTCTCTTAGCTTGTATGAGTTGCTTGCTGTGTGCTCTTAACTTGTCGGCAAGCGACATATTGCGTAGGTATTCCTGTTCCCACTGCACTAACACGGCCTTGCAGACTTCAGTATTAATGTCCACCTGTACCTTTTTAGGTGCCTTGTGTTTGCGTCCATGTGAAGCATTCTCCCCTGTTTCCTGATTGTTAATGTAGTCAGGATCAGGAAGTCGACCTGAAGTCGGAGGAGGACTGTCACGGGCTTCAAGCTCACTGTTCAGAAGAAAGTTGTCGCCTTGGAGTTCCATCGCATCTCCATCCTCCAAAGGGATTTGGCTTAGCTAAAATTCACTGAAAGGTCGAATTGGACTCACCTGTGGCTGATGGATATTTTCTTCTGTAGTTTCATCAATTGGTCTTCCTTCCATCGGCGATTCGACTTGTAAGCCCAGGGTATTGTCCAAGCCGAGCTCTACAATATTCCCTTCCTCATCAAACTCAAAATCAGGACGAAGTAGCACACCTTCTTCTAGCATCGTGTCCCCAAGAACCTGGTCGCTCTTTCCCACAGTGTTACCACTATCACTTAGAGAAGCGAAGCCACCAAAATCACCATTGATGACACTTGGAGATGGAATATGCAGCTGAGGCAGCGTCTCGAGAACGAGTTGGCCTTGGCTTGAGTTACTGAAGTGAGATGAAACGAGACTTGAGCCAAGGTTAAGCCGGGAAACCAGCGACTCAGGGGGTTTAAGCAAGTCAAAGTCTAAGCCAGGAAGGCTGAACTCAGGAATGAAAGCTGGATCATACGGCACGACAAGTTCTTCTGGTCTATTAACCCTTTAGTACCATGTAGGTAAACAAGACAGGAAGAGTGGCCATACCTTGCCTTTCCAGCATCTGGATTCAAGCCTCGGCTGTGGACAATCTTCAGCGCAGTTTTCATTTTGTCTAGCATAGACTGTACATCGGTGAGAGTGTACAGACATTGGCGATTATACACTCGAGAGACCCCGTACCTAGCGGAATTCCGTGAGTGTCTTCACCCTGGGCCGTTCTAGTAGATGACTTACAGCAGGTTTCCTTGCAGGCGCAAGGCCATGGGTGCTTCAGAGTTCATTATGGTATCGCAGGCGCGAGGAACATCAACTCCTAATATGGCCTTTCTGTTAACTTTCTTCGACGTCGTCCTGGGACCCAACGTCGCCACCAGCCTGATTGTATCAGTATCGACTAGGAACTGATGAGGACGAGGTTTTGAGGATGAATGAAAAATCGGGAAGCTCCCTGCTTGACCAACTCACCATATAGTCGCAACGCCATGCTTTTCAGAGGTAAGGACTGTGTCCAACGAAGGAAGATGAGCCCAAGCGTTCAACTTTCAGACATGTATACGACAGGAAGGAACTTGGGGAGAAGGAAAGACTATACTTTCGTGGCTATAGAACATTTTGATATATCTTGATTGTATACTGGAAATGAACGAGGGAATCTTCGATGTCCGTCAACTGCATAGATGATACTTGAAATCTCTTGAAATAGATTCGCTGAAAACCAGCAGTGAGAACGAAATATTTGTGAAAATGCCAACTGGTCTGGCGATGGGTAGAATCTACGCATGCATTGATGCACAAGGGGAGAGAGAAAATTGGGATCACGTCGAGCAGCAGACGAGGGTTGACGGGGCAGGCGCAGCCGAAAAGGGAAGGCGCCTGCCCGTCGAGCTTGGGGAAGGAGCGATGATGTCCAGGACCTCGTCTGAAGTCAGATGACCGGGGCACTCTAGCCTTTGTCTCCCTCTCTTTCCTCCTCCTTCCTCCCTGCTCTCTCTCTTCTCCAAACAGCCTGCGCCGAGCATACTGAGCAATGACGAAGATGAAACACAAGATGAAGAAGCTATTCAACACACACAGACGCGACTGTAGAAGATGCTGTTTACTAAATTTCTTTGTTGCACTCAACAGAAGACATGTCGACCCATGTGGCCCCGTAATGAATAGATGAGAGTTTGTTATTAGCAAAAATGCATCACCGGCTCAACCAAACCGCCTCGAAATTCGGTTTTTTTATACCCATGATGTCCAGTCTCGAATAAAACGGAAACATAAGCCTCATTATTACAGTTACTGATAGTTAGACTATACAACTAGCGGGGCAGAACACAACCGGGCGTTGGGTTGAAGAAACCGATATCATTGATAAGGGTTATGCTTGGGGTGACCCCAAGTATATACTCCAGAATAGGTTGGACAACAATATAAGCAACAGTTTCGTCCACGGCCAGCTGACGGGGATACTCTAGGGAAGAAAATACTGGTAATTTCAGAAAAGACTAGGAGCAAAAACAACGAAGGATCAGTAGTTTCTATTCTAACCAGATCACAGGCTTCATTCGCAACATTACATATATATGCGCCGGGTATGATAGACAAGAATTAAGCTCACAGGACACAAAAATACCATACTTCCACAACTTTTCATAAAAAAGGCGTCGTCTATTACAACGAACTTCATCCACTATTACAGAGATATAGTGCATTTCAAGTCATTTATTCGAGCGGAATGCCTTCATACTCGGAGTATCCAAGAGCAAGGTTCATATTTTCTGAGAAGGCGGTTAGTTTTGAGAATATGAATGGATTTTGGAACCTAAACTTACGAAGACATTGTGTGGCAGCGCCCTTGAGCAGATTGTCGATTGTCGCACAGATAACGACCCTCTTGCCACTGGAGTGCACAGCGAATCCGCCGATCTCGACACCGTGACGACCGGCGATGTTTTTCACGAGAGGTGGCTCGCCAACAATCTTGACTAGCTTTTCGCCGGCATAACGATCTTGATACAAGTTGCGGATATCTCGAGATGACATCTCTTCTTTCAGAGGCAAGCTTATAGTATGCTTCATACTGTTAGTTCGGTCTAGAGGGAATTTCGTTGGGGACGACTTACATGTATACCTTGGAACCAGACTGCGACATGTGGAATGAAGGCAACACTAGTTCCTAGTTGGGAGCTGATCTCCCGCTCATGAATATGATCCGTCAAGCTGTAGGGAACAATGTTATTTGTTAACACATTGACGTCGTTCTTGGGACTAGGCTTGGTGCCTGCGCCCGAGTAGCCTGATACACCGAAGACAGTGGGCTGTCCAGCAAGGTAGGGTACGAGAGGAGCAATGCCAAGTTGAGCAGCAGTAGCATAGCATCCAGGATTGGCAATGCGAGTGGCTTGAGCAATAGTTGAACGACTGACCAACTCGGGGAGACCGTACGACCAGGCAGAATCAAATCGATAGTCGGCACTGAGATCAACAACCAAGCCGCCTTTTTCGGCGCCTTGATCAACCGCGTCAACAAATGGTTTGCACACGCCGTTAGGAAGAGCCATGACCCAGCAGTCAATGTCACCGTTCGAAGCCATTCGGCGCACATCATCTGGGCTAAGGTTTTCATATATGATTTCTCGTTTGTCATAGCCTTCAAGCTTTTTACCGGCCAGTTCGCGGGAAGACACGTGTCGTAGGTCCATGTTTGGATGAGCATTGAGGAGGCTGATTAAAGCTTGACCGGTGTATCCGCGAGCTCCAATGAGGGCAACCTTGGAAGGGCGGGTATTTGATACGTTCTTCTCGCCCAAAGGAGGATTTGGATTCGTGCTGTATGATCGACGTCCAGTAGCAAAAGTGTTATTCCTGCGGTATGCTTTCAAAGCATTTACAGTGCTGGTCGAATAAGCACGTCTCTGTTGCGCAGCACTGCTGACATTCAAAGCAGCTTGAGCGGCACGGTGCAGTCTTGCCTCGAGATTGTAATCGCCAAACATTTGACGGCCGTGCTGGGTGAATTCATGTACCAACTCCTTGACTTCATCGCCGTTTTCCAAGCCGTACCAGAAAAGGACATCGCCGTCACGGGATAGACTACCGTCGGCCTTGTCAAAGAACCATGTGAGATTCTCGTCATCGGCTTTCACAGTCCACACAAGTTTAGGGAAGTCCTTTTTAATGCTGGTGAAGACATTGTCCGAGACATTGGTTAGCCACCCAGCCTTGGTGATAGTGAAGGTAGCCAAGTGAGCGAAAGCAGAATCCTGCTGAGGCAACACGACTGCCAATGCTTCCATAGGGTCGTCAAAATACGCTTTGAATGAGCGATCCTGCAAGCCTTCAACATAGCGATCGACAGTAGCCTTGGCATCTAGACCTTCCCTGTCCCGAACGAGGACATCCTTAAGAGCGTTGATGTCCTCAAACTCCGACAAAGATGATTTGATGTGCACCTTGTTGCCTCTACGGATCAAGGTCCCGGCACCAGAATCAGTGAAAAGTTCTTTCTGAAGATCTGCCGGGTGAATGATGGCCACACTAGATGTGCGAGGGAGATCCATGAGGAGATCCTTCATCTCCTTAATCTTCAACCGGGTTCCGTGTCGCACCCACCACTGTGTCATGAGATGATCGTATTCTTCATCAAGATTGATCGCCGAGATCTTCTCGCCCGTATCACCATTAAACAACCCTCCCTTTTCAGCGAGATAAACTATCTTCAAAGGCTGCAGAGATCGGGCCAGTTCGCCAGCAGCAACATCGGCATTAACGTTGAGGACCTGGCCGTCGGTGGTTTCGGCCATAGACGTCAAGATTGGGAGGCATCCCGCCTCGATAGCAGACTCAATAGGTTTCTTGTCCACCGCATTGATCTTTCCTACTAGGTTGTATTTTTCCTTATCGAGGTAATCGGCGGAGAACACGCCAGTGGTGATGGGACGGGCACGCACGCCCATATTCTCCAATTCCTCGACCAATTTCAAGTTCTCCTCCAAAAATAGCTTCCGCGCTAGTGCCAGTGTTTTACCATCGGTAACACGGATTCCATCTTCGAAATGCGGTTCCACGCCTGCATCTTCCAGCATCTTGTTCAGCTGGGGTCCAGCGCCGTGCACGACAACAGGATATAATCCCACATGGTTCAAGAATGCAAGGGCTGAGGAAAGGGTCCGCAAATGTTCGGTAATGATAGCACCGCCGACTTTGATGACCGCAAACTGTTGGGACGAGACAGATGTGAAGTGGGATAGATACTGTTGGACTTCTCGCTTGGAGCCAATGTTGCTAAGCAACTGCACAACAGTGGAGCGAGTCGACAGCTGAGGATCGGCAGGGCGCGAGTACGAGCGAGTTTGAGAGGGCAGAGAGGCTCTCTGGCGCAAGATCTGGGCTGAGGTAGGAAGGGCCTTGAGGGCGAGTGCCCGCGGTGCGGAGATGGCACGCAGCGACGATTGAGTCACCACCGCCCTCCGCACGGCAGGACGAACAGCAAGCATCTTGTTGGAAAGCATGCGGCAGCTTTGGGACAGCTGGAAGGAGAGTACGGCCGAATTTAAGTTGCAGGGCGATCAGGGTAAAGTCTCAGCGACACGGGGGAAAATCAATTGGTGTTGATTGTTCCAAGAAAGCGCGCACAGAGGGATTTTTTTCTCGATCCTTGGTGGTTGAGAAATCTCTCTCTGCCTCGCGGACTGGCTTTTTAGTCGTTCTAGGCGGGCGGTGTCGGAGGGCGAATTGTGGAGTGACTGCGGAGCTTAAAACAGACCTGATCATTGAATAGTTTGACTATTAAATTGCTGCAGGGCATGGCAATTGTAATTTTTTTGCAGGTCATTGCTGTCGCCTCTGAGTTTTATTTTGATTTGATCTGACCATGACTCTGATCTTGTGGCTGTTAGTCCATTGTATTCTGGGCGAAACTTATATTTAGTAGCGGTGAAGCAGAATTTGCCTCTTCACACTGGCTATTAGTTTCGAAGATGAAAAATCTACCATCATAGATAGCTTCACACTAGTAGATAGATTCCTATTGATATTTAATCGTCCAGGGATAACATGTACTGTACATATGTAGTTTTTATTATGGAGATTCGAACCCTAACAGCTGACCATGACGATATGTTTTAGCCTTGTCATCAATGACAATGGATATTCTTTCACAATACCTGTTTCTAGACAATGGTTAAGAATAAATATAATATGAACACCATTCTCTAAATACATTTCTTGGTATCGTTTCAATATTTTATCTTGGGTTATTCCATATACCAGATACGTCCTGGTGTACACAGATTCAAATGTTTGTCCGAGATCGGAGGATTGATCAGTTGACAGAAATTGAATATAATACAGATAGATATATTCTAGAATTCTGCGTATGTGATTCTACATGTATACATCAATTACTTTCTCTTCAAACGAATCTCAGATACCAGTGCAGAGGGCACCATGAGGTCTCATTAAGTTGACGTGATAAAAATACTAAAACACACTAAACATAATCGAACAATCAAAACGAAAAGAGCATTCGCCAGAGTTATCATTTACAAGTCAAAAGTCCCCCTAACAAGCTATACATGCTTGCATCCAGGATATATGGCGATCTGCAGGACATAAGGGGATTCGAGCAAAGTAGCAGGAAGTCGTGAGATGAACGATGCACTTGGGCGCCTAGAACGGAGAAAAGAGGTTTTCGTATGAGACGACTCGGGAGTTTTTCCCTTCCCTTCCCTTCATTTCTTTGTTGGCGCGTGGAAAATTAGATAAAGAAAAAAAAAGCAACACCAAGTATTCCAGATAGCTAGTCGTGATTTTCGATCGCTTAGTGTTTGGTTGCCACCACTGTTATGCAAATGTTAGTCGCATAGTCTCAAATATGGCACTAGTCCAATGGGCATGGCACATACCAGCAGGAACGACAATAACAATGATTAGAATGATGACGGCAATGACCAGGCATACGCGCATCTTCATGTCCTTCCACCACATTTGCTTTCGTACTCGGTTAGCGCCTCGGCGGAATCCCTGAGCAGAGACAGCCAAGTTGTCCGTTTTATCTTGGAGGGAGTCGAGGCGCTCGCCACGCTCAGAGAGATCTTGCATATTATTCTTCATCTGACGGACGGTGTCGTCGATTTGCTGTATTCATTCGAATTAGTGAAATCCACGCATATCAAAAGTGAAGTTGAATCAAAGACGACAATTTTTTGCGATACTAAGGTGCGGAGTGATAGTCTCCAGGGGGCCAAGGATAGACAAGAAAAACATCGCCTGTTGGGATGAACACTTTGGATGACACTCACATTTTGTATCTCCGCGGTTCTTTGATCTCCATTTTGTCTAGAACTTCCTCCTGCTCCTCCATTACCAGCGGCAGGGATATAAGGGTCGTATGGAGGCTCACGGTCACTCATGGTGGATTAATGTGAAGCGTAAAGGCTCTTGATTCAGCAAATAGGCCTTGTTCGATCAGGCGGCGAGCGACCACCAAACGTACAACTCGAAATGGAAAATCGTGCAGTTGAAAAAAATAGCAGGATCGAGTGCTGATAGAATCGTGCAGCGAAAGCTGGGGGGTTGTCGTGGGATTAAGGGACTGAAGGTTGATAGGTAGAGACGACGTCTGGACTTGCCAGATCTAAGTCGCAGTTGCGTTTCGGCTGCCCCGGGCGGGTTGGGGTGAGACGGCACGTGATCTGCGTGAGAGAGGAATGAAGACAGGCAGGAGATGGTGTGCAAGAATGCTGACTGGATTATTATCGTTAGTATTATTTTCGTTTGTCCTCCGATTATTGTCGCTATATTAATGGCTACTCCTGGCTACTGATTCTAGCCCTGCGACTATTGATTGGCTCGATTGGGCTACGGACAAAAGAGTCCCCTGAATAATATCACGGCTGCTCCTTGTGCGCATAACATGAATGACCTTTGGAGAGTGCCATGTCTATTATTGTACGATTAGCCACTGGAACCATCGCTATAATCCGACATACTAACTTACTGTCTCAGGCAGCACAATTCGACGACTCAGATCCCCAGCCACCGCCGTCACGTGGTCTGGTGGTGGCTATGAAGTGGGTCTGCCCTTTTTAGGAAAGGTACCAATTTAGCCACTTATTACGTAGCCTGTGGCAACGATGGTCCATAATCCTATTTTCTGCAAGGACTTCACTGTGGTCTATAGAGTCTAAACAAAAGGATATCGGGTGCAACTCCGCTAAACGTACCTACCTATACGCCATGTATGCGGGATCTTGTTTTTGTCGATGGAAGCTCGAGATTCGACACTCCCAACATGGCTCGAACCTTGCCGTGTGCAGCTATAAGGCTGTTACATGCGTCGTTCGGGACTTATATATACTGTTTACGAGCTTTAGCTTCGATTTGGACGTATCATAATGGTTTTTAGCTGATCTGCTATTCCGGCATCGAGAAAAGCTGTAATCATCAAAAACGAACATGTATTCTGATGATATATTTTGAAGGTAAATCTTTAGATCAATTGATACATAGGGGGACATAGATGCCTAATATATAGCCCACGGCACACAAAGAAGATATATATATCAAAGGAATGGTTTCAGATGGTGGAAATCCATACACTATGATAGAAGCCGTGGCGAACGTGCATTACGGGTCTCAAAGGGACAATTCCGCAGTGCCAGTACGAAACAATGGAACGATGCTGGATTTATTGTTGCAAACTGTCTCGAAAAGAGCGCTTTGATCTAGTAGAGACCCTGTCCGATCATATTTGGTCTTTTTTCATGTGCTTCTTCGTGACATGCTCGATTTGAGTGCGGCGTATAAGAGCGGCGCGTGGACTATTCCCCATCTCTAGTAGACGGCTCCCGGCCATCGGCACGTCCACCCCGCCTTTTTAAGCAGAGAAAAAAAAAGATAGCAATGTCTGTAGAGTTGGAAATGACTCAACAACAGTAAATACACTGCCCAAAATTTGTAAACACTCATGTTATGGATTCATCACTCAGTCACATATTAGTTGATACTTTCAATATTGTCAAGAGTCAATAGACACCATTTCAGGTGCGCTGTTTCATAAATTAGTGGATAGATAGATGTATGCTCAAAAGAGATAGAGAAAGTCAAACATAGTTATAGACTCAGGATAAATAGAATAGCACTATTATAAAAGCCCAACATTGATATCACTTAAATAATCAAAGTTGTCTAGCAGACTGCAACGCGGATAAAGTCCATCCAATCGGCATTTCTCGACCCTAGAAATTCCTCCTATCAGGTGCTGCTCCGCACTGAGATTTGCTGCCCCTAGCATTTTCATTTGCGATTTTCAGATTACCCCAATTTCCCACTGAAATAAGATGCTTCTCCGCATCTCCATGTTGGGTTGGCTTTCGGAAGAAATCTGGGGAGGACCCCGGATGATGAGTACTTACTACTCGCATTTGACGGTTTTGAATTTGAACACTGACGTGACAGAGGGCCAGTTTATCCGGTAAATGGGGTATTATGGCAATATAGATAGTTAGAGCAAACTTATATGATGGGATTGTCCTAGGGAAGCTACCTCAATCGGCTAATTTCATATGCGCTCCGCTGGTTTTATAGTTTGAATTCTCCTTTGAAACACAAGACCTCAACATCAGAATGAGATTCGTTTCAACCCTTCAGCTGCTCCTCGCGGCAACTGCTTTTGCAGCTCCCAGGAACGACAACACTCCATCAATATCTCGTAACAAGGCTATTTCGCCGAAACCTCCTTTCCTCCCATTGCCAGACACTGCACGTCGTAACAAGGTGTGCTATGTGGATTCGCATGGGAATGGGGCCGACGACTCTAAGAATATTCTAGGTGCTCTAAAAAGGTGCAACAATGGCGGTCGAGTCGTTTTTGATAAACACTACACTATTGGAACAGCGTTGGACTTGCAATTCCTGAAGCACATCGATCTAGGTAATACATGAATTACCTTCTCATATATAGTATTTGGAATTACAGCTAATGTATCTCTCTTAGATATCACTGGATATATTCAATTCACCAATGATACGAATTACTGGCAAACTCACGCCTTCAAACAAGTGTATCAAAATGCAACCACATTCTTCCAGCTCGGCGGCGAAGACGTAAACGTGTATGGTGGGGGTACGATTGATGGGAATGGTCAAGTCTGGTATGACCTGTATGCAGAGAACCCCCTCGTTCTCCGTCCCATTCTCGTCGGAATTATTGGGTTGAGAGGGGGTGCCATTGGCCCCTTAAAGCTGAGGTACTCGCCGCAGTGGTACCACTTTGTCGCCAATTCCTCAGATGTCTTGTTTGATGGATTGGATATTTCTGGTTACAGCAATAGTCACAACACGGCTAAGAATACTGATGGATGGTAGGTCTCCTGGCTTGAGAAACTTCGCTTTTGGTAAGCTATTGCTAACACCTAGTACTATAGGGACACCTACCGTTCCAAAAATATCGTAATACAGAACTCGGTGATTAATAATGGAGATGGTATGGATCTTCAATTTTCGTAGTGAAACTGTCCTAATGAAAACACAGACTGCGTCTCTTTCAAACCAAACAGCACCAATATTCTCGTCCAGAATTTGCATTGCAACGGCTCACACGGAATCTCTGTCGGCTCTTTGGGTCAATACGAAGGGGAAGTTGATATCGTTGAGAATGTTCTTGTCTACAATATATCTATGTTCAATGCATCCGTTCGTCCATTCCCTATGGTATCCCCTCTTATCCTATCAAGCCTTAACTAATGGGCCAATCCAGGATGGTGCGCGTATTAAAGTCTGGCCCGGCGTTTCCTCCGAGTTGTCAAGCGATCTCCAAGGTGGTGGCGGATTGGGAAGTGTTAAAAATATCACTTACGACACTATACAGGTCGATAATGTCGATTGGGCCATTGAACTAACGCAGTGCTATGGACAAAGTAACCAAACTTTGTGCAATGAATACCCCAGCAACTTGACCATATCTGATGTGTGGTTCAAGAACTTCGCGGGAGTAACAAGCAAGACCAGGGAGCCAGATGTGGCAACCCTGATATGTTCAAGTCCAAGCGTATGTCTCTTCTCCTTGATAGAAAGTTATTGATTGCAAAAAGAGATTTTAATTGCGTTTATGAGGGGTGCTGATGTGAATTAGGTCTGCTCAAATATCTACGTAAGTAACTTTAATGTCACGAGTCCTAAAGGAACGAACGAGGCTATATGCAAAAATGTAGGTATTGACAGATTTATGTCACGCAGAAAGTTAGCTATACAGATTACTAATGATTCAAAATTTGATATAGGTCGACGAGTCTAATCTCCAACTAAACTGCACTTCGTCATCATAAAGGTTGAGCGGGTATATAAAATACCAAGAAAAAGGCCAAAAAGACAGAAATTGAATGTAGATAGACGCCAGATTTGCAACTGCTCTTAATATATCTCTTTATTGAATCGAACACTATCTATCTGCTACGAAATCGTCAAATACATGTATGTGCGATTAACCCTGCTAAGTAAATAAACAAATAGAGCCGAGATAAACCATTTCGTTTCCATGGTATGTTGGGGCGAACCTCTGGCCTATCGGAGATTATTGTTTTTTTGGGTTTCAAAGTACATCAATTATGTACGTTCTAGCGCATAGAATGGCACCTCTAATATGAAGACTGTCAGACTGCTGGCTGCCGAGGACTATAATCAACCAATAATAGAGGCCTCGGCTGGCCGCTCAGTCTATACTGTATTCTGTTTTTCGGATGTTGATTTCGGCATGTAGAGCAAGCGTTTCGTGTGAATTTAATGCAACGCAGCTTGTCGCTCGCTGCAATGACCTTATTTTCGGCGCATTCGAAAGCAATCGGCCATTATGATCTTGTTTCAACGCTGCGCGACATATTGAATTAAACCGGGGAATAATTGTAGACAAAAAGCAGTGACAGGTACTCATAAGTAGTGGCAATCTTGAGCCCCAACAGTAACATCGTGTCGGTTTAGAAGCTCTAGTCACAGATCCCCTACCACATTCCGTGCTTCTGCATCAAATAACTCGACCATTAACTTTCGAAGTACGGATACCGCACTGTAGACCTCCACTACATTCCGTGCTCTGCATTGGCTATCTCGAGCATTTAACTTTCGAAGTACGGATATCGCACTGCAGACCCCCCACCATGTTCTGTGCTCTTTATCGGATAACTCGAGCATTTTTAACTTTCGAAATTCGGATACCGCACTGTTTCACACTATGTGGAGCTTCAAAACGATCAAACCCACTTGGTTGGGACCCAAAGCGCCTGGACCAATATACTGTCGTGTTTATCCAAGTAACTACTCGGGGTAGTGCATTTGAGTTTTAGTTTCAACGCCACGTGCTACCGTATATACCGAAGTCGACTGCCGGACCTATTTATCGCTGGCAGATCAGGATCATTGAGACCCCAGAGCAGCGATAAGTGGGCGCAGAGACCGCGGGGTAAGCTGGAAAACCCGGGGAGACGCTAATCGATTAAGGGCTAAGCTAAGTTCCTTATCAGCGGTATATATTCCAAGGGAAGATTCCCGACCTGCAGCCTTTTGAACTTCAAGTCTTCCCACAGAGCGGTCATTCTGGTGCTGTGTTAGGACAACAACTCTGTGATACATTAATTTTATCCCCCAAGGGGGCTATTCTCAAGGCTTCCCGTTTCCGTGAAAATCGGTTTCTATAGCCATTATGGAGATGAATTATGATGAATCGGTGAGTTTTCTTTGAGCTTGTTCGATAGCATTAGGTTTCATCTGACTAACGAGCGCCAATGGTTTAGACGCTTCGCCAGTATGTAGTTAATATGAGCCCCGCGAGTTGTATGCGCAGCTTCACTAATCAATGAGAAAGGCTCGAAGAGGAGCTGGACGTGAAGATATACCCAGGCACGGAGATCATGACAGATGTTGGGACACATCACTTTGTGCGGTCCTCTGGTTCCTCATCCAATGTGCTAGTGCCACAGCCATCTGAAAATCCTCACGACCCGCTGGTGCGTATTGAGATAATATCGAAGGGACGAAGAAGGACTCTCCGGATTTCTGACAATTTTTATTTTAGAACTGGAATCCTTACTGGAAACTCAGTGTCATTATCATAGCTACTGCATCGAATTTTGTTATGGGAATCGGCCCTCTCGCTCTCTCCCCAATGTTTGGCGATCTGATGGAAGCATTTAATTCCGACTTGGCAGGTGTCGTCCAATTTACCGGCGTCTGTATCCTAGTCCTTGGTTTCAGCAATTTCTTCTGGTAAGCTCATCATCTTCTCCGCCCAATCAAAGAAAGAGAAAATCCTCACTAGAGATTGCTGGTAGGGTTCCGATGTCCGAGACTTTTGGTAGACGACCGGTCCTGATATTCTCCTCTCTTGTCTGCTTGGCATCCAATATTTGGCGTGCAAAAGCAACTACGTACGGAAGCTTCATGGGAGCTTGTGTTCTAAACGGATTTGGTGCTGGACCTTGCGAGGTAGGTAATATGTCAGTGCAGAAAAGAAAGCGCTTGCTTATTAAATGTGAATTAGACACTTCAACCGCAAATTATCACCGACACCTTCTTTTTACACGAACGAGGCTTCTATAACACCTTGTACTTTACTTTCTATTTTGGATCCCTTATGGTACGTGATTTTCTAGTACTATTCACCCATTAGAGTTCATTAAACTTCTGACATGTAACGCCAGGTTGGGCCTATAATTTCCGGATCTATGGCTCTCCACGTTGGTTGGCGAAGTTTTTGGTGGCTTAACGTCGGAGCTTTTGCCCTGATCATTATTTTATCAATTTTTATGTTCCCAGAAACCAAATGGCACCGACTTCACCCCCGAGAGATCCATGATGCTGTTACTTCTCCAGCCCAACAAAAGACATCCGACGAAGTGACTACAGAAGTAAAAGGAACTACTTCCGAGGAAGAGGAAGCTAGCGACCCTTACCTTCATAGAGGATACCCATCTAAGGGCCAATTCTCCATTTATCAACCGTCTCCTAATTGGGCCAAATCTTTATTCCAATCATTCTGGATCCCATGGAGATTGCATCTATATCCTATCGTGGAATTTGCTGCCTTCGTTGTTTCTTGGTCAGCAAGTTGCTTTTTGACCGCAAACTTAACACAGAGCCAAGCTTTCGCAGCACCCCCATACAACTGGTCCAGTCAGTCGGTTGGATTCACAAATTTCGCAACCTTGGCTGGTGCCTTTATTGGCTTGTTCACTAATGGACTCTTGTCGGACTGGGTTTCCATGCGTGCAACGAAGCGGAATCGCGGTATTCGAGAGCCGGAGATGAGATTACCAGCTCTGGTACCATACGTTTTTGTTTCAATTTTGGGAAATTTTATTATTGCATTTGGGTATCAGTATCACTGGGATTGGAGGGTATGACCCCGACCCCGACCCCTGAGGAGAATATGACCAAATTACTGACATGATTCTTAGGCTATTGTTATTGTTGGCTACACATGCGCTGGCATGCAAGTTGCCGCTTTACCGGCTATTGCTAGTACCTATGCGGTGGACAGTTACAAACCTGTAGTTGGCTCCGTCTTCATAACAATTACTGTAAACAAGAACGTCTGGGGATATGGTTTTAGTAAATTTATCACGCCATGGACGGAAAAGTCTGGCTATTTGCCGGCCATCATGTTGAATATGTGCTTGATGACGCTCTGGTGTTCTTTCGGTATAGTTTTCTACTTCTATGGAAAGCGGTTCAGGAAATGGACTGCTAAGTCAGATCTTCACAATTTGTAATGAGGGATATATCAATTGATGGTGCATGTATCGTTTTGAGTATGTATGTGAAATATCAAACGTAAAGCGCAAGATAGCGTTAATCTTAAGAAATTATATTGTGGTTGAAGAATTATTAAGAAAAATCAACCTTTATCTTTTATGGGAGACGCATAGTAAAGTGACATCGTGGTTGTTGGGGCGGTGTGCGCGCCAACAGGACATCTGGAGGCGTGGGTGCGCTTTGGCACGGGTACGGTATAATTTTCTTTGGGTATTAATCCTACTGCCTAATTTATACTCATTTTGTTTTGTTGAAATGAAACCCGTTAAAATGAATCAATTATTACTTACGCAATTAGAAGATGTAAGCACTAGACTACCAAATCCAAGGATAATCTTCTCAGCAGACAGCCCAAAACAACAAGAACTTCAATTTGCGCTACAGATCCAAAGAGGCAGCTTTGATCTTTTCACTATATCATGACTATAAGCTAAATATGTCACATAATATTCTCTATTGGAACATGATCAGGAATAATTATTTAAGTTAAGGGTACGAAGTGTAATCTCGATTCAGTAACTTGAAGGCTACCGTGAAGAAGTACATGTGTATAAAACGAATAATTAGATATGTAGTAGTTTATCAACATAATTGATACAAAGATAAACTTAGCATCGATTATATGTACTGTCATGTCTAATCATCATCGAAACAGCACCAATAACCAGGTTTACACCAGCCCGGAAACCCCTTCAGCAATCTCTTCAATAAGCTCTTTCCTTCGCATCCCTTCTTTCCATTCCCCTGGAATCCCCTCAACGCCATACCAACACCCTGCCAACGCGCCATATACCGCCCCCGCTGTATCTGCGTCTCCTCCGAGGTTCACCACTGCTAATGCGCCGTCTTTCCAGTTGTCAAACTTGAAAAAGGCCCATAGTGCCACTTCTAAAGTATCGATCACCCAGCCGGAGCTCTTGATATCCGTATTCGAAGTTTCTTGCCAGGAGGAGAGAGATGGATAAGCGGCGAGTCTCTGGCGGAGTATTGTGTGAGAGACTGGGAATACTGAAATAGCATGGGCGAGTTGGTCTTTGGGTTCTCCTTTCCCACACGACGGATCAGCACATTGAGCGAAAGGATATAAAAAGGGAATAAGAAGTACCATGCATGGCTCTCCACACAACCTCCGTATACACCGCACACGCTTCTTGACACGCGATACTCGGATGCGTAACGGAGCTCTGCTTCCGTGCTGTCTCCCTTACTATGTCTATATCATCCACCGTATGCATCATCACGCCTACAACGGCAATCCTCATCAAAGATCCATTTCCACTCGATTCTTCCATTCCAAGCGAATTAGACACATTATTTTGCGTTTCCGTAATATCATCATCCGTCAATGGGCTTTTCCATTCATAGTACTTCCATATCGCATCCCTCCATATACTCAGCGTCAGTCTTGTCGAAACACCCACATCCCAGGCGTGATTTCTCGTGCTAAATCGACCGTCAAAGAGCCACTCGAGGTAATACTTGATTGACCCCAAATGGTTGTATTTCCCATTGGCGTCTATAAAGGATTGGGCTAGGGCAAGGGTCATAGCGCCATCGTCAGAATAGGAGCTATATTGATTAACAATCGCTTTTATTTTGGTCTTTTGGTTTGGAAAGAATACCCAGCAGGCTGACGAAATGGTTTAACATATTCGAGGCCCGTAATTGGAGCGAAACTACCAGGTCGCATAAACTGTACTGGGCCGCCGAGGGCATCGCCGACACAAGCGCCGTTAATGGTGCCTAAAGCGCGAGACGATAAAGTCGGCATTTCACTTTGGTTACTTGCTGTGAAGTAAGGATTGTTTGTTTTTAAAATGAAAACAAAACCTAGTCCAAGCCTCCATGAGAAGAAAGGACTCTCGTTTAAGTTAAGGGCAGTTCCGTAATGTTGAAGGGCTGATGTGGCTGTGCTGTCAAGAGATACGAGGCCCAAGTCCAACAAATCGTGACTCATTGGCGAGCATCACACAACATCGAAAAATGTTCAAATGGTTAAACGAAAATTCAAGTCACCTTAAGGTTCTATTTCTAAAAATGCTCTATGCCATATGTATTACTATATAATCAATATTGATATTTAAATATCAGTTCAGAAGCCAAGGTACATCTCCAGACTTCAATGACTCTAGTGCTGGTCGTTTTTGATATAGCTTACACTGGAAATCGGCATGAAAATAGTCAAATGAACTTGTATCAATGAGCTTAAACCGGCTGTAGGGTTTTATCAGAAATCTTGATGACTTGTCGTGGCAGCATTGACTCAACAATTCGTTCTTTGGTCACGCGCATCTGCTCAGGAAACCAGTCTAAGTTTTCCGAAGATTTATCTTTTCCAATCCTACCATCATATGTCAAAATCATCGTCCTGAGAACTTGGCCGCATAGCCAGGCGTTCACCATACCATCGTCTGAAAAAGTGGCTGAAAACTACTCTGTTCCTCCGTATATCTTATTATCTTCTTGGCCATCTTCCAGATGTATCAACGAAGGCGGCAGTCTTCCGATTCCTGGCATGCCATCAGAGCTGAACCCCGTAGTACCTGTCCACGAAATCTTTTATAACTTGGCCATCCACTCTTCCCCACGTGCAGTTTCTGTTTCCATATATTGCACCTAAAGCATCGCAAAGATGAATGTCAATATATAGAGACAGATCAGCAACTGTGATGATCCTCGGATCTTCAATGCCATCGTTCTTGCCCTGTGCAAATCCTCCTCCGAACATCATCTCTTTGCTAGAGCTAGAATTGTCATCTGGAAGCTGGGCTAAGTAGTTGTACCCACGATCGTAATTCATTAGCCAAGAATGTTTCCTCCTGTAGGAAGGGAATCCTTTGCCGGGGGTCTGGGTAGACATTTGACCGCGCACTGGATAAATGCATCCCTTTAAATGGAGAACTAAGTGGCTGATAGGACCATTCGTACCGTGAACTACATGCCGACACTTCATAGTTCCACGGGGTGTGACAACGGCATAATTTTTCCTCTTCTGGTGTTTCCATAGGGGAGATCTTCCAAGGGAAAATAGTTCAAGTAATACAGCCGATTGCACGAACAAATTGTCCCACAAAGTGAGTGGTACGCATCGAAATCTGAAGGAATTGGAGGTCAATTCACGCTGAGGAAGCTATCTAGTCATCTAGCCGATACTATAGAACCTTAATGCTACGCCAAAAAGAGTTCGCACTTAGAAGCCATGGTTTCTCTTAGTTCATATTTCTGTATTCCATCTGATAGCAAAATAAAATCGCGTGGATAATTACGCAGGTAGTATTGTTGCCGACCAACACTAAGTTGTCCATTCCGATTGGCCTGTAGACCTGTGTGACCGCTTCTCATTGGTTGAGAAATGCTGGGAGGATGTTTAGTGGTTACTCTGATACATAACATATACGTATGTAAACCATGAGATATAGTGGGCAGAGTATCTAGGTACATTGGATAAAATCCACATACCGTATTATATCGTCTCATTGAGATGCCCTGTTGCAATTTTATACCAGACCCGCGAATGATTCGCACCTACGTTCAGCCTGACTGGCCACAATTTGTGCTACGTTTCACCCATCTACCACAACCTATCAATATCGTGGATTTAGCGCCCGGTTGCTAGTGTCGTAGCTGAGTGGCATAAATGTCGACATCCAAAGTTCTGTCCTTTTCCTAACAGCGCTTCATTGTTGCTCAAATTGTAAAACTCTTGGTCTAACCTCGTATCTGCTGCTGCCCAGCAAAGAAACAGCGAACAATATGGTCTATTATTTCGCAGATAGAGATTGACAACGACTATGGACAGCCCTGTCCAGCCTAACGACCGCCCACAAGAGGGACATCAGTACAGTAGCATTCAAATCTATGGAGAAAACCGAGTCCACCTGGGAGATAATAACGTTCATCATCACCATTATTACTCTCGAGGTTTGTCTGCTCCTAGATTCATACTCAGATAGAAAGCATTCTAATTGCAAAGTAAGATGTTATCGAAGATGCTCAAATCAGCTTACCGGACAAAAGAAAACCGAAAAGAGCATGGATGGTTCCGTTTTTACGAAACCATAAGTTTGTGGGCCGTGATGAGGAAATCACCACCTTAAAAGAATTTATTCTGAAGGATCACGGCCAAAAAAAGATCGCTATTTCAGGTCTAGGAGGAGTCGGCAAGACTCAGATTGCACTTGAAGTAGCTTACTATGTGCGAGATCATGACAGTGATCGCTCGGTATTTTGGATTCCATGTATCAGCCTGGAAAGTTTAGAGCAGGCATACATGAGCATTGCTCAATATCTGGCACTCTTGAATGTTAGTCCGGCGGATGTTAAAACGCGAGTCAAGTCGCATTTAAGCCAGGAGGATGCAGGAAAATGGCTGCTTATCTATGATAACGCAGACGACCTGGATTTGTGGATTCATGGAAACGGCACAGTTCCAGCATTAAAAGATATGCTTCCACAAAGTGATTATGGACGGATCATTTTTACGACGCGAACACAAAAATTGGCCAATAGACTGGCGCCGTCGAATTTCATTTCCGTCCCAGAAATGAATAAAGCAATGGCTAAGGAACTTTTACAAAATCTCATTCAAAAGGAAATCGACGATAACGACACAATCACAACACTTCTTGAGGAGCTGACATTTCTCCCTTTAGCGATCGCCCAAGCGGCAGCCTACATCAATGAAAATCAAATTGGGGTTTCTGATTACTTAGCGCTGCTACAGGAACAAGAGCAAGATATCATAGAAATATTAAGTGAACACTTTGCGGACGATGGGCGCTATTCTGATACCCAGAATGCTGTCGCCACGACATGGCTAGTATCATTCCGCCAGATTCAGAAACTCAATTCATTTGCGGTAGACTACTTATCATTTATGGCTTGTTTGAATCCGCGTGATATTCCACTTTCGCTTTTACCGCCAGCAGCGTCTCAGAAGGAAAAAATAGACACACTTGGTCTTTTGAATTCTTATTCCTTTACTACTAAACAAGAAAATGAATCTCTTACTCTCCATCGACTGGTTCATCTTGCGACTCGGAATTGGATGAGACAGGATGGCCGGCTTCAATTATGGACATATAAAACTGCAGATCGATTGAATGAGTTATTTCTACATAATGCGCATGCATATCAGAAGGTACGACAGGACTATCTACCTCATGCTATATTTCTTATATTTGGAGCCGAGTTTCAAATGAAAAGAGCCGAGTATTTTGGCTTAATCCACAGAGTTGGTAGCTGCCTTTTGAGTGGTGGAAGATATAAGGAAGCAGAGGTCTTATATAATGACGTGAAAAATATTTGTAAACTGAGGTTCACGGCGGAGCATCCTGATACTCTTGGCAGCATAAGGAACCTCGCTGTAGTTTACTCAAAACAAGGAAGATGGAAGGAAGCTGAAGAGCTTGAATTGCAGGTAATGGAAACACGTAAACAGGTGCTTGGGGCAGAGCATCCTGACACTCTGATCAGCATGGACCATCTCGCACAATATATTAGCCACCAAGGACGGTGGAAGGATGCTGAAGAACTTGAATTGCAGGTAGTGCAGACTCGCAAAAAGGTGCTGGGAGCAGAGCATCCTCATACTCTTACCAGTATGGGCAATCTTGCATTAATGTGCCAATACCAAGGACATTTGGAGAAAGCTGAAAAGCTTCAGGTGGAGATATTCCAGATCAGCAAGAAGATCTTTGGAGAAGAGAATCCCCATACTCTGACTAGTATGGGCAACCTTGCGTCGACATACTGCCGTCAACAACGATGGAAGGAAGCACAAGATCTTCTAGCAGAGGAATCAAAGCTACTCTTACAGGTATTCTGAGTAGAGCAACCTGATACTATAACTAGCATGACTAACCTCGCTTATAGCTACTCGGAGCAGAGCATCCTGATACTCTAATCAGTATGAATAACCTCGCATTAACATACTTTGATCAGGGACGACTGAGAGAAGCTGAAGAGCTTGAAATACAAATAATGGAAACCCGCAAGCGGATTCTCGGGGCAGATCATCCTCACACTCTGACCAGCATGGAAAACCTCGCTGTTACATGGAAAGCACTTGGCAAAGATGAAGATGCTATTTCTTTATTGGCTAATTGTACTCAACTACGTATTCAGAAATTAGGCCCTGAACACCCAGACACAGTATCCGCAAGAGTACATCTTGCCAAGTGGCAAGAGATCAATAGCCGCCCCAGAAGGATCGATGGCTTATTCAAGATTTTCCGTAGACATTGACCCCTTACTAGATTTTAGGAGAGATAATGAATCATAACATGTTCTTATAGGCACAAGCTTTCATAGAAGAATGAAGAATAGACTGGGATCATGCATCTAACTAACCCTACTGGATTTGACAAGATTTCACATTGATTATCAATAGTTCCTATATTAGCTGGGGTCCATAGAGTGCAGTTAGTGGCGACATCTAGGTTAATAATCTCTACATAACTCCTCCCTTGTCACGATTTTGCCACATCAAGTGGGCCGATGGCAGATGCCATAGTCGTAAAAGCGACTACAACTCTAGGTATTATGACTGTTTAGCTCTGTCTTAGATAAATTGGTAGGTCTATTTTAATTGTAGCCTTCTCATTTACACCAGGTAGCCAATCATCACAAATGAATGGAATATATTTCTACTGCGCATTCTACTATCTTCTATTTCGCCTCAACCATTTTCCACATGCAACGTAATGGCTTTAACATTATCGTCATAGTGCAGGAGTCGCTCAAAGACGTTCTCAAGATTTGCATTCTTCGTGAATTCCCAAAAATCCGGCAACAACAAACTCCGCGTAGCCAACCTGTAAATCCTCTACATATGGCCCCATCGTATTCGCCAACAGAATAGCACTAAGTTGTTCTAGACCTGACTTAGCACCAGCCCACGCAACCGCTCCTGCTTTCTCGCTATTTGCGAGTTCGGCAAGCGACATGCCAAACTTAATTTTTCTTGTCGCCTCAAAATACACAGCACTTCTCGGGCTTAAGAGTCAAAATGGAAATTGCGGCATGATCTCTGGTACCATTGATGCCATGATTTGACGGACTGCTGCTGGAGCTTCGTCGGTATAAACATTGTTAAGACGTAACGATGGCTCTGGTTGTAGTTTCTCCAAAGCATTGGCGATAGCGAGCGATTCCATCACGTACGAGTCATCAGGGAGTTGTATAACAGGAATGGAATAGTCCCAAGCCGCCACGGCGGAATTATTGGATGGGATTGAAAACGATTTGAAGAGGAGCTCAATATCGGGGTTTTCTATCCAAGTTGTCGTGTACGGGATTTCTTTATAGCAATGTCACCAGTCAGCTGATCGCTATTCCACCTCCGATGTATATAATCTGCATGAGCTAGCACCGCCGTTGGAGCTCCCAATAGTTTTGCTCACTAATGGTTAGCAGCCAAAAAGAGATGGAATATCATGGTCACCGCGAGTAAAGAGACGTAAACAGATGGTGGCAATAGGGTACTAGATGGGTGGATCCCAGCACCGTCAATTCCTTTCAGATCTGATCACTACATTCGGCACCACGCTATTGCGGTTACCACTATACAATATCAGTAGCTATCAAGAGCTAGAGCTTTGTGGAGGTAATCTTCTAATATAATTACCTCATGTTCCCTCCAGGTCGCCCAAACCGCGAACCACATCGACTTTGAGCATTGTGTGTCTTTAGCGCAGAGCGACGGGTGAAAATAGCACCGCATAGCGTACAAGTCCATTTCCCACCTTGCCGTTCTTTGCGATGTCGTTGTAGATTCGACAGGTTGGCAAATTTGCGACCGCCGCAACATTGATCCCAACAGCGAAAATCTTGGCTCGGGGCTATACTGACTGCTGGTGATTTCGCGTTGGGCGGCTCATGTTCTCTGCTGCTCGTAGAATCATATCTATACAGCAGAAAACTATTAGCATAAGCCTCAAAATGCAATTCCACGCTTTCCCCTACCTTAAATGTCGAGAGTTGATCGGTAAAGCTGAGGCAAAAGCTGGAATCGCTGTTTCGAAAATTCGAACAACGTCTTGACTCGGAATCCGGTGCTTATGCGCAATAATGTCACATATACGATGATACTGTGACACAATCCAAGCATACTGCCCAGGAGGCAGGAAACTGGTCTGCATGAGGCGACTTATCGGAAGGACAATTAAAAACCATCCATGTATCGGTGCTACTTGGCGGTGAATAGCGTCCCCCTCATCGTCTTCTTGGGAGGGATAAATAATATCCTCGTCTGCTGGACTTAGTGTGCCTAGATGAAACGGAACGCTTGCGCACACATCGGTGGCAAGGTCAATCATAAGTGAGATGGCCTTGTTCTCGTACGCCCCGCAATCGTCTTCGCCAAGTTTACGTAGCGAGCGAACAATGCGAATGATGCATTCCAATAAGACAAGGCGTGTCCGACGATAGGTGTTCCAGGCAGAAGCCACTTGTAGGTCATAATACACATCGCACCTACCATCGTAGGCGTACTCATACACCCAGGAATTATCTTTTTTCCTTGAGAATATCCAGTGTACCGGAGTGCAATCCGTCCACCGCTTCAGATCGCTATCAAGGCCCTGTGCATGATGCAGAGCCCGCAGTAGGTCACTCTTCGTTGACTGCGAAAGTGATTCTCTAGAAGTAAAAGCAAAATCCGCAGTACGAATGATGTAATGTGTCAATAAGCGAGGAAAATCACAGCCAGCCAGCGGTAACAGTGATATCTCGTCTCCCAGCGTATCCGACGCCGAAAGCCCTGTTTCAAGACAGTGATTGGCCTATTGGCTGTGAGCGAGTGTGGTGGGCATTGAAGAGCAAATCTTTATGGAAGAGCCATACAATATGGTTTCGAGCCGCCTCCAGAAGGCGGCCTTCCGCAGAGTCAGAAACGTACTGTCGTTTCTGGGATGCCCGCACGAGACTGATCAGACCCTTCTCGTGCAAATTGGTGAACGGGCGATTTTCTTCGAGACACATGATGAACTACAATATTTAGTCGCGGGTCCCAGCTCATGGTTTTGCACATAACAAACCTCATAGAAGAGACAGAGAAAGACGCTGGTTACTGTGCTTTCAAAGGCTGATGAAGAGGGAAACAAGGAAATATCATGCAACAGCCGTGGAATAGCTGCGTCATATGCAGCGCGCGCGTCATCTAGGGCAATTGCACAGCAATTTCGAATGCCATACGCAGCGGAGGCGCATGCGGCGATGATCTGTTGCAGTGGAGAGTCCGAGCCAGTATTTCGCAGATATAATTGCGGCAGCTCTTCGAGAAATCCTGTGATGGTCTGTAATCGCCGAGGAGTAATTATTGACCTCGTGAAGAATGTTGCGAGAGCAATGCTCTGGCGAGAATATTGAGAATCATCGATGGTTTCATCGGAAAGGGTCGGAGAAAGAAAATGGCTCATGGCACTGGAGTCAACTTGATTTCACTGAACTCTTATGGGTACAAATGAGTTGAGTTGACGGATGGACTTGGCGGACCTCAGAAATCCGACAGACATCGCTGTGGTGGGGGCCAGGGATCGGTCAAATTGCTGAGAGAGTCAGCGTCGAATGCGACTCGACCATAGAATTCTACAGTGACCAGCTCGAGTCGTACGTGTACATAGGGACCATACGCTTACTAATGGTGACCTAGACGAACTACTGGTCCTGGAGTTGACGGACTTGAACTTGACGGACTAGCACTTGACGGACTAGCACTTGACGGAGAAGGGTGGCGCTTATCTGCTAGCGTACCAGGCCTAGTGAACCCTATACTTCTTATTTAGGAATGCTATTATTACCGAATACGAGGAGGATGCAGTCCCCAATCAGCGCTTATGATATGCTCTAGGTCTGTTTGCATTCACATTTAAATATCAAGTCAAGTGTGTTTCCTTGCCTCTTCTCTTCTGCTAACTAGCTTTTCTCTTCTGCAATCTGAAAATGCTTTGTTCATTCACGCATCTGTTTCTGGTGCTGGGCACAGTAGCCGCAATTCAAGTTTCAACACCAAGTGGACAGTATGGCATTGGGTCTCGGCAATACATCCTCAATCACATCACTCCGAACGATCCTAGTCTTGGAGACGGCAAATTCATCCTCATGACAATTTACTATCCTACGTATCACAAGGCGACAAAGAGTCTCCCGTACATGGACCCTGCCAACGCGAAGATATTCGGCGATGCGTGGGCGTATCCTAATGGCTCTCTCGAGACCTTACAGACAGCGTTGCAACCAAATGCTCCATTTTTGGAAGTGGCATCCAGTCCTCATCTTCCCACTTTGCTCTTCTCTCCCGGACTTGGCAACAATGGGTTTATGTACTATGGCTTGAACAGCGAGTTGGCCTCTCATGGCTGGACGACTATAGTCATTGACCATCCTGGCGACCCTACGCTGCTTCACTTGCCCGATGGAAAGTCAGTGGCAGGGTTTGATATTAATTTCAATCCCTCCGATACGGAAGTACTCCAAATCTACGACTACCGGGTCAGCGATATGGTCGCTGTGGCAGCTAACTTCCCCTATTGGGTAGAAGAATCCCACGCTCCATTCAACACATCGCACTACATCGCATTAGGTCACAGTATCGGAGGAGCCGCCGCTGCTGGTGCAGCCTCCAAGGTTAATGAAATTATTGGAGGCATCAACATGGATGGGGCTTTTGTATCCCCATACAAGAACATCGAGAAGCCATTTCTCATTCTTAACAGCGTCAACCACTCATCGGATCCATTTCTTGCTCTCAATGACGTCGACCACTTGTCGGATCCATCTCAAAAGGACTTCATTGATATTCAATCCTCCTGGTGGGAGCTCTTGAGTATTTTTGGCGCATTTCATTATGACTACACTGATGCCGTACATTGGGTCGAGCGACTCGGCATTGAGAACAAGACTCAGATGCCATCCTTGGGTTCTATTGGAGGTGACAGGATGCTGAAGATTGTTAGCAAGTACACAACGGAGTTCCTCAACTTTGTGCTAGGCGAAAACGGTTGCATCTTTACGCACCCAAGTTTAGAGTGGCGCGAAGTGATCTATGTTAATGGCAGTAGCTTTCCAGCTTTTTGATCCATAGTGGATCTAGAAGCCGCGAACCATAAGCGAGAGCACGGCCAGAAGGTATAGATCGCTCTGAGGAGTGCAAGCTCCTCTAAATTTTTGCTCCGTACTGTATATATCTTTGTGGGGAGGGGTGGAGGGGTTTACTTCTCATGATTGTACAATAAGTAAATGAGGTAATATATTGTTGAAAAAAAAACCCTGTGCCTTAAATACCTTTAAACATGATGAGAACAAACGAAAGATGCCAGTGATGAGGTAGGGCAATTTTTTTTGAGGTTGCACATCACACAATAATCGCGTTGGTCTGTCGAGTTTATTAATAGACTAACCCCTAGTTATTAGCGTTGGATGAGAACATTTGCACTCCCACTGTAAGACGGGATACAGTCCTCCAGAGGACCAAAACTGACTTGCATGATTAGGGCACACTAGTTACTTGGGTGTGGGGCGTTTACCGATTTGAGCAAATGCTAATGTTGTATTAGCATCTTAACATGTCAGAATACCCTGTTAACCCTAAATGACACACAATGGAATATAGAAACACGACAAGTCCCTTTGTAGATCATAAGTAGATAGATTAAGATCCAATAAAACCTCTACGACAATTGCCGAATTTCTAAAAACGGTTCCGTATACACTGAAATGGTGAAATATGGAAAAACATTAATAAGCAACCAATAAGACTGACTCCCCACCTTTTCCAACGTCAGCTACTTTCAAAGTTGTAGAGATCAGGTGTCTACTGCAGCATTGCCTGTATTTGGCATTTGCGTCCACCAGCATCTTCCCCGCATCACTAATTCCCTTGATATTTTCGACAGTCACCATGTTTGAATTTGTGAATCATGACTCCACTCAGGGGTTTAACGATGCGACCCGCACCCGGATAAGGAGTCAAGCTGCAATGATGGCCATTTCCCAAAAAAGAAGAAGCCATGTTGTGGAACAAATACGTGAACAACTTGTGGCCGATATTGTTGATTCATCCAAAATTGTCGACCCAACTTTAAACCTCACTTGGGACTCTCCAACGACGCAGGCAGATCACCTAACAATTCCTGCTTCTATGCCACCAAGTGGGATCTCCTTGGTCCGCAGTGAATACAATCTAGATCCTACTAACTTCTCCGCCCTGACCTCTATTCACATTGGGGCGGCGTGCAAAGGGATCTTCGCCGAGGAGCCTACGCACTTAAAGGGTCTGCTCACATGCCATGAAAAGTCTTATTTTTCGCATCTTCCGCAGCGGTTTGGTCAGTCTGCTTGTCTTGATAACGCACTATTCTGCCTGGTAATTAAAATTGCGTCTTTGATGGCACCTTGCTCCGCTTTGTCCAACACCCTCATCCTAGCAAAGTATGGAAAGGCCCTTGCCACACTTCAGGCGGCACTTGAAGGCTCGGCGAGCTGGACTCTCGCGGATACTCTCTGTGCTGTCGAAGTCCTTGCGCTCTTTGAAGTGGGTCACTTCTGACCTCATGAAGGCTATGCCGAGATTGTTAATTTAGATTCTAGATTCTTAATTCGCCAACGGAGGGATCTTGGAGTCAACATATTGCAGGTGCAGCAAAGATGATTCGTTTAAGAGGCCCACAAGATTTTAAGTCTGAGTACGACCGGGATTTGTTAATAGCCATGATTGGACCGATTGTAAGATCTTTCATTCTTTGCGTACCAAAAGACGGGACGGGGCGATAAGTCTAATCATCTCAAGGTGTGTGAGTCTTTTGCCAACAATGAAAGCTGCTTTTTTGAAGGACAAGACTGGCTTCAATTGATTCAATACTGCGCCACCGGAAACAATTCTTTCTCCGATAGGAGCGACTTGGCGATTTCGATCAGTCAGATTTTAGTGAGAATGCCCGGTCTTGCAAAGAGAACAACATACGCGATTTTCAATCAAGACAGTCTCACTGTCTACGATAGGCAGCAGATTGAAAGAGACCTCAATCAAGCCAGACAAGAAATTCATCAGTGGCGAACTAATTTTAACAGGTTTATTGTACTTTCAGTAGAAAGAATAGCACATCAATTAGATCTGGGAAAGCGTTTTGAGCTCCTTGGCACGTCTTTGGTTCTTGCAACGTTTATCAATCGATTTATTGGTGCAATTTGTCCTAATCAGAGGTGTTGGGCTGAAGAGGAAGCACAAGCATGTGCCACCGAAATCCAAACGCTTGCCGATGATGTCCCGAAAATAAACCCACGGGCCGGTTTCTATTTAGCACAAAAGGCGAAGATGGCCAAAGCGACGATTAACACAGCCAGTATTTGGAAGGATTCTATAGAATCTGGTAAGCTAATTGAGCCGTGGAAATTCAAGGAGTGGTGTGGAATGATGAATAGAAAAACACCAAGTATCCCAGAAACTTCGGTATAGCTTCATTTCTTCCTTCTAAAATGAGACGAAGGGATATATAAAAGATTGAATGATGTTATTTCTTAAATCAAATTCTTTCAATTCCATACAACTCAATTCCCTGGACTCTATACATATATTATTTACTACTCAGAAAAATCAGACTAAAACCTTAGTTTCGAATATGTGGCTGAAATGCACGTACGTAGTCAAAAGGAATAGCTGTAGCAAAGTGAGCCTTAATTGGATATACACACTACATGTACTAGTACACAGCGAGACCCATCTTAGGATGACTTATAACCGTATTTGTGCAATGCCCCGTTTTTCTTTCAAACACGGAACAGACGCCGGAGGCCATCAAATACGTACCAATCCCGTAACATTGAATATAAAATGCGTCTGAATTCCACGGTTCTGTACTTTTTCCTTATTGTTTTGTTGCTCAGAAAGATAGTATTGTATATGAAATAAATTCGAAAATCAAAAATGTCGATGTCAACGACGGTTCAGGATATAATCCTGAGAAACAAGCAAGTGGTTTTCTAATACGAGATAAAGACTTTCATTGACAGTTACCAGGGTTCTTGCTGCGAGTCACAAACCTCTCCCTCTCTTTGCAGAGCTGGAGAAGAAGCCTTCTATACTGATGAGTGAGTATTTAACTATTATCCATAAACTTGCATGGATAATTTTGTTACTAACAACAAGGAGTCACTTGCCTGGACCCACGGTGTGATCCTGTCCAATTCCTTGGCTTGAAAGAAGGAGGTAAATTATCATATGGTTTCTAGAACGAAGATTGACTCAGGTTTTTTCTGACATGTTTACAGAGGCTCTCGTCTCCCGTAACGCCGGTGGCCATGTAAAACTAGATGAAGTATTGATATTGGACGACTTTTTGGGGCTCCGGGAGATTATGGTTGTTCAGCATACTGGTAAATACTAAAGATATACCCTTTCCTTTTCGCTGGAAAATCCAGTCATCTGATGAGTTACAGATTGTGGTGCGACACATTTCGATATTCCTAAATTCCACCAGACGCTTAAGCGCCGTGTCAGCGAGGATTTAGACCTTGAAAACAATAATTTCGGTTTTATTTCCGAGTAAGCAGCTGTATTTCTTCACTTCATTCCTGATTATACATATTTTCACCATTTAAATTAGGTGTCTGACTGTTAATTAGCCTGAAGGAGAGTGTCCGCAAAGAAGTGCACCTAATGCGCCAATCACCTTTGATGCGTCAGGAAATCAAAGATCATATTTTCGGTTTTATCTTTGATATCAAGACAGGGTTGCTTGAACAGGTTGCATAAGAACCATTTCAAAGCTAAACTGAAACCTTTCTACTTATGATTACGATCTCTGTATAACGTTCAGTTAGTACCTGTGACAATGAAGACTTTCTTCTGATTCTCTGTCGACATGATGACAATATCTTTGGGTTTTAAATTAATAGAAGTTGTTGATGTCAAGTAACCACCTAGCACCACAATATATCTAGGTAATCATAAATTATAAATAAACTTCATGTCATTTTTAATATGCCCTTTGCGACCACGCTATCGGCAACCGCGCAACCCGCAATAAAAGGTGGAGTAGGAGGTAAAAGTATGAATCTCCATCTCTGCATACTTACAATGTTGGTGCCAGGGGTTTCTCGGAACCTACGAGTGGGAGTTCCATCACGAAGTTTCCCGTACGACGTGGCATCTGGAGGAAGATGTCCGAGCGAAGAATTAGGGTTGATGTTGCGGTTCAGATTAGTGCTCTTTGAGGAGGATAAAGCTGATTAAGCTCCATTGTTAAACAATTGGGATAGCTGAACAATACATAATAATGTATTTGAAAAGTAACTGGTCACTCATGAAGGTTTGAAGGCCAATGTGTAAAACCAGATCGATATATTCTAAAGAACTTTTAGAATTCCAACCACGCTACAGAACGCCGGTCACCATGTCCAAACCATTCATAAAAGCCGACAGCAAAATCACATGCCTCGCTTCCATGGATACAATCCAATATAAGCATACAGTAAGTCTAATGGGGAAAACAGAGGGGAAATGAATAAAAGTCAAAAAAGGGGAAAGGTGAAAGGAAGGTCATATCAATCATTTTCGTCCTGCAGTAAGACTTTAAGTTTGTCTAGCTTATCTTCACATTTGACTTCCATCTGCATGATGACATCTACGCTATGCTTCTTGGTAATCAGCAGCTGAGCTACCAGCCAAAAGCTATACGCGTTCTTAAAGAAGCCCATCGAGGCCCACTCATGAGCCGGTATTTGTGTACGAAGAGTCATCCATAGTAGACGCCATCGAGAGAGGGCAGAACGAATATGTCCAACGATTGGGTCATCCGGAACTTGACCCTTGCTTGAGGCGCGGCGGTCACCATCTGTTGGCGGTGAGGAATAAGATTGCAGTTCCGACTGTCGAAACCGCATTATAGGAGCCAAAACAGTCATGTGAGAATTGATGTATGCATATAAAACTACGCTTGTCATGAGTATTTGTTAATGCAAAATTTGAGGAACTTACATACGGTGAATTAAAATAAACATGTCGAAAACGGTAAAGTTCATGATCGCGGGAGAATTGGTGTTTGTAGTTTTTGCAATGGACTGTTCATCGTCGAAAAGATGTTGAAAAGCTTGATACAGCGTTGTCTCTCGCGTAAAGGAGAAATTGGGTTCAGCGAAGGGGTGTTCAGAATTGAACAGCGAGTCGTCACAAGGCAAATCACATTCCATTTCTGCTGGGGTTAGTCGGCAAGGAAAGTTTTGGTAGAAGGAGAAGGCACAGTCGAGAAGAGAAATGATATTGATAGTGCTACAGCTCATTAGTTTCGTTCTGCATTGGAAGGCTTGTACTAACCGAATACGACACTCCTTTTGGATCCATAATGCCTCATGAATACGATCCTCGGGCAGATGACGACATTTCGCAAGGGCCATACTACGAGCGATCTTTTGCGAATCAGTAATCATCTATGTCATGCAGGAATTGAATGAAACTCACCAATATAATCTCACTAAAGCGAGTTTCCATTGCCCGATTACGAGATGCTTTTGATCCTGCCCAATATTGAATGACGAGCATCAAATATGCTGCTTGGAAGTTTTGAAACAATGTCCAGTCTTTTCGCTCAGCATCGGTAATGGGTTGACCAGTAAATATTCGACTGATTTCGTTCTCACATGATAAAGTCTCGGTTGAGTACACGTAAAGCTCTGCAAAATCTAGCATTCGTCTCGCGACATGTGTTTCACGCTCATCACTCGAGTACATGGCTCCCATGAAAACCACAGAAGCAAGCAATGGCGTCGGAACATGTTCTAAATCAAAAGATTGTGCGTGGATAATTGGGCAATTAGGATGCCAGTATCTGAAATAAAGAGCGACAAATTTGCGAATGCGTCGTGTCGTGAGCAGAAACCGTAGATTCGTCGATATTTCCTGTTGGAATTTTGCGTCCAAGTTTACCGTCCAGGATTTAGCCAAAATCGACTGAATCAATGACATTGAGAATGAACTCTCAGGCTCGTAGTATGATGAATCACTGACGGCACCCAAGTTAGAATCCTGGCCAGGTGCGGGCATTCCCTGGGTATTGAGCCCTCCTCCCAAAGCATTCTGGCAAGATTTTTGCGCATCAAACGGTCCCGTGATGAAAGACATGAAATTCTCTTGAAAGGATCCCAAGTCATCAAACTCAGGGAGCACAGCGCCAATTGAGTTCAATTTGCTAGCACCCAGTGGGTACGAAGCAATAGGACTTGTTGCCTCTAGCTCTGCCTGATTGTGATATTCCATGCCTCTGGCGCGATCGCTTCGCGGAGGCAAGTGGAACTTTTCTGTAAAGCTATCGGTGCCGGCATTTAAGAGAAAGTTGATCGACCCACGATCGGACGACTCGTATTCTTCAGCTTTAACAGGCGTGAATTCTAAGCATCGATTTGCGGTATTAGCCATCATCCTCTGCTCGTTTGAAATCTTCAGCTTACCTTTCGAAGGCATCTGATCCAGTATCGCTTGTTTGCGTGTGTTGTTGCATGTCAAATTCCTCTTGACGCAAGAGCTGCATGGGCTTTCGCCATCACAACGGAGCTTCATGGAGGTACACTTCACGATATTAGCCCCACGATTTTTGAATTGTGGCGAACGATCATACTGATTCACAAGCATGTCGGCGTCTACCTCGCTGACCTGTTTCAGGGATCGGACGATCTCCCCTCTGTGCACAATCCGGGTAGTGATCTCGTAGATTGTCGCTAGATTACATTGTCATCAATACCTCTTTTCTCTCGTGTGACATATCACATGGTCGCAACGTGAGCTTACCATCGTGCAAAGGCTTCGGAACAAAAAACACAGGAATACGGTTTCACCCCGGAATCTGCGGCTCACGGTCAGACATTCTCGCTTTCACCTGATGGAGAGCAGCTTGGGATTGGCGTACGTCGAAGGTGATGTCTCTTGAGATGATCAATGCGCGTAAATCCTCGCTGGCAGATATTGCAGCGAAAGTGTTTATCTGATGCTTGCTTCATCATGGCGGCCGGGGAGGGGCCATCTGGGGGAGCGCCCGGCTCGACGGTAGTAATTAGTAGTTAAGAGGTTTTAAATTGTCCAGCGCGGATTGCGGAGGTCGGGAGCCGGGGCGACGATCCCAAATTGGGTCCTGGCCCACCACGAATTCGTCCAGGGCCAGATAGCGGCCTGGCTGGAGAGTAGTAAAGTGAACGAGTGCACGGAGGCCTGGGCGACACAGCGAGTGCGTAAAGGAGCGACGGACAGATCAGATAGGACGTAAGAAAATAAACAGGAGGTTCTCCCCGTGACATTTCCGAACGACTGGCAGCCGTTGGCATTTTTGGTCAAGTCCAGCCGAGGCGGGGGAAGCCACCTAGCTCGTTTTGGGCTTAGTGCCGTTAGGGCGCTGGAATTGGAGTGCCTGACCAATCAGTCATCACACTGCTATTATGGAAGCATTGACCCAGAAATTACTCTATGCATGCGGAGTACTTGGCAGTGCTTGACAAGGGTCGAATCATCAACGGCCGGGAATAAGAATGTGCCTGTGAGCATGCTGGGTGCGGATTCTAGACGGTCTTTCGCAATGCCTTACATACATGGCACCCGGTTGTGCATGGGTCCTGCAGCTCAATGCGGGTCTCTGTTCATCCTACCCCTGAAGATTGAGCCTGCAACAAGAATCACTAATATCGTGGGGCAGTAGACGATGTGCTCTCTACGGTGTGGCTATATACACAGCATCATACTGAATGCTGAAATAGAATTCATCCTATCCTCAGGCCAGCCCAGACAAGGGCTGGGCCGACTGCCCAATCAGCGCAGTGCTCTGGATCCTGGTCGCTTGACCCTACCGCCGTTGCCCCATTCTGAAGAGCCGTTGCGGGGAAGGCCCGACGGGCTGATGTCGGGCTCCACTTGCGAGCCTTGGCGCATATGGCTCGCTTATCATTGGCTGTAAGCGATTCTCGTTTCTTTCGAAGCATGCCATCTCCTGCTCAACTGAACTTGTTGCCCTCTCTCCCTTTCCCTTATCAGCATTTCGTTATGGTCATAGCTTTTCCAGCCATCCTCCTGGGGGCGAATATTCCCTGGAGTGAAGTCTCCAAATATTCCAATGACCTTAAATGTGAAACGCAGGTATTATGCTCAGCAACCCGGGAAAATATCAGAGCTTTCAGCTTGACTTCGTTCTGGTTATCATCACCTCTCAGAACTCTTCTCAATACACTCGCATCAATCCCAATTACAGGCCTCTCAAAATCTACAATATATGACACATAAATCGTGTCAGAACGATCTTCCTTGGCGCGAGACATGGCCCCTAACCTAATCATATACAACAGCGAACCCAATAGATATACTGCCGGTTCCTCTCTGATACCCGCTAGAAACTGAATGTTTGTAAATGAGACACGCCTTCACTTTAACGCTTCAGTGTATACTAGACTTATTTTAGGTGGGTTGGGGCTGTCACCCCTTCACCGTCCAAGATTCCATCCGTGTAGTAAACGCTTGTACGCGAGCTTGCGTTCAGAAGCATTGTGCAAAGGACATGTCAAAATCCATGTATATTACTATATTAACTATAGGCTCTATCATAGTATATCTGGGCCTCTGTGGTGAAGACGAGGGGTTAAGATGCGATTTGGCACATTCGTACACTCGAGCCCCTTCAGGTTGTGGGCCGCCACTTAACATAATGATACGAACTGGCGTATGGGGCACAGTACATCTAATGATGATCCAAGCCATTGATTTGTTCGGCGCTTAGCACTGCTTCGGACACCAAGTCGCCAATGATACTAGGTAAATAATATATGAACCCTACGACGGTATCAACCAGAGATACCCATGAATTGTTACAGGCATCAAAATGACGTGATTTTGTGATAAGTAAATTGATCTGTGTCTAATTATAAATATTTCAATAGAAAGTTTCTGATAAAATCATACATTCAAGGGTATTCCACAAAAGCCATTGTGGATGCCATTACGAATACCAATTTATAAAAGTACCCGGGTGTAAAATGGCTAAGGAGAGATCTAGTTGAGTGTTGATAGAATTTCAGTGTTCTGAATACTGGCTAATTTGATGGGTCCCGTTGCTAATACAATTCAGTCTGGCAAGTTTAGTCGAGAGTCGGGTTCGGTAATCACGAAAGTCGAGGCCGAGGATTACGGCCACCTCGATGGGTGAGCGATATCACATGAACTCAACAGACTACCCAACATTCACAAAAGGAGAACCTTGCTGGTCTAACCATCCATAGTACCTGGATCATACAGGGAGAAACAATCTGAAAAACGTCGCCCATACCATGCTACCGTCCTTCCGGGGAGACGGGTGAATGGGGCAAAAGTACACGGTTTTCTCAAAGAACATCACGATTGTGTAGGGGACTGGAAACCAGAGTACGTAATAGCCGAGTGGGGGATTTCCGGTGGTCATGTTAGCCATTTGGTGGGGAATTTGCAGATTCTCGTTCTCCATCTAGGAGTAACATTAAACTCGTTTCGCCTCGGCACCAGCCCCAGATCTGTCAACTTGAACCACCAGCACCAACGGGGAGGACCTAGGACAATCCCCCTCAGATAGTCTATCTCAGATGTTTTTCCGAAGTGGTTAATTGGATTTTGATTGATAATACTATCATACTGTATGCATTTCACCTTGAAGTTAATTTACTCTGGAATGGCACAAAATTTTCGTTAAACCCGGAGCCTCGCTCAACTGTACCCACATTTTTCCGGACGTCCACCCGCGTACAGAGCTCATTTGCGTCAGCAAGTCAAATTCAAAATCGGCCTGATTCTCCGCGAAACGCTTTAATGTACACCAACGGGTCGTGGTGACCATTGCTTCGTTTCACGGGGTCTGCTGGGAGGAGCATTCGGCAAGGCTCGATCTGGCGCCTGTGATATGACAGGCAACTTCCGATTATCTGACGAATAGTCGAGCTTCTGTGCTAATATCATAGATAGGAGCGTCTTGAATATCCAGTCCCTTGTTTCTTTGTTCTATAAACTCAAATACCCTACCCTCTTTCCTACTTCCTGCCCATACTCACCAAGCCACTTTTGAACCAAATCCAGAATGGTCACATTTCTATGTAGGCGCAAAAGAGATTCATCAGTTCTGGAAAAGGTAGCCTGGAAATATAGCTGCATGAAGCATATCAACCTCCGTCACAAATCCCTTGAGGCATGCTCTAGAACCGAATGCAGCTTTAGGTCATGGAAGTCTAATGCTACTGATTGAAAGGCGATTAATTATATGACCCACTGCGTGGCCAAGATGCACCGAGATAGTATCCGCTAGATGGCGCCTCGCAGAGAGACAGTTGAACGGTTCACTAAGCATTGCAGACAGTATTCCACCAGGACAGTGTTTGACAGTAAATGCCGTAGTTGGTACATGGGTGGGAAGAAGGGGGACGGATCACTGCAGTTTGGCCATATCTTTCCTTTCGCATTCTGCTCGGCATAAGGGTAGGGCTGCGCTAATAATGACCAGTAGTCTCTATCATGTGGGTAATCCCCCCTGTCATTATATAGATATGAGGGTGCTTCTTTTTGTTATTCTTGGGAGGGATAGGAGGCGCTGCTCTTAGAGGACCCTCGACACTGGAGTATGTACGAAGCTCGAAGCCATTTAGACCCTTTCCGTTTCGACCAATTCAGTATTTCTGGTTTAATTTAGATTTTCTCTATCCTTACGGTGCTGTCGATGGGGGTCAACTAGGACCTTTAGATGTCCCTTTTTCTCCATCCTTGGGTCAGAAAAGCACCTATCGGTGGGTAGTTAAAAAAACCAAAAATGAAGATCAAAGAGTCACAATACAGGAATCTGAGCAGTAACTTTCCGCAATGAAATCAATGAAGTCAATGAATTGAGAAATATAAATTGAATCTATTTATGGAATTTGATTCAAGAGAAAAGAATGGTTCATGGCGCTTTTATTATATATCTATTTTAACGACGATTTTCGCACTTGGAGTTAACGCCGTCTCTCACTCCCCTGCAGCTTTTGAAACAAAATATGAATTATATATATAGCGATCTATCCCACTCACTAGTTTGCTTCCTGAGACTAGGATCTGGATGCGCCTAAGATAACGCAATGAGCTGCTATTCCTGAAGCAGTATGCTCTTTTTGTCGACATACATAATCGTTTGCTATTCGCTACTTTTTGAACCCTTAATGGCTTTTCGAGGCTGTTTTAAATTCCAAGATGACTGAATCAGAATAAATGTAGAAAGTTGGCGGATCGACATGATTCCTAATTCGCTTCGCGGATCTGAAACTTGAAATAATGTCATTGGCTTGCAACAATAAATAAAGTCTAAAACAAAGAATCTCAATAATCTTTGATAATCAGCGTAGGACAATATTGATTGGCTAGCCGTAACCGCGCTGGGATTGCTACGCGCCCTAACAAGCGCTCTCTCTTTCCAAATGGAACGTGTTGAATACCGTCACCTCAAATTAGCTGAGTTACTTGAAGCTCTTGATGAGTCAGGTTAATTTAGTTCCTTAGACTCGAATATAAGTCCTTCCTCATAATTATATGGCTTTTTCTTGGTGAACCAGAAATTAAAATCATGGAACATAGACAGGAAAAAATTTCCGGTTCCAACGTCTAAGAGAATCGATAAAGAATAGTTCCAGTGAGAAATAGATCAGCCAATTTACATTTAATGATCTGACAAAGCTATAAGATCTATACGACGAGAAGCCTAGTAAGTATGTCAACTACAATTCATTCCCTGCGCATCTTTATAAGCGTCGGATATTCCCAACAGATCCATCGCGTGCCATATGGACAATGCACGCTACTCTCGAGGAAGACTTGTCGAATAAAGAAGAGTCTGTCCGTAGCACATATCTACTAGGAGTAGCCCAATGGATTCTGCGGAATGGACAAAGCTTGTTCAATCTCATCGCCCAGTCGACTGTTCAGGATAATCTAACGTCAGCCAATATGCAGCCATGGCGCTAGGTTCTCTTTATCATATATTCCCTTCAAAGATGGAAATTTTGGAAATACCGATTGGGAGAAGTCATCAGAGAGCTTGATGTCACTAACCAGTGCAAGGAAGTAACAAGCAGGGCTGTGGCTCTAGTGATTTCATTCGAAAATACCATGCTCTTTTGAAAACAGGCTATCTGTTTAACTTTTGAGACTGGGCAATGGAAGCGTCAGGGAGAAATATTCGGTAGGAAATATCTTGGTGATCCTATCAATGGCGAATAATGCCAGAACACGAAGAAGGGAACGGGAACGCGGAGCCAAGTGTGATATTACTTGTGAGATGCCAATATCTGTTAAATTACTTTAGTATCAAGGAGCTGGGATAATGGGTTTTTCCCCTTTAAACTTCAAGTAGCTATCGACGAAGTTGTTATCCGCACTTAGAATGTGTTACATGACCAAAATGAGTCCACTGTTAATAGTCTTGTTATTATCTCTTCTAGAATGGTATTTCATGTTGGCGCATCTGATATATCCACAGAGTGACTGCCTAAGAGATCTAGAGCCTTTTAGGGCAGCGGTCAAGATTTCACATTTGATTCGACAATTCCGTGCTCAAGGCAGTAACGAATAAAATCTATATTTTCATTAACTAAGGTCCAGATTCCAAGGCACTAGATGTGGGTATCCGGGCAAATTCCGTCTATCGCCAACGAATCTAAGCAGCTGGGTAGCAAAACGGTTGGATTTCCCGAGATACCTGACTAGTTTTCTTGCTTTTCGCTTTTTTCTTGTTTATATTTTCACCTTTACTTTTATTTCGGAATTGTGGTTTCTCTCACGAAACAAAAAGAGTTCTTCCTATGCCGTGTTTATTTGGCTGTATAGCCCCGCCGTCCTCCATATGTCGTCAATTACGGTGTTTTATAACCCCTCTAGCAATCCACATTTTACAGTTCAATGATTTTAATTGATATTTGATATATTAAATACGCAAGTCCATCATAAAACGAAATAAGTCTTGGATTCTCCAGCCCTGTGAATCTAGTTACATGGGTGGGCATTAAGGTTGAAGACGTTTTCTATTTTCCCGATGACGCGATCAGCGGTGTTGGGCACTCTGGAGATAAATATGAGCTTACGCAGCTCACTACATTTTTTTTTCTTTTTTATTCACTTACTCTGATCTTATTGGCAGCTCTTATTTTCCTTGTAGCTATACACAAATAAAATCGCCTCATGGGTGTTCCAGAAAAAGTCGAGGTCTCGGGCTCATCGTCCCCTGTGCAGGAGAATGGAACTACCATCCAAGAAAAATATGCAGATGAGACCCTGCGTATATTGGAAAGTCATGGAGATGACTTTGAACCATTGACTCCCGAAAAAGAGAAGAAGCTGAGGCGAAAATTATATTGGCATGTTATGGGTTTACTGTCCGCCATCAACTTGCTGCTCTTTGTAAGCTCCTTCAATGAGTTGCGTAGACTTTTGTTTTTCTAACTGATTCAGATCGACAAATCAACTTTGGGTTACGCTGCTATTCTGGGCTTGTTTGAAGAGACTGGTATCAACAAGGCACAGTACAACAATCTTGGAACGTTCTTCTACGTCGGTAAGACATGCCGTCTTCATTCTATACCAACCTCGTCTAATACAACTCCAGGCTATCTGGCTGCACAATGGCCAGGACACTATGCTATGCAGAAACTACCATTCGGAAAATTCGTCGCTAGTCTCATCTTTATGTGGGGAGTTACGGTACTCCTACATTGCGTTGCGACAAAATACGCCGGTCTTGTGGTTCTGCGTTTGGCTCTCGGTGCTAGCGAATCTGTCGTGGTCCCTGCAATGGAAATGACTATTGGCATGTTTTTCACTCGTCATGAACAGTCATTTCTTCAGCCTATTTTATGGGTGACATCAGCACTTGCACCGGTCTGTATTGCGTTTATCTCCTATGGTCTTCTCTGGAGCACCAGCGCCGTTCTGCCTTGGAAGCTTTTAATGATTATAACTGGAGGTTGCTCTACTCTTCTGTCAATTCTCATATGGTTCCGATATCCCAATAACCCCGCCGAGGCCAAGTTCCTGACCTTGGAAGAGAAGGTTCACGCCATCAAGCGGGTTCATGAGTCAAGTCAAAGCTCCATTGAGCAGAAACAATTTAAGAAAACTCAGTTCGCAGAGACAATGCGTGACCCTGTTTCGTGGTTATTCGCTTTGCAGGCTTTCACACTGATGATGTCCAACAATCTAACCTACGGGCAACAAAATCTCATTACTACTGCTCTTGGAGTGGACAATTTGGGGTCTACTCTTGTAGCAGCGGCAGGCGGTGGTTTTGGTGTCGCTGTTTGTCTTGCTGGTGCTTTCTTTCTACGATGGTGGCCGTCGAACCTTGCGCTACATGGACTCGTTTGGTGTATTCCTGCAATTGCTGGTGGTATTGGAATGGTTGCTGTCAATTGGGATGCAAAATTGGCAATGCTTGCTTGTCTGCTCCTGGCTGGCCATACCTATGGTAACACCTACATTATCGCATTGGGATGGACGACATCATCTGCGGCAGGATATACCAAGAAACTTACCCGCAACGTCATGTTCATGATCGGCTATTCCGTTGCAAATCTTTGTTCGCCCCAAATTTGGGTTCCTAAAGATGCACCTCGCTATTACGGTGCTTGGATCGCCATGATCGTGGTAAGCTGGGCAGGTACGCCATTGATACTATTCATTATCCAGTTCATTTTGAAACGCAGAAACTCTCAGCGAAAGAGCTGGGCCGCAACGTTGACTAGTGAGGAAAGGATCGCCCACGAGTTTGGAGTGGTTGAGCATATAGATGAGAATGGTGTTTTGGTTCCCAGGAAAGTTGAGATTGCTATGCTAGATCTGACTGATCTGGAGAATCCATTCTTCATCTATCCAATCTAAGAACAGAGAGGCTTCTTTCAAATTAGTGACATTTAGTGAGGAGAAACTGAAACCCAGTTTTCATACAAAAAATGAACTAGCTTTTCTCAAAAAATTTCTCATAATATAATTTATACATGCTATCTTTGTATTGAAGTTACCGTAACATTCCGCTTTCCAAATTCAGTAGACGACGTTCGCTGTGACTCATCGGCTTCAAATTCTAACTACCCGCTTTGAATACGAGGTGTAACATCAATTGATATATAACCTATTCATACGAATAATTATTCGTGCAAGGAATTTGTAAACTACATCAATTGATGACTAGCAACCATGTCGGCGTCGCAGGTCATCACTAGCATACAGCAGCTAGAGTCGCTCATATTTCATAACCACGATGATCCGCGGCCAGTCGTGGTAATGACTTGTGGGATAGCGGGTAAGAATCTCATCAGCAATATTAATTTTCTAAGAGGAGAAATCGGTTTAATAACACGAAATTTATTTTTTCAAAGGATCCGGGAAATCAACACTTTCTCACACCCTTCTCGAAGCTCACCCGACCATCACTCGTCTCTCGATCGACGCACACATTCATGCCCACCATGGTCTCTGGAACATCCACTATCCAGCCCAACAATACGAACCATACCAACTCGAAGCCGAAGACTCGCTGCGTCAACAACTTAGCGATCTTCTTCAAGAAGCGGTTCAAAAGAAGAATACTACATATACAATTCTTGATTTCTCATTCGCATTCAAAGAAAGCCGCGATGAATGGAAGCAAAGAGTTGAGGAAAATGGGGGGAGGTGGATCCTCGTATATCTAGATGTTGAAAATGATGAAATCAGACGGAGAGTAAAGGAGAGAAACCGGCTAAGAGAGAGCGGTGTCAGAAGGGATGCAGATTCCGCGTTCGATGTTACGCCAGAAATTCTGGAAATGTACTTTCAGGGATTCGAGCGCCCGGTAGGAGAGGGGGAGATCATTTTAAGGCTTTAGTTAGTAATTCTCTTCTTTTTACCTAGTATCAATAATTAATTATTATGCGGATGCTCTTTGAATGCTTAGGCTAACCCACCAATATGTAAAAGAGCGAAGCTATCCTTAAGCTGGTGTTATTCCTTCGGCGACTATCTCAACCGTGTCTAATCGTAAGGAAGACCACATTGGTACCCGCAGACTTCGGGGCGGCCTTAGGTCTAGAACGAAGGAAGAGACTACTAGGAAGAAACTACTGCAGTAGAACCATGTGTTGTTCTCAAATTCAGGCACTCTTCCAACAGGCAGCAGTGCTGCACGTGGTCTAGTCCGCCCTATAAGAATAACGACATCTCGAACAAGCCACTCTGCTCCTCGATTAAATAGCAGTAAGGTTTAGATCGTCGATTCCAGTTGAAACACCTAGCTAAACGCCTCATTTCGTTATCATTTCTCTGCTTTAAACAATGGGTAGTTTCGACATCTTCTGCGCCATCTGTGGCGCCACTGTGCGGTGGTTCGATCAGGACATGTTGTCGAACAATGAAACTGAAGAGGAGCAAAAATCTTTCAAGCTTCTAGAGCATGAAGAAACGGCGTGGATAAATGAGTTTCGCTGTATCAGCGAGAATCCCAACTCACAATCTGCCGACGACAAGTAAGAGATCGATGTCTGTGGAAAGCTAGTCTTTCTATCTGATTTAACAAGCATACTTTGCGCAGAGTATATGTGTCTGGACCGGCAAGCTATTCGGATTATGGAATTTGTGACGTGGAGGAAGACGAGAATCTGGGACAATTTGCAGGTTATGGACATCGTTACGATATTCATGTGTATGTCTCGCTACTTTTCCAATGAGAGAAAAGAAGAGAAACGAAATTACGTCGATCTACTAGACATCACTAACATAATCGCTTAATTGATAGATATGGAGGTACTGGAGACGAGGATGATCCACTAGCATTCCCATGCCACAACGCATGTAACAAAATACTTCGCAAGGTCATCCGATCCATCTCCTTCGACAATGAAAAAATCGACAAGGAAGTTCTATTCCTTGCGTTAAAATCCTTCGTTGAAGGGGAACCTCCGTACGACCGGTGTTTGGGTCTTGTCGACTATGGAGAGTGTATGGATGAATTGCAACAACAGTATTGGTATATACTTCCGGGTGTAGAGTATTACATGGTCAATCCAGTCAATATTCCAGCCTTGGAGAGATATTACTCCAATATTCCAACGCTGTTATCGTCTGAGCATACCCCGCCTTCAGCCGATACTGTTGAGACTAGATTATTACCAGGGGTAGTACACGACTATTTTGCAGAGGTTCCAGTTAAAATACTCCTGCACATTCTACAGTATCTCCCGATAGACTCAGTCAATGCTCTACGAACAGTGAGCTCATATGTGACTTCAGCAACCAGTTCAAGCAGCTTTTGGGAAAAGAGATTGCGCCAGGATATGCCCTGGCTCTACGATATCCCAGAAGAGAACAATAGCAACGGGCAAGGGGTCGACTGGGCGCAGGTATGCCAGGATCTCCACGAAAAGAGTCATAACAACTGCGAATCCAGAATTCTCGGTCTTGTCAATCGGAAAAGAATATGGAAGATCTGCGACCTGTTCGCTGCATCCTATTTCAATATCAAAAAGGCCAAGGATTATGAAAATAGTACAGCTGTCTTGAAAAATGCTTTCTCAGGTCCTATGGTACCTCTTGGCGATCTTGGGAAAGTCAAAACCGAAACTTCAAAGCTTGCTTTGATCAGTGACGTCAATGATGTTGGTGTCAAAAACCCAGTTCTGTCAATATATTGGAGTCGGGAAGGGTTTCTGCTAGGTTTTGGTGTTACCCTAGACACAGCTACAACAGGCCAAAAAGCCAGTGGTGACAGCGACTACGTTGGAGCCAAAGGAAAAGCTGCGCGCACTGATGAAGTGAAAATTCCGCAGGGTGACTGGCTGACAGGGTTTATGTTCATGACACGTATAGGACTGGAAGATACGCATGAAGAGAAAAAGAATCCAGGTCGATTTGTCATTGGCATTGAACTACTGTTTAACACTACTGAGTCAATGCATTTTGGAGCGAGTAACGGAAATAAGAGACTCGTTCTAACTGAGCCAGGTGAGGTGATTGTCGGGCTTCTAGTAGAATGGACAGCTACCAGCGGGATTCTAAATCTTGCATTACTCAAACACGAGAAACGAGTATCTTTTCAGGAAATCTACCCTTATGCAGACTCCAGCTTGAATCAAGTGCTCTGGAAGGATGATATTCCACCACCAATATTGCAAATGAGCCGGCTAATGAACGAAGGCGGTTCATGGGTTCCTGACGGTGAATTTTGTCCTCACGAAGCCGTGATTTTCGGTCGAGACGACGAGGAATTATCCACTATTACCGGTATTTCCGTCGACGTCCAATTCGGGGTATTGGAAATTCATTACTCTCATGACCGCCCCTCAAAGTCAGTAGGCCCAAAACCATGGGCCACCAAGACTTTTGCGATTGATGGCCCAGGAGGTGAGCGCATTATCGCAGCTTTCGTTGGTAATAACATTCAGCTCGGTTTTCGACTTGTTACAAATCGCAACAGACAGCTGACCTACGGATTGAATCTATATCCTACAAGACAAGATAGCCTGAATGCGAGAGAGACGGGTATTTTCTGTGGCTTGTCTTGCAGCTGGAGCATGAACGATTCTGATCAGCCACGACTGGACGCAGTGGCAACACTGTCACTTCCTAAGCCCTCCCATCGTGAATATCATGATGGACTAGATATCTTTGGACTACAAGACCAGAACAAGCTGTGGTGGGAACCAGATGCGCCTCCACCAACATGGAAGGAATCAGGTAGCATATACGGCTCACAGTTAAGAAAATTAAGCGACGGCTATCAGTACCACATAGCGAGTACAGAGCCCGTAACCACCGACGGCAATGTCGTGAGCTGGTTCGATCTGAGACGCCCTGTGGATGAGATCAAGGTGACCTTTACACATGGCCATTCATGGATTAGAAAACGGGTTTCTCTTATTAGCATCATTCTACAGTATACTGATGGGAGCCAAGCGAGCAGTGGGCCGACCCAGTTTTTTATTGACTCCGAGGATGCGGACGAGGAGAATGAGATTCCCTGGATTTGGTACCATCAGGGTTTCAAAGGCACTGACGAGGAGGATCGCGTGGAATCCCCATTCTACCGACACGACTCTTTTACAGCTGGAGGAGATTTCATTGCTTGTGTACGTATATGGGCTAAACAATTTTTGAGAGGCTTCCAATTTTTGACTTGTTCTGGGCTTGAGGGTCCGAAATGGGGGATCTGTGAGGGCGATGCAGCGACAACGATCCGTTTCACCCGTGGTGGTAATGGGGCTAGCGAACAGGATGATGGAGAGCAGCGGGCTGTTGGGCTCAAAGTATTCACTGGCGTCGATCGACAACAGTTTTCGTATAGAAGAAGCCATTCTAGTCGAATTATTACTGGGTTTCAGGCGTTAGTAGTAGAGTGATAAGCCATTATCCTCTGCTATACGACCAGGACCGCGTTGAAATTACACCGACATATAGTGCAGTCCTAACCCTATATCTTTAATTGCAACCATCTAGCAATAATTACATGGATCCATTAATATTCATGCGCGAACCCATTCCGGTAAATACTCCAACCTTCCATAGAACGATCATTAAGCACCGATACTAGATCCGTTACGCTGATGCTTCGATCGTCGTATCAGATAAACGATACTTAACGGTCTAGACCAGGTATTTCCAGACCGACCAGTATGCAATACTACACGCCTCATCTTTACTTTACTACGGTAGCGCGACTGCTTTAGTGCGACTCCTTTGCGAGGACCATTTTGAAATGCACGACGATTACAAGTTTGCAACAATAGTAATTACAACCTAGCAAGGGTTTCGCAATGAATGCTATACCTAGAGAAGACAGTTCACCGATCCTCAGTAATAATATTCTAAAATGAAATTAATTCACAACCGTTTGGATGTACGGAATTGGTCGCATGAGGATAATTATCGGACTACATCCCTGCAATAACCTCGCAATAAAAGCCTATTAGAGGATGAACAAAGAGAACCCACAGCTAACTATTATTATTATTCGAGAATCGGCTGGGATCAATTCTCAAAATATCAAGACTGATATCAACTATCACGGAGGTTTCAACTAATTGAGTAGTCACAGAAAATCAAACCCGTCCTGATCGACACATGACGTAAACTTGCTTGCTTGTACGCATTTTATTAACCATGATTCGAAATCTAGCTCAAACGTGTCAAAAATGAATACTCTTTTGTGTCACCATACTCCTATTTTATAAAACCATCTTTCGTACCCCGTATGAAGTCGTTGGTTGTCTCAATTCATAAATTCCACGCAACTGAGGTGTTGCAAAATCATTTTAAAAAAGAAATATGCAATAGTCGGATATTATTGGTGAAAATTCCCATTTCCGTGCAGATTACTACAGGAGGTCATTTGGTCACTTCTTTCTTTTTTCGTGCATCTCTTTAATTTTACTTGATTTTCTGTATGCATAGCTTAGCGCATAATTGACTTCGCTTAAATGAATAAAGTAGTTGCTTTTTTAATGTAATTGTTTATTGCTGTTGTCGTTTCTTTTTGTGATCAGCGTACATGACTCCGGTGTTTCAGAGTACACTTCACAAGGTCAACCACCTATTCCGCATGCCAAGAGAGTGAACAGCGCTATGCGGCGCCGTGTGAAGAATCCACCTTGGGTCCATATGAATCCGAGGTCCATCCCACAGGTCTGGAACTTATTCCCTATCCCACGGAAGTTCGCCGTGGGAGCCAATAGCGGACTAGTTTAATCGACTGTCACACATATTCTTGCTGCACCCAGCTGTGCGGCGCTACACAGCTGCACCATGCAGTGTTATTTCCGTTGCTCATTCCTAAGCTGTTAATTAGCAGGATGGGTGATCGACGCCCGGGATCGGCAGGCCTGTTGAGGTACCTCTGAAACATTTCTGCAAACACCCACCATGCAACAGCTACCTGACAAACTCCTCCGTTCCGTACATCGTAGTTCCTGTTTCTTGCGGCTGTAGCACGCACCATCATTCCAGCTGAATCCGTCGCCCCAGCGTAACTTCTAACTCTAAGTCCGAAAGGTGGTGGTGATCAACCCAAATCCCGCCTACCTATCTTACAGGAGAACATAGTACTCGTAATCCAAATACAAAAAAACTCAAGCGCTGCAAAGCCTCGTTGACAAATCTCCGACATCGCGCTGATTTGTTGAGTTAGGAGTAAACTTAAGTGTGCTAGTCATTCGCATATCCGTACAAAATACGGTTAGTTTCCAGCCTTCGGCATCAGTTGCAGCATTGTGGCGGCTGGCTTTTCAGAATCAGGCTAGCGCCGCAGATCATGTGACTGGGGTGATGGATGATGCTGACGGGCAGTCAGTGGTCAGATGCGATAATCGCTTCCATCCCTTCCCTTTCCCGTCGCAGCTGGGGCCAGAGGCTGGCTGCTATCCAAGACTTTGACAGTCTCGGTGTGACTTTAGGGTCGACTGGTGAACCTAGTCGGGGCAAGTCGGAATAAGAGCTGGTGCTATGACGATTGATCCCCAGTTCCGTCCAAAAGTCAAAAGTCAAGTCAAAGCTCAGAGTCAGCGGTACAACCAAGGAAAGACGAGCAGTATGATTCTATGCGAGGACCATGCGAGAACATGAAACCCCCAAGACGAACAATCCAAAGGCCGTTGAACCTTCTGGTCGGCCCTAGACATGATCCTCGCTGACAGGTGGGGGCTTGAATAGGTAGCAATGGACTTGATTGGGGGGGGGCAGGCGTCAGACGTGAACCCGAGTATGATAATAATCAATGCTATTAATTAATGTGTTATTCCCTCACCCCGCACGTACCAGAGTTGGAGATACCGGAGGAGAGTTTTGCCGCGACTCAGGCATAATCCCAGACCCTTTCTGTTAGTGGGCGCCTACACCCACTCCACGTAACTGCTCAGACCTATGAAGTATTGAATAGAGATGATGATCATCCAAACAATGATCGATACGGCTACATGTGGCCCGTGTGTTGATCTGACGCCTGGCGCATCAATTCCTTCTCTGATACGGATGACAGTACGGAGTATTGAAAAGAGTTTGCGTACGCCAGCCACAGAGCCTTTGTGCGAGGCTTTGCGCGTGGGATAACCAAGGTCTAGAGCTGATGGTCGACGGGAGATACTGCCATTGTAATTAGTGCCCGAGCTTTTACCGAAATTTCATTGGCCTACGACAGGAGATTAAGCGGTTATACTCATTATTATCTCCGACCGTCCGGGTGTATTCTTTCGACAAAGAGTGATCTTGCAGTGTCCACGGTCTGGCACAAGTGAACTTTGAATGAAGGCTTGAGTTGCACCTTCATTTGTCTCCAGGTGACGTATCTAGAATTCTCGATACGGTCGGGGCAACTGCCAGTCCTTGCTGTCAACCCCGTTGGGCATCGCCGATGTACTTTATGCGTACAGGTGATCTCCTGCAGTTAGGTTGCTAGCGAGCCACTGCAGCGGTCCAGCGCGACGCGTCGGCAGTTCACCAGACCAGACGGCTGGGATTGAGTCATTAGTGCCTGGGATGAGCATTTCCATATTCCAATCATAGCATCCAATGCGAGGATCGCCATAGCCAACCAACTCGCGTTCATGGTCAGTGATCAACATGTCGAGTCTCTCAGATCGTAATATATAATACTATTCTGCTCTGTTGGTCCGCTGTGCCAATCTTTGTCGAGCCTCGCATCGTAATGCACCTGATCAATCCGTAAACGCTGACAAACGGAAGGAAGCTGTAAACTAGCCGTGCAGCAATCTAATAGCAGAACTCAGATTCCTGATGGCGACAGTGCATGATGACTCGCTTTGCTCTCATGATGGTGTGAGTTGTAACCAGTCAGACAGGTCACAGCTGGAACTGGAGCTTGGCAAGAGCAGGCGAAGCATGATTGGACGGAGGCCTGGCAAAGGCAACAAAGCAACAAAGCAACGATAACCCCAATCATTGATCAATCGCGAATCCGCATGCGATGGGTCTAGTCTGCGACAGTCTAGTCTGATCGGGGAGATAGTGCAGTGCCAGAGCCGACCACAGAGAGAGGAAGGTCCGGGGTTGGTCAGACCAGCGCGGCGTTATTACCCAAGTAGGGCAAACGCCCAGATCGCCGGCACCGCTAGCGGCCTAGAGCACGCTGGCCGCTTACACGCCACGTGAGGACCTAACGGGAATTATTCCGCCAGCCAACCAGGTGCTGCAGATCAGCTGACTTCCAGTTCTCTGCGGGTCTCCACCGCCAACACGCCAAAGGAGTCAAGGGCTTGGATATGATCCGCGGATCTCCCCGCCCGGCGCTGACCCGATGGGGTAATAATGCTCTCCAGGCCCAGACTCGCTTGCTCCCTTGGCACCGGACCACGTAATGACTGAGTCCAACCCTGGCGCCGATCGGCCCTGAGCAGTGAGTAAGGAGATCTGCGGCCATGATTCAAGCGGTGATCCTCGCTTAGCAGTTCCATCTGGCCGTGACGCGTCCTCTGCTAGTCACTCCTACTCTGCACTACGCCGTCCTGGTGTACAGAGTATTTGCTAACCTATGTTAATTCTATTGCCTAGTGTTGGCTGGGTTACCTTTTTTTCTCGGGGCATTTCGTTTCCGAGCGATACGTATCCTTTACGCCTACCTAGTGCGCCCTAGCGTCAGGACAACATCATTGCTTAATCAGTCATTAATAATTAATAATTGAATTTCCAGGTTCACCGAAATGTCCGTAGTCGCCGGTGTCTGGGGGGGCCTGCACTGCCAGCTCTCCCAGGATGATCGACCACTGGCCGGCTTCCGACTGACTGACGTGTTGACACTGTCATACTCCTTGATTTTGACAGGTGTCTACTCATGTCCGATAGCTTCACTTGCAGAGAATGAATAGGATATCACAAATGAGAAGCAAAGAATAGATCCATCGTAGTGAATTAGCCGACTGATCGCACGCAGGGAGCCACGGACTTGGACTGGTCGTACGATCATCACCCAAGCAAATCCACGCCGCATTGACCCGAACCTCTTGGATCTGAGAGCCGCGCATGATTGGCTACCCAGACTGTGGGCAGATCCCGGGCCCTCCACATGGTGTTGGGATGCGTAAATAATAATAAATAATTACAATAAGAATAACAACCATATAAAATAACACAAAGTAAATTTACGACAACGGCCAATCCAGAGGTGCCTTACAAGTCACATCATCACGCCAAAGTCTAAACACCTCAATATAGACATTGTGGTAGCACGAGACCAGTCATAGTGTCAGGCGCTTGGCCCGATATGGGCTAGTCCGGGTCACTTCCTTGCGGAAGATCCTCCCGTAGCTAATAATAATAGAATAATAATATAATAGTACGTATCATAATGCTCCTATTAAAATAACTGATCCCTAGCGCGAATCGTAAAATACAGGTTGCGCGTAATTAATCCGTTTCCAGCGTATGGATACCAGGTTTACGTATCGCTCGTAACATCCCGGGCTAGCGTGGCCAGCGGGCGATCCCCGTTAGCAGCGAAATTAAATTGCGCTAGTCCCAGTGGGGCAGGTTTGAACCGCCGCTCAGCAAAGAGGATATGAAAATTACCGGATTGAGGGCTGATCGGCCCCTTTGAGGACGTGTGCCACGGTCCCCGCGCTCGACCAGCTTCCGTTCCAGGGTTCCATGGAAATCTTGCTGACTCTCCGATCCGTCGCTCAGCGGTTTAGTCTCGCGTTTCACTACACACAGTGACACAGCCTGGTGATGAGGAACAGGTGGCTTTGCAGAATCATCATGATCCTTCGCGCTGCCAACTAACTCTGGTGGCTAGCCGCTGTGGCCCTTCAATAAATAGAAACACAGGCAGAAAGTACCGCCATTGGACGCACACTAGCCTCGAACGCCCTGGACAGAGCGACAGCGAGTGCAATGTAGGCGATCAGTCTCGTACGAGAGAGCCAATCATCGGGCGTGAACCTTGAACAATTAAACTTTCGCCCAGACCTGTTGATAAGGCCATACGCGTGGCTCTCGCTAATTAAATTTTAACTGTGCAGCGCAGCCTGCATCGCCCGAAGCCGACCCTGTAATAATAATAACAATAAACCATAGCACACTGCAGCACTGAGATACGAACTAATAGGCTGCGGAGTATCTAATTCTTCCAGAACTATACGAGCGTTTGTGGGGCTTTTTGGTTTGTTTTTCTTTGAACCCTCATCCGAGCGGTATACTACGGCAGACGAGCAGTCACTTGAGCGCCCCCATCCGAGAGGATCACGTCGACCCCTCGCTTAAAAGGACAATTAATATTTAACACATTGGGACTCAAAAGTCTAAATTGTCCGCAGTCAAAGTCAAAACGACAGGATGATGCAAATCGTGTCGATCTGCGCCATATAGACAGAGAGGATTACCATAGCAGCATCGCATAGACTCTAGAGTCTAGAGTCGGTCTATGCGAGCTGTTGCTAAGACATTTCTCCACCAGTGGCTGATGGCCCGGCTCATCAGATATGAGATGAACCGGCCATACCAAACGCAATCATGCCAATCCGAATCAGTCTGATAGTAATAATAGTAGGGATCAAGGAAATGTCAGCGTGCACAGCCAATCGCATCAGGGCCCGGGGAACACTTTATACTAGTATATAGTTTACGTAGGAATGTGGAAATTGCAGGCCATGCACCATACCGCATAGGGAGCCACAGCCGGGCTTTGACTGTGGCCAGCCTCAGGCAGAGAGACGCCCGGGTGTCTAAGATCGCCTGGTTAGCACGCTGACTCTCAGCCAGTCAGGCGCCGGACAGGCCCCTCAACGAGCCAACCAACGGATCTTTCGTGCTTACCGCATTGGGCTACCGTCCGCCGACTGGTGTCAGACGAGCAACAGCACCGATATGCATTCTGGGCATTCTGGAAGTATTGTCGTGCGCGCTACCAGTACCGGATCCGTTACCCATACAGGGATACAGTCAATCATAGATACAAAGATCATACTATAGACTCTACCCAGTATAGCGATAAGTGATAATTAATACGGACCTAATCAATGGAAAACCCGCCCCCAAGGCGACGGGTTCGCCTGACCTGATCTGACAGCCTAGACACCAGCCAAAAGGATTCCTCTTCGCACTCCGTACTTGACCACCCCGTTTGCAGGCGGCTTCTGCCGCACTTTGGTCAGTCCTGGTATAGAGTATAGACGGACATATCGATCCTTCGCGGACCATCATCGCCCTAATCGGGACTAGCGCAAAAGAGCCTTTGCGCAGAGTCCCGTCACAGCAAAATACGATCGACGGCGGGAAATGAGATCACACAGGCCTCAACAGACCCCCAAGTCCGCCAGGTCTGTGTAAAGCGTACGTGGAAAACGGTAATAATAGAACCGTAGTAAGGGGACGAAGATTGTACCAGTCGTTCGCAGCCACCGGAGATCATCATTTCCGTACGACACAGCAAGTTACACGGAGTTACGGAGTCCACTCCGCAGCAAAGGACAGTGGGAGACCATGTGGTTTGTAAGGATCGGCGCTAGCAGGCTCCCGGATTCGGCAACGACAAATGGTGAGTGGCTTTTGATGGGTCCAGAGCATGGCTGATCCTCGCTTAAAACCACGGGGCCGGTGGACCCCGTGCTGATTGGCTGCTGTTGGATCTGTCAAAGCCCCGCTGCCCAAGCCAGGGTGTCCTCCGCCCGCCGCGTCAGGTCTAGACCTGATACGGAAACATAGCTCCGAGGCTACTTTGGCGTGTGGCCAATCGTAGCCGAGCGCATATAATACATTGTTGAAGTTGACTCTGGTCGCCCCATGGCGCTAGTAAGGAGTCCCTGTACAGTGTATTGGATACACCGTATTTTGTCGGTAATACGGTATGGTATGGACCGCCACGAGACGGCGCGCCGGGATTGTCTGGGTGTGGGGAACAAAGCACGTTCGTCGAGGGCTCGCCTCGTTACAGAATACTAGGCGAAGTACGGATTATGTACAGTATCATCATTAAGGGTTGCCAATGGAGAGGAGTCTAATGATCCGCGGCACCTGCACACTCGCCCGTACCGAGGGGCTGGGAGGCGCGGCCCTGATCAAAGCCAAAGTCCCTAATGAATGATTCTTAGCACGGCTATTATTATGATTCCTGATTGCTATCGTCGTCATTCGCTCGAACTAACCACTGTTCGTTGTTGGTTGCCCACCCAGCCCCAGTCGAGTCGTGGAGGTGACTCGACAATTCATAACTCCGCGCTTCCCACCTTTCTTTCTGATAGACGCTCTGATGCTCTTCTGCTCTACTACCGCTCTTCCCTGATTCTCGCCTGGCCATAGCCTTTCTACTCTCCCTTCAACTATCAGCTACAGCTAGAGGAGATACAATCAACAAACCAGCCATGAAGGTCGCCAGTCTGATGACCACCGAGTGGTCCGACACTCGTCGCCGCTCGTCATCCGGCTCGCAGCCCAGCCCAGTCACCGGCACCATAAGAAAATACGACGAATATGAAGAGAAGGCCCAATCATACACACACTCGTACTCACATTCACACTCACACTCATACTTTGCGCCCCTCAACACTCGAGCGTCGCCGCAGCTGCCTCTGTCTCCCCCGGCCGAGGATCAGCGCAAATGCTCACTGCCATCCATATCCAGCCTCTTGGAAGGCGCAAACAGCGTGCCAGCAGCAAGTATGTTCAACTTGTCAATTCTATAAAATGTATGAGACACTCAGCTAACATCCCCAGAACGAGCTCGTCACAATTCCACTGAGTACAGCCGCGTCTTTCTGCCTCCAACACCACCCATGCGCCCTTGCTCTGGGCTCGCAGAAGGCCGCTCGCCCTCATCTTTCTCCAGACGATCTCACTCAGCCTCAGTCAGCAGTGCGCCACCTATGCAGCAATCGCAATCGCAGGCCTCGCTTCCATCTATTGCAGCTTCTCTGCCAACGCCCCCTTCAGAGCGGGGTTCCGTATCGCAGGAATTGCACATGTCTCCTCCTGCTCCCATTAATACCACCACCAACTCTTCCACCTATCCTGCTGTAGCCTCATCGAGCGCAAACTCGTTCACCCCGACCAATGAGCCGCAGTATCCTCGCGCACACAGCGTGTCAGCACCAGTGACACCCAGCCATGTTCCACCCATGATTTCGCCCGTCAATCCAGCTTGGCAACACCACCACTACTTCCCACCATCCGGCGCTGCGTCCTACCCACAGAACCACGACCGATACGTCTGCCGAACCTGCCATAAGGCATTCTCGCGGCCGTCCAGTCTGCGCATTCACTCGCATAGTCACACGGGCGAGAAGCCGTTCCGCTGTACCCATGTGGGTTGCGGTAAGGCGTTTAGCGTTCGCAGCAACATGAAGCGCCACGAACGGGGGTGTCACAGTGGGCGACCATTAGCGGCTATCGTTTGATTCGTAACCTGTGGAATATTTTTCACTGTATTCTTTCTCTACTTTTAATCTGTTTCATTTACACACGACTCTTGTCAGGTTTACGGATGGCGTTTGTACAAAAGTGGGCAGGTCAAGTTGTGACATATACCCCTGATGCATGGAGTTGGTGATTGGAATTTCTTCTCTTCGTGAATATATTATTACTTCAACACTATCTAGATGGTAACAGTACCACCAAAATCCCGAATCAATTTCCATTATTAGAGCATATCATCTAGCTGAGCCAAGCCTTTACTCTGGGCTGCACTCGGCCCCATATGGCTGGCCCAACATCCACGAGGACGAGGATGTAACCCTACTACCTGGTTGTTGGGCGACTACTGGTCGAACATCCGTTATTTAATAGTAATATTATTAGTACGTACTATTCTAATATTATACAATTTATTCTTAGCGAGGACATGGATTATGGGGAAGCCACATGTCTCTCTCGTGGGTCTTGTGTTGAGTGACTAGAGTCTTGACTGGCACTTGTCGGGACTCTAGTCTCTAGGTGTCAGACGCACATGGCAACCTGTATATCCACTTCTCGTAAATAATTCTCACTAACAGCAGACACAGCATATCCGCTGATCGTCCGTTACCTTTAGAGTCGGCACTTTCTTGCACATTGTTATCGGCTCAGCCCGCAGAAGCTGACATTGATCTACCAATCAAGTGTCTTTTTATTCTGCATCTACTTCTTCATCCAGGCGGCTATCGTCTTCCTTTCCAACATAACATACACTCCATTGTCGTTTTCGTCGTTGTATCTAGCTGTAAATATGTAGGGCCCGTGCAAAGATCACCATTAGAATCTGAAGCCCAGTGGCCAATATCCTTTTCATCGGAACCTCGCTTCCACCTCCCTCCAGCGCATAGTTCATTAACTAGTCAACTAGCAAGGATAGTCTGACAAGTCCAGGACGCAAACGATCCGACCTACTGTTAATCACAAAAGCATAAGAAATTAGTAAAACCTTGTCTTCTCTCTTGTGTTGTCTCGCTCGGCATTGTACTTTTCACCCCACTCTACGGAACAATAAAAAGCAAAAATGGTGTTGGACTGTTAGCAACTTGGCATTATTACTATTTTTATTGTTATTGCTCCATGAAAATCTTGTGTTGGAATTTGGAAGTGTAAAATAGATTGAATATACTAACGCCGGTGAATCACGTTGTGGCGAGAGACCTGAGTACGGCCCACAGGCAAACCAACTGCAAGTGATTAATGATTTACTAAGTTCAGACGCTATAACAAAGTAGGAAAAGTAGTACGCGAGGAAATATTAAAGTTAAAATATAATAAATAAAGGAATTGCCGACATGGAGTATTGATCTTTTCATATACGTACTTCTTGGATACTCAGTCACAGGTGACACAGTACGTATCTGTGTAATACTCCGTGGGTAGAGAGACTAGGGTTAGGAAGAGCACCACGGGTCGAAATTTTATTCTAGAATGTCAAGGAATCGCTACCAAAGGACGCACAGATCGCCCTTGGGGCTTTGTGTGGCGTGCTGCTGGTCAGCTACCTAGGACTAACTGCCTCTAGGAAAATGTGGCAACTGCTAAGGAAATACGGGTACCTTCTCCTCACTAAGGAGGATACTAGCTAAGGATCATCAACACTGGTAAAGGAGAAAATACGGCTTGTAAAAAATTGTAAAGCAAGAAGGAAATATGGGGAACGGAAGGATGCTTCCTACAGTGTTTACCCGGAAATAACAAATTGTACTCGGTTCAATCCCTGTGCGGATTGGACTAATGGGTTAGGGGTGGATGCAGATGTTATCGTTCAACAAGGGTCAAGCGTAGATCAATTTGGCTGCCTTGATTCGCATGGATCGTTTTTGTAGATCGGCAACTGATGGTGTGACGGAAGGTGGTCGGTCGGAACAAGACCTGATTCGACGAACATTGAGCCCACACTGAGACAGCAGACTACGTATTCTCAGAGTCAGAGCAGGCGCTACATCTGTACAGAGACCGGGTGGTGCATGCACCTCCACCGTCTTGCGTACTGCTCCGCCGTACTAGCAGGCTTGTACTGTATATGGCTCATTCGCCTGCATACAGCTCAAGTCTAGCCGACTACGCTGCGGATAGTGGGCCAGGCGAGTGCAAAGTGGCGAGTCAGTGCCTCGGAGGAGTGCGTTGAGTTTGTGCTAGTCGGAGATATTTGGTGGGGGAAGAGGAGGTGAAAGAAATGCGAAAGGATGGAATTATCCGTATGGCTAACCCAGATGGAGCTAGACGGCGAATGCCACATGGCAGAGCCACCACTAGATGGCTTGGCTGGCTGTTAGTAAAATGTCGCCAAGTAGTAACTCTTTTGGGTGCTGTAAGCGAGAGTAATGCAGGACGGAGATAATAATCACATAATACGTGGTGGTATGCCGAGCCTGTCCGTCGGTCATTACTGAAATTGTCGGATGTGACCATATCACAACCGCCGTCTCAACTGACTCATGGCACATGTACGTGTAGCCATGCATACAACCATCAGCGACGAATAATAATATCATATCATGTTACAGACAAATAACTTCAGCGGGAACCTTGACAGGCTAGTCTGATTTGCTGGGGCCGGCGCTTACATTCATACATGCACCATACCTACAAAGTCCAACTTACCCTGTATGATACCTGATTAATACACAGGTGTACAAGCCCTAGGCCAGCACTCGGAAGCCAGCCCGGCTGTGGAGGTGAAGTACTAATGGCCTGCTAAACTAATGATCTGTTGTTGGCCAGTGGCAACTCGGATACCTGCGGCTGAGCTGATCTAGCATTGCATGACGATTAAAAGTTGACCATTTTTCTGCTTGGTCGTCAATGTAGAAGACAACAATATCGAAAATTATTGTTTCACTACTATACCGACATACAAGCGATTAGTGCTAATTAACTCTTTGCACCAACGCTGCCAACATGGCTGATGGTTGACTGTAGACAATTCTTGTTGTTGGTATACATGATTATTAATTGAGAGCTTTCCGAGTCAGAACAACAGCGGAATGGTCCGCCCCGGCGAATTCAGCTTACTCGATAGAGCCATGAGAGCGATCCGGTGAAGACGCTACCGGGAAAGCCCGGCTTTCAAGCTCGATCCCTCAGACCGAGCTCAGGGCAATAACACACAGGCTTCCAAGGTCGTATTGGCTCGTGGACAGTGGAGCTTCAGGAGAGCTTCTTTTCAATCTAGAAACAAACCGGTACGTACAGTAACTCTCCTGTGGTGCTATTAATCGCAACGTTGCGAGCTAACAGAATAGCGCAACGTGGCAAAGCACCAAGAGCTGAATGTCTACGAAGTGGACTGCTTCTACTATTCAAATAACTTAAGTTGCTAATGGTGGATTTGAAATAGCGCAATAATACAGTTCAGTCTCATTCGAACAGCCCACATTGAAGCTATGAAAAGCTATCTATGATTTTGCTTTGATAAGGATTGATAGTGGAAATGCCCATATTTAATTCCTCGATATCGAAAATACCCTGTTAGGTAAAAATAATGACTGCTACTGACGAGAAAATATGTTGGATAGCTTATCCTTCGGGGTAACCTCGGCGGCGAGAGCTGAAATCAACGAGGCTGTGTTTATCTCTATTTCAAGCCATTTTGTTTATAAAGGGATAGCTTAGCATATATTGCTTTTACTGCTATATTATCAACTGGTATTATCCAACATCAATGAATTTAGAACTAGTCCATCGGAAGTCCCCGACGCCGTGCCATTTCCACATGGCCATCCTTCATCTATCCACCCAACTACGGAGCGGATACGAGTGGAGTGTTTAAGTTATTGTTACTTTCGATCTCATAATATACCTAATAAAGGCTAGCTTCGTGGGAATAGTGAGGTTGGCACCAGAGATATGCTTGAGGAAGTTGTGATGACTTAGCTAGTTTGGTGCGCATTGAATTGAGTTATTGAATTCTTGATTCAATAGTGAGGGATCATATGAGAAGGATGTGTCTACGAACTGGGAAGGTGATTAAGAGTTCGGGCTCCACTGGATAGCTTGCTGTACGGTCATGAATAATGAGAGGGAAATAACAGAAGTGAGGATAGTATCAAATAGGAAACATGACAAGGTCTAAGAGTTCAAATGATATATATCAACCAGAAAAGTGTTATGAGTTCCAAGGATATCAATTGTGAGGTAATTCGTGCAAGGGTTCAACCGTAACATACTTACAGTATGCACATGTACCATATTCATCAACTATGTCATGTGAATTATACTCCACGTACTTTTCGAGACTTAACGTTCATATTTTCGAATCTAGTATTATATCTATGCTCTAAACACCATCCTATGCAATCGCCACCATAAGGGACTAGGGTATAATAAAAACCTGCATATCTAAGATTCCAACGCCTCGCAATGATTAATATGAATGATACTTCGAAATACCTTTTAATGAAATGCAAAATCAGGTGCCGCCAAGCTTGATAGGACTGGAATATCGTCCGCATCAGGAACCTGAACCGTAGCTGGAGATTCGCTGCGCGTCATTGGCAAAGGGGTCCCCCTGGAATTGGCTCTCTGTCGCATTGCCGTCTGACGCAAGCTCATTGCGCTGCTACCACGACCACGGCCGGACATGCGACGACCAGAGAGCCGCTGGCTTTCCACCCATGGAGAAAAGTCCTGGCTGCTCCAGCTAGACACATGTGGACGTGCACCGAAGGGGAGATTGGAGTAGCTGCCGCTTGATCGAACAGAATCAGAGCCCTGTTGTGAGACTGATCTGCTTGGGCCTGACTTTTGTTCTTCGTTGCCATCTTCATCCTCCTCCGGTACTGGCAACATTTCCAAGTTTGGGAATGGAGCGGTGCGATCATCTTCGTCCTCGATTTTCAGCTGTCGTTGAACTGAGCGAACTTCGAATGAGACTTCTACCGGTCCGTCCTCTACGACTGCTCGACGTGATCGTGAAGGAGGGAGGTCCAGACCAGCTTTTTCAACATGTGCTAAATATTTTGACCGCAATCCACGTAGTGATTTGGGTTTGAATTCTTCCTCCACCTTATCTCTCGATATCGACATATAAGTGCTAATTGCTCCAACACATATTGCCATGAGTAAAAAGACAGTTAGGATTCCTTGGATCACAATAATAACGATTCCGATCGCTGCGGTGGTCATTCGATCGATGTTGAAAGACGAGTCAAATGCTGATGATAAAGCCACCGTAGAGACCTTACTGAAGCCTAACAAATAAATAGTCAAAGTATTCAACCGGGCCGCCTCAAATGGCTTCATCCATATCATAGTAACGAGAGCAATGAACTCCACGGCCAGAATTCCAAATACTTGCGTCATTGGGTGACCGGCCGCGCCGCCAAAAAAGCAGGCACGGACAAACTCATACACCAACCATACGGCGAAGAAATACCAGCGCGTCCTCCTAAATCGGCCCGATAGCCAGCCGAATTTCCTCACGAATAGTTCAGTTTCATGAACTGAGCTTTCCGACTCCCCGTTTGTCACCGTCCACCACGGCACACTCAATACATTTTTAGAAGCCTTCTTTTCCTCGCTTAACCGACTCGCGCGGTATACTGCCAAGTACGGCAAAACACCTATCTTTTCTTGTTTGACAAGCAACTTGTCTGCTGTGACCTGTCCCGCTGTAAACCGGTCCCAAACTGCAAAGCCAGCGGCACCTCCTAGCAGCAAGATAATTAGGGCTAGGACAACACCAGCAATAGCTTTGACTCCGGTGGACCCTCCAAGCGTGAATTGAAACAATGCTAGAAAGCTGAGCACATAGAAGCCGACGAAACATCCTCTCAGAGTTAGTGAGATTGTATATGCCAACCAATGTGTGCGGAAATGTTGCCATTTATCTTCACCTATTTTGTTGTATTTTGCAAACCCATCGACTACCAACTTCAAAACCACACTTGCAAGGCACAGGCCACTAACCAAGACCAACCACCAAATAAGGCCAGTCAGAAATGCATTTGAGGCAGGAATGGTCTCCTCAGCAAGCGTCCCAGCAAAACCAGAGTAGTTCCCCGGTATCGGCAGACCAGGTTTCACAGGTCCACCATGCCATGGACTTGGGTAGAAAGAACCACCATCATTAGCACGGGGAAATATTGCTTGACTCCGTTTGTAAATCTGCGAAATATCAATTCCGCCAGCTAAATTGGCATTATCGACTCCAGCGGAAGCAGCCCCAACCATACTAATGTTGCCTCTATTACTTCCCAAAAATTGATTTATTGAGTCTTGCATCTTGACTGAATAGATCATCCCGGCAGCCCAAGCATAATTTGCCCAAAAGGCAACCAAAACACTGGGCCAGTTCATTGACAGCGCCCCCGTGAAGAAAATATGGTGGAATATGGCGAAAGCAACAAGCACGGATGGCGAATGTGCATAGTGGTTGCGATTTGACGAGGTACTCGGACCGTACACAGCGGCTGCTAGAGAGGATACCACAGCAACTATTGTGAAGATTCCCAGTATGCTAGAAACTGCTGCGGGTTGAGCGAAAGAATATCCATTAGTCAATACTGCTGCAAAGCAACCGATTTGCGACTGGGTGGCATTGGACAGGATACGGAATACCACCTGTCCTTCAAAGTCCGGAATCGAATAGGCGATCGATGGTATTGACGCAACGTATGATTCGCCGATAGGAATTGCGCCAGCAGCCACGGCCGTAGTGCCTGCGTTGAGAGGACACAACCTATAAAGTTCAGTTCTTGTAAGTCTAGATCATAGAAGTGTGGAACTTACCCTTGGAAATTGTTGTTGCAAGGGTTGAGGGTTAGCTCGAATCTTGTTTCGCCGTAGGCATACACGCCAATATATACTGTCCTCGTCAGCTTCTGGGGCCATGTTTACGGTGTGCACATACCCATGATATCATCATTGACAAGGGACGTTTGCGCTACCAAATTGAATGTCACGGTCATATTATCAGCATAATATGCGCCCTGAAGCTGTGTTACATTAAGTAGGGAATCGCCTTGGCAATCCCCAAAATCCAACGTCCACAGCGTTGGTTTGCGCTGGTCATCCAGGCATATCCGTTGCCCTGAGCTATCCTCGCCTTCAATGCAAGTTCCTGCTGCAATGACAGCAGTCCATAACCAGCAAAGAAGTATCAGGGCCAATGAAAGCGATGAGCTAAACCAGATGCGAGCCATAACTACCAGAAATGCTGCAAAATTATAGCTCAATTCGAAACTGTGTATGTCCTTCAATCACCTAGGAAACCGAAGGCGGTGATACGCCTCGAATTACGGCAATCGAGACTATTGAAATGGTCTGCGAGAAGTGTCCATGGTAAATACCGTACGAAATAATGGCATCGATTTTATCTTCTGTTTGTCAAACGAGGGAGGGTCCCAAGATGTCTCCACGTGCAAGCAACAAATGACCAGCCACGTGCAATGCGCAAAGATGTACTATTATTGGTGCCAACAATCAAATTCGGCAACAGCCATATGCAGTCGAGGAACGAGGGTTTTTCGGTCTGCAGGGCGTTCAGGGAGTCGATGTACTATTATTACCATTATTTTCGATGTCCAAAAAGGAGTCAACAAAGGACAGAAATAATAGAAACTGGTTGGCAAAGGATAATGTCTTGTCTTGCGTCTTGGCCTAAACAAAGACGGCAGGCGCCCACCAGTCACCGCAGGCGCAGGGGCCTTAGGCACCGGCTACTTGCTTAGTGCCAGTATCTACTGTAGATAGTTATTAACTTAGATCGTTGACAAATCACTACTCCAGTCCCAAGTAACTTACATACCACTGCGATTCACTGCCCAATATTCATTCCATCTTCTGGCAAATGCCGATCAGGTGGCAGCTGTGGCCTGACCGACTAATTCGCCGTGCAATCGTATTACTCGTCTCATGCACAGTGACCGCAACCGACGCCATAATATTAATTGGTGAATTGGCGTGCCCGCCGCAAATTATGCCAAACGCTGCTAAATTCCCAGTTTTGATCGAGCCAGGAACTAGCCTGACCAACCACAAGCCGGCGATGCACCGACCAGTTCACTCAGTGTCCCACGCTAAAGCAAGCCCGATGATGCTGGGTAATGCTGCAGGACTGGGCAGCCCAAAGAGCGATATCGTGGGGAAGCCAGGCAATCCCCGTCCTACCACGGAAGCTCAATCTACATTATTCTACTCCGTGCAACTTACGTATACTTCAAAGTAGACCGCCCGGAAATCCAAATGGAATTGTGGACGAATCGTCTCGGAATCAGGCGGCTCGGCGCGCCAATGGAGAAAACACGGACCAACCAAACTACCCAGGAGTAAGTATTCCCGTGGTAGGAAGCCCTGAACTAGTCGTCAGCTAACAGAGTGACAGCAAATCTGCGAGTCTTGAAACGGTAGGCTTAACTACTCTGGGCTAAGCTAGCCATGATTAACCTGCTAAACCCCTTTACAATATTGTGCCTGAGGCATCAGATCGGCCTTGTCACATGACCTCATAATGTGTGTAGCCCAAGGGCTCAATAACATGGACCCTGTCTCTACAATTGTATGGACTATGTCGGGCTCACCAAGCGTCAAATATGACATTCAGGCCCGCTTTTTGGTGCGTTTAGTAATTACTCGCATTCAATGTCAATTGTAACAACACGGCTGCGGTGGGCTTGAGATCTATCCATCAATTTAACAGCGAATATGATCCCTTCTCTTTGATGGATCGACGCCTCTGAAAACGAGGTTGTCGAGATAGGATTTACAGCGCAGCGGAATAGAGATATGCATTCTGTAATGATATCATGTCACGGTGTTGGCTCCTCTGCCGATTACCCGAACGGCCCCTAATGGATCAACGACTCGGGCAAAACAGGTCGGCAGATCGTCAACTGCTTACGATCTCATTTTCCGGATCATCAAGCTGACACCAAGACACCTCGCCGCAACCTACACTCTATTTCTTTTCCATCCCCCATCCTTTATATCCCGCGCAATCATCTCCGTCGCAATGGCTGTCTCTCCCGCTGTTTTGGCCGAGGCCATCACCGAAAAAAAGCCTGAGGGCCTTGCTCTCTACTCGCGATTCGCTTTTGCTGGTGCTGTCTGCTGTTCCGTCACTCACAGCGCCTTCACTCCAGTCGATGTGTATGTTGTCCATCAGTTTCGGCTTCAGCCCCACTCTCGAGTGTTCGTGGCTTATTGAGGCTCCCACAGCGTCAAAACTAGGATACAGCTCGACCCTGTCACTTACAACCGTGGTATGATTGGCGGCTTCCGGCAAGTCATCCAAAAAGAGGGTGCCGGCGCTCTCTTGACTGGTTTCGGTCCAACTTTTACGGGCTATTTCATGCAGGGTGCCTTCAAATTCGGCGGCTATGAGTTTTTTAAACAGCAATCTATCAATGTTATTGGGCTCGAAAAGGCCCGCCAAAACCGTGCGGCCGTTTACTCTGTCTCTGCCGCCTGCGCTGAGTTCTTCGCCTCTATTGCTCTCTGCCCTCTCGAAGCTACTCGTATCCGCCTCGTCTCTGACCCTAGCTTCGCCAAGGGTCTGATCGGTGGTTTCGGAAAGATTCTTAAGAATGAAGGAATTGGGGCTTTCTATAGCGGTTTCGGGCCTATCCTCTTCAAGCAGTAGGCCAATCTCGATAACAAGCTCAATGAGAGAAGAAAGAAACAAAACTGACATATGTATACAGGGTTCCCTACACGGTGACCAAATTTGTCGCGTTCGAAAAAGTTGCCGAGGTTATCTTTGCCCGCCTTGACAAGTCCAAGCTGTCAAATGGTGCCCAGACCGGTGTTAACTTGGGATCTGGTCTGATTGCCGGTTTTGCTGCGGCCATTGTTTCTCAGCCTGCGGATACTATGCTATCCAAGATCAACAAGACCAAGGGTCTGCCCGGTGAGAGCACACTCTCGCGCCTCGTCAAGATTGCTGGCGAGCTTGGTCTCCGCGGTTCCTTCGCTGGTCTTCCTACTCGTCTATTCATGATTGGTGGTCTGACTGCTGGCCAATTCGCTATCTATGGTGACATCAAGAAGGCTCTTGGTAAGCCCGCTTGCTTCTTTGCTTCTTTTGGATAAGGCTGATTTATTCCATTAGGTGCCACTAATGGGGTTGAGATTTCCAAGTAAAGAATTCGTGTTAAGAATCCTAATATTTTACATTTTTTAGACAGGAGAAGGCAGCAAAATGTTTTGATATATATATATAGACATAGATCTATGAGCCTCTTCAAGTTACTGTATAGTCGCATTGGGTTGACACAAACAGGTATATATTCTCATAGATTTTCAAGCCAATACACGTGGAGGAATATATTCTGACTCCTATCACATTATGGAGAAAAAGGCGCACGGTGAGCACACCTAGGAGGTGAAGATCATCTTTGCGTATAGATCATTGAAGGTAAAACACACTCTATGTAGAATTAGTCAATTATAAGAGCAAGCTCCCTAATCTGTGCGAGAAGACACTAGAATAACGCTTCCCTAGATATTATTGAGTCTCTTCTCCTGTTTTGAAAACGTATTTCTATAAATAGATTTGTATTTTAAGTTGACGGGCTTTCTATTAAAAGGAATTCTATTGTCTGGAAAAGAAAGGGGTAAACTTTTCATCTTGGTTGACGACTTTATGTGGAATATAGAGTTGGAATTAGGACTTTTTGGCCATATGATTGGTAAAGTATTCTCAAAATCTTGCCTGGGATGCCAAAAGATACAGTTTTAAAAAGCTCGGACATACATTTGCTGAAATCCATTACTCTCTAGGGCTCACTCTCCGTTGCCATCCGAATGGTTCGAAAAGCTGTTTCTTCGTTTCCAGCCAAAGCTCCGCATCAACAAAGGAAGTGCTTTGGGACACAGAATTGGCTCCCAAATTATCAGAACGTTATCAGATTACTTGGTATTTTACACGTAACTATGATCATTATCCCGATTTTCAAGCCTCTTCAGTCTTCATATAAAACACAACAAAACACCAACCCACCCTAGTGAATCATTAGAAAAACTTAACCCTAAACCATAAGTCCTAAAATAACCTACTACCAGTTGGTCTTGAAGGTTAAGATCAAAATTTGCTCTATTTAGTTTATAAAAATCAAGTTTCAAGACATCTGCTATATAAAGCAACTCCAGACGCTCACTTCGTCTCATAAATAGCCCTAGTCCTCGGAAATCTACCCAGTCTAATAAACCCAAACAGCAAGGACTTTAACCAATATACGATATACAATATATTCTCGATGGGATGATTTCAGATACGTGTATTCATATTTCTATCTTGTTGTATGCGTAATAATATAGCATTCTCTCAAAGGTTTTGCCAAATATTCAATATGCGGATGCTCGAAAAACAATACTTATATACATTACCACAATATAATCATTTGTAAATGCGAATTGCACCTAATTCCACGCAACTATGCATCCAAGTCTAGTCGTTCTAATAAGCGGTCGAGCTTGTCGAGCAATATGCGGTAATTCATTGCATCCTTATCAAACTCGTCTTCGACGACAGCGCCATCTAATGTCCTGATGACGGTCCCCTGATCAACCAATACCATATTGTCTTGCTGTGTGACTGGTTTGCTAGTATCCTCATTCTTTGCTTCTGAATCTTTGCCTGATATATCCAGCTCTGCAACACCGTCTGCAATAGCCTGTTCGCCATTAGTTTGCGTGTCAGGATACCAGTTCTGAGGAGCGTTTTCTTCAATCATTTCCGCAAGACCAGCATCGTCGAATCGCAAACGGAAACGTTCGCTAAGATAGAACCGGATATCGTCCAGCAATTCAATAGAGTCCGTTTCCTGTCTCTTCTGGATGCGACCCGCAGACTCTTGAATTAGTTCCGCAAACTCTTCGGTGTCGATATGCTCTTCCAGCCGATAAGCAAAATATCGTGCGGCAAATTCTTCTAACCGCTGCACCCGAGTAAGCCAGGCGGCACGTAAAATTTCATATATATCAATATCTTCATCTTCCACTACGCCATTAGCTTCTGATTTCTGGCCCTTTGCTTTCTTGGGCCAGGTCTTGGATGCCTGCGCTTGAGACATATTAGCGCTACCCAAACTGCTAATAACCACCGCGGCTTTAGTCTTGAGTTTCTCAATAAATAATTGATCGGCAGTAAACAAGACGTCTACCGCCACATTTAGCGGGAAATCTGCCTTTTCAGTGTAAAAATATCGCAGTATAATTTCAAGCACTTCTGGTGAGCAGTCGACACTTATTATATTGAGATGCTCCGTCATTTGGGCTTCCTTGAATGTTGATGAGAACATGGCGTTGAAGAACTCGGAACGCAAGAGCATTGCTCGATGAACAGGGTACAGTATTGATGTTTGATCACGAGAAGCCTCCGCTGCGTCTACACCAGGACCTATAGGGATTGAGCTTGCTCGGTTATCATCCTGGGCATCGGCATCCAATTCACCAACTTCTGGGATTTCATCCGCTTGGAGTAAGACGTCTGCAAAGATAGCATTCTGGCGATCCCATTTCACATCTTTAGCCTTGCTTGTCTCAACGGTAATCTTATGCCCGAGAACGTTTGTCTCGAACCAAGTTTCCAATTGGTCCCGGCCGCGAGATATTTCATCTGCCCTCCTCTGTCTAGCCAGTCTTCTGTCTCCACTATCTAGGATGCTATCCAGAAGTCTGGGGATTTCAAGATATCTTCCAATTTTGTCTATACCAGCAGCAACTTCGGACTCAGTAAATCCAGTGCCAGGGCCACTCCGTAGTTCCCTCGGAGAGTCGCCGAGATAGAGATATCTTATAGCTGCACCAAAAGCTGCAGGCGGCACTGTACTAGGTAATTTCCAAGAAGTTGCTTCTGGTGACACCGCAAGTTTCTTTTGGAAATAAGGCGAACGTGCCGCGAGAATGAATTTGTGGAGGAAAAGCGATTCATCGCCGTCTGATACGACGATATCCCATGTTTGCGGATGTTCTCGCACCAAGAGTGATGACATATGTGCAGCAAGCGGTTGGAGAGGATCCGTGGACTTGGAGTAGTCGTACTTGAGTAGAAGATTACGTATACGGTCATTAAGGGCATTATACAAACATCTAGAGTGTGTCAGTATGGAAACCTTGACAGTTCGACACCATTAGAGAGGAAGGATCCTACCTTTCCCCTTGAAATGTATCTCTTTCGCACAAAGCACCAGACTCTAGTAGAAGCTCTACTACTTCAAAATGCCCACACAGACTCGCCTACAATGCCCATTAGTCATCAATCAATAGGTATTCCAAACGAGAATGGCATCAATAGCGTCTAACCAAAATCAGCGGCGTGTAGTCATAACTATCTCGCGCATTGATATTGACACCCTCCGAGATCTTCTCCTGGCACACTTTCAGATCGCCTTTCCGACAGGCATCACAGAGTTGACGGAACCCCTCACTGAAGTCTAAAGGATTGTCGTCCTTGAGCGCACCCTCGCTGATCAACTTCTTCTCATTGTGTAGTCGTGTTTCAAGCTGATCTTTACGAAGCACCTCCGAATCTGTCATGTCGAAAAAGCGAGCAAAAAACTGCTTCTCGAAGGAAAGATAATAATCGGCAGCGCGGGGTTTCCGGAATTAATATTTAATGATCCACGGGAGGCTTGCGAGCTTATCGATAAGGCGGATCACGGGATATTTTACGAATTACTAATTACAATGGTATACGCCCTGGGATCATGATTTTCAAAGATTATTTTTGGCTCTTACGGAAGTTTTCTCGAGGATTATACCATGAGCAATATAAAATCAATTAAAATATAATCAGGCAAGTGTAAAGCCCATAGCGAACAGAGACTGCCAAGCCCCCAGCCCACTCCGGAATAGCGCTGCAGGAACCAACCTAAAGCTCACCGCCTTCGGAATGCAGGACAGGCGTTGCTCAGCAACAAAGGACCCTCAAAACATTTCGAGCTGTATAGTGCATCTGGCGATCTGAAGGTTCTCCATGCGACCCGATTCACGACCCCATTTTAACTCTTGTTTTCTCCCACTCGACAGTGAGAGAGTACCTCACATATACTAACAACCCCCAGCCCATCGAATAATAACAACATCTTCATGATCTTATAGTACAGTAGTGCTCTGTACTAGCAGCATTGTCTAGGACACCGGTTCCGTTATATATCCTTCCACAGGCCCAACGGACACAATGGCAGGCATTGCCTTGGCAGAAGCAGACAAGTATGAGGTACTGGAGAAGATTGGTACGCTCAATGCTCAATGCAATCCGCAATGTGCCCTCCTCAACTGGAGACTGACAAAAAGGCAGGGGCTGGTTCATTTGGAATCATCCGAAAAGTCAAGCGCAAAACAGATGGCTTCGTAAGTCTTTAGCTTTGATTGCTTGTTCGAGTCGGGCTAATAGCACCTGTCTTTAGATTCTCTGCCGGAAAGAAATAAATTACATCAAGATGTCACAGAAAGAACGGGAACAACTGACAGCTGAGTTCAACATCCTGAGCTCTCTCCGGCACCCCAACATCGTCGCGTACTATCACCGAGAGCATCTTAAGGTCTCGCAAGACTTGTATCTCTATATGGAATACTGCGGAGGCGGGGATCTTGGTATGGTGATCAAAAACCTGAAAAACAGCAACAAATACGCCGAAGAGGAGTTCGTCTGGCGGATTCTGACTCAACTGGCTACTGCTCTGTATCGTTGCCATTACGGAGTCGACGCACCACCAATTGGATCAAGTGTGCTGGGTGCAACGGCACCTAAGCAGGGATTGAAAGGGAAACAAGCTCAGGTGATGATCTTGCACCGTGATCTGAAACCAGAAAATAGTGAGTCTATTAATAGGATAGTGTTTTGTACGCATATCACTAATGCACCTCCGCAGTTTTCCTGGGTAGTGACAACAGCGTGAAACTTGGTGACTTTGGTCTATCGAAGCTCATGCAATCTCATGACTTCGCGTCCACCTACGTCGGTACACCCTTCTACATGTCGCCTGAGATTTGTGCCGCCGAGAAATATACACTACACTCCGACATTTGGGCGCTTGGGTGTATCATGTATGAGCTGTGCGAAAAATCACCACCTTTTAATGCCAAGACGCACATTCAACTTGTTCAAAAGATACGCGACGGCAAGTTCTCTCCGCTCCCGGATTTCTATTCACCCGAGTTGAAGAGTGTGATTGCAAGCTGTCTTCGTGTAAACCCAGACCAACGACCCGACACTGCAGCGCTGCTTAACCTTCCCATTGTCCGTCTGATGCGAAAGGAAAGAGAAGTTATAGATCTAAACAACAAGGCAAAGAGACGAGAAGAGACAGCTTTGCAAAAAATGAAGGAAGTAGAGGCCAAGCTTGCAAACTATGAAAAAGACAGAGCTTCGACAAGGGAAGAAATAGAAGCCAGTGTTCGTCGTGAATGGGAAGTGAAAGCACGGTTAGAAATTGAACGCCAGGTACAGCTGAGATATGAGGAATTATCCAGACAATTCGAAACAGAAGTGCGAGCCCGTGTGGCTTCTGAACTAGAAAGGCAATCCCCCAAAGCCAAATTACCAGAAGTGCTACCACCAGCTCCAGAGCGAGCAGTATCAACATCATCAGTTAGTTGCAGCGAGGATTCGGATTTTCCATCAACAACAGATATCAGTGACTTATCGGCTGAATCGCCTCGTTCAAGCCGGAATAAGCCCGTACGAAAAGAAACGAGGACACCTTTCAGTCGCGCAAAGACTACCGTGGAATCTCCCGTTGACGTGCAGATGGGTGAACCCTCTCCTATCACTATTGCCTCTCTCTCTCTTTCTCCACGACGTACTGCTCCCGTGTCCAAGAACCTCTTCTCTGAAAATTCGCAGCAAAAGGCCCGGTGGGAGCAATCCTTTGTGACCTCGGATGATGAGGAAGATATACCAGACCTCCCATCCCCTACTCGTCCTAGGGTAAAGCCTGATCCGTTAAAGGCCGCTAGACGCCCTTTACTCCGCCACCAAACAGCTACTATGGTGCAGAAGATGAGCCACCAGCCTTCCATATTTCCTGCCGGCGCTTCGAGGCTACCACCACCTCCAGCGAGCACGGCCCCTTCGCAGTCTGAGACACGCCAAGTCGCTGCAGAAATAAGATCCAAGTCTCCCAATCGACGACTATCAAAGATTCCATCCACATCAAATCTCATCGGAGACGCAGGTTCGCCCACACGCAAAGGCTCTGCCAGACCGCTTAGTTCCAAGTCCGGTTCCGGTAGCGAGGATATGTACAAAGCCGTAATGCAACGCAACATGGGCGGCCGCACTCTAGTCGAACTTGCTCAAGCGAGAGCCGGCGGCCGTGCTTTCGAAGATGCCAAACGAGTGTCAAGTGACTCCCGTGTCTACACATCAACATCATCTTGTGGGACTTTCAGTGAATCGCCAGCTACATGGGATCCTGCTACCGAAGAAATGCCCAGTCCGTTCATTTCTCGACGAATAGTGCGCAGCTTGCGATGATTTATATCCCAAAAGAGATACTCATTCAATCCTTTCTGAATCACAGTATATCACATGACGAGTGTAAATGTGGAACGTCATCCTCAATTTTCTTTTCTTTTTCTTCTTCTTCTCAGGGTCTTTTGGTTCACACTGGCGTTATCGTTGGGTAGTGTCGGTCGCATTTTCAGGCGTATGACGGGTTGGAGTACATGTGCGCTTGTTTGTCGGAGTCTTTTTATAAAGTATTTCATCGCCTCAATGTTCCATTGATGGCTCAAATTCAATCCTCTTTCGTATACGCTCGGGTCTTTTGACGAAGATAGCTGTTTATATTATCCTTTCCTTTCTATTCCTCTTTTCTTTTCTTTGTACTGTACATGTCCTGAGGCGGCGATGCTTAATGATAGCATCCTGTCGACGATATATCAATTTCCAGCTTCTAGAAGAGGCATACTATGAGCCATTAGTGCTAATGTCATTGTCACTTCGTTCATCATTTCACAAACTGAACTACGCATCCTTCCAGATGTTGTCTAGACTGTTTCTGTATCGCATTGTTTTGTATTCTCATTTGAAAACCGCCACCGGGTCGGCGAATCGTCTATCCGCAATACGAGATGTCACATGCAGCTGCAACTACATTCCTGGCTGGAGACGTAGTAGTATTAATATTCGCATATACAATTGGGTATATTCTGCCATGCAATGCAAATTATCATTATCTGAAGAGACATAAAGGCAAGGACAAAGAAAGATAGTGTGTTAGAGAGACTGTAATCAACGATTATCAGTATCTGCATACTACATGTAATTCAACCTGGTATGTGACTTCAGCTGCTCAAACGTAGGTTAGTTGGATCTCAACAATCCCTACACTCAAAGATAGTTTGCTTATATCAAATTTCCTATTGCTTTTTTTCGTTCTCATGTTCATGAAACCTGGAAACTACTTGCTAATTGAGAACAGCAGCAAGAAAGACGAGTACTAGATATTGCATATACACTCACCATGGTAAGTTCTCTTTTTTGCGTTGAGTATGGTTCGCTTTTTGTCTGAGCCAGTCAAATCGCCATTCCGATTATATCACCAAACGCAGGCTTTGATTCTGAAGCGCATCAAATGATTAACCCTAATGCCTTGTAGTCCGGTGCCAGTCCCTCAACACTACCACCAACCCAACCGCTCTCCATCCGGCTAATGTACACATCTGCTCTGGTCATCCAAACCGGCGACGCATTCGTTTTCTTCACTCTTTCTCCGGTCTTCTTTCCAGAAGCAGCCCGCGCTGACCTAGCAATCTCGCCAGCTGGCCGCTTTTTCACGCGCTGTACGGGGACTGTTCTTTTTCCGTTTGTGCTTCTTGGATATTTACTTCGGCATCATCATATCAGGCGCACAGAAGTGGGACGCGCTTTGGGTGCTTGTTTCACACTTTATCATGCAGGTTGTCTGGCGATGTATTCCTGGAGTCGGTTGGTGGAAGGTGAATATGGGTTGGAATGGGCCTTTGCTCCCGTCGTAGGGGTGCATACTGCGTGGGCTGTTTGGGGGTTGTATGGTTTGTTGGCCGCTTGATGGGGAAAACGCAGTCTGACGTGTCCGTATTTTGTATCTGGACACCTTGGTATTGATACTTGATAGGATCTGAATCTTCACTCTTCATAACATTTGTCTCGGTCTTATTGTACTTATGATCGCCTAGCCCGCAATCAGTAGCTAGCACTAAAGATCTTCGTCAGGAACCTCTTCGATCTCCACATTGTGTTGTGGTGGTCTTCGAGTTTCCGCTTCAATTTGTTTTAACACCTCGTCTACGTCTTGTTCGGCTTCTTCTGAAGCTTGTCCGAGGGCATTAGAGGATTGCAAGTAGCCTGCCTTTTCTAGGCGATCCATTTCTTCTGGTTCAACAAGTTTCCCTCGACCCTTAACAGCGTCCTGTTGCCTTCGAACAGCTGCTGGCACAAACTTGCTAACAGCCTCTTGCCTCAGATCCCTAATCACTGGGGCAGATTCATAAACGGTCTTGGGTTGATGTACAGCCTCTGGTTTGCTAGGCAAAGGATGTGCTTGCCGTTGACCGGATTCGCCTTCATCATCCCGTCTGCGATGTCGGCGGGGTATCGGAGGCGGAGTATCTCGAGGCATCGGGATATTGCGAACACTTTCATCTGTGTCGCTGCTCTCGCTTTCCTCTTTCCATCGTTGCTCGTCTCTCCTCCTTTTGCCTAGCACAGCATTGTCTCGATTTTGATATTGTGGTTGTCGCCCAAAATGAGGTGCTTTGTCGCCGAGGGCCTCTCGTGCTTTGTGTACCGCGCGGAGATCGCGTTCTAATTCTTCCAGAACCTGTTTGTCTCGCGGGCGTAGTGACTGGCCGGATTCCTCGACCGCCTTGAGATCATTGATCTGTCGCTGAATCCGCTCTGGGTTGCGGCGCGCGAGCTTCTCATTGCGGCGTGCTGCCGCCTCCGCCTTCCCTTTTTTCAGCGCCTTCTGCTTCTCCAACTTCCGCTGCGCCTGTGCGGGGTTCACATTTCGCTCCTTATCCTTGGCCATACCTGACGAGTCGATGCCAACGAGTAAGTTTGGCTATAAGAGACGGTTTCGTTGGGATTCGTTGGGTGGTTGGAATGTTAGGCGTCGGTGTCTGAATCGACTCAGCTTGTTGGTTAGTTTTTTTCGTTCCGGTCGATTCGGTTTCTTGCCCGCAACGAATGATGCAAGCACGGAACGTAATCCGTCGTAATAATGCGCACTCTCAAGCTCTTGCAGCGGTCTAGAGCAGTGGTGGGTAAAAGCGGCAAATCTCACAGGTTCTGTGGTTGAAGGTGCATAAGACGAGAAGCTCTCTGATCCAGTCGCGAGCTAGCACCTGGGGACCACACCGACCCAATCCAAACCAAACGGTCCGCAGTATCCTAGCCTCACACTTTGGGCATCGGTAGACAGATGGATCTAAATAATGGCAAGAACTGGTACGGAAGAGTCAGACTTGGGCAATCTTTGGGCGCCCAAAAGAAAATCATGACGGAAGACGATGGAGGCAGTCGATTCGCAGCGAGAGAGAGGGAAGTCGCGGCCCGCCCATGCTCCGGTGGTGCCTCGCTGCCTGGGGCCCCCATCTACAGTCGAGTGACAAGGGTTTGAATACAGCACCACAGATGTGGATTAGGTATAGGAGCCCTCCCCAGATCAATATTAATAATATTTCAACTTTTTGCATTATCTACGGACGGTCCCCCAAGTAGCCTAAATTAATCTGACATCAATGGTGTAAATGCATATGAAAGCCAGGTAGCAATCTTAATACTGTATTCAGCTTGTGTCATATTAGTGTACCCCATCCACGGCACCGGGGTTGCACGACATGCAAGTGATGGACATGGAACGATGTCGGGCTGAACAACCTGTGTCGGGGGTGAGACGCCGGTCTGAAAATTGAGGCCAATTGGGCGTGCCATTGCTGAGCAGGAAACTACAGAGGCGTTTTGATATATACGTGGTAGAAACAGGAATGCCAATCATATCCAGATGGACGCATCAATAGCAGAGCCTCATTAAGCCAACGTCAGAAACAGGATCGTAATGCCACTTCCAAGCACCCAGTCCTGGCGACGCAAAAAGCAAGAAAGACAGAAAGACAGCGGCCTCGGCTGTGGTGTGTGCAGGCTTCAGTTGAGTCGAGTCTTCACGGGACCTGGCGAGTAGCATCAATAATGCTTTGACCGCTGCATCCCCCAACCTGCGCGCTACTCTTGCTTCATCCAGCTCTTCTCGCTCGTGTAGGAGAACTCGAGGAGCACCCCCCACACGCTAGCTCCAGACGCTCTACGCGCTTCAATTTATTGCATTGTGATTCTTATTCTTCTTCTCTCGACTCGATCATTACTACTAATAAGCAATCCTTGCCGTCGCCAGCCAAAGAGAACGAACCTTCTTCCTCCGCTCGCCCATCTCACTCCGTCTCCCGACATCCCCCTCCCTCTCAGTCCCCTCCTGTCTGCTCACATTGTGACTCTGCCTATCATCACACTACAGTGATAATCCTGTCCACCGTCACAGCCCGCGCCTTTTTGGGCGGCGCACCGTCTCTCCTCGGCAGTCTCCCCACACCATCCTCGCATCCGTCTAACGAACGAACGGCCGCCATCGCCTTAGCCTCTACGATTATTATCGCGCCGGCCATTCTCCCTCACCTCACCACCGGGTTCCCCCCTTGCGATCCCCTCTGGCAAGTCGCCTGCATTTGCGTAGCTTCCCAGGCAATATATCGCGCCTTGGCGAGAAAAAAATAAAATAAAAAAAAGAACGTGAGCGACAGGCACGGATTCACATATTATCGCCCACCGCCGTTGCTCCACTCTGGGGTCTCCTCGCCTCGTCTACACCTACACACGCCGCTGCTTCTCTGACGACTTTTGTTTCGGCCCTACCTTCAACCACATCGGCTCTTTCTCGACAAGCCATCATGAACTGCCGTCCGTCGTGTACCTCTGCTACCAGATTGATCGGCACCGTTTCCTGCTCGTCGGTGTAAGACAGAGTATGTCTCTGTCAGAACCAAATGTCCGTCGCAACCTCAATTCCCGATACCTCCCTTGGTCTCACGTCTTCCGAAATCCAGATCCTTCGCCAACAGCAGCAAATCGCGCTTCAGGGAGGAGGCCATGCTGGCAGCGTCTCCAGAGGCCGAGGCTCTGGGCGCAACAGCAGTTCTAGCTCCCGAGCTGCAAGCGCCGCCAGCAGTCAGGGTCGCCTCTTGCTAGATCCCATGAGCTTAAGAGCGCTCTCACACCAGCTTGAATATCTTCAGGATCAGATTCGTCACCGCATTGATCATGTATGTAATACTCCCCATTGGCGGAGCTCAGTCGAAACCTACGACATATAAACATGTCCGCGGCAATTCTGAACGGCCAGGAGACTGCTGCAGGATATGAGCGCTAACTTTTTTGATGTGCAACAGTTGGAAGATCAAATGCAAATGTCCATACAAAACAGTCATGACCGAGCCGGCAATGTTATTCGTAATGCGGATGCTGAAATCGCACGCACGCGTGCCATTCTCGCCTCTTTAGATGAACTAGAGAATGAACTCGCCAAGATCGGTCACATCAGAGATATCGTGAAGTCTTTCCGTGCTCGGATCGAAAGCCTTGATCACCGCCTTGACCATTCTTCTCGCCGCCGATGATTCACGTTGATCTACCCTGCTCATATCTCTACCATCTCCTACTACCCATAATCTTCTCCTAATTTTTGGGAACTGACATCACGATGATTATGTGCCCCGGCGGCCATTGATCTCAACTATGTGACGCCCAGATTGACCGCTGGGAGGTCTGTCTTAATCGCCAAACATACTCTACACCATTTACAATCTCCACCTTTATCACGACCAAGAGCTTTACTCATGAACCACACACTCATACAATAATCTAGTCCTCGCGGACACAAGTTACAACCAAGTGTGATAGACGCACACTTTTGAATATTTCGATATCCTAACTAGGTATCTGTACTTTGTATTTTCACTGTACTTTTTTTCTTACGATTAATAGTTTAGGAAGGAAAACAGCATAAAGATTGGATTTACAGCCTCGCGGCTACCTTGGATTCCCCGATGAGCTTTTTTGTTAGCATTTTTCTTTCATGTCATTCACAGCGGAATAGGAGGCGATCGGTGTGTCGGCGTTCCTATTCATTCTCTGTTCAGTTCGAGCGCCTTCGTATATTTGCGTGATTGTCTATATTTCGGCTATATACCATTCATGCTCACGGTGCTCAATTTATTGCTTTGTATTTATCCTACCCTTCACCCAGAAGAGATTTCAGGCAGTCGGCCAATGTCTGATCTTGTCTAGATATAATTTTGTAGGCCACCTCGTAGGCTTCTCTTTTGTTTCCATGTCAGTGCTTTTTGTTGCACAGGTAGGCAAGAAAATTACTTGGATTTGAATATATTTGATTGTCCTCGAGTGCTATACAGGTGTAAATTACTTGCCACCATTTGAAGTGTCTAGTAGTTGAACATTCAGTATATAAATATATATTCTAACTGTGTTCAAAGTCGAACTGTTCGTAGATTAGCCTCGTAGTCCAAGCTGTAGAGGCCTGTGACATGGTGAAGCTGTGTCGAAGACGGGTCGACGCTTCGCTGTCCACATCAATTGATATTTTCGGATAATGGGACAGCAAGAAACTTCGCCTATTGTTGTTCGGTTCACCGATATTCACAGCAAAAGCATTCAGTCGAGGTTTGGACTTAAAAAAATTCTTTGTCAATAGTGACGACCCGCCGAACCTAAGATATCGCAGTCTGATCTTTAGACTCCTTATTATCCTGCTTACGCTCCTTCAACTTCTTGCTCCGTCTGTCGCTTTGAGGGAAACGCTTCTCTGTCTCGCATCCAGAACACCGTATCACTAATACATCCGCCCAAGGCTTTTTTCGATCCTTGCTCGCATTTTGGATTTCTTCCGTGCATGTAACACCTGGGATGAGAATGAGGTCGCATCTCTTGCAAAAAGTTCTTTTTGTTTCAATCGAAAGGCGTTGCTGGGTTTTTCGAGAAACCCCACGCATGTGGCTGATATACTGCCTTGGAAGGCAATATCGAATTGTGGGGTTTGGCAGTGACGCAGTTGCAGGTTCTTGGTCACGGTTTTCTTCTTCAGGCGCTTGACATGGCGATTGTGTAGAGATGCTTGTTTTTGGCGTGGTGTTCTCGCATTCGGTTTCCTCTGTGTGGGTGCCTGGTTTGAAGTCTTGTTGCTTTGAATATATATATGTTGCGGCCTTTTGGAGATAAGTTAGGCGTGCGCGAATATGACTTTGTGCTCCTCCAGAGGTTCCTTTCTTGTTCTTTGACACTGCCATTGGTGGTAATGGATGATTATATCTCCATGTATAGCCCAAACACCTTGAAAGTCATGACAAAGCGAAGACTGTCTGCCTCTGATATCGACGAACAAGGCTGAAGCGCTGAGCAGCCAATCAGAGCCCGCCAGCCTGAGGTCGCCTCTTTCGGGCACTGCACGCCTAATGAGGCTAGGCTGGTGATGACTAACGTTCAGGCTAGACACCGCCTTCGGCCCAGGCTTTCTTCTCTCCTTCATTCAGCTCGCGCGACGTCGATTCTTCTCCCTTCCATCTTTCACGCCGTCAACTACCGCTCTACGTTCCAAGAGCACCCGAGTGTCGCTTTTATCACATCCGCGATAGTAACCGAAGCTCGACTTCCTTTTCCTTCTTCCACCATCGCACACGCTGTCTGGGTTGTTTCTACGCGCCCGCTCCATTTATCAATATGGCCACCGAAGAGGATCTCATCGATTACTCCGACGAGGAGCTCCAGACCACCGAGGCTGCTAATGTCGCTGCTGCTGCAGGCGAGGCAAATGGCTCTGCTGAGACAAAGAAAGGCGACTTGACTGTCAGCGGCGGCCGTCCTGACAAGAAGGGCAGTTACGTTGGTATTCACTCGACTGGTTTCCGCGATTTTCTTCTCAAGACTGAGTTACTGCGTGCTATTACCGATTGCGGATTCGAACATCCATCGGAGGGTTAGTCTAACTACACACTTATATTATTTCCTACCAGCCTTCTGTTATCCTATTATGCTCCGTTCGTCCATCTCTGCGGGAAGGAAATATCATTGCGACATAAGCTTCGTCAGCTGGACAACACGAGAGTTGCTGCATGAAATTTTCTTACAAGAAGTTTCCTGCTCGATTATTTTTTCCAAGAACCACATACGCTGTATTTCGCCTGCAACGTCTGGTATCTTGGTGGGCCATCATACATGCATGCATGACTTGGTGGCCGGTTTGTAAAAAGGACAGCCTCTGCCCGGCGATTATCAGGCGAAGCTATAAATCGCATCGAAGATATGACGGGCCTGGATTAGTGCTCGTATATGCGACATGAAAATGTTGCCTGCGGCAGTATCCAGTGGCAAAAAAGCAAATGTCCTGAGCACCATTATCATTGTTCTGTTTGCAAGATTTAGGTGTTAGTTCCTTGTTTTGGATACTTCCTTCGGTTCAATTTGCGACCCAAAGAGATGGGCGGACGAGCATTTTCACCTATGCGATGCGGTTCAAATTATCAATCTTTCGTTCCCAACGAGATCTAACTTTTCGCGCATCACCACAGTTCAACAAGTCTGCATTCCCCAAGGCTTGCTTCACAGTGATCTTCTCTGCCAAGCCAAATCTGGTTTGGGTAAGACCGCCGTCTTTGTCTTGACGACTCTACACTCTCTCGATCCTGTTGAGGGAGAGGTCCAGGTTCTAGTTATGTGCCACACTCGTGAGTTGGCGTATCAGATCAAGAACGAATATGCTCGTTTCAGCAAGTACCTCCCACAAGTCAAGACAGCTGTTTTCTACGGAGGCACACCGATGCAAAAAGACATCGACTTGCTCAGTAACAAGGAGACGCGCCCTAACATTGTAGTCGGAACTCCTGGTCGTCTCAACGCCCTTGTACGCGAGAAAAAACTTTCTCTTCGCAACGTCAAGGCTTTCGTTCTTGACGAATGTGACAAGATGCTTGATCAGATTGGTAGGTTGTTAGGAATGAAATGTCATTGCATTTACTGACTATTTTCAAGATATGCGTCGTGATGTACAGGAGATCTTCCGCAACACTCCGTCCGAGAAGCAGGTGATGATGTTTAGCGCCACATTGTCGCAGGAAGTCCGCCCGATTTGCAAGAAGTTTATGCGCAACCCGCTCGAAGTGTACGTTGACGATGACACTAAACTTACCCTTCACGGTCTTCAACAATATTACATCAAGCTCAGCGAGCAGGAGAAGAACCGGAAGCTCAGCGACTTACTGGACAACTTGGAATTCAACCAAGTCATTATCTTCGTCAAGAGCACACTTCGTGCTAACGAGCTAGACAAGCTGTTGCGCGAATGCAACTTCCCCAGTATTGCAGTGCACTCTGGAGTCAGCCAGGAAGAGCGGTATGTAATCCAGCATATTCCAAAGGGATCCAGCTGATGGAGTATAGTATCAAACGTTACAAGGAATTCAAGGAATTTAACAAGCGTATCTGTGTCGCCACAGATGTGTTCGGACGTGGTATCGATATTGAGCGCATCAACCTTGCGATCAACTACGATCTGCCAGGCGACGCAGATTCATATCTGCATCGTGTTGGTCGTGCTGGCCGTTTCGGTACCAAGGGTCTCTCGATTTCGTTCGTCAGCAGCGAGGACGACGAGAAAGTGCTCAAGGAGATTGAGAAGCGCTTTGAAGTGGCTCTTCCGTAAGTTATCCATCTAGCCAATGTACCTGACGATCGCTAACACTCGAATTTATCAGTGAATATCCCGAAGGTGGCGTGGATGCCAGCACTTATATGGCCTGATTGAGCTGACATCTTTATTTCGGAGGAAATTTTTCTTTGTCTTGGTTGACTATCAACAGAAAAGGTCGTGTATTCAAAAATATTTGTTCCAATGGGTTATTCATCTTCACCTCAATATGTAGTAGTCATAAATATGATATTCGAGCTATCTGCGTAAACATATCCAGAACCCCAATAGGAATAATGCCCCAGATTACATACTCCAGTAATACGATACCGCCAAAAAAAAAGCTAACCCTCTACATGTACTCCTAGTTAATCAGTCCAGCTTGGTCTAACTCAGCCTAAATTATTTCATTAGTCTCCCAGTTATTTTATCAAGCAAAAACTAATCGATAACACTAGTCCATAATATACAGTACTACGCATGTACTATATATCCCAAAACTTGGTCGGGAAATGAACAATCAATGCTACCCATCCAATTACAGCGCGATCAACAGGGATGATGAAATCATGAATGGATTGTCAATTAAGAACCTGGTAGAAAGTGATTTATTCACTAAATAATAACAATAAGAAGTACTACTTATATTAAGTATACTTATAAGTTAGGTTTATGGTAGTACTACATATGCCAACTATGCTGCAAATGTTATACGGTATGTTTCAGTGGTGAGGGCAGGGCGTTGGTTGATGTCGCCGTTGACATAAACAAGATCCACCGGGATTCGCAAAGGATGGCCACTCAGTTGAGAGATGTGGAGTTGGATCGGCTATTATCTGAATGTGTAAAGAGGTTGATAAAAAATGAATATATCAAGTTCAATGTTTCTTTGATACTCCGGATCGGTTATGTCAATTGATTTTAAACGTTGTGGTAATATTTGAAATACATGTATTGGGGGATTTCTACATGTAAACGCTCCTTATGTCTAGTATTTCTTCCTCGATGAAGGGTGAAGAAATCAGAATCTTGGGTCCATAGGACTTGAGAAGAAGGTTAAAGAGAATGATCCTATTCAAAAGATATGTCAATGTTAGTTTCAATGTTCCAGCGAATGACGTCATATAGTGTGATATATATATATATATATATTTGTTGATATTCTGAAGGTTGTTTGTCCCTCCCTTAAGGGGTATCTTAATATTTACCAACGAACAAAACTTATATGCTAGGCAATACATTCCCAACCAACAATCTGAACTCCATAATGCTGAAAGGAATAATCAGTCCTTTGGATCCCAAGTTGTAATAATGTAGACAATCAGCCATCCTTCGAATTCTGGGCCATGAAAATAAAGATATCCAATCTGCTCATTAATATGCAACAGCTATAATGACTACATTTATTACGTATTGACTTCAATACGTAAAGTCGAGAATAAATTCTCCCTAATAAGAATTAAATCTGCCAAGTTTTCTGGGTGAAATCACTGTGGATCGTGGTGGGGACGTAGGTTGGACTGGGCTTTCAGGGCAGAACGCTGGCTTCACAGTAGTGCAGCTGGGTATAGGTCGGGCCCAGCAAGTTCAATTCATTTTTGCCGTTCACCTGTCGTACGGCAGTGTACAACGAATCAGTGTGCTGTACTTTGCCACGGATAGAACGGGATCTATAATGGCAATTACAGGGGTGGCTGGTAAGTTGTAGTCCGTCCACTCAGCAACTGCAGCGGTGAAGATTTAAAACGGTTATAAATACATTATGTAGGATTGTATACCAGTCTGCGTCATACGATTCATTGAATATGGATTGGGATCATAATAAGTTATGAACAATGATCGCCGGATCAGGGTCAACGGTGTGGCTGTGTGCGAGCCCGGAGCCAGGCTAATTTGCGACCGCACACATCACGAATGGTGACGAACGTCGTGTTCGTCGCCGATCATGGAGCGATGCCTTTCGATAGGCATGATATTGCCAGTCAAGCCAATCAATTGGCTGTAGCCGGCTGATCGCTGTGGTTGTGAATGCCCGAAAACGGTCGCGTTTTGACATTTTCCACATCCACCCCCTTTCCGGGGTTATTATTTACTTTACTTTCTTCGCACGCGTTGTCGCGTTATGATGCGTTCCTCGTGGGGGCTGGAAAAAAAAATACGGTGTGTATCACAAGCCAATCAAGCCTGGCGCAGGACTGCTCTGGTATGCTATACGACGGCGGTCAATGCTTCTGCGGAATGCATGCTGCTGGCATCGACGGGTGGATTGGATTGGGATGGGATTGATCTATTGATTCGGAGATGACAAGCATTATCAGTAGACTGTAGTAGTGTGCTCGGAGCTGTGCTGTTGTTGCATGATCGCCGGTGCCAGCTTCATTGCTAGCGTCTTATTCGGCTGAGCTCTCCTTTTTCTATTGTAGATTGCAGTAGTACAGTACTCCGTAGTACAACGCCTGAAATCGTAAAGCCAGCTGCCTCGATCCGATCGCGTCTAAGCTGCTAGTGCCGTCGACCAGCGGCCCATGCCCGCTCTAGGCCCGATGTAGGGCAAGCCTTAGCTGTTGAGTTATTATTAGCTTTGTTTCTCGCAGGCATATTAATTAATTAATTACACCTGCTAAGAGTCAAGAACAAGGAATGGATACGTACGATACGACATGTAATTATCCAATAATGCTGACTTGTGGCTCATTGTCTGTCTCGGTCGGAGGCAATAACCACTGGTTGTCGTCGTGGGGTCGACTGATTATTTTAATGCGAAGATATAATTTGATTGTACTCTCTTCTGTTTTGCCTTTCAAATGGGCAAAGCGAAATCGAAACAAAACCAACTTCGCATCGATAGTCTAGGCAGCCAGACGGCGATGGAGCAGCTTGCGTACCCTGCACTGCTCTAGACTGCAGCTGCGGTTGCTGACGACTGGCGCTTTCGTGATTGTCTCGCGCAAGCATTTGCTCGCAGGCTTGTCTCACTCGGCCAAGCTTGAGCAGGCGAGGTGTGCTGATAGCCAGACCCTGGAGCGAGGGGGTATCGTGATGAAAATACAGGAGAATTGTCGAGGGTCAAGCCAGCGATAGAAGATAGAGATAATAATAGCTTTATCGCACAGTGCATATCCATGGTATCCATAATATTAATTATAATAATGCGCGCCCGTTCCGGCGGCCGCATCCAGCCTAGCCCGGCATGGACCGTTGGCAGTGGCTCCTTCCCTTGCACAGCCCAACAGCCCAGAGCCTTCCCAGAGCCAGAGCCAGAGCCATCCCAAGAGCCCCAGCCAGTCATCAATGTTTCTGTTTCTGCCTCTGCTGCGTATTTCTTTTTTTCACTTTCTAGCTAGCGTCCAGCTATCTCGTCGCCAACGGTATTCTTAACTAACTGCTTACGGGCCGCCCGCCGCCCTAACTGCCTGCTTGCTGCTTGCTGCTTGCTGCTCCTTCCATCTTCCCGTCCTCCTCCATCACCACCACGGCCCTCCTATCCTCGACGCCGAGTGTGCCTTTTCTCCCTCTGCAGTCTCTCGTTACTACCGACCGCCTCACCAGAGTCACCACCTGCCAGGCTTGCTCGCTCTCTCCTCTCTCCTCTCCCCTTCTCTCATCTGCGACTCGCTCGCCCTCCTTCTCCTGCGCCTCCCGGGCTTGCCGCTGTCGTTCGTTTTCGTCCTGGCATTTTTTTTGACGATACATCGGTCCATCGTCTCGTTTCTCACGCTGCCCTCGCTCACTGTGCGGATCCATCATTGACCATCGATCGCACCTTCCCATCGCTCCCACACGCTTTGTTTTGAACACGACAACGAGAATACTGGAGCCATCGAACTGGAACCGCCGGTGATTCCTTCCTCTCGCACCCGTCTGCTCCAAAGCGGCTTCCCTCCCTGCAGTCACAATGGCTCCCTCGCCGCCCCGACTTCGCATTCTATCAGGTACGCTGCCGCCATTGTTCCCTCGCCCTTCTGTCTTTCCAGACATCCGGTGTTATAGAATTTTCTTTTCTCGTTTATTTCACATCTATTTACCCTCCATCCATCACCTATCACACATCAAATCATATCATGGGGAAGCGAAGACTAATGAAATTTTGTGTAGTCGGTGGTAATGCAGTCTCGGCCTTTCTGTCGTGGAGGCTGCAGGCAACTAACTCATGCGATGTGACCCTGGTGTGGAAGTCAAACTTTGAAGCCGTCGCCCAATATGGCGTGTCATTCCGGTATGCAAAAACCCCTGCATCCTCGACTCGCGGAACGCCCGGATAGATGCTAACCGGCTTGTTACTAGGTCTAAAACATTCGGAAATGAACGTTTCAAACCCCGCCATGGTAAGTCTACCCGACCGCCATTATCCTATACAACAAAGCTGATGAACCGTCTAGTCGTGCGATCACCAGAAGATGCTGCCTCACGGGAAAACGCTTACGACTATGTTATTCTGTGTGTCAAGGCCCTGCCCGATATTTTTGACCTAGGATCGGTCATCGAATCTGTCGTCACCCCCCAACATACATGTATTCTGGTCAATACAACGAACACTTTGGGCGTCGAATCACATTTAGAACAGCGCTTTCCTACCAATGTCGTTTTGTCTTTGGTTTCAAATGTCGACCTGACCCAAACAGCCGTGAGCGACTTCGAGCATGAGGGCTCATCCGAAATGTGGGTTGGCCCTGCCAGCAAAAACCCTTCGATCCCCGCCGCCATCCAGAATGACATGGCCTCTGCACTCGCCATAACTCTGAGTTCGGGCCAAGTCGATTGCAAGGTGTCGTCCAATATTAGACAAGAACAGTTTGAGCGAATGATTGGGTACGGTTGTCTCCTCCAATTACTCTACATTGCTAACACTATGGCAGTCCCGTTGCATTCCATCCAGTTAGCGTCCTGTTTGATACACCCAACCATACCCAGCTTTTGGAGAAAGTAGGCGTGGGACAATTGATCAACGATGTCATCGATGAATTGATCCAGTTGGCGACGTCTCAAGGCTGCTCATTCGGTTCTGATTTCCGGGAGAAGACAATTGAGAAAATGTCGGCCGTTGAATCTCAAAGTGTCATGTACCAAGACTTTCTGGCTCGCCGACCTATGGAGGTTGAAACGTATCTGGGATCGCCGGTGCGTCTGGCAATGGAAAGCAACATCCGTTTACCTCGGATAGAGACCATCTACGCTATGCTTCATCATGTCAACATCGTCAATCAGAACAAGCCTGTACAATCCGAGTCACCACCACCAATCGCCTCCCACCTTCCCCCAAGGACATCGTCTATACCCCCCACGCAAAAGCCAATCACCAATGGCATGCGTTCAAGCCGAACAGCATCTGGAATGGGCATGGGCATGGGCATGCCGCCACCACATCAAAGACGAGGGCCGCCGATGAATGGACCAATGAACGGACCTATGAATGGCCCAATGAGGCCACCCAGTGCACAAGCTGGGCCAACACGGCTCCCTCGTGATGCCTCGTATGATGAGAATGGACTGGAAGAATTTAGTCATCTTGTTGTCTACGACGAATACCCTGCTGACGGAGCTCCCAATGGCAATGGGGTTCATATTCCCGATATTCCTAACGGCGGACCAGGCATTCCTCCTGATATTGCTCTGCGCGAGCGTGAAATAGCACTTCGACAGCGAGAGCTGCAGCTTCGTGAGCGCGAAATGGGAATGAGGCGTGGCCCCCCAGGTCCTCGTCGTGGACAACCACCACAGCATGCGTTTGACGAAGAAGACGATGATGACTTTATTGATCCAATGGACTTCCGTCCGCCTCCAGGACTCGATCCCGAAAGTATCGACATGATGAGTGTCACATCTCGACGAACGAGGAAGGCGCCCAGTGCTAGTCAATTACGTCGAAATCCTGACATGGGAATGCCGAATTCGCGACCACCATCATCTATGAGCCGCTTTTTTGGTCCCTCTCCGGGTGGACGCAAAAACGCCACTTCTCGCGTGATGCAAGATATTCCTACTCTCCATGCTTCCCTCATGGATGACCCGATGATGGGTTACTCGTCTAATCGATATGGCAACGTTGACCGGAAAGAAATGCACATCGACTCTAGAGCAAATTCTCTGTCAACCATGAGTCGTATGGGCGACTTCGCCCCCCCAGGGCCTTATCCTCCGAGCAGACGAACCAGTGCATCGCCAGCTTCACCATTTCCCGGCGGGCGAGGAATGGGTCGTCCATTCACCTCGTCAGAACATCCATATGGGGGTCCAAACGGCATGCCACCTCATAACCGCCCATCTCCTCCAAATATGCGGGCACCTGTCCCTAGATATCCTCCTGGTCATGGAAACGCGATGGCAGCGCAACAAGTGGAACAAAATCTTGGGGTGAGCAATTCATATCCAGTCAAGAATTCTCAAAACGTTCGAAGTCTGACTGGAAGTGCGAGCGCCAGCGGAGCGAGTGGTGATAGTGGAGCGAGTGCGAATCTTGATTCCGAAAACTCGGCTCATAGTAGCCAGATCAGCCTCGGTCATCCCATGGCCATGCCCGTTCGCTAAGCGTTCTACCTCGAGAATTCCCACGTGTACTACGAATTTTTGGCTCGATTTGGAAATGCATTGGTACGTCCATACATATAGTCGATGGCTCTCAACGTGTCACTTGACGATCGACTTGACACATACTTTCTTCGACAAATTCTATTTAATATTCTGGACATCGCTTCGATTCGTTACACAATACGTCTTAACTACACATGAATTTATAATGACTAGACGAGAAAGCTGCGAATACCTGGCGATTCAACTTCTCTGCCAGACAGATTGCCTTTCTTGAACTTATAGGGAATATCGGGGTTTCCTTTCTTTTGTTTTCTGTGTTTTGATTGTTTAGACTACGGCTCTGCATGTCTATTCTCTCATTTTCGAACATTGCGTTTTCCTTTATTATTATGAAACCGGGGACAGTATAATACTCCCAGTAATCACATCATGCTTATCGCTATCATATTGTCATCATCCTCACCCTCATCCTCATCCTATGACTGTCTTATTATTGTTTTCAACTTGTATGACAGTTTGTATACTGCATCTTTGGCGCATTATCTTCCTCACTCAGAACACGGCTCCCTTTTATGCGTGACTTAACTTCGGATACGCGTCTGGCGATCCTTTGATACATCATCGATTCATGTTATTCTAGTCGCTAACCAGCCTTTGCTGCTTCAGTTTATTGTGCTAAGGGTTTTTTTGGCGTACAAAACGAGTGAAGGATTTCAGTTACCTTTATTAATCCGATACATGACGTTACAGCCTCAATGGCTTAATTTGTGTAAACATGCACGATCCTTATCAATGATAAACTAATTATAGAGCATACTCAGTAGTACTAAGTTTTACTATGTGTAATAATTGTAGAGTTATCGCGATCCTGCATGTTGAATTTGATATGCCACAGTCACGTGATTATATCGATGATCCCGCCAAAACAAACCAAATAGAACTTCCACTTCGTTCTATCAACAACACAATTCCCAGAACCAAAAAGTTTCAATCTCTGCAAAATGCCTCCCCCATTGCCAGGAAATTCCCACAAACGCCATGAATCCCAAACCCTATCTCGCACATCCATCATGCCAACCTCTGGTGTGTCAGCAAACACAAACGCGGCGGCATCTGCCATGTCCATAACCAAATCACGACAATACGCCCATCTTCACTCCCAGCTCGCACAATTGAATGCCCACTTAGCAGATACCGAGAACTTGGTGCGCATGACGGCCGTGCAGGCTGGCGATATGCGGTTTCTGGGTGGGTATATCGGGGGCATGTTTATGGGGGCGGCGAAGGTGTTGGGAGAGGAGGGTGTGAAGGCGTCTAATAATGCTAGTAATGAGGGGAATGAAAATGGGAATGAGACAGCTATTAAGGACGAGTGAGGGAGTTTTATACTTGAGCGACTCGATGGAAGAAGATTTCAATATTCTTGTCTTACGAACGGAACTGTCTATTGCTATTTACTATGACGATGCGCCGCCTTTACAATTCAACCCTCCACCACAAAGCCACCACCAAGGATGATAGCAGGCTCATGGATGTTGTGATGTTCATAACTATTACGTACGCCTGTTAGCTGACAAACATGCGCTCTCTGGTGATATGGAAACAATACCTCAATGTTCCGACCCCCCCTGCTTCCAGAATGAGTGACGTTTCGGTCAACGGTTTTCCGACCCATCGCATTGCAAAAGCTCGCAATATATGACCATGTGCGACGACGAGGACATCGGCTTTCTCATCATCCGAGCCGTCGAAGCTTTTTTGGTGGTGTTTCTCTCGAATCTCGGCAATCAGGGCATCGAGTCGACGGCAAACATCCTCGGGAGACCTTCGATAATCATCAATCGATTTATTCTTTCCAAAAAATGAATATATGAATATATTGGGGCAACATACTCTCCTCCGGGACATCCATCTCTCCAAATATCCCATGACCCTTGACCGTTCTTCTCTCGCAGAGTCCTGATTTCAGAACTCTTCAACCCTTCATACTCACCATAGTCCCATTCTCGAATGGCATCCGTGATATCGATGTTTGCTTCGGTTTGAATTTGTCCTTCGCTTTCCGGGCTGCTGGCCTCTTGCCACGGGACTCGCTCTTTGCATCCAATTTGGAGGAGTTCGAAGGTTCTCTGGGCGCGTTTGCGGGGGGAGACGTATCTGATTTATTCAATCTCATGAGCGTGTGGGAGAGAGGTAATAGATATGTGTTTGTTTGTTTGCTTACACATGCGCGAGTCGTTTCGGTGCGATTAGTCGATCATTCCCTACTAGTGCTTTCCCGGTGGCCTTGACGCGCTTCTCGCCGTTGGCTGTTAGAGGAATGTCGCTGCTGCCCGTGTGTCGGCCATTGAGAGACCATTCAGTCTCACCGTGGCGCACAATGAAGCATCTTGGAGTTGGCATTCTTCTCTTGCGGGTTGTGGCGGTCGTCAGGCACGACGACCGGAGGCAGGAAACAGCGGAATAAATTCAATTGCAACAAGTACGTCAAGTCGGGACTTATTTTTACACAAATTGAGAGTATTCAATTCTAAATTACTCTCTTTCGTGGGATATTTAGAGGACCGTTGATTCTGCCGAGTTCCCCTCGATGACGTCCAGCCCCGCTGTTAGTAAGTGGTTGGTTCTGCGGCTGACTAAGATTGATAATCGTGAAGTACTTTAAAAACCATTGTCTTACTGAAGTTTATTTTCATATCATATTTGTATCCAGTATTTAGGGCCTTCTCTAAAGGATTATTGAGAGGCCTTAGATTCGGACAATAGCTCTAACATGAGAAAATTCATGAAATTGGATGCGTTGGACGCTTTTAAATGGATAACGCAGATTTCGGCGTCATCAATTCAACAAAAGCATGTTGAATCCAGGATGCTGGTTTATTGGATAAACCTTTGTGAAGGGACAATATAAGAATGCCGAATTTCCGAATGTAAGATGTGGATTTCTTGTAGGTGGATTCGGTGTTATGTTGATAGGCATATCACATAGAAAGATGAAGTCACATAATCAACTAGTCTATGCAGGTCATGCGCTCCTAAAGGTATTCACTATTACAAATGTGGATTAGGAGACGAGACCTGCTCAAGCATTTCGTATTTATTCTTATACCTGATCTTGTATGAACTTCGAAATCAACTTCTCATTGGTTGACCTCGTCTAGTCCTCTTGTTAAACAGTCCTAGAGTTGAGATAGTTATATGTTCCACAGTATTTATTAAATAGACTCGATATTTTCTGTGCACAAAAGGAACTGGATTCGATTCATCGCCTTTTGATCGTGCAAGGCGGATCGATTAGTAATCGGTAATTGACAACAAAACTGGAAAAGTCAAGTATGGATGGGTCTTGATCAGTAATATTCCAGAATATCTCAAATAAATTGGTAATAATCACTTTTCTAGCCTTATTGGAAATAATAATCAGTCATCTGTTATTCAATATTCTGCAGTTTAACTAAGTTAACAAATCGTGTGCTTATCAAGCCGCCCGTTACTTCCGTTTTCTCCGGGCTAACTAATAACTAATTCCGCTTGCTCAGTAAAGCACATCTTAATAATCTCAATTCAATCTTTGCGCTCGCCGCGCAACGTTTATTTTGTTTCATTTGGATTTCTGTTGTGGCCCAAATCTACAATATATACAAGACATGCCACGAACGAGGACGAAATTCATCTGGCCTCCGCCAAACCTGGCCAGGGATCCCGCCACCAATACCGCTGGCGCTTCTCCTGCCGAACCACGCCCCAAAAAACCAAAATTGGAAGAGCAACAATCATCGTCACAAAATACTCCCAACGACTTTGGCCATTCAACACGCGAACATATGGACTCTCCAGCTCTCAGCGATGGAAGGGTGGAAGACCTCATAGAGAAGGTTACATGGGATCCAGCGTCGGGTGTTGCGCGTCCGTCGCTTGAAGTCTTGGTCGATGCATATTCGAAAATCCCTATTGAGTCGCAAATAAAGTCGTATCAGAACTGGCGACGTGAGTATATTCGTGTCCCTTCTTAGGGGGCTACGGAAACTAATGTGGTTGCTCAGGTCATGGCTCTGTCCACGACGATTATTGCATGACGTGCAATCGCCCTCGAACGCAATCTCTTGTCCCTTGTTACACATGCCGGCGATCGTTTCATGATGACTGTATGCCGGCAGGGTCGCTGTATAATGAGCAACGCCAGTGGTTTTGTCTTGTCTGTGTCCAGCGTAATTGGCATGTGGAACCGCCAACAGTAACGCCGCCAGCGTCACCTCCAAGCTCACAAAATATTTTAACAACAGGAAATGCGGACTACCAGGTTAGTCATTCGTCGGGGACGCCGACAAATGACACTACCGCAGAAGATTCACAAGCCATTTCTATTCTGGCTGGAATATCGAGATCGGTGTCTTCACAACCTCATCCACCTACTTCTACTGCTCTGAACTATATCCGTAACTCATCGCCATACACCTCGTCCTCCTCGACTCCAAAACCAGCGCCTCGCTCCGGATCGCTTTCCACAACACGCCGCAATGATCTGCCCATGCCATCTACTTCAACAAACCAAAGTTTCTCCATGCTCGATTCACACGCGCGCAAATCCCGATTTGCGACTCTTTCTTCTGAAGTCGATTCTGCCCTGTGGGTTCTGTATCGCGAACTCGAGAGCGCAACATCTCTGCGCCAACGCATTGACGAGTTGGAAGCCGAGGTGGTGAAACTTCGCCAGGACGTGCGGATCAGAGATAATCAAATCAAACTATCGCAACGATCCGCGCAAGCCGTCCAACCAGTCAATGTTTCGCAAGCAGAGGTAACCCAACTCCGAGAACAGGCAGCCAAGGGCGAGGCAGCGGCGCATGAAATCGACCGTCTGCGCGCACGAAATGACACGTTGGAAAGGGAGTTGAGGGATGCGCGGACGGAGTGTTCGTCAAAGGATGAGACGTTGAATGAATGGAGAGGTCGATTGGCGAGTCTTATTGGTCCTTGATAGGCATTATTCTATATCCTGCATTGCCCTGATGGAGTTTATTGGTTTTTTTTTTGGTTTCAAGTATCTAGATTTGGGTTTTCTTATTAGTTGTATCATATCGCCTATCATCAGCAAGGCGTACGGTGCATGGGGTTCTACTTTTTCTTTTGTCCTCGAACGTTCACTTTCGGATGTTCATAAAATTTATCGACATTGTAAATGTCGATTATGCCTAGCTTAATCACTGAAAATTGTAGATGGTTAGTGTGACTACTATTACTAAACTCCAGACCAATATATGTTCTCCCATCTTCAGTGTTCGATTGTCACATTTGAGATACCTTAATCAACTTGATGTTGCATCATCAAATTTTCATCTTCGCTAATTCCTTGGACAAACATAGCTGAATGTTGCCATGTAAAAACTCAAATCACATGACCTGTCTAACCCCGTCGTATCAAGTCTTTATCGATAAGAAAGATGGATGAACATTTCGAAAACCCCCACTTCAACCATGACGAGAGAAGCAATGCTATAATCTACGTAACTATACGTTGTGTTTCCATTGGTAACCGTTTTCACTTGTTGATTTTCATGGTGATGCACTTTCAGGAAAAGACTAGGGGTGTTCCACTTGATGAAATACGAGGTAGAAGATGAACGAAAATTATCAGAGCCTGAAATAACATCAACTTTGGGCAGAACTTGGGTGCGAAAAAAAGGGAATAATATTATTTTAGAGAACAATCATGCGTCGAAAACCAGTATCTGTGCGAGACCCTTCCCAACTCTCTGGGAAGCCTCTCAGTCAGACGATCGTGCCGTCACCAATCAGCAGCGGTATTTGGAATGATTATCAGAAAACACAGAACAATAAGAATACAGAAAATTCTATGGAAAATGGAGAGTCAGAGCCATTTCCAGGAGATCCTGCCCGTGGAGGCTGGGTTACATCCCCGGATCTCATTCAAGCGGATCTCCCCTTCACATCAGACGTCATGTACAACATGACGAACTTCCTGCTTGGAAATCCAAACATGAATTCACCGCATCTATTCCGTGCAGATATTCTATTCGACAGTACCGGTGAATTGAAAACGCCGGAAGAGAAGGAAAAATTGTTTGCTTCGAAATGTTCATTAGATGATGAACCGCATTCAGACATTGAACAGGCAGAGAAAGAGGAAGAGAAGAAATTACCGGTGGAAACAATTGCGCCGCTGGAAATCCCCAGTGTTGAATTGAGAAGAACTGTTGTCAGAAAACTCGTACCCCGGAATCTGAATATCGATAAACCGATCGATCAGACATGTCACATCTACGATAATCAAACAACGGTATCTTTGGATACAGAAAATAAGACGGTGGAAAGACTAATATATGTATATTTCCCGCATATTAAGGCCGTTCATGACGTTCCGTTCTACCACCCGTTGGTTCGGGGACTGGCGTTTATATATGATTATGAAAAAACATCGCCGCCTGGTGAACTGTCACCAACAACAGGTGACGAAAAGCCCCAATGTCTGGGAAAAGGCACGCTGTCTCTACACATCCTCCCATTCTCATCTTCAGAAAACTTTGATCCATTCCCTATAAGACTGGAGCGAACCTTACAATCCCTTCTGAATACAAGCATCCGTCTAGCTCGAAATACACGCCCGTCTTCTACCTCATCAACAAATCAACACACTGCCGAACAAGGCAAACAACAAGCTGACGAAAGTTACAACCCATCAAAAGACAACATTATACCTCGCCATCGGATCCAAGATACCTACTCACGCCTGAAACTAGCATATGCACAGGACCTCTGTCAGAGCTGGGTTGAAGAAACAGAGCCATCAAAGCATGTCTTTGAAGATCTGTCCATCGCTGCATTCCTAATCGAGCTTTGGAGGGGTATGTATGGCGTGATACCAAGAGCCGAAAAGGAGAATCCGGAAAAAGAAGATGTCGAGTTTCCAGGATTCGTGGATGTTGCCTGTGGAAATGGCGTTCTGGTCTACATCCTCCTGATGGAAGGGTATAAGGGCTGGGGATTTGATGCACGTCGACGAAAATCATGGTCGATATTCCCGGACTGGATACAGGATAATTTGAAGGAATCGTTGTATATTCCGGGGCCCTTCGTTGACGAAGCATCACAAATAGACGACAGCCCCATAACCGAGCTAGTGAATATGGGCATTGAATATCATACCGGCAACTTCCCCAAGAACACATTCATAATATCCAACCATGCCGACGAGCTGACCGTCTGGACACCGTTAATGGCCGTACTAGCCTGCCCAGAATTTCCATTACCGTTTATATCCATACCATGCTGTTCTCATTCTCTTTCTGGCGCGAGATATCGCTACCCGCCTCCAAAACAGAGCAAAAAGAATAAAAATCAAGAAAAGGACCACTCTACTAACATCGAGACGCGAGACGACGGCGAACAGCCAGCAACCGGGGACCTCAAGGCTCTGCGCGCGTCCAAAATAGCCGCGAGTACATCCCAGCCAGGCTCTGATCCCAATTCCACGGCGGTCTTGAACTCCATGTACGGCTCACTGACAGCAAAGACAATGAGCATCGCTATGGAGATTGGATATGGTGAGAACGATGTGGAAAAAACACTTCTTCGGATCCCGAGTACGAGGAATATGGCTGTTATCGGGGGCCGGAAATCGATGGCGCAGAGATGGATCCATAATAGAGGAAAAGGGAAAGCTTGGCCGGTGGATGTGGAACAGCTAGTAGATGAGATTGTGAGTAGAGAGTGTATGAGGGAAGGAGGAGTTGGTTGTGCTGCAAATATTTGGATCCAGAGGGCTGTAGGTTTGCATAAGGGGCCAGGAATGGGGAAGCAGAGCCATCAGAATGAAGGTCACTAAGACCAAGGTTGACTAGGAATTATATACATATAGATTTCCATCGACTCATCGACTCATCGACTGGTGCTTCTGAGCGGGCCAGAATTCGTAAGCACAATAACATCGGATTGGCTGAATAACAAGCATGGTAATGCCAATAGAAGTTCAACTCTAACGCCCAGTTCCGACTTGGTATATAAACAGACATAAACATATACAGAAATTATTATTTCAAATGAATCAAGCCCGCATGCTAACTCCAATATGACTACCTCGCCGTCCGCTGTCCATGGCCCTTCCCTTCCCTTTCTCTCTGGCGAGATTGTTCGGTGCTGTCCTCGCCGGGATACCGGATATTTTGCTCATTGTTTGGATAGCTCGGCCAAAATCAATTGTGCTGTAATCGGCTGGCACGTGTTCGCCACTGACGATACACAAAACCTTCATACCGGGTTTATAAACTAATCCATTTAGTAGTTTAGGTGTGATCAGGAAATATTGACTTCCGCCAGCCCCGGTCAAGTCGTCAGCACCGCTTTCAACGGGAGTACGAGCCGCACATGCGATATCAACCATCCGCTCGTGTACCATCCTTTCGTTTCTTGGATCCATACCCTGATTGATCTCGTCCACAACACGGAACGGAGACGCCGAAAGAGATTGGAGTGCCATGAGATAGAAAATTGTACTAACGGCACGCTCGCCTCCAGACTGCCGATGTGAATCGAGGAGTGACAAATTTTCATGCTCACGGAACTTGACCTGAATCTGAATGGACCACTGGTCGAAATCGCTTCCGCCTCTTTCGCCGTTGGGGCCAGGCTCATCTTCGACTTTGTCAACGCTGACTTGTCCGGCACAGCCGATACGATCAAAAGAGTCAGAAAATGCGTCGGAGATCTTTTGTACAAGAGCATCCAGTCTTGGCTCCCACTCTTCCCGAATTTCATTAATAGCATGTTCGTAATCGGCAAGCTTGCTTTGGTATCTCGAAAGCTTTTCTTGAAGCTTGGTGATGGCCTTTTGACGATCCTCATATTCTTTGATCAAGCCAGCACTTCCTTCATGTGCCAATTCTAGGCGTGCCTTCTCCGAATCAATGTCAGCCTCTAGCTGGTCGGAAGTCATCTCTTTGCATTGATCAAGGAGTAGCTCAGAGAGGTCCGGCTGACTTCTAGCCAGCGCCAGAATTTTATTTGCCTCGTTTCTATATTGTACACCGAGGAGGCTTGCCTCTCTCAGTAAACGGGTCGCTTCTTCAACTTCCTGTTCCTTGGCTTTGAGTATGTTCTGAATCTCAATATTGCGCTCCTTAACACTCTCCAGATCTGACGAAGCTTCTATATTTCGAAATTCTGCTAGCATCAAATCTTGTTGAAGTTTGCGGAGAGATTCAACAGCATCCTGCTATAAGTTAGCAATCTTGTTCCTAAATCAGTTTTGATGAAATCGACGTACGGCGTAAGCAGTAGCAGCCTCTGCCTTTTCAATTGCAACCTCGTCCTGCCTGCTACGAATTTCTCTTACTCGTGAGCGTAGTTTTTCGAATTTCTTGTCCATTTCTTTCTTTTTAGCCATTTGTTGATCTGCGATTTGTTAGCAATGTTCGCCCGTTCACCAATAGTTACTCATAAACACACTTAATCGTTCTGGTAGCGCTCTGAAGTTAACGAGTGCCGTTTGCTTCTCCGATTTCTCATGCTCCAGATCCATCTGTTAAGTCAGTAAAAAGTCCACTTAGTGTGTGAATTGACATACCCGTTCTTTGTTCTTCGTTTTGTGTTCCTCACTGATACGACTTAACTCAGCTCTTTGAATCTTTATTTGCTCTTCAATTTCGACCTTTTCCTCTTTGCAACGTGAAATTGTCTCTAGTAATTCCTGCTTCATAGAGAGGTCTACTGGCTGATTCGTCCATACTCTTGCTGGCCGCACTTGCTTTACTGAAGTCGATGTCGCTCCGGGGCCATATTCCCTTCTCCTGGTCACTTTATATGTTTGCTTTCCAGCGACCCAGCTGTTGATCGCTGCATGGCTTTCCATTCGAGAATATTCCTGGTCGGTAATGTCGCGGAGAACCACAGGGGTTTTAAAGAGAAATTGTTCATTGCACAGCATGGCTATAACAGGTTCCGGGCCCGTCAAGTAGTCCTTAGCCCAGCCGTCAAATCCGAGATCGTATAATTCTTCATCTGAAATTGGAGGTCTGAAATCACTCAATTGAGTAGTGCATGCCCTGATACTAACATCATGAAGTCGTAGCTCCCCATTCAAAGCCTTCTGTAAGGTTCTAAAGTCTTTAGTGCTCTGGGTAGTAAAAGCCAGGAGGTCATTTCTTTGCAGGAGAGATTCAATTGTATCGGCATATTTGGGGTCCTTGACCGAACATGTGACTAGTGCAGGGCCGAAAACTTCGTTCTCGAATTTGTTTGAATTCTCCTGAAGCCATCGATAGGCTTTGTATGTGTCCGACGAAACCTTCCTGAGAACTGCCGCCTGCTGCCCACTCTGGGAAGCGAGGTTTGCAAGTTCATTTTCTGCTATTTCTATTTGATTGTTCTTTTCATTCAGGTTCTCATGCAGAGGTATGCGGGCACCCTTGATCTCTTCAGCTTTCTCTCTCAAGTCTCTTATCTCCCTATTCAGTGATCGCTAGTAGTGAAATGTTAGTTGGTAATAAGGATACCTCTCCGATAAGACTTACAAGACGTTCATTATAAGAATCAAGGTCGAACTCTTCTGGCTCTTCCTCCATCTGCCGAGTAAAGCGATTGATTGCTTGCTGTATTTTGCTCGCTTCTTGTTTGTGATTTGAGCCTATTTTCCTCTCTGTTTCGATCTGCCCGACGAGCTCTTTCATTTTGTCTTCATGTGCTTCCATTTTTTTCGCGATTTCGGAGGTGGCAATTTCAGCCCTATTGAATTTCTTACGTTTATATTTGACCAAGTCGTCTGTCTTGCGATAGTAATCTTCCTTTTCGAGGACCGCCCTCAATGCAGGTTCCAATTCGGCTTTCAAGTCCTCTAGTTGATGATTGAGTTGCGTCCGATCATTCTTAATTTCTTGATATTTGATGGTGTGATCCTTAAACCGCACAACCGGGCGAGCCAATTCTAGCATTTCAATGCGCCTCTTGACTTGCGCTCTCTCTCTCATCCTCTCGACATCTGCCCTTTGTAATTCTTGGCGATTTTCCAGATTTGTGAGGAGATCCCGATCACCTTTATTATCCAAAGACAATTTCTTCTGTTCGGCCCTCAGCTTCTTGAGATTCTCATGCCACTCAATCATCTGAGGGCCGGCAGCAGCTCTTTGAGTGGACTGAAGAAGATCGATGGGTGAAAGAGCAGCGAATTCGCTAACTTTGTCTTGCGGAAGAAATTGACAAAGGTTATCTACTTGAATCGAGAATTGCCGCGCGAGGCTTTGAACTTGCTTTCGGTTGGAGTCTTTCCCGTTAATAGTGAATGTGTTTTTGTTTCCATCATGCTTTATGGTGCGAGTAATGATTGGGTTTGTTTTGAACGGAGGGCCACGCGCCAGCTCAATTTCGATGGTTGCTTCTCTACAGCCGTGTTTCACGAATTCAGAAGCATCTTTAGCGCGGCCAAGGTGCTGATCACAAAAAGTCAAGGCGTTAGTTTTGGAATACCTAAATATTAAGCAATCTCCGATACACTCACCTGTGGTCCCCAACCTAACCCAAGACAGATCGCACACACCAGAGTACTCTTTCCAGTACCGTTTGGCCCGATAACCATATTCAGCTTTGGACCTGGAAAGAACTCGGCCGATGTATAAGTGACAAAATTCGTCAATTTAATGCGCACGATCGCGCCGGGTTGAAAATCGCCGTGTGTAGTGTATCCATCAGGCAGCCTCGCTCTGCTCAACGACACTTTTGATTGTGGCCCATCTCCATTCCGTTCATCCTCGTCCTCATCGTCTTCATCCTCCTGTTCATCGTCGTTGACGACTTCTGACCGTCGGTGGAGTTTGATCCGTTTGCTGCCGCTGGAAGACTGCGAAAGGGGGGTTGCGCCTCTGGTCGATGGTTCATCGTCGTCATCTGAATCTTCTTCGACACGCCTGCGACGCCGTCGATCGGACGGCGGTATTTGCAGCGACGACGACATCGTACGCGGATATCAGGTTTTGGATCAGCTTTCAGCAGCGAGCAGATATCAAGCCAAACCCTTATCCATCGCGATGACCTAGAAGTTAGCCATGTATTTCCGTTTAGGTTTTCCCCACGCGGTAGACGCGACGACGCGACGGGGCCAGGCACCACTTAAGCACAAGGCGGTATGGATCGGCAGAACAAAGGTATATTTTGTTCGGGCCGGAGAGCTTCCGTCAACCATGTGTACATAGCTTGGCCATTACGATTTACTTATTGAGCTCTGTGATTTAATATTCTTATTAAAATTCAACCAAAACCCCATACACAATGGCTCCCTCCGCAAAAGCGACACGGACTTTTCTCCTCACCGCTTCCATAGTCAGCATTACAATTGGGGGTAGCCTGTACGGCGCAGAATTGAAGAGCAAACAAGAAAAGAAACAGGTAGGTTTGAACAATTCACTCGAGTCTGGCCAATTTTTTAAATTTCCTGGTCTAAAATCATACCCCAGATCATTGAAAAGGACCACCAAGCAACCTTCGACGAGAAAATTCAGTCCCTCCAAAGCGCCCGACAAGTCCTAGTATCGAAGAAACTCGCAGTCGAGAAGCAGTTACAGGATTTGGAGATAAGAATTGCAGAGAGGTCACGGAAAGGCTTGGCTTCGTCAACGAGTAAAAAAACGGATCAAGATGGTCAGTCGAAATAAGATACTCGTCAGCTATTGCCAAGGCCACATTCTAGAATCCTCGAAGAGCCAACCTCTAGAGAAACCGTTGAGGACATTAGTCAAGCAGTGACTTGGCTACACAAATCGATGCCTTTACTCGAAACGCAGCATATCTCGAGCGTAGCGAGGATTTAAGTCTCCGATTCCATAGCTCTTCACCGCCGCATATACCCGTCAAGATGTTTGAATATCACATTCGCTTTGCAGACGAAGGGATATATCGACCTCGTCGATCGTCTTTGAAGAGGCTCTCGATCAGAACCTGTGGCGCAGAATATGATGCACGAACCGTATATGAAATATTGAAATCCCAAAACGCGGTGTCGGATATATGCTCTCAGCACCCCGGCACTCCGAAGACTGTTTACAATCGAGAAAATGATCTTTCGAGTGGACAAATGTCAAATTCCGCCCTGACTCCTCGGGACTTGTTCATTCAGAGTCTGAGTTAGATGATAATAATGACACCCGGTTGAGCATCGTGTTCTCGATGCACCACTATACCCACATGATACAGCTTCCTCCGTACCTACATTTCAAAACGGATATGGTCCAAGGAAATCTAAACCATCTGGGAATGATAGAATGACTTCTTTTTACTATTATCAAAATATAGGCAATCTTATTTGTATATATCTAGCCTCTATATGAAATCCCAACCAAACAAACCGAAACCGAAATTGGGTATAACAACATCAATATAAAACATTATCAATTTATGAAAATCCGAAATGAGAGTCCATATGCGTGTATATCTAATTATATCAGTCTTTGTTTGTGCAACATGTGCCGCATATAGTGACGTATTAGGAAAGAGACAGTATATCAGGAAAAAAAAATCGTGGTAATATCATGGCTTTGCGAAATCCAGTCGCGAAGGTGTATTTTCGTATAGTATTGTTTATTCGTCAATGACCCCTCGAGCTAATGAAGCCAAGCCAGCCTCATACCTCACAGGATTGTGATCACCCAGCATGCCGGAGCTGAAATTGAGTTCTCCGAAATACGCATCGACATTTCGAATGAACTTCAGTTGGACTCTAGTAGCTGGCCGTCCTAATTGGGGATGGGTATCGTGTGCCGACATCGTCCTTGTTGTAAAGGCATTTCGTTGCAGGACACGCATGGTATCTACAACAAACACTTCGCCGGGAGGAAGGAGTTTTGGCGCTGTCATTTCTTCGCGCAGGGATTGCAGCGCAGACCATGCCCAGCTGTCTTCCCCGAGACCTTCGCCTGCGTTCATGGGAATGGGGGGCTGGTTGACGTAGAATTTGTTCAAGATGTTCTGTCTCAGACCCTCTAGGACGCGTGACCGAATGTGTGATTTTGAGCCTGTGGTGTCGTTTTTGAATGACAAGGCCACTGATCGGAAGTCGTGTAAGATACCGAGGGATAGGCTTGGGACGACGTCTTTGCCGTTAATGACTGTTGTGATGAGACCGCGGGTAGCCCGGCGTAAGAAGGGCGACATGCATGCAGGTGGTCCGAAAGCATATACGTGTATTGGTCGGTCAGATGGTAGTGAGAAGACCTTGGATGCTTGTTGCTGATGATCGGCCGTTATAAGCAGTGGACGTGCTGCTTGGAGGGCAGAAGCTGTCACGAATGAAGGGCCCTGCGGATAGGCATTTGGTTGTGAGATCATTGTTGCTAGAAGCGCTGCAACGCCACCACCGAGTGAGTGGCCGCAGAAAACCACGCCGTAGTCTGGGAATTCTTCGAGTGCAGCTTTGATTGTTGCCATCACCCTCCCTCCGCCACCTTCGAGGAGTCGACTTGCAGATGCATGCATGCCTTTATGTACCTTCCAGCTCTTCCCTTGCCATTCTAGATCGTCGTAGTCACATGTCATATCTGTTAAGATATCCTCAAATCCCCATGTTCCACGCAGTGTTAATACCACCGCCTTGGATTCGTGATCGAGAGAGAGGTAGTGCACGAGAGGAAATCCAGACTGAGTCTCTCCCTCAGAGTTGGTACCGCCAGCAGGATCAAAATATGAGGAAAGGAGGATGGCAGATGGAGGGAGACCGGTGATATTAGAAAACGAACTGTGTTCGTGATTATTTGGATCATAGTACTGAATCATTTTCTGATCGTGCGGTGTCCCCATGAATTTAAGAGCATTGGAGCCATATGACGCAGATGAGAATCGACAGAATCGTCGAATGTTATTGACTAGGTGGTTCTGCGGGAATATGCCTGGGACGAGGCCGTTGCGATTGAGACCGACAATTGTCGACTCGTCCTCATATACACTCTTTCGTGGCCGGGGAGCGAGAATCAGAGACGTTTCAGAGCCCGTCGCCATGGAATAGATACTAGGAACAAAAGATTGAGATCGTCGATGTGACTGAGATAGTCCTGGTGTTTGTGGAGAATCATGGTTCAAGATGGTGACGTCTTCTGCCCGGGTTCTAGACAATGAGCTGCTGCTGCGGAAGTGTGTTCGAGTAAATGAGGCCGATCCAGGGCGGCTGTCAACCGAGCAGATTGAATAAGCATCCGTATGTGGACCGAACGATTCGCTATTCCTGTTATTAACAGTAAAATAATCTGTTCTGGACGAGGATCTGAAGTGTTTCTGTGTTTTGGCTGTCGTCGGCGACGGCGTTGAGCGATATCTAGAGTAATCTTTTGGTGGCACTCGAGGCGGGGGTTTAATGCTTGGTAGGGCAGGAGTTTGGGGTCGATTCTCCCTGGCTCTTGAAATTCGATTGTTCGATGCAATGGTCGTATCACTTGAAGACTCAGCCTTAGAGGCCTTCATCGCTTCCGGTGTTGTGTGAGAGTTAGAGCCGTTTGTCCTTTTTGGAGCCTTTTTCACAAGGCTTTTACTACTATTCGCACCATTTTTCTCCACGGGGCCCGCTTTCACTTTTTGAGCAATCTTTGAAAGCGATGCTTTGCCAAAAGAATTCCGGGGTGTTTCAGAGCCACTCAGTGAGGACGAACTAGCGACCTGGAGTGGTTTCGTTTCTTCTTTTTCTGTAACATTCCCCGTCGAGAGAGCAGGTTGTAGAGGTTTGTTTGCTGATTCAGACGAACCTGACTTGGTTTTACCTGCATCCCTTGACGTGGTCGGCAGGGTCTTAGGCTGAAGAAATCCTTTTGGACCAGTTCTCGTCTGTCTCGGCGAAGCAGGCGAGACTGGATGGGCGCCGAAATCGTTTGGGTTCAAGTCTGCGCTTTGAGACTCGTTAAATGCGGTGCGAAATACTATCGTATGCTTAGGAAGGCGCTTTGCTCCTAGTGTGTCGTGGTCATGGTGAAATCTTTCCTCGACCATCGTAGTTCCTGGTGGAGCAGCAATTTCCGCGGTGTCGTCGTCATATACATCAACTGTAATGGTGCGTGCTGTCACGACCTCTGTTCTGACGGAGGCACGACTGCCTTGCGGTAGCTGTTTCATGATATACAATCGGATATCTTCATCTGACAGTTGAGGTTGTTCTTCAGATGAGAAGTTCCAGGAACGAATAGACGCGTTGGTAAGTGAGTTTACGTGCTCTAAAGCCTCAAAGGGTTCCTCATTCCTTCCAGGAGCCAAAAACGAAGCGGGTCGGGATAAATCGTGCGCATTGTTCGTCGTTTCATGCGCATATTCTTGGGTCTGGGTGCCAATCACGTCGGCTCTGAGACCGTTATCTAATATCACAACATCCCATATAGTAACCTCCCCCTCACTTTCACGTAATTGCCTGTCGGTATTCCGTCTACCCCAGCGCTGAAGCAAGGCGAATCCAATTGCACCGACGAGCAGGTCTCCAACACCAACTAAATCATCGTTATTTCCTCCTTGATTCTTACTGAATTCGCGGTGAATAAGTGTAATGATTGATGCAATAGCCCGTGAGGACTCCGTTGATCCTAGGATCGCATCTAGGGAATAAAGAAGGTTCTGGGACACGTTTGATATCGAGGAAAGCGCCACTTCAGACAAATGAAACCCGGCGGCCGCAAAGAAGGAAGCCGACGTCACGGTTGTATGTAACGCTGCCAACTGAAGACAATCAAAAAAATTAGTCGGATAGATGGAGAAAATATTAGACATTACTCACACTGCGTTCGAGTAACGACTCTGCCTCTATTTGGCCGTATTCACCATGGCTACGTCCAGCAACCTCATGGCCAGCCCTCGTCAAGACAGCTTCAACAAGGGCCCTGCTCAGTTCTAGACCTGTCAAGGTTGTCACTCTGGCACCACCAATCGCAGCGCCGCCGAAATACGTGCCGACGCGTAGAGAAAGCGACGTTGACTGGGCGAGGAACGATACAACGGATGCAATCGATCTCGGAAGTAGTGTCGCGCCTGTGACGGCTGCGCGGCTCGTCGCCTGGAGGATGGTATTCGAGTTCTCGCTATTCTTGACGATAGGATCATCTCGCGAATCGTGCACTGAAGTCGGGACTAGTGGGTATTCAGTCATGGCTAACAGCGATAATGAAGCGGGGTCATCGTGAATCCTTTGTACGTTGATAGTTGATATATTGAGTGTCGAAGAGTTCTACACAGGCAGAAGAATGACAGAAGCAGGAACAGGCGAAAATAAGCCTAACTCTAGAGGCGATCTAGACGCCGATCAGTGCCAGCATCGATCGGTCTGTTGACCTTACGTCAGGCACCGTGCCTGAGGCCTGCCTGGCATGTGATTGCCCCATCCGTGCCCCACGACTTTTCTTGTTGTTGAGAAAAGCCTGGAGTATTATTGCACCCTTGCTGCTCGATGGTTCGTAATCTTTCGGCACTTCGATAATAGCTTGGCCGAGACTCGCACGGAATGCATAGGCCTTGATTGGTTCTATAGTCTGCCAGCAAATGGCATTCTCCCACGTCATGTCGCGGCATTTTGGTGTCAAGTGGTACGCTCTTTTGGGAAGTGCATATTCAACCAATGCACAAGACTGACCAGTACGCGTCAATACCGAGTCTATTTTTTTATCTTTCTTTTTTATGAATGAGATTATTTAGCCCGAGCGAGTTAATGCCCTAGCACGAGAAATGCATGCAGATGTATGTATGGAGCAAGATAATTACATGTATCGGGTGGATCGGGATACCTGATGATAAGCGAGAGTGGCAAATATCTTTGTGAGCTGAACATGAACAATAGCGCCCTCAAACCCTGAGTGAAAGCTCTTTAGTCAGGTGGTGAAATCTCAGACATATCTACAATGTGGCTTTCAAATCGCCCCCGTAATTGATTTTCCTGATGACTTCTCGGCTGAGGTCTTTAACCGATGGAATACCAGCGACAGACATGCTCAGATGGAAATCTGCAAGCAATCCTTGTAAGACAGCTTTGGCGCCTTCCCCACCATTAATTGCATAGCCGTACATAACTGGTCGGCCAACCAGCACAGCTTTGGCACCAAGAGCCAGGGCTTTAACAACATCTGACCCGGTGCGAATACCCGAATCGAATAAGACGGTCATGTCTTTGCCCACTGCATCGACAATTTCTGGAAGGACTTCGAGAGAGCCGATTGCCCCGTCTAATTGTCGACCTACATACCTTACTTTTAGCAACGGTTCCAACATCGAGAGAAGAGGTTGACGCTCTAACTGCAACTTACCGCCATGGTTAGATACAACAATCCCATCACATCCATATTTTAGCGCGCTCTTAGCATCCTCGACATGCTGAATGCCTTTCAGGATTAGTGGACCATCCCAGTTCTTTCGTAGAAATTCCACGTCTTCCCATGTGTGATTAGTTCCGAAAATCTTCTGCAACCAATCTCTGCTAGCTTCTTCAATATTTTCATCGACTTTCATTCCAGTCTTCTTTTCATATTTCTCGCGAAATATGGGATCTGTACTTCCAAATTCAGTTCCCAACCCGGCAAGAAAAGGTAAATACCCAGTGTCAAGATCTGCGGGTCGCCTGTAACGAATATATGAGAAAGAGCTCGAAGGTATGGTAGGCGTGAATACAATGCTTACCAAGCCAGTGTCCAGGTATCTAATGTGACAACGAGAGCTTCGAACCCATTTTCTTTTGCCCGTTTGAGCAGGGAGAGCGTTATCTCATTGTCACTCGGCCAGTATAACTGAAACCATCTCTTACCGCTCCCGCTGCTGGCTGCCACATCTTCAAATGAGGAACCTGATGCTGTACTCAATATATAAGGTACCTCAACTTCACTGCATGACGCCGCAAGCCCAACCTCTTTATTGGGATGGGCTAGGGCTTGGACGCCAATTGGTGCCATCAACAAAGGATGAGGATACTTTTGTCCGAAAAGCTCAATTGAAGCGTCGACTTCAGACTGCGTATGGAGACGAAAAAATGTCAATTAACAGAATGTTTGCCATTTTAATTGGTAGCATAGATACTAACCGCTTTCAACATTCTTGGTATTCTGCCGATCTGTTAATAACTGTACATATAAAATACATGAAAAACACGAAAATATAACACTACACGCTCATACGTACAATTTCCATTGGCGAAAAGCTAGTCGATTACTGTCCATGGTGGCTTTCTCTCCAGCGCCACCGGCAATGTAATTGAATGCGCGCGCATTCATTGCCTGACGAGCCTGCTCCTCGAGCCGCCGGGGATCAGTAGTCACCACGGGCCGGCCGTGGGCATACATTGCATTTGCATAGATGGTTTGTTGATATTGGCCATAGTTCTCGGACATTGTGGCGGCACGTGGGGAAGCAGGACTAAACTCAAAAGTGCTAAGTGGAAGTCTCTGGGAGATATCTCAGATATCAGTGATGCATTAATTTTCGAGCTATATATAGGATACAGGCTTTGATAGAAATGTATGTTGAGACGAACAGGAAGATGACATCGACGTCGGGCTTACGCAGATGCATCGAGGAGAGCGGAGCTATCCATAATCAGCAGGTAAAAGTGGAGAAATTGCCGAACCTCGGCTATAAATACATGTTCCTTTAATGTTTTTATTTGAATATATTGCCATGTACAGGGCTATGTGTTCAGTTTTGGCTGCTGGTCACAGTTATATGTTTCTACACATGAATATGACTAATTCAAGTACCCCTACCACTCTATCCACGGATTCAAGCGTAAGTCGTCAGTATATCTGCGATGTTCTCGTCGTCAATGCAACATTTTATTAATGAAGCTTAAGAAATATTTTTCAATCTCATTATATGATGGAAGTGATATTTCTAGAACCCAGACCATTGGGGATGAGTTTGGTGAAATGAATGCATGAAGGTCAGCCTGTACAAATCCTCCATCACTAGAATTGAGCTCGTACTTTTGTCAGCTAAGCCTTGTCTCTTGGGATTTCTTCCGTCAGAACCTCGAAGAGGATTGCCATTCCCGTGTTTGTCACTCTGTATGCTGAAATTTAGAATTATCTCTAATAATAGTTGTTGGATCTTGTGGAGGCCCTTTGAAGAAGCAGCCCTAAGAGCATTATCATAAAGGAAAATCTGGATAGAATTCTTCTTTTGCTTTAAGAAGACCTTCACAACCTCCAAATTGCCGTATTCGAAAGTAATTAGAAGAGCGTGGGCGAACTGATTTACTCCGTTCCTTAACAAAAACGTCACAACCTCAAAATCGCCACTTTGAGAAGCACCAAGAACCGCAGTGCCATCCATCTTATCCGGAGCATTAACACCCGCTCCATGCTCTAACAAGACCCATACAACCTCAAGATGGCCTGTTTTCAGAGGCAGCATGAAGAGCTCTGCCACCCTCCAGACAACTGTGCTTCCCACTCAGGAAATTGACACCCGCTCTTTTTTTAACGAGATCTCCACGATTCTAACATTTCCTCTCCATGATGCCCAACACAATGCATTTCTTTCTGATCTTGGTATTATTTTGAACAGCCAGTCTATGGACCACGTTTCTATGTCCATTCAAAACATCCAACTGAAGTGCATTCATCTTACGAGTGATCTGACGAGAATTCGCTGAATTTGGCACAGCGGAATCCCAGAGGATAGAGAACCAAAAGCCATAACATGCAACTTCAACATCATAAATACTGTCTAGTTCTTCCTCTAGTTCATATTATTAGAGGAAGGCAACTTTCTTACATCGTCAGGCCAATTTTCGGCAGCGTATCGAAATAACGCTAGAGGTCCCACTTGCATAGGCTTGATTTCCTTTACGATCATACCTAAACAGGTAACTGAGGCAAATCCGAGACATCAAAGCCTCGACATTCCCCGATTCGAAATGCCACTTGCTTTTTAATCTTTCCGTTTGTCTTTCATTCATCAGGAATTCTTTCGCTGTCTTATGAATCAAAAATAGATCTTTGAAGTGCGAACGAAGACGAAGAGGCGACATATACGGTGGATTTTCTTATTCAGCCCCTCTGGATTGAGCTTATTTATAATTTTTGATGTTTGTCCACTTGGTAATATGGAAATTGCAAAAGCCTCAGCTGTTTCGTCTGTCTTCAAAGGACGTCGCTCACTGACAATTATTTGTAGGATCGTTCTCACCTCTTCAACCTTGCTAGTTGTTACTCGATCGAGAACTTTTTCATATGCCGCGTTGACTGATTAGGAACTAGTTGAATTAGCTGGAAAACTCGAGTCTTTTCATTCTGAATCTTCCTCACTGGCCCGGAATTCTTGGCTTAAATTCCTAGTCAGGAGTCGCCTTTACGATGAAATCCAACGAAGTTTCCAACCAGTTACGAAATCCTATCCTCGAATCCACCCCCAGTGGTGAGAAAGGGAGTGATTAACTTCCCAATAGTCCTTCATGGATGAATTTATATATGTAGTTATGTCGCATTAAATTGATCAGGAAGTTATTCCAGTTATGATAACTCTTTTCTCATCATACACCTAACAATTTAATTTTGGTGTCAGTTTCCATTGTGCTACCAGGATATCATCGCTAAAAATGATACATACATAGATTGATACGAAATCAAAACGAATGGAATGGTTACACGATATTAACCTCCCAATCCTCCTCCTCACTCGCCTGTCTGCCCACTACACACCCTGTTCGCTGCAATAACGCTTCACAACCTGGTGGCATCTGTCGATGCTGCCGACTCAGATGCTCCATAAACCCAGGCAAATTATCAAACACCAACGCAGGGGTGTTATGCATTGCCGAACAGAAAATACATCCAAAAAGGCCGGCCGATCCATCTGTTACTTTCGGGACCTTCTTCATTTGGACATGCGACTTTGCCAAAAACCTCCATTTATATCTGACTCCTGTAGCTTTATCGACTTGAACACTGTCATCAAAAGTTAATGTTGACTTGGCTGGTCCGCCGCGTGCAGGGCCCTCGTAGGTGCACTTGGAGCAGCGCCAATATAGGATATCGCTATAGAATCCAACGGGTCGTTTGTGGATTTGGAAGGATTTCTTCAATCCAATCTGTAGTTTCCACGCTCCTTTGCAGAACCCGCCGAACTGGTTGTCTTCGCTGGGCAGATATAATTTCATGGGAGAAATGGATCCGACGCTCCCCCGGAATGAATGCGATGTATGTGATCGGTCAGAGTTGTTGGTATCTGTGTTGCGCGAGTAAATGCTACTTGTAGAGTCGTTTCCCACGCGCTCTTCGTAAATCGGCTCGATAGAGGAGTCATTTAGCGGTGAGTTTAGTAGTGGATCAGTACGCTTTTTATTTTGCTGGGGAATGGGCAGTGCCTTAGTTGGTGGAGGAGGCATTTCCGGTAGTTGAAGTCGTAATTCACGCATTCTGATCTCCCGATCTCCACGTAGCGCAGGGTGGATATGATCCAGGCTATCTTTCCCTGGAGAAACCGGGCTCGTCTTGCTATTACTATCATTACCAGCATTGGTTGGAATCCGTTTCTTCATACGAGGCTCGGAAATTTGGTGTTGTTGACGAAAGCCTGATATGCCCGAGTCTTTTGACGCTCGTGCCGGCGGTTCGTATGTTGCAGGGCTAACTGGTGGCGAGAACGAGAACATCGGCGGCGGCGACGACGACGGTAACTGACGAATGACTGGACTCATCGCCGACGGTATTGTATCTGACGAATTCGAGCTGCATGTGGATAACCGTGATGAATCAGCGGCCGGGGTTTCTGCTGGAGACATTTTTGTGGCCGGAAACAAAGTCCATCCACCGTTGTCACTTATGTTTATACTCGCATGCCTATTACTATTGCTCCCACTTCTGCTTCTGCTACCTTGACTCAGTGGCGGCGGAGTTTTGTTACTTGTCTTGGACAATTTCCTATCCCTCGGCACCAGAGGCAGTGATTTCAACGGTGGAGACTTCGTCAGCAGTGGCGGTGATCTTGTTGCTGTCGCGAGTCGCTGATACAACTGACAGAGCGCCATACTCGAATCCACCCGGCTATTATCCGAGGCTGTCTGGAGCTCATCCATATCAATGGCGATTCTGTCATTCGCGAGGTACATGCGCAAGCTAGTTATGAGCGTCATTTGCAGGTTGATGATAATATCTTTCAGTTGTTCGCACGCGATATGGTCGCCTTGGGCATATGTCTGCCAACAATTAGTTTCTAGTTCTTAGCAAGGCGCGTATACTGTTATTGACGGGGTCTGCGGGGTGTAACTACCTCGCCGAAACGTCGAAAGTCATTGTCGTACTGTGCTCGAATAACCACTGGGCCGAGGGTCAGTGAGCTCTTCAAATCGTCGAGGGCTTTCGTGCTGCCTGGGCGGGTTTTAGGCGCGCCTTCGGTTCTGATGCGATCGAGCAATTTGAGAGCATCGTTATACGCAGAGACGACTAATCATGCGTTATCAGCAGCAGCAAAACAATTCACCAGAGTAAAAGATAAACACATACTGGTCGCCACGCATGTGACCACCGCCGACACATCTACGTCCGCCATGCTGTCTGAGCACCGGTCACTCAACCATCCATTTGATTGCTAGCTGTTGCGTTCGGTGTGTGGGATATTTTACTCAGCGAGACAGCAATATCGGTCACGCCACCAGAAGCGTTGAGCACCTTTTAGTACTCTTAACACATGAAAAACGAACTAAACAAGAGCCCCTGGAGGGGATATGCCCATTGGCCAACCCACATGGCAAATGCTCGAGGCTGTGAGATAACACGATAAGACAAGCGACGAGGCTGGAGCGCTCAGCTGTGGATCAACGATTATGACAGACAGGCTAGCTGCCTGGTACAGCACTAGAAGCACGCCGTAGGTAGCAGTGTTTGTTGCATGCATGAATAATCGCCGATCGTGAAGTCGCTCTGCATGACCCAACCAAGCATGTTCAGTAATTTCAGCTGGCAACAAAGTTTATTAGTAGCTAATGGCGGGTTAGGAAGGTAGAAATGGGGAACGAAGGATCGCGGCAATTTAATGGATAAGGAGACCGCCGGGCTTGGGCCAGTGGCGATCGCGCATGAGGAATGTAACTTTCGGAAGAGTCAAAATCAGTGTTGATTGGGCTACAGGTCGAGTCTATCGGCGGTTTGACCCCTATCTCAGTTAAGAAGGTAATTATTTCGCAGCCAATCAATCCCAATTGATAATATTGACATCAATAACGATATCGAAGCTACGAGATATATATAACTCGTCTAAAGACAGACCATTAATTGACATACTTATAGACATATATAGCGTCTGAAAATATCTCCCTGGGGTCACCGTAACCCTCCCTTGCACCTTCAAAAAGGCTGGCTGTTATCATTCGCTTCCCCGCCGTCGGCTGTATACTCCGCTGCCGGAGTGACGGTAGTGTCCTCCGATGTATTAATCACAACTGAAATCCAGCCAAAGATGCCGTCGGAAATGTCGTCGCCCAAGAACACATATTCCACAAAGGGATCGATTCCATTGTCTGCCTCCTGCTTGAGAATCCAATCGTCGGCGTTCTCCGTAAGAGTCTGCGTATTGGTACTGTAAGGATTAGTCTCTTCGACGACGGAAATAAGGTCCTGGTCGAAGAAGAGCTGGCCAATATGCGAGACGTGAGACGAGTAGAGTCCGGAAATGGTGCCGTTTGCGTAGACGGTTGTTTCATTGGCAGGGTGGGACAGAACTATGCAAACACATTAGATATACTACCTCGAGGTGGTTATCGGAAATAAATGATGGATACATACCATGAATGTGAATGGCACGACCGGTGTAATGTCCTGGGAAGATGGTTTGGAACTGCACCACCCCATCTTCGCCTGTCTTCTGAACACCTCTCAAAAAGGTCGTGTTTAGATTGCTCAAGTCGTTGGTATTTCCATTGCCGTTTGCAACAACACCGGAGTATACACCCGTAGCATTGCAATGCCAAGCATCAAGATAAACTTCCGATACAGGCTCACATGTACTACTATCAACTAACTGGATGTCTAAGTACAGTGGCACGCCTTCTTGATTTTCGACCAGGTTATTTCGAATTAATTCACCAGTGACATAGTATGGTCCCTGAGTGACGTCTTCCGAAAGGACGCAAGTACCATTTGAGTGGAAAAGAATTTCAGGATCAGTCGAGGCAGTCAGCCCTGTCTGATTGGAGTGGTGGGTTGTATTGAGGAGGGTATCGAAATCACGCGCTTGCAAGTATTTGTTGCTGATGCTGGTTAATCCCCGGGCTTGTCGTATTTTTTGGAGAGTAGCTTCACGGCGAGCAACGTTTTGAGCTTCATAACCACGCGCTTTCAGACTAGAGGAAAGACAGGAGCCGATGCTACGTGAGTGCAGCGAATTGCTTTGGAAATAGGCTGCACGAGCTGCGGCTTCAGCGTGATGGTCCTCCCCCGGATGAGCGACGACGAGACTAGAAAAGCTGGCAATGCCGAGAACGACAAGGTTTGTGAATTGCACCATTTTGGGGGGAGAAATAATTCTGGATTGGATATTGAATTCGGAGTTCAACTTTGAGATGTTTTAAAATGTTCGACAATATGGCATGCAGGACATGGGACAATCAATCTTTATAACTGCACGCTTCACACTTACCTTCTCGAAATGACCACATTACGCAGTCCTATAACTCCATATTTCTTTAACAACATTAGTGCAAAAGCCGGATTTTTCCAAGCACGAAAGGAGCTTACGACGACATTCCCATGCCAAGAACGAAGCTGCTCGGTACTACTGTTGTATATATGTGGTCCCATTGCATGAAACAGCGTAACATTAATCTATTTTTTGAGTTGAGCTATTATATTAGTATGTCCTACCAGTAGTATTATGTTGTTTAGGACCCACGCGTATAAGAATTTGGCCTTCACGTGGAAAGCATCCACAAATCTGGGGCATTTTGGGGTTAGCTTCATGCTTATATATGATCGACGCGCCATAGTACAATACCAGCTTAGATGCCCAGCTTTGTTGACGTACCGCGGCACAGGTATCGCAATGGAAGTGCGTAATACATATTTATTTATTGGTCGTTCCATGTCCCACTTCGCCTTGGGAAACCTGGGCCCTGAAGCCTGCTCAGTATCGGCAGTGCTGGACCCGCTGGATTCGTCATCTCAGCATGCGTCAGCAAACAGGCGAGTACATTTACTCGCAGTGCACAAACGAGCAGGGTTCTACGGTTATGCATCAATATTAATCAAACAGATTAATTTTGAGCTGAACTATGGAGGAGTGGCAACTGTAGTGTCGCCGGCGACTTTCAGTGAGGACTTGTTCTTACGACTAACGGAGAGAGTTTTATCGCGGTTTGGAGACTATAAAGAATTAACAATGAAAATGAGTCTTAACAGATAACTACAGCTTCTGTGACTGGGCATTTGGACTTGGAGAATGGGCCTGTTAATGTGGTGCGGTATATATGATTTGAAGACTTTCTATAAGGCAAATTTTAGATTCAAGGGCCTAAAAATATTAGGAAAAACAAGGAGATAGTTTAAAATGAGAACTACGGAATCCTTTTTGGCATCACTTGATAAGCCGCCTAGTTTTTAGTAAAAGAGAAAATCTTATATAGTTTTAGTTATTACTGCGAAAATCTAGGATCATCGGCTATTTGAAGTAGAGAACTCTGATATCGGGGTGATCTTCTGTAGGGTCTTATCACCATCCTTCTCCATGTTATGAAACTATTCTTCGATAATTCTCTGTCGTTGTTTGTCTCGTACCTGGAAGGAAACTTCGAACGGCCTCGGACGTGATCTGAAGTGATGCTCTATATCCCACTCGTCTACCTGGACCTTCTGGCCAATTTTTACAGCATAGTCAATATTGTATGCCCATGATATCCGTGTAATTACGATGCGTAGGCTATTGATTGCCATGTACAACCCTAGACTCCAAACATATAGAAATCTAGCATTAGATATTACTTCTGAAACACGGGAACTACGTGCTTTGTGATTGATGGAAATATTGGAACATCGTTTGTGGCAAAAAATTATTTGTGTTTATCCCAAATCTTCCTTGATTATTTTTAGTATATTAAGCTGTACATCAAATTGGGCTTTTCCGCGCGTCTTTTATATATTAACTTAAAACGTTAGCTATGAACAAACATTGATAATCATTCAAGTAAAAGAAAATTTCTTCATTCCCAGTGTGCTCCTTTTTCGGCCTTCTACATATGCAGCCTCAAATTAGAGTATATATCCGCAATAAAACACATTACTTATACCATTAAGAAGCCTACCCATGAAGGTGAACACTTTTTGGGGTAGTGGTTATTTGTGGTCAACAAATCTGCCCGGACCTACCCGGTTGGGCTTCAAATACTCAGGGATGCCATGGGGGTTTCATTACTCAATTGGCTTGGGACTAAGCCGATTCCTCTGGCTGCATCTGTTCACGCAGAGGGTCTGCCTCGCTTAGACTAGGAGGCAAACCCTGAGTCTCAGAATACCAGGGGTGTGGCTGCCTGACCGTCACACCGTTACATGCCGATTGCTCCCTATATGCACCTACATCACGCACGTTTCTTTATACGGTGATTGATTTGTATGCTTGCGTCTGACAAGCATATCTCTGGCGTAAAAACAAGGCCAAGAGTTAAGAGACTAGCTGGAATAGCAAGAGAATTACCGGAATTGACTGAATATCTCAATGAACTAGGACGACACGATTGAAAGACGAAGTATGTATAAAGACGACAAGATATAAATTACAACGCTGGTGATCCGCCAAAATTTAAACGTTAGTAGCAGGCAGAGTAGTTTTAAAATGGACGCCTCATCAACTCATCTGAGTCTTTATCGTGAATTTTCTTTTCACGAACCTGGTGTTACCACACCTGCTTAGCTCTGGGTCTTCTGTCTTGTCTTTTCCATCATCCTCACCCCGCTATTGTTTATCTGCAGTCGTCTCCCTTCAGATTCCTTTGAAAAGCTCAACCAAGAGGAGGGGCTTCGAAGAAACAATGTGCTTTCACTATTACTCGCTTTCTTCAGGGAATTTCATATCAATATCCACCGATCCACTATGACCATACATTGAAGCAGAGAGTGGAAGACTCTATGATGGCGCATGGCATATCAGAAACATGTATTATTTATACAACTAACACTTAATGCGGACAACTAAGTCCCTTTTATACAAACCTTCCATCAATTTAAACCACCTTAATGAACTCTGCAGTAGTCATCTTGAAAGCATCAACTGTACTCATGATTTTCTTTTTGTCCTCCTCCGTCATCAGTCCCTGTACTGGAATCGGCGCCGTCCCCAGAGGTGTCGTCCAGCTCTTTTCACGACTATCAGCCCAGAAGGCAATCATCTCGCCCATCAGATCTCCATAACCGGGCCAGATGGCACGGTACTTGTCGAGAGAAATTTCGACAACTTCTGTTGATCCCTGTGAGGTTGCTAGGCCGGTACCTTCGCCCCATTTGGCGAGATACGACTCCAGTGTAAGATCCTCAACGTTACACAGAACGTAGGTACCGCCAGTTTTAGGAGGATTTTTGATGATGGACCGGATGAAAATTCCAATATTATGACGTGCGTCGCTTAGAGATGAAATTGGAGTTTTTGCATCAGCAGGAAGAATTTGGATATATTTGTTGGCAGTTTTCTAAAATATTATGTTAGCCCACATCCACTGAAATAGAAGAGATTGGCGATAACAAAAATAATAAAAATAACAAACACAGGGGGGAAAATGGGAAATGGAAATTACTGACAATATGAATTGGAACGAAGACTGGATAGAACACATTCGATGAGAAGAAGGTAAAATAGACAAAAGTGGTTTTTGCTAAGAATTCTTTGTCTTGTCGAATGTAATCGTCTACCAATGATTTATTATCGAAGAAAGGGACGTTGAATTTGCCTTTCGACAGGGTATTGCTGTTAGGCAAAGTGCTCCAGATATAATGCTCCAGGGTAGACGTTTGCTTCGCTGCCTTGATCATGTTGGTCGCTTGGGTGAATTCGACTTTCTTCCCACCCTCAATTCCGAGCTGCATAGCTGGTTCGAAGAAATTAGTGATTGCAAAGATTGCATATGCGCCCTGGAAAGCCTTGACAAGACTGGCTTCGTCGTTGAGGTCGGCCGCGACGATCTCAACTCCTTTATTCTCGAATGTCTTTGCAGCATCACTGTCTGTATTGCGCGTCAAACCCCGAACTCGGTAATTGGGGTCCTGGAGAAGTGCGTCCGCAACAGAACCACCCTGGGTGCCAGTGATACCAACGACGACGACGAGTTTAGGCATGTTGTTGATATGAGTGTTAGGGCAGCAATCGAAGATGTTCAATTAGTTATGATAGATAGGTCGACCTGAAAGGTTTAGAAGGCTTTAGATTTTCTTTGGTTCTCCTCACTTTTGTTCTATCGAACAATTAAGATAGTAGATTTGTAGATGATTTTAAGATGATGGATGATCCTACGATGATGCCCTTCTTAAATACTCTCTCCCAGGATAAGTATTAAGCATGAACTTTCCATTGCAAGGCCAATATTTGTCAGTATGTATTTGTAAGAATAAAATTTATAAGCCGATATTTACAGTTCATGACGTTGAAGAATCACAGGAATTGTCTGCTCTTTCCTGAGGATTAGGATACTGGACTGTCGACCGTTCCGTCAATCTTGAATCCGCAGATCCCGCATCAGCCGTACTACCCTTTTCTTTTCTCCTGTCAAGCATTAACGCAAACACCATCGATTAAAGGATATTAACGGGTTTCTAAATTGATATGGGTGCTTAAAATTGCATATTATAGAATATATCAGTAAAAGCCAACACTTACACAGCTGATACAACTACTTGGGGCCCTTACCATCCGTAATCATCACTGTAACGGAAAGTGTACTAAGGCCTGTAGCAAGATATACCAGGCTGACAAACGTGGATCATTTAATACAACTTGGAAAATTTGACGCTATTTGATCAGTTGCATCTAAGCCATTTCAATTCCTGAAGCGTTGTCTTTGTCGCCTGAAACCTCACTATACAACTTATTAGTGATGAAGAACTCACTCATGTATGTATGTTTAATGTTAGTTTACTTATATATGTATACTCAATCCATCAAAATGTCTATGCAGATATCGCTAGCTGGTAGTACAGTGGTATAACGAATAAAACAAAGGGCTTGAAACTACACGAAAGTTTTCAATTACTTTCGCGAATATAAATGCATTACATCAGTTAATGACTTTTTCGATATTCCTATTTCTTTTGTCATCCCGGGTGCTCTCCTCCTGTCGACTGAATCACCTTCTCTACCTTTTCCTGCGCCAATCCCGCGTAGTGAGCACGTCGATAGACACCAATAGAAGTCAAGGCCAAGCCCACAATCTCATAAGCAAAAAGAACAGGCAATGCATAGCTCAATTGAGGATTGCAACCGGAAGACCAGACATCAATCAACACCTGAAATACACTATGAGCCGGGATGGCGTAAGCCCATTTATAGAATGCTGGTGATAGTTCAAATGGGAGGAGAATCGACGTCACATTTAGCACGATCCATGTCACTAGTGCCATGGGAACGTACTGCACGGGAATCCATATAGTGAAGACATCAAAGGCCAGAAAATTGAGGTGTGCAAAAAGCCAGATGACGACCCATGTAAGCACAAACTGATTCGCGTTGACGTGCCATCCGTATCGGAAAGCCCATATTGCTCCAGCGGTACATAACGAACCGATAAAGGTGTAGATTAAAGAGATAAAAAGGCGAAAGAAAACGATATGGTGGGATGCCAGACGAGAATAGAATTGTGATTTTGCAAGGATTGCGTTGACAATACCCACGTAGAAGAATTCTTGCAACAGAATCAGAATAATCATTATCGTGTTGAAGACTAGTCTCTCGCCCTGGGTGGTTGGCAGAATATTGTTTGATTGTAATACCCAAGGGTTGGCGAAAGTTGCGACGGCGACCGGATCGGTGCCATTTAGCATACTCAGGATGGGTTGAGTTCCATTGAGCTTGGAATAGGATATGCGTGCCATGTCTAATAATACACCCAGGTTGTTTACGAGGGCACTATCTATAGTGCTAGGATAGCGTGCTTCGTTCCAGATGAGTGTGAAGACTTCGTCGGGATTGTAGACTCCGCTACCTGTGAGTGCGGCAGCTAATCGGGTCGAAGCATTCGGTGCTATATAAAGTGCTCCCCAGTAGTCGATGTTGCAGACAGTAGAGAAAAGCGTGCTTGGTTCTGGGTATTGTGAGGGAGACTGCTCAACCAAGGAAGGGAACGCAGGGCCTTCCAGCTGCTGGTAGGCCTCTCGCACCGCAGATCCGATCAGTCCGTCATCATCGTAGTCGACGAAGACGATATTGATGTTGTGAACATGTGTGTTTTGCTGAGAGAGCGATCCGAAGACGTAAGAGAAGAGTGCTAGGAACAGGCATTGAAGCAAGATGAGATTAATCCCTGCAGCTCGAAGAACGGCGAGGCTAGAGTGCCGGATCGAAGCATGTAGAATGCTTATGCGTTCTGGGTGGAATGCTTTTGGATAGAAAGGCATAGGAGACGATACTTGTCAAAGCCAAGAATTGGTATGCTCTCAAGAATTTGATGTGAGGTGCTAGAGCAAGCTGGTGCAGTACATTCCTGAGCAAGGTTGACCTCTGATACAACCTCACATTCTATATCATCGTAAAGCAGAAGATATATATGAAACCCCACGAGAATAAGATCTACTATATACTTACTAATGTGTTGAATCAATAACTAACTAGTTATCGCACGCCTTGTTGTTGACATGTCGGGGTGGAACTGCGGATGCTCGGCAGGGTTCGGCTAATCTTGAGCCGCGAGCGGGCTGTCTTTAGAATCGTCATAGAGTCCGTATGTGGCTGGTCGGATAGAGTTTGTGCTCCCTTCTACAGGGCGGTCGCGGTACTGCCGGGATCTGCGGGTGGATGAATGGGAATATGGCGCATTGTCCATTTTGTCAGCTTAGAATGACTGAAAATTTTCGTTTCAAAACACCTAGCATTTCAGCTAACCATCTTCTGAAAGTTGAATAATTTAATAGATACCTAGAGTCTAATATTGATATCTAAACACTTGAAACGTCAACGATCCCGCATATCTCTTAACTTGTTAGATATCGATTCGAGTTGTTGCACAACGGAATCTTCTAAACCACGAATTTCTAGTATTGTTTCGATTGTATCTCAATAGCTTCTGAACTTCTGACGGAGGATTTCATTAGTCTTTTAATCCAAATCTGGATATTAATAGGCATATTTGGTATTTATATCAAATGAAAATCTAATATATTTGAAAGAGATTATATATAGAGTGAAAGTCTAAATATGAAATAGTCTAGGTATCGTTTAGTCTCTTTGCATATACTTAAGAGAAACCAAAACCACGTGCACGATCATTCCAAAGACTTATCCTAAAGCCAGCCCTAAACCTATCCCTGTCACCTAAGAAAGTGGAGTACGGCCGTAAAAAACCAAAACAAGATTGTCAGATTTAGTGGTAACATCCTAAGTAATCTGATATCGCGTTAAAAGGTTTGAGAGTCAACTTGGCGTGTACGAAAGGCTAAAGTATCCCCGGTTCTACTAGGATGATTTGCACTGCTTGAAAATGTGGGACCTGGCCCTGACAAGTTTAGACATCTAGGACTCAGCCTTAGCCAACATAGGATGAAGTAACCAACTCTACGTGAAATAGTAAACTTACTCGTAGCTGTTAGGCCTCATCAAATTAAATTGCTTTGTGTAACTTGTAAAATAGTCTACCACGGTCGTAAGGGTTTTGCAAGGATTCGAAATTACACTGTGCTACCTTTTTTCCGTTTTGGGGTAATGCATTCGTTGCTTTCTTTTGCCAGTGCTGCATTAGTGCAGAAAACTGAAGCAACCTTGCGTGATAATAGACCAAAAAAAGAAACCTAACAGGTAATTACAATATTTATGGGGTCATTATTTCTGCTCTGTCAATAGGGGTGGTAAATATGTAAATATCCGTATACGTAGGCACAATCTGTATTTTGATTCACTATTCTTCTTTGCGCCTCAGACTACGAATTTATAAGTCGGCTTGATCAAGCTATAGTTGTGGACCCACGCTGATAACTCTACTTATAATAGGGAGGGTTACCTGTACCCTGGCTTCTCCCATCAAACTTGACTCAATAGAGACCAACGTTGGCGCTGTAATTTACTAGTCAACCCCTGTGGCGCGACACTCGGGGGACCATCCATCGCTATATTGTCTCTAGTATGCCGGTGCCAGAAATGGACCAGAGGCCAAAATTGGAATCCCAAATTGCGGCGAGACTATTCTCATAATTTTTATTGGTCTCAGCATGACTCTTATGCGAGAAATGTCCTAAGCGATATACCTCTAGCGTAGGACTTCTTTAAAGCAAAATCTCTCTTGTGAGACGGGTTTGTGACAGGCACTCACGTAGATATCTTAAGTGGATGGTCTCCTGCGTGAGACTCTTTTTAAACGAGATCTCTCTTGAGCGAGATGACTCCTGAGCGGGATTGGTCCTATGCAACAGTTGTGCTGAATGATTGGCTTGTGCAGTTCGCCATAGCCTTGAACACAGCCTCATGTTCAGCCTAACCTAGCCTACCTAACTGCCCTTATGACAAACTAATGATGTTGGTTCTGTCAGTCCAGCCCAAACCCCCATATTTGCCTAGATCTGCACATTGGTGTCGAGTATCGCTTCGTAATGGGCGGAGTTTCCCCACAGCCAACTTTAGTTCGATCGCCTCGCAATCAAGATTCACTATTCTGCTCTATTTAATTCCCGCCAAGCCTATCAACAAAGCAATCGAATTCATCAAATCGTAGTTGGACCCAAAGCTTTGTCGTTGAAGCCATGAGTGAAGTTCTTGGCATTGTCGCGAGCGGAATCGCGATAGCTCAGCTTGCTCAGGCTACGGGAAGTGCTGTTCTAAAGCTCAAGCAGCTCTGGAACGAAGTCGAAGATACCGAAAACATTATACAAGACCTGATAGACCAAATTGACTGCCTTGACCCTGCGTTGTGGGAGGCAGAGCAGATATTCAACCAGAACATTCTTCCCTCCCATGTCTGGGACGGTACAGCGGCAAAGAAAAGCGCCAAATATTGCCGTATTGCTCTACAGAAGTTAACAGGCATCGTAACCGATTTGTCCGCCCAGATAGATTCGGCAAAGCGGCGCCAGAAGAAGCTCGGCATCGTGAAGGCTGTCCTGAAAAGGAAGCAATTGGGAGCTATAGAGAATAGGTTGGCGAACGCAGTAAGAATTCTACATGTAGCGCAAAATAGCTACCTAATGTGAGTGTCGCACGTCTTTTCCATGTTGTGGACCAAATGAATACCACAATTGTGCTCCGACAGCCCTCTCGACTCTTCTTCCCAGACGATTAAAGTAACAAGTTGCAGAGCGCAAAACACGGTGAAGCCCGATCTCATAGCTGCTAAGGTTGTTTCTCTGCTCAATGCGAGCTCTAGCCGCCAGGAACTCGCTCTCATAGACCAAGATCAGAGCACAGGTTGTTGTCACAATGAAGACGGCGATCCCACTGACAATCCTCCTCGGCTCCGGGCAGAAATATCCCAGGCGCGGGTCAACGGAACTGGGCCGTGGAAGACGACGTCAACCACTGAAAGACTGGCTTTGGAGCGCGCGTATAACAGCCATGTTGTGGAATTCCATCCTCCATTGTGGCTCGCTGGCTGGATGCATTCTTGGGACTTGAACGTTCGCAGGTCATACGCTGGCTGGGATGCGAATCTTCGCATCTATTCCATCAGGCCACGTGGCTCAGAATGTTTCCAGGCTACGCAACGAGGGGATATCCATCAGCTCAAGAAGTTGATGATGACTAGAGAAGCGATGCCCCACGATCGGGACGATCTCGGCTGGACGTTATTGCATGTAAGCTAGTCATCTCGGTGGCGGCGATAAAACAGCGTCTTCTAACCTGCTATCTTGCTCAGTATGCAGCGCATAGCATGAATGGGGAAATGGTCAAATTTCTGCTCGGATTAGATGTTAGCCCCAATGAGACCAACAACTCTGGCATGTAAGTACTTCAACCGCACAACAATCTCAATTATTTCATCCAGAATGCGACACATTGGACATCCATTTATATCACCCCACCTATAAATTCCTAACTTGATATGTGCCTGACATGTATGCCCTGGTCAGGATCCCGGTAGATTTCATATTCAAGTGGACTACATTCTATACCGTACCCTCAACGACAAAATTACTTAAGTTTGTCAATGACATCTCAGATACTGGATTTATCCCAGATGTCGGACCTGACGTTGAAATCGATCAACAAGCTTGCAACTGCCCGATTACGCCAATTTGGGAGCAGTTTCAAGCGATGCAGCCGCTGGCTTGTCCTGGGCACATTCAAACTAGTCTCTCATCCCGACTGGCCAAAGCGCGTGAGCTTGTTCCTTGTCCGAGCACGATCGAATATATGATGTTTTTATTGGGTCCTGAGTGGTCCGAGGGCCCACAAGTAGTGTGCAATACGGTGGATACAGAAGCATCCCTGATACATACGGCCTCAGATATAATAGTTAGGCTTGAGGAGAACATGGTTCGCAGACAATTACCGGAGGCTGAATTCCCCAGATGGATTTCTTTTGCCAGAGAAGTCATTCGGAACTGTCAGGACCTTCATGTACTTGAAGGTCCGAAATCGTGGGAGACGCAGTTTATGCCTTTTACGCCGCATGAGAACTGCACATTTACTCCACTTGTTCGCATTATTTGCAACTACACTGTTATACACGGCCCAAGCTGTTGCATGAAGGCCATTCGAACTTGGCTCCGTATGTTGAAACAGACTGGTATCGACCTCTGTAGGTATGGGCACCGCGAGAACCAGCTACTCCATGACCATCATCAACAGATAAAGAGATCTTTCGTGTGGCACGTTAAATTGCGCTATTCCGGGCGTCGTCCTGATGGGACGTGGCATCTTCTGGGCTTCAAGTTTGGTCCAGAAGTGGAAGATTGGGATATATGGTGGGACGAACCTACAGACGAATTTGCTGGGGACTTCTGGGCACTGGTTGAAGACCCGCCTCTCCACATTCCGGGGGAATGGGTTGAGACAGACCCTTGATTCAATTATCAAGAATAGCCACGGAAAGCGAGATCACGAAGCGGTTGAAATTGGCGAAAGTAACCAGCCATTATCTGTTGGTTGCAAAAGGTGTGAGACTCTGGGCGCTGTTTTTGCAAAAAATGTCGCAAGCTAAGATCTTTAGCTTTTTTCCCTTTAATTTGCTAGTAGATCTCTTTAACATCCCTGAACTTCATAACAAAAATTCCATCACTGAATGCCATAGAAAGTAGTTAAGCATGTCACGACCGTGTAATAGAAGTTTCATTAACAATAAGCCGCTGGGCCAAAAGCCTAGAATATTGAGGATGGTGAATCCTCTCTACTACTCAGGCTGCCACAGCCATCACACTCCCTGCCATTCACACTGTGGTCAGTGTGATGACCAAAGCTTTGATACTGATGGAGCTTCACGCATGATATACTTCGTTTAGAAAAATTCATCCAAAGTTCCAAGGAAAAGCAAAAGAGATTTGATAATGACACTAAGCAGTTTAATCTGAGGGCCAGAAGAAGAATATAAGGCTCGATTTATAGCGCTATTTAAATCTATTATATAGCCGAATAAAAAAGAATTAGGCCCAAAATGGACCCTGCCTTTTATAATAGGTTGTAAGTAGGTATTTCAGAAAAAAGACATCAGGAGCACCTAACGAGTACGAAGATGCTATTAAAAGCAACATATTGTAGCGGTCATGTTAGGTAATGTGATTTGTGTCTTGTTGGTGCCATCGCTACTTGAGCTGTAGTCCGAGGACGACCTTTTTCGGTAGTCTTGACACGTAAAGGTACATTAAGTCTTTAATTTTTGCAGCCGTCAATAGTCTTCTAAGTCACGTCTATTATGTCTGTCTGCCCGAAAAGACGAAAATGAGCAAGTTAATACGCCTGGTGTTTCTTCCCTGCCCAGATGTGCTTTGCTCATCTTCAATGCTATTCTCAGAGGAACCGAAAACCGTATTATCCAAAATTATCGCTCACTCGAAGTTGGGAGGTAGACATAGTCTATACCCTAGGAACGACTATGTAGCACTGGCAGGTTTCCTTCAGCAAATAAATGTCAACGGGCATTCGCCGCTGACCTCCGATGAACCATTCGTGGTGATCTATGACGGCCCCAAAAAGAGCTCTTTAGTATTTCACCCTGTGCCACTAGTCTCCAGAACTTCTCGGAGCAGCTGCCGGGACAAAACAAAGCGCGTCTACTTTTCCTACGCGGATTTTCTAGTTTGGACTGGTTGGAAGCAGTATCAGACTCCTACGGCGTTGATCCAGCTCTGTACCATAAACATCTTCAATTTCAAACCCAACAAAACGCTGTAATATTGCCTTAGTATACATTCCCAACCCTCCCGTCATTTTCCTCTAATATTTTCCAACTGACTTTCAAAATGATATGGTCCGAGGTAACACTGTTCTAAGTGCAGTGCCGGAGAATATCGAACGATTGCGACTTGAAAATTCGGAATATTTTCGAAAATATTTCTTAAAATTGATGAAATCTGCGGCATTAGGAGATTCAATGGTAAAGGGCTATTTGTTGCTGAGTCTGAGTCGCAAGTTTAGTCTGATCGATCAGAAAGTCTCAATCGGCATCACAAAACTTGGTGACTCATGGAATGGTGGGTGGAATTGCTCTTGCTTGCTACGAAATAAATCAGGGTTGTTGCCTAGATGATTGAACTGGGCATTATTCTGCTGTGATTTGGATGGATAATGCACGCGATCTTAGTCGGAGTTATCCAAACCTTGGTGTCTAACAGATCGCTCTCGCGCCCCTGGACGCCTTACACTATTCCCATACTCCAACACCGAGATCGCCTGGCAGTGCGCGAAGAAATTGAAGACTTAATGCCACATCGAAAGGCTGTTACGTCGTGGTGAGCAAGTCGTTTGAAATGCTTCAAAGTACGGACGTGGAAAGCACGCCTCTGGGTGATTGGCTAAAATAATTGACTAGGGAGCGGAGCCGCCACAATAGCATGAACATATGACAGGAAAAGTCCGTTTAGTGAGCGATATTCGTGTCAACGTAATCAGAAAATGATCGCCCGGTGCAATAAACCAGGCAAGGCGGACTGACGTCGAGGGACTCCATTGTCAGGAGCTGTCTCTGCATTTGCTGGGTGGTGAAGTGAGTCACAAAACGACCTCCCCGCTTCATTGTGGGAAGTGAAGAACAATTCAGGAATATTATTAGAGCCAGCTGTCCTAGTTACTTCTGGTTGAGTTTACGGCGCTTTATCAAATGCCACATCGGACTCGGGTATATAGGTTGTTGGCTGCAGCCCGACGGCGCGTAGAGCTTCAGCAGAAGAAGAATAACGATCCAGTATGGCTGGCAGCAAGATTATCACTAATCTTTTTTTTTTTTTTTGGATATACTTCCATTTCGATAGCCGCCGCTGTCGGGCTGTATGCAACAATGCTGGCACTGCTCACCATATCTGTATTTCAACCTCATGCTGTATACCTGCACGCTATTCAGATGATGTGGTTTAAGAATCTTAATGTCCCCAAAACTTTTGGTTTCTTAAAGAACCAAGTCACTCCTTTCTAAGTTAGAACACCTTACGGTGAGCACCCCTACATTTGACATATTCTCCCAATCGAATTATATCGCAAGCATGAAGAATCTCTGATTGTGGAGCTGATTGGTTTCGTTTTAGACATCACGCCTAGATTTAAATTCTAACTATTGCGTGATAATCCTAATGCTGATTTGATTCTTCTTATGCACGGTGCTAAGGGTACTGTTGGTTTAGGATATAAAGTCCCTAACTACCATGTATTACCCGTTAGTCAATCTGGTAAGATTTATGTCTTGGCATTTGATTATTGTGGATTTGGATGAAGCATAGGCTCATTATCTGCGAGGGGTCCTATACTAGATGCGCTTACTGTTGTAGACTGGACTATGAAAGTCGCAGGTATCCTTCCCTCTTGAATCCTTATATTTGATCAGTCTAGAGCACTGTAGTAAGGATTTATTGTGTCTGAACAGCTTGCACTGTAGTCCCTGCCAGTAACTTTTGCTAACACTGTTATTGTTATGCTATTCGTTAATTGTGCGATGTTGGTCTCAACTTATTAAGTGATAGGAATAACCCTAATCCTATTACTATCTGAGAAGTTTTTTATGCTGTTTAATTACCTCCGACGCTTTATACTAGACAAATGGCTAAGTAAAGACCGCATTGTGTAGTATATTGGTGCTAATGAAGTTAATAGCAAGGAAGACCGCCTCACAATCATATCTGTTCAGGATGATTATAACATTTCATGTTATTCTATGAAAGTCGTCTTCTGGTATGCAGTTAACGCTTTGATACCTTTGGGTATAAGTTATGAGGAATTTGAAGAGATGAAGCTGGACTTAAAGGTTGATCTAGGTGCTGCCGGCTCGCTCGTAGAATGGAGAACGGATAACGGATAACGGTGTGATTCAGGAAGAAATACTGGAAACTGGCTTGCATGATGTTGTCATGAGTTCTCCGGTCGTCACGATGGCTGTGATGCGTATTTTCGAAGTGGCAGATCTGTCATTCACGTGTTGAATTAGATCAGATATACAAGTGACATGTATTTATTGTTTGTAACTTATGTCTCCTTTATTCCCAGCCCTAATAAAAATATATTTGAAATATTTAACATGTCTTTAAAATTATCTTGGTTCATATTAATCCGACAGGGGTAAAGTAATGCTGTGGGGCAAGCGGCAAAGATGACACTTCATTGGTAGAACTACGACTATCATGTATCTGCTCAAACTAGCTTTTTCTTTCATTCTCCAACATCCCCCGCAAACAGATCTGAACCAGTGCGGAGGTATGGGTTTGACACGGGCAATTTCAGGTGTAAGATATTAGGGAATTATGCATTTCTTTCCTGGTCTACTCGTCGGCTTCGGCGTTCTGACTATTATAATATCAATTTTTCTCAATTCAAAAGTGACCCCCGTATTACCACCTGCATCTCATTTCCCGGCGAATTTAGTGTGTTCATCAGGAAATAGACCCTCGAACTCTCCATATTTTGCTGGCTGGAATACCTGGTTTCACCCGGAACGCGTCTCATCATCGGGCCAATTTCGAGAATGGAACATTTTGCACCATCTAGGGGGAAATGGCCCTTGGATTCAAAGAACAACACCCAATTCAATCGAGAACTCACTGCCTGATAAATGCGAAGTAGAGCAGGTGCATATGGTAAGTGGTCGAATAATCTCTAATATACATTCATAAAACTAACATCGAGTCCAATTCCTCTCCTTATAGCTTTCACGTCACAGTGAGCGATATCCTACCCGCAATGCCGGAGAGCGCCATTTAGCGCTTGTTAGGCGCTTGAAAGACTTAGAAGTTCCATTGAATGGATCACTTTCCTTCTTCAATAACTGGACCTATTTCACCCAAGTTCCAGAACGGGATTTCGACCAACTCACTTCCACTGGTCCATACGCCGGCACCCTAGGAGCTTTTACCACAGGAACTCGCTTTCGTACTCGCTATGGCCATTTACTACCTTCTCAGGGCATCAAAACTAAAATATGGGCCAGCGACTCACAGCGTGTCATCGAAACTGCGAAGTATTTTGCCGCTGGGGTTTTTGGAATTGACTGGGAACAGATGCAAAGGGCCGAGGTGGAAGTAGTACCAGAGACACTGGACCAACATACCAATACCCTAACCCCCGGCGACACTTGTGTCCGGTATATTGAAGATACTGCCTTGGGTCATGACTATGGCCGGAATATGTTGGCGGTATTTCAAAATGCGTACATTCCTCTTATAGCGCATCGCCTTGTTGACGAGGAGAACAACCAAGCTGTGGGAAATTTGTCCGCTTTGGAAGTATATGGCATGCAAGAGATGTGTGGATTTGAATCTATTGTTCGTGGAACTAGTCCCTGGTGTGAGCTATTCACTCCCAAAGAATGGGAGCATTTCGAGTATGCCAGAGACCTTCTTCACTATTATCGAGGTGGACCGGGAAATAAATATGCAGCAGCAATGGGATTGTTATGGCTGCATGCTACGGGGCAGCTTCTGCAAGCTGGGCCCGAAAACGGGACACTATTCTTTAGTTTGTATGCATTCTTTTGACTGCTTCTTGATGGGTTTTTTTTATTGATGAATACTTAGTGTTCACGATGGTGATATTGCGCCCATGCTAACAGTTCTCGACCTGTTTCCTGACCCTAAATACGACCCGCATCTTCCAGTCACGCATGTCGCTGAGGATCGTGTATGGCGGGTATCTACTGTGATGCCCATGGGAGGAAGAATCAGTTTCGAGCGGCTCCGGTGCAGTGGATCAGACAACGTATCTAATGGGACTTATGTCCGCATTAACGTTAATGATGATATTGTTCCGCTACCAGGCTGCAGCTCGGGGCCAGGAGAAAGCTGTCCTCTGGAGAAATTCACAGCGAGGATTAGCAGGAAGAGAGAAGAACTTGGCGGGTTTGCTGAAGTTTGCAAGACGAGTGGACTCGATACAGGAATAACTTTTCTCAAGCAACCAGGGTTTTGAGAGAGCGTTGACTCTGGCCCTGAAAGATTGCTGTGGCTACCTTAGTGAAAATAATAGGCGCTGAATGACATGAATCATATGTATATTATACGGCACTACATTGACAGACAAAATAGAAGCAGGACGGACAGAGGTTTCTATTTTACATTACAAGGACATGTTTCTAGTTGTTGAAAAAACTTAGGAACAACTTTGGTGTTTATTCGCCACTTTCTGAAACTGGTGATCGGTAGTTGTGTTTGCAAACCTGGTAGTCCATTTGAAAGCGCAACTAATTTGAGGTTCACAGGTTTATCCCGGCAAATGAGAGCGAGGAAACACTGTCATATGCCAGAGTCAGAAAAAAGGTAGACCCATTCCTTCCTACTGACCACTTAGACTCGCATGCTTACAAGATTGGCCATCTTTGTTTTGACGCGCAACCCCACAACAAATATGTTATGTGGATATTCGACATAAAAGCCTTTGTCAGATGTCGCATAATGTATGGAAATGAATCGATATTGGCAGGTTTTGTACCCGAACTCAGGTTAGCATCAATCTCATCTTGTTTCCTAGGCATTGTTCGTGCGAAATACTCAACATCAAGGTATTGAAGGTGCAAAAATGCCCGATTTGCATGTGCATTCGTAGTAAGAGGAGAGCAAACCCTAACTATAGGGGAATTCCTGGGAGTCGATTTCATTGATACAAACAGGTTCCTTTTATCCCTTTGGTGTTCAAATGTTAATTCAGGGGCTGGTAAACCGCTATCTGATAATCCTGGAAAGCAAGAAGATGAGTTCAGACGGTCAGCGCCGGGTATACTCAATCAGGGAAAGCGAAGCCTGTCATTATTAACTAGGTCCTTGTTTGCCCAAGTACCAGGCAGTCACCATAATCATTTCGCGTTATATAATAGACGCAACAAATCCAATTTAAAATGGACATTTCGGATAGAGTTAAGAGAGTGAGATTTCTACTCCCAGCCACCATACATATCATCGGAGAAGTGACATCGAGTTTATTTGACTGCTTCGTCGAGGATCTCAGGGCTGCCATTCTCGATGTCGAATGGGAAATATGCTATACAGATGCCGCCAGCGACTTGCGAGAAGTCGTTTTGGAGATAGAATCTGAGAGACGCTTCGAGTCGTTTGTCCTGGACATGAGAGCCGCCCTCGACTATGAGCAAGAGATAGAATCCGATCAGCGCTTCGACTGGTTTGTCCAAGACTTGACGGCCGCAGTTAACAACATTCATGAGCAGATTTTGCGAGCAGCCGCCCGAAAGCGAGAATCCCAAAGACGCTTCGAGATGTTTGTCCAAAGCATTGCGCGTGAGCGAGCGCTGTATGATCGAGATGTACGCATGCAAGATGCGCCGCCAAGGTAAGTGAGCAGTAATGATTACATGTATTTTATAACTGTATATCTGAGGCTTCCATATAGAGTGGTCTATGGCAAATGTATACGGCAGACGCTGATGATTGATTGCCACAGCAGTGCAGGATGTGAGCGAGAGCTGTTCGACCGAGATGTATGCATGCGAGAAGCACCGCCACTGTAAGTCAGCAGTAACGATTATTTCATAGTTATATATCTGAGGCTTCCATATAGAGAGGTATGTGGCCGTTGTGTATGGCAGGCGCTGATGATTGGTTGCCACAGCAATGCGGGCTACGGCCCACGCCGGGGCACGGGACACAAACCGATCAAACAGTGTAGGAACAGCAATCACCGCTGGAGCCCGTACGAGACACCAACAACTCCACGCCATCGCAGGAACCTTTCTTCAACAGCTGCATCTAGGCAGTAAATGTGCTGGTCCACACGATACTACCAATTCGCAGCTATATAAGCCACCCGTCCCCGTTTCGCACCGACGAAAACAAGCGACCTACCATCGCCGCCCAAAAAATATTTCTCGCGCATTTTCACGATGGAATATCATTTCGTGCCACAGGAGGAACGCGCGCGCGATGATAAAGGAAACTTATTACCGTGGGGATATGTGTATAAAGAGTTAGTACCATTGTGCTATTTCCAGCTGGGAACTTCAAACTAACACAGACTTTAGTGAGACTCGCAACCCGAGACGCCCTCCAGAAGAATCAGGACCATTTGGCCGCCGACGAAATGCTCGCTATGACCATGCACGATCACGCACGCGTACTGGCACACCTGCCAAGAAGGAAAACCCGAATGTCGCGGAATTCGGTCGACTATTTGCACAGCAACAAGAGGATGAACGAGTAAACAACACTCTTCCCAAATCGTCATCGTCATCGACTCTCGAAGGATCAAGGAAACCCATCGAGAAAGTCGCGACTGAATGTATCCTCTACGGGTACAAGAACAAGGAGTCGGAATGGAAAGTGATTGATAAGTACGAACGCATTTCGCAAGGCGTGATCTGTGAGGACTACTCGCGCAGCGATCCTAGCGCATCCAACCAGCTGTCGCAAATGCTCAGTGGGGGTGATGTCGTTATTCGAGCAAACCTGTCCGCTGATGCTAATCGCAAATCAAAGCGCTATGCTGGAGGCCTTCACTGGATCAAGGTCACTTTCGACTCGACCACGGCAGCTGATCGCGCGTGTTTCTTCTCCCCGCAAGAGGTCGATGGCCATCTCGTCTTCTGCGAACTCTATCACGGACAGGGTCCCGCCGAAGATATTCCCATACCAAAAGAATCATTGGAGGCTAACCGGACGCGGTCAAGAGCGCATCACACCCTGACAACGTCTCATTCCACCGCGTTTCTTCAGAGCAAAGAGATGGAGAGAGTCACATTACCTAGATCATTCGGGATGAACAACCTGAATATTGTCGGCGATATCGACGAGGAGGAATCTCAGCTGTCCAGTCCAACTGCTAGCTCTACCACTGCTACCGCAGTCGAGCAGACAACAGCAACACTTCGCCAACGAGCAGTACCGGAACCCAAGCTCGAGCCAAAACCAGAATCAGAGTTTATGACGCACATTCCTACAGTTCGTCGTGCGGTCCTACGTCCAGTTAACGAAGCTCTTCCTCCGCAGCCTACACTGACTGAGCGTGTTCTTCGCTCCATCCCTATCCTCAGTTGGTTCACAGGAGATATTGTTGGAGATGGCCCACAGTTTGGTGAAGATGGGAAGTTCGATTATATGAAATCAAACCTGTATTGGCGCTTTTGGTATTTGGTGGACCAGATCTTTGGCTCTGATATTTGCGGATTGAAAGAGGATGCTTAAGTGTACAGTCAGCTAATTTGCCCTTTCCATCGATTCTCCCAAAGACCATGAAGGTACAAGTCGGAGATCCCTTGGATAGTATCCTTAGCGGCAAAGATTGGCGACTCTTTGATACGAACACCATCGAAATGGACTGCCCCTTGTCCTACTCGACCTATCTACACCCTTCAAATAGCTGCGTTTAAGCTGAGCGGCGTCTTCGGCCGACTCCATGGCTATGCTCACAATGACCATATCGAGCGCTGAGTCTATTCTTCCGAAATTTACGATCTTATGAGTCTATCCACCTTATCTTACATTCTCGCGTGACCGAGAACCAGGCTGCCATTACTGAATGACAGCATTAAATCAAACCCCAATTTAAATATGGTGGTTTCCTATCTCTAAGGAGAGGCCTCTGTTTTTTCCCTAAAAGTTTTGTATTCGAGCGTGTTGTGTGCCTTTTGTTGAGCATCGTACAGCGGAGTGCAGCATGGCTTAGTTTGAACGCGTGTACATTAGAGCATTGAGACGAGTTCCCAGCGTGTGAGGGATAATACACCTATAGACTAATGTTATTGAAGCGTGCAAATACCATCTCATGTCGAAACCCTCCATTTCTATCCGCGTCTTAGTAATGGACGCCAGTCTTAGGGTTTAGCCGAGCAGAGCCGCAAAGGGAACGTAGTAGTGCAGGGCGTGCTGCAGAGACTCATAAACCCTCAGAATCAACGAGAAAAAAAGAAACAGTGTAGCTGAATCAACAACAATTAAATAAGACCCCGTAAATCGCTGCCAGCAGTAGCGTAATCCCTCCAGCGTGAAAGGCGTCGTGCATCGCACTCGGCTCGGCTCCATCTCCAATTTTCGCACTCCACACAAACCGCTGATTGGCCGCACCAATAATCGGCGGGTACGCTGAACAGAGCTTCAACAACCACCACCATCACGACCGCCTTGACTGCATCGTTACTATTCCCGACCCCTCCCTTCACCGCCATCCTCTCCGAGAGCATCATCTTCGACTCGGCTGTCTCTAAGTCCTGTGTCTGTGTGACCAGTTTGTACGATACCTCGCTGCGCCGTCCCGTTCCACCCCGCGGCCCTTTTTTTCTTCGCGCCAATTCGAGATTGAATCTCTCTTTTAGCCGCTTCACCACAAGATGGATCAAGCCAAGTTGGCCAAGCTCCAGCAGAGCGTGCGCATTGGTATGTTTATATATCTCTTTTTATCTCTTTTTTGGCTGTTTTTGGTGAGGGCTTGCTGGAATGGGGTGTCACATGATGTTGTATATGCATCGAATCGTTGAAGATGGCTTGTGAAGAAGAATCCTTCGCTAGTATATTAGACTGGGTCATGGAATTGGAGTTGAGGTTTACTTTTGAATTATTAATTATTTGATGCTAATTGAACTTTCTATACAGGGTACGTAATGACATCGCCGTTCCTAGTTGATACACCATCGATCTACATCATCAACCCGATCCCTCGCCTATAAAAATTTACCCAAACACTCCAGCTCAGTGTACTGACCATTGATAAATACAGAGGCAAAGGTACTCCCCGCCGCAAGACCAAGCGCGTTCACAAGACCTCGACCACCGACGACAAGAAGCTTCAAGCCACCCTTAAGAAGATGAACGTGCAACCCATCCAGGCCATCGAGGAGGTCAACATGTTCAAGGAGGATGGCAATGTCATCCACTTCTCCAACCCTAAGGGTATGCTCATTTCAATTTTCGTTTTGGACAAAGTTTTTGCGGTGCAGTGAGGTGGAAGAAGGAAAATAGCTAACTCGTACTAACAGTTCACGCCGCCGTCCCCTCCAACACCTTCGCCATCTACGGAAACGGCGAGGAGAAGGAACTCACCGAGCTCGTCCCCGGTATCCTGAACCAGCTTGGCCCCGACAGCCTGGCCTCTCTCCGCAAGCTCGCCGAGAGCTACCAGAGTCTCCAGAAGAAGGAAGCCGGCGAGGGCAAGAAGGATGATGAGGATGAGGATGACATTCCGGACTTGGTTGAGGGCGAGAATTTCGAGGGTACTGTGGAGTAAAAAAAAGAATTAAAAAGGAAATAAAGTGATGGGCATTTTTATTCTCTTTTTCTTTTGATCCCCCTGACGCGACGAGATCTATCCACGACGCAAATACCATTTTTTCCTGAATGTAATGTCACTATCCTACTTTTCAAAAATGCAGACGGCTGCTGGCAAAGAAATCCTAAAAATTTATTAACTCAGGCGTTGTCTTCTAATATCAAGACTTTGCATATGTGAATGGCATGTCTACAAATTGTAGACGTAGAGAGAAAAATGCATTTATATAAGAAATTCAAAGTATAGATTTCCAATTTACACTCTCTCAACCTCCTTATCCGTCCAATCCCATAACTTCTGAGCCAAATCTCTCTCCTTCAAGAACCTATTTCGTGTAATCTGATACCCAACCGGTGTGTAATACCCACCATTTACCAACTCTTCCTGCCTAGCACCAGCAACGGCCCAGAGCTGACTCAATGCACCCGACTGTGGAGATCTAAAAGCCAACTTCATAGTGGGCGCCAGGAAATACCTTGCAGTCAAATTCGATTGCCGCGTCCCATCATACAACGCCGTTGACACGACGCCCGGATGCACGGCAACAGCCTTGATTTCCGGGTGTCGTCTTGCAAGCTCCATCGCAAAGAGGATGTTAGCTGCCTTGCTCACGCCGTAGCGCTGCCATGTACTTAACCCCAATAGCTTCTCCGTCGAAGTCATCGTCTCGAAGAGCCCGTTGCCTGCCGGCGCCAAATTATTGCCCACACTACTCACACTGACAACGCGCACATCCGCGCTGCCGCCATCTGCCGTCGCCGTCTTGAGGAGCGTGGGGAGAAGAAGCTTGGTGAGTAGGAAATGCCCAACGTGGTTTGTGCCGAACTGGATCTCGTGGCCCTGCGGCGTGGTCACGGCTGCTTCACCCATAATGCCGGCGTTAAGCACGAGACGGTCTAGTCGTGTGTTTTCGAGCGTGAATTGCGCGGCGGCAGCTTTGATGGAGGGGAAGGAGGCGAGGTCAAGTTGGATGTACTGTATATCTACGGGTTGTGATGACGATGATTTGGATAGCTCGTCATGGATAGACTTGATGGCATCGCGTGCTTTGGATTCTGTCCGAGCAGCGAGATAGATTCGTGATGGGTTATGTCTGGCTAGCTCGAGGATTGTCTCTTTGCCCAAACCAGTGTTTCCTATTCAGCGCATTAATATCTGGTTTTGCATAATATACATGTATGTATGTTTGTTATTATATCAACTCACCGCCGGTTATGAGAATCACTTTGCCAGACAAATCACCAATGTCGCGCTGCGGTTTAAAGGATCGTCCAACCAGGCCACCTGTGAGCTCGCCTAGAGTCGGTGCAACTGCCGTCCAGAGCTCGCATGGATCCCTGGCGCCATTCACGGGCACAGAGAATACTGCGCGAATGTCTTGACCCAGTGTTGACCGAAAGTCTTTCTTGTCGCCATCGGTAGGTTTTTTGTTCTTTGATGTCGTCATGACTTTCGATATTTAGGAAGGATATTATAATAAGCAATTAGATATTCAAAAAATAAACAAACAATCCAAAGTGTCAATATGAACGCACCATAAATCAATTGCCAGGAATTATCGATGGGGTTGAAGATCTAGGAGAATACATCATCACTTGATGCCTGGGGCATGTGGAGGCTAAATAGAGTTGCATCACGGATGGATAACTGCAAATGTCATTGGTTTGCAATTGGTTCGTAAAGCTTAGTGCAACCTATGGAAGGGGTTTTCTTGAGTCCGAAACCAGATTTGCTGCATGTCTTTCCTAAAAGCTCTTAGCTGGTGCAGTCGGCATTCGGAAATGGTTGTATTGACTGTTCGACTGTCTTACTGGCTACAGGGAGCTCCTGCAACAATCAATTGATAACTTTACGGTCATGGCTCAACACATTTAGACAGTTATTATTGTTGAGCTTGTTCGAAGATATATTTGATCAATATCATCTGGGCTAGATAATTATTTCTTTATTTAACACCCGCTCTGGGTTCATTGCTTCTATGGGTAAATCTGCTCAATGAATACGCGACAAGAAACATAAAAAAGCCGAGCGTGACGGTCGTTGTCGTGCTTAATCTCAAGCTCGTTCCTCCAGTATTACCGAGTTAGAGCCCAGCTGTCTCTGCTTCTGGCTTGGGCGGGAGGCACTTGGCGATGAAATTTTCGAGATCTTCAATCTCCTTCGGTTCTGCCGAATGAGTGAGGCCGCTATATAAATTCTTTGATCAGCAATTCTATCTTAACGAAAGGGAAAGAAGTAGCTGTCTCAAACATACGGGTAGCTGTGGAAATCAACATCAAATCCCAAGCTCTTCAGGCGCTCGCTGCTCTTCTCACCAAAGTGGAATTGGACAACATCATCATCCGTACCGTGCGCCAGGAAAAATGGCGTCTTTTGGTTTGGAAGCTCACCCTTCGGCGACAACGCCTTGAGCTTGTCGGCTAGCAGCAGATAGCAAGATAAACCGAAAACACCACCCAGTTTAAGGGAATTCGTGATACCGGTGAAAACAGCTATTGCTCCACCTTGTGAGAATCCGCCAAGCACGATGCGCGACGGGTCGATTCCCTTGTCGATTTCTTCCTTGATCAGAGAATTGAAGTAGTCGCGGGAGGACAAGATGCCGGGCTCGTCTTGATTGGCTTGTGCACTCTCATATCCTAGCTGCTCAAGTCAGCGGCGGCTTCCATCATGATGATGATAATGTTGTTGTTGTGAATTGGGTTCATACATCTTGGCCAAGGTGAGTAATGTCATACCAACCAGGCATGCTCATGCCCATATTCTGCCACCCTCGTTAGTCTTATGAATATCCCTCTAGTCCAACGTGCCACGTACGACTGTAATTGGAATCACCGGCGCATTCGGGAAGATGAAGGAAACTTCATCGAATTTGTTTCGACGTCTCCAGTTCTGCGCGAGACCAACCCTTCGATGATCAATTATTTGGTGTTTATGCGGAGTCGAGGGCCATACCAACCAGCGCCACTATAAAAAAACCAATATTAGTGACATTGAGCATAAAAGCCGTATTACGTGCAGCATAATCGACGAACCTATCTCCAAGACCATGGGCCATAATGACTGTTGCGGTATGCTTCTTCAGCGCGGGGACGACTAACGGGGCCCGAAACGACATTTTGCCGAATTGCGAGGGGAATCAATCTCAACAAGCAATTATGAGGGGATGGACCTAAATTAACCCAGAATATGGAATTCTGCAGAAGGAATTACATGAAACAAGATGCGAAGCTCGGAATCGCAGGGAGAATGATAGTAAGATGAACCGACTCCCCGCAAACACTGGCGCCGAGGTCCGTGTCTGCAGCAATTTTGCCCAAGGCGGTGAGCATCAACATTTGTGCAAGAACTTTATATCAACATGTTATTACACAGATCATTTGTTACTTTCATATGTGTTACTTGTATGTTTTTTGTGGAGAGTTCTTCTAAGATATTCATTTATATTCCCCGAAATACATATTCTCAACAAGCGGGTGCAACCTTATGTGTTGACTTTAACCCCACAGCACATTCAACTTCATCAAGCCCTTCTTGGGTTTCAGAGCCGGCTCGGGGTTTTGGTTTGCCATTTCAATAAAGGCTCTGATTGGTATATCTTGTAATGGGATGACACTTGTCTTGTAGAATAGTTTGTATCCAAAGTACAAGGCGAAAAAGATGGGGATGTTAAGGTAGGAGGATATGAAACTTTCGGTAACCCAGCTATAAAACCAAGGATTCTCGTCAGTCTTGAGTGCCCGTTTAGAAGCAGAAAGAAAAAGAAAGGAAGGAGATACATACTGCCCATGCAGAAAAGTAGACCATCCACCCGTAAGCAAAAGCAGGACAAATAGTGTGAGCGAAGCCCAAGTAATATACGGCTGAAACGGAGCCGCCCATGGGAGTTCCTTGCGGGAAATGTTCTGTTTCTTGCAGCCGTAGAAAAAACGAAGATACACAGTACATATCACCATCCAGTTCACCAGCGTTGCAATAGAAACCAAATCCTGGAGCCAAGTAAAGACTTCGGCGGCTGTCTTTGACAGCGACATGTATGATAGACACATAAACACTCCAAAAAAGGAGACGGAGAGGTATGGAATGCCGAATCGGTTGACACGAGTGAAGATTGAAGGTGCGTGGCCTTCTCGTCCCATTCCATAGAGGATACGGGAGCCGCCTAGGAGACTGGAATTGCCAGCAGACCTTTACGAGGGGTAGCTTTGGATTAGGAAAAGGAGTTGCAAATAGTGTGGAGAGGCATGGAACTCACCATGCGGAAGTTAATACGACAGCATTGATGATTGAAGGAATTGCACTGATACCAGCTCGACGTGCAGCTATGACAAATGGAGATTGGTTCGCATTTCCAGTGGAATCAAGAAGGCTGGGGTCATTTGATGGGACAATCAAGCCAACCATAAAAATGGTAATAACTGTGTTTTACATGTCAGAAATGCCACACTGTTCCTCTAGGAGTGTTTTAGTACCGTAGAAAATCACGATCTTCCAGAAGACTCGCTTCGCAGCGAGCGGGATAGACTGTCTTGGTGACTTCAATTCAGCTGCCGCTATGGTGAAATTTTCTATTCCGGAGTATGCGTATAAAGCAGAGTTGGCACTCTTCCAAAATCCAAGGAAACGACCAAGAGAACCTTGTATAGCAAGGTACTGCACGAAGGGGCCGGGGTTTCGCCAGTATTGGAACCCAATACTTTGATGATCAGGACCCCCACCGCAAGTTATAACGAGGGACTATCGTGAAGAACATCAGAAAGAATCATTATATCAGTAGATTATTATATTATGAGGGTGAACAACATACCATGATGTCGACTCCAATGACTAGCATAATCTTCAATATCGAAAAACCGAATTCCAGCTCGCCATAAACCCGAACAAACACCAGAGCACTACACAGCATAAGAACCCCAAAGATCGTAATCCAGATGCCGTTGTTGAGAGTCGACCAAAAGTCCACAATCACCGCAGCAGCTGTAATTTCGGAAGGAATCGACACAGCATGTGCATATATCTCATTCCATCCATTTGCAAAGGCAAGAGCCGGGTCAACAAAGTTTTCAGCGTAACGAACAATACCTCCATTGAGAGGAACAAGAGCGCCCATTTCTCCAACCGCCAGAACGACGGCGAATAAAGAAGCTCCGATAGTCGAGTAGGCAAGCCATGCCCCCAATGGGCCGGATCTTGCTATTGCTTGTCCAGAGGAGAGGAATAAGCCAGTGCCGATTGTGCCAGCCAAGGCAATCATCTGAATATGTCGCTGATGCAGACCTTGTCTGAGCTCGGTTTTTTCTTCGAATTCGGAGCTGATATGACCCTCTATGTCTCCTCTGTCGTTGAAACTCTCTGAAAGAATTCTTGCATCGCCATCTTGAGCAGTCTTCTCATCAGTGGCCGCACTATTGTGAAAAGTAGACATTGCGACGATGTCGTTCCTAACGGTGTAATAGTTGATGATGTGAGGTCACACACTATTCTTTATACGCAATGCAGTGTTACATCAATTGTACATGTATGCACCTGCATGGGGTTTTAGGAGAGAAGTGACGTTGCATTTATACCCAGCTATCTCTGATAAAGATAGCAAATGACTATCATTTATCGTGATCCGGCAGAATGCCAAATCTGCATTATCGATTACCACGATTCGTCGAACGTAATGAATGCAGTAAAGGTTGATATCTGATAGCGAGTACCTGGGTTAGAGCAGAGGAAGCTTTATCTCTGCCCTTTCATTTCCCAGCATTGGCCATATTTGCTGCTAGTGCATGCACGAGCTGTCACTCTACGGCGTCTCCTTATCCACTGGCCACGACTAGTTTCTGGATCAGCGTTTCCTGTTTTCTGGTTAGGCGCTGGATTATGTCAGAGAATATCAACCAATCGCAGAGCATCCTGAAAGAGACTGTTGGGTGGCTCATGCCGTTTCCGGAATGGTCTCAGTAAGGTCGATCTAGATCTACAGCAGCTTTGTCCAGACATGGCTAGCCTATCATTTAGTTTCTAGTCGGCCAATGATAGAGAGTCCTATCGGGAAGTTCGCATCATATGACTGGCTGAAAATAACCTTAAGGCTTGATCCGTCCAGCGTTTTCTACTTCTGGCTAGCGTTCTGATATTCAACCAATCAGATAAGAACAGAACTCATCTGGGGATACAACTTATTTCTCCCCATTCAGCGTTATCCATGTTTAGAATTGCCCAATTAGCCATGAATCGACCGCTTTCCTCTTGTGGAATTTGGTCGAGGGGAGTGCTAGTCAGGAACGGAGAAGCATGACTCGTTTGTTTGCCGTGTTTGGGATTTGATAAGTAATTATTATTCATAGTTTTTCTTTCTGATATCTTGAAAATTCTCATTCTCATCAATACCTCTCTTTCAATATCCAATACATCTAGTTTTTGTTTGACAAAATTAAGAATTAGATCATCACCTGAGCACATTAACGCGTTGAAATGCTGTCACAAAGAGGACTCAAGAGTGCAACGAGTCAGGATATTCCTTGGCGATTTGCACCTGGTGGTAACAATCGCTATGACTCTGTCACAAATCCTTCGGGAGTAATATCATTTGCAACAGCAGAAAACGTATGTTCCTTTGTCACTGAAAAGTAACATCAACATCCATCCTAACTCTCATACGCAGAATCATGTACAGGATGAACTCGCCGCTTATGTGGCTGAAAATGTAAGCTACTTGATCTTTCGCACATAATGCTATCCTCTCCATCGTCAGCTTTAACTAGCTATACTACAGGTCTCGATCCCGAGGGAAGCTTTCCTGTATCGTTTCAGTACAATGGGCGGACCTCGTTTCCCTATTGCAATGGCACGGCATCTAAACGAATACTTCCACCCATTCAACCCTATAAAACCCGAGCAAATAATCACCGCCTCCGGGTTGACTGCGATCCATGAGCTTGTTGCTTGTAGTATCGGGAATCCCGGGGACGGGATACTGGTCAGTCGACCCGTTTACGGGCGGTTCGAGCTCGACTTCGGAAATACCGCGGATCTGAACATTGTGTACGCCGATATGGACGGTGTAGATCCGTTTGGAACAGATGCGGTGCCCAAGTATCAAATTGCTTTAGAAAACGCGCTGAAAGACAAAGGAATCAAGGTTAAAGCGCTACTGATTGTGAATCCGCATAATCCTCTTGGTATGCGGTGTACTCATTGCGCTTGAATAATGTTAATAACTTACTCATTTTTGAAATAATCCAATAGGCCGCTGTTTCCCCCCTTCATCACTACGTGAACTCATGGGTTTCTGTCAAAGAAACTCGATTCATATGATAAGCGATGAGGTGTACGGATTATCAGTTTACGGAGAAACAAACTCAAATGACGAACGCTCCATCGGCTTTTCGTCTGTTTTGTCAATTGATAGTACCGGATTGATTGATCCAGATCGATTACATGTGTTTTACGGAATGAGTAAGGTAAGCCAGAACCAACCTTTCCTTATTTAACTTGGCAATTGGTGCATATATATGCTAAAAAAAAGGATATATCAGGATTTTGGCGCTGCCGGTCTTCGTCTTGGTTGCTTGATCACACAGAGCACACTTTTGAGAAAAGCAGTTTCCTGTAACATGCGATTTCACAACCCATCTGGCATGTCAATCGCAATTGCTACAGCAATTCTAGAAGATCGGGAGTTTGTAAAGTCCTTCATCAATATTTCCCGACAACTGTTGAATGAAGCTCGACAGTGCACTTCACAGATTCTAGACCGGGCTGGAATAAAATACCATAGTGGAAGGTAAGTCTCTCAACCTTTCCATAAAGCTGAAATACGAATGACTACATGGAGTTGGAATTCTGATGATGAAATGGTGGTAGTAATGCCGGCTTCTTCCTGTACATTGACCTCAGTCCCTGGCTTGTAGACACGAGTGGTGATTCTCAAGATGAAAACGACGCCGAATATGCATTGGCACAGAAGATGCTAGATGCAGGCGTTGGTATTCATCCATGTGAGGAACATGGCGAATCCAAGGGCCACTTTAGGCTTGTATTCAGTCAACAGAGGGATATTTTGGAGGAGGGACTCAGTCGGTGAGCATCCACTTCTCGACTATACTAATAAAGTAAATACAGTATGTATATTATAGATGTTGGACTAATACATGCTTGCAAATAGGATGATTCGTGTGCTGGAAGCCATTCCGAAATCTGATATTTCATCAGTGAGCCTGAATCAAGGGCGCAATTAGAATTTTTCATTTCTGTGTACAAAGCTTGAGAGCACATTTTTGATACCGTATAAACTGCATTAAACAGGGAATTAAATATTATAAAAACGTATCGACAATTAGCGTTGCATGCTATGAGGTGTTCCGATATTATCCATCCATATTCTGTTGCAAGCTTTCCTGCAAGAATCTTCCAGAACCGGCAGACTGTTCAAAAAAGAGATGATGTGGGCCCAGGATAGGAGACTGTTACCCCTAGACAAAGCCTCTGTTATTTCAATGAAATAGGACTGATAGTCAGTACCTGTAGCGGCATACGAGCCAAGGAAGGAAGTCCAAAGCATCTCGGCAGGAAATGTCGCCATCAACAGTGGCAGATTGGTGCTGCAATTCAAGAATTCTTGCAGTCGTTTGACTAATCTTCTGCGCAGTTTTCCTCCAATAGGGGTTTGTCGTAGATTCGTGTATATGTAGAGTAAGCTCACACGAAGTAGAAGCCTGGTAATATCGTGTTGTTGATAGCGGTTCGCAGTGTCCACTTCTTCTTTCTCTTCTTCGGCAATTAAACACAATACCTTGTGTTCAACACCGTACAGGCGATCCGGATAAGCGGCTTCAAATGGAAGCTCCTTGATATTGGAAAGATTCAAAAAAGTAGTGAGTTCATGTAAATTTTTAAGCACATCTAGAACCTCTACTCGATTCGACAGAATTGCCGTATCCTTTAACACCGAGTTAAAGGGAGGTTCATAAAAGTCAGAAGTCGATGTCGTCTCAGGTAAAAATGTCGACAAGGGTGGCATGTTTTCGAATTGCCAACGTGGTAATCGAGGTTTGGTTTGGAAAGTTGCGCTGCACAGGAGATCCGACCTGTAATTGGTTAACATCCAATTCTACTGTGACGGTTACTGAACATACCATTGAACCATCCTGCGTGTGATTCCTGACAGCCCCAGATTATTGAGCCCTCCTCGGAGTTCAACCATTCGTTGCAGGCCATTAATATGAACCAATGCATCCGAAACCGATCCACTCAGGCACTAATGAGAATAATCAGAAAAGTCTTCAGGTAGTATAGGTTATACATACCGCTATGTTTGAAAGACAGGATACTGCCACAATGGTGGAGTCTTCGACTTCATTTGGAGAAGTAGTAATAATTTCATTCATAGCAGATCGTGATCTTGAAAGGTAGTATGCACTTTCTTGGTTATCTTCATTTTTCAAGACCTCCAAACGAGCTGCTGAATATGAGATGGACATGAAAGTCCAGGCTGGGTTCCCCATACAATATAGCTTGTATGTGTTTGTTGGGTCTGAGTGGACTGAGGTTCGGATAGAGTTTGTTATACCTGACAAACTGTTAGCATACTGGTGGAGCGATTGAATTGTGAATTATATAATGGAATGTTTTTTAGGTCAAGGTGTCTGGAAGCACATCGGGCTGCGAGACCTACCCTGACTTAGCAACATAAGAACGCGTGGAGTTGCTGGGATCGAAAGACCATGAACTGGATTCAGTCTTGCATCCATAGCCGGCAAGAAATTAATTATAGAATTGTGTACTGCATCCACATCAAATGCTGCATTATACGTATTCGAAAATGCAAGTGTCTCCGGGGGTTCACTTTTGCTTTGGAAAATATTGCTTGCTGTGCTGTCTTGATGAACAGTGTCCGATTGAGAGGAGTTTGACTTCCGTCTTCTCTCGCTTTGTTCCTGTTCTTTCTGCTTCCGTCTATCCCTTTTGTATTTACGCATCACATGTGCTCTCACTAATTTATGGGTGGATTGATCTGTGATTTCCGGACGGCCGCCCATGTTGATGAAGAGCAGGCCGTCTGCCAGCTGACGCGGCGGCGAGGATGTTATAGAATCCATGTTCAGCGCTATTTCCGTCTTCTTTCCCCGCCCCCTCCCGCCTTCTCCTTTTCAAACATTCGATTTGTCTTGGTCGATTGGGTGATTTATTATTGGTGAGGGAGTGGCAGAGGTGATGTTAGAAAGGAGGTTGACTGCGGGTTGCGCCAATCACCTGCCGCGCCAATACATCATCCTTATCTCCGCATCGCCTCGAAGCTTGGAGATGAATGTGATAGATCAAACCACGAACCATAAATACATTGTTGGAAAATAGAGTCTCCTAAATTGTATTTATTAACGTCGGTTTTGGTTCATTCGATGCAGAATGAAAGCTGTGTCACCAGTCGAGCATTCTCATTGGCTGAAATAATACCTTAACCAATCACATTGAAATTTGACAAGTATACATTATTATAAAATACAACATGTCTGTACGTCATTCAAAATCGGTTCAATCTTATCAAGAACAATTGTCTACTCTCAAATCAATAGATGCAATTACAGGCCTGCAGTCTCAACAAGTTGGATATTCCAAGCTGCGGTGGTCACTACGTGGAGAGCTCCACCAATGACGTAGCGTGCCGACCCAGCAAGGTCATCAACTCCGAACGACAATTGAGAACGTCCAATAATTCTCTTCTCACACTTTACCTCAACTCACATCACTACGTTAACAATCCAACCCTGCATACAACAGAATCCGGCACATTTACTACAACCCATCAAACACGCAAAAAACAACAAACAAATTTCCATCATGTTCCGCTTTGTACGTCCCCCATTCCCTCCGTCCCCTCCATCCCTCCAGTTCGACTGATATCATCTAACCCTCTCTACAGCCCAAATCCGTCGATGTAATAACCCTCTTCCACAAGCCCTCGCTACCGACATCTACTCGTGTTCTCAACATCCTGCGCACTGCATCTGCGAATGCCGGCGAAACCGCTACAATCGATCAAGCCAGCGACCACAGCGATCACAACAAACTACAAAAAGAACTGCGCGGCGAATTCGAACTGGACGTGACCGAGGCTGTGCCGACTAGTGACCAGTTAAACAGCATTATCGACTACTTGCAGGCAAAGGGGGTTAATCCCTCCGCGGTTATGGAAGGGGCTAAAGATAAGGCGGATGCGCTGAAGAAGTTGAAGGAATTTGGGGATAGAGGGTTTATTAGGCCTGTGGTATGTACTCATCCGCACAAAAATCCAACCTCTTTGTCTTTTCAACGAGGATGAATGGAAATGAATTGAATTGTCGGCTAATCATCGGTGATGTAAATAGGTGGTTGATTGGGTTAATGGAAGGGCTACAGTTGGCGACAACGAGTCCGAGATTCTCAAGTTGGTCAGGGAGGCGGGCTCGTCTTGAGCTGTGACATTGATTAATTGCACAATCCAGGGAAATGGAAGCTTATTTGTATCATTATATCAATTTCTGTCTTGATTTGTACCTCAATTTGAACGAGTGAGACTAGAGAAATTAGAACAGTGCATATAGAGAATCTAGAGGGACCGCTACCGAGGTGGTAATTCGACAAAGCCAATGCCTGTGAAAGAATATATAACCATCGACAGATCAATTAAACTTATGATAAATCAGAGTTCTTTAGAGTTTAAATTGATAATTTAGACCAGAATAGTGCGTATTTACCAACAATAAAATATATAATATTTGGCATTGCACACAGTTGCTCTATCATAGGATCAATAATACTCATACATACACGAAGAAAAAGACGAACAAAGAACAAAACAAATGCATGAACACAGCACTAAACAGAATAAACAGTCCCATCTCTCGATCTGTTAGATAATACAGCGAGAAAAGCAGCCGAAATATAGCCGACGCAGCGGAAAGCCAATGCATCGGCTGATGAAAGAGTAATCAATTACAATGGTGATCCACTCACAGAAGGAAATATACTCGCTGCTGTAAAGTCAAGCTAAGAAAAAAAAAGGTCCCAGTCGAGAGCCCGCTCATTCGACCGGAAACTAAAAGGAAGATCTAGAAGATGGTTCCAAAGGTGCCATCTGATAGGATTGATTTCCTGGGACTGCTTCGGCCGTCTTCGATTGCTGGCTTGCGATGTCTGTGATATTGTCAGTAAGAGACTATGAATATAGTGGAAAAAAGTCATACCGGAAAGTGAAGCCGACAAACAATCCCTTGCTCATCTTGTCATCGCGCTCGGCCATTTCTTCCAGGGCTCTCTGCTTATCGTGTACTTCTTTATACTTCGCCATGTCCGCCTCATTGGTGAAGTCATCGAAATAGCCAGCGTCTGTTTCTGAGTCTAGCTCTGGCACAAATGGCGCCGGCCGTTCACGTAACTTGCTGAAGTCGACTTCTGCAAAGTATTCATGGCCATGGACTTGCTGTATGTTTTTCAACCGTGTTTCCTTGGCCGCAACGAGCCGAGTAATCAGATCCCAAGTACGCCGAGATAGGAAATAGTTTGGATCCTCATATTGAGGTTTTCGCAGGACCTTCTGCCACCGCTTCAAGTTCGACCACGTCTCTTCAACAGTGGCGCCAGCAAATGGAGGGTAGCCTGCCAGGGCTTCGAACAACATACAGCCCAAGCTCCAGTAATCGACAGTAAAGTCATACTCTTGACCCTTCAACACTTCTGGCGCCATATAATCGGGTGATCCCACGATCGAGTTTGCATAGTTAACGTCCCTTTCTCGCAGTGAGCGATAACCTTCACGTCGTTCTGCCGCCGTACGCTGCTCCATTGGACGGCCGAACGGTACGGATGTATTACCGACTTCCTCCAACTTAATGCGCATAGACTCAATCTTTCCTGGGCTAAGCATTCCAGCGGCCAGGCCGAAGTCAGTTAGTTTCACATGCCCAGTGCCGTCAATCAGAAAGTTCTCTGGCTTGAGATCTCGATGGATATATCCCAGACTATGCAAGGCATCGACACAGCTAAACATTTCAGCAACGTAGAAACGTGCATGACGGTTGTGCAACACGCCTGTGTTGTTAAGTAGAGTTCGGAAATCGCCACCAGGAACGTATTCCATAGCAAGATAAATCTGGCTGTCGTCTTGGAAAGCATAAAGCAACTTCACAAGCCATTCACTCTTTGCTGCTGTTAGAATGTCTCGCTCGGTAAGGATGTGGCGGATCTCGTCGAGTTTGAAAAGAAGCTTCTTGCTCATGATCTTCAATGCGCACACCTCACGCGTGTCCTTCTTTTGTGCAAGATAAACCTGTCCATAGCCGCCTTGGCCCACCTGTGTCAGGATTTGGAAATCGGCATGGCAAAGTCGAGTACGTCGTCTACGCAAATTGGCGCGTTCGCGACCGAGATACTTCTGTAAGGCTGGCTCGTATTCTTCGACTGGAGTCTCGGGAGGTGCAGGGTAGGCGGCCTTGAACTGGTTGTACCGATTCTGTCGGTTGTGTACGTAGCTGAGAATGTCAAAGTAGTGATCGAGGAAGTCTGTAAGAACGTTAGATAAAACCTATAAATCAAAAGACTAGAAACCCAAACGTACAGAGCTGCGTCACATTGGCCAGTCGTTTGACTTTGGGCTGCTGGAGCTTCTCGAGCTCCTCTGGGGTCAGCCCACGCGTCGTCTGAGTTTGTGGTTTCCGCAAACTATCTGGGTCACGCTGCTGATACTGCTCCAACCGCGAGGCCGCAGCAGAATTAAGCCCAAGATCCTTCCCCAACCGCGAGATATTTGGTGGTGCATTTTCCTTGTTCGACCGTCGTGTCGGACTGCCGGGAGTCTGATGAATATCTTTATGCAAAACGCTCTCATTAAAATCCTCAAGGACTGATAGCCCCTTTCCTGGCGAGCCAGAAGTACCGAACGCTAGCTTTGTAGGCGATGTTGGAGCCAGTTTCATCGCTTTTTCGAACACACTGGGTAGATTCAAGGCTCCAGGGGGCACTTTGTTCTTGCTGGGACTGCCCGTGGGCGTCTGGACAGGGCTCGTGAAGTCATGTTGGCTCTGCGTCGGCGTCGAGGGGCGGTCGTAGCCGTCGTAGCTGGCGCGTGTGTGCAGGAGCGGTGGAGGATGGGGAAGCTGGAGAGGACTGGGCTTTGCAGCCGGATCTCGCGAGAGATTGGCAGCAGCCATGTTGCGAGAGTTATCTCGTAGCTCGATGGCGGAGGATGCTGGCACGTAACAGCGGGGATGCCACTTATCGCTATCAGCGAGTCCACTAGGCGGGCTACACTAAACACTAAAAACACGATTCGACACCGACAAGAGACGGGAGGCAAGAGAAGAGAAGACGAAGAGAATCGTTGTATTCGAGCGACAGGGGCAGAGTAGGTCAGCTCAGGTTCAGGTGCAGCCAGGAGCAATACGAGTGATCAGTCACAGCAGTCGGCAACCACCACCGACAATCACAATCACAATAACAACAAGGGCCGTCGGGCCCCCCGCCTTGCCGCTGTTGCTGGGGAAACAATCAGCCGCGCCGCGTCAACAGCCTCATTACGCTTCTTCATGTCCACCTTTTGTTGGATCTCTCAGCCAGCCCTGTCGCTTAGTCTCGATCTGGGCCGCTCATTGCTCGGCATTTGGGGCTGCTAATGCCTGTGCAATTGATCTGCAGAGTGGTGCGGTATCCACTGTTTGTTTACTGCACTGCACACTTCAGACGTTTACCCCAAAAACTATCAAATACACACACACACACACACACACAAAAAAAAGGACTTCAAATATTGATTGCTTTGCGAAGACAAACGTTTACTCGGAATGCAGGCCTAGCTATTTTCTAATAGCATAATAATAGAGGTTAAACCTACGGGTAGTTTTTACGTGAAACCTGAGCTAGCGATGTAACATGATCAATTTATCACCTAAATTTTATTCTTATTCCATCAATCGGTGCCTTGAAGACTAAGCTGAACCTTTAACCATATCATACCGACCGACCACTCAACACCATCCACCGTCAAGCCCAAGCCGGGATCCATCTCCAGCTCTTTTCAAGCAGCGCCTTCCTTCCGCTGCCCAGTCTATCACCACATATCAGCCACGTCATTCTTCAGAAATCTTAACCCCACGCAGCAAAATGCAAAGAGGAAAAGGAAAGCACATACGTAAAAAGCCAACCCATACGACGGAGTACTAAAAGTAATCTTCGCGCCCTTGGGGAAATAAAAGACATCGCCCGGTTTCGCAGTCACTTTCTGGCCTGTCTCATCCGAGATCTCGAATTCGCCTTCCAGGATGATCTTCATCTCATGGTACGTGTATTCGTAGACGAGGGGTGTTCCCTTTTCAAGACGATACAGCCCGCAGGAGATGGGTTTTTCGGGGTCGTGTTTTTCACTGCACGTTTTGACGTTCAACGTATTAGCTAACAAGTCTGAACTGATACAGAAAAGTCTGGTGGATCATTTATTCTGATGCTGTTCCTACCTTGTGGCAATATCCCCCAGAAAGGCATTCTCGTTGGCAATCAATGGAGGCTTGAAGGTGCTTTGGGCCTTTTCGAAGTAGTTCATTGCGATCGGCGCCATTTTGGACTCCTTGGTTGATGAAGATGCAGACTTTTTACTAGACAGATGACTGAGGACAGAGCCTATTACGTGGTAATCTTAAGTAAGTGAGACAGGCGACAGGTGACAAACGAGAGATTCTCTGTGTGACAATCTGGTGTTGGTCTGGAGGTATGCGGGCTGTTTTGGGACCGGCTCATTTACTGCACAACTTGTACAATCCAAACAGAATTAGTTCTTAGGATAATCGTTATTGATATAAACCTTGCAAGGATCGGATAAAAGACTGTGGTCAAATTAATTACTGCATTGGGAGATGCATAACGAATCGATCACTTTCCACGACAACGATAGGGTTAGATAACATAGATAACCAAGCAAAAACTTCTCTCCGATTGAGCCAGCCTGACAATGCGGGGAAAGGCAATGGTGAGGAGAAATAATCAGAGCTGTCTTTGTTTCAATGTTTGTCCTAGCTAGCAGTATCAATACATATTTATAAGGTGGATCAAAAACCAGAAAACTGAGTCTCAAAATTTCAACGTTTCTATAATAAAACCCCAACCATAAATCATTCATCAAACCTGAAGGTGTAATATCTTCCTCTACTAGAATCTATCTTACCCCGAAAACCATTGACTCGTCCAGAATCTAACCAACCACTCATTCATATTATTCTCTCCTTCCATATCGTACAAACCATGCCGATCACTCCCGATCCGACCATTAAACCGGCCATCAACAGCAGCATACCTAATTAGAAAGGGCTACTCGGATGACCCCCTTCTGGTCTGGATTACTTTTCCATTTTCGGCAGGCGAAATTCCACCGTAAACCTTTACCATATCCGGGTTAGCGGGGTAGTGCCCTAAATCTAATTTCTGGGTTTGGCAATAACAATGAAAGAAGAAAATTCTTTGTTATTTTAATATTTTCTTGAACGGATTCGTTGAAGTCAGTTTCCTCATAGTACATGTATTGTCTAGCGGTTTCAATGTCGAGGGCTATGACTTAAGGTAGATGTATAGCTCATTCAGATACATGTACCTATCAACTATGAAAAACTCGAGACAGAGCAGACATCCATACCCCAATGAAACCATCCATAACAACCTCTTCATAACCACTTAGTAGTACTACGCCCCTTCCAGCCGACCCAACCCAATCACACCAACCCCGCAATCAGCACCGTCCTGAGACCTTTACATGTGCAGTATTCAATAACCAAATCGAATTACGTGTAAGTTATCAAATCATACAAACAGCCCACCGAAATGACGTCGTTAAACGACTCAACCACGAAGCCCAAAAGTCAAGTCTTGCCCCATATACTTGTATATACATGTGCAATTCCTTTTTTTAACCGCATAGTGCCCTATATTCCCCTACCCCGCTTTCTGACCGCGCCTACTTTGTTAAATGCACTAAAATTATACCAAAATTAGTAGTAGTGGTAGTAGCTGCTGTATATAGAGGTTTTTTTTTGTTAAGCGCGACCAACCACAATTCCTTCTAATGACGCCAGACGGGATACCTTTTTGGGAATCGAGGTTTCGTCCAATTAGGCATACGATTGGTTTTGTTTCTGGGGAGTCGGGGCAAAGCAAGTTTTTTGGGTCTTGTCGAGTTCGATTGATTGGTAAATGGCGCCTGGCGAATTTACGCGGAGGTAACAGCGCTACCTAAATATAAGCCTTGCCCGACCTCTTTCGTTTTTGTTTCCTTAATTCTCAACAGAGTCAACAGACCATAACAACAGCGAAATTTAGCAATTTCTTAGACAGTGAAATTTGAAAGGAAAAGAAAAAGAAAAAGAGAATAAACACCCAATGCAGAAAACCACCACGATTACCATTCTCGCCGACCTTTTCCCTGCTGAACGAACGAGGAATTTCCAAGGAGGTACTACTACGCATTAATCCGGCGCATCAATTGATAATTTCGACAACAAATTGAACCGAAAGAAAGGATCAACTTGGATGCCCTCAAATTAAATTCGCTATCAGTGCCAGGACCCGTTTCTTATTTTCCCACTGGATTCTTGTCCAGTTGTAGCACCAGTCCCAACGCGAGCAATCGAAACGCTTCTCTCAGACAGTAAGGCTATGCTATCGGCGAATGAAGATATGACCCAAAACGCCCGCTAATTACATGCTCTGAAGTAGTCTCGGCCAGCGTAAATCGAAGTAGCAAGAAACTCCAACCTCAGAGAGGATATCCAAAGCGACATCCAAAGTGCCAGACAAAGGCCGAACGATAAAGCTGCCTGGAAGCCAAAAACCAAACAAAAGGAATATTTACTCTCGGAAGCGACAGTCATACAAAGATGCCCACGGTTGCTATGAACACAGAGCTGGAGCAGTACATCGACTCGCTGCGCTCATATCTCAGCCAGAATCCTGGAATAGATGCGCCGACAAAAGATCACCCGACCAAACACAAAATTAAAAACCCGGCAACGATGGCTGGAACCCCAAAGAACCAAATTGTGAAACCAAGCACCATCAGCCGATGAAGAGGAAGTCTGCGGTATTAACCCAGAAGCACTACAAACTCCGCCTTAGTGATAGATCAATTGACGAGAGAGCTAGTCTTACCTTCCCAATTCCAGTCCTTCATTACACCAACCCAATGTTGCCTTCCTCGTACTGTCTGTTCAAAGTCAAGTTCTTCGACGGTAGAAAATGTAGAAACTCCTCTCAAATTTGTAGCACCTGTAAGGTTCACCCGAGAAAATATTGTATTCTGGCCGGAAGAACCATGCATGGAATGTGGTTGCATTGGATTTACAGGCGATCCTACCGATTCCCTTCGAATGACAGAAGTATTTTTCTCTCTTTCCGCGTTATGTGAGTCACGTCTCCGCCAAACCTCACGAATAATATCGATACAACGATCAATGTTGCCAATTCGCAAACGATTCTGCATAGCTTCCCATCGGTCCAAGATCCAGCCACGGTCTTCTTCGTTTTCAAACTCACAGCTCGCAGCAAACAAAGGAAATATATGAACAATGTTAGTCCGGGAAGTCAGAGGAACAGTAGCTAAGAACTTCAATGTCTTATCCGCAAGTATTGCGGATGAAGGGGATGGTATTTCCGGTACAGCTTGGTGAAGATACAGAAGGGTTGCCCATCTATATGCATATGCCGTCTGAATACTGTCTTGAAGTTCAGAGTTAGGGTCTTCTGGAGGATTAAAGTGACTGGGTAAATCCCATTGCTCAATTGCGTTCTTTAATTCCCTAGCCTGAGATATCATCACGAAAGAAGTTTTCTCACTCTTTCTCACTCGCTGGATAAGATTAGCGACTTGACCAATCAAAGGAAATAGTGTAGTCGCGCAGCCCATTAGAGGATCAACGTCGTGAATTCCATTCGCAGGTGTTGCAAACGGTATACTGCCCAGATCCTCTTGGTCACCGTCATCCATCGCAGTCAGCCGTGCAATGACATCCATATATAACCACGTGTTATACAAGAACTGAAGTCTTGTGAGCTCATCAATCGGCGTATTACGTCGCATTTTGCTCCGTAAGGTCTGGCGCATCAGTGCTTTGGCGCCTTTGAGGTGTAAGATACCCGTCGAAGTGTGTTGGTCCCATGACTCTGCAAATGCGAGTGATAATGTAGTCGCTAGGGCTGCATCTGTTTGCATTTGCACCATACCTTGAACCATGCAATTGATACTCTTGCGCATGTGATCCATTCCAAAAACTCGCATAGCCGGATTTTCTTTTGAAGAATGAAAAGCGGCCATGGCAAAAACGGCATGCCATAGGGCAGGAGAGTCTTTCGCCATCGGCCAGATGTAAGTCCGCCACGGATTTTCTGTCAATCCATCTTTCACTGAAAGAATTCCACACGTTAATCTGTCGAAGCGAAGTATAAGCCCTTCATAACTTCCTAAAGGATGGTCTGGCTGGTGCACAAGCTTGGCCATATCTGAAAGATTCGACATAGGCCCCATGGTCGAAAGGGGAGGGGATTCTTGAACTGGCCATAGCTGGATGTCTGTTTCTGATTGGCGGATTATATCTTCGACTTCATCAGTTTCATCTTCCAGCATTGATGAGAAGCTTGGTGCATCATTGATTACGCTTGTGTTCATTCCAGGATGTTCCAGCTCAATTGGTAGAGAGTGAGATACTGTATCCAATTCCGAGTCTGACAGAATAAAGCCAGAAAATTCCATCTCAGGGGGTTCAGGAATTGGAGGAACATTGAATGTCTCAAGTAAATCTTCACAAAAGGCAATCGATGGTGTTTGGTTCATGAGCGATGTCGAACTAGTACTGAGCGGTGTATTCAGAAAAGAATCATCATCAGGGAAAGAGCTTCTCGTTGGTGAAAACGCGAAATCATGCCCAGTCGAGGTGTTTATTGGCAGAATAGGGACCGAAGTCCTTCTAGCTGCCTTGCGAGGTGGCGGTGAAGAGCTCTCATATGGCTCAGAATCCAGTGGAGGGGATGCTAATGAGGGGATGAGCGCCATACTTTCGCAAGTGAAACTCAAGTTACCTTTCTTTTTAGTGGTGGTTTTGGCTGTGGCCATTGTCTCTTCAAACGGGCGCCATTTGAAGTCTTTCTTGTAACCACCGCATGTTACATTCCGCCGATGGCACTGCTGACAGCTACCTCAGACATTAACATTGCATCCATGACGCCGGTACAAGCACTTTTTATTCACCTCGGCTTAGTCTCGTCACATTTTAATCGTTTTGCTTTACAAGTAGTACACCCTGTTTCAATCAGACCGTGTGATCTTACGAAAGTTCGACCAGACTCACCGTTTCTGCTTTTAGACTGTTTCGGACGCTGGGTCCTGTCTGGGGGCAGTTCTCTCCCCGATGACTTCTTTACGGGGCTTGATCTGTTTTTCTGTGTATTCGCACTGGGCCTAACGGCAGTCTGTGGAGGGGGCGGGTCTAGAATAGCAGAAGGTGACGGGATTTTGATGGCATCCATGCCCGGCGAGATACCGCACGTATGGAAGGCAAAGAGGACGCGGCCAGGACGGACATGGCCAGACAAGAAAAGAAGAAGAGTGGTCAACAAAAGCCCAGCGGCGGAATCTGACAGTGTTTTCGATGGTCTGACGCGGTGGTGCAGGAGATAAGGACGAAAGTGGAGAAGATGGGCTTCTTGATAGACCAGTGATCGACCAGCCCAGTTTCCACCACTCGCCTTCTCCTCCTTTGTTTTGTTGATAGCTGAGAGTCCGCCCTAGAAGGGGATCAAGGGATCAACACGTAGTGGATTCCAAAAGTGACGCACAATGGCTCTAGGGGTATTATAACGATGGCTAAGAGGAGCACGAGCACACGAAAATAAGAAAACAAGAGAAGAGAAGAACAGAGCAACGGCTTATCTCGCAGAGGCCGTACTAGCTCGGGCGATGGTGTGAGGAGACAGGCTCCCGTGGGAAGGAGCGGCGATAAGACCCGCCAACAGCGAAGGAAGGTTCTGATGCGGGGATGCTCTTGCTCTTTCTCCTGCCCATACCATTACTGCTGCTGTTCCTCTTGATTTCTCATCTGCCACTGGCTTCTGCATCTAGTTTTTGCCATGCTTAGCAGGCCATCTACGAAAGTCGATCGAGAAGAGGAAGAGGACAGCTGCAAAAATGCTTTGACCATCGGCGGCGCTGTGTTTCCCCTCAGAAAACGATAATCAATAGGAACTCAATAATTGGAGTCAGCAACAATCGATGTGGGGTAGAGCAGAGAAGAACTGGGATGCGACCCTCCAGCCAGCGTATCGTCGAGGCGTGAGTTGTCGAGACTAGTAACCAGCCTGCGTTTATAATTAGCCAGCTAATAACCACGGCCTTATCCTGCAGTAGTTTGGGCCTGATGATGCCCGGAACGCGAGCCGGCCGAGCGCCCCTCATCCATGGGAGAGAAAGGCTTCTTTACCAACAGCGGTCTGACGTGGGTCTGTTGTTCATGTGACTACCTGATATTTGCTTTTAACTTTGCGCTGGAATAACGTCCAGGAACAGCTAGCTATACGGGAGGGAGCAGAGTGTCGGTCTAGAACGCTTCAGACCTAGTGGTTGCTTTACAGCTGTGGGATGTATAAAACCGACAGATCTCTTACAAATATTTACTGTCCGGTGCAGTGCAATTGGGAGGAGACTCGACCGCCATGACCAAGACGGATGCCTGCTGCTTGCAAGGGTGTTGCAGCTATCCAAGGATAGGCTTGGAGTCGCGTGCCGCACGACCACACCTGTGGGATCGGATGTTATTTGTTGCTCTCTAGCATGAAAAACTCTCTTCATGTCACACGCCTGTCAACCGTTCGTACACAGGATCGCAATGGAGGCGGTGGTTGTACGAATGACGAATGGATAAACGTTATACTTTTGACATTGACTATCATCTTCAATTATTACATTGCGAAAAAAGAATAGCAGAAACCTCAGAATAGGATGTCAGACACAAATGATCACGAAAAAGAAAGTCATCACTCCATGCAGACCCTTCTCAGCAAACACTTCGGTGCACACCCCGGCCCATCGACTTCATCCAATCTGCTGGCTTGTGGTGATCCTGCTGTCCATGAGTCTTGCTGCGACGTAGATATCGCTCAGCGCGCGTATGATGTGCTTCGGTCTGCAGATGGGAGAGATCCACTGGATCGGATTCAACCAGTCTCTCGGTTACGGCCACAATATCGCCAATCAGCCTTTCGAGGAGATCCGCACTCATGCTTTCGCGGATAACCACTCGCAGAATTTCAGTCTCGTTAGCAGCTGGAGGTAGCGGGTAGTCTGTGCATATAGATTAGCTGAAATATGCTTTTGTCAGAGGAACTCGCTTTGGCTTACTTGGGACGATGTACTGCTTGGCTCGTAGCAGGATGCTGACACTCTCCTGCTTCACATGAGGGTAGTCTTTCTGGAACTGATCTGAGAAGCGGAATGCAACCACAGGGAGACCCGCGACGTAGTCAGCGGATGTTTCCCCAGCGGCCGAACCAAGAACTGTGTCTTTTGCTGTCTTTAAAAGTTTGCTCGGCTGGTGAATACTGCTGACACATTTGAACCAGGTTGTGCCCTCGAGGGCCTTGCTCAGGAGACGGGCATTGGCGAGACAGTTCTCCATGATGTCTCTGTATCCATTGAAGCCTAGATGGATAAAGTTGTAGTATTGCGCAATCACCTGGGCACCGGGACGTGAGAAGTTTAACGTGAACGACTCTTCCGTTCCTCCCAGATAGTGCAGTTGGAAAATGAGGTCCTTGGGAAGGTATGATTCGTCTCGCCAGATGATCCAGCCCAGTCCAGCATATACCAAGCCGAACTTGTGGCCTGAGGTGTTGATTGACTTGACTCGTGGGAGCTCGAAATTCCTGATATAGGTGCGGTTAGCTACATGTGGATGATGTCGTATGTTGTCTTACCATTTCTGACCAGCACCCGCGTAGGTAAACGGGGCGATGAAACCACCACTAGCTCCATCGACATGGATAGGAATATCATGGCCGGTTTCTTTCTCATACTGATCCAGAATCTTGGAGATCTCTTCCACGGGTTCATAATGACCGGTGTATGTTGAACCCATGATGACAAAGACACCAATAGTGTTCTCATCAATGTTCTTGCGAACAAGGTCCGGATCAAGAGCATAATTACTCTTCTCCGAAACATCTAGAATCCGTGCCTCCACATCGAAATACCGGGCGAACTTCTCAAGAGCCACCTGGGCATTAGCACCCATGAGAATATTCGGACGCGACGTATCCTTTCCAGCGGCCTTCCGCTTCTCCTGCCAGCGCCGCTGCATGGCTTTACCGCCTAGCATAATTGCTTCCGAAGAGCCGACAGTAGAGGATCCAATGGCCTTCTCGGAGGACCGTGCACCCCAAAGGTTCGCAAGAATGGAAATGCAGCGTGTGTGCATGGCCATGAGAGCAGGATATTCATCTGCATCTGCCAAATTCTTGGAGATGTTCTCGGCCATCAGAGCATCAGCCTGTCTTTCCATGTAGGTTCCCACGAAACTGTACTACCGTCAACACTGTTCCATAACATCAATTTTGGTGTGATGCGATTCACCTAGCTAAATTCAAATTTGGCCGACCGTCAAGGTCCAATTCGTCACGAAGCAGCTGTGCGGCAACATCACCCGGGGCTCCCGTTTGCGGGATGCGGAATTTGGGGATGGACTCCTTGCTCGCATATCGAGTCGAGTACGGGGTTGAACTTGCGACCGCATTTTCAGTGGAGACGAGTGACTTCATGCGGCCATCTGGATCATTCCGCAGAGCCTCGATCAGCTCATCCGGATTGACCTACAAGGGTAGATTAGCATTGTGACGTAGAAAAGTATTCTGTGCACCGACGTACACTGCGCGCAAGAACCATCTTGAGGTAAGAGTTTGAATCTGTTATTGACTTTTGAAAATGTGAAAAGGCAATTGCAGAACAGAAAGTTCCGAGTCCTACAGAATCGTGAGGTAATAGCGGAACAAGCTTTTCCTAGAAGAAAATCAAGGATTGGCCAGCTATTAAATAGAAACTTCAACTTGGTCTAGTCCTAATCATACGTTGCTGTGCAGTTGCGTACGCTAATACGTTCTGGTTCTGCTAAGTCATACAAGCCTCGACAACTACATGTACGTCATGCCACTCCATAATTCTTTACTTTTCTTGTATTGTGTTTACCATCAACTAATTGTTAGTTTGCTAGCAAAGAACATGAATGGGAATAGCTCTTGCAATTATCGCAGTAAAACAATCAGAGCTGACAACTTTGGCGGGTTGATGACGTTGCGCTGCTGTGACTGACGTCACCACCACGTTTGGAAGTGCGTTGACGGCAACTAGAGAACGCAAACAAACCCCGTATTGGCTGGCACGGCGGCATTGTTTTTGGTACGGAATCGATTGATTCAATTAATTAGACAGGTGAGACTGCATGCGTCAGGATCCATTGTCGCGTTCAGCGAGTCATGATCAAGGGTGTAGGGAGGAGTGGGGCAAAGTAGGGTTAGGGCGTAGGGCTAGGGTTAATCAAAAGCACTTCTATTGAATCGACGTGCTAGTTCTTATCGGCATACTCTAAGACTACACTTCTCGGCTCAACATACTCTCCCAATGGCTTATACTCAATATCATACCCAAAGGCGCCCGGCCCACCGATCTCCAGCCCCTTCTTGGTCTGCGTCCAGCGCGGCGAACACGTTATCCCCAACACCGTCACCATAACCCCATACCGAAACTCTGGAACCCCTAAAGCACGGCCGGACTGCGTGTCCAGCACCGAAATCAGATCAGGGACTGTAGCGATATACTCCTCCGTCCCATCGTCAGCAATATGTTTCGCATAAATGTTCTCATTCTTGAACGGAATCTTGAGGATCCCGCCAGTTGCCACTGCGGGAGTAACAGGGAGATCGCTTGTATCTTCCTGTTCACTGCTCTGGACCTGCTGAATGACTAATTCGCCGTGCGAGTGGCCCTTGAATAGACGTCTCTCAACAGCGATTATCTTCCCGCGAAACAATATCTTGGCAGCCTTGGACCCGCCACATTCCTCGACCATTTGTTCTGCGACTGTGCTGATAGTGTTGGTAGCATGTGCGCAGGCGATCGTGCGGCCAATCCTCCAAGCCAGAGAGATGGTGTTGAGAACACTGTAATTGAGCACGGCGTGCTTGTTAGTTGGCTTCGCGGCCATGCCAACCCGAGACCCCATCTCTGAGCATGATGCGCGTAGAGCCCTGTCAACGATTTCATCGTTGGTGGTCTTGGTCATGAGAATTGTCTTGCCGTCCCCAGAGGCAATGGCGCAGGGGACCAGGGCTCTTTCTTCGAATGCACAGAGGGTGGTTTGCCAATATGTAGGATACGCCCGGCCTGAATGTTGGTATTGTTAGATAAACAGTTTCTAGAAATGAAAATACGGAATCTGGAACCCACCCATAAAATCTGCGTCTATCGTTGGGCATCCCTGGTGCTTAGTAGACCCTAAAGCTAGACCTTGCAAGCCATTACCCCCGCCGATTTCCAGATCGATAAATGCGTCTATTTTCTTATGTCCGTAATATTCCATGAGCTCAGCCACCGCTTGCTCGGTCTCGTCGTTGGCCAGTCGTTCTGTTGATACAGCTGGAGATCCCATGTGGCCGCCCCCTGCAAATCGTTAGTCTTATTTCCCTCCTTTCTTGGGTGCAAACCCACAGTAAATAATTGCATCATCTTTTAGTGAAGCGGCATCAATCACCCTCATCTTATATCCAGCTCGAACCTGGTCGCGTAGACGTAGGAATTCACTGAACGGGGATCCTCCACCGGCACATCCCAGCACATAGCAGCCATCAGATAGCCATTCCAGGTCCAATTCACTAATTACCCATTCATCCACTCCAGTCTCGGGATTTATCACGATTTTGGGCTTGTAAGAGTTGATATCTATCTTGCGGTTTTCGTTCTCTTCCTTGGGTGACAGCTGGATTTTATCGGCTTCTTGGTATACCTCATCACCACCTTCCAAGGTATTATCATCCTCGCTTGTGCCATTTGTTAGAGGTACGCCGTCATCAGACAACTCCCCGACGGCCCGGACTATCACTCTAACCTCGTTGTTGTTTACATACTGAAGCGGAATAACATCTACCTCCGCGACATACACACTCTCACGACTAGCTCCAGCCCCAACTGCACGATCTATCGCCAAGGCTTTACCTTCCTCCACAATCTCACTTACAGCTTTATTCGTACTGCTTTGAATAAAATCCACCGTCCCGCCAACCTTTGCGATAGCAGCTCCAACGGCATTCGCCACGGAATGACATGGCGGGCACACAACGGACGAAACGCCCTCGAGCTCTGCCGGAGCAATCACCGAGCCTCCACCCACCAATAGCACTGGGAGCGGCGCAGGTGATGTCTTCATCTGATCAATCACACGTTCCAGCATCAGCTTCATGCGGGCCTGGGCGCGGGATACTATCGTCTCGTCTAAATCCTTAATCAGATCTGGGTTCCCGATCTCTTCTTTCCCAGCCCTGACAGCAATGTCTGTGGTGGTCAAAGTATCACCGCCGAATACAGTGGCTTTGGACTGCAGGAAATGTCCGACAGAGTCGGGTCCAACAGTGACTGCTGCTTTCTCGTTTACCCGCACGATGGAGCCTCCTCCGAGTCCGATAGATTCGAGATGCGGCATGCTGAAGTTGATCCGCACGCCGGCAACTGTCACATACGCTGATGCCTGACGAGGGAAACCCGAGGGCAGGAGGACTCCGACATCAGACGTCGTGCCGCCAATGTCCACTACAATCTTCGTTGTCCGCTCTCCACTACCCTCAGCCAGATAAGACGCGCCACGCATTGAATTCGTCGGTCCAGACGAGAACGTGCGAATAGGCAGCTTCGCAGCCGCCGGCGCGTCTATCAAAGTCCCATCATTCTGCGTGAGATACAATGCACAATGAAGATCCAGCCGTTTCATGGCGGCACGGAACCCGCGCACCGTGGGACGCGCAAACTTCATGATCGACGCGTTCAAAATCGCCGCATTTTCTCGTTCCAAAAACCCGATTTGCGAAACATCCGACGAGCAGACGATGTCCGCGCCGGGGATTTCCCGTGCGACGATATCGCGGACTCTCTTTTCTTGATGGAAGTGATCATCGATAGGAGAAAAGATCCCACAGATGACGATGGCATCGATCCCCCTTTCGCGGATTGCCGCGCACTCCCTGACGACTTGCTCCTCTACGATGGGCGATTCCTGGGATCCATCGATGTGCAATCCACCGTCTACATAGCCATAATACCCATTCATGATTTTGGCCAGTGCGGGAGGGAAGTCCGAGAATGGAGGAACTTCCCTTAGAAAAGATTTTGATAGGCGAATAATCGCGACTGGCGCGAGACGTCGGACGTCATGCTCGATGATGGCGTTGATGAAATGTGTTGTTCCAATGGTAAGACACCCGATTTGACTTGGCGGAACAACGCTTTGCGTGAGCACTGTGCGCACAGCGGTTTCGATGCCATCGGTGACGTTGGGAGCCGTCGTGGGTGTTTTGCAGAATGAGAGGACTCCACGCTGTGGTCCTGTGGTGTCGCGGACGTCGAGGATCACGGCGTCAGTGTTTGTGCCGCCGACATCGACGCCGATGCGGTAGGAGTTGGATGCCATAGGTAGTGATTGAGGGTTAGATCTACATTGGAGCGAGTTCCTTGCTTCAAGCTCCTATTCAGATAGAAATACTTATTCTGCTCGCCGAGATTCGGGACCCAGCCGACCAACATTGACAGCCAAGAGCTATTCTCAATTGATGGTATGGATTATCCCACTTGCATACGTACGCCGTGGGTGGGATGTAGCCACAGCAAGTAATACCAATTCCACAACTAACCACAACTAGCCACAGTTCACAGGTCTGCGTTCCCCCCTTGGCTGTGATCGGCTCGTCGGCCGATAAAGCCGCAAGCCGTTGCTGATAGTGAGTGATAAGTGATAAGTGATAAGTGTTAGAAATATGGGGGATTTTGGGACGTGTTACGAAACCAACATATGCAAAGCTAAGGACAGATTAGGATGTCTTAAGCCACTTCAGGGCAAGTGTCTGTTAAAGCGGCTAACACCACGGCCAACCAGTTACCACGACCACACACAGCCCGTTTGCTACTCACACGGGATTACACATTACATAAGCAACTACACTCGGGTATACAATAAGAGTGTAGGAGAAGTGTAGGAAAAGACAAGAAGGTGATTGGATATACAATCTGTATACGGACAGATTGTAGGGATATTGTAGGAACGACATCTATATAAACACACCCATTTGCATGTATCTAGTTTACCTTAGCATAGTTCTTTAACATAAGTCACTACGATTATTACTATCAGTTACACTGTAAGGGTCAGCAAGGCAATCCCACTTGAAGTACTACGGCACTTCAAGGCATCGCTCCTACTTTAGTTGTGTCTTACCCTCACCTTTACCCTTCGGCAACCTTTGTACTTCGTTACTAGTTACCCTCAAGGAACCTCTGTGTGGTTCAACACATCGTATCGCTCCTCGACACAGCCAGTGACAACTAGAGTGGGTCCCGGTGCGTGACAAAAGAACTATCGTCTTGACCCCGAGGAACGATACGGGACAAGTACTATCAAGCAGGGCCAATTACTACATTAGGAAAGTATTACCCCAACAAGACTACTAATCATGGCAGGCAACAATGCAACTCCAACACCCAGTACCACTGGAGGACAAACACCCAGTGTTCAATCCGTAATGGCAGTCAATCAACAATTACGTGAACGAATTAGCCAATTGGAGAATGCATCACACGCAAGGATTAAGATCAACAAACCAACTCCGTTCAAAGGAGATAGGACCAAGCTGAGGAGTTACCTAGCACAAATGCAGTTGTACTTTTCTGTCAACTCGCACTTGCTGCATGGGGAACCAGACAAGGTCTTGACAGCTTCAACGTTCCTAGAAGGAGAAGCTATGGATTGGTTTGAACCCTATGTACGGGCATGGTTTGAGATAGCCCCAGATGACAGGGAAGACGAGATCGATGAAACCTTTGCGGACTACAATGTATTCGTCAGAAAAATCAAATCAACCTTTGGAGAAATCGATGAGAGAAATAACGCAGCTCAGAAAATTCAACGTCTGAAGCAGATCACATCAGCCTCAGACTATGCGTCGAAATTCTACCAGATCAGCTCTCATCTCGGATGGGATGATGAGGCCAAAGCAGATCGATTCTACCAAGGACTGAAAGACGACATCAAGGATGAGATAGCCAGAATACCCACTAGGCCAGACAATCTCACGGACATGATTGATGTAGCAGTCAAACTCGACAATAGGCTCTACGAACGACGTATGGAAAAGAAATACGGCGGAAACTGGAGCAGTGGCAAGAAACCATACCACCACAAGAAAAGGGAGGACCCGTATGGACCTCGACCTATGGAACTTGATGCCACTCAAGAACAGCCAAAAACGAAATTCGACAAGTCAAAGATAAAGTGTTACAACTGTGGGAAGACGGGCCACTTCAGGAGAGAGTGTAGAGTCAAACCACAAGGACGACAATTGAATGCGACAAATGAGGAAGACAGAGAGTCTTACCCGAAATACGACTATGACGACGCGGAACAGTATGAATCGGGAGACACCGAAGAGTTCCCAGAAATGGACGAAATCCCAGAAAGCCAAGGGTGGCGACAGTACGAAGGGATGAGTCAGGTCGAAAAGATAGAAAGCCAATTGAACGAAGCTCTGAACGACATCGAGAGTTCAAAGACGGCTGACAAAGAAAAAGGAAAGCAGAAGCTTTACGAAGTTCGGACACACCTCGAGAACAAGTGTGGAGCCGAGTGCAGGGTAATCTTTGAAGAGAAAGACCACCCAGGGCACGGATTATTACATTGGACCTTTTGCACAATGGATTCATGCACAATCCATGGGGAAGCAAAAGAAAGCCAGGGCTACTTCCCAAGAAAGAGGAAGCAAGCGAAGATATCAAACTGCGAATGGAAATTGACGCAGGAATGGAACACCATCAGCCCCTCGAAGAAAAAGGTGGTGCAGCTCAGTGAAGCTGGGAGTTTCGAAGAAACTCGTAACCCCGAAATAGGCAGAAAAGACGATGATCCACGAGATGGATTCGTAAAAGCCTGGATGAACGACTACATTCAACTACCTTATGGCGAAGACCCGAAGAATCAGCCATGTGTCCATACCAACCATGACCTCACCAGAATTGAAAGGATGCAGTGCATCATAACACCATGGTATGAGAAAGAAGGAAGAATGAGCGTAACGAAACAAATGAAGGAATGGAAATGCCAGACGGCATGGTGCAATTGCTTACAGCTTGAGCAACATCCAAAGCATCGGATGTTATCATGGAAAATCTGCTACAATGACGAATGTATAACGCACGTACACCCTAAAATTAGGGCTGGGGAATTTCCAAAAGGGAAATGGCCGCAGCATGCGGACAACTGTGCATACGAAAGGGCAGAACTCAACGCAACGGCTTGTGGAAGGCAACTAAGAACCACAGTGGCCATATACGGAATAGAGATCGAAGCAATGGTCGATTCGGGAGCAACGCACAACTTCATGGATAAAGAAACAAAACGAACATTGAAAATCTTGGGAAGGAAGAAACCCCAAGCAGTACCCATCACAGGACTCAGCGGGGTGAGCCTGCAAGAAGGGGGAGTCACACATGAAACAGGGTGGTTGTCCATGGTATTAGGAAACCATCACGAGATGATCAACTTTGACGTCGCAGAACTGGGACCAAACGACATAGTTCTTGGAATCCCATGGCTCAAGGTTCATAACCCGGAGATAAACTGGGGAACTGGCGAAATCAAAATGAATCGTTGTAATTGTGGACAGATATCTCAGGTAGATGAAGTCACCGGACAGGCGGGAGACTTGAGTACGACGGAAGAAGCAGACGACTTGACTTCCTCGTGGACTCTTATACGGAATGGGACCAAAGGGGAGGCCATTACCGAACACCTGAAAGAGGAGTGTCAGATCGCGGCAACCGCAGAACCTGAACTACCTAAAGAATATGAACGATTCAAGGAATTGTTCAACGGAACATACAAGAAATTACCTGAACACAGTGAATGGGACCATACCATCCCATTGAAAGAAAACGAAGAACCAAGACCTCAACGAATCTACCCCATGTCAGAAAATGAGACGGCAGCACTTAAGAAGTACCTGAATGAAAGCTTGGAAAAGGGATACATCAGACCCTCAAGCTCGCCAGCAGGATACTCCGTACTCTTTGTGGGAAAGAAGGGGACTACTGACCTACGACCATGTATAGACTACCGACAACTGAACAAAATCACTATACGAGACAGTCACCCATTACCCCTGATTTCGGAAATACAAGACAAAATACGAGGAAAGAAATGGTTTACGAAACTCGATATTACGGACGCGTACAACAGACTGAGAATCAAGGAAGGAGAAGAATGGAAAACTGCATTCAAGACCAAGTTTGGACATTACGAATATCTGGTTATGCCTTTCGGATTAACCAATGCACCAGCAGCATTCCAACGGTACATCAACCATGTAATCGGGGATTACCTATACGACTTTACTGTCGCATACCTCGACGACATATTAATATTCTCAGACAGCATGAACGATCACGTACGACACGTAAGGATGGTCCTACATCGCTTACGGGAAGCAAAGCTACAGTTGAAGCTTAGGAAATGCGAGTTTCACGTACAAGAAACGGACTTCTTGGGACACAGAATCACTCAAGAAGGGATCCAAATGGATAAAGAAAAGGTACAGGCGGTACGAGACTGGCCTACACCAAAGAACGTTAAAGAAGTGCAATCCTTTCTCGGATTAATCAACTACTATCGACGATACGTGAAAGGATACGCAGGGATAATGAATCCCATATTCAAACTGTTACGAAAGGACTTCGAGTTTGAATGGACAACGGAATGCCAGAAAGCATTCGAAGAAGCGAAGCTTCGGCTCACCACCGCACCTATACTGATGCAACACGACCCGGAGAAACCAACAGTGTTGGAAACAGACGCTTCAGATTTCGCAATAGGAGCAGCAATGATGCAGGAAGGACCAGACAAGAAACTACGACCAGTAATGTATTACTCAAGGAAAATGCTTGATGCAGAACTCAATTACGAGATTCACGATAAAGAACTGCTAGCCATAGTGACAGCACTTCGACATTGGAGAGTCTACTTGGAAGGAACTAAGTTCCCAATACGAGTTATCACGGACCACAAGAACCTCACCTACTTCCTCACAACCAAGGTTCTTAACCGAAGACAAGCGAGATGGTCGGAATTGCTAGCAAACTATTGGTACGAAATAGAATACCGCAAGGGAAAAGACAACGAACGAGCAGACGCTCTAAGCAGGAGACCGGATCATGAAGAAGGAATCAGATCACCAGAACCAGCCCTGTTCAAGGAAACAGATAGGGGAACACTAGTACATAATCCTCAAACGGCAATACTCGCAGCAACACTAGAAGGAGTAACAGACTCGGAATTACAAGACAGAATCGCAAAAGAAACCGAGCAAGACGGACTGATATTCAACATGGTAAACAATGAGGATGACCGAATCACAATGACGGAAGAAGGATTAGCATTTTGGCATGGTCTAATCTATGTACCAAAGACACTCAGAACGGAAATTATCCAACTTCATCACGACAACATATTGGCAGGACACCCAGGAGTATCAAACACTCTAGAACGAATTACGAGGAACTACTACTGGCCAAAAATGATTCGAGACATCGAGAACCACATCAAGGAATGCGACCAGTGTCACAAGAACAAGATTAATAGGCACAAACCTCATGGACTAATGCAACCACTGGAAGCACCAGAATATCCATGGCAATGGGTAACAATGGATTTCATCGTCAAACTACCAAAGTCGCAAGGAAACGATTCGATACTTGTGGTAGTGGACAGAATGACTAAATATGCGCACTTCGTTGCAACCACGGAGCAATTGACAGCAAAACAATTAGCAATACTGTTAATTGACAAAGTCTTTCAGCACCACGGTATACCTGAGATTATGGTCTCAGATAGGGGACAGACCTTTGCATCGAAACTATGGAAATCCATGATGGACCTTATGGGAGGAGAACAGCGGCTGTCAACCGCTTACCACCCACAGACGAATGGACAGACTGAACGAACGAACCAAACATTGGAACAGTATTTACGCCATTACGTCAATTACGACCGAAATAATTGGGCAATGCTACTACCTATGGCACAAATGGCCTACAATACAAGCAAGCAAGCCACCATAGGAATGACACCATTCAAGGCATACACAGGAAAAGAAGCAAGAATGCCAGGAGAACCCAAATACAAGCAACCAATCGCACAAGAAGCAGAAGAAATGGTCAACGCAATGAAGGCGTTACACCAGTATTTACACAATGAAATTGAAAATCAAGGACAACAATCGGCAAGAAGATACAACCAAAAACATCAGAAGGGACCTGATCTCAAGAAGGGAGGGAAGGTCTACCTTTTACGAAATTTAGACGCCAAAAGAAAGGAAGACAAATTGAACCACCTACGAATTGGGCCATTCGAAATTGAAGAAAAAATCGGAGAAGTCAATTACAAACTAAAACTACCAAAAGCCATGAAAATACACCCAGTGTTCCACGTTTCATCATTGGAACCAGCGCCATCAAATGCAAAACTCCAAACAGATATCATTGTCGAGCAAGAGACATATGAAGTCGAAGACATACTAGGAGAAAAGCAAGTCAATGGGAAATTTGTCTACCTGGTCAAATGGAAGGGATACGATACCTCAGAAAACACTTGGGAACCTATCGAGAACCTCGCGGATGCTCCAGATGCATTAGAGGATTACCGACGGAGGAACCCAATTCACCAGGCGGAGACATTGGCAGGTTGGCGAACAAGGCCTCAAAATCCACGTCGGAGATAGCATTTAGTTGCATCTCTCTCGTCGGAGAAGGAGGAGGGATGCCATCGGGATCCTCCTCATCTAAGATCTCCATCACGTTGGAATCATGATCCAACATTTTCGAACCTCGCTCTTTGAGAAACTGCTGTTGTTTGAATAAACGATTTATTTTCGCGGACAGATCCGCCTGTTTTGCAAGAGCATCGCGAAGCTCTTGATTAATACGATCCTCAGCTTTCTGAAGATCTGACCATTCTCGCTCACTATGAAATCGCTTTTCGCATTTGCGACCACGACGTGTGCACGACGCACAGTTTCGACTTTTTGAATCCATTATGCAAATCTCGTTTTTACTTTTGCAATATTCGCACGGATTATCGACGGGGAAACCGTTTCGACGGATGCGATCGGACTGGGACACACGATAAGCCAGACGGTCCTTTTTAGGAGTCATGTTGACGCATTTCGGACACTCACCAAAGGAAGCAGGGTCACGCTGGGAACGAGGGCGCGTCTTCTATTTATACCTTTGAGGACAAAGGACTTCAAGGAGGGGGAGTGATGTTACGAAACCAACATATGCAAAGCTAAGGACAGATTAGGATGTCTTAAGCCACTTCAGGGCAAGTGTCTGTTAAAGCGGCTAACACCACGGCCAACCAGTTACCACGACCACACACAGCCCGTTTGCTACTCACACGGGATTACACATTACATAAGCAACTACACTCGGGTATACAATAAGAGTGTAGGAGAAGTGTAGGAAAAGACAAGAAGGTGATTGGATATACAATCTGTATACGGACAGATTGTAGGGATATTGTAGGAACGACATCTATATAAACACACCCATTTGCATGTATCTAGTTTACCTTAGCATAGTTCTTTAACATAAGTCACTACGATTATTACTATCAGTTACACTGTAAGGGTCAGCAAGGCAATCCCACTTGAAGTACTACGGCACTTCAAGGCATCGCTCCTACTTTAGTTGTGTCTTACCCTCACCTTTACCCTTCGGCAACCTTTGTACTTCGTTACTAGTTACCCTCAAGGAACCTCTGTGTGGTTCAACACATCGTATCGCTCCTCGACACAGCCAGTGACAACTAGAGTGGGTCCCGGTGCGTGACAAGCCTCTAGAACTTCAATAAGCTATATATGTTGTTTTCTCCTATAAGATTCTCTTTAATATATTGACTTTAAACTAATTTTAAAACGATGGTAAGCATATCTAATTAATAAAAGGCATTTTTGCGACCGTACATACAAAAAATCGATGAATCTTAGTAGGTCGGATCACATGATATAATTGCCTGATTGGGCCACTAGCGTCAATTTCAACTTGACTGTTGGCGCCACCGGGTCAAGTTGAAATTGAGATGGCCCATGCTGAACATCTCTAATGGGTTGTATGAAACTGGTTATGATACCTATTCTTGATATTTGTGTAGAAATAGCGCATGAAACCCTTTTATTGATATAGAGATACTAAAGGCCTCATGATATAACTCCCAATATTTTAGTTGTTTTATAACGTCGCGTTGTGATGGTTCTCATATAACGCGAAGGTGGCTGGCTGGCTTGGGGGACATTTTATCCAAACTTCCAACTGATTTTTTTATTTTTTATATTTCTTGAATATTGCAGCGGGAAACTAGATCAAGGCCGGTTATTGGCTGGTATTCCTCTTTGATAGGTATAAATGGGTCGCCGGCACGGCGAAACTTTGGGTGAGGTCAATTAGCCGCGCTCATAATTCCGTTGTCATATATCATCACGGGGAAGCGATATCATCCATTTTTCTATCGACAGAACAGGCTTTATGTTGGCCACAGCTTCGCCCGGTATTTCCCAGATTTTGTCCATCCATTACTCAACCCCCCTTTTTTGGTGGAAATTTGTGACGTTAGTCGCCACCAGGGAGCGCTTCGCTGCGTAATCCTGCGATCGTTCACCCCGCTATCAGTCAATAGGTAATCACCAGCAAGAATCGCCAAGGGTGTCAGTGCCTCCCCACGCTCCTTTCATTTCACAACGTCATGGTGCCCAATTATTATCTCTACTGGGCTTTGACATGCATCTGTCGCGAATTTACTCACTTTCACGTCAATTAAACTAATACGTTGTCTTAGATTACCCTCCTTCACTTTGGCGTCTTTCCACACTCCTCCCAGCGTCATGAATACATCGACCACGCGTCTAAACACCCTATGATTTTTCACGACAAAGGCTGTTAAAAGAAATAATAATGCTCACTGAGTGTGAAAGAATGTTTGGCGAAGGCCTTCTGCGCCTGCCAGTCAAGCACAATTTCCGTTACGGACCAAAAGCTGAAGAAGAATTGTTACAACTTCTATTTCGTTCTCTCTCAGGCTACGACTCCCAGCGGCTGAAACTGTTATTTCCTGATGGAGCACCTGAGGATAGGCCTTGGAAACTGGCAGAAGCACAAGGGGCTCGGGAAGGCGCTGAATATAGCGAAGCTGCGCGAGGCAAACGTTGCGGCCATATTTTCAGAGCGGGCGAAGGAACATACCGATGCATCACCTGTGCTGCAGATGATACCTGTGTTCTTTGTAGCCGCTGCTTCGACGCTTCCGACCACGCAGGCCACCAGTATCAAATCTCCTTGTCGTCTGGGAACTGCGGATGTTGTGATTGCGGCGACGAAGAAGCCTGGCGACTACCTCTATGTTGTGCCATTCACACCGAAAGTGGTGATTCCAAGGGAAAACAGCGTGCCAAACCGGAATTACCCGCAACATGGGTCGAGGACATCCGAGTAACAGTCTCGCGATCATTGGATTACTTCTGTGATGTTATATCTTGCTCGCCCGAACAGCTGAGACTACAAAAGTCCGAAGAAGGAATTCGTCATGATGAGGAAGCTTCAAGACTACATCCAGGGTGGTATGGAAAAGGTGATGAGCCAGAAGATGAACCGGAGTTCGCCCTAGCGCTTTGGAATGATGAAAAACATACGATTCGCGACGTTTCCCACCAGGTTATGCGTGCATGTCGCGAGCGTGCTAGCTTCGGTGAAGCAAAAGCACACGAGACAAATGATGTCGGACGAAGCGTTGTCAAATATTCGAAAGATTTGAACAGACTATTGCAAGTGTCCCGAACGATTGAACACATCAAGGTCACTGTAACCGTCCGCTCTGCCAGAGACACCTTTAGGGAATTAATGTGTGGTACTATCATTGAATGGCTAGCAGACATTGCAGGCTGCAGTTTCGGTGAAGACAGTGAGATTTTGCGTCAGGTAGTCTGCGAGGAACTTCTACGGCCCTGGAGGCGAGGAAGTGGCGCGTATAATGCAGATATTGGAATGCAGGGAATCGATGACCATGAACGACAAGACTTATCAGCACCTTACCGGGCGATTACCTTGACATTATCGCCCCAGGGAGGGGCATTTGTTGGATCAGAAGATGACGATGAAGACGTCGATGACAATGAAGATGGACAAGATCGAAACGAGGAGGAGGCTATGGAAGGAGATGACGAAGAGGAAGACGATGATGATGACTACGAAGAGATGGAAATCGACCTTGAACGTCTTCGGCAAGAAGTTGGAAACAACGAGGGTGAGGATGATGTCGATATGGGCAACATGGAAGATGAACTAGAAGCAGCCACGGCTACATTCGGTCGATACCCTCCTCCTCCTCCCCCTCCTCCACCGCCACCTGCTCGCCAGGCTGGTACTCCCGTTTCGGACGTAGATATGGGCGAAATGACACCTCATCATGAGACCACTCATGTGAAGATCCCAAAAACACCAACAAACTCTGTCAAGCCGACCGCGGCAAAGACCCCAATCCACTGGCAAACTCGACCTGCACGACCCCAAGGGGATGTTCCGGCCTATGAGGACCTCACCGAACGTACCCGTCTAGATTGGATGGTCTTGTTTGATTTGAGACTGTGGAAGAAAGCCAGGACAGATCTCCGCGACTTATACATTAGTACGGTGGTCAATGTGCCTCAATTCAAACGTATTATGGGCTTGCGCCTTTCAGCATTATATACAGCACTGGCTCAGTTGTATTTGATTGCTGACCGTGAACCGGACCATTCCATTGTCAACCTATCCTTGCAGCTTCTCACAACTCCATCAATAACTGAGGAAATTGTTCATCGCGGTAACTTCCTTACCAAAGTAATGGCTATTCTCTACACCTTCCTCACGACACGACAAGTGGGTGAGCCTTGGGAAGTCAACCCAACGGCAACATTGGCATTTGATGCTGGTTCAGTAACCAATCGTCGTCTTTACCATTTCTTCCTCGACCTGCGCTACCTCCTTCAGTCAGAATTCGTACAAAACCGTATTCGCTCAGATGAGCAATACCTTCTGCAATTTCTAGATCTCGTCAAGCTTCCTCAAGGGATCTGTCCTAATGTGAGGGCTGTCGGAGAACATGTAGAGTACGAAACAGACACCTGGATCAGCGCTTCAATCTTGATGCGAGAGATCAACCGCCTTTGTCGTCAGTTCTGTGACGCTTTCCGCCATCCTGGACATGGACAAGGTGAGAATCTTGTACGTGCGATCAAGACAGCGGCTATTTCAGCAATCGCGCATTCAAGCGGAGTTGAGAGAAAGCGATTTGATCAGGCTGAAATCAAAGAACATGTCTGTTTCAAACAACTCCCTCTCTTTGACTTTGAAAACTATGATGTCACTCCCGAAGGGCAGCTACAACGACACAGGGTGGTTGACTTTGTTGTGGAGAAGGGCTCTGTAAGCTTCCACCATGCCCTCCATTATACACTCTCTTGGTTGTTGGAGTGTGGCCGGGGCATGAGCAGTGAATTAATGCGTGACCTTTTACTGGATGCTGCCCGAACGGCAAACGAGAGATACGTTCACGATAGGCATCTAAGCAATGAAGATCTTCTTTTGACGATGTTTGACTACCCACTACGCGTCTGTTCTTGGCTTGCTCAGATGAAGGCAGGAATGTGGGTTCGTAACGGTTTGAGCCTTCGTCATCAAATGTCTCAATATCGGGGAGTGTCTTCCCGTGACTTTGCATATTACCGTGATATCTTCTTGCTTCAGACTGCTTTCGTAACATGCGACCCTAGTCGTGTTCTTGCTACTATTGCCGAACGGTTTGGAGTAGTTGCGTGGATCATTGGAGACTACCAAGCGCGTCCTGGATACGAAGATTACCAAATTGTCGATGTTGCGGAAGAGTTTGTGCATTTGCTCATCATCTTGATAACGGACCGTACATCACTGACTGCAGATGATGATGATGCCATGACGGCCCGCGAGAATATCAGCCGCGATATAGCTCATGTATTGTGCTTTAAACCACTATCATTCTCCGACTTGTCTACACGTTTAAGCGATAAGTTGTTGGAAACGGACATGTTCCAGGATGTTTTAGAAGATGTTGCTACATTTCGTCCTCCGGAAGGATTGAATGACACTGGCACATTCGAGCTCAAGCCTGATTACATCGACATGGTCGATCCATTTAGTGCCCATTACAACAAAAATCAACGTGACGAAGCGGAGAGTATCTATCGAAACTGGATGGCAAAGAAAACAGGCAAGGAAGCTTCAGACATTGTCTTTGAACCCAAACTTCGGCCTATCCCGGATGGAGCATTCTTAAACCTTTCAGCATTTACAAAAACCCCGTTATTTGCTGAAATAATCCATCGCTGCCTTGACTATACGATCTGCTTTAAAGACAAAACTCCTCAAATTCCGTTAACACGGGTTGAAACGTTTCTCCATATTGTACTGCATTTGACCCTTGTTGCTACCTTAGAAGATAATAGCAAGGAAAATGATCATCCCGTGGAATCTTTCATTTCAAACGCTCTCTCGAAATCGAGGATGACACAGGATGTCGGTGTCCTTACCATTGTCGGTCTTTTGGAAAAGATCTCAGTTGCAAAGGAGTACGAAAGCTGCAGCGCCAAGATCAAGCACATCATCAAAATAATGTGGCAGAAGCAACCAAGGTCGTATGCATCTGCCACACAAAGTTTGAATTTTCCGTATGAGCGACTTGACACTAATTCTCCAGCAAGGAATATTGAATCTGAGCAAGAAATCAAGAAGAAACAAGCATTGGATCGTCAAGCCCGTGTTATGGCACAGTTCCAGCAACAACAGCAAAACTTCCTCAATAGCCAATCTGCTATTGATTGGGGCGAAGAGGATTTCAGTGACACGGATTCTGAAACCCTAGGCGAAGCTGAAACGAAGACCTGGAAATATCCTAGTGGCACTTGTATTCTGTGTCAGGAGGAAACTAATGATTCGAGACTTTTTGGAACCTTTGCCTTGGTTCAGGATAGCAGTATTTTACGTCTGACTGATATCTACGAAAAAGACTGGATACGGGAAGTGTTAAGAAACCCCTCGAGTCTCGACCGCTCTGCAGAATCCATTCGACCCTTCGGTGTGGCTGGAGAAAACAAGGTCATGGTGAAAAAGCTCGATTCATCAGGTGGTGAGGTTATAACCGAGAAGATTGGTCTCAGTAAAGGGTTCTCATCAAAGAATACGCTTCGTGGCCCGGTGACCACAGGCTGCGGTCACATAATGCATTATGCCTGTTTTGAAGTCTACTGCACGGCCACGCAACGGCGTCACTCCCAACAAGTCGCACGAAATCATCCAGAGCATTTGGATCTGAAAGAATTCGTCTGTCCTCTCTGTAAGGCATTAGGGAATGCATTCTTACCAATAGTCTGGAAAGGCAAAGAAGAAACTTATCCTGGTGTTTTGAATACGCAGCATACCTTCGATCAATTTATACATGAGGATTTACGGACCACACTTTCCCAGTCACCAAATTATCCATTGGTTACCACGGAGTTTGACAAGGTTCAATCACCTGCCTATCGAGACTTGTTTACAGACTATCTCACAAAATCTCTGGTCACGCCATTATCCAGCAAGATCGATCAGTTGACAATCTCTATCCCACCTCCAGCACCAACTTCTTCCTTCTGGCCGCTTCCTACACCAAGAGTACTGATGCCAGGTATTTTCCCTAGCACTGAAGAGGTTACCAACAACAGCCCACTTCAGCCACCACCTCCGCCTGCAGAGACCCCTGTTGCAGAACTAGTCCAGATCTATCGGAGGTTGAAAAAGACTTTGCGGGAGAATCACGTCCAATCACAGTTTCCTTATTCTCAGGAAGTTAGCAACGGAGAGGACCTTATTTACACAGATTCTCTAATTCGAAGTTTCGGTTTTAGCATATCTGCGCTTGAGATTGCGCAGCGTGGAGTCGAATCCGACCCAGGAGCTACGCTCCTCGACAAGATTCCACAATTAACCTTGACGCATCTTCGCGTACTTGCGGAAACTGCGTATGCTTATACCGCTGTAGGAGGCGTTTCAAACCCGTCGCCGAAAAATCGTGCAACACAGGAGTTTCAAGAGATGCATCGTCAAAAAATCTGCCAACTCTTTGTGGGCCATCCTGTGATTAATGGCACTGCTTTGCTTGACGATGTGCGCAATATTGAGCCGTTGCTTGGCATGGATGTTTTCGTATTCCTCGCTGAATGCTCCTTGTCTTTGCTCCCAGTACTCAACATAGAAGTCGGGCACCTAGTGCAACTCTGCTATGTGGCGGAGATACTCAAAGTCTCGGTTACTTTCATCTTATGGAATCATGCACTCAAGGACGAGCTTGCACGAGGAGAAGATGACATCGACACAAACTCTTCAAGGGCTCAATATGCAGCCACACGGCACTTCTTTGATGCTGTCGTATCCGAGCTAAAATCGAACTCTATTGGACGGGCTGCCGGATCTTCGATAATGAGTGGCTATTTGAAAGAGGGCGAAGATTCAAGTACACCAACCTTAGTTATGGCATTACGTCGTCTAATCTCAAGCTATGCATTGCCCTTCTTGAGAAAAACTGTGATATTGCTTCACGTTCAGCACGGGGTTGACTTCCCAAGCGCTGGTCTTGGTGATGAGAATATGACAGAGCTCGACCGTTTAACAGAGGTTCTTCGACTACCTACCTTGGATGAAATTTTTGATTCTTTCTCCCCTGCCAAGGCAAATGACAATCCTTGGTATAGAGTCGTATCGGGATGGATATTCCACTGGAACGCGTCTCGTTCAGGTATTCGTCTAGAAGATCACCGGCTATGGCCTAGCTTGTCTCACCCGGCTATCTTTGAATTGATTGGGTTGCCGAAGTATTACGATTTATTGATTGAAGAAGCCAACCGCAGACGCTGTCCCAACTCCAAGAAAGAACTGAGCGACCCCAGCATTTGTCTATTCTGTGGGGATATTTTCTGTTCGCAGGCGGTGTGCTGCATTGATAATGGATTTGGTGGTTGCAACCAGCACGTCCTAAAGTGAGATCCCACATAACCTAACCCTATTTCAAAACCCAATACTGACCAAACGACCAAACAGATGCGGTAAAAATATCGGGCTATTCATTAACATCCGAAAATGCACTGTTCTTTACCTACACAATCACAACGGCTCCTGGCATTTCGCACCATATCTAGACCGACATGGGGAAGTCGACCCTGGTCTTCGCCGCAATCGGCAGTTGATTCTGAACCAAAAGCGCTACGACAAGCTGTTACGCGACGTGTGGCTTTCGCATAGCATCCCAGCAACTATTAGCCGAAAGCTGGAAGCCGACATCAACAACGGCGGCTGGGAAACTATATAAAATATAAGTGGATCGGGATATTTTGGTGGACTGTTGATGGTACATATTTAACGTTACTTATATGTATTCAATGTCGGAATTCGCAACTCCTTTCCTTTATCTATATTTAATATGACTGGACCATATTAATAGCGATACTGTCTCGGTATTGGCTTGATTATCATTGGTGTTTGATGGTTTTATTATTTGGTAAAGAATGCCAGCGGTAGTTTGAATAGCAAATTATCTTGACTTCATATTCATCAAACAAGATCAATTTACATACATGTAATAATATACCATGAAAATCTGTATTAATGACATCCGAATCTTCGATTTTACATCTCTATCATAAAGGAGCGGCGTTAGAACGGTTTCGCTATGGTGGAAAACCATAGAGTATGACACTTGCCTTATTATTTTGAATTATTTACATTAATTAATGATTACAGGGTTAGAAAGAAACCCACAATACATGTAAACTCAAGTAGGTTTGGAAACTGCGGCCAGGGTCTGGCCTGAAGGTATGGTTTGTTGTCGGTGCCATCGATCCTAGTCTGGGTGGACGTGGCTATATTGTGCCCGCATCGGTGATGATACTGGTGACCACCTGTTTGGAATGGGCCCTCACTTTTGTTACGTATCAGGCCCCGACGTGCCAATTCTTGCAAATACTATTTGGTTTGGTTTTCTTTCTCTGTAACAATCTCTACACCACAATTGCAGCGATTTAATCATCTCCAATGCGCGCGCGGCTATCTATCGATTTCAAGACTTATCTCTCGGCACGGGCTCTATCAAGATGGAGATGCATTTCTTTTAAAATTAATTTAAAGTAATGACCAAGTAAAGATCTAGTTTATAGGCGGACGCAAGGGGCCTGTCAGTTTCGGCGCCTAGATACCTTTCACAGTACATAGTGGAGCCTCACCGCCTTCCTTACCGACATGAGCCTGGAATTATGCCGAACAAACCTACGAACCACACCGTGACGCCGAGAAAATGATCATTCGATGTGTGCATGTGATATAATAACTTACCCTCTATGATGTCTCCTATCGTCTGAACTGGTTATATTCAACAGCCTACGAAGCATCATGAACAACGAACAATTCCGTCGCCTGGTTCTCGACCAGCCTGGCCAATCCCGCCAAACCACCGACAGCCACAGCCCAAAGACAACCGAAAAAGAAGGCGTCCGAAACAATGCGAATACCTCCGCGCTTGGATCGCGCCTCCGATCTAGTATCCCTATGACTCCGCGCGCGGTGCACAGCGGCAAGGGTGGCGGAATCGATTTCGCGCGACAACTCGCTGAACAGCGGCGCGAGACGGAGGAGCAGGGACGTCCGACGAAACGATTTAAAGCTTCGGCGGCGCCCAAGGGGACGAAGTTGGTGAGTGGATACCAGGATCGGACGGCGCTGCGGAAGCAGGAAGAGCATGATGAGGATAATGCGGGGACGAAGAAAGAAGGAATCGAGCAGCGGCTCAAAGCGTTGGAGGAGATGGTCAAGCTGGGACAGATTGATCAGAGCACTTTTGATAAGCTGCGAAGAGATTTGGGTGTTGGTGGGGATTTGCAGAGTACGCATTTGGTGAAAGGGTTGGATTGGGATTTATTGAGGAGAGTGAGAGGAGGAGAGGACTTGTCGAAAAAGGAAAAAGAAGAAATGGCAGAACAGGGCAAGGAAGAGGCTGAAAATGTTGATGAAGAGCTGGATCGCGTGCTGGAAAAGGAAGTAGACCAGTCAGAAGCCCGGCCGAAAGAGAAGAAGGTCAAGAAAGGGAATTTGGCTGCAGCGCCACCCGCAAAAAGGTCGCGAGATGAAATTTTACGACAGTTGAGGGAAAGCCGAGCGGCCGCAGCAGCTGAGCCTGCTCCAGAGTCTACGTTGGGCTCAAAGTTTAAGAAAATCCATGACGGCAAGCCTGAAAAGAAACGCTGGATTGAAACAGATCCTAGTGGCCGTCGCAAGGAAATCCTGGTCATCACAGATGCCGAAGGAAACTCGAAAAGAAAAGTTCGATGGCTCGATAAAGAACCTCCTCCGCCAAATACTGATAGCAACGGACTTCTACTTCCTGATCAAGCCGTAAAGCCCTTGGGTATGGAAGTCCCCGCCGAAATAGCTGCAAAGATTGCTGCAGAGAAGGCTGCCGAGGCAGAGTTAGAAGATGAGGATATCTTTGCCGATGCTGGTACAGACTATAATCCCCTCGCTGATCTCGACGAGAAAGAATCGTCAGACGAGGACAGAGAGGAAGACGAAGTATCAGTCGACAAGAGGCCAAATGATGAGAAGACGGAAGTGGCAAACAGCGTATCTCAAGCAACCAGGCCACGGAATTATTTCGGCAAGACGGAGGAACTCGTCGAGGAACGCGGTAATCCGCTCACAAGTGATCCTACTCTCCTGGCTGCATTGAAACGTGCTGCAGCTCTTCGTCAAGGCTCACCTTCAGGGGCAGCAGAGGACGATATGGCGGCTGATGACGACGTCGATCCTGATAGACTTGCACATCGCAAGAAATTCCTCGAGGAAGCACGTCGTCGTGAGGCACAGGATGCTCTTGATATTGACTACGGCTTTGGAAGCAGTCGGATTGAGGATGAAGAGGACGAGGAGGGTCCGACATATGATGAGCAACGTGGTGGTAATAAACGCAAGCGCGGGCCGAAGAAAAGAAAGGGGGACAAGGACTCAGCAGCCGACGTGTTGCGAGTGATGGAAGGACGAAATAGTACTTAGATGATATGACTGATACCGAAATTTCATGAACCTATAATTACTATCCGATGGTGCTTACTATCTGCATAGTCCTACGTGTATTTGGAACGATATCAATGCGGGAAACCGGTATTTAGAATTGCTTCTGACAGTAGGCAAAGAGGAGAAAAGGAGAAGAATGCTCAAGAGAAACAAGCACATAATACCCCGACAATGTAAGAAGGAAAGACAGAGCAATAAAGGTGCATACATGGTTGCTGACAGTAGGATATTTCTCTAAAAGCTAAAACATCCATATTCTAAGAAATTGCTTACCAGACAAACTTGAACCACACGGCGACTGGCCGTATAGAGATAGAAAGACCTAAAAAAAGATTGGGTCAGCAGTTGCGAAAACACACTGAGACACGAAACCAAGGAAAGTAGAAATCCAAAAGGCGAAAAGGGTATGAAATCGAACGCGTCTAGTGATGCTATTCATAAATTATAAGTTCGTGCTAGGAAATTACAAAGAATCCATATTTGATGCCGGTATCGAAGATACTAAATAAATAAAGAAAAGACCGAACCAAATTGGCTTGGCTCGTTATCTCACCTGTAATAAATGTATGATTCAATCGCCGATGGACTGATAATTATAAAGCAGTAAGCTATGGAAGTTTGTTAGATGTCTGAATCAGTATTTCTTCGACGGAATTTATAGGAGAAAGGAAGACTGATGGAAGACAAATATAGGGATAATTCATGATACTAACAATGCAGGCACGGAAATAATAGATGGGAGCGGGGTTCACTTACGGAGCTAAGAAAAATAGACGGTTGGACCTATACACGTTGGAATCAAAGACCTAAGAAGTAGAAAAGTTCAGAGTCAGTGTGTTTCACACATACTGAGTGAGACTGGTGGGTATAAGAATACAAGGGTTGGGTATGAGAAAGAGAGGATTGATCGGGACTGGAAAGGGAATTGGGAAGAAAATTGGGAAGTGAAAGGACTGAATCAAAAGGGCTGGTGAAGTGCAAAAGAAAAGGGCATCAACAAAATCAAGGAGTGACCAAATCTCACCTGTAGTTTAGTAGTACATCGGGTAGACCGGAAAATCGAGTCGAGAGTTGGCGAAATCTTGTAGTAGAAAAAACCTAGAGACACACCTCCTCATCAGCAAATTTCCGTGATCAAAAGTCCATTTGATCGTCTAAATCGAAAACATGCCGAGTGAGACCCGAGGGTCTGAAAGACTCAACGTTCGCAATACGTGCACCATACTGCTACTTCTCAAGCAATGGCGTGCCGAGATCACTCCTGTCTATAAGGGAATTTAGGGCTTGAGGGGGTCTCACCTATAGATTGATAATAGATCAGGTAACGGACCGGAAAATCGAGTTGAGAGTTGGCGAAATCGCGTAGTAGAAAAAACCTAGAGACACTTCCTCATTAGCATATTTTCGTGATCAAAAGTTTGTTTGACCGTCTCAGTCAAAAATATGCCAAGTGAGACCCCGAGGGTCTACCGAGAGACTCAACGTTCACAATACGTGCACATACTGCTACTACTCAAGCAATGACGCGCCGAGATCGCTCCTCTTTCGGAAAGGTGGGGATTTAGAGCTCGAGGGGGTCTCACCTGTAGGTATTGATATGCCTCAGCTACGGCATTGTGGACTAGAAGCTATCAGACGATAGAAAGAAGAACGGCGAGAAGGGGGGGAAGGACTGGGGTCGAGGGGACTGAGAAAATCGAGGAGAAGGAGTGTGACAGGAAGATGGAGAAAGAGCGAAGGAGCAGAGAGGAGCACTGTATTTATGCTTGAGCTGGCGACACTACTAAGCCTCATACGGAAATATTTGAAGGAGGCAGCAGAATTAGAAAGTTCGGTTCGCAAAAGTCAATTGGCGCTGTCTTAGAGCAAAAATAGCTGCAGAAGTCGTAAATATAGCTACAATTTTAGCTCAACCGTGGAACATTTTCTCTGGACCTGGGGTACCCCAGGATTTCTGTCTCAGCATAGGGCTCTGTCTATACCAATTAGGTCTAGTAGAAGACAATACATATGTGAAAGCAGTCTACCGAACGGTAATATTTCAACCTGGAGCTCAAAGCTCACGGTGGTAATACTAGTGTCTGCCGTGGTTCTTTGTGGCTGCAATAGAGGGCTACTAAACCATTCTTGTAGAAACATATGGTTTAATACTCATCTAGAATGATACAAAATTGGTTTAGTTAGCCATTGAGCAATGCTGTTGCCTCAAGGACGTCATCTACACAATGCGGCTTGACATCGATAATACGTAGATTGAGTTGCATTCATCACGATCAGGGAGAGTCATTTCAGGTCTGTTCAATGCCGACTATCGTCTATCACATGGAATCTACCACTGTTACTAATATGCCACAGTAATAAAGAACTGCTAGTATTAACAATAATTAACGATGGATTGATTGATGCTGGTTTAATGTCGATATAGAGATTACACAGTACTAGTCCATTTTCGGCTAGCATAGCTCAGTGCCGATGATCCGGATGACGGCAGCCCAGAATGGCTAGCGTACACGCTATGCCAAACCAGGTCAATAGCGGTCATGAGCTTCGTATACTAGCGGCCCTGTGTGACATGTTTGTCGATATTATTATTGCTATCATAACTGTATCTGGCCATAGTGTCACTTAATGTATCGTCTTGGTTATATGGGCTATGCGCAATTGTCTGTCTATGTTGTTCCTGCATGAAGCCGCCTTGGCAGTCGTTTCCACCCGCCAATAATGGAAAAGAGCAGCTACTCAGCAAACTCCCCAACATGTGGTAAATGAACGCTGCTCTTGGCAGGATTAATATTGAATATTAATAGCACCATCAAGTCTTCCTCGTTCTTCTATATGCGAATAGTTCTAAGCATCACCGTATGTACTGTGGACAGAAAAATAAGGCTCACATAACCAGCCTGTCGTAGGCTCGTAGCAGTGGCCAGCCACTAGTACCGCTAGGATCGGCTAGGTCGTCAGCGGGTGACATGCGTTCCTCCCACTGCTACCTAGGGGCGATTTATTTCATTTCACCGATCAACTGTATGAATTACTGCTCACTGTATGACTGTCCGATGTTTTGCCAAACAAGAGCTCCACGAAACATGTTTGGCGGGTGCAATTCCCCGTGTGCAGATGTGTCGCTGTACCTGTCGGGGTGACGAATTTGCAGACGACGCCCGCATGCTGTCAAACAGCCACCAAAAGCCGAAGTCAAACCCAAAACCCCGGTGGAGGCCTCTAGATTCTGGTCGGTGTCAGGCACACTGGCTTCCTATTCGGCCACCGCATTCAGTTACAATTCCGACTGTAATCGGTGGGCCAATGGATGCAATGGCGGGGTGGCTGCTATGCCTTCCGGCCAGAACCCTGAGGCCGCCCCGTTTCACTGTTGTCGATGGCAATCCTTCATCAGGCCCTCAGCACGCACCTCGTCGAGAAAATCAATGGATGGCCGTGTCATATTTCCCAAAAGCTGACCAATGGTCAGCTTACCCAGACGCTAGAAATAGCAAATCTGGATCGATTAAACTATATGTGGAAACCGACCACCCCAGAGCGAGGTCTGGGTGACCATGCTGATGCAGTCTAATTGATCCTTCTGGTGCTGACTTTTCTTTTTAAACCCGTTATTCTCGTCCTTTGCATGCAAACCTGCTTCTTCTTTCTCCTATCTTTCCTGTTTGTCAGTCATCGTGAATTGTGCCGAGCACACCCACACTCCTTTCCTACAACACAATCTTCACCCACTCCTTGTGAAGATACCTCTTTGCTCTTTCTACGAGGTTGATCCTGCGTCCACATTCATTTCGAAACTAAATTAAACTGAACTACACCGCGTCGTCACGATGGACTTCACCAACGCCTTCGTTGCCACTATGATGGCAACTGTTGTCATGGCCGCGCCTCATGGCCTTGACCATCGTTTCAGCCATCTCCATGCCCGCCAGAACACCACGGTCAACAAGCTCGGCGCTGCTTACAATGATGCTTCTCTTGTCAGTGCTATCACCAATGCTGGTTGGGCATACGACTGGAACCTTGACTCCGACGGCACTCTGCCTTCGGGTGTTGAGTACTGCCCCATGCTCTGGGGCCAGAAGATGTACGACCAGTGGCAATCGTCCGCCTCTAGCTATCTCTCCTCCGGCAGCACCTGTCTTTTGGGATTCAACGAACCCGACATGACCACCCAGGCCAACATGAGCCCCCAACAGGCCGCCACTGACTACCAGACCTATATGACCCCATTCGCCAACCAAGCCACGCTCGTCTCTCCAGCCGTCACCAACGGTGTCGGTGACAACCTAGGTCTCACTTGGATGGAAAGCTGGCTCCAGGCCTGCAACGGCGCCTGCGGTGCTACGGTCATGGCTATCCACTACTACGCCAACACTGACACCTCTGACTTTTACAACTTTGTCAACAACGCGGCCAGCCTGGCCAGTCAGTACGGAATGAGCAGCGTCTGGATCACTGAATTCCAAAACACCGGAACCTCCGATCAACAGGTTTCTTTCTTGCAGGAAGTCATTCCATGGCTCAACAATAACACTGATGTCGGACGTTATGCGTACTTCTATGTTGCCGATCAATATCTCCTGAGCGGTACCTCTTTGAGCGCGATCGGAGAAGCCTACACTGCTACGTACTAGTTTCGAAATAGAATCCATTTCCATTTAGGCTTACGGTCACGGTCCTATTTTTTATATTTTAGTTTTCATTTATGTACATACTCTTGCTAGATGAATGAGTGACTCCATATGATATTCACAACTAGGCGTCCAGCGTCGTGGTGGTGTAACGCTCCGCGGGGCGAAGGATTGCCGTAGATGCGGTCAGCTGGGCTATACCTAATTGAGCTACGTAGTTGCTTTTCTCCTCATCGATAGTGGGATGTTTTATATTTTATTAACATAATACTAATAACACAAAAAACAAATAACGTTGGCTGGTTGGTGTAGTTGGTTATCACGTCTGCTTAACATTCTGTTAAGTGATAAACGCAGAAGGTCGCCAGTTCAAGTCTGGCACTAGTCATCTCTTTTTTAACTTTTAATGACAGGATCGCGTTTGATTTTGTTATTAATCATTATTATTTTACGAAACAATATCGGCTGGTTGGTGTAGTTGGTTATCACGTCTGCTTAACATTCCGTTAAGTGAGAAACGCAGAAGGTCGCCAGTTCAAGTCTGGCACTAGTCATCCATTTTTTACTAAATAATATCGGCTTATTTATTATCATGTTTGATTAACATTCAATATGCGATAACACGCAGAAGGGCGCCAGTTCACTCGGCACTAGTCATCTGTTTTTATCTTTTTTAAGATACTACGATTGCACTTGATTTAGATTCCGATAATCATTCGACGAAATAACATTGGCTGGTTGGTGTAGTTGGTTATCACGTCTGCTTAACATTCCGTTAAGTGAGAAACGCAGAAGGTCGCCAGTTCAAGTCTGGCACTAGTCATCCTTTTTTTTTCTTTCACTAGACGGTAGGATCGGGCTTGATTTAGTCATTATTATAACAAATAAAAGTATAGTCTTAAAAAACAATTAATGAATTTAGTTGATCTTATTTTAGACTAGCCTTGAAGGGTAAATAATAGTGAGCCTGCCTATACATACATGTATTGGCACTAGATAGGCATGGATTGTCTCATTTTGGCTATGTTCATATTGTTTGTATCAATGGAGTTACTTTGCAAATGAGAAACTGCCTACAGAATGTTCTCTCAATCAATAATACACTCGCAACTCACAGACATACTCTAACTTGAGTAGTAAGTGTATCCCTGTAACATGGTCCGGGCAGGGCTGTGTCCGGGGGTGCCTGGAAAGCTAGATGTGCGTCAGTTGAAGCTTCACCGTTCGATAATGAAGCTATAGAGTAAATCTACTAGAGGGGTATTATCGATTTTGATTATATAAATATAGAAAGGCTCCGAACCCAAGGCTATTCGAAGCTGAGTAGGCTTATATTGAAAGTTATGTCAAAAGAATTATACGAAAGATATCGCTTGGTCTCCTCCCTCCGGGTTGGAAACCAACCTTATATACCTGAGTCCCTGCCTCATGTCATTGATATCTAATCTAACTAGATACAGGCATACATTGCGAGGTAACGGGTCTTATGGTATCAATTATGATATATCACAATTGACTCCCAACATATCTCGGAGACCTCGGTCTTGCTGGATTCGGCATAAGCATGCTTCCTGGACCTATCCATGTTACAGGCTTCCCCCTCTAGGAAGACTTAACCTCGAGTCGGTTTCCTAACGGGTGTGAATAGCATGATGTTGGGGATATCGAGGTGCAGGCCAGCGAGCCTATGACAGCGGGATTAGCACACCTCAAAGTATTGAATATGGTGGTTTCCGGAGCCTGCCTGTTCAGAAGACTTGTACAAGCAGCAATACCAGCCGAGGACGTCTTTAGTGATGCGGCCACATCGGTGCTAGAGCTATCACTCACTCGCTTGCAGGGAAAGGACGCCTTCTCTAAGAAGAAGATAACTAGCTTAAATGAGACCACCGCTCTTATATCGACCGACTCGAAGGTGACTCGAAGCTGAGTCGGCGGCGGTTCCCTTGGGGCAGCTTGGAGCCTTAGATAATGCCTTCTACTATACAAGAACCGTGTTTATGTTCCCAAATACGCGGCGCTGTGGGCTGAACTCATGAAGTTACATCATGATCACTTATATGCAGGCCACTTCGGTGCTGCCAGAACTGAGAATTTGCTCAGTTGGAACTATTTTTGGCCGGGTATGAGAGACGTGTGAGATTTGTTAATTAATAAAGGTGTATCGATATGGCCATATAGGTAATTGCAATCTCTTCCTATTTTAGTTGGATTGGACAAAGCCTAATAATGGATTTTATAACGGATTGCGCCCAGTAAGCGGAGATCTGAAGTTTATCATTCTATTTTGTCGTAGTAGACCTACACTAAGCTTAGAATCCGACTATACAGTAAGTCAGTAACATGTCTTACTAATCAAAATCTGACAATTAATATTTTTTCCAAAGACAATAAGTAACAACAAACCTCTCCTTCTGTTATTGTTAATTATTCTCTTTTATCTTTCACTTTACATGCGACGATCCAATCACAAAAATCCCGACAAATCGGACCTCTTGCCCCTCTCTTCTGTATCTTATTGACTGACGGGTGTGGATTCTCGGCTTCTGGAACATCAATCACATAACAACCCTGAGGCTAGGCAGGTCCCACCGTCGGATAAAAGGCAGATTTGATTCAAACGCCGTCTTCGACCCAATCATAATAATACACCTTATTATTACCACGGCAAAGGTTTTTTAGTTCCATGGATATCGTTGATTAAATCCCCTCCTGCATGGTTTGAATGCTCTCATGTCAGCGAGGGGTGGGTTTCTAGAATTTGTCTACCGTGGAATAATTATTATTACAGGACCATTCTCTTACTCTTTTTATTGCCTCCAAACTTTATCCTCAGAAATTAATGAGAGGTACTTTAGTGGCGTCGTTCCTGCGTCGTCCGCGTCTACGTAATCAGTCCCCGTTTTGTTTCATGTTCCAGCAGGGGATATGTATGACTAGGCGTTGTTTTTTTTGATTGCGTCTTTATTCTGCATTCTGGCGAGATGAGTCGTGTGTACGGCTAGTATGAATCAATACGGACTCTTATTTTACTACTGTGCAGATTTCTCCCTCCTCATTTGTCTCAAGGAGAACTTGTACATCAATATGGAGACATTTGGGTAAATGATCTTTTTAGTTTCGACATCGAGGTCACTGTAAAAGAAGAAAACACTGTCATGGAAGTACTCAATATCGTAAGATGCATCTTCATAACATTCAATGTTAATGCCAAGGCCATTTCCAAGGTATTACAAGTTGTGCCTCTTTTCTGTAATACCCTGATAAAGAAAATAAAATATCGCTGACGGCTGAATGGTGTAGCGGTATCACGCATCGTTCACATTCTTAATGGCTGTATCATCCAATCTTACTACCAAAAGATTGTTGTTCCGATGAGGTCCTGGGTTCGACCCCCAGTTTAGTCAGTTCTTTTTTTATACCACACCACAACAGGCCGTAATTACTGGTGGTCGGTTAGGACTCCCACCCAAACAAGTTATGTAGGAAATAGCTAAATAGAAGTGAGGGTATAATCAAGAGCCTGCACTGTATTCAAGATTAACGTAAAAAGATGGAGCTCGTGGTAATTCTTGAGCCAGACACTGTGTATTAAAGTACTCTCTCCTTAGGTTCCAGCACCGAAACTCTGGCTGGAACCTCATACATGTATCGCGGCATCTCACGCCGTCGTTAGAACTAGAGAGCTCTTTTCTTTCCTTCCTCTTATGTGAGGCTTACTCCCTTTTAGCTAGGTTCCTATACGACGCCGGCTTTAACATGTGGCAGTGGGAACGAGTGCTAGCCGGGCTAATATCTTCCTGACAAAGCCCAGAAGTAGGAACAGCTTGATTGGGAACAAAGAGGACAGCCTCTGGGCTGCTATTCATGTAAATCCAAGCAATTTTCACATCACGAACAGTGCCCCCAGGTATGCCCCCAGGTATCAGAAATATGCGGGGTTGCCTCATAACTGAAAAGCTATGGAAATCTGACGTCGTATACATGGATGGTATGGGATAAAAGGCGCCAAGGTAATTGCTGTCAAAAACACTAAGGATAAGAGATAATAGGCTAAGTGCGTCTTAGATCTAATTTATCTCATTTCACTTAAGATGCAGATAAAAACTACATTGGTTGTGGGCTCCATTTCTTTCATATCTTTAGATAAATAACTGGATGACATTGGTATTGAAAACAAGCAACCTATACCGGCTGACAGTAGATACATATATTTATCTAGAAGCCACAGATATTGAATGTTGATGTCGATAGCGTAGTATATGTTTCTGGACTATTTATTCTATTCTAGGACCCAAAATGGAAACTCAACTATATTCAAGTTCGACGACTCCGCCCGCTTGGTCTAGAGACATGACGTCTCACTCGTATCATAAAAAACTATGAAATGAGAAGGTCGCAGATTCGAATTCTGCAGTGGGCATTTTTTTGCCGACCATATTGCTTACGGTGAAAATTAGGAACAGTAGGTAAATCCTGGGGTTGGAATGTGCGTCAGCGTTAGAGATATCCAAAGCATCTTCCTAGTATAGAAAACGACAAGATCATCCAAGCCATTACGTATGCCACTGGAGAGAAAATTTATTTAAGTTCGATAATACGGCCCCAGCTCATCCCAGTGATAAATAAACAGAGAAAAATACAAAGTATAGGCGGAATACAAAAAGATAGATTCTGTATATACTCTCTATCCAATTCCAATCCCTAATCTGCTTGGTGATGAGGCTCTCCTCTCTCCATTCGAGATTATCTGAGCGAATGTAAGCCCTTGAGGCTATCTATGTATGATAAGACTAGGCCCCTAATAGGGTGTCTGCCATAGCTCTAAGCTGGATATGAACAATAAACTTGATTACACACATGTACGCTCACAACGACCTTACCCAGCTTTAAGCTATGAAGTGGGGCCCCGTTTTAGTGGACTCTAGGGATGTCTTTAGGGGCCCAAACCCCTAATTCCTCGCACCGCTGACCCGAACTGGTACCAGAGCGCTCAATTGTACATACTTGCGAATTCACCTTGCCCCCTGGGGCTACTGAACATATACAAGCGCTACTCATTTCCAGGCAATAAATGATTCACACCCGAGCTAATATACTCTTGGCCAGCGTCCAATGAGCACCCCGGTCAGATAACCTCGTGATTCAAGCGGAAATGTGAAGAGGATTCATTCTTATTGTTCGGGTTGCTCCCGAATGTGACCGGAAGCCGGCGGAGGCTAAAAGCTCCGTTGCATCGTTGAAGGAATCACTCCAAATGGTCGAGAGCGAGTTTTAGTTTCTCGGAAAGGCGGTTATCACTAGATCACTCTTCTCATCGGCAAATCTAGTGCATCCATTGCCTGGTGATTTGCTAGTTTCTAGGTCAACAATCCACGCCCAAAAAAACGCCGATTGGTCCATGAAGCTCTGATCCGACTGATCGAAGGGATCAATATAGGATTATTTTGACATATCATCTACTTCCTCTAAAGCGGGGTAGCGCCTAGATCACGTGCCTTTCCCTGTTTACATCCTTTGTTATGACCTTATGGCTTCCGCGCAACATGTCTCATCTAGGTCCTCTCACACTACGTTGAATTATCCAGGGATTGAAATATGTCTAAAAGGGCACTCACAGCCGTTGCTGGCCTGACCGTCACGGCATTTGCTGTCCCCCCAGCTTATCGTGACTATCAGACTTACCTTTCCTACGGCCCCGGAGGCCCTCCACATAACGCAGTAGGATGGTTTTTATCCAGAATGATTGTAACTCCCTTGGGTCAAGAGATGTTCAGCACCGAAGTCTATCAGCGCAGAATTGACCGAGGCGAGACGGCAACGTATGTCTACCCAAATGGGAAGCTTCCAAAACGAGAGGGGAAAGTTCCCCGCGTCGGAATTCATGCAATCCCGCAAAGGCAGCTAGATCAAGTGCCGAGTCAGAGCATTAGAGAAGTATGTTTGTTCAAATGACTATTAACAAAGGAAGTGAAAGAAAGGAGATAGCTTATTGATCATATATGTAGAAACTCGCTGATGCCTTCACTACTCTTGTGAAGAATAACCCAAGCCTACTTAAAACGGCAACTTCGCATTGGGAACGACGCACGGAAGCGTTATGGCTCTCCGACGGCGCCAAAGGTTCTTCAAAACCGACCTCCCCACCAGAAACAAGTCTTTCTAAGGGTGAAGTGTCCCATATTCATGGCACAAGTGACCATTCTGTGCACGTGATATTGTCACCAGCAGATGCGAAAAAGGTTATCGAAGCAAATTGGGGACAGCGACATGCTTTATCTGGAGCAAAGGTTTTATTCGGCACGTTCGAGCTCCCTTGGGTGTTTGCTATACCCTCGACATACCTGCTTATTTATGCTCCTCGAAGTGAAGAAGAAGTTAAAGTGGTGATGGAGATAGTGAAGGGTGGAGTGCGATATATGACTGGAGGGAAAGAAGTGAATTAATTATTAATAATCTTATCTGACAGCTCAAACAATTTTCTACACTTTCTAGGTTTGGGAAATGCTATTTTGTTTTCTTGTATAATGACGGCATATCGTTCTGGGAAATGATTGCTTCGCCAAGTATATTGTTTCTATCAATGATGTTTCTATCTCGACTCGATTTAATTTTGTATTCTCAATGAAATTAAAATAGCGTAGCTTGGAGCGTGCAATTATCTTAAAATGGGCCTTACGATATTCCCCCAAACGAAATCTTTCCTAGCTTGTACGACAGCTAGGGAACGAGTGCCTTACCAGGCGTTTGGGGTTCAATAGTAGAAAATGACTATATACCATTTTGAGGTAGAAAAATACATACAATTTGATTGATTCCACATTTTTATATCTATAGAACCTCATCTTGTTTGCATATATAATCCGCTTCAAGCATCCCCTGGTCCCGCAACGCTCGTCGTGATAGGTGCCTCCTCAATCCAAATTCCAGACCAATACCAATCCTCAGCATCAGCATCCGATCCTCCATTCGGTAACCTAAGCTCTCCGATATGCCAGTCCGCTGAGTTGGTAGAGGTGCTGGCAGAGATCGGCGTGACGACTTCAGTCAACGGTGCTGAGCCATTGCTTGCCCAGAGTCCGACTGTTTGCGCGTCGAAATCAATATCATACGCAAAGTTATACCAGTTTCCTGCCACAAGCTGTGTGGACCATTTTGTTACTTGTGAAACATCCCACCGCAGTGTGTTGTCGGCGCCAGTGGAACCGCTAATGGTGCCGTATTTGATTTCGGTGAAGTGGCTCTAGATAGTAATGTCAGTATCAATGGTTTCCACTTTCGAGCATTATTTATAGGGTTGGAATGGGTGTTTTCTAGTAGAAAGTTACCTCAAAGAAAGCAATCTGATGCTCGAAATTCGGGTTTGGCGGATTTGTACTCTTGGTCATGAGCGAGAAATGGTAATAAAGGTGGCCTGATCCTAGGTTTTTGGATGTCTGAGGAATAATTTCAGTGCGCTCCATGGTCTGACCTTCCCAAAAAGATGTACCATCCTTAGCGAAGATGAGGAGAAACAATGGTGTTAGTTTCTACATATGTACAAGTATATATTAGGTCATATGGTACGCTCTTACAATGGTAATCCGGATTCCCTGAGTATCACTGGTATCATTTGGATTCTTAAAGTCCGCAGACAAACCCAGGTACTCGGAAGTGTTACCTGTACCATGGATGTACCATTGATATGGTTGTATTTGATTTGACCATGACCCTGTATCATGACATCAGTATAAAATTTAGACACTTTTGTAAATACTGAGTATATTGTTACACAAATCAAAGTCCGATACTGTAAACGTAGAGTTGAAAATTCCACTCCACAACGTTGTGCCCGCTCTGGCAGTGGAGGAGAGGAAAGCAGCAAGTAGGAGAGTGTTGCGCTTCATCTTTCGTTTATACGATTTTCTAGGAGAAGTTTAGGTTTCTTCGTGTATTCTCTAATTGAAAGGTCAGATGGAGGAGAATTTAATTTCCACTTAGCTAAAACTTTTTGAGTGATACGATAGACTTATACCTCTCGGTGGAGACTGAAAATTGAGAATCCACCGAGACTCCCCGTCTTGTTTATTAATTGATTAGGCTATTTCAACGTTGTTTCTACCCACGCTTATTTCTTTCCCCTATTCGCTGGAAATCTTTAAAAAAGCAAAGGAGAGCGTCGTATCGCCATTACTCTAGACAATTAGCTGCACAGATTCATTCATTTGCCTGAAACGTGAAACGAAAAACTGTTGGATCTGTCAAGACCCCGTCTTTGCCCTACCCGCGGAATATCGCGTAGGTGCAGCGTGCTCACGCTGATGTTGGCTTAACAAACAAAATTCCTCTTCTTCCAAAAGACAGTTTACCTCAATAATGGGAATGAAATTTCAGATGATATAAACGTGTCTTAGTTATTGGTTTTTAATCTGGTGACATTTAAAGTGATGTCCCATTACTCTCAATGCTGATGCCTATTCCACCGGAGTCCTTAATTTGTCACCATTTGAATATTGACCTGGCTTAGTATTTTTTAAAGAATCTAGCTTCCTTTTACATGGAAAAACCGTCTTTCAAGCCCAAATTTTTGAAATAAAACGAGGGAAATTGAACTCTGCTGAAACAATTAGCACCCTCCCAAACTCGCAGGAGTATCAAACAAATTACTAGCTCAATTAGGAAACTAAACTCCCTTAAGATAATTGTATATATTTATCACCTGGTGACGCTTCGTCATCGATATTTATATGTGTGTAAACGTCTAAAAATGATATAGGAAGATTGACTCTCTACCCCATACTCTCACCGATCGTATAATCTCGTCATTTATTTCTGACATAGTTGCACCCAACCTTCCCACACACATCTCGTCTACTCAGTCTTTATACTTAATTCGATAGTCCTCCGCACAATCTCGAAAATCACTCGCCAAACACGGCTCTTCAGGGTCATCCCACCAGCCCTTACGGTGGGACAAAAGTCCAGCCTCGCTAACCAATTTATCCGTGTAATACACCAGATCGGCGTGGAAATTTATTCCGTCGAAGCCCCTGGACGGGTACCGTCTTCGCGACAGAGCATTCATATACGCGACTTGGCGCTTTGCCTCATCAACTGATGGCAGACTTATATGTCCGTCCCAAAACGCAGTTGCCCAGATGGCTTGGGCGTCAGCGACGCGGAAGTTGTTCGATACTCGAGCTCTTCCCAAAAAGAGTATAGAAGAATCAGACAAGGAAGCTATGCCGTAATACAATCTAGCTGGTGTGAGACTGGTTTCTCCGATTGGTTTGGCACCAAGAGGAGGGTGGCCTAGAATGGGGAAGGTCTTTAATATATCAGAATCTGCCGTTTTCATCAGATCTCCCCAACCCTCTTTCTCGGTCGAGGTGTCAGGTTGATGCGGAAGACCCAGTCGAGAAGCTTCCTCAGGAGCGAAAAATGGATATGAAGAGTTCCAGCCTGTACCACAAAGAACGATATCACTGGGAACTTCTCTTCCGTCTTCTAAGACGATGGCATTTGATGTCGTGCCACATGGATCACTACGGTAGACATTCACGTTTTTACTGACCAAATCCCAGAAGTCTTGGTGCTGAATAACCCCGACAGGGCCACTGCTCCAGAAGAATCTATCCCAGTTAGATGCAAGTATGCAGTCTTTCCTTGTTATATGAAGACAACTCACGATGCTTTTGGCTCCAAGTCCCGAAACCCTGGAAGAGCCCCTTCTCGCGCTCGATAATTCGCCCACGCCTTGAACCGATTGTCAGCAGCGTACAGCTTTTCCTCAAGACTGGCTCTCTCTGAGTCAGTCTGATGAAGTGAGAGAACCGGCGCAGAGAGAGTATTAAAATAAGAAGGACTGAGAGCTGAAGCCTTCTTGGTTGCTCCAGCTTCCGCAGCATGTCTGTATCTCCCTGTGGCGGCTGGATCCATGAAGATTCCCGGTCCTTCTCCGGATGATCGAATTATCCAGTTGACAGTTTTTCCTGCTTTGAGACCTGCATACACCATATCTACAGCCGACTTTCCTCCTCCGATAACCGTAATTTTTTTGTATGTCGAGTCCGGGTTTAAGATATGCTCATGAGAACCAAGGTCCCTATGGTGCAGTATCGGAACTTTCCATTGGGGACTTTGAGGAAATGTGGGCATGTTAGGTATAGACGTTATCCCAGATGCTACTGCCAATTTGTCACAATAAAGTGACCAAGGCTGGGTGGCATTGACATGTAAGAGCCAGCCATCACCCTTCTTTTCTACAGATTTCACATCCGTATTGGTCCGGATTCGTGATCGCAGAGATTCTCCGTTGTAGATATGATTGTCGACATATTCTTCAAGATATTGAGTGACATATTTTGCCTCAAATGTATCGTGTGCCCTGGGAGCATCCTGTGGGATCCGAAGAGCCACGTCAGCGAATGAAGTCATCCGCAGAGGACTCTGGACCCAGAACGTCTCAAAGATCCTATCTAAGAACAACGTTAGAAAGATTCTGATGGAAGAGATAGGTGCACACCTTCACTCCATACTCCACCGATCTTCGCATCCTTCTCGAATATTATCAAGCGTGCTTTCGGGTGTGTGTCTAGATAAAACCGGGCGAAGGCAATGCCGCTCAGACCTGCTGATGGTGAGTGTTGTTTCTGGAATCATGCAACATCCATTAATATCTATTAATCAATGCAACCCACCTGCACCAATAACCGCCACATCGACATCCATGGCTAACGTACTTAAATAAAATAAAGATACCAAATTAAAACGAAAGGTACACGTATGTCTTTCTAACAATCTTAGTCACAGCCACAGCACCAGCTTTCATTGCTATGGCATAAGAATGGCGTGGAAAAGAGCAAATTATATAGTTTTTTTTGAATGGGATAATTTCGGCTCTGATCCTTTTCCTTAGTTTGAACATCTTGACCACCTCACCATCCTCATTCTGAGTGGGAAGACTGTTGGTGTGATAAGCGCCGGAGAGCCAATCAAACTGATATTGCGGTCTTGGTGTTATCTATATATTGTCCGATTCAGACAACTGGGAATTACCACATCTAACCAAACAGGTTATCAGTGTAAACGCAATCTGATCCATCTTTATTGATAGCGCGAGGTGAAATTGATGCTACATTTATGCTGGTCTGATATGGGCTCTTAGCCTCTAAACAGAAATTCATTGTGATAATTACTACTTGAGCCTCTCGTGGCATAGCGCATTCAAAATGCGGCTCGTTTGATATGCATTGTAGATCCTTAGCTAACTCCGCATGATAAAAACCAATGATCAAAATTATGATTAATGAAAAATAAATTTCCGGGTATCTCCTAAAATGATAGCTATGCACCTAATCCCTCCTATTATACACCAAAACAATAAAAAAAAAATCAACCAAGCATTTTGTCACCCTCAACGCCATCTTGTGCCTCATTAGATATATCTTCGGGAACTGGTTGTGTTGTTTCGTCTGGTGTCGCTTCTACAGTATTGGTTATGCCATTCATTTCGACCGACTCATCCGTCTCCACAGGGCTCACTTCTTCCCAGAGACGAACCGTCTGGTCTAAACCACAGCTCGCCATATACCTTTTACCATCTAGCTCAGCAGTGTCGACAGCAAGAACAACATCGGTGTGACCATCAATGCGCTGGAGCGTGTTCTTTTCCACAACATCCCAACATACCAAGGCGCCGTCCTCGCTACCGCTGACCGCGAATGCATGCGGCGGTCCGTCCGGCGTTGAATACACCCCAAAGTTCCCGCATAGGCTGTATTTCCGATTCGTATGTCCTTGGTATGTCTTGATGCATCGCCCACTGACATAGTCCCATAATCGAATGCAGTCGTCTAATGTCCAGGCCAGAACGTATTTGCCATTAGGCGAAAACCGAACTGCCATGACTGGTGGGTTGTCGTCGTGGACGAGAGTACGCAAGCATTGTCCAGTCATCGTATCCCAAATTCGAATAAGCCCGTCTGAAGAGCACGATACAACGAGCGTGCCGTCGTGGCATATATCCACGCCCGCAACGGGGTCTGAGTGCGCCGGCAACGATCGCATAACCTTGGCCGAACGGACGTCCCACAAGAAAACAGCTTCGTCGTATGAACCACTGACTAGCATGTTACCCTTCGGCGAGAAGGCAATGGAATAAACATAATTGTGGTGGCCACTGAAAGCTTTCGGGTGAGCTTTGCCAGTAAGCGCATTCCACAGTCGAATCGTCTTGTCGTCTGATCCCGTGGCGATCGTTTCATTGTCTGGGCTCCATGCGACAGTCGAGATTCCCGCTAAATGGCCTTCAAATGTATGGAGTAGCTTTCCTGTATATGTGTCCCACACTTTCAATGACCCATCCGCACCTTAACAATGTCAGTACGACTGGTGTGTCCTTGTAATGACCACAGCAGGAAAATAATGCGCATGTAACATACCTCCACTAGCAAGCATTGTTCGATCGGGCGAGAACTTTACAGCAGATACACCTCGAAGATGGCCCTTGAGGATATACTTTTGAACATAATTTACATGATCCGGCTTCGGCGGAGTAGGGGGAGGAGCGGGCTCGGGCGTAGCTATTCGTTCGGGCTCTTCGACGGATCGTGCGCGAGACTCTAGATCAGCACTAGATTCAGCAGGCGCAGGAGTCAACGGTTCGATGGCCATTTTGACTGCTAGCTCAGTCTCTTCCTCCTCTATCTGAACGGGAGGCGTAGGCGCTTTTTTGGCAGGGGACTGCTCCCGCGTATTCCGACCCCAGAACACATCGGCGTCCATGGACAGCTCATCTGGACTGTCCGACACGCTGGGACTGTTTGGCTCAGGCTTATACTGTCTGCGATTCGCTATAGCCTTCTTCGCCGACCAGCTGGCCCTGCGACGCTCCTCCATGTCATAATCTGGGGTCGCGGCGAGCTCGTCGGAAGACGACGATTCATTGGCAGGCGACTGTCGGTTGGCCTTGGTCGCGGGGGTACCATTATTCAGCCGACGACGCTTAGCGGGAGGGTTCCCCGTATCTGCCCGTGTGCGAGCCATTGCAGAATGGTGTTTTCGTTCGACTGCGAAAGTGCACAGAGTCGAAGACCCTTGTTGGCAACAGGCAGAAAACCTCGCTGCACGCGATGATAAGAGACGCGTGCGGCCAGTCAGCGCGTAGGCGGTGAGCTCAGACCCGGTCTTGGCGGTCCGCGCTGAGGTCATCCGTTTTCTGCTGCATGTGAACATTTACAGAATATTTAATTACCATCTAACTATCGTCATTCTGCCGTTTGCTTCAAAACAGAATCTCCCACAAGGCCTCTGGGAGCCTGGGGCTGCAGGTCTTTCTACATCATCAAGCCCGCCAATACCTCGACATGGCCAACTCCACCGAGACCATCCGTCCCACGCGCATCCGCATCCTGACCCTGAACTGCTGGGGCCTCAAGTTCTTGTCCAAATTCCGCAATGAGCGTCTGTCGGAAATTGGGCGACAAATCGCCATCGCTAGCGAACCCCCCGAGATAGTCGGTCTACAAGAATGCTGGAGTCAGCAGGACTACAAGAGCATCCACCAGCAAACTAAACATCTCCTTCCGTACGGCAAGTTCTATCACAGCGGGGTGTTTGGCGGTGGACTAGCTATTCTGTCCAAATGGCCGATCGAAGAAAGCAGCATGTTTGCTTACCCGCTCAATGGACGTCCGACGGCGTTCTTCAGAGGCGATTGGTATGTCGGAAAGGGCGTTGCTTGTGCGCGGATCCGTATGGGGCCGAGGACGGAAGATATCGCAGAGGTGTTTTGCACGCATCTGCACGCGCCCTACGAAAAGGAGCCAAATGATTCTTACCTCTGTCATCGAACGGCGCAGGCATGGGAGATTTCAAAACTGATGCGGCGAGCAGCCGAGAGGGGGCATTTGGTTATTGGGCTTGGGGATTTTAATATGGTGCCCATGTCGTTTGCCCATCGATTGATCACCGCCCATGCCCCTGTCAAGGATGTTTGGCACTATCTACACCCTGATTCCTCTGTTGGAAGTGCGGAATCGGCGGCAGAGAAGAAACGAGGCAAACCAATTCCCAGCGCAGACTTCAATATTACCGAGAACGGCGCAGCAAGTGACGGGCCGTATAATACATGGCGCTGGCCAAAAGAGCAGCAAAAGCGGCTATTCAAGGGTGAAGATATCCCAGTCGACGGCACCCAACCAGATCCTAGAGGTAGAAGACTCGACTACATTTTCGTCGGAGACGGCGGTTATCCACCGTCATTCCCTACACCTCGGTGGAACATCGACTCGGCCGCTGTAGCCATGATGCAACGCCATCCAACACTGAAAGTTTCATTAAGCGACCATTTCGCCATCGAAGCAGTCATCTCACGCAGTCTCGACCCGGCCATCACGGCCCCCGCTGATCCAGAGATGCGCCCAACCGAGCCTCAAAACCCCGACGATGGCGGCTTTACCGTCCAGACTTCGTCCAAAACGCACCCAACATCCGCCCCCAGTACCTCCCTAACAACAGAAACCTACGACGAGATACTGGAAATGGTGGACAAGTACATGCTCCGTGAGCGATCACAGAGACGATGGCGGTTGTTGCATTTTGTCATCTCCGTGATTGTTTCTATCGGCTGCTTTGTTGGTGTCTGGTGGACGTCTGATGTTATATACGTCGCTTTTATTCTTACGTTCGTGAGCACCTTGAATTTTGGCGCGGGGATTCTGGATGGGCTGATAGGCGGCTTGTTCATGTCGAGTGAAATACGAGCTCTGAAGGAGTTTCGATGGGAAGTGAGGAATGCGCGGTGCTTGGCTGGTGTTGCAGCTGAGTTGGTTTCTAAAGGAGCATCGGATTTTGGCGATGAAGAAGACTAGTAACAATATCATCTTTTAACGATGTGTTCAATGGCAAGCCGTGTATATACTATATAGCCATCCGGTAATACTAATAATTGCTATTCTTTGCAAGTATTCAATTTGATTGATTGATAGTACTAAACAACACGGTAATCAGAGAGAATTTCATCAAAAAAGACAGTATTCCCTGATATTGAATTATTGAATCTGCCTACGCAGAGGAATACATTCACTCTGCACACTCGCGCTTGCGGACCTCGAAAACCTTGAGGGCCTCCTCAGCAGCCTTGACGCCGCTAAGAACCATAGCTCCGAAGGTAGGACCCATGCGGTTAAAACCATCAATCTCAGAAAGTTCCATGCCACCGATAATAAGGCCCTTGGTGACTTCACGAGTGTTTTTGACAATCGCATCTTCCGCAGCATTCATATCCAGACCGCGCATACCACCGAGTTTCTCGATTGCGGTCATTGAGACAAGGCGCTTGGCACAGAATGCGCCAAAGGGACCGTCATGTCCGGTGGTGCTGATGACAAGAGGTGCGTTGATGGTGTTGGGGTCCATGCAGGACTGGTCATCGTGGTGCATAGTGACCAAGGTCCAGTTGGTGACAACACCAGCAATACGAGTGTCCTGGATACCGTTCTGGCCGGGACGGGTGATGAGGTCTTCGACACTAGTGGCGTTGAAGAGCTTGATGTTGGGGAACGAAAGGACCTTGGAAAGCAAAGTAGAGGTGAAGAGTGCGGCGTGCCTGACTACGACGTAGTTGGGATTGGACTCGTCCTCCTCGTACGGAACGCCGAGGTCATTGAGGAACACATCAGCAGGCTTACGCATAACCATGGCGGAGAACAATTGCCCACCAAGCCAAGCCCCACCACCTATATGATATTAATTTTGAACAGTACAAGTTACAATTTGGACTAACCAGGAGAGACATTGGCTTCGATAATGGCGATCTTCAAGTCCGGACGAGCTTTGCCGAGAACATAGGCTGTGCTAAGACCACAAGATCCAGCACCGACAATGACAATGTCACTCTCAGCATACTTGTCCAGGTCACTGAAGTAGCGACGGGTCATGGCACGGGAGACCTGGCTCTCGCGAATAGGAGCAAACTTGAAAGTGTCCCATTTGCCACCGAATTCCTCCAAAAGCTGCGCCTGCTGGGTCTGGCCATTCAAAACGACCGGCTCAGGGGCAAGCTTACCCTTGAGGCCATTGCTAGGGGTAGCAGTGGCAGAGGTATCGAAGAGAGCTGCTGGAGGAGACATCTTGTCCGAGTTTCTGAACACAGTTAGCATTCCCTGATACCGAAGGTCAGGGAAGATAGAAAGCATGATCCTTTCGCTGGTATTATCCAGATCAAGTTGTGACCGTATGATTTCAGCCCGATCCTAGAGCCAGAGGAAGGCATCCACAGCTTCAAGCAGATGGACGCTCTCATCACGAAGATGATACCACATGGATAGGATGCGAGCACCGGTTCATGCACAGACTATACCGTAAGTACCTTGATCAAAGGCTGATGCAATTGAGCCCAGCGAGTAGCAAAAGAATTCCATGGCTTTCCATCTCCCGGCTGGGAGAGGATGAGATAGTAATTACATCGTGGGGTGGAAGTTCTAAGGGATGTTACGGGTTAGCACTGTACTTAAAACTGACAGGAGCGGAATATACAAATTTGGAGATGAGCTGAATGAGCAATTGATAAAAATGTCGTTCGTGGTGGGAGAAGAGAAGAGGGGAAGAAAGAGAGGAAAGCAGGTGGGGAGCTGCGGGGTTCATATAGCAGCTCTTCCTCGCCTAACCTTAACCTTGCAGTCGCACTGACAATCGGTTCTCCATTCTTCTCTTGGGTCAAATCCGAGAATACCCGGTTTTTCTGGAGCGACATGACGGCGGCATGTCGTCAGGGCTGTTGGTGTATGGCAGGCAAGGGTGAATGGCCAATGGCGTGTCAACTCAACAACAAATAATACTTTGGGTTTTCCACTTTTCGCTCCGGTGAGGATTTGAATCTGTTTATTGGATGGAGCAGTTATTTTCAAGTGAAACTTTATAAACTCAGTGGGTAGTTAGCAATCTGATAGGCTCAAACATCAAAACATTGAATGATTCGTTGAAGTATCAGCTTCACCTAGCATTCAACAGGTCGTAATCGATCTGAAATATGTATAGTAAATTAAATATTAGACTATTATATCAAATACCGTACAAAAAATATGCCTAGGATAATTCAATCTGATAAGAGCTCTACCTCAACGCTGATCCCGTAATCTCCAGCTACTCTTTCTGTGCTCAAAAGTCGATCATCAGCTTTGATCCAATTCTTCCTTTTGCCGCACTTCTCGATATCATTAATTGTGTCTCGCAGCGACGACTCGGTGACTGTCTGCTGCACACTCTGATGCAACACAACTTTCAAACAGAGCGCATCTGTCGTGCCTTGTTTCTTCTTAGATATCTCTTTCCAGTTTGTACTGAAGCTAATCCGCGGTGCCTCCTGTGGAAGTCGCCCGGCGGGATAAACATCACCAATAAGTGCAGCTACACGTCCCAGGTATTGGCACCACCAGGCTTCGTCGGGGGAAAGGAACTGCTGGAGACGGGCTTTGAATGATTCTTCTGCAGGGGCGAGATCTCCGGGCCATCGTTCGGAAAGAACCAATGCGAGGATTGCCCGGTCACTATGAGCTAGGCTATTTGCGCTGGCAAGAATACCCGTAGTAGTACTGTACAGCCCGGCAGCTGGGCGAGTTTCTCTCGGAACGGCGACATGAGCAAATAAAAGGTTGCTCAATCCATGTAACAGGCTAGGCGAGAATGAATATGGGACTTGTCGGGAGAGTATAGAAGATATGGTATTGGGAAGACATTTTCGGAGAAGGTCGTAAATGATGTCGGCTGATGCTGTGGCATACGGCTTCGTAGCAACGACGAGGGGATCCTGGCTGCGAATTTCAGGGGCCAACTTGTCAAACAAGAACCCTTCACGCACGCCTCCTTGGCAGAACCTAATTGACCTTACGGATGGCAGACATTCCCTGAGGACATTAACAAGAAGCGCGACAGCTGGTACTTGCGAGGCTCGTCTCTTGGAGACCCGGAATATTTTGTTGTCCTCAGATTCTGCTGCCGTGCTCATGACCGCTGACGTGTCCTCAAAATCCCTTGGCATGGCCCTGAATCCATTGATAATAGGGATTGGATATGGATTGAGCCTTGATTGACTCATAAGCAGATATCCCCACCCTCTAAATCCTCCACCAGACAGATACAGATCAAATCCCTCTTGCTGTTTGGCAGTCTTTTCCAGGCTTTCAGGGACTTCTAAGGAAGGATAAGCGGTTTGAAGGTTGGCTTTCACTTCCGCTCGCAGCTCGTCCACTGCCTTCTGACCCTTGGCCTGGGCAATCTGCAGTCTCCTCGTAAGTGCCGCAGCGCCATACGGGAAGCTAATAGACCCGCGGGAGCTTGTCTCGACAGTGCCGTCTTTTGCAATCATCCATGTGAGCTGAGTGCTGCCACCACCAAGGTCCATCACCAGACCCTGGACTGAAGAAAAGCTACTTGCCACCCCTAAAGCGCCTATACGACCTTCGTCCTCTTTAGATAGTAACTTAACTTTCCATCCAGTCTTGGATTTTATAGTTCCAAGAAATTCGGCTGAATTGAGCGCCGTTCTCGTAGCTTCCGTAGCTAAGACATGAATGTTCTGCGCTGGCACGTTGAAGTCTTCGCAAGTAGTCTTGAATTTCAAAAGCCTCGTGACTACATCTTCAATCACAGAAGTTGGGATCGGTGCACGTTGGCCGTCAGATGTTGCGGGGAATTGAGCATCATATAGTGAAATGCCCACACGGTCTTGGAAGAGAATAGGCATTATTCTTGTGGTTGGTGGTGAGAGGTTAGAAATTGAGAAACGAATGCCGTTGCTTAAGGATATTAGTATCGTGGGATTTCAATGTATTGGTGTTTGATTATTGAGTTACCTTCCCATGTCAACGACAGCGTAGAGGTTGTCAGCCTCTAGCCTTTCTAGAGACGTCATTTTTAAAGAGTCCGCAAATAGTCCTGTAAATTTCTAGGCAACCCTTGATGGCAGGAGACAAGATAAGGCGTCGTTAAATAATATCTGATAATTCGTACAAATAAATGCACGGGATCATTTTTTATCGAGATAAACCGCTGGGACCCACTGCAGGGATGACGCATGCGGGGAAGATGCTCAACCACGATTCTGTCCATGTCAATATCTATTCAAATCGAGTGTTTAGCCATTCTATACTTTCGATGATTCAGAATTGATATTTCTATAGAAGATTGCATCTTCTCCAAGGTTGTTTGTGATGTTTAATTTACTGTACGGCTTACTAGGCAGACGGAATCACTTCAACTATGCTTGATTTCGCAGAAGGCATAGCGCAAAAGAGCGATTTACTATAGGAATATGAATAGAAAAGTGATACAAAACAGGCTATTATATGCAATATATATGTATGGAGGTCTATCATCCCAGTATTGTAAACTACTTGTGATTAACCTGCAGCCCCCGACAATCCAAAGCCATTGGATCTTAGATCTGACGAGACAATCTTGAATGTACGAACTTCAGGTATCAGAAATAGAAAGTTCAAGATATTTACATCAAAGGATAGCCAAATTCGCGCCAGAAATGCTGATTGCCGTGCCTAACGATAGTATTGATAAAAACGCGAAAAGGTGCGTTCTCAACTTCAAATTATTATTGACGGCTCTTCAATATCAAACCATCCACCATGTTTGCCTGCCCCCGGTTCCCAACTGAGCGTAATACAAGGTCCCAAAGCAATATGAATATTCGGATCCAACCTACCCGGATGAGTCACGACCAATCTCAGCCCCGGATTTAACCTAACCGCCATCGCCAACATTGTCAGAACGTCCTCCATCTTACGCCTCCAATCCGGCCGAATATTGAAAAAGGACGGATAATCAATGATAATCCACGTATCATCCGCATTATTCCCCAACTTCTCCTGGTCCGGTGAGAGCATGTCACGCAACAAGAGAATTGCAAATTTAAAGTCAGAAGCTGGCATCGTGAAATTAAAGTCGTCTGAAGCAAGAAATCCCTTATCGCAGAGCTGCAGAATCAGTGTTTTCAGCACCGCGTCTGGGCCTTCGTGACTTTCATTGTAGAAGTATTTCGAGCAAAAGGCCCATATCATTGGCTCGAGTTCGGTGATCATTTGGGGTCGCAGAATGAGTTGTTTGGTGGCATGTGTGAGTGGGGGCAGGCTGCTAGGGGTTTCGACGTTGCCGCAGATGAGGATGATGCGGCTATCGGCGTTGTTGTTGCTGTATGCTCTCATGACGGAGACCATCGCGGTGCCGAGTTGCTCGGCTTGGTGGCTCCAGGAGGTATAGTCCTCGGATAGGCTGTAGAGGTCGAAGGTGTGTCTGAAGGGGGGATTGAAGGAGACTCGCAGCCGTTCCCGGAGGCAATTGATGAGGACAGCAGAGTTGACAGCTTTCCTGCACTGATTGTTCATGACGGGTATGTTCAAGGCTATTCATTTGTTGGCGTGGGAAAGGGCTGTCTGTCTGAGAGACAAGAGAGTTGATATGTATCAAAAGCTTATAAATCGAAGGATGAAAAAGAGTAAATACGAAGTTTAAAATAAGGATATAAAAGTCGAGGCATGAGGATTGCTATCGAAATGTTTGTCATTTTAACAAGAATCTGCTTTCTAATGGCATTCACCGCACAAAGGAAATCAACATGCAGTCTAGTGACGAGGCTGAAATGGGGATGCGGACACGAATCTTTCCCCTTTTAGGCACCAGGGATGCCTGTGGCAGAAACAAGGCAGCCATTGTTTACAACAAACAGCAAAGAACAAATATAAGTGCAATATTCACGATGGGAGTTTACTATATATCAAAGTTATTTAGTATTAACAATCTAAATATGCATTGTTCCTCAAGCCAGCCGTGCCTCGAGAACAGCCTGGCTGGACGCCTCGCTCTGCCAGATCTTGATCAATTTCAAGCCGGAAGTGGTAAAAAGCGCCTCCCAGTCGGTCTTTGTTCGCTCGCGGCCTCCAAAAGCGAACATGTTGTGATCCATCCAGTAAGGTGCCATGTCTTCAACGCCACCTGGACGCTCGCTGTTATATTCGGGGACAACCATCTCGCCGATAAGGACTCGAGAGTCGGGGGCCATGGCTGGTACAATGGCTTTCAAGATTTTGGTACAATGTGCGTCTGTCCAGTTGTGCAGGCAGCGTCGAATATAATACGCATGCGCATCTAGGTTTATCAGATACCGTACTTTCATGCCCGTGAAGGTAATTAAACTCACGCTTGACCGGCTGCTCAGTGAAGAAGTCGTGTGCCATCTTTTCTATTCCGGACAACTCGGGAAATGAATCTAACACCATCGATCTATCCTGTAAAATCAGCTTCCCCTGCAAGGCCGGCCACTTTTCTTTGATTTGTACGAGTGATTGTCCTCGACCGCCGCCAATATCCACAAGCAACGCTCGGCTGTCTAGATCAGTAGCACCGGCAAGCTCTACACCAAACGGATACATTCCTAGAACTGGAAGTGTATAGTCCTGGGTTGACATTGCAACGTCGAACTGTTTGATCCGTCGAGGATCCTGGGATATAATGTCAAAAAAGGTATTTCCCACTTTGTTATTTCCCCAGCTGAAAGGATTGTCCGTTGTGCTAGTCGTATCACGGCCGCCGACGGCACGAAAGTACTCTGGTAAACGGGTCGTGTTGACGAAGATCTCATCGCAGCTGATTGAATCAAGACTTAAAATGAATCTACTTCTACTAGGTGTTGTATACGAACCATAATTTCAGGAAGTCTACTTCGTGTCCCTCAATGTATGCCAATGAATATGGGGTGTGTGCATACTCGTCCGGGCCGACAAGATCGAAGATGCCAGTCACGGTGAGAATACGCATCAAGCGAGCTGCATATAAAGATCGATATTAGGCAGAAGTTGCGCAGACGCCAAAGGGTTCGCTCGCACCAATCAATGTCTTATCAGCGCCAGTTTTGTCTGCAAGCCCAGCCGCGGTAATACTTCCTGTGCGAGGGATATTCTGTGGTACACCCAACTCCAGTAACCCACGCAGGTTGCACAGCGAAGATGCCTAATGCAGTCACAAAGGACGATCAAATTAGTGGTCACAGCCAAGAAATCTAGATAGGGGGTAAAATCATACATTAGTAAGATGATCAAAGATTGCATCCTTGGGCTCCTTCACCTGCAGGGTCAGCCGTTCCAGGGATTGCACCAGACGAAGGCGCTCGGCCCGGGTGAGATCATCCTTGGATGTTTCAAATTGCTTTACCTTGGCCGCAATATCGTCAATCTGCGCAGACAGAGAAGAAGCAGAAGCAGAAGCAGCCATTATGCGCTAAGTCTTGGAGAGATCGTACCCTTGCACTTGCAACAGTTGTGATCGTATTCGGGTCATTCTGAAAGGATCGTGTCAAGGTTTTTCCTATTACGCTAAAAAGGCTTCGGCCTTAATAGCTCTAGTATAAGTTTGGTGCATATTCAGTTCACCAACTGACTTCCTCAGGCGGGGTGGTGGTTCCCATACAAACTAGTGACTAGCACTACTGTTGGCCACTCGGCATTGATTAGGTATGACAACAACCCACTTACTGGGGCTCCGATACATCTGTTCATAGGTCGGACTTGCTTATAACTTAATTCGCATGATTTGTTTTGTATTTGTTTTGCCCTGGAGAACAAGTGACTTTTCCGATTTTACACGGTAGAGACCGGAAAAAAGAAGTTTGTCCCGGATTATAGAGCTCCCTTTGTAATATTTGATCTTCAGAACCCATCAATTTTTGATAGCTTGCTCGCATTGCTACTCTCTTCGCTTCTCTATATCTCTATACCTCTTCAAGACCGAATCAGACTAGCGTTTAGATTCTTCACGACTCGCATCAATAAATGCCCAATCAGGACTCGCTGTGGGCCCCACCCTGCCTGCTAAAGTCGCGTATGTGAGATGTGAGCTGAGAGCACTGAGATCACTAATAACTATTTGCTCTTTACTTCTTGTAGGGCTACATCAAATCCTTCGAGATCTATAGGATACTGTCCAGCTCGCTGACAAGCGTCCTGCCCTGAAATAAAGATAATAGCGATCTCTTATTGTTTTTGTTCAAATCGAAGACGGAAATCACAGGAATGGATTATGCGACATTTAAAGGGTTGGAAACGGTTCATTTAATGTAATTGACCCACCATATTCTTGCAAAAATAGAACAGTTATAGAATACACCCAGCCTTCAGCTAGACAACACAGACCATGGGTCATGATTCATGGGCACATATTGGCCAATCAGCGCTAACTGTCGTCGTTTTGAAGCTGGCCTGAACAAAGACTAAAAGCACGCGATCCGCGGAGCTCCAGATAAGTCCATGGAAATTCGAATTTTGGAAACATCAATACATCATTCATATGATGAATATGAATATTGGCGTTAAAGCTGAGCCCACATCAGGGTTCTCGTTCCAGCAAATCACAGGCCTCACCAATCAACTTTCTGTTACAGCGTTGGTGAATGTGAGCTATCCGCCTTCAATTTTGTTGGTTGGTAATATGGATTTTCCCTCTTTTCACTTCCGACTTCGATGATTTCAAGCCAAGTCGTAGAAACAACACAATGGCGATCGAAACAGAAACAGAAATTGCTGCGCCGCCTTGCAAAGTGCGAGAAATCGTATGTGCTGTCGGATTCCGTTAGGATGCGTGGTTCCACTAAGAAAGCTGCAGCTGCTGGACTTCTCCAACTACCCGAAATGGCACACAGGCTTTATTAAGCAACTCGAGCCCGAGGATACCTCCAAGTCGCTGTCGTCGCTGCAACCGGGCGACAAGGTCAAATGTAATATTGATGACATGGAATTTGTCGCTAGTATCACGGTTAGCAAAACAGCTGTTTGGAGTCTGCAGGGATGATATGCTGATAGTAAGAGTCACAGGAGAACTCAGAGAACCTCTTCCAATGGCAAGGCCCACCAGTCTATGGTCTCATCGCCGGTCTTCATAGCTTCCACTTCGACCTCGCGGATGATGGCTCATCGACGGTTTACAAGCAGACCGAGAAGTTTTCGGGCCCGATCGCATTCCTCATGACGCCCTCACTGCTTGGGAGAAAGATGCTAGGTCAATTCAATCAATTCAATAGTCATCTCAAGGCTTATGCCGAAGCTTCTGGTTAGGCGGGGGGAGGGGTTGGAGTAATATTTTCGATATTGCTATTCTCATTGCTATTCTCGTTGCAATTCTTGATTTGCTTTATAATACACAGTTTTTGATATTTTGAATAATATGAATGAATGAAAATATCAGTGTTTGGATGCTGCATCTGCAAGGCTGCCTTAGCTGGAGACCCCGCTCGGCCTTAGGTTACGAGGCTGCGAGGCTGCGAGGTCGCAACTTCAACACATCCATCGTCCGATTCATCGTTCATTTAATCTATCCAGTAATGGAATCCACGCCTTTATATGGATTTTGTTGAGAGAATGATGTTACGGGTATTATGATGTTCTCGTTCTACGCGACACCGGTTGTTTCTCGCCCTCAAGTACAGTCTTGAGATGTCACACCGAATTCGACGCGAGGATTATACAGTCGGCTGGGTATGTGCCCTCCCCATCGAACTGGAGGCTGCGCAGGCCTTGTTAGATGAAGTGCATCAGAATTCCTACCGAAATGCCAACGACACGAACATCTACACACTTGGTCGCATTGAAAGGCATAATGTGGTCATCGCGTGTTTGCCTTTCAGTCAGATGGGCACCAACTCTGCGGCAGCGGTTGCAGCCCAGATGAATTCTACCTTCCCATCCATCCAGCTGCGTTTAATGGTTGGCATTGGAGGTGGGGTCCCAAGTGCAAGTCAAGATATTCGACTCGGTGATGTGGTCGTTTCGCATAGGGTCGTTCAATATGATTTCGGGAAGAACACTGAGAATGGTTTTAAGCGGACTGGGTTTCTTAACAATCCCCCGACTATCTTGCTGAATGCTATTGCAAAATTGGAAGCAAATTCTGGAAAAAATCATTTTGAATATGATTCGCGTTTGGGAGAGCAGAAGAAGTTCACACAAAACGTTGCAGGGGCTGATCGTCTTTTTGAAGCTGACTATAGCCACATTGACGGGGACACGTGTGAAAAGTGCGACGAGCGAAAGCTGGTAGATCGAAAGCCGCGCGATGCAGGAAAGCAGGTTATGATTCACTATGGAACCATTGCATCTGGGAACCAGGTCATGAGAAGCGCCGTGGAAAGAGATAGAATCAGCTCTGAGCTTGGTGGTATTCTTTGTTATGAGATGGAGGCCGCCGGTCTCATGAACAGCTTTCCGTGCCTTGTTATTCGAGGTATATGCGACTACTCAGACTCACATAAGAACAAACAGTGGCAGCCGTACGCGTCCGGAACGGCCGCTATATATGCAAAAAAGGTGTTGTCTATTGTGCCCCCTGCTGAGGCATCTCAGTTGCGCGTAGATAAGCCTTCTACGGAGGATGAAGGTGGGTCCTGTGCAGTAATCATTCCTGACACTTTACTAATAAGTATCATTAGGTCCACTCAAGCGTCTTCCTTATGCTGTTGATGCGCCTTTTAATTCATATAAAAAGCAGCACGATCCGGCATGTCTTCCCAATACACGTGTTGATGTGCTCGAGAAAATCAGCGAGTGGATGAGGAAAGAAGATGAGCAGGGTCTCTTCTGGCTGAACGGCTTGGCTGGCACGGGCAAGTCGACAATAGCACGTACTATTGCCCGAAAAGCCTACGAGGAAGGCCATCTTGGAGCTAGCTTCTTCTTTTCAAAGGGCGGTGGAGACCTTGGAACAGCAAAAAAGTTTGTAACAACAATAGCACGACAGCTTGCAAGCCAGTCATCCATTCTAGAAGAATGCATTATTGAGTGTATTCAACAGTGCCGAGAAATCGCTGATCTTTGTCTTTTCGATCAGTGGCATCGGTTAATAATCCAACCATTTTCAAGATTAAAACATGGGGACACTTTTGTCATTGTCATCGATGCTCTCGATGAATGTGATAATGATGGAGACATAAAAGAAATTGTCCGACTTCTAGCCCAGTCCACTAGTCCATCCAAGTTACGAGTATTTCTGACAAGCAGGCCCGAGGTTCCTGTTCGACGTGTCTTCCATAATCTGCCGGTTGATGTTCGTAGGCACTTTGTCCTTCATGAAATCTCATCTGAAACTGTTGATAATGACATTTCTGTTTTTTTCGCCAAAGAGTTACAAGAAGTAGCAGCAAACAATTACTTAGATGCTGGCTGGCCAGGTCGCGAAATTATTGAGCGATTAGTTCACCATGCAAACGGTCTTTTTATATGGGCAGCCACAGCCTGCCGTTTTATCAATGATGGACACTTTGCCAATGAAAGACTAACGACTATCCTTCAAACAGGAAGGTCTGGTACCGTGGCCGAAAAACATCTTGATGAGATTTATCTTACCGTCTTTACTCAGTCAATTTCTCCAAGCTACAGCGAGTCAGAAAAGAGTCTAACTTATAGTTTACTGAGATATATTATTGGAACGATTGCTATATTATCTTCTCAGCTCTCTATAAATTCTCTCGGGGCAATTTTGGGCATCAGAGGCCAAGATGTCCAGAGAACTCTTAACGATCTTCATGCAATCTTCGCTGTACCGGAAGATCCGAGCCACCCAGTCCATCTTCATCACCCTTCGCTACGCGACTTTTTGCTTGATGGCCGGCGATGCACAGATCCAAATCTTCATGTCGACGAGATACCAGCTCACCGAAAGTTATTTATCAACTGTATCAAGCTTATGTCGGATAAGCTTAAGCGAGACATCTGTGGTTTGAATGCTCCTGGTGCTCTCCTGCGGCATGTTACCCAGGGTCACATTGAAAAATGCATACCCCCTGAACTTCAATACGCATGTCTCCACTGGGAAAACCACCTTCTCAAAAGTGAGACTGCAATTTACGATAAGGATATTGTCCATGAGTTTTTGAAAGAACATCTCCTACATTGGCTAGAGGCTCTCAGCTTGATGGAAAATGTATCAGAATCGATCCTCATTATGAATTCTCTGATATCTCTTACATCTGTACTGTCGCCACAGACAGGATTATCTTGATTGAAAGCTAATTATTCTCTAGGAAAACAATTGCCCCCAACTTCATGCCTTCATTTGGGATACAATACGGTTCATTCAGTACAATCGGCACGGTTTTCAGCAAGCACCACTCCAATTATATTTCAGCGCATTGGTATTTATACCAGTTCGAAGTGTCGTCCGCAATCAGTTCAAAGACCAGGCGAACCTATGGGTAAAACAATTACCTAACGTCCAAGATAATTGGAGTTCATGTTTGCAAACCTTGGAGGGCCATACCACAGGTGTGGAAAAGGTCGTTTTTAGTCCAGACGGGAAGATGCTAGTGTCTATATGTTATACCAACATAATTAGGCTTTGGGATACTACAACCGGTCAGTGCCTACGGATTCTAGAGGGCTACCACGGTATGGGCTACGATGCACAAGCGTTCATATTATCACCACACGGGGAGATATCAATAGCCACATCTGGGGATGGCTATAAGATTCAACTGAGGGATGTAATGACAAATCGTTGCCTCCATATTCTAGAGGGTCACACTGATTTGGTATCTGCTATCTTTGTGGGGCCTAATGGAAGCTTGTTGGCGTCTGTATCAGATGATGACACAATTCGACTCTGGGATACCTCAACTGGCCATTGTCTGCAAACTATAGTCGCTTCTCTTTATCTGTCGTCTAAGATTGTTTTCAAATCAGATGGGAAGATGATTGCATTTAGATCAAATTTGGGTCCAATTCAGCTCCGTGATACCACAACCGGTAAATGCCTCCAGACCTTTGAAATTGCCGAAAGCCTTGCATTCTCCTCACTTGCATTTAAGCAAAATGAAGAAATTTTCGCATTTTTAGAGGGGTTCGGAGAGGTCTCGCTTTGGAACATTGCAACAGGCCAATATCTTCAACATATTAGGGTTAATGCATCTATACACAACATTGAATTCGATCCAACTGGAAATTTGCTAGCGTCTTTAGGTGACAATTCAATCCAGATCTGGGATGCCACAAATTTTCAATGTCTTCAAATCCTGCAGGGCCATAGTGGAGGAATAATTGCGCTCGCATGTAATCCAGATGGGAAAACTCTGGCATCTGGTTCTTATGACTCCACGGTGCGGCTCTGGGATATAACGTCCGGTCAGCAAGAGCAAGCTTTGCAAACTCGCAGGAGCTCACGAAAATCGGTATTTAGCCTAAATACAAAAGTTTTGGCGTCTATTTTATCTGGCGGAGTAATCGAACTCCATGATATTAAAACCGGACAATGCCTACGCAGTTTGCATTGCTATACTAACTTCATAGATGACATTTGTTTCAGCCCAGATGGAAAATCGCTAGCATCTGCATTACACGATGGTAAAATCTATCTCTGGGATGTTATGGCCGGTCAGTGTTTGCATGTTCTTGATGTTCACGAGAAAGGAATACTGAGACTTTTATTCGTCTCCGATGGGAAGATACTGGTACATGGACTAGAGACTAAGACATTTAGCTTATGGAACATCAAAGATGGCAAATCTCTACATGTTCTTGAGTGCACCGATAATATGGCCGACGTGTTCGGTTTTTATGGAGGTATTTTAGCGACTATCTTGTTTACTCCCAGGAGTATAATAACCCTTTGGGATATCACAACTGGGCAGCGCTTGCAAATCTTGGATCCCCATAGTACGAATATAACGGCGCTTGCATTCATCTTGGATGGGAGGTTGCTGGCATCCGCGTCGAAAAGAGAGATTCTGTTCTGGGATACAAAAACAGGACAGTGCCTATATAAAACTGACAGTCTTGGGACAGTGCTAACCCTGTCGATATCAAGTGACAATCGGTATATGAACACTGAAAAAGGCCGTATACCTCTTCATCCATCGCTATTCGAAGAGTGGGAAGAAGAACGGCATGTCTCTCACGAGCTATATGTTACAAATGATTGGATCACATTGGATGGCCGTGAATTCCTTTGGCTTCCACCAGAGTATCGGATGTGGCATGAATACCCGTTTTTCGAGGTTTCCCGTTTATGCGCCATTCTTGATGAGCATACAATTGCACTTGAATGCCGGCCCGGTCGAGCGGCCCCTATTCTTGAATTAACTGATCTAGCAATTATTAATAGCAAACCTATGTACTCCTAATCTAGTATTTGGTACAAACTGACTTTTCTTGAGCGATGTCTGCATATTTCATTGACTTTGAAACGGGGGATTTGAGAGCTCTTAGTCCACCTCCGCATCCATTTCCTCATTATAGTCATAGACTTGGGTCCTGTCTTGATATTCTTGGAAGTAAGAGAATCAATTCTGTATATTGGAGATATCTGGGCTATAGAAAATGACTCGGGTAATTTAGTAGTGATATTTATTTTACGGTATAACTGAGATTGATTGTCATAAAAAGTCGTTTTGAAGATGGTTCAATTGATACAGGCATGCGCAGGTACTCTATTAACAAAAAATACGGGAGATCGGTCGCAAGATTGAACATATATTGTTGAAATGAGATGGTATAGGGCAGTAAATGACGCTAATAATGTAAGTCGTGGTCTCATTGTTATTCTCACTCGCTCAAGCTTGGACACTTTCTTCTAGCTTTTGTCCGTATACGACGTGACTGGATGCAAGTAGTCAGCATGGACTGTCTTTGCTTAGGGGTAGTCTTTGATACTCACACAGCAATATACATTCGATTATTGACATCATTGAATTCTCCTCGCACTTTAGCTAGCAAGTCGTGCACTTGTGCAGATGTCCATCCTAAATACCGTGTATACAACGCCAGACTGTAACCTTCGACACCCTGGTTCATCGCCAAACCGCGAATCTGGCCAATCTCTTTCCACCGCGGATCATCATGCCAAGTACTCAAGGGCAACTATCATAAAATATCAGCATACGCACCCCCAAGCAAGCAGAATGAAACCAACTGACCTTGAAAATGTCATCGTGGACATTAGCGAAGCCAGCATTGATCATATGTTGTTTCTGATCCGCGGCGACGTTCAAGCGGTTCCCACTCATTATACTCGCCTCGTCTAGCTTTTCGAGGAAAATTTTGGTCCATTTAGGACATGTGCCATCCTCGCACTGGAACCAGGCATCGTTCTCCTGCATTTCAAGCCAACCGCCCGGCCGTAAGTTGTCAAATGCCCGTTTGTGAAATTGTGGCCAGTCTCGAATGCCGCCACAGAGGGTGCGTGTGTGGATGTAGTCGAATTGCGTGCTGTATACCCAATCGTCTTCTGCGTCGTCGATCTCGAATGTGAGGTTGGGCGGGACCCTGGTAAACATCAGTTTGCAATTTGAGTGTTTACAAGTATTGCATAATTACCAAAGCGGCTGGATCGGACTTAGGTCGATTCCGATGACTTGCGTGGAGGGATATCTCCTAAGAAACATGAGATACAAAACTCACATAAAAGGATTCCTCAAATCCATGGCTTACTCGGCGAAATCAATAGCCCAGTCCCCTCGGCCCGTGCCAATATCAAGGGCGTTTTGCGGGTTGTTTATGGGTGCTAAATGAAGTCGTCCGTCGAAAACAAGTTCGTAGCACAGATGGACTAGCATAAGCTTATTCTGCTCTTGAACATCGTTGGGCTATATTCGTCAGTAGCCTGGCTATAGAAGGAAACCTGCGTATCGCACTGACCATAATATATTTACCCTCGTGGTATGCATGATATCGACGGCCATTCTGTATAACATCGGGGTTAGAAAGCGCTTAGAGATCCATACACACCAATTCATACCTCAAAGTGATAATTTAACACACTGGACGATATTGAGTGGGTCGAGTCGTACCTATTACGGGCTACCGTCGGTCAACCGCACAAGCAAGAAGGAAAGCGTTGCATACATGCTGCTCATAAGAGACATCATATCGCTGTCCGTCTCTGTGTTCGTCCCATCCCTGCCACTCCATTCTGTCGGCGCAGTCGTAGTCGATCTGGCCGAAAAGATTGAACTAACATCCGAATCGTCACGATCTGCGCCAATCGTCATGGTCGCGTTAGTGCCAGATTCGGGGTATCAAGCTTCAACAAGGCTCAACAAGGCTAGGATATGAATCTTGAGGGTTGCTGGAATGCTGTAGCACACCTGCCATGAGATGCAGAGAAGTGTAAGCGATCTCAAGACAAAGAGGGAAAAGAGTGCTGGAATAATAATGAACAAAGGTCATTGTTGTCGCACGCAGATGGCGGACGCTAGGCCAGCCCATCACCTCCAACGGCGCCGCTAGTTGGCAGAAGCAGCCGACATATGCCGAATAAATACTAATAATCTGCGTTACTATTACTCCTCGGTATAACGCCGAGGTGCGAGCTTGCTCACCGCATTGTGTTTGAGCCAGTTAGGTATAATTATCGTTGATAAATGAATGCTAGCGTGTTGTCTTACATTGCACAATTTTGCTACACGTGCATATTAAAATCTCATTCTTCGGCTTTGGATGAGACTTGCATACTGTTTAACTCGGTAATATATAGTTCTCATAAGAGAAATTTCCGATACGTTTCACGCTCTTCATAACAGTCAAATTAGTAAAATACACTCATCTAGAAATATGTGCTTTTGCAGCAGTCGAAAACGTGGGAACAGAAAAAAATCTCGTTAAACTCCAAATCCATGTGAAGCACAACCCCGCGCGCCTTCGATAATACAGCAGCAAACAAGAGCGCAAAGAGCGAGCTCATGCCATCTCATCTTCATCCGGATGAAGTCCTAGTTCATGGTCGGACGCATGGAAAGCATCTCCAAATGCAGAGTTGTCTAGGTCCGGAAGATCCAAGCCGTCATGTTGGTCATCATATGCGGCGAGCGCATCACCCGCGGAATCCATATTTGTGAAGTTGGTGGCATCGTCAAAGTTGCTTGTCTCGAGGCCGTGGCCATTCCCAGGTGTTAGACCACTGCCTGGTGTGTCACCTGCGATCTGTCCGTTTCCAGGAAGAAGCCTCTCTGGAGGGCCTTGCACGTTGCCTTGCTTTCCATTGTCCACTACTACCCAATCCCCAGTCTCGCCGGCAGCAGTACTGTGTTGTAATGACTCTACGGCGCCTCCCATTTCAACGTCAGTATCCTTCACTTCGCCCATAGGCTGTCTGGAGTCTCCGGCGCCATCGAGGTTAGACGGGATCTGCTGCCCAGGTGTAGAGGTGGATGACGCTACAAACTGATCCAAAAGACTTGTGTCCATGAGCATATCAGTATCCGCACCAAGGGTATCTTCCACTGGTTCAATCCTTTCGAGAAGGCCGCCTTTCTCTACACACGAAATATTCGAGTCCAAGCTAATCGTTTGTCCATACTCCTTTTCTAAATCTTTAACGACATCATCGACCTTGTACCGCGGAACTTGCAGCGAAAAGTCCTCAACCGTAATTTCATCCTCATTCGAGGTATCGATTCGGCCTTCCATTCTCCACACTTCAGGACCTGTTTCTGAAGGGTACGCCCCAGCCTCGCGTAGCCGTCTTTCACCCTCCTTGAGGATTGTCAGCCGGCGGACCTTCTCTAGACGGAGAGCATGGCGTTTCTTCAATCGTTCAATCTCAGCCGTCGTAGTGGAAACTTTCTTGGCAACCTTGTCAGCAAACTCTTCTGCCTTCTCAGGTTCTATTTTGCCATCCTTTAGGAACGTATCCTGTTCCTGGCCATCCTTAGGCGGTGTCACTGTAGTTGGAGCCTCAAAAAAACCAGCCGTAAGCGCCTCAAGTTCCCCTTTGCGACCGAGTCCGAGATCAACTGGAATTATTTGTTTGATATTGTATGGGGATGCGAAAAGCTCTTCCATCCATTCGTGGTGTTGCTGGTAGCGTATTTTACTAATCTCACGAGGGGTGAGTAAATCTAACATATCGCCGGTAGATACCTCCTCATCTTCCACTGCAAAGTCTGCCGTAGCAGCTGCAACGGTTCCGGCAGATGGACGATGAGCACGAGGAGCTTTAGTTGGTGTGGGCCCGGCTTGTGCACTAGCCTGCGGGGGGTAAAAGCCAGCTTGAGGTTGGCGACCAGGGACTGCGTTTCCATAGTATGGTTGCTGTTGTTGCGCAAAACCTTGAGGGCCCATCTGGGGCGGAAAAGAGATGGTGGGCCAGTTGTTTCTGTCATGAAGCATGAAGTCTTTGCGTGCAAGCTGGCCTTGGCTCTGGAGAAATCGCCGTTGGGCAAGCGAGGTCTGTAACTGAGGTGTAATTGGAATGCGCTGGGCCGGGATGTGGTCGCCTTGAGCGGCGCGTGAGTAGTGAACAATCCATAGCGATGGGTCAGGATTGGGGATGTTCGGGTTGGGGACTTTGGGAGGAACGAGGCGGTAACGGCGACGAGAATGCGTAGCGATTGTTTCGCGGGGAGGATTGTAGCCACTTCTCTGCACCCACATTTCGACGGTCTAGAATAGAATCGGACATGTGTCAGCTTTGTGTGTAGTTTCCGAGAGTATAGGTGCATGTACATAGCCTCGGGCCTCAAAAGTAAATGCCTGTTCGGCATCGGCCCAAACATATCCATCACTGGCAAAGGTTGTACCGAGATGAGCAAGAGGTTGCCATGTCAAGATAGTCGTCCCATCTGGCGGCGGTGGATCGAGAAACGTCCAGGTCACTGGCTGCATTTCTCGGACAACTTTCGGCGCAGAGAGAAGGTACTCGACGACGGTTTCGGTTGGTAATGCGGTCATTGTGGGATACCGGTATCGCGAGACCAGGTGCATGTGCGGCACCTTTCATGCACATCATAATTAGCATTGACATATTCATTCCAACAATAAAAGAAGAGCGGAGAGATGCCTACCAGCTGCGCAGGGAGTCCGCCAGCCGGATCCTGCATGTTGGGCAATCGGTCGCGTTCAGCTCGCAAGACTGGCTAATTAGGCGGTAATAGTCGCAAAGCAAATAGCTGCCTAGCAGCACAGGATGAAGGTGTGTAAGATGTGGGTGCGATGGCCAGAAAGTGCAGGTCGTTCGGGCGTCTAAGCTGCTTGCTCGACGCGACGCGGAATTGAGGCTGGCTCAAAAAGTCGATGGCTGCATCCGGCTGCGGCCAGATACCACTTGTGCGATTTCTGCCTGAGTCTGCAAGGCATCAATTCCCCATTTCCGGACAGACCATTCCGAAGGGGCTTAGCGTCTGGGTGTGTGCGGGGAAGTCCTCTTTGCGCCATTTGCATCAACCTTTCATCTTCTACGGTGAATAGAATTAAGACAAATCCTAAGGAAATATCTACTCAGTACAATTCCCTCTCCGATAAGGTAATTTACTGCTGTAGGGCGTGATGTCAGCTGCGAACAGAGGCGCATGCATCTGTATAGATGCCATTGGATGGCCAATATCCTGATGGTGATAGCGGCCCAACATGGTAAGGGATCGACATGGCAAGGGATCGACAATTCCCTCCAAAATTGCTAGGGCAGGCCGAGCCAAAGACGATGCTAGTAGTCAACTAGTCGCGCGTTATGCCAATCATGGCAGCCCTTGCCTGTGCAACTCCCACGCGATCCCGTGGCCTAGGACAGTGCGTGCTAAACGAATGTTTGGTAGACCGTCGATCTGTCACCCCAGCTTGCATCATCTTGTGGAGCCACGCGCGTGCACTGGACGCCGAAAAGAAAATTTTCATTTGTCGTGAGGTCTTCTTCCATGATGTAGTAGCTGCCGCGATTGGCTGGGGATTGTATCTAGTACTTGCTACTTAGTAGTAATCAAAGATTCTCGACAGAAGCAACCTACGGATTGCCGGAGCTGACAATAAAACTCTCCGGATTTCACTTTGTGACTTTCTTCTTCGGATTTTCAAGCAGTCGCGTATGCTGTTGATGTACGCACTTGATATACGCACAAATTCACGCGTATAAATTCATATATCGACACCACCTATATTGCTCAGGAACATTTGATTTATACACTTGCCTCGCCATGGCGGTGCCGTCTGAAAATGAAATCACCGAAGTGCCATCGGAACAAGAAGCTGCGAAACCTACCGACGTGTATATCGACCACGATACTGAGGCCGCGCCGGTAGCACCAATACTACCTTTGCCTACAATTGACCCGGTTATTGAGAAGCGCGTTGTTCGCAAACTGGATTATCGACTTCCTGTGATTACTGGGTTTTTATGTACGTGGGACCTCACCTCTAGTTCTCCGACAGCATACTTATGAAATCAATGGTTCACAGACCTCTTGGCCTTTTTGGATCGGAGTAACATTGGGTACGATTACATACCTCAACTGGTGGCGGCAACACACTGACAACTGGCAGAAACGCCAAAATTGCAGGAATGCAAAAGGAATTGTCTTTGAATGGAGGCACCTACGCGTGGCTGCTGACAATTTTCTATATTTCCTACACATTGTTTGAGTTTCAAGCCTTGATGTGGAAAATCGTTCGTCCCCATCGGTGGGCCGCTTTCACGGTAGCGGTTTGGTATGTTACCTCTAACCTAGTCGCTCCGGACAACGATTAACGCTATTCAGGGGGATCGCGGCAACCTGTCAAGCAGCTACCCAGAATTGGAGTGGGATGATGGCCTTGCGCTTTATATTAGGCGCAGCAGAAGCAGGATTCGGTCCTGGTGTACCTTACCTCATGTCTTTTTTCTACCGTCGCCGTGAACTCGGTCTTCGCTGCGGTCTCTTCCTTTCTGCCGCCCCTCTTGCGAATACATTCGCCGGTGCGCTGGCTTATGGAATTACGTCTGGTCATCCCAAATTAGCCAGCTGGCGACTGCTATTCCTCGTTGAAGGTATTCCTAGTCTCCTTGCTGTCCCTCTGGCATGGTTCGGTCTTCCCGATTCTCCAGCCGAGGCAAAGTTTCTTACCAAAGAAGAAAAGGAGGTCGCTAGAGCAAGAGGAGTGAGACGAAGCGGCGAAGAAGTTCAGAGCGGCGGGATCGACTGGAAGGATATAGCCAAGACCCTTCTTGATGCAAAGCCATGGCTTACTGCGGTGTGTACTATTGGGTCTATGAGCCATTTAATAACTACTAACGACATCAAATTAGTTTATGTACTTTAGCTGCAATGTCAGCTTCTCCTCTCTACCCGTATTTTTACCCACCATTCTCAACGATATGGGATTCACGGCGATTAATGCTCAAGGGCTTACAGCCCCGCCATTCTTTCTGGCGTTCTTGGTAACGATTTCCACCACGTGGGTTGCAGATAGGCTGCAACAGCGTGGCTTGGTGATAGCCACTTTGTCCATGATAGGCGCAATTGGTTACGTCATTATCGCAGCCTGCTCTTCTGTCGGCGTGCGGTACTTTGGTGTTTTCCTTGCTGCAAGTGGAGTGTTCCCTTCCATTGGTAATATTCTGCCTTGGGTTCTGAGTAAGTCGATCTCCCAAAAAGAGACTCCCGCTCTTTCTTGCCTAACAACAATATAGACAACCAAGGATCAGACACTCGTCGAGGCATGGCAATGGTCATGCTCAACGTCATCGGCCAGTGCGGGCCATTCCTAGGTACCAACGTGTTCCCCGACAAGGACTCCCCACGGTATGCGCGTGGGTTATGGATCTGCGCCGCTTTTATGTTTTTTAGTACTTTCCTTACTCTCAGCCTTCGGTTTCTGCTTGTGTGGGAGAACCGACAATTGGATCAGAAATACGGGACGTGGGAAGAGCGTCAAGCGGCGCAGAAGGAGGCTGGAGAAATGGATTTCACGGCAGCTGAAGAAAACTACGGTGCGAATTTCAGGTATGTACTTTGACGGGGAAATTTGATTGCAACGAGTCAGTAGGCAATTCGTGTGATTCAGGATTGAACGAAGAAATGAAGCATCATCATAGACAGACCAAGGTAGCATTTCAAGCTGGCTGTTAAATACCAAGACTTTAATGTTGATAGTCAATCAAAATCACTCGCCTGGGACAAGCAACGTTCAATTAATGCGGCATAGAGCACTCGTCATGTGCGCGTAGAAAGTTAGCTTTAGCGCATAGTAGCATGATTGAACAATCACTTCGCGACAGCCAATCGCCTATCTACGCCAGCTTGTGTGGAATGCGATCCTCTTCTCTTCCGTTCTTTTCTTTGGATATGGAATCATATAGAAGAAAATAAGTCCAGAGCAGACACCATAAGCCACTGTCGTCTTACTGCCTGAGCCACATCGGGGGCTAGTTCAATGTCGTGGCGCAGTACACTCCGCCCCGGCTCTGATTGGCTGGTTAGGGTAGTTCGTGTGTCGATTCTATAGAGTAGTTTAAGGCCTCAAAATAGTAATTCCCTCATTCAAAAAAAGAAAACAGAAATGAAGAGATCCGAGTCCAACGACTTTGGAATCTTTCATTTTTATTTCTGCCCTAATTAGATCTTGTTTGCTACATATCGCTCATGCTTCCGCCCTGACTACGTACGTCCAGATCAGATCATGTGTAAGCAGTTTAAACCCGCGTCCCCACGTGGAAGATGCATGTTTGGATAATTCTCGCCCAATTAATTCAGCTGCCACTGTCATTAGGAAAATAGTCTCGATCACCGATTCAGGGCCTGGTCGAGTGATCTGTCCCATTCGTTCCGCTGACATCTGCTAGGCTGCAGGACAGCCCAGTGTGGCTGTTCGTGTCAGCCGCCTCGGGGCTGTAGAACGCCTTAGCGCGCCATGCTAAAATGGGAAGCATGCAAACATAGTAATGATGCCACTACTGCTGCACGCATGACATTGGAGATGCAGGGGTATGACCGTATCTTTATATAAGAGGAAGACAAAATCCTGCATGGCGGTACATGTCATTTTACATATCGCATCAAAACTTCATCTTCATATCGATTGTGTCGGGGCTCAAAACGGCACTTATTGCTCCACACGGTTATTTCCTAATTCGGCCTGCTTGCCCTAAAACTTGGACTTTGTATACGATACAAGCCCCTAAATCGAAGTCCACGATCTCATCACACTGTCGATTCAATCTTAACTACGTCTGAAATATACCAAAAACACTCTCCAACTCGAAACAAAAGTCCTCGAAAGATGTGCTGGAACGACTGCTCCGACGAGCCAGCCGGGCCCATCAGGGTCGTCGAGCGTCGCCGCATCTACCGCACAATCCCCTCCTCTCCGCGGCCTGTGTCGTCCGGTTCCAGGTCTAGCTACTACCTGTACCAACCAGCTTCTCCGCGACCATCATACACAACTATCACCAGAACACACAGACAAACGCGCTCCGAGACACTGGTCCCGCTAGGCGAAACTGTGTTTTATCGTCGCGCATCTTATGACCGTGCGCGCCCTCGTTCGTCTGTGCCGGTACAGATCGAATATGGTAGTGGGCGAATTAGCCCTGATGTGAGGATCATTGAACGTAGGGGGTATGACTGAGCTGGTTTTTTGGCGTGCTACTTTACTAGTTTGTTTGGAGTTTATAATGGCTTTTTTCTCGCATTTTATTTCGAGTTTATGGAGTTGGGATACATGGATACCCAAGGGTAAAAGGCATGGAAATTTCGGCGTGGTCAGAATGGGCTTGTATTATATGCATTGTGGTATCTGGATTGATATATTGTTTTTTGTTTCTTCCCGGGTTTGAAGTGTTGACATAAATCTATATTTTTTCTTCTCTTTGATCAATCTGGCAGTGATAGCTGGTAGAATTCAAACCTTGATTTCAATGAGAACAATAATTTGCTGGAAGAAACAGGCATACATATGTATCGGTGTCCGATTATGATATACAACTAGTAGTGAATATTGGGTCAAATTTATAGTTCTCTTCTCGCCGAAGATCTTTCTGCAAATCACAAATATATCGTATGTCCTTATCGCTGCATATAAGATCAACAAGCAATGAGGGCTTCCGATTAGCAGATCTAAGCGCCACGAACCTGTAGTGGGTAGTGACGTCACCCCCACATGTCATCGATCGCCCCCTCAAATGCGATCATTATCCTGCCTCTTTTCAATTCCTGAGGACCAAATTAGCAAATTCCACCACTGACTAGACTAAATATCGGTGTCTATATTTACCTTCAAAATGCGAGTTACCATTACTAGCCCTTCTAGTAACTCTGTTACTAACTATCATTAGGAACCGTTCCCTGTCAATACGGTCCTCTAAGAAAGATGGAAAGCAGCGCCATCGCTTTTCTATGACCACCCTTCGCGGTCTCCAGCAACCCGAGCTGAGCAAGAAACTGTACAAGATCATCAAAGCTGAGAACAATGTTATCGGTGCCTACGAATCCGCCGGTCGCGAACGCATTTCCGTTGCTTCCCAGCTATCAGACTGGGGCGAGGCCACTGGTGACGAGAACCTTTCTGACGTCTCGGATAAGCTAGGTGTGCTGTTGTCGGAGATCGGAGAGCAAGAGGATATTTTTGCGCAAAATCTGGAGGATTACCGTGGCGTGCTCAAGCAGATCCGCAATACCGAGAGTGCAGTGCAGCCTGTCAGAGACCAGCGAACCAAAATCGCGGATGAGATACAGAAGTTAAAATACAAGGATCCTACAAACACAAAAATCGTCACTCTTGAGCAGGAGCTCGTCAGAGCCGAGGCTCAGAGTTTAGTTGCAGACGCACAGCTGTCCAATGTGGTAAGGTCTGATCTCTATTTTAAGACTATTTCCATACTGACACGCTATAGACACGGCAAAAAATGAAAGAGGCATTTGATCTTAATCTCGCTGCTACTATTGAACGAGCTGAGAAGCAAATAATTCTTGCCCAACACGCGCGCCGACTGCTGAACTTGATTGACGACACGCCGATGGTTCCCGGAGATACAAGGAAGGCCTATGAGCATTCAACCACGTCCCGAGAGATCTTGAACGAGGCTGAGAGCGACCTACGAGCCTGGGAGCCCTCTGTGGTGCCAGTTGAATCGAACGCAGCTGATATGGGAAGCAATTTGATGCCAAAACCAGAGGCCACTGCTTCTGATGCAGATGCCGCAGTTGCGTCGGGAGCTGCTCAGGCCCATTCATCTCAGGAGGCTATATCTAATGATGCTGATGAAGCGTCTACCATTGCAACATCATGATCGCATGAAGTAATCGTGGCTTGATTCGTTTCTTCTATTTGTTTCATTAGTGATTCGGTAGGTGCTGGGCAATTTGACTGCACAGCATTATTAATACTAGTTAATATATGTCAACAATGAAATCCATGCAATCAATTGATGTTTCCTATCGATCCAAATCTTGGCACCCACATAGCAATTGATGTATTTCTACAGTCGGGTGATATTAGGCCAATGTTTCAATGTTGAATATAATGCGAAAAACTACATACACGCATTTGACGTTCTAGATGCTCTCAATTGATATCAACTGATATGCCCAATTCTACTAAACTGAAAGAAAGAAGGTTACCTAATTACTGCAAAAATATGGAATTTGCTTTCCCTTTTATAGGGGTAGTTTTACACGGATAATTACATGTTTTATCGATGCTATATCTAACCAAAATGCCCTACAGGTTTATATAAACTCAATCTAAAAACCATAACGCTGGACAGTTATTATAATAGCATATGACTCAACCTCAAGGTCTTATTATTGTTTCCTGGAACATTTAGATATTGGAGAATATACATGTAATGCAATCGCCTGAAAATACATCCCATCCAATAGCGACACATATCTATCTCCTTCTACCCCTGCAAATTGCCCCGCAGTATTGCTAGTGCTGTTTGGCCTCAGCCTGATCATTCCTATTATAATTTTCTGATTGTGATTCAATGCTTTTTATTTTCTCAATAATTTCTTGTCTTGCACCCATCTCTTTTTCTCTATAAAACGGCCGTGCTCCTCTTCTAGTATGTGGATTTATAATTGTATCATACAGCCAGCATCCCAACCTGACGATGCCTGCCCCCGCGCTAGACGAGTTTCAGATTGGCTGGATATGCGCTCTACCCATCGAGACAGCGGCTGCCCAGCAAATGCTCGATGAAAATTTTGGAACGGTCGAGGAACAAGATGCACAAGATACAAATATCTATACACTGGGCCGAATCAACAAGCATTATATTGTGATCGCATGCCTTGGTGGTCAATATGGGACCACATCGGCAACTATAGTTGCAAATAACATGATGCGTACATTCTCTAAGTCGCTGCGAATCGGGTTAATGGTCGGAATTGGAGGAGGGATCCCATCTGCTGCGCATGATATCCGACTTGGTGACATTGTGGTCAGTTATCCGACGGGTACATGTGGCGGGGTGCTGCAATATGATATGGAGAAAAGTCTAGATGGGGAGTACACTCGCACTGGGTCATTGAACAGCCCCCCGAGGCTGTTATTAGGTGCAGTAAATATGATGAAGGCCAATATGCTGGGTAACGACCCGTCATATCCTGGGTTTGTTGCCGATGTGATAGGAAAGAATGCGCGGACGCGGCGGAACTTCGGCCGTCCAGACAAACAGCAAGATCGACTTTTCAAAGCCGAACATAGGCATCCTCCTGATACAAATACCTGTGAAGGGTGTCATGAAGAATGGAAGGTGATAAGAGACCCCCGTGAGGACGATGAACCCCAGCCGCATTATGGTATTATCGCCTCAGGAAACTCCGTCATCAAAGATGCACTACGACGCGAGCAACTACGGAAGGATACTGGAGCGCTATGTTTTGAAATGGAAGCTGCAGGCCTGATGCAGGACTTCCCGTGTATTGTGATTCGTGGTATTTGCGATTACGCCGATTCACACAAAAATAAGCAATTCCAGGGATTTGCTGCCTTGGTTGCAGCAGCGTATACGAAGGAGTTGCTTCAATATGTACCTCGAGGTCAAGTATCTGGGGAAAAGTTAATTGCAGATATCTGTTAGTAAAACTTGATAATTTTTGAAATTGAGACTGACGGTCTCTTGTAGCTGGAATTGTAGATAGCCTGAATACCCTGGGCTTATCAAGTCAACAAACGAACCAAAAGATCGAGGATCTAAGACGGCAAATTGATTTTTCAAAATTACCAACTGCTAGAGATGCTGTCTACGGTGCATACGCGAATCAACATGAGCCTGAGTGCCTGCCAGGAACTAGGACTGAAATTCAAAACAAAGTTACCGATTGGGCTACTTCACCAGCAAGCAAATGTGTATTTTGGCTAAATGGAATGGCAGGCACTGGAAAGTCCACCATTTCCAGAACAGTGGTGAGATCTTTTAAAGAAAAAGAAATGTTGGGAGCAAGCTTCTTCTTCAAAAAGGGTGAAGGCGAACGTGGGAATGCAACAAGATTTGTTTCAACAATCTCAACACAACTGACGGCCAAAGTACCCGAGTTGATCCCATTCATCAGGAAAGTAATTGACCAGGATGCCGGTATTGCACAGAAGTCACTACAAGAGCAGTTCGATCAGCTTCTTCTTCAACCATTACTTAGATTGCAAGGGCCCGCTAGAAATTCGATTTTAGTAGTGGTCATTGACGCACTGGACGAATGTGACGAGGATAAGGACATACGTCATATAATACGATTACTCCCTCAATTACAAGAATGTGGCTTTATACGCCTTCGAATATTCCTGACAAGCCGTCCAGAGCTACCCATTCGCCTGGGCTTCAAGGATATCGCAGAAGACCATCAGTTCCTGGTGCTTCATGAGATGGAACAGACTGATATAGAGTATGATATATCCTTGTTTCTGGAGCACAGACTGGCAGAAATAAGGAACGATCAATCGTTACCTCTGGAATGGCCTGGGAGTACCAAAATCCAAAAACTGGCTACAATGTCCACCCCGCTATTCATATTCGCTGCGACTGTGTGTCGTATACTTGAGGACCGTCAGTGGAATTCAGTGGATAGTCTAAATGAGATTTTAGCACATCAAAACGAAGACTCTCGTCTGAATGGAACATATCTGCCCATATTAAATCGACTTTTTATAGCACAAAGTGGGAAACGAAGGGAACAATTGATCGCCGAATATAGAGATGTAATAGGAGCTATTGTTATGCTTGAAAGCCCGCTTTCAGCTATTGGATTGTCAAAACTTCTTAGCATGACGCAACGGTTTATTAACATCCGTTTGGATTCACTTCATTCTGTGCTTCACATTCCGCGCGATGATACTATGCCCGTGAGGCTTTTCCACTTATCTTTTCGAGACTTCCTCCTGGATGTGGCGACTCGTGAGCGAACTCCGTTATGGATCGATGGAGAAGCCGTACATGAAAAATTGACTACTCGATGCCTGGAAACTTTGCGCTGCCATTTAAGAAGAAATATTTGTGATTTACCAAGTTATGGGACGGAACGCAAAGGGATTAGTACACAGGTTATCGACCAAAATCTTCCATCCGAAGTGCAATATGCCTGTCGTTACTGGGCACAGCATCTGGTGCAAAGCAGGGACCCTTCTATGCAACTGAGGAACGCTTCCACATTCATTGACGATCATTTCTATAATTGGATTGAGGCAATGAGCATTCTAGGATTTGCGGCGGAGGTTGTGAGGATAATTAATATATTGCAAACTGTTGTACTGGTACGTATTTGCTTCAGAGAATCGTTTTTTTTCGTATTGACAACAATAACAAGATATACAGGATAATGATGACGAGAGAATATCAACGTTTTTATACGATTCAAAAAGGTTTATGCTGAAAAATGCATATATACTCGATATTGCACCGCTTCAGCTATACTCGTCCGGACTGATTTTTGCGCCACGGTCGGCAATTATTAGGGAGAAAGTCGAAAAGTTTCCTAGTTGGATCTGTAGTTTCCCTCAGGTCGAGGAAAGTTGGAGTGCAGACTTTCTGACTCTAGAAGGACATTCTGATATAGTCCATTCTGCAGCGTTTTCGCCAGATGGTCGGCTTCTGGCATCGGTCTCTGAAGATACAACAATTAAAATATGGGACGTAATCACCGGTGCCTTACAAAAGACCGTCAAGGGCGATGACTGGCCAGTTCAATCTGTGCTGTTCTCACGGGATGGCCAATTTGTGATCACAGGCTCTATTAGTGGAACGATAAGGTTTTGGGATGTTACTACAGGGGCCCTGTACCGAACTTTAGAGGTCAGTTCAAAGACGGTCTATACTATTACCGCTGCAATTTCCCCAGATGGTCAAGTGTTAGCAACGGCTTCCGAACGTATCAAGCTTTGGGATGTTGCCACAGGGGCCTTACGTAGTACTCGACATGAGGAATGGTTCTTGGAGGACGAACCCGCCTCAGAAGATGAACCATCCTCAGATTATGACGATCTTTCGGATTCAGAGCTAATATCATCGGAGGATTCGATCTTGCAAGATGGATTAACTTCAAACCGTGAAGTTATTTTGGAAACACAACTGGCCTCTGGAGACGAAAATATTTCAGATGAAGAATCTTTTGTATCAGAAGAATCCACTCCGTCGGACGAACTGCTTTTGAAAAGACATATAGAGCTCGTTCACTTTATAAAATTTTCACCCAACGGAAACCTCTTGGCATCAAGTTCTAAAGATGCTAATATATACCTTTGGAACATTCCTACTGGGGCCAAAAATAAAGTGTTAACAGGTCATGCTGACCATGTTGATTCTGTCGATTTTTCTCCAGATGGTCAGATGCTAGCATCTGGCTCCGGAGATGGAACAATAAAGCTCTGGGACGTTTCTTCTGGAACCATACAAAATACCTTTTTGGTCAACCGTTATCGGATTAAGTCAGTAACATTGTCACTGGATGGAAAATTCTTAGTGTCGGGTTCTAGTGATAGTGTTATCAGACTCTGGGATATTTCAACTGGTAATGTGCAGCAGACTCTGAAAGGACATGGAGATTGGGTTTATTCTATCACTATTTCAAGAAATGGCCAGTTGCTCGCGTCAACATCTGCCGATAAAACCATTAAGCTTTGGGATATATCCGTCAAATCTGCACTGCAGGATTCTGGACATCTGATTGTTCAATCTGTGGATTTCTCACCTGACGAGAAACTCCTAGCATCCGGTTCTGCTGATGGCACCGTCATAATCTGGTGTAATCTCACCGGCTGTGTGGAGCATATCTTGATGGACTCATCATATCAGCCTCAGAATAAGGTTCATATGTTTGATCGGTACATGAAGTTCGGGTTTGTCAAATTTTCACCTAATGGGCAAATACTAGCCTCAGGAACTGGAGATGGAACAATCAAGCTTTGGAACACTACCACCGGATCCCTTCAACAAATATTAAATGATGAATCTGGTCGCGTAATATCTACTGAATTCTCCTCAAATGGATGTTTGCTACTGTCAGGTTCTACAAACAAAACAGCCACGTTATGGGACGTTGAAACTGGAACTATTCAGAGAGTCATGAATAATCATCTTGCCTGGGTCGATACAGTGGCAATCTCAACTGACGGACGGTTTGCAGCGTCAGGTTCGGAAGGCATAATACGTGTATTATCTCTTCGTGGTCCCGTAATTGAATATGAGAAACGAACTCTTCGCGATTATAGAAGTGCTCCACCATTTGCCGATCGCTTTAGTAGGAATGGTATGGCATTTTCTCCAAACGGCAAAATTCTGGCAATAGGCTATATGAATCTACAGCTTTTGAATACTTTCTCTGGAGAGGAAATAAAAATTCTTGAATGCGGGTATATCTTCTCAATTGCATTCTCATCGGATAGCGAGCTTCTAGCATCTAGTTCTCCGGGAGGGACCATCAAATTATGGGAAATTGAAACTGGAGCTTTACTGCAAAGTTTCCATTTCCAAGGTAAAGCCACAGACTTGACCTTTTCTCGACACAGTCCACAGCTGTTTACCAATCTGGGGTCAATCAATGTCCACCCTTGGTATAGCACTGATACTGTCAAGAATGTTCCCGAGGCAAACTTTGAGGTGTTTCTCCAAGACAATCAGTGGATAACAATTAACGGTGAAAATGTACTATGGCTTCCTCCTGAGTGGCGACCTGTCTGTTCCGCATTTAGAAATGGTACTCTTGCCCTTGGCCATGAATCTGGACGAGTCTCATTGATGAGGTTTCAGGTATAATAAAATGTTCTGGGTGATACTATTTTTGAAATTTCTCTCTATTTTCACTTTCAAATCAGGGGTGGGAAGATTTGATGATTTTCTTGGACTACTATTAGGTCATATTAACCTCTGCCTGTCGAGATGCTCGCCATTCCGTCCACCAATTGAACGGGCTCCTGCACAAAGTTGCTCGGTATATCCAAATTACGGCAGTAGTATCCATCGGTAAATGGGTCAAATTCTGGATCGACCGTCCACACGACCGTTTTGATATAGTAATCAATTTCATTTGGCCTTGCCTCGTCTCTAACCCAACGTGATCCATCCCAAGATGAACTTCCTGTCCACCCACTCGTTGATATGTTTTGCTTTCTGGCTCTCAAAACGAGACCGTCTACCCGTCGAAAAAACCACGTCTCTGCTGCTTTATCGCTAATGTAGTCTATTTCCTTTTTGCGTCGGTCAACCATCTCAAATTCCATTTTGATGACTCTGACCGAGTTCGGGAATGGCACTTCGTTCACCCAGCGTGCATCGATATGCAATGGTCGGTTTTGTTCCCAGTGCCAAAAGTCCGTGTATCGGACTGTAATAGTCACATTCAGTGGGCAAAATCCATCAAGACTGAGTACGTTTTGTAGTCTCCGCGGATCTTCCAAAGCCCACAGCTGGGCGAATACTCTGATATGGTGAATACTTGGTAAATCCTTGCCATCATGGCTACGTGCAAACTTTCTTAAGTGCTGAAGGTGTCTTTTCATTTGAGCAATTGTGGTATGCTTTGCTGGTGCCCTCGTTCCTTTCGTTAGATAAAACGTGTACTCTGCAAGGGCAAAAGGTAAGAACCATGTTTCTTGAAAAATGCGCTTGCATGTACGTAGGAGCTCGGTGGTCGTACGTCGTAGCGCTCCATATCCAGGACGATGCCAATAGGTGTCACGGTCGAAAGGGGCAGAGATATCTTCATAATCAGTCAAAGCGTACGTAAATATCAAACTCCGTATTTCTGCTGGAAGTATTTTGAATAGTGGAGATTGTTGCTGGGTGTCCACGTTACTTTGAAGGCTTGCGGTTGGGCCGGCTGGAAGCTGTTGCAACTCATTCCGAGTGCCAATGTCATCCATTGTGGTCAAGAGATCGTAAGTTTACTTCAGTTCCAGTTCTTGCTTTGACAATAGACTCAATCTTTCAAATCATACGTTATTAAGGCTAAGACCAAGGCTCTTTAAATACTATACATCCGTGGCACCGGGCAGGCTGACCCCGCCAGAAAAGAGGCACTCCGATTAGGCTCCAGCAACATACAGGCTGCAATGTCATTGGCTACACTGGTGTGACAAGGGAAAAAAAATAAACTGAATAATCCGAATTCAAATGATTAGCATTGATAGGTATTGAAATTAATGTATCCATTTATAATAATGGAGTCAAATCTATTAATTCTATTTAGTATGTATCCAATGCGGAGTCGTTGGTTGAGTAGATCTTCTATATCCAGCCATGAAGTTTGAGATTTTGACCAGTCTTATGGGTCTTATCCAAGCAGTTATCTCACGGGAATAATATGTTACTGTTAGTATCCATCACTGTCGGCATATTGCGTGGTCTGAGACACCTTGTCACGTGGAATGCAAACACTCTTTGTCTTATATCGTGTCTTCCCCTCCCAACTTAACCGTTGCCAACTCAGTCGGTTTCAATATTATCTACTTTGTCGAAATCGAACGCATTTACATGCTATTTTATCCCAAATTTGCCATGCTGATTATCAAGTTCATTAGCCTTGTAGGACTCACGCTATCGGGTACAGCGAACTAACTATTGTGCACAACACTCTGCGCCACCCCAATATAAATTGACATCTTCCAAGCAATTTAACGCTCCTCAACACTAGCGTGGCTGGCTCTAACACAACACTCACCCCAGTCAGAGTACTCATGTCTTTTAAGCATCATAAAAAGCCCTCAAATTTGCGAGACTCTGCGCACCGAAATCTGCGGGACGGTTGCGAAAGGGAAGCTTACCAATCTCTCCCAAGGCGCAGAAGCCCAGCAACTCGCTTACCCACAAGCATGTGTTTTGCAAGGATGACACATTTTACTCCTTTGAGCCAATTGTGTGGGTGAGTGGTTCCGCTCGGAGGCAACAAACTCGGCGACTTTCACCTGCCTAAAGGTACATTTATCGGGCTAAATGCATGGGGCGTGCAACGCAACAAGAAGTTCTACGGGGATAAAGTTGAGTTTCACTGCTGGAGAGTTGGTTGACCAATGATAATGAAAGGCTACCTATAATGTACTTGACCCACTCGCTGATCTTTGGATACAGCTCAACAAAACGCTTAGGCACGTCTATATTCATCTTTGGGGTAGGTTTCAGGCCTTTCTATTTGTTAGAAATTTGGCTAATCATATCGACTTTGATACTTTTATAGCTCTTCAGGAATTTCGACACCACTATTGCCAACCCTCATAGGGCATGGGCCGGTAAGAACTATAGTGTCTTCTTCTAGGAAGACTTCCACGTTTTCCTCCGTACAGTGACCTATACCCACTTGGCATATGAGGATGCCGTCAATTCCGATCACTTTTAGTCGATATTATGCATTGTCTTTCTTTACACGATCACCACCAATAGATCTATGTAGCTAGACAATTAGTCCTGATCGAACTTGACGTAGACACAACTCTCAATGGCTGTATAAACCTGTAACTTTGCATAGATTCTTGTAGTAGCCGCGGCCGTATTGAGTTCGCCCAAATTTCCGGGATAATGCGTGCAGTCAAGTAGCCCCGGCTGATTCAATCGATCAGTGTCAGTCGAATCTCGGACCAATATAGACGGGCCAAAAGATGCTGCTGTCCCAACAGGTAAGATTTTGTCAATGAGAAGGCTTCCGATAATGCGGCAAATAGACAGGGGCGGTTTCAAGGCGGCGCTTAACAAGCGTTTGGCCGAGTAACCAGTGTCGATGTTCCAATATCCACGCATTTTGACCCGTCATCATGCATAAGCGAACGGGAGTACCCGCCCCTTGAAGCATTTTTATATGGCACCGATGCGGCTCGGGCACTATATGAAAAAACCCGAGTCAGTGCCTGCATCATTGTTATTCCCGAGAGGTCAGGAGAAAGACTAATACATACAGGCAGCAGATACAAAAGCACTTGGCATACAACACAGCGCCGCAAGGTAGCATAGGCTCATTATAGAGGGTTCGTTACAGTGAGGCTTCACCCCTCGTCAACGCTAATAGTAATGCAAATTCGCAACATTGAGGCAAGGACTTTCAAGCGTCTTGTCTTTCAACTTACCTGTAGCTGAATATATTTCCATAAGACATCATATCGTAAGATTTTTCGATCCCTCTTGCTGTAGTGACTATCCAAGGCGATACCAGTAAAAACAGATAGATCTGGATGCAACCACTGTCTGTCGGGGCATGTGGCCCCTTCCTTGGTATTAAATGGAATGGTACTATATAAAAGTCGAGTAGAGCAAATAACGATGCTGATCTCAGAGAATTTCGCCGGCTAAAATCCCAATACCTGCCTGCACGTATAGTTTCATTTTGCATAATCAAGGCTAGAACCAGTCTCTGATCCCAGCGTCGTCACGCAACAAACCCGATACACCCAAGAGTTAGTAGATTACTACTGGATCATTCTTCGAAATTACAGCCCGACATTCATGAATATTGCTGTAAGAATTCTTAGATAATTTGGTAACGTATGATATGCTGCAGCTGCTCGCGCCGTGGTCATGCGAATCTCATATGTAACTGGGTTGTGCCGTCGTATTTATTCAATATCGGTCTGTCATTAATGAGCATGAATTGCATGCTGCATACGTCCAGATTCCGCCACGCGGGCTTTATATGTACTGATGACCCTGCAGTATGGAATGCTTGAAACGGTAATATTGCTTCCCCGCCATCGCTGCTGATCTACTTTCAGACTCATTTGCCCAAGAGAAGACTATAGCCAAACTCGTTGTCTGGGAGAATACTACAAAATCATTTTTCATTCTCATAGTCGAATTATCTGTATACTTTCTTCACCATAGCCGCAATGGCTCCTGACATGCTGTCACAGCTTCTGGACCACCCGTCTCAATCTCCGCCCCCCGGGGTTACGCCCAACTTTATCAACCCAGATTCCATCGCCTACCAAGTGTACATTACAGCAGGTGTATCCATTCCATTAATCCTGGCTTTTCCGCTATTGAGAGTCATATCAAAGATCCATTGTGGGTGGAATGCCGTCAACGTCGCAGATGAAGGCAAGCTTTTCCGAAAGATTGCCTTTTTTTTTTTCTCTTTTACATCACTAACTACGAGGCCACATAGTCATCTTTATTACAGCATTAGCAGGTCACTCGCTGCAACTATTCTTATTTGCACTAACTCAACTAGGTTCTTTGCCTTTCCTTCATTACTATGACAATAGCTTGTACGGTCTACATATATTCCCAGCTATATTTTACTGATTTATTGCAGGTCTTAGCGGAGGCGCATTTGGTCGACATGCTTGGGATGTACTTCTAGGTTCATTTACCAAGCCGCAGCTCGTGGTAAACTAAGTGAAAATCTCTTTAATATTTCACAAGCTGACAATCACCGTCTTCGTTCAAGCTAGCTCTCCTCGTCGAAATCACTGGGCCCCTGGCCATATGTGCCGTCAAAATTTCAGTCCTAGTCCTTTACTTGCATATCTTCGGAGTCTTAAACTGGATGCGGATTTCATCTATCGCCAGCATGATATTCATCGGGGCCTTCCACGTTTCACTATCTATTGCTTTTGCCGCTATGTGCGCGCCTTCACCCTCATCCGGGCCCTCGCGCCTCAATTTTCTAACCGCTTTCATATCAGAAAGTTGCACGTATACGCGTATCCTTGTCGTGTATCAAGGCGTTGCTAACGTTATAATTGACATCTTCCTTCTTGTTCTTCCACTGCCGGCTATCTGGACGATGCAGATGCCGCTGCGACGCAAAATCACGACATCGGCGATGTTCTCGATCGGGCTTTGGTAAGCAGAAACTCGATTATTCAAAAGTAACTTTCTACAAACCCTATTCTAATGGAAAACAGCGCTTGTCTATCTAGCATTATCGGTCTTGTTTACAGAGTACGCTACTACAGTATTAGCTCAGACAACACATATCTTGTTGTTCCTGTATGGGCGACATCGTACGTTCGCTTTCCCCCAATGTAGTTGACCTTACTTGCTAACTCATTGAATCTCAGCATGGGTGAGATGACGGCCGGGGTCATGGTCTGCTGCATGCCATCCATAGCTATAGTCTTCAAATTAGTCAGGAGGCCGATACTGTCCGGGTTGTCATCGGCAGGACAGCGTCTAACTGGTTCTTCTATCTTGACCAGCAGTCGGTCGCGAAAAGGAACAGACATAAATCCAAACGGCCCTTATTTTAACCTAGGGTCTGATAGTTCGCACCAAATTTGGATCGATACCGAGGCCAATACTTATTCTCTGCCGCATTTAAATTTGGGGAATGCAGGCATCGGGAAGAAGATCGATTTTGATGTATCACAAGCTGCTTAGGGATACCTTAGTGCTATTGCTCACGAAAGAGTGACAAGTTGTCTGTTTTACTCTTCGATAAGTGATGCGTTTGTTATAGATACTTCATTTATCAAATTACTTGATATCTCGGCTTATTCAACTTAAGACATAGATGTTTCAAATTGATACCATTTTGCCACTTAGTATTAGGTCTTTTCCACTATCCACCAGGCTACTTTATTATTGTATTGTCTAAATGGCATGATGACTCGCGTAGTCTGGTGCATCCTGTCGCTGTTGGTGGTGGAGTGACATTATACTCAATCCACATATTCCCAAGCCGTGATCCTATAGACAAAATTCAATAAAAGAAAGATGTCCTCGACGGCAATAAACATTGCAATTATTTTCGAACTCTTAAGGAAATTAAGGTTAATAAATATGATGAAATCTAACAGCGTGTTTTAATTAACGACATTTTATATATGCAATTCGCAAAGCCAAAAGGACGACTAAAATACATGTTGGAAATTTAATTATTACGCTGTATATATATGTTTTAGCTATACTATCGCCATTAAATAATACGAGAGCATTGGCTATCATTACATGGTAGAGGTTTAAGACCGAGTCAATGAGGCTGTAGCGCCGCGCCAGACTCATGGAGAAGATACAGTGAATCAGCCGAAGAGTTAGGGCTTACATGCACCGATTTCCATAGCGGTATCTCAGACAGATCCGGCCATACTAGAGCCACGATTTGTCTTTGCAAAGCTGCACCGAAAAAAGGTGGCTAAATGCTTACCGGCAACTAATCAAGCCAGTCGCATCGCAGGGGCGATCCTCAGGCTTTTGGGAATTCTGCGTTGGGCCCAAGGAAACCTGGAGGTTGCAATCAGCTTGCTATCCTCTTCCACCATGATATTTCCGTTCCCCATTCCACACTCATCGCTATGTCTTATTCTGCCAGCGACTCGACTCTCTTCCTCATCGTTGCTAGCATTGTCACTTTTCTCTACGTTGCCACCCACAAAATGTTCGGCCACGACCCTCGTGAGCCGCCGCTGGCTCCGCAATCAATTCCAATTGTCGGCCACATGGTTGGACTTGCGCGGAGCAGTTTCAACTATTATGTCGACCTCAGGTGTGCCTTCGACCCTTTCCTGTTTCGACTAAAACTGGTGTGATTAACATTCTCTCAGCCATCAAACTGGTCTGCCCATCTTCACCATGACCCTCCCGGGCCAGAAGATGTACGTGGTGACGAAGCCGGGACTCATCCAGGCGGTACAAAAACAGCATAAGACGCTTGCATTTCCACCTATTGAGGCCAAGTTCGCATCCAAGGTCTGTGGAGCCAGTCTTGAGGCGCAGGCGATCCTGGACAAGAACATCAATGGCGATGAGGGCGATTTCGGTCTTTCAATGGAATCTTACGCCGGCATGCGAGCTGCGCTCAAGCCCGGTTCGGGGCTCGACGACATGAATCGCAATATGATCCATGAAATTGCAAAATCCCTCGATATTTTGCAACCTGTCAAGGGAGAGTCTCGTACAGTCAGCTTGAATACCTGGTTGAGGGATGCCATCACGACGGCTACTACCAGGTCCGTCTACGGCCCGATGAACCCGTATGACGATAAGGCGATTGCAGATGCTTTCTGGTAGGAGTTCCCAAAATTTATAGTTAATGTTCTGGTCTAACCTTTTTTAGGGAATTCGAAAGCGGTCTCATGTCAATCTTAGTTGGTTTTCTTCCTTCCATTACCGCTCGAAAGCCCATTGCGGCTCGAGAGAAGGTTTCCAAGGCATTTGAAGCATACTACAAAGCCGGCGGAGTAAAGAAAGCTTCGGTTCTCGCTCAAACCCGATATCAAGTAGAGATTGATAACAATGTTCCGCTAGAAGACATCGCTCGCTACGAGGTTGGAGGCTCGATTGCTATTCTAGTGAACACGGCGCCTGCAGCGTTCTGGACTCTTCTATTACTCCATGCTCATCCAGGTCTTCTAGACGACATTCGGAAAGAGGTTGACGCCTTCACTGAAACAACGACTGAGAACGGCACCACAGTCAAAACCATTGATATCACTACCCTTAAGGCGAACTGCCCCTTACTACTGTCTTCCTACCAGGAAGTTCTCCGCCATCGTTCTATGGGAACCTCAGTACGCGAGGTGAGGGAGGATACCTACCTCGATCAATGGCTGCTGAAGAAAGGTGCTATGTTGCAGATGCCTAGCCGTGTCATCCATCAGGATGCTAGTATATGGGGCTCCAGCGTCACCGACTTCAACCCACGCAGGTTCCTGCCAGAAGAGGCCCAGAATCGTCCGCGTGATGTCTGCTTCCGCGCATTTGGTGGTGGGAAGACCCTCTGTCCAGGCCGGCACTTTGCGACGAACGAGGTTCTCGCCGTAGTCGCCGTTTTTATTGCAAGACTAGACATGAAACCTGTCGAGCGTGAATGGACGCTTCCAACTACTGCAAATACCAATGTTGCTGCTGTCATCATGGAGCCCGATAATGATATTGACGTTGAAATTAAGACGCGAAAAGGTTTCGAGGATGTTAAATGGGTTATCAACCTTGATAAGTCGGACAAGATTTTTGCGATGGTGACTGAAGATAGCACCGAGGCGACGTAGTTGAACACCAGTATTAAATATAGGGTGAAAGACTCCCAGCAGTTTATCATCGCACATCATCTAACTATCATTTAGTAAACTGAGTTTTGATCCTGATAATTACAATATCATCAATTCAACGCTCGACCACAATTTTCGGGACCGGCAGGGTCATTTACGTCCACATCAACAGATCTGTCTATAGTTAAGAATCTAGAATGTGCTTATATATATACATATGTGCCTGTAAGATTTGAGGAGATACTAATTAATCATTTGCGAAACAGTTCAATGTTCTAAATTATCTTTTTCTTCTTCCCTTATTCGCTACATACATCTTCATTGATTATACATCAGATCTAATATGAGTTTTCTTCCTTCAAACCACTCAGGGCTTGACTAGGCCAAAAGAGAGCATTCTATAATTATGTCTAAACGGTGCTCAACAGCTCCACTAAGGATGACCACAATGACGAAGATTTGTCCCCAGCAATCGAAAAGTACTAGTAATTCATCATGAGTGAGATTCTAGAGTTCATCCTTGATTTCCTTGTCTTTGACTGTCGCTTTCCTCTTTGGAGGTTCACCATTGGCGCTGCGTAAACGGAATACTTTGGCACTATGGCGCTCCACAGAAGATTCTAAAACACCGCCGGCGTTAACAGTGCCAATTTTCTTTCCCATCAAGCGAGAATCTTGTTTTTGCAGACCATCAGCGTAAGCAGTTTCAGTAGAGTTATACCAGTTGAGTCGTTTGAATACTGCCTCTCGAGCGGCCTCATTTTTGGCGTCAAGAATGGATTGAGCGTCAGAGTCCGCCATGCGATTTGCCCATAGGTCATACACATCCCAGTCGTGGGAAACCTGAGGGGCACTTCCTCCAGGTCCGTCACGGATAAAGATTTCACTCAAGGGGACCTTCATTTGAAGATCTTCATCAGCCACATTGAGCAAGATAACAACCTGATCACCCAAAGCCAGGCGGCCACTCCACACATGTGTCTCTCCGATCCCATATTCATCCTTAGGCACATTCTCGTTCCGATAAACTCGAACAGCAGGCTCGCCCATCGGGTCTTGGCTGAGCGCAATAATCGCCGGATTGTTCACAATAGAAAGTGTTTTTGCGTCCATAACACGGAGGTCATTGCCAAGGAGAAGGGGAGATTTCACCGCGGCCCACATGGCAAAATGCGCTTTATACTATGAATTGTGAGTCGAAAATTGTTCGGTCAAGGGGAAATGAGAAAATAAAGATGTGATACCGTACCTCCTCATCAGTCATACCCCCTTGGCCGACTTCGAGCATGTCCAGATCATTCCAAGCACCTGGCTGTGATTTATCGACAAATGTTGCCACCCTATTCAAAATAAAGAGAACAGAGCACTGGCTACCGGGAGACACGCACAGTGGATTATCAAAATTGGTGCAGCTGCAAATTGGATCTGGACGTGCGAATGAGTCGTAGATGTCGCCGGACATACGCCAAGAATTGGAAATAGATGCTCCCCACTATGTTTCCTCACATATAAGTCATCGTTTGTTCCAATTCCATGCGATGAGAAAGGGATACTGGAAAACTGGGAAACGCAAAAAAGGTTTGACATACTGAATGAGAATAATCTTCTCCCCAATTGCATAAGCTGTAAAAAATGGGGCGCCCAGTTGCATTGAGAGCATCCCACATTGCCTTGTATCGGTTGAAGGACGTCAAAGGTGAGCCCATCCGGCCCATGTTGTAGCAGTTGTCATATTTCAAGTAATCAACCTCCCAAGAAGCGAAACTCTCTGCGTCTTCCTTTTCGTAATCAAGAGATCCCTCTGCCAGGTTACAATTAGCCTAGTCCAGGAGCCGTTTTTTATTTATCTGACAGTGTTCTATCTTTCTTCTTTCTCAAAGGGGAATAACTCACCATATCGTGCACAAGTAAGTTCACCTGCACTCGAGTACATGCCAAAAAGCAATCCATTTCGATGGAGGTGATCGGCAACTGATTTCATTCCATTTGGAAACTTTTCAAGGTCTGGTCTTAGATGGCCTGTTTCGTCTCTCCCGTCTGACCAACAGTCGTCCAAAACAACATAATTATAGCCCAAGTCTCGTAGACCAGCTTCAATGAGGATTTCGGCAGTATCTAACAGGAGGGATTCGGAAACATCGCAAAAGAGGGAATTCCAGTTGTTCTTCAAACCAGAAATGAAGAAAGCTGTTAGTTAAGTCCTTTTGCACATGTGTGTCCAGAGTAAAGTAAACACGGAAAACAATGAAGGCAATTAAAAGAAAGAAAGAAAAGGAAACAATGAAATTTATGCTTACCCAGCCCATTTGAGGTGTAAGTCCCAGACCGTTATTGACAGCATGGACGCCAGCAGTCCATAAGCTGGCAACTGCGCAAGCATTTCGAATAACTTTCATTTTCATTGATCCCTTGTATTGATGATTAGCAAGGTGTTTCGAGGAAGAAGAATAAAAACTTGTTGATTTGCAACTCTTCACTTTTGGGGAATTATTTTATACCCCTCACTCATTTCATGTTACATGTTACATGTTTCTTGCTACTTGCAGCTCTACCCCTCATATGTAAAGACGCTACTTTTGTCGATAGCCCATAGCTAGTCTGGGGAAGCTGGAATTCCCCAGAAAGCTAAATGGGAGATTCAAGGAGGAGCTTTGAAAACCGCATCTATTTCAGGTACGACAAATGAGAAACAAGATAAGCCGACGCGCTAAATAAAACCAAGCGGATTTGTGGATGATTGGCTCCTCTAGTCGTCAACTATATGGCGGGTCTGCCGAAGTTACCAGTAAGCGTGGATGAAGCAATTCAACTCCAAATGTTGGTAAATATTAGTTAATTACCATCTCGGCTCAATTTTCCGCTTTTTGAAAAACGCCAGCGCCGAGGTCGAGTATTCCACACCATTTTGTCCTAATGACTCGTTCAAAAAAAGGCGAGGCTATAGTTATTCATTCATTCGTCGTCGTAAGCGCGGATTCTTGAGGCCGCTTTTTGACGCCATCCCCGCCACCTGTCGGCCTTGAGACAGAACCATTGGTGTAATTGGCCAATATACATACTGCTGTTGGTTACCCGCACAATTATTCCTGTCATGTGATACTAGTAAGTTATCCACCCACCGTGAAAAGAGAAGACTATATCAAGTTCAACTAGTTGACTAGATGGTTGGGCGTCAAAAAGTGTGAAAGTTTGAGAGAAGCTAGGATATCTATATGAATGAAATTGTTCTGTAACGTTACATGATTCCGAGTTTAACTCGAGATCAGATACTATCCCTAATTCGAACTTTTAAAGTATCAGCAGATTAGTGTTCTTCATGCCAAGGTTAGAAGGCATATATAAGCTTGTGAGAGACCCAGTCAGCATATCAACGGATTTACCATTGTCTACATGTATTCAGCTACTCTCTTTATCTCCATGTATACAACGCTCCACAGTTGACCCACAACAAAATCGATAAAAGGTTAAGGGAGTTGAAATACAGTATTTAACAAGGATGGAGGTAGATACTCAAGGTTTGAACCAGCAAGCAAAAATTGCTGAAGATGAACAACACAAGCAATCAGTCTGGGAAGCGCTCTGGGCCCATCCCAAAGCAGTCTTCTGGTCGTTTATGGTCTCAATGTGTGTGATTATGGAAGGTTACGACACCATCCTCCTCGGAAATTTCTTTGCTTATCCGCAGTTCGCACGCAAATTTGGAACTTGGATTCCCAGTGAAAACCAATATCAATTAACCGCTAGCTGGCAGGCTGGTCTGAATAATGCATCTGGTGTGGGGGCATTTTTTGGAGCTATTGCAAACGGTTATTTGGTTGACAGATTTGGTCAGAAGCGTGTGATCCTTGCATCTCTAGTCGGATTGTCGATGCTACTTTTCATCGTCTTCTTTGCACCTAATATCGAGGCTCTTCTGATTGGCGAGCTGCTTTGTGGATTTCCTTGGGGTATTTTTGCAACTGCATCTCCAGCGTATGCTTCGGAAGTTCTTCCTCTCTCACTACGTGTCTACATGACTAGCTGGACGAACATGTGCTTCATTATTGGGCAATTGATTGCCGCCGGTGTTCTTGCAGGACTCGTGGACGTATCTAACGAATGGTCATACCGTATTCCCTTTGCCATACAATGGGTGTGGCCCTGCTTCCTGTTCCCCATATTATGCTTTGCACCGGAATCGCCCTGGCATCTGGTTCGTAAGGACCGACTGGATGAGGCAAAGAAATCACTAGAAAGACTCATCCGTTCAAAGGAACCAGATGGTTCACCCAACTTGACCGACATCGACAATACTCTCGCTCTCATCATCCACACCGACAGAATGGAACGAGAAGAGTTGAAAATCAAAACGACCTATTGGCAATGTTTCCGTGGCATCGATCGGCGACGAACAGAGATTGCCTGTGTCTCCTTTGTTGGTCAAGTCACGGCCGGAATGGGCTTTGCTTACAATTCGACTTATTTTTTCCAGCAAGTTGGCCTTACCACAGATCAAACATACAAAATGAACATCGGTGTTACCGGTCTTGGTTTATTTGGTACATTAATGTCATGGTTGCTCGTGTTGCCGAGATTTGGTCGGCGTACAATATACCTTGCTGGCATGCTCATCTGCGCTATCATTTTGTTCATTATTGGTATTTTGACCGTTGACACAAGCCACAAATCCATCGGAATGGCGCAAGCTGTCCTCTGTCTTGTTTGGACATTCTTCTTCCAGCTTACGATTGGACAATTAGGATGGTCTCTTCCTGCCGAGATAGGATCTACCCGGCTTCGGCAAAAGACGGTCGTGTTGGCGAGAGATTTTTACTATATTGCCAGCACCATTAGTTCCGTGTTACAGCCTTACTTTATGAATCCAACTGCCTGGAACTTGAAAGGCTACACTGGATTCTTTTGGGGATCTACAGCGCTTTTGACTTTTGTCTGGGCCTTCTTCCGACTACCTGAAACTAAGGGTCGATCCTATGACGAGTTGAACATGTTGTTCTCAAACCATATCGCTGCTCGAAGTTTCCAGAACTGCGAGGTGAGTTCCTTTGAGAAGAAGGATAGCGGGGAAAAAGAGGCAACAGTGCATGTGGAAAAGATCGATGGCTGAGTACGTTCTGCCCAATCCCATTTTCTTGGTGACTTTTCTTTCTTTCTTTTTGGATCATCAAGTTGATGTGACAATGATGAAATAAATGTACTACCGAGTCATTATTCCACTTCAAATGATATCAATTGATAAGGATTTACTTGAAATGCTGTATGTATTTGCTGAGTTTCTCCCCTCGTAGCAAATTAATATATTCGGGACAACATTTCAAGCAGCGACAGAAAGAGCAGCTTCAGTGTTTTGCTTTTCTGAATTGTCATTGTAGCTTAATTTCCATCGGTTCTGCAAGGTAGCCTGGAATCTTGGTAAATTTCAATAAGTCGGGCTTTAAGCTTTTATTCAACTATAATCGAAAAATAGATATAGATAGCGGAGGAAGAAATCGGCAAGATCACACGTGCAGTAACTCAAGCTTTGGGGGCTGGACTAAGACCTATTTTCTCAAGGGACAAAGGTATATCGGCGTCTGATTCCATCTCACCCCCCTTTCGCTCATCAACCGGTTGTCCGAACTCTCGGAGAAATCGTAACATCCATCGATCGAGCACAAAACTGGTAGTCATACTTTTCCGACACGCAGTATGAAATACGCGTAATCGCAACAGGCAGGCCGAGATACAGGGCCAGATTTCATACAAACGTAGCAAGATCTCAAAGTTGCGTTCCAGTCGAGAACGGGACAGCTTGATCTCTTGGTCAGAGTTCGAGAACAACAATGTATGGATTTGCACAGTAGAAGCGATGACAAGAACATGACCAATCATACTATAAAGCACATCACAACCAGGAGTCGAATGCGACATATATATTATCTGGCAGAGAGCCGCCGCGTGTGCTTTGCATTGGAGCGCATAATAAGCCCGTATATTTGGTGTACAGCTGGCGTAACTGTCAGGTTGTAGAAAGCGATAGTAAAGGAGCTGTCCAAAGTGATAGTAGCCACAATACACTGCCACAAATACTCGGCCAAGGCCAAGAGAAGCGTACCGTGAAAGGTTTTCGGCATTATCTCGCAAATGGTCCGGTAAGTCACGCTCCCAGTCGGTAAGCTGTTGAGCAAGCCAGTCTACTTCTTTTTCTGACATTTGTCCCTCAGTCCGGCCTTCGACCGAATTCTTGTTCAATTCGTTTATTGCGGCGAGTATCTTGTTTAGTTTGACCATTTCTGCAACTAGCGACGAAGAAAACACACCGCTGACATCTCCCAGGTTGATATCATGGGGGGTAAGTTGGAGAAACGTCAGTTCGTTAATCGGTAACTCATTATGCTCATTCCCCAATCTTCTAGGAAGAGACATGCCATTTGAAGACCACACATCGATCATACGTAAAGTGGACCAGACTATTGAACGTCAATTCTGTTATTGAAATAAGGAGTTCCGATGACGAGAAAATGCCAAGTCAAAATCATTGAAAAAATGGAATAATTACCGCGAACATCAACTTCTCTTTCAAGAAGAGTGGAAGCAGCACGAATAGGAAGACGAAGGAGTTGAGATATATGAATTCCTACGCAAATATAGACGGATTCAGATGCTGGATCGCCTTCTCCTGTCCAAAAAGCACCCAGGAGAAGAGCAGCTTGAACAGTTGTGAGTGATATGTCTCTCAAATTCAAAAGTTCTGAGCACTTTTGAGCGTACTGTAGTCCTCTATGCTTTGATGGTATGTTTTTAAACTTCACATTGTCAGAGAACCTTGCTGATAATGCAATTATGCCATATATGAGAACAGGGGCTACCGTTCCATGCTCGATAGCATTCATCAGACTAGGTTTATGGAATATGGTATGAAATTGGTCATGAATGTAGTCAAAGTACAACCTTGCTAGCTCCAGTTGGAGGGTCAAATCTGGAAGTAGAGCAGAATCATGTATCACAGGCGAAGTATCTCTTGGAGACAGAGATTGGTCGTGATTCTCTAAACCTGGAGCCGGCCCTGTATTCCGTCCTGAATTGAGTAGTCTTTCAATTGAATTTGTCAAGCTACAGCATAATTTCTTTTCTGCGCAATACTTGCAGCAGCTGTTGCTACGTTGGGGCACATAGCACTTCTTCTTGCGCCTCCTGCCGATATGTCAGCGAACATCGCATGGAGCAGGCTTACTATTTGGCGTGCTACTTGCCGACATTGTACACATGCAATCGCGTGTCTCATATTTTCTTCTCTCTAGACAGTAAGTGTTCTAAATACATTTTTCCAGGCGGCATAAGGTGATAATATTGGGGAAATTAGGTTTCACAACGCATTTCTTTGTAGTAAAAAAATATCCAATCAACTGCAAAACATCGTGTTGGGGGTTGGTGGCGTTGCCAAGTTTGAGGGGATGCTCGAAGCTATGTTGAGTCTGAAGGGCGTATAGGAATCATGTGACATCGAGTGAGGACATCTTAGCACGTGATCTATCCGTACAGTCACGTGCTTAGATTGCCGTTCTTGGTTCTTACATAACTGTGTCACGTGATGTCAGGCGCCAGCTGTGACGCGAAGCTTCGGAGCTGCAAGAGCTCCCAGCGAAGCCGCATTGTCATCGAGAGTCGCTCTTCCCCATCATCCCCCGTCTACTCCTCCCGACTATTCAGTGTACTATATTTCTTTTCGACCTTGCATTTTCCATTAATTTCCCTCTATACTCTGCTAGTCCCGTTCTCGGATCCCTCGTCAAGATGGATACACTAGTCGCCAGGTACTCCAGTTCGCCATTTCAGAATGAGATCTATTCAGAAGAACAACAGCGCGAGCTCATAGAGTGCCTTCCTCCGTTATCACTCAAATTCGACCTTCCGCCTATCTCCAAGGTGAGTTCCCTACCCTGGAAATGCTCCGACTGGATTGTTCGGCCTCACGGAGACTTAGGGAACCCTGAGGCTTGCCTTCGTGTTGTTATAGCTACTAATGATGATTATTCGTTTTCCAGCCTTCCTCTTGGCTTCGTACCATGACAGATGACCACTCGAACCCTAGTGCACCCATCAAATTGGCACACGGAACGACAACCCTCGCTTTCAGATTCCAGCACGGCATTGTATGTTTGCACATCTTAACGTATCACGGCGTCACCTTCACAAACTAATCATGGGGATACAAAACAGATTGTTGCGACAGATTCAAGAGCGACGGCGGGTAATTGGATTGCCAGTCAGACAGTCAAGAAGGTCATTCCGGTGTCACGATTGAATTTGGCTACGGACAAAGAGAACGATGGTCCTGTTCCAGGACTCCTGGGAACTATGGCCGGTACTGCAGCGGTATGTTCTCTTCTAAGAACAAGAATTTTTGAGCATTGCAAGAAGCGATACTAAGTGTGGTTGATAGGATTGTCAATACTGGTTGAGATACTTAGGCGAGCAGTGCACACTTCACGGTAGGATTTCTTCCCTCGGCTTATCATCGCAAGTATACTAATCACATACAGAACTCCGACATAAGCGCCGCATTACTGTCGCTGCTGCGTCGAAGATCCTGGCTAACCTGACATACTCTTACAAGTCGATGGGGCTGGGTATGGGTACTATGTTGGCAGGAGTAAGACTAAGCCTCTGCAATAAAATAACATCCAAAACTAACAGCTCGATTTTTCCAGATGACACCTCAAGAAGGCCCTGCATTGTACTATATCGACTCCGACGGCACTCGCCTACCCGGTAACCTTTTCTGTGTTGGATCCGGTCAAACATTCGCCTACGGTGTGCTGGATGCTGAGTACCGGTATGATCTTAGTGAGGAAGAAGCTCTCCAACTCGGCCGACGAAGTATCCTGGCGGCCACTCATCGCGATGCCTACTCTGGTGGATATATCAACTTGTACCACGTCAAGGAAGAAGGATGGGTGCACCATGGATTTAGCGACACAGACCCGATTTTCTGGAAGACCAAGTTGGAACAAGGTGAATTCACAAATGTGACGGCTGAAGTGTAAGAAGTGTGAGAAGCTATGAAAGGGGCAGAGTCTATTCAAATTCGAACAACAACCCGAAATCCACCTCTTTGAGACAGTTTCCTTTTTTTCAATTACCAACTTTTGTCTTATCATGATCCAATATTGTGGGGACAGTTCTTTTCCTTCCCTGAGAATCTCACTGTAGAATGAATCAATATCAAGCGCTCGTCAGAGAACCTGATAAGTATCGATAGAAACTATGAAATCGACTATTTCCGAGAAGAACCAAGTGCCATTTTCTATACAAGCACATTAACTATCATGTAGATACAACCAAGAATAACATTAAGAAACCCGTTGAAAGAGACAGAGCAGGACACCTTGCTATATGCAAAAACGAAATAAGAGACTTTTGTATCACTTTTGCAAATTCATATCCATAATATACTGAGTAATATAGCGCAAGGCGTGACGAGTCTCAGCTTAATGCTCAACCTTGAACTTCAATCGAATACCCATGGCGGCTAACTCGGCATCCAAGTACTTCAATACGCCTGGCACAACGACAACAGTCACGTCATCTCCACCGACGAAGCGCTTTCCGTCGCCGTCCTCCCATACTTCGGCGCGTGAGTCGTCGAAGGTTGCGTCGCGCGCACAACGACGGCAGCGGACGATGCCATTCACACCGCCAACAGCTCCGACGCCACTGATTGGATGGTCCTGGTTGGGAGCGGCTTGTGCAGCTGCAGCGATGGCGCCTTGGTTGGCAACAGTTTTGTTGTTGTGGCGAGGGCCGACGGATGAAACGGCGACTTGGGTCGAGAGGAAGGAGCCGCAGTTACGACAGATCCAGGCTCGTTGCGAGTCGGAGCAGTTCATCAGACGGTCCTGAAGGAGGAATGCACAGCCGTGCGCAAGGAGACCGTCACGTTCCATTTCTCCCACACGGATACCACCACCCTTGGCACGACCCTTGATGGGTTGCCCGGTCACACTGTTCACGGGACCGGTGGTACGTACTTGGAATTTATCGTTCACCATGTGACGCAGACGTTGATAGTGGACAACGCCAAGGAAAATGTCTGCAGCGAATTCTTTACCTGTGATGCCACTGTACATGGGTTCATTTCCGTGGTAGTTGTACCCGGCTTTACGAAGTTGATGACCGAAATAGTCGGCCGCGGTATTCTCTTCGCTGAATTGGAAGGGCGTACAGTCCTGAGGGTGGCCGTGAAGAGCGCCAGCTTTGCCAGCCATAGATTCTATGATTTGTGCGATGGTCATACCTATCATGACAAAAATTAGTATTCAGAATTATCAAAATCAGGAATGATGCACATACGAGATGGGAAAGCGTGAGGGTTGATGATGAGATCCGGCTGTATGCCGCTTTCCGAGAAAGGCATATCAATCTGGGGCCACAATTGCGAGCACACACCCTTCTGTCCGTGACGAGAGGAGAATTTGTCACCAATAATGGGCCGACGAGGAATGCGATACTTGACACTGATTGCCTGTAGTGGTTCATTTCCGTTCTCATTACCGACGAGACGAATGCTGTCAATATATCCACTTTCGGGGTCTTTATATTTGAGGAAATGCGTAATACCGTCAACGTTGACGTACGAGTCGCTGGCGGGATCATATCTGACGGTATGCCATGCCGCAATCAATGAATTTTCTTCCATCTTGACACCAATATGAGGTAGGCCATCCTCATCAATGGTCTTGCGCCACTCAGCCTTGATCTCAGATCCTGGAGCAAAGCCAAAGAGCTTAGAGACTTCACGCTTTGACTTAACTCGCCGCGAATCTTTGTCATCCAAGTTGTAGAATTTTGTCTTATAGATAGTACCATTACCGAATCCTCGCTCATGTGAAGATTTGTTGATTATCATAGCGTCGTCCATGTCGTAGCCGGTGTAGGAAATAATGGCAACGACTGCGTTAGTACCATTGGGGAAGTTGTCCAAGCCATATGCATTGTACAATGGCGGTCGAACGATAGGTGTCTGACCGCATTGTAATTTGTACAACTTGTTGTCTGTACGGTAGGCAAAAGATGTTCCTGGAGTACCCATGGTCTGCTTGCTCATTTGGCATTGGTACATATTACGTGGGGACTGGTTATTGTCGGAGAATGGCGTCATATTGGCCAGGATAGACAGAATGTTAGTCGGTGAAAATTCGATGTGTGTTGAAACACCCGACCTAATATCTGAATCAAGACAAGCAATCTCCATGAACGGTTGTTCGAATGGACCGACGTAGTCGAGCTTATCAAGAGCCAAGTATTTGACGGGTCGGTACATTCGTGCCGATTGAGAAAACATGTAAATCCCTGGATACTGACCACCATTAGAATTAGGCACATATCCGATCTCGAGCTCTTTTGGAATATCGTGTGTTCCCTCGACCTTCCAGAATCGTAGAGTATCGTGTATCATCTTTGCCTGTTTAGGGGAACAGTAGCCAATGATGCGTCCATTTAGTTGAATGGACACAGATTCGCTCACATCGGCGGATGCATTTGTCCGAATACCTAATTGAGCAAGCACGCGGGGAATATGAGATACGTCGATGTCTTGGGTGGCAACCAAACATTTGTGTGCGAGATGGTTGAGCAAACCACAAGGCGAACCGTCAGGCGTGTGCACTGGACACAAGAAACCCCAACTTTCTGGCAGCAATTTACGCACAGTGGTCGTTTTGAGCTGTGCAAAAAAGCTACCTCTGTGTATCATGCGAAAGTGAGCAATAAAACGGTAAAAATTGATCTTCTCCGCGACGACAGTATAACCAGATGCCTGTTGCATATCCAAACCAGTAGGACTGACCAGGTTTCCTGTCGATAAAAAGTATTCGAGTGCTCCACCAACGTTTTCGTTAGTTCGCTTGACAATCTTTGCCAAAAAGTCTTTCTCAAATGTAGGGTCTGTAAATTTGAGGCCACCACCCCGGTACGACCACTCTCGGGCGACTCTTCCAAAAGAGAGCAGCCATTCTTCGAGCCTTTCCTTCAAAAGCATGCCATAAAGGAATCCGCCAAGAAGCACTTCCTGGTTCGAGACAGCATCTGGGTTGTCGGCAGCGCAGTCGCCAGCAACAAATGCATAAAGTTTCCGGATCATAAATGTCATCATTTTGAACTTGTCGTGATCTTGCGTATCGGTCACATTCTGATTGCCCAAATGTGGTAGCACGATTTTACGAAGAAATTCTGTACCACATTGCTCATTTGTCCAATGGGCTGGAGCAAAGAGAGCCGGGCGAAATTTTCTACCCAAGTAAGCTCTAGCATCTGTTCGTGAGTGGAGGTTGTAGCCCTTGTATGTTCTTAGCAGCAGTTCGACACGATCGGTGACGAATGTGTTTTTGACGCCATTCGATGACGCATTTCCCACAATTCCTTCAAAAATTTCGCGGTCATTGGTTTCAACAAGTGCTTTCAGAATCATGACAACTGGAATGAGGTATTCTTGCTTGCGGTAGGAAAATCGGAATGTCAAGTTTCCATCGCTCAGATAATGGATGACATTGGTCTGGGAAGTTTGGTCAGGTCGAACCGAACGTATTTGAACGCCAAATTTAGTGAAACCAGCACCGCGCTTTTGGAAAGACGGTCGCATGATAGCCATAGGGTAGTTTCGTTTCGGCAGAATTAACATTCGGACCAGTTTTTCATTTCCATTGACGATGAAATATCCACCCAGTTCCTCAGACTCTTCTTTGTGATCCACCAAGTGCTGTGGGCTGGAGTTTTCTAAATGGCATCTGTTGGACTGTGTCCCATGTCAGACGATGTAACAAGTGAATCAACATGGTAAAGTACTCACCCTCAACATCAGAGGAACTTGGCCTAGATCGCGAATAGATTCTTTCCATTCGCCCGCATTCACCTGGAACTGCAATCTAACGCGCAATCGACCTCTGTAGGTGGCATGTCTTTCTCTGCATTCGGATGGATAGATGTTGCGGTAGTCCTTATTTCCGTTACGGGGAACGAATTTGTTGGTGGGTGGGAGAACTGCTTTTTCCAGAAAAACCTCGGTAATGCGCAGGTTGAGACGGTTTCGCTGCGGGGGGCGTTCGCCTGCGGCCAGTCGTGCTTGCCTCTGCTCCGGAGTCTCGTTATCGCCGTCTAGGAATGTCTTGGTGCCCATGTCCTTCAAGGCCTCCTCGATAATTTTGTTCTCTCCGAAAAGGGCATTGAATGAGTTGATGTGAGGCCGCACTGCAGCCTCCAGCAGCGGATAGGCTGATCGATCCTTTGGCGGGTTCTTGAAGAGTCGTTCTCGCCGCAGGGTATCGAACCCGACGGTCCAGTCGGTATTCGTCGCTGTGGGAGCCATGTTTTTATGCAACTGCAAACTTTCCACACGGTTGGCGGGAGAAATTTGGTGATTGGGTGACGTTGGCAAGAGCAATTAGCTCCTAGTCAAGCTCATCCTCGGCCCGTTCGATGAGCGATGGTTACAACCAGGGGAATGGGCGGCTTGGTGTCTGCAAAGAGCGTGCCTTCCACCGAACAACCATGAACAACAGCGACTCTCGACGGAAATTTTTGTGGGTGGATCGCGGCAGCTGCGTATCGTCACGTGCCGATAACGGTTGGGCGGCTTGCACCTTCCGGTTCCGGGATAACCATCGCTGGCAGCTTTCTAGGATGCACCGGATAACGTGACCACCACACGCAACTTGCACGGACCCGCAGATCCCAGCCATAGTAATGCTACTACAGCGACTGCATATGTACTACTGCTGATCCCCACGATGCATCAAGGTCGACATGCCTGCTGCTCGCCCCTCTAGGCTGCACAAGAAGCTTAGCAAGCCTGTCTAACCCCTACGTAATCGATCCGTTGGCCGTTACTGGCCGGCTGTCGTCTTCTGGGGAAACAAAAAAGCAACATCATCATTCGGCGCCACGCAACTTTACTTGCACTTGACACTTGACGTTGGTACCTGAAACTCTGAGGCTGCCACCAGGCAGAAACGGCAAGGCAGAGCCGACAAGGCGCATCCACCCTCCACGTCAACATATATACACACCCTACACAAAGAAATTGGGGCTGTATGGGACAGCGCCGTGGCACCGACCAGCTACCACCCCAGCCCACCCCAGCGAGCGGGACAGTAGGAACGAAATACGCAATAGGCAATCACACAGGTACGTCGTTCGTTCTCCTGCAGAGCCCAGCGGGAACAACATGCCTAGGCTCGATCTGCTGTGGGTGCGAACGAGCCCAGGCAGGAATCAAAGTTGGACTGGGCTCTAGTGCAGCGCCAAAATTCCAGGCTGATCCTTGTCAAGCCCGCAGACTAAGCGCTCCCCTCCGAACCGGCGCAAATCATCGGTCATGTGTGCACATAGATCGAACAATTAGTGCCTCGACTTGGTTTTGTTCCCGCCGGCCAAAAGAAAGGGAAAAGACAGAAAAAGTAAGTGAGCGGGCGAACCAAGCACCAAGACAGGAAAAAAGGTTAATCCCGTATTAGTACGTCCAAACCCTGTTCCGAATCCGTTATCCACCCCGACCTCGAGCCAGTCGATATTAATTATTGCTTTTTTTCTTTCTTCTGGGAAAATCGGCGGTCTTGGTGGCTTCGACGACGACTTGCTTTCGTGGACTTACTTTCCTAGAACGTCCTGCGGCGTGTAAGTCCGCAGCAGACCCTAAAGAAATAATTTCTTCCATTCTGACTATTATTTACTAGTTAGCTACGCCTGCCTGCCGTTGCAGGTTACAGTCGGACCTGGCTCACATCGAGCATTAGGCTGGACGTCGCATCTGCTTCTGTGTTGTTTTTCTGTGGGCTTTGTGTTTTGTTTCCATTTTAATTTTCATTCCTCCCCCATGCTATTGTCTGTTCCTGGGGAAAACCTTGAATCTACACATCGGCCTTGTTCACCGCAGTTACTACGGAAAGGCACCCACCCCACTTCCTACCGCATGGTGCGCGTCATCTAAATATTATTCAACCATTGACGCCTGGTTGAAATCTTGGGCAACGCTATCGATTCGGCGCCTCTCTATCCACGTCTGCCACTCGACAGGAGCTTGAAGAGCTATCTGCATCGATATCACCGTTGCAAATATTCGGCAGTCTCGCACCGTTTATTTTCTCGTGCCTTTCTTCTTCTCGTTTTCTCTGCCTAGCATTCTTTCTCTGACCATCTGCCATTTTCAACTGGACGACGAGTCTGGCATCACCTCATCATGGCGGGTATATTTCGAACGATCTATGATTGGCTGTTACGCCTGTTTTGGTGAGTACCGATGTCATGAAGTGAGGTGAAGTCAAGGTTGGGGTATCTGTATTTTGATGGATCCTGTGACGGCTTTGCCGCCGATAGGACCCGTTTCTCCGCTACGGAACCACCGAACTTGCTTCGTGACTTAGTGACTGGCTAACGTCGTCTGGCAAAATGTAGGGCAACCGAGATGGACGTCACGATGATTGGCCTTCAGAATGCCGGAAAGTCGTCGTTACTCCGTGTGTTGGCGGTATGGTCTTGTCATCCCATGCTCGATGACTCTGTTTCTTGGCTGACAATCAAAACTAGGGCGGAGAATTCACAGTCGAGTAAGTGCTCTGGCAGCTCTCCATTCCGTTTAGTAGTCGCGTGATGGTCATCAGACTAGATTAACCCCTCCCAGCTAACAGCCCCCTGCAGTTCCATACCAACGATTGGTTTCAACACCAAAAAGGTCCAGAAGGGCCATGTGACATTGAAATGGTTGGTTTCATTTTTTTTTTTAATATATTATTATTTCCTCGTGAAAACAGGGATGTTTTGCAGTGTGGGTCTGACCGAGGTTCGTGTATAGCTGGGACTTGGGGGGTCAACCACGCTTCCGACCGATGTGGGAGCGATATTGCCGTGGGGTAAACGCCATCATGTAAGACGATCTGATTTCCGTTCTGTTAGCCATATTCTCAAAGTACGACACTTACACTTGGGTGTAGGTATATTGTCGACGCGGCAGATCAGCCAGCCTTGCCAGTTGCGACAGAAGAGCTGCATGACTTATTGGACAAACCTAGCCTGGAGGGCATCCCACTGTTGGTGCTCGGCAACAAGTCGGATCTGCCCCACAAATTGTCGGTCGATGAGCTGATCGAGAGGATGGATCTAAAATCCATCACTCGCCGGGAGGTGAGTTGCTATGGGATCAGTGCTAAGGAAGAGACCAATCTCGATGCTGTTTTGCATTGGTTGATCGCCCGCGCAAGTAGGTAACGGAGGCTACTTCGGTTGGTATTTGTTACACATGCCGGTGTCGTTCGGTATCATTTTCTTTCCTTCTTTTCATTTGCAGGTGCTTCAGCGATGTAATGAGTTGACGATCTCCATTCAAGACGCATGCAGCTGCGACTGCCCGCCAGCGATGGCGGATGTTTATTTGTTCGGTTTAATTGTAATCGGCCATTTGGCGAGGAATGAGACTGTTTCTCTTATTTCTTTTATTCAGGCTATTGCGTCCTGTTTCGTTTGGCGGATGAGTAGCAATACCTAACGATTAGCGATAATGATTATGATGATGTGTTGCCTGGGGTTCGTGAGTGCTGTAGAATTAGTGCCTGGAAAATTAGGGCGTAGATGAGCAAGTCAATTGACAATAGTAAGAGGATCACAGCACTCAGTTGTCTACAACCTGAGGCTTTGGATGCGTCGCGGGGCACCCTCACGTTTAATCATGAATTGGCAGGCAATAAGCACGCTCACGAGTATTTTCCAGGACAAAAAATAATCTACAGACCCTCTTCATATATATCTATTCCATTATTATTTTTATTTTTTGCCAACTCATCCATACATCAAACTAAGCAGTTAACGCGCAGTCAAGACAGGTTGTCTCATGCAGCTGCTCTGTGTATAACACACGGACCAAGTGATGCGCTGGCAGCCTCCACTGCCTATGGATTTATCCACATGGAGTTATCAATCTTCTTATTACATGTACTTTTCAGACAGACCGGTTTTCCTAACTTATACACGTGTAAGATAGCACTATTGTTACCGGTATATGCATGCCATATTGTGAAATTCGCGATTGGCCTCCGTTTCTACGACGATGGTTCTCGTTGCGGTTGAGACTAGCGGGGTGGGATGTGAAACCGACTTTGGATATTTGGACGAGAGGGTTTCGGAATTGTAAAAGGGTAGTGTGTGACAACATGGGACCATTTTGATGCTGCAACCTGAATTGGCGGTTGTAAACAATCGATACTCATCGATCAGGTGTGGACGTGTGACTGCTGGGTGTTACACACCAGACAGGGATATCAGGGATTGGGCCACCCTTGCAGGTTCAACGTCGTGGCGGGCAGATGACCTTGCTTGTAGCATTGCAACAATGACATTGTGAAGTAAGCAGAGTTACAAGGGACGCATTAAGAATTATTTATCATATGCCAGTCGGCTGATATCTTCTAGTCGCATATGTACAATTATGTCGACTGGCATGCACTCAGTTGCCAAGACTATGTATGTTTATGTCTGCGCAAAAAACCCCAACACCCTCTCCGCAACAATCCCTGGCTGCTCCTCCATGACAAAGTGGCCGCAATCCTCAATCGCACCACCCTGCACATTCTCCGCAATCCCCTGCACCATCTGTGTGATCCTCTCTCCCACACCTCCCGCCCCTCCCACTGCTAGCACAAGAATCGGCAGCGGCGTCTTAGCAAACTCAACATTCTGCTTCGCACTCGTGCTGACCGCGCGATAGTACTCGAATCCGCGACTCATCGCCCCTGGACGCGCGTAGCTGCGGATGTAATGCTCTAGATTCTCCCTTGGGAATTTCTCCGGATGCGCGGTCTTGTACTTGAATAACCACGACAGCAACTCCCGCGCGCGGCCCTGGGTCAGCGCTTCGGGCAGCTCAGGCAGCGCGTTGAACGAGAACTGCCAGAGCTTGACGTTGGCGTCGTAGGGCAAGGGGTATGGCGCAGGGGGCAAGAGGCCCGGCACAGCGGCGTCGAGGATCGTGAGACTGCGCACCCTCGCGGCATACTGCGCGGCCCAGGGATACACGATCCATCCGCCGATGTCATGGCCGACGAGATGATATCGATATCCCTCAATGTCGCTTTCGGTATGCGATACGAGATCGCTGCTATGCAATGCTTCGGCGAGAATCGTGCTAACGCTCGCGGTATCGTATTTGTTCGCTGCGGGTGCGGCGGAGTCGCCTAGGCCCGGCGGGTCGAGGGCCACGAAGCGATGCGATTTTGCGAGGTGGGGGAATATGCTGCTGTATGCTTCGGCAGTCTGTGGCCAGCCGGGGATCAGGATGACCAGTGTGCCGGAGGAGCCTCCTGTGATGGCTCGGATGCCCTGGCTGAGGTGTTTGATCTGCCAGGCCATGATACTATATGATATAAAGTTCTATATAATATATGGTTGCTCGATGAGGCAACTTGTGGACTAGAAGTGGCCTTGAAAGTCTAGAGATTTCATGTATTTACTGTAGAAATAGAGCCGGATATGGCCAATTTATATATCAGACTTCGTGACTCAAAATGGTTGAGTGAAGCTATACAGACTACATTCGGAACGTGCGGACCGCGCGGCAGTAGCCGCTGGAATGCTTCTAGAAGAGTATATACATACTGAAAAAAAAATACATAATTTGAATAAGATAGACTGCGGAGGACCTTTGGTCTGATTAACAATATAGTAACCAATGGATATAAGGAATGACTCATGGGTGTTATGATGCATGGTACAGCGTCTCAGCCTCCACGGGCGAATACGTAGTGATACGAAGTGGGTCAGCCTTATGAATATATTAATATAATCACTTCAATTTCAAATAACTACACGAGTAATAATAGTATATATCCAGTACACTAACTACAAATTCACAATGCTATTATACTTATTTTTTTATGTAAATACATATCAATAGTCGATTTGTCATAGTGGCCGTGAGTGGCTGGGGCTGAGACGCTTTCCGCATCAGGACGGAGCTAGACTTGGCGGCCAAGACTCCCAGCCAAGACCCTCAGCCACGATTATCGTATTCTTTAAAAGCTTTCGCTGCTGCCTGTCTGTTCATCTTCATTCTATAATCAATCATTCACGCCAGTTTCGCGATCCGATCGCCTGTTACATCATTGCCTGCGCTGCATCGTCGCTCAGATATAATTCGGCACTTTGATACTTCCTCCTGGCAGGTGCATATTTCCAAGTCACGGTATACGTCATCCCCAGATCTTCACAATGGGTGTGCTTGCCGACCTGAGCCGTCGCTATTACTGGTGAGTTGGACGCAATAATCAATTCATATGTTAAATTCATTCTTATGCTGACCTTTCCAGCTACGATAGCTACGGGTATTATAGCAACTGCAGCTCGGCCTGGTCCAGCTGGGGTCGCTGGGTCGCCTTTGCCGTCATCGTCGGTGCTGCACTGTTAATCTTCACTCTCTTCGCGTGCGTCTACCATCTCCCTTCCACATCATCATATCCATACTGACTGACAGCAGCTGTCTCTCTGCCCGTCGCCGTCGTTCCCGCGGCCTGAATCCATACTACGGAACTTCCTGGATGGCGCCGCCCCCCTATCGCCAGCAAGACTATCAATACCCTCCACCACCGCAATATCAGAACACCGATCCCAACCAAGGCTACTACGCGCCGCCGCCTCCACAAGAGCAAGGCCATTATGCCGGTCAGCAGAGCGGCATTGAACTGCAACAACCGCCCAGCACGTATCACGGTGGAGAGCACGTCTACTCGCCACCACCTGGACCGCCGCCAGGGAAGAACTAGGCGACGACCGGGCTGCTTGCCGTATAAACGCGATTATGTTTGTTATTATAAATTTACCTGCCTGTAGTTATTCCTGCGATCGGCCTACGTAGTGTTGTCTTGCGTGGTGGTTCGGGTGTCTGGTTATGGCGTCGGAAGGCGTTTCTGATCGATTTCAGCATAGCATGTTAGATACATAATGATTAGTACATGACATGAACTTGAACTGTCTGCTTTACAGCCACTATGATCCATCTCACAGATCTGTAATATCTGCACTGTCGGTATATAGTGTATAGCATATAGAAAATGACATGTCTTTTTTCAACACTTTTTTAGCCACAGGTCTTTTGGTGGAGCAGCAGTCTTAGCGTGGGTCGATCTCAATATGAGTTCTCGTGATGGCAGGCTCACTCGTATTGCCTGACTGCGCGTCTATTCATCAACTGGCTTGTTTCGGGACAGACTGCCGCTGACGAGCTGAATGCGTGCGTCTTTACCATAAGGTCTCGTCGGAGCATGATTCTTATTTTATGGTTCGCACTCTACCCTGCTAATTAGGTGGTCTCACAGTGGCACACACCCTTAGTATGATTAGTTTATTACTATCAGCAGCTACTAACGTCGCCTGCCGAATCACGGGCCCATGGGCGGCGGCCTCTCCACACACCCGTTCCCTCACTCAGCACTGACGGCCGTGATGGGCGCTGCGATCTTTTATTATTATCTTGATTTTTAAAAGCACTGGTGGAATATCTTCCTTCTTTCTTCACCTCCTCCTCGCTGCTCTGTGGAAGTGCATGCGTCTGTCTCCCCAGCCATCCGCAAGTCGCTCGGCTGGCCGCACCAGTTGACATTGTGCGACACACTCGTTTTCTCACCATCGCCAGGGTCTCAGTGAAGGGGCCATTCTTGTCTCAGCTCTCCTTCATACTCATCCGATCGCTTTGGAATTCTGTCGCTCTCTCTCTCTCTACAAAGAATCCCCATTAATCGCCAACCGAGACAAATAATCGCCGCCATCCAATCCTCGGTTGTACCACCGGATTGAACCAGCCTCATCCACTCGTTGTCGTCCTGCCACCGACACAGCCTCGCTCTTTCCTGGCCCCATCCGCTGATTCGTGCTTATCCGCAACGTTGGTTTGCGGACCGCAGATTGATTTGGCGCAGCTATTATTATCGACGTTATTTTTGTTGCCTGGCTGGCGCCATTATCGTCTCGTCTCCACTCGTTATCGTCTAGACGCCGTCAATTTGTGATAAGATAGAACCACCACCAGCATCATCATTCTGTACATCAGACAATCATGAGTCCGACGCAGAGAATGCTCAGGTCGCTGGTTGAGCGGAGTGTCTCCGGCGATGCCGACTCCGTGAAAACCACCTTTTCCAGCTGGGACAATTGCATGGCCAAGGCGTATTGCAAGTATGTGAATACAACGAAGTGAATCATCCAAATATTAACATTATTCTTACAGATGGCCCGTCATTGCCGGTATCATCATCGGGTCCATCATCATCCTCTCCATAGCAGGCTGCTTGATTAGTTGTCTGTGTTGCGGATATCAGTGTTGTAAGGGCTGCTGTGGCTGCTGCTATCGCTGTTGCGATTGCGGCGGCTCGAAACACAACAGAAAAAGAGACAATTATGCCGATCAATCGCCCTTCTACCAGCAGCCTCCGCCGCCGCAACCCATGAACTATGGATACCAACACCCTGTCGCGTCGCCCGCACCTCCAGCGTACCGCGGCCCAAGAACAGCTACATTCGATCAGCCCAAGGCCGTCGCCTCCGTCAATGAAGATAAACTCCCCAATATGCCCACATGGGCCGATGCTCAGACAAGGCGAGTCGAGGATCATAGTCCCGTACACGAAGCAGTCGAGATGGATGACTTGGAGGCACGCGACCACCACGACAACCCTTACCATGAGAGTCCCTACCATGACAACATTTCACCAGCAGCAGGCTTCATGTCTCGCGGAGGATACACAGAGGTTCCCGGTACAGCTGCCAGCCCTCATCCAAGTCCTGGAATGTACGACAACCACCACGATGCCTATCTTCGCGATGGATACTCCACGAACAGCGGCGGTCTCCGCGTGACAAATGCTTCATACCACGACCTCGGCGATTCAGAATACCCCAACCATCAACCCCATTCCCCAATCTCTTCTCCTTCATCTGCCCCTTACGGCCCGGCCGCAGTCACCGCCGCTGCGTTCCCTCGTACTCCATCCCCAGCTACTCACGCTGCCCGGCCACCCGCCCGCATATCGCCAGCATCATATCGCGGCTTTGAGAACCAGCCTCCTCCAAAAGGGGCCCCCAATTTCAGCGGCCTCAGAGCATATGACCAAAGCCCCACGTCGCCGCGGTCACCCACTAGTCCGTCGGGATTTTCACCATACGAACAGCACATGTCGCGCAGTCCCCCACCACAAACAGTCTCCCATCCGACAGCACCATCCTACGGCCAATATAGGGCTTTCTCGCCATCCATCCCATCATCAACACCCCCGCCTCCATTCTCTGAAACCGCGCCGGATCATCACGCACAGGCACAAGGGGGTGATCGGCCTCCGAGTCTGTTAATGGCCGGCCGACGACCTGCGCCAGGCTCATACAAAGCCGTTTAAACAAGTGGAGTGAACAATTTTCCCTCCTCATTATGTTGTCTACAGATATATGCATTATCTGATTATCATTTTATTCTGTACATGATCACAACATTGTGTTCGTTATCTACATATATATATCTATGTACTCGGTGTACACACCGTTCTTCTTCTCCGGATCGCAGATTGATTGCATCCACAAAATATCCCAGCACATTCTCTCGCTGGGCGTTATAAATATTGCGGATTCGTGAACTGGCTTGATGATGTTGGGTTGGGATGGCGTTTCGATGGATGGCGTGGATTTTGATTGATATTGATATCATGGGTCAATGCTATTAGGGTTATTATATATTGGTATATTATTCTCATTCTTGAGGAATTATAAGTCCTTGTACAGCATCTTGTAAAGTCTTCCATAGAGTGGCGGTCATAGGAGACGTAGAAGAAATTATGGAGTAAGCAAATGATATCTTAGTGTCGACGTGAGTCAAGTGTCTGGTCAGTTGCGCTGCTAATGTCAGTTTGCGATGACATTAAAACTACCAGAACAAGGTTGTCTCTGCTGCATGGCATACCAATACATGGATTTATTACGGTATCTTGTCAGGTAACCTTGAATAATATTTAGTTATTCTGTCAAGCTCAAGCTACCGCTGCATTCTCGCCTTCAATGCTTTAATGTTTCATGATGGAAAGCATCATATTCTATGCCCTGTCGATTAGCGAGCACGTATGTATTGCGTTTTTATATCTAGTCTCTGGGTATTCCGAAGATACTCATGGGTGTAGCCAAGGACAATCATCAACATGTTATGGAGTGTTCTTCTTGTAATAAGCGGCTTCCTATGGGCAGCTAGAGCACAGCAGTTTCTCGAGCCTGCCAGCGCAAACGGATCCATCACCTATACCGTTGGCGAGAATGTTGCGGTTTCCTAGAATGGCACATCTACCTATAGCCTTCTATCCGTGGGCTTTGAGCAGACCAACAATGATACCATATCCTGGCCCCTCTGTATGTACACCTCTCCCCCTGCTATGGGGATACGAGTCACATTGTAAATGCAACAACTGGGCTGATAATCCTTCTCCTGCGGCCAACTCCATCTCCTATCCTGACTACAATACTAGCAACTGAATAAGAGCTTCAGAAAAGATATCTTGATAAATGGAATACCGTGCGTTCATCTTCGGGAAGGCCTGTTAATGTGCTCTTGTCAACTGCGCTGCCGCATTGACGGTCCAGAATCGGGTCATCCGGTGGGTAGAATACACTAAGATTTGGAATCTATTGGACTGTCCAGCTATTACAATTCCAATTCCAATTAACGAAGTTAGGAATATCGATCCCTTGCCATCTGTGCCTTATTGTTCAAGAAATGAGAGCGACTCATGGAATTGGAGTTAGTATGATTTAGAGACCATGGAAAGACATCCGGTCAACCTGCAAGTGATTGGGAAGAGGCTCGAAGATGAAAAGCCCCTGGGTGCTCTTACTGTCATTGAGAAAGCCTGGAGGGCTGATAATTAGAGCACATCACGGTTGCATTGCAGCATGCTTTTTAATTATAGTACTTGGTTTCATCCGAAGTATATCGTCTAGTTTGATATTGTCACACAGGTAGCTCTAGTCTGTGGCAGATGTTGTGGATTTATTAGCTTAACAAACAACGAATTAACGTGTCAGAGGTCATATAACGTCTTGGGAACTGGACCAACCTCTCTCTCGTCACACCTTCATCATAATTTGGATCTTGATCTAATATGAGCTGCCATCCTTGTAAATTTATATTAATTGATTCATAACTTGGGTGCCTAAAACTTGTTACGATGCAGAGGCAAAGCCACTAACAAGACGAACCGAGAAGGCTCTAAAGATGTCGAGGTTGTGGACTCAAATAAAGTATAAAACCTTGGAGTGCACAGTGATACTTTTATGGAGAATCGATGGTTAGGACCTGGGCTGGAAATACCAAAGCCAAGCACGAGACTGAGTAGATTCTAGACCAAAAAATGATCGCAAGAAATACTAGAGCATAGTCTCAAGAGATTTCTATAAAGGCATGTAGATAGGTAATCTGGCTTTGGTAATCCACATGAATCGAATTTGAAACTGCTACTGCTTTTCCTGAATGCTCCTACTGGCAGCCGGTAATATTGCTCCTGGAGGAGGCTGGTGTTTGCTCTTAAACTCATCACACATCTGTTCAAATGTCACCCACTCCACCCCTTCATGTTTATTAATGTGCTCGATAATTCTAATCCAAATATGTTAATTCCAGAACAATGATAATTGATTATACACATCAAAACTAACCTTTCGTGCATAAGTAACACATGGGGCCGACCAGATACATCCGGGTGAATCGTCATAGGAAAAACAAATTCATCGTACTCTCGGTAGAAGTAATCAAAGTGGTCCTGAAATAGTGTTCCGTCAGTAAATAATGTCCTTATATGCGATGTCCTCATAAGCAGTAAAAGTTTTACTACCTTCCAGATATCTTCGATATCGCGTGGGTTAACCCATCCATGACTATTCGCAGAATTTTTGATAAACATCATCGGCGGCAGATCGTCAATATACCAACTCCCCGGAATCTCGACCAGCCCAGTTGTGACGCCTCTGACCAGCGGTTTCATCCACGTCTCGGCCTTCTGGCTGTAATCAATTTTAGTCCACGAGTCCCCCGTCCGCAGCCAGTACATCTGACAGTCCTCATGGGACATGGAGTGATCATATTCGATGCCATAGTCGAGCAGCAGGTTGACCATCTCCGCACTGACCTCCCACCACGGTGCAACGATCCCGCGCGGCGGTTTTCCACAGAACTCATGGACCATTTTGTAGGTCTTGTCGAGGATATCGCGCTGCTGCTCCTTTGTCAAGCTGGTCGGGTTCTCGTGCGAGTATCCATGCAGGCCGATTTCGTGGCCTGCATCCCGGATCTGGGCGCATTCCTCGGGAAATGTCTCCAGCGAGTGGCCTGGGATGAACCAGGATGCCTTGATGTTATATTTCTCGAATAATTTGAGTAACCGAGTGGTGCCGATGTGTCCGGCCCACAGTCCGCGGCTGATGTCGCTCACGCTGTCTTCTCCGCCGTACGAGCCTAGCCAGCCTGCGACTGCGTCGATGTCGACTCCATAGCCGACTAAAACGCGCTTCTTTCCCATTTTTTGGGGGGCTGAGCAGCTTGTTATGTTAGTCTGAGTTAGAGGTAAACGGAATTGACAGTGTAATGGATATCTGTAGATACTCTACGGATGGGTCAGTGGAAGTCGATGTATAAAATGATTAATGGAAAGAACCCCTTTCCCTCAAATAGCTCCAGTTTTAGAGGGGTAGAAGAGGGGAACGCCTTGGGTTGTGTTCATCGAATATCCTCTATCATTCTAAGACTCGACCCAAAGGTGGGGTTAAGGTTGGCAGGGGTATGTTCCGCTGCTTATCTATGAACGTCAAAGATGCCCTTGGATGGTGGGTAGTACTAACTAAGCAATGAGTCCACATCATTAGAGGACATAATTACCTTGGTCTAAAAGACTTGCAGTATTGTGCCTTTTATGCCTAAAACTAGAAGGAAATCTTGATTTCCATGATTTGAGGCGGTAGACCTGTGTTGTAAAGGAGCCCTGGAAATGGCCAACCTCACAGTACTTGAGTGTGGCGATCTTTCTAGTGTCCTCATCCGGATAGACGCCTTGAACAATCCTTTGCTCGTTGTGATTTGCTTTTCATTTTCGGACTGTAGCAATTCATACTCTCCTTTCCGAGCTGTAGTTTGCTTACAATCCCTTAATCCGTCACGCTACAAACATGTTGTATAGGCACTATTCTGACCAGGGCAATCTGACTTTGAGATATGTAAACAGTTGCAAAATACATAGGATCGTTCCAATTTAGCTATAACGCGAAGCCTAAGCTCCAACAGTAGGTACAGCTGGAGTTGAAGCCAGCCTCTTCATCTCCATCTCCTTTTTGTATTTCTCCGCCCGGCCGTACCTTTCCTTGTATGCTTCTGTCACCCTATCTTGGACGGTGATGGGAGGGTATTTTGCTGGCTCGCCCGGCTCGCAACAATTCGGCAGGCATTCACAAAGGTAGTCCGGGTTTCCACTAAAGAAGAAAGGAATCGAATATCTCTCGCGGCCCGACTTGTTGATAACGCGGTGAGTGTTAGACTTGTATTTATCGTTGGCCATTCGCATAAACAGGTCTCCCAGATTTACTACATAGGCCCCCTCGACGGGCTTGACCTGTAGTAGCCATTTATTAGTTATGATTCAGAAACAACGAGTATCCTGGGCACAAACATCAAGCCATTGCCCAGTGGGCATGTCCAAGACCTGCAAGCCATCAACTTCATCTTGAAGGAGAAGAGTGACACATCCAAAATCCGTATGCGCTCCAATTCCACGATTTAGCTTCTCATCTTCGTTCTTCGGCTGCGCAGGATAGTGCAGGTAACGCATGGTGGCAACAGCCCCCTCGGTGAGAGGCTCGAAGAAGGTCGAGTCAACACCGAGTGTTAAAGCAACCACACCCAGCACGTCCTTCGCCAGCTTGAATACCGCATGATAATATTCCATCGTTGTCTTTTGGAATTCTTCCTTGTCGGGGATAGTCTGAGGCCATTGATTGGGACCACTATTCAGCTTCTTCTGTATAAAGTACGGGTGATCCTCGGGAATCTCCTCGCCAACGTAGAGTCCTTCTTTGAGTTCGGGGCCTGTGCCCGCTTCCAGCATTTGTGATCGGAGAAGCTCGTAGCCGCGGTTGAAGGTGTTAAGATCTACTAGGTCAGTTTAAGGTTCTTCCCCAAGGGCAGACTAAGGATGATACTTTTGTCAATTTTTATCTTCTCTTCCAATGGCAGATCGAAGAAGCGCTTGGCGCATTTCATGACGCGTCGTTGCAAGTCCAGCGGCACGCGATGGCCAGTAATCTGGAAGAAGCCATTGTACAGGCAGCACTTGTGCACCTCCTCTACCAATTTGGCTTTCGCTTCGCTGTCATCATTGTAAAATGGGGAGAAGTCCAGGATCGGAGGAGCAGATGGGGTTACCATTGTGATTTGCGCTTACGAGTACATATGTATTGTGATGGTTGCGACATGCGTTTCAATGTTGAATTTGTCGACAAGATGTCACCTGAGAATATACCCCCAATAAACCCGGGAATTCGGAGGTTGCCGATGTCCAGAACGTAGTTAGGAGCCAAGGGTGTGGGGTGTCATGCGAAGATGGGGTGATAGCTGATAAGACATCTACATATCCCTTGTCTCATTTGTCAATTATTAGCCCGTGATCGGAGACAATATTAATACTCGTTAGATTCGTATACTAGAAGTGGTAGTGCCTGTAGACACGCTCATCAGTGCAGTGTCTGATCTTTCTCGGTATCGGGTGGATACGGCGAGATACATAGAGCGATGTCTTTGTCAATGGCGAGCTTCACCCGAACAAGAGAAAGGTACGCAATCCAAATTTCATCCTGGGATAATTACCTCTGACAGGGGATGATAGGGAACGATCTATTTTTAGAATAGTGTGAAGGAGATGCTCATAAAATACTAAAAAGGGGAAGAGCAATAAGGGTCAAGAAATATGGCCTGTAAGGTGTAAAATGTCGTAGAGCATGACTGAGAAGTTAGATAAAGAAGAGTGATTCTGCTCACAGCTAGAGGCTGCCCGTTGTATGAATAGATTGAAACTTGTATGGTGATTATGATAGTATATTACGCTGTGTGAATGACTGATTAGGTTTTTTCTGAATCAAAATTGAATTGTATTATATAAATACATGTAGCTGATCTCTACCATTAAGCTTATTGTTGATGAAAGAATCCTCTACTAGTAGGAATATTAACTTTGTTAATAAATGTTAGTGATCCTAAGTAGGAGTACTGTAATCAGATGCTCATTTGTCTACTTACTTCTAAATAAGCGCTCTATATTAATGAGTTCTTTAACCTTGTAATGTGAAGGATGGATATTTTTTCCAGTCAATAACATCACCCACAAATCAAACGATAAGAAAAGCCATTGATAGCATTCCAGATTACCCAGTAATATTTCCCGGCGATAATACCCAATGCTACAGTGGGTCAGCAAACACATGCATGCACGTCAGGGATGCAGCCGGGGTTATTTCTTTCGAATATGATTTCGCGGTATATGTGATCGAAAATCTACGAACCACGCTCTAGTAAAGTATGAACCTCGGTGCTCTCGCAACTACGATAGATCATTCAATTGCAGACAAGATCGTACTATACTTACTATTGAACAGGATTTTCCTTGTTTACTTGACACAATGTTGTAACCAGAGATTAAATACCAGATAACGTCTCGAATTTTTCTCCAAACAGTAGTATTGATAAAGTCAATGGCGATGGCCAATTCGAGGGAACAGATCCCCTAACATAATTTTGCTTCAAATAAAGATTTGTTCATCCATTTTCAACACATCGTTCTGTCATTCTGCTATATGAAAAATGAAACCCGTTCCTGCCTTTTGCTGGTCATCCCACTAGACCACTACGCTAGTTGCGTATATGTGTTGCAGATGCGACACCTTAACCTTCATAAGTAACAACCACTTTCCCATTAGATATGGTGGATTGACTGATGGTATAGCCATTTTGCACCATGTTCACAGGTTGGGCTTGTGAAATCCCAACAGTCTGGCGATTAACGGTAGCAGAATTGCCAGTGAAAGTCACTTGGCCATAGTTGGCAAATGGTGCCAAAGAAGTTGAACCATCACTGGAAATATCCGAGAAATCCTCCACAATCCACTCTCCAGTGGCTTCACAGAGGGATGGAGACTCGGTTTTCCAGGTATGGCGGACACTGGTACCCTGGCTCACATTTTCAAGCAGTGCGTACCCGGTGCTCGTGCTCGTTGCCGTAATAGTAACGGTGATTTCATCTCCCGCAGTGACATCGAAGTTGTCGAAAGTGATCATCTCTTGGGCGGGCCACCATTCGTACCATGCATAAAATGAAGGAGTGTTACCCTGGATGCACCAAGCGGTGCCTGCCTGTAGAAGCCCGCCATTCGGGCAAACGTCGGAGTCACCATCAATTCCAAGCCAAGCACAACCGCAATACGAAGTTGAAGAATCGGCTCCGGATGGCAGCTGGGGTTGAGGGATGGTGAAAGTTCCTACCACACTAGTGACACCGGATGATTCGAGGATGGCGCCAGCCCAGTTGTTGAATGACAAGGTGTTGACGCTGTCCGCAGTGGCCACTCCCGGATTGGAGTGGCTTGCATGCGAGTCAAGAAAAACGGTCGAATTGGCTGGGCGAGAACCACGCAGTCCATAAGGCGGTGCTCCACGAGGAGACTGGTGACTAATCGGCGAGGCAATGCCAACCCCTGCAAGAAGTAGAGACCCTAGGAAGCTTTTTGAGAAAGTCATTTTGACCGTAGAAAATACGTTTCAAGATATTTAGAAGGAATTTTAAAGTAGGCTTTGGTTGATGATCTTGAGATCCACTCAAGTATCCATTTTACATGGCTTTCAAAGGGTTTATATCTATTGTTCTCTGCTCCTAGCTCTGATCCGATTTTCCTGCGCTGGTAAATAGTACTAGACGTTTTCAGCAGGTGTTACTCTTGTAGAGTTGTGATAGTGATCTTTGTGATTGTCAGGCGATACCAACTCCAAGGTGCCAACTATAACAAGCCCCAACTTCCCAATTCGGAAACCCGAAAAGACTCTCACTTGCCTCATTTGAATGCAAGAATACTACCTACCTTAAGAGGGTAGATTTAGATTGCTAGGGTCTATCAATTGATGCTTATCTTGGAGCAGATCATGGAGAATCTACAGATAATAGTCTTATCAATAACGTCACGACATTTTCTTGTTACGAGAAGATAATAATCAGTAATGCTTCGAGAATTGACCTGAAGTTTTCCGAGGAAAACTGATTTCTAAACTGGTTTAGTTCTCAAATCTTGTTGGGGTCCCAATTTTGAGTCTCGGGAATCGAGATAAAGGAGGCTGCACTAGAACTAGGCCAGTGAATTCGGATTATTAGTGCCGAAGTTTGAAGAGAAATCACACTTCAAAATAAGATTTGTGGAGATCGAGATTTAAAGAGTGGATGGTTACTGCGGGAATACCAGATCATAGATAAGTATGTAACGTTACTTTAAATGTCCAATCGCCATTATTGCTAGTATCGCCGGCACGTGTAGGAGGAAACAATTCAGAGGAATCCTTAGATGCGCTTTATTGAAAGGGAAAGGAGAAAAGCAAAAATGGATGGGAACTATGTCTTGCAGTTTAATGCCAAATACCGTACGAGGCATCTGGATGAGACCCTAAAAGCATCATTGCACATTGCTAAACAAGTTCGAGAAGCAAAAAGGCCAGAAATTTGAAACCCATTCAAATGTTTCCCGCGGAAAATGTCTTCCCCGCATTCTTATCTATAGCAAAGAAACTCAAAGATACTACAGTAACCAGATAAACTCGCCTAAATATCACTAGTAGGGCGACTAGTTGGTTACAGTGCCGCTTTGCCCTAACTTCTACGAGTTAAAAATGAAGAGCTGTGCCCAATCAGGACTCCATATTGATACTCTCACTAAGTTTTGCAGTGAGACCTAGATGACACCTGTGACATACTGAGCATAAAACAACATGATATTGGGTGAGTAAACGCATGCAGAGTACGAAAGCGGGTGTTTGGTGTTTCAGTCCGCGACGTGAGCGAACATTTTTGTTTCTCCTCTAAATAGAACTGGATTTAGCCACGAATGTTTTTATTGATTTTTGGCAATGCTTGCGATAGGATTTGCACGTTTTGTTCCATGTTGCTGTGTGCTGCCTCTTTGCTGGACTCATCTTACTTGAATCGGCCCTGGTTCGGTTTAATAACTGTACCTACGTAGAATAATTATCAGTCGTCATTCATATTAGTCAAGTATAGGTCATGTGTCCAGTATAGCTGTCCCATTCATATCTCTATAGTAGCTAGATTGGCAGGGTTGATTGACCAGCGCACAGATGTGATGATGGTGGAATCCGTTCTGTGACGATATTGTCTCGGCAAGTTATTGAGCGCTCCGCCTAGCAATCTCTGGGAAGGATCAGATATCAGGAAAGTCAAGATCCACTCAGGGTATACTTTTATTAGCTTAATCGCACTTCCTGGACAGAAAGTACATAAAAATCTGGGCAATAATGAAATCCCACTTCATGCAACTAAGCAGAAAAAATAAAACTTTAATGAAAAATGAAGTTGTACAGACAACATGGCTCCATCTGGGCGGAAAGTACACCAAGTTCGGGAAAATTGAAGTCAAAATCGATCCACTACCAGAATAAACTATAAATCTAGGTAAAGGTGAAGATATACAGGGCAAATGGGTCCACCTAGCCGGAAAGCTAAAATCTGGGCAATAATGAAGTCAGACTTCATATAAGTAGAAAAACTCTAGTTCTAACAAAAAGGGAAATTTTATGGACAACATAGCTCCATCTAGACAGAAAGTACGTTAAACCTGGTGAAAGATGACTTAAAACCGATACAATATATCCATCTGGGTGGAAAGTACACTAAAATCTAAAAAATAATAACATTCCACTCAATATATCCGACTAGTAAAACTCTTAAAGCTAATGAAAAATAAATATATATAGAAAATATGATGCATCTATGTAAAGAATACGTTAAAGTCAGATAGAAAATGATTTAAAACCGATAAGGAGGGTTTATTTGATTAGAAAGGATGTTAAATCTAACAAAATAAACAGAGAGTGGATTTAATAAGTAGAAGCTTCTTATTATATCAATCTTTCTATTTTCTAGTAGGTCCCGACCCATTAATATCTAGTCCTACTAGGAATGTTCCGCAGAGTGCTCATGCACGGCAGTAGGCTAAAATCATATCGTGCTTCAGTGGTGTACCCCAGTCCAGAGTATTAACTGCTATAGTGATATATAGGCTATTATAACTGTTACCATGTATTATTTCTATCTAACTACTTTATTGTTTAATTATATGCAGACGAAATTAGTGCCTCGCCGAAGCGTCTGTTATTCAGATTGATTTACTTATTCTGTTCGCATTCTTACCGGCACCGACTATAGAACCTTGGACACCACCGATATGAGGGTCATAAAGACAATACAGCCAATTAATAGTCTAAACATACATAAGGCAACGATCCAGTTTAATAAATTAAGATAAAATTTATTAAAAACGAGTGGTAGTAACAGAAGCTTGGCAAGCTCACATACCCTGGCAAACAAGCGTGATGCAGCCAACAGAGCGACTCTTATAACCAATCTATTTAATCACGTAACATGACCGATCTTCTTCCAAACACGTGATAATATAGTCAGTTGATGCTAGTTGCTGGATCGTATTGCAATTCGGGCACGCGCCTTTTAATAATCCATACTTGTTACATAACATCAAGCCTTGGGATTCCGAGTCCCTTAATGGTTATTTTCTCCATCACCAGGACCATTAAATATCATATCACCTGAAGTGAACGGCTCCGTCGTACCAATAGCGATGCTAGGATTATCTTCATTATCGTTAGTGTCATCTGTCGCGCAGCTTTCCCACGACATGGACGAGTCTGACGATGACGAGTTGTTCCGAGTCAAGGGACTGGACGAACGCTCTAGGATACCCGCCGAGTCTTTTTCGAAAAATTGTGATTTGGGCTGCGGCGGAAGACGGTTAGTGATCTGGTTGGTCATGTGCGGGAAATGAAGTAATCGTGGAGACGAGAATGAGGAAAAAGAAAAAGCACAAAGGGGCCGAAAGCTTACTTGGGCTGAAATCTCCAATATCTTTTGGACCTGTAGCCAGGAGTATGCGGCTGTTTGGGAAATGGGTACTCGTCCATTTTTCGAGGATGAAATGCGAGATGTGGCTATTGGAAGCAGGATACTTGGAGCATGAGTACTGCTGCCAGTAAGAGACATGATTGCTTGATCTTGATAGTATGGCTGAGATAAAACTGTCCGTGTATTTGACGGTGGCACGAAAAAGAGGACTGTGGTATTAGACGATAGGGTATTGAGTGCTTCCAAATGATATCGATGGATCTTGATTCAAGAAGGTCTGTTGTAAAGACGACCAGTCGCTGGCTTTATATACCAGTTGATGTAACGAGAAAACTATCTCAAAATCATCTTTGGATAATCTTCATAGCACATAAAATGCTAAAAACCGGGCGTTACCGGCAAGAGGCGATGTCGATCGGTTGGCCAGTCCGGAATCGATAGCAAGCCAGGCCATTAGGCTTTCAGCATGTAATTATATGACTTGTCAATAGTTTGAACCAGTAATGTATAGCAGGTGATCGAATATTTTGTTGTTCCGGGTTCTATGCCCGGCTCTTTGCCGCAATCAAAAGCTGAGGGGAAGTTGCGGTATGGCGCGTTCCTGCCATGTGATTATGTGACAAGGATGACACTACTCTAATCGCTTTACAATGGGGCATTATTGTTACTGTTTTATGCACGGCCCCTTTCCAGAGTCCTCTAAGCCATTGAAAGACGTTTCCTGTTCTCTAATGCAAGATAATTATCGCTGGAGAAATGCCATCCATATGAAAAAAAATTTGTGGTACATTGCAAATTTGGTATAAAATCATCTTACTTATTCCTCCAAAGAGAAATCAAATGCCTTGAATGCGGCCTTGAAGGCATCTGCGTCAGTTTCTTCCTCATCCTTCGTCTGTGCACAGTCCCTCCAGTCCATTCGCTTGTCGAGTCGTAGAAGCTTGGCCATCACCCTGCGACCAAACTGCAGGTCGAATCGAAAGTCAGGCGTTAGCGGCAAGATAAGGGTTTTCTCCAATGGCTGGGCCGTCTTAGAATCGCTTTCATCCATAGAATCGAGTTTTGACGGTTGCCATATCCACACACGAAAGTAATCACCGGCTTCATTTACACCGTCGTCGCTTGCAGGACGCTCGAATTTGGGATATTGTAAATTTTCAGCTTCAACTTTGAATGCAGCTTCAACCAGGCCTTTCGACAATAGATCTGTGGAAATAGGAAGGTATTGCCAGTGGATGTGAATGCCATTGCCACGGCTAACCTCCCAGGTGACCGAGCCTAGGCCGCCCTTGGTTCTTTCACGAACCATATCATTTAACGCACTGCGATAACGACGCATTTCATTATATGAGTTTTGGCGCGCTTCAGACTCTGAAATCGCACTAAAAGTAGGCGAGTGTATGAGAGGGATGATGAGCATGTGTCCTGGAAATCCCAAGAGTGGGTAGGTGTCGGCTGTAGTGAGAGGACCTTTTGCTGTTGTCACATAGGCGTCTTCACCGATGGAAGTAATTAAATGAGTGGCTATATTTGGATTGGACAAGCAGAAGAAACACTCCCCAGGTCCAGGGGGGGCCGTCGGGCGCGCTTTTGTGGTCGATCATGACCTCTTGAAAACCGTTGGAACCCATCATTTTGACTTTCCAATGCCGGCCGTTTTCGAGTAACACTGGTTAGAGGAGAGACGGTTGACCCTGCAGGAACGGAACCTGCAGCCGGGGCCGTAGGATCCAAAGTGAACGCATACATCCATTTCTGCTTTGATGTTTTGCTGAATGATGCTAAGTTGATGAAACGAGTTAATGGTTTTTCATCTGTAGTTTCATCCGATAGCATATGAAAAAAAGGCTCTCGCTCGTAGAAAAAGTCGGCTTTTGCAGAGAAGTGGTAACGGGGTTTTAATGTCGAGCATACATCAGCAACACATTGAACACCTTCAGGTGCAGCTGTACCTTCCGGTATTGCCACTTTAGAACGGCTAGTCACACCTTTGGGCCATTCGTATGTAAATAAAACGTCTGTATTGTGGACACCAAAGAGGGATCGCGCATCAGATGCTCTATATAGCGAGTAATATCGGTTGTTGATTTTGGGGTCTGATGAGCTATCTGGTGCTAGCTGGCCGCCAAGAGCAGCCAGCCTGATACCCTCTGATGTCTTCAAAACACCTCTTCTGCCAATGAAAAACAAGTTTGGACAAACCTCGTCGTCGGTTTCGATCTTTTCAATGATCCGAGTCGGAATTGGATGGCTTCCAACACTGAAGTAAGTCGGCAGTGGAACGACAATATTCCCCGCTAATAGTCCTGATATTTGGTCCAGATCTTCATCACTATTGCATTCGCCGAAGAGATCTCCCACAACAATAGCAAAGGAGAAATTTTGCTTAGCTTGAAGTTTAGCAAGCTTTGTAAACACCTCTTGAAAGGCGCAATTGACATTGCCAATGACCACACTGAGGCAAGTTGTTAGCTCGATATTCGTGTTAAAATTCGATCAGCTTAAATACTTACACTTTTGAAGCCATCCTAGAGAGGCGCGGTCATTTGTGAATGTAAGAGATGTAGACGGAATAAAATGTAAATGTGTGCTCGAAAGCTTCACTTTGATTTTGATGATCCGACAAATCAGAGCCGGCCCTTCTTGCAGATCTCAATTTTCTGCAGCTTGACCGGGCTGGTCTGATAGTTTATTATGTCTGGAGACTTGTTCGTTCTACAAGTAAATGTAAGGTCAATGTAAGGTCAATGTAAGGTATGCCGTCATTGGAAGGCGCAGGACGGATCACGTGCCAGGCCGTCGAACTTTTTTGCAGCTGTACAAAAGAGGCTAGCGCAGGCCCGCCGGCGTGACCCACTATCCCCACACGGGAAAATATTTCGCCTGATCCGTCGACTTTTTTTTGTTTGATAAGAAAACTTGAGAAAAGCAACACAACACACATATCGCTCCTGCCGTTGTTGGACGATTACGGGTGCGATCATGGTGTCATCTTCATTGGGCTTGCGGGCGAAACCTGCGAGACTCTTGAAGAAAGGCACGGAGACTACAAAGTCCCATCGTTTCGAAACCTTTTCCCAACGAGTCGCAAAATTGAAGATCGATCCAATCCACCGCGTGCGACGACCCGGCTTCGAAGAAGATAATGGAGACCAAGCATACTCCCACTTTCGGTCCTCTCTGGACCATTGGGCCGACATGAACCTGTCCGAAATATTCTCAGACTTCCTTCGGCGTGTCAGTCCTCTTTCGGAGAGTCTGCATCAAATCTTATATCACGAAGAAGCAATAATGGCACTTCTGACAGAGTACATCGACAAACGGGACCACCTATCAATCGAGCCACTCCTGAACTTGTTGTCGCAATTCGCTAGGGATTTGGGCGTGCGGTTTGAGAAACACTTTGCGACTAGCGTTACTTTGGTAGCATCTGTTGCGGCCTCTCACTCGGAGATCGAAGTTATCGAATGGAGCTTTACATGCCTTGCATGGATTTTCAAGTTCCTCTCACGACTTCTAGTTCCAGACCTTCGTCCGCTATTGAATGTTATGGCACCTTACCTTGGCAAAGAACGCCAGAAACCTTTCGTTGCTCGATTTGCCGCTGAATCGATGTCATTTTTGATCCGGAAAGCCGGTCTTGTTTACTACAAAAATCCAACTCCCCTGAATCTTGCTACCTCATATCTGTTGGAGGACATTCGGAATACGGCAGAGTCCCAAGGAGTCGATACATATAAAGAAGGCCTTATGGTTATGTTTTCGGAGGCTATCAAAGGTGTCAAATGGGGCCTTCACTCTAATGCGTCGGATATTTTTACATGCATGGTGGATAACGCTGCCAAGGGTGATGATTTACAACGCTCTCTAGCTCAGCAGGTTTTATGTGGCGTTGTTATTAATGTTCTACACAATACGACCCCAGAAACGTTTTCTGAACTTTTAACCGTGATCTGCGCATACATTGAAAATGAGTCTTCTGAGGATCCCGAAATTCACGTCGAGCTCTCTTCTCACCTTATATTTGCATGTGTCACAACACGAAAGGCAACAAGAATCAGAGAATGGAAGGCTGTGCATAATGCCCTATTGGCTCTACTCAAACGCGCACTATCAAACTTTTCGTCTTCCCAGGCATCAATACCTCGGACTCTAGCTGCCGTCGCCTATGCTCTGCAGCTTTCTCCGATGGATGAAATGTTGCCATCGATGCGCCCTCTGATGGAAGTAGTTGCAGATGAACGTCTGGAACCCTTCTTCTTACCATTTTGTTCAACGTTCTCGGAATTCGGGTCTCAGAGATTTCACGCAGTTGTACTTCCTTATTTTCAGCGGTAGGTTGTGTCCTGGACAATACACCTGGCATTTATTAATATGGTAATAGATTCTTGACATCTTCCTGGAAGACAAGAGAAGTAGATTTATGCTTATCACTTCTCCAGCTTGAGGAAAGCGGTTGTGTCACGTCTCAAGCTTCCAGATCAGGGTATATTACATGCCCAAACGATTGGAAACAACATATCGCCCAAGTTCTAAACAGCCCGGTTGATTCCACCGAGAAAGCTGCACTCATCAATGCTTATTCTAGACTTTACATGGCTGTTTCTCTTTCCAACGATATCTCTATACTTCCGCAACTAGTAGAATGTCTACACAGTCTTTTGCTTTCAGCATTAGACAATGCATCATCAACTCTTGACCCCCTTGGCATATTCGCCTGTGGCCAGGGCTTTAAGTCCTATGTCGAACTTGCACATCAGTCTAACTCACTCGACTCGTCACTGTGGCAATTGGTCACCAAGTCTGGGTCCCGTTTTTCTCGATCATGCCTTTTTCTTGAGGGTACCTTAAGCTACCTCCATCGATTATCCGATATAGTATCATCAAGCAAAGAAGAGTTAGAGGAGTTTTCCAGTGCTCTGATAGACAACCTGACTTCACCTTCTCAGCCTTTGCGACTACTATCATTGAAGATACTTGCTGAATTCACGAAAATTACGGCAGAACCTGATCACGGCGCCATATCGATAGCCATTGAAATCGAAGAGAGTGAATTGTCTCTCCAGACAGCTAGGTTTCTGTCCATGCAGATCCGCAAACTTGGCCTTTTGTATCCTCAAGTCGCGTCGCACAATTGGTTTAGCAAGCTCATACCGAAATTCTGCTTTGGTTTGCTCACCAAACAATTGGCGCAGCTGTGGGCCGATTCTGCTGAAACGTTGAAAGCTGTTAGCCAGCATGCAAATGGCGAAGCTGTTGTTACCGAGCTCACAATGATCTGGCTGCTGCATAACAATGATTCTGATAATGGCGATAGTGACACAGGCCATCATTCGTCATATGTTTCGCCTGATTTTGGGTGCTTCAATTCTTCTAGTGTCGAAAAGATTTTCGTTTCGCACTTTGAAAAGGACAGAAATACGAAGAGTTCCCTGGTCGAAAGTTTCAATAATAGTCATACTTTCTCGGTGTTAGTTCCGCCATTTGCTCGCGCCCGTTCGCTACAGGTTTTACATGCAATTCCTGAAGTTGCAGAAAAGCGCTCTCGACAGATTGTTCCCGTTTTCCTGAACTGGGCCTCGACAGAAGGTGGTCTAAGTACTACACCAGATCAAAGTTCCAGCTCGAAATCATCTGAAACGCTCACATCTGAAGAGGAGGTCCCTTTCTGGGGATTCAAGGATCGATTATCTCTGCTTGGGCTCTTTGAAAAATTCATAAGTCCGCGAACTCTCTTCAAGTCCTCTGAGGTGTTTGATGCTTTGCTTAATCTCACTGCACATGGAGATTCTGCGGTTCAGAGACCGGCTTTGAAAGCTCTTTTTACCTGGAAATTGCCCGGTATCCTTCCTTACCAGGAAAATTTGCTCAATATATTGGATGAGACTCGATTTCGTGATGAACTCGCAGTTTTTGTACGGATTGATGCCGATGATAGCAAGATTGAGAACGGTCACAAAGCAGATTTGCTTCCAATTCTTCTGCGCCTCCTTTTTGGACGTATGATATCCAAGGCTGCTTCAAGTTCAAGCTCCGGTGGTCAGACTGGCCGACGGAAGGCCATTCTCCGCTCACTTTCTCAGATGTCCGAACCCAATTTTGATCTTTTTGTCCAAATTGTATTCGGTCCTCTCTATAACCTTGACTTGCTTAAAGGGGATATTGTTGAGAAATCTTTATTTGACTTGGAACTGATGAATCACAGACGGCAGTCTGGGCTGCTTAAGATGATTGAGACAATGTACGATACCCTTCAAGGTCGAATGAGCCCATATACTGTTAAGTCAATGGATGCTGTACTCTATATACTCGTGAGGGCTAGTCGCTCGCTCGAAGCAGAGGCACAGAAAGATTCAGTTGTGGATAGCAAAGGATCGTTCTTGCGTGATATTCGCACTGTAGGAGTGCGTTGCCTTGGAATGATCTTTTCGGTAGCACCGGAAATTGCATGGACGCCATATGTCAATATTGTTTTTGACGACATTATCAATCCTCGTCTCGAGAATTTTGGTATTGAGAATGCGCAGGGTATTTCTGCCTTTCATCGCCTCTTCCACACATGGGCTTCTTCACCGCAGTCTGCATTTTATTTGACACGCTTCCGAAGTGATGTTATACCTGTCATTGTTGAAACCCTGAATATTCCATCTGCGCGGGATGAAGTTAAAGTCTACATTATGGATCAAATTTTGCAACCTATCATCAATCTCTCAACAGGCCGCACGATTCAGGAATCTGAAGAACTGGGCGATTTCTCTCCGAAGGAAATACTAACAGATGTGCTCGCACCCCATACCGATATCATTCTATGCCATCTCAGCAAATTGTTGCAATCCAACCCAGCGCGTACAGTTTTGATATCTGGTGTCGAAACCCTGTCTCTAATTGCGCCCTGTGTTGAGACTTCTAGTGAAACATCCAGTCTCATCAAAATATCGACATATCTCCTTCGGCAACCTCAAGATAAGATTTCTCCTAAGATTAAGTCTGGATTGCTACGCACACTACAACATTTCATACAATTTTTCTCTATCGGAAGTGACCCCTTGTTAGCTGAGGATGTTTTCAACACGGTTTCTTCATTATATGACTACTTTAAGGATGACGAAAACCGGAATGTGTTGTCCGCTGTCCTTGGTGAATTCGCTAAACAGGATACTGAATTGGCTGAAGTTAGCGTACTTTGTGCTGACCTCAATGCTATTGCTTCAAACAAGCTTAACGAAGTGGATTACGATCGCAGACTAAATGCTTTCAGCAATATCAACGAAACCTTGTGGAAGGATCTCAGCCCGAAACAATGGCGTCCTATTCTCTTCAATATGCTCTACCATGTTAAGGATGACAAAGAGCTCTCTATCAGATCCAGTTCCTCATTTGGAATCAAGCGTTTCATTGAGACCGCCTCAGATGATAAAGCTGACCAGCCTGGCTATGCTATACTACGAGACAATGTCCTGTTGCCTGCTCTTCAGGCAGGCATGCGTCAACGATCAGAAATGGTTCGCATTGAGCTTGTCTCCGCCCTGGGCCATCTGGTCAAACACAATCCAACTCTACCGTCCGTCCAAGATATGCATGTCCTTCTGATGGCAGGAGACGAGGAAGCTTCTTTCTTCAACAACATTCTCCATATCCAACAACATCGTCGAATGCGGGCATTGCGCAGATTAGTAACTGAGGCTTCAAATGGCAAGATCAATTCTTCCAATATCAGCTCCTTCTTCCTTCCTTTGATTGAACATTTTGTCTTCGATATTTCTGCTGAAGATGAGACTGCTCACAACTTGGCTGCAGAAGCTGTAGCAACGATAGGTGGACTTGCTGAGTGGATGGAATGGAGTCAGTTTCGGGCAGTGTTCAGAAGATATCGTGGAAATATGACAAGCAAACCTGATCTTGAAAGAAACATGATTAGGCTTCTTGGTAGAATGACTGACGCTCTCACAACTGCTTCCGATCAACACAAGGCAAAGGCTGACACAAGTGACGTCGAGGACGTGAAAATGGGTGATACAGACTCAGTTCATGTGACAAAATGTCGCCTAGCCTCGACTCTACCTATTCCTTCTAAAATAGTAACGGAACTCACCACACATTTCTTACCATTCCTCACTGAATTTGTACACCATAAAGACGAAGCGAAAATGAGTGTACGTCTTCCAGTTGCCGTCACAACCATCAAGCTACTCAAGCTCTTGCCAGAAGATGACATGGCCATCCGGTTACCCTCTGTTCTACTTGACGTCTGCTACATTCTTCGCAGCAAAGCACAAGACTCTCGAGATACTGCCAGAAAAACACTGTCGCATATTGCCATCATTCTTGGTCCGGTTTATTTTGGCTATATTCTGAAAGAACTAAAGACCGCCCTAGCCAGAGGTTATCAACTTCACGTTCTTGGATTCACGGCACACTCGATCCTTGTAGCAACAACTGATGAATACGAGCAAGGCGCACTTGATCATTGTCTTGGTGACGTTGTGGCTGTCATCATGGATGATATATTTGGGGTCGTTGGGCAGGAAAAAGAAGCTGAAGACTATGTCAGCCAGATGAAAGAGATCAAAAGCAACAAGAGTTACGACTCCATGGAGTTACTTGCCAAAAACAGCTCAGTTGCTTCTTTGGGGGCCTTGATAAAACCATTACAAATGCTCTTGAAGGAGAAGCTAACGGCAAGCATCGTCAGGAAAGTTGATGAACTTTTCAGAAGAATCGGACTTGGTTTACTCAGAAACCCAGGTGCTGAGAGTCGCGACATTCTTGTCTTTTGCTACGAAGTTATCAAGGAATCCTATGAAGACAAGACCGACAGTACTCCGTCCGGCACAGAATCTGCCAGGAACCGACGGTTTCTAATAAATATGAAAGGCATGAAACGCGGCGAAAAGCGTGGCTCCACATCTTCATATGTCCACAAATTGCCTCGTTTTGCTTTGGATGTTCTACGATCAACTCTGAACAAATTCAGTTCACTGATGACTACTGCGAATCTTGCTGGCTTCTTACCCATCATCGGTGACGCTGTGATCCAAGCCCATGAAGAGGTCAAGCTCTCTGCAATGCGTCTCTTGTCAACCATCATCAAGTTACCCTTACCAGAACTTGACAAGAATGCCCCTACCTACCTCGCCGAAGCCGTCAAACTCGTCAAGGATGCATCTAGCACCAGTACCGAGGCCGCTCAAGCAGCTCTCAAGCTTATTGCTGCTATTTTTAGAGAAAGGAAGACTGTTGAATTGAGAGACAACCATCTTTCTTACTTACTCAAACGTCTTACCAATGATATCGAGGAGCCTGACCGTCAGGGGCTGACCTTCAACTTTATCCGCGCTGTGATGGATAGAAAATTCCTTGTTCCCGAACTATACGAACTTGTTGACAATGTTGCAAGGATGATGGTCACGAATCAGAATAGAGCCTCTCGCGACCTTGCTCGTGGTGTTTATATTCACTTCCTTTTAGAGTACCCTCAAGCCAAAAGTCGATGGTCAAAACAACTAGCTTTCCTAGCAAAGAATTTCGATTATCCACACCGAGAAGGTCGTGAATCAGTCATGGAAGCAGTACATCGATTATTATCAAAAACCGGAGGAGATCTTGGTCAGGAAGTAATTAGTACTTTCTTCCTACCGGTCGTACTAGTCATGGCAAACGACGAAACTCCTGAATGCCGGCAAATGGCGGGCCTTCTTCTCGGCGAACTTTTTGGAAGAGCTGATCGAGAGCGGCTGCAGACCATGTTGAAGTCTTTACATTCTTGGCTTGAACAAACAGAAAACAAGCAACTCGCTAGCACTGGCTTACAGGCAATGAGAGTATTTTTTGAGAACGAAGAAGTTGAGAAGGACAAGGAGGGCCGTTTCACAGTTGATGCTTTACCAACCCTTATGAACCCCATACTTATGGACACCGATAGTGAAGATTGGGAGGTGCTATACTTTGCTTTGCAACTATTTGTCAAAGTCTGCAAAGCTGTGCCCTCGGTTGCATTTAGTAAAAGATGTGAAAACCTGTGGTCTATTGTTCAGGAATCGCTATTCTATCCACATGCCTGGGTCAAAACATGTGCTGCCAACCTGGTCGGGCTGTGGCTCGCCGATGTAGCCAAAAACAATGCTGTTGATGGCTTTAGCAAGGTTCCGCTAGCTGCGAAGAGCGGTCTCGAACTTGACAAGGAGGGAATGATAAGACTAACCCGAGGCAGCATCCGGTCTCTTCAAACCCCCGGCGTCAGCGAGGAGCTTGCTATGCAAAGTGTCCGCAATATTGTATTCCTGAGCCGATGTTTTGCTGAGAATAACCTCAAATTTTCTCCTAAGCACGTTGAGGAGGTAAAGGAGGACGAAATAGACGAGGAAAGTGATGCCGAAGAAGTGGAAGATGAAACAGCAGTCAGTAACGGAATTGCGCCGTCAAGATCGCTATTACATTATATCTTCCGTCAGATTTCAAATATACTACGTCGTGAAACCATTTCCACTCGTGCCGATGCTCTCGTGCCTAAGACGTCATCAATGGCGCTGCTAGCAGCGATCTGTCGCCACTTGGACACGGAAAAGCTTATGGGTTCTCTTCGCATAATCCTTCTGCCTTTGCAGCACTTGATTGATCCTAATATCCCACATCCCCGATCCTCAGATCCTGACTTCGAAACAACTTACAAGTCCCTTATCTCAAGTGCACAGGAAATTCTTGATCTATTACAGAAGAAACTCGGTACAACAGAGTATGTCACTCAAATGGCCTCTATTCAGGAGAATATCAGAGCCCGTCGAGAAGAGAGGCGCGTTAAACGCCGCATCGAGGCTGTTGTAGAGCCAGAGAAATTCGGACGTGACAAGAAACGCAAAAACGATAGAAAGAGGGTGAAGAGATCTGAGAGAGATCGAGAATTTAGAGATAGAAGACGGGGCTACTAAGGAGACCGTCGATTGATGGCTTCCTTCAAGCCTAATATTATTTGTATATAGAAGCCGATAATCTAGAATGCATTGGCATTTCATCCTGCCATATAAAAGTTGAGAAAATATATTGTACATGAACACACCGAAACGCTTTTCACCCAACTCCGACCATTTTTACCACAAAATGAATGTAAATTATACTCACGTTTCAATTTTTGAACCACGTGATGTTTTTGCGCACAGCGCAATCTCTGAAGCCACAATTTCCAACACCGTCTAAAAATTAATCATGGAGTTCCCTTCGAGCTGGCTTCAGGAGGCTTCTCATCGGTCCCCGTCTTGTAGACAGTGCCATCTTCCCAGAACTCCATATCTCCCTCAACATATCCCTTTGTGACATTGTTTCCGGCCTTGGCCAGAATATCTTCGAGAGTGGTTTTCTCGTCCATGAATATGCCCAGATGATCGGCGATGATATGACGGGATTTACACTCAGGACAGGTAATCAATACGGTGCCTTTGTGATAGCCATGTTTGGACATTGTATGTGTTGACCGGGTTTGGCAAGGTTTACATGTAAATGTAATTCGGTATGCGGGCTCTTCCGCTCTGCGCGCGGTGTTCTGTTCCGCATTAGCGGCGTCGTTGGACGGGCTGGAGAGATGATCGGTCAGCGGCCGGGGAGAAGGAGAGTCTGAGGAGTTGGAGTTGAATCTTCGGAAGATATTTGCGGCTGGTTTATTGTATTGTAGTGAAGAGAGCAGAGGTCTTGCTGTCTGGAATGATGGACGAGATATTGATGTCGCAACTCGAGTTGGTAAAATTAATCCATTTGACGCGCGCAGACAACGGATAAGGCTTTTTGAGGATTGCATGGCGGATATCTCTGTTTAATTTTGTTTGTTTATGGTCGAAACACCAGTGCCTGAGCAAAAACAGCCAAAAGGAGATGGATGATATGTGTATGTCATCGATTTCATCAGACTGTGGCTGAATCGGGGAAAAGCTGGGCCGGACAATACTTCTTCCGGACCCGTCCATCTCCGCAGGCCGGCGCGGAGGAGATGTCATAGCTGTTGCTCATACAGCCTGACAAGCTTTGCTTTGTTTGTTTTGCGCCTATATAACTACTTCTTTTTCCAGTTCTTTTTTCTTTGGCTCTTATATACAATCTCAATGATTCCTTACCTTTGAGTTTGATCCCTCAATTTCCACTTGTTTCCTCGCATCATTCACTACCCCGCGGAAGCCAAGACAGTGAATTTAATCATTTTCACGACGACAACGCGATACCTTATTTTGGGGAAACCTCTGTATGAGGTGAAACTATCAAGATGGCGATGAGAGCTAGGCAAAAGATCAGAGCTCCGCGAAAGGTAGGTAGATCCTCATTCTGCTTCTAGGCTTTCGCAATAAAATCGTCCGGGACGGCTTATTTCGTGAATTTATCGAACAACACAAGCTAACCTGATACCTTATCCAGACTCTAGGTAACAGAAATGATGACTTCGACGCAATCTGGAACGTTCTTTCATCTGCGCTTCATGAAATACACACGAAAAACGCATCCACTCTTTCATTCGAAGAACTTTATCGCAACGCGTACAAGATCGTCTTAATGACAAAGGGCGACAATTTATATAGCAACGTCAGAGATCTCGAGCAGGAATGGCTAAGTGGGCATGTCTGTCAGAACATCCTATCTTCGGTATCCCAAGTTCTGCTTCAAGACATGGATCCGGAAGACATTACCGACCAGGCAAACGAGCGCAGAGCTGCGGGTGAAAAATTATTGAAAGCGATCAAGGAAGCTTGGGAAGACCACCAATTATGTATGGGCATGATAACTGACGTGCTGATGTACATGGTGAGTTTGGCTACATACAATGGACTGTAAGGTGATATTTGGAACTAACATACACAGGACCGAACAACGAGTAATGACCAAAAACCCTCAATTTATACCCTCGCCATGTGCCTATTTCGTGATTATGTCCTTCGTGCTGCAATTCCCAATACTGAGAAAACCATATACGACATATTCGAATCTACTGTTCTTTTCATGGTTCAGTTAGAAAGGACAGGGGAAATTATTGACAGACAATTGATTCGACATTGCATTTATATGCTGGAGGGGCTATATGAGACGTATTCAGAGGAGGAAGCGTCCAAGCTGTATTTGACAGTGTTTGAGCCAGCTTTTCTAAAAATCAGCAAGACATTCTACCAAGCTGAAGGACGCCGGCTCCTGGAAACCGCTGATGCCGCTACATTCTGTCACGTCAGCTCAGCCCGACTTGCCGAGGAAGAGGAACGCTGCAATGCTACACTCTCCAAATTCTCAGAGCAAAAGGTCAAGGCGGTGATCGACGAAGAATTGATCAGGAAGAACATAACTGACATCATCAATTTAGAAGGTAGCGGCGTAAGGTATATGCTGGATCACAATAGAGTGGACGATCTCAGCAACGTATACGAACTAAATACCCGGATCGATTTGAAAAAGGATGCATTGACACAGGCAGTGCAGAAACGAATAGTGCAACTAGGCGATGAAATTAATGCAGCTGCACAGGCATTCGCCACAGCACCGCCGCCAAAACTAGAAGATCGGGGTGCTGCTGACAATAAGGAGCCAAAGGAAAAGCCCTCAGCGTCACCAGCAAACCAGCAAACAGCTGCTGCGATTAAATGGGTTGATGACATTCTTAACCTGAAGAAGAAATTTGACGCCATTTGGGAACGGGCTTTTTTCTCAGACCAGGGCATGCATACTTCCTTTACCAATAGTTTCTCCGACTTTATAAACTCAAATTCGCGCAGCTCCGAATTTCTATCACTTTTTTTCGATGAGAACCTCAAGAAGGGCATCAAAGGGAAAACAGACGCTGAAGTCGACAGCCTGTTGGACAATGGAATTACGCTTTTGCGGTACATCCGTGACAAGGATCTTTTCGAGACATATTACAAGAAACACCTCTCTCGACGGTTACTCATGAAGAGATCTGCCAGCATGGATGTTGAACGACAAATGATCTCGAAGATGAAGATGGAGGTTGGCAACCAGTTCACGCAGCGTCTCGAATCGATGTTCAAGGATATATCAGTATCAGACGACTTGACAAACAGTTACAAGACGCATATAACTCGTCTAGGCGCTGACTCGAAACGCATAGAACTGGAAATCAGCGTTCTCACAAGCACCATGTGGCCTATGGAAGCCATGTCAAATTCCAAGGACGGCACAGCTCAATTACCCTGCATATTCCCCAGGGAGGTAGAATCGGTTCGACAGAGCTTTGAAAAGTTTTATCTCAACAAACATAGCGGCAGAAAGCTGTCTTGGCAGTCTTCGATGGGTACAGCGGATATACGCGCCACATTCCCGCGGCCAGATGGGAAATTCGCGAGACATGAGCTGAACGTGTCTACTTATGCCATGGTCATTTTACTTCTCTTCAACGATCTCCCGCTCGACGAGTCTCTGACCTATGAGGAAATACAAGCCCGCACTCGTATACCTGACCACGACTTGATTCGCAACCTACAGTCTCTAGCTGTTGCACCCAAGACTCGAGTGCTGAAAAAGGAGCCAATGAGCAAAGACGTGAAACCCACGGACAAATTCTTTTACAACACCGGCTTCAAAAGTCAATTCACAAAGGTCCGCATTGGCGTCGTTAGCAGCAGCGGCAATAAGGTAGAGAGTCAGACCGAACGCAAAGAAACGGAGAAGAAGATGAGCGAAGAGCGCGGTGGTAGCATCGAGGCTGCCGTAGTGCGAATCATGAAGTACATACCCTGCTCCATGCTCTCAACGCATAAATTGTTGCTAATCTTCTTTTTTTTTTAATAGACAACGCAAAAAGCTCGCCCATTCCCAACTCATCACCGAAGTTCTAGGCCAACTAGCCACCCGATTTGTCCCCGATGTCAACATGATCAAGAAGCGCATAGAGAGTCTTATTGACCGCGAGTATCTCGAGCGTATACCCGATTCTGAGCCCCCAGCATACGGTTACGTTGCTTAACAGCTTGTCACCATATAGCTGATTCCCAATTTTAACGGGGCTTAACTAACCTAATGTTCTGCTTTCAACCTCATGTTTACTTTTGGCGTTAATATTTTTGCCTGGCAGGGCGGCGTGGGCGTTGGGGGGTTTCTCATGTATGATGTATACCTACAAGTTTTTCAAGCGAACAGGCCATATCCGGCGCAATTTCTTGGGTCATCGCTCTATTTTTACAGCGGAATGAATTGAAATAGTTGGCTTTTACCATGATTAGAGTCACAAAATTAATACAAAATTTCCTAAAATTCAAACACCCTCGAAATACAATGAAAACAGCTGTAAAAGATGCAGTCATTGAGTTTCCATCTCAATATGTAGTCTAAAATAAAAAACCATAAATAAAACACACCGACGCCACGTATGTCCGACTGATGGTATATGTCGTATCATCATAAAAAAAAGTCCAATATATATATATATATATACCCCCTTAAACAGTAACAGGCTATAAAACCTCTACCTCCCCCCTCTCCCACGCCTTCCTCACACCTTCCCACCTCGCCACCCAAACCTCCCCAATCCTCATCGTCGTGCCATACGTCTCCTCATTGAGCGTATCATCCGCCGGCACCACAACGGTAACCTCATCGACCAACACCCTCACAAACACAACTTCCTTGGTATCTGGGCCCTGTACCATACTCGTCCCGCCGGCGTTATCATCCAGCCGTCTGAGTTGCGGCGGGAAGGAGGCGAGGAAGGACGCGCCGTAATGCGAGGCTAGTAGATACTGATGCGAGTATAGAAAACGAGCTTCGTCGGTGGAAAGCGGCGCCGGATCGGTTGTTGCGGGCGTTGTTGGGTTCGGTATTGTATCTTGCGTGCGGATGTTGCTGTTGTTGCTGTTATTGCTGCTGGTATTGGAGGATTGTGGTTGCGACGGTGTCGACGATGGCTTGGGCGATATCCGCATCAGATAGTACATGGCGAATTTGGTGAGTTTGGCTATTCGTTGGCGCAGGAAAGAGCGGATGAGGAATTGGGTGCGGGAGAGGTCGGTTTGGAGGATGGAGAGTTTGAGGTTGAGGGTTTGGTTTTGGTTTTGTTTCTGCAGTGAGGAGTCGTCGTATGAGGAGGCGGTTAGGTCTTCTATTGTTTCGACCTACAACATTTTAACCTGTCAGCAAGGTAACTTTGCTGATATGTTTCGAGATGAATGTGTGGAAAATATGCGTGCCTGCCTCCTAACCCTCTCCATCATTCTCTCCATTAACGGCCCCGGCCATGGCAGGACTTCTGAAACGGCGCGCTCGGCAATCCATAGACGCGTTAATTGCTGGTGGTCCAGCGCGGTGGATTCGGGGGAAGTGAAGTTGTCGCGGTCGACGGAGGCGAGGATGTCGTCGATGTCCATAGAAGCCATTTCAACAATCTATTAATAGGTTAATTGGGTAGAGGATCATAATATAATTAGTCATGGCAGTCGACGGTAAGTAGTTGGTTGAATTGATACTGCAAGTGTTGGCGTGATAATTATTTACATGCGGGGCGCGTGCAGGACCTGGTGAAGCCTTAATCGTCAGGCTGCCCGCTGTGGAGAGTGGCTCCACTTTATTGCTCTTTTTGGGAAGTTAGGGCTTCGCAGTATTGGTGATTACAGGTTTCATCTGTAGTCGCTTCATCTACTCTAACTTTTTGCTTTTATATTTATTTTAAGTGCAGGAAAATGCAATGATAATGATGTATTTGCTCAAAGGCCTCAGCCTGACACTCCAGTCTCGCTTTATGCAAAGACCTCCAGCACATATCTCTCCTCTCTTTTCAAATGGTATGGTATGTACAGATTTGAGCGCGCGATCCTCAGATGAAAGTGGCAGATAAAAAAGAGCGGACAGGTTGAGGTGAATTAAAAGAATAAAGGGTGAGGTGCGACGCCAAATTAGTAGTATTCTTCGTAAGCAAGAGAGGTAAGAGCTGTGGTGGAGGGTATGTGATGATGCATTTTCTCTGTGTTTTTTTTTGTATCAGCAAGATGAAAAAAATTGTACAGGAATTCAAGGCTGGCATTAAAAGAGTAGGAAAGGAAAATAGGATGCAAGAAGGGGATGGATTGCGCTTCGACGTGAAATGCGGGTCGAAGAGCAATGATTCTCGGATACGGTTTCGTACTCCATTCAGGGGGCCTCTCTGTCGAGTGAAGGTAAGATAGGTCATTCTGAGCGATGATTTGCGACATAGGAAAAGACGGGTGTGTATTGGTGATAAGCGACGAAGTCGACGCACTGTGACTTCGTGGCATTTGGTCATGACAAGGTCACGTTCACATATAGGAAATATCTGTCGGTTCGCAGACAAAAACGTTATATCATAAAAAAGTAATCGGATCGGGTAATAGGTTGAACGAAGAGGAAAAAAAAGAGAACCAAACGGCGCCTTGGGTATCAAGAAAGAAGTTGTAAGAATAGCTGTTGTTTTTCGGTCCAGTCAATGAATCGATGAGTTGCAGAACTGTGGCACGCGAGCTCGATATGCTATCTGAGGCTGTTCTTAGTACCGATACAACGCAATAACGCCGGTAAGGTCCGAAGAGAAAGCCGGAAGATAATCCGGCTTGAAGAAAAAGTGTGAAATCGAGAATTGAAAATCAAAGGCTGAACGAAAGAGAGATAAATCAAGACATGGGAACCGTAGAAAATAGTCCGGATTGTAGTGTTTCGACACATAGGCGTAGCAGCATTAAGGCCATATAGCCACCAAAATTAATTTGACAGCTTAGTTGGGAGTAAGGAGCTTTAGTAGGAAAGCATGCGGCGACCAGACAGACGACTCGAATCGGGAAACTCAAAAGGCGAATCCAAACTACGAACTCGATCATTGGTGTTGCGGCATCGTCCTGTCGGGCTGTCTTCCATCTGAGGAGACTGTTGCCCAAAGGCAAAAGTCTGAGCGCGGACGAATTTTGATCGCTGTTTAACTTTTCCAAGCCCTCGTTCGCATGCAAATTCGTGTTCCTTGGATGTCATTTCGACGTAGTTCTGGGGATAGCAGTGGGCTCGGTGTTCCGCAAAGAAAGCACTATACCCGCCGTCCAGAATGTACATCTCTGGAAAAGTCAGTTTTGGATAATGTTCGATGTTATGAGCTCGGTCCATGTGGCGGATGAAGGATGCCATGATAGGAGCTCGATGAGCGGAGTATTCGCAGTGGAAGATCAGAGTCGTGTTCGGTTTGGGGTCAGTAAAAAGCTGGCTGGCCAAGATCTCCTTATCGGTGTGGTTGATTGCGCCATTAATGTGCCCGCCCTCATATTCATACTCAAATCGACAATCAATAATTACCACACTATCCAGACGGTCTTGGAGCTTTCCGTCAAGGATGTCCACCAAGACTGTCTTATTAATCCGGGGCAAGCTGTCCGGTTTGTCTGCAGGGGTAAAATGGGGAAGCTGGAGCTGATAGGCAGGCTCCTCGTCCATGATGGAGGCCAACGTGGGCTCTGGCACCATTTCGGCTTCTTTTTGACGCACAACGTCCTCTGGGTGCTCAAACATACTCAAAGACCGTCTGCATTGCTTGCGAGGGCGCATGAATGGGTTTCCACTCGAGTTCTTCCGAATTGCACTGGGGACGGGAGACGCCGAGCCACTGCTACGACCAGGAAAGGGCTGTCTCAGGCGGGGACCAAGCATGCTTGCGGAGGAGTTCTTTCCCATCACTCGTTCCTGCGGTGGTGATTCATTGAACATGTCCCCCAAAGACATCGAGTTCGACAAACCACTGCTACCATTTCCGAATTTGAACGGAGGAGGCTGGCTTTCGGGGGTGACGCGAGGTACACCCAGCTGAGCGGAGTGAGCCTTGGAGCGGACCAGAGACGGACGCAGGAGGTGTGGTCGTCTGTTGCGGCTATTGGGACAAGTTAGTTGGGCAACATCCGCATAGCAGATAATGGTCTTACTCTAGTGTTGGAGCAGGTGGTGCATCTTCCATAGGAGACGCTTCCAATGGACTGCGACTAGGCATGGGTACGTCCAAGGACTCTGGTGTTGGTGACTGCAACGAGACTTCTGTTGTGATTGTGTAAGGAAGCTTGTGTGGAAGGGGAGACATCTCCATCATGTCAGCAGCTGGTGAAGAAGCCGGCAACGGTGGTGTGGTCATCAATTCCTCTGTTACTAGTTTAGCATCCAGGTCCACGAACAGATTGCTGATGATCAGCCCTACCACGTCTTCCATCTCCAAACACGTTTGCCGAAAACAGAGAACGACGAGGAGTCGCCAATTGTGGACTGATTGTGCGGGTCTTGTCAGTATTCAAAACGTCAATCCATCACGCATGGTAGCTCACCTCTGGTCAATGTGGAAGTTCTGGGACAGGTCTGCCGCAAGGCTAGCGGCGGGTGACGAGCCGGAGATTTGCTTCACGGTGAAATAGTCCGTAGTCGACTTCTTCATGGACAAGTCTTTGAAGTTGAAGCTATTAGGACCAAACCCGGCCATGCTTCCAAAGGGACGAAACTGCGGAGCATCAGAACCAAAGCAATGGCCAAACATGACGGATGGCGGCTGCATGGCAGCTAGAGGCGATGAATGCTCCATGATGTATGCGTATCCCGTCTCAAATCGTAGGGCGAAGAACAACCAATTGGCATCCCCGTGTACTTTTTATGCAGAAATAAATTCCCAATCCGATGTTAAACGAAGGTATCGTAGTGAAAGGTCCAAATGTAGCCCAGAGAAAATACCCCAGATGCTCTTTCTCCTCCAATTGCAATATCCACTCTCCCCAATGCTTCTAATCCTGGCTGAACCAATGGCGTTATTCACACAGGCGACCAGAAACCGAAAGCGTGGGCGAGTTCAAAACGACATTGTTATCAGGCAAGACGAATTGATCGGATGGCAGACGGGATTGATCGCAAGTTGTTATCGTGGGGATCATTCACGGCAGAGCTGCACTGAGGGGAGCAGGCAGGTCGTCGACGGGTGGGGAGACCGTCGACAGTGAGGATAGCAAGGTCAATGGTCTGGGAGGAAGAAGAGAGACCTAGAGAGCGACCTAGAGGAGACGGAGGAGGAGGATGGAAGAGAGGGCTGGTTGCCGCGGGCGAGAGACACCGTGATGGATGAGGAGGAGAAAGGAAGAGAGAGAAAGGCCCGAGAATGAGGTTGAAAAGGCGAGTGAAGCTGGAGCACTGTTGCAATGGGCAACGGGCAGGGTGGGGATGGGATCTCCAAGCAGGCTCGCCTGTGATGGACGATGAGGCTTTCCCTCAGCTGGCGGGTCCACTGCCTACGCTATCTTACGGCGCTTACGGTAATCTCCGTCTTCTTGGGTACAGTATCCGTATTTTATGATGCGTATTTTACTCCGTACAATTATTCCCTATTCCCACGGAGGATTCTCGCACGGGGGCCTGCAGCAAGCTCACACGTTCTGTCTGCAGTCGTCATCCTCGCCCAGCAAGGAACTGGCCCATGCTGCAAGGCTGTCGCTCTCCCTCTGTGTCCTGTCCCTTGCGGCGACAGCCCGTCAACGACAGTCTTGGCGAGTATCTTGATTCTACTAGAAAATCATTATTGTTAAATATTAATAGTAATAGTTAGCATGTATCTCTCTCATACGGAACCTGCCGTACTACGCAGCTGTACAAAGCAAGTTCCGTATTATGAGGCCCTATCACAGGCATCGTTCGCTGGCCCGCCCAAGATCTCCAGGGCGACGCTTCGTATCTGACACGCTGTACAACCAGCCTACCCGCTAGCAATTACGATTAAATGCGTCTTCCTTTATTCTTTTCAATACGTCTTGCGATATAAATATTATATAAATATAATGAAACCGATGAATTAAAAATAGCCAATAAAATCATGCAATATTCAAACTATGCAGGCAAGTCAATCACCCTGGTCCCACGCATCCTACTGCAGGGTGAGGCAGCTAATTAGTCACTGTGTATGGTCAACCCGGCAACCTGCAATGCAAAGCTACTATTGCTTAGTACTATATATTATAGCTAATAGTGAATAGCCAAGTAACTGAACAATAGGATTACTATTGTCCAGACCTGATCGGCAATATTACTATTACTATTAGCATTTGAGAACAAGATTCTAGTATTCTGCATCGTAACCTCACCAGGAAATTCACTGCTAATGGGTAGACAGCAATATGTACATTCGTCTGGATTGTGGATGAACGCCGGAATGCGGATCTAGATTCTTACCGATCCACACGAAAAAGAACAAAACGATTGCCAATTATAATTTCGGTATTGAAATCTGCACTCTGTAGAATCCGTAACAGCCGGTTCTTACTTTTTATTATTCTCGCGGCGCTTAAAGCGAGCACGATCCCTGTTCCTTGCGGTAACTGGCCGGCTTGCAACACGGTATCAGAAACGGGCCCGACAAGGTTGTACTTTGGCAATTGCTTTCTTTATGCTCTTCTAGTCAATTGCCGTTGGATTTCTTTCTGACGTTCAGTTTGATCGACATCAAAGTCGATTCATATCAAAGGAATTATATAAATGAATGGCGAAAATTAGAAGATTGGCATTCTTTCTCCCGTCGGGCTGTTCCCGGTCATCTACCCAGGCCAATAGTGATTGGTGTTATTCCGCGTATTTGAGTTATTCTGGGACCACGTAGTAAAATTGTAAAATATCATGGAAAAGGTTCCTGGGCCAAACCGAAAAAGAAAAAGAACGAGTTTGCAATGCAGATCGCTGCCACCTTGGGAAACTGGCTCGGCAGAAAATGAAATCCTCAGGCGCGATTAGGATTTTCATTCCGCTGTTATTTATGCAGACGAATGGTTTTATTCTCAGATCCTTATGAATATCAACTAACAGCTACTCCTAAGTATAATACTATACCACCAGCATGAGGAATTGAGGATCGATAGCATGTGTGTAATCAATGACCCATCATAAACAACGTATGCTTATGACACAGACGGAAAAATCTGCCGGTCCACCTCATAAGGCTTATTCGACTCGTTCTTCACTGCTCCGTACTCTAAAGTTTCCGATTTCGCATGTCGCGTCCCCACAGCAGTGGCACAGCTGTTCCTGAGCCTCGGGATGGCCGCTGGCTTTGCACTTGTGGCGTCAATGTGAGAGAATGGCAACTAGCATGATAGTATTCATCGCTTTAATCTACAACAAATTGTATGCTCTGTACTACCTGGCTCTGACTCTTGTGCGATGCCAGGCCTGCTAAATTCTGACCGAGTGCCGCCGGCACCTCAGCTGCGCCAGCACGATAACAAAAGTCTAATCACACAAACTCAGCCCGAAACACCCGTTGGTTTGAGAACTCTCAGCTACGAAACGAACGATGAGTGGCCTGGAGGGTGGCCCCGCTGAAGGTCGTCTGGACTCGGCCTCCGATCAGTAGGTATGATAATTATGATCACTACTGGGACAAACATTGCAGTAGAATGCCGATCTGCATGTGCTTTGCGCAAGACAGGCTGGACTGATCATTTGTTTCACCACTTCTCCGGACACAACTAACTCTTGCATGGGCGATGCGGTCAGCACGCGTTTCTCTGGCGATATGCGAGAAGAACAAGCATCTGCCATGCAGTGTTATTACTCTCCTTGTAACTGGATTTGTTCGTCATCCATGTAGCGGGTAATACCACCCGATCTCGAAATCCGATTTGATCCATCACTTGCGCGTAACGCCGCAACTGAGCCATCATGGGAGCCACTGAGCGAGCCTTATGGGCGGGGGCATGAGCGCGAGTGGGGGGACTGGAGAAGGCTGTGTGATTTTTCGCGGCCATGTGTTTGGGGAGCGTAGAGCGCAGACTAGGAGTTCTAGTTCCTAGCCATGCTGAGTGAGATCATCCACGCGAAGCTGCAGGTGACCCAAGCGAGGGCAATCAGGGCGGGCAGCGGCTCATCGCTGTTGCTCGGTTTCGCAGGACAGAGGATGCTAGTGAGGGGCGCGGGTGGCTAGCTGATGCTGATTTGGTGGGCTTCGTCTGAGGGCGGCATCTGGTGGGCTGGAAAAGAAGAGATGATACAACGCTGCACGCAGAGGACCCGCGTTGCCGCCCGCCGTAAACAAAGCTGCGACGCGAGTGTGATGCGCTGTCTCGTGATGCCGCCAGTCTAATTGGCTGCCGCGCCCCGCCACGGCTGGCCTGGCTGCCTTGGCGCCTTAGTCCTCCGTCTTAAGCCTGAATTTATCGGCAGCATTACTCCATCCTATCACTCTCTGCAGTAAGCAATGAGGGGTATTCATTGTCTCTATCTTTTAAATCACTAAGAATAGGGCTAGAGGCTGCAGTCAGCCAATTGACGTCAGCCGCCATGCATCTGCTGCGATACATCACACTCGCACTGCATTAGTGACTCGGCTATCCTCCCCCATCTAAAACAGCAAAACCAAAACAACGCGTTCAATACCATTGTCCCGTCCACATATTCAGTCTGATTTTACACTAAAACCCCTGCACTACATGACTTAACATGTATATTAACAATCATGATTGTTTGAGGTTGAATCCGATGTGGGTGACCTGCCTAGCCTCGCACAGGCCGGCTTCGGCGCGTCAGATTGCATCATGGGACACCTTTAGCCTTTGGGTCTGTGTATCGCAAAACAAGTTCTCCCCCGAATGCTATTAGTAGTAGTACTGCTCCTGATAGGCTAGCACCAAAGTCACGACGATCAGCTTGCCCAGACCGCGTCGATTGACTCGATTCTAAGCGCTCGTAATCTGCTAGTAACGCGCCGTTCACCAGCGCCAGCCAGTCACCCGTCGAACAGCGCCCAGTATTCAATCATCGCGATTCAGTCGCAATCAATCTGCGAAGAAAAGCCTCTTGGTTGGTCGAGTGGGTTGATGATATGCATGTCTGGTTCCTGCTCCTAAAAGTAACAGTTTGGGGTGATGTAATTGGCGAGTTTTGCGTGCCGATGATGTCAAGATCCGGGCGGAATGGCTCTACCATCGACATTATCGTTAGAACTTGGCATCTTGAATTGCTACAATGAAGGCGACGTTGATGTAAAGTAGACTGTATTTACGATTAGGGATTGGCTATTGTCTTAAAGCCAATTCTTGTATTTTGTAGTATGTGTGTTGTGAATGTGGTGATGCTCTTCAGATCATCCAGTGTTTCCACATTTCTATTTCAAATCTAATTCGATAGACAGGAATGCTCGGTAGGCAATTAGGTAACTGATTGGCAACCTACAATCTTAACAACGTCATACTCAATATAATTCGCGCGTGTCATGCTCGACTATGCATGGCTGTACTTGAATCATGAATGTCGTGACACGGGCAACCCTAAATACCCACGTTGCTTCTGTCAACGAGGCACGTCACGTTATGTATTGACATCAACTGTAGAGTAGATTTTGTCAATAATTATTCAAATATAGTTAGTTTATGTCGATTAGTTAAGGAAACTGACTCTTTATTGCCTTTTCCTAGATTATATGAACATTGAAATTCTAGTGATATCAATTCTCTTACTACCTTCCAAGTGCCCGCTTAAATATATACATATATATACCAACTTCTCACTGTTCAAGTATATGTATTTCACAACGATAAAAATATCAAAATTAAAACCAGTTAAATATAATACGTGTATCTCAAAATCTATTGCACTGAATGGCTATATAAGACTTCACCTTTACATGTAAATTAATGAATTATGAAGTGGTTACTCTACCCCTGCAGATTGCATGGCAACTGCAGGTACATGTATACATGCATCCTCGCATGTTAAGAATTGACTTTTCAATAGTGAATTCCAAGTGGAGCGATCCGAATAACATTTATTAAATAAACCCACTCACTGGAATGTGGACACCACATGAGTCAGCTATTAACTTATATAGAACTATAGACTGCATGTATTTACTGAATGGATGCGCAGCCAAAGTTACACAGTGCATATACATATACTTGATCGTATTTTTTTGTCCACATGTGCAAATTTCCAATATAATTTTTTCTTTAAATGTATGATTCGCCTTTAGTAATAATATACAATGATGATATGGAATCTGTACCAAGCAAGCCTAATACTGCACACAAAGCCAACATTTACTACCACACATTACAACCGTCTAATAATAGATCAACAACCATCGTTTAATTTGGAATACCCAGATCAGCATCTAAAACAGCAATACTCCATGTGACCAAACCATAACCACATTCACCATCAGACCCAATCTGTACATACCGCAGAAAAACTTGAATACATCGCAACAAGATACCCGGCGCGGCCCATTACCGTCACGATCAACCCGCATTCTTGGAACCACCAAGATCCACAACCAATCAATCCTTAATTCCCCGAAAGGGAGAGATTCTTTTAAATATATCCCCGCTGTGAACATGAAGAAAAGATCGTCGATTTCTTGGCGTAGCGTCCGTTTAGGAAGTCCGGGTGATCTAGCAAGGGATAAATTATCCCCACGAGTAAGGGGCCGGTTACCCTTTCATTTGATTTGAGAGGGGATGGGATTCAAGGAGGTCAATTATTTCTTTATTCCTTGATTTTTTAAATATATATTAGTTAAGTAATGTGCCGGTCCAAAGTTGAAAGGCTATTCTTGTTTTATCGTCGATAGATTCGCCCTGGTGGTGTATTGTCCTTGCTGCCTGGGGGTGGTCAATAAATCGGATTGATAGTTGTAGATCTAATAGATCGGATCTCATCTCACCTGACGTAATTTAGTAATTCCGTGTAGACCTGTCTTTTACTTTAAACATCCCATTTTAATTGCTCGATAGAATTCGGCTGGAGACGGTCGTCGGTACTAGTGCTGATAGAAGAAATAGTACGAGCAGCACCTGCAACCACCATCTCCGCATTATAATCACCCAACTAGGCGAATGGCACTTACTCTCTGTCTACTGCCGAAACGAGGGGCCACCCCCTTCCCTCGCAGACCCCGATGTATGTATGCACGTACCTGAATTATGGGGGTCAAAGCTATAAGAATGACATGCATACGCCCATAAATACATACATACATAATGCGGAGCCGTTTACACTATTCCGTTTGAAGCTGCAGGGGCGGTCCTCGGTAGTTCCAAGTGCCAATAGGCAGAGGTAATGGAGTCTTGTTGAGGGGTGCACGGTAAATACAAGCTGTGTTTTACGATTACGATGTGGGAAATACCGTGACGAGGGAGAAGGGGGTGCTGAGTTAGACGAGGTGTGGATCATAAGGAGAGGTAGTGTATGCTTTATATATTTAGGTTTTATGTAACGTTCTACTGAGCTAGTGACACGTAGGCTGTGAAGGGTTGGTCTGAAAATTGAACAGGATGATCTAGTTATTTTGGAGGACTAGAAAGGGAACTGGTTGACAAATTGATGGCATGAAGATATCATATACGAAGAATTAGACTCATTCTTAATAGCAAGTGATGGTTCTTTGGAGAAAGAGATTGACAATGCTTAGCTACGGAGTAAATCTATTGTTTTTGTAGAACCAAAGCTCGTTAATTGCACATTATTGATAGTTCCATGTGGAATCTGCATTGTGGTTGAAATTGCATGCGTGGCTATGGTGGGCAAGCCGTTTTCTATATTCCTTGTTTGGTATTATGAGAGCAACGAAGCCAAAGGAATATAGTAATTGTAGAGAGCAGTAAATAATCATACTAAAGTCTGACTTAGGAGCATACTAATATACTTGTTTGAATAATATTTTTATATAATTTAGTGAAGGTAGCAAAAATGGCTGGATGATAGCGAGGTTATTGACCATATACAGATGATCAGGCATGTATTCACAGTTATCGGCACCTCTTACTATGGTATGGGGAAACCTTGGAACTTCACAAAGGTCAAGGCTCTTCAGTAGAAATCATTTGAGATATCAATGGATGCATTGCCATAGTCTCAGTCCTACACAAATTCTTACTGTATCTATATACCTATACTATATACGAGTTCTTACTGAGCTGATTCGAGAAATATAAAAATGGACTTTTAGTCCTTATATCGATGCTGATACTCTTACAATCCGAATAGTTCAAGTGGCAATCTAACTATATTGATATACTATTACATGTAGGTCCAATTTCAAAAGTGGAGTTATCATTGCATAGTAAAGTAATGCTAAAGGTAAATAGAGAGCTCGCTTGATTATCGAAAGGCCCTCACACGGACATAGTTTAAACACGATCAAGGAAGAACTGGACAAGTATATTAATTTTCCGGGAACATGTATCAGAATCTCGGAAATTTCAAGTTATCACTCCAATATAGTCTACGATATTCCAGTATCTTGCCTACCAATAGCTTGGTTAATGTGTACCATTGATGTTGAGCCCAATATTCTGCCGGAAAAGTGTCCGAAAAGCCAGTATGATGAATAGGTTTACTTTGCTAGGAAACAGATTAAGGATAGGGTTTCTGTTACACTAGAAACGAGGAACCTCATCTGTGAAGCTTAGTGGGACATAGGTTGACTCAATATCCCATTTATTGCCATAGCATCTGACTTCGATAAGACTATCAAGGCAGCTCTCCGCAACGAACGCTCCAATGTATCTAAGCACACAAGTTATCTAAATATCTGCTAGCTTTTCTTTTCCTTTAAGAGAAAGCTTCTCCTCGGTATGTTCATGACTCTTTTTCTGTGTTATCTCGTCATCTGCTGTTGATCCATCACTTGAATTCGCACCCACTTCTTTGTAATTATATTTAGAAGCCAACTCTGATGCTTCCTCATATCGCCCTTGTTTGCGTTGTATGTTAATAAGAAAAGTGACCAAATACTGTACGATTTCATGGTTTGCGCCAGCGCCAGCGCCTCCTTCAATTATCTTCTGCAAGAGGGGCGTAAATTGCTCCTCTGCTTCTTTTAACTTCCCTTGGTCATGGAACGTAATTCCCAGATTGAACATGCTCTCCCAAGTTTGTAGATTATTGAGGTTTAGAGCTTCTTTATCTGAAGGTACTATCGTCCCGAATAGCTTCTCTGCTTTTTCAAAGTGTCCCTGTTCCTGGTACATCCACCCCAGTTGATTCATGAGCGAAAGTTTTACCTGATTTTCTGGGTTGATGGCGTTTTTGCTTTCTTCTATTGCCTGTACACACGAATCTTCTGCCTCCTTGAACCGCTTCTGGTTATAGATCACCCTTGACAGCTCTGTGACTCTAGATAGTGTATCTGGATCCCCGGGGCCGAAATGTTTTCGACTGTCTTCTACCAACTGTATTAGTAATGACTCTTCCTTCTCCTGTTGCTGTAGGCATCCGTACGTGTGGGCAAGAAGAGCCTTGCTGGACACTGTGTCGCGATGCTGATCGCCTTTGAGGTTTCTTGTGACTTCCACAACCAACAAGTGGTGAGCTTCTGCTTCTTCATATTCTTCATGTTCATGATAGAACTCTGCCAGAGACTTCATTGTGGAGAGAGTATCTGGATGTTCCTCTCCGTTTGCTTTCCTTGTATTCTCATATACTTGTATACGGAGTGCCTTTTCTTTTTCGCAAAACCCGTGATCGTGCCATTGCGTAGCTATAGAGCCTGTGAGAGACAGTGTATTCGGATGATGATCGCCCATAGTTTTCCTCGACTTTGTATGCGTCTTCAGATCGCCCAGTTTCATGATACTTTCCTGCCAACATGCGCATTTCTGATAGTGTGCTAGGATGGTCATAACCCATAGATTTCCTGTATTTCTCCACCAGTTCCTCTTGAATTCGAACTGCCTCGTCAATTTTTCCTTGAGCCGTGAAACTCCTCACCAGTAATCGCATTGCAATAAGTGTGAAAGGGTCATCCTCCATACTATCTTTTCGCATTTCTAAGAGCAGCGAACTTGCTGTTTCAAATCGTAGCTGGTCAAAGTAAACGAAGGCCAAGCGCATCTTCGAACTCAAAGTGACGACGTGCTCTTTGCCGAGCACAGCCGTTGCCGTTTGCATGAGGTCCATAAAATACTCTTCCGCTCTTTCCAATTGACCTTGGTAGAAGATTGACCATCCAAGTGCAGCTTTGAAATACAATGTTTCATGGTCTTCCTCGCCATACATCCTTGAGGATTCCTGAACCACACACTTGTACTCTTCTTCGGCCTCTTTCCATCGATTTTGCCTGCAGAACTTTCCTGCCAGTGTTATCATTGACTCTAGCCTTTCTCTGTCGTTTAAGCTTCCTTGATGCGGTAAAATCTGATCCGCCTGTGCTATCGCTTTCTGCCATTCATCTGCCTCTTGTACTCGTCCCTGCTTCCGGAGTTGTGAGGCTAGATGCGCCATACTCGCCAGTGTGTTATTATCCATGCCCATCGTTCTCGATCTTGTCTCAACTACTTCCTTCTGTAGTTTTTCTGCCTCTTCCACCTTCTCTTGATGCCAATAAATACCTGCAAGTGCTTCTTTATCGTCCACAGCGGAGTTTTCTCTTTCACCTGAGATTCCTTTTTGTACCTCAAGTATTTCCAGTAGTACCCTCTCAGCCTCATCCCATTCCTGTTGGTTCTGGAGTACTCTTGATAGTCTTCTCTTACTCTCCAACGTGTCTGAATGCCCTGGGCCAAGGGTTTGCTCTTTTATTATTATGATACTTGAGAAATGCTGCTTAGTCCGGTTCCAGTGTGTCTGTGCGGCGCAGGCAGCTGCTTGCAACTCCAACGCCTCTAACGTTTCCATTGCTGTCGTGCCGAGAACTTTCGATGATATCTGTACGACCTTTTGGGATAGATCGTATGCCTCGCTAAATTGCCTTGCACAATATATACTTCCTGCTAAACTAGCTATACTGATAATAGTCAAATAACTCTCTTCACCTAGTATGCGCGTTCTAATCTTCACCACTTGTCTCAAGCATTCTTGTGCCTCTGCGTGCCGACCATCGTCGCTCAATCGTATGCCGTAATAGTTGAGCAAAGTTAACTTTGTTTTGTCTTCTGGATTTTGGTGAAGACGAAGCGCATGGCCGATATGGGGAAGATAAATCCTCCACTGCGCTCTGTTCTCATAATCAACAGAAATAAGCACACGAAGCAGTTCTCCAACTACCTGCTGTATACGTGTATCGTAGCTCTTATTCTTATTCAGCCAATTCCGCATGGTTAAGTGGACGAGTCGATGCATATCAATGATCTCGTTTGTGCGCTTACTGATGAAAGAGTAGTTGTGAAGACATGCGATAGCTTCGAGATGCTTCATTTTTGTTGGTGCAGGGGGGAGAAGTGAAAGAGGTATATTCTTTGGCTCAAAGAAGCACATATGAGCTAGATAGTCGGCTGCTAGTGGCTTTTGTTCGCGGATTTGCTCAAAGGAAACCAACCATGTAGTAACAATCGGGTTCTTTTGATGAGCATATCTTGCATCATCATTAAAGTCCCTGCTCAGTAATTCGACTTGATCTTCTCCAGTCATTTCTAGGATGGAAAGGTATTGGGATATATCCACTGAATGATGATTCATGTTAATATATGCTGCTGCTTGAGCGATCGCTAAAGGAAGAAAGCATAATTGTTCTAGTAAACGAGAGGCGCTCTCATGATCATCGAGGAAATGATCCTGATTGAGAACTTTTCGCAACATCTTTGTTGCAGTTTCCTCGTTCATTTGTGTGACTTCAATAGTGTTATTGCGAGCAAAGTCGATCGCCACCTGTTCATTCCGAGTGGTCAAGACGGCACAGTTGTTGCTGCTGCGAGGTACGTAATGTCGAAGCGAGGATCCCTCAGATCTGTTGCACCAAAGATCAGGATCATCAGCATTATCAAAAATCATTAGACACTGGCCCGATTCTTCACTACTGAAGTGCTCCTTCACAGCAAGCATCTCAGTTGTTTCGTCAGTCCCAGTTGACGTCAACGATAACTCCTGAAATATTTTTTTGTACGCTTGTGCAAAGCTTTCCTTACTCGCCGAAGGAATCCAAAAGATAGAGCAATCAGGATACTGGTCCCTAGTACGGTAAGCAAGTTCGAGTACGATTTGAGTCTTCCCAATCCCACCGAGACCGTAGAGGGCAAGCTTGGAGATGTGGAAAAGTTGCGGCTCGAGCCGTGAAAATTGGTCATCGCGACCTACGAAGTTTTCATTTCGGTCGAATGGAACTTGCCAATGAGTCCTACCGGTATCTTACGCAATGTCAGTCACGATACGTAATAAAGCTTGAATTCTATATTCGATTCGATTCGATGAAATAAAATGTTCGATCATGCTCATGCGAGGTATTAGGAGAGAACATGGCCTACTTACGAGATGATTTTAGCACAGCCACGTCTTGTTTATCTATGAAATCGAGAAGAAGCCTTCTTGCAACTGCTGCCGCTGTTGCTGCCGCGTATCTCTGCCATCGGTCATTCTTGTGAGAATCTGCATAATCACAGATACCTCTAATCACAAGACATGGAAATATGTCCATTAGCCCAGCCGCTTCCATCTCAAAGCATAGTATTCCTTCTTCTTTGGCAATGGCATCTCGAGTGACTCCATGTTTCATGACCCGATTTCCGGAAGCAATGTTACCATAGTGAATTTTGGGTGCGGTATCATTGCGGCTTGGTCGTGTCTTAAGCTTTGTTGGGTCACACTCTTCACATGTATCACCGGCTTCATTGTGGTCATAATCAGCCTCGAATAACTGATCGTTATGTAGACCTGGGTGTCGAAAACTTTCACCCATCCGTGGCTTCGTTGTTACCATTAAATCGAGACATTCTTGGAGGTCTACCCGATCCGTTTTATCTTGTTCTTCCAGTGCTTTCAATGCTTGGAGCAAATTCGATGGTGGCTTATCCAAACAGCCAGTCCGAATAAATTGTCCACCCTGTTTAGTCTTGCCCTTATCCCACTGCACTACACCACCATGTTTTCCGTCAGGCTGACTGACCACAACATCCCCAAGTCGAATATCATGTTCCTCGCTCCAGACACCCCCACCAATTCCAATCATGAGTCCTATTCGCATCTCCGGGAAACTTCGTCGCATGTTGTTCGCAGTAATGGCGGCAGGAACATTACCCGTAATACCTGCTGGAAGCTGGCCTAAAACGACCTTGTGATTACCGATGCGACCGAAGGTATAATCATTATAGTCGCCATATAGCTTTTTTAATGGTGTATATTCCTCATCCAACATTGCAACAATAGCGGCGCTTTCTATAGATAATGCGCAGATAATGCCGACATCGTAGTCTCGACGCCGGGGCTTTCGGGCCATCACGCCGGCCTCGCGCAAGGCTGCCAAAACAAATAATTAAATTTGCGATGAAGTAGAACGTAGAAGTGATATAATCCACATCAAAAATTTTGAACGATGACCATTACAACATTTCAAGCTGTCATAGCCATTTTTTTCCTCTCAGGATAATTGCGACATCGTTCTTAAACCGCCATGAGATGGACTTGCACTGCCTGAACTGGGAGGAGAGAGCCTCGTTAAACTATCAATTAGCTAATCAGTACATTGCCCAATTTTTCAAGATACCTCACCGCAAGATAATGCGATGAAAATAATTGGACACCATTTAAGCCGTGTCACATCACCGTACCCTAGCTTCCTGATGATAGGCTCATGTTCTCCCTATCCGATGCGGCTGCAGGGGTGCAGTCTGCCTTGTCTGCTGCGCCGCATCATTAAAGATACCCTATGAAATGAAAGGGAGGTTGAAGATAAAATTTCGACAGTTTTTTGAGTCAGATAACCATGAAAATATGTCTAGGATCATATACTGTTTAGTTTCTCTCTAACGCTATTATGTCTTCTTCAGAGATCGAATGTGAGGTTTAGGAGGAAAAAGAAGAGGGAAGAAAAAGAAACGAGGGCTCAGCCCCCCTAGTCACAGCCAATCTAGCTATGACATAAAATGCTGCTAGCCCCTCTGTTTAGTGATTGGCATTTTCTAAGAAATTTGAAGTAAATGATGTACACATATGCCGGTTCGATAATATGCAAATTTACTAGAGAAATTCATATACTTGTGAAGAATAACTAATGGGTTTATTTAGATTCTTATAGTCAAGTTCGAAATTCAACACTGCGTGCCAATAAGTCTTAATTGAGTTTAATATTATCAGATCTTTTTGCAGTATATGCATGAAAAAGTCATCGATATAGCTTAATCTTATCAATTCATGTTACTAGCTGATCCAAAACACTTAATTTTGTATTAAATACAATGTTGAGGGAGTCTCGCCTCGGTTTGCACAGGATTTGCTTCAGATTCAGTCCTATTTTTAGCATAAGCCATCAGATATGACAGCTTGCTTACTTAAGAGGCTCGTCCTCAAAAAATACAAAGCATCTCAACTCCAAACTCTCACGAACCTCCTTTACATGCTCTGTTCTCGGATCTACAAAAGCCGCATGTAGAGCCCTGCACGCGGTGTTGCTGTCATATTTCGTATCAAAACACTTGATCAACATTACTTCGTCGGGTTCCATATCTGACATATAGTACCACTTGTGCGCCGGAGAGTACTTGCCATACAATGCCCCAAATCCCGCCCCTTTTGTTATTGCATCATGGTCCTTCTCCTCCGGCCCCGGCATCATTGCATGTATCTCAATCAAATCGTCCGTGTTAATGGAACGAGCATCACAGACGGCTAATGGATCTCTTGGGACTCTTTTGAGTGGTCTCCAGACATTAATAATTGCCCAACGGGTTTTCGCCAGACGAGCTACTTCTTCGGGGTCAATTTTGTCATTAAGAACGGCGTGTGCACCGGCCTCAGACTGGTCGACATGAACACCACGGGCAGGAACGAAGACATGGGTCTCTTTTTCGTTCGGTTCTGTGGATGCAGCCATTTCTTGCACAGTTTCGTACGGTTCGTTACGCAGCATGTGCGAGAAGACGACGGCGTGGGTAGCTCCGGTTCTGCAAACAATAAATATCTGCACCACACGATCTGTTCATGATGTCTAAAATGTAAGTAACATACACCTGTTTCAACATCTCAACAGCCTCCGGGTACATCTTTTCCTTAATAGTGGTCTGATCAACCGAGCTGCTGACGAAGGAACTGGGGTGTTGCATCACTTGGAATCCGTGGACATCAAGATTGAAATCCGAGAGGTGACCCCGTATATCCTGGATCGTCATATCTTTGTGATCGAGAGGTTCTCGATAAGCACCAACCGTGCCAACAACGATCTCCCTTTTGACATCACTCGGAAAGTAGCTGAGAGTAGTTTGGATAACTTGAGTGGTAGCCATATTGCGCGCGTCTTCGGTGCAATCTTTAATGGAATAGTTCAATGTTTGAAGCTGATTCTCTTGTTTCTTCTTCTGTGCAAGATGTGCTGATGAGCTTCAATTTCCTGGATTAACTTATTCAAATTGTACGATGGTTACACTTATTTAGCCGTGTTTTCAACCCTGAAAATACCCAAACGTTACCTGTCATTCCTTGGCGGGCGCATGATCATGACTTTCTGAGACATGCATGCGCAATGGAATGTGGTATCACTAAACGTGATGTAATTTATTAATGTCACAATCGATTAATGTGAGGAAATGGACATGTCCCATAAATTTAGTGAAATGGAATGTGGTATCACTAAATGTGACGTAATTTATTAATGTCACAATCGATTAATGTGAGGAAATGGACCTGTCCCATAAATTTGGTCAAGTAGACATAGGACTGGTTTTTCCTGAATTCAACACCAAACATAGAGTGATATTAATCTCTGTAAATGAGCACTGCAATCTTCGATATCTGCCTAGACCAATTAGAAGAGATATTTTTTGTACCTTTATAAGTATACTAAGGAGCATGTGTCACTTATTCTCGGTCCTTGGCATATTCCGAGTCGCCGAGCTATACCTAGAAGATATATGACTGTACAAGGGGTTAAATGTAGAAGTATACATCCAATGTGCTAACTCAATTGGCATGTTATTAGAATCATATTTTAAATTAAGAAAAGATAAAGCTCTTCTCATTAATTATCTCCTTTCTTATCAAGTTTAATGATCTTCTACAAGCCAAACCACAGAATAACAGACCTTATTAGCTTCAGTCAGAAATACTTTAGAATAACTATAGATACTATTTTCTATATATTCTACCCAGATATCAAATTCATACATATTCTGAACCGTAAAACGTATTGGATTAAGAATCTTAGATTCCTTTCAGTTATTAGCGAAGAATCTTATCTGCTTCTGTTGGAATTATTAAAGAACACATTTAGAACATTATAGTCTATTGAAACTTATTTGAATGTTCCAATTCCCTAATTAACTGTTATTCCTACTTAGGAACATCACTTGCTGGATTTTTGCTATACTAAACGAATGTTCTTATATAAATATACTAATCCGGTATGAGATGCGGAACCAACGTAAAGCAGCTAATAACGCCTTAGCCTAGGTACTCCGGGGTACACAGCTTTGGCCTGCTAGAGACACCTTTCTCGTCGTCCGCCCCGTGCTACCTTCCATTTACGAAGACTTGACATTCACCCACTCTAGAGTATCGTTGGTGGCGCTGGCTGCTGCCTGATTTGGTACTATACCATACACCCCATAGCGATCTGAACTGGATGAATGGCAATCTCCATCGCTCCAGGAGTCGTATGCATCGCCTAAGTTTCCACAGTCGGGACCAGAGAATGCATAGACAGTCCTGCGAGGTAAAGAGTTAGAGAGCTGTTTAACTTAAAAGGCTTCTAGGTTCTTATACCAGCCAGACCCGCCGTAGAGTTCTGCAGAGCCCCATGTCTGACCCGAGGTTCCGTGACAGCAGATTTTGGAGGAACCCGAATAAGTACAAGTTGACGAAGGACTGAGCGGGTTACATCTAGTTATGTCAGTGCGATACATAAGGTAGACAATCGACGTCAAAAATTTAGGAAAGAAACTTACCCTGGTCCAGAGAAGACAGTGAATGACCAGCCATGGGCAATTGCTACCATAGAAAGTAGCGTACTAGCTGCACTAAGAAGCATGATTTCGGAGAAGTTGGAAAATTTCTTCAGAGAGCAAGTAGATTGATATGTGAGCAAGCGGAGGAGTGCAAGTATAGCAGAACAAGCAGAGCAGAACAAGCTATTTATGCTGAAAGCTGGCCTACGAAGGCCGCCTGACATCATGTTTTTGCATCATGAAGCAATAAATGAAACTCATATCCCCTAAGAATGGGGGCTGCTATAACTAAGAATCAAGGAATAATAATTAAGGAGTAAGAACTAAGGAATAAGAACCAAGGAATGATTATCAAGGAATAAGAGCAACATGTAAGTGACTGTTGGCTGAAGAGAGCTTATAATATATTGGATAAGCATTCTGCGTACCATTGTATCGCATAAAAAATGGTTATTTTTATCATCTCTACTATGCAATGTAATCCACAGTTTGCGTATTGAATAGGAGGTGGTTATTTTCAATACCAAATATCTTAACAAAATTATTTATAAATTATAGCGACAGACAAGTTAACTGTTAATTGTATGTCTGTACTTTGTTCTCCCGGCCAGACTATTGAATAATCTTAAGCATACGTGGTATGCTCGAGGAAGATCATGCAAAGGTAGCTTGACTGGCACCTTAGATATTGAGCCGGATCCACAGTGGGGACCGACGATCACCGTTATACTAGAGGGCTAGCGCCAAAATTAATGGATGATCATGGCAAGGAGTGCTACTGGACGTCATGATACTCCTCGGCTTTTAAGGTCACTTCTCTCGTAGGCATATGATAAAATTTATCACCACTAATTGAACTTCTCATTTAATGATGCCAAACGAGAACTTGTCGTTTTCTATATGCTCAACTTGTAAACAAATTAACAGTCAAATTATCAATGTATATTTGAATAGTTGATTCAAATCCTCTACTAACGATAAAAATATCTTTCCTTGGGCCTCAAATCGACCCTGTGTTCACAGGAACAATTATCAGGTTCCATTTACCTATCCTAGCTAGCTTCCATACTATCGCCACCACGCAGCAGTGTGCCTAAACCAATTGGACACGTAACTAATTGTTGGCCCAAAAGCCACTACACCAAAGAAGGTGCCCTCAGGTACCCTCATTAATGAGGGTAATTAATTTGGTACTCATTGGCTAACACTACGTAATAATGTCTTTTCCTTGGGCTAAACTCTAAAATAAACCAATGGACCAAAGGAAATTTTTGCGTGAAACAAGACGTAGCATATACAAACTCCGAATAACTTTATATGTCTAATAGTATTGTATCTATCGTGAATTTGCTAAGATAAAAATTTTTATCTTATAGCTTGCACAGTACTAAGTCGGCTTCCTGTCTATTGTATTATTCGTACTCTATATAATCTATCTTAATATCTATTAAGCGCGATCACTTTTGTATATGGCGTTCATGATAAATTAACCCTCCCATTATGAAAATGATTCTCTCCGGCTTGTTCCTCTCTTTTAAACAGATATCTATTCATATTATACGATAGCAATGATGGCGGGCCTCCCATAATAAAGTTCTAAATGCCAGATCGCAGTTGACAACGCGTAGTTAGTGAGGAATTAAACTCAAAGAATGCGAACGCAGACGACAAGTTGCTATTGACAGGAAGCAAGCAAGTGAGTAGACGTAATAGAGTGTTGTAATATTCATTTTAAATCGAGAGTGAACTAGAATTAAGAGAGCGAGCTATTCTTTCCTTGTATTCTTTCTGCGAAATCCTTAATATTTTGGGAGTATTGTGATGCGCGTTCTTAGGCAGATCTTAGCTTCATTAGGCAGCCAAGGGAATAACATCTTAAAACTACAATCAGTGGCACGATTTGACTGTAATCAAGCAAATAACTTCTTGACAGTGAGAGTACTAATCCCCAGTACCACGTAGAGGTGTCTGGCTATTGCTAGGGCCTGCCATGCTGTTTCAGCCTGTTGAATATCGGTGTGTAACATGGTCCGGGCAGGGCCGTGTCCGGGGGTGTCTGGAAAGACTAGATGTGAGTGATTTGAAGCTCCAGCGTTCGATATTGAGGCTATAGAGCAAGGCTGCTAGGGGGGTAGTTATCGGGTTTGATTATATAGATATAGAAGACTTCGAACTGAAGGCTATTCGAAGTCGAGTAGGCTTATATTGAAAGTTATGTCAAAAATTATACAAAAGGTATCGCTTGGTTTCCACCCTCCGTGTTGGAAACCAAGCTTATATGCCTGAGTCCCTGTCTCAGGCCATTGATACCTAATCTAACTAGACACAGGCATATGTTGCGAGGTGAGGGGTACTTGCGTCATGCCCGGGGTCTTATAGTATATTTCAAGATAAAACATGCTTAGCATCATACGCCATGCCACGGATATCATTACCAACTTTGGCCAGCCCGTTCCAAATACGCAGTTGTAGACGACGCTCGGCAGATGGGGGCTGAGAGAATGACGCGTCTTCTTCCGCTTCATGCTCTGCTAATGGTCTACCGATATGTTTGATGGTCTCTTGGTATCTGTTTTCCTTTTTCCAGTCATCCTTTCTCGTATTCTCGTAAATGATCCAGTCTCAAATCCGAGTATGGCCAAAACGTCACAATATTGGAGCAGACTCATTGACTACCATATCTTCCAGTTCAAAGACATCAAACCCCTTGACTTCTGCAATGATAACTTTTTCGTCAAACTTCTTTGCTTTTTTTTGGATTAAAAGCTTTGACGTTTGTTCCCTCTGGTTTGAGTTTATTCACTTCTTCCTCTGTCAGACTGTGACGGAGGGGCCCCGGATCCTTGAAAGTGAATTTCGTCATGGTAAGCAGTTTGCTGTATAGTATTTCTGTGAGAGGGTGTCTTGACTAGAGTAGTGTGTTGATAGTAATACTGGATAGTAAAACTCGCATATCACTGATGAGGTTAAGGCTGAAGCAGATGAAAACCTGGTGAGATATCTGAGCAACCTCCTCGATTCAGCTCTCGAGACTTGTGCGTGCGCCCTGCCACGGACAAGCCAAAGAATTTTGACGAGTGGAATATTCACAACATCGACTAACGGTCGAATGGGATATTCACGCGTCACAACTAGCAGATACAAGGGTCTGATGGACGAGAGTTGTATGCTGAGTAGGACTAGATGGGGCTTTGAGACAAGAGGAAAGCGGTTGAAAGTATAGGTAGACAGAGGAAACAAAGAGGTGAGAGTCACTGGAAAAAAATGAAATGAGAATGCGAGCCTAGATGCAAACGCCGCCACACGACGTCGGCAGTGATTGGCCGGTTGTCTGAATATCCTTCAAGTGGAAGAATATTTCGGTCTGTTACTCAGTATATCGAAATTATCCACTCTAGCAAGGTTGTTTGGGTTTAGTCAAGTTTACATCTACCTCTGGGCTATGCCCAGCCCTAATAGTCCCCACCTCTGGCGCCGGCGTTTTAGCGATATTCGTAGGTAAGTATCGGAAGCAGATCAGGCGGTATGAAACACTATACTATAAATATATGAGCTGAATAATTATTCATATTTTCAGACTGCACATACAAATATTGCCCGTATTTGGATCATATTCTTCATTTCGGATTCCGACTTACAGCATGACGTACCCCCTGGTCTGTCGACCTACCCCGCTCCCTTGTTTCTTTGTTGACAGTTGCCTACTGTTACCCTACTTATAATTGTTCGTTTGCACGCATCACAGCTCCTGCATCTCCCAATTCTTTCAACACTGAAAATTACGTTAATCATCATGTCTGCCCTAGAAGAAGAGTATCCCACGCAGGCTGATCTCAACCATAGCTCTCGGGAGCATCGAACAAAGGCCTGGGAACATCTATTAGTTGGTAAAACAATTTTGTTCCCTGATGTGCCGGTGTACCCTGATGTGCCGGTAGCAGAAAACAAGTACAGGGTATGTGCTTATCTTAAGAACATATTTATTATTTTGTTAATTACTTATAGACATATATTGACTCTTCAATATTGCCTGAAAATTGCCGCGTTATCGGCGTTGGTTATTTGGAGCTTCTGGATTATGATACAGATCGGTAAGCTCTTTTCTCTCAGCCACTTCCTTACGCAGCTTTACTTACAGAGTGATATTGATGAGTAGACTTACCATTGAGGTGGATGGAAGTGAGGTGGTGATAGAAGTTTCATTTCGATGAATGTAATCGTATCTATACTGTAGTGAAAATGGCGGTTTTCATTTTTATCTTTATTATTGTTGTTATCCTTGTTCTACTTCTCTTTTCCACTCACAAACCGAATTCTGTAAATTCTTCGACCCTTGTAGAGTGCACTAAACTTGACTGTCTAACAGAGTCCCAACAAAGCGATTCAACTTGATAGGCAAGAGGGAGCGGGCTAATCGAACCGGTAATCATGAGGCCTAACTTCAATCGCAAAGTTAGCCGCACCACCCGTGCCGTTATTCAATTCCACGGAGCCGCCAAATTTGAGTAGCGTATCGAGCGATGGTGCTGAGAACGGAGGGCAACCATTTAGTACTTGATTCATAGCGGTGTTGCAGGCAGTGCTGTTTATAATAAAGGCGTTACCCTCTGTAAGCGAGACGTTGAACCAGACAGCCGCAGCAGACGTATAATATAGCCCTGAAAATGAGTATAGTGCGGGAAAGCAGAGGCTGCTATCCGCAAGCATATAGCCGCTTCCGTGGTCAGCATTGTCACATTGCACGATAGCCGAGTATGATACATCGATATCACTACAGAAGTCGGTGAGGTTCTTCTGAAGTGTTGGCTGAGGAATACCGGTGGGAACTGAGGGGTCACTTGATGAAGCACAGGTTAGCGAGCTCGACAATGAACTTGTGGTGGTCGTCTTTTTGGTCGTTGGAGGCACACTCGTTGTCGGAGGTTGGGTCGTTGTTGGGGGTACACTTGTTGTATTTGTCTGAGTTGTTGTCGTCGGTGTGGTACTACCTGTAGATAACACAGATGTAGTCGTAGTAACGCTAGTTGGGGTCTGTGTACCAGTAGATCCAGGCGTTGTCGTTGTAGTCACACCACTGATAGATATTGAGCAAGATCCACCGGAGCTATCACGCTTTTTGTTGTCACTGTCACAATTGATATTCTGGAAATTCCAAATAACTCTATCCCCACCTGACTTGCGTGGGTAAGACGCAGAATTGATCAGTAATTTTTTAGCATTTATAGGAATCTGACCAGAACCGGGAGCGCCCAACCCGTTTGCTGGTAAAGACATGAAATAAGCAATCAATCCAGCGACTTGGGGTGATGAATATGATGTTCCAGTACGCTTCTGCGAACCCCCAGTATTTAAGGCACAATTCACGCCGACGCCCGGCGCCCACACCGAGACCAGGTCCCCGCCCTGAGAGAACCCTCCTGTAGCCCCAGTGTTGTCGACAGCGCCAACCAAGATTATGGAGGGTATATCTTTCGCAAACAATTGAGGGTATGAATCAACCGTTTGACGCCCAGGTTCCTCAGCGTTATTTCCAGAAGCCATGACAACTGGAACATCCATATCGATAATCTCTTTGAGAACTTTCCTGATAGTAGGTAGGCTTCTATCTGAACTTTCCATGGACACACGAATGGAGAAATTGATCACTGCTTTTCCTTGAAGATTTCTTTTTTCGATATCGCTCCTGATCTCGACGAGGGCATCCATGAATGTTGAGGTGAGAATATTGAATCCTTTACCTTTCCTGTCGGCCTGAAGCTTCACTATTACTACATCTGAATTTTTTGCGATTCCATAGGACGGACCGACAGCCTTTGAGAGCACACAAGTTCCATGGCCCCATTTGTCATCTTGATCGCGGTCTGGTGTTTTCCCGAACCCAGGGAACAACCAGCGCTTGGTACCTGGAATATTGGTATATTCGGGATGTGATGGTGTCGCCCCTGTATCCACCACGTAGACGGTTATTCCCTTCCCGCCAGCCGGATCATATTGATATACGTCCGGTAAAAGGTCGAGAATAGTGTCTTTTGCCTGGGAAATAATCACCATCTCTTTTGGCACGTTCTTTTGCTGGATTGGAGAAGCTCGCTTGTTGATAGACGGAGATTCTGGAACGTCTTCTAAATTATCGACATCTTTCTTATTCTTAGCCAGGTATCCGCGTGAATCAGGGGTAAATGATCGAACCGATACATCAGAGGCGCTCTCGTTATCTGATCCTGGGTCATTTATGTCGTCAAGTGAAATCAACTTATCCGGAGTAACATAATAAACGACTGGGTTGCTAGAAAAGCTTTTGACCTGGGTCGAGTTAAGAGGGGCCCGCCAAAAGCCGACTCCAATCGCGTCATTTGCTGAAGCTTGTACGTTCGATTTACCGACCTGGTCTTCCAACGTGGACTGAAAAGAATTGCGATCACTTGATGATGCTGAGTCTGTGGGAATAATGAGATAGATGGTACTCGACCCGGTAACAACAGTGCTCGTTGATGAACTAGTAGACGAGGTCGTGGTGGTTGTTGTTGTCGACCCAGTATTTGTGGTAGTCCCGGTAGTTGTAGTAGTCGAAGTATCTCCTGTTGTCGTTTGAGATCGCTGTGTCTCAGTTGCTGAGTTAGAAGGCCTATTATTCGGGTCTGGCGTTGGATTTCCGTCTGGTCCAATGTCCAGCGTGGGAAATCCGGGTGGAGGGGGGATGATACCTGGGGGGCCGGTTATAGAAATGGGGTTCACGATAACAGGAAACCCTTTGTCATTGAACCAGATAGGAAGAATGGTGTGGTGGTGGTCTGACCCCGTTGTTGTAGTGGCAGAATACGAGTTGGGAGGGCCTGTGTTGGTGGTTAGGGTTGTGGTACTGAACGTGCCGGACTCAGTAGTCGTCTGCGGCGGGACAGTTATCGACCCTGAGATCACAAATGACGATAAAAGGTAGGCTGGAGTGCTGACAGTACCAGTAGTTGTGGCAGTGTTGGTAAAGGTGGTTGATAGGGGAGCAATAGTTGTGCCGCCAGTACCAGTTCCACTTGACGCAGTCGAAGGAATTCCTGGAATTGTTGATGGGGATATACTTCCGAGGCCAGTACCAGTACCAGTGCTAGTATTGGTTCTAGTTCCAGTTGCGGTATCGGTCACTGTCCCTGTCGTAGTGCCAGTGCCAGTCCCAGATGCGGTTGTTGATGGGCGTATACTTCCAGTATCAGTGCCTGTACCTTTCTCAGTTCCTGGAATTGTTGGGGTAGATGAGGGTCTAGTGCTTCCAGTTTCGGTGCCAGTTCCAGTACCAGTACCAGTTGCGGTTTTGGTCCCTGTGCCTGTTCCTGTTCCTGTCGTAGTTCCAGTGCCAGTTCCAGATGGCGTTGTCGAAGGAATCCCTGGGGTTGTTGATGGGCGTCTACTTCCAGTACCCGTTCCGATTCCAGTACCAGTGCCTGTACTTGTACCTTGACCAGTTGACTGAGTAATGGTTGATAGTGGGACTACAGTGTTAGGCCCAGTCGCTGTACCTGTCCCAGTTCCCGGAACAATCAGGGTAGATGAAATCCTAGTGCTTCCAGTACCATGGCCGTTACTTGTACCAGAAGCTATGGCCGGTAATGATGAGGCATTTGAGAGGATTGGCGGTGTAGACGTAGTACCAGTCGAGGTGGATATGGCAGTCGAACTCGGACGAATGCTCGCAGAAGGAGTGTAAGATCCAGACAGAAATAGACCACGTTTTCCAGGAATATAGGCGTCTGAGTTTGTAAGCAGCAATGCACCTACGCATGAGGCGACTAGTGCCTTGGACACCATGGTGAGAAAGGTCTCAAGCTAAATTGCTATAGGAGCAGGAAAATATAAGACGATATATGATGAAACGATGCTACTCTCCTCAGGCTACAGGAATAAATCTATAGTAGAGGGAGGTAATAGAAATCCTTGAAAGGGAAATAAGAAAAAATCGGCAAAGGACGTAAGTTAACGAATCCAAATGAATGAAGGATACAAGAGGAAGATCAAATGAAGACCAAAAAAATTTGTAAATCTCGGAAATTTAGTACATATATCGACTATATATATCTGTTACTTATGGCCTAGCTGAGATGTAGAATCAACTTATGAAACGTATCTATCAATTGATGTACTAATTTGGGCGCGATTGGCTGGCAGGCTACATCTATCGACGCCCGCCGGACGGGGCGAAGGAAATTAAGTGACAGGAAATAGGGCCCGAATATCGCATGGGGTATATGTAAAGGTGGTGTATATTGTGCAACTAGATGTTTTACACGCAATTTAAAGCAGCCAACATTGAAATACCCTTAGAGACTAGGAACTCACGAAAAATTAGACCCCAACCGTCTAAAAAGCATAAACAATAGATCGCCACGCCACCCGATAATATCACACTATTAATCGTCAGGGTTTCTCATCTATCAATGCTCCATATTTCCCTTCGTGTTATCGTTCATGTTTTCCTAAGTGTATCCTAATTTTGAGTTCCATGTAGTAGATCAAACTGAGCTCAAAGGGTACACTCTTAACGAATCCTATTTTCACGACACCCCTCTGGTAGAATCCTATCTTGCCCGTGATACTAGTAAATTAAAAGTGCAACATGAGGATTTATTATTTTATTTTGTAGTCGTATGTGGGCTCACGTTGTCCCTTGCAGATGTATTGGTTGTCATCTCAGATCGTCAATTGGCCCGGCCACAATTCCACTTCGGTATCTAAACATTTTGGCATGAAACCCTTCCGGCGAGAAAAATGATGAAACACCGAAGACACAAGTCGATATAAAAGGACGAAAACTATTGATCCCTGCGTTATACCATCCGAAGGCCCCTGACTAATGTTGCTTTCATTACGACGTATTTGTTGGTGATAAAAATGGAATTTCCTTTTCGAGACGACCTTTCTATTACCAAATCGTACCACATGTATATAAATTATTATCACTACAACCGTGGCAATTACCACTCCTGTTAGTTCAAAATGTTCAAATGATCAAAATTTTTTTTTAAGTTGAAGTAAAATACAGTCCAAATAGTTACTGAGATAGAGAGAATAAATATTAACAATGGATTCTCAACTCGAAATTTAAACATCCACCCGTTATGCCTGTAACTGACTCATTGGCTACCTGTTCGGTGCGCTCCCTAAGCAGTGCCTCCGGAGCCTAATAGCAACGAAGCGGACCTTTTGTACGTGTTGGCTTCAATATGAATATAATCGACTTCCAACTAAAGATTATATTAAGATTCATTCATAGCACTTAGGGTTCTTTTTAAAGTAAATTCTTCAATCATATCAAGTCGTCACTACCACATTTTGTATATTGACCATCAAACTCTTTTGGCAATAGCAATAGTTTCATGTCAAAGTTGATACAACAATTGAGTGAGATTAACTAAAAGCATTGAGCACCGACGGTTAATATTGTGTTCAATGCTGCTTGCTAAGAGAAACATCCGAGGTAATATTCGGGTGGGGCAGAAGTGACATTAAATCAAATAAATCAGATAAAAAAAAACATAAACACTTCTCATTCCACCCACTCCCTATAAAAGATGGAAGCCGTCCAAATTACCAATTTCGTATCTTCTATCTCCGAAATTCAGCCAAGTATCATTCCCCGGCCCCGAAATCCTCAGCGTGGCGAGGTTTTAATTCGGGTTCATTATGCAGCAGTGAACTATGTGGATCTGCTCTACGCCAAAGGGAAACATCAGAACAACCGCACTCTCATTCAACCGCCATTTACACTCGGCTTGGAATTTTCGGGAGTTATAGTCTCATTGGGTATTATTGATGATCAAAAAGAAGAACACGATAACGCCTTGAAGATAGGTGATCATGTATTTGGGTCGGGAATTGGAGCCTATGCGGAGTTTATCCTAGTCTCGAAACGAGCTATTCGTCGGGTCCCTCAGGGTTGGTCTTTAGGAGATGCCGCTACCCTGGCTGCAACCGCAACGGTTGCATATGGTGCCATTTCTGCTCGAGCGCAGGCGAAAAAAGGGGAAATAGCTTTGATCCATGGAGCTGCTGGAGGCATTGGGGCATATGCATGTCAAATTGCCAAAGCCTTGGGTCTTAGAGTGATCGCTGGCGTGCGGAACAAAGGCGACGACGACAAAATGCGCTTTTTGACAGATTTGGAATGTGTAGATGGCATCGTCCAAACTAGCCAGGACGGCCGATGGGAAGATGAGGTGATGAACATGACTAGTGGAAATGGAGTGGACATTGTTATTGACACTGTCGGTCTGGTTCGAAGGAGTATACGAACGTTGAAACCATTAGGTGGTAGAATTGTGGTGGTTGGATTCGCGGGCAGAGATGACAAGAGTATAGAATCGATACCGATGAATGCTGTTCTTCTAAGACAGGCACAATTGCTTGGATATGTGGGTTTCCAACTCGGTATATAAAGAATAATAGGCTGACTGGCTCTTAGAGATATGGTGCTACAGACAGAATTAATCCCGAGGAGACTAGACAGATACATGACGGGTTAATGAGTCTTATTGAAAAAGGACTCATTAAACCAGTTACTTACAAGAGGAATTATTCTGGTATACATGATATTACTCAGGCATTGTTAGATCTAGAGTCACGAGAAACCTGGGGCAAGATCGTTGTATCTATTACACCTGACGAGCTCAAGGCAAGCCTTTAGAGTCTAGTAATTAATGATTAGCCAAATGGGTTATCCTATTATATGCTGCCGTTATATAAATTGTCTAATAATAACCATCAGTGTTTGTGAATATTATAATGAAAGCAGTATCAGATGATCCCTGAAACTCGATTCCCAATTGGAATTATATTCAAGACGACTATCAACTGAGAGGATAAAAATTTAGTCTTCGGTCTACATTCTCGGACATTAGACTGAGTCTACAAGAGCAAATACTGCTCCACTAGTTCTTTCTCTATATACAAGCATTTAGAGGGTAGTTTCTTATCTTTCATTCTTGTGTAAAGATCCACACTCATATTAGTCTGTACGCACCAAATTCTAATGGGAAAAATGACAAGAAATTTAAAAACGAGGCTGTATATATAAAATCTAGGTATATGCACAAATTTTTTCTAGGGTAACAAAGCTGAGATTTTGAAATCAGGTAATGAGAATGAATCAAACTGCCAACATGAATGGTGCAGTGCTCTTTTTTTCAACAGTTGAGCTTTTCTTGGCTCAAGCTTCCAAGTTGTTCGCATACGGTTAATAAATAGTAATCAATTTAATAAGCTCATTTTATAGTATCATTGATTTTCTAATATACAGTAAACTTGATGATGCGGTTAATTCACCTGGGTATCTCCAGTCGTCTCAATGGAGACCATCGATGTCACTCTCGCAGCGATTTTCTAAAGACAGATTATATGGAGGGTTGGGTTTTCATAAGTACCCTTTGAATCTAGCATCCCAGCTACGCAAACATTTGTTCAAATGATGTCTAATCTACCTCTTCTTAACCGTAAATAATTTGCTTTAGTATTTTAGAGTTGAGTCAATTCCTACAACCATCTCACACTCTCTTTCAGGACTACCCAAATGCTTGGAGGGAAAGGCTTATTAGTAATATTATTAATCTCATACTTTTCGAAGGTCGAACGTGAACTGATTCAAATATGTCTTGTAAAACCTCCGTGAAGGACACAAAATTCATGGCTGTTAGGTTGTGAACCAGAGGTTTGTTTGAAGAATTGAAACCAAGAAGTAAACTCTCGAGAATAAAGACCTTGTATGGGATTTCAAACTTGCTGATGCATTTAACTCGTTTCAAAAGTGCATCTATACCAAACTATTCCTGATCCAATAACCCACGCTTTCTGCCATATGAGATAGATGAAGGTGGAGACTTCTTGGTTGTTAGATGGGGTTATTGCTCCGTAAGGTTTTTCTTTTCTTTTTCTTTTTCCCTACGTACTTCCTCCAACAAGAACATCTGAACTGATGATGGGCAATCCACTGATAGTATTCCAGTGAAACATCACAGCATTCATTGTGAGGGCTCTGCAATTCAGGAATTAACTCAGAACCTGTACTCCGGAATTTGCATTAACTATTTGACTCATTATGTTCTATAATTATACAACATGATGCCTAAAGTATTTTATTCACTGAGGACAATGGCAAAAGAGGTTTAAAAGGTTTTAAATGAGACGACATGCCCGTTAAGCAAGCTTCACAGGATTAGAAGGATGTGTTAATTTCAGTCATACTTTCTTTCATTACACTATCTCAGATATGAATAATAGCTACGGAGACTAGATATGTCATATTATATCAAACAATGCCATTCATACTGTACCAAAAGTTTTTAATAGCTATAAAAATAACTGAAACAAATTTCTTTATGAAGTAACATGTCCCTTTGAAAGCTTTTAAAGGAGGTTCAACAATATCTTAATAATCCATAAAGAGCGGCTTTAATATAAGTTCATTATATTATATGAATAAAATATAACAAGTGTAACTAATCCAAAGGCTTGAAAGAAGGCGATGGTGTAAGAGCACTGGTATTGTCAAGTCATAATATTATCTATCATCTGATATTCATATATCTTGACTCACTAATATTCTGACGCAGATTTCTGGCTCAAAGACACTCCTCTCTCCTTTATAACATCCCTTTTTTTGCAACCATTTCATACTCTTTTTCACAGCTATCTGATAAGTTGCGAGATCATCTAACAGTCCTATTAGGAACTCAATTATCTATCTATTACTTTCAGACACTGAATTTGAGTCTACAAATTTTGCGGCCATTTTCTTTCCAACATCTAACGATGGCTCCTTCCAGACGTCAAATTCGAGCACTGGGTAAACTTGCTACAGCCGTCAATGAACAGTTGATAGAAATTTCCGGGAGTATTCCACAAAATCAGCTTAAGGAATTCGAACTGTTCGTAGCGGCAGCGGGTTTTTTTTCAAACTGGGAGGAGAAAATCAGCGCGCTCAACGGGACGTTCAGTCTCGCACAAATAACTCTGTTTGATCCGACTTCTGCTTCACTAAACAAGTTGAACTCTGCAGTGGATGAACGTGAGTTTTCTCGGCTAATTTTTGATCGTGAAGAGGTCATTCGTAATTGTCTGATGATATCTCCAGTCTCCAAAATTGTTGGATCTGAGGAAACGGATGCCGCCTCGAAGCGTAAAGATCTGATAATGGAAATGGCTGAATCCGTCCAGAAACTTTGCGAAGATTGGCAGGATAAGTGGTCAAAAGAAGGTGGCAAGACTCAGGAGTCTACAGAACAGACTTAGTCAATTAGTACATCAACAGGCTCTTTTGGCGATCTTCACAAGGTCAGAAAGTCTTGTTGATGTCGGTCTTCCTTTCTATTATTGCATGTACATTATTTCTGTCTCTAGCAATAGCTAGACTAGATCTCTGATATCCACCTGGGCAATGACACTTCTATTCTATAAAATCTTTTCTCATTTATCAAGATTACTGACCTTCGTTTCCTAATTAAGTAATACACTGCTTGGAAAGCTCTCGGGCGGATTGATGAGGAAAGACATATTACAAAGTCTGAATAATTGAAGTTGGATAGATCGGTCAAGGTGTAATGCATAATGCACATTCAATGGCTGTTCATCTATATGTTTAATGTTGACTCACATTCTGACTCAAACGAATCACATCTTGCTTTTACCCACCCATAAATTGATAAATCCTTTCCCACTTTCCGGTTTTATGCTAAAAAAGGCACGACTGAAATGAAGAACACCGTCTGCGAAGAAGTTGAGAAGAAATTTGGTAAAACGAAGGCGTAGATGTGTTCCCTTCCTAATTCATGTACTCAAATCACATAGAGTACATATGTACTGTTATAGGGCTTTCCTTAGAATCAGGGGCCTCGTTTTATGATAGGACAAGGTGGCGTGAAGAGTTTGCAGTTTCTCGTAACACAGTAGCAAGGATTCTTTATAAATTCATTTTTTGTGGAAAAACAATGAAACTAGAACATTTCTTAGTATCAAAATAGTGTAAGTACTTCTGCTTATCGGCGATCTCTTATCGGACAGCGCTAATCCCGATTAGGGGCTCTGCTTGAACCTTGAAATTTTTTCCGGCAAGTGCGATCGACAACGACTCGACCACCACAGATTACAAACAAGCATTCCTCTGCATACCAGGCGCCCCTGTCGACACGCTGTGAATATGTCGCACAATGCCAATTCCAAAAAGCGCCGCCGCGAACCCTACAATGTCGATGTTAAATTGGTCGAAATCTACGAAGATCTCGCCAACGAGAAGGAGCAGATCCGCCTGAAAGCAGCGCATAAATTGGTCTCGCGCTTTACCCCAGAGGCGAACCCTACCGCAGATGATGCCCAGAAAACGCTGCAGCGTCTTTTTCGGGGACTTTCTAGTGGCCGAAAAGCTGCTCGGGTTGGGTTCTCAATTGCCTTGACCGAAGTGTTGTCTCAAGTCTTCTCACCCAGCAGACCAGCAGAGCTGGATGAATTGAGTGTCGCCAAGGTGCTTGATATCTGGGAATCTTCAACTAGAGTTTCCGGAGGCGAAAGAGGACAGGTGCGATGCTTATGATGATCTGTGCCAAAGGAAAAAAGTCTAATGTCAACTTACTGCAGGAACACCGGGATCATCACTTCGGTAGACTCTTTGGGGCGGAAGCGATCGTCAAGTCATACATTCTATTTCACGATTCAGCTTTTGAGCACTGGTTGAAATTCTTGACACTAGTTTTTGAACTTTGCAAAAAGAAGCCGTGGCTGCGAGAGGAATGCGGCTGGGTCTTCTACCGTGCCATTTACGAACTCGCGTCGCAAAAGATTGATGCCCAATACGCCGAGAAAATAATTGAAGGGATATCCACGAGTGATTTGGCGAAAACTCCTGAGGGTGTAGCTATATGGCTTGCAGTGAGGGATTTATTTCCCAATGCGACTCTGCCACCAAATGTGTGGAAGCATGACGATCCGCTGGACAGCCATGATAAGAGGACGCTTTCAAAAGTCATGAGGGAGTCTTCTGCGACAGAGGAGACTGCGAAGAAAGAAGGATTAGCCCAGCAGTCATCGGGTGTGTGGTCCTCGAAGCTTCACTTTGCTTGGGACGCCGTTCTTACGAGGATATATGATGTCGAACCCGCTGAAGAGGACAAGTCAAAGAAGTCCAAAGGCTCACGTATTAGCTTTAAAGATTTTTGGGTGGAGGTTATAGACAGTAAGTCTTCTAACATATTACAGAGGTCCGATGCTAACCAATATATCAGATGGACTTTTTGCTTCCTCGTCTTCCGAAGAACGCAAATATTGGGGATTCTTGGTCTTTATGAAAATCTTAGGTGAAGCCCCGAGGCATATTGCGAGCCAGATTTTCACCAAAAACCTTTCCAGGTGTCTTATGAACCAAATGGCGGACAAAGACAGATATCTATACCGGATGGCTGTGAAAGCTGCTAAGAAAATACAGGAACGAGTGGAGAAAGAGCCAGAATTTGCCGCAGCCGCTGTAAAAGGATTGATAGGCCCATCAGGCTCTATCAATTTTGACCAAGTTACGAAATCAGATACAATCTCAAGGATTGTCGCCGAGGCTGGCCCTGAATCCCTGCAATCTATTGTTGAGCTTTTAGCCGACTCTATTGCTATACCAGATGCGGATGAGGCCAAATATGCGGCTTCTATTCGTAATTACATCTCAAGGGTATTCGTATCGGTCGTCAAAGCTCGAAGTTCTACTGGGGAGGAATACCAGCCGATCTTGGAAGAGATTCTCTCTGTTTTGGTCCGATTTGCCTATTTCGAGGGCCAGCAAGATGGTATTGCTCAACCGCCATTAGCTCAAGAAACCCAAGAACTATTCCGGGAAAAGATAAATCTCTGCATGAAGAGTCTTATCACTAATAGTAAGGACCCTGCCGGCGTGTCATATGCAGTAGTTAGACAAATTCGCAATTTTCAAAAGTCCAACGAGCACGGAAAGTTTATTATCGACATGGATGAAACTATTTCAGAGTCGGTAGATGCTGCCTTCAAGTCCCTGAAGAAGCTCTCAAGCAAGGTATGTACGACTACGCTATTGCTAGACCTTTCTAACGTAACCCAGGTTAAAAATGAAAGCGAAGATAAGAAAGATCCTAGCATTCAAGCTTTTCGACTCTTATACTCTTTAACACTCCTCGAAGTTTACAATGGTAACGGGGACGCTGTATCAATGCTTGACGAACTCGCATTCTGTTATTCTAAATTCTGGGGGGAGAAGAAATCGAAGAAGGAGGACAAGTCCGACGCGTCAAATGCATTGGTAGAAATTTTGCTGAGCTTTGCGTCCAAGCCTTCACAGTTGTTTCGTCGCATGAGCGAGCAAGTGTTTGGTGTCTTTGCGGAGCAAATCACCGCAGATGGATTAGATTCACTAATATCGGTAAGTAATTTATCTCAGCGTTGTAATATCACTATCTAACCCTAACACAGGTCGTTGAGGTTGAGGAAAGCCTTGCGGGCCAGCAAGAGATGTTTGACCAGCACGATGACGAAGATGAAGAAATGCTCGACGCAGATGGCAGCGATACCGGTTCTGACTCTGATTCCGATTCCGACTCTGTAGAAATAATCGATGCAGATGAAGAGGATGACGATGACGAAGAAGACGAGGAAGAGCTTGCTTCTTTCAATGCTAAGTTAGCCGAGGCTCTCGGTACTCATGGTGAGAATCAGGAACTCGACTCGGACTCGGATATGGACGACGATCAAATGGAAGCCGTAGACGAAATGCTTGTGAAGGCATTTCAGGCGCGCAAACAGACCGCCCCGAAGAAGAAAGAAAAGAAGGACGCTATGGAAACAGTGATCAACTTCAAGAATCGTGTCTTGGATCTACTTTCGATATATGTTAAGAAGTGCCATTCGAGCATTCTTGCTCTAGACTTACTTCTACCTCTCGTCCGCCTGAGTCGCAAAACAAAGGTCAACCAAATTGCGAAAAGAGCCAATAACATTCTTTCCGAGTACACAACACTCTGCAAAAAACACGGTGTTCCTCCCCTCAAAGCTAGAGAAGATGATGATGACCCTATTCAGGCGGTATGGGAGTTGCTCCGTGGAGTACACAAGGAAGCCACTCTCCAACGCCGGCAGATACATGCCTTGGCAGTCAGTCAGGCAAGCTTGATTCTTGTCAGGGCGCTGGTGGCGCATGACCGGCAGAATATCTCTCAGGTCGTGGACATCTATGCTGATACATTAAAATCTCAGTTGTCGAGCGAAAACTGCTTTATCAAACCGAACTTCTTCGCGGACTGGAATGCCTGGTGTGTGGAATATGGAAAGAACCTGAGACGGTAATTATATGCCTTTTGATTGATAGGGGTGAACGATTGTATAGGTACAAAACAGTCAGTGATCAATATAGAATTAGCTGGATACAAATAGCAGATATTAATATCATTCATACGGATTGACTAGTTTATTCAGAACCCAGCAATGGCCCGATGTGAATCAGTTTGTCTCAGCACTTCTAGTTTCATACCCACCTCAACCTCACCCTCACGTCTAGGGCAGCTCAGCATGCCTACACAGGGCTTAGTTTTGTATCCCTCATCAACGCGACGATACGAATAGAGCGTATTCCATGGCTCGGTCTTGTGTCTCTGCCCCGTGTTTGGTTCGACATTGGGAACCAGGCAGCGACCGCAGCGAGAAACAATATCGGCAACGATTGATTTCTGTCCATTCTTCTTATTGGGATCTGAGAGCCGAACGGTTTTCCACTTATCCTCCGACCAGGGAGCATTGCCCTGAATAATGATATTAGGACGGAATCGTTCAATTGTGAGTGTATTCTCGCCCTTTTTCACAAGTCGTGAATTGAGCTCGGCAATCGACGATTCGGAGGCAATCAAGATAGGCATTTGGTCTGGGAAGTACGTCGATTGCAGACGTCCGAGATTCGCTTCATTGCCATTGCCACGTAGGTTACGCGGCGTGGGCCCTTTGTAGACTAGGTAGACTGCCTGGTCTAGAAAACGAGAGACAACCTCGTTTACTTCCGGTCCGTAGATATGCCCATCGGTTTGCAAGCCCCAGATTTCGACGTTCCCAAGCGTTGTGTTTTGCTTGAGCCATTCCGCTGTGGGACGCGCTGGAATTTTGATCACGGTACCGTCATCGGCACCACCAGCATTACAATCATCTTTTGCGGCGCCAGCTGGGACGCTGATTAACAGATTCTGTCCATCGTCACTGATGGCGGTGTTGATTAAAGTCATGCGGGGGTTGTGCCGGATAGTCACAAATTTATTTGTCTCAGCATCGACGAACATCCATTGACGGTCGAGGTCGAGGCCGTGCAGACGCACAGTTGTTTTGGAGACTGTGAACCCACGGCATGATTTGATGGGATAGACTCGCAGCCCAACGATGTCGTAGGTTTGATGGTCTTTTCTATCGAGATGAAGGATGGCGTTGTCATAGAGGAGGAGTATGTCGGATTTGAGTTTGCGAAGTTGTGGTGCAAGAAAGTGAGCGAGAATTGGCAGGAAGAGCACGAGAGCTGCCAGACCTATAGGGAGGGACGTCGAGGGTAGAAGTGGCTTTATCTCCATGGTGATTACACTGGATAGGGGGCTGGGAGCATTGAGGGGAAGAAAACAAGAGAATCAAATCGGGGACGAAGGAATATTTAACCAAGCTTCTATGCTTATGTGCTTACTTATCATTCCTTAGTTACCATGTGTATTCCAGGCCTTGATGGATCTAGAATCAATTGGATTTAGAGCTAGCCTATCAGAATGCTTTGGCGGTTGCATTTTAAAACTTTAGCCAATCAGAACCTTGTATTTAGCGCCACAATCGGCATTAGCGGGTTTATTGTCCGAAGTGATCAGAGCGGTTTTTACATAACTTATATTATTATTTGCGGAGTGTTAGTCTAGCATAATCCCTACAATTGGATATTGAACAGATCAAAGATCGCTGATATCAATAGCATTGTATTGTTTTTTTTCTCCCAGGAACTATTGCGCGAGGGTCAAAAAATAGTGCAAGCTTGAGCTTGTGTGGACCGTTGTTGCAAGAAGAAATTGGCGAATTGGAGACGCAAAATATCTGATCAATCTCGAAAGTTTCTATCTAGTAATACATAAAAAACGCCATAATAGAAGCGGAGGAAATCTGCTCCCAAGTTTTTAAATCAATTGGATTGCTAAAAACTAGTGGCAAAGAGTACGTTTGTTGAAATTCCCGTGGTGTGCGCATTGATATACGCTTCAATGTTATTCAAAACATTTGAAGTCCTTACCAACTGTGAACTAGTACTATAGCCTGTCCCAAATTCTGCCCTACCCATCACTCGGCAATTGAATCCATCTGTTTATAGTGGTTGGGGTGATGGCGGTGATCATAATCCCATGGTGAGCATCACCCCAGCACCTGCCATAGCTAAATAGCTCAAAATTAGACATATCGTCGATAAGCAGTTGGTGGAGTTAACGAGCTAATAAATAAGTCCATATAAGGAGGCCATGAGGTATAGGTATATAACCCCGTAATGGAGTTGGTGGTGTTTGCCACCTGGCAAACATTAAACCGATTCAGACGATTAAGCCGAGTTTTGCCGCCACAAGACCTTCAACGAATGATTTATTTCGTAGACGACAAGATATGTCGTTCAGATTACCAGCCCAACAGCGTACCCCATGTTCCCACAAGATACCCTAGCCAGGAAAGACTATGATCACATGCAGGAAATCTATGTCGGATTCGGAGTCTGGCATCTCCTACCCATACCAAAATGGAAGTCTTAGATCGGCGTGCAAAATGGTTTGTTGCTAGAGACATTATGGTCAGGCCAACTAGTGGTTTGGGCATCGAGTCAGGATCTATCAGGTCGGTGGTCATCGTTTCTTTTACCACGAGTTTTTCTGTTGTTTTCTTTTCCTCTCTGCTGATGACGTAGAATGCAGCAGGTTCTTTGATATTGTGATATGGAAAGTAGTCGAAAGTTTGATCGGTGCTGACATTTTGAGTATTATAGTCGAGAATTCTTGATATTACTAGAAGATAAACCGAATGAAAGAATTCTATTCCTGATCATGCGATTAATTGCTGCCTCGATAACTGACGCAGAGAGATGTAATCACAATTGTCAGATATTAAGCCTTTGCTGAAAATATAACAATATTCTATGCGAAAAGCAGTGAAATAAAGACCAGTTTCTACTTTGTATCCGTGAGTATTGTCTTCATGTTCATTTTACTCTTTCCTGGACCCTCGTCAAGAAGTACATGATTTAATTTTCCACTACTAGAATATTCGACCAAGGATTCAAGAACTAACTTATAGCGGCCACCAGCTCTCATTGCCTCCACTCCTAGAACTAATTATAATTTCGGGGAGACTTTATTTATGTTAATTTAATTGTTCAAAATCACTCACTTAGGAATTTTAACAGCTTTAGGGATACTCGTCTACTCCAATACAAATAAAAACACCAACAACAAGTGAATATCTCTGTAAAGGCCAATCACACTATATAGAGCCAGGAAATGATCATATATTTGCCGATTTTTCGTTACATCCTTGTTTCCTATAAAGCCAATATACTACGAATTACACCCTGACGTCACCAGCTCCTCGATATCCTACACCACCCCCTGCACATATACAGTTTTGAGTTAAATCAAGCTTGGGCAAGTTGTAAAAGGCCATACTACATTTTCAGCAACGCGGCAGTTTTGTCCTTCACCCATTTGAACCTCTGTGTCAAGGTTTCAGTTTGACAAGGGGATGTCACAAACGCCAGCAAGGCGGAGGCCAGCTTCAGTATCTCCCTCACTGTTCAGCTTGGGTGGGTATTTGCCGTTAGCAGGTCTCAGATTCCTTTCCATGCGTCGCTGCCATTTTCGAATGTTTGCTGGCACTTGATCTCTCATAATGCCTTGCATATGATATGATGGATGGGGGATCATTAGTTGTACTGGCTGGAAGAGCCCACACTTACCTAGACTAATGGCAATTGATTTTCTGGTAAGTAACAATTATGTAGATATCTAACGGGATATTTTTGGTATCGGGGAGTATTCCAATACCTTCATACTTGTCTAAAGCAATCCGAAAATCCTGGTTCAGGTTTCTAAAGCTTAAGAGGTTAAATTATACATGTATATGAGTAGGATAAACATTGAACATATGAATAGACATAGAAGTGACAAGGAAACCGCGGGAAGAATAGATACCTTGCCATGACTTAAAGCTTCTTCTCATAACTCTCTGTTGGAACTTGAACTGGGTTATCCGTCACCCTAGGAGTCCCGTTCAACTCATACATAGCATCAGGGCCTGTAAAATGTTGACGCCCAGTTGTGACCCAAGTAATGACTGCAATAAACCCAATGACACCAATGGCGGCGCTTGTGTAGTTCATCCCATCGACCGTAACTGGATAAGTAGAAGGGAAGTTGAAGGTAATGGATGCAAACAGCAGAAACAACAACCCAAGGAAATTTGCTAAGAGAGACATGGATAGTGAGAGGTGGAACGGGCCCTTCAGCTGAACCATGTGTCCAGTATAGCATCCCAATAAACGGCTTAAAAGGGCCATGGCATATGAAAGATCTGGTCACTAAGTTAGCCGATACTGTAAGGACGAAATACAAGGTTTCCAACTTACAATAGCCTTCTGTAGCGATTGAAATCACAGTTTCAAATCCAGTGGTCGTGCCAAAATCAATAGCTCCAAGAACAAGCTGGACAATCAACGTAAGAATGACAGCAGCGACAGGTACACCGCTCTTTTGATCAATTTTTGAGAGTGGCCTTGAGAATGGCAGACCATGATCGCGAGCGAAAGCATATATAGAACGAGATCCTTCTGTGAGGAGACTGTTGCTGGCCATTATGGCAATCACTGTGATTAGGCTAGCGAGGATAACACTACCAGCTGTGCTCCCGGTCGAGTCGTAAAATATCTGAATCACGGGCACGCCGGTACTGGTATTAGCAGTCCCATCAAGATCACCAATGCAAAAGCATAGCGTCAAAAGAAACGCAAATCCGGTAATACACCCCAGAACGACAGAAAATATGATTGCTTTTGGGGCTTCTTTGGATGCTGACTCCATTTCCTCGGTCATGTGAGCTGGGGCATCGTAGCAACACATACCAAAGCATGATTGAAGGAAACCTAAAATAGCTGCCATTGAAGATCCCCATCCGGTGAAATTTTGGAACTCCGTGAAAACAAAAGATGTGGGCTGTTTGTGATCATTGGTGGCTAATAGGGTGATCATGACTATGAAAAAAGAACAGATATTCCAGACCAGCAACACTCGTGATAAGCGATTGAACCAGCGCAGGCCCCAGATGTTGACGGCTGCTGCTATGAATGCCACCAGATATGCAATCAACACGTTTTGCCAGCGTTGGATCTCGTATTCTGGGAAGACGAGATTGGCCATACCAAGGACAAAATTGGCGGCGATGGAATTGTTCGTAGCTCCCATGGCGATAATACCTAATGCTATTAGATCACTACTTAAACCCGAAAAAAGGTGTCTTGTCTACCAATCAGCATAAACCAGCCCGTGACGTATGACAGACCGCGAGAAATCTTGGGGGGCGCAAGAGCTGCAACCCATGAATATTGGCCACCTGCTACTGGATACATCGAGCACATCTCGGCCATAGCGACACCAACTATCAGGGTCAGGAAGCACACCCCAATAAAACTGTAAACCATAACCGGTGGTCCGCCGGACTGCACCCCAATGATGAAGACCCCACTAAGAGCTGTCCATCTGACAAAGAAACAACTTAGGATTCTATCAATGGAAGATGATATCGGAGTATTGAATCACTTACGAGGTGACGATACTGAAGCTAAATCCAATCATGCCAATAAGGCCAAAAGATCGTTTCAGTTCTAGGTAAAAATCAATGAATAAATGTTGGTCGGGTCGCCAAATTGCTGACCTTGCTGGTACCCCATATTTTCTAACAGAACATCTTCGTTCACTTCCTCCGAAAAGGGTTCTGTCGTTGACTGCTGCTCTTCCATGTTCCTCTTTTTTTGTCGAGAAGAGATGGTTTGAATGTCAAGGTGATGCCTGTGCGCAAGAGGAATAGTAGCGCCTTTCACCTTTTATAAGTTAGACAGCTCATTAGCTGTTGAAGATATATTGAGTTGAGTTAGGGCCAACAAGTTTCAAGAGGATGATAAGAAACATGACCGTAGCTCTTTTGGGAAAGTCTAGACGACAGATTCATCCCCCTGTCCTATTACATGAAACTAAGCTTATCAATGCTTATCAAAGGGATCGGCGAGGCAGTCAATGACCAACCAATGAAATGTGCCGCTGAGAGATTCAACAATAAAAAACTACTTTATGAAAAAGCTTTTGATAATTATATGGTCTTTATGTTCCTTTCATCTGAACCAAATTGGAACAGATTATACCATGTAGTATTAGCACATAAGGTGAACTTTTAGATGGAGATGAGATGCAAAATGTGATGAATATGAGAAGATAATAATTAGTAAGATTCTCTTCCAATATTCAATCACAATATATACTTGTTTTTTTATTCTCTATAATGATAAATTCCATTCCCAGTATAACATGATGCTGCGATCAGAACAGCTGAAAAATGAATTGTCGCCTCTGTGCCTTTCCTTTACACAATCCACCACCACCGACTCGTCAGAATCACCGGTGCCACATATTTCAATATATCCTGTGATTGACGCAGGATCTGGGAGTCAGAATTGTCTACTTCAGCTTCCAGTCTGCAGGACAAGTCTTAAAAAAGTTGCTTACCACATCAATTTGATAACTCCTAAGAATAGATTTTTCCTTGTGCCCAAAATATTAATTGATAAGAATAGGAATGTTTTCAATGAATTGGAACAAGAACATCTGAGCAGGCACTATGATGGTAAGACAAGACACGAAGCTATAACATAATAATAATGGCGTAGCCAATCTCATGTCACAGTCATCATTAACTGTATTAGAAATAGAAAAACACCTTTGACATAGACTATCTTATTAGCTAGAGACAGGCAGATATACATAGGAGTACGCCAATTGAACTCTGTGAATAACACTTCAGCCCAACCCCGATTTGGCTAAATCGGGTAAGTAGTCTATACTTGATACGATGTTATGTGACCCGGTGTTGCTTGATATTGTCTCCATTATAAACAGGGGGTAATTTCCACTATAGCACAGTCGGTTTCGCCAGAGAATGTAATTTTCAAACAGTGTATTGGTACTTGATACGGTAAAGATGTGCACAAGATCAGGTATACCATGCTGTCAAGGAGGAATGCTTCTATAATACGTATCTGTCTTCAAACGCGGTTGTTTTTTTACGAATGATCTGTTTAAATCTAAAAAAAATTTAAAAAGCAGAATGTTATCATTTGGTAATATGAACTCTTCTATAGTAAATGGTATTTCTTGACTCCTAAGTGTCCGGTTAAGTTGAGGATCTTGATAGACAGATACTGTTTCTGAGATACCCGGCTCTGCTGGTACTCATTGCTGTAGCTAGCTGAGAAACAGCTTGATACGCTCTGGTCTTAATATTCTGGAACAAAAGTGCTCCATTCTGGGTCCAAAAGAAACGTGGGTTATCCAATACCTTGGCAGCGAGGTTTTTAGCGCTGGTCAATTTGGAAGTGAATGTCAAGATACAACTATTCTTACCTACAGACATAATGTCCGAAGGTTGTTCCGTGCCTCGAGTCCACTAGACATCTTGTTGTGCAAGTTTTTGAACCACTCCCATCCATATTTGTCGATAATTGTTGAGAAGAGGTATGCAACTGCGTCGTTGTCATTTGGATAAGTGAGAGCCAGTTCCCCATTCCAGGCCGGATCAACAAACGCAGAATATGAGCCAGGTACGTCGGAGCCGTTGACTATTATGAATAGGGCTACCAACTTGATTTTTAAAGAGGAGAATCCCCGAATAAGTAATATCTCCTTATGGATTATCGATGGAAGGCGATCGACATGGAACTGCCTCAACTAAGCTGAGTAAAATAAAACAAAATATGCACTAACTGGGAATGATCAAAAGTGCCACATTATGCCTTTCAAGTTGCATTCTACCCCCGATGATGTGCCGTCAAAAACAAGATTAGCGTAGATTTCCTAAGAGTACTGATTGTTATCTAAGGCTAGTGTCTCACCACTTATAGGATCTAACCTGATTTTTATGCTTTTTAACCAATCATAGAAACGTGAACTTAAGAGGGAATGACACTAGCTGTCTAGCGGCATGGTGAAGGGAACGAGGCTTGTTTTACTTAGTATTTACCACTGATGTTGATTGTCCTCACACAGCGACTCAACTTCCAACTTCAAAATTGCTCTCCATTCAACATGTGGATATTTTAGGGAGGGTTAGTTTAGGGTTAGATCTTCAGAATGATCTATTAAGGTGAGTTAGGGTTTGGTTGCTATTATATATGAAGAGTTAGAAGTCAGAAGAATGATCAAAGTTAGGCGTAACATACCAAGTAATCTGATATCGCGCTAAAGTATTTGGGGGCAAGTTTTCTGTGCCTAAAAACATTTCATAGTGTCCGTAAGCATCCATTCGATACTCGGAATGACTGACTCCATAGGCCGAGGATGCGCGAATTGTGCGTGATACCCACAATATCGTTCTTGGCTCTCGAATGCTGGTGTACATACAGATATATACGCCCTCCTTCGATATTTCTCCAGATGAAAATTACATACAGCAGGCAGACTTAGATTCTAAGCTCGTCGCTATGTTGTCAATCGCGACAGCTGTGCGACTTATGTCGTTTCTCCTAGTTGGAGGAGCACATTTATGCAATGCGGCTCTTCGTCAGTATAATTTCACTATCCATAGTGGAACAAACGCCCCGGGTAATCTCTTCCTTCATACCCAACTTTCACCCAGTCAGTTCTGTCTAATGCCTGTGATTCCTAGACGGAGTTTCTCGACCGGTCTATCTCATCAACGGGCAGCAGCCTGGTCCCCTCATCGAGGTCGACGAGGGTGATGAGCTTGAAGTATTTGTAACGAACAACTTGGCGGTGGAAAATACAATCCATTGGCATGGTGAGTTTACCATGAACTTGAGAGTCGATGTGATAGCGACGTCCAATGTTGCCGACCATCTTTCTTCCTAGGCCTCTTCCAGCACAGGACGCCGGAGATGGACGGTGTTCCCGGAGTCACGCAGGTTAGTCGTCACACATCTCCTACCGAGCGTTGCGATGTTGAGTTTTTTTCAGTACCCAATTCCTCCGGGAGGGAACTTCACATATCGATTTTCCGTGGGTGACCAGTACGGCTTCTACTGGTACCATTCACACTTTAGGGCATACTACGATGATGCATCCGCGGACCGCTGCTGATCCATCCGGCCTCCAATCGTTCTCGGCCCTTTGAAAAGTTGGCGGGGAATAATAGCGTCGAGTTGGCAAATACTTTACAGGCTGAAAATAGTGCAACAAACATCCTCCTTAATGACTGGACTCATGAGACGTCCGACACAATATACAGTCAGTACAATGAGACTGGCGCATTCCCTTTCTGTGTTGACAGCCTCCTTGTGAATGGATACGGGAGAGTGAACTGTCTTCCAGAATATATCCTTCAAGCTGGGACCGGGTTGGGGATAGGCTCGGATGGAAACAGCTCCATGTCTATGGGAAATATGATTGCACGAGACATGTCGACGGTGATGGCATCTACAATGTCGTCAATGGCTTCGGAGACTACAATGATGTCAAAATCTTCTTTAACTGCATTGCCGTCAATGATGACTTCCATGCCAAATATGCCCCTTACTCCTCGCGGCTGTACTCCGGTAATGAATTTTCGTCCCGGGTTCAATGCCAGTAGCCTCCCGCCAGACACTTGCACCAACACAACTAGCCCTCTATTGAAAATCCCTGCCAATACCACCCTAGGATGGCTGGCTCTCAATCTTGTGAATTCAGGTTCCGTCAGTGGTCTCACTGTATCGTTGGATGCACATTCTCTTTGGGTTTATGCTGCTGATGGACTTTATGTTTCACCCCAAGAAGTTCAAGTAAGTAATTTTGCCCAAGTCCATGTGAGTAAGCTGAAGAAAGGATTGCCCAGGTCCTCCATATATCACTCGGTCAACGCTATTCAGTAATGATAAAGCTTGATCAAATGACGGGAGACTACTATCTCCGATTTGCTTCGTATCCAACCGGTGATATGCAACAAGTTATCGAAGGTCAAGCTGTCGTCTCGTATAGTGTGGGTGTTGGACATCCCGTCAGGCTGCCGTAAACATTTTCATTCTAACTTGATGGAATCTTTTTAGAGACAAAACATGACGGCGATGACAACAACCATAGCACCATTGATTCAGGAAGATCCGATGTCTACATGGATGTTGCTTAATGGGTCGGCAACGGCTAACGCAACGGCACTCGATGCGACTTCTCTCCGACCCTTTGTAAGCAACGCACCACCTGTGGGTGCAGCAAACGTGACCAAATACTTTTCTCTCAATCAGACAGATATTGTCACATGGGTGATGAACGGGTACCCGTACGTGGAAGCGGAGGTGCCGGTTCTCTACGGCAACAGCTCGGATGGGTGGTTAGCCAACACAACGATCCAATTGCCGATAAATTCTACGATAGATGTCATCTTGACGATAGCCAACGATTCCATGGACGTAGTAGGACTATTCCCAGGGTTATATTCTTTCGTCAATGATACTAATTATCATGTGGACAGATGGGCCATCCGATCCATTTACATGGCCACAAGTTTTGGACCCTAGGCTCTGGCACTGGGAACTTTCCTTATGCCTCGGTGCTCGACGCACCCCAGGGTATGATAGATCTCCATAACCCAATGTATCGTGATACAGCCGATATTCCTGCGTCTGGATGGCTTGCAATCAGATTCGTCACTGATAACCCTGGAACGTGGCTCTTGCATTGCCACATGCAATGGCATCTCCTGGTGGGTTTCCGACATCCCAACTCTCATTACTAGTGCTATAGCAAATACTGACTCTACTCGCACGCAGAGCGGTTTCGGACTGGTCTTTGTTGAGGGTGCCAATGAACTACAGGGGGTGAACACAACGCAAACACCGCCTTTACCGAGCAGCGCCACGACGAGCGTCGGTATTTCGTGGTACAATGAGGCTAATATCTTAGACGTTATCCTTTCCGCCGCAGTCTGTATAGTGCTCGTGACAAACTGACAGCAAGAGAGATCATTGGCATTATCAAGTAGAAATAGCTTCGGAGTGTATGTATAAATTAACTGTACATGGTGCCATTGCTGGTTATGGTTTAAACCTTACTGAAACCGTCTTCATATGATCAATGATCAAAAAGGTGATATAATTGTGTATATGGATAATTAAAGCCGAAAAAATAGTTCTTGATGAAAGAGGTGACTAGTGTAATATATAACTAGTTAAAGGATCCTTCTTATTATATGATTTCAGGTTACAGTTTTCGTCTTTTTTTTTACGAGTCTGCCCATATACAAAAAGCATTGAGGATGAGATTCTTGCCGGGACGTATTTGCTACATACCAGTTGACACAACAAAGGCTTAATGGCTACCGTACCCGATTCTGTTGGCATGGTCTTCATTATGGTAGCCATATCTATAGTCTTCGTACCATCCATGAATTCTGGGCATTCTCTATATAATTATATAGGGTACTCATCGTTTGCATGTGTGTAGCCCTCCGTTCGATGCTCTTCGTGCTGCCTGTATATCCTTGGCCTTCAGGACACTCGGGTCTTTAGCTATGGAGATTCCTGTAGCGACAGAACCAACAGTGAACCAGAAGCAGCTTAGCCCGATAGCCATTTTTCGTCCAATCTAATCATCAAGTAACAAATGCATTTCTTCTATTCTTCATTTGATGCGGTGCAGATAAGAGAGAAACAGAGACGCACCGCGTCGGTAACAATAGGCGTAATCAGCGCGCCAGCAAATGGTAATACTAGTCCTGTTCAAATAATGGCCCTGATCATAAGCAAACAATATTAGGGTAAGGCTCGAGAATACGTTGGTCCGTAGGAATCGATTTTGAGCAACGCGTCATCATGGACATTGTTGTTATCAGCTGGCCCGACAAGTCAAGTCAGATGAAGTCCAGAGCAATCCCTCAGCTAGGCTGAGCGCCTTAGCACCGCATATCGCTTTTATGTAGGTAAGATCATGGTTTTGAAACCTTCAGTGTGTATGATGAGTATATTCAGATTCTGAGGATCGCTATACGTTCAATTCTATACCTTCTTCCTCGCGGCAATTCTGATTTTTATGGCGACAAAGTATGAAAGTGGAATAAGTCTTATGAAGGAACTGTTATACCGTACGTCTCATACGGGAAATCCTCCAATGTAGATACCAGGCGGCCCCATCCATCATTCAGTTTACCAGGCTTTCCAGAATGATTACCCCTCGATATTCTTTCTGCTTGCAGAGCTTCAGCTTCCTTCTCAGCATCTACTTTATCTTCGTCCTTATGTTCTCCAGTAAGCCCCGCTAGAACCTCCTCCTCTCGGCCCTTGTAGTAAGTGAGTAGGCCTGGATGGGGACACCAGACGACCTGCATCCCAGCCCGACGACCAGCCTCCACACCGGGAACGGCATCTTCAAAGACCAGACATTCCTCCGGTTTGATGGCCTGCTCCCCTTTAGTCTTAAGCTCTTCATTGATGGTCTCTAACGCAAGCAGATAGATATCGGGCAATGGCTTTCCACGTCCCTTTCCAATTCGAGGATCATCGCCCACAACTCTCCTTGGCTCTGGGAAAAGAGAGAAAAGATCATTTAGATGATCTGTCTTAAGGTGGTAGTTCCTCTTGTGAGACGACGTGGCGAGGGCAATATACACCGGCTTGTCGGATTTCTCCGTGGCGTGAAGATCATTCAATAGCTTGACTACACCGGGCAGAGGCTTGGCCGTGGGAAAGTATTTTTCAGCTAGAGCGACTTGTTTCGTTGAATATTCCTCCGGCGTTATGGGGAGCTTGGCCCAGTCGTGGAAGATCTTGCCTGCCTTTCGCCTCCATTGTGAGCCAGTGTTGTTCCGTCTGATGCGCGTTGGGAAGGGCAAGGTACCTCTGGGCCAGGTCTGCCTTGCAGTTGAGCCTTGACGGACCATGGCATGCTGGGCCTGCCGTATTCTTGCAGAATCTCATTCGTTACGATCGTATACTTGTCTTCTGTGTCGATGAGAAGGCCGTCCATGTCAAATAGACAAGCTTTGATGCGGGGTAGTCTAGAACGTCGCAGCCAGGTTAGCTCTGCCAGTCTCTCTGGGGAGTAGATTTGTGGGACGTACGCATTTGCCGACATCTTCGAGTGTCTTAAGTAGTAAGATAACAGCCACTGTTCTCAATGTATTGTTGTGAAATAAGGGAATGATGGCAAGTAAAGCAAATTTTCTGCTTGCGACGACCCCGCGGCAGCTACCAACAGGTTACGGGGGCGGATCGTCCCGCTTCGGCGCAGGGATTTCTTGGCAGGTTTCTTTCTTCATCTTCATTGTTGCTATTTTTGCTGTTCAATCGATAAAACTCCAGAGAAATTCATCCGAAACAGGTTATAAGATTCAAGTCGTGGATCGAGGGCCGGTCGGGACCAATTCCGCCTGTTCCTGAACTAGCGCCGCCTTCCGCAAGACCCAGCACACCCAAGATTTTCTTCCACGCGTCATAGCGAAAGACAAAGCACATCTCCTTCCTCCGTTGCTACTTCCTAGCCATGGCACAATCAGAACCACCACGTCCAAAGGAGACTGATGATGCGGATTCCGAGGACGAGTTTCATGACGCCCATTTTCCCGCCGAGGAAGAAGCTGTAGGTGGAACTTTCTCCATCCGATCGTGCTCTAGCTAACACACCGAGAAGAAATTACTAGACGAATCAAACGCCCGCAAAGACCAAGCAAACAAACAGTTTGCTGCTGCCGCGTACTCCGATGCGATATCAACCTACGACCGCGCGCTGGCCTCTTGTCCAAATTATCTGGATTACGAGATTGCGGTGTTGAAAAGCAATATTTCGGCGTGTTACTTGAAGCTGCAGGACTGGAAAGCTGCTGTTGAGTCTGCAACAGCTAGCATCGCTAGTCTTGAGAGATGTCTGCCAAAGCCTCAAACATCTGAAAACAACGGTGACCCTGTGGAGGGGGAGGGCAAAGAGAACGAAGTAGTTGAGCTTTCAGGAGACAACGAGGAAGAGGAAGCAAAACAACTTGACCGTCTCCAACAAGATGATTCTCGGCGGCAAGCTATCAAACGAATTCGTGCCAAAGCTCTTATGAGACGTGCACGTGCAAAGACAGAGCTGACCGGGTGGGCCAATTTGCAAGGCGCGGAGGAAGACTATAAGGAGCTCGCAGCTATGGATAATCTACCGCCGTCAGATAAGAAAATTGTACAAAAGGCTTTGCGTGAGTTGCCACCAAGGATACAGGTTGCGAGGGAGAATGAGATGGGGGAAATGATGGGGAAGTTGAAAGACGTAAGTGGTCTGCTCTAGAAAGACAAATCTGTCGCTGATGAGATTATTAGCTTGGAAACGGCATATTAAAGCCATTCGGCTTATCAACGGATAATTTCAAGTTCATCAAGGACGAAGCAACGGGAGGATATAGCATGCAGTTCCAGCAGGGTGAACGCTCATGATTACGGATCAATCATTTACAATGACCCACAATAATATGTGATCTAGGTATATCGGCGTTTTAACGGATTCACATTTCTTGACATCTCAGGCCGTTGATGTCCTCTAATTCTTAGTCCTTGGGAGGAAAGGGCATAATTGTGTTAAATGATTACTATTACTGCTAGCAAATACGATATATCCATGTGGAGAAAGGTCGGATATTCCGAAATGGATTCATCATCGTGCGGGGAACGAGAGGGGTTATCCGAACCTTCTCACTACTGACGAATATGAGCATGTATCCATATCTCCACAAAATGTATCAGCAAGAGCAACATGCATTTAGTGGCTCAGACCAAGAGTGGGCTTGTGGAGGATTAGCAATTCAGGAATCTCTCCACAATTCGACTATAGCTAGCATGGGGAAAATCTTAGGTTTGTTCGGGATTCAAATGAGTACAACTGCCAAACGGCCATGTACTCAGTTGATTTATCATACGATTGATATATGTGGCATCATGCTTTGGATATCAATTGATATTCAACGTAATCGCCTGTATACAAATGTTAGGAAAATCAGATAAATAACAGCATTCGAGGTGCTAATCGATTACTCTCATATATTAAAGATTGTATTCGCATGTCTTACCACGTATAAGGAACCGGCTATTGTCTATTATAATCATCCGTCCGTCACGACTATAATCGCTTGCAAAAATTGTTGCATTACAAACCTGATAGTTATCCCCGGGTATCTTTATCGTGCCAAAAACATAGTAAAATACATAATAGGACATACAAACATTATAAATCAGTAACCGAAGAACAAATCCCACGTTTTCATAATCAAAACAGCCCAAATTAATAAGTCAAGAATAAAGCAGGGGTAGCCCTTAAGTCGTCTCAGTCGTATCTTACTGTCAGTTTGACGTGTTATATAATCCATATCTTTGGTCAAAGTCCAAAGATCGCGGAGGGATCTATTTCACACTCGGTTTTCAGGATCAATTGGTAACTGAATTAGACCCGAGTGTCAAGCACGTTCTTTTCGTGTTCGTATACATCTGCCAATTTCCGAAGAACTTTGCCCATTCGCCATGTTACTGTGTGCTAATTAGTCCACGCAATTAAACTCGGATTTGGTTTTTGAACATACCCTCCCATGTCCAGGTGTCGTCAAGAAAGCTAGCCCATAATCTAGCCACGCTGGCAGCAAGTGATGAGTGATCTTTTACTCCATTGTCAACTTCCCGTAGTATCTCTACGAGATTATCAAGGTTTTTCCTTTCTTCATGATCTGGTGGGGCAAATGCTCGTTCCATTTCCACCGTGTGGACCCATTTCGTATAGAATAGCGCTACGCCATAATCAGTAAAGCATAATAGCAAAGCTACTCGACACTCACCGCAGTCCCATACCGCAATTGCATGTTCAATACTATATGTAAATGAAGCCGTTTTCTTCACAAACTCAGGTCCTTCTCGTATCGACGTTAACAAGCCGTCGAAGACTTGTGCAACAGCCTTTGTTAGGAAAGGCGTTCGGACCTGTTGGGTTTGCACATAATATTTTGCAGATCTGAATATCTCTTCTTCATTGTCACTAAAGAGTATGGAGCGGTTGAATGTGCCGCTCCTGGTAAAGGCGCGGACGTAGCAGCTCCGAAGTAAAGCCATTCCATTAAAAAGCAATGGTCGTTCAGCACCTCCCCATGGGTTCCCACCCTCCAGCAAGTTTCTTTGTTCCAATATTTTATGACATCTTGCTAGCGACTCCTCTGTTTGATTGGTGCATAGAGCCTTCATCTGCTCCTCGGCTTTGGTGTCAACAGAAAAGTTCATGAACGACTGCGTGGACTGCGTCACGTGCCACATATGTACATTGACAGCATGCATTAGAATCGTAACAGCAAAAGCCGGCCAATGGACATCTGAGTCTGGACTAAAATCTTTCCCAAAAAGTAATTGTGTCAAGGCTTGATTGACATCCATGCCGGTTTTCGCTGTCGTAGCCATTGCTTCTTTCCAGCGCTCCTCGTCAGCGGCCGCCCAAACATACTCATCCTCGGGCATCTCAATTTTCAAATCATCCGTTGTGGATATGGCGGGTGAAACATTATACGAAATCGTCAAAAGGCTGCTAACGATGAACATGCCGAAGAGTAGGCGCTTGGACGACTCACGTTCCACCCAATCGGCCCAACTCCCAGGAGGTGTATCTTGGGTAGCTAAAAGCATTGACCTTCGACAGGAGAATTCTCGGTGAAAGAAGCCTACGTTCTCAAGAGCCCAAGCTACTGCAGAGCAGTCTCCACCAAAGGCTGCCCCGACAACAAGAAGTAGTTTACATTGAACTTCCCATAACGAGCGATTGGGGGCGGTGTCAATATTTTGCAGCGCTTCATTTGCAAGCGCTCGTAGTCTATAGGCGCTGTCTCTCTCCAAGTGAAATAGGGCCCCAATTGAGCACATTGCCAAAAGTAACGGGCTGGGGGTTGCCGAAATATCGAAGGAGGGAACGTGGAAAATGGGGAGGTGGTTATTGAATGATTTGAAAAATTGATTCATAAATCGTTGTAGGCTCTGCAAGGTGGGAATCTCAATATCGTCGGCATTACGAGCGAGTCGCTGCTGAAGGTCTGCTTGTAAGAGCGTTCGCGTCTCCTCTGTGATAGCTTTTCGAGATTGGGACTCGTTGCGGGTCTTGGCATTGCGAGAGGGTCGTCCGCGTCGACGAGGCTCGGGGGGTGGCGGATTCAATACAAATATATCACTTGGAGGTTGAGCAACTAAGGAGTCTGGTGCGCCGACTTGGTTGGTAAATGATGTATGGTTATCAAGGGAGGATTTAGGGAAGAGGGAAAAAAAGTTCAGGTTAATAGGTACCGCATCAAAAGATAAGGTTGGCATAGAATCCGCTTTTGGGATGTCCATTGTGAGACTAGGGTCAAGAGGAAAACCATGATCACAGTTGAATTGATCCAGATCCTGTGGCTGCATGTGAGGCTCGTAGGGCAAATGGTGCGGGTCCATTGAATACGCCGGCAGGAGATGGTGAGGCATGTGTTCGCCGGCTGGTCCAGAAACCATATTCATGGAGTGCAGCAGGTTGGGGTCCAGTGGGAGATCAAAATCAAACCCCTCAGAAACACCGCTGACTGGCTCCGGATCGCTTATCTCAGATGAAGATGAGACGCGAGGAGACGGGAGGAAGCTCTCATACTGAATGACTGTTTCGTTGTTGATACGCATGCCCTGCTGTGATTCGGGTTTATAGTGCTGTATAGGTGGCGGTACCACAGGAGTAGCAGGGGCCCAACTGCTTCGGCTCTGGCGACGACGAGCCGGACGACTCTGCGAACTCGCTGAAGCGGCTGTCTGAGCATTAGTCCATTGCTCGGTGTGCAGTGTGCGCTCATGTCGAACGAGTAAGTCCCTAGTATCATTTAGCAGGACGATAGAGCTAGTCACCGAGGTACTCACTTCCGGCCGTATGATTTGTCGCAAAACCTGCAAGAAAATGGGCGCTCATGGAAGTCTAATACGTAGAGATTAGCGGAGCCTCACAGCCCAGTATCAAGACAGGACATCGACGTACGCGCACGCTCATGACGGATACAATGCTCGGTTCGTTTGAAGGTTCGGCCACAGATGCTGCAAGCGCGCACCCGCTTGCCTTTCTCAATTCTCTCTTGGGGCATGGTAGACGATCTCTACAGAATAATGGATACAAGAAGCGCAAATCATATGAGACGTCTAGGGATGAACTGCAAGCGCATCAAGGCAGGCCGAGAGAAACACATCAACTGAAGTCCTTCGGTGACGACTCCGAGACGGCCGGATAAGAAGGCTGGCAGTCAGACTGGCTGCGTGCGGGGAAGTTCCTTGGCGGGCCTGGGTGGGGCGTGTCCCCAATTGGATTAGCCCCACCCATGACTTGCATGCCGATCACGTGCGTGCCCACCACGCACGTGATGTCTAGTCTTGGCATTTCATTGTTTCACGTCTACACTGCCTTTCGAGATCGATATTCGCCTTCACGGATTTCTTAGACGACATTTGGCCAGCCTAAATATTTCTAGACTTCCGTAGGTCTTGAAATATTTAGCTGTTTTTGTGCTCTGTCTTTTTGCCACACCAGTCCGCTGAAACCGGGCCGGTGTCAATATTGATTCTGGCAAGAAAACATAGCCTTTTCTTTTCTTTTTTCTCTCTACTTATAGACATGTGATCATTTATTTTATAGGGCACCAAGTAAATACCCCATAAGAGAAATAAATTACACCATTTGCTGGCAGCCGATCCAACCGACAAAGCAGCCAGCCCTAATCGAAATGTGGAGTATGCGTCAGTGATAGAGGCCCAACTAACTATAGGAGATTGAGACGAAAACTTTCTCTAAACGTGACTATTGGGGAGATAAAAGACGGTGAGGCGGATAATAAAAAGAAAAAAAACCTCCTAGGGGCATGCTTACTAGGCACCCTCATTCTCATTACAGTCATAGGGCTCGGGCATTTGAAATATCACACACTCTCTCCACACTTTAACACACAACACAACCAGTGGACTTCTACAACAAGTGGCATCCAGTGGTTACATGCCTCACCTTTTGTCTAAAGTAAACTTGCCATTGGCTGGCTAAGATGGCGGTGACCGTGCGCAAGGGTGTAGAGGTATCAAGCCATGGCGGTCCTGCAGCATGGAGTGCAGCAGATCCTTGCATCATTAGATCGTCGACAGGAAACTAGAAACAGTACTGTTTAAAAATACTATTTTTAAAAAAAAATAAGGAGAGGATGTTATTGGCTGCTTTGCCAACAAACCTTGGCTCCGCAGAGCCATTGGGTTTACTTTCTCCAGGTTGCTGTATCGTGAAAGGATTTTTTTCTCTTTGTCTATTGTTTACTTCGCTATGTATGTTTTGCAGATTTGTGCGTCATGCCCTTTGAAATGGCCAAACCTTTGTGGACAGGATTACTTCCACACACGCTCCCTTGAGATAGCCGCAAATAGCCTTGCCTTACTCTCCTGCCCGACCTGCAAGTTGGAAAGTTCAATCTGCACTAGCCTAAGGTGAACTGCGCATGAATGGACCCGCTTACCACGAGCTGGACTTGTTTCAGCTGTTTTTATAGAGAGCTCTGACTGGCCGTGGGAGGTTAAATGCTTGTTGTTTTAGAAGCGTTCGGAGCCCAACCAGCGCCTGCCCTCTGCCAACCTTGAAGCGCCTACGCTGCCCGACAACTGCTTCGGCTACACACTCGCTTCTCCATATCGCATTCGATAAATATCTGCCTTCTCTTCGTCTTTAAGAGTTTTTTCTTTAGGAACTACTTTTTATTTCAATTTTCAAGAATATCCAAAGCGTGACTCTATCAGCAAACATCAAGCCGAACCACCAACCGTCCTGTTACTTCGTCTCCTTATTATTAACTGGTTCTAAGCAGTTGATATGTGTACTTTCGCCATCCAAAAAATCTCCCGAATTTTCTCTGCGATTGCAATAAGCTAGTTATCTAAGCTTAGGCTGAAGAATATTTCTGCCTTTACTCCATATTTGTGTTACTGTTACTTTCTCTCTTCCCCATCACGATGCCATCTATTTGGCGGGCTTGGTCGCAGGGAAGACCTCCAAGACCATTTGTGGAGGATGAATTTGAGTCCCTGTCTCATGAACTGGGAGGTCTTTTACTTCTGGGAGAGAAGCCAGGGGTGGAAGGCGCATGTGAAAGAGGATCCATTGACCAGCTCCCCATATTCTTAGACATCGAAAGATCTGCGATTGTTGACACGGATACTTCTTCATCTCAACCGCCTTCTCTTACAAGCCAGTCGTCCGCAGAAAGTTTTGCTCTTGATACTCCTCCGCCGCTAGAAGTGATGCCAATTGACTATCGGGCCAATGATAAACTACGTGATCCGCTCGTTGCACCTATCAACGTACGATTTCCAGATACGTCCTCTTCGAATCCCTTATACAACTCAAATGCCCCGGTGAACAAGCCGCAGAGAAAGAATACTATAATGAAATCTCGTGAACGGAATCCTTGCGACCATCAGAGAGTGGAAACATTCTACCACGATTATCGACAGGGTCAAGCCAAAGCTACCTCATCGTTGAGACATTCTGTTCCATACAATCTGGAAACTGCAACTTATTCAAACCTACCCAAAAAAGAAATTCCGCGGTATTCTGAGTCTCCAAAAAGGCCCACAGTGGCTGAATTGTTGGAAGAGAAACTTCGACTTCGAAGAGAGCAACAAGTACCGAAATCATACGTCAATACCCGGTTTCAGGAAAAGAGCCCCCCGAGAAATGCATCTGAAAGTTCATTTCGGCCTGGGATGAAACTTAACTTAGATTCTTTGTCTGTGCTTCAGCCAAAATCGCGGGAGATCAGTACTGGCCTGGTTCACCCAATGGTAGAGTACCTACCGCAGTCTAACCAATCGACAAGTTTTTACGGGTCTACGTTGCTCAACCCATCCCCAGAATTTGAGAGAAAGAATCTTTCATTCAATACAGGAACCACACAAACTAGGGATATTACTTCTCCCACTACCCCTCTTGCTCAAGATTCAGCACGTTTGCAACGGAGAATTCCTTCACCAGAAGAAGCTGCAAATACTGCTCTCAATAGACAACGACGGGGAGTCTCTTTTGCGGATGATCCTCATATATTCCACAAAGCACCGTCCGTGGCGGAAAGCTTCTATAGGCAGAATTCGGATGCCCCTCAAGCTCGGTCAATACGTCCAGTGTCTCCTCCAAAACAAGCGTCTACACGAAACCCAGAGCTTCCCAGCTTTGCCTTACGACCATGTCCAAGAGCTAATCCAGTGGCAGGATGTCAGGATTGGTACACAGTATCTGGACTAACACATTTGAAAATTTGTCCTGGTTGCATGAATCAGATTGGCGGCTCGCGATTCCGCGATTATTTTGTGCCGAGCCTTTCAAACCCGCGTGAGAAGGTTCACTGTTCATTCAGCGAACCTTGGACCAGATTAGCGTGGATTCAAACTATGAAAAAAGGACATGAGAATCTCGATATGCTGTACGACATAACTCATCCGTCAAATGAGCAATGTCCTGGCCGTCGCCTGTCTGCGAAAAATTGGTACCGGATAGTAGATCATCAAACTGGGTTGAATGTACCAAGATTTGCGGCGTGTTCAGCATGTGTACGCAATCTTCAGCTTTTGATGCCATCACTTCGACAAAGCTTCAGGTGTCAGGCTGCAGTTAAGGAGAATATCTGCGATTTTGCCGTAGAAAGCCCCCGATTTGTGCAGTACCTGGACCTTTTGGATGCCGCGGCGAGTAATTGTGAATATAAGCGTACATACTCCCCAGATATCGACAAGTTCATTGACTATGTGGAGCGAAAATGCAATCTTCGAGACTGCCGACGAGACAGACTCATCCTTGGGACATGGCACTATATTCCAGATTTGCCTGAATTCACGGTATGCGAAGACTGTTATGATGACGTGGTCCGGCCATTGGTTGCAGCACATAAACCGATTGCACGAATGATGGCAAATCCGCCTCGATTACTACCAGGATCTGGTCCAAGCCGATGTCGTGAAGCTAGCTGCCAATTGTACTCCCCACGCATGCGCGCCCGGTTTAGAGACGCTGTGTTGGATGACGACTATCGGATGCTGGAGTCTGCTGCCTTGAGAAGATTCGATGCTGAACGACGATTCCGCGACCAGGAGGAGGCGCACTTTCTTGTAGCGGAGGCTGATAGAGATTGTACCTGGCAGGATGAGTGGCGTCGAGCTCGTGAAGAGTGGAAGAGATTTGAGTAGCATGTGCTATCAAAACCATCTATTTGAAAGAGAATAAGACGAGAAGCGGAATAGGAATGGCGATATAAAGCTAGACGATGGTTGCTAGACAGGACTTTGTCATTCGTTTATTTTCTAGTACTTTTTTTGTTCAATTATCAGCACATATTATTTCATTTAGTCTTACCGTTCCATAGATACCATGTAGTTTAGATTGTAAGATCTTTGCTTAGGACCATCAATCAATTGATACAATTGAATATATACCACTAAAATATCTGGCGTACAGCGCCTTTCGAATTAGTTTCCCTTATAAACACATTCGGATTGTTTTTAATCCTCTACTTGAAATAAAAATAAAATAAGCTACTCTATATGAAGCCAAGCTTTAGAATAATCTAATTATCTATATAAAAGCAATGTGCGGCGCCAAGGTGCGCAGCGTGGTGGCGCTTTATGCTCAGCCTGGTCAGCCGCTTGCTCTCGGACCACTCACTGAGTGAAAGTCTACGAACCCCGGCGACAAAGTCCTGAACCATAACTTCAATATTCCATAATATGATCATGAATTAGGCGATATTCGTCTACACGATCCGATGTCTAATGGTTGAATCCACTTGATCGGGGTCAAGGACGACTCGTGTAATATGGCAAACAAGTTGCAATGACTACCAAAAATATAGCCGTAGACTAGAGTAGCAAATACATGCCCTGTAAAATGGGCAGTCTTAGGACCGTTATAAAATAAGCTGGACGATAATTGCTCCTTGCTCGTCAATCTGCCTTGCGCAACCCACTAGATGGTGGATACCAGCCAAAACCAGATCGCTTGCTCCATCTTCTGAGAGGTTGACCGAACAAATCAGAATTGCCCCGGACTTTTCAAGCTACTATCTCATATGAGTTCTTCCTGCCTCCTAATATGAGCTTCTGACCTCTTCATCCTCTAGCCCGCGATCAGCTGCAGCTATTCTTGAAGACATTGGAAGCTACTGCTCGAATGGCGGCGGCGACGCTGAGATAGGAACGTCTGGCGGGACTAACGGCTCCATAAAAGCATACACCGGAATCCCTTGTGCGTCTGTGACTACCTTGTCCACTATATCATCCTCATCTATCGTATAATGACCCAGGAGCTTTCGACCAGCCTTTGCAAAAGACCCGGATCCCATCATCATTGGGCGTGCGATGGCAATTAAAGCAGACGTGTTGTCAACACCTTCCGTCTCCGGTACAACTACCATGTGTCTGATGTCCCGGTCTATCTTGTCTCGAGTTCCGGCGAGTATAAACTTGGAGAAGCTGGATGGCAAGATGCTGGCATCTTCAAAATCCACCACTGTAATGCGGCCCTTATCGTCTATTATGAAATTGTCTAGCCAGATGTCAGAGTAACAGAAGATCATGGGCTCTTGTGCAAGGTTTTCGATATGATATTGGCCTTTTGTCATGGTGAGAAACTGGAAAAATGGTCTATTAATCCTAATCAAATTCAGGAACGTGACATGCACAGTGTATATACCGTACCAAGTCAAGATGTTGCTCCAATTCACTTATATTTCGGTAGTGGAGCGAAGCCTGGTTATCGTCAAAGAGCTCGTGACGAATCCGCCCTCCATTCACCGCCGCTGGCCGAGAATCTTGGGGCACTGGGATGCGATGCAACTCTGACAACGCAAAGGCTATCTTTGCATATATGAAATCTTTCATTGCATCGTCATCGATTGCATCTTGCAATCGTTGGGCAGCTGTTCTCCCCGGGACATATTCCATCACCACGTATGTTCGGTGTGCGGGCCATCCATCGGGATCATCTTTATACGGGATGGCAACCTGGCAACCGTAATAGACGGCTGGAACCCTCACTTGTGACTCAAGGCTGCGCAAACCATCATGTGCCTTTTTTTGTCCAGCAAGCTCATTCCAAACGATCGAAGATCCATACTTGATCCAGAATACGGGAGGTTCAGTGCCGGGGGGGTAGGGAGCGCCTATGGTATAACCGTGGCGATTGGTTTCTTTGCAGAGTGAAACAAGTTCAGCTGCTGTGGGAAGCGGAACTGTGATGTTTGATGGAAGGGTTGAGCCATACCATTCTTTCCTCATGTACACTGGGCTCACCATGATAAGTGTGATGCCGTCTAAGTAAATGGAAGCACTCGTCGGCCGTGCACTAAGCCACTGTGGGGAAATGAAATAGTTCCAATATAGATCAAAGTTCAAAAAGTGGACCCCTGATGACCAATAACAATAGTTTCAAGAGGCCCTCACTTTAGCATATCCCCCAGAATTAGGAGATGAGCAAGCGCGGTCATGAGTAAAATTTCTTGGGGAAGCTGTCAGATTTCATCGTGCCTGGTGGAATTTTAGCAACCCTCAACATCTACTCAGTAAACAATCACTTTGAGCAGTGAGCGGAACAATGCGTGCTCAGCATTGCCGGTGGCACGCTCAGTGAATATGCTTATCATGCTCAGTGACTGCTCAGCATAGATCAGTGAAGGATGTTTGGTTAATCACATGATATAATATAAAGCGGCAAGAAGTGGTGATAGCCTAATGGAGGCAGTTGCATATTGCATTTACGTATATGGTAATATGTACTACGCTGGGCAATCTGACAGAATGGGCTAAACTATAAAGTGATTAGTGGCGGCCGCCAGGTCCACAAATATATCCATTATTAATATTGCTTCTGCATCACTTACGTATTCTTGCAGCTAAACTTTCAGATTGCTAGTGGCGGCCGACGGCAGAACTCATATTTCGAAGCCAGGTTGGCCCAGATCGTCGATATTACCTGAGCCACGGGGGTATCTCAGTTGGGACAAGAGATGGGGAGTCTAGCCTGCCATTAAGGATAATAGGCGTTTACCTTAGACGTTGATATAACGAGCATACGCAAGGGGCCAGGTGGCAGACGATGAGTTTGGACAATATTGAACGTGCTCAGCAGGTCTGTCTGACTTGCAAAAGTCGAAAAAAGCGCTGTGATAAAGTGGTCCCTATTTGCGGATACTGTTCCAAGCGAGACCTGCAATGTTGCTATGACTATCCGCTTGTCACCCAGGAGGATAGTGTGGTTTCGGCCAGCCATTCAGCTTCAGCTTCATGCCAATTGATTCCACAGATCGGCCAGAATTCGACATGTAGTGTTCCGGCCCTATACCCTTTATGGATGCAGCTGAACTGGATATCCGATCCACTACCGATGGCACTCGATGTTATGTTGGATTTGCAAGTGCGACAAGTGATTCAGTCAACGAATTTACCCTTCACAGAAATCTCCAGTCGATTTTTTAGAGATTTCCACAGATGGCTTCCAGTTGTGTGCCCTCGATTGTTCTACGAGACTGCCAGGAAAGATGAGGATAGTCCTCTACCTGCGGATTACTCGGTCCTCGTTCTTTCTATGTGCCTCATTACATTGCATCCACCAGCTGGAATCTTGAACCCACCTGTAAGTCCGAAGGACCTTTATTTGAGGGTGAGGATGATATTAGCCCATGTCCAGAGCGTAATCTGCGCTTCGCCATCCCTCATACAAGCCAGTCTCATCCTTGCTGCATACGAGTACGCATATGGACGGCCAGATACGGCCCTCATATCTGTGGGAACTTGCTCTAGAATGGCTCAAAGTATTGGTATTGATAAGGGGAGTAGAAACGGAAGTGAACGGCAATTTTCCTGTGAGCTCAGGCTAAGAACTCTCGAGGAAAGGAATATATGGTGGGGTGTTGTGGTCTTGGAAAGGTATCCTTATGCTCCTAGTTCCGATAAACTGAAAACTGACATGAACGTAGAATCATTTTGTGTGAGATTCCACACAGTAATCTAAGGCCTACGACTAAATATCCAGGAAAGAGCGCGCCTCTACCGTCTGACCTAGTACCTTTGCAGAAGCTCGAGGAATCGGTATGCAGTTATGGGTCCTGTAATGCGCCTTCACTATCCGAAATACACGCCGAACATGTGAGCAGTTTTGGCCGCCGAGCGCAAGCCGTATGCCTACTTGATCGGGTCCTAAGTAACATAAACTCTGGCGGAGAAACCGTTGACTTTCTGGAGCTGGAGAAACTTGACAGAGAGATATTGTCTTTCCTAGAAGTTGTCCTTGATGAGTGTGGCCGGGAGTGGGGACAACACTGCCCAGCAGTTGCATCTACTATGAGGTAAGCCCTTATACTATCGTATGGCGGCACTTAGGAACAAAATGTGTGACCAGTAGCAGGGCTCTCTTCCTCTTGCATCAAAATATCCTTACAGGGACTATGGTCTCTGCAAAAGAAGAAATTGCAGCACAACAAGGGCAGAATTCTCTGCGTGCACTAAAAACAGTGACAAAGATGATGGCTGATGTGGCATATGACCATGTGTCTCATGTTGCATTGCATAACAACGTCGACGCTTTACCACTTTGCTGTTCATATAACCTTCAAGCAGCTATACAAGCATCTAATGAGTCTCGTCGGCGCACCGGGTGTGGTCTGTCCTCTATAGAACTGGAGTCTCTAATGGCACTAGATAAAATCTTCTGTAAGCGGTGGAAACCCTCTTTATCATGACAGATTTAGCGTACATATCTCTTGTCTTGCAGTTCTTGTACAATGTCTCTATGGGGGTCACTAGCGATTATATTTAGATGGGATATGATGGGATATTGCCGCCTGAATCACTGCAGGAACGCAAACGACATCGAGTCCTATTCCATTCTTTCCCCCTGATAGCCGCTGTCTGCGCGTAAATGGAGGAATTACACTCAAATGAGCGGATTACGTCAGGGATTATCATTTCCTTTGACAATCGAAGCATCTAGAGGTTTGTGCTGATGAGCACGTGGCTTTAATAGTGCCTCTACTGTCGTATCCGCTATTATAATATTAGCTCACACACTACTATGATTGAACCTGGTGATTTTTTTAGTACGGTGGGCCTTTGAAAGGATTCGACTTCAACTCCTTCGGGCATTCCCAGTCGCCACCCTCTTAATTTTACTAATATTGAAGCTAGTAAGGTCTCTTGGGGGCGCGCTCAGGACCACTCCAGAGCCTCTGCAACAGCTACTGAGACATCCAAGGTACCCGAAGCAAAGCAGAATTCTATATGCCTCAATAGGGAAAGCTGGATTTACGTATTTCCTAATCTCTTCACAGCTTCAAATTAGTTATCGCCAAGTCCAATGGGATCTGAAGCTGTCCAGGAAAGAGGTTGATCGTATTTGTTGAGGGGATTACTTCCTTAAAGTATACGCGGTGCATACCATATTATAAACTGATACGTGAATTTCAGCTTCCTATTGGGACTACTACACTTAAAACAGTAGTTCTCCCAAGGTCCTCAATTCCTCACAGAACCAGGTGACTATATCTGTCGGAAAATAACCCTATAGTTATTTTCCGAAATATATTTAAAACCCACACTCGACTGTATCTCTACCAATTTCTCTGAGATTACTATTGCTCTTTTTTGGAGCAAGGCAGCACCGATAGTGATGCCACAATACAATACGACTACTCTGGCCCTTAATTCTGCTGTAGATGGTGATGATAGGCAGCCTAATAGGAAAGTTGAAAAGCCTATAAACCGTTGGTACCATTGGTACGAGCCGGGGACCAGCAAGGAGGAAAAATGGTTGATTTTCAAGCTTGACTTCTTCATTTTGTTGTATACTTGTTTGGTATGTCATAGGTGTACGCTGTGCAAACCAAATATGCTTTCTCTAATTACTTCAGACATATAGACCTTTTTCGTGAAATACCTGGTGCGTGAGAATGGCCATATTCTTCGGATATCATCCTGACGTCCATAAGGATCAAACCAACATTACCAATGCCTATGTGTCAGGCATGAAAGAGGATCTAAAACTCAGTCAGTAAATTGTTGCCATTACTTAAACATACTATTGTGCTAATTAAATTTAGATGGAAACGAGCTAAACTGGTTTACTACTTATTTTAATATAGGCATTATTGTTGGAGGACCGTTCTGTACTTTGGCCCTAACAGTGGTTCAACCACGATATTGGCTGCCGGCCTGTACTGTTGCCTGGTCATTCTTTGTCTTATTCATCTACAAAGCTGAATCTGCAAAGACGGTCTATACCTTACGGTATACTATCTACAGATCTTGAAAGAAATGAACTACAACCTAATGAAATTTAAAAATGCTAGATTTTTTGCCGGTCTCTTCGAGTCAGGAGCGATGCCGGGTGCCTTCTATATTGTATGTATGAACTCAAACTTCAAGGAATGAGACTAACGATTCTGTCTTACTGTAGATTGGAAGCTGGTATCGTTCATCTGAGATCAATCGTCGGACTACTCTTTTGGTGTTCTCCTCTGTCGGAGGACAGATGTTCTCCGGATACATTCAAGCAGGCCTGTCTGGAATCTACCCTGAGATTAGTGGAAAGATTATATGAATGGCTCATATATATTTAGGTACCATAACATGAACCATCACCTTGGTTTAGCCGCGTGGCGCTGGCTCTTTATTTTTGATTTTATCATTGGCATACCAGTTGCATTATTTGGATTCTTCTGTTGCCCTGGTACAAACGGATAAGCCCCCAGTGTCTTGCAATATTACATTGAGTTGTCTTAATCAGCTAACGAACATGCCTTTCTTCATCAGACGAGCCGAAATCTTCAAGAATGTGGTGGATTACCGAAAAGGAACGTCAGATGTCTATCGAGCGCATTGCAGAAGAGAAGCGTGATGCTATGGAATCCACTTGGAACCTTCAAACTGTGAAGAGGCTTCTCTCCTGCTGGCAGCTTTATGCTTTCTGCATCTCCTGGGTGTAAGTAAAAAGATTGATTCTCCTGTCTGAGAGGCTTTAAACCTGTATTGGCTCTTCTTATTCTAACTGCTGACAGGGTTATGGAGCTGACGTGTGCAGTCAATCTGCAACGGTGGATGACTCTATACCTAAAGTCACTCAAAGTCAATGGTCATTACAAGTATAGCACTGAGAAAATTAACGCCCTTCCAACGATTATTGGATGCGCAGTTAGTCTTCCATGGGGAACTTACACATACAACATGGCTGATTATGTCCTTTATAGGAGCTGGTCTGGATGATACTTAGTGCTACTTTGGTGGACAAATACCAGACTCCTGCCTTAGTCTTCTTAGGGCTAGGATTAGTGCAATTATTTGCCTATATTGTGTTTCTTGTTTGGTCCACCAATGATGCGTTCATGATGGCAGTCTACTATCTCTGCAGTGCGTACGGTGCCATTCCACCTTTGATAAGTGCCTCATTGAATTTGAGCTGTGGTGGTGACAAGCAATTACGTGCTCTCACTGCATCTCTCATGGTTTCAGCTGGATAGTAAGTTCAAATGTATCATCGCCTATGGCAAGCATCTATATCTAACAAGCCCTCCCCAGTGCTGTTGGAATCCCAACTCAACAATATATTTTCCCTACCTCTGAAGCCCCACGATTCCGAAAGACCCATGGGTATGTCTTTGGCGTCGTGTGGGTCATAATAATGATCATATGGTTAGGCGGGATACTGCCGCTCATTGCACGATATTTTGAAAAGCGCGAGCGTCACCGTCTTGACGAATACGGCTCGAGGAATGTTGGGTCTGGGGGTGATAACACGTTGACAGAATAAAATGGTCCACTTATTGCGAGCTAAAGGCTCGTAAGTATCCAAGGAAATAGGGTACTTTTGTTAGATCCTGAACAAAGTTATTAAATCCCCAAACCATCCCAGACTGAAAACTGCTCTGTAGTATGTTTTGCGTGTGAATAATACTAGGACAGTATGAAATATATACACAATTCAATAGATTATACAATTTACCTAATTATGAGCTAGGTATGGAGTACAGAGATGGCGTTAAAAGTGTTGATAATGTGGCGTTCTCTGGTGCCTACTTTATACGTATTGTTGGGTTTGCAGTTATGGCATATGTGTCATGTCACGGTGGTAATAGTTAGTCTACCATGGGTAAGTGTAACATCCTAGGGCACCTGCTTGGGATACCTGAGAAGGTTGTACGACGGTATAGGGAAGTCTAGTGGTCTTTGAGTAGAAGGGCTTTGTTACTATTCTACATGTAAGTATGGAGTTAAAAAAATTCGAATGTGTTTATGAGGAAAATTGATTTGCAAGGCACTGTATCTCAACTACTCTAAAACGTAAATGTATAAAAACAAGCATTAACTATCCAACTAGCCCAACAACCTCCCCAGGCCATTTTCTCCCCCATACCAACGCTCTCGCAGGCATCCTACCACCGACTGGCGCCAAGACGCGAAGCTTCTTCTTTTCTACATCCACATCAGCCACATACACGAAACCCATAATACTAGAATCTCGGATATATTCTAGCGGCGCATTGGTCGGGACGTAGGTGATTGCGACTAGCGTATTTGCGAAAGCAAGAGTAGGGGGGGAAGTGTACTTCTTTAACGGAAGAAGAGTGTCTGCCGCTGACGAGGATGTGGTTAGGGAGGAGGTAAACGACGACGGGTCGTAGGATGCGGAACTGGCTTGTGTTGTATTCTCAGTTTGCGAGGACAGGTCGGCCGATTCAGTGCCAGCACCGCCGGGCAGATAGGAGGAGTCACCGGCGCCAAAGGTGGAAGGGTCGTATTCATCCTCATCTTCGTTGAGTGATGGCGCTGTATAGTTGTATAATGCCAAGGAATCGAAGTCAAGTTGCTGGGTATGTGGTGATAAAGTGATTTTTGAGCTGGATGAAGAAGAAGAGGAGGATGATGGGAGAGCTACGGAGGTGGCAGATGCCATTGCGTTGCCGAAAAAGTAAGAGCGAATTTGGGATTCGTTGACGGATTTCATGAATGCTTCGTCCCGGTCTACGCAGCCGCCGGATTTGGAGAGTTTGACGACTGTGATCCGTTCATCGGAGTGTGCTGCGGAGGCGCTGGATGTGGGTTTCTGCTCGTAATTCTTGACCATGGTGCTGTATAGACGCTCGGATCCGAGGACAAGGATGGTTGATACCATACGAGTGTTAACAGGGGGCCTTGAACTAATTTGGTAGTAAACATACCAGAAAACTCAGTAACAATGTGATGTATTATTTCCAGCGCCTTTGGGGTTCCTTGTCCCAGAATACCAGGCGTGTCAATGATGACGCCGGCCTCTCGCGCATCATCATCCTCGGCCATACGCGCCGTCACGGAAACTGCGAGTTTCGAGACGATAGGTTTAAAAACATTCCCATCCGCATCCAAAGGGCTTTTCATCGGATAGAAGTAAACCAAGGGTAATTTAACCGGAACAGGGCTGGGTCCAGACATAGGGCTACTCCCCCATCCTTCTTCGACATCGATCATAGAACGAAACGCAGTAGCCGTCAACGTACCGGGAACGCTGAGCATACCCTCTGTCGGATTCAGATTGACAACAATCGGTTGTCGGTCGACTTTGGTCGCATAGCCCGTGAGGATTTTCGCCAAGCTTGTTTTCCCTGCATTCTCTGGTCCCAAGATCAACACACGCGGTCCGTCCTTGCCACCCTCTGTTTGGGCCTCCTGCCTCATTGTCTCCAGCGCGAAATGGACATTGGCGTATTCTACCATCGGCGTTTCTTCTGCGACATATTCACTCTGACACCCGCCAGCTCCATAGCCTCGACTGGTGCCCTCTGATGACATCCCACCGGGGGCAAACCCATTGGGAAGGGCTACTCCCTCCCCAGCATTGACTTCTAAGGCGCAGCCATGCCAGGTATAGATCGCGGCCTTTGTGCCGGAAAACGTGTATGTCTGTAATTGCGCGAGCTCGGTTCCGAATAGTTCTGCGGTGCCGGTAAGTAACTATGAAGATGGTCAGTTACTTAATGAAGTCATTTCCTTGTGATGAGAGCGGGCAGAAGTGAAGAGTCGGTGTATTCTTACAACCACCGAATGCCAAAGAACTAGAACGATATACGAACCTTAACTTGAATCGTACTACCAAAGGCGATTTCAAATCTCCATTCACTTCCAGCGCGCAAGTTGATCTGTGTAGGCGGAGGCGGGGCGTATTGACTCTCGACTGAAGCTTCAGCTAGCTCTAATCCAGGAAGAGACATTGCATTGCGCAGGAATGACAGGCTTAAACAGTTTTTTATTCAGAAGAAACAGAACTATTATACAGACAAAAAAAGAAAACAACAGATCTCACGCGCGGTCAATTTAAAGACCTGACAAGAAAACGAGGGTATATTCGAGGAAGTGATCTTTTGCATCGGCACGGCGGGCTGGGATGAAAGCTTGGCACCGTCAGTGGGTGTTTTCATTGTTTGCACCGAGTATTGCTACAGTTAACGGTATACTATCCGGGTCAAGCACCTTTATGCCATTCTGGCTACATAGTTTTAACCGTTTCCATTTCAAAGGAGATCAAACATTGGAAAGAGATCTACCGATTTGCCAAGGATATTATACGCTTGGCTGGATACCACGTTCGGGATCAAAAGTGCTCATCAAAGGGAGGGTCATCAAACAAGGGGTATTGTAACATCTTATGCCAAGCTATCAAAACTAGGTCTCACAATCTCGAGACAGGGAAATATTAGAAAGGGGATAATGATTGTGTCTTTTGGTGTGGGCAAAAATTATAGAAAATGCGAGGGAGAGCATGTTTACAGGGGAATTAAAAAAAGTAGGGGATCGCCGCGCTGGATAGAAAAGTTAGCCGACTAATGTCCTAGGGGAAGAAACAAAGGGTACTCACGCAAGTGCTAATGTAGCAGTAACACCGACCAAGGCCCGATTTCGCACTCGTTCCTTCCTCAATTTATCCTCAAGAACTTTAGCCTTTTTGGTAGGTTTACCTGATGATGGCTTTTTCTTCTCTTCTTCGTCTTCCTCGACTTCGTCTGACTTGCGCTTCTTATTGGAGTTCGAGGACTTGGCGGTTGTTTCGCTTTGCTGTAGTTTTGTTGCCTCTTCAACCATCTGTTTCGCTTGTGCGATCATTTGTTCGGTGTCTTCGGCCGGTGGAAGATCGGGAAGGCTGACGGGCATCTCCACAGAGACACTGGTCTGTGTGGTTTCAACTTCATCTTTGACTTCGGTTGTAGACTCGACATTGACTTTAACTTTCTCATCGGCTGCGGCGTGCTTTTTAGATCGGCCGCTACTTTTCTTGGGCTTCACTTCCTTCTCCACAGGTTCGGGGTTCTCGGAGGCAGCAGCTTCATCTGTACCATTGACAATTTCGTTGTCAACAGCGCCGTTGAGTGCGGCCTGCAAAGTAGCGCTAGCAGCAGTGGTTTCAGCAGCCGAGCTCTCTTTGGCCGCTCTGGGAACTCTTGATTTGCGAGGAGAGGAAGTCTTCTTTGGGGACGAGATCTTTGAAGGAGAAACAGACCGCCGGGTTCGGGGTCGGCTAGACGCACGAAGTTCTTCGGACGATTCTAGGGGTGGCATGTCGAATTTTGGTGGTGGAGTAATTGGTTTCTTCGAGCTTGCCGGAGTCTGGACAATTTCCGCAGCATCCAACAAGGCGCGAACCCAGTCGAACATGCGATATTCCTTTGCAAGTTCCAAAGCTACCAGGCAAGAATGATCAGCAGGGTTCGTAGTCCCGAGGGTGTTTTCTTACCTAGCAGGGGCGAGATCCACACATTTCCTGCGATCTCATCCTCACTAGTCTCTGCGCGCGCCTTGACGTATTCCCGTTCCGCTCTTTCTTCCTCCAACTTCGCCCAAGGAAAGGCGATTTTGAACATCCCCGTTGCACTGATGAAGCCATCCTTGCTTCGTCTCTGTCAAATCGCTACTCGTTAGAGAGCCAAAACATTGCATGGGTTGATACAAGTTCGTCGTAGCTTACCATAAGGAAGTAGGTTTCAGGATGTTGCTGTGTAGGGTTTGACGGAAATATCTCAGAGCCGGCCAAGTCCTTGGGCAGTGGAGCGCGCAAATGCGCATATTCGAAGGGACCCAAGTTTTCGGGCTTGGTAGCATTGGAAGTGCCAATCTGCGTAGGCTTGACAGACAGGAGAGTCTTCCCCAGGCGCCTCAAGGCAAGCAGTTCCTCATCTGTGGTGAGCCGTTAGTAGCTGGACGATTGGCACGTCGCCTGTATCCGATGCGATCAAGGGACTCGAGGATATCATTGAAGCGCACGGCGCGCGACAAGCAGGGAACCGCGATCGCGCGCAGGCGGAGGACGGACACGGGACGGGAGGCAGCCGCTGGAACTTACAAACTGGAGAAGATTCAGGGAGAATAAGAGGGTTGTTTTTCTTTGGAAGAGATCGCATGATGGCAGGATGTCCCAGACGACAGAAGATCGACAAAAAAGGTGAAGAAACTGAGATAGGGAAAAGCGGAGGGGGAGGAGAAGTAACAAATCAATTAATTAATTGGATTTCTCGAAAAGCGCAAAGACGGGGGTGGCAGCGCAGCAGCAGTGGTTCGCAGCGCCTGCCACGTTGCAGGCGCGTCCCTACAGACCGCCGTACTCCGAGCTAGCCTGAGAGCCTAAGGCAGAAGTCGCGGAATGCTCGCGCGACTCACTTGAGAAGTGTCACTCTGGCCTTCCTCGAGCAGACGTGTTTCAGCCCGGGGCGTGGTCGTACCGCTAGCAGCTAGTATTAGCCTAGCGACTTGAAAACAGCTCGTGCTAAACAGCGCTAAGACGTTCAAGAACCACTCGCGGCCTGGTTGGGATGAGAACAGAGAGAGACAGAAAAGGGAAAGTAAAGGGGAGACGTTGGGTTTATCTTACTTGCCGCGCACCCGTCGGGGCGGCTGGCCCCGTACGCCGCCATTACCATAGTTCGGGTCTCTTGTCCAATAAGCGCTGGCCTTATCGTGAAAGGACCCAAACACTAGTATCTGAAATACGGCTCCTGTACTTGTATTTTAGTAATTGTTGTCACCACCGATCATCCAACACTTGTGAGGCCGAGTGACTCAGTGAGAGGTGCAGAAACCCATCGGAAATATTTTTCCTTGGTGTACACTCTCCTTGTTGCTCGAGTGTGCTGCGAGGTATTGTAGATTGTAGGGTGATGCTGATATCATCAAGATGAGAGAGTTGGTGATATCATGCCTCGTCACTTGTACACATATCGAGTCTTGGCTATCGCGATATCGTGTTGATAGACTTGATTAGCATGATCAATTGATATATGCATTCTTTACTCTCAGTGTTTGTTCAGCAGTGACATAAAATGAGGAGAATGATTGCAATGCCGCCTGTCATCAGGTTATATGTATGACAGTTGTACTTAGTACTACTGCCCCTGTGGATATGATTATGGACACGTCCGTTTCAAGATTGCCTGGCAAAACACCGCATGTCAGTCAATTAGCCTTCTTACACATGCAGAAGCATGCAGCCAATCATTCCCGGCCTCTGCGATATCTAATGCTTCTAATTTCTGCTCTGTGCTACACGCACGCTCTTACCACCAAAGGGCCCATGGTGATCTAGGTTCCCCTCCTCCTCCACCGCCTTTCCTACCCCACCGTCTTATATACTCGGAGGTCTCGTACTCACACCCAATAACATCTATCCAACTCGCTATTCAGATCAATTCTTTGTCTTCATATCAGCCAGTCAGTATGTTATATATTCACAACCACTGCTCTGGTCCTGACTAACACTTTCTTGACTTAGACCGAACCGACTCCATTCAAAACACAGACCACCACGTCAAAACAATGGCTGATCACGACGACGAACTCGCCACCAGCAAGACCGAGGGTTTCAAGGTGGGCGAAAAGAAGACGCTCGAGGAGTACAAGAACTTGGGTAAACCTGCCGCCAAGAATTTTATTTCTGCCTCAACTAATCTAAATGCCATGCTAGACCAGAACGACGAGTCTCTCAACCGATGGAAAGCGTCCCTCGGCCTGAACACGGGCGAACCCATCGGCGACCCCAATGATCTTCGCAAATGTATCATCGAGTCTCTAACCATCGAGGCTCCAGGCCGGTCTGACATCACTCTCGATCTCACCGGCCCCAATGCACTTGAGTCGCTCAAGGACAAGCCATTTACCATCAAAGAAGGCGCCAAGTTCTACACCAAGGTCGTGTTCCAGGTCCACCGTGAGGTTTTGAGTGGGCTGAAATACGTTCACGTTGTTAAACGCAAGGGTATTACTGTGACCAAGGATGAGGAGATGCTGGTTTGTTCCACTTCTCTCTACTTATCGGCCGTTCTTGGTTATTTACTGTTATATAGGGAAGCTATGCACCCAATACCACGGATAAGAGAAACTATGAGAAAAGATGTAAGTGTCTTTGACTTGATGAATGGCTGGTCTTGCTAATTCGGGTGCAGTCCACGAAGAAGAGGCCCCGTCCGGCATGCTCGCCCGAGGACACTATAATGTGCGATCGAGATTTGTCGACGATGACAAGCAAGTCCATCTCGAGTTCCAGTGGGCTTTCGACATTGCCAAGGACTGGGCGAAATAGACTGTTGCCAAGCACCTCCGATCTTCTCTCTCATTCTAAAGTACATTGATACCTGCGTTTGGCCTTATTGCAAAAATTTTCTTTTTCTTGTCTATTGTTATACTCGGGTTCATCAAGCCATGTCATGGCTTTATCGTGTCACGCCAGCTCCAAAGTCTGACCTGTCTAATGTACAAACCGGGAAATAGACAAACAGAAAGCAAGCGACTGTACATGCGACTCTATACCCTCTCATTGTACAATGTATAAGTTGACGAATGAGTAAACACTAGAAACATAAATGATATAAAACAAAGAACTCCATATATTTGCAAATCCAAGGGTATCACATCATTTCATATCACAAAAAGTATTCAACGATCGGGCTCTGACCATCCTTGCTCTGCTGCTGGGATTGTTGTTCGTTCCGGTGTGTATCGTTCTCAGGGGCAGCATCAAATATATTGAAGAACCGCTCTCCAGAGTCGCTCACTTCTAGAACACTGGCCAAATTGCCGCATCGATAGCAATAGTTGGGTGCGCTCCATACCGTACTCAGCTTATCATCGTATAGAACCTGATAGCCTTCTTGACATAATTGATGAGCGCGTAAAATATGCGACATGTTGTTGACCTCAAGAAACTTGCGAACCACTTGTGCCCCAAATGTGTATCCGGCACCGCGCGGCGATAGAGAAAATTCGTCGTGTTCGATGTCCGGATCCGACCAAACTAGGTCTGCCATGGGTCCTTCGTGTGGGATTTCTCGGAACCGATCAATGATTTTAATCTGGTCTATAGAATGAATCGAGGGTGACAGCCCTCCATGCACACAGAAAATCTGGTCGTTGATTACGACGCTGAGAGTAAGGAAATCGAACATGTCAGTGAAATAATGCCAGACATTAGCGTTGCCGTATTTCCTCGCACACTCTGTGTAAAATCCATACGATTGCGTGACACCTCGGGACTCATGATTTCCTCGAATAAGATGAACGCGTGAAGGATATCGTAGTTTCAAGCAGACGAGAAGGGAGATGGTTTCGACACTGAACAAGCCGCGGTCGACATAGTCACCTGGAAACATTTCGCAACTTAGCTTCGGGTCTTGATACTGCTATCTGTACCGGAGAAGACATACCCAAAAATAGATAGTTGGTGTTGGGACAGAACCCGCCTATCTTGAAGATCTCGATCATGTCAAAGAATTGGCCATGAATGTCTCCAACGACGGTCACCGGAGCAGCTAGGTGAACCACATTACTTTCCTTCATGAGCAATTCCTTAGCCTTGGCACATATTGCCTCAATGACAGAGTCTGCCAGCAGCTCCTTCCTATATAACCGCTCTATACATTCGTCCAAGTCGATGCTGGCTGCAAGAAAACCGACAAATTAGCATGGGCGGGTAGGTGCTGCACGGGATCTGGGCTTACACGGTAGTCCGGGCATTGTGACTCAGCAAGACGTTTCTCTATCACAAAGAATAGTAATCCCTTCGCGCGGTTATGGTTGGGGTTGAGAATGACTGTCGTGTGAGCTCTTCAAACGAGAAGTGGTGACAACAGGAAAATTGACTGGGTCCGTCGCAAAGTGACTATCATCATGCCCCGAGACGAAATATCAAGATATCAAAATATGACCGGCGTCCACACGAGGGGGGCACAGTTCGACACAGTAAACAAGTCCGTCCTATCGTCCTGCCGATGCAGATGTGGCCATTCAAAAATCACGCAGCAGCAAGCGGGCGCTTCTCAAGCTCGGGCTGGAGCAGCAGGCAGTCAGCCATGTTTAATAATGGAGGTCCTGATACGGTTGCTGAGCCTCATGTGGCTGGGTTGCCCTAGCCGTGTCGGGCTAGGGTTGGCGGTCTGAGAGCCGCCTGCAGCTTGGCATTACCCAAACGGGCGACGTGCCTGCCTCCTCACCGCCTGCCGCATCGGGCACCTGCTGCTGCATCTCCTCGGGGCTCACGTGGATTCGACTGACTGGGCAGGGGCTGCTAGCAACTAATAGCCTTCTGTATGGCAACAACATTGGGCTGCAATCCTCCATCATAGCTGTCGTCGTCGCTTCCCAACCCCAGCAGCCCCAGAGGTACGCTGGTGCGCCCTGCCCTGCAGGTCCGCGCCTTGGTCGTTTCTTCATATGTCTGTCCTGTCCTCTCTTCCGGTTGCACTGTCTCATTCCTACATACAATACATATTGCTTTTTCTCTCTCAGCGCTGTGCGCTTTCTATCCCATTCGGAATCATGAATTCTACATTACATTTTCTGTAGTGGCTTGCTATCTCATTTATACACTCTTTGACGCCGAGGGAAGTAGACGTGGTTACTGGACTCTTCAGGATACAACCCCGGCATATGTCGCCAGAGGAACCCCTGCGGTGACACCCCTACTGGTCTTTTTGATTAAACGTTCCATGGCCGTCCCCTACCAGAGTTGACCTCTCGAAAGTGGTGTGATTCTTTTCGTATTTGGATCTGTATTTGGTAATGATTTCTTGCGTCCCCCGCGTCTTGAACTGCACGATACAATATTTCCTGCTAGGCCTACGGATACCCATTGATCGCTTTATTCCTGGACCCTTGAGTCGAGGCCGTACTTCGAAGCCTACTGTGAATTACTTATTGAGCGACATTAATAAAGAAGTTATGAAATGGATGAATTTTATAAACCCCAGAACGGTCCAATATATCACAGATATCCGTATCCTCCGGAATGGAGAAACGCGATCCCGAATGATCTCAGTGATGCTAACGAGACAGGTCATTCCAGTGTACTTGCAAGTACTTATCAGCTGCCTACGACGAGCTCTGTGAGGTCGCCGCGATTTCATGAGGTCCATGAACCACAGGCTCAAAGTCAAAGCCACTTGCAGCCTCGTTCAAGCCCGACGTGAGTTAATCATATTTCAAGATATGAGTCCTTCTTTTCTCATCGGCCTCTCAGGATCTCGGATGTCCCACCCTGCTCTCCAAAGCGGCAGAGGACGTCTGATTCAATGGCAATCACGGGCTCCTTTCCGTTGCCATATAAACCTCCATCGGCGAGTCACTTGACTTCCAATCAGCTCCCTCGGACTACAATTTCACTAACTTCTCAGGACACTTACTCCTATCAGCGGACCCCTTTGCAGCATAATACGGGAGGGGTCTATGGGTATGAACCAGACAGATTGGTTAGTTCTACAAGCTTCCGTGATGCGAAATTTTCTCCGCCCACTGTTACCACTGGCCAATCCACTTGGAATGCTATAAGGCCAGAATCTCGACCCCAAGACAGGGGACACAGTGGTTCCAGAAATGGCAATCGTCGTGGTAAATTTAATCGCCAACATACTCCACGTTCTGAAGTACCTTACTCTGCAAAGGATTCATCTGTATCTCCTGGAAGTTCGAGCAGAACATCTCCTGATATCCACACCAGCAGGTTATATGGGCTTTCTCACATAGATCAAGGACAACACGGGGCTAATAAAACTGGGACAACCCTCTACCTTGCCAGCTGCCCTCTTCCTTCAAAGTTTCTGGATGACAACGATAATCATGATCAATTTTTACCCGCTACTTCAAGGGGAGGAGCAAAGTGTACATTCAGATATATTGCAGCTTCAGATGCGGATGATTCTATACGACCCATCTGGGAGACCCCGTATTGGCCAGAAATGAGAGACGACCCTATATTTCATGACCTATCAAAAGATGGGTCTGTGGTTCCCATAAAGGAATTAGTAGCACGCCGTACTCGGATTCTGAGCAATCACGTTCTTCTTCCACCAGTCATGAGTGAGAAGGGTACACAAACTGACTTTGATGCTGCGACTCCTCCCACTTCGGTGATCTCAATTGACCGAGAAATGGATTTTAGCATGGACCACCCAAGGGCATTGGAATCCGCAGGCCAGGTTCCTGAAGTTACGGAATCCATTCGTACGCATAACACACATTTGGATTTCAGGCGAGAGAATTCTTTCCCAAGAAGAAAAGTCCATGGAACTAGGAAGAACCATCGCGCTGGTAAAAATGCCCATGGCGACATTTCGATTAGCCCACCACGGGACAAGTTAAGAAACCTCAAAAGACCGAGATCCACTCTAGAGGATTACGAAGATACCATTGATAGACCGGAAGCAAAAATAAACACCAGTCCCAGACTGCAAGATACTTCGGTTTACAGGTATTGGTCCTTTATCAAGATGTAGACATGTGCTAATAGGGAATTTCTAGTCGAAGATGGTGATTCTTTGACAATACTATACAGCTTTCTAAAAATCACAAAGATCCAATATCTCAAGGAAGCTGCACTGCATATTTATTGAATGGCGTTCTTACGATGACGGAGTATGTTGGAGCTGATGATATAACGGGATTTTGAAGACTAGAGAAGGAGTTTGAAATGAGTGAAAGATTCCGGCTGTCTTATATTATTGTGTTGACATTATTGATATTTTGTTCACGCGGTGTTAGCTAGAGTATTAACTAGGATTGTCTTGACGGCACATCAGGTTGATACCATTTGGTCTATTTCTAGATTTCGTCTTGGGAGCGTAACTGATGCATTAAATTATGGGTATATCATATCGTATCTTATCATCGATTGACCCCAATAGCAATTTCATAAATGGTGACGATAAGTCGATCACTTAACTACACAAAGTCAATCGCTGGGGGGATAGGGCTAATACCATTTTCTGTCATTACATAGAGAAAGCAACAAGTCTGAAAGTCTTTATTGTCTAATTAGATATTATTTTTTCAATAATTCTTGGTGTGCAGAGGTATCTTCATCCGACTCCTCTTCTTCCTCCTCGTCCGAGTCTGTCTCTTCATCCGAGTCCGTTTCATACTCTGTAGAGCCGGATTCTTCTTCTTCTTCTTCTTCCTCCTCCTCCTCTTCCTCCTCCTCTTCTTCTTCATCCAGCCAATCGTTGAGGCTCTTTTGTCCTCCTGGCTGGCTACCACTCGGACCCGCCACGCCAGACTGCCGCGCCTGTGCCGTTCCGGATGCGACACTAATTTCATGGTCCTTGACAGCCTTGTCCAGTCGTTGGCCAGCCGTCATACCCGTGGCTCGCTCAACAGATGACTCCATCATCAAGCCAGCGTCCCGTAATGCGCTATCCGGTTCCTGTCCGGCGGGTACCCAGTCCGGTAACGGCTCGTAGCCTGTCAACCCATGAATTCCCGAATCAGGCCCCACCACTAATGTCGACGTGCCGATTAAGAGATCCTTTCGAGTCTCTGACGGACTTGGGGCGTGTGGAACAGGCTTGGGCGCTAGGAGGAGGAGACTGGCAAGCTGGGTGTTTTTACGGTCTGACAAGAGACCCCTGTACATGCGTGCACGGTCTCGGAGGTCATAAGAGGTGTCGTATCGCGTGAGAAGAAGGATGTATTTCCACAGGAGGGTGATGCGGTCGTCTTCCGGCTGTTTATCCGGCAGTGACTGTTCTGGAGCTTCGCTAACTTCATCTTCTTTCGTAGTCTCTGCCCATTCGTTTTTGACAGTGGATTCAGGCTGTGGTTTGCTTTCTTCCTTCAGCTCCTCGGTTTCTGGAGGTGGGTTTTGAAGGAGGTGGTGAAGATAGACTTTTGCAGCAAGAAGAACAATTTGCTGTTTGACTTCTTCACTCTCGTCAGGAAAGCTCTTAGCTAGTATGCGTAGAACATCTGGAGCAATATTAGTCTCCAGATCGGCGGCTGCGTACTCCCCTACCAGCCAAATAATGGATGCCCGTGCCCCTGAGCTGGCTGTCGTATCGAGACTGGCGGCTAGGCGAGTCACTGTTTGCTTGTGTGCGTCGGGATCTTGTTGGATTAAGTGGCGAATGACTGTCAACGATTCAGAAACTACGTTCTCATCAACACTAGAGATTTGGCTCAAAAGGAGTCGTAAGCAGTGAGTCGAGGTTCGTGCATCGCTCTGCGCGCAGCGACCGATTGCACGCACACTTTCTCGAACCAAATCAGGGTCTGTCGCGTTCGAGAAATGCTCAAGCTCGCTAAGGATAATGCCTCTAAGGTGTATTCCAAGATGAGGGAAGAGAAGTGTTAGCACCTCAAGTTTGAGGCGCCAAATGTGCGGTGGATCGATTGCATGGACAAAGAAATGAGAAGCGTATTTAGCAAACGGCTGGGGAGCCTCCAAGGCAACCGCGACGATGTTGTAGAGTGCAATGTACTGGATATCTTGGGGACAACGAAGAAGTGCTACCAGTGGTCCAATAGCACTTTCCAGATAGTCGGGTGTACCGAGGTAGAGATAACAGCGGGCTATGCTCACAATCACAGCAGATGTTCGGCTTTGTAGTAGTGGTCGACAGCCTCGCAGGAAGAGTTCAAGGTCTGGGTCTAGCACTTGGACCTCCTCGCCAGTCTCATCGCCATTAATTGCGCCGTTGGCTGGTGCATTTTCGTCTTCATCATAAAACCCCCTTTCCTCTGTCTTCTTCACTTTCCGCGTTTTTCGTGGGAAACATTTTCTCGCATATACTGTCAACAATCGCAATGTAGCCAGCTGGCCCCACTCATCCATGTCCACCAGCTTCTTCACAAGACTGCGGTAATGCTTATGAATCAAGTCCAACTGATCAGGACATACGTCGAGAAACGCGGAGACTGCAGGACCGACCACGAAGTATTGGCTATCACCCAAAAGAGTCAAAAGATAACCTGTCAGTTGCGGTAGTGTGTTTGGGTCGAGTCGATAGCATTTCGGTATAGCCAAGGCAGCTGCTTTGCGGACGTGAGGGCTCATATCTCCAACGCCGCGTTTTATGGCGAGTGAAACAATTTGACTGATGACGGGAACTCTGATACCCGACATAGTTCGCAGGGCCATAACCCGAACCTGCGGGTTAGAGTCCGTGAGCGACTTCTGTATTGCATTGATCGAAAGCAAGGCGAGATCTGGTTCCGCTTCGGCCTGGTGGAGGAGGTATATATACACTAATTTTTTGACCTCGATGTTTGAGTTTGCGGCATTTTTGACGACTGCTGAAAAGTATTGTAGACAGGACTCCGACTGGTACATTAACTAAGCATCAGGGAAAAGGTCAGCATCTTCAGCGAACAGCAGCCACAACACAATCGCAGGAATCCTACCGAGATGACCTTTCGTAGCCCGTCTAGTATATCTCGGTCATTGCGACTATCCAGCAGCTTCTTAATTTGTGCAGAGGAGGTATTCCGAGACGAGCTTTGCGAGCGCAAACTCCTGCTACTGCCCGCAGATTGGGCAGCTTCGATCGTGAGGTCCCGAGCTATGAGCACACGAGTGCATTGGTGAGCAACGGAGCCCAGTTGAGTCAAAGGCAAGGGACTAACCTGCTTCCAGCATGGAAGATATTCTCGATATCGTCTCCATGCCTGTCAGCTAGACCTCTGCGAGTCTTCCTAATGCGCACTGGAGCGCAGTTGTGGGATCAGTCTAGATTGAAGGTCATGGTAAATTGGCGGGGGGACTGCCGTGTGATTTCATTCCGCGGCCGTAGTCTCCACTCATGTATTATTCCGCCTCAACAAACACCTATCTCTATCAACGACAGTCCCTACCAGGCTAGCCTCACCACGTCGTGACTAGATGTGGTGTAGACAATATTGGAACTATATGTTCTGCCCTACACTGGTAGGAACCTCGGTGCTTTCATGGTTGATGCACGGGTGCGTCCTTTTGCGCGTGTGGCAGATCTGGTTGACTACCTACTCTACGACAGCAGCCGCCCTACGACCCTGATTGTCTGTTCCACTCGGGCCAAATTTCTCGAGCAGCTGGCTGCTAGTGTGTCAAAAAGGATACGGGAGTCACAGGATCAAATTTCTAGCGAGGAGCCACTGCATAGCTTAGAAGCCAACAGGGAATCCATCCAATCCCGTCCGCCTGATCCCCTTTTAACGAAGACCATCGGCATCCTCGCGAATTCGAGAAGTGTCAGACTAGTGTTCTGTACTTCACTGGAGCATTTGCGTGCATATCTGTCGTCATTAGGAACCGGTTTACGTAAAGGATCAGCAGGACAGGACACGGCCCGCGGAACAAGAATAGTTGTCGTGGACCTTGTTGCTCTTCATTACATGAGCACTGAGTTCTCGGCTCAAGGTCTTTTGCGAACACTTGCTCTTGCAGTCGAAACAGCTGCAAGAATTACGTCAAGTTTGGTGCTGTGTGAATGTGAAGATGCGATGGTTGCGAGAAATCCTAATCGTGGCCAGAGATTATGGGACCTACATGTCCCTATTGTAAGCGGTACAGCTCGACTACAAGACGGGGTCCGGCAGATTACTGTTAAGCAGGTAGCTCAAAGATGGTTCCGCTTCGAAGGTGAGGATAGAATTACAGTGGAGAGGGGTGCTTCTAAGGATTAACATGAACTCAAATAACTATATGAAACAAATTCATAGACCACCGGGTATAGTTTAACCTTGACACCGAGCAACAAAACTCCAAACCCGTTAACCCATTCATTATTATAGACACTTTTCCATTTCCGTAATATATAGTTTGATATGGGATTCCAGCTTCAAATACTCGTCATGTGCTCTGTGGATTTCGTTTTCAATGTTTTCCTTGAGATCCGTCATCTAGAAAAGGTTAGAGTATGCTCTTATGGCGTCTGTGAAAAACTGACCTTCTTCTCCGTCTGCTCAATGCGTATCCTCTTAATTTCCATCGCTTTCTGCTTCTCGGCGCGTTCCTCCCTGAGCTGCCTTTGTGTATTACGTAGTTCCTCCATCCGAGCTTGTGCGATGTCCTGTTTTTCTTGGCTGTTCTTGCGAAGAGCTTCGATCCTCTCATTCCAACGGGCTAGTTGTCTCTGGAGAAGTTTCTCGGTTTGTGCGACTTCACGCACATTATTGCCCCGTTCTGAAATGGCGTCTTTATTCCGGGCCGCACGAGCATCTTCCTCCTCTTCTTTTTGCAGCTCAACGGAAATATCTTCCAAAACTTTGACACAAGCCTGAACTTCGTTGGCAACGACAGTAAAAGTGTCTATAGATGTTTGCAAAGCCCTCAACCGCCGCTCCATTGCATCCACTTGACTCTTTTCACGGGCTAGGTTTTCAGATAAGTCTGTGAGAGAAGACTGTAGACTGGCCGAACTCTGCTGCACGTATGGACGCAGTTTTTCAATCTCCTGTCGTGTCCTGATAGCTCTCTCCATCTTCTCTTCGAGCGATGCCTGCCTTTTAGCCTTGTCGGTTTTTGCTTTTTCAAGCTCCTCCGTTATTTTGGCCTGGTTCTGACTTAATATTAACAAGCGCGCTTTTAACGAATTGTTGCGTTGCATTTTCTCCTTGACTTGGCCTTCAAGCGATTTTTGATTCCTGCGCATCTCATTCACTCGCTCGTCGATTTCTTGGTTTTCGGCGTAGAGGGTCTCAATACGCGCTTTCGTGCGCTCGGCTTTGTTGAAATGCTCATCAATGACAGCGGTTTGCGACTCACGGAACCGGACAAAATTAATCAAATATGAAAATATTTTCACGAGACGGTCGTGTGTAGGTCGCGTGAGGTCAGAGAATGTAAAATCGTTGACTCCGCACTGTGCCAAAGTCAACATTAAGAACATGTCTGTCAGCAGTCGCACATACCTCAATCATCAGTCGTCTTAAGTTGATAAAAAATCCCATCAAGTTGCGTGTATCATTGGGGACGATATCGGACATTTCACCACAGATATCCTGTGCTGCTGCGCGCATTGCTGGGTCGACCGTATCGCGAGTAGTGTTCATCAGAAGTTCGGCGAACCATTCTAGCACCATTTGTATTTGTTGAGGGTTCGGCTTGAGCAGGTCCGCGGCTGTGAAAGGCACTCCAATGTCGCTTATACACCCTGCGATCTCCTTGTCTGGCTATTGTTTTTGTCAGCCATAGCAACCAAGGCAGGTTAGAGAGGACTCACCAGACGCATTAAAGCGTCGCTGTCATCTTCCTTTCTGCGGCTCCGATTCTGCTGCTGCCCGCTATGGAATTGCTGGCTTACTCTATGATTGTATGCCATGATGCGCTGGAGAAGTTCAGTTATTGGGGGATTGTCAAGCTTATCAAGGCGAAGGACGCAGTTGTTTTGTTTATCCGTGGCCCCAGAAAGGGATTAGCGCGGGATACCGATGGCAGTGGAGGGGCCGATGCAATCAGTGCAAACATCTGGCGGGTGATGACTGCAGCACAATCAGAATAATAAGTTAAATCATAATTTGTTTCCATCGTCGTTATTGCTGAGTGTGCATCGGGTTAAGAGGCTAAACCCTAAGCTCGACTTGCTCAAAGTCTCTCTGGCAAATATGGCACCTATCGGGTCTGCCCCGTTCGAGTACGCTCATACATACCCCTCACGATTGATATTTCTAGCTCTAACAATCATTTCCAGCATCGTGTCGACCTACTATGATCTCCTCAAATCCGACCCCGATCTTACGATGCCCATAGCGGCTATCGAAGCCTTGGTACTTCTTTTGACACATTCGCCGTCTTCTACGATTTCCGAAACTCTCGACTTGCTAGACAAGCATACCACTGTCTTAAAAAACGCCGTTCCCAACCCCATTGCCCTTTCCGCAGGCACGGATTTGTTCCAACGATACCTTATCACAACTTTACAGAGACCAGGTCAACTAGGGCCGGCCGGCGATTTCAATGCTATCAGAGCTCATTTATTGTCCAACGGGCGATTGTTCATCAAGCGGGCGAAAGAAAGCCGACATACAATTGCCGCGTTTGGAAAAGGGTTCGTTCGAGATGGGAGTACGATATTAACGAACGGTGGTTCCCGAGTCGTTTCCGCCTTGCTGCAGAAAGCAGCAGATGAAATGAGCGGGCCTTCGGCTGTTCGATTCCGCGTTATTTACGTTCTATACGGTATCAGCGATGCCGATAGCCTTACAGTGGAGCCGGAAGGGTTAGAAACGGTACGGGCATTGAGGGCAAAGGGTGTACCGGTTGCTACTATCCCAGAGTCTGCTGTAGCCTACTCGCTCGGCAAAGTAGATACAGTCATAGTTGGTGCTGAGGGTGTGGTGGAAAACGGGGTATAGTGTCGAGAATGGGGACCTATCAGATTGGTCTCCTGGCCAAAGCGATGGGAAAGCCATTTTATGTTGTCGCCGAAAGCCACAAGTTTGTTCGTCTCTACCCACTGGGACAATACGACCTTCCAATCGAGCAGCATGTGATTGATTTCAAATCAGAGGAAGATCTGGGTACAGATGGGAATATTGGATCTTCGCAAAATAGCAGTGGGAAAGACTCGGAGGGCAAGACCGATGTTTCGCCTGAAGCAAAGGCCGAACACATGGCTGCACTATTGAATGGGGCACCACCTGAAAAAGTGGATGGCTCGCGCCGACGCGATGCAGTTGATTTCACCCCGCCGCACCTCGTCACTGCGTTGATCACAGAAAGCGGTGTACTGACGCCGAGCGCTGTTAGTGAGGAGTTGATCAAGATTTGGTTCTAAATGATGTTTTGGCCCGTTCAACCATTTATACACTATGGCGAGCCGTGCTAGGTTCAGTTTCGGCCATTAGGTGTCCCTCCGTCGCCTACAGGCATCAAAATTAGACCATCGGGCACTAAAAAGATAAAAGACGACATATGAAAGATATGTTGAGAGGGACACCTCGATCCAGCAAAATACATTGCACGAAACGCAGGTATGAATACTGTACGAAATAATGGTCTGGCTTGATGCCCAAGGCATCTGTCAGAGAAATTTTATAAGGTTGATGAATTGCCATGGTCAATTTCACCGAAATAATAGATAGGATCGCCAGTCTCTATTCTACCTAATCTAATACAAACTTCTCAATACCGATTGATTCTGAGATTCTCTTTCTACAGGCTTGGCCAATTGTGATATCTTTGTAGAATCCTCCCTAGCATCACGGCTCCAGCACGCCTTCGTGAAGTGTAGCAATAACCTCAAGTCGAAACGCGAGTAATCAACGACACTCGAAGTAATCATTTGGTTGACGAGTCATCACATTCATTCGTATAGAAATATTGTCAGTTAACACATCTTAATCCTTCTTCAATATTATTGTCGAAACGTATCATTTTGATCCGTTGCTCAGATCCATTCAATCGCCCTCAACACGATGATAGCTCCTCGGTATGATAGACTGGATATTCATTTCTCGGTGTAGCGACGAAATCTTGTCCTCGTGAAAGAATGATATCGCGGGTACAGTATTCAATCTCAGTGTAGAAGGTGGCGAGAGAGAGAAATGGCTATGCGTGGCAGCGAAGGCATAGAGAAGGAGATAGCCCAGGGCGACGAGGAGGAGGATGGCTGGCATTGTGGATGTTGATTGATGCTTAGTTTGTCTGATGTATCGACAAGATCGTTGTCAAAGGTTGAGTTTTATGCACGAATGATCGCTGGGTTGTTATACAGGTGCTGCGAGTCACATTCTGTGCTTACGGTTCTTTGACTCATGTATGACTGTCAATCATCGAGACGACGCAAGATGAACACGATGGAGAAGACATGGATATGCTTTCAGACCCCTCGATTCAACGAGCAGTCATCCGGCTTGAGTGAACTGTATTAACCGCAGCTGCTTCGTTATATGGTAGATGCCCGAGGCATCCATCGTCAAATCATAATCGTTCTCATTTTGAGGGTAGAGTCAGCAGGCTGTGATTGGTGGTGTGAGCGAAAGAGTCAGGCATCAGCCCAATCAAAACAAGAGACGCTGCGGTGGGATGATTTAGTATTTATCTACTATCATATTGGGATGAGAGATACTGCTCTAGCGGTGAGAGTCAAGTGATTTGAGTGGTGGGTTTGGTTCCCCGCGTTTCCTTCAGTGTTTCTTAGTCGAAGTTTGGCACGATTCTATTGATAATTAATTACTGATACCGATATCGGGTTAGCAGCGATGTTCTTGTTCTTTTGTTCAGAGTAAGGTAAGAACATGTTCCAGTATTATTATTATTATTATTATTATTACTGTTGTTATTATTATTATTATTGCATTGTGATGCATCGTGTCGCATCGCTTTGAAGATCAAATGACCAAAGGCCACATCTGCCGCCAGCATCCGCCACCTCTTCACGCCTCTTCTTAGTACTTAACCACTAAGCATTATAAATTACTGAGCCGGCTCGCTGTTGATCAGCTTTTATTCTCCTATCACAGATCCAGCTAAAACTTAGTCGCTTGCTTGACGGAGGTATCATCGGGACTATCTCATGCACATCCCCGCCAATAACAGCAGCCTCACGCCAGAGCAGCCTCTTCAACCCACCACGATACTGTCCTCCACGATTCGCTGGCACCATACATGTCAGATTTGCCATCGCGATTCCTTGCACGCTGTGATCCACGTACCCAATATACCATCATCTTTCCTAGATTATTGTCTTGACAAGTCATATCGAGCCAAAGAGTCAAAAAAACAAGAAATAAAAAAAAACGAACTTCGACATGGATGCGGAGACGTCTACTAGAGCTTCCAGTATTGGACACCGATCCTCCAGCCTCTTGATAGGCGAGCGCAGACGCTCCCTTGTGGAAGATGACCAGCGCGTCTCCGGAAGAGATTCCTGGTCGATCAGGAAACTGCTCGGTCGTCGGCCAAGTGAAAAGTATCGCACGCTTGAACGCCGAGAACCGCGTCGGTTGAGGAAGAAGTCGCTGTCGGAGAAGTATTCGCTTGGCCAGCAGGGTTGATAATCAGTCAATCTGCTGGCAGAATGATAAGCTGGGTCAACATCGACGAATCCAAGGAGACTGTCTCTTTCTAGCTGTTAAGACCTCGCGTTGCTGGCAACGTGAACCAATCACATGTGGCGTTGGCGTTTCCTTCTACTTTACAAGATGATGTTATGGATACTATACTGTCTACCCGAATTACTATTATCATGCATCTACATATTATATCAATCTACACATTATATCACACCCGGTAGCAAAATGACGATGAAACCTCATCCCCATTCCACGGGCTGAAGAATTACCACGGGAGAATTAATTTTAGAATGTTGCCGAATCCTCAAACCCAAATGACGGGGCATCGGCTGCTGCGACGATTGTCGAAGTCGGCCTTCGTCGTCGCCCACCGCCACCACCACCACCCTGCTCACCGATCGCAATCGATGTCCCTGCCATCGGCGCCGGTGGAGGCGGAATCGAGAACAATGCCTGCTCCTCGTCCCTCGCGGCTGTGACAGGACTCTTTGCTTCTGAGGTATCCGGCGCTGCTGGGCGTCTTCGACCGACGTTGACACTGATTCTCTGGCCGGGCTTGAGGCTGTAATCTTTCGGGGGCTCTGATGCGGACTGGTCTGTTGATAGTGATGACAGCAACGATGATGCAGACGCCGTGTTTGACGGCGCAGTAGCCGCCCCTGTACCCTCGGTGGTGGCCTCGGCTATTCCCAGGATCTTTCTCGCTTCTTGCAGCGCAACGCCAAAGTCGAAGGCATCACTGCGGTCCTCGAAGCCGATTCCCAGCGACGCCTTCCTGCCCTCGCCGACGACGCGGAGAACAAAGAATCGCGACGAGTCTAGGACATGTTCCACGGCGCCGGCATCGGTGTATGGTGCCGCAGCGAAGAGACTACCGGTGTTGGGGTCCTCGAGCAGAATGTCGGCAGTGACACGGTCTTGAATGGCTGTCTCCAGGACGCGCAGACGACCGGTGAAAATCTCGCGGGTTTGACCAGTTTGGGCATCAGGGACAGTCCAGTCTGCAGCTGTGTAGCCCTTCATCGAGGTCAAGGGAGGAACGGCGTAGACGTGGATGGTGCGAGCGAGAAAGAGAACCCGTTGCAGGGCATCAGCAGGGAGGGGCTGGCCCGTTGCGGGGTTGACCGCAGACATGTGTGATGTGGTGTGATGTGATGTGATATGATGTACCGGGATGAGAGATGGTATGGATTGATATTAGAATTTCTGCAGAGTTTTCGAGTCGAGAAAGGGGTGTGGCAGACAGTTCCTGTAATGGTAGTGCATGGTGTTGCTGTAGTTGTTGTTGCTGTTAAGCGTTGTCGGCAGTAGAAGCGGGATCTACGTGCTAACTTTCACCGCCGGGAGATTTCCTCTGCAGCCCGGTCCTCCGATGGCCGCCATCGCATTTCTATGTTACGATTGTATGATATTATCTTAGGGGCTGCTGGCGAGATTGGAAATAATATAATGGCCATTCTGCACTCAGCGACGCGGCAAAATTAAAATCGAGCCGCAGTCGATAGCGCGTGCACCATGGCATTCGGAGTCCGCCGCCAGTCCGATCATCACAGTACAGGAAGTACTAACCAGTTAACCTAATTAAGTAGCAAGCGGTCACAGACAACGCAGGAACGATACCTAGCTGGCGGCAACTAAGACTAGGCACTGCAATGTCTCACAGCATGAAACAGATGCCGAGCTGCCCTTAAGACAAGACACGACGACCACGTTGGCAGTGACAGCGCATGGGCTAATTAATTCCTCTCGTGAGTATCGGAGCGATTCCATTCAGTAGTAGGAGTACGTAGTACTAGGCAGTAGTCGGCCAGTCTTCGAAGGTCGAACGTTGAAGCCAGCCTGATTGGCGATAGTGGTAGGATAAGAACAGGATAAGAATAGACAAGGCCCGTGCCGCTGACATGGATGCTTAGTACCTCATGTTAATGCTTCGGCTTGGCTATATACGTATGTGGCGATGCTCGCCTTCTAATTATGGCCTGGGTGCCATTGTTCACGGCAGAAATGAGGAATTCCAACTCTCCAAAGACGAGCAGATCCAATGGGTCGACCCGTCTGGATCGCACAGGACAATATTCCAGTCGCACTAGTGATTTTTGCTCTGATTTTGAGTCCAAAATTACCAATACCGAGAATACAGTATAGTATTCAGGTGACCACCGTTTAGTACTCCGTCCTGTGCAATCCAATAGAGAGGCCGGGCTCCACACCGCGAAACCAACCAGTCAGAATGCTCCTCGCGCTGTGGCGTATTGATGGGGTCAATACCAGTACGGCGTAACGGCGTACCAGCGTCATATTCGTAAGGAGCTAATTATAAGGCCGGCTGACTAGGCGTGGTGGTTTCCCTTTCCCGCTGTCAAAAGAACAGGCCGACTTCTCTCGCTCTCGCCTGCCTTTGATCCTCCATCCGTCCTCGTTGTCCTGCCAGTCTGTTCACCACCTCCATAATAATACTGCTCTGTCAACTGCCTCCCATACATTACATTGCTCTCCCAGTCCCACCCATGAATCCACTCAGTCCTCGTCGCCCACCCACAACCACTGACCCGGGCGCCTGCCACACCATCTGACCGCCACGCTCGCCGGCAGCGTCCACCTGCGCCGTCCCAGCCAAGACCACCACGAAGGCGCAGCAATGGCGATATGGCCCTTTGGCCGCAAGGGCAAACGGCCCAGGAGCCAGATGAAGGCCTCCGACGCCGTGGATAGAGGGGTCGCCGACTTGTCTCCCGTGCCAGAGCAGGCCTCGATTGCAAGAAAGCCCTCGAGAAAGCGGTCCAAACGAGACAAACGGAGGAGCACACCTCCGCGCCATCGCTCGCCCCCTTCTCGCACTGTCATGCCGACGACTGCTGAAGGTGCCGCGGCGTCGTTTGCGTACAACCTGGACAACCGCACCTCGCAGTCGAGCATCGGTCAAGACAATTTCACTTCGAGTCGCACGACCCCGATGCTGCAGAAGCGCTCGAGCACCGCCAGCAGAGGCACCTTGAAGAAGAGGTTGAGTAAGCGCTCGGCAAGAGAGGTGCAACGGGAGCAGGAAATTCGCGCCATGAGCTCTTCACCCCCGGCCGTCCATCCTCATCATCCTGCTACAACTTGGACTTATCTGCCATCCGATGTTCGCATGGGTCCCAATGCGAATAGTCGTCATGCTGACCGCCATATTTCAAACCAAAGCTTGCCGATGGATTCTCGTTCGTCCATGTCTGATCACTCGGATTCCTATACGTATAAAGTCAACGCTTTCGCCGTGCTTACTCCACGGCCAATTATTCGCTATAGTGAGAATCCGAAATTTCCTGTCCCGAGAAGTACGATTCCATCTGCCAATTCGATGCGGAAAGATATCAAGCTGGACGAGGAGGAGGACATTCTTTCAAAGAAAAGAGTGGCCGAGCTGGCCGACGACTTGGATGCTCCCGCTCTCAGAGAGCTTCTAGAAAGAGACCGCAGGCGCAGAGAAAAGAAGCGGCAAGAGAATCAGGAGAGAATACAGCGCCGGTTACAACGGAGAGCCGAGCGCGATCGCGAACAAGAGAGAAATACGGCAGCCCCAGTGGAGAATTTAGATGAATTACGAGGCAGGGATCGGACTCCATCTCCCACAACCTCGTCCAAACAGCTGCAGTCCGTGCAGAATATCAATGCACCCCGTGACAGTGTACAATCGCAAACCCAACCGGGCTCGTGGCTGCGCGGGTCTTCCAGAGAAAGCCAACGTAAAAGCAATCGCTTCTCTGATATTTCTACACATGTAATCGGAAACATCGACGATCGGTCTATTCGTGCGGGGAAGACTGCTCATGATCCTCGTCCACTGGAGAGCCAGACGCCACAGAATCAATCACCAGCGCGCCAAACTTATGCGAGCATAAGCTCTCCGCGAGTCAACAATATCGCCGAATCAGTGTCCGATTTATCACGCACGGAAATCTCTGAAAAACGCCTGTCAGATCATAGCGGCAGGCGCATGACTTCGTGGATGTCTATCTTCAGCCGGAGTAGCCCTCGTCGCAAAGGTTCGAAGGAGCTTGATGCGCCGTCTTCCGATTTCTCCAACACCTCTCGTGAATCGTTTTCCAAAGTTCAGGCCCATGCCGTCAACTCAAATCACACACCTTCTGTCCCGATCCCAATTCCAGAAAGAAGCTTCCTGCGGACTGGTACAGTTCACCGCTCACAATCCAAATTCACCGAACATCTTGGAGATTACCCTATTTCCCCTCCCGACTCTCGCGTACAATCTCCAATTCCTATCCCACTCGAACGCCCTCCCGACGCTTCAGTTGCCAAGGAAGAGGCAGCTAATGTTAGTCCCCAGTCTTTTGTAGAGAACCATGAGATGGAAGATGTGGACCGCGCTTGGGATGACAACAGTGCGATGCTCTCCCAATCGCTTGCTTCAATTGACTCGGAAGGGTCTTGGATGTCAGGCAAGTTTTTGCGCCGAATTTCGCAGAACCCTGCCCAGACTGCCTTGAGAAACAGTACCGGGAGGAGCAAACTCAACAAATACGACGAAACCAATGAAGGTGACGACGTTGCCAGCGACGACTATTATAATCAGCTAGCGGGAGAGTCCCCGGAGAAACGAAACTCTATTACTGGTATGCGCAGAGCAAGCAGCACTGCGATGGGTCTTGAAGGCATCGAAAGCGATTCCGATTCCAAGGACACAGAAGCCTGGCACGGAGGAGCCAGCCGCAAGCCAGTCGTCAGAAACGCCATTGTGCGGGCGAAATCCAGAGAAATTGTGCTCAACGATATCTCCATGTTGGATACGTCTATGGATGAGGAAATCAGCCCTGTCAGCCCTGTTAGTCCTGTCAGCCAAGACGAACCCATCGAGATCAAACGTGCTCAAAGCGTTGATTATGGCCGCGGACACGGCCACGCACGCCAAATGAGTGCTGGCAGTGCAAAGTTGTTGGATATTCCACCTAGACAGTCGATGGACTCCAAAGATTTGTCTACAGAATAGGTGGTTGGTTGCTTGAAATGCGAGTGAGGTGACGCCTCGGTGCTACTCTACTTAGCTGGTGCCACATTCTTTACAACATTCTTGCCGGAGCCCAAAACAAAAAAAAACTTGAAACAATCTGAAACGGAAAAAAAAGTGAAAATGATTGATTTGAAAAAAAGATAAAAATCCCAACAAGAAAAGCAAGAAGGAAAAAATGAAGGAAAAAAAGAAAGAAAAAAAAATCAGGAAAACGACAAAAACCAGAAATCGCTTGACGATTTATCACACTCATTCTATTTCCTCATCCATACCAGCCTGCTCCGGCTCGAATCACTATCCCACCCATCCAACAAACTAGCACTGAGACTGTCATCAATCCACCAACTGGAACCAACTGGCTGGCTGACTGAATCCTTTTCGCTTTTCGCTGTTCTTTCTGATACCCCTTTTCTTTGCCATTCTTTCCATCATGCCCCTGTACATTGTGCTTTATCAATTCGTGTACTTTCCGGTGATCACTGTATATAGTAGGAGTGTTAGTTACAGTTTGCTCTGCGAGTAAATACAAGCAACATCGGCTCGATCTGTTTACTCTGCTGTGAATACAAATAGACCAAATCATACATCTTCATATCTTCATATCATGCATGGAATCCATTTTAGTATCTGTATAGACACTGGCCAATCACCGCGCGCGGCAGAGTCTAGAAGCGGCAGCTTGGTAAGCCGAGCACGTCATTGCAGCCCGTCCACCGCCTTCCGTTTTCACTCTACTCCTGCATAACTTACACTGCATATACCATACACGGGCGGATTCTGCTATTGTTGCTCTATTAGAACCAACGTTGGTGTCTAATCTGGTGAGAGACCTGCCAGAAAGTCAATTGGGGTAGACTAATCGAAACCAGTATTATTATTGCCCCTGCTGTCCTGTAAGCTATTTGGAATCAAAATGAGGTAGGCAGGATCATCACGGCCCAGCTCGAATATTCCATTATCCTTACGCGCGACAATTCTAATCTGCACCTCCTGTCTATTCCATTCATACTCTGCTCTCTATGGCCGATTAATCATCCTTGATTTGATTTACAATCAGCACAATCCAGCTTGCCCTCCCTCCACCAATGACAACTCGCAGCCCTGCGACTGTGGCCACCCCGTGGTCTGACTAATAACGTCACTCACTGCTACTGCGCTGCCCTGCCCCTCCCCGCCGGTTATAATTACAGCCCCCCCACCAGCCAGCCTACTTGCATGATTTCATATTTTTATCTTTTAACAACAACACAGACTATCTCCCACCCTGGCATCTTCCCTGCGCCGTACTGTCCTCGCTGCATCTCCCGTGAAGACCGCTTTCCCTCGCAGACCATTCTCCTCCACGCCTCTCAAACCCTTCTCATATACACCCAGCAAAATGGCCGTCACACTCGTCAAAGCGTGAGTTTCCCAACATCCCCATATCCCTAACAACTCAGTCCCAATTCTAACGATTCCCAGAAAGTCAGAATTCGAAGCCCTCGTGGCCAGCGACAAACTCACCGTTGTCGACGCCTTCGCCGAATGGTGCGGGCCCTGCAAGGCCATCGCGCCCAAGATCGAGGCCTACAGCAAGCAATACACTGACGTGCAATTCATCAAATTCGACGTCGACGACAGCCCTGACGTCGCCCAGGAGTTGGGCATCCGCGCCATGCCCACTTTCATTTTCTTTAAGAACGGGCAAAAGATCACTGATGTTGTCGGTGCGAACCCACCGGCAATTGAGGCCGCTATCAAGGAGCATAAGTAAAGATTGGAATATTGGATAGGGGGGTTTACTGGGCTGGCATAATTGAGATTTGACTATCGTGTATAATCTATTCCTAGGCTAGTAGTCGCTGGTGGCAGCGGCGGAATAAAGGCTTTTTTGGTGCCATTCATATATATACTTGTTTTCATGCTATACGTGCCCTTTTTTTTAAGGCTGGATATTTTTATGACAGGTTGATTTGGTCTGTCTTCTCCCTCGTAAGACCTGTTTTGGTCTCTGTATGCTCCTCGTCCTTGCTTAGATGCGTCTTGCGCACAAACATGGACGCTACAACGCTAATCACCGCGATGCATGTGTACATAATCCACAGATTCCGTAGACTCCACGAGAAGGCGTCGCGCACGGCCCGACGCTGCACGGGATCCGCAATGGACTCGATCAGCAAGACATTGGCGGTCGCATCCTCGCCGGCAAATGCCTCGGTCTGGTTCGCCGAGAGCCCGGCGGCCAGAAGCGCGGGTTTGCGCAGCGCCATGCTGTTCTGGAACACCACGCCGCCTACCACGGCCGACACGGCGGTGGCGAGCGTGCGGATGAAGTTGAGCGTTGCTGTTGCGCTAGCCGTGTTGGATTGCGAGACGTTGGCTTGCATGGCGATGGTGGGCGCCGTGAAGAGGCAGCCGACGCCGAGCCCCGCGACGATTTGGTAGAGGATGAGTTTGGCCAGCGAGGACTCTGTGGCGAAGTTGATGTAGAGCCCTGTGCCGACCGTCATCATCACGTTGCCGAATTGGAGAAGTTCTACGTAGCGGCCTGTGAGGTGGATGAGGTAACCCGTGAGAGCGGCGGAGAAGGCCGTCATTAGCACGATGGGGAGGATGAGAAGTCCCGATTGCAGCGGTGAGGCGGCTTTGGTGGATTGGAAGTAGAGGGGGAGGTAGTATTCGCCGCCCATAAAGACCTGCATCATAACATTAGAAAAATTTATATGTGAATTTTGTGGATAGGGGGGTTATTTACCGCTCCCTGACAGAAAGCAATCACGAAGCATGCAACGTTGGAAGATGTTTTGAACACGCTCAGTGGCATGAGCGGGTATTTCGCCAGTTTCTTCTCGCAGTAGATAAAGACCAGACTCATCAAAGAACCTAAAACGATCAAACAGATGACTTGAGGCGAGCTCCAGGCAAAGGTACTACCGCCAAAGTTCAGTCCTAGTAAGAGCATCAGCGTCAGTCCGAGGATGGACACGCTGCCGGTCCAGTCGATGGCCTTGATGCCGTCCATAAATTTGGTCCGCGGGTTATGGATGTCTAGAAAGAAAAAGATTAGGACAATTGATGTGCCGGCTACAGGTAGATTGATCCAGTATGCCCATCTCCAGGAGACGGCTTCTGTGAGAGCACCGCCCATCAATGGACCGATAGCGCCAGCCAGAGCCCAGACACATTCAAGAAGGCCGAAATAGAGACTCCGATGTCTGCAGATAGTTAGATAATCAGTCTAGATAGTATAATTAGGGATATTAATCCTACCTTACGCTGAACAAATCAGAAATAGTGATGATGACAAGCTGCAATAATCCGCCTCCGCCAACGCCTTGCAGTGCTCGCCCAACGATCATCATAGTCATGTCGGTAGATTTTGCGCAGATTATGGATGCGCCAAAAAATAGGGCAGCAGTCGCCAATAAAATTGGCTTTCGTCCCCATATATCTGACAGATTCGCCCAGATATTGCCTGCTGCGGCATTGGCAAGCAGATATGCGCCTCCGACCCAGACATAGCCTGAGGGAGCATGGAGCTCTGAGACAATGGTTGGGATGATAGTAGATACAATGGTCTGGTCGAGAGCTGCAATGAAACAACTGAGCTAGATGATGTCAGCCTCTTTACTTTTTTGGAAACAGTAGAAGGTAACCTACCGAAAGAGCGGAGAAAATTGCTATCACTCGGAATTTTCCTCTTTCTAGCTCGCTCTCTTCTGACTGGGGTTGAGATGTTGGATCTGGAGCAGCAGAGATTCGCGAGGAGACATGGGCGAGTTGAATTTCTTCGAGAATCATATTGGAAGCGCCAGGCCGGACTGGCATTGGAGCGGTTGGCTCAACACCATCGTTGGATGTTTTCTTGTCGTGCCAACCCGACGTGTCTGATTTAGACCGGGCTGTATTTTGCCTTCGGGGCTCGCTGGTGGCGGATGAGATAGATGTAGAAGGCGACAATGCCATGATTTTTTTTCTTTTCCCTTCAGAGTGTTTGTGATGTCGAGGGGTAAGCCACCCACTAACAGTAGGAAATCTACGGCCCGGTTGACTAGCTAATATTCATGCCAGCAAAAAATAAGAGCTGCTAGAAGCCAGATCTGGAAAAACCCAAGAATCCTTCTCGTCCAGGCAAGACTAAGAATCTCCTAATAGATAGATGTAAGTATGTCGGAGAACAGTCTACTGCTGGCATAAAATGTAAAATATCGGAAATTTAGCATCTTGATCCACTTTCTCGACTAACTTTTTTGCTCCGCATTTACTTTTATCGCGTGAGAATCAGGCTCCAGCAGCTAAAGATCACAGAGCCAAGACAACTCCGAATTCCGAGGTGACTCCGAATGCGATGGCTGGCAGAGATGAGTCACATCCAGTTCCTCCAAGATGTGTCGTTGAACTATCGGTGAGGAAAATATCTGGCGGGATTCCGGCGGACAATTATAATAATAATAAATAAAGTCGACTTATCACAAGGAATACTGTGCTGGGCAGTAGAAAGCGATGGCGCTGCCACCTGGGTATACTCTTCACTCCGGGCTGCCCTCAGTCGACGCCTACCTCCACTTGCGCTCTTCAACGGGCCTCTCGCCCAAATGCGCTTCTCAGGCAACTGCTTCTATAAACGGGACGTGGTATGGCTGCCACGTCACATACCAATCCCCAACCAACAGTGACAACGAGTCGTCCCAACCCGAGGCTGTCGCCATGGGTCGTATAGTCGGGGATGGTGGATGGTATTTTGTCATCGCCGACATGGCTGTTCTGACAAGCCACCAACGAAAAGGGTTGGGCGATGTTATTCTGAAGCAGTTACTCAAGAAGATCAAGGAAGTGGCGCCGGTGGAAGAGGGATTTCGGCCGTATATCAACCTGCTTGCTGATGCGCCGGGGAGGAGATTGTATGAGAGGAATGGGTTTGTGTATACTGATCCGCACTCGTTGGGGATGATGTTTCAGTGGGATTGACTTGCGATGTAACGAAAGCATGGTATTAGACTGGGTACTAGAGATCATAGATTGCCGAGCGGCCTGGCCGTGAGGATTGTTCCAATTATCGTTGGGCGTTTTTGCCGATGTATTCAACACATTGCTCTCGGATGATGGGGAAATACGGTTATAATGTAATAATGTACAGACATACGAGGATGGCCAGTCGGTATGTTGACAGGTAATCAAACAACCAAACTAGTTAATTCAGAAGTGTAAATTTTTCCTCGTTGCTTTCAACATGGGCGAGAGGTTTTTTATAATCATTATTATTGTTATTCTTTCTTTCTTTACATTGGCCAAGCTTTGGCTGGTCTCACAGAGGAGGCTCTTACATTCCAATATTGTGGCTACGAAGGTGGCTCATTCCTACAAGTCTATTTCAAAAAAATTTTTAAGGTTGAACGTTTTTATTTTATTTTAATTCGTTTTAAAAAATTTCAATGAAACAAATGGTTCAAGGTTCCACACCTTCAATTTTCATAAGTACTCTCCAATATACTAAGATCATTACGACGTCACCGTTGATACCATCATGTAGCTCCACCACACACACACACACACACACATAAATATTTGATTTCTCTCACAAGCATTAAACTTACAGCCCATGTGCTGCGATATTACCTTTGTAGATTATTTATTTCCAAAAAAATAAGCATGGTCAAAACTCGTTCTGGAGGAGTCGCCAGCGACTCTAAATCAGCTTACAGACCTACGACAGAAAATTCTCCATCTCTCGGCAAGTCATCCGCAGCAAAGACGGATACAACGCTTGCACATAAGATTCGAAAAACCATTGACGAATATGGAAGCCTACCCTTAGATGGAATTCCAGTGAAACACCCTCTGGAGCCCAAGCCAGAGACTTTACTGGCTATAGTCATCCATTCAATGCTGCGATCTACACGCATCTCGCATGAACTAGCACAAAAAGCTTCTGCTAGAGTTATGGAAGCAGGTTATCATGACATTGAAACTCTGACCAACACTTCCTGGGACGAGAAAGTCCAGGTGCTGTCTGAGGGTGGCTATAACCGGTATCGTGAGAGCGCTGCAACGAAGCTAGGTGATTTGGCCAATTTGGTGAATGATAAATACGGTACGGCACTCCTCATCCCGCTAGCACCGCAGATTAGTCGCTAATTGATGCTTTTTGAGATGGCGATCTGAATAATTTGCTCAAAAAGGCAGGGAATAACCCAGAGCGTGTGCGTCAGCTCGTCCGAGAAATTAAGGGATTTGGCGATGTGGCTACCGACCTCTTCTGCGACGACGCACAGGCTGTCTGGCCAGCTCTGGCGCCTACTATTGATCATCGAAGTCTTGACACAGCTGAGGAGGTCGGTATCGGGAGGGATATCGGGGCCATTTATGCGTTGTTGGGCCACGATCCAGTTGAGATGAGCAGGTTGGCACGAGGTCTTTCGAATGTGAGGCTATCCAAGAGAACGGGCGATATCGAGCAGGAGGAATAAACAGTGGACGTGTATATGTTATTTTTACACATATGTATTGGTGGGTACTATATGGGGTAGATGGGGTACCGTTATCGTTATCAACTTCAAGGCTTCCGCGTGTCCACTATTTAGTTGTGGCTTTCCCCAGACTCGGTCCGAGAGCGCCGAATATCCGAGGGTACTGCGCAATTCAGACTATTTATTGTTATATACTTATATACTCTCATTTCCCTTCGATTAATAACACATTTTCCCCTTTATTTATTCTAGTATATATAGATCTAAACTCGTCGCGTGGCCATGGCAGCTCTGGTGGACCTTCCCCGCAAGCTCTGGGAGCATCCCAATCCGGAGTCAACACAGATGGCCGTTTTCAAGGCCCACCTCGAAAAAGCCAAAGGGATCAAATTGCCAGTGAGTAAATTGACTTTATTGGTCTGCAATTGCTAACAGTCGTAGGATTTCAATGCGCTGCATCAATGGTCGATACAGAATCGCTCCGAATTCTGGACCTTTGTTTGGGAACACATTCCGCTCATTCACGAAGGCCGCTACGACAAGGCTGTTGATGAATCTGTCCCAATCCAGAATAACCCAGATTGGTTCAAAGGTGTACATATCAATTTTGCCGAAAACGTCCTCTTCAGCCCAGGAAGCTCTCCCGGGTCTCGGGCGACGACTGGCAAAGAAGATTCCAAGATTGCAGTACATGAAGTCGTCGAAAACAATATTCAGCCGCCCAGGGATATAACCTGGAAAGAGCTTCGACAAAAAGTCGGTTTATACACCCAGGCTCTCAAGGCAGCAGGCGTCCAAAAGGGCGACCGCGTTGCTGTTGTTGCTAGTAACAGCATTGATTGTCTCGTTTTATTCCTTGCCACAACCTCTCTAGGCGCTTTGATTTCGACTACCTCATCAGACACTGGATCGCGCGGAATTCTGGACAGATTGACGCAGATCAAGCCTAAATGGCTGTTTATTGAAGATGCGGCCATCTACAAGGGAGAGATTGTCGACTTGCGTCCCAAGATCACTCAAGTTGTTGAAGGAATGCACGGCATTTCAGAATTCCAAGGAGCTATCGCGATACCAAGGTTTCATAATCGGCAGAAGGATATTTCAGCCGTGCCACGCACCCAGACTTTGAAGAGTTTTCTTCACAAGGCACGATCTGATGAGTTGGAATTTGTACGTGTCGGTTTTCGGGACCCGTTCCTCATCGTGTATTCGTCTGGAACCACAGGTCAGCCAAAGTGCATCGTTCACTCTACCGGTGGGATTTTGATCACAGCTTGTAAAGAAGGAGGGCTACATGAAGACATGGGACCTAACAGCACACTTCTGCAATATACAACGACTGGTTGGATTATGTACCTATATTCGATAAGCAATTTGGTCCTCGGGATAAAAGTTATTTTGTACGACGGAAGTCCCTTTGCACCAGATGCTCGCTTTCTTATCAAGCTGATTGGACAACAACGGTATGTGGTAATTCCAGTGAAACCTTTGTATTACGTTACCAACATTGACTTTTCCCCAGAGCGACTCATTTTGGAACATCCCCACGCTATCTCCAAGAATTAAGAAAACAAAAAATTCGCCCGCGCGAAACGGCAGACCTCAGCAATCTCCGTGTTGTGACTTGCACTGGAATGGTGCTGGCAGACTCTCTTTTCGAATGGTTTTATGACGAAGGATTCCCCTCTCACACTCAGCTCGGTAATATATCCGGCGGCACTGATCTTGCAGCTTGTTTTGGCATCAACAACCCTCTAAGCCCACTATATGTGGGTGGCTGTCAGGGCCCTAGTCTGGCAGTGCCAATTGCTGTATTTGATCAAGTCGATGAAGGCCTACAAGGAGTCGATGGAACTGCTTTACCGGAGGGCGAGGCTGGTGAACTTGTTGCTACCGGCGCCTTTCCTAGCGTTCCCGTCACGTTCTGGGGAGAGGACGGACCCAAGAAATATTTTGAGGCATACTTTTCCAGATTTAACAGTGAGTCGTCACTAAGCCGCATTCCGGTTCAGATGAACAGAATTAACGCAGATGAAAACTTCAGATGTATGGACGCACGGAGATTTCATCGCTATTCACCCTAAAACTCATCAAGTCACCTTTTTTGGCCGATCAGATGGTGTTCTCAACCCATCTGGTGTTCGATTTGGATCTGCAGAAATATACAACGTGATTGAAACCCAGTTTAGCAAAGAAGTGGTTGAATCACTTTGCGTGGGCCAGCGACGTCCGCAGGATCTCGACGAATCTGTCTTTTTGTTTCTACACATGAAACCTGATCAAAGGTTCTCTGACGGTCTGGTGAAACGAATTAAAGACTCAATTCGCAAAGCTCTCAGTCCACGACATGTTCCTAAGTACATTTTCGAGACCCCTGAGATACCGGTATGTCCCCTGTTTTCAGATTTCATGTTCTTATATTCTGTACTAATACCTGATATCTAGGCAACCGTTAACGGTAAAAAGGTGGAATTGCCTGTCAAGCAGATCATATCTGGGCGACGGATCAAGCCATCTGGCACTCTTGCCAACCCACAGAGCCTCGACTTCTACTATCAGTTTGCTGAGGTTGAGAAATTAGTCAAGATTCCCGCAAAACTGTAATTCCAGATACATTTATTTATTACCTTGGGTAGATAGAGTTTATGATATGAAATGTTGATTAGAATTTGCAGATGCAGTAGTTACTGATTCAAGGTTTAAAGGATCAGGGAAGTGTAAAGAAGAATTTTTCATTAAGAAAGTGAGCCATCAATTTGTGAAGGGCCATGATACGACCTCAAGGCGAGATGCCTTAGTTTTCATGAATTGGAGAGCAACCTGACCTGGTTTGTTCTGAGAATCAGCCAAGAAGCTGATCTCGCTGATCTCCCTTGTTTGATATTGCGGACACCTGTGTGACCTGCCTCCTTCTGTAAAGGACTGCGATGGAACACCCGTGTGTCCTCAGCTCGATGATTAAAAAAAACCCCCCATCTGATCGAATACTCGTACCGGGAAAGAAAATAAATGACGGAAAAAAAGTTGAAGACACGAAATAGAAGATTGCAAAGAAAGTGTCCTCCCGCTTTAACCAAGCTGGATATTTTAATGTCCTGTTTGGCTGGTTTGGCAACTTTGATTGATTACATGTAATTACCCAAAGGAGACCTCAATCGCTGCTTTTTGTAATACTCACTTCATTATTTGAAATAGTGCATGCAAGGTACTCAATGCTGAACGGTCTGGCTTTGGATCCTCTGTTCAATGGTTTTTTATCGTTCCTACAAATACGACATAGAAATATAAAAGTGGAATGTCAAAATTGAGTTGTTTCGCTACAATGCATGTATATGCTTAGGCTTGGCCTTCTTATGTACAACCATGCGGTTCATCCCCTCGCCAACAATAAGCACGGCGAGTTCAATTCAAAGGGATCTCAACAAACGCCTTGTCATGCAGAAAATGCTGCTTCTGTCGCCTGGAAATGCTGACAAACGCCCAAAAAATTATCATGTTCGTAATCGTCGTCATGCGGATTCGATAGTAATCATCGATCAAAAAAGCTAAAGGAAATCAAGTGTCGCTGGGCTCTTCCTGCTTCACTTCAGGTTGGGGGGAGGGTTCGATTGAACTTTCAGTTGAAGTCGAACGGGTTATTCGACTTGTAGAAGTAGGTTTCTTTGGTTTGCGTGGTCGTAGCTTGCGGCCTTCCAGCAGCTGCTGTGTTGTTTCGGGCTGTGTTTCGCTTATAGAGGCAGGAGCAGTAACAGGGGTAGGGCTAGGGCTTGCCTGTTCAGCCTCTGTTTCTGAACTCACTCTCAACCGCAAGGATACGAGATCGGGCTTTTCTTGGTCACCAATGTTGATCCCGACTGTGACCTTGGGAAGGATTCGTCGCTTCTGTTCTCGCCCACGTTGCCGCTTTCCAATATTTGGGAGGAATTCTTCATCGCTGTCGTCGGCAGATCGCTTGCTAGCAGTGCTGTGTCGAGATGAAGAGCGTGATGATGCCAGATGCGGTTTGAAAGCCACCTGTAGGGCATTGGGTATTTGGCGTTCTTCCTTCATCGCACTGGCTAAAGTTGTCACTGATGATTGGGATGATGTGGCGGATGCCGAGGACGACGTGAATGATGATGTCGAGGATTCCTCATCTAGTAAGTTGGCAAAAGCCCGGTCTATGTCCCCGCGGCATCGGCGAAGCATCTCTACAATCGTATCATAATCGTATTGACCGCCAAGTCCCTCCTGGATGCATGAGATTTTCCATGGGCTGGCAGTGTCGAGATCAACAATAAATGAGTTCTTTGATGCAGTTTCAGAAGGAGGCGGCTCCTGAGGAGACACGCAGGGTAAGCCCTCATGAGGGCCGTCCACGTTGCGTACAGACGAGTAGTGGACACTGTTCTAGTAGCAGTTAGCAGCCAGCCAGCAGCAGCAGGGCACGTATATTCTTACAGCGTAGGCTAAATGGAGGGTTTCGCGAGGCTCTTGATCAGGCGCGTCCCAAGCCCGGAAATCTTGTACGTGTTCCTCGCTGTACACCTTTATATCGCGCCTATAGTACTGACAACAGGCCTGTATCTCCTCCGCACCACCCCAGATAAAGTCGGTAGCGGTACGCGTGATCAACTCTTGAAAGGCATCCTCCATCTCAGTTGGTGTAGGTGATGGTATTGTTATTGGGGGTTTGAATTTACGTGGTACGGCACGTTTCGAGCGACGTTCCCCTCCGCCCACGATAGCAAAAGGTGCAAAATATTCACGGTGTGCCTGCATATGGCCGGCGAGATTGTCGCGTATCTCGGTAGCGTGGTCAAAGTCACCGTACATTTGGTCGGACAAGGCATAGTACAGGCAATTCCCTAGCCATTGCCATTAGCAGGAGAAACATAAAGCAGGAATAAAATAAAACAAATAAAACAAAAACACAACAGCCACGACCGCAATATTACAAATGCTAGTCAAATATGCGGGATGGCCGGGATCTCCCTACGCGGGTACGTACCGTCGCCCTTGGTCTCGTGAGCATACAAGCCGCGATCGGCCAGGGTTTTTAGGTTTACGTCGACATTGTCCAGGCCGAGCAATTTGCTTTGGGAGCGTGTAGCACGGCGAGGAACAGGCTGGGGTGCGGGCGTGGCCTCTGATTTTGCTCTGGTCGAGCACTTGCGGCCGGCCATGACAGGCACGATCCTGTCTCGATTAAGCGGCACATCAGCCATGATTGCAGGAGGAGAAACTCGCCGCTCGAAGAATCTCCCTCATTTGGCAGATGCAATGAGGGGATGCTCCGAGGAGCAGGATTAGAAATAAAACAAATAGCAAAAAAAAAAAAAAATAAGACAAAGAGTAAGGAAACAGGCAAGAAACACGCCTGAGTCCAGCACGCAAGGAGAGGTCTGGTGGTTACGGTGGTCTCTTTTGCGCTGCTCCTTCCTCTCTTCCCGCGCGCCAAGCCCAAGCGAAACTCTGCTTACCTCGAAATCGTCCCAGCCAATAGGCGCCCGTTCCTCCCGGCGGTGAGCGCGTTCTTACGCGGCTAAACAGATGGATGACGCAACGACCACAACAACACTTTCCTCTTTTGTATGTGGGATTATGTCGAGGGATGGGCTTCTCGAGTCGAGCACTGATATGATGCTTGTCTGTGAGCGCTGGTGTGCAGCAGAAACTGAGAGAAATTTGGGAGTTGGAAGCCTGGGACTACCAGAATTATGAGATAGTGTGGGAAGACGACTGTCGAGATGCTGCCAGCATGGATGTGGGAAGTTTGTGGATATTGAGGCATATTCATGAATAGACCCAGGAAATACCCATTGTCAATTACCCTATAACCCTATTGTTGTTCCCTCTCTCATTGTCCAGAAGCTGTACCGAGAGTCTATGATGTATTATGATAACTAACAGTAGAAGTATAACGAATTCTGACCTCACTTTATCACCTTACAGACTATTGACCTACATGGAGTCGTAGTGTTAAATCAAGATACTGTTTTAACGACCTTTGCTATTTGTTTATCTCAAATTGTGGAAAAAGAAATAAGAGAGGGAGAAAACAAGCAAATGACCAACATTTAGTGATGGCAACGTCGACATGTCCACATTGTTGATTTTTAGGTCAACGCTTAGCGAAAGGGCAGGTCAGCATGACCACATTGTTGATCCGTTACAGGATTTGACCAGTCTCAATCGTCAACCGTCTTAGCAACTGACTTAAGATATCAGTATCCATATCATCACCATGGCTTTTTTCAGCGATAGCACCAGCACCAGCCGGGTTTTAATCTTGCTCAATATCCTCGAATCTGCCGGCAAACCTACAATGTCTTCACGTAGGGGCTGGCTCAAAAGGAAGCTTGAAACTAGAGACAGAAGATTTTCGTTCCGCTTCTCAAAGCTGTATAGCGGCGATTGTCGGATTACCACGTCCAAGTTATCCGCAACGCAAGCATAATAGATTCGGCCATGTTGAGGACCGACCAGGGAAAAAATCATCAAATCCTAATGAAAAAAGACGCTTCAATATTTGCTTGTCAAAGATGCCATTGTTGGAGGAATACATACTGGGAATCTTTTTTCATGTGGGAAAGGAAGGTTCCCATCTGATGAGTCTTCCTCGTCTGAGACTTCACTATCAGACTCCTCTTCCGCCTTTAGTCGTCGATTGACAGGTTCTGAGCTTACTTGAATAACTTCAGATTTCTATCGAACACCATAAGATGGATTGGATATACGTGTACTCACCAGCCACCATCAAACCAAATCGACCATTATCTGCCCTCTCGGCCCTAGCTCTGGTCTAACAATGCTCTTCTTGTATATGCTCCGACCGTACCCAGTTCCCATCAGAGCGTCAGTCAATTCTTTAATGCGTCCAACGACCCATTTATGATCCGCATCTTTCTCACTATCTAGCAGCTGCGCCTGAAATAAATGAATCCTCGTTGGGAAAATCTCCAATCGCACAGGCATTACCCTTCGCCTAGCATTCCCACTTTCCTCTCTATCCTCCTCACGGACAACAACCCGATAAACAGCACCAAGATCATTCCGATAATCATCATGAACCGCATAGTCATCGACAAAATCACCACAGCCATAAATAATCAACTTCCCCGGCGCGGGGCATTCAACCCCTTGGATATGATGCGACGAATGGCCATGGACAATGTCTATCCCGCAGTCAAAAATCAGAAAATGCGCCATTGACCTAATCTCCTCTGCCGGATGCCACGAGTAGTTTGGGCCCCAGTGGATTGAGAATATCTTCAGAGATGGCTGTTGCTGTGGCTCGTTAGACACATCCGACGGCTTTGGCGATGAGCCAGAGGACTCCGAAGACCTCTGCTCCGCCGTGATTGGCGATGGGAATGAATACTTCTCAATCACGCGTTTTAGATGGGCCTTTGACTTCTCCGAATAATCAATCAAATGGAACGTTGGCACCGCACTCCACACCCTGGGATGATCCGACGCAGCATAGACATGCACGAGATGCTTCCCAGCTCGTTCCTTCATATTCTCTGCGGACAGTGCCACGGGCCTACCACCCTGTTTTACGCCCCTCTGGCTGATGCTCCGCGGCAACTCCAGAATCGCTGGCGATATAGCCTCTAGCGTGTTTTCTCCAGCGCCGCCAATTCCAATCCTCGCGCCATCTCCATCGCCATTCTTCAACGTCCAGGCTGTCTCAATGAGTCCCTCTGGTCCGAAATCAAGGGTATGGTTATTTGCCAAACTTGCAAAATCGATTTTCGCAGCACCGAGAATGGCGGGTGCGTTGGCGGGGTGCATGCGGTAGTTAAAGGCCTTGCCGGGCCAGGGGTCGCGATTCGTGGTGACGGAGGTCTCAAGGTTGATTATATTCAGGTCTGAATCATCCGTGAAGAGTGGCAGAGTTGAGCCCCAGGGGCTCGCGGGCGAGTAGTTCTGTAATTGCTGTGCATGTCGTGCGATGAAGGACTGGGCGTGGGACTGGTCATCCGGGTTATGTACGTGCACTGGGAAGAGCTGATCGATTAGACGGCCTAGCATGACATCGCCGGTGAAATTGATGTTGAATTCCTTCTTTGTCGGTGTTCTGGTAGTATTCGTGCTGACTATTCCTGCGGCAGTGGCAGCTGCTACTGTGGCCGACTTGAGTCTACTGCTTGAAGAGGCCATGTATAGGAACAATGGCGGTTGTCAGATTTGTATCAATTGACGTAGAGGTTGTATGCTAGGGTTAGGAATACATGTTGCAAATGTTTAGTTGTTTCGTTAATTCCTAGGAGATCTGAGTGGTGGGTAACCTCATAATGACATAGCTTGCCGTCGATTGGTTCTACCAACGAATCAAATTCAAATATCCAGGTCAGCACATAAGGAGACTCATTCATTGCCTAAACACATCATTGATACCATTTTAAAGTACAGTCATTTTTAATAGAAAAGGTAGAAACCTGGAAACTCCGTATTGCACTTGCAGCCACTTGTGAAATTGGCCCAAGTAATAGCACCCCCGGGTATAGTCTAAGTCAAAACGTAAAATGTCACATAACATATCGTAGTAGTCGTATGCTTCAAAAATGTCATCTCTCAAGCTCGGCCAACTCTCGCTCTTTGGCCTTCAGGGCTTCGCGCATTAGCTCGGCTTCGCGTTGAAGTTGGGCTCGACGCTCAAGCTTGTGGTATGTATCCGGCTGTCCAGGGGAAGGGAGTCGTGATTGGGGGTTCAATGGTGGCGAATGTCTATAGCCGCCCATTTTGATTTCATCGGCACCATTGCCTTGGTTGAGAATTGACGAAATCGGACTAAGACGCGCGGGTGGTGTAGGGTTGGCCTGTGACATGATCGGGGGAAGTTGGTTTGAGGGCTCGATAGGCGCAAGGACTTCCCCTTCCCTGTTACCGGTTGTTAACCCAGGGGAATGTGACTGACGGGGAAAAGAAGATTGTAGGTCAGGTAATCGAGGAGCAGGATGGTGAGGAAGAGTGGCTGCATTTCCGTTGTAACCAGTAAAGTCAACTGGAGGTGGGGCGAGGATCGGTCTATCTGACATATGCGCCAGTGCTGCCGGTTGAGTTTCTGGAGAGGCAGAAGAATCGCCGGACGACTGTGTCATGCCGCTTGGGGAGTGGTCACGCATGGCAGGGACTACCCGTTTCCTTCTTTTGATGGTTGATTTTTTCATCGTGGTTGGTCGGTAACATCCATGCAGCTTGTAGTACAGACCTAATCATAATCAGCCAGGCTCTCTATAAATACTATCCTTTCTCATCTTAAAAACTCACCACAAGCATTACAAATTGGATGGCCATCCTCATCGCGTCGCCAGAGGGGTGTTACAGTAGTACCGCAGTTATGGCATGCAACAAGAAGATCGCTCTTTTCTTGACCTCCAGAGGTCGATTCTGGTGTCATCGGATGAGCCTTAATCGACTCCGCAGGGGGCTGAGAATACACAGGCTGTGATGTCGGTATTACCCTAGCGGCCGCTTTGTATACTCGATTGTTGTAGGCTGGACATCCCTCACAACCCTCAGCACCGCCGGTACCATTACAATTGCCGCCGCCTGGACACGACCCAACCGAGCCGCAGCCTGTCTCAGCGGGCGTTTCTGCCGTTTCTGAAACGAATTGCACAGCATGATCCGCGGTAGATACTGCTTGAGGTCGGGGTCTGTTGCGTTTCGTCGGTCTATGAACATTTCGCGCCTTCAAATAGAGCCCACAAGCGTTGCAAATCATAGCACCAGTGGGCGATCGCCGCCATAGAGGAGTACTCTTGGTACCGCAATTGCTAGTGATAAATCAGCTTTGGTAGATCTTCCGAGTGGCTAGAAAACTTCATACCTGCATGAATGACCCAAGAAAGACCCGTCACGTCCCATATGCGGCTTGGGTGACCGTTGCGGTCCTGGGGAAGTGGTTTCCCTGCTTTTCATGGGTTGATCCAGTGTCATATCCATCGCGTTTGACATAGTGTGCATGCTGGCAGTTTGCCAACCTTCATAACTACTCGTAAAGTGCTGTTTTGGTGAAGTCTCACTCGTGCAACGACTAGATGAATTCACCCACTGTAGTGTCTCCAAGTGATGGGTGGCACAACCATACGATTTCCGATTTTTGTGCAGCACAGTGCCTATGCGGTTCTCTGCTTTACCACCCAGTATAACTTGGTAGGCTCTTTTGACAATTCCGTGGCTCTCTTAGCGGTCAAATACGCTGCAGGAAGTGCGGGCTAAATGACCACCCGCACACAAGCCGATAAGCTAATGCGACTGAATAACGTAGGGTCGAAATAGTCCAGACTGTTTGATTCCAGCAAAGTAACGCAAAATGGCGACTTTTCTAGAAATGTGCAGAATGAGACACCGAGATGAGGCAAACTACCACGACGGTAGAATCGATCGAATACGGCTGCACACTCGCTAACACAAGACTGGATTATCGCACAGATACACCGAAGTTGATCGGTGTTAGGAGGAGCAGGGATGTGAGAAATCCGAAGGAATCGTACAGCGAGTCGAGAGAGTCGGTGAGAGTGGCGTGGCCGAATGGCAGAAGCTGACGGCAGCCACTGCCCACGAAACAGCACTACGCGAATCTCGCAGTGGTTTTGGTGAAGGGGGAAAGTGAAATCAAGTCCAAGGGATGCTAAAACATGTAATAATCTGGCCGGTCTAGCTGTTTTGTCCAGTGGCCTCGCCTTCCTGCAGTATGTCTTGGCAGTAGTAGGACTTGGCGAACCAACACACGTGCTCAACGGCGAAGACAGCGATTTCTAGGTGACTTATCACTAGAATTCGAAGCAGGGCTGGCCGAAGATCCTGCCGGAGTCTAGAAATCGGAGTATGCGAGACTAGAAAACGCAAACAGGGGTCTGCAGGCTTAGGATCCGCAACACGAGGGAACGTGCTGGGGGAATGCTAGTATTCTGGCTGGTGGGGAGGCAGGAGGAAACGGAGGGGATGGCCGTCGTATCTCGACTATGCGCGCCGAGATTCTCGAGACTTTTCACTGTCCACTTGCTAGATGCCACAGAACGCAGTCTAGAGGCCAAAGGATTCAGCTGGCAAAGCTGGCATTAATAAAAAAGCCGCAACAACGGACGACGCAATGACGACTTGCAGCCGGGGAGCGCGACATGATTGGCGGCAGGCCCGGGGCGACTTTAATCTGTAAAATCACAGCGCTGGCCAAGTGAGCGCCGCCGAGTTGATAATCCCCGCACCGTGATTGGCCAGGCCGGCGTAATCCTGTCCCGATCGGGCAGTTGGCGAGCTCCTCTTTCAGGGTTAGCGGACGCCGCAGCGGGGCGAGCTCGTCTACTATGCGCATTCCGATTGGACATGGCGGCTTGTCTTAACCCCAACTCGTTCCCAGTCAGCAACATTGTTTGCACTGTGATTGGCCAATATCGGAGGTGAACCCGAAAGGCTCGCTGAAATTACGCCGGAACATCACTTGTTCCGGCGTGATAAAAGAAGACTCTCCCTGACAGCTCCACTCGACCGCCCCCCACCAATCATGGGGCACGAAAAAGAAAAGCAAAAGCTTGTCAGGATGATCCCCTGGCTCAGTCTACCCCCAATCACAGCGTGCGAGTGTCATTACTCCGTCCTTCCCGCCCTTGTGTGGCAACTTGGCTGGTGATTATCTCCTCATCAGCAGACAAGCTTTGCTAGATAGTCCCTAGTGCCGAGATAATTCGTAGTTTGATCAGGATACGACTCGCAATACCATTCACTGATCATCGCGAGTTACATTAGTGTCGTATTCTCTGTTCACTGGCTTCAATCTCACACTGGGCCGAAACCCTGTGGGCTGTTTATCAAGGGCCAGGTGTAACATGCCATCCCGTTGAAATTTGCTTATATCTATTATTATACTCAGCCCGAGTGTGGGAGAGATGATTTTCAGGCAGTAATTTTATCAAATTATCAATCGGTGTTGGTTGGGGTGTGCTATCAGATCCTCTTGCCCCGGGTGTAATAATAGGTAAGCCGGCTGAGCCAGACAACCTATGCTGGTTACGACAATCAGCAGTACTACGGTTAACAATGACGAGATTTCGCTTCGTATTGCTTAATTTGCGCAATTTTTTTTTTGATATGTTAATTAGATATGGGGATGATGGACAGGGGAGTCTGGCTTATGTGGACCCCGATTTTAGATAATCTTTTAAATGTTGTTCGCCAGGTGCGAATGATTATGTTTTTCTCAAGCTCAGAATTCCGATTACTATCTGTTCAATATCCAACACACGCTTAGTGCAATCTCGATTCATCTCGATAGTAACAGTAACCTCGATAAGCAAACAATAAGGTGGACGCTGATAAGAAACCACAGAAGTGAAAACAAAAATACACCCAAGTAGACGCAGCACAGTTAACAAAATAAAACCTGCGTAGGAAAAATTGCATCAAGTTTCCTTATTTATAGAAAGAAGCTCTTGCTTCATCATCCTATTCTCCTCTTCTATCTACACTTCGAGCCTTCGGCTAGACAAGGTTCGAAGCTGCTTTTCTCTTTATTACTATCCACACTTTCAATGGGGATAACAGAACTTCCGACCTGAACCATCAGACCACCGTGATCAATACCTGCGTTCCCAGAAGTACTAGCGGTATTCACATGAACTATATTATCTACTAACTACTTCCCATAGTTTATTGTTGTTTCGAATCGTTGGGAGATGGAGAGAAAGGAAAATGACAAGGGGAGAGAGGGCGGCATTCACGCCGCCCTTCCTATTCAGGTCGTACAATTTCAAATAGAAGAAAAGTTTACTGCCCGAGTAGGATGAGCGGTGTTTATACCAGCCTCTGTAGGGTTATTTCTGTTGGTATGTTTCTGTCAGTTTCTCTGTTCTCTTCCTCTCTTCTTTCCTTTCTTCTCTTCGTTGCCATCTCTACTTTCAGTCCTCTACAGCAACAACAACATCACTCAACTGGACAGAATGGACCAAGCAACGACCAGCCAAGCCCAAGCCGTAGCCGACGACGGAGGTGATGACCGTCGCTATGGACCTTACGATCCTGCACGAGTCGAGGCAACGCGCAAGCACTATGTAAGTCTGCATATCATCTTAAAAACACAATTATCCATGCTAATATTCTAGTCTAGAACCCCAAATGTCGACTATGCCATAAGAGAGGCCACCGAGACCTAAACTGCCCGGCGCTGAGGACGGCGGTATTTGTAAGTCCATTATAAATACATTTACAAAATTCGATATCTAACAACTTCCCGGAAATAGATGGCGCTTCGTAGACGTGTATGAACGGTATTTCATCATATATTAAGTCGGTGGTAACTGACATTGGGATGGTATAGGTCGTACGGGGACTGCAGCAACAAGGGCTGCCGATCGAGGAAATCTGCCAACAGATACGAGAGGCATTGTTCCAAGCAAACCCACATTGCTCGCTGGAAAAATTGGAGGATCTGTACCAGTTTAGCGATCAAAGCGTTCGAGAAGACGTGCAGTTTATTCAACAGCAGCAGCAGACAGCGCCACCACAGGTCGAGGGCGTGGTGGCAATGGAGGTGGATGGGGAGGGGGACCAATAGGGTGCCTAAATGGTTTTCTTTTCTATGCTTTCTTCAAAAGGATAATTCAATGAGAAGAGGTTTCTTGCATCCAAATCTTCACGTAGAAGGTAAATAGGCACTAATAAGGTTTATAATACCAACCAACATGACCAACCCCCATACACATATGTATGATCGTCTCTCACTTTCATTGTCAAAGTACTGACGACCAGTCCTCCCTCTTGATATAATCTTTCATCGATGTAAGTGAAACTTCGATACCAATCTACCAATTGTCAGCAAATGAATCACGCAAGAAAGAGGGCATAATTCACTTCTTCAGCCGTCAATACGTTTGGATCTCCACCAGTATATCCAAACTCCTCCACATAAGCAAATGTCTCTGCAAGTTCTTTCCTGAGTGCATCGGGTACGCCCGTAAAATATTCATCTTCAGATACCTGCTTGAACGAGGCCTTGACTCCTAGAGTATCCCCCCACAGCTTTGTCCACGCAGGCCAGGTCATGTGCTCCGACACGCCGAGAAGATCTTTTCCAGGGGGCAGATCAACGAGCACTTTCACAAATTCACCAGTATCTTCGTGGGCGACCACAAAGGGGATCTTGTATTTTGGCCCAAATGTTCTTTGTACGACGAAACTGCCATCTGGCTGCTTCTGCGGCATCAGGGGCGGAGAGGCTTTCCAATTCGTGACATAATGCCCAACTTGAACAGTGCTCGTACGAGCCGCAACCTCCGGAAACTGAGCTTGGGTAGCCCGGATGATCTCTGCTTTGGCATCGTTGTGGTATACATAGGTGTATTTCCCACCACTCAACTTTCTAGCATCGCTTAGTGACGAGAGAACGAACCGTTCTAGGGTCTTCAACACTGTCGGCGAAGCTGCGGCTTCTGCGATATTCAGGCCTTGCTCAACTTCCCTGTCAAACGCGTATTCATTGGGCGAGCGGGCTCCTAAGGAGATATTTCCGCCAAACAACGCGTCTTGTAAGTGTCCGAAAAAGTCCGTGTTGGAGAAGATTACGTTAGCCCCTTCGAAAGCAGGAAGCAGTGATTGCTTGTCGTCCAAATCGGCCTGTACGATCTCGACTCCTTTCGTTGCCAGGGCTTGGGCGGCTGGACTTGATGGTTTTCGTGTTATGCCCCTGACTTTCCACCCAGGAAGACGCAGGAAGGTGTGGGCCACGGATGAGCCCTGAGTGTGTTAGTACTGTAACTTACAAAAAATTGTGTGCATTCGTACCTGGATTCCAGTGACTCCAACAATGACAATTGTTTTTGACATGGTGATGATCTTGTAAAGAAGATTGCTGAAGAGGTATATCTACAGAACTAGGTCAACGTCCTGCCTTATATATAGCCTAGTTTGTTAGCTCAGCTCTCATTACAAATACATTAGACCAGTCGGGAACATGAGTTCGCCCGACGACACCGCCCATCAGACGAACAAGCGTGTGAATAAAAACCAAGAATCAGCATCGTGGTTCAGAAAGCAGCCTCCGTGGACGTCCGTGGAGCCGCTGACAAACCTCCAATGCCGTCATGATATTAGTTATTGATCTCAGAGAATAATTTTTATTATAATAATAATCAATTGTCGATTTATATCTAGAACAACGAGTAGACGATCCGCCACCTGATAAGAGCAATAGTCAACTAATTATAAGAGAATCAGAATGTTTATAAGAGACGAACGACCCAAGAATATCATTGGCTGCTGGTCGATTGCGGCAGTGGAGCTGGCCAGCCAACCAGGCGCCGCGCTGACGCATGCGTGGAGGCGCGCCAAGACCGGCCAGGAGAGGCCAGGACCAGCTTTAGGCGCAAGTGTCTACTTCGTCGTTGCTACTTCGCATCGCTGGTGACGAATCTTGTACTTATCTCGATCCTCGTTAATCCCCGGTTTCTGCTGCCTAAGCTAACGAATAGTTACTCGCTTGACTAAGGTACGCGCTGCTATCCTGACTGCCTTGGAAAAGCTGGAGCCCTGTTCGCGCTGCTCTGCTCCAACCAGGCTCCGACGTTCTTCCAGCTCATTTTTCGTTGCGCACAACATTTGGATTTCCTTCGCAAAAGTGCTGACTCAATCGTCTCTACTATCAGATAACGGTCGCTTTAATATATCCTCTATCGCATACCAGCTGTCAACATGGATCTTTCCAATATCTTGTACGTCTTGCAGCTCTGGCCTTTATCGCGCACCACTAACTTTGATTAGTCGTCTGGTGAACATCGCCGTGGGTGTGTTGATGGTTCTCGGCGGTATCAGTCAATTCTTTCCCTTCCACTTCGGCCCGTTGATTGTCGGAATCTACGTCATTATCTTCGGTCTTCGTACGTGAACTGCTCATACGAATGTTGTTCTCAAGAAGCTAATGAATGCACAGTCGTCGGTGGTCTCGAATTCCTCCCTCAAATCCCCGACTACGTCTACCGATACGCCTCCTTCCTGTTTTCCTTCCTCGGACGCGGTGCCTGTGAGTGACTCCAGCTGGATCAAGCGCATCATAAAACTTCCGCAATACTAATACTCTATAAGTCTACATTTTCGCAGGTAGCATTCTGCTAGACCCTGACAACCTCCTCCGTATCATTTCCGGCTCCATCATCGGCATTATCGGCGTGGGCTACGTCGTACTAGAATTCATTCCCTCAATCGAGCCGCCTTCCAACATGCGAGAGTCCGACCCCAGCTGGGGCGCTGAGCAAGTGTAAATCTGACTCGACGCAACATCTCAATAGCGACTACACCCTACTCCTACATGGTGTAGTCCCAACATTTCCCGCTGATCTCTCTTCAAGTTTTTGTATTTCTTGAAGTCTATCAATGGAATGCTTGAGAACTTTCGTTGACTCGGCGGGGATTGTTGCGATACAAGGCATTGATTAGTATTCCATGTGGATGGAGACTGGCATTACGCCTGATTATGACGAACGATAGAAGCATACTATGTATGTGGTGAATTATATAATATTCTGACGATATTGCGATCTTTTGGTTTACCGGTTGATTCGCATTTTTCTTCCTTTTCAAATATCTTCTGGGGCATGATTTTGGTTGCAGGGATGTGAGTTTCATTTCACAATATGTAAATTATGCAGGAAACAATCGATATTGTTTAGTTCTGAACAGCCGTATCACACCTGTGCGTAATCCAAGGCAAGGTAAAATCAAAATCTATGTACCTCTAGTACTAATATACTATTATGGCTCTATTTATGCTTTACGGTAAACAGCACCGGCACCGCCCTACCATCATCATCAGCATATATTAATCAGAACTAAGGTTTGGATGACATACCTGGTGGCTAGGGTAGATGAGAGTATCAGCAATCACAACATTCTCCCTGCGTCCTGCGGCAAAGACAATGACCTCGGCGATATCATCAGGTGTAAGAGGTTCAACGCCACTAGTGACAAATCAGTATCTATACATCCTAAATCTTCAGACTGACTGATCATACGCGTAGACAGCATCGGCCTTTGCTTTATCACCGTAGAAACGGACGACCGAGAATTCCTTGCCAGATATTAGCAAGAATAAGCATACACAATAATTTTATATGATCATACCGTCTCGACTTGGCCGGGATCGATCTCAATAATTCTAATACGGGTCGAAATGAGTTCTTTCCTCAACGCGTCTGTGAAGCTGCGCACGGCAGCTTTGGAGGCGCAGTAGATGCTGCCTCCAGCATATGGCTCTCGACCAGCAATGCTTCCGATATTGATGATATCGCCGCGGCCGCCCTCGTCTCTCTTCTTGAAGACGGAGAGGACGGCTTGGGTCATGTTGATCAGCCCAGTGACGTTGGTAGAAATCATGACATTAATATCCTCGGGTTCGATATTGGGAGCCTGCGCGACACCCTTGACCAGTCCACTAATAAAAATTCAGTAACCGCTCAAATAAAAGCGATATGCGAAGCGCGAGACTCACGCATTGTTTACTAATACGTTGATATCCTGGAATTCGGCAGGCAAGGATGGGATGAAGTTCTTCACAGCAGCCGGGTCGGACACATCCAGAGCCACGGGCAGGACTTTCACGCCATCGCCTACTTCTTCCTTGATTTCCTTGGCCAATTGCTCCAGCTTATCGACGCGGCGCGCTGTGACGATGATCTTGAGGTTCTGGGGCGACGAGCGCGCGAATTCCTTGGCAGTGCTGTATCCGATACCAGACGAGGCGCCGGTGACCACGATTGTCTTGCCTTCGAGGCGCTTGGCTACGGCAGAAGCCATTGTGCGGTTGATTGCGAGGTGGGAGTGCGGAAGAATTCGGTGAAGGCGAGGGTTGTGAGATGTCGCTGCGGGGAAAGCTCCGACGGTGCGAATGCGCTGAGTGATGGATCGGCTTGCAGTGCGGAGAATATTCATGTGAAGCTGTTCGCGATAGTTAGGATGGAAGATGGGCAATCACTTTTTGCTTCGTTTCTCTTGTGGTTTGAAGAGAAGGTGGGAAATGGTTAATGAATGTGGATCGAGATATGCAATGAGGGGACCGGATGGCGTTAAATGGGGTAAATTCTCCCGCCGGCAACTTGCCCGCGCTCGGCATCTTCTGCGATGTGTATACACACTTATACTTATCTACCGATATGATATATGCGGTTGTATCTAATTTGTACAATTGTCAGTTGACATCAGAATGAGCTTATCGAATTCTTGGGGTCTCGCCCATAGACAATGTAAAAAGTTCAATTATTATTAATATTGGTATGGGGAGGGCTCCTTCACGCGATTATTTGGTCTGCTAGACACATTTTATAGCCAGTGGAAAGTAACCACGGCTCAATGATGCAAAAAAACCCACGAAGGGGAAAAAAACTAAACATGAAATAAAAAGACAAATTGATTTAAACGCCCATTTTCAGGATTGGCAGCCGGTAGCTGCTCGCTCATCTCCGCAATTCTGTTCTGCTGTCCCGCAGAAGTTGCAGCTGTTGGACGAGCTGCGTGAGCAGATTGATTTGCTGCTGGCCCTGCGGCGGCTCTTCTTGTTTCTGGTGCTGGCGATATTTTTCAGTCGGATATCATTCATTTTCACAACGCTAGACTTTACCTGCGCAGTATTGCCATGGCTAGCACCACCACCCAGACTTGAGTGCTATATCGCTCCCAATATTAATCACGACTGACCCAAGAACAGAATAGAATGGTATTCTTGCCATGCGGCCAATCCAATCTGCACAGTACGCTGTTAGATACTACGGATTGAATTCTCATAAAGGCTTCGTACCACTACCCTATCAGCCAGGGCTTTCCAGCACTGGGCCATATTATGGCCCCTCTTGCCACAAGTAGCGCATAGTGACCTCTGGATTTCGATTGCTTTAGTCACTGACTTAGGTGAGTGATAACCGAACGACTTACGTGGGGCTTGTGAATTCCATCACGGCCACTCTCGTCGCCGTTGCCAGCTGCTGCCAAGTTAGTAGCTTGGTTCTCGGTTTGCTGAACATCTACTAGGAAAGATATTAGTAGAGTTGGGTAGGGCTTAGTAAGTTTTGATGAGCTTGGAAAATTTTTTATCGCTGATGTCTTTGCTGCACCTGGAGAGTAGAAGAAAGAAGAAGAGAGGAGGGAAAGAGCAGGGTGGCTAGTAGCGACGCCACCCTTCCTACGAGAAGTCTGGACATGTTTAACATGTTTGGTACAATGTCTAGTTTGATAGGTTTTATATAGATGTTCTCAGCACGAAGTTCCTGAATCGACCGATAGATACACGATGGGATCAAAGTCCAAAGTGGATTGGATAGGGGGACTGAGTAAAAGAGTTTGGTACAGTAGCTCTCCCCATACCAATATTAATGATAATTGAACTTTTTACATTGTCTACGTAGGCGACCCCCAGAATTGGATATACGATTGGCCGAAAATTTGAATGCATGCACTGTATTCTAAGTTTTGTCGTATGAGTGTACACAGAGTGGCGCTAAGAATATGCATTAAATCGACGTCTCAACAAATAGCAAAGCGAGCACCTTATTTTGAAATCTTGGATATGTACCAGTTGACCTCGAAAAAAGTTTCCTATTTCGGAAGGAGTGGCGTCGGCATGGTGATTGGCTGATCATGCGTAGGGCTAGAATTATGCCTCAACTCACGTCAGCCAACTCAGCGCTAAAGAAAGCACTGCTGCCAAAGTCATAGATGATATTTCCTCATCGTGCAATATAAAAGAGGCGTGACGGTCGCATGTTCACTATGGTCCGCAGACCACCAGCATTGCTTGACTTATACACCTAGATTACGCCTAGCTTCTGATCATGAAACTCTCGGTTTTCGCAAACCTTTTTGTGGCCTCGGCTGCAACAGCCATACCTGCCGAGATCTTAGTTGGTAGTCTCGAGGCCCGCAGCAGCCCTATCCTCCACGGCCGCGCAGACTGCGGGGGGTACGCCAGTACCTGTACTGGAGGCTACTTGATCGTGCAGAGTGGCAGTGAGGTTGACTTTACGGCCTACAAGTGTGGCAATGGTAAAGGAGGCTATGATGACTCGACAATCAACCTAAATACTTGCATCGCCAACGTGGGCGGAAACCTAGTCTTTACAAAAAAGTACGTCACAAGTTTGCATATAGGAATGATAGTACTGACTCAAGACAGCGGCGACTATGGAAGCTCATGCTCCGGTAGTACAGTCTCTGGTACCACGCTTACCGCCAATTGTGGAAATGGTAAAGGCGGGTATGTCTCTGGGTCTATCGATCTGAGTAAGTTTCCTACGACATACATTTTGTGGTATTCATGTAGCTGAGCATATGAAATACAGACTCCATCCTCTGCAATCAAGGTGGCAATCTTCGATGCTAGGTGGCGATCCGAGGTACAGGAGCGAAACTGCCTTCTAGTTATAACATATTACAGTCGGAACACATGAAGGAGCAGGATGCAAATAATACTGTACAGAATTAGATGATAGTAAGGGCCGACTATTCTGACAAGATGGTGTCTTTACTACTCCTCCTTTCCAGACGTCGCTGCCTTTGGGCGATACTTGATTTTTATTCTTGATATTCGGACATATACTTCTGCCTCTTATCTTAGCCATCAGAGCCCTTCTATTGCTGGTATTTTTATCTTAATATCCCTAAAAAACGTGTCCAATAAAGGATGATTTGTTATGCTAGCAAATACCTTGACCAGACGCAACAGCTTATGAATCTACACTATTTCGGGTAGTCAGCCGATTGTAACCCTAGACACTAATAACTATGCCTTAAAACACAGACCCCGGGCAAGTAGGTATTTGGTTTAGATGGTGTCATTATCCCTGAAATCGTTAGGCAAAAATATACGAGTCAAGAACGCAACTCTAGTACCTACTAAACAACAAATGCCAAGTTGCCAAGAGGTCCTAATGCGTTCCAACTTGGCGCGTCTCGGTTATTGATATTGCTATTCCTCTCCATCTCACTGGTAATGTCTTTGGCGCAGTCAGTATTTTGATATGAAATGGTTTTCGAATCTGCTAGCCTTATCAGGCGCCTGTTTTGAGCCAATCTACTGGATTAAAGGATTCAAACTCAAGATATCCTGTATTGGAGAGGGAATATAGGCGAAGCGGGTGATGGCGCGGCACCTCGTATTCTCCTTAGTTTCAGCTATCCATCAAGATCTTGGCGAAATGTCGTTTCTGGCCAAATTCCAGCCTGACGAGGAATATGCGCATTTCTCAAATGTTTATTAGCTGCCCAAGCCCGGCTTAATGATGGACGGTCAATTCCGGAATTTATCTTCACGATGCGTCCTCTCCACGCCATCCTTCTCTTTTTCACGGTAGCACAGCCGTCAGTAGCATGGCTTTTACAGTACTTCGCCACTAAGACAGTTCTTCCTCTGCTCTCCGGGGGAAGTACCACCTCTCTTGCCCCCCTCATAACAACTGCCCCCCTAACAATTTCACCAACATCCACCTCCACCTCTTACAGCACAGACTACGTCTTTGGAAATGGATATGGTGGGGGTGGCTTTAATGAAGCTAGAATCAATGTAACAGTCGAATTACTCGTTCTACCAAATGTTACCAATCTCCCCGTCTCCGACTTCCACATCTGGGATCCTCCCGTTGAAACTGCCACCGCGAGCCCGACCATAGAGTCTTATTACTATGCTCCCGTCACGCTTAGCAATCCTGCCTCGTGCACCCAGACGACTTTCACCTACACAGACTCAGTTGCCATCTCGTTGCCCGACACCTACGTTGCCCAGGCCACCGCTACGAGCATCGCGACGTACGTCACGACCTACGTATCAACCATCAGCACCAACCTCGGCGGACAAGCCGTGACTACCTCGAGGTGTGATGTGTATTTCAATAGCGAGGCCATTCCATCCGCCGAAATTCTTGACGCCGACCACTATCTTACTGAGTGTGTTGACCCGCGCCGCTCCACTTGCAGCGCGGGAGAGAACCAGGAGGCTACGGGCTCAGGTGGCTGCAGAGGAGTTTATCCTCCTACTAGGGCTGCTGTTTCAGACCCAACTTCTACTTCGGCTGATGGTTCGTCAGCGCAGCCTACCAAGTCGGGCGGTGCTGCTAGCTTCAAGGGATCAGTGGGCTCGTTGAGCTGCCTCGTTTCTGTTTGGGGTTTGTACCTCATCCTCTGATTAGATGCGCTTTGTATAAGATGAAGGAATTGAATGGCCAATGATGATTAGCTTGGATTCGAGCTGTGCTAGGCGGTATATCGGTGCTTGTAGCAACCAGTGACTGAATCAATTGATGGAGGATATTACTCAATGAACACTCTGAAGAAATTAATGATCTATCAATAGTAGAGCCTCTGAAGGGAGGTAATGCCGAGCTGATGACAGGCTTGCACTGGCTAATAAAATCTTCATAGAGTACTAGCCCCATTTTTGGATTGGAATGATTAACTCTACGTTTTATGGGTATCAAACTGCTGTTTTGGCGACCTCATATCGCCATGAGACGTTTCTAACGTACATAAACCTACACAAGTTGATGATTTTCAACAATGTATGTAGGCAGCTGGTCATGGTAAGCTGAGATTGCTCTTCAATGTTTCATATGTACAACAAAATCTAGTTCCGCAAAACTATCCATATCGAAATCCTCACATCTATCATGGCATTTCATGTGGCCTGTTTTGATCTGGTAACTCCGACAGACGCTTGGCCGCAAGTTCTCCTGCATGAGCATTTGCCACTGGCAGATTTGCGTCATGCCCCGGGACCTCTGACTTCTCTTCTTCCGGATATAATTCCGCAGGATCTGCTGTTTTCTTGTGCCTCCGACTAATATACCAGAAGAGAACTGCCGCAACCAAACCCAATCCGACCACACCGCCAACCACAGGACCCGCAATCCATGCCTTTGAGGACGAGGAGTGTTCTGAACTCGGTATAGAGGTGTTCGTTGCAGCGGCCGCTGTCGGTGAAGATGTCGCGGCCATAGTCTGACCGGGCAACGCGCTGGTTGTTGTGGTTCGCAGTTTTTCTAAGCCCGATGCGACTGTTAGAGTGTTATATTTCAAATTGTCCGAAGAAATGGTGACGCCTGTGGACCATGCCGACGAGTTGGACTTCAGTCCACTGGAGTACCACGTGCTCGTTGAAGCGAAGCACGAGGCGCCTTCCGTAGAGGATGTAATATTGCAGTCTAACGCTCCAGTAACGATATATATAGTGCGGTTGAAGAAGCTGGTGATATCATAGTATATCGCCTGAGATGACGGCGCGTTCGTGAGGGTTTGGGGTAGGACATATCCTGAAGAGACGCATAGTTCGGTCACACTGGATCGGCAGTCAATTTGAATTGTGGTGGCCGAGGTATCAGCGTTGATGACACTGCCCTCGAGGTAGTGTAAGTTCTCTTCATTGAGACCCGGGAAGAGAATATCGACTTCAACCGACTGCGTCGCAGTGCCCATTATTATTGGCATCATCAAGGCCACGGTCACCACCGTAAGGAGGGAACGGTGAGGGGCCATTACGTCGCGATGAGGAAGAATAATTACGACCTAGGAAACTTAACATTCGAGCCCAGGCGACTTTTGTTTATGAAGAGTTCGACAGCCCTACCTTCGCGTTAGGCTCGCTAAGCTTTTCATTCTCGAGGCCTCCTGAAATCGATCATTGGTTAGGTGTAGGAGGTCCAGGCGCAGAGCGGGATCTATTAGGTATTTTGTATGTCGAGCCGTGGGAAAAAACGCTCGTTTAGGTAGCCCATTCGTTCCTAGTCGAAGTTATAGATCCGCTTCATGTAGATCCCAACCTTACTAGATTAAGGTTTACACTAGCGGCATGTAATATTCATGCGATTGGAAGTTTAATGTATAGTTTGAAATAATATCTCCATTGGCATAAATTCGGCAGTCGAATCAGGGCTCTGTGCCGTTAAATTGCTCTGCTATTCCCATATCAATGTATATCGGGGAGGACATGTCAATTTGTGGTGTTGAATATAGTGACAATCCTGAAGAAAGCATATCCCATTACAGTCGTTTTATGCATTGGTTCCGCTTTTGTCAAACCCCATTATGGGTCCTTAAACTTTTATTAGTTTAAAAGTCTTGATTCTGAAGAACGAGGAGGCGCTCGGGTCAAAGGTTCCCACAGCCGATGTTTCGCTTCTAACAATGCGAGATTCATTGTTAGGGCTATTTCTTAACATCTTATAATATCTTTCTCTTCGTTTTTGTTTTAAAAAAAAATATTGCCAACATTAGTTTGCTGTTCTTCACATATGCTATTGCTGGGGGCCTTTGCTTGATAGGGCCGACAGTCCTAATATTCTTGTGTCCAGTAACATAGGTGACTCTGAACTCATTTTATATTGTCAAACCTAGGACTATAGTCAATTTGGCATTGCTTATCTTTCCATCTGTCTTGCTCGAACGCTCGAGAGTAGCACGTACCTACAAATGTGGTGCCGCTCGTTCTTTCAGTCGCCGCTTGCTTTTAATCATTTTTTGAGGCAAAATCCAGTCTTGCTTTAATATTGTCGGTAGTAACCGGAATTTTGCTCGAGAATCGTGACGATGTAGCATCCTTCGGCGTCATGGCAAGCAGCATTTGCCACAGCTTTTCCTTTGCTTTTCTTCCTATATATATTCCTCTTCTCGATTGTGCAATAGAACATCTACTTCTAAGATGAAATACTTTTCCTACTTTTCTTTTTTCAATTAGTTTTAAATATTACTTGATATTACTATTTTGACTATTTAATACAGTCAAGATGGCCCTCAATATCCCGCTTCTACAGTTTGGTACACTCAACTACGAGGATGATGAGTTCTGCACTTCAAGGCCCATATTTGGCCCCGAAGATGTGGAAGAAGAGGCGGTTGTTGGTGGTAAATCTGCTGATGACCTTTTGAGACCTTTAAGGTTCCTCTGGGACGACGAGTTTGATGAGCCAGAGGACGGGCCAGAAGCAGAAGACGATCACTACCAACATGAAGACTTACCGACAGAACACGAAAGTTCTGGTGGAGACGATACATACTGGCAGAGCTCAGGCAGGGAAGATGAATACTCGCAGAGCGAACACGAGGGTCCAGAAAACTCAGGGTACGACGACGAGGAGGAGCTTCAAGCTAATATTCCAGAAGACGACGATGATGAGTCCATACATCATTATAATCTCTTCAACGAAGCAATTCTACAGCCCAGTACAACGCCTCCAAAACACTCTCTACTATATATCCTATCAACCTCGGGACGAAAGCCAGAAAACTCTTTCTGGTTTTCCAACGGGGATTTCCCTAAGAGCAGTGATCTTAGGACCGAAGTTCTGCTTCACCAAGCACAGAAATGGGTGGACCCGGTGGTTTACTATGGCGAACCCAAAGATCTGCATGGGCTAAACGGCCGTATGTTGTGTGAGCAGACAGATATTTTTGAGAAGTATCTGAATAAGTTCTATACACCTCACGGCAGGTGGTTGCTTGAGAAAGAACTGAAGGATGAAGATCCGGACGAAGAACGGAAGGGCAACGGTGAACCAATTTTGGACACATCTAACCTAGAAGGACAAAAAGAGATGCAGAATATCTTCAATTATAACAGTAGCCTTCAGTGGACGGATGAATGGAAGAGGCTACTCGACGCGGAGAACCCGCAATGGGCACAGAAGAAAAGTTACAAGAAAGCCGAAGAGATTTGTAAAACGCTGGGCACACGAAGAACAGAGCGCTCATCTTTACACTGGTCGAGCACGCCGGATATAGATTCAGTACCCGAGAACCTCAGCGCCGAACCGTGCTTCCATTCATCTCGGGGAGGATTTCGTGGGAGGGAGCTTCGCAGCACTTTCTGGTGGAAGAGGGAGGAATCCGGAACCGCCGCGGTGTTTGTAGAAAGCCCGAGGGGTCAACAAAATGCCGCAGAGCATCAGAGTGATAATGATGACTGGGTTGAAGTTGATTCAGATCTACAAATTGGCAGTTCCGATATAACCAACGAAGGAACCGAGATCGTGAAAGAAGTATTCGGCCAAGGCGACTTCAAGATCGATGATACAAGAAAAGATATCCCAGATAGCCCCAAGCCAGCTACACATTCAGCCGCAGAGTTGACGACAGGCTCTCAAACCAAAAGAGACTCTTCGTGGAGTTCAATAATATCAAAATTGCGAGAATTGACTGCGACCAAGACGGCGGTGAAAGCCAGTGCGACGTACAGGGACAAGGGCCAATCTACTGAATTAGATGCTTGCAGATAAGCTGCCAAAGCCTTCTCTAGTATGGACAAGGCTCACAACTAGATTCCGAAAACAGATGCTCAGAAATAAACAGGATTAAAAGGAGGAAGCTTAGATATAGATAAGTATATCAACAAAATCTACCAAACGAAGTGTCTGACCATCCCAGGGTACAATAGCCCTGGGCAACGACTTCATCTATTTATACAAACAAAAAGTTTGTGTCTGTGGCTGGAACAAATTGTGCTTCAACGCCCCTGAGCCACTTACTATCCCAGTATTTACTTCTTAGGGCAAAACTCTTTTCCCTAAAGGGGGTGTATTGCCATAATTTGAGCATTTGAACGGCGGCAGCATCTCCCTAGTCCTGATCTACGTGAGTAGAGCTTATCACGCTAGCAATTATATGACGTCGATTTCTCTTCACTCTGAGATTGATAATCATGTCAACTTGGTCTTTTCAGTCAAAGCAAGAACATGGCGACATGACTGAGAAGTTACTATGAAAAATATAAATTGGGTAGTTAGAATTAGAAACACACGCCGTCAACTTTTTGGAATATTCCGTTTTATATAAATTTCCAGAATTGCGTGCAAATTACATATTCTAGACGACTTTCGACGACATAGCCTGATTAGTGTTACAAACGTTCCCAAACATATTTCTTATACCACAATCACGTCCACACCGTAAATGAATTGGCTAGCACCAGCAAAAGACAGGTTATGCAAGTCGTACCTTCTATTCTGATACAGCTGGAAAATATGGGAACATGCTCTAACCCTTTCAGGGCAGACGACGTGGCAAAGTGATACATACAGACTACTTGGTACTATTTTATGTAGCTAATCGTCATTCGGTACACAGTGTGTTGCACATTGTTGGTTATTCATGTTTCACAACAGCGTCCTGCAGGGAGAGATCCGGGTTGAGATCATAATTAACACGCGAAATTGAATCAATCATATACCGCGCCGACACAGAGTCCAGCCTAGACCTCAAGCTTCGGGGAGCCTAGGGTAACCTGAGCAGGGTCATACAAGAACCGAAGGTCCGAAGCGCAGTGCGTCGTTCTAGAAGGTTGAAAGAAAGAAAAGGAGAAAAGGGGTCCCGGGTTCAGTAACCCATCCCTTAGTGTGGATACGCAGGATAGCCTCTAGAGTTAGCAAAATTACTTGGCGATAACTGCTTTATTATGGCTAATTACTACGGAGTTTAATAACTTATTATTCTCGATTAGGGGGCGTTAATAATGGGACTAACTGCTAATGAGCGGTGCTGCCGAATGGTGGGCATGCAATGTGGAACTGGGGACAGTGCTAAATGCTATGGAGTTTTATGCATCGGGATCATCACTGCATCCTCCGCAACGGACGGGGTTGTGAGTCTGTCTCATAGCTGTTGTGCAAATCCTGCTGAGTTCGTTAGGTTCCGGAAGTGAGATAGGCTCTGGCGCAACGCCACAGTCACACAGTTCGTGATGCTCTACCGCTCAAGTCTTTATTCCTCAGTATGTGACTAGTCAGTATTAATTTAGTTACTCTCACAAAGTGACCTCACTGCTCCCGTCTGGAGAAGCCCCCACTACGAGGCGACCTAAGCTCCATCTTGGCATCTGCACCGTATGCGCCATCCATTTCCAGGCTCGGCATTAGTGTTGTTGATAGACATTCTTCTAGAGCGAATCGTGTCTAGTGTGCTCCTTGGCCTCACAGACGCCCCCAATCAGACCACGCTCGCGATGCCACACACTGCACACTGCACAAGCTCGTCCAACTCGACTGGATCATGGTTTGCTCCGGAGCATTTGCGAGTGCGTACGGATACGGCGCCGTATAATTATCGACAGCGCGAGTCTATCGTTCACATTCAGGCTTTCACAGGCATCGCCTTCGTCGCCCTGCCGGCACTGCGTCAGTCGAACTGTCCTGTCTTTCAACGTTTTTCTCTGCCAAACCGAATCCCACTTTTCATTTCTTTTCATTTCCGCCCAGGCCCCTCTGGGTTGATTCTTTCATGCTTTCGTCGGGGATGGGAAACGAGTAAGTGATTCGCTAGTGGGCGGCAGCTAGTCACTGTAACTGCGGACTCCGGTCCTAATGCAATCATAATGCTGTATAGGCGTAGGCAATGAGAGGAAAAGGAGGAGATTCAACAATGATGGCTGGAGCAAAGCAATCGTGAGAAGAGCAACAAAGAATAATATCTGCCGACCCGAATAACAATGACCAAAATCCATAATAGAATTCAATAAACAACCGAGTCGCAAATAATTGTTTAGATGAGAGCCAGCCCAGGCTAGCCCTTGGGAGTTAGCCTAGCCGTGCAGGGCAAACACAAGCAAACTCCCGCAGCCAGCCCGGCCTGCAGCTTTCCTTCCACCACTGCTGCTGCTACCTTGGGTGCTGCTCTTCTATCATTCCATCAACTGCATCCTGGCGATTGCTGACCTTTTACCCGTCCTGCCCTTTTTTAACCGTTGCCTTCAATTGTATAGACGCTTCCAGCCTGCGCTCATCGGGCACAATGGCTTCCAAGGTGCGTGGCTATCCAGACTCTTGACCGTGCACCGCCTGACCGCTTCGCCCCCTGTCTATCGTCCATCTGTCTATTCCATGCTCTAGCAACCTAGACAGCACGCGGTGGCTGGCCCTGCATGCGAATGTGTTTTATTTTACTTTTTGAGGCACATAAACGGCGCTGACATGTTGTTTGCCGTCTACAGTTTCTTCGAGAATATAAGCTAGTAGTCGTTGGTGGGGGTGGTGTTGGAAAATCATGTTTGACTATCCAATTAATCCAGAGTCATTTCGTGGACGAATACGACCCGACAATTGAAGGTAGGCTGCCGTTGCCTGCAGGATTCTCTCCAGTGTCGCTTGCTCATGCCGTTTTCTACAGACTCATACCGCAAGCAATGCGTGATCGACGACGAAGTCGCTCTGTTGGATGTTCTGGACACGGCTGGTCAGGAGGAATACTCGGCCATGCGGGAGCAATACATGCGCACGGGTGAAGGCTTCTTGCTCGTCTACTCCATCACATCTCGTCAATCGTTTGAGGAAATCATGACATACCAACAACAAATTTTGCGAGTGAAGGATAAGGACTACTTCCCCATTATTGTTGTCGGCAACAAGTGCGATTTAGAGAGCGACCGCGCAGTTTCCCAGCAGGGTATGTTCATCGCACGAAAGCGGGATTTTTTACCGGACTAATCTGTGTATCGATTGCAGAGGGTGAGGCTTTGGCCCGTCAGTTCGGCTGCAAGTTTATCGAGACCTCGGCCAAGTCTCGGATCAACGTCGATAACGCTTTTTACGACCTCGTTCGCGAAATCCGTCGCTACAACAAGGAGATGTCGTCCTACCCATCTGGAAGTGGGGCTTTCGGCGGTGGTGCTTCTCACGGAGGCAAGTTGGACATGTCGGAGCCTGGCGACGATGCCGGCTGCTGCTCGAAATGTGTCATCATGTAGAAAACGCCGAATCGATCTTCTAAATATGCAGACATTGTATTCGACAGACAGGCGCGTCTTGATACGCCCGAAGACGCCCTTTATTTGGACAGCCCACTGAAGCGAATTCCCATTGAATCCAACACAACCGTTCACGTAAGGAGGGGTCTGGCCTATTCTAATTCATAAATTTACGATTTATATCGACACTTTATTATTGGGCTCGAATCGGTCTCAACATACTACATTGTATTATCTCCTTCAGGAGTGAAGGAGAAATGAGACCTTGTTTCTTTTGCGACCTGCATTGCTCTACCAGAGCCCACTCCTACATCTGCCTCTTTTGTCGCGGCTTAATCTACGCCTATTTTCGTGATTATGCAAGCTACATACTCTCTACTGTGATCGGAATTACGTCGCCTTCTTCCACTTTCCAGCCTTTCTTTGATTGTCACTTATTATCGACTTCGATATCCCCCCAGTTCTATGTTATTCCCCCTAGTGGTTATTGTTTATTACCTGTCTTGAGTTTCTGGATATGACGGCATACATTCACCAAACACATGCATACGGATGGGCCAGGACTTTGTGTTAAGACACGGAGAGATTGGGAAAAGTATGTGTTCGAGAGGCGAGGATGGGACATGGTGCGATTATTTATTGTCACGTTTTGTTCATTCAGCTCTTTTGGGTCGGCCTCAATTGACTATGTGCTTGTTATGGTTGGATATGTGTATGGGTGCACTTAGAATTATTGAGCAATTCAGACTATCCATGACTAGTACATTCCCATTATCAAGACCTCTAAGATGTAGATATAAATGTAGATGCATTCAGTATTCTATATATCCTGCCACAACATATACACATATGGCGCGCTTTAATAAAATATTGTCTATTGATCAGTCTCAGCGTCAGATGGAGGGTCATCCTCATCCTCCCTCGACACTCGTCGTCCCTGCACATTCTTCTCTACATCCGCCACCAAGGAGTCGATATACTCCTTATTGCTGCCCACCAGCGTCACTGTATTCCGCTTCTTACCCCAGCGCGGATAACTCCCTACCTTGACACCATGTGGAAGTACACGCAACGCCAGATCGGTCAAATACGCGGCCACCGAACTCTCTGGCAGCGGCGTACTAATCAACACACGGTACGAACCATTGCCCTCTGGATCAGCCAATCTCGGCACAACCACTTCTTTCAACCCGTCTAACAATTTCTCAAACAGCCTCGGCACACCTGGTAAGATATGCACATTTCCATTGACCGTCGCAATCGGTACCCAAGAGTCATCCGCCACAAAGAGACTCTGCTTCTCCTCGTCGATACTCTCGTCATAAGGTAACTCGATCATCCGCAACCGCGCCGTCAGTGCAGGCGACGGCTTATCCCAGTGGAAATCGGCTTGTAGGGTGTGCGGTTTGGAGAGTTTCTTCATGCGCTCAAAGGCCGGTTCGTACAATTTGAGTGGCAGTCCGAAGGCCTTGGCGATTGATTGGTAGGTGATATCGTCGTGCGTAGGCCCGATTCCGCCGCTGGTTACCACGAAATCATAGTTGGCACTCATTCGGCGAACGCCCTCGATGATCTCGTCTTCGATGTCGGCGATGACTTCGATGCGTTTGAGTTGGATGCCTAGTGAGAAACACCATCGCGCGAAGTATGCGGAGTTTGTGTCGATTGTCTGGAATCAAGGCCAGGAGTTAGATCAAGAGAATATCTTTGAGGATGGGGTGAAGAACCTTCCCCCCGAGAACTTCATCGCCAATGATCAGACATGCTGCCGTGTGTATTGTTTTCGATTTGTTCTCGAAGAACTTTGCGGATGATGTCATGGCGGTGGCAGCGAGTGCGGTTCTTGCTACTGTCGCGGCCGATGGATGTGTGAAGTTGGCGAGAGGGTGAGAGAGATGTCGAGCCAATTGATTAAAGCGACCAGACATGGGGGAGAATATAAAGGAACGACAGGTTGCCAGAACGGAATCGATTGTTGGCAGCACCGGATCGCGCCGTCGTCGGGGCGGGGTTAGCTTTGCAGTTGGAGAAACCAGCAACTAGTCACGTTGACTGCCGGACTGCGGGGCTGCTACTTTCAACACAGCAATACCTTCCTTTAAAGACCTTGGAGTGGTTTAGAAGAGAAGCAGATATGGTGAGTTCCCGTCTCTTGATCTTGAAACTGGATGCTAATATCGTATTCCTGCAGTCTGATACTCGGTTATATTCCTTCTCGCAAGAAACCAAAGACAAGCTACGGAAATTCCGCCTGGGAACTTCTCGAGCAAAGGATCCCCAGGCCGTAATCTGTACATCACCTGCCATTTCCTTCATATGAAAAACATCCACTTATATAGATATCATAAAGACATCGTCGACGCCAAAACGAAAGAGATCCGTGCGCAGAGTGACGACGTTTATTCAAAACTAGAAGACATCGCAGACGAGCTCCCTGACTCGTCGCCGCGCTTTATCTTACTGAGCTACCCTCACACCTTGGTGAGCATCCACGACTACTCCCATTTTGCCAAATCATACGCTTATTTATAACGGTGTTAGCCTTCCGGCCGTCTAGCCGTGCCATATGTCCTCCTTTACTACCTCCCCGAGAACTGCAACCCGTCGTTGCGCATGATGTACGCCGGTGCTGTCGAGCTCTTCCGAAACACAGCGGAGGTGCAGCGTGTGATTGAAGTTGAGACTGAAGGAGATGTGCTTGACGTGGAAACGAAACTGAGTGGAGAGGATTAGTTTGGTATATATCTATGGGTGACTGATATCTTTTGATTTTTCTTGATTTTGTGTAAAGAGCATTTTGACTACTTTGCTCAAGGGATTGTCTTAATGATTTGAATTATTCTGGTTCATTGTGACGAACCCATAGTTTCCTAATTACTTCACTATTGCCATGCAATAAATATGGAAAAACCCACCATAAAACCACTCTTTTTAAATACTTGATCGTAATGGCAACACTCCTCAAGCAAAAGCTTGTAATTCCAGCCAAGAAGGCGCGCTTGGAATTTGTATTGAATGCCTAGAAAGTCCGACCAATAAATTTAGAAACTTGGCCAGGAGTTTTCAAAAGATCATTTATGTTATCACTATGAGTCCTTCAGCTTTAACTCTAGGAAGCCCCCTGAAGAGATTTTGGCCCTAACCAGTAAATAGCAGATATTCAAGACGTACCAAATATGTGTACGGCAAGTGGAATCACTGATAGTATAGCCTTGGCCCCATTATGACTCACGAGGAAATTGTTGATGCAATAAAACTTTCGGAAGCTTCGTCCTTCGTTGGAAGAAATGCAAGAAACAGGGGTCCGTTTTGGATGTAAAATGTATGTAGATGTTATAATAATATGTATCGGAGTAGCTGACTGGGTAGTAAAATAGGAAAAAGAGGGAATTTGACGTATAAATAGGCACTTAATAATTAAATGTCATTCGCTCTGCATGTAACGGGGTGCCTTTGGCCAACATCAATTGATATATGCCGACAAGAAACTTCTTCAGGCTCAATATACCAATAGTAACACCCAAATATTCTTGCAGTTGGTCATTAATTTCGAATAGGTTGCTTAGAAACGGGGTCAGATTTGCTCAAGTCAAGCCTAAGCCTGTTTAGGTTTCCCTTTTGCAAAATGCTATGAGATCATGTTGCAAAAAAGGCTGGGTATGGTGAATTGTCCTTGATAATGCTTGGACTGGATGTCTGCTATAAAACCCTAAATCACGACAATTGCTTCGGATGAACTATCCCTCTCAATAAGCATCAGAATCTGGTTCATGCTTTTTTACGCTTTTCATAGGGTGAAATATTTGTTATTCGAAATGTAATTAATGCGATTATTTCCAGGAAATCTACCAATACTATTCGCTTGATGCACTACGTGGAGCACGAAGCCAAAAAAATGATATATGGAAAGCTCTACTATCTCGTCTTGCTATCTCAGAGGACTACCCACAACAGTACAGCAGGTCAATATCCCTACTTTGCGTGTTATTTCGAATAGCACGATGACCCGAGAATCAGGTTTCTTGGGAAGTAGAAATTTTATTGCATAGCCTCTGTTAAGCAGTGGCATATTCTCTTCCCCAACTTTGAACGTCATGTTGTTATGCTCTAAGGCAATGGCCATCACTGTTGTGGAGGCGATGCCTTTCTTAGGAGGCAGTATAGTGACCATAAATGTGAATTAGGAAAGTAATGTTTGATAGAATTCTCATTTCACGCTATACGTCAGTTAATCTGGCGAAAATCCGATTACAGCGGCTATGATGATTCTCCTTTTGAGGAGGAAATGGCCATTGTCACTGCTAAGAGAAGAGAAGAGAGTTCATTCGCTTCCGTTATAGAGAAAGGTGGTGTTGCATATTATTCTCCGGCTTGGACAATTTATATAGGCGCACTACATTGCCGGTGAGGTATCTGTGTGACTTATTCTGAAAAGACGGCCCCCCCAGCCAACTCCACTCACTTACAGTTCCATCATCCACTGCATTCACCATATATAATTGTATTTTATAAGCGACGGTACAAGAAGGTAACCTATTTACACACCTCGCTCACTCAAATACATGAGTCTTAGTTCAGGAGTCTCTAAGAATTTTGTGTTTTACACGAAGACGATAGTTGTGACAGATAGCCCTAATTAGGGTTTAACTTATCTGACGATCCCAACAAACCTTACATAACCATCTCAAGGAAACCATTCTATCACAGAAACTGCGGAAATGATCTGCTTTAGGACTTATAACAGTGATATAAGAACGAGACCCTAAGGTCCCAGTCTTGATATAATATGCAAGGAATGGGTAACACGAGCAAAGAACCCAATCATGAACCATGGAAGATCTACCTTCAGAATACGTATTCCACGCGACGATAACCTAATATTATGTAGGTCTTGAAAGAATCCTTGTGCATGTCAGCTAGACCATAGTTGGAACTACATCTCCACGTCTTAGCTACGACCAAAACAGTTTTCATATGTGGCGTTGAGTAGATTCCGAAAGCAGCTGTCAGTTACAGGGATCGTGTGACCATTTTTGTGAACTCGTTTGAGGGCCGCGGGGATTAATAAGAAGGAAGATGGAGGACTAATTATGGAATCTCGCGTTGGGGGCCTCACGAATAACCCAATGTTGTATCCGTAGAGGCCACAATCCAGACAGCAGTGTTCCAGTAACAGACTGAACTACAAACTTACAGTACCGTAAGTAATCAACAGCGATTATGCCACAAATCATCACCAGACAACCACAAGCACAACGTAACCCTGCTCATCGTCATCATTCCGCCCAGAGATTGGCAGGGTCTATGAGTCCGGGGCCGTAGATCCGCGGTGGCACGCTAATCCTGTTGTGTGTTTGGTGGTCGCAGCTAGCTAGTTGCGTCGTAGTGGGCTACTACTGGTACTTAGTATCGACCAGGAGCAGATATTAGTCTAGGACCAGAATATCCTGCCCGTGGAGGTTAAGCCTGTTTTGGGAGGTGATCGCGCCCGCTGGAGGATTCGTTGGTTAACAGTCCTATAAAGTGTTCGTGCCCCCTGCTAGTTAGTACGTACTGTACTTCGCTTTACTCCGGCGTTGTGATGTCCTGGCGGACTATTACTATTTAGTACCCCGTACTGTTAATGTTTCCCCCCCCGAGTAATTCTAGACTTCTAGATTGTTAATCCTTTAGAACTTTACTTCGAGATGTTGTATACCTATGTAACTCGTGCTTGACAGGGTTCCTATAATTCTCCTGATACTCAAGTCAGAGACTCGGAGAGAATGTTGTACGCTGGACAAAATATTAACAAAGATTTGTCCATCGAAGTCCTACAGCCGCTGATATTTTACACTCGACAGTATTCTTAACTTTTGATCATTGTCAACCAGTAGCATGAAATGTGAAAATTCTCTTGCTCTCCCAAAACTGCTCTCACACCCGAGACGGCTACATACATGAGATCAACAATGATCCGCAAGTCTTGCCGCTCAACCAATGTGTCTGACCTCGACCTTCGAGGCTAATAGGGCCAGTCAGTTGACATGCACCACCCATTACTGTCACCGTTACCCGTTTAACGGTGCTGCAGTGCTACTCCAACTGGGTGGCGCCGCTTAAGCCCGGAAAGGCCTTGCCGCCTGCCTTCTGCCTCTTGCCTCTTGCCTCTTGCCTCTTGCCTCTTGATATATTGATGTGCATACTTAGGGTCTCAGACTGCTACAGACCCCCACTGTAGGCTGCTCCATCGGCATTGCATGATCTTTGTCTGCCGGTCAGCACAAATCATCGGCTAGATCGGGTTAAATGCGAGCCTGGGCCACCTGTTTGTTCTGTGTAACAGCCAAAAAATGGTTCGTAAATTTCGGCGACTGGCCTGTGCTCGCTCTGATAATACACAGACTGCGAGACACCACTTAGTAGAAAACTAGTACTCGCGAAGCTACTTAGAAGTTAGAATTTAGAAGAACTCAAGTGTTGCAGCTTGAATTCTGTTAAAAAGCAGAATGACAAAAGTTAAAAAACTGCGCCCGAGCAACCGCTGACGAAGCTCATTGGTAGTGTTAACTCTTTCAGGTATGAGCGTTGGAACTTAGGAGCAGCTAGCCCAAAGGTAGAAGTTAGCACCGGGGTTTTGCTGGTTCGTCTTTAGCCGTGACGTTTTAGTTCTTCGACAATGGAGGCTACCCATGTGGTAATTAGCGGACCGGGCCAGAGCCCACACAGTGACGGCCTACAGGATGCACTATTATTGTGGGATACCAACACGAGCTCCTGAATAATATTAAGAATCCGCAGAATGGAGACGCAGTAAGTTTAATAGTTAAGAAGCAACAAGGGTAAATTACAAGTGCTGGCTTAGTATGTCATATTATTACGGCGACAGTAGAGACTGCTGCTCGGATAAACCGAGCATCTGTCAGTTATGCGCTGCAGCAGCATCGAACGTCTACTTGTTGTGGTGCAATCTCGCGGAGATAAGCCTTCACCGACTACGAGAAAAATACAGGCCGTTACAAGGCAAGGAACCAACCACGTTCTGTTAGGGTGGCGCCACATGCCCGCTGCGCTAGTCCTGAATAGGTAGACGCATGGACCAGGTCTCTCTATCGTGCGCTGTCCAATCAGAGCTTGAGAACAGTGTGGCGAGCGAGTCGTTTGGCTGTTGGCCGTGCTTCTTGGTTGCTGATATTGTCGGACATCAAATTTTCCGGTGTTGACACTGGCATTGAGTTTCAGGCTGCATCTATCTACAAGAAAATGCCAATAAATTAGCGAGAATACTGGATACAATGTATAGTTTATAGATACTATAGAGAGTGGTCGGACTGACACAAAGTTTATTTTTACGGCTAGCGGGATCCAGGCTAGCGGATCCACTTGATGGGTCCTACTGCGGTCGGATCACATCATCAGGTGTCCTGCCTGACTCGCTCGGGCTATGTCCGTCGAAGACTCGAAGTCTACATTGACATGATTCTTCAATCTCATGGTTACAGTATCTATGTTAACTGTTCATATAAAATCTGATAATACTATTGGTGTGGGGGTGTATACTTCGCTGATTATCTCAATGGTTCTTGATATACGGATATCCAGGGCGGAAGTAACATCCGCTGTCATCCAATAATAACAATAGAACAGCACGAAGCATCCTCTGTGTCGGGCCCCAACCTCTCCAAGACCAAGGAGCAGGGCCAGGGCAGCCAGGCCCGCGGCGCCGTATTGATACTAGCCGTACTATTACCCGTACCGCCCGCACCTGTGTACCGTAATTAATGGCTCAGACTCGCTGCTAAAGCCTAGCCTAACTCTCGTACAACTGTCTGTCCTCGACTCGACCATTATCCACCGCGAGTCCACTACTGAATGGCCTGTCGGGTCTGGTTTGTTCGTCCACTTGGGGCCTGGTCTTCTGCAAGAACTCATATTACCTTTCCTGTCGCCGCCGTTCTTCATACTTGACACCCGTCGTGTTCTTCACCACACAGGTCGCCAACACTACTGTGAACGAGACACCACAATAATACTGTGCATGATTGAATACCGTTGGTGGAGTTGATTGAGCAGAAAATTTGCTGGTGTGTGTTATATTTCGCCTGGTACGACGTGATTCGAAGTCGCTCAGCCTGCCGCCGTCATTTCGACGCCTTCACCCCCCCGCTTTCAGGAATTTTCTGCGCCCTCGAATCCCATTGCACAACTCCAATTTGAAATGTTTTGAATCGCCATTTATGCGTTCGTAAATTGAAGAATTGTCGGTGCGCGCTATTGGAGGAGGAGAAGAACGTGATTGAATCAAGATGGATCCCGATCAACCGAAGAAAGAGGATGTTGGGTCGCGACTGCTAAACCGCATGAGCTCGGTATTTCGTCGAAAATCGAGACGTACCCAGTCGACTGTTTCCAATATCACCATTGACGATACTGCTAATACAGCAGGGTAAGTGGAAAAATGTTAATTCGTTCGGTTCGGAGTGGTCAATCTAACATCAGATAGATCTGCTGGTGCGACTGCAAGTACACCACAACCAGCTCTAGCGACTACAAATATTAGCACGCTTGCTCGTGACACCACACCTGTCATGCAGTGGAGCTCCGTCCAACAGGAGCGAGCTCGCGCCTTGTTCGCCAAGTACGGTCTGACCTTGGAACCTGAAGAATGGATGTCTCCTCGCAATCTAGAAGTGCAGCGTGTCGAGAAGTCAATTCGCATGAGAGTGCGACGCACATGCCATCGCTGCCAGACCACCTATGGACCAGACAAGGTCTGCGCCAACTGCCAACATGTTCGCTGCAAGAAATGTCCTCGTTATCCGCCCGCCCTATCAAAAGAAGAAAAGGAAGCGCGGGCGCTGGCGAAAACCCAGGCCAAGTCTGCTGCGCCTGTTGCTACTGCTGCTACTGCTACTGGTATTGCTACTGGGCCTACTCCTGCTGCCGCTCAAAAGAAGCAGAAGCACCCTCCGCTGACCATTCCGTCACGCACTGGAGGACAAGACCTCGTCTACAAGCAGATCAGACAACGTGTTCGCCGAACATGTCATCGCTGCCAGACCCTGTTCCGTGGAGATTCTAAAGAGTGTGAGAGCTGCAGTCACGTTCGTTGCAAGAAGTGTCCGCGTGATCCGTATGTTGCATCTAATCAGGTCCGAAGTACTTTGTGGCTAACATATCACAGACCTAAACTTCATAAATATCCCGATGGATATCCAGGCGATGCTGATCCACCACCCGAGCGTCCTCAACGCGTGTGGAGAAAGCCACGCATGCGAGTGCGCTACTTTTGCCATCAATGTGACACCCCTTACATACCCGGCGAGCAAAACTGCAGCAGTTGTGGACAGGAGAAGGGACCGGAGACGAGACGCGATCCGTGAGTTTAGTTTTGTTCTCTGAGATACAAAACCATAACTAACACCTGCCAGCCCTAAGAAAATAAAACCCGAACTAGATCCGGACCTTGTGAGACGAGTTCAAGAACGCTTGGCTGAGCTACAAGTCAGCAGCGGATAGCGACGTTTATCTTCATCGATCGCGTGTTGATTATGACTCATTAATATCGCTTCACGACTGTTCCATTGTCGGCATCGTCTACTCCAAAGGATCGCAATTGATGAATTACGGCATAACTAAACTTCTCCGTCATTTATTACTTTACTGTGCATAGCATATATACATATATTCTTTCATGTTTTGTGTATATGCCGTCTGAATTGATGTGGATTCTAACCCCTACCTAACGATTAACAGTCCTGTCTACGATAATAATGAACATAGACATCTCAATTCTAGCTACTTTACAGGGTGGTGTACATGTAGACAGCACGAGTCAGCACGGACACGCTGGTAGGCCATCCAACCACCCCACGAGTCGCCACCTCTACAGCGACGTCGTAGCACACGTTCTATCCAATACTGCAGCTCCGCAAGCCCAAGTAAGCCCAAGGCCGAGACCTCACCCAATCCTGTCGGCTATACGGGATACTGGGTGGTATATATTAGTCGGTGTTATTGCATCGTTAGCGGCAAAGCCTTTAGCGATGATACGATCAAAACACCCCTAATTATATTGGCAATAATACAACAATAATAACTCACTCACTATTGAGCAAGCTTGAGACAGTTGCACATCATACATCATACATCATACATTTAGCCTGTAGCTAGACGGGGAGGTTTGGGCAGTATGCTATAGGTTAGAGACGTGGTAGAGACTGCTTTGCGCGCTACGCTTGTTCAAAATGATGCATTCGGACCAGTCCGTCAATAAATATGTTAAATTTTGCCATTTTAGTAGAAGGTTTGGCCACGACTCGAATGGACTATAGCTGGTACGAGGTTCGCTATCCTATGAGCGCGCTTTGATTACCCACCACATAACAACTGACAATATGCTGCTGGCCCCGGCGCCGTGCGGACTATACACTCTGCATATCTATCCGTATACACTGTAGTCTCCGCGGTTTTTCTCTGGGATTGCATGATCTAGCAGTATCACTGTCCGTTTGGAATATTTTGACAGGTAAATGATTGGCTGGTGCTTGTGGCGACACGGGCCGGACCGTGCTCCATCGCGTGCCGTTATCGCGGGCTAATCGGATGTTTCTTTTCGCGTTAAGTACCTCTGCGACCGCCGTGGACATGATCATGATTTTCTTTTTGGCGGATCGCTCTGGTAATACCGGAGATCGCCTGAAACGTACGGGTAGATCTAGTGTAGTATTAACGGGGGCGCTGTGATACGGATTCGAGGCACCCCTTAGAGTAAGTCGTTGTTATGGTCTATGGATTGGGCATTAAGACAGGTGGAAACTATACTGTGTTGGGATGGGTTACGCTGCGTCTAAATAGGTGGTCCATTAACCCCGGTCAAGTTGCTGGTTATGATGATCAGCGAGCGGGCTATTATTCCGAGGTAGTATTATTCCATTGTTTATTATCATTGGTATATTCACTTGTGCTTTTGATGTATTTATGTTTCACAATGAAATAATAATAATAATATACGGAGACTATTAGCAACCAGAAAAAAAATTCAGAGTCAGAGACTGCACCAGCCTACAGGATCGCCGTTTTCTTCCTGGCAGTATCAGCTACTTAGCTAACCACCAGTAATACGCTTCTCGTGGTGACACAAAGATGCACAAAGCTTGAATAAGCACTTTTTTATTTTTAAAGGTACACGGCATCTGTACATGGGATCAACCGCCCGTGCACTGGGGGTGGGTGGTGGGTAGTAACACAAGTGCTGAGACAAAGTATTAGTACTTCAACGGTCAACAGGTTCAAATGAGAGTCGACCGTTTTACAACAATAATATTATTATCATATTATAATGCCAAAGTGTACAGCCGACTATAGCATGTTACTATCAATTTTAATCTTAATTATTCAGTGTCAACTAGACGGCATCTACGTATTTTAGTACACAAGAAATAACGGCCCCCAACACTCTCCATCTCGAATGAATCAAAAACAGTCGGTATTCAAATCATAATTACAACTAATATTGACACATACCGCCCTTGATGATTGCATGCCGCTACACGTATCTTTGAGTACCGACTGACTACCGACACGCCGGCACCGAATGGGAACTATGCTCCATGTTCCCCGAATGCGCCACGTCAGAGGTTTTTCCGGTTCATGACAACTAACCAACAATACACTAATTATTATTTAAGAGGAACGTGCAGGTATTGATTTACAGGATCAATTGATACTGGTCCACCGTATTTTCGGCCGAGCTCAAACTTCGGCCGAACAGCAATTAAGAGTCGTCCGAATTTATGTAATAATAAAATATACAGATAGCTGAGCAGTATGTAATACCGTGCGAATTTTTCCTCTCTTTTATTATTAATAGCAAAATCTACTGCGATTTAGATTCTGATTGTATCTCATGTGGGCGAAGGATTTCACCCCTGACTAGCAAAACCCTTGAATTAGTCTGTACCATAAGACGGTGTGTCGGTCGTCATCTTCGCTTCCTTTCTAGGGCTAGGGAGGGATTTATTTTCCGAAGCCCTAAGTAGTCAACTTTCAAGCTGGAAGGTTTGAAACATTAGTTCTGTACGGAGGCTTTCTGGATTTTATTTTTAGTATCTTGTTCAATTGTTTTCTGCTACGTAGCTGTGTCTATGTTTTCCCACGTATCTGTGTGAGCTGAGTTACCGTAGTATTGGGCGTTTCTTGATGATTATAGTGTAGTGTCAGCGTGTGCGGAGGCCATATTTTTGAAGATGCACTAGGTCTGTATTTCCTTGCGTAGGGGTTATGAAGTGAATGTGCTTTACTAATAATTCCTACTGATTAATTGATATCGAACACATCTTCGTGATTGCAAACTAGCTAATCTCTGAAATAAATCATTGCAAATACACCATCAAAATACATGCAAGGAGTATCTTGGTAGATGAAAACTGACAAGTGGAACCACTTCAACAGCTAAAGAAATCTCCAACCCCAAATACTTCATATTACACCCTGAAGCGCTTGTTGATTCTTCTTAATCCCTCTTGACTGGCTCCTCGTTTGAAACGACTTGACTGTTGGCTAGCGCAATCGCCACAGGTGATATTCATGGCTGACTTCGGTTGCTGATAACCAAGAGCCTTGAATTTTGGTATTTCGTCACAGATCAACACCATGGTATCTAAATTAACGCAGTCCACACAGAATGCGCGAGGGCATGAATTGCACAAAAATAGCATCCCCCCCGCGTCAGCAGCACTTTGAAAGCATGCTGAACATTTGTGATATGCACAGATATTTCTAAAATTGTTCACCGCATGCGATTTCTTCTTGCCTAGGCACTTCTCATGGAAGCTATTAGGACAATGAGCGCATTCTGTTAGACCACGCTGTTTCCCGCAAAACAAGCATGTCTAGATTCAGTTAGTATTCATAGTAGTCTTTGGTCGAACGTAACAACAAATTAGCATTTCAAGACTATCGGACTAACCTTTATATGATTACGCCATCTGGTTGGCTCCTTGGAGTCAGCGGAACTTGAGTTTCTTGTTATCATAGGCGGCACTGCCTCTCCAGGCTCACACAGAGTGGACTCCTTGCTGACGAAGCAATCATACTCCTTGTTGAAAATAGCACGAGGTATGATTTTTCGAACTGGCGATGCGGGAGCTTCGTAAAACTCGAGTTTTGATTTCTTCGGTGAGCGTGGTACTTTCATCCCGTCTAGTTCATCCGTCCTGATCCGCTCGTTTTTGGTCAGCCAATTTGTCTCGTCTTCATCATGTGACATAGGTGAGTCTGGAGGAGCAATCATATCAGGTTGATCAATATTCTGGTGAGGGGCGCGGCAGTAGTCGACAATACGCTCCCAGTCCCAGTGCATCATCTCCTCGCCATCAGTCTTGTCGACCGCAAATGTGTGGAGGCTACTGCGCACCAAGTTGCGGATGAATGTAGTATCTGTATGTAACTGCTCTTCAGCCATATTCTGGAAAGTGTTAGTTGAGTTCGCGAAATCGCCGTTTACTATAGCCTCAAGATACAACTTCTTGTTTAATCGACTCATCATTTGCTCTTCAACTGTGCCCCGTGTGCACAGCTTGTAGACTGTGACTGGTTTTGTCTGTCCAATACGATGAGCTCTAGCTTCTGCTTGATGTATCACTTGGGGATTCCAGTCGAGATCAAGAAAAATGACCACCTCAGCAGAGGTTAGTGTCACCCCTTCGCCACCAGCCCGGGTAGCGACTAAGAAAACTCTGTGGTCTGGTTTATTGTTAAACAGATGAATGCTTAACTTGCGCATGGCAGAACAGGTTTTGCCGTCTAGACGCAAAAACTCGATATCCAGCTCTTCTAGGAGAGCTTCGCAGCAGTCAAGAACTTGATCAAACCCGGAGAATATTAGAACTTTCTTTCTTTCCTTGATGACAACCCTGTCCAGGAGCTTTTCGACAATGATAAACTTGGACGAAGTTGCTACAATATCGAAGCCCGTTTCCTCATCATCATCAAAACGATTTAACGCGAGGGGATGCGTGCAGACCTGGATATGTTAGTGCTAGGCTTATGGATGAGCATATTAGGAGTATATCAGTTGGCTGCCCACCTTTCTGAGCTCCATAAGAGGGTTTAGAATAGAACGATTAGGTGCCCTTGATAGTTTTCTCTGATCAGAAGTTTCGGACCATCCCGGAGATAGACCCTCCATGCCTTTATGGAAGCTGTTCTGCCATCTTCTTGGCGAAGTTAGATGGGCTGATTCCATCTTTGGTCTCGGTCGTAGAAAATCGCCATTCACACCATTGATAATCTCGAGGTACAGCCTTCTTTGCAAGCTGGTGAGCGGGGCGTAAAGTGTTATTTCCGTCTTTGGAGGCAAGTCCAGTTTCAAACTAGCTGTCTCCTTTGTCCTACGAAGCATTGCCACTTTCAGAAACTTGCCTAAGTCCTGAAGAAATTCAAGGTCCACTTTGCCTTCGGAAAGAGCAAAGGCCCGTTTGAAAGCTGAGCTCGTATCTTGATGGCCGAATACCTCAGGGTATAGCCACCTGAGCATTGACCAAGTTTCAAGCAGATCGTTTTGAATGGGTGTGCTGCAGTACATCAGGCTCGCTTAGGTCTATTGAGTAGAAAATGACTCACCCTGTCAAAATAATTCGCTGCTCAGTCTTCAATCTGCTTACGGACAAAGCATTCTGTCGAGTTGCATCTTTGATTCTGTGGCCTTCGTCGAGCACAACCGCTTTCCAAACTCCCATACGGTTCAAGCGATGACCATCCGATATTAACAGTTCGTAGGTAGTTACCATGACATGCGCTTCTAGACAATGTTAGACTGCGAAAACCAATATGTTGGGACATTCTGTACCTCTGGTTCTGACAAGCTTAGCCACTTCTTTTCTTTTCTCGAGGCTTCCATAATATTGTACCGCGTGAAGGCTTGTCCATTTTTTCGTCTCACTCATCCATGTGTCTCGTACATTCAAAGGACAAACTACAAGGAATGGATATTTATCATGGTTCTCGTTAACCAGATGCTGAAAGAACGATAGGACTTGAAGCGTCTTTCCCAGCCCCATCTCGTCGCCGAGTATGCCATGAGCGCTGTTATTTCTAAGATGACATAGGAACGAGACACCTTCGATTTGGTGAGGCTTGAGCCGGGCTCTTATGCTAGGCGACGTTAGTACTATACATACCGCAAAGAAGAAAGACAAACCCATGTGGTTGACGTAGGAGAACATGATATGGACGGGTTTGAAGATTTTCTTCGGCTTCTGCTAGCCTTTCCGATATTTGACTGTCCCCAAGTATGGGTAACAGCAAATTGTTATTTGCTACTATCCAATTGCTGAATGTATGCTTAGAAAATGCGAACCCTGGAGAAATCAGGCTCAGAGGTGCACTTGATACGCCGCTCCGGCTACCTGGGCTGGATACTAAGTCTGTTAGCGGACTCTGAACTTTACTTCATGATGCAAAAAGATATAAATACTCTCTGAGGCCATATTGGCGAGTACCCGCATGTAAATTAGAAGTAATCCCAAGTAATTTGCCTATCCAGATGTCCAATGGGACGCAAATATCAAGATGAAATTCTTCGATACCTCGAGGGCTCGAGCAAGATTAGATTTGGAAGGAAGTTTGTCCTGTCCTAGCTGGACGATGATGTGTACTTTGTCCATCTGGGCTCTGGGTGCCCAGCAAACCGAGGAACTGAAGCATGGTGCACACCATGTTGACTGATGGGGTGGTCATCAAACGGGGGCTGCGATGTTGAGTGTTTGAAGCACAAAGATCCTTGCCATCACTGCGTTGGGGAAGATATTTTTATTATATATTAATTCCAGAGTATGTTTTCTAATAAAAGTGGGGGAATATTAAGGGCCCAAAAATGTCAGTTCTATATGGGAATTGGGGGTGTGCTGCTCTCTTGTGAAATATCTTACCTATCTCCATTGTATATTCCAAATATATCAATAAATATACCAGACCTGGCTTGAAAGCCCCAACCATCTATCACATAAATTGATCTCTTTGCATATAGAATGTAAACATCAGTCTTCTCTCCCCATACTCATCTACCATAACCCCTTCACAACAGGCTTCACCTTTGACAAAGATACCCATGCAATTCCCCCACTTCAATATTACCTCTCACCAGCCTGATAGAGACATCCATCCCATCTCTTTATCACTTCTCACATGACAATGTTTCTTTCTTTATACGTTGACGAACAGACCCCATGCCAAGATCTTCTATATAAATTTGGGGGTTGATCGTTGCCCTGTGAGGGTTTCACAGAGCCATATGACTACCTACTAGGTAGTAATACACAAAGATTTTTGCTCCACATGTGACCAAGTGCCTTAGGCACATCATATATCCCACCAGATGTCAATACAAGGGCTGTCAATAAAAGAATAATCGTATAAATTATGACAAATTTTTATAAGAGTCAGATACCATGAGTCAGCTAAAGAGGTTAAATAGTAACACTCAATTAAGCTTTGACCCGCCGACTGATTTTCTCTGTTCCTGAGTGCTTAGCATAATCCAGAGCGCTGGAACTCACACCATTTCTCAGGTTAACACGTCTGGAGAGTGCTCTGCGTACAAGCCAGTCCCTAGTAGTGAAATCCTCCTCGACAATGCCTGCTGGCAAGGCTGGGATGGCGGGGCTATCAAGCCTCTTCAGAACAGCATTGTGGTCCGGACGGGAAAAATACCCCAGACTATACCTAATACACTCTGCCTGCTCTCCTGGAGAGGCAACCACGCGATGAATGTTGGATCTTAGAAGCCCATTGGTGAACTTCACCAACGTATCTCCCAAATTGACAATGCAATGTCCAGGAATCGGCTTGATCCATTTCCATTGAGCATCCGTGCCTGGAACGAGAACCTGTAGACCGCCCAGACGGTTGAAGAGGACCGTAATGCTGCCAAAGTCTGTGTGTTCACCAAGACGCGCAGCTTTGTCCTCGACTGGCTGCGGAGGACATCTAGTGAGTCGGACCATGTCGCCACTTGGACGGTCGATGCGGTGCAGATTCGCCAAGGTAGACGGAGGAAGCTGTAAGTGTTCATTCAGAAGATCCAGTAAAGGCGTAACGATGACCGAATGAGTACTCGAAGCGAAGGATTTGAACACTTCAAGCTCCTCATTCACTACCTCTGGCTGAGGTAAGGCGTGTGCATGTCCAAGAAGATCGTCCCTTGAAACCTATGATAACGTTAGCTAGGTCATCTAGACCATCAAAACCAATAGTATCAAGTACATCATAAAATTCTTCCCTGTCAGTATTTCCCCGACTATCAATGACGTACGACCCAAGGGGTTTGTATCCGAAGAACGAATTCTTCTCGCTAAAGTCGTATTTTCCTTTTTCCTCAACCTTGAGAGAGAACAACTGCTCGCTGACTCGGAACAGCTTATCCGCATATGACAAAATGGATTGACCATCCTTTTGAGAGCGCATATCCAAATAGAAGAATCCAATTTTCTCGCACGCGAGATAGAACCTGCGGCATTCCTCGTCATCGTGGTCTAGTAGTTTGGCCAATGAAAGCCGATCAAGATCCATGACTAGCATATTGCCAGGAAATGGCGGCAAGCCGGGGAAGTTTTCCAATTCCATGGTCAGTGTAGGCAGTAAGAAATGATGGAGGTTGGAATATCTTGGATTTCGAAAAACAGCAGTTGTGTCCCTTGCATGGCAAGGGGTTAAATAATAGTACAGGTCCGCTCTTCATCTCTGCTGTCAGACTGTAGTCGCCATATGGGCCAAGGCTAATGAAAGCAACCTTGCCCACGTGATCTCTGGAAGTCATGGTGAAATCGTCATTTTGCGACAGAGTGCTTGTTTACAGAGAGGTGAAATGTATTCCTCGTGCTGATGCCTGATCGTCAAGGCATTAACTGGTGGACAGTGCAAGTGGGTCTTCCCGGAGCCGCAAAAGAACCTGCAGCGATCAAAACGTCAACTTCAGCAGAACTTCTTGATCAGCAACTTGATGTGCCTCTCTCGCCTCGCCGTGAGAAGAGAAGCATGTCTGTATCGCAGAAACACATCGCTCACGAGCTGCTCTCTCGTGCACACTCCCCAGACACGGCAGATCAGCTTTTCACCGAGCGCATCAAACAGAAACCGCTGTACCTCCGACCAACCTCGCCAACACCAGCAGATAATCGCTCTCGCCGCCGATTACAGCGTCTGCGCAAGAAGGAATACTTCTACAAGAAACAGAAACCAAGACCGCTCTCTGCGCGCGAGAAACGTGTCTCTGGGATCCACGACATACCCAAGGAGGAATGCAAATACGACATTTTCAAGGGCTTGCATGAGTTATGGGTGGAATATATGCAGGAGGTGCTGGATATTAAAGACCGGAAAGCATATAACTACACTCCCGTAACTCCCGCAAGCCATGGTAGTAAGCTTGTCAGTGCGGATTATCACGGCGCGAAGATCGAGGTTGTCCGCAGTCGATGTGCGGGCAGGGTAGGCGTGAAAGGTATTGTGGTTAGAGACACCAAATTCACTTTTGTGATAGTCACCGAGAACGACGTTGTCAAGAGTATGATATATTGCTCTCATTGTCGCAAATGATATTGTCTAACATGACTTTCTCTAGCTATTCCCAAAGAGCACACCGTTTTTCGGTTTACGATACCTACTATCCAGCATCAAACAAATAATGGCAACGACACTACTCACGGCTTGGAAGTTGCAAGCAAGGATTTGGTTTTTGAGTTACATGGCAGTCAATTCGAGAACCGGCCCGTTGACCGTGCAAACAAGAAGTTCAAGTGGAAGAATGTCGACTATCTATGATAGATATTGATAAACAGACAACATCAACTTTTCCATCAAATACGCCACTTTACTGCAGTTGTTAAACGACTACATTTACCGGCGAATTTGGACCCCAACCAAGGCATCTAAAGCTGACAGGCCAAGCCGCACTGTAGTCGTGGCAAACGTTGAGGGGAGAACTTTGACCTAAGGTGCAAATTCTGGCACCCTGGGATTGATTCTGCCAGGGAGCGCACAGAAAGGTGGCTCTTCCCAATTTCATACCTACGTGATGGTATATCTCCTCCAGATAAATATCTCCGAGAGCACAGTAGGCACGAGAACACTATTTTATAGGTTTATATGAGGCCAGATGCCGATAGTATCCAGCAGCAAGTCTTGCGGTCTCAATCCATGATCTGCAATAGCTAAGGAACACAATTATGGCTGCACGACAACTATTATTCTACAGTAATAGGCGATGCTAGAGAGAAATATCAAGATATGTTATTCCATATAGATTGCATTAATAAACTAAGCAAATTTGCTTGTATTTCTTCTCTTTCTTCCCTAGGCACCGCGGTGTGTATGGCCATAGTTGACCACGCACTACGCCAGATTGATGTATTCTAGCAATCAATCTGACACTGAATCGGGACTGTGGTTTCCCACGAGGCTGCGATTGAGATTTATCTCTCAATATAAACATTCTTTCGAGAATGGCTGTAGACAGCGAAGACCACTGGTAAGAAGAGCGCGGAATTTGTACTGCATCAAGTACTTTGCACTTCAGTCTTCACCAGGTGGCACTATGAACCCGGCCGAGAATGCTATCCAATAAACCAACTTTGTTGTAACAAGGTAGGTTGAGTCAGGATGACCCCTTCGCGTTCCAGCAAAAGGAATATGAATTGATTATCAGTCGCCACAATATACCTCACATGCCTGCCCATTCAATGCTAAAAGTGCGAACATTAGAGGTAGCATCATCTGCGGGGTCCCCTGGCTCGGCACCGCCAAACAGATATCCCTTTTTAACTCCAGTTCCTAGTCGACCGCCTGAGACGATTTCCATCAAATCGATCTCCTCGTCCCATTCAGCTCCAACTACTAAGAAATGCGAATGAAACCGTAACGGATCGCCGGGGTATGCTGTGTATTGGCATCCAAATCGCAGTCCCGGGGTGAGGAAAAACCCGCGTGAATGCAGATGTGCATAGACAGGGTAAGAAGATGGTACCGTTGGTAGGGGCATAGTGTATTTTTCTGGTGCCTGGTAGGGAATTAGTGGAAAGGTTGTTGCTGGCGTGATAGCCATCGCAAAACCCAGGCTTGATGAAGCTGTAGACGATGAGGATGGACTTTTCGCGCGATGGCCTGGTCCAAAGAGACTGTCATCCTCCGCTTCATGATCAAGAAGAGCGTCATCAGGAATCTCGGCCTTGGCCTTAGTCTTTGCCTTGTTCCGTTGCGCTTGTTTTCTCAATGCGACTTCACGGTGGGCTTCCTTTTTGTCAAGCAAAGCATGTGATAGGTCGAGCCCTTCTTTTTCTAAATTTGCAAAGTATCGGCGCTTGTCTGCTTCAATGAGCGATTGAACGCCATTATTCTGGTTCTTGGCTTCATCAACAATACGGGCTACTCCCTGCTCCACCAAGAGCCGTGCTTCCTCGGGCATAAGTTGCAAGGGAAGACCTAGGAAGACATTTTGTTGAGGGACATGTGGTAGTGTGCCCATGAGAACACCGCAGATATTGTGCTCCCTCCGCAGATACGTGACAGCATCGGCGGAAAATAGGAGGTGGCGGCCAGAAATGAAGGAGATGGGGATAGGGAGATCTGGCACAGTAGCCATTTTGATGGCCAGCAGGCTAGGAAACTACTTTCTTCAGAAGGTTAGCTCATACCAATATCAGATGCTTCGAAGATGACAAAGTAGAGAAAGCCTGCAATATCATTTACAAATACGTTTCTCAATCATGTTGTGCTCTTTTTTTGAGATATTAATGAGCATCAGGGGATTGACAGATTATGTATGGGAATAATCATTTGACAGAAAGGTAGCACGGATAGAACATATGAATAAACTTACTTTATTATCATGAATCTTTGCACGAACAACTAAGGTTGATCGTGAAAAAATATTTGGTGGAGAGAAAATGAAAATTATCAGTCATTATGGTGGATCCGCATTTGACCTAGCTAGGCTAACCCGTTTAGGGGGCTAGCTCGAAGGCTCACTCGATCGTCATTAGCTTCCCTTTTCTCTTTCCAACGCATACGGATATTTGCGTAGAGCGCATACTCTATAATCATGAATTTCATATTACTGATAATGGTGGTCTTCTTTGGCCCGCTAATTCTGCTACTGGGTCAGTCATCTACACCAACTCTGCTTTCTGCAATTTCTCACAGGTCGCAGCGTTCCTGGCGCTCTCCTCTTGCCTAGGAGACAGATTTCGAGCTCGCCTGCGTGGAGTATCAAGCATTGGCGCAGATGCATACGGCCGAGACTACCTGCGGACAATGACTAACACCGGCCCTGCCATGTCAGAACAGATCGAGTTGGATGATATGTACCGGGAAGAACAGTACGATGAGGAGGATGAGCATGAACGTTGACACGTCGGTCAACCCTTGATATTCGGCTAGAACTCAAGATCAGCTTTTTTGGGCATTGCACTATTTCCCACTGCCTGCTGGGCTTCATTGTCTCCTTCTGCTGGAGGCAGACTGAACGGCTTGATCTCAAATTTTCGCCGACTAAGTGTAAACGCCCAGTCTACTCCGATGTTTTGGTCGCTCCCCCCTCCGCGTTCGTGTAATACTGGAAGTCTGTGGGTTTTCAGTGTGCCCTGGGGTGGCTCCTCATTTGCCGTCGCTGCGCCAGACGTGGCAATTGCATCTGATGAGTGTGGGAAGGGACATAGTTCAATCACTCCGTCGCACAGAAGTTCGATCCATCGAACAAGTCCTGAAGATCGAGGATATAACGAAAGGGGAAGTGTGATCACTGCAGTGATGTTATGTGTATTCTGGGAAAGAAGCGCACGGAGAGAGTGGATGAATTGAATCAGATAATCAGGTTGGCTTGCGTCGGGGGGATAGGTACCAGGGTTGAGGAGCGCCGGTATGACAATTCGATGCACTGTATTCGGAGGACTAGCAGAAATAGCGGAACGTATATTTTGCATGACCGGTAGGAAGGGCGATCCTCTGGAAGGCGCAAGAGGGATATAGTTTAATGTAGACAAGGACGGATGGGTGAGACGCTTGGTTAGGTCGAAGGCGTGACAGAATACTTGCTGCTTATCTGCTGGAGCTGCAGACTTATCTGCTGGTTCGGTAGGGACTATGGTAAGATCAGCATCTGCAGATAGCCTAGTTTAAGATCACCACCAAGCTTACCTCTTGAACCCGCCCCGAATTCGCCCAAGCGTTCATACCTCCAAGCAATTTTCATCTTCTCGTCTCTCCTCCTGTCAGTTTTTTCATCTGCTGAATCGGCAGATCCTATAAGTCCCGGTAACGTTCTCCCCCACTGCTCTCCTATACCAACAACATGCACTCGATGCTCCTGAACAACGCCTTCCGCTGCATAATATCGCAGTAATGCGCCTGCAAAATCCGTCGTCCCGTTCTCCCCAATGAGTAGAATCTTCCCAAGTGGCAATCCGCTATGGCCAGCAAGCAAATTATCTAAAGAACGAGACCCAGTCGAGGTTGTCGGGCGTCCATCGTCAGGTGAAGGTCGCACGCCCGGAAGCGCCTCAGCTTGTTGCGCAGTAGACGCCCCAGCAGTGCTCTGATTAATCTCACGGTTATCTCCCGACGAGATCCCTATATTCCGCTTCCGAAACGACATGGCGCCCGTCGTGCTGTAACCAAATATAAAATCATGAACTGGCTAAACTTTTGTTCGGCGTCTTCCGCATCCAGCCAATCGCGGTGCGGGGCAAGCTCTGAAATGGCGCTAAGCGAATCGGTAAAAAAAAGCTTCGCGGAAACCTTTGAGCGGGATATACTCACGCTTTCAAGAGTACAACAGCTCCAACTACGCATTGTTTAGGTTGAACTTTGCGATACATTTCGTGAACTAGTTTTTCTTCACTTTAATACATAAAATACCCTCATCTGTTTAGAACCGATCCTCTCCTCCGTTTCGGAGTTCTTGTCGCAACAATGTCCGACTCTCAATTATTCGAAGACACGTTCACGATTACATCTATCAATTCTCAGAAATATGACCGCGTTTCGCGAATCAGCTGCACGTCGACGGATAACCAGACAACATTTACGCTAGATATCAACACAGAATTGTATCCGTGCGTGGTGGGAGAATCAGTCTCCCTGGCCCTGGCATCCACCCTGTCTCTCGATGGGAAGCAAGAGGATTCATCTGGTGCCGGACGAAGCGGATGGAGAGATGTCGGCGCGGGCGAACAGACACTGGCTGATGAGTATGACTACGTGTGCCATGGAAAGGTTTACAGATTTGAGGAAGGCTCGACTTCTGGTAATATGTATGTTGCGATATTTCTATTGTTCAATTTACTCTTTTCGCTGGGTTATTAGCTGATTGGTTGCTGCTCATGATAGGTCGGTCTTTGTGTCGTTCGGTGGTCTCTTGCTTTACATGGATGGACCATATAGCAAGCTCGTGCCGCTTCGAATCGACCATGTCTACCTTTTGCTGAAGAAATGAGCATGAGTAGTAGGTGGTGGCTTTCTTGTTTTGAGGAACCGAGCGGGGAAAGTGAGAGTGGAAGAGTACAGCAATTTGCATTAGCGCTGGCGTCAAAGGATAACTTAAGAACGATTATGAAAAGGATCTCAAGGAAAACTATCTGCAAAAAAAAGAAAATGAAACACGAAGAAAATTGTCTTGTTTATACAGTGAATAGATTCTCATGAAATATTAAACCAAACCCAATTATCCAAGGTATCTAAGGTATCTACTTCAATTATATGTGGCCGTAGGAAACGGTAGTCGCCGGTGTATTCTCGCCACAATCTCCATATAGTCCTTCTCATTCTCCGCAGTCAATATACCATGTCGAATAAAGAAATCAATCATCACCGTAGCACAATTAGGTTTCCATTCGCCCCTTTTGAGTGATTCTTTCACTTCATCCAGCGTCCAGAGCCGGAAGTCTTCGACTTCGCTGTCACATGGCTTAATGACATGGCTAGCGTCCAGCTGGACATCGTAAATATACTCTACTTCAGGCTGAAGTAGCCCAGTCTCGCCGCCAGCGCGAGCGTCTCGGATATAGAAATATGTGACGACCCCAGTCGACTTTGCGCGTTCGGCAAACACTGATTCTGGGATGGACGCTTCCTCTGCAGCTTCACGAATGGCACAGGCATACGGGTGCTCACCCGTGCTCATGCCACCAGCAGCCGTATTGTCTAGCATGTTTGGGAATGTCTGCTTCGTTTTCGACCGGCGGGCTACCCAGAATTTAATCCCCTGTTCATCCTCCACGTAGCCCGTCATGTGAACGCCATAGGTGGTGATACCAAACAGGGGACTAGCAGATCGCTCCATTTCAAGTAGAAACTCGCCCCCTGGACCATATATAGGGTACATTTCATGGCGCCATCCGTTCAGCACCTCAAAAGTCTGTCGACGGACAGCCTCTGCTAGCAAGCGGGACATGATTTCCGTGCGGGCTTTGGGGGTTGCGCCAGGGGCAGCCATCAGCGTCACGGTGCGAGAAGTAGCATCGACTTGCCAGTCATTCTCTATCCAATGGAATTTCTCTACAATAGTGTTTGGGAGATACCCTAGCACGGCATCGCAGCCATTGACTTTAAAAGCATGATAGTTTTTGAGATGACTGAGATAGTATTCTGCGTTGTCTTCAAAGTAAGGGAAGCTTTCCATTGTTAGTGGATGAGTAGGGTATAAAACATGGAACTGTTAAGCAATCTACCTATCGCATTCCTTGACTAGATCTAGGAGGGTCTTGGCCATGATGGATGGTGGAGGTGCTAGTACTTTGAGCGTAAGAAACTTGAGTTGAAATATCTAAGCGTAATTGCGTGTGGCGGTAGTAGTGTTCTAGACAGATGGAGGCATAACTTAATATTTATGATGAGGGTTGAAACTGCACCTCGAGGTCACCAATCCCAGACGGTGAGCTGTCAGGCACATTAAAATGTATGCCTTGGCTGCGCAGCCACGGCCAGGGGCAGGGCAAGTCAGCCTAGACCATGGCCCTAACCCCGAACAGGTGACTGCAAACGTGACGGGGCGCAGCCCTTATCGTGAGGTTATCTCTTATCGATAATTCCGCCTGTCGGAATGTTCCATTACGTTCTCGGCGTGCCCTGTCGTCACTGACTGCACATGTGCACTTTAAAAGCCCAGTTTATCACGCCGTCGACATGGCATGGCCAGGTGCCTGATAATTGACAGCTTGAAAGGTGCACTTTGAAAGCAGCCTGAGCGTACGCCTCTGGATTTGCCCGTGCCTCTCTTCTGCTATGTAACAAGGACTGTCAGCCCCGCCTGTCAACCCACTACGGATCACTTGCTGCCACGATCAAGCGCAATATTCACAGTTTCCACAGACAAGATCGAGGAAATGTTCTCAGTGGTCATCCCAGGCAGGCCATGTGTCACTGACATTAACGCCGTGGATGTTCAGCCCGGCGTTCAACCGACTAAGTTCGCCTTCACGGTCCCCGCTCTCCCCCGATTCAACCATATTGTCGTCTTCTTCCTGCCCGGCACGGTGCTGCCTCCAGATACAGCCGCCGCAATCTATCTCCAGACCCCGAACTCCAAGCAAGGTCCCAATGGACCGGAGTTCCAGTTTCTAGGCGCCATTGCCAATGAGAAGCCTTCCGCCATCTTCAAGGTTCGATCCGGCGGTGGCCAGGCGCAACTGACAGAGGCTCAGCAGGAGGATGATATGCTCGATGAAGACGCCAACGCATCAAGGGATGCTACCAATGGGCAGATTGTGATAGGCATATCAATCGAGCCAACTCAAAGCGTGGCAGCGCAGATGGCAGCATTGGATGCCGCGAGGGAGGCGACCTCGACAGATCTGGTCCGCCTCCCGCCACAGCAAAAGCAGATTACAACAAAAGTTCTTGCGCAAAGAGTAATTGGAAATGCATTCAATTTTCTGGCTAGCTTTGCCGAGTCAGACCCAAATAGGAGAGGCGAAGATGTTGTGCCCCTCAAAAGCTTTAGGGATTGGTGGACGAAATTTGAAAGACGTATTGACATGGACCCAACATTTCTGGAACGTGAGGATCCAAATCAACCATGACAAGAATTATTAATAGCACGGCAGCGCCTAAAATATGTTCATGCAATGTTGTATATTACTCTATCTATTGATATCCAATGTGAATTGCCAAATTTCAAGACTAGCTATGTGTAACAAATAATTGATTCAATCGTCCAGCAAGAATTTCAAAAATGCAGCTCCAACCGCCAGACCATCGTGCACATTTGCTGCTCTTGACGAAGCCTCGTTGTACACCTCCGCAGAGAAGATCCCTAGCTTATGACGCCCATCCAAAATTTCCAGCATGATTTCACTATTGAATTCGGGATGACCCTGGACTGTAATCAGCTTTTGCGCTGCATACATTCCTTGTACCGTGCAGCGAGGTGAGGTTCCGAGTGGCTCAACGCCTTTGGGCCACGCTCCCACTATATCCCTGTGCATTTGGTGTATGTACTTCAGCGTGAACACGAGAAGAATTAGCATATTCATCGGTCATTAGGAATCTAAGCACTACTCTACTCACAAGCTTTTCTTTCCCAAACAATTCCTTGCCCTTTTCTGTCAGATCTACCTCGCATACTGCCACCTCCCATCCGATGTCACTTCGACCGACTGGAACGCCAAGCGCTCTGCCAATAATTTGATGCCCAAAACATACCCCTATTAACCTCACGCGCTCATCGGAGTACACCTTCTTTGTAAATTCAACAAGTGTATTAATCCAAGGTACATCGGCGAACGAATCGTGCTCTATGAACGCCAATTGGGTTAGCATTGGTCGCACAAGAAATTGCAAGGCGCAGATCCAACAAGCACAATGCAGCGCAAGGAAACATACTTGAGCCTGTCAAAAGCACAGCATCGATATCGTCGATGTTGGGATACTTCGTGTCATTGACAATATCGAATTTCGATATCGCGAGATCCGTGTCTGGATTGATTTCTCCTAGAGATAGCGCGCTGGATTTCAGGAGCCTTTCGAATATGTCGCCGTAGGTTCCGTATTTTGCCTTGACTTTGTCCGCCGGCGTGTCGCATTCGAGGATGGCGATGCGGAGTGGAGGACGCATTGTCACTTTGTTCTTCTGCTAATTCACTGATAAGGATGATGGCGGGGTTCCTCTGGTTTCTGTCTAGACGCAGATCTTGGGCGGGAAACAAAAGAAAGAGCTATGCATAGACTTCCGCCAAGAGAGGGAAATGAAAAGAAGCAAAAGACAGAGAGAGAACTGGTAAGAAAAAGCGTAATGGTGCGGATATTTTGGCGATGGTCTTGGTCTTTTGACTCATCGTTATCGGTTCTGGGAGTGGCGCAATCCCCACTTACGCCCACTCGGCATCGGCATCATCCCGATCACAATTATACTACCCAATTCGGTCAGGACTATGAGCAATTAACACAACTTCAGAGATTATACAGATCTTGATATACTTTAGTGAGAGATCATGCTTATTTTCAACTTGGGTGGAGCTCGTGGTATCCTGCTCCAATAACTCTTGACCATTAGCAACGAAGAACTCTGATCAATTCCACATTGGTATTTACATACAAACATGTGAGTTCAAGCAGAAAATTGATTATAATAAAAAGGTATACGGGAAAAGGGGATCTCAAGGCTTTCACCTGACTGAATACCTCGCAAATACTGGGGTTTCTAGCCCATAGCGTACATTATCTTCAAGGTTGGAACAATAACACACTTTAGCCCTAGTGTTGTGGTTTACAGTCCTCATAATATCGCTGTCCCTTATATCAATTTATACATGTAGGTTCGTACATTCCTCATACCATCCTCTACTGTCAACTGGACTATATCAAGGTCATATGGAAGGCAAGATGTGCGTTTTTGGCCTTATCGTCTCCCAATCCAGGCTAGATGTAAAGATGTACTTAATTAGAATAAGCCACAGAGATGACAATAATGACATCTCAAAATTACGTGTCAACAACAACTCAGAACAAATGTAAATAAATAGAAAAAAAAAGAATCTCACCGGGAGCTACATACAATGAGATACATATTAACCCTGTGAGATAGTGTATGATATCCCTCAAGATTATCGAAACCCCCGCCACAAACGTAGTAGCCTTGAAATTGCTAAAATTCAACAGAAACTAACGGTTGTTAGCCCATCTAAAGATATAAAGGATCCGTGCTCGTAGAACCAGTGCACTAAAACCGTATTCTACAGCTATGCAGCTCTTTGATGAGCTTTTCGGTTCGGCCAGAAGCATTGAGTTAAGAAGGATCGCCTCGGAGATTATGGAATCAAGAAAAAACAGGAACAGAATTTCTCAACTCCTCAGCTCGACCCCGAGTGTAGGTAATCATTTAGGTTCGATGTACATATATTGCAGAGGGAGACACAAGGGTCTTAGCTGGGATGGGGTTGGAAATAGTTGTTCGTATCACAGTTGGGAATTGACGCTAATAATGAATTAGTATCGGAATATACAAGACTTACCTTACTCAACTTTGCGCAAGGATAATTGCTGGCTTCTGTATTGGTCCAATACAGATATCGAATGTATCATGATTCATGGGTCTATTCTAGCGACTAACTAATTGATGTATATCGAAGTTCTAAATGACTTGTATACTATTGGCTATATGTATAGGTGGCCCTCATGCCCTCTTCAGATGTTATCAATCTACATATGTAGCTGATCAACTCCCCTTCATGTCATGTATTCAGAATATTTCGGATTCTTATGCCAGTACAAGACATAAATTTGAATATTGAAATGTATTAACCCATCAATTGATCTCAAGATGTCATGCTCAATAACAAGAGGGCTTTTAAATATCAATAAATTTGTTATAGGTAAAAAATTTACCTAATATAGTAATTATATCTCTAAATAATATAAATAATGATTCATATTTAAATGTACCGGTTTCGCATCTTACCTAATGGGCAAAGTTATTAAAAAGGTTATGTCATTGATGTAGGTCATGTTCCCAAGCAGGAAATTTCCCGAGACAATGCTACCAACCCCTCAACGCGGGGAAAACTACTACAGCCCAGTTAATACTAGGTAGAGCACAACCAATAATCTTTTATGTATTTCTTCCTTTAGATTGTTCATCTGACATCAATGGACATCGACGAATGTGCCATCATTTGTGATCGGTTAAATACATCCTAGATGGCGCACGAATTAGCCGACACTGTTTAGATGACTACTGAAACTAACGAATTAATGCCTGACATGTTGTACTATGCTAATTATTCGCGGAGACCCCGCATTCTGGGAAGTCTGATCGGCATGATTGATAAGTTAAAACATAGACCTTATCTAAATAATGCGCGTATCACCTTCCTTATTCATAACAGTCATAATCCATCCTAGAAGATGCTTATGACATATGCTAAGTTAATACATATAAAGCAAGTATATGTCCTTGTGGGATGTCGGCCATATCAGAAATCTTTAAGAAGTAACGGGGTTTGAAATCACCAACATGCGTGGCATTAAAGGTGTTTTCTGTGTCCTTCTCTCCTCCACTACCCTCGCTTCTGGAGCCTGGAAACCCCCATTTAGCACTTTGAGTCGTTGGATTGTCGACTCTAATGGGAACAATGTCACTTACGCAGGAGCAAACTGGCCTGGGGCCGCCGAAGTGATGATTCCTGAGGGCATGCAGTATGCATCTATTGAATCGACCGTGTCCAAGCTGAAAAGCTTGGGTATGAACGTGGTTCGCTTGACCTTTGCGATCGAGTTGGTCGACGATATTCTGGACAACGGTGGCGATGTGACAGTGAGCAAATCATTGATTAACGCCTTAGGGAGTGCAAATGGAACAACGATATTCCAAGGAATCCAAAAGGCAAACCCACAAATCAATGAGAATACTACCAGACTTGAGGTCTATGACATGGTTGCTGAGGAATGTGCCAAACAAGGCATATTCGTCCATTTAGATAACCACATTTCTAAGGCCATGTGGTGTTGCTCGACGGATGATGGCAATGGCTGGTTTGGCGACACCTATTTCGATGTTGACAAGTGGAAGAGAGGACTATCGTATATGGTGTCTCACGTAGGTTGATGAACACGTATGGATTAGAATAAGAATGATATGTTCTAACAGAAACAAGGCCGCCTCCTGGAGCTCATTTGTGAGCATCGGTCTACGCAATGAGCTGCGTCAGCCTACTACAGTAAATGCCAGCTATCCATACAACTGGGAGACATGGTACGCACAGATGATCGGCGCAGCCTCTGTTGTTAATTCAGCTAATTCCGATGCCCTCATCTTCCTCGGTGGGATAGACTATGACACAACACTCAGCCCAATTCCAACGGGTAATGACCTTGGTGATGGAAGAGAATTTCATCTGTCAGATTTTAATTTCTCGAACAAACTCGTTCTAGAAATTCACAACTACGATTCATCCACAACAAGCTGTGATTCTCTGTCTGAAAGTCTGCTTACCGATGGGTTCGACGCGCTGGAAACTTCAAACTCATCGATTGTCAATGTTATGCCTGTCGTAATGACAGAATTCGGTTTTCTGCAGGACGATACGACTTGGCAGGGTGTGTATGCCTCGTGTTTGAGAACGTGGCTTCCGTTGGTGAAAGCTGGATGGATTACATGGGTTCTAGCTGGCAGTTATTACATTAGGGAGGGCATCCAGGATGCCGATGAGACATGGGGTATGTACTAACTCTCTGTCCGTTCCGAAAAACTTTAACTAACTTTTTGCAGGCCTTTTGAATCATGCCTGGACTGACTGGAGGTCCCAAGACGCAGTGGAGAATGGCATGGCAGTAATGGTGAACAGTTCACTTGCTTGACTCTCGTCTCTTCTACCAGAAGAGCAGTATTTCTAACCTCCAGATTCTATTCATGGAAGGCAGCCATTTCTTGTAGCTCGGATGTGTAACATGATAGATAATGTTGCAAAGGATATTTAATCAACTGAATAAAAAACTTGTACGTTTTCGCTTCGTATGTGCATACCTTTGGTTGGTGCGTTCGACAAATATTTTACTACCTGAAATACGTTTGAAACCCGCTTACGACATTTGATTTAAGCACGACAGTTACCCAGATGATTATGATTGGCTGTATTATACCTCGGAGTCAACGATTATGATAGTTTCCCCAATCTCAATTTTCTATTCCAGATTTATGATGATAATCAATTGATGCATTTGATCTATTCACGCAATATAAGAGCGACAACACCGAAATATAATATTAATTCACCTCGCTTTTAATGATTTAATGGAATATGGCACACTTTTAGTAACTTACATAATCTTTAGACATATCATTCAGTCATTAATTAGTAAGTTAGTTGTTTTGATCTGCTCGGCCATTCGTCATGGTGGCTTTTGCCAAATGACGTTGAATCACTCTGTTTTAGTGGAGGCGTGGGAAACCAGCTGCTATCGAATCCATGGATGCTATCCTCAACATCTATGTTTTGGGAGAGTGGTCTCCGAGCAACTTCGGGCATTTCCTGACATCGACATGTGCTATCAAGTCTTCTATACGAGCATCGACACCGGCGGGAGTGGAAGGAGGGGTTGCGCGAACGCAAATGACTTCTTGCCGAGCTTCCTCTCTGGTGATATGCCTTGGATGCGAGAATGTCAACCCTGTATTAATGATTAGCAATGTAACTCCTTCTTGTAATAGAACGAGCAAAACTCACAGCATGACAAAAGGAAACAAGCATTCAAGACTATAAACGAAGCGGTCTAACTGACTCACAACTGTTGTAGCACTCTGCGACGTAGTCTGGAACGAATATGTGACCGCGCGCGTGATGCCGACTATTGCAAGGGTTGCCATGCGCATCTCCGTCGTCTTAAGTAAATGCCTAAATATCCCCCTTCTTGCTCCTCCCTCATGCATTGGTTGATCCACAGATGAAGCGAGTGTGTACGCCCTTAGAAGAAGCTGAATGAGGAATGCGGAGCTACAGGACTCGACAACGGCAATACAGATGAAGTAGCCCATGTGTAGATAGTCAATCCGATACTGCAACGAGTTGGACCCGTGCAGTACGACGTGCACGCGACTGACTATGATCGCTACGCGGATGCAGGTGATAACTGCTATCATGGTCCAGAATATGGCTTGGAAAACGACCAGTCGGCGTCCTTGTAGTGTACGGAGAAGGATCTGGTAGCTGTAAAAGGACAGACCGGCTTCCTGGATCTGTAAATGACAAAGGCATAGCTTAGCAGAAGTTGCTAAAAGTTGGTTGTATATTATGTGCGACTGACTAGCCAGAAAAAATCAGCAAAAGCCGCAGCTACAGCCCTGCCGTCCGGATTGTAATTTGTATAAAAGGCATAATAACAAAGACCATTGGCGACAGCACAAGCAGCCGAGAGGATTGGAGGCACTATCGAGAGCGGCGTAAGACTTGTGGCAGCAATGACAAGCGCACTCAATGCCACTGAGAATAATCCAATGCTACTCAAAATCGACCAGCTGAGCTCGAAATATGCGGGCATAGTCGAGATGGAGGCGCTCTCCATTATGATAGCAAGACATAAGTAGAACAATGCTCTTTCAACGCATTGAGCCAGCAAGCAGAGAGAGGATAAAGAGGGCACGCGTCTGCCTATGGAGAATCCAATTCAAATAAGATTTGAAGCGCGAAAAGTAAGCCATGGAAGAGGAATAACAGTCGCCCAAGGAAATATCCGGCGTAGGGCAGCGACGTACTCTACTCGCTGGGTACCTGCGCCGAGCCTACTTCACGGCTGAAATCCCGTTAATTAGTCTAGCCTTCCGCTCCAGAAAGGGAACGGAGCAGTTAATTTACGAGCCCAGGCAAGAAAATGGCGCAGTTCGGAAAGTGGAGAGTCGCCTGGAATTACACCGAGAGGCCTACCGGACTCAAGGAAACGAATAGGCTGAGATCTTCGCGGGGCCCCCCGAGTGCTCTCTAGAGACACCCTTCAGCCTTCTCGTGGTCGCCTCACAACTTTCTCAATTAGTCGACTCCGTGTGAGGGCGCTCTGTTCCCCGTGGGGTTCCGCATATTAGCTCTGACTGGGCCGTGGTCGACCGGATAATTGGCTGGAGATAATATAAATAGCAAAAAAGGTACGTGGAAGTTGGGCATTTAGCTTCTCGAATTGGTTTATAACTGATGAACCTTCAAATAGCCGACAAAATAGATTTCAATCTGCTAAGCGATGCAAACAGCTGGCAACAAGTCGTTTCTTGGCAAGTAATAAGCGAGAGAAAAGAAGCAGCTTGGGAATCATAATTCACATTCACCTAATGATCGTGTCGTCCGGTTAATCCACATCTCTTCTCTTCTCACACCTTTTCAGATCCCGCCATTCGGCGCTCGAAATCTTCAATACCCTGCACAATCATTGCTTTCCAGTCGAAAAAATAGAGCTTTGTGACTCGCTCACTCGTATCTTTGATAAATTTCTCGTTGGAATCAACCTCTGGGATTTCCAATTTAGACAGTTGACCTTGTCTGCGGCTACTAGAAACAAGCCATTGAGACCTCTCCCTTCGGACAGAGTCATATGCTTGAAATGCATTTGCTAGCACAGTGGCTTTACTAACAGCTCCTGTCTCGACTGTCGACAACACTGTGGCGGCCTTTTCTAGGATAGTGGCTAGAACAATGGCATCTTCGATTCCCATGGCGGCACCGCTGCCATGGTGAGGTGTAGACCCGTGGGCAGCGTCTCCAGCGACTGCGATGGGCCCGAAAGCATAAGTCGGAAGTGGATAGTCTAGGGTGTCAAACAGACCCCATCGACTTTGGTCTTCCGGTAGAGCCTCAATCAGTTTTCGGGCAGTAGGTCCAAATGTGGAGAAAGCTTCAATGATCTCTGCCTTATTTGCTTGAACTGTGTGCTTGTTTTGGTCCGGCCAACTGCCGTGCTCATCTCGGACAAATGCTGCCACATTCAAGTATCGGTTGTTGGCTACTGGGTATGTTATAATACTTGCACCATGTCCTATCCACGCAGTAAACCCTGTTGCAAAGTTTCCAAGCAACGGAGCAACCTTGGCCATATCAGCAAGACAACGGTATGCACTCTCATTAGCGTAGTGGGGTATCGCAGCGGGATTGTTGTCGCCCATGACGAGATATCGGACACGGGATTTGAGGCCATCACAACCGATTACTGCGGAATTGAAAAGTAAGCCGAGAATATCCTGTTTGACAGTATGTCACTGCTTGAATCATAGTGGAATGGTGTAACATACCAGCATCAGTGCGCTCCTTTGTTTTATCAGTAAAAGTCATGACAACCGTGTCTCCATCACGCTCAATAGTATCTAGACGCTTGCCGAGTTTTATACACCCGCTCGGCAGGAGGTTCATTAATTCAGTTATAAATTGGGCTCGATGACAAAAGAAATAAGTTTTGTCTGGGATCTGCATGTCATATACTTTGTCTGCAGGCCGAAGGCTAAGATCTTCTTGAGTGGTGCCGTCAACCCAGCGCAGAGCTTGGTTTGATTCAATCGAAACACTCGATAGAGCTTCTGGAATTCGAGAATCAAGAGCACCCATATTTTCTTTAATTCTTCCTGAAAAGCCCACCCCAGCGCCTATTTCCCTGAACTCTGCGGCTTGTTCATAGATAGTAACGGGAATGTTGCGTTTTATGAGACCTAGTGCAACATGTAAGCCAATTAAGCCACACCCAATGATGGCCACTCCAAACGGGGAAGATGCATCGTTGGTATTGACTGGTTGAGTATCAACTGCCATTCTTCAGGGTTTTGGGCGAACGAAGCGGGGGAGGGAGGTGCTTTCTGTCTGATAGCACTGATAAACACTCACTGGAGTCCACCACAGTGGCGATAGAGCGTTTTATAAATAGGGAGGGAGCCTTATCCCATGCCGATTATGCCAACAACGTGGTGTCTGCATATGCAACATCAGTATTCCTTAAACAGATACCCTTTGTGATATTTGATGCATGTGAACCGGCGTCTTAATTCAGACCATTGGCAGCCATCGTAGCACGACTCCTGCATGGCGCGGTAAGTGACATCGATCCTTTGTTTTCCAATAATATGCATTGCAAGGCATTGACTAATGCGGGCCTGTTAAACATCCCTGATCACACGGATGCAATGGGCCGAAGCTCATCCGAATGTTCCGCGAGTAGATTTGTTGTTTTGTTTCTCAAATAATCGATAAACAGAAAGTCCTGCTGAATGTCCAAGATCGTGCCAAAAATTATTAGTCGTGTTTCATTTCAAACGAAGGGCTACCACCTCAGCATGCCTCTCTAGGGCTACTTGGTAAGCAAGGCGGGGAGCCCTCCCGCCGGCTTTTTCAGGCTCTTCACCCCAACCAACACAGCAACACGTACTACATACTCCAGCCTGCGGAGGACATGTACTCCTAGGACTATATTGAGTCTTTGTTTTTAGGGTTCCTAGTACTAGATCGCGATGTCCCAAACTACAACCGGCCTTGATGGTGGTAGCTCTGTAGATGATGGTTTGACATCAACACAACATGACGGTCGCATGCATCTTCTGCTCGGGGCTACCGGTTCGGTTGCGACTATCAAAATTGGCAACATCATCAGCGCCCTTGCCCCTCACGTTCATAAGTCGAAGCTCTCGATAAGAGTGATTCTCACCACCAATGCTCAGCACTTTCTACGCGGCCAGTCAACTGAGCAGCCCACTGTCGCGTCTCTCCGCTCGCTGCCAGGCGTGGAGGCCGTCTACGACGACAGCGACGAATGGGGCCCCGAGCCCTGGCGCCGTGGCTCTGATATCCTGCACATCTCCCTACGGCGGTGGGCCGATATTTTTGTCATTGCGCCTCTCTCTGCAAATACCCTAGCTAAGCTTGCCAATGGGTTTAGTGATAACTTGCTAACCTCAGTTTGTCGGGCATGGGATACCGATGGGCAGGTCGACGGCAAGCGGAAGCGCATTCTAATCGCTTGTGCAATGAACACAGCTATGTGGCGCCATCCTGTGACAGCAAAACATCTATCAGTGCTGGAGAAGGACTGGGGTGCTATGAAGAATGAGTCGACCGGAGAGGAGACGGGATGGTACGAAGTGCTGCAGCCACAGGCAACAAAGATTTTGGCATGCGGGGACGTGGGGATAGGCGCTATGATGGAGTGGACTGAGATTGTGAAGATCATTGAGAACCGTCTGGGACTAAGTGATAATTGAGAGCAATTTCTTAATTGTCTATGAATTGAACTGTTTCGCCTGGTTGACGTTAAATGCCACAACATTTGACCCCTTTGGCGTTGATTTGCTTATCTCTTCGTGTCCAACTTTGCGCTATTCATTGCCAATCATGCGGCTTCCGGTGGTTTGTCCTGATCCTGCTTCGTTCTTCAACTTGCATGGTGGTGCATGCATTAGCCCGAATTATTCGAAAGTCTCCGCTCCGCGACATCCCACCAGGGCTCGGGTGTGGCCAAAGCTTGTACCCAGCAGTTTTGCTCTGTGATGGGTAATTCTTCTATAATAATGGACCCAAACAGTCATTTTCTGTGTTATTCTAGAAACTGTGAGGTGAGATAGGAATCGGGCGAGGCTGGCCGACTCGAGCACGTTTGGTACCAAGTACTATGGCGCGATCGGAGCCCGCCCCTCCATGCGGGTCAAGCCCCTCTAAACACGACAATTTTCTCTCTGCAAGACCTTGCGCATGATCAAAAGAGTCCCCAGCCTAGGGACGACTAGGCCGAAATCGCATGCGCCATCTCATAATTAACTGTCACTGCGTGCTTTAAATCGGAAAGGCAAAGCTTTTCGCTATAAAGCCCGTACTCGGCGTCGCTCCCCTCGCTGCCCTGCCTAGCTCGAGACGAGTCGAGACAGTCTCTCGCACTGGTAAAACCGACTATGGGAGTTTCAACTGTCGATGAAAATACGCCTCTGCTCCCCGGCCATGGAAGCCTTCAGTCGCCTGACAGACAATTAAGGCGCCATGCAGGGCTTAACGAGCACAGCCTGGATCGTGATGTCGAACCAGGGCCGGAGGAAAGTCTTGAAAATCCCGCCACATTAGATCTTATTAAAGTATCTTCAGTCTGCACGAATAACCAGATTGACCCGGGTCTAGAAAGAGTATTATCTGCGACTGGTTTGTCTGATGAGGATCAGCATGAGCAAATCACGGCTTCGAAGTCAAGTCACTTTGTCAACGTTAGCCCCCGACAATTTTGGTTTGTATTTGGCGGAATTCAAATAGGTTATTTGATAGGGTTTTTCGACGCTACATTCATGGCATCCAGCCATCCTGTGATCACATCCGATTTTCATGCGTCAAATTCGGCATCTTGGCTGTCTACGGCTTTTCTACTCACATCAACTGCCCTTTTGCCCTTATTCGGTCGAATATCGGATACGGTTGGGAGAAAGCCAGTATATATCTTCTCTATTGTCGTTTTTTTCATCACTACTGCTTGGTGTGCGTTGGCTCAGAGTATCGGCAGTTTTATTGCAGCCCGGGCCTTCTGTGGAATCGGTGCTGGTGGTGTGTTCTCTATGGGCATGATTCTCTGTAGCGACCTTGTTCGTCTAGAATATCGCGGTATATATCAGTCTTACATTAATCTGACACTTGGAATTGGTGGCGCACTTGGTTTTTCTGGCGGTGGAGCTCTCTGCGATCACCTTGGTTGGCGGGGTGCTTTTGGTATCCAGCTCCCTTTCATCTTCGTTTACCTACTTATTGCCATCTGGACAACTCCAGATAATTTGGGACGAATCGATCCGAAGGACGAACACTTGGGCATTCTCCAGTTACTCAAACGTATCGATTTGACCGGCGCCTTCTTACTCACGATCGCCGTGACCTCTCTCATCATCGGCATCAACCTTGGCGGGAACGTACTCTCATGGACGCATCCCCTTGTGATATCGTCCTTGGTACTTGCAGTGATAGTCGGGATTATCTTTCCATGCTACGAAGCCCGCGTAAAACGCCCAGTCATGCCACCCCGACTCCTTATTAAGAAGCCACATTCATACATCGTTTTTGGTAATTTCTTCGGCGCGTTGTCTATAAATACCGTCATGTTCAACATTCCGCTTTACTTTCAGGCAGTCAAGCTCGAGTCTGCGACTGCCTCGGGACTTCACTTACTATCGGCAACTCTGGCAATTACATTCTCTAGTGTAGCAACCGGCTTTTTGATGACTTGGCTACGGACAATGAAACCATTCACTGTCATAGGGAGCATCTTCCTAGTTCTTGGGGGTCTGTCTACTGCGTCACTCACCTTCTTCAGCGTTCCCTATGCTGCTACTTTATTCTTCATAGCTTTATCGAGTCTCGGCCAGGGGTTCTCATTCCCGGCATTCACCGTGGGTATCCTCGCAGTCAATAAACAGTCGGAACAAGCTGCGTGCGTCACCACAATGAGTCTATGGCGGAATCTCGGATCTGTTCTAGGCGTTGCCATTAGCAGTTTGATTCTTCAAAATTCCCTACGAGTCCGTCTCGAAGAAATCGTTACGGGGCCAGATAAGCAACGAATCATTGAATTAGCTCGCAAAACCGTCGAAGAGATTGCCACTTTGGACCCTGTACACCAAAAGCAAGGTATGAAGAGAAATCATCATATCCGATTCAGTTTAATGACGAATGCTAATTATATCCTTCTTTATCTATAACAGTCATTCAAGCTTATAATATCTCTCTCAGACTTACTTTTCTATCCGCTGCGTTTTGGGCATTGATTATGCTTCTTTTCACTGTTATTTTGAAGCTTCCTCGATTAGGCCAAGCAGAAAAAAAGCTACATGAGGAGAATGATGAATGATAACTTTGCGGTAAACGTGAATGAGTGCCATATAATTTGAGCTATCTTTCACACTATCTTGCCAGGTTGCCTGGTATCTAGCTGGTGGCCTTCACACAGTATATAACCCAGTCTTGTGGGAGAATAGACCTGAAAGTCGTCGTTCTCAGAAGCAAACAAAAGCAGATTGTGACATAAAAATCAGTGTACATGTATGGAAGTTCATTTCATGGAAGTTTGAAACGGCGAAGGTAGTAACAAATATTTTATACTAAATTGTATTCTTAACAAAGTTTTTCCCACTAGGAAATGGCATTACATATAAGTATTTTGCAGATTTTATCCAGTCGAGGAAGCTCCCTATGAATATGATAACTGGCTTCGGAGATGTCCAATTGACACAATATCAACATTGGGGTGCTCTCTAAAGTTCGATGGTTCCCGTTGGCAAGCAAGCCCAGCTTTCTGGACGGGAGGAATTGCCACCAAGATACGTATTTCTTAGTGGGTATTTGCAATGAGACCGCTGTAAAGAAATCCCCTGAGTGGGATCATCGTTTTTGAACTTCGTTCCTGTGATAGTCTCTGGTGCAGTGCCGTTCTCAACCCAGGCGACCAACGCTGCGAGCACATTGTTCTGCGGCACGAATGGGATTCCTTTAGCAGAAGCCCCGCCGCCCTGACCAAGAACCCATGCCCCGGGACCCGAGTTGCAATGATACATTCCAGAGATTCGAAAAAAACGGAAAAACTCGTCTAATTCAGACGTTGTTGCCCGCATGCCCCGCAGGAGATGGTCGTAGAAGCGAGGCGTGTTGAAAGACGTAATCTGATTGTCTTGTTGGCCGTGAAATGAGATCATTTTGCCGCCTATCGACTGAAAGGTGGCCAGAGAAGAGGGCCAGGTTTGGATATCGCCTGGGTTCAACGCTTCAGCAGCAGCGGTGTCTTTGAGATTGAATGTAGAGGCGTTCCAATTAGGATTACTATAGACGACATATTTGAACCAGTCCTTCAGTTTTCGTTAGTTTGAAAAAAAAGAGAGAAAGAGAGAGAAAAAAACGCATAAATATGAACCTACATCTGAATAGGAAAATGGTGCACCAGCATATAGCTTCTCTGCAGCATAGATTTCACTCCCAGGCTGCATGGCCGGATAGATGAGTTCGCCGTCTTCGCGGAGGAATGGACTAAATACTCTCTTCACTATCTCCACTTGAGTTGGCGTTAAACAATCTGTTGTATTAGTTGGTCCAGAACACGCCATGGCCTCCGGACGAAAGCTACAAATTGTTGGATCCTCAATAATGCCGTCAAGAACGCCGTCGAGGCCATCGCATTGATTGAGAACCTCATTGTGGATTAATGTATCCCATGTATCAGCTGTAATAAAGTTGCTTGAATTGACAGATCCTGTGATTGGGAAGAAACTTGCCCTCCATGAAACCAGATTGTTAAAATCGACGGCCGGAGACCCGGCCACAATTCCATCGAAATCATGGGGGAATATCTCCGCGGCTTTGATGCCTTGCCGACCGCCTAATGAGCATCCCATATAGTAAGACTTTGTGGGTGATTTTTGATAGAACGCCTTAGTCAATTTCTTGCCAGACGTCACCATTTTATGCAGTCTGAGAAGTTTTTTAGTGTTTTTTGCAGAGCTTGTTTTAAAAGGAGTGAACATACGATCTCCACGCAAAGTCTGTGGTGACATCAAGGTTGTTCAGCATGGCGATGGCAGTAGTACCATTGTGCCCGTTGTTCGACCCGACCGTTGCAAACCCCTGCGATGAGCCATACGCCAGATCTTCATATTTTATGCCTGTGGGGTAGTATATAGTTAATTAAGGTGGTTCCACTGAGTAGCAGAAGAGCTTACAGCCATCAATACCGCCATTTCCAGTTCCCAAGAACCGACCAGTCCAGTCGCGAGGCAGCCACGCTTCAAAGGTAATGCTTGACCGATGGGATGTTGGAATGCTTAATGCAAGCCGACATATATCAGACGCAACAACCTGGTTGGGCCGCGAACAAGAAGCGACATTGTCAGGGAAAGTAAGATTGGTCCCTCCAGGTACATATTCTAAGACTGTACGCGTTGAGTTGCGGATGTACTGCCTAGGCTTCAACGAGAGACATTTTGCTTGGAAGTCGCTAGTAGACGCGGCGTTTATCACGTGTAGACAAGTAGCTACCAGTGTCGCAATCACAAAATAGTAAGAGGAAGCCATCTTCCATTTTGGGGTTATATCAATTGATACAGAATAACTTGTCTCGAAAAGCACCTTTGACGAGGAGCAGAACAGCAAACAATAGCACCCAAACTAAGTCTGGAAAAATCGAGTGGTAGCTGATAGATGCAAGGGGTTCGGTTTATTTCAATGTTGCAGACATGCGACTACGGTCTGATGAGAGTGAAGCAGCAATAACGCATAATTAGATCAAAAAATAAGAAAGAACGCCAAGTGTTGAGATCCGAGTTGACAGACAAGGATTAGCATAAGCAGTCTAACCCTTTACAGTGACCTCATTAATTTCGCGTCGCTCAAGATAATTGAAACATCAGTTGGTCCATTTTCATGACCAGGATATGGAGAACGGACTTCAATGCACTTCAAATCTTACAAATGAGGAGCAAGAACCAATTAAACCAATTTTGCGTGATAGTTGACGCTATACCCTTAATACAAGGGTCTCATGGTTAGGGTTACACTACCGAATGTCCGGGGAGAAGAGGCGGGGGGAATGTGACCAAAAACCTGGAAATTTCTATATAGTAAAGTAAAGTACTAGATTCACTAGTAAAATATTAGGAAATAGAATATTCAACTATCTCCCAAAAAAATTAGATTGGGTGTACGCAGTGACATTTAGGACGCACGTATCAACAGCCCCAGCCGTATCTTAGGATCAAGAAAATCGATGACAACAACGACTCCAATAAGAATTCCTACAACCACCCCCCAGGTGATGACGGAGAATCCGATGTAAATGATGACAGCTATGGTAGGGGTGCATATGAATAAGCGTTTTGCTTATTCGTATTACATATGCCAACTTCAATTTTTGCACCTAGATAGTTTAAATCCACAGTCTTCGCATTCATAAATACCGTCATTAGTTTACAGCATTCGCCATAATATGAGTAGCTTGATTAACTTCTATCAGACTTTTCTCTAGATTGAAATGCGTGCAATACTTTCTAGTCCTAGGAAACTAGATATTATTCAACAATTTCTTCTATATGTTGGCGAGGTCTAGGCGCTTCTTTGCAAAGGTAATGTGGCAGGAGCACAATTTCCAGTTGCGGCGATTCCTGAAGGTAAATTCAATTTAAACTCTTTCTTTTGGATAGCCGTAGCAGGTGTTTGAGAGCTAGACTGGTTTGCTCTCAAGCCGAAAATATCGAACAGCAAGTTCATTCAATCCTTGACTAAAGTTCCGAGGCAATTGTTTCGTTTTAATACTAGACCAACAATTAGGCTCTGTGCCCAAACTGACTATGTGAAATGAAGGTATTGTTGGTACGAAACTGTATACTGGATGAGAACTGTGTCACCTTGAGAATAGAGAAGACCCATGAAACCTCGGAGTGATCTGATCAAGATGTAGGGAGTGCAGAGATATAAGCGCTGCTTCACCAATACGTTATTAAATTAAATCTCATTTGTGGTTATGTCATACCCCTTACCATAGATTAACTAAGCCTAGCCAGGCCATAGACATCATTCCTGTTATGCAGATCTAGTGCCGCTGCGCTGCGTTGTAGCGCCTTCTTTCTGATTATTTAGTATGCGCGAGGCGCGGTTTCATGTTATTAGTAAGAGTGAGGCACCTTATATTTGTATTTATAGAGTTCTTAGTTCTCCTTTATGCCCATTTGGGTGCGTTTGGTTGCGCTTTAGAGATTTCTTCCACTTGCCTACTTGCGACAAGGCTTCTAGATTTATCCCTTTATATTATTATATCTGAAAGTATTTACAAAATATCTTAAATTTTTAATATTTATTTTTAAAATAAATCTATTATATACTAGCCCAATAAATTCAATAATATTAGATAGTAGGACCTCCATGACCTGCCACCTCCACAAGTCGGCCCTACGCATCTCTCTGGCGGTATCCTGTCGGTGCACTAGGACCCGAGTGTCCCCGGGGGTCCGCTAAAATGCGCGCCTTGGGGGCCTCCTCGGCCTCTAAGGGCCCACTAAGCTTGGCCTCCGAGTGGCACTTATAGACGGCCTCCCGCGGCCGCCGACAGAACTGTGACAGCGGTAACGTAGCATCGATCTCTCTCTCGATTGAGATTTGGTTGTATCTACGAAATGCTACGCAAATAACAGCTCGAGTGGCAGAATTGAGCGATATGGCGGATATGGGTCGTTTCGCCTCCTATTATTAGTGCTGATTCATACTTTAGTAGACTGAGTATTCGCCATTTTGGAGTATCTATGAGGTGAATTGCGTGACTCTCTTCCATTATGTTTAACCTATAGATGTTGCTTATCCTTTATCCACTGGAATAGGCCTGAACTTGGTCCAGTCATTAGCAATATTAATTAATCGGGTCTTAGTGTTTTATTACTATGACTACATACATAATCTGCCCTTAACGAAAATGAGCCCCCAAAGTAGTAGTTAGCGTCGGCGGAATGATTAAGCTTTCATTCGTGTATGATGTGGAAATACACCGAAATATGTACATGCCAAGATAAAGTCTTCTGTCAGTTGCATGAGGCTATATTAATTTGCCCTTACCACCATTCCACGGCGTGGCGAGCTAACTAGACTCAACACGGATGCATATCCCGCCGTATTAAGTTGTCTGATCAGGACTCGAAGGGGTGAGACTCCCTATTTTGAACATAAAGGATCAAGGACTAAATTCACCATAGAATTGAGGCTGTACCATTGTCAATTTCGTCCCGAACCCTGTCTTCTGAGGTTTCTAGATTTTGGCAGTCGAAAGAGGAAATACTTCAGTGGTGATTCACAGCATTGGGGTGTTTGTTAGTTGCGCGGCAAAACGCCTTTTGGGTGTTATGGGCTAGGTTCTTTTTACCTTGTTTGGGGCCATAAGTTGGTATTAGTCTCGAAAGAAGTCGTCATCGGTAATATGCATTAAAGCCGCACTGAGCTGGAGTATCATGTCGCTGACCTGCAGTAACAATGATATCTTGCAGTGAAACCCGAAAGCCATTAGCTTTCTCAGTAAGAGATTCGTAATTTAACTCATAAGCTTATTGCATGATGATCAAGATTGAAATTCACCCTTACAGAGGTCTAACATATATAGATGAGTGCCCATGTGAATTAAACCTGCAGTAATCCCAGGAACAAATTATTCTAGAACTCTGATCTTCCCTTTGACCCTAAGTCACCATGAAGATCCCTTCCGCTCTCTACGGGGTGTTGTTGCTTACCACCAAAGCTATATCGCATCCGCTTGGCGAACAGACTAATGATGGAAACACTATTACTCTCTACGGCTACAATGATAGTACTATTCGACAGCTCTTCTATGCTGATGGTGAGTGCCCGGTTTTGATATTCAATTAATCCCTGAATAAATGGTATATCCATAGGTCTCGCATACTTCGGGGACTCCTCTGCTTGGACTGGCTCTGTTGTCACTGATGTGACTTGTAAGTACCTTTCCTTTTTTTCAAATGTTAAGTGTTTGTTGATCCGTGATATAGTTGACTACTCATCCAACCCTGGAACATTGTCGGCCAAAGCGGTAACAAATGGCGTGACACTCCCCGAAAATACCCTGCTGTATATCCGTCCCGACACCACGACCCCTCTGCCGTTAGGCTTTACAGGTAGTAGTACCCCCTCTGGTGTCGTAACCGATAGGTGGTCCTTTTACGAGACATACGCCTTCTATGAGGAAACCAACGGGAACGAGCTTCAATATTTTTACGTTAAGGAAACAGATGTGACGGGAATTTGGCAACTTTACTGGGATCCTGTAGATGAACTTAGTGGCTATACAAGGATTATCCTTCGTGATTATATTCCCGAGTGAGGTCTTCCTCATGTTCAAGGAGACTTTCTCTTAAGACACCATTTGTGTTTTTCTTAATGGTGAATGATTCCTAAAAGGAATGGGGGAGGGGGGAAGAGGGAAGAGGGAAGAGGGAAGAGGGAAGAGGGAAGAGGGAAGAGGGAAGGGATAAGTACCTAGCTCACTCGAGGTTGATACTATCAAATATATCTATTACGATTTGGAGATTATCTAGCATAAGGAGCAGCAGGTAAGCGATAGACAGGGAACCGGGAGCCACATCCTCTGATTGAGCACCCTCAAGTCATTGTTCTACGATTGTTCTGGTGTCTGTATTGAAATTAAAATAACAGCACTGCACTATCCCAGGTTTAATGGCAAATAAACCTTTTAATACATTTGCTTACCCGATCATGGTGAATTCTCATTCATCTTTGAAACATAAATTTCATTCTATAATACACTTGCTATAATGAATTAGCGGCGGCCGTACATTTGAAACTAGTTTGACGGATCCAAATTCCAGTGAAACGTCATTCGTCTCTTTCTGGGGTATAGTTACTCTCCGCAAATCTTCAATCTGTTGGTTCTATTGGGATCGCACATAAATAGTTAGTGGCGGCCGCTTTTTGGTATTCATCATCAACGAGAAAATTTCAAGTCAGCGCTAATCACCAATGATCCTTCAGCCATATTGTAGAATTGTGATTTGGCCGTACACGCAACGGGCTGATAGATAAAGAGATGGGTGAGGTTGAACGCGCTCATAAAGTCTGCCAAACCTGTGCGCTGAGGAAAAAAATCCGTGACAAATTATTATCTGCCTGTGGATTTTGCCCAAAAAAAGAAAATATTATGCAACTATGGGACCCCAAAACCAAGAGAAGGAGGACGTCGCACATACCATCCTGGTAGAAATTTTGTGGCAATTCCACCTCAGCCATCTTTAGTTAGTTCCTGGAATGAGCTAGAGACGAGACAAGCCTGGGTTAATCCTATCTTGCGACCCATGAATTGTACATCACAACAGTCAATTGACAAACATGCCTATCAGTATGTTTGTAGTGTTATCCGCGCCGCAAACCTCACACCGGAGGGTATCGGCCAAACACTACTTGCGGACCTTCGACTGCTTGCTTCCAATAGTATCAGCCGAGCTATTCCACCAAGTGTTATTGAGGTTTGAAGACACAGTTACTTCCCCACCTGCTGGCTACTCCATTCTGCTCATTGGAATGCTGCTCGTCACTGAACCTCAGGAGCCGAAGACTAGCCTTCAATTGCATGCCCTCAATAGAGAGTCTATCTACAAGACTACCAAAGCACTTATGTCACAAGTATAAGCCATCGTCGACACATCTTTGCATCTAGTTCAAGTTGCATTCCTTATCGCAGCATATGAGTATATCTCTGGCCGCCTAGAAGCCGCATACATTTCTGTAATGTCGTGCATAGGCATGGCACGGATTTTGAGGATTGGAAAACCGCCAATAGATATTTCGAGGGCCGCAGTGGGAAATCACGGGTCTTGGTCAATGGAAATGGAGAGGACGATTGTGGCCTGGGCTATTTCGACATTGGAGAGGTAAGAGTGATCATAACTTTAATTTGGATACGTTATTGGCATCAAAGTCTAAAATTTGATCTTAGAATTATCCTTTGTGAATTGCCACAGAGACGTCTGCGGCCCTTAACAGAACTCAAGGATACTGCTAGAGCTCACAGAGCTTGATAACAAGATTTACACGCTTCTCGGGGTAGTCTTGAATTAAAATTGGAAAACGCAAGACACAGACACACTATCTACCGTCTTTGCTCTCGCAGTTCGGTGAGTACCTTGGCTATTCACTTTCATACAATGGCTAACCGGCACCCCTAAAGATTGCTCTTTCTTCTCCATGACGTGGGAAATCGATCCTTCCTGCGCTCGCAGAGCTAGTTGAGTAAGGCAAATATAAGTTGACCGTGAGCTTGAAGGTGGCTGGGCATTGTTTTGAGCAGATCCCGAAGTCATGAATGATGTAATGAAAGTAAGTGGATGGAAACTTGTTGTTGCACTGTAAAATCGATGGATGGAGTGAAATCAGTCAACTAGTCGGCTTCTCACATATTCATCTCCCATTTCTATCTTGAAGTATGTGTATGATTTCAAATTTCGGATAGATGTTTTGAGTAGAATCCATCTCTGTTAGTTAACATTATATGGGATCACATGTAAAAGATAATAAAGATGAATCCGCAGGCAAAAGGGCAGAGGAGAGCCCATTCCAGATGCGGCCTAGCGGCACTCGGCTACACTTGCCCCCTCTCCCTCTATCTACAACCAAGCTGCGATTCGAGATCTCAACCTCGCGATATTAACCGATTACTCGACCTCCCTCACATCTTCGTCCATACTAGATCCAATTCGGGATTGTTATATCAGATATATTGCGCATTTAACTCGCTTATTTACTCCGGTCCTTCTTGTTGTTGTTGAGTACCCGTTTGCTTGCTCTCGTCGGCACAGCACATGCCACAGTGGGTAACATTCGTTTTCAGCTGTCGGAGAATATTGATAATATCTTTCAATGGCTAATTTATCGTCTCTATATAGCTTTGTATCTTCGAACACACTGACACACCGGATCTAATCAGCCCCATTAACAACCTGTCCGTCTCGCGACCACATCACCATCCTTCTCCGCGCAAAACACCCTTCAGCGATTAGTTTAGAACCTCTCATGGCAACATCAACCTGACTTATTGAAACGATCCCCAGGCTATGTCCTCTGCGCATGCATGTAGGGGCTGACAATCATTATGTATCGTGCAAAACGTATCCTATGCCGCTCCTGATAATCTCGAGTCTTCACAATCCTCAGTTCAGGGTACTGGCTTCCTCTGGGTAGTAACTAGCACTTCGCTGCCAGAGTTCGACGCGCCCAGGGATTTAGGGCGATAGTTTAGTTTACACCGCGGCGCGCAATGCGGAATCCTTCACTCGAGACGGGACGGTCGTCTGAACACCAGGACCAACCACATGTAGCACAACCGGATGTTGAAATTCGCAGGGGTCCTTCGAAGAACCTAGACGAACCACCACTAAAACCCCGTGAGGTTTCTGAAAACACAAAGGCCAAAAGAGTTCGAACGGGCTGTCTGACCTGTCGAGAGCGTCATTTGAAATGCGATGAAACCTTACCAAGATGCCAAAATTGCTCAAAATCCGGAAGAGTATGCAAGCGTGGCATACGCCTCAATTTCATCGATACGCAAACAGTGTCTCCTCCTTATGATGTTACCCCACCACCTGGTACTCGTTTCAATTTCCAGGACGAGTCGAGAGAAATTGCGTCCGAATATGTTGGGGGTTACGAGAGATACCCTACTTTGAATCATCATAGCGAGAACCCCAAAGAAACCACCTCTCAATTCGATCTATCCGATATTTTAAATGCGCCTGTACTCCAACGACAACCTTTGCCGGCATCGCCTCCTATTCTTCCGTCCTACTCCGGTGCTAACCATCATGAAATACATGAGCCTCTTTTCAACAATACGCAGTACACTACGCAGTCTTTTATTCAACAATCTAATTTCCTGCCGAAGCCTTCAGTGTCGTCTTCCGACACACGCCCCTATCTCAACAGTCCCGAGGAAGTTCTTCTTATGCAAGTCTTTGTGGAGGAAGTAGGTTTATGGATGGACTCGATGAATATCCACTGCCATGTAAGTTAATGTGAACAGTCTCTGTAGCCCCGTCATATAGCTGACCTCTCTCAGTTTACACAAAAACTACCTCTTCGTGCGCTTAGCGAGCCCATGCTCCTTAACGCCATGATGGCATGTGGGGCGCAACATCTTCATCTTGTCAATGCGTCTTTCAGTGAGGATAGAGCACTTCATTATTATAACACTGCATCTCGGGAATTAATGACACATTTGAAAAATCCGGATAGGGACTCTGTTCTCTGTGCCATTGCTGCCGTCATCCTGAATTCTTACGAACTGATGTGCAAAGACCCAATGCAGCGAATGAATCATATTGCTGGTGCTAGAGCCCTCATCAAGGAGTGTCGGTGGGATGGCAAGGCTTCTGGGATAGGCAACGCTTGTTTCTGGCTGAATGTTGGTGTGGAGTTATTGAGCTGTCTTCATTTTAATTGGCAGATGGCCTGGAATCCTGATTCTTGGGGTATGGACATGGAATCAGAACTTACCCCTTCGCAAAGTCTATTCGGCGATGAAGAGCTGTGGACACATAGAATGGTCTATATTTGTGCGAAGGTGGCTAACTTCCGGGCAAGCATTCCTGAATTTCAAGAGCTAGATCGTCATACACATCAGATGCGAATTCAGCAGCGTTGCCATGAATGGAATACTTATCAAAGGTGGTGCGATGAATGGGCGAAATGTGTACCGCATTCGATGATGCCCATGGGCTACCTTCAATCATGGCAAACAACATCGAAATCGGCATTCCCGGAGATCTGGTAAGTCATCCTGCAATCCAAGCATGATCATCCACTTACAGATTTCATCTTTTATTCTTCCAGGCTTATCAAGCGACCTGCAATCGTCGGTCGTCTCTTTTATCATACTGCCTGTGTTCTTTTGGCTAAAATACACCCAATTGAACCAGAATTCAGTCCAGAAATGCGGGATAAGCAACAAAGGCATGCTTATGATATTTGCGGCATTGTTGCGCATGTCAAAGACCGGTACTTCAAATATTACTTTAATTCTGTTTGCCTACAACAGCTGACCTGTCACAGTGGAGTTGCTACGATGTCAATTCGTTGTCTTGCAATTGCTGCAGAGTGTCTGGTTTCTCGTGATGCCCAACAAGAATTACTAGACATTCTCGACAAAATCATCAAGGAGGCCGGTTGGCGTATTGACTTTCTAAAAAGCGAGCTACAAGAAAAATGGGGATGGCACCAGTCCGAAACCAGAGGCTCTACTCCCATAAGTAGCAATCTATTGCTAAATTCTGAGACAGCAACGTCTTCCACACATCCGAAGCTACCTTCTGGAATAGTCAACCCCACGATGGCAGCAGCTGACTTTTCTATGGCAAATCATCCATACCAGGACTATTATGTTGCCCCGCACACTCATACTAATGATTACCATTACCTTCATACTAACTAAACCTAATTAGCTTCTTGATTTTGTATTATTTTTAAAGAAAAGTGTTTGTGGCTTTACTTTGACTCCTCGTACAACAGGTCACTTTCATTGGCTACAACGATATTTATGAACATCACGTTACATGCTAGACACGATTTGTGCGAACATTCTTACACAGAAAAATTCAATGTTGGATCTTACTTTGGACAAGTTTGTTAACTCTTTCCCTGTTTATACTGTATGATTTGTGCTATTGGTTTCACGAGACGAGCTATAGTTTGTTTTAAACAGCGATAGAAATAGTGTGAAAGATTTTCCATTTGCTATAAAATCTTCCCCATTAATTTTCAAATATTCAAGAGCTAGGCTAGGTGTATCTATTTAATTTTCCTTGTTGACATTTTGGAAGTCCAGGCAACGATAAGGCAACAAGGCATCCATTTGTAATCAACGAAAACCCACCATCCAATCACGACAACATTATAACGACAACACCTCGACCATCCAATTTCAAGACCGCTCTAAGCATCAATGTCAACTATTGTCGAACAGAGTAACCCCCCTGCTACCCCGCGGTATATCCTTCGGGGTCACGCATCTGCTATCCACGCTCTTCATTTCTTTGCCGGCAATACTCGCCTCATCTCAGCGGACGCTGAGGGGTGGATCGTAGTTTGGGATGTAACCACCAAACGCCCGCGGGCGGTATGGAAAGCCCACGAGGGAGCGGTCTTGGAGGTCAAGGGATATATGTGTTCAGGGCAGGGAATGGAAATATTTACGTATGATTCTTCCTACTCCTTTACCGATACATATATCCAGCTAATGAGAAACGCGCATCTAGTCACGGTAGAGATCATAAGCTTCGGGTGTGGCGAATCAAATCCTCAGCGGACGAGTTGTTACTCAATCGTATTTTGCCAGTCGAAAGGAACCAAGTTAACGATTCTTCACGCCGAGAAGTGTTGCCTGCAGAGCCCTGGCTTGTGCATTCGCTGCCAGTTAACGCACTTAACTTCTGCGCTTTCTCCCTTTGCTATTTTCGGGAGGCGGTAGCTGCACGAGCACCTGAGGTTGACCCAGGCGATTCCTCGCGTAGTGAAAGTGTTGAAAATGCTCTATCTGTGTATTTTGCCGTCCCAAATGCACTTAACTCTGGCGCTATTGATATTTTCCATCTTCCTTCGGAGAAACGTGTATCCACTATCGCGGCAGACACTTCAATTCAAACAGGTATGGTAATGGCTGTCAATATATTGCTTACTACTCAAAACCAGCTTTACGTGCTATCGGGCTACGAAGATGGCCAAGTCATGGTTCACATCCGAAGGTCTATCACGGATATGTCCACATTGTGGAAATGGGAAAGGATTTATGTGTCTCGACCTCACAGTCAGCCAGTTCTATCATTGGACAGTGTAAATTTTGCAGCCGACAAGTCGTTTTTCTTGACCTCCTCCGCCGATTCCCTTATTGTGAAGCATCCCATTTCTTCCGTCGACTCCTTAGGCCCAACAGCAGCGGTGGTGGAGACAACTCCATTAAAAGTTCTCAACACCAAACATTCCGGACAACAGGGACTTCGCGTACGAGAAGATCAAAAGATTTTTGCAACTGCTGGCTGGGATTCTCGCATACGTGTTTATTCATGCAAGACTATGAAAGAGCTCGCCGTGTTAAAGTGGCATAAGGAAGGATGTTATGCTGTTGCTTTTGCTGAAGTACTGTCCTCTCTGTCCAATTTCTACGCATCAAACGAATCGAACACAGCGCATAATGCTAGCGCGGATACCCAGGTTGCTCTCTCAAATGAGTCTCCTCTTCAGATTATACAAAGCCAGAGAAGTCAAAAAGCACAACAGATGCATTGGCTAGCAGCGGGCTCCAAAGACGGGAAAATCTCGTTATGGGATATCTACTGAAATACAAATGCGCGACCGATATTTGCAAAGAACAAAATAAACACAAAAGACACGCTTTTTATATGCAATATCCAAAATGCAACTCATGCCAAATTGAACTCTCCAGCACCGCCTCCAGCCAACTCCCGCATCTTGGAACGCATTTTGCGAGCTGCATCATCGCTATTTGCGGGACGTGGCTTCTCGTCGTTATCGTCGTTGTCTCTGCCGCCTGAAGAGGGCTTCTTTCTCTTCTTGTCGTCACTTGCATTGCTCTCCGATTTCCCGGATACTCGTCTGTCAGCTTTGAAGTCTTTCCTAGTGTCGTCCTTTGTCTGCCTCAGACCCGGAACATTAATTTTGGATGGTCGGTCCCGAAGAGCAAATGCCTTAGCTAAATGCCCTAGATGAAGCTCTTTGATGTTGAAATAGCTTCTTTCAGCGGCAACGTGGGTGGCATATGCACGGATATGGGACTGGAAAGCTTTTCGAGCGAGCTCTAGTGACTGTGGATCTTCTAATGACCAACGCTCGACATCAAGCTGCCAATCTGTGGCTTTCGCCTCCCATCCACGACTTGTAGCGTCAGTGTTTCCACCGAACCCACGTTTCAAAAGCTCGTTTGCGTCTGTGCGAGTGAGGGCTTTCCCGCCATCTCGGTATCCTTTCTTGAGAATTTCAACATAATTTTCCTCACTTCCAGGTAAAAGGAAGACCATTGCTCGACCATCACGACCGAGACGCGCTGTTCGGCCAATTCGATGCAAGTGCTCGTCGGAGCTGAAAGCAGGATCGTATTCTACAACCAAGTCGACATTTGGCAAATCGAGACCTCTAGATGCGACATCGGTGCAAATGAGAACAGCTGGCTCTTTGCTCTTAGCAAACGCACCCAGAGTTGATGTGCGAACGTATTGCTGCAGAGATCCATGCAATTTGTATATAGTAACAGGGTTAGAAGGATTGGAAAATGCTGTCGCTGGGCGAATTGTGCCATGTTGCGCTGCCTTGCTCTTATCCCTGTTTTCCTTTTCGTCATCTTCTTCCTTGTCATCTTCCGATGAATCAGCAGCTTTCGCGTCCGTATCACCCGAATCTTTCCGTGTGAAAACCTCGAAATGGAATTCAACCGAGTCGGCACATGAAACAAATACTATAGCCTTCATGACAGATCCTTTGCGCGCAAATGTACGCTTCATTAGAGCTGTAAGAGTAACCAAACGAAGTTTCGACGCCGCGACAACATATGACTGCTTAAGTTGAGCAGGAACTGTAAAAGCAGCCTCTTCACCTTCCGAGCCCTCCTTACCATCTTCGTCCGTTAGCTCAGCTTTTATGTACACTGCATCCTTCAAACTGATTTCTCCTAATCGCTGTACATTCATTTTCAACGTTGCGGAGCATAATACGGTCGTTCTTTTCTCAGGCAAGCCAACGACAGAACTCTGCCGTTGCCGCGTGTCAAGCTTCTTCATAATCCCTTGTATCTCGTCCTCAAATCCAAGATCCATCAAACGATCACCTTCATCCAACACCAGCCACCTGACGTTGCTTACATCCAGCACTTGAGTGTTATCCAAGTGATCGGCAAGCCGACCTGGGGTAGCGACAAGGATGTTCAAACCTTTCCGTAATCGGGCTTTCTCAGACTTCTTTTTCTCGCCACCGATAACTGTGCCAGCGACTATCCAATGCGCACATCGCAAAAGGTTCTCTAGGACGACAGATATTTGCTTACAAAGTTCTCTCGTTGGCGCAAGAACAATGGCAAATAAGCCTGAATCACGATGAACAGCATCCATATTTTTGCTCTCGTATAAAGATTTGCCATTGTACCTTAGGGCCATAATCCTTTCAACCAGTGGTAGAAGATATGCAAGCGTTTTTCCGGACCCGGTCTGGGCCTGTATGAATGCATCGCTGTCTTCTTTTAAAAGTTGCGGTATAGATGCCTTTTGAATTGCCGTTGGTGCCTTCAACTCCATCTTTGTCAAAAGGTGAGCAGCAAGTGTAGAGCCCAAACCCAGGGCAGTGAAATCCTCAATTCCATCAATGAGAGGGGCATTTGAGGGCTTGGCTTGTTCCTCCTCTCCCTCTCCCTTATTATCCTCCTCCTCTGTAGCATCTTTCGGTGTCGGATTAAACGAAAAAAGCGACGATATAATCTGCTTTGGCTTTGGTCCTCTTCCGGGGGCACCCTCGCGAGGTTCTCTATTTGCGGATGTGGAGGGACGGAAATCTTCATCCTCGGTTTTTTGCCTCTTGTTCGGACGAGGGCCGGATTCTCCTCGCGGACCGAGGCGCTCATTATTTGGATTATTTTCTCCAGTTGGCTGGCCATTTGACCTCGAATTCCTCGAGCGCGGAGCACGCTTTCCCTGCGCGACTTTTTTCGCTGAAAGACGATCCCTCCATGAACCACCTCTGAATTTTGTCTCTGGTTTGAGCACTGAGTCCCCAATGGAAAAGTTCAGAAGCATCCCATCGTCCGCCATGGTGAGTATATAGTCTACCCCCGAAAACAGAGCGCAACAGGAATTTAGAGGGCAGCGATGGAGGAAGACTTGGTGTTGTCGAAGAATCGATGTCGGGCGGTGAGAAATTATTTTTTATTTTGTCCGATTTTTTGCGGGGTGCTCACCGCCTTCCATAGAGCAGGCAGAGCCAGGCGGTGAAGCAATGCTCTCAATGTGTAAATATTGTCTATTTGACATGTCGAAAACAAAAAAAAAATTAAATCCGATTATTGCTATGTAACAACATTGAGAAAATGAATTTGGATTTAGCCTCAGCAAGAACCATCCTTTCCAAGTAGCCTCCCATTCCCGCAGAACAACACCAAGAACACTTCTCATTTTAACACTTTTTCAAGACACTAAAAAAGAACCAAACAGAGGCGTTCAACAAATAATAACTCAAAAACCACGATGATAAAAATTATTTTTTCTGGCTGCCAAACTGCTTATGGAACAGGACAATGGCTGATGTTCCAGAGCCAGGGCTGAAATAATTTGCGGTCGGGCTCAAATTTGGAATTCGAGATGAACTGATCATTGATATGTGCGCTTACTCTTATTGTGCTGTTTATTATTGGCACCTTTGCTCCATGTGCTCTTGGTTTTGAACCAGATCATATGTCTTTCCCCAAACGCCGAAGACATAGCCCAATCTGACCGACATCTTGATAGTCTCGACAAAGCTTTCGTCTGCGATTTTGATCGACTCATGCGCTCGGCTTATATGCCTGCCTGCAGTCTCGAAAGCGTCTTGAGCCACTCCCCATTTCTCGTAGATCCTTTTGAGCTCCTCCTGGGCTAGTTTATTGTTGTTGCTATTCCATTGGAAGCTCGCTGATGTGCCCAGTACATCTTCGTCGATTTCCAGGTTGAACGGCGGTCCTTCAAGTGTGTCTGGGGAGCCAGTAATTTCAGCAATCAAATCGTCCATGAGTTTTAGATTCTTTGATAGGCGAGCCTTTTTGGCAGTCGAAGCGCCATTAGCAGCCGGTTCTTGGACTTGGTCAAGTTTGCGCTTCCTTTTTGTGGAAGACGACATCTCTTGCGGCTTTTGAGGTTTTCCCTCCGTGGTTTGAAGACTTTCTTGGATGTTTCGAGCGCCTGAACTACGATCTACCACGCTCAATGCTCGGCCAGACTCGGAGGAACTTCTTTTGACTGCCACCTTGCGTCCAGAGCGTCGGGGTGCCTGCGAGGGGCCTTCTTCTGAATCTCCGGTGGTCTCTTTGGCCATCTTGCTTTCCCTTTGCGGTGCGGTGTCTGGAGCTACAACTGTCACATCGTCGTCTGTTGTAATGGCTCGTTTCGTCGCCTTGGATGATGTGGTAGCATCTTCATTTTCACCGACGACACGTCGATGTGGGCAGCGCAGTTTCTTCTTCCTGCACTCGCTACAGGCCGGGGTGCGCTTCACTTTGGCTTCTCCGGGCTGCGATGCGATCCATGGTCGCTTCTAAAATTTGTCAGGATATCTAGCCGTGTAGTTGGTTTTTCTCACTTACCCCATTATTTTGAGGAGCGGAGGTTTTGCTTTGGTTTTGAGTCTCGGAATCCATGGTAGGCGAATTACTTGTCTCTGGCTGCGAATCCTCAGCAGGCGGGGTATCGTTTGATGACATTATGTTTTGTGCGAGAATGGCTGAGATTCTTCGCGAGAAGTACGGAAGCGTGCTTGATCATACAGTTGACAGCCGACAGTATTTGAAGGTTAGGTCCAAGGGATTGGAGAATTCCGAAGGATTTGGAACGGATTGTGGAGAGTAGAGAGAAGGAGAGGCCCGATGAGATGATGGTGAGAGACAGTTATATGGCTAGCTAGCTAGCTAGCCCATTTGGGGGGCTGGCAGAGAAGGTCTTCAGACAATAAGCATGTGAATAACAACTGATTGACAAACAAAACCTCATGTCATGTCATGTCTTCGGTTTTGGGGGGGGCTGCTTGGAGGGTGCAAACGTGCAGGAAAACAATGGGTGGGGGAGCGCAGGCAAACTCAAGACAAGAAGAGGGCAGCAGAAATTGACAAAACATAAAAGAGCAATGAATTGTATTATTTTCCAAGCAGGTGGCAGGCAAACAAAGACGATTGTCTATGCGTATTTATCAATAACAACGGCCCTCTTATGTGTGCTTCAAGGAAGCAAATCCCATTACAAAGGAACATCTTTAATTTGAATTCTATTCTTATTCTTTGTTCCCAAGAGTCAAGACAATAAAATAGGTCTTGATAGAGACCCAAAATAAAGAGACGGCTGGAACTGCCAGTATTCACAATGGCATTTTTGACAGCGCAGCCCGTAGAAACGCCAGCCACAAAGAAATAAGAGGACATGGCACTATTGTAAGACAGATACAAACCAAAACATGAATGAAAATATGTATATCAGGGCCACAGCTCAACCTCCTCCCACTGCCCAACCCCATCGGAAGCATCTGTCAATGTCGTTCTCCAACGGGAAGCTCTCTCTGGGCGAGTCAGGTCCAGCCTGTCCACCTCATGAACACGGATTACTACAACTCGGAAATTCTCTCTAGCAGTAGCATCGTGGAGGTCCGTAACCTTTTGTCCTAGCTTGAGATTAGGATCTGTGGGTTCTTCGCTTAATGGCCGTCCGGGTGCCGGGTTCTTGAAGGAGCCTGCATTATGACCCTTTAATAACCTCAATAGACTTGGACAATACAGAAAAATACTATACCTCTCATAACAGGGCTGTGATTCGCAAAATATGCGGTAATCTCCTTTTCCCATGTCCACTCAGAAACTGTTGATGCTTGACTTGGTCTTTTCCTGAGGCCCTTGATGATCTCTGCTCTGGCAGTCTGCTCAACCGACTTCTTTGCATCATCTCCAATCACGAATGCCGTTCCCCTCAGTCTCCACTGCGTCATTACCTCCTTCACCCAGAAAACAACCTCGATCGCGCCGTCAAATTCATTGAACTGCTCAATCTTTTGCATGCGCGTGTCTGTAGTGAATGCTAACATATCCGACTCAAATTCTAATGGATTCAATTCGTTTTCATCTCTCAGCTGCTTTTCTGCTGAGGGATGGAGCTTAAGCTCTCCAAAAAATCCCCGGAAACCGCAGTACCTCACACGGGGAATCGACGAGCCATTCTGGGAGTCACGCTCTACGGTGGCTACCGCCATGTAAGGGTCTTCTTGTTTTGAGGCATGCTGCAAAAACAAGCTTTTCCACAGAGCAGTCGGAACTGTGGAATGACTTGCCATGCTAGATGTTGTACCAGAAAGATGGAGCAGCTGGTGTTGTAGTCGACGACTACACGTCTCTTTAATAGCGTTTATGGCCAGGTTTAAAGCTCGATGACGGCTGAACCTTTCCCTATACAATTTATTATTATTCAATTCTTTGAAGTTCAACAATCAGTTGGCTGTTCTTGCTTGATTTTGATGTATACACAATGTCGAGAATCAACGAGGGGTCAACAGTGACGTCGAGACTGGCCGCTGACTCAGCAGGTGATCCACAAGTTTATCCATTCTAGCCCTGATTCAATTGCTTCAAAATAGAAGCAAAATTATATATCATCGAGGGTACTGGCATAGTATTTTTTTTACGGAGTGGGGACAACGGTTTTGTAGTCTTGGTAACAAAATAAGTATATGACTTCAGCTGGTTTTTTCCAGCAATCACTCTATTTCGGGGGAAAGTCCCGAAGATGGCGAATTCTAAATTCCCCTGAAACTGGAAATTTGGTGCTATTTATTAAAAATCTTGAAAATTAAAACAAAGACTTCCATTTCTGTTTCAAGTCAACTTTATGGTGGTTGGTACTTTAGGCGAACCAAATCTAGTTGCCTACGCCCATGAATAAATATAGTAACGGACAAATTATTTCCTACACTGGAATGGCTAGTAAGTCAATCCGATAACATTCATATCCTACTAAACCCCGATCTAAAGCTATCTTTGGTTTCAAATTTTTTTGTGTAACATGCTCCTAGAAGGATTGCCTCCCCAAAAAGGTACAATCAGAGCCGTTGTTATTGATGATAATGGGAACACCTCTAGCGAATATGTGGCAAGCTTACACCATCTTTTCTCAACAGCTTTTAGAAGGAAAGTTTCTAATATATGCCTCATTTTTGGTTTCTAGGTTACTAATCATAAGTCTGGCACGACCGACAAAGTTCACGAATTTTATATTCTTGAGGGAGTTTAGAATTCGAATACTATCAATTCTGAGGGTGTACGAGATGTGGCTTTTTGTAACATTGAAACCCTTGCCCTTGTATAGTTGATTCTATTGAAGTGTCTGTTTAGTGTTTAATTTTGATTGTTGAGCTTGGGCTTTTAGATCCCATTGACCTTTGCCATATTTCTTTGATAAAATACAGCAACCGTTACATCAATTGCCGAATTTGCTCAAGCTACTATGGTTGAATACGAAACTCCTGAGTATCATCTTCCATCATAGTATAATTTCATTTATGTCAATGATACCCATTTTCGTGTGAGGCTGTATACAACTCAAAGTGATAATTACACATGTGGTAATGTGCAAATATAGGGAAAAGAAAGACAAGAAAATGCGTCGCATTCAAATATCTATTTGATCAAGCGGCACGTCGATGCTATAAAACGGGACGATACGACGTACGATAGAACTGACATCTTAGAAACTTAATGTTATGCGCCTTATAAGCGACCTTACATTTTATTTTCACTGATTATGGTGCATATGGTGAGGAGAATATAATATGGACACCACGTCGCAAGCCTTGGTATATAGCATTCGATTCCCGAAATACTTAAGGGGCTCGTTAGTACATATATTAATGTATCAATTGATGTAAATATCTTCCGTATCATATCGATATCAATTGTTCCCCGGCCTCTTACATTTCTATCCGGTAATATCCTTAATGGTTTAAAATGTAAATAGTCTTTATTTGTCTATGTCAATTCTAGTATGGCCTTAAGTGATTTACTAAGGGCCAAATTATCAGATATAAGCGTCCTGATTGTGAGATTCGGCTTAAAAATCTTCACATCAGTAGCTTATAAGAAACACTTAGAAAATATGTACCCAGGTCAAATCATAATGGTTATGTCGGATTCAGAGGGGTATTTCACGGCGAAGTACTTAGTATACTTCCTTCTTAATCAATTTTCTGTTCCTCAGAGATGACCTGTATTTATCTTTCATGTTTTCGAAGCTTTTCTAGCCATTTGATTACGGTACGTTCTTTCCTCCGTTTGAAGATTCAGGATGTCATAATTACTCAACATCGAGATGTTATAACTGGAACTGATGTAGTCATCTTTTGAAATGGTATCTTTAAGATTGGGGCCCCTTGCAAATATTTTACATATTTTTAAGGCGGCATATCAATTGATAATTCAACGCAGAAATCCTCAAATAGGTACATATGTGTCCTTGTTATTACATGTCTATACACAAGTGATTGGATACACTTCGAGTCCCTCATTTTCTCTCGCCATGAGCATGTGGCTCTATATATACTAGTCGCCATTTCATACTAATCCCGAATATATGTATCAGACAAAAATGCCACCTTGTGGCAATTTGCCATTTATGGTGGGCATTGAAATTAAAAAATGATGCAAATATTACTCGGGGTAGTGTTATAAATAAATATGATCTGAAGCCTTCTTGTAATCTCATTAGACTGTAATATAACCATTGATGTATTAGATTGACGGTTCATGCTATCGGGGATCATATTTTTACAGAACCAGACATTTATTTTCTAGGTCATCTCAAAATCCTAATTCCTCCATTCATCAATCATGGTAATATTCAACAAAGGGCAGCTAATCCTGCATAAAAGCTACCGAGATCAAGCCGCTGTAGGGGATCAAGGACGAGTTATAGATCCTATCGTCGATACAACCAACACCTTTACAGGCGCATATCTTGTTTGCTATTCCCATTCATTCTGTGAAACTTAAAATTAATCTCTCCCCACAGGTCCAGAATAAGTTTAACCCAGAAAGTATGGAATATGTTGTGCGTGAGGAAGATATCGTGGGACCGCTGTGGCCAATAGTCCTATAATCCCAGTAATTTGAGGAAACGTAGTCACCATCACTTTCAACATCGACCAGGCAAATATTATGGGGGCAATTTGCCTTACCAAAGGCAACAAATGTAAATATATGATATCACCCGAACCCGGATCGGACATTCTTTACAAGTGAGGCAAATCCGGTGGCAAAGGAGATCCATATAGCTTAGATGTATATATGATTATTTATAACATTTTCTAAATTCATTTTACCACATTGGAAACCAATACTCCATACTGCTATACACGCGGGACTGCATTTGAAATGAACACGAAATATCAGGAAGGACAATTCGTTCAATTCATACCCTATTACGGTAACATCTCTTTCTTTTTCTGTTAAAGAACTTGAACGGGAATTTTGATCCATGATAGATCAGAGTAGTGAGCATCGAGGTGTCGTTCTTGATGTTATTTTCAGTAAAGATGGCCTTTTTATGGGGCAATACTTTGTATGAAGTTTCCTTCTCGAGCTAAAACATACAAAATCGAAATCGCTGATAAACATGTAAATTCGAAAAACAGGTCCGAGATACTCAAGAGGGTCACACCGATGTTGTCGATGAAAGAGATATCGTCACCATAGCATGAGTGGCGATTTCTTTGACTATTTCAATTTTGCCATATATGACATCCATAATTTAAATTCTGGGGCTACAATGATGTAATTAATGGCTTTCGATGAGTTTCAATTCTATTTTAGATTCTATAATTCTAAAGTCTTGAACATTTCAAATTCATGACTTTGCGGATATCCTAGCACATTGTAATATTTTAAAACACTAGTTTTCAGCATACCCACGTACAAGTATGGACAGTTTGTTCAATTTAACCCCGAGTATGGTAATAATTCTACTGTCATAACCGACGTTTTAGCACAAAATGACATACCCTCTAGACAATGGCAACGAGCACCAAGGTTTCATCATGTGTTCTTTACCTGACGATGACAGCAAATATACAGGCTACTATCTGGTACGAGCATTAGCCAGGTGTCATCTTTATCTGATATGAAGTTCCATATTAAATTCTCATGCAATCCAAGGTCAACGATCAAAACTGGGCATGCATTGAGCGTATTCATGAAAATAGAATTCTTCGAGTAACATGAATTCCTGATAGCGAACTACTAAATTACGACGAGATTTACAATCATTATTTCATATTTTTTCGCATTATGGCGACTTCTTTCCTCTTTGGAAATAAGGTCCGGCGCCCGTATCCCAAATGATACAGTCATTTCATCACGGGAGGCGTTGTTCATGGCAAGGTCACCATTGATATGGTTAACTTTAAATCGTATTTCGGCTTATGTATTTACAATCGTTTTCTGTTTTTTAAAAAATTCACATTCACGTCCGTCTTGATCTCCAAGTCGATCGGATCAATAACCTCAGCACAGCGACTATGGCTAAATATAAGCAGGGACAGTTTGTACGGTTTAAGCCAAGCCATGGTGAGTAGTCCTTATCTCCTGGATATGAAACGAGGAGAATAGGTGTCACTAAAAATCAATGAAATCGAGCATGTTTAATTAATGTGATGAACTTTCATAGACCCCGATATTGATCATAGAGGATACATAGAACGTGTCTTGACTAATGAAAAGGGCATTCCTTCGGGAGTTTATATGGTGGCTCTCCTTTTTCTCTCAGAAGAATGAAATGGATTTCCTTGCTAATAAGTTTATCGTTAGGTTGAGGACGGTGACTGGGGTCTCATTGAAATCCATGAAAAAGACATTCTCACAGCTTATACATGAGCTGTAGCTTCGTTTCGAAAATTTCATTTCAAAGGCTCGGGAATAAGTTTTGGGCCTATATAGACATATGCTGGTGAATATCATTGACATAACTTTGAATCACCAGTGGCCAATTTAGTATATCGAGATACACTTCAAAATAACTTATTAACATTTATTTCATTGTTCAGATGTTCTGTCTGCCTCCATACTTCGAATATTCTGATTATATAGATTTTAAAATGCACGAACTTGGAGATGTGGTAGATTTTAGCTATACTCATGGCGAGAATATAAGCAAATTCTATCTGACTAGCCTACAATATTGTGACGTGAAATTGATCAATTGATGAGGTCACTCAACCAGAGCCAGCAAATTACCACCACAGAATTGCCATAGGTGTTTTAACAACTGACAACGGCAAATCAATATGTTGCTACCTGATAAATATCCATTTATTTTCAAAAATACATTCTAAAAGAGACTGATGGGAAGATTGATCATCTCTATCTAGGTCGAAGAACATGATAGCGGTTGGGTCAAGGTGGACGACAAAGACATGTTCAGGGGTTTTTGCGAGGCATAAATATAACAATTACAACTGGTAATTGGAAGGTTGCTATTGAGGATCTGATTAGTGTCAATTTCCTCCATCCGGTATAATCGATGTTCAAACATGGGCTTTCGATGGCATTGGACATTATACTCTACCTACGGCTTGAATGATGGAGTGACAGTATATTCCTACTCTAACGACACATTGATCATTCGCATTGAACAAAACACTAACTGTATGACATATGCGTTGCAGTTTTCAACCGGAAAGTTAAACGCCCATAGTTATAACCGATAGAAAATGAATATGTGTACAAGTCTTCAATCCCTATAATTTTTTAAAGGGATTGAATTCATTCTTGATGTTTTTTTTCGTAGTCAGGTGCAAAGCAAACGCCTTTATGCGTTAAGTGAAACCTCTCTAATTCATACTTCAAATGTTTGGGATATGTTTATTTCTCTTGCTAACAACTCTTATTAACAAAGATAAACCCTAACGGACCCAGAGAGTTTCTCAACCTACTGCTACTAGTCTAGCAGAAGTTCAAATGTAAATCACATTTTTGTAGCATACGAGGCGTTGCCTTCATCTATAAGCCTCATTTCAATCGCCAGAGCTAGGGATTGCGAATACCACACAAGAGTTCCTCCTAGGATCCAAAATTTCGGTTTCAGAAATGCTAAATGTATATTCAGTAATGCTTGAATCCAATAATTATTTGTGCTATGTCTGATTAGGACGTTCGCTGCCGAAAAGCGGGCGTTTCGCCTGTTACCAGCGATCCGCCGGTCTGAATTGCGCCTCTCGTGTCGACCTCTGACAGAGTCACCTAAACTGAAATTGGTTGTCCTGGAGGGTACTCTGATTAGGCTAAACACGTATATTTATCAACTCATAAAGCGAGTTAGTAAGGAAAACTTGATAAAAGGTCACTCCTTTCATAATTAACATCTTCCATTTTGAAAACTGCAGGGGGTCAAAATAAACTACAAGAGTTCAAATCGAATCTATTATCCCAAAGTGTTATCATTTAAAACATCCAAGAACATCTTCACAATGCAGATTACCAAACTTCTGGGCCTCGCTTTTATGGCTGCCACGGCAGCTGTCGCCGCACCGATTGAGAAGCGAGGCGATGACGCTGTCGCCTATGCACCTGCTTATGGCTATGATTATGATCACGGAGCAAAGAAAGAAAAGCGAGGTGATGACGCTGTCGCTTACGCCCCAGCCTATGGCTATAACTATGATACTGGGGCAAAGAAAGAAAAGCGAGGTGATGACGCTGTCGCTTACGCCCCAGCCTATGGCTATGATTACGATCACGGAGCAAAGAAAGAAAAGCGAGGTGATGACGCTGTTGCATACGCCCCAGCCTATGGCTATGACTATGATACTGGGGCAAAGAAAGAAAAGCGAGGTGATGACGCTGTTGCATACGCCCCAGCCTATGGCTATAACTATGATACTGGAGCAAAAGAATAGAAAGGTTCTAAAAGACGCATATGTTCGAGGCGATTTATAGCGTTCGAGACAAACGAGATATGAGACATGGGAAGGATTCGAGCTGTCTATGGCATGGCTACTTAGTTCATGGACCTATGAGGATACTGTCATTATAGTTTCTGCAATTGTTATTTACCTTAGCTTGTCCAAATAGCAGTAAAATCAAATAAGGAAGCTTCGTTAAACCTTGGCAAATTTTGAAAATTAACATCGTAATCACCTGGGACGGGGCTTTGATAGCTTGACATAAACATGCACGATTTTGCGGACTTGCTTGTCGAGATTTTCTCTATTTTTAACCCCTTTTTTTGGAAAGGTACTTAAATATCTACGTGTGGTTTGGAACCAAGTACTGCAATTGGCTATTTTCTAGTAGACGCGAATCTCGACAAGGCAAATGCGGAAAGTCGAGCCGAGCCTCTCGTTTCGCCTTCCTTCGCCTTAAATAGGTAAGTATTTCGTCCTACAGTGGGGATTATACAATGATTTCTCGAATAAAATACCGAGAAACAGTTTAGTAATTTATAACTTATTGTAGCAAAGAATTGTGATCACATAATGCTTAACTCTTGGCAAATCCAAAATTCTGCTTCGATTATAGACTTTTTCATCGAATTATTACTCAACGGCTCAACGTCAATATACACAGGTAACATTTAAATTCAGCTTGAAGATTATAATCACAGAAGAGCAATATCAATCTCTGAGTAGGCTGAAATAGCCATGTTTCAAGGCTACGCGGTGGTACCGGAGGAAGATTCGACTAGTGAGAATTCAAGTATTCAGTGAGCTGCTCTGATCCCTTCTTCCCCTTCTTCTATCAACGAAAAAGAAATAGGGAAAAGGGCTTACAGACTGTTAAGTGAAAAAAATGAATTTGTGTTTAATAAAAAACACCGCTTATTCCGAATAGTCACCATTCTCACATTTAGCTTTTCTTGCATCGGCGTTATTCTGGCAACAACTATTTTATCACTTGAGTTGACAAAGACATCTCAATTGCACAGATGTGAAACGCCTCCTACAAGACGCGAATGGCGCAGCTTCTGGCCTCATGAAAAGCAGAACTATATACATGCTGTTCAATGCTTGCAAGGTCTGCCTTCTCAAATTACCAACCAAGGAACCTTGTTTGATGATTTTGTGTATGTGCATATGTGGGAAGGATGGAAATGTGATACTCTCCATGACCCAATTTATATAGGAAGTAATACTAAAATTGTCCATAGCTCATGATGCTGCTTCATTTCTACCTTGGCACCGGGCATTTTTACACATTTATGAGCAGACTCTGGCCAAAAAATGCCACTACCGTGGTAGCATGCCGTAAGATACATTTCCCATACCTATATATGATTTCATTTGGTCCGTAACGACTTTGTTAATTGTTAAGAATATAGGTACTGGGATTGGGAAGTTGACTGGCAAAATCTCGCCAACTCTTCCATCTGGGACCCCGAGGAAGGTTTCGGCGGCGAAGGCGATCCTAACAGCCCACTTAGTCCCGGCGACGGTCATTGTCTGATAGATGGACCATTTAAAGGCGCACAACGACTGTACTTCAACGGCGAAGTGAATCCTCACTGTCTTGGACGCGCGTTTATACACTTTGAAACCCAACAGAAAGGCGCTCTATCTGGCTTCCATTTTCGACCGGAAAACATGGGTATGCTAAAGACTGCCTCCGATTTCAATAAGTTCAGAGAAATCCTAGAAGACGCAGCACACAACGCATTGCACTGGGGGATCCGTGGCGATTTCAGCTCAATTTCTGCCGGGAATGGTGGGTTCTTTAATCTTTGGGACTGGATATTCTGGTACTAATTAGGTGGCCTCTAGATCCAATATTTTGGCTACATCATGCTCAACTAGATCGACTTTGGTGGCACTGGCAGCAGGAAGACCCCAAAGCTCGAGAAACCCAGTATTATGGAAAGGCTTTCAATACCTCAAATGACCAACATCGTCAAGGCACACTTGACGATAAACTTTCGTTCTTAGGGCTGTGGGAAGATATTAAGGTCTCTGAGGTTATGAGAACAGACAGTGGCCTCTTGTGTTATCGATATTAGAGTATATATGTATTATTTTACTCACGTATATTAACTTGAATTCATATAGTACAAATAGCTTCATATTTTCTATTACAAGGTCCTAGGTTACCTCAACGAGATACTTCACAAGATTGACTATTAATACTTTTGAACTATGCAACTTGTTATGACTGTCCTCTTTCTTCGAATAGAGCGTAGAGTCCACTGGAGTCACCACACTGACGAGTGTCCACAGTCCCATCAATGAATATGTCCGTACCATTAAATAGCTGTTCCTGTTCAATCTGCCCATCTGCATGGCATAGTATTGTCTAGAGGACTATTAGAGGTATAGAACACAATATTTATCATTGAAAATCGTTTTAACAATCTTAAACTTACCTGTCTCAGATAGTCTAAGCAATGAGGCCAATGTCTGTCAAGATGCCAGTCTGTTGGGACAAGTCGGCCTTCATGTCCAGCTTGTAGCGCCTCACGAATTTTCGCTAAACAATGTAATTGATGAAACCTATTCTCGTCAGTATGGACCTTAATTTTAGAGCCAATTGAAGTTATGACTAACATGCTGATCGCACCAAACTCAACGTCGTTGTGACGCCCACCATGCTCTTTTACAATTATAGTGCCAGCTTTCATGATAGCGCTATCCATCCATAAAGGGTCAAATTGATGCTCTATCGACATGTAGTTATAATTTCGTCCATACTGCTTCGCGGTCGAACTCGTAGACAGCGCGCCTGTGTTGAATGCTATGAGGCTGAGATACACGCTAATCAGCAGTATTTGAATAAGAAATAGAACCGAGTTGCCCCAACGTCGAGTATAAGAAATGAATACATCGAGTTTTGATGATTTTTTGTGATTAAGAATGTCGTCCGACGAATCCTGTGAAAGACGCTTGTAATCCATGCTTTAGGTTTCTATTTGCGTTATGTCCACATTCTTCGAGAAGCCTCGTTTCTCAATCTTGAGTTTAAATTAAAAGCAGATTTCCTAAGAGCGACTCCCGAAACTATGATTTTCTTCTACGGCGGTTAATACGTTACAATAATATTGAAACTACCATCCCCTTCTTGGGATTAGCCCTAACCACATAGATAGTTGCGCGGTAAGTCCTCTCATTCGCCAGATTGCTCCCTGGCCACGACTCATTTTCAGTTAAACCTCTTGCGTATCGCGCATAGCAATACTGTGGCCTTTTAACCTATTGACGGACTATCCGCAACCCATTTCCCCGGGATTTAAGTTTCGAACTACGACTAGTTACGGTGCATTTATACGTCAACAAGATAGCGGCGATGTAGCGGAATGCCATACTTAATATGTTCCATTCAACAATACAATTTTGTGTAGTTGCTCTGATTCCATATATCTAGGATTAAACAGCCTCGAACTCCTATATCTACCATGGAATCTGAAGTGCTGATTCCGAAACACCGATATTCTTCAGACTTGGATAGCAATGACGTGGAACACAAAGAGACCAGACAATTTGAAGTCTCTCGTTACCAAAATTCATCGCCGGTCATATATAAGATAATTGCACTTGGGGCTTTTGTCTTGCTCATTGTCATGAATGCTGGCTGGTATTGGGTTTATCGTCAGCTTAAAGCATCAAACTTTCAGGGGCATGGCGTGCTAGGAGAGCCGCAGGACCTGACATACTATACGTTCATACCTTGAAATTTTGTGTTCTGTTACTTGTTTTTGAATCCAAACTAACTTTTTCGCACTCCTTGAGGACTCAGATCCGCGAAACGTTCTTCTTCCATTTGAGCACGACTGGGAGGATTTACAGGCAATTGAAGTTGATGGATATCGGTATGCGGATGTCCACTGGGAGCCACATGTGTGGAATCCTCGTGAGTTACTCGTCTTGTTGTTCTTTCAAAGCCAGCAGGGCTAACGCACAGCACTAATTGCTATATAGCTGGCGGTCCTACTGTTGCCATTTCAGCAGAAATGAGGGATCATATGAAACTGCATCCAGAGGCAGCTCCAACTAGTGAAAATTCCACTAACTATCACTATATGGTTGCCGGGTATCATCAGCTCCACTGTCTTGTGAGTCTACCAGAGATCAGAAAATAATTTTCATTTCACAACCCAAGCTGATTGCGGAGTCAGCATGTTGTTCGCGACTCGATATACTACCTCAACGGCACTCTTTCTGAATGGCATGGTGAAGGTGGATTCCTTTGGGATCATGTCCTGCACTGCGTCGAAGCTATCAGACAAGCCCTTCAATGCAGTTTAGATCCTACCCTGATCCCGCTGGAAAATTCATGGCCGGGTATCCCAAATGGTCAAATGCATATTTGCCGCAATAGTGAGGCGCTTCGCAAGTGGACAGCCAAGTATTCTTATCCGAAGCCCACATTTACGAGGCAACAAGAGCAACCGCATACACAGGAGTGGATTGAGAAAATGAAGTTAGCCGGTCAGATCTAAGACAAACTTTTTTTTAAATATATATATTTCCTTAATAAGTTAATGGTGTTGGCTTCTCGCTCGCTTATAGGTTACATCCAACTTCCAAGCAAAAAGCCCGGTGAATAACTGAAGGATAGCGTTTTGCCCAGGGAACCAATGGTAAAACTGACGAACTAACTCCCACGGAGAGTTACATTCAACCTGCAATGAACTCCGCACACACCCTTATCCGGGGCTGTATCATAAATTCGAATGAATGCGGAGTTGAAACTGTCCTTGTAAGCGTCAGGAATGATGCATAATGACCGGCTACAGGAGTGATGATGGGGATAAATACATGTCTCCATATGACAAATAACCTAAGATGAAAATACAAGAAACTACGTTCTTCACGTACATAGACATCAATGATTTGAGATTATCACTAGCCTTGGCTTCGTGCTAACAAAATCTATACGAATGGCCTGTAAACGGTGGGGGGAAAAGAAAGCGGGGACAAGATGAACATGGTTTTAGCGCAGACACACTAATACGCCGGTGATCAAAGCATCAATTGCACAATAATCGATATATTGGAGTCAATACCAGGAGCCTGCAACTAATCAAGACTTCCAGAAAACTAGCCCATATCAAGCAAGCTCTCTCACTGTTACATCACACTAGAATAGACTAGAATCTCACGAAACTCTTCTATTGGTTTTTTGCCCCAAATTTTTGCATCTTAATTAATTAACATACAAGTTCTAACTAAGTGGTGTCATTGGGAGCCGCTAAATATAGGCTATTTAGTTCGCATGCAACGTGGCCATTGATTGCACACGGCTTATTTCTTAAATCGGAACGTTTCAGTCCTGATATAGTAAAAACTGCGGGGAAATTTCCAAGCCACGTGCGGGAATATCTGTAAGATCGGCCGTTTATCGCTTTAATTATTGTGCTTGTTGAATATTCGTCGTAAGCAGAGTTCATATGTGTTCAGGCATGCATCCTAGGCATGGTGTTAAATTTACTAGTATTGGCTCGTAGAGCACGCTCTTCAAGCCCGGTGCATAGAATTGAAGGAAGCTCTGAGTTCTATGATCCTCAAAAACTTCTATTTATGATCAGTTTACGTTTTCTTCCTAGTTGCCTACCTTTGATGCATATTCTGGAATCGTCCCGTTTGGCTGCAATCGGACATGCGTGCCGAAATTCGCAGTCACAAAGGCTGCTGGACCTGCCGTGCTCGTCGAAAAAAATGCGATGAGACCTCGCCGGGGCCCTGCAAGACATGCGAATCCCTGCAACTCACTTGTCACGGTTACGGTCCGCGACCCAGCTGGATGGATGGAGGGCCCCGTGAGAGGACGAAGGTCGCTGAATTCAAGGCTACAGTGAAACACAATTCAAAATTTCGGCGAAGAACAAAGTCATTGGGTCAAGTTTCAATTCCAGATGGGCCAGGGTTTGATGTGCGAGAGTTCTGCTTGCAAAATTCGCAAATTTATACAATTTCCGAGCCGGGCTGTACGACTACCCAAGGGGAGCATATAGTACCGACCCCGAAGTCGACAACAGCAACGACAATAACAGATGCTAATGGTTTTGCGAATGAAGATATTGTTGACAACCTCTTGTGGATGGAAAACCAGCCTAATAATGAAATTGATCAGTTTCTAGACTTTCTCGGAACCCAGGAACCAAGCATAGAGCAAGGACAACCAAATATTGTCCACAACCACGAGTCCCACATAGATCGGGTAAATACAATGAAACCCTCTGTCTTCTTCCCATTACCCAACCTTCAAAATCAATGCCTGAGTATAGGTGGTAGTGCTTCGAATGAAGATCTTATTTCTTACTACGTTGACACAATATTCTGGCATCGATTTCCATGTCTGAGCTCAAAGACAATTACACATGTTCGTCAAGGGCTATATTACCTGTCCACCCGGTCAGAGTCGTGCTTATCTGCTATTATGAGTCATACAACATATCGACGCCACCATGAGTTATCGCATCTGGGGTTAAATCCTCAACCTGGTTATCAAAAGACCGTTGGTGATTACGAAACAGCTGCTCGCCGAGGGTTAGGTATGCTAGTACATGATTTAGAGAGCCACCCCACTAGGTTCACCCATGAACACCAAACTCAGGTAGCCGAAGCCCAAGTTTGCACTGTTTTAATATGTCTCTCCCTGGTATGTTCATTCGTCGTACGAGAAGTACTTTGGCCCTCGCTAAGTATACCTAAAGATTGAAAGACAAGATGACAGCTGGCCAGGCATTCTACACCTAATCTCTTCTATATCATTCATAGAATATGATCCTTTTATGGAAGAAAATTTTGAGTTCCTTAACTGCTTTCAGAATACTTTACTTTACATAGATACTATTGGCAGCACATGGGGTCAAACAAAGCTTTCTCTTTCTCTTGATTCATTTAACTCTTACATGCCGGATTTCGATAGCGGTAGCATTTGCGGGTGCTCCAGGGCCGTACTGAAATTCATACGATCAATTTCTGAGCTTCGTTCCTGGAAGACTGAGCAATGTTCGAGTGGGTCCCTAAGTCTTATTTCGCTGGCAAAACGGGCTATGCAATTGGATACGGACCTACAACAACTTCGAGCAGAGCTATCTGCATCAAAAAATGACTCTGCTTTGGGCATGACTAGTATCTCACTTGTTTTCGCTGCTGCTACGTCAATATACCTCCACAGCACGATTTCCGGACCTCATCCCGACATACCAGAAATAAAGAAGGGGGTATCCGATACAATCGACGAGATTAAATCGTTAAATTCGGCTAAGATACTGAAATCGCTGTCTTGGCCGATATGTATTGCGGCTTGTCTCGCAGATAAAGAGAGTCATGGCTTCTTCGATCAGTTGAGAGTCAACGTTGCCGAAAGATTTGGCACGGAGAATGATATTAGTCGTGCCCTCAACATTGGAAAACAGTGTTGGCGCCTGCGCAGATTTGAAGGTTCGACGAAGAATGGATATGATTGGGGGGATGCTATGAATAAATTGAATTATATAGTACCTATACTTTAATTGGGCAGATGCCAGTACTTTGCACAAGAATAAAGGTTTATCTTAGTATGTTTAGAACTCTACAACAGAAATCAGATAGCAAGCTCTATTTCCTGAATGACTTACAGATATAATAATGACCCGAGCGGTATTCGGTTAGTGTCCAGATCTATTTCTATTCATTACGAAGCTATCAAGCCTGGCTTGTGTAAGTCCATGGTTTTAATACTCCACGTGATGGTGGTGTTGTGGGTGAAAAGTTCAATCTTATAGTTACCAATATTCACATGTGCTTATACAGTTGTGCTTGACAATTGACAGTATCAAAATCAAGCTTGAAATAAAATGCATTCATAGTTAGGTGGACGTCAACTCCCAACGCCATCTCCATGTGACTAACTCGACAGACCGATCGGTATCAACCCCTGAGAAAGGACATATCGGGCCCATCTCTCTATTACCCAACTTTTGATGAAAACCGTGAGAAGCAAAGGAAAATAACAATAGAATCAATGAGCCGCCAAGAATAGTTGTACTGTTACATCTGCATTCGGTCTTCGTCATCATCCAATCCCCCCAAAGCACCACCGGGAACACGCCCTTCATTCAGTTCCTTCTCTAAACGAGCGATTTCCTGTAAACTCTTCGCTTCACGGATCATCTTCTCCACGCGTTTCCTTTCATTTTCGGTCAGTTTAACCCGGATTGCCTTGTCGCCAGCACTCCGTCCAGTAGCATCGCCCGCGCCAGTAGACGGCACGTCAAAAGTTCGGGACTTGACACCGATGATCTTCGATGCTAGTGCCGAGGGCTCTTCAACTGTGCCAAAAAGCTCCGTCGCCTTTGCGCGTTCGACATCTTTAACTTTCTGATAGTCTAGGAATCGGATATGCGGGTTGCGCCAGATGACCCAGTAGCGATAGTACTTGTTTTCGCGCCAACTTAGAACACACTTCCCAACAATGCTTGAAGAAATAGACACACCTCTTTCCTTGTGACCGGATTTTCCATCAATATGACATGTGTAAGTCTGCCGAAGTTTTGCAACGGGTCGAGATCCGCCAGCTCGGCCATGTTGTTCGCCGTCAGCACCAGTGTCTCCAAATTCGGTATCGATGAGGCGAGCGTCGGCTGGATCTGATTCACTCGGTTGCGCGCAAGTAGGAGTGTCCGTAAACGGGGGAAGAATGGGAAATTCGAGAGCGAGGAAATGTCATTGTCGGTGAAATCGATCGCATCTTGGTCCTACAAATCAGTCGGAATGATTAGCAACGTATATTTTCCTTGGGAAAAGAGATAAAAAGCACCCACCTTTGCAATACCCAAATTTTCAATGGCAGGAATCTTATGGCCTATATTTCTCTCAAAATGATGAATGAATGATATATCAATGGTGTTCCCTCACGTAAAATTGTGACAACGACAAAAGCAGAAAAAGGAAATGAAAAGCAAGTGTAGTATCCGTTCTTTTCAGGTAATAAATGACCACCCACCTCGAAGATCTAGCTCTCGCTCCTTTACCGGATTAATGTATGAGAGGGAATTTTGAATGAGTTCGACGGTCAATCGCATTGTGAAGAAGTTTGTTGTAAAGGAATGTCGCCTAGCAGAAAGAAATCCGTTGCATTCGGGGTGAATCAGAAGAAAATATTAAAATATAAATTCAAAAAGATTTCTGGCGTGTGTTGTAATGAAATATCTTCTGATTGAGTTCTCTGGGACGAGGAGTCGCTGAACTTGCTTCGCAAGTGGAACTTTTTGACAAGCTCCAAAGCAGCCGCCGCAGGAGGGTCACGTGCCAATCACACTTGACATCTCCGAAATTGATACCAATTCATGCTACATATACGACACGATAGAAAATGAGAAATTTTGATATATTGTGGTATATTACTCGTTAAAGATCTATGTATTAAGAACTGTAGGTAGAATCTATTTCCGCAAGCGCATGTAAAAACGCACCGTGGTTGTGAAAGAACTACGCGGAGCAGTAGTATATCGCTCGCATCAATTGATAAGAAAATCCCCATAGAACGCCATAAAACCGGGACCATCCGAGTTGATGTCCATTAACTCCAGTCCAGACTCCTCATAAAATTGCATTGACGATTATACTCGTTCACTCGTCACTCACTGGCCTCAACATAGGAGACTTGCGATACGACCGGGTCGGACTGACCGTCCGAGAGCGACTTCCAGTCGTCGCTGTGGGCACCAAGTGCTCCCTACTTTCAGTCCTAATAACCAGACCTTGTCGGTCCAGTGCATTCGATGGCGCAATACCCAACCCGATACTAGTGCTTGAGATGTTGCCAAGCTCGAATTTGAAAGGTGGCGCTTGAGAGGAAAGTCCTGTCGTAGACCCTTTTAGGGAATGGCGCTTGGACTGGGAAGGGCTGTACGTAGACCGATTTTGGACGTCGTCATCGCTGTCGGTATCAACACCAGAGAGCTCAAAGTCAGGTCCACCATCTTCTAGGACTCGTTCGTAAGCAGCTGAACTGCGTCCAATGAATGGTAGTTTTGGGCCCAAGAGCCTCCTTCGAGAGCGAGAAGAATCTCCCCGCTTGAAAAGGGTCCGTAATCTGTGATACATTCGCAAACGACGATTGCGACCACACAAAAAGAAGAGGACAATAATGACAATGAGCAAGAACAGTAGGACACCGGGTATGCGACGCGGAGACTCTCCGCCGAATAGGGATTCGTGCCAACTATCACTTTCTTCTACCAACGGACCTGGTCCAGGTACAAGCTCAACGCTAGGATACTGAAAGTCAGGAGGAATTCCAGGCTCATTGCTGCCAATTCCAACAGGAAGTGCATCTTCCTCGATTGCGGGCACCTGCGAAGAAGCGTAGAGGACAACTTTACCAAGTGTCCAACTAACTTCGGTGGAGTCGATTTTGTTGACAGCTTGAAATGGATGAACATAACCCTTGTCTTTGCCATGTTGCAACACCTCTTTAGTTCCATTATGACTAGAACTTTCTGTCTCTTCGATGCCAACCCGAGGGATACCGATTCCACTGTGGAGAACGTTGATAAGCCAAGATGCCTTGAAGCAAACTTCGAATGCCTTCTCGCGATTGACCTTTGAACCCCATCGTTCTTCCGATAGTCCTTGTTCGATGGCTGCCCATTCTTGGGAGCAAAAGGCATCAACTCGATGCTGGTAGGTGTTGAAATCATACGCTTTATCTTTATAGCCCATTTCAAATATTTCGTGTGTTGTGTGCCAATATTCACTAATACCGATAAAGTGATTCACATCAAAGTCAATAGCGGGAGCATGAACTCCATGCAACAAACACGGTTCATCAGCACAAGGCGCATCCTTGTCCAAAAGCGGGTAGGTTTGTCGAATACACTCGTCGAAACGTCCAGTCCCTAACAAATACGAGCCTGAGTTCGTTTCGTCAGGAAGAGGCTGGCCATCAATAGTTGTGCGGAGACCATTGGGTAGGCACGGTTCTGGAATCTCGGTCACCTCAGGAAAAGAAACAGATTCTTGAAGAGCTTCGATGTAGCGACGACGGGCTTCACGGACGCCAAATTCCAACCACGAGGTAACGAAAATCTGATACTCCTGAGAGGATCCATCGACATTTCGAAGTCTCATCAACTTCAAATCATTGGCGTGTTTCTCTACTTCGGTAGAGTTTGGAACAAAGGCGATTTGAGCAGAGGCGCCGCCCATATCCAGAAAGCCATAAGTGTGGTGGTTTTTGCCATGGGCATGGTCTTCGGGAGAATCGAAACTTCCCAGCAGATAATTGGCGGCAATCCAACCATACAGACCCTCAGTCTCGCCCGGAATAACCTGGATATGGACGTCGCAGTCGGGGAGGAGAAATTTGGAATTAGCACGGAAAAAGGAGCAGGTTTGACTGAGAATTTGGCTCCGGTCGGCATCGCTCAGTAAGCGCATGCCAGCAGTGGCTAGAAGAAAGACGGGTGTGTCTTTGACGGCAGTTTCGGGCACGATATCGAGAGCATGCTGCAACAGCTCATCGAGATAGTCTGGGCCTACTTCTTCAGGCTTGCCAGCGAAGGTTGATATGCCTAGGCATGCATTAGCGCAAACTATTCACATGGGCGCTCGTTTTTCGTACCTGGATGGATCTTTTTTGTCCAGTCCTGCTTGGTCGTGATTTTGGGCAAGGACTTTAGCTCTTGCGGCGATGCCCCCTGACGAGCCTTGGAATTATTGAGCCATCGATAGATATGTACCCGTGTCCCCTACAACGTGTGGTTAGAAATGTGCGCGTATCGCATTGTTCGAGATGTACATACAGACGAGCCCGCGTCTAGGATAACGCCATATCTCCCTGCATCAGACACGCGTTAGTATTTCTGGCATAGAGTTTTGCGAAGCTTCCCCGGAACGTACATTTTCCCATTTGGAATAGCGATGGTTTGTAATATTAGTGTTTATCTCGACCGCATGATCTAGATGCGGCGGTGAACGAATCGGACAGCGACAATGCTAGCAAATTTGCATGTAATTTGGCAATCCGGCAGGTTGAGCGAGTGTGGTTGAGATTGCCACCACGAGAACCAGCTGCAGGCGGCAGGTAACGATAATGGGGACGTGTTGTAGCGATCGCGGCGGGTAGTAAGACAGGGCTACGAAACGAATGGCGGCAGAGAGAATCTGGGAACGAGATGATTAGGATAGTCGAAGAATGAATATAGAAGAAGAGGAGGGTGCACAGTCGAGGCCGAATTCACTGTCGTCGCGCGCAGATAACGAAATGGGGGTGCAGCCAGGCCAGAGCAGGGAAGACGCCATCACGCGGCCCGTGGGAGCCTGAGGCCAATGGGATGTCCAGGCCGGAATCGACCATCGGTGCTTAGTGCTACCTCCTAGTGACATGGCTTGGCTAGCGAATTCTAAGGAAAGCGAAGTACCTCACCGGCAGCGGCCCACTACCGACCCGCACTAGCTGCTTCTGGCCCGCAAACGGTTGCCCTGCGGACTTTCTCTGAGCGCTATCTCTCGCAGACAGCACGCTCTCCTATTGTTGTTATTCTTCCACGCTCTGAAGCCATTTCCGTGCGAGGATCGATGCTCCCTGCAGCAATGAATCAACGATTGCACAATCAGACATCCCCCCACTGTGTCTCGCCACATACACATGCCCACCAACGCCCGAACCCGATGAGACAACGGCAGCCCGGTGAGAGTGGCCAGGTTTCATCGATGACGTCTTGCCCGCTGCAATGAAGATGGGCGATGGGCCAATTGACAGCCTTGTCGCTAGCTTCAGCATCCCAAATTACTTAGCTACACGCCACACTACGTATTATTCTTTACTACGGAGGACGTATTATTATTCATTTGCTATCTTCTGGGGCGACGACAAAAGGCGATGGCTATTGGCTCTGGCTGATGGAGTCCGACCCTCGTGTTGAAAACTGATGCTCGGTCCGCCCGCCGACCCATGCAACGAATGCTACGCATCGTTACAGGCGATGTCGATCAAACAACCAACATGTAAGGACCCGTCCATTCGCCCTGTCAGCGCATCAGCATTTTCAATTGATATTGTTTTCCTACGTTACGATGCATTGCAAAGCTTATGTCTAGCTCATGTCTGACTGCGACGCGCGACGGATCATGATTCATTAATATTACACTGATCACGATCGTCACGGGCTAATTTCGTCTGTACCATGACGGGGCCAGAACATATTTGTTTCGTTTCAAATTTTCCGCCTGTCGATTAACTATCACTAATTAATTAAATCACAGGCCCTGGCAAAGGCTTGAGACGCTGACGTACATCATGCATCGGGCCCCATCTGCCACGTGATTTCCTCCCCTCTCAGCCAACCAGTAATAAGGAATCTATATAGATAAAACGCTCGGCTCGTCCGTTAATTATTAACACAAACAAGACTGTGAATCAGGCCGTCTTCCCCTCTGCAGCTGTTTCAATAGGGATCACACTCGTACCTGGTGACGTACTCGTGCTCGCTTCTCCATTGTACGTATCGAACATACTCCAATCCCCAATCTGCTCGTCGATGAACTGTGCCCTGTCCAGCCCAATCATCTCGGCTTCCTCGGCCACACGCAGGTTCATACCGGGGATGAATTTGATGATGTACAGTAATATGCAAGAGACAGTGAACGAGTAGCCGGAAATCGCCGCGATTTCTGCCAGCTGCAGATATACCTGTTTGCCGTTCCCATCAATGGCACCGGGACTGAGGGAGCTACCGTCCAGCGCAGACACAGATGAGGTCGCAAAGAGCCCTGTCAAAAAGGCACCGCAGATTCCACCAATGCCATGGAGCTTGAACACTTCCATCCCATCATCGATTCCCAGCCATTCATTCACGTTTTGGAGAAGGGAGCAGACAACTGAAGTGATGAATCCGATGACCGCGGCTAGCCAGACAGAAACATAACCCGCTGCAGGGGTAATACCAACCAGTCCAGCAATTGCGCCTTCACAAGCTCCCACCACGGAGAATTTCCCCTTGTATCGCACATAGTCGACCAAAACCCATCCGAGGACACCCGTACAGGCGGCAGTGTTGGTGTTGAAGGCAGCCAACATAGCTCGTATTGATGCATTGAGAGCAGAACCTCCCTAAAGTAGACCCTAAGTCAGCGAAAACATCTTACATACCCGTCCCTCGTAGACCTTACATTGAATCCAAACCATCCAAACCAAATCAAGATCGTGCCCAGGAAGACCAACGTTGTATTGTGCGGTTTTCCATGGGTAGGCTCACCGGAATGCTTGCGTTTCCCAAGCACAAACGCATACGCAAGTGCTGCCCACCCTGATGAGATATGTACAGGTCCTCCTCCTGCAAAATCCAGCGCTGGGAGGTTGTAAAGCCACCCGTTGCTATTCCATGTCCAGCAAGCAATCGGACAGTATACAACTGTCGCCCACCAGAAACTAAATATCAACGAGGGCACAATATTACCACGCTCAAAAGCACCACCAACAACAATCATGACCTAACCTCATGTCAGTTCAAACCACTCCACATTTCAGAAAAGAGATGAGACAACGAACCGTGCAAGCGCAAAACAGTAGCTGGTAAAGACAGTACACAATCTCTGGAAGCACAGCAGAGCTGGGGGACGGAGCAGCAACGACATTCATCATTCCAAACGCCTTGAGGCTGCCGATGAATGGACTGCCCTCCCTATTGAAGGCCAACGAGTACCCCCAAAACATCCATTGAAAGGTAGTCCTAAAAGCCCTCGGCGTCAGACAGATGCTCTCTCGGCTGATAACGAAGACCTTACACTGCGACAACCATCAGTGACTGAAAAAGCAGCGCCAATGCTGACTTTCTCCGCGCAAGGCCTCCATACAACAGCCCAATACCAGGAATGATCAGCCACACAATGAATCCACAAAAGACGATGTAGGTGTAGTTGAACTCGAACCCCGCAAATTGGGCATTGACGTCAACCTCTAATGGATTTCCTCCATTTGGAGCTGAAGTGTTGAATTCTGGCTATCTGTTTGTTAGCTATCAAAAACGACGGCGCAAAAATAAAACATACAATGCTAGCCATAACGTTCGGTATCCTATCGAATACAGCAACAGAACCCCAGCATACCTGTAAAGGGGGTCCTCCGATACATATAAGAAATATCAGCATTGTATGCATCTCGCACTATCTCCTCATCAGCCATGATGCTTGGCAAAACTCGAACGCCTAGCAGCGCGAGCCCAGCTCTCCAATGACCGCCATGTCAAGGGCACGCCATGTGGTGGGTGGAGTCGAGAGTGATTCTTGGCCTGATAAGACAATCCAGCTTGGAGCTGTCGATTTGCTGGATAAGCAAAAGTAAATATTTGGAGCTCGAATTGCAAGGAACAAAGTTCGTGTCTTATCGCGATAAACACCTCAGACCAGGATTTTATCTCCGTTTTCAGCCTAGCTCGAACGACCCGATCAGGTAATTATCAATCCTTGGGATTGGCGTTTATTGGTGGCAGATACTACATCTTATTAGTCAACTCTTCATAAACAAGAATGCCTTGTCAATAGCATTAACTTACCAGATAAAAGCCCTCGGCATTGGGGTGCTTGCGACCACTTGTCTCTGTTCAATAGATATGATGGTGCTTATTATTTGCTTACTTCTACTTAAAATTATTCATGGGGTGAATGATAAGAGTCTATGTATAATAAAATTGGCTAGCACATCATAGTCCTTAGTCCTTCTTTTCCAAGTCCCGAATATATAAAAACTAAAATATTTGTTGAATGTAAACAATATACATAGTAAGTAATCGTACATTCTAATTGGTTGTTTGTGATTAGTAAGGCATACACTTTTGTCAATTTGTATGAGAGAAAGAAATATCAGGCAACGACATGGGGTGCCTTAATATCTACTTGTTAATTTCTCAAATACATGTATGCATGCTTGTTTACCTACAAATGTTGCTTGAAACTGTTATATATAAATATAATTGAGATTAATGGATATTTAGAAGTTTAATTAGGAATCTTTGCCATTTCAATGGCAGTATGCACAGTAATGAGATTTCAAGAAAACAGTGAAACTATCGTATACTGTTACAAATGTAGATCTTTGAAATATATATTCCAACGAGCAAATATGCCATCACGAGGGTATAATAAAAACACTGGGGAGTGTTACGAAATAAAATCATTAAAACTGCTATCTTAACAAGTCTCGAGGCTTATAAACTCGCCTTCTCGGCAATAGTAGTCCGCCGCTGCTGCCGCGATGATACGTTGAACCCATTTGCATTCGAGCTTGCCGCGCTTTGAAACAGGTCTCTTCCGACAGCATCAGTCATTTTCAAGACCCTGAAGGATACCGTAGCTCCATCTCGACGGTTTTTTCTATTGAATCAGCTGTTAGCAATGGTTACATTTGTATGAGTCAAATATGGTGATACGCTCGGCTTACCCTTCTCTGCGCGACTGAGCAATTCTTTCCGTAAAGTCCCAGAGCCGGCCACAATTAAGAAGGCTACCAGTCTCTGGATCGCGTTGTGGCGTCCACTCCGAGGCTAACTTCATTGTGGTTGGCGATGAACGCTGCTCTTTGCTTCGCGCAATCAAAATAATACCCTCCTCTGCAAACCGCGAATATGCATTCTTCAGTGTCTCTTTATTGACGGCTTCGAAGTATGACAGGTCGCCTTGATGATAGAGAGTTTTTCCAAGCTAGGCTATTTGTCAGAAAAAATAATCTAAGCCCACGTGTCAGTACGTACCAGCTGAGCACTAGTATGTGCCTTGTTCAAATCGATCCAGATATCAAAAGATCCCTGGAGAGGAGGGGTAAGCCCCATTAGCGAAACAGCACCCAACCAGGTTGCCTCGATAAATGGCCAAATCAGAAAGCAGTAGAAATCGAAATTTTCTCTTCCGCACTGTCGTTCAGCATCACTGAGATCAATCGTGACAGGGGCACCAGATGCATTTCTGGTGACTTTGATTACGTCGTCTTTTTCAAGACCATTTAGGGAGTTCTCCAGATTTGCGACCAGTCCCTCGGGCGGGAAAATGAATTCGCCACGGAAAAGCTGTGGAAAAGTTAGTATATGTGTATGAAAATATGAATATAAACGCACTTTTGAGAGGAAAGAGACTTGTTCTAAAAGAGCTTCGTATGTGATTGTTTGGTTAGCAGGACCACCACCTTGTTTAACTTTGGTATACATGGCTGCAGAAACCAAAGCCTCGGGAATGAATAAATGGATAGTCATGTTTCGATAGAATGAGAGCTGGAATCGATCAACCGCGTAATAAGTCGGCTCTACTAAACCATGAATTTCTCCAACGAGCTTCGGTCCAAGGACCTCAAGAGCGCGTTCGACAACTAGTGAAGTGGGAGCACGGTAGAAATGTGCTACGCGGCCACCTTTTGCTCGAACACGTTGACACAGCCAGTCAACGCGGCGAATCAATTCTGTCTTTCCAACACCTCGTCCTCGAAGAGTCAATAGGACTGTACCAACAAGCGCCGTAGGCATCATAACAGAGACATCATTTATATCTGACAATACTCTATAGCCAAGCGCGCGCAATACCCGGCCTCGATCTGCGAGAGTCAGAGTGATTCTGGAGCCTAAAGAATCTGACATTCCAATGTGATGCAGTTGCTGGTTGAGAAATTCCTTTAGACTCCACGGTTTGTGGAATCGCACGTCCACTCGGCCGAGTTTCAGAGACAAGACCGAAGATTGAGAAAGGAAATTCGCTAGATTCTCTTTCTGTTTAGGCTGGCCTAAGAGCTCGCTAATGTAAGATCTGCATAGAAACGTTAGCAAATTACACAACAAGACTCCATTTTCCAGGGCATATGTACTCAGTCTCAATCACTTTATCGTACTGTGTGCTAACAGGGCAAATGATAGTGTCTGATACTCGACCGGACAATATGCTATCAACAATGAAGCTCAGAATGCCGAATTTTGGAGAAAGAAGCTTTCCGGTGCGAGATCGACCGCCTTCTATGAAGCATTCGAAGTTGAAACCTTGCTGTAACAAGACATCAATGTACGTCTGCACCAGTGTACTATATAGCTGGTCGTCACCAAAACTACGACGGATATACATAGCACCTGTATCGAGGTCAACAGCAGAGCAATGGCTACTATCTGGCAGCGACCTTACCTGCATGCTGTAGAAAAGAACCCACGAGCGGAAAGTTTAGATTATCACCAGCCACGACAATAGGCAAGCCTATGCCAAGCCGATAGCAGATTACTTGGAGAGAAACATAATCCACATGTGATTTGTGACACGGAAGGAAAACAATAGACTGCTTCTTGTCTGCCGCAGCTTGAGCCACCGACCTTAGTCGAAGGACCTCCTCACTCGAGACATGGATACCTAGCAATCATCAGCAGAGTCTATAAAATGATTCCATGCCAGTCCGCCTACCCTGGTGGTATGCCCGCGTTAACAACTGTGTAGCCAAATAGTATGCGCCTCGAATAAAAGTATTGCTCTCCATTTTGCAGATCATGTTATCCATCATTGAATCAACCACATGACGCAAATTCCCCTCGATTTCATTCTTGCGCTGAACTCTAACTTCCTCGATAATATTAGGAGCTTCACCAAACAAGCCTTCGGATTGTTCCACGTTCAGACGCGCAACGGCAAGCTCCGTGATTTTGCCTTGGAGCAAAGGGCTGTCCAGAATCAAGTCCTTGATCCTCTCTGAGTATCCTGAGTAGAAAATAGGCTGTCCAATGACCGAATCGTACGCGCGCCATCCCGTTCCAGACACAAAAAGACTGACGTCACGCAGGAAATCAAAAGGGTTTTCTCGAAACCGGCCTCCGTGTCGGATGAGATTTCTCTCGGTGATAGCATCATCCTGGTTCTGCGAGCCGCCTGTGAAGCCGGTAGGGCGAAGGGTCACTTGGTCCCCCACTATCTCTAGATCGGGAGCGGCGTGGTCATCTTCGATATCCTCGTCGTGCTTTGAAGACATGTCGACGACGGCTGGGGTGTATATTGGTGGTCACAGTGATGGGATCAGGGACCAAGCCATGCAGAAAGGACAGAGGTATAACACGCAAAAAGACAGATCAGCACCTAAGTTCCAGGAATGTGTGATATCATCGCAAGAGGGAGCGAGTGTGTTCTCACCTTCTCCCCAACAAAACGAAGATCATAGCGGAAGCTTAGCCTGTGTTTTGCGGAGCGTCCAATGATCCTCCACGCTCAGTGCGGAGAAAGACTTCGGACCTCGGCGATAGATCACGTGATATATGCGGAAGATAATGACCTCACTGTTTACCTACCATATTTGTCTTTATATATGTCAGAATTGAGAAAACCGTTATTGTTGTTATTTTAGAAAACGAAATTATACGCTCAAATCGGTCCATTTATTCGTGCTGAAGCTTCGTTAGGCCATAGGCTTAATTACATGGGTCATTGACTACGGACGGGGCCGAGCTAAAGGATCGCAATCCTCCAAGAAAGGAATTAAGAGATATAAATAACACTACACCGCAAAACCCTTCTATACATATCTTCTTACAAGGAAACTGACAAAGCTGAAAAATTGACAGATCGGTGTCTTATCTTATCAGGCACTCATTTGCGCGTCACGTGAACCACGCGATCAAAGGCTCGGCGGGTGGAGCTATACCACTTCAAGAACTGAGTTCTCACGCATATCAGCTACAATAATGTCACTGCCTTGGACAATGAACCGAGCATGTCCTGTTGAATGATACGCAGTGCTCTCTCGCAAAATTTTGGCTCGCAGGATGTGGAAGCTTCTGTTCATTTGGTTGACCTTGGTTACGCAACATCTTGTGTCTTAAAAGCGCCGCACAGAAACCGATCCACCGCAGAATTTCGGAAATCAAACATCGGCATTGCTCACTACGTACGCAATATATCTCGTTGGTACTGCTAATAGACAACATGCTTGGCGTGAAAAAGGCTCTGGGGCGTAAGTGTTCGACCTTTTCTCTCCCGTTTCTAAAATACTAATATGTGGTCAACAGCTCGCGTGGCCTCGCTGGCCCGGCAGGTACACACACCGTCATTTCAAGTATTCCGCGATGTCCCCCCTCTTCGTGAATTACGAAACCAGCTTCAGCGATCAGACCGGACTGTTGGCTTCGTCCCTACAATGGGAGCCCTCCATCAGGGTCACTTGTCGCTAATTCGACAGGCTGCTGCCGAAAACACGGACGTCTTTGTGAGCGTTTACGTCAATCCAACACAGTTCGGCGTGAACGAAGATTTGAGTAGCTATCCGCGGACATGGGAATCAGATGTCGAGAAACTCGAGAAGCTCAATGGCGAGTTCGAACAATCATCCTTGCCGCCATCCGGCCGCATCACAGCCATATTTGCTCCTACTGGACAAGTCATGTACCCTACACTTCCCCCGGCATCGGCAATCGACGGGGCCGGGTCTTTTGTCACCATCACCCCACTTGCCACTAAGCTCGAGGGGGCATCGAGACCTGTATTTTTTAGGGGCGTTGCAACCGTCTGCACCAAGTTATTCAACATTGTTAAGCCAAATCGAGTCTACTTTGGGCAGAAGGATGTCCAACAATGTGCAATCATCAAACGCATGGTTAAGGACTTCCATATTGACGTAGACGTGCGTATTGGTTCCACGATGCGTGAAGCGGATGGTTTGGCTATGAGCTCGAGGAATGTCTATCTTGGTAGCCGCCGGCGCGCGGTTGGTCCCGTGCTTTCTGAAGCTTTACGGGCAGCCGAAGCAACATTCAAATCTGGCAAACTTGGTCGGAAGGATATCTTAGGCGCAGCTAATACCATTGTCGACGATAAGCTCAGCGAACAGAGATCACTCTCCCCGTCTAAGCGAGCCTTGTTTGAGGTTGACTACATTTCCCTTGCCGACCCTGACACCTTAGATGAGATTGAGCAGGTTGATCCATCAAAGGGTGCCATTTTGAGCGGTGCAGTCAAGATGTTGCCGGTCGAGGAGCCTCAAGCAAATGAAGACTTGGGAGCTGGCGGCGGTTCTATCCCGGTGCGATTGATTGATAATATCATCTTCAAGCCCAGCAGCTAATGGTGATGATGCCATCTTCTGTGTGGCAAAAAGAACAAAAATTCGTTAATTCGGTACACATGGATATACACAACAAATCTTTTTACAATAGATGTCAATCACCACAGCTCTAAACTCAGCTGCTGTACAATACACAACTGACAAAGAATTAATAAAATGACTAATCGAAAGTTCAAAATTCCAAATACCACAAGACGCATAGCTATTTTTGGTAGAGATCGTTTATTATCCATGGCATGCACATTGTTAGCAACGATCCCATTCCAGTGTCTCCGCCACAGGCGTCATTTTAATGTTACACCAATTGATGTATTATAGGAACTCACAAATTTACAACATAGGATCAATTGACTGCTCCGATGATTGATAAAGAAGTCTTAATCAAAGGTTACATATGCATATATATCATAATTATGTAGGATTGTTGAAAACTAATTTTCCGTGGGCCAATAGTTACATGTTTTACATATAACATTGAATTTATATTAAATCTAGTATCAGTAACCACTTGAGATATATCAGTTTTCATATATGGCATCTCCCTAGTAACTGCACCTGAGAATGCATAAAAATGTTCACTTTATGAAACCACATTAGAAATGTGTAACTGGATAAACAAGGTCTATCAATAGGTCAAAGATTGTTTATAATACCCATGTTCAATGTTTCTTTCATGAATAGTACAAAGAAAGAAAGGAAGCATTCTTCCTACCCGGAAGATACCAGAAACAGGTACTTCGTCCGTGGTCGGGTGATTACCCCTGTCTCTTTGTCTTCCAGAACACCAGGCCGGCTCAGCCCTATTTTCAGATAATCCCATATAACTAATCCACTCCCAGCTACGTACGTACCACCTTGCAAGGGTCGAGCCTCACGTGGCCGGGATCTCGGCCGTTTCCCCTTCCGCGACCTATCATAAAAATAAGTTAACGATCTCGCATTCGATTCGGCGGATTACCAGACGCCATCCGACGGCCCCATGCAAGCATCCCTGTTCGGTGTGTCAAGTTGCATGACGGGCCGCGCTTTGCTGCTTGCGATTTATCCTGACAAGGGGGTAAGCATTGGGCACAGAGATTTGTTGCGAAAAGAGGCAGCAGTCTCTAATTGGTGATGATGATAAACAGTAATGCCACAGCTAAGACAATCAAGGGGCTACGATCGTTGGTCTAAATATCCACACGACAACAAAATAATAATAATACCAAATGCCTTCGCACGCAGATGTACGTCAACAAAGGCAGGCCTCGGTCCGGGCCAAATCAGGTGTCGAGCGAAGCTGAATCTGAAAATCGATACTGGTAATAGGTATGGACTTCAAAGCATTACACTTCGTTACAACGCATATACGATGCAGATAAACGACCCGATATCAGGCCGGGGTAAGACGGAATCCTCCGCAGACGGCGACCAAAAGATTGCCTCTTTTGTATCCGTTCGTTTATACATGTTTAGTCGATCATTTCGTGCGGGTTCAACTGGCTGCACTAAGTCCGTTAGATGCATCGAATAACAATCCTACGCCGCTTAGGTGTAGGCACTAATGCATGCATATCAACGTAATCAGAAGTCGTTATTTGATCGAGAAACCAAGGACGCGCTGGCCAAGCAACACTTCCTTATAGCGACTTGGTCTGTCTTGTCATCACTTGGCTGCATGGCGCCGATGCGTCGAGATTGTCACGAGCTCGGCCAGCCGCTTCGCGATGCGTCACGTAGTCGAGGGCAGTCTAGAAGATGCATGAGAGAGAATCTGGATGTCGTTTGCTCTCACCGCCTCGTCATTATCATCATATATTATGCGGCCTTTCCCTTCTCCCAGGCCAAGGATGGGCATCCCAGTAGGAACATGCGCATAGTCGAGATAGACAAGCAGTCTACAACAGGGAGGAGAAACGCAGTGACTGTACGGAGTATGGCTGACTGGCTGGCCGGGAATAAGGGAATCAAGGGCACGCACGGGAATAGCGATTGCTGATTGAGTGTTAGACACCACCAACAGCGCGTGGCTGCAGGCCAGCATGCAGAGTCGCAGAGAGTCGAGCGCAAATTATTATTAATCGGCACGGCCGTGGCAGGCGCCCGGTGCGGACTAGCGGCCTTAATGCCTTAATGCTAGCCGGCTCGTAAAGCCACGACGCCCACAGCTAACCGAGTCGTCACCTCCAATCACACTCACCACCAACGCAGCTAACACATAGCACAGCAGCCGTCGCGGCCTGACGCCTCGCCGTGCCCGTTGGCGGAGCGATCTAGGACCACTCCCTGCACTGTGGATTTGTGCCATTATTTATAATTTATTAAATTATTAGTCCGGGCTCCACCAGCATGCCTCCGAGCCCTTGGCCTCTGAGTTGGACAATGTTAGTGTCAGTGTTAGCCTGGAGTACGCTCAGCGTCGCTCACTCTTGTATGATTTAATATTAATCTTACTATTATTGTGATTCTCGTTACTGACCATGACTATTATTCAGCCTTCCGCTCTGCTAGTCGACTCTGGGTTCGATGAGTAGTTAACCACAGTGACAGCCACTTTGCTTTCTTCCTCGTCTATACTCACTGACCATACCCAACACAACACCCCAATAATCCATCACACCACCGCATTTACGACGTAGATCTGCACATACATCGACAAGTCACGCTACCAATCCGCCGAGCACTTAACTGTGACTTGGGCCGCCTCTCGACGCAATTGCTTCACCCTTCCTCGACTGGCCAAACCGATCCGTACGTCGGCCTTTCAACATGGCTTACCAGCCCATGGACGCATTCCAATGCTTCACATCTATCAGCGAGAACGTTCCGTCCTGGATCACGCGAGTCACCGACTTGGCTACGTACACAGCAAAGAAGCACACTGAATTCTCGGAGGAATACAAGAAGCTCGCCCTGGCCCAGCAAACACAACAACGGCGGCGGAAGAACAGTTCCGTCCACTCAATCCGACCGGGCTCTGAACTGCGGGCAGACGGAAGCCTTTCTGGTCTCCAGACTTCACAGGTCGTTCTCGTCGAGGTCGCCAAGCCTTCATCGACAGGCTCGAAAAGAAATGGGGATGCCGCATCAGTACTTTCAGGCGAGGGCTCCCGAGTCCTCCCACGCCAGCAGCTAATCATTCACTACGACGGCCACATGCAAAAGGAGCTAGAGCAGGTTGTCCGAGATATCGGGGCTGCGCGGAATAGCATTCGCAAGGGCAAGATGTCGCAAGTCATGCGTCGACCTAACCTCACCATGGAAATGTTTAGAAGCCGGTCCCGGGATTCTCTTCGCAGTCCGCAGCTCGCAACCGATAACTTCATTCAAGTCCAGGCAGAACCACCGCGATTAACCCAAAAGGCGGACTCGTTTGATTCTACCGACAAGCATTTAGAAACCGCGCAAAGCCTGTGCGAGACAGCGGCGCATCAATTCCTCCGCTGCGGAAACTGCTCCTCTCAACTAGAAACGATCCTAGCGAAATTCGACCTCATTCTCGAGACAGCCAAGAAAGAAGTTGGCCATCTCAGTGCAGAGAAACAAGTCGACTCGGGCATCGAGGCGGCTGAGCCCGAGCTGACATCGCAGGCTGTATTGAAGCCGGTAGGTGTTGCAGAAGATGGCAAGCCCCTGGAGCCTGGCTCGGCGGACATTGAGGTCGACGACTCGCCTTCGGACTCGTCAGTATCGATTGATATCACTGCATTTCGTTCAAGCCGATTCCGAACCTAATACTCATACAACCACTCGCTATTTTCATTCATCATCTTGATTTTATCTACTTCGCCTAACTCATACAGCACATCTCAGCGTTTTTTTATTGTTGTGTGGATAAGCGATCAAAAGACTAGGCATGAGCCTGTTGGCTACGAAATACTTGCATACCGCGGGAAGGTTGGCGTTTGGGACGAGCATTGCATACCGATCCCTTTAGATCGGATACTCGTACATAATTCAAACACTTCAAATATCTATCTACATAATTGTACAAATACTTGAAAAATAAAATTTACCCAACTCACCATTGTTATTGCCTATGCGGCGGCGTAGGAGCACGTAGTCTAATAATAATCTGCTGGGGCACACACTTATCACTCATTTTTGAGCGTTCTAACGGCCCACATTCCACATTGTCAGAAGAGGAATGGTGTAGCACTCCGTATTAGCCATTAAACTTTTGCTTTGTGAATCACTTGCTGAAACGGGTGCATAAGAATCGTGTCTGACTCAAGCCTCGTGGACCTTTCCGTGGAGCGCAGATCATTTCCCAATCGTTTGTAGGACCGCCAGCGTCTTCTATCTGATTCTGGACATCTGGTTGTTGGTTGTACTGTATTACTTATTATTATTCTGCCAGAGGTTTTTTATTTCACTTCGTATATCGCATGCTATTCTTTGTTCTCGAAACCCACAACTAACTTACCAACAATACCGTTGTCCATTATGGTAAATAGTCATACTTCATGCTGAGTGGTGATACTACATATTAGGCTTTCGCGAACGGATACGGAGTACATGATTACATGCATCTGCGGTGAAACTCGGCCATTGTCAACAAGAGAAAAATGGGTTGTGATCCCGCAGTGCCAGCACTGGTCAGTTTGCCACAGCCACCCTTACGAGAGTATGCAGCTGCAAGTCATGGTATCTAGGATATACTAGACAAGGAACAAGGAACAAGGAATTGTTGGACGGATAATAATGAGACTTGCAAGCTAATCAACAGTCAACGTTTCAAGGCAATGTTGCACGAGACCGGGAGGAGTTAGAACAAGAACTTAGGCTGATTGTAGATCCGTTGGGGTTTTGAGTTTCGAATAAATCCGTTCTGAGTGTATGGAGTAAGACGCTGCTGCTGTGGGCTACGGCTGGACCTGAGCGATCAATAATGCATCGCGGGGTACGCCCGATTAGGGTCTGGAGGGCATCGCAATTTTGGTGAGTGACGTGGCTAGTTTTGTCGTACGTATAGACATCGCTAAGTGCCAGTTTGGTTTTCATTCGAAAGTCCCATGTTGCCTGTTGAAAAGCAAATTATGATAATACTTGGATTCATGATGCAAATTGGCGAGACGGTCGTCTTGTGCGTGGACGTATGCGTAGTGCGTGCGCCATTGCTTACTATCACAGTTGACAGCTTCAGTACTACCAGTACTACCAAGTATTATACTAGGAATAATATAAGTCGAGCAAAGATTCAGTTAAGCTTGAATCGCTAGCTACATTCAATGAAACTTTCCATTATTGATAGGCATACCTACATGGTTTGAACGTTGGGAGGATTCTACTTCCAAGCACAGCCGTAAACCGTAAACGTCACTCGCTCCTGGTCCGTCGATTGGCCAATTTCTCGTATACAAAATAAAAAAAGACTAGGATTGATGCAATGCAACCAACTGCGACTCTCCATAGAGACCCCAAGACAACCCCTACACATGCCGCTAATAATCGCTACTGGCGGTTCTTTCCGCCAGCCTTCGAACGCCTCGCAAACCCTCCCCTTTTCGTCGCTAAACTTTAGGACAAAAGGATCTGCACAGTAGTTTGGACCAATTTTCAAGCCACTTTCTTTATTTTTGATACCAATAGATATAATGTGGATGGCTGATCCGAAAGAGGGCTTTGACCTACTTTGTTCAGCGAGCAATTCCTTTGTTGGATCTTGACGCATGCCAGCGTAATAAGGACTGAGCTGTCCACGGGTTTTTTCCGGGACGGCTTCGCTTTCCAACTTTCTAGAACTGCGACTGTAATCTGGGACCAATTAGGCCTAGGATCGACGCTTACCCCGTGCGTGCAACCTGGAAGTCATTTTATTATTGTGGCGTTTCTTATTATATCGGTTGATAAAATAGTCTCATATTCTGATACCCAGCTGAGTCTCAATTGCTGGTTGTGCCCACCTCGGTTTCAACACTCTTGCTTGATATTGCCTATGAAATTATGGCCTGTTGAATCAAGACGAGTCCAGAGTCACCGTCCCGCAGCAACCGTTCTGACTTTAATAATGTTCCATGGAACAGCGGCGATTTTTATTCCTGCCGTGTAGACACTCAGAAATGGGTTTATATCGACGTCTCCTGAGCCAACAGTTCGTTATGGTAGAGTATTGAGTACAACTATATTGAGGGTTCCAGCTTATATCAAGGCCCCAATCACCAGCCCGACATGTGTCGGCCATAACGTATAAATCACATAATGGCGAAATGATGTCGCCGGGAAAGACATTAGCATAGTATATACTATGCCGATATTTGCGGCCGCTAAACCGCCGATAAGTGAATTGTTTCGTAGAACAGCCGATATCTTGTTCAGGTTCTCCACCCAAGCAAATAACCCAGCTATCCAGAGTATGCCCGAGAAAAACACAACTAGAGCTCTGATCACTATGACTGGGTCTTCTGGTTGTCCCTTACTGTTGAATGTGGGTGTTGAGGGTTCCGTCCAGACCGGCGAGCCGAGAAAGCCGGTGAGAATTGAAGCTATCAGCGACATAACGCCCATTGCGATGGTAGCATTTCCTCGCGCGACCTTATGGGGGTGCGGCTGAGTGAGGCTCGTGTTCGCCTTCGTTTCGGATGTCATTGTGATTTCGCGCTCAACCGACTTGAGAAGGGCGATGTGGCGACTGTATTCTGATGCTCTAGCCTTGCCCTCGATAAAACACGTAGCTCGTAGTCGTGAATAAAAACAGTCTATCGATGCTGTGCTGAGGCGTGATTTTTCAAAGATTTGTCGGCCAAGTCAAGTTAAGCAAGATGAGCTGCTTATCTAATTGTGGAGCGAAGCTTCAGTATTTCTATGTAAGCAATCTTATACGTGACCTGGAAGAATAAATAAAAATAGCCTGATTAGCTGCTGAAAATACTAAGAATTAATAAATCCTAGTAATCCAGTTGGCTATTAAAAATGCCAAAATCAATTAAATTAGTTTTTTCAGATTAGTCCTATTTGGCTTATTATTTTTCTAGTTCAGTCAGATGACACTCTGTTTAATGAAAGCTGGCCCTACCATGAAAAAACTGCGTGCCAGTCTGTTTTATATAAATTGACCTTGCCATATAAACACTGAGTGCTACCATGTCTTATATAAATTAATCCTATTATATAAACGGTGTGCGGTACTCTGTCTTATAAAAACTGACCTTGTTACAAAACTAGTGAATGTTGCTCTGTCTTATAAATGTTGTCTGCCGGCCTGCCTTATAAATGCTATATGACGAAACATTTGGAAGGATTTGGAGGAATTAAAGGCCACTTGTGTAATTCGAATTCTGGGCTTGAAAAATTTGCTCTGCATCCCCTTTGGCGTTTATGCGCCACATGTATAGGCTGGTACACCCAGCCCTAAGAGGACCGTCACCATATGCCGATTCGTATAACCGATATGTGGTTTGAGAATTGAAATGGTAGAATTTAGTTAAGTTGAATGTAGAATCAAGGGACATTGACAGGGACTGCTATGAGTATGAGTAGGAGACATGAGGCAGGAGATAGGCACCATGCTCCTTCCTCTAGTGCCACTGCCATTGCACCTTCACTTTCACCTTCACCTTCACCATCTTCTTTACCTCCTTATTATTGTCTGCTCTGCTGTCTGCAGTGAAAATTTTCTATATGACTCTTCACTGCTTTGTTCATTCTCTTTCATCCTACTGCCCTGACTTATCTTCCAGTCTATGCTCTATACCTGTCACCTGCTCCAGCTAACTGGCAGGCAGCTTCTCTGCATGCCCAACTATCATTGAAGCCTCCTTTGTTTACTATTCTCCTGTTTGCTGTTTGATATCCACGCTGCGCCGGTGACTGCCCAGTGAGGGTCTGCATAGGAAATTGCCATCGTGGTGTGCATGTCCCACCATCCCAGCATTCACCCACAACCACCTTTTTCTTTCCAAAATTCTCGAGTACACTTGGGTTTTCCCTCGACACTTCACCCTGCCGGTTTCCTGGCTTTGGTATCATGGATACGTCGCCAAAAAGCAAGCTAGGTGACGAGTTTGTTAACGTAAGCTCCATAAAATTCAGTCCTCGTCGGTGATACCGTAAAAAGATGACATTGACATCCTTGGCAGCATCTCAGATTTCCTCGCCACTCCGATTCGGTGTTTGTACAGGCAGATTGGGATCTCTGCTTGGATATTGAGGAATGCGTAAGTTCTTTCAAGCCGGTCTGTCGATAATGCTAAAACTTTGTTCCAATAGATCAAGAAGTCGAAGAAAAACAAAGAAAGTGATAATGGCTCCCTGGTCTCTGCAACGCCTACAGTTCCTACACTGCCTGCCAAGCTTGTCAAGTCCATCGAATTTGTTGAGCCTGTTGAGACACGCGAGGCAAAAAGCAGTCCTCGAGGAACTCGTCGTCCCTTGCTCACGCTCGATTCCGAAGAAGGTAGCTTCACAATGTCTCCACCTATGAAAAAGGCGAGAGTGGATTCTGTTCCAGATTCTTGTCCTAGAGGTTCCTATCGTGATTTGTTCTCGCCCATGTCTCCACGTAGCAGACCATTCGACCCTATTATGTGGTTTTCTACCCCCAAGAACGCCGTTCAATCAGTCCAACCCGTACATCCTACACCTGAAAAATCTTCAACCAAGTCCTCAATTTCCCATAATTCTCGCAAAGGAAGCACAGGATCCAGCGGTCGGCGTAGCGGGGCAAACGGACAGGATTTCATTATTTACGAGGACAACGCTGAAGATGAGATAAGCAACCAGTTGATTATGAGCACATCCTGGTTCCCCATCTTTGCAGACAACGATAAAGAGAACAAGCCTGTTGAGTATAGTACGGATGAGGAGGATGTTACTGAAGTCGTCGTGACTGAAGCCTTTGAAGACAGTCAAACTAGACGTTCAGTACTTGGCGAAATACACAATGATTCGGCCCCTGAATTATTTCGAGATGACTATCTCTCTCAAGGACCTGACCAGGTATTCTTGCCTGCGGATGATGACTATGAGGACGACGAAATTATCGGACTGGCAGATAGTGAGGAATACCTGCTAGAAGAATATTACGCCGAAGATTTCTACATTGACGAATACGACGACGGCTACGCTACTGATGGCGACTTTTGAGGTATCGAAACTTGGGTCGAGTCGATGGCCATTGAGCTTGTGAGTAGTCTTTGTAACGAAGTGTACTTGTGCACTTATATGTCTATGTCAATACTCTATGTATTATATGTTGGAGTCCGCCTCAATTTTTAATTGTTAACTCATGGAATTTGGTGTTATATCATATGTCTGCAAGAAGATGGTTTGTATGTTATCAAATGGTTCTGGATGGTCGCCAGTGTATTATTGGGTTCCTATTACGAAAATTACGCGGCATGTTTGTTAGCTCCGTCTTGGAAATACAATCTCTAGTTCCGTATCATTCCCCCTCAGTGGTACCAACCACTAATTGGCCGCAGTGAGCCTCGACGTACGATGAAGTCAGTTCGCCCACAGCTTGTTCATATTAATATTAATAATGATTACATGTTGCCCCGTCTAACCTCCTACTTACTAGCCTTTTTTTGCGGGAAGAGGGGACAAAGTCTAATTCTACTAGCCACAAGAATAATACGCGTAAAATCTGGGTCTGAGACAGGGGCTAACTTCAACCAAGTGTGGAAGGCGGAGGCTAGATAGTTTTAGGCTATTTACTGAAATGGGAATGGATTGACCTCCGCTCAGTCCAGACTGTTCAGTAGAGTGTCGCTTCTTATTAGTTTTTTATGGTTATTCAAAATCCGGCAAGATGGTTACACGACATCACATTTCCCGTAGTTGACACTGCCAGGCTGCATTTTTCTTTTTCTTTTTTCTTCGGGAGATAAGAGGGAGCTCGAGAATAGGATGTTTTGGCATTTTCTCAACCCCTCTTTTAGGGACCAGGCTCGTTCCGGAAGGCCACCGCGTCTGTGCCACACTCTTATTTCTGTTTTGGGATATCCGGATGAGGAGCTCTGAGACTATGGAGGGGGGTGTTATTGCATGTACAGGGAAGATCACCCCTCACCCATTCTGACTGAACTCAATATGGTAGGATACCGTGCTATGACAATATATCTCTATATATGTATACAACAATTGATCAGTTGACGACTTATTTGTAGCGAAATCGATAATTCTACAATCAACAATTGACAGATGTGATGGCAAAACCGAACCAACCAATCACATCCCCCGAAATTTGCTTCCTGTCGGACCCTCCTCCCATTTCAAATGTTGACCTTCTCCTAGTGGAATTCGAGTTTGATTTTGAGTATTCTGTTGAATAGACGGTAAATGATTCGGGGAATTCCAGAATAATTTGAGATCACAACAGACTAATCACAGGCTGATTGATTCCTCTATACTTGGGGCTCTAGGGTAAGGAAGGGTTGGGTTGGGTCATAACGTGGGTAGTGTACCCTGTTAAGCGGCGGAGTAGTTACCTAAACAGGAGAGAACTACGGAATTTATCATGAAGACTACTACATGTACGTGATAATTCTACACCATACTACTGCTAATAATAATATATCAGTACTCGTTTACCAATTGCTATCAAGTTAGGAAGTATATCACATTGTATTCACGTAGAATTGGACCATGACGTACTCCATGACTTCGTACTCCATTAGGAAGTATCCAGCGAGTCTTATTCCCAGCATGCTTAGCCCAGCACTAAGTCCTGTAAGGTCTTAGCAGTCGCCATAGTGGGCCTAGCGCTAGAGCCAGAACCGGATAATGATCCAGGCATCATTGCATGCACGAAATTGAAAATATGCAAAGCTCCGTCCCATGATTGGTCCCATGATTGGTCAGATTTTGATTTTTATTTTCCCCGTATACGGCCGTATTTCTGGTATGGTGGACTCGGAGGCACTCGGGGTAATATTACCGACTTTTTCAGACATCTGGAAATATTGAATAAAAGGCTTGTTTTTTGCGAAGATGCGGAAATAAGTATTCGTACGACTTATGGCACCCGATTATATTGTTATCATCATCATCATCATTATTTCTTGTTTAATTTCTCAGACTCATCCGGGTTTAGCATAATCTGCATCCGGAGGGCACTCCGAGATCAAATTGAATATGAATCATAACATCAATACTATCGCTTCTATGAGCTAACATCATTCATGATTACATGCATTATTAACGTGACAGCATTTTACATTTCCTCAATCGCGCAGTTAGGATGCAGCACATACACAAGCCTCGATGTCGACTGTTGTTGATCTTGTATATCATCTGCAAGACCTTGGCCACGGATAGGCATGAGAATATTATCCTATATTGCGACGTCAGTTGATTTGATCTCACAGAAATAGTAGAAGAATAACTAACCTTCACCATCCGCTTCAGCACCTTCTCAGCAAGATCGCGTTCCCGATCCAGATCCTCCTGGCTATCTAGTTCAGACTCAATATTCTCCAAGTACCAGGTCACTAATTCATTGTGCTCAACGCCTTCACCGTTCTTCGCTTCGTCCTCGTTGACCCGTCGAACGAGAAGATTGAGAATCTTCATGTACTTGTCGTACGTAATCTTTGTCTTCTGCCGAGGTGTTTGTGTTTGCGTCGCTTGGGCTGGTTCATCCTCGTCTCCCATAGGGCTATCACCATCACGATCACGAGCATCGGTCATATCGTCGTCACCATCCTGGCGTGGAGCCGGTTCATCATCTGCCTCGTCGTCGACCTCCACGTCGTCTTTCTCAACAGTAATGATACTCTGGCGGAGGAGGTTATATGCTTCGCGAACGAATCTAGGAAGAATCTCCTCTACACAGTTGGCCCTGGCCACAGCTTCAGAGAGACGAATGAGCGATTCCAATTGACGGACGGTAATGCGGTAAGAAGACCTTCCGATTCCTCCTTGCGCGTCATTGGCTCGCAATTCTTTGTACTTCTCTACCAAGACCGCCTTTGCTTCTTCTGTAAAGACGGGTTTGAATGTTCGGGCTAGTCGAATGTAACGCTGGAGGAGTTCAGTACTGATCTCGGGCTCGACGGCTTCATCTCGGTTCATATGGACGTTGACAATATGAGTTGCGAGGTTACGATCAACTTGCTCATTCGGCTCATCACGCACAATAAAGAACAAATCGAATCGACTCATGATAGGGGCGCTAAGATTCAGATTTGCCCGCAATGTGGTCTTTGGGTTGTATCGGCCACCAATAGGATTGGCTGCGGCAAGAATGGATGCCCGAGCATTCAGGGTTGTGTGAATGCCAGCCTTAGCGATGGAAATTGTCTGTTGTTCCATAGCTTCGTGAATGGCAACCTGATCCGCAATATCCATTTTGTCGAACTCGTCGATAGCACAGATACCTCCTCCATTCTGGGAGTTGCGTTAGCCATGTCTTGGAATTCTCACTTGCACAAGGATAACACTTACAGCTAACATTAAAGCACCAGCTTCAATTGTGAACTCTCCAGTCTCGGGATCCTTGACAACCGAAGCCGTCAACCCGGCTGCTGATGAGGCTTTACCACTTGTGTAGACGGCGCGTGGGTGGAGGGAGCAAATATATCTAATCGTTGTTAATATACTCATTTCAGGAAATAGGTAGTAGAAGGTACATACTTCAAAAACTGGCTCTTGCTTGTCGAGGGATCACCAACAATGCAAATGTTGATATCACCACGAAGCTGCATGCCTTCTTGTTCGGTACTCTTACCAACACCACCAATCAATTGAAGAAGAAGACCCTTTTTGATCGATTGATGACCGTAGATCATTGGAGCAAGGGAGTTGACTAGTCGTTGATAGATATGCTCACTCTCAACTAGTTGTTTCAGCTCTTGGACTTCTGCCGGAGTCATGGTTTGCAGTAAAGCCTCCTGTGCATGATCCTCACCCTCGAATGATTGGTCATTCTGGTTAAGCGAAGCCAAAATATTGTGAGACTGGCCACTGAGGTGCTGGTTGGTCTGTTGGCCGGGTGTTGTTAAGTCCGGTGTAATCATGCAGGCAAGGAAAGCCAGGCGATAAGTCAGATCCCTCACTCCCAGTGACTTCAGGCCAGAAACGCCTCCGCCTCCGATGTCACCGCCACGGAAAGCGCCATTGTCACGGTTTGCTTCAGGTCGCACACCTGGTAACCCGAGTTGGCTTACGTCGGGGACAACAATCAGTGTTCCAGTAAAGATACATTTTTCACCGGCTTTTGCTCGATCAACCATTTCTCCTCGGACGATGATATCCATTGTACGTGGCATGCTGCCAGTGGGGATTTCATGAGATGATTCTTGCAATTTAATCTTTTGCCAGTCGATAAAAGTACTCTTGCCAATATCAAGACGCCAGCCAACTCTGTTACCACAAGTTGGGTTGGGGCACTGAGATGGTTCGGTGTATTTAAAAGTCTGCTCAATATTCGGGACTGGTGTTCGGCATCCCTCACAGATGAAGGTGCCGAGGGATAACTCGGGGCGAATTTCTGACGTTCTCGTTACTGTCCCTGAAATTGAGAGTAACTTTCCAATATGTGATGTTCGCAATTGTCGCAGCCGGGAGACAAGTGGCAAATTGTAGAATGCTAGCGAGAATACTCTATCAGTCTGTTGATGTAGTGTCTTCTTCTTGAATGCTGAGTCCCCGCTCTGGGTATCACTGGCACTCGTATTAGCTGCAAAGACAGACGACCCAGGCTGTGAGGCATTGCTAGTCGGTTGGCGGTGAGACGCAAAATAATCGGGTTCGTATTTGGCAATAAGATTGTGGAGAGCTCGAATGAGGAAGGGTTGGAATCGGTAGTATTGATTGGCAATGGCATCGGCCAGGATTTGGTTATCCACAGAGGTCAAATGTGTGTAATCCACATATAACGTGGACAATTCGAACATCGCCATGCCTTTGATTTGCGCGACGTAGTACTTGTCCCCGAAATAGGTTGCTGAGGATGGGGCCGGTGCTGATGACATAGGGTCTTCTATGTATGTCTCAAGCAGTTCTTCAAAGGCCTGCTGCACCTTCTCTCCCGCGACGTCACGAACTGGGGCGGGCGCAGTTGCGTATGGATTCCGAAGACGGTTGATGGCGCCATTTGTTGTACCGACGATTTCATCATCTGGAAGTGCTTGCATATCACTCATAGGCGCATTGCTCTCTGATAACAGCTGTGGACGAGAGCTGGATGGGTGGTCTGGCTGATGCCATTGTGCGCGGGGACTGGCATTCGCTCCGGCCTCAGATTGCAGGACGGCCTCGAAGAGGGAAGACATGCTGGGCCACCAGAATACGGTGGATATGGATTGTCGAAATTCAGAGGGATATATTATCTGCGTATGCCTGTTTGTTAAAGGAGCGTATTTTGATCAAAGCACGGCAGAAGTGAAGATATCAACGACCAAGTGCTCGTTTTGAAGGCAGGAGAGAGCTGTTCAGAATTTCCAAGGAGACGCGACAAAGACGCGTCGCGTAGCCGGGAGAAAGTAGTTCCCGGTCCGACGCGTAAAGTGGTTTTACCTTTTGGGAAGGCGAAAATAATGCGGCAACAGGTATTGAAAAATACAACACAGTATTTGTGGCAATACATAATACGGGGCTAGTCCGGATCAGGGCATTGCATGTAAGCAGAGTGGCAACCAGCTTCCTCTTTCGGACCGACTGCGACTGACACCCGGAAGCGGGCTGACCTGTAATCCACCCGGGAGCCCTGCCTCAGGCTGCCGGTCAGGGCACAGGCCCAATCACGGGGCCGACTAGCTCAAAAGGGTAAGAGGTCTGGACTGTCTCCTGCCTTTCTGCTTCTACGTTGAAGCCGATCTCAACTATTAGCTCCAACCGGTACAGTGCACACACACCCGGCACACCATAAGCCACAAAGCCAACTTGCCGACGAAGGGAGTGCCCAGCTCTCTCTCGACCGGCTGCCTAGACCGGGATTTGCTCCCATACACTAATGGACTACGTACACAACAGATAGCCTGGTGGCGCGTTGTCCCAGACATAGCCAATGGGGCGCTCGTGGTCTCATGCACCTTGTTCTGTCATCTTGCCGATGAAATAAGATTACTTGCTCTGAACTTCTTTTACGCATCAGACTTATTGAGCAAGCCATTCGCATGCACTGCTGAAAAGGGCAGTTATCTGGTGCTCATCAGACTGAAATATATACCCCAATTTGACCATTTCTTTAATATCGACACCGGATGATAATTATCTGTCAAATGTCGACACCCGACGACCTGACAACGTAGATACCTCGAATGAGATCTCGAGTTCAAGTCTTATATTGGTGTCAGTCAATTGCTCAACAGGACGGTGCGAGTGAAGCAACCGTTCCGCTCATTCAGTATTCGCCCGATGCACGATTAGATCATTTAGAAAGCGGGATATGGAACAGAGCGGCGAGGAGATGGAGAGTGTTACGCATACCATTTCATCTACAATACCACAAGGTACAGCGGCCGACTACAGTGACAAGAAGCTGCCACTGACCCTCTGCTATCGGATAGACCAGCTTAGCAATGGCTTGACGAAGTCACCGAGACCGAGGAAACGCTCGGCAGCAGCAGCTGGTCAGCATGGACAGAGCCAGGCGTTCTTTTTTGTTGACTCTGGTGCTTCAACGAGAGAAAAGCGCGCCCACGTGATGCGTCATCATATTCAGGCTAAGAAAAAACAGACCATGTTGACCCACCAGTCAGACAGAGAGTCTCGGCGTGAACCTCGTGTATTTCCGTGGATGAAGAAGTCCAGTCCGAATGCCAGGGAGGTTAGTGAAGTGCCAATTGACAGTGAGTTCATGGTAAGAAGCATTCAATCAATTTGCTCTGAGCCAAAGGCTGACTGCTGCTGTTGCTGGCAGGCTGCAACACCAAGGCATTCTGTCTCTTATGCCGAAATAGATCAATATAAACGTCTCCCCAGCCCGAGGACAGTGTTAGATGGCTTCCGGGATGACCCTTTCATGACCGTGCCAGTGGACCACAATGTGGCTTGGGCCGAAGATCATTTGTACGATTTGTTCGTTTCTCGGTTGACTTATTGGTCGGGTCAGAATTTACATCTGAAAGAAAAAGCTTTCAGGGCGGCAATAAGTCATCGGACTACCTTTGAAGCACTTGTTTTAGGTTATTGTGCTCGATGGAAACCACATCTAGACGGCACGCCAAATGACCGAATGATTCAATACTACGATTCGCGAGTGCAACAGGCTTTGAGCAATACGAGCCCTGGTGGTTCTGAGCTTGATGATGATTCCTTGTGCTTGACATTTACAGGACTGATGCTTCAGGAAGAAAGGTTCGGAGACAAGCACAAGGCGCAGCAATATGCGCGGGAAGCGAAGAATATACAACTCTATCGCAAGACACAGCCTATGGATACGACTTGCCGTTCTCTTCTTTTTTTCATTCTGTGCGTTATGAGCCCGCCCTCGATGGGTATTGGTATGGATGAAAAGCTGAAGCTCGTGGACTTCCTGCGTACGGGTGATCGGGTCATGATAGAGCAGACGGCCGAGGACTACCTGACCGATGTTCCACAGCGTGCGACAACCTTTCATTTCGATAGCCCATTGTATCAATTGTTGTCGAGCGGACCCCGGCCTAGCCAGGTTCCCATGGAAAGCCGAAATTATGTGGTGAACAAGAACACACCGACGATGGAGCGGTCACGAACTGCAGCACTCATATATATTGTGCTTGCGCTGTATCACTATCGGGCATCGAGAAACCAAACAGCCCGTTTCCTCGACCATCTGCACCAGATCATCCGGGACCGTGAACTTGACCGCAACCCGGCGTGTGAATCATTCATGTTTTTCTTGGTGGAGGAAAGTTACGACGCCGATTTGAGACAGCCTGATCGGGCTTGGCAAACCAATGAGCTTCTTAACATACACAAGAAGCTGCCTCCAGATTTGCAATTCCGGTTCAATGAGACGCTTTTGGGCTATTTGATGCTGATCCCCCCCGTTAATCTTGTGGATGACTTTGAAGGGGACCTTAACAGCGCGGTGTATGGGATGAACCGGTGATCCAGTTTGCATTGACAGTTTCATGAACCGCGCATAACGAGTAAATGAGTAAATGCGTCGACTGTCGATGGTATGGAGCGACATTGCTGAACATCGAGTCCGCAATGACGCAATATATGAGGTTCCATTGAGATTGGCTACACACCTAGTGACGAACGCCAAGAACGACTGTAGCTGGGAGTAGCAATGGGAGATCATTATTGGATAACCAAACAATTGTATGAATTAAGAGTCAACAGAGGACGGAGAATGATCAAACATCCCATGCATCCTCGTATCTGACTAGACCCAAACTTCGTAATGATCAATGTAGATCTGATCAAGCGATCCTGGCGACGCTTTGTTCCGAGAATGGAATAGGAAAGATGCACTGGGTCTGTCGACGCTAGGCATTATTCAATTCCGATCCAGCGATGGTTGTTGCTCTCAGCGCGCTGATCGTGAGTCGCGCGGTGGTAATTACGTGTACTGAGTAGTTCTTTAGTGGACCAGCGTTCACATGCGGTAGAGACAATTGAAAATACACTCTGGTCCAAAAAAATGAAAGAAAAAAAAAAAAAAAAAAAAAAAACTCATCGTGTTCAATGAGTCAATGACAAATTTCTCCACGCGCCGACTAAGTATCAGCACTATCTGTTCGGCCCATCTCCGTTCGATCGGCCAGCAGGGCTGGGAACCTTCCGTATGTCTCTCTTCTAGTCGTATACTAAGTACGACCTGTTCTTGTGATTTGTTGAGCAGGAATTAGCTTGAACAGGTGACCGTGGCTGGTGCCCACTGTGGCTGGGTCGGGCATGCCGAGGGAGATTGCTGCCCCCACGGCAGTCGCCTGTTTACTCTCCTCTCCTCCCTATCGCGACCATGGAGGCCATTAGCTGCATGATTGCTGCATCGGAATGCAGGTTGTGGCTGTGCGACGTGGCGAAAAACACAGAACACGAGAACCAGCCTCAAAAGATGAAGCTGCACTGGCTCGGTAGGACGGTCTGCATGGGCCATCGTCGTCACGTACTGTACTCTCCTCTTTGCTACGTCGCAGCATACTAAAAACATCCAGCAAAATTGCGAGGATTGGGCTGACCCAAATTTCAACCGCGCCTCCCATTGGGCCAGCGCAGATCGACTCGGCGTTGCAGCACGGCCCTCGATCGATTTCCATCCCTGTCGATGATGTCGACGACCAAGAAACACTGTGCCGTTTACGGCCACCTCTGGCAACGATGTCATCGCCGCCTCCATATGTGGATGATTATCGCTATAACAGCCTCTCGTGGGCTTGCAGAACCCAATCACCCTTTTCTCCGTACTCCTTCTGCCTTTTTTACCCCTTCTTCCAGTCGCGTTTCGGGTCCATATTTAACTTTGCCCTAGCCACTCCGATCGCCCACCAACAATCCAAGCTCGATTGTTAGCTGGCAGCCCGCCCCTCTCGCCCACTCGAGACCTCGCAGGTCTGCTCATCGCGCCAATAGTCGCTCTTTAGACTTTCCCTTCTGTATTCCCCCCGAGCTTGTACTGGACTAGCTCCAATTGCCGTTCTTCCTGCAAAATTCGGGACCTCCTGCCTTGTTTTCGCCCTCTGCTCACGCCTATATTTTCAGCTCTCTCCTCTGCACGCGACTTGCGCTGTTGGATTTGTCGCATGGCAAGCGGACTCTTTCTTTCACTGTAACTGCCATTGCGTCTCTACACGCTTTCAATCCACCATGACGCTTCTCCGCCGTGGCCTGTCGGGCCTGAACACCCTTGTCACGAGAGATGTAAGTCCCAATTCCAAGATATCATCATTCCAGAGAAAGGAATTAGAAGAGATACGGTTAAAACAGAGCACACCAACTGATCTGTCCAGGATAACACTCAAGATGCTCCTACCGGCCTCTCGGGTTTCGTCTCAACTCTCGTGCCGACGTTGATAATCGCTGTCGTCATGATCCTTGCCTTTGTGTTTCTCCGTCGCAAATATACCCGCTACTACGCACCGCGTACCTTCCTGAGCACTCTGCGTGAATATGAGCGGACTCCATCTTCACCCGTCGGCCTCTTCAACTGGGTTACCTCCATGTACAAACTGCCTGATTACTACGTCTTGCAGCATCACTCGCTGGACGCGTATCTGCTGCTGCGCTACCTTAAACTGATCTCTATTACCTGCTTTGTCGGATGCTGCATTACCTGGCCCATCCTATTCCCGGTCAACGCTACTGGCGGTGCTGGTTTGACACAATTCGAAATTCTCACCATGTCAAATGTTCAAAACAAGGCCAGATACTTTGCTCACGCGTTCGTTGCATGGATCTTCCTAGGTCAGCATAATCAGGTCTTCTAAGCTGATTCTTGGTACTAACAATTGCAGCCTTTGTCTTTTACCTTGTCACCCGCGAGAGCATCTTTTATATTAATTTGCGCCAAGCCTACGCCTTCGCCCCAGCGTATGCCGCTCGTATGTCGTCGCGGACTGTCATGTTCACCTCTGTTCCCCAGGATTATCTCGATGAACAGAAGCTTCGTCGCATGTTTGGCTACGAGCAGGTGAAAAATGTTTGGATCGCGACTGACGTTAGCAAGCTTGAAGAAAAGGTCAAGGACAGGGATGCCGCCGCCATGAAGCTCGAAGGTGCCGAGACTTCTTTGATCAAGCAAGCCAATGCAGCGCGTCTCAAGGCTCTGAAAAAGAATGGCGACGTTCCCGAGGAGCAAGTAGAACTTCCAACTGGTGATGCCGAATCTGGGTCCATTGCGTCACGATGGGTGAAGGAGAAGGATCGCCCTACCCACCGCTTGAAGTTTTTGATTGGAAAGAAGGTTGATACTATCAACTGGGCCCGTGCTGAGATCGAGAAATTGACTCCTGAAATTGAGGAATTGCAGGCCAAGCACCGTGCAGGTGATGTTAAGAAGGTTTCTACCGTTTTTGTTGAGTTCTACAACCAGAACAGTGCTCAGGGAGCCTATCAATCCGTTACCCACAACGTGCCTCTCCATATGTCCCCCCGTTACATTGGTGTTGATCCGACTCAAATTATCTGGTCCAACCTCCGTATCATGTGGTGGGAGCGTGTTGTGCGCAACTTTGCCACCGTTGCTTTCATCTGCGTTCTGATCATCTTCTGGGCTATCCCTGTTGCATTTGTGGGATCTATTTCCAACATCGACAGCCTTATCCAGAAACTGCCCTGGCTCAGCTTTATCAACAGCGTTCCCACCTTCATTCGTGGTGTCATTACTGGTTTGCTGCCTTCGGTTTTGCTGGCGATTCTCATGGCCTTGTTGCCAATCATTATTCGATGTAAGTCTGTGCTTCTTTATTCTTGATCTCGCAACTGACTGGTGATAGTGTGCGCAAAACTCGGAGGTGCTCCAACGGCCGCAGCAGTGGAATTATGGACTCAAAACGCTTACTTTGGCTTCCAAGTCGTTCAAGTCTTCCTGGTCACCACTATCACATCTTCTGCTTCTGCTGTTGTGGAAAAAATCATTGACAATCCTTCCTCAGCGGCGTCCTTGCTGGCCGAGAATTTGCCGAAAGCCTCCAACTTCTACATTTCCTATATTGTACTTCAAGGGTTGACATTCACGGCTGGTGGCCTTCTCGCCATTGCTGGTCTCGTTGTTGGCAAAATACTTGGCAAATTCTTCGATTCGTCTCCGCGTAAGCTGTACAACCGATGGGCTTCTCTGGGTGGAGTCGGTTGGGGAACTGTTCTCCCACCGTTGTCACTTCTCGCTGTGATTGGTAAGTTGCCCTCCCAATGACAATCTCGAGACACCTGTATTAACCCAATTGAAGCCATTACCTACTCCATCATTGCACCTTTGGTTCTAGGGTTTGCTACTATTGGCTTGTACTTGTTCTACTTTGCCTTCCGCTACAACTTCCTTTACGTTTCGAATTCAAACATCGACACTCAGGGCAAAATATACCCTCGTGCCCTTCAGCATTTGCTCGTGGGATGCTACTTGGCAATGATCTGTCTGATCGGGTTGTTTGCAATTGCCGCCGCTGATCAGCCAGTGGGAACTGGACCTTTGGTCTTGATGATCATTTTCCTGATCTTCGCTATCCTCTACCACGTCTCTCTGAATTCAGCACTCGAGCCATTGATCAACTACCTCCCAAAGAACCTCGAAGCCGAAGAGGAAGCACTCCTTACTGAGACTCGCAGCAAGTTGGGCCACACGACGACCGACGGATCAGACGCAGTCACTGGAATCCCCGCCGACAAAATCAATGGCGAGAACAACGGTGTCGACGATGCCGAGAACGGCGCAGTCGACCCTACCGCCTTGCCCGCGCCGCACAAGAAGCCCAACTTCCTCGTCAAGTTCCTCCGTCCAGACAAGTATACCGATTACGCTACCCTGCGTCGCCTTGTCCCTGCTCACCTCGAGGTTCCTGAATATCCGACTGAGGTAGAACGCGATGCATACTTTCATCCTGCGATCACATCTACCCTGCCTTTACTCTGGATTCCGCACGACGAGACTGGCATCAGCAAGCAGGAAGTCGAGCACACCTCCCGCGTGATCCCAATCACCGACGAGGATGCCTGGATCGACGAAAAGGGCAAACTGCAGTGGAACGTCGACAAGGCGCGCCCTCCGATTTACAAGGAGAAAATCTACTACTAATCATTCCTATTCCTTTACTCTACTATCTACTATCTATATTGTTCGGTGTCTAGTCTGTTCTGATACCCATGTTTACCAGACTACAGACGTTTAATATCTACGAGTTGATGTTGGCTATGAGTCGATAATATTAATATTATTTCCGATTGTTGCACGTTCCTCCAGTAAAGTCATAATCCCACTGCTATATAACCCAATCCGGATGCCGATTTTGTTAAAATCCATTGAAATAAGAAATAATAATAAAATGATCGGGAGAGCTCCGGATGCTAATTTCTTAAAATCAAATGAAATAAGAAGTAAGAATAATATGATCGGGCTCCCTCCGGAGGTCGATTGTACCAATCCCGCGATTTAATAAAATAATGATATGATGATAAAAATATGATTTTCTGAAGCACCCCCGTTCCATATGTCAAAACCATATCCAACCCCAAATCTACCAACCTCCTTACTCTCGGCGACGATTGACTCTCAATCCACCCCCCTGCAAACACTCAACCTCACCAAACATCTCCAGCACCTCCTTGGAAGTATTGCGACCGGCCAAAGCCATCTCACCCATGGCACCGTCAATTTCCGCATTTTTCTCACTCTGCATGTCTGTCATGTACGTATCAATGGTGTTTTTCATAATGAGCTTTACGATCTGCACTTTGCGCTGCTGCCCAATGCGGAACAGACGGCAAAAAGCTTGTTGTTGCATAGCATCGTTCCACCAGGGCTCAATGAGGATACATTTGTTGGCCATGGTGAGGTCTAGACCAATACCGCCAGCTTTCAAAGATGCGATCATGACCTGCGGCCCAGTTTCTTTGGCAAACTCTTTGATGCTCTCTTTGCGACTGGGAAAGGTCATATCGCCGGTCAACTGCGAAGGAAATCAACTGTCAGCTCAGGCCTTGTGGAAAGCTAATAAAAGAAGAAAGCGATTGGGGAAGGGGCCCATTTACTCTGCAAGACCTCCACTTTTCTTGCTGACACATGAATTCGAAAATGGTGACCATGTCTCGAAATTGCGTGAAAATGACAATCTTGTTCCTTGCTGACGGCACGTCTTCCTTTGTTTCTGTAACCCATTTATGAATAATCCTGCGCGCCGCTGTGACTTTTGTACTAGGCATTTCTCCCCCTGCATTACGAACCCAGTCAATGTCATTATCATTCTCCTTGGCCGTACAGTTGCCCAAGATGATATCTATGGCATGAGATCTCCCTCTAGCTCCTACTGTTTTGAAACTGGAACTGAGGATACCGGGGCTCATAGTATGCGACTCCTCACCAACCACCTCAATATCACAGCCAGCAGGGCACATCACTGGAGCTCCACCTGAATTGTCACTGGAGTTCTCCCGCAGAGCTAAAAGACACTCTTCGCAAATGAGATGCATGCATGGCGTCACCTTGGTCTGAGTCGGAATACCATCGCAGAGCACGCATCTTGATCTTGCGTCATACTCTTCGTGGTTGCCCGCGCTCTTAAGATCGTAAACAAACTTCTGAAACCTTGCGTTTAGTGGTCCATCTAAAGTCGTGGGATGGGTATTGATGCCATTCCCTAGCTGTCTGAGCCCCTGAAGGAGGGATACGGAAAGTCGATCTGGGTCTTCCGGATCGGCATCTTCTGGGACCAGATCGACGAGCTTCTTCATGTTCTTATCTTCACCATTCCTATCCTTTCTCAAAATAAGTTTGAGGATCTCTTGAATGATCAAGGGGTGGCTATTGCACATGCGTAATCTCATTAGCATGGTCAAGAAGCACCGGTTTTGTCCCACTTGCTCCTCCGTGCCCGCCATAGAGTTGAAAGTATCAATGAACTGCGTCGCAACCATGTTGTATAGAGCCTCTTCAATTAAAGAAGGCTCTAGAGTTTCTGTAACTTCAGCGATTTCCGGAAGAATAACGATCGGCCGTGAGAAAAGTCGGGCTTTAAGTGTACGTCGGAAGACCACTGCACGAATGATATTGACTACGCGTTGGTTTGCAATATCACTGCCCTAATATTGAAATCTGTTAGCATTCATACAATAGCATTGTCACTGTATCTTACATCGCAGTAGTTCTTGATGAAATTGGCGAATTTTCCAATATGAGGAACCCCCAAAAAGTTAAAGTATGCCCAAAGCTCGCCGGTGTGACTATTTCGCACTGTTAGATATCCAATCGCCGATAAAAGAACCAAAAAAAAACAATCTTACTTTAGTAGAGGTGTACCACTCAGAACCCATTTGTAATGAGCATGAAGAGCACGAATGGCGATCGAGACCTGCGACTCTGGATTGCGAATCAGGTGGCCCTCATCGAGGATGATGCGCCGGAACCGAATCTGATGGAATGGACCGGCCTTCTTCTTGTATTCTTGTTCAATGAGCAACTGGGCTTGCTTGTCATCCATGGAGTCCGACTTGGCAATTCTAGGGTACGACCGGCGGATCTCATCATAGCTCGCGAGTCTAGTTCAATTAGCAAAGGCGAATGTGACATTAAAATCCTAGGAAAAGACGTACATGACGTTGCTCCGCAAAATTGTATCTACCATATCACTAGCTTCGAATCGACTACCTGCATGACAGTATAGAACTCGCAAAACACCATCTTCGACGTGCGTGGATATTTGTACCTTCCTATTTGTTTAAGCCATTAGCCAATGTCTCCACGGGATATACAGAAAGAAAGAAGAAATGCATTACCAGTGATCTATCAAAGCTCTAGGTACGACAATCAAGGTCGTGTTGGCATTGTCATCCAGTGAAACCCGTTCTCCGTCAACGATATTTGCTTAAAAAAAAAGGGGGTCAGAGTTGCTACCTCAGATATCTTATACGGATGCTCACCCAAGGTTTGAATTGTTTTTCCAAGGCCCATGACATCGCAGAGCATGCCACCACGAGGCATTTCAGGTGACTTTTCACGGGTTCGCTAGAATCGGAATCAGATCTGTTGCCGTGTAAGATTCATAAAGCCTAATGTCACTTACCATATATGCCGCTCCGAGAAGCTGAGCTAGAAGTTAGCTCGCGAGACAACTCATCCTGAAATGATAGGGCTTACCTGATGATGGTAAAGACTTGTCTTCAACGAAGGGTGTTTCCAACCTCCCGCCTTATCACTCCTGATCATCCGTTCGAACTTTCTGGTGGCCTCTAGTATGGCTTGTTTGTCTGGCTTTGCCTCCTCCCGATCAGATGTTGGGATACTAGCGAGCAACTCAGCGAGAGCTTTTGCCTTATTACCCAGCGTAGATGTGGGAATTGGCTGAAGCCCAGCAATTGCCTGGCCGTCTGTAATGATATCTGATCGGAACAGCGTTTCAAAGTCGATTTCATTAGCTTTCGATTTGAGTTTTTCCTTTCGAGAAGCAGTGCCACCCTTAGGATTCAAGGAACGAAAGGCATTCCGAGGCCCAGATCCTTTATGGCTAGAATAGTAACTAGCTGTACCAACCGCGATACTCTCACGGACCTCCGCGTTATTTAGTAGAGGTATGCGGCGAATGCGTTTCGGAGCAGGTGATTGCGAGACAAATAGCTCATTATCATCTGCTACCTCGCGATTCTCGGTGGGTTGGTCATCCCTGCTGGGTTCTGCATCTTGGGAATTGGGTAGGATTTGTGCTTTGCGAAATTCGGCGATTCGTGAGATACTCTCACGAGCACGCTTGCGGGAATCCTCGCTGGCCGGGATGTCGCTTTCCATGGTGTTGTTAGGCTCGGAGGCCATAGGTAGTGGGAGGAAGATCTGGATGTGTATTTTAAGCTTTTGAGTGATGAGAGGGTATGTGAAGAGGGAGTGAGACTGTGCCACCTAGCCCAATAGGTTATTAGAAGGAGCGAAGAACACTTGGTAGTAGGGAGATGAGTAAAGGTTGAGAATCATTTACAAGGGAAGGAAATCCAAGGTCAAGAAATGGGGGTGAAGTACTGTGCAGTGGGAAGAGAGGTGATGCTCGGTAGAATGATATGGGTAAGTGTTAAGAACTCAAGTGGTATTGGAAGAGAAAAGTTGAGATTAGGAGATACGTGAAAACGAGGAAGAGGTGAAGGATGAAAAGCTAAAAGGAGAGATAAATACTCACCAGAAAGAAGATAGTATGTGGCGAGATGTATGAGGAAGGCTGAGACCAAGAGATGTTGTAGGCGAGGGAGGGGGAGAAATAATGGAAGGTCTAAGCAAGGTGAAGAGAGAGATGACTATCAAGTTAACTATACTATTTGCAGAGCAAGCCTGTATGAGATCCGTGACTAGCGTTGATCAGTAGGGATAATTTCCAGTAAGATGTGTCATGGGAAGATATGGATCAAAAATAAAAATTGGATGATATGGATACACATAGGTGATAATAATCTATAACTTGACCCTTGAATAAGAGATGAGAGGCAGAGAAGGAATATCGTCGGAAGGATGATGGGTAAGAGTAAGGATTTGAAGTGAGAATCAAGGCTCATGTATGATGTATCGGAGAAGTCTTTGGGTGAAATTTAGGAAAGCATTAAACATGGAATCGTCTTATATCGCAAAGAATCTATGTGGCAGTGTTCCTCACTGGTGTTGATCAGTAAAAGCGTCCATCACCAGGCCATGCAATCTTCCATTTCTAATAGCCATGTATATCTCACTTGCGAGCGTACCCAGAATCTTCCCAGGTCCTCGCTCACCATTGGTCGCCACGGAGGCAGTAGGGTGATCAATCAATCCCCGGTGAAAGGGGACATTTAGATCCTTCCGAACAAAAGTGTACAGTTTGGCAGATGCTGGGCTCAAATAACTAGCCGTGGTTTGGTTATTGTAAAATTCGTCACGAGTGTGGCCGTATACCGTGTATAGCGTCTTTCCCACGGTTTTCTGATACTGCTCAAGAGTGCGCAGGAAATCTGAGATAAATGAGGTATCCTTCACGTCGTGGTCGTGGATGAATGAATGAACTAAATCTCCCAATGACTCCTTGGCGGTGACTGTTCCACGATCTTCTAGGTCCAAATGTGACAGGCTCTCCCATTTGTCCAGCAACCCCTTCCAGCACCGTTCGGCAAAATCGTCAAAAAGCTTGTCCGCAACGAGTTGGCCAAATTGGTCCTGGAGAAGTTGACGAATGGCTGGTTTGCCAGTTTTGACAAATTCGAAATGCAGGCATCGCAGATCAAGCGCCTGGCAAAGGAGATAGATGTACGTGGCGGACATGAGTGAGACCAATTCGACTGCCTCAAGGGCGTAGCGGGCAGTGAGTAAAGCGAGAGAGTTGACAGACTGATTGTGCATCTCAGCAGACTGCACGTGAGAGCTCACTGGGTGAGCCAGATAGGCTAGTTCGGACATGTAGGCGGCCATATTGACATCAAAACCCTTTGCGGTGAAAGAAAGACTCGGATCGTCACTAGAAAGGTTCGGAGGTAGTCCCTTGTTGAGTTTATTGTGAACGAGCTCGGAACTCTGAGCAAATATCAACTTTCCGAGCATCTGCATCGCCGACATGGTCTTCTCCATGGCAGAGGTGATGCAGACGGCCTGAAAGTTGCCACCATGGTGAATTGCCCCAGTTTGTACATCTAGTAAGGGGTTGTCGGTGGTGGAGTTTACTTCGGCTTGAACTTGGCGATGTGCAAGATCAAGGTCCTCGAGCTGAGGTCCAATCCATTGCGGTGCAGTTCTCAGCGCATAGCGATCTTGAGCAAGACCGATGGTTTCGGGGTTCTTGTCTGGTGCCAGTCTTGACCCAGAAAGCAGAAGACTAATGTTAGCTGCAGCCTCAGTCTGCCCCTGATGTGGCCGTGCAGCCGAGATAAACGGATGAAAATTGTGTGCAGTGCCTAGCAAAGCTTCAGTTCCCATGGCAGTGAGCAGCTGAGTCATAAGTGCAAGCTGTTGGGCCTGGTAGATTGCTACGCAGCCGGCCGCGCAGCTAGGTGAGGTTCCATTGGTGATACCGAGGCCTTCTTTTGCGTGCAACGTGATGGGCTGGATTCCAGCACGTTGAAGAGCCTTGTCTGCGGAAAGATAAGTAGAACAGTGTTCATCCCCGATGCGAACAAAAACATCAGGATTACCTTCGAGCATACCAGCAATGTAAGAGAGTGTTGAGAGATCCCCAGACGCAGAGATGCTACCACGCAGCGGCACAACTGGAGTCATGCCTTTCTCCAACAGGGTAAGAATGTTTTTGATTAGAGTCAGACGCACTCCGGAGTGCCCTCGAATAAGAGAATTGCAACGGATAATCATCATACCTTTGACAATGGGAACTGGCAAGGCGTGTGATCGAAGGCCCTCCGCCTGGAGAGCAGTGTCGGATTGCTGCCCCTTGTCAGAGGGAAGAAGGATGCCAACATTGAGATGCTGCTGCAGAGCGACCTGGAGACTCTCGACTTTATCAGTACGAGTGTCGGCGCTGCCGCCAAAGCCCGTGGTCACGCCATATACAGTACGGCCACTCCTCAGCTCAGAATCAAGGAAATCGACACTCTGCTGAACGCGATTGAGAATAGCGGGGTCGTCTGTTACCGCCACATGCTTGCCATATCTGGGAGAAGAGTTAGCATAGGGTTTTGTATAGATTTATGATGCTTACAATGCAGCTGCCACAACTCCTGCAATAGTTAGACTATGGCCGTCAATAACTATAGGCTTATCAGAGCTGAGGAAGGCTTGCAGCTCTGTCCATTCAGAATGGGCTTGCATGTAGTGCGAGGATGACGTTCTCATGATAGATCATGCAATATGGTGTACTGTGTAAAAAAAAAAAAACGATCAGTGTTCAGCGGGAAGCAGCATTTAAAGGAGGAGGAGGAAGGACGAAGAAGGGTAGCGAATAAAGAGGGCGTACATCTTATAGGGCCTGATATGGCACGTGGGTGGTGTCAATAAGCTCAGCAACAGTGTACAATATATGCCTAGCGACTGCCCAAAGAGGAAGGCCCGACAATTGAGGAACAAAGAGATGGTTGACCGTTTGCAGGAGAGATCGAGACAATGACGTGGACTAGATAAGCAGATCGGAGAAGGATTGTGGATAGAAGGGAAATAAAACCAAAATATGAACCAAAACAACCGAATTGAGCTGGCCAAGAATGAGAATCGACTCTATATAAGTATAAATGCAGACAGTTTATCGCTAACAGAGTCCATGTGTCACAATAAGATCAAAGAGTGAAGCTAAAAACAGCCGTTTTTTCTTTCTTTTAATATTATGTTGATTGATTATTATTGGACGCGAGATGACGAACCCTGAAATGCCAAAGTTTGTTTTGGGCCCAGCCAAGCCAATGTCAGCACTGGGAGACGCGCTAAGTGGCTGCTTTGTCTCCGATTTTGTCCCGGCTGTTCCATGCGCTATACAGTAGGCTGAGTGGACAATGCTATCTTACAAATTGAAGCCAGCTCGATGAGGGCATCTCCATTGTTTGAACGCCCTCCCTTGCTGGCTCGCGATTTAACTCGTTCCCGTTCGCGATCTTTCTCCTTTGTTCCGAACATTTGAACGATCTAGACAAAGATTCCCGGACGACTTCGAGTCCGTCGCTCGGCTGTTGCACAATGGGCATTTTCATTTAACCGTGTACGTAACCGGCAATCTAAAAACGACTCTGCAGATGCTAAGGACCTGCAGATCGAACGTCGATCGCTATCAAAATGGCAGATCCTATTACAAGGTTACATGCTTGGCAGACCGGGGGTGTGAGTTTCACCACCAAGATGCCTCCTAGATACGAAATGGTCACGTAGATCGATGTCACTACAATACAAATAGAACCCCCGAGATCCGTTAGTGTATACGAGATCCGTGGAGGATTCGATATATACAGAAGGTGCTTCAATTGGTAGTGGGTACTGTACACGTATCTACATTTGCTGGTGACGAGCTAGACGCACAGGTGGTTGATACAAGGATGGTTGATACGGGGGATTCAACGGCTCTGCAAGTCTAGGGAGCTATGGTTATTTGTCCTAGTGTAGACGAAGAATAGCGAGTAGCACGCCTACCACAGCCGCTCCGACTGCGGCACTCTGAACAGCTACCGCAGTCAACTCGCGCTGAGTCAGGTTGGCGCTGTGATCGCTCAAACGAAACTCTGTAACCTGGCGCCAATACCCAAGCGACAAGACTGTGGCCAGCTTTTCTGAGAAGGTCTTGTTGTCTGGTATGGGTTCAGGATATAATATGGTAGGACTGGCATCAATTGGATCCGAGACAAGCCCTAGGTGAGAGGTCTCTTCATGGGGTAGAGGAACGGTGTTGCTACCAGAATCAGAATCCTGTGGAGATGAGGCTGCTAGCGATGCTTCAACCACAGTAGTCTCCGCAGCAGTAGCAGTACCAGGGGTCAGGCTTAATGCGGATACAATAGCCCGATTTTGCACCGCCTCGGTTTCAATGGCCTCTTTGACCTTTTCTTCAAACCCTTTCACCAACCGTCGTCGGCGCCACGGTTCTACCAAGATCTGGAAGATCAGAAATAGAAGCACATTCACCCCCATCAAGCCCCACGTCCCCCATGTGCTCATTCTGCGGATCTTATCAGACCATATTTGCTCCTCGTGGTAGCGCGAGAGAATACTGCGGTTGAGGTTTGCGCTGACCTCCTCGACCTCGCGCTCTGCCTTGGCGAGGGCCTCTTGGGCTTCGGCTTCCGCGACTTCATTGGCATGATCGGAGCGATATAGTGATGTGAACCGCTCGAGATCTGTAGGTGACCAGGCGTGCTTTCGTTGGAGGAGCTCATTTACTTCGCGTTGAGAGGCGGATCGTCGATTAATCGCGGCAGAGTATGCCTCTTTGGCTTGTCGGATGAGCGACCGGGCTTGCACAACCTGGCTTTCTATCGTAGAGTAAGATGGTCAATTATCTTCCATAATAGCAGGGACAATTCGTTCTGGAAACTATACCCTGAAGAGCAATTTGTTGTTTCAATTGTTCTATAGCCGAGTAACCAGTCAGGTCATTCAATCGTTGACCGGCAGTGAAGACATTCGACTGCAGATTGTCCATTAGATCTGTAAACTTCTTGGACAACTGTGACCGCCGGCCTTCCGTCTCGGAGGGAAGACTTTCTTCTTCATAATTTATGCTATCGGTCGAACTTGTCGAGCTCTTTTCAAGCACTGGGCGTGGACTGTGTTCCTTATTGGCAGCACCAACAACGGAGGACGGAGAGTTCATGTCGATATCGCTCGAAGAGGCAGTCCCTTCTTCCCGCAGCTTGCCTTCGACCAACTCGGGTTTTCCATCTTCTTTGGTAGCATACAGTCTCGATTGACTGCGAAATTGACAGCGAAGGCAGATCGAGAAGCTTCGTGCGGGGGAATGCGAAGGCTGGTTCGGAGAAGGGGGGGGAGGCAGGGCGAATCGTAGACGCCGAGGGCTGGGTCTCACCAGAGCAGGACTTGCTCGCAGCGACTGCCGGATTAGCAATGGCGCCGAATGCATTGCTCGCGAGACCCTACAGCTAGCAAGGGAAATAATGAAGCTGGATTGTTGTTGGAGAGCCTTGGCCGGCTCTGGCAGACACGATAATTCTATTGATTGCTGTTCCGATGTGGACCCAGATACACTCATGTGATTGGACGGCGCACTATCTCTCTTTATTCTGCCCTGCTTGCTGTGATTTATATATCTGTATTATTGATAAATGGATATCTTTAAATGCTTTCTTAAATAAAATATACAAACAAACGTAGTCATTAAGCCCTAACATGATATATAGGTTGCACGTGGAAGGATAATGCAAATAAGGTAACCAGTATACAGTAGAACCTTATGGTTCCATATTTCCCAATTCCAGTACGATCCTATCCGCCCAACAGCACCTGCCACATTCTTGCCACAAACGCTCTTCTTATTCTTGCGTCTGCACTTTATGGTCTCCCTTGACAGCTTCAGCATATGTAGGAGGGTGGTTATCACCGGATGGCCCATTGCTGCTACTTCCTTGGTTCCCGCCATCTACGGGCCTGGTACTGGATGGGACCTGGGGAGGCGTAGAGGTATTGGTAGCACCGTAGCTCCTGTTCGGCTGAGAGGGAGCAGTCGGTTGGCGACTGACATAGTAATAGGTCACGCGACGCGCGCCCTCAACATCTCCGCCGGACCCGTCCAGCGGCTCGTATCCGTCGACGTAGTCCTCGGCGTCTGGATATTTCAGGATGATGTACCAGGCGTGCAGCAGGCCCGGGAGGTAGCCCAGACAGCAGAGAGCGATGTTGATGATCGAGTCGGCGGAACACAGACCGATCTTGATCCACACTGTAGGCCAGATGGGTTAGCATGGGTTGCAGAGCGGTGCAGGGTCATGTTATGGACATACCGGCAATCGGGGGGAAGAAAACAGCCAGGATGGCCAGGAAAACGTCGGCGCTGCACATGTCGAGATTTCGAGCTATGCTACCGGCTGCCAGGAATTATAAATGTCGAAGTGTGTGTCGATGAGAGGTTGAGGAAGGCTGGAGGAGAAGTCGACAGGCGATTGACTGCAGCCTGGTGAGCCTGGAATGACGTCGGGCGCCGTGCCAAGCGGGCGCCACAACGGACCAACCAGCTGTCGTGCTTCTACGAGTATCATGCAGCATCACTTGGATTCGCCCTCAGTTGATAAAGCTCTTTGATCGATTTGAGTCTTTATGATATGCAACGTAACTGGTATATACATTCAATATATGGGGAGGTATGGGCACGCCAGAAGTAGGGCCTATATGATCTGCGGCGTGACTGGCGCCTCAGGCACCGATCACGTGGTACATTTGCTGACTCGATGCCTTCTATTGAGCTCTTTCCTTCTCGATCAAACCTACATCCCAGACGCGATGATGGCCTTCGAAAGTCTTGGAACTTCGCGAGCTGAGCCCAATCAGTATTGGATCTTGGTTCGGTGTCTCGGGAGATCGGCTGTCGCATCGCAGTTTCAATCACATCCACCACTACGACGGGACAGTCCTTGAGGTATGATGGGTGGAAAAAGACTTCTTAGGACCATAAGTCAAAAATTAACCCGCTACACCCCACCGGAAATTATACATTCATCAGGACTGTCTCAACGAGGGTGGATGACGACACTCCGTGTTCGTTTCTTGGTTAGCGAACCTTCAAGGGCCAAGATTTAATAAACAATGAAACACCGATAACCCGCCAGCCTCCCACTAGCAAAGACCGCACGCGATAATCAAACTTGGCGGATCATGAAGGTAATGGAGTGGCACCGAGGGGATCGTATAATTTCGAGATGAGAGGAGGAATATCCTGAACAAGCCGCCGTTGCGCCTGATACGCTGGCTTGAACTTGGGTATATATTCATAGGGAATGTACCGTAGTATCTAAGACATGACAAACCTTGTCCTATCAACATCTGGGGGTTTGCGGTTTTCAATTTTGTCTCTCCTTCACCATGAGATCTTTCCAAATAGTCGTGGCGGCGGCGCTACTAGCTATGCTGAAGCATTTGGTGGACGCCGCGCCTGCCAATGGCGTTGATAAGCGCGCTATATCCTCTATCGTCAGCGGCTCCACTATAGGCTTTGCATCTGGCGCTACAGGTGGCGGTAGCGCTGCTACTGTATATCCCACCACTATTGCGGAACTGAAGGAATACCTCACTTCGAGCGAGCCGCAGAATATTGTGATCTCAGGCACATTTGATTTTGTGGGGTCTGAAGGCACATCAACTTACTCGGCCTGCAACGTTTATGCCTGTACACCCTCGTCAGGTGGGCAGGCGCTGCTTAACACGCTCGGGGGCTGCGGTTCCTTGTCAACCTATAGCGTAAAACTTGATACAGCGGCAATAACTGGTATCCCTGTCAAGTCGGACAAGACGCTTGTCGGTAGGGACAATGCGGTCCTGAACGGCAAAGGGCTGCGATTTGCTGGTGTGTCCAACATCATCATCCAGAATATCGAGATTACAAACCTGAATCCGGAATATGTCTGGGGTGGTGATGCTTTCGTCTTTAGTGACACCAGTAACATATGGATCGATCATGTGACGGTAAGCATATTTAACGCTGTATACATCGTTTACGACTATGAATGGCAAAATTGACCTGTCTTTTTCCTATTCTAGACCTCGAGCCTCGGCAGACAACACTACAGCTTCGGCCAGAGCGCCAGTGATGGAATCACTATCTCCAATAGCTTCATTAATGGCAAGACAGGCCACTCCGCCTCCTGTGACGGCCACACGTACTGGGGTCTGGAGTTAGTTGGGTCTAGTGATCAGATCACTTTCTACAGTATGGCTCAAATTAACTATTTTCATGGATAACACAACTAACCGACTGACCTCCCCTATCTTGAATAGAAAACCACGTCTATTACACCTCGGGCCGCAGCCCCGCTCTATCCGGTAACACGCTCTTCCACGCTGTGAACAACGTGTGGTCCTCCAACTCCGGACACCTGATTGAAGGTACCTCGAATGGGATGGGTGTCTACGAAGGCAACTACTTTGACGATGCCCCGACTATAGTGGCCTCTGGCTTCGTGGGCCGCCTATTCGGCTCCGAATCAGCCGACTTATCTCAGTGTACATCATACCTCGGCCGCAACTGCGTCGCCAACAGCTTCTATGACTCCGGCTCCTTTAACTACGACCACACTGACTTCCTTTATCTTTTCGAGGGCAAGACGGATATTGTTTCGGCCGCCTCGGCTTCGTCAATACAGAGATCCGTCGTTTCATCAGCGGGAAACACGTTGTGATATGCCCGGCTCTTTTGATTTGTGCATTTCTTCTCTTTGGGATGGGTTCCCCCCTTTTTATTAACATGTATTTTGTGGCGGTGCAGATGATGCCTGCTTCAAGCACGTGCATATGTAGACTATGGAGTTAGGGTTAAAAGTTGCCATGACATGCTATTAACCGTCCAGTTATTTAATGGACCCAAACCGGTCCTAATATCAAACCAGTTTGAAAATTCAATATTTGAATTCTTCTATATTCTTCCTACTACCCATCTTACGTCATATAACTGAAAGGTGTTAGCCAATGAGAGTTAGTGTGTGGTGTTTCAGATGTTCGCTGGACAACAGACACTGACAACACTTAAACCTATTAATTTATAGGATTGTGGAGACCAAGATAGCACTTGAGTGCTTTATATTATTGCATACATTGCTTCTAGAACGGAGTTTAATATTGATCAATTGACGACTCGAAAGTCAATTTTATGTTTGCACTGTTTGCATCCTTCCAGATGTACTATACCCCCGTCACGTGTTGAGTGAACGTAAGCTCTTTTCTTGCAAACAATCGATTCGCCAGTAAAATATTCGAGGAAAGGTGAAGAATCAACAGAGAAATTCCTTTTATATGTGATCTGAGTCGTTCAAATCGTGGGATCAACATATGTAGAGCTCTTGTAGTTCTCGTACTGGCATACACAGAATACATCGTTGGACCGTGGTAGATTCACCATGCCGTATCAAAGAAATTCTCTACGAACTCGCCACAGAGGTGCTTGCACTAACTGTCGGCAGATGAAGGTATACTTGTTCAAATCATTCCACCCGTCTTCACGATGCCTTCTCTGCCAGCTAACTTTCAACCAGCTCAGATGCGACGGGCTTGAGCGGCTGCCGGCGCCATGCTCTCGATGTGAGTCGTCTCAGAAGAATTGTGTGATAGATCGGAGCTTTCGACGCGTAGCTCGTAAAGAGTAGGTGCGCCTTGGAAATTTATCCCAGCGTCTAAGCGACTGACTGCGAGGTAATTGAACTAAACAGCCGGCTTGATGAGCTTGAAAAGGACCTTCGTGAATTACGAGCAGGATTTCAAAAACCTGTCAATCTCAACAATCAAATTTCTTCTTCCGGAAACATTGAGTCAGCTTCATCTACCGATGATCAGATCCCAGTGCCGCCAATTGACCCCAGTGAGAGGATTGACTTGTCAGACTCCGACGCTCTCGTATCTCAATATCAGTCTAGCATACATCCTTTCCGTCTAGAGGGCACAGAACTGCATCCTGAAGACATCATCAAGCATGTCATTTTGTTTTATCGGCATTATCATGAAAATTTTCCGATACTTCCGGACATCCACTTTCTCCTTCAGAATCTCCAAACCAGCCCGTTGTTGGTCTGGGCGATTGTGTCGATCACATCTACTCGACTGCCAGCCCAGGATTCTTTAAGAGTGAAACTTATTGACCCCATGAAACGGTTGGCTGGTATCTCCATCATGGGAGGCGAACCTCCGTCAGTCTTCCTGGTTCAAGCATTACTGTTGCTTTGTAATTGGCCAATGCCCTTTAAAGCAACAATCACTGATCCATCTTGGACATATTGTGGAGCAGCAGTGAACATCGCTCTACGAATAGGTCTTCATCAACCGGCGTTCCACTTCGACTTTATATATGGATCCAGGAGTGATGAAGACGCCGTTGCTTTGCGGACCAGAACATGGATTGCCTGCTTCATCATGCAAAACCGAGTTAGTCTTGCGCTTGGCCTTCCCGCAATGACTAAAATTGATTACACCATTCTTCAGAACCTGAAAAGCCATTCCCCTGGAGTTTCAAAATCTCTTCGTAGTATGCTATTTCTTACCTACAAGATCCATAATTTTTCCAACCAGCTGGGCCAATGCGAATTTACCAAATATGGATTACTACCGAATCCGCTTTCCCTAATCCAAGCATTCGAAAAAGACTTGGATTTATTTCAAACAAGATTGGAGTCTAAACGTGAAGAAATCGCAGTTCTTACTGCAAAGCTTCATCTTTATTCCTATATTCTAAACCCGTCCCCGCAACACCAAGAATCAATCGAGTCTGCAGCCCCCATTGAAGGGCATTACATAACATACTACATTGGACAAGCCTACTACTGTGCATCGAGAATTATCAATCTCAGTTGTGACGTGTTTGCGGAGGATCCTGGGATCGAGACATTTGAAGGAGTGCGGGAAAAGCGTCAGTGGACGCAGACCCAGACACTTGACCTCATGTACGCGATGACAGTTTTGATCTGGATAGTCAAACTTTCAGAGACTGGTCAAAATATAGATGCAGCGGACGCCATCATCAGATGTGGAAGGAATGTCTTCAAACAACTTGTGACCATGGATGATGATCACTATTCACGGCTTTGCGACCTTGTCGATTACATTACATCTATGGATTCTGACACACTGCAAAAGAGTAGAAATAGCCTGAAGCGAATCTTCGTTCGATCTAGAATGAGCGCAAATATTATCTGGAATGTTGTCTACGCTGCAAAGAAGAGGTTTTCGGAGCGAAAAACGCAGACACCAAGAGACGACGAGCTAAATTCAGTCGATATGGCGTTATTATCAGTTGATACTTTGGCCCTGAACGATATTGATGCGAATACATATATTTGTGACCTTGGCAACTTTGATCTGACGTGGACTGATTGGGATGCCCTTTTACCTACGAGTAGCACTAATAACTTCTAAATCCAGTACCTGAAATCAGGGTGGGCATCACACAACTCCTCAAGACTTTTCAGCCGCTGCTGCTGGGCTTCCATAGAAGATGCTAGTTGATCCTTCTTGTCATTCTCTCTCTTGAGGTATAGCATGAATATTGGAGTCAATAATGCTGTTAATGCCATTCCGGCGAAACTCAATCCTTTGCCTTGGTAATAGTGTGGAGGATCGTTGAATATCTCAGCGGTCATGAGAGCAAAGCTTTGTCCAAATACCATCAGAAGTGCGAGCGCACCAGCCCTGAGGAAAAAAAGTTAGTTGCTATGACTCGAAGACACGAATTATATTGGCTGGAGTTGAAAAGTTACCTTTTTGTGTAGCCAATGACATTGGAGTTTTGCCAGGATTGGATCAAAACAACTGTTGGATAAGTGCCTGCTCCGACCAGAAATGTCCCAGCATATGAAAGCTCTGTCGATTTGCTCAGAATGAGTATAATCCATCCAACTGCTGCAGTCGCAAAACATAGAATTACGAGAATTCCTCTCCTCTTCATTCGGTCCGAAGTGAAGCCGATAAACAACGTCGACACCCCAGCACAAATGAAAACAGGTACTGTGAAAAGCTGTGTTTTTAGTGAATCATACCCAAACGATTTAATGATTAATGGTAAGAAGCTACTAAAAGCCGTGAGACTGATGTTCATCATACAATATGCGAATGCTTGAAAAGTGCATGTCAGCCATCTTCCATTACCCAGAAGGGTATATACGTACTATAAAACCAAACCTTGGGGTCTTTTAAAACAAGCAGTAAATGGTTAGCCGACAATCTTGAATAAGGCACATTGAACGCCTGTCGCGATCTCCGAATCGCAATCTCCTTTTCCTTCTCAGAGAAAAACCATCGTATCTTCTCTGGCACAGGAGGCAGAATCACCCTAACCACAAATGCCATCCCAACAGTGAGGACTCCTTAACAATTGTTAGCAAAGCAAACAAAACGAGGCAAATGTGTTCGATGTACCTTCGATCAAGAATATCCATCTCCAGCTTCCCCATCCGTGAACGTCACCCATGTTCTTTTCGATGCCATATGCTATCAACCCATTCATAAATCCTGCAATCGCCATCATTGCCATGATGATTGATCCACGGCTGGCGAGCTCTTCTCTTTTGTACCAAAATGTCAGGTACAGAGGACCTGCTTGGAGAAATGCTTCTGCGCCGCCAATGAAGACTCTGACAACAGCAATGTATTGCCAGTCTATGGCTTTACACAGGCTTTTTATAGTCAGTATTGACAAGTGACCGATTTGCGCAATGCCAGGGGTGACTCTTACATGGTAGTCATTGTACCCCATACAATCATAGCTAAACCAAGTTGATTTTGAGGTTGGATCTGTCGAATAAACAACAGACCAGGAACCTGGAAAACAATGTATCCAATAAAGAAAAATGCAACACAGTTGCTCAGCTGTTGTGATGTTATGGTAAGCTGCTCTGACATGCCAGCAACCGCAGCATTGCTCACATCGGCGCGGTCCTGTTCACAAAGCATGATGTTAAAACTAACTTGCGAGCCAGAAGAACAACGCTCATTGATACACCTACCAACGAAGCAAGGAAATACATAAGAGAAATCATTGGTAAGGCGAGTAAATCAACCTTCCGGACCAGACATCGTTCAAATTTCGCTTCCTCTGGAGTTAAGGAAACATACTCGTGTGCAGCAAGACCACTAGCTTTTACGGTTTCGAGCTCCTGAATCGCTGTGGCATCCTTTTCGTGAGAGGTATTTGCCTCTTGATCCATTGCCATGTCAAGCACTCGAGTAAAGATGAATAGAAAAGTAGTTAAAAATTGATGGATACTCCAGAAATTGGTTTAAGGGAAAGCTCTCAAATATAGACACTTACCAACCTACTTAAATATGTTTTTAAAACCCCGGGGTCCCCATAAAACTGGGGTTTAGATCGTGATGAGCGGAGACTTGAGTTCAACTCCTTGGTCGCTTCAATAAGCGATGTTATTCCGATAGGCCCATAGATCCCACCACTTTCGGCATTCTAGGATAGAGTTGACACTTTGGGTACAATAGCCATCGTTCCACCAAGTAGTATGCGAGATGAGTTATTTACTGATCAATTTCACGTGTATTTGTGTAGCATGGTTGCCAGAAAGTAGCCTACTACGAATTTCTAAGGGCTTTGATCGATTGGTAGGCCTCCATTGGAGACTTTAGACCGGAATTGCCCGGGAACCAGATATGGAAAACATTAACAGCTAGATCTGGTCCTTTACCTGAAAGGAACTACGATCAGGCCGTATTAACTGCGCTTAATGCGAATTCATTGTGAATATCTTTGGTGTGTCATATTTATTATCAGTAACTTAGAGGATTGCCATTGCATTACTTGGACTAGCTACTCCCCCAGAAATGTTAAGAGGTTGACTAGTTAGGAAAAATGACCATCTTCCGAGTCTTTTGCACTCAGCCGCTAGATTTTCGAGATCCCATAATTCACCGATAGGCATACCCCATCCAGCCAAGAAGATTTCATGCAATGAGTAACCCAAATCTGATTTTGTATCTGGGAACCAGGCTTCATAAGCGTTTGTATCCGATGCCACAGCTGCAAACCCATTTTCCCAATGCCATTTTGCCATCTCCAGAGTATTCTCAACGCCAACGAAAGTACGTGTCTCTCTCCCACCCAATTCTTTTCTCTCTGCCTCATTTCTTTTAAGGTAATCCTCGGTCCAACCGAATCGGATCAGCAGAATATCGCCTACTTGGAATTGAACATTTTGGGATTTAGCACATTGAAGAAGTTCACTGACGGTCACTCGATGGTTAGTGAAAGCGTCGTACTCTTTCCCGTTGGAAGCGGCCCACGAACGGTAGTCGAGTAGTACTCCTCGACCAGCAATAGCTCGTCGTGAGAGGTCTATGAAATACCTTCAGGTCAAAGAATCAACGAAAATCCAATGATATCACACTTACTATGAATACCAAGACGATCACTAGATCGAGCTCCCCTAATTTCGCCCTGTGTCATGCCGTTGTAGAATAATCGCTCTGTCTGATATCCCACGTGCCTGAGTCCATCCCAATGGGTAGAGCTTTGTGTATTAATATCCAATTCATCATCATTAGAACGTGGCTTAATGTTGAACTTATGATGGCAGGGTTTTCGCTCTGCATTCATAGGAACGCTTGGTATATCGAGCGGTAGACTGAAACAGTTAATAAGTTCTACTCGAGATGGATTGTAGAACGGGTTGTACTTGAGACTAATGCTAATACCTTGCTGAATCTCAGTTCTCGCTCTGACGACACAATCACTGTTCAGAATGTTTAGAGTCCCAAGTTCGTCATCATTGCCGTACAAGCCCCAAGCGGAGTAGGGAGGATCCAAAGAACGCAATGGGAGTTGAGCAAAGGAGGGTCGGTCAGGCATGTTTTGCTCTGCTGTCTCATCGTATACGCAACAAAAATCTGTAGGGATTGTAAACTAGCAGAAAATGATATATTCATAAGGGCATATATCAAATTTTGGAAATATAGTTTCAGGTTGAATCTGGCAAGGGTAAGCCGCCTGTGACCGCTACGCTAAGCGTGATCGCTCCGACAAGCGATTCAATGCCGATGATTAGCGATTCGGCTCAACCAAGGGTAGAAAGGGTTCAAGCTTAGAAAATTATGCTATTTAAAAGACAACTTTGTCTAAAAGGTGGTATTATTTGCCGCATAACTCGATCTTTGAAAGCTATCTTCTATATCTATCGCAACCATGTCTCCGCAACTTAAAATATTAACCCCAATTGGTATGCTCGGATATTCATACAACAAAGAAACATTTTGGGCCGCCGTTGAAGCTGGGGTGGATGCAATTATTCTCGACAGCGGCTCAACTGACAGTGGTCCATCCAAGCTTGCATTGCGGAAAAGCATTCAAACAAACGAAGCCTATAAGAAAGATTTGGAAGATATTGTTGCCGCATGCCATTATCATAGGACCCCAGTGTTGATTGGTGAGAAATCCCAGAAATTTGAAGTTGCAGAATCTAACTTCTTTAAAGGATCAGCTGGTGGTGATGGAAGTACTCGAGGCGTGAATCAAATCGGCGACATAATTCAATCCGTCATTGAACGTGGGGGTTACAGATCAATGAAAGTTATCAAGATACTAGCTGAAATTGAGAAGGATGTTATACGGGAGAAGCACCGACGTGGAATGATTCGCCCATGCGGCATTTCTGTACCTGATCTTGTCGAGGAAGACATCAATGAAGCCAGAACCATTGTTGCTCAGATGGGCGTCGAACCTTGGATAAAGGCTATGAATGACCACCCGGATTTCGACATCATGATTGGAGGAAGATCCTATGATCCATCTCCATATGCTGCATTCTGTGCATGGAAAGGCTTTCCTGATCTTGGAATAAGTTACCACATGGGTAAAATCATGGAGTGCGGCGGTCTTTGCACATCTCCGAAATCTCGAGAAGCTCTTGCGACAGTTCGACACGATTACTTTGATATCACGCCGTTGGACCCCGAGTCTGTCTGCACTAGTACCTCCGTTGCTGCCCATACCCTATACGAGAAAACTCGACCAGACGTCCTTGTAGGACCTGGGGGAACCCTCGACCTTCATTCGACAACATATGAAGAGCTGGAGGACGGGAGAAGTGTTCGCGTCAGAGGTGCCAAGTTTATCCCGGTGAAAGACAACGAGTATACTATCAAACTGGAGGCGGGCAAACTTGACGGCTTCTTCAGCATTTTCATGGGAGGTTTTCGAGATGCGGTGCTTATATCTCAAATTGACAAGTTCCTAGAAGCAATGAAAACATATGTTGCGCAGAAAATTGATTTTCCTTTTGATATCAACGTTCAACTGTTTGGCCGAGATGCGGTAATGGGTGCTTTGGAGCCAAATTCTGGCCAGACAGGCCATGAACTTGGGATTCTTTTGCGAGCACGCGCAGAAACTCAAGACCAAGCGACACATGTATGTCAATCTGCTCGGGTCTACTGCATGCATGCCCCATATCCCGGTCAAAGAGCAAGTGCTGGCAACTTCGCCATGCCTTGCGCGCCTCTTGATATTCCAATGGGACCCGTGTCGGAGTTTTGCATGTATCATCTTATGACAGTCTCCGATCCGTGTGAAAATTTCCCTATCACTGCCATTGTCATGGAAGGCTCCAATACAGCGCCCCAACGTGACTCTAGCGGGGTTGACGTTCAGGTGGTAGTCAACCGTCATGCAACTGCAACAAATGGAGGGATTCAGACGAAAAGCGCCAAATCAACAGTCACCACAAGTGTTCTTGGAAGAGAGCCTCCAACAGGCCACAAATTTCTTGCTGACTTGGCCAGTGTTGTGCGAAGTAAGAACTCAGGCCCCTACGAACTTACGTTTGATGTAATGTTCTCGACTGAGCAGAGCCGTGACATTGTCAAAAATGCAAAAATTTTGACTGCTGAGAAAATTTCTACGTTATATAATGTGCCCGTGAGCGACGTTATAGCATGTCTATGGTGGGATCCTGCTATCGCCTTCAAAGCCACAATCAAAAGGTCAATTGTGAGCGGGTCATTCCATGATAGCGATGCTCACGGAAGTGCTCAACATATGCCGTTCATGGAATTGCCAATACCAGTTGGAAACATAGCAATATAATCCATTAAAAATCAGGTAATCAGCGAGCCGGAATCTCAACTGCAGAGGAAGTTGTTGAAGTATTGTGATCGTTCAATCCCGCTATACTCCTTTGTCTCTGTTAATGTAGTGTCGTGGCTATTAAGGGCCAAATGAATTACCACTATCCAATGTTAGTCCTGACCAAAAAGCCGGTTGACATGTAGTAAACCGTGACGCGTTGGGGAGGCTAGATAAACGTATTGACCACTTGCAGTGCAGAGCTCTATCCACCGCCTTAGGCAATCCAGCGCTCTGCCCATGATTTACGTATCCACTCTCTGTCCTTTCTCTTCTATACATTTGGCTCGACTCTGTTTTTAATTCTTTGCATTTTCTATAGGCGAGCTCCCGGGAAGGTTCTCCAAAAATTCCCAGTATAGACTGAAGCTATGATAAATATATACGAATACCCCTATATAGAATGCAAAACGTAATAATAACCGGTTATATGCACTTTCACTCTTTTATTCCCGTTGAAAATGGTTGTGTTTCGATGTCGATAAGAGTATGTGGCAAAATATTTACACATCTGCACCATCCTCAGTCTCCCATCACCGTGTCAAAGTTTCGTATATCTTCCTCATGGGCTAAACAGGTATGTCTTTTTTCATATTAGTGATACCAAGCAGTGCTTCACGCTCTTCTTGGTTCGTAAAGTACTCGCCGTATAAAATAATTGCAACAACGACGTTAACCTGCGCAAGCTGTATTCGTCGATGACACGGTGCAATTCCGCATATGTTTAAACCGGTAGACCGAACCTGTGCCTCTACCCTTCAGTGCGTAGCACAGTTTGCAAGCCTGGAGGGGTTCAGGGTCAGAAAAATATACAATTTCAATGGATCACTAAACTTACTCAAGGTTCTGGTTTTCCCCTGACAATATCAACTGGGCTAATTGAAAGTGTTCAATAGCTGTACCACACCGTCGGAAATATTCGTCTATTCGTTCTCTCTCCTTTGAGATCTAGGATCCGCTCCAGCTCCCCGGAAGAATCGCGGAGTAGCTGCTCTTCTTGGACTTTGAGCTGGGCTTTAAGTAAACATTTTTAGTCAAATAATAGGAAGACACTGTCTCTGTGTGTCTGCAATCAAGCTAGTACTCTCTCCATTTTTCTGGTGACTTCTGACCCCAGAGCCATGTGGCAACCTGGCAAGCAAACATGATCATATTGTCTCCTATTGAAGCGTATCGCTAGCGATCAGTGGCAAAGCATAGTATATTTCTTGTCCGGCAATGATCCAATAGCTTGCATTGGCAATAGAACAATCAAAGGGAGATGTGCTCACGAAGTCAATGATTGTGTGCGTGATACTCAAGAAGTTGACGCGTTTATAGAGATAGCTTTCGGGGTCAATTTGACCCTTGTTCGTGTCTTCTTCCATTGTGTACTGGGTCCTGGATCTTCGGAAATTCAATTAAATCAGGAATGCCCTTGAGGATGTATTCAAGTACACTAGATTTCTTTAATAGGGAGCAGCTATCCACAATAGACAATACCGTGTGACGTTTATTCTGTGGAAGACGATAAAGGTGGCGTGATGAAACCGTACACACGGTATTTAGAAGAGTCGCGCCTGACGAAGAACTACTGGTTGAAAATGTTGTTGCTCATCGCAGTGGTCGAACTATCCCAAGCTTTTTTTAAGACCACACGAGAGAAGCAAGATTTGGTACCCAGAGTGACAACTCTTGGATCAAGTACCGAAGCAGGCAGGATTCTTGAATACAGTCAATTGCAGGAATTGTAAAGTCATGGCTGGGAGGGGGGATGGTATTATGATTTCCGTTGCATCCACCGCTGTCAAAACTTGATTTTCAGGATCATATCTGGGTCCGAAATTAGAGGTTTTTCTTATCCTATTCCCCGCCGAATCCACGGATCTCGAAACGGAAGTACAACCAGAGATTTTTCCTGTTGGCCAACCTGGAAAGGCTAGTTAAAGACGGAGATACATTTATTTTTGATGAATGTTTTGACGGTCTCCAATTCTTCAACTTAATCTTAACCCATATCTGACCACTATTTTTTTCTGACCTTTTCCATGAACGAAAACCGACGAAACGCATCACATCCATTTAAACCTTTCGGCCAGCGAAGCTCTAGTTATCTCCAACACTACGGATACAATTATACTAGAATACTACTTATTACTGTCTCACGAATATTTTTGATAAGTATGTCATGTAGTAATTCGATGTAACTTCTTCGATGTCACGTCAGCGGCGCTTAATCGGAAAGTAGCGGACATATTGGTATCACGATATGTGAAGAGAATTCAGAGTTATAGCCCTAATCCTAACCTCCTAACAAATAATCTGTAGCGACGTTACAGGGCTTGATCAATGTAGTCCGGCTGCCCGGTTATGAACTTGCTAAGATGATTGATCAATACCAACGCATACACAGATACGTTTCCGATGTACTATGACGAATGTGCTGAGGAACAAATTGATCTATACTCAACAATATGGACCAACCAGCCAATTTACATGTTTGACGATCTTAACTCCGTGGGGTTGTGCAGGTAGCTAGACTCCCTTGAGACTCGCGTCTGAACCATATTGTACTTAGTAGTTACGGAATCAGAATTATAAATATAAAAAGAAAGTAACTGAAACAAGTACACGGTGACCTGGGGTTGGCGCATGATGTCGATCTCTCACGGAGCGGGGCTGGACTATCCAACCCAATTAACCAATCAGCCCCTTCCAGTGACATTCATAGGACCAGCCCGCATTTCAGTATCAACACCAGAGCCAACCAGTTCGTGAATATGCCATATGGCGTATTATATAATTCTCAAAAGACAAGATAATACAACTGAGTACACGGTCTCGAATACCAATTAATCAAGATGATGTATCACGCTTTTTCTTGCTTTCAAAGTTGACTCTTCGATTTCCCCGATCCAGGCCATGTTGTCTTCTGGCCAACTTTTGAGTAGACGTTCTGGCTCTTGTTCCAATCACCACGAGTACGACAAGGATTACTAGAAGAGGCCTTATCCCTGTGTAGCTAACATAATCCCCAATTTTGTCGACTTGACATTGGATTGAACATGTTGCCGTGTTTTCAAAATGAGCCTCATAATTTTCGCTTGAATGCTTTGTCTCATCATCTTCAAATGTGCTTGCTTGATGTAGTTGTTCTCTCAAAGATTCAAGCTGATTGAGCGGATCAAAATCGCCCGGTTCTTGGATAGCGGTAGAATCGCCTTCGGAATCGTATATAGGACCATCAGTCAGAGTGTATTCTTCGTCGTTATCGAGAAGCCATCGTTCGTAGTCTGTCAATGGCCTGTTCTCTTTGTATTGCCTTTCTTTGTGCCTTTTATGCATGAAAATAGGAGCCATAATTGAAAGGCCCGTTCTTTTGCCCTCCTTTTTCATGTTCCTGTTGGCGTTCTCTATCGTTTGTTTTGCATCATCGGTAGAAGGGGATTCCTGATGATAAGTATCATATGAAAATAGGTCATAACCAGGGACATGTTTTTCTACATGCCCCTATGACGTACTGCAAGTACATGTAACAGCAACGGACTCAATGGTTCGTGACAAAGCGTACACGCGCTAATTCATCTTATACATGTATGCTTAACACGGCTAGTGAGAACTTCGATTGCACACCTAATACTAGTGGAGGATGTGCAGCGGTGACCCTGCATCCGATATACAGGCTGTGGACCATGCATAGAGTCTTCTTGCGAGAAAGGGTTTAGTTGATAAGTTGGTATGGAAATAGTCTTTCATTGGTGATGGTTCCTACTGTCAACTGCTTCCTGACGCGTCAGCTCTGAGACTCATCACTCTTCTCATACAGAATCCCGTACAAACCTTATCTAGAGCCTTTTAGAATGTTGTTGCCTAATTAATGGTGGATATCCAACTCAACGAGAATCTAAATGGGCCTTCAAAACTGACACTAACTTTAAACTGCAAATGCATTTTTTACACATTTGTATCAGATCACAATAATAATTCATATATTACCAATTCGTTCAAATGTTGTCGTAGTTGCCAGTAAACAATGAGACTTCGAATCAGCATATTGTCCAATTACATTGGACACAACACTTTTCATGTAACCAAGAGTAAACATCGAAAGAAAAAGGATAAACATAGTATTTGCTTGCTATCAATTAGATGATGCTATACCATTGGGCAATTTTCAGTGGCCTAATACTAAGATCATCGCGGAGGACGCGTCACTCTCGAGGCTAGTATTCGTCAATTGATGTATCTAATACGCAGTAATTGATATTGAATAAAAAGTGTCTAGAAGTTTAAATATACTCTTATTTCACAGGGAACTAGAATTTTGACCAACAAATATGGCTATGATGTCCAACCTCTAGATTATTTGTAATTACATAACAGACGTTACTCTACACGGCAGCCCGCAAAGCAAGCAGCAACATTGCCTTTGTTACATCTAAAGTTTCAACTGCAAAACTCTTCTTCACACGATACAGAATTCGCTGAGTAGTTTATGAAGTTACGGAAACCGACTCTGGCATCCGAGAGTTCCTGAAATTTTTTGATGAGCCACGCTTTCTTGTTACTACTATTGGCTTTCTAGAAGCAACCGATTGGAAATTCGTCTCCAACTGCTATGTCTTTCGATGAAGATATTGCCCTCCAAACCATTACAGAGCCAAACCTGACTGGTGAGACTGATTCCGAGAGCCTACTCATCAATATCTCAAATGAGCGCATGGTAAGGAATCGACCGTATTTTTTTTCTACCTGGGCCGACTGGATTCTTTCGATAGACAAAATACAGCCTGGGTATCTCAATATTCGCCGTTCGTCTTACAGCACGGTCATTTTCCGATTTTTAAAACGCGCACTGCTAGGGATTCTGGTATTTTTGTGAGTCATTAACTTTCATCGAGATTTCACCCAGTCGGTTCTGATTGCGGTGGCTTATTTAGAGGAATACTTAACGTGGTATCTTTTGGTCGGCATGTGATTGTCGAGTTGTTTCCAGATGACCTTGACAACCGTCTTGGCGCATGGGACTTTTCTGATAACCGTCTATCCATCTTCTCGCACTGGACTACGGATGGAGTCACCCTCAGTAATTGTCATTCCCACAATGATTATTGGCGGAAAATACCTCTATACTCTGCTATTAGGGCTGGTTGTATCAGTGTTGGGGTGGACATCTGGCTTTCTGACGGAGACATCGTTGTTGGCCATAATCCGCCCTCCCTTGATCACAGAGTCACTTTAAACACTCTCTATCTAAGACCATTATTGGAGATGATCCGACGACACAACGATTATGTGAAAGAACTACAACGCTCATATGAAAATAATGTTTCATTAGCCGGAGTCTTTGCCAGTGACCCTTCCCAATCCCTAACCTTGCTTCTCGATATCAAGTCGGATGGTTATGAACTGTGGCCCCACGTCATGAACCAGTTACAACCCCTTCGTGAAGCGGGATATCTTACGTACTTTGATGGGATAAATTTGAACCAGAGACCAATTACAATAGTCGCCTCCGGCAACGCACCCATTGACCAGATTATGGCCAACCATACCGAACGGGACGTATTTTACGACGTGCCTCTGGATAAATTACCCCTTGTGTCGTCAAATAAAAGGCAGCCATCAGCCGATTACAATATTTCAAATAGCCACTATGCCTCGGTGGACTTCAGAAAGGCAGTTGGTGAAATCCGGCACAATCGGTTTTCAGCAACTCAACTAGCGTTGATACGCGAACAAATTGGGATAGCTCATGATTATGGTCTCAAGGTACGATATTGGGGAACACCGACCTGGCCGAGAGGATTACGAAATCACGTTTGGCATATTCTAGTCCGCGAAGGAGTAGACCTGATCAATGCAGAAGATTTGAGGGAAGCGACAAGGCAGGATTGGCGCAAACACCGGAGTTGGCTACTTTAGGAGCTGCGGAAAAATTAGGATGGATTGTTTTGTTATTCAGTGGAATGGTTTTTCGGAGTTTATCAGAACATCAAGCACTCTTTTTCTTACCTGCTTAGTTAGCTACATATATTTGATGTAGGCATTCCTAGTATTTGATTTCTCGGAGACACTTATGACTGTTTATCTATGTATAGTCGACGTCCTGTAGTTAATTAGAACTTCAAGGTTGTTAATTTGATATGAGATATCTTTAAACTATTTTGATCGGAGCAATGCTCCTATGGCTCCCTTCGGCTTTCCTTTCCTTTTCTCTTTCTATTTTCAAATCTGGGAACAAAAGGCAAAAAACAAAACTTTCAATGTTCAATTTATACAACCGACGCGCTATAAAACTGTTTTGCTCACATGATGTAATATAGCCAAAAATAAAATCTTGACCGCCAACATAACAGAGCTGAAATTCATCGTCGATGGTTCCAGATCAATAACCCTAGGCCAATGACTAACCTCAAAACAATTCTCTTATGCAGATAGCGTCCCGAGTTGATGATTGTGCCAAATATGCACAGAATATTCCAAAGGCAAGAGCAGTTTCATTGAACTAGACCATCTGCTTTGTTATAAGATTGCAGTAGGTTTTCAAGGGTTCTAGATTTAGTAGAGTTCACCCAGGAATCAATCTTGCCACAAGGTTTAGCTACAATCCAAAACTAGGTTTTTTCAATTGCTCCACATCCTAATATCCCTCAGTTCGGTGCAAGCTCATTCAAAAACAAAGCTCCAGACAGGGCAGCACTGACTCTGCATCCGGGCTATTAGCAAAATAGTTATGGAATAGACTGTGTGACCAAGAAATGATAACTATATATAATGTTCGCATATGACACCACCGGAATATTATATGCGGGTTGTAAATGAAATCTTCAGGGACTCCGTCAGGCCTCCTGCGTATAATATATAGCTACATAAAGGTACAAACATCAGTTTATACCATGATTGGCTAGCTGAGGGCATGGTCGACACCGGCAGGAAGAAGTTGAATCAAATTTAGTTTTGAGCTTAGCTGTATGCAGAGAGTTGTAGCGTTTTCATACATATCCATTGACAAGCCAGAAACAAGGAGTTTGACATATATCACCTCATAATTTTACACTGTTGTAGAGAGTTTACCCGGGCTTTTAATATAGCCAGGAGATTGACATGCCATCATCAACTTTGTCGAGCTCGTTAAAGTTCATGGTTCCGTACTAAAGTTTTTCCATGTAAATTCGAGACCTAGGATTCCTCCCTCCATCTCTATAAAAATAATAGCCTCATCAAAAGATAAGATTGATAAGACTTGTTGTTTCATATTGATTTCGTAATTTTCTGTCGGTTGAAACGATTACCCCCGGCAAGATTGGAAGTATATATTCCGAAGAGTTATAAAACATAGACAAATGGGAATTATTAAATAAGGCCCTGCTTTAATTTGCACAATTTGGTTTCGATACCCACTCGTCCATGATTAAAGAGGAATCAGGGCTAGCCACTGCTAGCAATCAAGAAATTAGGGAATAAGCCGTTCGGAGGATCATTACAGCAATGAATGAATAGGCGACAGAGCAACACGGTACATTGTTACTTTCAAAGTTCAAGGCTGCGTCACTAGCAAAACTCCGACACACTTTTAAATGATACTATTCATTAGTCCCAATTGAATGATATACTTTAAGAAAGCCGTTGGGATTGTATGGTTTATACTGGGGTGTGCCTTGTGTTTGGCATATTCAAAAATGCATTCTACGTTTAGGGTGTAGAGGACGTCGCTTGAGACGAGTTTAACAATATTACAGTATATATGCAGCCGGTAATTTATAACCTAAGAGGAAGGAAAAATTGAAGATCCTAGTAAAGAGACACACTAATACTGAAGTCACGTGAATGTGTGCCTGCCCTAACTACTTTTCCTAATTACCACCACTAGCAAAGAACAGTTAGGTCTGGGACAATATAAACGCCTTGTTCTGTTGATATACCAAGATCTCCAACTCTTTTGCTTACGTATCAGATGTCCCAAAATAATATCAAATCAATCACCTAATTGAGGCTACATGCTATCTTGCCTAAATTTACCCCGTTTATCAACAGTTTTAGCTCCATAAAAAAACGTTCCAAATAGGAAACTGACGGTCGCCAATGAGAGGAACTGTCTTCTTCAAAGTATACAACTATGCTATTAGCAGAACAGTCAAAGATAGAAAGATACTGATGACATTGGCGTATAAATCCAAAAGAGACTGACTAGTCTTGAAACGTATTAGCCTCGGAGGATAAGCTGTCGCAGCCAATTATATGAGGCATAGTGGAGTATGTGTGTCCCTAAATTCAGGGGTGTGTGTCTAGTACTCCCGTGAGTAATCTGAGGTCTTGAAGCAGTGTTTTGGCGTGGTCGAAGGCAGGGCCGTGTTCGTAAGATCTTATCATCTGCAATATGAGCACTATGGAGCAGCCAAAGCCTTCAATGTGCCTGAATAATAATGCGAAATGCGATGCTCATCCTGCCTGCCCGATTAGGCGAGTGGGGCAAACGTCGCAACAGGTCATCATTTCAAGTTTCTTTTTTAGAGTATCGGATATTTCATGTCTGGTCCCTCGGTCACACGTAATATCTCACATGGACATGCTACCTGTTTTCCAGGCGGTGATCAATCGATCGATCGATAATCGCTGGCCAGGCTGGCGGCGGGCCAGTCCTGCAAGGTCCAACAGGACCAGTACATCTGCAGAGGAACAGTACAGCCCCTGACCTGTGTCGACGCTGTGTGACAGCGCTTCTCGGCATTGCCCATTATTAGCGCCTGCTCTTTGACTGTAGGCAGTTAGCACTTAGGCTCGACCAGCCGCTTGGCCCGTCCGCGTTAGAGCTCATTAAACACCATGAGACTATCCTCACTTAGCTGCGTCTTAGCCCGCTGTTAGCCCGCTGTTAGCCCAGCCCAGCGTTTGATTGCGACTGCGGTTGGGCTCCCGAAGTCCCGCTCCAACCTCTGGCCCTGGTACGTACCTGGCTCCTGCTGTGTCTCGTTCCTGCCTTCTCTTCCTGTCGCTCATGTTTATCCCATCTCTCCGTTACTTGCAAGACCTTCCTTCACCGCTGCCACCGGGGTTTTACACCACCAGCCATTCGTTTCTTGTACCCGGTCTTGTCTCGTCTTCTTTCCTCTTCTCTTTCCTCTTCTTCTTCTTTCCTTCTCGCCTCTCTCCCCCTCAAATCCGTGGCCGATCGCGCGAAAATCGCTTTCGTATCCGCTTCATCGTGTCGCAGTTCCCGACAGACCCTGTTCAAGCGCTATGCCGATGCCTTAAAGGATATCCCACACAGGAGAAGAGGATTGAAAATTAAAAAATATACAAAATAATAAATTGATTGGATTGGGATCAGCACGGCGAGTTTGATAGATAGCAGCCGACAATCGGTTGCAGCTGCAATTTCGCGTGTCACGAAGAACGCTGCTCCGAACCGTTGCCCATCATGTCGGCATGCATTTCACTTGAGAAATCGACCACTTGTCCCGCCTTCAATTCTTCTGTGATTTCAACCGACAGCGCTCTCGTTGGCCTTTAGTATGATATGGGATCTTCCGTGGAGAGTTGCACTGGCTGACCAGCTTATAGTCCATTCCTTCAATATGTTTCCAATGTCAACGACTTTGATAAACAGTTGACCGCTTACCTCCAAAACGAATACGTCAAAACCAAGTATGTTGCGATAATGGGATGCTCCAAGATTTTCATGCTGATTGTGGATAGATACGGGACGCTGTTGGGCTGTTCGAAGCTTAATTTAACCGATACGAGCAAGTACTATGCTCGTTACACAACCAGTGTAATCTGTAATGGTATTGTGCAGAATTCAAAAGATGCTTGTAGTCCCAGCGAAGCACAATTGACGCCTTTGTGTGCCGACACATGTGTAAGTATCCTCAAACAGCCTAGCATCTCCAACAGTCGCTAATAACCACCCCCAAAGGCCCTATACGCAACAAACGAAGAGGAAATTGCAGTCAATAATCAAACGTGTGACGCCACATCCCCAGGATACATGACGCAAGTTCGAGCCGATTTCACAAACTGTGCCCTTCCCGACAGTTCGCTCACAGGCTCCTGTATCACCGGCGAAGCAAACGAGCCAACCGAGTGTGGATTCAGCACAAATCTAGTAGGCCTGTGTAGCTACTGCGCCACCAGCTCACCCAATGCCACCGACTCTTGCTGTGTCAATTCCAACGCAACCAACCGCTGTTCGAATGTCCATCTTCCTACCACCTCGTCTATGCCGCCTCTTTTCACAGTCACTGCAACCGCAGCTGCATCGTCAGCTGCATCATCAACTGCTGCTGCTACAAATTCCTCTCATTCGGGTCTTTCAGGTGGGCAGATTGCGGGGATAGCTGTGGGATCGGTTGCAGGCCTCGCCCTTCTCGTTGGCCTCGGTGCCCTTCTCTTTTTGTGTTTACGAAGGCGCCGTCAATCCGACAATGACAACATTTTCAACCAGCCCACACCAGCCAGAGCGAACAAAGAAGCAATGCACGTGGTCGCTGCGCCAGTTTCGACCAAGGGAAGCTTCGAACCTGTCCCGGGTGGCCGCGTTGCAAGGATGTCAGCATTGCAAGACGAGAATGATGACCTGGACCGCCGTAGTGCTACCAGAGGCTCCTTCCCTGTCGGTGGTGGCGCCAAATACAGCGATTCTTCGGATTCAGAGGGCTTACTGTCCAGCCCGGAGGCCCTTTCCCGAAGGCGCGGTCCACCAATGGCTGGCAGACGTCATGGTTCTCTTTCCAGTACTTCTGCCTTGGGTCTGGAAGTAGACAGCTCTCCTCAATCGGGAACAGCGGGCCAAGTTTCATCCCCTGAAGGTGTTGCTAGTGGACAATCCGAACAGCTTCCCTATTTCCGTGATTATTATTCACAAGACGACATCCATCCAAATGACAAGGTTGCAGTACTATGGGCTTATCAACCTCGCGCAGCAGACGAGTTTGACCTTGATCGTGGCGACATGCTCAAGGTGGTCGGCATTTGGGACGACGGTTGGGCAACCGGTGTCCGAATCAACGAACGCGCTGAAGAATTTGACGACACACATAATGCTCAGCGCGACAGTGGTGTGTCGAACGGATCAGGAGGAAGACGAGACTCGCCACCTCAACCACAGGGAGAGATCAAAGCATTCCCTCTCGTCTGCATCTGTCTTCCTCAACATTGGAGAAAAATCATTGACGGCGATTTGCAAGAAGCGGTGTCTCCATAGTTCTCAACCTATCAAAATCATTTCACGCGGCGTTATGTCTTGACGATAGCTCTGTCGATTTTCCTGGCGTTGGATGGCGATGGCTTTTTTATCTCACCAAATCCAAAGTTCCGCTAGATCCGGTGTCCCATCAGCTTCTAGTCTTGCCCTGTATGCGATCCTTCAGGGCATTCGAATACCTCGACATTTGTCACCTGCTCACAGCTACAACCCTTTTGATGAGCATCATCTGTCGATTTCCTTCTCGATTTTCGCTTACCATTTCTAGTCAGTATTTTATACCCATTTGGTGATGACCTTTGGTCTTTGAACACTTTCCTTTCTCCTTTGCACGCAAGCGCGCTACTTCCATTCAGTCTTGAATGGCTGGACTTTAATTCTCTAATGCGAATACTCTTCAAATGCATTGAAAGGTCACTTTCAGCCAACATCTTCCTGCTCTGGTCTCAACCCTAACAGAAGATGCGGGCTTGGAGGCGGAAAAATACCTACCTTTCGCATATCTTTTGTATCTATTTTGGTATGTAGGGAATGTAGATACACATATTACTAAACTATCAACCTTCTCCATTTCTTGTATTCGTGGGCAGTAAGTAATATCACCGCCCGTTTAACATGGCAGGCGGTCCAACAGAGCGAGCTAGCTTGAAAGGATTCAAATACACGTGACTCAGAAACCTCGCACGTCGCTTTTTCGATTCGTTAGGGGATTTGCAGTTGCACAAACGTGTCGGCTTGTATGGGGGTTATAATTGCTGCCTGAGGCAACTACGCCAGACCCCTCAGTGCATTTGTAAAAAGAATATAGTGGAGGCTTGATATTGTCGGATTGTATACTATTGTTTGAAATAATTGGTTTGGAGGTCTGCTCTACATATTCACATAGAATGTATCTTATCTATGATATTGATTTCTATGAATGCATACAGGTATGGAAAAAATTATTTGAATTGACCTGGAAATATATTCTCAAAAGTTATACCCCAGTATTATTGATATATGTATGCACTTAAAAGGTTGCCGCTGACCAGTCCAGCTTAATCCTCCAACATTTGAAGTAAATCTCTCAAACTATCATCTACCGTTTCCAGCCGACAACATTATTATTTGAAGCATCCAATTCTGTCACCTGAATTTCAACTTTCCGTCTCCATATGTATATTTTAATTTTTTCATCACGTCTTCAATCAATACTCTTTCCCTCTTCGGTTTTTGCTAAGGGGTGTAGATTAGAAGGATAGGGTAATGAAAATTACACGAAGAGTGCAGATATTGATTAGAAATTGCACTGTAGGAATACGTAGTTGGTCACCCAATTGACCCTGACGTTTGATCTATATATCTAGGCGTAAAAATATGTACTAGCTGATAATCAAAGACAAATAATATATACGGAGTGACAAGGGGGGAATTGGTTTGTGACGAGAAAATTCTTGAATAAGAAAGGCCATCCAAGGTTATTTCTAGGCGTAAGCGGCCCATCCTGAAACAGTAAACAGTAAGCATTTCTTCACGAATGGAATGTATGAATAACACATACCACAGTATAAAACGGCAAGATTCCTCTCATCCGTAGCTTGTTGAATGAGCTCATTCACCGTTGCCGTGACGCTAAGCGTCTTGCTCAATTTCTTAGCCACGACTGTTAAAGCCCGATCTGCTTCACTGGGCTCGTTGCTGTTTCTTTTACCAGAGGCGCCGCTACTTATAATGAGTGGGTCGTCGCCGGGTTCTTGGTCGTCCTGCATGCGTTTCATTCGTAGCGGGGATACTGTCCACATGTACAACGGATCGTAGCGCAGCACATCGAGAATTGTCATGATACTGTAGGATTCCTGGCGCAAGGCTTCGAGGGTGAATTCACAGCATCTACGGAACACTCCTTCGGTCTTGGTTATCCCCATTCCGTCTACTAGATCACGGGTGAGTCGGAAAGGCACTACTTCGGGCACTGGCAAGACACGGCCTTGTTCGAATGCTACACCTAGATCGATGTGAACGGCGTCTCCCGTCTTTTCGTCTAAAAGTATGTTGTGTCCGTGGCGATCGCCAAGGCCGAGAACATGACCCAGTATCGAAATCGCTGCTGTGCTACGTGTGTATGCTAGTCGCCTGCTGAACCAATCGTCTGGATTATTAAATCTCTCCATAAAAAAGAATCGCATTACCGGATGAAAGTGATCTGTCACCTGTCGGTAAGTTCGCACTCGATGCTCAAGTGATCTGGTTTGTACATCGTTGATATGTTTGCGGCAGGCATTGGGTTTCATGTCCTTGGGGAAGTATCTTTGATGTGCTGGCATCAAATAGTCGTGTAATGGAATTGTATTTTGAACAAACTCGATGATACCTGCATTGGAAGTGAGCGGCAGTACCTTGTATGTGCGAACGGTCAAATTGCGCTGGCGAGTAGAGCGATGATCCTGCAAGACGTTGCTAACTTGTTCAAAAACTTGTTCCATAATAGCATCTTGGCGGAGATCATCATTCCCTCCTTTCACCTATTAAACAGACATGTTAATCTAAAATATTTTATCTAGAGGAAGTTGTGGCCTTACCAATTGCTTATAATGCAAGCCGTCAGTCGCGAGAAGTGTCACGATTTTCGGCGCACTTATACCGGAAGCAACAGCAAATTCAGGTTGAAACCTAACAACTTTTGGTATGTCATTGTAATTGCGGTCCTGTCGAAGCTCGACCTTCATGCTCGGTGGAGGAAGTCTTTGGTTGTTCACGTCTTGTTCCAACTTAAGACCAGTAGGGAGCTTCTTCAAAGGCACCTTTGCGCCGCTTTTGATTTTATCATCCAATTTATCGGTGGCAAATCTCACGTAGCAGATATTGTTATTGTGGATAGACATCCATGTGCCGCTGGCAATTTTGTCATTTTTCAGTTTCTCAACCACTTTACTCGCCGCCAGATTACGGGACAAAGCGGCCTGGTCTCTGCTGCCTTTCGATTTGCTGTGGGCGAAGATCTGATACATGCCATGGTATGGATGATCAACGCATATTCGGAATATTAATGTTGACAAGAGATTCTGAAATAAATCGGGATCATCGAGAAGGCGGGAGGATAACTGATTCATCAATGGAGCGAATTTTCGACTGGGCACCTCGTGAAGGTATTTAGAAACAGCTTCGTTGGCTTTCAGATCTTTCCATTTATCGAGCCACAGCGCACAAAATCGGAGGGCGTCATTCCTGAAGCTATCACAAGCCTTGAGGGCTAGTAGATAGTTCTCGAGACATTGTTGCAAAAATGCCTCGCGACTTCGCTTGAGTCTTTGATAATCGCGATCATCCAAGTCAAACCAGCCTTTGGCCTTTGTGTAATGCATTCTCAGCTGATTCTTTTCTTTACCTTCAGCAGCAGACATCATTTTATGAAGTGCGAGAACTTCCCGTTCTTTGCGATCACGAAGCTGTTCAATACGCTGAAAATCCTCCAAATTATCTTGATTCAGGAGTTGTTGATCACAAAATAAAGCGAAACGGTGAAATACACCGCCAGCTTCTTCACCCTCCGTGTTTCCCCGCAATTCCTTCACAGCAGGGACCAAGTATTCCTGGACAATTGCATCTGGGTTTTCTAATCGTGCCTCTGCTACATGGTGTCCCTAAAGCAGATTATTCGTTAGCATTCAGCCTTTGTGGTTTATTTCAAAAAGGATAAAGCTTTCAATGCGGGGGTGAAGCAGCAGGACGAGCAGATTGTGACAATGTCGTTACTAGAGGTAAGAGCAGATGAATGAAGAGAATGCATACCAAGCTAGCCAGAACCTCAGCCCGACTGACGGTTAGTGTCTGTTTGTGCAAGTCGCCTTGCTCGTTCAACTGCTGTAGCATACGAATAGACGTAGTCATTTCGCCCTGATCCCATAGCACATTTGCCAAATCAAACTTCGCCGCACCTTCGATGTTAAGACCAAGACCAGCACAAGATTCTACTTGCTTCGAGAGAGATATGGCAGCTTTGAGAGATTCCTGAGATCCCTCGAGATCCCTACTTATCTTGAAAGTTTCTCTCAATGATTTCACTTCGTATAATTGTGACATCCGTGATGTTAATTTCATCGCTGTTCGCAAGTATGGTCTCTTGTTGATTGATGAGAAAAGACTTTCGCGACAAAAGAGAATATGTGCAATATCTTGAAAACTATCGCCAGGCAGCGTTAGCAAAATGCTCCAGCACCACCAGATGCAATATATTAAAGCTAAGACTTACTTCTCCGTCTGAAACCAGGATTTCCTAGACGTGATCTTTGTCCAGAGACCTTCTAGTTGAGATACGGTGGTCGAGCGCAGGACGTCGTCAACTTCAGTTAAAAGGCCAAGTGCTCGCATAGAATCACGTAGTGCCGTTACAGACCGATACTTATCATCGAAATGATCAAGTATCTCCAGAAAACAGCCGCTGTTAAATTCAAGGACATCTTTCATAGTACTAGCTGCATTCAGATTTTGAAAAGCTTTGAACAGAACATTGGTTGCTGAACAATTCGAGGGGGGAGTAGGAATATCCCATTGCTGGAGGCTGATAGCTGTCGATAGTAGATTATCTGTGTTTGTTGTCTTCCTTCCAGAGCCATCTGGGGCTGCTAGTAGTGCACTAGCAACACCATGCAGATTTGTGGCATTAAGGGCCTTGAAAATCCCATACGTGCTTCCACTGCCTTTCAGTCTCAGGTCACTGTCGTATTGGGCACTCTGGAATATCAAATTCTTGAATCCTGAACTCTCGTAGTTGAGCTTCTCCATGACAGACTCCAGTGTAGCATCCTGTTGTATGCCGTAAAAAAGGTCAGGATCTCCGATCTTTCTGAATATTTGGTGAAGCAAATCTGTGGGAGGTGTATATTTGATGACAGAAGACCTGCGGTTGGTGCTGATACTTCGAGATGTCTGTATTTCGAGAAACATCAAGGCGGTTTTGTACATTCTGCATTTTACTGCCGCAGAGGCTGCTAGGCCATAATCGACGTCAAGCCACTCGTCTCGTTCAACTATTGTTGACTCAAGTGGTTTCTGCTGCTGACGAAGATACAAGATCGCATTGATAATCAACTGGGCATGAGGAATAGTATTTTCCGTGAAATTTTCAAGAGCCTCCTTGAAAATCTCGGAAACTTTCTCGCGACAGACTAGGTTATGCTCGCTTTCCAATAGCAGTACATCATGAAGTACGAATTGGAAAAGTCGCATGGCCAAATCTGGGATAGTGTAGAGTACTTCAATCAGTGATCCAATAATGGGATCTTCCTGTGCGGTAGATGCCAAGGCTAGTGATAGGCTCTGTGCCCATTGAGACGCGGAAAGTTGCGGATCCCAATGTGGCCAGAAAGTGTTGCTACTCTGCTGAGGAAAGGATGATGTGATGCTGGGGCAGATATACGGAGACCAGAAGAGTGCCTTCATGAGGTGCGGGGAAACTGCATTCTCGCACTGTTCAAAATCCGGAAAACTGCCTAGTTTTGTGATTATTACCTGCAAGGTTCGTTCCACAAGTCCCAACTTGACACGATCAGTATCCGTAAGGACTTCACAGAGAATGTGCAATATGGTAACCTTTGAGGCAAGAAAAGCATCCGTGTACTTATGACGCTGAAAGTAAAAAATTGCTTCGTCTGTGTTCTGCTCACGTAGTAACTCGTCGCTGATGTGTCCCGTTTCTGCAAATGCTCGCCCGAGTACTCGAGCAGCCCAAAGTCGATAGCCTCTGTCAGTGACACTATTTTGAACCGTTTGCCAGATTGCCACGTTGTACCTTGAGGCATCTTGGTCATCTCCAAGGATGTCATTATGCAATTCAAGGGGCATTCGAAAATCGACACAAAGAAGTGAGAGCACGAGGTTCGACACCGAAGTACTTAAAAGGCCTTTACTAGACGATCTATCTTGAAGAAGTTCCAGCAAAAGATCACTCTCATAGCTCCCCCTCTCTGAGTTTCCAATATCGCTAATTCTCCGCGACGATGTTATTATCCTGCGGAATAACTGATCTTGGATTTCATCCAGGTTTTCGGGTTTGTACGTCTCCAGGAAGTCCCCAAGCCATTGTCTAAATTCCTGAGATTTTGAGATAACTTTTTTGAATTGGCTTTCTTGTGTCGTGCTCTCAGGTGAGGACTGAAGGAAATTTCGTAAGGAGACTAGTGTGGACACTGCAATGCCCGTAAGAAACCCGGGATGCTGGATGAGATAGGGTTTCCCGGATTCCAGAAGATACCAAAATAACCCCAAAGCATCCTCTGAGCAGTGAAAGTCTGTAAGAAATGGACGAAGAGCATGCAATAGCTGTTCCAGGGGATAATCTTGTACAATCATTGGCCCGGAGACACATATTAGGATACGGATCTTCCTGAGAACCGAGCAAGCGTGAAGTGAACCAAGAGCAGGATGCATAGAATCTAAAAGAGCTCTACTAACAAAAGAGACCAATGCCGGTGTCCACATGGTTTCCATTTCATATCCAGCTCGTTTGCAAAGGTATTCGAGTTCATCGAGAAGGTAACGAGCCCTGAAAGCCGGCTGCTGGTTGGCTGGGAGACTCGCCGTGGATGCACTTCTTTCGGTAATACGCTTCAAAATGTTGGCGGCAAAGCCAAATTTTGCATGCTTCACAAAGGCTCGCTCAATTTGTTCCTCTTGGCCAAGTGATTTGAAGAGCGTAGCAACTATTTCAGGAAACCTGGCTTCTAGGGAATGTACAAAACTTTCCGTACCCAAAAGCTTCTTCACTCTGCTTTCCACTCCTTTAGGCTGGCTGTCCTGCGAAGGTGGGATGCTAATGTCTCGGGCTATCGTGTAAGCCTCGGCCTTGTGAAATGATGCAATTAATAATTCCTTGAATGACGTTCCTAGGCATTTTGAGAGCTCTGCAGCATCATCATCAGTAGCTCTCATCATGATCTGCCCGACAAGTTCATCCTGCGCATCTTGTAACATCTCTTTCAAATTGGTATATCCAAATATCGTGAAGGGCATCGTTGAAATAGATTGCCCTTCGGTCCAAGTATACAATATCTGTGGCATGAACAACTGAAAAATCTCCTTAGGGTCGTCAATGTTCAAACCTTGAGATACCCGCAGAAGACATTTCTTAGCGTACCGGGTAGACTGAGGGACCTGGCCAGGTGTCTCAAATGTATGGTAGATACCTCTGCGAAGCAATGTATGCCAACGAGATGCTAGCTTGCTAAGAACATACAAACGCAATGCAATTCCCTCCTCCCAATCTGGGTCTGTTGGTAGGCTCTCCAAGACGTCATCAAAAATTGCCTCGTGATCCTTGAGCAGGAAGCGTCTGAATATATTCGATATAGAATCTGCAGTGGTAAATTTCACAGTTATGTCTCCTTGTTGAAGAATATTGAACAAGCTTGTACGTGGTGACGGGCCGACAGTGGTCACGCTAAAAGCTGGATTGGAGAATATGATCTTCTCCAGAAGTCGGGAAAGTGAAGTCAAAACCTCGGATGATGCCTTCTTATTATCTAGGAACAGTTGAATAAACCAGCCATACAGGTCGGAAGCGGAATCCGTAAGGTCATCCTTTTCATCACTGGTCCATGAGTCGACAAAGCATTCCATCATATATATGCAAAAACACTGTACACTTTCACACCGCTCTAGTTGGTAATTTTGTAAACAGGATACACCGAAGTATTCCACTATATCCAAGATATCCGTTCGCGTGAGATTTTCTGACTCTTGGAAGACCTTGGGCAAAAGATTTCGTGCCGACACAGTGTCTGCTTTGTTTAAAGACTTCAAATAATCAACGAGGGATAGCGGCCCTAAATCCTCTGAGTTGACTGGGTTCGCTGAATTTAGACAGAATAGCGACAATCGAATAGAGAGACAACGCTGGAAAGCGTTTGGCTCTAAGAAGGCAGCCAGATTATGTCTATTGGAATGGAAAATGGCGTCTTCTGTATAACCATCTTTTCGGGACAAAGCTGGCCCATCCAAGTCCATCACATCAGCCTCATCAAAGGCTGGATTAATCTGAGAAGACCGACGATGCTCCAAGAGACCAATGAGCGGATGCGCAATATTACTGAGGACTTGTGAGATAGGGTTATCAAAGGTTTTTACACAAGACACCGATGCAATGATGGGCGACACAACGGTTAAACAGGCCTGAATCAACGTATCCTCTTTATCGGAAAGGTGTCGACAAATGTCTGCCCATAGATCGATTGCATATTTCCGTAACTCTTCGATACGATTGCTTTGGGAGTGAGGAAGGCATTCGATGAAAACTAAAACGACGATGGATGCAGAAACTAAATTTTGGATTAAATCAGCCGTGACGTGGCGCGAATTAGCTTCAGACATTTTCCATAATTGCGAGAATGTCTCTATCTTTGTCTGGAGCAGCTCTATAATAGTATTATCGGCTGAGTCATTTCTGGTAGATGCGTCGATGCCCAAAAAGGATTCTTCAGGATGCCAGATGTCCTGAGAGATGGCTGGATCATAGAACGAAAATAGATAATCCTTCAAGGGTTTCTTTTTGGTATGACGGAACCAAGCACTGGAGATCGGTGCCGCTATACCTTGAAATTCAACATCTTTCGGAGGCGCTGGTCTGTTCGTGAGCGATAGAAGAAGACATAAAATGTTAATGGGACGAGCAAAGAGAGCAACTTGTGCTGTTTGTATCCTACCCCCCTCATCACCTAACCTTTATTAGCTTGTGCCACAGTATAAAATAATTCGTGAGGTAAGTACCAGCTATCCACAAGCTACGAAGCCAGTGACAGACTCCCTTAACTAAGTCAAGGCCAAGCCCGACTGCTGTGTGCAGACGTAGAGTGAAAACTCTAGTCAAAAACATTAGAGATGTATCACAGAACACTGAAGGCCCGTTGAGATCCATAGATGCTAGCATCAATCGTAAACTGTCCATTATTTCCGAGTAATCGAGGAGTTCAGAATAAAGTAAAACCTCCATAAGACCACAAGCAGCCCTCGAGCTGGCTTGAGAAACGCATGATCGAGATGCAAGATCCCAGATCTGCTTCCAATGTGGCTTTAGCAGAGGAGATTTCTGAATATCGTTCTTGGCTACGCTACAAGGGGAATTAGCGACCGATGTTAACGACCGCAGAGTCGTGAAAAAGAGGAATACTACTTACTTGGATATCACCAACAGAGCCCAAGTAGCCGTAGCTGGATTGTCGTCTGCTATACTCCCTGCCAAATGACCTACAAGAGAGGCCTTGGCTTCAATATGCATTGAGTTTTCTAGAAAGGCAAGTAGTTGCAAACAGTAAACCTTGCTTGTTCCTGTAGATGACATGGAGTCTCGCGCAACATCTTCTATACGAGATGTCAGTCGGGGCTTTTTTTGAGGCGCGACCCCATCATCGTCAACTCTGAAGTTATGATTCGAAACATTATCTAGGATCGAGATCAAAGAAGAAATTGTCCACAAAAGCATCCAATTTTGCTCCGACCTAGAATTTCCAAGACGAGGCCCAAAGGCATACGTGCATTGAGCACGGGACTCGCCGTAGTAAAATACCAGATCATCGATCTGCAAGAGTTCTTTTTCTGATCGCTTCAAATACTCCGATTCGAAGGTCTCTACGAGACTTTCGAGTGTCTCAGGTGTGAGTTGGGATGAAAAGGATTGTGCATTGCTACGTAAGAGATCCATACACAACATCATGGTGATGAGAACTTCATCTTTCACTCCCATAGATTTCATCGCCCAAAGACGTCGAATAATCGGTATGAATTCTAGAACAAAATCTTGAACTAGAGAGTACTGGTCGCAAACTATCCTTTCTATGATGTTATTGACACCTTTTAACGCCTGGTGCGCATTAGCTGTTGCTGACGAGGAAAGATAATCCAAAAGCCCATTTAGGAGACGCGCAGCAATGTTATGAATAGGAACGGCAGGTGAAGTACAAAGCAGCTGGATGCAAATTACAGCTTCATCCATGACGCTCCTATTGACTTGGGAAGTTGAAGTTGTAACATCGCGACCGAAACTCCTTCGACTAGGAGTTGCTCGACTAGTCCCAGTATCCAACGCTGCAGAAGAGGATCGATGGCTTGTTCCAATGCTCAGCTGGTTTCCATCGGTTTCGGTCGAGGCTATGCTTCGAAGGCAGAAGGTTGCGGCACTAATCCAGTCACTTTCTGAAAGATGCTCTACATGAGCTGCATATTCAAGGATGGATCTGAGAGCTTTGATGTAGTCATTTGCGAGAATGTCCCACAGTCCGTCTCCAGGCTCAGTTATAGTCTGAAGAATATGGTCGATCAGTGCATGTACCGTTTTCGTTCGCAAAAGAGGAACGGACACTTCCACGGCCGCTCGAAAAGCCGAGGCGCACTGCGGCAGTCGAGGTGCGGATACACTTTTAGAATTCGATTTGCTGGAGCGGTTATAGATGGATTTCTCGATCGTGACGCATCGGAATAAGGCCTCGAAAACTCTGTGGTACGATTTGTCGTTTAATCGCTCCCTTAAGGCCACCAAAGTCAGCGCTATACAGAAATAAACATGATGAAGAAAATGCATACAAGTTATTGCTCTTCCTCCCAAATATAGCTTTCACATCTGCTCTCGTTAGATCATCTCAAATCCCTGTAGTTTTGGACATCTGCATTTATACCTGCCAAAGCCTCTGCGCGGTCTTTTTGCTTTTCAGAGGAAAGTTTGGCTATAGCCGCATTCAAAGTACTTTCAGTCATTTTCAACTAGTGAGATCGATGCAGCATCACGAGGCTGCTGAATGGCTGGCAGCGTCGATGTCTGGCGCTGCCGGAGATATTCAGAGGTGAGGGATCATGGGACGGTGCGAGATCGAAATGAAGCTGTAGTCCCACGGCAGCGTGCTTCTTATCGCGTAAAGGACTGCATTTTCCAACAGGACCCAAGAAAGAATGTGGTAGCTCTGCTGATTGCTCAGGCTTGATTTGTTTTACTCGTTCGTTGATGTTATGAATCAGATGGAAGGACCAGACCTAATAGGGCAGGCGCTAAACAGCTCCACATCAGAGCTTGGGTGGAGTTTGACCGCCGCCGCGTTCTTCTCCGCCTGCGCTTTTTTGCCCGCGTCCCCAAGTCACCAACAAGCCAAACAGGCTCTCTCCTCTCCTCAACTTCCGCTGTTCACCATAGCGGGATGATGGATGACATCGATGCCCTGGGCGGCCTTCGTGGCCTGTACCAGGACTTGTCTGCCATCCCCGAGTCGTCGATAATTAACGTGGAACGCCTGTGCGTCGAGTTAGAGGCTCACCTGGAGGATTTTCGCAAACTTTTGAATAAGCCCGCAAAGAATGATACGAGTCGCAAATCAGTACTTTCAGGTGAGTGATATCGCAGCTTATCCTAGTATCCTGCCGTTGATTTGGGATTCTAACGTCGATGCTCATCAGGGAAGTTGACCATCGGGGATGCCGAATATGCGATCAATTCCGACTTTCAACAGGGCGCTCTTCAGCTTGCTGATGCCCTTAATATCGATGAGGTTGAAGCAGCGACACTTTTCATGTCTGCGCAGGAGGAGGCGCAGCAGCTAGACCGGACACCGCTCATCACTGCTATAATGCAATTTCATGAGCGTAGACACTTCTTACTCGAATGCCTGCGTCTCATTTTCCAAGAATCCTCGAACCCTGAGAGGGAGGACATTCAAGAACTGATGCAGAGTACAATTGCTCATGTACTTCAAACGAAGCAGGGAAGCCTTAGGAATGCATTTGATTTTACGAAAAAATGCCTGAGCGCCATGGAGGAGGTCGAAAAATGGCTCACGCTAATCGCCGAACAAATCCAGAAGGTGTCAATTGTTGGGCAGGCTGATGATGTGGATATTATGGAAGCCATTGAATACCAGCGATCAAGTCTAAGTCAGCAACACGAGTCTCTGGGAGCCGTTGTTTGCTATCTTTTCAAAGGAAGCTACGCTTCCTCCGAAGATGTTCGACTTCTTCTGAATCGGGTACGAAAGCTAGAGCGATTCGATATGATCCTCATACACTACATACCTGCCCTTATTGCTTCGATTGTTAAATATGGTTCTCCCAGCGGGTGTGGTACTCGGAGGGAGGCTCGAAGTCTTCATACGACAATAATTGCATCCGAGGAAATTAATTCATGGGCATTGGCGCCATTCCATGCGGCTGTTATTGCTTGGTGGCTTTCAGAATACAGCGGCTGGTACTATGATGCGGGGCCAGCTTCTCCATTGCAAGGAGTGGATCTCGAGAAAGAAGCCGAAGAACGCACTACTCTATTCAAAGTTGCACTGGATGATGGAGCTCTTGAATTCATGCTCGCAATTTGTGCTGGCGTCAACAATGACGAATGGAGCCATCCTGCAAGAAACGAACTGGTAAACCTGCTTCTGAAAGAAAGTCCAGCCTCTGTACTAGAACCCGATTCAATTGCAGACTACCTCAAAGCCCTCTTGATGGAACATTTCGATACTTTTACAGAATCTTGTATTGCCAACATGCCAAATGCGGTCAGAATGCTCAAGTCGGACGAAGATGCTCAGCGATTAAACCAAATCACGGCACTTAGAGACGGTCTCAATTCAAGCCTCCATCGCGGTCTGTTGGAGGCGCGCACCCACCTAGAAAGCTTTCTTGTCTTGATGGCCTTTGCTTTTGAAGGACGACACGACCCTTCACAAGAGTTCTGGGCCGACCCCGATGGTAACCTATATGGTTTTCTACAATGGGCATCGAAACGTCAAACAGTCCCGCGTGTTAGTGCCTTTTGTGAAATGCTATGCTCGATCTCAGAAGGTGAGGACAATGCAAGATCAGCCCATAGGTTTCTTTTGGAAGAAGACAAACAATTGTCTGTAAAATTCAGGCGCTCCCCGTCGATGAACTGGAGCCAGATGTTCGCAGAACTTCAGCTCTATGCTACAAAGGTGACCGAAAAGCCGTCAACCTCACGCACAATATTACATACTCGAAAGTCAGAGACTGTGGACATGAACGAACCAGAAAGTCCAGTGATGCTGTCATGTTACCTTCGACTAATGGGTCATTTGTCCAAGGAAAGCAGCACCATTAGGGAATGGATGCTACAGCACCCTACCTTCAATGTTGTCAACACTCTTTTGACCCTCTGTAGCGGCTCCATTCCCACACATCTCAGAGCTAGCGCATTTAGTTCTCTCAAATCTCTAATGACTGACCGGACTTCAAGCCATGGAAACGACATGTGGATGGCCATAGATCAATGGATTTCTGGAGCTGCTGTGAGTGCCTCTAGCCTTGCAAAGGCGCCAGTATTGTCAAATCAACCCGCTTGGCACGAACGACATGCGTTCCAAAAGATTGGGGAGAGTTTTGATCAAACAAACTCTTTCACCGAATTGATTCACACATTAGTCACGCCGACTTCAGACCCGCTTGATCATCAGCTCGCTCTTCCCTTCCCAGAGGCTCTGGGTCATCCTATCGAATGCCCGGCATTGAACCATACATCGACTTTATTTTAGGGCACGCATTCGCAAGAAAGGTTCCCGACGTAACAGAAGCACAAGGACGATTGCTAGCCCTGAATTGTCTTAATTTCGTGGCAACATGTTTGGCTACTTTTAACGAGAATCTAGTGGTCATAGCCCATCAACCTGCTGCCAATTCCGATGCTAACATTAACTCTTCTGATCTCAATACTTATATCCGGCTTCATCCATTTGCACGCGTCTTTGAGTGGCTATTTAACGAAGATGCGCTTAAAACCTTGTTCGTAGCAGCCAAACAAGATGTGTCGGAAGTTGCAAAAGCATCATCAGAGTCTGTGCTCATACAGTCGTTGGTCAGAAGCGTGGAAGTGATAAATCTGGTGCTGGATCTTCAATCGACCTATTTGAACATCGTTCGCCCATTACTAAGGAATCAACCTTCTACGGCCAAGACCAACGTTGCTAATTCAGCTCTTGCCTCGTTTGAAGATAGCATTTTGAACAATCTCAGTTTAGTTCTGGACCTATGCCTATATTGTGGAACCGGACACCAGCAGCTGACGGTTGTATCTTTGGCGTTACTCGAGAAGCTTTCTAGCTCCAGAAAGCTGAACAAGTCATCTCCAACGACCTTACTGACTTGGCAATCGCCAAACAGGATTGTTGAAGTCCTGAGCACCGAAGTTGATACAGACAGCGTATCACGTCCGCTAGTTAACCAGATGCAACCCGATCCAAGAGAACTGGACTATGGTCCATTGTCTTCAGGATATCTCATCCGAGAGGGACTTTTAGGCTTGCTGAATAGCTGTTTGGAAATGATAACAGACAGACCAAATATTGCACACCTGCTCCTTGGTTTCTCAAGTGTGGGGAATTCACTTGATGTAAACCCTGACAGTCTGCTCGCGAACGGAATGTCTTTACTCCATGCTATCATCACTTTCATGCAAACATACCCTACCGAACTTGACGGGAGCATCATGTCTTGGACTGTTCATTCGAAGCGCGTGGCTTTCGAGGTCTTGAGACATCTTTGGTCGTCAAAGCTTTCGTCCACTTTTGTCCTTGCGGAACTTCGAATGAGTCGCTTTTTAATGACATCATTTATTAGCCAACCTATTGTGAATGTCAACACATTTTGGGGCGAGTTCCCATCGACAGTGGGAGAATTTTGGCTTTCAGACTCGGCAACCGCGCTGTCTGAATTCTTAGCCTACCGAAGTCATTTGTTTGACTACGCTGTGACCGAAATTCGAGCCGCCTCTAAACTTGGCTCACAAACCCTGCAACTTGATATTCTGTCGACCTTGTTGGGAATCTCCTTAGTCGAAGGTGGAGAAACAATCACGCATGCCACGGTTTTTGACCTTTTTGATTTTGCGGACCTGGAAATGTCTCACGGTGTACGAACACCTACGCTAAACATGCTTCGGGGACTCGATTTCGACCTTTGTGCGAAATCTCAAGCCGACAGTTCAGTCATCCTATTCGATCTTGATGCAGTCCAGGAGCTGATTCAAGTGAGACGGAGAGATCACGTCGGATTAAGCCTGGTACGAACCCAGGAAGAAGAACAGTTCCACCTGGAGGCAGAAACCGTGCTGGTATTCCTGCGTATGACAAACATGGAGAGACAAATCCGTTACAATCGCTATCTTGCAGTTCGGTCGTGGGCTGAACTAGTCACAACAGTAATCGTCTCATGCGATATGGAAGCTGGACGGCGTACGACTTTCATACTTCAGGCGATCAATCTAGTGCTACCCAAACTTGAATCCGCCATGATCGAGAACACCACTGAAGGTATCGAGTTAGCTCAACTAGCGGAAGCATTGATCAGTAAGCTTGAAAACTTGCCGTCGGCAAGTCGTCCAAGCCGCGGTGGCGATGTGATCGACGAGAAACTTTACCAACTCTTCCAATTGAGCTTACGAGGTATTTCATTAGCTGTTGGTGATGTCGCTCTTCGAGAGTCGTTTTACAATATATGTGCTCACTATCTTTCACGCATCACGCTGCTTGGGTCGACTCATCAAACTCTGAGACATCAGAGCCAGCAGGCTATCAAGACTTCCGGTGTCTCTTTTATTGAAGTCATCTGTGATGATGCATATGCCGGCCAAGAAAGCTGCAGAGTCTCTGCTCTTCTCCTTCTCAACCTAATTGCGGAGTTGGACGCTCAAGAGCAGTCATTCATGCTAGCTGAGGCTATATCTCAATCCAACTACCTCAATATGTTCTTAGATTCTGTCAAGGCCGTACCTTCAGAATTCCGAGATGCCCAATCCCAAGGTACGTTCAATGCCGTAATAAATTATGCCGGTACTGATCTGCTCTCCAGATGTCCCTTTATTGCTTTCTTATTACCGTGCTCTCTTATCACTACTTCAAAAGCTATGTCAAACCAAAGTCGGTGCGACGTATTTATTGAACGCGGGGCTCTTCGCGACAGTACGCGAGTCGCGGTTATTCGCCGCTGACCCCGACATCGGCATAGGTCCGTCTATCCTGTCTATCACCTTAGCCACCGACCCCATGACACTGACTTGAACAGACATGGACAATGAAGACGCGTTACGCAACTACTACGAATTACTAGTTGCTCTGCTACGTGTGATTGTCTTGGCAGTATTTTCCCGTGGTCTTCATAACGAACAAATGATGGAACAAACACGATCATTTCTCGCAGAGAACCGAGCCAGCATGGTGGGTGTATTCAAACGCCACGCCAAAATTGGTGGCGAGTCGGCATCCAACCACCGCCAAGTGGTGCAAGACCTAGTCAAAGCATACGTTGTACTAGTCAGCGCCACCGGATTTGTCGACGTAGGTTTATTCTTGCAACTACTCTTATGTTAACTGTTGCTAATTTACTTTTGATGTTGGTTCAGTTTGAGGACAGCGAACTCCGACAGAGCACGGGGCCGAAGGTATTTTCATAGAATCTCTACAGGACCTGTATTCTTTGTCTCTTTCTGGCAGGTGTTGAGGGGCATGGACGGCTATATAAAAGTCATAGGATGGAGTTTGTCTCTTCTTCATAATTATTCTATGTAACCACTTAGGCTTCAAATGTTGTTCGCATTGATGCGATTGTCAATGAAAGCTAAGGCTATCAAATGATCTAATTGATCAATATACAGTCCCCTTCCCTTAAGATGCTGGGTCATAAAGACCTGTACCACCATACTATATAGGAAGCATAATATGTCTAACTAACATTTCAAGGAAGTTGGTAGTCTATTTGATATACTAAAGGCACAGAAATTTGGTTCAATTAATTACAGATGGTGGTGTCCTGGCTCAATGTGTACATACGGCCGTAAGGAGGACGCTTGCCTCGCTGCGGCTAGCTTGAAATATCGGGCGGAATGTTTATTTCCATGTATCCGCCGATTGACGGGACCGCATATTGAAGTTATGGACACACTAGTTGATACATTTGGTCAATACTGAGCTGGTTACAAGTCCACCATCGTTTGTTGTTTGCTGTCTCGTTGGCTCGTCGGCATGATGAACATAGCGAGGCTTTGAAATCCGGGCTATGATCAATTGACTGTTGGGTTCGGGCCAACTTCTCGCCGCGAGCAACTCGAGTTCGTCCCTATATCTTGGGAAAGGGTATATAAGAAACAATAGATTTTAGTTATAGAAGGTCCATCAGGTCTTCTGTCATTTATCTTGATATCACTGTAAATCTTGGATAATATCTATTTTTTTAACTGTTGCTTGACTCCGCTTCTGGGAAAACTAAATATATAGCTATCATGACTGAACAGCACCCCTCTAACAAGCTCCGGCAGACCAGTCGGTTTATTACTGGTCATAACGCCAATGGCCTTGCAATCTTCAATAAAGATATTTCCGAAATCATTCCCGCCCAGAATATTCCCACTGGCGACATCCTGTACCTTGGATATGCCACGAACCAGTTCCCAACAGACCTAGACAAAGACCTGGCAACCTATCAGCACTACTTGACCAACCCTCCAAACTTTACTATACCCGGCGGTACGGTGCTGTGTCAGATAGATCTGGCTCCCGGAAGCGTTAGCCCCTTGCACCGGACCCTGTCGCTCGACTATGCCGTCGTGATAGAGGGAACCGTGGAGCTAAAGCTGGATAGCGACGAAGTGAAAATACTGCAGCAGGGCGATATCGCCATCCAGCGTGGGACAAAGCACCTGTGGCGTAACACTAGCAATACGGAGTGGGCGCGTGTTCTCTTTATTCTCCAGGAGTCGAAGGCAGTTGAGATTGCCGGAGAGACACTGAAGGAAGACTTGGGATTTTAGGGATAGTTTTCCAGTGTTAGGATTCTGAGAATACATAAAATGGTGATAGTAATTGATTACCGCGGAGGGGAAAATTGAGACAAGCATCTCTCCAGATGGAATGCAAATACATTTAAATGTACTTAATGGTTTAAATGATGAGGCTGAAGGTGCATGTAACTTTTTTATTTCATATTTCCCTTAGGAACATCCCGCAATTCTACTATAAATATAGAAAGTATTACTTTTCTCATATTGAATATTATCAAGTGACATTAACGATAATGTCTATTGGACTATACATCAATTGATATCAACATTGAATTGACGTGTGCATGAATTCAATGTTGATACGTAGACTTATAGAATGTAGTACAGTAGGACGACAAAAGTTTGAAAAGTGGATTGAGTATAGGAGCCCTCCCATATTGATGCTAATAGTGTTTGTATATTTTGTATTATCTATAGGCAGGATCCTGAGAAGTATTTTAATCTGATATTAATTAGTATTATTGTACATGTAGTAGTGGGGTGCACGGCCTATCTTATCTCCGCATGGCCTCCACACCCCGACGGCCGCCGTCACCCCAAACACTACGATCACTGCGTCCTTCCTTCATCCTCATCACCTCAACGCCGCCACCAGCAATTTTGATCCGGCCGGCGCGAGGAAGCTCTCATCCCTGACATGACGCCTTCCTTTCTCGATGCTCGCAGCCTCCCTCCCCGATTTGCCGCCCTCATCCTTGCTCGTCTCCCACTGGAGATTTCAAGCTAGGTTAGATGCATCAACACCCCAAAGCCACCGAACAGCGAGGCGGCAAGCGTAAGACTGTCGAGAAACGGAAACTTCCGGACGAGCAACAACCACAGAATCAGCATCAGCACCAGCACCGGCAGAGAAAGATTTCGGAACTCTTATCGAGCAGCCCCTCGCATCACAGAGACCATCAATACCCTTCATCGCCCAAACGCTTTCGAGCGTCATCCCCCACTTCCGTACAGACCGACGATACGCCTATTTCGCCCACGAAAATGTACAGCTTTTCGAAGTCGGACTCGAAGGTCAATAATGTCCTGGGGCAGAAAGCTCCGGCTACTGCCCAAAGACCAAACACCTTCACACCCCACACTGGCGCCAAGAGGCTCGTTGTTAAAAACCTCCGATCGGGACCGCGATTGAACCAGGATACATATTTCGATAAGATCTGGGGCCAGCTGGCAGTTGCCCTGGATGCGGTTTTTGATGGAGGGAAGCCCGCTGCGTCGCTCGAGGAGCTATACAAAGGCGCAGAAAACGTTTGTAGACAAGGCCGAGCAGCGGTCTTGGCCAAGAAATTGCAGGATAAGTGCAAGACATATATATGCGATAACCTACAGCAGAGCTTGTTAACAAAAGCAAAAACAAGTTCAGATGTGGATACCTTGCAAGCTGTCGTCGATGCATGGGCAACGTGGAATTCTAAGCTGGTAAGTAGAGAATCTTACTAAAGAAAAAGGGCTCGTCGTTGGTTCTGACATTTTGTCCCAATAGGTTACGATTAGATGGATATTCTATTACCTCGACCAGTCGTTTCTTCTACATTCAAAAGAATACCCCGTCATCAATGAGATGGGATTGATCCACTTTCAGTCGCTTATTTTTCTAGACGCAGAATTGAAAGAAAAGATCCTCCGAGGATCTTGTAATCTCATCGCGGGAGACCGCACAAGCGAAGGGCTGAAACAGCAAGCTGAGTCTGATCTTCTAAGAAAGTCGATTGCGTTATTTCATGATCTCGGAGTGTATTCGCGCCACTTTGAACCTCTTTTCCTCCAAGAATCCGAATCTTATTTCAAATCATGGTCTGAAAAAGAGGCAAGCAGTCAGTATCTTGCCAATTACGCAGAGAACAGCCATCGCCTTATACAGCAGGAGCTGACGAGGTGTGAACTTTATGCTCTGACTCAGAGTACACAACAGAGCTTGACTGTACTTTTGGATGACCATTTAGTACGAGATAAGCAGGCTATATTACTGGCTGAGTCGGATTTATTAGGTCTGATGACTACTGAAAACAAACACGCTTTGGAACAAATATATTCTCTGTTAGAACGCCTTAGGCTTGGCTCGCAACTAAAGACTTGTTTCGGCAAATACATTGAGGAGCAAGGCTCAACGATCATCTTCGATCCTGAGCGGGAAAGCGAAATGGTAGCTCGCTTGCTGGAGTTCAAGGAGCAGCTTGACCATACATGGGCCGGATCTTTCCACAAAGACGAAGCACTAGGTCATACTCTTCGCGAAGCTTTCGAAAGCTTCATGAATAAGAGCAAGAAGACCGAGTCCAACTGGGGAACAGACAATTCCAAGACCGGTGAAATGATTGCCAAATATGTGGATATACTTCTCAAAGGCGGCCTCAAGGTAATCGGAAAGCAAGCAGATGATTCCGGTCTAGCGGATGAAGATACAGAAATCAACAGACAACTCGACAAGGTATTAGAATTGTTTCGATTTGTTCACGGGAAAGCAGTGTTTGAAGCATTTTACAAGAACGACCTTGCGCGTCGACTGCTCATGGGCCGAAGTGCGAGTGATGATGCAGAAAAGAGCATGTTGGCTAGGCTGAAGACTGGTAAGAGATTTTTACTTCCAAATGAAGATTGACACTAGTATGATATTGATTTGTGAAACTATCAGAATGCGGTTCCAACTTCACTCATAATCTCGAGGCGATGTTCAGAGACATGGACTTGGCGCGTGACGAGATGACATCGTACAACTCATATCAAAGCCAGCGTCGACACCGACTAGGCCTCGACCTCAACGTGAGTGTTTTATCATCAGCAGCATGGCCAACTTATCCGGATGTGACGGTCCGCATCCCTCCCGACATTGCAAAGGCAACATCAGACTTTGAGCAATATTACCATACCAAACACAAGGGCCGCAAATTGCACTGGAAACACCAACTAGCACACTGCCAGCTGCGATCACGATTCGACAAGGGAAATAAAGAGATTGTCGTCAGCTCCTTCCAGGCAATTGTGCTGCTACTATTCAACGATGTAGCAGAGGGCGAAACCCTTACTTATGTACAGATCAAGGAAGCCTGTGGACTTTGTACTCCTCTCCCTCCTACAACCCCCACCTAGTATTAAAGTGCCATACCACTAACTAATTCACAGCGGATCGCGAGTTGACGAGAACGTTACAATCACTAGCATGCGCCAAGTACCGAGTCCTCCTCAAGAAACCCAAGGGCAAGGACGTTAACGAAACGGACGTATTCTCCTTTAATGCGGGGTTCCAGGACCAGAAGATGCGAATCAAAATCAACCAGGTGCAGCTCAAGGAGACGAAGGAAGAGAACAAGACGACGCACGAGCGCGTGGCGGCCGATCGACACTATGAGACACAAGCGGCGATTGTCCGCATCATGAAGAGCCGCAAGCTGATCACACACGCGGAGCTCGTGGCGGAAGTGATCAAGGCGACGCGCAGCCGTGGTGTTCTAGAACCGGCGGAGATCAAGAAGAACATTGAAAAGTGGGTTTTTATTTCCCAAATTGATAAATTTCCGTTTCTGACAGTTGCAGGCTTATTGAGAAGGACTATATGGAGCGTGAGGAGGGGAACAAATACAGCTATCTCGCCTAGAGTACAGGTTTCGTAGTCTTACATAGAAATATTCACTAATTGTCCTTTTATCTCGCCGTATATGCAGTACATATGTTTAAAGAGTCTTAGTAGAAAAATATTGTGGTATTCAAAGTAGTGGCTCGGTGTCCGGCGGATCAAGACAGTTTGAATCTTTCTATTTCCTGATTTTCTTGGATTGTACCATTTTTCCTCGTTCGACATTAGGCAACCGGGCCTGGCTCTTGCCTTGGTATAATGTAACCTGCCAAGTTCAAGATAGACATCCAAGGAATCTATTCAATTGTGTCTCGACATTTTTAGGATAAGTTTGTTGGTGAGCTGGAATAACTCTATAATCAGAACTGGCTAGAATCGTCTTGAAAATAGGAGCTGAGGTTGTAACTTCTAATAATAGAGAGTCGGATGATCATTTATTCTAAGCTCAACCTGTATAGTTCAGACATTGTAAATCACTCCTCAAACTGGAGGGGATATGAGTCTAATCCCAAATAGGGCCGCCCCCTGGGAAGGTCACAACTTACAAGCCAGGCCATGGTTATAGCCTTCATTTCATTCAGGGCAGGCATTAAGGCATTGAAACGTGATCGCCATCCGTATAAGCTCTCATATTCGCCCGTTATTCAATTCCTTTGGAAGAATCCATCGCGCAATGCATACGAAACGACTGTCACTCTCGCAAACGTAAACACTCAGGCTCAAAACAATCCTACTCCGAGTCATCATCTGAGTAGGTTCATAAGAAGTAAAAGAGTTGAACATCCCAGCAGTTCTCTGCTTCCTGAAGCATTTTGGGATAATTTATCTAAAGTCTGGCTGACTCAAAATGCACTACGAGAACCTGGATCGAAGGAACAATCACACTTCAGCAGCCCTGCCCCAACAAACTCAATCCTTAATACCGGTTACTCGCAACGAATTAAGAGCCGCTCAAAAGTTTGCTCGTCATGGTGGTTCAAGCTTGTTGGATTCAATAAAAGTATATAATCTATCTTAGATTCTATAATTATAACCCGGACTGATTATTGTGGTATCTGGGGCCCACTATGAATTTTCCTCAATCAAAATACCGGGTCTTAAAGCTTGGTTTACGCGCTTCTTGGATTTCATGAGCATCTCCTTGACTATAAAAGTTTTCTATCCCATCATCTAAAACTTTTCGGTATCGAGCTTATCGCGGCGGCCATAATTGGATGTGAGATTTCAATGCATCGTCAACTTTACGCCTAGTTTCGAAGCTGCTGCCACACATGGCCACTACACTTCAACAGAACAATGGGTGACGACTGAGGCTAAGCTATGGGGACAGGTCATAACACTGCAACCCTTATGGTTAGGGTCTGTCAGCCAGTCCCCAAAGCAAGCTCCCCGCAAAACCCCCCGCCGTCCCCGCTAGATTCCCGCATAAAGCAGCGGGGAAAGAGTCCGGTGTTGGTGATCCTGTTGTACGTTAAATACCTTTGACCAGTGAGCTCCATGGAGGTAAATCACAGAGCATAGTCGCGGTTAAGCGTGACTGAGGACCATCGGTATTCAGTTCCGCGCCATCAAGACTATGGCGAGCGATAATGAATGTGAGACGGGCGTTATCATCTGCGGCTGTGGGCCGACTGGCGCCCTACTCTCAGTACTGTTGGGTCAACATCACGTTCCTCATGTAGTACTCGAGAAGGAGCCTGATGTTGTAGAGGATCCGCGAGGTATTGGCCTCGATGAGGAGGGTATCCGCTATTTGCAGGCCTGTGGTATATATGAGAAGATCTTTACCGACATTGGGCACAGTTTGTGGCCACTTCGCACCAAGTGAATCAGATCTAGCTGACCGCAGCTTGCAGGCCAGGAGACGTTCATGTTCATAGGTGGGTCCAAGAAGGACCTTAGTGCAAGGCCCTTCATGGATATGACATACGGCACGGTATGTCGACATGTGGTATGCTAGAGAACAAAAAGCAAGCACTGATCAGGGCTCAGACAGAAGGTGGTACTGGCCATCCTGGCTTCATGTGCCACAACCAGCCAGTCATGGAGAAACATCTACGGTCACGAATCGAAGAGCTCAAGGTTGGCGAACTCCGTGTCGGTTGTCGCGTGATATCCATACGAGAAGACGACGAATGGGTTTACGTCCAATATGTCGACGATCGTGACCACCAAAAGTCGATCCGAGCCAGGTTTCTCGTTGGCGCTGATGGAAAAACTGGATTTACACGAAAGCAATATCTCGAACCTCGCGGGGTCCAACTGGAGAAATTGGTGGACATGACCTACGAAGAAGACTGGGTGGCCATAAACTGGAGAATATCACTCCCGACACCAGATACACACCCCGATTTCCCGCTTTGGGAGAAGGGATACACACCACAACAGGTATACGACGAGTTTTTCCCCACTAACTTCCGTTTTTTGTGCAATCCCCAACGATCTGCAGTTTGCGGACGCTTCGGTCTTCCTAAGGACCGACTCTGGAGATTTGAATTCGTTGTGTTAAATGGCGAGAGTCCGCAAGAGATGGCGACCTTTCAGAAAATGGCCGAGGTTGTATACCCCTACATCACTCATCCAGGAAAGCGCCATGGAATAACAGCAGCTGAGGTAAGATTCCCGTCGGATTGCATCGAGGTCATGCGATGTCAGCCATTTCGTTTCTCTGCCAGAAGCTGTAACAGATGGTCTCTTGACCGGACCATTCTCTGCGGCGATGCAGCACACGTATTTCCTCCGTTCGGGGCCCAGGGTATCTCATCCGGCTTCAGAGATGCCATCTCTTTGGCATGGCGGCTGCGCCTGGCGATACAACACTCGGAAAGTACATCTCACCAAGATCCGAAGATGGACCATCGTCAACTTTTCGAGGGCTGGTACTCGGAGCGGAAGCAGCAGCTTGACGCATCTCTGCGAGCGACGATTGAGAATGGGGCCTACGTCACAGAGTCGGACAGTCTCAAGGTCTTTCTGAGAGACTGGTTTCTGTGGCTAGTGCAGATGATTCCCAGTTGGAAGCATTGGCTCCAGCTGGGCGGCCGGCGGGATGGCATGATACAGTATCGATGGGAAGACGGTCGAGGCATGGCCTTTCTGCCCAGTCTCGGCGGTGGTGGATGCTTCCCGCAAGTCTATGCTGCAGTTGTGGGCGGCACAGGCAAGGTCTCATTTACCGACGACATCATCTTCTCGCCGTCCAAGCAGGGTCTGTTTCAATTGGTCGTGCTGGCCAAAGCTGCTGCCGAGCTTGATGAACTCGAGCCTTCTCTCGCTGGCCTCAAGGAGAAAAGCAATGGAGCGTTGCTTCCGGGAGAGGTCTCCATATTTGCAGAGGATTCATTTGGCACTTCGGTAAGACCTAACGGGCGAGTCGTCTATCGATTCGCTACGGGAGACCAGTTTGCGAATGACCCGCTGTGCGCCGGAAGATTCAAGCCGGTGGGGTATGATCGTCACCAGATGGCAAAGGCTGCCAGAGGCAACAAGTTCGTAGTGCTTCGTCCGGACAGGTTTGTCTTTGCCGCCTGTAGTACGACGAAGGAACTTCATGAGGTCGCAGGAAGAATCGGGCATCTTGTTGTCAGGGGGGGACTGTAGGACTTGTTATTTGTATGGTACTTGCCTCTAGAAGACATGGCGAATCGTATTCCGATCTTAAGTCTGTCCGGTATTGTAGATTGTAGTAGCAGTCCGAAGTGGCTTAGAGGTTGAACAGTGATACAGTCCTTCGACAATAGGGCAGTAATTTGATTATAGCGCTAAATATTAGCATGCATGGCAGATAGCGCTATACTTAATTTAGGAAGGCTATATAATTTCCTCACAAATGATGGGAGTGTAGTTTGACAAATTCTAGAGCTAACCGAAGAATAGCTAGAGTAATAGCTAGAGCATGCTTTTATTTTAAGAGCCTTTCGCTCCCTCCGCCGGATGTTTGAACCAATGCAAATCATTAGAATGAATGAATTAGCAAACATTTCCCCGCAAAGCTTTGTCCATCCCCACAATCTCCTCCCGCAACCTCAGCAACTCCAATTGACGCCTGTTGATGAGGCACTATGACAGACGTCGCAACAGCCGGTTCTTTGGATGACAGTGCTCAATTTGCTTGCCAAGAGTCGACGGAGAACCGGTCGCAGCCGCCGAGAGAATGGAAATGCGACACATGCCACCAGGCGTTTAGGAAAAAAGACCACCTCAGTCGCCATATTCGGTCGCACACCAAGGAGAAGCCGTTTGCATGTAAAGTCTGCTCCAAGTCTTATGGGAGACAGTGAGTGGCAATGGGATAGGTACGGTGCTTGGTATTTACTGACGCCCTGCAGGGACTCGTTAATTCGCCATGCGAGGAAGCATTCTGCCAGGGCTAATCGAGACGCAAACACTTTTCCCTTGAGTATGACGATCCGTTTCCTTCCTGTGTAATTTATATTCAAGTACCAGCTCAATTAATGATAATTTACAGGCAACGAAGAAAATGCAAACCATGTGTCTATTGGACCTGGCCCAGACCATCATCAATCGAGTCTGCCTGCAACATTTGGATCAGGCTTCTATGACTCGGCAAATGGGGCTTTTCAAAATCGATTAAATCACACAGATCCGAATGGGACCGCCTTTGGGCCACTCTCCGATGTGAGTGGTCCGGTGCCCGACAGCGTGGCCAATGTTAGCTCAGTGAACTTAGGATCTGGAACGGATGAAACCTTTTGGATGCTCTCCAGTGACCTTTATCAGACACTTCAGGGCTTCTCTATCCCCCCGAACCTCCCACATGACTCGGAACTGTCCTTGGGAGCGTCCAATCCCGGCCAGACCCTCGGGACGATTGAGCTGGGTCGTACGCCATCAGAGGCTCCAGTTCGCGCGGAGGTTTGGAAGTCAGTGCGTGCCAGATGGCATACCAGACGGGCCTCAGACTCTCCGCCGCAGGCACAGCCGATTGGAAGCCAAAATCAAGACCAAGTTGATGAGATGTATCGTGCTGGTCTCTCGCACCGGTTGCATCCAAGCCCACACAACAGCACCCTTCCATCCGCTGACTTCCTCGTAAGTCAAAGCCGATCAGTGGGTGCCATGGCCTAGACTAACCGAGTTCAGAATCTCTGCATCAAGCTTTACTTCTCAAAATTTCATCCTATATTTCCCATTATTCATGTCTCGTCGTTTCGCCCCTCTTCAGAAAACTCACTCCTGCTCTTATCCATATGCTCCATAGGAGCTTTGTTCATCGGCCTTGAGAGTGCTAAAGCCTGCGGTCGTGCCATATTTCGGGGGTTAAATAAAGCACTTCTAACATCAGTATGTTGGGACAAGTATTATAGATATGTTGTTGTTCTGACTCAATATAGTGGGAAACCTATCTCTTTCAAGGTAGTCGCGAGACGCTTGCTATCGCTCAAGCCATCACTTTAGGACAGACCTTCGGCATACTGTCCGGGAACCCAAATGACCTATTCCTTGTCGAGAGCTTCCATGGAACTCTTATTGCATGGTCACGACATGCTGGCATCTTCCGTGTCAAGAGCGCATTGGACATAGTGGACACTGAGACCTCAGATGTAGAGTCTAGCTGGAGATCTTGGATTCAGGCTGAAGAGTCCGCCCGCGTGCTGCTAGCACTACACATCCAGGACGCCAAAATCTCTGCGATTTTCCATCACGAACCACTACTCAGACATGAACCAGAGAGGCTACCACGATGCTGCCCAGAGGAACTATTCGGAGAACCCACAGCGGCCAGGTGGCATGAGAAGCTCATGTCCTCCAAACCGGCGACTTCGCGACATACACAACATTCAAATGATACAGAGCATGTCTCTGCACCAGTTAGCTCAGTCACCTCGCCACCTTTGATGAACTCATACGCTTCCCTAGCAGGAATATATGCCTCCATCAGCGAAGCACGGGCCTCATCACTCAGTGACGAGACGGCCTGTAATCTCCAGCGCTCGCTCATGCTCTGGGCAGATCTGTGGTACGCCAGCACCAAAGAACTAGAAGACTCTTGTTGTCTGATGGTTCTTTGGAACGAGGCCTTCATGTTCCTCTACGCCGACTTTGACCTCCTGGAGCGCGTCATTGGCCGCGAAGGAACGTCCAGGCAAGAGGAAGATATCGATGCTGCTCGCAAGTGGACAACGAGCTTTGATGGTAAGCGATGCGCGGCTCACGCAGTGCTGGTCCTGAAGCATCTAGAGTTGATGCCCGTGGGCTCAGAGCCTGCCATTCACGCCCCCTTGGCAGCCTTCCACGCAGGCATCGTTGTATATGTGCATACCCTACTAGTGGGACCTGAGTCGCGGCCAATCGAATTCGACATTCCGGAGCTACCTGTCCGGTTCTCAGCGCTGAGGCGTACCTTGGGTAGTCGCACGATTTCGCAGGGTTACAAGATCGATGCCACGACACTGAGTGCTTTGACAGACCTGCTGCGACGGCAGGGTCACTGGGAGATTTCTCGCAAGTTTGCGTCCATCTTGGAGGTCTTGCTTGAGGACATCACCGACTCAGGTGAGCGCGTATGCCGAGGCCAGCAAGGCACCTCGATATTGTAACATTAAGAAATTTAATACCTCAGCCATGTGTACCGACTCGGCATTGATCATATTTAACAGGTTCACAGCATGCGTCAAGTACTGAAGTACGGCATAGAATATGAGAGCATATATTTTCGTCTCATTCAATTTCGCATGCGCAGGAGACCATTTATGAAATTTCTTCACGACATATTAGTCTGAAAGGATTAGGTAGCATATGTTACATTCATTGATTAATATAGTGTGACGTGCTATGGCCGTGATACGTTGCTCAAAAGCTTCACAAAAGTACGAAATGACGGATTCGGTTTTCCTGTGATACTCTCTATCGTGACTAGGACAGCTTCAGTGTCTCGCTCGAGGTTCTGGAGGGCCTCCCAGGTCTGCTGGAGCGCACCGGTTTGCCGGATTTTATCGAGGACCTGCCTCTTCACACTGGTCGGCAGGGACGTTCCATGGTTTCCTCTTTGTCGAAGAATCCCCATAACAATTGCTCCTGCCCTGGGATCAAGATTACAACACACTGTTACAGGATAGGAAAGCTTCCCTTCATCGAAATCCTCACAGAACCCCTTCTGCGCCGTGTAGTGTTCATCCTGGATGTTTTGATAATCATCTCGGATTTGGTACCATCGACCGAGAAGTCTTGTAAGTCGACTCAGATCAGCGATGGGTAGGTTTTCGGTACACGAGAAACAGTGCATCATTCGGATAATCATGTCAAACATAGCCCCAGTTTTGCCATCTACCATAGCCATATACTCTGCGATCGATGGGCAATAGCCCGTGAATCTCCAATCCAAGTCCCAGCTCTGGCCTAATGCCAGAGCTTTGGTGCCATCCAAAAAAATATTAATTAATTGGGGATATTGGTCCTGATATGTGACAACCGTGGACGCGGCCCTAGCTACCATGTATGTCGCACTGTTGGTGGTTTGGGCTATGCCAAAAACCTGGTGTGTCGCTGCACATCCTCGGCGTAGATCTGAAGAGTCCTGAATATCGTCAAGCATTAAAGTTGAATTATGCAAGTCATCAACCACACACTTGATAGTAGCCAGCTGATCGTCGGGAAGTTGGAACCATAAATTCATCGCATCAATAACTCTCGATCTCATGTTCTTCGATGGCAAAGACAGAATATACTCCACCGGAGCTAGGAGGGCCGAATCTCCAAGGTTTGTAGGCATAGAGTCTTGAGAGTAGAGCTGATCCTTTACAAAATCCGTACTTATGTAGTTAGCCCCATTTTCAATTGCTGTAGTCTTGATCTTGTATCTGTCGCAGGCTGAACACCAGATGTGGTGACCTCCGAGATAAAGCTGAAGCCCTTTGACAAATTTCTTCATATGGTCTGGAGCTTCTGGAAATGTGACATAGAAGCGTTCCAATAGTTCCTGGAATTTTTGCTCGTCTGCCAGGATGGTAGCTTTGAGCCTTTCCTTGGCCTCCTGCTCGGATTTACCCTCCGTTACCATCATCACCTTGACGGAATTTTGTAACCTACCACTGCCATCTCGTTCGACTTCCCAACTAAAATAGTCATTTGTGTTGGCAACAATTCTATCGGCAATATACACAAGCTCTTGAACATGTTCCGTATCTTCTTCCGACAGAATGATGCCAAGAGAGAACTCAAGGATTCCCCTCAGTGCACTGAAACGTTTACGTCAGATATGGTCATTTCAGTCTATGAATGGGCCAGCAATTGTGAACATACATCGTTCCAACATCTAGAATCCGGTGGGCGACAGACTCCTCAAAACTGGTGGGTTCTGTTTCTGGTGCAAGGGCTGATGGTTCGATCCAACCCTTCAAGCATTTACTTATGAGAACTTGTCCTTCAACTCCCTGTTTAGATGCAAAGGTAGAAATCACTTCGGACGCAAAGTGCTTGACGCCGAGTGACGGTTCAAGGACACTAGTGGCTTGTGGCATTTGCAGAACAGAGGTAAACATATCATTATGAGCCGTTACACGATTCAGCTCGTCTTTTTCCAAAATGTCTTTCCTCTAGTCAGCCTTTCACCTCGCAAGAAAGTAGTAATCAACCAAATACCATCATGAAATACACCCCCCTCCACTATCCTAGCAATATCATCCAGCCTTTCCGGTAAGCACTCGGGGTATACGAGACTGGCGAAATGGCCAACACACGAGTTCGCTTCGCAAGGAAGGCCCGCGGAGTTGTGCGACAACGCTGAAATTACCTCGGCACTAAAAGACTTTGCAGTTTCAACTACCTGCGCATCGTCTTTGTGGATACGGCAGGGAAGCGTGGTAAAAGAACCCTCGGGCCTTCGATGGATATTATCAAAGGGTTCAGAATATCCGTTAATATCAGCCTCAGATTTAGGAGAGGAATTTGAATGGCAACTTGGCTCAGACAAGCTTGTTATTGGCATCGTGCTCGAGTTCTGAAGGGGTTTAAACAATGAGATCAAAGGATCTACTGGTAACAGTGATGGGGAGTAGAATAGTTGAAATTTTTATATGCGGCAGTTAGTGTATCACAGGAAGTTTCCTGTTGGCCTCCATTTCCGCAGATCTGTTTGGGTTTATTCGGTTCAATCGGGGACCCGGAGGGGAAATAGGGAAGACCAGAGAGCTATAATCTACACAGATGGGAATGACACTAGATCAACAGAAATTTTAAATAGTAGATAATGAAAAGAATCTAGGGAAAAGAGCCGTCCTGCACCTGAAATGTAGTGCGGGTGTGCTCTTACTAAAACTAATAGTGCCGGAACGCCACGCCAGCTATATCTCGCTGTTGGAGACTGACCACGTCAGGCAAAAATATAATCAGTAGCATATAGCCCTATATCATATATGTATTATAGTGTATTCCAAGATTTTCATTAAATAATAGTATCTACCATCTAGTCCACCAAACTTGTTGTCAAATTGTCGGATCGACTTTATAGTAGTATGTCAAACTTTTCCTACTAGATTCCTTGGTTCCCTCCTCTGAAGCAAGGGGTGGGAATAACTAAGCCTTTGACAATATTACCCCATCATGGGCGGTCCGATCTGGTAAAGTGCCCACTTAGAGCCTGCTAGACAACGCTACGCCTACGGAGTGCATGCCTGACGGCCGATCTTAGTGCAAGGGGGAAGAAGCCTGAAGCCTGAATTTTGAATAACTGGAAACTAGATCTAATTTATACCCAATTTACTAGCGGAACTGATCGCTTATAATTCGCCAAATAATGGCGAATTCTCGGAAAATTGCATCGAAAAATAACGCGTAAAAACCACAGTCTGACATACCGTTCCATGGCGCGTTATACCGCACTAGCTGGCTGACAGTACCTTGCTACAGTAGTTCCGATCGTCTTTATGCCCGGTCGAAACTTGAAATATATCAATCGATAGTCCAATTTAGTGTCGGATCAGGCTCGAAACTATAAGTTACTCTTGTAGTCGCATAAAGCCCTAGACTCTTAACATAATCCACTAATCCACCACCCACCCACCACGTAGAACACTTGGAAAGCCTCATACATAAAAGACAGTTAACATGAGCATTAGCGTTTACTAGTAGTCCTTTTAGCATGTGCGAACACTTCGATATCCACCTCCGTATTATTGCAATGAGGCATTCCTTATTATTTGGTTTTGATTAGCCGTCAAGTCTCCTAACTATTGGAGATCTAAGAAGTAAGACTTGTGTTGACTATTTCGACTTTTGGACCATGTTCACGTGTTGTCGTATGTGGTAACTATGTTAAAATCCCATGACATGAAGGTCCAAAGCCCATTCCTCGTTATTCCTCGTTGTATTCTGCCTCACATTCCTTTCCAGCAGATACTATCAACATGGCGAATACAACTTGTCTGTCCGGACAGCAACCGGCGATTTTATCCTCAGTGAATATGTGCAATCCTGGATTTTATTGTAAGTGCTAAATATCGTCATATACCTAGGTGATGAGGTTACTTATGAATCGAAATCGTTTATGTAGGCCCGAATAATACGGAGAGAAATCCTCCTCAGCACTGCCCGCCCACCTTGGAATGTCTTCTTACACGCCTACAAGTCACGAATAATTATTGCGGCGAGGCTCAGGGCACTTACGAGCCTATTATATGCCGTGCAGGCTTCTACTGTCCTTCAGGGGGTAAGCAAGAACTCCTCTGTCCAAGAGGTTTCTATTGCCCTGTTGGCTCCGTGGCGCCTTTTAAATGCATGCCGTTATCGGTCTGCCCCAATGGCAGCGAAAGAGAGATACATTTGACGGGTTTTTTATGTTGTGCTTTGATTGATATCGCTCTGTTAGTTCTTTGGCTCTGGCCATGGCTACGTCGATTGCGAAATCGCTCCAACGGTACCACCAAACCACGCCCGCCTAGCCCAAAAAACCAGCCGGTTTCTAGTGATAGAAGGGTTTCAAATGACAATTGTAATACGGTTGTTATGCGTAACGATATATCTGGTACAGTTGGAATGGATATGGCATTCGATAAAGTGACTTTTTCTATCGAAGGCATGGACAATCTGATTCTAGACTCTGTGTCTGGCCAGGCTCAAAGCGGGATGTTGCTTGGTGTGATGGGACCATCAGGTTCAGGAAAATGTAGGATCCCTGTCAGAACTCAACTTGGACTCTTTTATACTGATAGAGACCAACCAACAGCAACGCTGATAAATATTTTGTGCGGTAGGCTGCGAGCTACATCGGGATCATTGTTACTCGATGGAGTGCCTGTTAACTGGTCCGAGTGGGTTCTCTTTTCCTTCTAGAAATGTTTTCAATTTTTTTAACAATAAAGCGAGAGGAAAGCCTTCAAAAATTCCAAGGGCTATTCGGTTTTATTCCCCAAGACGATGTCGTTCATCCTCATCTCACCGTTTGGGAGAACATCATGTACTCGGCAAAAATACGACTTGGTGGTACGTTGAAACACAGAGAAATTGAAAATCTGGTATATCAGATTATATTGGACTTGGAACTCGAAAAAGTTAAAAATAGCGTCGTTGGAAATGAGGATCGCCGCGGCATCTCCGGGGGAGAGCGAAAACGCGTAAGCATTGCTCTGGAATTGGTCGCTACACCTCCAGTTTTGCTTCTTGATGAACCTACCTCGGGTCTAGACTCTCAAGCGGCCTTGTCTCTAATTATGCTCTTGAAATCTCTGTCGCGTAAAGGGATCACCGTTATATGCGTCGTCCATCAGCCTCGTATTGAAATATTTGAGGCTTTGGACAAGGTGCTCCTCATGGGATCCGGAAAGACGGTTTATTTCGGTTCTCAATCTCTGGCAGTACGACATTTCCGTCGAATGGGATACGAATTCGATCCCCGATTGAACCCGGCCGATATTATGATGGACATTGTTTTTGGTACCTATGCAGGGAAACAATCATCTATAGTCAAATCGTTCAATGACGAGGATGCAAATTCATCAATGAAAGCAGTTGCTAAAAGGACTTCAGCGACCGGAGACGAAACCGTTAACGCATTGATGGTTCAATGCCATCGATATAGGCAAAGGTATTCCCCATGGTACAAACAAATATATCTCGCTTTTTGTCGCGATATGACACAGCAAAGTCGAGCAGCGTGGAGTTTTATCCTAGAGATCGCAGGAGGTACATTGTGTGGACTATTGCTTGGTCTATCTGTTTATGAGTTTCGTGGACATATCTATCAGGGAATGTTTCTAGAGCCATTTCATGTGTTGTCCAGTGCTGTTGATTATACACTGTTAGCTCAACTGGGCACTTTAAACTGCCTAGCCACAAGTATGCATTTTGGAACTGCACTCACCCTTGGAAACTTTTATCTAATTGTATATGAAAGGCTTCGCTGCTGCTGCGCCGAGCGTCATAGTTTTTTCCGCTGAAAGTGAGGTCTTCTTGCCGAATTGAAACTGAGGAAATGTTAGGACTGATCACTTATCTCATAGGACGCATATTCTTCCGCGAATCGTTTTCCGGTCATTCAAATTTTGCGTACTTCGGTGGTAAAGTCCTTACAACTCTTTTGAGAAGCGTTATTAGTTCATTACATTTCAGCACGATGTTCATCATTCTTGCGTCACCGGTGATTTCTTTTGGTATGCTTGTAGGGTTGAATATTCTCTATTTTTATTGTAAGTAGTTCTGACTAACCAGCAAAAGCACGGATGATACAGAGTTGACCAATATTTAGGTGTGTATGGTCTGGGCTCTATAATAGCAGCAATTACAGATCACGAGAATGGACCACTATTCTGCCTTCTACTCAATATCGTTATTGCTATCTTTGGAGGCGCCAGTCCCCGTCTTGCAACGGTCAAAAGCTGGCATCTTGAATGGTTTTGGTATTTGTGTCCAGGGGTATGTTTAGTCACAAACCTAACCTATGTAAATGTGCAGATTTTTTTTTGCTGACAAAATACCTTTAGCTATGGTTCTGCGAGGCCTTCTTTAGCGCTCAGGTTTTACCATTCTCCTACTTATACAACACCGAGGAGGCGGAAGCATTTACTGGATATAAATTTGGAAGGACAGGTCTTGATATTGGGTAAGTGTTCAGGGTCTACGAATATTCTTAGGGCCTCTGAAAATTCTAACCATTTTTTGCAATGTTGCTAGGCTTCTTTTAGTTATTGGCACACTGTATCGTATTATAGGGTGTTTTTTAATGATTCTGAAGGCGAGAACACGATACGGTCGATCGAGCTAAGACGGTATAGAGCCAATTCAGTTCAGAACGTACCTAAATGCCCGCCTCTTGTCATCTATGCATCTGTCACATGTTCCCTCTGTTATCTTTTCAGCTAATTAAATTTTTATATTAGGGTCAGTCTTTATAAGACAGAGCGCTATACAACCTTTATATGTGAGTTAGTTTTTATGAGATAGATCACTACCCGGCATTTATATATAAGGGTATACGTTGAGTTGGCAAGCTGGGAACCGAAACCGCATCCATCCAATTGCATGCCTGTCATGGACCTAGATGCATTATAGATGTCACTGGCTGTGTTGAGTACAATACCACGGTAGGATGAACCACATAGAGGTTCCAAAGGGTAGCTGGTAATGATAAACTAAGGTAACAGTGAATTTGATAAACATTAGAGTAGAGAATATCCCTCAAGGTGCTGTAGGTTCTTAAGTGTAGATGGTCTCGCTAAAGCTGTGCACAGCCCATGGAAATGTTGAGTGTGGTATTAGCGGTTTAAAAAGTGAGCCTGGCCCCTCTTGCTTTAGCTTAAACTCAGTGCCATGCAAGTTGGTCTCATAACAATACAGGGTCAGGATCAATGATTCCAGTACTCATCGGGTTAGTGGCTAGTCTTGCCGCCTTAACGGCCGTGCCCCAGCGTTGGTATATAAACTGTGCGTCAACCTACAGTCTATACCATACGCGCTACATTTTAGAGTAGAGTAGTGTAGCATGAGTATTCGAAATATTCCAGTGCATTTAATACGTGTATTGTAATGGTCTTCACACTCTACCAGAGCTGTCAATTCACTCTTCTTGCTTTATTGATTAGTCGGGAGATGAGCAAATTGATCAGTAATACTAAATTCGGCATGCATAATTTTTTGGCTAAACGCTTAAAATAACTTATTTAGTTGTAGCCACTTGTTCATTGGCAATGATCACGAAACTTGACTGCCTTGCTTCATTTTAGGTACTCGGACCAGTTACTATTTTATGTTGGGATAGGGCAAATACTCAACGGAGATAGAGTTTAGAACAACCCCCATCATGTAACATGAATTTGTTGAGAATATATTAGCTATCTGTGTATGTTTGTGGATAACGGGGGATGAAACTATAAAGACCTCTGAGGACCGCACGCTTTCTCGATTAAATTAAACCATCTATAATATCTTTAGCATCAAATTCAAAATACCTCCAACTCCAGCAAAAATGTCTCAAAATTCAGCATTCACAACCGATATTATCGTTGATCGCAACCAGTACGTACAGAACATATACGCCCTACCTATATCTCATTACCCCCAAACAATCCATAATAATCACCAATCGAACTGAATAGAAAATTAGGAATTATGCATCGAAGATACACAGCCCATTACCAATGCTGCATGACGCCAACGGTGTCCTCCGTAAAGGTACCGGGATGCTCGTCGGTGTGTTACCTCATCTGTATCTTGAGAATATTAAATACTTACGTATCCGAATATGAAAGTGTCGTGTGTTGATCCTCGCATTATCCCTGAATCATTCCTTGGTTTCCGAATACCAGGGGAGAATCCACTTGGTATGTTCGACTGCAAATTCAATATCACCAATGGAGAAGTATTGATGAGGATTCCTTCCAAGCTATCCCAGTCATCCGTGTGATTGGGGGTCGGGCCAGGCATGCTTTGGTCAACATTGTTGGTTTGGATGCTGTCTTTGGTATTGACACTGTGGTTATTATTCACCATACTGGTAGATCTAAAACTAGAGAGATGTCGCTATTGTTTTATATGATGCTAATACATGGACATAGATTGTGGTCTGACTCACAACACGGAAGAGTCAATTCGGACTTCCCTGAAAACGATGTTCCCTGGAAAACAAGAAACTATTGAGAATACGGAGTTTGGTGCGATTGAGAAGTAAGTACTGGTTCCTGAATTAAGACAGAGCTTAACTAATCACAGAATATTAGTCTTGAGCAAAGCGTGGTGGACGATATTCAATTCCTGAAATACTCCCCTCTGATCAGGAAGGAGATAGTTCTCAAAGGGTTTGTGTATGACATCCATACTGGTAAATTGAAGGAAATTTGTAAGCTAGGCGAGCATTCATGATATTAAATTGCAGACTTCTCTACGCAGGTAAGGATTATTATCGCTAAAAAAATACAACGTCCTATACAGGTGGCAAATACCTATAATAGACATGTCATGCACGCGGAATATACAGATTGGATCTATTAACTTTTAATTCGTGTTTTGACTCTTGACGAGATGTAAATGCAGTTTCGGGTCTAACATCCAACGCGGTATGGTATAGTGTACAAAACTTGGACCGTAGCCTGGTATGTATCGCGTCTTATACGCAGACAATAACACAAACCGCCGCGCTACCAGAAGACGCCTGCTTCAATTTCGAATTTGTTAATGTGTCGTTTTAATCGACGTCTTGTAATAGATAGTCTATCGAACACGACTGCTGTAATAGCTATATTGATAATATAGTATATTCAATAAACCCACATATATCCTGTAGTAAGCCAAGTGTATGGGTGTTCAAATGAAAAATAAATGAAGTCCTCCCCATAATATGCTAGTGTAGCAATACCGTCGTATTATTATAGACTGATTTTCTATATTATAACGGTGGAATCGCTTCAAACTATCTTGCTATTGTCGTGGACTATCTATTGTCACCAGAAGACTACAAGCTAGCTACAAACAAGGCTGTCCTGACTCAAGTAGCTGGAGAAGTGACCAAAGTAGGGGTTTTCCCGATTTCAGACCTCGGAGAATTGAAGTTTTCGCTCGTCTCTGGTTGCGGGACAGGAGAGTACTTTCTGCGTTTGAAAATGAACCACCTGTTCGAACAGTTTGTTAGGTTTCTTTCATGTTTCAATAAATGATGATACGGGTAATAAAACTCACAGTCCAGCAATTATGATGGCCAGAAACGGCACACCCAGTCCAACTGTTAACCCAATAATCAACTGGTCACGATGCGAAAGCCCTCCTCCACCTCCACTATCACCACCACCACCACTACCACCACCACTACCACCACCACTACCGCCGCGGCCACTGCCACCGCCGCCACCACTACTACTAGATGATGTAGACTTTGGCGGAGTATAAGACATTGGCGTGCCGCTGGTTGGAGTTATGGAGAAAACTTTCGATCCGAAAGGAATAGCGCTTGTGACAGATGCATACGTACTGGTAGGATACGTAGCCGAGGAACCAGACGGCACAGTGAGAACCGAAGTCAGCGTCTGCTTGACCGAGGTAGTGTTCTGCAAGTTGGGTGGACAATTGATCAGTCCTGTCGATAGACAGTTGACGATGGTATAAGAGTCTGTTGTCGATACAGTCGTTGTGACAAGCGTGTCTCGCGGTTGCAAGGCTGCTCGTGCAGTGACGTCTACGGCCGTGGCCGAAGTCGTGGTACTAGCAGTCTTCCTATCCGCACAAATGCTTGCCAGTGTCGTGTACCAAACCGGGGTCGTCGTATTTGGAGTTGGACCCCATTGGTATGTGTCGATGGCGACTGTTGCCCCTGCAGCGGCGCCAAGTGCAAGGGTGTACTCGGCGACGGCGGCAAGTTCGCAGTCATCGGTTGAGGATCCGTCGACTTCGACAAGGAAGTCAGCCACATACGCAAATACGTTGGCTGTAACCCCCGTGCTAGCGGTCAACAGCGGTGAAACTTTGGGGGAAACGAGCTGGAACCCGAGGTTGATTTCCAACTGGAGCAATGCCTGGATAGACCCATGGCCATCGATGGTGATAGGAAGGAACTCAAATTGTGCGCCAGGTCTGAAGACGTTAGCTTCAAAAAAAAAAAAAAAAGGCAAAAACTGCAATGGAAATAGGTTCTTACAGTGTTATTCCAGATGTGTTTTTGTTAAACAGCTCCAGATCTAGCGCGAGACCGTCGTCTACTTTTATATGGATACCGCCGCTAATATCTATCTCAGCCTTGGAAATAAGAATCAGCGTAGCACTCAAGACCGCACCGGCTTCCAAGTGTGGGATGGAGAACCCGGCTTCTGTCTCAGAGGTAAAGAGGTTCAAAGTGTACGTGGCTCCGGCGGACATCTGGAGTTCTAGATCTAGGTATAGCTCGAGCTCATCGAACTCGAAATGCCCATGCACGCTAGGAAGACTGGTCAAATTGGCATCATTGAAGTCGACATCTAATGTCGGCCAGGCCGGGATTTCCGACAATTGAAGCGTAGAGATATCTTTAGCGACTGTCTCGGTGTAGTTTTTCAACGTGCTCAGTGCAGAGTTTGTAACATTTTTAACCTCATTCCCTGCGATGTTAATGGCCTGGGTGAGGTTGAAATGGTCGTTTATTGTTAATGAGCCTTTGACAGAGCCATTTATGTAGCAAGTCGCACAGATAATTGCAATGCCAGCGTCAGCATCCAATGTTCCACCTTTTCCGAAATCACTGCTAGCGCTGTAAAAGAAGATTAATGGGGGCTTGATTGAAAACTGGAACAGATAGAGACAAAGCATACCTTATGTCAATTGAGAAAAGCGTCGCATTAGTCCAGCTTTTTGCCAGCGACGTTTGGTTCATTGTATATGTGTGATCTCTCCGATGCAGTCTAGCCGCACGCAGAGCTCTCGCTACAGCATCGACAGTATCTGCGTCGCCATTGCGAGTTTGAAGAGCGACATCTCCTACTGATGCCGCGGTGACAGCGGTAAAAATTGAGGCCCAGCAAAGGACAAAGATAGCTGACAAAAACACCATCATGCGGGTTGATCTGGCTAGATGCTGGATAACCCTGATTTAATGTTGGCAAGAGGGTCCTCTTGAATAAATATTATTCATCCCCTATCTCAGCCTTGTGCAACATTTTCATCCAGCCGTCCTAGACAGTTTCGCGTTGCCGCTACTGCATGAGCCTAGCTAGGGTACATATTATTAGCTACTACTCCGCATAGCAAAGTGTAAGAGACTAACTGCGCCGCATTTGATGCATGCACAGCCGGAGAGTAATGCGCGCATGTCCTCGACGTTCTTTAGTACTTGGCAAGGGTACTAATATCGGAGTCGCGAGATTCTAACGGTTTACATTGTGTCAATATCGAGAATGATTGCATTCGCAGAGACCAGGAACTGGGGTAGTTTGATGCTCAAAATTGGGAGGAATTTTTCTATCTTGGTTGCACTAATTTAGTTGTAACTCCTAACACAGTTTCCAGCCTTAGTTATCGCGCCTAGGAGACTAGCACGACAAGGGTTCTGTGGGGGCCAATAATAATGGGCACCATTCATTCACATCCACAATCGAAAGGAAAATTAACCCATAAACCTGACTAATTACCAGCAGTTTGACGAAGACCCTTGTCAAGTGAAGGGATTGTGAGAACTCGCTTCTCGACCGGGAGGCTGGTGGAGGTCATTGCGTAGAGAGCAGAGCTAGGAAAGTGGTCGGCCACAGAGGGGAAAATGAGGAAGAAAGAAACGAAGTTTGAAGGATGGCGACGATTAGAACGCAAGAGATCAGTCTAGAGGTCAGTTATATCAATTTTATTTTTGTCGGACGTGACTGTTGAATTGTTGACAAAATGGCCAGCTAGAGCCATGCCTGATCGGGCGAGCCTAACCATCCGCGGTAGCTCACAGGACGCCGATGCTTAGGTGATACTGTACAATGTAAAAGGGCCAAGCTAATTGTATTGGCGTGATTAATAATAATATAATAATATGGAAGAATGAAAATGCAATCCTCAGCCCGCATGGCATGTGGCATCTCTCGGACGAGAGCTCGGGCTACCGAGCAGAAGCAAAGTGACAGCAGCTAGGGGCCCACCAATAGGATCTAGATCTGACAATCTTGAAACAAAGTATCAGATCACTCCAGAGCTTCGAAAAGCGGGCGGGCATAGTGAACTGTAGTCTGGATGCGGTGAAGATCCAGCCATACAGCGCTGAGCAGAGGATCACGGAATTCCCGAAACGAGCAATGCCGGGGCTTGTGCTCGGTCTAGGTTGGGCCCGAAAAAGCAATAAGCTTTACAACTCTTTCGTAGAAGAGGGCAAAACCAAAAATAAAACAAAAGAAGCAGCTGTAGCCACTATCTGATAATAGGCTACTGCTACCAAAGTGTTCATGTGAGCAGTAGAAAAAAATAATTATGGAGAACAGAGCTCTCCGAAGTCAATTCCTGCCTTCCATGCATTCCGGCGTTAACAACTTAGCAAGGTACTGTACAGTGGAGGCGTCGTGTGATTCACTGTGTTTTGCTGCTCGTTCGGAGTATTTAAGTATTGCTGGCGATGCCTTGGGAGGTCGTCTGCAGCTCCTGTTCTTTCAATTATTATTTTTATTATTTCTAACATACTTCATAATTTTGTCTGGTTCACCCGTAACCCTAATCAATTGCCAATATCACCCTTCGCTTCAACTTCCATCACTCAGGTACGGAGCTGTTATTTAAATTCATTCGTTTCCCTGTGTTTTGCGTTCCGGTGCCTAAAGTTACCCAATTTGCCCTCACCACCCCCACGGCTAGTACTGCTCTCCCCCACGTCTGAATCAGTTCTGTCTCTATACACCTCACGCTAAGTGTTGTGTCTTGACTCGAGAATCTGTTCGTAATATCTCGCTCCAGGGACGAGGAACAAGCCCCCACGCTTGAGTGGCGATTCAGGAAAGCTGGGCAGTGGACGGTTGGCGGTTAGCATGGTGTCACCGTGATGTTGGTGGACGCTGCACTGCACAGGGCAGTGGAGCAAACCGAGCAGGTTGATATTCGTAATTCGCTGGTTACGCCGCCTGCACGGGGAAACACAACTAACCCGAATAATTCTCGAACTTCCCCTTGTCCAAATGATTGTTCTAGCTCAAACCCCGCTGACAGAAATCATCGATGGCTAGCTTTCCCCACCCTCTCCCCGCCCTCCACCGTGCGGACCTTTCGCCGAGGCCATTGTTTTTAAGCCTCTTGTACCCCCGGTGGTAATCAAATCGATATAAAGTGTATAAGACATCTAGCGGACTCTTGCCGGCACATACAAAGTTGGTCTCTTGATTTTCGTGTTGAAGCGAGTCGATTCGCATATATCGGCGTTTCCCGCCTCTGTCTATTTCCCAATTAGGCTGTTTTGTATACATTCTCCAGAATCTCAACATGTCGAGTAAGTACAGCTTACGAGTGTCTCCATCAGCCGAAATCGCTAACCTGGTATAATTGTAGCCAAGCACTTCTTCTCAGACCCTACTCACCTCGTCCTCTCCGCCCTCCGTTCCCTGACTTACACAAACCCGTCTTTGGCTTTCGATGAAGAGAACAAGATCATTTTCCGCCGCCCCGACACCACCTCCAAGTCCAAGGTCGCCGTGATCAGTGGTGGTGGCTCTGGACATGAGCCTGCCTTCGCCGGTTACGTGGGCAAGGGACTCCTAACCGCCTCCGTCGCTGGAACCATCTTCGCCTCGCCCGCAGCCGAGCAGGTGCGTCGCGCCGCCATTGAGCGTGTCGATACTGAAAAGGGCGTTCTCATCGTTCCTATGAACTATACGGGTGATGTGCTCAACTTTGGCATGGCCGCCGAGAAAGCAAAGGCGGCCGGCCAAAATGTTGAATTCTTTGCTATCGGCGACGATGTCGGTGTGGCCCGCACCAAGGGTGGAAAGGTCGGCCGGCGTGGTCTTGCCGGAGGTATTCTGGTTTTGAAGATCGCTGGTGCCTTGGCTGAGACTGGGTAAGTTTGGTCTCCCTAGAAATAAATACGTTCTCGCAATCGAAAACGCAAGCTAATGGAATCAGTGCTTCGTTGGATGAAGTATATCGTACCGCCCTGCTCGCAGCTGCCAATACCGTCACCTTAGGCTCTTCTCTCGAGCATGTGCATGTTCCAGGCCGTGAGGTCTCGTCTGAGATTGTGCCTAATGACGAGGTGGAGGTTGGAATGGGTATTCATAATGAACCTGGCTCTCACCGCATGAAGGGCGCAAACCTGCCCACGCTCGTCAAGACCATGCTCCTCCAGCTTCTGGACCACAACGACGCGGACCGTGGCTGGATGAAAGTGGAGTCGGGCGACAAGTTCGTTCTTCTGATTAACAACCTGGGCAGCGTGAGCACGCTCGAGTTGGCCGGTATCACCGCCGAGGTCACTGCCCAACTTGCCAACGACTACAACATTAAGCCTGTCCGGACATTGCAAGGAATGTACCTGACCAGTCTCAACGGTCTTGGCTTCAGTATCTCGCTTCTCAAGCTTGTTGATACAGGCCTGGGTGCTGGCCGCTCTCTTTTGGAGCTGTTGGATGCACCCGCGGAGGCTGTTGGCTGGACGGCCCCTGTTCAGCCTTCCACCTGGGAAGAGCACGCCGCTGGTAAACCCGTCGAGTTCAAGAAGGCTGTCTATGCTCAAGATGTACCCAGCAACCTAAAACGTGAGTCCAATCTCTTACCCTGTCGGGAAACACTTCTAACAGACATTCTTACAGTCGACCCAAGTCAGCTCAAGAAAAGCCTCTCAGCCGGTCTCCAACGCATAATCGATGCCGAGCCTCAGGTTACCAGGTTCGACACCATTGTCGGTGACGGCGACTGCGGTGTCGGTTTGAAACGTGGAGCTGAGGCCATTCTCAAACTCATCAGCGAAGCCAACCTATCCGACGACATCGTCTTGACTGTTGACAGAATCGTCGAGGTTGTGGAAGCCACCATGGACGGAACATCCGGCGCTATCTACGCGATTTTCCTGAACGCACTCGTCCACGGTCTGCGCGCCCAGGACACCAAGGGAGCTGCGACTCCGGTCGATGCAAAAATCTGGGCTGAGGCTTTGAATTCCTCCGTCACGGCTCTGGCCAAGTACACCCCCGCACAAATCGGCGATCGCACACTGATCGACGCCCTGGTGCCTTTCTCCAAGAAACTCCTCGAAACAAAAGACGTTCACGCCGCTGCCAAAGCGGCCCAAGATGGCACCGAAGCCACAAAGCACCTCAAGGCCAGTCTCGGTCGCTCCGTATATGTGGGTAGCGAAGAAGAATGGCTGGGCAAAATCCCTGACCCTGGTGCCTTCGGCTTGTCCGAGTTCCTGACTGGCCTAGCGGATAGCCTGTAAATACTAATCTCTTAATCTGTAATTCTTTCCTGTTGCCTTCGAGCTGGCCATGATATGATTACTCTTGTTTTCTTGTTTTTCTGATGTCTAATTCGAAGCGCTGTTGATGAGCATGATTAGTTTCATACCTTTTGTTTCGTGTGTATAATGAGTGGAGCGTAGGAATGAAACCCTAACACGAGTCAATCATAAAATATGCAATGCAATTCCAGGACCATCACTAGTTTCCTTGTAGTACCACAATCTACTTTCGCAGAAAGAATAGATCACTTCAGAGGGTCTTCTCTAACAAGAAACGATGATAGTCGTGGTTTGCATTCAGTGCTCAGGGTGCACGTGTTGTGAAGGACGCGGGGTGGAGGTAGGAAGCTTTGCGTATATCAGACTTGAGGCGCCTCAAGTTGATGCCTTGACAGGCAGTACTAGCAAGTAATTGCCAGACCCACCTTTCATGCTGTTGTTTAATATTCAAGTGCTAAAGAAAAAAGTATCATCTTTCTAATTTTTTTGATTCCCTTTTATCTATTTTTATCAGTCTTCATACCTAATTACTTGCCTTCACACAGAGTGTAACGCGTGCAAGACTTTTATACATTCCCGAAGAAAAAAAACCATGAAAACGCCGACTTCTCGTCTCCTGAGTATCCGCCCATTTTGAGGAAAGGTAAGGTATCGCTGATGAAAAAACGGGATTTCAGAAATTTTGTATCATGTCGTATCAAAGCAACACACATTTAGCTGAGTAGGACGAGGATGACCGAGTCACCACGCAAAAACCTATATATAGAGCGTTAGCATGGTTCTAGGTCTAAGGCGAGTCGCATGTAGGCAACAAGGCGAGCAGAGGGAGGGGTACATTTTGCTGATAAAGCGATCCTTGTTGACGCCACGACCCTTGCCACCCTTGGGCTTCTCGGTCCACATCTCCTTGACATTTTCAAGTACCATGTTGCAGTGCCGATCGAAGGCTTTCACCCGGGCGAGGAGCTTGCGGTTGTTGCGGCAAGAGATCAGGACTTGTGTGTGGGTGCGGGTGGCTGTTTGGAGCAGAGATAGCGGACCGGCAGTAAGCTCATGTTCTTCGACTAGCGAGACTTCATATTCACTAGTACAGCCTTATTAGTATCGATACTCTAAATATAATTATGTATGTATTTGTTCAAATGGCATCTTGGCAGCTTGATATAGCTTCCAGTCAAAGGGTGCAGTTAAAAGAGTCATGGAGGTAAACGTACGTTAGCTCGTTGCGGGGTTTGTTGAGCAGATCCCTGTGAAAAAACAATAATCGTTAGCGTAATCAGTTGTCAAGATAGCTTCAAAATGTCGCATATTGGATGGATGTGAGTGGTTGGCAGGCATGGCATCGATGAGTCATATCCCGCACTTGGCTGGAACGACAAGGATGAGGGGCCACATGAATAACGTACTGGATCTTTGCGTCGGACATTGTGGGCGGGTATATAAAGAGGGCGCGAGGTACTCGAATGCTGCTGCGAGCGAGTGCGCGGAAGAAACTACAAAGTACGGGATATCTGCTGAGTCACGTGACTTCCACGCTCAGAGCGGCCTAGTGCAGATATTGGTTTACACACCGCCTGGCAGAATCCAGCGCGGTCACGTGTGTGACGTGTTGCCTTATTTTGGCGTCCGTCAAACTCCCGCGATCGCGATTGGCTGCGTCACGTCGCGTGTTTTCCACGCGGAGCTTCAGCATCTCTCACTACCTACTACCTCCCAGCCTCTTGCCGTGCCATTGATCTTCGAGTATACATAGTAAGGCCCAACCTGACCGAGCTATATAACTTCCTCTTTCCTCTCCTCACCTCGCGGCTTCCTACTGCTTCGCTACTCACATGTCCAATCAGCGCCTTGCATATCCTACATACCTTAGATTGGCTGCCCGCTTAGATCTCCATATCGTGCATACCGCGCATTCTCCTAGTCGACAGAGCCGAGTCCTTGCATGACCAATCTGCATTGGGAGGAACTCAATATCCCACGGTACTCACCGCAATTGTCACTTGAGTTTCCACGTTCAACACGGTGTCTGCATCGTGAGAACCCTCTGCGAGTCACGACCTTTGCAGAGAGCTCCTCATTTCTCAACCATCGAGTCATTTTACTAGCACTCCACTTCATGCCTTAGAATCGACCCAAAAAAGTGTTTGTGTATGGTGAGAGCCACGGAATACGCCTGTGATGGAAGATCAGGATGGTATTACCGTCCGTGCTATGAGGTGTACGTCCAATTTGAGCCATATTTGTTGCTAGAGCTGTTGCTGACTTTTCTTCGGGTCCATTTAGTGAAGGTGTTGTATACATTCGATGACGAGAACAAAACCAATTGTCTAGCCCGTTGGCCGCAGCTACTCGATATCCAAACAGCTTATCTCGATGAAAATACTCAGATAGGTGTTATAGAGCTGAAGACATGCATCCAAGCAATCGTGTCTGCCAGGTAGGTGGAATGATCCCACATTTGTTGTTTATTATGACTAACTTTGACCAGCCCAGAGTTGGTGGCAAAACTCGGCCAGGATTACACCGTCTACGCTTATGACTACTCCGAGTATGAGACGCCTTTGGTTGGGCAAGGTATGCTGTCGTGGGTTTTGGCGTCTGCATCCCCTACGCCAAACGCCCCAGCACACCAGTCTAAGACAATCGTCACCGGGCGTGTGAGCAAAAATGTTCTCGGGCTCTTTTCCAAAGGGGCACAGGAAACACTCGAAGTCAAGCTCCGGCTCGTTCCTGTTCCTACCGTTATGCAAAGCGAATATCTTGAGAGCATGCAACGCTACAGAGAACTCAGCAACATCATTCCACAGGGGTTTGATTCCCAGGCGTGGTCATCGTTTGTTCAGCAAAATCCTAATGTTTTCACTCAACGCGCACAATTGATGGAGCGCTCAAACTCGTCATCCATGGATCATTCCGGCATCGAACGATTCCATCAACTTCTTAGCGCAGGATCGACTCCTCGAGAATTTCCTTCAACGCATCCAGAATCAGCAGCACCCTCCCCTGTGGACCTGGAAAGCCGGTGCGGTACCCCAATTGGGATTCAACAGAACAGCCAACAACTACGGCAGATTCTTCCTAGTCTTGAAAGGAGAGGCAGCGAGACATCTATCCGCCCGTTATCTCGAGGATCTATGTACGAGGCCGATTTTCAGAGACCATCTGCAGGCGTTCGTCGAAGCTCCTTCTATTCTGGATATGGAAGTGGTGATGAGACAACGGAGAACCCCCCTCGCAAACGTGCCCGGCTTTTTAGAGCAGACACAACTGGAAAAGATGACTTGAATATCGAAAAGCAGCCAGGTTCCTTGCGTGTGGCTGCAAGCACAGCGGCATCCGTGCGAATCCATCGCCCAACCCCTATTAATGCCAGTCATTCTTCTATTACCAGAAGTGCCCTGGAAGAACCCGTCCGTCCACCAACCCCAATTTCACGCGCTTCAAATGACGCAACCCGACGAAGTCGTCCTCCCCCAAGTCTTCTTCGTGAATCATCTACGAACAGCACTGCGACCACATATAAATCACCTTATCCCGCATACGACGATGCTCCTTCAACGGACCTGCCTACTACATCACCTGATGATCATCGTTACCAGGGTATCTTTGAATCTCAAATCAACATGCCCTCGTCCCCACCTATCATGGACACTGGATTCCCTAGTCGCTCAAGCCCTGTCCTTCCACCGTTGCCAATTCCAGATTCCGGATTTATGAGCGCGACACTCGAGGATCTCATGGATGAAGACGGCTGCATGCGGCCAAATTTGAATGAGAGTAACCTCTTAGCCATGGCTGGGCAAACGGGAGAGAATCATCAAATTTTGACGGGGAATCAAAACTCGGCAAATAACAACCATTTAGTGACTAGACATCAACACGATTCTTTTTTAGAGAGTGATGGCCCGTATGAAGCAACGCCTAAAGAGGCACCAACTCTTCCGCCTCAACGTGCTTCTACGGCATCTCGACCTTCTTCCAGGGCAAGCACGAGAGCACCACAGAAGCTTGCGCCTGCACCGATATCTCAAAGTGAAATTGAGCAACTGATAAATTCAATTCCTGCGAGCGACCCTGTTATGCCACAGCAAGGCTACCTACAGCATGCACATACATGGGCCGGGTCGATGAGTGACCTACCCAGTGCCGAAACCCCAGCACCGCAGCCTTTTGAAGATGGTGGAAAGATACGAAGCGGAGCAGGGGCCAGAAGAGTGAGACAAGTTCAGGCCCGTCTAGAAAACTGCATTCGAGAGGGTCAGGTCCCACCTTACTGCAACAATTGCGGTAATATTGAGACCCCCACCTGGAGAAGAGCCTGGTCAAAGGACACTGAAGGAAGTGAGCAGGATGCAAATGACTGTCTTAAAGACCCTCTGATACTCTTTTGGACTGCTTTAAAACGGGATAGTGATGAGAAGGTTATCAAATTCCGGCTCTACAAAAAGACACTGGTGGATGCAGACAAAGATTTCGACCAGATCCTACTCTGCAATCGTAAGTTTTGTACAGCATTCCATTAACAGAACTAACAAATGGTGTAGCTTGTGGTCTTTGGCTGCAGAAGTTTAAAAGCATGCGTCCTGAGAACAAATGGAACAAGCAGCCCGCAAAAGACAAACGGAAGCGATCATCCCGAAGCCGTAAAGGACCGTTGTCCGGCGGTGTGTTTTCAGCTACTCGAAGCCGAAGTAGGACGCAGATGTCACTTCCACCTGGATCTTCCCCAGCCCATACAGATGCGTCTTCTCCAGCGGGTGAGAATGGTTCTACAGCGGGTGATGATGGAGTAACCCCGGCTGTGGAGAATGATCACGAGAACGACAACAATGAAAATGAAGGAGACGAGCAGAACCACCCAGCCAAACGTGCCCGTGCAAGCAGCGCAGAACCAACGCGTACAACAGATAGCGCTCAAAGCCGGTGGGACGAGAACGCTGCCATGGAGGCGCTGAGACGCGCGATTCAGTCAAGTCCAGCTCGCAATCTTGATAGTCGATCATTGCAGTTGAACGGAGAGAGCCTTACTCCGAAACCGGTTAGAAGGACCTTGTTCCCGAATGGGAATGATGGGCCGTTGAAGAAACTGGGTGAGTCCTTAATGAACAGTCCACGCCGAAGTCCTCGCGTTGCTTCACGAGGTTCTGAGAAGACAGTAGCAGACAAAGAAAACACTGCATCTGCTACTGACCGCAACCTGGACGATCTATTCAACAGTTCGTCCTTCGACTTTGCCATACCCACGACGCCGACGCCTAAACGACGAACCCCCCGTTCTGAACGAAGATTATCACTACCCGATTGCTCTCCGAGTGCCAACAGAAATAAGAACGCCACATCAGTCCTATCGTCAAATACGCAAGAGATGAACAAGCATTCGCGTGCCATATCTGACAAATCTCCCCTGGCAGATGACGCCATGCAAAACAAGGACAGCTTCGGGGGAGTGGGAGACATGGTTCTAGACGATCTGTTCCAGTCATGGCAATCTCTACCTCAATCGGATGCATACAACCCATTCTCCGACTGGTCTCCGACACGTGGAAATATCAACACTGGGCTCCATTTCGGAGATGACTACAATGATGATGAAGCTATTATTAATGCGATGCTGTCGGATCCTGAATACAAGTCAACCGCAGACTTGAGCTCCGTCTTTCCGCCCCCCACAACTACATCTACAGTCACAGCTATCCCGACATTGGATACTACTTCCAGCAACGCCCCGGAAAGCAATTCTCAGGCTGCCGTCCCCTCCGTTTAAATAAATCAAAATTGCATTCAATATTCTCAATTTTACGAAGTTCATGGCCATACATTGTTTTTTCAGAAGCTATAGCGACGGTGTTGGATTTTTTTCCTAATCTTTATCAGAATACGAAAGACATACAAGGGTTCAGTATTTTATCCATGGAAGAGTTTCAGCTTACGTGAACGGTTTTTTCCTATAATTCAATAAAAATAAAATAAATGGATATCTTCTAGAACATTCAATATTCCTTTGGTTTACCGTAAACATGTATGTATTAATGTCAGAAAGACTTATTTATTATTACTTCAATGCGTTTGCTAGGGTGGACTTCTACAATATCAACTGGTGAGTCCAGCCGGTTTACTCTTTCAATATCAAGACCATTGATTGGAAATTGAACAGCCGTCACTAGTGGAGAAGCCAAAACCCAGTCCACTCAGTCCAGTCTATATCAATTGACCAAATTTTTGAGGGGTATCATTCACATTTGTCTAACTAGGCTTAGTCGAGAAGATTCACATCGAAATCCACCCATATCATCATCTCCCTATCTCTTACGTAGCTGACCAGCTTCATACTTCCTCATCCAAATCGTAAAAAATTTCCTTGCATCGGTGCGAAACATCCACGACCTTCTCATAGATTTTATAATCTACAAACAAATTATTAGCATACCAACCCATCACCCCAAACAAATCATTCCACTATAGAAAAAAAAACATACCGCAATTGGCCGGGCTCCCCCAATCCGTCGTTCCCAAAACCCTCAATCCAAGCCCCTACCACAACGCCCTAATCAGCATTCCTCTTTCTCGCGCAAAAAGGAAAAAATGGGCTGCTAACCTGGCCACCATCCAACTCAGTCACTTTACCGACTATCTCAAACAACTTGCCCATTTGCAGATGTGAGTCGGGGCTCAAGAGTAATGTGATATCGCCGTGGGTGCCGCATGTAATTGTGGCTGTTTCGCCGCGCAGCGCACTTATTGTGCCCAGCACACGGACTGTATGAGAGCGACCGGCGCCGGAGGAAGGGTGGAAGGCTTGAAGATGGGAGGGAAGAATACGAGGAGTTTGGAGGGCGTTCATGTTGTGGGCGTGGTGAGGCTGGCTGTGTAGAGCAGTTGCGATGTTGGATATGAAACCACTTCCTATGTTAAGCGCAGTCGCGGGGTCACGGCGCGTTCCAGTGACGCGTTATCACGTGACTAAATTAGTCTCCAACAGAATCATGTGATCTTAAAAGCTCTCCCGCATGAAATGCATCGTTCGTGCAACAATCCAATTGCGTATACGACAGCTATTTAGCACTAGACACATCCTCATGTCTGTATATCGACGCCTATAACATACCTCCATCATCTACAGCTTTCCATCGCGCCGGTCGCGGCTGTCAACGCCGTCGACATCATGCCGCCCCAATTCCCATCTACACATCGTGGCATGACCGCCAATCCGCTGAAACCTGTGAAACGATATCGACCGGGTAAAGCGCTAGTTGAGGAGAAGTCGTCGGACGAGGAGGAAGAATCTGACGACGCTGAGGAAATCGCAAGAGAGGAGCAGCGGCGCAAACAGGAAGAACAAGCCAGAAGGCGCCCGGCTCCGAAGGCGACTTCCTTCCCAGGTGCTGGGGCGGGTAGAATTACAAAGGGTGTTCGAGATGTCCAGATTGCCAGGGAAGATAGCGAAGACGAGGATGAAGACGGATTTGTGACGGATGAAGACGAAGAGCCGACTTCTACTGTGGTAGCGAAGCCGAGCATTGCGCAGAAACCAGACCCCGGTATTCAAGCGCCTGTAGCGAAAGAAGAAGAGGAAGATGAGGATTCCGAAGAAGAGGAGTCATCAGAAGAGGAAAGCTCGGAAGAAGAGCAGCCGAAAAGAGTCCTTCTTCGGCCTACCTTTATTAAGAAAGACAACCGCAAGGAGAGCGGGCAGAATGGGGATCAGACCATCACTCCCGTTGTAACAGACTCCGCAGCAGACGCAGAGGCTCGCCGAGCTCAGCGTCAGGAAAAAGCAAACGACTTAGTCCGCGACCAACTGGAGAAAGAAGCCCTTGCACGCGTTGCTGGCAAGAAAGCGTGGGACGAGGACGAGAACGTTGCAGCAGAAGAAGAGGCACTTGATGACCGCGACGGGCTGGACCCAGATGCAGAATACGCAGCCTGGAAACTGCGAGAGTTGAAGCGCATCAAGCGCCAGCGTGAGGCTATTGAAGAAGCAGAAAAAGAACGAGAAGAAATCGAACGACGACGAAATCTCAACCCGGAAGAGCGTGAACGTGAAGACCAAGAGTTTATCGGGAAGCAGAAAGAAGAGAAAGAGGCTAATCGCGGCCAAGCTGGGTACATGCGACGGTATTTCCATAAGGGAGCCTTCTTTCGAGATGATCTCGAGCGAGAGGGGTTGGATAAGAGAGATCTCATGGGTGCTCGCTTCGCAGATGACACCAGCCGAGAGGTTTTGCCAGAGTATATGCAGATACGTGACATGACCAAGTTGGGCAAAAAAGGAAGAACGAGATACAAAGATCTCCGTTCTGAAGACACCGGGCGATGGGGGGAGGGATTTGCTCGTCCTAGACGACCCCGTGATGAGAATTTGGTTGGAATCACGGATGAAAGGTTTTTACCAGATAGCAACCGTCGAGATGATCGTGAAGGGACGGGGGCAACGGGTGCCAATGCAAGTGCGGTCAGGGAACGTCGTCGTTCGGGTTCACGGCGAAGATCCAGATCGCGCTCATATTCTCCTCGGAAGGATCGTTACAAAGGCGACAGCAGACAGGATTCTCACTACAGCGATCGGCCTCGAGACAGAAGTCGGAATCGGGATAGGAGAGACGATTACCGCAAAAGAAGCCATTCGCCTGATGATGATCGAGACAAGCGTCGTCGTGTGGAAAATTGAACTCATGTATTTGTATCTAGGTAATATTATAACATGCATGGAAGGGCGTTCGGAGGAAGGCAAGAAAAATTTGCGACACGACCATCGAAAAATGGCTGGATTTAGTGAAATCATCTAGTGCAGAATACCCAGAAGCTAATATCAAGAAGCTATTTGAGAAACTCCAAAGATTGCCGCCCACTTAAATTTCACGAGTTTTTGTAGAATGGAAATACAGACGTTTTCGAAATCTGTACCTACTTCAATTACTTCAAAAGGTCGATGCTATGTTTTAAACCCTAATGCAAGACAACTAGTCCGAAAATGGACAGCATTAATTTATGCACTATCCTCGAATTGGATAGTAACGTATTTCACAACATTTTTATTGGGAAATATAGTCTGAAATTGATATTATAACTATTATATATTATAATCAAGAATTATTTTTAATATCAATAAACTTAAACCAAAAAAAATATATATATTATTTTAACAACTACGCTGTAATTCTATGTATATTTTAAATACATCTTTATTATTGTAATAATTATTAATAATTATTTAGCGAAACGAAGAATATATAATACTAGAAGTAAGCTTTATAATACATATCATTTTTTAGACTATACTTTTTAATAAAAGTGGTTAAATATTGAGCGCCCAAAAACGCCAGGTTTGTATGGGAATTGGGGGTGCGCCGTTTGCTTGTGAAATACATTATTAACAACGCATAAAAAGCACACCCTGCTACTATCATCATCCTTATTACTCCCATCCTCCATTGTCGGGACTTTCCTCTTTTTATCTGTACTTGAAAGCATTGTATTCTCGAAGAGACGGCGATATTTCTTCGGAACGAACGTCCAGTATTAACGAATCACTTAAATATGAAACTTGGTCTGGAAAGGCTGCATACAGTACAGTGGTATTCCATGTACCCTGACCTCTCGCCGTAGGCGATAGTGCGGGCTACCACAACTATGACTATCCCTATCTAACTATTCGGTTGGTCCACTACATACAGAGGATATAGTAAAGTATTTTCATTCTACTCTCTTCATGCAGTAAAGGAAAGAGCTTCACGGACACAATCGTGGAATGCAGCTTTCGCCATGCGAAATCCCGCACGTGCCAGCCAGCGTACACCATAGCTGCCTTACGAGGCTGACGGCGGTCGCAACAACAGCATCGACAGCAAAACAGGAACAGCAGCAGGAAGGATCGGTCAGCACACAGGAAGTAGCGACACCATCTCAATATCCTTGCGTCCATCCCTACATCTCCCGTTTCCTGCGCACAGAAGTTGTCCCTATGTTTACGGAGTGCGAGGTCCCCTCCATGCAGGCCATTTGCACTATACTTTAACCTCATTCGCACTAGCATGGGAAGTACCATGACCTGCAAGGCGATGAAAAAGCTGGATTACGATGCCTACACCGTGGCCTTGCTGTGTCCTTTGGAAGTAGAGTTAAGTGCTATGAGATACTTGTTGGACGAGGAACACCAACGTTTGCCCTCGGTGGCTGGCGATCCCAATCAATACATCCTGGGCGAGATGAGCGGCCGTAATGTTGTCATCGCGTCTCTGCCTGCGGGATACCAGGGTACCGCGTCCGCAGCGGCGGTTGCGATTAATATGAGCCGTACGTTCGTGAGTGTACATATCCGTCTCTTGGTTGGGATTGGCGGCGGGGTGCCAAGTGAGAAGGCAGATATCCGGCTGGGAGACGTCGTAGTTGGTATACCCACTGGTATTCACGGCGGTGTGGTACAGTACGATCTTGGTAAGCAGCGATCATCTGGGTTCGAGCGTAAAGGATTCCTATCATCGCCGCCTTCAGAATGCCTGCACGCTGTCACCATGATGAGATCAAGTCATCGGGGAGGAACTAGCAAAGTCCCAGCCTTCCTCAACAACATGGTCCAAAAGCGCCCCAGACTAAAGGAGTACCAGCGGCCACCTCCCGAACGAGACGTCTTGTTCCAAACTAACTACGAACATGTCAGCGGTCAGGATTCTTGTGACCGGTGTGACAGAGCGAGAGTAACGAATCGAGCTTGTCGTGAGCCCTACAACGAGCCAGTCGTACATTACGGTCTAATCGCGTCAGGTAGTCGCGTTTTGAAGGATGCTGTAGAGAGGGACAGAATTGGTCAGGAATGCGGAGGAGCAATATGCTTTGAAATGGAGGCCGCCGGACTTATGAACGAGTTCTCCTGCATTGTCATACGTGGCATATCTGACTACGCGGACTCCCACAAGAATGACGAGTGGCATGCATATGCAGCGGCTGCTGCGGCAGCGCTTGCGAAAGAGCTGCTTGAGTATATGGGGGAGGACCCCCGTCAGGGTAACGAAGGACAGAGCTCAGTATGTATGTAGGAATCATATCCCCCCTTCCACACAATGATTTAGCCCAAACTTAATGATATATTGTAAATGCAATGCTGATTCTATTAGATCAACTTAGGTCATTACCGTTATTATCCATCTCTGGTGGCCAACAAGTCAACTTCCCTGTCCACAGCCGCGCAATTGACTGTCCAGATCATGAGCAAACGTTTCAGACTCTTCTCAAATCGTTATCGTTCGCCAGACAAGATGCACGTCTCTTAAACATTCGTGCAGCCTATACTCAGACATGCCAATGGGTATTTAGACAAGCCCAATTCAAAGAATGGCACGACAAGACCAAAGTTGCAGAGCATCACAGATTTCTCTGGATCAAAGGGAAGCCTGGTTCTGGAAAATCTACCATCATGAAAAAGCTTTATGATGCGGCCAGAGCCAATAGAGGGAAAATTTATGGGAAAACAGTTTCATATTTCTTCAATGCTCGAGCCCCCGGTTTGCTGGAGAAATCGAGTCTGGGAATGTACCGTTCGCTCGCACATCAGCTCCTTCAAGCGCTTCCGCAATTTCAAGATTACTTCGTTGAGCATTTCTCCACGAAGGCCACAATCAGTGACGTCGATGAATGGACGGTCCTTGAACTTCAAGGCTTTCTTACACATGTAGTGGAAAATCTGGGGAGCCAACCTGTTACCATCCTCATCGACGCACTGGACGAGGGTGAAGAGGATGATGTGCGACAAATGGTCATGTTCTTGGAAGAACTGGGTCAAACCGCAGTCTACAATAAAACACAGCTGATGGTATGCCTCTCGAGTCGCCATTATCCACACATCAGCATTCGGAAATCAGTTCCCCTGGTCGTAGAGGGTCAAACTGGACACGACGACGACATCGCCACATATGTGAGAAATCATCTCAACGAAGATGAGAGTCCACAGATGGAAGAACTCAGGGAAAGATTGTGTCACAAGGCTTCAGGCGTGTTCCTGTGGGTTGTCCTAGTAGTCCCAATTTTGAAAAAACTCTACGATCATGGCCGGCTGGCTTTGATGGGGAACCTCCTGGACAAAATTCCATCCGAACTGGACGACCTGTTCGCTCAGATTCTGGCAAGAGACAACGAGGACAGAGCCGAATCTATCCTACTCTTCCAGTGGACCTTGTTCGCGGAACGGCCCTTGAGTCCAACTGAACTGTTCTACGCTGTGGCATCTGGACTCCCTAAGAATTGGAATTCGGATGACGCCAGCAGGGAAACTATAGAACGATATATTCTCAACTGCTCAAAAGGGCTCGCTGAGATCTCCAAATCCGAGCCACCTACAGTTTACTTCATTCATGAAACTGTGAGGGGATTTCTGCTTCAAAAGAATGGACTCGCCAAAATCCAGCCTGATCTCCGAGACAACATGTTTGGTGCTAGTCACAACCAGCTTACGAAGAATTGCGTCCGATATCTTTCCAGGCTTAGTGAACGCCTAGCTCCAAGCCCCAGCACTTTAGGTAAGCGGCAGCGAAACAACAAAACTGAGAATGACAGGGAGAAAGAAGTTATATTCAGACGCTTTCCGCTCCTAGAGTACGTAGTCACGTTCATGTTCAATCACGCTGACAACGCAGAAGCAACCGGATTTTCCCAGAAGCATTTCTTGGAGGAGTTTAACACAGTCGACAGCTCAGAGCTGCAGAAATGGATCCATTTCCGCAATATTTTTCAACCTTTTAAGATCCGACGGTACACGCCGAAAGCCACCTTGTTGTACATTCTATCAGAACAGAATATGTACAATCTTATCAGGCCATTGATAGAATATTCCAATGTCAACAGTCCTGGGGAGAGATATGGAAACGCATTGCAGGCAGCGTGCGCGAATGGCCATGAACAAACTGCTCGTCTACTCGTTGAAAATACCTGTGCTGATGTGAACGCACAAGGAGGGGAGCACCGCAGCGCGCTACTTGCGGCAATATTCATCAGAAACGATACTATAGTAGAGTTGATTCGGAATAAAGGCGGAACTGTGCCAAAAAATATTCTGAACAAAAGGCTTCTCTCTACGATTTACCGTAAATATGCTCTTGGAGTCAAAGTTCTGCTTCAGCTGGGGGCCGACGCCAACACACGGAGCTTGGATCGCGGCACTGCCCTCCAAGTAGCCGCTTACCGACGGCACCAGCCGATTGTTCAGATACTGCTTGATAATGGAGCCAATGTCAATGCGCAAGGAGGGTATCTTGGTAATGCTCTTCAGGCAGCTTGTTCAAGAGGTCACCAGCAGATTGTTCAGATACTGCTTGACAATGGGGCCAATGTCAACGCGCAAAATAATATTGGTAATGCTCTTCAGGTAGCTTCTTGTAATGGGCATCTGCAGATTGTTCAAATACTACTTGACAATGGGGCCAATATCAATGCGCAAGGTGGGTATTATGGTAATGCTCTTCAGGTAGCTTCTTGCGATGGGCACCAGCAGATTGTTCAGATACTGCTTGAAAATGGAGCCAATGTCAATGCGCAAGGAGGGTATCTTGGTAATGCTCTTCAGGCAGCTTGTTCAAGAGGTCACCAGCAGATTGTTCAGATACTGCTTGATAATGGGGCCAATATCAACGCGCAAGGTGGGCATTATGGCAATGCTCTTCAGGCAGCTTCTTGCAATGGGCAGCAGCAGATTGTTCAGATGCTGCTTGATAATGGGGCCAATATCAATGCGCAAGGAGGGTATCTTGGTAATGCTCTTCAGGCAGCTTGTTCAAGAGGTCACCAGCAGATTGTTCAGATACTGCTTGACAATGGGGCCAATATCAACGCGCAAGGTGGGCATTATGGCAATGCTCTTCAGGCAGCTTCTTGCAATGGGCAGCAGCAGATTGTTCAGATGCTGCTTGACAATGGGGCCAATATCAACGCGCAAGGTGGGCATTATGGCAATGCTCTTCAAGCAGCTTCTTACAATAGGCAGCAGCAGATTGTTCAGATGCTGCTTGACAATAGGGCTAATATCAACGCACAAGGTGGGCATTATGGCAATGCTCTTCAGGCAGCTTCTTCGGAAGGTCACCAGCAGATTGTTCAGATACTGCTTGAAAATGGAGCTAATGTCAATGCGCAAGGTGGGCGTTATAGTAATGCCCTTCAGGCAGCTTCTTCGGAAGGTCATCAGCAGATTGTACAGATGCTGCTTGACAATGGGGCCAATGTCAACGCGCAAGGTGGGTATTATGGCAGTAGCCTATATGTAGCTTCTTCAGAAGGTCACCAGCAGATTGTACAGATGCTGCTTGACAATGGGGCCAATGTCAACGCGCAAGGTGGGTATTATGGCAGTAGCCTATATGTAGCTTCTTCAGAAGGTCACCAGCAGATTGTACAGATGCTGCTAGACAATGGGGCCAATGTCAATGCACAAGGTAATCTTGGTAATGCTCTTCAGGCAGCTTCTTCGAGAGGTCACCAGCAGATTGTACAGATGCTGCTTGACAATGGGGCCAATATCAACGCGCAAGGGGGGAGAGTGGTTGGAGAAACGATAATGCTACCAGGGATAGGAGCGTTCTCATACTCGCCGAACGGTTGATACTCATATGTATCTTGAATATTGATACTGTTCGCTGCTATCCACCAGAGTATTGGAATTATAATAGCGTTATCTTAGCACAGTAACATGGAATACAGATCCGCAATATACTGGTCCTCATGGTTTGTGACTAATTAGCCTCACTATCAGGCCGGGGGGTGAGGACGTGGTCCTTGTTATTCCCTCTAGGCGGAATATCATCGTCTACAGTAGTAGCTCGAAAGAAGAAGGCGGTACACTCATATTCCTAGGCTTCGCATGTATACTGTTCTTTTTTCTGGGGCTCAATGACATCGCCAGAGATTTGGGGAGGATGAAGACGAGGACTAGGCGTAATCAGATTACGATTCTCACATAAGAGCACTCTCAGGGGTGACTTAGATATGCTTCCCCACGCCGTAATTACTCGATAGGGAAATACATCAGTTTTGTTGATTTCAATGTTGAATTGCAGGTGGAAGAAAGACTGCTCACTCCAGATACCGGCAGTGAAACGTTTCATTGTAAAGTAATTGTATGTAGAATATGAATTGGTGAAAATATGGTCGGTTCGCACATATAGAAAACAGATTTCATTCATTCTTTTTCACACCAAAGGGAGGTAATATTAGCAAGTCATCCAACCAAAAGCTTCTCTCGGATACTAATCTCGAGATAAAGCGAAGAGCCACGCCCGGTACTACGAGTGCCCACGTTGCACAAGCGATGAGACGATAGCACGTTGTTGGCTATCCTGATGATTACTATCCGGAGGTGGCTGAGACATTTTTGTTTCCGGCTCAAGCCTGCATGGCCCATGTAGCCGTCACTTGATATAAGGGAGTTGGGAAGTTGAATCTTCTCATCCAGTTTTAATCGGGCCATAAGTGAGGCAATTGAAAGTTCTTCCATGGTTCCTGCTAGCTTTCAAAGTCCTTCACGCCTCATAATACGCGAGCCTTTATGTCGAGTTCCAATTGCATGGCACAGAATTAATAATAATGTACCTTCCTACCCTGGCACCGACCACCTATACAGGCAGCCTGATACTGGATTTTACAAAGAACCCTCCGAGTTGGAGCGCCTAGTTGATTCTTAGCCTAATTAAAATACCACTTGCCCCTCTATACTCTATAACTTTGTTCTGGTGTGTGCTCGTTCTTTGTGATTCTGGGCGCTAAAGCCTTTTCATTCCTCGGTTTGCTCTAGAGTATCACAGCTACAAAGGCCGGAGAATATTTGTCAACCCTTTTCCAGTAGGCTAAAAAAGCTCCGGCCTTAATGGCTCTAGTATAAGTGTGGTGCATATTCACTTCAACAATATTTAGCCCCAAAAAGTGACATGCGAGTCCAGGATAGTTAGCCTAATAGTTTCTATAGAGCACCTCAGGCATCCCCTCTGCGCCATGCAAACGGGCACTTCTACAAATACATGTTGCCAAGATAGCTTTTTCACTTAGTACTGAATATTATCATATTCATCATCATTCTCACAATTTCCTAATCCGTCAACACGCCTCACAACCGATCTCAATCGTACCCGCGCTGCAACCCCAGCCCTAGCCAAAACACCATGTCATCTGGAAACCCCAAGCCTACAATTGCTCTTGTAACAGGCGCTTGGCATTCACCAAAACATTACCATGAGCTTCTCAATCTTCTGAACAAGGCCGGTTTTCCCACCGAGTGCGTAAAGCTGCCCAGCGTGAACTCGCAAGATCCAGAGAATCAAACTCTCGCCGCCGATGTTGATGCTATTCGGGAGAAATTACTGCTTCCTTTAATCCACCAAGGCAGAGAAGTCGTTCTTCTCATGCACTCATATGGAGGATGTGTCGGGGGAGCAGCAGCCAAGGGTTTGAGTAGGGCAGAACTTGGATCTGAAGCTACCGGCGCAGTTATCGGCCTTGTATTTTTTGCAGCCTTCTTGGTGCCAGAGGGCAATTCGGTTATACAAACAGCTGGAGGAAAGTTGGCGACGTGGATAGTGGACAAAGTAAGTGCTGGTTCTCATTCTCAACAATAGCCTCGGTGACGGTATCATTATATTAACGAAATTCTTTGCACAGGGCGATGGACAACTTGACGTTGATAATCCAGCTCAGGTATTTTTCATCGATGCTCCGGTAGACAAGGCATCATGGGCGGTATCAGAACTCGGCCTTCAGTCCCTCGAGTCCGTGTCTAGTCCCTGTCCTCCAACGGCGTGGGATAGCTCTGCGTTTGATGGCCGTCGAGGGTATATTTACTCTCGAAGAGACGAAGTTATTCAGCTATTTGCACAGGAAATGATGATCAATCTCAGCGGAGTGGAATGGAATATTAAAGAGATGGATACGGGCCATAGCCCACACCTCAGTAATTCTCAGGAGCTTGCTGAACATATTGAAGATATTATCTCCTCCTTTGAGGCTTAGGTTAGCATCATCGAACTATTTAATTCGCTGATTATGAAGAGGATCTCCCCAGTATCAATTGATTGACAGTCCCCTTTATATGCGCTATCAGACATTATCCTTCTAACTCCAGTCTATTAAATCAAGATATCAACAACCTCACTAGTATACTTCATTCCACCTGTACATGTGCAATGGCTGTATCCCACTATGTCTTCGAGGACAAGTTAGGGTTAAGTATAAACCCGCTATTCCGTATACGTAAATACCCGCGAGACATCCAATGCTCGTGTCATCAGATAGCCTATAAGAATATAGGCTGAGAACATATGTTTGACAGGGTTCTGAGGTAGACATTCGATATGGTGTTGGGCTAATCTGTACACGGTTGTGATTCAACTGAGAATTGTTGATAGTAAATGGTCGAAATTATACTCAAAATGCAGCTGGTTGTCGGAGAGGCACTTAGATAAGGCTAGATCTATTGTTTCACTTCAATAGAGTCAATATGTATCAAGTACTCAGAGTATCAGTAGCTCAACACATAAACACCTTGTAAATATGATTCATGTAGTATCATCTCTTTGAAGACCATCAACACATTATGTTGAGTATTTGAAAATTCCTCAACAGACCACGTTCATACCAGAGCTGAACTCGTCCTAACCACCTAAAAACACACTCATACACTCATCGACTCTTACTTCACTCCGGCCCTTTCCAAAACATTCTCCCTCTCCATAACCGCGTCCCCAAACCTAACCAAAAACACCGTTCTAGCCGGCCACATCTCCGTAGCCTGATTATGCGCGGTAACCTTAGCCTCAAAACCACATCCGTCGCACACACCCTCGATTATCCCAGCCACAAAGGCCGCGCAGTTCAGCATATTCATTTCCTTCGGCACACTGATGTACGTGTTGACCAGCGGGTCGTTGTCGGTGATCATATACTCGTTGGGAGTCTGCGGAGACACCGAGTGTTCGAGGGCGTCGGCGGGGCGTTGGAAGAGAAGGCGCCAGAGAGGGCCGTGAATGAGGTGGAGGAGTGGGAGGATGCGGAGTGGGCGGTTGGGAGGTGAAGAGGAGGCTGATGAGGACGAGAGCGCCGATGAGGAGGAAGCGGAGATGGAGCGGTAGAAGAGGAGGTCGAGTAGGCGCAGGCCAAGCGGGTAGCCTTGTTCATTCAGTCTGACATTACATTATCAGTTTCATGTTCTGGTATATGCGAGAGGCACACCGCACCGTTTTTCTAAATCTTGAATACCCGTCACCCGTCGCTGGGCATACGTGACCATTTCGGCGAAGAGAAAGGCGAATGAGGCGCGACTCAAGTCGGCTTTTTGGCTACGGTTGAGGTGGCGGTCGTAGATTGTTTTGCGGTTGGAGGGGACTCGCAGACCGGTGGGGGGTTGTTGTTGGATGATCTGGCTCTGGCGGATGGATTGTTGCGGCGGTTCATATTGGTTAGGGGCTTTCTCTGTTGCTGTGCTGGTTGTGGAGATGGCGGACTGCCGCCGTGCGGGCGCAGCCATGGCTAGCCCTGTGTCGATGTGTATCGTGGTGTTGTAGTGTTGTGGTGATTGTCTAGAATGTCCAAGTGTAGAGTGTGAGTGGTACGAGATGTTGGCTGCTAGGTGTTGTCGGGCGTCGGGAGTCGATGTCAATCGATCCAATCGATAGTCAATTATAGCAGAGCGAGATAGTCTGAGATAATCCTGTGTTGTAGTAACTCGGTGGTAAGGTGTAATGATTGTGTCTGGTGTAGTGTCCAGTGTATTGATGAGCGGAAGTCAGTCGCAGCCAGAGCCGCTGAGCAGTGGAGCCGCCGCAGTGAACACCAAGTAACGACTAACAACAACTCATATACTGTTGAAATGCTAACATGCTGTCTAAATGCTGTGCAGTTGAAATGTTGTAAATTTACCGTCATTAAAAATCTAAAACAAAACTACAGCTACGCCAGCCCCTACGAGAAAGATAGAAGATAGCCCTACGAGAAGCACACCACAGGCAGCCTCAAAATCACCACAACAAATCATCATAAATCATCATATCATTCACTATCCAGTAATCCTATCAATATAACAGAGTTCAACCAAATCCCTGAATATCCCATTGCCACCTGTGCACAGAATTCTATCCTATCAAGCAAGTCGTAGTACTCGGCACATCTAATCTTCTGGTCAGCGCCATCCACAACTCAACCAACTCAGAATGTAAAAATGTAAATATAAATATAGCAAAATCAGACATCCAAGGAAGTGCTGCGCACATTGCTCGTCTTGAAATTTAGGTTCAGGCGACGGCTATGCGTAGAAACTGCGAATGTGGGAAAACGTTTTCATCATGAAATATATGCGATGCGGCGCAGGGTTGGGAAATAGAAAATGGAAAAGGGGAATAAATGACATACCTAGTCTAGTCTACACGAAAGAAAAGTCATCGTCTGGTGAAATAAGTAAATCAGTGAATAAGTAAATATGTGGGAAAGTGAAGAGCGAAGAGAGTGTGCGAGCGGAAGAAGAGAAAATTTTCTACGGGCGGTTTTATAGCTTGCCGGACTCCGCTTTGCCTGTTACGGATTCTCCACTCTCTACTCTTTTCTCTGTTAACACTCTGGATAGAGTGATGAATTCATGACTTTTATTACGTTACAGTATTGTTTAGAATAAGGTATGCTCCCCTGCCATGCTCCTATATATGCACTGCCCATATTATATCTCAACACTGTTCACCTCAAACAACCTTGGGGTTGGTTACTTGGTAAACGCTTTCTGCCGCTGTCTGGAATTCCAGTGCAGCGTCTTGGATATACTCTGCACCCAGTCCTCGCTTCGTCGACCAGGAGGCAGGACGTTCGCAAAGGGGTATCGCGAAGCCGACACCGTCACGTAGTCGCCTGGATGCAACTCAACCCTGATTCGTAAGTACACAAATAAAAGAAAGGAGAAACGAATATATATATACCTCTCACGCCCGTCAAAGCTAGCCCACGATGACGTGCGCGCATCATACGGCACGCCCATCCGCAACACAATCGTATCAGGCAAAATAATCGGGCGGAAGGATAATGTATGTGCGCAGATGGCGGTTACTAGAATGACTGGGTTTTCCGGGTGCGACAGGGCGCCTCCAGCGGCGAGGTTGTAGGCTGTCGAGCCGGTTGGCGTGGATATGCAAATGCCGTCTGCCTGGACGGTCGTGAAATGCTCATCGTCGCCGAAGAGCTCGATCGTCGACATTGCTGAACTAGTTAGATATATATTAAAGAAAATATATGTAGTGTATAGACGTACTCGGGTTCGGACCCCGGTCGACCACGACATCGTTCAAAATCTCAAAAACATTGTCTGGCGTATGCGTCAATGTATCGCCCACCTCTTCCCCCACGAGCTCCTCGACAAGATCTTTCTTCACCACATTCCCATCTGTGCCAACCACCGAGACTCGTCGCGGATTGCTTCTCATGATGGTACATTCAAACCTCAACCTCAAACTAATCGCCACACCGTCTCGAAACGCCGTCGTCAGGGTATCTTGATAATTCGAAAAGTCAAACTTTGTTAAAAACCCAAGTGAGCCCAGCGAAAACGACAATACTGGGGGCACAATGCGCTGAAAGAGCCAGCTAGTGTACAACACCGTCCCATCCCCGCCTAGTGTAATCGCAAAGTCGAATGTTTGCGGCTGCTCAGCCGGCAGTTTGCTGGTCCAATACTTCAACCGGCCATCTGCCGACGGTTCTTCATCGATCAGGTCACTGCCGTTGAAATCAGGGTGTTTCCCCACCATCTCCTCGACATACACGGTGTACAGGGTTCCGCGGTCCGTCGACAGAAGCCAGCGCGTGAGTTCTTTGGTCAATTTGACGAGCGACTCATCCTGGGCTTTGGTGACTAGCAGCACGTTCTTAACGGTGAGTTTCAGCTTGATGCTGCCCAGTCTCTTGGACAGTTTGCGCACATTCCACGCCATATCCGACAACTGCCGCTTGGTCAGGTGGCGCGAGTGCACGACGGCCGGCGGGCTCTGCTCGGGCAGTCGACTGGCGTAGTCAACGACAGAAACGCCATTGTAGTCTCCCAACTCGGTATCGTTGGTCGCTGTGCCTATATCGACTGGCTTTTTCACCGGTCCAGATTCATCGACATCCTCAGCATGGAACGCGTCGTCAAAAGGCGCGTTCCATTCGCCGTTGAGCAATGAGTGGACGAAACACGCCGTGTTTTTGCTGTAGGACTCGGATATGCGGCGGCGAATCCGGGGGTCGTCGGATGAAACGAGCGAGGACTTGCGACGGTGGTTGCTATCGGGGCTGAAGACGATCTGGCTGGCATCAGTAATAAACACGAGGTGAACATTCGCAGTTGAGAGTAATCTACCTCGACCTGGTTCTGAGACTCAGCGTCGGTGCCTTGCTCGCCGTGTGTCTACCCGCGTCAGCCTGTCACCTATCACCTATTCTTATCGTAGGAGGGCGCACAAAATCCTCCACGGACAGTTTCAGGCCGGCGTTCCGCTTGGCCATGTCCGATCACTCACTGCCAGAAGCACGATGTGTACGTTTAGAGATGGACTACCGCATTGCCGTGGTTATCGCTACGAGAATCAATTACATGCCCCGCCATTGACGGATGACGTCGACAATTAGCCGTGGCTTCATTGTGCTTGTGCTCCTTCACACTGCTATTTTCGAAAATTAATATTCTGTGTAAAATACTTTTATCTATAAAGATAAAGTGTCAGTTCATAGTAAGTTCTTCGCATCGCTAATCTATTCTTACAGTGATCATCACTGTAAGACTAGGCGTTGAGCACGATAATCATGACCCCCACCACACCCAACCAACGTTGAAAACCGGGCTGATGAGACCGGTCAACTTTAGTGCCAAAACAACATTGGATGAGATATTAATATTTTGTCAATACCAGAGGATATCCGCGTAATGCTCACGTAGCCGAGCGAACAATGCAAGTTGATCGAGTGTACAGTACAATACCAACGCAATCTGATAAGTCCAGATCTGATACGACAATCTCAGGCATCACCATCACGGTAGTGAGCGGCAACGGCGCAACCCCGCACAAGGAGCAACTCGGGTCTATTGATGCGCCTGTTCCGCAGCAAGAGATACATCACATGGTCTGTGAGTCAACAGGGCATCACAACATTCAAGACGATAAGCATGACTAAGGGAACACAGTACATATACAGGGGTCGCAGCTGCATGTGCAGCACCCAGCAAGGCGCTGCATTGATCAGACCTGCATCTAGGATGTGTCTACTACGAGTGATGGATGCCTAGTTGTATGGCAGTGCAGGCTGGCGGAAGCCGTCTTCAGCTGGATATCACCACCAAGCACGACTAATCTTAGTACACCGGGGAATCAGCTGCCCTATCACGATGTAACCCGCTTCGTCCAGGTCAAGAGTTGAAACACAGCTGGAGGTTGGACTTGGAAGGCGATGCAACTGACCTCGACGATTCGTGGGATGTGGGGATGAAAGAATGGCAGTATCGATCGTGTCGCATCCTCATTTAATATTTTCTCACCCTAAATGAACCCGGTGGAAAACAACAGAAATCCTGGTCAGACCTGCTGACCTGCGTCGGACTCAAGCTGCCTGCTCTGCTACCGGGATTTGATTTGATTTGACTTGGTTTTAAATAATTTCTTTCACATTCCGACGCGATCACGTTTTGAGTTTTGATAGTTCGGTTTATATTGGTGCTGAACGCCGATGTATGGGGTGTGTTGCAGGCCGCTGGGATGATGAACAATGCGTATTCTGCTAGGTTTAAGCCGTTCCGTTCGTGTGACGGGAATTTACCGAGGGTGCGACTGCGACGACGACGAGCGAGGCTGCGCGCAGACCGACAAAAAATAGGCTGGCTAAAAAAGAAGTCGACGAAGACGGTGGCTGGTGGGGGTTAGTGGTCCGTCCCAAAGCGGGCAATAATAAGATTTTGCGTGTAGTATACTATTCCTTTGCCTATTTCCTCTTATGCGGATTCGACACTGCTACCCCGTCACGCCGGATTCGCTCTGGCAGTGAGATAATAGCGTTCAGTAGTCGGGGTGGCTGCAGGAGGCAACGCGATGGAACAGCGGGGCTTGCTTGAGCCCTCCAACGCGACTAATCACTAACAGTGTTTAACGCTAAGAACTCAGGCAGTTGTGATAAAATAGCCCAGGGGGCTAAATTGCAACTTCGAGTAGCCGCCGCTTGGGACTAGGAACTCCGTAGAGCATCAATAATCAATTTGAAGTCGAGATCGGCAGCCAACAGACGGAATCATACGCAGACGGAACGGCTAAGAATTAGGCGCTACTATTGAACGATCAGCTCCAACACCCATTCATATTTTAGAATTCAGGCATTCCTTCTTTTTCGGTTCTGGCATTCTGCATGTAATATGAATTTAATGTGGACAGAAAGTTTGAAAGTGAAAGTTGAAACGGAGGAGTGCTCCGAGGTGAGCGCCAATGATAGTAATATTCAACGCATCAGATTCGAGCACAGACCTGGCGCCCGGGGGACAGCCGATGACAGCGTTGGCCGGAGCTTATTCGACTCTTGGTTACTACTGCTTGCTATATTATTGGAGTTGCCTGGCGGTGAGGTTAGTGACCTGAGTCACGGCATGAGTAATCTAACCCCTGCACGATCAGCTGCAAGTGCGCACTGACTACTAGCCAGTCTATCCGTACCACATATGCCCTGTCGTCAGTCAAATTCTAACTAGCAATCCTCTAACAAGGAGTATGCACTACGTACTCTCTCGCCTGGCGGAGGGAAGGGCCTATCGGTTATCGATTAGTAGCCGTTCACACATGCGCAGGCCGATGTTGCCCAAAGGGGCAACCGCCTGCCACACATTTGTGAATCATTGATGTTGCCACAGCGAATCGACGGGCTCGACGGGGTTTGGCCAACGATCGTCTTCTGCCACTGTCTTGAGTTGGACTGGCTAAGCAGCTAGCAGGGGTACTCAACATGGTTCTGTGGTTCTGTGGTTCACCAATGATGCAATAACGGCGGTTAACGGGAATATGTATCGGACTCCATAACACATAACTAACCCATCAACATCCAGAGGCGATATTTGACTGTAACGTCCGTACATACGAGAAAACTTGTAAAGAGTAAGACAGGCGATGAGTGGATCGATCGGGCTGATCAAAGAATCATGGATCGGCAGTCAACTGCCTCATTTCCGGTGCTTCAGCCTGGCAGCCTTCCCGACTAGGTCCGCTCTGACTTTCTCAAAGCAGTCAAAAGCAAACTCCAGCTAGCACCAAGTTCGGCCAGGCGGGGCTTCTGGAAAAACTCTAGCACCTTCTCCATCCAGCCGGCGCGAGCACAGACCGATATGAAAAATAAAAAATAAAAAATAAAATGGAGAGTGACAGCCGTCTCACCATTGCATTATTATTGAAATAGTCTCTTTGTGGACCGCAGACAAAGGATCCGAATGCGTTGGTCTGACGAGTCGGGGTCACATCGGCAAGGAAGGCGGAAGGGATCAGGATATGGCGAGATGAAATGGAAATGCGTCCTGCTCGTCAATAATATCAAAATTCAATATCAATGATCACTGTCGAGCTTACTTATGAGTCGTTAGTACGAATACAGGCTGGATTATGCCGCCGTAATAATAGAATAGTGACGAATGAGGCGTCGTGGAGCAAACTAAATTGAACTTCTCCTTTCTTCTTGGCGCTTGCGAACGTCCAAGTCAGAAAGTCAAAGCTAGACGACGGCGCGGCGTCCTTTGTCTCGCCGGCGTCGTATCGGGGGCATCGCATTGACTAAGAAGCAAGTCCTCGCAACAGCAAGCGTAATAATGTAAGAATAGGGTCAGGCATGATAGGAGAAATAAGAGGACAGGATAGGACAGGTAGGATGACAGGAGCAAATCATGGGTTGGTCAAAACGCCCGTTGGTGGCGCCAATCAGGGTAGGAAGGAGGGAAGGAGCGCTGTGAGTCCGTGACTGGCAAGGAAGGAGCACCTTCGGTATTGTATTGGCGGTGTATACCTGTAATCTATCCTGTCTGCCTTGCATACAAGGTCACAGGCAGGCTCATGGTACTGTAACAATATCCTGGCGGGAACGCCGTCGTATTGTATTGAGTGCAGTAGTATACCGCCCATCTTAATATTAATTTCCCGACTCGTTTACTTCGCATACGGGCAAATACGTCAATACCGTACGGGTCCTGGTTAGTAATGACATTATCTTCCGTGCTCCTCACGGCCCCCTCCGCCCTGCAATAATATTAATGCCTGCATGCACTCCGTATTATGACTATCACAGACTCAACATCATAATTAATTATTAGTGTCTGGATGATTACGGTCATAACTCTGGTTTTATCCTCACCAACCACCCCCAACGACAAGCCAACCCTTGCGACCCCCCCACCTCCCCACCACTTCTTCCTCTTATTCAGTAATTAGCACTGCATAACCAGCCGACGTGACCAAATTTAGTTTTGCCATGCGTTGTGACCTCGGCCCGCTTCGCCATCAATACGCCTTCAGGCCCAGCGGAACCTGGAAAGCGAAGGGTGAAGCCCATTGAAACTTTCGACGTCGACCCACCCACGGACGGTCACGGCCTCTGCTTGTCTCGCTTTGGGTCTGAAATATAGTACCAACTACCAAGTCATACTATCATAGTCTCGTTTATGATTTCCGAGCGTGCCTTGGTTTGGGACTGGTCCCGAAACAAGGGTCACAGCCGTTCTCCAGGCGTCCGTCCAGTGGACTCGTGTTCCTTTCTTAGTGTCATTTCCATGTCATTTTTTTTGTCTAATTCCAGACTTTCAGTTCTGTTGCCGGCCTGCCATGCCGTTGCACGACTCCACTGATCTGGAAGGAGCGGGGCTATATCATACCATAAGAAGTTCCTCTTCTGCTCTTTACCGCTCTACATCTACAGTTGACATAAACCGCTAGCATACACCACTACTGTGCATCACGTTACTACATATCGACAACATACATCTATTACAGCAGAGCTTGTTCGTACAAGTTCGCCTTTAAAGTTATATTGATCAAGAGTCACCCAACAAAGACACTCCTTATGGAGCCCCAATGGCAGCCGTCTTTCGAGATGGGCCACTGGAATATGCCGCAGTATTCGGCATCCCAGTTCCTCGCCCTGGCAAATGAGGCACCCTCCAGAGTATACAAGAGAAAAGTTTCGAGGGTGGCCAAGCCTTCGAGCGCTGGCAATAGCCCGCACTCACTTCGTCAACGGAACATGACTCAGCCACTAGACGAGCCTTGGACGAGCAACAATGAAGCCTATGCTGCTGGTAACATCCCTTTAATGCGTACTTCCGTGCAACGAAAGTCGCGGCCTACAAGCTGGCACCCATCGTCACGCCATGCAGGATACAATCTTTATACACCCAACTGTCACCCGTCGTGGCTGAACAATGACCAAATCGCCGGTTTGCCGCAACAAGACTTGGTGGACACTACGTCTATCAACACCCTTTCTACGCCCATCACATGCCCTGTCAGTGGAGACTTGATCTCGAACGACAGCTTCACCCCGCTAGACAACTATTATGCCCAATCCATGTCCCAGGCATACACACCCATCGAGCAACCAGACATGGCATTCTCCGATTCCTTTGGCTGGCCGAACACCAACATGGATGGCATGTGCTTTGCAGACCCAGCCTGGACACAGGCCTCTATCAGGTACCTGGCAGCGGATCAAGCCGCCGACTTGTGCCATGAGAGCGTCTCATCTTCGGACACCTCGTCGGTACCCCCGACGCCGGAGGTCAAATCCAGCGACTACTTCGTGTACGAAAACAACGCCACTGCTCACGGCGATGACCTTGTAGCTGTCGGTCTTTATGATGAACCCGAGGGACTGTCTCTAGGCAGTGGTTTACTTGGTGGTGGCTTCGATTCCATCCAGGCTGGAAAGGGGCTCAAACTGGAAGAGACTTTCAGCCCGGCACCAGAAGCCGAGGACGATGATGACGCCGAACACGAGGATGATGAAGAAGAAGAAGACAACAATTAGACTTTGTACTACGATATGAACGATGACTGCGCAATTAGCATGGAGTTTCGGGATTTGTTTTATGTAATATGGTTTTACTTGAGCGGATGGACGGCGATGATACCCTTGATGCCACGGAATAGCGTATTTTACACTTTAGTTAGATTTAGAACTAGTCCGCGTGGCGTACGAGAGCAAATACCAATATAATGCTGACTCTATAAACTTTGATAAATGATGATTATTACTCCAAAGTCCAGTGTCAGGCGAAGGGGCGCTGATTGGCCACCGAATTCGAGTTCGCAATAAAGTTTGCGCTAGGGCGAATGCGGAACGTGGCGTGACCCAGCCCACCGGACACTTCCCGCTTCTAGACCGAGGTCTTTGCCGGTTGCCGCCTGAGGCATAAGTCAGCAAGGTCGTCCTGGAGCTGCGATTTTCCGATTCCGCCTGCCTGTGATTGGACACTTGATCAATTTTGCAACTGAGTTGCTTCTATCAATCACCACCACGATAGTGCAAGTGCACAGCGATGCCAAAACTCAGCTTCACCCCCTGGAGGGACTCGTTGGAGTTATTGAGTATACGCTCGCAATTCTATCCCCCCTCCTCGTCAGCGCCGGACCTGCGCCGTAATGCCTGCCGCACCGTATGTATTCTCCTACTCAACACTACAAATACTAAAATTGTACGCAGGTCGAAGCATGGAAGCTTCGTGGCCATCTCCCGCATACAGTCGAAGCAACAGCGCTTCTAACCGATGCTATTCTGCACGACGATGCAGCGCGCAACTCGGTCTTTTCGATTCGCGCGACTTATGCGGCTGCTTTTTGCAGGTAGGTGTCAACCCTCTTACATCTCTCTCTCTCTCTCTCTCTCTCTCTCTCTCTATCCATGTATATATGTGTGTATTTGCGTGTGTAGGCTGACAAGAGTACATGTAGATTCGTCACTGGCCTCGTCGACTCCAAGCTCGGCGGCCTGCGACGGACCATGTTCCAGAGAGCTCTCCACATGGGCCTTCCAGCCTCCTTTGTCGAGCTGCGCCATGAGGCGACGCATCGCGAGCTGCCGTCTTTGGTAGTTCTGAGGAGCGCCGTGCATAGATCACTGGAGTGGCTGTGGGGGTATTATTGGGTGAGGATTGACGGTGCAGCACCAGTAGCAGCAGAGAATGGGGGTGGAAATGGGAATGACTATTTGTTGGGTGGGACGAGAGGGCAGATTAAGCAGAGCTTACAGCATCTATTGCAGGCCGATCCTGCTCCCGCGAAAAAGAAAGCTCGCGCTCAGGCTGTATCTGTCGTCTCACAGAGTCTAATACGTATCTGTGAAAGCGAATCTGACGGGCCGCAAGTGCTGGCACGGGTTTTGCTTGAAGATGATATTCTGATTCCGAGCGAGAGAGGGTAATCCAGTCCCCACTGCATTGTTGTTATTGATGCTGATAAGGAACTTAGGGCTGGCACGTCAATAGACGGCGTGTTTTCGACGTGGGATAGCTTGCTACAAAAAATAACAGAATCTCGTCCGTCGTTCCTGACAGTGTTGATGGAAGAGATGGCACTGGACCTGATCAAGTCTGGTAAATCAAATACAAATACAAGTTCAGAAGAGGCGGATTCATATGCAGAGGGGGTTTATATGTGGCTGGACCATATTGTGACATCTGTGGCTTGGGAAGGTTATAGATTGTATATTTCGGTATCCTATCTGCGTGCCATTTGTCGTGAGATGTCCAATCGCTGGACGGTAATGCTGGAGCAGACATTATCTAACATGTCTTCTGTGGGTGAGGTTGAAGATAGCACGGCGAATGGCCGAGCTGTTGATTTCGATATCTATTTCGATGACGGATGGGAGACGCTGGGGAGTATGGATGGAGTTGTCCGAGACAAGTGAACTTAAGGCCCATTGGAGTTGAAAGCAGCTAACACGATACTCTACTGTACATAATAATATAGATAAACAACGGCCAGTGCCGAATAATAAGTAATAAGTCATAAGTCTGTAATAATATTAATAATAATCGATTTGATATCCAGTCCTCATTCGTGCACGCTAATCACGTGGCGATGACATAATTGTTATTCCTCCCCACATCATCCTTCCAACGCAGTAACGCAGTAACACCAAAACATTATTTATTCCAGTATACCGACCCCTTCCTCTATATCCTTATGAATCCCGTACGGGCACTACGGAAAAGCTTTACTTCTACAAGAACTAGGATCCAGCGCCCAACCCAAGCAGCCCGCACAATGCATATCCGCGCGATTCCGATGTGTATGAGCCAATAACAATACCACGCGAATTGCTGCTGATTAGGATGTTGCAGGGACGGGGACGAGTAATAATTACGCGTACCTTGTTACCGATGAGCCGACGAAGCTGGCTGTAATTGTTGATCCGGCAAATCCGGAAGAGTGCGTTACCTACTCTTATAGGAGAGACTTGTCTGATGGTGAGCAGGGTTTTGCCGGTCTTGCAGGCAGAGAAAGATGCGGGGAGGATCAAGCTGGGCGCAATTGTTAATACTCATCAGTATGTACTACCACTGATGAAGACAGAACACTGGCTAAGGCCTGGATTAGCCACTGGGATCATGCGGGCGGAAATGATGGGATTGTAAGGGCTTTTCAGATCCTGGCTTATTGATCACGGCTGAATGAGTATAGCTAAAAGCGTTGGGTAAACTGGACGTGATCGGCGGCAAAGACTGCAAAGAAGTCACCAAGACACCCGCGCACGGCGAGACATGGAAACTCGGCGAGAGAATCACCGTCAAAGCGCTACACACGCCTTGTCATACAAAAGACAGTATATGCTATTTCCTTGAAGATGGGAATCAGCGTGCTGTGTTTACGGGGGATACACTGTTCACTGGGGGTTGGTTCATCAATAAATTGACCTAGCAAGTGTATATTGTGCTGAGACGGTGCAGGTTGTGGGCGGTTTTTCGAAGGCAATGCCGCTGATATGCACAAGGCGCTGAACGAGACGCTTGCGGCGTTACCGGATGACACTAAAGTCTACGTGGGTTTTTCGCTCGGGTTTGTACGTTTTCTGGAGTGCTAATGCTGGACAGAGTGGTCATGAGTATACGAAGTCAAACGTCAAGTTCTTGTTGACTGTTTCAAAGGACCCGGCGATTAAGAAGCTAGAGAAATTCGCAGAGGAGAATAAGAATACGCAGGGCATTCTGACAATCGGGGATGAGAAGGTGAGTCCTCGATTTTGAATTTAGATGAATTAGATGGTTGTGCTGATAGTGTGTTTCTTCAGGCACATAATGTTTTTATGATGCTTAATGTAAGATTATCTGATCTGTTTAATACTACGTGAACTGACGGGAATAGCATCCGGATGTTTTGAAGGTAACAGGGAAGCAAGACCCAGTGGAGGTCATGACTTCGTTGAGGGAATTGAAAAATGCTATGTAGTAGTCGATTAGCAAGAAACCATTCATCTTGAGAAAACATCCTGTGATTGGATGAGAAATCCCAACTTGCTTCGTTACATATATGTATTGTAAGGTCTCCATCACCGTGACGTCAACCCATTACCTCAATCGACGAGGTATACATAAATCTTGTAAATCTCCATCAATTGAACACCAAAAAACCATCCAACTCAATCAAATTCCAACAAATACCTATCATCGTACTACCCATATACTGATATCAACAACCAGGTCCAATGGCAGCAACTAAAACAGCAGGCGAGCCACTCACCACCAAAAGCCGCGTCCTCGAGACCGCCGCCGGCATGATCCAGGACTTCCGACCCGTGAAGCAAATCTGCGCGTATCTCAACGCATTCCATGTATACGCATCGGACCAAACTCGCGCCGTTGAAGCCCACCACTACTGTTCCCACATCACCGAAGGTGCATACCCACGACGCTCTACAACTCCACACTCCTTTCCACAGCCAAAGGTTGACGTTGACATATATATATATAGACATCCGCCAATGCCTAATTTACGACTCTAACGCCGCTAACGCGCGCCTCATCGGAGTCGAGTACATGATCAGCCCATCCCTCTACGCAACCCTGCCTAAAGCTGAGCGCGAGCTCTGGCACTCGCATACCTACGAAGTCAAAAGCGGGGTGCTGATTATGCCGGCACCAACGGGAACGCCAGAGGCAGTGTGGGCGACGGCAGAAACGGCGGAGATGAGGGATATTATCGGGTTGTATGGCAAATCAGTGCATCTGTGGCAGGTCGATCGAGGGGATGCAGTGCCGTTGGGTATGCCGCAGCTGATGGGCAGTTTTATTAACGATGAGATGGTGCAGAAGGTGAATCCGCAGGGGAAAAGCGGGCTGATGGAGGATAGGGATAGGAGGTTTGGGGTGGATTATAAGAACAAGGCTGAGATTAGGAGGGGGATTGAAGAGCCGGAGAAGCACGAAGGTATATTTTCTCTTCTACATGGTTATTTTCTGATGGATGCTGATCAGGTAGATGCCGATGCATTGATGCGTGGTAAAACATAAGATTGTATTGATTGGTATGTATTGGTATGTCCCCCGACTACTACACCTCGACTCGCCATGCGCCATACTTAAATGGTTGTCAGAGCCAAGTATCGTTCGTGGGAATTGAATTGATTCAATTAATCTTGCTTCACTGTCCACACTTGCTCGTCCTGGTGTTAGATTTCGGCGACGGCAAGCTCTAGCAATTTTAGAAGCGAGGAGAATTCCACATAAAATATAATACAGAAAGTACAGTATAAATGTCGTTATAAAGAAACCTGCAAAGAAACCTGCAGCAGACCCAGCATTATGAGTTTGTCTGCAGAATCCATGCGTTGGGGATGAGTGAAGAAAGGAAAAACACGAAAAGCGAAAATTTAAAATAAAAGCGGGAGAGCACGTGACCAATTCCGCCAAGCCAATAATCATCCGCGATATCAAACATCTTATACACTTCAATTCTCAAGCTCAACAGCGACAGCGACATGAAACGCAAATTGCAGCAGACCATTGCCAGGACGCCAGCACAATGAGCGCCGCCTTCCGCCAACTCCTCCGCACCATCACCCCCAGCGCAGTTCTACGATACACGCTCGACAGCGTCGGAATCTGCTGCGCCGTGACGCTGTTCTGGGAGCACTTTTATACCATCCAGCAAAGCGAGGGCCCGTCTATGTACCCAACACTCAATGTCCGAGGCGACTGGCTGCTTACCTCACGGCGGTATGAGCACGGCAAAGACATTCGTGTCGGCGATGTCGTGCGCTATCACCACCCATCGTTCCTTGGTGTTAATGGCGCGAAACGGGTGCTAGGATTGCCGGGCGATTTTGTGTGTAAGGATCCTGCGTTTAGTACGGATGTTGGCGCGGAGAATGAGATGATTCAGGTGGGTTATTCTCGCATACGCATTTGCATACATGGGGAGGCGGGGCTGTGCTGACTCTGCTGGAGGTCCCCGAAGGGCATGTCTTTGTTGTAGGCGATAATTTACCCTGGTCGAGAGATTCGAGAAATTACGGGCCGCTACCCATGGGTTTGATTAATGGCAAGATTGTGGCGAGAGTATGGCCGCCGTCGAAAATGCAGTGGGTTCAGAATAGCTTGGAACCGGTTGATATACAAGAGTCGGCTTGAACAAATCGATTGTACAAATACACCAATTGCACGAATTACTACAGCATGGATTGGCGTTTGGTTTTTGACTTGAAAATGAAATTCGGTGTACATAGTCCTACATGTAAAATACATATACAAAACCAACTCTCCAACAACCTGCAGTCTTCTACTGAAATGATGATTGTTTACCGGAATGATGCTGGGTTTCTCCGCTTGTATGGCAAGCGCTCGGGTTTCTTCCTCCGCAATTCCAGGTCAACGATATCCATACCTAACTCCTTCATAACCTGCTCGGTATTCTCGTCCCACACGGTACGGAACAGATGTGCACCAATGGGTGTCAACTTGTGCCTTGTCTGTAGGGTTCGTAGACGGAGGTCTTCTCTGACAAGGTCCTTCTTTTTCATAGCGGCAGCATCTAGCGGTTTGTTGTCTTTTTGCTCCATGATAAACAACGGGAGACGGTGATATGGGCTTCCCTTTTGGGCAGCTGGAGGAAGCCATGGAAGCAGGATCTCAGCGCCCTCGGCCAGGTTCGCGAGATCGATGTATGGGGTGGTAGGAGAGATTGGTACGTTGACGGCGAGATAATGGCATTGATAGTCGAAGCCATTGGTTTCTACGTTGGGGATGTCGGGGTTGACGACTGCAATGGTAACAAGCTTCGTACCCTCCTCAAAGGATTGGACGTTCAGTTTTGGTGCATCCATGCTGACTTTGGAGTCAACGAATGAACCCGGCTGGACGGCTTTTCCGTTGAAGTATAACTTGACATCGACGATTGGATCGCAATGAGGGAGGACGTCGGGGATGACTTTCATTTGTGTAATTCGTTGAACAATAATCATCCGTCGGTATTCTCGCCATTTTTGATCTGCCAGATGTCGATAGATTGGCAAGCTCATGTCGCCTAAAAAATCCAGTTAGCTTATATAAATGAAATCCTTATAAAAGCCTACCCTCTCCATCCTCAAATTTTCGTTTGATCAACGGATCGTTGATATCCGCCCAGACCTTCAAATTCTCCAAGTGTTTCTCCATGCCCCCGATCTTCGACTTCTTCACATTTGTACTCCCTGCTTGCTCATCGCTAATAGCCTTAAGCCTTTCAATCTTTCCTTGTTCCCGAGCAATATCCTTCAGCTTCCCTTCCCGGTCCGCCTGAAGCACTTTCCTGGCCTCCTGGAAACATTGGTATGGCAGTAGTTCGAAGGGGATGTTTGGCGAATCCTGCAACGCAGCACGGCGTCTTCGGGAGCCGATTGGAGAGATGCCAGACTTGAAGAGCTTCCTTTCCAGGCGACGGCTGGTCACTAATGTAGGGTCAGGGGCTCTGTAGAATGGCTCTGGTTTGGCTTCGGTCGGCGCTTCATCGCGTGCCACGGCGGTCGTCTGGAAGGACCGCGTCGACTGCACAGCAGCAATTGAGATGCTTTTGCCAGACGGCTGCCGCAGGTACTGCAGCAGGGGCTTGGAAGCCACCCCGTAATTGGACATGGCGATGCTGTCTTGACTGGTAGCAGTAGAAGAGGTAATTAAGGTACAGTACGATTGTGGTTGGCACTTTTTTTGCGTGCCGGCACTAGCGTCGATGCGGTCTGCGGCTCCCGTCACTTTCTCAATTCTCTCCCCATTCGACTTTGCAAAAGCCTTTCATCACCCCTGCCACTCTCGTGTGTGCAATTCCTGCCTCTCTGCTGGATTCGCTACAATGGCCGGTAGTGAAGCGATGCGGTCGTTGAGATGGCTCACCCGCAGCGCTGCGAGCGCTTTTAACAAGCCTGAGACGGTAATGGTGAGTCGACTCTGTTTCTAATGATTGAAAAAGAAATCTAATATTCTATGAAGCGACAAGCTGCAGCGCGCTCATCACGGCACCTGGCCACTTCTACAGAACCCTCCACAGAGACCGTATCCCCAGCTGCCGATGCAGACATTTCAACTCTTCCAACAGCAACCACTGCGTGGTCCCCCCCCTCTCCAGTCCTCGTCACTCTCTATGCATTCCCATCCATGAAACCTCTCCGCTTCGAAAAGTACCCAGCGGAACATCTCCAAGTCCCTCTCCGACGAGATCTCCTCCACCGTGCCGTTATCTACGAAGGTGACAACACTCGCCAGGGCACAGCGAGCACAAAATGGCGCGACGACGTACACGGCAGTGGACGCAAACTGGCCCCTCAAAAGGGTACAGGTAATGCACGAGTGGGCGATAGGAAGTCCCCTATTCGGAGGGGTGGTGGTGTGGCTTTTGGACCTCATCCACGCGACTTCTCGACCGACCTGCCTCGAAAAATCTACGACAAAGCTTGGAGGACTGCGTTGAGCTACAGGTACAATTGCGGGCATATCATGGTGGTCGATAGAATCCAGATGCCAAGAGATGCCTCGCCGTGGTTTTGGAAGACGTTCTTTGAGGCGAATCCGTGGGGGAAGGGGAAGGGGAGATGCACGCTCATCACGGATGAAATGGACAAGGAGCTGTTCCGTGCAGTCAATGAAGTTGAAGAGCACGCGAGGATCTTAGATCGGCCGGACGTGGATGTGAAGGATCTCTTGAAAACGGGGAAGCTGATTATCGAGAAGAAAGCGTTGGATAAGATTCTGCGAGAGCACTCCAAGGACCTTGTCAAGGCGGCACCCAGGGCGAACTATCCCCGGAGGTTGTATTTTAGTGAATAGTTGGACCTGTATCATATGTACCGTAGTTCTTTTTATCCGGCTGATTATTATTACTATTTATTGTGACACTTGGCATAAGCAGCCAATTCACCATCGAACAGACAAATCTACACACAATATCTGTGTGCATGTAGTCTACTTACTAAAATTTATTAATATTCACTGTAATTCGTAATATAGATATTGTAAATATATTATATATGGTAACTGGTGCTCGGTTAGTCAAGGAACCAGCCGAGCCCGAGGTCAACCGCAGCGGAGAAAGTCTCGGCTTCTTCCTCACTGTTTAAAAGTTGCTTTAAAGTCACTAGCCTAGCGACTGAGGTTCCTCGATCTCCCGAACACTCTAAGTACATTACAGCAGCCCAATTCCAGGTGCGAACACGTGCCTCGCTGCCATTGATGTTCCTTCGACACATTCCACCACGACTGCACACACCGCTGAGCTGGTCCTCGCGGTCTCTCGTCGCGCCAATGCCTCTGCGCGCCAAGGTGACCAACCCAGCTTTTGGGAGAGTAAGTCGTAATACTCTTATATCAAGTGCTTTCTGACGCTCTAGATGCTGGCTACCGCGCCCGAACCCCCCAAAGAACTCCCAGGCGACGAGCCCGACGACGTCCTCTTCCACTCGCACTATGGCGTGCGCTTGATCGAGCTCAACCGGCCCAAGAAGCTCAACTCTCTCAATGGCTCGATGGCTCGCAAGATCCTACCTCGTCTATTGGTATTCACACTATTGCCCGGGCCATTTTCTTTAACTAATAATGCTGTCGACAGGAATGGGAAAAATCACAACTGGCCAACGTCGTCATGGTCTCCGGCGCCGGCGAGAAAGCGTTTTGTGCGGGCGGCGACGTCGCAGCCCTCGCGAAATGGAACCAGGAAGGCCCGAAGGGACAGCAAAAATCGACGGACTACTTTGGCCTGGAATACCAGTTGGATCATGTGATAGCAACCTACACGAAGCCCTACGTCGCTGTGATGGATGGTATTACAATGGGCGGTGGTGTTGGCTTGAGTGTGCATGCCCCCTTCCGCATCGCTACTGAACGCACCCTATTCGCCATGCCCGAGACCACCATCGGATTCTTCCCGGACGTCGGTGGCTCGTTTTTCCTCTCTCGTCTTGACGGTGAGGTCGGTACATATCTGGGCCTGACGTCAGAGCGGTTGGACGGCGTGCAAGCCCTTTACAGCGGCATTGCTACGCACTACATGCATTCCAGCGTGCTTGGAAACCTGACGAACCGCTTGTCCGAACTGGTCTTCAACGACTCCGCCAAACTTGATGAGCGTCTGACCCTAGTCAACAAAACCATCAACGAGTTCTCCACTGGCCTGCCACAAGAACCGATTCTTCTACGCTACAAGCTGCGCCAGGCAATTGACCGATGTTTCCAGCACAACACAATCGAGGAGATTTTCGCCGCACTAGAGGAGGAGAAAGACCAGAAACCCTGGGCACAGAAAACCCTAAAGACGCTGTCAGAACGATCACCGACATCGCTGAAGGTCACGCTGCGGCAGCTTCGACTAGGCCGGGATTGGACCATCGACGAAGCTTTCCGCCGCGAACACGCCATTGCAGCGCATTTCATGCGGCATCCGGATTTTGTCGAGGGTGTCTCGGCGAAATTGATCGCTAAGCCGCCTAAGAATCCCGAATGGAAGCCTTCGAGGCTGACAGATGTGAAGGCGAGTGATGTCAACGAGTTTTTTAAAGCTCCAGAGGAAGAGCTAGCTCTGTTTAACAGGGACAGCTACGCCAACTACCCGCACGCCAAATACGCGTTGCCGTCAGAAGATGATATTGGGAAGTTTGTGCGGGAGAGTGAGGGCGCGGGCCATTCGATTGTGACTGAGTTTGCTAATACCTGGGGGCAGAAGGAGGGTGTTAAGGCAAAGCTGACTGATGTTCTCGGTCGACGGACAGTCAAGACCGATGATGGGTATAAATGGATTGAGTAAATTAGAGTGCTGCTTCTGTCGTATTAAACATAATCTGTGAATACAATGTATTATTGGTTAATAATAAACGTAACATAGTAGTTTGATATAACCATATTTGACATCCACAGTGAGTGCAGTTTTCATGTGAGTATACAACCAAAATCAATTGGTATCAACAATAATATATTAAAGCCAAAACATAGATCAAAACATCCAATGTTTCTCAAGTTTCCGATCTTATCGAATTTGATGGTGCCACCTGGGTCAGACCGGCCCGAATCCGCCCACTCAACTGCTATCTAAGTTTATCACTTCAATAAACTACAACATTAAGCCTTGAGATGTCTACAGATCCAAGTATAAAAAGTTTACAACATTGCAAAGACAATGGCCGAACAAAATTTCAGGCCTGAGCATCTCAATCCATCAGAGCCCGCTGATGCGGTATCGGATAGCGAGCCACTTCTTCAAGACCTCGATTATGGCAGCCAAACCAACCTCACTCACAGCACACCATCTCCAGAGGAAGAGCAAGCACCAGGCAGCCCGCCAGCAGGCACTCAAAACATAACGCGAAAGCTCTACATCTCACATTTTCTGTCGATGTGGAATTCGCGCATGTTCGAGTTCGGCGCCGTGCTCTTCCTCGTCTCTGCGTTCCCGGGGACCTTGCTGTTCACCTCTATCTACGCGTTGGTGCGATCGTTAGCTGTTGTACTGTTTTCCTCAATGCTGGGCAGGCTAATTGACCGGTTTGACCGGTTGAAGGTTTTGAGGGCTTCAATTGGTGGGTTTATGATTTTGACTTGATCAATGTATGTGCTAATTGTTGAGCAGTTTGGCAGCGGCTGCCCGTCGTTGGGTCTTGTCTGATTCTGCTGGTGCTGGTGTCCAAGACTGGTCCAGGGCTATTATCGTACATCCTTTTTGGCTGTGTCTCGATTCTGGCTTGTCTGGAGAAACTGGCGTCGGTTGCGAATACCGTCTCCGTTGAGCGAGACTGGGTATGAAGCTAATCTCTAAATCTTTGTAGTAATGCTAAGATGGTCTAGGTTGTAATCATCGCCGAGAGCCTTGCAATCCCAAGACAAGGTATGTATTCTACCCATCTATCCCTTCTCAAGCCCATCTAATGAGTAGACAGACCTAAACGCATCGATGCGCCGCATCGACCTGTTCTGCAAGCTGATTGCGCCGCTTTTCATATCCGTCATTGACAGTTACTCGACAAAAGTAGCTATATGGACTGTCTTTGGATTGAGCTCAGTCTGGGTGGTCGTTGAGTATCTTGCCATTGCCCAGGTCAGTCAACTACAACATTCCATAGGACCAAGCTTATGCAGTCAGGTGTACAACTCGATCCCCGAGTTAAAGAAACGTCCCACCACCACTATATCAAACAACAACACCCAAAACCACCCTGAAGCCAACAAACCCCTATCCCCCTGGCACGCCTACATCTCCTCCCCGATCTTCCTCGCCTCCTTCTCCCTCTCCCTCCTATACCTCACCGTCCTCTCCTTCTCGCCGCAAATGATCACCTACCTCCTCTCCACGGGCTTCACCAGTTTGCAAATCAGTTACATGCGCATCGGCGCCGTCCTCTCCGAGCTCCTCGGCACCTGGGCCGCACCCTTGGCCATGCGTCGCGTCGGGCCCATCCGCGCCGGTCTGTGGTCGATAAACTGGCAATTCGGCAGTCTTGCAGCGGCCGCAGCAGGTTTTCTGGTCTTCGACGATCCGTCAAAATCAAAACTCGTAGCGACGGTTTTGGTGGTTGGCGTGGCGGTGAGTAGAGTCGGTTTGTGGGGGTTTGATTTGAATGTGCAGTATTTGGTGCAGGAGGTATCGTACTCCCCTTACCTTCCCCCTCCTTTTTCTTTCTTTCTTACATTCTATTGTTTGGTTACGTTACGGAACCGGCTGATGTCGACAGGAAACAACTCCGAATCAAAGAGCGCAGTTCTCGTCTACCGAAATGGCCGTGCAGAGTATCTTCGAGCTGCTCTCGTTCACCAGCACAATAGTCTTTTCCCGCCCCGACCAGTTCAAATACCCCGTCCTAATCAGCTATGGCGCAATCGGCACGGCGGCGGTGTTGTATGCGGCGTATGTGAGAAAGGTCAGGGGGCATTTGGTGCATGTGTCTAGATGTCTTGGGGGGAAACAGGTCCCTACTATATCAACGGATCGGAGAGGATATGGAGGGTTGGTGTGAGGATGTAATGTATTATTTATTTTTTTTTTCACTACTTACAACATTACCCGCTATACATATACATATGTATGTACGTGTAAATATATGCTTCTGCGTAGGGTTAGAACTGTTTGACTGTTCTCTGAAACCGCGGCGGCTTTCGCATAAACTTCTCCGGCTCGTCTCTCGCCCCGGGCTTCCAGTAATCAAACTCCATCCATGCATTCTCGGGCATCTGCGCCTCTGTCGCCTCAAGGAAAGCGCCCAGGTCAGGGTTGAGCGGGATGACGCCGGTTTCGATGACATACTGATCCCAGAGCTTGAGCAGCTGCTTGAGACGCTCCGGCTCGGCTTCGGCCAAGTCGTCGACCTCGCCGGGATCCTTGGCGAGATTGTACAATTGCCATTTCTCGGGGCCCTTGGGTTTGGGGATATACACAATTTTCCAGTCTCCAAACCGCAGAGCGGCGCGGCCGCAGGTTTCCCATCCTTGAATAAAATCTTTTGCGTGGATCCGTTCGGCCTGCCCGGTGGCCCACGGGTAGAAGCTCTTTCCGCGCATATGCACGACTTCGCGGCCCTGATACGTCGGGGCGGGATGCTTGACGCCGGCCATTTCGAGAATGGACGGAGCAAGGTCCATGACCGTGGCGAATTGGTCTGTGATGCCCTTTGCGGAATTGGCGACGTTGACGCTGCTGGGGAATTTCGCTAGGAATGGCACCCGCACACCTCCTTCCGTGGTATACGCTTTGTACAGACGAGACGGGGCGGTGGCGGCCTGGGCCCATCGCGGACCATACCAAATGAAAGAGTTGTAATTTCCGAGATTCTCGATGCTGTTGTCGTAGTACTTTTGTAGATGAGGAAGAACACCGCTCTTGACAAGCGGGTATGCTTCGTAGGCGGCGCCCTCCGCACCGTTGTCGGACATGAAGCAGACGAATGTGTTGTCGAATTCGCCAATGCTTTCAAGGTAGTTGACAACTTTGCCTACATTTGCGTCAATACACTCCACCATCCCGGCAAACACTTCCATGGCGGTGCAGGATTTCTTCTTCTCGTCGTCCGTGTAATCTTTCCATTCTTTGACTTCCTCAGCCACCACTGGATGGGGCTTGACATCGTCTTTGATCATACCCAATTCTTTGAGTCGCTGAAGACGTTTCTCGCGAAGGACGTCCGGTCCCTCATCATATACCCCACGGTAATGCTCGATATACTCTCTCGGAGCTTGCAGCGGCCAGTGCGGCGCGGTAAAGGGTAGGTAAGCAAAGAAAGGACGCTCCTTGTCCTTCTCCGAGTTATGCCAGTCCTTCAAGTAATTTATCATCTTATCACCGTATCCATCAGACGAGTACCATCCCTCCGGAAGCTTCTTTACGTAGTGGTCGTCCTCCATATGGAGAGCAATATAGCTAGCTTCAATAAACGTCGGGGTATCATCTTGATCCCGCAGCTGGGGCTCAAACGCATAGTGGTTGGAGCAGGCAGGCAGATGGGCAAAGGAACGCTCAAACCCACGTTTTCCAGGGGCTCGTTCTGGGGTTAGTCCTAAATGCCATTTCCCAGACATCAGCGTATGATAGCCTGCGTCCCGTAGTAGTTCGGGGAGCGCGGCAACCCGCTCGTTGAGATAGCCCTCATACCCCGGCATACCGCGCTGCGGCGCGGTGCTCATTTGGGAGCCCTTGGGCCCGTTCTGGCCGCTGATATTGGTCCATTCGATGAGATTACCCAGTCCGGCGATGTGATGGTCTGTGCCAGTCATGATCATAGCACGAGTGGGGCTAGACAAAGATTATCAACTCATTGCATTTGAAGCAAGTATTTAGGACATACGAGCACGCAGCGGCAGCGTGGAAGTCGGTGAACCGAATGCCGCCATTCAGGGCTATTTTGTCGATATTCGGGGTCCGGATCTCGCTGCCAAAGCATCCAACATCTGAGAAGCCCAGGTCATCGGCAACCATGACCAGGAAGTTGGGACGTTTAGCAGCCATTTCGTCTAACGTTGCCGCTGTTCAGTTGGGTCGATAGAGATTTGACCAAAAAGAGTCAAGATTCGTAAAACCTCATCAGTACAAGAGTTTAAGACTGCCCCTCGCCTTTCTCAGCGAGCGTGACAGATACGTTGCTAACAACTAGTCATGACATTTGACCTGTTTGGTCCAAGGCTGGCCCACCCACTGGCTCATTGCAACCCCTTCCCCGCATGTTAGTTGTACGCGTGTCGTTCGCTCACAGCAATGGCAGCAGTGTATGTAGCGACACCAAGTAGTCCATACAGGATGGGTAGTGGCTAGCCGGATGCGCAGTCTCACACCTTAGCAGTAACAACGCATGCCTAGCGCAGGCTATGGCATTGTAGGAAGAAGCAATTGCAGTAAGAGCAAGGTCTTGTTAGAGTGAGAGTAAAGAGCAAGAGACGGATTATCTTCCAGACCCCACCAGGCCTACCCCGGCCAATCACCACGTTATGCTTGTCCTTGCCGCTGCCGTCATCGTCATCCGCCGATCCATCTAATAATAATATCCCGTCGTTATTAATTATCTAATGTCGCTTACACTCAACGCCTGAACAACTACTTTATATATACTATCATAACATGTAACTAGAGACCCCAGCAGTCATGGCAGTCACCAGCCATGACGAGGACGAAACCCACGCCACGTCCCAGAACGTCAACACCAGCACAATCCCACTGCTCGGCGAGCACGACGCCGACGACGACGACAGAATATCACATTATGAGGCACAACACGAGGTCAAACCACTCCTCCAAGCCCGTCTCCGCCTATACTGGCTCGCAACAGTCCTGTGCTGCGGCGCATTGCTCTTCGGCTACGACTCCGGCCTGATTGGTGCCTCCCTCTTCCCGTCCGTCAAGTTTATGAAGTTATTAACACCTGCGCTGTAGGGGGCGTGCTAACATTCACCTCCTTCCACGCCGACTTCCGCTTTGGCGACTATGGTCCCCCCAGCGAAACCACTGTCAGCGCCATCGCTGTCGGAACACAGCAAATCGGCGCCCTGATCGGCTGTCTGGCCATCTGGCCCGTGAACAACTACCGCGGCCGCCGCATGGCGATAGGCGTGTGCTCGCTCGTGTTCTGCATGGGCGTGCTCCTCGAGCTGATCAACGGGCTCTCCCTCTCCTTATTCTATCTCGGCAGATTCATCGCGGGTCTCGGCGTCGGCGGCTCGTCCAGCGTCATCCCCATCTACCTATCCGAAATGGCGCCGCGAGAAATCCGCGGCCAGCTGGGGAGCTGCTACCAGTTCATGTTCACCATCGGCATCTTCGCGTCATACTGGATCGACTATGCAGTGGGCATGATGGCATCGGGGTCGCTGCAGTGGCAGATCCCCGTTGCGCTTCAACTCGTGCCGGGAGGTGTAATGGGGATAGGCGTGTTGACGCTGCACGAAAGCGTGCGCTGGCTCTCGTCACGCGGCGAGCACGAAATGGCGCGGCGCAGCCTGGAATGGATCCGCGCCAACAACTCGGCGCTCGTCGCGGACGAGCTGCTCGAGATCCGCGCCGGCATCGAAGACGAGCAGCGCGAAAAGGCCGGCTTGTCGATCCTCGAGCTGTTCGAGTGGCCCAACGCGCACCGCATTCTCCTCGCAATCGGCATTTTCCTAGCCCAGCAGTCGACCGGCGCCACCGCACTGGCGTACTTTGGTCCGCAGTTCTTCGCGCTCATCGTCGGGCCCGGTGATAGGACGTTGCTGTTGACGGGGATATTCGGCTTTGTCAAGGTGGCCTCGTGCGGGATGTTTATCTTGTTCATGTCTGATCGCTTCGGGCGCAAGACGCTGCTTTTCACCGGCGCTGCGCTCATGGCGATTTGTATGTTTGTGACTGCTGCGCTCGTCCGCTCGATCACGCATGGCGATAGCTTAACCCCTACCACCACTGACTCTACTACTCTACCTACCACTACAATCACAGGCATCATAACCGTCGCCCTGATCTACCTAAGCATAATCTTCTTCAATCTAAGCTGGGGCCCGCTCCCCTGGCCATACACATCGGAGATCTTCCCAACCCGGATCCGCGAATCCGGGGTGACATGCGGGGTCAGCGCGCAGTGGTTTTTCAATCTTGTGTGGAGCTCTGCGACGCCGTTTCTGTTGAAAAGTCTCGGGTGGGCGACGTTTTTGTTGTTTGGCGTGTTGGATGTGTGTGTGATGTTGTTTGTGGTGGGGTGTTTGAAGGAGACGGCTAGAAAGACGTTGGAAGAGATTAATGCCATGTTTGAGAGGGAGGATGGGGGAGGGACCGCCAGCAGGGACAGAGAGAGGGAGAGGTTGGTGGGGGATGGTACAGAATAGGAAACGGTTGTTTTTATAGAGTATATAAAGAGCTAGTCTATTGCTATCGTATTTTGTTATACAGTTTCGCACTAGATATAGATAACTAGGTAATCGATACTGCAAGCTAATAGAATGAAGGAAGGAAAAAGAAAGTAAGAATAGAGCTCGCATTAAGCGTGTATTCCGCGGCGCTAACAGCCACTGGGGGCCTGAAATAACCACCGATAACACCAATAATTGATAAAAGAATTGCTATTTCGTATACCATCCATAAGCATACCATGAACAATAGTATGGTAAAGCATCCGACAACACCATATACTCCTAACCGCTCAAATAGATGAAAGGCCGCCTGTCAACGTCATGTCATTATTGTCGTTGATTAAAAGAATAAAGCCACACCAAGACCAAAAGAGAATAAAATTTTACTAAAGGACTCAGTTGACGTTGATCAAGTTATTGAAATCATCGTCGACCGACATAGCAATAGACGCCTCTGAATCACGTCGAATCTGCTGTTCCAAACTCGCAGCTCCATCTAGTGGCATCGGCTCGTCGAATCCGAACGACACTGATGCCCTAACAGACGGCGATGGCAGTGCTTCCGGTAGACTGTCGCTGCCGTCGGTAGGCTCGCGCCGGTCCTTGTGCGCAATCTGCTTGACCATCTGCGCGAGATGGAGCTTGATCGGCTCATCACCACACTGCGCATGCCGCAAGACTTCGTTCTTAAGCTCCAGAATCTCGGAGCGGAGCTGCGAGATCTCGGAGTTGAGTCGTTCGCGCTTTTTAGACTGATCTCTGAAGCGCTTTTCGAGCTGCATGGTGTGTTCTTTCTTCTTCTGTCGGCACTTGCTCGCAGCGAGCCTGTTGCGTTCGAGGAACTTTTCTCGTTTCGAGCGATCCTGGCCATCGTCGTCAGAGTCACCTGTGCTGCTTACGGTTGCGATCGAATGCTTGGATCCACGCAGCTTGCGACGGCTGGACCCTACGGAGGCATCGGCATAGCCCATCATCGAGGCATTGACCATGCGGTCTTCACTGCTTGGTGGCGTCGGCGTGTCGTCCCAGGCGTTTCTGCTGAAGGTGGTCATGAAAGTGGTCTGTGGAGAGAGCTTGCTGTCGTCGAGTGGAGGAGTTGGTTGGCCGTTTCGGACCTGGGTGTATTTGATATCTCGGTCGAGGTTAACGTTCGAAAATGTATTGTCGATTTTGGGATTCCAGCCAGAGAAGGATTCTGATAGCGGGCCCATATTCCACACGGGCTCGTCGTCGGCATTGAAACCCAAGCCCAAGATATCTTCAGGGAAGGTCGGGTTGGTGTCGAAGGATGTGGTGGTATCGGCAGTGGTGAATGCCGAGGCATCTAAGGGCGACTGCTCGGCCAGCATCGTGTAGGCAGACATCTGAGCTGATTTCTATGACCGGTTGTGTTCTTCCTCGGGAATGCACTAGGACGCCGTGTCTGGGTCTGTACGATGATTGATGCGTAGAGAGAGTCGTTGACGAGGATATTGTTGTTTTCGGGTGCTGCCTGTTAAATTCCACAGATCAGGGCTCGGTGAATGCAGTGCCCCGCGTGAGGACGTGACGGCAGTCAAATAGTGAATAAAATAGTCAACCAAATCGACACTTCTGGGCATCAAAGTAGGCTGGTTGGCTAAAAATGAACCATGGGCTGAATGAGTGCGGGAGTGATGTAGTAGTTGTGGTTCATGAATGTGTAACCAGGTGTAAGAACAGTCCCCCTCGCAGAAGGCAGGCGCGAGCTGGTCTCTGTTTGCAGCGGCCACGCAAGATCAGACAGGCGCAGAAAGAGGCAGGATAGACACTGTGAGAATAGATAATTGAGAATCGAGTTGAATTGAGTCGAGAGCGGGATCGAAAGTTGCAGCCAGGGAGCTTCCAGTGTATAGAACAGGCCGTGCCGTGGAAGACTCGTTCAGGGCCCAGGGCGTCGCAGTACCAGGTCACCGTTGTCGTGAGCGATTAAATTACAGCAGAGCGATTAAAGTATACAACTACAGCAAGTCTCGTGTATTCTATGTATATATATGCCCCTCCAAACCGGTTCGGCGACGCCTCATGCTAAACGTCCAAATCGAGATCCAGCCAGCATATGATGTCGACGCCCCACCCACTGATCGACTTGGAGCTTTTACTCCAAGCTTGCAGCTGTGGCGTTCATGATTGGCCTGGTTGGCGTTCCGGAGCAAATAAGCAGCGAACGCACTGAGGTCTCTGACATCATGACGGGCGGATCCAGCAGCACATTTCCGCATGAGGATGTTTGACAGCCGTTCTCAGCTTTGTTTTTCTTTCTTCTTCTTTTTTTCCATACTTTAGTTGCACCATATGGTTGCACGGGCGCCAAGATTCTGGAAGGAGGAGTGTGATGCTGACACTGAAAATAAAGTTCACAGGATTAATAACAGTGTAGATAATAGTTAGCAGGAAGAGAGCGAGGTTGCGTGGTGCAGCCTGGAAGAGCATGGCCCAGAGAGGCAAGAGCGGGACCAGGGGTAGCTTCGAGCCAATGGGCGTCTGTCTTCTTGGGAAATAAGCACGCTGATTGGACGATGGCCGCAACAGAATCTAACGGATGGGGTGATCGCGGTCTGTTAGACGGCCAGACCAGGACGGCGCAGTGATATAGTAGCAATAGTGTGCGAGTATTATGATAGGCTTGCAAGGCTGGACTGAGCGATCGGCAAGAATCCATCCCACAATGCGTGAGAACTGCTCTGGACGAACGCGCAGCGGAGTTGACACCCGATGTCATGACGTGACGACTTGGCCTGGCCGGCCTTCATTTGTGGGAACAGAGGTATAACAACCTCGACGATCTCGATACTCGATACTCGATTCCTGTTGATTCATATTATTAATTTGTTTGCCCCCCAGCATTTCTTGTTCTTGTTCTCGCCCTAGCTATAGTGTGCTTATTACCCCCTCATAAAATCAGCCTAAGTCCGGACTTCAACCCTATTGGACGCTTCGCCGGAACACACGCCCGACCAATCAGACGTCGTTGGCTTATATTTCCAGCAGAATACTTCTATTTCCAGTAGAATATATGATGGCAAGTCTGATTCCGGTGCATGAGATGCAATATCTTGGAAGATAAGGACAGTTAGAAATACATAAAAATTCATTATAGAACTGTCTAACAATACATTGTATCAACCTCCTATACGAGCTGGTTCTGTCCGTATTTCATAGCCATACTTATATATTATATACCGATCCATAATCAATATTCTGACACCAATAATTCAACACAAACAATTTCAATGTTCCCTTATCAGACACTCCTTACACATCAAGATCATGGAGCTGTCGGCTTACCCCCCGCCAATTTGCCATCATCATTCTCATCACGTAAAACGCCTCGCTCTGAACATCGTCTTCGCCAACAGTGGCTGTCAACTCGGACAACAATGGCGCAAAAGCCTGAACGATTCGCTCGCGAGTTAACATTCCGGTGCATCCAATCACCGGGTCGTGCATCTGATTAAACTCAATCTGCCGACTTGTTTCATAGTCAAGCAAGGTACACAGGCCAAACACGGCACATATCAAATCTAATTGTAGATCGTCGGTCAATGCTAAAATCGCCAATGAGATTGCTCGGTTTCTCGTCCAGGATGTAGCGGGTGTGCCCCCATAGAGTCCATATATCCCGGTGACGTGTAGGTTTGCTTCGTCGGGAAAGGGTTTGTAAGTGATGTCGACAAGTGTGAGGTACAGGCGGGGCGATCCTAGGATACCACCCGGTATGCCCGCAAGAACATATTTGAACACCCACGCCACGGGAAGAACATGGAACCGTCTACTCAAAAAAGTTTCCTCTTCATTTCCAAAGCCCACAACCTCTGCAGGGAATCCGGATTTCCGTATAGTACTGTGAATGGTATATTTCTCTCTCTCTGCTGAGAGTACCTGGTCGGCAAAGTGATTGTAAATCCGGAAGGCAGTGGATGAGTCTCCAGGTTCGAAGAAAACGTTTCGGGCTTTTGGAGCTAACTGCTAGTCAGATGCTTACGCCAGATATTGACGTTGTTTATGGACAACATACCATGAATTTTCAAGTAGTCAATCATTGATACCAGGCAAGATGGAAGTCTCATCACCGCAGGACTGAAGTCCCCAGGAAATGTGAGGGTACTGTGGCCCCCCAAGCGAGATAATATTTCAAGACTTTTTCCTTTAAGTGAGTCCATGGAATAAAAGCGAGCAGACAGACCGGTGAAGGTCTTTACACGACGTAACGCGGGTGTGTCTTTGGTTGCTCCTCTGAGACGAAAGCTGGAACGCATACTCCGAACTTTGTGGAGGAAGGATTTCTTTTTAGATGGTTTCGGAGGTGTAATCGGAGTCTCACTTTTGAAGTCTTGAGACGGTCAATACATGATATTTTATGCAATCAAGATAGCTTACTGATTGGGTCACGTTCAGGTACAACTAGACGATATAGACCAAGACGTCCGGCAAGATCGTTAAAGTCTCGCAATGCCCTTTGATGGCGTAGCTCGATTCCAGTATCGGAGAATAGTCGCTGGTGAAGCATGTACCGTCGCAGGGTCGGTACAGTAGGTGGGTTGTAGTCCGAGTTTTCAGAAATATAAGTGCTAACAGGGCCGATTTCAGGAAAACCGGGAATAAAATCGCTATTCGGACTTGTTGGAGAAGGTGGTATTCCGGCTGCAAGTTGCGCAGCTTTGATCGAAGCAGACGATCTGGCGACTGGTGGCGCAGGCTGGATGCATACGCCCAGAGGATCCTGATCAGCAGGAGCAATAGGAGAGCTTGCCTTTCTAGAAGGCCGATGATGTACCGTGTCGCCACTTCCATAGGAAGTATCAGACTTGACTGTCTGATCGCTTACTTTCCTAGGCTCAGACGGCTCTCCTGACGAGGTTGATGGCCCTACGATGGTGGTACTGGAAGCAGTGGTACTGGGTGGGACCACTTTCATGGAAACAATTGAATTTCCATCGTCATCACCATCGGGTCCGAATTTGAGTTGTGACATAACTGAGTTTGTCGGCAGCTCAGTAGGGGGCTGCATCGGTAAGGATCGGCGATGGCGAAACGCATTTTTGACCAAAGCAAAGCCCCTAGAGCTTTTATGCTGGAGACGGCCCCTCCAGGAGAAAGAAGTGCTGAAGGAGGTTAGCTATCAGATCAATCGCATGATTAGCGCGACTATGCGACATACCTGATCTTCACAACAGAGCTTTGACCTGACGGAGGGGTTTCTCGCTCGTCAAACGAAAGGGTGACAAGCTTAGAAGGCTCAATAGCATCTTTTGACCGGATACTTTAGCACAACGAAGATACGATAAAGGAGGCCGATTCGAAAATACGAGTGATATCAACTTACTTGTGGTAGTAGCTGCCCCAGCGGAGGACATGCCGTGAGGAAGACTGGTAGGGGTGAATTGTTTACCCAGTTTATCTTCACCACCGATAGTCAGCAAAAGACAGCAAAAGACAGCAATGTGTTCATTGAGTTAAGGGGTTCTACTTGAGGTAGTGGCCTTTTGGAGAGGAGAGTCGCTCTTCGACTCTGGTTTGGCTTGTGAAGGTCCAATGAGGAAGTTTTGATAAAGGGAGATTTTGGCTTGTTGCTGCCTCTGCAGCAGTTGTTCTACAGCAGGAGAAGAGCTCGTTTTCTCAGAATAATCGAAGATAGAAGTAGTGGAAGAGGTCAGCTCAGTGAAGCCCACGTCGACAGGGCTGAGAGGGCGGAAGAAGGTGCAGATTCGCTCCACCAGGAGCCGCACGGCCATCTCTACGGGAATGCGATGATTGCGCACAGTGAGTGGATGGAAGAGCAGATGAGGAAGTGATGGAAAGAGGAAAGAGCGGACAGAGAGAGGTGAGAAGGAAAAATCGCGCGGTAGTGAGGTAATGGATAGGTCACGGCCGCAACCTCAGGCAGCCGCATGGTCGTGTATAGAAGTATAGAAACTGTATAGTAACTGTATAGCAACTGCACAAACACGATTGCCCTTCGCATTGTACTATCTCGTCTATTCAGCATAGCAAGGGTCAAATATCTTCATATATAAAAAAGGAGAACACCGGATGATACGCAGTCGCAACCGCTGCCCTGCCATGTTCCTTCGGATAGGATATCAGACAGGACGCCTGAAAATTAGGAATCTCTAACCAAGACATCTTGTGCGCCTGTATATGCCCAGTCCATCAATAACGCCGGCCCACATGCAAGACAAAAGAAATCTCTATGTACACCTTTTATTACCACTCGTCCTGCTCACCTTCAAGTAAAATATACTGTAAGATATCACTTAAAGTCAATACACCTATGAGTCTAAAGTGGTCGTCCACGACGATCAATCGATGTACCCGAGATTTGCGAATGGTGTCGAAGATGGTGTCCAACCCATCGTTGACCGAGCATGTGTAGATGCCGGGGAAGTCCTGGCTTGGCCATTAGCAGAATATCAAAATAGGATAGGAGTTGTAACGTACCGGTGAGCGCTTCCTCAAGGCCTCTCCCACGCTGAGGTTGAGGTCATCGTACACCCCGCCTTTGATCAGCGTGATCACATCCACAGCCTCGAAGACATTGTAAACGATACCTGGTCGAGTTAGTATCTCCCCATCTCTGCTCAGAAAATACTGTGATCTGCCTACCCTCAGAGTTAACGATGGGCACGCTTGATATACTGCGCTCGACCAGCTTGTGGATGACCTCAATCACAGGCGTATCCATCGACGCGGTGACAATATCACGATACGTTCCAAGGCGGATCTCCTTCAGTGGTTTCCGCAAGTTCTGGGTCTCACCCACGTTGACGGCGACAAACTTCAATATGCGATACTGCGTCACCACGCTGACGACCAGGGATCGATCGGTTTGGCTGTCATTCGAAACCAGCGGTATTCTGCGGGCACGCGACGATAGCATGCGGCGACAAGCTTCATACAGCGGTCGTTCGGGATCAATGGAAATGGTTTCTGGAGGCGCTACACCCAAGGCCTTTTCCACCTCTTTAGGTAGGTTAGAGTTAGTCGAATCGGCGTTTTGTGAGTGGGAAGGGGCGGCTTGAGTATTGGTACCTCTCAAACTGTTGAGCCGGAACTGATCAATTCTGTCTAGGGTAGCCGGGTTCTGGAAGTAGTACTGGATGACGTTGATGTAGTCCGACGTCGTGAGCAAGCCGGCAAAGGTCGACGTCGACGAATCCCATAGAGGAGCGGAAACGATTCCTGCGTCAGTGCATGACAGTCAGTTGGACAAGCTTTTCTACGAATGGGTGAAGGCGATGCTTGCCATTTTGTATGAGGATATTCAAGCTCTCTTTGACTGACAGCGATGTGTCGAAGACAATCAGGCGGAAGCTGAGGGGCAGAACATCGTAGCTTGTGCGGACTTTTAGAAAATTGCGGATGGCGCGCTATTAGCTCGGCGAGTCAAAAGTCAGTGAGACGCAATGCAATATCCAATAAGCAAGAAGATTCGATTTGGGGATTCTTCGAGGCAAGCCAGATAGCTAGGTGGTAGCTGTTGTCCAAACCAATGGCGCGATAACCCCCACGACCGGGCCAAGGCCAATCACGGTGGAAGAAGAAAAAAGCGATGCAAATCAGAAACACTCACCAAGCCCATCTGCTCCTCGACATCAACGGGTCGTTCGGGCTGAGCGGGTGCCATTGGTTGCGAAAGGCCACGGCGGCGCAAGTGCAAGTATGAGGCAGGCTGCACAAAACCCCTCTCGTGCCTCTCGTGACCGGCGCGGGAGTGGACGTCGACGCTGCTGCTGGGACTGCCGATGCTGGGTCCGAGATGGGGGATCTGGGAGCGTTCGTGACTCGAATTAATGCTGTCCGACGCGGCAGAGCTGGACTCTTGGTCTTGCGTGGTGGGGGAGTAGGAAGGGGAGGTCGGGGTCAGATGTTCGTCCTGGTCAGCCATGCTCGTGAGAGAGCGCGAGTGCCTTGCTGCCTTGGTGCCTCAGCCCGCATGCGGGGTGGTTGCTGCCTGTGCGCCTGAGGCCGAAATTGCAACAGCACCTGATAGCCGGTAGTTTGTTAATAACCCGGTTAGTGGACTGTCGATATTGAATTGTGATCTTGGTTAGTATTTGATAATGGTCCTTCGTTTTGCCCTCGCTATCAAGCTATTTATTAAGCCCAAATACGCTGGTGAAAATACCAATTGGGCAGGCCAATCTGGTCATTGCCGCCGAGCCCGGTTAATTGCCTCGCTATCATAATACCCCGCCAGGCGAGATAAGTTATTATCAGTGACATCAATTGATTAATTACACCGATGTGGGGATGCTAAAGTATGAACAAGCAATGCAATCACTCCATATTCTCTCGTTTCACCAGCAGGACAGGAGGAACGAACGTCCTGCGCCCGAATAGTGCATAATAAGCAGTCGCAAACACAACCATCCCGCCATACTAAACAACGCTCCAATTCTTCATCTGCGGCGTGAAAGGTGTAGTGAGCGGGAAGAAAGTAAACACAACAACCGGAAGCAGGAAACAGAGAGCACCGATATTTATGGACATACCAATCCTGCCTAACGACCAATAGCGTTGCGGCAAAGGCTGGCCTCGGAGACACAGCCGATGCTGATCATATAGGAGGATATTAGCGAGGTGATGGTAAGCGACATAGTGGTGTTGAGGGCAACAGTTGAGCCGATGTTGATGAGCGATAAGAGGATTGTCACGAACAGAGACTCGAGGACAGCCTTTAATGGAAGACAAAATGAGGTTCTTGACATAATCAGATAGCCCCAAACCAGGCCCGCTGTACCTCCATCCATTAAACCGGGTGTGAGCAGTCTGATACAATCTCTTTAGTATCTGAAATTCTCATATTGAAATCTGAACAGAAACCTAGGTTAGCAAAACCTCCCATGTGCGATCAAACTACACCCGAAACCGACGATCGAAATGAATCTGAAATTTTTCTATAATGTGTCCTAGTTTGTTTTGGAATAGCCGGAGCACTTGCTCTCTTCCTAGCGTGATCATATCATGCCGGTCCTGCGCATTGCGCAGCACTTTTTAGGAACATAGCCTATGAGCATGTTGTTGTCGCAGTAGGCGTTTATCTCATTGGACAACATGGCGCGAGGATATAATTCACAGCTCCACGCATGAGCCGTTAATTAGCTAGATCAAGCCTACGATTTCGAAGAAGTTTCATTGTGGTCGGCAAAGGAAGAAGATGCATATATAGACTCGGAAGATCGATTTCAAAAGGACGATCGGTACGGTAGCATTAATTATTTATTTCAAAGTTTTGATCTTAGAATAAAAAATAGATAAATACTGGATTCATTCGAATTGCCGAATGGGGACTCCCTGTGAGCAGCCCAACACTATTACATGCGGGTACGTATGATTGGTCTAGGGAGGGCAACTACATATAGTGCCTTTGATACCTCTGATTGGCTGGAGGACAGGATCCGTCTTTATTTGGTAATATTAAGAAGGGTGACCTTCAATCAAGTTCCCCAGGTAGAAGTAGCGTTGAATAGAATGGGTGACGACGCAGACCTCAGCCCTGCTACCTAACTTATATATTACTCCGCCTTTACAATATGAATAAAAGTAGATTTACTATTGAGTTGGCTGTAAAGGACAAGGAAAAAGTCAGCCATGTACCTGGAATTTGGATAGCCGCAGAACAATACTATACATTGGGAGCAGAATTTTATCGATATCTAAGAGAAGAGAATATGTGCACATTCACTACGGACTTGCGCAAGAATTAGAGAGCAAGGAGACCACAACCTCTGCTACTACAAAATGCTGATTACAGATCTTCCTTCAGATTATTTCATGAGAAAGCATCAAGTATGCGGGTTGACAATTTTAACTTCATCTTTTCAAATGTTACTTGTGGGGTTTTTCCTTGTAAGATAAACTCCTGGTGTTGCTGAAATACCCCCGAAGTGAACTGGTCTAAAACTGCGTATGGAGGATTGAAGCCCCTGATCACTAGTCCTGGTTCCCAATTATCTTCCACTCCTTCAAGAAGCTGTCCTCAAAGTCCTTCCTCGTTTTCTTGGGAACCCATCCTATCTTTCGCGACAACTGGGCCCTCGTCTGTGAGTGAGACGCAAACCCAAGCTCAGCAACATCCAGCGTCTTTTCGATTGCCTTTGCAGCATTTTCTAAAGTTTCTTCTCTTACTTCATCCGAGGACAGAAAACCAGCCTCTTTACCTGTCTTCGCAATTCTCTCCGACACCTCGCGCCACGTGTGATTACCTGTCTCGCAGAAATAAATCCCTTTCCTATTGGAAGGTAGCTCGTCTCCTTTTAAAATTCGGGAAAGCACAAGCTCGTATAGCCCAGATAAGTCCTCGATGTGAACGTGGTCCCAATGCCCCTTGCCTTCACCAATGACAGGCGTGAAACCCTGGCGCTTCGCAGCACGCATAATGGCATCAATCTGGATAGACGTACGGTTGAAAAACCCACTACCGATACCGTAAATGGTAGGCGGCATGAGAATGTACGTCTTTACCCCTGTAGCCTCACCGTTTTGGATAACAACAAGGTCAGTCGTGCGCTGTGGGTATTTTTCTAAGCCTTCCCGGTAGCTCTCGTACGCAAAAATATCTTCTTCATCGGAGAAGACTCGTGTCTCAGTATAAGTTCCAGTGATGGGACGGTCACCTAGATTCGATGTTCCCGATGTCTACATCAATAATGTCAACACCTAGTATTTGGGAGTTTATGAGGGGGTATCATACGTGGATGAGATGTACGGATTTCCCCGTTACTTTTTGCCTTTCTGCCAAGCCATCGATGATGGCCTCTGCTGATTGAGAATGATACGAATTGGCCGTATTGATGACAATGTCATGTTCACTTGCTGCCTTCTTTATTGCATCTGTGTCATGTAGCCCTGAAAACAAGATCACGTTTAACCCTTTTTGCTCCAGCAAGCTAATATGTTCTGGCTTCCGAACAAGGACAGAAATTTTCAAGTCATTGATAATTGGATTTTCCGATAATAACAAGGTTGAAAGAACGGATCCTCCTCTTTACAAATTATTTCACTGCATAGAAACTTGGGCTACAATCAAGATGACTTACATGTATCCGGTGGCACCGGTAATATGCAGGTGTGCCATACTCGTAATTGCAACGAAGAACCTCAATAATCAAAGTTCCTAAAATTTGGGGTTGGCGTCATGTTTGCGTTGGAGCTCCAAATCCTGAACATTATATAACCGCTCTCTCCTAGAACTCCGGGGCCGGTCAAGGTGAAATTGTGCAACGTTCTCCGGAGTTCTCGGGGTGTGGCCGATCATGGCTTTTCTACTCTTTTTTGCGTCCTAAACAGTGCTAGTAACCGCAATTAACGGAATTTAGAACGAAGATAAGATTTGAAAGGTGAACTAATAACTTAACATATCTTGAAATATTGGTTAATTTTCGCAATGTGATTCAATATTGCCTGGCCGCTAAGTATATTTTTGCGACGATCCTTCATTGACTAATTATTCAGAAGTAACTCTGGTGCCAACTTTGGACATCGCAATCCATTTGCTTACAGTTGAGGCTTTTAATTATGGTTACCTATAACGGCGGCTTACTGTTCATTCTAATTATATCATTTTGGGTTCAATACTGCGCCTATCTAACTTCATCTAGCACCGGCCAAGAGAAATAAATATCTGGGGCTGAACTTTGTGTAGATCCTTCATGGCCATACGGTCTGAGTGAAGAATTCGTCTGCCTATTTATTGATTCTCTGGTTATCGTATATTTATATACTGCATAATTAATCCCCGTATATTGGGATGTCAGAAAGCACACAAATAGACAGTCCCCTAGCGAGTTTCGCTCAATTCTAAAATCCCCGGCACAATGCGTTCGTTGAGTCTTACCCTCATTCTTTTTGGCAGTACGATGGCCGCATGCGAAGTTGATTCGAGTCCGAAGGCACTGGTTTATCGTGGACCCGCTGCCTGCAGCGGCTGTGCAGAATCAGTTGCTGATCTCCTCAAGTCTTCTGGGTCAAAATTCGTGGTTGATTTCGCTGGACCTAATGAGAAAATCGATATCACTACGGAATCTTTGCAAGGAATAGATCTCTTTGCTCAGCCAGGAGGCGGTGGTTAGTTTTCATCATCCTTTTATATGTTCAATATAGTTCTATCATCAAACAATGTTAACCAGTTACTCCATAGACCTCGCCCCCGCATGGGAAGCAACCAAAAAGTACAAGGATGTCATCCGTAACTATGTCGCCGAAGGTGGAAGATACGCCGGATTTTGCGTCGGCGCATATTTGGCTGGTCCCGACCAAGGATTTGATCTCCTCCCTTCAGGATCCTCTGTAGCTAGGGAGGTAGATCAACCTGGCAGCCAGGTTCCAGACGAAAGAGATACCGTTATCCAAGTTGATTGGACTTTCCAGACTGGTTCGGAAAAGGGCCAAAAACAAGACGGTCGCTGGGTATATTTCCAAGACGGAGCTGTTGTAAAATTGGCGGCAGATGCGCCTGGGGTTGTCCTTGGAACCTACTCGAGTAATGGAAATGTTGCCAGTAGTGTAACGCCTTTTGAGAAGGGATGGGTTGGACTTGTTGGTCCTCATCCTGAGGCTGATCAGTCTTGGTGTGAGTCTACCGTTGCTATTATAATCCATTGTTGATATCGCTGACTATTAATATACAGATGATCTGGTCAATGTGACAAACCCAGACGGAATCAAATTCGATATAGGGCATGATTTCGTAGACAGCATCATGGCTCAGCCAGCAAACAAGTGAGAATGTGCACTTTGAATTAAGGAGTACGTTTCAAATTGCAGGCAAAGAGACGGACTTGTTGGATTTGCTGCGCAGAGGCTATATTTGTTACAGGTCACAATTTTGAACTATATGCAGCCAAAAATTTGTCTTTATATAGCCAGTTATATACTATTCCTTCCTTAGACCTGTCAACAACCAAATAGCTGAAAAATGATGAAAAGGGTAGAGACTCCCAATATATCTTCTAAATACAGCCAGCAAACTCTGCTTATATCTCAATATACTGTATTACAGACTTCTTATTAGACGCCTTGCATCATTCATCACTTTTGCTGGAATGTTGAACTAATGTATCAAACTAAATGGATACAACTATACTTTTTTGTCAGAAACAGTTGCTAGCTACTCATAGCCAGCCAATAATAGCCGCAATCAACTTATTGATCATAAATAGTCAGAAGCCACTGCTTGATTGATGACTCAAATATGTAGTTTCAGTGGAATATTACTTCATATTTTGATGTTTAGACACAAAGCACTTTCTTTTTCATTAGAGGCTCATTTCTACCCCTAACTGATGTTCTTTGGAGCAATTGCACATACATATCCCTAGTGGCTCAGCTTGTGATTCACAGATAGGACCCCGTAGGTAGATAAGGAGCGACGGGGCATCATTATCAGACCATAATATTTTATGTTTGTAGCACAAAGAACATATTATCACGTTTTACCAAATATAGTTGCATTGAGTTTAGTCTCTTGGCCAAAAATTGTGTCTATTAGCCAGTTGACGTGATAGTCAAGAGCAATTGTTACCCGCTTTCGTTATAGAGAGAGAATATCTCCTGGATTGTGGGAAGACCTCAGTCAGATACTGAATCATATAATGTGTGTCAGGCTACCAGAGAGCTAATACTCAGCTTTAGCAATAATATATGATCCAAAAGCGAGAAATCCATCTAGATACATGGCTCAAATTAAGTAGGAGTCTCTGTCGAACTTTTATCGCTACACCAAATAGGATTTTCCCCTGATTGGCATTGGTTATTCTGACGCTCACATTTTCTGACGGTCTCTATTCGTAATCACTTATAACCTAAATAAGTGACTGCATTTTGCAAATATTGCTCAAATAAACAGCATTAGAATATCAATTTTCTTGCTTTATGGTAACTTTAATAGAGCTGCTTAATACTGTCATGCTGTTTTTATAACTAGGTTTGATACAAATGATAATTATATAAATGCCTATTGTAGTATCTACTTTAATTCTGTTCTATTGCTCCACCCGTTGCTAGGCCAAGGATGCCTCCTGTATTGGTAAAACATATTTATTGTAGGTTTTGGTGCATACACCCTTCAGCTGCTGTTGAGTGCCCAACCTCCAACCCGGGATGTATGCTGAGCTCAACCTAATGAAAGTGGCTTAATATCAAGGGCCCAAAAATGCCAGTTTTGTATGGGAATTGGGGGTGCGCCGTTCGCTTGTGAAATACGTTAAATGATTTCATCATCTGCCATATCGTAAACGCTACCATTTCTGTCTTGAAATGTTCTTTAATTTCCGTTTCCCCGCAAAGCACCCATCGCACTTGACGGGGAAGTGAGATCTACGGAGAAGTGAGGTGTTGTGAATCCGAAATACTCCCGGCACCCAATTCCCGAACCGCTTGAATTTCTACGGGTGCAATGAAGAACCTTTACAATACGACCGTAAGAACGTACTAGCTTGACCGAACACATGTCTCAAGGCCAGCTCATTTCCAGAGGCAAAGCGTTGCGCAATTATGTCTCAGCAAGTAACCTGGTATTCATTCAGAGTCTTACGCCTACAGAGCTCATGAATAGTAGAGGGGATTAGAAGACATCAGCCTCTCCCTAGAGTCACGCATGAGTCGCACTCCTGGCCACGGGAATCAGAGTTGGCTTCAAATCTTATTTAGAAATATACGAGCTCTATATAATATAACCCTGCTCTTGCGTTCTCCAAAGTTAAATTCTGTCCTATGCAAACATGGTACTAGTAAGAACCGAGGGAGAACCGGTGAGACAGCCATGTCGAATAATATTTTGTCTCTATTTTATGCTCTGGTGGCTGAACAACTCCAGTAAGCGGGCTCCTCTCAAGTGGCGAGGTTGGCGAGGTTGTACCGCCGAAGAAACGCCGTACTTCATTGTACAACCCGGAAGACACTTTCTGTTCGGAAGTTTATGGCTTCCACTGCATATACTCGATAGCTGGATTTTACGCCCGATGGGAACGTTTTTGTACTCTATATGAAGTATATAAGATGAGGGGAAGGTTAGAATATACTGCCATCCCCAGGATCCCTTAGTGTCAAATAGAAAAGATTCAATACGTTTTCAACTTTCGCCTTACATACGATCCTCACTTGTTCGCGCTTTAACTAGATCAAGATGGAATCCAAGTCAACCTCGTTCCATCTTGAGGGCACGAAAGCTCTCGATATAGACGATAATCTCGTCCACAATGCGGAGTTAGGCACGGCAAAAGAGCATCGCATGACGCTCTGGCAAGGATTGAGACTGTATCCAAAAGCCGTCGGTTGGTCTCTTTTAATATCATCCGCAATCATTATGGAGGGATACGATGTCGTACTCATGGGAAGTTTCTATGCATTCCCTGCGTTCAACAAGCGGTACGGTCAAATTCTATCGGACGGGTCATACGGCCTCACAGCGCCGTGGCAAGCCGGTCTATCGAACGCAATGAACTGTGGACAGATCCTTGGTCTCTTCGCGAATGGTATCATTTCTGAACGCTATGGTTACCGGAAGACAATGATGTATTCCTTGGTGGCTACGATGGCGTTTATCTTCATTCTTTTCTTTGCGCCCAATGTCCAGACTCTACTAGTAGGTGAAATCTTGATGGGTATGCCACTAGGCGTCTATCAGACCCTTACTGTCACCTACGCTTCTGAAGTCTGTCCCGTGGCGCTCCGCGCCTATTTGACAACTTACGTGAACCTCTGCTGGGTTATTGGCCAACTGATCGCATCGGGTGTGCTGAAGAGTCTCTCTGACCGCGCCGACCAGTGGGCGTATCGCATACCTTTCGCGGTTCAGTGGGTATGGCCCATTCCTATCTTCCTTGGAGTGTACTTTGCTCCTGAAAGTCCCTGGTGGCTGGTCCGCAAAGGCCGTCGCGAAGATGCCGTCCGTTCTCTTCAGCGCCTTACCTCTCAGAAGGACACGGACTTCGACGCGGAAGAAACGGTGGCGATGATGGTACACACCAATGAATTGGAAAAGGAAATCAATACTGGTACCACGTATCTGGATTGCTTCCGTGGCACCGACCTCCGTCGAACAGAAGTAGCGTGTCTTATCTGGGCAGCCCAAAACCTTTGTGGCGCTGGCCTGATGTCCTACTCCACGGTTTTCTACGAGCGTGCCGGTCTGGCCGTTTCACAATCTTTCAACATGTCAATTGGCCAATACGCGATAGGGTTTTGTGGCACTGTCTTCTCGTGGTTTCTAATGACTCATTTCGGTCGACGCAGTCTTTATGTTGGTGGCCTCGCTATACTGACGCTTCTGCTTCTCATTGTGGGTTTCATCTCTATCGCCCCAGAAAGTAATAGCACGGCTTGGGCTACAGGCTCCATGCTTCTCGTCTATACATTCTTCTATGATTCGTCCGTCGGCCCGGTCTGCTACTCTCTCGTAGCAGAGATGCCAAGTACGCGTCTGCGCATCAAGACTGTGGCCCTTGCGCGTAACCTATACAACTGTTTCAGCATCTTAAACGGTGTCATCATACCATACATGCTAAATGTCGACGCCTGGAACTGGCGCGGCCGAGCAGGCTTTTTCTGGGGTGGACTTGCTTTATTGTGCTGGGTATGGTCATTTTGGCGGCTTCCCGAGCCCAAAGGAAGGACATATGCGGAGATGGACAAACTGTTTGAACAGAAGGTACCTGCCCGGAAGTTTGCAAAAACAGAAGTCAGTCTGTTCAATGAGTAGGCGGTAGATATCCGGACGTGGGGATAGAGAGATAGTTAGTGCTTGTTGAGTCGTATGAATGGAGTGCCTGAGTAGGATGACCTTGATTAACCGGAGAACAACCCGAAAATGCCGAGTCACAGTAGTTTGACTAAATTTCGTGAATGTAAATAACACCTATTGCTTCGTTGCAATTCGCCGAAGAAGCTCCGGCAAGATGTTGTACAATTGCCAGTCCCACAGCGGGGTACGGGAACATTGTGAGGGGCCTATTGATATCATTTCATAAATCACATCTAACCACGTAATTTCCGAGAGACGTATTGATAGGTGGACGATTGGGAAGGTAGTGTAGTTATGCCGCAGATGGAATAATCCTAGCGAACGCGTTGGTTGATATATAAGTATGATCCATAATCTATTTACTTAGGGGTAACCAGGAAAAATTTGCAAATTACCGACTTGGGCCAACATATTATTCTACTTTTCTTTTTCTTTAAAGATAAAAGGAACTTGAAGGCTAATACTCTAGTGCAATATGTCCTCTTCCAATTTGAACGGTGCTTCAAGCATGCCATCTCTGCGGAAACCTGCAAGGGCCTGGTGGAAAGAGAGCTCTGTCTATCAAATTTATCCGCCATCATTCAAGGACTCAAATGGAGATGGAATCGGCGATCTTCAAGGAATCATCTCAAAGCTTGACTACATCCAGGGGCTGGGCGTTGATATTGTATGGCTAAGCCCAATATTCAGCTCTCCACAAGTTGACATGGGCTATGACATTTCTGACTATTACAATATCCATCCCCCGTATGGGACAGTGGATGATGTTGACCAGCTGGCTGCTGCGCTTCATAAGAGGGGGATGAAATTAGTCCTGGATCTAGTCGCAAATCATACCTCTGACCAACATCCTTGGTTTCAAGAAGCGCTCTCGTCGCCAACCAACTCCTTTCGTGATTGGTATATTTGGCGGAAGCCAGTATTTGGAACGGATGGGAAGCCGCAGCCACCAAATAACTGGGTTTCGTACTTCGGAGGTAAGTGGACGTTACTTGATATTACTTCTTTCTTTTGCTATAGAGATATTATAAGCAAGGTGTGCTAACAATAATGGCGCAACTAAGGAAGCGCATGGGAATATCACGAACCATCTGGCGAATATTACCTGCACTTGTTTGCTAAGGAGCAACCCGATCTGAACTGGGAGAACCCTGACGTCCGTCGTGCTGTCCACGATATTATGCGGTACTGGCTTAATAGGGGTGCGGATGGCTTCCGCATGGATGTTATCAATTTTATCAGCAAGGATCAGCGCTTTCCTAATGCACCTATTACCAGTGCTGGTCCATGGCAGAAGGGTGCTAAATACTATGCGTGTGGGCCGAGACTTCATGAATATCTTCAGGAGATCGGCCAGATCTTGAAAGAGTACGACGCGTTTTCGGTCGGAGAAATGCCCGAAGTGGATGACTGTGATGAAATCATCAAAGCTGTTGGCCATGACCGTGGTGAACTAAGCATGATTTTCCATTTTGAAATGTAAGTTTCTATTCTATGCTGCCCTTTAACTTTAAAACTAAATAAGATTAATAGCGTCTCCCTTGACCACGGAGTCGGTGGAAAGTTTACTCCTAAATCTTGGAACATGGATGAACTAAAGCATGCGGTGTCAAAGTGGCAGACGTTCATGCACTCCCAACAAGGGTGGAACGCACTGTATCTTGAGAACCACGATCAGCCTCGTATTGTCTCTCGTTTTGGTTCCGACCAGCCAGAACATCGTGCCTTGTCCGCTAAGATGCTGGCTACATTCTTAGGCTTTCAAAGTGGAACGCTTTTCATTTACCAGGGCCAGGAGCTTGGCATGCCAAATGTGCCCAGATCTTGGAACATTGACCAATACCGAGATATTGAAACGTTAAACCATTATCAGAGCGAGTGAGTCCTACACCATTCACATGTTTCTCATATGCGAAGATGTTCTCCTCCTTCTCATCTTTGGATATCCGCAATCTGACTTGAATTAACAGGCTCATTACGGGCGGCTCGCCTGAGGTGAGCCTTACCGAGTATCGGTTAAAATCTAGAGATAATGCACGCACGCCGATGCAATGGGATGCTTCAACTCACGCGGGATTTTCGGCAGCCCAACCCTGGATCGCGGTGCATGACGATTATCAAAACCTCAATGCTGCGATACAGGTCAAGGACAAGGAGAGTGTGTACCAGTTTTGGGCTAATGTCTTGCGACTGCGAAAAGAATTCCCCGACATTCTGGTGTACGGCTCGTTTGAGCTCGTTTCCAGCGAACATCCTGATGTGTTTGCTTACGTACGGACCTCAGAGACGGGATTGGCTGTAGTTGTCGCCAATTTCCGCTCACAGGAAGTGAGTTGGTTCCCCCCACCAACACTCAGTCATCGGGTCGGTCCTGGAAACGTTATCCTGAGTAGCTATCCCGACCGCGCCATCCGCAGTTTCTCCGGGCAGGAAATTCGTCTCCGCCCATTAGAGGCATTTTTGTGGCTGGGAGGGACCGAAATGCCTCATCTGTGATTAGTAGCTCACTCGAAGAAGTCCATGCTATGTGTATGACCAATTATTACCAAATATCAAACATCGCGGATGAATCCTGTAGACTCCTCTTCCCCGAGTAGGCCTGCTTGTCGCTTAGCTCACATCTTGAATGGCTGCGCCAAAGATACCCGGGGTATAGTCCCCCACTTTGCGCCTGTTGTAGTCGTAGGGACAAGACCCAGGATTGTGTAAATGTAAATATGGGGATCAGTCTCCATGCTCTGCGTTGAGTCTGTGATCCGGCGTAAGATTCGTTGTTATTGCCAAGAGCCACGTAGAAAATGCGAGCGTCTTTCCGCTGCTACTGTAGTGGAATACAATCTACCATAGAATGAGATGATCTAGCGGTGGACGAGTGAACTCTCGGCGAATGATTTACGCAGTAGTTCACAACTTGACGGAGCTTCTCCGGAGAATGGAACACATGTTGATAGTTTGAAACGAAAGCATAAGTTCCCGGCGTGCCGCGCCGGAGTAGGCCCGAAGCCCCTGTACCCGTGCAGTTCGCCTCGCCAGTCCCCATTATTATTGCTGTTGTTATTACGGAGATTGGCTTCTGACTTTTCGCAAAGCGCCAGGCTATCCGACAACGACCAGGTTCACGCCTTCTGCAGGTTCTTACTGGTTCTTGCTGGTTCGTCTAATACGCTAACATTATAATATATGCGTCTTGGGGGCATTCTTAGCTTTTAAGGGTTTATTAATCTTAGTCTCTAAGAGGCTCGTATATAGAGATTTCCATAGCTGCTGCTGCTACTACTACTACTACCTAGGCACGTTTGACAAGAGTATCTATACATTTTTAACTTACATTACGTATTATGGTTATTAAGATCAATTATTATATAAATATTTTTCTTATATGGACGTCTACTTGCCATACATAGTGGTCCAAGTGATGATTTAGGGATCTGAGGTTGTAGTTGTAGATGTCATATTCCATTGCAAGAAGATGGGAAAGCAGCCACATCGACCACATCGACCAGCAATTCCACTTTGATGAAGATTTACACATCGGATGATTTAGTTAGCGCTTTCACTCCGGTGTCAGCTCGTGTCTTTGTCACCGCCGAGCCTACAGTTGTTTGCATAATAAAAAATCCCACCTGCTTACACACTTAACGCCCGCCATTGAGGGGTGGACTAGAGACATGAACGCTCATGAATTTGTTTATAGCGATAAGAATGTTCAAAGACTGGAGCAAAGTGTGCAGGAACTCTTGCAAGCTGCAGACGTCAAGACCGTTGAAGAGCAGCGCGATCACGTTCTAATTGATTTCATCAAGAGGAAACAAGTCATGTCTGCTCTGAAATAATGCATCCGTAAACCCCAGCATTACGTAGCGTACTTTTGTTCACAGAATAGTATAGCAACAAGCTTGACTCGCGCCCACGTTGAGCAATGGCTAGTAGTAACTCAGCATTGTATTGGGGGTTTCTTGAACGATATATTATGCTCAACTGCTTGCTTGATTCTAACAAATTTACGTGATTATAAGATGAGAATGGATTTGGCGAGAGTAGATTATAATATGAACCGAAAATGCCTAATCACTAAAGATCTTCCAATTAGAAGTACGCAAGCGAATGGAGAGGAAGACACATGTGGCTATATAAACTTGCGGGTGACCTTAATAAACTTATGTAAGGAGTTAAAAGCTGGCTCAAAATCCGTGGCCTTCCCACCCTGTACGTCGCTGAATATTTGTTAATGATCTACGGCTTGATTCATGTACTAGTGCATATATCCCATGATTATGTCGTCTCATATGGTATAGTGCTCTATGAAAATTGTGGCATTTTGATCCCAAATGATTTATTATTCATATAAACCATGCCACAATTTTATGTATATTTACTCTCATGTAAGCGTTATTATCCAATATGGTATACCATGATATACCTATCCCACGTGGTTTACTGTCCCACATAGCCAATTGTCCTGTATGACAATATGAATATGTGGGTATACCTTTGACCTCCTGTCAACACCAGAAGAGATCAAGGAAAGGGCCCTGGTTTTTAATAGTCACTGAAAAAAAAAAGAAAAAAAAAAGACTGGGTAAATTTAAAAATAGGGTCTGAAAAATCCGTTTGATAGAAATGAAACCTGAGAGTAAGGCCTAAATCAAGACCTTAAAAGTAAAGAACACCCAAAGGTAGCAATACACAGACAAGGTGATGTTCGGGGCGAGGTAGAGAATCAGGGAATAAGGTAGGTAAACATGCTTTAGAAGCGCCTCCTCTAATGCGTAAAGTGACCTCTTCAGAAAGACACAGAGTAGGTCTTTAGGGACGCTTCTGTGGCAGTAATATACAAGCAAGACACAAGCCTGATTTATATTAGGCGAAGTGCGAATGGATCCTTTCCCTAATTATGTTGATGTTCATGAATTTCACATTCTACCCTGCAGCTAATTGAAAAAATGGATAACAGGCAAAGCCAGTAGCAAGAACACAACAAACACTATGTTAGCAATTTCTTTTAACGAAAGTTTTGACTGGCGAAGACTAGCCTCATCCTCCACCCCAAGCAGCTTCAAAACACCAACAAATCGCCGGGATGCAGCCAATTCTGCTGGCGTGTGGCCGCGTGACGGATTCCAAAATTCTCCCCAATATTCTCTGACGGAGATAAAGGAGGTTCCCATGGTCAACACAGTAAATAGGTGACAATTCCAATAAATAAAAGTGCAACATAGTGGAAGGAACATCATCACAGACAAAATCACATTGAATGGTCCTGACATCCCTTTGAAAATATGGAGCCAAGTATCTCTATGAAGGCGGTAAACACTGCAAACAAGGACGCATGTGAAAGTCGTAAATAAGCCAGAATATATTGCAAGACGCATTCGCACGAAAATTGGATATAGGAGTACAGTTATTATCTGAGATATGTAATTTCCAAGTAGTATATCGTATTTCAAGGGCGCAAGGGAATCAGGAAACGACCGAAATATGTCTGGAGTCGAAATCGATTGTATTCCGAAGTAACACACGCAGATTGCTTCACGCCATCCAAACTGCCTCTCGTGAGGAGGAGCTTTTGAATTTAGGTCATCTGTTATATTCGGATAGAATTCGGAGGCTGTCGTGAGGGTGGACAAGATAGTCATACCACAAGCCAGACAGACAATAAACCTTTTGAATTCTTTACTGGAAAGCAACTCTTCCTCCCGCGCAAGTTTTGAAACGATATTTGCTTCTTGAACTGTGGACCATGGAAATTCTCCATGTTTGTCTTTGTTATAGTAGTACGGTAGATCCATAATGGTTTTCAAGCCTCTTTTGTTAGACAAAATTAGCATTACATTGTTTAGAGTTATTTGAATTGATTGCTCCTCTCTCACCGTTCAATATATCTATTATCTATATCGAATATTGCCGCCCCTTCGGGAATCTTATGTCGAATACGGTAAAGATAATATAACATGGCACAACATTTTGCTGCCGACATATCCAAGGGGACAACACTCTGCGATAGAGTCGTCGCAGAGATCTCGGCTCCATGATCAAGAAGCAGTTGAACCATTCCCTCTTGTCCCTCCCAGGAAGCCCAATGGAGCGCCATCAGGCCATACCCCATCTTGTCGATCTCCGCACTGTGATCGAGAAGCATTTTTGCGAGTTTCTTATGACCGTTGCGTACTGCCCAGATTAAGGGAGGTAGGCCATAGCCTCTTGCGTTCAAATCAGCTCCATAATCTATAAGAAGCTTAGCGACACTGTGGTGTCCATTTCTGACAGCCCAGTGCAGAGGGGACATGTCATGAATAGACTTGGAGTTAACAGTATCGTGGAGTGTTCGTTTGGTGAGACTGTTTGAAGAAACAATACTCCGAGCAATTAATTTTAGACCAAAGAATGATGAAAAATGGATCAAATTGAACGACGTCCCTGGAGTTTGCCATTTTGGCATATTTGTGCGCCAATAACTGTGTATCCAGGCTTGACGAGTAGATGAGTCTGATGAGAAAAAAGAGAGGTTTAAAAGGGCGTTGTCCTTTTTTGAGCGTCTAGCATGTTCAGGCCACCAATTGGTGGAGTATCCTGGTAGAGGGAAGCGTTGAAATTCTTCTAACTCTGTACAGAACAGCTTAGGACTGAGAGTGTATTCTCGACCATTTTCATAGGGGCCGCCCCTTTCGAATTTCCCCTGGATGTACTTCAAGCAAGTTTGTGCTATTTGAAAATCCACATCCGTTTCCACAATATGAAACTGACTGAGCGGATGCCCTCTTTTTTTCAAGATATTGCTCCTCAAGTAATCTTTGGCAGATTGATGAATGAGGTGAACCACACCATTGTCGACTTTTAGGAAATAACCACAAAGGCTGATATGGTCATTCATCACTTCTTCTTGAGAGTGGGTTTGTGTGGGTAGTGTATCCGTTGCAGCACTTAACTCCACCAGACTAAGAGGCCGCCTAACCATAGCTACCCATCGGATGATTAAGGCAGCAGTTAGAGATTTAGCCTCTCCAAGCTCTAAAATCTGATAAAGAATTCTCTCGTAGTAATTATCCAATCCTCGTGGTAGTTTTTCAAGCATCTGCGGTACTTCTGTGAGTAAAGCTTTTCTGAGATCTCTGATGATAAAGCTAATCCACAAGAAAGTTTCGTTTGTATAACTGGTTAGTGGTTGAGTTGCTAAAAGCCATTTTATCCTTAATTTTGCCCTTTTATTCTCATCCTTTTCTATACTGCTTTTTGCATCTGCTAAACTCTTAATCTTAGACGAGATGAAAAGTTTGAGATCATATTCCAAATATTTTTCCCCTGAATTGACGTTCACGTGAGGAAATTGGGAAAGATAAACAGAGAGCACTTCTGGAAGTTGACGACTTGTAATTATGATCTTCAGTATAGTTTTTGGAGGCTGTGTGTTCGAGGAAAAAAGGCCTGTAAGTTTTTGGAGAAGCCACTCTAATGAGTGCTTTTCACACTCATCAAGAGCATCTAAAACGAAATATATCTTTCTTGTATCAATTTTCTGTAGAATTTTCTCAAAGTTTCTCCACAGTGCTTCTCTATTCGATGGGGCGAAGAGACCATTATGCTGTTTGAACTGAATAAAGTCGTCCAGTATATAATCAACTAATTTCGGTTTTTGTAATAATACCATGTAGATTAAGCCACGAAGGAGAGCGATTCCAGTGCTTCGTTTATTATTCTGTGCAGAACAGAAATAGAACACAAGTAGCTCAGAATCATTTTCCATTGAAGATTCCGTTTTGATCGCTTTCTCGAGTTCATCAGTTAGGAAGATTGACATATATGTTTTTCCAGTTGCTGGTGGACCACATATCCAAAGAAGCTTGGAGCCCTGCTCTTGGTACCATGCTTGATAGCTCTTGTTTTCTTTAATCCAAGTACAGGTACCTTCCACCCGTTCTCCAAATTCGCTAATAGTGTTGGCTTTGTCGTCCCGTGGGTCTGTCAGCATCACTTCGTTCTTGCACTCTTCTCGGAGATTTGCGATCCTATCTAGAATCGAATGTAAATCAATGAAGCTTTGTACATTTAGATGCGAAGAGCTACATACCATTGAGATCGTATTCGTCACAACCTACAACAGAAAGCAGCCAGTTAGATCCATATCTCACTGAATCATATTATGCCTAGTTGGTCCTAGTCATCATTCTTACCAAAATATATCTTCTCTGCATTATACTGCTTTCCCTGACCGAAGTTATTGGCTTGTCTTCCCTCACCACTATTTGTATTTTGGGGTCCAGGCCCATTATTAATATACATGTGAGGCGACATTTCCTCCAGTAAAGAAGAGGGGATATCGATATCAGCCAACTTTTGAATAGCCTTAGCAACCTCCTTGAGTTGTTCCTCCGTTGCTGCTTGAATTGCCCGATTCCCCGCCATGAGCTGAATATCTCGTAGGATGCCTCCCATCAGAGTCTCTACCCGGTTTTCCATTCCCATCTGGCGAACGGTCAAGTAATAGCTTTGGATTCTCGATGCATTGGGTTTCGCTGCGAGCTTTTGAAAGATCGTTTCTAGACGCTTACACTTCTCTTTGCAGAGTTCTGAAATCATCTTTAGGGCTTTAGACGTCTCGTCGTCTGGATTTGACTCGTTGATGTGCTTCTCAATGGTTCGAAGAATTTCTTGGGCCAGTGGGAGTTGTTGGGCCACTGCCTGAAACGCAGGAAGACTGTCTTTCCACCCCTGTACATCATTGTAGAGTTTCACAATGCTTTCGAGAATGGTAATGCAACCACTGATTATACCAATAGCTTCAACGCCTGACATTCTTTTATCGCTTTCGCAAGGCGTGGTGTCTTGTGGAAGAATCACCCTTGGTATGAAAAATCAATGACGGAAAGAAAAAATAGTCGAGCACCCGAGTAGAGAAGCCTTGCTCAGGTTGACTATCTTTCAGCCTCACACTAAACATGCCCCGAGTCGCGTAGGAGTGTCATCCAATGATGCCTTTGGTGACAAGGGTAGTATGCACGCTAACACAAACCCGCACACTGGCACACTGCATATGGCCAATTAAAAAAAACAGATGACACCAAATATTGTCCTTTTCACTAGATACTTCTGACCGCCTCGGTTTGAAAGGATCTGCACGCTTGTAATGATCGCAAGGCTGATTGCCAAATAAGCTCTGAAGTAATGAATATCAAACATATTCATCTCTATTTCAATATTTTGGGACAGTGTTGGTACAAGAATCGGGTCATACCTGAACTCGAGTGCATCCTCCCCTCTGTACAATCGGCATTAACGATATTCTTCGTGTCACCTTCGGTGCCAGACGGGAGCGAAACTACCAAGAACTATATAAAAATCCTGTATTCCCTTGGCGTAAAGTATCATTCAAAACCGAATTTATACTTCTGGTCGTGTGGCAGTGGATAGTGCGTCGGTTAGTTGATTTTGTAACATTACCAACGATTCTTTGGAAACCTAAGCACTACCTCAGAAAATATTACCCTCAGTTGTATACTCTGATATGATTTAGTGTATATTTACCCTGTTCACCCTGCGAGGGTTCCTCCCAACTCAGCGATGGCCCGAATTCGGTATCGATGAGTTTTAGAGTTTCATCAATCTACTTTGTCCATTTTGAGAGCGAATGATTCATTGCCCATGAATTGTCGGCGGTCTGCGACTAGCAGACTCAGTATATCATTTCCGTAAAGAATACTAGATCCCAGAACTGTCGTGATCCACCCCTTCAAGCTCCCCCCAGGCGAGGTACGCACTCTATCGCTTGTAAGGTCGCGTTCCGCGTCGCTTCTATGGCTGCTTCGAACACTGGCGCGAAGGAAATGTTTGGGTGTAGGAGCTTCATTTCGACTAACCACTCTATCTACTTAGCTCATGGTACCATTAGCCTCCTGTATATATCGTGCTGTGGTGCTGTATAGACTTACTAATAAGACTCTTTTCACTTGTCAACTCCCGGGTCTGACGATCGGGTGAGCCCGTATGATGCTGATGGGTATGATGAGACCTGAATAATATTTATAGGTTGTATGTTATTATTAATCATCGACCAAGTTTGAGGATGAATAATGCATTACTCACGGACTGTCCGCAGATTGGGGCTGACCAAACAAAGTCACCACCCTAAACACAAGTGTGAACCAAAACAATCTGGGCAATTTCACCATGACACGGTATCAGCGACATTATTGATTGCAGCTGCTACTGCTTCGTGAGCACGAGAGAACGAAACGTTTTGAATATAGGAGTTCCATTTCGACTAGCTAATCTATACACTCAGAATATGGTACTCTAACGACCTGAATACGCATAAAGAGTGAATTTTCGATTTTCTTCATCTTGCAAGAGAGAGGGGTTAAACAGAAAACTTTCAAATTTAATTTTTGAAAACTGTTAGCCCACAATACCTTAACATCATGAACGTGCATACTAAATAACCCACGAAATAAGCAAAGGACCATTGAAAGAGATACACAAGGAGAAGAGAAAGAGGGAAGGATGCTCTCAGGTAGTGATTGAGCAGCTTCCTCATATGCATTTAATCATGTCTGTAAAGTCTTTATCGCAAAAAAACGAAAATATTCGAATAAAAAGTGCAATGATCCTGACAGCTCTTACTATATAAGTAAGTAGAGAGGATTCGCCATCTTCAATATTCTAATCTTTTGGCGCATCGCTTAGTAAACGAATATTCCTATGAACAAGACCATAACACTAGGCTGTAACAAATGATCCTGACGATAATCGGAGTAATTGACAACTTAAAAACATCATGAAAGAAAAATTTTCACATACCAGCAACGCGTTCGCATACACGTGATCTGGATTCCTCGGAGCCTCGGATATACATATATCGAAGTCTAAAGATGTATACGAAAGAAAGACTAGGTGCAGCTGAGGGTAGCTTTCTGGACAGGCACAATCAAGTCCTGCCATTCAATGGTTGGTGAAAGCCGTGGACTCTCGAGTTGGTATGGTATATAGGAGCCAAAGCCGATTGGGTGACCCAAAAACTTGGATTTTCTTGACTCATGAGGACCAAACCCTATTCAGTTAACCAGATCAGCCAAGAAAAAGTCAATTACCAGGTCATTCGCATTGCTAAGGGGCTGAGATGGCGGATCCGATGCCAAGGAGCCACAGGAAGTTGGAAACCAGGCCTGTAAGTTAGGTATTAATTAGGTCCAAAAAGAGAGCCCTAGAATAGTTCCAGACCCATAGGGCTAGACCTATCAATGCAAGGGAGATGCACCACCAATCAACATATAGTCCTCCTGCTCTGATTGGGATTAATCCTGTAGGCGAATATCGAAACCTTCCTGGTAGAAAATATATGGATTGAGGAGTTAGCACCCGACGCAACCCAAGTTGATATGAGTGCTAATAAGAATTCTCCAGTGGACCGGTGTTGCCTTACGCCCAAAGCTCGTCTTGCAGTTCCATCGAGAATCATACACCGTGATCTCTGTAGGCTACGGTGATAAACACAGCCCCATTACTTGACTGGATATTGTAATTCAAATTAGCTGGGCGAATGACAACGTCGGATGCCGAAATTGACGAGCCATTAAGTCTGAAGTCTTGAGCGACAACGTCTGTAGCGTATAGGAATTGGGCCCAAGTCATAGGATTACCGACAGATGGCTCGATAGAGATTTGATCATCAATATTGGTACAGACGGAGTTGAGGTTACGTGGAATGCATATCTGTCCGTTACCATTCCGATCGATCGACTTGTACACGAAGTAGTCATAGTATTGAGTAGGAGAGTGTGCCTTAGCCACTTCGATAGAGTAAAGATGAGATTGCCGGATATTGCCATCTTGCACTGAAGTCTGTGTGTTGATCTCCCCTGTGGAGCATCACCAGGTGTTTAAGTTGGACAGTTGCATTCAATCCATGGAATCCGCATACGAAGAATGTTCGTGAGCAAGGCGATGCACGAAAGCTCTCTCAACCTACTTGAGGAATTCAGTGCCGGAGGCGTTATGACTGGTAACCCTAATAAACTGGATACATCGAGCGGGTCGCGAGCTCGTTATGTGTTCATACACACCTGGACATAGATTCCTAGACCTAGTCTACATATTATCGATCAATAATCGTTGCTTTCGTATAGCCAGCAGCGGTGGTGATTTTATTTACACTGGCCGACCACCATTGTTAATTCCTAATCAGCAGACTGCCTATGTAGACTGCTTGTGGATTCATATTTTAGCCTAGTAGTAAAATCACGTACCATAGAAATATATTGGCTACAGTACCACAGTTATGACTCCGTAATTGACTACTTTGTAGTTCTACTACATAAAGATGAAATTGATACTTTGTCTAGGTCTTAAAACAGCCTAGTTGGAAAATTCCAGCTTTCCTCCAGACTGATAGACTAAAGTCACCTGATGAATTTTCCGAAGAAGGCCCGACTGTGAAGCTTATTTAATGGACCAATTTCCTAAAGCGGACTAAAGTTTTACGGACGGGGTTCGTTAAATACTCCAGGACTCAGCTTTGGAGCTCGATTGGTCTAAACTTTTGCAGCGCAAACTGGAAATGCGGGGGCGGCATTGGAATCCCACGAGGTATTTCTCTCGTTACAGTACTTACCGGTCTAACCACACTTCAATCCATTCGGCGGGTCTGTGGACCGTGGCCGAGAACGAAGGCCAATGTGAGCTAATTACGAATAGAAGGGCAAGAAACGAAAGAGAAGAAACTTGATAGATTGAATAACAAAAGTGAAACCATTTTTTCTCAATACAATGCACCAAAGCCCATGATCTCATATATACACGCCGAGTCCTAGAATTACAAATTTCCCGTCCTTTCTTACTTGAAGTAGTGTTGGACATTGACGTTCACCACACTGCGCTAGAAGTAGAATCCCGCTCAATAAACTCCTGCTCATCAGTTTCTGCGACAGATGTCTCGCTCAGGGGCGGAGGCACATTCCCTAAGCTCAAAAGTCCTTGGCACTGCTGAAGAAGTGCTGGAAATAGGTACGATTGAGATCCTCGAATCCGGGATAATGAAGTTAGGATACCGGACAAGACATCTCTCGCGTCGAATTTGGACGACTCCAATGATTCAGCTGTCTTGAGGCACAGTTGCTGCGTAAACTGAAAGATGGATTCCCCGATATCATAAAGTTTCTGTTCCTTTTAGGTGCTGTCAGCGAAAATTGTGCTTGGTGTTCACCTTGTCTATTGATGAAAAAGCCTACACTAATAGAAGACATGGTGAACAGGGAGGGAAACGGATCTTAGAGCTTACTATTCCAATTCCATGTGAATCGGCCGACTTTTGAGCCACTGACGACAAACAGGCCATGACAATTCTTCCCGCGATCGTTGGGGTCTGTTTAGGGAGGCCCGTATTACTTTGTCCCCCATGAAGATACTGTCGGTCCATGTAAAATCGCCACAAGCGGGTTTGAAGCCATTGCTGCGTGAGGATGATATCGACTCGATTAGTTTCCGGAACCTCGGCTAGAAGCGGTGTCGCAAAGGCGACAGATTTATAAATATCTGACAAGGATGAAAGATCGCACATTCCACCTATGTCGCAAATGTTCCATTCATAGAAATCAGGGGTGATCTTTTCGAAGAGTGAGATTAGACTGGTAAAACCGTACATTGTTGTTGGAGACTCAGATTGGAATACGACAGGCTTCTTGATGGTAGCACGGAGCATAATCGGCCGGCCCGTTTGGAGGGCGTATGCACTATTATGGCTAGTTAGGCAAAATCTTTCAACAAGGTGTCATTGCTGCCTATTCGCCAAGGGCAGGAAATAGTTAACATTCTTACCGTTCTGTGACGAAAAGAAGCCAGTAGATCCTTCGTAATATCTCAGCCTCATTCTGGTCGAGGTCCTCATAAGTGGACTCCATATTCAGCTTCAAAATATGAGCGAAAGAAAGACTTTGGTTGAGATAATACCAGGCCCGGTCCGGTTCGCGAAGGTTTCCATACGCAGCAAACAAAAAAAACCTGATGAGTATAGTATCGGCATGTAAGTCATCGAAGGGATCAAATTGATGCAGCGCCTGCTCTGCTTCTCTGATCAGGTGGTATCCCGATCGGAGTGTATCGGGGTCAACATCTTTCTCGGGCATATGGAAGTTCAATTGAAAATGCGCAGCTGCTGAGAGGGCAACTAGAAGGGCATAGCGGCGGGGGTGCAATGCCTCGGGGCCAGCACAATCTAGCAAAAGCGCATTTCCATCGACGACTGGCATAATAGGATATAACTGTTGTAAGAATGCCTGAACATACGCTCGAAGTTGCGGAGAGGAGATCCGCCGTGGTACTGGAGCTATACTAGCTGTGGATATATCATATACTAACAGCGAAGTGTCATAGTCGGCTGAGTAAGGACTGTCATCTAATGGCGCCAGGGAGGACTGTAGACTGTCGAGAACCACATCGTTAGCATGCTGAGAATCGTAATTGTGCATTCCTGAGCCATCAGATGTCCCTGTTGCAAGGAGCTCGGTCAAGACCGGCGCTGTGCGGCCCTTGGGTCCTTTTCGGCGCGCGGTGTCATTGTACTGACAGACCAACTGGATTTCCTCACATTTGGCACATGGTTGATTGCGGTTACAGCGGATTTTTCGTCGACGACAATTATCGCAAGCCCTCCTTGGGGCGCCGCGAACATGTGCGGTAGATTCGTCCATATTCAAAGATTGTCCGAAATGAGGCCGGAGGGACTCTAGAACGTGGGCATGGGGACATGGTTTACTTATAGCGGAGGAAATAAAATACGGTTATTTGCATACGACGCTAATCAAAATCCCCGCGTCTAATCGGTTACTTCCGGCGTAGTGTGAATAATTTCAATCTGTTACGAGGTCAAATTCACGCCACAATATTCGGCAATTGAGAAATGAGTTAGTCCAGGTAATACAAGCTTTGTCGGCCAGCTTTTTCTGCTTGTTAAGATAGATATTCTATAGGAACGCTTATTTATCACCCGCACTGAGGCAGAGATCAGAATTAAGCAAGCAACACATCAAGTTCAATTATCCCATAGCAATCAGTACAATTAGAACCACTAGTTGAACTAGGCAGGCTGGCATAACGGTCAGCCTAACAATAGCACAGCGATGCGGCTCTGTTCCGAACGGACAGAAGACACTTCAAACATCACCGTTGCTAGCTTTTTGAAAAGTCTACACCTTGACAATTAATGTAAGGCTGTGAGTAGAACGTCCTAAGTCACGCAGGTGGACGACTAGGTCATTGTCCCGCATAGCCAACTTTCGGAAACGTATGTGTGATATGGTGATGCCGTACGTCGCTCTTGGATGGGCGATCGCCTCATAACTGAAATCGGTTTAGACGGTCGTCGCAGGGGCTACAGTGATCCAGAACGTCACTTGCATACCCTGTAACTGCCAAGCGCCGGTGACAGCAGAGACAGCTGGTGACTGTGATCATCCGTCGTACTGATTTGCTACTACGTTTATTGGAAACGGGCAAAACGAGCACTAAGCTACCACTCTGTTCAGTTGATGCTAGCTTATTGAGGAATGGATCCTCTCTTTCACATCCTTTCGGTACGGAGTCCGGAGTACTTATGTAATATCCGCGGCTGGAACCTCTGCGAATGTCCATTTGAACGATTAGCTCTGACCAAATCGCCGAGTCAGCCCCCTATTATCGATTTTCCCCGCATACGAGGTCTTGGCTTGCTCGTAGCGTCGTGGGATCCCATCCATCCAAACGAACAACTGGAACTTAAGCACTTACAGTACTGCGTAGTTCGATGGTAATTAAAAACCGGCGCAACAAATTTCGTCGTTTTAATTCTCGAGATTATCTTTAACTACTGCTGGGCCTTGAGATCAAGTAACTTTTGCACCGTTTACTTCGCTGCGCCATCGTCCTTTCTCAAGCCAGTCTCGAACGTACGACTCCCTTTTTTAAATTGTCCCAGATTTGGGTTTTACAAGAGTCTAAGAACCTCGTAAAACTCTATTATGTGTTCGAGACCTTTTGTGGCAGTTGATATGCGGGGTAGATCGGCGCGACAAAAAATTGTCAAACTTTAACCACCATACCAATAAGAGCGCAACCTTTAGTAGTTAGTAAGGTAAGGATGGTATTGGTCGCATATTTTCTTTTTGCACAAAAATGTATTAGCCGGGCTCGGTTTATTGAAACCTCAGAACGAATCATGATGCTTCGATGAAATAATCCGTTGGTGTAATCGTCTCTCGTAAGGAATGACAGTGTCGCCAGTATTTATCTCCGTTCGTCCTTCGAAAGAGCCAGATTCTCACCCATGCCCCTTCATTAATATTTTTGAAACGTTTCTTGAGATATGGCATCCTTATGCCCTACGCCACTGCTTGATGAATCTCTGTACCCAAATACCACCCGCGGTTCGTATTATATCCGAGTGACATAAGTTATACAATTTCTAACTAGGTGCTGATTCGTCGTAGCGTCGGTGACACGCTTTTGCGAGGTTATTGGAAATACATCTTGTTGTCTGCCATGTCCGATTAGCGAATGGCGCTACCCCGACGCCGTTGGTATAGCAAAGATTCAGCTAGAAGAAAAGGCGGACAAAGACTGATAACTGAAACTTAATAGATTTGGTTGACAGGAGACATGTGCCGGCGTGGTCTGCCCTAGGAGTCTTGCCATTCGTGATTCTGTTATTGATCACGTTTGCTTTGCTACCAGTATCAGCTACTGACCGTCACTATCTCACAACAATACCATTGGCCGCCTTTGTGTTCATAAATGTAATCCAATTTTCTGCTTGTGGGTGATGATTATACTTCCCAGCATTTCTAACTTAGTCTCACTAGGTTGCTTGGATTACTACACTCTACCCGTCGCCGAATTATTGCCAAGATGCAATCACGCCTGGAGATATAACGTCTGACTACTATTGCGGCCCAAGTATGGCATTGCTATTGTATGGGTATTTCGTCTTACTTATCAGCTGTGAGTGGTGATTACTTCTGTTTTTCTTCTTTCTTCGTTCTTCATCTTTTGGGACGTGTATTTCCTATATTATTATTTAATGATATACCTAGTAACCAGCTATCTCCAGGCTTATTTCGCTCAGTGACTCTTCACCTCATTGTCTGCTGGGAGCTCACACCAGGAAGATGTTTTCGTGCCCTTGCTTTGGCAACCACATGTATCGGGTCAGCTGTTTTAGTTGCAATCGAACTCAGCATAAGTGGTCTGGCTTATCAATTTGGCAATATCTGCTACTTGCGTCCGTACTACGATCGTGAGACGCTTTGGGTTCCTGTATTAATAATCAGTGTTTCCGCTTTGCTCTTGCAAGTGATCACTATGACCTATTCCAGTTACGTCGTCGTCAGGGCTTTGTTACAGAGCATGATTATAGGTGATGTAGACGACAGGAGATATTCAACGTCAACCCAAAGACAACGGATGTTAAAAATGAGACAAGCATCAATACGGGTAAAATTGATCCTTCAGATGCAGTGGCATCCCGTTTTGATTGTCGTCATCATCGCCACATACACCATATATCTAGCATCTGTTTTGATGCACCAGAAACGCTTTTCTGAATACGATCAGAATATTGTTCGGACATGGTTTGCATGCTTGACATCCGCCAACGGGAATGCAGAGAACTGTTTGGCGCTGGCTGAGGGTATTGGTCCTAGTCAATCTGAACTTCTAACAGCGATCATAATACTTGCGGTAGGTTTTACCTTTTTCGATCTGTCTCCGGACAAACTGTTACAGAACGCTAATTAAGCTTGTGTATTAAGCTGAGCGGCGTCCCGGGTGTCATCATTTGCTCTCGCCTTCGGATGTTCCGGGGATGGATTGATTATATTAACGCAAAACGAGAGGGCAACGCAACGGGACCGTCGTGTCAAAACATGGACATAAATTTCGCTGTGTATAGCAACACTCCTTCTAGCTCAAGGGGTGATAGTTCAAGTTATACCACTACAGCGAGGAAGGGACTACTTTAGATGTTGAAAAAGTTTGATTCATTAAAAATATTACCTGGACTGAATGCATTGCGCATAATAATTGCTGCTATACAGTGTACTCAGCACTTTATTTATGATTCTCGGGTGCCATCTTATGCAGATACAAGTCAATTTTTCATCCTTATTTCCTAGTCTATTGAACGGGTAGTTTCCCCGATTTTGCCCTGGCTTTCTACTTATTGTGGGTTGACAAAAGCATTAACTACCACCCTGATATGCCAACTATAGCGGCCTGGGATGTCAATACTTTTTGTTACCCCACTGTATTGGCGATCACCGGGCTCAATTGTCGTATTGTAAAGTTAGCACTGTCGATCATGTTTCCACACCTCGGTGACATATGAACCGAACACAGTTGAGCCCGCTGCCGTCGTGTCTTACTAAACATTTGAAGCCAGCTAACGTGAATTAACTCTACGAATTGTAAGCGACGAATGAAAATATTGCTTACAATACAAGCAGATGCGGGGAAACCGTTGTGCAACCATTGCAATTGTAGTAACCGTTGCGCAATGGTTGCAAGCTGCGATTGGTTGCTGCAATGTTGTGTTAATCGAAACTTTGCTATAAAAGTCACGTTTCCAAAATGTCTACTGAAACTTTTTTTCGATACGTGGTATAAGAGAAAAATTTACCATATAGATATGTGCCTTCCTAATTAAGCATCGACGACATCTGGTTTATTCACTTACGAGTACGCACTCGCACAGCATCTCTAGACTCCTTCCTAACCCCCCTCTTCCCCCTCACATACATTAATTAGTATGTGTATAACTAGATGCGCATTTATCCCCTACGCTACTCAACATACTGCCGACCCCTAAACGCTCAGAAAGTCGATCAGGAATGTCCTCAAGCAGACGAGGCAGGGCATCTATTAGGTGCATTTCTACTCGATGCTTTACTCAGCGCGCTGCTAACCCCCAAACGCCCTCAAAAACGCCCTCAGGCAGCGAGGCAGCAAAGCGCGTTAGCACGTGTTCCTGTAAACAATTTAAATAACTTTTTATGAAGCGTTTCAAAGTAGAAATGTGGCACAACGGTTGCAGGGCGGTATCCGAGACCCAGCATTTTCACATATTGTACTCTCAATATTGAATTTACTGCAAGTATGTTGCTGTCAGAATCATCTAGCCTCAGATAAGAGAAGCCGTTCCAGCGTGTACCAATGATATTTATTCATGTTTAATGATCTGGCCTAGTTGTAGGGTTATGAACGCCACGTTTTAGTGGGTACGAAGTGGATCTGTGGTCTTCCGGGACTGAAAGGTCGAGCGTCCATCGGCGAACTGAAACCAATAGAAACCGCCGCTCCCGCATTCCCCAAAAGGAAAATCGCCAATGAAAGCCCCATTAACCAATCGCATTTGGTCCTATTCCTCCCAGGTGGGTGGAGTGGAGGTGACGGAGAGGAGAGAGTAGGGGGACATAAATCTTCCACAGCCTGCCTGGCAGACTTCATATTTATTCCTTTCTTATGTTTAACCCATACCATGTATCTCCGAGCAGTGCACGCCGAGCCCTCCATTAAAGCCCTATTCGAATTTATCAAGGAGAATCCTCTGGGTATCCTGACAACCTCCATAGCCTCTCCTCACTATCCTTTCCTACAATCAAGCCATATCCCATGGGTGCTAGATACCATTAGCGAGGACCCTGATGTACCGGTGAAAGGTCGCCTTCGGGGGCATTTGGCGAGACAAAATCCCCAGTCGAAAGCATTGATTGAAGCCGTCTCCAACTCCTCAACAGGGACACTTCAACATGATGTTATGGTTCTATTCACGAGTCCTTATCATCATTATGTGACTCCGAAATTCTACACTGAGACCAAACCATCTACTGCCAAGGTCGTGCCGACATGGAACTATGCAGCTGTCCAGGTTTACGGCAAGGCCACCATCTACCATGACTCTTCTTCGGTGGAGACTTCCTTGTACCTCTCACAACAGATTGGTGACCTGTCTAAACAATGTGAAACCTCTATTATGGGATATTCTGGCCACGAAGGGAAGCCGGAGCCGTGGAGTGTCTCTGATGCCCCGGATCGGTATATTGATATAATGAAAAAAAACATTATTGGCATCGAGGTGTCAATTGAAAGCATTGGAGGCAAATTCAAGATGAGTCAAGAGATGGGACATGGTGATCGCAAGGGCATAATTGAAGGGTTTCAAGATCTCGCGTCGGACACTGGAACGCACATGGCTGATATGGTGAGGAGGCGTGGGAATATGAAGGATGCAGAGAGGAAGATTTGATGATCTTTACATGCAGGCGTATTTCTGTAGACAAGAAAAAATGAAGACTATTTTATCCACATTTCAAGGACTTTTTAACATCCTATTGTAAATAGAAGATTTGCAAACCAAGCGACATTGTTGCACGATGGCCGAATTTCGGAGTCGCCAAACTTCCGGGTGCTTATCTTAAATGTGAGGTCATCATTGGTTTCGGAAGTTGACTGATTACTCCGTACCATGGTTTTGATAATCACGCTAAAGCCAAAGTTACCAGTAAACCCAGCGGGGCCTAGTGTTTTTTCCCCCCACTCCCGCGAACTTCCCAAATAGAATGATTGATGAATCACGTAGGTAAAAGAAAGAAGGGGAAAGAAAAATACGTTTTTTTATCGAATGCAACAGAATTAGACGGAACACCTCATATCCCATATACAGTGTCTTATTTCCGGGTCGTTATCGTAGACTTAGATCTGGAGGCTTCCTCAAGTAGTTTCATATTGATATCACATATTGTTTAACACCCTTGCATCCTCCAAATTCCTCCAAATTCCTCTGTTGCTTTTTCTTCTCTGGCCTATTTTACCATCGTTCCAATATTTCCAGACACTGTTGTTACAAAATTAGCCATGAGTGGGACACAAACTGCGCAGAAATCGCTACAGGACGCGCGTGTAGCGTCAGAAATATTCGAGCTGCGCCCGGATTATCGGGCCCTCTTGATGGTTGTGGAGGGTATTCCTCCAGGACCCAGCGACGACTCCAGCGAGGCCCTCTTACGAGAGGCTGAAAATTGTGCCAAAGACCTGCTCTTGAAATATCCCATCACTGAATTTCCACATATCGCCGCATGGCGGGAGACCTACAAGAGTTTCGGTGTTAAGCCGCAGAAGAACCGCAACAGTTTGGAAGCCTTGACACGTCGTGTAGAGAACGGTCTACCACGTATCAATCGTTTGACGGATATCTACAATGCCATTTCAGTCAAACACCAGATCCCACTTGGCGGCGAGGACCTTGACAAATACAATGGATCACCGTATCTGACCCGGGCTAGCGGCAAGGAACCGTTTTCGACCTTTTCTGGAGGAGAACCTCAAACGGAACTCGCAGCACCAGGCGAACCTATATGGTGTGACAACACTGGCATTACTTGCCGTCGATGGAATTGGAGACAGGGCCCACGAACTGCCCTGACTAACGATACCACCCGTGTCCTATTTATTCTAGATGCATTGGAGCCTCTTTCAAATGATTCTCTTACCAGAGCTGCCGATGAACTCGCGTCAGCATTAAAACGTCTGTCTCCAGAAGTACAGGCATCGTACCGAATCATTGGACCCCAAACTTCAACTGAATGATGCACCATCGAAAAGAAGAATGTAATCAGTCTACCTTAATTTATCTCTCCATTCTCGTTTCATCGGCTTGGATGCAGCGATGCAAGAAGTCATATAGAGCCCACCTATTTCACGGAAGATATTGTGGACCAAAGGAAATATGAAGTGGATGGGCATACCATGCGAGCGTCTATTCTTATTTTCTTTCGGCAAGATCAGCTAATGATATGACAAAAAGCTATCTCTTTGATATTGTATCATTCAAGATATTATATTTCTCTCATACTCCCAGCCATCACTGTACAATTGATTTGAATGCCTGCAACAAATCATTTTTCAAATCCTCCCAATGTTCTAACCCAACACTGACCCGCAGTAACTTCTGATCAACAGTCGGATCTGACAATGTGCGCCACTCAATCAGAGACTCCACTCCCCCAAGACTGGTTGCATGATGGAAGAAACGAAGTTTGCTTGGTAGCTGTCGTGCAAAGTCCTCTCTCCGCAAAGTGATCGAGAAAACAGGCCCAAACCCGTTCGGCATCTGCTTGACCAACCACGGCTCACTCTGGAAACTAGCATGGTAAATTTTGTCCAGAGCAGCCTGCACAATACTCTCTTCACTACCTACTGCAGGACTAGCTACGTTCAAAGCATAATTGAGCCATGAGACTAGCTTCCCGCAGTTCTCACTTGCGCGCTGTACACGTACCTCCAGCGTCCGTAGGCTCCGAACACCCAACCAACCCTCTAGATTCCCCATAACGTTTCCAACGGCCAGACGGTCTTCGATGAGCCTTTTTGCCCAATCCTCGTTCTTCGTGGCGAGAACACCACATAGGAGGTCACTATGGCCGCCAAAATACTTGGATCCAGAATGCATGACAATATCGGCTCCCCAAAGAAATGGGTCCTGCAGGCCGGGAGGGGCGAATGTGCTATCGACTATGAGATAAGCACCTCTGGAGTGGGCCTTTTTGGCATATTCCTCAATGCAGAATGCGGTGCCAAAAGGATTTACGGGCGTTTCGTATGACATCGCCCTTTCCTAAAGCATCCACGGGGCAGTCAAGCGGCAGCTTTTGAAGTCCTGAAAGGCGGGAAACAACGGCTATCACTTCATGACTGCCGTGGTAGCCTTCTCCTACAGAAATGCGGCGAGGGTTCAAGAGTATCAATGCCGCGTGGAGGGCGGCTAAACCGGTTGTGTAGCTTACTGCTTTGCCGTTGAGAAGAGAAGAAAGAATTGCTTCAAATCTTGTGGGGTTGGGTGCAAATTCTCTGGAATACACGAAATTTTTCCCGTTAAATTCTCCCTTGGGGGACATCAGCTTTGAGTCAATTTCAAACAGCTGGAAGCTAAATACACACAACAGGGTCTTTGGATGGAATTAGTTCATCCGGATTGTCAGAGTACCTGAACGTTGTGGACAAGTGGATTGGGGGTGCAACGTCGGTCACTAGGTGCAATGGATCATCGGCATGCAGTGCTTGGGTAGAGGGATGAATTGGAATTCTTGATGACGCCATTCTCCTCGAATTCAATGTAGAAAAGATCCTTATACTAGACGGTAGATGTAGGTAGAGGTATATCTCCTAGTACTATACTTATAAAATATTGCTATCAACTATTCTACCCTTTGAGCTTGAGTGGGACTATATGTAGTCGTGTCTGGCCCCGCCGCTTTCATCAAGGTTCTATTGATATGCGGGAAGGGCTTGTCTTATTCGGTTTAACCCACGACCCACTACCGTTAACTGCCTAAACGGAAAGGTTCATTTAAAAGTCAGTTGAAACCATCGCCAATAGACTGCCAGAGTTGATAGAATATCTACAGGTCACTTTGCCCACCTTGCTCGCCTGTAGCTCCACGTAACACAACTTCCTATTGGGAAACTCGGTGTAAATAGTGGCTTTGGCCACCTTTATAATATCAGCGAAAAGATAAGGCTAATATATTACCACAAAGACCACTCCATATTAAAGGCGAACCCTTTCTGGCGTAGTGGTATTCGGTATTTCAGCCACATTGAACTACGTACCTCCGTAACTATACTTCATTATATTTAGTTCAAAAATTCCGATTTGACCTGAGCGAAGAGAACGTTCCATGCATCCTAGGAAATATAAAATGCCTCAGAACTTAGTGCATAGAAATTAATATTTATTTTTCAAGCTTGGTGATAACACCTTCTGTACTGGGTATTTTTTATAAGCCAGAGCTGATGACCACCATTTTCTTAAGTAGACTCCACGCCAACTTTCCATATAAATCACCACAAAGCCTCTTTTTATTCAACTCTCTTTTCTGACATTGATTATTGTGGCAATTACAAGCCAAAATGTGCCAAAACGAAGTTGGTATCAATGGCTGGACAAGCATGCCTGCCGATGCTGGTGCCATTTTCGGCGGTCAACCTTTCATCAATGAGCCAAGATCACTTTCAATAGATGAAATCAAGTTTCCATCTGATCATTCCATCGTGGAAAAGACCCTGCAGTACGTGAAGAGGGTCCTCCATCCAGAAACCTTCAACCACTCAATGAGAGTTTATTACTACGGTAAGTACCACTACGAGGCATTAAATATTTCTAGACCTTGGCTTACCTATTCTGCGGGAATGGCTATTACCCAACAACAGTTTCCTCAGCAAGCTGCCGTTCTTAGTCCTGTAACCTGGGCGTTGACTTGTTTGCTGCATGACCTGGGCACTGCTGAGGAAAACCTGACTGCGACTCGGATGTCTTTCGATATCTACGGTGGAATCAAGGCGTTGCAACTCTTGGAAGACTTTGGCGCAAACCTTGATCAAGCCAAAGCAGTTGACGAAGCTATCATTCGACATGAAGATATGGGAGTCGATGGAACCATTACCTATATTGGTCAGCTAATCCAGTTGGCTACGGCCTACGATAACACAAGTATCCATCCCCGTATCAAGGAATTTTGGAAAATAATTCACCCGTCCACCCGGGAGCAGGTTAACAGGGCTCACACTAGACTGGACTGGAGCAAATTTTTCTCCAGCACCATCCGAAAAGAGGAAGCCATTAAGCCTTGGTGTCATTCAACTCACCTTGTTAACTTCGCGGAGGAAATTGAAAACAACGCTCTGATGAAGCAGTTGGAGTAAGAAATCCGATTCTTATCAGCGAGACTTTATTTTCATATCGTCAACCTGCATCATTTCAGCATTTTATCTATTGGGCTACATGTGGCATTATGTCCAGAGATTCCGTGAACCATTGGCTTCAAACATGTGCTAGGAAAGGTCGGACATTTTTTGAGAAAACTAGAATGCAGATTGAGAGAGTCTGAACATTCCTGCGTGATAATTAGCGTAAATATGACAATAGCGAAAGAACGCTGAGATTGACTTTAAACCCCCCGGCTTGCTATATTACATTCTTAGTAAATCCGCGACGGTTGGCCTGTAATGGGCCTCAGGTAAACTCTTTATATATGGAAATTCAAATCGATCCCAAGAAAAACAATTATTCTTAAGTAAAAGATCCTTAGCGGACAACTGATGGCCATTTGACAAGTGGGGATGAAAACGTCTCCGCGAAATTATGGTAAGCGTTGGCCCTTTCAAACATTCATCATTGCGTACAGTATTTGCAAATGCGCTCAGATTGAGGACAACGTAAACGATGTACTTCTAAACGTCACTGTACACGTTAGTATTTTTGCCTCCACTCCCACAAACTTCCTATACCGGATAAGTGTATACATCTAACTGTTCAATGACGGCGACGTAAATGATGTACTTCTCAACGTCACAATACACACTAGTATTTTTGCCTCCACTCCCGCCAATTTCCCAGATCAGATGAGTGCATACATCCAACCATTCACTAACGGCAATTATCAGTGGACAAAATGGCACGTTAAAGGAGAGTGTGGTGGAACCACCTTACGATACATCAGGAAACCGGCCTGTTCCTTATTAGTAGAGTGTACGATTGGCTAATTGTAGTTCCTTTTAAAATAAGATAAGTTAAAAGAACCATTGAGTCAGGAAGGAATTACCGGATAGAAATCTCGATTATAAAAACTAAATCAAGCCCCTGCAATCGAAGCATTGCAAAGTTGCTCATCTCGCTGCATTAAGCCACCCGCCGTCACGGAAGACTGACCAAAGACATTGAAGAAAACATACCACGGGTGTACCGGCTCGACTCAATGGCTTCTTCAAAGATAGATGTTTCCTTAAATCCTACATGGGATAATAATGTTGCAGCGTTATTTAGCAGACCGTTCTGGACGGCTATCGACTCTGATCCTGAGGCTGTTGGGAGACATTGGATATCAGAGATGCGCGATTATAGCCCTCCTTACCCCAGACACCTGTACCTTGATCTCTCATCCTCGGATTCCGTGCAAGCCAACGTCGTTACCATCTATCAACATCTACGATCACGGTCTATGCCGATTACCAAGAATTCAAATCACTATTGGCCGGAAGAAGCTTTGGAAACCCTTCGTTTATGGGCTAACCAAGGCTTTCGACGATCAGCTACGGACCCAATCAGATATCGCGAGGTTATTCCTGAAGCACAGAATTCAGAAATCAATTTCAGAACCAGGAAGGATATCAGCAACTTGACACCATCAGAACTCCAAATGTACCGCGAGAAGCTGGATGATGTTCTTCTAGTGGGACAGTTAGAATCCAAATGGCAAGAACTTGGATTACTGCGTACGCCTTGACTGCTATGAACTTATTTCACGATCTAACGCGAGTTTCAGATGCCGAGTGGTGTCTCCATTACCAAGAAGCCTTCATCTTCTGGCACCGCGCGTACCTTAAATATGTGGAGGAACTAATCGACTTTGCCGTCCCCTACTGGAACGGTTTCGCAGCGGAATCAGGCGATCCATCCTCGCCCCATGCCGGAATTCCATCGGCATTCCTAGATGAAACTTATATTCACTCCAACGGTGAGCGGCGGAAAAATCCATTAAAATATGCTCTCTCACTGGGTGGAGAGAACAAGTCACGCACATCTAAGTATGTGGAGCGTTGCCAGGAGCTTGTGGACGGTCGTACCAATCCGCTATGGGCAAAAAAAGTCTCCATGTTGGCTCTGTATCACCAGCAAATTGCCAATGCATTCAGCCAGGAAGACTTTTCTCTCCGTGAGGGTCACGGCTATCCATGGGGCAATGTACCCGATTTCTCCGAGAACCAGCCTGATAGCCTTTACCCCGAAGCTGCCCGGCAGTATTTTGACGGTCTCTTTGAACAGGTCCATGATAATTATCATGGATGGATAGGCCGAGACATGGTTAGTTGCTTCCGGTCTAAGAAGTCAACCGAGAAGCTGACCATTCGCAACAGGCTGACAACTCTTATACCGCGTTCGACCCAATTTTTCTCAGCTATCATGCAAACATGGACCGGATTGCAGAAATGTACCTACGTAGCGGCTATTCACGCCAGTTTTCTTCAAACTTCCCACTTCGCCCCTTCGTAGACAACGCTTCCTCTCTTTCCTATGACGAGCCCTGCGAATATCGATACACAACTTTGGGAGACATGGCAAAGCCTACCCAGGCCATGCGGTATTTGTATGCGCCACCGGCAGCACCCGACTTCTTATCGATCACCCAAGTTGAGAAAAAGAGTGCATCTGTACCGTCCGGTGGGACATCAGTGGTTTTGACAGCGGATGAATGGAAGGCTCGGCTCAAATCTGCAATACCTCAGACAGAGACTGATTACCGACGGTATACCCCGTATGTTGTATTTTCCGGTATATCCTGCTTGAAAGAAACCTATCAAATTGATGTTTTTGTTCTCGGGGCTGGGTCTTGTGATCCCGATGTAGCGACGAATTTGGATTACATTGGACAAGTGACGAGACTCGGAATGGGGAATGGAAGAGGAGAGGAAACTGGAATCCGTAATCCTCACCGATGTGAAAAGAAGCCAATCACAAGAATCTTGAATGCTGGACATGTCGCAGAAAGGCTGCGACGCAAACCTGAGATTCAACAGGTTGTCACTGAAGTCAGCACTGGAAGACATATTGAGGACCGTGAGTGGCAAAAACTGCCAGGTTTTGAAGGCCACCTTATCTGGCTCAAAAAAGATGAGAACAATAAAATTTTTTTTGATTTTTTGATGGGTCTTGAAAACGAAAACATCCCGAGATTGCAAGCCGGGCCGCGCGCGATCCAGTTTCAGTATCCTGCGGTCGACGTGAACTGCAGATTGAAGAATATTGACACAAGTTTTAAGGATGTCTCCTCTTTCTTCTTTACGAATAGTAACTAACATTAGCGGCAACTCGTCTGACAATCTAAGATGACGCGACATTAAGAATGGCTCTAATATCTTGACTCTGTCCAGCCATATTCTACTAAAATTGATTGGCGGAGTTATGTATACTTAGCTCCAAAGTTTTCATAGATTTCTCTGATAATGCGCTGAAGATGGGATAGCAATATATACTAGTTTTAGAAGGATGAAGGATGGACTTTAATAATAACTTACTATAGTTTACAACTCAGCTGATCATGATTACGCTGGATAGTCTCCTGAAACCGGTATTACATACCTTAATAGATTCTATCTAGCTTTATGAGAGAAGCCAATCAGCTATATTATGTTCCTTTGTATTTACCACACGCCTAATGCTACTTTTTATGCTATTTTTAATTCTGCTGCCTCTCATAGTCTAGTCGAATTTGGATGAATTTAAAAGCCAATGAGAGATATCAGTCCATAAATATACGTCTGGTCGCAGAATCAGTAATATCCAATCATCCAATCCGCAATCACACAGCTACGTCTAAACCTGTGGCGTATGAACCGTTGAAATATAACTTGCAAAACGCTCCAACTCCTAGCTACTTTCCCGTCCCATCTTGCGCTTTACATGCTGCATTATCTCGCTTACCATGTTCCAGCGAACTGCGTTCTGGGTTCGCCAGTTGAACACCTGAAGCGGGACGGTTGGGCCAACGTACACCTGGTTTGGGTGGTGCATTGCCAGCGGCCACAGGTCATCAAGCCTGGCTGATTGGGATTCCAGTAGGGCAAACAGGTCGCCCCAAACTAGACTTCCGAGAATACGCATCTTGCCGCAGTAACCGGGCGACTCTTCCGGTCGGTCGATGCCCTTTTTCGGGTCAAACCACGGATCGATGGCGAGAACGAAGCCGGTGAAGTCGCCTGGGAGAACCATGGATGTTGCGGCGCCATATAAGTCGGTGGTGTAAGATTCGAAGGAGGCGGAGTCGATGACGAGAAAGGCGTTTGATTGTGGGTTCAGAGGTATTGTTCTTTCCTTGTCCTCCTTCCCCTCGTCATTATTTACGGTCTCGATGAAATGTCTAGATTGATTATTAGCTTGAGGCTCTTTGCGAGAGGATGAGGAAGGGAAGCTGCGGACTTTTTGGCTGCTTCAATGTCACCCTCGGCTAACCCCAGTTCCTTTCCATCTATCCAGTGAAGTTTTAAATGCGGTTTGATGGCATCACTTCCCTTCTCGCCTTTTTCCCAACCAGACACGTGTGCTTCGAGTTTCTGGACGAATTCCGCCCATTCAGTCTCGGATTGCCCGTATGTTAGACGATAAATGACCAGACCACAGTCTTTTAGCGAGTTATTTTTCTCCTCCGCGTAACGGATAGTGTCCAAGCGATGAGTAATCCAGTGCTCCTGCAGTATAGAATCAGTCGAATCCCCGCGCAGCTCTTTTCTCACTTGTTTTTGGGCATCGATCTGCCCCATTGTCGATTCATGATATGACACCCCGGAAGGTTGGTTAGTTATGCCACCTCTAATCAGGAGGTTCATATAAATGGCTTGGTGATTGAGTATCTTCACGCGCTCGGAGTACAGTCTGCCCCGCTCAGTCAAGTCTGGGGAGTACAGTTTTGGTAAACCGCTGCCATTTTTTGGGGTCGTATATCCTTTGTAGCCTTCCATCGGGATCATGATCATATAGTCTGCACGTACGGAGATTTCTAGTAACATGTGCAGCGCATCGGTAAGTTGCCACTGCATTTGGTCCGGAGTCCCCGATCCTTCGAGCGAAGACTCGTGGCTTAACAGACCTTGCAACAATGGAGCTCGTAGAGCATCGACATGCTGCACGACCCATGTATGCGCACGCTCAGTCATCACCTTGAAATGGGCAGTCATGTACGTTGTCCAAAGACTAGCGACACTGATATGCTCTGCACCATTCTCAGTTCTCTGCTGATTGAGCACAGTGTCTAATGTTTCGAAATGATCATAAATGAGGTTGAAAGTCTCGCGAAGATTCTGTCGGACTTTTCGGATATTGAGATACTCAAACACCGCGACCACAGCCGATAGATGTTGACAAGCTTCATGAAAGTTATCTGGGATGTGGAGTCCTTTCTCCTGCCACCTTTGATCGCTCAAAGGTGTGATTCCCTCCCATAGACGGGACTTGAGTGACTGGATGTTTTTGCCAACAATGCAGAGACGACCATGGTCATCTTCTGAGCCAATCCGGCTTACAACACGGTTTAAGATAGGCTCTCCATCAGAACCCGGTGGGTAGCTGCTCCGTAGGAAGACAACCTCGTCATCGGCCAGAGTGTCGATAGACGAGGGTCGGCTGCCGTCAGGGAGTGAGCGCCCCAGGGCAAATTCAATGAAGTGCGCGATCGTCTGAGGCTCCAGGATACGATCGACTGATTCATGAAAATTTATATTCGATTAGTTGATTGCCGTAGGCATTTTCAAATATGATAGTAGAATAGGGAGTGCGAACGAACCGATGGGCAGGTCCTGCTGTGCCTGGATATGAGGAACAGTGACCGGGTTGCCAGTAGTAGCTCCCAGATGTGAGTATGAGCACATCGCCACCGTTATGCTGTATTATTGTAGTATTTTCGTAGCAGGAAACAGAAACCAAAAACAAAGTTAGTTTGGAACTGAGACATCATTTAAACTAGGAGCCGCAAAAGGAGTGTTGGTGGTGTTTTAGGCTGGCATCATCTAATTGATCTAATTTGATCTAATATAATCTAGACTGCACCAAATGGGTTTGGTTTGGTTCGTTGCCTAGTTTCTCATCTCAGCCGATTGGCTGCTAGCGCTGGACCCACCCCTTGCAGGTTCTCTGGCAGTTGTGAGTTTGGGTGCCTTTTCCTTCAGGCATCAACATGACTTGTATGATTATTTTTATATACATGGGTTATAAAATATCGATTAGGTATTGTTGAAGCGAGGCATATCAATTTAAATGTTCTCTATGGGAATTCAATAAAACCAATTGACTGATCGGTCTATAATTACCGGTATTATGTATCTACCTCCATAGATGTAATTAATTTAAAGCTCACTGAGATGCAGCTACGACAGCCTTGGCCTCATTTATGTCCAACTTTTCCACCTTCTCCTCCAGCGCGCTCGCATCCGCAAATTGGCTCTTGTTGGTGCCGCCTCGAAGGTAGAACTCGGACTCGCCAATTTTCTTGCCGGCTTTGACCCATCGTTCGCGATATGCTTCTCGATGCTGTTGCGCCAGCTTGTTGAGAGCAGGCCAGTACACGGAGTGGTCGTATTCAAATTGCACGTCGCCGCCCGCCGTCTTTAGCAACTGCGATGGAGGTACATGTTTGCGCAGGTCCTCGTTGAACCTCAATTTCTGGGCCGTGACCGGGTCAATGAACGGTGTGATGATCTTGAAAAACCCCCAAATAATCCAAGGAACTATAAATCAATGCCCGTCAGCTATGTTATATCAAGTAATCAGAATTTGGCAGTCATACTATTAATAATAAGAGCCCGACCTAACCTCTCTGGATAATGATTTTGTAGAATATCAAGTGACTGCTTTGCCTGGCCGATTGTCGCGTTTTGGCCGGATTTAGTCTCATTGAAGTTGATTACGAGAGCCATGGTTTCTTGACCAGCAGGCATCAACTCGATTAAACGCTCAACCATGAAAACCAGGTGCTCCAACTGCCGGGGGCTTTTATCCGTATTCTGTCGGGATGGAAGTAGATTCAGACATGGTCGGCCATGGATGTCGTAGCCAAGAATGAGTTGCTTCCCGGTTTCATTTTCGATTGAGATATACTCCGGTGTTAACTTATCCCCAATATATTCTCTGCGCCAAACCAAAGTAGCCCGCAGCCGTTTAATAGCGTCGGCGACATTCCACTTAGTTGCTCGTAGATATCGAATCAGGCATTCGCGTGTCAAAAATAGGCGTTCATCATCAGTGAGCGGCGTTTCCTGTGCTCCTTTAGCCGAGCTGGATGGTATCGACGACCAGCCGGATACTGTTTGGAAGACCTCGTTATATTTCTTGGCTTGATCTGCTGTCAATTCGGCGGCAGGCTGAGGGGTAACACCGTCGATTGGCGAGCCAAATGGCTTTTTGATCAAGCCATCATCGGCAGATAGCGGCAGATCCAAGTCGTCAGGAGCACCGGCAGGTTGTATGTCCGAGTTCACCGCGACGTTCTCAGTCTCTGGCACGGCCATAACAGATGGTGTCTCTGAGGCGGCCATATCATGAGGATGCCAGAAAAGTCAGGCACCGAATACCTCCACACCTCCACAAAACCGATAGCAGAAAGGGGGCAACGAGCTAGCAAAGACTATCCCTGCTCGACAGCGGCAATTCCTGGGTGTTTTATGCAATTGGTCAAAAATGATTGATGGATTTATTGTATCTTCTGTGTCAGCAGTCAGGAACCGCACTGCCAGACAAATAATAACAGCGAAGCATTAATGCCTAAAGACTCCCGCGACGGGGCTCCCCACTGTGCTCCCATTGGCGGGTGCAACGCCTATCGTGCACCGAGTCCGATAAAGCCTGGCACGCGTCGAAAACGCGTCGTCGCGATATCAATTAATGATCAATTAACGCACCCTTTCACCCCGCAGTGAGTGCTCAGCTTGACCCTCAACACCACCGAGCTTGTCAATCGCGATAGAGTTATCTCTGCTCTGCAATGGAGGATATTGTCCAGGAGCTCAATGAGCTTTTTGCTTCGTCCGCCCCAGACGGGCTTCCGCAAGATGTCCTCGCCGAGCTGCGATCGATGCTGAAGCTACATGGCATCACGCCACAGGAACTTTTCTACAAGTGGGAGTCGTACAGTATAAAGATGGGTACGGAAGATACGACGCTGGATCTCAATACGGTACGCGCCTTCAAAAACGATGTGCAGGACTCGGTGCAACGCGGGAATCGAGAAAAAAACCATCAGGTGCGAGGCACGGAGAAGAAAAGCGGGGTGTCGGCGACTCCTCGTGCTGGTAACACAGACGTCTTTGGGATGTATGGTCACGACATATGTTGATGCTTGAAAAGTTATAAAATGGCTGACAAGTTGTACTAGGCTTGACGATCTGACGCCGGGGACTCCTCAATCGCGCGCAAACGGTGTCAATGGCTCTGCAAAGAGAAAATTGAACTTCGAGACACCATTAGGGAATAAAGGAGGCCGACTGGATAGCAATAGGAAGCCTGCCGACTTTACATCGCCTCTGAGAGCTAGTAACACAGTCGAAGGGTCGCAGTACGTTGACTACGACTGATAAATGTTCGTTACGCTAATCATCTGGAGTAGAGCCATCCCATTTTCTGCGCGACAGAACCCGGGCCAAGTTGTTGAAACACTGAACGGTCATTTGGACATGCCAAACACGCCGATGGCCCCATTTCCGGAACCACGTCTTCGACCAACAGCCAATACAGACTTGAAGAAATTCGGATACAAGCCAATGTCAATGCGCTTGAACGAAGCCTCGGAGATTTTGGATGACAGAATAGATGAATTCACGGAAATTTTTGAGAAACACTACCCAGATGCTAACTTTGGGGGTGCAGCTACACAAAGCACAAGCGAGATAGTGGCAGTGGGACGGATCGCCTCGGACAGTTTGGAGGGTAAGTTGAACCCAGCATCCTTGGTGCTGGAGACATCAAGACGTAGTGGGGCTGGTCGAAGGGTGCCCCTGAAGGTTGACGCCGTGCCTTCTGCTCATTTTTTCCCTGGACAAATCGTCGCGCTTAGAGGAATCAACGCCTCAGGAGAATATTTCTCCGTCAAAGAGGTCTTGTCACCGCCATTATTACCTTCGGCAGCTTCGTCACCCGCTACCCTCGACACTATCAACGAAAGACTTGGGGGTGATGACGCAAACCAGCCATTGAATACATTCTTCGCTGCGGGCCCATATACGACCGATGACAACTTGGAATTCGAACCTTTACACGAGCTATGCAAGAAAGCTGCCGACCAATACGCAGATGCAGTCATCCTCTGTGGGCCTTTCCTGGATGTCGAACACCCCCTGATCGCCTATGGGGATTTTGATCTCCCAGACGTTCCTGGAGTGGACCCGGATACGGCAAATCTCACAACTTTATTCCGCCATTGCATCTCACAGCCTCTGCATCAGCTATGTGCATCTGTCCCTAGCATCACAATCATCCTAATGCCATCAGTTCGTGATGCTGTGAGCAAACACGTATCATGGCCGCAGGAGCAATTGCCGAAAAAGGAGCTCGGATTACCAAAGCAGGTTCGCATAGTCTCGAATCCAGTGACAATATCACTCAATGAATGCGTCATTGGCATGTGCTCTCACGACATTTTGTTTGATTTGCGGAACGAAGAAGTCCTGAATGGACGACCAACAGAAGCCAGTTTATTGAACCGGCTACCGAAATACCTCATCGAACAACGGCACTTCTCTCCCGTGTTTCCGCCGTCTTCTCGAGAGAGTCTACCTAAAACCGGCGGTCCAGACCGCATGCTGCCGATAGGTTCTATGCTGGATCCTAGCTATCTGAAACTGGGAGAATGGTGGAACGTGCGGCCCGATATTTTAATTACACCTAGCATGCTACCACCCTTTGTCAAGGTTAGTCCTCCCTACTACACCGTATCTGAATCTCTCAAGCTGACGATTCAAAGGTCGTTGAAAGCGTTCTTGTGATCAACCCTGGAACAATCTCAAAACGCCGAGCAGCTGGAACATATGCCAACATGGCTTTGCATCCTCGTGTTGTGAGTGATGAGGAACGGCAAGAAAAACATCTCGGTCATCGTGCCTATGAGCGAGCTCGCGTTGATGTTGTACGTATTTAGCCTGATATTTAGTATCTCTGTTCTATATGTCATAAAAGCGGCGTTGGGGGCTTCGAATGAGATATGGATCAAATTCTAGGCTTAGATGCATTGGGAATATGAAATGAGGCATGTTATCATCGATGTAATTGTGTAAATCTACAACAGAAATAATACTATCGCATTCAAGCCCGTGCCTTTGAACCGAGCTCCAACCAACGCCATGCTATGCAATGCAAATAAACAATCACAATACTCCTCAACTCAACCTTCCCGTCAAATCACCGCAAACAAGCTACTCTCCTCCCACCCATCATCGCCCCAGAACCCTTTAACCTCAAACGAACCGCCGTTGTTGGTGCAGGATCGCCCGGTCGACCAGCACCCGCCACACCCCCAAATGCAGCCGACGCGCCAGCACCACCACCGGCCCCAATCCCCTGCATCCCCAGTCGATTGCCACCAAAATACCTCGCACCCCTGACCAGCTCCTGCAACCCGAGATCCCGCCAGGCAGGCTCTGACCTGCGGCCCACTGAATCCATCGCCCTCGCAATCCCAAACGCCGCGTGCTGGTCGGGCACCACATCATCCTCGTCTTCGGGATTGATGGGCTGGTATTGTGGCGGAACATAGATTTCCTCGACGGGTAGGAAGGAGGGGTACATGGTGGACTGGTTGCCCATGGCGCCATATGTCACGGTTGTGCCTCCGGGCCCTGTGCTACTGGCGCCGTGCTGCTGGCTTGCGGCCGCCGCAAGGTTGGAGGATAGGGATGTGTGCGGGCGGGTGAAGTCTTCGAAGAGGTCTGCGAGACGCGGGTGATGCATGTGGATGTAGGTGCAGGAGGAGTCTTTCGACTGTTTGGTTTTGTTAGTGTGTTGTTATTAATGCTGCATTGGCTTCGTCTACCATTCTGGAGAGTTTTCCTGGACAAATCCAGATCCTGTCAAAAATTGAGTGTCTCGAAAGCTGCGGTACTTGAAGTCAATTCAACGTTTGTTGATGAGTATCGCGGGCGGTGGCAGAATGTGTAGAGGTTGCACGCGTTAGTTAGATTACTCAGCAACGAATGAGCTTAACGTAACCTAATAACTTTATATAAAAAAATTAATCATTACTAAAACTGAAACATTCAAGCTTCTATGCCTAAAGATGTTATACTCAGTATACTGATATTATTATTATGATCAAGCTTAATGACATGACAGTATGTAACACGGTTTGGGTAGGGCCGTGTATGGCCCAGTTCCTAACTTGGTAAGGGACCAGACCGGTTTTGGGTTTGGTTCCCAAATCGGGAACCAGAACCGGCCTAGATAATATAATAGTCTAGCAGTGACTGCATAAATAGTTAGGTTGTACTTATCTAACTGCACCTATTTGCATATAAATAAGACACTAAAAATCCTGTATGATGTAATTTTCTTTCCATGCTTAGATTTATAGCTAGTCAATACTAATCATATGAGGTATTAACTGATACTTTCAACGTCCACGTGCATTGGAAAGGCAGAATAGGCTCAAAATTGGCAGAATATCAAAGAAGCTCCAACAAACTAAAACAAACTCTTAGCACCACCTTTGAACGAGTAAGCTCGCCCCTTCCATTCGTCAGCAACGATGATGGAGCAGGACAATGCATCAATGTCGTTCTGGTACTCCTCCTGCACTCCGAAATATTTAGCTAATCTGCCACTCCCCCCAATAGCTGCCGTCAATGTTGAACTGCCCCAGGCTATTGGCTGGAAAGTTCTGCATGGTCACCTTTTGTCCACCAACGGTCCAGTTAGAGATATCTAGATCCATCGTTATGCCGGACGCGGCTGGAATTATACTTTGTCCCGTGCCAATACTATTTGTCTGTAGTCCGTCGGGGAATGCCACATTTTTGACAGCAAAATTCTTGTAGCTTTGTAGGGGTGTGATTCGGAACAGAGACGGGCAAAGACCCTCGCAAACAACATTTGAGATGGTCATAGATATGGACTGGCTTGGATTAGGATTCATCCCACTTGCATAGAACGGTGAGGCCCCGATAATAGCCGAAGGCACTACCGTTTCTGACTTAATGTAGCGGGTGTGGATAATATTCAGTGTGTCGATTGTGACTCCACTGATCTGCCGAGTCGACCATCCCATCTGGATGATTGGATCGTTGTGACATTTCCAGATCGTTGCCCGTGAGACAGAGGCTCCGGAATAGTAAATTTTGATTGCATCATCATTGACATGCCAGAAGACGTCGTGCACCACGCTATTGGGATAAATCTCTGGCCCATCCGTCTGAAAGAAAAAGGCTCCCACCTGCTTATAGTCGCTAATTTGACTTGATATGCCAGAATTCCCATTGAAATCCATGGTGTTAAATGGCGGCGCATTGATTGTCGGCCCAACACAGTACCATGTTTGACCACCCCCCAGGCTATTATGCCACCACATCCGGAGGCCGGCCGAATCGCTCTTTACAGCAACGTAGTTGTTGCCAGCATTTGCTTGATACACATAGTTCTCGCCAGATAGGACACCATGGCCGGTCGCATAGAAGTTCTGCTTGGTGAAATACTCGATAGCACCCTTCACATATGCACCAGGTGCAAGGTAGACCCAGTATGTGTTTGAGCTTAGACGCATATGATTGGATCCTAATTTTCCCGAGTTGCCCGATTGATCTTGATTCATCCAGTATACGCCTGGCGGGAAATAAAGAATTGGCTTAGAACCCCAGTCACCATTATTGATAGGACCTGGTACCATGGTCTGCGTGTTAGCAGCTGTCATCTGAGGAATCATGCCTGACGGAAGAAACGGGCTTGCGAAGATCACAAGTGCGTTAGTAGGCTCAACACCGACGACGCTGCCTCCTGATGTGACGTATTGATTGCCATCAGAGCGGAACGTATACAGATCATTTTTGAACTCCACTGAAAATTTGCGGCCGTTAGCATCTGCTGGAACCCGGATGACAATCCCGCCGTCGCTGGACTGAGAAATCGAATAGGAGATCGAGACAGGGCGAATAACAACATCGCTTGTTGGCCCCAATACCGAGCCATCGGTAGTCATGATCTTCACATCGACATCCTGGCCGTACTCGAACTGGGACCATGCCATATTGAGGCCAATACTAGGCTCAATCGTGATTCCATCATCAATGCTTGAATCTAGCGTGTTACTGTTGGGGGGATCCGTGGGAGCATAGATGCGGCCGTTTCCATTCCGGGGAATGGATTCGTACACAAAAGAGTCATAAAATGTGTTTGCACCAGCCAAGCTCACTTGCACGGCATACTTATGAGATTGGCGCACGTTCCCTGGTTGAACAGGCGTATTCGTGTTGACCTCCCCAGAATTATGCCACCAGGTACAGAAATCGGTACCACAATGTGTATTGTTCGTTATTGCCGTACCGGAATCGGAACGTGGATACAGGACTGCTCCGGTGGCAAATTGTATACATAATGTGCTAGTTGCAAGGACCAACGCATGTAGCTTCAGCATTGTGGGCACTAGTTTGAAGAGAAGCTCTACTGAATTCTTCCCAAGGTTAAGTAGTTTCCGAAGATGGTTTCGAACGACAAATAGATAGATGACTCCTTCTTATAAACATATTAGCATGGGCATTCCCACGGCTCGAGGTTTCCCAGTGTTGGCCGAGTAAACTTTCTACTAGTAGGGCACAAAGTAAAGGCCGAAGTCTATCCGCCCGCTGTTGCCTCATTCCAGTGCTTTTGAAGAAGACGCTCCAGGGAGACATCTTGTGCTTGCACATACACTTGGTAGGATTTCTACAATGTCGTCCTAGCCCTCCCCACTAGAAAAAGGCATTGGGTATTGTTTTCCCTGAGTTCCGGGGTAACGCCGAGGGAATTTAAGTGGCGTCCGTCCCATCGACTGGCGTAATAGAAGGAGCTTCTTAGATAATCGATGGGTCGAGGAAGAAGCTCGGCTACCCCGATGGTGAAACTCAAAGATTTAGTAGGCTTATAGATTGGCTGAAGATATTTCCCCGCAACCCGTCCCCCCCCCCCCCCCCCCCCCGCCCCGCCCCCGCGCGGAGATTCAGTGTTCGGTATAACGTCCATTCTGGTTGTGATCGCTATATACTAGTCACGAAGGCTGGGACCTGGCCCAATGTTTCCTTAGTGGTGTGAAGGATGAAGGTAGCAAGAACAAACGAAGATAGAATGACTATGTCGAACGATGAGAGGCCAACAACTATGATTCAAATAACTCAATATCGTGGAACTCGCATCAGTGCCCGCTACATGTCTTACTAGAATCATGCGCCTACCAAGATAGGAATATTCCGAATAATAATGCACCTTCTCTCAAAATTGACTGTTAGTTCCCAAGGTACACAATGAACCCATACAGAGTTTGCTTGGGTATAGAGGATGCACCCAAAATAAACCATGACTATTTCACGGTCATCCTTCGGTGTGGTGATGCCTTTCAATGGCGTCCTATGTTGAACAAAGATCGGACCCAACAGCCTAATGGAATTTGAGGATTTTGTAGTAGTGGGTGCCGGTCAACACATTTCGACCCCTCGGATCATATGTAACCTTCCACTTTGGAAGTTACTGTTTTCTGGTCGCCATAGTCTGTTAGATATTAATTTAGGACTGAAAAAACGAAGCATTTCGGGACCTGTAGATTTTGCTAAGGTTACCTGCTTGATCCGCTGCGGCTTTCTTCGCCGACTAACGGCGCATAGAGTTATACGGAACGCCTATGAAGTTGGTGATAATATAAAAGACAAATTGATATTAGGAGACCGAAACCTAGCTCTAGCTCACTGCGGATGGCCATTCGCGATTTATCGATGACTTTGCCAACCCGGGACTATGATTATATACATCGAGGCATTAACAATATCAATAGTATTATGGACATCAGTTCCATGGACATGCACTACATCGGTCTGCGAAGTGCAATCTTCCCACCGCATCCAAACGTCAACCAGAAGATCAGAATAGTGATTCACTTCTGAGAACCGAATAGTACTAAGCACCAAATAAACCTTAGACATCGGATAGTACATCGAATTAGACTCAAGCCGATTTAGCTTTGTTTGGCTAGGGTACACTTACGCCCGCGTACGAAAAACGCCGGATATTACCCAGTGGCAAAATATAAATTTTATTACGAATTGTCATCTAAATATCTTGCGATAAATCGCGGACACAGGTTCTTGTTGCAGCCGACGATATGGGTTTACAGAGCAGTAGCCGTATAAAAGAAATTACACAATTCCCCCATTTCTCTTTTCTCCGCAGGGTTTCCTTGGTTGACGATGTAAGCCGAAGTAGCGCCGAGATGTGGGTCTCTGCCCCCTTTCCCCGTGGGGTGCTGAAACTTTACCATGAAGGTCCATGGTCTAAGTCAGACTATTCGACATAAGATTAATGGGTGATATGTAATACGAGGAATGCACGAGCGAAGTCCTGCTGGGAAGTAGACACTGGACCCCACAAGAATTAATTGTTAGCCAGTGCACTCTTTACTAGGACCAGTCCGTGTTGTGAGCCCGGATATTACGACTGCTACTACAAGAGCTTTTCATAAGTCCTTCCTCGCGATAACGAAGTGGCCAGGAAGCAATAAAGGAACCCTTAAATCCTGGATCAGTGAATGCTACCGAATCCTATCCACCGGAGGATGTCCAGAGTATATCTTCTTTGATCCGAAACTATACAACAGTGGGAAAACGACTCAAGTGAACAAGTCTGTTGTGAAACGACCAATATGAGTTACGTAGAGCCAGATGACCATGCACAGCTCAGGTACCCCTGCATTCACCATTCCATTTGCACTAATGATATTTAGGTCTCGTGTACAGAGTTTTAGACTTTCTCAACAAGGAAGCTTCGTTGCCCGAAAGACCGCAAGTCTTGTGTTTCCAGTTTCAATCTTATTCTCCCTATTTACGCGGGAAGATCGTAGTATATCATGACCCACTGCCACGATAATGTGTAGATAAGTGTGAACGTGGGTCTATGACAGCGAATAGATGCTGGTCGTGTGTACGATATTATAAGAACGATAGATAGACTCAACTATTTGTCTTTAGTTTGCTGTCCTTAGGGCATATCTTTCTGCATTTCTGTGCTTTACTCTCCACTTTCTATTCTGTTTACATGCACTCTTTGTGCCCACGCGTAAGTGTAGTCGATGTCGGGATTTAAAAAATTTCCTCCTTAAAATATTTGACTAAAGCATTTCACTAAAAGTGACCAAAGCTGGACATATCCGAGGTGCAGAATTTCCAAATCAAGTTCGTGAACGTATGCATGTTTATAAATACGAAGGCTTCATATCTAAAAGTTGGATTGAAGAAAATCACATCACTTCCTTCTTCTCAAATATAAAATGAGTGGTGGTGTGCCGACAGATCACTTCAGTTGATACTGTATAGAGTCATAAAGGGAAGAATGGTCACATATTGACCCTCCGAAAAATAGTGGCCAATACTCATATAACCACAGTTCCAAAGACGAAAAAATACTACATGGAGCCATGGAAAGTAAAAAGTGTCACAAAGAACCTGAGGCTGCTCCTGTAAATTGCCTATCAGCCCTCAGATGCTCATCTAATATCCTTGCCACACAGGAGGCCCTGGAGGATTGTAAGAGGTTGTCTGTAATTTTCTCGTAAGTCACAGCTGATATCATTACAACTCGAACTAATAAATTCCACTTACAGATGGATTCCAAATATCAATGAGAATCCCTGGGTCAGTCGGTTGATAAGCCCCAGGAAAGGCAACAAGCGGCTCTGGGTTTCCATTACCGCCTCCAGTCACTTCGACTTGGCCACAGGAAAGGTAGAATTGGGCCCCTCCTACGGTTTGGGCCTGATGCAACCCAATACTCTCGACTCGAACGAGGTACTGTCCGCTGGGTAGAGCCGCAGGAAGAGTAAAATTTACCTTGTTCTGGCCTATTCACTGGTTAGTGGTAGGTGTTCACACTTGAAAATTGAGAGAAATGTACCCAGGTAAGCCCAGTTGAGAGGGTTCGCATTATTGGTGGCACCAGACTCCATGATTTTAAACCACCTGGGGATGCAAATTACCGTCAGCACATCAAATTTGAACCTTTCTGAGATAGCTCACACTTGTCCGCTACCGTCCCAGCTTGTAGCTGTTGAACTTTCCGGAACTCGCGCCATATAGACAGCCATAGGTCCTGGGTGTTCAACCTGGGGCAAAATCGTGAAACCCAACTCAGTCCCTGCGGCAATGCTCAGGGTGCCGGGAGCGGAAACGGTGCTTCCGTCCACATTACATCGAATGTCAAGACTGCTAACGTTTTCCACTGGAACAAACGTGTTGTACCCAGTCCACTGGCGAACATATTCCCAATTGGTTGTGACGGCGCCGTTGTTGATAAGGGCAGGAAAGTCATAGTGACCCCATGCAAGACCCCATATAAGGTAAGAGGCGAATGCAACTGATGATGTCTTCATGATGAGATATGCGTTCCAAGAGCACCTTCAAGGCTTCTTATTTGTAAAATTAAAAGTTGATTCCTCGTTGAATTCTCGCAAATAAGTATCATATTTATACAATAATGTCACTTTACTCGAGCATCAATAGTAATGAAAATCTACATGTTATGCACGCTATGTAACGTTGCGAAACTGACATGCAGACTCACGGGTGGTTCTGGCGTATGATCGAATAATAGCTCGCCCGATAAGTCCGTCACGGTCTATCTGCGGAAAATAACCCCCGATGTTGGCTTCATTTCAAGCAATAGCTCCTCAATATATGTCTTTGACAACAGGTTGTATTTCTCCGTCCTAGAGAATCTCGGGAATTCTTCGCTAGATACGGAAAAAGGAGAAGCAAAACCACGCAGGTTTTATCTCTATTCTCTTTTTTTTGGAGGAAGCATGCATGTAGATCACTTTAACGCCTACAACTAATAGTCCTTCTTGTTAGACCCATTAAGAAGCGTCGGCGAATACACCTTGATAATCCGGAATAACGTAATTGGTACGCGAGATTTCAGATCAGCAAAAGTCCACGCCGCGAAAGCAGTCAAGATATCTCGTTCCAAATCCCTAGAGTTGTCCTGGAGTCATCATGACATCGCCACCACACTTGACATGGTCGATTGCTGATTTGGACTTCAGTCTGACGGAGGCTTGAACCTTTGTTTGAGAACAAAGGTTCGATATGATCTGAGCTAGCAATGGAAGATATTAAATAAGGCTCGGTGGCACTCTTTGGTAGAAGAGAATATAAAGGGGGATACAGAATAAAAATAGGTTTGCCACCACATGAAGTTTCTGGATTCCTTCCCCGTATGTTGTTACAGGTACAGTATCTAGCGCAATACTTCATGCTGGTTAGTGAATGCATGTATTACATCGACTATTTTTGCAGGGCCTTGAACCTTATAGTACATATCAGCAATCCTAAGCTTCTTGCGAGTGTATGCCATACCCGATAGTACTAGTTCATACTATGTAAACTGTGAATCAAATACAGGACATAAAGCTATCCACACTGCGGTCACCTGAAAACGACTTCGGAAGGTTAGACAAAGGACAGTTATTTCACCCCCCACAGTATCACGCCTGACAACCTCCCCCTGACCATCTATCATGGGACAAGATCTTCGAAGTACGGCCGATCCTTGTTCTGCTTACCTGACGATTCCTGTCGTTCACACAGTCCCGCATCCGTCTTACCAAAAATCAAGCGTGTCTGAGCCACCATGAAGCAATCGCCTCCTTAAATCGCCAATCCCTTCTCGAAAAGGAAGAAAGGTATTATCGGCTGCGGGGCTGGCCTTGCACTCATGCAATCACCTGCCATGATGAATCTCAGAGCACGGAGACTTGCACTCCAGACCCGAACGGTGAATGAGACTCGTATATCTCCGTCACCACAAACCTGCAAAAGCTACACCCAAAAGTACGCCCGCACCCCAGATTCTCTTTCTCCGCACTTTCTGCATGTTTGTATCTAATATTTTCTGAAGACTTGGCAAAGCCCGAGAGTCCTCCGTAGAAGATCCCGCCAAGGGCTACAACGGAACGATCTCACCAAATAGAACACCAGGTCCGGTCGCGTAGAAGTCCTTGTTTGCAGTAATATACTCAATAGCACCCTTAACAAAGGCCCTGGGAGCCAAGTGCACCCAGTATGTCGCGGGATCCAATTTGATATGAGTGAGACCCAAGGCTAGGAGTCAATCCAGTAGACTCCTGGGGGGAAGTAGACAATTGGAGCAGTGCCAATATCGGCAACAGAGAAGGCACCAGGTGTCATTACCTTAGCGTTTACGCCATCCTAAAAGGGAACCAGCCGTCGGGCAAGAAAGTAGTGGCAAAAATGAGTAGCGTATTCTGTGGCTCGATACCCACAACCTCACCGGAGCCGTCAGTTGTGTAGCCATTGCCGTTCAAGCGGTGCGTGTTCAGGTCGTCTGCAAACTCCACTGAGAATCGATGGCCCTTGGGGTCAGCAGGCACATGGATAACCAGGGCACCAGCCACATGTTGAGTCCCAAATGTATTAACTGTTGGAAGACTGATGGCTTCCTCGCCAAAAGCCTGGCCATCGCGGCGCATGATCCTCACATCTACATCCTGGATGTGTTCGAACTGGATCCAGGCCATATTGATGCCCTTGTCGACCCCGATGGAAATACCGTCGCCATCTGAGAAGCTCCCGTCGCTGTCTCCGGGACTCATGATCTTGCCATTGCCATTTCGTGGAATAGACTCGTACACGAAGGAGTCGAAGAACTCATCAGACCCGGCCAAAGCAACCTACACCAGATACTAGCGGCACTGTCTCATGTTCTCCGGCGCCACGGCCGTAGCGATGTTGAACTCTCCAGTCTCGTGCCACCTAAGCCCCGGCACCGGTGGCACCTCCTCCGCAAGTCGTTTACACCCCTCAGTTAGTTGAAGTAATCTCTGCGCAGGGGTACTTACTGTGTGGGGAAGCATTAAGAGTAAGACTCCAAAGTCAGAATGCATGTCATCGTTTGATCTTGAATACAATATCTGGTAATGATGTAGTGCGAACCGCAACCGCGCCTAGATTTCGCATGTCGTAATTACATCAATGATACATACCTGACAAAGGCCGTTTACAGGAAATGAACTTCTTACCATTAGTCTCATCGTTTGGATTATCCCGAGATACTCATTCGTATATCACTTTTATTGTAGCAAGCGGCTGTAGCTTTGATACTATGTCCAATATGCACTAAAGTCAAAACCACCCCTTGCTCTCAGCATGTTTAACATCGGAGATTGCATGTCCAATATCGCCTCAATTCTTCCAACATATACAATTTCACGGACCCTTTTGCGTAAATCCTGTTTACAATCTCGCCAGCGCCGGACTGAAGCCTTCGTATACTGCAAGAAGAGGATTCAATCAGTCCACATCAGCCCCCATAAGGTCCGTTGCACGTCTCGTCGCCATCTGCCATATGAGACCCAGTACACTAATCACCAGGTGAAGCATTCCTCGAAGAAGTCCATTTGAGTCGTACCCTGCGCCTTGCGGCACACAAAACGAACATCATCACTGAAGCTCCCATTCCCACAGCAGAGCACACCCATCGCCCCTATCTGATTCTCCGCCTCCCTTCTGACCAACTTGTCAAAGCTAGGACGGCCAGTGAATATCTCGACCGTACCCATAGGTCGTCGAACAACATTCACGTCGCATGAACCAGTGATGTAGACTAAGATTTGCACCACTAACGGCGTAAAACTCTCCTCTTTCTTCCCGAGAATGCTGCTCATCCACGCGTCAAACCATTCTAGGCAGCTCGGCGAGCGGATCGCCCACACCAGCGTAATTCGGCGAGCAGCCACAGTGCCCGACGCATGCCCACGAACAATGTGGTGGAGAAATGGTAGATGGTGGGTAATTCCAATACCCCCTGCGAAGAGAATGACTGTCCCATAAGAATCGAGTGAATGGATGCCGCCATAGGGCCCTTCAACGATCGCCCGCATGGACAGGACACAGTTCGTGGACCTCTTGACACGCTGGGCCAGCGTATCGGTGAAACCGGTTCGACGCCGAACAAGCAGGTAGATGGTTGTTCTCTCTTCCCTGCCGTCTCCCTCTTCGCTCCAGCATACTGAAAATGGATGTGACGTCCACAGTCCAATGGCGGGAATATATAAGAAGATGTGCTGACCCGGTGCAACAGTCCATGGACGGGGCATGCGAAGTGCTATTCTCAGGATGCCGTCGGGTAGAGCTTCGATTACGGCAGTGGTGAGCCTTCGGCCACAGTTGCGGTAGAGGATGGTGACGATACGTGCTGAGCGCTAAATATTCAGACGTTAGTAATGTTGTCTTTGCAGCTCTCGCAATGGCCAAGGCAAAGCGTGTTATACTTCCAAACTCCATAGAACTATCGCTCCGAGCAGAAAACTTTGAGCGCTGCGTCCGTCTAAATGGATCCATAGCAAAGCAAATCCCGTTGCCGCCATTGCGATGTGTAAGTGAAGAAATGTCTCGTAAAAGGCATGACGGATTGGAGATGGTGAATGTATTAGGAGAAAGACAAAGGCACAAGCAGCCTAGATAATAGCCACAGTTAGCATCCTACTACAAAGGCGACAATGTATATAGTCTCTGACAATCAACCCTGATCGGATAAATGCACTGTCCTCAAATTCCAATCGAACGGCATCCCAACCGATTGTCGGGTCTATTCTGTTAGTTCGATGCTTATCCCCTCACCTCTCAGGACTAACGAAGGTAACCTACCCATTTGTGCTTTGGGGACACACCAGGTAAACACATGGACTAGTGCCTCCAGAACAACAATCCGCGCAAGCCAACGATGGAATAGGTTAAAGGTATCATAAGGGACTCGAAGAAGCGGTATCAGAGGGCTATTTCTCGAAGCCAACAACACCAGCGGAATCAGGTTCGTAATGGCCATGGTTCCAGTTCGCTTTTGGATGACCCCTACGGCTTTGCCAGTGTGATAAGGCACATTGACAGTACACAGTGCAATATTCATAGCAAGAATTCCAATCAGAATGAAGGAATGAATCCGACTAGGCAAGGTCCCCATGTTTATAGCTCGAGAGAGCTGAAACTCCCTATGGTGGCGGTTGTGAAAGAGTGGCGCATAGAGGATATGTTTTCGGGCAACTGCGAGCCATTTGTGCGCGGGAACGAAATACCGCTGGCGTTCATTGCTTAAACCTGCTATTCGCCTTATGTAGCATGTTAGGCGAGATAAAGTACTCCAGACAAGGATGACTGCTACAGTACAGCCGAGGGCCAGCAAAGCGTAGTGGGCGAGTTCATTGTCCATCCGCTGGTAGTAAAGATCTTGGTTATCGTCACCGCGGCGGTATTTACCTTGGAGGAGCGCCATCACGGTTGATGCCAACTAGATGGCAAATGTTGGACCAAATCTCCTCGGTTTCCGGTTGAGGAACCTTTTCGGGACTTAAATCGCGGACTCCAAAGGCCAGTCGAGGGCTTATGGCGTTTACCCTGGACAATAGAAGATTAGCAAGGACCGGATGATCTTAGAGGACCGTGAGGGCAAGCAGAAACACAATTCAGGTAAGTTAAGATGCCTACGAATATGATAGTCAAATATAACACGAGGAATGCAGCATTTGATATAGACTGTTGGACCGTATCAGGACTGATCACTTGTTGAAACATCCTTGCTCCCTTAGTCACGGAAAATGACATTCCAGCCGTCTCTTCTCTAATCATTCACACAAGTAGGATCCAGAATACGAAAAAGTCTTCATGGTTGCCTGTGTGTCTCAACGGGCTTTCGGCATTTCGGGTTCACTCCGGAAATATATTACGATATTGCATATATCACCCCACCAACCCCGTCAATCTGCACATAATTTAACAACTTGCGGGGTCGTATTCGCTAGAATAGACGCTCTGTCATCCTTGCCAATACTGCAAGCCCACGAAAAGGGGATAAGCAAGCAAGAATGATACCAAGCCACCAGCTGAGCTTGAAGAATTGCCGTAGCTGTCTTTGGCCTTTGACGTATGGAACAGTAATTTCGCTCACTGACTTCAGACACTTGGATGGACCCCGTGGGGTTGTGGATTTAAATATGGCGGATATATAACGGCGTATTTGTAATCATGTTTTAACCATCAGTGACACTACGGAATCTCCAGATCCGTTTCTATCTTTATCCCCTCTCCCATTTTGAACATGCAGTAGAGAAAGCTAGATCTCGAGGTAGCTCAATACTCTTCACGCCAGAACTTGTGTATCAATGTACGGTGGGCTTGCAAGGTGTGAAGATCCGACAATACATATCTTACACGATATTTCTGTTGCCTGTAATAAGGTTCGACAGACCACCATGAAGGTTAGTCATGGTCCAGGAGGCTTTAGCGTTCTGAGGATACTGATCATGAGCAGCAGGAGGAGGGCGGATTATCGCGGAATGAAGCCACCCCCGGTCGTCTGAAAATGAAGGGGTAACACCGCCAACGTACTAGGGAAGAAATCCGGGGTATCTTAATACAAGAAAACTTACTAGCAACTTGTTTATCTTCAACAATTGCAAGTGTATTTACAAGATAGAAACTTTTATGGATGTCGTGAAGGGTGAGACTGGATGGTGAAATTAATAGCTCTAACGCGCACTGCCTTTTTGTCCAATGATGACTACTTCATTGTATCCGATCCTGGCCAAGATACACTGAAACACACGGAATTTGACTGCCTTCGCCCGCTTCTCAAATAGAGTATCGATCTCAAGGTAGCTAAGTTCTAACCCTAACCCAGAAGCCTAAAATAGCACCACATCAAACACAAAACAATAGTCCCAACAAAGAAGAAGCATGACTTGCCCTTCTAGTTCCATGCAGTCGGATTCTGCATGCGCGGGGTGATTGCGTTCGTAACGATGCTTGTGATGTTTTATACCACACGCCCCAGAACAATGGTATTGCCTGGGAGTCATGTGGATGGAATCTCTGCGACTAACATATAACAGACTGTTCGAAAGGCTTTCTGATAGGCAAAAGTCAGAGCAATGATCAATGACCCAAGCGTCCGTAACTGCGTAGGTGTTTGAGGCATCGTGCTGACACAACCGGCGAAAATCAGAATTATCAACGAAATAGAAATACCAGAGAGGGTAGAGCCGGCGGCTTCCAACCCGTGGCAACATGGACCAACATATGGCATTAGCGCCAATTGCCAACCCATACATCCTCATTGCGAGTTTTAAGGCATCTCGCACGTGAAACGTAGTCTGCTCGTAAAAATACGCGGCGTAGAATGTTAGAGTCGAGCCGCACACCTGTTATGTGACCCAGACCATCATAGTGATTTCGGTCCGCGGTAGGTTGACGGCTCGAAGGCAGTTGAGATAGGATATATTATATATGACCATTGCTAAGGTATTTTTCAACCTCGTTAGTATGTCACATCATCGCCACAGTTTTATCCAGATTCAACGCCCCTGATCCTGGTTTGGTAAGCCGCAAAAGCGATCTTACGCGCCTTCTCTGACTTTCTCTGGCGGATCCGCCCTGAAGTGCGGCACTTAGTTACTACAGCTGGATTTGGATTGGTGGGAGAGTATGACACTAACATAGGCTCTCTGGTGCAATATAACGCCAGTCAAGACAAAGTCGATGAAAACCCACCGCAATGCGAAGGGGACGCGGTACGCCCATTCAGATTCTGTATCAACCAAGGCGTAGATCACAACAACGCGGGTATGTCCTAGGACCCAGCATAGATTGATATAGCCCAGAAAGTGGCCTCGTAGCACCATCGGCCGTACCTAGTGCGTATGACACTGACAGGGTCTGAAAAGCCCCCCCATTGAATTCCTTTCCAGAGTTACAAACATATTCAAAAACGGCCATTCGAGACGTACCACATAGTATTTGTGCTGCCAGTAGGGTCTCGATAATGGTAGAGGAGACAGCTAGAAAAACAAAGGCACCTAGTATCACCAGCGCCGCAATCAAAGTGCGGTGGTAACCAAAGCGGTCAGCAAGCAGTCCATTACCAATTAGGCTGAAAATGACGCCTACCTGGGTACCGTTGATCGGGCGACTTGCCACACCGGAGAAATCTGGTATTATGGCTGCTGGTCGGGAGCTTGAGAACCCGGTGCAAGATCCCCATATGATTTTTGGAAGATGGACAAGGTGAAAAAGCTAGTCAGGAGGCTCGTGTCATACCCACCCATGATATCTGGTATTGATACTATCAGAAGCATTGCCAACTTCGTGTGCTTTAGCTCGGTAACCGTAGCATTTTCACAAGGTTCAGCTATATTTTGTGCGAGCCAACAATTCAGCCCGGCCGGATTGAACTACATGTGGCATTGGCATCCTGTAGCGGGGGATTTGAAGGGATATACACATGCGTGATTATCGGCTGTCGGTTACTATTAGGACGAGGATTTCCCCTCTTTTCCTGGTGTGCATGCATGGGCCCGATATCACCAATAGCCACTTGGATCGATTTCATATTTTAGTTCCTGTTCGAATTATCATAGGAGTGATGCCAAAATTGCTAATTATTGAAGTTTGTGGTTGTTCGTATGCAACATGTTCAATATTGTGCATAAAAGCCTGGATCCAAAGCTTCGGCTAGACCTGAACTCAGACATGACATTAAATTATACACGTTCGAAGAAATATCTATGTAAATAATTATGGCTATCGAATGAACCCGCTCGTGGATACCCTTCGGAAGAAAGATAGCGTATTAACACTATGATCTCTTGCGTTCAATTTAGACATTCCGGCCGTCATAAATTATCCATGGGGTCAGTTGGGTATGCTCTCAGCCCTGCTAGTATTTCGGTCAAATGCAGTGCGGATTTCCCATCTATAAACAGGCCCCCATGCATCAAGCGGATCTAGGTCCGGACAGACATCTTGATTAATGAGATAACTGCCGCCTGGTTGTTTCTTTGCATAAGATGGGCGTGCCATGGTGTGGAGTTCTTGGGTACTGCTCGTCGTGAGTTTGACAGATGTGTCATTCGAATTTTCTCTGACCCGGCAGAGCCCATGGTGGAAGAGACGTTCCAAACAGCGAGAATCCCATCCAAAGTAAATCGGCCATTTCCGGAGATCAGCTTCAGCTACTTCTCGGGAGGGTCAGGACGTGGGACGATTGACTGTATATCGGCGAAATGTCGGGTTGGGACGAAAGTTTGGAGGTGGAACAGGAGTAAAATATGGATCCATAAAGATTACCGAAGAAAAAGACGTGGATGGAAGAAATCCAGATGCGACAAAATGACACCACCAGCACTATGCGCGAGGCCTATCAGGGGACGACGCATTTGGTTGCGAAACAGGTTTATCAGGAGAAACATATCTCTGGAGTCCTCAATCCAGGACGGACCATCTCCAAGCTTTTCTTCGTTCAATGTAGCGCTGATTCCAGTGTTGACCAGGTCTGCAATCCAAATACTGTCAATGGAGAACTTGCTCGAGAAGGTCGATTGTCGGTACAGCTCCTCCCAAAGAGGCTCATAAAGCTCTTTAGGCATGCCTAAAGCACCGAACGCAATTATGGTGATCGCATTGGCAGCGTCCTGTTTTATGACTCGAGGAATATACTGCTTGACATGCAACTGAAGCGTATCTCCCTGGTCCTGCACAGTTGCGTACGTATATTCACGGATATATGACGATGTGATAGTATGCTGGACAAAGGTGAAACTTTCCATTTCTGTCATGTTGAGATGGCAATCTTTATTAAGTAGAATAGGAAGCAAGTACAAACTAGTTTGTAGACATTTGAAGTAAGGGAAGTGGAAAGGTGTGTGACAAAGTTCTTTCATTGCAAGCAGAATGTTCCTGATGACCCTCCGCATCACACATGCAATTATATACTCTCCGAAATCCAACCACAAATGTCCAACAACAACGAGATTGCCACAGCCCCAATGTCCTGTATTGACTTCTGTATCAGCATGATCAAGCTAGTTGATATTCCAATTGTCCCCGAAACCAAAGGCACATTGAACTAGGTTGGTAGTACCATTTATGAAATATCGAGGTGTACATATGTAGATCATGAGCAGGACAGCGTACTTTATTGCTCAGGTCGTGAACCCTAGTGTCATAATTGTGGTCACACATCATTCTATCGGTCGCAGGTAGACGTCGATACTAATGGTCTTATTGGAAGGCAAACGCCATCTTGTTTGTTGTGGAGAACCTCATACTCTTTCCTAGCAATAATTTCTTCCAGTCAGGTCATACGTAAATCCGATCAAAGTTTTGAGTCGGATCAAATCACCTATCCTAACTCTATGCTCCCACTAAGGATCACTGGAAACCAACTTTTCGAAGGCGTTTATGATGTAAAACCAACTCCTTACTGGTCTGCGATCCTACAGGGTAACACCATTTATGCAGGTCTTGATTGAGCCAAAACTAAGTCAAGTAGCTGGAGAGCTGTCGAGTTTTATCAAAGCATTTCTGTTGGTTCCTTTTATTTTCCCTTCTCTTATAATATCTCAAATAATCTCGGACTTGGGCATCCATCTGTGACGAAAAAAGGGAGAAAAAGGAGGAGGGCAAGAAGAAGGCAATAAAATAACGCTTAGAAAGGGTGACTGGCATAATTACGTATGCTACATGTACAGATTACATATGTAGTATTTATGACGTGTAATATGCTACCTTATTTGAAGAGTTGATAGGTATAATCAAATTCCGGGCACAATTTAATGCTCCAAGAGCAACCTACAATAGTAACTTTTTAATAAACTACCAGCATTTTCCGTAACCCTTCTATTATACAGAAAGGAAGTAAGCTTTGAACAAACCCAATTGCATAATCTTTGCCCATTATCAAAACACGATCGAGGTATTCGTTAGTCTTCAGAGCCATCAATATATTTAGTATCTCCACCAACCAGAATGTGCACCTGAAGTTTCAAATTTTCGTTCTCCAGCAAACATTTCTGCAGCCAATCTATCGTACGAAAGAGAATTTCTTTTCGTGTTTGTCTTTGCATGTCCAACCCTGGGACTATATCACAAAGATCGAGATAGCCTTTATTTAACTCATCCCTTCGTTTCTGTTCTGAAGCCTTGTGGATTTCCCTTCGTCGGCGACGTCGGAAGTTCTGTAATTGTTTTTCATCCACTTTGGTGAATTTTCTCTTGTTTCGAGAGCCCAAATCGTCGCTTCCGCTTGCATGAGGATCATTGAGGTGGTGTTCAAAAGTAACCATGTTCTCACCCAAGGTCATCCAGGTATTCGCGGCATCATCAATGCTGCTTTCGCATGTTGAGGACATGTAGTGGGATGAGGCAAATGCGGTGTCTGATCCCCATCGCAATTTGGAGGGAGTTTTTCCACGGGGGCAATTAGTGGTGCCCATTAACGCTTGACGGTCCTGTGTGCATACCGACGGCCAATCGAACCTTAGTCTGTCTTTGCTTCCAGTGCCGTCATCAAAAATGGCTTTAGTGATTGAATTAGTCGTTGCTGTAGATTTTTCTGGGAATACTCGGTAAGCAGGTGTTACCGAGTAGCGTTGATGAGAAGGAATAGATGGGACTGATGGCGAAACTCGTCTTGTGGTAGTTTTTTCCGGTTGTTGAAGAAGGTAAGGATATTGTAATTGAGCAGCATTGCTTGGTAGGAATTTCTGTGGCGTAAACCTAATAGGACTTGTAGAATATTGGTCAAAGGGAAAGATTGATTGATTCTCTTGCGTAATTGTATATTGCATCGTGGTGTTATCGCGAGATATTCTATCCGTCAACGGAGCACCGCTCCAAATGACATCTTCATTACATCTTTGTTTGGGAATATAATACTGATTGAAGTCGTCATGAGGCCGAACCGAAGAGTCGAAGTGGAAAAACACATCCTGTGGAAGGAGGTTTTGGCCGGTGTAAACTGATAGATATCATTAGCTTTTATTGTCAAGCACAATCAAACCCTCGATAATAGAACAATACAAACCCTGGTCATGTCTAGACGATGTGTACATGGAGTTTCTTGATGCTAAGAACAATGTTAAACTTGGGATATCGAGCCTGGTCAGAGCCAAGTTGGGAATTCGCTTTTCTGTAGAAAGGCGTGGGGTTATATTCAATGTCAGGCTTGATAAATTATAATCACACGATATTAAGCATGAAAACACACTGCTCTAATGTACAAGATGTCAGAGAGTAGATAAATACACAATCAAGTGGTGTGCACGTCTTGCCACTCTTTCTTTTGCTTACTTTACTTTTTCTGGATTACCCCACGTTTAATCACGGGGCTTAAGACTAAACATGGGATCTGGCCTGCGACAGGCCCAATAAGATAATTCCTTAGTAGTAAGATCAAAACAATAAGAGGTTTTATAGTTCGACTAAAGGTAGTCATAATTTCAAGCCAATGAAGATACAACTCAAAAACGTTTATGAAGGAGTGGCGAGCGGCCGAAAGGCTAAAGCCTGTGCTGAATTTGTCACCTGCAGGATATCACAACTGTTAATCTTAGCAAGGGGCTGCCTCTCCAAATACCACCAGGCGCGTAATCATTTCCCCTCTACGCTAAACCATCAACTGATATATCGAACTCGTCGATCCTTGATAATAGAGTTGGAAAGCGTTATTTACTAGGTTTTATTAGATTTGGTAATCCTTAGGGATCGTCGGTTTGCTTGAGATTGACATATATCTATTTTATCGTGGTTCATAATTTGCTCCCGACAAAGAACTACAGCTGACAGGCTGACAGACCTATGAAATGCCAGGACGTCATTGACTGAGGCTAGTCGTCCCTAAAACGGCACAACCTGTAAATAGTAAAGCTGTAAAGAGTAACGCCTAAGGGAAAACAAGTCATGTCTGCGTCCCCCGCATCAGCAAAGAGCCAGTCAGCATCCGTGTTTATAATCGTTTGTGTAGTTAGGATAGGCTAGCCGGTGGGCGGCTAGAAATTAGGGATCTGCACCTCCCCTTTCTTTCACATAGGATCGTCGGTCGCGCGCTGTTTAGGTGTGGCAATCCATTTAGGGGCCTTCAATTTCACCAGCACGTCCTTGTGCCACTAAAACGAATGGGCCTGTGCCGAGAATCCGAGACTCGCAGTGGGGGTTTGTGGCTGGGAACTTGAAACCGACTCCCAAGTTTTAGTATATCGTTGCTTTTCCGGCGTAAAAATTCCCTATTGTAGTTAAAATATTTTCCTACTCCGATTCCTCATCAAGATGCTATTTGACACAGTTACCCCGGGCATGGAGCTTGACGCCTCCAACTGACCTTGGAGTTGATGGAGAGTGGGGCAACATAACTCGATGGAACCATATTATCTTATTCTTTATAGTCACGAGATTTTAATAGTATGGTTCAAGCTATTGCAGGGGCTTGGGATTGGCTACTCGAAATCTAGGGTGTCGCTGTCACTTATTCGTAAAATGCAGGGACAATGCTGACTTTGGAGTTGATAGCGAATACCAACCTATCGAGTGGGGACTATTAACGGTGACACATTGCCGAGACTGATTAGCTGTTTTTGATGTCGCTAAAGGGACCTTAAATTGGGGCCATATCACGCTTGAATGTCGCCGTAGGCTGAGCGATATAGGATTTGTAATGCTTTCGACGGCAATTCCAAAAGCAAGGGTAATATGAGAATGATTGAGCCACTTCGTAGTGAACGAGTGGAGTACCTGTAGGCTAAAGAAAGGGTTATATCACAAAACTGAGGAAGGAAACCACCATTAAGGTATGAAGCAGGCTGAATGTAATATTATCCATGAAAGAGAGAGGTATTCCTAGTTCGTCTTTTCTCGGTAGCAACCATAGACAAGAATGTCGTTGATAGCTCGGTCTAAAGAGAGAAGAGTTGATGTGTGGTTAACCCATCATGGTCGATCTGTGGAAATAATTCACCGATAGCCCGTGTAAATAACACTAATGTTAAGGCAGGATTTTAATCCCCACATATGGAATCCTAAGCAGTCATGCTAGTCCATGTGACCTCCCTCGGTGAGCATCTGATGCATAGCATATTACGCATCTGTTGTTCTAAGATTCAATTACCTATTCACATGTACTAGTGCCTGAGATTTTGTGAGAGGTGCTCATAAGGCCACTTGCGCAGGGTGTTTCCGGAAACGGCTGTACAGGCTAGATGGACACTCCTGCGCGGCTCCTTCTGGAAAAATGTTCAACGGTCATCTACCAGTCCAGAGCCTATGGTGTTCCTCCTCTCACTCGCCTTCGGTTAGGGTTTTTAGGTTAGTTTTACTAACTCAGGCTAAATGGCTAGCAAGCAAGTATACTGTGCTCTCAATTATAGAAGCAAAAGGACGGGATCATTGTTATAACACTAGCACTAAGCTGGTATATAGGTGATAGTAGCAAGTACTAGACTAACGTTCCAAAGAATATCAAACTTATAACTAGTAAATTCAACATCAGTAACCATTTTTCCTTCGCTTTCCTGTCCACGGAGACGTTCTTTAGGTTATTCGTAGAATGGCGATACTGAAATTATTTTCGATAGGAGTAAAGTATTTTGACGCGAACTCGGGGTTCCTCGTTCCCAAAAGACAGTTGAAAACACTGATAGTTTTACCCATCAGCAAGAGAACCATTTAAGGAATGATACATAGCAGAGGTTTGTGTCCAAAAGGTACCACGCAGCTAAAGGGGTAGGTAACTCACCGGACCTATGTCTGATATGCGGCAAGTGCATTGGCGAACGCATTGTCGATACCGCTGATAATAGCTGGGGCGAGGGCTTGTTCAAGTGCATCAAGTTTAGGTACAATGAGTTGTCCCAGGGTGTCGGTATCCTTTTTCAACTGCTTCAAAGAAGCCAGTACAATTACTCCCAGATCGCCGAATGCCTTATTCTTACTGGCGACATCCGCAAGTGTTGTATTGATTTTTGGTTCAAGAGCGAGCAGGCTAATCCCGACTTCAAGAGAACCGCCAGTACCAAATGCAGGAGATGCGTTAATATCTTGAATGGTCTGGAGGATCTTCTTGTCGAGAACAACAGCGTCCTGCTCCACTTGCAGGGCAAAGCCTAATCCAGGCGTGCCGGCTACTACGCCTTGCACGTCGTTGTCGAGGGTCGTTAGAATAGCGCTGATATTGCCAACGTCATAGTTGACGGTTTGATAGTCAGCAGCTACACCAAGTGCAAGTGCAAATGCAAGAGAGAGAGTGGGAAGTGTAATCCTCATGACTGCAACAAGATGGAAATTCAAAGGCAAGCGTATGTGCAGGATTGAGATGAGAGACAACAATGAACGGGGTATATGCGTAAGTTAAGGAGACTTGGTTGGAGATTCAACATCGTAATGAGGCATGTTATTATCAATGATCAAAACGCGACTGAGCGAAATTTCCTTACCCCATACCATACCCCATACGGGGTAATCATGCCTCCTTCAACCCAAAAAATAAGCCGAAGCCTAGGTGCAGATGTTAGCGTTAATAGCGTCATTGCACTCTCCCATATGAACATATGCCTCGGCCCTAATAAGTCCATCTGAACTTTGCAAGACAGAGTAAGTTTGATTAAGGGCTAGTAGTATCAATTAATAACATCGTTTATAGCATATCTACAAGTAAAATATCAGCCCGACCTCCTCATACTGAAAACTACGTTATCGCGTCTCTCATCTGGTCTCCCTATTGTAGCTATTTTTTCTGTTACTGAAATTTGCCAATACAAGAAAAACAAAATGTTCTTGTCTTTCTCCAATGTCGCGGTGGCTATTGCCTTGCTCACGGAGCGTTGTTTCGCGCAGTCTCCTGGGTCTCCTGGTAAGTCTCTCTGTAGGATTTACTAGACAGTGTATCTATCTGACAACATCCAGTGTCATCGGATGTGTGGACTAAAATCGTTCGCTACACGGATTTTGCTTCTGCAGCGTATGGTGACAGCTGCGATACTCCCCCGTATGGCTCGGTCGCTGTCCAGTACTTCAACGATGCGTTTAGTGACACCCACGCAACCCTGTTCCGAGATGACACCGCCAAGGAGGTTATCATTTCATTCAGAGGGACTGCATCTCCAAAGAACCTTGCAACCGATCTCGAATTTGATCTAGTTCCCTTGACAGCTACTGGTACTCAATGCTCTAACTGCAAAGTCAGTTCACTTAGCTAGCAGCGAACGACGGGGAACGGTGCTGACGGAGAAATAGGTTCATAAAGGCTTTCAATCATCCTTTGAGGTACTGTCCGACTCAGTAACCTCTGCCATCAAGTCCCAGCTTGGACAACATTCAGGCTACACTTTTACTGTTACTGGCCATTCCCTTGGAGGAGGCATCGCGGCAATAGCCACATCATCATTCATCGCGCAGGGACTCAAAGTGGCAAACACATTCACGTTTGGAGAGCCGCGAAATGGTGACCAAAACTGGATCAAGTATATCAGCGGCCAGATTCCAGATGCAAATTACTATAGGGTGACGCATGCAAGTGACGGTGTACCCCAGATTCCACCACAGGACCTGGGTTACTACCAACATGGAATCGAGTACTGGGAGAGCCAACTACAGAACAATTCGGCTTCAACCACTTACAATTGTGGCACGCAGTCAACAGTAAGCATTCCCGCCATATTATTAAGCAAAAGTGTCTTCTAATATCTGGGGTAGAGCTGCAATGCGGGTCAGAGCTTCGGAAACCAGCCGATTAATGGTGCACATCTTACTTACACCAACACTGTTATTGGAAGTTCCCTGCACATTCCAGCCTGCGGCGCAACCGATTAAAATAGGGCTGTACGTGCAGTAGGGTGACGGAAGGTTGAAGATAACAACGCAAAAGTGGATGAGATATATGAGTCCTCCCCATATCGATATTAGTAAATTCAATTCTTTTGCTTTATCTACAGAAATCGTCCCAAGAGCTCTTAATTTAATATGATATGAATTGGTGTAAATATGGAGGAAAGGTAGAACTTCTGTATACAGTATTCAAATTTTTGCCATATTAGAGAATGTATTATCGAGTAGATACGGCTCCCCTTGAAGACTCTCTCACCTTTGGACCGTAGTAATAATATGACGAATATTTCTCTCACCTGTTTTGAAGTTCATATGTTATCATCACATGTACATCAATACTAAAATGGGAAGATATGGTTCATTTCATTTGTTCGTTACTAGCGTCTTCTTCAAAATAAAAGGAATCCCATGATCTTCCTGAATCTGCTAACTAGGACGGAAATTGACCAACTCAACATCCCGTCCAAGCCTCAACTACTAAGTCCCCGTGTAGCTAAATTAGCCAATCGGCTTAGCAAAATGATCAGCTTGGAATTCATTGACAATGGAGCTGGACTGAATTTTGGGTCTCATCACTTATGACGCGGGGTATATCTCTAGTCAGATTTTAGGGAGAACGGTAAAAAGTTTATACAAATTTAGTCCCAAGACGTGTTAGCTCACTATCAGATCCCTGCACCCCTAATAGACTAAAAGTACCAACTACACATTCATTTCTTTTGACTTCTCACATGGACATTCTGCATGTCAATTATCCTAGGCTTGTCTCTGGATTCAGAGGACATTGCAAGGCATGGCTTCTTTCTCCAGGCGTCGAGTTGGGGCTTTCGTTAAAGTGCATTATTCGACCCTTCCCCTCTTCATGCCGAGCTCTTCTGTCTTTAGGGGATCTATTCTTCTTGTCACTCTACTTCAAGGTGATTCAGTAAAGAACTCAAGTATTTTCTAGCCCATCTATCAAAAATTGAAGCTCAACATGTTCCGATCCCTGCTCTTTGGCCTCTTTGTTGCCTCCCTGGCTCAATGTTCAGTCATTAAGCGTGACGCGCCTGGCATTGTTGCCAGCCTAAACGCGATTTCGAGCCAACTCGCGACCATGAATTCCACGTTGAACACTTTCCCTGGTGGCGCTGGCAATACGTTGGTTGCTTTGCAAGTTCAGGGAGAGGCTCAAACACTCCTTGATACCATCAACAACGGCACCAAGGTTGCAAACCAAACGGGTCCATTGGACGTGAACGATTCTGCCCTCGTGGTAGATGCTGTCCTGACACTGCAGCCTAACATTTACGGCGTGCTGAATCATATCATTGCTGCAAAACCCGATTTCGACACGGCCGTTCTTGGTCTCGCTTCCGCTGCCATTCTGGTCAAATCGGACCTGACCAATTTAAAGAACTCGACCGATCAGCTTTTCTCCGCTACAGTGTCGAAACTGGTCACGGATATTCAAAACCTGGCTCCTCTTGTCCAGGCTCTTGTCGACTTGTACTTCGTTGAAGCAATCAATACCTACTCTTGAGCAAGATGTGAGCTATCAACCAATACGGAGGGTCTGGCACATTTCCAAGACTATTCAATACTCGCCTTCTTTCTTTCCTTGTTGGTGAGGACCCTGGAACGGAGACTTTTCTTCCTGTACCCCTCTATTCTGTATTGCATACTCCCTCTATCAATCGATATCTACAATGATACTATAGGATGAAAAAATGGAGAAGACAATGGCATGGTAGTTTTGGAACCAAATAATATTAACCCATACCACGTATTTGAATAATTCCCTACGAATAACTTGGCTCTCTAGGCCAACAGCATACATCCAACGTTCATACTTCCTAATCCCTATACAAGCAGTACTATATACACCTTCTAATTGTTGCAACAATGCCGTAAATACAATACCAAGACAACGGATGCATTGCATGCATCAACCTTTTGAGGTGGATTATATATAAGTTAGAGTTTAGGAGTCTGTCTGGTGTATTGGCACTGTCCTTACACCATCGATGTTCAACTATATGCCGGCTTCGGTCTCAATAGCGAACTAGCCGGTTCCAGATGGCCTTCGGGGGGTTCTATAAAATAACAATTAAGTGCGATTTCAGTCAAATCAATTGCTGTTGCTTGATCGAGTTACGTAGGCAGTATCGTACACAAAGTAATGCGAGTTTCTTCTAGGCTGACAATGAAAACAAGCGAGTGAATGCCTGCTTTAACATTGCTAACTCGCTCTACACATAAAACTTAAAAATACAAAGCAGCTGATATACGTATCGCCGTATACCATTACCGCAGAGAATACTAAAACTCATACTAAGTCGTGCTTTCATGACGTAATATGTTGGAAGGTAAAAGCCCGGAAGATTTGAAAGGTCTATGTAATTCGGATTTGGTATCCGACCTGAGGTATCACACAAGAGCAAGAGCAAGAGCATATTTTCTAGTGGGCGCCTAGTCCGCTATGGATGTAGACACAGCCTGCAAATGTTGTCACAGCGCTCAGTAGTGTAAGCGAGACTTAAGAGTTAGTGCTCATGCGGTGGACGACTGGCACGGCGCTAGGTGGCAGGCTGCCCATTTCGGTGACAACCATATCGACATACTCCGCTGGAGTCACGTCATGCATGATGTTCAAGAGCTGCAAGTTCGGCGTGTCTCTCCAGTTCTGAAGTGGCGAGGATGCGTTTTGGGATAAGCTTAAGCTTGCCAGCTCGCTAGCGACGTTGCTACTACTCGATTTCTTGCCGGGTTTCTCGCTAGCTGCAATTTTCGAGTCTGGGAGGTTTGTTACTTGTTGCAGTGGTCGTCTGGTGACGAGCTCGTCGGCGTCGGCGATCTCATTGACGACGATGCTGTCGAGAGCAACTCGGTCTGTGAACTTGACAGTTTCGCAACACACAATGACTGGGATTTCCACACCGCCAGATCGTTCCTTCGCAGACATGGCAACCAAGGCTGTGCCGACACGGGAGTATAAGCGGCCATTTCCGGTCATAGCATGGGCGCCCAAGAAGACCTTTGTTGCATCCTTAACAGCATGGCTGATACCATGAATCAAAGAGTACTGAACTTCTAGTCCTGCATTCGACAGAGCGCGAGCAAGATTCTTGCCTTCGAACAACGGACGAGAGTCGATAATGGAGACGCGGAACTTTTTTCCTTGTTTAAATGCTGCGAGGAGGGTCTGCTTCACAATGGAGCTTCCTGCAAATGTCACGATAACATCGCCATCCTGAATCTTTTGTGCGGCGCTACCGGCAATAACCTGGTCTGCCACGGTGATTTTCTCGCGGATGAAATTATCGATAAAATCACACAACTCGGATTTAGCTGTGGCTTCTGGGACCGATGGGTCGATCGAAGAAATCGACAGTTTCAGCGCCCGAATAGCATTTCCTTGACTGATAGAAAGCGGCCGACAAGTCGATAGATATGTGATTTGGTGCGAGAGATGCGTGGTCAAATGACGAGCAAGCGAGGTCCCGATAGGTGTAGTATATGATTCAATAACCTAGATACGTCTGTTAGCATTACTCGCCAGCTTGATTATAATAATGAGCCAAACTCACCCTCTTAAACGCAATCAAAGTCGCAACACAACGTGCGCTGCTACCACAGACAACATAGTCTCGTAGCTGCAATCCCAGAGCAAGGACAGCTGGATGAACCTCCTTTGCTGCACCTGCAATAGTCGACCTCCTCGGCACGCCATAAAGATGCCCAAAAACGGCAACATTTTTATCCTCTTTCTTCTTTATTTCCATAGGCGCTGGAGCCGATGGACGAGCGCCGCCCGTGCTCCTCTGTCCTTTCTGTGCTGCCCCGGACCCGTCTTTACTTCCTGCCTGCCCACCTTTCCTAGGAGTCTGAGAGAGAGGACCCTGTGCAGACTGCGGTTGTACGCCTGCAGCACTTCCTCCAGCGACGACGTCCCTCTCAGCCTTTTCTTTGGCTCGTCTCGCAGCCTTTTCAGCCTTGGCTTTCTTCTTCAACTCTGCGGGCGAGAGCTTTTCGGTCGACCCATCGGCAGATACTTCGGGGACTTTTGGTTTCTGCTGCTGCTGTTGTTTCGGCTTTGAGCTTGCGGCTGCAGGATTCTCTCGATTATTTGTGGAGGGTTTCGCGGCTGTGGAATCGTTCCCCGCAGGAGCAGGCGAAGATGCGTCTGGAGCTGTTACGTGCAGCTTGGCAGGGGTAGCCATCTTGAGGAGCGGATAGTAGATGACTGCGCTGTGATCGAGATATTCATTGACGGATTTTAGGGTTGTGTTGATGTTGAGGGAAGAATTTAATCAAGGTGGTGCTCGGCGCAAGAAGGGAGCGGGCGCGGGAGTAATAATTAATCCAACTATGCAAGTGGATGATGACTCATGGCCCCTCCTCCGCAGGGCATAGCCGCCGCTGCAGCCCGCAATAGCTCTTACAATGCATGCTGTATGCATTCTGCATTAACTCGTGGGCGATGCGAAGTACATCAGTAGTGGAGCTGCTTATGCACTTTGTCTGATCAATGTGATATTGTGACGCTTTTAGATTTAGACTCTCTTGCAATTTTGAAACGCCAGACTCAAATATGCATCGATACTTGTATGGATTATTGAAGGATAACGCTTTCATAAGTATGCTATCTGTAGAAAAGGTATGTGCTCGAACAAAAACTTTATAACAAAGAGAAACCAGACCCCTCGCAATGTAAAACCCAATTCGTGAATGCATCGTTTACGAGCGTTGAAATGTACTGTTGACCGAAAGCCTTCCGAAAGGACGGCGTTCCGTGTCTTCCTTGACTCTCGCAATGCCAAATCGTTCATGATCAGCTGTGAGCTTCCGTCTGAACAAAGTCAGTTCTTCTAATAAGTTCTCCATGTCGGCCTGCATCTCCCATGCTACATCGTCTTGCTCGCCAGCACTGTCCTGGTCGTCGTCTTCCCAGATGCCGCTGTTCTCTTCTTCTTCTTCTGGTGGTGGCGGGGTTTTGAGATCCCTCTCGTTGGATTGTGTTTCTTCAGTCTCCTCTGTTCGCAGTGATCCCAGACTGGTTTCTCGTTTCCGGAGCGGGATATCGGGGATTGGGTTCTTCAGACTGTCAAGTGCAAGCTTCAAATGGTTTCGGAGCGCCTCGTTCTCGGTCTGGAGCTGTCTGATCTTGCATTCACTGACCATCTTGTTCTCTTCCATAAGACGCTGCATCTTTTCGACCTGTTGTTGATATTCTTCTAGTTTCTCATTCTGAACCTCGCTCTCTCTCTTGGTTGCAGAGTTTTGGCTGACTGCTAATTGCAACACGCGGATTTGCTCCGTCATCTCAGAGATTTGTGCATCTCGTTCGGCGGCAGAAACATGATCTTGGTTGACAACAGCTCGCGTGCGAATACGCTTAGCCTGATCTGCGTATCGAAGGGTCGATAGCGTCTCGTCGTAATCGGATGGCGCAATACACGCGATCATGGCAGTCTTCGAATTCCCCCCTAAGCTGTCTTTTAAAAGCCATGTCAAAATCGAATCACGGTATGGCACCACTTCCTTCGCTCTACGTCCAGGACGCTGCATCTTTGGGTCAGCGAGTGCGGCAATGACTCTTCCTAGCGTAGTCAGCGATTTGTTGATGTTTGATCCTTCTCGCAGCCTTTGACCAGTTGCTTCAGTCGCTTTTGCTCTCTCTGATCCGGCCAAATCTACCAAACGGATACGTGCAGTTCGTTCGGTTGTCTCGTCGGAGGCGAGGTCATGGTGAATTTGCTTGAGAACTATCGTGAATACTGCATGTGATCGAGATGAGGTATCATTCATCTTGGTGCTTGCGACAGTTCTAGACATATCGCCCTTCCTCATCCAGTTCATGACATCCGCAAAGCTTCTTACAGGGACATCTGTTAGGTCTTTGACATACGGCCCATCAGTTGGCGATTCACGAATCTTGAGATAGTGAGGCGGTTCTGTGCGTGGTACGAGAAGGTCGCGGACATGTTCGTTGTAAACCTCGAAGTAAGAGACTCGAACATTATAAGTTGTGTCGACAGATTGAGCTTCGTCGATTCTCTGAAAAAGATCTTCACACGTTCTCGGGATTAACCCAGGTCGTTCGGGAGTGCCCATCATCGTGTAACTCTTTCCAGACCCGGTTTGACCATAGGCAAAAATGCAAGTGTGATATCCTTCAAAGTTATGGTCCAGGAATTCTTCTCCCAGACAGTTATACACATCTTCTTGGTCGGCATATTGTTCGTCAGACTGGTTGTGCGACCAGAATGACCGATCGAAGGTGAAAGTCTTATCCTCATAAACCTTGCCCCGTATCTGAGAGCGAGGTTTTGTTGTGTCTGATTCTGGACCTCGAAGAGTTGTCGCTTGAGTGAATGGGTTCATTGAGATCAGGCATTCTGAGCCCTTTTGGGTTTCTAGTCGCAAACACCCATGAGTCAGCTCTGTATTGACTTATATTTAATCCCACACTCACCTCTAGGCAAAAAGCCGCGAACTCTGACAACAACCTTCACATTCCCTCCCCCTCCAGGACTTTGAATCCCCGAGGGCACGCCGGTGGATACAATGACACTTTCTCGCGATCTCAACGAGGGACTCGAAGCTGTAGATTGCATGGCTGGAGCGGATGCCATCGACACGCTTGTCGCAGCGGTACTCGAGGTGAATCCGGATGCACTCGAAACCGAAGCCGCCGAGGAGTGCGTGATAGGACCGAGATGGTTGTAGAGGCGCACATCCAGTGCCATTTCCCTGCTTTTACCCCTCAATAACTGTACAAACTGAGCGATTAGATCGCGTTGTCGAGAAATGTGGTTGATGTACATAAACAATAGATTGGGTTGACTGGGTTGTGGTATGTTTGAATGAAATGTTGTCCAGGTTGTTCCTGTCTCTACGGTACCTTTTAAGCTTGAACTGGGAAAGTTCTGATTCTGTGCGATGTAGAAATGTGAAACGATTGCCTGGGGTTCCAGAGCTGTCAAGGCAGAGAGCGCGAGCGAGGTCAGGTCGATGTGCAGATAGCTGTCGGGCAAGGAATGTTTACTTACACGGGCGACCCCGCACGTAGTGTTGGAGATATAGCGAGCGAAAGGGGGAACCGCCGCACGAAAGCGCAAATTCCTCGAAGAAAAAAGTTTATATGCTTGTTTATTGATTTGATCAAGAAAGTAGACAGTGCAATTGATGCAAAGCGAAGAGCGACGAACAAGATCATAGCACCGATAAGCCTTCGTTTTGGTTTTGCCGCATCGGGTTAGGCTGCCAGCGCAGCTCCCCCCCGTCGGCCCGTTGCTACGGCGATCGCTTTCTCAACAGCTTTACAGTTAACGTGAACTAACTACTCTTCATTCGTAACTATTGTCTATATGGTATATATCCTCATCTCAGCCCCTTCCCAAGCAGCTCCTGGCCCACTTCTTTCAGCAGCGGCTCGCTCTTCAGCTTATCCACCTGTTTCTTCGCCAGAACAGAGTCGGCAATCCCCATGGCCCGACAAAGATCGCAAAGCTCCCCGTCAGTCGGGGCCTCATACAGGAACAATCCAAGTGCAAAAAGACAACCGTGCAGCGCTTCAATGCTCTCCTCTTCCATGTTAATTGCCTCGGCCAAAGAAGCCACCAGCTCAACCTGGTCGCCTTCTGAAAGTTTGTCGGGATGACCTGCGAATCGTGCGTTGTGGTTATACGCAGCCAAATTATATGCAAATGATGCGGCAACGACGCGCAGATTGGAACGGCTGTCTAAGAGAGACCCTGTCAGCAATCGGATGCAGACCCCGCGTAATGTCTGATTAGTAGCAATCTGCTCCGGGTAGAGGGGTGTTGTGAACAGGTTGCACGCTAGCTGAAGCATGACAATTCGTAAGTTGTAAGGGCAAGAGGCAAGATCATCAAAGGGCGAAAAGAGAGTCAGTAGAGTCTTGTGATGCGGTTCCTCTGCAAAGAAACCGCTAACTCGAGCGTCCAGAAAGGCAACGCGGATCAAATCGACAATAGCAAAATAGCTCTCTTTAGGTATCGAATCAAAAGTCGACTGTAGAAAAGCGCTAAGGAAGGACAGGTTTGGCACGGCTGTGTCGGCAGGCTCAGCCGTAGATCTTGTCTTCACAAAGTCTACAAGACTCTGTATCGTAGGATCGTCCTTTAAGGAACCAATCTTCTGCAACAACTTATCCAGCGGCGGAAGTTTTGTATAGGTGACATAACTTGTGATCTCTCTCTGAAGACTGGGCAGACGCAGAGACGTATGAGGATGCGGCGGGAATGCAGTTTGTATCAGCAAACGCACGTTGCCCTTGAGTTGAGCTGGATTGGCGCCGCTCCATTCGTCCTCCTTCTTGCCTCTGAGGAAGGTCATGAAGGTCGGCGTCGCTCGAACTCTATACCTTGAGCTGACATCAAACGCGATATTCAAGTCCACTTTTATTAGAACAGCATTATCCCCAGCTTCTTCTGCGAGTTCCTCATATGCCGGATAAGCAATCTTACATGGGGCGCAGGTCGAGGAGGTGAAGAAGATGCATGCGCAGCTATTCGATGCAAGTGACAGCTGCTCTTCTAGCTCCTTCAAATTACTAACGTTCCTCACGTACCCTTTCACTGGCGCTGCCAATGTATCCTGAAGTTGAGGTGGTGGCTGCACTACAGGAGCAGGGACTCTCTGCGTTGGATCAGCCTGAGTAATACCGCGCATCGCAGCATCAATCTGTGGCCGTAACATCTGCCCGAGGGGCGTGCTTAAAAAAGTCTTTGGCAACGACTGGATATGTTCCGGTATTCCCTTCCCAACCAGAAACATTGCCAGATCTTGCGTAAAATTGTTACAGTTGTGCATGAAAAGATCGTAGGACTGGGCCAACAGTCAGATAAGTAAACTCCCATAAACAGTTCTATCCTAGCATACCTCCGGGGTATAAATCTCGGCTAGCGACCCGAGATATTCCTGGATCACCTCCTGGGGCAGCTCCGTTTGCCCCATGTGTAGCTTTTCCATGGGTTGGCCATGGTGCGTTGTGCCGGGAACAGTGCGATGAATGCCCTGTCCGAAGAAATACTCCACCCCGCCGAAGACGAGGGAGGTATGGTATATTGCATCAATTTGGGTTCCAGTCAAGGACGCTGAATACTAGTCATCATCAGTAATGCATGGGATTCTGCCGCCATAGAACATACCATGCGCGCAAGACCCTGGCTAGCTGTTAGTATGTATCCTGAGACTCTAGATAATTAGGACAAACATTGAACGTACTTTGGAAAGGTCATAAACATAAAGCTCCACATCCATCGTAACCATCTACTGCAGTAATATGTGGTAAAAAGTACCCTGTATCAAACAACAAAACGCGAAAATGAAAAATCTAGAAACGAATACTTGGGGGGAAATAGCTTGGATGTCCTCAGCTAGGCAACCCTGCGTGCGTCTTGCTTGTCTTTGGCAGACATTTGAAATCAGGCCGGCGCCACTAAAAGTCCGTGCTATGCGGGGACGGGCGGTCATCACTCATTCATTAATTCCTCTACTATCACGATTCACACCGTGCCTACATCGCTCCACACATAATCCTGGCAGCGTCACATACTGCATAACATGGTACATCTCCCTCGCTCCATCTACATCGACCTAATCTTCAAAGCTAATCTTCCCTGCGCTCCCAGTCAACCCGCCGCGGCGGCGGAGCTGCTACCAAAGATAAAAAACGACGCGCATCCAAGCTCGCAAAAGAAAACTCTATCAGCGCAGAGGAAGAACTCGAAATCAAGGAAGCATTCCAGCTATTTGCAAACAAAAATGCCGAATTTCAAGACGAAAAGGAGGGTGTGATGCAGACAGAAGACGTGCGTCGAGCACTGGTGTATGAACGAACCAATATATATTAATGGAGACCTTCTCTAATCTTGTTGCAGTGCTCTCGGTCTCCCGCCTGACTCTTCCTCAGAGTTATCCTCCATAATTTCCGCCGTCGATCCCACCTCAACGGGCTTCGTGACGTATGAAGCGTTTGTGTCCGTGGCAGCTGCCAAACTGCATATGCGCAGTGATGAGTCGCTTGCGGCCGAAGTCGATGCTGCGTATCGGTTGTTTACGAAGGGGTCAGATGGGCCGATCACGGTGCAACATCTGCGAAGGATTGCGCGTGATTTGAAGGAGGATGGGAATGTTGGGGATGATCTACTAAAAGATATGATTCGGGAGGCGAATGGGGGTGATAATTTGCAGAGGGGGGTGACGTTGGAGCAATTTCGAGATGTTATGTCTAGAGCTGGCGTTTTTTAGGGTTTCAGTTTCCTGCTGCATTTGATGATGGGTGTGATTCATTTGGTGTTCGGTTTTGGAAATGGTGGGCTGCTTGTAAAAACCATTTGGATGCATGTCTGGAGTTTGGACTGTGTTTGTCTACAGGATAATTTCTTCTAATGCACATACATTGATGCTAGCTAAAGCTGATCAGAAAATGTCGTAGACAATAACGATGAACTCACTCATGATGTCAAATACTAACTTCGGTGTACAATATCTCGGGCGTTCGTCAACAACGGCAAGTCTATGCAATCCAGATCAACGCCAGAAACGCAAACCCAGCGGACTTTACACTAGCTACAATAGAATATAGAATACAGGAGAGACAGTATCTTCAGTAGTCTGTCCCGGAAGAAAATAAGAAAGGAAAATCATAAACCTCCAGTCAAGACGACGGTCGCACGGTGGGTATCAAGTTCTGAAAATGAAATTCAACCAAAAGAGATCGTAAGATCTAGAAACTGAAACAATGAAGCCATCATTTGGCTAGGGATATTCACGCAAGGGGGCCGTGTCAGGCGCGGTCAAAGAGGACTGAGACGAGCCACCGGACAATGGGCTATTTACAGACATGTCTGATTTGCAAATATCGGATTCGGCATATGATGTCGCGCTTAAAGTAGAGGCTATGCCGGATATTTCAGCCTTTTGATATGCAGGCATTCCTGAAGTTGCACTTAACTCTTCGGTATGTACATTCTGCACATCCTTTTCGGTAAAGTGCATCGTCGTTTCCTGAAAAGTTTCTTCTATCTCATCGATCCGCTCATAAAACAACATAAAGACGCCACCTTGATTGAACACGGCTTGGTCGCTGACCATCTGCACGTCTTCATCACTGAGTCGAAACCACCTATGAAGAACGTCCTTTTCGTCATCAACCTGTTCAATCTGTTCTACCCTTTCAGGAATCTCAACAGGAAAATCCCTAGTCGAAAACTTTCTGTAGCAAATATAATGACCATTCTCATGCCGTCCATAATGGGTTACAACGGCCCGTAGCTCATATTTGCGATTGAGAGCTTCACTTATTGCCCCAGATTGTGACAGCATGGAAGACTGCGGATCAGTGTTCCAAGTTTCCTGTAGCTCCTTTTTGCCATCGAAGTGTCCAAGGCACCAATCACTCAAGTCGAGAACCCCCGGGAATCTGACATCGGCATAGTTCTTTCTCAACATACCAGTGTTCTCATCGAAAACACTCCGATTGACATGGGCGACCAAATTCTTAGGCGGTCTAGCAATAACGGCCTGGCGTGACTTGGTCACCGATACCCTGCTCTTCGATGGTATATGGCACTTCTTCGATAGAGCTGTCTCTGTGAAGTCTTCCTCATCTAAAGCATCCTGAACGGCCTGAAGACGCGTTTGCGCAGAGTCCCTTAACGTTTCAGACAGCTTCGATGGCTGGGTGGTATCTGCTTGTTCTTCATCAACTTCGATCTGTTTGAGCAGATGACAAAGCTGGTCTTTTGTGCGTAGTAATGTGCATTTAGCACACTCGACGCCTTCGATGTGCTCCAATGTCATGTAACTATCAAGACAATCACGAATATCGTACTCCTGTTCTTTTCCAATAGAAACAGTCAAGCAATTGAAGGGAATGAGGGATAATCCCTCTGTCCATCCGCAACGCATGCAGCCAACCCGTTGCGCGAGCAGGCCTTCTAACGGATTCGCGAAAGTTTCCCGTTGTTGAACATCATCTTCAGATGACAGCACAGATTCCGAGGCCCCGGCTAGATGTTCCTTTGGACTAGTAAACCTCAGCCCAATATTAGTAGTCACTCCCTTCAATGCGTCCCTAATCTCTCTGTCAAGCTGATCCATAATCTTCGAGAAGTATTCCTGCGCATCCTGTTGCTGCCAGCTGCTCATTGACTTGAGCTCGGACGGTATCCAAAACTTCTGACCATGATTAATAGGATCATTCAGCATCTCTGTAATCTCCTGTAAAGCACGGTGGGTCAACAGCGGCCCACGTTCGTCCAAATTGCGAATATTGTAATTTAGAAAATTCATGAACGATTCAAGCGACGAGAGCCCCTGTATAACACTATTCTGGTAGCAAGAATTGTCCCAGTTTCCAAGGCCAGGAGGTACAGGTTCTCTTGCCCCTAGCAATGCGCTTCCCAAACCCGAGAGACTGCGGCCTCTCGGCAGTATCGAGTACAAGGAGCTCCTATCAAGGCCGAGGATTCGTTGCATCGCCTCGCTCTTTTGCCGTATTGTCAGGGACGTCATGGATTCGTTTGCATTTGGGCCTTGATTCGCCGTGTCCAGCGCCGCCACTATTTGGGATGGAATCAAGTAGACGAAAATGTTCCACAACGCTCCAGAAATGGCCAGAGGGTAGATCCCTAGATACGGAAGGATGAGCCAAAATAAGAAGACCAGTCCGCCGATAAGCGTGAAAATGAGGCTACTTCGTGAGTATGCAGGCGAAGAGTCATTCTGGGTGGAGCCAACAACGGTGTTCGGATTGAAGGTCTGGCCATGGTAGCTCATGGCGAGGATGCAGATCGGAGGGCGAGCGAGTGGGTGGTTAATTCATTTAAGAAAGAGGCGCGCGTATCACGAGTACCACGGACGAACATGATAGTAGTGCAGGAGGGAACCGGCGAAAGTGAAGGCGGCGTGAGGCTAAAACAAGATACAAGGTTGGTCGAGGCAAGAGCATGACTAAGTGCGTGCTTGGTCTCTGCGCCCTGCCGGAAACTTTTCTTTTATCGATAATGGCCCGTTCCCCACAACCACATCAAATGCTGATATTCTGCGCCGCAAATTTGTGATTTATTTAATAATTACGAAGATCACCATGGGACGCACTGGAAAATTGAAGAAAAAGTGTAAGATGAAGATATCTCCGGTTGATTGGTTTTAAAATAAAATCTAATCACTGTGTCTTAGCCACTTCCCTGAATTCTCGTGCTGCCCGCCGAGAGACGTCGCCTTCTGCCGATGTCGACAAATCGCTAAGATCGATGCCTCGGATTGAGGCATCGTCGAAATCACCGGCGATCCATGCAGTTCATGCGAGCGCTGGTATATCTAAGAAAAAGTCGAAGACGAAGGCAATATCGCGAGCACAGCGATTGCGCCAGCAAAAGAATATCGAGAGGGCGGAAGCTGTACTGGATCAACTCGAAAATAAGGTCGCGAAAAGCGCCGGGAGAGCAAAGATCGTAAAAGCTCGCAGTGTATGTGATACATTGGAGAGAGTCCAGTCAACACCACAGCGCTAACGTAGCTTCGCAGGCACAATGGGAAGACTTGAACAGCAAGAACAACATAGCGACCAAAATTCTCCAACAAGCCGAAGACAGTGATGATGAGCAAGTTGATCTACAGCAGTCTTCTGAGGGTGCCACAAATGCAAACCGCTCCGTTTTTGCACAACCTGGAGATTCTATTCCTCCTGCGGAACACGGAACTATTGATGAAGATGACGAAATTACCTGAGTAGAATGGACTATCTGCTATTGACGAGACCCCGACTACCTATTCTTTGGTCGAAGTTGATTGATCATGCGGTCTATCTCACCTACAGCTGAACCAGGTGCCTTTGTCCGCAATACCTCGAGGGCATTCATATCTTTGGCTCTCAGGGCTTCTTCTCCTGCCTTTACAACCATGCCGCATTTCATCCACATTTCGATTCTCTCAGCAGCGGGCAGGTTAGTGCATTTAGGAACGAACATTGATGCTAGTTTCGTGTTACCTGCCCCTAGAATTTCGTTATAAAATGGCTATATTCGGTGTCAGAAATGTAAACGGAATTATAGGATATAGAGAGATCTTCTAGACCACCTTACCTCCCAACCAATAGGAGACTTTTTGTTTTTAGAAATTTGTTCGAGTTCGCCCCAATCTCTTTTGGCAACTAAAGCACGTAATCGAGTCCACCAAAACGTCACGTCTGACATCTTAAACTCGCTGTATAGTTTTTGTGCTCGTTTCCCGTATCCAGTCTTGATCAATCGGTAGACGGTCTCATTGACACTAAGACCGACAAAGTCAGTGCCGTCAGATAACTCTTTATCCAGACTTTCTTGAACACGAAGAAGTTGAGTAGCTTCGGCAATGGACTTTTGTTGGAATTGTGTAGCGCCTTCTTTTGAATCCGTGAGTACACGCGAAGCTTGGTTCAATTTGTCGATTTTCGATTGGACATCGTCGCGTGACAGTGCCTCAATAATGAAAATATTAGATCCGTCAATGGGCCTGTCGTCCTGGTAATACAAGTCTTTCAAGAGTTCAATATCACTGCCCTTTGCCGATGTCTCAACTAGTGCTGCAGCTGTAGGTCTGTCATTGATAGTCCTGAAGAAGGTCGAAAGAGGAAGTTTCTTTTTCATATGCAGTAGAACATAGTAAATCAGATCCGTATCACCGCTTTCCATGGCTTTGTCAAGCGCAACGTCGTCTTCTTCCATATTAAGAAGCAATGGGACTTGTTTCCCAGCACGAGGTTCGTAGTTCAAAAGCTGGGTAGCGAGATGTGCCCTACCCTCGTCATATGCAGACTGCGCAACTGTCTCAAAAGAGATCCCTAGTTTTCCTTCTAGTCTCTGCACAATCAGTTTGCACAGAGCATCATCGCCAGCAGTAGAGACCTTGACCTTTTGGCACGCCCAGTGAATATATATCTTATCTGCTGGCATGCGCAGGAATTCTGAAATTCGTATTGCTAAGAGGTACTCGTGACGATTGATAAGTCGGTCTATCAATCTCTCTGGGGTTAGGCGTAGATATTGATCGAAGGACATAGGCATGCCAATCTCAAAGTCACGAACTGCTTTGAGCACTCTGAGTTTCTCGGTCATATCGACAAAGTCGTCGCTATTATAAAGATCTAATACAGACTTGCCAAAGGAAGCTGCTTTCAAAAGTCGCTTTTGCCAGTACTCGTCAAATTCATGACCGGCCGCTCGAACACAAACATCCACAGCTTCTGGGAGACTTGGTCGGATGCGCTGCATGATCTCATCTACTTTGGGAGATTTTTTATCCAAAAGATCCACAGAATCAAGAAGAACCGAAGAGGGAAAGGTAGATCCAAGTCTGAAGACATCCTCCGTGACAACTTTCAATCTGATTAGTGTATTGAAAGAGAATCTAACTCGAACAGGGGTACCATACCAGGGATTTTGTGGAAGAATTCGCAAGTCTCATTTGTTATGAGTCTTACTCCGTCTAGTTCGGGAATAACATGCACCCGTCCATCGTAGTAATGCCTTGCAAGTCAGCAAGAATAAGGAATCGTGGATAAATGTACTCACTTAGATGACGCACCATTTGTGCTTACTACATGTATTTCATCCTCCCACGCTAGAATGACGGCTTCCTCTCCACACCATTCCATAGACAACGGAGGAGTTTTTGCTTTCGAGTCGTATTCGCCGTGTTTGTTCTGGAAGTCGCTGCTCACGATCCACACCTTGCCATCTCCCGTGTAGAGAGCTACTAAGCCACCTGTAGTTGAAGAGGCGACATGCTTGAAAGGTCCATTTTGAAGCACCCGGTCAAGTGCCTCGGTACCATCAATGCCGTAAATGGTCTTATCGACAGCTAGTAGAACCTCGACAGTGCGCGACAAGGTGTAGGCTGGAGGCGTCAATGACCAAGACGACACTTCGCCTTCCGGGGACGGAGCGAGTAGTTTTGGCCGGGGCTCTTTGTAGTTAGAAACAGCAATAAGCTGGTTGTTGGATAATAAAGCCACAAAACCAGAGGACCAGAAACGGCAGGATCGAACGCCGTATTCTTCCGCACCCTTTTGAAGTTAGATTACTATCCCTAATACAGACATATATACATACATTGCCGAGTGAGAACGGTGCAAAGTCGCCGTGTAGACCAAAGTAGCGACGCACGGTGCCATCTTCGGTCACAGCGAGCAACTCTTCATTGTCGGACCAACCAAGTCCTTTGATCGCGCCATACTCCCACTATCATGTGTCAGTACTAATCTGATACGAATGAAAGTTGAGCATACGTTCAAGCGACTAATCAGTTTGCCAGAGTAAGAGTATATTTCTATACTGGCCTTCGATGTCTGAGCATCTCGGTATTGATACAGCCTGCTTTCATTTCGATAAAGCGCTAAGGCGCAATTAGCCTCACATTTGACAGCAGTAGATAAAGATGGAATATACCGAGTGCGCCTCCGTATGGTGCGCCGGCGACGATGTAGTTCTCCAGCTCCAAGTCTTCGTCGAAGACGGCCTCATACAATTTCACCTTGCGGTAGAATTGATCGCCCAGCTTCTCCCAGTCAGCGCGGGGATTGGACGGAGCCATGACAGTACATCAGCCCCAGCGTCATCAAGACGGCCTCCTTCGCGCGTTATAAACTTATTATCGTTATTAAACTTAATATTGTTGTGTTGCGCAGGGAAGAAGCAACGTCCGGATAGGCTCCCACGAGGAAGCTTCGAGGCTATTATTTCCCGCTATGCCTCATTTGCTCTAGCGTCTAGTCACTGCATTATTTGAGTCTATATCAACATCGTCAGTTGGTGGATGCATATACTCTAGCCTAGACCGCGTTCTAGTCGCGCAACACTTATGCTTTATATACTGTATGATCCATGGACCCACCCGCGATTGATTATCTTGTATCCAACTTGAGCGACCTGGAACTTGCCCTTCTGCTCTCTCTTGTCTGCCAGGAGCATTGTCTCATTGAAACGCCAGTCGCCAATGTTGACGATGTGTCTGGAGAGCTAGCTTTGGTATTTCGCCTTTCTTTTGTATATTCTTACTATATATTAACGTGTCCCAGATATGCGAACGGGCCTTTGGCTTGTCCTATGCTATTCTTGACTTCACTCCGGATACGTCTTTAGATGATTTTAGTAGTGGCATACTAGCGCCTGAACGGAGACGGGGTCGCTATTATGGTGCAAATGTAGATTCTGTACGTGCAGTATACTAGTCAGATCAACTTATATTTAACAAAGACATCTAATGGTTTTATAGGGTACCTCGTCCTCTCAAAGTCGCGCTCAATCTAGATTCCCCTTAGATCGAGCATATCTCGACGAGAGGAAAATCGTGAACGTTATTATCGCCAAAAATTTTAACGTTGCCAATGACAGCGTTCAAATACAGGCTCTTGAAGTATATCAATCAAGACTCTGTTGATTACTCTTATACTAATTCGTGACAGTTGATACGATCCAAACGGATATTCACTAGGAAATCCGTCCATCCTGCCCAAAAGACTTTTCTTTTCTTACCAGTGATCGGGTATAACGCAAGCCGAAGAAGTCATAATCTTCCTTTAAATAAGCATTTAGTGAGTCATCTCACGAGGACGTAACTACCTACCCTAACTCGAAACAGAACGATCACCTTCTATTCTGCCATTTCCATGAGCTTAATGCTGGATACCCCAACCTTGAAGACGACGAAAGCTGGATATCCGAGGATCGTGAGTCGCTTTCTTCAGTTGTGAGGAAACGCCACGGGGATGAAAAGTTGCAGTTTGGCAACCACTATATTTCTGAAAATGTACATAATGCATCTTCTGTTCGGGTGGATTTTGCGTTTGCTAATATTTCTCAGATAATCTCCGACCTACATCTATCAAGCAAAAATGTCTCGGTGTCGGCTGAAGTTGGCCGCTATCTGCAAAACATCGTGGTATTTCTGCGGCTCAACCGTGCTGTTGTCGGCGGAATATCCGCTAGAGCTACTAAGCACTTTTACCTTGTTGCCAAGTAAGATAATATATTACTTCATTTACTTTTGGTAATTTACTGACGAAAGCAGGGCTTTGGCTTCGTTGCATAGTATTGACTACCTCACTCCTTCAATAGTCGATCTTGCAGCGAAAAAAGTCTATCGTCATCGAATCAACATAGGTAGGACGGAAGATGATAGGAGTTTGCAATATGGAAGCCAGCCTGAGTCTGTTGAGCTGCTCCTAAGAGGGGTAGATGCTGATCAAGTAATTGAAACTGTTATATCTGAGGTTGAGTCGCCGTTATAAACACTGCCCTAGCTGTATACTAGGTTGCCTAGGATAATACCCTATATGTACTGACTATGCTTGCCTTGACATGAAACAGTCAAGTATTCAATGTACCTAGTCATTCTCTAGCAGAAATAATGTATAAGAATCGTCAACATCAATCAAGATAAAGGGGTAAAAATATGTTATAGTGAAATTCACGACTAACGACTAGATAAAGAGAATCTTGCAAACACACTACAAAGCCAACCTCTGCAAACGCCAGGCTTTGTTGTTCAACCCTCTTCCTATCTTCAACAACATCTATTTCTGCCAATCTCTGCCTGCTATGTGATCCCAACCCTTCACCCTCACTCATCAGTCTATCCTATCCATCACTATTCACAGCAATATCCCCATTCTCACTCTACACCAGCCCATCAAGCCATTGCATTTAAGCAGATATTCCACCATGAATGACCCCGACCCTCCCATATTCTACGTAACTACGCCCTCCCCTTCCCCCTCCCACAAACTAACCTCTCGAGCTAGATCTCCTCGCCCACCCTCCCATCCTACTACCCTCGCCATCTCACCGGCCCCGTACGCTCCCGCTACGAGGCCATCTACAGCCTGCACCACCAACTGCGCTCGCTCTGGGAACACCAACTACACTCACACTGCGACACATGGACACTTCGCGCCGCGCACGAGTTCTGGTGGCACCACGGCCCCACGACCATCGACGGCCGCAAGTTCGCGTGGATTCCGAATCAAAACTGGATTCTAGACGCGCTAGACAAAACACACGCGCAACTGGATGATCTAGAGCGGGATGCAGAGGAGCGCATCCGTGCGATTAGGTATGTGACGGCGGATTTCGTTCGGAGTGGGCGAGTGCAGAGATCTGAGAGGCCTCGTCGGGAGCTTGGATGGGCGAAGCAAGAGCCACGGCGGCAGAGTGTCAGTGTTGAGGTTGAGAGGATGGTTGCTGTGCAAGACCCGTTTGCGAGCCCGACTGTTCACAGTCCGGGTCTGAACCCACTTGAGGATCCAGCGCTATCCCGCGATGGTGGTGGCCGTACTGGTTGTTATGAGAACCCTATTGTTATTTCGGATGAATTTGATGGGAGTGTAGAGCACGGCAAAGGCGGTTCGTCGATCGATAGGTGCAGATTCTCTGACGCTCCATCAAAGAGAATATCTCGCCGGAACAGTGCTCCTGAAAGCTTATCCATTGTAAAAGAGTCTGAATGGACGGGTCGCCAGCGAAACGAAAACAAGCCCGAAGCGATATTGCTAGACATCTCATCGGCGGAAATCCAGCTCCCCTCCACGACTTCCTCGCCGTCGAAAAAACGGATTCGCGATATCGACAGCGAAACAGAGAGTGTCCGAAGCAAGAAGTCTCCTAAAATGGGCCAGGATTCTCCTTCAAGATGGTCGACGGCGGCTACTCCTAGCCCGCGGCAGGGGGGTTGGGATGCAGTGGACAAGGAGATGTTGGTATTGGAGGATGAGGTTGTTTCGATTTCCATCGATTGTGATGTTTCCACCGATGGGACTATCTGAGAGCCAATTTCGGCGGGCTAGGAAGGATGGGATGAAAGGCTGCTTCGCTGGGCTGGTTCATGAATGAGATGTGTAAATTAGATATGGAATAAGATAAAGTTATGTTCAACATTGGTAAATGCCTGCATACTTGTTCGAGTAGCAGTGACAAGGCAACAGAAACAGAAATTAATACATCAACCTCACCCACAAGCATCATTCCACGTATATTTCAGTACATTCACCGACCGTGGCCTGTCCTCAAGAACAAATCCCCCGGTTGATACTTTTTACTCGCACTCGGCGGCGGCGCTGACTGTCCATCTCTATTCTGGCCCTGTTTCACAGCAATCTCCGCTGCAGCGGTAACGCGCCGCCACTCAGTCAAAATAACCTCAATCTCCACGTTTGCGTCGGACACGATAGCGTCCATCTTGATATCGTTCCGATCATACCCAAACGGATCTTCGAGCTGCGAGCCGATGCCCTCGATACCGTAGAGCGTGAAAATCACCAGGGTGACAATGGGCACAGACCACCAATCAAGCTCGTCGACCATGGCGAAGGGGAGAACACAGCCGAAGAGCGCAAGGACTTGCTTTTGATGGATTCTGTCTGGTCAGCGTGATACAACACGCGCATAAAAAGGATACTTCTTACAGATGAGCAACAGGAATCGGAGTCATTTTAATAACCTCCAACGACCCAATCGCCTGCGTCAACGCCCCAAGCTGAGCCTGCATCTGACTTGCTCCAGGGGCACTGAACCATTCCCGCAACACGCCACGCTTGATAAAGCTATCAACGAAAAATGTTAATTGAAACGGCAGTCCCAGGCCATCCTGCTCATGGCCCTCCAAGCCAACAGGCAGCAGACTGGCATAGACGGGATTGAACACGGTCTCGCCGACTTCATCAATATCCTGCCCGATTCTGGCGGCCCATGCGGCGCCCCATTCGGCGCGGAGATGGTTTTTGACGGCGTAGGGAATGGCCATTAAAAATCGCACGGTGCGTTCGATGTCATCTTTCTCTTCGGCGGTCAGCGGGCGGTCGATTGTGTAGGAGTGCGTCAGGATGTTGCGCACGAGGTTGCGAACCGAGGTGTGCACGGTTTGCACGCCGTTGCGGCCATCCCAGAAGCGGTTGTATGATGTCTGATTGCGGAACACGAGCATCAGACCGACGACGATAGAGAGGGAGGGGATCTATTGCAGTTAGAAGGCAAGCACAGCGAGCTAGAACGCAGAGCTAGAACAGAGCTATGTATAGGAGACATACGATGGTCGACGGTAAGCCGACGGTATTAAAGGCATAATGGTCGAGAACCACCACGATAGCGGTGAACACAGCATGGCAGATGACGGGGATCAGGATGGCGCCGTGGATAGCGCCTTTGATGAAGCGGAATACCAGAGGTAAGCGGCGAGGCTTGGAACGGGTGGACAGCATGAACGGATGCGTTCCCGAGCGGAAATGGTGACGGCCTTGTCCTAGGCCGGGGTTAGTGGGACCTGTGGGCGTCGTGGGCTCACTGAAGCGCATGGTTATACGCCGATATATGTGTAGGTAGTGGTATGAATTAGGAGTACTAGTATGGAGATGGTGTTGACAAGCGGGGAAGCTCCAGTATTACGGTAATACTATTACCCTTGTACCCACGTGTGAAATGCGCTAGTTTTGATCCAGTTAAAGTTGATTGCAAAAACGGGGCATGCTCTTACGGTCTTCAACTGTTTCCAATGTCCCATTGCCAGTAGATACTAAACTATGTTTATAAATTATTGTGATATCCCTAATTTCGATTTCTATATTATATAGTGCTGAATATTTTATAACTCAAAATATTTAATTACATATATTTATGATACAAGTGTTACTTTATATAAACATTCTTCTACTTGTGGATGATCCTCCTAGAAAATCATGTAGATTATCCTTTAGTGACGTGTATTGCTACTGTACTCAGATGGCTCTAATCTAGAATCATCAATCTGAGGGTTTATTAATGGCATGATTATGAGTAATGACCTCATCACACCTCAGATAGCGGGAGTTGCTGACTGCCATCCGAGTACAATCAGAAAACATCACTTTTGACATTCACATTCACAAATGTGGTATTAAAGCATAGATCTGCTTTTCCAATACATTAGTTAGTTGGGTGGTTGGTTGGTTTCATTTAACCCTCTCTATCAAACGATATGTAGTCTACCACGATTATTACCATCCTTGAATCTGCTTCCATTATATAACAGTTGAGCCTGAACGTACAATAAGCGGAGATATTCCAAAGACAAACGTTCGCTGTGCCATTAAATTCGATAAAGAATACGAGGAAGTTAATAATGAGGGTATAGTGCCTCAGCAAGCATACAGGGCAAACTTTATTTGGATTGTGTATCTCTCTCCATATCTTTATATATGCAGGAGAGAATAAATTTTTGGAACATAAATATTCTAACGCTTTACTTTATAAATATTAGAGCGAAATATATTAGGGTTTTGAGAAACAATTGAAGTAAAAGCACACACCACTTTTGCAATCAATTGTAGCAGATTTAAATGAATAAATTCAATTAGCTTCAAAGCTTCTAATAGTTTATTAAAACATTTAACTAACCTAAAAGCATTTAAAATTTTAGACAATCTGCTGGTGGATTCGTCGACGCATAGCTTCAGGTCCAGCATAGAGGTATTTTGTAACATGATGTATTCAAGGTGCAGATGTGGTTAATTACCATTCAAAACCACGCTACATTTTAGTGAAGTTGAGATTAAGAAGGCAATCCTGGCAATTTATTATCGATACCGAGTAGTCTACTATCTAAAAACCATTCTAATAACATGGCTACCATTTTGAGGGTTGGCCACTAAGGAGTCTCATTCTGCAAGAAACGCACAAGCGAGAAAACGAAACGCTCAGATTTCTGCCATGATATACTCCTTCCAAACTCGAAATCCAACCTTGCCGTACCATTCGACTTTGTCTGTCCAATCGACAAACACCTTCTCAACGCCACGAGCTTGCATATTCTGGATTGCGTGGCTTATAAGCGCCAGCCCAATGCCTTGGGATCTCCACTCTGTATCCACACCTACACAACCTATCAAGCCAGTCTTCGGCCCTAGCAGGGGCGGGAATGCCCACTGTTGTTGGAGCAATTTGTTGTCTGGCGACAGCATGAGAGTCCATCCGATCTGTCTGCCTGTAGAATTGAAGGCAACCATGACGCTGTTCGGCTCCTGGGAAGGGGGAAGAGAGACGAACGCATCCACCCAGCCCTATTTTATCATATTAGCAAAAGCACAACCCTGCAACAGTTGAAACAAAAAGGGTGGGAGGGGGAAAAAATATGGTAAAGAAAGAGAGGACATACCCCACTGTGGCCAAAATTCTTCTTTTGTAGTTCAATGCATGCGTCGTATTCGTCTTGTTGTAGTGGTCGGAAGGTGAAACCTCTCTCCGCAGCCCGTTCGAGATATATGTTAGAACCTTCAAACTCCGTGATATCTTGAAACATATCTACATCTCCTTCGCGTACCAGTCTAGCCCCGCGATGGACAAAAAATTCCCTCGCATTTGGCAGTAAGTCGCACGGCAACCCAGGCCAGAAGCGAGGAAACCCACTGCCAAGTTTGAAGGTAAACAGCTGATGCTCCGCTCGGAGTATTTCACGGATTCTCGCAAGAAGAGCAGTGCCAATACCTCGGTTTTGGTGCGATGGCGAAACGGCAAGGACAGCAATATGCGCTGTCTTTTGCTGGGCAAGAGGCGTAGCTGGTGTAACGAAGGCTAGAACAAAGCCCACGACACTAACTCCGTCCTTTACCACTAGATGTCTCCCACCTGGAGCGGATATGAGCTGCGAAAGCTGTGACACGTGGAGGTTATACGGTTGGAAACATGCGGCCCAAATCCCGCCAATTGCATCTAAGTCATCGGGATGGAAGGGGTCGATTTTGAACTGAATATCTTTTGCACTGGAGGTATTTCCAACTGGTAGCTTGCCCTGTGAAGTTGCTTTACCATAGAGAATCTTCACGGCTGCAGTGAATGCCGCAATGGTAGGTTCGTAGGTGGCTAGGTACGTATGCACCACTTGATCGTCTAGGAAGTCATACGGAGCACATGTTGCAATATGGACGACCTTCAATGCTCGACGAGCTACCTCTAGGCCAAGCTCGTGCTGATAGGGAGACTCCATTGCATTGCGAGTTGCAAAAATAACGGTTCCCGCATCCTCTATCTCTTTCCATTGGTCGCTTGATAGACCATCTTCATCATAGCGGATGTCAGTCACATTGGCATTATACTCTCGTAGCACATTTCCGAATAAGGCGGATGTATGCGGTACTCTGGATTTGGTCTCATCAATACCACTGTCTACAGCGCCTCCAGCTGGGATATTACCTCCAGGTGAAAGGAAGACCGTTTTGGCTGTTGTCGAGAGAGGAAGAATACCCGACTGGGATCGGATCAAAGTGACCGCGCGAGCATAAGCCTCCTGGGAGAGTTTTTCATTTTTCTCATTTATTCCGGCCAAAAAGTTTTCATCTGGATGGCTCAAAGCCTCATCCCAAGACAGAAATTTGGATTTAAGAGCCTTAAGCCTATCCGCAGAACTGTCGATGCGCTGCACAGTAAAATTTCCCTTCTCGATCTCTTGACAAACTCTGTTGATGGCGGCGGCCTGGACGTCGTATGTATGGCAGATCATGATACTATCACTCCCGGCTTTCAACGCCATGACTGTTCCGTCAACGGTTCCGAATGTTGCTCGAACCCCGTCCATTTCCAAACAGTCAGTAATAATCACACCGTCATACTTCATCTCCTTGCGGAGAATTCCGAGCGCAGTAGGCGATAGGCTCGCCGGTAGTTTATCATCTCCGATCCCGGGAAGAGCGATGTGCGCCATCATCACCGTCTCAATCCCCTCTGCGACGGCACGCCGAAAAGGAACAAGCTCACATTTTTCCAGCTCCTGGCGCGATTTATTGATAACTGGCAGCCCAAAGTGCGAGTCTACGGCCGTGTCCCCATGGCCAGGGAAATGCTTAATACTTGGGACGACCTTTTCTTCACGAAGTCCACGAGCCGTGGCGCTGGAAATACTAGACACGAATTCAGGTTCGTCGCCAGGGCTACGTGTCCCAATTACAGGGTTCAATGGCTCCGAGTTGATATCCCCAATGGGTGCGTAATTCATATTGATGCCAAAACATCGCAATGTCTCTCCAGTCGCCTTTGCGACCTCATACGCGAGATGAGCTGAGCCCGCAGCCCCCAATGTCATCATGCCGGGCTGTTGCGGTGCCATGGGTGGAGAAATTCGAGTGATCAGGCCATTCTCCTGATCTAGCGCGATGAAAAGAGGCTGTTCATGACCTGCAGTGCGAGCTTCTTGCTGCAGAGCAAGAGTCAAAGCTTTCAATTGTGCCCCATTCTGAATGTTTCTTTTGAACAATATGATTGCTCCAACACCATAATCATGGATCATGGATTTGATCTCCGTGTCGACTTCCGTGCTGTGGAAGCCGACAGCGAACAGCTAATGTCGCAGTTAGCGACGACTAATTTACGGATAGACAATTTATCGATATCTCTCGGGATATGTCCAAAAACCTACCTGTCCAACCTTCTTGCGTAAATCTGGCATCGCGACTGCTTTGTCTTTTCATTGTACTTGTCCGCCTGGTATGCAGCTTTCTGGTCTCTTTTCTAGCCTCCAGAATTGTATCCTGGCGTCACATCGAACCCCTTTTGTGGATACCACCTTCCACTCCGCAAGATCTCCACGCTGCCCGTAAGGGTTGTTATTGAAGGGAACAATGCCTGCTTGTTTTGTGGATTGAAGAGTAAGAGTACGGCGGGGTCCGGCGAACCGGTACAGGTGCCGGTAAACAAAGCCCGGGACCACCGAGAGATTGTTTCCACATACCTATGTGGCTGGCCAGTTCTTCCCACCGTTACATTCCCTTGTATAAACCTCCCCGCATCCACGGTGGATCGATACCAAGAATTGCAGCTCTTATCTCGCTAGATAGCCGATTACAACTTTAACCACGCCCCATTGGCCTATTTTAGGCCGTTGGACAACATGGCCTCCAGTTCCACTTGCTAGATAAGCTTTTGTCATGTCAGACCTAACTACACCCACTTGCTGGTTTAGGCGAGGATGCTGGCGACCATTTGTTCTAAAGCCAAAGTCGCAAAGCCATTGTACCATTGCGATGGCCCTCCTGTTGTCAGCTACTAGCGCTATTGAGTGGACTAGCGAACTGCTACTCTGCCAGGTTGTACGGGGATGGTTGCTATCGGCACACTAGTGTTGTCTTACAGATGTCAACTGGCCTGTCTCATGCATGATCCATTATGTCACTCACATGGCAAAGATTGTATATAGCAGCACGCGATCACCTCGATTGAAGTGTTCTTATGGCCACACCGTGACCTAAATTTATTCCGTGTGAATCTCCCTGGTGTATCCATCTGTTCGACATGGAAATCGATGAACTTGAGGAGATCAGTCAACAAGACAATGATCACCATAAAGACGACCTCACTAAAGGTGGTGTAGCCACTGCAGTCACTGACCCCGATATGAACAAGAGCTTTGTGCATCAGTTTGGTGTTGATGAAGATGCTTATGAGCAGCCGACGACCTCACGGAAAGAGCTGTGGGCATATTATCTATACTATAATGGTAAACATTCTGTCATTGGAGGATTGGTACAAACTGTAGCAGAGTGGGTTAACATGTTATCGGTTCAGGTGACAACGGCGTCGGCCCTGGGTCATACAGTCAAAATCTGTAAGGAAGACATTCAGCAGCGAAGAGGAAGATAAAATGCTGACTTTCTAGCTTCCAATGGGCCCTGACTAACGCCGGCTACATCCCCGGCAGCGAACCTCCCCAACCATGTACCGCCTCTTCGGCCTGCGTGGTCCCTTGGGCCGGCGGCGAGCGCTCGACTAGTTCTGTCGTTCTTATTGCCAACGGTCTCTGCTTCACCTTCATGACCGTTATGTTCGTCTGGCTTGGCAGCGCAGCAGACTATGGCTCCTTTGGCCGCTACCCGCTTCTCGTCCTCACCGGCATCTGCTGGGCAGTACAATATGGCATGATGGCAATCCGGAACCCAAGCCAGTGGCCGGCTGCCATGGGCCTGTACATTATTGGGTACATATCGTATGGCGCTACGCTGGTTTTCTATGCAGCTGTCTTTCCTCGGCTCGCGCGATACATGCCACATGTGCGCAAGGCCCGAGACGAGGATTTGACAGAGGGCAAAATCTCCCGGGGTGAGTACGACATGATTGAAAGTTTGGAAAAGAATCACATCAGCAATATTTCCACGGCTCACAGCAACATTGGTTCGTTTCTTTCTCGCTCAAACCATCCCCGATAATAAAAATTAAGAAATCATGACTAGGGTATCTCCTCACACTGCTCATTAATCTCAGTGTGCTGCTTCCGCTCCAGAGTGAAGAATTTTCCAATAACCTTGCGCTCTGTCTGACCAATTCGTGTATGTATATGCCCTTTTGTCTGTGATAATTCGCCTCTAATTTCTCTCCTTTAGATTGGGTCGTTCTCGGCATCTGGTGGTTCATCTTTCAACAGCGCCGCCCCGGCCCCAAACTGCCCAAGGGATCCAGCTATTTCACTATCGGCTTCAAGCAGGTCTGGGGAGCTATACGTGAAATCCGCGCACTGCCACAGACCTTTCTGTATTTTGGCGCTTTCTTCCTTCTTGCCGATGGTCTCAACACAACCGGTAAGTAATACCTCGTGCAATCGTATTCACTCGCAACGCAGCGACCAGCTAACATTGCAATCCACCAACAGGTACCCTTGTCTCAATTATTCAAAACGATTTAGTCAATTTTTCCTTCTTGCAGATAACGTACCTTGGGATTGCGCAAGCGTGCTGTTCCATTGCCTCGACTTTTGGGTTTTGGTACTTCCAAAAGTACTTTAGGGTGAAGACAAAACCGATGTTCTTGGTCACCAACTTTTTCAGTATCTTTATCCCTTTCTGGGGAATGCTCGGCTTGTGGACGAATCGTATAGGCTATCACAACATGGCAAGTATTGATCCTGCCAGGCGTATGGGGATTCACTAACATAGGGCTAATAAATAGTGGGAGTTTTACTTTTATAATGTCCTATTTGGCCTGTTCCAGGCTCCTTATTATGCGGTGAGTTTCACATCTCGTTTTCATAAACCCCCCAACCTCTGTCTAACGTCATCTAATAAAATAAAAAAAATAAGTACTCCCAAACTATGATCTCTGAACTGATCCCTCGCGGCTACGAAAACATGTTCTTCGCCCTCTTCGGAATCACCAACCGAGCCTCCTCTATCATTGGCCCCAATGTAGTCCAGGCGATTATCAACAACTCACAAAACAATTGGATGGGCTTTCCTTTCCTATTTGCCATCTGCACGGCGGCGATGATCGCGATTTGTTTTGTGGATGTGGAAAAGGGCAGAAAAGACGCGCGCAAATTTCTTGAGGATAAGCAGATCGCGCGAGTGGTTGTTGAAAGCGGTCTGCCGAAGGAAGGAGTGGTGGATCAGATCGTGGGTCATACTGCGAAATAGGGCTAGAATTAAAGAACGATGGTTTAGCTGCTAATATGAGTGTCAACATTAAGCTGAGAAGCCCGCCATTCAACTGATACGGTTGAATTGATCGAATTTACATACAAATATAAAAACTTTGAAAATCTATATATTAATTAAAAAATAGTGTTTGTTTTACTCTGGTTCTGACGCGTGATAAACGAAGCCAACGGCTAATCCATTTTCAAACTTTCTTATATTTCTACTTTCTAACTTTCCATCAAGCTTAACTAAACATATCTCAGCTTCTCAATTTACTCAAAAGTGAAAGAATAAAATGGACTAATACAAGTGAGGTAGAACCTCTTGTAGGAAATTATTTAAAGATGGAAGTGCAGACTGTGAGAGGCATCCGACATCTTCTTTTAAGGCAGGGCACACTAGACTGACATCGAATATATTCTACCCAGAGATCACTCTAAAAGGCGTATAAGATTAGAAGATCCTTGAAATATTTGCAATCAAAGTAAGTGCAATGTATGAGAGAAAAAAGCCGGTAATAAAATGTATGTCAATAATATTTACAAATTAGGTAAAGAAGCATACATCAATCTAGGTCTAGATCTCAAGAGAGGACTTGAAATAAGACACAAGTTGTACAGCTAGGATATGAAGTATTAGCTTACCAGCTATTAATGTTAATCAGACGGTTATTTAGAACACCACGGGGTCTAACCGTCCACTCGGCCTGTGATCCCTCAAGGGCTGCCATGGTTTTTAGCAGACATTCGACTCCGTTGCGTAAATTGGGGTCTTGGTTAAAAACATCAGGTCTCTCTGTTTATTCTCCAAAAGTCTTCGCAAGATCCCTGGACAGAGCGGGGTAAGGGAACTTATGCATCAAGAACCCAGTGGCCAGCGATCAGTCTTAGAACCAATCTCTCAGCACTACCGGCTATTATCAGAGAAATCTCACTCGTGAGAGAGCTCAAAGATGAATACATTATATTACTCTAAAATGTAATCCATACCGAGACATAGCTACTACTCATCTTCCAACACATGAACGATGACGTAAAAAGATACTCAAAGTTGAACGGTCATCATGGACGGCTTGACTCCGCTGTAGTGAAGCCGAGTTCATATATCAAATTACGCTTTCGGACCATTCTTATCATAACACTATTCAGCACACTTACCCAACCAGAAGAATCAGACAGAAACAATCATTGGCATGCTGAGAGCAATGGCTATTCTAAATAATTTTACATGATAGCGGACGATATTTATGAGAATGGTACTAGATACATATGTATGTAATACATGTAGGAATTGTCTTGAATCAAGCACATCTGAAACTGGCAGCGGAATTCACGTCTCCCCCAATGTATTCCGCGCGTTGAGGATAGGCACAGACTATTCTCTTCGCCTTGGCCTCATCGTTGACTGTTGCGGGGATCGAGTCAGGCGCCTTTCCATGCTCGACCCAGTTGACCAATGCCCCAAAAGGGTCATCCGGAATCGCGCCAATCGTGCTCCCAAACCCGCAGTGGTCAACACCAGGCGCGAAAAACAGCCGGAAGAAATCATTCGTTTTGTGCCTTCCTCCCATCAGACGTTCAACGCGCGTGCGGTAGTCGACTGTGCCGCCAGGAAAGATGAGTTGGTCGGACAGTCCCTGCCACATGAGCAGCTTGCCGCCATGCTGGTGGAATGATGACAGGTCGGCCTCGTCTGTTCCGATGGTGCTGTCGTAGTCAATGTAGGATTTCCAGAACAGGTCCACAAAGGTCGTGGCGTTGATCTCCAGCGTGTTGTAGTCGGGGTTCCGAACCACGAAATACTTGATCCATTCATCGTTGACGAAGAACGGGTATCCAGCGAGCGTACCGTTGACAGCCGCCGTCGTATTCACCAAGCTGTCCAACGGCGCACCGGCATTGAGTCCGTACCACAGTGGTCGGCCAGAGGTGTCCACTGGGCCCTGAAGAGCGTTTGCCACAACAGTAGCAGCAGACTTGGTGATGGTGACCTTCTTACCGTCACAGTCAACTTCTTGTCCCACCGATTGGTAAGGGGTGTAGTGGCATTTCTCAGGATCATTAATGATTCTATCCTTCACTCCGTCGAGCCCATCGCATTCAGCAATCGCCGTATCCGAAAAGAATTTCAATTCACATGACGAAGGGAATGTCTGCTCTTGCTGCATGATGACCTGTGGCCACTGCTCGGCAAGGACGTATTTGGCCCAATTGATTGCCGGGGCTCCGACCGAAATGCCATCAAATAAGTCGGGATATCGCTGCGCAGCGACCATTCCCTGTCGCCCACCTGTCGAACAGCCATTCCAGTAGGAGTATTTCGGCTTTGTGCCGTAGAACTGAGCTGTCAACTCCTTGCCCACGACAGCCATGTCGTGGATGGAGCGATACGAGAAATTGATCAGGGCGTCGAAATCCACAGATCCGTCTGCCTTGAGCGCCCATGGACTCGGGGTCTCTGGGTTAAACCCGACACCAGCATCGGTGGATGAGGAGGAGTACCCGGCCTTGACTGTCGGGCCAAGGGTGAGGTCGAATTCACCGGCGGCATAGGCCGAGCCACCATTTGCTTGGAACCTGCCGTTCCAGTCTTGGAGAGGAAGCCAGACTTTCACTGTAACTTGATCCTTGGCACCGGCATGTGTGAGAAGGACGGTGACGTCGCAGAAGTTGAGACCGGATACGGGAGAGAGGAGAAATGGACGGAGTGCTGGAACTGTGTAGTTCCATCGTTCTGTTCCATTGATTGAAAGCACAGTGGCTCCGGGAACGTTGGGAGCAGTTAGGTGCTGGCAATCAGTTTTGTGCGTCTGCCCAGCTGCTAGGGCAGCAGAAGCTAGACTGCTGAGGAGTAGAATGTTCATCTTCGAGACACTAAGAGGGCGGTCGTGTTCTCGAATTCTTCTTGCCAGTATCAAATGAGAGGTAGGCTGAATTTATAACTCCCAGGTGCTCGCCTCTAATATATCTAGTCTACATCAGGATAATAACTAATTTCTAGAATTCTCTGGTTTAGACCATATAGGGTATATGATGATTCTTTGGTTTAAGCCATTTCAGGTATATGTTTGTCTGGGCAACCAAGTTATTCTTCAAAGACCAAGTATGTTATCAGAATAGCTAGTCAGAATAAACTCCTGAGGCTTGGTTTAGGGCTGACAGGCCATAATATTACCCAGCAAAATGGCCTACCTCAAGGCAGTGCATTCATGTGGTAATTTACGAAGCTCTAAATATACTTCGGTGCTCTATCGGCCCCACTCCGACAGGTCAGTTTTTAGGCTGGTTTGAATACCCCTAAGGTTTCGGTTACCGGTAACCTGCTGACGGAGTGTTATTTCATGTATTAACAATGCTGAACGGCTGTGGACGAGGAGCGGACTTTCGCTTTCGGAGTTAGTGGTTTACGTATATCAATTGATGCGTAGTAAAATAATATTCATGTATCGATTGATGCAAAAACGAAGAGAATACAGAGATGTGAAACTAGCCGGGCATCGCTAAATTGCAATAATACACAAATAAATCATTATAAAGCAGAGAGAAATAAACCAACCCACCTTCTTCTCGACGCCAACAGGCTATGCAATTCGAACCTTCCGTGCAGATCCAAGAAAATCAATCCATGTCCAAGACAAGATAAGGTGGACTAGATACGCCCGGCTCGGCCATCAAGGGCAAGAGGACCAGTGTCGTTTCGCGGCGTCATGGGGTTGTCTTCGAAATTCTCGGTGTCTGCAGGCGTATGCGAACGGGAATCAGACTGTCCATGACGAGGTGACGAGGGAATAGGTATATTAGCAGACCGGCTTGTAGACTGCTTTTGTGTAGTAGAGTCTGCGGACGCTTCTGTGCTATCCGGATTCTCAGCATCCTGCATGGGAGTGTTTCTATCCTCCAAGTCCATGTTCTCGACAATGGCGACAAGTTCGGTATCCCCTACTACAGCCCCGTTAGCAGGGTGCTCAGCGACAGGATCGCTTTGGCCTGTCGTCGGGCTACCATTATCTGCGCTCGCCGTTTGTTCAACCTCCATCTCGCCATTGTGCTTGGAATCGTCTTCAAAGTCGACGGTGTCGTCTACTTCTGCATTCAAGTCAGTCCAAACACGACAATTTGGACATTGAAACATTGGATAATCTCGCGAGTGGATCAGTCGGCTGATGCACTTGTAATGCCAGACGTGCGCGCAGGCTGCCATGAACAGACACTGGTAGGGCCGCTGTACACAACCAGTGTTAGCAGCTATTTTTATACACGGGCGGCACCAGATCAACTCACCAAAACAGATCCTAAACAGATTGAGCATTCCCTACAGCCAGCAAAGTCGGCGGCTGCCTTGCCTTTGCCCAGGTTGTTGATCAGGTTTTCTGTGTTTTTGCTGTATTTCACATTAGATACGACGGCTTTTCCTTTCTCGCGGTGTAGATTGACATACTTGAACTCATTCGGTCTTTGCTGCCAGGTCCGGTTGCACTCGACCCTGATACGCACACATCGAAAAATCATCTCCTCGCCGCCCCTGAAATCAATTCCCAGCTGGACAATGTCTCCATCGCGGACGGCGTATAGTCGCGATGCCTTGTTGGGCGGACTCAGGCGGATTCGGTTTAAAAAGGTACCCGATGAGCTGCCCACATCCTTGAGATGCCATTGCCCGTCGACAAAAGAAAACTCGCAGTGTCTACGACTCACAACCTTGGACTTGAACCCAATTGGCGCATCTGACGGCTCTACGGGGTTGGCGACCGGCACACCATCGCGCTCTGAATATCGGCCCACGCGAATGACGGACTCTTCGGACGGCAGGTTGCGGGACATGGAAGAAAACTGCAGCGATGGGCGCGAGGTTTGGTGCGGGTCCTGGTAGGGAAAGAAACGGATGGTGTTGTTCATCTTGGATTTGGCTGTCGCAGAATCGGCGTCTGAATTGACGGCCGATTCTGAGCCAGATGGCTGGTCGTTGTTCGGTGCGGGAGCCACGACGTCGACTCTGGGCGCAGTCTGCGTCCCGAGGTCGGCTGGGGCATGCGACGGTATGGACTGCGAGGACTCTGACGAGCCTGTGAGGATGTGGTCGTGCAGCTCCGAGTTTGAGCTGAGGCTAGAGTCTCGAGCCGCGGGAGGGCTGCTGGCTGGGGGTAGCGCGGCGGCCTGAGGGTCGGAAGGGGGAGAGGATGAGGAGAAATGGAAGGGCGACGACAGGGCGACGACGCGGCTCAGGCTGTTGCGATGGCGCCTGGTGCCGGTGCTGGTGCTGCTGGTCGGCGACGTGGGCGAGGTTGGCGACGATGCTGTTGGGATAAGATGGCTTTGTGTATACGTGCGGAGCTGGCTGAGGCGGCGAAGTCGTCCCGCACGACTGGTCGAGGCAGAGTCCGCAGAAGCAGCCACGGATGTCGACATGGAAGAGCAGTCTATGATTCCGTGTGCATTGAGACAATTCCAGTAGTGTATGTTATTCAGGTCCGCGTCTTGCTATTGTGTGGTAGGCCGGCTGATTGGTGGTGCCGGGTAGGACTAGTTGTTGTAGGACAGGTGCTAGGAGGGGAGGGGAGAGGAGAGGCGAGGAGAGTATAGAGGGTAGAGAGCGAAGGATAGACCTCGCATTGAAGCGATCTCGACTGTGGAGGAATGAGGAGGAGGAGGAAGCGAAGAGAAGAGAAGAGATTTCACTTTCACTTTCACTTAATTAGAGGCTTGCGAAGGCTTTGCGCCCGAGAGGCAAAGGGGAAGAGCGACGCCGTCCGTTTATGCAGCTAGACACGCAGCCCCACTGTCTATACACCTGATATGGATCTTAATATGGATATTAATATTTACTCTTTCCTGCAAGTTACTCTGGTATACTATGATTATGTTGTGTTGATGTACATATGTAGCTGGTGTATGACGGATTGTACCTTGTCACAACACCAGTTGCTACATAAGTAGCTATATTTTCGTCTTCAGCATCAAATACTCAATAAATACTCATTAGTCGAACTCTACATAGTACTTGGCCGTCGTCATGTATTGTGTATGCAACCCTCACGTGCCGCTGACCCCGCAGTCTGGGGTGGCGAATTGAAGCCGACCGAGTTCTCTATACTTGGACAGGTCAAGTCAGTCAACATGTACAGTATATATATATCAAATATATATATGTGTGTGTATATACTGTGGCGTGCACGGGATCTCGGACGTGCCAACATCTTTGACCTGGCATCAATAGGAGCACTCATCACATATATATATATATATCCAAATATATAAATAAGTCGGTATGCGATGCAGCATAATAATACTGGTGTTATTGCCATCATGTGCAGCTGTCACGAGGGGGGCTGTTGCTATGGAATCGCTTGCCGATGTACCAGGATGCAGCAACTAATCGTGCCATTAGCCGAGCCATCATAATACAGATAATAATATAATAAATATCTATATCCCGTACATCGTAGTTATATTCTCCTATTGGATATATTTATAATAGTAAATTAGTTAGTTATTAATTATTCTTGTATTAAATATCATTAACTATCGTTAAAGAATATTTGGTCAAACTGTGGTCGCGAGTCAGACGGAGCTCCAAGCTAGCAACCAAACTAGTCAATCACAAGACGGCGTTGACATCCTCTTCCCTCCTCTTAGCTCTATCATCGACACCTCCAGTGGACGATTCACCACCACCACCACCACCGCCTCCACCGCTGCCCTCCGCCCTCATCCCTGCAGCTTCAACTTATTCTTTAATCGGCCGGCCACTTATCACAAATCACGCGCCAGCCGAGTCCGACTCATGGTCCTACCCGAGTCGATCGATCCTTACGTCGGCTCTGCCTGCTTACGTTGCTCCTGCCCGGTTATGCTTCCATAGACTTCAACACCACTGTCCCCAGTCCTGCATTGAAGCTGCTGCGTAGTCGATTCTCTTGACAGCTGCTCCTGCCTGGCACCCGTCCTGAGCGTCCGCCGGACTGCTTAGAGCGCCATGGCCAACGCCTGCCTAGCCTGTCTGACAACCGTCGACCGGTGGTGTCACATTTCCGACTGCCTGGGACCTCTGGGAGGGCGATCGAGAGATGGAATATACGAAACAACTCTGCAAGATAGTGAGCGGGAGGCCGTGGCAGACCTGCTGCAGTTTCTCGAAAATGTAATATCAATACGGTATATCTTTGTATGTCTTTTTTCATTGACTAATTTCCGTCGACAGCGCGCCGAAACCGACTTCTTCTCGGGCGAGCCTCTTCGCGCACTGAGCACCTTGGTATACTCCGATAATGTGGACCTGCAGAGAAGTGCCAGCTTGACATTTGCCGAAATCACAGAGCGAGGTTGGTCGGAACTAGCATGTAAGAAGAGCATGGACTGATCTTGTTTTAATTTCAGATGTACGCGAGGTCGACCGTGATACTCTCGAACCGATTCTTTCCTTACTGCAGAGCCCCGATATAGAAGTCCAGCGAGCTGCAAGTGCAGCTCTGGGAAACCTTGCTGTCAACAGTACGAGATTTTAGAGTCTAGTGATATGGTCATCGACTGACGGATACAGATGAAAACAAAGTTTTGATCGTGGCACTGGGTGGGCTCAACCCGTTAATCAAACAAATGGTGTCGCCCAATGTCGAAGTACAGTGCAATGCCGTCGGCTGCATCACGAATCTCGCCACCCATGAAGACAACAAATCCAAGATTGCTCGGTCTGGAGCTCTAGGGCCACTCACCAGATTGGCAAAGTCGAAGGATATGCGTGTCCAGCGAAATGCAACAGGAGCTCTACTCAACATGACACACTCTGGTATTTGCACCCTCCATGTCGCCTCCATGTCGCCTGAATACAAACTAATATTCTCAGATGACAACCGTCAGCAGCTAGTCAATGCGGGCGCGATTCCAGTGCTGGTTCAGTTACTCTCCTCTCAAGACGTGGACGTCCAATACTACTGCACAACAGCTCTCAGCAATATCGCCGTAGACGCAACCAACCGCAAACGACTTGCACAGACCGAGTCCCGCCTAGTCCAATCTCTCGTCCAACTGATGGACTCATCTACTCCCAAAGTACAATGCCAAGCAGCGCTTGCACTTCGGAATCTTGCCTCCGACGAGAAGTATCAGTTGGAAATCGTCCGCGCCAAGGGTCTTCCACCGCTTTTGCGCCTCCTTCAATCCTCATATCTTCCCCTCATACTCTCTGCGGTCGCCTGCATCCGAAATATCTCTATCCACCCACTCAACGAATCTCCAATCATCGAAGCAAACTTCCTCAAACCACTTGTTGATCTCCTCGGTTCAAAGGACAGCGAAGAAATCCAGTGTCACGCGATCTCGACCCTGCGTAATTTGGCTGCGAGTTCGGACCGCAACAAAGAGCTTGTTCTCCAAGCCGGCGCGGTACAGAAATGCAAGGAGCTCGTGCTGTCAGTTCCAGTCATTGTCCAGTCCGAGATGACTGCCGCCATTGCTGTTCTCGCGCTTAGCGATGACTTGAAACCGCAACTTCTCAGCCTTGGCATCTTTGACGTGTTGATTCCTCTTACAGCTTCCGACAGTATCGAAGTCCAGGGAAATAGTGCTGCAGCGCTAGGAAATCTGTCCTCCAAAAGTATCATACCTTCATACCCTTAATGTCCAAGGTGCACTATGCTAATTAGTTATAGTTGGCAACTATTCAATCTTTATCCGCGATTGGACACAGCCAGATGACGGAATTCATGGATACCTCACTCGATTTCTGGATAGCAGAGATCCCACATTCCAGCATATTGCTATTTGGACGCTGCTGCAGCTTTTAGAGTCGGACGACTCGAAGCTCGTCGAACTCATCTCGAAATCCGACGATATCGTCCAGCTCGTCAAGCGAATTTCCGACCGGAACATCGAGTCTGATGACGAGGAGGCAGACGACGGAGAAGGTGAGGTCGTTGCGCTGGCACGACGTTCTCTCGAACTTCTCGGCCAAGGGCCAAAGCAAACGCTGGTCGAGGGATAGCTGTCTCCTCCTTCCTCACCGTATGGATTATTCTGCACATTCTCCTGTGTTTTATTGTGTCTTTGCATTTATTGATAGCGATCTTTGACTGAGTCCTGCAGGGTCTTATCTGTCTGCAGCTTTCCCTTTGCAGGCATTTCTTAGTGTTGTACTGCATGTGTGGGCATGCTAGAACTGCTCGCTGACATTTGTAATAATGATGATACCTATACTTATACATTTCATACAGTTTCAAATTAAATTATTAATTTAGGTTATCAATATTATCCAACTAGTCCAGTTGTTGTTGCACATGTAAAGTTGAAGGCTAGGTTCAGCGGAGCTCAGACGCTAAAAAAAAATTCCGCGGAGGCTCACTTCACCCTCACCATCACACCACAACCAGCACATCGAATCATTCAATCATGGAGAAATCACTCCCAAAGCTCGCCATCCCCGGGCAGCAGCTCGCTCCCACATCTGCCTTCACATCTGGCCCCGGCACCCACATCCACAACGGCGTCATCTGCGCCTCGATCGCCGGACCCATCTTGGTCGAACAGCGCGCTAAATCCAAATCGACCCTGACCATCTCTCGCTCAAACATCCAATCCTCCCACTCCTCACCAACCACCGGCCTCGCCTTAAACACCCAGAAGCCCACGCAACTAAAACACAACACCCTGCCGGCGGTCGATTCCATCGTGCTCGCCCGCGTCACGCGCGTCCAGAAACGCCAAGTCACGCTCTCCATCCTCGTCGTCCTGGACCCTTCTTCCACCACCACCACCACTCCTTCCAGCGACAACGACAACCTCCCCGCCATCCTCACCACCCCGGCCAACCCCGAAAACCACAACACCGCCGACGAACTGCGCTTCCAGGCGCTGATCCGCAAGGAAGACGTGCGCGCCGTCGAGAAGGACCGCGTCGTGCTCGAGGATATGTTCCGGGTCGGCGACGTGGTGCGCGGCAGCGTGATTTCGCTGGGCGATCAGAGCTTTTATTACCTTACTACCGCGCGGAATGATTTGGGTGTTGTTATGGCCAGGAGCGAGATGGGGAATATGATGTTTCCCGTTAGTTGGAAGGAGATGAGGGATCCCGTGACGGGGGTCGCCGAGGCGAGGAAGGTTGCCAGGCCGTTTTGATGCCACATGGTTGTGCGTTTGTATCAAAATTGTCTGTATGAGCATGCCACCCGCACCACTTATTGCGTCCCCATCCGGCCGAGTTAGAGCCTAGATGCCGTGGATGCCTGGTCGGTCTCAGCTAGAAGCAGGCTCAGTGCCCGTCCTGTGTCTCGATGATGCTGTATAACACGCATCATTCTCGCTCTAGCAAAAGCGAAACCCGGCTGCCAGCTTCGAGTTGACTGTTAGATGCGTACTAGCTACGCATCGACTGACATATCTGCATAGGAAGTCAATACGATTCAGTCATATACTCTAGTTTCCATTATCAACTAACTCAATAAAGTGGTCAAGTTGTGAAGTTGCAAGCTGTGAAGTTGCCAAGTTGTGAACCTCTTCAGTATACATGGTCTTGACCGTCAATGTCAGCCTGTGTTTGTCATTAGAGGGATATTAAGTGATTGTCCGTTGGCATCTAGACTATCTATCTGGCTGCACAAATACATGCGTGGCAGTTGGATTCGTCACTACGGGGACATAGTATAACACATGTAGACTTTACACGACATGAGTTAGTGTAGATATAAAACCAACGCTCAATAATGTATGTAAACCAAACCTATATGCAACCGCACCCTGTACTTTTCTCTACCTAGTTGATCTTTGTCTATGTAATGTAAGAATCACCTCTTCAACGTCTTCTGCTTTTCCGCATCCTTGACCAACTTCTTCCCCGCAACCACAAGCCCCTTCCTAGTGCGCACCGCATCCATGTACCGTTTCGCTACATTCTCTCTATCCGCCAACTCCCCCAAATCTTCCAATTCCTCCTCTGTCGCCGGAACCCAGAAGGGGTCTTCGTCGAGGGCCTCGAAGCCCGCAAAGATCAGCTGCGGCGATGCAGCGCCGGACGTGCGTTTGCGGATCTCGTCCGAGAAGCCAAAGGATTCGGCGACGGGGAGGAGGGACAGGATTGTGAAGAAGGGCGTTCCTTCTTTCATCGTTTCCGAGAGGATGCGGCCGCGTCGTCGCGTTATTACCCCGTATACGCGGCCGAGGACTTCGGCTGTTGGAAGTTTTTAGTATTAACGGGAAAATGACGAAGAGGAAAGGGGAGGGAGGGGGGGGTTTACTTGAGGCTTGGATTTCGCAGCTGTACATTGCCAGTAAGATGCGTGGGCTCCAGTCGAGGAAGCCCTGAGATATAGACTCCCGAACAATCCGGATTGCTTCGCCGGTCAGTCGGCCAAAGTCAAGCGCGTGCTCGTCATCGGCGTGAACGGATATGTCCTCAAGGATGACGGCAATGCCCTGCACGGGTTCTTGACAGAGTGGGCCTTGGGCCGTGGCCAGTTGGAAGGCGTAGGTGATTTTGTCGGATAGGTCTCGGACTGTGACGGCTCGGCGGTCGAGATGGCCGTTTTGGCTGTCTTTTTGTTCTTCGGATAATCTATACAAAGTTAGTCGTGATTGAGGTTAGAGGAGGGAGATATTTACAGCTTCTCACTGGTGCTAGCCTGTGTAGCATCAATTAATAGGTTTGGTCCAACTCTTCGAGGTCCAAATGCAATGACCTTGTCGACTATGTCCTGTTTGAGATCCTCGTGTTTCGACTCTGCTAGGAGTTTCTGGAAGTCTTTCTTGAAATCTGCTACTGACAGTACATTCCTCTCAAGTGAATCAGCATTTTCGACGTCCCTGTTTTCGATCTCTTCAACTACTTCCCCAGCAGCGGATGCTCTCTTTTCCGAATGTATCCGTTTCAGAGTGCCCGCGTTTTTGGACAGATACTCCGTGACTTCGGACGGAAGAGGGATGACTCGTAGTTTGATGGTTAATTGCTTAGATGGGGAAACAGTGAGCACCCCTCCTCGCCCCAGCTCCGGATTTTTCGGGGCTGGCATTTCCGCTGCACTGACAATGCTCTCTCGATACGGCACTATGATTTCACCTGCTTGGATATCACATCGAGCAAATCGTTCCCGGAGATCCTTCAAGCAGCGTTCCAAATGCAGCTCTCCAGCAGTCAATATGACATGTTCACCGCTAGGCAAAACCTCGTATTGTGCACACGGGTCGCTTTGTTCTAGTAGCTTAAGACCGGTGATCATCTTGTTCAAGTCTGCCGGGTTAGCTGGCTCGAGGGCGACTCGCACGATCGGCGGGCTTGCCATGGTCACACCGGCCAGATTGATGCTGCCTTCAAGCTGACTGCAGAGAGTGCCCGTCTTGAGCACATGGCCTGCAAGCCCTTCTATCCCGAAAACGACGCCGGCCGGAACAGACTTGAGCGGTTCCAAGCCTCGGCCCATGAGTAGATATAGATTGGTGATGGTGACTTTTCGAGGTTCTGGATTGGCATGGGGATTGGCTGGCGAGAATTTTGGACTCAGGACATATAGAGAATCTCCGACTGTCAGCGTTCCGGAATATAGTCGAGCAAAGCCTATCAAGTGCTCCTTATCGACTTTTTCATCAGATTGTTGTTGGTCTTCGTCGTCTAGGCTCGTGCTGGCCAGAGCAGAAGTCACTCGACTAAACTCATCCGCCTGCTCGTTCGCTTCTGCCTGAATTTTAGCTATTTCATCGCGTTTCTTCCTTGCTAATTCCCGGGCTTCATCCGCCGTCAGCGTTGCCCCAACCCGTTTCGTGTTCTTTGGGAGCTCGCTTTCTGGAATCGCGACCATCTTGCTGACATACGCCACAACAGGATCGTTAATAGATGTTTTGAAGTTTACCATGGCATCTTTGATCTTTTCGTCGATGAACTCGGAGCCCGGGGAGTCTTCGATCATTTCGGGCAGTCGGGTTTCTTGGGCTGCCCGAGGACTCGGGAGATATTCCATCACTGACACAAGGACCGCTGTAGATAGAGGCAGCCATGCTGAAAAGAGCGTTGTCATTATATTCTTAGGGTCTCTTGATCGAAGGACATGAGGTGGGATTGTAATGTTCAATGACTTGGTGATTTTTTCGAGTAAGGTTGGATCTCTGCTTAAAGTTAGCATGTTCTTCATTTCAAAATGACCTGCATATACCCTTTCCCTTTAGCACCCCCCGTAGTAGCCTCATACGCAGCCCACACACTATCCAGGACCAGCTGGACGAACATGGGTTTCAGAGCACGTCCTTTGAGATGCTTCGATCCTAATACTCTCTTTGTCTTTGGGTCCAGGTAGAACTCGCCCCAGAGCACCTTTTCCAGCACAGAGCGTTTGATTCCGAGCTTCTTTTCGTATAGGCCTGCAAACTGTCGGACCGTAAATGCCCAACCGTCTGTCGCACTGCAAAAAATGACATTATTCTTCTCCGGCACAAAGTAGAGATCCTCGTCGTCTCTCTCCTCGAATTCATCTAGCTGAGAGTGTACCTCACTGTCGATATCCGATGTCACGCTCTTATCCTTATCCCGTGCAGCAGCAGCATTAACTCGTTCTTCCATACGTTCCCGCCAAAGAAGATCCTCTTCCATCCGCTCGCCCTGGTAGAAACTACCGATCACGGCATTTACTTGTTCTAGCAGCTTACTCAGATGCGAATACGCCTCGGCAGGGCTCATTTTGAGCTCGGTCACTAGCCGGTCCATTTTATTAATGACCAGCAAGGGTTTCAGTTTCTCAACCCACGTTTGACGCAAGACTGTCACGGTCTGGCTGCACACTCCCTCGACGGCGTCAACAAGTACCAATGCTCCATCACACAGCCGTGATGCAGTCGAGACTTCGCTGCTAAAGTCTATATGGCCTGGTGAATCGATCAGGTTGATTAAGTATTCCTTGGTTTGCGGCGCGGCATCTGGCGCTGAGCGTCGGAGCATGGAAAAATAAAGTGATATTGCCGAGGACTCCATTGTGATTCCTCGTAGTTGCTCGTCTGGACGAGAGTCCAGGTAGCGGATCTTGCCCGCAAGCTTGGGAGAGATGATCCCATTTGTCGCGATGAGACTGTCTGTGAGAGATGTCTTGCCATGATCCTGCAGAGCCGGTTAGCATTCAACATATTCGAGCTGGCACTTGGCACTTGTCTCTTGTTTAGATGCTACTCACGACGTGTGCTAAAATACATATCTGGCTCTGGAAGTTAGTGGTCTATAACAAAAAATAAAAAAAGATAATCGGCGGGGTAGAGGGGTAGTTCGTACATTTCGGATATCGTCTGGGTTGTGCTGCAGACGCACTAAATCGTCGACGTTGACCACAGGCATTGTGAAAGAGCGATTATTCTGGTCGGATGCAGCCAGAAAATGGTGCCTACAGTTTTTCTACACTGCAGCAGCTTTAGACATTAAACGAAGGTGTTGGTGGACAGCTCGGCGATGTTATATCGAGACTACTTTTTTTTTGCCATTGATATCGAGCGGGTTCCTGTCCTGCCGCTCAGAGGCGAAAGTTATGTTGAGCAATTATGAGTAAGACCCAGTAATACAACGGCGGAATCTCAATGCTTCCCACCCATGTGAGCAGCAATATGGTCAATTGATTGTAGGATTATTGCTCTCGTTCACACTTGCATGCAGCGACTCGCGCTTACGATTACATCATAGTTTTTCGACTATGGCTACGGTTCATCTGGGTCACGCTGCGCATGGTAATTATACAGATTTCTTTACAGAATGGCGTCCTTTCTATTAAGCCTCGTCAAAAGAAAGCTTGACTTTCTTTTTCTTCGCCTTTGGTTTACGTGTTGACGAACCGTCCTTGTGAGGCGCCTCGCCGTCCGCTTCGTCGTCGTCTGCGCCAACCACTTTGACTTGCTTTTTCCTCTTTTGACTGCCAATCTCGGCCAGGTTTTTCTGGACCTTAGGGCCATCTGTAGCAGCAGATTCTACCTCACCAGCTGCTTCTTTGGACCTTTGCGACTCATCGCCGCCTGTGCCAGTTCCTATTTCCGCTTTCTCCTCGCCCCCTTTCAATAGCGCTTCGTAGTCTTCTTTGGATATGGTATCATTCGTTTCTTCGTCAACGTAGGTTGGGGCGTCATCATCGTCGTCAGTTTTCGGTTTACGCGGTCGTTGGGAGGGATTCGCGTGACGGACGGAGTCGCCTTCGCCATATTGATTGCGAAGTTTTCGCAGAAATGCGGGCTCCTGGCGGTCTGTCACAGTTAATATCGTGTATGGTAGATAGAGAATGGAGGGTATGCACCATAGCTGAGATTCTTTGCATTGAACGCCATGATAATGGTCACCAAGCGATAAAACTACACGCCTAGGGAGGATTATGGTGTGGCCAATTTGGCAAGTCGTGTGATCAGTCAAGTCATATTCCACAATAATTCGAAGCCAGTCGGAGCCACTAATCGATTACACGTAATAACGACATGTACTAGTATATTACTATTCGATCAAAAAGAGTGTTAAGAGTCAAGAAAGTGAGTCTTGGTGTGGGAGTGGAGGGTGGTGGCCCGCGAATCAGAGGGCAGGCGCGGCAAGCCTTTGCGATTAGCCCGATCTGCCGCTGGAGCTGCAGCTTTGCTTCGAGCCGTAGAGTCAACCCTACAAAACCCCCTCGCGCGATTGTACAATCATGTTGTGTGCAAGTAAGTTATATTTTCCATGCGATGTTCTGCTTCATTGACTAATTTGCTTTTGCTCCAGTCTCGGGAGAAGCGCCGCAGGTGCCTGTCGTGTCGACGAAGAGTGGTAAGTGAAAAACGAGCACGAGAAAAAAAAAGACAAGACCTAATCCTATCTCAACAGGCAGCGTTTTCGAAAAGAGGCTTATAGAAGGTTATATTGCGGAAACTGGCAAGGATCCTGTGACGGGAGAGGATCTCTCTGCAGATGACTTGGTCGAGCTGAAAACTTCACGCATTGTCCGACCTCGCCCACCTACGCTTACCTCCATCCCGTCGCTTCTGGGCGTTTTTCAAGAAGAATGGGATGCGTTGGCACTAGAGACATACACCCTGCGCCAGACTTTGGTCCAGACAAGACAGGAACTCAGCACAGCCTTATACCAGCACGATGCAGCAGTACGAGTGATTGCGCGCTTAACCAAGGAAAGGGATGAGGCACGCGATGCTCTATCGAAAATATCAGTTGGCTCTGCCCGTGGCCCATCGACTGGCGACGCCATGCAGGTGGACAGTGCAGGGCTTCCTGATGCTGTGGTAGCTAGAATCGAAGAAACGCAGGCTCTGTGAGTCCACCCCTGAGTGTATTATATCCGACTAGTGTGCTGACTCGTATAGGCTTTCAAAATCTAGAAGCAAGCGGCCCATTCCAGACGGATGGGCTTCTGGTGACGCCATCCAGACTTACAAACCCACCGCAAGCTCTGAGCCTCTCTACCCCGGCGGAAGATCACTCTCAGTCGACTCTACTGGAGACCTAGCTCTGGTCGGCGGCGTCGACGGCATTGCCGGCATATATTCGATTTCGAATCAACAGGTTGTCCAAACCTTCAAGGTTGATGGACCAGTCACCGACGCGGTCTTTGCTGGATCCAAGGCCGTGGTGGCTTCTGCGACTGGTACCGTGAAGATCTTTGAGAACGGCGTTGAATCCGCCAGCTTTGCGTCCCATGCTGGCGAAGTCACGGCCGTTGCTGTGCATCCAACTGGGGATATTATCGGCTCGGTTGGTGTCGATAAGAGCTATGTACTGTATGACACAACGACATCCTCTGTTGTCTCTCAAGTCTACGGTAACGCTGGTATGTTATCCTTCGATACGTTGCGTATCATTATATGCAGGAACTAATTTATTAAATAGGTCTGCTTTCTGCCAAATTCCACCCCGATGGCCACTTATTAGCTGTTGGTGGCGCCGATGGACAGATTCACGTTTACGATGTCAAATCAGGCGCTGCTGCGGCCAACTTCCCCATGTCTGCTCCTGTCACAAATCTGGAGTTCTCGGAGAACGGCTTCTTTATGGCCGCAGTCACTGAAAACTCGACCGCCATCACCGTATGGGATCTGCGCAAATCTAAAATCCACAAGGTCTTGGAGACGGGCACTCAGATCAGCACGCTTTCCTGGGACTATTCTGGCCAGTTCCTCCTGAGCGGCGGGCCGAACGGACTGACTGTACAGCAATATACCAAATCTACCAAGGACTGGTCAGAGTCTCTCCGCAGTGCTGTGCCGGCGGTGGGTGTTGCCTGGGGGCCATCGGCTCAGAGTGTCCTGGCTGTCAATGCCGAGGGTGTCGTCTCTGTGCTGGCTCAGTCATGATGTGAAGTCATTGAGTCGTTGTACTTTTAGCTATTGTCAGTGTTCTTGTTCTCAGTGGGGGTTGTTCAAAGGGTCAGGCCAGGCCAGGCCAGGTCACATCAGGTGAAATGAAATGAATTCAATTTGATTTGGGGTTTGTGATAAAGCTTATTTATTTCTATTTGAATAAAAGAAAACAACTTGTGACAATCTGCCTGATAATCATGCCATGCACACACACTGCCAGCTATACTGCCAACTCACTAACTAATCAGTAATCCCACTCTGATCTATCGGATGCTCTCATGCTGGCCCGCCCCGTCTCCGCTTTTTGGCCACGCTTGTCCACTCACAGCCCGCCATAGCAGAGGCTCGCCCGCCGGACATAGTATTAATTATTATTACATACATGTATTACAGCGGACTCGGCTTCATCCGACGACCCCATTTTCAATCCCTGGCAAGCGACCGCTTCAATTCCTCGCCACTCCCTCTCCCATCGCCTTGTTCGTATACCTGCACACCTCACTCCAGGCTGCCGAACAGAGGTCTGCTATGAACTACGATTCCCAGGCCCAGTTCCTGGAATCCAGGTCTCGAAAGGTATATCTATATCCGTCTACCTGGCGGGGGAGAAAGCCCTCTTTGGCCTTTTGGCTTCATCTCTCATACTGAAAATCATTTTCTCAACAACTAGACTCCCCATCGTGAAATGCCACATTCACACCGCCAAAACTACTCCTCATGGCGGCATGGAGAATCGTCCAGCGCATCGTCTGTACCTCGCAACAGCCACCCTTTAAGCCTCCCACTGCCGTCGGCAAGATACCAAGGTGATGGATTTGATTACCGACGGCCGATTATGTCAACTACGTCGCAGACGGAAGACGTTATCGATTTGACAAATGAGCCAGATTCTCCTCCATCGCATCCATCTCGCCCGCTACCGTCTCGGACACAATCACTTCATACCCACCGGCCGCGCCACCATCGACCACCAAGGTTCGGAAGAAATATAATGGCAGATATCGTCGACCTAGACGACGAAGCAGATCAAGCTATCGATATTGATCCCCCAAGCAGCCCGGAAGTACAGTTCGTGCGAGCCACAGTACGCCCGCCGTCTACACCACGACGTCTCTTAGACGTCCTGAACCTTCGCAACGCCCAAGCAGGATATATGTCGCCTCACGCTCGCGAGGCCTTTCGCCAAGAGATAGCACTACGGACAAGGAGTATGGGTCGTGGGCGAACAAGCTATCAACCCACTTTTGAAGACTTATTATTCACTGGTGATATGAGTCCGAATATAGACCTTACAGTAGATCTGGACTACCAAGCGCCGGGTTTCCATATTCATGAGCCTACGCCACCAACTCCACCTCCGTCATACAAACCCCCTAGTCCGGTGCCGGAAGGATTTACAAGAACGGTTACCGACGATGATGTGGTTATTTGCCCCAATTGTGACCACGAGCTGGGCACCGGAGAGGGCCTCGAGCAGCAGGTATGGGTCGCCAAGCCATGCGGACATGTAAGATCCTCCATTTTTTATTTCTTATACATACGAGAGTTCTGACTTGTGCTATCAGGTATACTGCGGGGCTTGTACAAGTAACCGTGCCATGAGGAAAAGAAACGCTCTCTCATATCCTTCTCGGAGTAAGCCATTCTCTCGGTGCAAGGTTGCTGGCTGCGAGAAGCTGGTTAGCCAACCAAAGTCAATGGTCCAGATTTTCCTGTAATGAATACAATGATGACCGTTTTTGATGACTATGGCATGGCATGGATGGCTTATGGCGTTGCTTTCTTTTGGATGCATTTGGATATAGAGCAGAGTATTTGATTTTTTGTGATATATTTTTAGATACCCATTTTCTTTACACATGATATTGACTTTCAATTTCTAAACATCTTTAGACCGATTGAATGGTTAATTGATGAAATGGCACAGAACAAGCCTTTGATTATGCAGTGCAGACGGGTACTGAGCGCCTGCATATGTCTTTTAGGACGATGTTTTTCGGCTTCGAGTATTTGTCAAGATGATATGTCAACGTTGGTAATATTCAGGCCTGAAATTCAAGCATGCAATATGATATAATACATAGAAAAGGGCCAGTCCATGACGAGGTAATGCGACTCGCAGGTATAACTGGCACACACGACCAATCCCAAGATAAAAACTCCAAGTCTGCGCTGAAATCATGATACACATGTTTTTTTTCTTTCTTTCTTATTCAAATCATCTTCAAATCACCATGGTACGGTGACCAGATACCTCTGACACTCTCATTCAAAGACATAACTGGCTTCCTCTGTATCTTGAGTTTCTCGCCACTAGATTGCTTGAGGTAATTGACCTTTTCGAGAATCGCCTCTGGCTCGAAGCTGCGCACGCATACTGACTTCAGGCGGCCATTGACGTAGTGGCCCTTGATGACGGGGTGTTTATTTGGGCGAGGGGACACACGGAATTCGATCTGAGGGTTGGCTCGGGCGAATGCCGGCAGTTCTTCTTTGAGGAAGGTCCTGGAAACGGAGTTTTTCAGCATTCTGATTATTGCTTCGTCGGAGAGGGTGTTCATTGTACTTACAGCATCCCTTTGGAACTGCCGCCCCAGTCGCAGTAGGTAAATTCTAGTCGCTTGCATTGCAGGATGAATGCCCCGACCCCGTTCTAAAGATCCCATGAACAGTTAGCAATGGAGAGTAGTGAGAGTAGTCAATGTGCGAGCCAGCTCTTACCCGGGCTTGAGTAACCGCTTTCAGCCCCCGCACAGTCATGGTTGCGATGCGTTGACCTGGAGAGAGGGATTATTCTTGATCGTAGACTGATTCTCGGGCGTCTTTTCTTCGCGGCGGCGAGTGGCTTGGCTGTAATTGGCCGGACTGCCGGGCGGCTAGGCGGCTAACGTGGCTACGGACGGGTTGCAGTTGCCTGAGAAATTAACTGACAGAATGCTCCTTCCGAGTCGCGACCACAACTCGTTCGCAGTCATTCGTTCTGCACTCATCCTAGAAGTTAGAACAGTTACATGCATCACCAACTCCATTTGACCTCTCTTTAACGTCACACCGGGCCCCCTTCTAGTGGTCCTTCGACTTGAGGTGGAAAATGACCGACAAGCTGCCCCCCAACCTGCTCGCGCTTTTCGCACCGCGTCCTCCGCTCCGTTACATCCCCCGAGCGACCGCGCGCCCGATGATTGCAAGAAGAGCACTATTGGTGGTGTAGCTGCGCTCGTTGGAGAGTTGCAGAATTACGCCGAGGAAGTTCCTTATAATGCAACTGAGAGTTGGTTGCAGCGTCACGCTCGGCTGAGGCTTGAGAAGAAGGAGCGCATGGAACAGCTTGTTAATGAGGGAGTGGAGAAATGTACAACAACATTCCAATCTAGATGCTTGTTGATTAAATTGCTAACTTGAATATAGTCGATCCTTCTAATGACCCTCAGATTCGTGGAGATCCGTTCAGAACTCTTTTTGTCGCACGGCTGAGTTACGATATCAAAGAGTCGGATTTGGAACGCGAATTCTCGCGGTTTGGTCCTATCGAGAGAGTAGGCTGCTTAATCGAGCAATATTATATGGTATGCAAAGGCTAATCATACCACAGATCCGCATTGTCAAGAATTCCGAGAAGCCAAATCCTAAGAAACCACACCGAGGCTATGGCTTCATCGTATTTGAACGCGAGAAAGACATGAAGGGTAATAACACACTCCCCACCCCCCCTCTCCATCTAGGTGTCAAGGTACCTTGAAAAGTCTTGCAGAGCATATGGCTTTGATAATCGCTAGCTTCATTCCACATTGAACTGATTGCTGACACTACTGAATCTTCTCGATAAACAGCGGCATACAAGGAAACAGATGGCATTCGTATCAAGGACAGACGCGTGCTAGTTGATGTTGAACGTGGCCGCACAATGAAAAGTTGGCGGCCTCGGCGATATGGCGGAGGCCTTGGCGGACGTGGATATACAAAAGCCGCACCGGCTCGTCCAATGGGCCCTGGGGGTTTCACTGCGCCGTCTGGCCCCTCTGGCGGATTCAGAGGTGGATTTGGTGGTGGTAGGGGTGGTCCAGGTTTCCGTGGAGGATTCCGTGATCGTGGTTTCGGGGGTCCAAGGTCAGGCGTCGGCTACCAGGGTGGTCGGAACGGATTTGGAGGTCAAGGTCAAGCTCCGCCAAATGCCCCATCGGGTCCAGGAGGCGGCCGCGGTGGTGGTGATAGGAGAGGCGACGGCAGGTTTGATCGCGATGGCCGAAGGGGAACAGGCAGTAACTCAGAACCGGTAAGGTCTCGAGACAGCTATGGTGACCGCGATCGTCGTGATAGAGACCGCGACCGCGACAGAGAACGCGATCGCCATGGAGACAGAGATGGTGATCGCAGGGACCGCGACCGCGATCGAGAACGCGACAGATACGGAGGACGAGAGGATTTTTCTCGCAAGAGACACCATGATGATGACGGGTATGATGATCCCCGAGCTAAAAGAAGGTACTAAAGACTCGCCCATTTCGCGACCTTCCTTATCAGTGCCTTCTGGTGGGTATCCTTGACAGTCCAGGGTTGCTTCCTTCTCTCTTCTCTATTAAGGGTAAGGTCGACTGCAAATCGAGCATTGATGAACAACAAATTCAGGGTCTACCACGCTGTTATCGACTTTTACTAAGGACCCTGGTTTATCGGCCTTGATGTGGATGCTGACCATACCTGAATCGACTCTGATCTGGTTCATTCATGGTTTCCTTTTACTCTTGCATACCCATGCTCTGTTTTATTACGCAAATTGTCTGTTTATTATTGTCTCCCTTTCGGTGATGCTTTCTTTTCATTTTCATTTCATGTTAGGGTAAGTATATGTACTTTATCAAGAACGGGCACGCATACGACTGGGGTGTGGATGCATAATGCTCCTAGGTAAGAAATATAAGTAAGGACGATATAATTACCGCGGAGTTTGAAGGTGATGTATTGTTTTGCGGATTTGCATTGTCGAGGCCGTGTTACTAGGGATTTAGGTAAAAGTCACATTTCATACGGTCATATCTATTCCTATGAATAATCCATATAATGTATGTAGTCCTTAAACTTCAAACAGACAGGAGCGTTAAATCACGTATAAGCGTTTGCTCGATCGCTGCACGTCATAGCTCTGTTATATCAAGACTCAACAAAACATGACACTTTTATCAAGATCCCAGTATACCCTCAAAACGCCGTACACCTGAAATGCTCAAACCATTCAACGAGAAGAAAAGTAGTTACTTTACTCGAGCTCCATTTCCGCGCCCGACTTCTCTCGGATTGTGATTTGATGAGTGTCTCTATCCCATTGAGCCTTCATAACCACCCGGAATTCCGAGGTCGCCACGCCAAACATCTTCAATAACGTCGTCTGTTTCGAGTCCAACGTCTCGCCTTCACGACAAACAAGATGCCCTTCCTCTCCCTCCGTCAACTCAAGCATGACTTTCCCCTTAACAAGCCTCGTAGGCACACCCAGCTTCCGCAGCGTCGGCTCAACAGTGTGGCTGATCGGCTCATCCTCCGTAATCGGGATCTCCCCAGCCCGCGAATACACCACGCCATTAGGGATCGTGAATGCACGGGTACTAACCGTTCCCGCACGCGCATAATCAGATGGGGCGAAGGAGTCAAAGTATGCGAGGACGTCGTCGGCGGATCGAGAAGTGAAAAGCAGTCCCACGGCGCCAGTCAGGAACGGCGTCAATTTGTCCAGGTTCTCGGCGAATGCGGTCTCAGCTGTATTTCCCAGTGCCACAGCCATGACTTTTGTTTTGCCGAAGAATAGTCTGTGCGAGTTTGACGTTAGTGAATTGGAAAACTAATAAAAAAAGGGAGTAAGGGAGGGCATACCGGCTCTCGGAGAATTCTGTGCGCACGTCTTTCAGATATGTGTTGCGCATGTTGTCGACAGAGAAGACGAAGAGGTGTTCATACTGCTCCACGCATTCACGGATGTTGGCGAACAGTCGTCGGGTTTGCTCCTTGTGGTTCTTCTTGCTCGTCTTGGACTCGTGGACCAGGCGGGCACGCTTGGAGACAGGCATTGTGAATGAACTCGCGTTGGTGCGTTGGTTGTAACAAATTAGCGTGAAGAAGAAAAATTGCACAATTTCGAGCAAGGTAATACAATATTGCAAAAGCTGAGTCAGAATCGGCCGGATGGAGGCTCAGGGTGGTCGATTTAGCGATTTGATAAATTTTACCTCGATTTTTTTTATTTTTCGATACGGCAAAGAAACATGATTGATGCAAGCCTTATCCGAGGGCCGCTAGTCTAGGATAGGAATAGGCGTGCGGGGATACGCTAACTGCGATAGGAAGTATGGACACTCGCTGGTGCCTCAGGCAGAAATACTCTTGCCTCGTGGTCGACTTTGTCTCCGCGATTCGACTTGCTGGTAACATAATGATCTCATGATCTGCCATTGTGCCTGACTTTTATCTACAGCACTGACTATGTTGTTGGAATTCAGACCTTGGCTGACACATTATACCCCGTGATGCTTTGACAAGCGTTGACCTCTGGTGACAATGCTGGAATTCATGGACTACATCCAGCTCGCCTTTGCCGAGGCGACGCGATGGAATCGCGACAACTCGTATTCTTCTTTGACTGCCACGGCAGAGTGTATGTCCCTCACCCTGATATGCTCTGATTGTACGTTCTGATATTATCAATTAGCACTGCTTGACTTCCACGTCCCCGAACGACTACAAGTTCATTTGTCCTCGCTGTCCACGCCTCATTTCGCAACTTCATATACTCTCGGCACGGTTGGCTTGATTGACGGATCGGTGTCGTACCTCTTTAGTACGGTACCGCTGAACAACACGGCATCTGAGAGCGGTATTATTCCATTACGCAAACTTGTTCATGGATACAGGCAGATAGAAGCCCCTATCCCGCCAATACGGAATTGGGGGTGGGATGCGATCCCCTCACACCAGCATATTTCCAATATCAACAGTACAGAGAATGACGATTTAGTACGAAAAGCAACGCTACTTCATGCGACTCTTCATCTACCTCCGCCTTCGACCTTAACCGCGCTCTTCTTGCGACGTATCTCTCCAACTACACAGCTCACGGCAGCTTTGGTATCAACCCAGGGAACCCCTTTGGCCAAATCGGCCCCGCAGGCAGCACTCCTGACTCAGATTTCACACGATACAGGAAGATTTAGCAATGAGTACTTGTTTAGCACAGACAATGCGCTTTTCGGTTGGCGAGGGCTCTGGAACATCGGCCTTGATGATACGCCAGGGCGACAAGCAACCGATAAGGTTTCGTTGCTTTCTGCTGGCGCCGAGGCGTATTATTCCCCCATTTCATCTTTAGTAGGGCTGTCTACTGGCTTGAAATTCACCACCCTTCCTGCAGCAGCCACAACTTATATGCCATCGTCATCTTCATCAGGGAGTGGAAATGGCAGTCCAATATCGAGTTTCCCATATACATTAACCCTAACTCTTACACCGCTTACTGGCGCTTTATCTACAACATATTCTGTTCGCGCCTCGCCAAATCTCGCTTTTAGTTCCCGATTCGGCTTCAACGTCTACAGCTGGGAAAGCGAAATGGTAGCTGGATGTGAAATATGGCGCAAAAGCCGTCGAGCACCTGAAGACGATGGTCTAGAGTGGGCACGACGAAAGATGGCCATTGCCAGCCCAACCCCGACATACACGACCTTACCCACTTCTAAAGCAGAAGGAGAGGAAGAGGAAGGAGACTCTGTTGTAAAGATTCGCGTTGACCAGTCCTGGAATGTGAGGGTTCTATGGGAAGGGCGGGTCAAATCTCTCCTTGTAACGGCTGGCGTTTCGCTGGGACCAGGGAGTTTCTCGTCTCTTTCTTCTGTTCCCCCTTCACCAACGACTGCACCAGGAGCTGTGGGTGTAACTCAATCGAGCCAAAGTGCCGGTGGAGGGGCGTCATCGAGCCCAATGCCGTCGTATTGGCGGGGGGTAGGAGTCTCAGTCTTGTACTCATCTTGAGAGATTCAAACTTGATGAGAACATACCTGTATGATTAAATCCGTTGTACATACAATATATATACCCTTTTGAAGGTATTGAGAATATTTTGCACATGATTATTTTCCCTTTTTTTTTTAATAATTTTCTGATTATCTACCCATCATTAGTCTCATCTATCGTTTTTACATCGTATTTACTTTTGTGAACCCCCGAAACGGTCCCCCTAATGAGTTCTAGACGTAACCATCCTATCTACCTCAAACTTTTGTTTATAGGCGGGCATTGATGATATCGACGACTGCACTGGCATTAGCATACGGTTGAATTTCGGACATAAAGTAAAACTTACAGGCTGGTTTCAAGCTAGCACCTCCAACAAGGAACCCGTCAATATCCTTCTCCTTAGCCAGATCCTTGCAGTTCCCATCGCTGACACTGCCTCCATACAGGATGCGTGTCTCATCGGCGACCTTGGCGGAGATGGTCTCGCCGAGCCATTTGCGGATGGCAGCGTGAACTTCCTGTGCTTGAGTGGTAGTAGCGACCTTGCCGGTGCCAATAGCCCTATTCTTCACTTAGTTCTGCTGTCCATTTTCCATTTCTTTGAGGACGAAAGGGGAAATACCAGATAGGCTCATAAGCAATGACAATCTTGGACCATTGTTCCTCGCTCACAAGCTTCGCGACGGCATTGAGTTGTCTTGTGACGACCTCGATGGTCTTGGTCGCTTCACGCTCCTGTAACCCGATCCAATTAGTCTGTTGTTGGCGTTTTGCATTGGTGAGTTGCCGCATACCTCGAGACTCTCGCCGATGCAGAGAATGACGCTCAAGCCACCATCGATGGCAGCCTTGGTCTTGCGGGCGACGAACTACACCAGAAAATACCATCAGTATTTTTCATATTCACATTAAGAGACAAGGGAAAAAAAAAGCGACATACGTCATCGTCCTCACGCAGCAACACCCTTCGCTCACTATGTCCAACAATAGCCCAATCAATCTTAGCATCCTTGAGCTGCTCAACGCTCAACTCGCCGGTGAAAGCACCATTGGGCTTGTCGTAGACGTTTTGCGCCGCAACACCAACCGAGGGATCGGCAAGTTCGCGGACAAGCGCAAGGTACAGGGCCGGCGGCGCAACGACGACTTCGGTGTTGGGGTCGCGCTTTGAGTTATTGAGGTTGGAGACGATGGACTTGATGGTGGAGGTGACTCCGTTCCTGGGGGCATTTAACTGTCAGTATTTAGATAATACTTGTCGTATCGTTTGTTCCCGGGTCGATCGCTGCGGATTCAAGTTTGGAGGAGGGGTTGCGGGGCAACAAGACACTCACATCTTGAAGTTTCCTCCGACGAAGAATTGGCGAGGCATTTTGGCTGCTGGGTTGTGTAGATGGTTTCCAAAGGGAATTCAAGGGAGATGTAGAAATAAGAATGGGGTTGAGGGGTAGGAATACAGTTGTGATAGCAGTTGCAGTAGTAATAATAGAAATATCTTTCACCGAGACTCCATCCGAGCCTGAGGCGGCTGCCGCGGCCGTCCCGAAAGCGGACACCCTCTGGCCTTTCCATCCGGCCTTACATCATATCAACATTGAATACATATTGGGCTTCTTGGCCATTTTTCCACGCTGACCTCATTTCTCTAGATACGTACCCGATTGATTGGGAGTACTCGCAATACTCAGAGTCGCACACTCCTAGCGTCTGATGGGCAATTGACATAGCCGGGCATTCTCGGTAACCCGGTGTCCTCAGCAGCGAGTCTATGTCCTAGTCTGATTGATTTGATGGTGATCATTGATCTGCGTGCCACGGTTAACCGAACACTTGACGTCCGGGTCCGACGACATACAGGGATGTTGTATATCGGCATCAGCACCGTTGGCAGAGGTTAAAGCCATCTTTATCCGTTGGTTCGACCTTTATATTGCATTTTCCTGTGAGTTTACATTTGAATGAACTCTTTAAGACTTCTTTACGTCAGCAAATATCAATCTATGTGTGCATGGACCGTGGGAACACGGGGGTTTCCGGGGCTGTCTCGGCAATCCCCATATATTGGCCCGCAGTGTGAACAGTACAACAAAGCTAGACCGAAGAAATATAAAGGATGGGGCTATGAAGACGTCTTATCTACACGGAATTATTATTTAGTAAAGCACCAGAGTAAGTGCTATCCACATGAGTCACTTGGGAAATATGGATGGGATCGACAGATAAATCCATTGATATATTGAAATGTACTATGATATAGAAAATTTATATAGGATAGTTTCTTACTGTAAAGAATCTCGACTGGCTCCTTTATGCATACAAATCAACTAGATTTGAAAGGATGGCCCATGCAGTTATAATTGAACATGACTAGCCATAACCCTAGCCCTAATTATGCGACAATACGTACATCTAGCTACAGATGAAGAATGAGGAGAGGAAACAAAGGGCCGATATACAATCTGGCTTTAGCCCCCTTAAATCAGTGCTACAGCTCTATACCTCGATCTATATACCTCTTAGCTTGAATCATTGTTCAGATCAGAGGTGAGAAATTTGTCTTTTAAGATTTTCCTTATAATTAAAAATGCCGGAATTTACTAATGATATTCAATTTGTGTCCTACTGCGACTAAATATATTTCAACAGTAACCTTTCATCTCTGCAACTATACATTGCTGCTGTATGTACGGTACCATAAAATGAAGAAGTACAAAAAAGTACCAAGCGTCGTACAACACTATTCTAACCTCAATGTCTAGTAATCTATCGATGCAGAACGAAATATTGCCTATTGCTACCGGGTAAACCTCAACCAACCCCTCGAATGACAAGAGAATCACTCAATTCAAGTCGGCTATATTCTCGGCCCCCCTAATAGAAAGCTATTCGAACTCTAAGTTCGGCGACGGAAGGTAAGAAGGCAGTCATCCTAAAAGTTAATGTTAGCATTAAGACGACAAGTAAGCAAGCGCAATCCACATCTGTACCTTTGGAAATATCGTAGCGAAAACCTTTATATCTTCTGACTCCGGCGTAGTATGGTGCTCCCAGTCCAACGCCAGGCTGGCTTTCCCGATCATGGCCATTAGATTCATCTGGGCATAGGTCTGTCCTAAACAATGATGCGGTCCAGTTCCAAATACTAGAAAGTTCTTCGGATGCTGTTCAGCTGTCCCGGTGATCCACCGATCCGGATCGAATGAATCGGGATTCGGGTAGACTTCGGGGTCATGAGTAGCTGGCCATACAGACGGTAGAACCATCGATCCCTTTCTAACCGTGTAGTTCTCGGTAATTGGGAAGTCCTTCTTCGCCATGTACGGGACCAGTATCACTGGTGGGCGGTAGCGCAGGGTCTCTCGCACTACTGCGCGCGTATATGGTAGTCTCTCGAACAGGTCCATGGTTAACCGCGCATCACGATCGCCGTTACGGGCCTGTAGATTCTCTTCGCGGAGCCTGTTTAATATTTCAGGACGGTCAGCCATAAGCTGAAAGAGCCAGGTAGTGGCAGCACTGTTAGCGTCTTGCGATGCAAATAGGAGGGTAAAGACGGTTTGTGCAATCTCGTAATTGGTAAATTCACGCAGCAACTGAACCGGCTTCTCACATGGAATCCCTGCGGCCATGTTCTTCCAGTATGTTGCCGAGTCTTGTTGGGCTTTCACCCAGGCATCCATAATACAGGTGATCTCACCACCACTGGCCACGTGTAATTTGCTTTTGGCAGCACATTGGGTAAATTCTCGAAGGATAAGGTCGGCTGCCATTTTGCCGTACCAGCTTTTTGTGAATGGAAGGATAATGGGGAAGTTGACCAGTTCAAGAGCAGCAGTGATAAGGTAGTAGTCGTGGGCGATCTTGTCCAGCGCACTATCGGAGATGTAATGCCCGACAAATGTGCGACAGGATACAGTGCACATGAGCTTGCGAAATTCAGGCATCCAAGGAAGTGGCTTATACTTGTTGGCTGCCGACCGTGTGACGAAACGCTCGATATACTCATCAAACACCTCTTCTTGACGCGGGAGATAGCTAGCCAGGGCAGAGCGTGTAAAGAGGAGATTCAAGCCTTTGCGAAACTCAACATGGTCTTTCCCATCTAAAAATACCCAATTGTCCTTTCCTAGAAGCTTATGTGCAGAGTCGACGACACAGGGCTTCACGAACATAGGAGAGTTGAAGATCCTGGACGACATCTCGCGCGTCGAAGCGATGACGACAAACCTATATCAAGCAATTAGCCACCTCTTCCCTTTTCCCTGTGATAGCTCAAGGATGGCTTACTTGTGGAAAATGGACACGCAACTCAGCTCGCCGCTCCTCCACTTGGCCATATAAGCGTCGAATTTTGGGTCCATGGACTCCAGAAATGGCCCCATGAATGGGATTTTCCATGATGGACCAGCGATTGAACCCTTCAACATGATGTATTTTACTAGATATGAGAGTACCAAAGGATCAGGTATTTGCCTGATGTTAAGTAGTACATATACAAAACTTACACTGGTCATATACAACAGCTACGACAAGAACTGTCAACAGGATCTTCCAAATTGAGGCATCGTTGCCTATCGATCCGATGATTCCAGAAGGATGGAATATTTGGAAAGTGGGTAATATACTGTTAGAAGAAAAATCCATAGCCCGGCTTGGAGGGGGAGGGGGGTTCAAATGTGGGAGACAAAGTATCTCTGGTTTGTAGTATGGAACTTGAAATAAAATTTTGGCGGTACCTGGGTATATATTTGGCATTTTTTAGGAGAAATATCGTGTGGAGCAAGGAGTGATGAGATACTATGCAAGATACTACGCAGCGAGGTGCCCATGCTTCAGCACCTCCCTCTTTCCGGTCAATGCTACCTCCTTGAGTACGAGATGGTTGACTGGTTACCGAATATATTTCCGATTTGTTTCAGGCGAGATGATCCCCTGGTCAATGGGGGTATCATACGGTCTCGTATCTAGCCAGTGATAGACCAAGTGCAATTACCAGTTAGTTACTAGTTACTGCTATCCGTTAGAAGAACCTTATTGTTGTTCAGCCTTTCGTGCCCTATATACTCATGCAGGCAGTCCAACTCATATTCGAGTGTGCAACCCATCAATCCGTACAGGTCTGTCGTAATTTCTACACTGTATTATGTCCTCCTATTGTGTCATGATTGGTATTGCTGGATTCTTTTCGTAAACACCAGTATCATGGTGACGAGGAGATATTTCCTTTGATCTGCTGACAGGTGCTGGCGTCTGAGATGTACTGGTCGTAAGAAACAGGTATCCCCTTGACTGTAAACTGGTAAGGATTAGCGTCATATTCTAATGATACTGTTACCGTCCATAAAGCTCGAAGAATACAGTACAAATACTGAATACACTGAGCGGGGCGTGCGCTGCGGCTTGACAGGAAAAGCCGCGCTAAAGTGCACTAAATCTTACAAATTTACAGCGAAGGGTATGGGGTTTATTCTGGTTATGGTAAATCGCTCAGATTCGTTTGCTCAACGCCGTAGCTTTCGAACTATACCACTATTTTGTATGTTATGCACGAGGGGTTTCTGTCATTGTTCGTCGTTCGCTTCCACTTCGAGATGAGATCGACGCTCGACCCATATGTGCAAATGAACTGATCCAAGCGCTCCCCGGTTTTGCTCCATTGTCTTATCAAAAACAATGTGGGCACGTAGTTATTGTATTAGGGACAATTTCAGCCCCCTTATTCTAATTGTAGTAGTATATATGATAGGCCGCTGCGATATGAATACACGATGATCCATTAGCCACGCTGATTCCGCGAGACCGCTTCATTTACCCGATCATCATTTCGGAAGTATGTGACGAGACTCAAGTTCGGGGCTGAATCCTCTTAAACCCCGATATTGGAATAGAATGAATCCGATGCTGGGGGTCAAAGGGGCATACTTCCGGATTTGTAATCGCTCTCTTTTTCATTACAGCCTACATCGACTCTGGTTGGTATCCGGAGTTGGACAGCCAGGCACGGAGATAGATGTCGTTGTGGTAGCAGAATAATCGGTGAATGATGTTAATGAAACTGCAACTCACTGTTGGTCCGTATTTATATTGTTTACTCACAAATATCTCCTAATATACTACCTCCACCATTCCGTGTTTGCGGTGTTAGACATGGTGTCCTCCCCTCCCCCCAGTAGCAAATAGTAAAGAAACACACTTGTCATACATTACGGGGGGGTTCACTAGGCTTTTTCTTTAGGAAGGCTATTACAGCTGCTGTATTTTGGTTTTGCGTGGCCCACGGAAAAATAGTCATCTGCCGACTACTCTTAGGATGGTATATATATCTGATTCTATTCCATCTCGTGTGTAAACTTCACTCAAATACCCTGGCATGGCGTCATAGACTCTTGAGTTCTTCTTTCATCCTTTCTTGACCACCACACCCACAACGACAGAGAAATGGTGGGCCACCCCAAAATTGTTTGCTTCCAATGTCTACTGCTTGCCTTGTCTGCTATTGTTGCGGTTTCTGCCGCCTCTCCTCCCCTGGTTGATCCACAACCGGAGCCTGTATACGTTCCCGAGCCGGATCGAAGAGGTACCCTGAAGTTATTTTGGAACTGCTTCTCCACGTTCATTTTGTGCGTGTGGACAGCCGTCCATCCTGATGTACTCCCCGTCAAGGGCCACAGGTCTATCAATTTTTACAAGTTCTTCATGATGACCTGGGCTGTGGTGATCCCGGAACTAGTGGTGTGTATGGCGGTCGAGCAGCTGCGGCGAGCCATGAAGATTCGGGACCTCTGGGAGCAATCCTTCGAGCATGAAAATGAGAAAAAATACTGGCTTGGACTGACCGGGGCATTCTTTGTGGTGATGGGAGGTTATGTCGTGGAGACCGAAAGCTACAATCACCATGTGAACAAGGCTCATCCCATTTTACCATCGAGAAGTTTTTCACGTCATCTCCGGCGGTCGAAGCCCATAGCCGAACAGTTCGACTACGCGCCTCTTGTGACAACAGTCGGACCCCTGGGTTTCGAACGCCTGTTGGAAAGTGGAAAAATTCAAAGACTGATCCGGGAGGGAACACTACAAAAGCACCATTTTGACCACACTGTCATTGGGGATAAAGGAAACGCGAATACCATCAGTAAGCTCCTTGTTACAGTGCAAATCTTCTGGATGATCATTCAGTCCATTGGTCGTAAAATATCCGGACTCCCGGTCACTCTCCTAGAGGTCCATGTGCTTATCCAGATCATATATTCGATCGTCGCCTACTGCTGTTGGTGGGCTAAGCCACTGGATATCAACCGGCCCATTCCACTACCGCTCGACACTGATGACCTGATGGGACATGATCTCACCCAGCCGACAACAGACCATGAGCGCGACCTCCCCTTTTGTACAGAATACTACGAACACAGTGAGTGGCTCTATATGTTTTTTCGCGCGGCGTACAGTGTCCTTAAATACCTTCGACGGCCAATTGAGTTCTGGGCCTCCATCCTAGCCATTGTCAACGGTGCTCTCCACCTCCTCGTCTGGAAAGCCTACTTCCCTACCCCGGCAGAACGCATCATCTGGCGCATCTCCGGTGTTGGGCTCGGCGCTTTCCCCATGATTGTTTATTTCATCATGTCCTGGAATGAAGAGTTTGATAATTTTTTCATCAAAATGTGGTACTACATGAGATTTGAGAAAAGATCGTGGATCGGGATGATGTTCCGAAGCAGTTCGATGATGTGGGAGCTCTATCGCGAGAGCGTATATGATAAGTCGTCGAACCGGAAGGTTCCCATCTGGCTTCGCTATTTCCTTCTGGGCATCTGCACTTTCTCAATGATCTTGTATGTGACCTGCATTCTCTTCCTGACAATTGAGGCGTTTATCAGTATGAGGAGGTTGCCGTCGGGGGCTTATTTACAGCCATCGTGGACTAGCATATTTCCTCATATTTAAGGGAGTGATGGAGAAGGGATCCGAAATGAGGTTCGTAACCATGTAGAGAAAAGCATCTATGAGATTTTCGACGAAGACTTGCAGTTCTTTGGACTTGTCACGGGCAGGCTGTGCTATATAATATGAGCGGCGAAAACCATCTTCTTTATCCAATGCCTTCGAATCTGGTTCCCACCCTTTTTCCTGCATATCATTATATCTTAATGATACCCGGTATTCTTGCTTCTCTTCTGCATTCATCGCTGTTATTCCTGTTATTGCTTTATTTTCTTAATATTTCCCACGCAGCTTTCTTTCTCGTCGTAGATTCCGAGAACTCATGGCGGCGGGGAGAGATCGACAGTTGTGACCAAACCATAGAGAGGCTGTTTACGTTTTCTTAGGGTTGACGCTAAGCACGGGATCGCGCTTCGCCCCACCGGTAACTTACGGTAATGCGTGATACTTCCCAACGGGGTTAGTTGGCATGTTCCACAAGGATTTAATGCGTATTTCATAGAGCTGCAGGGATCCAGTATGGTATGTTAGTGGTAAAGGCCCATATTTCCCAACATGGTTAGGTGGTGGCTGCCGTAACGTTGGGGGTGTAAAGCTATTATTGCATCTTGGTCATTCACTACTCCTGAATAGGGGTAGTGTCTATCAAATCGCGAGGCTCAAACCATTAGTATCACGAACCCCACTTTATATCTGGAAAATAAATGCCTACACTCTCACTCAGCAATGCTACACTTGGCATATGGTCATCCGGCCCCAGCCGCAGTCAAGGATAGAACAACCTTATGCTCTGTAACAAAACATGCCTGGTATTCCTCGCAGCACGGGGTGCCAGAAATGCATACAAAGGAGAGTCAAGGTAACCTAGACCTCACCCCTAGAGAGAGCAATTCGGGCGCTGACACACCCCGGTCCTCTAGTGTGATGAGGCAAGACCTGCTTGCCTCGAATGTGTGAGACGAAACATGACTTGCCCAGGCTATCCGCAAAGATTCCCCTTCTACAACGTGCATACGTGGAACAGCCAAGAATCACACCGCGGAAACAGGAGTGTGAGAACATATCGTCCAGAGGGGTCAGATATCGAATCTACAATTATGGACACTCGAGTGATGCCAAATCTTGCAACACAGTCGACTCTCATTCCAGAGCTGGATAGCTTTTCTCGATGTGTCGAGTGCAATTTTTCGGGCCTGCGGGCCTGCTACGCACCATTGGTAGATCTGGGTTGGGTCCAATTTACCCTTCATCCGGCGCGTCCTCCTACATTTCTCCAGTTGGCCGTACGCGCCCTAGCCACTCTACATCTCGGTCAGGAGGAGAACCAGTTGCTTGTCACCAAGAGTAGATATACGTATAACGACGCTTTGACCTCTCTGAGAAGGGCAGTAGAATGTCTCCCAGTGTCAGATCAAATCTTCGCAGCAGGGATCCTGCTTAGTATCTATGAAATGAAAAACGGGCTATTTCAAGCCTCCTGGGTTTCTCCTACGAACTCCATTGCCAAGATCATGCAGTCTCCCAACACCCCTGCCGCAACGTATACTTTAGGGTTTAGACGAACTCTGTTTCTCACATTTAGGCCATTTCTCATTCGGGCAGCCCTCTCTCTTGGTCAGGCATGCTTCCTGGAAAGAAAAGAATGGATATCAGTAGTTCAGTCCATAATATGGTCTGAAAATCCTAACGGCCGTGGAAGCGTCTTCAGGGAGGCAAATGAAAATGCGTTCATCGAGGTCGTGAAAGTTCCCGGTCTGGCCGCCCGGACATACTCATTGTATCCCGCGTCGGAAGACATAGGGCTGATCGACGAGACAATTCGCTGCCGAAATAGACTGAAGGATATTGAGAGCGAGATCAGGGATATTCTGACGGTGCTATTTGGTTCAAAACTTGATACTCATACTACGAAACGTTATCTAGGGAATATTCCGTCTCAGTCTGCGAAAAATATCGTCCAGGGCGCCCTTGATGGGATACAATCCACCCTCACCCTTTTGGAAAATCTACTACAGCATCAGTTGGCTCATCAACTTGCAAGACAGCCATACACAGGCATTGCCCCTAGCACGAGGACTTTTATAAACCCCACATATAGCACACTCAAAGAGTTTTATCTTGAATTGAAGGCGACCTATGATGTGCTACCGGATGTTGGGTGGTTAGATGTCTGCTCACTGTCTATGGGAGTGGTACCGACCCGGGATGTATTAGTCTTCCCATGGCAGTATCACCATTTGGTGGAACAAATGATATGATGATTAGTGGCAATGCACAGATGGAGTATCCTTGTCGCTGTGCCACTTTTAATGTTTATTTTGCAAACTCAGGGAAATTGATGTGCAGCGAGCATATCAAGTAGCTACACGCAGAATAACATCTATTAGGAATGCGTGCCACACAATATTATTTTCTTATTCACTTAGTTGTATATCTTATTAACAAACTAACTACAAGAGAATAGGGGTTAGAGACTCTGCGCGGTAGTAAGGAATGGTAGCGTCCATATGGCATTACCGCTCCTTCAAATCCCCTTCAATATCAGTTGCAAACCACTCATTTTGATTTTGGATAGTTGAAGAAACAAAAGTGAAATCAGCAAAAGATTGAAAGAGAACTCTATACCTGCTATTTCTGTGAAGAAGAATGAGCTGAGCATTCTTCTTTATAGACCTTTATATGCTCTATCTTGTACGGCCTTGAAGCGCAACAAAACTCAGACCCATCTCATGAGGATAAGAAGGGACTGCGAGTTGAGATGCTGACGATGCGGACTCTGTTCACGTAATAGGCCCGCTCCATTCTTTTTTTTATACTAGTATACGATCAATTGGGCCCTGATTGCTGCCTCTGTCGAGATACCACTGAATTATTTTCATATTAATCTGTTAGTGATATCCGTTGTTACCTTTATGACCATTATTTCCTTGGTTATAATCCCGACTTTCGCTATTGAGATATCATTAAGAGCTGGGCAGATACTTGGTAGTCTTCTTAACGGTATCTTCTAAGTTATTTAATATTTTATAACTTCTGTATCTGGTCCTTCTATTTAAATGTCCTTCCATTTCTAAATTAATTCAGAAAATGCACCATGAAACGGTGTTAAAAAATATAATTTTGCATGTCTAGCATTAAAAATCGAGAGAGGTCGAGAGGGTGGAAATGAAATTGATAAGAACAATCACTAATAAAGAAGGCATATAAAATAAATATTTGATTTAGTATCAAGATTAAAGATATTGACTGAGTTATGAGATTGTGTGCTAATAATTGCTCATGATATAGGAATTTGGTCTATATTATAATATATCTAGTATTTCATTCTATTCACTTCATATTAAAACTAATTTTTATAGAATTCATATTATTTTATTTCAAGTGGGAGTGAAATACAAGCATCGGATCTGGGAACTTGAGTATTGTACCACGGAGAGCAGATTTGCTCCTAATTCTCTTTTCTTTCTTCTCATGATTAATATTCTCGCACATAGAAACTAAGTGTATTCGTGATTGCCCACAAATCACCGCCAGCCATTCAGCCCAGTCAGCCCGCCCAGGTAGGCGGTTCCCTGTTGTACTGCGTCTCAAAGCCAACAGAAACAATTCATCCTCAGGATTTGTAGATTGAATCACTTATTAATATCGAATGTAGTAGCTTCTTCATGATAAACTACCATATCCCAACGAATTTGAAATAATATACAGCTATTGATAACTACTTCCATCCTGTTGATGTGGCCGGGGCCTTGACCAAAAAAGTAACCACATACTTCATTAGTTAAGCGTCCCATTCACTGCGCTTTGTTTAGGGTGGATAAAGTTACTTGATGTTTTCCGATCAGGGGTAGGATGGTACACTCATTGGTTACTTCACCCAAGTCGCTACTACTAGCAGAGTCGACTTGCAGGCGTATAACTAAAGTGCCCTGCTGGCTTATTCTATACTAGTTGAGGCATTTGGGGTATCATTGTAGCTCATGTGTAGGGTTTCCCCTGCCATCCGGGTACTGGGGCAACTCTGCAGTCTCTGCTTGCCAGGGTTGCTGGTTGACAGCAACAGGAGCAGGGGTGTCTTCTTTCACCTCAGTAAGCGTCTGTCCTTCTCGCGAACGTCTCCGTAACCCAAATAGCACCAGCCCAGCGATTGCCAGTGCCCCTAGAGCAGATCCTATGGCAATGCCCGCGACGGCTCCTCCGGACAGTCCTGAAGTTGAGGCCGAGGCTGTAGGCACAGGGGATACGGTGATGGTGGTAGTCGCCGTTGGAGGTAACGATGCAGCCGTCGTGCTAGTGGATTTGGATTCGGTGATGTTGAATTGAACACTTGTTAACGAGGGCGAAGTAGACCCGGTTTCAAATACTTGCAAGATGAATGCTGTTGAATTTGTTGAATTGAAGTTTTCATAGGAAACAACCCAGTCAAATGATTGCTCAGACGTCCCGACTACAAGAACCTCAGCATCAGTCACCAAGCTAACAAGTTTCCCCAGTATCGTATCAACGTACTTAAGATCCGGTATGGATCGACACTCCCATTTTGTTGCCACATCAGCAAGTCGGTTTCGTTCAGCGACGTTGTCCACTGGAGGTGAAGCAGTTGTCCAACAACGTACTGAATATTATTAACGCTAGACCCACTGGAACTGTCAGGAGGAGTCGAAAACTGGCACGTCACTTGCTGACATAATGTGAGGATGCAGCATATCGATAGATATCGCAGGCGTAACATGATGAAATCTTTCTAGAGCCAAAATATTCGGAAAGAGGCCCTGAGACTCTAAATGGGATAACAGGATTGGGAAAGTAGGAGGTTAGTGCCGGAAGAAACAATATGATTTATTTGGGGCTGCAATATATAACTCCTCATACCGGCTGGCGTACGGCAGGAGGGTCGCTAGTGGTTTTGCTAATTTTATTAATCGGTAATTGAATGGCGGTGGCTGTTTATTGAACTACCGATATAAAGGGACACTCCGCCCCACGGACTTAACCAAGCCGGCTCGTCCTTTAGCTCCTGGTCAGGCGTATACATATGGATGACACGAATTCAAAGTCCGCATATCATCTATCAATCTAGCATATTCGAGCCGTTTTTTACGTTGAAGAAGTATCTTATTCACGGCCCGAGAAGCCATTTTATAAGAAACATACTGACTCATAACATATATATTGAAGCTTTTAGGCACTGATCCTCCTAATAAGAAATAAGGGAACCAACAATTCTTGTTGGATGAACTAAATTTAATATTTAATCTCAAAACCTAACCTGTCTTCATATTAAGCTTTCCCCCCTAATATCTTTATAATATTAATTAAAAAGAGTAATAAATGCAATAAATCTGACCTATTCTAAATAAGATCATTATGCATATGCCTGTCCAACATTATATTCTATAGATGCATGATTGGCGGGCCTGTAATGAGACGTACACCCTAGGGGCGCTCACAGGGGCTTAGACGCGTGTTGGCCGTGGAATCGAGCATTAGCCCCATTAACTGTAGCGCTGCCTTTGCCCTTAGCGCCAATGTTGCGATAACCTGACACGCAATGCCTTGAGAAGCTCTTTCGATTGTAGTTTCGGTGTACATTACCGGATTTAGCGGATGCAAATAAGTCAGGTTCCCTCAGCTGAAGGGTGACGGTCGGCCACTAGGCTGTACCTGAGTCAGTTAAAATGGACGGGCCTTTGATTGCACAAATAAATGCATGTGCTTACCAGGTAGGATCTTGTTAACCATGAGCTATCGGTTATAAAAAAAAATATGAGTGAAGCTTGCCACTAGTGACATGGCATCTTTGAAGAATGCTCGATTCATCCTCACTGCGCTGGGACAAGGGAGAACGTTGCCCTTAGCCTTGTCAGTGTGGAGACATCAATGATCACCGTTCAAGAAACTATGGATCCAAGGCTGAAAATAGAGCATCGCGCCCACAATATGGCAGCTGAAGGTATTTCGTCTTCTGTTTTGGGCTTTAGCTGCGTCAAGAGCTAAACACTACAGGCGCCACTGCAGAACCGGGGGGAACAAGCCCCGTTGAGCCTTATAAATCATTTACGGACCAACTTCCTGAATGGTCCTAGCTCTTCAGCCCCCTTAGATTGATCTCAACCAGAGTATCTTAGTTCCACGCGGTGGTACAGTTGCCCGGTGGCTGGAAGTTGGTGCGCGGGTGCAGGAATTTTTTGTTTTCAAATCCAGCACCCGCGCACTAACTAAAATGTACCCGTTGAACAATCCAGCACCCTTTCAGCAATACAAATGAGATCTTCATTACAAACATTAGCGTAAGAAATAAACTTGACTGGGTGCTGAGATTTTGCACTAAATTCATGCCAAGCCTTCAGCACCTGTTCAGCTGAACATTCCTGCACCCGCACACTTACTTCCTGCTACCGGGCAAGTGCAACCCCCTTTCCACGCAGTCCTTAATTGAATTCAGCAGATTATTCTAGAATATAAGTTAACCGACGTATCTGGCCCAGTTCTTTAATTTCTTATAGAATCTAGCCAGAGCCTCACATCAAATACCGTATCTGGAGATCTAACTCTATGCTCCCATCCTGTGGCCCAGGAAGATGTACATATTAGCTTAGGATGCCCAATATCGGTCGACCTAGCCGGGATTGCCATAGATGCCGTCAAAGGCATCTGAGGGTTCGGAAATACCTCTGACTTGTCTCCTAATGGCGGAACTCATTGTTGCATTCGAAAATAGTGCGATCTCTGTCGACCTGAGTGTAGTTAATGCTGCAGGGCAAAGCTACCATGCCCAGGGTTCCGTGATGAGTTGACTGAGCGCTTTCGTATTGTGACTACGACATCGTTTGTGTCCAATACAAGCAGGGATCGTTGAAGACCTAGGAATGGCAAATCTTGTTCACTAGGCCTGGGGGTAGTCAAGTAATAGGTAGCTCAAAAATTTCGCGGGCCAAGTTCATTGATAGTCATCCTGGAATCGGCCCGTTCCATCTCCACATATTGCCGTGTCATGGATCACAGAAACACTTTTCATTGGGCTAGAGTTGATTCGGGGCAATTCAGATTCAGCACTAATGCCTCTGTGAAACATCATGAGAACTGTCAAAAATTGTATGGTGCAGTCCTTGCGGGAAAATAGGGGGTAAGCAGAGAGATTTGTGTACATTGATAGTGCAAATAGTTCAATTAAAGGAATATGGAGTTATAGAAGGGACTTACTAATTTGTCAAATGACATACAGCCAGCTGACATCAATTATGCCCATGGGATATGAGCTCAGTCATTGAATTATATCCTATTTAGAAGGTGGTTCTAAATTACTCCACTCAGAACTAATTTCATCTTCGACTAGTATCCTGGTTCAGGATCTCTATTTCTCGAACAAAACCATTTTAAAGAAATGCCTGAGTTACTCTGCTGAAGATGCTCTGTTGTTGATAGCCCGCACCCCTCCGGAAATGAGCTGCATGGCCGCTCTCTTGAGCCATGCGTCTGTCCGTGCGTGTTGAAACATCCTTGGATATGAACCAGTTCGTGTTTGATTCCTTTTTCTTTCCCTTTGATCTCCGCTTCTCCTCAAATACAGATTCCTTCGAATTTTCCTCCGTTCCTCCCTTGCCCTTCGTTTCGTGGACTCTTAGTTTATTCTTCCTGCCGCTATCCTGAACGGGATAGTAATCACCATAAACAAGATCTTTGTCGTAGTTGTCAAGAGCCTTGGGAGCGTCATTAGAACGCGCAGCAGAAAAGAAATTGGGAAGTGAAATTAAACGCGAGAAAGGATCGTTTTTTGCCGTCTGTTTTCGATAGTAGATCCTGTTTACCTGCGGTTCACCGACATTTACATCATTTGGTAAGTTGGGAAGCTTCCCGTTTGGGGCTTCGCCAGCCTTCTGACCTGTTGCTATCCCAAATGGAAGAAGCGTCGTTATTGATGACATTATCTTGGTTGAATTCCATAGGTCATGTCGGATGAGTTGAAGAAATGGTGCTGCCGAAACTCCATTGTATCCGGAATTCGCTTGTATCTTGCTGTCGGAGACTTCCTTAGGTTTTGGAGATCCTATTCTTTCGAATATGGAAACGCCGTCAGTCGGAATCGGTGAGGTGTCACCATGGTATTCTGCGGCTGGCTTAGAACCCTGAGGAGTCGGAGAGAATCCGATAGCTCCATTTGGAAGACTGTAAGTAGGATCTGACATCAGGGTCATACTACCTGATGGTACAACAGTATCACCTTTTCTCAGTGGCTGAATATCTCCTGGAGGTGATGCTTTCAATGAGTTGGCCAGGTCCCTGTCGACTGCGGTATCTGCTTCCGCTGGAGAACCCCCAGCCTCGTCACTGCTTTTTCGTTCCTCATTCTCTAGCTGGGACTTCTTATTTGTATCCAAGGCATCATGAAGGTTAACGGCGATATGTTGTTGGCCACCACCGGCGTGCGGGCTGTGACTACTACTGTCATTCATCTGGGACTCTTCGTCTCCTACAGGTCCAAAACGTGCTAACCTCCATTTTCTCCAGGATCGAGAGTTAAAATTTGACATCCGTATTTTCCTGCTGATATATGCTGCTGCAATGGCGACGATAAAAGTTACAAATGCCCACAATGGATACCACTGAATGGGTGCAGGAAATCCAGGGATGGCGAATAGAGACTTGCAAAGGAAATATGAGTATACCGGCCAATTTTCCAAAGGCAATTATTCGCAATAGACTCACAGAAGCAAAAGATAACGGAATAAAGGCAAAAGCAAGCGTGTTTAGCCGTGCTACCGCTTGGCCTTGAGACACAGTCTCTGTGTTAAAGGCCTACAACCGAACCTTGATCAGCACTTAAGCATCAATGTGGGCAGCGATTCGTTCGGGTTTTGGCTGTTCTGTACCCACCAAACTCAGGAGCGTCTTCCATTGTTGTAGGACAACATTAGAAGTCTCCTGATAATTTCTCAAGCTTCCAAGCAGGTTCTCGATCCGCTCATTCAGCTCATCCTGATGGTCTTCTGCGACTAATTTCGGCTCCCATTGCTGGCTCCGTTTCACAAATTGCTCAAAACGCTCCAGGGCAGCGATATGCAGACGTAGATTCTCTTGTAAGACGATAATATTAGCATTATCTCGATGAAGTTGCCTAGTGAATTGCAACACTGGCGGTCCCTGGATCTTGCCATGTGTCTGGGCGTCGCGATAGATGAGGGCCCGTTGAACCCGCAACCACACATCACTCCAATGACCAAGAACATGTGCAAGATCTAGATAAATCCAGCTGGGTGAATTTTGTATGCGTGTCATCCGCCAGGAATTCTCGGGACTTCCGAGGTGTTTCTCCAAGCGTGCAGGAACATCAGCATTAGCAACCAGCAGAAGGATCATAGGTGTAGCTTCATTTTCGGGGATGCTCAGGACGGAGGAAGGGCAGATCCAGGTGGCTATGGACCGGAAACGGATCTCAGTTGAATCAAAGCCCATGACTGCTTCGACCGGATGGTTCGGAGAAGAAGGTACCCCGTACGGGTGACTCAGGAGATAGACGAGTTCTACAGAAATCAATATAGGAAACGCACTCCGCTGATCAGTGTTCGCACATCGGCGTCTGTTGCGGATGGGGGATTGGTCCGCACCATGATTCTTAGCGTGGTAATAAGGCATTATAGCAACATTGTGGCTGTCTGTATCTTGAGCTTTGACGTATTCAATCAACTGACGAGGTAACTTTGGTATCTGCTGGCAAAAATCGGTCATCATTGGCACAGTGGCATCGTAGATCTGGACAATCCTAAGTCTTTACGTTACCAATACAGTCGAATAATGTCTTTCAATCTTCTCCATAACCACGGCAAGAATAATTGATCTCATAGTGACTTGAAGAACAAAGGAGGCCTACGGGATGAAAATCCGGTCCAGCTTTCGACATTCTACCAATTGCTCTCGCAGGTATGATTCAATATTTGATACACTAGTGGACGAGAACTTCTTGGAAACAAAAAAGCCCTGACCAGTAGAAATGGCAGGTTGACCGGAGTTAGAATAGACAATAATGCGGCCTTTGCGAGCCGTAGATGACCGCGATGCTTTTTCCTCTTTCCCTGCCATTGCTGTATGGCCGGATAATTAAAGAGTCATCAATATTACGATTGTGATGCTCTGTCAGATGTGGCGGGGGGTAATATGTCAAAATTTTTCCACCGAGCTAAAAAGGTTACCACCTTACTAGCTGTAGTATAAGTATTGTGCATATTTGGTTCAACAAAATACCACTGGCTTCCATCCATGTCGACTTCTGACAAAGGCAGGGGACGAGGCTGTGACTAGCTAGCCGGAAATGTATCTTGAGGGTTTGTGAAGCAAGACTCGGGAATGACATTTTACTCTGATCCTAGATGGAGCGAATTGCAATGAGGGATTCGGGTTTTCATGCTACTGCGATCTGTATGGGAACCAGTATCGCTATCACACGCTAGCTACGTGGCAGCATGCAAGTTGACCGGCTTCCTGCAAACATCTGCCGCTTCGTGAACTGCTTTGTAAGCTCGTTATTTTCATGCATATGTATGGATAAGCATGGATGTATTGACATTCGACCTGTGAATTGGACGTCGATGTGGAGTATGTTATTCACACATAACTTCCCCTCACTTTTAAGCCGCATTTGCGACCCCAGCAGAGCTTCCATTGGAACGTCGCTTTGGTGAGCGGTGGTATTTGAAGTTCACCACAAGCAAGTACACAGATTTATTTTTCTGGTTTGATTTTTCGGACACACTCTAGAAGGGGCAATGTTTGGCCGCAGACTCAACATTGAGGAGGTGCGCAGCCCGGATTCGCGAAGCTCGGAAGACGAAGAACCGACATCTGTCCATGAGCAGCAACAGCAGAGTCCAGCAATATCCCAGCAAAAGAACCTTCTATTGAGATTTCTATCTGGGATATTACACCCTGAGAAAGAGCCCAATTCTCGCTCCCATCCGGACAATGCGAGTGAGGGCTCAAGAAATTCTTCTGTCTCGTACCACTATTATAGCTCCTATTATTCGACCAGTTCATACGCGACTGGAAATGAAAGACGCGAGGAAAGACAAAGACAAGTGTGGCGTCGACTGTCAAGAGCACTAGGACAATTTTGTGAGAATGACTACCTCGAACTCGACTTTGAAAACTCTAACCCGCGGCCTGTTAGCGATCGTGCCCAGTAGGGCTCTGACAGCCTTTTTTGTTATGTTGGGATTTCATCATATTATGATGGTCTTGGTCGTTGCAATTCTCATTTTGACCTGTAGGTAACCTGATAATTATATCACAACTTTCCTTTTATCATTCTGTGGAAGGGAGACGAGAAGCTGGGAGCTACATGGATCGAAGATATACGATTGGACAGATCTTGTTACTGCACATTCATACCGCATATAGTGTGAGGAATTTTAAAAAGGCTGCGGACTGACTTCGTCTAGGCCTCGTTTTGGGTAGCTGCACCGGCTCTTCCCCAACAATGAGCCATTTCCACCTTCTCTCGCTGTCTTACGCAGGTACCCAGCGCAACACAAGTTCTGTTGCATCCTCTCTGAACGTGGTACAAAATTTGGGCACAGAACAATTAAATATGCGTGTTCTCGTTGGCTATTTCGCCGTATGCGTAGCCCTAACGAACGTGCCATCGACCGTATCTATATCGTCTCTACTCTGTAGCAGCGATGGGAACAGTCTCAGAGGCTCATTCCTCGAAGCTAGTGAAGACCCACTAGGCCTCTTAGACTTCGGCTTTCGAATCAAGGATAATATCATGTTTCCTTATTTGAGGTACGTATAACAATACAACAACTATGCGTGCTGGGCTCTCTCATCCCAGTATCACATATCTACCAAGTTATGCTTATGTATGTGTTATGTCGAGCTCACATAAAATAGTGTTATTGCTACCGTTCTAGAGCTCTTCCTCCTCTTATTGCTTGCCCAGTTCCCAGGTTGGAAGGAGGAAACTGATGAAGATGGCTCGGAAAGGGAAGTCAAACCATTCCCATCAACAGTGCGTCTAGTGGCAGCTCTCGCTCTCAGCTCTGTCGCAGCGGCATTATTACTCGTGACGGCTGTCTGGCAGCAGGTTGCGGCGGTAGCAGCTGGTCAAACCTTGGAACAGGTGATGCCAGGACAAATTATGTCTCTAGTTGGTCTCTCCGCGTCGATATCGAGTTGGTTCGCATTTGGATTAGCCGCCATGGTGTTTCTCATGGTTCTCACCATGTATACAAGTATCAGAATTCTGCTTGACAGGTTTGATTAGGAAGGGCGACAGAAGTACCTACCGAGGGCAGGAGAATCAGATGGAGCTATCGAAGCCATATATGATAATGCACGTGTGTATGCTAGACAACCCCTTGATTTCATCAATACTTAGAAAAATATAGTTTTTGATTGAATTAATCATTGATTAACTCATATACCCTTTTACAAAAATAACCTTATAGACGTACCTAAAAGAATCAAAAAGCAACCTTGATATTACCATTGAAAGAAGTAAATTATTCAACCTAGTAATTGTAATCAAGTAAATACAAATGATTTTTTTTGTCCGGGAAGTTTAATACAAAAATACTAAGATAACATTGAAAAGAAGAAAAACAAAATGAAAAGAACTAACTATATACAAGCAGCGTACATATCAATTGATATTTACAAATTCGCATGCAAGGCTCTAAGACATGTATCAGGCGCACGTTTTGACCAGACTGTCACAGAGGTGGTGACGGGATCAACCAGGATAGTCCTCCTCGCAGAAGAACCACTTCTCAATCGGATCTTCTCGTAATAATATTTTGGCCATCCCCTAGGTTGACTGCTTGTGGTCTCAATAACATATGTAGTTATATAATAACTTGACCGCATGTGGTCATGTGAATCATCTCCCTGCCAACGAGCCAATAGTTCCCATATGACCATCAACCCCCGGATTTTCAGTCATTTTCTATTCCATGATTGGTTCTCCCATTACCCCAGGATCCAGACTGACTGAATTAGACCTTGGGGCATCGTCAACTAATGCATTGTGAGACCATGTGACTTTGTTGAGTCTGTATAAATACGCAAAAAATCATGACATCTGTATTAATCTTTTCCTGTGCAGTTCTCTTCACTTTTCTTCCCGAAATTATTTCATGTAACGGCACACCACTAAACCTGGATTCCAATTTATATCAATAATTCGACTTTCCCTCTCAGTCTGCACTGGTGGTGTGACATTGACGGACAATGCTTCCTTCCACATGCCTTTGAAACACAGCTTGTTATATTTACCCGTCGAGATACGTCTCCAAAATCTATCCTTATTGTTTCATATGTCTGCCAGGATCGTCACAGAGATTTGCACTGCAAGTGCTACGACTATGTCAGCAGATCCACGACGAGGCTTGGCCGTACTTCCTGACGGAATACGGTCGGCACCAGTTCCAAGGTCTGATAGAGTTCATCACATGGGTTGAAGACCCTCCATCGACTTATGTTTTGGGCTTTGTTGTTAAGGTTTGCTTTAGATTCAACGAATTGAGCTAGGATGAGATGCACTTTCATGGCGAGTATGTTTGAAATTCCTCGAGGGTATTCAGTGTACTCGTTGACAAAGGATGTTAGGCTAGATGCGGCCATATGCTCCTCATTCATGACTTGTCTCGCTGCCATTCGTCACGTTGGAAAACTCCAGCTCGATTTCCATAACAACGACATCTGGCTCAAGACAACCAGCGGCTCAAGCAAACAAAATCACTCGCAGCAGCAACTTGTCCTCGATATTATAGCTTTAAAGATGCAGAATATTGACTCACAGTAAGTTTTTTTCCAACATCCTACATGTCGACTTCTTACAACATTTCCACAATTTACACCATCTCCGCTTCTCTGGCTACACTCAACAACACCAGAGAGATTCCTGAATATCATGAACTCGTTGACAAATCTAGAGGAGTTGGAACTGATACATGCAACACCACAACTCTACCTCATAAGCGCCGATAATATCTCCCAAAAGTTTGCACTAACGGCTGACCTTCTGGCTGCTATGAACTCACCATTAAAATCAGTCTCCGCCACCTACACTGACAACAAAGCGGAGCGAACTCCACCCTATTTCACGATCTCATGGATGAAAGCATTGATTCAACATGCCAAGACGTTGCAACATCTCAAAATCCATTGCTATTATCAACCGATGCCCGCCGAAGTTTTCTGGATGCTACTTGATGTGATTGAATCACTTGTGATCCAGTCCCTGAGGCACATAGAGCTTAACGTACGGGTGCCTCATGCATGCATGAAACTAGGATCAGATTCAATCAGCCCCAATCCGTGGTTACGGGATATGAAGTGCAATTGGATCCAGCTCCATGACCTATATCGTATTTTTGATTTCAAAGAGTATCCACGCGGGCGGGCACTTTTGTAATGTCTTTGGAGAAACACCTCGTTCCAACTGTTATACAAAAGTTTTGTGACCAGTTGCGTCCCTTAGCTCATTCAATGTTTTCAGACCTCAGCGTAATTGCACCACAAATCAATCGATCCTTACTTGATCGACATCTCAGAATGCATTCTCCGGTCGTTTGTCTCAGGATCCAATACAGAATGTTACCAATACTCTGTGAATTCCAGAATTCCTTCACCTATGGCATAAGCTGCGGAATGGCAAATCAACACAATCTATCAAAATTAATAAGGTCTTTGAACAACGTTTTTACAGTGGGCAACCTTGCATCTACTAGAGGACTCCAAACGTGATGAAGACTTCATGAACCTTGGTGAAATCAACGTTATGACTGCTGAAGTTTCTATCGATCCCGTCACTTTCTCTAAATCAAACAAGAGTAAAGGCGAAGATTATCATTATGGCTCCGTGCAATGCACAGAGAGCCATCTACTTCGAGGTGATTCGTGATCTACAGACGTCTACCAAGATAACCTTTTCAAGTCTCCCCCGCGTTGCTACGATTGACCCCATTCAAGGACATGACATGAGTCAGATGTCATTATCTTGGGTTGGGTTGTTGGCATCCATGATCGCCTCGGATTCTCGAAGGAAGACCGCCGTACTAATGTTGCTCTGACTCGTGCACGTGCCGCCATGATAGTTGTCTCCAATGACACAACTCCCACAACTGGTGATGGGGTCGGTGGTCTGAAGTGGAAAGGGGAAAAGAGAAATGAGTTGCACTGGAAACACTTGCTTATTGGAACTATTCAATAAGGAATGAACGTGAAGTGTAGGTCAACCAGCCGAATACTGGAGGTGTGTACAGCCATGGTGAGGTGGAAATAGATACGAATTTTGTGTGTATACATGCCAAACGGGTTACAATGCAAAAGAGAGACATGCTGCTGTTTATCACATGCGCGAGAGTTTGGCTGGCGTAAGCTACATGGATCTCAAGGGTCTTTGATTGGTGCAAATGATCACTCAATGGACATTAGGTAGTTCAATTAAACAAGCATTCAATTCTAAATTCTTTGTCTGAAAATACTAGATGTAGAAATACTAAAATTACGTGTCTCAATAGGGCTTTGCTAGTGAATTACGAATTATAAAGTCGTTAAGCGGCTTGTAGGCCGCCGTAATTGTAGGATTCTGAATCCAAACCATGGAAATCGGAAACCGCCAACGATGACCAACTTTCTAGTCAATGGGGAGAACTTGAGCTTTCGAAATGGGTATTTAGGTCACTGTATTATTAGTAGCCAATGACTGTAGTTCAGAGAATGAATATTCAAGTTAAATTGAAAAGTAGTAAAGATCTCATAATACAAATAGTTTGGGTACATAGAGCAAAATAATTAGATAGTACATGTTGGCAAATTGGAATATACTTGAAAGATAAGCCGAAAGACACTCATAGTACTTTATTGAAATATACTTTAATAGTAATAACGTGGAGAATGATGGTCATACATAGGATAGGTAGGATAGTGAGGTTCTCGATAACCGTGAGGTCGTCGTTGAGCAGGATAAAGACTTCGGTCTGGAACAACTTGTGAAAGATTAGCATGCAAGGATGGTTTTATGTTTGTTGATTCTTTCCAACTCACCTGGCATAGCATGTCGACTCGTTGACAACATGTGTTTATCTCGCGCTAACAATTGCTGAATCATGTTTTGGGTATCGGCTATGGCTATGCCTTGGTGGTGTAACCCGTTGTACAAACGAACCAAATCATTTTGTCCATCGCCTTTAGCAGAGACGAGGCTTTCGTGTCGGTCCACAATCTCACTATCTCTTCGATGTAGTTTTCGGCTACTGAGGCTACTTCTCGATGGAGATCTATCAGAGAAGCTATCAGGATAAACAGTTCTCACACGGTGTTTTCGACTTGAAGGCCGCTCATGCATGCGATATTTTTTGGCCTCTGCTCTTGGCCTCGCATTTTTGCTTGTGTAGCGCACTTTGTCCTCAAAAGACATCGAAACAGTAGTGGCCGAGTCACTATCACTGGATTCAAAGAGAGGGTCCTCATCGGCTACGCTACTAGCCGATTCATATGAATCTGGTGTGCGAATTCTGTCAAAGATATGAGATGCACGCGGTTGCTGCTGGTGGACTGCGGGTTTTGGGATCTTGGGGTTGCTTCCTTGGGCATGAGGTGGCAAATTGCCCTTCAGATTCATATGGATGAAGGGTTCAGGCTGGGCCTGTGCATTAGGAACAGCATGAGCCCTTCTATTGTTATGAGCCCCTTCGCTAGTAACTTCTTGCCTAGGTCTCTGATCCATTGGATTATGGAACTGAGGCAACCCTCCGTTGTCAACATCTGTCCAAGGTCGGTCTTGCTCTGGAATGGGTCCTGTTGGTCCTTGATTATGTCCTGGATTATGCCATTGTTGAGGGACTGGAGCTGGGCGAACTGGAGCTGGCTGTTTATACTGTGGATGAACTGGCTGAGCACCTATGTTCGTTGGAGGAAGAGCTGGGCCATTTGGGATATCTCTTGGGAAAGAGGCAGGAGCGCCAACTGCAGGTTGATGACGGATAATGTTGTTCCGGTTCGGAACCTGGGGGCCGAGAGGGTTTATTTTTGTCAAAGATTTCTTGACAATAATATCCGCAGATTGTCCATCAAAGTGGCCTTTTGCATATACCCAGACCCATTCGTAATCCCGATCAGTGTCATTTAGTGTATTAATCAGTTTTTTCACCTCTGCGCGGATATCCCTGGCAATCCCAACTGAAATGCCTCCCTTCGCTAAAGCTTTTAGATCCCTCGATTCTTGTTTCATGCGACGCATCTCTATTTTAGAGCCTGTATTTTTACCTTGGTGTCTTTCTCTTACCCGACGAAATATCCAGCCATGATATGAAGTGTCTTTCGAGTCGCCGTTCCAGGGCGGCATTTGGGACATTTGCTTGATATTGTGGTTTTCTGCGCCCCGATTCAGAAACTCGTTTCCTGGATAGTTCATCTCAAGCCTGGCCATATTATCTGCAAGATCGTCCATGTTGGGCTGGTGCTGTAGATGTTCAAATCCTTGAGGCATATTGCCTTGCTGTGGATGTCGAGGCGGAACTGGTGCTGCAGGGGGCATTTGATGTAGAGTTCCCATTGGGAGTGCTGGAGCTTCTGTATGATATTCTGTCTGTATAAAAGTATTGCAGTGGTACTGCGTCGGGGTGAAACCAAGTCAAAAAAAACACAATCAATAGACACAGTTAACTTGATGTGGCCGGCACTAAGAAACAAAGATAGACAAATACAGAGAAGCTCCACTAGAGATGCTGGCTTCAAGGAAAAGAAGTCGAATAAATCGAATCAATGTTGGGGGGTGGAGCAAATAGATATAGCTCAGCGGACAGCGAGAACGAGGAGGGGGCTTCTGCCTGCCGCTTGCCCAGACATGCGACTCTGCAGCATCGTCTCGCAAACTTTTCGAAGGGTATGAATTTCCGAGCCATTCCTGTGCCCTGCAGCCACCAGGGCAACGAGATGTTGGATAGGCTGACACTCTCACCTTGCAGGATGCATGTCGACCCTCAGCCATAGCCTTGCGCGACTCTACCACAAGCGGGAGAGGAGGCTGAAGTCAAAGGTCGAGAATTAGTTTCACATGCCAATGAGCGCTACGCTTCTTGCGATGAGGCTGTGGGCAAACCGGTGCTACACCGGGTTCATTACTCTATTCTGATTATTTACGATTCAATAGAACAGTGCAGAATTTGCCACAGCCGCTTTCTATCTCGGGACAGTCACCTGGGGGAATTCAAGTCGGACAACCCCAAGGTTGACAACAGTCTGTCTTAGACAAAGAAAAGGATTTGATTACAGCCAATATTTCGATATTGTGGCTGTGTATGCTGTACGAGTTGGAGAGTGACTATTCACTGAGCTGAATGGTGGTATTTTTGAGAAAATTAGAGATACGCGATAACAGTTGTACGTGTTACACCAGCTTGCACCCGCCATTTCCATGTACAAAATGGAGGTGTTGAAACCTGGAGGTGTGGTCTATTAGTGGTCGGAAGAAGGTGACTTTTAGTGGTGATACAGTTCAAGACCGTGCTCGATATTGGTTGAATACGCTGACGACAACTTGACAAGGATAGCGATACACGGCGATTAATTATCAAAACCGGTGTCTGCTCGACGAATGACATAGAGATGCTGACCTGTGGGTTTCCGGCCGGGCGAAGAGAGGAGCACATGATGCGGGGCACAGCAGGCACCACCATTCGATAAGCTGCGAGGCTTCGTTCGAGGCTCAAAATATGTACAGGCACTGGATGGTGGGAAGAAACCGGTGAGGAGACTCGCCCCAGCCTTGTCGACATTCAGCTAGTACCTCCCCCACGCATGATGCCACCCATTGACTTTGAAGCTTTTACGAAAGTTAGGTGGGTTTCACAGAATTTATGAATTCTGACAAAGTCGATTCTTTGAATAGTTGTAGCCGAGCTGAACTATCGTGAGGCCGCCTGATTGTTTGAAGCGCCGTTTACACATCATCAGATATCGCGATTAACTACTACTCAAGCTTGGGATTCCACCTTGCATATCTAGGATGGATCGTCGATGTCAGAAAGAGTCTCGGATGCGCACAAATTCTAAATACCGAGACTTAGTCCACCGCCGACAGTTCTTCCCCCAGATTATCATTGGCACGGTGGTCATGACAAAAAAAAAGTCCAGAGCAGCAATGACGATAAAGGTATTCTGAACGCCTTGGCTGTCAAGCCACATGCTAGCCGTAAACGTCAAGATACACGCAATCGAGTTGTTGATGACGGACACACCCACCATTCCTTCCAAGACCATTTCCGGGTACGCGTCCATCAGATAAGCCATGCTCAAATCCCCCGTGCATCCCCAGCCGAATCCAATCAAGCCAAGTCCGACATACGGACCAGGCCACGACCATCCTTGCCCTGTGCCGATACCAAACAGCAACATTCCCAAGGGTCCTATGATAGCCAACGGAAAAAGAAACCATAAGCGATGCTCAGCCTCCCGAATGCCGCCATTTCGCTTCGCCATCCAGATCATGAACAAATCGGAAAAGTACCCGCCATAGAAACATCCCAGCACAGCGCCTATCAGACACGGCAGGTTTATCAAACCGACCCCGACATCTCCGTAGTACCACGGGGCGTCACTCCAATTATCGTCCTCAACAGTTAGGTAGAAGGTAAGCCAAGCATCCTGAACCCCCCATTGGATCCCTGAATAAATCACCGCAGGGAAAGAGAAAATGCGCATTGTATGGACAAGACGAGTGCTGTACTGCCGAAAACCAAAGCCAACCAAATTAGATGCCGGTGTTATCAAAGCAATTCGCTGCCAGTACGTCCTAGGCTGTTCCTCTGCCGTGACAATTTCATTACTGAAAAGGCCTGGAGTCTCCGGCTTCTTCTCACATGGCGCCGTTTCTGGATCTGTGGTAGGCTCTTGACTACAAATAATCGGCTTAGTTTCGTGGGCGTCTCTGTCAAACATGGTCTCTTCAAGAGTGAAAAAAAAGGTTATAACTGTGCCAACAGAAATGCTCACAGCCCACCATCCAATCCAGCGCCAGCCCAAATTACTGTCGCCGATGAATCCGGCTATGAGAGGACCTAGATAGGTGCCCACGCTAGTCGCCAACACATAAACACCTAGAAAAGTTCCACGTTGATGTTCATAGAACAGATCCGATAGCGACAGTTGAACATTAGCTTCTGCGCATGACTCAGAAATGCCAACAAAAAGCTGGTTCCAGATGGAATCTGAAGTTGACTGTGTCTTTGCCATCCAGATAGCGCCTATCAGCCCCATGGTTATACAGAAGAGATACGTAATGCGGCGCCCCCAAAGCCATGCAGCTGGAGACAACAAAAGCGTGCCATAGCCAATTCCGAGGAACAAGACACCAGCACCGGTATTCATAGCGGCGTATGAGATGCCGAGATCATCGTTCTCCCCGAACTGGGCGGACCCAGCGTCATTAGACGTGGCTGCCGTGAAGCCAGCAATGAAGCATACTAGAATAGCATGCCAGTACTTGCGAGCCTTGGGCCAGTTGAGTGGATCATTCACCGATTTTGTCGGGGGCGGAGAGAGAATGATCTGGCCATGGCTTAGCAGGCGAGAGGTACCTGGCAAGTCCTCAATGTCGGTCGTTTCCATTTTCTTTTCTTTATCCTTCCTTTCCTTTCCTGTCCTTTGGTAAAAATTGTGAGTCTGGCCTCAAGGCCAGAGCATACGTGGTCAGAATTAATTAATTGATAATAGGGCTATTCCGTGCAGTCAGGTCCTGTCAAGGGGGGCGCTCGCGATACACAAATTTGAGCATATGATCACATCTCATAGCATTGGGAGTATAGAAATAAGAGCGGACGGTAGAGAGAAAACAGAACAGGCTCAATTGAGATATATCGAGGTATCGATATTTTCAAGGGATGCAGGAAAGTTGCAGCCCCAAAACTTGAAAGTGGGTATCATGATGGTGGGTACCTGTGATGAAATTTTGCTAGCTGATGTAACCAGTAAGAACAGCGTGAAATTAAAGTGTCATTGGACGAAAGGAGAATTAATAGGCATGATTCGATGCTTATCAGTTTGAGTGTTCGTTAGCAGGTCAAGCTTTTCTGGGTGATGGCTTGGGAGCGCGTACAGAAGGCAAACTGCAGCACGTCAAGAAAAATCAGGGCCTTGGCCTTTTCTAAAACTGGGCGATGTCGCGTGCCTTCGATTTTACTTTATAGCAAATAATAATTTGTTCTTCAGTCATTGATTTAAAATTAGGTACTACTTGGCGGCTTCACATTCTGTGATATTATCTATAAAATGATCCTAATTGCACACACAGGCTACCACCCTTCGAAATTCCCGAACCCGCCTTTGGACTTAAACTTTTTCCGCGTATGCTCCACTGGTTCAGGCTCATTATCGTCCACAAACTCGACAATCTCATCATCTGTTGTGCCCCTTCTCGTGTTTTGCTCAGCCAATGCCGCTTTTAAATATTTGCCTACGCCCCCAGCATTCGCCGTACCAGACGTCTTTGAACTATGGAGACCGCGCACCCGTTTACCTGTCCATGTCACCTGATCATCGTCGACGTCCTGTGGTGCTTCTTGCTTGCTGGGGGTTTCGGCTGCGGTGCTACCTTCCGTGCTTTGTAGTTTTTGTTGAATCATAAATTCTTCAAAAGGGTCGACGAAGATGGTTACATCTTTGATGCGGATATCTGTAGTGGGTCGGTTGCTTGTCGAGTCGACCGGCGCTACTTCCATGGCATTGAGGGTCCTTGATGAGGGCGATGGGTCTTCAATGATGCGCCCAAAGACGGTATGCTTATTGTTCAGATGTGGTAGAGCCCGGTAAGCAATAAAACTAGAGTAATGTTAGCAGTGTCAAGTGACCAGATTTGAGTAAGTCTTACAATTGACTGCTATTCGTATTTTTCCCTTTATTTGCCATGCTGAGAGTACCCCTAGCATCATGTCTGAAAGGGCCGTCGAATTCGTCATCGAAATTCTTGCCCCAGATACTCTCACCACCGCGCCCTGTCCCGGTAGGGTCTCCTCCTTGGATCATAAATCCTTTAATATTGCGGTGGAAAATGACATCTTTATAGTATCCTTTTTTAGCGAGATGGATGAAATTCCAAACCGCCTTGGGTGCATATTCCGTGTGCAGCTCCAGGTTGAGGTCGCCCATTGTCGTTGAAATTTGCGCGTAAGCCTTGCCTTTAACTCGTCCTCGCTTCAGCATATATTGTTCGTCTGTGAGGGTGGCCAGCTCGGCCGCAGTGTGGGGAGTCAATCCGGTACTGGTGAAAGATGCCGCTGCAAGACCTGTCGTATGTCTAGCAGCGTTATATGGGACAGCTTTGGTCGGCTGGTGGGATTTTGTCGTCGATTTCGACTTGGTAGCTAGTGTTTTTGCATCCTTAGCACCACCTTTAGTCATAATCTGTTGGCCTTCTCGCTCCGCACGAGCCCGCGCAACCGCCTCTTTCGCCTTGAGGATTTTGGCAGAACTGCCCATCGCATTCAAATTCACGTTATTTGCCGGGTCATTCCGTTCGCGCATCTGCTCATCTGATAACCCGCTCTCGCCATCTTGGATGTATTTGAATGAACTGAGATTTCTGGATTCAACGTTTTGCGGATCCTGCAACGTGATGATATCCTTCCGACCAAATTCCTCATCCGTAACCAAGTCGCGCCACATCTTCGCTTTGACATTTAATCTCTCTACAGTATCCCATGCAAAAACATTCCCCGACGGTCGCAAAGCGACAATGTGCGTGTTATCCGTGAAAACTTTGAAAGTGACCGGATCGACATATTCGCCCGCCTCGTTCTTTGCAAAATTCAATTTAATCAGATCGGCACTTTTAAGCGGACTTCCGTCAACGGGGTTGGTACCGTGTTTCTTCAGCCATGGCAGGATATTCGTCAAATCAAATGTCGTACCTGTCGCCGTACAAACTGGGTGATTGAATGGTTGAAGCGACAGCGAGCAGAAGTTAAATGGTAATCGTTTGAAAGAGACATGTGTGGCGCCGCCTTTCTTCAAACTAGAAACTCCAGCGCCAGCGCTGGCTGAGTATGCATCTTCGGAGGCCCATTCAGAATGGGTGATCTAGGGAAAGAATGACATCAGCATAGCTCTTGAAGAAAATGCGCGACCAAGAATCGAGGGAGAGGCTGGCCTACGTAGAGTTTATCCGTTCCTAGATGCTAATCATCAGTAAATCGCATTTTTAGAAGATATGTATCGTTCTTACCTTTACCCATGTCTTCTGTCGCTTGCGCAATGGTGTTGGCCACTGGAGAAATTGGAATTGAGAATTGGAGTTGCGGAGACAGCGATGCCTGAGGTATCATTTCAGGACACCGGCGCTAGCCGCTTACGGAAAACGCAATCAACCTCTCTTTTTGGAACCCTAGCCCTAAAAGCCTCTAATCTGTAACCTAATAATTAACTAAATCTCAAGATAGTCGAGCTACATCTATTTATCTAGTACCTCTTACTATTACTCAGACATTGAAAGCTTCTACCACACCATTTGGGTTAAAAATGAATTACAGCAATGCATCCATGCAGTGTTCAAACCGATAGTACTTTATTTCCATCTAAACTGCCTAACTCGCCTAAAAATACTGCCTTAGATTGCCAGGAGTCTGAATATTGTCTTACGCTTCAATCTTGTATGCAAAGGGATGGTCGGAATCCCCAGTAAAATTCACCTCTACAGTGCATTGGACCTCGTGCATGATGGTGATCGCGGGGTAGAGTTTATAGTGAAGACTGTCCGTCCCTAGTCTCGCTATGATTATGGTTAGATCGGGTGGAAACTACCTCAGGTATTATTCAGACAGGGTCATCTTTTATCTTACCGATAAGCTCGCCGTTTCGTGTGAAGATATATTCTTTTCGATCCCAGTAAATACCCAGACTAACCTTTACACCTGCTCCACAGGTACTAGTGGTTTCCGGTTTCATCGTTTTTGAACATAGCCTTCTCCGGCAAATATACACCCGTCATCTCCGTTATATCCCACAGATGGGTAGGCATAATGCCACCGGGGCAAGAATTTATCAGTTCGACAAACTCTCCGACGAGGCCAATCATGGCATATGTAGTTGAGGGGTCCTGTGACTCATCGTTGGTCGCCTCAATTTCAAAGTACGATAGGCCTTCACCGCGAATGGGAAATGGGTGATCAGCTCGAGCAGACAATCGCCTTGGATCTGTGCAGGGGTTAGTGAAATCCAATTTCCATCCTTCCGAGCATACCCGTTAGAGACTTATGCTTTGTTTTGTATGTAAAAGAATGACCAAAAATTTCGAAAATGTCGGTGTTATCTTCTTCAGACATCCACTTTTTCTTCTAAAGACCAGATCTTCTCGTTGTGGTGGGAGTCGAAGTTCAGCAAAAGCTTTAGCATTTTGCGTGCTCTCTAACCGGGCAGTGAGTTTTAAACATTCCATCCTCTGGTTACGTATTTCTTGTCTTTCCACGTCTTAGCTTCCGAGTATGTGCCAAATAAAAACTAGGATAACTTAATTGTACGAAAGCTGAATAAGTCCACAGACTGGCATGGATCCAGACAGTGCAAAAATTTATCAATATGCTCGAGGATATCGAGTTGCCGCGAGATGAGGTAGTCAAGATCGCTCTTATTGATAAAGGCGTAGACACAGAGGATCCCGATGTCAGGGCTATTGAAAGAGGCCAATCATTTCACCGCGATAGTAGAGAGTCAACAGATGGCGCAGCATGGGATCCGGAGTTCCTCGAATGGAACTCCCGGCCCCCGATCCATTGGATACATATGGCAATTTGTATACAAAAAATCTGCCCCATGGCGAAGCTCTATGTCGCGAGAATGGACGATTCGGACCCAGAATCCCAAGAATTCACGTTAGACTTGCAATCAAGGTATGTGGATTCCTTCAAGAATTTACCGTGTTAGCCATAATTACCAAAACTTAACCATCTTTAAACCAGGCTGTGAAATGGGCCCGAGAAATGGGTGTCCACATCATCTCAATGAGTTCGTCTTTTAAGGCTAAAACCGGAGGCTTCCGCAACGAAGAGTTAAACGATTTTAGGACGGCGATTTCGAGTGTCAAAGGTGATAACATCCTGTTATTCGCCTCCCTCAATGATTCTCCGAACATCTCCCCTGACGACTACTACCCATGCGGCCTGGCCGATGTGTTCAAGATTGGCTCAGAAACCAAGTGGGGTGACAAAGCTGCCAATAGTCTTATCGGAGCCGACTTCATACTTCCAGGAGACAACATCGGTGTCGGTGGGATGCATAAAATTAGCGGTAGCTCCATTGCTACTGCGTTTGCTGTAGGGCTGGCTGGTCTGATGCTCTTCACACTTGCTGCATACAGGGACCCCAAATACAGCGAATATCAAGATAACGATGATACAAAAAGAGACGAATTGCTGAAGAATGCCCGGATAAAGGAAGGCATGAACAAGATCTTCAACATCCTCAGTGGGAATAGACAGGGAATTAAAAACCCAGATCTCTGGTTGAGCTTGGATGACAAATTCCCCGACGAAGTGGACAAGACCGATCCTGGCCCGTATGTTAGGGACTTTGTGAGAGGCATCTTCCCCATGTAGGGCTGAGGTTAAATGGTCTAGCAAGTACATTTACTTGACCCTCGGCTAATTTTCCTGATATAATGAGTAGTTGTACGTACTGCGTTGTCGGCTAGGTCAATTTGGGATGAAAACACATATAGATACCTTAACGTAATATTGGGAAAATTAATGGAGCTGCTTTCAATGAAATTAAAAGACTTGACATAAAAACACAAAGGCGTTTGCACAACACGTGAATGCCTCACATGACTACATACCAGTTGACCAATTCAAAATCTTGATATGGAATACTTTGCGTCAATGCACAAGCAATATTGAAAGATATCCAGTGATGTATTTTATAAACAAAATGTTGGTGATTAACAGCAAATGTCGAAAGAATTGGAAAACTTCTAGTCTATTTGCAAAGTATTGGTCGTTACATATACATTGGAGGTCTTCGTTACTCCTTTTACGTGTTAAAAATACATTCATTGTGCAGAAAGAAAACCATCTGCTACGATCCAGTCTTATTCAGGCAGTTGAAAGGTGGTATCGTAGTGGAACAACCCAACGATTTCCGAACTCCACGCCGTGTCGACGGCGCGTGCCATATTTCCTCCAGACAACCTGGCTAATACCAATATCGGCCACTGTAAGCTGCCATGAACTGCCTTCCCCAGATTGAAGCGCTTGCATAATCCCGGTCTTTGGTGCAGCCAGACAAACAACAACATGAGAGTTGATGCAGAGCCGTGAGTCCTGAACGATGCTTACATCACCTAATAATTTTATTGGTCAGATATCTATGGTAGTAGTGCAAGTACTGAGTGTATCTTACCAGTAGAAGCAGATATCCCAGTAGGAATATCAACGGATATGACCACCACATTGCTTCGGTTCACCCACGCGATCATTTCACAAGCTGTAGCTTGATCGTCGCTCCTCAAATCCTCAAAAGCAATATGCATGCCAAACATGGCATCTACGACCAGGTCTATGCCAAAGTCGGGTGTTGAAAGACGTGCTGATAGTTCTTCCCATCTCAAGACTCGGCCTCCGATCTTTTTGTAGATTTCAAGCTGCTTCCGGCAGTTTTCAAGGAGTTCGGTTTCGTGCTCTAGGCCCAAAACACAAAGTGTGACCCTATGCCCTCGATTCTTCAGATGACGAGCAGCCGCAATCACTCTTCCTCCAGTTCGATGGTTGCCCGTAAGTACGAGCACAGCAGGTGCGGCGACGTCGCTGCCAAGTCTGCCTACCGCAGCTTCTGCAATACCACGTCCGGCATTTTCCGTTATCATGTCTTCAGTTAAACCAAGCTCGGTCACTGCTAGCTGCTCCACCTCTAGCATTTGTAGAGGACTAATAGTTGGGCAACTCCTATTTGTCGTGGTCAAGCGTAGACTGCCAGGTGAAGTGCCAACGACCCCGTTGAGCGGTGAAGCCATACCAGGCAGTGGACTCGCGTTGCGAGAAGACGAAGGTGCAGTTCTACTGACAGATACGAGAGGAGTTGGCAACGCGGATTGTCCTATACCCGAGTTGCCCTTTTTCGAAACCACTGTTTTGCCGGACGGCTTCGATCTATCACGCCCGGAATAGTTTCCACTACTAAATTTATCCTCGCTGGCTTCCGTTTCCGTCTCACCAGCTTCACTATTCCATTGATTCGGGGTACTTTCCAGGACATTCTCCGACCAATGCAAGTTTTTACCTCCATTTGTCCCCGGACGTGGCTTTTTATTAAAGCTAACCAGACGTTCCTCCTCCAGGGTAGTGTCATCATTGCGGATTTCATCGAAAATACGACGCTTGTCAAATTTAGATAAGTTTCCTTCAAAGTCGAAATCGCCAAGCTCTTGAATATCCGTAGCGTCTTCTGTGGCCCACCCACTCGGGTCTTCGACGACAGATTTACGGTTTTTGTTTTTCCGGCGTGTAGGGTAGCCTTCACTTGCGTGATCCTCAGTAGGATAGCCCGTGTGAAATTTTGGCCGAACTGGCTCAACAAATGCGGTTTGTCGCCAACCATTACCTCTCAAATTGTTGTGATATTCATTGTCAACGTTTTCATCCCGGCCCTTGTTCCGGCCTCTTTGCTTGTTCTTCTTTTTAACTGGTTTCTCATGGGCATTCCCTTGTGCAAGAACTGGTGTTATTGTATTCACTCGTGCAGCCGTAGTATCTGCTATTTCGGCAGCCCCCATACTAATACTGCTGAATGGTTCATTCAGAACCGCGGTTACGGCAGAATCATGTCTCTCAGCAGTCCGTGAAGGATGGGCAGTCTCTGCCGAGTAAACGCTTGCTGTAGACCCTGCAACAGATCCAAAATTGGTGTTTATAGCTGCCAATGACTTCTCCAAGGAGATGGGTTTAGCTGCTCCTTTCGAGAAGCTCACTATTGCAGGGTCAAGAAAAGGCTGCTGTGTTGGAACGGGTTGAGGAGTCGGCACTGGTTCAGGCTGTGGTTCACTCTTCCTTAGGAGAGGTGCTCTGTTGATTTGATGTGATGGCGGCTGGTGTTGCGGAAGGTCGTTCTGTGAGCTAGACACCTCGAGGTCTGCAATTCCCGGGGCGTCAATGTTGTACGATGGAAATTTTTGGCCGTTCCACAAAAGAGTTACTGCCAATTTTAGTTTCACGGAGGCGCAAATTATCCCCAGCTAAGCTTACCATTTTGCAAGGTCAAACGTTGACCTAAAATGTTAGAAACGGTGCCTCGGATCTGCGCGTGTGGAGGTGACTTCAGGGTAACGAGAACGGCGCAGCCAACGAAATCGGACGCCATGGTGATAGAAGAATATTTGGCCTGTAATATAGTGAGCGAATGTATACAGAATCTACATTCTCTGTCGGTTCTTTGTCGAGCTTGGATAGGATTTAAAAGTGAGGTGGAGAGAAGTGAGGTGTTTTTCGTTGTGGAGAATCCACTGCAGCTCTCACGATGAACAGAACCAGATACGGCATATCGTCACATGACCCTTATCGATAAGCTCTTTCATCCCCGCCTTTCATCTTCAGTGCTGACACTACAAAATAATTAAGTGATTACTTTGTATTCTTTATTTCAATTGATCATAACAAAGGATTTTTCATAAATGTCGGGGAAAGACCTCAGATCTATCAGGCAATAGCCAACATATAACTTCAATATTCAATGTTCATGCAAAACTTCACAATGATGGGTCCTAAGTATCGTTTGCAACAGAAGTATATATTTGATACTGGATTGATTATACCCATCAATATTACGTTCTAGGACCTATATATTTATAGACTTTGAAAAGAGCGTTTCCAGCCCCGACTTGGTGAATAAATAAGAGTTATCCGGGTGCGAAGCTGTTTATTTACTACATCAAACCCAAATGTACTCGCATGATTAACCACCAACACGGCACTCATTTGTTGATTGTTTCTCTCAACTCTTTGGCTCATTATCTCCTTTTGATCACCGCGTTTATGTCGGTTAAATTGGAGTAAAAGTGGGTGACTTTCGGGTGCACCATAACTTTTCGCGGATCAAATCCGGATACTTGGAGGCCAGCTTGAGAGGTGGCACGACTAAGGGCAACATAGGCCTGGCCCTTCTCAAAAACACGACCCAGGTCCACTTTGACCCGCTGTAAGGTTTGGCCTTGGGCCTTATGAATCGACAAAGCCCACGCTAATATAAGTGGTACCTGAGTACGCTGTGCTTGAATTTCACCATTGGGCAGTTCTATTTTCCAGGCCTCTGGCTGGCAAAGAAGATGTCGCTCAGTGCCGTCTGGTTGAACAAAGCAAACTAAAGGCCATTTCCGACTTGTAGTTATGCCTCCCTCTTTTGCATTTGCAAGTGCCTTGATCTTCTTGCGAGCATTACTAGTTTGCTCATCATCGCTTCGTTCTCCACCATCAGCCGCAAAGTCATCTTCATTAGTTCTGTAGTAATCAAAAGTCGCCTCGTCCATGAAGGCCACAACTTTCCCGGTGGAGCCATTGACTAGAGAATCTTCCATGTTTTTAATGAGCATGACCTGAGCCCCTTTCTTTAGATGAATCACTGGTGGTGCCATGCAATTCGATAAAAGCCTATCCCGCATTTGAGGGTCTTGGATAGTTCCAGAATCTTGAGCATTGAAAGTCATTACTTCTCCAGAAAGTCTGCTCATACGTTGCGAATTGGCATTCTCTACCTCGAATCGAGTAGGGAAGCTGGCTTGTTAACAAAACTTCAATTAGAGGACACAGTGTAACTCACAGCTCAGTCGCATCTATAGCGTCATGAAAGTCTAGTGGACGTGAGAGCTTTCTGAAGGCGTCAGTCGTCGCGGGAGATATCTTTCCTAATCTCATCTCGTTTAACATATCTGCAAAAACAGGATCTTTTTGTCGAAAAACGTGCGTTAATAATATGGTGTGTTCAATCGATGTACACCAGGTGGCGGCATCAAAGGCAAATTTGGCTTCCCGGGAAGAAGTCTCCGGTACAGGAGGAAGTTGGAAAAAGTCCCCAGTTACGACCAGTTGTATTCCTCCAAAAGGTCTCCCATTATTTCGGATACGTCGCGCAATCTCTTCCAGTTTGTCAAAGAGATCCCCGTCCACCATGGACACCTCATCAACGATTAAAACCTTTGTCCGCAACCAACGATTCCGAGCCTTTTGATTCTTTTTAACCTGTTTGGTATTAATATTATACCTGATATATTGTAGAAATTGTTACTTGCCTTCTTGACAAGCTCTGCTGCGGGTTCTTTTCCTAATCCAATACCTGCGAAGCTATGCAACGTGACACCTTCAATGTTACAGGCGGCTAGGCCGGTAGATGCGGTCACAGCGACACGATCAGGCTCTCGTCTATATTTGTCCCGAAGCTTTTTGATAATCTCTCTCATGAGAACGGATTTACCAGTACCTGCCGAGCCTGTGAAGAATATGCTTTTCCCTTTATCAACAACGGCTTCGAGGACACCACGCTGTTCATCACTCAAGAAAAGGGACGCAACTCTTTCACGAGGGTTTTGTTTTTGATTGTCACCCACAGAAGCCATCTTCTTTTTGCTCAACTTTCTCAATTCCTTTTGTTCATCTTTCACAGCGCTTGCAGTTTTGTTCCATGGCATTTCGGATTTTTTGGTAACAGTCCGCTGGGGTGCTGGCGTTACTGGATCTTTACGACAGGTATAAGACTCATTATCTCCCCAAGGCAATATCCGGCGTTTCTGGGGTGGTGGCAGGTGATGTGAAGGAGGCGATGATGACCACGGAATCGGCGCGCTGCTTTGCGATACTGCTTCTCGATGTGTTTGATCCAATTGTGAGAGCTCGGGGTATTTCACATCATCCTGAAATGAGGCCGCCCTACTGACAGGCACTGTTGAGCCTGTGCTGATATGGGAAAGGTCAGGATAACTTGGGGTATCACCACTTGTCCCTTCCCGTTTCGAAAAACTGTTGGACACAGATGCAGTTTTTTGGCTAGGTGGAAGAGGATCGGGGGCCTCAAAGTCTAGATCATCGTCATCATCGAAATCATTTTCGTCGAAATATACTTCATTGTGCAGCGATCCCAGCATAGAGAGTCCGGAATTGGCCATATCGAATTTGCGCTTAGCCCCAGCAACAGACGCGTTGGTTTTGGAAGTCGAAAAGCTGTTCGAGTTCAATAGTCCAGTATTTGAGTTCAGAGGCTTCATAGGCCTGGGGTGTTCTTTGACGGCTTTATGGAACATCGTAAAGGTTGGCTTGTTGCCTGGACAAGTTGAGAATCGCGGCAATGCAAATGTTCTCGAATTCAAGAATAGAGGCTGGATAAAGACCACGCCGCGTAGCCTTTGAGAGGGAAAGTACATAAACTCGATCTATAAGCAGTGAGTGGCAGCGGCGTAAAAGAAGGACATTGCTGAATGAGTGAATCTATGCTCACTGATGTTATTGAATCCACCGTTAAGTGTGTTTCGCGTATCGCCGATAATGCTAAACGCGCCAATTAAATCACATGACGATAATCCTTTCTCGAATACTATTCCAATCTAGACCCTACATTTGGCTCATATCTGGCCAATTTTCTATTGTCTAACAGATACTGAGGAGAAATTGTTTATTTTCTTCTCTTAGCCCTAGTTAAGTACCAAGGAATCCCTTTATATGTTGTGAGGCTGTCCCTTATTCGCCTTTGATCACGTGATATCGTGTCGTGACGCGTGTGGGGATTTCGCGCTTAAAGTAGCAGCAACAAATCTCCGGTTGCAATTGTGCTTCAACAATGTGAAGGATGGCAGATGGAGCCGTGAAGGGTAAGAAATACCTGGGATTCAAAAGAACACTGACTTACTATGGCCAGATAAGGAGCGGCCGCTCGCCGGCGTGGTTCTTTGCTTCACGTCCATTCTCCCGGAGGAGAGGGTAAGAGACAAAACCACTGGATACCCCCACATTTTACTTATTCTTTGATTGTAGACGAAGCTGTCTGAGATCGCTGACCAAATGGGTGCCATTCACAAATTCGATCTAACCTCGGACGTAACCCATTTGCTAGTTGGCGAAACGAACACGGAGAAGTACAAATTCGTGGCTAGGGAACGGAGTGATATGCTAGTCTTGATGCCAGAATGGATCGAAGCCGTCAGATTGGCATGGATGGAGGGGGGAGACACCGATTTGAAATCATTGGAACAGAAGTACAAGCTTCCTACGTTTTACGGACTTTCCATATGCGTTACGGGGTTCAATGATAGTAAGGAATGCGCTTTTGACAAATTAGATGCCAGACTGATGAATGCAAGTGCCATATCGAAACTATATACAGGAGTCAACGGTAGCGAACGGTGGTGAATTCAGAAAAGACCTCACAAAGAGTGTCACCCATCTAATCGCCCAGCAACCCAGTGGTCAGAAATACACGGTGGCAACACAGTGGAAAGTCAAGGTGGTGACGGCACAATGGTTCACCGATAGCTTGGAACGGGGAATGATCCTTGACGAATCTCGTTATGACCCCCTATTGCCAGCCGAAGAACAAGGTGTTGGGGCATGGAACCGCACATATTCGCATGTGTCAAGCAAGCGGAATAAACCTACGGATTTTTCAAACACCAGAACCCGGAAACTACGGAGGGTAGCGAGCAGTAAACTAGGCGACCAAAATGAAGGTATTTGGGGTGATATAATGGGTGGGGGATTCGATACGGTAGAGAGGAATCCTTCTATATCAATAGATTCAAAAGCAGAAGACGAAGTAGTCGATCAGGAGACCCAGGACATTGTAAAAAATGAGTCTCTCGATAAGGATAAAACTACTGGTCGAGGAATCAATATTCCTTGGAACGAACAAGAATCGCAACAAACTAAAGGATTCCTGCAGAACTGTTATTTTTTTATTCATGGTTTCTCATCCAAACAGGTTAGTATAACTTTACTACGGCTCACTTATCAATACTGACAGATTAGGTCGATGTTCTTCGACACCACCTCACTCTAAACGGAGGCCAGGTTGTCAATCACCTTAACGAATTTTCGAGCCACAAAATTCCCAAGACTGGCGAAGGCTTATACATAATCGCCTCTTATAAAATACCTCGGTCTGCGGTCCCTTCAACAGACGATGAAGCTTTCCAATGCGAGATAGTCACAGATATGTGGCTAGAGCGTTGTTTGGAGGCTAAAGCTCTTGTCTTACCGGAAGCTCATATCACTAGCACGCCGTTTCCAACACTTCCTATACCTGGTAAGTCGTATGTCAACAAACTTCAGCACGTATTAACAAATAAAGGTTTCGACGGATTGAAGATTTGCTCGACCGGGTTCACTGGTATTGATTTACTACATCTATCCAAATTAGTTAATGTTATTGGTATGTACTTCATGATTCTCTTGTTCTTACACATGACTTCTTTCTGACTAGATAGGTGCCAAATACGACGAGTTTCTCACACCGAATGTCTCGGTGATGATATGTAACGACCAGCGCAATCTGAATGCCGAGAAACTCCGACATACTCTCGAATGGAAGATCCCTACTGTCTCAGCGGACTGGTTATGGATCTCCGTCAATTCTGGGAAAAGAAAAGCATTTGAACCGTATCTGGTGCAAAAGCTAGTTTCACAAAGAGAGACCACTCTTAGAAAAAAAGATTTCAAGAAGACCCAGCAAAAGCCGAATATACCAGGTGCAAGGGAAAACGATATGCAGCAAGATCTAGTATCCTTGTCTAAAGCGAACCTGCTTCCCGAAAAAGCCGACCGCTCGAGATCTGCATCTCGTGCTGTTGAAGATTCATTTGAACAGACTAACAGTAATTCCACAACAGACCGTTCTGCGTCATTCCATAAAGACGAGGAAGCCCCGTTAGTACCCACACAACCCTTATCCCGCGAGTCTAGAGACCAAAAACGATCATCACGAGACCCATCCAAGGCTTTGGAAGCCGCGATGAGTGGGATTCTCAGACAAGCTAGAGAGTATTCTCGCACAAACAGCGCCTCGGGGGAGAACGGTCCTCGAAAACGAAGACCAAACCTAGGAAGAACCAACTCATTATCATCCGCAAAGAGCGGTTTGCTGAGAGCCGACTCTCGTGCCAGTTCTATCGACACGCTTAATGAGGACGGGTATGGGAGCACAGTGAGCACCGACGCCGAAACCAAGAACTCGATCATGAGTAAATTGCCTGCCAATGTCCGTACACAAAGCTTTACTTCTCTCTCAAACGGAAGCAAGTTTCCTGGATACATTGATTCGCCATATAACGAAAACGATGATCTACTAGGGGGTGACGGCGAAACCCCCGCCATGACTCAGCTTAATTATGAAGATCCGGAGGCAATGGCCGTCCGCGAAGAGATTATGAGATTGGCGAGTAGAGGAAACGTTGACGAGACTTGCATTGCCGAGAAACTCAACCACAAGCCCGCGCCAATGCAGCCTGTGGTAGTCGATGAGTTGCCCTCGCTCAGGGGTGATATAGAAGGACACGGCGGAGCAGCGAGGCGTTCGCGCAGATCTGCAGGCAAGAGAAAAGAAAGTGACAATGATGGATTCTAAACGTGATGAATTATGAGGTGTTTGGGGGTTTATGCATTGCATCGATGGCATGGTAATGGCGCTGGTTTTTGTAAATACTTATAAGTTTGCTGCAGAGCCCGTTATCAGCAACAAGCATGTAGTTCAACTTATTGCATTGTTGGAGTGTATCTATAAATGAAAAGGATTGATAACATAAACTTAGGTCTTGCTACCCAGATTATGCCTCAATTGATGTGAAAGGGCACATTTATGATATAAAACTACCAGTGTTTTTTAAAATATAACACTATATCATAGTTCAGTCTGAACCTGCTTAGTACAATACACTTGCAATTGTCAAAGAAAGGATCATTTGTAAGAATGTTTCTTTGCCGAAAACACCAGTATGCGCCGCCAATATTGTTGTCAAATCTGAAATCAAGTCGTGAAGAGAAGAACGAGAGAAATAATACAGATAATTTGTGAGGAGGGTATTGAACAATCAGTGAAAACAAAGAGACATGCATGGTTCATGAAAAGAAAGTGCAGGAATAATGGCTTGATGGAGAGAATACAAGCTTGGGTCTATCTCAATAGTGATGATATATAAAAATTGCTCGAATTAGGCCATTCATTGGGCCAAAGCGCCGGGAAGAGGGCCGTCAAGTTCAATTTGATCCACATTCCTTCGGTTGTTTTGGGACTCACGGAACAAGTTAGAGAAGTACTTCTTTGCAACTTCACTTTCTTCTCGGATCTTGCTGACGTCTTCCCTGCGACGTCCGAGGTCCTCAATCTCTTGAGAAAAACTACTGTGCAGACTTGCGGCTGGCATTCGCAGAACCCGGCGGACTTCAGCGGCTATTCGCGAGGCGTTGGAATGAACATAATCCACTTCGGCTAGGGACGCAGCTAACTTGCGTGAGAGTCGAGGTGGAAGAGTTTGAGGGATGACAGAAAGCATGTAGGCCGCAGTGAGAATGGCTATATGGTTGAGGATTAGCGATCTGATTCTGATAGATAGATTAAGTGAAACTTACCAGCAGCAACCATTCCGGGGATAATCATTCGCCTCATGTTGTTCGAGCCAAGTACCTTTGCAGCACCAAAGACGCCGTCAACCCACCCAAAGCCACCAATAGCACGTCCACCAAGTACAGTGACAGCGGTCATGGCAAATCCTGTTCCAGCAACCTTCTCCTGTCTTTCCCAGAGTCCAGGAATATCAAAAAAGTCCCAAAGTTCAACCTGCGTATCAACCTGTCTGGCCAAAGTATGGCGACGTCTGCTGAACATATTCTCAGCCCGAAAGGTAAGAGGAGGAAACTTGTTTTCTCCAACGTGAAGTAAACCGACTTGCTGAATGTAAGTCACTCCCTGGACAGTCTTTGCACGGGCGTAATTCTCGCAATTAGATACGGACTCTGAGATTTGGTCAAGCATTGCAAGCTTGAGATCTTCAGCGTACTGGAATACAGAGAATAGACCAGGATACGTAACACCGAGGTCGTTGTAAGCAACTTTTTCTATGGTGTCGTTCAAGGTGGAGCGAGTGTGCTTATAGACGTCTTCGCATGATTTGTCTATCGATGTGTCGACCTCGTCTGTAATTGCACCCTTCTTCTGCTTCTTATCCTCGTACACAGGAACAATTTCTTCAAGTTCCTTATTGACGCGTTTGAGCTCTGACTCAGCCACATCTCGGTTTACTGACGCTAGAGCATTGAGATCAGCCAAAACATTAAGAAGATACGTTTTCGCCGGTGCCAATTTTGAACGCGCACGCCTCTCAAGAACGAATCGTCGTAATGCACTCTCAAGCTTCTCAAAGTCTTCTATTTTTTCCTTCTCTTTGCCCTTGCCTTTGTCCCTCTTCGGCTCTGGATCTTTGCCATTGCCTTCATTATCATCACCACCATCTCCGGGATCATCATCAGAGGGATCCGCACCACCGCTTCCAGACCCAGAGGAGCTCACCATAGATCCAGGAGCCACGGGGATAGCATTGCTCGAGACAAAATGGACAAGCTCCGCAGAGTCTTTGAATGTCTGGGGACTCATCTTCGCTATTTGGTCTAGAACCATCCGTTGACATCTGTTCTTGTCCCTTATGTTATCAAATCCGTTTACGACCATAAACATGTATGCCTTTTCGTTAGCAGCATTCATGATGAAGTCTCTAGCAGAAAGTGTGAAATGGTTTGCGGCAGACACAACGAATACCACGACATCAATCTCTTCTTGCCGTGCAAATACCGCGGTTGTCTTGACGGAGTCGGAATTTAATCCAGGGGCATCAATAAGCGCAATATCAATAACGCCATTATTGAGAAGAGACTCGTCAATACTTCTCACATCTTTAACATAAACCTTGCATTGCATATACCTTGAGTTGTCGATTACAATGCTCTCGAGCTCCGATAGAGGGAAAACATCGTATGTGCTTTCATTATTGCGGTTGTAGGTTTGGGCTTTGTGGATAGCGTGGACTTCTTCGATGCCGTCATTTTCTCGCGCATCGACAACTTCGCAGAAGATACTAGTGCAAGGTTGCTGGTCTTCTGGCAGGATCTTGCGACGCAACAAAGCATTGCAAAATGTTGATTTTCCAGCATTGAGATCACCGGTAACCAGCACTTTGCTGGACTTGTCGTCAATGCGGTCGCGGAGTGATAAGAGGTGTTTGATGCTCTGACTAATCTTGCCATCCAGCAATGAAGCAATGGACGTTTTCTCAAGTGAATGGACTAGCTCGGCCTGTGACAAAGCGCCAAGTTTAAGGTCCAACTTTAATATGGAGAATTCTTGGGCGATTTGAGGTGTCATCAACCTTGGTTCAGTCGATGCACGACGTTCAGCTGCCGCACTTGGCTCCCCAGGCTCCCCATTGCTCAGAGATGTCATCGCACGCTTCAGTTGGGTTGGCCGCGATGGGGATGTTTCCTCACTATTAGCTCCTCTATATTCAGATTGAGTATGGTGTAAAGAGGGTCGATGTGAGGGCTGCACAGATGGATAATGGGCTGGCCATTGGCGGTTCATCTCCTGTAATTCCTCCAAGATTTCTTTGGTGCGAGAAATAGATCGTCCCAGTGCCTTGCGGTTATAATTACTAGATGAGAAAACAAACGATCAGATAAGTTTGTCCGAGGTAGTAGGGAACAATGCGTGCACACATACTATTGGAGTTGGACGACATGGTCTGAGAGAATTTGTCTTTCACTTTCGGCTGTTTCCAAGTTGTGGTTAGCTCAGCTCATAGAGATCAACACTTTTCCAGTTCATCGCGTACCTGCCGGGTTGAACTCGCCAGCTGCTGTGGGTGTATGGGGAGGTACAGGTCGGTCCTCCAGGAGACCTGTGCGCCAGTTGGTAATGGGATCGTCACCTCCTATCGAACTATCTCCAGCGATGCTTCCTCCGTAACCAGAGTCCTGGTTTAAAGATGCAATCAAAGCTTCCGCTGCAGACGAATTCGATCCATTACCAACGGTGAGGTACTGTGGTGGCGCGTATGACAGCGGGTTTTCTTGGGTGTGGCGGTCTCGCTCCTCATGTCGGTGGCTGGAGGATCCCTCCCCCCGCGACGAATCGCTCTTGTTGGGAAAATAATCCTGACTCATCGTGCGCAAAGTCGACGAACGCTACCTGAGCCAAAAAATGGCGATGTCCATAAGATACAGTTGGAATCCGTGCAAGCCGAGTAGAAAAGGAAGAGAAACTTGGTCCGCGCCATGTTTGGGCCTCGGAGAATTAAATTGATGGGATGGCATGATGACAAAGTCTTGGCAGAGTCTTGGCAGGCCGTTCTCCGTGGTGGATAACTAGTCTGCCTGGTGTGTTTGTCGTGCTGATGTGCGGCAAAATCAGTCCTTGACTCCATGGAAAGATTTTTTGGTCTCTGTCTCTGATTCCTGTCCTGCTCTCCGCGTCTCTGCCGTATCAACGACCCCCCGGTACCGCTTTTATCTTGGCCGCGATGAATGTGAGTGCGCCGATAAGGCTCGCAGCGTTTCTTGGACAACCCCCGCTAACCTGTCTGTCGCCTGCCTAGATCATAGAATGGGCGTTTGGAAAGCGCATGACGCCTGCTGAGCGCCTGCGCAAGCATCAGCGTGCTCTAGAACGGACACAGCGAGAGCTTGACCGAGAGCGGGTCAAGCTGGAGAATCAAGAAAAGAAGCTGGTTCAAGACATCAAGAAGAGCGCGAAGAATGGACAAATCGGTGCTTGCAAGATCCAGGCGAAGGATCTTGTCAGAACCAGGAGGTACAGTTGTCTTGAGAACCGCCTAGCTCACTGGCAACGGCTAATTAACGCTTGCTCGCTCAGGTACATCCACAAATTCTATTCTATGCGAACACAATTACAGGCAATATCTCTAAGAATCCAGGTATTCGGCGGCCCGATCCTGATCTTGGTGTTTTTATTAATCATCTTTGTAGACGGTTCGGAGCAACGAACAAATGATGCAGTCGATGAAGGGCGCTACCGCGCTTCTAGGAAGCATGAATAGGCAGATGAACTTGCCAGCTCTGCAGCGAATAGCCATGGAGTTCGAACGTGAGAACGAAATTATGGACGAGCGTCAAGAGATGATGGATGACGCTATCGACGAAGCCACCGGTCTTGAAGACGAAGAGGAGAGCGAGGATATTGTAAAGGAGGTCCTTGACGAAATCGGAGTGGATCTTGGCCAGGCTGTATGTTTCCTATCCTCTGTATTCCCGCTTCCCCTCCTCCTCCCTTCATTTAAGCCATAATACCAGATTATACTCTACATGCATATTCTGACAATTCATAGCTTGGAGACACCCCGACTGGTATTACCAAAGAGAGCGTAGGCGAGACTCGAGTGGCGCAAGCGATTGGTAGTGGGTCTGGGGAGGACGATGACCTTCAAGCCCGCTTTGACGGCCTTCGAAGGTGATGCGGTGATGCGATATATACATATTGTGTCTACTAGTGATGTCTGCTATTTGGAGTCAGGGAGTTTGGGGGCTGCTGGACATAGAAGCATGGACCTTGCACCATGTTCCAGCATTACGAAATTTGAAGACAATATCATATTGTGTTATTGAGCGGAGCGCCGTGTTTATGGAGAATGAAAGTGTGCAAGCAGTAATTAAATTGATTAAATTGGTATTGTATGCAGAGTCCCCTAGCGATAGCGGCCATGGTGCTATAGGCGGGGGTGGCAGCTTGGAATATTCCATATTCCATCATAGTGGGGTAGCACCTGGTTAGTAACGTTACGTAGTAAGTTAAGTCCGTGTAGTCTGCAGCCTATACTCCTCCTCTTCCCGCCAGCTGCGCCTCGCCTCGCCCAAACGGCCATTCTGAAGCCGTCTCCAGCAACGCCTAATTAATCGTTCTGCCATTCGGTGCTTGTCAATAGTTGGGCTAGTGCAGCCTGGTGTCCACGGCGTCACGCTCTAATAATAGTGCGAGCCTACGAGCGCTAGCTAGCGGCCTACCTACCCACTCGATCTTGCTCTCTCCCCAATACAATCAGTAGTAATAGTCTATTGTCTCGTCCCCCTCGCTTTCCTGCCGGGCCTTCCAACCTAGCGCCTGCTGACTCGTTCTTACGGCACCGACGACCGCTTCGCACAAGGCATCTCACCGTCCCGGAGGCCCATCAAAGATACCACAGCACGAATCGCGCTGATCGGGCTGATTGAGTTCCGTCGATAGTGTGTGCAGGCCTCATCCGCCGTCTTCCAACCTTGAGAGTTGACGATCAACCGCAGTCACTGCCACAAGTTCCGGTCGAACTGGTAGCCTGTGTAAGTACTCGAATTTCTATACTGGTATGCTCTACTTTGACGAGCACGATGCGAATGCGTTTTTCAGTTCACCTCATCTGGGCTCTTTTGCGAACAACGTCATACCTGTCACCGCTGCCTGTTACCGTTCCAACGAGAGACTAACATTTCTTAACAGTAGTTTACCACACTTCCTCCTGTTAACCTACGTCTACCGCCTTCTCTGTTCCCTGCACAGCGTCTAGTCCTTTATCATTACATTCGAGCAGGGTCTTGTTTTGGCATCACTCGCATTTGTCAGCATCATCCCCGATACCATAAACTATCAAGCTGGCAGGAAGTAAGCGCAGAAGTTTCTCTTCTCAGGGTGGGTTGCTGAACAGAATGTTCGGTGGCTCCACGAGCCCACCCAAGGAGAAAACTGATTTAGTGTCGCCAACTGAAACAAGCCCAACGTCGCTGACTGTCAATACTGAGAACATTGGAGTAGTACGAGAAAAGCGAACTCCAACGTCGTCTGGACCTCTTAGTAGGAAGCATAACGAGGATCAATCTGCTGGCGAGAGGAAGCGAAGAAGTAGTTCGGTCAACAAGGCTGCTTCGTTTTTCAACAGTGCGAAGAACTCCTTTCATTTTTCAAGCCGGGAATCATCGCATAGCCAGCCCCAGACTCCTCAGACCCCTCTTCAGAGGCTGGGGAAAATGGACCCCGCCTTGATTGTGCCTCAAGGTTCCTTTAACAATTCGGCCGGAGAATCCGCGCCAACGTCGCGTTCATCATTTCGAGTCGGTGTTACCGAGGATCGAAATCGAAAATGCCGTAGGACGATGGAGGATACGCATGCATATCTCTACCATTTCTTAGGCACCCCTACCCCTACTTCTGGTGCTCCGCCGATCAGTAGTAGCCAGTCCAGCAATGTGGCTGATAAATCCACAGATGAAGATGAGCCTACACACGTGGTTGAGACAGACAACGGTTATTTTGCTATCTTTGACGGACATGCTGGTACATTCGCTGCAGAGTGGTGTGGAAAGAAGTTACATCTCATTCTTGAGGAAATCATGCGCAGATATCCCAACACCCCGGTCCCTGAATTGTTAGATCAAACGTTTACTAGCGTTGATCAACAGCTGGAGAAACTACCCTTAAAGAACAGTGGCTGCACGGTTGTGGCAGCTGTCCTACGTTGGGAAGACCGTGTAGCCAGCTCACAGTCTGCAACAGGCTCTGTGCCCATAGCTCCAGCTGCGACCCCTTCAAATAAGGCTGAAACTGCATCTAACCAATCTTCTGAGTCCGTTCAAACACCTACTCAGTCGGGCCAACCTTCGAGTACCTCGCAAGTGGAATCAGCATTGCCGAAACTCCAGGAACCTGCCTCTCGTCAACGTGTTTTATATACTGCCAATGTCGGCGATGCAAGAATTGTTCTATGTAGAAATGGGAAGGCTCTCCGGCTGTCATATGACCATAAAGGTAGCGACGAGAATGAAGGGAAACGCATTGCTAATGCTGGCGGTCTCATTTTGAACAACCGTGTTAACGGTGTACTTGCTGTAACAAGAGCATTGGGCGATACATATCTTAAAGACTTGGTGACTGGCCATCCGTACACTACAGAGACCGTCATTCAACCTGACCAAGACGAGTTTCTTATTTTGGCTTGTGATGGGGTAAGTTATAATATTCTTTTTCTGAAAGCTGCTTACTGATCGGCCAATAGCTGTGGGATGTGTGCACCGACCAAGAAGCGGTTGACTTAATACGCAATATTAAAGACGCCCAAGAAGCATCTAAGATACTTGTTGACCATGCATTATCACGCTTCAGTACAGATAATCTGTCGTGTATGGTCGTTCGCTTTGACGCCAATCTCATTCGAGACGTCGTTGAGCGACGTATCGAACCAATTGGAGTCGAGGGAGACCCGTCCTCTAAAGGAAAGCGTGGCGTCAGCGAGGCCGATAAGATAGTCGAAAGCGCAAAGAAGCAGCTGGAGGATGCAGAAGCAGATGACACTGTGCCAGTCGATATCGGCCTCAATGCTAAACTCAAGGATGAGCTAGTTGAACAGGCATCTAATGAATCGCCGGGTCCTGAAGTTACTCAAGATAAGCTGGTGGCAACGTTAGATGCACAGGAGACTGCCAATGCTGAAAGTGACGCATCAAAGTGACACAAGTTTTAAACATTCAGTGGAAGGGAAATGATATCCCATACCTTGTATCCTTCTTGAAAATGATTCAGTTCGACCAGTCTCGATCCAACAAATCCTGTTATACCAAAGTATGGATTGAGTTTCATGACCCGATCTAACTGTTGTGTGACTATCTGGGGGACGCCTTCTCTGATGATTCTTCACGAATTGTATTATTGGTTGGGGAGTTGCAAAGACTGCAAACCAGTCTGGTATTGTCTGGGATAGGAATTTATGGTCTCGAGATTCCTTTGACGCCATGTAGATTTCTGTGTTTCATGAATTTTAACAATTATCACGTTTCTTATTGAAGACACACATGTGGATGTATGTATGTATGTACGTAACGTCGTGATGTGGCCATGTCTCAATGTTGCCATTCCACTATATCAATTGATTGAGAAAGCATCAAAATGCGGTTTTATTTTCAGCAAGAGACTTATCCTATTGTAGCCAGCCTCCCCAGCGCCAAAACGCAGCTAAACGAAGTCATGGTACATGATACATATGATACAATAAGATGCAAAAAAAAAATGCAATTGCATGAACAAAGAAAGTTCTTCCGGCTGTATCTCACCATAGATTATGGACTCAGATTGGTTTGTTTATTTAGGAAAGCCTCAAGGAGTGGCTTCCTTTTCCACGAATTCACCATGAGCTATAACACCCTCACCCATGCCCTTCTGGCCAGGAAGAATATGATCCCTGGCCAACTCCAGCTCACCATGACTAACACGCTCCGGCCATGACCGGGCGTATTGCGCATCATGAAGATCGTTCCACAGAATCTTAACCTGCTTTGCTTCCACGGCATACTCTCCTACGCCCGTGGGATCCTCGATCTTGATATCCGCGGCCCGTTGAAGTGTCTTTTCGAATTCACCGACACGCTTCGCGGCGGCTTCCGTAGCTTCTTGTTCCAATTTTCTCGCGTGCCGCCTACGCTTACGAGCCTTCCGTGTGATATAACCTCTCTTTCCCGATGCAAATCCATTTGCAATCTCTTCTTCTTGAATGGCAATTACGGCGGCAACATCTGCGACGCTAGTGGCCTTTTGGTCCATCACGGCTCGTGCTCTATCCCGTGGCTTCATCAAGGATCCAACCCGGTCTTTCCATTCCTCCTCGAATTCCTCGACTTTCTCGGGATTTCTGGGCTTCCTCTTATCCAGCCACTCTTGCGTAATAGTCACCATTTCTCGTGGTGGAGCTAATTGCCGCTGTTTCGAGAATTCGCGCAGAAGATGGTAGGCACGCAGGCCGACTTTGGCATCATCAAAGTGAACCGAGTAGAATGGAACCCAAACATCCTTCCGGAGGGTGGCAGGGACGGTTTTCTTCCCGTGGAATATCATTTGCGCTAAGACAGTGTTTTTCTGGTAGAGAATCATGAATAGTCAGCTTTGGGGTTGTTTACTCTCTAAGAAAACTGAGGGCGAGTCTACCTCAAGATACCGGGTCAGTGAGTAAACAACTTGATTTGTCCTCAAATTGTTATAGACAAAAATGTTCCGGCCATGGGTGATTCGATTCAATGCCTTCCGCAGTCGGGCACCTTCAAGTTTCTGGTATTCCTTGTAGGCGACGGACGCAGGGTTACGGGGCTTGCCTTGAATAACGGTTTTGGGGTCGACGGGCGGGTAGCGGACGAGACTCCATGACGGGATTTTTGTGGGATCGAGTGTCTTGGAGTCTTTAATGGTGAACTTTCGCAGCGAATTGGAGTTTTCGAGCTGAGAAAGAAACCCGCCAATGCGGCTGGCCTGCCGGCGTAAGCTCATTGCGCCTGGGCCAAGTGTATCGAAAGGGAGACACCGAGCTGGCTATGGATTGTTCATCCGCGGTAAACAGCGGCCATTCAATGAGGGTAGTGTGGTGGCGGTGCGGTTGATGTCGATGTCAATAATGCAGATAGAATGGCCGGGTCTAATTTTTGAGGATCTTGCTGGCTGGGCTTGTCCCGATTTGGCGCGGCTCTCGGGCTCCCGCGTCACTCGCCGCAAGAACTCCAACCGCGAGCGCCGACATGGATGAGACAGCTTCAGATGACGTATCGTTAGCCTTGTATCAGATAACCAGTACACTCTGAGTTTATTCGCAATGCTACAAGCTATATGCTAGCAAATGATGCCCCAATCACCGCCATCCACCTCGTGATTGTTTAAGAACCGCCAGCAATGTCTGACCCCCATGGCAACGGCAAGGAAGCTGCGGAAGCCCATCGCGAGAAACCGCTGTTCTTCTCCACGGTACGAGATGAATGCATCCAATGCTCTTTAATAATATGTGCTGATGATGAGATCTCGAAGAATCGGAAGCTGCGCCATCTACAAGGTGTTTCTATCCGTAATCTGTTGATTACGCCTCCTACACGGCTTCGCGGGAAGACTATAGACGATGATGACATTCCGCAGTCTCTGATAACGCCTACCAAACTGATCGCGCAGGAAGAGAATCAATCTTTGGCACACTCCCGCTCGTATACGGACCTCAAATCATCGCTGTCATCTGACGCGCCTGCCGTCAGTGGCAAAGGCAACAAACGCAATGACGAGAGAATCAAAGAATCGCGACGACGTAGACGAAGCACCTTGGCTTGGAGTGGGGGGGATATGGAGAGTCGACAAAGCAAGCTCGAGGATATTTCTCGTAGCCGCCTGGCGACTACTTGGTTCTCAATACATTGCGACGGAATTGACGATCCCGTGTATATCAGCGAAGTCGTCGAGAACGCAATGAACCCTGCGTTCCGGTTTTTCGATCTGAACGAGTGCGGCCCGTATGTCTCGAGACAGGATGAATTGACCCTGAAGTTATGGGCTAAATCAGACAGTATGAGCGAATTCATGCTGCTGCTTGAACTCCAGCTCAGTCTACGGTCTCTGCAATTCCTCGGGAAATCTCTGGAGACTTTCCATCATCCTTTACCTACTAATTGCGTCTTATTCCATTTCCCCGATGGTATTTTCACCAATCTCACTGGGTTGCCACCATCACAATCTATTATACCAACCGCTGCTCCTAAGAACGCTTTGCGGAATGAACCTCAGCCTACTTCTTCCTACGATGCCCTGATGCGGTTAGCAAATCTGGATGAATGTATCCAGGATGCACTAGCCACAAGGGGGAAATTAGAAGCACAGATTAATGCCATTTTAGTGAAAAATCACTCTACGCTGGATCTTATCGATCGGGTGTCGCAAGCCGAAGAGAAGGTCTCCCTAGTCAAGCAAGGCACCACTATGGAGAGGAAACAAGTCCGGTGGAATGCAAAACGCAGAGATGACCTAGCATCGAGCATCCGAGCAAGGAGAGAAGCCATGGCCCTAGGGCGTGAGATTCAGGCTAAGGCGCATAGTCACTTGCCAGATGCGAGATTGAAAATGAGTTCTAGTTCCTCGTTGCTGGACAAAAATGATGAGGATGTCAAGGGACAGATCCGCCGTATTTGTGAAGATTTATCGGTTATATACCCAATAGAGCCTATTGCGGGAAAAGCTCTCGCTTTTACAGTCGCTGGACTTGCTCTGCCCAATTCTTCTTTTGGTGACATCGATCGAGAATCGGTATCAGCGGCTCTGGGGTATACGGCGCACCTTGTCTATCTTCTGTCGTTCTATCTCTCAGTCCCTCTGCCTTACCCAGTCAAGCCGTATCTATCGAATAGCATCATTCAGGACCCCGTGTCCATTGCTCTTCCACGACGGACTTTCCCTCTCTACCCGGTAAACGTGCAGTACCGCTTCGAATACGGTGTGTTTCTCTTGAACAAAGACATTGAATTTCTCATGAGCCGAGCAGGTCTGCGGGTTCTTGATATTCGCCACACTCTACCCAATCTCAAATATCTACTTTATACACTAACGGCTCGGACGAGTGAGCTGCCAGCTAGAAAAGCTGGCGGGTTCCGTGGGCTCCTTCTAGGACGCCGGACCCCGACGCTATCGAGACAAGGGAGCCAGGACAGCTTTGCCAGTGGTGAGATGGCCCTCTCACATCAGCTCTCGTCAGACGTGCAAGTCAGAACACCGCAAGGCAGTGATGATGGCACTAAGGCTAAGGCGTCGTTCCCCAAAGTACAATCTTTCACGAAGATGGCAGCCCCGGTGGTGAATGGCCTGGGATGAGCAATATAATGGCAAATTCTGAGATCTAATACGGTCACATTAGTCATTATCCTGAATCCGAACTGTACAACGGGAGATCCTATGTCTCCTGAGCGGCCAATTTGGTCGATGAAAAGCCACGTCGAAGGGCAAGCTGGTTACCACGGTTAAGCTGTAAATCCCGCTTTAATTGTTTCTTAAACCTTGATATGTTTCACCTAAACATTCATCGGAATAACTATTTCTACACAAAAAGATTCAATATCTTAGCGTACATCCCCTTGTAAAAGATCAAAGGAACAATAAAAGGTATATAGCATGCAAACTTTCTTGTTTTCGAAGATGATTCTAAATTTACCACCTCAATTTAACGAGAACTTCCAATTATATACATAGTAATATCAGATCGGCAGTTCTGTATACCATGACGCCATAAAATGGCCAACTACTTTTTTTATTTGGAGCTGAGATAGCATTCTGTAGTGCCACTCTTCAAAAGTTACCTCATACTTCATTTCCTATCAGTATTTTGTGGCAATCTGCCTCGCCCCCTATCTCCACTATTCCCTCAAACGTCTTTGCATTTTGCTTGCCACCGCAGCACCTTGACTTGGTCCTAGGAAGCAGAGTCAGCGCCTCTCAAGCGGAAGGTGCGAAAATCATATTTTCTCAAAATGGCCGACCGTCGAATTCATGTGCTAGTCGTGTCAATAACCGTTCTCGTACTTGCCAGCATTTTTGTGGGACTGTATCTGATCTCCTGCATCTTCGTGGTTAGAAGACTAAAACTGCCCGATTACTTGATGCTTCTTGCATGGGTAGGTATCATTCTCCCTACAGAACACCTACTTGTGCCGAACAAATATATTAGTCAATGGATTGCTAATTGATTCCAGCAGATAATTGATTTTGCCTTTGTATTCTCACTCCTCTACGCAGTCGGAAAGGACTTTGGGCTTCATGAACATGACATCAAACCAGGAAATGAAGTCCCCGTCAACAAGTCCCTCTATGTGTTTAACATCCTTTATGTAAGTCTTTAAGGAAATGGACCCACTGATATCATCGAGTTTGAAGGTATAATGGTATGCTGAATTCTAATATTCAGGTTCTAGCATCAATGTGTGCTAAAAGCTCCATTATAACATTCTATTTAGCCTTACCCATGAAAAGAAAGTGTTTTATAGGGCAAATTATGTTCTTCTTTTCATAATAATTGCGGTGGGCGTGGCCTTAACAATACTCCAGATCTTTCAGTGTCGTCCAATATCTGCAGTTTTCATTTGGAGCAGACTAACAAAGATTGCACAAACATTATTTTAGCATCTCTTTCCTCTTCGCCTTACAATATAGCCACTGATATAGCCATTCTTTTCATGCCAATTCCTCTTTTGACTCGAATTCATCTGCCATTCAGGCAGCGAGTGATCTTGGTGGTCACCTTTGGCGCCGGTATCTTAGTGATATTGATAGATGTTGTCCGGATTGCTTTCTTTCCAAATACGGCTAAAACTCAACTGCAAGTACTCAACTCATATTACACAGAAGATATTACAAACCAAGATTATACCTGTCAGTTGACCCAGTTATTCGCTAATCCATCTCTACATACCCCATTATCCTTTCAGGGTCACTAGAAACCATAATATGACTGATAATTAATCAGGGTATGCCGCATATACGCTTATGTTGTCTGTTTTAGAAGTGAATATGACGATAATCTGCGCTTGTATTCCTAGCCTAAGGCCTCTTGCCACTAGATTCAGCCCGTTTCTTATCCATAACCCCCAACAAGTCGCGTCCAGACACGCTGGCAGAAAGTCTACACTGCAAGGTGCAGATGGAAGTGATAGCAAGTCAACCGATGGAAATGAAGGGAGGAAGAGGCCCCTAGTGAGATGATACACGTCTTAACTAGCAGCCAAGAAAAGGAGAAAGAGACAAGAGACACTCGCAATCGATATCCACAAATCAAATTGCTCAATCTCTTGAATCTGAGACCGACAAGGATGCTGAGGTTGAATGCCAAGCAATCAATTCCTCCTAATATCCTGGTCACTATATTGATCTTCATATGGAGAACGGCGTTTGGTTTTCTTGAGGTTCTTAGTCTGAGAATAGGGCTTGTGCACCTTGGTCCATGGCGAACATATACCCTCGAGGGTGCATATTGGCTAGGATATCTTCTTGGTCCACTTCCAGTAGGCTGTCCCATATTAAAGAGATTAGGCTTCACAGCTGCATTCATGTCAGGCCTTTATATTTATGCTTTGGGGACTTTTCTCTTTTGGCTGTCTGCTGTCTTAGTATCATTTCCGATCTTTTTCGCGTCAAACCTGATTATTGGTTCTGGGCTTGGTATCTTAGAGATGACAGCTAAACTATTTATTGCAATATGTGGTCCACTCGAGTATGCTGAGGTCCGGCTTTGTACCTCACAGGGTTTTCAGGGCCTTGGAAGTTTATTTGCACGATTGCTTGCCGGCAAACTCTTGCTTCCGCGAGTGGGCCAGATTAGTGAAGTGATAAGCATACAGTGGACATTCCTTGGGATTACCTTTTTGGTTATGCTGCTTGTTGCTGTTTTCTATTATCTGCCAGTGCCTGAGGCTCTGGATCAGGATCTTCAGGAGCTAGCTCGGCGGCGTGGAGCGGTAAATAAAGCCAAGGTACTTGGAGTCCCTGTGATTTATGTGACGATTATATTAGGCGTGTGGTCCCAATTTTTTCAAGAAGCAGGGCAAGAGGTACATGCGTCCGGTTCCCTTGACTTCGTGTCAAAAGTTATGCCAAAGTGAGTAAACACCAGCCATTCTATGACCATGTCAATATGCTTTTGGCCATTTATCTTTTTTCTTCTTCTTTAGCTAACTGGTCCATTACAATACAAGCTCTAAACTCACCGATGTTGATATTGATTCTATTGGCTCCACAGTATGGATCTTTGCTCGCTTTTTGGCAGCCTTCATCATATGGATGGGTTTGAAGCCACGATGGGTGCTCATTTTTTCCTTTACTGCCAGCATCATTGTCTCTGTTGTCTGCTTGAAGACAACTGGTGTGACATCGATCGCTATGGCTATTCTGTTTTGGTTCACAGCTGCCCCAGCCTTCCCGATTATTTATGCAATGTCGATGCGTGGAATGGGAGTACATACCAAGACTGCATCAGCCTTCATGGCAGCTTCTCTTAGTAATGGGTTCATGGCCTTCCTCGCTCGATATGCAGTTAAAGCGGCTATTGGTGAACCCAATTCGTACATTATTGTTGCGGCTTTCTGGGGTACCGCGGCAATCTTTCCTATATATCTGAACCTGGTGCCAGCCGCCAAGAGACAGGTTGATCCGATCAAAAACGAATACCTGATGGACTATGACAGCATTTCTGAAGAGAGTAGACGACTATCTCCCAATATTTAAGATTATACTGGTTGTTGAAAGTCAAGCATGAGACAAGTTAATTTATGCAAGTTAATTTATGTATTTGAATATTGATTTCAATCGCAACCCAAAATGAAAAAGAGAAATCTGTATCCTATAAGAGTATAGGCTTACCTACTCTATAATATGACTCCTAGGATAGCCTTCCAAAATGAAAGGCTTCTATAATTGAGAATGGCAGGTGCCAATTAAAATTTCAAACAGAATGTCAATATATCCATCTCATAAACCAGCATTGCCCCGTGTAGCTCTTTGCTTGGTAGGGGTTCGACTAGCCTTCACGTTTAAGAGCACGATTACATAGATAGTAACAGGGGAGCGTCCCGATCTAGTTCTCGCAACTTGCTGCTCTAAGGAACGGTAGACTGAGGTTAGAAGAGAAACCTTCAAGGTTAAGAAACAACGATAATTAATTGATTGTATAGCGTCGATGTGAGTATATCAGATTTATCGATCCGGGGCTTGCGAGTCAGTATTTGAAGCTTATGTAGAATCTACATGGTGAAAGTCATCCATATATGGATGAGTACAAAACACATTTGAAGACTCTTGGTTTAGGAGAGCCTGGCAGTGATTGGATTATCTAAATCTTGTATCAATACCATCAATTGAGAAGAACATCTATTTCACACCCAGGACAGCTACTTCTTGAAGCTCCCCACAATTCCGCCAACAGTTGACGCGAAGGATATATCATGTTTAATCAGCATGAGATGGAAACAAAAATTGATAACCAATGAATAAAATTACAACGCGAGGTGTTTTATGTGAAATTCAAAGTTAACCAACCACGATTCTCGCTTGCTTTGCCTCAGTTGTGGTTTGATAACTGCGCCATTTCCACATAGGGATATTAGCATCATACATCTCATCAACTTCGGCAAAGGTGCGTCCCTTCGTCTCGGGCATGAAAAAGTAAACAAACACCAGAACGCAGGCCATACAACCCGCGAAAACAAGATAGGTTTTCGCGCCAAGGTTAGCTGCATCAGCTGAAGTCAGTTGGGGCACCGCGAATGTGGTTATGACGGCAGTAGTCTGCGCGCATGCAATTGTGTAGGCCATGGTGTGATTTCGTAGTTTGGGAGTTGCTATTTCGGATGGCATCAGGGCCGACAGAGAGTAGAAACCGGCTCCCCAGAAGAAGTTGAATATAAAACCTAGTGCGGCAATACCTAGCACCGAGTTTTTATTGCCAGTGTTAAAGGCCAGGCCACCTGCAGCTATGTCGATAAGGAGAAGTAGTGTCATTCCAACAAATGCCGTTGGGCGTCTACCCACACGATCAATAACAAGTGGAGCAACTATTGTTCCAGCTAGGGTACAGCAAGACGCAATGACCGTGAAAAGGAAAGGGTTTCCAACCCCAAGTTCTGTCAAGAAAACTGTTGTATATGTCGTCGACAGGATAACACCCGAGATCTGGTTTAATGAATAGAAAGACCCCGCGGTGAGTGTGCGTTTCAGATTCTGTCGGTCGAAAATTTCCCAGAATCGCACGTTGGCTGTAAGTGCTCGCTCGCTTTCTTCGCATAGTTTCATCACTCGAAGTTCATCGTCGACTTGCCAATCTGAAAACCCACGCAACTTGCGAAGGTTCCGCCGGGCTTCTTCCATTCTACCTTTTGCAACCAGCCATTGGGGGCTTTCAGGAAGGGCGATTGTGACAATGATCAGGATTATAGGTAGGGCACATTGCACTGCAAGCGGGATCATGTATTGTTTTTTACCGTTCAGATTGCGCGTCGCATTAACGATAACCGTCGAAACGACACCAGATATCAGAGAGAGAATGTTGATAGATGTCACACTACGTCCTCGCATAGACGGCGGCACGACTTCAGACATGTACAATGGTGCAGTCGCATTTGCGATGCCAATAGTGATCGCACTCCAAAAACGACCAACGACAAATACTCCGAGATTTGGAGCGAATAGTTGTAGTAATCCGCCGCCTAAGGAGAAAATATATGCGGCAATGAGAGGCCATTTTCGACCATAACGACTGTTTAGGGGAGAAGCAGCCAACCCGCCAAGGATGGAACCAACAAGAGGGACAGAGAAGACCAGATTTTGATTTCGCGCTGTCAGAACTAATGTTCCGTCCACAGGGTTGGGACCTTGGAACTTTTCAACCTATTTTTAATATTAGTACTTATACCAAATCCCTACCCTGGTGGATGGAGGGCTAGAATCTTACATAGGCGCTCAAGGCTGCGACAGGAGATATAACCTTATCGTCGTAACCAAATAGGAACGAGGCAGATCCAAAGGCAACACATGCAAGGATCAAAAGAACATTTACTGCACCCTTATCAGGAGACCTTGTCTCTTCTAGACTAGGAGATTTGATGCCATCAACATGCTGCACATGAACTGAATCTATACCAACCATGTCGTCTTTTTCTTCAATTAAAGCAGACATTTTATGAAGGGTAAGGTGGCAGATATCTACCTAAAATTAAGGTTGGAAAATCATTCACAAGAGTTGACGCTCATAGGGGACAACTCTTTGTGAGAACCCCCATACTTATATAACCAGCGAGAACATTCCCCCGACATGGCCAGCTGGGGTAAATTACCATACCCCAGAAAAGCTCTAAAAACATTTGCAGTGGCAGCGAATTTCTCCGGAAGCGAATTGTCAGTCATAGCAAGACCTCCGGAGAGATAGTTTGTTCTCACTTCTCAGACCTGCTGGATGTGGGGATGGGTTTCGCCGATTTTTCTCCTATTGGTCTGGAGTATCTATATCGTCGTCGTATGGTCCCCAGACTTCCCACATCATTCGATTACTTGCTTTCTCCGGCCATTATTAGGCTCCAGGAAGACTAGTCAAAATGGAGGATTTGATTTCATTTCTTGAGTTAATTCAGTTGATATGTAGCAATAACAAGTTATTCGCCGGGATGGCCGCTTTCTTCCCAGGTTTTGCTCTATAGTCTTTCTCCGAGGACAGCCTGGCGTGCTGATTACACCCCTGAGTACATCTCATGGAAGAGATAAAGAAGTGACTAAGCCAATATTTTCTTTTGGACTTCCATTTACTAGCTTTTATCCATTAATTTCTTCCTTTTTTAATCTCTCAATCCCCTAACCATGTCTGTGCTTACAGAGCCAATCAACCCGCTCCCCAATCCAAACATTGATACACAGGACAATGGATACACTGCTGTCAATCAAACAAAACAGTTCAGCCCTTTGAACTTCTCAAAATGGAGGCCATCTTTCCACCTTCTTGCCCCTAGCAACTGGCTAAACGATCCATGCGGCCCTGGATATGACCCTTCAACAGGACAATACCACCTCGCGTTTCAATGGAATCCGAAGAACAACCACTGGGGAAACATTTCCTGGGGCCACTCAACATCATATGATTTGATATCTTGGAAAACATCCTCACACCCATGCCTCGTTCCATCTGCTCCTTACGACTGCAAAGGCATATTCACTGGGTGTTTTCAACCGACAAATTTACACGGGCAACAAGACGGCACTTTAACATACTTTTACACATCTGTTAACAAACTTCCCATCCATTATACTCTTCCTTATTCCACCGGAAGCGAGTCATTGAGTGTTGCACTATCGCATGATGCAGGGCGCACATGGAAGCGATATTCGCATAATCCTATTTTACCGGGACCCCCAGCTGGCCTCGACGTAACCGGTTGGAGAGATCCATATACCTTTTCATGGTCATGTGCGCCAGAGACATTTCGTCGAGAGCATACTGGCAAAGAAGTCCTGTACGGGCTCATCTCCGGTGGACTAGTCAATCACACGCCTACCGTTTTTGTTTACACTATTGACAAAACTGCCCTTACCGAATGGAAATACATCGGCACTCTGCTGGACGTAGAGTTGAATTTAAGGCCTTCTAGATGGTCCGGGGATTTTGGAGTAAATTGGGAAGTTACCAATCTAGTGACTTTAGCAGACGACGATGGCGTTTCACGAGATTTTATTATCATGGGATCTGAGGGGTGTCTCAAGGACGATCAGCAGTCAAGGAATAAGCAACCATCTGTTAGAAACTATCGGATTCCGAGATCTCAACTATGGATGTGCATTAAAGAAAATCAGGACACTTCCTCATCCTCGGCTCTCATGCAGTACGGCTTTGGCGGCATATTCGACAATGGGCTCTTCTACGCGGCGAATTCGTTCTGGGACCCCGTCACGCAGCAGCAGGTACTTTTTGGTTGGATTACAGAAGAAGATTTACCAGATGGACCACGGAGTCGCCAGGGATGGAGTGGGTTGATATCGCTGCCACGAGTGCTTAAATTACAGACAATTCATCGCGTCACAAGAGCGCGATCAACCATGAATTTGAGAGATATCACATCAATTGAGGCTGAACCCGACAGTTATGGAACGTACACGATTCGCACATTGGGTGTTAGTCTAGACCCACGGACAAATATGCTGCGAAACGGCGCAAGAAAGAGTGCTATCGGCGACACAATACTATCTTCTCCATTTAAATCATTGTCCACATTGGATATAAACACCTGTCAGAGCTTTGTCCCCTTATGTACAACGAGATGGGAGGTCGATGCAGAGATCGCGGTAGGTAAGGACAGCGGACGGGTTGGATTTGTTATTTTCCATGATACAGGTGAGGTGCAATGCTCCTATGAAAGAGAGAGTGATTAGTCGCTGATGGCTCGTTCTAATTCAGATAAGCTGTGTAAAACGGTTCTGTTCTGGAATCCAGTTTCTGAAACATTCCAGATCGAACGGCCGCACCTTCACGACTGTGATACTCCGATCAACCACGCAACAGAAATCGCTCCTCATACTCTATTTACAATAAACAAACCGAACCAAATTAAATTTAATAATGATAAAACAGCCGGCTTGGCTTCCGACGTCTCATCTTGGGGGACTGAAACTGAAGAAACGCTCCGGATTCACGCAGTATTTGATGTGAGTGTTCTTGAAATTTTGGTCAATGAACGCACAACTTTGTCAACTCGTATTTACCATACAAGCAAGAAGTCCTCTAAGCCTGCTTGTGTGGGATTGTACTTTTTTGCTGAGAGGCTAGGTGACCAGAAGGAATGCGATCATGGGACGGCGACAAGGTTGCTTCATGCCACAGTTTGGGATGGGTTGACGTCTTAAATTTTATGTATTGATAGCGGCTATTTTTCATTTCCACATAAGAAGTTGCGTTGCTTCAAATCAAGATAGTACTGTGTTGTAAATAAGTCATCCAATACAGAATGTTGCAATGTATTCGTATTACAGCGCATTTATCATTTCTCTCTCCCTAGAAATGCGGTGGCGGAACGCTGAGTGACAATACAAAACGGTTACTATAGGGCTCGAAATGTATTCAACTGCTGCCAACGGGCAGGTGAAACAACAACCACTGGATGGTAGACTGTTAATATCGGGGATGTTATAATTGCCTCGTCTGAAGCCGTCTGACTGTTCACAATGTACTACATCACAGTCGCTCTAATCGTAAGTTCGATGATGTAGGAACCTGAGCCTCATGTGCTTCTCTTCAACCACCCTGCGACATAACTCTCTACCTTGGACCCTGCAACGTCTTGATCAACTGTGGGCTCTTCTCATCATTGCTTGCCACCGAGATGCATGCCTCGAGTGTCTCCCTGTCAAGGAGGAATTCCAAAACCTAGAAAAGAAGGAGGGGGTGAAGATAAGGAGTTGTGATGATGAGGCATAAGAGCAGCGAGCCGCACGCGCCAATCCGGAAATATTCTTAACTTATACATACAGCTGCATGTGTTTACTTGTACATAGAACTTATCCCATATAAAAATTGCCATCTCATCGAGATACAAATGAGGTTTTCCAAGGAGATAGCAGCTTCTGTATACAAATACACGCAATAAAAAATGCTTAGTCATGCAACATACTAACTACGGAGACCTTGAAGAGGGTTCGGAATAACTTACAAACGTGGTTTTAGCGTCCCCTGGCAATACAATCAAAGCGAGTAGAAGCGTATATTATTTTTGCAATAGCTGTATGTTATGATTATCCCCGGGTGCGACGAGGATTGCGAGTGGGACTGGACGCAGTGAATAATGTAACATTAGCTGGACCCCTGGACCTTACGACGACAGCCATATAGCGCACGTTGATGCCATTACTTGATAGACGCTCCACTTTTGTTGGGATATTATCTAACATAAATAGAGAAAACGACCTAGCTCCAGATCGTGGGACAATTCTGCCCGTATCGAGCAGAAGCTGATGGAGTCTCCCCGCATTTGACCGGCTTGGACCGGAGACAGAGTGGCCAGGCAGAGCGTTTTATCTGGGGAACCGAGCCGGTGTAGAATAGTGCAGTAATCCAGTAATCCCTTGAAGAAAAAAATCAACGACCTTGGAGACGTAACATTTGCGCTGGGCGAATCGAGAGGCTTTGGTTTATCAGGAGAAATTGCTGTGCGGTGTCTAGTATTAAATGCAGCAGGCCCCGCTCCCAAGCTCCCTTCTGCTTGCCTCAGGCTGCGACTAGTCATGCTTCCTCGCTTTGCATCGGCAATTCCTTGACGTCCTCATCCACTCCGCGCCGACTGAAGGCGCCCGCCATAGAATTTCGTTAACGATGGCGTCGACCGCCGATACTCATACGATCCAGGACGATAGCGAGCAGCATGTCTACCGCAGCAACAGCCAGGACCAAGGCGCTGATGCTGCTGCTGCCGCTGCCGCCGCCGCTGCCGCGCAACACCGGCGCGGATACCAGGCCTGCGATCCATGTCGCAAGCGCAAGGTCAAGTGCGATCTTGGAAGTGCGTATACCCTTTTTGGTGGTGATGTTAGTGATGGTGCTGCTGCTGTCTCAGGTCACTAACTTGGTCAACTGCCAGGTGTCGATAACCCCCGCCCTCCACCATGTGTGCGATGCCGTCGCGAAAGCAAACGCTGCGAATTCTCCGCAACCAGGAGGAAAAGAAAGGCATCCGATGCCGACCAGGAGGCAGAAGGCCCTCTGCGCCGCGATAGGCGCATGATGATTGGGGAGGTGTCCTACAGCGAGTCGCCAAGCATCGGCAGTAATGGGAACAACAACGAGTCGCCGTATGTTCCTCCTGCGACAGCCTCGTATGAGAGTGGTGGCGGTCTTACAAAACCCCAATGGCCTGAAACCTCACCTTCTGTGGCCCATCGACCGACTCCTGTCTCTCAAAAGGACCAATATCAGCCCAGCGCCCCGCCGGCAACGTCCAACTTCCGCGACACCACAACAAATATACAATCGGGTTCATACTCGATGCATAGTCGAGCTTCAACGGGGATTGAAAGTAGGCAGCATGTCATGAACAAGACCGCCGCCGACTTGCTCTTCCCGACTATCAGCAACAGCCATGATGCGTTGCACCTACTATCAGAGGCTGCTGGAAGGACAGAGGATTTAAATCGTCAAAGTCTCGAGAACCGGACTCGACAGTCAGCTACCCCCTATGGTGCGTCGATATCAGGAAATCAGGGTGGCTTCTCGAGAAATGGACGGCATCCATTTCCCAAACCAGAACACTCAACGCCAGGTGATGGATATGGCCATGCACATGGCTCAGATTACCGAAAGCAAAGCATTAGCTCATATGAAGACCCTGGGTATCTGGACGCTGTCAAAGCATGGTCTCGTCTACGTTTTGTCCGGGCTGGATGGCTGACCGTGGAAGAGGCTATGGCGTACATTGCCTAGTAAGACTTTTCGACCCTTTCAAATCGATCCTTCTTTTTCCATTACGCTAACATTCACTCAGCTACTATAAGAACCTGGCTCCCCTGAGCCCAATTGTCATCCCTGATTTCTCTCCTCCTTCCACACATAGAACACTACTCACCGACGAGCCTGTCTTAGCGGTGGCAATGCTAACCACAGCTTCGCGTCACATGAAACCTAAAGGCGATGGCTCTCATACTCGAGGCTACTATATACATGATAGGCTTTGGGCTTACCTTCGTGGGATGATTGAACGTCTCTTTTGGGGACAGGAGAAGTTCGCTGGCAACCCAGGGATGAGCACACCTAGGTCTCTTGACATAGGGTCTCCACAAGCACCCCCGTCCTTGCGGGGAAACCTTCGGTCGCTAGGAACAGTGGAAGCACTCCTGATATTGACGGATTGGCATCCGAGAAACCTACATTTCCCTCCTGGTGATGACGAGAACACTCTGCTAGACGCTGATGCACTTTTGCCGTCACAGACGCGGGGTGATGCAGAGAGCGAGAGTCGTGGCCAAAATGGCGGTGGCCTTGAAGGGCGTCTTGCCTTTCAAAAGTGGCTCGAGCCAACATGGCGATCTGATCGAATGTCATGGATGTTGCTGAGCACTGCCCAGGCTTTGGCCTTTGAGCTTGGCGTATTCGACCGAAAAGTCCCGAGTCCGCATGAATCTATTGCTGAACAAATGCGTAAACGACGGGTACGCCGACTCATTATCGTGTATGTTACGCAAGGCAGTGGGCGGCTGGGAATCCCATCAATGCTCCCGCTTGATAAATGGAGTGGCGATATTGGGCCATTGTCTCCTCAAGATGCTTCTGATGTTGACATCTCCACTGATCGGATGCAAGATCTTTGGGTCCAGATATCAAGAATCATGTCTCTGAGTAATTCTGATCTTTTTCCTTCCAAGGAACAATCATCAGAACTTATACAGACTGGCCGTTACAAGCAACAAATTGCAGAGTTCATACCCAGATTGCAGACTTTCAAGACCAATTTAGAGGCCGCCTCTTGTGAGTAATACCGATCTTTCCTCTACTGCGCACTAACAAATAAAAGTATCTACTCAAATGCGAAATATCCTGTCAATTGAATATGAGTACACCCGTAAGTTATCATCATATCGATTCTGCCTCGTTAGGTGGACTAATCATCAAAAGGAATCTACGTCAATTGCTTAGCTCTGCAGGCAGTTGTAGAACGGTGGACTGCAATTAACAATGAACCATCGAACAAATCCTCTGCCTCTGGGTCACTTCGTGTCCTAATGGAACTGTACCGGGTCAATGAGAAATACATTCAAGAAGTAGTGGATGCTTCACGAAGAATCCTTAATATTGTTCTCGAGGGCCTTGTTCCAGGAGACCACTTGAAACACTGTCCGGTGCGAACATTCTTCAGAATCTTATCTGCAATGATTTTCATTTTAAAGGCAAGTTTGATATCTTCCCGTCAATAGACTTTAATCTAATCATCGGAATAGACTTTCACCCTGGGTGCGACTGAAGACGATGTTCGGGTGTCATTAGCCTTGCAAGATCGAACTATAGAAGCCCTCCGAACGTGTGTTGTTGATGATGTCCATCTAAGCAATACGATTTCTCGCTTGCTAGAGCTTTTAACGACGAACATTCGTACCAGGTTTCTCCGTTTCGCACCAACAGATCGAGGGATAGACGGCGATGGTCATGAACGCAACTCCCAACCAGATTCACGAGTTTCGTCTCCAAAACCAACAAGAGACAGCTCGCAGGTTCGCAGGGATGCACAGAATCAGTGGCAGCAAGCTCAGAATACCAATCAGAATGTTGGCTATCAAGTCGATCACGGTCAACAACCCGTAACAAGCTACCATGATCCATTGGCTAATATCCCCGCTCAACCAATCAATTCATCCAACATCGGAGTTTCTTTCATGCCGCCCCCCCCGTCGGTCTACTATAACTATTACGATCCCAACGACACACCCCCGAAGCTGGACGAGGCTGCTTCAATCGCACAATCTGTGCATGAGGGTGGTCTTCCTGACTGGTTCGCTTTACCGCTAGATCAGTTCTTCAACAATTCAACTGGAGGGGTTGATCAAGGCTTAGGGAGTACAGGGCCGATGCTAGGTGAGTTCGACATGCTCGAAGTTCTGCTCAATGAGCAATATGATAAAGACGGCAGCGCAGGTGCCCAAGGTGGAAATAATGGAGTTGGCGCTGTAGATTCCACACCGGATACCAATCATCATTCTTTCATGTGATCAAGTGTATAGCATACTAATGATTTTATGGTCTTTTTATTTGCTATGGTTTGAACTGGGTTTTGTTTTAACTTGTATCTTTTTGTGTAATGTTTTCACATTTGTCTTATACATGGTCGACAACTATGTTGACTAAAATTTGTGATACCCGTGCGATTTCGCCCCTGGAAGTGGTATAAATTATTCTATCAATATCTAAATCATATTGAATCTATGTTATAATACCCATCACATTTTGAATAATATACATCTAATCACAATCTCATCTTACCCATATCAAACAGATGGTCGCCTAGTCATGGGCATATACGTTATCCAATTGAAGGCAACGTAAATATATACCGAGTGCTCACAGAGATATTTTGACACACATTTTTATTTAGAACTTGATGTTTTGCTCCTATTCACATTTCGGATCGGAATTACTATCCTCCAAAGATTGCCTGTTCCTGCCTGAGAACATCATCAATGGTTTGTCCTGTTTGTTAGCTTGGTTCGTTCCATTACGACAAAATCTTTCTAAAAACTAAAACATTTCAAAAAATTTCAAAAATTGAAATTATTTCCCCATCCAGCGGAACCCGCTTCACATGACTGTGAGACGAGGAGGACTTGCATATGCTCATCCCGGCTTTTTGCTGCAGTCGGAGACTGGCTAGCTCTGACCTTGCCATTATCGGCCACAAGACTGCACCTCGATTTAACTACCAAGAAGGTGCTATACATATATATACTAATGGGAAATTTACAGGAAGTAATTATACGCATTTACAAAGCATCCTCCTACAACAAATGACATAACACTTCACTTAGGTATAAAGATACAACGAAACAGTACCTAGCAAACAATTCTAAGACGTAGGATCGGTGTCATCTAGGTTACACTCATACTTCTCAATAAAACCTTGGTCAGTGGTCTGATCCTAGTCAATGCTGTAGCTCTGTGTGAGCAGGCTCACTAGGAGAGTGGCTCCTGACAGGCCACAGCACACAGCCCCAGACAATGCGAAGGCTATCCACATAGGCCTGCTGGAGATCCACTTTCTCTCGGCTGTATGGCATGGCCTTGATGACCTGGACTAGACCGGCGGCATCGGCGGCATAAGCCTAAGCATGGGATGCGAGAGAGGGATAGTCTCGCAGGTTCGTAAGCATCTGGTTCTGGAAGACGGCGCCGCCAATGGAAATGCCGATGGCCTGGCCCAACGAACGGAAGAAACTGAACATAGCCCCAGCCATAGGCATATTCTCACAAGAGACCGAGACTTAAATGGCAATTCCATGGACGGCGTTCAGGAAGATCCACGTCACAGTGCTAGTATGGGCTTCAAGGATACAAAAGATGCCCAGGCCGAGCATAGTAATAGCCCAGCCAGATCAGATAGCCCAACGATACTTGCCAAACTTGGTGATCAAGATGCCGGCAACAGTATCGGCGGGCGCCACAGTGGATGTCAGCGGAAACATCGCAACACTGGTGACGACGAAGTGGTGTGTCTGGATAAACTCTTCAATTATCGTCAACTGTATATCCATATGAACAGCTCACGAGTCAAAAGCCGACATGTACCCATGGCTTACTCAAGCCTCAGGATAATTATGGAACATCAGTATACACCTCAACTAGATTGTAGATCCAAATTACGAAAAATGTGAATGGGATACATGTAAAGACAACATCACATAAGGGGCCAAATTCAGTAACTCCTTAGTAAACAAACAAAATAACTACAGGAAGTAGAAACACTAAATACCTCGCTATTTTAGGTATCACAACTCTTCAGTTAACGCACCTCGTACTCCTAGCTCGTGGATCTCAGTGCGGCCAGTACCCTAACCCACCCGAAACGCCTTCCTAAAGGCTTCACGCAAATTTCACGCTAATGCAGACCACCGGACTACCTCACTACAAACTCTTCATCCATTGGCATTCTACTGTTATTACTAGTCATTGCCGTTCCTGGGGCTGACCTAGTGACTTTGGTGACTGTACGTTCAGTTCTACATGTTAACAGGTCAGTGTTGCTTAAAAGATATAAGACTGATTCCACAAATTCTCTAAGCCACAGCCTCCAATTCAAAAAATTTGGACAGCACACTCCCGCCTAGATCCTTGGTGGCATGGTTTCCTCGCTATTCCTAGATCCCTAGCCGGGTATAGCTCTAGCTCGAAATTCTACTCCGTGTAATCTCCTTATACAGGGACGCGTCAGTTGTATAGCCTTGATCCTGCTTTGCCACCTTTATAGGGCACTTCAGTGATGATAACAAACTTAAATCATCTGTTTGGCTCATTAAAAGTTTCCCTATCGGTTTTCCAAAGCTAATAAGCTATGTCCCCCTATTGCTTGTCCTAAGACCAATAAGTTGATATAAGGTAGACTTGTAACTCAATCTTCCTCTTTCATTAGGCCGTTTGGCCTAAGGATGCCAGTAAATGAAATCTTTCTAATCCTCGCAAGACTCAATCTTCCAAATTCCCGACGTTCTGTCCTAGGAACTAGGCAATCGTCAAATCCTATTCCCATCTGAAAGGCGCTGGGGACACTCTAGACATCGATGACTACCGCGCCATCCTAAGCCTAGGTGTATTAAATATTTAACATACAATTACTATTATATGATTTATTAAACATAGTAATATCTTTAAAAAACTATATTATTGATTAATATACCTACTAATTAGGTAATATAGACCAAAACATAGAACCCTAATAGAAATATTATCACTAATTCTAAGTATTCAAACATAATTTCAGATAATTAATATTAAAATATGACAACTTTGTATATTATCGGTGATGATTTTAAATATATTTAAGTTATGTTCTGATTATCAATTGAGTCATATCTGATCAGTTGTAACCATAAACTCCGCCATCAAAAACATCAAAAATCTCTAACGGGAAAGCATTGGCAATAGCATGAAAGGCGACAATATTCGGATGCAAATGATCACCAGAGTCATATTGAGCCGCAAGTATCGACGGGTTATTTGAATCTCGCAATAACTTGTCAAAATCCAGCACAGCATCGAAGACGCCACTGGTGCGAATCCAATTATTGATGCGTTGGCGGGTTTGCTCCCGGACTGGGTTGGAATACGGATGTGCCACGTTGCTAATAGAGGGAGTATTAAACGGGGTTATTGTTGCTATAAAAAATGGGATACCCTGTGTGCGGATCCGAGCTGCGATTTGTGTGTATGCTGCAATTAGATTGTCACCCAAGGTTTTCTGTGTGGCCTCGTCGGCGTCAGCCATTCCGATGTCGTTGATACCTTCGAAAATCATCGCATATTTCACGCCAGAGTGAGAGAGGATATCTCGGTCGACACGGCTGATGACGTTAGGGCCGAGGCCGTCTTGAAGAATACGGTTTCCCCCAGCAGCTTGATTGAGAACCGCGATACAAGATGTTGATGGATTGTTTTGCATCCTGTTGACAACTAAGTCCGGCCAACTGTCACATCCACATAAGCCCGATGTTGTGCAAGTGGCAAAAAAAGGAATTTTACCGATTGTCCTTGTCCGTGTCACTTTCACGGCCATCTGTGATACTGTCTCCAATGATGACGAATGCCCTTGATTGGACTGGTGACCAGGCTTCTACAGAACTAATATAGTACCTTCGAGTTGTCAGGACGTCTAATATTTAGAAGTAAAGGCAAAGAGCTGGAGCCTACCAATGAGCAATGCTCTGAACAGCTGTCCCTGTCAGATTTGTCGCGTGAGTTTGGTTGCCATGAGTCATAAAGATATTCACTCGACTGCCCGGGTGTCCGGTAATTGCTCCTCCCTTCTGTCCCTGTTGAAGGTAAATGCTCACACTCAGAACTGCCAGTGGCTTAACAGTGAAGTCGATGGCGTCTGAGATAACCAGTCCCCCAGCAGGGATAGTGAAGCTAGATTGACCGGAAAAGGTTACTGCGCGTAATTTCTCCAGCTGAATCACCGGATTTCCTTGCAATCCACTCTCTGGGAGAGCAATTGTTACTTCGGTGACAGACAGATCTGTAACGCCAAAGACGTTCGACAAACGTAATCGTAGTTTGGCTCCTCCAATCGATACCCGGAATGTTTGACGGATTGTCGAGTTAAGAAAGACGAAATCACCGGAATTCTATGCATTTTTTCCACATCATCAAGTTGATCGTTTAGATGTAGTGGTAGATTTATTCTATGATTTACGTGGATTCTCACATATTGGGGATCGGGCAAATTGGTTGGCTCGGTAAGTTGAGGCATTGACGCCCACGTGTCCACCCAATGCCATCTGGACCTTTCATCCAGTCTAGAACGGTTTATAACGGCAATGCCTCGGTTTTCCATGAGCTCTTTTCGCAGGAAGGGGGAGAATAGTCTAGTATTGGAGAACGAGACTTGGAGATCACGACTGTGGGCAGAGGTGCGAATCTTGTGTGGGATTCCAAAACGAGCCAGCTACACCAATATTGTATTTCCAATTTTCTTATCAACACATTACAATTAGCGGCCATTCAAATACAGTGCAACGAGACCACCGGATAAATCATTGTTACTATTCAAACTTCGGGTTATATTCACAATTATCCGGAGCATAGAGACGGCAAATGACGGATATGTAGATGAAGCTATACTACTTTTGAATTAGCAAGGTCTCAGCCATGCATAGCTGTCTTCTAACGTGTATTGAATTTGGCCCAAAGATATGGGGAAATAACCTGGCTGAGGCAGATAGTGGATTGGATAGTTAATTCACTAAGTGGCCACTGCCTTCTAATGGGAGGATAACAAGGGGTTGTAATCGTCCGTATTTTATAACCGAGCGGCACCGCCCCAATTCCCATATAAGACCATAGTTTCTAATAAATGTGAGAATATCGAATGCCCAGAATGCCAGTTTTAAATGGGAATTGGAGGTATGCCAATCGCCTATAAAATTATAGTATAATTTTCAAAATAATCTTTATATTTAGATTTACCTTATTAATATTAAAATATGTTCTTATTTATAGTATATAATAATTATAATATAAATTTCAGAATGGACTTCTTAATAAAAGTGGCGAAATATTGAGGGCGAAAAAATGCTGGTTTTGTATAGGAATTCGAGGTGTGCCGTTCGCGGGTGAAATACGTTATCGGCTCATTAATCATAGTGATTTGTTGTTTACCCCATTCCCACTCATTTCTCAGCCGAATATAAGGTGGAACTGGATGAGATTTAACCGAGGACTTATTCGTTTCATTGGCATCAAATTCGTTAATATCCCAAACACATCTATCAGGAAGTTATCGATAAATAGCGAATTTTTGACAATATCGATCAACTGACTTAAGTGCCTTGTACATTCCAGCTTATTATAATTGGAATAGAAGTGGGACATCTACTTGGAACTTTGGAATAGGTTTAGAGCACAGACATCCCCGCCTTCTCAAGTCGGAACATGTCAAGAACTTTTAAGTTTTTCAGTTTGAGGATACCGGATTCTGAAACCATGGCCGTAGTTGCGTTTCCTATAAACATCTATACCTAACTTGTATTGGGGGCCTGAAATATATCAGAAACCGGTGGTTTTGGCTTCCACAGAACATGCTAGCATTAGCTACGTAGTTTCTAAAAAAGGCTTCCGATAAGCCTTAGAAATAACTAGGTAGAGTTAGGTAGACAGTATATTAAGGGAGAACTATACGGGGAACTATACTGTATGCAAATCTCCTTGAATATTTCCATATCGAATGATTTAGCCTCCTTGTTGAATTTAGCCGGTTGGTGTGGTGAAGACAAATTCTGTATCTGCCCATGCCGAGCCTACTGTACTTCATCTAGTACCAAGTTCATCGGAAAGGGTACCCGTTATGGCTTGAGTAGTGGCCGCACGGAGGAGGATTGCTGGCAAGGTGGTGCTTGCAGCTTTTTTGATTATTCACTCCCTGCTGGTATTGATGGCAGCACCTGTGTTTCATCAGATATTTGGAATAATGGTGGAAACTGTGGCGGCTGCATTTTGGTCTCGTATAAGGGCAAAACAATCACTGTCATGATATGTAGATTGGCAGATGGGTAGGGTTTGGGTGGGTGAGGAACCCACCCATAGGGAAATTCTAACATAAATTTCTCACCCATACCCACCCAAATTAAGCATTTAAATACCCCCATATACCCAGAGATTCCTGACCCATTAATTACTTAAATAGGCATAGTTTAAGGGCTACATTAAGTAAATAATGGGTCAGGTAGAGTGATTGGGATTTTTTTATATCCTCCGAGGAAATTTAGAAGCTTTCCCATACCCAGCCGTGGCAGGTTTAGAGTAGGGTATAGACATACAATTGGAAGGACTAGTTAATTTAACGTTATAAAAATGGTAAAATTCAATCTCTTCAACAGTCGTTTTCTCTCATAGGCAGGCATTTACGAAACCAGTAAACATTTTTCACAAGTATATCAGAAAGCCAACCGATTGCTATAACCAAAGATATCGTGTCCCTTGTTTCCAACATCTCGTCGATACCACCCTTGATAGGCAGCCAGACTTCATTCAGCTGTAAATGATTTCTCAATAGCATGTTCTGTGATATCCACATTGTACGATGCAAAGTCCCTCGCTTTGAGTTCCCTCTTCGAAAAGAGGATATCTAGCTCCGCGAAAGTGCGGCCTTTAGTTTCCGGGAGCCTGAGAAATGACCAAATCAAGAACAGAATATTGATGCCGCCAGTAAGGAACCCAGTTTTGCCCTTCCAGTTGCCTTCGGTAGGATTAAGGATATAAGGACCGACAAAATAATTGATCAAAAGCGATAAATTATATGCATTTCTGGCAAGTGCGACGGTCTTACCGCGAAGTCGTGTAGATGAGACTTCACTGACAAGAATATAAGCTGCCGGGCCGATAGTGAGCTCATAGATGCAATTCCATAATAAATAGAGCACTGAGGAGGCATATCCAACAGCAGTAGATTCCGGTGCCAACGCCACAAATCCAATCAAAAACATCATTAGACTCATGCCAGTTAGACCTGCAATATACAAATGACGACGGCCGACCTTAGAGACTAGTGGAATCGAGAGGATATTGAAGAAAATATGAAGGCCACCTTGGCCTACACTCATCTTATAAGCATCCGAGGATTTAAGACCAGCAAGCTCGTAGAAATAGGTCGAATAAGAAGCGATGACAAATCCGCACCATAATTGGGCAGCCCAAGCTATACAAGAAATTTCTGTTCGCCATAAATTGGAGTTACGAAAGCAGTCTAGGAAACTGATTCCTTCGTCCATGTTTTTCTCTATATGATTTGTTTCGATCATAAGAGCTACAGTGCGACGTATCTCGTCATCAGAAGTGTCTCTGGAGCTAAGACGTTTGACCACTTTTTCGGCGGCAACACGATCGCCTTTCCGAATAAGCCACCATGGTGACTCTGGAGCGAAGAGTACTAGGGGGACAATAATGACAGGCCAAACCCACTGCACAGCGAATGGGATCCGCCAACCCCAGTTAGAGTTGTCAGTATTGAGGGTAAGGAGAACGGAATAGGATAGAAGTTGTCCAATTCCCCAGCACATCACGATCCAAACTTCCACTAGGCCTCGCAAGACGACGGGGCACACTTCAGCAGCGTATGGTGGAGCCATAGTGGCAAATACGCCCCAGGACATACCGCAGAGAAGTTCTCCAGTAAAAATGACTGAGATATGCGTGGCGAAAAAGGAAATAAATATACAGCCTGTTAACCACGCCATCCAAAGCAGAAGTGATCGCTTATAGCCCAAGCGATCGGTTGTTATAGCTCCCAGGTAAATACCAACGATATTACCAACGGAACTCGAGCAGCCCAATGCCAGTTGCCAGTGGGCAGGAATCTGGTAACCAGATTTGGAATTCAGGAATACGCCAAAGTGGCTCCTGAATGAGGGAAACGCGGAGAGCGAGCCGAGGAGTGCTCCATCATAGCCATCCATAATGATTGTTAGGGATATGACCATGGACCAAAAACATGCTTTATAATGCTTTCGAATGGCGGGAAGTAACTTTAGTTGATGCTCCGCTTCGATGGCCAAACGAGCGTCTTCTGTCGTGCTAACCAAGTCGTAGGTCGCATCGTCGATGCGAGCGGCCGCGGCGACCTCGATGTGGTCGCCTGCCACCGTGGTAGCCTTTTCACTGCTCATTTAAGCAGTCGAGTTTTAGGTACTGAAGAGCAGTTTGATGTTTGAATGGCAATAAATAGAGAGTGCAAAGGTACTCGTTGGAAGAAGGGAGTGTTTTAATACCAACTGATGTGCCGTGGGTGCCTTTAAAAGCCCCCTAGAAAAAGTCTAGAAAGTTGGGCTAGATTATGTAGCAATGTCGGCCCAGTATCGAGCATGATCGGCTAATTAGTACGATCTGAGATAGTCCAGTAACGGCAAGTGATGAATGTGACAAATAGGCTATCAACCAAAGGTTTACAACCCTAATAGCTTGCTCCCCACACCGCTTGCGTGGGAGAAATGCGGGGGAACCGTTGATTTACCCAGTTCAAGCTTCGGTGCCAAGGAAAAGAATTATATGGGCACATAGTATTATTCCGGATCAATTGCCTAAATTATGTGCCCTTGAATCAGCTGCGGCAGACTCAATTGCCTAAACTTCATCGAAGTTTGTTTATGCTCCTCTTTCAGAACAAGCAATCAGATGCTTACTTCTCTAGAACATCCACCATTTAGACCGCCTCTGTCTTACCGCCAACATCTACACTACCTTGACAACCTGACGATTCGACTAAACGTTGCAAGTGCCGTGAAAATATCCGGTTCTCATAATTGGTCACCCCATTGAAATAGCTTCAATCTGGGTGGCAGTTACAACTTGCTCGTAAGTTATGCGACACAATGGTGGGGGGTTGGTTAAGATAGAAACATGAAATGAAAATCTCTATTACATAATATAATCTAGTCAATTATGTCCTCGGGGAGAAACGAAACGTAGTCTATCGGGGCCAACTCAGTACCGTCGGGTGTACCAACGATCTCAAGAACATCGCCCTTTGCAATCTCAACACTATTAAATGTGATTCGCGTTGCTGAATGACCATCACGAAGGTCAGAGAAATCATGCAGCAGCTTGTCTTCGAGATCACCAGCCCAGCTACCAATTAGCCTGTCATTGATGAAAATCTGGTACTGGGACTTCCCTCCGAGATGGTCATAGTAATTCACAGCAAGGTTATATGTACCGGTAGGGAAATGAACAATACACTTGGCCTTTCCGGGAATGGTACTGGACATGGTAATGATAGCTTTACCACCAGAAGCTGCCTCAAATGGCGTGATGGGCACGACTTTATATCCACTGAGTTCCATATCCTCCGCTTCAATACGCCAAGGATGATTGCCTACACGACCCTGTTCGTCAGGGATTCCGCATTTAGCATGGTAGAAGTTATTGATAGAATCGCGCCAGACAATGGAGTGGCCGGCCTGATATGTAAGGCGGAGTGCGGTGTGCTGAAATCGGTTCTCATCAATCAGCCCACGCAAGGCTTGCCATTGTATAGGAAACGTCTGAGCCGCCTTAGCTCCTTCGTAATGAGCGTCATAGAAATGTTGAATAACCGTTTTACCCGACTTCAGCTGATATGTATAAGGGACATGGTGAAACCAGAGAAGAAGATCGTCCGGGGTAGTCTTGATGTCTTCAAACATAGCTGCCACCTCTGGAGGATACTGACCAGCATTACCGGTACCAGTGGCAACTGTGCGATCCATGCCAATAGCGTGGGCGTCTGCACGCGTCCACTGACCCCAGCCGTTGCCGTCCATGGCTGCAGGACTTGGCCCATAGTGGCAATGCTTCACAATATCACATAATGTCTGAATGCCTAGATTACCACTGTAGTTCTCGTACGCCGGCCACGATTCCATTGAGATTTTAGTTATTGTATCAACAATGGTGGGATGAGACCCAAACGTTAGTCGTGTCCAGTCCTGGATAACAGCGACCTCGTCGCTTAACGGATCCCAACAATAACGGCCATAAGCGTAGAGATTAGACATGGCCAAATGGCTGCCAAGCCAGGTGCTATCCTGTCCCACGGTGACAACAGCCGCATAACCACTGCGTTTCCAGCCAAACTTGTTACCAGACACGACGTCCCGAACACATGATGGCGTCCCATCAATCCTGAGATCAAAATCAAGAATGGTTCTCCACAACGGAGGTAGGTAAACAAGGTGGCTTTGTTGACCGAGATATTCTTGGCAGACTTGGAATTCAAGAATAATTGGTGTCCGACGCAGGCGAGAGAGCAAGGGAGATGGGGGTTCCCGTACTTGGAAATCAATCGGTCCGTACTTGATCTGCACCAACACATTATCCTCAAACTCGTCATCTAGACCATCAAAGAACTCGACCGCAGCATTGGCTCGATCGTTCTTCAAGTCAGACTCATCCAAGTGATGATTATACACAAAGGCACGATACATGACCACCCCATCACCATGAGGCTTGAGGGCTCGCGCAAAGAGATTGGCGCCATCGGCAAGTGTGCGACCGTATGTTAATGGGCCAGGTTGGCCTTCCGAATTGGCTTTGATTAGGTATCCCAACAAATCCGGGACATTCCTATACAATTGGGTAGTGAGGTCGTTCCAATAAGCAACGACGTCCGGGTTTAGAGGATCAGATGTAGGTAAGCCACCAAGATCCTTTGGAGTGTCAAAGTACAGAGCGACTCCGATTCGTACACCCCATGGACGCATAACATCAGCAATACGTCCAAGTCCCTTCATGTTGATTGGATTGAGTAAGTTGCAATGTGAATTTACATTATTCACAATAATACCATTTAACCCAACTGACGCCATTAAACGCGCATACTGGGCGACACGGGTAAGGTCATCCATAACCGCGCCATCTTTGAAGAAGATGGATGGCCCAGCGTATCCTCGCTCGATAGTCCCATCAAGATTATCCCATTGATTGATCCACCTAATCGGTGCGTGAGGGCTGCTTGTGTGGCCTTCGGGGTAGGGTTTATTCTGGACCAAGAGCATCAGGAACTCAAATGCTCCGTAAAGTGCCCCGCGTTCATTCTGGCCAGCAATCAACACGTCTGTAGTACTAGAATCGATTTTTCGAGTACTGAGCCAGTGTCCATCTTCTTTCAAGTCTGGGATCCTATCTATTTCGATTTTCTCGTCGCTTAAGGAGAATGAATCGAAGGTTCCGATAACAATTTTCGGTGACGGTACTTTCGCAATCTCGGCGGGCGTCTTCACGATGTTCACATTTAGATTTAGTAGTTTCTTCAAGCCATCTTGAAGTTCCTTTGCTGCGGTATAAACGGGACTTGTTTCAGAGCGACTTAAAGCAACGATGTGTGAGAAACTTGGGTGGTGGCTGATGATCTCTGCAGGAAGGGGAGCATAGCGCAACCACCCTTGAAGACCGGTCTCATTTGCAAACATGTTCAATTCAACAATTAAGAGGCAGATGTAGATGGGCACATCGTTGTTTCTGCTCAATCATCTTGCGAATTAACGTTGTATATATAATTACTCTACCGACATTTCTCAATCTGAATAGGATTAGGCTGTTTCTGGCTAAATTGATAGCTCATTCACCATTCTCCCCTCCTAGTGTGGGGTTTCCCCCCAATTTACCCGAGATTTATACTATATTATTATCCTCCCTATTCGAGTGTCATTTCGAGTCATACCACCTTCAGATGTGCATGGGATACTTCCTGGATTCCCCTTTAACATCATTATTTTGCACTTATCATCTGTCTCCAACTTATTATGCCACCAGTACGCAACCCTATCCTTCCGGGTTTCAACCCTGACCCTTCTATTCTCCGGGTCGGGGATGATTATTATATTGCAACGTCAACCTTCGAATGGTACCCTGGAGTGCAAATCTTCCATTCCAAGGACCTGGCAAATTGGAATCTACTCCTGCGACCGCTAAATCGGAAGAGCCAGCTAGATATGCGAGGAGATCCAGACAGTTGCGGCGTATGGGCACCATGTTTGACTCACGACGGCGACAAATTTTGGCTAGTATACACCGATGTTAAACGCAAAGATGGCTCGTTCAAAGATGCTCACAATTTCATCGTGACTGCTCCACATATTGAAGGGCCGTGGTCAGACCCTATTCATATCAATTCTTCCGGTTTTGACCCATCTTTGTTTCATGATGATGATGGTCGGAAATGGTTTCTCAATATGTTGTGGGATCACCGGGCCCGGCCTCGTACTTTTGCTGGAATTGCACTTCAGGAATTCGATCCGATTTCAGGGAAGCTAATAGGGCCGCGGACGAACATATTCAAAGGTACTGAATTGGACCTTGTGGAAGGTCCACATCTGTATAAGCGCAATGGGTGGTACTATCTTTTAACTGCTGAAGGAGGAACTGCATACGAGCACGCTTGCACTCTTGCCCGGTCTCGACAAATTTCGGGCCCGTATGAAGTGCATCCCCAGAAGCATATTCTTACATCCAAAGATGCTCCATTTGCAGCTTTGCAACGCTCTGGTCATGGTAGTATTGTTGAAACTGTGGATAATAAGACGTATCTTGTTCATTTAACAGGGCGTCCTGTGGGTCAGGATCGCCGTTGTGTACTCGGTCGGGAGACGGCCATTCAGGAAGGATACTGGAAAGACGATTGGTTTTATGTCAAAGACGGACCAGTTCCCTCATTATACACAGACATTCCAGGTGTATTCAACGACTCGGATTTCTGGGCAGAGAAGCGTTATCAATTTGAAAATGGTCTCCATAATGATTTCCAGTGGCTAAGAACCCCCGAATCGAATCGGATCTTCTTTGTCGAAAACGGAAAGCTCGTGCTTATTGGGCGAGAGTCAGTAGGGTCCTGGTTTGAACAATCTCTAGTGGCACGGCGACAGACCCATTTCTCTTATGATGCAGAGACCGTGGCCGATTTTTCGCCGTCCGATGAACGACAATTCTCGGGTCTTGTGGCATACTACTCCCGATACAATTTTTTCTATTTGACTGTTACGGCGCAGTCGGAAGGACAACGGGAGATATCCATCATGATTTCTGAGACCTCTTGGCCTGACGGTAACCTGAAACGCCCTTGGCAAGAGCCGATTCAGATTCCTAACGATGGAAAGGTTAGGCTAGCTTTGAGCATTCGTGGTGGCACGAGCTTGCAGTTCTTCTACGCGCTCGAGGGAGAGAAATTGCAGAAAGTTGGCTCAATCTTGGATGCCTCTACATTGTCCGACGAGTGTGGAGGACACCAAGCTCATGGAAGTTTCACTGGCGCATTTGTCGGCATAGCATGTTCCGATCTTAATGGTACAGCAAGGCAGGCAACTTTTGACCATTTTGTGTATAGACCGGTACACGACCCCGCTGATCGGTACGATATCTAGTTTATATATCTTATCTGTGCATAGTGTCGTATTGTTGTAACTCAAAAGAAGAAATGTTTTCAGCAGATTATTACCATCGAGTTTAAATTTTTGCATGTTTTTAATCGGGTATCACGTCTCTCGTAATCAATCATGTACAAGATATTCTGGTTCTTATTATTCGTTTTTTACTAACCCATTAAGTCTAGAATGTTTTACAAGGACGAAAAAAATATGGTCGTTTACGAAATGAGCTAACGATGTTTAAATATTCAATAAAAGTTAAAAAGTGAGTAAATATCAAGCTGACGCTGAACCTTCTTGAAGAACTGAGATATTCTAAATTAACCGAATACCAAAACAGCAGAGCATATACCCTTATATGAATCCAGAGAAGAAAAACAAGGTGCTACGTGATGTGCATTCTTGAAGGGTGAAGAAAAAAGATCCCTCGATCCGGTTCAAACGGGGACGCAGAATTCCGCAACATGGAGCGGCTTGATGAAAAAACAAAGTATACAGTGAAGACTCCATGATACCTGCAATTCATGGACGAGGGGAATTTTATCATGCCTCCGATGGGTAGTTATTGTCCATTTTTCAGGAATAGTGATAATGTTGATTGTAGTGGTAGTAGTAATAGCAAGGATGTGCGATGCTACTAGGAGAAATACCACGCTAAAACTTTAGCAGAAGATTAAAGGATTTAGTGATTCTTTGCTAATACTCTTACGTGTTCTTGGATTGTGAAATTATGGAAAGCGGCTATAAGCCTTGGAGGTACTGTAGTATTAACGGCACTACTTTACGGAGACATTCCGAGCACGGCGATATCATTGCTGTCACCGGTCTCTTGTACCTCGAATGACTCAGCGATAGTCTGACGGGAGTCCACAAACAAGGGCGCAGGATTCTCTCTGTTGTTCGGACTGTAATTGTATCATCATCGTTCGGGGATGCGCTCTAACTAAGATTTGACTTGATATAATACAAACCTACTCCACTGAGCAAATACCGATCTAGAACAAGAACGCCTTGATATTCGTAGTCATGATGAGCTCGTAGATGTTGTTCGCCGAGTAAACCCTTCCGTAGAGTTATCGTTCATAGATCAACTATGATCTCACGGCCCGCTATTGTGGTAGTTGATCTGCCCGACAGTGCGAGAGGTTAAGGCGGTATATTTATATTCTAAGCCGAAAAAAAAGTTTTTCTATAAATTTCTCGGGTTCATATGAATATCCCATGCCTTTCCGCCTAGTCGTAATATTGCAAAATGGCCCGTCAAACATTTTGCCTTTTTGTCACTCACCCCGACCTCTGGAAACTGAGATTCATCTCCCATATGATGCTTCTTACGCAGATTCCGGGGAGGATTGCGAGCGTCGAAGTGGGTATGTGGACTCTTATGTGACTAGACTTTTTGTAGAAGTATACTTTCTGCTTGATTTGCTCTACTTATACGATTAAAGTATTTGAACAGATATGAACTCCAAAATCTTTCTAATCATGTACATCATCATAATGAACCCCGAGATGAGACTCAAAGATACACAGCAATGAAATATCATTGTGTGAGAACCTAAATTTGCTAGCGGGCTAATTCTATTATCACATAGTCATATGAACACAGAACCTCACCTAATCTGGAGAGTCACTACACCGTGGCTAGGAACAGTTATCTCCACCATGTTGCCATGAACCTTGGCTAAGGTCGAGGCGACCTGGTTGGTGTTGTCAGTAAGCCATGCACTGGTAGATTTCCTGTTCCCAGAGAGTGGAATTTTGATGGTTTGCGCCGAAGACCCGCCGTTCGTAACAACCACCACGATTGAATGGTCCAGATTTTCGAAAGCAGCAGTGATCACCTCAGATGGGGATTCGCTCGTGGCGAGACGGAGCGCACCGGGACGAATGAAACGAGCCCACATCGTGAAGGCATTGAGTATGGAGGATGGGAGTGCCTCATTTCCGCTCACGTCCACGAGATGGCTGCCAGACTGAGTTTGGTTGATCTCGAACCCCTCCCAGTATAAGTATGCAGAGAGATTCGCGTGAACGATGCCTGTTGCGATCTTGTTCGCCCAGGTGAACCCTTCCGCAACACTGCCATTCTCATACCAGACTGTGGTAAAACGGCCACTGAATCCAGCCTCTGAGAGCCATGTCGGAAGGCGAGTAGCCAACGGGTAGGTAGGATCTGAAGAATACATATGCGAGGTAATCACGCCTAGATAGCGGTCCATGCCAGCCGCCATGAGTACATCCGTGTAGTTCGACTGTACGTCCCAACCCACAGCGTCACAGCATGTGATCCTGGTCTTCAACTGGGCATCTTTGACCGCCTTGTAGAGCATAGGGATAAATGAGATTGCCTCCGTGGCATTAGGGCTGATCTGCATCTGCGAGTAGTCGGGTCTAAGGACGGTAAAGTCATTAATATGCTCTCTTCTAATCAAACCCGAAAGCACTCACAAAAAGTTCGGTTCATTCAGAAAACCTAGATGTGTGATTTCCATCCCTTCTTGCTCGTAGAATTTGACATACTGGACCAGATAGTCGGCGTATGCTTGCCTCCAATCTCCCGTTGAGCAATCATGGCCCGGTGTTCCACAAAGGTAGCTGGCCATAGCAACGAAAACTGTAAGCTCTCCTTATCCTCACGCAGTGCTTAGATTTAGTGGCATACCCAGGGGTTGATTCGTTCCCACTCGTCTTCATGAACCCAGGAGCGCTCCAGGCATCCGCATATATAGTTCGCACGCCGTAGCTGATAGCCTCCTTGGTAAACCACACTTGTCCGTCATCATCGTTATCCCACACATATTCGGGTGGACTTGTAGAGGAAATGGGAGCATTTGGTTCAATTGTGTATGCAGACGCCGATGGAATCCAGTTCCGAATGATACTGAAGCCAGCACCAGTCTCTGTACTGAATAGAAAATCTAAAGCCTGCTTTTGAAGATTGCTACTGGCGTTTTGAAACTGACCTGCGCGTGTGAATGCCTGGGAGAATCCGAAGCCCTCAATCAACTGCAGCCGCTTATTGGTGTCGACAGAGATGGTCGTCGCCGAAGCGACAGCACCTAGACCTCCAACGAACAGTACTGGCAAGAGAAGAGTCTTCATGACAGCAGGATGGAACCGACGGATGGGACTGGAATAACTTGACAATACTTAAAGGACAATGTTCTTGTCACCACTGACTTTGCTGTAGGCACCCATGCACTTAAATATAGCCTCCAGCTTAGAAAATTATTCCAAAGAGTAGATACTAGCTTAACCGATATTTTGTCGACCCTACTTATTGACGCTTATTACCCGGCAACTGCACCACATTAAACTACAGGCTAAATGAGTGTGAATTGCGGGAAAATATTCTGGGGAAACGGCTGTTGCGTATGGGGGTCATTTCCTCCAATAGGAACCTATTTGTTTCCCACAACGGCAAATGGCTTTGTGTTTGATGGATGAATGAAAACATGGCCTAAAATTGGATTTACTGGTCAGCCGCGACACACAGACAGTCTTTAATTTCAGTAGTGGCCTGTTGAAAATAATCCCAACCGTGGGGAAGGGAAAGGGGGTGCCAGATATTCGGCAAATATGATCGAGGAAATCCGGATATTGATTTTAGCGCCTTATCCTTATGGCAGATTCACTAGTTCTCTACGTCTACATGTAAATATGTTCATATTGTCATGTATTTACTAAATCAGGTCTGTATTCCTCAATGAATTGAATTTTCTTCTACTTCCAGTACGTCGTTTAACGATCGATTAAGCTACATGGGGGGTCCATAATATGGGTTTGAATAGAGCGGTAAATATTTGATGACACAGAACATAAGGGTACACTAGACCTAGGTAATCAAGTGTAAAAGATGGAAGTCGTTCCGCCCCCTATACGATAGGCTCGCACTAGTTCTTAGTGTTATATAGAAACCTTTGTCGCCCGGTTGTAGCTCGGAGGATATTTCAATGGAGGCTGTCTAATCCAGTGCTATCCTTGTGTGCGTACTAATTACAATGAGATAGTATCGTGTATATTTTTGCAAGGAATTCCATTTCATTCCCGGCTCCACTGGCTTCCAAGAGGCTAAACTAACAAGCCAAAATTCCCTTAACCGTCGACTTCACTACTGGGTACTACTAGAAAGGCGAACAGGGAAGGTAGTGTAGTTCACAGGGTCACCTTGTAGACTGAACCTGCCCTAGTTGAAATAGCACCATTGTATTTGACGCCATTAACGGAGAAACTGGTGCCATTCTGGACTCGCAAGTCTAACAGACCACCACTTCGCGAGGTGATGGTCGCATCCACCAGGTTACCGTTGTCCCAGATAAGGTCCACGAGGAAATTGCCTCTAGCAACGAGGCCACTGACACTCCCCGTGGGAAGAGCGGAGGGTAAGGCGGGCAATAGATGAATCACTTTGTAGCTTTGTAGGAGCATTTCGGCAATTCCGGTCGTGAAACCAAAGTTCCCGTCAATCTGGAAGGCGGTCCCAGGCCCGGAATCACTATTCCATAAATTGATGCTTGGGAATGTTTGAATCCAAGTCTGAGCATTACTCCACGCAGTTTCTCCATCGAAAAGCCGAGCGTATAGACTCACAACCCAAGTTCGGGACCAACCGGTGCTGCCGCTTCCATATGCCATTCGGCGGTCGACCAACGTCTTAGCTGCGGCAGCTAGAGTAGAATTCACTAATGGTGCCATTTGAGATCCAGGGAAGAGACCAAAAACAGGACTCATGTGACGATGACCGGGGCTTGTTTCATTGTACTCGTAGCGCCATTCGAGAATCTGGCCGTATGAGCCAATCTGGGGAGGTTGAATCTTAGTAATCAAATTCTGTGACGCATTGCAGTCACTATTCTGCATATTGAGAGCGTCGCAGGTCTCAATTACTGCTTTGAAGAGCTCGTATAAAATTGAATTGTCCAAAGTGACACCAATGTCAATCCCAGCAGTAGATCTAGCCGTCCTCATGTTTGGGGGAATGTAGAATTCATTCTCTGGAGATAGAGATGGACCCGAATACATATAGCCTTCGTATTCAAAGAGGTAACAGAAATAAAACCGGGCTGCACTTCGAAGAATCGGCCACGCAGTCTGTCTCAAAAAGTTCTTATCTTGAGTAAATCGATAGTGTTCAATGCCTTGCAGAGAGAGCCAAGCACCACCCATGGGCCAAATCGAATACCCAACACCATAGTCCACAGGTACACTGTCGCCCCAGATATCTGTATTGTGGTGGGTCACAAATCCACCATTGTCACAGCCGTACATAGCCTTTGCAACGGCTTGCCCGCGTGGAAGGACGGTGTCCAACAGGTCAAAGAAGGGGCCATCCACCTCTGGCAGGTTAGTCACCATTGCTGGCCAATAGTTCATTTCAATATTGATGTTAATTGTATACTTGCTTCCCCATGGAGGGCTATAATCTTGGTTCCAAATTCCCTGGAGGTTGGCGGCCAGACCCGGCCCTGGGTTTGCGGCATTCGTCTCTCGTGAAGAAGAGACAAGAACATGACGCCCAAAATTAAAAAAGAGAACTGCCAGCTGCAGATCACTGTTAGGACTGGATTTGTACGCGGCGAGACGGGTATCAGTCGGTTGATTACCAATTCCTGATGAGGAGCCTAAGTCAAGTTGTACACGGCCGATAAGGTTCGTGCGATCCTCAATAGCCTCTTGTCGAACCATTGGATAACCTCTTTGAACGGCAGCGTCCAGGTTTTTCTTGAGCTGACTTTCTAATTCAGCATTATTTGAGTACCGGTAAGATGTCTGCGCATCGAAAAAGATATCTACCGTCGTTGCTCCGGTAATAGAAAGCGACACACCCGATATCTTGACAGAACCTACCGCTTTGTTAATTTGTACTTTTTTTAATACTAATTCACAGAATGCGGTCTTATTGTGAAAATGATATCGTCTCACCTCCATGATTAATGACACGAGCTTCAGCATCAAAGCTAATAGCATCACTGGACTGCCCACTGTTGCCACTAAGTACAACACTATTTTTACCGACAATACTGCTATTAATGCTTGCATGCTGATCTGTCACGTTTTGGGTGCGGGCCAGCGAGACATTCACATCCAACTTCTCAGCTTGACTTGCCGTTAAACGGATAGCAATAACGCCAGCAGGGTAGCTTGCTAGGTATTCGCGTCTACACGAGAAAATCGTCAATATGGCTCATGTACGTTCATACATAGAAAAACGCACGTGTAGTTAACGCCTTGATACTCGTATGTTACAAAAGCAGTGCCTTTGTACGTATCCAAGTAGCGTAGGTACGAAGAAATATTAGAGGTTCCAAGTCCAAAGTCCAAGAGCAAGTCAACCAAAGGATTATACATTCTTGGAGAAGTAGGATATCCTTCCAGGTTGGATAATGCAATCGCATTCCCATCGGTGATATTCCCTGCTTCTAGATTCGAACGGATTGCATCCACTGCACCAGCCGAGGCGTTGGGATTCAGTCGGTTGATGAAGGGCCCACTCCACATGGAGTTTTCGTTCAAGGTAAGCTTTTCAGAAGCAGAGCCATACACGACCCCAGCTAAACGACCATTTCCGAATGGAAGGGCACCAGTAAAATTGGTGGCTGCAGTTGTATACCAGGCATACCGCGAAGCATCCCATTGGCATTTGCCAGCACCGCAAACGTGCAAAGAACTGCAGAAGACCAGTATCGAGCCATTAGGAAGGAGAAAGTTGTTGGTTAATCAGTGAATCAGAGAAAATTTTTAATTATATTGCTGGCAAAGGAAGCCAAACAGCACCCCGCACTCCCTTTCTAAAAGTGTGAGTATCTATTTGCGAGTAAGGGGAAGATCTGTTTGCTTATAAGGATCACAATTCAACCGGTGAGAATGATAGAAATTCCATGACTATTTAGGCTATAGGTGAGGCTATATGATTGGCCACAGAATTCTCAGAGGCCTGGTAAAAGTACATGGATTAAAAGCAGATTAAAAGAGGGTGGTGTGATGTTAATTGATTCCATCCATCGTACCTAAGTGAAAAGGTGTGGACGGCTAATTACTCCATCCTAACCTAGGCGACTATTAATTTTCACGTGCATATTTTGGCCCCTTTAGTAGTGGAGTACATGGTAAATTTATTTTAGATATTGGCTACTTGTACGGGCATCGATCGTTGCAGGGAGGGTTCTACCTCAGCCACTCGGTGCAGGTTCATTCACGGGAGAAGTGCATCCAGGGTTTGATTTCTTTCGACTTTGCTCCCATCGTCACTGCAATTTTGGGACGATGATGATTATAATTCTTTTCCCCACGCATCTGTCTACGAGTTAACCATCGTGGATACCACTAGCTAACAATGCCTTGTCGCCTCCAAAGACCGCAATGGGAACACCAGCAGATTACGAAGTCTGCTTGTCCATCCTCAGCACCCCCGGCTTGATCTTGGCCGTAGTCGGTATCTGGTTTGTCCTAATCACTCGTATTACCCTGCTCTCTCTGGCTCCGATTGTGGTGTCGATCGCGAACGGACTATGTTACTATGCCTACTATACCGAGTATCCGACGTCGAAGCGCACCCGCTACGAGTATGCTGGCGGATATATTCCGGTTTCAGATAAAACCCGACAGCACCCTTGCAAGAAAATCCCATTCTTCTCCATACCTTTGGGAGTCACATCCGCATTTTCATTCCGAGCATCTTCTGGTCCATGATGATCCTCATCGTCGCGATGCGCACTGGCATTATGGTACAAGAGCAATCAAAATTGGATAACTTGCCGTCGCTGCAGCGGCGAGTCGATCGTACGCACGGGATACTTCATCACAATCGCGCTCGTCGAGACCTGCAGCGCTATTTTACTGATCCAGCTTCTCTGCACTAAATGTCACTCTTCGCCGCCTAACTGTTCACCCCACTATCTCTTTCGTCACTTCCTTCGGATGACGGAGGTCCGCCTGGTGAGTCTCTGCGGGATAGGGATCTTCCGTGCGATCACGTACTCATCATAGACGGCCAGCCAATCTGCTCTCTCGTTTGTAGGCCAGTGAGATTGGTTCGCGTATAATTTGAAATGCGTATTTCCGATGGTCATGATGTATGCAACCCTAGCCTGTCTGATTGCTTTATCCCCTCCATCACTATGGACCGTTCCCCCAACACGAATTATTAAGCAGAATCGACATTCTAGGGTCGAGGGGATTCTCACCCAAAAATCGCAGTTTTATCCAATACTGCGACCTAGAATGCGTCTGCCCGCCGCAATTCCACAACACCTGGCTAGACCATTCATCTTCGTGGCTTTGTTCTCGCTATAATCTTGCCAAACTGGGGTTGGGTTGACGTTGTCTTTGCTCTTTGAAGACGGATGATTAATTATTATTCTAATCATGATTGTTCCATATGAACGACAAAAGGTGAACGAGAAACGCATAAAAATGGACATTCTGTCTTCACAGGCAGAGGATTCAATAATTTTTTCGCATCATCTTCCTCAAGAAGGATGAGAGGATAATTCTCCCCATTTCTCAAAAAAAAAAAAAAAATGGCACAGCACCACAGCAGTCAGTTGATCCTATGACAACCAACATCCTAATCCAAGCACACTATTGGTGATTCACGCAACACATCACATATCTCACCTATGTGGCCCAGCAATTAGGATCTTAGGTCCTTCATGAGTTGGATATAGCGATCAGTACTGAGAATTCAAAATCCAGCTCTGGGCTTCCTGAAGAACCAACAGCAACGCTAGTCCCGCACGATACGCAGGCTTTCTTATCCCGTGTCAATAAAATATATACGAAAACCGGCGTTACTGATAGGCAGGACATTCGGAGACAAGATATATACTGATGAATATTTCTTTTTTTTTTAGTGGTTGAGCCAAGCACCGTGTCTAGCTTATATGACTAAATTTGGAAAAAATTACTCTTGTATTGCTCGTTTGAGTCAGACAGCTCATAAGGTACAGGTCGTATAATCTTGGTTGGATAATCAAAACTTAGGTGCAAAGTAGACATTAACAACGAAAATGTGCTATCCTAATTACCTCAAGTTAGTCTAAACGAGCTCCAGACTCGTAGTGCTTGCTCATGTTGGGAATCTCTGAACTCAATTGATTGTCATGCACTAATTCATCATTGTGTATTAGGCTATATTTCCGCGAATAAGGTATATATTTCCTATATCAGTTCACTTAAGTTACTGCAATGGTATCATATCACACAACAGGGCCCTCTTCGTCGTCTTAGCTTTGCTCTGATTCGTACCTCTTAGCTTAGACCTCGTAGGAAATCACCACTCAGAACGGCCAAGACTCAGGGCTTACTAAGGCTTTATTAGGTTAATCTTTATTTTGTGGAGTCATGGAGAGAGGCTTACGCACTAAATTAGTGTCAAATCACAAAAATTATCCGTTTGAAACGTCGGGTACTGATGTCAATAATAATTACGTAGGTAGGTTCAACTAGCCCCACCAATACATCCCCCGCACGTAGCCTCCATACTCCCGGTTGGCGCCAGGCTTATTCCCAATACGACTTATCTGCTATATGAAAGAATATCAAAACAGAATGTTGAAAACGCCTAAATTCTGGGAAAATCTTGTTTTCAATATCATATCTGGAGTCCCAAATCTTTTTAGGACGCAAACTTGATTGTGACGACACTGTGACCAGGTATGGGTACAGTGGCAATTAGTTACCCACGCTTCAGCCGACGAGATAGATTTGCCAGAGACAGAAATAAATAGTCGCAGACTGCTCTGATTCGCCGCTAGTAGTAAATACGGCGACAATGGACCCATCGATATTGGCGAAGGCTGCAGTCCCTGTGCCTGAGAGCGATCCCGGTGACTCAAGTACCTTTAGATTGAAGGCTATGAAGAGAGACGAGTAAATCTAAGAATATGTTCATAGAGATATAATACTTGCTCGAAATTCCCCTCATACCTATTTTATATACGTCAATGAGTCAATGAGCCCCCTTATTGCAGAATAATACAAAAGTTCACATCATTTCGATAATTCAGCCCCTCAGACTGGTATGTTTGATGTTACATTTAGCCTGAAGATATTCTTCTTGTGCCGATCTCTATCTCTAGCCGACTTAAGCTAAGAGTGGCCAAGCACATTTTCCCGTTTTTGGTCGATATGCGTCCTTGATGCCCAGCTCTATGGATCAACACCTGCGTACCCTGTAGAGAAGAAAAATCATTACAAAAGTTTGGGATAGAAGCTTCTCTAATTTCGCAGATAATGAATACCTTGTCAATTTAGGAAATCATTCAGTTGGGATTGCCCCTAAACTCAATGTAACTCCCTTCTATCCGGTTGATAAATCTTTTAATAGGTGAAGTAGATGTAGTTGGGGAGGGGTAGCAATATAACCGCTATAGTTTGTCTCAATTATCCGTTTCCGCCGACTGGTTTAGTCTCTCCAGAGGATTCTACTTCAGAAACTAGTGACGGCTGTTCGGGCATTTCCTGCTTATGCTCCTTAGCAGGCCCCTTGATTTGTTGAGCCAATAATGATGCGAATAACTGTATGTCTCAGTATGTAGAAGATCCTTGCCGAAAATTAACTAGCAGGTTTCTCATATCGCAACCCCGCAAATTCATATACCTCATGAGTCGTAGTTTATTCGGCTCGGCGTAGTACAAAAAGAGTCAGCAAACGCCTAATGACAACCACGCTTTCACAAAGGGATAAATCATAGAGTCGTGATTTATGATAGATAGAAGACAAACGAGGTCACGTCGAGCTGAACTTGACTATCTTCATATTGTATATCGACCTCTTACGTATCATATCTGTTATTATCACCATCGTTCTTCTAAAATATAGCAGGTAGACATGTGTTATATTCGTGTGCGAGGACATCTTTCAATAAGTTGACAGATTGCCTTGATGCATATTCAATCTGATTTTGTCTATGATTTTCTTAGAAATATGTTATGAACGGTCGTAATAATACTTCAACGCCTTCTAAATTGTAAGAATCCTATGGCGCATACTGACGTGCTCATTAAGAAACATATGGGGCGATTGAGAGCTTCATTATTTGCCGATGTTGTCAAATCACCCGTTTTTAGAAAGTTACCGAAGTACTTTCTAATGTTGAAATTTGGCTTCTAAGATGCAATGCTCTGGGTAATTGATCTTTCGCGGGGTAACATGACTCTTGGGTAATCTCCCGGATAAATCTAGGGTTTACAGTTGATGAATGGGTAATTATCGAATATTGTGTCGTATATAATAGCTAGGTTTGAAGAACCAAGATTATTCTTCTACTACCAAAGACATCAATCAATCTTCCTCCTAGTTTCTCCTTTCCATAGAACATAGGAAACGGAAATTATACACCGATTTAAACGATGTTTTATCCCTGGATACAAGGTCTAATAGCCTGTCTTTTGGTCAATTATGCAGCTGCAACTGCAGAAGCAGAATTCCCGGATTGCACGAAAGAACCCTTGAAAAGCATTGCCGTTTGTGATACTAATTTAGACACGCTCACGAGAGCCAAGGCTCTAGTGGCTGAATTTACATTGGAAGAAAAAATAGCCAATGTGGTATACAACTCCAGCGGTGTTCCTCGACTCGGCTTGCCACAGTATACGTGGTGGAGTGAAGGTCTCCACGGTGTTGCTCTGTCACCAGGTGTTTCTTTTGCATCAAGCGGCAATTTTAGCTGCGCCACTTCATTTCCCACGCCAATCACGATCGGGGCAGCATTTGATGACCCCCTGGTCAAGCAAATAGGCAATATCATTAGCACCGAAGCTCGAGCTTTCAATAATGAAGCTCGCGCCGGCTTAGACTACTGGACACCTAATATTAATCCGTTCCGGGATCCTCGCTGGGGCCGAGGGCAGGAAACCCCAGGAGAAGATCCTTTTCACATCCAACAATATGTATACCAGCTTATTGGAGGTCTTCAGGGTGGTATAGGTACAACAAATCCTAAAGTGGCGGCGACGTGCAAACATTTCGCAGGGTACGATATCGAAAACTGGCATGGCAATGCACGATACGGGTATAATGCGATTATCTCCACACAGGACCTGTCTGAGTATTACCTGCCTTCTTTTAAGACATGTGCTCGGGATGCCAAAGTCGAAGCGATTATGTGTAGTTACAATGCGGTGAATGGGATTCCTGCATGTGCTAATTCGTACTTAATGGAAACAATTCTGCGGCAACATTGGAATTGGAGCACCACTCCGGGCCATTGGATTACATCCGACTGTGATGCTATTGCAAACATCTACGATGACCATCACTACACAAATACTGGTGCAGAAGCGGCAGCCGATGCTCTGAATGCTGGAACTGATCTAGATTGTGGTCCTTTCTGGCTTGAATATTTGCCTGCTGCTTTCTCGGAAAATCAATTCGACAATAGGACTCTGGACACTGCACTGACCCGTCTTTATTCATCACTAATTAGGTTAGGCTACTTTGATCCCTCCACACATTCACCATATCGCACCATAAGTTGGGCAGACGTAGCGACACCTGAGTCGACGCAACTTGCCCTCACAGCAGCAGTTGAAGGGATCGTGCTACTTAAGAATGACGCCAAAAAGACTCTGCCGATAGCTCGTAACGGACAAACCATCGCTATCATTGGTCCCTACGGTAACGCTACGTCTCAATTCCTCGCAAGCTATGAGGGGGTCGCGTGCCATATCCCGTCATTGATTTCTGCGGCTGAGGCCCTGAGATATCACGTTTTGTACGAGCCTGGGACTTCTATCAACGATACAAATACCACTGGCTTTGGCTCCGCAATCAATGCTGCAAGGGCTGCTGATGTCATTGTCTTTGCGGGTGGGATTGATGGAACAATTGAAGCGGAAGCAAAAGATCGTGAGACTATCAGCTGGCCAGGAAACCAGTTGGATCTCATCAACCAGCTATCAAATGTAGGAAAGCCTCTGGTTGTTGTCCAATTTGGTGGTGGCCAAGTCGACGATTCATCGTTATTGGCAAATCCCAGAGTCAACGCACTCTTATGGGCTGGGTATCCTGGCCAAGCTGGTGGGCAGGCAGTATGGGAGATAATCACTGGTATTACCTCTCCGGCAGGCAGGCTTCCCGTCACCCAGTATCCCGCAAGCTATGTGGACCAAGTGCCAATGACGGATATGGGTCTAAGACCAAGCCCTAGCAGTCCCGGCCGAACGTACCGTTGGTACGAAAACGCAGTGTTACCCTTTGGGTTTGGGCTTCATTACACTACGTTCGATATTTCCTGGGCATCTCACAGCCTTGGCCCTTATAGCACCAACCATCTAGTTGACGCAACGCAGTCTACGTCCAATAATGAACGAGCAGAGTTCGACACCTTCCATGTCAATGTGAAGAACACTGGGAATGTGGTATCTGACTATGTTGCATTACTTTTCTTGAGCACTAGCAATGCTGGTCCTGCACCATACCCCATCAAGACATTAGTTGGCTACACCAGGGCAGGCAGCATTAGACCTGGTGAGACACGTCATATAGCTATTCAAGTGCAAGTAGGGTCCGTGGCGCGCACAGATACTTTGGGAAACCTGGTTCTGTATCCTGGATCATACAGTCTTCATGTAGACATTGGGGAAGTGGCCTCTTCAAAGTTGAACTTTACTATAAAGGGCGAGCCCCTTATCATCGACAAGTTCCCGCAGCCACCCGCATGAAGGATAAAGTATATTTAAATGGAGCAGGATATATAAGTGAGGTTCAGATTAGGATGCATTTTACATTCCTCTTCAAACAAGGTTTCAACATCTCCATATGCGTTTTATCTACAAAGGCATCCTGTACACAGCACTACATTAAGATTTGAAATACACAAGTTATTCATCTAGAGTAAGCACTTTTGTAGATAGCGTAATGCCGAAGAGTATTTCGAATCATAACATAGAATCACTGCTAAATACGGAGCCTCATGTGAATACAGAATTTTCGTGTAATTGTCAAGTAGAAGATTAAAAGACGATACAGCTTGGTGAACAGTTGCTTAAGGTCTGCTTGAAGTGACGATTAGGAAGTGCTCTTCGGACTGCTCAGATGATTTTGAACAAACAGGGCGGTCTGTGAAAGTTCATGATAAAAAGCATAGGCGCTGAGGATACATTACAGTGCCCTAGGATACTAGAATTTGCCCCTGAGGTTGCGGAGGGCCCGAATGACTCACCCAGATTACTTCCAATTTGGATTGAAGTGTACCTCTACCCTCCTTAGCAAAGCACGACCTTAGACTGCGTCAGCCACAGATGCCCGGCCATCTTTGATCTCCCGACCGCGTAGCATCTATATGTTTATTATTGTTATTATTATTATCAGGCTTAACGACCTTGCCCAGCTATAAGCTACGAAGGTCTTGTTTTAGCGGGCGCTAGGGTGCCTTATAGGGCCCTAGGCCCCTATTTCCCTCCACTGCCTGCCCTGAATTGGTGAACCCCATAACGAACCAGTCCGCACTTTGATGCATCCATGTTCGCCAGTTCGTATTGGTGCTGATGCATATTAGTTAGGCCGTCGATAAGTAAGATTGATTGAGCACGGCCGGATTGCCTATCATTCAGATCTTCATGCGAGAATGATACAATCAACGTCGCAGATGATGTAGGTTACACAATCCTAGTTCGGCAGACAGGAAAACACGGCTAACATTTAGGATAGTATATTTGCTGTCACTCAAGCTCTGTGGCTAGTCGTCAATTGTATTCTGCGAACCGTACAAGGGTTAGCAATAACCACCCTTGAGCTGACCTCGGTATCTTTCGTCGTGGTGTTTTTCGTCACTTCATTCTGTTGGTATCACAAGCCATCCGATATATCAACTGCTACCACTCTTCGGACGAACACACATATTGATGATATTCGGGCAGAGGTCAGCTTAGGCCCGGGTGTTTGACCTTGCAAAAAAAAAAGCTCATAGATCACGCTGACGGTCATGGATATTACCTAGAATTGTCCGAATCCCTCCAAAGAATGGCACGAATCTCCCTTAGATTTTCTCCGGGAGGACCGATTTTTCTGCGATCTACACTGGAGATATTACAATCAGATCCTGCAACGAATTCATCTGCCAATCTTCTCGCGTCCGGTTTCTAAACCTCTCTGGGATCGCATTCCTAGCGATACCTTCCCCCAGGTTGACTTACTAGCTGAGTGCATCGCTGGGCCAGTGATCTTACTTTTCGCCTCCATTTTCATGTTTGGTTGGAATTTTGACTTCGCAACACCTGTGGACCAGATCATATGGCGAGTCTGCAGCGTGTACATGGTATGCTACGCGGTTTTCGGTGAGTTGCTAGCTTTGTACAGTCAGAGGATCGCTCTTCCCAGACTATCGTTGTCGCGAAAGCAGCAAGATGAAAAGGAAACGCCCCAAGCAGCCCCCCTACCCATTCATGTAAACTCCCTAGAACGACTTGCCGAGAGGCTACGCAATATCGATCCAGATAAGGACCCCATCAACACCATCCCGCTACGGGTCCTAATCCCTTCTACGATTCTTTGTGCTTTGTACTTCTTCGCTCGAGCACTTATCCTCACTGAGGACTTAATCGGACTACGGTGTTTACCGAGCAGTGCATTCCAAACGGTGAACTGGATTAACAGTGTGCCTCATTGGTAGACATAAGGTGGCACAGTTATATCTTACGATAATGAGTGTATTGTGTTTTTGAGCGAGACCATTGAGCTTGAACTTGTTGTATTGTTGGTATCTAGATAGACTTGGCATTTTTGACGACGACCATCCAATCTCTCAACCTTATCTCTTATCTCGTGCTATTTCACTCAAATCTGATTGGAATCTGATTGAAATGGAATGATTGTTCCTCAAATTTACATACTTAAGACCTATAATGAGAGCACGAGACTTTGTAACCGATAATGCTCTCTACTATGTCGTATCGGATTCTAAGCTATTGCATTACATTATCAATACAGTAACAGCTAATGTAATTGTACCAATCACATTTTGAATAATATACATCCAACCCCAAAGGGTTTCATGTTCTCTCCAAAATCACTTGATGTCTTGATATCACGACTGCTCGCCCAACCCCAGTCTCATCTTGCCCATATCAAACACAACATACTGACTTTTCAAAAACGGATGCCCCAAAACCGAGAAAGCTAGAGTATTCTGGCGCTGCAAACTCCCGTAACACTTGTCCCGGCCATCTACCATTCCCACATCCGAATATTTCATAAATTTGCTAGGAATCGTAGCCGTGTAATCTCCAATATGAATTGAGAAATCCGGCATCTCTTCATCACAGTTGAATATATATCCATTCATAGACGAACTATTCATGGCAGACGGTATTTCAGTGTAATAATCCTGAACAATCTCATCCGGTAGCATCAAAATCGATGTCCCTGTATCGACTGCAGCTTTTTCAACCTCAAATGATCTTCTAGGTGACTCCCCAACCCTGTACCCATCTAGACGAATAGCCCACAATCCATCCGAGCTATCCACTGACATATACCCAAGCTCCTCCCCCTTGTATTTCGCATGATCAACGAATCCAAAATCAAGACTCCCCACCGCACCATCCTTCAGCAAGGCCGCATATACGGGCTGTTCAAGCTGCTCTACCACCATCTCGAAAAACGTCTTCTGTGGTCTCGGTCGCACGGTGTTGATGCTCCCGAATCCAAGGCCTAGAATACCATCTCGGCTGGTTTCGTTGACGAATGAAGCGGGTATGTCTGATGCGGTCTCGATGGATTGGGAATAAGTCTCCAGGCCGCCGAGACTGACGTAGTCTTGAACCACATTGCCGGTGACTGTGGTGCCTTCGGCGTAGGATGAGCTGAAGTTGTAGCCGTCGAGAGGGATGGCGTGGGTTGAAGGGGTGTAGGTGTTATGTCCTGTGGTTTTGTTCGTGGAGAGGGTAGATGGGAATACCCATCTAGATGTCATTTTGATTAGCATTGATAGTTTTAAGTTGGTATTGGCTAGGATTGAGAATTGATGTCAACAGAAAGATAAAGGAAGGGAGTAGCATACAGATCTGAAGAGCCTGTGTCCACACTCAGATTCAAGGTCGAGCTGCCAATCTGCACGGAAACAACGTAGAATGTATTGCTCCTCGTCGGCTTGACCTCGATGGAAGCCTTATTCTTAATATTCGCGTTGGTCTGGTCTTTGGTGTATATCTCAGCCACGGTAAGCCCAATAACAAAGTAAACAGCAGCTCGAAGAACATGGCTGCTTAGTAGCATAGTGGGGAGCTTCCTAGAATGCAAGCAGAATCAAGGGTTGAGACTACCATCAACGTCCTGGTCTGTCTGGAAGCTTATGAAAGAGTGGATGGGAACTATCTCAAAATATACCCCAGTTGATCAATATTAAGAAGAATGTCCGTAACCTAGACACGTGCGTTGAAGAGAAGGAATTGGACTGGAAAGTCTGGAATTATGAATTGATCAACGACGAAAGGGGGATCAGCAGATCGACGTCAAAACGGAGATTTTAGTATAGACTGTCCAAAGGTGGGGGATATTCCAGTATCTGTTTCTTCAAGGACCATTCGGTATGCGGTTTCGGTGAACGAACTAGCTATTCCGAACGAATGTGATTCTATTGCTCAAGTAGTTCAATATTGTATTAATGTTGAGACGCTTCAATATTGTTACATACATGTAAGTGTCGTAATACTCCACCTATAGTTTGAAGACTGGAATGTAAATATATTTCCAATCTCGGAATAGGGTTGCCCCTTGCGCCACTCCGTCCTGACGTCACGGCTTGGAAGGGATGAATATCAATCAATTCTCAATGCATCAATTGATATGTATACTTGAGTTGACATGCGTTGTCATTATAACTATGTACGTATGACCAAACCTGGCCTATTTGCAGACCACCAACTGATATCAACCTGAACCAACGCCGTTTTCCTGGACAGAGCTTGAATATTACATATGTAAATTAGGGTATATACTGAACACCTGTCTAGGGCTCTTTTCATGATGCCCGCTTTCTTACTACTTGAAAGCCGAAATATTTGCAATGTCGACATGACAGCCCGGATGATAACTCCCGCCATTATATACACATATCAAGGGGATCATATCATGATGGCTCGAAATCCTGAGAGTCAAGGGCAAAAATTTCCCATTTTTTGAGCACTTCCGGGTCAGCGAGCCGCACGCGTCGCCGCCACGCAATCCTCTCGCCAGACGGAAGAGTCTCGTATACATTATCTGATTCAAGAACCAAGGTGAACTCGCGCGGAGATTCAGCGGCTGATCGTGGAGGTGTGGCCTCCTCTCGAGGTCGTTTTCCCAAGGCAGACCTCGGCGGAGCAAGCGATGAGCTGGGAGTATGATTATTTGAAGACCGAGGAGGCTGCATGCTGCGAGAAGAGCGGCCATTAGTCGGAGCGCCTGCGTTAGAGGCCACAGGGTACAACATCGGACCCGACATCGGACCAGACATCGGTTCTCGTCGATAGTCTTCTGGATTCACGCCAAGCGCATCGGGAGTAGTCTCATCTGCTGGGATGTGATAGAAGTCTTCTAGTAAAATGCCTTTTGTTCCCAGTCCAACGATCTGCATTTTGCTATGTATCTGCTTATCGGCCAGTATGGTACTGACCTTTTCTAGATGCAGACGCTCATCGAGGGCAGCCAACTCAGATAGGGTTAGGATAAGGGCTGGTGAGTTGTCGTCATTTGAAACATTCTGTGTTGGAATTATAGCAGACTTTTCCGCGGGTGAAAATAGGATCCGCATCGCCACTAGCTTCCGTAGGAATGGACTGAGCAACTGGAAGGCATCCAGGGCGGATATTTCAGGGGCAAACGCAAGCTGCTCTAAATTAGGGCAGTCACGCACTATGCGAGCTATAAGAGTAGATGAGAGTGGCCAGCGAGTTGGAAGAAGAAGATGACGCAAAGTAGCACCGGTATTTGTGAGAATGGGTAGCAAGTAAGTGTCACGTAGTTGGATAAGCGGGCTCGCATTAGTCGAAGGGGACCGAGGGGAAGAAGACGGAGACCCTGTCCGGGCTAATGCAGCCATGGCAGAGTTTGGATTGGTGCCGTTGGCCATGTGAATCGTTGGTGTTGCAGCACTTGACTGCCGAGGACTTTGTATTGTTTCAGCCAAACCTCGCGAGGGGTTGACAAAATATAGCCTCTCCAAGTTTGTTAGTGTCGATAAAAATTCGCAAAACTCCTTTGTTATATTGTCATGTCTGACAGACTTCCAGGTTGAATTCGATGGCGGCTTAGCTAGCAACCAGGTCCGGTCGACGAATGACAAATATGAATCTTCAGCGTACGAGTTATTGAGAGTTGTCATCTCCTCCAGGTACCCTTCATCAAATGCTTGAGACATATCGAAAGTGTTTCGGGCGTAGAAATTGTAGAACGCGACCTTTTTTAATTTCATCGGCGAATTGGAGGAGATGGACTCGCGGAAGTAATCGTGAGCAACCACGCTTGGCTCCTGAAGCTCTCGCATGCGCGGCGACCAATGCATGGTCAGATTTCGCAACCGACGAGACTTTGCCAAGAGGGTCGAGATGTCGTCTGGGTAGCACAGCGGATCAATGTCGGTCACCTTAAAAGTACGCAAATATGGCATAGCCGGGATCACGTAGATGGGGCGCGGGTGTCGACTTGTAGGGAATCGAATGGATAGTGATGTCAGCTTTGGTAGTTGAGATAGGCCCAGATATGCTGTCTCCAGCAATTTGGTATTCAGTTCCCAGCTGCGGCGTACGTGGTCAGATACAGTCAATAATCGCATGCATCATCTCATAGCTTACTTGAATTCTTTCATATCAGTAGCGCGATCAATGGCAGCTCGCACGGCAATGTTGAGGACCATGGCTGAGTCCGGCACTCGGCCTACCCTCGAGTGTTCTTCCAGCTCGGGCTCCTTCCAGTCGCCGCGTAGAGTCAACGAGTAGATGAACGACGCTTGAGGTTTGGTGACTATGCAGTTGAGGCCCATGAGAAATGGACTTGCACTGCCCCATCCTTCTGGCTGTTCGTTTCGATAGCGAATCCGTTCGTACGAGGTAAGAGAGATGTTGCGATAGAGATGTGGGAGCGCCATGTAATTGAACAAGCGGCATGTACGGCAGATGCGGGCAAGATCGCCCGGTTCCTCGATCTGTGCATTATGGGTCAATATAGATCTGGGCATAGACAAGCGACCGCATAAAAGAGAGCTGTTGCAACTCACGTAGGAGACGATGTGAGCAATCAGGTTCAAGGGCAAAGCCAGTATCATGGTGGCGCCGGCGCGCTGGTCTGTTCGCACGCTGGCGTCGAACATGTTGCTATTGACGGCCGTCATTCTGGGCCGTATGGGGAGAGGCCCCCGACATTGACCGGGTTATACACAGTCGAGAAGAGGTGGGCTGGCACTGGGCTGCGGGGAATTAATATTTAGAGTGTGTTCAGCTGGACTCTGGAGGTGATAAAATCTGGAGTTAGTAATTAGTTAATAGCTGCTGTTGGTAACGGGCGCATGTGCGAGTGGGTCGTCGAATCCGCACGACCCGGCCAGTCCGGCCCAGCTGGCCTGGATCAATTCATAATCTCACATCTTCTTATTATTGCAAATGCTATCTATATACACCTGATATGCAGGTATTAATATGTATCTTGTCCGTACCAAACCCCTATCCAGCCAGTCCAGATCAACAACGCCTTGCTATAGAGGTATCAAAATGTTCGAGGCAAAAAAAAAATGACCAAAAGAGAAAGCGAAATCGTATGTTTTTAATCGTGTTAATGATGTCGGTGCCGCAGCGGTGGATTGCCCGCTTCTAAATCCCTATCTTCATGGACGAGTGGCTGTATTTGATCGGGTCCAGGCTCAGCTCCATATAAGTCTTCCTGCGCCTGTTGTTCGCCTACAGCTTCGGGTTGTATCTGGTGAGACACAACTAGGGTAGCATTGCCAGAAGAGGCATCTACCGTCGAGGCAGACGACGAGGAGGTTCCAGTATTGGGTCGTGCATGTGTGCGAAAATCTGGTCCAACACCGACCAGAGCAGCTGTCTCTGGATTGTATTGTAGCGGACTGCTGTCTGTCCGTCCACCATCTCCCCGCGAAGGAGACCATGGTGCCGTGCGCCGCACTTGCGTGGATACCACTCTAACGGGTTGGCCACGTTGATCGGCCGACTCATCCTCGGATTGTGTTGGCTCGTTTGGTTGTGGTGTCCACGTTTGCTGAGACCTATCACGAGATGGAATGACAGTCACTGTCAATTGCCTCTGTGTTCGCGCATCGGATCCCTGGTGCCAAGGACCATGCGGTAGAGAGGATAAGATTTGTTGAATCCTTGAACGATTGTTTTCCTTCCCTCTAATATTTATTTCGTCAGCCACGCTAGATTCATCTTGCGTAAGATCTTGCTCCTGAGCAGTTGCCACTTCCTGCGGTGGAGACGTTCGCCTTCTTTTGAATATATTAGCAGCTGAAAACCAGTGGTTTCCAATAGAAGCCGGGGTTATGCCGGGACGATTTCCCGTTGCAGCGCGATTATCAACACTGCTTGTTCGATCAGACGACCTACTCTCATATCCAGTCTCGGCTTCCTTATTCTGAGAATCCGATTCGCCCTCGTGCTCATCTGGAATGATTGGCACCGGGGGTGTTGGGCTGGCAACGGGGTGATAGCGAACGTAATATACAGTAGAAGCAGCACTCGTAGTATCAGCTCGGCTAACCGGGGTCACTGCTGCTGGAGGCCGCATAGGTTGGCCAGGTGTGTTTTGCGACATTGCATTGTCGCCTGTATTGCCATTGGTCGCAGTTTGTCGAGAGCGACTGCTGAGTTGGAACCCAAGATGGCTCCTTCGCAATGGCCGATGGTTTAAACCAATAACACCACCCCATGCAACTCCTGTGCCATGACCACCATCATTTCCACGAGCACCAGTCTGGCGCGTCCAGTCAATCTCTTCTGATGGGGTAATCTCCAGCATCTCATCTCCGTCAAAAACTTCGCGCCCCAGAATCCCGTCTTTTCTCTCATCTCGCTCAAGAGCCTCTATCCGTTCCACCCATTCCCAGACAACAACGCTAGCAGCTGCAGAACCCACCCATCTGATGTATTCTCCCCATCCGGCAACATCAGGCGATGCAATATCCATAATAAAGAATATGACAGGAATCATAACCGCGATCAGCGATAGCATCGCTACTAGACATATATTCCGCATCTTGGGGTGGAAGTATGCGAAGCGGTGTTTGGACAGGGAGTAGAATATGACCCAAGCCGCATATAACAGATTAAGAGCCAACTCAAAAAGATAGGAAAGTGCCGGGATAGCGTCGTCGAACAATCGTGGGTGGGTGTTCGACCCATGCGCAACGAAATTATCTAGAATTGAAAAGGCCGTGTCAAGCACGATCAAGGCGAACCCGGCCCACTTTATCATTACTTTTTCTTTATGTCGAGGAAATAGTCGTATAAGAGTTTGAACCTGCGCGAGCCACAAGAAGGTACTGGAGATAACCCTGACAATTCGTATCTCCGTGCCATCGATGACTTCTTCGGTCAATGCCGTGGCATCCGTGTAGCCAGCTGAATACTGCCTCTCAGCCACACGGAACGAATCCACGGTTGCGATAGTCAATGAAATCGCGACGGTTAGCGCGGCCACTTTCTGTAGCCAAGGACGTCCACCAACGCCGACGATAGAAGAACTCCCGCTGTAAGAACCACTAATCATGCCATGACGACCCAAGAAATTCCCGCCGCCGCCTGGGCCTCCAATGTAGAACGTTCTAGGTGTAATGAGAAGTATGATGACCAGTAAATAACTCACCACCGTCATGCAGCCAATTGCATACAATTGCGGTCCCACTGAGGAATAGAACGGGTCTTTCGTATTGAGGATAGCCGACGGCAGGCTATCGGTATTGTCCGTATCCCCTGTGCAAACAGGTTGGTATACCACGTCCTGGGATATTGTCACCGAGAAACTACTATTGACACTAAGGACGCCTAGCAGAGAGTAAACGCTCGTCAGCATCCAACAATCCAACACAAGAAAATGAATTTCTATGGGTCCTTACCATTACTGGGGAGCAGAAATGGAGTGCATGACGGATCTATACTGCTAGTAGACGTCGGCCGAGCCCATATTTGACGTCTTTCGAGATCCATTTTAAACCGGGGATCCCCTCAGCAGTCGAAGTACGTGCGAGGGTGTCCTCGCAATTCAAGCGTATCGCATCCAGGCATATAGTTAATAGGAAGCCAGTCGGTTAATCACGGCCTATGCTCCCATTGCGGTATGCACCAGCTATTGTCAAGCCTCAGACGATGTCAGGCGGTATGTAGGAGGCGAGCCAGATGATTATGGCAGGATTTGTCTCGGGGACACGGGGAGCGAATTGGGAGTGTGCGGACCGAACGGTTTCTTGGCCTGGGACTATCAGACAGGTGCGGTAGTTCAGAAAGCGAATGGGTGTGGCCGAAGACAACGGCGGCAATACTTCGACAGCGATACCTCCAAGACGTCTGCAGATGGAATGAAGGTACAACAATCATTGTCCAGACTGTTCCGTCGGGGGACTCAGAGGGCCCGCGCCAAGCCAAGCTAGGGCCAGCGGCCACTTGTGATTGGCCGATCCCCTAAGGCGATCCCCGAGTCGAGAAAACTCTAAACTCAAATACACAGGTCACGTGGTGCTATCTACATACTGTCAAGATCAATTATTATATATTGCAGTGTACGCGCATATATAAATTTCCATGTTGAAAGAGGAAGAGATGCCCATCCTGGCGAGGCAAGACTTAAACTTGACAAATGTAAATAGGCATAAATGTAAATATCGTAAAAAGACATAATACAACGCTTAGGTGTGAATGAGCGAGACTGTCACTGGAGATAATATCCAACAACCATAATGGAAATCAGGGTCACCTTGATCCAGGTTGATATTGCATTTGTCCAGGAGGTATATAAGGAACAACGAAATTGGAGCCATGGACTTGCGCCGAATAAGCGCGAGATTCCTCTCGCTTCTTGATCTCTCGTTCATTTCGGATACAGGTGCAGCACGGGCAGCACGTCGCTCGCACACAGTCAGAGCAGATGCTGCCCTCAATCTCATATGCCCTTCTTGTGCGCGTGTGCTGGATGGTTGCCAATATCCATTGGCAGCCACATAAAAGCGCGATAGCGGTACACGATCCGTTACAGCTTTCGTATCCTAGAAGATTCGTCGGATCTTCTCCTCTTGACTTGCGCAGAAGACGGTATTGCGTCCGTCCATATAATATGCACGGGCAGGTGAATCCCAAACAGCACGTCCCGATGTCTGAGGAGCATTCGCAAAGCCCTGTACTCCAGCCGCCGCCCTTGCTCATCTGGCTCGGGTGGGCAATTTGGCCAGGGAGATGCGTGGAGTAGGATTCATTACTCGGTTGGGCATCTTGCCTAGTAGTGTGAAAGGACGGTGAGAGTGGCGATTGGAGTGGGTTCATGTCTGGGGTGATGGGCGAGAAGGGAATCGGGCTTGGTCGAGGGTGCTCTTTCACAGGTAGCGGGCCTGGTGAAGATGGAGGCGATCGATATGGTGTCGGTGGATGTTGCGGTGCGGTCAGAGCTGGATCCATCGTGACCGAAGCAGGAGACTCTTCGACATATGGTGCGGATAGGGCAGGGTGTATGGAAGGGCCATGACTGTTCAAATTCGAGGCCTGGTGGATTTGTCGTGCCTGCTCGAGTTCCTGAGTCGCGACATTTGTTGCTGTTGACTGCCGTGTCACTCCGGGCTGCGGTGTTGCGGGAGCCACAGGTCTGGCTGCAGTTGCATCCGTAATTTCAGCTTGCAGCAGCTGCTGTCGATGTGGATTCAGCTCAATTGGAGTCTCAATGAACGAGTAAACCTGTTGTCTCTGAGAGGTATCCAAGCTGAGTTGGCGGCTCATTTTGAGTTCGGCTCAGAGTGGTAGATGCTATGTTTATGCACTCTCGAGAATCGCCGCGGCTTCTCACCGACCGGTCATTTCAGGGTTTCACCTAACTGGCTGAAACAGTATACAAGATCATCCAAGCAATCAGAGTTCCAGATTTACATCATCATCAGCACTCTGTCAGTCTGCGGGTTGTCTGCGGACACAGAAAGTTGCTGTGGGAAACGAATGACAGAAAGTCGTAGCAGTAGATGACGAAGCATGGCGTCGAGAGCACGGCGATCAAAATGCCTTCTTAAATAGGATTGTGATCAGCATGGCTAGCCTGCACGGCGCACGCTACCGGGAGAGCTATGGCGGCGGGAAGAGAGCGTGTTGGTCTATCAACTTTCAAGAGGTTTGAAAGTTGAGACACCAGCACGGCGAATCAGCGTGCTCGGCGGGACTCATCGCAGGTCTGCGCCGCAAACAAGGCCCCGAAACTACTCAGAATGGCACTAGCCACGGTTCATCTGAGGGGACGCAGATGGGGCTAAAATGAGGGAAAAGCGACGGGCTGGAGACGGACTGCGAGGCGGAAGCTTTGTCGATGCTGCCGACAGCCGACAGCGTCACAGCGCTTGCCCGTCACAGCGAAGTGTTGGCTAGACGCCAATCCTATCACACCGTTCACACGCCGTGCCACCAATCATGCCAGTGCCTGCATATTGACGCCCTCCAGTAGCCAACAGCGGAGTGACAGCCGGATTCTCTCGTTCTCGCGCTGTGTGCTTTCCCCTTTGTGTTACTCGCTAGAAACGCTGGTGCTAAGCCATTAGTTAGCTGCCACAATGCACGTCGCGCACCCTATCACGGTCACATGCATGACTATCAAGTGACCGACTCCAGGACGCATTATTATTTGATTTTTGCAAATGCGGAAATAAGAATAATGTGGTCGATCGAACAATTCGATTGAATTCTAGGCTATGCAAAGTAGGGCAACGGCGGCACTTTTAATTCCCATCTACTACTGCCCAAGCGATAGTTATCCATATACTCATTTTACTCGTATCCACGCTCATGCCTCAGCATCCAAATTCCGCAGTTGTGATGCGAAAGTCTTGCGGATCCATTCGACATACGACCTCCATTTCACATGCTCGGCGCCCGTCTCCGCTCCTGGGAAGGCCTTGTCCAATTCACGGCTGATTTTGAGGATGCCTAGCGAGGCTTCCTGTGCCTTTTCGAGCTCTTGCTTGACGGCGTTCTCCTTTGGCTTCGAGTTTAGTATAGCAGCGTAACGGTCTGACAATGCATCGAGCTGCCGTTGAGTATCCTCGGGGGCCAGGGTGATCAGTTTAGCTGTCATCAAGTTGCATAGCGTTCTGATGTCTTGCTCGTCGTCGACTCCAGCCAAAATACGGTCATACAACTCGGAAACGTTAATTCGTTTAAATGCAGAATCAAGAGAAGCATAAAGTGTCTCGTAGGCGGTCTGAGAATGAAGATTAGATATTATAGTACTCTGGTTTGAAGTGCAATTAACACTCACCTTGCGAAGATCAAGACCATCATCAACCTTGTGCTTAAATGGGCCCATTTGAACCTCGCGAATGAGTTCTGGCTTGATATGGGTATCGCCAAGAACAGCTGGTAACAGTTCGTTCAAATGAGGTTGAATAATCTCCATCTTATTATGGATAGCGGAATTCAGTGTAGTCAGGGCCAGGCGGTGGTTTCCTAGGTCCTTATCACTCAACATACTTACTAGGATAGGAATGATCAATGGTCGCAAGACATCGTTATAAGAGCTGCTAGAATCGGAAAGTGTATAACGGAACGCGGAGATGACCGTGCCACGGACAGTAGGATTATCATTAGTGAGATACTCTTGCAAATGTGGGACATAAGACGCAGGATCTAGAAGAGCAAGTCGGCCAATGCATTCTGATCCCACAACCCGACTATCTTCATCGTCAGAAGCCGAAAGAAGAATTTGCCACAACTTTGTCGCAAAGGGCGTGATTTCGTTGCGTACAAGTTCAGGGTGCTGAAGGAGTTCCTTGATTGAGTGTAGTAAGAGATATGTAGATGAGCTAGATTTATCCAGCCCATCCAGTATGACCGGCATATAACTTTTGACATTGCTAGCTGCAGCGTTACCAAGTGCAACAGCTGCAGCCAAACGAACCTTGTCAGACTTGGAATTGAAGTTTGAAATGAATAAATCCGGCTTGACGGGACAAGCATCTCCCATGCGAAGGCACACTTCACCAAGGATAGACAAAGCAAGACATTTGCGTTGATCATCTTGCGCAGTTTGTAGTTCTGTAAGGAAGTCTTCCATCTTCACTCCCAAATTTGGCCCTCCATGTACAAGCAAAGCACCAATCGCACGTCCAACCACAGAAGGATCACCGTTTATTCCAACATCTTGTAGAAGACGTCTCATAAGATCTGCACCAGCGCCTTCTTCTCCAATAACCTTAACAAGTAAAAGTAAGGCTTTAAGACTTGTGCCCACCAAGGGGGCCACGACAACTGAACAAAGAGCAGAAATAAGGTCGCTTGTCACTAAACTTTTTGCGTGATGTGGTACTATCTTTGCGAGTATAATGAGAGCCGGCGCCAGCAAGTGGAAGTCATCGGGGGTAATAAGTGGCAAAAGGAAGTTTTCCAAGTCAAGCATTGTTCCCTCATTGTAGTGGGCCCGAGTGTTGGAATTCATCGCTAGGCTTCGAAGAGCTTCCAAAGATGCACTTCTCAGACTACGATCAGACTTTCGAAGCTGGGCACCGAGTTCGTTGGTTACCTGAGAAATCCATTCAGGATTGACATCTTGTTCACTGCTAGCCAGAACAGCAATATCGTCAATAGCACGTGCGCTAGCCAGTCGTGTGGTTTCATTCTTCAGCCGATCCACTAAGACTGTCAGACCTTGAGAACGTTGAGAGCTGGAAATAAAGCTTCGCCCAACGTCGCCAGATGTGCGGGCCAACAAGACACCAAATACGTGGATGGCTCGTCGGCGTACCTCAAGATCAGCGCTGGTGTCCGTTATACGCGATACAATCACATTGTAAAGCTTCTCCAGCTGTGGCCCAAGATTGTTCTGCTCATTAGTAGATACCCGCGGAGGAGTCAAGGCTTTAATAATGTGCTCAATAGTCCCCAAAGCCTCACTCGCAACTTTGTAGTTACGGTCATTGACAGATGTGATAACTCCTGGAATTAATGCAATGAGGAATGGTAATAAAGCATTTGATGTATGAGTTTCTGCAATGGCACCAATCAAAACCAGCGTTTCAATCTGAAGAGTTCCAGCACTGACTGCTGTACCCGCCGTGATGGAGGTACTACCGGCGCTGGAAGCCTTTAGAGCATCTGCAATTGGGTCTTCGATTTTCTGGAGGTAGTCTTCTAGGCCCCCATATCGTGCCAAAGCCAGACTTGTCAATAGAACGATTGCAGCTTGTTTCAAAGCCACCGAAGCTCGCTTCCACAATTTTACCAGGCTTTGTATTAGGTCTGGAAGCAGTCGCAGTAACTCGGCCTGAGGGCCAGACTCTGGAGGTGTTGGTGTAGAAAAGGGTGAGTTTATGGCCGAGGAGGTACCCATGCTGGGCTCAAAGTCAATTACTCCCGCGAAACTGTCTTGACGCCTCCGTTTTCGAGAGTTTTTGGAGCCTCCCACGGATTCTGTGTAGCCATTGGAAGTCGCAACAGTAATTCCTTCACTCGTCTTCTGTACCAGCGCTGTGAGTGTTCCAACAACTTCGAGTTTCACACTTTCCTCTCTTTCGCGCGCAAATCGTGAAATCAATGCGGGTGCCACCTGTTGATACAAAGGACCGTCCTCCAGCAATCGACCACTAGCATATGTAGAAACTACAGTGTGAAGGACTTTTGCCGCACAACGTCGAACCTTCCAGCTCATATCGTCGATGTCGCTGTAGCCTCCTTCTTCCTCAAAGTCATCAAATTCATCATCTACGTCATCTGGATCTTCGGTTGCATCATCTTCACTACCCTCATCCTGCGTTCCGCCCATTTCCTCATCCTCCTCGAAAGCCACATTCGGGTCGTATTTGAGATACCTCAAGGCGGCATTCACAGAGTCCACCAGGTATGGCTGCATTTCCTGACTACATGACGACATCAGTCCCTCTAGCGTAACCAGAGCAGTTTCACGGAGTTCGTCGACCTGGGGATCATGTTCCCCATCATCGGAGTCATCTTGATGCATCTCATCGAGTTCCTGCTCACTGACAGCAGCGAGAACGAAGGGGGCCAATGTCTTCAAATAGGGTCCAAATTTAGCCGATGCAGCTCGAGCAAGACTTCCAATTGTAGCAATGAGGTGGCGGCGTTTGTTGACTGTCAGATGCACTGAACGGAAACCCTCAATCAATTGAGACACAAAAGCACTTAGTTGGGTATCTGAGAAATGTACAACGAGGGCTGCAATGGTAGCTAATGCCCGTTTCGTCACCACCGTTCCGGCCGTATCGTTTTCGATGATAGCCATGATTGATTTCTCAAGGGCTGCCACTTCAGTTTCCTTTAGCAACGCTCCGAAGCAGCTAATTACTTCAATAACAACATCTATCGCATCGCTGCTGTAACCTTTAGACGCATCTTTTTCCAACATCCCTTTCGTTACCGATCCTCTCCGCAAGCTTCTCGACGGTGTCTGACCTGTCAGTCTTGGAATGAGCACTTTTGAAATGGCCGAGTATGCGGCAGTTGCCTCGACGCTTGCTACGCCACCTGCCCGAGGAGATGGAAGCGACGTAACAATCAACCTCAAGGCAGTATTTGGCACTGACGTATCGATAGATTGCGAATTAGTCAAGACAGCGAGACGTTCGAAGAGCGAAGACAGGCTCTCCACTGGGAGACGCACAGCTAAAGGGCCAAGACTTCATTTCATTAGCAAAGCATTCAGACGAAGATTGTATTCAAGTTTCCCGCATCAAAAATACCATTTTAGAGCCTGGTTTTGAACCTCTCCGTGCTGGTCCTCCAAGGCCTTCAGAAGGCCATCAGCCACCTTGGCGGATGTCGTGGTGTCATTTGTCAAGAAAATCGAGCCAGGGCCGGTTAATATACCAAGAACATCGTTCAGTGACATGTACCGAATATCTGGATCCGGGTCGTCGAGCTTCACCAGCAGGCCATTCAGGCTGTGGATGGTCGATTGTCGGTCGACCATGTTGTTGGTGTGCGGCGATAACACAGGGAGCTTCCCCGCGTTGTTCGTATACGATGAAGAAACTGAATGCAAAGCAGAGCCGCCAGAGGAAACGACAGGTGAGGTAATATTTCTAGAAAGAAATGTGTAGTATATCGTGTTCTCTGATCAGCAGGTGTCCGTATGCGACAGAGAAAAAGAAAGTCTTGATGGTTGACAGGCAAAGAATCGGCCCGTCATTTTGTTGTTGAGGCAGAGAAGCAGGTGGGGCACTGGCGGTTCCGCATGGGGAGGTCTATCAATCACTTCGCGGGCTGGTCCGCAGCTCCACGCCCATGTCTGAGTATTAATTACACGGGGGATAGGATACATATAGAAGGGATACTTGATGCGCATGCACTGCTCGATCTATTAATAATTTGATAGTGTTGGATATCATGGTAGGCAATGCAGCAATGCACTGTCCAGTACAACACAGCTGATGAAGCTACTTAAGGATAGGATTCTGTGTGTTTTGGGGCAGATTCCGTTATTCTATTTCTGTTGATTATTATTTACTACATATTCTGACAGTACTTGAGCTCTCAGTGCAAATATTAAGTCTCTCCGTGGCTCCAAGTTGGCAGCTCCAATGACATAATGAAGTCGACATTGCCTAGATGATTGTGGGGAAATACCAGATAAATTACTAGTTTGCGTATTGCCTGCTTTCATTGGTTTGCCTTTACTGTTTTGGAACCAATTTAGTCCTCTTACAGCAGTTATTTGCCGTATATAGTCTAGCCTTCATAACATACGTGTATATCAAGAAACCGGTTACGCCATACACCAATGTCGTCCCTGTCAAGCTTTCCAATCTGAAGTAAACTCTTCTTGATTTTGATGGTGTATAGGAAAAATAAGAAGACGAAAAGCCCAAACATACTCTCTAGTACAATTGTAGCTTTCAAGCAGCAATGGTTATTATCTCTCGTTTCTCCCCTGCCCTGCGCGCAATCTCGACGGTACGTGCTGGATTGAGAAATGTCGTCATAGCATTTCCGCGACACGCTGCTTCTGCGCGGCGCCTGTATGCCTCTCAAGCCAACCCAGGGGGGCAAAAGAGCAGCGAGATTCCATGGTATGCTTGCTGCAATATCGTCGATACTGATTAGAAATAATTGCGGAATGCATATCATCACTGACTCGAAGTGAATGCCACAGGTTGGTTGGCTCGATCGCTGTGACCGTTCCAGCAGCATTTTACGTATTGAACTCGGGACCTCAAGGGAAGGAGCATGAAGTCGAGTCTCACGAGCCTGTTGCGAACGAAGAGGAGAATGTCGAAAAGGAGAAAGGTGAGGATGAGCAAGATGAAGGGAAGGAAGAAAACCCTTCAGACGCAGGTGACGGTGCAGCACCATCTGAGCAGGATCTGGTAAGCATCTTCGGAGTTTTTCACACACGGTATACTGCTTACTGATGATTAAATTATCATAGCCGGACGCGGACAAGAAACCTGAAAGCCCAGGGGGCAAGTCCGGCTCTCAACCAGCCAAACAGCAAGACGACTCCGGTGCAGAAACTAGAAATCCTCATCTAGAAGACCCAGGCAAGAGCAAGAAGGCTGGGGGCGGGGTTGAAACTGGAAAAGTCAAGGGAACAGTCTCCAGTGAGCGACCAAAAAAACAGGGGTAAATCAGCTATCTAGATATAGAAAGATTAGTGTAGTAAGAATAAATATTGTCGGTGTCTGTCACACCTTAAGCCGGACTCTTCATACCAGAACAACATCCATTACATAGTATCTACACAAACGTACCGTTCTATATATCCTATACAAGCCGCCCCGTACATTTCTCATTCTTCATCACCATTCAAAACCCAATCGTACTCGTGGAGAAGCTTCTCAAGGAGATGCTAAACGAGTATAATGCTAATATCACCAAAAAATAAGGCCCTCCAAGAAAGCAAAGACGATAAGAAATCGATATTAAAACCTTAGAATCATGGCCAAGCACATAAACAACCCCGTACCACATTTTGTGAGCCTCATTAAGGACCATGCATTGCCTAAAATCATGACAATAGAAAATAAAACCCCTGGCCCGGGCGAGCAGCAGAGGGTGAAATGTGCACGAAAAATTAAAAAGTGTATATTATACCTTCGGTGGCTATTCGTACCCACCTGTCGAAGTAGATATTTATATAGGCGTATATGTTCAATCAAAATTCGCCATGGATCTCTGCTATGGAAGAACCAGACGAGTATGGGGTAGTCGAACAGCGGGAGAAGACACGAGACCTCATTGACAGACAATCCCTGCGGTAGTTTGGTAGATTTATCAAACTTTGAATTTTGCTAACCGGGTCGATCGATGAATCTGTAATATCATTATCCTTTGTCGGCTTTCAAGCGGCGCGAAGCTCATGGTTAATGCTTCTTTCCATTGACAACATGCTTGTCCACCGGTTCCCCATTGATGAGAACCTGAGGAGCGGCATTGTCCTTGCCCACAGCCCTTCGCCTTACTTTCTCTTCAGCGCTCGGCAAAGCGGTAGGGCCATTCGCTGTTTCAACGCTAAAATCTTCATCTTCATCTTCGTCTTCGTCTTCGTCTTCATTATCACTTCTCTCATCCTGACGATCATTATTGAATACGTAATTCTTCGCGATACGCAAGATCAAGTAGAGCCAGAAGAGATTGACTGCCTGAAGACTGGCCAGTAGCGAAAATGTAATGACTTGACTGATCCAACACTTGTATTGTTGCGTCTCCCAGTTCAGCTCATAAGGCCCTACAGTGCGGAACTCGGTGAGAGTAGCCCATAAGATCTTAAGGTTGAGGAAATGTCGGAGATAGATCCATACAGTCACAAAAAGGGCAAAATAGGGACCGATAATGGGGGAGTCCAGGTAGTTGAACGTTTTGGATGTCTATGAAAAACGGGTACGGGTCAGTGGAAGAAAGTGCGGTCTTGGCTTGGTTTGAACCTTACCGCAAGAAAGAAGTCAGAGATATCATGGGTTATATAGACAGCCAATCCCATATAGGTAAAGTGAAAGCGATAGCTTAGGAAAATCAGAGCGAGGGTGATGATATGGTGGCCGACAAGCTCCTTGAAATCTTTCCTAGGTTTTTCCAACTGCAGTAAAAGGACAATGGCCTGTTGAAACCAGTAGGCGGCCTGAAGTAGGTAATATGCCTTGAATTCAGCGGTATGCTCTCGGTGTGGGAACCCTTCGAACATGGCGGTCGTGTTGAAATACCAGATGTTCGATCGGTTCATAACCCACAGGCCGAATGGGCCGAAAATTGCAAAGTAGATAGCAGTGTAGACCTGCTCCATAAAACGAGCGACTTTACCCTTGCCACGAATTCCGCAGTAGATCGCCATTGGGCGGATCAAGCGCTGCATGAGAAACTCGCGGGTAAAAGAAAGTACCACGGTGTAAAAGGCGACGAAAGCGAAGTCCTTCTTTCCTTTACCATACATCACAGGCTCACCAGGATATTTTGGATCGCGCGGGTAGGAGAGAAAAATGGCGCTGTGGAGGGGATTCGCTTCGCTTGGGTTTACGGCATAGGCGGAAAGCAGGATGCTTAGAATGACCAAAGGCATAAGCCATGTATGTTTCAGCGCGAGTTCCTTCCATCGTCGAAGGATCGACCGTGACTTCCGTCGCTTGTGATGATGTTGTTTCCCGGTTTTTCCAGCTGGAGTAGGCTTATGAAGAGTGTCTGTCAGCTTGGCGCACTGCGAGTGGTTTGTTTAGCGTTGAAAAGATGAAGAAAATCGCACCTCTGACGTATCAACCTTGGGAGCACTGTCTACTGCCATAGTGGACATAGCTGGTGCACTGGTGTCGCCTCTAATGTCAGCACCAAGGTTCGACTTGCTCCTTGTTCGAGGCATGATGAATAGAAGCCGAGGCGAACGCTACGAAGGCCAACTAATTGACTATCGGAGCGTTCTCAGGATTTCGAGATCGGCTTCGCGAATCCAATGTCCCTGAAGGGTTACGTGCAGAAATGTTGGATGCCCGTTGAATCGTTGAATTCAAGAGCACGGGGGGGAAAAGTTTCTCAGCACTCGAAAATGCTCCGTAGGCTTTGAAATCGGGTGAGCGGGCCAATTGCCGTTGACGAAATTGAAAGGAGCGTGGTAGCAGTCAAGTCCAGACAGCCGTCGTCGTGCCTATTTCGCGTTGATTGATCGGAAGGCGAAGGAGTTTTGCGATGCGGTAAGATGGAATACTATGAGCGTCCCCCGTAGTAGAATTTAATTAATTAAACAGGGGGTGCTCACTTGGCCGCAAGAGGAAAGGCCGCAAGTGTCCACCGAGGAAGGCGCGGAACTTCCTGGCCTGAGGCAGCGCATTTCAACTACTCGTCATCTTCTCCTTCCTCCTGCTCTGGGCATTGCCACTACTCATTACTTTACAGATACGCATGGGTCTCTGTCCAGCTCATTTCGCTTCCTGCTAAGCTATTATGCTTATCGCACACATCATATAGAGAGAGGCTTTGATTCCCGATCATATTCTATTAAGCCGGTCATTTATAATTCTATTCACCCCTCGTCGCTCTGCGACGCTGTACAAATGCTCTTTCTCGAAATCTCATGTCAGACTCATAGTCGGAATCTCAGCGATGTGCAACTTGGCGCTTCCATACGGCACTAATTTGATCGATAATGGATTGCCTTTACACTTTCTATCGGCCTTCAAGGGTGGATTCGGCGCGTATCCGCCCACAAGGTCCCATTCAATCTCGCACGCAGTGGCCGTAATAGACACTGGCGGCGCGTTTAGCGACCAAATTGTCTTCGAGAGAGAACTAGTGGGAGATGCCCCATTGTATGTAAGCGTTGACGGATCAATTGCAAGTGCCCATGGCGAGGTCGGGTAGATGTCGTACTCTTCCACACCGGAGGGCGCTCCAGTATAGTTGGAGCTATATGAGGTATAATTCTCTCCCGGCGCGATGGCATAGAGGAGCGTGCCATGGTAGATTGACACGGTATCGTTGGCCCGATCACTCACGCGAATATCCGTCGCCAAACTGTAGAGAATGGTGGTCTTGCCTTTACTGAGCGCAAGGTGATGAAGACCAGAAGCCGAATCCGCCTGGACTTTAGTATGCGGTCCAAAATTTATTGCGACAAAACTGCTTGCAGAAGTCCAGCTAGGCACACGGACATAGAAGTCGAAGTCATTGTCCGCTTCTACGGTGTATGTCAGTTCGTAGGCGAATGGATAGAGGGTGTCGACAGAGATGCTGACAGAAACTCCGGAATTCGTGGTTGTTTTCACGGACGTCGGTCCCAACAGCGCATGTGCGATTCCATTATCACCTGAGCGAACAAATGAGTTGGAGACGAACTTAGGATAACCTTGTGGGTGGTTGACAGTGCAACAGGGATAGTTCGGCGCGAGTCCGAAATGCTGACCCTCGAGATCCACGTTCCAAAATGGATCTTCACTCAAAGTATGCGATATTGGTTGATTTGTTTGGGCTACGTATTGATGAGCCCACCAATCTGGTGTCAGCATCACTGGGAGCGCATTGTAAGCTGCTAGTTCCGCACGGTCTGCAAAGTCGACATCGCCCAGGGCTTGGTAAAGATAACTCAAAGAATAAATAGTCTCGACGACGGAGCACAATTCCACGCCGCGGACCGGGCTGAGACCGGAGAGTCTTTCATCTGCAATGACGACTCCTGACGGCTGGCCATGGTATTGGAAGGTCCAGTCAACTGCGGTGCGAGCGCTATCCGCAAAACTGTCAATGCCAGTGAACCGTCGGATAACAGCACCAAATTTCAGGCCTTGGCCGACGTTGACTCCGTGCTCGAAAGGAAAGTAATATTGGGTGATGTTAACTGGTACTGTGTCCAGATCTTGCTTGATATATTCGCCATCTGTATACCAAGAAGACCAATTATTCGCTTTCTCATATAGCAAGTCCATGCAATCGAAAATTATCTGGGCGTCACCCCGGGGATCGTGCTCATAGAGCCATTGCAAGCCAAGTATCATGTCAGCCGCGCGAGAGCGTCCCCATTGATCATCGACGGTCTGTCCTTTTTGAGCGACATACCCAAGGTAGTTGTCCTCGAGCATAGAATGCATCAATGTGATGAATTTGTGCATGCTGTCTAGAATCTGCGTGGACGTGTCGGTTCCGTTTTCTGCTTCGGCCAATTGAGCGAGTCCCAGAAAGAAAGGGTATCGGCCCCAGAAATTGCGAGTGCTATTGTCTGTTTCCGGACCTATCCAGCCGTCCGACTGTTGGTGCGAAAGGACATAGTTGACCGTCTTGGAAACCTGGTTCTTCAGACCTTGGTCGTTCAAGCCGTATGCCAATGGCACCAGGCCATTGAACCAATACGGCAGTCCTTCGTTCAGGTTGCTGTACTCCGACGACCCTCCTAACCATGAGCTGTCCGAGACGTAGTTGTAAAAGTCATGTTCATGACCAGCAAGTCCATCGCTCATCAATTGGAGCTGATCTTGCAACCAGCCCTCGGGTGAAATCGATCCTAGCGGAAGGGGTTCGAGAACGCGCGCAACCACTATCGGTAAGGGGGAGGACCATCAGCATGAGATTGCAAGAGAACAGGAAGCGAATTCATAAAACAATTGCTTGCTGTTCTGCGTTGGGATATGTTCTGGAATTTTGAAGAGCTCAACTTACAGGAATTGCTGGCTGCAGCGCTCAGACAAGAACTAGCCAACAGGATGGCTACAGTACTCATGCTGGATGTCGTGCGACACCAGCCTGTAGATCTATGCGGAGACATTGCTGGTAGCCCGGGTTATGTACAAGGGAGAGGTAAGATACAACCGAGGATCATATGGAAGGCCTACAAGCTACATAAGTAGAATTGGAGCCAGCTGTTGTGTATATAGATCAACATTGCCAATGCAGGATTCTGGTGGACAAGAAGGAGCAGGCTCCAGTTTTAAATCTTTCCCCCCTTTCTCCTTCTCCTGTCCAGAATTCCCATTGACTCCCCCCTTTCAGGCAAGAACGCGGAGGCCGCGAATTGAGGTTCAACTTTTTTTTGTGTCTTAGGTGCTCCCCAGGGGTCTGCTGGTTTCTGGTTGGAGGAGCGCGTGACGATCATCACCTTCAGCACTGACAACAGAGCAAAGAATGTGACCCTGTCAAATAGGAGGCTTGCATCATTCTTGTCTGCTGCGCAACCTACGCTCCTGATTGAACCGCAGACGGTCCGAAGCCATACGCTTTCAAGGATTCCCATAGATCAGAAAGATCCAATATGCGCTAAAATAGTCAGGAAACGGTGTTATTGGCTCCCAGCCCAGTAGCACAGCAAATAAGACAACAAATACTCGCAGTAGTGACAACATACCGTTGAGGCGCTAGACACGATAGTTAATCATTGATGAGCCAATGCCCAATTTGGACTTAACATCACCACATGTTAGAAGCCCCCAGAAGGGCAGTGATTGTCCAGAAACCTCTCCAATTTATGAGGTGAGAAAGAAAATGCGGGGGAAAAGCGAGATCAGATCACGCTGCTCAACTAAGCGGACACCAGCGGTGAGGATGACCAGCAACCCTGCGCGTTATTTTTGATTCCAATCCGGGAAAATAGAGCGTCTATTAATTATCCTCTTTTTCAAATCCAACAGATATCCGAGTCGCGGCTCCCCTCCCCGGCTACAGCGAGTTCCCGGCTGGTCGGATACAGGGATTTGTCACTTGATACCTGATACATGTGGATCGGAATTTTTTTTTCTCGTTACAATTCACAAAGACGTCTACTGCTGTCTCCTGAGCGAAGTTATAAAAAAAAGGAAACCTGATCTGCGCCTCCTTTACGCTCTAGCAATTCTAGTCTCTTCTACGCTTAACAACAAAATAATATCGAACCACGGGACTAAGCTTTTATTAATGATGCAGACCGGTGACCGCCTGTCCGTTTCTTCCTCGTCTGATCCTTTCGGATCATATGTACAGGAAACCATCTACCCAAGTCGGCCCAGTCGGAAAGACGAATCAAATCTGCGTGTGACATTCCCGAGATCTATTCAGCTGATGCAGTTAGCATGATTCGACAAGGCCTTACCATGGTTATTGTCGGTGAACAAGTAATGCCCTATTATCCTCGTCGGTCGAGGCTAAAGAATCACTTCTTGAGGCCTCGCATGTCATCGGGCGAAGGAGTTAACAAACAGGGCAAGAATAAACAAATAACTAGTGAGTCTGAATGGTGATAGGCTACTGTGGATACGTCTGACATAATAAACGGACCTGAAATTTGGGCGCCGCGGTCTACTGTGATTAAGGGCTTCGACGATAAAAAACCACCACTTACGCATATCACGCGCCAGCTCCAGCACCAACCCCGCCATCCAATGAACCGATAGTACAGTCTGGGGCTCTGTCTGAGACTCTAAGACTCGTCCCTAGTATAAGTACTAATGACTACCTACTTACCCCTCATCAGCATCTAGATGCGGGGAGAATTCAGGCGCCGTCAACTGGTCGTACCGAGTGTCGAAGTATCAAGACTTACCGCCCACCAGACGGAAGATGTCATGTGAGGTACTATAACTAAGCCAATATAGCATCAAATATTTTGCGATTTCGAGCAGCACTATGACTTCTTGGGGTAGCAACACACGCCAGATCGTATGATTCAACGACTGATTAACACAGCTTTTTAGAATGTAAATATATTAAAAACCTAGGAACTTTCAGCACATGTCAACGCCGCAACTACGTACTTCTACTAACAAGGGCAGCCTATCCTGTTGTCGCAAACTTGTTATTTAGTGCCTTTTCCTATTTGAAAATCGGGCATTATGCACAACCAATCAAGAATAATATTGATTGCGCCAAACCGGAGGCTAGCTGCGTGATTCACGCACAGCCAAATAACATGTAAACATTCATAGGTTTTAACGATACTTCTTCCGGGCTTTTGACGCGACTTGTCTTTCCTGGTGGCGCTTGGGCCGTCAGCTGCACCTAAAATGCATCAATAACAGACTACTAATACTAACATGACGTCAAGTCGAGAAAGGATAACTGCGAAATTCGGATTTTCTTGGAAGTGGTCAAGTAGCATTGCAGCCTGTTATCTAGGTCCCTGCTGTCTTTACCAGTACATATGACCGCCAATAAGTCATGGTAATATTAATTATCAATTTATCACTGATGTCGGACATTATGTCTTAGTTTGGCTTTAATAGTAGTGAACACGGCTGGAATTGATTGATTTTGAGTTAGGGCTTGTAAATCCCGCCTTCCCCTAGTCGCTCATCATTTTGTTGAGCTTTCTCCACTTTCAGTCCTTATAAGGCACCAATTATTATTGTTGTTGCTGTAATCTGGGCTTGTACAACGTCGGACAAGGCGGTAAACCGTTTGTTGTAACTTGTTGTGATTTTGTATTTGTGTTTGCACCTGCATTCAGGAGAAATGTGACGTATCTTTTCTCCTTGACAACTTCTCATGGATTTCAATTTTTGTCGTCCTTGCTTCGATCATGCAGGTTACAACTAAAATATTAAAGTAGCAAGGAGGTTGACGCTATCGAAACTAAATTTAGTTCGCTCGAAACGCCTAGTGTCGCAAGAATATACATGTATTTTATTCTCGCCGACGAATTGAACATCTGGATGTGTAGGCATTATTGAAATTTTTAAATTGATAATTATATATTTAATAAAAACTGTTCTATAAGGTGCTGACATATTGGATAGATTTTAAATCAGAAAACACGTGCAAGTCACAAATATCAACAAATTCAGAATGGATTAGTTGTTTATATTTTAGTTCCGCATCCTGACTCAAGAAAAGTATATATTAAAGGGGTATCAAGTATCAAGTATTTCATGCAAGAAGTTCCCACTGCGCGATATAATTCCACGCCATACCAGTCCGTCCCTCCTTCGACTGATACTCCTGTGCAGACAGACCGCGGCAATCGTTTCTCTCGCCGAGACTTGTAATAAACGCAATCGCTAATTTTTGCCCAGGTGCACCGAGGGTCATTGGATCCGAAATGTCGACATACCAGACGTCGCCTCCGCCGTTGGGCCCAGTGCCGCGGACGTAGGTCAAAGGAATCTTTTGATCCTGCCGCCCGTCTACGCCGTGGATATGCAGCAGGTAAAGGTATGGCGCGGTCTTCTTGCTATGGTGTGTGAGCGTCCAGTGTTCGCATTTCAGGCTAAACTGAAACCTCATCGGCCCTGGCTGCCGAATGGAGATGGCTTTGCAGGCTGGGAGGAATGAGCGATCGCTGATTCCCTCCTCGTACGCAGTAGTGAAAACGGTGGGTTGTTCTAGTCCAAATGGCTTGTTGTGGTCCTGGAGAACATACGCCTCCCAACTCATACCAGGGCGGCCGTCGTCAGTGTAGAACTTGTCCTTGTCTGACGGGTAATGCGAGAGACCAAACTCGTCGTTTGACTTGGTAAAATGGCTGGAATTGAATTTTTGAATGTACGGTTGGCCTTTCCCTGCCACTGCCCCAGCACCCCAACACGGGTCAATTAGCTTCCATTTGCCTCCGTCAATTTTGACCACATTCCATGCGTGGGTTGATTTGAATGGTGGCAAGGGTTCACCCGGTGCTAACTGAGAGTGCCCGAAACCTTTCCCATGACCACTAACGACAAGAGCTTCTAAGCCTGCGTGAATTGCCAATGTACAAAATAGACCAGCGTAGCCTTCGCAAACTGCCAGACCCGTAGCAAGTGTCTTTGCGGGTGTTGATGGCTGTACGCGATTGTTGAAAAAAGCGTCGACGTCGTATTTGACATTGTGATGAAGCCACGTAAATATAGCTCTTGCTTTGTCTGTTAATGATTGGAAAGGGGCAGTGAGTTGGGTAGCGAGCCAAGCCAAGTCAGTAGTAGGAAGAGACTGTCTAGGAAACTGGGCAGCATGGTTATCCGGGCCAGAAAAGTCTCGGCATATCATACAGACCGTAGTAACAGCCGGGGTTGGCAAGGAATGTTGATTTCCATTGAATTTAGGCTTTGTAGCTTGTATGGCTGACAAGTCGGGACGTGATGCCAACGGGATAGGAGGTGGTGTGTTGGAAGCTGGCTCATCCACTTCGACATGCTTACTGAGCGTTGAGAATGACGACTGCTTGATCTTATTGAGAGCATCTGCAGACGGAATAGGAGGGATTCTCCGTGACGCTGGTCTAGAGGGCTCTTCTTCCCTCGTATCGCGCTCAGAGCTAATCGATCGTCTTTCCCCAGACACGGACGGCCGCGTAGGCAGCCGAGGCAATGCATTCCCATTAGTTGACTCACTCGAAGGATTCCGTGAGGGTAAGGAAGGAGGAGGTCGTATGCTAGCCTTCACTATTCCCGTGACTTTGCTAGTCTCTGGGACCGCCGACAATTTAGGGCGCTGAGGAAGCTGGGGAACCTTTGTCGTGCTTTTATCGCGGACTGGAAGTGGAGGTAATTCGGTCGCTCCCCAGGACGGGGCAAGAGCTCGACTCCTGCTCTCTGTTGTATTTGCAGTTCCAGCTGTAGATGTCGTGCTGTAGGAAGTATTCGACGCTACCGATTCGCTTGACTGTCGTCGGTCTGATAGCCCAGAGGGTCGACGGGGTGGTAGAGCCGGCGCAGGCTGGTTGGAGTTTCTGCGTACAGGGAGAGGCGGTGGTTTGGAGCCGTTAGTCTTCGCCGTGCTCTGCGCCGCGACTGCTGGGACAGGAGGTGGTAGAAGTCCATTCTGGCGGATGGGGGCAGGTTTGTTACCAACCACCGAGCCGTTCACTTCATGTGGGGGGTTATTGACGGACTTGGATCGTGGTACAGGAGGTCGCGCAGGAGCTGCACCTGGTGTTCGTCCGACATGAGACTGGTTAAGAGCAGCTATGCGCTCTTGGATGGTCTGCGGCCGCGATTCCTCTTCCGCCATGGGCACTCAGCGTTATCCTATTGACGAGAACGGATAGCGAGGCTATTTCATTCATATATCGGTTAGACAAAGTTGACTCTGCTCGCACATTCGGTCGATAGGGAAGAAAGTTTTTGCTGCGATGAAACGATTTGTCTAGGGTGAGTAACAGCAGATGAAACGAGACGGCACGGCTTCGGTGCGGGGGGTCGCCAACAAGTTGCTTTTCAGCGCAAGGCTGTGAAGCGTCGGTTGGTTAGTGCCAGATACGTTGTTGGTCTTAGTCCGGGCTGGGCCTGCAATGCAGCGAGGCGATGTGAATCAAACGAAAATTCTGTCCGAAGCTATCGACATGACATGACATGACAGCAAAACAAATCAACAAGCCGAGCCCGTGTTGGCGGGCGGAGCAGTGGGACAGCGCCCCGGGCGGCGTCCGGGGCGGCGTGAGGGGCGGCGGGCTGCTATTAATATCGCGTACCTACTAATCTGAGGCGTTTAAGCATAACGTTGCAGAGCCGCACTGGGCTTTGCGTTGCACAGCCCACGCCCTTGCCCGTCTTTGCCGGACGCTTTGGACTAGGAAATACACCCTCACGCGGCATTTGAATTGTATCTAAAGGACATTTGATTTCGACTAACACCTGCCTATACATGATCGCCGAGTTTCACTCCCCGCTTCGCCAGATAAGAACAGCTTCAAGATAGGAAAAAGCCCAGAGTGCCCGCTCATGAACAAATACTCCCAGGTGACGGGACGGAATCATGGTTCTCTAGACGAAAGAAAGCTTCGTGAAAGAATGCCTGACTTGGAAATAGAGTATCTCGCATCCGCCACGCCATGAGCGTCAGATTTAAATAAGCGGTTAAAAAAGTATAAATCATCAAGTTACGTGAAGCCATTCAGCGTATTTCGTCAATGCGTCTTAATGTACAAGTAACTGAACCACGCTAGCGTGGCTACACAGATTTGTACAGCAGCAATGGCTCGCCCACGTTTTCGATCTCTGGGATCGTGCATTTGAGGTCAAAGGCCTTGCTGAGAACGATTTTGAAAATCTATTATTCGTTAGTAGGCCAATTTCCGAAGCAGGTATAGAATGCATACTTTCTGGACATTTATAGAGTGGCTGGTGCTGCTGAATATCAAGCTTGCTCTCATAGCCTTAGCATATCGTTTAGCCTGTCCGGAAGAGTTAGTGAGGGAACTCCATTGACCATATATCAACAGAATAGTACCTGTAGGGAAATTTCCTCTTGGTCTTCTCGAGGAAAGTTCACGAAATGATCGTATTTTGTACCAATGAGAAAAGGAATCGCAGTTTTATTGAAGCCACGACCCTGGCGGTACCACTCCTTGATCGAGTTCAATGTGCTCTTTCGTGTGAGGTCAAACATAAACAAAATAGCAACCGCATCGTTGCAGACCAGAGGCAGCATATTGACAAATTCGCGTTGCCCACCTAAGTCCCAGATGGAAAAGGTGATTTCTGTGTTGCGAATCGAGATCGTTTTCTCCATGAAATTGACACCTAAGCATGTAAAGTCAGCAATGACAGCAAAGATGAGAAGGAAAATCGGTGCGTACCTAGGGTTTGGATGTAATCCTCATCCCAGCTTCCTTCCACATATTTGACCATCAAGCTTGTTTTTCCTATCTGAGCGTCCCCGACCATCCCAACCTTAATCACGACGCTATTCTTCGAAGGTTGCGCGGGTTGCTTTTGATTCTGATCCGGCTGAGATGTGTATCCATATCGATCTCTGTTTGATAAACCGGAACTAGGTCGTGAAACTGGTTGCTGTGGGTGTGGTTGATAGGCCATTGTCGGCGAACTGAAGCGGGACGAATGCTGCTGCTCATCTTCGGGAGGGGAGTAGTTCTGTGAGGACGTGAAATCATTTGCATATGCGGCTGGATGGGTCGGGTCATCAGGATTGAAACCGGCGCTGTGGGGTGGATCGTGGACAATGGTATCCGTAGATTCTGACATCTCCTGGTCATTCTGGTGAACTTGTTGAGAGGCCTCGGCTTGGTGGTTTTCGCTGTCGAGCGATAGAGAGGGGGTATTCTCAGATGATGGATTTGGCTCCATCGTGAATATTATTGGCCGACTCGACCGTCTTTACAATTGTGCCAACAAGGGTCGGGAAGCTTCTGGTCGAGGAACGATTGCTGGAGAAATTGATGAGCAGTGATTAATCTCTGCTGAGCAAAACAAGACTTGTAATGTGTCGAAATGCGGCAGAATCGAGTCGCAACAGTAGGATACTTGCGCACAGAGGGAAGCTTCGAGCGATTCTCGAATGACTAGGCACAGGTGAGATGTCTGATCCACCGTTGAATGTGAGACAGCCGCCTCGTACAAAAGACTGTGTAGGGATGAACAGCTGCGGCAGTGTGAAAGAAAGACAGAGAAGATAGCGACCCCTCGATAGAATGGCTTCGACAGACAGTTGACACTCGTTCCTGTCCTGTCCCAGGTGAGGCTTCGGCGGGCATCTCGACCGGCGGATCGATTCGAGGCCGCTATACCGCATACGGCCCTAGTGCCCCGCGACCTTCAAAAAAAGTCCAAGCAGCAGCCCTATCGAGAACGTATTTTTTTTTTGTCGCGACTGCTCTCACATACACACCCATGAGTGGCAGCAATCGCATTTTCATCCTCGCTATTTATTTTTATTAACCTAACAACATGTCCAAACGAACTGCGGACGCCTCCGAAGAAGAATCCGCCGCTCTCAAAGCTGGCCAACGCCCTCTCTCCGAAGCCCCGCCCGACGAGATTGGAGAATTCGAAGATGAATTCGAAGACGAGTTCGAAAGCGAAGATGAAATCATAGAGGCTGGTGTTGACGGGCGTCCAGATGAAGAGCGAGAGGCAGAGGAAAGAGGTATCTTCATTTTTACAATATGTGGGCATTTAGCGAATTGCGATGGCTAATTCATTTTCCCCTTCCTTTCAGATCAGATGGACGTGGATCAAGAAACATTTATTCCAGGAAGGACGAAATTGGCGCCTGGCGAGACATTGGCACCTGATCCTTCTACATATGATATGCTACATACTCTCAGCATGCCGTGGCCTTGCCTTTCGTTTGATATCGTTCGTGATAATTTGGGAGACAACCGAAAAACTTACCCAGCCACTGCTTATGCCGTGACTGGTACACAAGCCGAAGGGCCACGGACAAAGGATAATGAGTTGATGGTTCTTAAACTTTCTGGGCTCGGCCGCATGGAACGAGAGAACGAGGCCGATTCAGAGAGCGACTCGGATTCGGACGATGATTCATCGGACCCAATTCTCGAGTCCAAGACGATACCATTGGGGTCGACAACAAACCGTATTAGAGCCCATCAGACCCCTAACTCTTCAGGTGACTTGACAAAACCACCACAGACGATAACGGCGACTATGCTTGAAAACTCACAAGTCGTTATACACGACGTGACACCGTATCTTACAAGCTTCGATGTTCCGGGCTCTATCATCCCTCCATCCGCCTCGAAACCTATTTCCACTCTTCGGATGCATAAATCAGAAGGTTATGCACTGGATTGGTCGCCATTACAGCCTCTGGGCAAATTGCTTACAGGTGATAACGACGGTCTAATATACGTTACTACCAGGACAGAAGGCGGTGGCTGGGTTACAGATTCGAGAGCGTTCGTGGGCCATACATCATCTATCGAGGAGCTGCAGTGGTCTCCGAATGAGAAGAATGTTTTTGCTTCTGCTAGTAGTGACGGATCGGTTAAAGTCTGGGACGTGCGCTCCAAGTCTCGCAAACCTGCGGTCGACGTCAAGATTTCCAACACCGATATCAATGTTATGAGTTGGTCCAATCAAACATTCCATCTTTTGGCTACTGGTGATGATGCCGGTCAATGGGGGGTCTGGGATCTCCGACACTGGAAGCCCAGCACAACACAAACCAGACCTTCAGCCGTGGCATCGTTTGACTTCCACAAGGAACCTATTACAAGTATCGAATGGCATCCCAGTGATGACAGTGTTGTTGCAGTGGCCTCGGCGGACAGCACCATAACTCTATGGGATCTTGCTGTCGAACTTGATGATGAAGAAAGTCGCGATGCCGGTCTGAGCGAGATTCCTCCCCAGTTGCTTTTTGTGCATTATATGGATTCTGTCAAGGAGCTGCATTGGCAAGCCCAGATGCCAGGAACGGTGATGGCGACTGGAGCTGGAGGCTTTGGGTAAGCTTTATCTCTCTCTTCCTTTTCATCCTTTTTGCTAACGATTTATAGTGTCTTCAAGACCATCAGTGTTTGATCTACTTCCTTCGATACACTGAGTCAAGCCGAGGCTGTAACGCCGCACTAGTCAACAAAATTTCTACATAGATTCCCGATGCCATGTCTGTCTGTAGATAGTTGCGCATATAATGAGTTGTTCTTGTGAGGTATTTTGTCATCTGTCAAGAAGCCATACATCATGGCAGCTAGCGAATCACAAGCACGAGGTCACGTGAATTAAACTACATTAAACTGCATCAGGAAGGTACAACAGTGCCCAGCGCGCCGAGGTTAAGTCTTATCGCTATCAACATCGCTATCAACATCCCACCATACTGTATAAACATCCGACCGGGTATCTACAGCCTCGATAATAATCTAACGACTCTTCTCCAATCTCCTGGGGTGGCGAGATAATGGTACAACAGAGCTGCGAATTCTGACAGGCACTGGACACGAATTGAGTCATGGCTCTACATGTAATAATTTACATGCGATTTCATGAGAGTCTTTGGAGTCTTGTATGGGCCAGATCCGCCCATTGACTCAAACCTGGTTGTTTGGCAAGAAATACTACGTAGTAACATGTGTATTTCCTGGACAGGTAGTACTTATTTCTAGCATCTGCTGACCCTGATAATCCCAGCGGCAAGACTATATACAAACAGGAAACATACCCAGCCGCAAATATGGAGAAATCCATTTCTCAAGGTTTGATTCCCCACTAAGTACGAAGTAATACGTATTGTGCAGACTCGACAACCGAGAAATTCTGAGACAGGACTCGAGAGCAGGTAGAAGATCTGACCAGAATCTAGTTACTACTAACACACACGTACTCTGAAAATGACGTGCAGGGCGCCATGACTGTGGCACTGCCTACTTGGGTATGTGCTAGCCACGAATCTATTCCGTCTGGTTGAGCGAGTGCCAGCGTTGTGGAGATTCACCGTCACATCCGACGACGCTGAGATTCGCTGCTTGCAAGGTATTAAGGAGGTTAGTGAGGTCAGCTAGTTGCATAGCTGCAGGGTACCAAAACAGCGCCCGTCCAAGCCCGAATTAATTGGAGCTAATGATTACATGTTTATGGACGGTTTGGGAAAGTGGAAGGAGTGGAAATTGATGATTGGAGACCTCGGGTATACTTCACCCAGGCCAAATCTTAGTGCGATGGCGTCAATCTGCCCGCCGCATGTGCATCTGATTGGCTCTTGACGATTATACCGCGGTTTACCCGGTGGCTGGTATGTACAGCAGTGACGAAAAAGGGGCTTGTGTTGTTGTTTATTATTCTGCTTGATAGTTATAGATTTGTTATTAATTTTCCCGAGCCGAGCCTCTTTTTGGGTATGTACTCTAGAAGCAGCAAGACGAGGCACACATTAAATGCAACTCAACGTGCTTCGGTGCATATATATGAAGAATATCGGAAGTTTGATTATAATGTTATTGATGTAGAATACAGGAATCGAATTAATTAATACACTTGTCCAAATTAATACCAAGATTCTACCATCCAGCACGTTGATAAGTCTATCAACTGATGCTATTGCCAATCAATGATACATGGGTACATATGTCTCTGACATCATAATCAATGACAACTCATACTTGCATGCAAAGTAGGATCCAAGATTCAATATCCTACTCAGTCGCAATGAATCATTTCATTTTTGCCACATTATTTACTGTCCATTGCTGTGGCAGTGGCACTGACATTGATATTAGAGGAGGCGCTAAGATCTTCAGAACTAAGTCAAGCCATGTAAGATAGCAATCAACAAGAGTCGAGTTATTTTTGTCAATCACTGTTAGTATATTGCCACAGTCAGTACATACACACGGAAATGCTCGGAATAGCAGCAGGCATGATATGAAGTTTGAACACTTAGGATTTGATTGGGAGCGGTTGCTATTTCAATTGCCGAGTTTGTAACTCAGACAATTGATAGCCCTGCAAAGATTGAAATAGAAATTTACCATGCATGTAGGCTCTCAGATTTAATACTGATTTAAGAAGTAAAAGCATCTAAGAGCATGGGATGAACTTAAAGAACGTCACGGTCTTAATTGGAGTTTTATCATTTGCTGATGTTATATACATGGATGCAACTGTTAATTAAGTAGATTGCATGGCAAGGTAAACGATGGATCCCGCCGCGTGATTTAGGATGCATGCATACAGGACGCACTGCTCAGCGGCGTTTACACATGGGTAGAGGGCGTAGTCCAATGTTCTTGTGACATCGCAGTCACCTTTGTTTTGCAGGAGGATGCTCAAGCCTCAAGTATAGTGATTCACTGTTATTAGTCACTGGGAAGCCGACGGCCAGCACGAGCAGCAGACCACTTTCCGGCGTCGAGAGCGCCGGCCCAATGGTCTTCTCAGATGATCATTAATAATAAGGTCAGGGCCTGGAGCTGTGACTCTGTGACTCAACGGCAACAGCAATGGCCGGCCAACTCCCCGAGAGGCGTAGTTGCATCCGCTTTCTTTTCTTTTTATCGACGGTTAATCCTGCTCACCGGTGGCATGACTAGGACTGTCAAGGCGCGGGTTGATTGGCTTGCTTGATCTCCAACCGCGTTGGCCTCGCAGCCTGCGTTGGAAGGCTGCAAGCCCTTGGACAGTGCATCAGTCAAGACCAGGCTGCGCGCGTTCTTAGAGCAGAAGCTCGGGCCAGACGCAGAGACCGTGCGGCGATCTTCCGATTTTGTTTCCCCATCGCAGAATATACTGCTGTGCTCTGTACTGTAAGCCTGCGCTGTGTTGGCTCAACTGTCAGTGCGTATTGTCTTTATAATATTATTCTGTATTGAGTCATCGACCATTTCCTACACTTCCTGGTTGGAGTAGTATGGGCAATAGTTATCGATATGAATAAATACCGATTCATACAAATATAGTCACTCAGCGTAAGGCGGATAGAATTCCGGATGCTGGATGTTCGGCATCGTGATGGTAGCTGCGGAGTGTCCCGCCTTTATATTGAAATCTATCATGTGCCAGGAGAATGTTTACACTCAAACAGTTCAAATGTTACGCGATACGATACTACTACTACTACTACTACTAATAATAACACGTTCTATGGTATCTACGCGGCGGGGCACACCGCGGACAACAAAACCACGGAGCGATATGCGATCCCGACTGCGGTCAGAGCGCATCGGAGATCCATAGTTTTGCCAGGACCCTTGCCAGTTGTCTGCGACTCCAGCAACAAGCAAACTCGTACAGAGCCATGACGGCAAATTTATGAATTCTTCAAATCCATGACCACCATGCAGCAAGCGCTGTTAAAGTAGCAAATCACTACAGCGTAATTTTAAAACAAAGTTCAATTCCGCCCAGTAAGGTCGGACGCGGGAACTACGAGTCATAATTTTCCCTTTACCAACCGAAGGGAACAATACGAGAACGGCCTTAACCGTATCTGGAAATGCCGCGCCAAAAAAGCCACTCAATCAACGGTCAGCACAAAGTCTCATGACCACACTTGTTTTTTTTTTTTTCACACCTTTCGCGTTTTTATCCGTGACCCCGGATTTTTTTTTGAGTCCATGCTTCGTCATGGCGTAGGGCAGGGACCGTTGTCCGCCGTACGGAGCATGTATTCGTAGATCTCTTTACCACCATTAGCTGGAAGGTGGAAGCAGGATGGCTGATGCCTGAGGAATTTGTTGAGCTCTCTCCGTGTATTTCCGGCACACAGTTAACAGGTGACGTGGAAGAAAGCGTTATCGCCTGAAAGAATAACAATAATAATGATGATGCTCCTTGGTGGTGCCCACAGACTATGCTATTTTATTATCATGATGGACAGCCCAGACTCGTATTCTGCCGAAACACAGGACACGATAACGAAAAAGACGGCATGGTATAGGAGTATCGGACAGGAGCCGCCTTTTCTCCCCGAAACGATCAGTGGTGGCCCAGCTAGGAATGGATTCCGCGTTTCGGACCTGCGGACAGGCACCTGACCGCAGCCACTTGTCGCCAGCAAATGGCGATTGGCAAATAGCAGGCAGCGGAGCCAATGCTTGTGTTTCTAGAATTTGGGACTCTGGGGAATTCGCTCAGGGGTGGCGGGCGGATCTGGAGAAGCCCAGCCGCCGTTGATTGGACATTGCTCCAGACTTGTATAACTGTGGACTGTTATTACTACTTAGTCTAGACTAGGCTGTGCTGTAGCAGCAGCAGCAGTAGTGTGCCAGGATCTATTATGATGATGATTATTATTGAGCAGCTCAGCCTGCTCCAATTTTTGTGTGCATTGGCGCATGCATTGTGCCGAGAGCAGCTAGCCTGGAATCAAAGCACATACGCCTAACACGCAACGCAAGAATAATGAATGTTATTGAAATTGAAATCACTAGACTTGAGAGCATTATTATTGCCAACCGGCCCAGCCTGGCTGGCCCTGGTGCTGTCCGATAAACCATAAAGTATGTGGCCGATAAAGTTCGACCTTTTTTTTCCTTGGTGAAAGCCACAGAGTAAACGCAAGAATAATGCATTGAATGCATCGTAACCAAGCCGTTCCTACCGCACTGCTCTAACTGCTCCTAGCGGCTGCAAATGCTGAAGCTCTAAATTATGCAGGAGCATTGATGTCAACCCAGCCAATGATGATCATGATCATGACAGTGGTTGGGCTGACAGCATTTCTTTGCTAGGAAGAGCTTGGTTGGCAATAGACTTCCGCACTATTCAATTCCAAATTTAATTACAGTCAGACGAGACATTATTATTGTTGCTATTTTTCTGAATGTTTGCTCATCCATTGTTATGCATTTTTCATTGCCGCGTACAGGGCCCGAGTACCGTACCCGTACTGTCTCATTACACCATGTATCCTCTCGGCCCGGTCGGCAGCGTTCGCCTCTGTGATTCGAGGCTGGGGCTGCAGGTCATTGGCCCACTCGACACATGTGGGGAAACTAAACCATAGTGCCGGAGTCTGTTTTCAGTTAGACTTGGCGGTGGCTAAGTCGTTTGCTACTGACTGGCGTGGCTGGATTGGCCAATGGAAATAACTTGAGGTAAGACGAGGCCCATGTAGCCGCCCCAGAGTGGTTAGCAACTGGCACGAAGCAGGTACAGTGGCCAGTTGGCCCGTCCGCTGGTGGAGCGCGCCTCTTATCTGAGTGGATGCCAGGACCGGCACAGTGGAGCAGTGCTGGACGCTGAGCCAGTCTACTCGCTTACGTCCCTCCATATCCGCTGGATTGCTGCGCCATAGGATAGAAGTATAGGCCTGGGCCCGCAGTGGACCATGGGCCCATGGGACGTGGTGCATGGGACGTGGGTGCATGCAATGTCGCTAAAGCGTGTCTGTCTGGGCGCTAGCGAGCTCGCTAGACTATCTCAGGTCTAGCGGAGCCAGTTAGTCACGAGCTACCCCGGCTATCGATGGCTCCCTGATGTGGATTCCTGCCCCTACCAGGCGCTAGCGGCGGGCGGTGGGGCTACCTCGGAAACAGCGCGCGATGCTAGTGGCCCGTGAGCCTGCACCCACGATGAGACTATGGGCCTCGCTCGGTGACTCTGATTGAGCAACCAAGTAACGGCGCTGGTAATGGCTTGGCGCCGGCCCTGTCTCATCGCTCCTGCTTCTTGCTGCTGCTTGCTTTCTCCGAGGCGCTACCGCTACTGCTGCTGCTATGCTCGACAACACCTTCTACCTTCCACTCTTCTTCAACCATCTCGCCATCGCCTGCGCTTGTCAAGTTCCCTTTCCAGCCGGTGTGTACCGTTCGATTCGAGCTCTGGGAGTTACTTGCATAATTGGCCCTTCCCTACTGCTTCTCTGTTTCTATTTAGCCCCACGAACATCGGCGCCGTGTGTTTCGCCGGACGACGAATGTCTATCGGCACCGGTCAGCATACTTTCGCGCGACCTTGACCGTCACTCTCAGAAATACCAAGCAGCAGCCGGCGCATCGGCTGTCTCAAAAACAGCCTGCTTCCTGCTGAGCCTTCCTCCAAGTTCATCGCCGTGGACGTGGATTATTCTGTTGCTCGGCACCTCAGTGCAGTCGTTGGAAACATATTGAACCTGCAGTCCCCAAGATTGCAGTGAATTTAGCTCATCTTCGTTTCATCACCGAATTTGAATCATCTTCTCGCTTCTTAGTACAAACGATCAGGTAGGTCAGTTGCTGGGGGAATTAAAATCCCTGGCCTATTCCGAACCCGTTCTATCTCTTACCAGATATCTTCTGCCATACTCAAGACCATCACACGATGCTTACTGGTAATTTTGACCAGACTTGACCAGTCTCTCCTTCTATCATAAGCTGTGCGGTCACTCGGTACGAGTGTCTTGTGCCACCACCTCGGGTCAGAATCGCATTGTATATAAATCGCTCTGGACCAAGCTGCGTCTTGTCTCGGAAGGCTCTATCCTAAATTCGCCTTTCTTGCTGGCGGGAGTACTGTATTCTCACGAGCCTGCGAAAGCTATTGATTTCTAGGAGGAGATATGATGATGGCGCAAGACCCTACAGTAATGGCTCACGGTGACGATCTCCTTTCCATCCAGGAAATGCCCGGGGATGTTACAGGTAAGCGCCAAGTCGCCACCTTCATTCCACGTCTTTGTAGAGCTGAGTGTTTCTAAGATATGTCCTTGCGAGCAGCCGATTCTAAACAGCCAGCTGCGCCGACTGGCCCTCCGCCCAAGACAGACAAGCCCCGCCCGCACGTCTGTACAACATGTGGTCGCTCATTTGCTCGTCTGGAACATCTCAAACGCCATGAACGGTCCCATACCAAGGAGAAGCCTTTCGAATGCCCGGAATGCACCCGTTGCTTTGCGCGCCGGGATCTCCTCCTGCGGCACCAGCAGAAGTTACATATGACGGCCGCGCCATCTCGTCCGCGCAACGCGCGCAGAGAGAGCACAGGAGCTGCAGGTGCCCCGACGAACCGCGTCAGGAAGAATTCCAATGCGGGAAACGCCTCGAATAGTATGCGTCCGAGGGCCAATACCATTAGCCATATTGATAACGCCGCTTTGGGAATGATCAATGGTGCCAACGCTAATGTAACCCGCGCTGTGCAACCAGGACACGTATATCATCCTAGTCTGGGCTCAGTCTCGGGTGCCCCTGGTTTTGAAACTCGTGGATACAGTGCGGCCCATCTCCCCTCAAACAGTCTCCCAAAACTGGAAACATCTGGCCTACCTATGGACATCGCAAGCGGATTGAGGACGGCGCCTGTATATGGTAGTTTTGATCTAGGCTTTGGAGATAACGTATTTGGCGGAGGCAGCACTATCAATCCAGCCCAGCTTCATTTTGGCGGCTCCCCCCAGTTTGGCCACGACGCTCCTACATCTCCCTTCAACCAAGCTTTCCACCCACTTGTGTCAATTCCCGACCCAATCCTCGATGACGAAGGCAATTTCGACTGGGTAAATGGCTTTGACACCACGGTGCCCATTGGCACTATGAGCGACTCAGCTATTGAGGAATCCTCGCCGTCAGCCATGAGTACCGAGTCGCAAAGTAGAACAAGCGAGCCCATGATAGAAGCCCAAGCTCACATCGCTTCCTCTGGTAGCTGGCAAAGTCCCTTCCCTGCGGCGCAGTCAGCCCCTTACTCAATGGACTTTTCTTCACCCTCTCTGCACGAGCTAGGGTTCTCTACGGCGGATACCGTGTCACCCAAGTCTTTGATGAACCCAGTTCATTTCACAGACCCTTTTACGTCTAATCTACCTGTGACTCCAATGAGCCAGTCGATGTTGGGAGGGCATTCGCAGAGTATGTTTTCATCTTCCATGGTAGCCAACGGAGAATCTCCTAATCCTTTCAACGTTCCTTTCGCCAGCAGTCCCTTACGAAATTCCTTATCTACCACATCGCCGGACGCAGTCACAGACTCAAACCGACAGACTTTACTAGCCAGCTTGTCACAACCTGCAGGGGTACCGCGCCAGTCATTCTCTCAACCATCGAACGGAACAAAATATAATCGCGATGTATCTTCTCGCTCAAACGGTCTGAATAGCACTTATCTCTTACCGAATACGTTCGACCTTCAACGATATATCCAGGCTTACATCACTTATTTCCACCCTCACCTTCCCTTTCTTCACATCCCCACTCTCGATTTTCAAAGTCCCGAATTTACCAATAGCCTGCGTACTGCGAGCGGACATCTCAACCTGAGCTCGACCGGAGTCGCCGGTGGTGGCGGTTGTCTTGTGCTGTCTATGGCAGCTATGGGGGCCCTATATGAATTCGACATGGCCGTATCCAAGGACTTGTTTGAATCTGCCAAGAAGATGATTCAATTGTACCTTGAAGAGAGACGGAAGGCGGACATGTCCGCTGCACTTAGTCGGTCGAACTCTGGGCGTGATAATCCCGTTCATAATACACCCCTCTGGCTTGTCCAAGCTATGTTGTTAAATGTAGTCTATGGGCATACTTGTGGAGACAAAACTTCGGCCGACATCGCCAGTACTCATTGTGCCGCTCTCGTAAGCCTGGCGCGCGCGGCGGAGCTGACGCATCACCTTGACCCAGAACGACTTCCGCAAGACTATCTACGTCAAAGCAAATCTGATGATGCGGATAGCACTCACTCGGATCAAAAGACGACTCGAGCACCGCCAAAAGAGCGGAGAGATTGGCTGGATTGGAAAATCGTCGAGGAGCGGAAGCGGACTCTCTACGCCATCTTTACCCTGTCTAGCTTGCTAGTATCTGCATATAACCATGCACCTGCTCTAACAAATTCGGAAATCCGGCTCGATCTGCCTTGTGAAGAGGATCTTTGGGCAGCTGAATCCCCGCAGGCTTGGAGAAAGATGGGTGGCACATCTACTTCGAAGAAGGAAATGACATTTTCATCGGCTTTGACTTCACTCCTCACTGCGAGCCAGCGAGAACAATTCACAGCACAATCAAGTAATGCCTTTGGTTCAACAGATCGGGCTGAAGACTTGCCTCAAAGTGATTTAAAGCCTAGTACATTTGGTTGCCTAGTCCTAATTCATGCAATGCACAATTACATCTGGGAGACACGACAGCGACACATGGGCCGCCAATGGACTGCTCAGGAAACTGATGCAATGCACGCACATATTGAACCCGCTTTAAGGTCGTGGCAAGCTGCTTGGGCAAGTAACCCCTTGCATAGTATAGAGCGACCGAATCCATTCGGAGCAGGACCGTTGTCGGCAGACAGCATTCCTCTACTGGATCTGGCATACGTTAGGTTGTTTGTGAACTTGGGTCGTTCTAAAGAGGCCTTTTGGCAACGAGACTGGAATGCCATGTCGGATGAACTAGCTCGTGGTGCGGAAATCATACAGCATGCTGACGACGGTACAATGGATCAACCCAACGGCATGAATGGAGATATCATACGCCGAGACTCTGTAGCTGATCTCGGGGTGGGTGATCTTCATCTTTCTACCACGCCAACCCAGGAGCAGCCAATGTCCACAATGCCGCAGATTTATCGACCTGGCCAGTCAAAGCGGGAGCGACTTTTGCGAAAGGCTGCATTTTACGCCGCCGATTCCATATGTATGTCAGACCGGTTGGGTAATACGTTTGCTGAGTGGTCGTCCCGTGAACTACCTCTCCAATGCGCTATGTGCACGTTCGATTGCGCCCAAGTACTCTCAGAGTGGATCACAACTGTTCAGGAACGCGTTGGACCTTATTTGGGTGTCCTAGGTCGTGATGAGGCAGATTTAGCCCAGGTTCCAGGGATTATGCTTTTGGAGGATGAGGACTGCAAGCTTATCGACAAAATCAAAGAAATACTTGGCAGTAGCGAAGCCAAAATGCAGCATGAGGCCCATAGTTCTGGGTCCATAAATGCGTTGCAACGCTTGCCGAGCGTAGTCGACGGTGGTTATGGAAGTAAAATCCTTATGACAACAGCTTACCTGCTTGACCGAGCTGCTGTTTGGCCCAGTAAGTTTACGAAAGTTATGGTTGAAAATATTGACTGACGGTATCTTAGTTACTAAGCTGATGGCTCGGTCTTTGGAAACGCAAGCAACCCGTATGAAGGAACGCGCCGAAAACTCGATCATTATTACGAGCTGAGTCGATGTCATGACACGATGATACCATTTATGAGCGTTTTATTTACCCACGACTGCATTTCAAAAGGTGCTGAATAATTTTATTTCTAATTTCCTGCGTTCACTCTTATGAAGTCAATCCGCGATACCCCTGACTGATACCAATAGACGGATAATGTTGGCATGGTTTCAAATTTATCAAAGATTTTTTCAGATGAGCTCAGTCTGGATGAACTTCCTGGATGGACTCCCCTGGCCTTTCATGTTTCTTGTCAATATATGTGGATGTATTTTGTTGACATTTTGATTTTTTTCAATGCCGTGATCTGATATGTACAAATTTTGACTTGACTCTCCTATTCTTTGTGCCGTCTTGTATGAGCTATATCTTGTTATGGCGGGCGCCTCGGAATCATTAGCTCGTGATGAATATACGTTGCTATGAATAAGCATTGTCGGACCATGGAACGAATGCTAGGTACAAATCGTGAGTACCGTGGGTATTTTTATGTTCGCTGCATGTACACACGTAGGTAGACGAAAATTGAAAGAGAGTTTAATTTACTATCACAATAGTTGTGGATATCCAGATTATTTCATGAAAACCAAACCAACACGCATTCAATGCAACGCTAACCAAAACATATTTACAGGTGTATCTTGACAACTGAGTACTCCGGAACAGCTCGTCGCTGAAGATAGGCCATCTCTCGGACCGATCTCTGCTCGACTGCTCCAGTAATTTTCTCTCTTTTGGTACGGCTGATTCCGGACTGCGATGCATTGAGCGACAACGGTAGCATTCTACCGTCTTCCTCGCCGGCCTTGGGGAAGGTGTATGTTTCCCATAGTTTGCCATACGCGTCATACTCACGTTTAACACCAGCGTTAGCAGTACGGTTTCCTTTTGTTAGAGCTTGTGAATTCGAAGACCTTTTTGCGGCTGGTTGATTGCCGTACCGAATAAACTCGCCTAGCACGCCCTTCATATACGCTGCTTCTTCGACACCGTCCAGAGCGGCTGAGACTTCGGATTGCATGTGGGAGGTCATCTCAGGCTCGTTCACGGCGGCGCCGGCAAATTCGACCGCGGAAATCCATCCAGATGGTCCAATGGCATCTACACTGGCGTTCATCAGCGTGGCGATGGCATCTAGGGATAGTGGAGGCGCGGCTTTGATGGCTTCCAGAGGGAATGGAGGGCTTTCGGTGAATCGAGCGGTGTAGCCTCCTGTAGCGAGGGAGACGCGGAGATGGTGCACGATTGCGAGGGTGTCGGTGTTGGAAAGTGTCGAGCGTAGCGCGGAGATGATGCGGTTCATGGGGCAGCTGTGTAGTTGTGACAATGTTAGGTTTAGCCCGATGAATGCATCTTGAAGAGAAGCCTCAGTAGTGGAGGCTTTTGTTACGGTTTGATTGCCCGTTTTGTGATGAGAGGAGTCCCCGTCGACCCCCATATCGACGTCGGCGGTGCCCGTTATAGTCATCATTGCTGGCTGGTCTAAAACAGCTGAGCTTACCCGAGCCAGATCAATGAAGACCTTCAGAGCATGGGTGAGGTCTTCAGCACTTAGTGAAGCAGGGCCCTTGAGTATGAGGGTAAGAGTTTTCATGGACGGATCAAATTCTGCAAGAGCCTGCACCAGGGCACCGGTTTGGAATGGGGGCAGAATGCGTGGTTTGTTTGCTTGACCAGCAGCAGTCTCGATATGGTCCATGTTCAGCAGTCCCAATTCTATCAACCATTTACATGTTTTCTGTGGCCATAGAGAGACTTTCAGAGTGGACGAATTGTCCCCGATATTTTCCTTATCTTGCTGTTGCACTGTAAATATTTTAGACAGAATGAACAGTATCTTTTCCGAGTTTGCGGAGGTCTGAGTAACGGATGATAAGTTCTTCGTGGTAACGTCGAAATAAGATGCAACTGCAGAGTCAAATGCGGCTGCATCTGTCGCTCTAATTGTCTTGTCGAGTTCATGTTCGAAGGTATTCCACTTATTAATCTCCTTGCTGCTCGTTATACCAAGCGAATTTGCTGGTGCGGCAGCATTCCATGACGCCGACGAGCCAACACCCCGCCCAATCGCATCTATCAGCAGCCCGTCTCGCTGACGTTTTAACGAAGTTCCACGTATCGTATGAGTGGAGGAGAGGTCAAAGGCCAAAAGTGCGTTGCCCTTAACAGCAAGAACTATCCCTAACTTGGCAAAATGCCCGACAAAGGTCATGGCGGCCTTCGTATCAATCTCTTTGGATGATTTATTGGTTGACAAGTCACGGGTAGAAATACTGCGCTGAATTGAAGAATAGTGCGTGTCGTATAAGGCAACGAGCCTGTTTCCTGCTCCAATGACAGAATATGGCGATATACGCATAATCGAAGAGAAATTCTCATCTTTGAGAACAAACTTCGACGTGACTGAGGGCGAATATTGAGACAGATCACAATTGATGTATCCTTTCTGAAATGATAAACTCAATCCTGCGGATCCAGAGTGGAAAGTCCATTGTGGTTCTTGGAGCTCAATTCCTAGATTGTCAATCTCAGGCAGCTGCACAGTATGCAGGTGGCGCAGTCGTTGGTAGTCATCGATACTACCAACTGTTTTGTCGCAATTAGCTGGTATAGAGAAAATGTGGACCTTGACGTCGTTCAAAGCCAATGGGCCCGAGCCTTGCTTGCTGCCTGGATGCGAAACTAATAAAAGCACCGACGGGTCGTTCATAGGCGACACAGATATACCCCCCATAGCCAATGCAGCGAGATCGGGTCTCTTTTTGAACAGAGATTTCCTAGCATCGTCAAATTCAACAAGGAAAGCCGCCCAAACTTCATTGTCCACTTCATGGTGTTGGATTTTCCATAACTGCGTGTTCAAGTCCGACGTAAACCTCCGCACCTGTCCATTTCTGTGTACACTAAGGAGATCGAAAGACTCATCGGTACTGTCTTCACTCTGACCCCGAGGGATTATTCCTACAAATGTAGTGGGACTAGGTGAATCCTTTAAGGTAAATGAGGATGTGGCGATAGTCGGAGCAGCAGTCGAGCCTGGCACAGTCTCTTCAAAGAAACCCTTGATTTGTTTCTGCGGACGCTCGACGGCGCAATAAATATGTCGTTTTACCGCCGACTTTTCCTTAACCCTGCGGCGTAGGGCACATGGGCGACAAGAAAAGACAGACTGGGGAGGAACAGCGTGTGAGGTGATAAGTTTGGGGGATTGGACCTGGTGAACTAGTCAATACATATGCAGTATGCGGAATGCCAAATACCAGGTTCCATTCTTACATTATATATATTGAGACCTTCCCCATCAACGGCCACGGCAACCTCGTACCGCTTTCTTTTCTTTGAATCCGCAAGACTGAAAACTTCGCCAACCTGGGTCTTCCCAGTAGACACTTGGAGAGGACGAGGCAATTGGGCCAGGACCGAGGGCGGCGGAAGATCCATAGCTTGACGAGTAGATGCTGTTCTTCACGAGGGGGATATGTAGAGACTCTTTCTTTTCTGAGCGTCTCCAAAAAATTCAACGGATTAGCGTTGTGCCGGCCTCCAGATCCATCCGATGCGCTAGCCCAAAGGGGCATGGCACGGCCATCATCTGTACTAGAGTAGTTAAGAGTGGGGGTCGTCGCGTTCAACGCGCCTTCCTTCTCGCGTTCATCAATGTCTGATCTTGATAGAATACTTCACTGCAGCCATATTAAAACTCCTTTAAACCCGCATTTCATGACACTATTCGGCCGTTTTGATCAATTATTAGTTGCATAAAGCGATTGCTTTTCTGTCACCCTCGTTCTTTGAGAGGTGGCTCGTTTGTCTGCTGAGCTGAAACTCAATGAGTATGCATTACGTCTATGGCTTCTGCGGTCGCGAATAGGGTCATGGGCCAGGGAGAACAACAAAAGCTCCACCCTTTTTTTGGACAAAGTGAGGCGTACCGATCTGCTTGATCGTCCAGAAATAGCCTGACATGAGACTTGGATGCATAGATACGAAGCCGGCTAAGCCACCTAATTCTCCTCTCCCACCGAGCCATGAAGCCGTGCCGAAGCCCTGCCAGGATTCAACGGCTAGTGAAAGTGCTTCAATAGGAAATTCATACACCAGTATTCCCCCGGCATATGTGCCAGTTGGGGCAGCGCCTCAGGATGGCTGTCCTGAAGAAGATTTAAATGTACACCCACGGAAGCGGTTAAAAACGACTCCCGCGGCTATTGAAGCATCTGCTGTCCAAACCGATTTCCTTCTAACAACCTCAATTCACGGTACCGCTGCCGGTCATGATAATGCTTCGCCAGCCAAGGCAGATGAGTTGACATCACTGCTGTCCCCTCCAAGGAAGGTATTGAAACTGAATGCCAACGGCAAATTGCTAAGCTCGCCACCACCTCAACGGATCGAAGAGAAAGTCAATATAGAAGCCAAAAGTAAACAGAAAGGGGACTTGAACAAGAGAAAGACTAAAATTGTTGTGATCGAGTGCCAAAATAAGACGATTTCAAAGAAAGTTGATGACATATTATTTGGCAGGCAAAGATATAACCCCACGACGAAACCGGCCCCAACTACCAATCCGCCGCCCCCTAAAGCTACACATCCATTTTTCTTGAAGAAGTCAGTTAGCCAAGTGCCGCAGGAGCCTTTAGCTGCGCCAGTCAAAGCAGAGGTTAAGCAAGATTACCTGTTACCTCGAGCACAACAGCAACCCCCCCGGCAGAGTCAGTTCTCTCGATCACTTTTCCCTAAAGCTCCTGAGCCAATCGCTCCTGTATGGCCACCCAAAGACCTCGTTCATGTTCGAGGAGTTGAATATCAGCCTTCGAATGCTTCCCCAATTACGGTCCGTGACCGAAGGAAAAACAAGGAGCCCATTTTGCAAATACATGATTCTGAGAATATTCTCCTAAATGAGCTCCACCTAACATGGAAGGAAATTGAAGACTCATCAACAGATTCGGAGAAATCGTCATTACGAGTACCAAAAAGGTCTGTTGCTAGCGGGGTGACCCTTCAGAAAGCCTTGAACACTCAGCTATCGCAAGGTGCATCGCAGCCGAAACATGGATCTGGTTACTGTGGTGAAGAGGGACGAAGCCATCCTTCTATTGCTAAACTCTACAAGTCTGTCGCAACTAGCATGACCGCATTTGATACCGGCCAATACGACTCGTTTCAATGGGCTTATAAGTATGCCCCTACCTGCGCTGAGGAAGTTCTTCAGCCTGGCCCAGAAGCCCACCTTCTTCGTGATTGGTTGAGAAATTTAACCATTTCATCCGTAGATACTGGTAAACCTGGTTCGGGGAAAAAGAAGGCAAAGCAGTCGGTTAGCCGGAAGACGAAGCGACGCAAGGCATCTGATAAACTAGATGGTTTCATTGTTTCGAGCGAGGATGAGGCCTCGGAGATGAGCGAGCTTTTGGATTCAGACGACGATGAGCTAGCTGGAAATGTTACAGTCTCGTCCAAACGCACCGTCGTTCGAGTTGGCGATTCTGTGGGAAAATTCAAAAAAGGAGATAGCGGCCGTATGACGAATGCGCTGTTGATTAGCGGCCCCAATGGCTGTGGAAAGTCGGCTTCGGTCTACGCAGTTGCGAAGGAACTCGACTTTGAGGTATTCGAAATCAATAGTGGAAACCGACGAAGCGCAAAAGATATTGTGGAGCGTGTTGGTGATATGACACATAATCATTTGATTCGCCTAGAAGGAGATAAGGAGAAAGGCGAATCGAGTGATGGTATTCATCAAACACAGTTCGCGCCAGTCGATGCAAACCAAAACAAACTGAATACCTTTTTCAAAGTCGCTCCTGCAATCAAATTGAACAGTCGACACGATCAGGCCCGGAATGAGAAAGCCGGACAAATAACTCAAAAGCCACCAAAGACTCAAAAACAAATGGATACAGACAGCTCTCGACACCAGAAACAATCTTTGATACTACTCGAGGAAGTTGATGTTCTTTTTGAAGAAGACAAACAATTCTGGGTTGGCGTCTTAGCTCTGATCAGTCAATCCAAACGCCCGGTCATAATGACATGTAACAACGAAGAACTTATTCCACTTCAAAATCTCTCGTTACATGCCATTCTTCGGTATCAAAAACCACATCCAGATATTGCTACCGATTATCTTCTGGTTCTTGCCGCAAGCGAAGGTCATATGCTAGAACGCAAAGCTGTGAACGATTTATACCTAAGCTCCAACCAAGATTTACGGAAATCTATCATGGAAGTCAATTTTTGGTGTCAGATGGCTGTGGGGAGTGAGAAATCTGGGATAGATTGGATCCTTGATCGATGGCCGCTTGGCAAGGATGTGGATATTCATGGCGATAAACTTAAAGTAATAAGCTTGCAAACGTACCCGCGTTTTATAGGTTGGTTCAATCGCAATGTCACTATGACCAAGAACAGCTTGGCTAGAGAATCAGAGCTCTTACTCGAAGGTATGAATTGGTGGCAGCTAGAAATCGACATGGAAGGTGTCCGACCGCATTACTCCTCGGTGCCCGCAACACAAGATTCGTGTGACACACGAATCGAGGAGTTGCAAATTGCAACTATCTTGGCAGACAGTTGCAGCTCTCTTGATATGCTTGCCCACAGTTGGTCACTAGATGCGAATGAAGTGAGCTCAGCAATTGTTCCTCCAATTTTCTACTTGACTGATTGATCATTTAGGACGAGCTTGACCCTACTATTCCAGACCTTTCTGAAAAACAAAAATCAAACTATCAGGAAGGGTTCCCATTATTAAATGCCAGCCGTAAGCCTGATTACACAGGTCTATCTGCTAGTATCGGGTCCACTGCTCAGATATTAATACGCCATCTTATCTCTCGCGACTCCTCTTTGCACCATGAAGTCTTGACTTCCACTCGCGTTTTATCGAGACAGACCCGTTCCAAGTCTCCTCGATTCTCTAGTGCAAGTTTCAGTGCGTTTGAGCCAATTATGCCAACCAACTATTCAGTGTCTGCTAGCCATGGGCCTCTGTTCTCAGGAAACGATGTTGCGGTAATAGCTCAAGACTTGGCCCCTTATATCAGATCTATAATGGATTTCGATCTTCGCCTTGAACGCTATCGCTTTGAATTGAGCGGGCTTAGGTCTCAAAGCTCAAAAAATAAAAAGGTGAGAACCACCCGTGCAAGTCGTGCTGCTCTTGAAGGCGGGAGTAAGTCGAACACCCGTCGTGAGAGGTGGTTCTCAGCAGAGGCAAACCCAAAACGGATAATGGCAACTGGTTCCAAAGGCTGGCAAGACGCTCTTGTCCAAGCAGGACATTTTTCAATCCAACCCCTTGCTCTAGAAGGCATAAATTCAGGCCACAGTGATTCAGAAGATGGCAGCCAAGTGTAGAGTTTCGGCAAGTGGTCTCGAACACAATTTACAGCAAACGATAGTCTACAGGATCTGATATTTAAGTCTAGAACCATTTATTTAGGAGCTATAAGAGCTATTACCATAGACGTGTTTTAGATTATTAGAAATGAGAACAAATCAAGACATACAAAGCCTCATTTTCAATTCACAGTTAAGCTTGGATTAAAGTTGTTAGTGCAAGCCGATCCGATATAGACTTTCAACCTCGTCCATAAGAATGAAGAATGTGGGTCACCAGGCCCACCAATTCAAGCTCGATGATTTACCAGTCCGAAAGATATTCCATATTGATACTCTCTAGTGATCGGTTGTGGTGGAAACTTTCGACATACTTCAACCAAATCAACCTCTACGGAGCGACCTTTGGCAAATGTCGACTACTGTCTGGTTCGCTTGGCTTCTCTGGCTGCTTCGAGTGTTTATTTGTAGATCATGGCTTTTAGAACTGCGGTGTCTTCAATTTTATTATCATTTTCCTCGACATGGGAAACAAGACAGTGAGAGGGGTAGCCGTCTGCCGCGATGTTCTCAACGGAAGAATTGGTGTCAAAGTAAGAAATATAATCATTCTGGCTGGTAAATATGTATCATGCAACCTTCCTTTTCAAATATTGGACTTATCGACATTGTCTAAGAATCCGATGTGGGTAAGTTCGGCCTCTCAAGATGCATTCTCAACAGCGCCTTCGCAAGGATTTTAGAGTTAAACATCAGCATGTATCAATAAGCGGTAGTCCAATTTTCGTTACAAGTCAATATAATTGACGAAAAGCAACCTGAAAAGAGAATTGTCAGAACCTGGAATGTGTCAAGTGTAAAGAACCGGAATGTGAAGGGCATGATCGACTAAGAAATAAACGACACATTCGTATCGACTGTTAAGTTGGCATTCAACAATGAAACTTTCCGAGATAAACAATATTGTTCAATGGAATGTGTTTCTGACGATAAATGTTGCAAGATCGATTTCCTTTCCTTGTATTGGGCACTCGTCACGTGGAGTCCGCGAGCACCACAGCGCCAAGCCGAGCCTTCTCCAGCTCTCCGACCAAGCCCCGTCATACCTTGTGCTCCCTTTTCTTTTGCTGCTTCCTATTTCCCCTTTGCCTTTAATGACTGGTCGCTCTCTCTCCATCTGCATCTTTATTTCTCTCGCTATATTCTGGAGTGCTCGCCAATACCAAATATAGATTTGTTATTGAAGATAAATACCTGCGCCGTGACGATTGCTACTGACCCGCTGACGGAGGCCCCCTCTTACTTCGAGTTTCATACTAGTCGCCGTTGACATTTCCTGGGTTTCCACGCTCCCTATAGGGCCGAATACTCGACTCTCATCGGATACTCGCATCAAATGATAAGAGTGACCGTCGATATAATCTCGTCTACCCCGAGGCTAGTTTCGATACGCCGGGGTAGGTATTAGTGGGACGCTGGTGAAGTTGGGCACTGTCTCGACTTTCTTGCTCTGTTTCGAGCTGCCTATACGATCTTTTCTTTCTCCGATATCTATCAGTTGCTTTGGGAACAGTTCGGTATAGAATATTTGCAGGTTCCGCCTAGCACAGTTCCCTTCAGCCTCCATTTCGTTACGTCGCAACACGGATTCGCAGTATCCGGAAGGCGCCAATCATTACACAATGTCGTTGCTAAAAACACAATATCACGATGACTCTGACGCGGATGATGAATATGAGCGCAGTGTTCTCGCATCCCCGCGACTACCTACCGATTCGGAGATTTCTCCCACTGATTCGGAATCATTGTCCACGGAACACACGCCTACAACATATGGCAATGTGGGAGAAGAACATGGCCTGCCACGAACTATCATTACTGAGTGGACTGCGGAGGAATGCGCGGACTTTGTGGGAGGTCTCGGCCTGCGCCAATATCGCGCGTCTTTCATAGGTTCGTTGTTCTCTTTGGAATGTTAAGTGACACCCGATACTAATATCAAATGTTGCAGAGAATGAGATTGTCGGCGAAGCACTCATAGCTCTGAAGCATGAAGAATTGAAAGAGATGGGTATCACCAGCGCAGGGCACAGATTAACTATCCTGAAAAACGTCTATGAAACGAAAGTGAAGCAAGACATTCCTATCGACCCCGATCATTACGTTGCACCTTGTGAGTTCTGACGAGTAATAGATATTCTTTGGATTGTTGTTGACTTTGGGTTCACAGCGGCCGATCACAATTTACACGAACCGGCTACTCATGGCGATATATCCCGGATTCAGCAAGTGATACGTACACGAGATGAGAGAATCCTGACTCTCGAGGTTGACCTCCGAAGAGTCACCGAAGACTATCGCCGATTACGAGAAGAGCTTCTACCTATTTTTAAGATGGCCAAAGATCGATCCCAACCTCTACCATACCAACCTGCTATCCCAGCTGGTCCTACATCGAGCCCTGAAATATATCACGATCCACTTGCCACAGTTTCACCCAATCTCCGCGCCGAACCTCCAGCATTGGCCCGACAACATTCTCGTCGAATGCACAACGGGGGCACAACACCGAAAAGCAACAACTCTCCTACTCATATTCCGTCATCTATTCACCATGATGGCCGTCTTTATAGTGACGGTGCCAGTCTCGATCCCTCTGCCGCAGCTATAGCAGCATCTTCGCATCTTACGACATCTATGACTGGAGGCGCACAGTCGTCTCCTGGAATTCCCTCACCGACATCTCCTGGTCAATTGACACAACAGACTTTAGGACCTCGTTCATATGTGAGAGATGGAAGGAATACAGTAGCCTCAACGGTTCGTCCTGGATACGAACATGAAGAGGCTGCGCACCCCAACCCAACACCCACTCCAACCCCTAGTTCTGCTTCAAGAAACGAATCGAGGAACACAGATTCAGCAGCACCAAGTGTGGAGATATTCAAATCCTTCAGGGTGTCAATGGACGACCCGTGCCATAAGGTTCTACCCGCCGCATTGAAGAAGTATAATATAAATGCGGATTGGCGGCAATATGCCCTTTACATTGTTTATGGTGATCAAGAAAGATGTCTGGCATTAGACGAGAAACCCTTGATTCTGTTCAAGCAACTTGACAAGGAGGGACGAAAACCAATGTTTATGCTCCGCAAGTCCGCACCAGTTGAAGGTGCGGCATCTTCATATCCAGCTCCTACCAATTCAGCCCCGAATAGTGCTGGATTCGATATTAACAGACCAGTACCTGGTGGAGTTCTATAACCGGTGTCGTCCTAGATATAATTGTACATCTGCTCATAATCTTCTTTTCCTCACGTCATTTATCTTTGCCTTCTATCATTACTCGGTGGTCATCATCTAGGTACAGCCTAACGGGAGTATTTCTGTTCTTCCCTATTCTATCCTTGTTTCTCACTTTGTTTTATTGGGAGCATTGGCACGTGTGTTTGAAATGGTGTTATCACTTTGGACAGGGTCTCTTTTGTTTCCATGAAGAAGCTTTAGTATACGCTACGTACGCATCTTGCTATACTGGTCTGATCTTGCCTTGGCTCTTTTTCTTACGAAATCCTCTTCTACATCTGTGTCCTATGCAGCGTGGGCGTCTTGATAGCTATTAAACATTACCATTTCCTTTTTCACCTGAAATGAAGTGTATCATGACTTTTTTTCTTTCTTCCCCCCAAGATGATAATTTCAACTTTGATTCATGAATTGCAGCATTACATTATTTTCTCTTCTTCGTGGGATTAAAAAAGAATTCATATGTTCACCTAAGTGGCAACATGGCTCGTGGTTTTATCTACTTCTCCTTTCCAATGCTCATGCCTACATACCAGCACTCTTGTATTGTTATTCTATATACAGTGTACACGAAACAGCCATGCATATGTATATGTCGCTTTTGGTATCTCAATTTGGAATCAATATCAATTGATGCAATGTGATGCAACGCAATGGGAAAAAAGTAGAACATCGAGTAATCGACAGTAAGCAAGCCAACACACCAGGAACACTAGTGTGATCTAGACATCATGTTTATCCGTAGGCATAGAGAAATAACTCAATTTACTGTCGTCCCCGTTCGCCGCCCCAGGAAACTCTTTGGCGGTTGCCGTGACCATAAACGTTTCTCGAGGACCTTCCGTTGCCGTTGTCAGTAGTCTCGCCAGTATTCCTGGCAGGACGGGTGCCGTCGGCGAATTGGATGCTTCCTCTGACTGCTCGAGATTCGCTGTCGTCTTCACTACTGGGCTCTCGAACGACTGCGGGCTTTGGTTGGCGAGGCACACCGGCAATTTCGGCATCCTCGTCGTCGTTCTCGTCGTCTTGATCCTCGATCTCACCCAAAGCTGCAAGACGTCGCTTACGTTCTGCGGGCGTCTCTCCAGTGTCATCGCGGATTGCAGAAGCAGTTCGATGAGGAGCTGCTAATCCTGCCCGTTTGGCTGAAGGCGGAACACGCTCTGTGCCATCGTCTTCTGAATCTTCTTCCTGCTCGATTGAATACTCTGTAGGGTTATCGGGCTCACCAGCAAGACGTCGGCGACGTGCCTGGGCATTGTCCGAATACCTGGCCAATGTACTAGCAATATCATGAGTAGGAATGTCACGCCCAGACTCTGTATCTGTACCGTCGCTTTCTCCGTCTTCGGAATCTTCTGCGTCAGTACCTTCAGGGATATTCATGAAATGACTAGGGTTCTCTGCTATTCTCTTTTCAATGTTATCTTGTGTCTTTGCTTCCTGACGAGCCACTTGCTTGACATTTTGTGGAGCATCGGTCTCTTCGACGAGCATACGACGCGCTCGCGGATCCAATTTGCTGATCTCTTTGATGAAATCTTGTTTGCTCATGCGTCTTCCCTTTACGCCTACCCCTTGCTTCTCGAGAGCAGGATCATGAGCAACAGTGAACCGTAGGCCATCATCATCATCATCTGCACCAACCGCAACATTTTCTGGATCTTTCGATGCTTCTCCTTCTTTCATTCCGACCCAAGTTCCCATTCGCGTAAGGCCTTTCCGCACTTGCGACTCTGCAGCATTTGCTGGAGCCACACCTTCAGGCTTCTGTACAGTAGGAATGGTGTATTTCTTGATGACCTCACCGTCTTCATCCTCGACGATGATTGTATTTCCAAATTGATAGGCATGTGCAGATTGACGGGGAGGTTTCGCTTTGGCCTTTGATGGGCCTGCTTCTCCTTCTGCTGGCTTCTCCTTGCCCCAGCCAGCCCATTGACCAAAGCGTTGTTTCATTGATCGGTACTGCTGACTAGCCACATCCTCAACCTCTTTCTGTAGTTCTTCGCCTTCTGTCTTGCTATGTGGCTGACCCTTCGACTTAGCATACTCGCCTGACTTGTCTGCCCTGAGTTTCTTGTGTACATCAATAATGTGCTGTTTCTGTTCCTCAGGTGACTCGCCAGTGATGTCTTCAGTTTTCAAGACGTTTCCTTCCGCGTCCTCGATGATCATCTTATGGCCCTCTTGGTAAACCTCCAGTTCCGGCTCTCGGCCGAACCTGTCACGTTCTCTCTGTGGCGGTGAGCTTTCGCGCTCGATTCGATCTCTTTCTTCCTGTTCCTTCTGGTTAATTGGCGAGGACTCACCAGGCTTTTCAGCCTTTTCCTCGGCGACATTTTCCTCAGTAACCTGGGTAGCTTCCCGACGCCTTGCAGGTGTGATGGCAGATTGACTGATAGGACCGCCTACATTCTTCGAACGCCTCTTTCTGCGTTTCCTTGACCGTATACTAGGCGCTCTACGACCATCCTCCTCATCCTCATTTTGCACACGTCGAAGGAAAGTACCAGGAGCACCGATAGGCGGCAGCGTACCAGGAGGAAACTCCGGAGCCTCTCCACTCGATCCTTCATATGATTCTGCTTTTCGCAAGGATACCGAGCTCTTTGACATTGATGCGACACGAGGCAGACGGTTCATCCATGAAGGCCCATCTTCATTAGCTGTAGTGTACGACAATGTGATCGTCAATGTATTGATACGTTTTCCGAGGGTGAAAACAGCAATCGAGGACCCGTGGACGACTATAGACGCAATTACCAGGAATGTAGTAATAGGCCAAATCAATTGAACCAAGTAATAATTTGTCTCGCCTGGCTTAGGAAGAGCATCTTGAGTTTCTGGCTCTGTGCTGCCGTTTTCTAGCTCGGCTCTAGCTAGAATAGCCGCGAAGATGGCTCCGACACCAATGGGACCAAAATGACCGGCAAACAGGGCTTCTCGCCATGTTTTGACGTCTGGTATGATGGGTTTAAGAATCATCATGATTGGAATGCGTCGGAAGAAAATGACGAGTAATGCAATGACGACGAGTCTCCATGGTGAGAGTCCAATTGCGGGCATGTTGTACGAACTCCAGGGGATAATCGAGCCAAAATAGACGAAATATGCCAGATTGAGCAACAAATCGATGACGTTGGAAACATGAGACTCCTCTGTCTTTTCAGTAAACCATCCGTCATTACTGAAACCAACTCCAGCTGCGAATCCAATCAAAAGATCGTCCATACCGAGGAGACTGCCTGAGCCTGCGCAAAATAGAGCCAACACGAAATAGAACACCAAAAAGCTCTCACGATCGATCAGGTTTTTCTTCTCTGCTTGCTTGATCATATGGCGACCAATATAACCGATCACGAAACCATAAACGGCACCAAAAATACATTCGTACAGAATTGTGTTGCAAAACCAGTGGAAACTAACTGTACTGGCATCTGGACGATACCTGATGATATAGAGCGAGAGATAAATGAATGGGAAAGCCATGCCATCGTTGCATCCTGACTCCGCAGATAACAGGTCTCTCAAATGTTTAGGCACTCGCTTCGCGAATTTACCTTTACCGACAACCGAGGATGCCAAAACAGGATCGGTAGCAGTCACACATGCAGCGCATGCCAAACTCTCAAGCCATGACAGTGGAGGGACCAACCACCAAATGAACAGGCTAGTCATGAGCCAGCCCCATGTCATGACGGGAATGAGGAGAAGGGCGACAGACCTCCAATGTCTTTCCATGTAGGACTTGGGCAATTCGACTCCTACAGCAAAACATTGAACGACCAGAACGATACGAGAGCATTCTAGCGTGATCTTATCCACATTGCCCCATGAATCAGGAGTAAACAGATTAGCAGCGTAGGGCCCAAATATGATACCACACAGCGTGGCGACGGTGGCTTCACCGATATAGAGCTTTTCTTTCACGAAAAGCGAACACAACATGAAGAGGCTGGTGAAGCCTCCTAAGATCATGTAGGCCACATGGGGCTTATCGATGTCGAGTTGTTCCCAAACCATTGTGGCCCGGTGTCTGGGGACCTGGTTCGAAGGAACGGGGGATGGACAGAAAGCTCCGATCTATCGATTGTAATCGGCTGCTTCTATGCTATGGGTTTCGTTGAATTATTTACTTGAACTCTGTTGCCTCACCCGGCTTGATAGCAGCGGCGAGTTCAAATTCCGACACCGGTCTTGTCGTCACGCTCTTAGGCATATCTGTCCCACAGCAACGACTGGGAACAAGAGACGGGTTATATGGCCTTCACAGGTATTATCGGTTCCGTCGTGACGGATGATTCGACGGCGCTTGAAGAGCGAGCGGGGTGTTCAAGTGCTCAGAAGGAGCTTGAAACACTAATCTGTTTATCGGAATCGCGATCCAGCCAGCTAGACAGCGGAGGATAGCAGCTGCAAGTATTGATCTCACACGGAATCAGCGTGCTCGAGACGACTAGTGGATTAGAATAGCGAGCGAGAAAAGCTCGAGGCGAAGTTCAAGAGAAGTAAAGGCAGATGACGAAAATTGCACCACAAGCGTTTTTCTTGGGAGAATGGACCACAGCGCCAATGCAGCGAGCAGCGATAAGTGGATGGTAATTGGTAGAATTCCAACACGCGGTTCGGCCTTGAAGTGGGGATCGATCGTCGGCCGAGTACAGACCTAGCTCAAGGCGAGTTGCCGCTGCATGCGAAGTCGGCCGGGTGTCTGCAGGCCTGCGGTGGAATGCGGGCAGGCCAGGAACGTAAACGTGAGCGTCGTAAAGCAAGGGGGGCACGATCTGGGGTGGTGCAGGCTGATATTTAATCGGTGTTCAAGATTTCGGCGGGCCAGGTCGAGTAATGACGACGGAGGAAGGCGGGACTGGCAAGGCTGGCCTGGGCTAGGCTTGGCTTGGCAGTGCGACTTCGATATCACCGATGCAGGGCACCACGAAAGCCAGTCCGCAGCACTGGTATTTATATTCCGTACACTTCGCAGCGCCAGATAGACAGATTTCAGAACTGGCGAAAACGACACTTATGCCTGATCGGTCTGAATTGGGATTGCCTGTGCGGCTGCAAGCAGACGGCTGTGATTGGCACATGACTTGACGGCGCTCGGGTGGCCGCAATGACGAGCGCCAAGAGCGGAGTTTAAAAAAGAAAAAAGAAAAAAAGAAAAAAAAGCCCGCGCCAAGCCGATCCCTTGTGATATTGTCCACACTGTAATTTACTTGATAACGCGTATCAAATGTGATTGATTGAACGCCAGGCTCGCCTGCTTGGTGATGTGGTGTTAGCAAAGGTAAAAGCTCCATCTGAGATGCGCCATTGGGCGAGCTACCGGACGCGGGAGAATGCCATGGCGCCGGGCCACCGCCGAGCCTCTCCATGTCTCGGCTGCTACGGCTACAGATGGAGGGTTCAGGAATGGGTAGTAGCTGCTGACGTTGGATTGGACGCGTCTGTTATCGCATAGTGCTGCTTGGATGGAGTGAACGATGCAGAGTTAGAATACTTAATAGATAGCTTACAATACTTGGTACAGTATATACTGATATAGAAATAAGAAAGACGGAGAGCGTCTTCCGATTGGTGTGAACTGCTGCGGAGCCGCGGACCCCAGCCGAACCTGTATCCTGATTCGCCCGCGCCGGCTTACTTAATACCATCCATGGCAGCCACGCGTCGGTTTCTTGGCTCACAGACTGCAGAGTAGTTACACAGTCTTCTACACTTGGCAGGGCATTGCTCTGGAACGACGAACATGTTGGATCAAGAGCTGTTCGTAATTGTGGGAACAGTCCTCAAAAGACCAACATCCAGAACCCGAAAAGGGCTTTCTAAACACGATGCGTCCTTTCAACTACATTTACGCTAGGTGCAGGACAGGTCACACTGACGGTACCTGAGCTGGCACCGACCCGCAACATCAACACTGAGGGTTTGAGAATGCCATTCAGTTTGGCCCAACGACATTGATTCTAGTACTACAGCTGACAGTTATCACGCTCGTTTGCTCATCCTACATATGCGGAGAAGATGGACTTCCTCTCATATCTCATGCAGTACAATTTGAAAATCGATCTACAGCCTCTTCTTGAAGAGAGAAAGGCATCACTGCCACTAGATAGATAGACATATCTATATTATCGCGGCTACAGCGCCAGCCCGCGACGAAGATCCGAGTATCAACATACACCGCTCAATGACGGCCCTATTCTAGCCTCCCAAGGACGACTGATTCCCCATTCAAGACGTCCACATTTAAGCCTGGCCTGGGCCTTTTCGCCAATCGTTATTCTGAATTGGGTAGCAAAACATGAATATCGGCTTACTGTGCATGCTGATGAGTCAAAAAAGGCTTAAGTTGAGGCTATTTTATTTTTCCTTCCCCGCATCAATACACACGCGAGCATGTATTATGCCAAACCCGCCATTGGCGCCGTTGCCAGCGTAGCCGCAGTGCAAAAAGAAATCAACCGAAAAGATCAGTCTAGGCCCGGCACGTGTGCAGTGTTGGACGATCATCAAATCGCTCCTAAATACTCCTACACCGGATTTATCCAAGTACAGTCGCAGTCTTTTGTAGTTCAGTGTTGATCATTCAGGAATTGAGACTGCCGATGGCTCCATCTACCAAGTATAAGTCAATAATTCAATGTTACTCTACGGGTCCACAAGCTTTTTAAAATGAACCACTGGCCCAAATCGCATTGCTTGCTGCTGGAAAACTTGCCAACTGCATGTAAATTAGGGCACCAATCAGATTTAATCACACATTGAACAAAAAAAAGGCTTGAGAGTAATTGGAACAAGAGCACCAAAAAGCAAGGAAGGAAGAAAGAACAAACGGCAGTGTTAACTGCTTGAAAGAAGAAAATGCATGTAGTAATCAATCGCGTGACAACCCCAGACCAGTTATTTCTGTTTAACCCGCCAAAATGCAGATCAATGCTGTGGACATCCCCGGGGAAAGTGGATGTCAAGCTAGTCACAGCATATTCGCTTTCCAACCGCATCGGCGTACGTGGTCACCGCCTGATTGGCGTTTAGTCCCCGTTGGGCATTCCTTCGACCTCTTCACTGAGGTTCCTCCAGTTATCTGCCTGCAGCTCGGCATATTTGACCCGCTCCTGGCTCCAGTCCTGGTGAAGTCGGCTGATATGGTACTGGCTTTGTTGGAAGTAAGTGAGTTCATCACGGATACACTCCTTGATGAACACACCCCGCGCATGCTGCTGCACGATTGATTCCTTGTCCTATTTTAATAATATTGTTAGCAAGGCAGGTCGATCCGATGATCACAATTCCAGACTCCTCTCTGGGGGAAATCTCACCTTGAAGATCGATTCCTCTATCTTCTCAATCTCTCCGGGCTTCACCGTCCCCTGAGGTCGAGCCCTCAAGTCCTGTAGCTTCTTTTCATTGCTTTCAATGCGCTTTTCTAACTGAGGTATATTGTCCTTAGCATAACGATCCCTCCTATCGAAGAGGTCACGCATGCTGACGAGACAGTCTCGTTGCCGTTTTAGATCCTCGAGGACCCCCTCAGACCACGCCTTCGCCTCATCTTCAAGTAGACTTTGACTCGTAGAAAGGTGCCTAGCAGTGGCATTGATACCCTCATTAAGAAGAGGCACGTCATTGGTATCAACGGCGTATGTGCTGTTCGTGGCTTCGGTCAAAGATTGTAACGCCAAAGAGAATCGAAGATGGTCTGCGGCTAGTCCTTCGTTGCGCTTTGCCAATCGCTCAAGTAATGCGCAAAGATTAATGTAGATTTCTGCAGAGCGCTTTACACCTGAACGCACCGTATCAAACGTTTCGTTGAGGGTGGGCGGTAACGAATCTTCGAGGTCTGGGGGGAGAGCCCTGCCTGTAAATTCCTCCTGCACTGAAATTGTGGCCTGCTTGCGCCATACTGAAAGCTCCTGAGAATAGTCAATCAATGCCACTCCTTGTAACCTGCCACAATTAGACTTACCGTGGGGACAGTTAAGAACATTACTACGAGCTGTTCTTGACTCAAAACAGGATGTCGAACAAGGGCATTACTGAAGCGTACAAGTCCACGTCGGCGTTTCTCGAGGAATGAATTTGAATCCGCTGAAAGGTGAGTGCCATTAACTTAACAAAGAGTGAGCTGGATTTTAGGCCGTTTCCCACAAGAGCCTTGGACGTACCTGAAACCCTCTTAGGAGGAAGTAGTGGCAATTGACGGAAAGGATATCGTTTCTGTAAGCAGTCTAACAACCACACAAAATCACTGTAGCGTCGTACAACGGAGCTACCCCGACGGGCTGACTTGACCTCGTAGTTGCGATGTTGGAACATGAAAACGCCTTCTTTTTCCGACAGTAGAGTGATCGTAATGACTTCCTCCACAGCCGAACCTGTTGCTCGGCCGCTACCGATTGCTCGACTTTGAAAGTTGGAACCATCTTGGCCGCCTCCCGATCCTCCGAACCCGTCCAATCCGGATGGTCCAGCTGATCCAAAGGGGGGATTTGTATTGTTGTTATAGCCACTCCAACCTGATCCTGAGCTGCTAGGAGGAGCCTGTCCGTTTGTCGGGACCCCAGCGTTGGTCTCGGGGCCGGTGGTAGTAGAATTGGCAGTCCAGCCATTAGTAGCAGACCGGCCACCACCGAATCCATTTAATGTCGGCTCGTTCGAAGGTGCAGAAGTGTGATTGTGTCCACGATGCAGATCGGGACTTCCCCACGGGTCCGACTCTGATGCGCCAAAAGAGCTTTGTCGAGGAGTTGCGGGTTGCGGCTGGGGTTTTGATGGTGACGGTTCTTCCTGGGGTTGTGAAGGAGGCGCAGGCTGGCTCGAAGATTTGAGGTCATTCAAGTACGATATTTTCGGCTTGGGGAGACCTTTCCAAAATTAGAAAAGACACAGACTGAAGGCTATACAAATAAGAATAACATACTGTGTCGTCGTTCATCAATCGCATCATAAGTAAGATCCTCGCCTTCTTGAGCAAGTCCAACCAAGGCCAGCAAAACATTAAACTCATTCCGTCCCAAACAATTGGACGGCTCCTGTCCCCCAGGTAGAATGAGATTTAGTATCTTCGATTGATCCGCCGCGTTCAGGCCACTAGAGGATAGGATTTCTCGGATCGCAGTCAACCCAATCCCCGCACCGACCCGGTTACCAGCATCGACGACTAGTTCGTATGCATCGACATAGCTTTCAGGGACATCTGATGTGGGGAGGAGGTTTTTGACGAGATTTTGCTGTCCAGCTTTCTTTGGTGTTGGCATGTCCCAGGGAGAATCGCCGCCAGTGCTATCATCTGCGAACAGCGCTGAACCGGACCTGTGGTGGGTGGGTTCGTCATCAAAGAGAGAGGATTTGGACAAACGAGAAGGAGTGGCCACTGCTGGGGGCTCATCAGGAGAGGTGCCGAATAAAGACATGGTCAATATAAAGCGTGCTGGTCCTTGGGATTGTTGATCGCTCGGTCAATGGGGTGCGTCACCGGTGGAGGCGTCCGTTGTAGTTCGCGACCTATTTATCCGTCCACGCGCAACAGGACCAGCTGGGCTGATTAGCTTATAGTCACTCAATAAAGCATCGAGCAGGGATGCTGGGGTGTAGCACATATAGCCCAGGGACGATTCATACCGTGAGTCAAGGGATCCGCGCAAAGCTCATCGCGATGGTCGGTGTTGGTCGAGGTGCAGCTCGAGACTTGGGAAGTGGGACACGGCGGGTACACGGACGCTAAGGGGAGCTTCGTGCCAGAGATACGAGATGGCTTTCATGTCGTTTCCAATTCGCTGATATTTGCTTTCGTATATGGTTCATTTTCAAAATCGATAAGCTGATATACATATATATATTTTATATTGGGTTTACAACAAACCGCTTTTACTGGGAAGTTATGTTTGGCTCCAAGGCTGCTGTGCTTGCAGTTCCCCCGGGTAACGCCTCTAAGCATCCCTAGAGTTTGGTCCCTAAGCTGCCTCTTAAGCGGCATGTGCCCCCTAAGCTGCCCCGAAGCTCGCCCATCCACAGCTCCATTAAGCATGGCTCACAACCCGCTTGTAAGACAAGTCTGGTCTTCAAATAGGCAGACGAGTTTTTTATAGTGCTTAATATGCTTTGTATTTGTCAGTTATCGAGGCTACCTACGCTAGAGAGGCACTCGTATTGCGTGATAGTATATTCAAAATACGACCTAAGCCTCTTTCCAGCCTTACCTAATGACCTGGCCTTGTGAACTTCTGTAAACCCTCGTGTGTAACCTTGCGACAAGCCGTACGAGCGTCGACGATGACGACGATTGGACGATCTATCACAGCTCGGGGATAAGGCGAGGTTAGGCTAAAGCAGACTTAGGCAGTGCGGGCGGGAACTCCAAACCTAGGCGTACGTATTCACTTAACTTATCCCATACGAACAAAAGACTGCCAGCATTCAAGCCCTACCTATTTACTTAATACAAAACACACCGAGTCCAATGTCGCTGTTAACCGGTCCGAATGTCGGCTTGAGATGATTACTTACCTTTGTCCATCGCTTGCACCTATCAGTCTAACCTCACTGCCACGGCCCGTCGCGATTCCACCACCTTCACCCTATCTCCGGTCCATCTCGATATAAAAACGAATAGAGCATCAATCAGGGTGCGACACCAAAGCGAAAGGGGCCCTTATATCGTCGTATATTCCGCATGAAAGGATAAGTCAGCTATAAAACAGCCGCAGTCACAATGCCTAGCGAGACGGCCGCATTTACCGAAGTCTTCGAAGCCGAGATTTACAAGCATCTTTCCGAAACATCTGCTCTGGACGACTTGCACGCAGAGCTTTTGTTCTCGCTACAACGCGCCGGCTGGACCGAGCGAATCAAGTCTCTTTCCCTAGAACTTCTCCGCGCTGGGCGCTGCAATCACTTTGATGATCTGGTTGATGTCGTTGTTACGCTTGCCGCCGGCGAACCACACCCAACAGTACCAGAGGTCAACCCAACAAGTGCAACGACAAATGGGCATAGTACCACGAATGGGGTAGAGAGTGATTCAGAATCACCTTTCAAGAACCTGGATGTGCGAATACCAAAGGAAGTTGTTGACCAGGGTGTCAAGGCAATTAAGGATTCAATACGGCCTATTGCCACAATTGAGGATGACGGAGGGGTAGGGGGAAACGCCTCTACAGCAGAGAACTCGAATCATGCCACAAAATCGGAGAAAAAGCCTAGCAAAACGAGCAAAGATTTTGCAGCATCCCGTCTGAAAACCGCCGATGCGAGTCCCTCGAAGAATGCAGTCAAAGACAAGAAATCCAAGACAGTTGGGAAAGATTCGAAAACATGAAAAGACCAAGGGTTGGAGGCGCACAATTTTGAGAAGTATCTATATTTCAAGGACATTTGCAGCAGATTTTGGCGTTTTCATGGCTATGGAGTAGACGGCATTGAACTACAGATTTGGGGAGTTTTGATCATACAGCAGCGGCATATAGAAATCATGGTTGGGGGAGGCTGGACATGATTCAAATGCACTCCCTCTATACCTGTGTACAGTACATTCATATCATATCCATTCTATTGATACCATAAAATACTACTTAGGCGCGCAGGCGAATTATCAATTAGCTACTACTTATGGACACATTTTAGAAAGAAATGGATTCTATTTCAACCACTAGGAAAGTGTAGAATACAGAAAAATCACATAGGATAAATACTGCAAATTTCCCACGCCGATCTGCTTCTGGTGTCTTTGTCTTGTTGAATTTTGCGTATTATTAAATGACGACATGGGGCGACATGGGGTAAAAACTGAAAGGAATCAATGAACTATGCAACCAAGAAAAATTCTCATAAATGCTGGGATTTCTGGAAGAAATAACCTGCTGTGCTACTGAACTGAGTAAACACAGATTGCATCGATGAATTCGTAAGACATCAAAAACGTTCAGAGAATCTAATCATACAGGCTGTCATCGTTGCCTGCATCACCAAAACCGTTCTGTCCACTACCGCCGCCAACTTCCTCGGCCGATGGGAAGCGGAAGAAAGCACTGCCCCCAGAATTCTTCATGCTCTGGGCGAAAGCTTCGTATCGACGGATCTCAACATCGCTGACGGATCGTCGGGCAGTAGCCATGGCCTCTTCAAAGTGGGCACGCGTCAGCTCTGGAACTGGATCTTCGACGTCGGCCTCATCCATCTCTACGTCCTCACCAGCTGCCTCACGTTCTTTCTGGCGTTCAACCTCGGCTGCAATCGATTGCTTGATAGCCAATTTGACGGCTCGCTGAGTGACAAAGCCAAGATCAGCACCAGAGAAGCCATGGGTCTTGCTTGCAATGAAAGCAATGTCAACATCAGGTGCAACAGGGGTCTTGCGAAGCTGAGCCTTGAGAATACCCTCTCGTGAAGCCTGGTCGGGAAGAGGAACATAAACGAGGGTGTCTAGACGTCCTGGACGGCAAAGAGCAGGATCCAGTTGCTCGGGTCGGTTAGTGGCGCCGATCACGAAGACATTCTTCTTGGAAGTCATTCCATCCATTTCTAAAAGTATGTTAGTATTGTGTCTCTAAGGCGATTGTCACACATTCTTACCAGTCAAAAGTTGGTTGACCACACGGTCGGATGCACCACCAGCATCTCCAACCGAGCCACCACGTGCTTTGGCAATCGAGTCGAGTTCGTCCAAGAAGACAACACAAGGAGCGGCTGCACGAGCCTTGTCGAAGATATCACGGATGTTGCTCTCGGATTCACCGAACCACATGCTCAATAACTCTGGGCCCTTGACGGAGATGAAATTTGCAGCACACTCGTTTGCAACGGCCTTGGCAAGCATGGTCTTACCAGTACCAGGAGGTCCATAAAAAAGTACACCTCGAGAGGGAGAAAGACCGAACTTGAGGAATTTCTCAGGGTGTTCGACAGGATAGGACACGCTCTCTGATAAATTTGTTAGTCTTTACAAAAAAATGTAAAAGGGTAAGAGTGCATACCGATAAGTTCCTTCTTGACTTCTTCGAGGCCACCAATGTCCTCCCAGCGCACATTGGGCACCTCGACGACGGCGACTTCTCGGAGGGCAGAGGGGTTCGACACACCCAAAGCGAAACGGAAGTTGTCCATGGTGACACCCAAGGAGTCGAGGACCTCAGCATCGATAGTGTCTTCATCAAGATCAATGAGATCCATCTTCTCGCGAATCTGTTGCATTGCAGCTTCTGAACAAAGCGAGGCAATATCGGATCCAACGTATCCATGGGTGTCAGCGGCAATTGCTTCCAAATCAACATCCTCGGCGAGTTTCATGTTCTTGGTATGAATCTGAAGAATTTCAAGACGGCCAGTAGGGTCAGGAATACCAATATCGACTTCGCGGTCGAAACGTCCAAAACGACGCAGAGCAGGATCAATCGAATTGGGCCGGTTGGTGGCAGCCATGACTACGACGTTGGAACGAGCCTTCATACCATCCATGAGAGTCAAGAGCTGAGAGACGACACGACGCTCAACCTCTCCATTTGTCTTCTCACGCTTGGGGGCGATCGAGTCAATTTCATCGATGAAGATGATGGCAGGGGAGTTCTTCTCGGCCTCCTCGAAGGCTTTACGCAGATTCGACTCGGACTCACCAGCCATCTTAGACATAATTTCGGGACCGTTGATGAGGAAAAAAAATGCACCGGTTTCGTTGGCAACAGCACGAGCCATCAAGGTCTTACCGGTACCAGGAGGACCATACATGAGAATACCACGGGGAGGCTTGATACCGATCGACTTGAACAGTTGGGGATGGCGGAGGGGCAGTTCGACAAGTTCGCGAACCTGGGCCATTTGTTTCCGACAGCCACCAATATCGTCATATCCGACCTCGTTGAGGTTGCCCTCCTCATCTTCACGCTGAATAGGCTCGCCTTCGCAGTGGATTATTGTATCCTGAGCAACAATGCCGTACTCTGGGGGGTCGACCTCAACCACTTTGAATTCCACTTGCCTCATACCACCACGTACTGTGAACAAGTCGCCCTGTCGTACTGGACGGTATGCCTCGCGGAAGTATGGTGCAAGGAAGACATCAAACAAAGAGCCAGTGAGACCCTCGACAGTGTCAGCAATAGGAAGGACGGCGATCCGCTTGGCCTGCAAGGAACACGAGGTTAGTAAATAATCGGGTATTAGTGGACGAAAGTCAAGCCTACATATTTAATATCTGGGCATGGATGGACAGTAACGATGTCACCGTGCTTCACACGGAGATTGTGGCGGACAACACGGTTGATACGAACACTCCCGTCATCAAGGTCGTCATCTGCCAGAACGATCAAAACTGTGTCCTTTCGCTTCTTGCCCTTAACCAAAACCGTGTCGCCACGGAACAGCTGTAGGGTCTCCATGGTGTTGTTAGAAAGAGCGATGATAGAGTTGTCGTCGTTGGTTGCATCGGTCACACTGTGTCTGGTCAGCAACGGTGTCCTCTCGGCTGTAGCGAACTTGCCACTCACATCAATGAATTCGGCTTCTTCTTCTTCTTTAGGATGGCGGTAGCAGTGTCGAGTTCCTGGACAGGATAAGTAAGAATTGTCGCGGTTCATGCTTGTAGCAAGGAGCAACTTACATCCTTCACCTCGGCGCCGGAGGGGTCACTACGAGTTGTTTGGTCAGTATCTCGACGAGGCCATCATGCGGAATCGAGAATAAAAAACGTACTTGAGGTTGACCCTCTTCTTGGAATGGACGTGATCTGGCTCAGCAGACATTTTGATGATGCGGTGGTTGTGTTGTAGAGATGAGGTGCTATGGCTGGCACTGGTCACAGACGTCACCAGACCTGATGTGAGAGCACGAACTCGCTAAAAAGAGACGAGATCGAAAGAAAGGTTGTATAGTAGGGAAAATGCAGAACAAGGAGCAGTTCGATGCACAATCTGCAAGAGGAAACTCGTGGAGGAGAGCAAAGGAAGGGGGCAGATGCGGAGAGAGGTTGAAGTGTGCAGGTTGGAGGTAGAAGGCAGCTTGAGGTGACGATATCGAGCTAGCGGGAAGGCGGACCAGCTGGGGAGCGCCGCCTAATAGTAATACGACTAGCAGTTAAGTGATTATTCGGGCTTAGTCTTTCGGATTCTGCGGTGGAGGTGGCCACCAGAACAAAAATAATAGTAATCAGGCCCGGTCCATGGAAGGGACGAGAACAAGTTTGGGTCTACAGGAGGCGAATTCTGGTTTCGTTCGGCCTATTTGTATGAATGGTCATGCCAAATGCATCCCGAGTCGCGCGTTGCTGGGCAGTTTGCCAGTGTTCCTGGAGCTTGTGGCGGCAACCCTGGAGAAAGACATGGAATCCGCTCGACCACTCCAGCCACAGCATGCTGCAGCCACAGTTTACGCACTCCTCTGCAGCCTGCGGGAGATCACCTGATCGCCCGGGTTGGACTAGCCTAGTTGTAATAGTTATAAGATTACATCTATTACAAGCACATACTACTGCCATATCTAATTATTAGTGAACTCTTCTAAGAACAACATCGAGTACACCGAATCAGTTGCGTAAGTGTCTGGTAATGATGTGCCCAAAAGGCTGCATGCGAGGTATCATAATAAAACTACAGATGAAAATATATATATTCACTCAGGCAGTTGCTTGCCATGTGTCATAAGTGTTCCATACGCCGGCCGACAGGCTGATCAAACCAGTCAGATTTGCCGGCACTCCGATGCCCTGCTCGAAGCTCCAGTGTGCGCAGAGCGGAGCCCAGGCCAGGCTGTTGACCAACTTCTTCCTCCAAGTGCGGACCACGAGTCGTCGTGCTTCTGCCTCTTCCTGGTCGGACGGAGACGCAGGCTTTTCACCAGCCAAGACCTGCTCGGCTCGAAGCTTCATTTTCTCGCGCTCTTGCTGTGCAAATAATACTGACTCCCGACGCAGCCGCACGAACTGGAGTAGGACGTAGCCGAACCAAGCTCGACAACTCCACAGGGACCAGTTCTTGGCTCCGCCGATTCGGCTAACGAGCTTCTGACCAGCTATGCCCTTTGATGCAAGATACACGACATTTTCGAGAGCTTGGTAAACCAGGATCAATAGCACCTCAAGGTAAGCGATTGCTCGCAGCGTGCGATCCTTGGGCGGTGATTTGTAGACAGAAGAGCCCCATGACCAGATTGAAATGAGCTGAAACAACCGGAGCGTATAACGGGTTTCTGACATGAGACTTGAAAATGCCAGTAGCGGCGGTCGAGCAGACGACGGAGGGGGCGGCGGTGCTGCCGGAGCTTTTCCACCGAGTTTTTGAAGGAGTAACGATCGTATGCGGGCTCGGAGAGCTGCCAACGGATATGATTCTAGGAGGTAATGGAGGACTTGAGAACTGTAGTTGAGGGTTGAGAGGACCACTTCTTGACCAGCCGATGTAGACAACAGCCTGCGACGAAAATTATATGTTAGTCGAGCTTTGAAGTAGGCTAAGTTGCCAATTATTTCGACGTGCCTCGGGCTTCCATGGTCAAATAAAAGATGCGAACTCACTTCTGAAGCCTCAGTATCGTCGCATCAGTCTTGGCCAACGCTTCAACAGCTGCATGAGAAGCTGCTTTCCCGTAAGGAATGAGCCTCCCCGCAGGACGCTCATCATGAGAAGCCTCGCGTTTCTCTGACTTAGAAGAATGTTCTGTAGCGTCGGCCATTGTTGCCAGCACTTACCTGTCGCCTGACAGTATCACGGAGAGGGATGTAGCCCCTAAATAATAAATATTATATTATCCGCCGTATCCTTGTTCCGAGCAGGGCGCAGCCGAGGCATGCCTCGGAACTGCGGAACACGGGTCCCGGGGTAGGCACGGGTGCCTAAGGCTGTCTTGGGCATTTACCGTCAACAATAGTTGGTGATCGTCACATGTCTACATACAAATTACTACGAATACTACTACTACAAGCAACTCTGAAAAGGATCAAATATGAAATTGAACGCTAACTTAAATCCCAGTTGCGTTGCGACAGCTTTGTTCTAGCTTGATAGTTCGGAATGATGCTTTGCGCTTTCTTGGATTCAACTCAATATCTTAGTCTCCTCCCCGAGCCACAGTTGAATGTTGTTAACAGGGGAAAAGGCTCTTGGCTCATGTTGATGCTTCACTCGCCTCTGGTTTCTCCTCGCGAGCATGTTCGTTTTCTTCTTCATGTGTCTCAGAAGATGAGGAATTGGCCTCCATGTTTTCTGCCATTTGGCTTTGTTCGGCGTGCTCCTGTGGAATCAGAGGTAAGGGGCTAAAAACTCTTCGTTCGAGACCGCCGACGGTGAAAGGAAACGTCGTTGAGGCGGTATCTTCTGGGATTGGTGATATGTGCACGCGTGGTTCTTGTGCGATACCTCTCCGTCTGGCTTGTCTTTCGGCTCTCACTTGACTATTCGATGGAAAGGATTGCTGCGGTATCGGCGCTCTGGTAGATGGGGTAGCAGTCGACAAAGAAGCAGCAGACGGGGTACGATTGCTTGATCCTCTGGCGGCGTTGTCGTTTCCTGACCGCTCACGCTGTCCTTGTTCAGTATAAGGAGGCAATGGGTTGTCACGCGGTGCGTCATCACGTGGTGGGCGTCTCCTGGATGGCCGAGCATACTCAATATGCATATATGTTGGGTTAGGGTCAAAATCGACTGCTTCCCACGTGTTCCGGAATTCGCCATCAGCACGGTTTGTTCTTAGACGCTCTGGGGACAGGCATCGTCTGCGACGAGTACCGCCTTGTTGTGGGCTAGTCCCAGAGCGACCAGTCATCGCTATGTTGTGATTTTGGAGATGAGCGAATAATGGCATTTTGTGTAAATTTGCAACCGACATACCTTTTAGATGGAGAAAACCGGCTTTCGATGTACTTGTTGCCTTGCTGGTGCTATGATTCCGAGTCAAAAAAGTATTGGAAAGGTTTGCTGCTGCTGCAATCTTGAGTCAACTTTCTGCCTCAAGGTGATGAAGAAGTGATGAGGAAGCGCAAGACATGGCAAGAACCCCGCCTGTTACAGCATAATTGTGAATGGCGTTTGGCGGCCTGGTTTGCACCTCATGTTTCTTGGAGTTTGCACAGGTTGTGTGGGTGATAACAATGTCTTTGCACGCTTGCCTGTGGTATGCCTTGATATGCTAGTCAGCATGAACTCTCCTCTTTTGTTTGATATCACTGATAGTTGACATCAAACTCTAGTATTTAGGACGTTAATAATTCATCTTATTTATAAATACAGTTTTCTGTCTTCTTTACTTGTGAAACTGACAAGGTTTGATCGTTGTGAAATTCAACGTTACTGACTAACTGATCTAACATATATGTATGCTCAAAAAATCAGATCTTATATAAAAATGTACTGATCAGCCAGAAACCTAAAATACTTCACAGCCAAGTACAGATTATCCACAGAACTACATATATTGACAGGTGAATGCTAATGTCTTATTATTATGCGGGTTAGGATTCATTCCTCAAGTATCAAATAATACCGATTTCTTGCATTTGCTTCATAATCGTAGTCGATGTGGTGGAAAGCTTCTCCTCGGCAGTTGACCCAAGTCCTTCTCTTGCAGAAAAATTAAGAGATCATGAGCCAATCGATAATAACAACCATTGCATTTAGAACCTAAGATATCAAATAATATTGGTATTAATAACAACAAGACGGGGCAATCTCCGGCGGCGGAATCGGCCGAGGCATCGTTCGCCATAACAATCAGCTAGTGCCAGCTCATCCACCGCAGCCCAGCCCAGACTCTTATTTCTTTGCTGGCTGCCGAGAATCCATCTTGTCCACCGATCTGTCTGTTCAAGTACAATCATTTGCCTGGTGAGTGCATTCCTTGTCATCATATCACATAAAAAGAGGATCGCGCTGCTCTGTTGCTGGCCGAGTACATAGCCGTGAGTTATCAGCGCCAAGCGGCAACGGCACTTGCCGGCCACGGCTCAATAAACAAACACTCCAACCAACCTCCTTTCCCTTCCCCCACAGTCACGCCCCAAGTGTATATGACTATATCTTCTTCTCTGATCGTGGCGGATATTTGACTAACCCCTGTTGATTGCAATCCGTGGGCATCAGGCTCTCTACTATCGCGCATACTCCGTGTCTTCCTTACCCCCTTCCGAAAACAACGCGATCAAGTGTACGGGCAGCGCTGACTTACGACCACCCGCCATGTCTGTCAAATTCCAGGAAGACGTGACCACTCGCACCAGGGTTGGCCGGCCAGAGAACTTGACCCATGAGTTGGCGCACAAGGTCGGCGAGCGCCTGACTGGCGGTGACACGCATACTGGCTATCTCGCGGTACGTTTAAGCAAGCATAGTGAATGAATAGGTGTTGGAAAAATGGACGGGCGCTGATCGCGATAATAGGCGTACTTGAAACAGCTGCAGTCAAATCCTCTCCGTACCAAGATGCTCACCTCTGGTGTTCTCTCTAGTCTGCAGGAGCTCCTCGCCTCGTGGCTCGCTCATGATGTCAGCAAACATGGCCATTACTTCAGCTCCCGCGTTCCGAAGATGGCCCTCTATGGAATGTTCATTAGCGCGCCATTGGGCCATGTGCTCGTCGGCATTCTGCAGAAAATCTTCGCGGGGCGGACGAGTCTCAAGGCCAAGATCCTGCAGATTCTCGTCAGCAACTTGGTGGTATGTAGCTTTGTCTTTTTACTGTGGGGATGTGTACTGAATTGGCGCCCCAGGTTTCTCCCATCCAAAACACTGTCTACCTCGTCTCGATGGCGATTATCGCCGGTGCTCGCACCCTCCACCAAGTGCGCGCCACTGTCCGCGCTGGTTTCTTGCCTGTCATGAAAGTCAGCTGGATCACATCGCCAATTGCATTGGCATTTGCCCAGAAATTCCTCCCTGAACACACGTGGGTCCCGTTCTTTAACATTGTGGGATTCTTCATTGGCACATACGTCAACACCCACACCAAGAAGAAGCGTCTCGAAGCTCTCCGACGACAATACGACCAGCGCCGAGGCGGTAACAGCGAGTACGGCCGTCGCGACTACCCTTAGAACAAATGTATGCATCATAAATAAACATCGTCGAGCTGTTCTCCATTTTTCAGTCAGCGATAGGGGTACCGTACATTGTGTTATTTCAGCTAAACTGATTGGAAATTAGAACATTAAGATGAGGTTGGTTATATGCACGAAATGGGGTCTGGAACGGAGGTCTGGTTCTTTGTATTTTTCGCTTCCTTTTTTTTATTTCAACATGTATTCCCTTTGTATGCTCATGAAACTTTTTTATCGCTTCGAAGGAAAATCAGTTATCACTGATCACAATTATTCCGGGATATACAAATATCTGATCCACTACGGGTTAGGATCTTGAATATAAAAACTTATTCTGGCTGTTGAAACAGAGCAATGTCTTTTAAGCTGGTGTAAGACGAAGAGCCTGGTACAATCGATAATATCCTTTCATGCTACGCTTTTTAAATGTAAGGATAATTTAATTTCTCCTTGATGCTAAATTCTATTCCACATCCATCTTCTCCGTTTTTGTCTTCCCACCACGCTTATCCTGCTGTACATACGTGACAAAATCGTCCAACGTCCCCGGCCACGCACCATCAGGACTCCACCATCCAAAATCCTCATCTTCCTGCGACTTGCGCAAAAACACCTCTGTTTGCTCCCACAAATCTTTGTTGACCACACGCGCCCCCTTGGCTTCGAGGAACTCAATATACCAGTCTAGCCACGGTGTAGTCGCGGTGTTCCACTCGATGCCACCATTGTCGCTCGTGAAGAATAGCTGCCACTGTTCCGAGGCGATTTCGAAGGTCAGATTGCGTTGGCCCTGCATGCGACACAACGGGAAGGCGTAGCGATATACTCGTCGGAAGGTGTCTGGGTGTGTAGGGATGCGTTTGCGGAGGGACGAGGCATGGGAGATCATTCGGGGTATTGAGTCAACTCTATATAAATTAGTTAGATGATAGAAATAAAACATAACCTAGAAGTGGCCACAATCATACCCAGCGCTTTTCCACCCCTCAACAAATCCCTCACGCGTAAATTCGCCCATGCTGGGTGATTTCAAGAGCTCGGCGATCCCCAAACACGCGACCTCGTCTAGGCGTACTTGGATTTCTTCTAGGAACTTCATGGCGCCTTCGATGCCGATGGTATCGGGGTTTTCAGCGGGGTCATCTATAGTTGTTTCGTCAGGTAAGGAAAGGAAAAGGGACGGGAAGTATAGAGTATGCACCTCTATAGCTGTCGAAAATTTTATTTAGTGCTGTGATGGTGGATGAAGACCCTGATTTGGCTGGATTTCCAAAGTATCTGTAGCGAGTACATGTTCAGCGTCTCATATTCACCCAAGTGGCCGACAGTACATACGCATCGATAGCCTGTTCAACATTCCATCCACTGGCGCGCAGGTGCTAAGTTAAAAAAAAAAGAATAGTCAGATGCAACCTTCTTAGACAGCATGTAATAAGTGGAAGGTCTATTATACCTTTGCCGCAACCGAGTCCTTTTCCTGCGTTAAACTCACAAACTGGCTTATGGATTGCTTCTGAGCACTGGTGTATGGCGGCATGCTTGCTGATTCGAAGGTGACCCGAATCGAAAAAGGAAAGAAAAGAACGAAAAAAGAATGGCAGGTCGCGTGTGACGTGTAAGTTGAGGTGATTGCGGAAAAAGGCGAGATATGACGCGCGCGGGGTACTTGATCTCACTAAAATACCAGATGCATCCCAACCAACAGAGCAGTAACAGGTTAGTAGCTGATTAAATACCCCGGACAAACGCCATTAAAGCCAAATTGCCTGGGGAAAACCGCCTCAGTGTGAAATAAACAAATACGGGTTCGGCCCTTGGATGGAAGAAAATGAAAGTCAAGTTCTGACGTAGCTGGTCTCGTCGAACATAGAAGTTGCGCTTATTAGATCGTGTTCGCATCAGCACCAATTAGTGATAAAATTTGAGATATTGATTTTTCGTCTACACAATCTCTCTATATTAAAGAAATCTATCCATCTTTGACCCCATAATACCACACAAAGATCAAGTCGGGGAGAGACTTCGCTAAATGCTCTGATACCACTAACACTAACACTACCGTAAGATATGCTAACCAAGGAAGCACCCAGATGGCAGTTCATCGAATATAGTTCTTATGTCCTTATTCCTCAATCCAGCGAGATCAGATAGGAATTAGAACGATGTATCGTATCAAGCGAAGCTCCGCGGATATCACAAAAGTGGGGCTGTACACAATCGCGGCTAGTGCGAAGACTTGGCATTGCCAGGAAGAAAAAAAAAAGCTAAGAAGGCCACAACTTCCTAACACGCATAACTGACCAAAAAAATCAAAGTCTGTACAATTACAGGCTTCGATTCAATTACCATGGCTTCCTTGCGAGCCTCGAAAAGAAGACGGCTGTCCCCCTCCGACGACGAATCGTCTCCTACCCCAAAATCCATTGGGCCATCGTCGTCTATTAAACAAAATTTCTACAGCCGTGCTGCAGAATGGGATCTGGAGCAAGATTACGAACGACGACCGCGGAAGGGAAAGAAGAAAGACCAAGAGAAAACTCGTCTGCCTATCAAGACATCGGAGGGTGTTGTCCACGTCAATGAAGCTGAAGACGCAGCAAACGATGCCAATAGTTTTCTCGACTCGGACTCGGAGAATGATAACGCTGAGGGGGGAGAAGAGGAAAAGGATGAAGAGGAAGAAAAGGAAGAACCTGCTGTTCCAAAGCTATCCTTGAAGGCGCAAATCATACAAGCGAAGGAGGAAATGGCACACATTGCAATGTTGATCAACGAAGACCCAGAGGAACACATCAAACTGTTCAAAAGACTTGCCGACTTTGTGGACAAAATTGAGACAGCAGTTTCAATTAAGAAACTAGCTCTGGCAACCCAAGCTGCCGTTTTCAAAGACGTTATCCCAGGTTACAGAATTCGCGCGATTGGCGAGGATGGCAACAAGGCCGAGAAGTTGTCCAAAGAAGTTCGCCAGCTGAGGGACTTCGAGCAGTCACTACTCTCGTCGTACGTGCACTATGTACAGCAATTGACCAATTTGTCCAAAAACAGCAAACACCAAAAGAACAAAGATGAGGCTGGTTTACGCACTGTCGCAATCGGCTGCGCATGCAATATGCTTCTCGCAGTGCCCCATTTCAACCTGCGTACCGAGTTGATTAAAATCCTAGTGAATCGTCTGTCCAAACGTCGGATCGATGCAGATTTCATCAAGTGCCGTGAGACAATGGAGGAGGTTTTCGGCAAAGACAACGACGGCGTGGTTTCGCTCGAGGCAGTGGGGTTGCTGTCGAAGATGATGAAAGCACGGGACTTCCAAGTCCACGAGTCTACTCTTAACACATTCCTTCATCTCCGTCTGTTATCTGAGTTCGCTTCGAAGGCATCACGAGATCGTGTCGACCGAGAAGAGCCCGAAACGTACAATGGCAAGAAACTGAAAAACAAAAAGGAATTCCGCACAAAGCGAGAACGCAAGCTTGAGAAAGACCGCAAAGCTGTCGCCAAGGATATGCGTGAAGCTGATGCGCTCGTCAGTAATGAAGCCCGCGATAGAAACCAGGCCGAGACCCTAAAACTAGTCTTTGGCATCTATTTTCGTATTCTCAAGCTGCGACACTCCAAACTCATGGGCGCCGTTCTTGAAGGTCTTGCCAAATACGCCCATCTGATCAACCAGGATTTTTTCGGCGATCTCCTCGAAGCTCTCAAAGAGCTGATTGCGCGACTTGAAATTCAGGACAATATCGACTCAGTCACCGAGAATGCAGAGGAGAACGAAGGAGAAGATGACAACTACGAAGAGCTGTCAGCGAGACAATCCACCCGAGAAGTCCTTCTCTGCACAATCACCGCTTTTGCGCTTCTTGAAGGCCAAGATGCCAGCAAAGCCGCTTCATCGCTGCATCTGGACCTGAGTTTCTTCGTCACACATCTTTATCGCACTCTCTACCCCCTTTCAACTAATCCAGATATCGAGTACAACCCAGAAAAATCCCTACGATTACCTGATCCCGGCAAGTACCGAAACGGCGAAAACGACGACAGGCGAAAGAATAAAATCAACTTCCAAACGCCCATGGTTCTCCTCCTACGCTGTCTTCAATCGACTTTACTGTCCCGCAGTCACGGTACCCCACCACCCGCGCGTCTCGCGAGCTTTATGAAGCGACTGATGACGGCGGTACTACAATTGCCCGAGAAATCGTCCATTGCGATGTTGGCTCTTCTCTCAAAAGTCGCCAAACAGCATGGGCGCAAGGTTGCGCCCCTCTGGAATACAGAAGAGCGACGAGGTGATGGAGTGTTTAACCCTTTCGCAAATAATGTTGAGCAAACTAATGTTTTCGCTGGTACGATTTGGGAAGGCGAATTGTTGCGATTACATTACTGTCCTGAAGTACGTGACGCAGCTTCGGATATTGATAAGTTAATTGCTACTACCGTTAGATAGCGAGGAGAGAATAAGTCAAAATTAAATCTCATAAATATCACTCATTACTCATCGCACATTTAGTCTCTCCAAGTGTAGACCTGGAAAGGTATCGTTCATCACAAGTATAACGGACATCAAATCAACAGAAGAGAATCGTAACAACAAAAACAATAAAAACACAAATACAGGAGATTTTCCATTCTCAAGCAAAAATAATCAAACACTGCGAGGGTATATCCATCACAACTGAACGCTGCTAGGAAAACAACAACCAACAAAGGCATTGCCCTCCTTCGGCGTGCCAAAGCATACTTTTTAATTCAAAACAGCGGAAAACCAAGTTTCTACTGCGAGGACTTTGTCCGACGGAGACCAAAGAAGCTACCAAAGACCGTGTTCCAAATTGTGCGGAAGAAAATCTTCAACCAGCTCTCAGATCTGACAGAAAGGGCTGCTGAACGGCCACCGGTAGATCGTGCATCATCATCCTTCGGGGCCTTTGATGTAGTAGGCTCGGTCTGGGAGCTATTTTCAGCGTTATCTGCTGTCGACGGACCCGGTTCACCAACAGAATGATCTTCTTCGCAATAGGACTTGATTCTCTCTCCACCGGGCACATTGCTATTATCCCCGCCAAGCAAATTCAAGGCAGATATTGAACCACCTAGATTCTTGAGAAGTGCTTCACGATCTCTGGCAAGTAGCTGTAAAGCTGGATCAGCTTCGGGCTCAGGCGTGGGCGGTTCCTTAGGGTCGACTGCTTTCGTCAATTCGAGACTCTCTACTGGAGCATCGATGGCAGGAACAGCCTGAGTCTCAGTCTTCTCTTCTTGGATTCTATTTTCTTTGGGTTGTGATTCGCTAGAGGAGGTTGCAATAGCATTTTCGGAGACGACTGCTACAGCTGCGACGGCACCAGTGCCACCAACAGCCTCAATAGCGTGAAGAGCGTCCGAGCCAAAATCTTTGGAATAAGTCTCTGTCCTTGGGGCATTCTCTTTGGGAGCGGGCACTGGATCTTTCGGCTTGTCATCCACAACTGGTTCTGCAGTCTGTGCAGCAATTGGGATTTCCTTGGCGTCGTTAACAGCAGAGTCTTCATGTACAGCTTGAAGAGCAACGTCTTCCTTTGTTACATTCGACTCTTCAGCAGGGATCGTCTTTGATTTAGTTTCGACCTCAAGCTCCACTTGTTCTGGCTTCGCAGAGGACTCCTCGGTTTGTTGAACTGCAACCGCCTCTTTCACAGGCTCGTCATTAACCTTGATTTCCTTTACCGGTTCTTCAGTATCCGTCTCAGGTGCAACTACAGCAGCCACGATAGCACCAGCACCAGTTACAGCACCAGCGGCAATAGCAGCCTTCTCAGCGACGGTCGTCTCTTCAGAGGACTGTGCCTCAGTCTCGGTTGCAACAGGTGCTTGGATGAGTTTCTCCACCTGTTCGCTAGGTTTAATAGAATCATCAACAGTGTCTTCAGAAGTTTCCTTGGTGGGCTCTGCGGGCGCTTTGACATGCGCTTTGTCGACTTGATGAGCGGTATCTTCGACGGGTTCCGGCACAAGAGCTTTAGCCGCTGGAGTTGGTTCATCAGCGATTTCTTTCGCAGGCTCTGGGACAGGTTGTTCGACGGGTGCTTTAACTTCCTCCACAGGCTCCGCGACGATCTCTTCAGCAGCAACAGGCTGCTCAGTGGGTACTTCTTCAACAAAGTGTTCTGCAACTTTCTCCGTAGACTCAGTAGGTACGTCTGCAGTTTTGGGAGTGGCTTCAGCGATAGTTTCTATAGAAACCTTCTTTGTTGGCTCCTCAACAGGCTGCTCAGTAGGCGTTTCTTCAATAGGGTGCTCTGCAGCTTCAGAAGTAGCTTTAGCGAAAGTTTCTGTGGAAACTTCCTTCGTTGGTTCCTCGGCAGGTTCGGCGACTGGCTGCTCAGCAGTCCCAGGAGACTCCTCTTGAGCGGGCTCAGAAGCAGGCTCTGTTGCAGCCTTCACAGATTTCTCTTCCACAGTATCGACAGGAGCCTGTTCTTTAGAGGTTTTTGCTACATCTGCTAGCTCTTCTTTGGAAGAAACTGCTCCGGCTTCCGCAGGCTCGGAGGAAGGCTCTTCTACAGATTCTGCCACCTTGGCTGTCTCAGTAGGAGGCTCCTCCACTTGCTCGGCTTCTTCTGCCACGGGCACTTCTGATGGTTTGAGAGTTTCAGAAGCACCCGCGGGCTCAGAGGCTGCCACTTTGGAGGGAACTGCTTCGGCTTCCGCAGGCTCGAAGGAAAGCTCTTCTACAGATTCTGCCACCTTGGCTGTCTCAGTAGGAGGCTTCTCCGCTTGCTCGGCTTCTTCTGCTGCAGGCTTTTCTGATGTTTTGGCAGTTTCAGGAGCATCTGCGGGCTCAGGGGCAGCCTCTTCGGCAGAAGGCTTTTCGACAACGGGCTCATTGACTGCTTCTGTGGGAACTTCTGGCTCAGCTGCGACCGGCTCTACGGCTTTATCTGCTGGTTCTTCGGTCTCGACAAGCGCTTCAGTAGTATCTTTAGGATGCTCTTCCACGGCTTCGGTTGCATCAGGCACAACTGCTGCTCCAGTGTTGGAGTAAGCTGGATCTTCAGCTATTTCGGCGGGTTTCTCCTCAGCCCCAGTAGCAGGTTTTTCCTCGCCATTTTTTTGTATTTCTTCGGCAGGCTTAACTTCTTTCTGAGTAGTTTCAGCAGGTCCCGCAACGTGCTCTTCAGTGGCAGTAACAGGCCCGCTGCTAGTCTGCTCAGATGGCTCTTCCACAATTTGTAGAGCAGCACTTTCTTCAGTCGTCTGTGGTGTGCTCGCAACTGGCACTTCCACAGCTTCGGTTGGTTCAGCAACCTGGTCTTTGGTAGAGACTTCTGACTTCTTAGCAGGCTCAGCAGCAGGCCCGGTCGTAGGCTCCACGGTTTGGTTGAAAACCTCGACTTGCTCTGGAGAAGCGGCTGGCTCTTCAGCAGCCTTTGTTGAGTCAACTGTTCCTTCAGCGGTAGCGGCGTCTGTAGCAGGCTCCAAAGATTCAGTTGCCTTGGACTCGGTGAGCTCTACTGCACCGGGGACTTCAGTCGTGTCGATTATTTGGTCATTTGGAGCTTCCGATGATTCTGCGGCTGGCTCCACGGGCTTAACTTCGGTGGAAGGCTCGTTGACAGGCGCAGTAGATTCAGCAACCGTCTCAGACTTAGCTTCGGTGTCCTGAGGAACTTCTTCTTTAGTTTTCGATGTGCCAACGATGGGCTCTTCAGCAACTTCAACAGGTGCGGCGGCAGCCTCAGTAGCGGGTTCCTCTGCGGTTTCAGCAGGTTTCACGGCAGCATTATACGCAGGCTCAGTGACCGCCTTAGCTACTGGTTCAGCAGCTGGTTCATCTGAGGTTTCGACTGGAGCTTCTTCTTTGAGTGGCTCAGGTGCTGGGTGGTCCGGGGCTGCTTCGACATTCGCGACAGGCTCTTCTAGGGTCACTTCGGTTTCGGTAATAGGCTCTTTTGTGACGTTAGAAGCTTCTGCAGCAGCATCAGCATGCGTTTCTTCCACCTTCTCTTCAACCTCTATAGGCTCCTCTGTGGCAACAAGCTCCTCGGTTTCCTTAGCTGCAGGCTCATTGGAGACAGGTTCAACAGCTTCAGCTTCCTTCACAGGCTGTTCTTCAGCCTTTGGCGGCTCAGTGGAGTCTTTGGCTTCCTCTTCGGCAACAGGATCCTCAGGGGCCACTTCTACGGATGCAGCTCCGGCTTTCTTAATAGAGACATCGGCTGGTTCTGCGGCCTTTTCCTCAATCGTTGGCTCGTCCTTGATCTTATCCTCGGGCTCGGCAGGTGTGTCGGCGGTAATCTCAGCTACTTGCGTGGGATGTTGCTCAGCAACTTCAGCTACCTGAGTTTCGGGTTTCGGAGCCGAGGGCTCAGCAGTAGCAGCTTTCACCTCCGGCTCAACTGCTTGAGGCTCAGCCGCATTCTCAGATGCCTGAGGGTCTGTTGCCTCGGGGGCCTGCCCCGCTTCAGTCGCAGTCTCCTCAGGAGCGGTCGTCTCGAGGGCAGTCGTTTCTGGCGCCGTATCAATTTTTATCGCTGCAGAATCGGAAGCGGTAGTAGGAGCAGATTCTTCGGGGGCCTGTTCAGCGGCAGCAGCTTCCACCTCCGGCTCAACTGCCTTGGACTCAACTGCATTCACAGATACCTGGGGCACTGTGGACTCTGGGACCTGCCCGGCTTCAGTCGCAGTCTCCTCGGAGGCAGTGGTCTCTGGCGTCGTATCAGTCTCCTTCACTGTAGGTTCGGGAACGGTAGTAAAGGCGGGCTCTTCAGGTGCCTGTTTAGTAGCCGCAGCTTCTGCAGCCGGTGCCTCGCTAACCTTTGCCTCTTCTGATGCCGGTTTCTCTTCTTCGGCTGCATCAACGGGCTTAGACTCGGGTTGCTTTTTCTCTTCCACAGCAAGCTGCTCAGTCTCCGTAGACTCTGGAACAGCTTCCTCCTTGGCTGGGGTTTCAGTAGACTCAGCATCCTTATCCTGAGGTTGCTCAGCCGCAGGCTCTTCAGTAGCAGTTTCGACCGGCTTCTCCTCTACCTTGGTATCATCAGTAGACTCAGCTGCTGCAGCTACAGGCTCTGGGGCTTTGTCTGTTTCGGGCTCGCCGGCATCCTCGTCGTCGGCCTTGGCATCGTCGGCGGTTTCCTGAGACTCGCCAGGAGTTTCAGCGTTGGCAGTACCACCAGCAGCGCCCTTCTTCTTGTTTTTCTTCTTGTTCTTCTTCTTCTTCTTGGAGGCGGCGGTGTCCTCTACCTCGGCAGGAGTGGCAGCAACGCTAAGTCCATTTTTGGCGTCGTCCCGAACTGCGACAGTTAGCACCTGTGAGCAAAAAGCGAAGAATTGAGAATTGAAGCTGCATCCGCACTTACCAGTTTCTGAAGGAGCAGCTACAGCGGTATCGGCAGCCATAGCCTCGTTTCGTCACGGTCGTTAAAAAATAAAGAAAAAAGAAAAAGACGATCCAGGTTGCAAGGGGGTATCGAGCGTTGTCAGAATCAACTTGTGAACAAGACAGGCAGGAGCGGAACAGAGTACAAGTACAGAGGCGCTCCTTTAGGAAAGAGCTCGCGGGCCGACAAGCAGACACAGACGCAACGCAAACACTGAAAATGAAAACAGTACACGCGGGGGTATCACTATGTCAATATATGATGGTCACCACACTGGTAGGGCAGAGATATTATTATTAACAGCAGTGATGAGGTACAGGAGGGGAGGAGGAGGAAGGAGAAAAATTTCCTCAGGCAGACAAAAGTAGCTACCTACCACGACGGCCATGTTGTTGAGCCCTGACCAATTGGCCCATAGCCACGGCTTGGGCCGGCACAACCGCCATGATAGCAGGCGTGGAGCTCCATTTGGGTGCTGCACTGCTCCTTTTGTCGGGTTGCCCTCTTTGCCGCCAATAAACACGGAGATCATACGGTCATCGGACATGCATGAGTACGGTGCATGTCGCTAAGTCGGACTAGGGCAGTTCTTAGCAGACAGTTAACTCGACTAGGCCAGCGGGGCAGGCGTTGTCACAGTGACAGGCTGCCTAGCGTTGCGAGCTTGGGCACTGCAGTGGTCGAGCTGTTTAGTCCAGAGTAGTACGAGCACTAACGGCGAAAGAGTAAATAATAAAATTCAATATTGGGAACAGCTTAACAACGCACAGCGTAGCCGCTTCGGGCTTAGTGAGTATGCTAATTATGTGGATAAAATAGCGGTCAGGTCCAACTTACACACCTACAGTTTACATACATGTATTATTATTAGTATTAATATTGAACATTCATTATTATTGTAGAATTCTAATATACAGTATGAATTATCTCAAACCAAAATACACGGCAGTCATGGGTCCTACTTGCTAGTCAACAGCCTGAGGATCATATTCAGTTTGGCCTCCTGCCGCCTGACAGTCGCTTGGAGCAGTGTCACAGTGCGCTCCAGATACTGGATCTGCAAGGCGTCCTCGACCTGGTCATCAAATGACTCACCAATCTGTTCCAACATGTCCATTATTGCCTTGTTTCCTGCCTCCCGCCGTTTTTGGCGCCGTTGAGTCGACAAATCTTGTGTGACTTCCGACGATTCGGTGTTGCTTCGAGGCTTTGATATCCGCATCCGTTTAGCATTTGTGTATTGTTGCATATTGCCTGGAGTGTCGCCTTGAGTATTGATTTGAATGTTGCTTTGAGTGTTTTCCTGAGTGTTCTCCTGAGTGTTCTCCTCAGCGTTCTCCCCCGGTGTGCTACTTGTGAGCATTCGAGAGATGTTCTGTTTATAGGCTTTGGCACCTGCCTTAAACTCCATAAGCTCCTCAACCGACTTGTCCAAGTTACTCTGGTAATATTCCTCTTGGCCTGCTTGATGCTTATCCAGAAATTCGCGGCACTCCCTGATTAATCTTTCTGCGGCGCGCATACACGGCTCTCTCGCGTACTCTCGAGTTGCAATCTTCTCGAATTGGATCTGCACATTTCTCAAAGACTGTGTTTTGCTCTAGTATTTAGATGTAGCGTACTCATTGCATATCCTCATCAGGACAACCATCTCATTTGTGCTCAGCTTCTGATCTCTTAGGCTTCAAAAAACTTGAGGTCTATCCCGCCCAGTTGGCTGGGGCTGTGGTGGAGGAGTCGCATCCTGTTGAGGCGTAAGATTTTGTCGTGGTGTAGGATATTGTTCTGGTGGAGATACCTGCTGGACGGAAGATGGGGGAGGTACCTATCGAAAGCTAAGGCACTATAGACGGTGGATTTATATTTGGATTTGGTGGAGCAGGATTGATGTTCCGTCTCCGCAATTCCTGCCAATTTGCATGGAATATTATATTGTCCATGCCAATCTATAGCTAAAGTTGGGCATGGCCACCGAAAATATATCAGTTGCACCTCAACCTGAGTAGATTCTTGGAGATTTGATTCGGCTAGCTTGTACACGTTACTCTATTAGGGCACGCTAATATATATGGAGTTGAGGCCCTGTTCACAACTCAACATATAGTTGCGGTACATGTTCTCCGTACTCCGTAGTAAACCCACATAATAACGTGATAGACAATTAAGTAACATGATCTATGAGTCTGTGTTCAAACGAGTCTTTATTAAAAAGTTGAAACTAGGTCTTTGGTCACATACCGTTATCAACGTCCGTGTATCAATTTATTCTCTAACCGCTGAATGAATCAATCATTCAAGGCATTGACCATTAATTTTTTCCCACACTGTAAATTCGAATAGTATAATTGATACATGTAAGTCAGCTAGTCGAGCATGTCCGATTCTCTGCGCATAAATTGATGCATCGAATATTGCTTGCACTAGCGCGCGCCGTTCGCAGATGATTTACCCCTCCACCAGCTTTTTTCTTTCTTTTCTTTTTTCAAAATCTAGATGCTCGGCGAGAGCAATAACAGTGGCAAATAACTTTACTACGCATAAGCCCGACAAATCTCAATTGATACAGCTCAATATGCCAACGCCGTACCTGAGAGAATATTGAAAACTACACTAGTACATAATATTGGGGGTGGGTCGAAGTTACACAGATCCTCGTACCCCTCCTTGCATTATTATTGTCGCTTTTATTGATGACCGTAGAAGCAAGTTATTTATTATTATTCTCGTCTCGGCTTTGTTGTCAACTGCTTTCGGTCGCTGCTCTAGTGACTCTATGTGGATTCTCAATTATAAATAGAGTCGAGTGTCTCGTGACGTATGTTTTGTATGTTTTTATATGACGCCTTCGCAAATGTAACTACAGCCCCGCTAGTTGGAGACTGCAAGTGTTAGTCCATGTGCTTGGAATTCGATGCCGCTAGGACGCACAATTTTGATAGACGATGACGATGACGATAGCAATGGTATTGGTGGACAACAAAAGCAATGACAAGTCACCGCCACACGAGTTGGCCAGCGCAGAATCGGAAGCTCCGGTGGATGGCGACACAATGAGAACGCCAATCGATTTCGTCCACGTCGGAGACTGCCTGGCTGGCTTCATTTCGTGCCTTGGGCAGCCAAGTCCTGCTACATGTCGTCGGTCACCAAGGTTATACTCTCGATCACATGATTACCAGCACAGATCCAGCAACAAATTGCATGACTGGCAGTCTGGGTTAAGAATCAATACGCGAGGAAAGATAAATAAACGACAATGCAGTCAAACAAGAAGCTTGGCCGAGATAAGCCAAACCAGATTCCAGTATAATGTGAAACTTCAAGCTAATGACAGAAAAGATCCATGCGTGAATAAAAGACGAATGGATGGAAACCAAATGGTATTCGCATGTGTGACAAAATCCTTAACAAGTGTTACCTGCAACGCCGACCACATCTGACACCGGGTCGAAGCAATAAAGAAAGAAATAAAAGGAGTCAGGAATAGAAAGAATTATCTCCAGCTTTTCCAAAAATTGAACATAAGAGACGAAAAATAATGTATAGCGAAATTCGGAAAAAACATCCAAGTTGAACGCTGTATCAAATGTCGTTACTGTCGTTGCAATGGCCATGGTGAGTGCAATTAATCAAAATATTTCCAGGTCTTCAAACTCCACCACCAATTTATCGCCGCCACCCGAGTCATCGTTCCGCATGCCATTCATCGCTTCCCACACTGTTCCTCCTCTCGGTATACTGGTAGGGCGGCTTGCGTAAACTCCGACATGTACGCACTTGTCTTCAACGCCGTAGAAAAACCATGTGACTTCTCGGAGTTTCTTCCATGTGCTGCCAACCGCGCCTGGTGTTGTCGCATACGGGGAAAGCGACGGAATCTGATACCAAATCCAAAGAGAGTGACCGACTCTTTCGAGTTTGATGCGGAGCGACGTGATGTTGGTCGGTATATTAGGCATTGCCAGAGGCGACAAACACCAGTCTGCCCCATCCGATGTTGCGCTGACGGACGAAGCATTAACCGTACCGGAAGAGAACTCCATTCCAGCTTTCACCCATTTGCAAGAGCGAGAGAACGTTGCATTGCGAATCCCACGGCCATACGGTATTGTTTCTGCGATTGAAGCCTGACCGGGAGCGCTTCCAGCAAAAATGACCAGTCCTCCTTGATCCCATTCCATTTCCCAATCGGCACTGATCGTCACCTCCGCAACCACAAATGGCCGCCGTAACGAAGTGAAAATCATGGGCGCTGTCGAAGTGTCTCCATTCGGTGGTTTCCGCCAGAGATTTGTGTTGGGACCGGCAGAAAGAGTGAAATAATCCATACACATCGGCAACGAGAAACTGGGTGGCAAGTTCAGTGCCGTGAAGGAAGAGCGATCCGGAGGCATTGTATTGGCAGACTGCTAAACGGAGTTAATTGTGTCGCCGGATCGACTACGACGGTTGACCTGATCAGCTAGTTCTGCGCAGTCTGCTGGTTTGAACACCTTTTGGGAAGTAGAACGGTCAATGTTTAATGATCGCGGTTGGCAATATTAATTCGGCATGCGGCATGCGCGGTTCGCTATTGCATTCGTTGCAATGAGAGCTAGAGCGGTCGACAAGGAAGCCAGGTTCAGGAGACGCCGTGTGCACCCGGTGGGAGGAGCTCACAGGCCACAGAAACTAAAATACCCCGTTTGTGAAAGATCAGTTGGTGGCGGCAAAGATAGTCGGATTTGTCAAATCATCCGCTCAATCGGTCACTATGAAGCATGAAACCCTGGTGGTTATCACACGCAGGCGCCCAATCCGGATTGGAGAGTCCACAGGCTATGAAAAGTGAGGCTGCTGACACCACTAAAAACCGGGGAGGGCGCAGTTGCTTTTTCCTTTTCCTTTTTTCTTTTTCTTCGCTGCAAGGAATCTACGGAACATCAACCACACGTTTTGTTAGAAAGATGTGACTAGTAACTCGCGAGTAAGAAGGAATTGAAGCAGATGAGAGGCGAAAGCAGAGGCAAGCAGGGCATTATCAGAGCTGCGGCACTGAGGTTTGCAGCAGCTTCACCTCGGCGGGTCAGAGATTATGATCGAAAACGGAATAGCAAATAGGACTGGACTGGGCGTAAAACCCGATACGGCAGGCGCAATCCAACAAAGACGGGGCAAACCGAATGGGAAAGATTCGCCCATATCACGACAACTTCTGTTCAGTTGATCACAGCGCAATTGACGCGGATTCCACACAGATGGGCGGTCAGGAAGCTGGCAGGATGGTGAAAGGGAAAATAAAAGGAAAAGAGCAGGAGATCGATGAGTAAGATGCGGCGTAAGATCAACTAACTAGCCATTTCACGCGGAGAATCACGTACGTAGCTTGCTCTTTCCTCACCCCTCTTCTTCCTGAACAGAAACGAAATTCGGGATCGGAAATGTCCTCAGACGGGACGGTAAGAGCGAGTAACCGGTTACCAGATGCTAATGATCACGACGGCGCGTGGAGGTTGTGTTTAGTCTGACAGTCTTCTTGCGGAGATGCTGGGCTGTGGTCTAAGCCGCAAACGGAAACGGGAGGCGAGTGAGGACTGCTGTAGACGGTAGGAGCAGGAGGAAGAAGAAAATAGATAAAATATACAACACCAATAGAGCAAATATATAGATCGAAGAGGAGATCAACGAGAGACCGACGTAGAATAACAACAACAATAGCAATGGTGCGGGTTGAAGGTGAGGCCGGAAGTGCTTACGGGGGCCCGTCTGGCTGGGTGGCGCAACCACGGCAGGAGCCGACCTGTGCTGTGGATGGTGCAGAGTGCAGGAGCGAGCGATCCCGAGGGAGAGGATCGTAGCTGCTAGTATTAATTAACCTACTGCATCTACTCTCCTGCAACTCTCCTGCACCTATCCGACAACTGTTCTGATTCTCTCCACGGCGTGTCTTGCGCTTCGCAGCTGAACTGCCATCTAGTTGCCTCGCTGTGGTTCGTCCGTCGCCACCACCCCGTCGTTAGTGCCCCTTCCGCCAGGAACATGCCCTCGCCTTTGCCCACTGGCCCTATCATCCTGCATCCTGTCCCCTGCTAGGCCCCCGCCAGCACAGCCGCGACGGCAGCTAAAACTAAGTGCCACTGTCGAAGGGGAAAAGAGACATCTCAATCGTCGTGCGAGAATCCATCGCAGCAAACTGGACGGAGCCGGGACGACCTGCCATGATCCATCATCATTTGGCATCCATGCCTGGTTGGCGGCCATGTTTGCTTGCCGTAGCCTCTGATACCAAGCCCAGTCCGGTTCGCGATTCTATTTGATCTTTTCGGAGCCACCGGCTGTCCAGACTGATCCTCCCGCAAGCAATCGCATTATGCGGTGTTGGGTTCTGACCCCGTCGGACATTCCGATTAGTAGGTCTGTCTCGTGGCACACGTCCGTGCTCTGTTTTCCTCTTCATAGTCGTCCACTGGGTATAGCTACACGACTTACGCGATGCGACGGCAAGGTCAAACTTCCATGCTGTCCTGGGTGGCGCGTGCACCTTCTCCTGCTGACGACATATCTCTTGCTAAGATCTCTCGTGCGTCGCCCTGCATGTGGAGTGAAATCCACATCGCGCGATTCATGCAGTCAATATGCATCGACTGATTCACTCGAGCAAAATTTGCCTCTAGCTGAGCTTTGTCTCCAAACGACCACCGGCAAAGCCTATTGGTGCGTGGTTAGTCATGAGGCAAGTTGTATAGAGATTAGACTCTATCCAGATCATCTTCCCCACTCTAGTGGCTATGATTGCGTTTCTTGCATCGCTCTGAGCCCTATCGTTTTGCTGGTATTAATAGCTTATATCAGACAAACTAAGCGTCACTTTCATCGACTAGGTTGGCGAAGCTACCAGTCAGCAGACCAATGAAACAGCCCAACACCAGGGAAGGCAAGGTGGAGTTGGTTTAGGGCTTTAAGCGCGAGTGGTGGAACCGCTGCCCATATCCAATAACCCCATGCAGACTGCAGCTTGACGGCGTCCAGTCGTCATGGCTACAAGTTTATTCTTTAACAGGAGCTAAAACCTCACAGTGGGTCAAATTAGGCTGCACATAAACTCGGTTTTCCGCCACTCTTACTTGTCTCGGTAATTGGCAGCGGGTCTACTAATAGGATCTCAGACATACAGCAGCCTCGCCACTAGTGTATAGATTATCCACCCACTGTGCTAAATGATGATATGGACTCTGCATCTTTCTTTCTTACACACTTCTTTTGGGGGCATCCTTGTTACATACGCATACATTTGTCTACTGAGATATCATCTAACTAGGAGTGACCCTGAACCGCTTTGGGTTGATAAGGCTCCTCGAGATATTTGATTTCTTCCTCAGTCAGAGTCTTATCCTTGACTGCGACAGCCTCATCCAATCTTTCGAGATTGCTGAACCCGACAATGGGGATGGTCCCTTTCTGGACTACCCAAGCCAGAGCCACCTGACCCATCTTCCAGCCCTTCTTATTGGCGAGTTCCTCGACACGGTTCACAATCTCCTTGTCTGTATCATTCAAAACCTTGCCCTGTTCATTGGCGCGTGTGGTCTTGCCTTGCTCGGACCATGGCCGGGCCAGAACACCACTGTACAGAGGACCCCAGGGTACGAGACCAACACCAGTTTCATGGCAAAGTTTGATCATCTCTCGCTCTTCCTCACGGTACAGGAGCGAGTAATGGTTTTGCATGCTAATGAACTTAGTCCAGCCATTCTTCTCGGCGGTATACTGCAATTTCGCAAATTGGTCTGCGCAAGTATTATGAGTGTCTGACAGCACATATGTAGGATGGACAATCACTTACAAGCCCACATGGAGCTAGCACCAATGTAGCGCACCTTTCCTGTCTCGACTAGGTCATGGAGAGCTTTCATTGTCTCTTCTGGTGGAACGCTCGGGTCATATCGCTGTCATAACGTTAGCATGTGATCGGCTTAGTCTGCCTTGAAAAGACATGGAAAAGGAACGAAAGTGATATGCACGAACATGAATTTGTAAGAGATCAATATAATCAGTCTGCAAGCGTTTCAGCGAGGCAGTGACTGCGTTGAAGATGGCTGCGCGCGACAATCCATACTGATTGACGTAGTCCTTATGCCTGGGAAAAAGCTCTGGATACTTCAAGTAGTTAACAGCAGGCTGTTCTCCGGATGGGAAATAGCATTTGGTCATGATAATGATTTTATGTCGAGGGATCTCGTATTTTTTGATCGCCCGACCAATCATCTCTTCACTAACGCCACCAGAATAGACGTTCGCCGTGTCCCATGTGTTTAAACCACGGTCATACGCTCCTTTGAGAAGTTTACCGACCTCTTCCTCGTCGTCTTCGACCCATTCCCGCCAATCTTTGTGCCCGAAAGACATGCCGCCCAAGATGGGGAGCGAAACGCGCAGACCGGATGAGCCTAGTTTTGCATATTTGACTTGGGTGGCTTCAAAACCCTGTTTGAAGAGGATGGGAAGTTCTGCAGTGGCCATATTGACTTTTTTTGTTTCTGATGTCAAGATATCTATGCAATTTAGCAGGTTGAAACAAGAGGAAGTGGCTCTACAGTTTGAACGTCATTGTCGAGTCGAGGGGACTCGACTGTTAAATAGTCGGCACTTCTCACAGACCCCAAGCGACGCATCGTCAACAAATATTCTCAATGACATTACTAATCAGGACCAGTGGTTTTAGACTCATTGAAATAATTTCATCATGCAAGTTGCTTACTTGTTTCCGCCAATGACTGACCTTCTAGCATGATTTATTGGGTCTCTCCGCTTTTTATCTCCATCGAACATCGCACTTTAAGGTGATAAGCTTTAACGCCGAGGCTTATGCTGCTTTCTTTGCTTATTTGTTTGGCATTGAAATCTTTGGGACACATTATTTTATTGATCAGTTTTCAAATCAACTTATTCGGACACCACAGTTTCACCATCAATTAAACGCTGATGCTGAAGTGCAGAAACCCACCGAGTATTGATGTCGCCATATTAACAATGCGGGGCACAAGAATGCCATTATAGTAATTATAATGTCATTGTCATTGCTGACCAAATAGAAAGCATATTATAGCAAAATATTCTCTACCAAGTGACTGACAAATTTAGAGTCCATAAGTCGACTAACCTCTATTACATATTCATAACTACTCGCCCCCGACAGAGCATTGTTCCGCCACGAGACCTAAAAGGGGGGATCATCTATTAAATGATTCGGTCCGAAACTAACGGATATAATCCCGAGTTATGACGGGTGAAGTGTGCTAACCTTTTGCTATGCAGCTTACCCTTGCTTGCACCAGCTATCCTCTTAGTGACAAGGCTCAATATTGCTCGATTGATGTAGCCCGTTTAACAGCAAACTTGGATTCGTTGGAACATGCTCCTATTTCCATGATGAATAAAATGAACTCGTTTGTACGGAAAAATAGATTACATATTGCAGACCTATAACAAATACTACATAGTGAACTTTATAGTTGACCTAGAAGCAGTTATATGTTTATATGTTCAATCATGCCGACACATAGTCGATAACGCAAGATGGATGGTCTATTCGTGCAGTATACATATGTTAAGGGAAATAATGTGATCAACGCGGCTAGATTGGACAAGGTCTACCCATTGGTTCAGGCCGCTAACTTGCAAGACTTTGATTGAATCTCGCTTCTAAGTGCTTCACGATTCATAGAGGGACTGGCTTCGGTGGGGATGACATCTGTTATAGTTTGCCCGGGTATTATCTCAGAGGAACATTCATGTCCAAATAGACCGTATGTGTACACGCCAGGTATTTGGAAGTAAGTCAAAATAGGAGGTTAAGACGACTGCAAAAGCGCGTGGGGGGCAGACGGCGGGACTGTCTGAGCCTGTTATTGTCAGTCAGAGGTTTTATATATTAATATAGTCCTCGATCTATAACCCCAATGTGCCATTCACAGTAATAGAAGCCAAAGGCCGTGGATACCTCATGTCCACTTGTGTCGACAGATCCCAGGAGATAACAAGGAGGGTCAAAATAGGAGTTCAGAAAATGGCCAGCGAAAGTGTCCTTGGGCTCCTGCCCTTGAAGTCAAAGTCTCATAACAAGATTTTGGAAGTGCAAATAACTCTGTAATTGGTCCTCGATTAAACGAACCGATCGATGTGGTCAAAGTTGTTGTTGATACAGCCATTGGTAGTAAAAGGGGGAATATACTAGAAAGCTAGATTCTAGGTATTGGTGGTTGGCCCCTCAGGAGTCAGAAGTAAGAGTAAGCTTCTTTCGGCCAAAGCAAAGAACCAGCTCTTTCACTGCTTATGTGTAGTCTTGTCAATGATGTAATACTAGGACCGAGCAAAGGATCATTGATTTATACTGTTATTGATGTTGGAAGTACGACGGTCTTTAACTATATTTAAATTATTGAATACACCTAGTTTACATGCAATGACTAAATATAAAACACATTCTAATGAAGGTATAACGTCACCGCTCCGCAAGCATGTTCTTCACGTTACTGTAATACTGTGGCAGCACAAACTTCGCAATCTCCTCCCTGGTAAGCCATTTAAAGTCTTTGATATCTAGGGAGTTGCTGCTCAAATCCGCCTGGCCGGCCATGATGCGGCTCTTCATGAAGAATGTCTTTTCGCCAGCGACGACTTCTTTGGTGCTTTCGTCAGGTTTTGGCGCTCGAAATGTGTACGCGTGGTGACCAATGGGGTGGAACCCGACAAACCAGGTGTTCATATTGATGCCTGCGGTTTCGGCGAGGGTGCGCTCGGCAGCCTATCCAATTTAGAATCAGTATAGTTTCTTTTCTCCGTTGATTATCCACTCCAAGGTACTAAAGAGCATACCGTGCGCAAGGTTTCCTCAAGCCCAATTGGTGAGCTAGGAAACTTCCAGTATCCGTCTTTTGTTTGAACGAGAAGGTACAATGTTCTCTGAAGAAGGCGGTTGAGATTTTTCTGATCATTTGCTTTGTCTGCTTCCGTAACCCGCGGCGCAGGTCGTTGAATGTCGACCTTTTTGGTTGTGGTACCCTCTGACGAGGCTGTCGTAATTACCTCCGCGTCGCGCAACAGCATCTCAATCTGATGCTCTGGCTCCGACTCCATAGCACCAACGAGTAACTCGTCGTTCCAGGCATCTTTCGAATAAGCATTGTACTTGCCAATGTCACGCGATGGCGTCTGTCGTTCCTTGTACTTTCTCTTCCAATCCTCGTCCGCTGGTGTTCCACGCTTGAAGTAGAAATACCTAGTAAATGGTAGTGCTAACCGCTCGTTCAATCGTCTCTGATAGAAATAGAATGCTTTCTCGAAGGGCGTTAAATCGCGGGTGATTTGCGGAGGCCGGGAGAGAACGATGCCGGCTTTGAGGGTGTAAGGGGCAGTTACGGCTTCGGAGCTCGATGCGAGAGGAATTTCTGTATTTTTGACATCAGAACCAACGACTGTAGACGCAGCGGATGCATAGCTGCGTCGTCCTAGTGTAATTGTTTCTTGACAGCTTCTGCAGATTGCGGAATCGAAAGTCGACGGGCCTATAAGTTGGGAAGCGTTAATTCATCAGGCCAGCCGTCACAATAACGCCAATTGGAATAAGAAAAATACTTACGCAATAGCGTCGCTATTTGCCTCACGCCACTAGATCCAATCGACATCATTCACGTCTTGCTAGCTGTCGGCGGTCGCAAAACACGGAGATCAATTGATCGCCTCTGAGAAAAGTTCACAGCTCAACAAGTCCACAACCACTATGCCAAATTAGGCTAGACGCAGCGTGACCTGCCACTAAAACGAAAATTCCGCTGTTCTCCTCTTCTTCCTTTCCTCATCTTCTATAACAGCACCCATCCTTATCGTCACCTGGCTGCCTACATCTACTTTACGGCCGGTTGACCATTCAGTGGTGCTCAGATGAGCATTGCAGCCTTTTTTCGCTAGCGGTACCTTCTTGTCTTAAGGCGTACAGTTAGATAGACGCTGCATACATCTTTACTTCACTCTGTATTATTGTGTTATATGAACACTGCAAGAAATATTATTATGAGATATTAAATAATAATCAAAGTGTCCAGAGCAGGCAGCTCGTCGCATGCAAACGCCAAATTAATTCATAAGTTCAAGCCAAGGCAGTCGTTTAGTGTTGGGGCTACCCTTCGCAGTCTAAGGTGCAGATTCTCTCATCTGTTCCAAAAACACGAAGTCTGTTGCCGTATTTTTTCCAAACAGGAGAAGAAAATAATGGTATGAGTGGGCTTTCCTCACCAGCTTCCAATTCGTTAGCGAGATCCGAATCCTCAGAGTCATCATCTGGGAGCGTGTCGAAGAGATTTTGATGAGCGAACCGTGACCGGAGGTCGGTTTGAGATAATCTCTTAGTGTCTGCAGGCTTTGCTACAGAAACCGTGGCTAGCTCCTGGTTCTTGATCTTAGGCTTTGGGTTTTTGCGTTCAGTAGTACGAGCAAGCCCGGGCACTCTCGTAGCTGTACCAGGCAGCTGAGCAGCTTGTTTGATGAAGTTGGTAGCAGTTAATAGACTATCGTATCCAGCTTCGTGAAGATGCTCTTGCCGCTGGTATCGTGTGTGCTTTGAGTCAATCACTGGACTGATTAGCAAGTTCCCAGACCTAAAGTATGCTCACTCACCTATCTGAGGTTTGGTGATGTTTTTGAAGGCATCGTTCATCATATCTAGTGATGCAATTGGGTTAATGTCACCGCAGTCATGAGTGAATATGTATTTGGTATCGATCAAAAGAGGAAACTTCTCGTGCACCAATCTGGTGAAGTCCTCGAGGCGCTCAGGCAAATCCCCAAAGAAACATTGCCACATGTAGACCAGGTCAGTGAAGAGATTATGACCAACCACTGGAGCACGCTTTTCTCGAAGCCTGGATTTGACTTTTTCTGCAGCCAATTTACCAATGTCCTTTTCTAGACCAAGCATGCCGCGATCTGGGATGAGGTGAGAAAAAACTTCAGGTTCCAACTTGGAAAGATCTCCTCCAGCCAGAGCATCGATTATCCACATAAATCCCCTCTCAGAAACTAGTCGTTTTTCAACGCGCTGAAGCTTTTGCTGAAGAATGCCCTCTTCTCTTTTTTGGTCGTATTTAACAATTCTTACAAAATCGGTTCTCCCGATTGACGTAAGTGACGGATATTCCTTCTCAACAAGCTGGTGTACAAGTCGCTTCTGAAAGCGATTCAGACTCGTAATGGCAGGTTTACCATGAGACCCCTTCACATTTCGAGATGGAACATTTAAGTAGTCGTCAACCCCCTATGATGTTTAGATTCATGTTGGCTATCCACATACTAAGAACCAAGAATTACCTTAGCAGAGCTAACCCAATTGTCGATCTCCTTTCGTATATTTGCAAGAAAAGTCAGAGCCTCGACATCTTCCTTTGGAAGCTCCATTTGGGCAATTGATTCAGTACGGGAATTGCTACTATGCTTACAAGCCTCTTGAACTGCTTGATCCTCTTCGTTCTTTGTCAGATATGGCACGCCTAGCGTGAACGGAGAATCCATTTTGAATCCAGTTTTTAAAAGAAACTGTATGGCTTTAATAGAAAGAATTAGCGAAAACACATTCTGGGTACTTGAAGCGTAAATACCAGAGCTTGATACGCTAAAAATGCGGTCGATTCCCAGTATCGGATCAATAAGAGGGCTTAAATGGATGTTGTACGGTTTAAGTGTGTATACCCCTGGTATTTAAATCAGCTGCCATAGACCAAAAGCGCATTTAAACTCACCTGAGACAGTATCTTCATGGGCAATCGTTAGACCTACCTGGAGAATCTGAAATTTCTCCGCGGCTTCTTTGGTGTCTGTATATCGCTCTTGGAGAGTCTGGTGACGCGAGGAGATGTTTCTGTGTGATGCGATTCCAGAGAATTCAAAATCAATGGCCACAAAAGAGCAGTCACTGAGGGCCTGGAGAATATCTGGCAGATGGAGTGACCAGGTGTAGTTGGTGACTGTGTCCCACTCATCTAGATTCATCCTTGAAAGATTCGTGAAGCAAATGGAATCACCTGTGAAAGAAGCTTGAGTAAATGCCAAAGATTATTGCTGTGGCCGAAGCTTCAATGTGGTATAGAAGTGAAGTCGTTTGAGAAATGATAGATCAAACAACATCAGACTAGAAGATTGTTCTTGAAGGGGTTGTCTAAGAAGACCCCAAAATCGGTTTCAAGAAGAAACAATAGAACCACTCATCTATTTTAGTGGAATTCAGGAGTCATAATTTGTTTTTTTCCGGCTTACTGGTGATGCTTTGTAGAACGAGCCATCGCTAGTACACGTGATCTATTTTGTCTGCTACGTGGAGTTATAACAGCGCCAAAACAAAATAAAACATAACAAGAGATGCACGGCATCAACAGTCAGGAGTTCATACCGTCTTTAGTAATCGAAATAGTCGACGACATGAATATCAGTTGATAAAGTGGAAGGTAGTATGCATGACGCTGGGCTTGTGGAAACGGGGCTCCCCCGGACGGCGCTATCCGCATCGAGATAGGCTAGGTCTCGCCAGCCGAGCCGAGGATATCATAGGCATCGGAGCCCGTGGAGCTTGCTCGAGCTGGCTCTGTTGGCATCATCTCGTGTATTATTCCACCCATTCTACCCATTAGCACCAGAACAGGCTGTCTGATTCTTGCCATTCATAAACATCGTCATCCTGGGCCGGCTAGACACAGTCACCCGCGATCCATAATGACTGACGACAGATCCCACCTCTCGTCCTCCCAGTCTCTCTACGCTTCAACCTCGTCTCTACCGAACTCGAAGCTCTGTTCTCAAACATACAAATCGGCATCTCAATTGTTCCTCACACGTCGCCTTCAAGAATCGCTGGCTACTCTCACCCCGATCCTCACTACTTCTGCTAACCCAGACGATGTACCCGTCACGAACGGCAACGACGACAGCCGCGCTTCGCCCAATGCTCCGATCGCATTTGCTTCGAGTAATGTGAGGATAAAAGTATGGAATCTGTACATCACTCTGCTGAGTAATGTAGTGGATCTGGGTCCGGAAGAAGGGAGAAAAGAGTTCGGGCAGAAAGAGTGGAAGACACTAGTAGCGAAAGTCCGAGATGGAATAATTTGGGAAGAGATTGTACAAGCAGGGTACCAAGGTCTAGAAGGTTCAGTTGATGCTGACGTCGTGTATAATCTGTATGTGCTATGCGCTGCTTTACTATCGGTATCCTGATTTACTGACTGGCTCTTCTCTGTCGCAGTGGAACATTATTATTGACGCACTCGGCCTCGCAAACGCTCAACCAACAGCGATTGGAAACTTACCTTTCAGCTTATGGCCAGCCGAACTTGGATGTCGCAGCGCATTTGGAAAATTCTCCATCAGACCCACGACGGTTAAGCCGAAATGGAGGTACAGACACGCCGAAGGACTTGACCGCGCGAGTGAAAATCATTGAACTGTTTGTTCTTCACGTTCTCCCCAGGAATGAGGAGTGGGATTATGCCACAGTCTTCGTTCAGCTCAGTGAAGTTCTTGACGAGGAGCGAAAAGAATCTTTCCTTCAAACACTGAATGAACTCAAGGAGGAGAAAGAACGAGGCGTCCAACGTGCTGCCGAACTGCAACGTGAGAAAGAAGCAGAGATGCAGCGCCAAATACAAGAAGAAGAAAAACGCAAGACAGAAGCTGCTGCGGCTGCCGAACGTTTGAAAAAGACTAACATTGATCACAAGCGAGCAAGCAGTGAGGTTGATTATGGCATTGAGAAAACCCATCCAAATGGTACCACCAAAAGTCGCTCATCCAAAGCAGACAAACCAGGGAGTGAGGGAAAGTCTTCATCAGCATCAGGACGAACCGCTTTCTCACCACCAGCCTCATCTTCGAAAAATACCAAGAAGGCAGAAAAGGCTACGACGCCCGTGTCACGACAGATGCTCGGTATTTACAATCTCCTCCGAAATATCCTTAAGGGCATCAAAACCTCTGTTGCTGGAAACCCGATGGCGCTCTTGCGTACAATGCTGTTCACACTCGGAATACTCATGGCATTGAGTAGACAAGATGTTCGCGAACGAATCCGACGACTGACCAACTCCAGTTGGCAAAAGGTACGAGGAACCGTTGGAATGGGTATGAAGGTCAGCTATATTTGATATGGTCTGATGGTGACATATGAAAAATCATGTATATAATACTCTGTTTCTTTGATACTTGTTTTTTCCTCTTTCATTCTCATGAAAGAACTACGGGGCTACTGGGTTGGCTTTTGACCGATCTTTGTACTTTCAACATTGGGCTTATCATGCGGGTATTTTTACATATTCAATTAGATGCACCCCATAGCATATAATCAACAAAATTTCGGCTCGAAACCAATTACCAGTACATACTTATCGATTAACACGCCGATTACCAAAATGCCACAACAGTACCTCTTGAACCTGTTATTATATCATAATATCGGTTACATGTGCGCTTCACTGAATTTGTTTATAATATGGAGCGAAGCAAATTGCAAAGGATAGCACTTGGGACCTCCAAAGGCTCAAGGATTGGACTCCATCAAAACAAAATACCAGGGCAATATCTTCTCGGTTAAAGAAAGTCGATAGAACCTCGAACATATATCGACCCAAAGACCTTTGTATATTCTAATTCCACCAAGAGATTCGTGACAATGCATGAGAACATCAACTGGTGTCTCACTAAGATCCAACCTAAACTGGGTTTGCTCTTCATGTGCTACATTCTGTCTAATAGCCTGGGAACTGGGATAAGATAGTATAGACCTCTCACGAGTAACAGAACATCTAGTTCCTTCCAGGATTGAGCAAATATTACGCAAGTACTTAACACACGAAAATTTGTATGTAGTGACAGCGTCGGCTGGGGAGCTACTTGATCCAAAGGGTCTGGTGCCGGTAGACGGTCTTCACTCGTGAAATGAGCCCTACTCCAACACCTCTGGCTAGAAACAACAATTAGAAACCCGGTTTATATTCTAGTAGGTATCGTTCTTGTTTTCCTTTTTTGGAACAAGCAATCATCACATGTACCGATTGATGCTGTAGTCTATGTATAAGCACGTGTAATCCAGACAGATTAGCATGCTAAGCGATAAGCTTTTAGCAATATACATACAGAGTCACCAGCTATTCTTAACCTGCCACTTATTTAATGATAACATTATGCTGGATACATATAGTATGTATGGCAAACCCTAGCCCCAGCCCTAAGCCCCGCCTCACCGGCTGAATGCCGGCTGAAAGAACAAGCGTCGGCATTTTCGCCGAGAGAGTGATTGATAAGGTGATCTGCACAAAAATGTCACATTCGATTGTGCTAATGTAGAATTCCTTTTCTTGCTTGATCTTATAGAAAACAGACACCCGAGACAGTGACATGAGATATCGCCGAAAGATCGTGTCTATAGGCGGCTTTCCTGTTGTAGCGGTCTCTAGATGAAATATGGGAACGCAGCCAACCATTTCTAATAATCAGAACGAAAATGTGGAGAACAATAATGTGACCGAAAAGAGTGAAGATGGGAAGAAAAGGACTATCTTGAAGAAGGTAGTGCTATTCATACTCAGCCAATGGCTCCTCATTGGCATGGGAATTGCTTGTCTTCTAGCTTACTTCTTCCCCAACGTTGCTAAACATGGGGGCGTCATCAAATCGGAGTACTCCATCCTATACGGTGCTGTGGCATTTATCTTTTTCGTATCCGGCCTGAGTATTCCACATCGAAAGCTATACACGCATATGTTCAACTGGCGGCTGCACGTTTTGGTCCAGGTGACATCCTTCCTCTTTGTGCCTGCCGTGGTGGTCGCTCTAGTTCATCTTATCGTTGCCACTGATCCGGCGTCGCATATCGATCGGGCAGTCCTGGCTGGCTACATTCTGACGGCATGTATACCGACAACCATCGCCTCGAATGTGGTTATGACACAAGCAGCTGGCGGCGATGACGCAGCTGCATTGGTTGAAGTGCTCATCGCAAATTTCCTCGGTCCGTTTCTTACTGCAGGCTGGACAGTGGCTTTAATACCCAAGACAGCTGAGTTCCAGCCATGGAGAGATGGAGGCGGCGATATGAGCAGTATGTACAAGGATGTCTTCAAGCAGTTGGGTCTAAGTGCATTGCTCCCCCTGATTATCGGGCAGCTTATTAGGTGGACCTGGGAAAAGCAAGTAACAAAGATGCTGCAAAAACTCTACGTTGGAAAACTAAGCACTGCATGCATGCTGCTTCTCATCTGGACGACGTTCTCATCAGCATTTGCAACGGGTGCACTGGAAACGCTCTCAACACAGAGCATTATCTTCACAGTGCTATTCAACGTCGCCTTTTACCTTTTCCTTACAATTGTATGCTTTTATATTTCACGTCCACCAGCATTTTTACGAAAAACTTTTTGGGGGAAACGCATTTTTATGCAAGTACCCGCAGAAGAGACAATCGCCATCTGCTTTTGCGGGCCAGCAAAGACAACTGCTCTGGGAATTCCGCTGTTGTACGCCATGTACACCAATATGGACCTTTTCACCAAAGCTAAGACATCAATCCCCGTTTTGCTATACACTACCGAACAAATCTGTGTGGCACATTTCATGGTGTATGTGTTTCGTCGCTGGAAAAGACGTTTGGAGAACAAAACGGATGTGCAGGATGAAGAAAATACCACAGGGGTCACTGAATAGATCCAATCATAGCTACATGTATCCTCGCAGGAATATCAATGATGTCATATCACGTGGTGATAATCCATTTCCCCACAAACTCGATAAGATAAGACATTGGCGATAAGAACACTTCGCACGGCTCGGCTCTGCACATTTCTTGCCCATTTCTCTTCTAGAGAAAGAAGTAATCAAGGAAATAGATTGGAGGCTGTAGAATTGACAATAATATATGACTCACGTCGGTAGTATGAGACCAGGAGATGAGGACTCCCTATCAAGTGTAGGTCCCTCCCGTCCGGCTTTCGGTCACACTTCCAGACAGCCTCGGCTTCTGCGAACCAAAAAGAGATGGCCCGAATTTACCCGCAAACGGGAACAAGCAGGAAATGAATATTGTTATTATTGGGAGAGGAAGGCCAGGTCATATGACTCATTAGTTCTCTGAAATTGCGCGTCTGGCTGCTTATTATATGACGAAAAGTGCGTCAGGGACTGGATTCACATGCAAAGAGGCAGCAAAGCCACAAGCTCATTGGCTCCGGGACGTCCTTTCGCTCTTGTGAGCAGCATTGGCTTCTTTGGATGATCTAGCCATTCTTGTAGTTGATTGGCTTGCATTTTCCACTTTAACCTCGGGATTCGAGGTTTGATTTGGAGAGAGGATAGTATAGCTACCAAGTATTGAGAGGATTAGCCGAGAGAGAACCACTTCAAATGTGCGCGCTGTAGAATTAAAATCATCGCTATCTCCGTGTCCTCAGTTTCCTCCTGACTTTGAAGTACTTCATCTCTCCTCTCCACCGTCTTGCGCGCGTGCTTCAAGCTTCTGATAGCTTTCTCCATCCTCTTTTCCGCTCGTCCGTCATCGGCCCCCCAGCTTTCTTCGGTACGGGTCCCGCCACCATCAACCAAGGTAAATATAACTGACGACTCGGAAATCCTGGGGAAACTGGTTCTTGCAATTTATTATTTTATTTTGTATTCTATGATGCTGACTGCTGCTTTCCAACCTGGCAGCTTTCCCTTTATCTCATCCATTGTGGAACAACCACTCATTGTCGAACGGTCCGACATAATTTCGCGCAGATACGCTGGACTGTGAGGTTCTGTAGAAACGGATACCGTTGATTAATCGTATACCCCATTATACTACACCTAAACACGGGTTGGAAGCTGTTCAACTCGTCAGAGGACCATACGCGTAATAAAGTCCCTCTTCACGGTGCCCAGGGCTAGGAGGACAGTCACGTTCTGAATTGTTAGCTTTCTTCTGCGGGTTTATTTGCAACCATGTCGACGAAATCAACATCAGGCCAAAATGCCAAAAATGCCAACAAGCCGGCTTCGGCCGCTACAAATTTCATTGGTATGGCTCGATATTGTTGTTTTATCTGTGGTCGACAGGTCTACATTGCACATTACATGCTGACACGGTGATAATATAGCTGGAGGTGGTGCAGGAATGATGGAGGCGCTTGTCTGTCACCCATTGGGTATGTGTTATATTTCCAATGTCCTCGTGGTCAGATATTCTGACAATGGATAGATACAATTAAGGTCCGAATGCAGCTCTCACGAAGAGCGCGACAACCTGGTGTACGCATCCAAAGACTTTGAAGAGGAAGACATCAGCTAACAATTAGAAGGCGAAACCGCGCGGTTTCGTGGCGACTGGTGCCGAGATCGTCAGGCGAGAAACGGCTCTGGGATTATACAAGGGTCTTGGAGCTGTCTTGGGTGGTATCATTCCCAAGATGGCAATCAGATTCACTTCCTATGAGAAATACAAGCAACTTTTAGCCAATAAAGAGACATTGGAAGTCTCGCGGAAGGGAACATTCCTTGGTGAGTTTAAATAGAACTCGTCCTTATCTTTGATGCTTGGTTATGGTAAGCCAGTAAATACTGACAAATCCGTCAACAGCTGGTCTCGCAGCCGGTGTCACGGAAGCCGTTGCCATTGTCAACCCGATGGAGGTCATCAAAATTCGCCTCCAAGCTCAGCATCACTCTCTATCAGACCCCCTGGACACACCTAAATACCGCAGCGCACCACACGCACTATTCACTGTCGTGAGGGAAGAAGGCTTTGGTGCCTTGTACCGTGGTGTATCCCTCACTGCTCTCCGACAGGGCACGAACCAAGCAGCCAACTTCACAGCGTACACGGAACTCAAATCCGCGTTGAAAAAATGGCAACCCGAGTATGCCAACAGGGAGCTTCCTTCATGGCAAACAACGATCATCGGATTGATTTCCGGTGCCATGGGACCTTTCTCAAATGCCCCCATCGATACGATCAAGACTCGTCTGCAACGCACCCCCGCAGAGCCTGGACAGTCGGCCATTTCTCGGATAACGACGATCGCAGGCGATATGTTCAAGCAGGAAGGCGCGAAGGCTTTCTATAAGGGTATCACGCCGCGTGTCATGCGTGTTGCTCCTGGCCAGGCCGTGACGTTCACCGTGTACGAGTATTTGAAAGAGAAGCTCGAGAAGAGCAAATGGTCGCTTGGTGGAGGACAGTATGAAGAGTAAGAGCGTGCGTATTTGGAGCGGCCCATTTTGCAAGTGTTCTCAAAAGTGATCTGCTTCTCAGGTTGGTGTTGATGTTTTGATACCACAAGCATGATGGCGTAAGATCATCTAGTCATGTATCGCATTACTTCTGTTTGCCAAGGGGGGTGAGAGTGTCTGCATCTTGATTGTAAATATATTCGTTTTATAGAGTTTACTACAGCTCTTGAATAGACTATTCTAACTTGCAACTTGCAAGTCATACAGAAACACTTTAGGAAATCACGTGACTGGTCGTAGAGCAACGGCGGCTGCCTAATACTGCCTAGCGCAGCTGGTGCTGCCTGCAAGAAACAAACACGGCAAACCAACCGGATACGCACTAGCGCAGCCAGGCCCTCACAGCTATAAATGTCCGCCTTCCTCCCGTTCCTTTGAATTTTTTTTCTTCTTCCTTTTCCCATCCTAGTGCACGGGCAGTTCGATCACCAGTGAGGATTTCATCCGAGGTATCGATTTTGCTAGTTGAAAACTACCAAAAGTTTGACTGCTTCAACCGGCCCTGACGGGTCGGTTGGGAATTTTTGATTATACACTTTTCTCGACTCTGGCTGTTCAGAGTCGCTCGAGTCGCTGCTTTGTCGCGACTGGGATGCGGGGGGTGGCGCGATGTGTTCCTGTTTACGCTCGTGCTGCTGTGCAAGAAACTCTTCATTTCATTACTGTGTCGTCCTTGCGATGGCCTGTAGAGAAGTGACTCTTAGTTGGAAATAGTTTTGGGTTGACTGATGTTGCTACTGTAGACGCGTGCGTGTAGTCTTTCAAATGTTGCCTTCCGCATAGATGAATATCGCTCAATACTCAACTGTAGTGGTTTCCTGTTACACATAAGAGTACAGAAGCAAGCAAACGCAAAACCGCGAAACGTTTTATGTTTTATACAGTGGTTTGCAGATTTAGAGTAACTGAAACCCCTCCGCGTTTCTCTGGCAGAGTGCCAAGAATTTGTCTAGTGTATATACACTTAGATCTGGACGAACCCCAGCTCGTGTAATTTTCTCCTTAGGTATTGCCAGTCTCACGAATTAAATATTTCGGAAAAGTACATACGACCACAAGGTGTGGAGAAAAGGGCTTCCCTTCCGCTCTGCTCATTGTCCTTGGCTTACAGGCAGATTCGAAGACGCCTTCACCTTCTTCACACCCGTGGAGACGTCGCTGCCTTGGGCTAGGAAAGGTAGAGTTAGTACAATGCTTATCACTGCCGCAAACTTATACTAATTAACTATGGCTAGACTAGTACAAGGCAGCAATGTCTCAAAGTGGGGCAGAATTAAACAAAGAGTGTGTAGATAAAGAGAAGGGAACTGTCAATGGCTTCCCATTTCCCTCCTCAACAATAAAATATCCTTCTCTTGAAAGAATCACTAGAACCCCAGTCCCTGTGCCCAACTCAACCCTTTTTGGTCCACTCTGATCTGGTCTGATCTTTCGATTAAAATGGCGGATACATCTCTTAAATCTACCTGCCATTGTGGTGCCATTACCGTGATCGTGCCTCATCAACCAAAGGAAATCAACGAATGTCAATGTACAATCTGTCGGCGCTACGCAGCCGCTTGGGCGTACTACAAAGTGAATGAAGTCAAATTTGATATAAAAGAAGGTGCCAAACTCTCTCAGTACGTTTGGGGAGATAGAGAGAAGTCATTCAATTTCTGTGAGAATTGCGGATGCGTGTAAGTCTCGATCGGCTCATCATTTGTGGATCTCAATAGGTTGGCTGAAACTATTTGCCTGAACGTAGATGCTATCATTGGCCATTTGAAGAAAAGAACCCAGACGGTAGTGCAGCTGACTGCGGCGTTAACACGAGGAATATGGATCCCATGGAAATCTTGCACGTCAACCGCATGATTGAAAGAGCCTGGCTGTTCCAGCCAATCAACAATAAAACCATGGCGCATGAGCAGGATCAGGCCAAGTACTAACCTATTTATGTAGATGTTATTGTAAATTTAATTGAAAGGATGTCTCCAGCCTTGTCCAGAGCTGTACTTCGCTTTACATAAGGTGTCTTTATATCTCAGTATCAGCCAAAAGTTTCACCAATTTCCACAGGGTTTAAAAAGTATTCTAGAATAAATTTTATTACCATTTACATGTATTGTAAACAAAGATTTGGTATTAACAGATATCATAATATTTCTGGATCAATGTTATACCTCCGCTCAACCATCTTTATTATGGCGTTTTTGGCACTTGCAGATGCACTTTGCCATTAAGGCAACGCAGGTCGCCATTATTAGAACTCTATTTACAGTCTTTGATACTTGCTACGTACGCACGCACTGCATACCTCGCAGCGTTTCATTCGACTTGAAATGATAATAATTAGGATGGCTCGTGGAAGCCGAGCGTGGCGAAATCTAGTCTCCCGCTAATCCACGTTAGGCAAGCCAAGGGCCGCTCATGTGAACCCTGCAAGAAGTGACGACTGAGTTGTTTGCCTAGACGTGAATTCTAAATCTATATCAATCGCCGTCTCTCGTTGTTATTTAAATCTGAGCTCTTCAAATAGAGAGTTGTGTTGTGCGTTATCCAAACCGCCCGAACATTGACGTCACCGACTCCAACTCAAGTTGCCTCGGCATTGTAGTGGTTGATAATTATAGGACAATCAGAACTTCTCTTCCATGGCTACTAGAGAATTCGACCTGGTCTTGCTCGGACCAACGGGCTACACTGGCAAATACACTGCTGAGTATATCTACAAGGCATTTCCAACCACCCTCAAATGGGCTCTTGCTGGCCGATCAGCCTCGAAAATTGAGGCAGTGGTACGGGAAGTCAAGAATGTGAACGTCGATCGACCTGACCCAGGTAATTCTATAAGTATCTATACTTTTACTTGGACAATCAGCTCACACCTACACAGAAATCATACCTGTTCAATTGAACAAATCAGAGCTGGATGCTCTAGCGAAAAGGACGCGGTTGATAATCAACTGCGTTGGTCCGTACCATTTGTACTCAACGCCTGTTGTTGCTGCCTGTGCTGAGAACGGTACACATTATGTCGACGTGTCAGTACTCTTCCCAGTAATTCTCTAGCTTATATATAGCTTGACTGACATGCATCCATAGGACTGGAGAAACACCATGGCTCCGACGCGTGATTCCGCAGTACCATGAGACGGCCAAAGAGAATGGGGCGATTGTAGGTCTTTTCTTATGCAATATACAGACGATAAAGCAACTGACATACACCATAGATAGTCCCCTCCTGCGGTGTAGAAAGCGCACCACTAGATATCCTCACTTGGTACGCTGCCGACTTTACGCGAGCTAAGTTATCGGCTGATCCTACTGAGACCGTAGGCTGCATTTATGACATCAAGTAAAGAATATTTCTTGTATTTCAGATACATAAACTGTTCATATGCTGACTCTACCAAGATCGGCCGGTCCAAGTGGCGGCACTGCCTCCACAATTCTCACTACGCTGGAGACCCTAAGCATTCCTGAGTTACTCAAATCTAGCGACAGCAAGTGTCTCATTGCTTCTCCTCTTCCTCCAACCCGTATCACACCTCGAAAGTCCCTCTTCGAACTCATTTTTGGCGTTCGCGAAGTTTCCGAGCTCGGCGCCTTGACTACTTCACCCACTGGCATGGCTGACGAAGCCATTGTGAATCGCAGCAGTACTTTAATGCCAAATCACTACGGCCCGCGTTTTTCCATCCGCCAGTATCTCCGTGTCCGCAACGTCTTTGTTGGAGTTTTGTTCCACTATGCTTTCACTATTGGAATCAGTCTACTTGTCCTCGCACCCTTCCGCTGGGTAGCTCGTAAATTATGGCCTGCGCCAGGATCTGGACCCACAAAGCAAGAAGTAGAGGATGATATTACCGAGTATCGCCTTGTTATGTCTACCAATCAGAAGGGTGCCAACGGCAAACCCAAGACAGTGTTAGGTAGCACCTCTTACCGAGGAGGTCAGTATGAATTGACCGCCGTGGCGGTTGGTTGTGCGGCTAGAGTGATTTTGGAGAATGAAAAGAAAATCAAGAGTATTTCAGCTGGCATAGTCACGCCGGCGACCTTGGGACAGGAGTATGTCGAGGAGTTGGAAAAGGGAGGATTCAAAATTGGGGCGAAGATTCTGGATGAGTAAGTGGGTTTAACCAGAAACCTATTTCTGGAATATATTATTGGACCTACCTTTTTATTTATTTATTTATTTTTTTTTGATTTAGTAATAATGGCAACGTTTGAAGAATTTTGACGCAAAAGTTACATGTTTCAATCGATAACGATAATACAGTTGTTCATAGCTATGTCAACTACTATTCGTATATTATCCAATCATTTACAGCTTACTATTACCACTCGACGGGAAAAATTTCCCCAGCCAGCTGCCAATAATCCGATTAACCCCCTCAGGGTCCTCTGTCAAAGCCCAATGCGACGTGTTCACTTGCTCGAGGGTCAATTTCGGGATATACTTCTTCATCGACTTGCCCATAGAAGGCGGTAAGGCCAAGTCCTTGAGAGCCTGAATAAAAAGCAACGGCACTTCAATATTGGGCTGTGATGCGTACTGCTTCTCATCATTGTGATTAACCTCGGTGAGACGGTACCAGTTCAATGGACCGTGGACTCCGTGGCGAGCGTATTCGCTTGAATAGAATTCCAGATCCTGGTATTTATTTTAGTTTTTTTTTTGGAATCAAAATCAATATGACAAGACGAGTAAAAGAGAAGACAAACCTCGCCATTCAAAATCCGAGATTGCTGAAACTGCCCTAATTTGTCAAGAGCAATGCCCTTCCTCGGGTCAAACCCCCATTCTCCGTTGCTTGTTTTCCCACCATACATGGTCAATAAAAACTGCTGAATATCTTTCTTCGTACGAACAACTTTTTCAACCTCGCCAGACCGGAATTGAAGTTGGTAGCCCCAGTGCGGAGCCAGGTTGGCGACAATGTCGTCTAATGAAGTGAACTTTGCTCGCGGGGGCGCATACGGGACGCAGACAGTGATTATGTGCGAAATGAGAGCGCGTTGATGGATATAAATTGCGTATGCCAATGCCGCACCCCTGGAAAATTTCCACATCAAGTTAGATACCAGCCTGAGGCGTTGTATAATGGATTAGACTTGGATATACCAATCATGACCGCAAAGGACGATCTGTGATTCGCCAAGCTGAGTGGCGAGTTGCTTAAAGTCTGCAGCTATTTTTTTGAAAGCGTATTCTTTGTAATCTTCAGGAGCATCCTGTTGTGGTGTTTTTTTTCAGTTTTATTGTAGTGTGTGATTCGTAAATGGGGATGATGCATTAGCTTACAGTTTGTCCATAGCCGAGTTGATCTGGGGCAACGATTCTGAAACCCAACTGTAGGGCATAGGGGATCTGATAACGCCATCCTACGGCCAAATCGGGATATCCATGAAGCTATACGCAGGTACACAATCAGCGAAGTTCTTGCAGCTCAATCTGATGCAGGTCTTTTGCCGAGGTCAAAGAGACCGGCGAAACCTGAAGCTTTGGATGCGATTGAAGCTAGAGACACTGAATCGAGGAATTCAACATTGACATACGAAGAGAATAGTAGCTTTCCATTTTCCTGAAGCCGGCTCGCCATACAGATAGGCTATGAATCAAATCAGTATATTTGATGTACTGCCGGCTGTAGCAGCTCATTGGGCTTACTGTATTTCCGTCCATTCAAGATCGTGTTGCGCCGCTCAACCCGTGAATCGCCTTCGTAACTGATCTTGTCGATTTTTGAAGTCATATTTATATTCAAATACCAATGAAAGTTTTATAATTTATCATGAATCGATAATATAATCGAAGTTATTCATCGGAGCTTGTTGCTTACAAAGGGGAGTATTAACCGGACCGAGGTAGGCGGTCACGTGCCATCTTTGGTCAGTCACTCAGTGCCTCAATGGAAGAAAAAATAAGCCATAAGAAGTAGACGGTCGATAATAATATACAGATGACACAAGAAATTGCATGGCATAGTGATACATGAAGAACGCTCGCCGTCAGTCTCAACAGAATCGTCATGACGGGAGACAGCGTAAACAATAGTATAGGAGGAAAGTACCACGGAAGCAGAAATTAAATGAGTTAGTAAATGACCATATCCTCTTTGTCATCTTCCATGACTTCTTCGCCGTCGTCTTCGTGGCGATGGGAGGATCCAGTATGAGTCGCATTGTCGGCTCTTTGCTCTTCGTTAGTTGTAGAAGGCACGGTGTCGACCGTAGCCGGTTCTGGTTCTCTCTCTTGATTGGAATGCGTATCCTTTGCCGGAGAATCCCCGGTTTCGTGTTTATGGGCTGTCGATTCTCCATTTTCCATTGATGTGTCTGCGTTGGCTGATTGATCTTTATCGTCGATATGATCTTTCTTGCGATCTTCTTTGCGATCTTCTTCAGGGTGCCAGCGCTCTTCGAATTCTGCTTCTTCCTTGGAAATAGTCTCCTTTACCTCCTCGATCTGTCTGTCGATGATATCGTCGTCTTCGGGGCGTACTTGGTAAGGAAGCCATAACTGTCCACTGTTAGTTATTCGATGTTGGTAATTTATTGAATGCTAGCTCACCAGGACAGGCGTGCTTTTTGTCCGCAAAAAATTTGCCGCGTGCAGCAAATTCTTATGTCTGATAGTCATCTAGGATTGTAAGCTGTTTTACCCCCCAACGGTGTAGAATGAAGAGAAAACAATCATCATACCTGTTCCTTCTCCAACTCCTTTTGCTGCGCCTGTCTTTCAGCCACAATATCCTCCTTCTTTTTCCGCCGAGCTTCACTATGTCGTTCATCCTGCAATCGAAGTTTCGCTTGCTGGCGCTGCTCGATATCGGCGCGCCTTTTTTCCGCTACACTTGAGGAGCTCTGAGAGAGTGTCCCAAGTAAACCTCCGAAAAGCCTTTGGCTCCGCTTGCGTTCCTCTGCTGCTAAGCCACCCCTTCTCGAAGGCTTTCTTGAATCGGGGTCTGGGGCATCTTGCGGCGGAGACCGACTTGGATGGTTTGGAGAACGATCATGCTCTTCGCTGATCCGCCGTCGCTTGCCACCGATATCTGAAACAGAAGACTGCCGCCTCTTACGGCCCGTCTCTGGAGAATTATGAATGGGCTGCTCCTGCTCCTGCTCCTCAGGCTGAGGAACGGCCACGGCGGAAGCTAGAGTTCTGGACAGATGAGCTTTAACTATCATACCAACAGCGAACAAGGAGGAACTCACTCTTCTCCCATTTGAAAGAACTCCACAGCTACCACTGCAACAGATTCACCGTGCAGCACCAGGACAGGCGTTCGAGTGGTCGTCGCAAAGAGGGCGCTCACTGATCGCTGCTGAGAAGTTGTTGCGGAACGGCCTAGAGTGGCGCTTGGACCAGCTGCGGGCATTTCTAATTTCTCCCACCTTTTCAACGCGTCCAGCATCTTCCCTCCACACTCTCTCACACATACCAGACCACCCCGAACCTACCACCTCTATCTAACAGACATCTTCGAACTCAACACAGCGATCTGTAGCATCTTCACTCGCCATGTCTCGCCATCATCCTGATCTCGTCATGTGCCGCAAGCAACCCGGCATCTCAATCGGCCGGCTGTGTGACAAATGCGATGGCAAATGCCCTGTCTGCGATTCCTACGTCCGACCTACGACTCTTGTGCGCATCTGCGACGAGTGCTCTTTCGGAAATTACCAGAATAAATGCATCGTCTGCGGCGGCGAAGGTATCAGCGACGCTTTCTACTGTTTCGAGTGTACGCGTCTCGAGAAGGATCGCGACGGCTGTCCGAAGATTATAAATCTGGGTAGTTCTCGGACGGATCTGTTCTACCAGAAAAAAAATTTTCGAAATCAATAGTGCTACCACCGTCTCCGACTGGTCTTGCGATGGATGCAGTGACCACTACTGTCGTTCTGTCCTACTGAGAGGTATGAGAGGTAAATTGGGGACCGAATATTGCTATAAACTAAAGCTGGGATATTTCACATCCTATCGGTGTACCCATCTACCACCTGGCGTTTACCTACCAGGGCGCTTAGGTCTGGCAAAACCCCGTTTTGGTCCTTCGTCCTGCGGAGGATTGACCTCTTCCTGCAGTCTGCTCGCAGTGATTTCAAGTGGCGCAGAGCCCTCGATCTGGAAAGTTGATGTCAGAGATATGGAACCATCAAGAATATAAGGACTGGGTTAATGTTCACCTTTTTTTCGAGCTTGAGCCCTTGCGATTCGCCCAATGTAACGGCCATTCGCCGAGTACTCGCATATAGCATTCTTTCCTTGATACTTGAGCCGCTGGGACACGTGTATATGAACACCACAACATCGGACCCGGGGTAATGATAATACGCATACCGCGGGGACGAATCCGATATCTTGGAAGCAACGTCGTTCGGAGAGACATTCGAGTCGGCGCTCACAAGTTTGACGGTTTCGGAGCGGACGTCAATAGACTGTATATAGAAGTTAGCAAATAACAACACCAATCAAGCGGACTTGAACTCACTAGCTGCACCAGCTGCCCATCTTCGATAGACTGTAACGCATACTTGACATCGTCATCCACAGGCATGGGCATGTTCACACTGCCACCTGCAAATATCCCACTGACTCTACCCAGTGTCCCCCCAGTACCAACATCCCTGCCGGCTGTCCCATGCCTGGCCTCGTCCTCTGCCCGCCGCACAGCATCCAGTTCCCTTTCCTTTTCATCCATCAGATCCTCTCTTGTATAACTAGCGCTCTGAACGCCATTACCCTCCAAATCGCGCTCCCTCCACACCTTCTCGCTGACTACCTCCTCCTCCTCCGTAGCGAAAATCGTGGTAGCGAATTTCTCGCTGCCTAGTTCTCTCACCAGTGACGCGCGAGTAGACGCAAATAGGGTTTTCGCTCTGACACCCGCATCGGAAGGGATGTAGGTCAATGCCACTAGTGTAGAGGGTGAGTGACGGAGTAGTAGAAAGAGGGGGGTTTTTGGTTCGAGAACCGATTGTAGTTTGGGGACGGATGAGTAGAAGGAGCCCGAGAAGGGGATTGCAGGCTGCGGCTGGAGGCTCTCGGAGGTGATGGTCACTGGAAGAGCGAATTGGGAGTCATCAGAGGTGAATGCTTGGAACGCGTCGTGCAATTCCGACGAGGCTGACGAACGAGGTTCAAATGTTAGTTGAATGAATGTCAATAGACAGCGATGACATGGATTGCGGGGTGAGCAAGCGAATCACTCGGGCGGGCTGGTAAATAGAGAGAGGCTCGTGTTAGTTGCTGAGTGTATCTGGAGACGGACCTGATATTCCTGACTGCATTGTGAACTGTTGCTTTGGAAACTGCACAGTTGACTGTCTGGACAGGAGCTATGAGAGTAGTTGTTGTGAGCTCCGCAGGGAACGCCCCTCACTAGTTAACGATTCAGCAGCGTGCAGTTAGTCACAGCCGTCTCCACAGCGATCGATCGACTGTGCAACTGTGACTGACAGACGAGATATGCACTAGATTAAGAGCTAATTACCTCCGACCCCTTTTTGCTGCGGTGGTCAAGGGTCGACAGCAACATTCTGGCTAGTCAGCACTGCTCCAAAATATAGCTATTTTATCTACGACTCGAATGGCTTAGAGTCTAAATAATGCCCTCGAATTGTCTACGAGAGTGGAATTACGATAGCCTCTCATCGAGCACAGCGCGACAGTGACAATCAAGGACGCCGCCTTCCTGATACGGCAGCCGCTGCCATCATCCTTATCAATCGATGTCAATATAGCTTTCAATGTTATTGTTCCATATCTTCCCATTATTAAGTTTCCCAGAGTCTACTCACAATAACAGTCAAGATGATAGCCTGTGGTCGCCATTGACCGGGCGGTGATGCTTGAGTCACCTACACCGAGGCGGCTGCCGTTTGCTTGGTGGCTGCCCCTGCTGCTTTTTCTTTCGCTTGTTTCTTTCACTCTGATGCCTTGTTTGACAGCTTATTTCATGTTCCAGCAAGTTCTTTCCTTTGTGCTTTCTACGAGTTGGAAATATCTAAGCAGAGATCAGGCCCTTTGTCTCTGCTCTTCTCTGCAAACGCATGGCATCGCTTCCCTGCGACAGGCAAAGTGATGAAAGGAACAAGCTTCGCAGAGTCAAGAGCGAAGAGAGTCTGCTGTGCAGAGACAAGCCATTCGTCAAAGAACGAATCGTCGATGCAGTGACAGAGTGCGGTGACGACCAACGTTTACAACTAGATCTGAATGCTTATTCACTGTTTCCAGCAATACACACAGACTCGACAAAATAAGACCGGGGCAGACCGCAAAGCAGTCATGGGCCATGACAAGGACGGTGAGCCACGCTTCTCCCCTGCTCGAAATCCATGGAGTCTGGCCGAGACATTGGACTCTATGGCAGCTCTATTGATATCGAAACCATGCAAGAGAGAATATCACTCGCCGTTCGGGCACACGAAATACCTGGGAATATTGAGATCTTCTTATCAGGAAACGAACCAGCCGGTACGAGTACAATAGAACGGCTAGCAAAGGTTTGGAAGGACCTTGGCCATCTTTCAGCTGGCTTTTTTCGCCCACGGTTGCTGAAGAAGTTCAAACCGACATCGCACTGCCATCTTCCAAAGCGTATGACCAGTAAAGTGGAAGAGTTCAGACTTGACGCTCTTAAATGGTCGTTCACCAAAATCCAAAAGCGCGTGCAGTCACCACAACACCAATTTCTGATAGACACAAAGGTCCCGAACGAGAAGCAACCGTTAGCTAAAGTCCAAAAAGCCGTTATGGAGCTACAGCCCTTTTTCACAGGCAAAGAGGCAGAGTGTGAAAACCCACCGGATAACGATGATAGCTATTGGTGGCGTATTTGGAAGCTTCTCGCTACTATCAGAAGTGCGTACAAGAAACTGATATTTCCCAAGGATGACGAAGCAAAACCACCGCTTGATCGCGATACCGAGAGGTATATCCGAAAAGCTAACAATCTTTTGCATCACTTAAAGGTGGTGTTGAGGGCAGCAACCTCAACAAATTTGGCACACCTATTTCAATTCGATATCCGCATCACTGTGGTGGACGATGGTCGGCACACAATTTTCCGAGGCCCAGATTCGGCATGGGCATGGGCATGGGTATGGGCATGGGTCTTTGAACACGCTGTACGATGCTACAACGAAAAAATGGGGAAATGTCGCGAGTGGCTGTCTCTGGTTGACGGGTGGGAAGACAGCATTAAGGCGTTGGCAGAGCAGCGTATTGATCACGAGGAATTGACGGTGCATCCGGAGTTGAAGATGTTACTCCATTGTGCGAAAGAGAATGGCAACGGAGCTCATATCTTCACATACATTGCCACGTCAAAACCGTCGTGCCTGCCATGTATGAGCTTCTTTCAGGGTTTCAACTTCCCCTTCGGGAGCCAATTTGTCGTCTACGGCTCGGATTGGAAAATACACTGGTCCTGGAGATTTCCACCCGACTGTCCCAATGGCGAGGCCGTCCTGGGGCATATCTAGCAAGAGCTCATAGCGAGGTGGGTGAAGCGTAACGGAGGCGTTCCGTGTGGACAGGCGGCTTGCAAGTCAGCTTACCTGACAGCCAAGGGCAAGTGGGCGCACGACTCTGTTTAGCATCGATAACAACGATATTAATCAAAGCAGTTAGCAAGTCATGGGCAATACTAAGCAAGTAAAGTGTAATGCAGGCGGATGGATGCTAGTCATGCAGGCAGCAGCAGCTGATGCCAGGCCAGGACCAGGTCACGTTCGCGCACTAGCCCGAGCGGCACTAGCGGGCAGCCTCAAAACCTATGCCTGCCCGCCCGCCGCGCCTTCTCTCTTCCTGGCTCTCTCTCTCTCTCTCTCTCTCTCTCTCTCTCTCTCTCCTCTACTTAATTAGAACCTAGAAGTCCCTACTTCGCCGTTGTCCCCCCATTTGCTCTTCATGCCTCCCCTCAGTCGCCCATCGCACACTCTGGGCTCTCCTCCCTCGTTCGATGGCCGACACTTGTATTGTGTGTTTAAACGACCTTGGCGCCGGCGCCTCCAGCCCTTCTCCCGTCCTCGTCCCATCTCCGCCAAGACTCGATAACCACGATAATGACGACGGCGAGGACAACACCCAACCATCCACGCTTGCCTCCCTTCCCGCAGACCGGTCCTCCAGGCGCATTGCCAGGCTGGTGCCTTGTCTGCACATGTTCCACGACGACTGCCTGAAGCCGTGGGTTGAAAGGGCCAATAGCTGTCCGGTATGCCGCGCAAATTTCAATGTTGTTGAGCTATGCGATGGTGTTGACGGTGAGTGATGATGCACATATTGTTATTTCTCTTGTGTCGAACAGAAGCTGAGACTATGCAAAGGCCCTGCCGTCTCCGTTTACCCCGTGCAGGACAAAGTCCAAGAGGCCGAATTGGACCCCTTCATGATCCTGGAGGAAGAGATCACCGACGACTCGGATACGCTGCCGTGTTCGATTTGCGGCGATAATGATAACGAAGAAGTGTTGCTGTTGTGTGATGGCTGTGATGTGCCCTCTCACACCTATTGCTTGGGGTTGGATGCGGTGCCGTCTGGCTCATGGTACTGTGAGACGTGTCAAACTCAGCGAATGCTGAACGCCGTGTCTGACACACCAAACAGACCCAATCGCAGTCGGCAACCAGAACGTCGGACCCGTGCACAGCAGCGCATGCTTCGTAACCGCAACCAGGCCAACTCCCTCCAGTGGGCTGCTGTGTGGCAATCGGTCTACGACAGGCTGAACCTTGATCTCGACTTTCCGTTCGACGATTCAGACCACCGGTTCTCGTTGCTTTCAGACTATCAAGTTTTCTCACAAGCCTCCCCTCGACAAAGCTCGAGTCGTGCGTGGCAACGCCGGGTGGAGGTTGCAGAGCGTCAGGGCGGTGGCCGCAGTTTCCGTGACCCCACTGCCATTCTCGATGAATATGTTCCCCGGCCATCACGTCCCCGCGTCCCTCGCGCCCCAACCCCACAGCCGGAGTCTGTTGAAGAGATGCGCGCTTGGAACGCATTTGAACGTGCTAGAGAACTAGAGAACGATCCTAATCCCTCCCGCAAACGCAAAGAACCAACCATTTCTCCGTCCCCTGAACCGACGGAACCCGAGAGAAAGTTGAAAAGACCACGCACGAGACGCACGGAAGAATTAGCCGCAATGGCCACACAGAATAACAATGGCGAACCGTCGCGGTCTGCAGCTCGTCCTCAGTCAGAGAACCTCTCCGGCGAACCCAGTTTTCTCCAATCTTTACTCAAAGAGGTAGAAGATGCCTCCCACCACAGCAACTCAATTGGACCCTCTGCGTTTACAAATACCCCGACTGAATTTCATAGCTCTTCTGGTCCTTCCTCTCCTTCTCTCTCATCAGCATCCTCAAACCGATCATCGCCTCGATTGTCGTCCACCAGTCCTCCACCACACTCCCGAAGAAGACCAGTCTCACCCATACAGCTTTCTCCAAGTGTTGTATCTCTTTCTTCTCCTACACAGGAATTTTCTCCTTCAGTCTCTCCAAATCAAAGCCAAGAAAATGCCAATGAGTCCAATCCTCATCCTGACAGAAAACACCGTTCTTATAGACGCCAGCAGGAAATTGCGAGGTCGAATGAGAATTCACCGTCCCGCAAAGGTCTTTCTCTTTCTGTCAAATCAGATGTGCAAAAACTAGTTGGATCGGAACTGAAACCCTTCTACCGGAGCAAAGTCATCACAAAGGAAGAATACACTGATATCAACCGCACGACCTCACGCAAGCTTTACGAAAGTGTTGGAGATGTGGAGAGTTTAGAGGAAGGGGATCTTGCAGGACTGAAAAGCATCGCCGAGAAGGAGGTTAAACAGGCGGTTGAGATGCTTCAAAAAGAGAAAGCAGAAACAAGCGACAGACAGACTGGGACCCTCTCTGATGCACCTGGAAAAGCTACTCCCGTCGCACCTCCAGGAGGCGGCGAGGAGAGCTAATATGTAATGACCTATGCATGACAACGGCGTTGGAACGTGATTATTATTTGGCTTGATTCAGCGTCACTCAACTTGATCGGCGAGTATAAGGATTTATATTAGATACCATTAGATACCCAAGGGGATATATCAAGATGAATGTACATTATCATTTGCTAGACACTGATAAGTATTGTAAATAATTCAAAGAGAACTGCGTGTATATATATTCTTCTGACCACCCCAATTGGACACTCCCGGCATGCCTCTGTGTCTCTTAATTAGGCTTAAAAGAATTGAAATGTCCCCGTGTTTTAGAAGTTCAGTAGGGTTGGATAGATGCTCTAATCAATCAAGGTGAGGCAGTCGTCTGAAGTGACTCCGCTCCCTCCAGTTACCCGGCGCGGAGGACGTTAGTTGAGACTTCCAATATGTTCTGGCTACTAAATTTTCAATCGTGAAAAAATTACTCGACAAGATATGCCGCCTGAAAGGGCTAGAGGTATGATTCCACCTTGTACGTTACCATATCCTAGCAAAAGGGGGTTTAACTAACATAAGATGATAGCGAGGTTTTGTTTCTTCTTTTCCAGAAAACTGGACTAACTGGTGGTAATTCCCGGTTCAGGCCGTCCTTTTTTTGCTGACCGGACTGCGAACGTGGACAAAGTCCTGAAAGATAATCTTGTAAAGCAGACTTGTTCCAGGAGGATCGAAGCAACAAAGAGAAACTTGAACTCGTCATGATATCCTGCCGATTTGTGAGGACTAAAACAGTGAATTCAATGGACGGGTCTACTATTGCAGTAACTTGAATCACGTCGCCAGTATCAATTAATATATCAATGATACATGTATGAATGTACATGTAGTTGGCAATAGAGGGTGAAGTTTTAGTGCGGTAGCTAGAATTGAGATTTTTATTCTATTGTCAAATATATATTATCTGCTCAAAGGCCAAGATACCCAACGCCAGAGACATGCTACATGTATACAGGATTATCAGCACTCAGATTCGAATTGCCGAAAATAAACATTAAGGAAATATAATTATACACGAGACCAATCTACAATCTCGGGTTAAACCGACTCATAGAACGGAGTTTGGCACCGTAGATATAAAACAGAATGGGAATCGGCACCATAGCCAGGGTCAAGAACCCCAACAGACTAGATGCCCAATCCACGCCGAGCTTGGTGTACATCTGCGTCGCAAACAATGGGAAAGCGCCACCGAGGGCGCTCCGCACAAGCGTGTTGGCGGCAATCGCCGAGTTCGCGAACATCAGGTACACGTCAATGATATAGTTCAGCCCCTGCATGAATATCACCAGGATGCCCGCACCAATGGGCACGCCGGCGAGTACTTGTGGCACCCAGGTGATGTTCTCGTTTGATGTCCATCCGAACCAGAACAGGCCTATGGGCAGGAGGATTGAGCCGATGATCATGGGCGGCAGACGCTCTTCGGGCACGACGCGTCCGTGCTTCTTCATTTTGCGCGCAAACCGGGTTTTGGTGACGAAGATGATGATGGCGCCGCCGATGAAGACGCCCACTAGGATGCTGAGGAAGGGCAGTGCGGCGACGCCGGCGTGTGTCCAGTGGCGAACTTCCTGGAAGGAGATCGGGTATGCTTCGAAGGTGAGGTAGAGGATGCCGTAGATGAGGGCGAGGTAGATGGTGATTAGGAGGAGGATGGGCTCGAGGATGAGCATTTGGAAGGGCCGCAGCAGGTAGCGTGTCACGATGTCGCCCATCTTCGGCGGATTTTCGTCGAGGATGGCGTGGTATGCCCAGTTCTTGGTCTCGACGCGCAGACGGGCGGCGCGCCGCTGGAGGAGGACCGGCGCGTAGGTCTCGGGGACGAAGATGAAGGCGATGATCATGAAGAAGCTGGAGGCGATTAGTGTGATCCAGGCGGTCCATCGCCAGCCGAGGTGGGATTCGACAATGAAGCCGCCACTAATATGTGTTAGTGGTGATGTATATAGGTATATGGACAGTTGAGGCTCACATGATCGGCCCAAAGGTAGGTCCTCCAAAAGTAGCCCCTGAGAACAAGGCAACGGCGACACCGCGATCGACCGGGTCCCAGATATCGGCGAGCGTTCCTCCGATGACCGCTAATGGTGCGCAACCGAAGAGTCCCACGAAGAATCGAGCGACAAGGATCGTCTGGAGGTTCTGGGCGACGGCGACAGGGATTTGAAAAATGGCAAAGACTGCATACCCAAAAAAGAGAGGGGTTTTACGACCGTATAATTCGGAGAATGGTCCCCAGACCAGCGGACCGATGCAGAAGCCCTCGAACAAGTCAGCTATGGCAAGGCGAGACGAAGCAAGGAATTAACTTACAAAAAGAGGGAGACTGGTGGAGAGCGTTGTTACTTCAGTCGATACGTGATACAACTCTGCGGTGACCACGGTGGCCTGGCTGAAGACACTGGTGGCGAAGGTGATCCAGATGGTCAGAGACGACAGCAGCATGGTGATGACCCATTTTTTGGCGACGGAGAAGTTCTGAGGGTTCTCGGGGTCGTCAGGCCCGTCCCATTCGACGAGATTGGGATCTTTCCCCTGAGCTTTCTCTATTACTTCGCGGCTGGCCGTGCCATATCCGGCCTCCAGCTCTAGTTCTCTTTCTGCAGTCTCCCGCGCGCTCAGCGGGGGCACATCGTCGTCATTCTCCTTGTCAGCGGCTAGGGCACTGGGGATGGTTTCGAGGCGGTCGTTCTGGTCCTTTTGAGGAGGTGGTTGGTCGAAGCTGGTCCTCGTCGGCGTGGTAGCCTGCGAGTCAAACGGAGGCGAACTCATGTTGATATGTTCCAGTCGACGGGGTTGTATGGGAGTTTGGGATGATGGTCTGCATGAGACGAGACAGATCATCTATAATATACCAGCCCCGTCTTGGGTATGGGGTTAGTGACAATCTGGATTTGTCAGGGGCGTCCATATGGGCGGAGATAAGGCGTCGACAAATTCGAACACCAACGAAAAGTTTCACGCAAGCAACGTCATCTGCTCATTGTGATAGGCCGCCTGTCGGGCCTTCGGTGAGTCGCGCCCGCCCCGCCGATGATGAGCTTATGCTATTGCTAAGCTTTTCGAACTGTCGAGATGACCTTAGGAGTCGTGATGGCATTACAGCCCGCCAGCAGGCAGTATGTGAAAGCATGTGGGGTGTGTATGCACTATATTGTGCATGGGCAACGAATGAGATGCGTCCAGCAAGTATCGAGGAGACAATATGATGGTATATTGTATATTGTATAATGTATAATGTATGTACGAGAGGATTTATGAATCTGATTCTATGCACAGTTGCGTAAAAGCAGCAACAGGGATTACCTGTCGGCGCCTCTGAACCGCCGAGCCCAAGTGGGCAAGTGGGCCGCGGGATTCCCCCGACTCGTGCCCACCCCACACGCTTCCACGGTTTGGCGCTCTAATTCGCGATTGTTTCACGTTTCAGGGTCTTGATTGGAGGATAGTGGCCCACACTCGGCACATGCGCAAGGCGAGACAGCCGGATATCCGCGCCGCTCTCTATTAATGATTATTCACTCCCAACGGCGCTCGTCGGCCGATCTCCGAAAGGTGCGCTCGGAGATAACATCCTTATAAGGTTGAGACTGATGAGGATGATCATTAGTAATTTGTGATCAGTAACCACCCCTCTTGTTCTGTCAACTCTCGTTTATGCTTGCTGGCCTGCTGGTAAACGGCACGTCTCGGCGCGACTGATCCTGCCTGGGATCTGACGGTATTTACATATTTATCACGATATATGAATATCAACTAGAAAAATACCAATCAAGAGAACATGCTGAATATTGATGCTTGAGATGGTACTAGATCTCGTGTCGTCCCGATCTGGTTAGCGCCGATTTGGCGTGCAGTCGGAGAATTACTCTTTTACAGCCTGCATATATCAATCAGCCTCTTTATACAATCATCGAAGAATGGCAGTTTGCCCCTACAAACACACACAGACACACATAGACACACACACATACACACATACACACAGACTGCCCACAAACAACATTGGGGTTTGCACACAAACGATGGTCACAGCAAGCGAGCTCCGGGGGCGGCAGGCGGGGTGCCCACGGATTTATCCCGCCAAGAACTGCCTGGCTGCTGTTTGATCTCGCCACTGACTCCTGGAAACACAACCGTTGTTTGACGGTGTTACCAGCCATAATACCATCTGTTTTCTCCTGGACGCCCTGGAATTCATTTCGATCATGAATTCGTGAGAATGCGTTAAAAAATCTTGCCCCCGACCAAGAACTGCGAATGTGACTAAACTAGTGACGACAAGACCGCATCAGACAGTCAGTTAACAGTCAGTCAACACCCAGTAACTGCCAGAGGAACGATGAGCGGGCGCAGGTGTCATGTTCAAGACAAGCGCCATCATGTTTCTGAGGATATTACATTTGATTTAGCCACCGAGCTTCGCGCGGCGACAAGGTGAGCAAGACATTTCTCCCATGACAAATCATCCGGCTGATCGAATGATAGGGACCTCCACAATGCCCTAAATTCTACCATTATCCATCGACTACCCCTCGGTCTCCCACCAGTAGCCACCTCCCCACAACTGTACGGCCTAGGAATCTCCCGTTTTGCCAGATTATACAATGTCCTCGAGAGCGAATGGGCCGGTTATATTACTTCTCCCCAGCGCAACACTGCCGCGGACACTAAGTATCGAGCCATTCTTGATAGCGCCTTTATGTTAGAGATTGCCCGTAGTCGACGGCTCTCTTCTGATCTCGCGAATCTCAGGGCCGTGTGGGGTGAGATAGACAGCCCGTGCAACGATGCCGCCCTCCGTCGCGCAGTCGACCACATCTCAGCCTCGATCAAGGCCAAGCCATATGTCGTTCTGGCGTATGCATGGATCATGTACATGGCGCTTTTCAACGGGGGTCGATGGATTCGAGAACAGCTGGTAAGAGCGGGGCCGGGGTTCTGGTTTGTCGCGAGCACGTCAGAGAAGCGGCTTTCTTCGGAGTCGGTTAAACAGTCGTGTTTGTCATTTTGGTATTTTGATGGCGACGAGGATGGCGAGGATTTGAAGAATCTCTTCAAGGCAAAGCTGACCACGGCATCCATGTGTCTAACGAAGAAGGAAACCGAGGATGTAGTCGTCGAGGCGCAGGCGTTGTTCCAGCATATCCTAAACATTGTTCTGGAAATCGATACGGTTGCTCAGTCGCGTCACCCGCAGTCTCTAGCTATTCAAAGGAACTCTTTGTCGAGCTTTGATCCCTTTCTGATTATGTTTGTTTTAATCATGGGAGGGTTCTTTGGGCATTATCTTGGCCTCCAGACTTCTGTTACTAAGATATTTAATAATTAATACATGAGTATTCTTCATCATTACTTTGCTATCTTGTAACCTATATTAAACGGCGCATATGTATGGAGTGGTATACTTTACAGATATCGTGAGACACCACTTATTAGTTCAATTTCAGTATAATGTTAGTGAACAACTTCAGATATGTTGACTTATAATATTCAAATAATCATGTTGACTATAATCCCTGGTATATATGAAATGATAAGAAGCCACTTTCCAGTCCAATCCCTGCTATGTAAATGAATACCCAGTAAATAATGCCGACATAACTCCAGATCCATCCACCCAACCGCCCAACCTTTCACTTAAATGTGTTCCAAACTCCATGCTCAAGTAACAAAATCAACTTCCCATCATCATAATCGCCGGCCAAGTAAAAATAATACCAATCAATGCCCATCAATCAACGCCTTCACCCTCTCCACCCTATCAATCGCCTTCTCCAACCGATCCAGCCTCTTGCGCTTCTCCCCATCCCTCTTCTCGAGCAACGCCACCCTCTCCTCCAGCTTCGCCCTCGCCTTGCGCTCCTGCGCCACCATCTCGTTCGCCTGGCTGAACAGCTGCGCCGTGAGCTCCTCCAGCTCGGAACTCGCCTGCGAAAGCTGCGACTCGGCGGCCTTGCGCAGGTTTTGTTCACGGGTTAGTGCAGTTTGGAGTTCTGATTCTTGCTGTGGCTGCGAAATTGAGGTGGACGGCGGTGATAATGTTTGGTGGGAGGACGATGGCGGGCTTGAGGATGTCGTCGTGTGCGTAGAGTGCGATGTGGGAGGGGGAGTACTAGTATACGAATCTTTGGACCCGCCGCGACGGTAGGAAGGGAAATATGCGGCGAAGTTCGCGAAGCGGCCTTGCTGTTGTTGTTGTTGCTGCTGCTGTTGATATGTATCGGTTGATCTTGGGGCTTGGTCGGTGGCTGAGGACGATGTTGACGCTCGCGTCTCCCCGTTACTAGTGGTGTGATTCAACGCGTGCGTGTGTATTCGCAGGTTGCGGGTTTCATCTTCGTATTCTGCGGTCTGGTCTGTTGTGTATCGTATTGTTGTTAGTTCGCGCGCCTATGGTCGGATAGAAAGGAATCACCGTACCTGACCCCGAAACCTTTGCGGATAAGAAGCGGACCTGGGCTTCCAGCTCTTGTATGCGTTGCTGCGCGGAGGAAGACTGGTCACCGCAGTGAGGACATGTCGCAGCCGAGGGAGTATTGTCAAACGAGGTCGAGCTCGAGGTCGTCATGGGCGGGTAGTAATCTCCGATCAGCCTGGTTCCTTGTGTTGATAGTGTTGTTGTTGCCGTTATTGACGGGTTGCGAATGGTGGTGGTTGCGGACATTGCATTGCTGTCCTTTTGACAGCGTTGCTTCAGGTGATGATGATGCAACTGGATGGGGGATTAATTAGTTGGTCGGGCCAAAACGAGGGGTCTCCGAATCATACTAGGTAACTTCGCAGGTGACTTAGTACATGTAGCACTGGTAGGGCCTTAGACTGTCATCAGCCGTCAGCGACCGGGTCACAAGACAGTGGCAGGGATTATTATTGTTATTATTATTATTAATTAGCCAATAATAATAAAATAATAAATAATAAATGCGCACGAGGTGATGCAAGGCAGCTCCGAAACAGTTCAGGCCGTCATGCTAGGAGCTCCGTTATTATAATTTATTATTACTTACTATACAACCCTCTAATTAATATTAATACTATTTATTGTACTGCCCCGGTTTTTATTCCGTATTCAACATTGGTACATGTCTTATTTGCTTGACAACACGTATGTATGTATTTACGATGAACAGTGATTGTTATTTTATTTATCTGTGCTATTTTTTCGACTAAATCAAGAATACCATGCTTTACTACACGCAAGGAGCTCACCCAACATTACATATGTACCAATCAATACCTACATAAATCACTCAGTGATCGCACTAAACACACTCTAGATATTCCTCAATAGGCCCAAACTCGAGGCATGATTATTTTTCTGTCGATTAAATATTGTTGATCTAGCCCCTATTTGCCTAGGACAAGTAAATCTAACGGAAGATAAATTGAATTGTGCAACATCCTATTCATTGAAATTTGGTATTCTAATAACCTGTGTACCGCCCCTTAGCCTGGATGTGACCACTGGAAGTATTGCGCTGCTCTGCTGCTGCCCAAGCCCTAATTAGCCGCCCTTCCATAATCGAGATGGACCCCAATTCAGAAATTCCCACGCGCAATTTCCGTTATAATACTTGGATTGATCTAGGAGCAAGAGATGCGAAGGATTATTGAAGTGTATTCTGTCGAAAGCGTTGAGAGAATGGAGTGGATGGAAGAACCAAGTTACCTCTTGTGTTTGATGTTGGGCACCGGACGTGGCAACCAAAGAATGTACCAACAGACGAGCCCTTTTCGACTACAGCGAGTGCCAAGATGCAGCTATTCAGGAAATTAGGATGAACCAAGCGGTATTGGGACTATTCTTGTTGAATATCACCCGCTCACCCGCTCAGAGATCATGTCGAGCGTTCTTGCTCATGTGCCGAATCTTCCCTCCATACTATTGACAGATCAGTTACGTTCCAAGAGTCATCAGCCTGCTGGCAGTTCTCTAGACTTACTTTGTAGAAAACAAACGGGATGGGAATGAAACATATGGCGATACCACCTAGCAGCGAGTTGCCAGGGCCGATGCCGAGGTGGTGGAATAGAGCCGGAGCCTGTCATAATCAGCCTTGCATTATACACATAAGAAAGAAAGAAAGAAAGAAAGAAAGAAAGAAAGAAAAGAAACCTTACAAACAGTGGAAAGCTAGCCGCAAAACAGGCGCGGAAAAGCGCACTTCCAGCGAATATGGACGCAGCGTAAACGGGATACGAAATGCCCAAATAATTGAACAGCGAATTGAACAGAGTCACCACGCCGATAGTGAAAATACCCGAGCCGATGATGGGCATAATCCAATGAATACTTTTCTGTGCTGACCAGCCATACCAGAAAAGACAGATAGGGAGGGCCAAGGAGCCGATGAATGTCGGTGGGAGAACCATCTCGGGCTTGAACCCCGGCTTGTTGAATTTGGCAACTATACCGTATCGTACCCAGAGCAAAAACCCACTTAGAGTAATGACTGTGCCAACGAGAATACCGAGATATGCGAGACCCTGCTGTTGGACAGTAAAGCCGTAGATGTCGCCGAATACAAGAGGGAACGACTCGAACCAGATAAACAGCACTCCATATAAAAGCCCAGCGTAGAGGTCCATCAGGAAGACAATTGGCTCAGATAAAGTCAGGGTGAAGGCTCTGGCAAGGACAATAAGGTCATTTCGGAGGGTGTGATGTGCGGCGTCAATTTCAGACTGACTTTTCAGTCGACTATCTCCCGTCGCTTTCCTCAAACGCTTTGCTCTCTTATACAGAATATTTGCCGCACTAGTCTCAGGAAGAAAGAAAAACATTGTGATGAGCACACACGAGCACAGCCAGGTGAATAGCCAGATTGTCCATCGCCAACCCTTCACCGGGGCTAAGAATCCCCCGATAAGCGGACCAAAGACAGGACCCAAGACGCCAGCCGAAGACCAAATACAAATCATGTATGAAACATTAGCTGGATCGAACATATCCACAATAGTACCTCCTCCTGTCGCTAGACACGGGCTGCCGCAAAAGCCAGTGAGAACTCGAAAGACGAGGAACATGGGCATGTTGACCGCGAAGCCGGTGGGCATTTGAAGTAAAATGAAGGCGAAAAGAGTCCAGAAAAAAATAGCCGTGCGTCCTAGTTGAGGCATCTCAGACATAGGGGACCATAGCATTGGGCCGAGACCATAGCCTCTGTGACGGGTTAGCTATCAGCAGATGGATTGATATTGGAAAAGGTCTGGCTTACACGGTGAAGAAGGATAGTCCCAGGGTAGCCACGGTCTCGCTGACGCCAAAGTCTAGCATGACGTTTTGCTCACCCGGCACATAGATAGAACTGGCAATGTAGACACCAAAGTTGAGTATACACATTTGGACAGAGATGGCAGCCTTCCACACGGCGGACCAATTATGAGGGTTCTGCAGGTGCTGTGTTAGACAGGCAATGTGTAAGGTGTATGTACCCGCATTCCTCTGGATCATCCTGACCGTACCAACCTACTAGGAGAATATCTTCCCAATCATCGACGATGGGGTTGGTTGCAGTAAGGTCTTGCGCGCCGGCATCCTTGGTAACAGAATCACTGTTCTCTCCTTCAGACGACGGGGACGGGACTGCCTTCCTCCATAGCGACGGATCAATCTCGTCTGGATATCGAAAGACTTTGTTACCAGACACCGCTCGCACGAGTTGGCCGAAGACGGTACTGTGGAATCGGGAGGCCATGCTGACTCTCTCTCTCTCTTTTTGTCGAGGGCTGTCTCGAATTGAGAGAGCGATGCAACTTTTTGCATAGAGGAAGGAGTGATCTCTCTAATTATATCACAGAGAGCCCCTCTTCCTCTATTCGAAAGCGCGATAAGTTTATAATTTCTACATGTAGCATATGCGAGCGGGTTTAAACCCCGGCGTTGTCGATGGGAAATTCGGCCTATCTCCGCGATCAACATTATTAATACAAAAAACATATATATTACATGTTGTACATGCTCAATGAGGATGCCTGTAGAGTTCTATACATACGTATTAATATTTCATTTACAATTAATGAGTGCTCAGCACTGCTCAGTGAGGGAAATACAATTAGTCGTATAATTACATGTATTATCAATTGATATAATGTATCAAGAACTATAAAGAATAAGCCCTCTTTATTAATACGTTATGTATTGATGTAATATCTATATATCAACAATGAACTAATACCCTTGACAGTGCAATTTTTTCTTCAAGAGGTCAAGGTAAACTCCTTTCACTACCACCTATCTGTACAGCCTAGTTAGTCCTATTAAGTCTATTGCTACCAGCATACCTCCTCCAAACTAGGCGCAGAACCTTTTCATCTGTCAATACAAGCAAAACAGCCGTAGCTGCACAACAAGCCGCCATCACGATGTTCATCACCCTCCACCCAGCAGTCTCGACCACCGCTCCGGCCACAATCGGCCCGATAGTCTGTCCACTTCCCCACGCGATAGTATGCAGCGCAAACGCCTGTGCACTGGCACCAGCCTCGCCGAATATACCTGGCATTTCACGCTCTTTGCGCTCAATGGGGTCGTTCAGTTCGACCATGAGCGGGAGTAGGATAGCCGAGAGTGCGAGGCCGGCGGCGACGAGTAGGGAGAAGAAGATTATGCAGGAACGCAGGGAGTCGTCCGTGACGAATTGGAAAGCGATGAAAATGGGGACGAGGGAGATGAAGGATAGACTGGAAATGATTCGAGGGCCGTGGTAGTCAATGGCGGATCCTAGATATGAGGAATAAGCCGGTGATAGGGACTTGTTATGCGACAACTTACCAATGAGCGGAGATATAATGGCGGGGATCGTCAGTGCGAAAAAGGACATCCCAATACCAGCTGATTCCCAGTGAAAGGTCCTGATGACAAAGACGGGAAGAGTCTGATATGATGTTAGATTCCACTCATCAATATACGAGGCGGAGTTTTGCTTACAGTTTCAAACGAGGTCCAGACTATTGCATTAATGATGCTTGCAATAAGCAGGACAAGGAGCTGACCAGACAAAGCCAGACGCACGATTGGAGGGATGAAGCTTGTTGAGACATGGCCAGAACAGGCCTCTTCATCGTGACCGGCCTCGGTGGTACTCTGATATTGGGGCACTCCTGAATCACGAAGTAATGGCTCTGTTTCCCCGTTCTTGACCTTTTGTTTAGGCTTTGGCTCGATCATGAGGCATCGGAATACAACATCGATGCCGATCAAGGACAAAGCCAGTATGAAAACAGAGTCATAGCCGGTTTTATTCAAGCTACCGTCGACTTAGCTCACCATTACAATCGGTATAAAATATAAACGCAGACTTACAGAATCCCAGCCACAGCTGGTCCAGCCATAGTTCCAACAGTCATAGACATCGATACATACCCCATTGCCGTGCCCAACTGCTCCTTGTCCACCGTGTCGACCACAAGCGCATTGCCGACTACCCACATAGCTACCTCGGCGACGCCCTGTAAAGCGCGCGCGGTGACCATTGCTGTGGGCGTTCTTGCTACCCAGAACAACACAGTTGCGCCAGCAACAGCAAACAGACCGACGATGAAGGTGAATTTTCGGGATGAGCCCTTGTCGGCGACATATCCAACGATAGCTATCACCAATCAGCAACGATTAAATACTTCGGGTTGGGCAGTCGCACGTGAGCTAATCAGAAGAGCACCTCCAAAAGTTGCAAGTAGAATAGAAAGCCATTTTTGGACTTTCGGCAATTGTATCAGCGTGATATCGAGATTAAATGTTGGGTTGAGCAACTCACGCTCGTCATCTGGTAGATCGAGTCGGTCTCTGAGAATGGTTGGAACAAGAGGAATGACCTTTACTCAATTTCAGCTTGATAAAAATACGAGAAGGTCGAATGAGGCTGTACCATTCCATATATAAAGACATCCTTTCGACATCCATTGTTAGCGACGGTTTGACAAGATAATAGGGAAGGTGAGCTAACAGCAAAGATGGCGATAGACACGACAATCACTATAAACGTCTTGGACGAGCGAAAAACAGTGCTCCTTCTCTCTTCCTTGTATTTTGCATTGTCGCAGTCCGTCGTATTGTATGCTGCCACTGCAGCCATTTCCCTTAACTTGACTTGAATGTTGTGGGGAGAACAGTCTGACTTCAAGACACAAAATTAAAAAATCCGTCCCAGGGCCATCAAGTCAATTGATAAGCAACGCGTGATTCTATAAAAATTGAACATCTATCACAATTGACTTACCCCTCCATCTCTAAAAAACAGAAGAGCAAATCATGGCCAATTATTAGCCTCACCGCATCGGCGGGTTGGGCGATCCACAATCTGGCAGATCATCAACAATCCACCTCCCTGGTAGGACGAGGGCGTCGAAGCTACTGCGAGATGAAGCACGCGTGGATAGGAGTCATTTTTACTAATTATGAGTTCTCCAGTCAGGTTGTCTGGTTCGGGCGAGTCAGAAGTCCAGACCTCGGATGTCTTCCTTTGCCTAAACATGGTATAAAATTCCGCTGTTAGTGCGTTCAGGCTTTTGCTGGGTCTATCGACATCTCTATACCGGTTACTGGATTGTGCTTAATGTAAGATTTAGATTATTGTAATGGAGGATGAAAGATCGGAAATTCTTTTCTCGTGCGTTACATACAATCCTCCATAGAAGCCTATAGCCAATAGATGCATCATAGATAAGGTCTTCGTAAAGGAGATCCCTAGTAGTGGCACAGACAGGCAAGAAAACTTTTTAGCAAAGACAACCGCGCTTTCGATGGTAACAAGAAAATAAAAAGAATTATAAAAAAGAACTTGCACCAGGGAATTGACCCGAACAGAAGAGAGAAAACACCGTGGTACCAGACAAGGTGGGAATGAGGAGGGAGAGAAGGGAAAAGAAATTCGACATGATCTAGAGACGAAAGGAAAAGTTGCACGCAGCCACCATCATAACCAAAAGAGGTACAAGGAGACTCGGCAGGTCATCATCGTGTATTGCCGTCAGGATATGAGGGATTGAAGAAACAGGAAAGTAGGAAAAGAAGAAGTTGCATTATGCAAATGTCATTCTGCGTAACCTCGTTGCTCATGTTCCAGTCGTTCGAGGTGCCAACATTGGAAAGAAGCGGGAAATGCGTTTCTGCAATGCTCTATCGCATGACACGAGGTGACATCGACAGAGAGGCGACATTAATAACCGCGGCCACGGCCCTTGTTGCGTTTGCCAGTAGAAACGGTGCTCCAGCCTTCGTCATCGGCCTCATTCGCAGCAGGCTCAGCCTTTCGCCAGCTACCGTTGGCTTTGCCAGAAGGCGCTTCTTTTGTCGCATCCTTTGTAGCAGTAGATTCCTCAGCAGCCTCGGTCTCCTCCTCGTCAGCTGCCATGCCACTCCCATCCTCGTCGGCCCGTCGAAGGACCTCGAAATTCGACTTCTTCGGGACATCAGGATCCGTCTCCTTAGCTCCATTGGCATCACCATCCGCCGCCTTCTCGGACTTGGTCTTCTCCTTTGACTGACGTTTTTCTGCCTTCTCAGATTTGGTCTTATCCTCAGCTTCCTTGCGGGCCCGATCACGCTTCTCGGCTACCTCTCGCTCCCTAGCAGCAGTATCAATAGGCCGGGCAGCACCGAATGGGCTTGCCTTGGAGTCACCAGCACCACCAGCGCTGGGTGGGGGGCTCTGGACATTTTCCGACACTGTCCTTTTCTGCAAGTTTAGTTTCGGTCGCACAGCGGGAGCAGGAGCAGCAGGGGTTGGGGTAGCTGCAACGGGCGAAGATGGAGCGCTGGGCTCCTTGGGGGCAGGATCCGGGCGCATACGTGCTCTCCACTGGTTGTCCAAATCGGCTGCTGTGGGAGTACGCTCTGGTCTTTCGGGTCGCTCCTGAAACTCACGGCGAGGTGGTCTTGAGCCGTCCTGGGAACGTCCTTCTCCCCACGCTGGGGAGTTCTTGCGAAAACCTGAACCCTCGGTGTTTCGTGGGCGGCCTCCTTCACGTCCGACAGCAGCGGCAGAAACCGGAGACAATGGACCCTTGCGCTCCCAATTTCCAAAGTCGCGGGGCTTTCCATCACCTTCAAAGCGGCGTCGCTCGCCCCGTACACTCCCTCCATCCGAAATGTTATCAGGGAAGTCCCGAGCAGGTCGGTCGTTTCCACGGCGAGGCAGGTCTGGGAGAGGACCTTTCCTAGTCCAGTCGCTGAAGTCACGAGACTGTTGAGATTCCTTGGCTAAAAAATGGTCAGTCAAACTGTATCAACCAAACGCAAAAACGGGGAATTGTAACACATACGTGGCTCTGCAATGCTGACACGAATACCACGTCCTTGAAGAGATGTGCCTGAGAATGTGAGCGCCTTCTTCAAGCCCTCAACGCTGGCGAATTCAACATAGCCGAAGCCCTTGGGAGTGCGGTTCAGCTTATCCTCGACGATCCGGACGTTGGTCACTTCGCAGTCGGCGAACAGTTGGGAGACATCCTCAGAAGTTGCATCGAAGGATAGGTTCCCAATGTGGGCGGTATACGGGGGCTCTGTGGGAAGAGGTAGGTCAGGACGGGCGAATGCTGGACGTTCGCGATCTATTACTAGTTAGACGAGATTACAGCAAAGATTGACTCTTCTTCTTTCGGTGTCCGTACCGTTATAGCCGTTTCCGAAGCCCGCAGTTGAACTGACAGTGCGACGTTCCCCGCCAAAGGTCGAGCGCGATTCCGAGGTGGCTAAAATAGCACATATTAGTTTTGAAACTTGGTCAAGGATGGAAATGGCATCGAGTGTGGCGCGGTGTGATTGGCGGCATACCGGCTGACGATTTCAGTCAACATCGGCAGCGGCCTCTTTCACACAAGAAGGGCTCGAAGCTTACAAGGCAAGGGCATGTCCTCCATTTCATCGGCCCAAGAACCGAAGTCTATCGCAAGTTAGCCATTTCTGTTCTCGCTCACCCAGGAAGCGTGGGAACCCACTCTCATCCGCCAAGAAGGTCCCTATGGACATCTTCTGGGCTTTCTGTTTGGGCGCTGCACCAGTAAATTAGCCATATTCGATATAGAATACCAACTACGACCACCGCGGAAAGCGAGGCAGAGGGTATGGCGACGAACCCATGATTGCAATTGATGGGGCAGGAAAAGCGCGCAGGGTGTTGTGCGCGTCTCTTCCCTTCTTGGAGCCGAGAATTCGCTAGATGGAAAATTTGCTGAAAGGCGGAAATATCCTCCAGCAAGGGTCGCAGCAGTTCTGGGAGAGGCGACGAGGGGAGAATGTATCACAAGTAGCCGGTGGCAGTCGAGAGAGTCGTGATGGTGGTACTCCGCGAGGATCAGACAGAGGGGAAGTTGTCGATACGGCGTGAGGATAATTTTTAGTAATAACGGCTAGAAAAGTCAGCCTGCAGCGATAATTGCTTAGTGCGGTCGCGGCCGCGCACTCTGTTGCTAAGTACGTACTAAGGGAACTATTAGGAACAATATTCATTCTTCTGCTTCTAATTAATACTAATATTAATATTTATATCGACCCGTGGTTTCACTGCTATTATTTGTATTTTGCATCTTCTCCCTCCACTCCTGTGTCCTTTTGCGAATGCCATTTGTGGGATAAGGCTCCAGGTGCTAGCATAGACCTTGCATCCGGCCACAAACTACACTTTCATTCGCACATTCACGTTGCCTTTTGCCCAGGCGTGGAGAGACTGAGAGCAATGCCAAGTTCTGGGCGAGAATTCTCGAAGGCTGTTATTAAGTGTTGTATAGTATATGGTATATTAGTAGTCGTCGACAAAGAGAACACCAGTCTTTGTTCTTGCCCTTGGAAATAATGCCGCTTCTGTACTGGCAGTCAAGGCTGCTGAACTATGAAGATGGTAGCAGCAATAATGGTAAGATGAAGAATAAGAATAATAATATAGAGAGGGAGTTGAGACATCTACTATAGGGTTTTGTGAAATGCCAGGCAGAGAGTGTGTATTGTAAACATAACATGACAAGACCTTGTCATGTCAAATTGACGATTTGCGTAATTTTAAAGCGGGTCTAATTAAAGCGCTTTAATTGGCCAGAAAAATTTCTCAGCCAATCAAAACTTGGAAAAGTCTCTTGGTGGCGGCGTAACAGTCGCCAAAATCTTAAAATAGCTAGATCAAAATCACTTGTAGAATTTTCTCCATTGCTACTTACTAAAATAGGTATAGTGCCTAATATAATTTGTTAGTAAACAGGGGTCCAACGCAGGCTTCCAAAAATTTGTGTATGCCCGAAGTGGGTCCTGACAATACCAAACACTAAGTCGAGTTATCCAAAGCCGCACGTGATGTAGTGCAAACACGGCAAACGGTCGTGCCTTCCGCATTGGCAGCACATGGCGCCTTCTTTGTCTCTGTGCAGGAAACCACCAGTGTTTCTGCCATGGACTGCACAGAACGATGACTACCGACCAGCAGGACCAGAATCCGGTGGCAGACACCGGACTTCTAGCTTCGTCCCTGAAAGTTGGCGCACTGAGTGGTATGTCTTCGGCCTGCCATGCTTCGGACTGGCTAACAAGCGGATGAATAGCATTTGCTGGTTTCACGTATGGAGGTGCTTCGGGGATTTTGAGAGCGACCAAGCACCCCATTGTACACTCGCTCTCGCATAGTATTCACTGGGCTGCTTGGGGCAGCTCCTTTTGGTGTAAGAACTGGATAAAGAGGATGCGGCTGGATCAGATACTAACAGGGAGGAAACCAGGGATCCGAAGCAATATTCTACATCTGCATTTCCAAGATCATGCTACGCCACGGGAGCGAGTCTATTCCAGTACGATCTCTGGCGGTCTTTCAGGCGGCATTGTGACGCGGTTGATGGGTAATGACTATGGCCTTCCTAGATACTTTGCTTACTAACGAGCCCCAGGAGGTAAATTCATCCCCGGCCTTGTCGTATTCTCACTGGTTGGATGTTTGGGACAGAGTGCCTGGAATGTCGTCCAACGGCGACAGCAGGAGAACGAAGGCAAGGTTTCGAAGCCCATCCTGCAGCGCATGGCTGAGTCCAAGTGGATTCCACTGCGGTCCCTATCGGATGACGAATTCAAGCATCTGCTGAACGAGAAAGTGTTAAGCATTGAGGCGGAAATGGCTCTTCTGGACGAGAAGATCGAGGGCCTGCAGCGAGAGCGGGATCTGGAGATCAACCACAAGGGTGCGCAACGTGCCGAGGACCAGGCTTCCAAGCCTTGATTGTTTTCACTGGTTGAAGTGTACATGTCCATGTAGATAGACATTTGCCACTGACTTCAATGTTGTATTATGATTGATCTAGATTTATATATGATGTAACTTTCTCATATTTTGGTACTGGACCGGTTGACGAGTATGCTGCACAAATAGATTAGTTATAAATCGGATAGTGAACAACCATTAGCGTTGAATGGATGATAATTGCGATGCGAAGAGGCCAATGGGCTGGCATTCATCGTACTTATCGAAATGTAGCGCGCAACGGGAGTGGCGGAGCAAGATATACAGTCGCACTGCGAAGAATGATAAGACTTAATTAAGTAGTAATAGTGCGCAGGCCCAGGCTGGGCGGCAGTTGCCGGACCTCCCCGGGCGCCCTATTGGACAACCCACTAAGCGCAGTGAACGGCCCAGTGTAACGGGCCAGAACTAATCTGGCAGTCAGCTCGCCCGCACATCCGGGTACACTGCAAGCCGTATACCACCAACCTTTTCCTTTCTTCAACCATCCATATCCCTGACCCAGTCTCGACTCTCTGCACAAATTGCCATCCGTCCGGTCGACCGTCTTGGAACCTTGTGTCTGTCCGCCATCCGCACGCTATAGAGCATGCACGCTCTCTTCCCCCTTACCTCCAAATGACACACTATCGAACTCAACTCGTCACCAATCCTTAGTCGACTGGGACTGCGCACTCCCCCCCTTTTCGCTATCGCAATCGCGTGCACGAGTCGGTCGCCAGCCAGAAGACGAGGACGGTATCCCTGGCGAATCGCGATGAATGAGGAAACAGGATCGGCACGAATGATTAAAATCGAGTGAGTCGCGCGCCGAACAGACCGTGGAGCTTGAGCTGTCCACGGACGGTTGTGCCAGCATGTCGTTCTTCACCCCCACCACCGTGCTGGTGGGAGTGCTATTGCTCTATGTCTCCTCGTTTATCCTGTTCGCGATTGTTCGCATCGCCACCGGTGTCTCAATCCAGCGCATTGGTTATTTTTCTCTGAGACGTATTGCCTATGCTCCCCGGGAAGGCGTGCAAATTGACATTCGCGGCCTGGGATTATCTTTACACCGACCGTCCTTCTCCCAACCGACGTGGATCAGCCTGCGATTGACCGACCTCAAAGTAACGGTAGACCCGAAATTGCTGAAGCATGGAAATAACGATAGTCATGGAAAAGGTGCCTCGCGGCCCGCCTCTTCGAACGGGTCTCCGGCCATGCCCCAAGATGCGACTTTTGGCACACCAAAGAGCTCGTCGAGGCGCAGCGAGACGTGGAAGAGACTGACGAGACTGAAGGAGAGGATAAAGCGCCTACATACGTATATCCACTGGCTCGCGATGATTGATGTACATGCCACTAACGCCGCCGTACACTTCGTCGATGCTGGGCATATCCAGGTGGGGGCTTTCACAATGGCAGTTGATACTAGGCGAAAGATGGTGGAACGTGGCCGGCTGTTCCGCCATAAGAAGCCACAGTCACAGGGATCTCGCCCCGCGGAATGGATAATGACTGTTCGGAACATTTTACTAGCGGTCGATGGCCGGGAACCCATGGAGCTCTTGGACAACCTGCAGTTGAATATTCATGGCCATTTGTATCAGGACTTAGAGGGTCTACGAGACACCTCTGTGGCTATCAAAATTGGTCGACTGCATGTTCCATACGACGATCTGATGCTACTCTCCCAACGAGTCGGACAAGCCCAAAAGATGCCCTTCAAAGTGGAGTCGCCAACAGAAACAGATGATGAGATTTCATTTGCGGACTTCGTGCAAGAGCTAGACAAGCCTGGGTCTAGAGAAGATGTTATTGTCCAAACCGTTGCCGATTCGAAGGAGTTTGCAAGTTCAATTTTACGCGGCATTGAGGAAATACAGGTAGCTTTGAGCTTTTTCCGTGTCTCAAGGTGCATTCCCGCTACAGCCGCCGAGCAAAAGGATATGCAACTTAATCTCGTCACCCATGAAATCGGTATCGATTTGCATCGCATGGATCCCAATTCCCCAGCCCATCGAATGTATTTTCAAAAACGAGATGTGGCCCACCAGGCTTTGTTAGCTGCGATTTCTGTCTCCGTCAGTTTGGAAGATACCTCTGGAGCAACAGACAGGCTTCTTTACGTACCCATGGCCACCACAACGATCAAAACAACCCTTCCTTCCAAGACTGTAAGCTTTTCCGACGAACGCGATGCAGAGGCACGTAATAGTAATGTTTTATTCGCCAACCTCGTTATCACCTCTCCTTCTCTTGATTTGGAGCCTCGCCATGTCTCCCAAGTCCTTCGGCTAGCGCAGACAAGAACAACATCCCCGCGCAGGAAAAAGCGAGACAATCATCATATTATTTCACGATTATTACCAAAGGCTAGCATCAAACTCTCGGTGCATGAGCCCGTGTTACGATTCGTGCTACCCATTCCAAAGGACGCCTCAGTCGATGCCGGCGATTATAACCTTTTAATTTCTTCTATTTCATCCATATCACTAGATATCGAGTCATCCCATTCCGCTGAAGCCGGAATCGACTATTCTTTGTCATCCGTATATCGCGTTGCTTCTCACCAGCTCTATTACCAGACACCAGCTGGCGCCAAGCACAATCTTCTTCAAACCAAAAACATGGAAGTTCGTGTCCACCTCAATGCTACACCCGAAGTCTGTGTCTTCGTATCTGGTAGCTTGAATTCATTTTCCGTCCACATGGTTAACGCCGACGTAAACCGCGGGATGAAACAGGTTGTTGAGCAGTTTCGAGCCCAGCTCAGACCAAGAAGAGGAGTCCCTTCGACAGCAAGCGATCAGAAGTCCAGTTTCCTGCGCCGCCTTCCCCCTTGGTTGATGCGGGTGCAATTCGAAGCCACTGAACTGAACTTCGAGGTTGCTGGTCCTCCTCCAGGATCATCAAAGACCCCGCGTGGAGTCGCCCTTCAACTCGAGTCATGGACCGCTGACTATCGCGCACAGAAGCTCGAGCCTATGAAGAATGTTTCAAGACGACGAACGTCCAGCCATTCTCACTCTTCTATCAGCGATGACCCTGCTTTCCGCTTTCCTCCCACTTCCCCTCCGCGAAGGACTGCCAATAGCCATGCTGATGGTCGGAGACTTGCTGTGCACATCAGAGGCCTCGAAGGCTTCGTAATTGAAGCCGAAGACTACATGGAACCAGAGTCCTTTCTTTCTTTGCCACGATGTGAGGTTGCTTTTAGTAGTCAGAGTGACTTGCAAGGTCCAATTTTCCACATAAATTCGACCATGAAAGCTTTATATTTGGAGTTTTCATTGTACAGAATATACTCGCTGGGGGTTGCGGCAAATGTGCTGCATGAGACATTCGTACGGGCGCCAGTTGATAAAGCATCGAGCGACTATCAATTCAAGTCATTCTCTAGAGCGTCTCTTCCCACACCAGTTCCGCCGTCACAGCGCTCCGAGTTAACCACGGTGGATCTGCGTGTTGGCCTTGTACAAGTCAAAGCTGTCATGCCTGATGATCCTCGGTTAATGTTACAAATTTACGGGCTCGCAGCAGGCAGTCACCGTTGGTCGGCGCCATTTTTGCGATGCCACTTAGCTCGATTGCATGTCGCTGCTCCGCGAATGAAGGGTGTATGGGCGAGAGTGCTTTCCATGAACACTGTCAGAGTAGATTTACGTGAAAGCAAAAAGCTACAAGGTCGTGAAATTAAGGACGAGCGTTCTATTGATGTATCGGCAGACTTTATCCGACTAGGCGTTCCTCATCATTTGATTATGCATCGAGTGTTCAATAATTTCATCAACACATTTAAAGCCCTGAAGGCCTTACGCCACCGTTTTAAAACCGACTCTGATGAAGATGTCCTCCACAAAGATCCAGAGGGACCCAAGATTGTGCCTCGGATTTCATTACGCAGCAAAGCATTAGCTTTCCAATTAGAAGACGACGCGTTCGAGTGGCGGCTTGGTTGTATCTACCGAGCGGGCCTAGTGGAACAGAGACATCGCTTGGCTCGTGAGGAAGCTTTCAGAATCAAGGCTCAAAAAGTGAAAGATGCCGAAAACAAGCGCAACCCATCTCGATATCGTGCCCACTCAGCTCATCCGGACTCCCATCGTGGACGAAGAAGCGAAGATAGGAGACGAAGTGCAAGTATTGATCCTAGAGAGTCTCGACGGCCTGTGGATAAGGACGCAAAATACGGACGAGCTCGTTACGATACAGATGGCGCCGCAAGCATCACGTCTACCGCTAAAGTTTCAGAAACGGAGGCATGGCGTCGTTTGCAGGAATATAATGCTCGTGATTGGAAGTCAAAGATTGATGCCGCAATGCAGTTTCAAGCCAAATCTATTAGCCAACTACGAACTCTCTTTGCCGGTGCTGATGAACCGCCTGAGGATGCTGAAGACGATGAGCCGATTCTTGCCATTCCCAATCGGCCTGCGTTGATGTCTACCTTGATCAGCGATGTGCATTTGGTTATTGATAAACCATCCTTCCCTGTAGCTGAGTATCCCAAATTTTTACATAGGATCGGTAAGGGCATGCCCGTAGGAATGGAGTATTCCCTGCTTATTCCTATGAGCCTTCAGTTGGATATGGGAGAGGCTAGAGTTACGTTACGCGATTACCCCCTGGATCTTCTCCATATCCCCGCTCTTCGCCCCGGCCAGTCCCCTCGATTGCCGAGCTGGTCATTAAAGACAGACTTTGTGATTGCGGAAGAATACCGGAATTATGAATCCACTCGAGATGTTAGAGTTTGTATTGTACCTGCTGCTAAATCCTCAGATGGACAAATTACCGAGGGTGTCTATGTCAACATTCGACGGACTGTCGCTCCAGTTAAAACGTACTCAGAGCCAAATTTCGATATCAACACTAGTCTTCCAACTAGTTTCACATGGTGCATGTCATATCAGCCTGTCATACAAGACATGATGAAGATCATCGAAGGATTCACGAAGCCAGAAGTTGATCCATCTGAACGTGTTGGATTCTGGGATAAAATTCGATTAAGTTTCCACTCCAGGATCAAGGTTCGATGGAAAGGCGATGGCGATGTTCATTTACGCATGAAGGGGTCTCGTGATCCATACATCATAACAGGATTTGGGGCTGGCTTTGTGATGTGTTGGCGCAAAGATGTCCAGTGGTATATTCATCCTAGCGACGACCCTAAAGAATTCATGACTGTGACAAGTGGAGAATATGTTCTTGCTGTGCCAGATTACAGTCACGAGGCCCGTTATTTGTTTGAATATGCTTTGGACGAGGCAAAACTGCCAGCAAGTTATTCAGCGAAAAATGCCGCCCAGTTCAAGAAAGTTCTGATGAAATTGTCCGGAAGTGTTAAATGGCTTGCAGGATTGGTATTTGAACGCGACGTGGGTAAAGAGCGATCTTTTGATTTCAAGCCCCATTATGATGTGGTTCTCAAGAATCCGCACTATATAGAAGGTTCTCAACTAAAGGCAAGTAACTTTCGTGAGAGGGATGTAACTGAGCTAACTATAGATTCTAGAATTATGATGCATTCCGTGGGTTTCGGAGTAATCACATCCACTTGTCGGTGGCTGTCATGGCACCAACAATTGCGGATCAAACGCACCAAAATTATAACACCGTTCATCTAACGCCTCGTATTTTCACCCACTTCTTTAATTGGTGGTCACTGTTCTCTGGAGTCATGTCCCTTCCTGTACGCCAGGGTCCTCTTTGGCCTGGTATCACCAAAGCTAGCAAAAAGTTTGGCCGGCATCTTGCTACCGTCAAGTATAAACTGCTCCTGTCGCCACTGTTCGTCTCCCATATCTACAAGCACAAAGAACCAGAAGATTATGGTGAAGATGTAGTAACTGCAACTGGCCTAAAGGTTCGGCTTTCAAATTTCAAGTTTGATATTCACCAGAGGCGGGAGCAGGTTACCACCCCGATCAAAGGTCGCCTCAAACAACTAAAGTCTAGCGCTATGCGCATAAACCGCGCTGAACTTGACTTCGAAGCTGCTGATTTCAGAGCTGTCTCTGCCAGTATTGAAGGGACAACCATCGAGGAGGTGGAAGCCAGGCCAGAGGAAATTGTCGTGTCATTACAGCAGCCCACTACTTCTGTGGATCTTTCTCGCTTCACGATTCCTGATCGAGACTTCAGCTGGATTGACATGGATGATTTTGTAGAACTGGACTGGATCCTTCCTCAAGAATCCACGCCTAAGACTCAAATACTGCCTCTTGCATATACGCCTCGCTTTACATATTTCCGACAAACAGACCATAGCAATGTATCACCGGCTAACACTGGGTTCAGCCCGTTTGGCGACGAACCTACCCATGAGTGCGTGATGTCTCAAGGAAACGATCCTCGCCGGGTACAGATGGATCTTATCAAGGGTCGTATCGCCAATCTTGAAGTGCAGGCCGAAAACCACGAACTTCAACTTAGCGAACATGAGCTTCAGCTGGTCAGGGATGGCGTGGAGAACAATGATCTCAAAGTCAAGCATGAGTTGCTTGTTCGGCAGGCAGAATCTCTGGACAGACGGCGCAAGTTTCTTCTTGCTGGGCTTCGTCACCTGGAAAAGCTCATCTTTGGCGAGGAAAACCAAAATGACTCGACAAGCGAGGCCCAGGGAAGTGACAGATCATCTAGGTCCGGCGAAAATCTGGAATCTAATAGTGACAGTGCTGAATCGATTATGGACGGAAATTATGAGCCACCGGACGTTGAACTGGCTACCGACTTTAATAATCGGTTCACAATCCATAACCCCCAGGTTAAATGGAATAACTCACTGCGGGATATCATGGTACGATATGGCCATCAAGTCAGCCAGAGGCGTGGGTTCGTATACTACATGTCACGCCAAGCCGTTAAGTTCATTTCCGACATCGTGGACGAGCAGAATAAAAACAATCGCAAGCGCAAAGGTTTCTTCAATCGCTCTCCAAATCACGAAAGCGACCAGGAGCGGGATGATGATGATGGCGTGGAGGAACGTATCGAGCAATTGTTACACGATGCAAAGAGATTTGTCAATGCGGATGACCACCTTTCAGCAGCCTCAAATGAACACGGACGTCCGAGATCTGGTGACTTCACTGACAATATATCGTCAGATTTTACGCCTCAGAACAGTTATCACCTCCATCTTATTGCTCCTCAAATACAATTACAAAGTGACAAGAATCCACGATCTGTCACGCTGATCGCAGCGAAGGGGATGACGCTGAAGGTAATATCGATCATGGACAAGCGTCGAGTCAGCGATGATGTTAGTGGACTTGTGCAACGCCGATTCTCCCTCCGCATGGATGGCGCCCAATTCTTTGTTGCAACGCAAAAAAATCTCAAGGCACACCTGCAGTTCTACGCTGGTAATAAATATGGAAACGCGCCTGGTTCGGCTTGGCCACCATGGCTGACACTGGAAGCGATGTTTGACTTTGAACTCAATCCATTTGGCTTTTCGAGGATTATCCAGCGGACGTCTGCATCTCTCCGGTACGACAAGTATAACAACCTTCGTCTAAAATACAATGATGAAGTAGCCAAAAGTGATGGAGAAACCACCCCTCACCATGACAGTGACGAGGGTCGCGTGGACCAGATCTGGGTGGACTTTCCTGATGTTCGGGCAATTTGCGATTCTAACGAGTACTACACAATGTATATCATTGTTTTGGACTTGTTGCTCTACAATGAGCCGCTGGAGAAAGTCAGGAGTGAGAAGCTCGAGAAGATAATGTTTGCTTCCGATTTTAGTGATTTGAGAGGTGCACCGGAGATGGTTTTCAAATTGCAGGACCGTATTCGACAACTCGAAGAGATCAGAGACTACTTCCAAGTTCAAGCCCAGCATTTGGACGTTCAAGGTTGGCAAGATCGGATAACGCTTGAGAAGGATTTGGTAAGCTGTGAAGATGAATTGTTTTTCATTATGAAAGCCATCACGACCTCTCAAAGACGAACCGATGAAAGAGCTCTGTCAAAAGCCAGTGCCTCATTGCGATACTGCTTGTCTGCCTCTGATATCGTTTGGCATTTGATGCGGGATAAGAATGAGCCATTAGTAGAGTTTCAGCTGCGCAATGCTTCATACGAACGCACCGATCATACAGACGGATCAAACCATAATATGATCGAGATAGAGCGTTTATATGCGCTGAACCTGCTAGAAAATGCCATCTATCCCCAGATGATCGTTCCTTACATGGATCATAAAAGTCGAATTGAGAGTGGAGATATAATGTTTCGCGTTCAGTGGTATATGCTTGAAGCTGTCGCGGGTATTCCGGTGTTGGATCAGTTCGAAGTGAACCTGTTCCCGCTCAAGGTACAACTGGAACGAGAACTGGGCCAGAAACTTTTCGAATACATTTTCCCTGGTGCGGGATCCAACGCTTTCGAAAATGGTGGCTTCTCTCCATTCATGGTCAAACACATCAAGCCTCTAGACGAAGACGACGAAACGGAAGATATGGACGGGGAAGTTACTCCTGATTTTGTGTCGACGCCTCGCAGCCAAGGCAGTACTTCGACAGGGGAGGATACGCCAGCATCCATGGGCCCAGGCTCTATCGAATTGAGGTTGCAGCCGACTTTGAGTCTACCAGACAACCGCAAAGGACAACATGCTCTCCATTTAAGATCAAGCCGATTCAAACCAATGACGAGAATAACGAAAGATAAAGATCGCCTGTCACCCGGAGACAGACCCGGAATGTCTCCCCGCTCGTCAACGGCTGGTGGTCTCAGCAAGAAAAAGTCCACTGAGAGTATTCGAGGATTAACGCGTTCGTCCACAGATAAGTCACTTGGTGCCATGTCCGGCAGCTCTAGCACGGTGAATGAACCCAAGAAATTCTCGCTGGTTAGAGGTTCAAAGAAACAGCAAACAGACGATCTTACTCAAATGATGTCCCGAGCGTCCAATTACATGATTCTCGCAAATGTCAAGATCAACGACGTGGTACTATGTTTGAGTTATAAGGGCCGAGGGGAGCGTAATATTGAAGATGTACATGATTTCGTCTTCCGCCTGCCGGTTCTAGAGTATCGTAACAAAACATGGTCGAATCTCGAGCTTGCTCTCCGTTTGAAAAAGGATGTCATCAAAGCATTGATCTCTCACGCACCAGCCATTCTCGGAAACAAATTGGCACATCCACGCCCCAACAAGCAACAACAGCAGCGGCTGCGAGAACTAGCTTCGTCTTCTCAAATTATGCTTCCATCTTCGGATACCTCTTCCTTGAACATTTCAGCCAGTCGCAATCTCACTAGACGTGACTCTACTACTGATGTGTCGGGCTCTTCGTCTCTCCACAAATCTGTCAGTAGCTCTGGCGCATACCCTCTTGGACCCGCCGTTTCGTATTCTTCGAGTAATGCTAGTTCACGAGAACCCAGCATTATGGTATCCGAGTTTCAGTCAACGGCAGATACAGATAGCAATTTTCAACAAAATGACCTTGTTCCAAGACGGAGTTTGACATCTGAGCGCCCAAGCACTTCTCGTAGCATCGGTGGAAATTCTCATGATGACAGGTACGTCTTTATTCGTTTCTTTTCTTTTCTTTTCTAGCTACTTATACTAATTACAATCTACAGTTCGAAGAAAACTATTCGCAATCTAGGACGCAAGTTGCTCCACCGTCATACCGCGAATACCAACGAATAAAACAACAATCTCGACCTACCTCACAACTTTTATATTCAATCACCTATTATCCCGTCTATCTTAAACTAAAATATGGGCATGGCATTTGAGGAGTTTTGAATTTACCTTTTTGTTTTTTTTTTGGTACACATATTACTTTATTTAATTTGACATGGCAAATGTGATGCTTCGCATCCGATGGCGTTGTTCTGCTACAATCTTGTCTTCGGTTCAGAATTTTGCATGTGTTCACGGCCTGGTCTGATTTTTCCTCTTCTTGTTTTATTGTATGATTCTTTCGCTTCGTTTTATTTTCATTTTGAATTTTTTTTACCCAAGGATATCATTCTTTTGGTATATACTTGATATCGCTTGCCATTTGTTACTTGCCAATGTACGAGCGATTTTTGGATGGACTTGCCTCGTCAGCTTATCTCGACCATGAAGAAAATATCTCAGATGTATTGGCCAGTGACAAAAGTTTCTTCTGTGTACATTTATGTGACTTAGGGAAGGACGGCGACAGGTTAGGTCAATACATGCGGGACCGGACCAGATAGAAACAGGGCGTGGATAGAGGTCCTAAATTTGGAAAACGGCCAATTCTGATATACAAAATGCATCAATTCATTCAGTTTACTCGGTTCCGTCTAGAAATAAAAGTAGGAAAATTTCTAATATTCACGGCCTATCTCAATTTTCTCATCAATCCATCCCATGTACATATATCAATTGATTGATGGATAGACACACAACCCTGGACGCCGAAACTATTCATGGTATCTGGTATAGATAAACGATCACGAACATCGCTAATAAAAAAGATCACATGGAAAAATATAGATTATAAATAGACATATGCGGCATTTATATAGACTTGAATGAATTTGAGCACAGTAAAGCCGGAAGATTTCTTGTTTTACTTCATTGAGCCTCGACATCTTTTTCTCGTATTTCGTCTTCATGTTCTCGGGTATCGGTATGGCTGCTTTCAGCATCCGTGGTTGGTGATGTTGTATTATTGATTGCAGTATTGGTATTGGCAGTATCGCCTGATGGTTGTACTTGGGGTTGAGTGGTAGGCGGGCTACTATTGAAATTAGGAGAATTGGCGGTGGTTTCGTCGGTGACGGCGGACGAGCCCGGCGGTGATATCTGCTTTTCCCGCCCAAATGGTAGGATGCGTGCCTGGAAGGAGTTCATGCGTGTGCGTGGATTGACGGTGATGTCGTCGGCGAAACGCTCGCCGCCGTAGTGCGGTACCCGGTTCCATGTCTCCTTTTCTCGTCGCAGTTCTGCTTGGACCCATGGGAAGGTGATAAGAATCCATAGTGCGGCCCAGGCGAAGGGAAGGGACCAGCCGAGCTTGAATTGTGTTAGTTATTTTCTATCCGATTGAATGTATTGGCTTGGGTTACGACGTACAGTATAAGCTACGTCCTCTGTGGTTGTAAAGATGATCGCCGTGATGGCAGCTGCAGCGATCAATGAGCCGCCGGCCCAGAAGCAGTTCATTTCAAAGAGCATGCGGCGGAAATAGGGACTCGAGAGATATCGAGTGCGCAGCGCGTAGCGAAATTTCTGGCCGCCGCCGCCGTCGACAGCGACGATATCTTCAACTAGCACATACAGCGCGGTCGGCATGACGGAGCCTTGGGGGGTAGACGAGATGCGGAAGGGAGCTTTGAAGCCAGTCATGCGTAGGACATCGAGGGTCAGATGGACGGCGCCAAAGTAGAACATGACGGTAGGGAGTGGCATAGCGAGGAGACGAACTATATCTATTAGCCATTGACCTAGTGTTATTGAGTGTGTATAAGCTTACGGTAGGGATCGGGATTGACAGTTCCACTGTTAACAAATGCAGGTCAGATAAGACATTTTGTTGTCAGATAATGGATGGATACTCACACAATCAATTCGACGGCTAGAATCAGCCATACAAAAGTAAAGTTGATTTGGAAAAAATCAAGCTATCATGTCATCAGTCCGTTTTCTTCAACGCATTTGAAGTTGGTCAACACACCCATGACTTGCGCGCATTCAGCGGTCGAGCACGTGAGTCCTTTCGCATGAGATTATACAGTCGATAAAAGTATTCGAAGACGGAAATGCCGCCCAATGCTGCAGTGCTGATGGTGAAGACTAGTTTCCGTCAGCTTTTACCAATCCTATATCTTTCCTGGTTTTGGTTTTGGCAACAGACATACCCATGTTCAGCGACAAACTTGTGCAATATTTGAGCGCAAAATACAAGACTAGCGGTTGGGCGAGGGTGTCAATGACGAAAAGGGTCCAGAAGAAGGCAATCGACCGCTTTCGTTGGCGCAGGGAGTACGGCAACGGGGGAGGGCCGTCGGACGGCGGTATGGCATCCTCTTCCATGGCGATAGAAGAGCAAGAGGCAAAAGCAGAGCGACACAAAGACGACCTCGGCGGTTTCTGCGTGGTGGCGAGAGATCAGTCCTCTGTATTTATTTGTTGACAGAGCGCGGCTGGCACGGCATGGCTGGAGAGGGTTCCAATTCGAATTCAGCACGGCGGTCAGCCTAGACGAAAGGTCAATGCAGCGAGAGAGGGTTCAGCGACGCCGGACAGTCGGGACGAGGGCGATTAAGGAAGAAAATACACGCGACAGCAGACAGACTTAATGGAAGGTTGGCGGTGCATAATTATGATTATCATCCTAGCTACTTCCAGGCGCCAAGCCGGGAATCAGGCGCTGCGTCTGGGCCGATGTCCGCGACGGGGCGTGACATCATCTATCGTCGTCGTCATTATTATTATTAGTAGTAGTACTAGTAGTACTAATATTACTACTGCTACTACATGTAATCGATATTATATTATTACTTACTGAGTCGCTGCGCAGTAATGACAACGCAATTTCTGCAGCAGTCTGGGAGTGATGCTTCTTGTATCACACAGGCCGCTGGGCGCAGCGGCGTGCGTACGTAATGTCTGCGTCAGCCGCACCAAGACATAGCAATGTCTTAATAAGCTGCCATTGTACGTCCTTAGCTCCTTAGTCGATATTATTCACTCCATTCGACAGGTGTTAAGTCATAGAGTTCTTCTATGCGGCCGAGACGACGGCGAGACGGCGTGATCGAAATCCGGCCTCGGCCACGAACAATTCCGCGATTTGGCTCTCGATGATCGCCTTTCCCCTGTCAAATTTCGTCTGTTGACGCCGGATGCAGCCGGAGGGTCGGGCTGGGATGGCTGCACGATTTTTCAGGCTTATCAGGCCATCGTCCTATCATTACGGATGCGCACTGTCGATCATGATTGGTGGGGCTGAGCCTTCTATACATAGCAGCCCCCGTTGGCCAATCAGATACAAGGGATTCATACATCATCACGTGTGTAACGGTGTGTAACCACTGCATTGGTTGGCCTGTGTCTTACAGTATAATAAATAATATTAAATAAGCCGACAACAAAACAATTCGAAACAGAGCCCTGGTTGGATCGAGACAGGTTAGGGCTAGAGTAGGGCTAGAGTAGGGCTAGGGCTAGGGCTAGGGCTAGGGCAGCTGCGACTAAAGGAGAAGGGGCGAAGGAAGGAGCCGGCATAGCACCTTCCTGGCTGCAATACCAAATAGTAATGATAAATATATCAATAATATACTGGCCTAGTTTCTTCATTCTCCGTATATTTACGTTGGTCACGGCTAGATCTATACAACAGGATCATTAACAGCAAGCGACTGTCTTATGAGTCCACCCATAGGCCCAAGCTTCACGGCAACTTCATGAAAAAGTCCAGCATCTTGGGGAAGTTTGGTGTGCCCAAGCCGGTAACAGGGTCCCATCCAGGCACAGCCGAAAAACCAACTGTGTTGCAACCGGGGTTTGTTCCTGCAGAAGTTAGCATTGATTCCAGGTTAGGTGCGCAGAAAACAAGGGAACGCGACATACCATTCGTGATGTCATTCAGCATAGACGGATTGGAGTACAGAGCCGGGTTCAAGAATCCCAGGGGCCCTTTTCCGGCCCAAAGTCGCTCTTCGTTGATGCGGTTGATGACGGCAGCGAAGATGGGCGTGCTAGCCGATGTTCCTCCCGAGAGGCTGAAGTTACCTCCCAAGTATACCTATTCTTTGTCAGTCTTTGTCTAAAGGAGGAGCGCAAAGAGAATATACAGCGATGTTGTCGCCATTGGCTGCGACGTCGGGAACACCTCGGCCAATACGGTTATAAATGCCTCCAGTGTTGCCCGCCAAGGCATCGATATCCACCAATTGCTTGATATCACCAGTGTCGGGTGCAAGAGCACTGTAGTATGGATAAGGAGGGTTGTGCTTCTTAAAGAATGTAGCAACGGCGTCCTTTTGATAGTTCGGGATTGGGAAGACATTACTGAAGCCACCGCCAGAAGAGAAGTTGACACTATACGGGTGTCCGGCGGGGTCGAACACAGCACTTTCAGGTTCCCACACGGTCTTTCCAGGATACACCTTGGTGGCACCGACGTTGGTAATGTAGGGGCATGTGTTTGGCCATGTTGGGTTGAACACGTCCAGATTACGGCCGAGACAACCGGTTGGACCGTCGATATTACCAGGGTAGTTGGAAACGCCAGAGTCGCCACTGGCGAAGAGGAAAGAAACACCTTGGAGACCTAGTTTGGCATACTCGAGGCATTGGCGGCGCTGGTAAGAGAGAGGCAGGTCAGCTTCCTGGCCGCCGTAGGAGACTGAGATGACGTTGGTGGGTTTATAAACGCCGCACATCAACTGGCCGGTCCAGCCACCTGAGCCACGGTCTGGGTATTCTTGATCGAGGTAGGGATCGTTGCCGGTCTCATTGTAGGCGGAGAATGTGCAGTACGACTAATAGTGTTAGCAAGCATTTTCAAAATATCCACTTTAGGGCAAATGCTTACTCCGTCAAGGGCATCCAAAAATGTATTGAATCCGAAGGTATAAGTGTCATTGGGATTGGCCTGGACAAGAAAATCATCCACCTCATAGTCGACAATGGACTGGGGATAGACGATTGGATAGGCAAGCATCAAGTCGAGGTTAACTTCACCACCAACCTGGTATGGGTCGTCAGTGTCCTGCTGGCCACCGTCAATATTGGCCGCAATAGGATGTGTTCCCTTAGGGATGTATTTGGTGAAATTTGCGAAAAAGAGATCCAAATCCTTCTGGCGATAGAACTGCAGCTCAGACTCAAACACAGCCATGGCGTTATCTGGATGCGGTTTCCTCTCGTTTTTCGGGATTTTGTATAGCGCAGCGACACAGGCCGGTGTGATTGCGACGTCGCATGTGCTGAGATCAGAGCTATTACCACCAGCAGCAACGTTTTGCAACAATGCCTGCTCGACAGATTTGTCCACGTCTGTCCTAAGAGCATGCTCAATACGCGCAGATCCGTACTTTTCAGCATTGACGCGAATGATGTTGTCGCGCTTAACTTGGTGGCTTTCGGGAGGAGCAAGCAGCTTAATTCCTGGGTTGATATAATCGACATGCTCTGAAATATGATGCGGTACATGGTATTGGTCGCACGCAGGCACGACGCCGCCGGTAACTGAGTCTTCGAACTCGTGGAACTCTGTCTGCAGCAGATTCTCGGCCTCGTCGCGTGTCGCATAGAAGGCTAGCCATCCCTTATTGTCGGAGTGGGTGACACGGTCGGAAGAGATCCCGTTATCGATCAGCCAATTTTTGACTGCTGAAATGGATTCGTGGGAGGGAGAGAATGCTTCAATGACTTCCTCGGGTGTCCAGTGTTGACCATAGTTTGGGGAATCTGGGTGTGATCTTACAGCTGTTAGATTCGTTACATAAAAAGGAAAACGAAAGAATAACATACACATCGAGCAAATGATCATAAGCCTTCTCCAAATTCGACTGCATCAACCCAATACGCATTGGAAGTAGCTTATTCTGAGGAACACGATCCCGCTTGGTCCATCGGGGATGCAGCGTCTCGCGCTTTTCGTGTACAACATGTCCACTGCGTTTACTTGCTGATGGCGCTGCCTCGGTGGTGAGGATGTTAAGGGCAAACAAAAACCCTAGGCAGAACAACAGAATTGTCGCTCTCGACGCCATTTTTTACCAATTGAATTCCAGTCTACAACTTGACTGAATTTCTCACGTTTCCACAGCGAGCTAAGTAATCGAAAAGGAAAGGAGAATCTCACGAGCACGAAGCGCACACCATGCAACGCAACATACTTATACTAGGCTGAGCAGCTAGGTAATGCGCTTCGCTAATCAAACAAGCTCCACTACTAACAATCTAACTTTACCTCATATGGAAACTCAGAAGAATGAAAATAGAAAAGCTCCAACAGCGACGTAGCCTCGTGAGGGGTACCCGGTAACGTCAATATACGGCGTCCTCCGAATTGGATTCGTAGTTCATGTCGATCTATTATCCAATGGCTCTCATTGGACGACATCCAAACTCTCCCGTGTGGATAAAGCATATCTTGTTCTTGATAAAAAAAATCCGAACAGTGCCATTATTGGTCTCGTCGGGCAATATAAGGGTTGCCATTACAAAATCCCGACCTAGACAAAGGAAGTATCAAAGGGAGAAGAGAAACAAAGGGTGCCGATCGCTATTGATGCTATCATTATCTTATTGACGACCCGGTTAAGCAATTTGGCAGATTTTAGGGTTACATCGAATGTCAGGCCCCATCTGCATCCGCTATCGTTCTCCCGGATTCAGATGAACTTTTGGAGTAACGTTCCTGGCGATCGGTCGCATTTGACCGCGACAGGGAGGATTTTCAGTCTTCATATTGTTTTCAACTTGACCATCGTAGGTTAACGATACGAAAATATACAATTGCGATCAATCGATGGTAAAAGGAAAAAGTCGCGCGGCAGCTCAGTGAACGGTTAAGGCGGCTGGAAACGAATGCGCTTACGGCATTAGGCAGGAGAGCTTGCGTTATTGTCAAGTAACAAAACGTTATTATCGTAGTAGCAGGATGTAGGTTTTAGTCCGAACGGGGAGGAAATTTGTAGAACTTGGAATAGAGGTATTTACATTCAATGATCATACAAATCCATTATCTTGTTGATTAATGCTATTGTACGCACGAATTCGCTCGTCTTAAGTCCTGGAAAACCTACCATTATATTAAATCTAGGATTTAATAATGCAGCTTAAAGATAATATAAATGATAAAAGGCATGTTTTTAGCCTCAGAGATGCACCCGTGCTTACTGTCTGATATCCAAAACCGCAGGTTCGATGCAGAATAAGGATGAACATATTCCCAGAGTGCCGTGAAAAATTAATTGTTTATTATTAAATTTCTGGCAATACTGTTAAAAATAGGCTTGGAGGCCAGAGCCAAGGCTCAATAGGCGGATCAGGGCCTTGGCGCTGCCAACAGTCAACCCCTTTACGTTCAGACTCGCCTGGAAGAGCCTCTAGTGGGAGTGACACTACATCAATACAACCCTCAAGTACGTATCGCGTATTTGATAATAGACGAAGTATGACGATGACTGGAGGTGGCCCGCACAGTCCGTTCCCGTCCTCTCTACTTAGTAAGTCAACGAGCAACCTGCGCATGCCGCCTCAATCGAGATTGACTATGGTGAATAGAGGAGTGCGAAAAAGCCCGCGACATCCTCGATTCTTTCCTCAATCCGGGTATTGCTAATAGCACAAATACGAAAATTCTTCGAAATGCTCAGGTAAAAACCTTCTTTTTTATCTATTGACTTAGATGTGTTCACTCATGTAATTCTCTCTACGCAATGGCCTTTTTGCTCCTCTTACCCGTTTTAATAGCCACTTAGGGTCTCGCTATCTTTTCGACGTTCAAAGTAGGGTTCATGGGCTCTGTAAGAATCGGCTCAGGAATCCTTGTCGCACGACTTGATGACGGTAGCTGGTCTGCTCCATCAGCCGTTGGCACTGGAGGGCTAGGCTTTGGCGGCCAAGTTGGTGTCGAATTTGCAAATTTCATCTTCGTCTTGCCTGATAAATCTTCGATGAGAGCATTCGCTCAATCGGGAACCTTGACATTGACAACCAATATATCCCTGGCTATAGGTCCAGTGGGCAGATGCGGCGAAGCCGGCATTGGTATAAGCTCGAAGGGATTCGGGACAATGTTCTCCATGTCCAAGACAAATGGGTTTTTCGGGGGACTCAGTCTCGAAGGAGGCACGCTGGTTGAAAGCAGAGCTGCCAACCGGAAGTTCTATCAAAGTGATGTCACTGCTGCTCAGCTACTGAATGGAGGAATTGCTCCACCGGCTGATGCTGAGCCCTTGATGCGGTTTTTGGCATCAGAAGCTTTTTACCCTCTTAGGGACCGCGTCTCTGATCTCGAGCAACCACCTCAATCCCCGGTTGATGGGACGGTAAAGATTTCTACTGGAGCTGAGAACCAGCCTCCCTCTGAGGTATCGGCCCAAGAGGCCTCGCGACAAGTACCGACTGAGGAGCACACTGAGCCTCCTTCTATGCCATCAGAGTTACCAGCAGGCCAGCCCGTTGAGCCAGCAGCAGAGAGCCAAGCAACGCAACCATCAACATCAGAGGGAGAAACACCCGCACAGGAATCACTTGCAAAGGAAAAATAGAAGTGTTGCACGATCTATTAGATTAGCGAGCTGCTCCACCCATCAGACCTCAAAGAATTGATCCCGACGGTGATGTTTCCGAGCGATAATTTGATATCCATAGACACCATTTCGAGTTTCCCGTTCAGTGTAAGTCACGTATAGAACCGAAGATAATACATAATGTTCTACAATGCAGAAGCTTCCAGTTTTAGATTTGACACATATTCCTCTTGCTCCCAGACTATTTAGATATAAGCTATAACATTGCTTAAGATATAGACTTTCACCGAAGTACACAGAAAAAAGGAGATGTTGACGTTGCCATTTTGCAGCCTACAAGTAATTCGACTCCCGATCTCCGAGTCCCGAGTCCCGAGCTGTGATTGGGGACCAAAAAATTCGCATTGCTAACATTTTTCACATCAGCAAGGTCATGAGTGGCGTGTAGTGGATGTTGTAAATTCCCAGAGGTATGATGAAGATACCATTGATTTTGCGGTTAAACCTTGCAATTTAAATGGATAACTGGCATATTTGTATACTAATTTCGCGGACAAATCCCGCTCGATGTAACTTGGGTATATGGTACATGTTAAACATGGCAAGCAAGGCCCACGCAGAGGTCAATGCATTCCGGAAAAAGAGGTTAAAGTTAAAACGGATAGTCTAACCATCCGAACAAATCATTTCTTGATTTCAAAGAACAGACCGTGTACGTCGATCTCCGCGCCGGGGTAACTGATTTGTCCGGGAGAGTAGGTGCCGAGGTTTTTCTCTCAAGGGTCTGATATTAAATATTGGCTACAAAAGTCCTTCCCAGTCCTTTCGTGTATTTTAGCCGTATCGATTTCAGGAATTTTATTTGATACCTGAAACTTTTAGACGACATGGACTCTGCAATTGCCCAACCGCTGACCCTGAAATGCGGTCTGGAGTTGAAAAATCGTCTTGTCAAAGCCGCAATGGCTGAGATGTTGGGAGACAAGAATGGCTTACCGACTGAAACTCTCAACAAGGTATATGCCGAATGGGGACGCGGCGGTTGGGGCATGATACTAACAGGTAGGACAATTTTTCTATTCCGACAGGTGCATTTCAGTTGTCGGCTGAAAATTAACTTGTGTAATCAGGAAATGTTCAAGTTGATGTGGCATTTCTTGGAACTTCAAAAGACAACACCGTCAATCCAAACCACAAGGAAGAGCTGATTAGGACATGGAAATCGTGGGCTGCTGCATGCAAGCAAGAAGGGACGCCTGCAATTATGCAAATCAACCATCCGGGACGACAATCCCCTCTCGGCGCTGGAACAAAAGGCATATTCACCAAAAATCTAGCACCAAGCCCGGTAGCAATCAACCTAGGCCCAGGTGTTGTCGCCAAAGTCGCTAGTTCCTTGGTCTTCGGCTGCCCACGAGAAATGACGCAGGCTGACATTGACAATGTCATTCAACAATTTGTGTACACCAGTCGTTTGGCCGCCGAGACTGGGTTTCAAGGAGTCGAAATACACGCGGCCCACGGATATCTTCTCGCTCAATTTCTGTCATCCAAGACAAATCTTCGTACAGACGCATATGGGAAATCGCCTGCCGGTCGGGCAAAGATCGTCGTTGAGATTATCAAGGCTATTCGGGGAGCCGTTCCCGACAAGGGTTTCTGTGTCGGAATTAAGCTTAATTCTGTCGATCACCAATCCGCCAACGAGCTGAGAGATTGCATTGAGCAGCTGAAGCAGATTGTCGAAGCTGGCGTGGACTTCGTGGAAGTCAGTGGCGGAAGTTATGAAGATCCTACGGTTAGTTTCCATTCTATGAGAAAGAGCTGAGGTAACTGACTATCGATGACAGATGTTACAAGCTACTCCTGCAGAGCCTGTCCCCGAAAAGTCAGCTCGTACGGTAGCCCGCGAGGCATTCTTCCTTGAATTCGCACAAGCCATTCGAGGGGAATTCCCTGATGTTCCACTGCTGGTGACTGGGGGTTTCCGCACGCGTGGTGGGATAGCCAAAGCCATAGAGGATGGTGGCTGTGACATGGCCGGCCTTGGAAGACCGGCGGTACTCAATCCAACTCTGCCGAAGGATATACTTTTCAACCCAAATGTGTCGGAGGAAAATTCACGATTGGTGACGAAAACAATTCCACCGTCTTGGATAGCGAGATTCACTGGGATCAAGTCACTTGGGTCGGGGGCTGAAACTGTGAGTTTAATCGAGATTATTTCTGTATGAGATTATGATCTGACAAAAAGTTGCTCCAGATGTGGTATAGCAAACAGATGGAAAAAAGAGTGCGCAGTCTTTAAACGCCTAGGCGACATCTGCGACGTGATATTTACGAGATGATTACTGCCCCTGCCCGTTTCAATATTCCTTTCTCTGAGCGAATAGTATATAATGTTAGGTGACGTTATTTAATAGACATGGATAATCTATGGAGTTACATGTACTTTAGGAGACGAATTTCTGGAAATAATATATGTCAAATGGACTAGCATAAAATATAAAGCGCGATAATAAAATAGGCTGCGCTAAGGAACAGCATTGATTAGAGCAGGGAAAATACATACCAATTTGACGCCGTAAGAAGCGTCGCTGCCGACTATCCTTATCGGCTGCAGGGCAAACCACTTCCTTTTGTAAACTAGTAGGAGCGCAACAAACATCTCTATAATTCTACGAGTCATTAATGGGTCATCGCACGCGAATTACAAACCGTAAAGCCGAGATGCAAACATCCAACGCTCGTTTGTCATCCAACAAATTTCTGATTCGTCGATAATATTAGATGGCATTTTAAGCGCAAAACAAACAAGACATACACCCAACAACCCCCACTTCCGCCTGTTTGTTCTCTCTACCATCATGACTACCAGGTGTGAGTGCTGTCAGGGACCGCCAGGATGCAAAATATATATCCGTGTCTAATTAATCCGTAGACCCTCTCTTCGAGCTATGACGGAGTATAAAAGGAGCCTGTACTCCCGGCCAGGATAATGATGTATGTATTCTACACTCATCGTTTAGCTTTAGCATTGTATCGCGCTCTCCAAGCAAACCATCCATAATGACAACACTAGCAGGCTCTGAAATCGACGAGAAGTACTCCGGCTTCTCCATCATCCAGGCTGACTACAAAAAGATTGGCGAACATGGCATCCGGGCAGACGTCTTGATCCCGAATTCTGTCCCGGGAGGCAAACGCCCGGTTATCCTTCGATTTCATGGTGGTGGACTTGTGAGTATTACTTTATCCCATTGAATGAAACAATATCTCTAATTAATCATTCAGGTACTTGGTGATTCACTCTTCCCACTCTGGTTCCCTGAGTGGGCACTCGACTTGGCACAGCAGAAATCGGCTATCATAGTCTCAGCCAATTACCGATTTTTGCCAGAGGCGACAGGCGTGGATATCCTCACTGACATCGACGATTTCTGGACATGGGTGCACTCATCTGAGCTAGCCCATCTTCTCTCTTCTCATCCGAGTAGCAATGGTAGTCCAATTGAACTCGACCTAGACCGTTGCTTGGCTGCTGGCGATTCTGCTGGGGGATTGCTAAGCGTATATCTGGGGTTGTCGCATGCAGAAGATGGAATACGTGCGATCACAGGATCTTCTCCCATGCTGAATATCGACCCCCCAACTGTCTACCCTTCTGTCCAGTCAACATTGCTGCCGACACCACCCGAATCATTTATAGACGAATTTGTAGGGCGGATACAACCAGGGACAGTTGTAACATCCGAGAACCCGTCGTTTGCGAACCCATCTGAGCGGCTGTTGTTTTTCGGGGCTGCCTTTGGACACCACCGACTTCCTGAGTTCTACACACGTGATTATGAGAGTTCAACGACTCATCACGATCGCATCTTCCAGCTTCAGCGGCTCGATCAGCCTGATATTAAGTTACCCAAGGGCGGTATCGTGATTGTGCACGGAGAGCAGGACGATATTGTCGCGGTCGAGTCTAGCCATAGGTTCATCAACAAAGTAAGGGAGCGGTTCCATGGACAACCTGGAGAGGACAAGGTGGTTTTACATGTACGACCGGGTGGACATTGTTTTGATAATCATGTCCACCTAGCAGAGCCATGGTTGCAGGATACTCTGAAAGATGCTGTAGCGGCGTGGCTTGAATAGAATATAATTTACCTTACTGAGCTATAACCGCTCACCTGTCTTTGAATTCGCATTTGTACTTACGAGCCATGCAATAGCATGAGTAGTTGCAGAACTGCTCTTCCTGACAAATGGGGCAAGGTCCCACGATAATTTTTAATTTGAGAGTGCAACAACAAAACGCAGTGTCCATTGTATTATTCGTAGCTGTATATATGCAACGATTTCTTCTTCAAAGTGCTCAGCTACAAAGCTCATGGAGAGTACCACTCTATATTCTACCCTACGCTCTATAATAAAAGTTTGTAATAATTCTGAAGACACTTCGTGTAGTTGACGTTAAGACACATAAGGTTATGTAGCTCTTAAAAAATAGGCATATGCGCTGGGTTCGCGTAATCCACATTTTGCGGCACTGACTCGATTCTCTCAGTACAGGTGCCAAAGATGCGATCCCACAGCCGAGTCTGCTTGCCATAGTTGTGACTTTTCCTCCACCCCTTCCGATGGTGCAGGTCATGATCCTCAATCACGATTTCTGAATCAAAATATTCCAAGAACCAGTTTAGTGTTGTAGGCGGGGTCAAGTGTATCCGCAAGCCACTGTGTCCATAGACTTCAGTGTACGCGATATACTGGTGGCAAATCCACCATTCATAAAAGCCTAATGGCAGACCGATGACTCGTAGAGTCAGGTAGGTCATGAAGGGAACTCCGACCATATCGAAGAACTCCTGCTCGTGGTCTGCATAAGCGGCGAGGAGCGGGTTGGGGTGCTTTGTCAAATGGTGAGTACGGTGGAATCTCCACAGACCATCAACATCATGCATAGCGCGGTGGTACCAATAGAACCAGAAGTCAAGTACGACTCCATACAGACCGATCTCGAGCGCTAACCAGCCCCACCACGACGGTTCACTCATGACCTCGAGAGGGCTCACAGCTGGGTCGTAGGACAGCCAGATAGCAAGGGCAAGACGGGAACCGGTGGTCTTGTAGAGAGATTGGGCGACTTTGTCGACACCCACATCGGGCACGCCATCTCGTTCGTGCACGTCGCCATCTAGAAAGCCATATTTATGTGCAAGACGGCGCAAGATGTTAACCTCACGGATGACGATCACATTGAAAGACATAAAATAGAGGGCGAAAGCTGCTAGACGGCCTACACCTTCCTGGAGAGGAGGGTAATAAAGCAGAGCTTGGTGGACAGCTAGTGGAATGAAGGCGTGGAACAAAACCCAGATATGTTGCGGTAATTGTGGGAGATGCGGGAGCTTGTCCTGCTTGGAGAACACGGGAACCTCCTTGTTCAGATCGTAGTGATACGCGTTGAGAAAGTCGATGATGAAGTGATGCCTAGACCAGGTGCTTTTGTCGGCAGTGCGCCAGGTGGACTTCATGGAGTCCTTGGGGTTGGGTCCTGCCATTGTCTTTTTCCTTTTTGTTCTTCCTTTGTTCGAGAGTTGTTGACTGATTGATAGATTGAATACCATGAGATTAGTAGATATATACTACCCCACGAGTCCTCACGGTTGGGCCGCTGCAAGAAGAAAGTGATCGACGACCGAGGCAGATCAAACATCAGATCGCAATAACTCTAGATTTCCACGTGAAGTTTCCAAAAATCTGTGTCGGTTCAATGCGAAAATCGAAAAATGTATGAAAAGGCTGCAATAAGAGCTGGGAAAGGCTGCTAGAAGTCGTCCTGACTCCTGGCTAGCCATAAAAAGCAGTGCCGACAAATTCTAAACCGAATCAAGCCACAAAATGATGTAAATTTGAAAGCGGGGGCAAATCACAGCGCTCATCTGGGTCTGGGTCCCAACACAGCTAGACGCAAAGATGGTAAATTCAAGTCTGCCTTTTGGTTCCTGAGTGGAGCGGCCCTCCAGATCATTTCTTGGGGAAGCAGGGATCGCCACGTTCGTATGGGGAGAAATAGCACAGGCACACATGGTCTCCAGTTTTTTTTTGAGCCGAGGTTTTACCAGATTAGGCGACAACTGAGGAGTTCAACCCCAACAGGTCGTAGATTACGCACCCTCTAACGCGATATGACATATGTCACACTGCACGATCGACTCGCTAGTGTTTCCGATCATGTTGACAAAAAGAAAAGTCGTCAAATCACTATGCGTGCTATCTTGGATCAGCAACTGAAGCGTGTCGGCAGTCGGCAGTCGGGAGGCCGCTCCAGCCCCAGTGCGACTGTATGCTTTAAGCGTGGCCTAATTATTCGTACTTAGAAACGATCGCAGACAGGTTTGAAGGAGGAATATTGACCTATTGCTTTGCTAGCCGCAGGACTGTAATTCGAAATTGGCTCCGGATGCATCTTGTCCTGAGAGTCCACGAGTTGGTCTTTCTCACCTTACGGGAGTGGGCTCTAGGCATCTCTCATTGTCAACTCCCGAACCTGTTTATTGAGATTCAAGGCACGTAGCGGAAGACCTAGAGGCTTAGTGGTTATCATTTATTGAAAATACAAAGATGTCAACCAATCCCGATAGACATTAATCGGATAGACTGGTGTTAGGGATTATGCACGACGGTCTAATTGCTTTTGCATATGCTGCATCAGTCTAAACCGTTCAAAGAGGCCTGCATTACTTCTCATATCCACTATAACCCGTCAACTAATCAGGGAGCCTACCGAGGCTCCCACTGCCGAAACTGTTAGTGTGCCAGCATGTATGCGGGCGCCTATCAGATGCTGCTCTTTGAGATGTAACAGTAAGTCATCAAGAAGACATGGCGGAAATATTTCCGATGACAGTTGACATATCCCATATACTCGGTACATCACGAACCGCCCATATCGCCGTGTCAAATATGTATATGGTATTATTTATGAAATGGGGTAGGAACGTGTTATTCATATGAAGTGCTGGATATGGAATTCTCCGATGCATGATCATGGTTAAATCTCCGTGCTGACTTTTAATTCGACCGCATGTGTAACAGGCCGACAAATGAGCTGAATTTTTACCAACCACTCAGTGGCCGATCAATTTTTTTTGGACTGGTTTATGGAAATCAAATTACATGACTAAATTATTATTTTCCTTACCGACCAGCCTTGGTGTGGCTACTAACACTATAGCGCCAAGAAAGCTATCGCTTGCAATTGAATAGAATTGATCTATTATTTCATCTTATAATAGATCCGATGCCTTCTCTCCAGGTATTTCAAATAGAAGCTAACTAAGATCATGGCACCACTGAACTTCTATTCGAGTTTGTCGCGATGAAGGTCTTTTCACCTCATACCAGCTTATATCTATTGATGCAGTATGCATGCCTTTTTTTCGAGTAAAGAATACCTAGGAATATTTAATATTCTGCGCCAGATTTGAAATGGAAAGAATTCCAGGCCTTGCTTTAATATGACGTTCTTTTAGTGACATTGGTCAAATTATGTGTTGTTGGCCTTGTTGATCTTATTATAAACCAATAAGCTATGAATATATTTATTTTATCGGGCCTGAGGAAAACGTCTGGATGCAACGAAAGTATCCCCATCCGTGAGGGTCTCGGAATAGAAGTAACGTTCGCATACAAACCAATCTCGAGAACAGCTCAGTACCAAAACTGAAAGTAATGCGGTTGGTGAGATGAATTTCCTATAGGCTGAGGCATCTCTTCTATTAGAAATTTCACGATACAAGTCTTGTAGCCTTACGTCATCCGTGTCAACGGTTTCATAGGGCAAGGCTTAGTTTCCTTGTTCCAGAAGATGGCATCAGATAGTAATTTCTCCAGGCGGGTCGTTGATTCTAAATCTTTAACATAGAAGGATCTGCGCTATAAACATGAGCGACCATATAACTTCTTTGACGACACAGCACTGATTTCTATTTGTTTCAGATTCTTTTGACTATAAAACTCAAGCCGCAAGTATTTGAAGTTTCGCTTCTTTACTTATTCTAGCCTGTCAGTGTCTGTGAAATTAGGAGACGTGTCCTAATTAAGAAAGGGAATTTAAATGAATGGATGCTTTGATGTCGAGTTTACAAGGTATGGAGTTTGGTGACCGTTGGCAACTCTCTTACTTTCAGGGCTTCTTGGGGTCATGGGCAGCGCCGTAAAGTCGAAGCCGGCCCCCATGGATCCGTAAAGTTTAAAGTGTTTCCATGGTGGTGGTTAAGCTGGGCTTCTGAGTGTTCTGATTGGCCGTAAATGAATTACCTTTCCTCTTTAGGAATGTACACTAACCACCCGAATGGTCTAGTGGTGTAACAGGTCTAGCTCTTTTCGGAATGAGGGCACCATCCAAGGTGACGATTTCCATGTATAAGTATCGCATGTCCTTTAACCTGGGATTTTATTTAATCTTCTTCCTTTTATATTATTTTAACTTACCGACACCCTACTAAATGGAGAAATCTTATATACAGTGAGATATTCGACATTTCGCCTTCAATTCCAGATCTTTTATGCAAATACCACAGCTTTTATGAGTTTGATTTGTTTTGATTCCCAACTTCACGAGAATATCAATTATGGGTATCACCTGGTCGCTTTTCTTTCCTCCACCACCGAATATTACGGAGCGTAACCTACAAAGCCAAAACGGTAAAGTCTTCATCGTCACTGGGGGTTACTCTGGGATTGGCTTCGAACTCTGCAAAATTCTATATCAAGCTGGTGGAAAGGTATATCTCGCTGGACGCTCCGAAGAAAAAGCCCAAGCGGCAATAGCTGAAATAAAGTCACTACCTCTCAAAAACACATTATCAACAGAAGCCGGCGATATTCTATTCCTGTCTATATCGTTAGACGATTTGAAGACGATCAAACCTGCGGTTGATACCTTTACCGCATCTGAATCCAGGCTAGATGTCTTATTCAATAATGCAGGCGTCTCTAACCCTCCGCAGGGATCCGTATCATCCCAGGGTCATGAACTCCAGCTTGCAACAAACTGTCTGGGGCCACATTTATTTACCCAGCTTCTCTTGCCAACATTACAGAAAACGGCCAGATCATCACCGTCTGCTAGTGTGCGTGTCATTTGGACAGGTTCTATTGTCGTTGATCTCTCCGCTCCCAAGGGTGGACCTTCAATCGCAGATTTCGAACAACCATCCACCGATCAACAAAGGAATTATACCAATTCAAAGTTAGGGAACTGGTATCTGGCTAAGGGACTCGCGGAGCAGGCCGGTGGTGATGGCATTCTGAGTCTGGCACAGAACCCTGGTAACCTCAAGACTGCTCTTGTTCGACACATGCCAGCTATTGTACCCATAATCGTTCGACCGCTACTATATTCTGCCAACTATGGTGCCTATACCGCGCTTTGGACGGCTTTCTCAAAGGAATTGACCATTGACGACGGTGGAAAGTACGTCCTTCCTTGGGGCCGGTTGCACCCTAGCCCACGAGCGGACTTATTAGAAGCAATGAAAAGTGGCGAGGATGGTACTGCGGGCAATGGAGCCAAATTTGTGGAGTTCTGCGATAGACATATTGGAGATTTTAGGTAATTTTGTTTTCTCCCTGGCTGACATCACTGGGTGTTACATATGTATGATTCAATAATGTTTTACTTCTGGAGCGAAAAGAAAGATTGAACTGAGAAGAGCAGCTGATATGAGGTGAATTAAAAATAAAATAAAATAAAATAGGAAACAAGCATGATAGGTTAGACGTTTGGAGAACTCAATCACAAATGCCTGGTAATTAGGCCCAGGATTGAAAACATATTCTTGTGACTAATTGTATATGTGCTTAAAGTTCATTTATGTAAGAGAAAGGAGAGTTTCGGAATTCAAATAACCGCATGCTAAGCACCGAAGAATTCAACTTTCCCAATCACCTTCGAGATCGGGCTCCGCTCCATCTTCCAGAGACTTTAGAAGGGACTCGAAATTCCACGGCTTGTGAACACATCCATGTGGGACATTGGTATTCTGGAAAGGCACACGGTCATCTTTTAATGCAGCCAATGCGTCGTGATACTTTTCCTCGGCATAGTTCTCAGGATCATGCTTCCAAGTCCAAGGAGCCATTAGCATACGAATATACTTTGGCTTGGACTTGGTTTCTCCAGAACCGCTACTCTTTTGGCCATATTGGGTTGCTTGGTTGCAGATGCCAAGTTTCTGAAGACATGCTACACGCTCGTATCTTATGAAGAGTTAGATTCGAAACCCCTCTTCATCGGATAAGGGTGCCCACCTTAGTTTATTGTGCACTTTTGTTGCTTCGGTGATATTTTCCTTATTCCCCGCAATTCGCAAACATTTGGCAAGTGAAATTGCGTCCTCTAAGCCCTGACTCGCTCCATTACCCGCTGTTGGTAGAAATGTGTGTGCTGCGTCGCCTATTTGGACAACTCGACCACTAGACGATGTCCATATAGGTTGTGGGTCACGCCAAACTAGCTCGAAATCGAGAAGTTTATCTTTCGGAGTTAAGGCAATAACACGATTCGCATAATCTGGCCAGCCCTCTATAGTAGAGGTGACTTTGAAGACATCTTCCGGGACGACAGTTTTGGACCACGACTCGGATGATCCTTTCGACACCTGAACCCGGTGATATTAGTTTAAAACAACAAGTAACAATAATAGAAAGTAATAGAAATTAGAAATTAAGAAGGGTTGAGCAATTACTTTGTGGGTTATCGCCCATGTGATCTCATCTTTGTTTCGTGCAAAATGGGCAGTGATCGCATCTCCTTGCAGAGAATCACTATAACTATGTCAGTACATTTAACTTAACAGGAACCCGATTCGTCATACCCAATCCACAGCTGTGCTATGGACTCTCCGTCCGGCGTAGTGTCGATTTTTTCTAAGATTTCGGGATCTGATTCTATAATTCCAACAGGGTATGCGGCCCGATACACAGACAACCCAGTCGACCGAGCAGGCACCTCCTTACCCAAGGTAATTTTAGTCGAGTGACTTCCAATGCCATCCGCAGCTACAACCAAGTCAGCCTTCAGGGTGGTCCCATCTTCCAGCTCAACACCGGCTTTTTCGTCCTCTGGGGTTTCGAAGTATCTAACTACCCGCTTCCCATATTGGACTTTCAAGCCGATTTGCTCAAGCTGTGTTTCCAACATCAAATGGAATTTTGGGCGACTGTGGCGATATAATGATGAAGACACTTCGCCTTCCTTATTGTTTTTGTTAATGTTTGCATTATCGGCATCCTCCTTGCTGTTATCGACTTTGGGGGAGGGATAGATCATATCTGTTGGCCCATTGAGTCGTTCGCCCTTGAGATTATGCCATGCCAGCGAGGGATGCCCTGTGATCTCTTGGTTTTTCTTTCTTAGATAAGGCCATTTATTGAATGCACGTATAATCGTGTGGGAGATTGAGAAACCGTCTCCTGCTCAATGTTATTAGACGGATTAGATAGAGATTCTGATGCGTCAAGGATGAATACCAGCAGTGAGTCGAGATGTAGATCTTTCGATTATCTGAACATCCAACCCTTGCCTCCACATTTCAAGTGCAGCCATGAGTCCTGCAACACCGCCACCGACGATGAGCACAGAGATTCCTAGAGCTGATTCCCGCTTGGGGACGGCAGTAGTAGCATTTTTGTCAGCGTGTGGGGACATAGTTTCTTGATATAGAAGAACAATAGGAGCCAGATAGTATTGGGGTTTGATTAGTTTCTGCAGATGTTTTTTCAATGTGAAAAACAAAATCTGATTCTCAGTTTTACTCAAATTTATATACAATTGGAAGACCACTGGCGCTAATCCCAACACAGTATGCGAGATGCGAGACCACAAACGGGCTAGTGCAGAAGCTTGTTTGATTCCTGCTTCTGATTGGTTGATTGATGTTTGTAGAAGCGCAACAGTGCACTACATTCGTTTTCTGTTATCGGAAACGAGGTTTTTATTATATAATATCTAGATGAATGTCGGTGAGCTTCGATTAGCGGTGACGTAGGAGGTGCTATGCAATCATACGCAGAGTCCATTAAATAATGGTTTGTGGTGAATAGAAACGGCAGTTTAAGAAAACGATTTCATGATTACAAATAAGATATATACAGCGTAATTGCAGATCTGATGTAATACAAGCCCCAAAACCTCCATTAGTTGTGCAAGTTAAAACTCAACCACAAAAAAAGATCAAGGGCCCTGCGTGACATTCCACATCTGTCCTAACATCCCCGAGAAGTTTCCATTCCTCCAGTCAGACCAATCGTGATTTAGTAGTCCATAGCTTTCATCATAATCGACAATACCATCACGAACGTAGTAACTGCCCTGTACAGCCCAGACAGCCCACTCAGCGTCATTCGACTCCATGTATTTGACCAAACACTGTAAATATGCATTGTCCTTATCGGACAATCCAGAATTCGGGCCGCCAGTCAAACCTACGCCGAACTCCGAAAGTATCAACGGTGCTGTATATGATTGATTTTGAGTGAGTACGAATCCGTCTAAGGCGCCGTACTCCGTGTTAGCCACAGTGCAATCCCCGTTCCCAGGGAATGTGACAGTGAAAGAGTAGGAGTGGAATTCCCAAACATGCTTTCGTGCCCATTGTGAGAAATCAAGAGAACGGTTTCGGATGAATGACATATCGGTGGCAGACTGCGACCCTCCGATGATGATCAGCACGTGCGGATTTGCCTTATGTACAGCCAGAGCACCCTGGGTGACATAATTGTACCAGTCATCATGCGTAAGATCTTGTAAGAGGGGTGTGGGGCGTAGCTCGTTTCTGATTGACATTGCGACCACGCCTGGATGTTCCAAGGCAAATGTTGCCATAGCCTCTAATCCGGCGAGCCAGTTACTGGTGTTAAAAAACCGGCTGTTCCACCCATTATATCCAGATGCAGTATCCCACCAGCCGTTACCATCAGTGAGGTTGCAGCACCAGCTAGCTTTGGAAACATGATTGTCTAGGATAGTCATGACGCCTTTGCTCGCAAGATTATCGATGATAGAGGAGTAGACGTCTACAGTTGACGCGTTCGATAAAAACGGATTTTTAACGACTGCGGCATTGTATGCATCGGTCATGTTTGATTCAATACCCCATTCCGTACCGGCAGCGGCGAAGGAGTCCGAGACGGCCTGTGTCGGATCAAGAGCCATGTCAATCGAGTATGTCAAACGCACACAGTTGAATCCATTATCAGCGATCCAGCCGGCAATAGTGTCAATTGATTGCTTGTTTAATCCCTCTGGGACATGAGCCTCCATATGTCCGGCCCAGTTGACGCATCGTAGCTTAACGCGCTGGTTGTTTGAATCGAGAATCCATCGCGAAGATGTGTGTAGCTCGCCGATGGCGGTAGGTAGAACTGCTAATGCAGTCAAGGCAATTTGGTTGAAATGCATTTTTTCCCCTTTCTCCAATCACCGATACATTCCACGATAAACACATAAATTTCGAGGAAGGAGAGATATAGAGACAAAACCTCGGAAACATAAAGGAATGTACGTTAGTACACGTGCAGCTGTCATTCGGGCTAAGAGGGCGATCGTTTCCGCCAAGAGATACCATGTAGCAACGCAGGTGTCCATCGTGAGGACTGCCGGTAGGAAGAGACTAAGAGTAAGAATTTAGCGTTTTCTCCGCTTTTATTATGGTCAACACGATTCTCAGAAATAGGGATGGCGTGAAAATTAACTAAGGTACGAGTTGCTTGATCCTCGTCCGCATTAACTCAACCCTGATTCGCTTCAAGGTTATTCTTGAATTTAATATGTGACATACACACACATCACAGAAACCAAAAATTTTTCTTATTAGCTATTAAAAATAACGTGTCGCCCTGCTGGAGCTTTTCATATGTTGTAGAGGAGCTATGCACATGAAACCTTTTTTTTTGTGCCTTCGCTATATCTGATAGCATGAAAGCTTAGTCGGTTGATTCATAATGGTTGGTAGAGTAGAATATTTGGTGCCAGTCATATTCCCAATCGGCATCATCAAAAGCCGTCCAATCAATTCCGAGCTCTTCTTCCATATGTTGAATTGACCATGATTCTAATTCGTTCCCAGACCCAGTCGTAGGAGTCAGAAGATTGACGCCAAATTCAATACAACTCCCTACGCTCTCCGCATTGTCGTCTGTAGATGGAGTTTGTAGATATGCAATATGTTGCTGTCGCGGTACACAAGAAATTTTAACTCTTCCAAACCATGGAATCACTGCGACATACTCCTCTGGACCAGCGTATTGATGATGATGAGCCGCATATAGATATTCTAGGAGTGTTGCCGCTTGTTTCGCAACGCTGCATTCAATTGCCCGTGACAATTGGCGAAAAGTCAGAGTCAGGTGTGTGATGATAGCCCAGTCATCGGCATCCCTGGAACTATTGCGAGATCCTGGGGGTGCTAGAAGATGTAGAGCAAGGACGAGCGCCGCGCTAAAAACGATGAAGTCCATAAGATCGCATATAACCAAAGCCGATTTGCTACTGTTGCGCAGAACCTTGTATGCAGATACCATTTCCCGGCAAGCTTGAACAGCATGTTCACGATGAGTTTGGGAGGCTTCGGGATTTTGTAAAGCTGTGAGCACATCTGGGAGGTAGAGATTTTTTTTCAATTGCATGAGATACATTAGGCATACTTGTCGCGCGTATATGAACTCAAATGAGAGACCCTCTGTTGATAAACTGAACCATTCCTCGGGGAATAAAGTGGCGCATTCCTGAATTTGAGTCTCGATTTCCGGGATTGAATGCTGCCCTATGCCTTGGTTTCTATCACCAATGTGGCACACAACGTTGTTTATACGGTGCATTATTTGAGCGGGAATCGATTCATCTATACAATGCCTAGATTGGGAATAAGGGACGGAGTACGGCACGCCTAAGATCGAGGAAAGCTGTCGATCCATTTGCCAGACTTGTGACCAGAGAGGTTGCTTTATTCGATTGTTGCTTTGATTAGGCCGATGTAATCCAAGTAGCAAGGCATGGTTTATTGCTTTTCGGGTGGCAAGCCATGCTCGCTTAGGCTTGCCCATATTGATAGAAACTTTTCCGAGTAGAAGAAGACATTCTAAGCTTGTTAGGCTTGCTGGTGATCTTTCAACAAAGGCCAAAAGAATGTCCGCTCCAGCTAAATAAGCATTGAAAAGGTCTTGGGGAGATGCTGGAAGAAAGCTCTTGCGCTCTTGGATAGCATTTTCTGGAAGCTGTTGGATGCACAATGCAAGCCACAGAATGCTTTTGACAATATGAAGTGGCTGTCTCAATTCAAAGGATGAGAGGATAAAATCCTTTACCGCTGCTGCCTTTCCAAAAGGGTATTCTATCTTTCCTTCATTACATCCTGGAGGCTGTGCCGGCCATATGAACCAATATTTCGTCGTGGACTCCAGAATGAGCAGTAAGTCATCAATCTGGGGCACAAGGGCTCTCAATGCGGTCATACACTCCTCGATCGGCTGACGAAAAATACTAATTACAAGTCCATTATTTGTGCTATCATGAGACTGCACACACAATGTATGACTCAGAAGTTTCAGTAGAGGGGCTTCTCTGAAACTTTCACCGCTGCTAGGCGGCGTATCATCAACCGTAGAAGCTACCGTACTCATAGTAGTTTTAGAAGTGAGAGCATGACTATGTGACAGTATTTCTACTGCTCTACTTGGAGTAATCGTTGGAGGTTTCTCAATGCCTCTACCTTCGTTCAGTAACTGTTGAACCATACTCTCGAGACTTTGCAGTCTACTTTGCATTTCGTCCATGGTTTCAATACTCTTTTCCGAATTGACAGAAGCAGTAGACGGTCTAGGCTGCTGCGATATGCATGGGGTATCATGGGATAAACATTCCCTGCAAATTGTACTTTCTGGAGAGAATATGCAACGCACTTTGCGCCTGCGGCATTCCGCACAGCTGCGCGTGCCGAGACGCATTCGCTTCGCCCGGTGGTTACTACTTGCCGAGGCCATTGAAATTAGCCGAAAAGAAGTTTTCTGTAGGTAGAATTAGGTAGAATGGTGTATAACGTACATCATTTGAAGGTTGTAAGAGGGAAAGGAGAGTCTGGAGGCGGATTACGGACGACTCGGCACAGAGACCGACTTAGTGCGAACTGGTACGAATTCGGCCGAAATCGGGCACGCTCATTTGTTGTCACCCTATATCTGATTATCAAGCTTGACAGGTTCAGGTATGCGGAAAAATATATAAGTAACTCGTTTCCAGTGTTCAAGTTAGATATAGCTTTCATACCACAAGAGACACCAGAAACGAACTCGTCTTTCATCAGCTCCAGTCATATCTTGAGTAACTTTTTTAACCTGTCATCAAAGATGACCCAACAAGCCCAACTTTCCGCTATTCTCGACAAATTCCACCAAACTACACCTAAGCCAGTCCAATCGGTGATTAACAAAACTCGGAACGACTTCATTGCTTCCTTCGACCCCAAGAAGGCGATACATGTCGGTGACCATCTCCCTGAGTTCCGTCTTACCGATGCCGTTGGCACTCAACGTGAGAGCGGCGAACTCCTGACTCATGGACCGCTTTTGATCACATTTTACCGTGGTGAATGGTGTCCATTCTGTAACATTGCTCTTGTTGGATTTCAGAAAATCATGGACGATATCAAAGCGAATGGGGTCACCTTTGTGGCCATCAGCCCACAGCTGCCTAACGAGTCGTTGAGTACCGCGGAAAAGCACGATCTGCAATTCCCCGTACTTTCTGACGTAGGAAACGAATATGCAAGGCAGCTAGGCATTCTGTTTCACCAACCAGATTCTCTTAGACCGATCTTTGAGAAGTTCGGCCACAGTTTGCCAGAGCGCAACGGCGACGATTCGATGATTGTCCCAGTACCAGCGACTATTCTGGTTGACAAAGATGGAATTGTAAAGAATTTATTCCTTGATCCAGACTACACAAAGAGGGTTGAGCCTGCGACAGTTCTGGAGTGGATTTCTGCATTGAAACATTGAGAGCACTAGAAACATGTCAGACTATGTTGGATGATGTTCTATATTTTGATTCCGCTAGCAAGGAGTTTATTCTATATAAGAATATTTACTAAGAACCTAGTTTAAAAAAGTTATAGCTGATAACTTTAGCTCGGCCATTATGATCAATTTTCTAGTGACTCTTAATAAAATATATATATCTTATGTATCTTAACCCTTAGGAAATAGAGCTATTCTTATACTATGTTCATATCATGGGTTTCTCTGTATGCCATTGTTTCTTTACATTATGTTTTCTTGTATTAATTAATAGTATTCTACCAGATGGCAAGTGGGCCATGGATGAGTCTGCCTGGTCAACTGTTACTGTTCTACCAGCATTCACCACCTGTTGATTTAAAAGATCCAATTACTAGATTAAAGTAGTTGATATTATCCTATCCTATCTAGAACTAGTGTTATAGATTATACCTATTTATCTATATAAATTTAGAATATTTTTTTATCAAAAAATTAAGCATATTTCTCCCCCCCTTTTGTTGTGAATTTCTTATTGAGATACGTTTTTCACGCAAGAAGGTCCACAAAATGAACAGGGAAAGCCACCTAGCATGAAGCTAGACACTTCATTTACTGAGCCAGAGAGTACATCTGTGAACATTTATTTTTCTTCTTCAAGAGTAGAGTCAATGTGGTGGAACAATTACCAATTCTGTCTGTCCCCATTACTAGCATAAGCATAGAGAATGAAGAGAGCTCTAGAGGCCGGCAATCTAGTTGTTGGTGGGAGTCGAAGACCGGATCAAGCAATGAAGGAGTCACTGAGCGAAAAGTACAAAGATCAAAGCGAGAATCGCACTATAGGGGAGTCCCACGAGAGCTACGTGGAGCTATGCAAATAGGCTACGGTGGCAGTGAGACTCTGCCAGTAACAAAGAAAGAGCAATATAGCGAACAGCAGCCGCAGAATTTCCCTCCCCAGGTGGCTATGGGCTGAATGAGTATCCGCCTGGGAAGGTTGGATTACATGAGTCAGAAAGGACTCTATTTCAATTTCAATTAGATACCTCGCACTCGCACCCGCAAAGGAGTCAAGTCCAAGTTCAGGAGCAGCAGCACCGTTAGATACAATGGATATTTCCCAATTGATTACTGTTCCGCCGTCATATCTAAGACACCATCCTACAATTAATAACAGCAACCTAGATTTTGTTATCTACCAAACCCTAGTTTGTTCAATCAGTAATCTATTAGAAGTTAGAATGAATTGTAAACATTATGAGCATCAGATAGTATCATAACTATAGCAAGTGTATAAGTCTAAGTTCTAAGAGAGCTAAAGCATTTTTGAAACTAATATTCAGCAATAAATTTAATAAGACAGCATTAAATATACTAAGATTGCAGAAGCTAAAGCTGTAGGTAAACGGCATTGAGCGAACGGGTGAAAGAGCGTCTCCCTGCTGAGAGTGCATGGAATGCCACGGAGCAGTTAGAATAGATGAAGTTTACGCTCTTTATTCCTATATTCTTATTGCTATTATTATTGCGATTTTGATGGGAAGGAAGGAGAGCAAGATACCCCTCACTGTCGTTATCTCATAGTGACACAGTACTACCACACGTAGTGTAATACGAGTCGTCTCAACGTTCACCTTTGTCGTCTGTGGAAAAAGAATTAATAAAAATAAAATAAAATAGTCAAGATAAAACAAAAACACAATAAACAACGGAAAAATAAAGAACAGCAATTTGTATCTGGACTTCACATCGTCGTGTTCGAATAAATCCTGGTGGTGCGCCAGTTTACTGCCGCGGTCGCTGCCAGCCAGACCATTCTCCCGTTGCCGAGACGGATGCAGGTATGAACGCGGTACGTATGAAGTGTACCTCATCATTTCAACTGTTCCAATCGCGATGAATAATGAATATTTTGTGACTGTCTTCGCCTCCCAGCTATTTGTTTGTTTTTAATTATTAGGGAGTTGTCCTACACATACCTAAATAAGAGTCAAACAGAGTGTCCAATTGGTGAATTGGAGTAGCGGTTATCTCAGTTCGTTTACACCGTAAAAGTGTCCGAATTGGTCGCAGGTTCGATTCCTGCATTCACCATTCTTTTTTTCACTATGCGATAAACTATTCGCTTTTGAAATGTAGGAGAAAGGTTGGATGATGAGCTGACTAAAAAAACACTGTAACTAACGCGTGTTGGGTTTCAACCAAATAAGACGGGATATCCGACGATACCTAATAAAGCTTGCCGATGAAGGAGACAAAAAGGGCAGGCGGTGTCCAAAGGGGAAGACGAGCCTACAACATGAGTAGTGGTTTCTCTCAAAAAAGAGACTTCCTTTTTGACACTTAACGTTGTTTGTTTCCCTTGAGAGCTGAAATCAGAAGTTGTTGTGAAGATCGAGAGATCCTTACGAGATGCATATTTGCGGTGAATATCCTTGATCTAACCAAGTATTCTTATCACTTTTTTTGAAAATCTATGGCTAGATGACCATGAAAAATATCTCAACCATAAGGAGGAACTAGACAAATTGAGGTGGCTGGAGCCGCTTATCCATCAATTGGCCTGCAGATCAAAAGACAGAAATCTTATTTTCTACCCTCAAGAGACTTGTGCTAATATATTCCACGCATTTAGATTCGGGCTTCGATATGGACAGAGAATTCAAGGAATTCACCAAAAATGAGCTTGAAGCTTGGGGAGCATTGGGTGTGGAGAAACCGCCACTGTATCTACTCCATCCTAGTGGTGATATCAACTCCCCTTCTTGCATGCCATCTGCACAACCCTACTTTCTACGTCAAAAATCCAGAATCCCAAGAGACGGATAATATCTCGAATCTTTGTATCGCACAGTTAATACGGCGGGCTTTCATCCAAAAAAAATCTTTGTTTTTGATTATATCTGTCGACATGATCGTACTGAAGGTATCTTGCTGTTCTACACTGACGAAATTCTTCAAGTCCATCAAAAGTTTATGCTCTTAATATGAAAGGCAATAGGCGCCAATGTTGAAGTATGCTTTAGACAAAAGATCCGTGAAAGGATGAAGAAAAAATTGAAACTTATTTCCCCCAGGTTATGGGGAGAATTCAAAGAGGTTGAATTCTTTTTCTAGAACTGGAGAACCAAATTGTTCTGAGATTCATTCTCTTCGTTCGCCACTTACAGTTCTTTTTTTACCACGGAGTAAGGTCAGAAGCAGGTCTACAATTCAAGGCAACATATGACGCAAAGCAGGATCTTCACCTGGCTGTTGCTAGGAAGTTGGGAGGCATTAAAGCAACTCCAAACTTTATGAGCGCGTCCATAATCCACACCGGTACGGACAGTTCGGTAATGCCAGTAGGCAAGTTGTGCGACAACTAGAAAAAGAAGCGAATGAAAAACTGAAAAAGGCGTTCCCCGCAAGAGATAAGGAGATTGAGTTATCTGTTTAGTGCACTTGTCGAAAATATTCAAGTCAAAAGTAAGGGAACCGGAACTGCTACGGATGCTGATCATTTGACACTATACCAATTATTCCTAGGGATAGAGGGGAGTCAAGAGGTAAATAAAAAATTTAATCATTATATCATATGCTGTTCTGTTCTGTTCTGTTCTAATGGTGGCATAGTATTCACGGCGTATGACACCTATGGCACAAAGCTTCCTAGTAGCGACTACGCAAAGTCTCGCCGGAACTGTCCTTCTGTGCCATATTCTAAACGCCTATCATCTCCTGTCGCCCCTTGAGAACGAGGTTAGAGACCAGAGTCTAGTACAGATTGCTTTCAAAGTGGTCACATGGTACATCTAAAAGGGGAAAAAGTAGACACGGTGGAGCGTGAAAGACTTTGTATTTCAGACTGTTGAGCCATACAATCTCATTCAACGAAATGTTCGAGATGTGACAGACGAGTATTAGATGATGCAGTTGTTCTTTGACCCTTAAATAAGCTTTCAACTATTCCGACGTTGGGCCAAGTTCGGCATTTTTGAGAAAGTTTACTGTTAAGTAATACATGATGGGAGGGAAGTAGTTTGGAAAAAGCCTTTTGAGCAATTGGCTACAAAATTTCAGATAGGTTTTGTGAGATAAAAAAGAAGAAGAAAAGAAAGATGTCATTCACACAAAGTTTCACTGCTCCACCAAATGGGGGGCAACTTGCACATTATTTATCCGGTGTATTTTTTCACTACACAAGCCATGATAAATCCACCAGACAAGCAATGTTTTAGGAGACAAGGCCGGCCTAGCGGGTAGGGTACAATGGGGATGGATTGGCATTTAGTATGATTTAAACGAGCTCTAAATCCCCCGTATCATTCGAAAATGACCAAGATCTGCAGCTGCATGATCAACTGCTGGCCCTGAAAGACTGGGCCTGACGTCAAGGTATGCCAAATGGTTGATGTTGCTCCTGGTTACCAAAGCCCGTGGTAGCGGACACAGAGCCTGGACTATGGTATTGTGATTGAGGATTGTCTGGAGCTGCTTTTGGACTCTGGAGAAGTGAAGCTCATGAGACGAGGAGGTGTGAACACTGCGGCTACCTACGATGAAGTCCCACGCATCACGACCTAAATCATCAGTGTTAGCAAGTTAACGATAAATTTAGCGTACATCAATGCGTATCAGGTAGTGTATTACACTTTCAAAATCTCAAGGGGGATGGCTTGGAGGCTCAAAATCAGTTGTTAACAAAATTACATAGCGACACATTGAGATTGCGAGGAGATGATTGGTCATATATCTTGAGTTTCCCATCGTCCACGTACAGCAGTTTGCATTTTGAGGCCGGATTCTTATTCTTTCAGTGCCTTAGGGAGATAAATAGCTTAAAGCTTAACGTCATTGGTATTGAAATCATGGATGTGTAATTTTCAATAATGGGCCATAGGAACCCAGAAAATAGCATTAACAGACAATTTGGGATCCGAGCTTTCCGAAAAAGCTGTTTAAATCATTGAACTGACCGGAAGACACGGCGAATCGCGGCGAGTTGGGACCCGCCGCCTTTTTTAAATGTTTGTTTACTCCACTACAATTTTGCCCTCAACATATACATACGATTAGAAGAATTAATATTGAAAATTAATTCTGATTTGGTGCATAGAGCATAATCAAATTGCCCTAGGCAACGTCATAAAGGGAATACGACACAATGCCCCGCAGAAAGGCTCTCATTATCGGAATCAACTACTTTGGCTCGCAACACGAGCTGCGGGGCTGCGTTAATGATGCTTACAATGTACAACGGTATCTTGTCGAAGACCGAGGGTTTTCACCAGACCAGCAGGATATGGTAATTCTAACCGACGAGCAACATAATTATGGGACACCTTTCTTTCCTACCGGTCACAACCTTCTCGCTGCTTTCCACTGGCTTGTGTCCTACAACAATCCTGGTGATTCCTTGTGGCTATCGTACTCTGGGCATGGCGGTAATTTTATTCAATTTGCATAGCTGTTTAACTGATCTATATGACTGATTTGTGACAATGCAGGTCAGGTAGAGGATCAGTATGGAGATCGGGAATCGGGGTTAGCATTCAAAACAAATTTATTGATAAATTCAGGTTGTTCTTATAACTGACTTTATTGAGTCGATAAGCTTCAATGACACTATCTGTCCGGTTGACTTTGAACGTAATGGACAACTTACCAGCAGCACGGTAAGTCATAGACCACTAAGGAGTGTGGCAGAAAGTTGAGAGTTCTAACGAAAGAACAGCTTCACAAAGCAATAATCTCTCCCATGCCTCCTTGGGCACGCCTTACTATACTTTTTGACTGTTGTCACTCTGGTTCTGCTGTGGAACTCCCATATACCTATCGCCCAGATGCTGATGGAAACATCAACATGATCAACAACTTAAAGGAAGGAATAAATCTCGCCATGCACGCCAATAGCCTGCTCCAAGGCGGTTTCTCGGTGGATCATCTCGACGACGCACGTTCGCTGGTCGCTGAAGCTACCACCTTCTTCCACAGTCTGCATCACCAGCGTAATCAGCAGCCTGCTGATGAAGAAGGACTTGTTGACGAGGGATTCCACGAGAATTGGAGAAATGAAGGCAAGGATGCATGGATGTTTAGTGGATGTGCTGATGACCAGACCTCGGCGGATACAAGTATACAGGGGCTGTCAACGGGGGCAATGTCCTGGGCGTTCATCAATGTGATGAGGCAGAACCCCCAGCAAAGCTATATTGATGTATGTGTTTCATCTATTGAGAACCGAGATCTGAAGTATCCGCTGACTTTGAAAGATCCTACAAAACACGAGACATCTTCTGCGTCAGCAATACTCGCAGGTTCCGCAACTATCTGTAGGGGCCGAATATGACTTGAACCAGATGGTGTCGGTAAGTTATCAATTGATATTTTATTTTACATCCCAGATCAAGGCTTTAGTCTGCTGACAAAGGGTAGTTCTGATCTTATGAAGAACATTCCAACGATTTATGAATGGTTTCGTATTATTACAAGACCTTTTATATAGCTAGAAATGGCTGTACTTAGCTGAATAAAATAATATTATCCAAAGCTTTTAGTAGCTTTTGTACGCCATTGTTACATTCGCCGGAAGAATTGAAACCCACTTAGTCTCGGTTGAAGCAACGGTCTATGCGATGAGACCTGCAAACAAGGTTTACTATAACACCATATTCTGGATGATAATGCTGATCGTAAGAACTAATTGTTTACACATTTCCTTTTATATGGCTTCAAATTGCCTGTGGAGCACGTTGACGGTAATGTTCGATATCTTTCTGAGTCTGCCAATATTGCATGACTAAGATTCTAATGTTTCGGGAAGGTTATAACCCGATACCCTTTGACATTCGTGATCGAACTCTCCGCCCTCCAAGAAAGTCAAGTGAAAACCTCCGCCTGGACTAATAGGGATAAGTAGTAAATATTATGACTTCTAAAGTGATTATCCCTCGTTCTGTCATCGAGCTGGGTTCATTTCAACCGACCAAGCCCTATATCAGGCCGTTGAGACTGTTTTCGTCAACCCATCCAACCCGGCCAGGTCGGCATACGTCATAAGAATTCTATATAGATGTGCAAGATAGTGGATAATATTGACAAAATGTGGCTATCTAATGGAAAAATTACTAATTATAAGCATGGTACGGATCAGTGAGTATTGCGTACACTTCTAGCTAATCTAGCACAATCTGAATATAGATCGAGCTTGTCGTGGGGAGCAATTTGTTGACGGGTGGATCGCCTACTGGTGATTACATTTAACGCGGAGTCATTCTATATCTCTATATACTAACAAGTCCAAAATATTAACGTAAATACACATGTGAGATCCGTAATGGCCAACCGCGGTGGTCTCATCAATCAATCTCACAAACACGAAGCACAACTCCGTATCAATTCGTATTGTTGTTTGATACGTAATGCCCATACTTGCAGCCTGGGTATTGAATCAGCCACTACTGTTTAGGCATAACCATACCTTGTATGTTATCGGAGTACTTCGTATGAAGTAATGAGGTTCAACCAAATGCGCCGAGATATCACAAATCTCTTTTACTCGTGAAGTATAAGATATGTATATTCTTATGCAGCCTCGAGTGTTTCCTGACCGACAAAAATTAATCAGGATCCCCGTGTATATAGTATTGTTCAGTATTATATTGTTTTCTAGAGCTGTCAATTGATTGGCATAAAATATCAGTTATAGACCGGTCTCCTAGAGGTACATGAGCCAAGCTGCGGGTCGTGTTTCTAAGGTATACGTAGAGAGATCCAACAGGCGAGGAAGGGTTGGTGATTCGATGAATTATTTCGTACTCTGTACAAGAATGGCGATATACATCGAAAATAGGATTTCGAGGGATTGGTAAGTCAGAACCCTGATTTTCCACGGCTTATTCACAATGCAATAAGACCCGCACCGGCTCGACACTCATCTAGCATAGCGAATAGCTTTTCCTAATAGGGCAACTGGTAGATAGCATATCCACTTTAATATGTTGCCTCACTCAGGCCAGACAGTCAGATAGTGGTTTGTCAGATGGAGATAGCGAATGGTGCTTCTTTTCTTAGAAAAGGGGCAAATACATATGAGGGCTCTGTTTATTTTTGAAGTTTAATGATCAATACTTTTACGATGATCCACGGGGACTTATTGACCATGTTTATTTCCTTTTTCGTATTCGTGTTTAGGCTCGTATTCTCATGTACAGACAGCGGAGTACGGATACATGTGGCATTTTTTTGTTACATACCCTGTGCGTCTATATGCAGCTAATTAGACGGAATGGATGCACTGACTCGGATTAGTAGAAGGTGGCGGAATATGACGAATGATTTGACGGCTAATGTGGTTCTTTGCTACACCAATCAGCGCATACTTCGTACGTAGTAACGAGACGCGATGTTAAATCGCAGGTAGGGGTGTGTCTAGATCGACACTTCGTTTATGAAATCACGTAATACATGCAGATCGATTTGATGGTGAGGCTTTCTTTCTTGGGTTACTAAATAAGTTATGCGTTTGGAGCTTTGGGGGAGAGGACTAAAGGCAATGAATGAATAGCTTTTTATTAATAATTATTTCTGTTGTCGTGTTTACTTTATGGCAAAACAATTAAGGTTTTGAGTAGGATGAAAAACTGCTTTTCATGCACATGTACTTGAGTGATGTGCATTAAAATTGAGTATGATGGACTTTCGTGCTGTGAGGCGACTGAAAGGCAAAAAGCGAATGATTTCGTCGCTAATCACAAGCGCCTATTCGTTATTATTTCTCTCGTCAGAGTGCCTCTGACATATCAATAGTCGTGATCTCTAAAGATCATATAATAATAAAATATATTTTAATGATTTATTTGTGGACTTTTCGTAGCTGACATATTCTAACATATATTACGTGAAGATGTAGATTAATAATATACATGTATATGTATTTTGCTGGCAATAGTCAATCCAGTGCCTCTTTAGAGCTTATAGCTCTTGTAAGGCTTAGAGGATCTCTGCAGTCTAATTTAAACCTGTTGCTGCCTTTTTTTGCAGCAACACGTAGTTATTCGAAGATAACGGATTTCGCAGATTTCGTAGCTTTCCTTCGTCTATCGGACAAGACCGCGGCCCACATGTAAAAGCCAGGGAGAAAAGATTGAAATATCACCAATAATAGGCCCACTGCTGGTTTCCATCACCTGTCATCGTTACTGGTGTAGAAATATTCATTGGCACATTTGGATCTTCGGCGGTGTTGCTATTCCATTTCCACCTGGCATATTCTACAGTGTTGGGGTCAACTAACCTCAGTGGCTCCTCGGCTGTCTGATGAAATTGTAAGGAATTAGGAGAGGCCAGTGTATTGGACCATATATCGGTGTCATATAAAGGCTGCTGGCTCATCAACGCCACATGGTTATCGTATGGCTCTGAGCCAAGCAAAGTGTTATTATTGTGGTGAGAGATCATATTCCATCCCTGCTGTTGCCCTGGGGCAACGGATAAACCGTCATTATTATGCCCCCGAGACGTGAACGAAAGTGGTCCTAAAACTGGTTCTTCGCGGTATTGCCGTGGTTGGGAACGTGGTATTAGGGCATGTTGAAAGGGTGTTGTGTTAACCACGTCTAAGGCATGAAGTGGCGGAGAACCAAAATGATAAGATGAAGGGGAAGACACTCCCTCTGAGAACTGTGATGGTGTTGATGGTGAAGACGCACCGACTCGTAATGAAACAGCCGTAGCTGTGCTCTGCGATCTTCTTGGTTTTGTGCGATTTCGTGATGAAGTAACCGGCATACATGATGGGGAAGAAGACGATGATAAAGACGGAGGAGGGGGTGTCGTCGTAGTAGATGAAGGGAGACTTTTTGCGGATGAAGTCACACTGCTATGTTGAGCCACTGAATTACTTCGTTCTCTCTCTCTTTTTGATTTGTTGCTCGGCCGTCCTAGACGGCTTGGTGGACTATAGACGCATTGTGCACCAGCCTCAGTGCATCGTTCGCAGGGCTTGTTGTCGCTGATACCTGTGCGTGTGCATCGCTGTTTTCGCTTGTGACAACGATCACAGGCCAACCTGAGAGAAGGGCCTTCAAAAAGTAGCATTATAATTGGTGTTGTTATTATAATACTGGACGAATAATGATGACAAAAATGGGACCCGAGAGCCTTTTAAATTGAAAACTTTCTGGTATTATTAGATGTCAATTACCCAGTAGCAAGTGATTTGGAACAAGAGTAATGCGACAATTAAGGGTAAACGATAATAAAGCCAACAAGACCAGCCAGTCTCAATCATAAGCACTAAATTCGTAGTCTCTTTAGGTGGTTGTCATTCGCTACTGTCGGGGGTAATTAAGCTCCGGTGAGTTAGACGGCTTTCCAGAAGATCCGTCGAAGAAGAGTAAAGACAAAAATGGGTCCTTTGCGCTAGTCCTGCAGCATAATATAGTCAGGTTTTGCTAGATTTTCATTGGCATTGGCAATTCTGGACGCAACACCCCATAGCACTTAGCTGATGGGCTATTTGAATGCGCCAACTGCCGCGAATATCGCGTATTCCTCCTCGAGGGTCCCGGCTGATGGTAATGATAACTGTTTGACCCCAATTCTAGCATGCAGTAGATCTCCCGGGAGCCTGCTGCACCCTCCTGCTGCATCTTACCACGTGCGCGGTATTACGGGGCATATTGTTACAGCAAACAGGATGACAGTAATTTGGTAAGCTTACGGAAGTCTGTATGTAGCGGTAATGAGATGAATTCTCAGTGAGTATTCGTTTAGCTCTCGGCATATGACCGAGCGACCGTCATCAGGGTCCTGGATAGTTATACCACAATCCTGCGAAGTTTCATAAGAATACACACTTGACCGATCGATTTATAAGTAGAAAAAACGGGCATTGGTAGTTCCGAACCCCTGATCAGCAGAGCCAAATGTTTTCCTGGATTCATAACTCATTATCAACTACAAATCAGCCAGTCAAGTAAGAAACGGCTGGACCCTACGAGTCTGGGCTGAGCTGATCAATAATTACACTGCTATTACCAACTCTACGGAGTGCCGCTGGCCGTAACTACCAACTAGCCGTAGAAAATACGGAGTCGGTGCTGGACGAAGTTGGCACGACTCGAGGCTGATCTACATTGACCCGTACAAAAACGAAGCAGAGGCATAGTATTTGCTAGCCGTCAGAGTGGTGCTGAATGATTACCATCATTATTAATCGTAGATCATAAATAAATACGGAATCTAGCAGGATGTATTGCATTTGCTCAACAAGCTGATGGCCCCCTTATAATGACTCTAGAATATCAACCACGTAGAACGTGATGGGCCGATAACACCAACGGCGTCCTGCACAGACAGGTACATGAAGAAGGCCGCAATGGCCATCCGATGGCCACAATCCGGATTAGAGAAGCATAAAAATTTAGCCCGCGCACCATCGATTTAGGCCCCCACTCAGAATGACGCGGTGTCAGAGTCTAGAGAAAGCTAGGCTCCGCCTCACGCGTCATAATTTGCTTAGTTTTAACCTAGTTTCTAGAATAACGAAAAGACGGGAAGACGGGAAGTCGGACCAAATATTTGGGGTAGATATGGTGGGAAATATCGGCTTGGCTTTACAATGGGGTGATAGGAACGTGGGGACGAGAATGAGTGGTTTAATCGTTTCTACGGGGTCCAAAAGTTTAAGTCCTTTGAACACTTCTTGTTCGCGCCGGGTGATGCTCTAGAGGACTAGATCTTACTATTAATTAAACTTGAGGTGGAAGTGAGATGCCACTAGTCATTAGTGAGTGGTACAGGATTCTAATACCTCCACGTACACGTGGAGAAAATGCTACAATGCAGCTATATTAGCGCGGAATAAAACGCGGCTGTGAGTTAGCTATTGGTTGTTCGAAAAATGATAAGATGACGAAAGTAATAGTAGGAGTCTGCTAGGATGCTAATGGGGGGAAACGGTTATAAAAACCGCTCGGAAAGGGAGGATGAGCAGCGCCACCCGTATGTTTCAGGCTGTGCAAATCATTGATCAGATAAAGTGAGAGGGTCTGCCTGGAGAACGTTCACCGGCAAATAACCACCAGAATCCTCAGCCTGGAGAAAGTCGGAACAAACCGCCTGGAGGTTTATGCTAGAAATAGCTTGATTATTTCCCACGCCGCATGGTAGAAAACAATTAGCCTTCCGATATTTCTTATCGCGAAAACATACTCCCAGATTTGAGGACATTCTTTTTCTGTGCAAAAAATGTAATATTCCATGATGTTACTGCCAAATGCTGCACCTCATCCTAATTGCTAGTTTCTTGACTCCTTATCACATAGACTTAGCAGTCCCAACCTGCAAAACGTACCCGTGTATCAACTACATACTATTCTTTCTTTTGGTTATTGGACGGGTCATTTTCCTTTTTTTGCAGCCTGACATTTCCGCAGAAAGCGGTCGTTCTAATGTCTACGGAATATCGGTTTAGTCCAGTTGACCAGATTATGCGGCAATCTCTTCATCTTCATTTACGACATCAATTTTCCCTTCCACTCTTGTGGGTAGCCAACGTAAACTGGCCCTCTGGACGATCGCTAGTGCAATCAAAATTACCCATGCAAAATAGCCGGCAAGGATCTGGTGCTTCACACCTGTTGCGAACAAGCTAGCAAAGAGGCCGGGCGCAATAGAGCGAATAGCACTGGTTAGCGTCAGGCTGATTGCATTCAGTGTGCCCAGAGTTTCAGAAGACGGCGATATATCATTCAATGCGAGTTGAAATGCAGCTAACATTTCCCATTAGCACTATGGAGGCAACTGCAGCATTGCAAATAAACTTACTAAATCCCATTGCAACACCACTTCCCACGACGACGACCACCGGCGCATACACCCAAAAGACCGTCTCCCATCCGACTCGAAGAAAAATATTTGCTGCCGGAGTAAGGAAAAACCAGAAAGGTAGGCAAACAGAACAAGCACGAAGAACGCCACCGGTTCCAATGCGGCGTTGCAAGCTAGGGAATACAAAAATCAACCAGGCTGCCTGGGAAAGGCCACCAATGCCCATAAATGCTGATATTTGGATTTCCCTAAATCCATAGCCACCGAATTTTGGGTTGGTGAAGTAGAAGACGGGAATGACTGTGGTATTATTAGTGAAACTGGACAAGACAAGCATCATGTCGATACTAACTGGCAGTATAACCCAAAGTAATGAGGATGGTAAAAGCGTTCAGGAATAGCACCAAAGAGACTCCCGGAGATCTGATAATTTCAGTGGTTGACATAGGCTTAACAGGCTCATTTCTGCCGTCAATTTTACTTCTTAAAGTCTATGGGCTTTGTTAGAGAGTTATCAAATTTACATTAAGAAATTGACAACGAACCTCTTTCACAAAAAGAGCAGAAACAATGCAGGCAGTCGCTGCGATGCTTCCAGTGGCGAACGTTGGCAACGCATAGGGATAGTCTTTGAAAAAGCGAACGTTGCCAAATAGTGATGGATATTGCTCAGCTGGGCGTAATAGCACGCCGCCTGTAAATATTAGTATTGGGTCCTGCGGCCTATATCCGATAAAAGGGCAATCGCGTACCTAATAAAGGGCCTACGCAGATTCCGAGGTTGCTGAAAAGCGCAAAGTAGCTAAAAGCTCTAGCCTGCGTCTTCGGTGTGCTGTTCTCCGAAATTGCTGTTCGAACAGTCCTTGATTCACACTCAGAAACAATAAACAAGTTGATAACGAGCCAATAATAACTTACACCACAGTCCCGGAAAATACCCCTGCGAGGCATCGATATACTATCATCTGCCAGATCTTTTGACTAGTTCCAAAGAGCGCACAAGTTACCGACAGTCCTGCGAGAGAAATGACAAGAACAGGCTTTCGACCAAAGCGATCCGAAGCCCGCCCCCAAGGTAGCATCAGCATCATCTGCGTCAGGGAGAATAAAGATTCCTAAGCAAGCAACGTTAGTATCAAATAAAAGGCGAATGGAATACAAAGCTTAATTTTCATACAATGAAACCGCTATAAAACCCGACATCAGTCTCGGGCACATCGCCACACTCCTCAATCATGCGGTTCATAAACGGAAAAATGGAGAAGAACGCAATTGGTTCGACTATTCGAGCGAAACACAGAAGCAATATTTGCCCCATAGGTAACGGTTTGTCAATATTTGCGCCATTTTGTTGGACAGTGGTATGTGTTTCAGGAGCAGCAATAAGAGGTGTAGTCTCATCCATATTACTTTCTTCGGAAAGTGTCATTTTCACCGGTTTCAATATTGAGAACCAGAGCAAGCACTTTCAATTTCTCTTCATACAATTTCAATTTCTCGTTCCGATCTATTATTCATTTATAATCTCTCAATGAAATTTCCCAAGATGAAAAGAAGAGAAAAGAAAGAAAAGTATTGTAGCCTGCAAACAGAAGTCAGCATGTATAATCTTGAGTATCAAGTTCAGAAAAGTTCTGATTGACACACCACAGATGTTACTGACGCCTTGATGCCTTGATGACTCTCAGGCTTCCACCGCTGCGAATATCTGTCTCAGATAAGTTTGGTCTTGTCATTTGGTTACTATGCAACCAGTCGTCCAAGAAGAGCACTCTAGCAGCAGACCGCAGCGACAGGTTTGTGAGGAGATAAAACTGATCGTTCGACATTGAACGGTTGTACTTACATAAGCCGATAGTTTAATTTTTGTGTTTATTCCGAGCTCCGAACCTGCTCCTTTTTCGGCCAAGTCAATGAAAGAGCCTTCGTCTTATGCTGTAATTTCAGGCTAGATTGAATAATAATAAATATTGTTATGCAATTAAGGGCCATTTCATTGACTCATTCCTATTCCTACTATTATTGGCCATGTTCCAAGACCGTACCCAGACTTTGTTTGTTTCGTTTTCGCAATATGACAAATGTATTCCTAAATCCAGGGAATCAGTGGTTATATACTAGAATCCAGGTATCGTCCTGAAACTGAAGCCAGGCAGTGGTAGGTATATAGAAGTATGGATTAAATACGATTCATACATTGTACGTAATATGTATAGGCCGATACTCACGATTTGATTGGCTGTTGAGTAAATGCCATTTGAGGGTCTGTCCCACTATACCCCACTTGACAGATACTAGTTCAACGCTTACGAGAATCCTTCTGCTATTATTGGACGAGCTAGCTTGATCGGGGCAATGCGCGATGCCGGATGCGGCCCGTCCAACAATGCCGAGTGGGGTAGCCGCCCCCTCTCTCCTGGGACTTTCCCTAGTTGCTGTCCTCTTTCATGCAGCCCAAATATGAGACATTCGGGTCTTTGAGAGAATGGGAAAAACGTTCGAAAAACAGATCAATTATGCCGACCATCAATTCCTTCGTTGACAGACCAGCTTGCTCAACGCAGGACTTTGCTGTATAAATGCTGCTGCAGGATATCCAAAACGCCCAGGCATTATCCCCTGCCTGCCAATTTACCAACACGCTGTACGCTGTTAATAAGAATAAAAAAAAGAAGCCACCACATTCAAAGTGGTGAATGGATATGAATGTGCATGAAAAATCCAGTACCGTGTTACGCGTCGACCGGTTTGCGACCAACTAAGAATCGATACACGGTGTATAAGTGTAGGCTGCGATCGTTCAATTCGTTACGCACCATCGAAAATAGGATGCTGGCTTGGTCGTAGCTGTAGCCCAGGACACGCGTAAAGAGGGCAAGTGAATGGGCCTCGACCGACTCATTCACATGCAATCGCTCAAAACCGCCAATTTCTTTGAGTGACGGGTCGCGCGCCCATTGTCCGATAGGCACTTTGACTATTTTCTCTGTCAGATCGACAAAACCAGTGTCGTGCATGAGCTGCCTCTGATGTCGTCCAACATCAATGGGTTTTCCGTTGCGCGCCGAGGCTTCGCAAAGTCGCATCAGCCATTCTTTCGTCCAGGGGGCCTTTAGAAGATTCCGATCATCCTCGCTGTAGACTACGGGGTCGTATTCGTGTACTTCAATGTAGCCGCCAGGCTTGAGGCTCTCGTAAGCCTGTTTATATAATCGTGGCCAATTGTTGGTGCTGCCGCTCAGTGCGCGCCAGTGAATGTAGTCAAAACGTTCTTGCTCATCGTAGTCCCACGGGAGTTCAAAGTCATCGACGTAAAATTTCAAATTCGGCGGGACAAAGCTCGGCTGGATGGGCGACAAGTCGGTGCCGATCACAACGGCGCTGGGGAATTCGTCTGCGAATTCGATCGCCCAGATACCAGTCCCAGTGCCAACATCGAGTATTCGCTGCGGGTTACGGATGGGTGCGAGATGTAATCGGCCGCCGAGGCAAAGGAGGAAGATGTGATGTTGAAGGTCGAGGCGTGCTTGTTCCGTTTCATCGTTAGGCATCGCATAGGAACCTACAAAAGATGTGAGATTGTCCGATCCTAAATTTGCTGGATTTAAATGCGACTATACCTTCGCGAAAGGCATGATATCTGCGTCCATTTTCATATTCGTAGTGGAAGATTGACGACCGTAGGGATTCACTTGTCTCTGCAATCGACCCGTCATATGTGGAATCTCGGTCGTCGACATGCGACCCCTGAAAGTCAAGATTATTATCGCTTCATGTAGAAATGCAGTATATATGCGAGGGAAATGCAAGGATTAATTAGGCTCACATCAACTGGAATGGGAGGGTGGTGGTAGGGCATGTCGTTCATGTCCATCGGCAGGAGATTTGTCGTCATATCACACCACATACGGTGACACAGGTAATAAATTACATCCAGGCAGATGTAAGCTCACTAGTCATTTTAATGGCGTTTCTATGTCTTGTTCTCCCTCTTCGGTCAACAGGTTTGGACGGACGAGAAATGGAGGAACATGTGGCACTGAAGGTGACCACTGTTAAGCGCAAATGTCGGCCTAGGGAAGCCAGCTTGCAGCGTGCACATGTGCTGGGGGTGATGCCCCACCTGTGCCCCCTTTCCATAGGCTCTCAGTATCGAGGAAGCGGCGATACGCCGGTAGGACGGTACGGAGGATGGAGCCAGGGAATGAATCCATTAGTTAAGGCTGCATTAACGAAACTAGCGTGCGTGAGACGTATCCTGTGGAACTCGGGTGCATAGTACCGGGTACTCCCGTGAAGAGTCATAATATTATTAATTAATATGATCATAATACGGATGATGGGTATTGATATCCGTCTAGGTATGGACGTATTACTATACGCTAGTATTTAGTATTTACCATGATTTCTTAGCTGTTATTATTTGCTTGCCTTAGTATCCAATCATATTCCGCCTGGGTATCCAATTTGGGATTAGCTTTCCTTGAACAGGATACGCTTTACCTACTAAGCGTCACAGCAACTACTGCTTCAAGGTTAGTGGGTATTGATTGCTATCTTGCTAGCAGGCAGTCTATCTTGGATAATTGCTGTTAAAGAGGCATAAACTCTCCAAGGCTGAAGCAAATACCTCCTCGTCATAAGTCATTATCTTGATACATCGCTCCCCACTGTGGCCATGGAGCCGTATCCATAGCGATGTTGAAGAGCTCCGAACCGAGGAAATCTGGATACAAAACCCCAAGGTCGGTGGGTAACGATTGATGATTTAAGGCACTGAAATTAATGTCACAGTCTGTCACATTGCTAACTCCTGGTCGAGCATATGGCCGCAATTTACTGAATTGTGTTGCCAATATACCACCTAGCATATGTGCCGCATGACAGGGCAGTCCGATGGACCTTAACCAGTCGATAAGCTTTGTGACGAGACTGTCCAGAGCTTCGATATCATGATTAGCCGCTCGGAGCTTTGACTCGTAGGTATGCACAAGACGACAAAGCGTGAGGGCTGAGAAGGTCACAATGTGGTATATTTGATCGGTCAAGTGACGCGTGCGCTCGTCTGTCGTTTCGATGACAAGGTTGATGATGGTTTTTGACTGATAAATCATCTCCGTGGCAATTGTTTCTACGACGGATAGTCCCCCCCGTAATCTTGAGGGGGATTTCAAGCATTGGCCATAGGCTAGAAGATGTGCGAAGTGGAAGCCCATTTGAAGGAATTGAGAGCGTGGCTGATCTTCTCCATATTGAGTATATTCGTTCTGACAGAGAGGATTTTCAAGAATAGTCACTTACTGAGTAATGCCATCCATTCCTGATGCCACGTTTGCAAAGCAACTTTCGTCTCAGACATGTTGATATCAGAGCCGCAACACTTTCTATAAATGACCCAGTATAGGCTAATTTCAGCCGCCATCCTTGCCTCATAATTGGTGATATTATCAGATTCGATAAACCGAACACAGTGATTAATTTGCTCTTGATTCAGCAGAGCCTGCCTACGAGTGCCTACACAATATCTACAGAGCCTATCAGTCTAAAGCCATGTTTCTTATGAGTTCATTAATGGGGTCTTACTGAAGATGAGCCAGACAGAGGTGGTTCCACAAACACCAAGCATCGAGTTGAGACCTTGCCGTCTGAGCAATTGATCTGACTTGAAAGACCTCGACGAAATCGGGACTAACCGATACTTGTTGAAGGGCGTACCCTGTTAAAAGCCAACTGTCAACACTCAATGGCACCTGGCCGATTGTTGTAGACCATAGACTCAATATGAGCACCGCCTGGAAGAATTCTAAAGACTGAGGCGTTATAAGTAACGAGGAGCTAACAAGACGTTTCGCTTCTTGGAATAGCTCTGGTGCGAGTCTGTCGGCAAGTTCCTGTGTCGTATGCCGTACTGAAATTAGAAAAATACTGCAAATAAGCAGTGGCGACTTTCTTATTCGTGGGAGTAGGACTGTTGTCGATATGTCCTCCGGGAATTTCACCCATCGACCGTAATGGATATGAAACCTTACATATTGTAAGCCAGAACCCGCGTAAAAAAAGATTTTCATTGACAACGCAACGTACAGCTCGAGTAGGGAATGGGCAGTGGATAATGTTACTAGTCCTGTTGAGATTACATCCGAGTGGGTGGATCGATGATGAGACTGAATCAGTTCCGGGGTATGTACACCGGCGTCCGTGGCGGCATCTCTGATGAGAAATACAGGAGCCGTGTTGGTGTCAGTTTCGGCTGTGGATTTTATTGTTCTTATCTGAGTGTTGCTCGCAGTTCCGGCGAGTTCATTGAACCTTGCGTCAATCCGATCTACTAAGGCCTCAACAGTTCTCTCCAACCTAGTTAACCTACACCAAAACATTGTTACCTATTTAAATTCTTTTAAAATGCCTCGATATCTCATGGATAATTACCTTTCGTGCACTGGAATCCGCTGCTGGATGGAATTCGAGCCGTTGCTGCTACTGGTGTCGTCCGTAACAATATGTCTCTCCCGCTCAGCCAATGAAATGGAATGGTTATTTTCAGCATTCAGAGAGCAAACTTGGGACAATGTCGAGCAGCGAAGACAGCTGCCTTTTGCGCCCTGGGATGCATAGCAACGTGTCTTACACTTCCGGCAGAGATCACACGCTTTTGAAGCTCTGCCAGATCTCAGAGGAGGCATAGTTCATGTTGACAAGCTGATGTGATATGAAAGCATAAGCACTTCCACCCATGCACCCCAGAGTCTGCAAAGATCAAGAACCCTCTTATCATAGAAAATGGCGGCATTTTCTCTCAAATGTCGTTATTTAGGATCACGTGAAAGCCTCGTGGTTGATAAGACCAGCCCCACTTTGATTAGGTTTCAATTGATGAATGCAAATTGTAATGAGAATGACTGTAATGGGAACTTTGAACCTACTATTTGCACTATCATTTGAGGCAATTCTCTTCTATGGGAAGAATACAATGGTATTCTAGTTTAGATGCTTTATTGTACGCACCTAAAATGTAACGATTTCCTGTAGATATAGGACTATTGCCCCCCTTCATTATCTTCCAAGTTCAATAACGGTTGTCTTAGCTTCAACACCTCGATCCCCATTATCAAATACACGGTACAATAGCTTCCAAAATAAAATAACGACCGCTGCAGCAATTACACATGAGGCAGCAATTATCAGACCGTGAGTATACCGAGGTGCATCTTGAAGAGATTAGTTTCAAATGACGACTGAATGAATTGATAACGACTGAAGTTGTAATATACCTTGTGTTTGAAATAGCACGTTTCCAGGGAAGTTGGCGAGCTGGATGCTCATTACATACGCAGCCAGAGCCACAGGGCGCTTGTGGTCTTCCATCTTGGCAGTTAGCCACGCTGCACTGATTGCCTGAGCAGAGCCCATTCCCATTTGAGTCCATACCACACCTCCTAGATAATATGCTTATTAGTGATATGCCATAACTGAGATTGGAAAACACTGTTATATACCGTAAAGAACCCATTTGCTGACTCCATCAGCTGCAAGAGCCAGCCATAGCAGACCCGCCGCTCCCCAAAGATACCCAACAGCGATATGAAACCCTCGTTCTCCCAATTTGTCACTACTGAAAGCGAGAGTTACAGACAATACCAAGGCACACGCACTACCGACTGAATTGAGTCCGTTTGCTTGTAAGCTTGTAAATCCGAGACTCTTGATGATGGAAGGTGCATATGTATTCATCGGTGAAATCATTACCATAGAGAGAAGGGCAGCCACAATATGGCCATACAACCGCCAGTCCATGAAGGTTTCTAGAATATGAGAAGGCAGGACTGGCTTTCCGTATCGCATACCCTTCGTCGGGTCGTTTTTGATGGCCCGAGTGATGAGTATTGTTGCCTCTCGATCGGTGAAAATGTTGTAGGACTTTCCGAAGAATGACTTAGGGCTAGCCGGGCTGTGTGGAAGGTATAAATACATGACGACTCCGAGAAAGCAAGTCAAACTGCCCTCTAAACAGCGTTGATCTTATTAGTATGTGATATTGAATGGTATTCTCGGATTAAGGTAAACAAACCAATAAGAAATAGCCATTGCCATCCATGTAGGCCACCTCGTCCCCCAAGAGATAGAAGTCCGATCGAAAGTGGTCCACCGAGAATTCCTGCAAAGCTATTTGACCCCCAGAAGATTGCATATCGCAGTGCGAGCTCCTGATTTGTATAGAGCTTTGAAATATATAGCGCAATACTGGGTATATATCCGCCTTCAAGTGCTCCTATGAAGAATCGAGCAGCGCATAGTCCGGAGGGGTCTTTCATGAATATTTGTGACCAGGTTGCAATACCCCAGAGAAACATAGTAACCGGGAGAAATCGTTCAGCGCCAATGTATCTGCTGATCATGTTGAATGGCAATTCAGTTATGACGAAACCAACTGTGAATAATGTCTGCGCTAAATTAATATCCGAGTTGTCCACATGAATGTCCTTCCTGAGGGTATCGGTCAAGGCATTACCAATGTTCGTACGATCGAATTGCAGAAAACAAAAACACAAGACAATAAAAGGAAGGATAAAAAGATCTGCCTTCAGCAACGCTCTTCTTTCCTCTCCGAGTTGGAGTTGTATGCTCGGATCATAACCAGGAACATTGATGGCTTCATCACAGATGATGTTGTTGACTTCGTGATTATAGTCTCCTTTTGAAAGCTCCATCTTAATCTTTTAAGAGCTGTAGATAATGATCTGGATCTGATAGCAGCTCTTTTACCGTAACTTCTTCCAATAATTACCCTTAGAGTCTACTTTGGAGTCCTGCCCCATCTTTGGTCCTGCGAGCGTGGTGAATGATTTATACTAGTAACAATTCTGCAGCGCAGGAAGAATATCGAGACAATCGAGATAAAGCTCTCTCCTGATAATCTGAAGTTATCATTACGGGGATAATGACGTGCTGAGTGTGTTCACCTATCAGCCAAGAAGTTTTGGGAAGTACGTGAACCATTCCTGGTGGGGATGTTATCTAACCAACGGCATACCGTCGGCTTGCCGGAGCCTTTCCTAAGGCAAGCCGTCGGATTTAATTACAAGATAATTTTATTGATGATAGCTTGTGCATGATGAAATAGTGAGGCATAAATTCTAATAAGTATAACATGTCACTATTTCAAGCAAGTTTTTGTCTACTCTATCACAAGTCTTACAATTTTGAAACAGAGTTTACTGTGCAGTTATCGAGCAAATCGTCTAATCGGCTCAGAACATTGTTTTTGCTGACCCAATTATATCTACTCTGAAATGGAGCAAAACACACTTAAAAGAAGAGGTGTTGGCCTTACTGGTGTTGACAAGCAACGGTCATTCGGAGGCTACACTCTCTTCTGCCCCCTGACTAGCGATGTAGCCCATTTGATTGACATTGACGGAAACGAAGTCCATTCATGGAAGCTACCTGGAAGAATTGGTCGACATGCTAGAATACTGCCAAACGGAAACCTTGCAGTCAATACATTACGCCCCGCTCAAGGTAGCACGACTAAAGATGGTGGTCCCTTTCCTTTCCCATTCTTCAACAAGTATGGCGGAGGGGTCATGAGTGAGTTAGATCCGACTGGGAATTTAGTACGCCAGTTCCAAGACTCCTTTGGTCATCATGATCAGTATCATTTTGGAGATGGGAGGCTTCTTTATACAAGTCTCGAGGCCTTATCTCCAGAAGAGTCCGCAAAGGTTGTTGGAGGAGTGCGCGGCACTGAAATCGATGGAATTACCTATACAGACACGATAAAAGAAGTCGATGAAAAGGGTAATCTTGTCTGGCAATGGAGAGTCTCGCAGCGACTACCTCGGGATGAGTTTCCTCTTCAACCACACTACACACGCGAGCACTACCCGCTCATCAATTCAGTCCTTCCCATGCGAGATGGCAAACATATTCTAGCATCAATGCGGTCAGTATCCGCAGTGGTAATCATCGAGAAATCCACGGGAAATATCGTGTGGAAACTCGGTCCAGAGGTGCTGGCTCAACAGCACAATGCCACCGAGCTTGAGAATGGCAATATTTTGGTTTTCGACAACGGAGCATACCGCAACGGCGAGTCAATTACTTATAGTCGGGCCATTGAAGTTGACCGTACGACTAAGGAAATTGTATGGGAATATCGCGATCGATCGCAGATGCTGTACTTCTTCACTCCTTTCATGGGCAGTGCTCAGAGGCTCGCCAATGGTAACACCTTACTGTGCGAAAGTGGCTTCGGCCGGCTTTTTGAAGTCACTCATGATGGCTACATTTGCTGGGAATATGTCAATCCACATTTTGCCTGTTACGTAGATGAGGCAACTGCAAAAATATTTCCCGGCGAATCAAACGCATTATTTAGGGCATATCGCTATTCGCTGGAAGAAATTCCTTGGCTGAAAGAAAAGTTAGGCATATAGCGAAACCTTTTTCTTTTATTTCCTATTTTACAATTTATTGATGAAGGATGTTCCAAAAAAGCCTGAGCCGTCCACAAAGTTATGTAGTTATATGTTTAAACTCTACCGATATTATTCTTGGAATTCATATACCGATCTGATGATTTATTTATTTAGCTATCCTAATTCTATAAACTATTTTCCTGAGGTGATACAAGATATAAGAGATACATAATATAAGACGGCTTCCGCAAGGATAAGACAAACATTGTCATGAGCTCACCTGGATTTATCGACGGAAAGATTGAAGGAGTACATGTCATCATGGGTAAATCGGTAATTATGATACAAAACGATCCTAATTTAAGCCCAACTCATAAGGAATTTATTCACAGTCTTGATAGAGTAATTGAGAAGGTGCAGGTCATTGACTTTGCCGATGATGTGTTTTGAGAGAGAATTATTCATGATGTAGCCTGTCAGTATTATGTCCCTGACTGCTTAAAACAGTCAAGAATCAGACCCGAGGAATGAGTGTTGTGAAGCGAGAAGTGCAGTTAATGATAACATTCCTAATATTCTTACAACTGTATAATTTCTATTAGGATAGTAAACTTGATGGGTAATCTTGTGGCGGAGTGGATATGAAAAATAAGTTATCTTATTGGTCAAGAGCGAAACTCACAGTGAGTCACTAATCCGCACTTGATTGGTTGAAATGTGACCTCGTATTCGCAACCAACAGAACTTGTCAACTCTTAACCACTATACCAAAAAGGGCGCAACCCTTACTTAGTAAGGATTTTTAGTGGTTATTTTTCCTGACAGAACGTCAGCCAGCCTGGCCAACTCCTACAGCAACAATGAAATAGGCGAACAACTTTCCTATATCTATTCGATCGGTTGCAACTAGAGAAGCTAACTGTCGCCACCGATATGGTTGGCGTCGCTGGAAAATCTAAAGGCTGCAAAACCTGCAGGCAGCGGAAGATTGCTGTGGGTGTTCTCTTTCCATGCGGTATTGATCAAGTCGACCTGCTGATCAGGTTTATCAAGTGTGGTCTGCAACGCCCGCAATGTGCACAATGTATAAAGTCTAATAGGATATGTCTTGGATATGACCGCGATGTACAATTTATTCCAATGCAGGCGAAACTGACGGAGAAGAAACTTGTTGTGACAAGCTCCTTTGGGGAGATACGACGGAGCTCAGCACCTATTCACAAGAAAGGCCAATTACCGAATTCAACATCATCAACAACCTCAAAGAGTTTGGAAAGTGGACACTCCAACAAGAATGGATATTGTCCGGTTGAAGAACAGCCAAAACATGCCATATTGAATCCTATATTGGATGGAATTTGCGCCTCAGCAAACCGGCAACAACTCCTTAATGCTTTTATTTCTATCTGTATTCCACGAGATACAGAGGTAGCAGGGTCATCTTCACCGAGAAATGGTGGACCATGGCTGCTGTTATTGCGGGAACTTTCGATACGCACCGTAGCACTGGAGGCATCGATTTCGGCAATATCCGCTTCCGTCTTGGGACGTTTGCAAAACAATTACAGCCTAATCAAAGAAAGTCTAAAACTATATACGATTGGTCTGCGAGAGCTGCAAAAGGCCCTTTGGAATCCGCGGCTAATGTATAACGACGAAATACTAGCAGCATGCCTTTGCCTCAGCTTGTATGAGGTTTTAGAGTGTCCTGGGGAGGGTAATCAAGCGTATTATAACCACTGTAAGGGGTGCATGAGGCTTGTCGCAGCACGCGGGGTGGAACGACATGTTTCAGGAATAGGGCACGAGTTGTTTCTCGGTCTTCGCTCTCAGGGAGTAAGTTTCTTCACGGCCGTATTTCACCTAGCTTGGATTCTGACTTTTGACCAACAAATAGATACTCCTTAGCATAGTAACCCGCCAGCCAAGCTTTCTTTCTACATCCCTTTGGATGGAAGACCCTTGGAAAGAACAGCCCAAGCGCCCATTGGACCGACTGATGGATTGTTTATGCGAAGCGCCGGCAATATATAAGACTGGTGATCAAGTGGAAACTCTCACGCCCCTAGAAAGCCTAGAATTTCACCTCGATAGTATTTCGAAGTTGTGGAAGATAGACGCTACCCTTGAAGGTGTCTATGACGACTTTGCAAAAGAATTTCCCTGCCCGATGTATTGGTCCGTTTTGTCAACCGAGCCCAGTTCAGCCGATGATCCGATTCTTGGAAAGGTTTTCCCTGTTGCCTATGACTTCCCTTATCTGAAGGTCGCGCGCTCGCTTATGATGTACTGGTCCTGCAGGTTTTTAGTATGGGCGGGGTTCTTCTATTTATATCATGGGGTAATGGAGATTGATATTGATGCGATGGATGCGCATTGCTCAAATTATCCTGATTGCGCCCTGTTTGACGATGGCATGTGCCATTGCCGACACCTTGTTGTGCAGCAATCTGGTCACTATAGGTACGACAAATCGCACCTGAAGCCACTGGAATTTCGACTCGATCTCAAGTCGCTGGTGTATAATGTCTGCCAGTCTGTGGAGTACTGCATGAAGAGCAGTGTTCCTATCTTTGGTGTATGGTCTGTCACCACACCACTATCCTTAGTATACGAGACAGTCAAGCATATTCCTGGGTTCAAGAGGGAAGTTGCATGGATGGAGGCAGCTCTTCGGAAGCTGCAAGCCAGTGGGGTACGGATCATCGACTATAGCACGAGTATCAACAATCCACTGTAGCTACTCGTTGCCAATACCTCGAAATTTATGTCACCATTCCAAAACGCGTTCGCTCTCAATGGCCTTGGTTTAGCCTCGGTCATATTACGCCTGACACTAACTAATTCTATAGAGATCGCGGGTTGGCGCTGAAACCGGCTTAGCACGATGGGGCTCAACCCGGCACACGCTAAGCCAGCGCACGCTAAGCCAGCGCACGCTAAGCCACCGTCCAACCAGCACACTAACCGCATCTGGAACCAACATGCGATCCCCACTTTGTCCATTTTCACAGATCAACGAATAGCGACGAGTTTTATGTAGAAGGGGAAAGCATCTTGATAGAAGCTACGGGCAATGATTGCCTGCACAGGGCTGATTCCGTGTCTATGGAGATCATAGTACACCTGGCTGCTGTACATAAAAGCCCTGAAATCCTCCCTGATTTTAGTTATAGACCAGCCGAGCAAGAATATTCAGAATTCTTTCCCTCAACCAATACAGTTATTCTCCTGCATTTCATTCCTCAACATGCTTAACCAACACTCCCAGGTGGGCATTGCTCAGATTGTCTTCTATGTTCCGGCCGTCCTTGCAGCGATAACCTTGTTTCTCTTTCGAAAACAAGTCAAGGGACTCCCACGCTTTGCGTGGTATGTCCTTACCTTATTCACTTTGGGTTCGTTTTGGTTTTCATTCCAGCTTCAGAATCCTCACTTACCAACCCTACCTAGTTCGTCTTGCGGGCGGCATAGTTGTCATTCTATACGAGAACAACTCCTCGTCCACGGGTCTGGCAATCGCATCTGTGATCCTCCTCAATGCAGGCGTATTTCCATGTATTGCGGCTACAATTGGGTTCATCAAGATCATGTTGGTTCAAAACACATTCCCTGATCTAGTTTTTGCGACAACCTTTTCTAAGACAATGCCCCACAGTACACACATTGACTATAAACATGACCGCGTTTTACACTATCTCGTCGTCACCTCCCGACTCCTCTTCCTTGCGGGCATCGGCCTTCTTGTCGGTGGTGGCGTCCTGGAAGGAAACTACAATGATCAAAGCTCGGTTCAGACCGGAATAAAACTCTCACGCGCAGGATATTGTGTCGTCGCTGCCTTTGTCGGAACCCTGCTCCTTTTTCTCGCGTTTTTCTGGGTGAAGAGACAGACATTGTCCAGCACTAGCCTTCTGGTAAGTCTTCATTCATGTCTGGAGAAAATTAAAGTTCTCTGATCGTGTCTTAAACAGGTTCTTCGAGGCGTAACTATGGCAGTGCCTTTTTTCATTGTTCGACTAACGTATGCCTTTCTCTCAGTATATCGTGGCGCCGAGGACAAGACTTGGGATTCGCTGAGTGGGCCGATTGCGCCATTTTTGGTGATGGGCTTGCTCATGGAGTATTTTGTTGTGGTGATTTATCTATACACGGGCTTTAAGATCAAGAAGACAGTCGATGTTGTTCCTGACGGGGAGATTTTGGCATTAGCGAAGTAGATTCGCACTATCTAATTTGTCTCATAAAACTGCTCTAATTTATAGATACATGTCGATCGGTTCTCATACAAATCGGTGGTCCTCAACAGCAATTAATTGTAACGCCGCATCAACAACAGACTCCTCCAGGCTGTGATACTTCATTCCCAACACATTCTTAGACTTCTCATTCTCCACCTCATAGACAAAGTCCCCAGCATATCCTTTACCAGGCGTACCCCGAGGAAGTGTATTTTCAAGAACATCTTTCGGAATCCTTTCTGAGTTTGACAACAAATCCACAATCTCTTGATACGAATAGCGTCCTGCCGTGATGAGAAACCGCTGTCCGGCTGCTCCCGCTACTTCCAATGCCCTAACATGCGCTCTTGCCACGTCCCGTACATCTACCCATCCCCAGAAGCGCGTTGGCGGAACGGCTTGCTTATTCGCGCCACTCACGAGATCGTATATTTCCTTCATCGATACGCCCAATAAGGACAGTTCTTTCGGTAATGGGCTAGTGTTCGCAGGCCCAAAGATTTTTGGCGGGCAAATTGTCGTCAGGCTAAACGAAATCTCATCCTTTTTACCTTTGACAAAGTCCCATGCCGCTTGCTCCGCTAGCTTTTTGCTGGCGCAATACGCATAACTACCACTAACGCTTTTTTTTGCTTCTTCAATCGTCACAGGGTTCCAGTCTTTCTCGTTGTAAACGTATCCTGGGCGTAAGCCTTGTGAGAGATCAACAATAGATGCGAATGAGCTAGTAATGACGACCTTCTTGATCTGAGGGCTCTTTGCAGCACTTTCTAAGATCGATTTTGTGCCTTGTATGGCGGGAATGAGTAGATCTCTTTCATTGTCCTCGACGACAAGTTTGAATGGTGACGCGGTGTGGATGATGCTATCCACGCCTGGTATTTTGACCGCATTATCAAAGGCCCCTGGAATGGTAATATCCGCTACAATCAACGTGGAAATACGCAGACGGTCTTCTCTGTTGTAGCTTTTATGTGCCGCGAGGACCTTCTCTGCAGACGATTGTGATCGCACTGTTCCAACCACGTTGTATCCGGAGGAGAGTAGGTCAGCGATAATATGTGCTGCAACGAAACCATTTGCGCCGGTGACTAGGATGGTCGATTTGTTTGCCATTATTAGGTCTTTTTATTTCGTGTTGTTATTCTATCTGAGTCCGTTGTTTGGAAGGGTGGATGCTTTGTGTGTATCCTTGACAAAATATGAAAAGGCGAAGAAAGAACAGATCACCAAATTTATAGCCTTGAGTATTTCATTATCTCCGTGCCAAAAGTCCGTAATAGGATTCCATATGTATATATATCAGCGGCGGTCTTATCCGCATTGCGTTCTGGGGAGCGGGCATGCGGCCGTGTCCGCACTGAGATCTGATGGGTCGTTATATCTAAGATGTCGTACGGTGATCCAGTCTTTTAAAGTGTCTCTTATCTTAACGCCATGATTACTATCATACTTTACTTTTATTGCTAAAATGCCAAGATAATAACGAATCATGTATTTTTTGAGTGCCTTCCTTGGGCAACGAACGGTTGCGGGCATCCCCGCATGAGAAATTCAATGTTAAGAATGGAGCTAAGCAGATATTTCCACCATAGAAATATATGCGTATCTCTATTTTTATTGGATTTCTTGGAGCGTTGATAATGTATTTAGACCATTGTGGCTTATTAGTGATAACATAATATAACAATGGACGATTGAAGCGTCAGCTACAAGATAGTCTTAGCTTGTTTAATACAACTGATATTAATTTATTATGCCAGATGCAACTCTACATGTACCTTCTACATATGTTGATGTATGTGCAGTTGGTATTTGAAGCCAAAAACGACAGACATGCCTACATATGCAAAAGATTTTTCAAGTCTCAAGTATGTAACGCCAGAGAGAAAGATAAGTCGACATACGTCCCTAGGAATAACCTACAACCTCGACCTAGGTCCACTAAAAGCCCTTATCGCGACTGGGCTCCAAACGGGCGCCATCACCATACCAACTCCAGGAACATGTTGAGGCTGGAACCGAGAGTGTTGTAACAATAGTCTTTTCAAGTGAGAGACCCTGATAGGCTTTGAAAGCAAACCGTCATGCTCTTGCACATATCTTCGAAGTGGCAGGGGTAGGCCAGGTGGGGCCATGGTTATAATTGGGGTACGACGGAGTTGAACGTCGGTGCTGAAAGGTGGTACAGTGCGGATTATACGAGTTGCTTCGAAGCCATCCATCACCGGCATTATGGACTGGATTATGTATTTGATTAGTTTGTGGTTACAAGATGGTTCGTATTCTTTGTTGGAGAAGTGGACTAGACGCGTGGTTTTGGGAAATATGAAACTAAACGCATAATTTTTGGAGCACAAGAGGATGCTTTGACCTACATCCATCAATATTATATCCGGTCTAGGACATATTTCAGGTGGCGAGGCCAGGTAATCAAGGCATTCTTGCCCATTGTTAACAATACTCAAAGTACAACCGCCGATTGTACGGAGCACAATCCTTGTCATCAATTTTTGATTGACCACACTTAAATGGTTCGACAATTCAGCTTGATATATTATTGCGAAAGAGAGGATACTGACTTGTCTTCAGCTACTAGTAGATGCATTGCAGGTCACAGATGATTTTGCTTTCACAACGTGGACTTGATACACGCTGACAGATCTTCCTGCATTAGCCTGGATCCAATATTGATCAATTTAGTCAACAAATAAGACCTCAAAAGCCACATATACGGTTTATGCTCGAGAGAGAGAAATAAAATTCAAGTTTTAGATTGCCTTTTGTATGTTTGGATGCGGCTGAACTTACCAGTCGAAAGGCTCGAGCTCAAGGTTATCTATTGTGATAGCCCCGCAGGCGTTTTTGACGTCACTACGCAGTGGCCCGACTGTGTTTTCACTTTTTATCTATGCGGCGATGTAAGATTAAGATTCGTCATACCAATTTTTAGTGGAAAGACGCTTATGTATTAGTGTAATTTTATGAACACAAAGTTTAAGACAATAGATTAAGCTAAAAATCCATAAATTATCTTCTCGGCGATTGCGTATTCTATCGGAGATTACCTCCATTCTAAGTCTGGGTGGGATGTTGATGCAGATAATAATTAGAAAACGTCGAAATATAAGGATAATATATTTGACATTAGAATTTTTCCTGCTCACCCATCCAGAAGCCAGATAGCTGGTTACTTACACATTTAGACCTGTGAATTTTCTGATTTTCGCTAGGCTACCTTTCTTGGATGAGGGTTTCGAATGCTTTGAATTGGCAGGACTTACACATTAGAAAGTGAGGCATTCCATTGTAGGGATATTAATGAGTAATAACACGCTAATTAGCAACCGATATACATGTATTATAGGAGTACCATTTTTTAAACGCAAACATATCAATGCCGTCCGGGCTTTTATGGCAGTTCTGACAGCATTCGCGATGATGATAGCTCCACCGTCTGTCTATTTGATGATAGCTCTTGGAAATTTGTAGGCATGGGTGGCTGCCTATATTCAATTTCCTTTTTTTCCTCTATTAGCCCATTCGCTGATGCAATCTGTGAATCTTGCGCAGCTTTTAACTTCCGCCAGAAGAAGATTCCTATAGCGAGAATTGCTGTTACTGCAATTACCGCGCCAATTACTATACCAGCAATGGCCCCTCCACTAAGTTCCCCAGAAGATGAATGTGTGGCGGATGGAGTTGGTGACGAGGTTTGCGCCGATAAATTTGCTCCTCCTTCTGTTGCTCCCGCTGATGTTGTTGCTACCGTCGTCCTGGCTGTTGCCAACGTCGTCCCGGTTGTCGCCGCTGTTGTCGTTATAGATGTGGTAGCTTTTGATATTGATGTGGTTGTTGAAGTAGACGAAGACGTAGACGAAGATGTTGAGACAGGTACGCTAGATGTCGCAGTCATAACAGAACCCCATGTCACTGGGTTGCGACTCGAATCATAGCCCACATTGAAGAATGAGCTAAGGTATTTTCCAAGTCCACCATCGCCTTCGAGTTGGTAAAACATATTGAATTGTGCGTAGTACGCCTCGTTCAGGAGGTTGAGCTCGATAGCCTTGGTGCCATTGACGGGGACAGATACATTGTAACCTGTGTTGTAGCCAATTAGCTGTTGTCTTCTTTGAAGAACTTTGCCGCTGAGGGAGATAAGTGAAAACAAATAAGTGACGTTTTAAAGAAACAAAAAAGCAAATAAAGCAAGTAGACTTGGGAAAAAAAATATCAATTAAATTTGGATTGTTGGTTCCCATACCAAGTTTCCACGGATCCCCCTGAAGATAGTAGAAAATGCTCAAGTATGTTGGTGTCGCATTTTGTGCCAACGTCTCCCAGGATACGAGTACCGTGTCAAGGTAATTGAACCCCAGTGTGGCAACGCCATCTGGAGGAGGGTATATAAACTGCCCAGGATTCACTGGCATCTTCAATGTGCATGTTCTGGGTAGTAACAAAAAAATAGTACGATTGAACCAGAATTATGGTACATAGAGCTATAAGATCAAATTACCATAAAGCCATTTTCTTTGATAAGAGGATAAGAAGGGGTTAAGCTTAAAAGAAATTTGCCTCCCAAACCTTCCAAGCATTGCTAACGCCTAGGCCCCAATTCGTGTCATATTTTATTTGTGATTTGGTGAACACCGTCGACGGATTGTCACGCCCATGCAAGCCCGATGGGGGCTGGAACTTGAAGCAATCGATTAGACACGCGATTACAGCACGCCGGTTGTGATTGGTTCGTAGAGGATTTGACGTTTCACTAGGGCCACTAGACTACTGATGAATGCCTTGATTTGGCGTTTGGCTCGGAGACTATTTAGGGTCTAGGGCTGGAAGAGGAAAGAACCTGCGTTCCCATGTCGACGGGCTCTTAATCCATCATCTTTTGGTCCACATCATCAGCAATGCTATTGGAGGGGAATATAGGTTTGATTACACTCAATACGAACGAGACCTAAAATCTAACTAACGAACTTTGACGTTCATGAAGTTGAAGAGTCCTTCGCAACCATTTTTTCTTTGCCCAAAACTGGCACTAAATCCTTCGCGTGAAGCTCAAAATGGTCGATCATAGCGCGCGGGCCGCCAGGTGGTGCTACAGCCTAAAAGCATCAAGTCGGTACGATATGAAGCTTTTTCCTAATTGTTAGCTACTCTCGGAGTGTAACGTATGTTCTTCGAAGAAAGAAAGCGCTTATTCTACTCCCACTAGGAATCTAGCATTAGATACTTTAAACTTAGTGTGTTCCTGATAGCTGAATCTAGAGAGAGTACCTGCATATGTACGAAGATTAAAGCCCGACAAGCGCTTTCAAAATCTGGATGCGGACCCCTGCAGTGAACGTGGTGACATGAAACATCGCAAAGCTAAGTCGACACGGCGTTTTTTCGCGATCGAGCAAATCCCGAATTTACATCGGAACTGCTTGCGATCAACCTCGAATAAACCGTTTCCAGGAGACATTGATCAGGTCTTAAATTTATATTTATATCGTTCCTTTGCAATGATCTCTGAGACAACCTTTATAAATTGGTTCGAGGTATCGGTGCATCCCCGTAATATCATTATTGTTCTGACAGACAAACGAATCCCAATCTGGTTGGTTGCGAGGTTCCTAATGATGAGTGGCGTCCGGCGCAATTTTTATGCGCTGAAAAAGATGGTTCTGTTGCTCAGATTTTATTATATCCAGTCATTGGGTTTAGCCCCTTTGCCAAGATGAGACTAACACTTATGATTATGCCTCGTTGAGATTAATACCCATGCTTTCACATTACAAGGATAAGAAATTCAGGAACAATGCCAATATTGTGGAAACCCCATTTTCTTATTTTGGATCTCATGAAGCCAAAGGGAAGCGCTTTCAATCTCCATTTGCTAACTAACCATTTCCCCTAATGCTAGGAAACTTTATACGTAGGTACTAAAAACATAGAACCCATTAGCCCCAGCCCATCGATGGTAAAGTAAGCAGGCTACCTGGCCAAGTCCTTTTCTTTTGCCTAATGTTCAAGACTTCAGCATACTATTTGACGTGCGCCGTCGGTCGTATAGAAAACAATATGGTATATGCAGGCGTTAGTGCTCTTGAGCCTACAATATGATTACCTCCGGAGAGAATCAGAGTTCACGAAGGCATCGGAGCGGCAGAACCGAAATTGCTAGATGAAAGGCTTCAATGGTTATTTAATTTGTCAAATAAAACTTTGCAAGAACTGCCGAGGCATCGTTTTTAAGAGGACTATCTCTAAGCTGCCCCAGTTTGTTTGTCCGAGAACCCGATCCCAAGCGATTGTACCGCAAGCCCCAGATTAAATTCTCCAGGCATTCCAGCAAACCGAAGTTTACTGTTAAATTTTTAATGGGGGTCTCCAAACTTGATATTCTAGAATTGAGTTACATAGTGTATATGAAGCCAAAGAATGTTGTCTAAGAAAAAGATGATGTTGAAAGTCAAAAATAGAAGTTACATTTGGTATCGTTTGACACCCTAAGTCTATATATCAAGCGGGGATCGCTATCATTCATATTATCTTCAACATAGAAGTTATACATATCTACTCCAAGGTCAAAGTCTCCTCTCAATTTAATAAATTATTATCTAGATTTTTATTGCCGTATATAAAGAAAAGACCAGTCAAGAAACACATGTGAGAATTAAGTCATCTCAAACGAAATTGGCAGTATAGCTCCAGTCGATTTACCTAAGCTATTGAGGTCCCTAGCTCTAAATTAAGAAGATATATGACCTGTTCCCTGCTAGCAACCCTCTCTACAGGTACCTTATCACTCCTATGATTGCAATAGTCGTTGATGAAATCCCACTTTCATTTTGTTTGCAGACTGTCGAAGTACCTTCTCGCTCTCGATATCGGCTCCTGCGTACTAATACAAGCATAACCCGTCTCATTAATTTTTCCGATATCATCTGCCGTTAACTTGAAATCAAAGACTCGCAGGTATTCTTCGATTCTCTCTCTTCCGAAACGTAGTGACAACCACAACGTCCTAGTCTAAACACCATCTGAAACATACTAACTCCGGAGTAATACCGTGCTTCTTTGCGATAATTATTAAGGTTTCATCTAGAGGGCCCCGGATATTCCTTGTAAGAGGCACTAATGCTCCATATGCCGCGACCGCTACATTTCCTGTATCACTGCTGCGAAGTGCAGGAAGATAGGGTTTTCCTTGTCGCTTAGAAAAGTACGGATGGTATTCCAGCTGGTTTATTGAGGGTGGCATACGTGCAGTGACACTAATAGCTTTGAGATGAGAAGGGTCAAAGCCCGAAACACCAATGGACTTTGCTGTTCGGCTCTCTTTAATTGCTTCAAGGCCAGTCTAAGCCCTTTAAAGTTCTTCACTCGAATTTGCCCATAAAAGAGAATGAATGAGATAGCTTGAACTCGATAAAGTGAGGTTCACATGTCTATATGACTTGCGATTGACAAGTGAACTTTACAGATCAACGTATTCTAGCCCCAGTTTTGGCAGACTCACGTCAATATACTGGGCCGAGTTGAAAAAGTCACCTGAAATCTTAGTCGTGACGAAGAGCTCTTCGCGGCTCTGGATAACGCCTTCTTCAAGGCTTTCTCTTATTGCCAAACCAACTTCCACTTCCGTACCGTAAATCTCAGCTGTGTCGAGATGGCGATATCCAGCCGCAATAGCGCTTTTGATTAACTCAACCGTGTTACGATCAAAGCTATCTAATAAGCCGCACTTATATAACGCGGTTCCAGCACCAAATGCTAACTGAAAACATTGATCTGTCAGTCCTAATCTGAGGTCTATACACCTTGGCAATTTCAGCTAGCTACACTTACCGTAGGAATCAACGTCCCGTCATTTAACTGTAGTGTGGCCATGTTAATGTTTGCTTAAGCTGTATCCACAAATATAACATGCTAACGGTTGTCCTATTCTCGATTTATAAGATTCCATGATCCCCTCATCTATGGCCGCTTCAGGGCCGGCACCGGAAAGTTGATTGGCAATGGTGATAAACGCCAATTAATAGTGATTATGCACAAATTTAAATATGCTAGAAATTATATTACAAATGCAGCACGGCTTCCCATCGAGGAAATTATTTCCAGGCTATTTACCCGATTGAGGCGCAGCTCTTTAGGTCACCATGTCAGAACGTTCAATCAACCTTGCACAAAAGAAAAATCAATGTACTAGGGAACAAGAGACAAAATGCGATGCTTACAATCTCAGAACAAAATCATATATTTGATCCTGAAGTTGCTTTAAGAGGGATGCTATAAAAGTCAAAAGGCCCCAGTTTTAAATCTGAAGTTGTACAAACATCAATTGATTATTATTAAGATTTTATAACTGGAAATACCGAGGGCCCTCTCCACAGAACATCGTTTGCGTAAAAGTCTGAACATTCTTTATAATATCGACGAATTGGCCTTTTTCCTCTACGTATATCTTCGAATGTTATCAATTGATGCCGAGTTCAGTCGGAATACGAGAAAGTAGAAAATTGGTAAAACTATTCATGTAGTCAATAAAGAATATAGTTATGCGAGGCTACGATCGGGTTTCTGGGTTTCATGGAGGAGTTTCCTACAACATTTTTGTTTCTGGCAGTGGAGTGGATAAACATACAGCCGAACCCAAGCAATAGGTGACGCCGTGGGCGGCCCGATTACCATGACGCCTTTTAAATGACCAAAAAGAGTATACAGCGCGTGAGCAATGTATTTTTAGTACACATTGACATTTTTTCTAAAAGTTCCACCCCCCAGATTTGGTTAAATTTAGGCGTTTTCTTAGCGCTAAACGAAGGCGAAAATCTTTGCCTAACTGTGTACGAATTCCCAAACTAATTGATCATTGATCGGCATAGGGGCCAAAGATATCTCCACGATAGATCACCGTGGCTTTTAGAGCCTGTAATCTGCATAGATCTTGCTTTATAACATGCAAATCCTGTAAGGATCTGGTTAGAAGACAATCTGGGGCCGCAGTTGCGTGATCGCTCATGTGCAGTTTTTCTACGTCATTGCTCGTACCTTCATCAACATAGAAGGCTTTTTTTAGCAATTTTTTGTAAATGATATTTCTATATAGATAACTTATAAAAGGAGTCTATCGCATTCCCCTAATGAGCACGAATATTTAAAAATCCATGCTCTGCTACTGTTACTGGAAAAATATCCAATATCCAATTTTCATATTATCAACGCTGACCCTTGATACTATTCAAAATGAAGACCGCTATTTTTGGTCCAGTCATTGCCTCTTTAATTTCTCTCACCAATGCATATAACCTCACACTTTATACCGATACTGCTTGTTCAGAGGGTGGCACAGATTTCAGGTATACAGTCCATTCAAATGCATGTGCCTTAAAAGCAACACTGACCTGATGAATTCAGCCACGCCGACTTCCAAGGCGACCAAGGAACCGTTGGTCAATGTATGGACATTGGCTTCACAGCCCATAGTATCTACTTCACCCAAGACTCTGATACTGAACAGCAATTTAGTGGATGGGCTGGCGCTGAGAATTGTGTGGCTAGCGAAGAGGGTCAGAATGAGGCTGATGTAACCATTTATACTGGTCAGCCGGAAGACGAATCCTGTACGGATATCGATAATGGGATTTATGACCAGGGACGAGGGATCCAGGGATTCCTTGTTGGTGTCGTCGGCTAGATTGGCGGATCAACTGGTATCATCTGAACGATTGTGATGTATTACTTGAGAGAATAGTATTACTTGAGAGGACAGTATTACATCTATGTAGTAAAATGTGACAGTCTAATTCATATTAATCTATATTTACGAATAAAGAAATGGTGCACGTAGAATTAAATTTACATGTAAACAAGGAATTTCAGATAACTATGGCTAACTACAAAGTTTATCGGGATCAGCCAATATCGATATCCTTCTCTTTTCTTAATGTTTCTCCATTCACAATGAAGGTCTCGTCTTTAAAAACCAGATAGGTCCCGAGAGTTTATAAGGCTAAGAAAGTGTCGATCAAGTCTGTTGGTAGTTGGAAAAAGTCAAACATAACTATACCCAGGCGTTTTCCTTTCAACGCCTTGAAGAAAGGTACCAGCTGTTGATTGACACCGCCGTCAGGGGTATAATCGGTTCCGTTACCAACAGCCATGATGGCTGGCCAGTCCGGTGGAGAATTTTCGGTGTTTTCGCTGGAAGCCCACGTCCAGAACAAACTGTTAGGATAGTGCTCAGTAGCCTTGACGATGTTTGCTACTGTGGCATTATATTTCCACTTTATGTTTTCGGCGGCGTTGGATCCGACGGGTGTCAGCGGCTGATAGTAATCCTCAATATAAGCTGTGAGATTTTTCTCCTCGTTATAGACTAAAGAAATATCCGGGCTATTGTCAGTCCAGAGACCCGGCGAAAAATGTAGACCAGGCAAGTCATTTGTGTAAGAATCTGGTAATTCATCAAGGTCGAAGCGGCGCATCAGAATAATTTTGCCTCGCGCATTGCCCAATGTACCTAGCTCGTCCTTAGCCTGAAGAAAATAGTTCCTTGCAGCTGGGGAAACGAGGGTATCATAAAGTGCCAATTGCACTGCTGCATCGTTGGCAGCATATTTGGCTGTAGAGCCTTCGTACTGAAGTGATAGTAAAATCGTCTCCGAGGGATGATCATCTAGCCACTGGTAAAAGCCGAAGAGAACATCATTAAGCGTCGCTGTCTCTGAAAGCAGTGCCTGTGAATGATAGAAAATAAGTGTGGTGTTGGTAGGATCAAAAGCGTAACGCAGATCCAAGGCCCGTATGCCGGCGTTCAGCATTGCGATCAGGGAGACATTTTGGCAGCGAAATGTCTCTGGTGGCGGCACAGTCACTTGGTTGAGATCAGTGATTCCGGATAGTGAATTTTGCGTGGCTTGAGAATAATTCCATGTCGCACTATCATGCGTGCCGGGAATGTTTATGTGCACGAGGAGCGTGTCGTCTGGGTATCGTTTCATCCATTCGGTTTTGGTATTTTTCTGCTTGACGTAGGGTCCAAAGATCGGCGATGCATCGTCAAGAACCTTTTGAAGAGCGTAACCGGGTAGGGATGATGTTTTCTTTGCTAGCACTGGCGACAATGATGCGAGGGCAGCAAGCCCAGCAGAAAAGTTCTTCATATCTGCCTGTCGTTTCACCGAAAAAACCTTGATCGACTTGCGTTTATATGCAGTTCTAGCGTTCGTTACGATATTATTGTCTCGCTCTAGAATGTGAGATTCCGAGTCATGGTTCTTTACGGCAGGGTGGAACGTGCCAGACGGGCTGTAATTGTCGGAACGTTACTTTTGCTTCTGGGGCTTTCTTGCCGTGATAACCGATAAATGATGGCAGATTGATGAAAAATATGGGGAGGATCGGATATCCTCAGCGGTCAATTTAAAATGAAGGTTTAGCTTGTCCAGCACGTGTACGAAACTTTGCGTTGTAAGTGGTCTGCATTACTAGCAGCTTACTAGTACAGTCGACCCAGGCGACGCGGCGGAGAAAGGGGCGGAAGTATGCCGAACTGTTTGGTAGTATATCATTGCACCGTGCCCGAAGCATCAACTAATAATGCCAAAGCGATGCATTTGGGCATGGTCATCATCTTTGAATAGCTAGATCTAGCAAGAAACAGAATGGGGTATAAAATGTTTATTGCCGTGCTCACTCAGACTGTTGTTCTCTCCCTGGCTGGTGCTGTCTTAGCCTTGACCACGGAGCAGTCCTTCTATCCCCCGACGCTTAATGACACCTCGTACATCTCCAACAGTTCCATTGGTACTTATGGTGGTATTTACAAGGCCCCAACAAATGGCCCAACAGCAGGCACCCCCTACGGGGTATATGACTACTGTTCCATGCCTCACCCGCGTGTGGAGGAGTACAAGCTGCCCGATGCCCTAACCAACGGTTCTGTGAAGGGAAAATTGGTCTACTTGGAGTATTTGCAACGACACCAACGGCGCTCGCCATATAATATTCTTCCGGGTGGAGAGGTACGTTACTATATCTACGTCTCAAATTCTGGCATTTCAGTCATGTATTAACATCATCGCAGAATCAAGCATATCAATGCGATAATGTACGCCCTTACCTCTACGCAGGCCCAGACACCGCTAGTGGCATTCAGCCAATGCCCATGTACGCCCAAACTTATCAGTATTCTGCAAATCCATTTACTCCTGGTGTGAACGGTACCTGCCAGTATCCACAAATCACTATTGGTGGCGTACAGGACGGCTATCAGCACGGAAAAGATCTTTGGGCCGTGTATGGAGAGAGGCTTGGGCTGATTCCTAGAGTGCCTAACAGTCGCGTCTGGTTCCGATCGAGTGAGTCTCAGCTTACTCAAGGAAGTGCAGGTGCCGTGCTACGTGGCATCTGGCCGAACTATCATGGAGCTTTGCCGTTGCACCAAATGGTGTCATCGGTAGATACGGTGAACGAGGGATATTCGTGCTCTGCAATTGGCTCAACACTAAGTAGTCTGGAGTCCACCGCCGATTGGAAAAACCATCTCACAGTCACTGAGACACTCCGATCAACCCTAGGGTCGATGTTAGGTGCCACCGACAGTTCCTGGCAAAATACGTTTGACCACTTTTCTGACAATTTCCAAGCACGCCTTTGCAATGGATATGAACTCCCTTGCAGTGTTACTAACTCCTCAGACTGCGTAACTATGGAAATGGCTGAAGAGGTATTCCGGGCTGGGGACTGGGAGTGGAACTACTACTGGCGGACAAATCCGGATGTCGTCAAGTATATCCAAGTGGTCGAAGGATTGTTTATTGGAGAGATTGTTTCTCACCTGCAGGCTGTATTAGACCGCAAGTCAACTTTTGATTACAGTCATATTTTTATTCACGACGGAGACATTGGTCCAGTGCTAGGAGCATTAGGAATTAATGCGCTTCGATGGCCGGCGATGGCATCCAATATCGCCTTTGAAATTTGGTGAGTATCTCATCTACATACTTGTTACCTGCTTTCTCTCTTAGATTGAAGCTGAATGCGAAATTTAGGGAAACAAACAACAAGCAGAGCCAATTTTATGCTAGGGTCCTGTATAGTGGTCACCCCGTTCAGTCTATTTATGGCACGCTAGACTGGATCCCACTTTCAGAGCTGATTAGCATTTTGACTCCTTACATACCAGAAGACATCGTCTCTCTTTGTGGATAGATAGATACTTCTAAGATGTAAATAAAATCAGTAATTTATGCTATCATGAATTCCAGTGAAGGTAAAACTTGCCGTCGTAGTCAATAAAGGCAGGAAAAAACTTCGACGTTGTATATTTGGAATAGATTTTATGGTTGACGATTGATATATGCTTCAAATATTTTATTTGCAGCACATGGAGGAACGATGTGCAATTGCATCAATTTGCTATGGGATAGAAATTTGTATATTGAAAGTTAAAAAATATATCTTAATCCCGAGAAATTATCTGTCAGTCAACTCCAGGAACCTATATAAAGTATAGAACAAAGTGCTGGTGTCATAATCCGTCGCCTATGAATGAAGTTCAACCTGTACCGTGTTCTGATATTCATAAACGTAATGTCAAAAATAAAAATCTAACAAGGCACAACGCCTCTAAAAACAGAGAGAAAAACTCCAACCACCTTGGTATCTAAGTCTCATGTTCAGTAAAATATTATAATGAGTAAACAGGAAAGAGTGCACAAATCGTGTTGCAAGGCATTGAGCTCGTTAATGGAAACCCCCAATGGGTGGGATAGCCATGTATGAACAATTAAGCCCATTCTCGATTCGCTTAGAACAAGAAATGGAAAACGGCGATATGGGCAGCTACTGTAGTCAAAGCAGCCCACACGGACCACACAGACACACTTTGGTTGCCATCGGAGCTACCTGTAGGCTTTGTGCCATTCGAGCTGTTCGAGATATTGCTACTTGGAGTAGTAGTGGGTGAAGTGCTGAAGTGAGGCACTGTCGTGGAAGCGTTGTTGTAAGATGCAAGGATAATATTGCTCGCTTGCTCAGCCAGACCGTAGGTTGAGGCCATCAGGTGCGTAGACAAGGAAATAGGAATAACGCTTGCATCGGCTACACGAACATTGGCAAGACCGTATACGCGAAGGTTGGCATCGACAACACCGCCTTGATGCTGGGGGAGCATTGCACAGGAGGAAGACGGGTGGAATTCTGTTCCAGCCTGTCCACGCAGCCAATCCAGCCATTCGTCATCCGTCTGAACTCCTAAGCCAGGCGAAGTCTCTTTTGTTAGAGTGCTATTGAACGGTTGAGTTTCACCAAGCCGTCGAGCTAGCTTGAGACCCTCGCGCAAAATTTCGTAGTCTTCCAGATCCCGTTAGTCTAGACTATTTCATAAGAAAAAGGGCCAAGACCTACCAGATGGATTGGCCAGATAGTTAGGGTCTATAACAGGGTAGTCCATAGGATTCGAAGAATTGATGTAGATACGACCGTGGCTATATGGGTGTTGCAAAGCAGCAGTGATACCAATGTCGCCATTTGCATCGCTATTCATGAAAAGAATTTCAATCTGACCGACACCGCTATTGAGAATGATAGTTGCGGTAGTATTGCAGATTGCCTTGTAGCCTGCTATGACACCAGAATCATAAGTTGTGTTCGGCGCATACCGATCAATTGAAGACGATATATTTTTCTGTAGTTCATCAAGGGTGCTGCCATACATAGCTGTTGCATTCACATAGGCAATAGCTGAGTCAATATACGAGAGATAGAGTGTTTGGTTCTGTGAGGGTTAGAATGCAACGTCTTGATGAAAAATATTCTGTACAACTGACCTTATCAGAACCATTATCATAATAGATAGAGCCCGAAGTCACATCGCTTGTACCCCATTTTACGGTAGCGCTCTGTCAAAAGTAAGCATCGGTGATCACGTAACGAAGGATTTCTGGTAACTTACAAAATGATCTTGCAGATGTTGACCGACACCAGGCAGCTCAGACACAAGGTCAACCCCAGCAGAGGAAAGTACATCCTTAGGACCCACGCCACTATACAGCAAGATAGATGGACTGCCGACAGAACCAGCTGATAGAATAACTTCCTTAGTGATATTGACGGTCAATTTCGTTTTCCCGCCATCGGTCGTGTATTCAACAGCGTTTGCCGTCAGGTTATCCGATGGTGAAGAACTGTTGAAAAGAATACGTGTGACGTAAGCGTCAACCAAAACATCGTAATTACCTTGGTCCAAAAGAGGGTCGAGATACCCAGTCCGACTATAAGAACGCGTCCAATTCGTAGGGTTAATGGTTGACGTTGAAACCTCCGCGCCCCAGTTATCACCACCGTACATCTCATTGGAACTAGCAATGCCCATATTCTCTAGCGATTCAATCCATTGGCCAACTTGGGGAAATATGCTTTTCATAAACTGTTAGCCCGATGTAGCCAGACAGGAAAGGTTCTAAGAACATACTATCCGGGGTATGATACATGAATTGGGCCATGAGTGCCATGAGTTAAAGCATCCCATGTTATGTTTGCTTCTTGAGCAATAGCATCCGATGGAGGAGTGAAAGTCTCACTCTTCTTCATAGCAGCGTAGAATGGGTCCCATGACCAGTTGTTCGCTCCGTCCATGTCGCCAAGCATGTCTTTCCAGGCATTGATCTCATCCTTACCAGGCCTCGTTAGATACAGTCCATTGATGGCGGAACTACCTACATCCCTGCCGCGTTAATTTTCTGTGATTATCACATATCGGATGAGACGCATATCAACGAACCTCCGAGTGTTTTGCCACGAGGCCAAGAAATTTGGCGATCATGCGCATTGGGTTGAGGGACGGTGTTATATGCCCAATTCAAAGGTGTTGTCCATAGGGAATCATAGTAAGAGTATGCAGGTGTATCTTGAGGCGATGTTAGTAATGCGACGAATCACTCAAAAGGAACGAGGTAAAAGGCCGACGCACCTATACGTTCTCGATATTCATCCCCATTACTGCCAGCTTCCAGAACAAGGACGGTAAAATTCGTGGTTTGTGACAGGCGACATCCGAGCACGAGACCAGCTTGACCACCTCCCACAATGACAAAGTCGTATGAGCTGTTGATCTGCGATCGCGGGGTTAGCGCGTCCACGAATGATACAGCGACAGCAATGCATGTGCCGAGAGCAGACAAGCTAGGCTGCACACGCATGTTATTAGAGAGGTGTCGTGTAATATGGGAAGTTTCACAGTGTGAGTTGACACTGTAGAATGTCAATTGGGAAAATGAGCGAGATAAACTCCATTAATCTGCAAGGAGGCAGAAAAGCAGGATCTCTAGTGGAGAGGCACACTATTGATTGACACAAGACAAGAATCTGACCTGACTAGCACTCGTGCAGTAAGGCCCGAAGCTTGTAGAGTGGAGTAAACAGGGATACAGACGTTTCGATTTGCTGATCACTATTTCCAAACAAATCGATCGAGTCGATCGACCCCTTTTTCGGCCCTAAGATTTTCATTAAATTTCCTCTATCGGGGGCAGTGGGGAAAACCCGATAATCTAGATTGCCAAAAGGTGGCTTACCATCGCCCTCGGAGCCTCCGACCCGTCAATAAAACAATACTGAATACTCCATAGTAATAATAACATTGTTTTGATTTATTGAGAATGTCTCCGTTTACTCGACAGTGCAACTGCTAAAACCGTATACTTTCTACTGACTAAGATAGGGCTGATATGAGCATTTCCTGGACAATTCGTAAGACTGTGTCTCGCGCTAATGGGATCGATACGCCTTGTCCTCAAAACTATGATGCGCTGTCTCATCTTGACCCGAATTTGGTGCTGCAGATGCGACGACATTAACATGACAATTAAAGTTTCAGAAGAATATGACAAAGAGTCTGACAGTACACAGACGGCCGACGGAATCGCAAGGATACACCAGGGTTATGATGAAATGTGCCACAGTTGGTGAGGTGACACTGCGACGACGCCAGCAGGAAAATCACAGCACCCATTGGGATTGCCACCCGGTCGTTTCAGTTGAGGCGGTGCAGAGGCCTGTTTACCAATGCCTATTGGTGTTAGCGTCTCGCCGGCTATCATCGTCTAGCCAAGTGCTGCCAATAAAAGCTTTTCAAATGTTGCTATGGAGACTAGCGGGCTTGCACAAGATCAAAGTGGACCTCATATAGATGCCAGCTCATCTCTGATACGCTTTGCCACCATTCATTCCGGGATTGCAATCACCGCCGGGCGGGGCTGCTTCACCTATTAGGGCTTGACACGCCCGGAGTATGGGTTTTCATAGCTAATTATAGGCTAAGAATCCGCTGTATTCGGTACTGCTTTGCTGCGAGTATGCCTCGTCCCATCACGGAAAATTAAATCCTTATATGGGACATCTGTACGATCAACAAGAATGGCGAAGTGGCCATAACATTTTTATAGGGCTAGCGAGTACGATTCGCCAAATCAACTTCGATTAGGCCTGATACGTAATCGTGCAATACGGTACTGGCACATGTGGACAGATGACGCCCTAAGACAAATGACCTACATCCGCAATGCGCACTGATATGTAATGTGAGACAAACCAAACAGTTCTTTTGTTGTGTGAAAACTTGGTTTACAAAGGACACGCGCTGTTCATTTCGTATTCTTACGCAACCTCGATTTCACTGTTCAGCCGGTGGTGATTTGATCCAGTTCACAAATCACAGCTCCGCATTATCGGCGTCTTGTGAAATCTCAGCATAAGTTATATCCTAAATTCAAAGGCTTATTCAAGACTCCATACAATATCTAATATTACATATTACTTCTTAACATACTTCCATCAACCCCAATGTGTTGTAACTGGCAAATGAGTCGTTCGTTCGTGATTAAATCTCCGATCCGTTGTGGAGGCATCGACATCGTACATAACCCCCTAACAATTCCTTGATTTTATATTACGAATGAGGAGTATTCTATCGACTGCGTAACAGAATTCGAGGCAATTTGCACAAAATCTCCCTGTCTTCGGGGTTCAAACTATCACGAGATAAAGCTGGTTAATCATATGAGCTCGCGGTGAAATACTTCCGCTACCAAATGTAGGCTATAGAAGGGTCTTGAGGCTCGTCATATTATTCAGCCAATTCACCATGCCCCTACTATCAGGTCTAAATTGGTCACGATTTACTTAAAAACACTTTTTGGTTCGGATGCTTTAGTAAATGCCGGCACAGATGATGTACTTGAGGGTTGTGAGGGAGGGTGCGGTGCAGCAAAGTTAAACACATTGTTTTCGTGGTGGTTTTTGATAAAAGAATGGGTTCTGTGGCACTGGTATGGCCTAGAACAGTGCTTTGCCCTATTGTCGGAACTGCGTTCGCGTTCAGAAGGGACAAAGACCGAAGTGGCAATTTCAAGGAAATTTTATTGCCATCGGGATCCTGGACATCGTAAAATGGTGTAACAGAGGAACTCGAAGTGCTTGTTTGTGATGAAATATTCGGTAATTCCATGGCTGTCCCCTGAGTGAAGAGTTAGTGAATGAAAGGAAAGCTAAGTAAAAAATCTCAATGAAGCCAGCTTACCGTTTTGAGAGGAAGTTTTGCTGTACTGAAGTTGGGATTTTCCCGTTTCCCTAGAAATGATGACCTCCATGATATGTCTTGAACCGAGTTCTGCCGATTTACAGAGTCTGTTCTTTTTCCTTAGACATTGGTTTTCTACTTTGTTCCCAACAGGCAAAATTAGACCACTACCGCCGGGGTTGATAAGCCACAAACCTATGTAAAATATATATGTCAGTGCTTGAGGTACATAGAGTTTCTTTTTTTTTTGAAAAATAAAGGCAAGAGTATGCCGCATAAAAAATTTACATACGTAAACCAAAATATGCATAATTGTCGGCATTTTTCCACGATAGCGCGTTTTCAGATACCATTAGCACACGCCGAAGGGAGAGAAACGTAGGCAATTATTCCACACTAAGTAAGATCAGTTGACTCACCAGCATAAATTGGTTATATGACGCCTTCTATCAGTCTTAGATTCCCAGGAAACTGATCAACTTACCGTAGCTACCCCACGGCGAAGCATTGTCTACATCGATCATTCATCGATCGCATGGGTCATGTCATGTAATAGAGTGTGGCCCACGCTAACGGCGGCAATATCGATGACAGTTGGGTTTTCGTCAAGGAATCATAACTTTATCCCAGAGGAAAGCACATACCCAGGGTTTCAAAAGGTTACGGATTGCATATCCAAGATACCTTGTGCAAAATTTGTATCTGGGAAATGTTGGATAATTACAGTTCCTACCTTTCTTTTGCTGTCATTAAATATAGAAATTGTCGCACATGAGGAAATCCCAATCTATATATGTTGAATTGTTTCAAGTCTACATGTACTCTTGGAGGACCCGTATCTTTCTTGTTCCGCCTAACAAAGAGGTCTCATATTCTAGATTCAATTCCTCCCGAGATCCCAAAGGGCTAACGTATCAACCGGGCTTCCCATGGAGTCTTGTCCTACCTGATTCAATATCCCAATAGCCAGAACCAATCTACAACATACCAGTCTAACGTTTTGTTGATTCTCGCAATTAATTTATAAAGCACCCCGAAAACCCGACAATCCTACATATCAGAATCCGGAATCATCATTTGTTTGGGTTGGCTATTTTTTTAATAGACCTATTTCTTTCTTGCTTCTTATTTCCTTGTTCATTTTCTCCGCTCTACAATACTTGTGCGCAGCATATGCGGGACAGTATAGAAATAAATTATAGTTGGATATTATCACAGGGGCTGAATTGCGTCAATTGGTGCTGAGAGATTGAATACCATTTGTGTCCTTTTTAACCCTGGCTGTCCAGCTGAGGGAAGTGAAAATGGAGACAATACATATTCTGTATATATTATATTGAATCGCAAATAAATTTGATAGTTGATAATACTTTATTTTATCTTGACGTAGTATAATACAGTGGGATGTGTATTTCAGAGTCTGAGAGTCTAAAAGCCACAATGTACTCTGTGATTTCTAACGTTCTGTGGTGGAAGTTGAAAGGAGATGACATAAAATTTGTCGACACCGTAAACCTGAATACGCTACATACCAATTTTTATATTAATAGAGAGATTTATATTAGGCTATAAAAAGTGTAACAGTTACTAAATATAGTACACTTCGCTTCAGTTACAACATTGAATTCTATCATTCCTAATGACAAAGAACATCGAGTTTAGAAAATAACATAATCCGAGGGGAATATGTCATCGGTCTATTTTTTTGGGTTTCATTTCATTATTCTACAAATGGACCCTACTGTATTTTCAAAATATCACTAATGAAGTTGGTCCTGCTCTAGGAAATCCTATACGCGTAGAACTTTCTACAGCTCTCTACATTCATTTCTCCTTGACATTTCAATGTATCTAATGACAACATCTTATGTTATTGACTTAAATTAGATCTTTACTTAATTTCTATGTTCAAGCTTTTAGCCCGAAGGTTGCTATTAAAGCGACTCAGTCATATAGTCTCAATTCTCATACTTGTAGAACGAATGAAGCTATCAAAATGTGGTGGCAGTGCTTAAAGAAACGACTAAAGAGATCGTGTCCTCCTTTTGACTAGTTGTGAAATAAACGTTAATCAATATCACGTCTCATAGATGCTTATCGAAGAATCCCACGGCTATTTTGTAGCCTCGCTCGTACTCTGCTTTCACATTTGGATCTTCAAGATCGCCTCTGTGTCCAATATTAGCTCAATCTATCAAATATACCAAAAACAAAAGGGAGACCAAAACCCACCGCCCGCTCATCCACCCATGGATCTGCGTAGAGAAAACCTCCAAAAGTTTGTCGGAGTGCAGATTATCTGCAAATTTTGCGATCAAATCCGCATCTTCATCCCCAGATGACAGTAATGCCATAGGAACTGACACATTCTTTGCCTCCTCTGGGTCTATCCTCGCCGGTGACGTTTGCACAGCGACCACAAAGCTGTCCTTATCCTGTTGGCAAGCCAACGAAGCGAGCTTACCACCCCAGCAGAATCCAAAAATGCCAATCTTTTCAACACTGGTAAAGACGTTTTTAATATCCTTAGTGAATTCTAATACTCGGGGCACTACAAGGCCAGGAGACGCTTTGTTCTGGATAAAACCGCCAAGCTTTTCCTGTTGCTCTGGAGTCACAGGTGGTACCCAGGCCTTTTCTGCAACACATCCATCAAACCAGTCGGGAACGATGATCAGAGCAGGACTGTTTCCAGCGGAGAGGTCTCGAGCAACAATGTCAGCTCCGCGAAGAGTTTGAGGAGAGTAGCCGAAAATATCATAAACCCAGACGATTGCTCGAGTAGCTGTTTTACTGCCGTTGATATCTGTGTACACGCGGTTAATTGATACAGACTAAGGTGTGAGCTGGATTATTTGCAAGGCAGCTTACATGTCTTTCTACCCGCTATTTGGAGCCACTCGCCATTCTCCTGATACGGATTCATATTGTCTGGGACCGGAGCCTCACAGCATGCTTTGGAATGCTCGGAAGCCATTTCAAAATATTTCTTGAAAAGGTGGGGTTTGGCTTTGGTATAACAGGACCAAGCTTGAAGACTATTAGATAATATGTCCTGTGGTTTCCTGAACCAATTCCACGACTGGGATGACTACCTCTATTTATAATTTACGAAGGAAGCGGACTTAGATCTATCACCGTTATTTCCGCAGGCGGTTTTGGAAAAACTTTCAAAAATTGACAGTTCTGAGAGAGGTGACTAGTTTCCTGCAATTGCTTGATGAAGAGTATGAATAGACCCACGACGCAAAAGCTTCCCGATTGGGACAAGTGCGTATACATCGGATTTGGAGTTGTTATATTATAGTAGTGGCTATGTTTAGAAACAAGGAATTAATTGAAGATTTGGTCAATATCTCGACTCCCTGAGAACATTAAAGGAGATTTTGTTAGGAATTCTCAAAATATGATCCTTGCTTGTATAGGGGGCCGTTGAGGTTTGTTATTGTGGAGAATAACACCGAGATATTCTCCGGGACAGTCATATGCTGCAAACACTCTTTTAATCAATAGAGGAAGCAAATGGGTAAGCTGAAGACAAATGTGACCCTGTTTGGCCCATCATAACGATTACTTTTTTTTTATTTAGTTTGCGTCCATCAAGCACCGCCGCTAACCAGACCCACAAGCGCCTTGTTTTCCCAGTTAGGCTTGGCTCTGCTCGGAACAACATTGGCGATGAGGAATTATCCACATCCTCTAACTCGAGTTCCCGCAATCCATACAGATGTCCCTGCAAATCACTTACCATGACGAGCTAAATTCAACAAAGGTCCAAAAATATGGTCCGAAGCAGTGCTCGGAGTAGAGGATGCACATATTGCCGGCAACGGAAGAGAAAAGTATGTAACTGCGTAGCATCCGAAGAATTTCTACTGATGTTTCGATTATGTAGTGTGACGAAACGTATCCCCAGTGTGGACTGTGTCGTACTACCAACAGAACATGTTCTGGCCCGATTACTGGTCGGTTCTTTTTTAATTCAGATACCGCATCTGTGAGGGAAAATATTGCTGGTCGTTCGGTGGACAAAAAAATGAAGAAATGTGGTCCGAAAAAAGCAGTAACACGACCAGCGCACTCGGTCAGAGTGCTGTCAACAGAGAGGTCAAAAGAGGAATATCTATTGTCAGTAAATTTAATTCTTTCGGAAAATTTCATTGCTAAGAGACCGTGCTAGCCTTTCGCAAAATAAAGAATTGCACAGTGTTCCAGCGTATGATATTCAGGTTGTCACCAACCTCGTTTATTACTTCTCTCAATCAGCCAGGGTCTGCCACAGACAAGGATCATGGCTACTAAAGCTTCCAGATATGGTACATTCAGCAAAATTACAGCGAATGCGTGCACCTTTGTTAGCTCCATCTTTATTGCTCCTGGCCACCCAGTCGCAGCAGCAGAGCGTGTTTAAAGAAGCACTAAGATGGTATGATAGAGGGCTAGGCTATATTCGGGGGACTTTAGCTTCGGCCACTAATATTCCGGGCTATGAGATTCTTTCGATCATGTCGGCGGCTATACTGATGTCCTTTTTTGAAACTATTAATTCAACGGTGGACAGTGGCTATGAGCAGCACATTTTCGGGGCAGTCACTCTCCTAGAAGCCAACGGACCAGAAACTTTTACCAGCCCAGAATATCATGACATTTTTCTCGCTGTTCGGGGACATGCGGTATGAATTTCTTAGTTCATATTTTTGGTATTATAAAAGTTTCTTCAAATGACTTATTATTTTAGATTACAGTCTCTTTTATGACCGGAAATCCTACGTGTCTTTCCGAAGAAGAATGGCTAACAATCCCATTCATCGGTATTAAAAAGTCCCCTTCAGAAGAGATAAACGACGTTTTGCTCGCCATCATCAAGCTTCTAGCCCAATTGCGTACAAGTACCGTAGTTGGGGTAGGCCATAGTGAGCAAGTCAACATGCAAGAGAAGGTTCTGCTGAATCTTTGCTATCTCAAAGCAGAACTGGACCGGATTTGGAATGAAATAAATCATTGGGAAATACATAATATGGTAGATGCCCCCAATACTCTTGAAAGTCACTACACTTATACCAATGCGTCCGAGGCGAGAATCGTGGCAATGCATGGCTATGCAAGATTGATTATTCTATTACTTCTCGACAAATTTCCTTCTCTTATTCCATCCTATCCTGCTGAAATCATGAATGAAAACTACAAAGAATCACAGTTGACACAAGCCTCGGCTTCGATTATTTCTGCAGCATCATATCTATCGCAATTTGACATTGGATGCGCGTATCTTCGAATGACACTTCCAGTACAGTTGGTCGCCCAGGGAAGCCCGAGTTCAGTTCAACGAAACCATGCCATCAAGATCCTTCGGGATTGGTTTGCAGAAAAGCCCCTTAAAGGTCTTGCTAAGAAGGCATTACAAAATATAACCTATGGTGATCATAAATTGACCTTTCAATAAAGAATTCGAAGTGATGTCTCATGCTAGACTTTTGGTCTGGAATTCCAGATTCAAGGTCTCATGCATCGGAGATGGTTGCTCTTCATCACTGTCTCTATTTGGCAACCAAGTGCTCCTCCAAGATTGCAAATTACCCACAACCTCAGTTATATAATCGCCGATCTCTCGAATGAACTCACCTGCTGGTGGTCTACCTTTATAGAGCCAACAAACCAGAAGCGAAAACACGCCTATCCAGAAGAATCGAGATAGGAATGCCAGAACCGCTGAAAGAACAAAGCTTAAGCCCAGGTATGCACCCATGATGAAAATCGTTAGCGGCGCGAGAGCGATCAAAAGAACGAGTCGGATATGATATGTCGGACTTGGCGAGAATGACAAGGGAGAGGGAGGGACATTCGCCGTTGAGACCCGGCTGGCTGTGTTTCTTTCATTTTCTAGGGACAGTGAGAGAAGGGGATTGTCATCCTGTGATGCTAGAGGATGTGTCTAAATGAAATATTCTATTAGTTGGAGATCGAGAGAAAAGTCGAGCAGATGGTAGCGAATGAAACTTACCCAATCATCCCCACCGGGCCATACCTCCAGCTTTCTTCCACCCTCTCTGAAACCAACACGCAATTTCACCAAAGCTTGATCGTGATGGATCAAGTAAAACATTATCGCGGCATCCGCAGTGTCGAACCACGGTAGACTTATGCCATCTGTATCGCCCGCTGGTGCAGATACACGAATTGGGGGCTCCAGAAGAACAAAGTCATCATTTTCCTCCCCTTGCTTTTGTACCGACGTTAATTGCGTGGGTTTTTTCAAGGAAACTTTTGTCGTGCCGCAAATTATGAGCGAGTCAGAAGCCTTGTCTACGTTGAATGTCAAGACGAGATTCCTTCGACGCTCGTTGTTGGTAGTGAAATCAGCAATTCCACCATTATTACTGGACGGAAAATACTCGTCGACTCTAGTAAGGACAGTTAATAGAGCACAATATTAAATTTGACAATTATGAATAGCATGCTACTTGCCCATAAACTCGAGTCAATTTTCCGCCAGACTTTAACACTTTCGTTGCGTAGTCTGTACCATTATCATCTCGGGAAAAGCTAGGCAGGCCAACGTATAGAACGGCAAGGACTTAAGATTGTAAGTATTAATTCCTATATCTGTATTTGATCTACGATTTCAACCGAGCGGAGATACCTAGCCAACTAAGTAAAAGGTACAAAACCAATCGCAGCACGGTGCGCGGACGAAGCATTTCGGCTGGAGGGTATACTGCGGGATAAAAAGAAAAAGCAGATAGAGGGAGTAGAGAGATTGTATAAAACTAGAGAAAGCTAATGTCAAGTTTTATTTCTAGCATCATGGCAAGAATATTTTCGGAGGCGCCGGGTAAGGAGAGAAAATTGTAGTCAAAGTGGCTGCTACGGCTCCTATTTACGGCGGACTAAATCGAAGTTAGGGATAATGGCACACCGCCCACGGCAGCTAGTAAAATTAAAATCCAATTAAATCATTTTTATAGAAATAAACAAGATAATTACAAGCTACTGTCCCTGGGGGCTCTCGGAGACACCCTAAGGGGGGAAAAGTATGTTATATATATTTTGAGATTACAATATTACAGCCTAGTATAAACTTGTTTTATTTATTACTATTAGTAATATTATATTATTTAATAAAATCAATATGTGTGTAGGTCTATATGGCAATAAGACCCATTTTTCTGCCGTTGTCCCTAACTTCGATTTAGTCCGCCGTATAATAGAGAAGTTTTATCATAGAACTTTTATGGTAGTAACCTTTGCGATTATTTACGAGTGTTATTCTCCATTCCATCCCACATGCATACGAAAGAACTCTGTTTGGATATCTACAGTATCTCCAATGACGATGACGGTCTGGCTTATCGTAACCTGTAGATAGTAGACACGTTCCTGATATTAATAGATCAGTTGATGTAAACTGGTATCAGTGAGTATTCAAACATCAATACTAAAGCAATTATTGTTTGAGATATCGACTTTTTCTTTTGGAAAAGTGGCGTCTATTTGATCTTGAATACAATATGATAGGCATTTGTAAATCCTAAGATGCCATAGAAGTCATCAATCGAGACAGCTCATATCTTTCCTGACGCATGTTACAATCTCTTCACCTGGGAATTCACATATACTCTCAATAACGCACTGGGGTGTTGTTTTCGTCTAAACAGCCCTGTATTAAAAGTAGAAACTTGCCAAAACGACGAATTTACTCTTGATAACTTACTATATTGTAGATTCGCATTCCCAATTGACACTCATGTGATAAGGTAGGGGATAACACATCTAACTAAATTAGGGGCTTCATCCCATAGTTACAGAACTTACCTGTTTCAATCCTTATCAAAAATAAAGAAGAGACTCTGATCATCTATGACCTCGATAGCTCATAAGCTGTTCCTATCTCGCGGACCATTGCCCAAAAGTCAACTATGCAGCAAGGTCACCGTTTACTTTGACACGCTCTTTTAAGCGAAGTCTTGTGAACGCTGCTTAAATATTAGCATCATTATCTAAGACCTACAGATCAACGTTAGAGTGAACCGAGCCAGAAATTATAAGCTTTTTCTACTGAATGATATTGACGGTCTTGCGGAGCAACTGGTGGGGATTGTCTCGTTATCAAAGTTGAATAAACTGATCTAACCTTCTCGTGAATCAAGCATACATGTCTGAAATATGACAATCATAATACAGGACGCTTTGCAACTATTGGAGGGTCTAAAATGGTGACTTTGTTACTAGACAAAACGAACACAGGCATATTCTTCGGAACAGAAATTGGCTGAATGATGTTCAGAAGTTGAGCGAACACATCACTACCAGTAATATAACAAGTGTATCTTGAAACAAAGTTTAAAACCAAAAAAAAAAATATGCATAGCAGTCAGTGTCTACTCGAGGTCTAAATTGATTGTCCTTAGATGATTGACAGAAGTGAGGTCGTCTATCCAACAAAGTATAGTCACCTTAGGGTATGTGTGAATACGATGAAGACGGCATGTGCATTCGACAAACAAACGAATAGTACCTAAAATTAGACGGGAAGTTGAAACCCGCACAACTTTCATCCCTCCTCCGATATCTCGAAGCTTATGATTCCTTCGCTTGCAAAAATGCGTTTCATATCTAGTCAGAATAAAATAGTACACGGGTTATGGAGTTTGGCCGGTGAGACGTTCTCTCAAACGCCCATTATTGACTAATTAAATTTATTACTTTGGTATCTTAGCTTGTTGGTATCTTACAACAAATAAAAGACCTGCGATCGGATATAATGTAAGATTACGTATCATGCTCTCCAGGAGCGGATTAAACGGTAACCGTAAATGGAGCCGATATTCTTAAGTTTGATTGAGTACTGTGTTTTATTGGTTTATTATTGTAAATCCCACCAAGTGTGCAAGATCTTGTATTGCATGACAGATATTACTTGGTGCGTGACATTCAAAGCAGATATTATTTAAGAGGGTTGTCGTATTTAGAATGTAGAATCGTAGTCAATATCTCGATCTCGTCAGCCCTGATGTTTATCTAGGCGGCATGTTTTTATCAAAGGTCAATTATCACTGGCGTTCACTGCCATGTATCAATTGACGTACCTATCGCTCAAGAATATCAATTTGTGCATTTGCTACCCGGACACAGTTGTCATATTTTACAAGACAGTATGAAGAGTACTGTTGTCTATTGATTCTCTCTATATTAACAAAGTCACAAGGTGGAAATCAAGCTATGTTCATTACAAGAGAGGATTATGCCCCTTCAAAAGTCGAGAATTACCAAGTATTACATGACCACTTCAAGGTACAAGCACACTATATACTCAATAGACAAAGAATATACCTCATAAAGCCGCTCATAAAGCCTCCGAGACTTTCGCCCTCACGCCTTTAGAATCCAGCCTGGCGACTGGGACAAAAAAGTCACGTTCGGGTTTGATATCAGTGACATCAGTCTCGAAGAGCTCGAATTCAAACCGTGGTATTATTTTAGCTAGAGTGAGGTACAGTTCCGCATACGCCAGGCTGTAATTTCTATCAGCAAATAAACGTCTAGGGAAGAATACGCAGTTAATATGCTTACTTGATGCCTAGACATGCTCGACTTCCCTTAGAGAAACAAACCAAAAAGCGATCTAGCCGGAAGCCGCTTTGTTGTGCTTCAATCCATCGCTCCGGAATGAACTCTTCGGGGTTAGGGAATATTTCCGGATCCTGAAGCACAAAGTAGGTTGACTCGCTGACGGGTGTCTACCGTATCATAATCAGTGGCTTTTCTTTTCACATGATAGCATGTCTGTGTCATGGCCACATAGTGTACATATTTAGCCACAAATTAAATCAAGACTCACCCCCGAAGGAATTGACCATTCCTTATAGCGAATGACTTCATGTGCAATACGGGGCGACCTGCTCATAACACCAACATTCAGTCGCAATCCTTCGCAGATGACAGCTGTCTGTGTTAAAATCGTTAGTTGATTTGTCAAAACGATGGGGATTTAAAAATACCAAATATGGGAGTTTCTCCAGTTGTGGCAACATTGGCGTCTCGGCGGGGAGTGACTCTAGTTCAGTACGTAGTTTCCTAAGTATAGTTTTATTGCTAGACAAATAAAACGTGATTATTGTGAGCGTGTTAGCCGTTGTTTCACTGCCGGCTCCGACTACCGACTGGCCCTCTTCGAGCAGTCTTGCCGCTGATTTCTCCTCTGGCGGCAACTCGCTGTCCAGTACTGTATGGAAAATTGTACCGCTCGCTTTATTTCCCCGATTATGCTCTTTCATCATGATGTCAACCTTTTGCTTAACTAGGTCCGACCATTCCATGAGTGCTGCAGCATTCGGGTTAACCCGCTGTAGAACCCAGTAAGGAATGTTCTGCAAGAGCGGCAACATCCAGGGGAAATTGCGTAGCAAGATTCCATTTTCTAATGCCGAAACTATAGCTTCCCGCCATCTAGCCCGGAAATCTTCGTCTGCGAGATAATTGTAACTCTCGCCATAGGCGTAATGACAAATGATATCCATTGTTAGCGCCATAAACGCAGCATCCAGTCGCAGCACCGGTTTGTCGCCAGTACCTTGAGCAGCTTCCGTAAATCTGGTGGCGAGACGTTCGATCTTTTCCAGAATCAGCGGTTCCATGCTTCCGACGACTTTTTTGGAGAAGAATGGGTTGAGAGCGCTGCGGCGCAGGCGGTGGTGGGTATGCGCAACCGTTGAGAAAGAGGCATTCGGAGTGCCGGACAGAATGACCCAGTCTTTGTATTTGTCGCGCTTTTTAGACGCTGGCGCATACAGTTCGTCGAAGAACTCCGAGTCTTTGATGTGCAATTCGTTTGGGTTGATTCGGATGATAGGACCTGCGGATGCGCCACGATGCCGATTATTGTTCAGTAAACGGAATAGAGGGAAACAACCAAACAGGAATGAAAAGGAAAAGGTATCTTGGCCAACAAAAAGTGGATAGATCGAATAATAATAAATACATTACTTACCGTATTTTTCATGCATCCTTTGAATCTCCCACACGAACATTCCGCGACGAACCAGGTCATGATAGGTCTCATACCAACCTGTTACGGCGGCCATCTTTGGCCCCGGGAACTTGGACAGGGGGTGGAAATATAGCCTGTAAACGGCGCCGCAGAGTACATAAAGAATCCCTGACGCCAGGGCTAGATAAGCGCCGCGTTCCCACGAGAACGTTGGCGACATGTTGCACCTCGATATGTACGTTTATGTGTTCGGTCAATCACAAGAGGTAGATTATTCAGACGACAACATTTGGAACACGATCTCGGCACCCAGCAGCCTAATTAACTATTACAACAGGAAAGAGCACAGGCAATGGGGGACGTTTCCACCCAGTTTCCACCTTGCGACTGGGCTTTCCCCTCCCGTCCGCTTCGATGCCATATCAGTTCTAGCGGGCTGGGATAGCCTCAGATCTAGCGACGTTTGTAGAAAGGGCAGGGCCGAAAGATGAACTGTGTTCAGCGGGGGTGTGTGTGAAGAAAGTCCAGCCACATTCACTGACTCAGTGACAGACATCGGCTCGGCGCGCCGTGGTGGACCGCGGACGCCGGAAAGCCTCTGCACAGAACTGGGTCCTTGACGCGCTAAAAAGCGCTATGGTCTTAGCTGATACGAAATAGGGCGTAGCAAGTCATCTAGCAACGCGAACGACTCCGGGTTGGATTCAATCACGCTGCTAGTAGCATTCCCTACGTGGAGACGGGAAGCCCAAAGCTTGCGGGAGTAACTAACTAGTGCTGACTGTGTTGCAGCTTGCTGGTCCGGCATGAGGTCATGCCCCGCAGGCCGATAGTTACAACTTACGCTTCGTCCTGTGCGCTAACTAACGGATGGCCATTTTTTTCTTTTTCGTCCCCACCACCACCACCGTACAATAATAATTTAACGGCCGCTCGCTGTTTACTGCTTGCTTGCCTGGCGCATCATTCTATCTAAACAAATCTTTCATATAATAATATCTGCCATGGCGCAAACCGTATACACAGACTCTCCCCTCGAGGCTGATGTAAGTAGAAACCTCGGGTGTTTTGGGAGCCTGCTGAAGCCAAAGAGGAGAATAGACTGACAGGCCCTGCTTAGGTCTCGGACTCAGACTCTGCGTTCGGTGGTAGCAAGTAAGCGACAACCATGGAGACCGCGCGTTGAATGGCACATCTAACATTAATATGGCCGCCTGTAGTGTAGACTCGCTCAGTTACAAGTCGTCTATCACTTCGAGTATCTGGAATTATAAGTAAGTGCTTTTGTACTCTAAATCGCTTCATCATTTTCGAGTGTTTCGTGCCCATTAAGAAAAATTCAACACTAAGCAAAAGAAATGCAGATATGAGGTAAGTTGGGCACACTGATTCGAAACAAACCGACTACTAACTACCATTAGAACGGCCGCAGGTACCATTCCTACCGGGAAGGTGAATACTTCATAGTATGCACTGGCTCTACCTTGACAACAAAATCGGTTGAAAGTCAAAACTAACCCCGATTATCAGCCCAACGATGATCAAGAACAAGATCGCATGGACTTGCTCCACCATGTGTATCGACTTTTGCTGAAGGGAGAACTCAATTGGGCCCCTATCTCCAAAAATCCGCGACGGGTCCTAGATTTGGGCACAGGAACAGGTTGGTGCACTGTCTTACTTTATTTTCATGTGGTGTAGAATTCGTACTGAATGTTTGCAGGGATTTGGGCTATTGATTTTGCGGAGTATGTAAGCGCAAAATGTTGATTCCATTAAGCTCGCTAACTGTGTCTTTAGTCAATATCCCGAAGCCGAAGTCATAGGTCGGTGCCGTCTTATAATTCTTGAATGGTCATATGACTCGACAATACTAAAGCAAAGCTAGGAAATGACCTGAGTCCGATTCAGCCTCAGTGGTTCGTTTGATAAGACACTTATTACCGCATTTATCCTGACTTATATATAGGACGCCACCCAATGTTACATTTGAAATCGATGACTTCGAGGCAGAATGGCCCTTCAGTCGGCCATTTGACTATATTCATGGGCGGGAGTTGGCGGGCTCCATCAAGAACTTTGATAACTTCTTTGCACAAGCCTATAAACACCTTGCGCCAGGTGGCTACCTTGAAATGCAATCGTTTCGCATCGAGATATTTACGGATGACAACACACTGGAAAAGGCCACTTACACCACCCAATGGGTCGCGCTTCTACACGAAGCCAGCGTGAAATTTGGAAAGCCCATGACGAACATGGATGTGTGGCCCGACAAGATGACCGCCGCTGGATTTACGGACATTACTCTTCGCGTCGTCAAAGTCCCCATGAATCCGTGGCCCAAAGACCCAAAACAAAAGGAAATCGGTCGATATATGCAAGTGGAGCAGGAGCAGGCAGCGCCGGGATACACCAACGCATTGTTAAGTAGAATACTAGGTTGGTCAAAAAAGGAGATCGATGTGCTATTAGCACATGTTGTTTCTGAACTACGAGACCGGAGTATTCATCAATATGCGAAGATGTATTTGGTATATGGTAGGAAACCTGAGTAGACCCGCCTTCTACTGTTATATGTGAGTGCCGTAACGAATTCTATAATAAAGAGATATTGAGCATTTAAGAAAGAAATGCGCGCCTCTTTTAACACGGCTGAATGCCGACTATTTCGATACTCAAGATGAGAAATATCGAAACATCGGCAATAATCTCGTGCCATCGTCTGATTTCTTGCAACGAGTAGGAGAAATTTCAGTCACTATTTTTCTTTCGTACAGCAGGGATAATGCACCAAGAGCCAGGTTTCAAGGCATAACCATCTAGAATGCACGAAGTAAATAATTCGACAGGACCGTCGCTTGCAAATGGTGTGATATCTGTATGGATTAGGGCTGCAGGCGGCCAGAATAGGAAGGAATTGTGTGCATGAATGGATTAGCCCCGCCGATAGGTCATTTTGAGCATCATCTCATATGATTTTAAAATTTTATTCTTGGACAATCTGTCATGCTTCGTGTTATATCTGGTTCGTCGTACTCTCAAACTTACTTCATAAGGCAATGGAAAAAACGTCACCTATCAATCAAGTTGGGCTGGAACGCCACAGGCTGATCTTTGCACGCACCAGATATTGCCGAACACTTTGACCCTCGTCCATAGCACACACATGTACGGTTGCGAATAATGTTGCGAATAATGTGATCTATCCAAAAACTTATTCCAAATTGATCAAACCTGCATGAGCGGCCCGCTTGTCTCGTGCATAAAATTCGTATCAATTATATACTATCCTAGTTATGAAATACATGACAATACCGGTCGGTTTATTAAATAATTCCAGTATTATTGAGCTTCATTACTTCTATGAAATATTTTCGCTGCAGCTTACAAGGATTGATACTGTATTTTATGCAACCAATGGCTGGCCCCCATAATGATACATTTGCACCACTTCTTCCTAACTTAGCCAAACAGAGATTAACTAGTCCTGCAAAATCCCGTCTCATCTGAAGTTGAAGTCAATCCGCAGTAACTTGAGTTACTATTTATCGAATTGAAGTTACCTTATCTCTGAACAAGCTAGTACAAGCGTGTTGCTTTTACTAGTTACTACTCAAGATTTCTATGGACATAATCGAGTGATTATGTGTCATACTTTCTATTTCGAAGCAATTCAAATGATCACATAAATGCATATCTTGTAAAAGGCCATGTGACTAATTCTACCATTTATGGCAATTTAGGGGTTTGGAATTCCAACCAATCAGAGATCTCAACCCCATGTTGGATCGCAAAATGCTAATGCTTCTGCCTGCGGGCTCCAACACCTGTGACGTCGTTGGAAGAAACGAAATTCTTTGAAGTTTTTATATCTCTCAATCACCTTCGTCGAATAATTAGTTGCTCGTTTTCGTGAAACAGTGGTATGCCGTTTTTGTTTAAAAAGATCTTCCTTTTGTTAATACTCAAGCAGCAATATCAAAGCATCTGTTAATCCCTCATTCGTCTACCAAAATGTCAACCACAAGGTACACCATCCCCGTCCCCGAAGGGATACCTATCATTGCAACACTTGAGGAAGTCGATAAAATCGTAAGAGATAACCCGACGGTGTGCTTGTACGACGAGGACAATGGATACTACCTCAAAGATGACGCTGGGACAGCTGTAGCTGTGGCGTCAGATGAATTATGTGAGGAGTTCGATAAAAGGATGGAGGATCTCAACCAAAAAATTGCCTCTGGGGAGCTTTCCGATTAAACCTTCACTGTCTCGAACTTCACGATTATAAGAGTGCTTATATCTTACTGCGTGCTATTTACTACTACTATGTGTGACCTATCCAGCATCTGATGAAATTTACATACAACATATCACGTGTGCATATTTTCTATATTATACATGCTGCATGGATCATTCCCTCTGCCAGCTCTGCCATTCTTGCCACAACCCCTTTCATGCTATTCTCACTCAGTTCAGGGTGAATCGAGCAGATTCGCAACACCACCGTATTATTTACTTTGCTCGTGAGTGCAGCAGCAACATTTTCAGTTAGTAGTTGCTGTGAGATGCGGGTATTGAGTTCATCTAGCTCAGATTCTGATTTCCCATCTGGTACAAATCGAAACGTGACAATCGCCAAATTAGCCGGGCTAGTTATCTGCCAGTGAGGCAATCTTCGCACTTCTCTCTCTGCGCATTCGGCAAGCTTGATTGCATGATCAAGCATATTGCTGACTTGGTCAAGTCCCAGAACACGAAGAGTAAACCAAAGCTTTGTTGCTCGTGTAGGCCTCGTTAACTCCATTCCAAAGTTCCAGTAATTAGGCACGTAGTCCATTTCGGTCGCATCCTGTACGTATTCAGCACCCGTGTGGAAGCTTTTGTAGAGCAGAGCCTTGTCCCTAACAAGCACAAAGCTGCACGTATAAGTCTGGAAGAGCCATTTGTGTGCATCCCATGATATGCTATCTGCTTTATTTAGACCACGGAATAAACTACGATGTGTCTTGGATAACATTACTGAGGCACCGTAAGCCCCGTCCACATGAACCCAAAGTTGTTCACGTTGCGCAATAGTTGTGATTTCTTCGATTGGGTCAATTGACCCTGTGTTTGTTGTGCCACAAGTAGCTATAATCAGGAATGGATACAGTCCGTTATTACGGTCTGTCTTGATAGCATCCTCCAATGCCACAGTGTCTAGACGAAAATTAATATCACTTCGGACCATGTGTACCTGATGCTCGCGGAATCCTAAGATCCGCAGTCCTTTTGCAACAGACGAGTGAGTTTGGTCTGAGACATATGCAACACCAGTTTGGACCTTGTCGTGAGGTAGTTTGTAGTCACGGGCCAATATAATTGCTGTTAAATTAGCCATTGACCCTCCAGATACCGAAATTCCGCCGGCTGTCTCAGCTGGGAACCCTGCCATCATTGCCATCCAATGTATAAGGCTCTTTTCAATCGCACTGGCACCTGAACTCTGAAGTCGCGAGCCCCCATGCACATTAAACACAGATGATATCACGTCGCCCAGCCATGCCACTGGTAAAACTGGAGATGGAATGAAGCCGAAGAATCGGGGATGGTCATTTCGTATTCGATAGCTATTAATCTCAATAGCCTCCTTCAAAACATCACCAATCTCATGTGGGCCATCATCTGGGAGTGCATACTGTTCGCTTAGAAACTTGGCTGTATCGGGGTCTGCGACCTTGCATATAGGCTGGAGTTCGATATCTTTTGCTTCATTGAAGTAGTGGCTTGCTATTTGTTGAAAACCTTGCTCGACGAATTCCATATCTTGGCCTAGAGTTGTGACTGGTGAAAACTTGTAAGTGTGAAATAGTACAAGTTTTAGTGCTATTGTATACAGCCATCTGCTTTTGAAATATCGAACGTGGCTTGATGGGTTTATATGCAATTAAGCAAATGTAGAGAGTTACGAGCAGACATCTGTTCAGCCGGCTATCATCGGCTCATACTGATTCATTCATGTTGCCATTCACTAATCCAAGCGCTCGATATCAAATAGTGGATTTTATAACACTGCTACCGAATTGAGTAACAGTCGCGCCGTGTGGGGAAGTTAAAACTTTAGCCGATATCGGCCTCTTGAAGGTGAGTGAGCTATGCTATTCTATCAATATAATAATCTAGCTGAACAAATTTAGCAATCAATGGCAGAAGGAGACTCATGCACAAATCAAGAGAATTGACGTCGTTGACAGCTAGTAAGATCATAGAATGCCATTTTAGGAAGCGGCTTTGTTATGATTCCATACTTCCGAAATTCTAATGGATTTGCTAAAGAATCAGGATTGAAGTGCCTTTTGATGCCTAACAAGCATTTTCATCAAAACATAAATAACTTTTTCTTGATTTGTTCCATCCTGTCTCATACTAGGCTCTGTTACGGATGTCGACCATTAACGCCTCGACAACTGCCACATAAGAGAGCGTTTAGTCCTCCTGGTATCATCATACCAACAGGGTCATATTCTCACTTCCTGTTCATATCTATAATTTTAGCGATTTAACTTCAGATTCAGCAACAGGTAACGATTAATATCTTGGATAAAGACCGGATTTGATCATATTTCCGCGGGAAGTAGTTCAATTCAACCACCAGCAGACAATGCGGGACAGATATCTTGGCCAGCGGCCTAGGTAACTCCCTTCAGATAAACATTGTAATAATTCTAATGACGTGTCAAGTAACTCTCGCCGAACTGCTTTTTTCTAGGATCACTGCTTTATGCTCTCTATGAAACAGACAGATTTATAGATGACAACTGATTGGGCTATTGGCTGGAAGCGACTTCAGTTCTCGTCAGTCCCACTGGAATACCACTACTATCCAGGTAGTCCTTGTATCGCGATGAATTAAATATAGCATATGTTGGAATTATGGACCTGGGTTTTTCTCGATGCTATCCGTGGAATGTACTATCTTATATTTACACGTATATGAGAGGGTTTAATGGAGATTAACGGTCTTTAATTACCGTTATCAGGCACCACGAAGCAATTGCTATTTCTCGTCAAATACAAATAAGAACGAAGCATACAGCCACCAAGAAAATTAAAACTCTAATTTTCACCCATATACTTCTCTCCTTCACAAACCTTGACGAGGCTTCCAGATTCACCCGTTTAATAACACACGAATATGCATGTATTTTACATCCATTGATATGTACAGTAAATTTATTGTTATTGATTATATTTTTGCGGCATAAATTGACAGTACGTTAAGATTCTTTTTAAAATGTTTTGTTACTGACCTCATGTTAGCAAACTCAAAAAGCTATAAATATATTTATAATTAGGATTAATTAGCCGGATTTTAAAAAAACATACACCTGATTAAATGCCTGCTGATATTTTTATAACCTTGTATCATTTAATAACATACTTCATTTTTGTAGTAGAAAATAAAAATGTAATGGGTTTGATAGCCCCTAGCATTTCTCAAAATAACAATCTCGCCAAGGCAGCCAAGACTGCTACGAATTGCGGTGTTACATTTTGCAACCTTCTGGGGGCCAGGCGACCAAAGAAACCCCAAGAATGACACCTTAGATCTCACAATATTGTTTATCCGTACTCAATTATGAGTCTACCGTAGGGGCCAGAGCTGATTTTAGTCTACCGGGCCTTTTAGTAAGGCCAACTATTCGTTCTCGGCACGTTTGGTGTCAGCTATTAGGACCTAGAATTTATAAAAGAAACATGTTCGAACCAAGAAGTTAAGGTTCCCTATGATCTACCTAACATATAGTTCCTCCAAGCTCCTTCTCCAGAGAGGCTGCTCACGAATCAGTAGCATTTCTGCCTCCTACCCAGGAAGTGCTCAGCAAATAGTCAAACTCATTGTTCATAAGATTAATTTCTCATATTACTACTGAGTTCCATACCAGAAATGGCTCTGCGGTCAATTCTTCTTGTCTCACTTGGCGCTTTCACCGCGGCTACATCATGTCCCTTGTCTGTGGATATATCCAACGTTGCTGACCACTCCGTTAATGTTACTATCACCAACCATGGAGACAAAACAGTTACATTTTTCAAGGGGAATACAGTTTTTGACAAACGACCAGTCAAAAAGTTGCTAGTGCAGGGCGAAGGTAGGTTGCAAAACTGATCCAATCTATGGATGAATCGACTAACGCCTCGGGGTAATTAGATGACAAAGAATTGGATTTCAGTGGTGCTTATGTTGACTACAAGCAAAGCAACCCCCCATCTTCCATGTTCCAGACCCTCACATCGGGTCAGGCAGTCAGCACTGTCGTTAATGCTGCGGTATCTCATAAACTCGGCGGGGTATCCAAGGCTAGTGTTACAGCTCTTCAACACTTGAAGTATGTCACCGGCGATAGTATTCCCTCTCATCTCAAGGACATGTCGCTCTGCTCGAGTGTCACCTCTAACAAGGCTGTCATTATTCCCGATCAAAAGAAAGCTGTATTGGAACACTTTTCAAACGCTTCTCCAGTCTCTTCCTCACATTTGACTCAAAAAAGGGACGTTGGATTCCCCAACTGTGCCGATAATCAAGTGTCGGATTTGCAAACCGCAATAGCAGATGCCATAGCTATGGCATCTGCTGCGCAACAAGCAGAGGGCTCGCAGGATGACTTCTGGATCTCATGGTTCAAAGATGCAGGCCAGTTATCAACGACCGATTCTATCTACAACCAAGTTATCAATGCGCAATCTACCGGGTTCTCCGTATCGTGTACCGACACATATAGCGCCTGTGGAGAGAATGCCATGCTGGTCACCATTACTCCTGATAATGTCATAATCCCATGCCCTAACGGCGGATTTTGGGATTTAGGGGAATTCGCAGACAATTGTGACGCTAGTGACTATGATCGTGCGGGAGCTATTCTTCATGAAATGAGTATGAGCATTTTCCCCTCTAAAACTATCAGCAAAGGCCTTTTAACTAACCCTTAGCTCTTAGCTCATCTATTTGGCACTTCAGACTACGCCTATGGACACGACGACTGTGAAAACCTCAGCGCAGATCAAGCTGCCATGAATGCAGACACCTACGAGCTGTACGCAGAAAGTGTCAGACTTGGAGGTTGTCAATGATAAATTGCCAAATCACTTATTTTACAAATTACTGGCTTATATATCAATTGATATGTACGAGCCAGCTGTATGATGAGAGGGTCACATTGTGAATAGTTGGAGAATGGATTGATTGTCGGCACGCACGTCAATTCAAAAGGTTCAGTCAATATCAACTTATATGAGTGTTATACTTACATAACAATATATATTACCTCAAAGACGTGCTCCAAACAGATATTCAGCTGCTCATCATGGTGTAATGAATTATTGCAAAAGCTCTCAAGGAGTCCTTAGTTTCGATATGATGGTAGTTTTAGATAGAAAACGAGCCCCATCTTGTTGAAAATGTAATTGTTGATGTCGTGCCGCCAGGACAAAGAAAACATGATATGCATTGAAGTAAGTGCATTTTTATCGCCGGAACTAGAAAAGGGTCTTGGTAATTTGAATGCAAGTTAGTCTAGAGCAGCAGAAGGATGTCTTTACTTCTGAACAAGAGAAGAGACTGATAGATTGGAGTTACTCACGCCATAGGTCCTGCAAATCCAAGGAGATTGTCTTGAACAAGTGCGTCCAAGATTTCATTAGATTGAGAGGCAACCGCGTCGGCTCTCAGTCGCATTCGATATTGTCAGTTTTCTTTTGCGGTGGGATGGAGGTAGTCCGGAGATTCTGTTCCCCAAGGCCGATAGAAGGTAATCAATATTGGTCTCCGGTTCTATATTAATAGAGGAAACATTTACGGGTGGTTAGAGCTAACTGATAGTGTAGATGGATATGATGTGAATAAAACTGCGAAATGCGCGTCAGACCTTTTTTCGTATTGATCTGGAAGTGAACTCTGTAATAACTCCATCTCGAGGACTTCAACTGCATCTAAGGACGGTCTGGGTCGAGCAGTCCGATAATTCATAATCATAATATTGCCTAGCTGGCGGCTTAATTCAATAGTAATAACCCAGTATTCATCTAATCTTTCCATATCGCTTGGTAATTGGGAAATAAGACCGGTCTCTCGTTGGACATTGATGTCAAAAAGGATGTCACGAACAAACGGCGTGGGAACATCACAGTCCTCAAGATTGATCCGCAATAGCCTCCCCAAGATAAGACCAAGCCAGCGATCCCCAAAAAAGTACTACCACCAAAGGGGACGCTAAAGAGATCACTGTCGATTGGCGATTGAGGGATTGTGATTTGAAATGTCAGGAACTCGATGTAAGCCAAGGATTTGGCACGGAGTTATTGCGGTGCCTGTCCCGTACCACGGTTGTGCATGTCCGTCTATGTCTGAGTGCCAATATCCCATAAGGAGTGAAGATTGCAATAGCACGATTTTGTTTCTTTCGTTACTGTTGTTGTACTGCACTGCTAATAGAAGAAAAATTAGCCCAATAGGCTATGCATGTTGAGGAAGAGGCAAACATTTCTTTCCTTAGCCCGAGAGTACATCGCGAATTTCATTGACCGCCTAGATGCAAGTCCTTCTTACTCGTAAATATGTGTTAGAATAAACTGCAAGCTACAGTTAGTCTCAATGGCATGCAACAGCGGATCTATGGCGGCGGGTCCGAGGAGAACGATTCGTCGATGACCTGATCGCCACGAAAGACGACTGCTGCTCAAACCCCCAGGTTCAAGAAGACTACGCCTGTGAAAACAGACAGGAGCGACCCAAGGACAGTATGACTCGCACTACTTAGTTTTCTCCGAGCGCATACCCTATTTTGATTTGTAGTCTTATTTTCTAATTAATAATAGTGATTATTCTATACAAAAAATTAATTAATAGATTAATAGAACAAATAAAGCGCTGTATCTTCCAAGTCAGCTCCGAGGCAACTAGTTAAACTAACCAGAGAACCGAGTTACTTAATATAGCTAGTTACCGAGCCCTCCCGTGTTTTCCGGGGACAGCAACCAGGCAGATTCCGAGGTAGCTATGAAAGAAGCATGACCGCCGAGCAATTGTCTTCAATTCGATACATTTTACTCGAAATCTGCGCATTATACTCTCCAAAACTGCCCTCCGTCCACCCTTGATCCACCTGCGGCTGGGTTCAGCAGCCAATCTCAGTATCGCAAATTCTGACGGATTTGGAAAACTTCCCAATTTCTCGGGAAGGTTCAAGGATGACATCATCATTCTGCCGCGATCCAAAATGAAGTTCGTACTTAATTGTGAGTGAGTAAAAGCTTTAAATCGGTGAGCCAAAGCTACATCAAGCAGAGATAATGACCGTACGGTTATTATTCCATGATCTGCTTCGATTGATACAGTAATTACACCCTTCTAATCGCCACGAATCAAGATCTCAAGGTGTTCGTTGCGACCATGCTAGCTCTGAATATCTCTACTGAAAGGAACTACCTCTGAAGGAAATGGTATAGACGTGCACAACACCGGAAAATATGGACATGCTAATTATTCCTCGTGAAGAAAAGATGGACTCACAGCTTTCAACGACTTCTACAAGTGCTATGCCGGTGGATCAGCAGTTTGACAGTGGCGTCCGTGTCCTAAGTGAGGCCTTATGCTCTGGGAGATCGTACATGATAGATGAATTGACACTTTGCAGGCGATGGACGGTTGGATATTGAACTTAATGAGCACAGGCCCTTCTTCCGGAAGTTGATCCAACATCTTGAGAGAAGCCCGAAACCTGTTCATACGAACCTTGAACCTTCCACAGTTCAAAAAGAAGAAAAGGAGCCGTTTCCGCTTCGGTTGAATATCGTCATCCAGGTCGTTGGTTCACGAGGTGACATTCAACCATTCATTGCACTAGGAAAAGAGCTTCAAAGAAACAGCCATAGGATTCGTCTCGCCACACATCTCAAATTTCGAAATGAAATAAGAGAAAGTGGATTAGAATTCTTTGATATTGGTGGCGATCCGGAGCAGTTAATGGCCTTCATGGTTCAGAACCCTGGCCTCATGCCGGGTGTGAACGCAATCAAAAGTGGTGCGATTCGGCAACGGCGCCGGGAAATGAGATCCATTTTCTCCGGCTGTTGGCGGTCCTGTTTTGAAACGGGTGATGGAACCGGCCTACGCCAAATGCCTGACAACATAGGAATCGATGCAACTGAGAACCATGAGCGGCCATTTGTGGCCGACGTCATTATTGCAAATCCACCAAGTTTTGCACACATCAGCTGTGCTGAGAAGTTGGGCATCCCTCTTCATATGATGTTCACGTGAGTTGTTCATTTGATGATGCCACAGACGATGTTCAAAGGCAGGTGCTGAATGACTGCAGGATGCCATGGTCACCAACGCGTTCCTTCCCACACCCTCTAGCTAGCGTTCGATCGAGGGGTGTGAAGGCATCTGTAGCAAATTTTGCTTCCTATGCCTTGGTGGAAGTCATGATTTGGGATGGGCTTGGTGATTTGATCAACAATTTTCGCAAGAACGACCTAGCTCTAGATCCGTTGGATTTGATTCAGGGGCCCGGTCTCGCCAACAATCTAAAGATCCCGTACACCTACCTTTGGTACGTTTTGCTAAAGTTGTATGAGCTCATTTAAACACACTTTCTGATGTTATCAGGTCGCCCGCTCTCTTACCGAAGCCAGAGGACTGGTCTCATAATATCGACATTTGCGGTTTTCAATTCTTGACCTCAGAAACGGATTATCAGGCACCACATGCCCTGCAGGAGTTTCTCGATGGAGGCGAACCTCCAATTTATATTGGGTTTGGGTCAATAGTTGTCAAGGATCCACTGAATCTAACACTAATGATCTTCGAAGCTGTCCAGCAGACAGGCCAGCGAGCAATTATCAGTAAGGGATGGTCAAATATAGGTGTGGGCATGCCTGAGGCTCGTAGTGATATTTTCCTTCTGGACAATTGCCCGCATGAATGGCTCTTTCCACGTGTTTCGTGCGTGGTACACCATGGAGGTGCTGGAACCACTGCCGCCGGCTTGCTTGCTAGCCGCCCTACAGTGGTTATACCATTTTTTGGAGATCAGCCATTTTGGGGTTCGATAATCGCACAAGCAGGTGCAGGTCCACCGCCGGTGCCATACAAAAAGCTTACGGCGACAAATTTGGCTTCTGCCATAAGTACGGCTCTGGAACCTCTGGCCAAAACCAATGCTGAGAACATAGGTAAGAAAATGAGAATGGAAAATGGTGTCCAAGACGCGGTCAAGAGCTTTCATCACCATCTTAACATTGAAAAATCTCGTTGCTCTATTTGTCCACACAAGCCTGCAGTATGGTGGCACAGACGTTCAAGGATCAAGCTGAGTGCGTTTGCGGCGTCAGTATTGGTACATACGGGACATGTTGACCCGCATGATTTGGTTATGTAAGTGCTCCTGATTATATTGCCCTGGTCTTGGTGTAACCATTCTAGGTATCGGCCACTTGAGTATGATACCGGACGAGATCCTCGCGGGCCTCTCTCTGCAGGTGCAGAGGTTATTTACGGTTTGGTCACTGACATAGTTGTCGGGCTGGTGCGTGTTCCAATAGATATATCGTGCTACATATCTGGGAAACAGCCGGTGGAAAAATTAAAGAATAGAACACTACACGATTGGGCCCTAACGCATTTTTTGGACACTTCGTCCAAGAAAGCCGAAAATACCACCTCGGAAAGTTCAGAGGATGAAAGAGGGGATGATTTGCCCGTTGAAGAGCATCCGGAAAGTGGAAACAATTACTGTCCTTGTTATACAACCGGAAACATTCCAGTTACAGGTTCTGAAAACATGGACAACAGCACGGAGGTTATCTATCACTCGCCTGATCGAGAAAAGCAATTGAGGATGGCCAGAACCAAGCAAGTCTTCACTGACACAGGCCATTATACCGGAAGGATTGCAAAGCAGTTCCTTGATCTTGTTCTTCGTCTTCCGACCGACTTTGCCCTCAGTTTAACCAAGGGGTTTCATAACGCACCTAAATTATACAATGATTCGACAGTCAAGGAATTTCCCGTCGTCAGAAGCATCAAAAGCGGAATTCGCGCTGCCGCTACGGTAAGTCTACATATCCGGAGTATCTCTAGAAGCCACCACCTGCTGACCTTTTAAAAGGAATTCACCCAAGAGTTCTATGACGGCATTACTGGCCTTATCGTGCAACCCATTGATGCCGTCAAAGAATATGGGGGTAAGGGCTTGATACCAGGAACTGGAAAAGGACTAGGTGGAGCATTCTTGAAGCCAATGACTGGTAAGTCCTGCCCATTCATCCACCTCCGAAAGTGCCATCTAACATGCTTGGTAATGGAGGTATCGTCGGCATAGCAGGCCTTCCTCTTGACGGACTACACAAGACTCTTAGGGATTCTATATCCAAGAGTAAATTAAAAGATATTATTCAATCACGGATCGTGCAGGGTATTGAGGAAATGAGCGATGCGTCAATTGAAGAGCGGCAAAAAATCATTCAACAGTGGGATGAAATGCGCCGGTAGGGTTTCCAACTAGTAGAAGAACTGGATTATGTCGAGAAATCCCAGGTTGTAGTAATTCTATGGACCTTTCATGTTCTAAGAGTTTTTTGGTCTCTCTTGGAATCATGACATAACCTATACATTGATTATGGTCAAACCAAAACTAGACTATATAAGCAAATGGCTTAGATCTTGGATTATGATGTATTCACATGCTTAATTTCAACTTGAGGCTCACCTCAACTTTCGATGCTGTTAACTGTGTTGGTTGCAAATTCTTGATTCAAAATCATTGTTCTGGTACAATCCAGAAACCAACCTCCTTGCAGCTTCGTCCAAATTGGGCATATCTCCCCACTCCCACTTTAGCAACCACCGTATTGTTCCGGGAGGATCAAAGGCTCTGTGCAACCTAGTAGTGCCTGTCTTGATCCAGAAGGAGATAGAAATGAGATCTCTGAGAGAGTTCCAGGATCTAGCCGGCTTTTAACGATCTCCCACGCTGTTCTAACTATCGACGGCGCACCGGCGATCTGGGTTAAAAACTGAAAATCAGTCCCGGATGACAGGAAACTTATAGACTCTATAATTAACAAGGGGGCTGGCTAGAATGCGATTCAGAGTCTCCGGATAATATTTGGTCGCCAAGAGAGCTGCCCCCTGTAGGTACCGTTTGATATCAAAGAACTGCCTCAGAGTCATCCCACTCAGGTCAATAACGTGTGTCGATGCTGTAACGGAGATTTCCATGTGTGGACGTTCGAGCTAGTTGCAGAATGACATGACGAAATTTAACATGTTCTCGTACAACATATGTAAGGCAATGACGTGGCCAGGCGTTCCGGATGATAGTGATGAGAACCTTTGAGGAAACGAGGACATTTTGGAAACGTAGGCTTCCACCTTCTCTTTCGTGACATTCTTGAATGGAAACACATACACCGGGAAACGGTGACGGTCTCGGCACCCTATCCACTGAGAAAACTTTTACAGAATAAGCCAGGGTCATTTTTCCTACAGTCATAACTAACAGGGCTATTGTGTATTGATAACAAACCATGTGTCTGGAAAACTCGTACGAGCTCACGTCCATATTCCGGTCGAATTATTTGATGTCATGTTCCATTTGCCATTTGTAGGTATCCCGAAATTGCTGTAACGCACTATCTATTTCAAACTGTTGTGCCGGAAGGAAGCGTCTTGAAATTCTAGTTAGTGAGAACATATCCAGGAGGACCTATTCCTTTCGAGGAAGTATATGTAGAAACATTGGCGCCCGCTCATAGAAGTGTAGCACGTTCGTAGTCTGTCCATTAAGCGTGTATTTGAGCTAATTAGCTGGTCTGAAGAAGTATAGCAGTTGTAAAATTTTATCCTAAGAAGTTGTAGGCTGTTGTAAATCTCTCACTCTACCTGGTTTGCTGCCTATGATAGAAAGCAGTACCTTGATCTTGTTTTATTAAATGTAAATAATATAACATTTATTATAAAGCAATATATTAGTTTTTATAAATAAAATTAGAAAATAAATTACTATGAGTAGCAGATGCAAGCCCCTCATAAACCTAGACTGCTTGCGAGAGAAAGGCTAAGAGGGCAGAAAAAATATTGGCCAGACAGCTAGTAAGCAGGGACCACAGGCCACAACCACAAGAGGACTTCTGTCCAATCAAATATGAACTAAGATAAAACCACAGCCATTTAGGATAAAGTTAGTTCTCTTTGGTCAGATAGCGAAAAGTTCGACAATTTCTTAAAAGAGTCTTCATCACTACCCATACTGGAAACTACTTATATTAGACAGAAAATCGGTCTTTATAAAAGAAGGACTGAAAAAGTTTATGAGAAAAAGCCAGCATCCGCCCCAGTTTTCTATGCGGTTGCCGTCCTAGGGGGCCACCTGGCTCGTTTCATAGGCCGGACGTATAGATCATTTGGATGGATGAGCTGGAACATTGGACCGTACTCGATAGGTTCAACCCCCTTCTCGAGTAAACACAAAATAATGGGGAAAAGACGCTGCTGGGCCTAACAGCAAAATATAAGCAGATGTCTATAGAAAGAAAAACATGTTCTATCATTAATGAAGGGTTAAGAAATCGGACAACTGCTATGGTGAAGTGCTCTAAGAAATGGATTGCGAATCATGATCATGCTAATGAACTTGCTTCAATTTAACGTTACTATACACGACAATTCAGGGCAGGGAAATGCTTCCAAGTTGTTACCACTCTGATCTACTCTCGTCAATATCATCAATATCTATTTTAAAGAGGACGTCTTCGATTTCAACGCCATCAACTCCAACAATACTTGATCTCAATCTTTCTGACGGACAGGCACCCACGATCTGCCCTGTGACTATCTATATAGTCTCGGCAAGACGAAAACAATTAATGTGGTATTTTGGAAATCCCTTCGTCAGTTATACATATTTTCATTTTAGAGCTCCGTCAAGGCACGAAAAGTCGGCTTAGTTACACATAATAGATGACGATACATACTGAACAGAACCCCCACACTGGCCAGGCAATATCTGTCTTGAACAGATTCATGTTCAACTGCCTAACCATTATGCATGTTTCTTCTAGCTACTCCGTATTCTTTAAAGCCCCGATACTAGTAGTCCATCAATTCGTGATGCATAATCCCCGCATTTCGAACCCTTCGAAGACCCTAGTAGTCTAAGATCGAATGCGCTTATCGGACGAAACGACGAGGGCGCTCGGCAACCTGCTGCTGGGAAACAGGGACAACGTTGACTGGGATTGAATCGAACTACAGCGAAAAGTTCACATTAGCAAAGCCCCTCCAAAATCAAAGGCTTATACAAGCAAAACATACACCAATGCTCTTCAACAAATCCTTGGTCTCCTGGTCGACATCCAACTTGCCACTCTCGCTGTTCTGGCTAACGTCGAGAGCAGAAACTTCGGGAACGTATTGATCCTTGCGCTCACGCTCTTCTTCTTGGAGCTTGAAGGAAATACCACGGACGGGGCCACGCTGAATGCGCTTCATCCTATTTGTACCTCGAAAATTAATTTTTTCTCGCTTCTCTTCAATTTCCCAGTCCAGCCGGGGATTTGAAAACGTACAGATGCGTGGTGTATCCAGCAATCTTATTGCGCAGGCGCTTGCTGGCGATTATAGCGACCTCATCGCACAATCTCTTGTTGGTCTCGAAGTCGAGAGTGAGCTTGGGGTAGTACCGCTCAATCAGGACCTTGGCGGACTTCTTAACGGTCTTGGTGCGAACGCGACCCATCTTAACGGATTATCTTGAATGTCGAAAGGGACTTTCGAAAATTGGCGGACGTCGAATTGAAGATTCAATTTCGAAAAATGTGCCTAATTTGGTGTGGCTTCCGCCAAGCTTTCGCTTAATGGTTCATGGAGATCACGTGACTATGGCAATCTGCCTAATTCCAACGCAGTATGAAAAAGTTGGTAAGCAGAATATGCATCTAGGTCTCTCGCTTCTATTCGTACATGTTTAAAATTTCTTTTTCTGAGACGTAGACATTGTTCTTGTACGCAAACTCTCTTTCAATAGCAGCACTATTTCCGTAAACTATATAGTGGATTATGTACTAGGCCTAAAGAGGTTAGCTCCATATTGAGGGATTGACATCACATGTTTCCTATCATCAATTGTTTCAATTATCCACTCGGCGTTTGAGACCTCAAGCGGAGTTCAGCAATCCAGCAAGAATCAGATGTGAATATCAAGTGAGCCCTATTGTGTTCCGAATGTGACACGGGCCCTACCGAATCCATCTGTTTTGGGACTCGTTGACCCCTGCAATCAAATCAATGTTCAATGAATCCAGAACGATGCAAAGCAAAAGTATCAGCGCCGCTGGCTTGCACAGGATGCCGCAAGCAACATCTTAAATGTGACGCCAATAGACCAGCATGTTCTCGTTGTGTGAAAACAGGGCTGGCTTGCCATTACCTTCCATCCCGGCGCGGAGGGCGCAGGAAATCTTGCCTTACTAGGATTACTCCAGAACAGGGAAGCGGCATGAACGATGGCCCTCGTTCTATTGGTGAAAGTCATCGAAGCTATGGATTACAGACTGATAATACTCCTAATCGTCTGGATTTCAATGGCCCGCTTCCGACCATACCTCAAGATGATATACAACTAGTCCCAAGATCTGAAAATGTCGATCACCGACGTGCTTCTGACGTTATGTCGGTATGGCCAGGCATGGTTTCTGATAATTCTATGGACCTACTGCAATCATCAGATCCTCCCGATGAACCGACGCCAGATGACCGGTCCATTCGGCTGTTTTACGAGAATTTCCACACCGCCCATCCAATTCTAGTACCCAGTTCTCTATACAACGCTCGCAATTACCCCCTTTTTCTTCAACTTGTAGTAAATTTCATTGGATCACACTATTTGCCTGCTAGTCCAGACTTTGATTACAAGGAGAGAGTAGCTGCTGAGCTCTCATCAAGTGCGGATCGATCTCCATACATGGTTCAAGCTTTGTTAATGTTTGCCATCGCATTGTATGCTCGTGGTGAAGGAGCCGATGCCCTAACCGTCCTCAATCGAAGCATTGGCTTAGCTCTGGATCTAGGAATGCACCGGCAAGAATATGCTTCATCGTGTTATCCTAATCAGTCCATCGATGCGGAAAGTCTTAGAAGAACGTGGTGGGAACTATATATTACTGATGTCCTCATGGCAGCACCTAGAAAAAAGCTCAATTTTCAATGTGCTAGTGTACCACACAATGTCGCCCTTCCATGTGAAGAGGCCATTTACGCCAATGGAGACTCGATTCCTGAACCCCCCACGATACGCGACTTTCAACAACGCGTTTTTGCAGATGAAGAGGCCACATTCTCTTCCTTTAGCTACCGTATTGACGCAACAAAAATTTTAAGCCGGATTCTTGTCTTGAATCGACTACGTGATTGTCATCGCGACCACCTTCAAGCGGTTGAAAACGCTCTCGTAAGCTGGGTCAATCATATTCCCGCAAAGAAAGCCGACATTATGGACTCATACGGAAATGTGGACGAGATGTTGTTTCAAGCTCACCTCACAATAGCCTACGCCGCAATGCTTCTACACCTTCCGCGAAGCGACTTGCATCCGGCTCCGCCATCAACCGAGAGTTTGTTTTATCCCTGGGTGCCACATCACTTGCCTCCATCCTTCCCACGCCTTGTACATAGTATCAAAGCCACAGAAGCATCTAAGCAACTTTCTGATTTCATCTCCATTTGCCCCATAATCCATCGCCATACTCCGTTTACTGTTTCAGCCCTTGTGTTATGCGGTATGGTTCAACTGGCGACGTGCGCAAACCACTCAAATGAGTGCTTGGACCATCATCGAAACCGTGTTATTCTTGTTCTTGGCTGCTTGAAGAATTTAAAACGAACTTGGGCTGTTGCAGAGCCCGCATACCATCATGTCAGATCCAGCGCATTGCAGGTTGACAAGTTGACCACAGAGCCTTCGAACCCATCTCTTGCTGCAGGAGAAACTCTTCCAAATGAGGACGGAAATCCTCATATGGGTATGACCAGTGTGAATGAACAACGTCCCATTTCTCAACGCCTGACACCGACCTTTATCGATCCGACATGCAGTAATACATTTTTCTTTAATAGCATCTCTGATTTTGATTTTACGTGATTGTCTCATACCATGTTGTATTGTATATGTAATATAGAATTGACGAAGCTCAGATTTGCTATTACTCTATTTTTATTGCATTCTATTACTTCATGTTAGTCATGTGTCTCTCATTTCTAGTGTATGATTGTTGCTTCGCCGACTACCATTTCTATTCTCGGTCATTGACGCGGGCCCTCAATCGGCGAACGACTATTATCTTATTATTATCGCCGATAGCTATCATGGCCGAACGACGTCCTATCAAGCCCTTATCACAACACGACAACTGATTGATCACAATCCCTTAGTGCCCTCTAAGCTCATTGGTGTAAATACACCTTTTATCATTTGTTTATCTAAGGCGTAATATCCGTCCTACCTCAGGAAAATGTATATAACGATGCTGGTTAGTTTTCGGGATTGTTCTTGTGTAGCCTGCATATGCAAAATTCCGTATATTTTGCTTAACACACAGATCACAAGGTTCTATACATACATGTTAAAACAAGCAACCTAGTGTCTTAGTTAAATATACGTCAATTGCCCCTTGTTGAACTTCAATCCCCAGATACTCCACGTTCCACCGGTGTTACGACAGTCCAACCCAAGTGCGGCCCGTAATGCTTATTTTTGGGAATACTACAAAGAAAGGCTTCCATCCGCTTAGAATCGGTGAGAGTAGCGGTCAACAATTCTGAAACGTCTATCGCCGAATGTTTCTCATCCTTGCAGGATGCAATTAGATAACTAGATGTGTTGCACGCATCATTCCTTGAAACATCGCCGATCGAGGAGCGAATGGATGTCGAACAAGTACGTAATAACTTATTGACTTTACATTCTAGAGAATCATTAAGTGAATCGAGTATGCATTGTATGACGTCTGAGCTTCGATTTCCGAGATACTGTCTTAGTTTATCCATTCGGGCATACTTTGGATCTTCCTAGCCCTTTGTTGGTTATGTGATTACTATCTCAGATGTTGGAAAGAAAACTGCGCGTGATTGAAAAGCTGAAATTTCAGGCAACTATGAGGGTATATAAATCAAATACAAATTTCAAGTCATACTTTAATGTCGAGTTAGACCAAGGCAGAAAGAAGCAAAACTTGAGGTCATTCCATCGTGAACAATCGCACTGTTTCCTTATTTCTCCTTTCCTTCATCACACCTCAAAAAAGAACGAGCTTGCGACACAAAACTAGCTTTGCCTGTATTTGCATCGAAAATGTGGTATCCATAGTCCGCCGCGTTGGGTGGGGTGTATACTATTTTAATAGTCAGTAATGTATCACTTTCAAGAAAAGGAAAGAACTGGAGAGTTTGTGCATACAGTGTAGAGAAACTGCTATCTGGTTGGTACTTGGATTGTGAACCCGGTGCAACCCAATATCATCGGATATGTATGTTACATCGTTAATTCCATGTCGAGTTTCCGACTTCACCACGAGAGGTTTTTCCTTGCCCGAAGATTCTTCAGGGCTATGATAGACAGTTTCAGTCAATTCTCCGGCCAGGACTTTCATGATACAGTGAGCGTTGGCATGGTCATGAATAGGCGACCCTTTGCCTGGATTCCACACAAGAAGCAGCTACAATCGCTATCATGTTAGATCTCGCCCATATTACAAAAAATATAGAAGCCGTTCTTTTTGGAAAAATGAAGAAGAACTTACGATATTGGCTTTGTGGTTGATATTCTCAATCGTGTTGCGAGTGTAATTTTTCGAATAATCGTTGTAGAAATATCGAAACCAATCATTCGGATTAGACATATATTTCCGTAGAAGCCCTTGTAGATATGCCTCGTCGATTGTGGATGAATTGATCCCTGAGTCGCTGCCTAGATAGGCCTTGATATCTTTGACCAAGTCATGTAATGAGTAGTGGTCTCGCGGTGAGTATGGAGATAACCGCGAAAAGTCCTGGTCAACCAATGGAGTCGAGGGGATAACTAGGGATAGCATCGTATTTCAAGATAAAATTAATGAGGTTTATTCTTGAATCAATTCATTAAAAGGTTAGGTACCACGTAGCCATTATGTAGTCATGTCTTATGATTGATTCAAGGTAACTGCGTGGGAATCGCCGACTAAACGGATGACGTGGGTCGGCGAATGACTTGTTCTATCGGCGAATGGCTGGCCTCTGCCTGAATCCCCAGGCAATCGATTTTTTAGTAAAGCCTGAGGCATCAAACTTTGGGGTATCCTCAGGAATTTGAACCTTGAATGTTTTTTATCTTATTTATAGATTGACTGGTGCTCGTGAAAATCGATATACCAAAAAATTTCATCGAACGCCTCCGCTCAACGATTAAAATCCTTCATATTACCGCCACATCAATTGATGAACGCCAGAACTAACACCAGCCCTACGTTGCAAATGAGTTTGTAGTGGTTGATGGCATCGATGAGTATCCTTCGGTGAACCGCCTTACTTTGAAGACAAATATTTATTTGAGTAGGTATAAAGATGGAGGAAAGCCTCTACAATCGGAGTCACGAATCAACATTTACTCCACATTGAGACTTCTGCTTCACTGTATGGTTGTATGTACAATTGGGATCCCTCTTTGTATGTCTTGAGAGTTAAGTGACGAAGTCAAATGAATGGCTTCTACCTCAATCGCTGCTCGCGATTCGCAAGTTGCGCCAATAATGCCAATAAAAACCTGTCATTCAACGTTATTTACTATTCGAGGCCAATGAGGCTGCTGTCGCTTTGTAGACTACAGCCAAGGTACCGACGACCTTTTTAACGGGTGTGACTTGAGACATTTGACAAGACTGATACAAGAAATTTTTGCCGAGATTTTCTTTGAAGCCCTGGAGAAACATCCAGCTATAAAGATACATTGGCAGATAGGTATTCGGATTTTTGTCATATATTAGCCTGTTAGGTTAAGATTATGATTGAAGCCCATGCTTATAGGTCATCATTTTATTCGACACGGACGTAAAGTAGATACAAAGAGACTGTCAGTGAAGTAATGCGACAAACTCGGACGCACAACACCTTGCCGAGTCAGGAAGGTAAAAGATGAAAAGAAAGAGCATCGAACGGACCAGCTGATAAATTAGTCACTCGACTCAGGAGGAACACTAACACCAAGCTTCATGCCTGGAGTGGGATGTGCTCGGAGCCTTACCCCCATCAACTGGCGGATTCACGCATGAAAAGTGTCTTTTTTTTTTGCAAAGACCACATTTTGAGGCAAACCACAATAACTTTTGATGCCTAGTGCGTTGTCATAAAGGCGATAAAAGTCTATGCAGTGCTACGAAGCGATCCTACAATGTAAGACCTCGGTGGAAGAGAATCAGAAGAACCCTCCAAGTCAATAGCGGAAATACGCAGGTTCAGAAGCTGTAACCTTGCAAGCCAGTCTTATCAGATCGACAATCTTTGCCGATCCTATGTTGTGGGAATTTGCTTTAAACATCATGCTAGTTCGTCCACTTCATCGTTGTATATTACTTGACTGGGAAGGTGTATATACTGATCAAGGCGATTAATCGTGTCGATCGTTGTTCCGGACCAATATAAGCTGTTACTCTCCGATACTTTACCACGTAACAATGTGGTTGCCTGTTTCTCCCGAGACGTCAGAATAACCCAAACTGGCGGCCGCCGGTGTAGCCGGAATCGCGGGGTTACATAGCAACTATCAAGATGAAAAACATGATAAGTCACCAAACCGATTGTCGCTCGTTGATAATGTAGTTGTCATTGAAAAAGAAACAAAAGCCAAAATAAAGCAGCAATAAAGGGAAAATGGGGCAATCCACCGACCGTGCTGTTCGGGGGTTATCATTACCATGTGGAACTGAATCGGAATCAATCCATTGTTTGCATAACTTAGCAAAAAGAAGACATCGTTAGATGCTCCTCCACCCCACACTAGTCCACTGCTTGGCGTCTACATTTTAAAATTATGAAGGCTCTTCCATGGGACCTGACATGAAGGAGGCCGCAAGACTTAGCCATCTGCGTAACATTTCCCCGGGTCGGGCGTCCTCAAACAACAGAGTGAAACGAATGGATCATTCTAGCGACCAATTATAATTCCGGGGGATAAAAAATTTTTATGCTGCCACGCACGCATCCATGCTGCTTTCTCTCGGGTCGTGCTTCTGTCCACCCACCGCGTCTATCAGCTGGGTTGCAAGTCAGTTGTTTTTCATTTTGCTCTTCAGAGCCTTTCTTGGGGTTTCAACACAATAGGCTGGCTGGGACCAAGAGGTCGCATCGTACTTGCCGGCGTCCAGCCAGGCCTTAGCGGCGATGATCACCGAGAAACAATTAGAGGGAGGGGCGAAATATGGAGTAAATGAAGCCAGCTGGCCGATAAGCATCCGCTATCGGCGCCACCCCTGAACCAGGCACTGCAGTAGCTGCTGGTTCTCTCGTGTTTGGTCCTCAGCGTCCAGTGTGCAGGGTGCATATGAGAGACTCTGGTCGGCTTGTGGTCGGACTTCTGCGACACTTCAAAGCGTCATTGACTACGCATCCGAAATAATGAATAGGCTTCTAAACATAGCCATCTGGATCTTGTGTTGGTTACCATCCAAAGCCTGACCAGCTCAGCCTTGCGTCTTGCGCGTGCTGACACCTAATCTCCCGATTTAGCCTCCAGCCAATGTAACATGCACGTTTCGGATGGGGTCACCCACCATTAGTAACCGGTACTTGCAATGGCCTGTCATTAGACGGTACGCTAGAACGGAAATAATAAGTCTGTCTGCCTGTCTCCATCTGGGTCTAGTCAAGCCTCCGATTTCTTAGTCCAAGCCACCCTGTCGCAAAGACAGGCATGGCGTCCATTGGCTACAGCTTGGCAGGTACCACAGATCGACATGGTTGTGAATGCGCAGCCGACCCAGAGGACACGCGTTGGTTGGAGGGCTGTGTGGTGAGCGTACAAAGTAGCAGCCCGAGGAAGGCAATGGATGACACCCAAAGACGGATTATGCCGAGCAATCTTGCGGAGAATACAAGCGAAATGAGGATCATACATTCCCCTTTGGGTAAGCTCAGGGCATGATGACCTAGGAAACATAAATAAGGTGTGTTGCCCATTTCCTAGATTGGCTTTCCTTCCTGCTATCATCGCCTTCTTGTCTTGTCTTCCCATTGAATAATATTATTTTTGATATATAATTAATTACCATTCACAATGAAGGTGTCTACTGCTAGTGCCCTCCTCCTCGCCGGCTCTGCTGTAGCCTCTCCTCTGTCGGCTCGCGTTGCTCGTCGCCATGGTATCACTCGCCCTAACATGCGCATCACCACCGACGAACAGGCTGGTGCTGAGCAAGTCAACGGTGACTCTCAGAGCAACAACTGGGGTGGTGCTGTCCTTGTCTCCAGCGGATTCACCGGCGTTTCCGGCAAAATCACCGTCCCAACCCCCAAGGTTCCCTCCGGTGGTGATGACAGCACCCAGTACTGTGCTACTGCCTGGGTCGGTATCGACGGTGACACCTGCCAGTCCGCTATTCTCCAGACCGGTGTCGACTTTTGCATCACTGGCTCTCAGACTAGCTACGATGCTTGGTACGAGTGGATCCCCGCTAACTCTATCGACTTCAACAACTTCAGCTTCGGCGCTGGTGACGAGATTGAGATGAGCGTTGTTGCTACCAGCAAGACCTCTGGCAACGCTACCCTTACAAACAACTCCAACGGCCAGTCTGTTACCCACACTTTCAACTCCAACGAGACAGGCAGCACCTTGTGCGAAACCAACGCCGAATGGATCGTTGAGGACTTCACCATCATCCAGGGTGGCCAGCAGTCTCTTGCTCCTTTCGCCAACTTCGGCAAGGTCACCTTCACCGACTCCACTGCCACCAAGGACGGTTCCTCTGTCGATGCCACCGGTGCCGACATCATCACCCTCGTCGACAAGAGCGGCAACAAGCTTGCTACCACCGAGGTTGATGGTAGCACCGTCACCGTCACCTACGCCGGTAATTAAGCTCCTTAATCTTATCATGGAAGGACGCGAATATTTGATTTCTTCAAAACGATAATGACCGGGGGGCAATCAGTTGTATATATCAATTCAGTGCTCATTGCACACGCATGTACCCTGGGCTATTCAATGATACGTTGGCCCATGTATATAATAGAACTCGGGACATACGAAGTGGAAATGATATGACTTTTATGTCAATTTGAACCTGTACTTTGTAGATATCAGACTAAATTAGAGATTAATAATTGCACTTTTATGGAAACTGCAAGAAATCAAACCTTCCAACCAGCACATGGATCTAGACACTGAATTCAAAGAGATTACGAGTCGAGATTACGATGGCTGTCTTGATGCCGAAAATTATCTAGCCAACATTCCCTGTTTCAGATGAACTCCAACTGTCTTGGCCCTGTGAGTATCAGAGTTCAAAATCTTTCGAGACGTTTCTGTCGAACATCGATCTTTTTGCTGTCCAATTTTCCTCGTTTCGTAGGAATCATTACCATAGATAGGTCTTTTGCGTTTCTTTGACAAACGGACTTAAATTCCCAAAGATCCTAGCCAGGTATCTGCGATGCTTTCAGCAACGTCATGAAACTTATAAGCTGTCCTGGAGAAATACCCTCGCTCCCAGCAGATGCGTTTGTGGTAGTTTTTGCACGCAAAGAATTTCTCCATTGCAAGAGATAACATGCTACCAAATCCATCACAAAAAATTCGACTGGCATCTCCACAAGGCTATATTCCACAGATTAATTCTACTTGAGTTGCATTATTGGGGATTAGTTGTACTCTTTGAATATTGCTTTCGGTATTATACATCTTATAGTTTCGAAATCCACCTTTGAAAATGATACTTTCATGTCAGCGGTTTCGATCATTTCAGTACTAATCAAAGCCGAAGAAAATACTGATACTCATGAGAAGTCAGCATTAGACTGCGGACTTTATTAATAACTCAATGAGGTTCAGTAGTGCCTATATGACCCCATTATCTAGCCTGGGCCCAGCACCAGTACCAGCACCGGCGCCAGGGTTCAGCACAAACAGAGGATTCACAGTCAACACATTCAACAAACAAGAAAGCTCTTTTAAGAACCTTCTGGACTGTTATTGCCTGGTTATCTGGCACTGAGCAAAGCTATTTAAGGGGTTAGTGATCCTATATTGTCTCAGATACAGCCTTCTAAGCTTGGTGCAGCCATTTCACGCCTCTCACAGATGATGTCGTGAAGCTCTTCAGAAGGAAAGAAATAGTCACATGGTCCATATTCCTTCATTGTAAAGACCCGCTTTGCATTAGAAAGGAGTGTCTGCCTTGTTTACAAATTATCTCTGTTTGTTTGTTACTCAGCTGCCTCCTTCCCAGTCTCTGCTCTCTTGTATCCCTCAACCCACTTGCCACATCCCTGGTGTTTTTACCAGCTTCAGTTCTGATGTTCACGATCCTGTTCTGACCTTAGATCTGCATGACTGGCAATCCTTGAGAGTCAGACTACTGCGTTGGTAGCTCAGTTATTGCTGGCAGCTCAAGCCTTTGGACTTCTCTGCAGAAGGCATCATGGCTGGAGGCGCTGGTAACCTCGCCCACCTCCCAGTGGAGATATTCATCCTAATCATCAACTTCGTGAGAATCCCTTTCTCTTTAAAGTATAACAAGGCTAACTAGATTAGCTGAACCCGAAAAACGATCTATTAAATCTACTTCAGACCTGTAAAGCAATACATGATGTAGTTGTCCCATTCCCGTGGAAGAAGTTAGAGTACGAGGTATGGAACGACAAAAAGTTACCTCCCGACATCGACGGTAGCGCCGCTATTCTCAGAAGCGAGCCTAAACGCATCGAATACATGAAGTTTGTTAGGGACTTTGTCATTAAAGGAACCTCTATTCTCCCTGAAAGGTGCCCCCATAACGTGAGAAAGGGCGAGAGTTACTACGGTAAAATGGCCACTGATCTTCTTATTGTGCTGGTTCATCTTCAAGAAAACAACCTCAGAAGTTTCAGGTACCTATTGTCCTTTCTATTTGCTTGATCAAAAGAAATAAACCTAACACTTTCCTATAGCTGGATTTCCGGTACCTGTTTACCGCCAATCTTGCTTGGTATTCATGGATACCTGCCATCAAGACAGAGGAATCTGGAATCTTTGACACTGATTTTACACCCTCACTGTAATGAGAAACCCAAGAACGCACTATATCTTACACAGTTCAAAGCATTGAAACACTTTTGTCTGAAGGGAGTTTGCTATGATCGCGAGCAGAGACCCGTCAGGGATATGTTGAACGCTGCCGCCAAAGCTTTGATCAGTTTCGAGCTCGAAGTTAATTCCATGTTCAATAGGAATCCTTGGCCTACCAAAAAGCTCTTCCCTCTCTCGCCTCCAATGACGTTCCCGAATCTTCGTTCCTTGAATCTCACATTCGTTGAATTCGGGGACGATGGAAAAGATCTGGCGCAAGCTATTGACTTTACCGCTCTGACCTCACTTACTCTTCGTAAGTGTCGAGGTTGGTCCCGGGTTCTCGTGGAAGCATTCACATCAAGAAATAAAGCGATGGAGTTGAAATGGCTTGAGATCCAGCATGATCAGCCCAGCGAGATTGATATCCATCGACTATCTCACCTGCTTACCAACTGTCCATATCTTGTGAACGTCTCCATCTGCCATGGCCAGGATAGCACGAATGTGTCTCATACTCTTTTGGCTCAGCTTTGGGTAGCACTTTGTACCCAAAAGCGATTTCTGAAAGCAATGGTGGTCCACCTGTTCGACTTCTTTTCCGAGACTGACATTCCTTCACCTTCGGGTGATCCCAGGTCTCCGATTCCTAATGATGGACTTGCGGCGCTGATGACTACCTCGATGTGGATTTCAGTAACCAACACTAGCCCATTAGCATATGTTAATGTCGAGTTTTTGGGCCTGTGCAGCTTTCCGGACGAAACCTTGGTATGAATTGTCTTTTCATTCTTACTCCAGGACTCATTGCCATAAACTAACCGCCATCTAGGAAGCTCTCCTCCTACCATTTCAGAAGAAGAAATGTCTTCGCACTCTACACATTCGCAAATCTTCCACCGACTGGAGACAGTTTGAAGATTATTACTTCAAATTCAGAATTTTCGCGCAGTGGGTCTTCGGTATGAATGGAATTGGCTCTGTCAACCATTTGCTATTGGGAAATTTCACCGGAAAAGATACATTCACCAACAAAAAGCCACGTCTGGTCATTTACGCTAGAACTAACCAAAGTCCTTTTTACACTGTTGTATCACGACAAGACTTCATTCAACAGGCGGACCCTGTACACGTTGACTTGACCAAGATCTGTCCACTATGCATTTCATAGCTTCATCTATGTTAGGCTTGGATCGGCTATATGGGGTGTCGTGGTATGGATTTCAATGAACGTTATCTCTAGAAATGATGAAACACATGCAGTTTATGCTTAGCGACAATGTCATCTTTAACTGAGAATGATCTTGATCCCGTCCAATCCCGCCAGCGTCCGTTACGAGACTTTTGTTTTTTTTTTTCAGTTTCCTTTCCCCCATTTCTCATGATATGAACTTGGATATTCCTAATGATTAGGACCAGCATGGATAGAGTCAGATTTTTCCACAAGGAGAAGTTTGGCCCAGTCTTGCAAGTCCTCGATCATGAAGTGTTCACTTCTGGGAATTTGGGAAGTTTTATTCAATGTGATGGATCAGGCAAGCTGTATTTAAAATTCCAAAATCCCAAAAAGGTAGCTTTATGATCCAATGAAGAAATTCTTATTAATTCTTTTCTTTCCCTTCAAATATCAAGTTTGACGCTCAAACATAGAGTATGTTGACCTAATATTCCAAGGCCACGAAATGACTATGAACAAAGCAAAACCGTCAAGGCCAGACCCCTGATTTCACAAACTTGAAACATTATTTCATAATAGACGGTTTAAATGACACTCGATCTTTCATAAAAGAGAGACAGAAAACCGTGGAGAGATAAATTCATACAACTTCTTCCACAGCTTCAATAGTAGCATAACATGCCTGCATGAACTTGTCAATCAACTTATCAAGCTCCAGCGCAACAACTTCCTCGGACGCATCCTCCATCAAACTCTCCATAGAAGGCGGCTGGACGTCGGGGAAGTGGAGGGCATTGTGGATATCCTTCTCGTTTTCACGAGTAACCAACGGTGCCATTTGTGCAGTGAGAGGTGTTTCTGCAGTAGTGCTTGAGGCAGAACTGTCGTCGTGGTGGTCAGGCCCCGGACCGTCATGTTCATCGTGATCTTCATCTTCATTGTCATCTGGGCCTGGTCCATCGATGCTTAAACTATCCTCATGATCGACGGGTCCTGGACCGCCTTCGTAATGGTCTTCTTCCTCGTCATCTGGACCTGGACCGTCTAGAGAGGTAGAAATGACACTTGATGAACTAGCATTGTATTGGTGACGGGCGGTGGCGTAGATGTCAGGAGAGCGGTCAAAACGGAAAGGGTCATAGTCGCTGACGGTGGATGTAGCTGTTGATGGACGGGATTCGTCATAGTTGGTGATTTCAATGCTAGGCTCGCGACTGTGGTCTAGGATGAGGTCAAGGGTCGAATGTTGAGACTGGACATATGGAGGACGGATAGTGTGAGATGGAGTTTCGTCGTAGGAGTAATTGTTGTCTGCCGGCATGGCGTCATTGGTATCGGTCATGAGAGGAAATTTCCAATCCCTAGTCGCACGTTTCTCCACAGGCAATGGCTCAAGAGTTGTTGGGGCAGACTGCGTGGTGACTATTTCAGGTTCCCGATCTTCAGGCACCGCCATTGAAGGGAATTTCCAATCCATTGTCGGCGGTCGAGGTGCGCTTGGCTGGAAAGTATCGTTCATATTGCTACTGTCGCTACCACTAGATGCATCACTGTAGCGAGAGGCGCGTTGGTCGCCGTCTGAATTACGGCCAGAGCGCAGACTAGAACGGTTGGCGCGAATTGTATCAGCGTCGGCAAGTTGGAACTGAGATGCCGATCCAGCAGCGTAATGTGATGAGTCAAACGATCCTAGATTGAGATCGATGAAGGTAGAGGTAACGGACGACCGATCGGTAGTAGTGCGAAGTGGCAAATCTGAATACCGCTGTTTTTCCTCCACAGGAATAAAGTCATTCTTTGTTTCGTACTTATATGTAGGCTTCATTTCATCAAAAAGGCCCTCCATAGCCGCAGCCCCACGTTTGACACGTTCATCAAAATTGGCTTTTTCTACAGATGTCATCTCAGATGATGAGGCTTCATCGTTAGTGGGTTCAGACTGTCCATTGACAGCTATATTGTCATCTTCAGCCATTTCAGCAAGCGAAGCAGAAAGCTGGTCCAAATCTAGAACAGAATAGCGACGTTCGAATCCGTCTGTGGTACTAAAGTTCCAGTCTTCCTCCAGGGATGTATTGTCTGGAAACTCGGCGGCGGCGGCACCGCCAGGATGGAAGAGCGAGATGCGTTGGCCGCCGCGCTGAGACCACTGGTAATATATACGGACAAGTTCACTAAGCGAGCTTGTCGGGTACTCGGTTTCAGAGCCAGCTATATAAGGGTGAGATAAGATGGTACTCATAGTAGGTCGTGTAGCAGGATCAGAATTCAGGCTGAAAGCAACCAGGTCTTTAAGCTCCTCGCTGAAATTGTCACCATCTAGTCTAGGAATATTGCGGCCGAGTGACCTTCCGATTTGCATACGTTCTCGCAATCCAGCATTTGGCGGATTGCCAGTTGCGAATTCATAGAGCGTACACCCGTACGCCCAAACGTCTAGTTCGCTACCGTATTGGTGTGTGCCTCCTCCACGAGTTGAAAACATCTCAGGTGGCATCCAATGAGGAGTGCCTATCCAGGTAGACCGTTTATCCATTTTCGATTGAAGAATACCTGCTACTCCAAAGTCACAGATTTGCAACCGCCCTTCCTCTTGAATGAGAACGTTGGCGGCTTTTACGTCTCGATGAATAATCCCCGCGTCATGTATGGCGCGAAGACCTTCAGCAAGCTCTCGAGCGATTGGAATGATGAATTTCTCTTCGAGTTTGTCGCCAGTTGCACGCATCTACATGATTTGTCAGAAATGCTAGCGAAGGGCCCGATGTTGAAATAAATAACATACCAGTGTCTTGACGCTTCCGCCAGGGCAATACTCACAAACCACCCATAGCTGGGAATGGATAGAAATCGCTTCAATCAAAACATTTATATTTTTGGCACCAGCCTCCTTCGCTTGGTTCATGACCTTGATCTCATGGATGAAATCTTTAATGGACTCGTCCTTCAAATCACGGTTCATTTTATAATCGAGAGTATCAATATCCATGACTTTGATAGCGACCAATTCACGCGACGGCAGCTGTCGACCTTTATACACACGGCCATAAGCACCCTTTCCTATGAGTTCCTCAAATTCATAAGGCGGAACCTCGGTTTTCGCGCGTCGACACATTTCGTGCACGGCGGCGGATTGTTCTTTGGCCAATCTGATGGCCTCCACCTTCTGCTTGGTGATGGAGGCCATAGCAGACGATGGGTCCAGAAACCGAGATACCCCTGGGACCTCCATTTGGGAGACTTGGGCCCGGAATATGTAGTTGCCAACTGGGCGAGACTAGTTGGCCGAGCACCAGAATCCGGGGTAACAAGCGCTATCAGGTGACCAGTTTACGACCATGAAAATAATATCCCTTTTTTGGACTTTAAAAAGAATTTTCAGGGGGTGAGTATGGAGTTGATAAATCAGCTATTCATTCCCTTTTGTAAAGAGAAGAGACAGCGAATATGACTTTGATAAATCCTGGTCACTAGTTGAGGGGAAATAGGATAAACCTATTGGCAAAATCTGGGCAAACACCGTGTGAAAATGTACAACTACTCGTTATTGTCAGTGTGAATTGCCATTGATATGAATATGCAACGGATTGACTCAGTTTCATCTCTTGATACGTCAAATCACGTGACCAAGACAGAGGCGAAGACGAGGCAAACAGGACATGTAACAAGAATGAAAACCCGCAGTAGGGCTAAATAGACGACAAACGCGTGCCAGACAATATAACACAGATATAAATTTAGTCTGAATAATGAAAACCATCACTTACCTAGTAAAGAAAGCTGCCCAGACTGGACGCCAGTAGCCACGATGATTAGAAGAAAGTTCGTTGACGGGTATCTCTTTTGAACATGCAAAAACAAAACGACAAGACCATGCAAGCAGTAGAAGAAGACAAAAAAAATGTAGTTGCAGTCAATGCTAGTTAGGCAATATGCAATATTCTCAGCCGTGAAGAAATAAACACGTAGGGAAATGGAGTATAGAAAGGTGTGAATTGTCTCTCACGGTCTGAGGAGCGAACGTCGGCGCCAAGAAAAGAGGTCGGCTTAACCCTTTTTATCTTGGCGTTTGATTACGTTATCTCCCGCATTCTTTTCGATAAGATATCAACACTGATTGAATCAGTTGTTTCTATATTTACTTATTTTACCATTATAAGAAATGTAAATTAAGCCATTATGTTCATATTTTATGTACTGGCAGATGCAGGTCGTAACTGTATCGCAAAAGAAATTCCCAGAAGAATCCTAGCGTCGTGAGATGGGACTTTCTCTAATTAAATCTAAGCGTTCAGGAGAACTTCCTTCAACTTGGGGTAGTTGGGGGTTCCGAGCCCAGTAACAGGGTCCCAGCCAGGGGCAGTGGAGAAACCATCAGTTCCGCAACCGGAGTTGGTTCCCTCGGTGATATCATTGAAGGCATCGGCGTTCTTGTACAAGATAGGGTTCAAGAAGCCCAAAGGACCGCTCTTGCCGGCGGCGATACGCTCATCGATAATACGGTTGACAATGGAGGCGAAGATAGGGGATGAGGCAGAAGTACCGCCGCTAAAGCTGGATTCCCCATTAACATAAACGGCAATGTTGTCACCGTTGGCAGAGACGTCGGGGTAACCACGGCCAGAGCGATTGTAGAGACCACCGTTCTCGCCGAGTTTACTTCCATTGTAGTACGGGTAAGGAGGGTTGTGTTTCTCGAAGTAGCTGTGATAGCATTAGGTATTGATCTTTAAATAATAAGCATAGAAAGGTTCATACTTGGCAACAGCGTCAGCCTGGTAGTCAGGGATGCCAAAGATGTTACTAAAACCACCACCTGTGGCATAGGCCGATGAATATGGGTGCCCAGCTGGGTCATTGGCAGCGACCTCGGGATCGGTGACAGTACGGTTCTCGGGAAGCTTTGTAGCACCAACACTGGTGATATAAGGGCAACTAAAAATGTATTAGGAATATCTGGACGCAGGTCAGATTAGGTACATGAACTCACCTGGCAGGCCATCCTGGATTAAAGATAGTGCTGTTTCCGAGACAGCCATTGCGAGAGGCGACACCAGAGTCACCAGAGGAGAAGAAGATGGACACACCACGGAGACCGAGCTTCATGAATCTGTATCCTGGTTAGGTTCTGCTTGTCGCCAAGAGGCGTGCTACAACTTACTCATTGCATTGACGCTCATAGTAGTACTGGGGAACAGCGTCCTCGGCGCCACCATAAGAGACTGAGATGACGTTGGTAGGCTTGTAGGTACCGCACATAAGCTTGCCCTTATAGCCGCTAGTAGAGTTGGTGTCTGGGTAAACAGGGTCTTTGGGATCATTACCGCACTCGCCAGCATAGCATGATGTGCAATAGGACTGGATTCAAGTCAGTGATCTCTGTAACAAAAGGTTCGCTTTAAAAAATGAGCAGAACATACACCATCGATCGCATCCAGGAAAGTGTTGAAGAATCCCTCAGAATAGCCTGCGGCGTAGTAAGAGTCATCGGTCTGGAAGAGAGTGATATTCTGAGGGTAGATAATAGGGTAGGCGAGCATAAAGTCCAAGTTGGACTCACCACCAGCGTACTGCTGGGGCGCCTTGGCGCCGTCAATGAAAGCTGGAGTAGGGGCAGTGCCGTTAGGAATCTTATAGGAAGGGAAGCGAGTGAAAAAGCTGTCCAAATCGGACTGTGCATAGTAGTCACCCTCTTCAAAGATACCGAGGGAATTGTTGGGCGAAGGGGTAACTGAGACTGGAGGAATGTTGTAGAGAGCAGCCACACAGTCAGGAGTAATGAGCTTGTCGCAGCCGGTGGTGTTAGCACTCATGGGGCCGAATTTAGGAGCAGGGCGAGTTTGGGGTGGCTTGTAGATTTTGCTGATACTACTACGCTTGCTTCTCGCCTCAGCGCCGCGCTTCCTGAGGTATGGCAGGCGGATACCAGGATTGATGTAATCGATGTGCTCCTGGATGTGCTTGGGAACATGGTACTGCTCAGTGGCAATAGCCTTGTCGCCCGTCTCAGAGTCGACATACTCGTAGAAGTCTGTGTGCAGCAGATTCTCGAGCTCGTTGCCAGAAGCAATAAAGGCCAACCAGCCCTTGTTGTCAGAGTGGGTGATGCGGATCTCATGAATTCCAGAGCTGGCTAGCCAGTGCTTGACGGCACTCACAGACTCGTCTGATGGAGCAAACATGTCATGGACTTCATCCTCGGTCCAGAACTTTCCATAGTTCTCGGAAGAGGGGTCGGATCTAGGATTCGTATTAGCTATAAGTCACGTACAGGGTAAGATTTGCACCTACACATCCATCAACATGTCGTGACCGCGGTGAAGATTGCTCTGGCTTAAGCCAATCTTGACGTGCATATCAGCATCGGGCCTGACTCGCATGGCGTCGCCCCAGCGGGCAGAGATGGCACCACGCTTTTCATGGACAACGTGGGTGTGAGGGGACGGGCGAGCTGCACTGGACGCAGCAAGAGCTGCCACCAGGGCAGTTAAAGAAATAATACGAGTCATCTTAGAAGTGTTGTTCACAACGCGATGAGTGAAAAAAAAAGGTGACTCGGAAGAGGACGAGTCACTCATATTTAAACCAGCTACTATGAGACGTTTTTAGGGCTATCGGTATGGAGTGTGACTCCGATGGGGGGAGCTAACGATAGCATCATCCCAACCAGCGGAGCACACAATAAACATCCAATTCCACCCACGTCCATGGGGCAGTGCCTTGTGTGGAGAACTGGGAGAGGAGGCTTCGGAGCTAGCAGACAGCTTTAAAGCAGCCAGCCAAACAAAGAAGGCGCATAATTGGAGCATATATGTTTATCGATAGTAGAATCCACAGTCGGGATTGCTAATGGGCAGCAAGAAGATGATCAGGGCTTGGGGGAGGCTACACGATTGTACAGCATTGGCGTGATCCTTCTATCCAAAACCTCAAGGTGACATTGTCTAGGTCTGCATTGCTTGGCATGGTATTAACTGGGTACAGCTTATCCGGAGAAAAGCAGTGCCAAGGCGCAATCAAAAGCAAAAAACGCCGCTCGCGCTGATTGTTGGCAAAGGCAAGCATAGAACCGGGCGAATAAAGAACCACGTTTCGGAGGATGGGGGAAAAACGAACAGGGGAAATACCGACAAATAATACCCGACCAACGACCGCCATAATTCTTGTGCGTTTCATACCATACTTACAAGCGTGGATTTCGCCAAGCGCCATAAAACAGGGTGGGTGCCACTATTTTGTTGGCCAGCTGGGGGCTGCAGTGTCGATCATCTGGCGGCTTACTATTTATATGGGCTGGTCATAGCAGGGAGCCTCTGATTGAGATCAACAGGGGGGAGACACTTGCCCAGCGCTGGGTTTTGGCTGCAGCCTAGATGCTGATAGCATCGCAATCTCTAAACGGCTCAATGCGATGCGATGCCATGGGCTGTTGTTCGTAGATGCAGACACTGAGTCCCCTGCACGCGCGATTGAGTGTCATTGGCATGCGACGACCGGCGACCCCTGCCGCATCATGCAAAAGCTTATCAGCACTCGTTCAGGTCACGAGAAGAAACAGAACACAGAGTGTGTCGCGAACAACACAACACATCCAAAATGTCTTACTGGATTGATAAGGCAGAAGAGAGAGGCTTGGCAACTGCCTGATTCGTGGGCGATCCACGCGAACTAAGCAGTCGCTGCGAGATCGTCGCCAGATTAACCCCTCTCTCTGGCGGCTGGTCAAGCGCATTGGCTGGAAACGCAGCGACTCTCCCGCATTATTCGATAATGTCTCACGTTAGATTCAACCAAGAGACAAAGCAAAGGCATCGAGTTTGCGGTGCAACATTTGAAGCCAGCCGTTGGCGGGAAGGATCCGCATCCCACTGATTAATACAATTGCTGCGAGTCACGACCACCCGAACCCTGCCACGGAGCACACGCGATCGCCACAACGGGCAGGACGAAAAGACTCACAAAGACCACATCTGGAAGGGGAAGCTCAGTCTGTGCAATTCCTGACACTGGCCAGGCTGGATTCGCAATACGACTGCACATGAAACACTCTGCTGATCCACCGATTCCCCCCAAATCAAACGTAATAACCGCACTTCTGATTTATAATATCTCGCGTCGATGCTGGCTATACCGTCTTTCCCATATACTTGAAGCATAACGTAGGGCTCTCTTAGCACCAAGCTCGAAGCCATAGCAAGCGTGAGCAGCGCCAAGAACGCCGGATGCTACCTTAAAAAGCCAGCTTGCTCGAGATCTAGAGGCACAAATGACATCATGTCTTGGATCGGAGTACTCCGGAGTTGCTGTGAGGAAAGTGCTACTATCACGGTAGGATTCGGCCATGCGTCCCAAGTTGCACAGGGCGGACGCAGCGTGTTGCAGCGTGTCCTGAACCTGGCCGCGAAATTAATATCAAATCAAGTGTTGGCTGGAAAAGAAGCACAGAGCGGAACGGCCCCTGCCAAGACACCCGGAAATTATCCCGCCTTTCTGCCGGGCGGTCAGCTCAGCCGTTTGCTGTCAAGGCAAGATGCTCAATACAATCAAGACGATGGCAATATATCAATTGATTATCCTGTGTGTCCTATATACAAGCAGTTCTACCACCAGAGAACTCCGCACTGCAGTCGACCATTCTGTTCATCGTGGCTCCCCTACGATCAAAGCCAAAACGAAGGGTATAATGCTCATGTCAATCGGGTTTACAGTGCAAACTCCGCCCGTAGCGCATCCGAAAACCTCTTGATCGCCTCTTGAATCTTGTTCGCTGGGGCTGCTGCATACGTTGCCCGGAAGAACATCTTGTCCTCTGGAATGTTCGTATCCGCACGGAACCAGCTTCCCTGGCAGAGGAGCGAGCCCCGGTCGATAGACGCCTTGAATATGGACTCCTCGATTTCGGCGTGCGACAATCCCTTCGCAAACCCGGGGTGTTTCCGCCACGCAACTTCGATCCAATGCTACCGCAGCCGAATTGTTAGCAGGAGTATATCTAGCAAGTGTGTGAGCGAGGAAGACGTACAAACATGCCCGCTGTGGGCGCCACCCAGCTGGTGACTTCCTTGGGCAGGTATTGCTCGCATGCATGGAGCATATCGTCTCGACGACGCGTGTACGAGAGACGCAGGTGGATCAGCCAGTCGAGATATCCAGCGTGGCCCCATTCTTCGTCAAGGAGCTTGAAGAGTGCAATCTGTGCCACTCCGCTCGCGTTCTGCACAGAGCATTCAAAATGGCGGGTGAACCGCTCGACCAGCTGCTCTGATGCAACAATCCAACTCACCCGCGACCCGGGAGCAAGGACTTTGGAGAACGAGTCCAATCGCAAGACTCGTCCGTCAACGTCAAGTTTGAGAAATGAAGGTAACAGGATCTTGAGAAACTCATCACGGCTAGATGGAGGTGGCACTCCAGCCTTATAAGGTTGCATTTGCAGGAAATAATACGGCTCGTCCTCCACGATGTAAACGTCATGTTTCTGGCAAACCTTATATACCTCAGCGCGTCGATGAGCGCTTTGCGTTGCTCCCGTCGGGTTCTGCCCGGAAGGGACGGTATAGAGAAGATGAGGCTTGCGAGCGCCCCGGGCTTTTGAGTCCCAGTTAGTGAGAACTTCATCCAAGGCGTCAGCGCGAAGCCCTTGTTCGTCCATTCCCACTGCTGCGGCTCGGATGCCCAGTGGCTGAGCTGTCTCCAATGCACTGGCGAAAGAATATTCCTCGGTAAGTATATAATCTCCCCGCTCGCATAGCACTCTCAAGGCGGAATCCCACGAGTATGTGCTTCCCACAGTCAGACAACACTGCCAATCGGCATATGGGGGAGTGTGCACAATCTATTCCAATGTCAGCATCTAGCCTGTTATTCAAATATCGTGTCCATCTCGCGCTCGACTAACCTCTGTGTGTTCTGTGACGAAGCGCAGCAATTGAGCAAAGCCCGTCGCTTGGCCGTAATTAAGTGCAACTTCCAAATCTGTTCTCATCAATCAGCCTCGCACGACCTCCAACACGCGCAGCAGGAAGAGGTACCAAACAAGCTCCTTCCCTCTCGAATATCATGTTTGTGTGCCGTCACCGTCCTGCCAGAAACCCTAGTCTCCTCTTCTGAAAAGCCTGGTGGACTAGGAATCTTCATGCTAATCTCTTCGAATGGAAAATTCTCACTCGACGGCAGGCCACCGCCCAACGAAATCATTCCGGGCCTCTTGAGATACTCGGCGGCGCCTTTAAGTGTTGAGGGCTTACGAGCTTTAGCTTCGTTGGAGATAATGTGATCCCATCGTTTCGCTTTTGGTTTAGTGAAGCACGCGGGGCTCTTGAACATATCGCTGTTCGATAATGCAGCAGTCCCCGTAGGGACCGCGCCTTTGATGCGCCATGCAGCGAGCGCGTTGATGGTGGTTGGGTCTGGGGCGACGAGGGCAGTAGTGTCGGTGACGCCTTTGACGTCGACGTCAACCGCAGACGGGCTCATCTTGAGTCAATCTGCTGGGTATCTGAACTATTCGTAAAATCGGTCGACGGTGTAGGCAGACTTGGATATAGAACCGCCGAGGTTCCCACGTAGGATGTTCTTATTATTTAATATGCCAAGTCACTTTCTGCGCGTTGGCTCCGGCAAGCACCTTTTTGTGACTACCAACATTCCTTCTTTGTCGTTGTCCAAACAAGAAGGAAGATGCGACGATGTGGATCCGCCGATGGCCTTATCAGGCAAAGACTTGTCTTGATAAGGGCGTGCCCCTCCAAAGGCTGATGCTACACAGATCTAGAATAGGGCGTGCGTGGTGGCCAGTCCGCGACGATAGCACGGAGTAGTCAGTAGTTCAGAGTGAAGCAGACTCTCGGGGCTCTGATTTGGTCATGCGAGAAGGCTCGCTGCGGCTATTGCCTAATAGTTATTCAATAGTAATGCGCACTCGGCCTGCGATGGCGACAAGATTGTCGTTGGATGGCGGTGATGCAACTGCCGGCTTTAAGCGCCAGTGGATCTCTGCATGTCCGACCTCGGAACGCATCTCCGTTTTGGTGCCTTGGAACCAATCACGTGAGCCATTACTACGCACGATGCTTGCGAGCAAAATGATAAGGTCATGTTTGAAACTATCTTTGCTAACATCGCCAAATACCTCGGCTCTATAGCCTGCCGCCCTTCAATTTCAATTTGGTAGGTATATATACATAGATCTGCCCACTATGCAGCCTTTGAAATGGCTAAGGTCCATTACCAGGGCCGCCCTTAGGTGGGTCTGGGAGGGATCCTGCAAAGCCTGCACAGCGAGGATCCTCTAGCGAGGCTATTTCGCCATCACATTTACATATGCATTTTGGGTCAATAGCATTACCATCGGACAGATTGCACTCGGCACTGTGTTTGAAAATTAGACCTGTTCTCTACCGATGAACGTAAACTTGGCAGGACTTACGAAAGTATGCAATCACTGTCTGGTGACACAAAAGATTCCTTGCTGTCTTTAACGAAGTCGTCGTAATCTTCACCAACATAATTGATTACTGCCATGGGGGTTCCATGTGAATCGGCGCCTTCAACGTGCACGTTGATTGGAATTGTGTCCTGGCTAAGGTCAATGTCTTTTTCATCAACTTCACCACCAGTACTGTCAAAGGTGATGATATCATCATCATTGTCTCGGTCTACCAGCGAGCGTTTGTAGGAATGAGAACCATCATCATTCCAGCTCCAGTGATAGTAGTACCAGTTGTAATTGAAGAACCAGGCATAATTATCGGCTACGATGCGTCAGTGAATACCATTAACTTACGAACAGACTGCAGGGGTCGAAGAGATACCATTCCATGCCACCATAAGATTCACGCCTCCTCCGGGCACCCTTGATGTTCCCATATTAATCCAAGCATACTCATGGCACAAAGTGTCTCCGTAGATTGTTCGACCGTCTGGTTGACCGGGGATATTACCCTTGACATCCTCAACTAGTAAACACATAAATCAGTCTTTCGCCCAATTTTCAGCAGATAAGTAATTGTTATGGATGGCTTACTCATAAACTTGTATCCAAAGAGCTTATTATGCATCCACTCATGTATGACAATATATTCGTACGATATCAAAGTCCCAATATCAGAAGGCTTCTTTGTTGTACCGTCGGTAATTCTGTTGATGTATTTAGCTCTACCGTCCTGAAAGAATCTTGGACAAAAGACAACTGCCCAGCCTGTAACATAGTTAGGTGAAGAAGTTCATCAACTAGCTATGAAGACCAAGTGATATAATGCTTACCATCGGGATTTGCCGCCGGTTGTGCTGTGTAAGCAGACCTGGAAGCAGAGAGCAGGTTAGGGTAAGCAATGACCATGTTATTACCGATAAAGGTATGAGAATACATACGGGCCTGTCCACCGGCCTGCTTTATTCGGGGATTTGGCGCATTTATTGTAATTGGGAATCTCCTGGCAGCGATAAGATGTCTGCTTGCTTCGTGACCAATTTCCTCTTTTATCTTTTCTCCCCTCTCTTGGAAATTTAGAAACTTGCTCTATATTGTCTGATGATATTGAGTCAGTTGATATGTGATGGGTGAGCGATCTGCACAGAAACTCACTTCGAATGTTGAGGAATGTATCTTGGCTTCGTTCGTTGCCCTACCGTCCATGGACTAAATTAGAAGCTAGATACCACCATGGATGATGAGAATGGTATGTATAAAATTGATACACTTACATGCCATCCATAGGTAGGATTGGTCTTCCAATCCCGAACGAAATATCGATGCCACGCGGGGCTATCCCAGTATTGGCCGAGTTTGTAGCTGGTAACATCCAATGCCATGCGACTGCTCTCGACAAGGATATTGAATTCGTCTGTAGTGCATTGAGAATAGGCATCATCCCAGTGGATTCCTCGATAAGCACTTCTGATTGGGTCAATATCTCTTTTGGTAATATCATGTGCTGGTGCCGATTCAGGGGACTTTGCAACCAAGGAGACCGGCCCCGCGAATGCCCATGAAAAGATCCAACTACAGAGTAGGAGTTGAAAAAAGAGCGCCATAGTTAATTCCTTCTTAGACAGCAAGGAAGTCAATATTGTGTCTACGTTAGAAGACGATTTACAGGATTGTCTGTGGACTTCTGGGATATAAATAAGTCCTACATTTTCCAAAATTGTACGGCCTGTAGACGCTCATATTAAATTCGACCCCTGTTTCAAATTAATAATGTTGGTCTTTGAGTTTTTCATAGCCCACAAATGCTTATTATGTCTGTCATACATTTGGGGTCTGTACTGATACAATCCTTAGCGTCGGCAATGCGGCGAGTATCCTTCAGCCACTAAACGTCACAGTGTTACTTGAATAATCACTGCTTATGAAAACTATAATATTTTGGTGAATCTAAGTAGAAAAGACAGACATACAAGACCATAGGGTTGCTTAGAAAAGCAAGAATCGTTGTTTTCCCTTTGGGCGGTGGACGATGAGGAAGGATACATATATTCCCGAAGCTATCCAACTACTACAAAGCTGAAGACTCAGTAAGCCTTTTACAGTTGGTATTCAGAGGGTACTCGAGGCCCATCCAAGAAAAACAGAAACCATCAACGAAATAAAATCATTGGTAGGCTTGTACATCAGTCTTTTGGATGTTGGTTGGAACCGCCATAAACACTAATCTGTTGGTTTTTATTATGTTACTATTTTTTGACACAAAAATATATCCAACTAATTTCCGATCATGATGTTTGCCCAGTAAAATCACTCTCCTCCCCTCACATAGCGACATAACCTACATTCAATTAGCAAATGCGAACTTATCGTGTGATTGTTTCAAATGTTACTGGGGCGACTGACGTCAGACCACTTATACGCCGGGACTAGATGAGAGGCTCTATTTTTAACTTGACCAACCAGAACAACGAATGCTCCATATTCTTGGGAGGCTGAAGACAAATGTTGGCTTATGGACAGGTCTAGGTCCTATCATACGCGCGGGTGCGGGGCTGGTGGCTGCGGCAACTTCTCAGGGGCTGTGCTCCTAACAAATCAAGATCGAGGATATATGTATTGAAGTATTGTATTATGTATTTCCCAGTCTCCTAACAACTTCAGATATCAATAGCAGTAGGCCGTTTAGTAGAAGTTAACTGGCGATATCAGTCGCTAGAGTGGGGCTGTACATCGCTTACGCATGTCACTATATGAGGGCTGGGTACTCTCTTGTTAGAATTTGCGTTTGACTTATAGCGGGACACTTGATTCTTGATTCGTTAAGCAGCTATATCTAGTATTCCCAGGTGATATAATTGCCAATGTCATCATCCACCATATCACCACCGTACTTCTCCATTAACTACTACCATAGCCCTGTATTGATTTTTTTTTTTTTTTGACTTTGCTCGCTAGCTGAATATCACATCCCCAACATGGGATATATTTCTTTCATTTTTCTGCTCATAGCCATCTCATGCGTTGCCATGAAGCCGTATCGTATGATCTGCTTCGTTCCAACCACAAAGAAAATCCACTAATTACCATCACTAGCTCTCGGAATCAATTTTGGCCCAAATCACATGTAAGACGACCTTTACAATATCTACTCAAAACTGATCTCATGTGTCCCAGTACCGCTGCCTATATTACGGCAGCCAACCAACCAGTCGTGGCAGCCAGGCTTGCGGTAGATGACGAGTATCGCGCCTTGATCGCCGACTCAATTGAAAATGAAGGAAAGAAAGTGTTGGTATTTCTTCTTTGGTCTGAAGATCCCAATATGTTAATTCCAACTCCGTAGACAGCGTCAGGGGCAATGGTATCTTAGCGATGGTGACTCGCTCATTCCAACCTCACCTGATCCAGACCATAACCCGAAACTTGAATCAATTTTCGCCAAGTGGATGGACAGAATCCATAACACGGTCAATACCAATGCAAGCATTCCCAATATTATCACATCTATAAGCATTCCTCAACACTTCAATGGATCGTTGTACAGCGCAGTGGGAAACGCAGCTTTGAAGAACGAAGAAGGAATGATTCGTCCATGGCAAACCCGACATTATTATAATGCCGCCCGCCTGGCTTACCATCTAAATTCTTGTCAGGGGCTTGGCCTAGATTCTAGGACATGTCACATTGAAGATGGTCCCCATCTAGTCCTCTTTCTGGACTATAATGAATCCTACTTGGAATTCTTTCTCGCGGATGTGGGAGAGTTTACCTTTATCAACGTAGCTAAGAAAAGGATGGAACATCTAAAAACGAGCACATTTGATGCCTCAAATGCTGTGAGCAACCATCCATTACCTCGAAGAAGACCATCCGATCTGCTAATACAATTAGGATGGCTTACGGAATGAGCTCTTATCCTTCATTGATCGCAACTTACGTTACGATGTCCGAGATGATCTTCGTGCCATAGTTTTCAGCGGTGATGCAGCCAAGTCAAGATTTCAAGAGCTTCGCAATGAAATCATCCGAGCCATGCCTGAGCATGCAACACGAATCCGCGATTCGATCGATCCTGCTCTCGTGGGGGCTATCGGGGCAGCCGAGTGGGCAAAACTGCAGGTTCAAAATCCAAAGATATTAAAAGACATTGAGGTGGATACTACGATTCCGAACAATCCAGTTCATGATGAATTATGATGGTTGTGTAAATAAAAGACTTTGATCGAGTTAGCCCTAGCCCTACCAAACAAGGTTCCATATCCAGCATAAGTTGATGGCCTCGTTGCCTGGGGTGGCTCCGGACTTTCCGTCTATGCGGCTCCACCTCCGCACTTCCCCATCTTATTCTCTCTTCCCCATCAATTGCCAGGTGCCGAGGCACAACATCCTAACGTTAAATTGATATCGTGCGACCCAACTTGTCTGCTCAAATTGTAATGATTAAATGACCTTGGGCCATCTGATGCCTATAGAAAGCTGGCTCAGACTAGTCATTCGTGATCGCCGCGCCGGCCTGTACGGGTTTCACCAGTGGCGGCCATGGAAAAAAGTCCGCATACGCAAACAGCTCGATCTTCGAAGAGGGCAAAGAAGGGTTCGGTCTGTATCCACTGCCGTGAGATGAAAGTCAGCATCTACATCCGTCTATCCCTGTTTCTGACGACAAGAATTGCTGATTCGAACTAATGCAGTTAAAATGTGACTTGGCTACTGCATCGTCTCAGAGCTGCACTCGCTGCACTCGGACAGGAAGGAATTGTTCTGCTAGTCAACCATTCAAACGAACAACAAACAAGCAGTTTGTCTTTATTTTATTTTATTTTATATTTTTTTCATGCTTCTCATCAGCTGTCTAGGCGCCTCGACACACTAGAAAACGAACTGAAGAGGATGCGGCAAAAAATAGATGCAAACGACACGCCAATTTCTGAAAAATCCGTTCCCTCCTCTAGAGATCTACGCTCACTTGGAGAAACCCGCACTAATGAAGGGGGAGAGGGAGACTTCGCTGAGCAGAGCATCATCCAAAATATGACAACGCAGACTCTAGAAAATATAACTCTGCATGCCCATGAGATATTAGTTCTTATTAAAGAGTAACATCCTTGCCATCCTTTGAGAGCAGTGATTTGTGACTTATTGTTTGGCTTAGATTCTATACTAACTTTCACCCACTGTTCCCGATTCTCCCAACTCAGGCTGATTTTCTGGAGGCCTACGACGCAAATAAGTTACTCTTATGGACTATAATTACAATCGCTTGCAAAGAGTCTGCTGAATATTCTCAGCTTTATATCACTCTTGTCGACCCCGTGCGTAGACTTGCGGGCGATCTGTACAATATTCAAAGTCGAGACTTCGAAACGATACAGGCTCTTCTTCTCTTATGCATATGGCCCTTTCCTTTCCAACAAACTATCAACGATCCATCGCCCATGTATTGTGGTCTTGCTACGCAGCTTTCATATCAGTTAGGTCTACATCGTCCGAATCTTCAAATGCATTGGGAATACGGAGCAACAACCTCGAATACTCGTGTCAATCTGGGGCGAAGCAAGGTCTGGCTTGGTTGCTTTGTTGTTAATCATGCGTATGGTCCCATTTCTCCCATTTATCATCGTTATTTAAACATTTTCTGACATCTTTTGTTCATAGTATCTCGGCTAGACTGGGCACACCTTCGACGATCCAACCTGGCCACGCTATCCTGTCGGAACTTGCTAGAGGGCCTACCTCTGAACTACCCGTACCTTTGTTGGGTTATATTCATATTTCATACATTGGGATGAAGGGGTTGCAGGCCCTGGGTGACGACATATCGTCCGCAACCGGCAGGGCAAAATATCCAACATCGTTAGTCACCATCTTTGACCAAAAGCTAATCACGATGCGCGAAAGTTTGGGTTCAAAATGGTCAGACCTGACTGAAATATATTTTTTGACAACCAAACTGCAAATAATTTTCTTTGCTCTTGACGAGGATAGTTATCCTGAATCAATATTTACGGTTGATGTTTCGTCCTTGGTTATTTATGACCAGGCATGTACTACCACTCAACGTCTGCTCGAGGTTGCTGCATCAAATGCTGCAGAGACGCCTTACTGGCCTATTCATGGCAAACACGCCGCTGTTTACGGTACCATAATGGCATTCCGGTTAGCCTGTATAGCTCAGGCAGGGTCAAATCAGCGAGCCTTACTTCAGCAAGCTATAGAGCGTGGTGCGTCTCTGATCAAATCTTGGTCAATGTTTCCTAAGGATAGCTTCGCTCGCATATCCTCTCACATTGATTATCTCAGTCGCAAGCTTGCAAGAAACCAAAGAGAATCCATGCCAAAGCTATCATCTAGTGGAATTGCTTGGCAGGATGTACAGCCCGACCATGAAACACCCTCGTATAAACCATTTGTCAAATCGCGTATGGCAGCCGACGTTCTCTACGATACCATATGGGCTGGTAAATATGGGGCTTTGGAAGAAGAACAAAGATCTCAGGAGCTATTGAGTCAGGACACAAATCAGTTTACGAGTCCTACTCTTCCCGAAATCAATCTCAATCCAGATATAGGATTTCCTAATGGTCCTGAAGAACACCGATTGGATACCGTTCTCAATGATACCGCTTTCTTTTATAGAGAAAACTCGGAGATTATGGACATCTTCGAAGATTGGGAGAGTTTGATTGGCAACTCATTATAGTTATATTTGACCAAGCACATACTCAACCCAATGTTCGTGTGTGATGGGCTGGGAGTAAAAATGAAGACTTCATTATGATTATTACGAAAATTAATCTAATATTCTAAGCAAGCTAAACGAAAGTTTATTGCTTCTCATGCTCATCCATACATGGAATTAAGACCCACAGAAGCTTGACATGCTGGCAACTTCCATGAGTGTCCGTTTCTCCAAAACGCCCCGAAACAATAGGGCGTTTCACAGTCACCTTCAGCGCCATGGCTGGCTCCCACCATACCGCTGCCACGATATCCGATACTTTGATACTATATATCTCCGCAAATCTGGGAACGTCAAGTGCTCCTGACGACTTCGCATGGGAATACTTAGCCAGTGAATCAAACATAATGTCGAATGTCAACTCGTATGGTCCAGCATTTTTGGAACGAATTACCGATGCAAGTTCACCCAAGTAGGTCATTCCAGGTGGTGCAGGAGGATTTAGAATTCCGATTTTCGCACTCTTGCTTTCCGGATTTTGGTTTGTAACGGGTTGAAGTTTCTTCTTAGGATGAATAGGGAGCATCAGATCCGCAGCCTCCCCGTCAGTGTCTTGTTTCTTTATCACCTCCGCCGTAAACGGGAACAGAGAAATGGGGTCGTCAACCGGCATTAGGTGATAAATGCAGAATTCGCACACTCTCCCCATTGGAATATCAAGAGGGGCAGAAGGCATCGCAAAATTTCCCGAGCTTGCTACTTGACCGGGATACGATCCATGCATGCAACCAATACGCGCAGCATTAATCACTCTAGTAGCTTGATCCTGGGTTTCCGCCCTCGCATCCCCATGAATAGCGATGCTAGGGGACAAACCCCTTCCTTCGCTGGAATCAATAGTTTCAGAGAACATACTAATATTATCCTTTAATCCATAAGTAGTCAATTTCAGATCATACGTGAATTTGCAAACAGAGGCAACGTGATCTTTGACGCTCTGGAGAAATTTGTCAATCTTGGAGATTAGAATAGGATCACTAAATCCACCAAAGAAACAGCTATGATAACCACGGGTCCGTGCAGCCTCGAGTTTGACTGTATACTGGCCCTCTTCCACGGCAATGAATCGTGCTCCACGAACTCGAACGGTGCGATTATCTGAGAGCTCTTCGTACGTTGCATTTTGGAGTTCCAGAGATCCTCCTGGTCCTATTAGGATGTCAGGCCTTGTCTTCTCGTAAAGTGTGTGCGCTGCGACAGAGACTGATGTGCATCGACTGGCTGGATTCAATGGACGAAGATCAAAGCTGTCATGCCGAATAATGGCCAATGCTTCGCGGCTCTTTGGCTTTGCACACAGGGCACCACATTCCATAATCTTCCCCATGTGCCATGCAAGACCTAGATCGGTGAATCCATTATGTACGCAAAATGCAGCGTATGGAGCGGGGTCGTAGGAGCGACCTCCAATAATGACATCGAAATCAGGGTGCTCCTCCATGGCTTTGAGGTAAGGCTCAATACCCATCTGGGCGACGATGCGGCTAGCTTCTTCCACATCTTCTGGAAATAATTGAGGTACTGCTTCACCACATGGAGTGATACGACCTCTAGCAAGTTTGGATTGTACTAGATCCTTGGAGACTTCAGAATAAATTTTGACAACTTTCATAGGTCTCAACTGACGCCGAGAAACAATCTCATTGATTATGTCCACAAAGACATCAACATGATCGTTAGACCCATCACCCCCGGCGCTCCCAATTAGAATGGGAATTCTATAATGGTGAGCAGCGAGCATAAATCGTTCTAGCTCGGAAGCGTATGCTTCTCTGTGGCAAGACATTGTACCAAGAGCGAGTTTGGCTGGGCCACTGTCCGTTGAGCCAGAGTCACAAATGATTGCATCCACCCCATCTGACACAGCAGACCAGAAAATAGACTCGTCAAAGCCGTAGCCAAGCATGCCAACTGGTGTGAAGATCCTGAGCTCATCTTGCTGTTTGCCCAACATGTTTGAAGTAATGAACAAATTGCCGTAGGATGGGAGTAACTGAGCAAAACCAAAATGGATAGTGAAAGTTATATTATTTTGTGTTAAGCTCAAAATATAAAAAGAAATCAGAACATCGAGCAGTCGTTGAAATTCTAGACGAGTAATATCTTGTTCTGGACACCCGAGTTCGGTTGAGATAGCCGAATTCGGCTATCGTGATACCGATTCTGGCAGACCTCCCAAAACTACATTAAGCTAATGGTTAAGTATTTACGATATGGTGTTTTTATTTTTCAATTTGAATGAGACCATGGCTGCTACTATCGCTCAAGACACCATCGCTAGCAAGGAGGAAGGTCCTTCATCCGAATACGTCGAAGGTTTCGCATCAACCAAAAATGGATTTGCCGTCCATGAGTCTGGAAGAAGGACCCGTGAAGAAGAGAATATTGAGAGAAAGTTGGTCTTAAAGATTGATTTCTTTGTACTGCCAGTGCTAGCTGCAATATACTTCCTTGCTGCCATGGTAAGTATCCCTTTCCCAATTTCCTGAGGGCCATGGTATAAATTAGCAACAGGACCGTGGAGACATTGGGAATGCCAGCATTGCAGGCATGAAACAAGCATTGAACCTAAGTCCGAATGAATATGCCAATTCAGTGGCTTTCTTCTATATCGGTTACATTGTGTTTCAACTTCCGGGGAATCTCTTACTTAGGAAGATAACACCTCCTATGCAATTGAGTGGCGCACTCATTGTTTGGGGGACATTCACTGCTTTGTTAGTACCTCTATGCCTTGGATATATTGATTCTAATCAGAGATTGTTGGTGAATTTAGGATCTCGACATCGCGTCATTATGCCGCCGTTGCCGGCCTGCGAGTTGCTATAGGTGCTGCGGAGGCATTTGTCCAGGCAGCACCACTATACCTCACATTCTGGTATAAAAGGGAGCAACTTGCATCTCGAGCCTCTATATTCTTTTCCATGATGGCGCTCGCCGGAAGTGCCAATGGACTTATTGCATACGGTATCACGGAAACACTCGCAGGGGCACAAGGAATCTCAGCGTGGCAATGGATCTTCATAGTCGAAGGTTGCAATTCTTGCTTCAACAACTTTTTCTTTCAATATATTCTAACTGAGATCCTCATAGGTGCTATCACTATCGCAGTTGGTGTTTTTGTTTACTTTATCTTACCGCCGGTTCCAGAGAAACTTCGCTGGGGGTTTAGTCAAGCTGAGAAAGATATGGCATTGCGTCGCTCTCGAGAAGCTTTCAATTCAGAAAATGCTTCAGTAGTACCCCATCAGCTTTTGGCATTGTTGAAGGATCTAAAGATGTATCTCTACAGTGAGTGCCTCCAAGACCGATTTTGCAGTTAAACGGATTCGGCTCAATTAGAGAATATTAATTTTTTTTAGTTCTGCTTTACTCTTGCACCAACGTCAATCTAGCTGCAGTAGCTGGATTCCTTCCGATTATAATTAACTCTCTTGGCTACAGTTCTGTGCGCTCTCAAGTCCTAACCATACCAGTCTATGCCTGCGCTGTTGTAGCCCTGTTGCTACTTGGTTTTTCATCGGATCACTTTCGGTTGCGTGGCCCATTCCTTGCCATTTGCTACATAATAATTTCTGCTGGCTGGATTATACTTCTGGTTAGCAGCTCTGATCATGCCTGCTTAGCTGCCCTGTATCTTGTGACGATGGGAACCTATCCATCTGTTATTCTAACGATAGGATGGATGAGCTCGAACTTTATCGGATACACAAAACGGTAAGACTCCTTTCCTATATCAGAATTCATATAACGGTCAGGCTATAAGGTGACTTGATGTTAACCATCCTCTAGAGCCGGGGCCTTGGCGGCCATCAACATGGTTGGCCAATGTTTCTCCATAGCAGGATCCAAAGTCTTCGACGACCCTCCGGTATACCGAAAGGGCAAAGCATTTTCCTTGGCATTCTCCTTGCTTGGCTTGATTGTTTCAATCGCATTGGTCGTATACCTGCGCTGGCAGAATGCGCGAAAATCTGCCCGCCAAAATTCAGCTGAAGCTGCAGAAAAACGAGCTATGACGCTGGAAGAGATTTGTGATGACCATCCTGATTTCATGTATTGGTTGTAACATTGAATGGGCCAAGCACTTTAGGCGGCACTTTGTAGGGCTCCCCCGTTGCACATGTTACTATTGAAAACAGTGAAATGTATCGACCTGGTTTTTTTTTATTTTTGAAACTTCATCAACCCGGTGTAGTCAGTCTTAAACCGAACGTCGCTGGCATCTTTACTATTAGTAAGGTACTTGATATTAAATCTACCAACTTATTTGAGAGAACTATTTAAAATGCTCCGCATGAATGTAATAAAGGCTGTCAAGGTAGAGTTTGCTTTACAAGTCCGGCGAACAAGGCCATGGCAGTGGCAACTTTTCTGTCTACACTCGCGGCGACTAATATTGGTCTACCAGGACAACCTGCACGAGGAATTAGTATTATTTTCTTTTCATGCAAGTGCTAAATAATAAGTCGCAATTATTGACGAGTGCGACATTGGAAACATACAAATGAATCAACGCTTATTGACTGATTGATTTTTCGTGATCATATGTGTACTCAAAAGTTAAACTGCTTAGCGTCTTTGAATAGATACCATTTTACTTACTAAAAGACTAAAGCCTTTAGGTTAACCATAATAGCCTATTCTTGCAAGTTTTATAGCCCTATAACGACATAGAACTCCTGTAGCTTCAGGGGGTGAAAACTTGATGCCGCATCTAATTGACCGAGGAGGAATTGAACAAACTTCGATTGTCCAAAATGAAATCATTCAGCTTTCGATATCATTTCATAAAGATAACAGTGGGCCTATCAGCATTGTTGTCGGACGAACAGTCGCGTGGGATTATCAGAACGCGGAGGGCTCCGATGGGCCATGATTGGGTGAATCTCGGGGTGGGCGTCACTGCGATAAGTAGCTATACAAGATGGCGGTCGCCACAAGGAGATAATAATAAAAAGAAATCCTGTTCATATGATATTATGTTTATGAACGATCTTCTGGCTTAATGCAGGAATCTTCTCAACGCCGGTAACTGCGGATTGAAACCATGCCGGCCGCAGATGGGAACTCTGCGTACAATGCCGGCCCTCATTTACTTCGCGATGTCTGGGCTTTTGCCGGGGTTTCCATTCTGGTAATGATCCTCAGAATATTGGCAAAAATCCGGATCAGGAAGTTCGGATGGGATGATATACTCATGATTTGTTCACTGGTTAGTCCATCTTTTTGCCCCTTTAATCAAGTGTTTTATTCATAGTTGGCTCTGTTAAATTCATCCAGTGTTTGGCTCTTGTTGGGTCCGCGATTCTCACAATAGCTGTTCAAGATGGCTATGGCCAGCCTGCCACTACTGTTTCCGATACTTCCACTGTCATTTTGTATGATTATTTGGGGCAAACATTTGGGATAAGTGGTGGCGTTCTGGGAAGGATATCCTTTATTGTCTTGATAAATGGCATATTGGGCTCCAGAAAAGGATACCGACTCATACTATGGACTCTCGTCGCTGCACAGGTCATTGTCAATATTCTTTTCATTCTAATAATATTCTTACAATGTCCGGGTCATGCGTCTGCGATCTGGTCGGAGTCCGATGACTCTGCCAAATGCTGGGATTTGCGTGTGCAGACATATTATGGGTATTTTGAAGGCTGTAAGTGGTTTGCCCTCTATAGTTACTTTGATATATTCTTTTACGATAATAGCTATTCAAACTAACCAATGAATAGCTTTCAATTCAGCGACAGATCTATATCTTGCAGCATTCTCAACATATGTCTTTTGGAACCTGAACCTGAAGCTCCGAGTGAAAGTAGGGCTTATTTCCCTTCTTTGCCTGGGGATTTTGTAAGCCATACCAGACAAACTATATTATCTCAAAACTAACTAGTACATAGTGCAATGGCCGCGTCGATTGTCAAAACAGTGCAACTACACGTCCTAGCCAGCGCCAATAGTGACCCAACCAAAGCAACCATCAACTTAGAGCGTTGGCTTTACATTGAGACCTACCTCGTCATCATCACAACATCGATTCCATGCATTCGCTCGCTCATTCGGAGACGAAGACAGGGGCAATCGTATGGCAGTTCAGGCAGAAACAACACTAACCAATCACACGAACTAAGCTCCCCGTATATTGGGACTTCGTCCTCGTCGTTTAGAACCAAAACGCGAATGTCGGCTCTTAGTGGGAAGAGCGTATTTGGAGGAAATGGTGGTATGATAATGAATAGATGCGATGATTTTGAAGAAATTGGCTGCGAGGATGAGTTGCCCTCTCGAAGAGCTTATAATCGTAGTAATAGCCGGTATGATGAGGAGTCTCATGATCCGGGAATCACGAGGAAGGTTGATTTCTATATTTCTGTAGGAAGAGTTGATTCTGATTAATATTCTCAAATTGACATGAGCAATGAAGTATGTATACACAATTATCTTCTATATACTATCAATTTTTTTCAGATGCCTTTCGGAAACGGTAACATGATCCTAATCAGCTTCACACTTTTGTTCTCGAGTATTCTTCTTTTTGCTTCTCTATTCTCTTTTATTCTTTAGCTTATATCCGCATAATGAATTATGGATAACTTGAATTTACTGGTATTCTTCAGTAATATAACATATCATCAGCTCAAACGTTTCGGTTGCTGAATTATATAGTGTCTACATTTTGGCAATCCTGATTGGTCATACCTTAGAGGTCTGCGCTAGGCTGTATTCGGTCGTCGCTGGTCGTCCTTTCTGCCTGAGGCTGCTGCTGCCGTCACCCATCCGCTACTGTCAAAAATCGAAGTTTTCCCCAAATACAAACCCATCCTGAAAGGTGAATGGCTTTCTCTTGGGCGCAAATAGTTGGTATCGTTCTGCTGCTGGGTATTTTCTATTTCCGAAACCAAAACTCCTCCCCGATGTCTCAAGGCAAAGCCATCGAAATCGACAAGTAAACATCCATCCTAACCAAACCCCCCACCATCCTTGACTTGCAACTAACTTTCTTCGTTCTCTCAGCGAGGTTGTTTTCAAAGCCCTCACCTCCTCTGGCCCCGTCATCGTCGATTTCTACGCCACTTGGTGCGGACCATGCAAAGCCATCGCGCCGAAAATCGCACAATGGAGTGAAGAGCACACGAACATTCGATTTTTGAAAGTTGACGTGGACAAGATGCGGCAGATTGCGAGTGCCAATGGGATTACAGCGATGCCGACTTTTATAGTTTTCAAAAATGGCCAGGCTGTGCAGACGATTCGAGGTGCGAATGTACCGGAATTACAGAAGGCGATTCAGTCCTTGGCTGCTTAGGCATGCAGAGAGGTAACAAAGAGGGAAGGAAGAAGCATTTGTATGCTTAGATGATACATAAACAGTTTATTTCAAAGCTGATATCTATTCGAGATCAACGCCTTGACGAGGAACCTTTCATCTCATTAATCATTTCTGCGTGTTGAATCTACCCTTTCTCATCAATGGATAAGATACAAGAGCAAACGTCAACCATTTAATGGGCTCTCTACTTCCCCTCCACGTACTTTCCATCAGTCCCATCTAGCTGTGCCTCCAAGACAGCAGACGTTCCCGACAAAACGCTCTGGATAGCGCGAGGTAATTGTTCGGAAAGCTCCTTGACTGTGCTAGCACGGCCAGCCCATAGTTGTCCTCCTGCCGCAGCTTTTGCAATCCCAGGGTAGTCAGGCGATGGCACAAATGAAATGTTCAGATCCTCGTTAGACACTTTCGAACCCTCACCGTCTGGATGTACAAGAAGCAGGCTCCGTCGAGGAGCATTCCAGCCCTTGTTGTTGATGACGATGGTCAAAATGGGAATGTTGTATCGGCGAGCAATCCAATACACTGAGCCAGGAATACAGAAAAGATATGTGCCGTCGCCGACAATCTGACATACGAATTTTCCTTTATTCTTTCCGCCATGTTGGTCGTCGGTGGCCAGCTTAATGCCCAATGCACCACCGCCAGACCACCCCAGACCGCCACCACCACAGTTAATCCATGAATTCGGTAGGCTGCATTGGAGCTGGTCTGCAACAGCAACAGTAAGTGTGACGGCTTCAATAGCCCATATGGTGTCTTCCGGCGCAGCTTTGCGGAGCTGGGCCATGAGGTAGTTTCCATTCAAATAAGCATCATCTCCGCCAGCGGGGACAATGGCTGAATCTGCGATAGCTTTCAGGTTTTGTCGGTAACCTTCCTCAACACGCTTCTGACGGGCATTGGCTTCGTCTCCGTTCAGGGTTTGAGTCAAGGTTGTGTTAGAAGTTATATATTCCTTTATTTGCTTGAAAGCAGTGGTGGAGTCGACCTTGTAGGTGGCAATGGACCACAAGTAAAACATCGGTATTTGGCGTTTCAATGGGTCAACGTCCAAGTGGATGACCTTGGTGGAATCCTTCGGCTTGCATACGGTTGGAATCCACGGCACATCACAATCAACAACAAGAATGAAATCAGCAGTATTGACGGCCTCATGGTTACCAAACCGCAAGCCCAGCCAGGCGGGATGATTAGCAGGGAAACTCATTTCGGATCCCGCAGTGTCAAGCACACGCAGACCCTTGACGGTGTTGGCGAGCGTCACTAACGCATTTACCGACTCGGCATCCCGCCCATTGTACCCGACAATCACAAGGGGCTCCTTTGCGTTGACAAGCTCGTTAGCAATCAGCTCAACTGCGTTAGCTGGCAGAGCTGCTCCTGTGACAGGCACCCATTTTCTCTGGTCAAGTTTATACGGCTCGATCTCCTCCTCCATAACTTCCCTAGCTCCCACCAAGTAGGCAGGACCTTTCGGGTCGCTCATCGCCCACTGCAAAGCCCGGTTTACTACCTGTTTGACATTTTTACCAGTCTTGATCTCACCGGTGTACCGGCAGTACTGCGAGATAATCTGTTTCTGATCGGGAACATCCTGAATCCAATGAATATACTCTGTTCGCGAGCCCCGCATTTCCCCTTCCAGGGTATACGGCGACAGGCCAGCAAATATCAGGACAGGGGCTCTGCCGCACGAAGCATTGTGGACAGCAGCAGCCAGCCCTTGTGTCCCAACATCGACGTGGACAATGACACATTGCGGTTTACCAGTCAGACGAGCGTAACCATCGGCCATAGAAAGTGCAACCATCTAGATAGGCCCGTTGCCACCGGAGATCCTCCGGGGCGGGTGGGGGTTTGTTAGCCTGTAAGCTTAGATGTACACAGCCGAAGCTACCCGCGAGCAGCTTCACGTACCTCGTTGGGACAGGTGATCACGGTGGGCCACTGGTCCTTACGCAGATTCTGGCCACGCACCATGGCCTCCAGGATCGCCGGGTGGTCGGTACCCAGATTGGCGAAGACATACTGCACGCCGGCCTAGAGTGACTTGGTCAGAATGATGGTTGCTTGACCGGGGGCTGATAATCGGATATTTACCTCCCAGAGTGCCTCAAAGAAAGCAAAGGCGGCGGTATATCCCCTGCATTGTTGGTCAGTTTAAAGAATTAGTGTGTCTTCGGTTGGAAAAGGTACATGATGAGAGTTCAGGCAAGCTCGGAGATGTATTTAGGAGATGAAAGAGGTGGTAAAAGAGGTAAAAAGAAGATTTGCCACAGAATTAGGGACCGAGACTATATATCCCTTCGCCAGCCGGACTTCTTTGCGAGTAGCTGTAATGCCAGTTGGGATCAAGAAGCATACCCGCAGGCACCAGATTATATGTACATATGTCGGGCAGGATATTATTGATTGTTGACCCTTGCGATAAGTTGACGCCCTTGTTTAGAGGGTCCCCCCACCTGCCATGTTGTGCTGCGGGGGACCGTCGATCGTCTCTAGCCGGCCATAACCGTGTGTGTCCTTTTGTCAGCTCTTCAAGCTTGTCCTTCATGTACATATGTAGGGTTATGCAGGAAATAGCATGGAATTTTTGAAGGTATTAACCAATCCTAATCATCATCACAATTCGCTCCTTCTTTTTAAACTACCTTTAGAAAAGGAGTGCTAGCCGGGTCTGCTCTACAACAAATCTCCAAGTCGATTACGATTAATCTGCGTGCTTTTGACTCTCCTCAATACCCTAAACCTTTGATCGAGAGGAGATTCCACGTTTATTTGGCATTTCAGTTAGGCTGATGTCTGTTTATTGTTACCAGCCAAACATTTAAATAGGCGTTTTAAAAGTTTTTTGTACCCAAAATGAAGTAGTGCAAGCCTGTATTACAGTCAATATTTGTGAAGCCTTCATTGCCACACACTATCGGACGTCTCCAGATTCAAATATGCCATGTTCAGTCTCCATTTAATCAAGCTATTATATCAATAACTAGAAACAGAAAAGCAGCACTTGAGTACGCCCCAGATAATGAAGCTCGCACTTTTCCCCATTTTTCGTCGCAAGTCAAGTGTCTCTTTTTGGTATGCTTCGTCAAACTTGAAAGTAATATGCTCATTGGCTACCTTAAGCAGTAGTCTAATGCTCTCAGCTGTTTTTAAAAGGTTGTATTTCACAATGAAACATAACTTTAGAGAGTCCAGCCTTTTGTTTAGTCCTGGCAACTGGTGCTGTGATTCAGACCATTCATGCATGGACCTGACGACTAAGCATGAAAACAAAATATACTATTGCGCATATCTCCAACTGACAAACAAAAAGTATTTTTTCTTCTCTTCACTTCTCTGCCTATGTTTCTTACTGTACTCTTGTTCACCAGGCCTGTTTTGTTGCAGTATCATTATCTGCTTTGTATTTAGATATCATCATTATGTCCATCAGTCTCTTGTCTTTTTCATTCTTCACATCAAACTTTCTTTAAGATGTCATCCCCTGCACTATCAACTACCTCGACACCTCTATATCGCGTCTTTCGTGGCCTGAAATCAACCCAAGTCATTGCTACGCCCGCCAATGAGAGAGAATGGCGGGTAACCCTCAACGAGTTCAAAGCCATCTATCTAGAAGGGAAATGGAAGGAATGCGAATCGAAATGTTCTAGGCTACTCGAGGCTTCCAAGGTAATTTTTCACCAGGTCCGATCCATCTATATGTCAAATAGAGAAGGTTTCTGACAATTTAACCCTTACGTGGCAAACAGGGCAAACCGGTCATCTATCCGTACGTACTATTTTTGATCGGTAGCTGCGTTGAGATACACGCCAGAAACATGCATCAGTATTCCGCAGGGAAAGGGAAGAAAATGGAAGAAGCAGCTACCTGGTTTGAGAAGTGCGAGAAAGCGTTGCCACATAGCATAAAGCTACCAGATGAACATAACGTTCCCAACAATGCCCTCCGCACCCCACCAATGTCTCCCAAAAGTGGAAGGCTGAGTGTGACCGACATCAACAAATCTCCTCCGACCGCTTTTGGAGCAAAGAGTCGCTTTGATCCTACACCAAACCGGCATGAGGAACGAGAAAACGAAAGACAATTGGGAGTTGACCACCACAAAAAGGAGAGTCCAGGAGGCCTGGTTTCCTCGATCACGAAAATGATTGATCGAACTCTTGAGTTGCCTTTCGATGAGACCGATCCATTTCTTTCTCTCACACCTGAGGCAGCCTCTCTTGGTGCGCGAATCGGTAACTGGTTAATCCCTCCTGTGCCTCGGTTAACGCCCTCGCCTTTACGTATCTGCAAGGTGAAGTCAGATAATATTCTGGGGGAATCTGCTAGCAAACCTTTTCATTTCACAACCGCTCCATCACTGCAAAGTCAAGATGGTCACGCAAACGGCATCAGTCACTTCTCAATAGAAAATCAAACTCCAGACTTGGAAGTCAGGCCATTAAAGAAGCGAACCAACTTCACATCTTATGACAGCGTGTTTTTTGAAAACTCCATTCATAGATCTGATTGCCGCTATACTGGGTTCGTCGATGATGACGGTAATTCAGAAAGTACAATCAAATACAAAACCTGGGATGAACACATAAAGTGGGAAATCGAAACATCTCAAGGCGACGGCAAGTTTTTGATTGACGAAACTAATGCTTATTCTCCTAGCGCAAAACCGTCACCTTTACGTATCAAGCCAAAGAGGATGATACTCAAGCCTGTCGATGCTTTCAACTCCGATCAGTTCTCTCTCGGTCGTCTACAACGCTTTTGGGAGATTTCGTCTTTCAACGGCATTATTGCGAAAAATTCAGATGCCCAATCCCTGTCTGCTGTAGAACCAACATGGGCATATCTATCTGCACAATATCGAGCTGCATTATCTGCAGAAGACGAGTGTGTTCAAGCTCTAAAGACCCATGTGACTAATTACAATAATCACCTGGCCTCTCTCTCCGCTTACTTACAACGAAATGTGTCCCGCCTACGCCAACTTGCTACGACTATTGATTTCAACCGCACATCGCACATCGAAGCACGCAGAATCCAGCCCACAAAGTCATATTGGAGTTTCTCTGTCAAAAGTAACTCTGGTGACTTCAATGGTAATGACGACTATGACGAACATCGCGACAAACCTGAGATGAAAGCAAACCTTGGCTGGGCTGCACCAGGTACAATACTCAACGAGACTAAAAAGGAAAGAGTCAAGAGATTGAAGGCAGAAAGATTTCGAAATGTTGGAATGCAGAACGAGAAAAGAGGTCATAAAGGGAGGAGCTGGTATTTGGACCTATGCGGTGAGATACTGGATGATATTGAAGGTTTGATGAGAGGTGTCTATTGAGACTGGATTTGGACGATGATATGGTAAACCGGCGAGGATTGAGTGTGGGGAGGGGAGGGGGTTATCATCGTGAAAAAAGTTTGAAGAAGAATTGTAGGATGATATTTGCGCTTCTCGGCGGTATCAAATGTTTTTGAGCATTGCTCTGTGGCTATCGAAGCGATATTACGCTTCGGTCTTTTGGGTGGCATGGGAACAAATTGTGGCTCTAGATGTCGTTGCGGAGAAGGAATGTTTTCAAGCAATTCAAGGATACATATTACATCAATCATTTGAGCGTATACGGTGTTTCCATGTTAAGTGCAGCTTTGCAGATGAGATACCCAATGAACTTCTAATATTTGAATCCTACATTCACTCCCATCAACCGTCTTTGATATCTCTCAACAATTTCTCCAATCTTGACTAAAATCCCTGCTGCAAGGATCCGTGTTTGTTGCAAATCGTCTATTTGCTCCTCGGGTGATGTCTTATTTCCTGTGGAAATCGGTGTTCTCTCGAAAACTTCATTCGTCCACTCCCGCAACTCCATTACCTGGGATGCATGCTCAGTCACTAGGCTCTCCTCCGCCGATGAACCTGCAGCGGTATTGAGGTCAATCACAGCAAGAAGGAGAGATAACAATGCTGGAAGAATGATTGGCTCGCTTGATATTGGCTTTCCGTGAAGCGCGAGGATAAGCGTTAACGTTTCCTGGCTGACGTTTGGCAGTACTGGTGTGTGTGGACCCAGAGTCGATATTACAAGTGTGATAGTTTGTATAAAAAGTCGAAGAGTGTTTGGTGAATTGAAAGAATTGTATCCATTCGAGAATGCCCTTATTACTCGTTAGCTTTGTCATTTGGGTGTGGAATAAAAGTCGAAGGCTAATAACTTACGAATTTGATTGTATCATAACAGCGAAGCGCCCAACGAGCGGGTAAAAAATGCCTTCGCTAAGATCTTTGTGCAAATCCAAGGACACGATTTTTTTCTTCCTCTGCGCTTCACGCTGTCGACGTTGTCGCTCGACCTCCATGCGTGAGGAGAATGTACGTACTTTGAGAGCATTGGGCCCTGATGCAGCATCCGCGGCATCAAGTGCTAATGGTTGAAGAGATGTACGAGACAATTGATTTGTAAGAGCAGAGATCGGAGACTCCTCACTTTCCGCCAAATACATCCCCTGCAGTTTTTGGGGTAGTTTCTTGGATGGAAACTTTTCCTGGGAAGAAGCCGATAATGGAAGACCCATAACCTCGGCATCATCTTCTCCATGGCCGGCAAGTTCCCGGGCTCCCAGACCTAATGCTGTTAAGATTGCAGACCGTTGTGTTTGTGAGAGATCACCATCAAAAAAGGTGGCTGTAAAGAGCCGGCCCATGCGGACCGGTTGCGCCACGACCAAAGCTATCATTGCTTGCAGACGATGTTCGTGAAATTTTGATAAGGAGAAATTATCCTGAAGACTCATTATTGTAAGTGCTAAACTGTCGATATTTTCTAATAGTTCGGTCCCATATGCGGCTTTTCGTCGGATTAGTGTCACTGCGCTCGTTACTCCCAAATGATACCGGTCTCCATTCTCCGTGTCTTTTAAATAGGCGATTAAATCCCGTATATAACTAGAGTCTATTAGATAGTTTTCATAAACTTTCTGGGATGACCTACACCGGAGCTGTTGGTTTTCCTCGTTGGATCAGTGTTGGATCGTCTTCTTCATCCGATGTATCATTGTCTGGTTTCTCGTAAGGTGTCAGATCTTCGTCATCTTCATCATCCTCATTATCCGAGATTTCTTCAATAGCAACAATTTTGGTAGTAGGCCTAGAGATCTTCGATGGTGCAGGCTGGGAAAAGCGTGAGCTATTAATCTCCTTTGTAGCCTTTTCAGTTTCGATCTGGCTGAAATTCTTCAAATACTGTATCGATCCAATGCTGTCTTTTACGTGTGTCAAGTTCATATACCATTCCGCCTCTTCAGTCTCAACTTCGTCGAGATCAAATTTAAGTCCTTTGCCATGAGGGTCGCATAAATTGGATATAGCCATGCTAACAATCATGCCAAACAAACGGGCTCTAGACGACGAAGCCGCCAGGCGGTTTGAAATTGCGTTCAAATAAAGAGCCGATTGTCCCATTATCTTCAATTCTGCAGGCTGTGAACGGTGTAGATATCCAGCAGCGAGCAGCAAAACCTGCGTGTTTGCTAGATGGGGCTTAGCCGAACATATCGGGCTTATATAGAGCTTCTACGCACCTTCTTGAAACTGCAGCAAATCATGCTTGATGTTAAAAGGATCTCCAAAACTACTCAAGCATTGCGTTAGTAGGTCCTTTATAGACTCTAGAAGTAGTTAGAACTTGTCCTGCATAAACCACGTCAAGACAAACCTGGATCTTTGGAGTTCAATAAAATAAGCACACGGCGAAGACCAACGGAAGTCACAAAACTGTTATTTCCCGTCACGAGCCAGCTTTTTACTGTCTCCTGTAAGGAGTCCTTGCTTTTGAGAAAATGAGATAGAAGGGCTGCCACTCCTCCCACAATTTGATCGTTGTCCTGTGCCTTCGCTGAGCCCGTGACAAGATAAGTTTTTTGCAAGTCTTTGAAGATGCTTTGAATGATAGTGACCTGCTCATACGGTCGAAGATCATTGAAGAACAAGTCCCAAGATGGGGAGAGAGTTTCCCTTTCAACTAAACATGTATATAACTCATGAACGAACTTATCTGTATAGCCAAGACTCACAGCACGGCCGACCATGAATGACGTGGCTTTCCAGAAACTTTTGTCATCTTGGCCCGCTTGATGGGCCATATGACCCATGTTTCGACCAAGCCATGCGGCAAATTTTCCGCCTTCCCCTGCCCAAGATGCTAAACTTGAACCTCGTTTCTCTTCTGTCAGGAGCATAGCTTCTCCAATAACTGAAAGCACTTTTCCACCCGCAAGAAATGCGCAAAGCTCTGACCATGCCACCCATTGTTTGCTGCTGGTCTCATATATAGATATATTATCCTGGTATATTCGATAAACAAAGTCCTTTGGCTTCAAAAGGGCGGAAATAAAAGATATGATTTCTTGAATGACAGCTTTTTTACCGGAATCTTTTTCTTTATGTGGTGATGATTTCAGGGAATCGATAGAGATTCGTAGGATTGTCACCAAAGCCCGTAGCCCAGAAACGCTGCACAGGCATCTCAACAGAGCTCCTCTCTCTTTCGAAGATTCTTTATCAAAATTTTGCCAATGGTCAGGAATCGTTTTATTGACTAATGTTCGAAGTATTGGAGCCGCAGCCGAGCTAGCATATCGTATATCAAAGGACCCCCGTTCTTGGTTCTGCTTGCTCGGGTCAAGCCACCGTAGAATCGTATACAAATCCTCTTTTGAAGGACTTGATTGCAGAAGTTCCAAGATGCGAGATGAAGAAAGTTGAGTGTCGGTCTCGTTTGCTGCAACTTGGTCTACCGGCTGAATAAGAGTTTGTGGTAGTGGCGCCGAGACCAGGTCACTCCCTCGAGCCGTCCTGACCGCAGTCAATATGTCATCCATTTTTCGATCCCCGACAAGACATAGTAATAGGTAACGAGAACCCGGAGTCACTCCCTTCTGTGTCAAACACTTGGCAGAAGAAAGTGCTCGCTTCCCTTTTTGGAGAAGAGGGGTCACGTGCAGAGTCCGCAGCCCCGCCCAATGATCTTCCGCGCCGCCTTCCGTCATTGCTTCTAAACACGAGCCAGTACAAGACCAAGTTCCATATCAGACAACAAATCGACCTTGTCTTTTTTTCATCCAGAAAAGCAACTCGCATATTGCAGATTCTGTCAAATTTATTGGCTGCTAAGCCTGTCAAACACACTTTAGAAGCTCGAAGGCAGCAAACAACCCACCCGCCCGCTGTCTCGACAGCTCCAAGTGCACAAGTCACTATCAGCTCATTTCTAGGCTATCATAATTTTCGCTCGCGACATGCCTTCTATTCCAACAAATACAGCAGGTACTAACGTGCGATGGTGAGCTCTCACTCTACTTGAACGTAGGATAGGATATTGTATGCTGACTAATCTGTAGGAAACATCTATACAATGTACTCTGCAAGCCTGGGGCATTCAGTGATACGGACTGGGTACCAGGTCCAGAAACCATAGATGCACTTGAGACATCTAAGATCCTGTAAGTCCATATCGTTATGGCTGATGGGATCAGTTACTGACGATATTACAGAGTAATGTATGTATTGGGCTGAATCATGATATACATTCTTGAATAACAGTAGACAGAGGAGCCGGAGGTCTAGGATGTGAAATTCTGAAGAATCTCGCTCTATCAGGATTTAAAGATATCCATGTTATTGATATGGGTAAGTTCTAGAGACAAAACATCCAGCTCTTACTGACATCCACCAGACACCATAGATATATCCAACCTGAACCGCCAGTTTTTGTTCCGCCAGGCTGACGTCGGAAAGCCCAAGGCGGAGGTCGCTGCGGCATTTGTTGAGAAACGCGTCAAAGGGGTTAAAATTACGCCTTACGTTGGGAAAATTCAAGATAAAGATGAGGATTATTATATGCAGTTCAAACTAGTCGTCTGCGGTCTAGATAGTATCGAGGCTCGACGGTGGATTAATTCGACATTGATAGGAATGGTAGATCCTGAAAACCCCGAAACTTTAAAGCCATTGATAGATGGTGGTACGGAAGGTGTGTGCTTTGGGTCTCACTATGGAAATACTAATATTAAATCCTCTTTGTAGGCTTCAAAGGACAAGCTCGTGTGATTCTACCTACCCTCTCATCATGCATCGAATGTCAATTGGACATGCACGCACCCAGGGCTGCTGTTCCTCTCTGCACTATTGCAACTATCCCCCGACAACCACAACACTGTATTGAATGGGCCCATCAAATTGCTTGGCAACAGAATCGCAAGGACGAACCTTTCGATGGGGATGATCTCAACCATGTTTCTTGGATCTACCATCACGCACTTGAACGTGCAAAACAATTCTCTATTTCTGGAGTTACGTTTCAGATGACTCAGGGTGTGGTCAAAAACATTATTCCCGCAATCGCATCTACCAACGCAGTTATAGCTGCGGCAACGACCTCCGAAGCTCTGAAGATCGCAACCTCATGTAACCCATTTCTGGAAAATTATATGATGTATGCGGGTGAGGAGGGGGTTTACACATATACTTTTCCCGCTGAGCAGAAACCAGATTGTCCAGTTTGTGGCAATTTGGCACGTACAATTCATGTTGACCCTGAAATTTCCCTTGAACTGTTTATCGAAAGTTTGAGTGAGCGACCAGAAGCACAGCTCAAACGGCCCAGCTTGCGGTCTGAGGAACGAACACTCTATCAGCGCTTCCCACCACAGCTAGAAGAACGAACCAGGCCTAATTTGCAGTTGAAGTTGAAGGATCTAGTGTCAGATGGGCAAGAGATCGCAGTTAGCGACACTGCTTTCACAATCGATTTCCGATACAAACTGGTCTTCAACTAGGACAGGCTATAGTTTATAAGGGCAGGAAGTCCATCACAAGAGAACTACTGGTTTGATGTATATACACAATAGAAATGATATTACCAACTCCTTTAGATACAACCAGTCACTTTTAAGCCTGGAGACCGTCTTAGATCTAGGTATATATCCAATAACAAAACAAACGCCGGCTAATGCGTCATCTAGGCATCACAAAGAAAGGAAATTAATGCACCAAATTAGTTAGATCCCTTTTGAGTCGGGCGCATTTGAGCTTGAGCACCTTGACGCTCTCCAAGAAGAGCGTATCGCTCGGGAACTGGCCTGTGCTTTCAATATTGAAGATGAAGTGATCTTTCACGCGACCAAGTTTAACCTTGTCCTTGAACTCATCGTGCCTCAAACATTCCCTGCTAACCGTATCCTTGAATGCATCAATGACAACAGCCTTTTCCTCGCCTTGATGGCCTTCATACCCGCTGCCTTTCTGAACAGCTTCGGCAGATGTGATCTTTTCCAAGCCAATTACACCTCTGGGGAAGCATTTGGCAAATTTTCTCGCGTCATCACCAATGATAGGACGTAAGATACGAATCTCAGGGAGAAGTCGATAAGTGGCTGTGGCGACTGGCGAAAACTTGGCGTGGTCGGCACCAATGCCCTTGATGCAGTGCATCTCCAAGTCGATCTTTTGCCCAGGGCGGAGCTTGGCAACAAGAATGTCCGGATTCACTGGCCGTATTTCATCCTCTCCAGTGAAGTATTCTTCCTGACGACCGATGGGGGTGAATTCAATATCGCGAGCGTACACATGTGCATGGTTGTAGAGAATGCGAGGATCTTCCTCGTCCTTGGCCGCATCCTTGTTCACTGTACATTCGATGTCGAGCTTCAAAACGATGGTATTATAGTCACTTGGTTCACTTCCCTCGGGGTCCTCCTCGGTCGGCTTTTTGAACCATCGCATCCAGCTGAGACCTTCTGTGGAGCCTTTAATAGGGATCAACCCGAGACGAGAAGCGAGCACTTCATCTTGAATGACCGAAGTATTATTTTGCACGTAGACGAACTCAATGGCGAGTGTGGGCACTTCAGCGATCAGAATACGACGGAATGCATTTGCGATAGAAGCATCAAGACCGATGAGCGAGAATGAAGAGTCGTAAGCTTCGTTTTTGTGTAGTTGAACTTGAAACTCCTTGCCGGGGGTCAATATTGTTTTTTCTCAAAGGCGCAATAAAAAAGAATGGAATCCTGAAGCTTACGTTTTTGAACTTTTCGAGAGACCATTCGTGAGATTCGCCTGGCCAGTGTCCTGGGAAATCAGTGGAGGGGATGTTCGTGACTGTCTCAGCATTGATGTTGATTATCTAGCAACGTCAGCACTTGAACGGTGTGTGTTGGGAGTGTGCATATACTACCCTTCGGCGATTGACCTCATCCGTCGAAGCTACAATCCTGGGCGCCATAGCTGCTTGCTTGTCCGTGCTGCGATGCTCTGCAGTTGATCTCCAAGAACTTTTTTTGAACCTTGGTCTTTTCTGCCGCGGCTAAGCTTATATAGGGAAAGCGCACGGCGGTCAGCAATGAAGAATGCTGGGCCAATCAGAGCTGCCTGAATCGGGATTAGTCGTCCAGGCGAGTCAGCCAGTCCGGGATGAGGTTCCAGCTGTGAAACAGAAATCGTGCTTTGACGCAAGTCATTTACAATATGTAGAGATATTTCGAGTTATAGTAGGACTATTCGAATTTATAAAGTCATCCTTGATGTTCATTTTAATCTAAGATTGCTACATGCGGTGTTATGGTGGGATATATATTCAAGTCACGTGCCGACCGATCGTCGACACCTCAGGCCGCCAGCAATTCCTGCTAAGCTCGGCAGTCGAACGCCAACAACCTCATCACTTCGACGCTCTGCACCTCTCTTCGCAGCCATCCTCCTCCTTCTTTTCCGCTCCCCAGATGGCTTCCTCCCTCTCCCGCGTCGCAGGCCGCGTGCCGACGACGCTAGGTCGCCGTCAATCGCTACTCAGAGTGTCGACCCCCTTCGTCCGGTCACTAAGCAGCACCCCCTCCCGGCAAGCTGAACCTCAACCATATCAAGCAACCAGACTCATTCCGACTGATCCTTCCTTTGCTCACCTTGCAAACAAAGGAGGTCCTGAACCACCAGACAAGGCAGCCGGCCTTGAGTCCACATCAGAAGTTGGAAACCGCAAGATCCGGCACTATACTGTCAACTTTGGCCCTCAGCATCCGGCCGCACACGGTGTGTTGCGATTGATCCTGGAACTCAATGGCGAGGAAATCATTCGCTCCGATCCTCACGTCGGTCTTTTACACCGTGGAACCGAGAAATTGATTGAATACAAGACATATATGCAGGCTCTTCCCTACTTTGACCGCTTAGATTACGTTTCCATGATGACCAACGAGCAATGTTTCTCATTAGCCGTGGAGAAGCTCCTCAATGTCGACATTCCCGAACGTGCTAAATGGATCCGGACATTGTTTGGCGAGATCACTCGAATTTTGAACCACCTGATGTCTGTTCTTTCTCACGCTATGGATGTTGGTGCGCTTACACCATTCTTGTGGGGCTTCGAGGAACGAGAGAAGCTTATGGTATGTCTAGCACCTATACAATGAATGGTTTTGCCTAATTCAAATTTTTCTAGGAATTTTACGAACGTGTCTCCGGTGCTCGTCTCCATGCAGCCTACGTCCGTCCTGGTGGTGTCTCCCAAGACATTCCTATCGGACTGCTCGACGATATCTACCAGTGGGCCACTCAATTCGGTGACCGCATTGACGAAACTGAGGAACTCCTCACGGACAACCGTATTTGGAAGGCGAGAACGAAGGGTGTTGGTGTTGTCAGTGCGGCCGACGCTCTTAACATGAGCTTTACTGGTGTTATGCTTCGTGGGTCTGGTGTCCCATGGGATATTCGCAAATCACAACCATACGATGCCTACGACCAGGTCGAATTCGATGTCCCCGTTGGTACCAACGGTGATTGCTATGACCGATATCTCTGCCGCATGGAGGAATTCCGCCAATCCCTCCGTATCATCCACCAATGCCTAAACAAGATGCCCGCAGGGCCTGTCAAGGTTGAAGACTACAAGATTAGCCCTCCACCCCGTGCCGCCATGAAGGAGAACATGGAGGCTCTTATCCATCACTTTCTCTTGTTCACCAAGGGCTACACCGTCCCCCCCGGCGAGACATACTCTGCCATTGAAGCACCTAAGGGTGAGATGGGTGTCTACGTTGTGAGTGACGGCAGCGAGCGACCATACCGCTGCAAGATCCGTGCCCCTGGATTCGCTCATCTAGGAGGCTTCGATCAAGTATCCCGTGGACATTTGCTAGCCGATGCCGTTGCCATTATTGGTACTATGGATCTTGTGTTTGGTGAAGTCGATCGATAAATGCAAACCCATATCATGTCACAATTACAAAATGAAAAAAAGGAAAAGAGAAGAAAGAGACATACACAGCTGCTAAAGAACGCAGCATTTTGGGGGCGTTCATATCTTTTTTTTCTTCTAGCTCGGCTTTTAACATAGCCCCGATGCATTCTGTTTTTATATGCGCCACTGATATTCTCTTAAATTTCCTTTCCCCTTTATTTTCCTTGGTCGAGCTGGATTTGCTTAAAACTTCTTTCTACTTGTATGTACAGTGATAGTGTCAATAGAAAGGAATGAGTGAGTTGTTGAATACAGTGTATTACTTCAGATTTGACCATCCATTGAGAAGATAATTGTAATAACACCATTTCAGTAAGAAATTATTTGTCCATAAAATAAGTTCAAGAAAAGAACCGAGCTAATGTGAAATCAGATATATGAACGCCACCAGCTCTGTGTAGGTTGAAGTCATACGTAAGATGATGAAATATTAGGCGGAAGATTCAACAAAAAATGCATGTTAATAAACCCAGTAATGAAACAACTCCATCTTATATCCAGCCATGATGCTATGTAACCGAATGAAAGCGAAAAAAAATAAATGAAATAAATACCCAAAGTCACCTAACCCCACGCTTAGACAGGATTATCTTCAAATGTCGTCCGAGCGTAGAAGAGAGGGGATCAGACATTGTCATCTTCGTAGACGAAATTGATATCCCTCGGTCTTCGTCTATTTCTCACCACAAACTCGTCGTCGCCAGGGGGTCGCTCATTCTTGTTGTTGGCTGTCAACATGCTCTGTATGCTCATGCATACGCTCTCAACCGTTTGCACGGGTGACCAACCAGCGGAGGAAAGCAGATCAAGACAGATGATTCCGTTGGAATAAATATGTGGATGGATGGGGATAGGGCGAGGGGTATCGGATGACGAGGGGAGTTCGATAAATATTACTTCGGGTGGCTCTGTAGGCATGGCGTTAGCTTCCGACTTATCCTTTTCCCTTTCTTCTCCATTGCCCACCGCTTGATGGGCATAAAGCTTATCCAGATAATGCTAGACGTACCAATAGGATATTTCGAATTGAAGCTGAATTTGAGTCGGAATACCTTATCTTGGTAGAGGGGGTTGGAATCAAGAACACGAATATCCATGAGCCATTCCTCAAAGTTTTCGGACTGGACGATTGTGATTCCCGGGGGTAGATGAGATTGCATCTGTCAGGCATACCGACGTTAGCGCCAGTCAATGGTCATCATTGAAAGCGAGGTTGAAAGGTACCTTGATGAGCTCCTGATAACATATTAGTATTAAATGCCCAGAACAAAGATAAAGGGAGATACGACGAACCTTGCCCAGACGCTTGGATGCAAACATTTGGATCCGATTTATCTACTTTCTCCAAATATGATGTATCGATCGCTGTGCAAAGTCGTAGGCGTACGGCGCGTCGATGTGCTGGTGTGTATTTTCTTATCGCAGTTTCAGACCCGTTACAGCCGAGTAGTGATGACGTCCTGCTCCGTTGAGGTGTTCCGGCGGGGTTGGCGAGCTCAAGATAGCATGAATGGACAGCAGAAACAAAAGCGAGAGGATGTCTGTTTTTTGAAATGCAATGTACCGTACAGACAATAACACCGACTAGCAAACAGATCTTCAGCCGATCTGTTCCTGTGAGCCTCCAGCCGTCTGATGCTTGTTCGATCTCGCCATTCGGTCACGGGGCCGCCCCACCGCCGCATCAGGCTGAAATAACTGAGATACTACGAACAATCAAATCACCTGGAAACATGCAAATAAATGATTATTATAAGTACATCTGATCTATAGGTAGCTCCGTCTCTACGTCACAGCGTCTGCTGCGCTCTATGCCTCGGGGCTATATAATGCTCAAAATCATACGCCATCAACTCTAACAAGTATCTTCGTCGACATTCAAAATGTCTAGGTCCAGCCTCCATGAGAAATGTTGTGAAAAGGTTATAAAGTCGGCCCCAGTCAACTTGTCCATTGGCAAACCTTTGCCCTGTGATCACAACTCGGTTTGAATGATCCGTCGAATCAAATATATGCCGGCCAATATCCTCGGCGTGATTGAATAACCACCCGCAAAAGATCGGAAGTAGACGATTAGACTGAAGGATCGTCAACAAGACAGCGGGGTCACCTTTTTCGGTATTCCCTAGCCCAACGATCTCTGTGGGCAAAGTATGCTTTCGTAAACTCAAACAAAATGCCTGCACACCTGTGAGCTCCAGGCTCAGAGTTGGTGGTGCGGCAAGGTCCGGAGAATTCGTGGTTAGGTTTCGGTCATATCCAATCTTCGCCCGGTAATAAAGGTTGGTGACCAAAGAAGTAATGATGCAAGGAATCAGAATCACATATGCCCACCAGTATTTGAAAGTAATCATCCCAGCTACGCCGGCAATCAACGAATTCACTGCAGTCACCGACGAATGTCTTTGGAATTGACGACATCGTAAGATTACATCCTTCTGGAAAGGCTCTGAATTGCCAAACTTTTTGGCAAACTTCGCTTGTCGATGAAACCGCAGCCATATGTACAGTGAGGTACTGAAATTAAGGACACCCCATATCAGTGGGAAGGCATTTCCAATGTATCCGGATAAAAGGTTCGACGCGAGGTATATTCGGTCATCACCAGCACCAGGAATAGCAATCAAAGTCCCGACTCCCACGAGTATACCGCCGAATCCGAGAAACACATCCATAAGCACTCTATCAACGACTTCAGATGTCAATTCTCGGAAGTTGATCCCGAGTAGTCGGTCAATATCACGCGTAACATGTTCTTCGTTATCGTTGAGAGCACGGAGCTTGTGCAGGTATTTCCTTTCGTCTCGTAGAATGCGTGTGTTCTTCCAGCTAAGCCTGAGATCGAGCCAAGCAAAAATGCAAATCAGAAGCGTAAGCGATCCGCCGGCGGCCATAAGTGCAACAACAAACCTAGGCAAGGGTGACTCGTTCCAAACGTTCGCTGCAAAATCCAAGGCATTGGCGAATTCGAGAAACCCGATACCGATTTTGACGTTGTTGAGTAGTTGAGGCCGGTCCTGAAGCAGTGTGTATCTGCATGTCTGTGTTGAGCGGCGGTTTTTAAACCACCAGCCCGATAAAGCACTACTCTTCCTCTCAAGGGTGATGGTTGCAAAGTGCGGTTCCGGCTCTTTTGAAAATGATCCACTACTGACAATTGACGTTTGACTTGCAGATGTCTCGACAACCTGTTGAACGTTTTCAATGTCCGCCTTGTGTTCCATGATGCCAGATCACCAGGCAGCAGCAGCCACTGCAGGGTCCTGCACCGTGTCAAACGACGCACTGTACCGCTTGTTGTTGACGATATCTACCTAGCCACATCCCGTCGAAAGGGGAACGGAACAGAGTCTGCTTGTATTTGAAAATTTTGAATAAGAATAAAACAGCGCAAACCGTGAACGTCTTAAAAGACGCAACTAAGAGCCCATCCCGGCTGTCGAAAATCCTCTTTTCCTGAAACGGCCTAGCGCTGCGCCTGGCCCTGTCAGGCTGTCCGCTGTCAGCCCTGGGAGGTCAGGTGATGGAAGTCACGTGATGTTGACAATCATACGCCGCGCCAGATGACTTCGCGTTCCTTCTCGGTGACTTGCTATGGCCACATGTTTGCGGCTGGTTCTTGTCAGTTGGACCGTGGTTGACTGTGGTTGACTGTAACTGACCATGCATTTAGCTGGCTCATGCTGGCACCATCTCGACTAAGAATGTCCATTTAGCCCCAATTGACCTGTACTCCGCACTCTTATTTCTCCGCATTATTGCTGCTTGTCTCCAGTTATTCTATCCGGAACGCTGCTTGCATGTGTGTGTCCTACATGCTGGTGCGGGTTAATGGAATTCTATTCGTCTACTACCCCTCTTCCTCTGCACCAGTGACATCAGCGTCCAGGCAAACTGTTCCATAATGCGGGGACTGTCGGAGCATTTATCCATGCCGCGCGAGCAGAGGCAAACCGCATTTACAAGTCAACCACATACTAGACAATTAGCCCTTAGACACTACAAATCACTAACCAATCCCAGCACTCGCTGGACTTCCTTAGCTCCTAACTACTCACTAGCCTGTCATGTAAACTGACTGCTTAACTATCTTCAGCACGGCTTACACGCAGATCGTTCCTTTCTCGGCCTGCCGAAAAATCGATGTATTCTTCCACCGCTCGCACGAAAGGAGACTAAACGTGTGAATTTCCGTGTGAATTTCCGCCGGCAGTCTCTAGCCTCCTCCTCCTCGTTGAATCTGGCTAACATGGATAAGATACATACTAGATGAGAGCGTTACACCGTCCTGTTACGACGTTTTGGGTGCCTTAAATATGGTGCTGTATCCCAACCCCCACGGTATCATGAATGGAAATCCGTTCCTCGATAAACCCAACAATATATACAGTAATATCTATAACCAATGATAATGCGTCTTTCAACAAGCCTCGCATTTTCAACAATATTTAGCCAACTCGTTGCCGGCAATGCTGCAGTAAATTGGAAGTCGCGGAATTTCAAGAGTCTTGTTACCTTTGGGGACAGCTATACTGACGAAAGTCGGTTGAACTACTTTATTACCCACAACGGTTCCGCGCCGCCTGCTGGATGGGTTGACCCGGCTGTAGGTTTGAATTCCTTCTTAGATTCCTCCCTCACAAACATTTTTTTAGGGACAGTGCTGAATACCCGATAGAACAACAATACCGCCTCTGGTGGATACACTTGGGCTAGATACGTTGCAGACTACACCAAAGTCAACCTGTACGACTATGCCGTCAGCGGTGCCGTGTGCTCCAACAAAATCACTCCGCGCTGGTTCAGTTCTATCAACGGGGATTTCCCATCCGTCGTTGAATACGAAGTTCCTGCGTACACTGCTGACAGCAAAGCCTACACCAGCAATGGTCGACCGTTTCTAGATATTCCGCCTTCTGAAACTGTGTACTCTATTTGGATTGGCACTAATGATCTGGGTGTCGATGCCTTCTTGACAGACTCTCAGGTAACCGGAAAGACGATTCCGGACTACGTTGAGTGTGTCTTCTCTGCTCTGGACAGTATCTATGACAATGGTGCTCGCTATTTTGTCGTCCAGAACGCTGCTCCTCTACACCTCGCCCCACTGTATGCCACTCCTGAGAATGGCGGGGTATATGCTATTCAGTACCCTAATACCACGACCAATGGCACCGAAACTTCATACAGGATGTGGGAGACTGTAACCACGGTCAATGACGTGTACAAATACAAGACGCCGTATGAGGTATTAATTCAGAAGCGCTACCCAGGTGCTCACTTTGCCGTGATGGATATATATAGCATCGTAGGTCTCTCTTCCGGCTTTCTCAAATTAGTTAACACTTGGAGTCACTAACAACACCATAGCTTGAAGATATCTACTACCACCCAGATGCATACCTTGCATCTCCAGCAAATGTCACCGGATATATCGATCAGTGTGATCCTACTGGCCTTAATTGCACACGCTTACCAAATCAGGATTCTTTTATGTGGTTTAATTCACTACACCCGTCGACTAAGACTGATTCAATTATTGCGAAGCGGTTTATCGAGGTGCTCAAAGGACAGAGCATGTACGCCACTTATTGGAGTTGATTGTTAGGGTGGCTCCGACGTAATGTTAAAAGTTGAGTCTATACAGAGTGAATACCGATTGATATAAGATTATACAGTTAAACCCAATAAGTTCTACTCAGGGGCTTTATTCAAAGTATAACAATTTGAAATATTCATGCGGACCAATTGAAAAGCAATAGCACTGGAGCACCTCAATGTATGATATGTCCAATACATGTAAACAAAATAACCACTCCACTCGAAACCGTTCTCACGTCATATTCCCTGGCCACGATTAATACAGTTTACCCCTGCCAAGATGACAAGGGACTGCGTCAAGAATAGTCTAAGATCGAAGTGAAAAAAGGACCTACCCAATGCGGTAATATTTACACCTCCTTGCTTCGGCCGAGATCCGAATTTTGGACCAAACCAACCATTGTGCATTAGTCAAAATTTTCGTTGGAGATTCGAGTAGTGGCACGGTCTCTTTTCTTCTTTTGCTTGAACGTATTTTATTTTTATCGAGGGTTCGGTTTTGAATGGCTGGTCGTGTTAGGTGCATTTATGAGGAGTCAATAGCACTAACTACATGCGCATGTAGCAATCCCATGCTATATTGTACTTTATTAAATCAATTTAGCCTGCACATACGTGATCACTATCATTATCAGCTCCGTGCCACCTGTACAGGCCATATGTAACGGCAACGGCAAGGGAAAAACCAATTTAGTTCCTCAATTCTGGATCTCATACGAACAGTCGAATATCATCGCCCAAACACTGACCAAAATTCTTATACAAATATAATACTTGCGTTGTGCATGTGCATGTACATCAGTCTCATCACATCACAAACCCGATTTGGAAGCCATGATAGCCACTGATATAACATCACCAACCCCTTACTTGAAGGTAATATCACCAGTCCGATCGACAGGTGATCGTGATATCAATTCTAAATCCAATTATCCATGGCAATGGCGAAGAAGAAAATTAGATCAAGGGAGAAGGTATAAAGAAGGGTCGAGTGTCCCTTTCTCAAGCTCGATATCAATCATCTATAAATCACGCGATCAATATCAAGCCAAATTTACGTTTAACCAAATACTCAAGAAGTTAGTAACAAATCATACTTTATATATCCCATTCTAACTGTTCTAGAGTCCATACTTGTCGAATAAATATCCAAAATGCAGTTCCTCACCGCCCTCACTACCCTCACCACTCTCCTCTTCACCACCCTCACCCTTGGCGCTGCCATCGACACACGCGATACCAATGACCTCCAGCAAGAGGTTGATAACCAGCTATGCAGCCCCAAGGGAAGCGCTTGTGGCCCAACACAGGGTGAATGCTGCCCGACCTTGAATTGCTTCATCCCGCCTCGTAGTGGTTGGGAGCCCGCTGAGTACAACTTCGAGCAGGGAGCGTGCATCTAAGCAATGAAAATTGACGAATCAAGAGGAGGAAAGGAGATGAGGTAATATCTAAATTTTTGAAAGTTGGATATTGGGGCTAATTATGACTCTATAGGCCCAATCATCCAGTCGCTAGTATGACGGTGTTACCATAAAACAGGGCTTTAATTACTATGACTGGTGGATGGTGGTGAAGCTCTTTTATAATTTACTTTTATTTAAAAGATGTCTATTTATTTTAGATTGTACCCTACAAAACTTACTATCAACATATACACTTCTCTTCCTTATTGTTGTCAAACTCCAATACTAACTCCATAAATCTAGTTATAAGCTGCATGTTTACAATGAATTAAATATCAAACTAGTGGGATTATTCTTCAAGTTATCTCTTTTCGTTAATTTATTTCAATCATACACATCGATTAATGTAGAGAGGGCTGTTTCTACTGCTTAGAAAATGTTAGGGCTAATTAAGGAATTGTTGTACGGTGTCTTAACCATAGCAGATTTCGGTTTCTTTCGAAATCTAATTCAATAATTGTAAGTAATGAATATAATCTACTAATATATATTGTTGTGCTAAAATATTGAGTAGTCACTATAGCTGCCAATCAGTCCTCGCTAATACGTCCAACACCCTTTAAAGTCAGATATACATCAGTCCCCCATCCCCACAGACTCTGAACAGCAATACTGCCTCCAAAATATTCTGCATACGCGCGACTCAACGGCAAACCATACCCAAGTCCTGCAATCGAGCTAGTGTTGTTGCCTCCACTGCCAGATATCGTGTTCAATGCATCAATATTCCCGTTCTCGCCAACAGGGAGGTCGTTTTCGGAGAATGTGGTGAAGCTATATGACCATATATGAGGCAGGACTTCAGGTGGAATACCGCCGCCACGGTCGCGGATTCGAATTGTGATACTCTGCGACGACGCGCTGGTGAGGCGTATATTTTCATTGGCGACAGGGACTTCTTCGGTGATGTCGACGTTGACGTCCCCATCGCGTGCGTGATGAGGGAGATTGGGTACTGGGTACATGTGGTTCCCAGGAACATCAGGAGCTGCGGCAATTGTTACTTCGATAGGCTCGCGTTCATTGCCGGACTCTACAACGGCTCTAAAGGCATTCTTCAACAGCTCCGTGATGATGTACTCTACGTGTACAGGTATGTAGGCAAAGGCTGCGTCTGGTTCGCCGCCAATCACGAGGCTGGGACGCACGCCGTACTTCAGCTCGCATATCTCGCCCACGAAATGTTCGCACGATCGAATAATACGCGCCGGGCGCAGTGCTGTATCAATAACGCCGATATAATTTGGTGGGCACTGATCACGCTGAGACATGGGTGGGTTGGGGTTCTCGTCACTGATTGGCTGCGAGGCGAAATGCAGGGACAGATGTTGTTCAGCAATCAGTCTTGTTCCAATACGCGCTCGCAGGTGTGAGTCGAGAAAGTTTGTAACGTCGCCGGGGTTGATGTATTTTCTGCATTCGAGGAAACCTCTTGCTAAGATGGGGATGGTATTGGTATGCGTCTGGACGAGATCTGCCATGACTTCTGCAAACTGCTTCTCCTCCGCGAGGGTGGTAATTCGGCGTTGTTGGTATGGTAAAAGGGTTGATAGTGAGTGCAGGTAATTATTGTAAATTCGTGAGACATGGGGGTTCGATACTACGATAAACGGAAGATTCCGCAGGCATTGTATTCGGTATGCTAGCCGAGCTGGTAGAAGGGATAGAGTAAAATTCGCGGAATCTAAAAGTGCTTGCTTGGATAGAGGCGGTTGGCCATGTCTGGACGAGTTGGTAGACATGAGTTAGTTTTCGACACCCTCGACGCCTGAAGGCATTGAACAGCTTACTTGAGGAGATCCCCTAGAGTCAATGGCTGCCGTCGCATGGCTGCCAGCTTGGCAATCTCATCCTCAGCGACATTGGTCCATGAAGGAGGATTGCTCCATGGCTGTGCAGAGGTTGGAGTTGCAGGAGTAGAATAGGTACGATGAAAACGAGGGACAGTGGAAGCACGAGACGTCCCGCATCTCGGTGAGGATAGCGCCTGAGGGAGGCGTCGGAGTGTAGATGTCATGGTTAAATGTTCATATTGCTTTCAGGAAAGCCTCCTAGAGCAGGGGCCGTATGCATATGGTTGGATAAACTGCCAGAATAAGGAAAACACCAAAGAATTGAGTGCGGGGAGTAGCGATGCCTTTACAAAAAGAAGCGCAATAATAACTGGAGATGCTTGACCGCGGCAAGCCGAGCCGAGGCGGTGACGTCTGCCCACTGCTAACCGGGCAGGAATACTGTCTTGCTATTGGTGGAAACCTGGTCATGTGATCCCTTCCATTTCGAGCCAAGCAAGCTGATCCTCAGGCATCCATTTTGTGGCAGGTCGACTCGGTTTGACGCTGGAGAGATGTACACGGTTTACTATACTTACACTATTAATAATGCATGTGGTTACGAAGAAGGCCGCCTGTTTACATGCCGAATTAGCCGTTTGTCCCTTGTTCCTCGCAATTATATAGGACTGGCGAACATCACACACGTCAGGAACAAAGACGAATCCTCAATTCGAGGCGATAAGGGGTTTCACTGGCTAGCCGGCTTATCGCAGTGGCCATAATACATAATACTTATTGCTAATCTGATTGCGCGCGAGGCTTAAGATCCAAGCTGGTGCGCCTTGACCCCACGTTAGTTCCCTCTTCAGTGGTCAAGGAAAAAGAAAAAAGAGAGGGAAAACAGGGAAAAAGTGAGTAAATAGGATGAACTCGATTCACATTCGTAGAATCTTTGGTATAGTAAAAGACGGATCATCGTAATCATCATGAGTGCGGGTTTTGTTCTCATTACAATTAGCAAAACAGACAGCCTTGCGAGGCACAGCCAACACGCTGAGGCTCATACTATAAGCCCATATCACCAGACACCGTAATGCCCCCATGCCAGCCAGCCACCATGTAAGCCGCCACAGTATCTCTTCTCCCCTCAAAGCTTTCGCTCAAGAGGTCATTATTTCGATGTTCACTGGGTGGACACCATGCCATCCTGCTCGACGTGTATGTGTTCGTTAGTCTCAAGGACGTTAACCTGGTCATCAGGGTACTCGACACTGGAAACACCGGTGATATTAGCCTCTACCTGCCACAAGATATGGGATACGTGAACTTACGTGAATCCTTTGATAATCTTGTATTCGTGCTTGATAGTACCTCCGTTCTTGCGGGCTTCCTCCTTGGCTCTGTTATCATCAGCGGCTGTTTTTCCCTTAGCATACTTGTAGTCATAAGAAACGTACTTTTCGAGCTGCTCCTGAGGAGCAGAGTCCTTGAGGGTCACCTAGATGAATCAGCACAACAGTCCACACAACAATCCACACGACGAAAAGGCAGACTCACGTTGAAAAGTGTCATGATGAGGCTGATGATGACGTGTGTTGCTTGGGTTCGACTGGTAAATAGGTGGATAGACAGGTGTAGTGTTGTTGAGTGATGTAGTACGAGGCTGTGGAGGTGAGGAGAGCAAAGGCAGACGGAGCGAGAGAGGCTTGCGTGATTCGAAGCGAGGGTGATGAATAGTGATGGATGGTCAGGAGGTGGACGGGAGCCAACAAGGCAACCACGGCGGGCTTTATACGGCTTGTACCCCCCCCCGGCGCGGCGGGGTCTCGCGACAGGCCTCGCGATAAAGAAGGCGCTGCTACGCTCCTTTGTTGTACGCTACTGTAACCTTATCGATTTGGCAAGCCTTCTGGGTCGGTTACATGTACGTCCCTCCCAACATGTGCTGTATAGAGGGCACGACGGTGTCTTTGTTCAGGCACCACATGCAGCGGGCACTAGAAGTGGAACGACTCGCCGTTTCCTTTCTCGAAGCTGCATCAATGAGTATTTATTACTGATCTTACGTGTATTTCCTGCTGCATCAGATAATCGATACTTGCATTAGCAGGATTAACATGGACAATGGATGAGGGGCCGGCGCACAATGACGACACTGCTGGCTTGGCGCCACGTGAATCCGCACCAGCCATGTGATCACGTGGCTCCCTTGGCTCCCTGTGTAGACTGTGAGGGTTATCAATTGTTCCGTATTGATATAGACATGTGTCGCTGGTGTAATAGGAAATAATAATGTTACATTCGAATTGCGTCGCTAGTTGGCAGATGCGTCACGTCACCCGGTTAGGTTTCGGAACAACTCCGAGCCTGCCATTCTACATAGGGTTCTATATCTCGAATAAGGGGTGTTGGTGTTGAAATTGTTGACATACGACTCACCAATCAATGTCAATTAACGTCAATTACACTGTGTTGCTTCACGACTACAGCACTGTTTTAATATGACACGCCCACTGCAACCTTGGCCTCAGACCCCGACATACCCAGAGCTCTCTTCTCGCGTGGGCATGTGTAGCCCGTGCATGCCCTTGTACTGAGGAGCCTCAGGCTGCGTCCAGCCATCCAGGATGCCGACATCGGCAACGCTGTAAACCTCGACGCCCAGCGGACGGCACGTGGCCGCCATGTCGCCGCCTTCCTTGTCCTCCCAGCCCCATTGCGACAGATCGCCTGCATCACATATTGGAACTCGTCAGTCAACGAGCAATATATTACAACTGCGGAAGGAAGGGGATGAGGATGAGAAACATACCGCCAGGGCATGCCGACAATGCGCAGAGAACATCAACCTCTGCAAAGAACTCGAAATACTCGCCCGCCTTTGCTGGAGACGCCTCCATGAAGTACTTTCCCTGCTCGTCTAGGCCCGTCACCTGGAAGACGTTGAGAACATCGTGCACGTCCAGTTCCGTCAATCCATGCGGCACAACCGCTCGCGTCAGATTCGAGTGGCAGTGAAAGTCAAAGCTCTCGCCGCCCATCAGCAGATTGACATAAGGATCACACCGCGTGCCCAGCAAGTCGTGTACACGGCCGCCCCATTTCGTCGTGCCGAACTCACTTCCTTCTTTCCTCTTGCCGTCCACATCCAGCACTTGATCGAGCTGCCCACCACCCAGCGAGTCCCCGATGATGGTAACCAGTGGCCGTAAATAAGGAAGGTTAGACCATAGTCGGTCCCCAACAGACACATGCGAGCTATGAATCTGCCGCGTTCGAGCTGCCCACATGCGCTCCCGAGGGTTGTTTGCATTCCAGATGTTCAAGTCTCCCACCTGCGGCCCTTTTGGGGTGGTCAATCTGCAAACCTGCCCCGCACGCACAACCCACGCTTGTCCGGAACATGGCCGAATGGTGAACGATGTCTCAAGCTTGCGTGCATCTGGAAAAGCCGCCGTGGCTGCAACCTCTCGGTAGACTGGTGATGATGCATGCACAGTGGATGTGCTAGGTGCAGTGTAGGCCGGAGGTGGCCGTCGTGGAGATGCGGATGTCATTGTGTTGATAGTGTGCAATGCGGAGGTTTCAAGAAGGTACTGTTCTGGAATAGGATCCATCCAGTATTTGTGGCTCTATTAAAGCAACTCCATAGATCGTGTTACATAAGAGATAATATTACAAATCCCTATCACCAGCTATTACGAGCCCCGCCCCCGCCCGTCAATTGCGTCTATGATAGATGTGTGTATAGATCGAAACCTTTGAGAGCGCCGATATATGAGCGGCTTATATTTGATCTTTTCATATACTGATAAGAATTCTGAATTACTTTATCACTTTTTCACGCTGTAGCTCGACATTATTCTTTGATTTCAGTATTCGGCAAGAATCCGAGTCTGCCGAGACGGGAGGGTCATGGTCCGGGAAAAAAACGCTCATCTACCGAGAGTATATGGAAATTCAAAATCATAGTAATATTAAGAACGTACTTCTCATATCTGAAATTGATACCCATCAGAGCTTTGTTTGCCCCCTTACTTAGACGTGCCTGCCATTCCGGGATTGGTCAGATTTCCGCACGGTCTCGACCCGTGATATTCCAAGCCCTATCATTAGATCTGCCAACTAATATAGAGTACTATATGCAGGGCGGAGTTGTTCGGATATAATAAAGGTCTAGAATTGCTTGAATGTGTGTTTAAAGACATCTTCCATATAAATTAATTTTAATTTCTTCTAATCGAATGCAGATCTATGTAGGTGTGGCGGCCAAACTACGCCAACATTGTCGTGTTGAACAAACGATTCCCGGTATCCGTAGAGCCCTGACCAGCATATTGATTTTGGGAAATTCGCAGGACAACAAAGTAAATTTTCGGATAACCAGCACAGCGCATCAACTCTCTGAAATACGGGCCCCCTACTGAAACACATTTTTGGTGAACTACATTAGCCACGATCACGATGCGAATGGTGGCATGTAGTTTGCGGATGTGTCGGACAAAGGCCATCATCGATTTTCCTGTGTTTATCACCGAGTCGACGAGCACAATGTTCACCATTCCCTCTATATGACTTATTTTGATATCATTGGCCGATTTGGCATGCAGGAACATGGCGAGCGGGTAGATTTCATTCACGCCTAAAGCCATGGGTTCGCCGCCACGCATCATTGCCACGATCAATGTCTGCGCTTCATCAAGCAGTCTATAGCCATCCACGGTTCTCCCTTGAACATGCTGAGTCGGGTACTTCTCGAGGCCTATAACATCAGGTAGGTAATGTATCGCCAGATACTCACCGATGCGTTGATGGGTTTTTCTCAGCAGAGGACCGGCAACACTTGCATCACGTGTTGGTGTCATTAGAAGATTCGTCGATTTTTGCTTTGTTGCATCCAAAACTTCAGGAACAGGATGAACACAACGCGCGAATGCCGAATCGATGAAGAAGTCCCCTGTGATGTTGAGAAGAGGAAGTCTAACAGTATCAAGACGCGGTACAGCGCTCATAGGAACAAGGGCCTGCTGTGCTTGAAGCCCACCCTGCTCGATTGCATGTGCCAATTCTCCGTCCATAGTCGTACTTCTAGTTCTTTCATTACCGACGACGACTACTGCTCGGTTTGCCTTTTGCAGCATTGGTAGGTCAATTGGATTATCTCCAAACACCCACACATACATCCCATGCCTGCTTTGTAGATGATCCACCACATCACGTTTCACCTCAGGTGTAATAACGAGGCCGTTATTGATCCGACCACTTCCCACCACTTCCACTCTGTCCGACAACCCTGTTTTTTTCAAAACCCTCTCCCAAACAGACTGCAGCCCGCAAGTGACAACTATTGCACACACACGAGGTTGTTGGGCAATCAGGCGAAACAAAGTGATAAACTCCGGATGTATACGCGTAGCCACTGATACTTCTTCGCATGTCGATTCAAATTCTTCGTCAGTTGCTGCTTCTTCGTATAGCAAAGTCGCCTGCCGAAATGCGGTATATGAATAACCTAAAGGACTGCTGAACAAGACCTTCAAAGGACTCACGCCTTGAAACAGGTCCCAAAACATTTCACTTGTGTCTTCAGAAGTCAAAGTGCGGTCGGCATCGAATACAAACACTGTCTGGAGTTGGTCATATCGGGCGCTAATGACTGCGTCGACTTTCCTTTCAACTTGCAATAAGTTATAAACTTCACTATGTGAGCGAAAATCCTGCATTAGCGAAGATATCCTTGACAGAGTCATGTCCTGAGGCAATTTCATGAACAAGATTCCATTTTGACGACAGAGATTACGCAAGTCAGTCTTTTCAGTTTGTTGCCAATTGTCTAGATGGTCGACGGGCAAACTTTCGCGATGCCTAATAGTGTCATCGTAGCGACGTTGAAAAACTTTGACTGCAGGTACATCTAAGTACAGTATATGGGAATAGACACGGAGGTCATTCTGTGTGATCACTGGCTGAGGGGGGTTGCCTTGGTTGCTCCATAACATATAATGTCCTGTTACAACACCTGTCTTCGCGCTGCCAGCGCATTCAGAATGAATGTGGTCAATAGTGGATTTTCGCCATTTCTCCTTTTCTTCGTCAGTCGATTGCTGGAAAGCTTGCAGACCTCCGGGAACAATTTGCTCGATAACCTGGGATCCCTCGTAGAAGGTGAAGAAATCTTCTCCGAGCTTTCTTTTCAAGTCTTTCAACAGTGTTGTCTTCCCGGATCCAGGTAGTCCGTAGATGCCAACGACAGTTGTGGAGGCGGCACTCATGTTGAGAGATTCCGGAGTAGGACTAGTCATTATTTTTTGAGTATAAAACGCAAAGAAACAGTGATGTTAAAGTTCTTAGATATGACTAGAGCTAGAGAAAGTTGGATGATAGGCGTTGTGGTGTGAAAACTTTTCTAGTCTGACTATGAGCATAAGGCTTCTTATATACGTGTTTTGAAAGGTGTTCACCGCCAGCTGTCAGTAACGTTTTGTTCCTTCCTCAACTCCTAAGCGTTTTGTTTCATCTAGGTGTTATGAAGGTGTTCAAAGCTGGAACCCGAAATCAAACAGATTTGATCAATGCGGATCGCTCAAAACCACCAAATGTTGCCTGGCAAAACGTTTGAAGGGACAGGTAGCTTTATGTTTGAGAGTGTGGGCTATGAAAGTTGCCGTTCAGATATTGAAGTTGATATTGAACAGTCAAAAGGAATGCGAAGCCTCATCTAGCATATACTGGAAGGGGGCTCGGCGGGTATTTTCGTTTCATGGGAGGATGGGCTACACACGACGAAGCTGACGAGAGACGTGTTTGAAACGTGTCGGATTGATTTGGTGACGAACGGCTACTTGATCGAGCTTTTCATCTTTGGCCGGATTGACTACCTCGCGTACCGTTCCCGCATTAGGAGCATCACAAAGTGTGGCAGCCGTCTTGTAAAACATACAACGAGAACTAAATTTTGCCAGCATATAACAATATGGTAGAAAATATTGATAGCTGAAAATGAATGGCAGGTTTGCAATGTCATAGCCATCGTACCGGGCTCTACTGATGGAGAATAGCACATCGGATGTTTCACTGAGCTTCAGCAAGAGGGTATCGGCATCGTGGCACTCTTGCTGTTCTTCCATGAGGCGGTATTGATGCCAGGACTCTGGCGTTTGACGTGAAAGACTGAGCCATTCATGCCACGCTCTGAGGCCTCTTTCGCCTGTCAGTTGCATTTTCTGTGTGATTATCCCACCCCTCATGATTGACAGTAAGGAGACTTTTAGAAGGTGGAAATGAGGATCAAATAATGGGGTGGCAACTTGCATTGAGGGATTTTTCATTGTAGATTAGAAAGCGGTATAAAAATTGAAAAATTAATGTTTGACCAGAGCCTTCCGCTTGCGATCCGCAATATTCATCTGCACTACCCCGTGATACACCAAATATGCAGCCATGCTTCGACACGCAATGATGATGGCGATATATTCTGAGGAATGGTGAATGAAGTGCTGATTATTGGCCGGAAAGCGAAAATGGCCGTCGTAATAACTGTCGCTTTGATAGGTTTCAAGACACCAACCAGAAGTAGTAGTTGTTGTAAAAGGTTCCAGTCCGAACGAGCTCACAATGCAAGTAGAGGGATAAAATCTTAGAAGGTCACAATACAGCACGATGATATTTTTAACAAAAGGATTAACGATGTCTGGTGCTTTGTTTCGACGCTTGGAAGGTGAAACAGCGGAAGCTCTAAGCTCTCCGCATGAGGCAGGAGCACTCTTGCCTATTGCGGATTAGCTCAACCCACCTCTTTCCCACTCTGTCCGGAGTTTCGATGTTCCGGCCGATAAAGCGGATATGAAGAAATAATTTCTAGACAACAGTTGACAACAAAACTCGTCGTTGAACAGCGTCATTCGTCTTGTGTGTGATTAGGAGTGGGCTGGAAGGAACGGTGCTCCCTTGCGGTCGAAGATGGATGACCAGAATAATAGGCCTCATCACAAAGGCAAGGAAAAAAAGAAATACCAAGGTGTGTGCTCCGCGGATTTAGAATTTTTATCTTGTCCCTGATATACATCTTGCGCAATGCTATCGCGATTGAAGGCGATTCTTAATATATGGGGTTTATCATATTTGCACTATCCTTAGGCTGACTGTCTGTTTATTTTAGGCCAAAATCCCAAGGCTTTTGCTTTCTCAAATCCTGGAAAGGGAAAAAGACAAGCTGCGAGGTCTCACGAGGTATGCTTGCGCTTCGCTTACCATTTCCCATCGTGGCTAGGCCAAAGACAATGCACTGACGGTATAAATTGGTATAGCTCAAAGAAAAACGTCTCCATGTGCCTCTCGTTGATCGTCTCCCGGAGGAGGCTCCGCCGATTGTGGTTACAGTCGTCGGGCCACCTGGAGTAGGCAAAACAACACTAATCAAGTCTTTGATTAAGCGATATTCGAAACAAACATTGAGTTCGCCAACAGGTCCTCTAACAGTCGTTACGTCCAAGCGCAGACGCCTCACATTTTTGGAATGTCCCTCAGATTCCCTAGCCAGCATGGTCGATGTCGCCAAGATTTCAGACATCGTTCTGTTGATGATTGATGGTAATTATGGCTTTGAGATGGAGACTATGGAGTTTCTCAACGTGCTGGCTGCTAGTGGAATGCCTGGAAACGTCTTTGGGATTTTGACCCATCTCGATCTCTTCAAGAAACAGAGCACATTACGAGCAGCAAAGAAGCGATTAAAACATCGTTTCTGGAGTGAACTCTACCAGGGTGCAAAGCTATTTTATCTGTCTGGGGTCTTGAATGGGCGGTATCCGGATCGTGAAATACACAATCTATCGCGCTTTCTTTCTGTCATGAAAAATCCGCGTCCACTAATCTGGCGCAATTCACACCCTTACACTCTCGCCGATCGGTTCTTAGATATCACACCGCCTACTGAAATTGAGGAGAATGAGAAATGTGATCGCACAATAGCGCTTTATGGTTATTTACGCGGTACAAATTTTCCTGCTCAGGGTGCCCGTGTCCATGTTCCTGGTGTTGGAGATCTTACAGTATCTGCCATCGAGGCTCTACCCGACCCATGTCCTACACCTTTCATGGATCAGCAAATAGCCAAAGCATCGGGAAAGGGGTCAAGAAGAAGGCTGGGCGAAAAACAGAAGCTTCTGTTTGCCCCCATGTCGGATGTCGGTGGTGTCTTGGTTGACAAGGATGCCGTGTATATAAACGTGAAATCAGCCACCTTCGACAGGGATGAAGATGAGGATGATGAAGACAGAGGCCTAGGTGAAAAGCTCGTCATAGGTCTACAAGGCGAGCGAAAACTACTGGGAGAGGCTAATACAGGTTTCCGGCTGTTTCAAGGAGGAGAAGCTATCGCGAGAGATGGCGATGAGGTCGGTACTGGCCGAAAGCATAAACGGTCAATTCGCGCTCTAGATAACGGAGGGCATGTGTCGGATGAAGAAGAGGAGGACGATGAAGGGTTCGAAAGCGGAGACGACGAGGGTCTAGACAATGAAGCAGAAGATTCTGGCGAAGATTTATCTGACGATGGTGCCGATGACGAAGTTCAAACTCCGGCAGACTTCACAGCAAGCTTTCGTGAGAAACAGAACGGACAGTCAAAGAATGAGGGTGATCTTGTTTTCGCCGACAGTGATTCAGACCTCGGCTCTATCTCATCCGTTGAAGACCAGGAGTTTGAAGACGGATCAGAAGAAGATGAGGCAGTGTCCGATGATGGTTATAGTGAAGACGGTGATGATGAAGGAGCCTTGCGCTGGAAAGAGAATATGCTTGAAAATGCGAAATCTCTTCATGGAAAACAACCTGCTTACCGTGTCACTGACCTAAGTCGCATGCTGTATGATGAATCCATCACGCCCTTTCAAGTGATTACACGATGGAAGGGGGAGGACCAAGACGAGGATAAGGATGGCGTGGATGGTGAGGAAGAAGAGGATTTTTTCAAAAAGGCCGATGTCGAAGGTGAAGAAGAATGGGAGGACCGAGCAATACCCAATTTCAATTATGAAGATTTAGAAAGGAAATGGTCAGGTGAAGACGCTGTAGAAGCCTTACGGCATCGCTTCGTATCTGCCAAGCTGTCGGGAAATGCAGATAGTGGCGACGACGATGACGATGAAGCGGATGCCTCGGATGAAGGAGATGGCGCATTTGAGGATTTGGAAACTGGTGAGGTGTTTAATGGCTTTGACGACAAATCAGGACGCAAAGCAGATGAAAGTGAATCGGGAGAAGATGAAGAGGAGGCTGAGGGCTCAGTTGACCTTGAAGCTGAACGAGAACGCAACGCCAAGAAGAAAGAAGAGCTACGGTTACGGTTTGAAGAAGAAGACCGTGAAGGTTTCGCCAACGCAAAAAATGGTGATCGGGGCGAAGGCGGCAACGAACAGGAGTTTGGCGAAGATGACTGGTATGACGCTCAAAAGGCAAAGTTACAGAAGCAACAGGATATCAATCGTGCAGAATTCGAGAGTCTTGACGCAGCATCCCGCGCTCGAGCAGAAGGGTTCAGGGCTGGTACCTATGCACGTATAGTTCTCGAAAAAGTTCCATGCGAGTTTTCTACCAAGTTCAACCCTCGTTTCCCCGTCATTGTCGGTGGTCTGGCGCCCACGGAAGAGCGGTTTGGCTATGTGCAGGTGCGCATCAAACGGCACAGATGGCACAAGAAGATTCTAAAAAGCGGTGACCCTCTCATCTTCTCCCTTGGTTGGCGTCGTTTCCAGTCTCTTCCTATATACAGCATTTCCGACTCGCGTACCCGCAATCGCATGCTGAAATATACTCCAGAACATATGCACTGCTTTGGGACATTCTATGGGCCGCTGGTAGCTCCCAACACTGGTTTCTGCTGCGTCCAGTCATTTTCGAACAAACTCCCTGGTTTTCGAATTGCAGCCACTGGTGTAGTCTTGAATGTGGATGAGAGCACGGAGATTGTGAAGAAGCTTAAACTCACCGGTTACCCATACAAGATCTTCCGCAATACTGCATTTATCCGCGATATGTTTACAACTGCGTTAGAGATCGCCAAGTTCGAGGGAGCTTCTATCCGCACGGTGTCTGGTATTCGGGGCCAGGTTAAAAGAGCACTCAGCAAGCCTGATGGCCATTTCCGAGCCACGTTCGAAGACAAGATCTTGATGAGCGATATTGTCTTCTTGCGTGCTTGGTATCCCATCAAGCCTCATCAATTCTACAATCCAGTTACCAACTTGTTAGATCTGGATGAAAGCGCCTCGGGTGAAACTGGATGGCAGGGCATGCGCCTCACTGGCGAGGTTCGCAAAGCTGAGGGAATTGCAACTCCCCTTGACAAGAATTCCCAATACCGCACCATTGACCGGCCAACACGTAATTTCAATCCTCTGCGGGTACCTCGTCAGCTGGCAAAGGACTTGCCCTACAAGTCACAAATAACCCAGATGCGGCCACGCAAAGAGCAGACGTACATGCAGAAGCGAGCTGTTGTTCTAGGCGGCGAAGAGAAGAAGGCCCGCGATTTGATGCAGAAACTCAGTACCATGAACAATGAGAAACGGGCAAAACGCGCCGCAGCACAAGAAGACCGCAGGAAGGTTTACCGCGCCAAGGTAGCTGAGAATCTGGAGAAGAAGGCCGATCGGGAGAAGCGCGAGCAGAAAGAATACTGGAGACAAGAAGGAAAGAAGAGGAAGCACATCGATGGTGAGAGCGGTGGTGGGAAAAAACGGAGGTGAACAGTTTTTTTTTTTTTTTAACATATCTGTCTTTGGCTTGTACAAAGTTATGCATTGCTGGCGTCGGATTTGTGGATCGGTCTAGATCGTGGTGACACATATACAAAAGTTAGCAGTATACCACATATAGTGATAGTATCGATTATTATTCCAGTGATGCACCCATAGAGAGTATTGTTTGTGGCCTTGATTATCAGGCGTCTACAGGTCACATGACCGCGCGTCTTACCCTCAGAGGTCGCGGTCGACAGCGAGGAAGAGGGGAGAGGGGATACGAATGAAGAACGTCTCACTCTCCTGTCCTTTGCCTCTCCGCTAATACTCTTCAGCATGCAGCACGATCAACACCATTACACCAACACCCAGTCTGGCTCCAGCCACCAGACTGGCATGGCGATCGATCAGCCACTTTTGCAGCGTCTCGTGCCTTGTGTGGAGCAGCTGCACGTTGGCTGTCAAGGTGGGTGAGCGTTGTGCGTCCTTGTGCTCTGGTGTATTATTAGACTGTTCGTATGCTTTATAGAGAGAAGTTTACGGGTTAGTTGTCGGACGCAAGCATAAGGCTTACTTTTTGTCTACCTGCTGGAACTCCGAGGGTATTAGACAGCTTGGATTAGACTCTACGTAAAGACGTGTCTGCCTCCATTGACATTGTACCCTTCTCCAAAGGTACTTCCCAGTCTTACCTCGTACAACCTTCTTCCATCGAGCGTAACGAACAAATAGCCCACTGAATAACATCACCAGCCACCGCAGCCTGTGGAATGCCCATCGCTGCCCCGGCAGTGGATCTGCAACGGCGCTTGAACGCTCCGCGCGGAGTCGAGGCGGGTCTGCAGAGCCACCACGACGACGTCCATGCCGAGTCTGCCATCACCAGCAGCAGCGCCAGTTTTAGACCCCAGGCCAATCCAACTTACCGCGCTAACCATGGTCATTACAACCGTTCCTCGGGGTCTCATACTGCTAAAATCCACGCCTTTGCATCATCACCAAACGGACAGTCGGGGTTACGTGCCTCGGATTCTGCTGCATCCACTGAATCCGCACCGCGTATCGCGTCGTTGATCGCAATGGATGGGAGAACCAACCCTCCATTTGGGGCGACAACAGCAACCACTATTCCAAATCACGACGAACATCCGGCTCTCACTAAGACAGGCGACTCAGAGCCTTCGTTAATTGCACCATCATTTTCGCAACAGTCGTTCTCAGAGTCACGGAAAAATGGCCACGTGCGCCAGCCGTCCAGTCCCGCAAAAGCACGAATCGAGACGCAAGCGCAACTGAGTCGAGGACACAAAAGAACAGCAACAGGTGATGTCAAATTGGGGGTATCTGGAGTTGAGACGCAATCGAAGGTAAAAGGACTCCCGGGTCATTCAAGAACACAGAGCCTAGACTCGACTGGAAGTAAAATTGCCGAGGTCAATAACCCTTTTTTTAGAAAAGTTTTTGGTTCCTATCGTATCGTGCTGATTGTTCACTAATAGCTGTCTGCTCAACTTCGAGCTCGTCTTTCATACGCAGCGTTCAAGGTAGAAAAGAATTGGCAAGTGCCACAAGCAGGGAATGCTTCGGCTCGATCACTAAAGCTGGATACTACACAGATCCCGAAAGAATCAGTGACAGGAGCTCAGCAATCGTATAATGGCTCTCCAGAAGGAACGATAATATCAGCTCCAGAGACAGGGCCAACACGAACGCTCAGTTCCACAAACGAAACATTCGACCGTGCTCGTGCAAGCATGCCCCCACAGTCTTCTACTTCGTTACATACTCCCAAGCTGGCGCCCCCAGTCAACATAATCACAGCAAATAAAACACACAGTGCGCGACGACGACCAAATCCCAACGCAGTGAATAGTACCCCGCCATATAACCCATACCCACGACATCGCCGACATCACTCGGAGATAGAGAGGAACACCGCGCGTTCTTATAATTCTAATATGGCTACTCTTGCCGGAAGATCTCCATATTCCATTTCGGCTTCCAGAAGCAATGGTCACAGTCCAGGTTCGATGCGATCTGCCAAACACTCTCCAATCAAGCGACGTACTCCTTCACAAAATGCTCTTATGGAGCAGGACGCCATTGAAACTTTGCTCTTTATGTCCAGTCCGGAGAATTCTGGTTATCACCCTAACTCCCAGTCCAGACAAACCAATGTGAGCACTAGCATTGAGGCGCAAATAGAATTAGGTTCCAACGGAGGCCCGCAGAATTCGTCGCAAGGAAGTAATTTATCAAGTATAGGAAACCCACCAGCGGTTAATTTCCTTCACTCAGGAGCCTTCCCCGCTGCAGCATCGATTGCCAACAACCACTCGATAGGATTAGAGGCACAAGCTGGCGATGAGATCGATCGGCTTCTGGATCAAATGGAAAATGAAAACAGAAACAATACTCAGATGCGACTGTCATACGATTTTTCTCCACTTGGAAACCAAGAGCTAGGTTTATACGGAGCTGACAACCTTGGCGGGTTACGAGATTAATTCTGTCGAATTTTATAGAGAGGAAGCTATGACCATTTATGAAAGGCATTTGTTTTGGAATACCCTCAGGTACCTGATTAAATATTGATCTATATTATATACATGTTATATGCCCGACGAAAATCCCGAGTCCTTACCTTGCCTCTTAACATATTTGAAGAACACACAGTCCTAGTTTTATCACAACATAGATTTCCTCCGGTTTGGGTCGCGATGTCTATGTTCGGTAATTGGCATCCAGGGGACAGAGTGCGGAACTCAATGACCACACCGACATCAGAGTTGCATGTCTCAGCACATCCTTCACCAGCTGCAATATTGGCCTTGTTAATTGTGGTCCTGGTGGTATCCCGCGGAAGCTACCCCTGAGAATGGCTGATCTTGGTTCGTTTGGCCCATCGCCTGACTTGTCTGGTCGAGACAGCTGAAATACCCTAGTTGCAAGTAGTTCTGATCAGCTGTCGGCCGAAAATCTGTCGGTTTCGGTGGTCGAAGATGACCACTTTTCTCTTGGCACGCATTTCTCATGGAGCGTTCCAATTGCTGCCTACGTCGCTCAGACCATTGAAGTTCCTTTTCGCGTTTGGATATTCTCTCTTTGAGTTTGCTATTCTCACGCAGCGAATTATGGTATGCCGCTTCGACCTCTTCCAACTATCCAGGCCGTAATTGACGGCCAAAAAAATTATCGAGGTAACGACAATGTTGGTCACGAAAGCTGCAAAACAAGCAAGGAGGGTGCTTGTGGTCACATCTTTTTTTATTCTTATTACAGCGACGACATGCCATCCGATCAGGCTTGTAAACAGCTGCTTTGCCTGGAAGTTCTAAAGACTGATCCTCATCCGTGATGTTGTCATCTCCTGGATAAAATTCATTGTCATACGGATCCCAATATTTAGGGCCAAAGCCCTGACCTTATTCGAATCTATAGTAGATCGAAGCTTTTCCCCGTTTCTCCTATCTTTAGCACATTAAGCTTTTGTTCGACTGCCACTTGCTAGATCCTCGCCTTTCCCATTTTGATACGGGGTGTGCAGTAAAGCATAAAGCACCTGCACTTTGTTCGGGCCCGTGGATTCTGGCTCTTCCCTTTGCCGCCGTTTTGTCAATAATTTCCAACGATATGGGATGTTTGGATGTGCATTTTTGCGAGTCCACTTGGGCATCTTGCCCTCTGTACTGGCTGTGGGCCCTGCGTTTGACGTTGAAAGCGGCGAATATACTTTTTTGCGGATTTTCTTGTATTATTCTCCAGCAAGCACTGATATACATGAAATGTTGGAGTCAATCCAAACATTAGGGTTACGCATCCACCACAAATAGTGACAATGAGACATCTTAGGCATAGCACGGGACGTCTACCGATTGGATATTTATGACAAGAAGACACCAAGTACGCGTGGAAGATGCCCATGAATGCATGGTGTGGTCCATAGTTTGATTCACTTCAATTGTTGTTACTAAACAGAAAACTGACCAATCATTACAGCCTAGTCCATTTGCCTCAAGGTAAAAATCCTAGCAAATTCTGCGTCGTTTCGGCGTTTTTGTATATATTTCCATCGTATCGAAGCAATATAGTCAACGCGTCTATCTTTAGTGGGCTGAGGATAACAGGTGGCCCTTAATTTACAAACAATTGCTCCATGCCTATACGAAAATTGGACAAATAACAAATATTACTATAGGCATTAGGCATATAGATACAGATGATTCACAAATTTAATAGATTGATATATTGTTACTGTTTTGTCAAACTTGGTCTAATGCGAAAGTTAGGGCTAGCTGCTTTGACTGTAACGACGACCTTTCACACTGAGGCAGCTAGCAGATTTTCTTCTGGGAAACACCATTGCTATCTTGATTCCGCGTGACAGAAGCGAAAATATAGCTACTAGCCTTGCCTAAAGTGACAACCTAAATTCGCTGAGATGTATTCTTCTCGCTTATACGCTGAAGGTCTTTCGAGCCCATTTGATGTTCGTTGTTAACCCAATCAATTAATAAGTATAAATCTTACCTCACTATGATTGTCCAAACGCCAGGCCTTGCTTTCTGTTTCATGTTGTCCCCTTCGATGTCTTTAAATCAAGCTATCAAGTAGCCTTATACCGCGTTCTTGAGGCACAGAGGGGAAAGTGTTCTTCTTCGGTACATGTAGATAGATAAAAATCGGTGAAATCCTTCTACGAATCACTATAACTCTTAGCCTGTGGCAAATTAATGTCTTTATCAGTCATCACGCATATTTCTTCCTATTTCGGAAAGCTCTAATTAAATATTGTTATCCTCTTAAGATGTACAAACTTACCCTCAAACGTAATTTGTTTATCTAGGTAAGCTAGTCTGCACTGTTTTTACTCTGAATATCTTTATTTCCCAATAATATCAATTATTAAGTGGCTTTGATTCTATTCACTATTTCTCTATCATCCGGATATCGATTTTGGCTACGGTTCACATATGCAATGTTGTTAATGCATCAACGCAGCATTTCGATTGATCGTTTCATCCTATTCGATATTTGACAATGTATATTACATAGCTTAGACTACATAATCATGAAATTACTAATTTTATACAAAAAAATAGAAACTTAATGATTCCTTAACGCCAATCCTTCGTAAATGGTATACACACTCACTGCTCAACCTCGCGCCTAATAATGCATTTGCGCACACTATACAGGGATGACTATCCCTCTATTCAATCCCAAGTATTTGCCCCATCCTTCTTCGTCAATTAGATCCCAATACCCCAGTTATCTTCATCCTCGGCAACATCGTAGTCTACCTCGCCTGCATTTCCTTGGCCGTTTGTACCGTCGGCATTCTCCATGGCGGTATCATGACTCGGCTTTTCTGCAACAGCAGGCGATGGATTTGCGACCCATGAAAGCTCGACTTTGCCAACAGATGGGATTTCGGTTGTACCGAACATGAGCTTCTCAGCAATGTAGCGCTCCTTAAAAGTGACGACCATCGAGCCGGCCTGATCGGGATTTGGGGTGATTGATTCGTATTCACCAATACCCTATACAGACGGTTAGATATTAGACTAATCAAAATCAAAGGCTTGTTTCAAAGACCTACAATGAGATATTGCCGCAATGCCTCGTCCTTTTCTGGATCGAATCCAACTCCTGATATGGCAACCCGTTTTGGACGATTGTCTAACCGAAGGACTCCGCCACGCCCACCTCGGGGCGCTCCACGTCCACGATACGCGCCTCGAGTCGAGCCTCGATATGAAGGGTCGAAGCCGCGTCCTCGCCCACGATATCCACCGAATCCACGTCCACGGCCCCTAAATGACTGAGAACTGGCATTTGGATCGATGCCCAAGCTCTTAGCTTCGGCTTCTAGCGTCGCAAGCTGAGCACGAAGCGATTTTGTCTGCTCGCTAGCATCACCATCCATAGCTGTCCTTGCTCCATTTGGGTCATTATCTTCAGTCTGAATTTCACCGGAGGCACTTCCGAGCCGCTGCAAAAGCTTGGCTTTTTCTTCCTCTTGTCTTTTCATGAGCTCCTCGCGCTGTTTCTCAAGTGCAAGACGTGTTTTGTCAGCCTCCTTGCGCTTCTGGATCCTCTCCTCATGCACCTTTTGAGCCTCTGCTTGCTTGGCATCAAATGCATCTTTATCAAACATGGGTGTGTCCTGCTCCTGACTGGTTTGCTGGCCGTTTGCATCGGGCTTCTTCTGTGGTTTGTGCCAGTAAACTTTCACAAACCGGTTATCAAATATAGCCTTGGGACTAGCCCAAGCACGGCGAGCCGAGTCATGGTCTTCAAATTTGATGAGAGCGAGGTTCTTCTTGAAGCCTTGCATTTCCAATTCGGCAATGCTTCCGAACTCAGAAAAGTAATCTCGTATAACTTGCTCGTCGTACTTTTCCTCGGGGATATTTTCAACGACGACGGTAGTGATCGATTTATCATCACTAGGGCCTACAAGAGAAAACTCCGAACGTCCTCCACGCCCCCTTGACGGCATTCCTCCACGGTCGCCACGGCCCCGACCGCGTCCTCGACCTCGGTTTGTATCTTTACCGCGTTGAGCATCATAAATGTGAGCAGTTGTGGGGTCATATTCTGGTGGTGTCAGTATTTAGCACCTTGAAAACATGAAAAAGAAAACTATACCGTTCTTTTCAGAGACAGCAACTGCGCCTTGTCCGTGCTTGTATGGACACGCCGCTCCCATGTAACAAATACCATTGGTTTCATAAAACGGACAAGGTTCATCCGACTTTGCTTGATCGCCGCCTTGTTGACCCGGCATCGGCATCGGAGGAAGGCCTGGCATCTGAGGAAATCCCATACTCTGTAAAGCCATCATCGCAGCCATCGGATCGTTTTGGTCAAACCCGGGGAACCCTTGTGGCATTCCAGCAAACCCAGGTATACCCTGTGAAAACTGGTTTAGGCCTGTGCCATCCCTGCCTCCATTCATTCGGTCACCACGACCACCGCCTCGACGTGTACGAGGAGTTTTGAATGACCTTCCGCCTCTTTGCGAGTCTCCATGCTGCTCGTCCTGCTGGAAACCTTCGTTATATGTGCGCTTTCGCGAGGTTTGTGGGCTCTGCCAAGCTCCTTGTTGGTTTCCCTTCGGTCCATACCCGGCAGTTTGTCCATCAAAAGCATGAAGCTGCTGAGGCGATGCGGTGGAGGGAGCAGTTTGAAATTGAGGTTGGGGCTGGGCTTGCTGAGGTGCGACGGGAACCGGTGCATCGGTCTTGGGGCCATACTTCGCAAAGATCTCATCCACGAACTGGACAGTATCTGTTTTCATTAGTACAAAAGATCAACACCCGCGACTGTGTAAACTGACTTTCTTTCAGGAAGTCCTCCAAGTTTTCAATGGACGCTTGGCGGATTTCTGCATCCGGAGCATCTGATCGAATAAGTGCAAGCACGTAGTCAGCAAGAACATCGGCGTCGGCATCAGAACTATATGTGAGATAATCGTGTTAGTGGGACTACGTTTGGACCGATGCGCAAAAGTCGATGGTGAGTTTCAACATACATGTCTTCCAGCCTCTTCACTACCCATGTCTTGACCTCCGCAGCTTGCTCCTCTGTAAATTGCATGTCGAACTTGCTATTCCAGGCTAACTGCAAGTGCGCGCAGTCTGTGCAGGTACAACAAGTATTGTAGGAGTGAGAACTCCTAGACAGGTGTCGTAGGTCGAAGTACGCGACACGGCGGTAATTAAACACTATCAAATTTCAGGTGAAAAAAGAGCGAGCATTGATTATCGAATTTCACAGAGGAATTCAAGTTATTTTTCGGCTAGATTAGAAACGTCAGTAGTTCACTAGGTTAATGAGGTATGACGGTGATAGCTCTGTAATAATATTTTCGAGCTCTCGATGCCAATAAACGCGATGGCAAAAACGGGTCACGTGATTTAGTCTAATTCTAAATTAAATTATGCGGCGTTGAAGGGGCGATTATATCCATGTAGTTACGGATTATGATTGAAAGAAATTATATATCAACTTTACTACAATATTTCGAATATGAGTGCAGTATTTATATTGTTTCTTATAGTGAAACATATTCAACAGCAAAATTTCACACTCATTTCAATAACATAACAAAGGAAAAGTTAACATGCAACCTCCGGCCTGTGTATTCTACTGATGTAATTTCATCTCCAATGACCGAGCTGCAATCGTGAACGAGGCGAGGGCCAAGTTCGTCGAATTTTTTAACGTTGGTATCATATCATGTCTCGCTTACACCCCACTCAGGCTTCAGGGTTCATCATACTCGTAATAACTGGCCTGTCAAGGCGAGATCAATCCGACTCGAGAAGGGTCTTTTACAGCTTGTCGTAGTACTATGTAAAAGAATTAGCAACCATACATGCAAGAAAATGCTCCGAAAGATAGGATAAAGACTTACGTTATCATAGCCAGGAACTTGTTCCTTAAGACCCTTACGCTTACGAGTCTCGGCGACGATTTGACCAGGCTTGGTAGTTGGGTCAAGAGGAGATCCACCAGGGAGGATAGCCCAGTGATCGAAGACTGATTGAGGGAAGGCCTGTCCTCCAGTGGCAGCACGGAGATCTCCGTTGAAGCCGAAGGACTCGTTGACGGGCATGTAAGCCTTGACGGTGAAGAGAGGAGTACCAACACGCTGTTCCTCAGTGTAAACGTGACCACGACGACGAGTGAGCACACCGTAGATACCACCCATAGCTTGCTCGGGAACCTGGATTTCGACGTTGAAGATAGGCTCCAAGAGACCTGGGTCAGCAAGGAGGGCGGAGGCGTAAAGCACACGGCGAGCAGTAGGAATGATCTGACCACCACCACGGTGAATAGCGTCAGCGTGAAGGGTCACATCCATAACGTTGAATCGAACAGAACGCATGGGTTCTTCGGCAACAGGACCTTCACGGGTAGCCCATTGGAAACCGGAGACGAAAGAATCCTTGATTTCGTTCAGGTACTGAACAGCCTTGGTCTGGTCAACAAGCAAGTTGGCACCGGTGGTGTCAGGACCGAAAGCCCAGATCTTACGGGCATCGGTAACATCCCAGCCGTAGTCATCAGCAAGGACACGAGCACGAGCCTTGAAATCGTCACGCGGGTTGATCTTGCCAGCCTCAATAGCGAGAGAGACTTCCTCAGAAAGAGGCTCAGCCTCGACATACAGACGGTTGTGCTTATTGGGAGACTTGGACAAAGCAGTCATACTGGACTTGCCACCGACAGTCTCACGGTACTGGACGACAGGGTCAGAGATGCGCAGAGGAACACCGGCGTGGTCCTCCTCAAGATCCTTCAAGCAAATTTCCAAGTGAAGTTCACCGGCACCAGCAACGACGTGCTCACCGGATTCAGAGATGGAGACCTGGACACAAGGGTCGGATTTGGAGAGACGCTTGAGACCTTCGACAAGCTTGGGCAGATCATTGGCATTCTTGACCTCAACGGAGCGACGCACGACAGGAGAGACAGAGAACTTCATAACCTTGAGGTTGTGGGCAGTCTCAGAGGTAGTGAGGGTACCAGACTTGAGCAAGAACTGGTCAACACCAACAAGACCGACAATGTTACCAGCAGGAACATCCTCGATGGGTTCAACGAAACGACCCATCATGAGAATGGTACGCTGGATAGCCTTGATGGTCAAGTCCTCCTTCTTACCAGGAACATAGTTAGGTCCTTGAATACGGACCTTAAGACCGGAGCGAACAACACCAGAGAAGACACGACCGAAAGCGAAGAAACGACCCTTATCGGAGGTCGGCACCATCTTGGAAACGTAAAGCATGAGAGGACCCTTAGTGTCACAGTCGCGAATAGCAATGCAAGCCTCGTCATCAGTAGGACCTTCGTATAGAGTTTCCGCACGGTACTTCTGGGCAGTGACGGGAGAAGGAAGGTGGAGTACCATCATCTCGAGGAGAGCGTCAGCGGCAGGCAAGAACTTGCGCATGACAACCTTGAGGAGAGCCTTGCCCTCGAGATCTTTCTCATCATTGGTAAGCTTGATTTCAAGCTTGTCAAGGAGAACGGTGATCTCCTCCTTCTTGTTGTGAGTGATGGACGAGAAGACCTTGAAGATGGGGTCAAGGATAAACTGGTTGAAAGCACGCTCAAGCTGCTTGCCCTCATATGTTTCGGACTTAGTCCACTTCTTGGTCTTGGGGTTGAAGAAGTTGTCACCCTAGAATTATTAGCTTTGGCTCGATATATACATGTAGAGTGGAAAACTTACCCAGAGACGTTCCATCATCTTCTTACGATCAACACCAAACTTCTTGGCATACTTGATGGCGAATTGACGGACGGTGAAAGCCCATCCGTGAAGACCGGAGCCGAAAGCAACGGTACCGTTGTAAGGGTAAACCTGGACATCACCGAGAGCCTTGTCGAAGTAAGTAGCGATGATAACGTTGACGGACTCGATAGTACGAGAGAAAGACTGGTACAAGTCCTCCTTGGTGACTTGGAGTTCGAGAAGAGCACGGTCAACCTTATTGATGATGACGACAGGCTTGATACGTTCACCAAGAGCCTGACGGAGCACAGTTTCGGTCTGGACACAGACACCTTCGACGGTGTCGACGACAACCAGGGCACCGTCGGTGACACGAAGAGCAGCAGTAACCTCAGAAGAGAAATCAACGTGACCAGGCGAGTCGATCAAGTTGATCAAGAAGTGGTTACCGTCAACCTTCTGGGGGATATCCTTGATATCTTCCTCGTCGGGCAAGTGGGCGTAGAGGGAGATAGCAGTCGACTTGATAGTAATGCCACGCTCCTGCTCATCTGCACGTGTGTCGGTGAAACGTTGCTCACCTGCCTTGGCGGCAGAAATAATACCGGCACGCTGAACGAGAGAGTCGGTAAGAGTGGACTTTCCGTGATCGACTAAGCGAGGATTTGGTTAGCACGAGCTTCATTACTCATCTTCCTTGCCTGTCGACATTCGGCGTGCCAGAGCTGAACAGGGAGAAATGAACATACCGTGAGCAATAACGGACATGTTCCGGATGTTGGCCGGACGGTCCATCAGGGCCCGGATCTACGGGTGTGGTTAGCAGTTGTCGAACTGAAGTGAAAATTTGGCCCCTCCTTGTAGGGAAGCACGTTGAGGGTACTGGACGAACCTCTTCGATGGTGAAGCTGGAGCGTACATATTAGCATCATTTTCATAATGATCAGTTGCTCTGACCACAAGATCCAGGTGTGGGAGGCAAGGGCTGATGGATGGGGTTGTCAAAGACTTACTTGACCATCTTGCTTGGATTTTTCTGGTAACGGCCTTAGAGGCGGGGTTGTGCGATAAACAGAAAAGAAAAAGGAAGCGGCACACAGATGACCAGGATCGAGGGCTGGCTCGACCTGATATGCTGGGAGGAGAGAGAAGAACCTGCTGCGCTGCTCCTGCGATGTGAAGAGAGCTGGAGGGGTTCCAAGAAGGAAAAACAGGTGTGAGCTGGAGAAGCAGAGAGGAGAAAAAAGCGCAGGAAAGAGAGGAGGGCGGGCTAGTTAAGTGGGGAAGGGAAGCTGCAACCAGCAAGATTTTCGTCGCTCGAACTCCTGCAAATAATAGCAATAGTCGTTCTTCGTCGTTTCCTTCTGGTTCTGGTATTATTTTTTAAAAAAAATATAGATTACGCAGTTATATAATATTGGTAATCTTTCGAGTCATAATTGTTTATTATTATTGCGGTGGTACTTTCGTTGTTCTGCGGAGCCGAACAGGCTCCCCTTCCGACACACAAACGCAATTGCCTGCTTGTCTACGCCTTGTTTCCTTTGTGCCCGATAGTAGTATTAATAATATAATAAGCTTACTGTCATGGGCAATTTTGGTAGTTATCTGGCAGTTTTGTGCGCCGACTAAAGATTGCTACCAGAAAAAATTTTTGCCCCTCGTTTACTTCCGGCGGCCCCTCCATCGCCAATCATCCCGCCACCAGCCATTACCAACAGACGGCTCTTTGTATCGCCTTATGATGAGTCTGGATTATTGTTTGTATTTAATTGTAATGACTGATGGTGAGTCAGTGTTAAGTGACTCATGTTGCTGTTGTCACCTGAACCCGTTCTATAATGTAAATAGTCCATGATGTCATGCGCCAGCTTGGATAGCAAGGTGAGAAATGGAATTGCCTGGTGAAAGGCTTACCGTAGAACTAAGTCAGCTCACTCTTCGTAGTAGTGCATACATAAATTACATATTATTACATTGAATACATTCTCGATTTGCTCGGCTTGGCGCGGAGTGACTGCTGTTGTAACTTGGTGAATAGTGATAATAATGACAATAAGAGTAAATATTAACAGTGCGGAATGAGGGGCTGGGGACGGGGCTGCAGCCAATCAGCAGCCACTGCGAAGTCTCTGGTGCCGGTTCACCGCCAGCAAGCCGGACTTAGGAGTTAAGCAGTTACCAGCATTGGATCTTGTATTTACTACTACGAGCAATGAATGATATAATTAAGGATATCAAGAGACGGTTGTGTATATACAATTCTAGTTAAATCACCAAGTACGCCGACAACCCCATGCAAATGATATCAAAGAAACAGAAACTGTGGATCATCCCAAGATCTTGCTATACGCATCCGCCACCTCCTTTGCAACCTCCGATAGCGTGACGATGATGATCTGGTGTGTGATATTTGGCAAGCGGTCCCGATTCAGCCCAATCCACTCGAGCGGAGGAGTCGCATCTCCCATGTCCCGCAACTGTGGTGTCTCGATTAAGGGAGGTTCGAGTGGCCGGTAGGTGTACTTCGATTGAGGCACATTGACAACCGCTGTGATTTTCTCGCCTTCGCTCTGGCCCACATCGCCTTCTTCTTCGTCGGCGTCCTCCTCGCCCTCAGGCTTGGGGCCACCAGTGATACGCACAGCGGACGGCGGTAATGGCTTTCCCAGACGGTTGGCCAATGCCCGAGAATGAGCCGTCCACATGCCGCGGATGAAACTGATACGCGAGTAGTTCCATCCGACGTCCACCTTGCCTTCGAAAGCACTCTTGAAGATATAGTCAATCTCATTCGATTCCATAGCTTGCCATGTCTCCATGCTTGCAACAACCCGGGGCACTTTCAAGATAGTCCCTCCGCGAGAACCAGTCGCGCGGGCAGCTACTTCAGCTACAGAAAGTTCCTCCATCTCAACCGTAGTGGGGCGATTGATGCTGGAGAGTGCCACACGAAGCTCACCAAGGGTAAGGCCCAAAGAGCTGTGGATTCTCTCATCTTCCGCATAAACTGCGAAACGTGCTTGAGCATCAAGTGCCTCCATCTTGAAAATTTGATTGTCAAAAAATGAGCTAGGAAATGCACCGACATTGATCGCTCGAATCGTAACAACGACGTCTGTATGTAGTGATATTGGTGCCTTCTCCACCTTCTCGTCTTCCTGCTCAAACTGTGGAATCGCCGGGCTCTCTGTAGTTGACGTAACCACAGATGATTTACGGCGAAAGTAACGTTCTATTTCTTTAAGGGAACTTTCGTAGGCGGCGTATTTGTCTTGAGTAAACCGATTCCACGTCTGATAGAGAGCCAAAGACTGGGATGCAGTCATAGTAGTACAAAAAACTTGTACTTTATCACCCTCCAGGATGCTAACGAGTCGGTCTTGTAATGGCCCTGAGGAGGTGCGAACATTGTACATCAAGAAGTCGAAGGTGACGATGTCGGCAACTAAGAAAGGCTGGTATTCAAAGGACGCATTGGCTTGCAACTGCGCAAATCCAACGGAGGCCTGAATGAGTGGTGTTTGCCCTGATTTTTGCCCTGATGGTGGACTTTCATCAGGCCATTGAATAGATGTACGTACTTTCATCTTTTCTAAGGCAACTGACCCACTCATTCGGCCTTTGCTCTCAATTGACATGACATCGAATCCTCCACACAGATTCTGCTCCCAATCAGATGACTTTTTAGATGATACCCACATATTCTTAATCCCAAACTCTGCCTTTCCAAGGGTTTGTCCAAGGTCAATTTGTATATCCAACGCCTCAATCGAAATAACTGTATTCCACGGAAAAGCTTGTGCTGAAGCGACTTGTTGATAACGGCGAACCATCAAAGCCTGCGAATCAGCAGGGGTTGGGTTGGGAGTTCGAGTTGTTGTCACGAAAGGTAAATCGTCCTCAGATGGAACCCAAATCTCACGAAATAATAGGAAATCCTGGAATTGCTTTGCATTGATCATCATCTTCACTGGGCTCATTTTCAAAATAGCTGATATACCACTCGTCGTGCTCACATGTTTGCTGTTCATCAGCGACATCACCATTGATTGAACCTCAAAGCTGGCGGTTGACTCGTTGGAATACACATGTTTAACTGACACCTGGAGCGAGTTGCAAGAAATCAGAATAGCAAAGAAACGGCGGTGCTCTGCAGACTGAACGGTGTTTACCGTCACAAAAATATCTTCAAACTTCGCAGTAGCAGCAACTCTTGCAATAGGTTGACAGCTAAGCCCAAACTCCTGCTTGCAGATTCGTAAACCCAGGTTAAGCTTGCACCGACCAAGAATACTTTCGGGATTGGTTGCGTCGAACGAACTATCTTCAAGCTTTTTAGGCTTTTGTAGCGTTCCCAAAAGCTGTGATTCTGTATCCTCCTGATCTCCCACGACCTCTTTAACAGACGAGGAGATTTGTTTGATTAGAGGAACCACAGTAGGGTATAATGTATTGCTGGAGGGGTTTACTCTCAATTCTGCATTTAATGTCGGATCATCAACGCCATTATCGCCGTATTGTACCTTGAGCGCTACACCAGGGCTAGTGAGAGATGCTGTTGTTGTGGAGTCTCCTTGCGTGTAATGGCCATATTTGCTTTCGGGACGACGAGTACCTCTCGCCCTGGCAGCTAAAAGAGTCTGTTGATCATCAAGTTGTCTGCCCAACAATGTGACAATTGCTCCAGCAAAGTCCACGTCAACAAGTACAGATGACAGCTTTTTATTTCCAAATAAAGTATTGGCACTAGTTCCAGTCGTCTGTGTCTGCGATGGAGAAGTGGCCCATATCGCCTTTGCCTCACGTACACTCTCTGCTGCAGAAGCTATTGAACTTTGTAGAAGTCTGGCAGGAAGTATGAATCCAGTAGTACCACGGATATCAAGAGACTTGCCTGCTGCTTGAAAGGCAAGTCGCAAGTCATTCTTCGTTGAAAGATATGCAACATTGAAAACAATCTCAGGCATCAACGCCGAGTTCAACGATCGTTTCCTTTTGTCTTCGAGTTTTGGCGCCATCTGCAATTGTGTATCCTGAATACGAAGTTTTGCTGAATTGTCCCTTGAAGTTGAGAAACTAACGCGTCGAATGGAAAATACCAAATCTTCAGGTTCACATCCTGATTTCGGACAGAGCTTGTTGTCCATTATCCAGCTAATTTGGATATTAGTGAATTCTACCAAATATGTTGCACCAAAAACTTCCTGTGTTTGACTGTCATCCACATCAGTAATACTCAGTCGAGGCAATTGGCTTTGGGCTCCGCGGCCGTGTGGCCTCGCAAGGCGTCCCAGGTGTCTGAATCGTTTCATATCCTCCGATAAGTCGAGTTTCTTGATACGATCTTGCAAGTGTACTGCAATATCAATGACCAAAGAGGTGGTCTCCGCATAAAGCTGTACGTCCAAGCCTTTACTTGTAAGATTGAAAGTCCGTACCACTTCATTGCGCTCGTTGAGTCCCGAGGTAGCGAGGAGACCGATATCCACAGCGAGCTTGCCATACTGTTGAATATAGGATCTTTCCCGTCTCTTTAACTCAAGTCCAACTTGAGATACATTGACATGGAAGTCAGGGAAGCTAGAGTCATGCCTTTGCTCTGAAGTATCCAAATGTATCTGCGTCGAACCAAGAGTAAAATTCATATCTGCCCAGTAGTCATTACTCCTAATTCCAGGAGCACGAGCATGGATCTCCCAGCCTGCCATCGTAAGACGTACGTTGTATAATATCTCACGGCTCACAGAGCTGGCTGGGGAATGTGGCGTTGGCGTTTTCTGTTCATGGGCTAAGATATCGCTCAAATGAAGACGAAGTTCACTGAGACTATTAGTACAATCTGACATGAAATGACTTATTTCCGGACGCGTGAAAGCACTCAATAGGCTGCGTAAGGAGCTAGCTTCCAGCCTAATAAGCTCAACCGTGACATCTGCCTTGAGAGAAACAGCACTGGGTAACATGTTGCCCAAAATCCTTCCATTAATTGGAGGGATGTCAATTTCAGATACGGATTGGGAGTGCTTCTCTTCCACCGTCTTGAAAATGTGATGGTTACTTTTAACATCAAAGTCAACCTCAAGCCCGTTGTCATTGTTTGACAAGACCGACATGCGAGCAACTTTTCCATCAATTATATATGTCAAAGAAGGAAGAAGCCGGAAATTGATTTGGTAATCATCCAAGAAAAGAGCAACATGGAATTGATGCGTTTCTGAGATTCCCTTGGGCTGCTCAATCACTTCTGAAGACGAACGGATCGTCTTGTTCTTGTTCAACAATTGAATAAGTGTAGAAACATGTCGTATCTCGTCTTCTACAATCTTGTCAGCAACATGTATCAGACCCAGAGGGTCCTCTTGCATGTTGTAAGTAAAACTGCGGCAGGAGCAAGCCAGCTTCCAGTCATGGATAAGGTACTCCGGGCTTGACTTTGATATATGAGAACCATAAACATGCGGTTGCCAGATTTCCCAGAGCATCAACACCTTCGAACGACTCGAGAATATCGTAGAACAATCTTCAGCACTTAAAATGGCGGTTATCTGTTCTTCCTGCTTGTTATGGCTTGGACTTAAAGCCAAAGAGCTTTTTAGGCTATTTCCTGATAGATACAGTGTCAAATTGATACCGTCTAGACTGATAGACCCTTCGTCTGTACCGACAAAAATGTGCAGTTCTGTCAGGCACTCATTCTGTAACTCGGAATGTTGGGTGGCTGGAGATGAAGCAAGCTGGATATTAGACATTGTTGCTGCAATCTCTTCAAGAAGATCGAGAATTTCCCAGCGTAAACGTAATGCGGAGTTTGAGCTGTAACAGCGGATTGTATGTGTCTTCTTTGGTGGCGCTGTCCCAGTCTCATGGTCAGACGCAGCAGCTAAGGAAGAAGCATAAGCAATGAGAATATCATTGAGCATAATGTCGCTTTGCTTCGGACCAGGGTCAATGATAAAGCTCAAGCCTTTAATATTGCACGAAAATGCAATAGGTACCATAAGCACGTTTGGGGCGACCGAAGACGCCGTGGATTCACCCCAAATTGCTTTCATTACGTGACTTTTCTCGACATGTGCGAGGTCCCAAGGCCGCCATTCGTTAAAATTTTCTAGGACTGTTTCTTTTGCACTTTTGGGGGACGTATGACCTAGATCTGTACAACTAGTCTTCAAAGCGCGCTGTTGGTCTGGTGACAAGTTCTTGTAGATGTTTCGCAAGCGAGATATGATCTTCCAGGAATCATGAAGTCGCAGATGATGTTGTGATGCACGTAGAACATAAGCCGGACGGGTAAGGAACAATGGATCCGGCATGCCAGCAGCGGAATCCGTAAGTGACCAAACCACATAACGCAAGCGATCAACAGTGGACGGAACTTCTTGGAAAGAGGTTGCGATGGAGTCTGCCAAAGTTGTAGTGCGTTTAACAAGAAGAGCGAGTGGTGCTACCGATTTGGACGATGTTGATGTCTCGAATGAACGCATTTGGACATGAGATCGCATTTTGGAGCTGTTAACCGACCAAAATACTGTTTCTCTTAAAACACATGTGAGTTCGGCTTGGTCATGAAGAGTGTCTGACTGTCTCCCGAGAGCAGTAAATGAAAGCATTTCTGACGCCGAGTGAATCGTCGTACTTATTTGGCTGTCTTTTATCAGGTCTTGCTCCCGTCTTTCAGATTCGGTCTTATATGTAGCTTGGAAATGTAGACATGAGAGTCTGTATTCGTCTTGATATTCAGGTTGTGAAGCTGTTTCGTATGGTCCTTGTCGGTTGAGAAGGTTAAGAACGGCTGATGGAATGCGAATAGAAATGCTCGTTGCTGATTTAGGTTTATTCTTCTTCGACTTCTCGTGTTTTACAATGTCAGAGATAACCTGGGTTTGCAAAGAATCAATCATATCAACCGGGGAAGTGGACTGAAGACCATCAACCAACAAGGACAACGAATGAAAAAATTCAGGTGTACAAAACCCTCGTAGTCCGGGCGTTAATGTACAGAATATATCTGTGTGTGCAGTCTTGTCGTCATTAGAAGCCATTATGTAGTCGTCATTTTCAACAGTAGTTTCCTTCTTGCTAGTCACATCTGGCAAAGTGGGAAGATTGCTGGAGTCAGGTCTCACTTGATGATAATGAAAATGTGGAATGGCCCAGAAACTTGACGGCCCGTTCATGACACGTTCAGTGTCATTCACGTCGTCATCATAATAATTCCTGCTTGCTGCGTAGTCAATGGGTAGCTGTGGGGATCGTGAATTCTCATTAAAATGACTCCTTGAAACTTTATTTTTCGAATCCAGAACCTTTCCATGGGCATTATTCTCCTTGCGACCTCGAAAGCTCGAGTTATCAAATGATAAAAATGAGCTTTGGTGGGTTAGGCCTTTGTGATCTCTGGGTGGCACAGCGAACGACTGATTAGCATCCAACGCACCCACGACGGGTTCTGGCATTGAAGGCAATATCATAGCAGGTGGATTAACGCTGGGACTATTCCAATCAAGCATATCATCTCCGCTCACGCCCAGTAATAACCAAGGAGTTCGGTGCGACCTTTCGTCATGCACTCGAATGTGATCTTGTTGAAGCTTACGGTCTTCAAGGAAATTTGCCTTCCGTTGTAGCATTGACAAATCTAGACTTGTCTCAAATAGGGCATATGTTGTAACGGTATGTGATCCTTTATGTCGGCGAGCTGCGGATCTGCGATCTATGGCATAAAATTTGATATTTGGTATTCTTAATGACAGGCGCTTAGAAAATTGAAGCCGGGACCAGTCATTGAAGTCAATTTCAATACAATCAAGTCCCAAACTCACCGCAACTTGGTCCACTAAAAGCGTCAGATGAAGTGAACCAATTCTAGCGCGTAAAAAGGTGACATCATGCAAAACGGATGGGTGCAATGGGGGGAGGGCATTTTCCTCATCGTCAAAGGTAAAATCCAAGTTTCGAAATGCTGAAGCTGCGGACTTGATAAATTCTGTATTGCATTCTCCCACAATTTTACCAACGTTGAAATCCCAATTGCAGACATATGTAGGCTCCGTTGGAGGCAATCCGAATATACGATGGCCATATACGGAAAGACCGTCGATGAAGAGTTGAGTATTTGAAATAATAGAAGCATCGTTACTTTCGGCAGTCTCCAAAGCCACCTCTGTAGGTGTCAAATTGGCCTGTAGATCCATGTAGTAGTTTGTGAAACGAATGTCAAGGTCAAGAGATGCAGCAGTTAGTCGAAGACACTTGGAATGGTCATAAATGTTTGTCGGTAATAGTGCACAAGGCCATTCAATTGATAGGGTGATTATCACATCCAGATCATTACTCTTCCTGTTCGGATTGATTGCACCTTCGCCTTGCCCACCCCGATTCTCCACAGAGTTTGCGGATTCCTGAAACTCTTCTAAAGTTCGAAAATGCATGTTTTCGGCAAAGTAATTTTCCCTGATTTTCATGAAGTATTTGATCAAGAATCCGTACAAGTAACATCTAGGAGAATCCGCCGTGATGTCCATCGTAAGGGAATCAGTCAGAGCCGGCGACGTTCCAGCATTGAGAGTATAACTCCCATTTATGTTTAGCTTCGATAAGGTACCCAATGAATTTTCTCTTAGAAAAGTATGGAGCGTGTGCCACAAAGGAGTTAAAAGATCGACAATTCCATCTTCTAGGTCAACACTAAACGAAATCAAACTTTGTTCTGGTCTGAATGTGTCCGATGGAATGCTGACGTTGGAAGCTAGTTGTGACGCTCTGATAGCAATGAAGGTGTTGTCATCGAGGTCTGAAGGATTGTTGATGATGTTAGAGTCGTTAAGGTTCAGGTACAAGCTAAGGCTGGTAAAGAACAGTTTCATGTTATACACATAGGGCACAAAGGTGTAAAATTCCGATGATGAATTTGAAGTCCAGTCGCTGACCAGGTCAGTTAAAAGAATAATGTGGTCTCTTAGTAAGAACAACTGCAGGTCATGGCTGACGACAGTAAAAGACCACGTGTGGAGGCTGTTCCAGGTTAGAGGGTTAGAAAGATCACAGGTAATCACCTGTCGTGGACTTTGCCAGAGGAGTCCGTGATTGACACTCGAAGAAAGCTTGCATTCTCGGAGATCCAGGTTAAGTTGGTTACAATATCCAGTTTTTGAAGCGACCATGTCCATCTCATAAGTTATGGTTGAGTCATGTGAAATACGGAGAGTAAGCCAACCAAATGGGCGAGTCTCCGGCGCAATTTTGCCGGTTTCCCCATTCTTGCCTCTCCACTGTCTCTTCTGCTTTTGCTTTTTTAGCTTCGATGCACTGCGTATCGCATTAGCACGGCCTTTCCACTGCCAGTCCTTAGATTCTTCCCGGGTAGAAATTCTCAGAGTAGTTTCGTCACTTGTTTCCACGCGAATTTTGAGTTTCGTGCTTTGTCTCAAACTTCCAGGTTTCAGAGATTCAGCAGGTTGGGCACTTCGAAAGTTATTTGGAAAAAAAACATTTTGTAATCCCACACGTTCACGATCAGTCCATGGACCGTAGTTAATAGTACCCCGTTCAATCTTGATGTCGATGCCCCACTCGGGTGGATTGCTTCCGTTAATATCTCCAGAGAACTTATGTATGGATGAAGAGGGCATATCGTTTTCTGTAGGAACCTTCCCCGGAATATCCCAATAGTACGTCAAATTGAGAGAGGGGCAATCCAGGATAGTAGAGTATCTACCATACTCAACAGCATTCCACCCTTCATGATCATCCGTAGTCTCATCTTGATAGCGAGTAAGGCCAAGCCACCGGTTATTGTGGCTTAGGTCAGTCTGGCTGGTTGACATGGTATTCGTGCTTTTGTCGTGGAAGGACTCTACAGATTTTTGGAAATATGGAATCAAATCTCGGAGAGTATGCCAGGCTTGGCGCTTTCTTCGCTGGTAATCAATGAAATACCTCCTTTTTGGTTTCTGTTCATATTCTTCCGGATGTAAAGATGTCAATTTGCGAGCAGCAGAATGCTGTTCTTGCCTAAAGTCTGGATTACGTCGTAGCTGGATGATTGGGCGTGCGAAATCAAAGGTAAAAACTTGACGGTAGATATCAAGTGGCCCAGCATCAGCAGCATCAACAACACCGGTCCCTTTTTCGAAGGTAATGGTAAGCAGGGAGCGTGTGTTTTCGTTGCCTGCCACGATCGCCCCTTTTGTACACTCGACTTGAATCGGTAACAAGTTGAGAAATCCGGAGGCTGATTCTAGTGCTTCGGCATTCAAAGCTGCGGTATCCTTCATGGATGAAGATCCTGCATCGACACTACTTGTTTGCGGACTAGCTCTTTGCGTACTGCTTGCGGTCGACTTTCCACTCGACATCCGTTCAAAGCGAAGGGAAAGATCTTTTGCAGAATCTTCCCGACTACTTGATCTCGCTTCCGTAGTTCCGAGTGTTTCATTGGCAGCATTTTGCTTTTGATCCATGCTAGTGGTGAAACCAGAGAGAATATCATCATAAGCCGGCGTTCGATTGTAGAGAAACCATTCGAGCCCAAAAACTGTGGCGGTCAACCGGCATGGAAGACTATCTGCTGTCTTGACGCCCCCGTTTTCCTCTGCGCCATCATGGCGATTACTATCGCCCGCTGAAGTAGAATTTCCATCACCATCCAGTCGCGACGAGCTTTGTGATCTGGGAGAGAGCTTGTTTCGAGCTAGGTCGATGTTTCTTACGGTACGCTTCCAGTAATTCCACGTCAAATACCCCCGCTGAATCAAGACTGTCTCATTCACTCCATGGTACCGTACTCCCTTGAAGAAGATTCTTCCACCAAGTAATGAAATTTGAAGCGCTTGGATATCAACGTAAGCTCGATGGTAGTGCCATGTGTATGCTCGAATTCCGTAGGAAACTAACGTCGCAAACAATCGATTGAAATAGAAAAGGAAGAAAAGGACACTTTGATGATTCTGTCAGTCGCGATCCAGCTCGAGGTTAAACCAGTTTGATTAGCTCACAGGATGCCACAGACAATCAGTTCCACCAAAAAAAACCTACAATCAAGTCAGCAAGGCGCGAGTGGAATGAAGAAAACCGGCACGAGTGATACCAATTGAATTGCGGGCCCGATGACAGAGGCTGCAAGGAAATGGTGGTCGAAACCATCTCAAGAGCTTCAATGACGTTGCCGATGCCGAGTATGCATCCTGAATGGGAATCGGATCGGTAGTAGCAGCACGTTCGTTTCGCTCCTATGTAGAATTCGATGTCGCTGTAAATTCAAAGAGTTCCATTGCCAAAGACCATACTCCAAAGACATCCAAAGGTGCGATCTCAGGTCGAATGCGACCGTCCATCAGAATAATTAAATTAATTTTATTGGGGAGCTTTGAAGTTCCGGTTGGAGGCAGGTGGTGCTTAAACTAAGCTCCTCTGGCTGGCAACTGCGGCTAAGCCCGTAATTAATTATCACGCGTCACGGGTGGATCTCCGGAGAAGCTCCCATACCGAACGGCAAGAAACCTCCTGCCTAAACTACCACCACCACCACCACCACCACCACCATCCTACGCTAGATCTCATAACGTGCACGACACTCACCTTTCGTTGACTCTCCCTGGCGGTAGGCGCATGTGAATCAGTCGAAAGTATCCGGTCGCTAAAGATGAGCCTGTGAATACATTTATACACGCGGAATGAAAGCCACCCTCAGCCGTTAAGCGGTGGTGCCTACACCTCCCCAGCTACGATGGATTTCACTATTGCAGCCTCGGGAGGCACAGGTTCTCGGCTTACTAGAATCTTTGTTATAATCTCAGGCGTAGCATCTTTGGTTGCCACATTATTGTCCATCGTGTACGTGTGACATGTCTAATCGAGTTGACTACCAACCTGCTAATTACAAGTCTTCATTATCAACAGTTCGATATGGCTTCAAACGTACGTCCAATCCGAAATACCACGATATCGCAATTTGTCTTTGTATTGACTATTGGAAACAGGAAGAATTACCGGAAACCTCTGTTGCAACGCTACGTCGTGCGAATATTGTTGATGTGGGTTCTCGGCCAGCCTGGTACCTAGTAACACAAACTGATTTGGTGACAGGGTACCGATCTATGCGGCGTCATCATGGACAAGCATCATCTCACTCAAGGCTGCCATGTTCCTAGACCCCATTCGTGATATTTACGAAGTATGCCCTCCAACACCTACCTTGTCCTCTCGCTAACGGTCTATCAGGCCTTTACAATCTATACTTTCTTTCAGCTGCTCATCAACTTTGTTGGCGGGGAGCGAGCGCTGATTATCATGACTCACGGACGGCCTCCGGTCCAGCACATGTGGCCACTGAATACCTTCCTTCCCAAAGTGGACATATCCGACCCTCACACATTCCTCGCCATCAAACGAGGCATTCTTCAGTACGCATGGCTGAAACCTGTTCTGGCGCTGGTATCGATTATCCTCAAGGCGACAGACAAATACCAGGAAGGGTACATCGGAGTTGGGTCTGGCTATCTTTGGACCGGGATAGTCTATAATGTTAGCGTCACAGTCAGTCTCTATTCACTCGCATTGTTCTGGATCTGCATGCATGATGACCTGAAACCGTTCCGTCCGGTTCCAAAGTTCCTCTGCATAAAGCTCATTATCTTTGCCTCGTACTGGCAAGGATTCTTCCTATCTATCCTGCAGTGGTTGGGTGCAATTCCCAATGGCGTGGCAGGTTACACTCCGGATAACCTTGCCGCAGCTATTCAAGACACGCTTATTTGTATTGAGATGCCAGGATTTGCCATTGCTCATTGGTATGCTTTCTCCTGGCACGATTACGCCGATAACCGGGTATCTTCGGCTCGCATGCCCGTCAAACACGCGCTGAAAGATTCCTTTGGCGTGCGAGACCTCATCGAGGACACCAAGCAGACATTCCGAGGACGTGACTACGAATATCGGTTGTTCGATTCTGGGGATAACATTATCGCTCATGAAGAATCAAGCTCCCGTGTGAAAAGAGTGATGGAAGGGATGCGATACGAGAGGGGCGGCAAGAGTAAATATTGGATCCCAAGGCCTGGGGAGGCCAACAGTCGAACACCATTGTTAGCTGCGAGCGAGAATCAAGGACGTAGAGGCTCACCAGATCAGTCGAAACGAGGAAGCATCATCGACAAGTTCCGTTCTTACGGAGAACTCGAAGAGACCAAGTTGGATGAGGACGACGAGCGTCTATTTGCAAACGCGCGAGCTTTGGAGTTTGGCGACTGGAATGTATGTCCAAGATACCTAGCGATATACGTTGAGATCACGAACTAACATGACCTGTAGTATCCTGTCATCACAGCCAATGAGGTTCCGAGTGATCAAAGGCTGCCAAGAACGATAAGTTATCAGAGCCAAGAATCCGAGCATAGCCACGGCCGTGTGGTTAAGAAGGCTCGGGGTCATCGAAACAGTCATGTATCCGATGGGGATAGTGCAAGTCGGGTACAGGCTACAAGGAGTCGCAAGTCCCGCAAGCCGGAACCGGTGGAACGCGCATCCAGCGCATCAACGCTGTCTCAATCTGGCCGTAGCCAGCTAGTTGACTTGGTTGTGGAAAATCGGAACGCCGAAGAACGAGAGCAGAGCAGAGCACTAAGAGAAACCGGCTCTGTGTGGCCTGAGAGAAACGATATTCATTTACAGTAAGACATTACCTTCCAATAGTGTCTCATTTACCCCGTTAACTGGATGCTGCAGAAGACCCCACGGCGAGCCAGTAGGAGTCGTTCGCCCACAATCTACAGCAGGGATCCTTTCTCCTAATCTCTCTACGAACCAAACTGTGGGAGAAGACGATGACAATGACGGTGAAACAAGTCCGGGATCGCCTAGTCCTCGGTATGGCGATTTTCGAGAAGAACACAACGTGTGGGGATGATGAATGGCAACACATGATTCCGTTGTTTATGAAGGGAGTGGTCAATGTTCTCTGGTTCCCATTCTTCCGTACAGATATTAGCATGTATTCGTATATACCACTTTGCATTTTCAATCGATTGGCTTTGAGCCTCGGTCACACCTTCAAATCATTTGAAGCATAACGCGGTTCAAGCGAGGGCCGCGTCCCTGCTCGCTATCAGACACAGGCACTCTGATTAACTTGAAACCAACACGTGAAGGAACCGGAGACGATTTCGACTTCGAAACAAAACAGCCCAGAAACCCCTGGAATCTGATTTGAAATTGCAACAAGACCCAAGAATAGCCCAGGGACAGCGAGCTCCTGAAGAATGGCCTCTTCACTATTATTAAGCCCATTTCTATTATTATTAGTATTATTATTTTTTATTATTATTATTACTACTGATGTTGTTATTCTTGTTTGAATCGAGAGCTGCCGCCGTGTGGTGGTGGGTTCGCCGCGCTGACTGGCCAGCGAGCTTATCTAGCGGACTCTCTACAGCCAATGCTTAAGCGCCCGCGGTGCGAGGCCCAAATCTCTCCTGGCTAAAACAGGAACCAAGTGTCGGACTATGTGACTCTGTGAGCCTATCGCGTGCTCATGGCCCTCTGCATGAATTTAATGGCCTCTTAGCGTTCCACTGTTGAAATAACGATCGGTGGTGCTTCTCAAGCTGCTGGCAAATCACACACTGCGATCAGCACCTGATCCTCCAACTTGCGGCCTTCTCTGACCCTCCAGGCGAGCAACGTGGAGGGCGTCGAGCGGCCACCAGCGCTTGCAGCTGCAGGCAATCAGCTGCATCAGTGCTTGTGGCATTTCTCAACCCAGATTAGGGCCATGCAGTCGGTTGGACCTGTCATGTTCTCTTATATTCTAGCCATTCTCGCCGCCGTCGAGTCTGGTGGGGGTTTCTCCCATCCTTTGGTCACGTTCGTTCTTTTCCTTCTCTATACATAATCGCCTTTCTGCTTCTGCGGGTGAGCTGCCATGCAGGCGCTTGACAGCTAGGCTCCGGCAGTTGAACAAGCAGTGCTAATGTTCAGCGCCTGGCTTCGGTCCTGCCTGTCTTGCCTCTGGTCCCAGGTGGACCTAGAGCGCGAGGCTTATGGTCAATCAATGCAAAAGAATGGTACGTTGTAACATCGTCTTCAATGGTTTGACATATATGTTAATAATGGCCTAGGTGTCGAACGAGAGATGCAAGTTTGCCACAGTCAACCACATCTCGTTCCACCTATGAAGCTGGTCTTCTATGATAACCTGCCCAGTCCCTCGCCATCTCCACGGCCAGTCTCATCTCTGCCACCGTGGATGCACGAAACGAAAAGTCTAGCCAGCAGGGCATCGCGTCGGGCAAGTATCCTCGTGCGAAGGAAAACTCCCAAGCGACCTAGGATCAGCGCTCCAACAGACTTCAGGCGCACTGATGTTCCTCATGGCCGAGTAGCATCGTTTCGACCGCTAGAGCTCAGCATTTATCTTGCCGGAAATAGACTTTCCGATCTTCCAGAATTCGATGCCTTCAGCTTGAATCACTCTAGACAGCCCTCTTCGCCGGAAAAGGCTCTCATATCCCCTTTCGATTCAAGCGGCCAACTACGAAGGCAATCGGGTCCGTTCCAGTTTGCTCGCAAACCAATAGGATCTCCCCCTTCACGAAGAGGCTCTATGGCAACTCTCGAGCTACAACTGCAGCAGACACGAGCCCGGCAAAGCTCTGATCTGGCCTTTGTCAATCCATTGATTCCTCATTTTTCAGTCTTGAGCCCCGTTGGCGACCCTATCCACAGATTTGCTGAACTACGACCCATAAGCGAACCTCCCCAAAGAGTTCCCGGGTCTTCTACAAAAGACAACAGCCTTTTACCTCCAACCCCGGCTGAAATCGATGCCTCCCAGAATACATTGCTTACGTTCTCGTCATCTTCCACTCCAGTACAACATTCCCTTGATTACCACCAAACTATTAGTGGCACTACCGGAAAGAGGATGCCAGGACAATCTCAAACCTCATCTTTTAGCTCCACCAGCACCATAACCAGCAGCCCCAAAAAGTACCATCATACATCCACTAAGTCCTCTTCAACTTTCCAACATCACAGCCGTGACCGCACTATTAGCAACTCCACCGTATCTTCCAAGACCCCTTCATTATCAAGTGCCATCACAGCGGCCACAACTATCATGCCATCTGACAAGGATCTGGAAAGCGCTTTTGGTTCTTTACCGGTGATCCCAGCTAGTACAAAGAATAGTATGGTGGTCCAGGAGCCATACATTCATGAGGAAGAGCAAATGCAACCAGGTGGTTACGAGTATGATACACGGTTTCCCGGTGGTACTGTTGGATTAGCTTTCTAGAAACAAGTGAGCAAAAATGAGAAAGAGAACAGGACTCCTCTTTTTGATACCCCGTTTGTTCATTAAAACTTGATCATATGCGTGTTTCTTCTATTTAACGTAGCAATCTATATTGAACTAATTCTAATATTGCCAGTCATTTCTTTCGTCCTTCTGCGTTTTCGTGTACTGTGGTTTATACGTTTGTTGGAAACACCTTGGTCAAAGCACAAAATACCTAATGTTGAAGGGACAGGTCAATGTTGAGGAGATCCCAATATTTTACTAGTTAGACCAATTAAAGCTGTTTGTTTGTGTGAACGTCGTATCTTTACAATATCAACTGTATCCATGGCAAGCCCGACATTTGATACCAGCACTTCAATGATATAGTGCAAAGTAAAAGGCTGCTGCAATGAAAAGAGAATGCGACACATTTATACATATATGCGGCATAACTTTGACATGGTTGCGGTGTATCGTACAACGGGTTTGATGAAATATACAATGGCCTAAACATCAGACTCCACAATCTCTACTCTCCCACTACCACCCCCGTCTTTGCTATCGATCTCATTTTGCATTCCTAAGATCGCCCACGCCCTTCCCATCATCCCATAGCCTGCTGATGGCGTTTTCATGTGCCCGGCACCACGACGAGGGTTATTCCTTGCTTGCTGCTCGCGTAACGCCCGTTCTGCCTTTGCAGCGAGAATTCTCTCCTCTTCTTTCTTTCGCGTCGCCACGTCATCCTTCCATTCACTCCATTGCTCATATCTTTCACGATTCTGTAGCACTTTGTACCTGTAGGTTGACTTAGCTGGGCGCCATGTAGTGCGTTTAGCATCGGTCGGTAGAGTTGAGGCAAGGTCGGTGACCGGGGTTTCTTTGGTCAGTTTGAGTAAGTGTGTGAGAACATCTCTACTTTCAGTAGCAAGGGCGTATTTGGTTTCTTCTTGTACGGACGGCTTGGTTGAAGCAATCGGCGCATCTAGCCAAGAATACAAGTTCGTCGACCTTTGAACAGAATAAGGATCGAGAAGGTTGGTACGACGATTTTCTTCTCGCAAAAAGCGAATAGCTGCTTGAAGGCTGCCGATTTCCGACCGCAGAGCTTCGTTCTCACGCATAGCAGCCAAGGTAGTTTCTGTATCGACCACAACACCTTCTGCTGTAATAGCAGCAGTCGTGCCAGATGCTCTCTTAGCACGTTCAAATCGCTGCTTGTAGTCATCACGATCGGATTGCGCCTTTTGCAAATCTCTAGTGAGCCTCTCGACTGACCCATTAAGTTCTACTTCTTTCTCTTGCATTTGCTCAAATTTAGCCTCGAATTCCTTGGCAGCAGAGGCTTTCTTAGACGCTTCACGCATTCTAGATTCAAGCAGCTCGACTTTCATTGACTGTTCCTCCAAAGTTTTATCCTTTACTCCGAGTGCAGTGGATGCTTCGCTCAACTCATTCTTCAGTCGACGAACCTCCTCATCTGCGTCAGGCGAAGTTATCTTATGGGACTTGAGTTCCACTGAGCGGGCAATCCAGGGGTGCTTTCCTCGTTCGAATTCCGCCGTATGGGCCAAGTCAGAAGCGTGGGCGCTCATTTCGTCCAGATAACCTGTCAATGTCTTTAGCTTGGCGCTTAGCAGAGGAAGTGCGCTGTTTTCTTCGCTATCGGCGGTGGAGCCTTGAGCAATAGACACTGTGGTGCTTGACAAATTGGTCAAGATTTCGTTGTATGTAAACGTCTCCGTACGACCCTCTTCTCCGAGTAAGATTGCGACATTCTCACCCATCTGTCGTGTTAATTCGGCAAGTTCCTTTGCTGTATCTTCTGCAGATTCAAACCATACATTGGCTCCATCTGACAGAGCAAGAGATCTAGAATTGAGCTCCTGAAGAGATCGTACTACTTTTGAAACAACGACTTTCAAACCGCGGGCCTGGCCAACCAAGACCTCCGACTTATTCAAGAAAAACTGCCCCTCTTCATCATCCTCTGCTGGAGCTGATAGCTTGCTCTGCAATAAGGTTCGCAGCCGAGATAATGCTGAGGCAGTGTTCTCAATGTAAATTTGAATCATCATGGAGCGGGTGTATAATTCATCCGCGTATGTCGCTAATTCAGCTGGGATGAGTGTCTCTGCAAGATGGGTCATAAGAGCGATGGACCTTTGTAATTCCATGGCGCATTTCTTCTCATTTATATCATTCCTTTTCAGACTCTCAATCCAATTGTTCAATGTTCGTTCAACTGGTTCTAATTCATACAAGGCCCGCTCAAAGCCAGCGAATTGCTCAGGAGTGCATGTCGTCACATATTTCGTAAATCTATCGCAAACCAGAGAAATCCATAAGGTCTTCTCAACAACATCGTACGTTGCAAAGGTATTCTCTGGAGCAGATGGGAAGTGGGCTTGGTCAGCAAGGCGTTCACGAACTGTGTTCAGAATCAATGATGCTTTAAAACCGACGCGTTTTGCACGTAAAATAGCTTGGACTGAATTATTTTCGGTCTCAAAGTACTCTGGAAGATAAAGTTGCACTATTGAGAGGTGCTGGGCAGATTCTTCGGCCTCCATACGACCCAGCTCGATGTCAATTGATTTAGTCTGTGCCTTTTCAACAGAGGCTTGAAGCTTTAGATTGAGATCCATCATGGCTCTAGATCTTGTCGAGAGTTCATTAGCTTCTGTTTCTGTCAGCTGTTGAGATGCACGCATGTCTTCAAGGTCACTCTGCAAATTGGCAACGAGTTCTCGAAATCGAGACAAAGTATATTCCAAGTCCTCAATAACTTCATCCTGCTGGGTGATCTTCCGAGATTGCTCATTGAATACCGTCTCTCGGTAATCGAGTTCCTCTTGCAGTTGCTTTTCAGTCTCCATATGGTTTAATTCCAATTCGTCATTGAGTTCTTTCAAACTTTCGAGGTCCTCAATAGCTGCCTTGAGTTCATTGATCTCCTCCTGGTATCGCATATTCTTGTCTGCAAGCTCTTCAATCATTTCTTCAGCGCCAAGAGCGGTATCCAGTTGTTGCTTAAGATCATCCACGTTAGATTCAGCTGTCAGCAGCTTCTCTTTTGTTGCTTCGTACTGAGATTTCACTGTTGAATATTCCTCGAGGTCATCCTGCAACTCCTTAATTTGATCACGAAGCTCTGCCTCTGTTTGTTGGGTCATGTCCCTTAATCGAATTAAAGCTTCCCGCAGCCGTTCATTGGTTTTCTCCATTTGCAGCCAGCCCTGGCTTGATTTGTCCTCTGGGCTCATGACAGAGCCAAACTCCTCGTTTTCGTCTCGTAAGACTTCGACCTCTAGCTGTAGCTCCTCCAATCTTATTTTGAGGTCCTGACATTCAAGCTTAAAAGCTTCGGCGGTCTCCTCGGCCATTTCACGATCGAGTGTGGCCATTTCCAGAATGGATTCGTGCTCAGCCTGGATTTTTTCAGCTTCCTCGAGTTTAGCTTCCGTCTCTCGGATCTTCTTCTTAAGATCTATCAACTCAATCTGCTGCGGCTGATATTTTGCTTGCAGCTTCTGAATGATGCCCTCATATTTGTCCCTTTCTGATTGTAACCGCTCAAGGTCCTTCAGTCTCTCTCTGTCTTCGGCTCTCTTCTTTTCCAAGACCCTGAGCTTGGTTTTCATGTCTTCTAATTCCCTGGAAAGTGCAGCATTCTGAGGTGTACTTCTCGAAGTCGACACAACACGGGCCGCTTGTGTCCGCTGATTGTCAGGTTTGATTGGTTTCTGGGGAGATGCATCTTCATCTGGGGAGTCTTGTCCTGCCTCTGGAGGAGATTCATTACCAGCGCTAGGTTCCGACGTGGCACTTGCACGGCTTGAAGTCTCATCTGTGGTTGTCTTCACCAACGTCGGACGCATCGACAGTCGTTTACCTGGCGCAGTGCCCCCTGGAGCGGTGGAAGATACACCTGGCCTCGTTGTTTTGATTTGGCTAGCTGTCAAAGACTGTCGAATCTTCGAAGCAGGTGGTCCCATTGATGTCCGTCCACTGATACTGGGTCTAGGCTTCATGGCGGAGGCAGGTTTCACGGTCGTCGAGGATGGCCGAGAAGGAGCAGCAAGCTGCTTGGTAGGGGATTTTGTGGGCGACTATTAATCGTTAGCAAACAGAATAGCCGAACAACAAATTCGAGGTCTGCCTCATACTCTCAGAGTTCGAGTTGGAGCTGCTCTTGGGGCAGGCGATGGGCTTGCAGTCGTACTTTGCCGCTTCGTAGCAGCCGATGTAGCTGTAGCACCGACCTTTCTCAAGGCTGTTCCTGACGCGGGAACATTCTGCAGTTTACCAGCAACTGCTGTACCTCGAGAGGGCTGTTTGCTCTCGCGCTTGGGAGCAGCAGGTCCAACAACTGAGGCAACAGCCGAAGGCCTGATAAACATGCCAAATCCATGCTCGCAGTCGAAGTAGCGTTCGCCCTGAACCGATCCATCGTTCTTCCCTGTTGGATCGTCCAACTCAACTCCTATCCAATCTCCGGCGGCGAAGTGAGTTGGACCAATGAATCGGATCGTAGCTTGTCGGCCATCCAGCAGGTTGGCAACCTCACCTATGGAGATGTCGACCATGGCGCCGAATGCAGAATACAGACTCCAGCTGCGTAAGTGTGTTGGATCGCAAAGACGAAGTTTGTATAGGGATTACCATTCAGGAGTGCCAAGCCCGACAACGCGACAACCGTGTAAGCCCACTTTATTTGAGCTTATTCACCAATGAAATTAAAGAATGGATGCTTGGAGAACAAACCAATCAGAGCCACCCAAACAAGCACCAGTAATCATCTCTATTACACCGATCTCTATTAACTGTATACGACTATTTCTAGTATCTTGTCTATCTATGCTGTACTCTTAAAGCACTGCGGGAAAACCTGTCGAAGCTCTTCAAGACTGCGAATTGTGTGTTTGCAAGCTGGCGTTCTCGGCAATTTTAACATGGGCTCGACCAGATGTGCAGTCTTCCAGCCTCGCTCTTCGGCGTGTTTGCAATTTAGGTGGGAGTCATCTGGATACAATTGACTTAGTATTTCATGATTGAGGCAGTGAACAGAACTGTACTGACCGACAAAGAAGCAACTCTCAATGTCTTTCGCAACAGCCTCCCTCTCGGCCTTTTCCCACATCTCCTTGCTGGGCTTACATATCAGTTTCGGCTGCGCGTAATCGCAATATGTAATCCCCTCGAAAAGATCATCGACACCTAGTAGCTTCACGACCCTCTTTGCATGGTTCACGTAGGCGTTGGTGAGCAGCCAAGGCTTAACTTTAGTTGTATCGAGATCTTGTAGCAATTGTCTCAGTTTGGGGTCCGGCTTTAGGATTTCGTCTAGCGGCAATGCATCGTCCACTTTCTCGTTGAACTCTAAAGGGTCTACCTTGTGGTGGCGAGTGAGGCCCTCGATTGCGAGACCATATTCTTTGTAGTACTTTTGATGCAGCATCACTGCGTCGTCCGGGCTCATTGATAGATGATTCACAAAGAATATATCTGAATGGCATGTCAGAAGATACCTGAACCTTTTTCTTCGGGATATGATAGAATGAGACCCACCAATTAATTCTTGCATTTTATCATGGATCTGTGAGGCTAGATGAGGATTTTAGTATTACAGGTGTCTCGTAGTTGCATCAGGATATCACACCTCTCGAGTATAGCTACATGATTAAAGATAACCTGTCAGTGGTTTTAACATATAGAAGAGTTTAGATCTAGAGGACTTACGCAGTTGTCAATGTCGAAAAAGAAAATTGGCCGCGAATCATTCTCATCGTTAGAGGAAGCCATGTTGAGAGATATATTTACGTAAAGATGAACTTCAAAATATTATTGACCGTTAGATGGAAGAAGTTCACAGATAGGATCAACGAAGATAAACCTCTCAATTATAGTAGAGATGACTCCACATACAATATATCGCACCTGATATGAAGTAGTGGCTGAGTCAAATGATTTGAAGGGCTATACGAACTTGGGCGCGGGGAGATTTGCTGTTTCCGCCTGAGGCAGGAACTCGCTCCTAGCTGGTCGCTACGGCCCACCTGCAATTTAAAGGACGGCGCTAATCTCCCTGGATCTCCAGTCCCGTTAAAACTTGAACTCCCGTCAAGGAGGAAAAAAAAAAGAGAGAGAAAGTGACAGACCGCCTCTTATATAGGCTGCGCTCACCTATTTCATCGCTCTACCGAGCGTCCAAATGTTGACCACTGACTTTGCCAATGCTGATAGATAGTGCGACATCAGTAAACCCCTAGAAGCCTTTTACCTACATGGCAGCTCCGACAAACCTTTCCATCCCAGTCGCCGAGACGCGCCTGAGACCGTTGCCAGCGGATCATGAACTCAAAGAATACGAAAAGATATTAAGGATAAGCGATGAGATATTTGCGGGAACTCATCCCAGGCTGAAGGTCCCCCAGCAATTCATTCGCAAAGCCCCTTCTCGTGTGCTTCAAACACCTGTTGCGTCAGTCTCTGGTGATGCTGCTGGAACTCAGCAGTCGAAGACAACACCACCAAACCCATCGCTGCTTAGGCAACAAGCTTTACAGGTAGCTTCTCCAGCTCAACCTAGTCCGTTAGCTACACATGCCGCGGGCACACAGTCTCACGTAGCTCCGAAACTCGCGTCAGAGATCGATCCTATATTTTTAACCAAGTCCGATGACCTAGTCCGAGCAGAAATACAACTACAGAGGAGGCGAGTGGAGAATACGTTAAGGGAACAAGCTGAGCGAAGCAAGGTTGAGTCTCGACAGAAGTATGCTGCTCAAGAAGACAGACCAGACTTCGATGTTTCGGAGGTCTTGAATCAAGCTCTGGAAATCGTTAAGCCTCTTCCATCACTTGATGTCCCAGGCGCTAATGGTACAGCCATTCCTAGCGACTCCTTTGACGAGAACTCGTTGTATTCTAGTAGAGCTCCCGATTCCCCCAGCGGAGGAGATTATGAACCACAGGTTCCTTCGGATCGAGGTCGACAAGCAGACAGTCAAAATCCAGTCTTCTATGCTACTGGTACTACTAACAAAACTATTCCACCTCCGAGTTACACTCGGACTGCGCGAGTGGCGAGGCATCATGAACAAGATGAGCTGCCGGATGAACCCGAATACTCCCCCCAGAGCCAACAGTGCCCATTGTGGATATACAGGAAGATGATGATTATCAGCCTCCCGATGCGCTGCATCCTAGGCGTAATATGTATGAGCGAGCTGTGGTATATTCTACACGGCAGCAATCGATCTCTCCTGACATGAGGATCGTGAGAAACCATATCACGTCACCGGCAGCTCCGCAGCCGTCACGCGTTTCACCGTTGGCTGTGGCCAAAGGCCCCTCTGTACAACAGAGGCTACAGGCAAGGTCTACTCGGCGTGATAATCAGGAAAGAGGTCCCACAGATCCTTCCTCTGGACCGACTAGTCCAGATGGTGTAGCGCCGCAATTGATGTCCCGCAAGCGTCGCCGAGTCCAGGAGCCTCGAGATGAAAGTGCATTACACACTATCAGCTCGCCTAAGCCACGTATCAAACCTGAACCTGTCTCTCCCCCGCCTTTCCACGATACCCAACCTTCAAGTAACCATGGTCGTGGACAACCTGTGTACATTGACATCGCCTCACCACAATTCACACCAGTTGGTGACCGTAGAGAAGTTCCTAGAGAGTCGGTCTACGAACATGATCGATATGGAAGCACTGGTCGGGACTATGATACCCCGGTCGAGCCTAGTATCCGAGCGACTTCTCGACTAAGTTCTCGGAGGCCGGCACGAGACACTCAAGATTTGCGACGAGTGGCTAGCCTCCATTATTCACGGAACCCCGAGACATTGCATCGCGAATACGTGGAACCAATAGTGCGATCTCGATCAGTCCGAGCATCTTCATACGCAGTGGTTGAGCGTCCCTCACATGAAAAGCCTGCATATTACGAGCATATGGTGCCAGGATATCCAAGGCACTATGCGCAATACGAAGATTATCCTCCACCGTCTAGGTTTCGTGAAGTCTATGTGGATGATGATCCAGCTCCACGATATATCGAAACGCAACCGCGACGGATTGTCGTCGACGAATATGGAAATCAGTATTATGAGATGGTGCCGGCGTCGAAAATTCGCGCCATGCCACCTCCACCTAGAATAGCAAGGCCTGATGACTACCATGAGCGGCCTTCGATCCGCAGCGCTAGTGTGCGTGCCGCCTCAATTGTAGATGATGGATACGCCGGCCGCAGATATATTCAAGAAATGGCACCCCCTCCTTCAGCCACTTACCGTCGTGTAACAGAGCAACCACGTGTTGTCAGTGAGAATCAGCGGCCGTACTCACGACCGCCCGTCGAACATGACCCAGTCTTCCGAAGCGGAAGTGTTGCTGTTGAGTACGCCTCCCGGCCGCCAGTCTATGTTGACAATGATGTCTCTCGCCAGCGCTTGGTTCGAACATCGAGTGTTAGACCGCCAGCTGGCCGCTATGAGGAATTGCGGGAAGATTCTCATCGTGTGCAAAGTGTTCGCCCTGGTGGACATGAGGTAAGTACGTATCTGCCCGAGGAAACCCGACTGGCGCGGGAATACGGTGACCGCCCTGTATATACCTCGGTGCGCCCAGAGCGTGAAGGAAGATATTATACTGAAGAGGAGGGAGGACGAATGATTGTTGATGGAGCAGGAGACATGGTTCGTCGTGTTCCTCGATATCAATAACCAGTAATCTTACACATTACCTGATGTTATTATAATTTTAATATTAGATAATTTAAACGGTATATACTAGATGATATCTCAAGAGTCACAATCGTGCTTTTATTTAAAATCGTGCTCTGATTGTGTTAGAATTGGCCTTCAAATTACTGCCAACATTATACATGGTGGGAATAGAGGAACCGATGTTGTTGCCTCGCCCCAGATGACACATATGGTAACCATTCTCTAACATTCACAACCAAAACAACAAAATATTGTCATGAACTTCCCTGCCTCCAAAATCCATCATCCCCAAGGGTCTCATACTCATACTGTCATCCTGCTGCACGGCCGCGGCAGTGATGGGCCCGAGTTCGCCGAAGATATTTTCTCATCTACAGCCTCCAATGGCCGAAGTCTGTCCGCCTCTCTACCTACCTACCGTTGGGTCTTTCCAACCTCACGCGACCGATGGAGCACCGCATTCCAAGAAGAGATGTGCTCCTGGTTCGATGCCTATTCCTTAGGCGATATACAAGCAAGAAAGGACCTGCAAAAGGACGGATTGCGAGAATCGGTTTTGCATATTCTTGATATTCTAGAGGCAGAAGCTAGGCTCCTAGATGGGCAGCTTACTCGTATCTATCTCGGAGGTATTAGCCAGGGTATGGCAACATCATTGTGGACATTTTTCGCTGCAATTGGAACGGGTAGAATTCATGGACCACTAGCCGGTCTGCTGGGGTTTTGTGGCTGGTTGCCCTTCACACAGCAGCTGGAGGAATTGTTATACAAGTCGACAGCCACCACCCCTCATAATCCTGACAGCCCTCAGATACAGCGTCTGGTATCTGGATTTTTTGATGAGATTATCGGTCATCAAGCATCCCAGGATGAGAAACTTGTGGACCTCTCTATCCTGTCAACTCCTGTGTTTCTGAGTCATGGAACTGACGATGCGTGGGTATCCGTGGATCTTGGACGGCAGGCATCTCAGATTTTACGAAAGATCATGCCTCACGTCGAATGGAACGAGTTCACTGGAGCAGAAAATGACGGTCATTGGATAAAGCAGCCTGACGGATTCGACCGGATTCTTCAATTCTTCGAGAGATCCTCTACTGACTGTCAGGTACAGATACCAGCAGCTTCTACTATGGCTGACCGATCACCTTAGTCTGCCCAACAAACCGGCCTGGAGGGCTTTAATTTATCAGTTGACAGATACTATGAGAATAAACCTTTTTGGGATAATTATGATTAATTTAGTATGTTGTTCTTTTGCCAGCAGAATAGACGTCCTCGTAGTCCACCGTAGAAAAGGATTGAACAAGGTGACATACACATCAAGTACTTCTATTTGTCGAGCCAATCCAGGGGTTTACTCCAAAGTTCCCACCATTCCAGAGGAATGTCCCCTTGCAGAGGTCCTTGGTTGAGGGCCGGATTTGCTGTCCGGAGAAAAGGGCAAAGCAGCCGACACGGTAGGCAGGCTTGAAGCGGGCTCTCAACCTTTTCCTTGCTTTAACCTCTTTTCTTTTTCTGTGCTCCGTACGAGAGGTAATCGAGCAAGTATGAAGTCAGCTTGGAAGCTCGGATCCGCCCGGGAAGGACGAATGGAGCAGCGCATTGCCGCGTGGCCAATGGGGACGCTGGGAACCGAGTGACAGCGGGGCCCACATATCTGATGATTCATCATTCATGTCCCAGGCAGATCACGTGAGCGCCGCAGTAAGAGACGAGGCTCGTGCCAAGCTTGCTTCTGCCAGCAACGACACCAATGACAAACGCTGTCTGTTATGTTCTCGCTTTCCTCTTGTGGGTTTGAGCTGCCGAAAGGGTAACTAATCTGCTACCATTCCCCATTGCTCTCGCCCATTCCCGACGCTGGCTCCATATGTAGACGCCTGGTGCGCCCCCCCCGCATTCCTCGTCTCCGACCGTCTTTGTTATAGAAGCAAGTTCTTGTTTTCCGTGAAGAAGGGACGAACCGACAAGAGAAAAAGGGAAACAACAAAGCAAAACAAAGGAGGGCCGCTCCGTCCTCGACGAGTCGATGAGCTCAACGGGGAGTCGCTAGTGCTATCGACGGGGAAGCTGAAGGAACTAATCACCGCACAGCCTCGATCCACCCTGCGGAGTCGAGGATTCCAGCCAGGAGGCGCAGACTCGTCAGCTTGGCTTGGACTGGCACTGGAAATGGCACTGGCAGTGACGTGCCGCACACACAACCAGCCTGTCATAATGGGATTGGCATCATCCCCGACCACTGTGGACAAGCAGACTCGAGAGGCTTTGTCTCTGTCGGCGGCTGCAACTGAATACGTACTCCTTTCAAGACACAATTGAGTTGCATTATTCTTTTGAAATGCCAGATCTCCGTATCAGGAACGATAGCGAGCGTGCGCGCTAGTGCTGATTATTCGTTTCTGTAGGCTGGAAGCGAATATTAAATCTACTCACTCACCGTGCCCACATGTTTAATCAGAACAATAGCAATAGCAAGAGCAAGAGCAATAGCAGTAACAATAGCAATCATGAAAACATGAATAATAATCCTACTACATAATGCCAATGAACATGCCGATGCCGCCAACCAACACACATCGAGGATCCAGATGCGTGCAGACCAAGCCGCTGAACCGGATCAGCCTGGAGCAGGTTCCGCTGCCACGTAAGTAATCATCCATACATAATATTCGATTGACGGTACAGGAATAGACACCGCACACTGCACCCTGCAATTGCCGGGTTAGTAGTAAAAACAGCCCTGTGGCCGTCGACCCGCGCTAGGCAGCTCTAGGCTCTTAGAAGCAAGCACTGTGTAGGCCAAGGGCTAATGAGAGCCCTAGCCTCTTTCGTCAAGCCGTGCTCTGCCCGAAAGCCCGTCGCTGTCATCCTGCCTCAGGCTTCAGCGCAGGCCTGTCTCTCCGCTTCCTCGATCTTCGCAGCCTTCTCAGCCTGCCTTCCTTCTTCGCTCTCTCCACCATTCCCGTCTCTCCCATCCCACTCCTCAACCCGCAATTCCTCCTCGAGATACCCTTCTTTCCCTTCTATCCTATCCTTTTCGTTGTCCTCGTCTTTTCTTTATCCTTTCTACCATCCTTCTATCGTGCTCTTTCTTGTCGCATTCTAGCCCTCTCTTTCCCTCCAACTGTCGCCCTGCTCTGTTCCTGGTGTGCCTCCCGTGCGTGCCCTTCCGCCTCGCAACTTTTTCTTCTGTATCCTTCCCCCCTCCCCCCCTCCGACGCTGCTGAAGAGTCTTGGGGATCGGAAGAACTGGCCTGTCTCTCCTTCGAACAGGATGCACAAGATCTCCAATTTTACCGGTCAAGCTCGTCATGGCTGGGAACGTATGACGCCCGCCTTCGGAATGTCACGGCCTCATGCCGATATGCATGCTGCCTCACAACCCCTTCGTCGTCCGCATGTCGCTCCGGCCCTGACACCGCCGTCAACCGTGGATCCCACCGTCAATCTTTCCTTCAATGTGCCTTTCTCGTCCCATCTCGCCGGTCCGGATGTCGAGGAGGTACTGCACGCCAGTCCCAGTGCCTTGCAGCGTTGGACCTTCCCCGAAGGCACTCCGGAGGGCACCCCCATCCACAATTTGCCTGTCCACGTCGACCATGTGGAAGCGTTGAGAAAGCTATGTCGGTCTGTTACTGAGACCAGTGCTGGACGGCTGGAAGCAATAGTCAATTCCTCCGAACCGAAGACGCTACCCTCTGTGCAACGACGACAGCAAAGCCTGGTTACCAATGTCTGCCTGTCCGGCGATGGAGAAACGGTGCGGAAAATGAGAGCCAAAATTCTGAATGAGACGCCAATCTCTCTGGTTAGTCTCGCATTTGATAATATTTTACTTCTGCAGTTGGTCTGTTGCGGACAAATTACTAACTCGTGAATTTACCTTCAGCGGTGTGCGAATGTGGATGTGGATATGCACCTAATAATGGATACGTCGACAAAAGGCATCCGTTCTAATGTTTTGGAACATCTCGATACCCTCGCACAGTACACTGGCGCCGATATTTTCCTGCTTAGTCCTAAGATGGTCGATGCCGACAGTGCCGTGGTTTCCTCCTACGGGACGGAAAACAGCTTGGAGAATCGTTTTCGAGTCGCTATTTATGGTGACATGGAGAGTGCAGAACACGCCAAGACGAGAATGCTCATCATGATTGATCAGATTGTAAGACCGCCAGCTATGCGGTGTGCTGATAGAAACAAGCTGACAACTATTAGCTAAAACGACATGTGGATGCCATGAAACTCGAATTGACCATGCATACTTTGGTCTGTGGACGTACTCGCAAGAATATCAAACTGATCGAAGCTGCAACCAACACTGCCATCTATTTCCCGCCGCCGTTTCCCCGCATCTTTGGTTACACTCCCCCTGGTGCCCACCGTAGAAGTGAAGATGAAGTGTACATTACCGGAGAGAACATGGAGAGCATTGCCAGGGCTAAGCAGAAACTCCGTGAACTAGTGATGGGAGTCAAGATCTATGTGAAGGACGTTGTCCTCTCTGCTAGCAAGATAGACAACATCTTGCTAGATCGTCTTGACAAGGTTCGGAAGGTGATGGAAGCCAATGGCTCGTATGTTCTCTTTCCACAGCTCGGTAGCCAGCGCGGTCTGGTCCGAGTCCAGGGCACCGAAGCTTTGCATGTCGAACGAACTGTGCGGGAGATAATGGCTCTGGCTGGTCAATTTTATAGTGCCTCATGGTGGATCATCATTTCTGATCCTTCCCAAGGAGGCATGCGGCCACCGACTCCTGCTGAAATTCGTCCTATGCTTTCCGATATTTGTACGAATTCGGACGCCGATGTGAGTTTCGAGAATATGACATTCTCCATCAATGGGTCAGATGATGCGGTCAAGGCCGCAATGAATGTTATCTACCAGATAACATTTGTCAAGCGCAGCCCCTACCAGATCCGTGTCAAAATTGAACTCGCAAACGAGCACAAGGAGTTTGTTAGCGGTAAAAAGAACGGCAAGATCAACAAGATCATGGGTCAGAGTAATGTTCAGATCATTTTTGATGGATTCAATGAGTATAATTTTTATATTGATGTCTGCGGTACCCAGTACGATGCTACCAAGAACGGGTTGGACTTGGTGGAGCAGGAGATGCCGGCATCTATCTCCTTCCATGTCCCTGACCAATATCATAAGCGTATCATCGGTATTGGTGGTCAGCACATCCAACGTATAATGAAGAAATACTCGGTGTTTGTCAAGTTCTCAAACGCAATGGATCGAGGTGGTATTGGCAAAGAAGATGATGATGTCAAGGTGGACAATGTTATCTGCCGTACCCCAGCTCGAAATGCACAGAGCTTGGATCTGGTGAAGCAAGAGATTATGGACATGGTAGAAAAAGTGGTACGTTTAATTCTACCTAGTGTATTTGAGATCTGTACTAATCAACAACCGGCTAACAGGACGCGGAATATGTTTCTGAAACTGTTCTCATCAACCGTCTCTATCACCGCGAACTTCTAGCCCGCATTCGTGAGATTGAAGAGCTTGAGAAGAAATGGAACTGCAAAATTGAGTTCCCAAGTACTGAGCTCGCGAGTGACATCGTGACAATTTCTGGACCCGAGTATCAGGTACCTCAGGCTGTTGACGCCTTCTTGGTAAGATTACCCCAATATATCTTGTCTGCACACGAACTCATTCTCAACAGGGTATGGTTCCTGAAATCCACGAATTATCATTCCAAAGCTCGGCAGAATTGAGAGACTTCTTCAAGTCTACTGAATTTGCTGATGATGTTCGCGGCAAGCTCAAGGATCAGTACGAAGTCGATGCTACCGTCGATACGGCAGCTGACCTTCCCAAGGCTGGAGATGAGTCTGCAGGATCATCTTCACCGATTCCGGAGGAGCGAGTCGTACTTGGTTACACACGGAACAATGCTGGAGGTCTGAAGGATGCGATCGACTTTTTGATTTCTCGTCTTGTCGCTCATGGACTTGATGCCACGACTGTCAAGGGAGCAATCCCGCGGCCCAAGTCGGACTCGTTTGAAGAGTCTCTTCCCTTCTTCGACTCCAAGTTGCTACAGCATGCCCCAGCACCTCTAGTCACCGACTCCCCAACGCGTCCCAGCTTTGGAGACGATGTTTCTGAACGTGGATCCATCTTCGAAAGGCTTCGTAAGCCTGGCAGCATTTCGTCCTTCTCCTCATTCATCGGTCGTAAGAACCACTCTGCCTCACCAGCCTCGTTTTTCAAACATGCATCCAGCAACGCATCCAAGGCGTCCTTGATTTCCATGGAATCCCGCGACAGCGGTTATCGCAATCCATGGAACGACTCTGGCGTTAACCTCCCCGAGGAAGATCTTCATCTTGTGGGTAGCTCCCACAGTCACAATAGTAGCAGCAGCAATGGCTGGCCAGCTCGCTTTGACACGAAATTTCCATTTGGCACTGCGCCGGGTGATATCACCCCGAAACATGACCTTCGCGCTTCTTTTGATTCTGGTCGTCCTAGTACTTCCAATTCTACTTCTGGATACCCGGCCCCAATTGGGCCACCTCGTTGAAGCAACTGATAAACCAAAATTTATCCATATCGAGATACCAATTTGCAGCAATATACCCCGCTATGCTTATGATTGAAAGTCCTGATTGTTTTATCTGTTTTTTAAAGAATCCACACTTTATTTTTACAGCTTTGTTTCTATTTTTTATTGTTTCGTTTTCTTAAGATACCACTGGAGCGAAAGGATCTGGCTAGGCATGGGAGGAAATGGAAATGGGATAGATTGATTGGTGTACATGCCAATGCGAAAAGGAAATTCAATGTTTAAAAAAAAGGAAGCAGCAATGATTGATTTGAGCGTTGGGTAGGTTCATTCAAAAGAAACGAGCAAAAAAATGAACGACTCCCCTACTTTCTAGTGTCTGAATTTCTAGGGTTTCATCACGTTTAACGACATGAAAATCTTACAAGACCATTCTTTTTATTCTACTTATTAAATGAGAAAACTGATAAATCTAGAATCCTTCTATAGACTAAAATATACCCTACGTAAATGTTGTAGGTGTGGTGAAGTCAAGACGTAGCCGCATTGTCAATACGACAGGCGATGATTAATAAATAGAAGATAATAGTTAACCGAAGTAGTTTAATCATACAAGCTTTAAATTGAAGTACACGCCATATGTCATCCATGTGAAAAAGGACAAGAAAACAGAAACAAGATGCACACATAATGAATATATGAACGAACCCCCGCTATGTAAGAATCCATTGCCCATCGACGACAAATTATGAATCAGAACCTTTGTATTAGTATAATAATGACATGAATTACAGCTGGCCAGAGAGAACCGCTTCAGTTGCTATAGTAGACATAAATTAGTATGTTGATAGAAATGTGAAAAAAGTGTCAATAGACTTACCAGAGTTGATGTACGTGCGCTTAATATCTAGATTTACACCGAACCGTTTCTCCAGTTCCACTTTAACCGCCTTTTTCGTGATGGTCATAAAATCAGCAGTACGCAGGATCTCTCGAATTTCGGCGAGAATGGCGTCATCACTAGGCAACCCAGAAAGATCAGCCATCTCATAGTTGGCCGCGCCTAGCATTTCTGATGGGGCTAGAGACATGCGAGAACCAAAGCGAGACGTCAAGTCAAGTTGCGACGCCGGACGAGACGCAGGGAATCCATATTCTGTAGCTGCCGGATGATAGGATTTGGTGCCATAGGAATAACCGGATACTTCCGAGCGAGTATCGTCCCGCTGAGATTGAGCTTCCCACAATTCGACCTGATATTCCTCCCACTTCTTTTTAGGGATCGAAGCAGGGTCAAATTTGCCCTCATCAGAAATGACAACCTTGTTGCCCTTTTCACCAGTTACAACACGAGTGTTTCCCCAAGTGAAGTCATCCATATGCCAGAAAGCATATAGAGGCAAACCCAAAGAGAAGACGGGGGTTGCGAGAATGTAGATAATCATCCAGCCTACCATTTCCCACTTTCGACGGAGAATGAAGATGATAGCTTGCAACCCGTAAATTGCAACAAGGAGAATGAGTGCAGTGAAGGGGATTGACGATGTGTCTATGGCTAACCATACAATGAGATAAACGATATAAACTACTGTAACCGGCTGAATTACTGTACTCATAAGATCAATGAGCACAACAAATCGCATACTGAAGCAGCAGAAACCGCAAAGTTGTTGCAACGGAATGAGTTCAATAAGATTGTGTACGGTTGAATTGATCCATCGGCGACGCTGAGACAAGAAAACTGTCCAACTATCGGGGGCAATTGTCCATGCATGTGCCCGGAATAGGTATTTGGTTTTGTATCTCGGGTGATGTTTCAAGAGAAGGGTTGTAAGGTAACGATCTTCACCCAAATGCAAGAGGTTCTTCATGTGGAGAGTATCGACACGTATATCTGCGTATGATTCGACAACTTCTTTGCTCACAAATAGCGGTTTACCGGTATCCGCTGACCTGATGCGGTACATAGTGAAGCAACCAGGTAAACAGGTAATGGAACCAAACAAGCTTTCGAATGCCTTAATCAAGTTGTGAGAGATGTAGTATTCGTAGACTTGAATCATGGTGACCATAGATTGCTTTGCGTTACTCAGAGATGTTTCTCCACAAAGACCAATTATACGGGTATCAGCGAGAAACGATGCCACCATTCGTGTTGCAGAATCTGGAGAGACAACGGTATCGGCATCGACCTGTAAAATAAACTCATAAAATGTGGGATTGACACCAATGATGTTGCGGATTTGGTGGTACATCTCCAATTCCATAGGACTCATTGGAAGGTTATAGTGAATACGGTTAAGGAAGCGCATGAGAATCATCTGCGAATCTCGCTTACCGCGATTGCCAGGACGTGATACTTCAGATGGCTTTCCGACCTTGACAACAACCATGAAGGGTACGATGTGACCCTGAACCTCATATAGACCGGAGTAAACTTTCCCCATATTGTGTTGTCGCATACCTTCACCTAAGCTTTCGAAACTCAAAGGTTCTGGGTCAACAGTGTCAGGGACACCCAAAATATCCAGGGCAATTCTTGGTGTTGGTCGATCATTGCCTTGGCCGATAATCATGCCGTCACAAATGACAACTAGCAATTTTCGCTTGTCATCATATTTCATACGAGCCATAGAATCAATAGCACGGCGGAGAGAGTCTTCGTCTTCCGTGTAGACCGGAACCTGACAAATAATAAATTTATCCAAGTTTTCAGGCATGTTCTTTTTACCGAATTGGAGTGCAGCAAGAAATCTGAACAAGATGACTAGCGCCAAGAATGCAGAAATGGCAAGAACAAAGTACTGAGCAAATTGACATTGTACTGAGTTTCGAGTATCGACTTTGCCAACAAAGAAGAGGTTGTCCATGCATAGTTGCATACGTTCACGCAGGTCAGGTGCCAAGGGAAGATCATTCCAGTATTTCGTAACATCCTCACCGGATCTCTGAGAAAAAAGGTTAACCACATACTGTGACATGAAGTCTGTGTTGACATCAGCTGGTGCCGGTTGACCAGCAGGAGCCAGAGTATTCCGGCCTCCGGCCACGTAATTGCTGAAATCATAGACATTGCCATTGATGCTCCCTATGGATTTTCCATGGTCGTTAGCCAATGTGCTCATATATTGCGCGCTGTAACCAATGTAGCCTTTCTTGTATGTGCCCCTTAGCATCAGCATCTGCTCTGCAAACCAGTCCGGACGGTAGTCATTTGTAAAGTAACGAAAGTCGTGATATACAGCATTGCTATCTGTAGCACTAATGGTAGTGGCGGATCCCGTAACGTTGACCGGTGTGAAATCAAGCAGCACGGTAGGATCCACAGAACCATTAACACCTTGACAGAGTGCCGACACTTGGACGGGAAAAAGCGCTGTCGCATCGACACCCGCGTACTGTTTGAATGAAGAGGAAGGGATAAGGTTTTTGGGATAATGAGCTGGCACAAAAGCACCCAGGTCGAAAACCACGCCTCGAACGGCAACGTATGATGAATGACCATCTTTCCCATCATTTGCTGACAGCTCTGATGCTGAATAGACGTGTTGTGTGGGACAGATTAATGACGGAAAGGCCACAACGAAAAACACAGCAATTCCACAAGCCAGCCAGATAAGCAAGTTGATAGTAAGCTTTTCACGCCAAGCCATCCTAACGTCTTTTCGCTTCATTCTCCCGACAAATCTGATGAGGAAATCAGGAATCCAGAACGTAAGTAAGTACACAATGAAGAGCCAACGTTTGCGGCTACCAGAGTCAGCCACAACGTCGACCTCCTCCATTTTGCGTTCTTTGCTCTTCTCTGCCATCTGTTCTCTAGTTTCTAGATTCTTGAACATGTCCCCAGAATTGAAAGCCGAGGCGCCAGCGTCAGAGCGCCCATCAATATCGCGGCTGCCGAAATAGCTGCCGTGCTTCGTCTCATCGCCGTAGATGAAAGCGCCGCTTGGAGTATTCTCCCCGGAATTCAGTAGACGAACTTTAGCATCAGAATAAACGCTGTCCACATTGAGCATTCCTTCTCCGTCTTCGAGGGGATTAGCGCGATATGAGGGAAGTACGCGTTCGCCCAACTTGGAAATGTCCGCCCAGCATCTTTCACTGAGGAAGACACCAGTACTACCGACGCGCGCTTCATTTCCAGGCCATTTACGTTCATCCAGAACAAGCTCAGCCTTCTCCCTGTCACTGCCAACAACAATAGTTTCGGCTTCAGCTAGACCGAGGAACTCTGCAAAAGGAAGGAATATAGTGAAGTCTGCATTTCGCAACCTTTGGCTGATTTCAGCTATACCAAAAGTCTGGACCTGCATGCGCACACACTTGCTATCGAATTGGTTGGCAATTCTTCTATCATTCGGCTTGAGGCAGAAGACAAAATAAGGATTGATATTTGGCGCTGTGAGACACTGCTTGATAATCTCAAGAGAAGAGAGGAATTGGCCTGCGGCACCTTGGTCGGCAGCTGTGCCATTCACCTTCTTTCGCCCTGTAACACCAGTCTTGGCGCTTCCATTATAGCTGTCGCTATCGTCGTCATTATTAGACCGAGTTCCAAACGAAGTCAACCTGGAGTTTGTGTTGATTTTGCGACGGGCCATACTGGGCATCCGCATCGGTTTGGAACTGACTTGAGCCTGGACAATAGCCGTTTTCTCTTTAGGATGAGTCACCTTATTGAGGGCTTTTTGTCCAAACAGATCACGAACGAAGTCACTGCGCGTGGAATTGATGACGTTGATAAAATCACCAGAAATGGTCTCGCCATTTTCTTCGACTAACCCATTGATAGGATAGTCAACTTCGCCAGCAAAATGTTTTACTGCAAAAGTGGCACTCGCGTTAGGGGCGGAAAAGTTGCTCCCGGCCATTTTAGTCATGCTTTCTCCAACCACAATTGCTGTGTTCTTGTTCTCGAATCGCTTTCTCATACTCTCAAGCATTTGGAGATCAGTCCGTCCTCGTCTTGTCTGGTCATCGAGAATACTCAGAAGCCCGTTACCAGGCTTCAGTAAGCCACGGACGGCTTCTGAATTGTCAAAATAGCTTGTTGCTGGAACACTGACTTCTTCACTTTCCAGGAGATCTGCCTTGTTTGAGAAAAAGCTCTGTAAGCAATAGCTATACAAAGACTCCACGGCAGCATTATTGAGCAACTGGTCAAGAACAGACCCAGTGGAAGCAGCCTGAGCAAAGCCAGGGAAGTCAATAATGGACACGGTGTTGGCAACGCTATCTTCGGCAGCACAAATTCGCTGGTTGATATTTTCCATGACGTAGGCGACTAGAAGGGAGTAAAGAGTACGTGCAAGTTCGTCTGCGCTTCGACGAGCGCCCTGAGGATCCAGCATCACAGTGACGCGTTCACGGTGGATGGTCTTACTCTTGAGGCGGAAGGTCACCTCAAGATCTTCCGTACTGAGTCCGAGGAAAGCAGCGATACATTCCAGGACGTCTTTGTTTTTGACCGTAGTCACCGTCTCACCTCCCTCATGAGAATACCCGCCACTCTCTTCCGCACCAGTTGTTGTAGATTGACTAGTAATAAAATCGAGCTGGCCAATGTGGAGGATAGTTGCTAGGATTTGACAGATTTCGGCGATTTCACCTCGGGGAAACTCGAGCTTGCGCAATGCAGTCTTGAAGTGTTGGAAGCCTTCGGCGTCATTGATACCAACTTTTAGTTGGGTTGGGTGACCGAGATAACGCCATCGTTTGTGGCTGGCTCCAGGGGCCGATTGGATGTTGGTGGAGTCAAGTCCTAGATGGGATTTTTCGGCAGCGCTGGTGCCGGCCAGCAGATAGTATAGAATATGAATACTGCGTTCGCCAGTGGGAACAGATGTGATTCGACTTCTCTCCAAACGATGGTCGAGGATTTTACCTCCAATCAAAGTTGGATTGTTGGAAGACGAATCGTATTGTAATTCAAAGAATAAACCAGCTTTGGATGCTGTGGGTGTAGTAACGGATTTGGTGGTCGTTAGGGAGTCAAAGACAAAGGCAGCGAGCGACAACTTTGTCGAAAGCGGTGTCGAAGAGAACGACAGAAATGAAGACAAAAGATGAGAACGAACCGTCGTCTTGCCGGAGCCCGTTTCACCTCTGGACGTGAATTAGAAAAAAGCAAATACTTATCAGATGAACAGAACTCACAGAAATACAATTGCCTGGTTCTCTCCACGAGCTCCTAAACGAGTGAAAGCGCGTCTCGCCAAGTCCTCTGCTTCCCCCATGGCACTCCCCTCCTTGTCGCCATCCGGGCCTTTGGCAGATGAGGTGTACGTGTTTATGCATATTAGGGCTTGCGATGAAAGGCGTGCGGTAGGCAGTGATATGTGAAATCTAGGATTGAGAAATAACGATTAGCCGTGTTCGTGGATACCGAGCAAATCATCACGTACCTGCTAGCTAGATGAGCCGTCAAGTGGGTGTCGGATTGGAGATGGGATGGTAGTGACGGCAGTGACGACTGTGAATGGGAAGGGGCAGTTCCCGGCAATGCATTGAAGGCCATGTCTGTGAGTCGACGTAAAGGTCGGAGACCTTGTTATTTTGCAAAGGTGAAAGTGCCAGTACTCGATTTCTTCTGGCGGACAACCAAAAAAAGGCTGTCTATGGATGTAACTCGTTCAGAAAATAGTCGACAGTTAGCAAGCTACGCAGCTCGCAGCGAGATCCTAACAAGCGAGGGATAAAAAACACATCACTCGGTCAGGCGGGATGCAGGTCGAAAGGATCAATATAGTGGAGGTATGCCTTCAATAAAGCGAGTGTTGGGCCGAGCGGATGCCTGGTAACAACGAGCCGCTGGAAACACGAGGACAAGGAGCAAGCGCGATGCGATCGAGGGCGAAAAGCGAGAAGAGAAGAGAAAGAGAAAGAGAATGCAACGAATGTGATTATGCTGGTTGAGCGGTAGTAGTGGAATGCAGAAGGGCTCGACTCAGTCAGTCGAGAAAGTGAGAGAGACTAGCGGAAAGATCTGGAGCGAGCCCACAATGGTACGGATACATGGCTGTTTGATGTCCGTAATGGTATTGATACGTACATCAGGACCAAGTAATTTAATATTAACATTCTGGATGTGAGACGGCCATTCTTTGCGGGCATCTTCGAGCCACTTGCGGCTTGCTTCCGAGCGTGCCAGTGTGGGCTTGTTTTGTTGACAGCTACTGTATTGGGTACTGTATTGACCGGGGCAATAGCCAATGGCAGTTGCCAGATAGCCCGCTAGCGGCTGGCCATTAGTACAGAGGTGGGACACAAGCCAGGAGCCGCAGCGATCGACCTGCGGTTAGCAGAAACTAGTGTGCGGCGTGGTGAGACCCATCCAATAGTGACTGGCCCAGTCTAAGACACACCCAAACTTGTTGACACCCTCTCTCTGCTCACTAGGACGACACAATAAATATAGTATATAAGATATAAGATTTATTGTGTCTGACAAAGCGACTGCAACAGCCGGCTGTGCACCTGGCACTCCATAGAATGACAGAATCTGGTGTCTGCAGGCTATTCTTAGCGCCACCACAAGATTTTCTTTGTTGGATGACCACACAGTTTAAGCCTACGTTTTAACATTTAGGCCGTACCCCTAACAAAAAGGGGCTGCTGTGGCAAATATTGACGATTGGTGCCGCTACTCTTAACAGTTAACAATTTCTTTAGTTTCTGTATTCTATTTCTTCCTGTAGGTATATTTGTTATTGGATACCAGGCCGATTAATCATTTGTTGGTGTTACACCTGCATCGATGTATGTAATTCATGTATCGAAAACTACAAGTTCACAGTCGGCTTTCCCTTTCGCCTCCCCAGGGTCGCCGATTCTCAACGCAGGAGGCGAACAATTAACTATACCTTTCGTCGTGAGATGCGAATGCATTTATTACTATTGATTTACTACTACTTGGTATCAACAAGCGATCTGAGGGCAGCTTCTAGAACGCTGAGACCTGTCAAAAAGGCTAACGGCGGAGGAGATCTGTCCATTAGTGGCTCCTCCAGGGGCCGTTTGGTGGTGATCCGATTCCCAAGAGAGTGGGAGTCGGGTGATGGACGGATGCAATTACTTGTGACACCAGATCTATCTACCCGCGATCGCGATAAAATGTGAGGTTATCAAATGCCAAAAGATGCCTTGGTCAGTCCCTGAATCATATGTTAAGTAATTGAATCTTCAGTACAGGAAAAGGTACGAAAATAGCCGACTAGTCATGTGATACCGCATCCCATGGTCGAGATGCCGGCGCCAGTGGAGCCGGCCGGAAAGCTAATCGAGAAGCCTCGTCGTTTTGGGCATGATGTGGATGCTTAGTCCGCCTATCTAGCTGGCTAATGGGCTTGCGATGCTTTATTTAATTTTATGCTGTCTAAACTTTTTGAGCAATGTAGAGTTACGCCTCGATGTGTGGTGATGATTTTGCATCCATCGTGGCCACCTTGTCCTGACAGTAGAGAGCGACACGCTACATTGGATGGCGCTGGGGGCCGCGTAGCCTGCATTGCTGCAGCATGCCATGCCTGGTGGGTCGGTGCTGAACAATACCAAACAAGGGGCCTCTAATTCTAACGAGCTGGTGTTTACGACAACCACTGAGAACTGCCCTGCTCTGAATACAAAACCTTTTTCTTGTCGACCCAAGTAGACTTTTAAACATTCTTGGTCCTCTCGCGCCTGTGCCTGTGGTGCACATTTTCTCCCCGCTGGGCTGATTGTACGTAATGGTGAATTTTTCGAGGACGATCCCCCAAGACACTAACTACTGTGTACACATGCAAAGGATGACAACATAGCCTCTGCAAGTGAGGTTGGCACTTGGAAGCATTAAAATAATACTGTAATAATAGAATAATGTGATAACCTAGTGAATTATAATCAATCGTTGTGGGCAGTCTTAGCCTCGCAGACTCGGGTAAGAATAGCAGAGACACCTGCACGGACCCGTACCGGTAATACGTTACCGTACCATACACTGCGAAACCACCAACAGCCGTGCTAACTCCGCCCATGCAGCAGTTGTACCAGCGAGTGCCCAGAACGCCTTTTCTCTCTGTCGTTCGTTCTTATTCTCCAGTGATTGATTATTCCTGGAGGCAGTGTTGTCATTTCTTTCTTCACACCCTATCTATTTTATCATCTTTTGCCGGTGCTAGTTATCCTCGTCGCATTTTCCCCCATTCCACCGGCCACATTCGCTTGCCACGACTTTTTGTCTGCCATTCGCTTCAGACGACCCGTACGGAGTGATCTTTTTTGGATCACCGGCCAATCCTCTTTCTAGACCGACTCGGTCTTCTCGAGGCCTGCGTTTACACCTCTCCTACCTCGAGATATTGTAAGTGAGACGAGTAATACTTCTGACCCTTACGAAGGATCTCCCTAATTTTAATAGGAAGGTGTCTATTTCGCTGATGTCCTGAGGGGCAGCAGCAATTCCGTGTCTGTCTTTTAACAACTACATTCAACTGTCAGAACAATACCACTGAAAATGACAAATCGATTTTCTGTCTTTTCGATGACCTCCGGTCCTGGCGGTGCCAAGTCCTCATCCCAAGTTTCTACGACGTCGTTACTTAATGCCTTGCATACATCCTATACGAGTGGCCAGCCTTATCAGCTTGAAACCGGTACGAGTCTGGTAGTGAACACATGGCTTACAGCCGTTAATACCAATCCGGATGGCTCATCGGGAGGGACTGTTGATGCTGAGCTGGCTCGACGTGCTTGGGAACACTGTCGTCGACGAGCAGAGGATAGTTGCATTGTTTTAGGGTATACCTTTGGATCGCGTCCTTGGTTTATCATTTGAAAGCTAACACTCATCTACAGTTCACTGCACCGATCTACCCCGTGCCTCCTTCCTGCCTTGCTCTCGGCTGTGCCTCTGTCTACTCCTGACGTACTATACTCCGCGATCAATGCCATTCGGCCTTTTGTTTCCGCCGTCACACCTTTCAACCCGTCTTACTCTCTATACTCGTCGTTTGCCATATCGTATACTTTCACTCTTACCGGAAACATTACCGGATTGACGCTTGCACTGTCATCATCAGGTATTAATGTCACCAGAGGACTCTTGGATGTTCCCGCTGAGCCTGGCTATCGCGCCTTTGATGTATTTTACTACCTACTCAATGCCGCCTCTAGCAATGCGGAGCGGGATTACCTTGCTTTAAAAGACCCGTCTGCATATGCTATCCTGAGCAAATCAGGGACTTACAACCCCCCTTCTTTTCTTCCGACTGCTGATGACGCTGCCGCTGCAGAGGACTTCCGATCCGCTCTTAAAGCCATTGGGATCAAGGGTGCCGCACAAAGGGGTCTGATTTCGGTTTTGGCCGGGCTACTCAAATTAGGAAACACTCTGGGCTTTCTCGTTGATCAGGAGGATCTTGAAGAAGTCTGTGAGGAAGCTGCCGAACTTCTAGGAGTCGACCCTGAAATTCTATTGCATAACTGCACAACAGATGACCGTCAAGTTTTCGTCTCGGGAGTCTATGAGGCACTAGTCGACTGGGTCATCCAGAAAGCCAATGAGGCGATAGCAAATCAACTTCGAAACGACCAGGAGAATACATCGAGCGATGGTTCAGGTCCCCAATGGAACAATGATGACAATTCTGATACTGTGACTTTGACCATTATTGATATTCCCAGCCCGCCTCTCGGCAAAGCGGTTGCACTACGCGGTATTTTTGACGACAACGTCGGTATCAATGCTGAAATGAAAGAAGACGGGTTAGAATTTGCCAGCCCTGGCCAGTCAGTTCTTAACGAGATGAATACTGCCGTTGCTGAGGTAGAAGGTGATTTTGGCATCACTGGTGGTGCAGCTTTCAGAGAACGTTCATTATTTCTTGATAAGAGACAGACAGTTCTGGAAAAGGTCGGTGTGGAGGTTGAAATGGGTGCCTTCCTTCGAGACCTCTTGTTTCCTGTCGAGAGTCAGGGCATCACACTTGGTAAACGGGGCCGCTTCGATCTTCCAACAACATTGGGTAGCAGCAGAGTTTGGTATCATCTTGCAGTACACCCCACTGACGATACCCCCGATAGTATGGCAGCATTGCCCACCGTGACCTCCGCGTGGTCAGCAGGCGCTGTATCCCGTCAATTACGAGACTGGCGTTTGCCTGAGTGGGCAAATCGCCGTCACAAACAACTTGATTTTACCGCTGATTTTGATGTTGAGGAATTTGTTACTCGATACTCTCGTCTCGGTTGCAAAGAAGGAAAAGACGGTGTCGAGAGCTGGGTTCTTGAGCGAGGCTGGAGTAACGGCGATGTCATCGTCGGACATGAGAGAATCTGGATGCGTGAAGGTGCATGGTGGGAGGCAGAGACAATGCTTGATTTGAAACCTGATGGAAACCCTTTCATGGTAGTCAACCCTTTTGAAACTGGCTATTCTGCTACTCCCCCTAATCCGAATGGGTCTGGCTTTTTCCCGCCTGTGCCTATTGCTGATTCCGGCAGTTTTGTCGCAAGTCGCGACAATCTACTAAACATTAACAGACAGAGTACGATGTCTCCGGGTCTAGCTCGCTCAATAGGGCCGGGCCAAACATTACATTCTTTTGGAGCTGCAGGCGACTATGGGTTGGGTCCAAAAGGCGATGATCACAAAGCTGATGACGCTTATTACGAAGCTGAGTTGAATCGTCTTGCTGGGAATGACCCTGAGTATGGTAATCCCAATCACATTGAAAAGAAGCCAATTACATTTGGTCGGCGGTTATGGGCTGGGTTCGTATGGGCAGTCACCTTCTGGATCCCATCCTTCATGCTTCGTTATATTGGTCGGATGAAGCGCCCAGATGTCCGAATGGCTTGGCGTGAAAAGCTTGTACTCGTGCTACTTATCCTATTATTCAACGGTATTGTTGTCTTCTACATCATCGAATTCGGTAACTTGCTGTGCCCCAACAAAGACAAAGTATGGAATCCACAAGAGCTTAGCTATCATACAGGCGACAATGACTTCTATGTTAGCGTGGCCGGCAAAGTATACGACATCAGCAAGTTCTGGAGACTGCAACATAGTGACACAGCAATCCAAACAAGTTCTGCAAACATGCAGTGGGCTGCCGGCCAAATTCTGGATCCATATTTCCCTGTTCCTCTAACCGAAGCTTGTGGGATGTTTGTGACTGATACCTCCGTTGTATTGTCGAACAACAACACAGCCGCCACTGAACAATCAGAAGCTATCCATTGGAGTGGCAATTTCAAGCAACCAGTCCAAAAATCTGCACTGTACAAGTTTTCGTGGTACGATCAACAATTCTTACCTTTTCTTCAGCAATATTATAAGGGAAACCTAGTCTACACCAGAGGCAATATTTCTGATCAAGCAAATTCGGATCAGCGGTACTGGGTGATCATCAATAATGGGGTTTATGATTTGACAAATTATTTCTACAGCTTAGGGTTGGAGGACGGCCGAGACTCGTACAATTTTCTCCCCAGTGCAGTCACAACCTTGGTCAAGCAAAATGCAGGGTCGGATATCAGTAGCAAGTGGCAAGACTCGGCAAATTTCACCAACGCACTCACTTGTATGAAACACGCGTTCTATGTTGGCGAAGTCGATTTCAGAGATACTCCAAAATGTACAGTTAACAACTGGATCTTGCTTTCATTTACAATTCTCATCGGTGCTGTTATTTTGGTCAAATTCTTGGCGGCCCTTCAACTTGGCACCAAACGTCGTCCAGCCCCCCAAGACAAGTTCGTTATTTGCCAAGTTCCAGCGTATACTGAAGGTGAGGATCAACTTCGGAAAGGCCTTGACTCCCTCACAGCTCTACAATACGACAACAAACGCAAGCTTATATGTGTGATCTGTGATGGAATGATTGTTGGTGGCGGCAATGATAGGCCAACACCCAAAATTGTACTTGATATTCTCGGTGTTGACCCCAAGATCGATCCTCCAGCACTACCTTTCAAGTCAGTTGGTGAAGGTAGTGATCAGCTCAATTATGGTAAAGTCTATTCTGGGTTATATGAGTTTGAAGGAAATGTTGTCCCGTACGTTGTCATCGTCAAAGTTGGCAAAGAATCAGAGCAGGCCAAATCCAAACCAGGAAACCGTGGAAAGCGTGATTCTCAGGTCCTCATCCTCAATTTCCTCAATCGCGTCCACCATCGTGCGCCAATGTCTCCGTTGGAGCTGGAAATATTCCATCAAATCAACAATGTAATCGGGGTTGATCCTGAACTATACGAATATGTATTTATGGTTGACGCCGATACCAGTGTTAGGGAGGACTCATTGAATCGTCTCGTTGCTGCCTGTGCAACTGACGCTAAAATTGCTGGTATTTGTGGTGAAACTAGCCTGCAAAATGAGGAACGAAGCTGGTGGACGATGATTCAAGTTTATGAGTACTATATTTCCCATCACTTGGCGAAGGCATTTGAATCTCTTTTTGGAAGTGTAACTTGTTTGCCCGGATGGTGAGTTGTCGTCTTTTCTTAATAGAAACTTTTTTGCTGACAAGATTTACCCCAGTTTCTGCATGTATCGACTACGCACTGCTGACAAGGGTCGTCCTTTGATTATTTCTGATAAGGTCCTCAAAGAATATTCCGATGGAGATATTGATACTTTGCATAAGAAGAATCTGCTTGCCCTTGGAGAGGATCGTTTCCTTACGACACTGATGACAAAACACTTTCCAACCATGTCCTATAAGTTCATCCCCGATGCTTATGCCAGCACTGCTGCTCCAGAGACCTGGGGTGTGCTTCTCTCCCAGAGACGACGCTGGATTAATTCCACCGTTCACAACCTGGTTGAATTAGCTGCATTGAAAGACTTATGTGGTTTCTGTTGCTTCAGTATGCGGTTTGTTGTCCTGGTCGATCTTTTAGGAACCATCATCCTCCCAGCAACTTGCGTTTATCTGGGGTACATGATCTATCTCATGGCCAGTCACACAGGTCCATTTCCACTCATTTCGATGGCCATCTTGGCAGGTGTCTATGGTTTACAAGCGATTATTTTCCTCATCAAACGTCAATGGCAACATATCGGCTGGATGATTATATACTTGTGTGCCTTCCCCATCTACAGTTTCGTTTTGCCTCTATATTCCTTCTGGAAGCAAGATGATTTCACCTGGGGTAATACCCGTGTTGTTATTGGAGAGAAAGGCGATCGACGGGTTGTTGCCGTGAAAGATGAGCCATTTGATCCAAGGAGCATTCCTCTTCAGCGATGGGATGATTATGCCTTGGCAAACAACCTACCGGGGCGACGTGGTCAAGCTGAAGCGGGTGACGAGAAGAACTACCCTGGTGTCTACGCGGATGAAGTCGCCCTGGAAATGGATGATTTGCATTCTACTTATTCATCCGTTAAACCAACATCGACCATCTTGACTAGTTTCCCTAGTGGTCGTGGTCCATACATGCCTCCTCAGTCACCTGCACCTTTCGGCGGTAACAATCGCAATTCGCGTATGTCCAGTTTTACTCGATACACTGACGCACCACAACCCGGTACCCAGGGTCAGCGTCATGTCTCAATGGGTGGCCTCAGCAATTATCAAGATAATCCAATGAACACAAGCCGGCTAAGCATGCCTATGATGCAAAGCTCTGACAACCTTCTGGGAGCTCCTCATCGGCAGCGTAGCCCTATGGGTGGGTACGGCTCTCGTCCAGTTAGCACTGCCATGGATTTCCGAGGTGTTCCAGGGCATGGGCCAGATGACTCCACGATCATCGATGCTATCCGTCAGGTCCTTGGCGAAGTCGATCTTGACAATATCACAAAGAAACAAGGTGTGTACCCTCCTCCTGCCTAATATCATTCATACTTACCCATTATTAGTGAGGGTCCTTGTCGAGCAACGTCTTCAAACCGAGTTAGCTGGCGACCGGCGTACATTTGTTGACCGTCAAATTGACCAGGAGCTCGCCAACATGTGAGCTATGGAACAACCTTGCCTTACATTTTCCGTTCACCTATCACATTTTCCCTAACTGTAGCGGTCTCGTAAGAAGTTTTGCAAAAATACGGCGCTTGTCAGTGATTTACTGCTCTATCCTAATAATAGCCTTTTTAATGCCCCGTGACTATTTTGTGCATTTGAGCATGGGTTTGACGAACTGTACCACTTATTTTCTAATTGTATTTGTTTTCTTGATATATCTGCGCATCTCTCATCGGGCTGGGTGTCATATGATTATTGATTTGTTTACATAGCGGGTAGGATAAGCTGGGTAACGGATTAGCTAGACAGGTTTCATACTGCCAATTAATATCTTATGATCAATTTCTGAAGTACCGACCAAGCTCTCTTTAGGTGTGATAAATCTAGGCATATATTAATTGATCTCAGCTGAAATGTGCACCCTCAAGACAGATCGCATCCAACATTTGAACATTCGATGGCCCTTGTACAAGCAATGCTGATCTCTGTTCTCTGTACACATAGAAAAAGGATTTAGAAATGACATTGGCTGGGCCTTCTCAAAGGTTATATAGACCTATAATACTCATTTACAAGTTAGATTACAGATTCAGTTCCGATTTGAGCCTTTTCCACGCAGCAATCCCCCTCTGAGCATGGTCCCTCGTCACGGTCTTGCTTGGATCTGACAAGGTTCGCGAAAACAATTCTATAGACTCCCAGCCGTCGAAACCGAGATCATTCAGAATCACTCTAGCCGCCTACACGCTCGGTAAATAGGCACCGCGGTCATTTTCATACACAAAGAGTCGCACATTTCGACTCCATGACATCCTTGCCAGCTGATCTTGGACGTAAAATGGACGTCCTTCAACTAAGGTTTCTCCATCCGCTCAGCATCCACCACCTGCACGTAAAAAACCTTCTCGATGTCAATTTTATTTCTCAGTCGCTCCAGAGATACCCGGAGATAACCATCAGCGTTGTCAGAAATCATCCCCGTTGAACTCGCCCGATTAGCCCATATACGCCCAGCAATATTGAATGTGCCCAAACAGCAGCCAGAATTGGGTCGATTCACCCGCTGTACGATCTCTTACATCAATTCCTACGTATCGACATAAGTGGCCCATGTAATATTCTTACGCAAAGCGTACAGGAGAGGTTTCCTGAAGCCCTAGGTCGGTGACTTCTATCTGGTCCATAACAGTCAAAACAATGTCCCCCAACGTGCCTTGTTGCAGGAAGTGTGTCGGGATTTGGATACTATCCGTATCGAAGATCTTGATGACTTTGAACCACAGCTTCAGTTTTGCGATTCGCAATTCGTGCTCGTGTCGATTAAGAAGCCCTTCATAGAATAAAAATGGTTGGAGCCAGATAATGGTCCATGCACGCCCCACGGACATGGAAGCGATTGCTGGGCGACAGGGCATTGTTCCAGTTTATTTGCAGAGATGAAAACGGTTGTGTTCGATTCCATGATACAAGTATAAGTAGGATTATAGAGCCATAAACATGACGTAGGTTTAAATGGTTTCTTACTCCTGCGTCGGCGTTGACTTCACCCGATCATGACTTTAATACGTTGGTTTGATGTCCCCCCAAACAAGGAGCCGGTTATCAGGCTCTGCATCAACCTCAGCGCTGTTGATATCGAATCTTTGCGTGATGATCGCTTTCATTTTTGTCACAGCCGGCCTGACATTCGGAGTTATGTCGGTCGTTGAGCCGTGGGCTCGATGAACGATAAATGCGCCCTTATTACTTGACCCATTCCGGCCAGCGATCTTTTGATAATGTCCAAATGGTGCATTTCCCCGGCCCAGGTAGTGTATATATAAGCATCCGAATGCATGATGGATTTCAAGCTTCCCCTTTCGCATGCATCCCTATATGCGGTTTATCCGAATCAGTCGCATTCATTCTGAGCAGCTTTTGCTCTATGAATATGGGTGGTTTCCATTCTTCGTTCAAATAAGAAGTGCGGTGTTGCTAGGAACAGATATGTAGTGGCTAACCACCTGCCACTTGTAATCGATTGGCAGCACCAAGCTGGACTATAACAGTTGCTTCTATAGACTCAGGTATTGTAATTATATAATTGCTCCCTAACTAAGTTAACTAAATTACTATCTGTATAGAGAGGCACATGACTACCCCACATGGAGGCTTATCTTATCTCGATCCTAAACAGCAGCGGACAATTGTTTACTTCTTGCAAATATTCAAGGAGCATGACTTTCCCAATGTTCAATATCAAGATCGACAGGTAATATTGGTGACTATTCTATATATCTGTCTATTGACAATGTCTGCCAACTCGCCGCCTGATAATAACCTCCCGACATCGATACCTACGACGTCAACATCAACGACCACTACAAATAACAGCCCCTCTCCATCATCATCATTCACCCCTCAGTCTTCGTCTTCATCCCCTGCCTCGTCAACCCAAGATCAAGACCCTGAAACCGCCCGTCGAACCCTCGAAGCCCGGACCGCCTTTACCGCCTCTCTCCATTCAGTCGGTCAAAACGTCTCGTCGGATCTCCGCGCTCGCGCGACAGATCTCCATAACAACGCTGCTGCAATCCAAAAACAGGAGAATGAGCTGACAAAACACACGACAGATCTCAAGAAACAAAATGATCAATGGGACAAAGTCGTTGAGAGTGCGCGCCAGGGGCTGAAGGAAATCGGCGACGTTCAAAATTGGGCGGAGATGATTGAGAGGGATCTACTTGTTGTAGAAGAGGTACTTAGGCTGGCTGAAGGCAACGCAGAGGCAGGGGAAGAAGACAGAAGGGACCACTATCAATCAGAAGGCGAAGGAGACATGACGGAGAGAGAAGACGGGGTCACCAAGGGAAAGAAGGCGAGCCAAGAACCCGTTGAGATACTAGATGACACGTCTTCTGCAGCGTCAGAGATGACCGGCACGTCGGCTACTTCAGGATCAAGTTCGGATTCTTCTACTAAACCTAGTCCGCCTGTGCAAGACATTCCACAGCCGGTGAGAAAGGGGGACGGCGAAAACAAGCCGACTGGGGGATGGTGGGGACGATGGTGGCAATGAGTAGTTGTTTGCTTTCTATATTATTGATGATAATGACTGTAATGACCCTTGTGACGTTGAATGTTATGCTCGCATGAATCTCAGAACTCCAAATTACCTTATATTCTGATATGTATCAAATTATATTCCAAAACCCGTACTAATTTCATCGATATTCTTCTGAGTCGCCCTGATGGGCTTGCCAATGGTAAAACTTCTCCCAAGCAGTCCGAGAGCTTTTGGCAGAGAAGACTTCTACATGGTTAGAGCTATATTCGTCATACTCGTTCCACGAACCCAAGCTCATTAAATGCCGCATGGTGGGTCGTCCATGAGGGCAATTCCAAGGTTTGTCGATGGTGCCCATGTTTCGGACTACCTTCTCCATCTGTTTGACGGTAAGAGTTTTGCCGATCATGATGCTTGAGCGACATGCACGCATGGCAAACATCTTCCGCACTTTGCTGGGGCGGGGGATATATATGTCGGTTTTCGATACATTCGCTGCCGTACTAGTCGGAGTATCAGACAATAGCACGATGAGTTCTTCGAGGTCGCGAATTTCGAAGACAACTTCTTTGCTCAATGGAAGAGAAATAAGTTTGCATCTTCGACCAATGGGCTCATCGCCACTGTCGTCGACTTCAATGACAAATCCATTTTTCTCGAGGGCTGGTTGATTTTCTTTAATGACTTCCTCTTCAACCGCTGTCAGATCAAGGGTTTTAGGGTGGACGAGACGCTGACTCTGCACTACTGTCTCTTCTTGAAGCTTCTCAAAATTATACTTTTCGTCGGAAGCATGCTGATCAATGATGAAAAGCTCATCTTTGTTGAGATTTGAAACTTCGTCTGCTTCATGGGATCTTGTAGCCAACACAAAGCCTAGATTGAACTGCCCAACAACACGCATCTTTGAAAAATCGTCTTTGGACACAGTCAATGACAAACGTTCTTCGCCCGTCTCATCAGATATTTTCTCATCTTCATCGATCGCAGAAGATCGACCGTCATGTGACTTTAGTTTTTTTTGCAACTGATCCATCTGTTCTTGGATTATGGGAATTGAGCTGTTAATCGTTGCAACTAGCTGGATCGTCGAGTCCCTCTGGTTGTGTTGTTCTTTCTCAATGTACTTTCCACGCTTCAAATGGTTATCACTATGCGATTCAATCTTTTCCTCTGCTTTTCGAATGAGCTCCTGGACCTTTGCTTCTTCTTTAGATCTCTCTTGTGTTTCGTCAACATAGTCTTCGTCTTCCGGATTGGAAACTTCCTCTTGGTGTTGGGACTCGAGTGGCTCAACCTGTACAGATTTTGCACTGTCACCATCGTCTTCATGTGTTGGCACATCACCAGCATCAGTTGTTGGTTGAGATGCTGCCGAAATTTTAGCATCACCATTCTTAGCATCATCGATATCTTTATCCTCCTCTGATTCCTCAGATGATCCAAATTCCTCCGCAGAAGCATTGACCAAGGTACCAGGTGCAGCAAACGATCTCATGTTCTGACTAAATATATTGGGTTTTGATGGCGTGTGAATTCGACGCTTTGATTCCCGTTTACCGTCAGTATTGCCTGCAGATAAAGAATCCCTCTTCCGGGTTGGACCGCGTCCTACAACTGATGTGACTGTTCTATCCCCGATTGTGATCGTTGCAATTTCAGCTAGAGGTCGCGCTGGTCGAATGCGATCAAAAGCGTTCTGGATTACGTTTGGCTTATCAGGCGACAATTTACGCCCTAGTCTTGACAGGCGTCTATCATTTACTTCGGGTGAAGTCTCGGCTGCTCTTGCTCGAATTCTTTTAATAGCGTCCTCAACAGCCTCATCAGCTTTGTCTGCCTCATCAGCTTTGTCTGCCTCATCGTCTTCAGGGGTCTCCGACGACGAATCTTTGCCAATAGTTGTACTTGGCGCTTCTTGAACTTTAGGAGCCACCACGGATTCTTTTATACCCCGAATTTCATCATCCTGATTTTCAGCTTGTGATGTAGTCATTTCAGCCGCGGGACGTATATGACTTTTCGCACTATCATGAGAGACAGCAACAACATTCGTAGTTGCCAGCGGGGCTTGTTGCTCGTCTCCATCTGCTTCTAGAACTGTGGGCACTAAGGATTTCTGAATGTGCTGCCGAATACCACCTTGCTGTTTTGCGTTGGTAATCTGGGACTGAGGAACCGTCTGCTCAGCTTCCTGGAACAGCGTATCCAAGGCCTCCTTCAACGAATCCGTCAATGCCGCTGAATCGTGTAAAAGAATCGACCGCTTGTCCGGGGATACATTAACATCGTATGCGTTTGTATCCATCTGAAAATCAGCGAGCACAAACGGTGCCTGTGATAAGTTGTAAGACTTGTAGACTTCGTTGAAAGCCCTTGCAATCTGCGGAATACCACATGGACGTGAGTTAACAAAGTACATTTGTCGATCTCGCGTTCCTCTTCCTTCGCCAACCACAGGCCTTGATACGTAACCACGAACACGAATCTTTTTCAATTCACGATCAAGGCGCTTTCCAGCTGCTGATGGTTCGTATTCAAGATCAAGGTCAAGTGGTATTAGCGTAAGAAGTGTTTTTGCACCGTAGACATTGGCAATGTTTTCTTTTATCACGGAGTTTGCCTTTGTCGTTAGTAGTATGATCGCTTTCCGTTTCGCATCCGTATTCTTGACATTGAAACGAACGCCGGTACTGATGCAGGCATATTCATTTAATAAAGTGACCACTTTTGCAAGCTCGCGCTTGATATTCTTTTCCAATTCCCTTCGTCGCACAGGCAAGTTGCTAAACAAGTTCAAAGCCGAGGTAATAGTCCCCTTCTGTCCCGCAACAATCTGAGTGCCTTTTAATTTACCAGATCTTTCAAACTCCAGTTTATTAGCCTTTGGCACTTGGTCTGCCTGAGCGGTGATTATATGAAAATCCGAGACGGCACATAGAGACGAGAGAGCTTCACCGCGAAACCCGAATGTCGTTAAGGAAGTCAGATCGTCGTAGGTAGCAAGCTTGGAGGTATAGTGTTTGAGAGCTGTGAAGTAGTACTATAAGCTTCATAAACTTGTATATAGAAATAGATAAACATGTGTGTAGGTAAGACGTACCGATGCTCTCGTAATTCTCAGGTGCTATCCCGCGTCCGTTGTCTTGCACCTCAATCGAATCCAGGCCATCGTTTTTGAACCGTACCTCTGGTGTTATCTACATGTTAGTAAAGTATTCAACATGAGAGGCTACGGATCCAATTTACCGATAGAAGTGGCGCCTGCATCCAGGCTATTTTCGACAAGCTCCTTCACCACTGAACATAGGTCGACGATAACTTGGCCCGACTGGATTTGATGCACCTGAAAACCAAAATTATTACAAAGGAATGATATCTGTAATGCACAACAGTAACTTACCGAGCGGGCCTCGATGGCCTTGATTGTAGCCATTATGACATGGCCATGCCTACCAGATTGTTCTATTAATGAATACGAAGAGACGGGCGGTACACGTGAATTCACGCGTTGAGTGTTATCTTATCGCCCTCCGTGTTATAAGTGGAGTTTATCGGGACATCCCATACAATCTACAATAGTCTCGTTTAACAAAATGAAATTCATATTCCCTTAAGCTGAAAGTAAATGATATAAGGATAATATACGTGATATCGTATCGATCGATACGCCAAAACACCAATATGACTTACGTTGCGATTATATACGTAACCTTAGTGATCAAAACGATCCGGCATTATAGCTGGAGCCACCAAAGTCCACAAGTAAATGGCATAGCAAACCCAAGCACTAATGATCTTCACCCAGCTAGCCCAGTAAGTTCTACCGACTGCAGCGAAATCGCCTTCGGTCTCGAGATCCAAGTTCTGGGTCAGCAGAGTGGCAACCCATGTCGTAGCCAGGAAAAAGATGATATGGAAGAGAGAGTAATTGTATTGGGTAGAGCCGCGCTCATCATCTTTGCCATCATACTCATCATCTTCATCGTCGCTCTCTTCCAAAGCACTGGCAGGTAGACTGCCGCTCTCTACCGCGATACGGAGAGCTTCCGCTCGCATCTCACGGCGGGTGGAAGGCTGCTGGGTTACCAATCCGTGTTCGTTCTCTTCACTACCCAGTGGAGAGTAACTGTGTCCGCCTTTAGAGCCAAGGGCAATACCCTGGGTGGCGGCCCGGGTTGTAGTGTAAGCAATTGTGGCCATTGTGACGACTGCGCCGAGAACTATAGTGGCCCTTCTGGTATCACGAGCACGAATGAGAGGGTTGCACTGGCGATCATCTGGCTCCATAGATACTGCCGACATTGTTAAGTAAGTACAGTAGACCGTGACCATAGCAGCTTGCGCTAGTCCAGCCCGCGAGTTGTATTCTTGGATTGTTGGCTGCACCGAAACAAAGGAGATGATAAGAAAGAGGATCAGGTTGACAGAGATTGCAGCCTGATTCATGGTACATCCACCCTTAGCGAAGAAACAATACATCAGAATGGTCATAACGATCGAGGCGGTGTACATTCCTAGCGTTGAACCAATCAGGAGTCCACGCCAGAGACGAGAGTCGCTGTCTTCAATCTTTTCGAGACAAAGCTCGGCCCAAGAATGCGCCAGATCGACAAGAAGAATCAAGCCGAGGAGAAGGAAAAGCATGGCGGCGACGAACGCAATATAGTGCCCGTAAATTAGGAAGAAGCTTTCTGGAATGAAAAATGACATAACTACAAAGCCGATCCAAAATAGTATCTTAGGGCCCCAAAAGCCATTCTGCAGTGCGGCTCTGCTCCCTTTTGATGTCTTGACGCCGATAAGGAGTAACGCGAGTAGCAGGTGGAAGAGCCCGAGGCCGAAATTAATTCGATGAACCGCCACCCAGCCGTGACACTCCTTCCCGTCGCACCGAATCTTCATATAGTCCATAGTCAGATGCTCCAGTTTTTCCAGTGCCCATGGCGTAAGCATAATCCACGAAATCATCGAGTTGATAAGCAAGATAAAGGCGTAGGCAATTCTCGTTGCCATACTGAACAAACTCCATTAGCACCAACCCCGTCAACCGCGGCTGCGCGGACTGCCTGCGTGTACTTACCTGCTCTGGAACTTTCCGCAGGCACTGCATACTGCCGAGCACGTTGCTGCTCCGCAACAAGAAGCGGCAACAGAGAAGACCTAGAGAAGTTAGAGATGATCAGCCTGCCGCCTGGAGAGCGCGGAGGACGTACGGTGGCGGCGCTGGGAATGGCCAGCATCGGGATAGAGAGAAGTGCACCCATGCTGGCGCTCAGTACAAAGTCAACGCAGCTCTGGCTAAGCCGTCTTGTTGTAGTGTGTACTATAGAGGATAGACAGTACAGACAAGAGGAGAAAACAGGAGAGGAGAAAACAGAAGAAGCCCTGAGGCACCGCCTGCCGCCTGCGTCACTGGACCGCGCCGCTCGGCCAATCTGCGTCGACTCACGTGCCCAATCTCCGCCTGACCTGAAGCGGCTTAGCCTGGCTGTACGGCGATAAGCGCGCATCTCATTGTTGCGAATCCGGCCATGCGATGAGATGGACGTTGCCCACTGGCTGGCATTATCTATCACGGTCATCTATGTCTCATCGCTGCCAATTTCTTTCCCCCCTCACGTTCATTGAGGTTTTCGTTGCTTTCGTGCAATTCTCGCCGATTGACCTGTCCATCCTCCGATAAGGAAAGCAATCAGTGGATCACTTGACTACGTACCACCATTTGATAGCTACCAACTGCAATTCGCCCATACAACACCTGTTCGGATCTTCCACGACACCCCCGTATGACCCGACATATCGACATCTTTGCCAGAAGAGGCGACATTACGTAAAGCCACCATGGTCGTCGGATCGCTTCATACCCAGAGGATTATTTCGGTCGTTGCTGCGACCGTGGTCGCACTAGCAAGTGGAACAAATGTGCGGTCGATTGATGGCTCCTGTGGGCTGAAGGACCATGGCTGACCGTTACACAGTATGCATATTCAGCATGGGCTCCTCAATTCGCAGAGCGCATGCACCTGTCCTCGAAGGAGATCAACCTGCTTGTATGTTTGATACCCTACTTTGGGTCGCCAATATGCTGATTGATGGGCACACAGGGCGTCGCGGGGAATATTGGATTATATTGCTCAGGAATTCCGACAGGAATACTGACTGACACAAGGGGTCCTACTATAACGTTATTGATTGGAACTGTATCACTTTTTCTTGGATATTATCCCATCTATCTAGGTATGGCGATTTCACGTTTGGTCTAGAGTTGAGCTGATGTAATACCAAAGCATATGAACATGGCCAAGGCTATATGTCACTTGGCCCATTGTGTTTTTTTGCATGGCTTTTTGGCCTTGGAGGTTCCGCTTCCTTTTCCGGAGCCATCAAAGCAGGTAGGTGTTCATGTCATGTCGAAACACCGCGAACCCATTTACTAACCGGCCCTAGCGGCCAGTAACTTCCCAGAACAGCGTGGAACGGCTACAGCCTTTCCAATTGCTGCCTTCGGCCTCAGTGCTTTCTTCTTTTCGACCATGTCGTCGATTTTTTTCCATGGAGATACGGGTGCTCTTCTCTTCTCGCTGGCACTGGGGACTAGTATAATGGTCTTCGTTTTTGGCTTTTTCTTGCGAATCCTCCCTCCTACCCAATCATATACATCTGTGCCAGACCGCGATACCGGGGAAAGACAACAGTTTACTTATGAGGAGCCTGAAGAAATAGGTAGGCAGAATATAAATTCCACCTCATCACCCTCACAATCATCATCATCATCATCATCATCACAGCCCCTTCTGCACGCTAGGCAGGAGCCTTCCTCATCAACTTCTGGTGGCGAAGCAGTACACGACCTCGGTCATTCAAGAGTTGCGGATGAGGCTACATCTTTAGTGTATAAGCCAGAGACCCCGACAATTTCCGACGAGCAAAGTGGCTGTCAAATACCGGCTTATCATGGTAACAATGAAGATTATGAAAACGGCTCACACTATCCAGATATTCGTGGGCTTGCACTGCTACGTAAGTCCGAATTTTGGCAGCAATTTCTCTTGATGGGACTGCTGTCGGGTATTGGACTTATGACTATTAAGTGAGTTACAAATCCATCAGCTCTGTTAAACATACGCTAATCCTGCCTAGTAATATCGGAAATACCGTAAGTAATTCAAGTGATGATCTTGAATTCTCGTCTCATATCTAACAATTATTAGACGAAGGCATTGTGGCGTTACTACGATGACAGCGCCGACTCTAAATTCATCCAACACCGTCAAGTCATCCACGTCTCAACGTTGTCTATCGGCAGCTTTCTCGGTAGACTATTAAGTGGTAAGTGTTGCCTTGTCTCACATTAAGTTTTTCATTTTTAATAAATTGTATAGGAGTTGGGTCAGATCTTCTAGTCACAAAACTCAACATGTCTCGTTTCTGGTGCATTTTTCTATCATCCGTCGTCTTCACCTTAACCCAACTCGCCGGCACTTCCATCAACAATCCAAACCAACTCTACATAATATCCGGTCTTACTGGTATTGCATATGGCTTTTTGTTCGGCGTTTTCCCTTCTCTAGTTGCACATACATTCGGTATTACCGGTCTGAGTCAAAACTGGGGTGTAATGACACTTGCCCCTGTTCTCAGTGGAAATGTCTTCAATCTTCTCTACGGCGCTATTTACGACCACCACAGCATCATTGGACCAGATGGGCAGAGGGATTGCAGCGAAGGCCTGCAGTGTTATCGCACTGCGTACACGTTGACTTTCTTCAGTGGACTAGCTGGCATAGGGGTTTCGTTGTACTGCATTTGGCAAGAGAGGCTGATCCATGGCAAGGGTAAAGGTTCAAAGATCGAGGATCATGAGCGAATGGCCTAAAAAAATTACATTCAAGTGAAATGATGATTAGAGGACAGGAGCGGGACGGGCATATACGTTATAGAACATATAGAAGTTGTGGCGAGGTTTGTCGTTTGCCTTAAGGTTTGAAGGCATCCGTCATTTACATTAGTTGACATGTAATCTTTCGGTTGTAAGCTGTGTACATATTTGTCTTTATCATTGGTATATTACAAACATAATTGGTGTTAAATGTCACTTTACTCGACCTAGAATCTAAATTTACTCAGGAGAAAAGAGGTGAAGACGCTCAGAGGATGTCTGGTATTATTACACTAAAACAAGAAGGTAGAAAAGGAGAGAACCATTTTCAAGACATAAGAGCAGCAGGTAAACAGAAGAAAAAAGAGAAAGAGAAGCGAGCAACTTTTTCGTGTGTGAAAAAAAGACTGCGACAGACGGGCGTTGAAAAATCTGTAATATAATGAAATGAAACAGGCCAACATTTAGCTTTGGAAAAAGTAAAAAATTAGTTCTGAACCAAAGCCGTGATTAAAACAGTATATACACTCAAGCCTGGCAGACAATAATATGGCTGGGCGCAAGCGTAGTTGAAAGGAAAACGAAATGAAAACGAAATGAAAACAAAAAAGAGAATGCGAAGTCTGTGCAGTCCCCTTTTTCTGATCCCTAATCGCCAGGACCGCTCTATATAGTCATGATACCCATAGCCAACGATACAGAAATTTAGAAAACAAGCATAAAGAGATAAATATTCGACGCATCACGCGGATCGTTTGCCGTAGTAAAACACTCGATCTCGTCGCATTTTTGTCCTTTTCTTCTTGTTTTTGGGAATTTTTAAAATCGGATGCTTCTCTGGTGAAGTTCAAAGCCAGCCCGTTCAGATACTGTTTCAACAAAGTTGTATGCAGGTGTTGAAGAGTGCGAGGTTCAAGATAGTGAAATGAGATAGTGGTAAGAATATTTTTTGTCTTCGCATGTAGACGAGACTCATCACGGGGTATCAAAAGATCTGAGAAGTTGAAAAGACAGCACATTGTAAATAAAATTTGTTATAGCACCATCACAAGGACAGAACATGCTTGGATCTTCACGACGTGCTAGGGGACTTTGAAGAGTTCCCTGCTTCGTAATCAACCACGTCTGATAGGCGAATCTTTTTCGATGCAGGTTCACCAGAGCCGTTCCCAGAACGTTCTACTTGCAGTTCAAGTTCGCTGACACGACGTTTGAGTTCTTCTTCGCGGCGTTGGGCTTCGTCTAAAGATCGGCGAAGTCGTGCCTCTGAGTCACGTACAATCATTTCAGAGCGACGGGCAGTCGCATCGCTCTGCTCCAGCTCGGCGACGCGTCCACGGAAGAGCCCATTGATCAACTCAAGCTCGTTAACACGAGTTTTCAAAGATGTGTTGGAAGCTAGCAAGGCCTCATAGGTCTGAGGAGCTTCGAGATGTCGATCTACTACGGATGATGTAGAGCCTGGAGACGGTTGACGAAGCTGCAATGCCGGAAGAGTGTTGGCAGGATTGAAGCTATGATCGCCAATAGTAACACTGTCGAACATGTGCTGAGGTGCAATATTCGAGTTATGCTGGTGCAACGATGTGATTCCAGGTGTGTTTGTCCGAGATATTGGCGAATTTGAGCGATCAGAATGGCCGGGAGACATCTTGCGAGAGGCGCGACGGTATCCGTGTGACCCAAGGGGAGGCGTTCCGGCCTCTGATCTCGACGCTGACAAGCCATTTGCGTCTAGTCCTGCGCCAGACTGTGATGCGACACGTGTTAGCCATGGTCGTGAATGCTCAAAATCGCAGAGAGGATGTGGTGGTATTGCGAAAAATTTTCTTCCGTGTCACGTACCTTGCGCTTCGGGCCCTGTCCAGCAGTTTTGACCCGGTTGCGACTCTTAATAACATCAGTCTTGAGACTGATCGGTCGTGGACGACCGTGAAGCTTAAGGAAAAGACCGCATGCATTGCAGAGGACGGAGCCGAGTTCATCCCTACGCCATAAAGGAGTGGTGGAGGTCCCGCAATTCTGGCAGACGGGCTGCAATTGAGGGCGTTTTTGGTCAGTTAACGTCGATGCCATGCTTCAAAAAAGAACAGAGCAATGTAAGAGGAGGAGGGAGGAGGAACAGAGGGAGAGGAGAGGAAGCAGGGTTTCTGCTGATAATGGGCGATACGGTGAAGTGTGCAATAGATAAGATCTGGAGAGATTCGACCGGTTGGGGCGCGATAAGGGATTAATAGATTGCGAGGCGGGTGGACGAAAAGAGGGCGAGAGGGACTGCCGCTGGGCGCCAAGCCGGGCTGGGCTGATAACAGCGAGCGATAGCCTCAGGCAACCCGAGGCATGCGCCACGCATGAAAAATGCAGAACATGGGACGATATGGATAGTCATATAATAAGGTGAATAAGAGGCTGCACTCACCGGTGTGTTGCCCTGGCCGCCCGTGGTGGCTGCTGGCGACGATGTGACGTACGACATGCTCAGAGCGGCATTATTATTATTATTTGTATTATGCTGGTTGCTGAAGGATCTGCGATAGATAGGAGAGATTAGATTCCGGCGCACTAGTCAGCAGGCGTGGCGCCTGAGAAATCAGGCACCCGCAACGTGCACTCTTGCACGGCCATGTTCGCCCCCACGTCTCACGTACCTGATCTGTGAGGTTGGTGCCGAGGCAACCGAGGCCAGCGCGGACAGGCCTGGCAGTGATGGCGCAATTGAATTGGACCCTGCGTAGCCGGCGCTGTCACGTCGCGAGTCAAACGCTGCCCGGGGTGGAAGGGTAGTCGACGGAGGTGTAAAATCGGAGGACGGAATTGAACCTGCAAGATCTGCAGCAGACGGCAGAATGGGCGCTGTATACTCCTCGGTCGGGAGAGAAGCGCTATAGCCAGAGAGCGAGTGAGATGGAGGATCGGACGATGGCGGCGAGCGAAGCGCTGGGTCAATGGGCGAGGCCCGGAAGATTAGAGGAGCCACTGTGGAAGCCGTGATGACGTCTGGTTGAGACCAAAGGGGTCTCGAAGTGATCGATAGAGAGCGAGCGAGGTCAATCAAAGAGGAGCAGACTGGTGTGAGAGCCTGCTACTTGACCACACAAGGCGAATAGTCGACGAGAATCTAGAACAAGCGTAGTTGCAAATCCCCAGTATCGTACAGGCGTCTAACAGCAGAGAAAAGTACGCAGACTCGTGGTATACTCGTAAGGCGAAATAAATGCAATGATGTCTGGGCCGTCACAGAATAGGGTGTTCGGATATCGAAAGGAACCGTGGGTCACAAAGAGCGACAGATTCTATGGAACCAAAAGAATGTGATTGCTGGCAAAGACCAACACAATCAAGAAGAAGATTCAAAAGAGTGACTGAAATGCGGTCGAATTGCAATTTATCAGAAAAACGACTGGTGCACGATGGGTGATGAAGACAACAGCATCAGCAACAGGAATTCTTATTATGGAGAGCGAGCACGACCCAAAAGCTGGGCCGTATTACCAGCACCGTACTGACACGGCTTGGCGCACACAAGCGGGCGCCGATAGGGTCTCGTAACGGTCACGTAACGAAACGGCGGCAGATGGCGCGGCCATTGGCTGGCGGCGACGCGGGCCCGCGCCGTGGCCAATCAGCAGCCCGGTCAGCCACCGCAGAGAGCGCACCATTCCTCGAGCTACGCGCTAGGCCGCATCAGGCGGAGCCGCCAAGCCGGGCTACTTAGCCTTGCTTGAGATTCAATTTCAAGGGGCTGCATAGTTCGTGCAATGTGGTAATGCGGCCACCTGTCGTCCCCTTCCCAGCGCTCTCTCTGTACGATTCTGATCACGATTCCAAAAAAATGCCCTGATGGCTCCTTAGATACACTATCCTGTCCTTTCATTCATGCCTTTTTCCGCTTCGTCTCTTGTGTGACTACAACCCATTTCCTAGACCTTCTTGCTGTTGATACTTTTTTTCCCGGGCTTCCGGAGCTTTTCGCCTTTCCCTCTCACCCACCATGCCTAAACGACCAGCCACATCGGGTTATGCACGGCTTGCCCAGGCAGAGGAAGACGAGAGGGACTACTACGATGAATCCGACGGAGAAGGCCCATACAATGCGCCACCCACCATATCCTCGACGACACAGTTTGCGCCCATCAATTCCCGAGGTCAGATGCATTCATCTGGCCCATCAACGCCGCCAGAACACCGCCGCAAGAATAATGCCTATGCACGACGTCGAAAGCGCAGCAACTCGTCTGGTGTCGATATAAAGGCCATCAACGCTCGCCTGGAGAAGTGGGCCGAGGAGATTGCCTCCAAGTTCAAGATCCACAAAGGAAGGGGACCTTCACCGCAGGATGAGAAACTCGAGATTCATCACTCGGTCTTCCAGGCTCCAGACGGTGTCCGACCTTTTACTGCTGCTCAACTCGAAACTGACGAACATGAATCTGTGGAGAAGCACAAACGCGCTGAATTCGACACTATTGTTGAAAGCGTCCGTACCGCCATCGAACTCGGTGTCCATCCAAAAATGATCTCAAAGGGAAGCTCTGGCAGCTACTTCGCGCGCAACAGTGATGGTAAAACTGTGGGCGTGTTTAAGCCCAAGGATGAAGAACCTTACGCCTCAAGAAATCCGAAATGGACAAAATGGCTTCACCGGAATCTTTTTCCCTGCTGTTTTGGACGAGCATGTCTCATTCCCAACCTGTCCTATGTTTCTGAAGCTGCCGCATATGTTCTGGACTCGCGTCTGCGCACTAACATAGTTCCATATACCGACGTGGTTTGGCTCTCTTCGAAATCTTTCTATTATGACTTTTGGGAGCGGAGAAAAGCGTGGGGGGGCCGCAAGCCATTACCGCCTAAGCCAGGCAGCTTCCAAGTGTTTTTAAAAGGCTACAAAGATGCTACTCTCTTTCTGCGAGAACATCCTTGGCCAGACCAGGCTAACTCCGGCTTCAGTGCGGATGACGCCCCAAAACGAAAGAAAAGGCCTTGGAACGAAGCATGCCGACCATCAGGTGTTCACTCTGACGACGAAGACGATGAATACGAATCTACTCATCCCAGAACACCATCTCCTCAGAGTGAGGATTCAGAAGATCGATTCTATTGGAGTGACAATCTTAAGCAATCGTTCCGAGAAGAACTTGAGAAACTAGTTGTTTTAGATTACATTATGCGAAACACAGACCGTGGTCTCGACAATTGGATGATAAAAGTGGATTGGAAATCCGAAGAAGTATCGATTGTGGCCGATCCTCCAAAGCCTAACGGTCATACGGACGACGACGATCAGGAGCAAGCTGTACCTGCTCGGCCTGTGACCTTGGACGCGGAAAGAAATGGCGTGAATCGTACATCGTCGCTTCCTTACCGACGACATGAGGCTATGGTTGCTACGAGCCGAACAGGTACCCCCTCCAATGTAATGGAAAAGCATGCGACAATTAAGCTCGGCGCTATCGATAATAGTTTGTCATGGCCATGGAAACATCCGGATGCAGTATGTTCTTCCAAATTATCCTATGCACGGTTGCTAACATACATTGCAGTGGCGAAGCTTTCCTTTCGGCTGGTTATTTCTCCCTGTTTCCCTCATTGGGCAGCCGTTCTCCCAGAAAACACGAGACCACTTTCTTCCCCTTCTAACATCTACTGCGTGGTGGAGTGGCACACAGGCTGCACTTCGAAAGGTGTTCATTCAAGATGCTGACTTCAAGGAGAGCATGTTTGCTCGACAAATCGCTGTTATGAAAGGTCAAGCATGGAATGTCGTCGAAACCCTCAAACAACCCGACCATGGCCCGCTAGAGCTTACCCGACGAACAAGAGTTTGCGTGTGGGATGACCTCGTAAACGTTCCTGTTGCAATTCCGATGAGACCTCCATCTACCGAGGCTCGTCGACGTCGTGCTCAAGCTTTTGGGCAAGACCATAGCGACGAGGAAATGGATATCAGCGCAGCGGTTTCTTCTACTCCACCCCCAAATGCCGATTTGCTTGCATTCGGTTCTCCATCTGGTGATCTTCCGAATCCCAATCGATTTGAATTGGCACGCGGACGATCTTCCGTGGAACTGGGCAGTGTTGAAGAGACAACCGAAGATCGCGAAGTACGGTTCAGCCAATTTGACTTGGCTGATGATGGCAGAGACCTCGCTAGGAGCTGGGCTGCCCAACCGCGGCGGCCTCGCGGTCAGACTGCCGAATCATATAATGGATATACCGACCGCTCGGCGAGACACGTGCGGCACGGTTCGTTTTCACATCGACGAGGCAGCAGCCAATGGTCCTTTGGAGTCGACGACCTTGAAGGTGACCTAGGCTATGCGGCTGCAGAAGGGATGGAAGGCAATGAACGGAAAGTCATTGTCGAACGTCTTGAAGCCGTGAAAAGCAAAAATCCCATTTTCACGTGGTGCTGATTTTCTTGGGCTGTCTAATCTAATTCTTCCTCTTCATTCCTTCTTTCTCCAGTCTTGCTTCCATTTTTGATCTCCTTGCATGCCTCGCTGGGACCATAGAGCGGGGTCCTTGATGACTATACATCCCGGGATTATGATCCTGGAGTTTTTTTTACGGACGTTCGTCGTCTGGAACTCGCAACGATCGGTGTAAATATACAAACAACCCTTTCTGGCGGCCGGACTTGGTGGACTAGCCCGGCAGTCCGGTCTGCGAATTGTACAATACCATATACCAAGAATACAACAACTAATGTTGCAATAATATAATACATACAATCATTCTTATCTGCGTTGTGATGTATACCGATAAAGGATCCTTATCGCGCGGGCACGATCTCTTGGCGGCTAGTGCTGATCTCCAGTGCGTCATGTCGTATTAGCCGCTGTAGGTCATGCATGGACTTTACGATCCCGCCACACCCTGCATCCTTCTCTATCAACCTCACTCCCACCTCACGTCCACATGCGGATGTGAGGGAACCATGCGCTCGCAGGCTGTATAAACTACAGCGGCTTCCATATCTGCCTTTTCTGCTATTGTCTCGAATGCAAGTAACAGGTTCCCCGCTGCGAGATGCGCCTCGGAGGACCTCCTCACTCGAGCCTCCCTCTCCGCTTATCGCGCATCGCGCATCGCAATATAAGCATTATTAGATGACAATATTGTCGCGTTCAGTTTCGCGTATAGCTGACTCGCATTTTCCCCCTGATTCCCAAATTTATTCCCTGTGACCTTCCTGCTTTGTCCACTAGACTCGCATTCGATCCCGCATCATGGCTTCGCAAGCCGCTATGCTCTTAGACCCGAGGTCTTATAGGAAACAAATGTCCTCCAAAGGTGGGTCTTTTATGTTCCTCTTATCACTTTGTCTATCTTCACTTGAAAAGTCCTGTGACTACTTCATATGCCTCGGCGCCTTCCAACACTGTACTTCACCATTTTTATGTCTTACACGTCCCACTTTCCCAGCCATCCACGTGCTTTTCTTGGGCCCTTCGCTTCATAATATCCTTTTAAAAATGATCGTTATCGCTTACAATTTGACAGACTTGAATCAACAAGAGAAGGCTACTTCTAACTCCGCAACACCTGTGCAAATGTCTTCGCCGACGAGATCCAAACTCTCCTCGTCTCTACAGAATGATCGCCAGCCAGAGATAGACGATGAATCTAAGGGATTCTCAGCTACTAGTAAAGATATAGCGATCCAGTTTGTCAAGGGCGATGAATCGTCTAGTGGCGAAGATGAAGATATTTCCAACAAGCGATCCAGGCCGGAGAATGAAATGGGAACTAAACATAAATCGTTTATCGAAGATATTTACAATGTTGAACGGCGCGAGGATCAGCCAAAGAAGCGAATCAAGGTAGCTGGTGACGAAAAGCCTATAAACAAGACCAAACCCCATTTCCATATATCTGGAAGCAGCGGACTGGGCGAATACATGAAAAATGACGAGCAGTCATCGAAAACAACTACGCAGATAGTTGATCTTACAACTGGTGAGACCCTCTGTGGATACACATGTATATTATCATACTAACTCGAGTTGTAGAACCCACAGCCACGCCTACAACAGAGGACGATGATGTGGAAGTTACAGGCTCGATCGATCTGAGTACCCAGAAGGTTTGCTATGGCAAAGTCGACAATACAATGGTGCAAGCACACTTGGTTCCCAAACCAGCAACAAATAACTTCTTTGCCGACTGGACTCGTGATTGGCCTACCATCAAGCTCGGCATTCGTCACCAACCTGGACAAGGGAATCGAATCGACGTGAGCGACCCGCATGGACGAGTCTTTGGCGCAATCGATGCGAGGACGGCAGCTGCACTTGTTCCTTTATTGGACAGCCCTGCCCTCGGGGTTAGCATAACTGCCCGTTTAGAAATTCGGCGGCGGCAACAGGATGAAGTAGAGTGGGAACGCTGTTCTGCGCAATATCGGGCTTCGGTCAATTTATATGGAATGAGAAAGGATGCTGTAAAAGTAGGTGATTTCTTGGGCCGGGCTAATGTCTGGCTGGGCACTCCATCGATGGTAGAGCAAGGTGTCCCTGTCTTCAATCCACATACAGAAAGAAGACGTATGCAGCCCAACTTTGGACCATCTCCTACCCCACGATCGCGAGTAACTACCGCATACGAGGTCCGCACTGCAGAAGAAGTGAATGATGCAGTTATGAAGATGTTTGATCAACTTAAAAGTGCCGAAAATATACCCGAGATGGAAGCGTCTCCATTGATTCGCACGCCACTGCTTCGCCACCAAAAACAAGCCCTTTGGTTTATGGTCGAAAAGGAAAAGGATCGCAAATACGGTCCTAATGAAAATGACAACAATTCTCTATGGCGAGTTTTTCACACCTCAAATGGCACGAAAAAATTCCGTGAGATCATCAGCGGAACCGTTCTTAACGAAGAACCTCCTCAGACATATGGAGGCCTTCTGGCTGATATGATGGGACTGGGTAAAACGCTAAGTATCTTGTCCCTCGTCGTTGAGACTTTAGAACAGTCGCGAGTATGGGAGCAAGGGTCACCGCATCCGGAAATTGTACGCCACAACCCTGGCATTCGTAACACAAGAACAACGCTTCTTGTTTGCCCTCTTAGCACAGTCAGCAATTGGGTTTCTCAAGTCAAGGGTCACCTAAAGGAGGATGCAGTTTCCTTTTATGTCTTCCATGGGTCTTCAAGGACGACTAATATTGACGAACTTCGTCAATATGATTTGGTGATTACAACCTACAGCACTATTCTTAGTGAGATTCGTGGTCGTGGTTCCAAGCGCGGCACTAGTCCCCTCCTCAGAATGAACATGTTTCGTATTGTTCTGGACGAAGCCCATGTTATTCGTGAGCAAAGCGCGGCACAGAGCCAAGCAATTTTTAAATTGAATGGACAGCGTCGTTGGTCTGTAACTGGAACACCCGTTCAAAACCGTCTTGAAGACCTTGCATCGGTGACCAGATTTTTAAGACTCTCTCCTTATGATGAAAAGTCTAAGTTTTCTGCCTTCATTCTTAGTCGCTTCAAGATAGGAGACCCCACTGTCTTTGCAAGTCTACGTGTGCTTGTCGACTCATTTACTCTACGACGTGTGAAAGACAAAATTGACCTCACTGCTCGTCAGGACAATATTGTTATGTTGGAATTCTCTGAGCAAGAAGCACAGCTTCATGAGTTCTTCCGTAAAGAGTCTGACCTGATGATGAAGGTTATCGCAAATGAAAGCAAGGGCACTATGGGAGGCCGAATGTATCACCATGTACTCAAGGCAATGATGCTCTTACGCCAAGTCAGCGCTCATGGTAAAGAATTACTTGATAAGGAAGATCGAGAACGGCTGAAGGGAATGAGTGTTCATGACGCCATCGACCTCGAAGAGGGAGAAGGAGACGAACAAACCGGTGCTATCGATCGAAAGGCTTACGAGATGTTCAGACTCATGGAAGATTCTTCTGCTGCATTTTGTGCCGTATGCAATAAACAGCTGGTGGATAATTCTGCGGATTCCAACACGGCAGACCCGAAAGCATTGATGGCGGTGATGCTCCCATGTTTTGATGTGCTTTGCGTAGATTGTTTTGCTCCTGTCAAAGCTAGTTTCGTTATGCAACCGGAGTTCTCATCTGAACAAACACGGTGCAATGTGTGTGAAGGGTGGATACCAATGACTTATTCTGCAATTACTGCTGCCGGCCTTGAGCAGTACACAGAGAGCCGTGCCGAATCAAAGAACAGCCGCAAAAAGGCAAAACTGCTTGGAGAATATGAAGGACCACACACGAAAACTAAAGCGCTTATCTCCCATTTACAAAACACGGCCGAGGAGAGTGCTCAACTTGTGGGCCAGCCCCCTATCAAAAGTGTGGTGTTCTCTGCGTGGACATCGCATCTAGATCTTATTGAGATCGCATTGAAAGATAATGGCCTACAGGGATTTACTCGGATAGATGGAGGAATGTCCCTTGCAGCCCGCAATCAGGCATTAGACACTTTTGCCAAAGACAATAGTGTTACGATTCTCCTAGCAACCATCGGAGCAGGAGGTGTTGGCTTGAACCTTACAAGTGCATCTCGCGTCTACGTTATGGAGCCACAATACAACCCTGCTGCAGTTGCTCAAGCTATCGACCGTGTTCACCGTCTGGGCCAAACTCGTGACGTAGTCACGGTTCAGTTTCTTATGAAAGCCAGCATTGAAGAAAAAATCTTCGAAATGGCTAAAAAGAAACAGCAACTGGCCGATGATAGTATGGCTCGTGGCAAGCTTGACAAGCGTGAAGTACAAGAAGCAAGAATGCAAGCCTATAGAAGTCTGTTCAGATGAATGGTAACTTTCATCCGCGATTGCAAATTGCATACTCAGAGGAAGCTTTTCAATTATTATAAATTTGGGTTGACTTTTTCTTTTTCCTTTTCGGCGTCAATGGACTTGCATTGAATACCCTGGCGCTCTCGACTTTATTTCACTGATTTTCCAATTTCTTGAACCATGCTATTGCCAGCATGGTCTACTACATCACTCCGTCATGGACCATTCATGAAACAGACACGGTTTGACTGTGTCTCTCGCATAACATTACTGATTATCTTACGGCATCTTTTTTATTTAGATCGTCATATTTTTCCCATCTACTCATTCAATGAATAAGAGCCGGCTGATTGATATATACCGTCATCATACAAGGCATGGGCTCGAGTCCACCAGATGGTTCACACAGAGAGTGTTCAGTTTAATTAGACTTTCCGCAAGAATATCACAACTTTCTAACATAACTATAAAGGGTATCTATCATACGTATCATAAACATCAACTGATCAAACCAGAAGCAACCCCCCCTTCCTATGGACCATATTAATTCTCACCACCTTCTCGTTCCGCATAAATACCCCTTTCCACAGTTCCTAACACCGCTTCGAGTTTCTTGCTCAACCTTTTCAGTTCCAGTGCCTTTCGCTCTTTCTTATCCTGGACCTGTCTCAACTCATCTTCTAATTCACGAATGCGTGCCTCCTGCTCGGCTTCCGACGAACCGATCCCCGGAAGGCGGCTGATTAGGTATTCAATTTGCTGTTCTTTAATTATCAAATCTCGTGCTAGTTCTCTTTGTCTATACGCAAACAACTCTGGTGAATCCGGCTGCGGCGGTTGATTAGGATCTCCGTGCCCCGGAATGACCGGCGTCGCTGGCCCTGCACCTGGAGGAAGAGTCGAAGCCTCTACCGGAACAGCAGCTCCTACCGAAGGCGAGCCCTGTCCTTGCTGTTCTGCGCTTTGTTTCGCCACCGCATCGGCTGGCACGGGCGTTGCGTTTGGCTGGTTGCGAGGGATTTTGGCCAAGGATGGCATGGCATTAGTTCTGTTGGCGGATGGAGGGGGAGAGTCGGCAGGAATGTGATCATGGTAAGTAGTCAGATAGCAAAGAGTTGCGTAGAATTGCGTGGCTAGCTGTTCGAGGGTTGGTTAGTGCGTGGTTTAATGAGGCTTAATGGGGGGCTTACCTGGTCGAGACATGTTTGGAGCTGTGTGAGAATGTCAGCCATAGTGGGAGTATTGGCTGTAATAATGATACAAGTTCGGCAATTTATGTCTGTTTGTTGATGTCGAGGAGAAATTGGAAGAGTGCGTGAATGGAAGCGTGAGTTGAAGCTTCCGGAGGAACTTCCAAGGTGGAGACAACTCTATTTAAGCTCGGACGCGGCGCACCAGAGAGCTCTCAACTTCGCTCTCCAGTCATCACTGACCAGCAGACATGGTCTTTCTGAGAGCACTGCCATGTAAGCCGGTAAGCTTCATTCGCTTATTCTCTTCCCATCCAGTGAGTCGCCAAATCAGCCCATTCGCGCGCCGCCTTTTCAAGATTCCGACTGCGCCGTCTGCGCCGTCGCAAAATCACCATGATTTACCTTCTTTCCTATCCTATGCGGAGCGCACTACTCTTCCAGAAGCCAGCACAACATACGTCGGTACACACTATGAGTATACCGTTCTGAAAAGTCTGCGCCGCTTCGCGTTCGATCTTCACCGAGTCGGCGGCCGTGACGATGCCGGTATCGATCTCGTAGGTACGTGGCATGTACCAGGGCAAGAATATGCGCCACTTCGCGTGGTCATTCAATGCAAGGCCTTGAAGACGAAGCTCGGTCCAAACCTGGTTAGGGAACTAGAAGGCGCCTTTCGACACTCGCCCGTGGGCTGGAGGACGATGGACAAGTTGGCGATCTTGGTGAGTCCGAGGGAGGCGACCAAAGGTGTGCGGGATACATTGAGGAGAAGTACGTATCCATTATTTTGGATAATGATGGACTGCGATGGCGTTATAAGACAGGTTTTATGGAACCCCAAGGCTGGAGAAATGGGATTGGCTCCGCTAAGGGTCGACATGAGATATTCTCGGGTTTCTTCAGCGACCGATGAGCCTACCCAGCCTGAAGCGGTGCTCACATGGAATGAAGCAGAACTGATGGGTATGGAGTGCCTAGAGAAGGGTATATCCAGAAAGGAAGCCGAATGGCTAGCCTTATGGGGTTGCGAAGACTCTTCCTATGCTGCAAAATCTGCGCTATTGGAGATGGTGGAAGCTACTTTTCCTGATATAAACCCGGGAGCAGCAGATTATGAACAGGAAGCACTTTTTACGAAGAAAGCCGAGTTTCTGGCTTTGCTAAAGGAGAAATTCGCGCGCTGACATGTTGCCTATATGCTGATGTTTGTTTTGAGGGCGAAGAATTTGTCCACCTGCAAGTACACTCATCAACAATGGCAGTTCCAGCATTTACAATTTTTACATAATATGGCCAAAATTCATTTGGTCAGGTCGACGGGCAACCACGCCAGTGTGTTTCGCCAACGGTCTCGAACGAAACCATCGCCGCAACGGTTATCATAGTCTGCGGCCATATCAAGAGAGGGCTTTGAAATTCCATATCAAGAGCTTGAGAGACTATCCTGGTCGCCTTGTCGTAAGAAAGGCGCACAGCGTCAATTCGATATTAGGCCGATGTTGATATCTTCAGCCTATCGCTCTGTTTCAGTCTATCCTACTAGTTCTTGTTTTGACTGCAGGCGCAAAATGTAGTACCAAAGAGCTGAAATGTACGATCACTATTATGTACCTGTATATATATATTATTACGCATGTTCAAATTAAGATATTGAGTTCTTGGGTCGTTACAAATAACAACGCAATCAACCTGGCAACGTTGCTATACTACCATTTTTTGCAAAATGCCTCAAATAACATTGAAGACTGAGTAACATCCGCTTAAAGTCGATAGTACATTTAATATCAATTGATCGATCTCAATTAACACGGGCTTGACTACATAGGTGCACATGTAATGTTGAGGTGCATAAGTAAGAAGTAAGGTTAAACAACAGCCGCGGTAAATGTTAATTGATCTCCATACATCAATTCCATTGCACTCAAGGCCAAGCTCCTCGTTCACACAACCCAGCCAGTTCGTTGTTATTAATTCAGATCCTCTCTCTTCTATGCCACCAAGCTAAATACATAGCAGAATACACTGAATTGAGCTGCCATCGCAGAGCAAGCCAAGATGTTGTCGAACCGATTCGAGATTGCGGCCATCTCCCTAGCTCTTACCTCGGTTGCGCATACGGTGCGTCCAGTCTCCGCGCCGACTATCTTGAGTTATAGACTGATGCCTTTACCTTTTGGATCTGGTTATAGGCGATAGGGCCGAAATGGATGGCAAACCCCAAGTTTAAAAGTCTGCCAACAGTCGCAAGAGCATACTCGGTTTCGGGGTGGTATCAAGTATGTATTATAGTTCACATGCATCGAAGGATGCCAACACCCAAGAAAAAGTAACTGTCCGCTGATGTTGGTATCCATGAGCAGGGGAGCTTATTCTTTTTGCTATCTTGTAGGTTTCCACCGACTCCTGTTAAGTACTTATCTGAAAACGTCGTCGGTTAACTTTTACTCGCTACAGCCCTGATCAACTATCGCTGGTCGCGGATGAACCTCACTAATGGCTTGACGGACCCAGTTGACAAGGGGATTGCAGGAATTCTGATCTTTTTACTCTGGGGTAGCAGTGTTTGGTACTACCGTCACGGAGTCAAGGATACCAGTTTTGCAGTCGCTGCGGGTGGCGCTGTACAAGCATGGGCTGCCTTTTTCTAGGTTTTATTGTTACAAATAAAAAGTTAGAGAAGATTTCAATATATTGTTCGTTGAAATGTGAAACCGGGGGTATATTTAAAGCAACAGGACAATCGAATTGCACCGTAAACGCCTTTCCTTCCATCATCTAGACATGTCCTATCCTTGCATTGTTTGCCAAAAGTAGTTTGCATAGAAAAAGCGTGAGAACTTGGGGTCAATGTTCACAACGTGCACATCGCCCTTGCGACTGTTTCGGATGACCGCTTTGCTATAGTTTCCTGCTTCGTCGGCTTCGACATCGATCCCTAGTGATCGATACACCTTGAGCCGGAGTCTGTATATTGTTAGAATGATCTCTATCACCATCGGGGAGATAATAGAGACGTACATTGTCGCGTCATCAGCCTCTCGTTCCCGACGAACTGTCTCGTCACCCTCCAATCCTTGCGCCTCCAGCTCTGCAAGCCGTTCTTTCAACATCTCTAACTCGCCTTCAAGGCGCTCTGACTCAATCTCTAAGTCGGAGGCTGCCTTTGCAGTCCGGAACTTTTGGGCATCGAGTTCAAGGATTTCTTGGGCGTGGCGCCCAGGGTCGTGCGCGGCGACAGTTTCCTCGTAGTTTGTTTCGAGCGACTTTAAGTTGCGCGATAGTTTGCGTAGAGCGGTTTCTGCATCGCGGATACGTAGATCTCGCGATTGTTTGAGGGTGGCTAGGGAGTCGTTGATGCGTGTGACGGCGAGCTTGTCGGGTTGGATGTTGAAGTTGCCAATTGTGTGATGAACAAGCTGAAAGACAGCTTAGCGGGCTATACGCGTTGGGTTCGGAAGCGCAACCTACCGTGGCGGGATCCTCGTCGAGCAACATTGCTGTCCTGTGCTATACCTGTGATGTGTGTTGTAGATAGTATTCTAATAGTAAATAATAACATAATTAGTTATATTATTGTGGCTCGAGAAACGCCGCGTTGTGGCTGTTGCTGGCGCAACGGCGGCCCATGGCGTCACTCCACCTCACCGCCACATGTTGAGCCCGTGGCTTGACTTCTTCTCGAGACAGATCGTTATTATTCTCCACGCATCCCCTCCATTTGTTCTCGAGCTGAAGAACATTCTTATCACGACATCATTCGACTCTGGTTATCTCGACTCGCCGCCACTGCCTGTATATTTGTCTCGCATGCGCAAATATGGGATCCAACCTGCCATGTATGTGCCTCCTTGTCTGTTCCCCGCCCGGGAATGGCGCTGCCTATGACAATATTGACTGCTGACTGCCAAAAAAGACGCCGCAGATGCCGAGAGGCGAGTCTAGGAAATCACAAATGATGGAAGATGTTCAAAATTACTGACTTTTACTGATTTTTCGCAGCTCGCTGAAACCTGCTGAGCTCCAGGTTCTCCGAGCACAATACGAAAAAGAAGGAGACTATGTCGGGGTTCAGACCAAGTTCAACTACGCCTGGGTAAGCGCTTCGTTATCTGGGAGGAAACAGCAAAAAGATCTCTGACTAATAAATACAAAGGGCCTGATCAAGTCAAGTACCCGGAGTGAACAACAAGAAGGCGTCCGTCTGTTATCGGAAATCTTTCGCAGCGCCCCCGAACGTCGTCGAGAATGCCTTTACTACCTTGCTCTCGGCAACTTCAAGCTAGGTAACTACGCAGAGGCTCGCCGATACAATGACCTGTTACTTGACCACGAGCCTGGGAATCTCCAGGCTGCGAGCTTGCGCCAACTGATCGACGACAAGGTCGCAAAGGAGGGCCTGGTGGGAGTGGCTATTGTCGGCGGTATAGCCCTGGCAGCTGGCTTGGTTGGCGGCCTGCTCGTCAAGGGCGCTCGACGACGATAGATTGGAATGATGGGATGAGCTGTAGTGACATAGGACCTTTCCACTCCGTACATATATACTTTTTTTTGTTATTGCGATGATTACGGCACGGGCGACGGCGTTCTTTTGCTATATCTACGTTGCAATGAGGGCTTAATACCAATGAAACTATATTCTTATTTTCCTAAGACCCTCTGGCCCTCTGGATGAATGATTTGTGATAATTTCAATCGCATCTAAAACAGTAACCGGTCACGCTCGGAAGATGCACAGAGAAAGCGGTGGAACGCCGAGCAAATAATGAGACCAGACAAAGGCGCTAGCTGCTGATATCACCTCATATTGCACCACAGCCATATGCCTTCATTCCTATCGCCAAACACCATCCTCACGCCTAAAAGCCAGGGTCGAAACCAGTCGTGGCGAGACACTCTCTGGGAGCCGACCGCCAGCACAGCGCAAGAGTCGGGCGCTAACGTCATCTGCGGCCGCCATCCTTTGCTTATATCATTGCCCGCATGAATAACCCACCTTCATGGCTCAAGGCCGATCGCTACACCTGACTATCATTTGCGTCAGCCTCTCGCCGGCATAGTCTCCATCTGGCGGCACTTCATCGTATATTCGTCGATAGTTTTTTGTGGAATACTAGTTCTGTCCACTCACTCAACAGCAATAGCAGTCCAGCCAGTCCGGTGATTCATACATACTATCGACTCACAGACCCACCGAACGTCAAAGGTGCAAGCCTCAAGGCGACAACTTCGCTTCAGCTTGTGCGACACATAGATTAGACCCTATTCTCAACACCTGGGCCAGCATAGAAAATTCTTCATCTCTTGGTTTTCTGGGCCTCTCACCATGCCTCTTGGGGGAGAAGATGTGCTGTGCCACCTGTGCAATAATATATATCCCCGAGACGAATCCGGGCTGACATGTCCACGGTGCGGATCTGACTTTACGGAAATTGCAAGTTTTAATCCTTGGTTCTGCACACCACCAGCTAACGACTGTAACGATAGATCGAAGGAAGTGCCGAGGAACTTCCTGGTATTGACTATCAAGATCCGCCGTTTTCTCCCCGTTCCCCGCATTCGCCTCAACATGATACAAGACAATCCATCCTTGACCACAATCCATGGCAGCATACAGAGGACCATGAGACACAAGAAACAGACGATATACCCGGATTCAGCCGTCACTCCTACCGCTCACCGGATGGAAATCTCACATTCACGACCACAACTTGGACAAGGGGAATGCCCGGCCGACGGAGAAGCGTGGGCTCGCCTGATCAATTTGCTGGGACTGACCCGCTGCTTCAGACAATGGGCACATTTTTCCAGGAGCTAGCAGGTGCCTACGCGCATCGAGACAGACACGTTCCCAATCCAGACCGGGAAGATCCTTGGGAGACTCCGGGTGCTACTCGAGGGACTTACATGGGAGGAGGATTATTTCCCAGGGACACAACTCGGCCACAGCCAGCAACGATGCCCCTAACGAGTTTGAATGAGTATGTTTTACACTGGCAGATTCGAATATGCGAATGAGCACATGCTTATATTTTATATAGTATCTTCGACCTGTTACAAAATGAGGCAGGAGAGGATGGGTTGAATCGTCCACATGCTCGTGTTCGCGTTGCGGGACCTAATGGGGCCAACCCTATGCACATTCTATCATTGCTTGCTGGTATGATGGGAGGCGGTCGCATGGGTGATGCCGTTTATTCGCAAGAAGAACTAGACCATGTGATCTCACAGCTTGTTGAGCAGACCGGAAATCAAGGAGCACCTCCAGCATCTGAAACGGCGATTCATTCTCTTCCTAAGAAAGCCGTCGATAAAGAGATGTTGGGGGCTGAAGGTAAAGCTGAATGTTCTATTTGCATGGAAGCGGTTGAGGTCGGCAGCGAAGTTACTGAGCTTCCTTGTAAACATTGGTTCCATGGTGATTGTATTGAGGTGTGGTTGAAACAACATAATACATGCCCACACTGCAGACGGGGCATCAATGAGGGGTAGGCAACACTCTCCTAAGACAATTTTCTATCTAACCTATGATTTTAGAGATGATACTCCGGGAACTCGCGACAACCCTATGGTCATACCAAGCAGCCCACCACAGTCTTCCCAGGACTTTCGGAATCCTTATCATCGTCATCAAAGTTTTGGTAGTTCTCCGCCGCGCAGTAGTCTTTCACGTCATGCATCATCCGCCCCGCCTGAGGATGATCAGGACGAATCTCAATCGCAATCGCCATCACACGGTGGGGGCGTGAGTGGCTGGATAAGAAGTCGATTTGGCAGCGGTTAAACCGCTCTTAAACCAAAAAACCCCTCACTATAGCATTACATCCGCCACAAAGCCTATAACGACCATATATGATTTGAATTGTTTTATAGATGGTAGGATGGATAACGACTTTGGACAGGAATGGAGTATTTCTCTTATTTCTGGCGTCTTTTCTCTTGCCTATTCACTCTTCCATGGCCCCATTTAACTTCTCTTTCCAATGTAAAACAGTTCAGCGAGCCGTCGCATAACTTTCCAATTTGTCCGTCAAGGCATGACTTATGATTAGTGACCGCTCATAGACCCTGGAGACTTGAGCTGTTTATGATAATGAAAGAATTTCCAAATCGATTTATGATAAGATAAGAAGTCGAATATCTTTACCTTGTCACGAAGAATTCGCGCAAGGTAAAGATCATAATATGGAGGTACATATACGTAAATTATCCTTGATAGTTGCTACACTCCAAGTGAGAAAAACTGGAATATAGTATTGAGATTATCTGCCCTTCGTCTCGGGTTGAAAATACAGATTTCTTGGAATGTAAAAAATTCAAATATTATTTAGTATTGGTATGGGGAGGACTCCTATACCCAATCTACTTCTGTAGTAACTGATAATTTGATATGAATATGAGTAGTTGTACTACAAACAGAGCAGCGCAGGAAGAACTTTTTGGCAATTGGCTTTCCATTCTTATTATTCTTCACACCTCTTCAACTTTTCCCCTCAACTAGAGTTGATCACCTCCTCAGCTCCAATCAACACCGACCAACTGAGTTATCCGTCAAATGTACCTGGTCTCGTGAATCTTCTTCCATCGACAAAATGGTGCCTAAGACCCCAGCTATATAGAAATCCGAAAAGCCAAAGTCTAAGGAAACGATGAAATTTGAGACCAGTGAAGGCCAAACCCATTCGCTTGACTCGCCAACTTCATTATTAACGTTAAATGCACGATCTGAAGCAGTAAAAGACTTGACCTTGTTTACATTCAAAACCCATCGTATTTGCATTCACGGTGGAAAGGCGATGATATCGGCGGGTCCGCTACGACACATTATAAGAGCTGACAAGCGACTTCCAAACAACAAGGTTCCAATAGTGTCCATTGAGCTCTTGTCTTTCCTAGCATGGAAACAAACCGTAATAGACGATCTAGTGTTGCAAAACATGAAGATTCGGGAGATGATTTCTACGAACATCTGGAGCGCAGAAAAAGCTAACGCCCAAGACTCGTATGAGACGCTGTCGGATCCTCGAACGGTGATGACCTAGATTTTCTAGTGTTTGGTTTTCTCCTTTTTTATGGGCTATGGATAAAACCTATCGAAAAGAAAATATCAATCGCTCGCCAATCCAGGCTACTTTTTTTGCTACCTATGTAGTGCAGCGTAGCTGAGGTGGCATAAAAAAACATTGCTGAACATTTTGAAGCATTCAAAACCAATGTATAATTGTACAATGCAAAATGTAGCTTTACAGATAATAAAAAGACTGATGTGGACGCTCGCTACCTAAACAAAATGTTCCTCCCTCTTCTCTCTTCAATTTCTTTCATACTATACACATGCATCATTCGCCTCATCAAGTCATCCACTTTGATGATAGGAGTCATGATTATGAATGGGAAACAATTAAATCCAAAAAAGTCTACCTTTTGCCCTTCTTCTTTCCAGCAACCACCTTGAATGTAGCACTAGCCTCTTCCTCTGGTTTGGGTTGAGTAGACGATTTTTTCGCGACCTCACTCCAGCCGCCGGAAGAGGCTTTGGGGTCTGTGAACGCACTGGCGCTGACAGGATCAACGATTCCCTTGTCAGCAAGCTTGCGGCGACGGATAAATTCCTCTGCGAAACGACGACCGTCCAAGGTTTGGGAATTAGCGTAAACAGAATCCGAGATAATCTCGGCTTCAGCAGGCAATTGTAGCAATTGCTGAACGAAATCGTCAACTATTATGTCACATTAGCAATTGTTTTTAGAAAAAGTATCATTCCAGGACACACCATTGATCCCACTGTTGAGCCCCTTTCCGAGAGTAATCTTGGACCATTTCGTAAATTCCTCAGCAGCGCGGTTCGGGTTAGCAGTTGGGGTCGCGCTGACGGTGGAAGTCCTAATCGGGGCAATTGGTCTTCCTTTGGCCACTTGAGGAACAGAAACAGTAGCACTGGTGGAGCGAGGCGTGACTGGTGCAGTTGGTTGTGATTTGGCTTTGCCTCCAGCGCCGACAGTAGTCCATGCACCTGCAGCTGTAGGAGTAGGAGGTGCAGCGACCTTACTGGCAAGATCCGCGTACCGCTTCCCAGCAGCCGATGCAACAGGGCTGCTCGCGGTGGCTTGGATAGTGCTAATTTGTGCGAGTTTTTGTTTACGGGCTTCCTCTTCCTTCTGAATCTGAGAAAGGGTTTTGGCAGGGGTTCCGCTAACCTTAGCAACAGGCTTAGACCAAACTGAGCTTGCCGCACTGGCCGTGACTGGAGATGCACCACTAGCCCAATTAGCAGTCGAAGGCAATCCTGGTGCTGCTGTTTGCTGGGCCTGGCTAAGGCGCTCTTGTTCAGCTATAAACTGAGCACGACGAGCCTGCGCTGCAAGCTCCTCACGTTGAGCAGCACTTCGTGCTTCTGCCTCCTGAATTTCTTTCAACGATGGTCCCTTGGGAGCATCAACGGTGTCCTTGGCCCAGGGAGCTATGGAAGTAGATGGAGTGTCTACAGGAGTCTGATTCTGCGATCGAGAAGTCGCAGCAAGAGCGTCAGCCACATTTTGACGATTTCGCTGAGCTGCTGGCGCGGGAAGAGGCGACGCGGAAGGTGGAGGGGGGAATGGATGTGGAATGCCAACATCGCCTTTTGTCCACGCAGCTTCAGTCTGTGCCTGTTTCTGCTGTTGTCTTTGAGCGGTAGCTGCCTTCTGAACTTGCTGCGAAAGAGATAGCGGTTCGTTGAGGGAAGTCTCTGACTCTAGATCCTTCTCTGACAAGGTGTCTTCCGCTCCGATATGAGTCTGTTCAACCTGCTGTGCCATGGTCGCGGTCGGATGGGTGGGCAGGCCTTCTCCGCCTCTCAACCCAAGTTCTTCTTCGTCGGAACGTAGTGCATGGAATTGACGCAGACGCTCGTCGCGGGCTTGCTGTTCAAAAATACTGTCGGGGTGGGTCATGTCGTACTGTTCTTGTTCTTGTTGGAGACGCGCTCTGTCTTGTAGCATGGAATTGATCTGCTGTGAAGATATGCCAGCTTCCTGTTGGCGACCACTTAGTGACCCTTGAGGGAAAGGGCCAGATCGGTTGACGGTCAGGCGATCGAGTAATCCTGGCAATTCTTCATGACTCCCGAAGTCGGTGCCCAGAATCTGGGACCCTAAAGGAAGATTGTTCTGTCTGAAGGGCCCATCGAAGTAACCGGGCATGGTCTGTGGAGGCTGGATAGGACCATGAATAGGGCTAGGTTGGTAGCCACCTGCAGGGGAGTTAATGCTTCCAAAGCTGGGTTGACTGTGGAGACTGTGGGCACTGGAATGATGCTGAAGTTGAGGTTGGATGCTATGGGGTCCGCCTTGTAATTGGATTTGCTTCATCATGGCTTGTTGCTGAGCGAGATGTTCCTTTTGTCTAGCCATGAGGTATTGCTCTTCTTGTTTCCTTCTTTCCAGTGCGTTCTGCTGCTCGGCGGTTAGTGTCGTTCCGAAAGTTGGGAAACTGTTTGCAAATGGAGGCTGCGCTGCTCCAGCTTGGGCCGTTCCAGTCCAAGAGCCGGAGCTAGGGTCAGGGCCATGAGGAATACCGATTTGAGGTACAAGGAATGGCTCGCGCGAGTTACCAATACGGCGGACAAGCTGGGCCAAAGGCTCAAAGTCGAGATCTTCTAGCTTCTTGACTTGCAATTCAGCCGTGAAAAAGCCCGCCTTGAACCAATCATGCATTTCCAAACCCGACCACGGTCCTTGGATGTTGCCTTGCGGATCACGGTATATCCAACGCATACGATCTGGCATGACCATAGTCCTTTGCTGCGCAGTAGGAATTGTACCAGAGCTTCCGGCCGACGGAGTTTGACTACTCTGAGGGCCTTCTGCCAATGAAGCTAAAGGAGTGGGCAAAGCGCTCGTTGAGGAAGGGATAGGGAGCTGTGACGATGAAGCTGAAGGAGATGGGTTGAATTCTGTTTTCATTTCAGAAGGTATTCTCCATGTGATGTTGTGGATTGTGTGGTGTGTAAAATTCTTACCTTGTTGCCTACCTCCATCTTGGTCACCCTGAACCTGCTCCTGCATTGCAGCAGGGAAAAGAGCACCCATTTTGCTGGTTCGGCCAATACTTCCTGTATTTCCAACACCAGATCCGAAGAAACCACCTCCACCAAGAGTAGAAAGGCTTGGAGATTGCATCTCGGCCATGGAACCAAAAATAGGATCGTTGAAACCGGTGAATGTAGCTCTCTCGCGTGTAGGTGTACCAATGGCCCCGGCGGAAGGCCATCCAGCTGCTCCACCAAGACCAGGTACAGCACCGAGGCCGCCCAGACCCGAAAAATTTCTACCGGGCCCGGCACTGGAAGTCTGACTGCGATCGCCTACAGGATTATCCAGCCCAGAGCCTGCTCGTCGCATGGGCCCAAAGGCAGCAGCTGCTTCATCGCGTAACCCGCTTAAGCCCGGATGCTGAGTTCGTTGAACATCTGAGCCATCTGTATCCACATCATCGTCGACCTTCTCACCTCTTGGGCTTTGATAGGGGTTTGTATTTGTCGGGCTGGTTGGTTCTAGGCCATGCAAACCATGTAGATGACTAGAAGAATCGGGGGCGCCTTCGCCACGGCCCATCAGCTCTCGGAGGCCTGGGACCCCGGCAGTCATACCAAATGCACCGAATCCAAGCTCATCAACGCCTGATCCAACTTCTTGGGAGCCCCCAAGAGAAGCGCTGCCGCTCCGTGGCTCGTCAAACGGATTTGTTTCACTACGAGCAGCACGGTTCTTGACAGGCTCACCCCATGGAGATTGAGAGCGACTTCCTCCTTCATTCTCGGTGAGACGATCTAGTCCTTTTTGCAACCCTTTATCTTTCGCCAACGTTCCTACATCTTCTGAGCTATCTTTCGAGAGGAGACCTTTGAACCTGCTTTCACCGCGGAGACTACCGTAACCGGGACGTTTTTCGGTTGCAGAACTAGGTTGAGAATTGGTTGCACCGAGAGAAAAGCTGCCAAATGCGCCCATCGGCGTAAGATTGGCGTTTTGAGAAGCTGATGGCCATGCAGATGAAGCCCCCACCAATCCAACCCCGACTGGGTTTGTAGTACTGCGTTTTAAGGAGCCAAATGGAGATGAGACGTCAGCAACTTCACGGCCGGGCGCATCCTTTATCCTGTCTTTATCTTCGGGTTTTATGGTTGAAATCGAATCGCGGATGTCTGTTTTGCGGCGCAATAAGGAAGGAGGGGGTGTCGTTGTGTTAGGCTCCTCTCTGAAGAATCGATATCCACTCGTTGGTGACATTGGGTTACCCGTAGAATCTTGAGTTTCGCGGCGTCGGACAGGGGGTCTCCCAGAGCTAGGGGACGAGGTATTGAAGGTGTTGGTATGCGAAACAGATGATTTACGTCCCCCCACGGCACTGGTATTATCTTTCGATGCACTTGACGGTGGAGGTTTTAGTGGAGAGTTAACGGTAGTCGTGAACAACTGCGAACATAGTTAGCGTGATGACGGGTGACAAATGAACCAAAGATAACCGACCTCTCTTTCGTCTTCAGTCAAATCCGTCAGCCCCAGCGGCCCATGCAACCCTAGATGATCCCAACAGACTTCCGGACCCGAAGGTGCATCTTTTTGGTCCTCTCGCTTCATCCAAGCACCGTTTGTAGTCGATGTCTCTTCAAGCGGGTTCCAAGTTGCTAAGAAATGGTCCCCCATATTCTTTCCCAAAGTCCCTGAATCTCGTTGGTTCTTGAAGATATTGAGAAGTTGCTCCTTGGAATATCGACTATCAGAAGCGGAACCATTACGGGATTGGTAGCTAGAACTAAGGTGAGGAGGGATGTAGGCAGCAGAGGTAGGGGTAGAAGCGGACATAGGTTGACTGCTATCACGACTATGCGAAAGATTCGTCGCGACGGACGGGCGGCGGAATGTCTGCGTCGCTCCGTTCATGCGGGACCTTGTCCTTCAGCAAGCATCACTAGTTAGCAAGATTGGTTCGAAAATTTCCCTCCGATAGTGTGGTATCTTAAATGCATGATATGCGGGGAAGCTTTGGCTGGGGAAGAAAGGAACGAATGGTCTTACCATTCGCCGCCAACGGAGCCATCTCTCCTAGAATCCTGGTTGTTGCCAGCAGCGGCAGAGGCAAAACTTGAGGGCAGTGGTGAAGGCATGGTTGCTGTTGCCAAAAATACAGAGTCAGTCCAAAGAGGGAACCACAAGACTAAGATTCTGATTGAGAGTACCAGGTACGCGATTCTTCGTGGCGAAAAAGACGGCGCGAAAAAAATAGACGGCAGATTCCGCACACGGCACAAACAAAAATACAGGCCGAGGGGATGACAATGACTGATAAGTATGCAACGAAGCTGTAGTTGTCAGCAGCGAACGAGAAGTTGCTCACAGCGAATGCGAGGATGCGAATGTGGGGGAGGGCGAGGTCGATAACTGTTTTTGAGGACGTAGGAGGAGATCGAGAGAAGATCGAGCCTTGAAAGTACTGCAGTTGCTTCGGTGGAAGCAAGCAGGCAGGCTAAGACTAACTGGCTGCGGTGGCCCAGGGTAATGCACCAATCACACTCCTACCGTGGCATTAGCAGACGCACAATGCCACACCTCACTGCCGCAAGGAATCCTTAATTGTCAACTATGCGAGCCAGCCACTCGCTTTTCCGCCAAGACTCAAGCCATTCGCCTGTGTAAAACGCAATATACCAGAACATTATTCAGTAACACCAAGTCTCTCCGTTTCTGTTGAGGTTTGCTTCGTTATTCTGCACAAAATGACTCTATATTGTACATTAGGGTGCTGGCGCACGTGACTTGTGTCCTTGGAAGTACTAGGAACTTGGCATTCAGTGTGGCATTAAGCTAGGTAGTGGGTGGCAAATGACCCATTGGCCGTTATCATAAGGACACGGTCACTTGCAGCCTTTGTATTTCTAGAATAACTGTCGTTTGATCGCTGTTTACAACCATCTAAAGGGACTTGGATATACGAACATAGCATACAAGCAATCCGTGGTGTGCAAAATTGGAGCCAAGTGCATTTAATAGAGCTGGTGTAGGCTTATCCTAGGTCGTATAAGCAAAAAGATACACATATTATTGTGTTTTGTGTTTTATGGTGATATGTTTCCCAAGTCGATCAGGCTAGCGTTTCGTTGTCCCAAGCAATGACGCTTGTTCCTGCAGAAGTGTGGCTGGGGGAGGAAGAAAGCCACTTTCTTGCTGAGCTCTATAATTGTAGGCCCTGAAAGCCTAACTGACGCATGCCCAAGACTAAGTCATATATGGTACCGTCTACGAAATATATTTCGATTCTTAGGTACCGATGTATCAGTTGAGAGAAACCTGTCAATATAATAAGGTCTCTCAGCCTCAGGCTCCCTGGTGGGGCTTGCCGTTTGCACTGTTTGTCGCGGCGGGCCGTCTTTGTTCCAGCTCAGGCATCCGGGGCTGATGTCACGCAACTGACCAGGCTGCGAAGACTTGAATAACCAGAAAATCAAATAGATGTCCCAGGACCTGCATCAAGAAGCTCGAAATATCGAAATAGTTTCCGAACATCTCCAAATATCATTTATGCGATGGCTGAGTCAGGAACAGATTCCACCCGCATCCTGGATGTTGCCCTCCAGTCATTGAGGGGCGATGGACAGACAGAGGCCACAATACAAAATCCATACGAATTGGTTGCACTTGTCGGACATGCTTCCTTGGTGGCTGCCGGCTTTCGGCTGGTAGGCTTGGGCGAAGATCATACCCTTGGTTTGTCATGCTATCCTTTTCTGAATAATTAATAATGGCTGATAGCTTGATAGAAAGCAATACAGATGCCACCGTCTTGCCGAAAGAATGGAATGCGCACAATTATACCTACGCTTTTCGCTACGCACCTTCCGAGTCATCGACCCAATATATACTCAAGGTCAACCGATTAGGCAGCAATGCTGTCGTTATGGGACTGGCCGGTGAAGATAAAGCAACGTCGTTTGATATACCTGTGAACGATTACATTTCCGCTATTACATTCCCCTTGCAATTAGGCCCGGGTGCGATAGACAAATTGAAGGAGGGTTTTGTGTCTCAAGCTCGGCTAGAAGACTTGATCAGTCTTTTCAAACTACACGTGATCCAAAAGTTCACACCGCCGAGGTTACCAAAGGAAATCACCGACGAGACGGAGTACCGGCGAACACAACCTGAAGAGCCTCCCAGGCACGACCCGTTACGAGACGATCAAGCTCCTGCTCCTGCTGTTCCGCGCCCGTTTGACGATCCGTTAGCTGCAGCACCGCAACATCCCGCCCCAGTTGGAGACTTTGCTCCTCCTGGGTTCGAGGATGAATTCGAGATGAATCGTCCGCCGCGTGGAATCATACCTCCGTTTGGAGGAGGGACTGTACCGAGAAGCGGTCAACAAGATCTTTACCCCCAAGGGTTAGGACCCTATGATCCCTTGCGAGGAACATTTGGACCTGGTCAGGGCGGCGGCGGCATGCATCCTACGCCAGACGACCCGATGTTCGGGGGCTCAGGTGGACAAGGTGGTTATGATCCTCGAGCACCGCCAGGGTCTCGTTACGACCCTGTTGGCCCGTGGGATACGCCTCCATCTGGCCGAAATCAGGGACCAGGGGGGCGCGGCTTTGGTGGTTCGGGCGGCTTTGGCCCCGGCGGCTTCGGTGGTGGTGACATTATTTGATCCGGTCGAAGTATGGTTGATGTTTTATTATCGACTAATTAGTTAGTTTGTACGAGTTATGAGATGATGACAATAAAATTGAGACGAAACACGATCACTATTGTTGACTGGTTTAGAGAATGGAATCAGTAGTGAAGACAATGATACCATGCGTTCAATAATACTGATAGTAAGAGGTGTATTGCTAAGGGTCCGGGAAGGCGGCGACCCATGTGTGGCACAGTTGTGCCACATGCGGTGGCGCTCCTCCCCCGGCCGTGTTTGCACCAACGAAGAGCAACCATCCAGACTTCCCCAAAGCAAGCCTGCAACCCTCTACTGTTGCTTCCTGCAGACGTCCGCCTGAACCATTCTGTCTAACAGAAACACATCGATATCAAAGTAGCCCATTCTTCCTTTCTTCTGTTTCTTGTTTCTTCGCATTCCCCCTGCCTTATTATTATTCTTGCTGGCGGATCCGTATCAGCACGAGACTCCAACACCCCGTCCCGTCCGCCCCTCCTTCTCAGGTCCTGCTGCGCTGACCTGACCCTTGCCCACAACACAAACATGGAAAACAACATGGAAATCGACACAGCGCGCTCGCCAGAGCCTCACCGACTCTCACCAACTACAGATCCAGGGTCTATACCGACTCTTGATGGGTGGATTGAAAACCTGATGAACTGCAAGCAGCTCGCAGAGAATGACGTGCAGCGATTGTGTGATCGGGTTTGTTTGCGCATACAGTACCAGGAGAGGCTTTCCATTGACTTGAAGTGCTATCGATAGGCGAGAGAGGTTTTACAAGATGAATCCAACGTCCAACCAGTAGTACGTATCGATGAGCGCTTTGCGGTGGGCGTGCACTAACTCCATGTCTCACGTCTCAGAAATGCCCAGTGACGGTCTGTGGCGATATTCACGGCCAATTCCACGATTTGATGGAGCTGTTTCGAATTGGAGGACCGAATCCAGATACAAACTACCTTTTCATGGGTGAGTAATGATCCTAGAGACTGCCTCTTTCTGTAAGGCTGAAATTCGGGTTTCAGGTGACTACGTCGATCGTGGTTATTATTCTGTTGAAACTGTAACACTTCTCGTCTGTCTCAAAATTCGCTATCCTCAACGCATCACCATTCTCCGTGGAAATCACGAGTCACGCCAGATTACCCAGGTGTACGGCTTCTACGACGAGTGCCTTCGCAAATATGGGAATGCAAATGTCTGGAAATATTTTACTGATCTTTTCGATTATCTGCCGCTCACTGCCTTGATTGAAAATCAAATTTTCTGCCTCCACGGTGGCCTCAGTCCGTCCATTGACACCCTCGACAACATCAGGTCCCTTGATCGAATCCAAGAGGTTCCTCACGAAGGTCCTATGTGCGATCTTCTGTGGAGTGACCCCGATGATCGCTGTGGCTGGGGAATCTCTCCCCGAGGCGCTGGCTACACATTCGGGCAAGATATCTCGGAAGCATTCAATCATAACAACGGCTTGACTCTAGTTGCTCGTGCCCATCAGCTAGTAATGGAAGGATACAACTGGTCCCAAGACCGAAATGTCGTGACCATTTTCTCAGGTATTTTGAGACCTCAGCATAAAAATAATCCAGCTAACGGGACTAGCACCTAATTACTGCTATCGCTGTGGTAACCAAGCTGCTATCATGGAGATTGATGAACACTTGAAATACACATTGTATGTCTACATTTCTGTTTTAACTGATTCGGCTTACTGATTCTTGCAGTCTTCAATTTGACCCATGCCCCCGAGCCGGTGAACCGATGGTTTCGAGACGGACTCCCGACTACTTCCTTTAAATCATGAATAGACTTAATATTTCGAAGATCATGACTGTTCACTTGTTTTTATTGCCGGTGTCACTTGGTTCTACAACGAAACGGACCTTGGGTCGGCAGATAGGTGGCTCGAGGAGAAAAGGGCCAGCCTCTAGAAATCACGTATCAAAATCCTAATTTACGCATGTGTGTACGTGTACCTACTATTCAATTGTCATTGATACCATACCTTAAAGACACGAAATCGTCTCTACATGCATTGCACTTAGTCCTTGTTTAATAAGAGCAGCATTTGTTATGCAGCTATTAAGCTATGTCGCCTAGGTAACATTGAACGATTGCTGGACTAAGTACTTCTTATTAGATGACCTGGGTGTATATTACCGAGTATTTTTGAATGTTCCATCTTTTCTTTCAGAAGTAGTCCATTCTAGACACAAATTACTTGTCTACTGATTTTGGCCTATGTATAAACAAATTTTAATAAATCGAGGAAGGAACTTGTATCAAACAACGATCCTGATCTTTTGCATGGAGCCGAATTGATCGAATATTTCGTGAGCTCTTCGGTCTTATTTGGCACTTCGATGCCGTGAATGTGACCGTATATTTCTATCATTTTTTCTAACGAATGATATTAGTGCTATGAAACCCATAACCACTTCGCCGTCGTCGAAATCAAGCTGATTCAAATTCAAAACCTGGGGTGGCGATTCTGAATTGTTTAGACCGCGTTTAACTCTCCTTTCATGCCTGTTATCGACCCAGTTGTCCCGAAACATGTGAGTAGCATAGATTGAGATTATCTGATACGATTATTTTTGACTAGTCCATCTATCCTTGAAGCCAAGCCGTATGCTCGAGAATATGGGTGCTTATTATCCAGCGAACCATCATTGATCATAACACTCGATAATGACACTATATCTACTAAACATCTTTAGAAGTATATCTAACAAGAGAACGAAAGATTGCGGCGAAACCTTAGACGAACATCTGTGGCTGCTGCCATGGATATTATGGAAATCGATTGACAACCTCTTCACTTCATAATCACCGTCAACGTTCTGCGATGGGACCACTGGACTGGCTGTACCGGGGAAGATCTGCACCTTGGATCTTGATATTATTCATGTCCGTATTGATGAGTTGTGCACCCATCTTGTCTTTTGGTTATAGTAATTGTTGCTGAGGCTCTTATTATTTTGATCTAATTTACTGCCATACTAGGAATTGAAGCGTTCTGGTCTTCAGAAATGACATCTTTATCCAGTTCAACTAATCCTGGAATACTAGAAAGTGCATGGCTATCTCCGGCGTTGTCTTCTCCTGCACCTTCGTCCTCATTATCAAAGTTCTGCGATTCAATTACTTCACTAGCCACATTAGACAAAAAACAACATTGTGACCGTTGGGATCCAACTTAGTTGGCTAAACACCCTCGCTGTCTGTTCGATTGTAGTCATCTGTCGAACCCTTTTACTGCCCTGACTAAATATACTTGAAAAGGCTTCCTGATGTTCAGCGATGTTACCGTTCTCTAGTTCAAACAGTGTAGGGGAGTTCAAATATATATAGCGATTTTTATATCAGCATCGATCATGTCAGTGTCCGAACCTTTGTCATTATCCTTTTTCACATTCTCGGCAGAAGCATCGCCATCTGTCCGTTAAATCATCCGTTGGCGTAGTGACCTTTGTGTGCTTTGGAGTTTGATTGAGATTTGTTTCTCTCTCTACCACCAACTGACCTATCATTGGCACTTGAATTTAGAGACGAATTCATATTTAGCCGCAAATTTCGAACTAGATTATTGGCACCAGGGTTTATGATGGGCCGACTCGATCATCACTGCCTCCTTCGCCCTTGTCTATGCCCACGTTAGGTACTGTAATGCCCTTCTGTCGTTTGGAACGGGTCATACAGTTTGATCATGGCGGGAGACCTTTCAAAGAACAAGTCCTCAATTTAGTCTGTATCTGGATTTACTAGCGGCGTCCGCACGCACTCCCAACCCTTCACATCAAACCATTCTCTGTGTCTTCCCTTGCCAGATAACACATCGTTTTACCAGACTATAGTAGATATTTGGAATAGAAACCCAACCATTTCACCGACCTGATAGGAAATCCACTAATATCGACTCTCTCCATTTTCTTCCACGTTGTTGGTCTCTGGCTTCATCTCGTTGCTCACGTAATGATCCTCGACTGTTCTTGCGGAGTTTGAACGCTTAGCGTACTTTTTATACTATATACTCAACAATTTGAACATCTGGAACGTGTCGTATTCGTTAGAATTAAGCTTAGTTTTCTTATTAGACAAGTCAGATTAATCTATCCGCTAACTACAAAAAACATTATCCTCTTGGATTTATGTCTAGCTAGCTTTATCTGGAGGGGTTTATAGCAGAAAATCCAAATCTTGCTCCGGATCATTTAAAGGCCCGCTGTGTTGACGTTGTTGCTTATTCTGAGCGTATCAATGTCACATTCTTTCCACTCGACATTATTGTGCGTATATGGTGGCCCTACATAATACTGCTGTCTGTTGTCTTATTCATGTAATTGGATTTACTCACAGCCCATAGAAACTGTACCACGCAGGGACTTTCGTGTAGGAAGATATGTGCGTCATCAGTGTACGCAGAAAGAAGAGTCAAATGTGTGGGGTGATGTGAAAAGTGGCCGGCGTTTTCACTCAGGCCTGTCGACGACCCGACTTTTTGTCCTTTTTGTTTGGACAAATTTAGATTGGCACCATATTGCTTTAATTGGCAGGCTCTAGGTTGCAGTACTCTCAAAGGCGTGCTTGACTCTGTGAATCCGTGACTGTGGTCAAACCGACGGCTTTAGCGCCAACGCAGGTCAAGCTGCGTTGGCGGGCATTTTGGGTAGGAATTTTGATAGCTGTATGCATATTTATTGGGTGCACTTAAACGGAACAACAATTACAGCAAAGATGTAGGAAACCAATTCAAGCAACGTGTGTGAGTAAAAATTTACTTCCAGAATCGGAAGGTTAGGGCTATGGTCGGGCACGTGATCTACTGGCAGCCCTTACATTGTATGCTCGAGTTGTTCTCTCTGCATGGACCGTTACAGCCTCTGGGCAGCTTCTTATCGTATTGCTAATTGCTGATATAGGTTCTAATTTGAGTAATTCAGTAGTCTTCAGTACCTCCGACGACAAACCCGAGCCTGTAAGGTGAATCTCTTTTCGGAGGCAGCCGAAAGATAAGTTTGTCGCAAGTGACCATGGCTTTATCAATCGATACCGCACGATCCATTGACAGATAGACAGCTCAAAAATTGTGAATTATTTCAAGTAGTTTTGTACGCGATACCACTTGCAAAGTGATAGGGAGCGCTGCCAAATGCTGTCTGACAACGCTACTAGTAATAGCACCGGCAATATGTGGGGGGCAAGATGCTTGATGTCCCAATCAGTGACCTTGGCACTGCATGGTAGGAGAGAAAGGGGCTGTGGGAGGCGAATTCGAAAAACAGAATCTGTATCAATAGGTTTACCTTTCTTAATGTAATAATGCGCTCAATGGTCTTCTGTCTGTTATACTATACTCATATGACACTGTAGAAGAGTTTGAATATAGATATTGTTGGGTTCTTCTACTTTTCGTCTACATTTACGCCAACTTATGTCAGGTTGAAATATGGGTTTCTCGGGGTCCCATTTGTAGACGGATAAAAAGTTCAACTATTATTAGTATTGATGGGGGAAGGGCTCCTCTACCCAATCCACCTTTGTGCTGCTATATTCAAACTTTCGTCATCCTATTGTGGATTCCATTCTTACAGCCAGTCCCCCTATAGCAACCCGACCAGGACGAAAGTAACCTGCCCAACCCTAGTGCCTTAGAATGTTGGCACCGCGTATCGCTTGAGTTTAGTGGGCATTCGGGACTAACGCGGCTTTGCTGGACACCGACTAGGTATAGACCACGGCTTCCTTCTTGGCTTTCATCATAATTGAATTACTTTCAAATGTTTTGAGACAAGCTTAAACTTCTGGACCATAGTAGCAATCGCGTAATCTGTTTTGCCTTTGATAATATTTGATGTTGCTCCAATGTTCTTAATGACGGGGATTTCACCACATATAAACTTTGCACGTCAAACTTTCCCGTCATGCTATAAAGGTTTGCACCTTAATGGCTCTGGTCATATTTCGATGTATATTCAGTTTGAGATCACACCTCGACGATTCTGATTTGCTTTTAACAAATCCAAAATGACTAGGCTGATAGAAGTTCTACTCATTGCTTCACATAACATATGCTTCCAGAATGTGGCCTTTCGTTGGGTTAAATCATCTTTAGAATTCTAAATTCCTTCAAAGCCATCTATGATAGCAGCTATAATGCTCTTCTTCCTTTTTGGGGGGTGGGTGGGTTTCTGACCCAGATGCTTTCTTTGATTGGCTTCCGGTTCTTTCGATTCTGCTTCGTTATCGATGGTATCAGGATATGCAGTATTTCATTGAAGTAGTGCATGTTGAAGAGGTCTAAGAGTATACGAGGATATGGGTTAACAGACAAAGCTGTCTATACCCTCAACCTATGAGGCCCGCGACCAGACTCTGGATGGCGTATTCTTCAGGCAAATCTCCAGAAATCTGAGTCATTATCCTCACCGCCAAGCCTTTCAAGACCCAGCAGTAATGCTCTGCTCGTTCCACCAACACCAACCAGTGACCCAACACGATAAGAGCAGCCGGAGCCCGCCGTAAAATCATTTCTTCGAAGTGGCGAGGAACTCTTCTTAACCACGATTCCATACCAATCCACACCGTTCCGACTTCATCGGCTCTATAGGTCAGCAAGCAGCAGTCTACCAGAGTTTCTACGGCTTGAAGCGTGGCCATGACGTCTAGAGGATCATCGGGTTTCCCTAATGGCTCAGCCATACGATAAGGCAGACTGCGAAGATGTTCCAAAAGTGCCGGAGGCGAATGGTTACCGACCCCGGAATTTTCATTTTCAACATTGACAAGGGGAATAGACGCATTTACGAGAAAGGAGTTGCCACTGACTTCAGAGCAAAGAGCAAAGTTTGAGTCAATACAGCCACGAATAGATGCAGTGAACAACTCAAGCGAATTTTGATCTGGTGTGTTCGGTTTTGCCAACGTCCACTGGCAGCATCGTTGAATGCAAATCATCTGGGCACCTGTTTTCAGCTCTTCAGTATCCAGATTGACGGTACTATGTTTCATCTCGTTCCATCCAGCTAGGAACCCCAGTTGGAACTGCGCGGATCGATCTAGGTGCATTTGTTTGGTCGTCTCAACGTCCAAACGCGCGGCCATATGGCTTGCTGAAATAGCCAATACACCGCACATTAGCCAGCGCAGCTGCAAGGCTTGTTCAATAACGTCTGTCTGCCAGTACGTAGACAGTCTATAGTCCCTAGCTGGCAACGTCAGACTCGTCGTGGTCACAAAGTGGTGAAAATATCTCAGCGCTTCTAGATCAAAGTCAAATCCAGGAAGTATGGATCCTGACAATGCGGATCTAGGGAGTACAGAGGTTTTCGCATGGGGTTTCGGTTCAACTACGAGATTGGAATCTTGCTGTGCTATTCTCGAATCCTGACAATCAGGAACCAGCGATGGGCCAACTACACTTGTCGACCGGGAGACTTCAAAGTACCTGAGTTTCGTGCCCCGGAAGAAGGTTTGCAGATCCACCGAGCATGCAAAGTCATCAGAAGGGTTGCTTAAAGCATGAGTTGTGCTCCAATGATGCCTCATCCTTTTGAAGCTAGCACAGAGACTTCCACAGCCGGGAGCCAAACATTTGTAACCCGCAATGACCGGTAATCCATCCACCGGAGGACAGTCTGCAAACGGAGAACGCACATCATCTGGGTCCAGAACGTGTAGCTGAGAAATGGATGACAATAACCGCTGTCTCTCACCGCGATAGATCTTATGACGAAGCAGGTGGCTCCCTAGTGCATTTTTCTGAATGGCGTACTTGCATTCGCGGCAAATCAGCACCTTGTATTCTGCATCGTATCTCAGGAGGTCACCCAGCTCAAGGGCAGCGGACATGACACTGTAAATGCTTTGAAAGACATATGTAGATTGGAGGTTTGAAGAATTCTATGTGTGAAATGCGTTCGATTATCAAGAAACATTAATAACGCACTCGTGGTGATGAAATGCATGACTAATCCGAAAAGTATGTGGGTCGCATGGAACGGCATATGCTGTTCCCGTTCCTCTTCCGGTACCCTACTATGCCGTGCTTCGATCTCAAGTATAATATCGACGAAAAGTGTTTACTTCGCTTGTTCTAGCCGATATGCTGACGAATAACCTAAAGCTATTAGTTCTGGCTTTGAAATTCAATGGCTATCGCGGGCTTTCTTTCTGTAAGGTGGAGAATCGAGATATAAAGATGGGACTTCCAAGCAGACATCAACATCACATTCAGTTTTCCTCCACGAGTCCCTTCACTGCACACTCTAAGGCTTCATAAGTTATTCTTGCACATTTCTCAACTCGGAAAAAGTAAGCCATCGAAAATGTCATCAAACAAGGCCGCATGGCTCAATAAAGCCGGAACCCCCTTAGAGGTTGGCGAAGCTCCTCTGCCTGTTCCTGGCCCCAACGAGATCGTTATTCAGAATGCTGCCATTGCTATCAACCCGCTAGACTGCCACATGCAGGACCATGGAGTCTTTGTCCAGCAATTCCCTGCCATCTTTGGGTGCGATGTCGCTGGAATAGTCTCCGAAGTCGGGACAGAAGCGCAAGGACGCTTCAAGAAAGGGGACCGCGTCCTTGGGTAGGAGTCTTCCTGGAACCATGCATACGTCAAAACCATAGTACTAATTCTGGAAATTTGGTAAATAGCCACGCAATTAATCTGGTAACTGGCAAGCCTCAAGATGGAGCATATGCTCTGTACACAGCTGTGCCGGCCGACAAAGCAGCCATCCTCCCTGACTCCATACCCTTCACCCAGGGAGTGGTTGCTGCTTTTGCTTTGGAAGCCGCAGTATGCGCACTCTCAGTCAAGACACCCGGAATCGCTATGCCTGGTGTCCCAACTCCCGCTCTCGGCCTCCCGTATCCATCCTTACAGTCCGTATCTTCAAATAAGACACTCATCGTGTACGGCGGATCGTCCTCTGTCGGATCCATGACCACCCAACTGGCTGCTGCAGCGGGAATAAAAGTCATTGCGATTGCGAGCGAGCGCAACTTCGATCTCTGCAAGAGCTGTGGTGCATCTGAAGTGTTTGACTACCACGAGTCTGGATTCGTCGAGAAAGTCATCGCCGCCGCCTCCTCCGCACAAGGTCGGGAGTTTGTGGGCATTTTCGATGCCATATCCACACAAGAGACCTACGATATCGACCTCAAGATTCTCGCTAAACTAGGCGGAGGCCACCTCGCCGCCGTGCATCCGCCACCACCCGAGGTTCCAGAAAACGTCAAGGCCGGCATGATTTTCGCTGTTAACGATGTTGCCACCCCCGTCTGGAAGGAGTATGTAACGCCGGCATTGGAGTCCGGGAAGCTCAAATGTCTTCCTCCTCCCACCATTGTTGGGAAGGGATTGGAATATGTCAATGAAGCACTAGCAAAATCGAAGGCTGGCGTGAGCGCGACAAAGCTGGTGGTGGAACTATGATGGTGCCCGTTTTAGATATTGAAAAATAGAAATGAATATATGCAAACACGAGAGATGGCTCCGAGATTCACAGCTGATAGCTTACTTGCCAGTTGTAGGGAGAAGCTCCTTCCCCACACCACAAAACCGGCTCGGAAGCCGCACCTTCCTGAACTGCAAGTTCCAATGGGCATAAGAAGCTGCTGCTTGGTTTCGGCCGCTGGATTTTTCTCTCTTCTTCTTTTTCTTAAACAGTATGGATTCTGCTCAATTGGCCAACATCATAATCTCTGCTACCGCTATTCTTATCTATTCCCCAATCCGTAGCAAGGAAGGCTATCATCTTAGTTGTTCAAGAACGCTAGACCTGCAAGGCTGAGATAGCGGAAATGAAAGCAGACGAGGTCCGTAGGAAACCAGCAGAGCAACAAAGCAAAAGTCTATGCAATTCTCTAATTGTTATTTTTTTTAGTAGTGCTCTAGCACATACCCTCTTGATTTATACTAGATGTTCCTCTTCAATAGCGTAAAACGCGTAAGGAACGCGTAGAGGAGAGTTGACGAGACGACGGAGGAGACAACGACGAAGACGGTAGAAATTGGTAGTTAATCGATCGGACCACGAGCGAGAACCCCCTGCAAGACTCTGACTATGTTATATTGTAGTAGCTGTCTTATCTGTCTGTTCTTCTATACTACTTTGATGCGTAAAAACGTCGGCGAGGACCCGGAGAGTCGAGATAACGAGGAAAGCGATGGAAATCAGAGGCCAGCCTAGGCGTGGTGACGAGCGACAATCCCGAGTGGTTCACTAATCACATTAAGTCTTTAGACATTGTAAATAACGAGAAGTTTTGAGTGATTGGCCAACCAGTGGACCTGTGCAGCAAGTTGTCGTGGATCTGGAGGATCGCGGAGATAGTGGAGGCGGTTGAGATCAGAAGCCATCCAACGCGATGGTAACGAACCAGGACCTAAAGCAGTTCTTCAGTCGTCTAAGATGCTTGAATATAATATGGGGACGTACGGAGTCAATTGAGAGGATTTTACGTCAGGTTGTTGTGGATCTGGAGGGTCAAGGACACCATGAAGGTCGTAGGCCATTCAATGTGGTGGCAGCGAACCTAAAGCAGTGCTTCAGTCGTCTCAAATTTTTGATCCCAAGATGAAGGCTAATTCCATCTAGGTTATACAATCGTGTTGCAGCTCAAGTCGAGGAATATCTCGACATCAAGCTTTCTCCCACGGCAATGTACCCAGTTCGCTATACAGAGCCCACTGTTATCATGTACAGCTCACCGCCACATTCCCTGTCTCTTTACTTGCGATCATGTACGGTATAGTTATCTATAAGTGATAATAAAATGCATTTACTATATGTAACCGAGCTATCTATGAGCAAAAACACGGCGTATTTCAGCTACAGCAATATACCTAGGTATAGAACACGCTTTTTCACATGCTTCCGTTGCTTATTTCAATACCATTGCAGCAGAGTCAATAATAGTAAGATCAGCAAACTCTCGATACCAAATATCTTCCGGCCATTTACCGCTGCCCAAGTTTCGCCTTGTTACTATCTCAAAGCGGAAATTGTCTTCAGTCGTTTTCAGGCAGTCGCAACGCCAACAGTGGCATTCTTTGATCTCGCAATCTTCCATCCTCCCTACAATGGAAAAGGAAGAATCGGCCTCGGCAAAGAATTGGCTAAGCCACTGTTTCAGATTTTCATGTGGCGATATCACTGGCGTGCGTATATGTGACTGGGATTCTGATCGGCGGAGAAAACTCTTGACCGCAATTTGAAATGAGAGTATGCTGATTTGACGTAACTTGCTATCACGAGCAATCAAAACGAAACCATTTGTAATACCGACATTTGCAAATGGATGAGCTTGAAAGCTGCAACTGTGTACGCGGCCAATCTTACGAACATGGCTGTAAAGCGGTGCATAACTCCGCAATGTTAGGCGGATGGATCTCAGCGGTATATTACCAGGGTATTGCGTTTCACGAATGAGATGTCGTATTTCAGGAAGTGTTATGGTCCAGCAGGGGCAAAGGTCGATTTGCCCGGCATATGGCATACACTTTGGTTTTCCCCAGTTAGCAATCTTCAGAGGAAGTGGAAAGCGAATCTTGGGAGGCTCCCAAGCCGATTTTTGATGAAGGCTCCAACATCCGCTGCAATATTTCCAACGACTATCTTCTAGTCGAAGGAGAAATTCTATTCGGGATTTATGTCGAATCTCGATATTAGAACCTTTGTTGCAAAACATGGGCTTTGGTTCATGTGGCAGTACATGAGCAAGTCTCAGTGATTTCAAAGTTTCGGTAAACGATTTATAGTGAGCATAGAGGTATTTGCAGCATAGCGCAAAACAGAGCTGATCAGGAATATCGGGGAGGAAGCAAAAGATCTCATCCAGGACTTTCGGAGGAATTTCCTGGATGGGTTGAAATGCTGAGCATTTTGGCCGAAGCTTATGAGCTCCCAACATTTCCAGGTGTGTTCGAGTTTGTTTCAGCAAAGAACTGGATGTGTTCGAGGCTTGACGTTGTAGAGAGCAGGGCTGAAAAGGTTTCAGTACACCAAGGAGCATTGTTGCCTAGCCAGGTTGCCTAGCTACCCCTGAGTCGTAAAATTTCCTAAATGAGTCTGGTTGGTAAGTCAGCATTGATGCCTGGTAGTGATAGCAGTAAGTTTTGGATTATGTGGTAGCACTAGAGAAGGTTTCTCAGTACTGCCATGAGGCTGGATCTGAGGCTTGTTTGTGCTGGGTTTCCTCAGTCAGCAATATCATCCATCGGTTTCAATCTCTATTGGAAAACTTGAAATATAATCCCATTCCCATATCCAACTCACTGCTCTGTGAAGTACCGCTGTTAGCGACCTATTCTGACCTGAAGCAATACGCATTTCAAGATGTGTACAACCCATTACGAAGCTTCCCTGTCCTGGCTGACGTCCCTCTGGCCTAGAGACAGGCAACACAACATCATATGTGCAGGCAGTAACGGCTGGAAGCATTCCCGCGAACCCGTGTAACAACGGTACGGATGACGCCGACACTTTGATAAAGTGTATTAGAATAAAGTGTGTCGACAGTTATGCTGGCCAGAACTTCTAGACGGTCTCCGAATACCGCGAAGCGCTGTCCTATCAAAGTGACTTCTTCAGCAAGGTCTGGCCAACTGCCGGCTGTCAACACCACATGCCAGCCTGAAATGCTACCATTCCAGGGGATGGGTGTTAACTTTAGATTAGTCGCCTGTTTCTTTCGTAGTAGTATTGTCATATGTAATCCAAAATCTTTCCTGGAGTTAGTTGAGTACGGGGGAATGGCATGGAAGAAACCCGCATGCCAACGAAATTAAAATTAATGTCAAGCTACATGTTCACAGCGAAAGGAATACTGAATACTGGACACTGGATATGGATAGTGCGGGGACCGGAGTTCCTCCGATGATGGCATAACCCCGCGTTCTGCCGTACATATATATGTAAATTGCATTATTAATCTTGCCATCCCCCTACATCAATTAACAATTATTTGATCTCTGTTGCACTCGTAGTCACACTCGATAATTTATCTTCTTGTTTTCCATCACGCACAGCTGTAATACTGCCACTGCTATTTCCTTCCTGGCTGTGTCGTGCATGTATCTAAACTTGGTGTGTGCCGCACCAGCTCGATCCATCTCGCGCATGACCACGAGCGCTTTTCGCCTATCAGCTCTGCAATCACACCTATCCCTCTCCACCACAACAAGTTTCCCAACAAGAGCACACCACCTCAGAAACATGACTATCCCAACTACTCAAAAAGCCATCGTCGTTGAGACGACTGGCGGTCCAGAGGTTCTCCAACTGAAGACCGACTACCCAGTCCCACAGCCTTCAGATGGACAAGTGCTTATCAAGAACAAGGTTTCTGGCATTAACTACATCGACACATACTTCCGCACTGGACTTTACCCATCATCCAAGCCGGAAGTTCTCGGCCGTGAGGCTGCAGGGACTATCGTCGCTCTTGGTCCAGGCGCAAATCCATATGGGTTCAAAGTTGGAGACCGCGTCGTATGGATGAAGACTGCTTCATATGCGGAGTACTCTGCTGTGCCTGACCGAGATGTTGTAAAGATCCCCGATGGGGTCTCGGATGAAGAAGCCGTTGCCTCGTTTCTCAGTGGGTTGACAATTTTAACTCTGGTCAAAGAAACATATGCTGTCAAGAAGGGTGACACGGTACTTGTACATGCTGCTGCTGGCGGTGCTGGGTTTCTGATGGTTCAAGTTCTCAAACTGCTTGGGGCTATTGTTATTGGTACCGCGGGAGGACCAGAGAAGGTTGCCTTGGTTAAGAGCCTGGGTGCTGACCATGTGATTGATTACCGTAGCGAGGAGGGCAAAGATTGGGTGAAGCGTGTGAAGGAAATCACGAATGGGCGTGGCGTTGATGTCGTGTATGACTCGGTTGGCAAGGATACTTGGGAAGGTAGCCTTGATGCTGTGAAGAGAAAAGGGTTTATTGCCTGGTTCGGCAATGCTAGCGGTCCTGTCCCAGCATTTCCAATTCAGTGAGTATACACCATCACTCTTAATATATATAGGAAGGTGTCTAACAATACTATATAGACGACTAACCCCAAAGTGTGTCACGATTGCTCGGCCGTCAATGCTGGGGTATGTCGAAACAAGAGAAGAGTACGAAGGCTACGTGAAAGAACTGTTTGATCTTCTCAGTTCTGGAAAACTGAAAGTCAAGATCCACAAAGTCTATCCATTAGAAGACGTTCAGCAAGCACACAAGGTCAGATTCTTCTGCTATGCAGTAAAAATGAGACAACTAATAATTGCTATGAACAGGACCTGGAAGGCCGAAAAACAACCGGCAAATTGCTTTTAGCGCCCTGAGTGGAAGCAGCTAAGAGATTGTGTATGGCCAACAACCACATATTGATATCGAGAAATCCCAGATAAGTTGCGAGCTTTACGTAGTAGCTATCTAAATTTAGGATATTCTTGCTACCAAGGTGTGAAGCAAGCCATTCACTTGCTATGCTACTAGTTGAAAACGACGGGCAAAAAATCCATGTCTTAATAGGCCATTCTCCAATTTGCGGCTCTTTTCAAAACTCCTCGTCTTCACTCTAGAGCCCTTCGGCATGGGCGTCAACTTTTTCAGTTTCGTCTTCTTCCTTTCCCTCAAGTTTTTGCTCTTTGGTTAGATCCCGTGGTTCCTTCCACTCAAGCATGAGATCATTCCACAAGACGGTGTAGAAAGTACAATATGCGGCGAAGACCTCATCGTAGAAGTACACTCCACAATTGAATTCCCATACATTGGTACAGACTTTCATCCCTGTATAGTAGTAATTGAGGAGATTCTCTTCGACGAGAAATTCGAATTCCAGTTCGTCGATGTTTGGCAGTTTCTCCCCAGGTGCCAGGTCGACGTACACACCGTCGGGATTTCGACATGCTTTAGCGCATAATTTGCCCACTGGATTCAGGTCAGGCCCGTGTTTGTTGTAAAAGTCCCGCACTTTCTGCTCTGGCATGAAAATTTCAGTCACTTCAAATCCGTCAATGTCTTGGACAGCAGTTGCGTGAAGTTCGTTGGCTTTTGAAAGCCTATCAAAAAGACTGGCCTGTTCATCGGTGCTAGTGCAAGCCAGAGCAAACTTCATCACCTTGTGCGCAATTTCCTGTGTCATAAACTTATTTTTACGTTTCATCCGTTCCTGTTCCCAGTCCGCTGATGATTCCTTCTCGGCTTCGGGGTCGAAATAGTGCCCGCCGAATAGGAAGGAACAAGCTTTGTTAAAATCGCCGGGAGCCACTGAGAGAAGGCGGAGGTTGTCCCAAAGCTGTATCTCAGCAAGCTCACAAATGTAAATAGCAGAGATGATGTTGTTGTTGTGTTCCGAGGCTACTTTGTGAAACACGAGGTAATTAAGCCAGTTTTTGATTGTGCGGGTGGCCATTTGGACTGTCTCCAAGTTGTTGGGCTGCACCTTGTCTGGAAAATGGGAAGAGCTGCAATGCATAGATTAGACGCAGCCCGAAAAGTCCTGGTTAGACAGACCACTTACAGAAAGCCTTTGACGACCAGTTCGAAATCGACCTTGAGCTTTATCTTATTGAAACTGATATTCGCTTGTGAGCGAGCGACAAGGATCCCTTCTTTGTCCATTTCCTTCAACTCCCTCTCCGAGACACCCCCGTACAACTTAGCTCCCACGTCCACTCCACCATATCTGAGATAATCAGCAAAGAGATACATCCGTTCATTCAACAGCCGGCGCTTTTGCTGATACCTGTTGAGTGCTTCCTGCAATCGACTTTTGGACATTATTGATTGATATGATTAAAAGATGCTGGCGAAGGTAGGTTCCTACTTACAAAATAATAGGACGGTCACTGTCAACGGATTAGTGAATCGTCCAATGAATCATTATGCGTACCACTCACAGACTGTAGATGTTCTCTTCGTAATCATGGTCATCAGGGGTGATAGGACCTTCAGCAAAATAGTCTTCAAAGCCTGTAGGTTTTGGCTATTGGAGTCATGTCAGTGGAGGTAAGCTTGAAGCAACCAGTGTGGAGGATACCTGTCCAGCTGCTTTGCTTTTTGGTCTGTTCTTGTATTTCGCCTTCATCGCCAGTTTCTTTTTCTGCTTTGCTGTCAACCCTTTAACTTCGGCTAGAGCTAGCGGTTTCTCTTCGGCATTTTTGTCGTCACGATAAGCCACTGGGGGCGTATGAACTTTTTCTTCTGGCTTGTCTGGAGGAGGCTCTACTATTGGCACCTCAGCAATAGTGGTGGATTTTTCTGCGGATTCTGCAGATTCAGCAGTAACGGGGTCGGGTTGTTCTTCACGACCCATGATTGAAGTACGATGAGGCCGCGAATAACGATGAAGAAAGGGCAAAGTGAAGGTAATCAGAGACAGGCAAAAGTCGAGAAGAGAGTGTGTTGAGTGGATTTAGAAAAAGCAACGACCTAGTGTCAATCTGTGGAAGCAAATGAAGCTGAGCCGAGGACGTGTTTGTTTGGCAAAAACATGGCCAAGACGAAGGTTATATTAGAAGTGATGCGGCTGTCTACCAAGTCCACCAAGAGAATAGAGAATAGAGAGTAGTGGATTGAGAAGGAAGAGGAGAACAGAAGTGACTGACGTTCTCAGGTCACTGGAGGTGCTCGATTGGGAACCGCGCCTTCCTGGGGTAAGACCAGGCAATAAGGCAGGAACAGGCAGAATATAATACTACATCTATTGGAGTTATTATCGCTGTTACCGACTGGAATAGAAATTGCCAGGGATATTGCTAGAGAAACCAACTACATCTACCATGGTAACTAGAGTTTAGGGCAGGTTTAAGTATTCCTTCAATAATGAATTATATGTATAATCACAGAAGGAGACATGTGATTACAGAAGCGATACACGAATTGAGCTGCACCAACTCACCGCTGCCCAACATTCGCGCATCGCACATACACAAATTCGCAGTGACACCTTAGCGTCCAATGAGGATCTCTCCTTGCTCAACACCGCAGTTGGCATTTGACTGTTTAAGCCGGGCCAAGCTCGGGCAATGCCAAGGCCAACAAAGAACTGGTCTCTTTGGCGGCGGTGGACGAGTTTCCGACATTCTAATATGGACTGACAACTGTTGACGGCGGGTTTGCACTGCAGCGACTCTGAGGGGACGTGAGAATGCACGGTCGATGGTATCCCGGGAGGAGGCAGCGTGAAACAGGGGGATTGGCCTGTCTAGTCAATCACTAATTGTCAATGTCATGTTAAATGTCGATTGATGCGCGAGTCCGACGAGCCTCCGCATGTTGGCTGCACGGCCGATCAGGAAGGATCTCGTGGGCTTCTGTGTTAGACTGTTCCACGTTGCGGCCTCAGCCTGCAGCCCTGCAGCCCTTCAGCCCTTCAGCCACGCCGGGCCTGCTGCGCCTTGTTTGGGCGGCGACGATCATTGGAGAGGCAGTAATTAGAGGGAAACTAATCAGCAGAGGCTTGGGGTCGGGAGTAGTGTAGTACTAAGGAGTAGTACCAACCAGCGACCACCAAGGAACTGGAGGTTATTGGCGCGTCGGAGGAAAACCTCGCATACGTCATCTGCAGGGCGGTCAGCCAGCGGCCGTGGCTGGCCTTAGGCAGTTAATATTATTGGCAGCAGCGATCGGCCCGCAATCATTCGAGAATAATATTAATATTGGCATATTCCGGCCTGCCTTGGGACGTACTCTTCATCTAGTTCAGTGTTGTTGCTGCTGGCTGCAGTCTTCTCTGCTTCCTGCCCCTGCCTAATTCCTTGTTTTTGCTATTTCCTCCATCCACCACAAGCTGCCCCTCCCTGCACTCCTCCGTTGGCGCCTTGGTCTCTGCCTCCTGTCCAGCATCGCTGGTGTCTCGTGTCCACCTGCTCAATCAATGGCGGATGCACCCTGCCGCTTTGAGTAGTCGCCAGCCCTAGTGATAATCTAAGCTGATATGGCATGATACTATTCTCAGCCGTCTCTTGCTTTGATCGTCTGTCGTCGCTCTCCTGACTGCCGCCGTGCGGTTGACTCACCGGCATGCGCTCCTAACCGATCCCTTTTGTCTCCGTGCGACGTCGCAAATACTCAGCTTTGCCATCATGCCGTCATCTTCCAGATCAGACAGCTTCAAAGGACAGAGTCTTGATAGCGAGAGCTTCCCGAACACCTTTGACCATGCCGCCGCTGGACAGTAAGTTGTCAACTCCCTCCCCCGCATCTATCATGTCGCCTCGCTTTCAACCAGTTACACACTCTCAATGGCTGTGCTGACTCTGGTATACAACTAGTGACGGACTTCGTTGCCATCTATCCGGCTCTCTGATAGCGAAACCGTGCACAGCGGGAGAGGTTGCCTTCTACGAATCGAGTGTCTACCATTCCAATATCCAGGCTTTCATGCCCCAGTGGTATGGAACACTCACCTCGACCGATCAACAGCAGCCGTTGTCCATGGTGGCTGATATTCAGCACCAAGGACGGATCATGTTGCCTCCATTGACCGCCTCTCTCCCGACAAATATACCAAACGGCCCGCTCCACAAACCAACGCCATCACAAGAAATACCGTGGACGCCCTCAGGGGGCCGCAAACTAAATACTGGCATTTCAATTGTATTGGAAAATATCGCCGAAGGGTTCAAGCGGCCGAATGTCCTGGATGTGAAGCTAGGCGCTCGGTTATGGGCGGACGACGCTCCTCCGGCAAAACGCACAAAATTGGATGCTGTTTCAAAAGAGACGACGAGTTCCTCGTTAGGTTTTCGTATTGCAGGCATGAAAGTATGGGTTGGTAATGACGAATCCTCAGCGGGCAACACGGACCCCGAATTTACCGATCCGTACATGACCAAATATGAAGGATCCGCGGCCCAACATGGCCAAGTTGTCGAAATCAATGGCTACAAACGGTATGACAAGTGGTACGGCCGTTCTTTTACCGCCGAGAATGTGACGGAAGGCTTCAAGACCTTCTTAGCAGGAGCCAAGGCTGGCAGGGTTGACCGGTCAAAACTTATTGCCTCTCGCGTGGCAGAGGAACTTCGAGCCCTTAAATATGCTCTTGAGTCAGAAGAAAGCAGGATGTACTCGTCTAGCGTATTAGTGATATACGAAGGCGACCCAGATGCCTTGGAAGAAGCCTTGGAGTTCGAGAAAAAACGAAAGGAAGAGGAGGAAGCTAATCCCCGTGCTGATTCACCAGAATCAGAAACATCACAAGCATCGAAGGAGATTGATATATCTGAACTTGGCACTCTACAGCCATTGAATCTCCAACTCGGAGAAGGAGCAAACGTCCAACAGGCCCTGAATATTCAGTTGGATCCCCAATCGCTCTCTGAAATAGGAGCGCAGGACGGTGACGACGAAGAAGAAGATGAAGAAGAACCAATAAAGGTGCACGATTTTCGCCTGATCGACTTTGCACATGCAAATTGGACTCCGGGACATGGACCTGATCAGAATTCCCTGATGGGCATCAGAAGTTTAATAAAGATCATGGAAGATCTTGCAGAGGAAAAATCAGAAGCTGATGGGAAAGCATGATGCCAGCAGCTACACATTGATGCCTTGATAAGAACTTCAAAGATTGCTGGCAATCTCAAAAAGTTCAGTGATGTATTGTACCTATTATCTACAGATTTCCCATGTTACTTAAGCATTCTAGCGATCAGTCTTTAATAGATTCTACTTCGTTTACTCTTTACGTTAGCTGAAATTATTAAGCAGAGGTTTCAATATTTGCTTTTGGATATATTCAGACTTGAATTTAGGTTCTAACAACCCATTTTGAGATTTCGAGATTTCGAGGCGTGATGGCGTTCAACGAGACATCGTTCTCGCTACCATCCGGCGAATAGTTTCCCCGATACGACCATATTCTATAGTAGAACCCTCTTAACAGAAAGCGGATGTCCCTGTTATCCTTTCAGAAGATTTAGGTTATATATCTTAATTATAAATTTTATGCGAGTATCCATTTCCTGGTTAGATAATCTATAAACTCGCAAATATCCGTGAATATTAGCAATAGTCCTAGTTCCATCTCATCACTAGCTCGATTGAGCTTCTTCTCAACTGGTAGTGCGAGAATTCGGCCATCACTGCGCTCGCAGCCATCAACTCGCAGCACTTTAGTTCGCCGACTGCGTGCTCTGTGCGACCGCCAATGGACTGAGCCGCTTCCTGTCGGAGTCTTGCTGACCCGGGCACCCAGAGGGCCTCTTTCTTTTCGATGCGGGACAATCACCCCAGTATAACAATCCTGGATACTCCCCTCGCGTGAGTTTCCTCAGCCAGATTTTGGGTACCTTTACCATTGGCACGCAAGATGGCATTTGCCAGCAGCTTAGCAACCAGGGTATCAAGCCGACAGATTTGAAGGGCATCATCATAGGTTAACCATCTTCATAATGATCACGTTGGGGGGACTGGAAGAGCTTGTTGAAGAGGTGCCAGACCTGCCAATCTACATCAGCCGCGGGCATTGGCAAGCTTTTGGTGAGCACCCGTTCCTAGCAAGCATCGAGGGCGCAAATCCGAATCATTGGCCCAAGTCCTTTTCACCGCAGCTTGTTGACTATGAGGACAAGCCGGTTGGTCCGTGGAAGAAGTCATACCAGGTGACTTCTGACGGAAAGATTGTTCTTGTGGATACATCGGGACATGTACCAGGACATCTCGCTATAATTCTCTATGGAGAAAGTGAGAATGGGAAGCCAACGACATATTTTTGACCGGGTGATGCTACATATGGAATCGATTTGTTGGATGAAGAACAACCAGATGGCGTTAATGATAACCCCGTACGGGCTTTGGAGAGTTTACAAAAGATGAAGGAATTTGCAAGGAAGGTCGAGGTGGCGATGCTGCCTAGCCATGATCCTGATACGCCCGAATGTTAGCAAATTGAGTGGTCTATAAACCAAAATGAGCAGAAATGATTGAGAGCAAGCCTTTTTTACACTTGCCATCGAAAGTATGATTCGTGCTGTATGTTGAAGTCATCGACTTCGTAACGAGATGCACAAGAATGCAGGTCTACTATAGAAGTTGTAATTGATTAACTCGCCTCATAGGCTAGTCTGCAGAAGTCGATAGATGCAGTCTACTGTCACAATGATAAGCAAAATCATAAAAAGGGAATTGCTCATCATGTCAAGTCGGAGGACATAGCGCTAAGCCAATATCGGACGATATAACGCTAACCAAATACAGGATAGCCAGTAAGACTTGAAGTTCGCATAGAATCAACCCCGAAGCATCACAAAGCACTTCTTGTCACCCACATCACAATGTTGCCGACAAGGTGCCTTTTGGGCCGCTCGGTGTGGAAAGGTTTGTTCTCACCCATTTCGCGATATTATTTATGACTGCATTGAACCTGACCACTGCATCCATGTCTTCAGGCCCGAATATTGTTCCGTACGTCCACCCGTTTATTCTACTCTGTCCACTATAATGCACATGAGAAAGACATGGAAGAAACTGTGGACTGACTTATTCTTGATACAGTCTCCCTCTCCCACGCCAACTCCCTCCCCCCCCAGGCACACCACCCATCAGAACACAGGCCCGCGCCGCTACAATACTTCCAAATTTCGTCGGCTTGCGATTCTCCGTGCACAATGGCAAGATTTACCAAGACGTTTTGATTACCGAGGAAATGGTTGGACGCAAACTAGGCGAATTTGTCGCGTGAGTGTTGAACCTACCAACTTGTGAATGTGGGCAGTCGCTGATGAAAGTATGTGGGAAATAATTAGCACGCGGAAACGCTTCACATACAAGCAATCGAAAAACAAATAGACAGTTTCATTTCAACTACAGCAGAGAAACCGGGTCTGGTTTATATTCTTTTGTCGCCCTTATACCATTTGTATCAAAATTACAATTTCCTTTGTGGTGGAGTTTGGATTGACCATGCTTGATTGACTGGGTTTACATGTACAGAAGTACCATCTAATTTAATGAATAGTTGGCTTAGAGCTACCGATTTCGTTTATAACATCATTCTGTATGTGATGAAAACAACCAAATTTCAATATCCTAAGTCGAGTCTATCCTAAACGAACGCCAAATTATCCATATCTGCCATGGCCAAAATATAAGACCCTCTGAATATACGCCGTTATGCACCAAGTCCATCCATTGCACGCCACTTTTTTGTTCGTAATTTCAAACCAAATCACAAAAGGTCCTTGAACTTTCTCGCACTGGTAACCAAGCCCAAAGCAACGCCGGCGAGATTGATAATGTGATCGAAAACATCCTATCGATAGAATTCCCCCCGCTTCACGCTGACGCCATACTCGCTGACTGCCATACCCAGGTCTTCCATGGTGAGCACAGTGCGTCCCTGCCCCGACCCTCCCTGACCACCGCCGCCAAACCCAGGTCGCTGGATTCCAAAAGATGTATTCGTCGCCCCGCCTTTCTTTCCACCCTCACCGCCACCGCCAGCGCCAGCTGCACCGCCGGTCGCACTGGTGTTGGGCATATTGAGACCGGCTGCGGCGTTCAGACCGCCCATGGGATTGTTTGCGCTGGAACTGTTTGATGCTCGAATTCGGGAGTATTGGTAAGCATCAGCCGCGATATCGGCCACAAACTTCTGCGTAGCCAGCGCCAGAAGTCGAGCAAGATGCGGTGGGGTCTGATTTGGTCCATTCCCCGGTGGTGGTAGACCAGCGACTGTTAGATAATGCGCTGTCACAGCATCTGGTATCTACAGCCACGAAAACAGTTAGTAAAGTGCTTATTATGCCTACCCCTAGTGAATGCAAATGGGAGAAAGGGAGGGTTCAACATACAATAGGCGCGTACTCATCCATCTTCCCCAAAAATTCTCGTAGACTGCTTTCCTTCTTCGTAGGGCCCCCAGCCCCAGAAAGTGATGCAACGGGGTTTCCTGGAGCATCAGGGTCTCCACCAGCAGCGGTGCCATTTGCACCCGTGCCACTCTCAGCCGCATTCATGTCGATGTCGTTGTCCACGCCGGCATCGATAGGGTCATCCGCAGCGTCAGTTTCGCGATCAGCAGGAGGCTGGGCTGACGGCGCGATATTCGTCGAGTTGGGCTCTGTCTGGTCAACAGCTGTACCTGACGACGACGACGGCGCTTCTTGCGATTGTGTTGGCTGGGTTGACGTTGGCAATTGTGAGCCTGGCGGTGGCTGAGATGAGGGTGATGGATCGGACATTTTTAGTGGCGGGAGCTGCGTAAGACAAAGAGAATAGGTTGGCCGACGCTTGTTGGCTGGCCAGTGTGCTACATACACACAGACAAAAGGCTTTGGGTAGACACTACAACGCAGAACTACCTGACGACTGAGCAAGGCATGTCACGCTACATGCAGGAGGCCGCAGCAGAGCGGCTCTCTTGCGCTTTCTTGGCATTCGCTAGGACCCACAGGGCCATCGGGTTCACTACGTTATACTACGTTTTATACAAGAATCCTGCCCTGTCTTCTGGATAGAATATGCATTGCTTGTTGCATAATTACATGGATACAGATACATGCGCTCTACGCACTGGCAGCGAATTTCCTGTGGTGGAATATGTCACAAGTAAGAGGGTAACAGAATTAATTACAAGTACAATCGTCTAGACACGGGCTAGAGCAATGCTGGCGGAGATGACGACTGATGAATACTCATTGAGTAGGCGTATGAATGTCCGGATTCATGGGCTCATGGTGTTGGGGTTGGTGCAATAGATCGCCGTGAACTTCTTGGCCGAGGCTCTGGATCAGCTTCTGTTCTTCGGCCTGGTCCAATAGGGCTTGCTGTTCAGGGTCCTGGTGAATCCCCGGTGATGCCGACATACTATCGGGACCATGACTAGGGGACATGTGAGCACCAGCAAGCGCCATCATGCCTTCAATACCTTCCACATGAGCTTTATCTTCTTCGCCGCGCTTCTTCTCCCGTTCTCTTGCCTCATTCTTCGCAGCCTGTGCTGGTGCTCGTGTTTTCAGTTCGCCTGTGACGAACTTCAGGTAGTAAGGCACCTCAATGCCGCTTTTGAGGAAAAATAGTTTCAGGTTCCGGGCTTTATCCTTGAGCTGCACTTGATTGCGATCCTTCAGGGCTTCGTTAATAGTCCCGCCAGGTCCGAACATCGCTAGAATCTGGCTCCAGTGAGGACCTTTGACTCGGTCTAAACCAGCCATGAGTGCATTTTCTTCTTCTGTAGTCCAAGGTCGACGTTGACTTGGTAGGCCTGCTCGCCGGCTGCTAGATGAAGATTTTGCAGTTGCCGCCATTCTAGCTCGCTCGTACAGTACCTGTGTAGGCTGCGACTGCGAGTAATGGGGAACACCGGGCATATAACCGTAGTTGGAGACGGCGTCGTTTGATCGCATACTATTTGAACCATTTTGTGGAGGAGTATACTGTTGAAAATTTTGAAGGGGGATGGTGCTGTGTTGGAATGTCAGCTGTTGCGGGTACCCCGGCGGCGTAGGGCTTTGCTGGAAGGTTTGGCTCATATTTTGCTGACTTGGCTGGCTCATTGGCTGAGGTGCAGGTGTGCTTTGAGTTGATTGGGAGGCTGGCTGGGGTGCCGGCTGAGGTGTTTGCTGGCTTTGCTGTTGCTGCTGTTGCTGCTGGTGCTGTTGTGATTGTTGGGATTTCCTCAATCCATGGCCTTGTAACGCGATCTGCGCTGCTCTAGCTGCACGTGCTACAAGATCTCCATGAAGATTGCGATCTACAGGAGCTTCTGGAGGCTGTGTAGCAACCGTAAACTGACTTTCAAGTGGCGCACCTGGGACTTCCTGGACTTCCCCAGATATGGAAGTGCGGCTCTTGACCTTTCGAGACTACATTAACGGGGTGAGCGAAAGGGGTGGATGTCTGATATAAATTACTCACCTGTTGGCTGTTGATGGAATCAAAGTTTTTGCTCACATACGAGCTCAGGTCCCTCAGGAAATCTTCCCAATGATACTTATCAGGAAGGGCCTTCATTGCCTCTTCGTTGTTAATGTCGGTAAGAATGATATCTCGTCTGGAACGAGCTCGTTTGACAAAATCCGCTTCGCTTGGGGCAAGTTGACGAGTGCCCAAACGCTTTGAAAGCAAGAGCTGTTCTAGGTCTTCTGGGAAAAGTTCATAGAGGATCTCTGTTCTCGTGCGTTCTTCGTTGTTCAATGAGGCAATGAATGCTTGTGTCTTTAGTTCAAGAAAAAGAGCACCTTGAACTTTGAGTAGGCGGCTGCCTTCGGGTACGAAAACGTCCAGAAAGTGATCATTGAGCTCGGCAAAACTGATTTCTTGTGAGCCAAAGATGCTTGACACGAAAGAGGCTAGGTTCGCTTTGCGTATGATATCAACCTGAGGCGGCTCCGTCAAATCGAGCTCGGTCGGTGACAAAAAGACTTGTTTGGTGGAGTAGACTCGTTTCGTGTGGTCAAACAAAGAGCGCATAGTAGCATATGCTTGTCCATTCTCTGAATCAGGCTCAGAAACAAACGAAGTGATGTCTTGGTAAGAGGACTTGGCAAGGAGAGAGAGGATCTGAGTGGACTAGAGTAGGCGTTAGCCCGGTCGTCACAGTATGGCATAGATATGAAACACCTACAAGGTTGTCAAGAATAGGGAGACTCTGGATTTTCAATGACAGGCTAGCCTTCACAAAGGTCACGCCCTTATTTGAAGGCTGGTCAGGGGTTTCGGGGGGCAATTGGTCCAAAGCGAATTGCTCTTCCAAGCGTTCGGCGCGGTCAATAATGCTACCTAGAACAGCAGCCACCTCTGGATCGGGCGGCTCCATTGAGTCGTGACTGCTATTGCTAGACTCCTGGACATCAGCTGTTTCGGCACTAGGTGGATTAAGGACGGCCGCAAGCTCTTCTCCGATTTGATCTTCTGTAGGAGTGTCGGTCTCCTCCTTGACATTGGACAACTCATCGGGGCCAGAGTCTGTACGGCGTTTCTTGTGAGCTCGCGGTGACAATGCCTCGTCATCGATCTCATGAGTCGGTTTTTCAGAAGTACTCAACCCTACACGTAGGCCATAATTAGCATTATGCGGTTCGGAAACACTCGATGATGCCTAGGGGCCTGGTGGTGGTTGCCGCAACTGGCGACTGCTACTACAGTAGCCACGCAGGATCGGTCCAACCACATCGCATCAGGGGGGAATATACGCACCATTTCCCTCCTCGGGGAGGGCTAACGAGAGTTGTTCATCCATTGAGTGGCCTTAACCTGTCAAGCTCACCATAAGGGGGTGGCCAGCCAGGTTGGAGTGGTCGAGGACGAGGATGGACTGTCCAGGAGGAGAAATGAGGGCTTAGGGATAGGGCGCAGGAATAGGGCTTGCGAGAAGAGCTGAGAAATTTTCGCCCTCTGGAAAATCCCGGCCGCCGGTGCTGCCGATGTGGGGCGCGGCCTGCATGCCGGCTGTTCATTGGCGAAGCGCTACTATACCAGATATCTAAGGTTAACTAACGTTGGTTAATAATTATAATACTGTAACTACTAATAACTATTCTTCTTGCGTCTATGCACTGGCAAATACTTGTTCCAATGAGGCTAGTTACTGATTAGCGAACAATGACTCAACGACATTCGGCAAAAGAGCATCGCCGTAACCTCGACGACCGTTTCTCCAATCACACGCTACTACACCTGACAACGCTTCATTCACTCTTTCAGCAACGTTGCAGTGAAAGACATTAACTCCACACGTTTGAGTGGATTCTATTCCTCAGAGCGATTACGACTATTTTCTCAAGGTTTGCTGTCACTCCTCTACGGCCTGTACATAGACGTCTTCTACCGCGAAGCCAAGACTTCCGCATGCGGCGCCTCAGTTTCCAACGACTTAATTTTTGATCGCACGACATCATTATCAAGCTATTCTCATCCTAGCTCTGGTAGCACACATATGTATAGTCTTTACGTTCTTAGTTTCTCAATGCCTATATAATATATCAAAGCTCAGGGAGGTTGATGTTGAGAGGTGTCCAATGCTAAAAATTGAAGTTGATATTTTTTGAAAACGCGAACAAATCTGACCGAATCTTGATATCTGACCACAAAATAAAACCCTAGCAGCTTTATTTAATACACGTATGTGATAGTTAGTGAACCAGCTACGCAGCATGTCCGTTTTCAGCGTGGATGTTGTTGCCGCTGTCCAACTGGTTTTCTATATACTACCGTCACTCACATAAACTTCGGATATGGCGGAGAGTTTGAAAGCTGGACCATGGTTCATCCAGTGTAGGCTCAATGACCTCTGTCTGACATATAGTTTATTTAAGCCGGTTCATATATGGTCCTCGCTCGCCCTCTAGGTGGTGAATATTTCACCGGTAGTGCTATTGACGAGCGGACTCATAACATACCACCATGTATCTTCTCCAACTGATCATTGCCCTTGTACTTAATTTCTCGGGACATGTTCTCGGCCAGGAAGTGGCAGAGACGCTATGGGCGGTATTTAGTTTTAACGTTCACGGGGATAGTACTCCCTATCTTCTCGCATCACCCAGAACGTTAACTCCAATAGGAGCGCAGAACCTGTACGATGTTGGATCAGCCTTTCGTGACCGCTATGTTATGGGAGCTGCGTTAAATTTTGATGAAACACCACTATCACAGTCCTGGGTCCAGGGTCTCGCTCAGCACCGACTAGACTCTGAAGAGGTTAGGGTATATTCTACATCGGACCAGTACACTGAAGCATCGGCTCTTGCTTTTATGCAAGGCTTCTATCCTCCAATTTCTGGCCCAAACGATACCTTCCACTACATGGATGAAGCATACCTGCTGGCCAATGGTTCGAGTGTCGCTTCGCCTTTGAATGACTATCAGTATCCACGAATGTATGCGGCTGGCTTGACAGATGCCAACTCGATATATGTGGCAGGTCAAATGGGTTGTGACATGCATCAGAAATCGACATTCCAATATTTAAACAGTCCTCAATTTCGAGAGATTGAGTCTGAGAATGCGGATTTCTACTCTCATTTGTACGATGTTGCCTTGGAAGGGCTGATGGATGAATCCTCTGTAGGCTATGCAAGAGCCAAAGATATTTTCGAATACCTGGATTATGAATATCTGCACAATTCCAGTCTAGGCGTATCCTCCTCCGACTTACAAAGAGCGCGCGCCTTGGCAAGTCAGTATTCATTTGACACGAACGGAAATCTGTCTGCATCAGGGATGTATGAAGGTGATATGATTCAAGCTATCTCCGGTCGCACTTTGTCTCGTCTCATTCTTCAATCCTTTGAAGATAATATCGAGACACAAGGATCTTCCTCAAAGATAACCTTGGTTTTTGGTGGAACGGAGCCCATTACCGCATTTGCTGCTCTAACGCAGCTCGCATCTTCAATGAATGGCGATTTCTATGGTCTTCCCGTCACCGGCGCATCGCTAGTTCTGGAGATGTTTAGCATCAATTCTACATCAGACTCCTCATATCCGCAGATATCTGACCTCTTTGTGCGATTCCTTTTCCACAATGGCACTTCGGGAGACGAAGCGTTTACGCAGTATCCGCTTTTCGGCCATGGACCAAGCAGCATTGATATGCCCTTTACTGATTTTGTCGAGGGTCTCGGCGACGTTCTTATTCCCTCTACCCATAATTGGTGCACTACCTGTAATAGCTCATCGGTCTATTGTCTCGGTGCCGTTTCTCCAGATATGGAGCCTACGAAGGGAGGCTTAACTCTGGCCGGGGCTGGCGCTATTGGAGCAGCCGTTACCATTGCAGTTCTGTCAATTATCGCCGGAATCGCTTGGCTTTGTGGCATTGAATTGCATCGCCGGCAGAAATCGACAAGCACCGGCGGCTTCAAAGGTGGCTCTAAGATGGTAGGTGATCAAGATGTCGATTTCACAAACCCATCGAGTGGGGTTTTCAGAGCTGGTATATTGGGATTCAACAAAAATGGGGCCCAAACCCACGAGCGCAGTGGAAGCTGGGAAATGAAGAATAAAAGCGAGCGTATTGATGATGATGGGATGAAGCTGGACGACGAGGACGACACTGTCGAGGCGATGGCCGGTGCAGAGCCAGTACAGATCCACGAAACTGTGTGATGCTAGTTAGTGGGAGAAGGCAAATGGTAAATTGTATTCCTGCCAGCAGCTAGATTAAAGTGTACCTGTGAATCAAGATCGATGTACAAGCCGAGTTTCTGTGCCGCTCCTGCCCCAGTAACGTGTATACAGCGAGGGAAGGAGCGAAAGCATCGCTGGGAAGGACATCCTCCCTCGCTCATGCCACCAGGCCGCTCTGTTAGCACTTGCCCCTGAGTGACTTTCCCTGTCGTGTGATGCCCTGAAAACTTCTCTCCCAGTCTACACTGACAAGCAAGCACATCTTCCCTGATCCTTTCATCAATTGCCAATATCTACGTACTTTCTCAGCAGTCTGAACTTCTCTCCCTGGACAGCATAATAAATTCCGAGTCGAGTGCTTCCATTTGATTCAGCATGTTTGCCATAAGGATTAGGTACGAACTCGCCGATCTACTGGCCTTGCGTGGCAGTGCTGCCATTGACGTCGGCAAATTTACCATTCATGCACTTGAAAGTAAGCTATCAACTGCCCGAGGTCTAGAGCTAGCATTCATTTTCAGATAATCTACTAGATCGTCGTAAGTCCGTGTCCAATATCGAGAGAGAACGGCCTTTGGATGGACCAAAGCATCGCCAACGTTCTGTGTCAACTTCGGACGAGTCTTTACAACATCCAGCCAGACAACCTCATAACGCCCCCCCAGACAATCTAGTCGAGGCTGATGCTGGATTTGCTAAATTCCTCAAAGAGCACACCTCTCCAAAGCACCAGCGAGTGACGGCAGGCGGGCGAGTCGTGCTCGTGGACGCTGATAAGTCGATTCCAGAACTGAAGCCTCCCTTAAAGAAAACAAGGGAAGACAATCCTAAGAAATCAGGCGGGATAAATCCGATCGTCTCATCCCTTTCTCTAAGAAATGGAATCGGTTCAGAAAATACTGGGCAGAGTTCTCGCACTTCGTCCAATGTAAACGCCGTTGCGGGTCAAGTATACCCAGCCATGACACAAGAGAAGGCGTCTGCTGGTGACACTGGAGCCTACCCGGAAAACGGACAACAAGAAGCTCCACAAGGCGTCACTTATCCATCTTTACAACCGTGGCAAGCACCATTATTGGCATCTACTGCTCATCGTCAACAACCTGTCCCATTGGCTTCAGGTTCTTATCCCATCTTTCAACTGGTACAAACAGGCCAGGAGACTGTCGCTGTACCAATCAATTCTAGCCTTTCTTCAAGCTTTCGACCAGATACAGCTTCATGGTACCCAAGCTCAGCGGCGTCTCTTATGGCTCAGGGTCACACTTCGCAGTCTCTCCCCCCACAGCCAACCTTGTTTCCTACCTCAACATTTCAAATTGCTGGAAAGCAAGGCTTGCTTGCCCCAACAATTACTTTGTCGGACTTACAATTAACACCACCCACCCCTTATTCTGTCACCGGGCTGGGCCATCTCGGGCCTTACTCGACTGTACCTGCGATGTCTGGTCCAATCTCATCTCCAGTCTACATTCCAGACACAAGTACTCAGAGGTCCCTTCAAGAGGTGACGAAAGAGTACCAAAATCTTTCGTGTCAGTTAGCAAGCCTAGATCGTTATATGGCAATAAATACCTTTGAGATTGACGCTGAAACCAAGAACAATCTCGTGGAGCAGAGAAAGGGCCTCGTGAAGGACTTGGATATAGCAAGACGGTACAAAGAGCATCTCGAATCCAGCATCAAGCCTTCACTAGAAGGCATTGAAGCCATGGGCACTCTGAGACCCCCACAGCCCACGGAGGCGACAGCAATAAATAGCACAGGGCTACAATATAACCCTTGGTTATCCTTTGTGACCACACCTGATCAATCTGTCGACTACCCTACATTGACACTACCGTCAAGTCAGAGACTTTTAGCTAATACATTAGCTCTGCAGCTTCCCCAGCTGGGGTACCTCACAGCACTCCCTAATGCCAATACATGGGGAGAGTATCAGTCCTCTTTTCAACTCCCCCAAACCCACCAGCCTGGATCGCAAGACCATCAATATCTCGACCATGCCGATAGAGCTGCTGCAACATCACACAATGACTCCAACTGGAAAACCACCCACACTGCACAAGCGAAGAGCAAATCCCCTTGGACTTCATTGGAAATTGGTGAGTTGCATCGCAAGATTGAAGATGCAGCTAAACAAGGCAATCCTGTGGATGAGCTCTTTAGAAAGCTTGCTAAGCTTACCGAACAACATGCCGTCAATCGTGGTAAACAGAACATGGCTGCTTTAGCAGAACGCCGGTCCACAACAACAGTCGCCGATAGTGTAGCCGGTCAGGCTCGAGCACCATTGCCTTTGGCCAAGGAAGGGAAGGACGGTTCTGGACCTGGCGTATCAAATTTGTCCTTAGCTACTCGGTCTACTGTGAAGGGAGTGACGTGAGTTATTCTTTATTCAAATACAAATACACACCAATGGAAACTGATGACGATGGTTGACACAGATACAGTAGAGCTTCAGAGACAAACTCGAAAAGTTCCCAAGCTCAGGAAAGGCTCAACGAGAATCTTGCCATGCAAGAACCGGACCCTTGCCGATGCGGAGAACTAGCAAGCAACAAGCCTGATCCCTACGGACCTAGACATTCTCGTGATGGCAGGTTGAAGGGTCTGAGTAGCCGAACAAAAAACAAAAGAGTATTAGAAGAAATTCGGGAGAGGCCATCGGTATTTCTAACGTCTTGGGGGACACGGGGAGACGAGGATCTCGTTGGGTCAAAGGTATGCTCTCCAGTTATATCACGGGTCAATGCACACGGTTTTCTTCCGTCGTTTGATGGGCCGAGTGATTACTTGGATGTATTCCGCGAGCGGACGGCGATTCTGATTGACATCCAAGACGATACAAGCTTGATGTGGGCAGGAGCTGGGTCAAACCGCCATTGGTATCAGAGAGATCCCCGCCCGGCTCCTGACCGTACTGAAGTTGGACGATTCTTTCTTCGAGTTTACGAGGAAGAACACCAGGCGATTCAAAGGTATCGAATGCAACACCCGGGAGAAAACTACAGGCGATAGTGGGAGGTCCTTCTCTAGACTTGGTGTTTCTTGCCTCCTCGTCGCGATGAATGATATGACATAGCAGGGTTAAAGAATCAACAAGAATGTTAGAGAGCATGGTTGACAGCTGACGATGGAAACAAATTGGACTAGGACGGTTTACACGATAGATGATAGTGACTTTACGATTCGACTGTATCAGTACCGTGATAGCCATATTGCTACCGGTGGGCGGATTCATCTGAAGGCCGTCACATTGCCCAACCTTCCTTTTCTACATTATGTGATGCTTATGCGAACGGCGGTAGTTAGTTATCTCCGATGTAGTAATCAATGGCCTCGCTTTCTCGTCATCTTCCATTAATTTTCTAAGTACTGTGGTCCAACTGTATCGAAGTGGCACTCCACTCTCGCGGGTGGTGATGGTGGCGACTGGCCAGCCGGTCTCGCCAATTGGGCTCGATAGCCCCTGCAAGGACATCCCATTTTTGGCCCAGGGACGAATACATCCGAGCGCTGGAGCCGTAGCCGTGGGACTGCCTCGCGTGGGAGCGTATGCCGGGCTGTCATTCGGCGGCAACCCCGCAGTGGGACATGATACTGACAGTAATAAGTGTCGCTATTAATGAGATCTTAATGATTAATGGCGACAGAATAGTGGGAATAAAGTAGAGCCGTATGCAGGCAGCCCCTATCCATATCCATATCAATGTAGTAAATCAGAGTCAGGATGGATGATGTGCTCAAGAATAATCAATTATGGGCCAAGAGTCTAGGCCAGGCCCGCCGATAACGCGCCACTGCAATATGTGTACTTTCAGTGCACACATTTTTTGTTGGAACTCAATTCGTATGTATATATATAATACATATGTCATGATTTCCAACAGGAAATTAAAGTAAATGAATAATAAAGCGAAATATATCCTTGAGAGTTGCATAGATGTTCACAGAGGTGGCTTTGACCACTAAGTAATTAACTTACTAACTGAAGTAGCAAGTCACTAACCGAACTAGTCAAGGAGGCTAGTATGAACACCGCCTCCCCTCCCCTCGCCTTGCTTGGCCTTCCTGGCCTCGCCTTGCCTCATCCGACTCGAGAATTAATCCTTCCTCCTCCCACGGCCTCCATCTCTGCCTTCATGGTTGCCCTGCATTGCTTTTCTCTACGCTCACACGGCGTCCACTGCGTTTCCTCTGCGAGGCGCTAGGACTCGGCCTGCACGGTGCCAGCCATCCGTTGGTCATCGATTATCCGTCGGTCATCCACGCCTGCATTACAAAGCGCACCTCAAGCACCGGTTTTGACTTAATAATCCTCCTCTAACCCTTGGCCGTTGATTCGACTTCATATACCAAATTCCATCATCCCGCGACCTGGGAACTCGCGTCTCGTTCACCATGACCCAATTATTCACATCATCGCATACGTCGTCGCCAGTCGCCTCCGAGAAGCGAAATTTCCATGGCCTCTCGCTATCCTCCAAGAAGCACAACAATGCCGCCAATACCAGCAACACTGGCGGCAACAATGATTCTTCCAACAACCATTTCCCCTCGAAAATCAAAAACTTCTTTCGCCTGAACAGTTCAGGCAGTGCCGGCTCCAACAATAGTGCTGAGCGAGACCACAAGGAGAACTATAATTCTGCCAAGACAGAGTCTAAATCCAACTTCAGGCAGTCTCGATTTCTGCCTGCCATTGGCCGTAATCGCTCAACCACCGTGGCCAGTGAAGGAAACCCTCTGGATGACTCTGTCTCTCCAACCGCTCATGCCAACCCATACTTCGCCCATCAAGGTCACCCAGCTCTCCGCCATCGCAATGAGGGCTCTCTTCCTTCGACGCCTCCTGACATGCCCGAGCTGCAAGTCCAAGGCATCTCCCCGACAGACCAGGCAACTACTGCTGGAAAAGAGGAATTGGCACGGAAGCTTCGGCGAGTAGCCTCTGCCCCAAATGCACAAGGTCTTTTTGCTGGGGACAAGTCGGGTGAACGCCCCAAGACGGCGGAATTAGGGAAGGAACCATTGATCGAACAAGCAGGAGATCAAGTCAAAGTCAGCTTTGTTGATTCTTCCGAGCAAGAACGGGGACGAAGTTTGCCCGTTCCCACCATCGGCCCCGATGGGAAACTCCCGTCTCCAGGGCAAATCAGAGCGTCCTCCACGGCAGCTTTCCGACGAACATATAGTTCAAACTCGATCAAAGTGCGTAATGTCGAAGTGGGGCCCGGCAGCTTTGATAAGATCAAATTGATTGGAAAGGGGGATGTCGGTAAAGTGTATTTGGTGCGGGAGAAGAAATCAAATCGGTTATATGCTATGAAAGGTAGTTAGCCCAAGTATTATCGGAAAGAAAGGTGACTAACTGGTTTGATAGTGCTGAGCAAGAAAGAGATGATTAAACGCAACAAGATCAAGCGAGCTTTGGCCGAGCAGGAAATCTTAGCCACAAGCAACCACCCCTTCATTGTAACGCTATATCATTCCTTTCAGTCGGAAGATTACTTGTATCTCTGCATGGAATACTGCAGTGGTGGTGAGTTTTTCAGGGCCTTACAAACTCGACCTGGAAAATGTATACCCGAGGATGATGCTAGGTTTTATGCTGCAGAAGTGACAGCAGCTTTGGAATATCTTCACTTGATGGGTTTCATCTACCGTGATCTCAAGCCTGAGAGTGGGTATCTCTAGCCTCTTGCGCAAATTACATCAAAACTGATTGTTCGTATTAGATATCCTTCTACACCAATCAGGACATATCATGTTATCGGATTTCGATTTGTCCAAACAATCTGGCCCTGGTGGAGCTCCTACAATGATCCTCGGACGCAATGGCAATGGGCCATCATCATTCCCTACCATTGATACAAAGTCATGCATTGCTGACTTCCGGACCAATTCTTTCGTTGGCACGGAAGAATATATTGCACCAGAGGTCATTCAGGGCTGTGGTCATACTAGTGCTGTAGACTGGTGGACATTGGGAATTTTGATATATGAAATGTTGTACGGTACAACCCCTTTCAAGGGTAAGAACCGCACTGCGACGTTCTCCAATATTCTCCGAAACGACATCCCGTTCCCCGAGCACGGAGGAGCACAGCAGATTTCCAAGTAAGTTGCCATCAACGAGGTATATTAAATGTCTTTGCTAACAATAGAACAGCCTGTGTAAATCTCTTATTCGCAAACTGCTTATCAAGGATGAGACGAAACGTCTCGGAGCGAGAGCTGGTGCCTCGGACGTGAAAACCCATCCTTTCTTCCGACAGACTTCCTGGGCCCTGATTCGTCATATGAAACCACCCATGATTCCTCATCAAGGACGTGCTATCGATACTGTCAACTTCCGTAATGTCAAAGAAAGTGCCAGCGTTGATATCGGGGGTGGTCCAAGCAGCAAAATGAAAGGGGTTCCATTAGATTCGGGTCTTGCCACACCGAGTGGTGAGATAGCCGATCCATTTGAGGAATTCAACAGTGTTACACTCCACCATGAGGGAGATAGCTGATGAATATTGGCTCATCTGGTTGACTTTGTCTTCTTATGAGCATCGTCTGGCTAGAGGAACCTCTGATGCCAAGACTATGTGATGACCGACACGTTTTTGATTTATCTTTGCCTTCCATTTCTCGTTCTGTTTTGTTTCAATCACAGGCTCACTCGATATGATTTGGAGTTTGGCGCAGCGGAGACAAGGATCTCACTTTGATCAAAAGGCTTCTGTGGTAGAGCCGATGCATTTGTTTATGATTGCATTACAACTGATTGTCGATGTCACCGATTATATATGATTCCGCACTTTACTTAACTGTTTGAATTTGAGCTAGTATGGCGGCTCTGGTATCTATACGTGTATTCTCTATTCTGCTGTCTGAAGAGCAGGGTATTGCTCTCAGTGACGGCAGAACTTCATGGTTGGTGCTTTCGTTTTGTTTCGGCTATCGTCATTCCCTTGCAGTGCAGTTATCAGCTTTCCTTTCCCCTCCTATCTATCGAGGGATGAATGTATCCTACTTTGCATGCTGGTGTTTTTCTATACATCGTGTCCGACGGTTGCTATTGATAGATAGGTTCAAAGGGTGGATCTGTCTAAATTGAGAATTCCTTCACTAAATTGTGACGTTGCATTTTATAACAACTTTTTCTAAAGAGTATCATACAATACATTATGTAGAGGTGTTGATAGGAAGCTGATGGTCTGATACCGCCCGCACTTTCTTGCCATCCCGCTCACCCCGCGGAAGTGGTGTTTACAATATTGTCAAGACGCTTCTTTTACAGCCCACAGTCCTAAATACAACTCACACACGTCAAGCTTGAATGCAAAAATACGTCTTAAAATAGTATTAAAGAAAAAACACCACATAACCATTCCCACAATGTCCAGCGAAGACTTCAACGCGCGTCGCAGCACGACTCCCTCTGGAGACCCGCGTACCAACAACCCTCTTCTCGGTCCCTCGAACCCTCTCGTCTCAGAGCTCGAACAGGAAGTCCTAGACGAATATAGCCGTCTACTAGAAAACGTGAACAAGGTTCGGACACATCTCATTCTAAACCCTAGAAATCAATCGACCTATTCGTTCTAACCTGCACGTATACAGCTATCCGATACCCTCGCCGACCTCGCTGGCTCACCAGCCTCTCTCACACTCGACGGCTTGCGTCTGCTCGAACGAAAGACTGCGACTGTGTACACATTGCTCAAGGCGAGCGTTTACAGCATCGTCTTGCAGCAGCAAATTATTACCGAGGGAGAAGCAGCGGCTGGGCAGCAGCAGAACATAGAGGGAGCTTCTGTGATGACGAGTATGACCGGTGGAGAAGGGGATACTATGACGCAGTGATGGGCTGGATGGAGATTTGTTGAGGAAGAAAATATACGAGGCGTGCTCGTTCTTGGCTGGACGACACCGATATCGCACCCTACAAACTACAGATCACCAAAGCTATCGGCTGGTCTAGCTGTACATTTCGCCAGCGTCGATTCCAGTTCTCACAAAATGCTTTGGCAAGCCAGGTGACTTCGTGGGAACGCGTTATCGGCAGTGATCAGAATAGGCTTTATTCCTGTTAGGTCAGATATAAGCCGTAAAGCATTGATAATCTATCAATACAGTGTATATGATACAGAATAGATGCAATAGCCAAAATAAAGAGGATAGTGAGATTGATACACATGATAAATGAAGAAGAGAAATTGTTTGCTACACAATGCGGCTCCTTATGCTCAACTCATACCAACGTTGAACGTTCGATGCAGATCATACTTTGCCTGCGTAGTAGACCTTGCGTACATCCACAAGCTTCCTGCCGCGAGCCCGAGCAATGTCTTCCGGGTCTTTCTGGGAGATTAACGCCTCGTACACCGCTTTCACGGTGTTCATAGGGTTGCGTGACCGATCAACGCGAGCTGCTAGATCGTGGATACCAGCGGCGCGGGCCATTTCATAGATGAGATGTTGGCATCGGAGGCCAAAACCTATGTCATTATATTATTAGACGTGAAAATTCAAGGACAAAGTATCAGATTATACCTGGAGGACGGTTCATAAGCTTCAATTCAACGGCTCCGACCTTTCCTTGGACATCGCCGTATATAGTCCTATTCTCGTAGCGGAGGATAGGCTGCATGTTCCGAATAGCTCGGTATTTAGACTGCAAAATTGCATCGCTGATTTCCTCGGACTTGGCCTCACCAATACCCAAAAGCCCATCACCGTTACCAGCGATTGAGAGAACATACTGTCGGCGCACTTTACCCAGACGGGTCTGATTCACAACCGAGTGCGAGACCAGTGTCTTCAGCTTGAAATTGGTAATTTCCTGTAAAGAGTATCCGGTGGATTGCATCAACCTCTTCATCGCGTCGGTGAGTTCTTCCATTAACGGTTCAGACTTGCCCGTCTTCTGGCGCTTATCACGTTGCTTGTCCACATCCTTCGAGCTAGGCTCCTTGCTGAGAGACTCTCCTGGTCCAAACAGTTCCGGCACAAGAGCGCTACTTGGATTCCTCTCATTTTCTTCCTTCCCCTTGGTCAAACGCAGGTTCTCAGTAAATCGTATCCAGTCAGCTGCGGTGGGTTTCTCAGGCATTTCAGCAAAGAACTTGACAAAGTCCTCGGCGAAGTCATCCTCTGTCTTGAGAGTGGCATTCCAGTCCGAGTTCGATTCAGGAGCACGAATATGTTTATCGACAACAGGCTCAACTGCGGAGAAGTCATCGAGGTAGTACAATTTCATAGGATCCGTACGAATGCCAAATTGTTCGGCCAAATCTTTGGGGTCAATGGCTTCTTCACCCGCCAGGATTGCGGCGACTTGCTCCTTGCTATACTCTTCCGACAAACGGGCCATTTCTTCCTCAGTATAGGGCTTGAAGTCTGACGGTTGGAGGCTTTGTTCAATCTCGTCGAGAGTCTTGTTTTCTTGAGGATCGGGAACGGGCACAGGCGGTTCAGGCTGTTTGGGCTTCTGGTTGAAGTAAATAGGCGCTGCGTGGAACTGTCGTCGTGGCACGCGAGCGCCAACGTTGACTATTCGTGAGAAGCTGCAAAACAGGCATCTCGCCGGCCGCGCGAAAGTCATGTTGGCCGTAACAATTAGGTGCAACGTCCCCCCTCCAGACAGACGAAAAATAAACAGCAGAAGAAAGGGAGAGTAGTGGTCTGGGTGCTGGCAGAAAACCCGAGCGAGACGAGTCGAAGGTCTGTCGAGCTCGGAGAGAGAACAAATTCTCCTGGGCCGCGGAGGACTCCTCAGCAGCCAATCAGTTGGCTCCATTATACTTAGTCACGGCCCGCATTAATTTTTGCTCGACAGCCCATTTAATATTCTTCCTCCCTCGTTTTGTCTCTACATGTATTCCTTTCGTTCGGCAAGAGTTGCCTGTCCATCCCAATTTGTTAGTCAATGTCTAGGCGTCCTATTGCTTGCTTAAGCCGATCCTTGCGCTATCGACCTGTCCTCGCCACTGTTCGCACCCAGAGCACTAGGGTGCCATACAATGCGATACCTGAAAACCCCGAAGACCCCATTGAACAGAAATTCACGGGATATTTTAGACGTCTGCAGTACGAGAACAGGATGAAAGAACTGGACGACACTAGGCGCCCGAAGGATGATAAACGCAAGAAGCTGAGAAGCAAGGCAAGCGTTAGGGTTGGCGAGAGCACCGATGATATTTTACAGACCGACGTGGAGCGATTGATCAATGACATCCAGAAATCAAAGGCCGAGAATGATTCCGCGGAGGAAACCATAACCAAAGCGACACTACCGTCACCGTTCTCAGAAATTGAGGTCACCGTGTCAACAATCTCATCTACTGGAGATGGTTTGGCACTATCCGAAGATGGAAGCCATGTCTTTGTCGTTCCCTTCACAATTGCAGGAGACAAGGCACTTGTCAAAGTTGTTAGGCATCAAAGGGGCACTAGATACAGCATCACGGATCTGATCAAGGTTATTCACGCGGGTCCAGAGCGAGACGATTCGCAGATTAAATGCCAATACTTCGGCCAATGCTCAGGCTGTCAACTTCAAATGCTACCATACGAAAAGCAGTTGGAGCATAAAAGGAGAATTGTAGAGAAAGCATATGCCAATTTCTCAGGCCTAATCCCAGAACTCGTGCCAAAAATCAAAGATACATTCCCATCACCACTACAATATGGCTATCGCACCAAATTGACTCCTCATTTTGCTCTCTTCAGCGGACGTGCAAGGAAAGAATCCTCCGAGCCAGCAAAAAAGATGGAAGTTCCGCCAATCGGGTTTAATATTAAAAACCGTCGCACGAATATGGACATAGAAGATTGTCCTCTAGGCACTGATATTGTTCGAAAATTTCTGAAAAAAGAAAGAAAACAAGTAGCTGAAAATATTGACTCATATACTGATGGAGCTACGATTCTACTTCGTGAATCCACGCACCGAATAAAGAAAGAAGACTGGAAACCGAAAGACAGCGAGTCTAGTGATATCATCATCACCAAAGAACACCCTGACTACATTGAAGAGAAAACCTGTGTAACGGATCCCAATGGATACTCGGTGGAGTACATCGACGACTACGTTCTAGGAAACAAAGCCGGAGCTTTCTTCCAGAACAACAACTCTATCCTTTCCGGCTTCACGGAATACATTCGTCAGCAAGTTCATTCGAAGGCGCTGAAGGAGGGCGAGAAACCAATCAAGTATCTCATCGACGCGTACTCAGGATGTGGACTTTTTACAGTGACGCTTTCAAACGTCTTCAAATCCTCTCTAGGCATCGACATTGACGGCAATTCCATCTTATGCGCACGCGATAATGCGAAGAAAAACAATCTGCCAAACACAGGCTTTGCCGCCGCCGATGCCTCCCTGCTATTCAACAGAGTTCCATACCCGGCAGATGAAACATTCCTAGTCATCGATCCGCCGAGGAAGGGCTGTAGCGAGGATTTCTTGCGACAATTGTTGGATTATGGCCCGCGACGCGTGGCCTATGTGAGCTGCAATGTTCATACTCAGGCTCGTGATATTGGGTACTTAGTCCAGGGGAATGCTTCCAGTGATGTCCGATATGAAATTGAAAGTATCCGTGGGTTTGACTTTTTTCCTCAGACAGGTCATGTTGAGGGCCTTGCGATTCTCAATAAGGTATAGGAACAAAGTGGCCAGAGCGCTTGACCGAATGTCTTACTTTGTAAAATATTAAATTACTTCTATTCTTGCGAAGGTTCTTTTAATCTGGGGTTTATATATTATAGATCTATCTTCAACTCATATTTGGAAATAATCAGGAGTTTCAAGTAATTCGTCAAATATCTGTTGACCCTTCTTTGGAGCGGCTTCTCGGTGCTTACAATCAATGTGAACGACTGAACATTTGAAATCTCTTCACATAAAACAGAACAGTATATACAGCTTCTAGCTACCTAACGCTATCCCGTACCAAAGTCTGCAATAAGCCCACCATTTTTGGACGGAAAGATTACAGAAATATCACATTTTGAAGGAAATGATTGTCTTGGGAGCAAGTATACTGAAGTTATGGCTGCCAGCATAGAAATATCAAGTGCTTCCAGGACCACCAAGGAGAGCAAACCTCCGAACAATGCTAGGACCAATCTCATCATACTCGGCCTTGGTATGGCAATAGCTCCGGAATTCTGGTGTTTGACCGAGCAAACTTCCTCCGAACCAAGGGCCATGTCTTTGTCTCTTATGCGTGACAACCTGCACTTCCAGTCCACCGCTTCTCGCTCCACCACTGCGGGCCTCCGAAGCGCGAATGCGAGCATCTACTAAGTGTCGAATATCACGCTGCAAGCGACGACCAAAGTCTTTGTATAGAGTAGAACCTCCAGAAAGAACAATGTTCTTGTACAGTCCTCTCCTGACATCGATAGGAGACGCCTGAATGACGCCGTCAACGACAGTAGGAAGTGGCGTCAAAAAGTCCGATGAGTAAATTTCCGGGTTAAAGAAAATTTCTGGGGCTAAAAAGCGTTCGTAGCCAACATCAATAGATACTGAGCGCCCGTTGGGCGATGTCACAGTATGCTTAAGGAAACGGTCTGGCTCCCGGTCGTAACGAGCAAACTCCTTGACAATATCAGGGCAAACATAGCAGTACTCCTCTTTCACTTTCTCAGCCGTCTTCAAGCTGCTATCAGCCTCACCACGGTCTCGAAGCAAACTCTGAACAAAGTAGGTGATATCTCTACCAGCTATGGGAATACTCTTGATGGATGATCCTATGACGTAACCTTCAGCGACAGGGATAACATGGGTAACGCCGTCACCAGAATCAATGACAGTTCCAGTTAAAGACCTATCGGTGACTTTCGAAGATGTCCAAGAGGCGGCTAGGGCAAGGACGGCTTGCACGGCAATATAAAGGCCAGCGCAATTGAATGACTCAAACATAATTTCCGCGGTATTTTCACGATTCTCAGGAGGGTTCAAAGGCTAGACGAAACGTAATGTCAGAAGATCTCAATAGCTCCATTAAAGAGTCTTGAAAGTACAAACCGGTTCAGTAAGGAGAAAATAATGATCTTCCGGTTCGACACGGAGATACTTGAAGATGGAGTTGGACCAAAAACGCTCCATATGATCCCAATTCTCGATCTGTCCATGTCTGATAGGGTAGTGAATACCATAGCCAGGTCCGCTAGAAGCTGCCAATGCCTCATCGCCGATGAAGAAATCCAAGTCTTCAGTACCGCGCTTCCCCGAGAGATGGGAGCTAGAACCTCCCGCTCCTCCCCCCAGAAATGAAGGTTTGTTTGCAACAGCAGGTCTTCCAGATGCGGACGCACCTCCACCACCACCGCCACCAGCAGCTTTAGTCGCAATGGCTGTTGGGAACACGAAGGACGGGGAATCGTTGCCAGCGAAGCCTAGTTGCAGGCGTCAGGCGAGGGTTACGTCAGACGAAGCGATGGGACTTACCAATTTTAGAATATCCAGTTCCGCTAATGCATGTTAGTAAAAACACAATTGCGAGGGCTTATGTTCGGCATAAAGGGGTGCACATACTTGTCCATGACAACGGCTGGGGTTTGGGAGGTCATGCTGAGCTGCGATACCGCCTCGAGGGCAGCAGCTCTGGGTAATTGGGTGTTGTTTATCAAGCGCAGAGACCTACAGCTAAATCCAGTCTGGACCCAGAATAGTCTAAACAAGAGTTGCGCGAGAGAGTTGCAAAGCTGCACGAGATGTCGAACGATGCACGGCTGGCGCGGGGGAGGGCAGGCAGTAGTTGGCAGTAGTTAGTAGCACACGAGATAGCGCCGCAGCAAAGCCACGTCGCCCGAAAGGGAAGGCGGTCAGCACCAGCCGCACTCGATATCTGCTTGATATTGTATAGTTATTGTATATCACCAGCCCGGTCCTAGGCGAGATGAGACGAGACGATATAGCTAAGCGTGTTAATGAATAGTAGCAAGCACAAGCACAAGCATAGGTGTAGCACAGAGCACTGGCTCCTGCTGTCTTAGCCGGGCCAGCTCCTTCCCAGCGTTTGCGCCTCTGTCCCGCCGTTGGTAGAAGGGAAGGGACCATGCAGAGAAGGAGAGTCTCTTTCTTCCTATCTTTCCCTTTCTCTTCCCCTCTCGCTCTCGCTCTCGCTCTCCTCATTAAACTCCCTCTTCTCTCTCCCTCCTGCATCCCCAGCAATCTCCCCTCTCGTCTGGTGGCTCCGTCTGTTCCCTCCCTGAAGAGCTAGCATTACCCACTATTCTTACGTCGATTTCGTATATATCACTTTTCACCAGGGCCGTTGCGATAGATATGCAGGTGAGTCCATGGCCCCTGCGCTTTCAGGGCCGTCGCTGACAGCTACAGTGAACCTCCTCTGGTGCTCGTTGCGTCCTGGCCCCTTGTAGCGCCTCCACGAATCCTGAACATCACTAGTATCTCGTCAACTGTACGTAAAAATCATAGAATGCCCATCGTTCTGTGATTCATTCTCTTTTGCTTATCGTGACGTAGGTTGGGAACCTCTAGTGCTTCTCACTTGCAACCCCATTGCTGGTCCTGAGTTACGACCATCTTCCGTCGGTAGGCTTTATTGCATAAGGTGGAGCTGCTTTTCAAAGCATACTGTCAATATGTCGCCTCGTGGAAGGAATGGAGGTGATATCTGCGCCATATACGTGCATGCAGGCGCAGGGTTCCACAGTTATCAAAACGAACGGCTGCACCTGGATGCCTGCAACGAGTGAGTGTGCTTCGCTGTTTATTTAGCCACCTATCTATATCTGGTCCATTATTTCTGCACTGGCTGACTCCGTCCAAAGTGCAGCAAAAGTCGCCATGACTTTGCTAAAAAACGGTGGCTCTGCCCTCGACGCAGTCGAGGCGGCTCTCAGATTGATGGAAGATCGAGAGATCACCAACGCCGGATATGGCAGTAACCTCACCGCTGAAGGCACTGTTGAGTGCGATGCCACGATAGTGGATCATCATGGTCGCAGTGGAGCTGTCGGTGCCTGTTCTTGTAGGTTCACTACACCAAAACCCTGCCATGCAATGCACTAATTTCATATCTCTAGTTGTCAAGAACCCGATTTCTGTTGCTCGTCTTCTCCTCAACTGTCAAAATAAACCGCTTCCTCTGCAACGAGTACCCCCGAATTTTCTAGTTGGCCAGGGCGCTACAGATTTTGCTTATGACCATGGCCTGTCAATTGTGCCGGGAGACTATCTTGTATCTCCAACAGCTAAAACACGGTGGTTACGATGGCAACATGAACTTGAAGAAAGCCGCAAACAAGAGCTAGAAGGCGTAACCCAAGAAAACTCCGTTTTCCCTCACATCTCTGCAACGGTAGATCCTGCTGTTCTCATGACTCCTCCTTCTAGCCTCAACGACGACAACCCTCATAAAGCCAATACTACCCCTCTCACCAATATCGACCTCGTTCAACGCGAAACAAGACTAAATACCGGTGATGGCGAAACCAAGTATCTAGATCATGGCCGTCTTTCTAGTCTCGAAAGGAAAAGCCCTCTCGGCAGATCACTCTCTGACAATGACCAATACACCGATTTTATCGAACCTCCTAGAAATGAGGGAGATGAGGACGGTATTACTGACACAATTGGTGCCATTGCTATTGATTGCTACGGCAACGTTGCAGCCGGGTCGTCATCTGGTGGAATTGGAATGAAACACCGCGGACGAATTGGACCAGCAGCCTTGATTGGAATTGGCACAGCGGTGATTCCTGTGGATCCTCTTGACCCTGAGCAGACCAGTGTAGCCGCAGTCACATCTGGCACAGGTGAACATATCGGCACCACATTGGCAGCAAGCACCTGTGCAACTCGGATCTACTACAGCGATCGCGAGGACGAAAATGGGATGACTGAAAACGTAACGGAGGAGGAAGCCATCAAATCCATGGTTGACAAAGATTTCATGGGTGAGTGAATATGCTTGAGGTGCTTCACCTGACTAATCATCTACGATGTCATTTAGAACACCCGGGCGTGAAACACAGCCATTGTGAGGCTGCGATTGGGGTCATGGCTGTAAAGAAGATGAAGGAGGGTCTATATTTGTTCTTCTGCCACAATACAGATTCATTCGTAAGTCACAGTCGCATATATTGGTGTTCAATTACTGATCAGCTACAATTTCAGGCGTTGGCATCTATGACTTCGGAAGATAAAATGCCTCGCTGTGTGATGTCCCGGCGCCCTCGGCAAGGTACCACAGCGCAGGGAGGACGGTTCTCGAGATATCGTCGGTAAGCATTAGCTCTCTTCGTATAACCTATGATAACTATCTAAGAACGCTTCGGGCAGGTCAAAAAGCAGAAGCTATGGAAATGAACTGGGTGGTGACTAAATGAAGTTGACTCGATATTGGCTTCGTGTCTTGGGACAAGGCCTGCGTCGACCTTCGCTGTTTCATTGTATGTGTATAGAAACGCCCTGCACTTCATTCTCAGAGCACATCCTTCAGCGTAGTCTCGTTTTAGAGAATTCCAGCGACTATCGTTCAACATGGTACTTAACTCCTCTTCTGTCCAAACACATTTGTATAAAAGATCGCGTGTCAATCGATCAATGACTCGAGAGTTGATTGTGAGGCACTGCCAAATAATCTTAGTCTTTACGACGTCCTCGGCTGCCTAGAGAAGCAAAACCATGAATTATCTCTGCAACCCACAGATGTGTACGATTATGGGGAAATTGCGTCAAATTTATAAAGCATATTGGCTTTAGTATAGTTATAGCATTTTATTATTCTAGGCTATAGCCCGGGAGTTGCACCGGGTGTGGGAGTACCAGTCGCAGAGGACCCATTCAAGCGGGCTTTCTTCTTCTTCTTTTTCCTTGCAATTACAGCAGGCTTCGAGCCATAATCGCCTATTTCAAGGTGCGTACCGCAGGTCAGGCAATCACCATTCTCCGGCGGCTCACAGAAAATACTAAGGCAAATTGAGCAAACAAAGCCGATATTGACGACACGGCGATGGCAGAAACATGCAGCACGGAAGTCAACATCCACTCGTGAGGGTAAGATGAGATGCTTCCGAGAGCGTTGATCAGGGAGAAATGCCATCATTAGATACTGCAGTAGCCCGCGAGGTTCGGTCGGAGACATGTAGACTCCCCGAGTGGCATCCGCTGCTTGCTGTAAGAAAACAGCATCACCGCTCAATTTACACACATCGACAGGAACGTGTAATCGCTGGCATGCAAATATGCCGTTCATGATGGGGATATATTGATGCGCTGAATCCGTGGAACTACTGACTGAAACAATCAGAATCCGACTTTGCAATCCTACATTCGCATTTCCGCTTGTCGAGACGGCCGCAGCTGACGGCCCTGTAGGTGCGTGCGGCGCGTCAAGGTTAACGGCACCATGTGTCTCCGCCCATGTCATGCTCCGGCGGTTGATGTGACTGAGCGCCAGAGTCAACGCGCCGGCCATCATAGTAGATGTGGTAGATTGGATATCTGACGCATTCGTCGAGGCCAGAAGCTCCTTCACATTCTCAGTAACCTGCTCTTCGATGACGCGGAAAGGTCGGTACATATTCGCCTGGTTGGAGTCAAGTTGTGTTGTCGCCTGCCCGTTCATTTGAACATCGCCATCAGCATCTCGCCGATGGGATGGTTTGTACTGGTTGAACGAAGGATATAACCAAGCAGCTCGCTGGGTGTGCGAGGCAATGACGGCGATTTCATTTGTGTAGTTGCATGCGAGGTGGGCGTTGATGAAAACCAGAATATTGGCTAGCGCCTTGGAGAAGGGCAGCTTATCTTCGAGGACCGCCCATGCACGCGGGTTTGTATCGAGGATGACGGTGAGGAGAGAGGGGGCCAGTTCTAGGAGGAATTAGAAATGGTGAAGGAAGCGTAAAAGATATGGCCGACTTACCACTCGCACTACTGTCGTAATGCTCAGAGGCGTCCACAGCGTTCATCGTGGCAGAAGAGAAAGTTTGATGCAGGTTGAAAGCATCATGAGCACGCCGTTCAGACAGGGATGAAGGTTCTGGAGAACCAGCACCGACACTGTCTATGCTGCGAGCTTGGCTGGTCGGTTGATAGCTTCTTCGGCGGGAACATTCAACGTTAATATTTTCTACGGCGAGCTCTAAATTTCAGGGAACGTTGGCAGTCACGTGACCTCGGGTTAAGACTGGATACGAAATGGTATGGACCTTTCTTTCTAGCGAAGATCGCGACATTAGATTGAAGATCGACGATATCATCGATGCTCGCGCTAACCCAGAGCCTGAATGATTCCATTAACATACTAAGTCTAAATGAATCAGACTAACATTCCAGTTTTTATTCAAAATAAAGAATTTGGTCTTTATGCTACATCAATGATCAGGGGAATTCATCGGCATATGCTTGATCTCGCTTCTAATGCAGCCGGAAAGTGGTTGTTACAGCCGAGTCATTAACCAGGCTTGTACCATTAATGTAGCTTGGTACCGGGATGCATAGGAAAGCATCGCATCAGAAACTTCCTCGCACTCAGCCGCTCGTTTAGCAGGTACGATCGCCGATATGGCACCCTGAACTTCAGGATTCTTCTTCAGTTCTTCATCGAGCAAAGGAGAACGAACCCAAGTCGGGCACACTCCATTGCAGCGAATACCTTCAGCGGCATGATCAAGGCTTTACTCAGCACCAACTCTGTGGCTTATTTCTTAGAGGTTTCAGAACAGGACTATGTCCTTACCTGCCATTTTCGTCAAGCCCATCACAGCGTGTTTCGAGACTGTGTAACACATATTTCCAGGGAGACCAGGAAAGGAGTTGGCATACGTACAGTTGACAATCGCCCCACGCCGATATCTCGGCTGCCACTACGGCTTTATCTAGGCTACTAGTTGCGCATTGCGGCTGCTTCGACGCGAACGCACAACGTCATGCCGTTGGTGTTGACATTCATAACATTGTGTCAAAATTGTCAATATCGGTGTCTGCAACGGCACGGTAAACATCATTATCAACCTATGAGAATGAATTACCACGAAGTCAGCAGCCATGGTTGATGTTGCACAAATAGGGGATAATACTGTCAATTACTCCAGCGCTATTAACACAGTAGTCAATTCGGCCAAATTCCCTAACCACAAAGTCGACCATGCTTTGTACTTGATCCGGCTTGGTCACATCGACCTTGAGAGATGCTATCCTGTAATTTCTGTTCTGGGCATACTACTAGCTCTCTTCTGCTGTCGATGCGGCGGCCTCTTCAATCAAATCTGCGAATACTATGACCTCTGCCTCGGCTTCGGGTAGGGAGAAAGCTGCCTGCTGTCCAATACCCCGTCCACCTATAGTCTCTCTCTTAATAGTCTAAACCTATTTTCCCGTTTGAGACGTTTTTCTGTACACCAACCACAAGGGCAACTCCATCGAGTCTTGTACTGGAGATCATGTTGCGGGTTAACTAAAGTCCTTTGAAATGAGTCACTTCTTTTGTGTAGAGAGGTCTCCTGGGAGATCGGTCAACGATAGACAAAGCCGTGAAAGGCAAGCGATGGTCTTCTTATAGAAACAAGCTGCCTCCATAATGCGATCATATCTAACAATGAAGAGGTTTTCCAACAGTAGACATAGGTAAAAGTTGGAGTTTGTGCAACGTATACATCGTCTCTTCGTCCGAAAGAAGACACTGTCGATTCTTGTACATCTCTGTTCTTTCAATGACAATTATAAGCTGGCCCAGTGAGTTGGCGGCTGGCATGAATCACGGCCATGGAAGGTAGCACCAGCCATGCAGCAGAGATATAGAGGGGACAAGGCGGTTTCATACAAGAAGCCGCACAGGATGCATAACTTGCAGGCAGCGTCACCTTCGATGTGACAAGAAAACCCCCGTTTGGTAAGGACTTAATGACCCCATTTTGCCAAATAGACAGTCCTGGTTTTGGTACCCGAGACCTTGGCGAGACCTTGGAGCTGACATTGGCTACGTAGTGCCAATTTTATACATGGGAAAAAGTCCTTCCCTCGTTTCTCGGTGCTGTGCCCACAGGGAAAAAGCCTAGAACTATCGATGCGCAGCCCATTCTTTATTGTCTTTAAAGTATTACGGAAATGTTTGATATGATTCCAACTTCCCTGCAGCGAGGGTGGTGCCTCACCTTACCAGCTATGGGATGGCGAAGGGCCATCAAAGCTGCTGTTATCCGTCATCAACGGCCGTATAATCTCAATTTCCGGACAATCCTGCCATAATAAAGCTTGTTAGAAACTTCCTGGTCAGATATCTGTGTCGTTACAAGGTTGTATCTTAGTAGCGTGCTCGAAGTTTGGAATGAGGAATTTCCAGCCAAAACTCGGCTATTTTACCACATCCTGCGGTTCTTGAGACAGGCTTCACAAACTACCTTTGCAGAATCTATGTGGAAAGGTAAAGCTGCCCAGGACTTATGGCTCTGGAAAGCATTTATTGGGGCATTGAGCTTGCCCCATGCCGAGCTTGTGTTGGTGACTTACAACACGAGACTTCGGAATTTAATGGCCGAGTTTCACAAGGACATCCGGAAATGGGTAGATCCGATGGGAATCACGCTATGGTACGGCGTCCGCAACATACTGAAAGGTATTGTTTGGCCTCCTCATTTTCAGCGGAAAGCTCTTGCTGAGATGCTGTGGAATCGTTTCTGTGGCTTATGAGAGAGCTACTCCTATCAACTTCGGCTCATATCCAAAAGTGAGTACAGAAATGAAACTTTTGTACAGTAACAAATTTCCATTAATATATTAATTAGTCGAAATACCAGAACGTACTTTCAAAATTTTGGCCAAATTCTACGGACATGAAGCGAATTCCACGTGTTACCAAAACGCCGCTAAGAATGACTCGATCTAAATTCGAAGGGGGTTCCAATTTGGGTAAGTCCTGATTTTAAACAAAAGAAAAATCTTCACATCACTTGAACGAATCACGTGTGTTGATGCGGTCAATATCGTAAGGGTTTGCCTCGTAAGAGGCCGTTCTTAAGGCTAAAGTTCCAGTCGATAATTGTGTCATTGTTGGTTGAATAGTGGGAAGTTCAGTATGTGCGTCCATCTCGCTGTCATCGCCTTCGTAAGGTGCCGGGAATGAAGCTCCGGCTTGATCGGGATTCCCGTCACGTATTATTTCACCCTGACCTTTGTTCACAGCCTGTTGAACGGCGGCCTGTTGCATCATGTTCTGCATGAAAGCATTTGATTCCGCTGCATATTTGCACCGAAGTCGAATGGTAGGCCCATATTTGTAAAAGATAAATGGGAATGGGATACAAGCCGCTGCTAGGAAAGCTGGGATTGAAGAAGCCCAGTGAATTCCTAGATTTTGATACATATAAGTCGTGAATAAGGGGAAAGCAGCTCCAAAGAGTGACCGCAAAAGAGATGCAGCAGCCAGGACAGATGCAGCAAAGATGGTATAAGTGTCAACAAGATAGCTTAAATTGCTCAGAAATACCAATACCATACCAAATCCAAAGGGTGCGCCGGCGGCCACAGACGCCATCCAGTGGATCGATGGGTAGTTTGTCCATGCAAACCAAAATAAACCAATCGGTATGGTGAAAGAAGCTATCAAGCAGGGAGGCAGACGTGCCTCAGGTGGAGCAAACCCGCCTTCTTTTTCTTGAACGCGTATATATCTTTTGTTATCCCAGGAGGCGTAGACAAGAGCAATTAACATGCCTATCATAATTCCTAAAAAGGGCAACCCACCAATGCCTTGATTCCAGCCTCGATGAACCTGAAAGACAATTGGATAAGCGGCGAAGAGCATATATAAAGTGCCATAAATGATGGCCATATAAAGCGACAGCAGAAAAACGATAGGTTCTCGAAACAGCAGAATCCAGGGTCGAGATAAGGCAGTCTTCAATGTTTCACTGAACGAAACAGTGCCATGTTCAATATCGAGATGGCTTTGGTAGACTTTGTTGGTTATCTTGGATAGTCTTTCTGCACGACGGCGGAGAAGTGCTGGTGCGTATGTTTCAGGTATGAATAGGGTTCCAAGAACCAACAAAGTTCCAGAGAAAGCGCTCAGAAACCACATAACCCATCTCCATCCTGCATTCATCCCTAGGAATCCACCGATAATAGGGCCAAGAACGGGACCTGAAGGGAATAAAAGTTAGAATAAGATTCATCGATTATATCACAACATTCCTATCAGGCAAATGCTTACCTAGAAAAGGTGCCACAGCAAATAAACTCATTGCTAGCCCTCGCTGTTTAGCAGAAAACATGTCGGCAATAATGCCACCGGCATTTGTCAAGGGGGAGGAGCCAAAAGCACCGGCGAGAAATCGAAGAATGATGAGGGTACGGGTATTTTGAGAACCGGCGACTCCGCAATTAAACACAGTAAAAGCTAGATATGTAATAAAGAAAACGATCTGACGGCCGAACATTTCACTGAGGGGAGCCCAAAGTAACGGTCCTTGTTTGAGTTAGCTTTGCTCAAATAGAGAAAAGGGGGCATCAGACCAATTGCAAACCCTAGAACGAAGAGAGAGACACCCAAAGTAGCAACCTCGCTGTCAATGCCAAATTGCATTTCAATCTCTTGGACGCCGCCAGTGTATGCCGAGGAAACTAGAGCGACTGCCAAAGTTGAAATCGCAGCTATCAATGTAATGAACCACTTCATAACGGGTTCAAACATCATAGGATCTCGGGGGTCTTTAGGAATCCATGTCACAGAAAAAGGATCTTTCTCTGTACCACTTCCGGCATAAGGGTAGTCAATTACTTCTTGTGTCACAGCACCCTGATCTGCAATCAGCCGCCAGAATGGAATTCTGTTACTTCGAGGCGATTCCGAAGTGGAGTTTCCAGGGTCATCTTTTTCGATGGTCATATCGAAAAGTGGAATACACCGACGCTGGAAAGGCGAATAAGGGTAAGATATTTGAACGATCAGGTAGGCAATTCTGATTATTGATGGTGGAATAAATCGATCAATGAATGACTACCACTAGAGCATGGTAAATGCTGAGGAAAGATACTTGATAGATATTGGGATAAATTGCTAGTATGCCTATCAAAACTTTATATTGGGATATTAATGTCTTACGGTCTCAGTCAGTGTACTACAATTATAGTCCGACTTCCGACATCTGGAGCCAATAGTCTTCAGATAAAGCGTAAAAGGACCTGGTAGGAGACGATGACGCTCGTGCTATCAGCCGAGGTCCTGCGAATCTCTCTACTCCTTGGGTGTCATTGGCGAGATACGCAATCTCACGGCATGCCGAGAATACGCTAGATCCGGACACGCCGTTGGTGGAGAAGCTACTACACACTTTAGATATCAATTGAATCGACCCCTTACAACATTGAATATCCCAACATGTGTTTAAACGTAATGATGATAAAATAAACGACAATAAAATTGCATGTGATAAACGTATGATTTCGGGCCCATCTTGTATGCCACGAGATATGCAACGGGTAGTGGGTTTCTATTAATAGCGCCGATCTTGACTTATGCTCCTAGATCATAACATTGAGCCATTCGTGAGTAATATTAATATTTGTGGAGATGATTCTCATCAATACTACGAACCGGCAATTAGACATATTATTCATTTTAATCGCCAGGTACAAAGTGAATAGACAATGTTGATAGCATTTGCTACGTACGTATCGAGTAGAATAAGGATCGGAACTCGGAAATCGGGACCTCAGCCCAACATCGGCTTGCCGAGAGCCCACCCATCATCACATGCAAATTCCAGTGTCTATCTATTTTATCCACTGGCTTGCAAATTATGAAGCCATTTGGTAGCACAAATTATATATCAATTATATATTGAGAAGGATCAGGAAATAACTAATCTTAGAATCATGGTATAAAGATTTTGAATGTTTTTATTGTGCGCATAAATGGCGCCGTCATCTAACTATTATATAAGGACTTCTCTTCATCTATGTTGGTGTTCGATGGTAGCCGTTTTAACAGTGTAGTTGCATGTTCAGAAGGCCTTTCGATGCCTTCTTGACGTAGATAGAAACCTGATTTTGCCACATTGTTGAGAAATATCTCAAGGGATTGTCATCCGAAAATTCAGAATTCGCTCCCCACTGAGAGATCGGTGGCTCGGTGCTTTGTTCTGACTTGAGCCTGCCTTTATTTGACTTGTCTCTGTACTGAATAGTTATCATCTTGAAAGCATTGATTCCTTGTATCTTCCCAGGAACATGACTGGTAATAAAGGCTTAAAACTGAACTTCCAAGGAAAACGGTTCAGGTATACCTCTATATAGACAGATCAATAAAAAGGCACATTAAATGACGTTCATTACTTCGTTAGACATGACACAAACATTAGGTATGTTCGACTTGAAATCCAATTGTAGGTTTCAGAGTGTCTTTGTTTGTATACAGCTTTGTGGATCTGCTAGGCGTTTGCTACCAAACTGATTCTAGTTTAATAGTTGTAGAAATTCCCTTTCAAATATCAGATCCCGCTGGATAGAGAGAGTGATCTTCTTTAAGCTGCAGGCCGCCACCACAGACTGGTGTTAATTCAAGTACACTCGTAACACATCTAACCGTAACTCACAGTTCGGCATTAAATAGCAATTGGGATTTAATAGTGTTGTGAAGAATCACTGGGCTTCCGTCAATCTCGTTTGATGGGTGGGGTCGTTGTTGCTTCCTATTATAACAATCTAAATGAATAATATTGAAATACCAGTGGGGAGCTTGTAGAAAGAGATGTCTGTGCTTGATTGCATGTATTCTTACCAAACCAATGCCAACTGACCATAACGGCTTCCAATCCCAGCATTGACGCCGCTTGGCCCGTCGAATTTTCTTCGAAAACTTCTGGAAAATGGATAAAGTTATTATATTGTCGATGAAGTTCGGCGTGTGTTGCGAGGCACGAGTGGCTAGTTCGTAGGTGTCGGTAAGTAAGGCCGGCTACCTGGAAGAGTATCATAAAGAAAATAAACCTGCTTAAGGCCCATAATGAAGCAGTCTCTATCCCAAAGTCTGGTACGCGGCTAGCAATAACCAATGAACATGTGATCGAACCTACCTTCATCGATGATCGGTGGATGCTTCCCTATAGAATGAACTTCCTTTTCAAAAAGCACAACCCCTATTATTGTTTTTCTGCAACGGAACCTTCATAGCTGCATTTTTCAGTGAAGGCTTCACGTAATTACAATGTCTAACAATCTTCTTTCGTTGCCGAACCAACTGTTAAATCAAGTAGTAGGCGAACTAGAGTACCCGGCTTGAATTGCACTTAGATGGTCATGTAAATTACTATACAGGCTTACCAGCTACGGTGGACATGCCAAGATTAGCGACAATACTTCAATGAAAAGAAGTTACACCATGATCGACCTCCTTGAGATTGAAAAATGGCCCTGTTACTTAAGGGGGCGAGAATATATCGGCGGTACAATGCAGCCAGAAGCAAAATGGACTTTTTTGCCGGTTGCTACTGTCTCAGGCTTCGGTCAGCAGAGTATTTCTCGAGCACAATGAGGAAGGGACACCGTGGAAAATTGTCTCCAACTCTCAAGAGAGGCGAAATCGTTTCTACATTCCTTATGGGTTGAAGTTCAGCCGGTATCTTCCAGGGACATGGATTCAGTTTGGCGGCGCGACAGGAGGACACGGACTTGTGTATCGTAGATGTGGCCGTTTTGGACAGGTCCAAGGTAGAACTGCATTTGAAGAAAGGACACGTGCCGCTTGCCTAGATAATTGTCAAGCCGTGGATGCTTACAAGCCTGATTGAGGAGCATATGGTAGAGTGAGGGCAGCATACAATTAGTATAGAGCAGCATGTAGTATTGGCAGCAACGTGACGGTGTGATTCGCTGTGGTTGAGCGAGCCTCGGCACCTGCAGCTAAGCCCGATGCAGATGTATCATCATCATCAACACAACCATCACATAGGGTGACAGGATAACAGGATGATATCGCAGAAAGTAGCTCAGAATCCTATCACGATGCAACAGCAGAATAACACGACTCAACATGAGGAGAGAAAAAGAAAGAGCTGGCTGAGAACGGACTAGCGCATTAATAATAGCCGCCGCGGCGTTATCAATCAATACTAACACCGAATCTTGGAGGGGTTGCGATAACTATAATTTATTTGAACGCGAATAATTAATTGCTGTGCTGACGTCCACCGTGATAATAATACCCCATTCTATTTTCATCGCATTGTTTTTCGTCGCATTATTATTATCATTATTACTATCATTATTATCTGGCCGACCAAGCGTAACGATTGCCTACCCACCTGCTGTGCTCCGCCCGCGCCTTCCGACGGCGCCCTTAAATTCTTCCTCCCACTCCACCTGTTCTTCTTTCTTCTTCTCTCCCCCTTCTCTCCCTCGTCTAGACGTATCGACCCTGATACATCCTTTCCACTCCGCTACACGGCTGTCGTGGCTGAAATGGTGGAAACAAAGATCGAAGACCGTGCCATCAAACTTTCACGTGAAGCTGTCGAGCTGGTCGATGCTGGCCACAAAGAGGTGCGTGCGGACCAGACATATCCCATCGCGCAAATACTAATACTACTCCTAATACTAATTAAATCATCTCTGCATATAGGCCGCCGCACGAAACTTACGCGAAGCACTCTCCCTTGCGCCCCAGAACCCTGAGGTCAAGGCTGCCTTTCTCAAAGTCCGCAGCGAAGAGGAGAGCGGGCACCCTCTGTTGGACTCATGCCGTCGATACGTCGCCGACAAAAATGAGGAAGCCGGAAAGGAAGCTGCACGGTACCTCCGCTCCGATGGTTTCAAGCCGTCGGAAACTGTTTCTCTACAGTGCCTCAACCTCATCTTGGCTCAAAATGCGGAATCCCTGTCCTCCACCCAAGACGACATCATCTCGGGCCTGGTTCGACAAAACCTTGGCGTACGACAACTATTTTCCTCACGCCTTCAGATTTCAGTGACCACCTTTTTCGACGAGATTTATCATCGAGGCGATGGTTCGGTGGTCTGTCTAGACACGGTCGTCCTTGATCCCACTTTATGGCCGTCGGAAGAGGTTCGATCGCACTGTGAAAGTGAGCTCTTCCAGCTCTTTATCGCAAAGCTGATGGAGTCAGGCCATGACCTTGATGGCCGGTCTTTGAAGGGGATAACCAGGCTTCTAGCTGTCAACGCACAGAAATTACAGCATCTTATTGATGATGAGGAGTTTGATGTTATTTTATCATCGCTTGATTACAGACTTCCGCTCGATGTTCGAAGTCAAGCGACTTTGGCAACTGCAAAGTATCTCGAGGTATCCAAAGATGTTGGTCAGAAACGCTTCTCACGTTTAATCACAGCCAAGGTTGCCAAAGCTCGTAACGACGACTTGATCGCCGCTTTTTCTGCCGCTGCTGCCGTTTTCCCCGTGGCCCCCGCAGTTACATCCTCACTTTTTCTGACCGAAGGCTTCCTCCAGTCCCTCGTACCCCTACTTCATCGTGAAGCGAAATCTCCCAAAGTCGAAGTTGCCCTTCTGGAATTGTTCAACGCTGCATGTCTGGATCAAACATGTCGCGAGGCAATAGGCAAGAACTGCGGCGAATGGCTTTCTCATGTCTTATCCAATGGATCTGATGCCAGTTCGGAGCTAGCTGCAGTAGTGCTGGCGAAAGTGAGAGCATCCGAAAAGAATGGTAATTCGGATTCAGGCAACAAGACATGTGAAGACGACAATAGCGTTCAACAGCTGGTTGATCGCTTCAAGGGCCAGATTTCGAGTGCGAAAGTCACTAATGTCAGCAACGTGATTGAGGGCTTAGCATTTTCGTCCGTGAAACCAGACATCAAGGAGCAGCTGACATACGACACGGTCTTTCTCAAAGGTCTCTTTGACGTTTTAATTTCACACTTAGACGATTCATCCTTAGTCTACGGAGGATTAATGATAATTGCTAACCTGACGAGATATTTGCCCAATCTATCAGAAGAGCAAAAGAAAATGTCGGAGCTCAAAGCCTATTCTGTAGCATCCAAAGCCTCTGCCACACCAAACCCACTCGACGACGACGAACATGTTACGGCACGTTGTAATACGCTGATTGACGCTAGCATCATGACTCTTCTCAATGACTGCGGCAAATCGAATTTGAAGTCTATCCATGATCTCTCTAGCAAGATTATTTTGTCCTTATCCAAAAATCCGAAATCTCGTGGGAAGCTTGCTCAGCAGGGATGCGTCAAGCTTCTTCTTTCGATCCTGGGTCCAAAGAGCGGCAGTCCTATTCCGAGTTTCAATGAAACTACGCAGAATGCATCACATGCGCTGGCTCGCATACTCATCTCTGTCAATCCGTCTCACGTCTTCCCCTTTTCCGGGTTTCCGCAGATCACATCAGCCATCAAACCACTGGTAGCCCTTCTGTCACCACCGGAAGCTACATATGCTGTGGGCCAGCCGCGCGACCTTCTTCCCGTATTCGAAAGCCTCTTGGCCCTCACGAACCTCGCATCTTCCCCAGACAGTACGGCAGCGGAGTCGATAGTGCGACATGCGTGGGACATTTTAGAAGATCTTTTACTATCTACCAATACATTCATCCAACGGGCCGCGTGTGAACTTATCTGCAATCTGATGACTTGTGAATCAGGGGTTGTGAAATTCGCGGATGGGTCGAAACGCGCTGCTCAGCGTCTGCATGTGCTACTTGCTCTCACAGATGTCGACGACGTCGCCACCAGGCGAGCGGCAGGAGGAGCACTAGCTATGCTTACCGAGTACGACGCAGCCATTGCAGCTGTCCTGGACCGACCACGCGGTGTCAATCTTCTCCTCGGGCTGTGTCAAGAAAACAACGACGACCTGGTGCACCGCGGGGTTGTTTGCATTCGCAATCTGACATGCACAGCTTCGGGCGACATTGGTAGTCGAGCCCGGGACGCAGTAAGGCAGAATAACGGAATCGACACGCTGAAGAGCTGCCTCAAGCGGTGTGCCAACCCTTCAATTCTGCAAGCCGGCGTGGAAGCGTTGAAACCTTTGGTGGAGCAGAGCGCAAAATAGCTTTGTCTTTATTTATTTTTTTTCTTCTTTCAGACGAGTCGTCAGTGTCGACCCTTTTTTCCTTCCCTCTTATTTGGCGTGATTTGCTTGGATAGCCATCTGAGACCAGATGTATGGCGTTACGGACATGATTTCGACCTGGCTGTTTCATATGATGAGTATTATGGAACGATTTACTGTAACAAAGTACGGGATTACTAGTTGCAACTTACAGGCGACAGTTAGATTTGAACCATGATGAAAATGACACGGCTCCCGCGTGCACCACATGCGACTGCCCATATACAGGGCATAAGATAAAATTGTATATATTGTCCTTGTTTGCGACGCGCTGCGCCCATCGACATTATTGTCATCATGTCACCTCTTCCTGCTTCTAGTTCCCTTCCATGACACGTTATGCTAATAATCGTACACTTGATGCGGCACGATTAGCATTTTAGCCGGCTCCGTGAAGGCCACAACTGATTTGAATATCTAACAATCTGGTTCTTGGATTCTTTTTATTCGCTTCAGTTCTAGACTGCTAACACCCCGCATTTCTCTTCCCAGCCAGAACCATGCAGCTCACCTTGGCGTCCAATCGGAAGCGCAAATTATTTGGGAGTCGTACAGGTCGATGCTGATGGCATCAAGAAAGGAGTGATGCATACTCCAAAAATATGCATATGACCTGTTTGCTGGAGATGGCGACACTCCTGCCCGAGGCGCGAAAGGCGTGGTTGGGCACCCTGAATCTCTGATTGTTCAATTCCAGCCCAATAAGATACCCCTACCCAGTGTCTGCTTGGCAACACTGTGTGCCGACTAAGAACGGCAAGAAACCGGATGCCTCCTATGTTATCTAGATTGCTGGATGTCCGTGTCAATGGTCACGAGGTGCATGGCACAACGCCCGACCTGGGGCTCCGAATGTGCTGGCAGCCACTGCATCACACAGCTGCAGAGTTGGTCGTGAGATGGACCGGAAGGAACCCGTTGTGATAGGCTGTGGAACGTTCTATGCCGGTGCTAATGCCAGCATCATTCCAGACTATGCCGACTTCACATAGGCGATGTGCGCAAATTCTCCGAGAACACTAAGAAGCTTGCAAAGGCTTTCGTGGAGCGAATTATCCGCGAAGAGTGCGAGGCCTCATGATCACCAACAGCTCCACGTATTGTGGCTATGTTTAGTAGCCCAGCAATAATTATTTTAATGGCAAAGCATCAAGGGCGGCGGTCAATACGAACAAAGAGATAAAAAGTTCTACAGCCAATATTCTCGCATTTCGTGGACTCTCTCCCTGTCTTATGCCATTCAGTCAAGAACTACAAAATACATCTTCAGTAGGGGAGCTTGTTCCCATTCCATCTCAGAAACTCCTGGAGATGTCAACAGTAGCTTTATGTATGACCTTAACCATCCCCTTTAACGGACTGTTCCATGTCAGTATTGCCCACCTACTGAGCTTGGTCGGGATGGCTCCTGGATCGAGCGCGAGCATGGTGATGTTGGAGTACGTCGCTTTCACCTGGTGCGCAATGGTGACTGTTTCCATATTCAACGCCGCTTTTGCAGTGCGGTAGCTAATATACTCTCCGAAATCATTATTTGTGGCGCAATTTCGGAGTTAGCGATCATAACTGCTATGGGTGCCTAATACGTACCGGCAAGAGATCACCAAGAGTTAATGTTAATGACTTTGCCCTCCTCACTTTTCTTGAGGCTGGGGAGGAAGTATTTCGTAGCCAGAAGAGGGCCCTGTCCAAACAAGATTAGATGATAGACTCTGAGCGAGGGAAAGGTGACTTTTAGCTGCGAATCACCCCGGTCATTACACGAAACATGTTGACCACGTGCTCGACCGTTGTCTCTTCCCAAGAAGCTGGAAGAACCTCGAAGCCCTCTTTTGGTTGGGCTTGTGCATTGTGCAGGGCAGCCCATACCGGCACAGTTAATCAGGATTTCCAGAGGTTTATCCTCGCCGTATGCCTTCGCCGCAGCTGCAATGCTAAACTCACTAAGATAGTCAAGGTCAATGATCTTAGCGCTAGTTGCCTCTAGCTACCCGTACATATTATTAGCAGACAGCCCTCAATCCTGTTTCCTGATGAAGAAGCCATGGGGGAAGAAGGAGAGGGAAAGGCTTGCATCTTGAAATGAGGCGTCAGATCTAGTCTCAGGTCTCATAGTGCCAGAGACCATCCATCCGCGCTTGGCAAATTCCTTGACTAGATTAAGCCCAATGCCTCGATTGGCACCTGAATAAATATTTAGCGTTTGACATATTCGGTAAGCAGAGACCTCAAATGCTAGAATGGGGTTGAAACTATGACGAGAAGGCTGGGTGATGCCATTTTGTTTGGATATAGTCTTACGGGTTGATTGGGGAAATTAACGGTCCGATAAGGAAACCCCCAATGGCGATATCAATTGATATAGAGAAAATGCAGAAGAACACCTAGAATCCTGGCTAGCTTGGTATGTTTATAACAGCTTTCAATGTTGTATATGTAGAGTGGCCTGAGCGATTAGTTCCACCAGTCGAATACGCGTAACATCAATAGAGATTGGAGATTTCCTTGCTACGACAATACACATGCTGGACATAGTAAACATCAGGAAAGTCTTGTGGAACGATTGGTATAGAAAAAGCTCACTTTTTAAAAGCACACGAAAATATGATTGGACAACCAAGGATACATTACGAATATACTAGTAAAACAATAGGTTAAGGAGTATACCTTATTCACAACATCATTGGCGGGAATAAGACACATGTATGCTATATCTCCCTATATATAATTAAGAAAGGGTAACAGGCAGGACGTGACGGTGTTTTTAATGTTAGTTAGATTTTATATTCTAATTAAAATACCTCATCCTTATATCTAAGATCTTTATTAGCTTTATGTGGCAAGCTCTATAAAATTTTCCATTAACCAGCTGCTATCTTCTGAGTGGGACCCCTTATAATGTTGATTGAAGTCGCTTCGGATTCTCCTGGATCTGTTTTTCTGAATAACAAGACCTGTCCTCTGAGACGAGACTTCGTCTTAGTTCCTGAAATTTCATAGTCTAGTGAGCGCCAAATGTGGAACAATTAACCGAGGCCAAAGACTACGGTACCCAAACATTACTTCGAGAAGTCAGGATATTGGCCACCTCGATAGGCATCAACATGGAATGGGCCCGCTCAGGTGCCAGCCCTTATCGAATGAGAACATTTGGGCAGAGTCCCATGCTTGTTGGCGTATATCGCAGAATTCATAACTGCATTTCCAATCCAGTGAGTCACGACGTTGGCAAATCGTTCTTCAGCATAGTCATTTTCATGAACTAGAGTATGACAGATGAGGTGTATGTATTAGATTATCCATTGTCCTCAGAAAGGTCACATGACACAGTGATATATACTAGTCTTATTCTGGAAAGCTCGTCACCTGACTGCTCGTCACGAGCTGGTATGCTGAGGCTTCACAAATGTAGTTAGTGAATCACGTGACTATACACATATACTAGTATAAGTAAATTTAATTGGTCATGTGACCGAGATTTATATAGTTATCCTGCTTTACTATAACGTCATTCTTAGAGTGCTTCAATGTTACAATTGTCCTTATGTGGTTTTTTGCCTACGCAAATCTAGAAACATCCCTCAATAACTGATTACATACCTACATAATCATATGCATTGTTCCCTATCAGTCACGCTGGCTTATCTCGGCGGCACGCCGTGTGGCTGCACGGGCAAAGCTGATAGGCGCACACGCAGAATCATATATTTAGCATAGTTGAATAGATACACATGCATCAATTGATATCATCTCAAATCACAGCGCAGCCAGCATGCACGCCGTGACTGTTCCCCGCCGCCCCTCCTTAGTATTCTGTAGTAGTATGAATATTAATATTATTAATTATTATTAACTGCTCTCCACCGCCCTTTGAGTACGCGGCTGCTATTGGCTTGCCTTGACTGGGCCTGCAAACCTTGCACTCGCGGCTGCTAATTGGCGCCTCGGCTTCCACAATTCTGCTGATCGCCGGAGGAAGGAGCAAGCACTCTGCAAGTCAAGTTCGTTCGTTCGTTCTTTCTATCTTCGTCCTGCTCTCATCCTTATTCTTCCAATCATTCCTGTCCATAGCTGCTATTGACTCTGCGTGACTCATCATTTGGTACACTGACCTGGTCGCGATCAGTTGCTGGCCAACCCTTGCCATTCCATCCTACTAAAGCCAAGCAAGAACATCTCCATACAAAGAACATACCCCTCCAACACATCTCCAGGTCTGCTGTCGATAAAGGAGCATTGACCGATCGGCCATCATCCCAACCCTCGGTTCCCTCACAATGCGAACAATCTAGACATGGATTCTCCTTGTACCGATCACTTCCCTTTCCTTTCTGTCACAGTTCGCATCCGTTTACGTTGTCATATTTGATCTCGTGTACACTGTTCATTGAACGAGAACCGCGCCCTGTATTTTCTGTACCCTCGTCATTGCAGCCGAACCCTGAAAACTTGACTTGATCAACATGAAGTTCGGTCGCAATCTTCCGCGAAATGTCGTTCCGGAATGGAGCTCTTCCTACATCAATTACAAAGCCCTGAAAAAGCTCATCAAATCTGCCGCAGAAGACCGAAAGGCTAGAAAAGACGCTGATCTTGTGGGTGAGTATTGCATGCACTAGTCAGCCTTGTGGATTGTAATGCTAACAGTACCCACCCAAAGGCTTTTTCTATTCGCTTGATCGAAATCTGGAAGATGTAGACCATTTCTACAATAAGAAGCTGTCAGACTTCACACGACGACTGAAGCTATTGGAAGACCGTTTTGGCCATTCCATGGCCACTGGTCAGCGACTTGATGCAGAAGATGCTGGAGATCTCATGGCCGCCTTGCTGGAGCTGCGTGGCCAGCTCCGCAAGCTGCAGTGGTATGGTGAGGTTAACCGCCGTGGTTTCATCAAGATCACCAAGAAATTAGACAAAAAGGTTCCAGGTGCTGAGGCACAAAAGAGATACCTCGCTATGAAAGTGGACCCGTCTCCGTTTGCAACGAATGCGCAGCTCACACAAGCACTCGGCACCATCAATGAATGGCTATCTATCCTTGGTGACCGCACAATTCCTGACGACGCCAGTTCTGTCAAGTCAGCCTTGTCGTTGAAGCGAGTCTCGTCCCGGCCTATTCTGAATCTGCCTCCAAGTTTACTCACAGCAGTCGACGAGGCGCTCCGAAAAGACGATACTGATGTACTGCTGGAGCTGCTTGAGACGCTGAAAATTGCCGCTGACGAACAAGGCGAGCTTGTCTACACGTTGGTGCTGAAAAATTTGCTACAACGTGCCATTACTTGCCGATCTAAAAACTCGATACAAGTTCTACTAGGGAAGATAGACTCCCTTGTAGATGAAGACGATATTAATAAGAGAAATTGTATTCATCGGCTTGTTATTTCAATCGGCAGAAATCAGTCTACCTCGGACTCTGAGCAACTTGCTAATGGGGTTTTGGAGTTTCCAGTCGAGTCAAACTACATTACACCTGCGGCTGCTCCCAGCTTACAACCCCCAAGAAATGTGGTGAAGGAGGCACATCAAACCCAGCTATTGACAAAGGACAATGAGGCTGTGAGCCTTCTACAATATCTTCTAGACCACCTACGGCCCCACCAACGTGGTGACCTTTTGGCAAAAGACATTTCCGGCAGGACTCCTCTTCACTACGGAGCCCAATACGGGTTCAGAATTGTGTGTGAAATCATCATCGACCACTTGCAACAATGGGACTTGTTTGATGTTTCCGAAGGTATAGACTGCCCGAAATGGCAAGACTATGAAGGGTGGGCGCCTTTGCATTTGAGTGTGGTCGGGGGACATCCTTTGACGACTAAAGCTCTTTTACAATCCGAAAATTGGAAAGGTGGACTTACTGAGGAAAAGGCTGCCATTAGGAAACATGTGTCCAAGTCTAGCGCCGTCCTAGCGATGGCAGTGAAGGAAAACTTCATTGATATCGTTGAACTATTGGTTGAGGCGGGAGTCGACATCAATTATCAAGATGAACAAGGCGAGACCGCTTTACATGTTGCCGCTCGGTTTAACCATGATCAGTGCGCACGTATCTTACTTGATGGGTCCGCACACCAAAAGGCTGACACTGAGTTGGCTGAATCTACATATTCGTGGACCCCCTTGTTCATTGCTTGCGTGGACGGTTCTTTAGCCGTTACTGAATTATTGATCAACGCAGATGCTGATTTGGAAAAGCCCGACTCATCAGGTTGGACGGCGAAAGAACATGCTGCGCTGCGAGGACATCTTAAAATTGCCAAACGGCTAGCAGAAGTCACCCCACAGCCGGAGCTCACCGAGCCTGAAGTGACTGTGCCGGTGCCATCTACCTTGTCTAATTCTTCTTCGCCTCCGTCATCATCTCTGGTAGAGCGCAAGTCCAACAACGCGAATGGCAACCCAGGGAGTCCTGGGTTACGGGCTACTGAACCTCTTAAATCTTTTGGACACAGGTACCTCACCGACGAGAGTATGGTCCTTGTCAGTTTAGGTACCATGGACACGAGAAAAACCGTGCCTGCTGTGAGTTTAGACCAGATACCAATTGCAAGTGCTCACTCCACACAACTTGATACTGCACTTTCTATTGTCGTATCTGCCAGCGGCGCTCACGGAGAGCCGGAAATTATTGATCTGCCAATTCAAGACAGTATCGCCACCGAACCCATCACGTTCTACTCCAAAGATCCTGCAAGTGTGAAGCTTCTGTTTGATCTTGTCCCGACCTATGCAGGCTCCACAAACCAAATCGTGGGACGTGGAGTTGCACTTCTTTCTAGCATTAGGACAAATGTGGGTTCCAACCGTATGAGTTTGCAAGGCGACTTGGCTATACCAATCATTGCGGCCAACACCCTTGAAGTCATTGGCACACTGACGTTTAACTTTTTGATCATTACTCCTTTTCGTCACCCAAAAATGACGGTTAACAACCAAACGTATTGGAAAACTGTCACCGCACCCATGGTGATAGGACATCGAGGTGATTTTCGGAATACCCCTTGAGCGTCGTTTGATCTCCTAACCCCTGTTTTAAGGTCTTGGGAAAAACCTTGCAAGTCGCAAATCTCTCCAGCTTGGCGAAAATACTATTCAAGTATGTATTCGATTTTCACACTATTTCTATATCTTGCTGATTAATCTTGTTTAGTCATTCATTGCTGCAGCGAATTTGGGCGCGTCATATGTTGAGGTAAGTTTGGACAACCTGACAATTTTAGATTTGAAGTTGCTAATATACTGTCTAGTTTGGTAAGAACGATTTTCCATATCACAATAACTAAACTAAGAGACGTAGATGTGCAACTTACCAAAGACCACGTTCCTGTTATATACCATGACTTCCTTGTCAGTGAAACCGGGATTGACGCTCCTGTTCACACTCTTACCTTGGAACAAGTAAGTCTTCTACCACACCAACCGCGTTCTGACTAATAGTTTGAAGTTCCTGCATCTCAGCAATTCCAGTGCAAAACAGTCCGATCTCCCGTTTCGCGGATTTGAGAATGGAACAGGTCGCCCGCGTGCGATGTCTGTTGGAGGTTTCGAGTACGACGCTTCTGACCTCAGTGAAAAGATGAAGCACACGCGTGATTTCAAGACGAAGGGTTTCAAGGGAAATACACGTGGAAATCACATCCAAGCTCCATTCGCTACTTTGGAGGATCTCTTCAAGAAACTTCCAAACAATGTTGGATTTAATATTGAAATGAGTAAGCTCTGCTCCCGGTGAGAGACAGCACGAAAACCTGACCATGTTATCAGAATATCCTTCACTGTACGAAAGTGAAGAAGAGGAAATGGATACCTATGCCGTGGAGCTCAACTCCTTCGTCGACACAATCCTCAAGCAAGTGTACGAGCTAGGTGAAGGCCGGAACATGATCTTCTCCAGCTTCAACCCGGACATCTGCCTGCTTTTGTCCTTCAAACAGCCTTCAATTCCGGTCCTCTTTTTGACCGATGCCGGTAGCAGCCCTGTCGGCGACATTCGTTCAACCAGTCTCCAAGAAGCGATCCGCTTTGCGTCTCGATGGAACCTCCTCGGTGTAGTCTCGACTGCTGAGCCATTCGTTCTTTGTCCACGTTTGGTACGTGTCGTAAAAGAATCCGGACTTGTCTGTGTATCCTACGGAACATTGAACAACGACCCTGAAAACGCCAAGGTAAGAACTCCAAAAAATCACGACGCCTAACCATGGCTTGGTCATACTAAAAGTATTATTTTATCTAGCTCCAAGTCGCCAAAGGCATCGACGCTGTCATCGTCGACTCAGTTCTAGCGATTCGAAAGGGTCTCACTGAAAGCCCCACCCCCAAGCCTTCACCGCTGGCTATTGCGGAGAAAGTTACGGAAGGGCTGCAGTCCACGATTGATGTTAGTACATTGAGCTAATTAATTGATATGTGGCTTCTGGTGTCAAGTGTCGGTGTCAAGTGTCAGTCTCAAGAACCATCAGGCTAGTTTAGGGCTATGGCTTGAATAAAAGTTTGAATTTATTTTTAGTAATATACGGTTAATCATCTCGTACGGTTAACCTAACAATGTAGAATGTCAACCAGGTAGAATTGCAGTTGTAAAATTGGTCGAGGTGGTGAATATCACACAATATTGATGGGCGTAAATCTGTGAGCCTTCCAGATAGATTCCACAATGCCACAATGAAGTAGAGAAGAGATCTAGCCTATGTAAAACTATTCAGGGTACGTTAAATTTAAAGCTCAAGGAAGATCATAAACTTCTCGAGAATAAATATGAACATATATACACCTCGACAACTCAATTTGGCATTATACCCAACAATCTTTTATTAGGGGCTAGAAACCCTATTTAACCCGACTCAAACCAAACGAATTATCACATCAAACACCCCTCCTTGATGCTCGAATGCATCTCACTTATCGCAACCCTAACCCGTCGGTACCCATTATTATTCTCCTTCCGCTCTGTTTTCCCGGCCCCGGGAGAGGCTACTCTTGCACCGCTCATGACCGGTGTAGTACTGCGCTGAGGACTCGAGATGCCGCCGCCCGAGAAATTGGCTGTGCGGTCGAGTCGGAATACTTCAACCATCCATTCATACCATACCTTCCGGTTGTCGGTTTGCCGGAACATGGTGACGACGATTTCGCCGTTGTCGGGGATGTACAGCGGAGTCTGGGGTAGACAATTTTTTTAAGTAACATATAGGTATCAAAGTGTTTATGTGGCATGATGGGAGTACTTACTTTCAATGGAAAGTATATCGGGAACCAGCTAATCATGCCATCGCTCTTATTCTCCATTGTTACCGGATTGGTAGACAGTTCAATATCGTCGTAAAGCACTGTTTCGAAATATCCGGCTAGGCCATGGCACATGCCGCGGTTCTGGCACGGGAACGTGAGGCGGCTTTGACGGGTGTTGTGCTCGTTGAATATTGTCGATGATGTTGTCGATTGAATGGGGATGTTGGGGTTGTGGTGCGAAAAGGACCATGCGGTATGGACGATAGGTATGGGGGCTCGAAAACAGGTGGAGGGGTAGCAGTCAAGGTTCTTGGAGCGGTTACGCTATTGCTGCCTATGCTACTACTCATATGGGTTGCAGGGTTTGCTGTTGAAGATGAAGTGGTTGAGAGATAGTCGATCGCATGGAGCATGACCACGTATGGGGTCTCAGGGGCAGCAGAGTTAGATATACTCTGCGTAGATATGTCGGCATACAGCTTTGGAGCAGCGATAGGGGTCAAGTGTGCGGAGTAAGACGAAGGGATTGAAATGCCATGTACGGGGTTTAACAAGTGCGTCACACCGTCCAAGCATTCTGGAGACAGTTCATTGTCCCCAAAAGACCCAAGCAGTTCGGATATGAGAATATCGACAGGCGTGTGTTTGAATTCACCAGTGGCCTGATTTGGCTCAAGAGACGTTGAGAGTAGAGCATCATCGAGGCCCAGGGTCTCTCCCACTGGGACCTTTGATTGTGAGTGATTAATTTCCCTACATGGGCCTTTCCAGCTGCGCATGTCTGATTTGACGAGGTTAACGGCCCCGTTCCAGATGCTATCATTATGGCGTTGGAGGAGAACAAAGGCATTAGGATTTTTCTCAACTGCCCACATCTCAATTTTGACTCCTGTCTCCGCACTGGCACGCAAGGCGCGTGTTACGAGAGGGCCACGTCCAGCTCCGACAACAGCGACGACAACTTTGCCGTCCGGGCTCGAGGTTGGCTTTTTCTGCTCCATCCAATCATTCAAAGCCTTTGCAACAGCTCGCTCGTACCATGCATATTTGATTGGATCCTTTTCAAAAACCTCGTAAGTAACGCTCTCTAGATTGACCGTCAATGGTTGCAGGGGTGCCTGTAAATAATCTTGGTATCCTGTGCCGAAACGCTCGATAGGAGTTCGAGGAGGTTGCCGTTGTTGAAGGTTTCGCATGTAAGATAGGTGAGGGGTTTGATCGAAATGCTTCTTTCCTTGGTTAACTGCCTGCGTTATAGTAGGGAAGTTCGAGCTATCAGCAGGAGAATTCACTGGGTGAAATTCGTCATCGCCATCCAAGCCAGGTACAGGTCCAACATCGCAAAGCAAAATCCAAGGTGGCGTACGCAAACGCATGAATCTAGAGATGAGAGCTTGATGTGCTCTAGCTAATACTGGGTACCCTTTTTGATTCTTAATGAAAATTGCCCCTTCGATAGTTAGTAGGTGGACTGGCTCCGAAAACCACCTAGTCTGCACTTGAATGGGCGGAAGATGTTTTGGAAGAGTTAGAGCTAGAAGAAAAATATTAGTAATGCGTAAACTAAGTAATAATTAAGGGGCAATACCGATAAACAATCTCGAATGATGCTTGCAGGTGGTTCTGATGATTTCCCATGCATCCCAAGTCCCAAAAAGGTCAATCTTCCCAGGCACATCGTTGTCAGACACTGAAAAATCTTCCCTAGCGAACGGAGCAAGCTCGCCCATGGCTGTTACCTCTGCCTCTGGATTGTCCACCATCCTCAACCAGATGTGGATCTGAATATAGGGGGCAACACTCAAGGCTTCTTGTACAGCCCTAGAATAGTACATGAGACCTTCGGAATGAAGCCCCCCATGATGGAGCCTAGGACCGGGAATAATCAAATAGTTAATACCACAAAATGCTGCATAGGCAACCTCTAGCATCAATATCTGGCGAGAAACATCTGCGATCAAAGGATCTGGTGAGCACAGATCAATCCAGGAACTGGTGATGCCAACTACTTGGCTAATTAAGTCGTTTGGGGTAAGAGTCGTATCCACGGCCGACAAAGGAGGCACCGTGAGAACTTTGGTATTGCGAGAGTTGTTGAGTGTGCCAACTGCGTCCCGATATGGTATTTCCGATGAAGACAGATGTGAGGAGAGTAGAGCAAGCACTTGGGAATGGAAGTGCGAAGTCGTTATGGGAGTGGTCAACATATCATACTAAGATATGTCAGACTCGCCGTCAAATACAATGGATTGTAACGAAAACCTACATTGCTTCTGTGTGCGCTTTGAACAGCTTGTGGTGTTACAGGAACCAAGCGGTTGGTTTCATGTTGGCCGATACAGAAGGTCTGAACCATATCGTCGGTCTCTGGAACGGTCTCCATCTTGCTGGACTCGTTATGCTGTCTCGATCAAGGCAAAATGACAAGTTCAACGACCTTAGATAGAAATGCACTGCTGAGGCTTGTTTAAAGGGCGATGCTGGTATGGAACATCTAATTTGGGATGTGGGATGGAGTCACACAATGACAGACATTGTAGGAAGCACACAGCTAGCTGATGATTCTGGCTTAATTGGACGTATTGATATTATGGGACTACTAACATGATTAGTCGGCGCAATACGATGCAAAGCAGGCCCTCGCTATAAATACTCATACGGCCCCAAGTTATCAAGGGATACAAGGGTCAAGCCCTTATCTCCATCGTGTAACAGAGGGGCATGCAGTACTCACTCCTTGGACAGTCGTTGGCGATCAAAAGCGGAAAATTAACAGCCCTTCTTCTTCGTCTTTTCGCCTTCTCCTCCTTCGTGTCGGGTTGCCGCTGAGGATGGGAGGGGAGGGATGAAAGAGAGGAGAGAGGAGAGGAGAGGGGGGGTAAACAGGGTATACAGATAAGTCTTGCAAAATTCCCGCGCAGGTGCCTGGATCCTGCTGCATCGGGCAGGCGGTGACAGCGATAAGCAGTGGCGGCCGTGTCCGGGGCTCTCTCTTTCCTTATCCAATAATTTTTTTCCTCCTCTGAAACTCCCCGTTCACAACCACCACACCGTTCCTCTCTCTCTCGCACCTCACAGCTATGGTTGATAGACGTTCTGGTTCCGAAGACGGAGCGCGTGCTAAGCGACAGAAGACGGACAAATCCGAGATGGATCCTCGCAGCAATCCCTACCTTGCTCACATGTACCCCGAGCAAAATGGCAACGGGGGCTCTAGAAACAATGCGTTTGCGAAATTTACGAGGCATCAAACAACTGCTGCTCTCGCCGCGGAGGCTGAGGATGCCGATGTGAATCCTTTTAGCTCGCAGCCGTTTTCCTCGACGTATTTTTCCATCCTGAAAACTCGGCGCAATCTACCCGTTCATGCGCAGAGGTGGGTAGACTTGGCTCTCAGTCCTTAGGCTTTTATTTAGCTAACGCAATGACACCAGAGATGAATTTTTGCAACTATACCAGAGGTCACAGATCCTCATCTTTGTCGGTGAGACTGGTTCCGGAAAGACAACACAGATTCCGCAGTTCGTCCTATTTGATGACCTTCCTCAAGCTCAGCGCAAGATGGTCGCATGTACACAACCACGTCGAGTCGCCGCGATGTCTGTCGCGCAACGTGTCGCTGCTGAGATGGATGTAAAACTCGGCGAGGAGGTTGGTTACAGCATTCGTTTCGAAGACATGACGAGCCCCAAGACAATCCTCAAATATATGACTGACGGTATGCTTCTCCGAGAAGCTATGAATGACCACAACTTGCAACGCTACAGCACAATTATTCTCGACGAAGCGCACGAACGTACAATGGCTACAGACATTCTGATGGGTTTACTGAAGGAAGTGGTCCAGCGTCGACCTGACTTGAAGATCATCATCATGTCCGCTACCCTTGACGCGCAAAAGTTCCAACGCTATTTCAATGACGCCCCGTTGCTTGCTGTTCCCGGAAGAACACATCCGGTAGAGATCTTTTATACTCCTGAACCAGAGCAAGACTATGTTGAAGCCGCCATCCGCACCGTGTTGCAAATCCATGCGACTGAGCCGGAAGGCGACATATTGCTGTTCTTGACTGGTGAGGAAGAGATTGAAGACGCAGTTAGAAAAATCTCCCTGGAGTCGGATGAAATGGTGAGAGAGGCCGATGCAGGCCAAATGAAGGTCTATCCACTCTATGGTAGTTTACCTCCCCATCAGCAACAACGCATCTTCGAGCCTGCGCCGCCACCGCGTAAACCTGGTGCGCGTCCTGGCCGCAAGTGTATCGTGTCAACCAATATCGCCGAGACGTCGCTTACTATTGATGGTATTGTCTACGTTGTCGATCCTGGATTCTCCAAACAAAAGGTGTACAACCCTCGTATCCGTGTCGAGTCCCTACTAGTGTCACCAATTTCAAAGGCATCTGCGCAACAAAGAGCCGGTCGTGCTGGTCGTACTCGTCCTGGAAAATGCTTCCGTCTCTACACCGAAGGCGCATTCAAAAAGGAACTAATCGATCAAACCTATCCGGAAATTCTTAGATCCAACCTTTCTTCTACTGTCTTAGAGTTGAAAAAGCTGGGTATCGACGATTTGGTACATTTCGATTTGATGGACCCCCCAGCGCCAGAGACACTGATGAGAGCTCTGGAAGAACTCAACTATCTCGCTTGTCTTGATGACGATGGCAATTTGACCGCCTTAGGACGTCTAGCATCCGAATTCCCTCTTGACCCAGCCCTTGCGGTCATGCTGACGACATCGCCTGAATTTTACTGCTCGAACGAAATCCTATCCATCACGGCGCTTCTCTCCGTTCCGCAAGTGTTCGTTCGCCCGAATGCTCAGCGAAAGCGAGCCGATGAGATGAAGAATCTATTCGCTCATCCAGACGGAGATCATTTGACATTATTAAATGTCTATCACGCTTTCAAAGGCCCAGAAGCTCAAGCAAACCCCAAACAGTGGTGCCACGATCACTTTTTGTCCCTTCGTTCTCTCCAATCAGCAGACAATGTCCGACTTCAATTACAGCGAATTATGGAACGGGAGGAGGTCGAACTAGTCTCCACCCCATTTGAGGATAAGAAATACTATGAGAATATCCGACGGGCACTAGTGGCAGGCTTTTTCATGCAGATAGCAAAGAAAGACACTGGAGGGAAGAGTATGTACACGACCGTGAAGGACAACCAGCACGTGTTGCTACACCCCAGCACAGTTCTAGGCTATGATGCCGAGTGGGTTCTGTATAATGAATTTGTTCTTACTACAAAGAACTATATTCGAACTGTCACATCTGTTAAGCCTGAATGGCTCCTGGTAAGTTTTCTAATCATCGGATTTTTCTGCATGGGCAAAGTTCTAATTGATCGTAGGAAATCTCGCCTGTCTATTACGATATATCGACATTTCCAAAAGGAGATATCCGGTCTGCACTTTTGCGTGCTGGTGACAGACTTGCTCGCAAAGAGAAGATGCGCAGTGATTCAAGCAAGCGTCGGTGAATGAAGTAACTTTGGTTGTAGATAATGTTCTGCCTGGATAGATTGGTCCATATAGAGGAGATGCAAGAATATAGTTATGATTGATAGGAATTGTGAGAAAATTAGCGTGCAGAATCAAGCCTGCTCTGTGTTTCCTACTACATACAATGTTATATCTATACAGATATGAATATTTGACAATTCGAAATTTGGCAACAACAGTTGTTCCAATTCAACATAATGTGAAAGGGCTAGATTACAGAATATCACGATGACGAGATAGACGATGCACGCATTCGTTCTTGTTCATCTTGAAGGTGCAAAGAATCTGACGGACTAAGTTTTTCAATTCGTGAGTAGATCAAGTCTAGCTCTCTTCGAAGATTGCTCAGCTCTTCTCTAGTATCAAAAGAACTAGGTAGCACAGTTTGCGATTGCTCTCGGGTTTGTGACTTGGGCTGCCCGCGCCGCATTAAATCGACTTTGGAATAAGCCTCCCTGTATTCTCGCTGAAATTCCCTAGTATTGTCGTGATGGTTTTCATGTAATTGCGTGACCTTTTGTTCGGTAAGGGCGACAAATATAGCACACTTTTCAGGAGGGAGCTGCTCCTGATCTTTTACTTGAAAGTTCTCCTGTACCTTTGCCCATTTCTCATAAATGAAAAGCAAGTATCCCGAGTCTGCTGGTCTGTGGGCGGTGCGGCAGTCGAAGCCACTTCGTACAGCGGCATGAATCAGTGCGGATGACAGGTCTTCTTGACCACAGCGCTCGCAAAAGTCGGTCATGTATAGTATGAGTCTTGCAATACGCTTCTCTTCCAAATCTGTTGATGAGGTCAGAAAATCCAAAGCTCTGAGCAGAGTGGAAAATCCATTCTTTAAGTCTCTTCGAATGGCGTAAAATCGTAAATATGAAGAAAGTGTATCAAAGTTGTCAACGAATCCTTGCGAGCGAGCAACGTGTAAATATGCCTCAGCCTTTTCGGGTTGGTCAAACCGGAGGGCCGTCATGATCAGGCTAGTGAGAATAACTGGGTTAAATGTGCTCAAAGGAGGTATACTAATTTCAATGCTGTTCACAGTCTTTTTCCTCCAAGTTGTTCTCAGATTGACAGAGTACCCGCCTTCGCCACGGAGCATTTGAAGAAACTGGTCAAAATCTTTGAGATTCTTAGTTTTGCGGAAGTGAGAAATTATGGTGATTATTAACGGGGTGCTGAAGTGAAAAAGGTTCGGGATCAAGCATTTCAATACGATGTCCACCAAGTCGTTTTGATGTGTTTTGCTAAACGCGGAGATGAGCATCGTGAAAGCCGAAGAACGATCTGGTTCTTCACACGATGTCATGTTGTCGGCGACTTTTAATAAAAGCTCCTGAATTTGCATCCTTCCTTGCAGATATAGTTTGATATCGCGTTTGAGTAGGTGGTCGTATTTTTCACGTGCATTGCGGCGTGCCGCATCTAACTCCTCAATCCCGATATTTTGCATTAAATCATCGTAATTAGATGCTTGGACATATTTCAAAGAATACAATCGACGACGCAGAGTTTGGAGTCGACTAAGTAAGACACTAGGAGGCCGATCTAGTGATTCGTCTCGATAATAGTTTACTGGTTGTCCGGAGTAATCATGAACGATAGATGGTCGAAGCAACAGTCGATACACAAGTTGCTGTACGGCAACTTTTTGTATGGCCTTTATCCGAGTAATGCTCGCTTGTTCCCAAATAAAATCTGGCTCTGGTCGTTGGATTAATTGATCCAAGTCTGCTAGTTCTTCCTCTATTTCGAAATCACCATCCACAGTTTCTTCTCCAACGATCCTATCCTCGATTTCCTCGACTTCACTTAGTTCAATGTGGGCGTTCCTGAGCTCGGCAAGTCCATTTTGTGAGTGTGCGCCGGTTGACAGATAGCGCTTAGCCAGAATGCCCTCAACTCCTGTTTCACCACCAACATGAGTCTGCGAAGACAATAAAGGCGATTCTCGTGTGCGTTTCACTCGGTCGGACGATCCGAAACGTGCAAAAGCACTGAACAGTCGAGTTTGTGTATTTTGTAAAGCATTTCGTGCTGATAGCACCTCCAATATCCGACGCTCCTCGTCGATCAACTCGTCGACCTCCTCCTTAACAGCCGCAATCTTATCGGCCCATTCTTGACGGCGTTTTTGCTTCGCTTTGGCATCTGCAATCGCGGCACCTGCGAATATGCTCGAGTACAAAGCAGTCAATGCATTGCCTACTCGTAGGCTTCGCCGGCCAGCGCCTGCAGTCGTTGCAGGGCGTGACGCAATTTCATTCGCGGCAGTCCTCAAGCAAGCAACGCATTTGCAGCTGGACGACGGCAAGCGTGCGGTTCGAGACCAAAGACCCTGCATTATACCATCGTCCCTGGGGTACACAGGTCAATTGGTAATGTTATCGAGTCCAACGATGGCGAAACCCACCGTTAATTGGGCATGCTGGAGCAGTCTGGGGATTCGACGAGAATTGGCGAGGTCTGAAGACACAAGCCGGGAAAGCCCTTTCCGGTGCACGTGCATACAGTGCAAACAGGGATGCGGCGTAGATCAGGATAGCCATTGCACTTCCAACTGTCACTGCCACTGCCTTCGTTAATGGATGAACGTCGAACGGTCTGTCTATAGTTACGATATTGTGGAATTGACAGCAATCAATTGTCAAAATGCGCGGCATCGTCCCAGCGCTACTTGGATTGGCAACTGTTGCTTACAGCCACGGTAACCACCAAGGTGGTGCTGATGTGGAAACCGATTGGGCCACGAGGCACATGAAAGGTACGCTTAACGCCAAAATACAGGTTACAAACAACGCTGCTGTTGGCGATTATGGACGTCGTGCTAATGACCAATCTTCCAGAGGAACATCACATTGACACCTTCGACGCCGGCTCATTCTTCGCTCTACACGACTACGACAATTCTGGAGACTGGTCGCCTGATGAAATTCGCAAAACATACGGTCTACAAGACCCATCCAATGCCCATGTGACCGAGAGCCAAAAAGAAGCATTGGTACGAGACGTCTTGAGCCAATTTGACCCTTCCGGCACTGGTGAAATCACCCGCGAAGAATGGATTCGTCAAACCCAAGCTGGTAAAAGACTACCCGACTTCGGATACGGCCCTGGACACCATGGCGATATCGAGTATGAGTATGAAATCCATCATTTTGAGCAATTCCACGGCGAAGATGCCAAGGAGGAAGACTTGACGCATCCCGAAGATATTGAGCATTTCAAGCTGCACGACGAGTTGGAATTGGCCGAGCAGAGACTGGGGCAGCTGGAGAGAATGCAGATCGTTGATTCGAACATTCCTCAGAAATTTCTACGCATTCAATGATCTGCGTTAATACAGCTTTCCCTTTGCTCGTTATGATTGTACATATGGGTGATATACCTCGAACGTGTATATTGATGATGATAAGCTCGGATGTATGATAGAGTTTCGTTATACAACAATTGATATGGCATTATCATATCTGTAGCTGCGTTGCTTATTAGAGAATCGAAATAAACACAGCACTCTCTTGTGCCGTTGTTGTTAGCCAGCAGACCTGCCGTCAATATGCATTATTATTTGTATGGCCATGTCTGCTTATCAAACTCAACATGGATATCATATACACAGTGCATGACACCAGGGGCATAAGTCTTGACTCTTTCGACATAGTCACATGCAATCGTCATATTCACCGCTTTCATGTACCCAAATCTCTCATACTCCTGAACAATCTCAGCGCTTTTCATATCAATCTCATTGACATCCACGTTCTCATGCACATGAGCCCAGCCACCAGCATCTCTGTCCAGAATCCTCAGTGAAGTCTCCCAAGTAGGCTGCGAAGTTGGCAGTAACCCTTGATTCACATGTCGAATCGCTGCCCAGGAGCCCTTTTCTTCCAGCAGGGGCTGTATATTCCCAAGAATCTGGGCTGCAAGCCTGTTGTCACCGTGGAATATAATGATTCTATCATCATCCGTGATTTCATTCACCATGTCTTCATAGCCGCCCTTCAACTCGCCTTGCGCATTAAGAGGAACGACCTTGCATCGCCAGCCATTCTGCAAACATCCTCTCCGTAACCCCTCCACAGACCATGCATTCAGCTCCCATCCCCAAACCCTCTTGACTCCTCGTTTCAGATAGGAAAAGACAAAATACCCAATACCCGCATACAAATCAACAACGCTAATTTCACCCACGTCCTGCCCGTTCAGCGAAGACTCGTCTAATCCCGCAAATCGATTTCCCTGCCCTAATATCCTGGCCTTCTCTGTAATATTCCCGCGCGAGAACATCGTGTAGAGAGGCGCCCAGCATTGTACTATCCCGCCATTCTGGACAGTCTGCACCCAGAGCGCTTCTTTGAAGTCTCGATCGTCCGGCGTGCTGTCAGGATCCAAAATCGGTCCGAAATCGCCGTGTAAAGGGACCAGACCAACCGGACTTCTCATTCTGTTTTCAGTGCCCACAGAATTCATGACTGCAATAGGGGCATTGAGAGCGACATGTGTGACGCCCGATTTGCTGAACGATGCTGCGATTGACTCATATAAGAGTTGGCGCTGAGAGTTGTCTAAGGAGGAATACAGCTCTGCCCAAGGCTGTGGGGAGGTAAAGACATTGACTGGTAGCAGTAATAGAGGTTTATAGATGGTGTAGCGCTTTGGAAGACCATCGATGAGGGTATCATGGTGTGAGATGTTGGATTGAGAGATTTTCGTAGATAATATATGATTCTGTAGGAACCGGTGGATCCCTTCAACAAGAGGATTCATCGTTTGTTTTGGTGGCCGTCGTTTTTTTCTTGACTCCCTTGATCCTTGAATATTAATCTTTGGTGGAGACGATACATGATCTTCCGAGGCGTCCGTTGCCATGATGAATACTCAATACGGTGCCAATAGACCGTTAGTGATTTGTGCAGTGTTTCTCGCATTTATATGAGACGAGTAAGTTTATAAATGAATCAATTATAGATACAGGTGTTGTCATTGATAACTTTGTAGTTGTAAGAGTTTGACTTGCGGGATGGGATTATTTTCGTGGGGTTCCATATACGGAATCCTAAGGCGAATGCAAGCATCCAGAGTGAAACATTCGATGTTGAATTGACATAACTAGTATTTGAAGAATTTACAATGGTAATTGACCTATTTCTGCTAGAAATTTGTGTCACGAATTTATCCCGTGGATATCAAATCTATTCATTCTTCAAACCCGCGAGGGTATTCTAAAGTTTGTTACAAGAATAATAATGCGTTATTCTTCTAATCCTCTAATTCACGCTTCCTATATCCTCCTTCAAGGGTGTTCCACGCCCACTGATAACTACCCAAGAAGATAGCACCACCAAGGGCAATGGCAGTTGTTCGAGGTCCAATACCTCTCCAGAAAGCACCAGCACCTTCTTCCTTCATAATCCGCCGTACGACGTCTGACACGTGTATGCTCTTCGCATTCCCTTCCCCCCGTCTTGCAAGCATGACCCTCGTCTTGATAACATCAAGCGGCGTCGTTAAACCCGCAGCAATCCCACCCGCAATGCTCCCAAATAATGCACTCGGCGCAGCTGGAATCTGACCAGAAGTCGTTTCTTCAGGCGCTTTCCCCCACCGAGCATATCTATTCTTCATTGCCTCCCACATCGTAAATTGGATTATTGTGAATGGGATCTCTCTAGCAATCGTAATCCCAGTGCCTCTATACAGCTCCCGAATCATCTGGAAAATTCCACTCTTACTTGTCCCATTCGATGGGTTTCCGCCATGGCGCAGGGAAAGAATATCTGTCAAGGCCTGTAGAGACGAACCACCGAAGAGACCTGCTTGGGCGCGCTGCTTAATTACCTCGGTAGGCACACGCACCACACAGGCGGTGATTTCGCCCAACGTCGACGCTACGGAATGCGCGACAAAGGTTTGTGTTTTAGACGCTTCTTTAGCTAATCGCGAATCAGAAGGTAAGAGATACCGTTTGACGCCATCGTATGTAATGAAGAAAAACGCAGCGGAAGGTGCCGAGCCGAAGAGGACGGAGGGGAGACCAGCATAGATGCCTCGAATCGCTTGTCGCAGGGGCAGTCCGTTGCTTTTGCTTTTCGCAAGGGGTGTATCTGTTGCTGCTGATGAGACACTCTGGCGAACTTTCTGTAGGCGGGTTTTGATTGTGTCGAGGGGGTAGAGAGAGAGGTCAACGGTGAAGCCGGCTACGGCCCCGGACTAGATAACAGCAGGTGTTAGCGAGAGTTAAATGAAGAATCGGGAGACCATTAGAATAGACGCTGTATCGTACATATAGTGATCTGGTCCATGGCGAGGAGACCAATGGCTCCGGGAAATCTTTGGTGTTTGCCATGCAATGATCTGCGGCAAGAGGGTCGTTCCGAGGATTGACGAGGCCCTCTATCGCGAATTCATGTCCAAGACTGTATTCTGCAGTGCTAGGGCTTCTCGTTATACCAATGTGAGTCCCGTCCTAATATATTCCTCACACTGCCACGGCGTGCGTGGTGCAGTCAATTGATGCGTTTTCAGTTTTGCTCAAAATCCTGCGGGTCGACGGGAGCTCCGATGATTATGACGATGCGGAAGCGCGAAGCTGAGATCATCCAGGCCGAAAATCGGCTTGGGACCCGAGCGCTCCGTAGGTAAGATGGCTCCAAAGATTGCACTGAAGATGCCGATTGCGCTGGATTTTTTTCTGGGGTATCGGGGAGTTGTTCTGGATTATAACGATATTCGCTGTTATTGTCTATTTACATTCTGTCACCGACAATCCAATCACGTAGTATTTGGTACTAGACCGATTTAATCATCGAGACTATACACAGCCTCTGAAATATTCTGTTTTGGATCGACAAATGCAATCACGATCTATCTACAGCTGAGCAATGCAAATCTTTGACGCATAACAAGAAAGAAGCCAAGGAGAACATGACGGATTCCCGATAGAAAGCATTCTAGGGTTATGGTTATCTATATCCAGAAGGGGCAGGGGAAAGAAACAGAAAGTAAAACCTATAATAACAACGCCGTACTGTTCAGCTCAGAAGTAATACAACTCCTTCCGTACCTGAAGGAGAATTGCAACACCGTATCAAAAACCATGCAGTAAAAGAAATTTGTCGAACAACAGTAGATATGCCCATTAGCAAAAGGCTAGGTCATAATCAGAAAAGTTGTCGTTTACTTGCCCTTGCTAGCGACTGGTGCACTAGAAGAGGGAGGTTCAAGAACATGCGTATGGTTTCTAGCCTTCACAACGGCTCCAGTCTCCTCTTGACGACAGACTTGGATACTCTGGATCCAATCGTCATTCAGGACCTCTTCAAGGGTCGCTCGCTCTTTAGGGTTAACCTTGAGCATGCGGCCGATGATGTACCGCGATTCCCTTGGCAGGATTCGCAATAAGCGCCACGGTCCTTTGATGACTTCTTGACGCTGTCCAGTGGTCGTCGTACTGCCAGATGGTAATGGAGGTGCTTCTTTGCTAGTTGTTTCTCGTGATTTTGGTTTCTCGGGTGGTTCGCCTGTTGTATGTGAGGAAGGGGGGGTCGTCTTCGACATCTCTGACGATTGGGGTTGGGATTGATGTGTTTGAGAGGGAGAGGTTTTAGATGAGTGAGATGGAGGTGGTTCATCCCGTGTGACTGGCTCTGATCGGGGGAGATGATGACCATGGCTGCCCTGCCGGTGATGATGACGATGCTGTTCAGAGTCACTTGCCCCGGCTTTAGCCTCAATTGCCATGGATGGAAGATCGGCTGTCGATTTGGGGCGCTGATCACTGCGTCGGGGATGTGAATCGGGGACTGGCGTTCCAGGAGTGGGAGAAGAGACAAATAGTTTATAAGAATTATCTGTTACACGTGGCTGCTTCCAAGGGAAGCGTCGAAGAGTCATGCAGCAGAATATGATGGCGAGAGACCATATATCAGTAGGACGAGGATCATACTTTTTCTCGTCATAAACCTCGGGGGCAAGGTATGGATCCGAACCAACGATTCCTGAAAACTTGTTAGTGAAATCCCGCGGAGCTGTTAATATTAGGCTCTTACCGGAAGCAAGCACCGTGTCATTTTCAAAAGGGTATCGAAACACGACGGCGCTTCCAAAGTCAATCAACTTCATGATTCCGTGTTCGTTGACTACGACGTTGTCTAACTTTAGGTCTCGATGGGCCAATCCCATTGCATGAAGGTAGGAAACACCGCTCAAAATCTGTTTGAAGGAGCAAGCAATTTCTTCCTTGCTCATTTTTCCGGTCATAACGATTGCAAACAAGTCGAATGGAGCATATTCCATAACCTCGTACCAATGACCCCCCTCTTGAATGATATCCAATGTTTCAATAATATTTCCATGGTGTAATGTAGAGCCAATGCAGAACTCAGCAGTGACCTTTTTAGAGTATTCTTTCTCGGTTTCCCAAGAATGCCGATCGCGGAATTGCTTCACAGCAAAGGTGACTCCATCGCTGCTTCGCTTCAGCAGTCGCACCGATCCTCCAGCACCTGAGCCAAGCACTCGACCTAACTTTCCGTACTTGGATTGAAGACCATGATCATCAGCAAAGGGAACGCTTGTTGGAGCCATAGGATGGGCAACGTTCTTGCCATTCGAAGATGACTTGCTTGTTCTTTTAGATACGGAAGATGGAGATTCCCCACGCTTATGTTTGTGACCCATGCGAAAGAATCGCTTAAGCTCGGACATAGAGCCATGGCTTTTACCATCTAAGCTGTCGTTACTTCGGTGTCCATGCTCCTTTTTGTTGCCGCTAAAGAAAGACGACCGCTTGTCGGTTGATGTTCTTGGCTCATGGCCATTTGATCCAGGTGCTGGGACAGAACCATGCGAGCCTGAGGAGTGATGAGTCCGTCGTTTTGCATCAATTCCGCTAAAGATAAATCTCTGATCTAATTGAGCCAGATTTCTGTTGGGAAGTGGTCTTTTATTTCGTGCATAAGGATCATTGGGCTCGCCAATGGGCGTAATAGTACCGGAAGTTCCGCCTGGTGGCGTGGTCCACCCATACTCATGTCTCGGAGTCATAGGAGGACTTTCGTCCTGTGAGCTTGCGTCGGCGGAAGCACCGAGAAAGAACCTCGTTCTGTTTTTATCGTGATCTTTCGCAGAAAGCGAACTCTCTGAATGTCCGGTCTGTTTGGTGGATAATTCTGTCGAACTGGGCCGTGTGGCTGGTGCACTTGCTGGGACCGCAGACTGTTTGGACGATTCCGATGTCTCGGGAGTCACGGCAGATGTGTCAATTCTGTTGGGCTTGCTAGTCGGTTGGGTTGTTCCCGCAACATTTTCTGTGTCCTTGTTCTCCCGTGAATGTGTGGCAGCGGGAGTCAGAGGAGGTGACTGCATGATTGATACGGGCGGCGATACACGGGGTGAAGTGCTGCTAGAAATCGTATTGTCATGAGAAGCGCCAACACTAGCGGTGTCGCGGGAGTTGACCTGAATAAGCTCATGTCAGCGGGTCTAAAATCGTTGCACTGCTATTGCACAGATACCAGACTTGGCTGACAAGTACGGCGTTGCAAGTAATGGAGACACAATGGTTTCATGCATTATACGTACCCTAGACGCAGGTAGAGAAACGGGCTCGAATGCAAAGTGACGCAGCCGTGATTCTTGCAAGCGAGTGTCCTGTAGATTAATGGCGAGCGATCGCAGCTCGTCTTTGGCGTTGGCGTCGAGGTCGGCAGGGATCGAATCGGCCTGCAGTTCCCGCTCGTCTGACCGGGACTGTATACTGTGGTCTGGTTCTATCTCTTGATTGACGGAAGCGAAGCGGACAGCGTGCGGTTGCCCCGCGGAAAGCTTAGATTCTGGGCTCGGATCATAAGGAACAGGCTCAGAGGTATTGGCTGGCGGGTATTGGGGACTCGCTTGAGACTGAGACTCTGGAGTAGGAGAAGCCACAGCCGTTATTAGCCGAAAATGCAATTTGGATTTTTTTTTTCTTTGTTTTTTTGCTTTTTGCTGAAGAGTGTGCTAGGTGAGAAACAGTAGAAAGGTGGCACATACCTGACGTCGTCATCATGCTTTGTCGGTGGGGGACGGAAACGGCGGGTTAAGGAGGAGTGGTGGTGGCCGTTTACAGAGCTCACACGATTTGCGGGAGCTGCAGTTACGAATGCTATACACATGCAGAGCCGCGTGTCTGTGTCTGCGTCTGCGTCTGCGTCCGTGTCCCTGATCCGGAGCAAGGAATGCGCTGGCTAGACGAACATAGAAGAGCGGTCGGAATTGCAGCGAGCGTCAGGATGCAGGCGATAATAGGATAATATGGATAACGTAAGTCGCTGTATGCTGGTCGTTCGGAGCGGGGGAGGGCTCGCTGTGATTGGGTAAATGGACCGGTTGAGTCGGAGAAATAGGGCCAGGAATTCTCGATTAGGGCGATCGATGAGCCGCGAGGATTAGCAGAGGTTGAGTAGAAAAGCGCGCATCACGCGCATGGGCGAATCTGTCGAATGCTGGACGAGATGAAGAATGGACGGAAGACGCAAAAAATTATCGTCGAGCAGGAGGAGGAGGCAAAAAGGGCAGAGCGCAGAGGGCGATGGTGAGTGGGGGGAGGGTCCCTCCTTCTGGCACCTGCCCGCTTGTCCAGCCAGACCCGGCCCATAATAATCCGGCACGCCGAGTCCGGTTACTCTTTAACTAACTTGCTGCTGCTACAGTAGTACACGATTTATCCACGCTGCATGCTGGTTATCCTGGGTTGTGAAACACAAACATGCTTCGGCCGAGCGCTTGCTGGCTATGGGCAGTAGCCTAGCAGCATATTGGCCCATGCGTTCGTCTGAAGGATCTTCATATCGGAACAATTGCCGGTGCCGCTGTCATTGGCTGCAGGGATACTGGCTGTCTTATGACGATGCAGTGTTTCTTAGTTGTTTGGCTAGTATGGGACAGAGAACTGCAAGCGTGTGCATATATCTGTATAGATATTATATTTCCGATTTGCACAATCATTCCAGACTACCAAGAGGAATAACGCCGTCATCCGGATGGTCGCGGCGGTTGCACGTGCCGTGCCGGAACCGCACGCTGTCATTGGCTGCCACTTTTCCAAGGCAGCCGTTAAGCGCCCCAGCCTAGGCAATGCGGCATCTACCTTGCTGCCTTGCTGCCTTGTTGCCATGCTGCCATGGGACTGCCTATGACTGTTGTCACGAAAATTGATGAACCACAGCCAATAAATATACTTAAGGACGCACTCATATGAGCAAAACAAAATAGATTGTTATAAGGTATCAGTGCGTATAATTATTTCTTGTTGGAGATCTCCGTGGATTTTGATAAAGCTTCAAGCGGCTCGGTCTATGTAGGACTGAGCCTATCCCCTAGTGGATAGTCTTCTGTTTCTTGAAGATTTCTGAATTCCTCCCTAAATACATATACCATAGACTCTCTCTTATGCCCCTAAATGGACGTATATCAAATTTTATATATATGTCATTAGCTGAACGCAATGATTAGAGTCCATATTGCGTGGAGAAGACAGATATTATCCCAGTAGCAGGAGAACCCACAATAAGCCCAAAAGAAATTGTGCAAGTCCGATAATATATAATGATAACGCTCCTACTGATAATCAGAATATATCGCCGGCACATCCTCTATATGTACATGTATGTAGTAACTTCACAACCACTGAAGAAGTAAGTGCAGAAGGCTCCTGAGCATTCCATAAAAACAATACCGATGACTGCAACTGGAATCTTCGTCTGACACGTCAGCGGCATATTCTTCAGCTAGGTTCTGAACTGTCATATATTTGATTTCCTTTGCTTGAACCCGCTAGGCGTCTCTATGAAGACAATAATAATATTATTATTCAGTACAATGTATTTGTGCGGAGCAGTTGATCATTTATGGTCACAAGATCTATATATGAATGAGGATTGTTGTACAGTGATTGAGCAGAAAAAAACAGCAAATAGCCGTGGGCCTCCAAACGCCGGTGCAATGACGAAAAAGATGCGATGTAGAATGTCGACAAACAGGGGTAATCGGTCATGGCACAACTTTCAAGCCAATGGACTTGGCCTGGGCAATAATACTCTTGCACAGTCCATCTAACTTCAGACCCGACAGTCGCAATTCCGACTGTTTGATCTTTGCGATTTCATACACATGCTTCAGCGACACAGCGCCGATGGTTTCTGAGCCAGGGTTCTGCGCGCCACGTACACGGCCTTTCCGAGGTTCAATGCCAGATGCTTGGAGCAGCAGCCATGACGTTGTTGGCGTGCGGAGCTCGAACATAAACGAGCGATCGGGACGGATGGTGATATAAGCAGGAATAGGAGTACCTGTTTGGATATGGGCGGTTCTCGCGTTGAATTCCTGCGTTCAGAGCTTTGTTAGTATAGGTTACAGGTTTATGCGGAGCGGGTGCCTACCTTGCAAAAGTCCATACTCTTCACACCTTTGCTTCCTAATGCTGGACCGACTGGAGGACTGGGACTGGCCTGCCCAGCTCCAACGATGAGTTTGACAAACTGGTCCTTGGCAAGAACTTTCCGCGCCATGATGGATGGCGATTTGACACCGGTTCAGCGCGGCAGGAAATTGACGGTATTCAAATAGAGACCTGAATAGGCGAGCAACACAGATAATTGGCCTCTTGCTTGCAATTGCAGCTTCGTGAAGCTACTAGCAGCGTCTTCTACCTCCTTAACGGCAAGTTTTCTTCAGACATGTAGGTCGGAACCGGCGCCGCAATTTTCCGTGTGGAGATGAAAATAGTGTCACGTGATATCTCAAATCTTCACTCAAGATTTATTCAAGACCCATTCAAGATTGTCATTGGCCACGGCATAAAGGTAACTAAAAATGGTAGAGGAAAGCTGCCTACTACGGTCACTATCAAGTATTTTAAGCGTCAATTGAACTCGAAGCTGAATATGTATTGACCAATCAACCCTTGAACCAACCAACAACATCCTTAATGCCCTATCATAAAGGAAAGATAACCCCCTCCAAAGCTGAACTGATAAGAACGCAATGTTCTACTTCTCTAGAAGTGGATCATAATCGCTGCAACTGCAACAATGAGCCCCTCATCTTGCCCAGTATTCGTCCTCGTGCCTGGCGCCTCACAAAGTCCGGCAGCCCTGCGGTTATCTACTACATCTCATTCAAAGCAAAGGCCATGGTGCCTTCAGTGCGCTCTTACCAAGCGTTGGCGCTACCGAACCTGTCACTGCTACGGACGACGCAGAATATGTGCGTTCCCGTATGCTTCTTCCGATACTCGATATCGAGAAGCACGACGTGATCCTAATCAGTCATTCTTTTAGCGGCATCCCAGCGAGTGCTGCTGCTCGAGGTCTTGGAAAAGCTGATCGGGTCGCTCAAGGGAAGTCAACTTCCGTCCTAGGCCAGATTCTCATTGATGCAGTTACGGCTAGAGGAGGGGATGGATTGGATCTTGTCGCAAACTTTGGTGGGCAAATGCCACCTCACATTCGAGTCGATGTATTATTCCATTTTCTCGTTTTGTCCGTCGACAGATCTGAGCATGACTGACAGCTACAGGAAGCAGAGAATCTCTTGAGATGCGACGATCCGAAACCGCCATTGTTTATTGACCTACCGTCAGAACTAGCAGATTCGGCAGTCCTTTCTTGTGTCAGCCGAGGGAAGACATCATTCACGAGTCCCTGTCCGGCTGCTAGTTGGGATACAGAGGCTTTCAACGGCCGTCTCGCTTATATCAAGACTGTCAATGACCGTGCTGTTCCTTACGAAGCACAGTCTATGATGCTGCAGGCTACCGGACAGGAGTGGATTACCAGGGACATTGAAACGGGCCATAGTCCGCAGCTTGCAGCGCCGGAGAAGCTAGCTGATATACTTGTAGAACTGGCGAAGCGCTTTGAAGCATTGTAGATGACCCTAGTGGAAGCGTCGATTTCAATTGATTTCGGGGCACAAAGCGAGCAAATAGCACATACCAATGAAAACTCGCACACTTAAATTTTTTGAGGTTGTACTAACATTAATCGTGTCTTCCTGATCCTGGTAATCAACTGTAACTGTTTCTGTAGAAATAATAAGCATGATCAAAGTCGTATAATCCGTCAACAGAGACGAGACTGGCGCTAAACCGCATCCAGCCACTCGCGACGTCATCAGCCATCACAGCAACAGCAGATGTTGAAAGCAGCGGCCGAGTCTCGTCTGAAATAACAACAACAGCAACAGACGGCAGCGGCTCTCTTTTAGTCCATCGACATATCAGGCTCATCTCATGTCCCCTTGTTAGTCACATGTTTTGACCCAAGTCAAAATCAACAACAGATAAGGTAAGCTTCTCCTAATCCCACAACGTTTGCTTTATTCCCCTCGCTAACCATAAATCGTCCACTAAAGAATAGCTGGCCAATATTATCCCAGAACTATCAATCATGAACTGGTTCAAGCAAACGTATGGGCCTGCTTATTGAGCCGACTATTCCCTAGCAATGCATTTAACTGATGAAAGCTCTCCAGTCTGGCCAACGTTGTAGGGACTGAAGAACCAATCTATGGCCCGGAGGCTATCCAGTCGGTTGCCAAACAGGCAGAGTCCACCCCTTATACAGAGTTGAAGAAGGAAGATTTGAAATGGGTAGCACCTCAGTATACCTCGGTCGAGACCCAGACCTTCTATGTGATGGCCGACAACGGTGCCTTGGCCATGGTTCAGCTTATTTACAACAACATAGCGTAAGGAGTTACTCTGCCGGATGAAAGAGATCGTCAGGTCTAGCTAATAACCACTGTCTTCTCAAAGTGGCCTACACACAACCTGTCAATTCAACACGAAAATCTTCTCGTTCGACAGCAGTACGCCTCATCTCTGGCATTCGAATACACTGTCGAATCATCTGTTTGATCCCGACATGTATTCGTTTGGAGCAGACAACCTTGCAATGACCCTGAATGAAGATGGCACTGCGTATACCATCAAGTCGGCGGTCAATGAAGCCAGTCTTGTGAATCTCACCTTTACCCGACAAACCCCAGGCGTGGCTGTTGGCAACAATGGCACCTCTTACTTTGGTACCGATCCTTCCAAGCCCTGGGGCTCGATGCGACACGCATTCTGGCCCCGTTGTTCCGTCGAAGGTACAATTACCACCAAGGAGAAGACATATGACTTGAAGGGTAGAGGATTCTTCGCTTATGCGCTTCAGGGAATGAAGCCCCATCATGCTGGTAGGTCGCCACCATAGACACTGGGTTACATGAGAAACTGACATAAGCGTTAGCTGCGAGGTGGAACTTTGTCAATTTCCAAACACCAACATATTCTGCCTTCCTAATGGAGTACACCACCCCTCCATCATATGGCTCAACGGTGGTGAATGTGGGCGGTGTGTTGAAGGACGGGGAGATTCTTTATGCTGGAACAAGCAACTCCGCACAACACCTAGAGATAGGCACCGATTCAGAGAATGATTGGCCTGAGCCCAAGGCTATCAGGTTTACATGGGATGGGAAGACCAAGGACGAGGACATCTTCCATGCCGAAGTAGAAGGCCCTCTTAAAAGACTCGATCGTATAGATGTCATGGCTGAAGTTCCCGGCTTTGTGAAATCTATTGTGGGCAGCGTTGCTGGGACCAAGCCGTATATCTATCAGGTATGTGATATCGTATTAGATCTAATTGTTTACTGGGCTTACCGACGTGAACAGTACTACCCTCAAAACAACCCCACCCTGAAGGTTAAGGTAGGCGATACTGAGCATGCGGAGGAAGGAACATTGTTCTGCGAGGCTACATTTATCTCGTGAGCGATAAGTGTACTACTATAAGAAATATTAGCGTGCTTTCTTTTGCTTATGATAAAGGTTGCTGTTGATTCTTGTTCAAGACTCTTCATGGTGCTGGCAAAGTTCAATATATGATCATTCTGGTGGTGTTCTGGTCTGGTCAGGAGAACCTGGATACATTTAAGTTACTACACAACTAGCAATACACTGACTAATACTTTCGACACATATTTGTCACCTTTATCCCACCTTGTCGGTGCGTGCTCTGCGGATGACTTGGCTCTACTTGTCCAGTGTGCCAGCCCCATTCCCCCTTTACGTCTGGTCGTCAATGAATGTAAACGTCACTCCCAGCCACCATTTCCTGGCCCTAGCTAGGGGTTTGAAGAGTTTGATAAAGTCGGTCCGTTTGCTGGCAGAGTCTGTAGACATCTCTTCTCAACACCACACAATCAAACATCTCCAGCATTCATGGCCTATACACCTAAAATAGCCAGCAATAATCATTCCTGCCTCGCATCACACTCGAAAAAATCACCACTATTCAACATGCCCGTCGCCCACAGATCTCAAGGGTTGGGTGTGTATGGACTCGCTCACCGTCGGCGGTACGTTGCAGCTCCTATCTTGATCGGTATCTTTCTAATCACTAATTCCCACATTCCAGGAAGGTATTACGCGAGTCTATAAAGGGCATTAGTACGTACACGAAAGACTAGATATCCAGATAACCATCTTTGTATTGTCGTTCATCGTCTAACCTCGGTTCCTCTATCCAGCCAAGCCTGCCATCCGGTACGTTTTCTCTTGCCTAGTGAGGGAAGTTTGAATATCACATCGAAGCATTATTCCAAAGACCAACCCTCAGTTATTTTTACAGCCGTCTTGCTCGCCGTGGTGGTGTTGTTCGCATTTCTGGGTTGATATACGATGAAATCCGTAAAGTGACCCGACAGCGTCTAGCGGATGTATGTATCGCACTGTTTCTTTAAGCATATTACACTGTATCAATATCAGGCTTATAATATGTCTAGATTATCCAACGGCTTGTCTTCGTCCTTGAATCATCCTCGACCCCGCGCTATGAGCGCAAGGTACGCTGCATTTTGACCACTCCACTCCATGTCCTATCCCATAAGTCGCTATTGTGGTTGGATTGACCAAATGCTAATGATTGATACTATAATATAGACTGTCACTACGCGAGATGTAAGTACCAAGCCTCATCCAGTCTCATCCATCATTGTGTATCGCTAATGCGCGAGTTGATAGGTTGTTTTTGTTCTGAATCAAGTGAGCATAACCCTCCTTCGCTTCCGTCTCTTTACCCCCTTGCTTTGGTATGAAACGGGTGCATAGATCACTAATTTATTGGCTTTGGTTGATAGATGGGTATTCCGGTTTACGGATTTGCTCCGAACTGATATGTTTTATTGCGTAGCCTGCTGGATTCTTGGTTGGGGAGAGGATCTGGTGAAATGCTTTTGTTGTTTACCAGTGGAATAGTGGAAGATTTATCTAAATTTCATGGTGTTTCATTCATATAAGTACTAATAGTATATCGTAATGTCATTAAGAAACTATATCCCAAGATCACACCAAAAATACATGTAACCTAAATATATAGGAAACCAGAACGAGGTATATCCCAAACAAATAAATCAATCTAGCCTGCCAGTCTGTAGTAAGTAAGCAATGGGTATCAAAGTCGACAAAGCGAACGCCTGCATCGTCATATCATTATCTCTTCCTCTCCTTCCCTTCAATCGCTGCTTTCAAAGACTCCTTGGCCTGTTCTTCGCGTCTCTCAAAGATACGGTTGAATGGCCAGGGTAATAACCGCAGGCCTGGGATATGGGCGCTGTGCAGATGCTCATCTGCGAAAATTGGTCCGTCGAGTCTCCGAAGACGACAGATGGATACAGCCGACTCGAGTAGACTCGAACCGAATCCACGATGACGGTGAGACGGGTGGACGGTCCACGCGCGAATCACACCTGTCAGCCGACCAGAGGATGAGCTGTTAGAGTGTCGATGCCGCAAAGCACGCATCCCGTTGGCACTGGGTGCGCCTGACGAGAGCGCATTTGTGCGAGCGGTGCGGAGAACTAGGACACCAACAATACTCCCCTGGTGTGTGGCTATTATGATTTCATCTTCAGCCGGTATCGAGCCGTGATGGATATGCTGTTTTGATCCGCCTGCGGATCCATTATTGTATTGACTCCGCCGGTACAGTCCGTCCTGGAGCCAAGCTGGGTCTTCGACCGCGGATGCCCATGTTAAGTAGGCTTTGGTAGTATGGTGGATAGCAATCAACGCTACCATGACAGCAAAAGTGCCTATTATTCCCGCAACTGGACCATTCTTATGAGGCTCGTGATACGCACTGCGCAGTAAGAGCAGAGTCAGAAGAGAAGCCATGGCCAGTACTGCTGGGTGGAGGAGTATGCCGCGTATAGCAATGGAGCGCTGCTCCACAATGCTGTCAGCAATGAGTTTGAGAGCCTCGGATTGATCGTCATTGGTAGAGGCCTGATAGGTCCATGTTGCTGGGGCGAAAACTGATTGTGGGGTTGAGATGGTCGAGGTAGAAGTAGAGGTTGGGGATGGGGGGTCCTCGAGATCATCTGCAAATCCTGACGAGAATGCCAGGTCGTTTAGGTAGGGCGATTTGGGCAAGTCATAGGTGTCCAGAGTGGGGTGCAAAGCTCCAGCAAAGGTTGTAACATGGCTGTCTTCAAAATTGGAGATCTGGAGGTTGGTACGTAAGGAGGAAAGGAAGGCTACATGTAGATGTAGACATTAGTGTCTCGCTCAATTGATAATGAAAACAGACCAGCAGCGACTCTCATAGCACAGGCATAGAAAAGGGCCAAGAAAGCGCACAATTAAAAATAATGAGGTGCAGAAAAAGTGTTCTGCAAGATTCGCCAAGCCCAAGCGGCACTTACAGTCAAGACAAGTATAGAGAGGGACCGGACTGGGGAGAGTTGATTTCCAGCTCATGGGTGCGAACAAGAACAGATAGGCATGGAGAGGAGAAAAGAGAAAGAGAAAGAGAAAGAGAGTAAGAGTAAGGAAGAAGGTAGGAAACGGCATACCTAGCAGGATGGACGGGGCTGGGCAGGCGAGCAGTTTTTGTAGGAAGGAGCCGAACCCAGCGGGGAAGGCGCCTCGGGAGCTAGCAGTAGGCGGGTTTGGGGCCTGCGACAACCGCCGGGTGGGGGAGCCGGGGGGCATGTCTTGGCCCTGTTGGGTGCGGTCTTTGGTGCGTCTTTTGTCTGGGGGCCTCGAAGCCGCCCCGGCGTGTTTGAAGTGGCCCAGCGCGGTTTAGGCGGCAGTTTGGGGTTTCGAGCCCGCCGCAGCCTGAAACCGTTTTCCCAACAGCTTGCCTACTCACTCAAGCTCAACCCTCTCGCAATCGTGCGCTCGCGGTTCCACTCGAGAAGCCTTGCCGAGTCACAAGTTCGCTGCTCATTGGTATGCAGCTATCCATCCTCCAGAGGGGCCTCGTCAGCTTGACGACAGCCAGTGACGCCAGATCCTCGACGGCCCCCAATCCTTCAGAGCGCGAACAAAAGGCTGTAGCAGCTATTTATATGCGAGTATTTCTAGAAAACAATATGGAACACGAAGACAAACGAAGAAAGAAGGGCAAAAATAGAGAAACAGAGAAGATGGAGAAACGGGAGTCTGACGAGTGAGTTCATATGTGCTCTTTTGTGCTTATCGCGCAACCCATGCAAATCGCAGGGTCTGTGCCTGCGGGCCTATTTTGGCGGCGTCATTCCTGAAACTCCCAAGGGCCGGCAGAAACCCAATCGCGTGCAGGCAGCCTTGTTGGATCATCGCTGACGCCAAGCTCTCTGTCGTTATCGCGTGCTCTCGAACCGTCCGGATTGCCCACCATGAACCCCGCCAAGCCAGATGGTGCATTGATAACAACTCTTTCGCAGCGTCATTATTGGATTGTTGAACGCGTGTGGTGCGCAATCTACGCCAGACCGTCCAGATTCAATAGACTGATATCCATAATTCATTGTTATTATCGATGTGTAGCAGGATCCCCGCTTACTCGGTCATTCAGTATACGACTATACGTCGGTGTCTATTATTCACTATGCATCAAACACAGCTCCACGTAAAAGAAATATGGACATCTAGAAACGATAGGAGAGAACATCAACAGGACAAGTAATGGATACAGACAAAAGAGAGAAAAAAAGGACAAGCATGTGCAGCGCTGCAAGAAGGTATGAATGGGTATACACTAGAACCAATTATATGCAAATCAACCCATCTCCCCTCCCCATCTTTCTAATCAGGGTATCGCAGCCATATCAAACATGTATTAACCTTGCCCCAAACACCAAATAAAACTTTAAAAAAAAATAAACGAATAATAATCTTGAGACGATTATGATTCCACCATCAGTTGTTCGCCTTCGTCTAGGAGTGTTGTCACTCGCGATAAATCGGAGATCATTGCCTTCCCGTGTCCAACCAACAGAAGCTTCTCGGCGTTTGCTGGAAGCCCCAGGTATGTGGGTGGCTCTCGCTCTGGTAAACGATCGACCCATTCAGTGAATTCAGGCATGCTAGTTGTACCAGGAAGTGCAAGGCAGTCGTCATTTTCAACGCCTGAAACGAGCTTGTGCTCATCTTCGAAAGCTGCTGGCGTGAGGAAACTGGTAACCAGAGACTCCAGTTGTTGGAAATCGCCGCTGTCATCAATCTTACCACCGTAAGTTTCAGTGACAAGCGTAGTAATCATATCCCATGGTAGCTTTTGCGGTGCGACGTTAGACCGTCCCTGTGCCACAGAATCTATCCATGAGTCGATGATGAACGCAGAACATTCATACTAAATAGACTGTTAGCTAAGAAATAAAATAACTTTTAACGGTGAAACTTACATCACTATCATTGAATTCCCAGAAACCCTTCCAACCAAGACTAGGTGCGTAGCGGAGCCGTTCTTGAATAACGGCATGCAAGAATGCAAGCAGCACGTAGACGCGCGCCTTTTCGACCGGAGCTTTACTGGCACGTAGTGACAACGAGGAGAGAGAGTCCTTCATATTTGCTCGAACCCCTGCTGGCTGTTCAAACATCAAAACACGGGAGGCTCGGAGAAGGTTGACTGGAATCTTGGGGCTAGTCTCCATTGACAAGAAGAGTCGGAATTCCTTGTGCGGCTTCAAAGAGTCTAACCGCTTTTCCAGACTCTGGAGCCAAGAAGGAGCCAGATGAACGTTCTTCACCAACACCCATGATCCTGCTGCTGCAGCGTTGCTGATAGCTTTGTCTGCACTTTCGACACCTTCGTTTGAACCCATGGCAATATTGGCACAAGTAGCATGCATCCGTTCAACCAGTCCATCAACCTTGTAACTGGCGTCAAATCCAGGGCTAGAGCTGAGTGCAATCGGGGCCGTAGCGGTGACTTGCTCAACCACATACTTGAGATCGCTACTGCCCTCATATAGCTCGCGACCGAAAACAGCTGCGACGAAACGCTCGGCAACTGGGACAAACCGATCCATACGGCAAAGCTTGACCAGAAGAAGAGAGCGAAGTTGTTGATTGAGGGGTTCAATGTTTTCCTCCCAAACAGGCGGTACGAAATTCTCCGCCAATTCTTCGGTGAAGAACGCTCTCCAAGTTTCATCCGAAATATTCGACACATGTGGTTTGAATAGTGACATGTTAGATAGCCTTTGAATCACCTGGTCTCTTGATTCCGTAGTCGTCGACAAATCAACACCTTCAACACTCTCATCAAGAATAGTGTCAATAATGCCCTTGTCCATTTGGTAAGGTGTGGCCTGTGCAAGGAGCATGGCTAGCGTTATACGGTCCTTCTGTAGCAAGCCCAATGATGTACGTTGATACGTTGTAATGAAAAGATCACGGAGGATGATGTCGACTCTTGCTGCGTGAGCTTTCTCTTGAGCAAGCTTTTTGTTTCCATGGAGAACAGAATTGAATATGTCCACGAAATACTGCAGCGAAAATTGATAGAAATGATTGATATGATGAAGCTGTTCCAGCACTGCGAATACTGCACTGCATGCTCGAGCAATAATATTGTATTCGAGAGTGATATTGTCGACTTCGCTCATGACACCTTCCGTCTCCGACATCTTCTTAGTGATTTCAGCAGCCTCCTTCTTAAGCGTCTCCAATGTCTCAATAACATTGTCGTCGTCTAAAATATTACCACGTGACTCGTTCAATGCTTGTAATAGTCGTTTTTCTAGCTGACGGAGGTGAATCTTGAACTCTCCTTGTAATTTGATGAGATTCGTGCGCCGTTCATCAACATCAGGACGTTCCACCTTGAGGACTTCGTTGAGAGACTGAGTCTGCAAGCTGCTCTGCGTCACTGTGAAATTGACAAATGTCGTCCTACTGCAGATATCGGGCGGGAAAGTAGCAGATGGATCTCTTGTAGACAAAAAGAGTCTGAAAGATGGCGAGAAATCGATTTCTTGCTTGCCTAGTTGAATCAGAACACGCCCTCCAGTCTTTTGGTATTCCTTGTTCAGAACGTGATTGAGAATAGGATCCAAGTGCTCCGCATCTTGGATGAGGATTGGATTGCCAAACCGCAAGGCGCTTTCCAGCTGCTTGACGAATGAATCATCCAAGAAACTAGTAACAGTAAGTTTCCTCTCTTGGCTTTCCTTCTGAAGAAATTCTGTAATGCGTCCCGAAGGATCAATAATCAGAGGATATCGGTTGAATCGTTTTAGGATGATGGCGTTCTCTGTACACAAGTCATCGACAGGTAGCGAATTTCCTTGCCATGCCAAACGTTCATCTGCATTTGAGAGGTACTCTGTGATAGGATTGTGAGGCTTGAATGTGATGCCGGACTGTGCCAGCTGATTGACCCAGTCATCAATCATCGCTTTGCGGAACTGTTGGTCGTACAGACCAGCATATGCAAGGAATGCCGCAGCAATGAGGACATCGCCAACAAGTGTGCTAATTTGAGTTTCGAACGACTTGCTTCCTTCTTCCCAACGCTCGCGTTCTGAGGCCAGGCTGTCCAATAGCCGAACACTTCGATCAACCTTGAATTGCACGCGGCTCATCTCAGTCTTGATAGCTTGCGTTTCACTGATGAGGGCGGCATATTCGGTCTTGTAGGTGGCGATACTGCTTTCGAGACTCTGGATCGTGTTTTCAATAGCTTGAGCTTCCGCTTTGGTTTGAAGTGCCGTTTCCTCGAGCTTTTCAACTTCATCACGAAGTGGGCCAACACGGTCCAAGATCTCAGAGTAATTGACCTGCGCTTCAACCCATTGGACAAGAGGACCACAGGCTTTACTGGCATGGTTAACCCTTTCATATGTGAAATCATCCTTAGACAAAAATTCATTCTTCATTTTCACTCGGTGGTTGCGAGTCATTTGTCGCTCATTGTCGTAGTTCACAATACTTGCAATAAAGTCGTCACGACGAATGATACCTTGGATCGTTTTCCAACTGTCGACCTTATGGCCGAGCAAGGTGCAAACGGCTTCGAGAGCCAGCCGTACACTTGCAGGAGGATTACCCATAGAACGAACTTCAGTAAGATGTTGGCGCTTGATGTTGCTGACACTCTTTTGGGCTTCCAAGACTGCAGGCTCTGCTCTTGCCAGGTCGTTCAACACCACTTCCTTTCGGGTGGCAACTTCCTGTTCTTGTTTTTCAAGAGCAGCCTGGATTTCAAGTGAAGCGGACTTGCGTTGTTCAGCTTCCCGTTGATCTGCAACCATTCGTTGAAGTTTCTCGTTGGCCTCTGCGTCTTTCTTCTCCAATTGGGTCTTCTTTACAGCAAGACTAACACGCAGTTCGCGGACCTTGTCTACTGTATCTCTGAGTTTCTCTAGACCAACATTCAAGTGCCGCTGTTGCTCCTCGAGATCCTCTCGCTTCTCATTGAATAATTTGACGTATTGTGCGACAAAGTCAAGGTAGTGACGAGGAGTCAAGTATGTCGTTCTACCCTGCTGCTTTTGGAGGCGCTGATTGAATTTCTGCAATGAGTAATGGATGTAAACCATTGAGTTGACCACAGCTTCACGGTGAGAAGCAGGAAGGTGGAGGTCACGGTAAGCCACTGGAATACTATCGGGTGCAGTAAAGTTGGGTTTGTCAAGGTCCACAGATTGCGTGAGCTCGGAACCAACTTGGAACAGGGCTTGATCTGACCAGTCGCCGAACCAGTTAAGGACACAACGATTGAACAAAGCAGGACTGGTTGCAGCTTTAGAAGACAGTCCATCTTCGGGAGGATTCATAGTAAACACAACATGAAGATTCTTCACAATCTGCTGTGTGAACCACTTATACAACTCCTCTTGAGAATCAAGAAGTAATCCTTGGCGTTGAGCACCCTCTTTGCAGGCAGTCATGAGAGAAGCAAACTCGTCTCCTTCAAACAGACCTGGAACTTCTGCATTTGCAAGTAAAGTATTCATGCGCTCAAGGAATCCGGAATCAAGCACATTAGATTCGTCCATGATGAAGCAAATCTTTTCTCCTTTGCATCCAGCTCGTCGCAAAACGTTTCTCAGGTCCTCATCGAAATCTTCGGAGGAGTACTTTCCGTGAACCTTTATTTGGAAGATCTTCAAACCATTCATCCACGCTACGAATCTTGAAAGTGTGGTCTTTCCACTTCCACTGACACCGATGAGAATGAGATGACCTTGTGGTTGTCTGAATACACGATCGATACGAAGCGCATGTTCCAGAACGTCGTTAAAGAGAACCAATGGAACATCCACTTCCTCTTCACAGAATGTCTTAAGTCGGGCTTTAACGAAATCACGCAGTTGCTCCTGTTCCACTGGTACGTAGTTCTTCGAAAGCCAGTTCGAAAAGAGGATCGGCCCTTTCAATGCTTGTTCCTCATCAATCGTTGGGAAATGCTCCAATGCAATACGTCGCACTAATTCATCCGTCCATTTGCGTTCCTCTTCGGCAACGAGACGATCTTGGAAGAGACGAAGGGCTTCGTGGGCCCAAATTCGGACCAGACCCTCAACGGAAAGGCTCTCCAATGGCTTGATAGCCTCGTAAACACCACGTACCCATCTTGTCAATTCACGTGGCGAATACACATAATGAGGTTGGATCTTTGGCGTGAATCTTGTCTGTGACTCCAAATAAAATTGCACCATGGCTTTCGTCAATGCATCCGCGTATCCACGCAATGTGGGAATAATTTTGAGGACAGCCGAGTTGAATGTTCCGTAGATTTGATTCAGCGAAAGCTCTCCAGGATAGTCGACCATCATCAATGGTGCGTGTCGTAAGAAACGTTCTCCCATGGGGGTACGTCCGGCATCGGTGGGAGGGTTACAAGCACCAACGAATTGAATACGGTCCAGGGTAACCCATGTCTTGTCTGATGTCCGCCAGAAACCGTTGTGTTCTACCAATTGTCTCAAGAACGAGATTGCACGTTGCGTACCATAACGATCAGGGGCTGGCAAGTTGATCTCGTCACAGAAGATGACCAGCCAGCGTCCAATTTGGTTCGGAGACATTACTACACCATTCAACGTTTTCCTATATTCACAATATTGTTCAAAAGTCTTAATGAGGAGATCCGGTGTAGTGGCGCTGGAGAAGTTGAGACCAACAACCTCCATGTTTGGTAACTTTCGAAGGGCAGAAAACAATGTCATGGTCTTACCGGATCCGGGTGGACCACATAGTAAGAGAGGCTTGTGCTCAGCAAGCCACGAGTAGAGTACGTCTTCGTGGCGAACGGTATCTAAAGTTGGGATAATGACATCGGTTTGAGTGATGGAATGAGTATTGATCTCAACTGATGGTACTTGGGATTGCCAAGTGATCCAATCCGCCTTTGGTAAAGACACATCAAAGTCAATAAGTGATGAGGATTCGCTGAGTGGAGGTGGATCAATTGTGGAGGATGCGGTGAGATACTCCCCAAACCGTTTCCGATCGGCCAATGGACAGTCGCCAGTCAGAGACCAAACTAGTGCAAGAAGCAACTTCTTAGATATGTATGACTCCACTTGTTCTGCTTCAAGTGGAAAGTCAATGTGTTGGATGTTGTATTCTAGCACGTTGCGGCATGCTTTGTTCAGCAAGCTGAAGAGAGTGTTTAAGGCGCGGATTTCCGTGTACTCCATAATATGATCGTATGACCGAGCTTCTTCGAGGGTCTTGTAGATGAGTTCGTCGCTTTGCATGAATTGCTTAAGGATGTCGGATATCGTATCCTGGACAGCTTGTGTCTTTGCGGAGGCTTGCCCTGCGGGTACAGTATCATCGTCAAGATCGTCAAAGGTCTTGGTCTTTAGTGATTCGACGTAGTTTGTAACCATCATTGCTGGAGTTACAGTGTCATCGTTGAACCACACCATACCGCAACGACTGACAGTAGCTAAGGTTGCATATTTCAACGTCTCCACTTCGAACATTATGCGGACATTCGGAGGCAGATTAAGACGTTCACCATTAGGTAGCGTCAACAATTTGTTATCATCCAGGACACTGTTAAGATTTTCAACCCATTCAGGGTCAACATCACCATCAAACACAATCCAGTGGCGTTTAGAATCCTCTCCACGTAGGTTGTCAACGACTTTTCGCAAAATACCAGTGAACAAACCGTCGGTCCACTCTCTCGTTGTGCTGTCAAGATTACCGTAAAGCGCTTCCTTTGGCATTACCTTAGAATCAATTACATGACACACGCCTTCAATGCCCTCAACACGCTGCAAGGCTTGAAGTAGTACTTTCCATGAGGCCGATTTTCCAGAACCTGAGCGTCCAACCATCATGACACCGTGATGAATGCTTTGAATTTGGTATAGTTGGAGGGTTTTGGTAATCCAGGTGTCACTAGCAACATAATTATTCTCATTCGCAATGTCGCGAATGGCTTGTGTGAGTTTCTCGTAATTGGCGGGTACATATTCAACGCCTGGGAAATCTTCCCTCTGGATATCTAGCATTGTTTCGACGTCTTCACGGATAAGCTTGGGAGCAATAGTTTCACGCAGACTTTGAACAATGATCTGAGGTTCAACAACCTCATCCGGACCAAGGTTACCATCTGAATTTGCGAGACGTGCACGTTTCAATCCTCCAGAGCTGACGAGTACACTTTTCAAGGCACGAAGACCGAAGTCGTAATGAGCCTGCTTTGTTAACCTGCCTGAGCAGTGATCGAAGAAAGGAACGGTCTGTTTGGAAAGAGACTTCGCTTGCTTGAACCCTTGAGAGAAAAGCATGACTTCGGCAATGAGCTCCTTGTCTGGCTTTGACATTGCGACACTTCGGAAAAGCTTTTTCAAATTGTCGGGGAGGTTGGATCGTCCGGCGTAGCCTGGGTTCATCGTAATGAAAATACCTGTATTTTGATTGACTCGAAGGCGTCGACCGACCAATTCGATTTGGGTTGTATCATCATCGTTGCCCTTGCGAAGACCAATCTGGATATTTTGGATTTGTTGTGAGACCGCAGAGAGAATCCGTTCTTCTAAACGATTGAACTCGTCGAAACATCCCCAAGCACCAACTTGGCAAATACCCAAGAAAATTCGCCCCATGGCTTGGAAATCGAATGTGTCATCACAGCAAAACACCAAGGTGAAACGACCAAGTTGCAGACCCAGTGCCTTGACCGATTCCGTCTTACCAGTGCCTGCAGGTCCGTATGGAGAACCTCCCAATCTCTGGCAAAGAGCCTGCGTCAAAGTGAGGAAACAACGGTCTGTAAGAGGTGTGCGAACAAGTCGTTCAGGGACACCCAAGTATTCAAAGCCGTAATCTAATTTGGCATTGGCCATGTGCACATAGAGACGCTGTAGGAAATCGCCCTCATTCTTATACATATAGCGCATTTGAAGGAGCCACATATAATGAGTGGGTGTCGTTGCGTTGAATTTGATGAGTTTTGAGATGACATCTCGCTGGTGAACAAATTCCGTAATCATATGTTCACACTTCTTCCTCGTGATAGCATCTAGCTCACCAAGGACAGTGGCAGCAAGCAATTCAAGGATGCGTACTTCGGCATCATACAATGAAGATAGATCACTACCGCCATTCTCAAGGGACTTTTGAACAGCATTGGTCCACACAGCTTGACTTGCAAGCACAACTATTTGAGCAGGGTAGTTGGCAAGGTAGTCGTTGAAAGCTGTTTGATCCACTTCATTGGTGTTGTAGATAGTCTCAAACTGTTCAACCGCCTCTGCTAGGAGCTCCGCAAGGGTCACTTTCAGATTATTATCCAAAGCTGACAGCCAATCATTGATCCGCGGTGTTTTGATAAGATTTACTTCGCGTTTTAATCTGACTTCTTCTCCTTCTTTCGATGTGCAACCAACAATGTTGTTGTCATCGTCCATAACGAGGCCAGACAAACCAGCAAACATTTTCTTGAAATGCTTAGCGACCCGAAGTGTATCATTGCTATTACCAATAATCTCCAAGAGATCTTCATCACCAACGAAATAGAAACGAGGGAATGAGACACGTTCTCGTTCAAGGTATTCACCAAGAGCTTTCTGGATCTTGTTAAGCAGCTCTGCCAGTCTCTCCAAAGATTTTTGAACACCAGTAATGGCTAGTACGTCGAGAACAAAGGGTGATTTATAGACCTTTTTCATTACCGCAAAAAATTCAGAGTTGATGTTTTGGAATCGAGCAGATTCCAGGGGAAGGAGGTGCTTGATATCAGCATTTCCTGTGAAAACGCCTTCAAGGTATACCCATTGACGTTGGACATCAATCCATACATCGAAAAGAACATGAACCCTATTGAGCTTATCTTCCCATGTCGAGGCTTCCTCCTCGAATTCTTTGTAGTATGGCGAATGTCTCATAGCTTGTAAGGAGTTGAGATTTTCACTGCACTTCGCAAAGAGATCATCAAAGCCTCGGATCAGGCGACATTTATTCTGATAGTTGACAAGGTCCAAAGAATAATTTTGCCAAGTCTCACGAACCATTTTAAGGAATTCCTCCAGAGCCATTTCGCCCTGTGCCTGAGCAATAATATCTCGCAGGACATTCTCACTAGCAGCAGGCTGTAGGTCCCAGACATCTCCGAGGGTCAAGGCAACTTGTGAGAACCGCTTCCCTGGTTTCAAAGCCTTGAAAATCTTTTGCCAATGTCTCTCTTTAATTGCCTCCGATTTGAGATCTGACAGAAGGGGATTAATCTTCAGAAGCTGGCGCAGAACATTTTGGATGTGTTCAAAAGCGGCATATTGGCGCATGCGGCTGGGCATCTCCTTTGTCATCTTGATGAGATTGTCGATAGATTGTCGAAGTTTCCTAGGTTGGACGCTGGTCCATAACATCTCACGAAGATCATTCAAGCTCTTCCAGATCGTTGACAATGCAGCCCATACAGACATGAAGTCCTGGACTTCTTCTAATATTGCAGGCAATGATGACTCTGCACTGGAAGGAAGATCCAGTGCTTCTTTGGCTTTTGAAACCATCTCAAACTCTGACTGCAAACTTTCAAGTCGAGATTGGAATGAGCTTAATGTTTGAGAGGCCTCTTCTGGAGGAATAGTACCAGATACCGGTTTTTCATCGTTCCATTGAGTAATGATGTCTTTGATCTTGTCGCCAATAACCTTATCTTCAGCTGTGATTTTGGCACGTAGAGCTTCTGTCTGGTCTTGGACGATCTTGCCCTTTCTAATAAGCAACTCATTCAATGCAGTCCATTCTCCGTCCACATTTTCCACGTGTAGCCAATCGGTGGGAAATTGATATCGCTGACGTGCTAAAGTTGTCTGACCTTGTCTAAATAGGTCCACCTGCGGTTCCCAAACCTTTGCCTTGCGCTTGCACTGTTGTACAATTGTGATGAATGACACGGCGTGCGCCGTGGAGGAAGCTTCCAGGGTTTGCCCTTCCAAGTCTCTACGAGCGGCAGCAATTTCAGAGTGAACTTCCCTCATACGACCACCAAGTTTAGTTCCGAATTTGTGGAGAATCTCGTGCTGCCACTGGTCATATTTGGCATTTACTTTAGTTTGCACTTGCTCGTAGTCGATAGTGATATTGCCAAAAGGTCGACTGACTTCTGATGTATCAAATGTTGCACGGCTTTTGCGAATTTCTTGAAGTAGTTGGAGCCATTGCGAGAGGTCGTCACCGAGTATGTCGTAGACTTGGTCAGCTTGTAAATCCCAGAGAGACTGAAATTGAAGCCATTTATCAACATAGTTCGAAATTTCTCCCAGTCTAGCTTCCACAGCCCCGTAAACTTCAGCTAGCTCATCAGAGCAGTGTTGAGGAAGGTTGACAAACGAAGTTTCAGAGAGTTCGGTCTTCTCCACATCAAGCGAGATTTGGTAGCGTGAGGACTTGATCTTCTCGAGATGGCAAATGACACCAAGCCATTGACCGAGGTGGGCAAACCAGCTTGCGCGTGCGTACTGTAGTGGTGGATCAAGATGCAAGACCTGATTCCTCATTGAGACTTCATGAACAAGTTGTGGAAATTCAATTCGGTAAATATCAACTTCAGAACCATCGCCAACTGTTTGTGTTCCCTGGCTGGACACACGTTTAGAGTATTGTTCATTCTTCGATTCTTGGAACGAAGAAATCCAGACTCTGATTGCTTTGTGGAGCCTCTCGCGCAAAATGGATTCAATTTTCAAGTTCAAATTTGATACCCAGTAGCCGAGATTGACATAGTTTTCGAGGTTTAGCTTATCGACAGATATTTGGATCGAGTCTAGGCGTTGGCGGAACACTGTTGATTCGTAAGGACAAGTCTTAAGCTCTAGAATAGCCTTCTGGATATTCTCGTTGATCGAAGCCAAAGTTGCAGCTTTAGACTGGAGTACTGAAGCTGACACTGCAAATTCGCGGACAAATTGAACGTGTTTGCTTTCGCCCCTTCCAGCAATCGTTGGGTCAAGTGCACCATTGGTTAGCGTAGATTGTTTGACGTGAAGCTCATAAGAGTGAACGAAAGACTCCCAGCGTAGGGGAATGCCTTTGATGATCATAGCTTGAGCATCATTTTGATAGCCACTCAACAAGATTGCGACCTCGGTCATCGCAGAAATGGTACGAGTTGTCTGAAGTAGTGTACGAACTGTTTCCATAAGGCTGATAGCGTATGGATACACACGTTTAGCTTCCTTTGATATACTGCTGACCGCATGAGGAACCTGGAAGTTCAACCAGATCAAGTTCCGCACTTCCTTGAAAAGAGCAATAATCTGTGCGTCGAAGTTGACCGTCAGTTCTAAGGAATTTCCAGCAGCTCGGTTTCGGACGATATTAAATAGACGTCCCGAAATTGTAATGTGTCTTCGTTGAACATCATGGAGCCAAGACTCAAATACCGGGCGAGTATCCAGCTTTTTCCGAAATAAGTTGCTCTCAGCCTGAAGTTTTTGGCCTTCGGAGTGCAAATGCCAATCCTCGCCAAGAACATCCTCGACTTTGCGCATATAGCCATTAAGCTGTCGTTCGATTTGACGTGCCCAAACAATGGCGCCGGAGACAGGAGGTAGGTCTCGCAGTTGAGCCATAGCATGGGCTTCTGAATGACCGTATTGTTGCTTGAACCGTTCATGCAGAGCAGAGATGTCGTGTTTGACATTGTCAATGAGCGTGGTTTGGTATTCACCAATCGCACCGCGAATTTTAGGTCGTACAAGCAAAGCATTGAATTTGGAGAAAACACGGAACATCTCGTTTGCGTTCTTAGCTGTCGCAAGACGGTCTCGTAAACGGGCAATGATAGAGTTCTCGACACGCGATGTTCGTTCGTTGTAGGATATCTCCGCCTGGATCCATAGCTGCGTGCCTTCTTCAGAGACATCGAGGACGTCGACGTCTTTCAAAGCGGCATATGCCTGTGTCACCTCCTCCACGGCGTCCACATCACCAATTTCTTCAACAATAACTGCCCCGTCGGCTCCATTCGCATTCATAGATGATTTCGGACCCAGAACATTAACAATCGTTCTCTGCAGTTGCTCGTGATTGACGCGGAATGTATTAATGTATTTCAAGCGCTCTTGGGTCTTTGTGTGTCTGGGAACAATCTTAATTGGGATGAATTTCTCATTTCGCCGGCGAGAAGCATCACGTCCAACGTTGGTGAATTCTTTCACGTTTTCGTCCCAGGTTCGCCAAATCGCACTGCAAGTCTTCATCAATGAACGGAATTCTCGGTAATCAAGATGCATGATCGTTCGTCCATGAAGCAGGGCATGGATTTGTGAGTCTAAGTCGCCAGATATAGCCTCCACCAGAGCCAAAGCCCTCTTGATAGGGTACGGAGATATCTTGAGTTTCCTATTGAGATGGTTGAAAATTAATCCGAGAGACTCTTGAACTTTCTGGAGAGTTGTTGCCGACAATAATTCGTCTAATGGAAAGTCCCGCATCAGCTGATTGTATTTCTGAACTGTATCCATTGCCTCTCGGAGTCCAGTATCTGCAACGAAACTCAGTGTCGCTTGGTAACGTTTAGCGTGCCGAAGAATTTCCATGGTCAGCTGGACTCCGTCACCACGAAGTTGCTTTTCGATGCCTTCCAACGCTGTTTCCATGGATAACCAAAAGTTAATTTCTTGGTTCGCAGAACCACTGTCTGCATCCCGAGACATTTTTGTGATAGTTTGAATAGACTTAATCCAGCCGTTCACATTATTTTGAATACTGTTGAGAACGGTGCTGTTTTCAAGTGCAGCAGGCGGAATCAGTTCGACAGAGGGTTTGACACCTCGTGCTTCGGCGTCATCCAAAGCAGCCTGGACAATCTCATGAAGTGGCAGATTAAGGGTTGGAATTTCGACATTTTGCTGAAGATGCAAAAGTGCGAGATCCAACTCTGCGATACGCTTTTTAGCACCTGGGACACCAGTTTTCGCTTCGGTTTCCGGTCGCTGCTTGATTCCATTGGCTGTTTCCTGACCACGTGTGTATGCCTCGAAATAGGGGGCGAGAGTATTATGTACTAAAGAGTGAAGAATCTCAAATGCAGATATTGAAGCACCTTGTTGAGCCTGTGTATTGTTTAGCGCAGACAAGCCAGGGAAGTTCGTCACCTGAATCTGAGTTGCGATGTGGTGGTTTGGGTCAATCGGTCCGGGGCGTTTAACAAATGCTACCGACGCAACTGTTGTAGAGGAAAAGGAGATCTCTGAAGTGAGAGCATACGTGAACCTGTCTTCTGCTCCTGCTACTAATTAGACAGCAATTCCAACACCCGTGTAAGGGGCGAAACATACCATCTTCGTTCTCTGCGCCATTGGGCTCCTGTGTGCCAACAATGTCTTGTTGAACGTATAGTGCCACCTGAGACTCCGAAGCAAACCGCGTGCATCTCTGCACGGTTTCCGAGTACTTCGCTTTCGACAGCAAGCTGCCCTGGCCCTCCAGATCTTGGCTCGTAGCCCCCAGTGTCACCTGCAGGACTTCTGTGAGATACTGGACGACCACTTTCGGATCTACCGAAGGGCCCTGAGCCGACGCTGCCAGGCCATTAGTGATGCCTGGAGTGGCAACCTCCATAGTGTATGTAGACGAGGGATCAACGACGCATCGAAATCATGAGTGAGTGTGATCTGTCGTTTTCGGGGATAGGATGCGGAACTCAGGTTATTTGTATCGCAAACAACCGGAGAAACAATGGAGCGTGGAAGGCGTAGATTAGAAGATTAGAAGATTAGAGGGTATCGAAGTAGCGGGAGGGTAGGGAACGATGGCGGTTGGGCGAGCGATGAGTTGTCGATGGCCGATAGAGAGAATTAATTATTATTTGTCTTTAGCCCCGTTTGGTGCTCGGGGGAGGAGGACGCGGCGGGCGTGTTGCTGATAATCACGGGACTGGCACGGGCTGGCCCGTGCCATCTACCATACTATTATTGCCACGGACCGCGGACTGCAGTTTGCAGGGGCTGTCAGGGGTTGTGTACACGTAACCCAAAACGGTTAGACCGTACCTGCAGTATTCTGCCCTTTTCTGCCAGCATATTCCAAGGCGGACAGCCATATTATTCTCTCATTGGCAGACGGTGAGAGGTGGGCTAGACTAATATAGGAACTGTCACATGACCCTGAAACCTCAGACGAGCATTTTGGAGGTTGTTAGGCGATTTGCAGTTGCACAAAGTTGACCCTTTGTATGGGAGCTGGCCCGGCCAATCACAGCACGCTGCTCGCTGGATGGGCCTGCTGCTCTTGCTATTTCAAACTTACTAAGCTGTTTGTTCTCCTTTCTGAATACTAATTGATTTCTATTCTCTATCAAATTCGATCTCAGCTGTCAGAATTTTTGTGTGTAATGAATGCGTCTGCCAGTTGAAATGAGAATTGTCAGACTTCAGGCTCGACAACGTCTTTTGATGAAGTAGCTTTTGGGCATTTACAGCGGTACAGTTCACGGAACTTGTCCAAGCTTAGCCCCTCCAGCTTATCCAGACCGGCCTGGCTTGCTTTCATTTTCGCACCCCGGACAGATGATCCCTTTGCTTCTGCCAAAACCTCATCGTGGACGAATACAGCTGCCAGAATTATTACGGGTGCTCCATCTACGGCCGGTATTTCACCTGCCTTGAGAGAGAACTCTATGCATCCAAACTCGATAGACAATTTATTATGCAAAAACGTCTGTTGCAAATTATCAGTCTGCTTTCTCCCAATCTGTATCAGACCTTAACTCACGACAGGATGTTTGTTTGCAAATGTGTCATACAACGCCATATCCTCAAAGAATGGTTTGATATGTTTCTTGTAAAACGCCTCGATGACACCAAAGTCGAACTCAGAGTCAACAAAAATGGCACCAAGGTAAGCTTCTAGCATGTCTGGCAAGCACTATATCATTTGTTAGCAACGTTAGCATCACTTGCGAAGTTATTATATAGTAGAGTACTCGCCTTTGGGGCGTCTTCTGTGCTCAGCCAAAAATCCACAGACCGCTTGTTCTCGTAGGCTAACTGTGATTCCTCAACATATTGGTATATCTGGCTCTGAAGTGGACTGCTAAAGTATTGCAGGTGAGTGTGTAGCCCAAGCTGCACAGTGAGGGTGCCCAGGAACTTGTTGGATACCATAGCCATCTAAAGCCGTAGCAACATTGGTAAGACACGCACTATAATGAAAATACCAAGATTAATACTTACTTTATGCTCAGTAAGCCATTGTGGATCACGATCAGGAAATCTCTCATATAGATCCTCAACGCAAACCATATCCAAAAGCGAGTCACCTAAAAACTCTAAGCGCTGATAGCAGGGAACCCTTGCCCAAGCCGATGGGAACGACTGATGAGTGAAAGCGGATCTAAGCAGCCTAGGATACTTGAAATGATACCCCAGTTTCTCCTCTACCTGTAGAGCAAGCTTCTTCTCAAACCCATCAGGAATCTGGGTTTGATAAGGTGGCAACGAATAAAGCTGATAATAATCCGCCCATCTGCATGCTTTGTGGGACTTGTTATCATTCAGGTCGTTGTTAACCAATTCTGTCACTGCCTTGACAGCCATATCAAATCGGTGCTCAGTGCCACCGGAGAGTAAAGATGCTCCAATGATTGCTTCGCAGACGTCTGCAATCGTCTTCTCTCCTAATGCATGCTCTTCTGATCCTTTGGATTCGTTTGACTTGCCTCGGAGTAGTTTCATGCCCTCCGGATACCAATTTCTCCTATATTCGATTAGTACTTCGATAGTAATGGCTCTTTCAGTTGATAACATAAAAATTGTACTAACCTAGAAAACCCTTTACTCCGTATGTACTCGTATAGTTTTCGCTCCTTCGCCGTATTATAAAGATTTCTATTACAAAGAAGACACATTCGATTGACATGGAAATCATACTCCTGGTCGAAAGGATTCTGTGCGAATAAGGCAATTGATGTTGCCATCTTCAGGAAACAATCGCCAAGGAATTCAAGGCGCTCATAGTTTTTTCCCATGCCTCTCTGCAAGTGTATTTGCTCGTGACGATGCTCCTCGGTGTTGTCAGAGTCTTTTGTAATTGCCTCCAATGCATAAGATAGATCAACCTTTAGATCCAAGCTACTGCAGCATTCCTGGGCAATAAGATAGGACTCTAGACGTGTCAGAATAGCGGGCATCACGAAGCAAGTTGCAGCTGTTGAGGCGGGAATCTGTGACATAATCAATATTCACATAAGTAAGACATAGCAATACTAAAATACTAACCGCCGAAATAACCATAGGTTCCAAACATATTACCGATCTTCTTTCTACGTCTCTTTCCTTCTCAGTCATTTTTTCCAGGAGGTTTCTTCGGAGCGGTATCAAATCTGCGTCGAAAACGGGCTGGTTCCAATCACATGATGAAAGAAAAATTCCCCTGGCCTTTTTGTACAAACTCAGGCCATAGTCCATGATGTTTTCCATGTGTTTACGGTGAGGGAGGAAAGACGGTGGTGGATCTGATGGACGAAGTGTTGGGTTGATTTTTGTAAGAAAATAACGATATTTTCCATCCCATCGATCGTAGACAAATCGGCCGACCATTTCTTCTGGTTTGGAAGCAGTACCAGGGACTTCATCATTGTCGTAGACAAACTGTATTGCCTCCCAGTCAATAATATCTAGTGGGTCAATGATGGTTTTGTCCATGGTGATCTCTGTCGCTGCTGGAAGCAACCAGTACGGCATCATTGTCGTATCCTGTTCATATGTCTTGTTATATAAGTCTCGAAATACTCTAAGAGTAAAAGTAGTAATGAGTTTCACACGATTAGAAGATATCGTCAAGGCCTTCGTCAGCGGGATTGACCGGATTGTAGTCTCGATATCATCTTCCAAATATATTGGGAACTCCGGGAACTGGGGTAACCGCTCACGAGTTAACAGTATAACACTCGCGTAATTTCTCTGTAATGGTTCGACTGGAGTCAGAAAGATCAATGTAGTAAACAAGGCGTTTGGCTCAATGCCGCGACCTTGCTTCCAAAACGTCGCCTTTGTCATCATCGGGTATTGAGCTGTCTTGCGAGACATGATTGCCAATTTCGCATTACGCATCACAGGGAGTCTCCGATGATAAGTAGATATGAAATGTTCATCTAGCAAGTTACTCTTGCGCAGGAGGAGACATGTGTCAAAGGCTGCAGATTGTTTCGCGAGAGACTTTTGTGTCGCCGGCTTGCCTAACAGTCTATGGACAGGCGATTTCTCAGGAAGTATGACCTCACATTGATACATATCCTTAACTGACGAAACAAAATAATGGGCTTGCGGGCAATCGTCATTCTCATATTGCTAAACACTTGGTCAATCACGCGTTCACAACAATAAGACAGAACTATCATACCAAGGAGCTTGCATAGCGAGCGAGTATGGTCAAAGCCGAATGATATGTCAAGGTGGCTCCACTACTCCGTATGGTATATTGCCTTTTTTTGAGGTCTTTTTCCAACATATAGTCAAGGTTATCATGGCTGTAGCCCAGCATTCTGTCCTTTGGCAGGCTCTCACAAAACCGGCGCATCACCGCCTATCTATATGTTAGAGAGAAAGACCTATAAATAATAAGAATGCGTACCTCTGATTGGTGTACTAGATCCAACCTAGTCTCATGTTCCATGTTGCCGATTTCTACCATGAGCGCATACTAACGAATAACCATTAACTTGTATTCTTTATTCCTCGTTAGGATATCTTGTCATTTACCGTGGAGTTAGAATGCCTTGCCCGGCCTCGACTTTGAACGTATTGAATCAGAGTCTCATAGAGATCGAATCTGTACATTTTAGTATTCTATTTCTTTACAGCAGAGGCGGGTCTAGCCTACCTGACCACGAGGTTACAGTCTGGGATATCGAGTCCTTCCTCTGCTACTGAAGTTGCAAACTTCTTCTGTCAGCAATTACCATTCTTTATTATGGATCAGTGTTCTTACCAGGCAATTTAACTCTCCTTTTTTAAACCTCATCATTGTTTTAAATTGTTGATGGTATGTCGTGTTGGTTCCGAGACTATCGCCAGATTTACTCAAACCTATCAAGACTCCAGGACGCATGGTTGATACGCTTAGCTCCTTGAACACATCTTCAAGGATTTTAGCAGTGTGTCTTTGTTTGGTGAACACAATACACTTGGAGTTTGGCAATTTTTCAAAATGCTTCGACAGGTTTTGGTAAAGCAGCTGGACTTTTGGGCTCAGCAGCTCGAATATGGCGGCACCGCGAGGCAGCTCATGTTTGACGACCATATCAGAAAGATCATTGAGCCTTTTCGTTCCTTCTTCCGTCAATTTTACAGCGTCCTCATGCGCGAGCCTTTGGTGGGATGTACTGAGCCTTCCCTGAAACTTCGGAAGGGATTCTTCTCTCAAGGCAGTAAGCCAAATACGATCCGCACACCACTCCCCAAGTTCCACACTAGCTTGAGAGGAGTATGCGAATATCTTCGAAAGACATTCCATATTTCCATATTTGCGTTCCAAAATTTCATGAAGTTTTGTTTTGAAGGGTTCTTTGGGAATTGGATACTTCCATAGTTCCTCATCTGGCCGAGTGACTACCTGTCGTAAAAGTGCTAGGTTGGAAGTTGTCGCAATCTTGCTATTTAATAACGTTTCAAGTTCCCTAAATACAGTTTCAAATTAATATCATTAAAGTTCAAATAGAATCAAACTTACAAAGCTGCTGCCACAACATCACCTTTAGCATTGATAGGAGATGCCGTCATACCAAATACCCGGGGTCGGCAGGCTGCGTCAGTTTTGAGATAACTGTCTTTGATGATCCTAACACTCAATCAGGACAGACTTCCAATTTTAATCAGAAATAGATGATTAACTAACCTGGCATATGGATGCTCCTTTTTTGTATGGTGTGCCTCATCAAAAATTAACAGATTTATGTCCTCCATCCGGACGAAAGAATTCAGAAGAGAATGATGAAGAATAGCAGCAGTGCAAACTATAACCATGCTGTCATTGAGGGTTTTACTCCATGCCTCTTTATTCCAGAGGTCCACTCCTAGGTCACCGATCAAAGGGGTAACTGTCTGATCGATGTTGTTTTTCAAGACGGCTGACTGTTGGAAAACCAGAGTAACGCTGTTGACCTGTCATCAATTGAGCATCCCAGGCATATTTCTCGTATTTAGGCCATTTACCAGGAAGAAGCAGACTCGTGGTCTTTCTCCACAATCCCGACTGATCAACTCGTTCTGAATTATGTATTTCATAAGAAGTACCGCAATCAATGTTTTTCCAGATCCTAGGTTCAGAACTCTAGTCAGTAATGCCAATATATGCCTGAATACCACGCCAGCTGTCTTACCTGTATCAAGAACAGCTATAGTGTTTTCTTTCTTAGCCTTCTCATACAGCTCAATTTGATACTCTCGAGGATCATGTATGGTGGCAGCAAAATCTTGTGTCGCCAGCAGATGGCGAGTTGAAGTGTCAACATGTTGTGATTTCTCAATCGCCTTTACCTCCTCGTCTGTTATGATTTTCGCAACCTTTGACAGCCTGTATGTTTGAGCTAGTTGGTATTTTGAAAGTGGAACTCGGTGAAATAAACTCACAATGTCTTGAAGTGAGCATTTTGTGCTCGACGTCCTGATACTGGGGAGGTGTCTGGAATGTCTTCCTCACTCTCGGACTCGCTCTCTGGAGCTCTCTCCTCTGTAATGCTCAAAGCTTCCATGAGTGAAACCAAATCGGATGCCTGTGGATTGCGCTGTGGTGATGGCAATGTGCTTAGAAATTTGTCCAATTTGACGCTCCGCTACTTGCAAGTGACAGAGGAGACGGGAGACGTCTCAATGAGTAGATTTTGTAGTATCAAAAGGAACGAATGATATTATTTTAAGCTGGTAAAGAGTGTCAGAATGTCCGGAATGAGAAAGCCTCTAGAGTAAGGTGGCCGCTTGTTTGCAACCAGGCGGTTACCTGCTTAAAACAACACCGCTTCTTATGATCAGTCAAATCCATTTTGGAATTTACGGTCACTCGATTTGGCTTAGATTCTTCTCTTGTTCCATTTATGTGCCGTGGATCGATGTATATTGAAAAAATTCTATATTATCTATGTACCATTTAGTTAGTGGTTTTACTTAAGGGTTATCTAGTAGGTGACTCAATTGAGTTGGTGACTTTATTGTTGGACATTTCAACTGATATATCCAGAATAGACTTACTGATATCATTTATTTACTGTACCTAAGTGAACAAATATTCTAGTAATAGTATGGTAAGCAACATAACCGATATATATATTAACTCTCTTCTCAGTCTATCAATTGATCACTACAAATTTGCCCCAGTTTTGCGGTATTCTCACGGTTCCTGTGCTATTGGAGTAAACCTTTGTCCTAGTTGAATTTCGAATCATGAAGATATTTTTCATCCATCTCTCTAGATCGAAATCTAGTTTTCGTATGTTGACTGCGGAAATGCTCCGAGATCGGCGGGCAAATACCGCGCGGGGATGCTTAGCCTTAAAATTAAGCCCCTCCAGCGCCTCCAGCGCCTCCACATTGCTCAACGATGGCAGTTGCTGATTGCTGATAGCTTCGATTAATTTGGTGACAATATCACATTTCGTCTTCTCTAATAACAATCATGACAGACCAGCCCCAGAGTCTGCGAGCTCTTTTCGATGCCGCCAAAGCGGACAAGACCGCCTTGGAACACAGCGTGGAACCCAACAGCAAGGCATCTCGTGACCTTGTTTCAGCGGCGATTTCGAAGCTCCAAGAATGCCAAAAGCTGGTAAGCCAGCTGTCGCTATTCAGCTCCAACGAGGGCCTGGAAGATATCCCCAGCGGCGATTTACAGTCAGTAGAACCCCCCCCCCAGAACTTCCAATGACCTCCTTACTGACTGCGCACAAGATTCTTGACGGTAGATTACTTTTTGGCAGAGTTACTACAACGATCATCTTCGTCCGATCGGGGGGAACTTCTACGACGCGCAACGGCAGAATATGAGAAGTATTTGACAAGGCTTGATCAGTACGAATTACTGTCAGCTAGCGATCGGAAAATGTTTGAGCAATATTTAGAGAACCCTTTCACTTTTTCCCTGGCTTCGAAAAACGACGCCCAGAACAGGCGCGACATCAAGGTCGCCAGGTTCCGTCAGGAAAAGGAGCTGAAGCAAAAATTGGAGGTCAGTACTGCTGGTATGAGTATTAAAGTGTCACGCTGAGAGATGAGTGTCAGTATTTTTCTCAAAATCAAACTCGTCTTCAGAATGACGACGATGCCGTGCGCCAATTGTACCTCGCAGAAATCAGCCTCTACAACCACCAGACTTTTCAGTCACTCGATATGATATCACAGGAACTAGAAATCTTATCGCAAATGCGTAATGCCCCTCCCCGTCCCGACCAGACACTGCAACATGACTCGAGGAGACGAGTCGACGCCGATAGAACAGGATATACAGAACGGCTTGATGCCCCGCTGGCTCAGCTGTTGGGCCGCCAGAAGGGCCCACTACTGAGCAAACACGGAAAACCCTTGCAGCCTTTCACACTCACAGATCGCCGGACGGAGCTTCAGCGAGGTGTATTCCGACCTAGTCATAACCTACCTACGATGTCTATTGATGAGTATTTGGAAGAAGAAAGGAAACGAGGAGGTATTATTGAAGGTGGAAATAATGAGCAACCACAAGAGATTGACGAAGATGATATGAATAGAGCTGACAACGAAACTATGAAGGCTCGAGCTTGGGACGAATTCACGGAAGATAATCCTAGAGGATCTGGAAATACACTCAACCGGGGCTGAGTCATTGATAACCACACTTTTATTCTCTTACATGTAGAATTTATAGAGCCTAATCAGATAAAGAACAGCCATTTTGGATCATATGACAGGATCATCTGCTGATTTCATCCTACTACGAGACTTTCATATCGGTTTATCCGAGGTGAAATCCTCAACATCGAAAGCAGCTCGCGCTACTGTGCGATTAGTATCTGCCAATAAACATAAACTTAATCAAGACATGTGATGGTAGAAAATATGTAGCTGGGTGTTTGCACATCTATATGTCGGTTGGTTGAGAGCCATCAAGCCTGGGAGATGACCAGTGCGTCCGGATATTAGACCTTTTTCCGCCGTGAACAATGCTTAAAAACTTAAGAATTTTATAGATATCATGACGTTGCCTTGTTTTGTTTGATATCGTCGAGAATCGCCCCAGCCCCTTTGGCCACCAGTTCTTTCGCCACTTCCAACCCAAATGCTTCAGCAGTAGCAGGACTGTCGACAGTGCCATCGACTTCCACTTGTGATGCTTGCTTGCCATCAATGCTAACGACGATAGACCGCATACGAAATTTTGTGGTCGCATCGGAGTTCTTGATCCACTCTGATTCTACACCGAGCGGTGCACTGCATCCACCTTCGAGAGCCCTGAGCAAGCTGCGTTCTGCTAGGACTTCCAAAAATGTCTCCTTGTGTCCCGCCTGGTTTATCATTTCAAGGACAGTCTCGTCATCGGAGCGGATCTCTAGGCCGATTGCACCTTGACCAACTGCATATAGAAAACCAGCACTCTTTGAATCGAGGTATTGCGTAATCCGGTCCCCCAGGCCAATTCGGAGTAAACCAGCTGCACCTAATATAATACTCTGAAACGGGCCATCTTCTGCATCGAGTTTCGCCAAACGTGTTTCGATATTTCCACGGACACTTTCGACTTTCAGATGCGGATACCTCAAGGCTAGCTGAGCTGTGCGACGGATTGACGATGTTCCAATAACAGAGCCGGCGGGAAGCTCAGCAATTGACTTGTAAGGTAGACCGGGCTTTACAACGAGTACATCCCGGGGGTCTTCGCGAACTAGAACACCTCCTAATGTACACGTAGACGGGAGTAATGTAGGCACATCTGTTCGTGAATAGATAAACGTCAGCCCTTTTGGTCCGCAATACCCACATCAAAATATCAATATCAACCTTTCAGCGCGTGCACGATGACATCCAGATGACCAGCAATGAGTAGCTGTTCTAATTCCTCGGTCCAAAGATTTTTTGAAGTGAGATCCTTCAACGCAGTCAACTTGTCTCGATCGCCGGCGGTATCCTTTGATTTGACGCTGAATTCACAATCGGCATATCTCGTCTTCAAAGCCTCAATGACCAGATCCGTCTGGGCAAGGGCGAGCGTCGACTTGCGAGTACCAATGTTGAACGACTTTCTCTGTGGGGAGGGGCTCGTCGATGCGGGAGGGGCGGAGGAGGCCATTGTGCGCTGCGATATTTAGACCGCCAATGGAACGAAGAGACGATACGATATATGCGGCGTAGGAAGAAGACCAATTTGTCAGGTCTGGGAAACAACAAATGGCGCAGCAGAGCCAAAAGCACCAAGATTTGCTAGGCGGGCCAATATCTGGTGGTGTCACGAGATCCGATCCACCGGTAAGTGCCAGCGTGATAAGATAAGCAACCGTAAATGACGCACGCTCCTGCCTCGGCTTCGGTTCCAGCCTGCGCTTGCTTCTAGCATCGTCCATGCCGTGATTCTTCCCCCGGCTCTTATTCTCTCCATTCATCGCCTCTGTCCAGCATTCGTTTGATTCAATAATACTCCAGCCTCATCTTCTTTTTATCGATTCCTCGCTAGCTGCATTCAGCTGGACCTCTCGACGATGGGGCCCAACAATGGAAAGACCGCCAAGCTCCCCCTCGTGCCATTGGCCAAGGATACCGTGCTCCTACCCGGCGTCACGATGCGCATTCCCCTTACCAACCGCCCAGACATTGCCAACCTCCTGTCATCTTTAGTGAATCGCGCCAAACGAGACAATATCTTGATCGGATGTGTGCCGCTTGCATCACCACGGTTAAGCAAAGACGGCCAGCAACTCATCGAGAACGGCTCGGATTCGCAAAATGAAGGTTTCGAAAACATCGACGCCGGGCAGGCTCGAAAAGGCGATTTATTTAACTACGGCACTATTGCCAAGCTAGTAGGCGTTCAGCGCCGTGTTTATTCGGAACCATATCTCCTCGTCGAGGGTGTCAGAAGGCTTTCTGTAGAGAAAGTCATCAGAGAACGACCGTTCTTCGAGGCAGAGGTGACAGCCAATGACGAACCTGGTAGGTTGATGCTTACAATATATCCTGTATTATGCTCATACTAGTTCTGTCTAGTCCCAACTACAAGCGACAGCGAGATAGTTGAACTGTTCCAGCATCTCAAACAACTCTCTCGAGAACTTTTAACGCTACTCAGGCTCGCATCTCTTATTCCCTCTGGACCCTCAAATCTCTCTCCGACAGTTGCACGCCGATTTGAAGTATTTATCACTCGGAAAGACCTCTCCCAGGCAGGAAGTTTAGCCGACTTCATGGCGGATATTGTGGATTCGAGCCTTGAAGAAAAGTTGCGAGTTCTGTCAGCTTTCGACGTTAAAGAAAGACTGGAACGAGTCATCGAGCTGCTGAACAGACAAGTTCAGGGCATCAAGAATAATGTTAAAATCACCTCCATCACAACAACGGGGTTCTCGCCCAACTCAGCCTTTGATATTTCCCAATTAGACCCCAGATTAGCACGACGGGCCATGTCTGGTGTCAACGGGTTTTCTCCAATTGGAAACGGGCCTGGGCGTGGAAATGATGACGAAAAGGAAGTTTCAGAGGTCGATGAGCTTCAACAGAGACTTGATGAGGCACAGCTAAGCCCGGAAGCACGCAAAGTTGCCGATAGAGAGCTCAAACGACTTCGCAAAATGAACCCCGTGAATGCTGAATACGGCGTTTGCCGTACTTATTTGGAAAACCTTGCCGATATCCCGTGGTCGAAGGTAACTGAGGATCAATTTGGAAGTGACACCTTGCAGCGAGCCAGGAAACAACTTGATGATGATCACTACGGACTTGAGAAAATCAAGAAGCGCCTTTTGGAATATCTTGCCGTGTTGAAATTGAAACAGTCTGTCAACCTTGATGTAGACAGAGAGATTTCAGAGGTATCCGACAAGCTTAGCACATCGGAGAAAGATGCCAACGAGAGAAGTACCCTTCCGCATAACGAAAGAGAGGGACTGGAGACCAAACTTCAAATGTTGAAGACGAAGCGTATGATTGACAAATCACCAATTTTGTTGTTGGTTGGTCCTCCAGGAACTGGCAAGACTAGCTTGGCGAAGTCTGTGGCTGCTTCCTTAGGACGCAAGTTTCATCGTATTTCTCTCGGTGGTGTACGTGATGAAGCTGAGATCCGTGGTCACCGCCGCACTTATGTCGCCGCAATGCCTGGTCTCATTGTCAATGGCTTAAAGAAAGTTGGAGTCGCGAATCCTGTGTTCCTACTTGATGAAATTGACAAAGTCGGGGGATCTAACTTCCACGGTGACCCATCCGCTGCAATGCTTGAAGTATTGGATCCCGAGCAGAACCACAACTTCTCCGATCATTATATCAATATTCCTATCGATTTGAGCAAGGTTCTCTTCATTGCTACTGCTAACTCTCTGGACACCATTCCGGCACCTTTGTTGGACCGCATGGAAACCATTTCACTTTCGGGCTATACCACAGTAGAGAAACGGCACATCGCTAGACAGCACCTTCTCCCGAAGCAGATCCGGACAAATGGCTTGTCCGAGGGCAAGGTTGCACTTACCGATGATGTTCTTGAGAAGGTCATTACATCCTATACCCGTGAGTCTGGTGTTCGAAACCTGGAACGCGAAATCGGCTCTGTATGTCGCTATAAGGCGGTGCAATATGCCGATGCCAAAGAGACAAATAAAATGGAGTCCTACAATCCGAATGTTTCACATGATGAACTTGAGGAGATTCTGGGTATAGAGCGGTTTGACGAGGAGATTGCGGAGACTACATCCCGACCAGGAATTGTAACTGGCCTTGTGGCATACTCCACCGGTGGACAAGGAAGTATTCTTTTCATCGAGGTAGCAGACATGCCCGGCAATGGCCGTGTACAACTTACCGGAAAACTCGGAGATGTGCTCAAGGAGTCTGTGGAAGTAGCATTGACATGGGTCAAGGCGCATTCTTTTGACTTGGGTCTATCCCATGACCCCAACGAGGATATCATGAAGAACCGGAGTTTACACGTTCATTGCCCATCCGGTGCAATTCCTAAGGATGGACCTTCTGCTGGTCTCGCTCATACTCTGGCCCTGATCTCTCTGTTTTCAGGAAAAGCAGTACCGCCTCAAATTGCAATGACTGGCGAAGTATCTCTTCGTGGCCGAGTCATGCCGGTTGGCGGAATCAAGGAGAAATTAATTGGTGCTTTGCGTGCCGGAGTTAAGGTGGTTTTACTGCCACATGCCAACCGTAAAGACGTCAAGGACGTGCCACAAGAGGTCAAGGATGGCCTTGAAATAGTTTATGTCAAGTTTGTATTCCCTTTAACAGAACTCTTTCTTCCATTCAGACACTAATACAGTGTAGGCACATCTGGGAAGCTCTCCGCGTCGTCTGGCCGCAGACACATTTCCCTGGACAACAGCACATGGACATGTTTGAAAGCAGACTGTGATTTATCTACCAATATCTGTTTATGTAGTGGTTGGATGAAGACACATATCACCACCACGTGTAAATTTGCCTTCCTAGTTTTTCAGCCGAGCCTGCACTTCACATATGCAGATCAATTCGATTTGTATTTATTTGCTCGTATAATCAGTGGTCCTTATGTGAATATATATATTTTCTTGGAATTGTAGTTTTCATGCCAAGTCAACAATTAGGACAAGCTATCTTACATTTTTTGACACGTTCAATATTGGAATGGTAAGGAAAATATTACATATGCGTGGTGGTACATACAAATTGAAAAGTGGTATGCCGATGATAAAAAAGAACATTCCGAAATTCATCCAAATTTTATGGCCCCGCCGAAGAAGACGGCTTATTATCTTCCTGTACCTTGTTCTCCCCTTCCTTGCTTTCCTCTTCCTTACTGTTGCTGTTGTTGCTGTTGTTCACAGCAAGTCTTCTTAAAGATGGTCGGTTGTACTGTAGTCCAAGAGCCTGCCACGTCGGCCTCCAAGTTATCTTTCCCTCGAGAAGGTCCTTGGCTTGCTGTTCGAGTGCGGTGCGTTTCTTTTCTGGTGCTTCCATGGCCGCCTTTGGCTGTCTCGACCTTTGCTCCGCTTTACTCTCTTTCTGAATCTCGTAAAAGTTGTCCTTATCCCATCTGTCACGAAAATATAATTGTCAGCAATCCCACCGCTAGTAAGCAAATACCAAAAAAGAAAGAAATAAGAAAGAGAAGATAAAAAACATACGGACTATCATCCTTCGGAGGATCCGGCCACACAAACGGCTGTGTCATCTCAATGGTCATCTTCTTCTTAGACTGTGGTCGACGCCAGGGTCCATGACCAGGATTCCCATCTTTGCGGTTACGTGTGGGCTTCATTTGTTGGATGTAGCTGCGTACACCCAGGACATCGACCCCATATACCCGCTGCATATAATCGCGCATGTCCAATTTATTGAAGTTGAGAGGAACCTTGAAGGAGGCATATCGGGGAGGAAGAAAAGGCGTACGGATGAGAGTTATTACGAATTCGGGACTAATTCAGATTTCTTGTCAGTTTAAAGAGTCAGAAGGAAAGAGGCTGTCGAGTGCGAGGCTAGAGAGGGATGATTGAGCGTCGATCAACGAGCACATACAGAAATATTTGTTTTCGTTGTGAGAGTGGTGAATTTCTCCCCAGTCTGCCTCGGAGTGCGCTAGTAAGATCGGTCTTTGCCCGCCCCATCTTAAATTCGGATTTCGAAAAGTCGGACCAGGGAGGAGACAAATGGGATTGAAGAGGTGGCGATGCAGTTGGTGTTACTGATGATATGCAAGAATCGGAGAGACGGCCGTGCTCAGACGACAATTTGCCAAGTTGCGCTATTGGCCGCACCGACTACCGTATCGCGCAGGAATACACCAAAACTGTCTGCAATAAAATATATGTTAAAAAAGATATGTTCTGAAAATAGTAGGCCTGACAGTTTGAATGTTTACTATTCAATTTCATAATCAGCACATGTAATCCAAGAGATCATCTTGTAAGACAACATTCGAATGTCACATCATTGGAGCCTACAATTCTGGGCTAGGATTTGGTTAATAAGCCTGGTCTAGATTTCACAAACATCATATAGCTTTACAGATATTGAAAGCCTAAATTGACGAAAGCACAGAATAAACGATGATAGAAACCCTCGTCCTACGTTTAGCTAATGTACTTGTCTTGATTCTTTTTCCATTCAGCAGCTAATATAGCAATATAAATCTACCCCGAATCAGACACCTTCAGCTCCTTCATCTTTTGGGTGTCCGACTCCAATCCAGATTCTTGTAAGTCTTCTTTTTGCTCTTCCTCGACATCTGAGGAATCATAATCATTATCGTCCTCATTTTCATCTGGATCCTCTTCTGAGTCGTTACGCTCACCAGCATCGCTATCGACACCGACTTCCTTCATGTATTTCTCCAATTCGCGAGCCATCTTTCTCGAAAAGCCGGATGCTTCCACCTCCACATCTAATCTCTTCCCAGGATTAGCCTTAAGTTGCTTTTTCGCTTCAGCAAAGAAAGGACCGGGCTCGTCGCTTGTGAAATGATATCGTCGTTGAAAGTATCTCTTGATACAATTCACGTCCCGATCAAAATACATCTCTGCATTGGCATGATCAATGGAAACCATCTGGGGAAAATCGATGAGAATCGGAACCAGCCGAACATTATCATTATTCTCCTCGGAACCCGCAGGGGCTTTGCCCTTCGCGTCAGGACTTGGTTCCTCCTTAATCAATATATTGAATTCGTTAAAGTCGCCGTGAATTAAACCATATCGAGCCAGTTTCATAATCATAGCTATCAACTCGGCATAAAGCAGCGCTGGTTTCCCAACGGTGGATATTTGTCGCAGTGGGAATGCGTCAATTAAGCTCATAACGATAGTGTGTCTGTTTTGCGCAATTGGCTCTGGCACCGGAAATCCATTCTCCCGAAGTGCTCTCATGAAAGTGAACTCTTTGACTGCCGCTAGTCGTGACATATACATCCATGATCCAGTGCTGCGATTGCGGAGATAATCACGATTCGTCTTGACCGTTCGGAAGGAGATACGACCTAGGCGGTGGATTTTCAGAATACGCTGTGAGCCGTCTGAGGCAGCAACGACAATAATATCCGACTCTTTGCCAACACCAATCTGGTTTCCGACCGAGTATACGCTCTTTTGCTTTTGATGTGTATTGAGCGCCAAATAGTCCAGTCCGCCGTATGTCAATCTGTATCCATCGTCTGTATGAAAAACAAGGTCCTGTCAGCCTCAAGATTCATTTATGGATGAAAAAAGCGCATGTCTTACATTTCGCATTCTTTACTCTCGCGATAAGATTGATCTTCGCCAAGTTCGAAATGCTTTTATGAACCCCACTGCCACCGCGTAAACCAGATAATTGTACGATCAACGGCGTAGGGACGACCTCGTGATTCCGACTTCCAGCCTCAACCTAAAGTTTCCTTGTTAACTGTCAAACAAACGAATTCGACGCGAGGCTGACAAAGATATGGAGAAAAGACATACAGCAGCGAGAACGCGAAAGTCCTCTCCGGTGAGGTATCGCATAGATTTTGCGTCGAGCTTCATGATGGGCCCTTTGAAGAGTAGATTTTCACAGAGGGCTGGGAAGAGATAGAATCATAGAACGGCTGTATAAAATTTCGTCCTGCGTTTTTGCGGCTGGTATGACGTCCCGCGAAAATAAAATCCAAGTCCGGCAGCCCTAAGCCCTAGCTTCCGTTTCAAGCCATACGCACCGTTTGTCAGGTAAAGTTCACAATGCGTGCAGTTGTCGTGAGTAGATCAGAGAAATAGTACGAAATTCATTTCTTTATGAATACAATGATGTGAGACTATAATCTATACTCCGTGCGTAAAGCTTTCGGAATTTTGACCTTCAGCGGCCATACATATACTGTAGATGCAAAATAGCCTTGACCATCCAAATTCTCCAAAATACGAACCACTAGTACGATTACCCTCAGCGACAATCCAAAATTACCCGTATATTTAATACGCATTTATGTCGAGCTCTCCCATTCGGGTTCTACCGTATTTTGTTAGCATTCGTCCGAGATAACGCGAGACCTTGGTGCAAATTTACCTTGCGCAAAATAACTAGTCCTTCGAGTGTGCTGCTGAGAGGGATGTATTGTTCATCTTCTAGCTCGGCTCTTTCGCCGTAGCTGAGCAGTACAGGCGTGCTCTGGGTTTGCCATCCTGTAATGGTTTTGGGGCGACCGGCCTGGCCGACCACATCCACGGCTTGACCAACACGTACATTGACAATAAGAGGTTGCAAATCCTCGTCAAGCGTGATAAGGAAGCGGGGGTGCATTGCTGTGATGAGGAAGTAAAGAAGATAATGGTGTTCGGCGAGGATGAATTGTTTTGCATCAATCATTGCAATCAAAACAGTAAGCAAACCCGCAGCAGCAACCCGTGAAAGCACCTGGCGATCTGTATGGAATGGGTTGACAGAGACAGTGCCCTTACCCATATGCAATAACCCTTGAGCAATGCGGACCATGAAGAGAGAATTCTGATCACGATGGTAGTAGCTAGCCAGCTGCCTTAATAACTGTGCTAAACGAGCATTGTTTGTACCAGCTCCAGTCAAACCCATGGCAAAGATTGCATTGATAGCAACGTCATTGTCATTGTCGTGACTGTATCGTGATAACGTGTCATAAACTTTCATCTGTGGGTTGCTGGGACTGACAAGTCCCATTGCTAGTGGGACGGCTTTTCGGATGTTGCTTGCACCATAATGCATCAAATGCCCGAATTGTCGTAAAATCATGTCTTGACCGACATCTTCTCCCATAGCAATGAGAGACAATCCGAGAACAGCATAGGACTGCACGAGCTCATCGCCTTTCTTTTCTTCCTTATCTTCGAGGTGATCATTACAGATGTGGAGAAGTTCTTGAAGCTTCAGAACGGTACCAGTACCAGCCCAGGCGCAGACCGAAGCAAGCACGGCTGTCGGCTTGGCCATTGGATGATCCACTGCCTTAAGAATGTCCAAAATAACATCGACTTCTTCTTGCCGTCCAAAGTATAGAAGGGCTAGACCCAGTGCCATGAATCTTGTCCACTTGTCTTTCAGCTGCTTCTGTCGCTCTTCATCCATCAGTGTTGTGGCAATCGCTTCAGAGACCTGGTGGTTAGACGAGCCAACAAAAATCATACCCAAGGACACAGCAGCCATAGCAGAGAGTTGCATGTCGAGAGAGGAATCTTCCACGATAGGTAACAAAATTTCCAAGAGCTCCTCCTTGTTTGAGCCGGCATAGGACAAGCCAAGACCCATGATAGAGGCAATTCTCATCGGAATGCTTTTGTTTTCGATCGTTTCTGTGTCACTTAGGAGAGCCATGGCAGGGTCGGTGTCAATCCTGACACCGGAGTTGAGGATACCAATCGCAAGCAAAGCACCTGCTTTAATTTGGTCTTCCTTAGCGTAGTTGTACTTGTCGATTTTGTCCAAGCCACTCTCGACATCTCGGTGCAATAGCATACCCAGCGAAGCAGTTGTAGACAGCATACCGTCGTCTTTTGTCTTCCAAACCCACGGACTTTTGTCACCTTCAACCAACATCATCTTGTCACTTCCAAAGCCAGCATTTACAAACGAATTAACAAATGCACTGGCTAAGTTGTGTCGTGCAGAGTCAACATTTGTCAAACCCGCACCTCGACTGTTTTCCAAGTGTGTCTTGTAAATATCCTCCGGCATCTTCGGATCGAGGTTGTTAAGTTCCTTGGCCAGAGCTTTAAAGTGAGAAGGGATCTGGGTGTTATTGAGACATTCGGCCAACTCCTGGTCGTCCTCTTCTTCTGGCAAATCCAGCCAGATCTGTTGTCGAGCGACCAAGAACGCCATCTGTTTCTTGACCGCTCTATCATCTGTAGCCGCAAAGTCACTCTTGATGAGGTCAACATCGTTTAAACGAATAGCGATGACAATAGCCTGGGTGAGCTTATTGTATCGAACGTAAATATCGTGCGCGGTGTGGAGGAACTGATGGTCTTCAGGGTAGGTGAGCAAGTTGACCATGCTGACCATATACAGGCAGACCCTTTGGTATGTGTTTTCATCAACAAATTTCGAAATCTCCTCAATCATCTCGAGTTCGCTGAGTAAGTCGACAGCATCAGCTTCGGCATTGTGTGTGAGGAAATATGGGACGAGGGACAAAGCTAATTCAACGAGGTCGCTGCAATCTTTGTCTTCTGACAGCCGATTTTGATATTCCTGTCCAATCTCCAGCGCAAGGTGCCGAACATATTCGTGACCCCAGGAGCCCAGATCTTCAGCAGAAGATTTGGCCAGAAGACGATATCTAAGTGTTTCTAGCTTGCCTTCCACGCCATACGTCATACCCAAAACCGAGAGCGTATCTGCGAGAGAGTCCTGCAAGCAGGTTAGCATAATTGTGAGCATTGAAAATCTTTGCCTACCTTGTCAGATCCTGCTGCCCACTTCTCGTACAGCTCGCTAAGCTCATCGTAGTGTGGTCGGAGGAACTTCAGAGGTTTTGGTACTGCGGTCATAGAGGAGGTGGATGTTTTAATAAAGTTTTTGATGGCATCTAACGCAGGACGGTAAAGGGAGGTGTCTGGTTCCTTTTGTTGGAATAGGATTAGCACAAGCTACTCATAATTCCTCAAAAGCCGTACCTTCAGCCGCTCAACAAGCATCTCAAGTTCATTCTTAAGGGCCAGGTCTTCTTCATTGAGCTCCTCTGTAAAATCAAATAGCGATTAGCGCACATGTCGGCGAGGTCGGAGGATTGATCGATGATGGAAGCACCCGGATGGTTGCTTACTCACCTTCTTGAAGCTCGTCCTCATTGCCGTCCTTCTTTCCATTCTTCGAGGTCTTATCATCCTTTGCATCTTTTTTCTGTCCGTTCAGATCTCGAACGTCATCCACCTTGCCCTTTCCCTTCTCAGCAGCGGCTGAGCTCTGGCCATCTTTCGCCATTCGCGCGAGTGAGCCTCAATGGCCAGTAGTAATCTATGTCTAGGAGGGAAACAAAAGACAGAGAGAAGAAAGCTGGAAGAGGTAAAAATGATTTGCTCTGGGATTTGTTGCGTATTAACAACGAGCTTGAGTAGCAGAGCGCAGTGAAGAGGTGTGTGTGTGTGGATGTGGTGAACCAAGGCACCTGGAGCTTGCGTCGTTGATGCTGTTGCCGCTGTGGAGCAGTACCTAACCGCAGCTCGCTGGGCAGGTCACGGGGTGCTACTACGCGCTAGTGCATATGTGGTTAACATATCACGTGATAATCCAATATAGAGGTTCTGGTTACTTCCATGTCGACAGTCCTCCTTTCAGCGTGATAATCGATGTGTATGTCTAATCAAGAGGGAGTGACGATTGAAGTCTAAGTAGAAACGAATATGTACAACAATACAAAGTCCAATATTCAACAGAGAAAGAGTCGATACCAGCACCGCGGGGACAAGGTACATAATAGAATAGAATCATTCATCATGAAAAATCAGTGGAAATCCAAGCAGAAAAGGTCATCGATATTATATGGTTCGTTCTCATTTTCTTGCACAAGTCTTGCCGGAACTTCATTGCAGCCGCCAACGCTAGTACTGAATTTTCTTGCAAACGCTTTTGTGTTAGCATCAAAGTTCTCTGGTGATGTTGTTTCGCCTTTGAAGGATAGTAGTGGTAGTGTATCAAGCTCTGGTACCTGAAGGGGTAGTCTTTGAAACAGCGGGTTTATTGTTGGGTGGCGAGATAACGGTCTCTCGACGGATCCTAATTCTATATTAAGATCTTCGACTGGCGTGACTCTGAGTTCTTGAAGATAGTTATCCCATTGATGATCAGACGGGGAGCTCCCAACTTGGAACTCTTCTGGTGGCTGGTAAAGATCATTATGGATTGTCGCCAAGGAAAATCCCTGTGTTAACGGGAACGAGGGATACAGCATATAATATCCCTTGACTCGCATAAGCTCGAATAGCTCCTCCATGAAGGACGGATACTTTGTTGATATAAGCTTTTCACGAGCTTCTACCTTAGAGCGAGCGGCGGCGGCTAAGCAGCTTGCCAGGAAAGTGTGAAGTTCAGCCCACTTGTCTCCAAAATACAGCGCGGCGTTGCTATTCGGAGCCTGCCATTTGAAGAATGGCGTGTCAGATTCGGTGGGAATGGAGAGGAGAGAATCGTCTGTAGGCTTGCGAGCCGGCAGCTCAAGAGATACACCAAGCAGGTTAGATGATTCATTTACAGCATGGACTGAATGGCGATATCGCAAAATGGTATACTTTAAATAATGGTAAAAAGAGGGAGAAAGCTCTGCCTGAGGGGAGAGAAGAAGCAGATGAGATCCCGCTGAGTCTTTGGGGTAAAATGCTTCCACTGTGCGCACAGTAGATTGTATTGGTGTCATACCGGGGGCCACGCGACGCCGCAGGGTGGTGTATACAGGAAAGTGTTCATTTGACGCTGTTGTCCTGACGAATTCCAGCAAAAAGGGGTCTGTCTGGAAAGGCATTTCAATCGCCAATGAAGGTTTCGAACCAAGGTAGTCTGCTTTCTCTAATGAGCGAAGGAGCCTGATCAAAGACCCGGAAGAGTCTGTAGGGGCATGAACAAGCATATCCACGTGCACGTCATTCCACGCTGAATTAAACGGTGAGCTAAGTCGAATAAAGTAGATGGGAGTTTCATACCTTTAAGCGAACTACTGTCCAGACGCGATAACCATATGAAATCTAAGGCCTTTGTAGGCAAACTGATAAGAGTTGTACCCCTCCAATTTGCGCTCTGCCTGATCGCATTGTAGAAATAGTTCTCTTCGAAGTTATCATCATGTGTAATTATAGCTTTTGGCCTCAAAAATGCATCAATATAGTCCGCACTCACGACCATCCCAGTCTCCAAACGTTCCTCTGCGGACGCAGACGAATGATCCAAGTGGGCGTCATGCCAGAAAATGGGACAGTCCCCATTACTAATGCCATTCACATGTTGTATACCCTCAATCGTCACTCGATCTCTGCCCCCGAGCACGAAATGCACGGTATTCGTCCGACGACGCGCCATCTCACATGCTAATGGGATTAGATCGGACACGCTGTACAGATCAGCAGCTGCAAAGAGGACCGAGTTATCGATCCCCTTGGTAGCCGCGCGGGCATGATATAATGTTGTAGACAACCAGGGAAATTTAAGGCGGCCTTTGTAGTCCTGTCCAGCACCATCGTCTGATGTGGTAGAATCGTCCTGTGCAGCATGTTGAAAGGGTTGCGGCTTTGCAAACCGGGGATCATATCGCTCGACAGCAGGTCGAAGGTCGGTGGGAATATTTTTGTAGAACAAATAAAGCAGATAGGCGCCCACAATAAAAAGCAGCAGCCTGCGTCTGCGACGGGGCCTCCATGTAAACAACGATGGTTTTCTGTGATTTGGACGGGCTTCTTGGACGTGAGCGTCGTCGAACTTCTTTCCCAGCTCGGTATCGACGTCGGGTGCCCTCCTAGCGAGGGGCATGATGGGTGCATCAGTGTTGAGCTGCTAGGCAGCTACAGGAGATTTGTTTCAAGACTCCATGGGCTGGAAACAAAGTCGATGGTAGTGATAATGCATCAGGATCGGGATAATTATCGCTAAGCTGGCGGATGGTCCCTGCAGGCGGGAGTAAGCTTCAGCCCCACGCCTCCTCGGGGGGTCCACCAGTGACCTCAACCCAAACAGTACGTCTACAAGAGACTAAATCTGGTCAAGCTTCAAGAAACGAAAGACTCGTCGTTAAGCATGCGTATAATACATGACTAAGCAGAACGCCTAATTCCACACCAAACCACAATGGACAACTCGATGGAAACAGACGAGATCGAGCCTCGTGGAACTAAACGAACGGCATCTGATGCTGGACTTGCCTCGAGCCAGACGCGCCGCATCAGGGTACTAAGCTAGGTAATCCCAAAGATGATAAACATTTGCTAATGAATACAGGCTCTGGATCCCGATGTTGTTAACAAAATCGCCGCCGGCGAAATCATCGTCGCGCCAATGCATGCGCTTAAAGAGCTCATTGAGAATGCTGTCGACGCAGGATCAACATCTATTGAAATTCTAGTCAAAGATGGCGGTTTGAAACTTCTACAAATTACCGATAATGGCTACGGAATTGATGTACGTTTTACTTTACTCGTTGAGCGGTGTAAGCTAACTAGCAATGTCATGTCAAGGTGGATGATCTACCCATCTTGTGCGAGAGATTCACGACTTCCAAACTAAAAGAGTTCGAAGACTTGACGTCTATCGGCACTTATGGATTCCGGGGCGAGGCCCTGGCTAGTATCAGCCATATTGCTCATCTCACTGTCACAACTAAAACAGCCAATTCAAGCTGCGCATGGAGAGCGCACTATAGTGACGGAAAACTCGTCCCAGCCAAACCGGGTCAGAGTGCCAAACCAAAACCTACAGCTGGGCGCGGGGGAACTCAGATTACTGTAAGAGCCTCTATGCTATAAAACGTATCTATACTGAATTCAACACCCAGGTTGAAGATCTATTCTACAACGTACCAACAAGGCGTCGAGCGTTCCGCTCAGCCAGCGAGGAATACGCAAAGATTCTGGATGTGGTCGGTCGATATGCCGTTCACTGCTCTGGAGTCGCGTTCTCTTGTAAAAAGCACGGTGATTCCGGAGTCAGCATTTCAACTGCGTCGAGTTCGTCTACGATCGACCGAGTGCGGCAAATACATGGTAGTGCCGTGGCCAATGAACTCATCGATTTCAACATCGAAGATACAAAACGACTAGGCTTCAAAGCATCAGGCATGGTAACAAACGCCAACTATCACGTCAAAAGAACCGTCATCCTTCTCTTCATTAATCATCGCTCTGTCGAGTCATTGGCGCTGAAGAAGGCACTGGAGCAGACATATTCAACCTTCCTCCCCAAGGGCGGCCACCCATTTGCCTACATCGACCTCGAAATCGAGCCTAACCGAGTTGATGTCAACGTGCATCCGACTAAGCGGGAGGTGAACTTTCTCAACGAAGACGAAATCATCGAGGCTATATGCAGCGAGATCAGGTCACAACTCGCGCAGGTGGATTCCAGTCGCACATTCATGACCCAGACTCTTTTACCAGGAATTGCGAGGGTTCCTGAATTGCAGCAACAGACTGATACCCCCCACACACCGATCCGCAAGACTGGCCCATCACCGAGTCAGAAAACATATGAGAACAGCCTCGTCCGCACGGACTCGCGGATGCGCAAAATCACGTCAATGCTGCCATCAGTCACCCCCAGTCACCACCACAGCGGAGCTGGAGCTGTATCCACAGACCTCGCCGGTGCGAGACCAGAAGTCGCAGACGATGGGCTTCATTACGAGACCACAGATCGAGAAGCTCTCCGCATCGGCCTCAGCTCGGTCAAACGTCTACGCGCAGCAGTACGCTCCGAAATGCACAACGGACTCACGGAGCTCTTCTCCACGCATTCCTATGTCGGCCTCGTCGACGAACGCCGCCGCATCGCCGCTCTGCAAGCTGGTGTAAAACTATACCTCGTTGACTACGGCATGACCCTAGCCGAATTCTTCTATCAGATCGGATTAACCGATTTCGGCAACTTCGGCGTCATAAAACTGGACCCACCCCCCACGCTGACGGAGTTGATGAAACTCGGTGTCGATATCGAGCGAGAAGAGCATCAAAGCTCTGGCTCTATATCTACTGAGGAAGATGAAGAAATCTTTACAAAAGCACCCGACATAGTCACCAAAACGCTCATCGAACGCCGCGACATGCTCGATGAATATTTCTCAATAAAGATAACCGAACAAGGTGAACTGTTAACCATACCTCTTCTTCTCAAGGGCTATGTCCCATCGTTGGCTAAACTGCCGCGATTTCTGCTCAGGTTGGGACCGTATGTGAACTGGGGTAGCGAGGAGGAGTGTTTCCGCACATTTCTTCGCGAGCTTGCTGCGTTTTATACTCCAGAACAATTACCTACACCACCGTCAGGAGAAGCAGGCTCGGTGGAAGACGAGAGTGTTTCAAGTCGCCGCGTACAGCTTGCGCAAATGCTGGAGCATGTTCTTTTCCCTGGGGTTCGGGCTAGACTTGTTGCCACGGAGGCGTTGCTTAATGCTGTCGTTGAAGTGGCGGACCTTAAGGGGCTGTACCGAGTTTTTGAGAGATGCTAACGTGTGCGATTGATAAAACAGAAATGACATAAATTATTTCCTGAGAAAGTAACGTAAGAAATCCTGAATATATCGAGGAAAGACAACTGAATGTCGAAACTAACATGAGAATGACACAAGACAAACAACGGCTTATACGCAGATCAAACAGTAGGTATGACGATTAAAATAAAGAAATGCCTGCGAAATATCCTCTGCAAGAAATACCACCCGTAACATCCGTCGTAAATAAAACAAAATCATGATCAGTCCAATCCGTACATCTGAAACTCCCTGATACCCATTTCATCCTAATCATCAACCCATCAACCCGTAGCGTGAAATCATCATTTCATATTACTTGCTGTCAACAGCCTCGGTCATGAAAGCATCATAACGAAAATTGTGAATATATCTATTCGAGGTATCGTACCATGTGCGACGATCAAATGGAATGCAACGCAGGAATCAACCTTGCATCTAAATTCATAAGTTATTGCTGCTTCGAATACGGTTTGTTCATAAGAGCAATTTCTCGAGCGATAGTGGCCCACTCTAACTCGCGTCTCAGAGGTTGTTTCCGTTTTTGTTGTTGCAACTCGTCCCATTTTAGAAGTTCATAACTGTCTCAAATTAGTCAAAGTCCACGGAATCAGGTGCAAAGCGCCTACACAAATCGGAGATGTGGTTGGATAATCACATTAAGCCTTCTAGCCCGCACAAAACAACTGTATGATATGTTAGAATTTGCCAGTCTCGTTTGCCATGGACAAACTCACTATGCTCGCGGAAATGAAAGTCCAAGAGATGCCATAACCTCGGCTATGCAGATAGTAGCAGACCTTGAAACGCCAACCCGACAATGAACCAGCGTGGCGGATCCATCTAATTTACCCTTTTCTACACACTATCGTTAGCGTTTCCCCTGGAATAGAAGAATAGAGACAATCAACTTACCAATGAATTTCAAACACCTATCGAACTCCTGAGTCAATGAATCCACGCCGTTGTCCTGAACCTGACTGATAAACATCAAATTATCTTCTCCCCATCTCTCAAAATCATCATCGCTCCACGAAACACTCTCTCCAATGCTAAGAACGCGCTTGATGCCGAGCGCCCGTAATAGCTCTGGGTTGTTGGCATGAGCGAGATTTCCTAGGTACATATACGGAAGTATACGACTTGGAAGTGATCCATCCATAGTTCTAAGCCATTTTGGCTCTAAAATATGACAAACACTCAAGCTTTGAGCGGCAGGGCTTTCTTGCAATAGTCGAGGTTGAATATTTCGTAAGAATACAACATCGGATGGATATGCAAAGAAATTTCGCCCCTTCTCGCGGTGGAGTTTGAGCCAAGCCTCATGCATCGGAATTCCCTCCGCAAAAATGAAATAGGCAAGTGCTAGCAGGGAGCTCTCTGTGTAGCCATCTGCACAGTGAATCAGAATTCGATGAGCTCGTCGCGTCAAGGCATCCATTGGTACGTCGTCATCTGCATCATGTTCCAATTCATCCTCTTCTGGGTTTGCAAGGTAGTACATCCAGCGAATAGTGGTGACAAAATCCTCGACGTCCTTGCCAGATTCCGGCAGCGGTACAATGCTTCCGGAAGATGGAAACTGTATCAACTGCGTCTTTGTGGGGTCATTAGCAAGTTCTCTATGCACCCTTTCGAGATAGCGAGGTCCTGGAATGGAGGCTAGATCATTGGCTTCTACCAGAAGGTCAAATTGATCAGGGTCAAGCTGATCATGTTCACCAGAAGCCAAAAGCATATCTGGACTGGGACCTAGCCAGACTCCGTTGGAAATTTCCGAGGCCTTGGACATGTTGCACATTTCAATACGTTCCCACTGGACTGTTGAAATTAGTACGTTGGATACATGTATATGGGCAAACTGAAGTGAGAAGCCTACAGAAATCCATCACATTGCTCGTAAAATGGCCGGCAGAGTCGACAGCTACCAGTTCTGGGTGCTTCTTCTCAATTTCTTCATAGGTATCTACCATGCTGTTAGGGTTGAGTCTCAAGTTGGGACCGGTTTGTATAGCTCACCAGACAGGATAAATGTATTAAAAAGCGGAGTCTCCTGAGCAGGATCATGCTTCATCCTCCAATTCTGCTGCGCGATTGCCAGCCTCTCAGCTGCATCCAGCAATTGAAAGTTGCTGGCTCCATTTTTTGCATATATGATAATGTCCGACAGAGGTGCCAATTTTGCAGTCTGGATATGGAAATTGCGAACAGAAAAGCCATCAATGGGGTCCGCGTCAATGAAATCATATCCAGAAGGGGCAAGAATCTCGTCAAGCGTGACAGCTCCTCGAAGGCGCGACTTGGTTAGGTCATCATCGAGGCTGACTATGGTGAAGGTGCGCAAACATTTCGGAATGCGGCGCAGCGATCGTTTCCGATTGACGAAGAAGGCAGATTGCATAGCATTATCGGGGTGCAAGCCATGTAGCCAAGGAAACACTTGCTTGGGATCTGGGAGCGACTGGGCAGCTAAATTGTTCAAGGCCGCAACGAGGATATCGGAATCAATGGAGTATACTGGTGGAGATTTGGATAATTTTCTGAAGCGATCAGGCGGGTAGAGCAAGGACGTGAGCGAGACAGTTGGAGATTTGGGGGACGAGGGCAGTTGCGGAGCAGAGCCAGGTGGACAGGTTGGAATATGCTTATTCGGGATAGAAGTGGGTGTGCGGGGGCGGACGTTGAGACTGAGAGCTGGGGAAACCGGGGGCGGTGTCGCAGAGTGCCGAATTGACTGTTGCTGAACCACTACTGTCGCCATATCGAGGTGTCGTCTCCGTGGGCGTGTGATGAAGTGCGATTTGCAAGAGCTGTCGTGTAGAATCTCAAGGGCGGGCAATTGCGTCCTTCAGTATAATCCCGCAACACTGAATGCGATCACATCACTGAAAATACACGCCGAATGCAAGAAGGCGGGCCAGCAGGCTGTTTTTGCCTGCTGCGGTTCTTTCCTTGCTACGACTGCCTCGGAATGTATAGTCTATTGTCGAGGATCAGCACCAGCGCAATCGCTTGGCGGAGCGGGGAACATGAGAGGGGAGCAGAACGAGCTGGGGATGGCAGGAGCCGCGAAAGACTTACCAAGCCTCAATGGCGGAAAGACTGTATACAGATTCCAGGGCGACAGACGGGGAGCAGTGCAATAATGGTCACGATGAGGACGACAGTCGCTGTGCTGATGGGTGGTGGGAATGAGATGCGCTGATGGGGCATCGATAGCGCGGCAATTGCTGGCGGGGGTGGGTAATCGCAGTTCTAGTAGTCGACTAGCAGCTGTACTTAGTCCTTACTACTATTAGCCTTAGGACCAACGCACGACCCGAGCATTTCCACGCTAGCGCTCACTCTGTAAGGGTCCAAGTGGGACACGATAAGCGTTCTATCCAGAAGCGCGCGACCGGGGCCGGACGAATAATCAAGCAGCAGCAGGGTGATAGCAACGAGGCATGGACATTCAGGACGAGTGGGATATAAGCAAGATCGATGATTGTGCACGAAACAATGGATAAATGACAGCGCACAGAAGAGCGAGGAAAGCACACACTACACAGCAGGCAAGGGCAGGTAAGACCAGACAAGACCAGGAAAGAGCAACAACAGGAAGGCGCGGCCCTGATTGGCATGGGTGGCAGCAGGAAAGCGCGACCGTCATGCGAGCGGACAGCCATTGCCGCATTCAACCAGCAGCGCGGTCCAATGAGCAGGCGCGACCAGCCGGGGATCCTTGCCACCTCGAAGCATGTCAGACGGTGCGCAGCCATTCACCATGCTCCTTCCTCACGCGTCGCAGCCCTCCTTGCTCCCTTCCTGCCCTTCCTGCCCTTCCCACGGGCTGGTCTGACAAGAGTCCAGCCCGAACGAGAAAGTGTACTACGGTATGTGTAGCACTAGGGCATTAGCCTAAGCCGCAGCCCGTTGATGTATCCTGTTTTCCATGCGATCAAGACGATCAAGAGCAGTCCTAGATGCCAATTGCAGAGCCGTGCTGTCGATCGTAAGAGAATGATTTAAATTATACAACCACCGCGATTGAGACAACGGGCTGACGCGCTGTTGTGGAAAAAGAAGCATCTGAAACTGCGGGGTAACGTTGTTGTGGGAAGATCGGAATCCAGGGCTGGTGATCCGCTGCGCTCCGTACTCCATACATGTTTATTTGTATCAGCAGTGTACACATAGGCATAATATATTATGTATAATGTATATAGTGTATACACGACGTTACGTTCATGGTAGCGCGCAGTCATCGGTGTCAACTGAAGCCTTTGCAGCAGAGCCAGACCCTCATACAACGCTGTCCTTGAAAGGAGAATACGATATGTTAATATGTTAATGTTTTATTGACGATTCGCTGCGATAAGAATAATGTCATCGTCATCTATTTTGAGTGCTGAGCGGGGTTGAGTCGTGCAAACAATCGCCGCCTGCTCATTGGCTGGCTGCCTCCCCAGGATCCACACGGCGGGACTTGCTGGTCCGAGCGTCTTAGAAGCAAATCCAGCCAATCGCCGTAAACCTTGTTTTTCTGGTAGTAATACATAACTACGTACACACTATGGTACTATAATTGTTAGTGCCAACAGCCATTCTTGATCAGCTCCACTGCTGCATGCTCATCGCTGCGCCTTTGCTCGCAGCTCGTCGGCCAGCCGCAAGAGGTAAAACTGGGCCATGTCGGGTGGGAGTGCCTTGAACGACTGTGCGATTTTATCCACCTCATTGCGTCCTTTCTCGTACGCCTGGAGGTCTCTGTTCGCATACACATCGCGCCCCGTTGCATACCCCGTGACGAGGTTGCGGAAGAACATATTCACCGCGATGCTGACCCCTCCGATGGGCGATGCAGCGTGCAGCCAGAGCGGCGGGATGAACAGAATATCGCCGGGTTTCATGATGGCCTCGTGGGGCGACGTTCGTGGGATATAGAGAATATTGCCATCAGCTACACTGTCAAAAACTTCTAGAGTCGAGCTGGATGCTCCAGCCGGTAGCTGCAGATGCTGTACATCCGAGGGCGGGTAGAGAACCAGCTTTTTCTGTCCTTGAATCTGACAGTAGACATTGCCCATTACCTAGGAGAAGAACGTTAGTAAATGCAAATATGATTCACATCACAATGTAAAAGCTAATCTTACGTCGTAGTGAAGCCACATAGTGACTGGCCCTGAAATACGTAGAGGGGAACTATGTGCATGCTCTTGTACAAAACTGAGTGGAGCGGGGAGTTGGAAATCATCCTTGATTTCAGGAAAGTCTTCCGCCAAATTAGTTGCCTTCTTCGTTGGCTGATTGACCGAGATCGATCGCAGATATTGACGGCTGCCCTGGTGGATTTCTTCGAGGAATGTGCTGAATTTTTTGGTCTTATAGGAAAAGTTCTTCGTTTGGAAATTCATATGATCAGAACGAGCCTCATGAACAATTACTTGACGATCAACTCCCATAGCCTGGGCCAGGTAGTCCTTGGTCCAATATTCCGTGCAGCGCCCCAGATTAGCCCCAGCTATAATAACTGGTTGAGAATGGGCCATGATTTCCTCAAACTCGGTCTGGGTTTCGACAGTTCGACGAGGTATCGCGGTGATCGTACCTGGATTGGCTAGTCTTTTACGAATTTTATTTGCTAGAGGCGCAGGTTTATTCAAGCATGCCTTTTCGTTTTCAGGCAGCAAATTCCACTCAACGGGAGTCCTGACTGAAATATCTCGCAAATGCCAAATGAAATCATTCCAATAGGTACCGAATGAAAAGCACACTGCTCCACCAGTAGCAACCAGAGCTTCAGATGGGCTGACATTGGACGATACATGGCCCACGAGGAGTGGTCGAGACATTGAAGAATCGGTGACATAATGAACGATTTCCACAGTCAAAGAATTCCATTTCTCCTGAGCTAACTCGGCAATATTCAGATGGAGTATCTCCAGTTCATGTGTGAGAATACCACGAACACTGATCCCACCAATAATAATCAAGCTGTCAGAAATTACACTAACAGATGCACCAAAGCGGCCAATGTAGTCTGAAAGAGTCGTAGCATCTCGCAGTTTGGAGGTGTGCTCAATGAGTTGTATGATTTTAGTTCCACTCTCTCGCACCTTAACAGTCCATTTCCAGAAATCGGTTTGAATGATTCCATCCTGAGTCATACCACCGAAGAGATATCCACTTGACGAGCCTATGCTCACTATTGAGGCACCAAATCGAGTTGGAATGTCAGCCTCAGAGACAACTTCAAGTGTCTGCCAGCCTTGTTGAACGTCCCAAAGTAGCCAATCGCCCAGCGTCTCGCCCTTGTTAGACTTTCCGCCGTAAACCAACACATGTTCTGCATCTTCTTGTAGTTGAACGTGTGTTGCACAGTGACGAAATCGAGGAACAGGAAGGGGATATGTCTCTTTCCACACATTATCTTGACGAATCCAACAGTCACTCAAGCTTGCAGCAGGTGACGCCCGACCTCCAACAATTAGACTCCTCCCATCCTTGAGGTTCGTAATAGTATGGCACATGCGTGGCGGGATATTTTGGGGCGGCAAAGTTCGGACTGACTTAGTAACTTTCTCTCCTCTGACATAAAGATCAGTCGACGACAGACGGTATTGACTCCCTAGTCCACCGTGGATACCCAACGACCCGTCACTATCGGAGACTATTGCGGCAAACCTTCGACGACCCTTCTGAGTCGGCAGAGGCTTAGCTGATAAAACCAGCGAGGACTTGGGAAGACCATTAGAGCATGGGGCCTCGGGATTCTTATTCCTATAGTCTCTAGCAAAAGTAGAGGCTGATAGAAGGAAGTAATGGGAAGCAAAGAGAGAAAATTCTTCCCATTCATCAAACGGTTCGATGTCGTCCAAACCCGTCCTCTGCGATTTACTAAGAAAGGAATCGTCATTCCAAACATTCCACAAACTCATGGCGGATGCGCTGAGCCACCCCTTGGAAGTGAAGCGCTCTTCCTGCATTTGAAGGGTTGGATATTTATGAATCGAGTGCAGAGGTGCTTGGAGCTTATGGAAATGCTTCATCATAGTATATGCAAACGGATGATTAGGGCCATCTGGGAAGAATTGCTCCAGAAGACAGAATTGAATGTCTGCACAAGTATAACTTAGCCCTGTCACAAGGTGCACAATGCTAGTCTCTTACCTTGACCGAGGGTCGGTAACCATGATACAAGCGCATCGGCGGACTCAATGTCCATGTAAGTGAGCGACACCTCCGCTGTACAAAGAATCGAGACAGGAGAAGAGCCGAAAATCTCATTCAGACCTTCCCCAAGCTTTTTCAAGTTTTTAAGGTCACACCCCACAGCCACATAGTGGGAAGCTCGCAGAAGCACCGGATTAGGCTCCGGGTAGATGTCCATCTTTCCCAAGACATCCTTAAAAACATCCGTTTTTTGAATGAGTGTAGTTTTAATGCCCATCAGCTTTTCATAGTCAATGTCCACGAAAGTGGCATTTTGGCAGATTGCCTTTTCGCGAGCAAGAAACTGGAAAGGTAGCGGGTCACTAATCAATCTTTTCAGCCCATACCCCTCAAACTAATTCAGCATTGTGTACACTCACTAGCCGCATCCAAGGTTGAGAATAAATTTGGGGCGTTCGTGTGGCTCTTCCAGGAATTTGCGAACCGTTTGCGCAATGGCATGCATCCGAAGCCAATATCCACGGTTGATCAACGGCGCTCGTCTCTGCGGTCTCTTCACGAAGGGGCGAAAGAACTCTTCTCCGGGATAATACTGAAGCTCGACACTGCGTTTGGACACAATACTACTGTTATTTGTCTAGACAGCAAGCTGGGTCAGTCATCTGGCCCACATCACGATGGCTAAAGGCAAGGCAACAGCTCACTAACTTCCATCACCAAACCAGCCTCCTTCTCCTGTTTGGTCGGCATGCTGGCCGTAGCCTGTTTCGGCTTTTGGGCCATGACAACAGCGCGCAAAGGCCAATCGAAGGGGCGCCTGTTCTTTTGTTGTTTTCCATTTTTCGTGGCAGGCAATATTTTGTGGCAGGCGGCATCGGGCGGCAGAACGGGTATGGAGGGGGAGAGCGCAATCAAAGTATGGCCCGAGCGGCAGTTAGCTGTGGTGGAGCCAGCCTCACTCACTCACAGTGACAGTCCATCACCTGGACATCACCAGCCTCAGCCTGCGCACTCCGAGGCTCGCTCTGCTTCCGCCCCTCCTCAGCCAGCCATATCGCTGCCTAGTCTCCAGTCGCCAGTCGGAATCCTCTTAAAGCCCCCGAGCTGCGTCTCCCAGCCATTTGCGATAGGCGATCTTCCTGCATCCTGACCGATCCTATCGATTCTTTATGCGACTACACCCCTCCCCGCATGATTGGTGAGGCGGGGTGGAATCATTCAGAACAGCGTCATTGCCGTCGCTCGTGCGATCAATAACAACAACACCATCCGTTCACGCTGTCTGCTTCTGACAACATCGGTGTAAAGCAACGATGGCGATGAACTTCGTTACATTCAACCAGGACTACAGCTATTTGGCAGTGGGCACGCCCAAAGGGTTTCGCATCTTTACGACCGACCCTTTTGCCAAAAGCTATGAGACCAAAGAAGGAAACATAGCCATGCTGGAGATGCTGTTCTCGACGTCGCTGGTCGCTTTGATCTTGTCGCCACGGCGTCTCCAGATTACCAATACCAAGGTCAGTTTACATAAATGGCGCATGAACGGTTGAGTGCTGATACCAATAGCGACAATCCACTATATGCGAACTAACATTTCCAACCACGGTCCTTGCCGTGAAATTGAATCGCAAACGACTGGTGATCGTCCTTGAACACCAGATCTATCTGTATGATATCCAGACTATGAGACTTCTTTCGACCATTGAAACATCACCAAATCAGAGTGGTACGTCTTATTGGGCGGTGCTACCCTCTTAAATGTTTACTTATTTCCCAAATAGCAATTTGTGCGCTGTCGCCCTCCTCTGAGAACTGTTATCTTGCCTACCCGCTACCACAAAAAGCTCCGCCTTCATCATTTGCTCCTCCTGCGCACGCCCCCCCGGCCAACTCGACTCATATAGCTCCTACGACCGGTGATGTATTGATATTCGACGCCATCAAGCTAGAAGCTATTAATGTTGTAGAGGCTCATCGATCCCCTCTTTCATGTATTACGTTAAATGGTGATGGCACTTTGTTAGCGACTGCTTCGGACAAAGGAACCATAATTCGAGTTTTTTCGGTCCCTGATGGGCACAAGCTTTACCAATTTCGACGAGGTTCAATACCCTCCCGAATATACAGCATGTCGTTCAATACCATGTCGACATTACTATGTGTTTCATCGGCAACAGAGACAATCCATGTATTTAAATTGAGCAAAGAGGGAGGCGCTACAGATGGGAGCTTACGGTCTTCTCCTTACGACCGACCGCTTAGCCCTACCTCGGGCTACGGAGAAGAAGAACTTGAAGGGTCCGATTTCGCGTCGAGGAAGCATAATGGTACACTCATTGGCATGATCCGTCGCACCTCGCAGAACGTAGGAAACACGTTTGCTGCAACTGTTGGCGGATATCTTCCAAAGGGTGTCAGTGAGATGTGGGAGCCTGCGCGGGACTTTGCATGGATCAAATTGCCAAGGTCTAGTCCAGGCTCCGGTGGTCATGCTAACTCTGGGCCCGTCAGAAGCGTTGTGGCCATGAGTAGCAACACACCGCAGGTCATGGTTGTGACTAGTGAAGGTAATTTCTATGTCTTCAACATCGACCTGTCCAAGGGCGGTGAGGGAACATTGACAAAACAATACTCGTATGTAACCTTTCTGATGGTGACGAAACTTATGTTTACTGACACGATCGCTTGCTAGTGTTCTCGATACCAACGACAAGCTCGGGTCATCAGGGCTAGACTATTGATTACCTACGATACCCTACAATTGTATCTCGTCTATGTGATTTTGCATGTTCATCATTAGCGGCGTATGTAACTGCGGGCATGTACTCTAGGAGTTTGTGGACGGGATGATCGGCGCAGTCTTTATCCATCTTCTCTCTCTTTCTCTCTCTCTTTTCTTATTTCTTGTCTTGCGACAATGCCTATATCCATCCTGACGATTCTTTTGTTGTCGCGGAATTCCCGCCTAATTTTTATCGGCTGCGAACTGACATATTCCCGTGAATCTTCTCTAGCCAGTAGCACTCGGCTCTTCTCTAGATGTAAAAACAACCATACTGAAATATATATGCAAATGCACATTCGAGGTACCAGGCGCCGCACACGATTAACGAGCCGTCAGAGGTGCTCACGCTGTGGAGCCCCAACACGTGGTAGCAGCCTAGCTAGGCCTGCAACGGAGATTTCGGAGCCGACCCCGCATAGGCCATGCCCGAGTCATCGTAGCGCCGTCGTACCTCAATACAACTCTGCCACGAACCTCCAATATTATATTAAGTATTAATACCGTTATTAATGCAGGCCAAGAGGCTGAGCTCGCTCCTCTCCTCCCACCTCCCCCCACATGAGTCGCACTGGCTTATCAGCAAGCGCAGTCCTCTTTCCGGCCAATTGATTCTGTCTCTCCTCAGTCCCCACTCTCGCCCTCCGACCTCCACGCAAGCTCCCATCATTACATAGCCATCCCTCCATTATTCACTGCAGTCGATCCCGTCTTCTCGAAGAGCAATTCTCGAATTGTTGGCCTTTCGACAACTCACTTTGATTGCGCTTGTCTCCTTCGTCTGTCGATGCCCATAACGTGACGCGTTCTTCGACTTGACTTCCACGGACCACCTCCGCAACCGTGGTTGTCTTGCTGCGGCTCTGGCCCCGACTCGACGCTCATGAGCTCCGTTGTGCCTCTTTCTCGTTCTCAAATACCATAGCCTCTTTCTGAATGGCACGCAAATTCACTCATCAGAGAGTGAGCTATGGTGCGTGGTCTCGGAATTCATCCAACTCGGCCATCTACTAACCTTCTCTTTCAGTGCTCCCTCTTCCAGATGCCCCGGGTGGGCACCGACTTGGTGTTAATGGTCTTGCTGTTGACACCGAAAGCGGCATTTTGTACGTCTCGTTTGTAATGGCATCCTACACACTTCATCCAGCTAACAATCGTCCGATCAAGATACTCTGCAGGTCGCGACGGTGTAATATGTTCCTGGGACCTGAACCACAAAACGTCGTCTCCACCTGCTGCCTCCCCGAAGAGCTCTAAAACGACTACACATAGACATCAGGTCCAGGCGCATAGTCATTGGATAAACGACATCGTTCTGACACAAAATAACTCTGCCTTGGTTTCCGCCTCGTCAGACACGACAGTCAGGGTTTGGAGACCACAGTCTGAGACCGGCGACCTCCCAACTTCTGTCGGCCGTCATGCCGACTACGTCAAGTGCCTAGCGACCTCAGGACTGCAGCCCAACTGGGTCGCATCAGGAGGGTTGGATCAAAAGGTTATTCTATGGGATCTCAACGGCGGAGGCGATATATTGAAAATCGACACCTGCGGGGACGAAGTCACCGAAAAGGGGTCTGTATATGCTTTAGGGACAGGCGGCTCGGTCTTAGCAAGCGGTGGCCCGGAGTCAGTGGTACGAGTTTGGGATCCAAAATCAGGAAAGCTCATCACCAAATTCGTGGGACACACAGATAATATTAGAGATATCCTAATCAATGAAGATGGAGACACTATTATGTCCGCCTCTTCGGACCAGACTATCAAGGTCTGGTCGTTGACTGCAGGTCGATGTGCGCATACATTAACTATGCACAACGACAGTGTGTGGTCACTCTATTCAGATCACCCCCAACTGTCGGTGTTTTATTCTAGCGACCGATCAGGTCTCGTTGCAAAGACGGATACACGAAATGTTCCCGATATCGATCAAGGAACATCCATTGCTGCTCTTCAAGAACACGAAGGCGTTATCAAAGTTGTAGCCGCAGGCGACTCTATTTGGACTGCGACTCCGAAGTCTAGCATCAACCGCTGGAATGATGTGGATACAAGTGCGGATATTGAGCTTCCGAATAACTCAGCTCAGCGTTTGAGTGCCGGTTCACCTACAGAATCGCCCCCAGAGACTTCAAACCAAGCCCCTTTAGGGGCGACTAATGGAACTACCAGAAAGAAAATACCTCATAGCTCCCTTCTCTTGCTCTCAAATACGTCAACCTTTCCAGGGTTAGACCCGGAAAGAGCTACTATATACTCCTCTGTTAGCGGCCGAAAACCGTCAGACCTTGTCAATGATGACGAGCTTGGTGTTGTAATGCCTGTGTATGCAATGCCGGAGGAAACAATTGAGGGACAGCATGGATTGATCAAATATTTGTTGCTCAATGATAGAAAGCGAACATTGACTCAAGACACAGCTGGAGAGGTTGTTATGTGGGACCTGGTCAAGGTGAATAACCATCTTTCTCTTTGTTTGCATATACTAATCAACAATAAGTGTGTACCGATACAAACGTTTGGAAAACGACACATTGATGACGTCGCATCGGAAGTCAATACGGTCGAAAGCATAGCCCATTGGTGTACAGTGGACATTCGAACTGGACGTTTATCTGTTATCTTGGAACCGAATCGCTGTTTCGATGCCGAGGTGTATGCGGATGATGTAGGTATTACGGGCGAGTATGAACATGGTGCAGATCAGAGACGTAAGGGAACCCATGACATTCAAATATGAGATTAGCTAGCTAACTATAGGACTAATGAAAATAGTGAATCTTGGAAAGTGGGTTCTTCGATGGTTGTTTGGCGAACTAGTTGAAGAAGAGGTTCGACGTGATGAAAAGTACCGTGAAGCAGCATTAGCAAAAGCAGCCGAATATCATGACAGTGCTCCCGTTCGGATCGATTTGCCAACACCAAGAACACCAGGATCACAAGGAATTCCAGAACCGTTATCAACAACACCGCGCGCTCTGAATGGATTGCAACCACATATTGCCTCGCCAGGTCTAAATATAGGCACAGTATCTCCCGGAGGTGCTAATCTTAGCTCTTCCCTTCCTAGAAGCGAAGAAGACCCATTGCATACAGGCTTCAACCACGATTTGGCCAGACATCCGTCCTCTGAGAAGCAAAATGACTACTTTTCTAACGCACATGCCATCGAGGCGGATAAACCAGTCCAATCTGCAGCAGATGATCAAACACCTACGGCACTTCCTCAGTCACCAGCTGAGCCAGAAAAGGAGGAGAAAAGAAAAGGCTCGTTATTTGGCAAGAAATTCAGGATGGAATTCCCCAAAAAGCTTGGCAGGACCTCGGGCGATGTGAAAAGCCCATTGCCAGAGGAAAAGCCAGAAGAATCTGACAAATCATCCGAGAAGGAAGAAAAGGTGTTTGAGAATAGTCTCAACGGGGTTATTGAACGAATACACCATGAGTACGAAACATTTCTAGCTGCTAACCCTGGCTCAACTCTAGACTCGGGGATCACCCCTAGCCCGGCCAGCGAAGCACCAGTATTGCGTATCCCGTCAAATACATCAATATTGATCCAAGAAGAATCTGGTGATACGGCTGTAGCTGCGGATCTTTACCAGGGGTTTGTGGGAAATGTGCGAGAAGAGGTCGACAAGCTCGAGCAAGCGATTCCTCATTGGCTGGGAGAATTATTGTTGAAGGTAAAGTTGATATCCTTTTATACTTTATCATTTGCTAAATTTGTCTATATAGAATCAAATTATCGCAAAGGAAGTGGTGAAGGTTGCTTTCATTCTAAAGCCATATGAAGACCAACTTCCTCCTGTGGTCAAACCTGATGGGTATGCTAATGGCTCCTGGGTAGAAAATATAAAGTGCTAATTCAGGACAGGGCGGCCAACAATAATAGCTCTCGGCTGAACGCCAACCGTATGCTCCGAGCCAAGAAGATTCTCGCGTACATCGCCGAGCGGATTGATCCAGCAGACCCAACAAACCCAGATCCGGATCCCATGAAGCCTGAAGAATATTTGGACCTATACTGCCAAAACACTGTTAGAGACACTATCCCCAATCCCTACATGTTCTAATTCTAACTTTACACAGTTGATTCCGGAGAATATGACATTGGCAACAATACGAACACACATTTGGCGCTCCGGTAGCGACATGGTCCTTTTCTATAAAGCCAATGGCAAGAAATTGATTCGGCCACCAGTGACAGAAGCTCAAACTGTAGATGTTCAAGCGAGTGATGATTCAAATGCTGACAACCACCCGAATGGCGCCTTGTCCCAGACAACCGCCCAAAGTCAAAACTCAGAAACCCCTTCTATTTCTGGCTTATAAATAGCCATTAGAAAAGATTCTGTCCTCATGAATAGTCAAAATGTACTGTAGACCATATTATAAGTGCTAAGGAAGCGTTGCTTATTGTTGTAAAATTCGATGGTGGTTTAGGGCTAGTGTCTAATGATAGCAAACCCTAATGCAATCGGGATTTGAAGCAGCGGTGCATTCCTTTCGATATTATTTGATATTTGGGCCTAGTTTCAATGGTAGATACACCATAAATTATCAATCTAATTCATAGGGCACATTAAGCCAAGCCTTAACAAAATGCAATGGTTTGATACAATATCTATTGTCTATCTTCTCGGCCGAGAGCAAGCTCACATCGAAAATACCAAATCTAGTAATATTTACATGTCATGGACAGCGAATAAGAATTCTACTTCTAATATAATCCCACAATTTCCGATGCTTCCGCATGGTTTACGTTACTGGGTCTGGTTGAGGAGAGAGTACTACGTCATGATTATCGGGCGGATCATCTCTAGTAGTAGTCTGTTCGGGAAATTCTCATTCCAAATCGGGTGATTTGATGTCAATGTCAGGGTATCAGAGTCTATTCTTGCTGGCAGTCCTTTTCCGAGGATCACATGTCTCAATTCACGGATGTTCTAAAAAAATGACGGGAAACTTGAATATGATTAGAGCCCAGGCTTGTTACATCTAGCTTTTGGAAGTATCATGCTCATTAATATTTCTCAGTGTTAACCCAAAAAACCTTGAAAAGTTATCAATCGCAGTGATAAGGTATGTGCGACCCAAATAATCCTAATATCCAAAATAGAACCACACCTCAGTGGTCTCTGTACCGTCGAGAGATTTTCTGAAACAGCAATCACGGCCAATACCCGCTGTTTAATACTGGTAAGGGTGGCTTCAATATTGCCACATTATTATTTGTACTAACATGGGATATTAGATCCTGCCGAAATTGAGAAATTGGCCGAGCAAAAGCTTTCAGAAGGAGGATGATTAGCTTTCGGCCTCTCTCTTTCCTTTCCAGTATTCAGTATTGACTTGGCAACACAGGCACTACTCCGCTTGTAACGCAGGGCTATCTTGGACCCATCTAGCAAGCCGACAAGCATTTTATCGTCACCGTATAATACCACGTACTTGCGTAGACACTAATCAACGTGATACCGCGACCGAAATCTTTGGCCATCGAGTCGACGCCCCCATTGGCTTTGCCCCGATTGGTATCAATCGAATATACCATCCGGCAGGCGAGCTTTCCGTGGCCAAGGTTGCCGAAGAATTAAAATTAACTTACTGTCTGTCTTCTGCTGGAAGTTACAGTATTGAGGAAGTAGGCAAGGCTAATGGAGATGGGCCCCGGTTCGTCCAGCTGTATCAAAGCCATGATGATGACCAGGCAATATCCATGATGCAGCGAGCCTTGGATAATGGGTTTGATGTTTGCATGTTGATGACAGACACCTGGTCATTGGCGTGGCACCATAATGATTTTTTCACTGGTAACTACGCCTTTTATCATGATCATGGAGCGGGAGATCTAGGTCTTAAAGACCCGGTATTTCAACAGAGATTGAAAGAAGCGGGTATCAATGAAAAGCAAAATCCAATGGAGTTTGGCGCAAAGTGGATAGATAAAAATATCTGGTATGGCCGGGCTCACACCTGGGAAAAGGTGAAATGGACTATGGCTCAGTGGAAACGTATCAGCGGTGGCAGATCATTTTGTATAAAATGTATACAAAATGTGGAGGACGCTAAGAAATGTGTTGAGTTGTATGTGCTCTTTCTTCTTGTTCCTTTGAGTATACAATTTTGGCCGCATTATCTTCCGTCTTGGAGAAAAGAATTGCTGCGTGCTGACTTGAAATTCAGAGGAATTTGATGGTATCCTTGTTACAAACCATGCCGGACGCCAAGTTGATGGAGCTGTTGCCAGCCTCGACGTACTCGAAAAGATTGCCGATGCAGTCCGATGCAGTTGGAGATGAAATATACGTAAACTCAATTCTCTTTTCCAATTAAGAAATCGAGGTAGCTGACAGATAATTTCCCACAGATCATGTTTGATTCCTGCGTGCGAAGTGCAGCCGATGTCTTCAAAGCTTTAGCCCTAGGAGCCAAATATGTATTCATTAGTCGTCTATGGGTCTGGGCATTAAGCATTTCTAGAGAACATGGCGTTCGTCATATGCTCAAGAGCTTGCTTGCAGAGTTTGATCTGCTGATGGAAGAGGCTGGCTATCCGTTTATTGACCGTATAGATGGGTCTGCAATTGACAGCCTTCCGCAGGCTGCGAATTTGATCGCTGAACATTCGGGAATTTAGGGCTCTGTTATATTCTCCTTCGATTTAATGTTGGTTTCTGGTCTTTATAAATCACAACAAGAAATTATAATTGCTATTGATTTTAAGGTTGCCTAATGCATCTCGTAACTGCCTACTTACAATCTCTCGGTATGAGATTGGGATATTTATTGGAAAGACCCCCTTTAAAAGATGCAAATACTCATGGATTTCCCCTTGGGAATGGTTTCAAGTAATTAGTATAAATTTCCCATGTTGCCCTCCTGAGTTTTGCACCGAGTATAGAAGAACGTTAGAGGCTAGGCCGAATAGGGCCTGGTGGCAACCGAATAATCGCCAAGACACAGGATCCGGCCAATCATTTCCGCCTTCAACTCCTCCAGAAAACCTCGTTTCAATGATATACGTGGTAGATACTGGGTAACCGATGCTTTTAAGCGAATGGCGAGCTTGCTCAAGCAGAAGCAGTTTAGACCTATTGCTATACAACAATTCTTCCAGAGCCTCGACCATGCTTGGAGGAGCAGTCCGCAGTACATACGACCCCGGCACCTGCCGCGCCGTATAGGTAAATTTGCGTGGTGATACTTGCCAGAAAATCATACTTACAACGTTCTTCTGCTGTCTAGGTATTGCCGTCAGCGGGGGAGCTGATTCTATGGCCTTGGCTGGGCTGTGCAGGCAGCTGCAACTTGATCAACCGGAACTCTTTCTGTACTTAAAAGCATTCATCATCGACCATAAAGCGCGCAAAGAAAGTTCTGAAGAAGCGCAGACTGTCGCAGAATGGCTATCGAAGTTAGGTAAGATATAGATTTTAATTGAGTTATTTAATATACTCCTTTGGAACTGCAGAATTTGACATATTACTATAGGGATTGAAACTGAAATACTACCGTTGGTGTGGCCTTCGGGAAAAGATGTCACAGAAGTGACAGCTTTTGAAACGTCTGCCCGACAGAAACGATATCTCGCTCTTGGCGAAGCATGCCGTACCAATAACCTTACAGCTTTATTAACTGGTCATCATTTGAATGACAATGTGGAGACGGCAATACTGAGGTTGTGCCAACGCTCCGGACGAGAGGGGTTGACTGGGATTGCCCCTTTGAGTCGAATTCCCGAAGGCTATGGAGTATGGGGCATATCTGATAGTGGTTCCTTCCAAAAAATTGAGGGCGATCAACAGAGATTTCTGCACGCTTGCGATGCTCGTTCTCGACAACCCACGTGTGACGGCCAGGTGAATCAAAAGGAAAAGTCTCCGAGGAAAAGCGTGACTTTCAATATGGCTACAGGTGGGATTTTGCTCTGCAGACCATTGCTGCCATTCACAAAGTCTAGCATCCTGGATACTTGTAGTGAATTGGGAATCCCATTTGTCACTGACCCCACCAATTTTGACACAGCACTTACTGTTCGAAATACTATCAGAAGCTTGCTTTCGAACAACAAATTACCTCGTGCTCTTCAATCTTCTTCAATGAGCGCTTTTTTATCGAGAAATCGAAATTCATCACAGAACCTAATGCTGCAAACAGATTCTTTGCTGCGGGAATGCAGGCTATTTGAATTCATAGCTGGTTCTAGTACGATGAACATCCAGCTTCCGCTGCTAGATAACTCGCATCCATTGATGTCTTACGGGAATAACCCAAGACTTCTGGCAGCTTCCCTTCGCCGTATCACTGAACTAGTGTCTCCCCTCGACGATAAATCACATGCTCTTCATACATATGCCGGATTTGCTAGTAGGATTTTTACAGGTCAGCAAATAGAAGATTTTACGGTGGGCGGAGCGCAGTACCGATTGTCCATCAAAGATGGGGCGGAGTGTAGTGTTTGGCATGTCTCCAGAGCTCCATTCCGAGCCCATTTTTCCCCGGAGTTAAATATTACAGACTTGACCGAGCAATTTTCCTCGCCAGTTCTCTGGGATTCTAGGTACTGGCTCCAATTTCGACTCACCCCTGAAACAAAACGCACTGGTTTCTCTGGTGTAGTCGTGCGAAGCCTTGGAGCGGAGGATATAAAACAGGTTTTCGATATTCGTCGGAGGAAAAATGGAATTTCTAAAGACATCCTTAAGACCATGGCGCCCTTCAAATCTCGCTTCACTTTGCCCATTGTGCTAATAAGGTACACTATGCTTGGAGGGAGTATCAAGGAGAAATACGTGGCACTACCTACACTTGGAATTGATTTGTCTAGTGAACCAGAATTTAGGATTGAATGGAAATGGGGATATAGAATGGTTGACACTGAGGTTCTGAAACTTATGGGTTGGCTCAAGCCCCATGGAGATGAGATGACCCAGAGATGTGCTTGAGAAACTGAAATATTTGAATGGACTCCATGGCGAGAGACGTGGATATACTATAGGGGCTCATGGACGCGACTTGTACATCAATTGACATTGCATAATGCAAAGATGCATAAATCGAGCTAGTGATAATTTAGCCAGAGGCTAGAGTCTTAGACGGTTCCCAGAAATCTCCGGATTTCTCACGTGTTGGACTCTGCATTCGTCAGGAATTCCGAGCCAACCACATACAAAACTTACATGCTGCTTATTTATTAACTATTTATACCACAATTGCACGTGGAACCGGGGTCTTTCGTAATTCAAAGTCTGTCATCACATCACACTTAATATGTAGGTACAACTCTGTCGCTCCACCTACCAACCCGATTTCTTTAAGATGTTGCAATAGTGCCTTGGTATTAAACCATTTCAGCTGTTAAACGATAAATGACCCGCAGTGTTGATCAACGCCGTATACAGTTCAAACTCGCGACTACAATGATCCTTGATTGGTTGGCATAGAATATTATATATCGCAATACTAGAGCTAGTTCCTTGTATCTACAGATGCGTCCATTGCCAGAGCATATATTCCTGCATTTTCCACTTTCACACCTCCATGTCATCTTCGTATGAGACGTAATTGAAACACCATGAGGATAAATATATACCATTTTCTCTCTCTTGCCGGGCTAATTCCGACCAGTCAAGCAGCCAACAACCCCCTCGCAACCACCGACCAGCGAGACCTTGACATCCTCGCCATCCAATTAAGCAAGAGCCCAGCATTTGACCTCCTCCGTGACGCTGCGCGTACTCAATATATTCTCACTATCGAAGAATACGGCTATGGGTCTAGTATCAATGTTCAAACCAAAGCCGATATCAATCTTGCAATTGACGAACTGGTGTTCAGCTCCGTACAAAAGGCAGTCAACAATGATCCAGCTCACCCCAAGGTATACTGGACAGATGCGCCACCTCGCAACAGTACCAGTAGTAGTCAGCAATGGTTTGGAATATCCGTTCCCGGAGGAAGATATTCGTATGATAACCCGGATTGTATTTACCGTACAATCCCGATCAGCTATAGATATGACTATGAAATACGCGGGCGTCGTGCAAGCGGTGATCGAGCACCAAGCGACGTTACGTTCTCGTTGATCAGTAATCCGAACTCGCAAGAAACAGTTGCTTTTCTGAGTGGAAAAGATATGCAGGTCGAAAAGGATGGATCCTATGTGGTCACCGTTTCTTCGAAGGATTCAAACTCAACAAATCATCTCAAAAGCGATTTGACCACCGTTCAGCTTTTTGTGCGCAATAACCTTGGAGACTGGAGTGTGGAACTACCAGATGAATTGAATGTGACTATTATCAACGATGGCGGCAGCAATATGTCCGATGACACTGGCAGTACATTATCTTCTGCTCTTTCAAATGAAGCGATCATAGCCCAAGCACAGGCGGATCTTGCTGAATCAACTTTCTTTTATGGATTTGGCGCATTGGGGGTGAAAACGCTATCCAATCCAGTTAACAATTTGGGAGCACCCTCGCAATCAAAATCTCTCGGCACACTCACATCCCAAGCAAGCTCATTCGGGTCGTTCAACCTGGAAGAAGATGATGACGCTTTCGTCGTGACACTGAGTGGCGGTAAATCGACGTATTGGGTTCTTCCCATCTATTCGTTAGGGATGATCACTGTAACTCCCTGGGACAGTATTGTCAGCTACAACAATAAACAGGCCAAGCAGAACAACAACGGAACATTTACCTTTGTGTTATCGAGTCAGGATCCGGGTGTGTATAATTGGGTGAATACGACATCGAGATCGCAAGGGTTGATCATGGGTCGTTGGCAGGGTTTACCAACAAATGAGTCTGATCCTAACGGCATTGAGGTGTTTTCTAATGTAATTAAGATTGGCAATTTGCGACAATTTTTACCAAAGGAAACCGTTTACGTGAATGGAGAGCAGCGTCAGCTGCAGTTGCAGGATCGGCTGGAAGGATATCATCGAATTCATTATCAGTGATGTAGAATAAACAAATTATTCTCTTGAAAATGATTAATTGGTAGAGCAAATAATAAAAAGGGAACTCCTAATGTCATGTCTCATTAACAGCAATTACAGCTCGTTCAGACTCTCCTTCAGAAACTATCGCCTAATTCACCGACTATTCAAGAGATTTACCTGCCAACGCTACGAAGTATCTGGCGTCGTATTGTTGGGGATTAAATAGAGGAAGCACTTTAAATATGTTGAATCGTTTGCAACGTTATGTCGAAGAAGGCAGAAAGACTCTTATCGGTGATCAATACTCTGGCAAACCCTTTGATACCTAAATGTTCTGTAAACAGAAAAGCGTATGTCCATATGAAAAATGATCAGCTCATAAACCTAATCGTTTACCTTATCAGTCAAGCCTACATAAATTGATTATTTTGTTTCGAGTAATTCCATATGAAATGTTGCACCATGGCGTACAGTTTGTATATCTGGGATACTTGATGTCGATGATCAAGGTTGAGAACGAGTTTATATTTCATATCTGCAAGCACTTGAAAATAAACAAACTCTAAATACATATTCGTCCAGTGCTAAAGAAATATTTACATAAGTACTCCAATAGGTAATATAGGAAGTGGACAAGCACAAGATGACGATCACACATCATCACCGCTTCCACCTTTTCTGCTTTGTGATTCGGTATCAGCTCGAACGGCTTTTAGTCCACCAACCTCTCGTTTCAACCTCAAATTCTCCTTTTTAACCCGTCCGAGTTCCTCAAGAGCCTCGCTGAGTTGAGTCTGCAAGCTTTGTTCACCGTTACCAGCCCGGATATCTTTAACAACCCTGCTCAACTCCTTGTTGAATTTGTCATAAAGCGCTTCATTTTCGGCACTGGCGTCGCGATAAAGTTCGTCTAGTTTTTTGGCTCTCTTTTCGCTCACAGCTAAAGAGACCTCTAGATCTTTTTGCAAAGCGGCGGTACGATTGTTGATTTCAGTACTGAAAGTGGCGAATCGATTCTCCAGACTACGCACGCGACTGATCATAGTCCCCGGCAGAGAATTGTCCGATGATGTTGGTCTACGTTGTTTAGTTGGCGAGGATGACCATGTGAGAGCCGATATCTCTTCGCCGATAAGCTGTAGTTCAGACTGAAAGGTAGATTCGGCACTGCTCTGAGCCTGTTTCTCGCTTTGAAGGCGATCTCGAAGCTAAAGTCCGGATTAGCATCGGTCAATTAACCCATACACTTCTATTCACCTTTTGAGGACTCTGCACGCGGAGTCTTTGAGACTTTTGTGGAGAAGACGGGAGAATATCACGCCTATTCAAGGAATCTGGACCATGAGAAGTAAATGGCCGATCCTTGGATTGCAATGGAGTCTTCGCTGGTTGGGGTATACTAGTAAGGGTATCAGACCGTTTCTTTCGAGTTTGTAATGGCGACATCGGACTTTCGGTCTTTTTATTGACGGCTCTTTCAGTCAACTTCGGGCGCGGTTGGGCGTTCTCTTTGCGGACCGGAGATCCTAATCGAATGGGAGAGGTAGGACGGCGCACTGGGGATGCTGGGCGTCTAGATCCAACAATACGGGCTGGAGAATGAGGTGTCTGGGGAATTCGACTGGGAGAACTTGTGACGGGACTGTCTTGGGTCTGTATCTGTTTGAAATCAGATAAAAACTCAGATTGGGGACGGGGCCGAGATGCCGGCGTGAGAGGTTTTGGAATGTCAATCGGTGAAAGTGCTGCTGAGCGGGTTGGTGTGATAGGGGTTGGAAGATCTGAAAGAGAACTTCGCCTTTTCTTTCTGCGCCCTGGATCTTTCTGCGGCGTAGAAGGCCGTTCGTCAATAGAGTGCAAAATGAAACTGTCATCATGTGCACTTCCGGGACGTCGAATATTGTCTTCTGACAAGAAAGCACCATATAATGTAGGTCGTTCACGGGGTGATGGCCGTAGAAGATCCACCAGCCTTGAATCGGTGTCCGTAGATCTAGAACGAGACAATGGAATTTTCCCTTCCGGGTCATTTCCAAGGTTTTTCGTCTTACTTAGAGTTCTAATGAGTGAGCTCACTTTACTCTCTCCGTCAGATCGGGTAGAATTTTCTCGATTTAGACCAAAACCAAATCTTTTTCGGAACGACGATGCGTTAGAACCTATTGAACCGGCGTGGGATGACAGGGGTCTACTCGGCGTAGTCTCATGTGACTTGTATGTATTTGTCGTTTCTTCGAAGAGCTTATCGAAGTCATCTACTAGCCGGTCAAGTAAAGATATGTACTGCATTGGCTCCTCGTTAATGGTAAGAATTTCCGCAAATGCAGCAGTCAATGCACCGCGGTCACCGTCATTCCCAGAGGCATCCAAAAGCTCAGACAAAAGTCGAACCATCGCTGTCAAAGCGCGTCGATTTTGTGGACTTAGTTCGTTAATAGTCTGCCGAAAGAAATTTTCAAAGTCTCTGGGGAATAGAGAATCGAAGTTAGTTTGCACAGCTTTAAGGTTGTCAGGTGGGAGAATTGAGCCAATTTGATCTTTCCAGGCGTTGGTGATGAACGTCTCGAATGCTACAAACAGAACATCGACAGGGACTTCAGCAGCAGCTTGAAGCTTATTTGGGTCTTCTAGAAGAACATTGTAAAGTTCATTAACCAGGGTTCGGTCTGCACTTGCTCTCGCCCTCAAGCTACGACCAACTATATTACCGCTTCGCGACCGTAAAGCAAGAATGTAGGAGGAGAAGGTTTGTTCCAGAAGTTGGAGGCGATCGTTCTCTTTTGCATTAGTAGGTGCGACGATAGAAATTTTGGGAGGTGGTTCATCAAAGGTGGAAGGAGAAGTCGTCGGCCGTACAGAAGATTTAGGGGCCATTTTGGGAATGTCACCAAGAGCCAAAGTTGGATTAAATGCCTTGGATAACATCGGGGGGTCCTTTTGTTGACTTCCACCCCAAAGATTCGAGATAAGTTTGGTAGGAGATGGAGGGCGAAAGCCACGAGAAGCCCTCGTTTGAGATATAATGTGACTTCCAATTTGGCGAAGTATGTCTAAATTTGCATATACCAGAGTTTCTGACAAACTGGGGTTCTGCGGATGGTGCATGGCGGGGAGAACGGTACAGACTGGATTCTGTCAGTAGGTTTCACGTTAAGGCTTAGAACCGGAAAACTTACGTCTTGCTGAGAGGGTGGATACAAACTCATCGGTGGATACGATTTCGACAGCATTGAAGCCAGTAGTAGTAGAGATCTCCATTCTATATTGATTACTTTCAGCCAAAGTCACGGAGACTATCAAGTCAACCGATGCATTGTCCAAAGTTTTCATGCAGATCGCTTTTGGTGTATCAAATACCATCCTGATTCTTGAACAACCCGACCGTTGCATTGACCCGCTGGGACCCTCTTCAAACACCGGGGCGAGTATCCCCAGACTTCCAGATGGCACTGTTGGACTTCGTAAAGTCCATTTTCCACTTTCCCGTTCTCTCTCGGAGAATCGACCTTCAATCTTTGCCTTGAGAATTTCTTCAATGAACCGACTAGCCCGTCCTTCGTATATCCCCGATAATAGGAGGGCTTGCGGAGTGGATTGAGTGGAACCAAGGGCCTCAGCACGGATACCGCTGCTAGGCATAAGATACAAAATATGACCAGTGTCTGACTGTAAGCAAAACAAAGTAGCTAGGTCGAAAGCCCTGATAAATCGGAATTGTGGATTCGTCTGTGATAATGGTTTCTGGCTCACGGGACTAGCCTGGTTCTCTACTTCTGACAGAAGAGTGCGTGCTGTCATCTGACTTCCTGGGGTTCGTGATAACAATACCAGGCAGTTTCTGTAAAGAAGCATCATAATATTGTTACCAACTGAATGGTCCTGGTCCCCGACGCGGAAAGGTGGAAGTATTTCGGACGAGTCGACGGCATTGATTAGACGACCTTGAGGAATAACGGGAGGTGGCCAATATTCGACCAGGTTGACAACTCGTTTGAGACTCTGGCTGTAGTCTGTATTTGCCGGGGTATCCAGAGAGCAAATATCTTTGATAATATCTCGAGCCTTGAGGAATAGTCTCACGGAAGGATGAATTGAAGGAATATTATTTGTCATGGCATCAATAAGAAGACTATATCTGGGTAACCGCTGGACAGGCTCCATAAGTAAGGAACGTAACTTTTGCTCGCCGGTTTCATAGACTCGACGAGAGAAGCTGGACTTCTCGTCTCTCAGAAAAGAATTCAAGGTTTGAGTGAACCCAGTGTGGGCTTTCATGTAATCAGCATATGGTGTGGAAAAACGAGGAAACCATTCGATAAGTGCATTTGCAAATGCAACTGTCCCCAATGGATCTTTTCCTTCTTTCGCAAGATTGCGACTGGATGTCGATGTTTGTAAGTCTGTATCCTGTGCTAAATCTGCGATGGCTTCGTGTTCTGTATTTTCCAAGATCTGGCGAATCACCTCCAAAAATCCCATATTGACTTCTAATATTTCGTTGAGACATGGTGGAAACAGCTCTGCTAAGGCAGTTTCGTCTGGACTGGAACTAGAGACAGTTTTTGAGCGAGCCTTTTGCTGAAATTCCTGCACAACATTGTGAACTAAGTCATATACTTTGCTGACATAGCGCTCTTCGGTATCAACTACCTCACACATAGCTAGGCGTAGGGACTCTTTTTGAATTTTGGTGAAAACTTTCGACTTGCTTAGATTTGTGGGCTGCGAAGGCGCTCGTCGAAGACGAGAAGTAGGAAGAAACATCGGATCTCCAAGGGACTCAATCAATGGGGAGTATTTTCCATACTGTTTATTGGCTTGGCTGTCGTCAATAACCTCGTCTGTCTCGGTTGCACTTTGGTTACTTGCTGCTGCGGATTCAACCATTGAGCCTGCAGGTATTATGACGTCCACATCAATCCAAGGCACCTTTTTGTCTTCGTATGCATCTCGAAGATCGCGCACAATTTCACTGGTGTTATTTATCCTCGCCATTCGATTAGCCAGTTCGGCAGCATGGCTTTCTTCGAACATTTTCGGAATCCGCCCAGATGATTTTCCCGCCTTTGCGAACTGCGTCAAGCTGTCTTTGGCTGGATCGGACAAGTCTTTGAAGTACTTTAAGAGGCTGACAGCCAGGCCACGGCAGGTCTCATCGCCTTGTTTCTCTCGTGGAAGATGGTTGACCGCGGCGTACAAGGGCGCTGCGGGTGAGACGATAATGCGCGGGTAGCTTTTGACGCCAGCAGCGGTGAAGATATGGGCTTGGTTTCGCGTGCTGCTAGCAGTAGAATTGGCAGTTGCGACCGACCCGTAGAAAACAAACACAGACGACAAATATGGATCCATAACATGGTAAAGCGCGAGCTGCTCGAGGGGCAGCTCCACCAAGGAGCTCGAGATAGTCGCCATGGCGCTCACATGGAATTCACCAGTCGCGATTTCCTGCAAGATCCAAGTTGGTGCTCCACAACCAAAACGGATGGAAAATCATTGACCAAGTCAAGGGTTAAAGTCCAGCCTTTTATTTTCGCGCTTTCTTTCTCCGGACACTGGTTCTTATATCAAAACACCGGAGGCGGCGAGAGCGCATTCGGAGCGCGCCATGAAGATCGAGGCAGAAAGTAGAGTGGACAGGCCGCGCAAAGACTAATGGGAAATATAGTCGGTGAAAAGCAATTGTGACGATAGCTGGTTTATAGATAGGATATAGGAAAGGCTGGAAGGCGCACTGTCAACAAGCAGCGCGCGCGGCGGGGCGCGTTTAGATGCGTCTCCAAGAGAAGCGGGAAGAGGTTAATAATTGATATGATCAGCGCCGAGCACGCAGTTTGTTAGTAATGCTTTCGCAAAACAGCTGCGACCGCGGATTTTCAGACTTATCAGTGGAAAAGGGCCTATCCAGCCGCGAATTGTCTGGCTGACCACACAATTTCCGCGCATCGCCAAAGCTGAGGTCGGTAAACAATAACAAGCGATAACAGATGCAAACAGACCAAACATACCACATTCATAAATACGCTCTTTCATCACGACCGTGATTGGTCTCTCTACAACTGACTAATCCAAAATACAGATTAGCGGTCTCTATAATTACAAGCTTTCACGTGCTCGCAGGGGCGCGCCAATCATCATCGTCGGTTGAAGATGATAGCCTGCCTCAGGCCGCACTGGCAGCCTTGGAGCCTTGTATAGGCCAGCTTAGTCGTCAATATTATCGAGAGATCATCGATATTGTTTTTTTCAGTAATCTCAGGAGACTTTCCTTTCCTAATAAATATGGTGAGACCTGAGACCAGTATTTCTCTACCGCGTCCTGCATGCGGAGCACCTCCGGCAGCACAATAGGGTGATAGCCAACGTGCGAGCTGTCTCCGAAGATGACTTCCTTGGATCGGATTCCAATACTCCTTGGGAAAATGGATTTCCATCCACTTATCCCACAGATCAGCATAACGCGCCTGGATTTTTAACAGATTTGGTCCACGTTGCCGCTTAGTGAGCAGCCTAATCTTCGCTGGAAAGGGGTTTTCTACCCCCACCCCTCCCTCGGCTGAGCATGAACTTGAAGAAGTGCTCAGTATTGAACAGACAGTTGGCCAAGACCCAAAACTGGCAATGGGGATATGCTACATGGGATGAGAAGTGGCTTGAAGGATGGATAACCTCGTTTTCACATGTGAAAACACTTTGAAAATAAGGATGTGAAACTAGTCTTTCGACTTATTTCCCCGTTCCTTGTTATTTCACTTCCACTTTACTCTAACGGTCTTACATGTCGTCTACCACAGCACATTGATATAACTATTAGCATGCTTAATTCAAGTCTCATCTTGACCAAATGATCGAAGAGTGGGAATCAGCCTTGACCATGAAAGTTCCTGGAGAAAGTTTGCCACAGTGGACCAAATCGTGCTTAGATATAGATCTATGCACTAGTTACACCCCCGCCTGAAAACTTACGAAATAACCGATGCAAATTGAAATGCTACGGTACATTCCGGGTCATGATCCAGGCATTGCTCCAGCTAACGCATGCATCCAAAGCAGAGCTGATTCGTAGACGTCCCTGTACAATGACAGCATTAGTGCATGTACCTAGCATGTACCTAGGTGGTCATGGCTGGTCCTAGCATCTTCCGTGCGGCAAGCCACCCGTGCCCTATGGAGAGCTGTTAGTTACATGTATCAATTATTAAACGCAGCCCCAGCCCACCTCCTTATACTGGCTCCAGGCCTCAGGCTCCAGGGTGTGTTAGCCAGCCCCCCTAAGCCAATGATTCGTACTCGTGGATGGGCCGCTTCGGAGAATGGTGTCGTGACGTACGTGGAGTGCTCCGCCCTAACCCCGCAAAACCATAGTTACATTTGATGTATTGTTGGAGTTCAGTCTCGCAGTATTCCCACAGCTTCGTACAAAAATCTTGCTGGTAACAATGACTTGTTCAAGTATATATTCGTAGCATGATATGGTGACTTGGTATTGTTGATTTATCTATAAATAAATCCAGATATCCTAGATGTGGTTTTTTTATATCCCCGGATGAGCTGGCACATTGAAGGAACAAATAGCTCAGTATAATGGCAGCCACATCCAGATTAATAGGCAAAATCTGAATTCCGAGCTCGGATTACTTGATTCAACATCTGCCAAGGATATTCTCCAATTAAAACCACCCGCCCACTTCTTTTATTTACGCAATGATGTCAAGGGCGAGGCAGAAACTGTTGTGAGAGGGTCAGTGCGGAGCCTGGTCAGATTATAACTATGCAGCAAGCACGCAACCTACAGGGGCCTGTTTTCAGGAAGCAATCAATTCCTTGATTGGGAGATCGTGCCTTGGCAAAGGACTCTCCAATTTTGGACCGTCTATTACTCCGCAAAAGCATAATCTCCAGATTAAATAATACAACATTGAACCGTTGTCCTATCCCAAATCACAGACAGTCTGCAACATGCAGAGAGCTAATTAGAGCGAAGAATGACGCCATCAACAGCCTAAGCACTACTGGGACGCTATTTCTAGCGTCGTCGACAGTGCACAGTGCATCAGCAAAAGAGGGGAGAGAATGGGAGCATCCCATGTCAAGCGACAAGGGCTTTTGGACGTGTATGAGTGAGAGACGGCTAAGTAGCAAATCAAAAACTATTTAAGGGCGTAGATTGTCCTGTGTCAAGGAGCGGTCTGAGTTAGGTCCAAGCTCAGTTCTTCATCTCACTTTGAGTAGACATTCTTAAGGTTGAATCTGTAACCATGACAATCCAAATCCCAGCCCAGAACTCCCACCTTACCCGAGCCCGCGCCAGCCAAAATGGCAAAGACTGTATGGCACTCTACCATGAATGGGCCGCCACTTACAACGATGATCTTGCAGACGCATCTCAAGATTATGTTGCTCCGGTCTTAACAGCCCAGGCTGCCCTTCAATGGACCAAGAATGTCAGGGGCGCGATACTGGATGCTGGTTGTGGCACCGGGCTTGTTGGAGAAGCTCTTGCACAGGGTGGTGCAGTGACTATTGATGGCGTTGACTTGTCCCCTGCAATGCTCAAGGTCGCAGAACAGACTGGTGTCTATCGGAATCTCGATTTAGTGGACCTGACTAAACCGATCAATAAGCCAGATGACACTTATGACATTGTGACATGCGCCGGCACTTTCACCCAGGGTCACGTCGGTCCTGACCCTGCTTTGAGAGAATTTGTTAGGCTTACCAAGCCAAACGGCCTCATTGTTGCGACGATACTCCATGAGATTTGGAAACCAGGCGGATACAAAGCCGAAGTCGAAAAGCTCGAGGCAGAAGGCCTGATCAAAGTGCTCAGTATCGATCTCAGGGACTACAGAAGAGGCCCAGGCGACAAAGCAACATTGATTGTCCTAGAGAAGACGGAATCCGCTTGAACCACATGACGGAATGTTTTCCCTTAGGGGCACGGTATCAATGCGTGGAGGATACATTTCCTTTGTCCTGAATTGCTTCGAGATTATATAAACAAAATCCCATATGCGAGCCCACATGCGAGCCCACATGCGAAAATAAAAGCCCTTGCGGAACATCGCACGCTTGATCAGAAGCGTCGGTCCAAGTATCGCTAAGATGTAAATCCGGATAGAAGGCCATTTCAGTCGTAGAAAGCCGTTGACTAGTTCGACATGATCATCCACGGTGTAGAAGTAGACATTCATCCAGGTGCGGACAAGTCAAGCAGCATGGCATCTCGATTCAAGGAAGATAATCTAGGTTGACAATTGGCCATGATGAAGAGTCATTCATAGGTGGTTGCTGTTTAGCCCAAACTGTGTCAGCAAGCGAATAGATAATTGAAATTGAACTATTATACGTGTCCATCCACCTTTCTTGTATATCAACGAAACATCACCAGCTGTGTTGCAAGGGGAAAGAGGGCCAGTTACTGCCAAGACCTAGGCCTGGGAGCCTGAGGCAGCAACCGGCTACGCTAAGCCGCAAAAAGGAGCTGCGGCCCAGAGCTAAGAAAGACGCATGTGTACAGTGTACACTTACAGTTCCGCCAGATGGCAGATTCTCGAAGCATGCCTCCCCTCTCCCCATCCCATGCATCCATGATGCCGGAATCGTCGTTGCCAATCTCCGTGAATCCCGTATCCTTGGTCACGACAGAATGCATTACCGTCACCTCCGCGATGCGGAAACATGCCCGTTGGGCACACTCTTCCGTGGCCGCTATTCTGGGCGGCAGCGGCTCTACCAAAGGTAGCGATCGCGACCTTCCAGCCTCCACGATCTCAAGTACGAAGAGCAATTCTGTTGGGAATAATAAAACAGGCTCCGCTAAATCGATGCTGCTTCCCCCTGTTGACGGAGATCATGCCTTGGCTAATAGATGGGGATTGAGGGGTAAGAAAGGAAAGAGCATGCAGGATAACCCTCTGATGTCCGCCTTTACTCATCTACGAAGTGACCTGAAAAGCTGCAAAGACATCCGGGCATTCGATGCGCCTGCGTTACTTCATCCGTTTCTCCAAGTCATTCGTTCCTCCTCTACCTCGGCGCCAATAACTTCGCTTGCATTGATCGCTGTCACCAAATTCCTTGCTTATAACATAATCAACCGAGATTCGCCTCGAATCTCCATGGCAATGCAACTTTTATCGGCGGCAATTACACATTGTCGATTCGAAGCTAGCGACACCGTCGCCGACGAAGTTGTTTTATTGAGAATCTTGAAATTAATGGAAGGAATGCTATCACGGCCGGAGGGAGAACTGCTAGGGGACGAGAGTGTTTGTGAAATGATGGAAACAGGGCTGAGCATGTGCTGTCAGAACCGTCTGTCAGAGGTACTCCGGCGATCGGCTGAGATGTCCATGGTCAATATGTGCCAAGTCATATTCATGAGGTTGTCCACAATTCAAGAAGACGAGGTCACGCTCGGCCAATCCCATCAACAGGGATCAACAGATGAGGGAACGACTAAGCTGAAAATGGATCCTTCTGTCGATGGAGACACAGTGATTCCTCAACATCCTTCATTCATGGGCTCCGATACAGCTCTACCGGAGAAAGAAGATAAGGAGCGCCTAAGTGACGAATCGTCAACCGAGCCTACAAGCAACGAAGATGCAGTAGCCGAACCTCTTCCTGAAATTGAGGACGAGCAGGTTGCAGATTCAAAGCCTTATGGATTGCTCTCTATTCGGGAATTGTTCCGCGTTTTAATCGATTTGTTGGATCCACATAATCCTCAACACACCGACACTATGCGGGTTATGGCCTTGAGAATCATTGATGTTGCTCTTGAAGTTGCTGGCCCGTCGATTGCCCGTCACCCTGCTGTGGCAGAACTTGCCGAAGATGATCTTTGCCGTCATCTTTTCCAGCTAGTTCGTTCAGAAAATATTGCAATCCTCAATGGGTCTCTCCGGGTAGCAGGAACTTTGCTTTCAACATGCCGGTCAGTCCTAAAACTCCAGCAGGAGCTTTACTTGTCTTACCTTGTTGCTTGTCTCCATCCTCGCGTTGAAATTCCACGAGAGCCGGGCATCAATCCATCGCTCTATGAAGGCGTTCCCCAAGCACCAAAACTCGTTAAACCTTCTCCGTCGCAAACTAGCAGTGGCCGCTCCACCCCTGTTCCTGTGAAAGACCGACAAAAGCTCGGCCTGGAAGGTGGTGCCCGAAAGCCCGAGGCGAGAGAAGCAATGGTAGAAAGCATTGGTGTTTTAGCTCGATTGCCAAGCTTTATGGTTGAATTATTTGTCAATTATGACAGCGACGTAAATCGAGCAGACCTTTGCGAGGATATGATAGGACTACTCTCCAGGAACGCCTTTCCAGACTCTGCGACATGGAGTACGACAAATGTTCCTCCTCTTTGCCTAGATTCTCTTCTGGGGTATATACAGTCCATTGCTGACAGGCTGGATGATGAACCGCTTATTGAAGGGTTTCCTGATCCCGAGAAATTGAAGAACCAGCGCAGAAGGAAAAAAATAATCGTTCGAGGAGCTTCCAAGTTTAACGAAGACCCCAAAGCAGGAATTGCATTACTAGCATCACAAGGGATCATTGAAAACCCCGACGATCCGGACCTAGTTGCTCGTTTTCTGAAGGGAACTTCACGTATCTCTAAAAAGATACTTGGCGAGTTTATATCTAAAAAGTCCAACCTAGAGCTGCTGGAGGCATTTGTCGATCTCTTTGACTTCGCAGGGAAGAGTGTTGTCGAAGCTCTCCGCGAACTTCTAGGGTCCTTCCGCCTTCCTGGTGAGTCGCCTTTGATCGAGAGGATAATCACTGTCTTCTCGGAGAAATACATGACCATGGCAAAACCAGTCAATATAGTAGACAAGGATGCCTTATTCATCTTGATATACGGCATTATCATGCTAAACACTGATCAATACAACCCGAACGTCAAACCATCGAATCGTATGACGTGTAATGATTTCGCCAGAAACCTAAGAGGTGTGAATGGTGGCCAGGATTTTGATCCAGAATTTTTACAAGAGATCTATGATTCCATCAAGCATAATGAGATAATTCTTCCCGACGAACATGAGAACAAGCACGCTTTCGACTTCGCATGGAAAGAATTATTGATGAAAATCTCTGACGCAGGAAATTTAGTTATTTGCAATACCAATATATATGATGCCGAGATGTTTGCGGCCACCTGGCGGCCAGTGGTCGCCACGCTTTCATACGTTTTCATGTCTGCTTCCGATGATGCTGTGTACTCGAGGGTAGTCCAGGGCTTTGATCAGTGTGCACAGATCGCAGCAAAGTACGGCTTGACGGAAGCCTATGACCGTATTATATACTGTCTAGCTTCGATCAGTACTCTAGCAACTGAGGTGCCGCCTAATACCTCACTCAACACCGAAGTCCAAGTTGGTAAGAAGAAAGTGATGGTCAGCGAACTGGCTGTCAAGTTTGGGCGAGACTTTAGAGCTCAATTGGCCACAGTTGTTTTATTTAGAGTCCTGCTGGGCAATGAGAAAGTAGTCGACCAAAGCTGGAAATACGTCATTCGCATACTACACAACCTCTTCATCAACTCTCTCATTCCATCTTTTGGACAAGGTTTCAGTGCTAGTCTTGAAATACCACCAATCCCACTTCAGCCACCATCACAGATCGTGGAACGTGAGAATCGTGGAGAAACTGGGCTTTTCTCCGCATTCACGTCGTATCTTTCAAGCTATGCTGCCGATGATCCACCTGAACCATCAAATGAAGAGCTTGAAAATACGCTGTGCACAGTTGACTGTGTAAATGCCTGCAGTATAGGTGACGTGTTAGAAAACCTTAAGTATGTTTATGTACCTCTGCTCTTGAGCTATGACTGATTTTGACAACACAGGACTCTGCCTCATATGTCTCTCTCAACATTAGTTGAGACGCTACTCTCGGAGCTTCCGGAGGAGAATGCATCCGTGGTCATAATGGTAAAACCTGAACGTCCATCATCTGGAGGACCACGTCCGGCTAGTGCTAAAGGCGATTTAACATCTCCGGGATATAACCCTGGAATGTTGTACACTTTGGAGCTGGCCACTGTCTTGACACTTCGAGAACAAAAGACAATTGAAACGATTGGAGAAAGCCTGGCCAGCTCTCTACAAGGAATTATCCGAGATGCAAGGAACGTTCATCCCCTCATTGTCTCTCGGGTGATTCAGTATTTGCTCAACCTTCTTCGCCTAAGCTACGTGAGTTTAGTCCAGTCATCACTGTATTTTGCTTACTAACCATTTCTAGGAGCATCCGTTTATGCGCGTCCCTGTGGTCCTACATGCAATTTCGAGTTTCGACCAGGATATTCTAGAGAACTCAGCCACTTCTGTCCTCAAGAGTCTCTCCCGATGTTTAGCCCATTCGGATTTATTAAGAAGCGAGATAATTGTATCTCCTGATTTTTGGTCCATACTGCAACGCCTGCTCCAAGATGGCGCATCGGCTCCAATGATTTTTGAGATTCTTCGGCGAATCGTTGAAACCATACCGCCTGCTATTTCTGCCGACAACTATGAAGCTGCGGTTGGCCTTGCGAATGAATTCTCCAGCGCAGCGAAGGTTGGAGCAGTTGAAGAACGTAAAAGGGATGCCAGTGCTCGTCGATCTAGGGGGAATAAATCCGAGAAACCGATGTAAGTGTGTTTACTTCTATTCTGTAGTTTACGATTCGCTAACGAGACTAGTGAGAACGACACTGTGAAGCGAGGTGTTCAGGCGATTGGCTTAATTTACCAAATGTCTAACCGAACCTCAACCTTGATCCAGCAGTCTCACCTTGAAAGAGACGAAGGTAAGTTTTGCTAAAGTTTTCCATGTGATTATTTCTGTTCAAATGGCTGATTTAATAGCCTGGGCTGCTTACTGGTCTCCCATCTTCCAATCCTTGACAAGGCAATGTACAAATCCATGCCGCGAAATTCGACACCGTGCTATCTCAACTCTTCAACGCTCTTTACTATCGCTAGAATTTGCGTCTGATGATAATACGAAGTGGACAGCCGTTTTCGATGAAGTCTTGTTTCCGCTTATCGTTCTATTGTTGAAGCCCGAAGTCTATCATTCTGACCCGGTTGGAATGAGTGAGACCAGAGTCCAGGCAGCAACGCTTGTTTGCAAAATATTTTTGCGATATCTAGACCAGTTATCGAACTCGAGTGGTATGCTTGATTTGTGGCTTAAAATCCTGGACATTCTTGATCGAATGATGAATAGCGGTCAAGGCGATAGCCTGGTATGGATCCTGCCATTATTACTACCAAAAATTGATCAATCCTGTTATACATTGCTAATACTTGAACAGGAGGAAGCAATTCCCGAGAGCGTCAAGAACATTCTTCTCGTCATGGCAGATAGCGGTTATCTCGTGCCTCCGCCAGTCGACGACCCTGATAAGGAGAAAATATGGGTAGAAACTTCCAAACGGCTGGATCGTTTCCTGCCAAATCTTTTCCAGGAATTATTCCCAGCTTCTCCATCACAGAAAGACACAACAGCAACACCTAGTGATAACCATGGTAATGATACCACTGCAGTAACGTCTAACGGTGACGAGTCGAGTGAGGAAAACCAGCTGAATGACACTTCACCACACCCCTCTGATGTGGAGTGATCATCACTGCTGAAGAACAAGATTCCTTAACATATTATTAACGAGATGACCTGTGATATGAATAGCATAACCTTTTAGACCAAACTCTATAGGTTGGTCACTTGTCTATAACTTATGTACTACCATTTATTCCTTTTCCTAGGCACTTTCATTTTCCCTTCTTCATTTGTTTTCAAGCTTCTCATATACCAGCATAGTGGTTGTATAGAGCATGATGTCGTGGTAAAAAGCAAGCACGGATGACAGATAAAATTTGCAGTTTCAGCAAATTATTGATAATCATAGATTCAAGCTCAGCGCCTTAGAAATGATAAATAATCTTCTAGGTCAGTTGACGCATGTAGTTAATAGATACAGAATCCTTTTGATTCCTGAAATGCTGCAAAGTATTCCCTATATCTCATTCCACCAGGGTATTGTACCACAGCGGGATTGATTTATTAAAATTGATTTAGGTTCTTTTATTAGGATTGTATCCATGTATTGGAATGCGCACTTTGGGTTCTCATATTTTACGGGATTGTCCCTGGAATAAATTGAAAATGAAAACTTTGTTGATAAAGGATAGTCCGCCCAGCACCGATGCGCCTTATGTCCCCCATTCATTTGTATACAAAATCGGTGAAAAAAAAAAGCAAAAGATGGGCGATGTAATGTTTCAGAAGAGGTAAATATCTCCAATACAGGTATAATCAGATTTACGCCATGTTCAGGATGCATCCCAGCACAATATGAAACATGAAATAGAAAATCAAAGACAAGGGAAAATGATCTCAGAGGTGAGAAAGGATAAATCAGAAACTGATGTTGGTCAGATCGTTGTGGTACCTGGAAGATCGAAATGCGTATCGATATAGACGCTGGTCTATGCGCTCAAGCAAATGGTTGTTTACGTTCACTCATCCATGTCCTCATCATCATCTAGGTCGATGGCGTCGGGATTGGCATTTATCGGAGGTACAGGCTCTTGAGAAGCAGGTGGGGGACGATTTCCGCCCTCTGGCCCAGTGCTTGCAGCAACAAATCCAACTGGAGCACGGGCTTGGCGCTCCAGTGCTGCCATGGCATCTGCTTGTTCTTTTTCTGGTTCTTCGTCTTGCATTTCTGCTTCACCATTCTGTTGGGAACGTTGTTGCTGACTGCGAGCAATAGCTTGGGATGCAATAAAGTTGACATCAGTGCTAAAAGGAAAGTTAGTTTGATCGGAATTCAAGTTTCGAGAAGTTTGAACATACTTATACTGTGCCTGGACACTTCTTTTGATGCGGAGCATTTCCTTGAACGTGTCTTCGTTCCCATGCTGGACCTCAAATGCTTCCCATTTCTGCCAAAAACCTGCATTGGTTCGGGGATCACAAAATTGCGAAGCATGTCCATAGATTAAACGAGCACGATCAATTTCACCGAGTCTTCTCTCCATCTCCGCAAACTTGAGGCACATATCTTTAGCCTCGTTATCTGGCAAAGCAGCAATTGCCCGCTCATAAACTGGCCGCGTTGAGGTCAGACCGAAGTTGGATGCGGATTTAGTAATATAGAAGTTGAACATCTCGAAGCGATCCTCATCGGAGACAGCCCTAGTGGCACGTTCATAAATACGCATAGCGTGTCTGGCAAGGCCTCTTTCTTCCTCCAAGTTGCCATACATTAAATACAATACCTTGGCAAATTTTGGAGGGCACCCATCCAGCGCCTGTTCGAAAAGATCTCGCAGCCTTTCAATGCTGATTTTGCGATCCACCGCCTTTGTCAAGTATAAATTCCAAAGTTCAAATGCGACCGGATAGCTGAATAGATCCAAACCACGCTCGTAGACTTTAAAAGACTCTTCGATGTACTGATTTTCCTCTAGAAGATTGGCGAAGTTGACCACAGTCTGAGGCGTGGCAATTCGTAGCTCGAAAATTCTGTCGTAAATTTTCTTGGTTTCATCGATGGTGCCGACGCTTTCTACAAGGTCCACATAGAAACTCCAAAGTTTCCAACTCTTGTGTACTCGCTGCTGAGGAGAAAGGGTTTCATCAAAATAGTCCACTGTGGATCTCTTCGGAGCTTGAGTAGCTTTGGTCATGATACTGACGGCCCTATCGAAGTTTTCATTCCGAAGTTCCATTTCAGCCCATTCGCACCACGTCTCGGCTAACTCCGCAACTGTCTTAAAAGGTACTTTGACAGCTTTATCAAATATGATCCGGGCAGTATCAAGATCGCCTCCTTGCTCGTAGAATTTGGCGTAGTTGACCCACAACTCATGGAACTTACCGTGTGCCTTCTTAGGGTTTATGGCAGCAATAGCAGCGGTATAAGTATTGACAACCTCAGTCTTATTCTCACCCCACAGACCAACTCGCTTTTCCCATTCAATAACGTTATTCGGATTCTGTCTGAGGAGAACGTCATTCACAAGGAATGGCCGCCTATCCATCAACTGCTCAAACCGTAACATGCGCAAATCAAGGTCGAAATCTGCATCTTCATCAACCTTTCCTTTCTTGGACCGAATAGCGGCTTGATCCATCAGGGTGCCGATAATGGACTCTTCAAACTCCACATAAGAATCAAAGATCATAGTGAAGTCGCGTACAGTCATGACCGTAGTGATACCTTCTTCAAAGACGTCTCTCGCCTTTTCAAAATTACCCTTGGTTATCCAGTAAGTTGCAAGTCCCGCCCAAAGTCTCCCTCTTTGGTCAGAAAATCGATCAATACCGCTGCGAATGATAGATTCAACATCTATACCTCCATGAGCCTTGGTGTCGATTTGTTTGGCCTTGTTCACGAGCAGCTCCACCATTTCGCTCCAAATCTGAAAGTGACCCTTGCCTTCTTTTGACCGAAAAGCTGCATCATTGAGAATTGCCATATACTTCTTAACAGCTTCTGTGTAGTGGCCAAGTTCCACAAGAAACTCAATGTAGTCTTCTGTAGTCTCAGGGTGGACTTGCATGTACCGTCCCCATATTTGGATGGCGGTATCACCCGAAGCCGACCGAGCGAAAGACTTATATAGCTTCCAAATCCGGTTATGCTGAGTAATTGGTAGAGCTCTAAGCGCGCGATCAAAGGTGTGACGAGTCTGTGTGACCAATGGTTGCTCCAACAAAAAAGACAAATACATTTCCCATACTCGAGGCATTTTATTGAGCAAGACCAAGGCACGCTCGAAAAGCCCATTAACTTTGTGGTATTCGTCATGGTGAAGAGCAGGATTGCGGCCACGCAGATGATTGGTTCGAAATTCGAGGTACTATCGCTAAGTCAGTGCATGATGTTTCAAATCAAGGTTCACTGATACATACTAGTTTCCATAACTTGTAGGACCGAGGTAATTGCTTGCATGCCCGTTCCATAACCTGTTACTTGTCAGAAAATAACAATCTAATACATCATGAGAAGTACTCACGAAGGCTTGTTCGTAGAGTGTTCCATTTTGCTTCTTGTATTCAATGTAGGACAGCCATGGTTTGATGCTCCCGGGATCTCGGAGAAGATCCTGCTCGTAGATCACATCCTCGCTTGACTGGAAGATTTCAAGTTAGTACGGTTTGAAAAAATATAGGCCATGGTTAGACACTGACGATCAAATAAAGATCTGGCTCTGCCGCTGAGGTTCGCTCCATTTGCGCGTGGTGCCGCTTGGATCGAGGAGTGAGTAATGTCCCGGGCATTTTCGCCTGGGTCCACAAAGAGCGCCTCCACGAGACCAGCGCAGCAAGATACGGGCCTGGCACGAGCTGGAACGGTTGTCGACAATAGTTAATGCGGTTCGTGACGGCGTTCACTGCAACTTGTGTTTCTTGCAGTAACAGAATACAAGTCACGTGGGGCACCAACCGCATTCATCCAAGCGCCGCCGCCGCCGCAATCAATGAGACCAGCGGATGGCCCGAGCTTCCTTCAGCGATCCAATCCGTCGTCATGCGATCATAACACTCAGCGTTTTGTTTGATACAGGTAGTGGCATAACTCCAGATACGAAATCATGTCGGGTGCAGTGGTGAGTATATGTCGAGGTGCCGTTGACTTTTAAGGCTGATTTTCATGCAGGGACGTGAAGCTGTCTTCCCAACCCGCCAGTCTCTCGGATTGATGAAGAGTAAGCTGAAGGGTGCTGAGACGGGCCACAGCTTGCTGAAGAGAAAAAGTGAGGCTTTGACGAAGTATGATATGTGATCCGTAATATGGCAAAGTGGCATACTAACCCTTTTCTCTTGCAAGGCGGTTCCGCGGTAGGATTCTGGCAGAAGCCCTCTTTAGCTTCCTGGACAAAGTTGCTTATCATCGGTACAGAGATCACAAGGCGAATAGACGAAGCCAAGAGAAAGATGGGCCGTGTTATGCAAATTGCAGCCTTTTCTTTAGCTGAAGTCACATATGCTGTCGGTGGCGATATTGGGTTCCAAATTCAAGAATCCGCAAAGCAAGCCCGATTCCGTGTACGAACAAAACAAGAAAACGTCTCCGGCGTCCTACTCCCTCAGTTCGAGAGCGTCACCGCAGAAAACACAAACGATTTTGGATTAACTGGTCTTGGCAAAGGAGGACAACAAGTTCAGAGGTCCCGGGAAACGTATGCCCGCGCAGTCGAGACCCTTGTTGAGCTTGCCAGTTTGCAAGTGGGTGTCCTGAGCCTTACTTCGCATTCAACTATAACTGACCTTCACTAATTAGACTGCGTTTGTTATCCTGGATGAAGTTATTAAGGTTGTTAATAGAAGAGGTAAGCCTCCACTCTGTCAAAGGTTGTGGTTCTCATTTTTAACGGCATATTATAGTCAACGCCATGTAAGGCAACCCACACATAGACCACGACTGACGGTAATTAACATGATATAGCGAACATGTCATTATACCTCGGACTGAAAACACTATCAAATGTCCGTTGTATAGACCTGTTATCAAGTTTGCAACATATCACTAACAGCATGTAGACATCAATTCCGAACTAGACGAACTTGACAGGGAAGAATTTTACCGATTGAAGAAAGTCTCGAATAAAAAGCAAAGAGATACGGTGGCGCAAGATGCAGAAATCCTTGCTCAGCGGCAACGCGAAGCCGAGCAGTCCAACGGCAAAGCCGCTATTGCTTCAACAACTGAACAGGGAACAACTGACGTCCTTGGACAGGAAGATGAGGATGTTATCTTTTGATTGAATACCCGTTTTCTGAATGATGTGTACATGTTTTTTTTAAGTCACTAGAACGAAGCCGGGCCAGGATATTTGTTCCTCTAAGCTTCCATAACTACTCTGCAATATGCCGCAAGAAGCAACCCTTATGTCAGAACTGAATCGTAATATTCCTCATTTACATGCAGCAATCAACTCATTTAAGTACACTTTCGTACAGAGCCCAACAACGAAGATGTCAAAGAAAAGAAACATGACGCCTAACCCCAAACCCATCCAGTATCCGCTTATTGCCGTTGGTATGTTACTCGGATAGATTTATTGCTAGGTCCCATTGGCATTCCAGATGTTGCTTCTTTCGCACTAATAGCGCCCGCTTCGTTCTCATATTCAACAAATGCAATACCCTTCCGGCCGGGTACCAAACGCACCTCGCGAAAGCCTTCAAAGCCACCGAAGATAGCAGTAAGGGATTCCGAGTCGACATCGTCTGGAAGGTCTCGTAAAAAGAGAATCTTGTTGGGGGGTAGATATTCGTCTGGAACAACTGCAGTTGCTGCTGCGTTGGAGGATTTGAGTCCTGCTCCGCGAGTTGTCTTCGCCGGTCGCCCACTTTCAGCAGGAATAGGCACAACGTTGGCAGGGCGCTTCAGTTTCTTCTGCGCCTCGAGGGATTCCTGAGCTTGCTTCCTTTCTGTTGATAACAAGGCACTGTTAGCACCTTCCATAAGCTGTCGGCTTATAGACTCGCCTTTCTCAGCTAAACGCCTCCGTTTGTGCACTTCTAATTCATCATGCCCACTCTCTCGTAGTACCGTCGCATCGCTCCTTGTTTTTGCAAAATCAACTACCATAGGCTTGCCGAGGAGATCGAATCCGTTGACTTCTTCGATTGCCTTCTGCGCAGACTCGACGTTATCGAATACAATGAAGGCTTGGCCTTTCGCCTTTAGATTTTTCTTTGCAACAATTTCGAGAACATTGCCATATTCGGAGAATATTTCTGATAGGGCATCTTTCAAGTCGTCTATCTTAACGCGTTCCTCTAGGTTGCGCACCTATTCATATTGTGGTTAATCAAGCATCATGGAAAAGATGAACGAGGAACAAACATAAACCCTGCAAGTTATAAATTAGCAAAGCGAAACCCCACGCAATAGAAGCTCTATACATACGTAGAGTTGGGTGGAATCCCAGAGCCTGACGCAGCTACCGCTGCCATCTTAGTTGAATGATGGGATTGTTCTTCTTCCTGTACTTGGTCTGTTTTGGAGCTCTTGCAGTTCCAATGTTCCGGCGGAGAGTTGATGGGAACGCTAGACGTGTGAATGCCTTACCTAATTATTAATAGTACAGAATTCCTGCAATGTTCATTATCCAGCATCATTGGTCTAGTGGTAGAATTCGTCGTTGCCATCGACGAGGCCCGTGTTCGATTCACGGATGATGCAATTTTTTTGCTGAACGCGATTTTTTCCCTCTTTACTCGTCGACACAATAAATGAATTTCTGTCGTTATTTTGAATCTCTCAAATGTGCGAAAATAGGGTTAAGCGTATGTTGAATGGAAAGGAAATGCTTGGGTGTGTCACGTGCAAACCCAGCCTTCAAACAGACCAGGTCCATTTTGTATCAACTTTGACAAATGACAATACGTTGAGGTCCAATTTATTCAACTGCATTTTAGGAACGTCGGCCCGTCTGATAAGTGATCCGTCCCAATGGACGCTCCGGATGACAGAGATATAAAGCTCCAGCGTGCATCCGGAGAGTTGCTCAAAGAGTTCAAGGAGAAATTAGCCCCGCTGTTATGGAAGCAAGCAACTGACGGGCGACGAGTGGTCCATAGATGGTCTCAGCCGCAAAAAGAAGCTCGACTAATTGATGTGGTAAGCAATTAATCAGTCTTCTCCTATTTCGACGATGGCTGGTCTAATTCAAATAGCTGGAGCGGTTTCAAGAATGGCCACAACTACTTGATCCTCACTTGCAGGACTTCCTGCCTCAGCTAGTTGATGCGTTTCTGGCCTATTTAACTCAACATCGACATCTATATGGCTCTAAAGATGGTAAAGCACCATCTGCCACCCGGATAGTGCCACTTCCCAGATCCATCTGTAAAATTCTCTACACTTTTTGCAAGGTCAGGGGGTTCAAAGTAGTCAGCCGTTTCTTGAATAATGAGCCCAAGTACCTGGATCTTATGCTTCGGGCATTTAATGAATGGGAATCGATAGTACTTGATGATCCACAGGTGCCATCAGCCTCTGACATCAATGTGAATCCACCCACTTGGGAAGAGCGCTATGTTATGCTACTTTGGCTTTCTCATTTGTTGCTGGCCCCCTTCGACTTGATGTCTCTGTCATCAGATGATATTCATATCGTAAATCCAAAACGGATGGATATCATAAAAATTCCTTCGAAAATCCCTAAACTTTCTCAGGCTATTCTCTCCTTGGCTACCAAATATGTCGTTGCTCCGGGAAAAGAAAGAGAGGCAGCTACAATACTTCTTTCCCGATTGGCTCTACGCCCCGATATGCAACGACTTGGTCTCTTGCAAACACTTACAGATTGGGCTTTTTCTGTAATGCAGCCAAGTACCGAGACACAAACACCACCTACTTATACTTACATTGGGATTCTGTCATTTCTGGCGAAACTGGGGGCTTCCGCCCAGGCTGAGGATCTTGCCTCCATTGTCGCCCATATTTTTGACAGGACGCTTCAGATTGCTCAAGAGGAGTCAGCATTCTTCACTAATATAAGATCCTCGGCCTCGGCACGAAAAATGATTATCAAGATTCTACGCACATCTGCTACTCTAGCCTTGACTCTTGCAGAACGAGGCAACTCCCAGATTTCTGAAGACAAAATTTCATTCATCCTGGAGGAATCAATCGATTATTTCCTTGTGGCACTTGCTGATAAAGACATGCCTGTCAGGTTCGCTGCCAGCAAGGCTCTTGCGGTCGTGACTTTGAAATTAGACGGAGAGATGGGGGCAGACGTTGTTGAAGCAGTGACCGGTTCATTAGACGAGAACATTCTATATGAAAAGAACGATGGAAGCCTTGTGACAGCATTTGAGGCAAGCAAGATGGATCTAAACGATCTTAAACGCAACTTGAGCGCTGTTGACCCACAACGCTGGCAGGGGCTAATCCTTACTCTGTCACATTTATTATTTAGAAATGCCCCTCCTCTCCGCCAAATGCCAGAAATTTTGCAAGCTCTCGTCTCGGGACTAGACTTCGAGCAGAGATCCATGACCGGTAGCTCTGTCGGTACTGGTGTGCGAGATGCGTCATGCTTCGGTTTATGGGCTGTGTCACGTAAGTACACTACCAAGGAATTGCTTTCGCTCGACACAAGCTCGGGAAAGGTTCCTACATATCAGGAAAAGAAAGGTCTTCTCCAGATGCTTGCTGTAGAGCTTGTGTGTGCCGCCTGTGTTGATCCATCAGGAAACATTCGTCGTGGTGCCTCGGCCGCGTTGCAGGAGCTGATAGGTCGGCATCCAAACACCATTGTCGATGGGATTGCTTTAGTCCAGGTTGTAGATTACCATGCAGTGGCACGGCGCTCGAGGGCGATGATAGAAGTCGGTAAAGGCGCTGCTCTCATAGATAGTGTTTATTGGAAACCCCTCGTCAAGTCTTTACTTCTCTGGAGAGGCATTGGATCAGCAGACCCTGAATCTCGTCGAACTGCCGCATTCGCACTTGGAGAGTTGAGCACACAGCATTCTTTCAAGTCGCTCAGAACCGTACTTCAGAGTCTACGATCGCGGCTTTCAAGTATCGCACCCAAAGACATTGAAAGTCGACATGGTTGTCTCTTAGCACTTTCTGCTGTAGTCGATGCTTTCACTCGGGAATTTGAGACTGGCCCTAATCATGAGGATGCAGCTGTTGTAAAAAATGAAATACTACAGCTGTGGGGGATCTTTGACTCGTCTCGAGGTCCCACTAAAGATGATCTCACTCAACAATCTTTACGCCCTGAGCTAACAGCCGAAGCATCATCTCGTCTCATTGCATCTCTATCACGTATGGTAGGTACGTTCTCTCTGAAGGAGGATGTCTGTGAGGCCCTTGTTGCGAAAGCTTTGGATGTTCTCCTCCTTTGTGTATTTCGTGGTGAGGATATCGCAATTGAAGCATCATCCGAAGGTGCATCTCAGCTTTTCCGAATTCTTCCGTTGTGGAAACAGGAAGAAACAATACAAGGCTGGTTTGCAAACATACATGCTAGTTGGAAGTCAGCGACAGGCCGTGGACAGATTTCTGCATTGGGCGCTGTATTCCATCAGCTTCCTGTCCAGAGTGAGATACGACAATTTATTACTAAAGAACTGATTCTATGTACGACGGACGAAGGATCCATTGGAAAAAGGGTCTCTGCTGTCAAATGCCTGTCAACCGGCGTACTTCCACATATTGGTTTGTATTTGTAAAAGACCCCAAATCCATAGCTATTCACTGATAATTTACAGATCTATCAGAAGACATTGTTAACCTCTTTGTCGGGTTTCTGACGGATTACACCACAGATCGCCGAGGAGATATTGGGTCATTTATACGTATTGAAGCAATACAAGCTGTGCAAGCTACCTTTTTGAAAAAATTAGACAAGCCTCAACAAGAACATATTGAGCGTTTGCTTCAATGCCTCTGTCGGTTAGCTTCTGAGAAGCTAGATAAAGTGAGATTCCAAGCTTGGACATGCTTACAACGATACTGGGAAAACACGTCAGATCTGCCATTGCTCGAAAGGTAAAATCAAATAAATGTCACAGTAATTTCCGGAGGCTAAAATTTAAGAATTAGGAAGTTCGAACATTTCAGTCAGGTTTCATCCTTTCAATACTTCCACCAACTTCTCAAACTCCTTCATCTAAACTATCTTCGAAGAGGGCTGCTGCACGGCCTTGTCACATCAGCTAGTGCAGGAATGGATGGTTTGATCCAGTCCTCGCGTTTCGCACTAATAGATTTTATCGAAGGTCAAACTAATAACAAGTTTGAATGGGTTGATCGAATAATCGGGGATCTGGTAGCCATATTGGAGCTTAATCTTCTTGATGATCGATACGCAATTCCTACTATGGAGATATCTGCTTTCCTGCTTGATATATATTCAGCCCAAGCAGCCAACCCGCTGAATCATACAACGTTTGTCTCAGAACCGTTAATTTATATAAGTATGCTAATTTTGTTGCAGTCTACGGAAGCTGTTTGTCCTGGTCCAGAAAGCCCACTTCAAATCTTCCAATATTCCTCGATTAGAAGCAGCTGTCAAAGTTTACTCGGCTCTGTCACATGTACAAGCGTTACGAAAAGACGTATTGAAGAAACTCACCTCTATACTGTTGCATCCGTATCCTAAGGTGACACGTTTTGGACATATAATCTCGAATGATCAAACCATATGCTAATCCATACCGAACAGATTCGTGCGGCTGTCTCCGATTCGTTGTTCATCGAGACTAATTCTGATTTAGTGAGGGATGAAGACTGGACTGCGCCTCCAAAACAATTCAAAGACTCGGTTGAAAAGCTAAGAGAGGCATTACAAGTTATCTAGATAATTTAAAGGGGCTTTTCTGGGTGTGTCCGGTATTCTAATTTATGTTTAGAATTACAGACGTAGAGATGATTCCCTATCATACAGTGGGCACTACACAGATTCAATTGATATTAATTTATATGCATCTATATCAGTTGATAGAATATACAGACAGCTTGACATACTTGCAGACTTGGGTCCACATCCATGGACTCCCCAAGCGAGTATCTACCATACTAATGTTGCTCAGAGGCATATGTACCTCGACTTTCAGCCATCCGAAACTATATGGACCACACACAACATATTGATTGTTGCCTGAAAATAATCTCCAGTTCGAAATTGCTTGGGAGGCCGGAAGGGCATATAGGTCGATAGTGTATGTTTGATCCCCTCAAACCGCCAGTGGACATTTCCTTCAGCAGTTAAAAGTCCTAGTAAGACGTAAATAATTTCATAGGCTAAACGGCGAAATAGTGAACTAGATCATAGTGTTACGCTTCTGCGATCCGATCATCGTAGACAAATATATGGCTGCGTAGATGAGGAGTTCCTCCAAAACCCAGGACACCATCTGGACTTCGCCTAAGAAAACTACGGTACGTATTTAGGGGACTGCGCAAGTCATCAAAGAATTCCGAATCTTTAATGAAAAAATCATGATGGATATCTCTGATAACCTCAATATTGGGATGCAGTGAGCCAAACCATTAATAACCATAATATTCATCTCGTCTTGGAAATGATGGATCGAGGTTAATTCCCAGAATTGGTCCAACCATATAGACTGATTCAGTCAATATAGACAGCGAGCTGTTTCTTTCGATCCGACGATGTCCTTCACCATAGGTCCATAGGGCACGTGTGCCGGTCGGTGCGCCCTCCAAATCCCAAGTGAGTGAAATACTGTAGTCAGCCTCTCCTGAAGAGGTTGACATGAATGATAAGTCAGAACTCAGGATTCCTCTCTGGTCTATATGCAAATCAAAGGTAGTCGTTGCTTTAGAGGGAGGCGGGGTGGCATGATAACTGAATTAGAGAGGCCCTGAGGTATCTCTTGTAGCGAACCATGATGTTCCCCTGGCTTGGTTATTTCAAAATTCAACACTGTTTTTCCCTGGCCATCGGACCCTTCCCAATACTCACTATTCTCGGCTGGAGTGATTTGGGTTTTGCATTTGGGTTGATTCGCTATTGAAAATGAAGGTCTTCTGCACGCGCATCCAGAGAGTCAATTCGCAGGTCTACTCGGAAACACTGAACGATATCACTTTCCTCAAAAATGGGCGTGATTACCACATCAATTCGATGGTTTGTGTGCCTAGTCACGATGTCGTTGTAAGTGTGATGCCAGATCTGGACCGGAGGATTCCCGCACTTGAACGATTGCAACTTGCAGGAGGACGGCGGCGCTTCGATTAGTAGTCTAGGGCATAATCGACAAGGCCTAAACAAAGAACCTGCCCGGGAAATAATTCGGTGGAAAATACTGGTCTAGCATGTATATGGCGTGATTGGAATTGCCACAAACTAGACCGTACCCTGAGAAGCTTATGGTCAACGCTGGCTCTTAACCTTAAACCCAAACCCTAAAGGAACCTTAAAGTTTATTCGGATGAAAGACTCGCATGTTCGGCAACATTGAGGTAATGAATAAGCCTCTACGGGAATCTGTAATTACGAGGGCTTGAAACTCCCTCGCAGCGGAATGTGATTACGTGTATAATTGTACATGATTGTAGCTGGACAGGTTAACAATATAACTTTTGCTTTCCAAATTAAGCAGTTGACACTTTTTTTGGCAGGCAGTTGAGGACTTGTTGCAATGTGGCTCAAGAGACTTTTCGGGACCACCCCTTTTTTATTTCTCTCTTGTACTTTCGCTATATTACAGAGAGTGTCTCATAACTGGTGAAAAATAACAAAACCCTGCGACCACTTGGATGGAGATACACCAGCCAGTCTCGAATCGCACCAACGGAAACGCAGACGTGAATGGTGACTCGGCTGATAAAGTAGTGATCTCGTTCCCTTAAGCAAAGATCCTGCCAGCTGCCGACACCGCTTATATAAAATCTTATACAGTTGCTGTTCGTATTAATTGTACTTGTTCTAAGTTCTCTTTGTTGGTGAGTAGGGGTTTTCTGTTTCTGTACAGTGCTTGCCTTTAATCGACTGTGAGGGCGACACCTGAACGTGCTGAGAGGCATGTCACGTAGTAAGAGCATGCTCATTCTGATATAAGGGGTGGTGTTGTATTTTCAGTGGTTTACTTGATTAGAAAGTAATTGCATGCTTTTCAATCAAGTATTAGATCTAACACATATGCAGGACGCAAGGACATAACATCGACTGTTGGTGGCCGACTAAGCGCCACCTGGTGTCGTGGCGGGACGAAATTCTAACACCGTTTCGTCCCATCCAGAAAATTATACCAGAATCCAACAGCATGAAGCACAGTTATATTTGCAGAACCCAGGTTTCCTAGCTAGCTTCGGATTTTGAGAACGATCACATCTACACATTATCAATGGTTACCGACCCATCCACTCCTCAGTGTTATCAAATAATGCTTTGTTATATACATATAAAACCGTCAGAGCACAAGACTTCCATAGAATTCTATAAGAGCTTCATTAAAGGTCATTAGGATTATGGGATACAATAGCTGAAATGTAAACCATGAATCTCACTGCAATAAGAGTTAAATAGACAGGCATCATAGTCTCTAGTTAAAATTAATATATAGTATATAGCCGCACTATTCAAAAAATCAAGCAAACGAGACTATTCCAAAAGAGAACAAAGGGCTCTGTGAAAGGCAACGTCAATTACATAGTAGATAATTCCAATCCATCGTTGCTGTTGTGAAAGTCGTACGGGGTATAGCTGCGTCTCGTAATTTAGTGGAATCAAAAGTTGAGTAGGTGTAGAGTTATTAGTGAAATTAAAGAGGACTTGGGTTAGTTATGCTTAAAATAAGCCACATTCTCCTCATGAATTCTAAATATTGATTAAGAATCTCACAGAAACAATCATCTTGAAAGATATATAAAAAGATTTAATTATACCCCAAAAAAGCATATAAAATCACATCATCATTTTATTAAAACCCCCATTTTTTGAGGCACTCACGAGCGTAGAAAGATAGCACATTACACCGTCAACTCATTTGCATCATACGCAAAAAGAAATGGAAGAATGGAAAAGAATAAACTAATCAAAGTCGGCAGTGTATGAGAAACCACGGAACTGTTCCTGCATAGCCTGGGAGAGAACTAAAATATAAAAGTTAGTAGAAATTTTATTATAAATTATTCAGTATTCGAAACTTACCAGACTGTACAGGGGTAAGAACAGGAGTAACGCTGGTGAATTCCTGGTCGAAATTGCTGGTATCGGTTTCGCTCTGAATCGTTGGAAGGAAGGGTGGCGTGACTCGTTTATGGTAGACATCGTCCCAGTTAATATTTCGGAAAAATGCGTGTGACATGATTTCTTGGGCATCAGTAGGCCCCGATCCCAGACGCAGTTCAGGTTCACGAGTCAGTAATTTCTGCAAGATGGAAACCGAGTCGCGAGGCATGTGAATTGGGTACAAAGGTTCGTCGGCAAGAATGGCATCATATATTTCGTCTTCATCTTCTCCACGGAAAGGCGACTGCTGGAGAAGCATTTGGTAAATCAGCACACCGAATGCCCACCAATCAACTGCTCGGCCGTATTTCTTATCGAGAAGAATCTACCCATATTTAGCACCAATTGTTTTATAAGCCAGCAAATTCATTCTACTTACCTCCGGTGCCATGAATTCAGGGGTACCACAGAATGTGCCGGTTGTGCATCCATACCACATTTCTTCCTTACATAGACCGTAGTCAGCAATCTTAATATGACCGTCTAATGTCAAAAGAATGTTGTCAAGCTTCAAATCTCGATAGATGACTCCGTTCTCGTGGAAGTATTTGAGCGCTAAACAAACTTCAGCAGCGTAGAATTGTGCGCGCTTGAGACCAAACTGGCCGCGTTGGATATGTAACATCAAATCACCACCACTGATGTACTTCATGACGAAGTACACACGAGTTTCCGTCTGGAAACAAGCGTGCAGATTCAAAAGGAACGGGTGGCGCTCCTTATTAGCGATGAGGAAAACCCGCTTCTCAGATTTGGTACTTTCAACCTCATCATTCTCGATGATGAACTCCTTCTTCAGAACTTTGATAGCATAAAGTTTCTTGCTTGATTTTGCCTCGGCAAGCATAACCTTACCAAAGTTACCTTTTCCTAGAACAGCCAAGAAGTTGAAGTGATCCAGTCCAATTCTTGGGCCCCTTCCTGTTGAGGGGGGCTCTTTCACAAGAGGCGGCTGAGCCACAACTGCTTGAGACAGAGGTGCTTGAGCTTGTGGAGGAGGAGGGGGTATCTGGTATGACTTTTGGACTGGAGTGGTAGCAGGAGGTCCTTGAAGGAAATTCGAAAAGGCAGAAGGGTCGTAGGGCTGATGAGGAGGTTGCGGTGGTTGAGCGGGTCGAGATTCTACGCCAAGTAAGTATATAGAAGACAAAAACAGCTTATATGAGATAGTATAAAACAAACCTGGAGGTGCTTGGTATGGCGGACGCATACTAATCGCGGCTTCAGCAGCCTTTTGTGCTTCAATAGATGATGTTCGCGGCGGATGCGATCTGCCACTGGTTGGCGACTGAGGTGGCGGGTAAGAAGTACTTGCAGCGCTGATAGCCTCGGTTGATGGGCTCGAATACTCCAGTTGTTTTGACGGAGTTGTAGGAGGGGCATTATCCCTCAGGTTCCTATTACTTAGATCGGAGGCCGTAAGTGGTTTACTATAGGTTTGACCCTTCTGGCGGATCATAGCCTTGATAATCTCGTTGGCTGCTTCCATGGACATACCACAGAAGTCTGGAACCAAATGCGCACAGTCGGTATGGCAAGTGAGACTGCATTCTGAGACTCTAGTCAGCACGGTCAACTGTGAAAAATACAGAAAAAATCATTACCTGTGCACTTCTTCGCGTTTTTACGGCCAAAAGGTAGCAAAGATCCACAGTGGCAGCACCAGTTGGCTGAAATATTGGCAAAGTTTTCGAAGCGATGAGGAATGCGGTGTTTGATTTTCTCCTCGTCCGGGTCGGTCTCATAGTTGGCTTTGCTGATACACTTCGTGACAACCTTTGGATAACACTTGCGATGACATGTGTACTTGCAGTCCTCGCACTGCATGCCAGCAGCGTACTTTAAAAAATCTCCACAAAGAGCACAACGCATAATATTGTAGAATTGCTGCGTAACGAACTTGTGCCCCTGTTTCTCGTGCACCTCTTCTTTCCTTTGACGAACTGCACCCTGTCGGTTCAAACCAAGATCAATCGGTCGGCGATCTTTCAATTGTTTGGCTATCTAGTGTTAGTTTTGTACCGTCTCGATATGGAAATTTTCAAACGTACCGAAGCTCATCGTCAGATGTATCCTACCCACGGGCTCCAATGCAAACCATGAATCAATCATCACGGAATTACCACCGCCTTCAGCACCTGCGGCGCCTCCATGTGACTGACCTTGCGTGCCTGGACGCTGTCCACCAGATCCACCTATTTGTGAGTTCCCGTCTTGTCTTCCAGGTCCGCCTTGGGCCATCTTATCTGCCGAAACCCAGCCATTCGAAGCGAGTTCGGATTCAATCTTTTTCCTTCGCATTTCTTCAGCGATATCCGAGATGCGAATCCAAAGCATTCCAATTGGGGTGGGGCGGTCCCCAGATTTATCGTAAACGGTAAGTTCAATCTCATTTGCTTTATCAATATCGACGCTGAACATTTCTTCCGTCCATCTATCGGTTCGAGTGGCCTTTGTGCGTGCTTTAATGGCATCTTCGACCTTGAGGATGACGTAGGTTTCTGGACCGCGTGAGAACCGAGAACTCGCTGCGTGGTCGACATCTCTGACTGCATGCACCCGCATAGTCAAATGACCAGTGAGAGGCTTGCGCATATTGGGAGCATTAATACTATCGTCTTTTGGTCGTCCTGTTAGCATGAGGGTCAGAGCAGGTAGATGTATCTAACATACCATCGGCGTTATCCGCCGAGCTCTCGATGTCAACATGTAGATCCTCGTATCTTTTCAAAGACTGCTTTAGCAACTGGATTTTCTGGTTGCTTTCAATGCGACGTCCTTCGGCATCGGCACGGCTCTTTCTATCGCCTTCATCTTGATATAGACGGACCATCTTTTCAATCCCAGCCTTGTATTGTTTTTCCACGCTGAGTTTGAATTCGAGCTGTGAGAGCATGAGTTGGATCTTTGGGCCGAGATAAGGCGTATCGTACTTGATCAGATCTTCGTAAGGTCCATTGTCAGTATGATGATAGTAGCTGGTAGAGAATGTCAGCAATACATACCAAGTTTGCTGTAGTTTGGACGAGCCTTGGGGATAGCACCATATGGTCGAGGGTCGGCAAAGGGAGCGTGCGATGGCATCGTGCCTGTACCTCCTTGACTGTAGCCTCCTGGGCCCACATCCCCGTACTCGCCTGTATCGCCAAAGTCTTTGGGAGGCGGCGCCGGAGCATCAGGGCTCCCACCAAAGCCAAACTGTTCACCGTTTCCTCCCAGCGGTGGTAATTGAGGTGGCCCTGAGCTGGCGCCCCCGCTCTTCCGGATCTGCAGTTCTCTCATCTTCTCCTCCAGGTACGCGATGTTCTTGCGGCCGTCGCGGATGTTGGCATCGACTCCTTGCTGCACCATCGGGTTATCGGTCGACTGTCTCATATTGGTTGCGGCTGCGATGAGAGCCTTCTCGCGGTCGATCTTCCGGTGGACGGAAGCGATGAGCTCGTCCATGGTGACGACTCGTCCGGCGGGACGTGGAGTCTCTCAAATTCGATAAAAAGAGATGTGCTTGTTCGCTGGGGCTTGCAAGGTATAGTCGGACAGGCAGAGACGACTGCTGGTGTGGTACGAGACGCTGGGTTGTTGCCGCACACACACGCACGCACACACTGAGGGGTGCTACCGCGGGGGAACGTATCACCGGCTGGGGAAGTCACTCGCTAACTAGATAGCAAGAGGTTCAGCATTAATCAAAAGGCGTAAGGCTATCGCGGGCTTTCCTGCGTGTTGCGCTCAGGGAGGAGGGATTTATGACCGGGCGAAGAATGGAAAAAGACGACTCACTCTTGTTTATGTGGATGATGTAAGATATCAGGTAGCAGCCGACAACCGCATTAATATTAATTCATCAACGCACCTCAGAGGGAATGAGGGCACCAGCGAGCAGAGCAGACCCGCGCTGAATGTAGGCGTCTGCTGGAGCCGTTGGGCAACGTCGCCTTGTGGTCGTGGACGAGATGCGATCGATCCCTGCGAGCCAGCCAGGCAGTGCAGTAGTGGCTATGAGAGCGGATAAGAGGAGGGCAGGGAGAATCAATAGTCTGCAAGCAGCCGAACAATCAGCTCGTCCCTTATGTTTCTTCTTGTGTCTTTTTCTTTTCCCACTCTAGCGACTCGGGTCGAGGACTGCACTCAACGATTACGAGGCGGAGGAGTGGTTGTTGATGGCAAAAGAGCAAAAGAGGGGAGGGCTCGCTCTGCCTGCCGCCTTCCGCCTAATCAACTAGCACTTACTAGTGGGGAAGCATCCTCGACCTTTCATCCTGGTCACTCGCCACACATTGTTTAATGTTTGACATGTAATATTTGACAATATTATTGCTGATGTCACTCGCAGCCTGCCCTGATGCCGCCGCCTGCCCTCGATCTCGCCAATCATCGCATCCCCGTCGCATCGAGAATACCACAGTATACCATGCCCGGCAAAATCCTTAGCGGTGGCTGATACGCGTACACATTCCTGCTGCAGCATCGCCAAAGTGGTTGCGCATGATCTACTAGACGTCCTCTGCAAGGCGTGCTACTCCTGGTATTCGGAAGACTTGATTATACCTGGCTGACTGTCGTGATTTGAATAGAGAGAGAAGGGCAATTACATGCTATTATTCTATCCTATTTTATCCGAAGCCGACACACTAGTGACATGCTGGCAAGGGGCAGATGTTGCATAAAACGTGCCAGTTTTCCTAAACTGGCGAACTGCCGATCAGCGGCTTTTGATTGATTCTTTCAACCTAGGGCTGGCTTCATGCAGTCAGTTTGAGCAAGCCCCCGACTAGAATTCGACAGGCGCTTTTGTGGGCCTCGCATCATGTGGCTTGGGAGTGAGACATGGCGATATCTGAATTTGTCGGATCGGCTGATGCCGATTGAACTTCAGTTGCTAAGCATTCTCGTTCTTCCACTGCGGACCCGAAGTCTACTCGGATCGCTTGGCCATTTTCGGCAAGCAACACCAAGAGGCAACCATCACACCGTACAAAACTAGACAGATAGGATGCAAAACAACCGTCCCGAGGCTTTGGGAAAGCAACCCAGTGACGAACGGCGCAACGGCGCCCCCGCTACTGCCCATGGCACTGATGAAACTCAGGCTCGCAGTCTGAATCTCTCGTGGCAGGAGTCGGTTGAACACCACCGTGGCACACGGATACACAGGCCCAAGCAGTAAACCGAGAACCGACACAGTAACGGCTTGCCCAATGATGTTGGGGATCAGCCACGTCATGATTTGAAAAGCAATAGCACCAGCGACCAGCACTAGTACAGCCACTTTTTCCCCAAGTCTGCGGGCTGGATAGCTTAAGACGAAGCGGCCAATTGTTATGCCTGCCCAAAAGCCAGCGCTGACATAACCGACGTGAGAAGGATCTCCATCTCGATAATTGATCAGGTAAGACACAATCCAGCCTGAGATGGCAACTTCGGCGCCTTGGTACGTGAAGATAAAAATTGCGCCAAGTAATGTCACTCTGCTCTTAAGTGCTTTCGCGAGTATATTTTTTTTCACTGCAGGGGCTGAAGTTGTTCTCTGGAGTGTAGCTGTAGGCATAATTGACATCTCTTTCCCAAACCCCTTGAAAGCCCAGCCAGCGAAAAACAAATTGAAGGTGGCCAGGCTCAGTGTAATGAAGTAAAAGTACGACCAATGAATTCCATGCGACGCCATTGCCGTGCCGATTAAAGGTGCTATGGTTCCTCCCACACCATATGAGCCATGGCCGATACCCAGGATTTCAGTCCCGTTCACCAGGTTGGCCAGAAAAACATTGTTCAAGGCAAGGTTGATAGCAACGCCTAGACCAATGAGGAAGAAACTCGTCACCACTGCTGGAAATGGTGACTTGCATGCAGTGATCAGGAAGCCAGCGACCAGGAGCGCCTGGCAAAAGATAGCAGTTCGCGAACGACCGTATCGGCCTTCCATTAAATGAGTCAACGGCGCCGCCAAAATAAACCCGGCAGCATTAGCAACGAAAATCAACGAAACAATAGCATAGCCAATGTGATAGTTGGTCTCCATATACGGAATCAAGGCACCAGGGGCACTGTCGCTCATTCCATTTGACAAGAACATCAAGCACGCGCTAGCAAACCGCCATTTGTTCCTGGGTGGATTTGAAATGCTCTGCACCATTTCTGCTGCGGTGGATTCTGATTCATGGTGATTTCGTTCGCTATTGGGAGTTCCCGGTGTCGGTGGGAGGCTCTCCAGATCAGACGGGGCTTGAATCGATGATCGCGAGACTCGAGATAGCGCTTGGTCGTTGGATGTCAGATGTGATGTATTCAGGTGTAGGTCCTCTAATTCATGATCGATGGGCGACGACGCAACGTGAGTGTTGTGCTTGCGAACTGCAGCTGGGGGCTGTGTCGGATGAGAGCTCTCGACATCAAAAAGAGCAGCAAGCTGTGCAGCCATTTCGACAAAGAATTACCTGTTCTCAGGCATCAATTGATGTGTTGGCGATACCTACAACCCTCGACTTTTAGCGTAGTGTGCAGAGGAATCGAGAGAAAGTGCGACCGCCGCCTCTTGATTATTCCGGCACTTTAGCCTGAAATTTTCAGAAATTCCGAATTATCAGTGATTGACCGCTTCTCTTGTTGCGATGAGTAATAATATCTCCAAGATATCGTGGCCCGACCCGAGAACGGAAATTCCCCGCCGTCTCGGTGATTTCCCCATGCGGTTGTGGGGGTAAGGTGAAGTAAGCTTGATTGACAAGTGCCTCGCTTAATTGCTATATGTTTGATTTTGCCACCAGCTATAGATTAGCACTTTTCTTATTGTCAATGTGAGTGATATAGAGACATTATTAATTGCCAATTACTAATCAGCAGCCAAGAAAAGTACTAGTAAGTGTTCGGAATTTTTGCCGTCCGGAATTCCTGCCGATTTTGGCTCTCTTGTAACTACTACATCAACCCGTCCCAACGTCTAGCCAACAAAGAGGCATTCTTATTGCGAAATCAGGATATACGGTGGCTATATAGTAAATTGTATGGTAGATAGTTATATATGATCAGTTACTACCATCTCCCCCGACTTCCACATACTTCTTCAGGCTTTGCAGCGACTTATCAAAGAGATCTTTCATAGTTTGCACTCCCTGCCACTTCAAAATCCACGCAAGAGAACCTCCAAGCTCAGTCCAAACATTATAATCCGTCTGTCCACTTCCATTGTTCATGAATTCATGCACCCTCCGGCACTTCCTCAACTAATCCTTCCAATCTAGCAAGCGCCAAACAATCCGATACCCCTCCCTCCCATCGTCGGTCTGTATCTGTTCGATTGCTACGATCTCAATGTTCTGAGGCTTATCCACACCCCCTTCCGGGCATTGAGTCTCTGTGAATTTGCAACCTGGTGAAAGAAAGTCTGGTGAGGATGCGATAAAGGTTCTGAGAGTGGCCGAGTATGAGGGAGGTTGAGGTTGTAAATCTGGCTCAGGGCGTTAGTGGATTGTTGCCGTGGATTGGTAGCCGTTCCATGAAGGTCAGCTTGTAGTTTTGAGAACTGGTGTGAGCGCAGCAAGTGGTGAGGCAGTGATAGAGACGTGATTGTGGATCGTAATTATAGGGCTGAAGTCGGATGATTCACCAGGGAGAAGAGGTACAGGAGCCACCATTATTATTATTATATAAAATAGTTTTGGTTTTGGGCAAAATAAGTGAATAGTATAGTATACAGAGTTCAAATTGTAGTCGAGGGAGAAAATGAGAGAAAATGAGAGAAAATCAGCCGTCAGCCCCCTATCTAAATAACTTCTGAATTCGTAAAAGGAATCCAACTAATACAATCAAATGCTGATAGGTTTAGTGGCTGCTTGGTTTTAACGTCGTTGGTTGGTCATTAACATCAACTGGTCAGTCCTAACTTTTCTCATATCTTGCAAATATTTCGATATATGTACGTAGGAGATCTACAACAATAAAAATAATAATACACTTAAACGCAATACCATCTGATTTGGTAGTTCTATATAAGCATTCTTGTCTCTCTATACATAATTAAGTATGAATTTAGATATTAGTCTCTTTGATATCGATTGATGATTTGAATGCGGAACAAAGGAAACGAAAAGCGTAAACATGTGGATCTACACGTAAGAAACGGTGTGTATTGCAAATTATATTAGATGCAGTTAGTTTAAGTGCCTTAATTGACATGGCCTACTTGATATATATGGCGCTTAGAACTAATAATTGTAACAAGGGACTAGTGCCTCTCGTATAAAGTACAGCCGTATAGTCGTATACATAGTAGTAACATTTGAACTGCATTATTATTTACCTGTATATTGATCAACTCTTTTTTTTACTGACATTACTGACACTCCCTATAGATAATACATGTCCTAATATATGCAGTATATCTTTGCGCTTATCATATGAATAAGTTGTCAGTATCCCCATCTAGAATATCGTAGACATTCTCAAGAGCGGTTAGCTACTAAGTTAATATTACATGTAACTGTGCGACATGTGTTATCAATTGATGTACAGGAATATTGCAGATGGACCTATGTTTATTATTATTACTATTTCTTTCCTCACGGATTATATTTACAGTATAATCATGAATTTCTATAATAGTGAGATAATGAAAGGCTTAATAAAGAGCTACTTTTTCGAAAATCTTATTGATAGTTGGACATAGCCCTAAGTCACTCAAATCCAGACTCTCTGTTCCCATTGAATATTCATCAAAAAGAATCGCATTAATCTAATTTATTTAATAACTATTAAAAGCGTGTCATTCACTCTAGCCATGCTAGTACTGAATATTTCAAGTTGTCTCGGCGATCACTTCGCTGTGCATGCAACAAATACCTGGGAGGAGAGTTTGTGGCCTTATTTGTAAGGCATGATTATTTTTCAAGGAAGCTTTACCATTCTGAGCTTAGTGTAAGCTTAAACTATTTATCTTTGCTGCAGAACGCAGAACGCAGAACGGCGTTTGTGCAACAAAAACAAAAATTATTAATAGGCAGTGCTTTTCAAATTCAACATTACCATGGGTCCACCGAAGCGCAGAGTTCTGGCTACAGCAGAGGAAGGGCTCTACCCCCCAACAACACTATCTGACGAACAGCAAATCGCTCGCATTGTGAAGGCCGCGGGGAATAACCTATACTCCGTTGAATTCCCATCGAAACAAGTGGTATTGGTAGAGCTACCGGCAAGGTTCAGATCGACCATTTGGATGAAGAGAGGGTCTTACGTTGTCGTTGACACAAAGGCGCTGGACGATCGGAATAATAAAATCCAGGGAGAGATTGTGAATGTGGTTCGGGATGAAAAGGCCTGGCGGAAGGCGGCCTTTTGGTTAGTGTTGATGCTATGTGACCTGGAAGGTTGAAATGGTTGGACTAATCCATGTTGTCTTGGTAGGCCTAGGGAATTCGTCAAGCAATCTTACGTCGCTTCAGACTCGGAAGATGAAGAGTCTAGAGTAGGCCGGATGCCGTCATCGGAGGAAGAGGATGAATAAAGTCTTTCCATATATGGAAGTTCTATACTATTGCGCTACGCTCAATTCGGGATTATTTCCTACTCCAACCTCCGCTAATTTATCCAAGCGGTTACAACCTGGGCGGCCAGACAATGCACAACGACGATAGAGCTGGTACTGGTGCTGGGGTACACATTCCAGGCCCATTCTTGGACAGCCCATATGATGTATATCAAGATTGGGTGAACACTCGATTGCCAAAGCAAGAGCGGTGTGACCCAGGCAAGGTACGCGAAGAACTGGTAATGCAGTGATCTCGCACAGAGCATGCCGATCACTAGTGACGTGAGGATTGTCTTTGTGATAAAACGATCGGATAGCACAGGGCTTGGGAGGCGACCTTTAAGGAATTTCACCGTGAAAGAACCCAGGTTCTCGCGGGATGGGCGAATCCATCGGGTGGCCACAAATACAAATAGCAGAATGGCGTGTAGGGCTAGAAGGTTCAAGGAGAAAGCGCTAGATAGGAATGTTTCTTCCCCTACGAACCTCCAGTTGACGGTCCATTTGAAGAAGAATTGTCTTGTTAGTTCGAACGCTCGAGACAGGTAGCCACCAGCGTTCTCCCGAAGGAAAGGCAATCCAAGAAGCGCCTGCTATTTGTTTAGCAATAGAGTTTCAAATAAAACTTCCAAATCTCACCTGTACAGAAACTGCATTGATCGCAAGAGGTATGGCGAGGCCAATCCCCCCAGAAAGTGCGATTATAACCGCAATTGCTGGAGCGAGTAATAACAACGACATCTTTATGCTAACCCCCAATGACCAGATTGTAACAGCGGCTGTGAATTGCCGTCGCTGGAAGAGGAATATCGAGAGCCACATGGCCATCGCAGCAATTCCATCGTTGAACAATCGCAGCAGATAGATGCTATGCAGGCGCTTGGATAGGACGAGAAGAGGGAGTAGATACGGTGGTGCACGAAGTCGCGTGTAGCAAGTCATGACAGTCATCAAAGTCGCGCAGTAGATGCAAGCAAATATGAGTTGCCCAAAGGCAATATCATGCCCCCCGTCCGTTAATCTATGTAGAAATGAGTATATGTAGACGTGCGCTGCCGGATAAACCAGCGGGCCTGTGTCGCCTTTGATCGCCGTATAATCGCGTTCGCCGGATTGGTATAAGACAATTTGTTGCATATAAGTTGTCCAGTCAATTTCGGTATCTACATATCACGACGATTAGCATTTTTTTCTCGGTGGGAAGGTCAGGGTTCCTGCAGAAATAGGCGCCTACAGGGTATTTTCTGGATGATCAACCCAGAAAGAACGGCGTCTGCCGCAACTAGCAGAGGCGCAATCCATAGGGAATGTTTTGGATTGGTTAATAAATCCGTTACTAATGTATAAATATTCATTGCCGCGGTCTTTATTTCGCAGCCATCCCAGCTCTTGGTGTTGATAAGTCATCAGTAAAGGGTGTTGAGAACAACTGTTCGTACGCCCGGAGCCGCTAGTGCAGACTGCGTCATAGGCCCGGAAGACACCATGCTCGAAATATTTAATCAAATTGTAGAATTCATGTGATTTGTTTTCATTATTTTCCGTAATTAATTCTATCTAACGTAGCATCAAATTGGCAATCATGAGGCGTGGAAGACTGGCCTGTCTAGAATATCTCCAGATTTTGGACATCTTTTTGGGCCTGAACCAAGTCCAACAATATTGTACAACCTCTTTCATACATGTACAAGCAATAGAATAGCGTGCATTGAGTTCTGCAGGCAGATTTGTGATCTGCCGTGATATCCACAGTATTTAGGCTAGTGGTCGTTGTAAATCAGCTACCGCTGCTCCGATCTGATATATCGGATTTCGATAAGTCCGTTGACGTATCTTTCTTTTTATTTGGAAACCCCAGAAGCTTCCCGACTATTCCTCCAGGTTTCGGGACTGGACATTCGTGTCCCAATTTCCCAATTGATTCCGCCTCGGCTTCCAATTGCAAAAACGTCGATACTTCTTCATCATTAGACCGAGGTAAACTCTTCTGAGCAACGGCTGTATTCGGAGCAGAGTCTTCGTCGGGTATTTGTTTCCTCCTTCGCCTCCTAGGTCTCTCTATTTGCTGTCCATCGGCTGTCATAATCATTTCTGAGTCGGCTAGTGTTCGGCGAGGAGCTGGGCAAGGAAATATGTGCGGGAGGCCGACAATGACAACGGATGCTAACATGGTGGCCGCGAATAGCGAGCTCGTCGAGCGCGATCGAGGATGTAAAATAGGCGGCATGTTTCGACGGTAGTATGGAAAAAATATCGTATTCAATATGTATTTATTTGCGAAGGAGAAAAAGCGCTGCTGTTCACTTGGGGAGAATATTGTTAGATTCCGATGAACAGACTGCCGTGAGGTACGTACTGTCATCCACAGCTCGCATTGGACCGCTAAATAAATGTCATAATGCTCAATTGCTCAAGCCATGTCACTCCTGAGACGATCAAGTCGGACTATATGGCTAGAAGAGTTGCTGTGCCGTCGATTGGAAATGTGTTAATGAGGTCAATCGATATTCGCGGACTGCGATTCGTGGATTCTCCACTAGCCTGCTTGCGGATTAGCATATCACGTGATAACGTACACAGGAGTAGATCGACCTGCGACTTACTCTCTGTGTCTGCGATACAAGCCTCCACTAGACAGCAATAATCTTTTTGAGTGCATGCTCAGACTAGTCTGTTGCTTCTTTTATGCCCAATCACTTCATGGCACATGAACTGCCGTTCTGTGGGGAACTGAGCCTTATCAGAGCCTGCCGCAGGCTAGCAGCACCGCCAAGGCCCGCGCCACCTCCAAATTCAAGCAGATAAACCGTCTAGCCTTCCATCATTTGGCTTCTGCAATTACGACAATGTGCCCGCCCAAACATGAGGTGTAGCTGGACATATAACTAGGGGGAACTGTTACGTGCTGCTATATTTGCTGCGCAAGAGCGCTGCAGCAGCGTCGCCTCACCCCTCCACGTCATCTGGTTTTGCGCACGCCTGTTATCTCGCAATCGCATCACTCCTTTACAGACCATAACAACATGAGTGACCTAGATAGGTATGAGAATACCAGTCGGATTTATCACCCGCATTACTCAGACTAATGTTTCCGCAACCAGAGCCATTGCACAGCTTCGAGCTTGTCGACCGATCCCCGAATCCCAGGTTCGTGAGCTCTGCTACAAGGCACGTGAGCTTCTCATCGAGGAGGGCAATGTCGTTTCCGTGGACGCTCCAGTCACGATATGTGGCGATATACACGGCCAGTTCCACGACTTGATGGAACTATTCCGAGTGGGGGGGGATGTGCCTGATACCAACTACCTGTTTATGGGAGACTTCGTCGACCGTGGTTTTTATTCCCTGGAATCGTTTCTTTTATTACTCTGTCTCAAAGTTCGATACCCGGATCGCATTACACTGATCCGAGGAAATCACGAATCGCGACAGATCACGACTGTATATGGCTTTTATGACGAATGTATTCGGAAATATGGAAGCGCAAACGTATGGCGCTATTGCTGTGAGGTATTCGATTATCTGGCCTTGGGCGCATTGGTGCTCGGCGCAAGCTCAGAGCTCGAACCGACGAGTCGCAGTGAAGACGTGCCAGTAGATGGGCAACTGGAAACAGAAGTGCTGAACTCTAAGGGAGAGGTCACGTCGATGTCCTATCGACCCAGATACAGGTCGTCATCTGATGCATCGAATGATGCTAGAGATATTTCACCTCCCAGAGACATTTCAGCTGCTCCAGGGGATGCTCCATCCAGGTCTGGACCGGCCGGCACAGGTGCGTCAGGCAACAGCTCCGGCAGCTTGGGTTCATCTACTGGCGCCATCTTGTGTGTCCACGGCGGTCTATCTCCTTTAGTGGATACAGTTGACAAGATTCGCCTGATCGACCGCAAACAAGAAGTCCCCCATGAAGGTGCTATGTGCGATTTACTCTGGTCTGACCCCGATGAAATCGAAGGCTGGGGGCTCAGTCCTCGGGGAGCAGGATTCCTATTTGGCGGCGATATTGTCAAGCACTTCAACCACAAAAACGATCTCTCTCTAATCGCGCGAGCACATCAACTAGTGATGGAAGGCTATAAAGAAATGTTCGACGGCGGTATAGTAACGGTGTGGTCAGCACCCAACTACTGCTACCGATGCGGCAATGTCGCTGCTATTCTCGAATTAGGCGAAGACGCGAGCAACGGCGGCACAATTGCACGAAGCAACGGAGACATCGGACGGAGTAATGGCGTACTGCGTGGTGATAAAGGTAACCATATTTTGGGTCCAGGTAGACGGTACAGAGTTTTTGAAGCAGCCGCGCAAGATACTAGAGGCATGCCGGCGAAGAAGCCGGTTGCCGATTATTTTCTGGTAAGTCGTGTGCGTGCATCAAATTAACATTTCAATATACTGACTGGTCGCAGTGATACCATACATTCAGTTTCAGCTTGTCCCGTTATTTTTGCATGTCATGATGATCCCTTTGACGACAATTGAAGTGCGCTTTTTACCAATAATCAGGCAAATAGGAGTCCAGTTTCGCAATATTCTATTCTTGTATTCTTATTGTTGACCTGCTTTACTGTTATGAGAGAATGACATAAAACACGACCTCGTTGTAAGATTCTCTATACATTATCGCCAAAACCATCAATCAATCAATCAATCAATCATACAATTCAAACAGAAACAAAGACGGGTATTTGTAATATAAATCGATGCCATGACTCCACTCGTAGCTTATGTTCCCTAAGCCGCCAACTGTCTATACATAATTCAAAACATACATCAAAAGAAAACAATGGGTTTCGGAAAATATTCCTAGTCATATTCTGGAACTCGCGAAACCTGTTGCCCATTATTCCTCAAACCAGGGTACGGCATAGTAGACATATCGGCCGCATTACCAGCACGTCCCTGTGAAACCACCTCCGGAGCATCAGCGAATTGATTTCCAGCCCAACCCTCTCCCCAATTCTCCAGTCCCAATGCCAGGGCGCTCTGGTCGCGCAACCACCAGTCCTGGTTCTCTCCAATCATATGATCAGCAAGTCCGCTGAAAACTGGCATGGGCGGTGTCCCCATTACGGCCACGGGGCTGTTACTGCTGTTGGAGTTGTTGCAGGAGACCTCCTGGCTGGTACTGGCCCATCGGTTATTATTAGGTTGAGATTTGGAGACGTTGTTCGGTTGAGGGTAGGTTTGGTTAATGGGAAGGTAGTTGTGGTTCGAAGCTGGAGTGTGGGTTTGCGTGTTCAAGGTTTCGTAGGAATGGTCTGGATTTCTGGGGTAGACTTGAGGCACATTTGTGTAGAAGGTTTGTTGGAATGCCGGGGCCGCTTGGTAGGGCGCTTGGTTAGTTGTCATTGTTGCCTGTTGTTGTTGTTGTTGTTGTTGTTGTTGATGATGATGATGTTGCGGTTGAGGCTGTGGTGCTATTGATGAAGAGGAAGATGCATTCGCGCGTATAGACAGAGAATTGTCTGTGGCCGAAGTAGATACGCTTTCAGGCGACGTAACCCGATCCCAGGAACCCCAGGAACCCCATTTAGCCTGCGTCCGCTCAAACACTGCCACGACTTCGCTGGGAACTTCGATATGCCATTTAGAGGCCGATATATCTAAAATTCGAATTGTGCGTCTTGCGCAGAGCCAGCCTTCGGCTATCTCCTCGAGGTTACGCACACCATGGATGAGGTCTCTTTTGGCGTTCCGTTCTGGGATATTCAATAAATGAATTGTGCATGCGGAGTGGACGATGTACACTGCAATATTGCATATTTGACGAAGTCCGTACGATCTTTTATATATACGAAGGAGTTTGGATATAGCGGCAGCGGCTTGTGAGCATAACTTGCGAGGCGAGACATGCTGAGGGAGTGGTGATGTTGACTTGGTGTATTTGAGGAAAGGGCGATAGAGATGTATGAATAGGAGCTGATAGAACATGCTGTACAATCTCGTCAATTCATGAGCCGTATCATCAAATTACTAAACTTACTGCATAAGCAGGACTGGAGGTAACTGTCCGTCTTTCGGCTCCATTTCGGAGGGGAGTTTCTTCTTCCATGCTTCAAGCCTGGTATGGACATCACTGAGCTTCTTGAGTTCTTCCTGCCGCGATGATTGCTTCTCAGTGGGAGCGAGATGGTAGAAAAATGTGAGTAGATCGTTGCTGATTTCACATAATTTTGAAATCTGTAGCGCTACAGCTCTGGTGCGAGCTGGTTGTACATGCTCTCGGCTAGCACCGGAATCTGTGAAGGGTAACCAGGGCTCTCCATCTTCAGAAGGGAAAACTTCAAATTTCGGTACTGTGATATTGCCAAGAGACAATTGTGGTTGGCGGCCAAGATAATTAGACCAACATCTGTGAAAGTTGTGAGCGTGAATGCTTTGTATCAGCATGAGAATACCTACTTGTCGAAAAGAAAACAGCCCCAGAAGGTGACCCTTCTCGCATCGACATCTTCCTCAGCGAACTTGTTGATTCCAAGACTGGTAGCATCGACATTCAACCCCAAATCATAAGCCATTCGAAAACTCATGCCACTGTAAACCCAACCTTTGCCTTCGCGACCACAGCCCGCCTCTCGAACGGACATCAAAGCAAGGGCTTGCACCGTACAAAGCCTGGCCTTTTCATGTTCGTCATGCTCAAGAATTAGTCGTTTCGCTTCTTTGAAGAAGTGGTCTCCGGCCGTTGCTGAATCGTTGGGGTTTTCTCGAGCACCTGGCCATGAACTGAAATGGCAACCCAGAGCCAGCATCGCGTTAACCAATAGGGATGAACAATATTGACTGGAATGGCCACAGCGATAGTCTCGATAGAAAAGTGGCTTTGACAGTGTGGTGAAGTATGCATAATGCCATGTGAAATACATGGTCATAAGGTGTTCCACTAATCGCTCATCATCTGTGACCCTAGTCCACTGTGCGACAGGAAATTGTAAATCCGAGACATTATTATATAAAATTGGTTCATTCTCATTCTTGTCTGGGGGAAGAAACAGTAGATTCGATGTACCACCAATGAATTTCACTGAGCCATCAAGCATTAGCTCACTCATTTTGCCGGCAAGTTCAGACTCAAATTGGTCTGCTTCATAGTTTTCTTCCGAAACTGCTTTTGGTAGGTCTGATGTGGAGGTAGTAGTTAAGCCCTGTTCTCGGGCAACAATCGATTCAGCCACATCCTCTAGATTGTCGCAAGACCGGATTTGGCGAACAAGCTCGAAGACATCGTCTTCCTCGTAGTTCAAAATTGCATGAATGAGGGTCTGTAATGTCGTGTTTCGAGTCCTCAGGTTGTCGATATCTTTCTTGTATACACCTTTTCGTCGGTGATCTGAGTTTGGGTCATATATGCCTGCTAAGAATGTGAGTATGAAGTCAACTTTTCATGTCAGTGGATGCGCACATGGAGTATGATAGACTGATGAACATGCAGCGCAGCTGGGAAGATTTCCGTCGCACTGGTGGGACAGGGTTAGTCTTAACCATTACACATTTAGTACTGGTGTGAATTAATAATATCCTCACTTTAGATTTCCTTCTCCGGCAAGCAATACATGCAGAGCTGACGCAGCGGCGTTTCGAGGCCGGCCCATCATCTTTGCCTTTTCCCTTTTCCCGACCTTGTGGAACCCTAAGACCGGCCGAGGAGGATGTGAGTACTTTATCTGCATGAGTCGCCTTATCCCATTCTTTACTAGCTTCGTCACCCATTATCTATGAAAGGTCGTGGTTCGCATTCAAATTGTCAGGATGAGAACAGCGGCTCTATCGACTGCGGCGGCATCTCATTCTCCTGGAACTACGGCTGTGATGGAGATTGCATGCTTCTTGGATAATTCGGGGAAGCCGATTATCGATATCTGACGCCAAAATAGGCTGAATGCGGTGGTCTTGATATCCCCGCGATTCACTTTCTTGCCCCACGGCGATCTTGTTCCTGTCGGATCCACTCGGGAGGCTTCTGTCGCAGCTTTTAACAGCTTGAAGGGCGACGGAAATACAAGTGATGTTGTGACAGTCTAGGGGAGTGGAATCAGTGGATGTTGATTATCAATGCGCCCACGTTGACCCGTTGAGTGATTGGTGCTGTCACCGTGTTAAGGGCTGCGGCGACTTCGGCCAGAGATAAGGTCTGATGACTAAGCTGAACTGGATCGGAGCGAGTTTTCTTCATGTTTTTGGATTTTACCTTTGGGCAATATATTTTGTTTGGGAATTGTAGGTTCTATAATGCTAGAAGATGAGTTTTTCTTTGATTCGAAGCTGTTTTATGTACGTTTACATGTGATAAAGCTCAGCATTCTCATAATGGGCGAGAGAAATTAGGGCAAGATCGTCCTCGTGCAGGCATGGCGCGGAAGATCATTATTCCGATTTCGATACATTTACTCGAATTCCACGCATTCACTCAATAATAGTCATGGCTAATTGAGTTAAAGTATAGGGAAACAGGATAAAACAGACTATCTATGGGTAATAGGGTTTGGTACTTGTAGGGTCGGTGAAATCCTTGGTTTACGCGCACAAATGTACGCCGTAACATCTTTCGCTTAGACCGACACGTTGGTCAGTTGTTTAATATTTACTGACTCAAAAATTCAGGCATCCCACTCCACACAAAATCATTACCTGTCCATTTCTTCGGAGCCGAGTTGGCGGTCAAGAAATTTGTTGGGAGATCATAATGCCGGGATCAAAAGTGACCCAACGGGGATTTCTTTTTACGGAGCAATCATGTAGTATGTAGTAGTAATTAGGTGCTGAAGTTTCAGGTAGGTATGCGACAGTATTATAATTTGGATGCCTGACGGGCTAGTGCATCTGATCCTAGCTGATGTCAACTTTTTTTTCCTCCTTCTGTTTTGATCGATTGTGGAGCGAGGAACTAAGATAAGCGCCAAACACGCGGGATCGGGTCATGGGCTGGCTCTCTGAGGGTGATTATTATAATTATTGTGGAGGATAGGAGGGCTTCTTTAAACGCATTTTAAGTGAAATATAGCATTGAGCAAGCATACTAAGTAAATCAAGCATATATTCCAAGCATCTGAAGGATTGAAAGAGTAAATAATATTACGCATAAGCGATAAGAAAATATTTTTTCAAGGATCCCGATAAACTTGCTGACACGGTTACAGCACGGGGTGAACTTCCCCTTGGGTCACGAAGGCTAATTATTGTAAGGTGGACCAGTCCGACGCAGGAGACGAGTCGGTCAATAATCAGAGAGCTGTCAGTGGCAGGCTGAAGATCTCCATGCGGATCGCACGGAAAACAATACAGATACATAATAAAAATGAAAATCATAATAATAATAGCACTACTAAGCAGAAGTACCGACACCTTCCACGCCCCACCGGGGAAGATTCTAAGCCACTGATCTGTCTCACTAAAGGTTATCGTACCATACCCGGTCAGGTCCTGCGGCGGACGTATTGATACAGGCAACGTACGGGCCCGTTCCTATTGGCCGCGGCTCGTTCATATTATTAATATTAATAAGAGCGTCGGCAGTGTTCCTGGGGAGAGAATTGTTGAGGAAAAAGAATAGAAAAAACAAATGCATAGAAAGAGCCGGTGGAATAATTTTAAGCAGCGCAGTGCCGACCCGCTTAGAGACGCTGCAATCAAAAATGCCAGCGCATTGCATACATCGTGTACGTGGGAGCACAGGGTCAGGTGACTGTGACCGTAACTGAATTACCACGCGCCCCACTGCTCAGACGCCCCACCAATCAAGGCCGGGTTGGCCATCCGACGGAGGCTGCGGGCTGCAGACTGACGTTGACTACGGCCGCCCCCGGCGTTCTCTGCCGTGCATTATCAGGCCGCTTTATCTATGACCTGCTTACTCTACATTCACAGTAACCCTCCCTTATCACACCCTACAAAGCCTCACATTTCCCATTTCTCAGCTTCCCTCCCTCGACAACATCCTCCTCGCCGTTTACTCTGTCCTGACACGCCTGCCAACTGCACCCGCGTCTGCCACCGACGAACGCCTGCCTGTCAACGTTGCCCCGTGCAAGTCGCGTGCCAGTCCGCGAATCAGCTCAGCCCGATTACTCCGTCATCTGCGCACCCTGCCACACAAACCAGAACAAACAATCAGCACTGACAAGACATTTCGCGACTGTCCATCCATCCAGCGTCCGCGATCAGCGGACATCCACGTGGAGAATCCGTCGCCATCCTCTCTATGTTCCTCGTTCAGAACCTCGATCAAAGCGCCTCCTCGGGAGTTGACATGTTACCCAAGCCGTGTACGGTCTCCGAGTATGCAACATGATGGTGCCGAGAGCTTTCTTATTCTCTTCCGCGCCTTTTCAAAGAGCTTCTGCACAGTATGAGAAGCCTTCCAAGACACAAGCAGCCCGCCCGCGCCACGACAAGTCTCGCTCTCCACCGCTCCCCAGGGACGCCACACTTGCGCAACCCGTCACAGTAGCCCCCTCCGACATACCTCATACTAACCCAGTTGTGATACCGCCACAGCAAAATTCGAACCGGAATGATGCTCACTATTCCAATGCACGGCCTGCACAACTTGGTCGGAACCGTGCGGCTTCGACGCAGACGTCATCGTCGCAGCCTTCAGATACCAACCTGTCACCATCGCTAGCTACGCTTCTACAGACAACTACTATTCCTCGACGAGCTAGGAGTATAAGGAGCCCTCGTCGGCTACCCCCAGGAAATCATGTAGAGGATTTCAGTCGCCTCCTCAGGGAAGGCGTCAAGTCACGAGGTGATGCTTCAATCCTGGACGGCTCTGGGAGTTCACCCCTGGACTGTTTACTTAGCCCTCCAGATGATGAATATGACAAGTCCGAATCTGTGAGCACTACGGAACTCCAGAGACCAGATTCGATCCGCTCTATATCCAGCGATTCGATGCCTTCTCTAGACCATGAGTTGAACTCTTTGATGACGTCGGGTCCGATAACCCCTTCGTCATCTGTTTATCGAAGAAGTCGTGAGCGACGAAAACAGTTCTCGCCACCACAGGACTGCGCATCTAACCACCCACTTCTCGAGTCTGACCTCGATTCGCTTGACACGTGCTTTGAATCTCTAGAATCTTTAGAGCCTCCTAGCGTTCCCTCTCATCAAAGCACCTCTCTGAGGACATTCCCGCGATTGGGCTCTACCTTCAAGTCCAACTTGACCGCCTCCTTGAGAGCCATCAAGTCGGCTGCACAGACAGTTTCCAATTTCGCGACACCTTCAGTACAGCCAGATGATTTCCTAACGCGGTCTCTATTCTCTATTGCTCCAGAACTGACTGATGACCGGCGTCCGCTCCCCACAAATGAGCCACCATCCCCAGCACTACGTCGTTATCTCAACCCAATTACGCTGTCTCCTAGCGAGATGTATGTGTACAACGAGTTCCGACAGGACGTGAAGGGAAATGTCAACAACACGCCGGCGTCGATTCAAATGCAAACGTATCATCGGTCTGGACCCTCTTCCAAACGCGGCCGGTTCAGCGCGGGCAGGGACAATGATCAGCAGGCATTCACGTTTGACCCGGAAGTTCCCTCTTCTCGCCAGCGAGAACCAAGAGAGAACAGTGACTTTCTCCGCATGGTCGTCCTGGAGATGAACATGCGTCGCAAGGGCAAATTACGAGACGATATCCCTACACGCGCGAAGATATGGCTGCCCCCACGCAAAGCTATCCAGTTTGTCTCTGAAGTCTACAGCTACGACGAGCCAGCTGTTCCTCAGCGATGGATGGGAATATCCATCGAGCGCACCCAAGGGTGATGTCTATCATTTTCATTTTTACTCTATTTTTACTCTCACACTTTGCACCTGTAAATACTACTACCGTAGCCCCTGCGAACGAATACGCCCTGGGCACGATGACATTGATACATACATAGCGTGGCGTTGGGCACAAAGATGGATGGTCTTGCTGGACAACCCTTGCATTGCTTTATTTCTTTTTGTAATGTGACGAATAGCATAACTCGAGCAAATTCATCTTGACACGATATTATTACTACCATTGTTATTTTCTAAATCTAGCCAAAAATATAGCGGGGCCTTATTCATACAGATACCATGATTCTCTTCCTTATTGCAACTATCCGCGGCTCCCGCATCAAAAGGATTTGAATCCCACCACAGGATTTGTTGTAGGATCATCGTTCCCCCACCATCTGCACATTGAGTTCAATAGGTGGTGGTAATGAACGACAGAAATGAAGGCCTTATCTCTAGCCAGTACCCGTTTGCGGAGAATGGCCTGAGCGGTCAAAGTCTCAGCGAATGGCAGAATGTGACCTGCCCAACTGGGAGTCTTGCAGCCCTTATCCTCCGCTTAGTGGTTGATGATATGATTTGACGTTGACTGGTTTGGGGAGGCATGGACACCTCAGGCTGAAATGAAATACAGACGGTACCACAGAACAATACTTAAAAGTCCAGAACTTGAACACAAGTTATGAATAGTTAGAGATCTAAAAGAGAAGCAGGAAGAGACTGGCGGCTAAATATGGAAGACATATGATGACGTGACGTTAAGTCTTGCAACCGCGAGTCACATGTTCTCGCGTTGTTCGCCGCTCTCCGGAATCAGCTGCAGCCTAGCATGGCGCGTGCCTACCGACATCCTATATTTTAAAAAAATTAGAGAGAGAGGAGAAGCAGAAACGACTGAAGAAGGGCTTGTTATATCAAAGTGAACACATCCTTATCTTGATGTGCAAGAATGGAGCAGCACGACCAAGACACTCAGATGCCTGACGTTGACCACCCGGACGATGAGCAGGAGCTGGATGAGAAGTACGATACGACTTGCCGTCATCAGTTCTTCTGATTATATTCTCACATATGACGCAGATATCCCAACCGGCCTCGCAATCATGGCCGCACTCTACCATTCCACGATCTTTTCATTGAGCTCTTCACCCCACTAACCGACAACAAGAAAAAGCCTGCGGTTGCTACAGCCTCGCGTCGAAAAGTCGGGCCTCATGGCTCAACCGGCGGTCTTAATGCCCAGGACCGTCGACGCGATATCATCCAGCGCTTCATCTCGCGCTGGCGCAAGGAAGTTGGCGATGATATCTACCCGGCTTTTCGCCTGATTGTGCCCGACAAAGATCGGGATCGGGCAATGTATGGATTGAAAGAAAAAGTCATTGGCAAATTACTCGTCCGCATTATGAAAATCGACAAAAACTCTGAGGATGGGCTCAACCTGTTGAACTGGAAGTTGCCGGGTCAGAGTGCCGCTAGCCGCATGGCAGGTGACTTTGCAGGACGATGCTATGAAGTGCTGTCGAAGAGACCCATGAGGACCGAGGTTGGCGATATGCTTATTGAAGAGGTCAATGAGCGTCTAGACCAGCTCTCAGTCGCATCGAAAGAGGACCAGCAGCTCCCTATATTAGCCGAGTTCTACAGGCGGATGAACCCAGAGGAGTTGATGTGGCTTATACGGATCATTCTCAGGCAAATGAAAGTAGGGGCTACAGAGCGAACATTCTTCGATGTATGGCATACCGATGCAGAAAGACTATTCAGTATATCTAGTAGTCTGCGCCGTGTCTGTTGGGAACTGCATGACCCAAATATCAGGCTAGAAGGCGATGATAGAGGAGTCTCACTCATGCAATGTTTTCAACCCCAGCTCGCCCAGTTTCAAATGCATTCCTTTGAGAAAATGGTGCAGCGCATGCGTCCTACAGAGGAGGATCCTACTTTCTGGATCGAGGAGAAACTAGATGGCGAGAGACTGCAACTACACATGGCATCTGATGATTCTGTCGAGGGAGGCAAGCGGTTTTGTTTCTGGTCTCGCAAAGCCAAGGATTACACATATCTCTATGGCAATGGGTTTTATGATCCCAGTGGCTCTCTGACACGCCATTTGAAAGACGCTTTTGTCGATGGTGTGGATAACATCATACTGGATGGTGAAATGGTGACATGGGATCCAGAGCAAGATGCACCAGTCCCATTCGGTACATTAAAGACCGCAGCCCTGGCCGAACAGCGAGATCCCAATTCAAATGGACCTCGTCCATTATTTCGAGTCTTTGATATATTATTTCTCAATGACCGAGATCTGACATGCTATACGTTACGCGACCGCCGTAAAGCACTTGAAAAGGTCATAGAACCTGTGCACCGAAGGTTTGAGATCCATACCTATCAAGAAGCCGCCAAGGCGTCTGATATAGAACCCATCCTACGAAAAGTTGTTGAAGAAGCATCCGAAGGACTAGTACTGAAAAATCCAAGATCTCCTTACAGACTTAACGAGCGTCATGATGACTGGATGAAAGTGAAGCCAGAATACATGACCGAGTTTGGAGAATCACTGGACCTCGTTGTCATCGGAGGCTATTATGGCTCTGGACGAAGGGGCGGCGCCATTTCCAGTTATCTTTGCGGTTTGCGTGTTGACGACTCCAGCTTACCAAAGGGGACTATGCCGATGAAATGCTACTCGTTTTGTAAAGTAGGTGGTGGATTGACTGCTGCGGATTACGCGAATATTCGCCATCACACGGATGGAAAATGGAAACCTTGGAATCCTAAAAAGCCCCCATCTGAGTTTATCGAGCTAGCAGGTGGGGAGACTGTTCAAAAAGAACGACCCGATGAGTGGATAAGACCGGATGAGTCGGTGGTTATTTGTGTGAAGGCTGCATCTGTATCAGTCAGTGAGGAATTCCGGATTGGACTAACTCTTCGATTTCCCCGGTTCAAGAGACTGCGCATGGACAAGGACTGGAAAACGGCATTATCGGTGCAAGAATTCCTGGATCTCAAGTCGAATGTCGAGCGAGAACAAAGGGAGAAACAGTTCACTGTCGAGAACTTCCGCAAAAAACGTATCAAAACAACTACGAAGAAGCCATTGACTGTTACGGGATATGATGAGGATGCAACTGTAGAATACGCTGGTCCAGTTGGGAATGTATTCGATGGATTGAACTTTTGTATGTCTACGCTCTCTTCTTCCTGATCAAAACTGTCTAGGCTGACTATAAAAAGTCATCATGACAGATACCCAAACCCCCAAAAAGAAAACAAAAGTCGAACTTGAACAGCTAGTCAAGTCGAATGGCGGCCAGATATACCAGACACATACAGCAGCTCCAAATATGGTCTGTATAGGTGAAAGAAGTAAGTTTCCTTTATTCGTCACGAGGAAGTGTATACCTTTTACAGAACTAAAGGGGATTTCTAGGGACCGTCAAGGTTGCTTCCTTACAAAAAAGTGGAAAGGAAAACATTATACGGCCCCTTTGGTTATTCGACTGTATTCAGCAAAATGAAGCCGACAAAAACCTTCCCACGCTTATTCTCCCGCTAGAACCTAAGTGAGTGATCTGAAATAAAGATCGACATTCATACTAGTCACATCCTAACGGATAACTTTTGTAGACACATGTTTTTCACCAAAGAGGATCAACAGGATAATATCGCCGGTAACGTTGACGAATACAACGACAGCTATACACGAAACACCACCATTGACGAACTCAGATCCGTTCTCGAGGAGATGAAGCTGGACAAGATGATTAACGATGCAGATAATTCCATCCTCTCTGAACGTCTTTTTGCACGATTTCAAGAACTTCGCTCTTTCACTGAAGGCGCTTTACCCGGCTGGCTGTTCAAGGGACTGACCATATACTTCCACCCCTCCACAATATCACCATCTTCCCCAGAAACCGAACCTGAATCATCCCAGAGGCTCTGGCTCGCCCGCAGTCTCGCGGAATTCGGCGGCGCAAACATTTCCACACATCTGGAAATAGGCGATAATAACGACTCTAGCATTAAAAGTAGCAGTTCCAACCGCGAAAAGACTACGAAAGCAGGAAATAATATAAACACCGTCACACATGTTGTTGTGCCTATATCACCCTCATCTAAACAAGATGTCACGTCGCTGCGGAAACAGCTTTCGAAGCGGGTGGGGGAGAGAATACCACATATCGTGAGTGTCGAATGGGTGGAGGAGAGTTGGAGGGAGAAGACATTGGTAGATGAAGAGAGTACGTTGCTTCGTCTGAATCTACACTTTTCTGTATCTTTGATGATTTTAACTAGGTTTGTTTGTTTCAGGGTTTGCACCATCGCGATGAGATCACTAAATAAACCCAAGCCAGCCTCTTTAGATTGGTCATCTCGACTATGTATTAGACCGATACAGTTTAATAGCATTGCTTGCCAGTGCCATATTGGGGATGAATTCAACATGTTCTTCTCCTTTTTGACTATAATTGCTTGCCGAACGAATTCATGTAGAGGATGCAGGTGTTACACTGCCATTGACGAGTTGGCATAACTACAACCAATCGCTGCCACTGTGAGGCTCAAAATCCAATGGTTCTCGTTCAAATGTAGCGATGTGAGAAATCGGATACACTGGCTAAAATTCGCCCATAACAAGCTGTGTAAAATAAGTGAGCACATCGGAATCCACGAAACTATTCGTTTCAAAGGGAATGACCAGACTATTTTCGCTGTCACATGGCCCTTCAAAATGTATGAATAATGTTTTCATAAGTACCCGGAAAAAATGTGCTTATCTTCAATGAAACACGAATCGCTCATTCGTATATCATGTGTCTGTGGAAATGAGACATAGGAACTTTCTTTTGCGTTTCGTTGACTTCGAGGTAGAGAAATCAGGTTTCGAGTTGTTTCCCACGGTATGTTTCGACTTCGGCTATATTTTGGATACCGAGCACCCTCACCATCAACATAATACTCTCCAGAACAAATAGATTCGTCATTAGATTCCGAAAATACAGATCCATCTTGTGATATACTGCTATGAGTTTCCGGACTATCCACAGGTGGTATGTTATTGAGAGACTGCTGTTCCGAATCGTCGAATAAAGTTACGTGATCGACAAACGGGATAGGAGGTAGCCATGTACCGTCCGTTTCAAACCCTTCTGGCCACCACTGCTGAAAAGATTGATTTAAGTGATCCTCGTCTATTAAAAATGAACCCCAAGAATTTTTTAACAGATCGCTTGGGAGCCAATTCAATGCTGAGCTAGGATCTTGTTGACACAAATTTTGCTCAAATGTAATGTCTAATGGTGAATTATCGATAGATATATCGCCGCCTTGGATCTGCGGATCAATGGGTTGGACGTCTTGGGATACTGAGAAATTGTTCAGTGATGTCATTTGAAATGAAGATTTAATATCTTGCGAGAAAACTCTAGAAGAGTTTTCGACATAAGAATATGAAAATAGTGGGTTATTCAGAGGCCGTTCAGGAAAATCCTGAGGTTGACTTTCTACTGTAACAATACTGTCCGATAACTTCGCGATCTGCTCCGTACTGGAACGAGGCGTTTCCTGTTGATCTGGCGTACTTCCTTGGGAACCTGCATCATAGGTTATAAATCGAAATTGAAGCTGCTGAGACACTTGCTGTTCCGACGGTGGGCTTCCCGAAGTGACCGATCCCTGAAGCACAAGGGCAGTGAGCGACTGTTCTGGCGAGTTACTGCTATTAGGCTGTGATTCAATGAGAATTGTGGGTGGACCATGGCTTTTCTTTGATTTCGAACGTCGCTCGGTGGGGTATTGGCATCGTATTGTCCGGCTTTGGCACCTAGAACAAGTATCCCCCCCGCTACATCTGACACGAGCGGTTGCGCATTCGAAGCAGGCACGAAAAGTTTTAACAGTGATCCTATGAGCGTAGTCTAGTTTCCCTTGAGCTCCAGGCGTATGGTGACTTTGTTCATGTCGATGAAGGGTATCACTAGCGTTGGTATTAGAAAAAGGTTGGTGTGGTCATTTAATCATGAACATTTGGTTGAAGTTGATACCTTCTTGAAAATCGACGACTACATTGATTGCATTGAAATGGTTTCTCTTTTGTATGACTGCGTAGATGCCGTTTGAGGTGCTCTGGCCTTCTGAAGGTGGCCTGGCAAACAGCACATTTCAATGATGTAGAAGCCTTCCTGCGGCCTTCATCCTTAGCTTTCGGAGTATCCATAAGCCGTCGAGGACTGTACGATGTGACAGGAAGCAGCTTAGTCGGTAGAACTCTCTAACAGATGTCAATTAATCCTGCTTAGCACTTGGCGTTGTGAGTCGCATTCAATTGATGTGCCTGATCAGAGGCTGTCGCTCTTGCTTCGGCTGTTGCATTAGTTGCATGAATCGATAATATAGAATCTGCTAAGACTTTCGCTTTCGAGAGATACAATGTGGCCGCATTCACACAACGATTTGGTGACCGTAGAGAATCGATGAGGGCAACGTGGAATGGGGATATCTGGGGTCTTAAAACAGACACAATCCACCAAACCCAGCACATGGGCAGCCAGTCCTTCCCCGTACTTTTACTCCACAGAGGCACTGAGATCATCGACATTTTGAGACTCGCTAGCCAATGAACCAACTGAGCGGGAGATTGCGATTACGCGGAGGCAAACTGTGACCTGCTTTAGAGCCTCGTACAGTGCTTGCATCAACCGGCGTATTTGCCAAATTTGGAGTCCTGTGAAGAGGCGTGCCTCCCATTATTGGTTTGTTGGTGGAGATGTGAGCTTCAGAGGCTCCCCCGCATCCCCACATCGGCTAATAAGCCACGAACGATCAGCACATTTTACCGACATCTGGAAGTTGTCATCGATGCAAGTCCGCGGATGAGCGGGATATTTGAACCGGTATTGTTTCTGGCCATGTTCATAGGAGTCCAGCATTTGGGTTTGAAAATTATTGGACAAATTGATGGGTCGGTTGGTTATTTTCATTTAGGTACGCGTCCACAGAAGCTTACATGTATATCCTCGTCCCAAAAGTAATTAACCGATTGCCTTGACCTAATAGCCTCATTTGGGTTAGCTCTTGGTCCTTGAAGTCAACTGACATTCTGATATCGTTTTCAGGACCGTTTACTGCACGAAGAAGTTAGCCAATCTACTAGTCCAATCGGTGCATTTTGCGAACTAACTCACCTCAGCCCATATCAAGATGAGACAAACTAGCAGGTAGAATGAACAGGTCACGCAGCATATCACATTACTATCTCGCATAGCAGTCTCCGAAATGTGAATCTGATCTGATTTGATTAATATAGATGTCATATGCGAGTGCTGAAGAAGAGCGAAGGAAACATGCGCACCTGCCAATACTGGGAGACGGCAGAGGTCACGTGACTTACAGGCTAGTTCTCCCCCGTCTTTCAAGCGCTTCCGAGTGAAACACACCGTCAGCAATCCCAATGCACATTGTTCGGAGAGTCGTTCACACGTTGAATATGCCATCGCAAACATCTGGCTAAAGCTGTGACCACGGGAGGCTACGGAAAGTTCATTGGTCGGACTTGTATGCTTGCACGATTCTGAGACGTTGACTCTGGTTAAGCTATCGACATTGATTCTCGGAACACCTCGGGCCATAGACAGGAGACCGGCCAGATTCACATGGGTTGATGTTAATGAGAATCGTATGCTTTCATGAGCGGCGGCGCTGTTAGTGTCGTTCTGGACGGTCGGCAGGCCTCTCAACGACATGTCAACAGTGCGAAGGACTCGACCGCCCTTCAAGGTGCAAGCGTGGCATTCAATGCCCATCCAGCGCAGTCCGGTTTATCGAATGCCTCCCGGAATACAAGCAAAACGATTCGAGCATCTGCGATGGCCGATCCTACTAAGCGTGATGTGATATCTGATGAGAATGATACTGTATCCGAAATGCCGCAAGATGGTCTTGTGACGGATAGGATAAAGCAGTTCTCTGGAAACCTAGCTCCTAGAAGCGCGCACTCGCTTGTTTCAAACAGAGAAGAGTGGCCTCCTTCCAAAGAAACAAGTTTTCAGGTCCAAGCTGCCGCTTTAGCTGCAGCGAGGTCTGCCAGTCGAACCCCCCAGACTACCTCACCCACCCCGTCGGTGCTTCCAACTCGTATACTGAGAGATGGAGAGCATTTTCCAATACATGAGACAGGGTTGAGGAAGTCCAAACCGGCTATTTTGGGTAGTCCAAGTCCAAGGCCACTGCCTGCACCTGTTCCTGTTCGGAAGAGTCCTGCTGTTGCAAGCTCGCTTGAAAGCATGGCAGACCAGAGCAAAGCCAAACCACTGCTACCTAGTCGGAGTAGGTCTACTTTGAGCGTTGAAGAACGCCCATTACGATCCCCAGTGCCAAGGGAGGCTGCTCATGACCGGCCAGGGACCCAGGCTATCACTCCATTCTCTACTGGTCAACAGCCAAAGCATTTAATCCAACGTTCTAGCGAACTACAAACTGAGCAGCATAACCGTAACATGATTCCTTCTGTACCCCGGCCAAGGCGAACTGCAGCTACTCCCCAGGAAAGGCCACCCAGGCCCCAACCACCTCCCAGGCCGACTAACTCATCCTTTCAAGAAGAAATATATACGGATTCTTCATCTCCCATTCCACAGGAGCGAACTTCTAGCAATCGTAGCATCACTCGTTCTAGCTCTGTCAGTACACGTTCTTCGTACAATACTTCAACATCGGATCTAGGACGGGTATCAGCGCATGCCCAAAGCTCTACCCGCCAGGATAAAAGCCATACAAATGAGGCAACTGGGATGACCAAAGAATCGTTGGCTGATGCAATTGTCGCGTCTTCTCTGGCGTCATCTCGGTCATCTCGCGCTGCGTCGCCGCTGAAGGAGCCACCGCCTCTTCCACCGCATCGTCGCACCCGCTCGCGCTCGCTTTTAAACCCTACAGATATGTTCAAGGGTGAACAGCACCGTACGACACCAAGTCCGTCCAAAGGACTACGACAAACTCTTAGAGATCCATCCAAGTCAGATGATGAAGCTACTAAACAACATAGTGGGCGACATTTGATCCGACATCACCCTCATAAGTATCATGAAGGTGACCGGAAACGATGGCGGCAAGAAGTCCCAGAACGCGAACGTAAACGATATGAAGGAGTGTGGGCTGCCAACAAAGGACTGTGGATACCTCCGGAGTCACTGATCTACGAAATGTTACCCTACGTACCGCGCACTCTTGTACTTTCGGATATGGTAGTGCATCTCGTGGTGAGGGACATCTGGTTGCGCAGTCGCTTACCCTCGCATACACTCGAAGCAATATGGGATCTTGTGGATCACAATCGCATTGGCCTGCTGTCACGAGAGGAGTTTGTGGTCGGCTTGTGGCTCATCGACGAAAGCCTCAAGGGACATAAGATCCCCGTCAAAGTACCGGACAGTGTCTGGGACTCGGTGCGACATTCGCCAGGCATTAAAGTGCTCCATGGACTTTGAGCTGGGCCAAAAAGGGGGCGATTTTCTGTATCTAATCATACTACATAGACAAAGAAACACAATATTAATACATTAAAGCCCACATGGTTTGCAATGGCTCTCCATATCTTCATTCTCATTCTCATAGCTCTTATAAATACTCGCCGAAGTGAGGCCCAGTCCCCGAAATATGCTTGCCTCCTTCGTGATGGTGCAGGAGGGCGAGAGAAATTGGAACCTAATTCCGATCCACTCACAAAAAATTCTGCCTCGGCCAGCATCGGCAAATCTCACCTCTTTCAGCTTTTGCTGTACGACGCTCATGAGGTATGGCGGCCAAGCCAGTGCTTGCAGCAGATAAGTTTCTATCCAATGCGACATTAATGCTCTCTAATTCACACAATAACAATATTCATACTGGTGGGCAGCACGACTCTGTATGTAGGAGTTCTACTACTACTGCAATTCGTCAACGTTTCGCCTTTCTCGCTTAGCCAAACTTAATCAGAAAAGCAGAAATAGAAATTCAAAAGCAACCTGAAACGTAATCAAAGCGCTGTTTATAATACTCGCAATAATCCCCTTTAATACTAATCAGTATTTAAACTTCCCTGCCTCATGGCTATGCGAGCCTATTTTTTCCTATTCGGTCTTGGAATTCATGGATTAGGGCATCGTGATTGGGTTGCTGGCCATGAGATGAAGATATTCATCAAATCATGATTAGTTCATCGTAGCCCCTTTTCCCACGTGTCTAGTGTGATGGCTGTGTAAACTATATTTTCTGAAACATACCGATCTCTGCTCAGTGATGGAGATGAGCAAGCCCCAGCTAGTTGTCGGAGGATGTCCATAGCCAGGGTACCGGGTTAGCCGTAATCGCCGATTCATCACGGCCCAGCTCCTTGAGTGGTCTCAGACTCTCAGTTCATCATGTCATCATGCCTTGTGTCGGGTGATCGACAGCAAAAGCACGTTTGACGGGCCTGCAAAGGCTGGAACTAGCCTTCCTGCCAGTGAGAGTCTAGAGAAGTTTCTTCGGCAGCAGCGAATCAGGAGGCAATACCAGGACCATGGTCCGGCCACTACTATTTTTTTTGGATTCCGGAATCACCTCTCTGTTCGCCGACTATCAGGGCAACTTCCGGCCTGAGTGGATAATCAGGGCCTGCTCCAGAAACAGCAGTACTACAGTCTAGAAGTAACTAAGTACAAGTTACAACGGTACAACGCGTCTCGATCTTCCCCGCCCGTTGATACCGATAAGGGCAAATCAAATCGTTCATGACGCTACTCCTATCTTTCAACGGCTTGCCGCTTCCCTTGGAATGCTGTCCCCGTTTCCACCTCGACCCTAATCTCGGAACCCACGGATATTCAAACACTGTATGGTGGCCATGGTTATGGGGGTCTCCCAGTGTCTGGCCATACAGTAAACTCAAATGAGGGAACAAAGGTGGCGATCCTGAATTGAATAGGTCCCGCCCCATTGTTGTGGGCTTCAGGCTTTAGCCATCAGCGCCTCCACCCCTCTAGAGTCAGTGCGAAGTCCCGAACCACATATTATCACACTTTTTGCGAACAACCCTCCTTTGAGCCGGCCCATGGAAGTGATACACTGTCGTCATCCGATAGCAGCCACAAAACCAAAAGAGAGAAAAAATAGAACGAAGACAGAGGAGCTTAGGGTCCTGACAAAACTACCACAGTCAAGTGACCGGCATCATTGAATGGAATGATTCTTATATGAAAGACGAACGAGAGACTGTCTACCATTCAAGTAGCAGTCGGACGGAGCATAGACAGCAGCAACCAAGCCTCAGCTTAGAAGATGTGCTTTTGTTCCTCGTAACTATAGAAACCAATCTCGTGAAGAAGCTGTGTAGTCCATGCATGCCAAATCGTATACTCAGTAGCCCTCCACTCCGGAACCCTAGTGGAAGGCGGAGGGTGGTAGGAGACAGGAGAATTATTATTTAGACGCACAGGGCGATTGCTCATGTTATTATTGTGGCAACACAATGCGCACCCACTAATCCTCTTTGGTCGTTCAATCAAATCCCGATTTGTGCAAATCGGTCATAGATCGGGATCTGCTCTGGGACAGCAGCATCTGCGGGTGCTACCGAGGATTCATTTGTTTAATTCCTATAATCCAGGTGCTCAGCTTCTTAGCTTGAGCGAATTAGATCTCTTTCCTTTTTTGCTGGGTATTGTTAGACCAGTCCTCCATCCCGGGACTGCGTGATAGTCAGGAGACGATTATGCGCCTCTTTTTTGAGTCTGCGTGTCTTTGTCAGCGGGGCTTGCAATCCATCGGTAGGTCAGTCGATGATTGATTGACCGATCGATTGGACTCTGTAGTCGAATCGGGTTGCTTAGACTTCTGCTGGTCTTACTGCTAAGGGTCATTTCAACCTCTCTTAAGTCGGGCCGCTCGAACTCGAAGCCCGTCGGGATCTAGTCAAAACGACCGCCATCATAAACAGGCCCTTGCCGTGTCGCAATGGTGCTGGACCAGCAACAACACTTCCAGCAACAGCACCATCAGCACCATTTCCCACAAGACCAACCACAACAGCACGGTCAGACGGGTGACAGCAAGCTCCCTGGACAGTCGGTAGCCCGCAGGAAGTTTGCCAAACCGCCCGTGAAAGTAGCCTGCTTGGCATGGTAAGAACGGCCTCAATCGCTGCACATGATCCTGTTGCATCACCGGCATACGACCTGACCGATCATGATCTGACTTGGCCTTTTGTTTTCTAGTCGAACCTCGCGGACTCGGTGTGACGGGCAGGAACCCTGTTCCAGTGTATGTATTCTCCTCTCCTCTGTTTCTTGTCCCCAGTCCGCTCTCCGCTCTCCGCTCTCCTCGTTGGAGATGTCGAGAGCCTTTTGCCTGAGGGAACAAGGACGTACCGCGAACTCGTGCTAAGGAGTCTACTGCTTCGTGAGTGAAGTGCTTCAGCAAAGGTCGGGACTGTTCGTACCTTCCCAGCAAACGGGGAGGGCCGCGGAAGAAGAAAGTGGCAGTTCCCCCACCAGCGGCAGGAGCAGGAGGGTTTTCTCAGCTCAGTGAGTGGCAGCCCTCCGCCGCGCCTGCCACCACCCGCTACGATGAGAGTGAGTGCGCGTCGTCCATTGTCGTTCCTCTGTTATTCCTCTGTCATTGACCGTCCTTCCCAGCCGACGGAGTCTTCAGCCAGATCGACCCTCTGTCTCTGCCCGGCGCCGGCTTGAGACACCTGGACTTTGCCTCTGATGTCAATGTGCAGGGCATGTTCGAGGGCATATTCATCACTAGGGATGTTGGACATCACACGCCGGTGTCGCCAATTCTGGGCACCCCCCAGGCCAAACAGCCAACTGTGCGAGCGTACGGCAGCGAGCATGACATGTGAGTGCTTCTTCAGACACGCGCACGACGGAGATCGTGACTGACAAACGCCCAAGACTGAATGCCTATTACGATTTCATCCATCCGTATTTTCCAATAATGCCCCCCAGGACCTCCCATCCAGGTCCAGATCAACCGTTAAACGATGCAGGCTCCCATCCAGCATCGCTTTCAGAGGAACCCACTCTTGTTTACCAACCAGTATCCCCATTAAGCTGTGCTATATCTGCAATTCTCGCGCTTGTTCCACATCCCAACGATCCAAACCCTATGAGCCCCAGCTCCACTGTGCTACGTCGATCGTATGCACAAACTTATGCCCGATTGGCCACAGCAAGTATCGAAACCGATGGTGAACTGATTGACTCGGGGACAAAGCCCTCCCAGGCTCTAAATTATGCCCAACCATCGATCGACAGGGTGCCTTTCCATCCTCGAGCGCCGATCGAATTAGAAAGTATATTGGCATTGCTGATACTTTGCATCTACGAATATGCCCAGCGTGGGAATCTGATGAAAATGAGATACCGTGCAGGTCAAGCATGGGTTATTGCTATGAACCTATCTCTTTATGCTCTGGGCCCTGAAAATGATGAGTTCTCCGAAGCTAAGAGACGGGCGTGGTGGATGACCGTATGGGCACCTACATCATGACCAGGGAAAGCAGGAGCAGATGTGACTAATTCTTATCATATAGTACTATTGTGTCCTTCAGGGTTCCATTGTCAGCGTGACGGTCAGTCCTGTGTTGCTCGCTTATTCTTCCTCGTGTAACTGCTGACAATATATAGCCCCCAACCGTGATCATTAATGACCCTCGTTTCACAACGCCTTACCCACATTTTGCATCAGACCCAGAGGTAGTACCACAACCTCCCAGTCAGTTTCCCTTTACTCACCCGTCTTACATAGGGTTGGTCGATATTATTACAGGCTCAACAAGTTTTGGTAACCGCTGGTCAATTCACCATCGATCTGAACAGATGCCTCAAATCCAGGTCCAATATGCCCTGGATCTATGAACAAATGAAGCAACTCGATGCATGGGCCTCATCAGCAATAATCCAGGCGAATACTCATAATACTATTCCACAAACGGGTCACCCAGATATCGAGGAAGAGTTTGTCACGGCTCGTAGCATTCGAGCCATTGCGAAGATCAAACTTGCTAGGTATTCCATGAATTTCTGCATTTTCTTTGTTCAATCGAATTTGCGCTTATGTGTTTCATTACTGCAGTGCACAGATCAAAACACATCGATTCCAAGCCTTCTCCGATATTCCGATTTTCATCAAGAAACATTATGACTTAGCTACCGCCAACTCGAGTATCGATGACCCGTACCAGCTAGTGAATAATGGGAGAGATGTCAATCCACTTGCTTGTCAATGTCATAGTTTTGAAAATCATCCCAACCACGTCTTAGGTACAGCTTACACTGGGTCTCCTTCCGAGTCGTCTACATCTGCCGCATCCGATTCTTTGCATCCACATTACTGTTGGCTAGGCCCTGGATTTCCATTTACTAGCCAGCATTCAGCCAAAGTCTGCCTTACAGCAGGTTTAATGATCTCGCATGTGTTTCAGAGCCTTCCATACCCTCTTCAATTTCGCCATAGTGATCATGGCATCCCGGTCCCTAGGCTTGACCCATATGCAGATCCTGCGCTTTTGGATCCCCGAACGCAGTTACCACGCACCATGCCTTCATTTGCCTCGTGCGCCATGCAATGTAGCTATGCATTGCTAATGATATTTTATAAGACCAGGGTCTCTAAGGATGGATCAAGCGGCCTCGAATACGACCATGATGGTCATCCTTCGGCCGAAAGACTGGCTGATGAGTTACGACATGGCTTAGAGCGTATTGTTGGGGCGGTTTCTAATTACTCTCGGGCATTTGAAGCATTGGATGGAATGAGAGGTGAGCCTTCCTCTCGCCGACGCCAAGAATATGTTTTTATTAATCTGGGTTCTTTTTCTTAGAGGGTATTGAGGGAGCGATTCATTCAGCATTCTCACAACATTGACGAAATTCGTATCGATCGATAGCATTAATCAGCATTTTAATGTCATTTTAACGTACTGTTACGGCCGCTTCATACTTTTTGCATGGGTTGGTGTCAGGGACCTTGATCAAGGGCCTTTTGATTTTCTTTACATACCCTTTTTTGTTGTCGGATTTTCAACGTCTTCACGAGCAAGTACCTTTTTACTTCTGTTGTTCTAGAAAAGCGGAAAGTGAAAAAAGTCCTCCTATAGCATTTCTGAAGTGCTACTTGTACCAATACGATCTCTTTGGATCTTATTTACGCCTAACTTTCTTCTCGCATCATTCTTATTCCTAGCAACGTTGCAAGGAAAGGACGAGGAGATCATGTCATATTTGAACAAAGCCTTGCAATATGGCTTATTTGATTGGAGACCAATATCAATGTTAAGCATTCAAAAAGCAACTTGATGAATTATATAGACATTATATAAGATTAGTGAACGAGGGGAAGTGGTGAAAATTATGAATTGATCGATTGATTCATCAAAAGAATATTGATATTACTGAACACAAAGCATCAATTTATGTGAATGCTACGTGTAGACGTGGATATATTTGAATCAAATTATCCACTCTACTTTATTTCTACCCAATAGATATTCAAATTGAAAAGAGACATAATCTCAAAGTTTAGAACGTATGCCCTCCAATCGGAATTTCACGTCTTTGAGCACCTTCGTCGTTGGTTTCCAATCGTCAAATTGCTTCAACAGCTCCAGACTTTCTTGATGTAGCTCATGGCGCACGTAGTCTTCTTCAAGCAGACCACGTAGTGCAAAAGGAAGGATGTACGGGTTTGGAGTCGTTGTCAGGCTATGTCGCTGGATGTGAAGGGGAACGTTGACATTGGATGTTTCCAAGGCGAATTCTACCGCCATACTATAGTCCATAGTATTAGCGGACGATCTTGGCTTTCTGAATTATGCGACAGGGGTTGGCAATGCTTACTGGTATATGTTTTCCTCGTCATGAAGGCGGGAATGGCCCTCGCCTCCCACAAGACTGCCTACAAGGGGAGCGCTCAACTCTCGAATGAGACCGTGGTCACGAATTCCAAGATTTCGCAGCTTGAGCGTGAATCCTACCAAATGCGAGAGACTTGTAATATCGGTTAGCTGGCTAATAACGCAAAATAGATAAAGGTCAAACCCACAAACTCGGAGCATGAACTTTGCCATCCACAAAAACAGCGCGATAAATGTAAGGGTGGGAAACAGGATCGAATAGCGAGGACTGTAGTCATGTAGTAAGTATCTCTAGTTCATTCCCTCACAGCAGAACAGACAACATACCTCTAGAGAAACGAGTTGATCATCTATACTCCCAACATATGTAATGCGAACGCCAAACTCTAAACATGTTTTTAAAGCCATCTCATAATCTTTCGATACCTTTGTTGTCGGATTCGCAAAATCGAAAAGTTCACCAGCAGATCCACCTATCCATCTTGACTTATAATCTGGAAATGGACCCTGGTTAACACCAGCCATAGCACATATACCGACACGGGAAGCATCGAGACATCCAAAAGCTATCAGTTTGGCGACTAGCATAATCGTGACGGGGACACCTTGGCTGTGGCAAGCAAACATAATAAATTCAGCCCTTCGGATGTCTTCCATCCAGTTCAAAAGGAGTTTCCACAGCAAGTCTACCCTCTCCGCAATGCGACCTTCTCCTTCCAGTGATATTTTCTCAACATCGCAGTGATAGCCGTGACTTTCAGCCCATCGATGAATAGCCTTTGCTGCCATGGTGGAAAACTTCAGAGACGTTCCAGTGGGCTGGCCCAAAACCGTACGTAGGTATGGAGCTGGGAAGTAGCCATGGACTCCAATAGCTAGCGCCTTCTTGAAAAGAGGCGGATCACGAAGGACAAAGACATGTTGGTTTTCTGGCTGCTTAGTATAGTGTAACAGTCTTCCTAGCGTTTGCAACCACGAGGCAGATTCCTGCAACGCGAAGGTATCTTTAAAGGCAGGAAGCAACTGATTGCTCAAGACACTTTGAAGTTGTTTTGATGCTGTGACTTCCTGCGATTTTACTTTTGCCGGTATTGGAGTAGCTATAGCGTCATCTGTCGGAATAGATGTCACCCCATCTTCTGTAATAGGCCCGGTAGTTTTAGTAGCTTTGCCGTTCACTGTATTGGTAGGTGGAACGGTCTTGATGCGTTTCTTATTTTCAGCCTTTGGAGAGGATAGAATAGACTTCAATTCTGGTTGTGGAACGCTGTCGTCTTTGTTTGTTTTCGATAAAATCTGCTCTGATAGTATAAGCTCTCCAGATTCCTCCTGTTGTGCCGCAGGCTGTGTGCCAGTATTGGGGACATCCCGGGACCAGAAAGCCCAACCCGATGACTTTGAAGGACCTGAATCTCGTTTTCGCTCTTGACTGTCCTCAACCACGGAGGACTCATTTGTAGGTGGAGCAACCACAGGTTGATCGCTTGGTTGGTCCTGTTCAGCAACAGGCTCTTCGCTTGAAGGATCTATTTGCGAGTCCTCTTTGAGCTTGTTGACGTTTGATCCTCCCCACATTTGCATCCAACTCCGTTTCTGAGGTACAGGGGTTTGGGCTGCTGTATCTTGTTCCGTCGTATTAGGGGCAACCGAAGTTTTGGGGTCCTCACCAGCCTTGGTAACATTGTTGCTTACTTCAGATGTCTCTGGGTCATTTTGAGGGGCCGGGTTTGGCTTAGCTTCGTCATTGGGATCACACATATCGCGTTGTTTGGAGCTCGTCTGATCTCCTGCGTTTGCGTTCCAGCCAAGCCAGCCAAACCAGGAAGAGTGTGTAGTGTTCTGTTGGGCTGGGTTCTCTGGCTGCTGGATATGATTCTGTGCTTCAGTGGAGGCCCGTTCATGCAAAGTCTGACTACTTTGGGTACTTGTATTATTTTCTAGGGAACCCTTCTCTTCAGGTTTTCCAGCATCATTCTTAACCTCAGGTGATTCTCCTGCTGTTTCAGTACTGGGTGCTGTTATAGAAGATCCGTTCGACCCGATATTAACCCTGGTAGTTGTGGCGTCCGCTGGTAGTGATCGACTAGATGCGCCTGCTTTGGTCAGTTGAATGGATGTCGTTCGGAAGACCTTCGAGGTATTTGGTAAAGAAGCAGTCGAGGACACAAGTTCTGACGCGATATTTCCAGCAGATATGCTTTCTCGTGCAACCTCGGTTACAGCTGCGGCTTTCTGTCCCCGCGGCCAGGACTTGGTCGTCCAACTCTGCAGAACAGTTAATCAACTGAATAACCACTGTCCCCTAGATTATATTGACTCACTCCCCCGTTAACCGATTTCCGTGGTGTTGAGTTATTTGTTCGGGCTGGATGGGCCGCACCGGAACTCTTGGGCGGTGTTGGGCTGGTCTGCGAGTCTGCAGCCGAATGGGTTGACTTCAGCTGCTTTCGAGATCCCATGAAGCCGACCGCCGGTGCGCTAAGAACATCACTAGTTCATGAAACAAGTTGATAGTTGACAGTGGCAGGGCCGAGCACGACAAATGTAGAGCAGGAGGGAAATAGAAGTGGGATGGCAAGGTAGAACATGCAGTTGGCGTGAGGCCAGCACTGTCTGCCTGTGTTTGGCCAGTGTTTTTAGTCGTCAACTCAAGGCGATTGCTGATGTCACCGCTGCGCCCCACGTGAATGGCCGCTATCGTTCATTGACGGACGACCTGGCTCGCTGACTGAGGCTGAGGCCGAGGCTGGGCAGTCTCGTGACCTGGACCTGCCAAGCCTGAAAAAATATGTGGAGATAGACTAAAACTGCCGATAACAACTTTTTTTTTCCAAGGTCGTAATCAAAAACACACTCGCCAATTCAAGGGAATCGCAGCACGAATTTTGAAAAGCTGAACCGCGCATCCACTGCCGGTCTAGCTGTCAAAATATGGCGATTCAGAAAAAGGTTGGTTCAATATCTCGAAAGACCTGCCAAAATCATGCGCTAACAATTTGACAGCACGGCAAAGGCCGTTTGGATAAATGGTACAAGCTCGCCAAGGAGAAAGGCTATCGAGCTCGTGCTGCGTTCAAATTGATACAACTCAATAAGAAATATGGCTTTCTTGAGAAGAGCAAAGTCGTTCTCGATCTCTGTGCAGCTCCCGGTGTATGTTCTCTTTCGCCTTGATGACAAGACTGAAAACTAATTGACTATCTCTCCAGTCATGGTGTCAAGTTGCCTCAGAATGCATGCCCGCTGGTAGTCTCATCATTGGTGTTGATCTTGCCCCGATTAAGCCGATTCCCCGCGTGATTTCTTTTCAGAGTGATATTACAACAGATAAATGTCGAGCGACGATTCGAACTCATATCAAACATTTGAAAGCAGACACAGTCTTGCATGATGGTGCCCCTAACGTCGGTACGGCTTGGGTTCAAGATGCTTTCTCGCAGGCTGAATTGGTGCTGCAATCGATGAAACTAGCAACCGAGTTCTTGAAAGAAGGTGGAACGTTCGTGACTAAAGTGTTTCGCTCCAAAGACTACAATCCTCTTTTATGGGTCTTCAAACAACTCTTCACATCTGTCGAAGCGACGAAACCTCCCTCGTCTAGAAACGTGTCTGCTGAAATATTCGTTGTCTGCCGGGGATACAAAGCCCCGAAGCGCCTGGATCCTAAGTTCCTAGATTCCCGCCATGTATTTGCAGAGTTAGCCGACCCGACGCCTAATAACGAAGCCAAGGTCTTCAACCCAGAAAAGAAAAGGCGCAAAAGAGAAGGTTATGAGGAGGGTGACTATACACAGCATAAGGAAATATCCGTTACGGAATTTATCAATACGACAGACCCAATTGCTATCCTTGGCAGCTACCATAAACTCAGCTTCCAACAATTGCCCAATGGGGACTTGGCATTGGCGACTCTTGAGAGACTCGAGGATACCACCAACGAGATTCGTACGTGTTGTGAGGATCTTCGAGTTCTTGGCAAGAAGGAATTTCGCAATCTCTTGAAATGGCGATTGAAAGTGCGGGAAAAGTTTGGTCTTTCGTCTAAGAAGAAAAAGGACGAGAATGAAGAAAGTGAAGAGGTGGCTGATGTTGCGCCAATGGATGACGAATTAGCTATCCAGGAAGAGCTACAGCGTTTGCGTGACAACGAGAATGCGGAGAAAAAGAAAGAGAGACGAAAAGAGAATGAAAGAAAGCGCAAAGACATAGTTAGGATGCAAATGCATATGATCACGCCTACCGACATTGGTATGGAACAGGCTGGTATTGGGGGCGAATCTATGTTTGGAATAAAAGTTGTGAATCGAGAAGGTGCCGGGGATAAGATTGCCTCGGGAGAAATGGTCGAATCCGAGTCTGAAGAAGATGAAGATGGCCCAAGCAGTGATGAAGAACCGGATGAGGAGGAAGACCAGTTAGAACGTGAACTTGATTCGCTATACACTTCCTACCAGGACCAACAACAAGATCGAGACTCAAAGTTGCGGGCGAAACGGGCTCGCAAAGACTACGAAGCTGAGGAATGGGATGGATTTTCTGAAAATGATGATGCTTCTGCAGTGGATTCTGGCGAGCCTACAATAAAAACGCCAAAATCGGACAACCTATCAAACAAGGCAGCTTTTTTTTTCGATCAAGATATTTTCCAAGAATTGGGAGGTCTTGATGAGGCTGAAGATGACGACAGTGCTATTGATATCGACGTCGATACAGAACCAAAGGAAAAAATAGATTCAAACAAAAAGCCAGCACCTGAGTCGAAGTCGAAATCGAAATCGAAGAATACACCGGCACCGGTGGGTACGCAAGAAGATGAATGGGAGTCTTCCGATGAAGATGCTCAATCAGCAGAGCCTAGAAAGAAGGATGGTCGTTTAGGTTGGTTATAGCCTGATTTTCTAATGCAGTAACACATAGCTAATGACTTGTGTACAGATATTGATATCATCACGGCGGAGGCAATGGTTCTTGCACAGCAAATCGCCACAGGCGAGAAAACATCCCAGGATGTAGTGGATGACGGCTTTAATAAACTTGCGTTCCGAGATACCGACGGATTGCCGGAATGGTTCTTGGAGGATGAGACCAAGCATAGCCGTCCGCACCGGCCGATTACCAAAGCCGCGGCAGAAGCAATCAAAGAAAAGTTGCGGGCCATCAATGCCCGGCCTATCAAGAAGGTCCGTGAAGCGAAGGCCCGGAAGAAGTTCAAGGCTACTCAGCGAATCGAGAAACTGCGCAAGAAGTCCGCTCTTATCGCTGAGGATGAGGGCGTGAGCGAGAGGGATAAAGCGCAGGCGATCTCAAGATTGATGAGCAGGGCGGCCAAGAAGAAGCCGAAGCAACAAGTCAAACTTGTTGTTGCGAAAGGTGCTAATAGAGGCATCTCTGGTCGTCCTCGCGGCGTGAAGGGCAAGTACAAGATTGTAGACTCGCGGATGAAGAAAGACATCAGGGCTCAAAAGAGGGTGGCCAAGAAGCAGAAAAGGTGATGCCAACAATTTTCATAGTACATATCTCCAAAATATACACGCACAAGTAGCAAGAGCATAGCCTTGTTGCATGGCTATACAGTATACACATACCAGAGCAGTAGAGCAGTAGAGCAGTAAGTGACCATGTAAGGCTGAAACGCGCGGATACCTTAGGCTCATGCAGTCATGTACCGGTACGGCGGAACCGGCATGCTGCATGTCATTGGCCGACTCGGAGAGAGCCTCGAGCCAGTGCAGGCGCGTCTCCTGCTCCTCCGACTCCCCACCATAAGCTCAGCCATCGGCCATTTTCTCTCTGCCTTTCGTTCTGTCTCACTCGACCATGTGTATATTTTTCTTCTGTATAGATTCTGTATATTATACCCTTACCCTTGCCATCTTTCTCATGCAGTCGCCCTCCTAGCCATTTGAACCCACCTCTTCGTTCTTTTTTTTTCTTTCATTGCCACGCACGTGCGGCATAACAGCCGCCTTCGCAATATGGGGTTCTTTGATCACTTGCAGAAAGGTGGCGCATTTTCCTTGCAAGCTAAGAAACCTCAGATTCGCAAAGTTGTATCTCAAACAAAGCCGACACCCCAGTCGCGATCATCCTCCGCTCCCACGACCGATACGGACTCGTCGCCACTTGCTCGGCCTGCGTATTCAACAAACCGGGCTGCCCGTGAGGTCAATAGCAGGCAGCCTTCGACGCAAAAGAACGCGCTTCTGCCGAAGCAACGTGCGAAACCAAGAAACCTCAAAAGGCCGTCTCCGATTCTGAGACTGTCAAGTGACGATGACGATAGCGACACTGATGCCTCCTTCGAAGTTCGAAAGCGGACAAAACTAAGCGCTAATGAAGAACCGGATCTCGATCGCGACATTCGAGCCTCAGAGGCATACTCGAAAGAGGGCCCAAAGGCCCTTGCGATGGTACATGCCGCTGATATCACTTCCCAAAAGCCCGCTGGAAAATATACGCCTGTCTTCGGAAAGGAGAAAAGTGAAACCGCGATAGAAATAAAATTACAATACCCAACTGCTCTCAAGGGTGAGAGATATCAGCTGGTGATGCCAAAGGAGAATGACGACTTCAAACCTCTGGATGATATTATGCAGGTAGTGGAAACGGTCTCTCAACATTATATACCGGAAGATGCGGCGGATGAATTTAACAATGAGACAAACGGAATCAAGAGGCGGTTTCGTAGGGCTCTCGCGCATGCCTCTGAAGCTGAGTTTCAAGACACTCTATCGGATTATAACCGTGCTGTGCAAAGACTGGTAGCCGATGGATCTATTGCGAAACACTTGGATGCAACGCATGCTTTGCGCCTACCGCATGTGGAGAGAATCTTAACGCAGATATATTCTCGAACGGTATCACCTCGAGTTGAGTCGCTACGCCAGTATGAAAACGGGACAGACAATGTTTACGGCGAGCTCTTACCTCGGTTCATTAGTAATATCTTTAAGGAGACCAAACTTAAGTCTGGTCATGTCTTTGTTGATTTAGGCTCCGGAGTGGGAAATGTGGTTTTACAAGCGGCCTTGGAGATTGGATGTGAGAGTTGGGGCTGTGAAATGATGCCCAACGCCTGCAAATTGGCAGACTTGCAAAGAGCGGAATTTAAAGCAAGATGTCGCTTGTGGGGCATTGCACCTGGAAAGACACGCCTCGTTCAAGGAGACTTTCTCACCGAGACTAGTATTCTCGAAGTCCTTAAAAAGGCTGATGTGGTGTTGATCAACAACCAAGCTTTTACTCCACAGCTCAACGATAAGCTGATCAATCACTTCTTGGACATGAAGGAGGGCTGCAAGATTGTTTCACTCAAGTCTTTTGTGCCAGCTGGGCATAAAATCCAGTCCCGAAATCTTAATTCCCCAATAAATCTTCTCAACGTGAAGCGATTAAATTATTGGTCAGACTCTGTGAGCTGGACTGATGTTGGCGGAACCTACTTCATTGCTACGAAGGATAGCTCTCGTCTGAAGGCTTTCGCGGACACTCATTCTGTATAAATTTATTCATGGTAACGATCTTGTTTCAATACCCCTTTGTATATTTTTGCAAGGTTGGATTATATTTTTACGCTTATAGATATCACTCTTGTTCATTTGACCAGAGCGGATTTACTTCCGTGTTTCTAGACAGGAAAAATTGAATTACTCAGATGTCAATAAGGTTTCAATAGGTATATGTTTATTACACCTGATTCAATGTTGTTTTGTGTGTTTACACTGGAATTGAACGTATTGTGTCATTGTTCATGAGATTCGTAGTGGTGTATAAATCTGAGATCGGGCTAAGCCATGGTCTGGCATCCACCAAGTTTAAGAATTCAAACCTGCACCAGCCTTTTAGAATTTGGATGCCTCGTTCATGGCGTCTGCTTCTTGGCCCATACGAGCCATCCACCGATCGACAAGTTCTTTATTCTCGCGTTGTAGTTTATTTGACCGGTCTTCTGCCATGTTAAGTTGTAGATTCAAGGAAGCCAATTCATCTTGAACATCCTAACAAAATGTTCCAATCAGTATCAGCACTGGATCTTGCGTATGCGCCACTCACATCCAACAGCTTCGCCTTCCCCCTCAACTCCTCGTCCCGATCTTTGAGTCTGAGGGTCAGATGAGTCCGCTCTCCTTCCAGAGAGGCAATGCGTCGAGTATCTTGTTGCGATCTCGATTTGAGCTTATCCAACTCCGCGGTTGTACGGGTTAACCGATCGTGAAGTTCGGAGCGCGATCGCTGAGCAGCAGCTAAGTCCTCCCTGACCGTCACAAGAAGACTCTGAGGATTTTTGCTGGCATCTTGAAGAGAGGCTACAGCAGTGCTCCCTCGTCGAACATGGGTGTCTGTTTCTGACGATTCAGGTTGTTGCCTGCTGGCCGTAGAAGCCAAAACTGCTGCTGTTCGATCGGCCAGTCGCGTGTCTAGGTGAGACAATTACTAAGGTATCCGCTATCTAGGTTGGTCTTCCGTACAAGCATCGTACAGGCTGCTGTTTGCTTGCTCTCGTTCGTCACGAACTAATAATGCAGCATGATATTCGTCTCGCCAGTTGGCCATGATGGACGAAAGGACCAGCAGAGCAACCACTCAACCGATAGAGACACGAGTGTCTCGGGCCAAAATCAACCAAAGTACATGCCGTAGAGAAATGACCGCGAAGAATGACTGTTGTTGAAGCCTGGCGATAACTGACAAGTTACGCAATTTACCAGAGCGGGGTTCACCGACTAGAACGGATAAGCCTACCTACCTAAGGCTACCTAGCTAGTGCCTAGTACCTTGCCGGTCCGTTCTGATTTGCTCCGCCGCCCTGACCGCCCCATCCACCGCTTTCGAGCTATCAACGTCACGAGGCTTTCTCCTCAGACCTCCAACATTGGAAGCGCCGTGTCTGCCTATCACGATCTCGTGCTCAACTTATCCAGTCCATCCTTTGCACGAGAGACTCTCTTTTCTGTCTGCTCGTTTGTGCGCATCTTGCTTCGTCCGAATTGCCCTTCAGCTATCCCCAAAGCTATGGCGTCCCGCAAGAAGGTCTTGCTCAAGGTATGACTGCTGTTCTTTCACATCGCTTTGGCCCTGTTTGCTAACGATATTGCTCTTGGTTATATAGGTCATTATCCTTGGTGATAGTGGAGTTGGAAAGACAAGTTTGATGAACCAATACGTGCGTAGCTCGGAACAACAATGAGAGTATTTTTGTAACGATGCTGACAACATTGCTGCTTCTCAGGTCAATAAGAAATTCAGTGCTAGCTACAAGGCCACGATTGGCGCCGACTTTCTCACAAAAGAGGTTCTTGTGGATGACCGACTGGTCACAATGCAGGTGTGCTGATATTTCGGATATATGTATTTAGCCAGGGGAAGTTGAATTGCTCACACATTTGTAGCTTTGGGACACGGCCGGTCAAGAGCGCTTTCAATCTTTAGGTGTCGCTTTTTACAGAGGAGCCGATTGCTGTGTGCTTGTGTATGACGTCAATAACTCCAAGAGTTTCGAAGCTTTGGACAGCTGGCGGGATGAGTTCCTCATCCAGGCCAGCCCCCGAGATCCTGAGAGCTTCCCTTTTGTGAGTTGATATGCCGGTTGAGTGGTTGCGCTCAGATAACTAACGTCAACAGGTTGTGATCGGTAATAAAATCGATGTCGAAGAAAACAGGCGAATGATATCCTCGAAACGCGCAATGACCTTTTGCCAGTCAAAGGGCAACCTCCCATACTTTGAGACCAGTGCAAAGGAGGCTGTCAATGTCGAACAGGCATTTGAGGGTAATTTATACCACATAATAAGACGCCTTTGAAATTGTTACTAATGTGGTATCCACAGTCATCGCTCGGAGTGCACTTGCGCAAGAAGAGGCTGATGAATTTAACAGCGGGGACTTTGGTGACCCTATCAACATCCGACTAGACAGCGAACGTGACGGTTGCGCTTGCTGAGTTAAAGGCCGCATTTTCATCTTACACCAATTTTTTTGTTTTCCTTTTCCTCCTTGGGTCAGTAACTTGACCTCTGTTACCGTGGGTTTGTATAATGATCCTCCATCGGTGCTTTTGTCGTTCAGGTTTTGTTGAACATACGGTCCGATTAGTCGGTTCGTGCCGTTAATCATTGGCTTTTTTCTTGTTTGATATTCGCGTGGTTTAGTCCAAGACCTGCTTTCATCTTCAGGAGTCTGGGATATCCCCTTTTTATGTACGCTATTGCCGCTTTTCATTTATTGATATCTCGATTGTTTCCTTGCGCTCTTTAATGCATGCCACCGATGAACACGATATAGATTCAATCAACTTCTTAATTACTCATGTTCCGCAGTCGTTTACCGGCGGATCCAACTCTCAAATAGTAATGGAATCAATGTTCCTAGAAGGCTTTTAATTTTGCCAATAACTCCATTGACGTATTAGAAAAGGAGGAATGAACTTCCGAGACGAAAAGATTTATCCGAGCTTTATTTACAACGCAATATGACGCCAAGTTTAAACATTTGAATATTCCTCCGATATCGACTAAGTGAAAACTACAGCTTTTCGGGTTGGACCAAATAAGACTCTTATCATTTAAATACTAAGAAAGGTACTCATACAGGTAGCAGTAATGACTGATTCAGCGTATCGAAACGAATCATGAAACTTGAATGATGACAGACAGGCATGTGGAAGCTTCCGCCGGGGCCGAGATGGGCCTAATGACCTGCGATGCTTATTCTATTAATCCGAAACTGAAATACGCTGGTACTACCTTGCATCACCGCTTTCACTCCAATTAATTCTTCACACGCCCTGTTGAACGGGGCCGTATAAATATTATTCATATACCTCTTGACATCAGAACTACTTAGACGGCATTTGATGTTGACTGCCTGGCCTTATCTTGTCCGAAGCAGTGTCCCCGCATATCAATCATATCATCCGTCGACTTCGCCCAAGACCTCCAGCAGCTGGTCTGCATAAAATTGAACCGGGTATTGGATGCCACTTCGTTGGCAATGAACAGATCGGCATCAAGCTTTGATTTAATTCTCTACATATCTGATATCTCAACATGGAATCTGTAGGCAGCGTGAGTGACGACGAGCGAGTTCAGACCGCAAACAAAATGGGTCTGGCAAGACACACGTTAGGTATCATACTGCTATCGTGCGTTGTCTTCTTATGGACAGCCTCGAATTTTCTTGCTAGTGTATGTTTTACTCCTCGAAATAGAATCGATGATCAAGATGATGATGGCGCTAACTTGCTGTTTGATGACGCGCAGACCATACTGGCAGACGACAGCTACTCTCATCCGTTTTTCATCACATATGTGAACACATCATTTTTCATCGTCTTCCTCATAATCGTCATCTCGCGACGAATTTTCCGAATATGGCGAAGAGGGAAATTGTCCCACGTGAAGTCTTGGAAGTCCTTTCTCGTTTATCTTGATTCGCATGGGATGAAAGAGACGATGCCTGGCGGAACTTTCGACGGAGGAGTTGAAGGAGAAGATGAAGAAAATAATGATGAGAACGATGAGTTAGATGATCGGGCAATCATGCAACGGCAAAGGTTGCTGGATAGCTATCAAGATCCCGAGGATGTATTCCCAACAACTGCGAAAGTTACACCAACCGGGAGATTAGGTCTGAAAGAGACGGCGCGACTTGCAGCACAGTTTTGTTTGCTGTGGTTTTTGGCGAATTATTTTGCACTGGCATGTCTGCAGTATACGACTGTGGGGAGTACTACCATACTGACCTCAACAAGCGGTGTTTGGACATTGATATTCGGAGCCATGATTGGAGTAGAGAAATTCACAGCGCGAAAATGTTTGGGTGTCCTTGCTTCTCTCGCCGGCGTAATCCTGATTTCTCGTGTGGACATGTCAACTTCAAATGACGAGATCGTCACACCGCCAACCAACCCAGTTGGTGATGGGGACGATGGCAGTTCATTCCCCAACAAAACATCGGCAGAGATTGCGCTCGGTGATGCCATGGCCGCTTTCAGCGCGATTGTGTATGGCGTGTACACAATTGTCATGAAGAAACAGGTTGGCGACGAGTCTCGCGTCAATATGCAGCTATTTTTCGGTATGGTGGGATTCTTCAACGTATTCTTCCTCTGGCCTGGATTTATAATCCTCCACAAACTGGACATTGAGCCGTTCTCTCTGCCATCCGAGAATAGGATTTGGATTATAATTCTGGTAACCTCCACCTCCTTCTCTTTATGGCATATGCTAATGTCAATACTGAAGATCAATTCCCTCTCCTCGCTGATATCAGATATCTGCTGGGCTTATGCCATGCTTCTCACGACCCCGCTCGTGGTGACTGTTGGGCTCAGCCTGACTATCCCACTGTCCTTGGTAGGACAAATCATTTTACAGGGAGAGTACGCAAGCGTGTTATACTGGATTGGAGCGGTGATAGTGTTCCTATCTTTCCTGATTGTCAACCACGAAAGCAAAGAAGAGGAGGAACAAAATTTACGTACGTCGGTGATTTTTTCTGAAGAAGGATCTCGCACTATTATTGTGGATCAAGATGCCTTGTCAGGAAATATATGACAGATTTAGATTCACCTATAGCAATTTAACCTTTTCTAGATAGATTTATGTTATTACATGTGACGACTTTAATGTTCGGATGAATCTGCATTAATAATTAAAATAAAAAAGACAGCTGGATATGTCCCCTGTAGTATTCTGATCGAATGATCCACCAAAAATGATGGATAAGACTTAGACTTAAACATTAGTTGAAAGGAACAGATATTATACACAATGGAATCAATCGAGTCAATAGACAAGAATTATATAAAAGGTCATATCGATCGTAATAATCATGCTATCAAAAGATAGAATGCACACCGAAATATTTCGGTGTGTAAAAAGGAAATCATCGCAAAGGCTGGAATTGTTCCTGAAAGTGTTCTGGAGGCGGAGCAAGCGAGCTAGACGGGGGAGAAGAAGGCGGAGGAGCTACAATCGTCGGCACTCCATTAGATTTTTTACTCTCGATTGCTTTGTTTCGAGCCACGATGATGCTTTTCAATGCACCCAGCCATTTGGCGAGGCTTTCCTCGTCGGGCGCACAGAAGCGGTATGTTGGGCGGTCTTCGGTGATGATTTGAAGGCAGAAGTTCTTGGATCGGGATATAGGGTCGATCTCAGCGGCAGTGATGACCTGGGACATCGGGATGATGCGGACAGCGCAGTATTCCTGGTTAGATGATGTCAGCATGCAGGTCAAGTAAGCACTACAGTGGGGGGAATGGACGCACCTTGGCGTCTTTGTATAAGGCGAGACTGATCGGCCGCAGGACTACCCAGAGTCGTTTCCATTGTCGAACGCCGCGCTTGCTCTGGAGACATTGTAGATGGCCCTGGAATATGACACGTTCTGGATCGGCTGCGGCGCCAGATGTCGCTGTCGAAGACGTTCGTTCTGATTTGTCTCCGAGGTTGGTAGCGCTACCTACAGAAGCACTTCCGCCGCTCTTAGGAGGACATGGTGAGAGTGTGGACTTTCGGCGCTGTTGCAGTTGTGCTCGTGTAGCGTTGTCGGGTGCATCTGAGAAGTCTGAAAGCTCGGTCATCTCATTCCCTGAGTATTCCTGAGTGAAGGGTAAATTTTTGCCGCTCGGGCCAATCGGCGAGAGGGTTCTGGTGAGATCCGGAGAGCTGGACAGGATGCCCTGCTCGGTTTCCCCTACATCAGAAAGCTCACTCGCAGTGATAATTCCTTGCTGGTCATCCGCGTCACTTTGGACAGATGCATTATTCCCTGCCTTGACCGAATGTGTGGCTGCGATAATGGCTTCTTCCTCCTCATCAACGTGTAGTTCTGCTTGAATACGCCCGATCCAGTCCTCCCCCTCCTTCTCTGATGCGGATTGAAAGCGGTAGTTTTTCGACGGGGTGAAGATCCTCCAAGTGTAATTGCGTTCGGGTCGTGATGAGATGACAGGCGCGACGGCAGTGACTTCAGTGAGGGTCACGGATAGGAGCAGCTTCGCTTCGTCTTCGTCCTTGTAAACAGAGAGGAGATTTGGTCGTAGGACAAGGTAGCCAGCTTTCCAAGATGCTTTGAAAGCCTAGTTCACCGCTGTAAGCTGGCTGTCAATGGGAATGTTTAAGTTGAATGACACTTACATGTCTGCTTTTGATCTTACAAAGCACACGGCCTCTCTTCAAGACACGGTCAAATTCAAAGCTCCCGTATTCGTTGACGGGAGAAATGGTGCTGAGGTTCAGGTGACCGCTGCGAAAGCTTGCCGAGAACTGCAACCGGTCTCCCGGACTCAGTGGCCTCAACTGGCGGTTGCCTTGCTGCTGCTGAATGGGTTTAGGCTCGGATTTGACGGGCGCTTGCGACGACGACGCTGTCGAGAGGGTTTGCGCCATGGTGGGGAGTGAGGTGATGTATCAAGATTTGATAGGAGGCGATGATGTCAGTGTTTTTTTTTAACCAAAGATAAGCTGATATAGATGCAAATGAAATGCGTCTATATCACCATATCATAATATTGCAGAGATCAATGTCGGTTCCAATGCGTATCAATCGACGTTTTGCGAGAAGTAGAGAAAAGAGGGTCGAAAAGGGGGACGTGCAAGCGTGATCGATCCGCACCAGAATTTGGCGCCGTCCAGCTTTTGGAGTTGGTCGCAGCGCGAACAGGCACATAAAATAAAGGGCTCACATAGACCACACAGACTTGTCCCTAGGCTGCTGCATTTCAACGGTTGGAGATAGCTGATATGCTCTTGAAGCCTAGAAGTGTGGCAGTGGCAGTGGCAAAGGCACTGCAATGCACGCGACGTCGCCGTGAATAATAGTCGGCCGTCAAGCCACAGGCGTGATGGAGGGGCAGCTGGCGGGCGCTGATTGCTCGGGTGCCGTGGCTGTGGGGCACGATCTGCACGCGCACATAGCGCCTAGTACTGGCAAGTAAGAACTTTCCATATGCCGTAATTCTAAACTTCTAAGGCAAAATTCTAATTGATAGTAAAATTGATCTGCTGCACGGCCCTGGCACGGTGCTCGCGGCCCCTGATGGGCTTCTCTAAAATTTGCCATCCAAGGTACCTTAATACGCAGCCTACTCTCGAGTCAATCATGTCTTCCGAGAGCATATTAACCTCCCCGTCAGCCCTGCCGCTAGTAAGCACTCACTATGTCAAAGTACTAACTGGACTATTACTATAATTGCATGCCCCAGCAGTCGCCAATGACAAAGGTGGACACGTGCCGCATGGACTGATCCAGACCCTGCGAGACAGCAATAGTGCAGCACACTATGAGCAAGTAACTAACCTATGTATTAATTAGCCTGAGAATGTTGAACATGTCAGCAGGCGATCCTATTCTCGAATCCACCTATTCCGTAGCACAGACGATGCCCCGTAATTGCAACACAGGCAAACAAGCCTCACAGAGCTGTCAGAAACAAGATTCTTAGTGCGGTGGAGCTCTGCAGTGATTGGCCAAGCCGTTACCGTGGCACGCCAGATTTCAATTCCATACCGCGTGTATTAACAAGGTGAGTAAAGATAAGTTACATGTCTAGGGACTATTGCGCTGGTTGGTCTGCTAAGCGCTCGTTAGCCATTTGATGCCGTCAACAGCAACGATCAAGTATGGGCTTGACGCTCTCCAGAAGAGCGTGCAGTCACGAGCGCAATAATAATTGATCGCAATCATTATTCCCAGGTAAAAGACACGTAACCGCAGAACGACGCGCGCTTTCCCCCCCTGGGGGGCGGCCGGCTTGGCATTGGCCGCTCTGGCCTGTCCGCCCCAGCCAAAAACCTCAATTGCAGCCAACTCCTCTCTTCGTCTCCTACTTCTATCCACGCTGCAACTCCCCTTCCCTTCTTCCCATCGCCTTTCCATCTGTGCCATCTCGGACTGATGACCTCCGGCTTGTAGTCGGCGTCATCGTCGTCGTCTCTACCAGTCACCCGCTAGCTGCTCCCGACCGCGCGCCTTCTCGTCCGCCGCGCCAAGGGAGTCGGGGAGAAAGGAGGCTTTTCCTCCAGCCGCTCGTTAACGCTATACTTGCTCTCCAACGATCTGAACCTATCCACGACCGCGCTGAATCTCTGTATTATATCAGGCCCGCAGCCTGCTTTCTGAATTCACGATAGAATTAATATTACCTCGCCCTGTCGTGTCGCTCGAAGAACGAACGTTATCAATCATCGCCCTCCTGGATCCAGGGTCCTCACCGTTTTTTTCCTCCCTTCCTCTTTTTCCACCGGCCGCGGGACAATCAGTCTCGCAACCGCTCTTCGATTGACTGAGGTCTGCCCTCACGGCCTGGGGCTTCTCTAGCCACCATGAATATCGTCCGACGCATTGTCAAGCGCCTGCCCTTGGCGCCCGCGTTGGCTTCCGTGGAAGATGCCTCGCGGGAAAAGGGCCAGCGACCACTTCAATTTGCCTTTCTCCGAAGACGGATCCGATTAAGAGGCAATTCGTCGATTTCGATACCGCTGGGATTTGTGCTGCTGTTCCCTTGTATTGTAATAATTTTAATAGTGCTGCTCTTCGTGAGACATCCTTCTACCTCCGGCGGCATGCTGATCCCAGCTGGCACACCTCCGTCCATTAGGTTTGTTCTCTCCACATTTCTCACAACACCTGCCTTCTGATTAATATTTTCCCCCATCAGACGAATTAGTGAGGAGCATGATAAGGTTTTCGAGACCGGATGTGTGTATGTCGACCCCTCCGGACCCCCCGGTCCCCGAGCCAACGCGGCTTTTGTCGTCCTAGCTCGAAATAAAGAACTTGAAGGTGTCATCCAGTCCATCAAGTCAATTGAACGGCACTTCAACAGATGGTGGCACTACCCCTACGTGTTCTTGAATGATGGCGACTTTGAACAGGAGTTCAAAGACACAGTTCAGAACTATACAAGTGCCCCAGTCGAGTTCGGAAAAATTGACAGCTCCATGTGGGGGTTCCCAGACTGGGTAGATCACGATGTTGCCAAGGAGGGCATCCGAAAACAAGGTGACGCCGCCATTATGTACGGTGGTATGGAGAGTTACCATCACATGTGCCGATTCTACTCTGGGTATGTCAATATATATCATCTAATGTACCGTTCTCGGTACGCTAATGTGAACTCAGATTCTTCTACAAGCACCCTCTCTTGCTGAAGTATGAGTGGTACTGGCGTTTGGAGCCCGAAATCAAATACTTCTGCGATATCACATAGTGAGTTTTTTGCTATATTCTCAATTGTGAATTTTGATTCTAACACGCAACCAGTGATCCATTCATCAAGATGGCTGAGGCCAACAAAACCTACGGTTTCACAATTGCCGTTAAAGAACTTCGCGAGACCGTTCCTAATATCTTCCGATATGCTTCGGCGTTTAAGCGTACGAAAGGGCTAAAATCGAAGGGACTCTGGGAAATGTTCATTGAAACTCCCTCGGAGGAGGAAAAGAAAGAAGAGGAAGTCCAAGAAAAGCTTCCCGAAGATGTTGCCAGCGACATGAAGCCGCCAGAAATAGATCCGGAAGCTATGGAAGGCGAAAAATACAATATGTGCCACTTCTGGAGTAACTTCGAAATCGCCCGATTAGATTTCTTCCGCAGCAAAGAGTACGAAGAATTCTTCGACATGATGGATCGAAGTGGAGGCTTTTGGATGGAACGGGTATGTTCTATATGAGACTTGTCCTGGTATCAGATTGCTAACTTTTGTCCAGTGGGGTGACGCACCCATCCATTCCCTGGCTGCTGGAGCACTTCTTGCTCCCCGTGATATTCATTATTTCCGCGACTTTGGATACCGCCATACAACGATCCAACATTGCCCTGCCAATGCACCAGCTCGACAACTTGCTCGTGTGCCATACCTTGAAATGACCACGGAAGATGAAAAGAAACGCATTGAAGAAGATGAATACTGGGCCACGCCGGATCCTGTCAAGGAGAATGGGGTCGGTTGCCGGTGTAGATGTGACACAGACATCGTTGACGTTGAAGGCAAGCAAGGAAGCTGTCTAGCTGAATGGGTTAATGTCGCAGGCGGCTGGGCGTCGCCTTAGACCCCTAGCTGATTGCTTCTTCCGGTTCTCATCCAACTCGGCGTTTTGTCCGGATCTTTTTATAATTCGTTAGATATTTGAGCATTGCTTGGATCTGCTGTGGGAGTTAGGCATCCAGGCTCGCATGGCCTCTTGTGATTGTTTTGGTTTGAACGGGAAGACTTGCAGACGGCGTTAGGGGATTATCGGCTTCCGCTATGAACGGGACTTTTAACCATTTTTCATATTACTTAAATAACCCATCTAGCGTGCGCTTGGACGTTCCGTTTGGATTGCCGTTGCCAATTACTCTTCCTGCTCGTGGGTTTGGGTTGGATAACGGCACACACGACGAACAGTGAGTCGTCGGTTACCTTGTTCATTATTACTCGCTATTCTCAAGCCGCTGGGGGATAGATATACCTGTCGGGACTTATTGATTTCGGTGCCTATCACCGCAACAAACTTTTCGTCAGCTTACATTTTTACGATTTCTTTTAACGCTTCGCATAACAAGCAGAATCCGCTTGTTAGAACCCGCATTTGTTTTTTCACTTCATGATATTCTATGGGGAGCAGGGAATATCGCATCTGTCCAACAGATGCTCGGTGGAGGAGTCCTACCACTTCATGGAAAGTAATAATGCCGAAAAACTGTATTCCTTTCAAAGCTTGTTCACTATATAACAACATTGAATACTTCATTACTTCAATCTGCCAGTTCGGCCGCCGTAGGGTGTTTCTTTCGCAGTTGCCACAATATCTACATATTCAGGCCGGTCTCCAGCAGAAATTTGAATCACAAGTATCTAATAATTTCTTTCCAAGAGCTACAGTACATATGTATTAGGTTACATTTGCATATAGACCACAATAACCGTCTAGCCCATTATCTAGACAGAATGTAACCCGGCTTATCTGGACTTAAGCCTTGTTGGGGCAAAGGCCGGCGTGTCCAGGCGAACCTTATCATCCGCCACCTCCACGCCAATCCTTAGCTCCGTAGACTACGAATCACACTGCTGCGTGACGTCTAGCGACAACATTGGTGTTCTTAGATACCAGGAGAGACGGCAGCTATCTGTTGTGCGACGGCAATGCACGTACCATAAAGTGACAAGATGTTACTGGTGTCTACCTGCTACTTTGGCCCTAGTCGCTCCTGTCGACGGCCGAACCCCCGCTTGAAGCCTTGTTTACATGCTGGATCTATCGCGCTTTGAGTCCCTTATCTCGTCCCCTATTGATAAGATGGTCAGAAGATTCACTGGCGATAACTGGCGCGGAATCTAAACTATACTTAATGAATTCAATGGCGCATTGGTCCGTCAGCTGAATCTACACAAGCTTCCCCATTTCGAGCTTCACAAATACGCTGGGACGCATTGGCATATCATTGCTTCTTGGCAGACGAAAATATCACCATGGAGCCTGCCACAAAGGATCTTGACACCGAGCCAAAGACTGCCGCAATCGGCGATGAAGAGGTCGAACATGGTCGTCTCGAAGAGCTGGAGGTCGATCTCGCGGCAGTTGTCGGAGACGATACCGAATTCACATACGAATCAAACCGATCCCCCTTTCCTGAAGGTTAGCATTTCTCTAGTATTATAGTAATCTTGGAGCATTGGGATGCTAACGTTCTCTGACAACCCCCAGTGCGATCGGTTGTGCCTGAGGTTGACGACCCGAGTATGCCCATCAACACGCTACGAATGTGGATCGTGGGCATCCTTTTCACAATTATTGGATCTGGAGTGAATCAGTTCTTCAGCTTGCGATATCCAGCCGTTCATATAGCCAATGTGGTCGCGGAGTTGCTGGCATTTCCATGCGGGGTGCTTCTTGCAAAGATTCTCCCCAACTGGACAATCGACTTTGGTCGCTTTGGCAAATGGGAAATGAACCCCGATGACAAGTTCAACATTAAAGAGCACACTGTGATTGTGATCATGAGCAATGTGTCCTTTGGGTATTTCTCCGCCGATTCAACTAACATCCTTCAAGCCTCATCCAAACAGTTTTACAACTTTGGTCTTAAGACGGGGTTCAATGTCATGGTAGTTTTGGTTGCACAGCTTCTAGGATTTGGAGTTGCTGGCCTATCTTCTCCCTGGATTGTCGAGCCTGCAGCTATAGTTTGGCCAGGCGTTCTCTCGAATTGTGCCCTTCTGGAAAGTCTTCATTCTCGGGCGAATGCGATGGCTAATGGGTGGAAGATCTCACGTTTGAGATTCTTCCTTTTGATCATGACAATTGCATTTGTCTGGTGCGTATAAAATAACTTCTATTATTTCGTTCCCCTTTTTTGCACAATACTAACGAGTCCTCCAGGTACTGGTTCCCAGGATTGATCTTCACGGCCCTGAGCTACTTCACATGGGTTTGCTGGATTGCCCCAAACAATAAAATAGTAAACCATCTCTTTGGCATGCAAACGGGGTTAGGGCTCAGTCCGATTACATTTGACTGGAGCCAGATTGCATACAACACAAACCCGCTCTTGTCACCATCGTGGGCTGCCCTGAATGTGTTTGGAGGCTTTATTGTTGCATTTTGGATTATCGTGCCAATTCTGTACTACACAAATACCTGGTCTACGGCCTATCTTCCGCTCATGACTGCTGATGTGTATGATCGGTTTGGAAGCGTGTATAACACGAGCCTTGTCGTTGGAGCCGATAATACGCTAGATATTGAGAGCTACAAGAACTACTCGCCTCCCTATCTCCCCGCGACTTTTGCATTTGTCTATGGCCTTTCATTTGCATCCATCACTGCAGTACTTACTCACGTCTACCTACATCACTGGGATGATCTCGTGGCTGCTTTTCGGGGCACTACAAGACTGGATATCCATGCGAGGCTCATGAGAGTTTACAAAAAGACACCGTGGTACTGGTACGCAACTATCATTGTCATCATCATGGCAATGGCTATAGCAATGGTGGAAGTCTATGATACCAACCTACCCGTCTATGGTGTTTTCCTGGCGTTCATCATCCCGGCCATCTATATGGTACCCTGTGGGATTATTCAAGGCATCACGAACGTAGACGCAAACCAACTTAACGTGCTGAGCGAGTTTATTGGAGGGTACATGTTTCCGGGAAAGCCACTTGCCAACATGTGCTTCAAGATCCTGTCAACAGACGTAGTGGGCCAGGGAATTTACTTCGCAATGGATATGAAACTAGGCCACTACATGAAGGTCCCGCCTCGCACCTTATTCTTCGCCCAGGGAATTGCAACAATTATCGGCGCACTTACACAGGTTGGCGTTACTCTCTGGATGCTGGGAAATATCAACGACATCTGCTCATCCGATCAGTCCGATGGATTTAGCTGCCCTAACGGCCGAACTGTTTATAGTAGCAGTGTGATCTGGGGATTAGTAGGACCCAGTCGGCTTTACTCGGCGGGTAAGATCTACTCCAAGCTGAACCACTTTTTCTGGGTGGGTGCTATTTCACCGGTAATTACCTGGGCGTTGTGGAAGTATACCAAGAAGGACTTCTGGAGGAAGGTTAATTGGCCGTTGATTTGGGTTGGAACTTGGAACGTGCCACCTGGTAAGTCACGTTTCTCACAACGGAAAGGACATAGACTGACATTGACAAACCCTTACAGCAACCGGAATCAACTATTCCAGTTGGGCAATCGTAAATCTAATTTTCAATCACTGGATCAAACGAAGATTTTTTGCCTGGTGGACCAAATACAACTATGTACTGGCAGCCGCTCTCGACACCGGAATTGCAATCAGCGGCATTATTATCTTCTTCTGCGTCTCCTACCCTGGTGCAGTTTTCCCGGATTGGTGGGGGAATACGGTGTATGTGAATACTGCGGATGGACAAGGTGTGCCATGGCTGGATATGCCTACGGAGGGCTATTTTGGGCCACCGAATGGAACGTGGTCGTAAACCTTCAACGAAGGCCCGCTGAAGATTTTCTCTAAAGAATGCTTAGAATATTGACATTTCTAGCCTTTAGTCTTCAGAACTCTATAGTAGATAGTTCATGCCAGCATGATACATAGGCATAATCCAATGATTACTTTGAATCTCTCCAACCTCATGATCCAATGTTTTTTGACTGTGTTTTGTTTCCCTGGGCGATTCTTGCCAATGAAGTGCTTTCATAATCTCTCTGTTTGCCCAATGTTGGTCAATTACATAATATCAATTTAACCCTAGGAACAAAAAAGGCAGTCGGCGGTGGCCACCGACAACTTGCCTTCCCGATTAGGAAAGATTTCCTAATCGGTCGCCTCTTCATCGTGACTGATTAACAACTTAACTAGCAGTTCCTTCTGTTTGCCTGAGCGCTCAACCAGCGGTCAGGTAACCGCATCGTTTGCACGCACTAAGTAAAATCACCAATAATCCCCATGTAGTTTAGATTTCCTCCATATGCTTCGTTTTCTAGATAATCGATACCAATGAGATTAGTTGCCTGATCCTTCTCAGATAGTGGTCAGTGAAATATTTATACCCTGCTCTTCTACCGTTTTCCTTGTCTCTTCAAACTCTCGATTATATTGCGACAGAAGTATTTCGATTTTCATCTGTCATTTGTGTTAGTCATACCGAGCCTTGAGTTCCAGTGACGAAATGCCGCCCTTTCAGGATTATGAGAAAGAAGCGTCCGATGTTGATCTGTCAACGAATATAACCAACGAAAATAACCAAACAATACTTTTATCCTTCCAGCAGCCACTTCTAATTCATCATCTTGAGGCTATCTCTGCAATCGAATCGATTCTCCCTTCTCGTCGCCTGCGCAGCAGTTCTTGTCTTGAGTCGACCATGGCTGCTCCTATTCTCCTAAACTCTACTCAGCTTGCTGCTGCTGTCGCTGCCTCTCCAATTACCGGATATGTTGTATTCTCGAACACTAAACAGTTTGTTAGCATAAACCGCAGCCATACAGCATAAAGCCGGCATTTATCAGAGAAATCTTGCCGCAGATAGGGCAGATTCCTGAGAGTAGGACGACAGGTGTAGCGAACGTTATTCGGAACCCTTACTTCCCTTCCTCCCAAAGCTATGTCCATAACCCAGAGGACTATATCGAGGAAGGGTTCGTTGACATTAACATCCACCAATGGGTACTGACCGCGTCCGTGCCGGTAGCTGTAGCAGCTACACTACAACTCCAACCCCCCCCTTCGTGCCGACACCGGAAGTGCAAGCTCACCTCATGATCACTCAGTGCAAGGCAAGGATGTATGGAGTGAGGGAAAAAATTGGAAGAACGCAAAAAAGCGGATGGAGAGATATTCTTACTAAGGATTGCAACCTTTTTATTATGGTGGTTAAAGGTTTGACATAGATCAATGGATCGCTTTGTGGCCCTTTTGCTATCTGCTTATTGGGTTCCCCAAAACTTCGTGGGCTGGCTCCGGAACGTGCATGTTGACGTTTATGGATTCAATGAGCGGTCTGTGACTTAGTGCACTAGTCCAGCGTGGCAATTCATACTGGTGCTTCCATAATCCTTCATGATGGCAGGCAGTCTCTTCTCTTGGATTTTTTCGCCCAAACCGTCTCCAATAATGGCTCAACCATCTCTGCGTAGGTTATGGTGTGCGTTCTCTGACGATATTGATAACGTGATCCTTTGACGTCAGGCAATATACTAAAAACGTAGGAAAAGCATTGCCTGCATTATGCATGCAGCTGGACAAATCAGATTGGCAATTGTCTTTGAAAGAGACGGATGACGGCGATATTGGTCTTTGCAAAGGGGAGTCATGGTTTGACAATCAGGACGGCACCATTACGAGGATGACCCGAGAAGAGTGAAACGCTTGTATGACCTTGCAATTAACGAGGGTTTCAGAGAACACATACGATTGGGATTCATCTGCGATTCCTTAGCAGCGACGCCGAAATTATATAAGAGTACAAGCAGAGTGGCCCAAGAGAGGTCGACGAAATGTCAAACTTTGCTCTAGCAATGTTGGGAAAGCAGAATTCAGGCATTAAAGACCTGCAGATTTATAGAAAGGAGAGAGACGGATTCCTAGCAAGACACGGTAAACCGAACGTCAGTCGACTTAAGGCAGTTTCCAAGCCAAAGCAGGAAGTATATGAGAAAGAAGATGAAGACTGTCCGGATACTGAGGAAGAGATCATACATGCGTAATCTTCGACATCGGTGCTGGTACACTAATATGACAGATGTTTGAATATGTATCAAGATTTTCTGCCTTTCATCTGGATTAACATCAATTTATATCCGATCAAATATACTTCTTGGGGGAGGGGGTGCCGCACGTACATAATACAAAGGTTGAAATAATATAAATATTGATATAGGGAAGATTCCTATACCTCATCCACTTTTGTAGTGCTATATTCAAACCTTTGTCACCATACTGTACGGTGTGGCGGGCCGGTTCCCAGGCCGATCCGTAGTTTCCTGAGAGCACCTAAGGATGGGGAACCTGATATTACCGATCAAAGGGTGGACGAGATCTATGCTATGAAAGATGATGAGTTGACAATCTATCTGAACGTCGTTACTGTACTCGTCCGCAACGCATGAGAGCTGATGCAGTGGACGAGGCTGAAGGACCGCATACTGAGGAGAACATCTAGAGTCTTAACATTGACCCTTTCAGGAGTACGTGAGTTGTCATCTGTGGAGGTTTTGCACTAAATATATATTTCATTTTCAACCTCTCTGTACAATCACTACCAATATATTACTGTGTATTTGATAGCCCTATCGAATACCGTATAATCTTGCTTCATACGGCCGCAAAATAATTCTCTTTGGCACCCTGGGTTCGACAATATCATAATTGCAAGCGAGTAGCACCGCAAAATCAAGCCTAACTTCAGGTGGAACGTCAAAGTTCGTGTCCTGGTCGGAGAAATTGCATAATGTCATATTGGCAAAAGGGCCCTGAGTACGTAGGAAAGCTATCACATGCTTGTTTTCGCTGTCTAGAGGGGTATATCCTCCGTAGAACTGCCTCGATCAGCCAATGTAAATTAAAATACAACTGCGTCTGGCGTGACGACTATTCCACGTACCATCATGACCTGACACTTTCGAAGAAATATCAATCGTCGATAGTAATTGAGAACAGACTCGGGATTTTTATCCTGCTTCTTCACATTAATTGTTTGGTATTGCTCGTCCGGCTTGATCCATGGGGTAACTCCCGAGTTGCAGAAACCGCCGTTAGGGTTATCGTCCCACGGGATCACCACGCGGGCATTGTCACGGCTTCGAAGACGGATGGCTTTCAGGGCGCTAGTCATATCAGGCTCACGACCTCCATTTTCTTTTTTTCGTTTATCGTATTCCCTTAAACGGCTAACGTTAGAGATATGAAGTGAAAGATTTGCGGGAAATATGATTTAGAGGCACTAACTCCTGATACCAATTTATTGTCTCCACATCTTGATAATCTTCAATAGACCAACTTTGCGGATGCGACATGCCGAGTTCCTGGCCCTGATAAATGAAAATTGTTCCTCGTAAAGAAAACAGCAATGTCGCCAGCATTTTCGCGGCCACTTCTCTGTACTCGCTATTGTCGGTCGCCCAACGTACAATCGAACGTGGCTGGTCGTGGTTCTCGAAGAAGATGGCGTTCCAGCCTGTATTTGAGACAGGTTTGATCAGCATGTATTCAAATATACCTGAATACTACTAGTTAACAATGGATAAACTGACCGTGATTTCCAAGCATGTGCTGCTGCCATCTTCTGATCACTGCTTCTAATTCGGGAGTCTCCCACTTCCTGATAGTCCACTTATCCCCCTCGGTAAAGTCGAAAATGAGATGATTGAATTGAAACACCATGTCCAATTCGCGTCGCTCCTTGGCAACGTATTTGCTTGCCTCCTGCTCGCTGACATAGATGGGCATTTCGCCGACAGTGAACATGTCTCCTTTGCTCAGAACGTATTCGTGCATCTCTTTGAGGTATTTATGGATATTTGGTCTTTTCACGTTATTATTGTGACTAAAAAGTTTGGAGGATAAGAAATAGAAAAAATGCTGACCCATTGTTGAAAAACTGAATGGCACTCTGATACGGTTGATCTGGTTCTTCGATTGGTGCATCTGGAAGATTGGGGTCTTTTGAAATTACATTTATAGCATCAAGCTAAGATGAATCAATTAGCTTAAATATATGAGCAATAATTTTGAAGAAATTGAGACATACGCGAAATCCGTCAACGCCTCTATCAAGCCAGTGCTGCATTACACCATAAATAGCGCGTCGCACAGCTGGATTATCCCAGTTCAAATCAGGCTGGTCCCTGGAGAATAGATGTAGATCTAAAATCTATTAGCATTCTGATTATTCTTTTCCACAAAACTTTTTGAATGAAGAATCTGACAATATTCCTGAGTTTTATCATCCCATTCCCAGGCACAGCCTATTAAATTAACCAAAATTTTCGATTAGTCCATGGTTGCCAATGACATTGAAGCCATAGCATCTTCGGACTCACCCCCAAATAAGCTCCTCCAATTATTAGGCGGCACTTTTTTCCCGGTCTCTCCTGTCTTCGCTGGACGCCAAATATACCAATCTCGACGAGGATTGTCCTTGCTTGACTTGGATTCTTTGAACCATTGGTGCTTAAACCCCGTCAGAAATGAACCCATCGTCAAGAAGAAAGCACACAAACTTCATTACTTGTATGATTGAAAACACCATCCATCAAAACCCTCATACTCCGAGCATGAGCAGCATTCACGAAATTCTCAAAGTCTTTATCCGTTCCGAACTCCTCTTTAATAGAATAATAATCCGCAATGTCATATCCTTGATCCTTCAACGGCGATTTGAAATACGGCGAGACCCATATAACGTCAATCCCGAGCGATTTGATATAGTCGATTTTACTCGTTAATCCCACGAAATCTCCGATTCCGTCATTATTGCCATCCTTGAATGATTGAAGGTATACTTGATAGACGATGGACTCGCGCCACCACGCACGATCGTAGTCGAAATTGCCTGTTTGGTATGGGTCTGCAGGGGGCCGCAAGGCCGGTTTTTCTATGATACTTGGCTCATAGCTCATTTTTGAAACAGATTTTGGAGGACTAGGAGCTAGAGTAGTGAGAAGTGAGTTTGCTTGAGACCTGATATGATGTAATGGTAGAAACGTCAGCAACGATCTCGTTCTGGGAAGTCCGATGTTGGCTTTGAAGTTTCTTCGGAGGAATGGGAGGGGCATTAGGTCAATACAAAAGCTTGGCTGCTTCGCCTATGGCGATTTAGATTCAAGAATTCTTTTAAATTGGCCATTCAGTGGAGAAGTACTACATACGTAGCAATAGGTATTGCGTAACTTATATAATTCTGCTTGACTAAATAGAAAAATCGTCATACTCATCTCATCGTCGGAAAATAAAACAAGATTCGATCGTATAGGACGTGATACAGGGAGATATGGTTCGATTGATGTCAGATTGATGGTGGCGGGTCAAATGGTCGGAACTCTACCCTAGAGGCACAACATCAAAGTTAATCGCATGTTGACGCCGAAACTATAGGCACATATCAACATTATGAACGACGTTTTCGAGACATATATAGCTGAGCATAACGCTTCTTGAACACGGCCATAAGTCGTGTTTTCATAATAGAAACTCATTCATCTACCCCCATCCCTTCGCCTAAATTCCAGCATTGGGCCCTTTTTATCCGAAGCAAAGATATCATACAACTGATATTCATTCACTCTCCTGCGCAACGGATTTTTATCATTTGGATCGCCCTCTCCAATACGCACAAGGCTTGGATAATGTGGAACCCGAAAATCGGCCATCCACACCAACCTTGCAACAGAGAGACTGAGATTCAGATATGCCAAATTAACAGCGATGCAGTTTCTGGGCCCGTGACTAAAAGCTAGAAAAGCGGATTTCGCCTCTTGTGTCACTGAGATTGATTCATTTTCGTACGCAGGGGTCGGAGGAAGCCATCGCTCGGGTCGGTATGAGTAAGGGTCTGGATAATATTTTTCATTGTGGTGCATTGCATAAACGTGAGACGCTGCCACATAGCCTTCTGGAACGAAAACGCCGCAAATCGTAGCGCCACCTTGTCCTGCTTCACGGTACAAAGGGACTGCTATTGGTGGAGAAATGCGCATTGCTTCGTCGATGCATCCGCGGAGATAATGGCACGAAGAAAGCGTGCTTCCTATGCGAATAGCATCTACCGACTCAAATCGAGACCGGATTTCCCTGACAAGACGCTCGTATGCAATAGGATTGCGGGAGAGATAAAAAAATGTTGCCGATATCCCTACAGAGGTAGTGTCCCCTCCAGCAGTGATCAATGTAAATGCCTCCGCACCGATTTCTTGTGGGTCTAGTGTCTCCCCCGTATCCGGGTCTGTAGCATTGATGATTGTAGACATCATATCTCTCCGGCTAGGCTCGGTTGTACAAGTTTTTTCTGCTTGTATTCTGTCCATAGCCCATCCTCGTAGCATTCCAGCCCATTGTGCTCGTAAAATGTCGACATTATGAAGCATCCAAGTGCCCAAATCCAACCACTGCCCGGACTTACCAGTCCGAAACGCAGACGGCATTTGGAAAGCCATAGTCATTCGGGTACCAGTCATGACAAGAAGAGGCCTGAACTGCCGATTATCAGGTTTGATCAGTGTATCGGTAGATTTTCCAAACACTAGATCGGTGATCAAGTCAAGGGATAGGTAACTTGCTGTCAAGAATCAACACCTCGCCTCACAATCAACCACAGTAGTGAATTATTCCTACCAAACACTGACACATCTTTTGCAGCCACCCAACCTCCTCTTTTCTCATCCCTTCCATCCTCATCCAGGACAGCATTGACAAAGCGATCAATGTGCTCCAAAATAGAACTTTCACTCGCCCTGAGGGCACTATCGGAGAATCCTTGACCCACCAGCCTTCTTTTTCGTCGATGCATCTTCTTATCCGTAGCATTGAATATACTATGCACAGGATTAAATCTCATCGCTTCGTACTCTCTGCCCTTTCGGAAATTTGCATTGAAGCCATATATTTCCTTCATTCCATCGACATCATTGACAAGAATCTTATCAGGCCCATAGCGAATGATGGTACCGTATTGATTATGAAGACTGTAGATTGTGAGATGGGTATCCTTTATCCAAGCATGATACAATGCATATGCATCGGTTAGCTTTGCGAGAAATGGGCCGGGGATTTTGGCAAATGGGTGGAAATAGATTCGGTAGATACATGTTGTCGCAATGTATAGGATGCCAGCTGCAAATGTCAAAAGAGGGAGTTGGATGATGATCACATAAATGGCATGAACAATACTAGAAGTCCCTGCCATATTCACTTACCGGGGTGGAAACAGTAGTGATTAGTCTCAGTGGAGGAATAAAAGAGACCAAGGGTGGGTGCAAGACATTTTCGGCGTCAAGCTATTTCGCATGTGATTCGGAAGTTGACAAGGGTAGATAATAGATCACAAAAATAAGACAAGCAAGCACCCAGGGTAAATGCAGCTATTTCAACCGACAGCAAATCGATAGGCTGCTGTTGGTGGAGGAACTGATGTTCCATTGTTGCAACGCGGGGGCCGCCACGCCAAACCCTAAGCGCATGAATCGACAGGCTCTCTGCGATTTACCATGCTAGATAGGGTTAAACGCAAAGTCTTTGGCGGGGCCTAGCTATGCTTCGATTTATAGACCCATATAGATTTCGGAGTACATGGAAATTATGAAATAGGGCATGATACGTGATGATGAGGTCGAAGGTGAATCGAACCAGAACTTTCATTTAACCTTAGGTTTCCAGTTGCCATTGAACGTTTAATCAAGACATCTGGAGTGTTGGACTAATTCCAAAAAAAAAAAAAACAGTTGCCTAATATAATCCACATCCAAGCCTGCTTCCTCTGGCGTCAAACCATATATAAACAGAAAGTCAAAATATAAGCAGAACACCAGCTTTTTATGCTCCAAAAACCCTGAGACATGCAAAGGATAGTAAATCATGGCCGTCATAATATTCCCATATAAACAATAGAGGGTATCACAAAATGAAAGCACCTGGCTCCTCTTTTTTCAATTAGAACATTGAGCTTCGTTTTTTGCTCAGCTTGCTCTTGTCGTCGTTATCTGACGGTCTCAGAAAGCCGAAGAAGCTCTTTTTCTCTTTCAATTGCGGCACCGGCTGGGCAGATGAAGGCGGCCGCTGGCCATTTCCAAAAAAAGAAGCTGACGATTGTGGTCTCGGTGGTTGTGGTGGTGCATGGAAGCTGGCTGTAGACTGCGAAGGCCGATGCTTACCTGGTGATTGCATGTACGGACCCGGCCGTTGCTGATTTTGAGTGGGAGGAAGGTAGTGTGAGTACCTGGCCTGGTGCACTGGACTTGACGTGTGCACAACAATGCCCGGAGTATGTGACCGTGGTGGCTGAGGAGGTCTTTTCTGCCGACGGCTTTGCTCATCCTCCTTTCCATAAAGTTTCTTCAAGCGTTCTGTTTCTTTATTGATGTCTGCTTGTTTTTTCTGCTGTCTCTTTTTCTCCGCTTCAAGTAATTCCCGTGATTGGCGTTCCTCTGCTTCGGCTCTTCGTCGACGTTGTTGTTCTTCAGCTTGCCGTTGCTGTTTCATGCGAGCATTCTCTGCATCAGTCTCACGATTTGTTGACGGGTTCGTATTTTGTTGAGCTAACGCTGGTCGAGACTCCCGCACTGGAATAGTGACCTGCGGCCGCCGGGGAGGAGCAGTAGTGGCGGAGGTCTTGTTGCTTGGTGGCACTACGGCGCCTGTTGCAACCGGGTTGACAGGAGCAGACGAGTTGGCAATATTGAAGGCGTCTTTCAATGGGCCAAAGAAAATATCCCGAATGACCACAGCCCCTAGCATCAGTACGACTTCTAAGCCTTTAAAGTCTTCCATTTCGACTCGATATAGGTTGGGTTCGTAAAGTGTAAGTTCTTTGAGTGCTTTGAAAATCGAAAGGGTGATATCTGGTTCCTTGTTCTTCTTGCGAGTACCGGGGGTAGTGGTCTTCCCTGAGAGGTAACACGCGAAATCCTTCGATAACGAACCGTCCTTCCGCCAGACAAATTTCAACTTCGGTGTTATATCTGAGGCGGCAGGGTCACTTTCCATTTGGTCCAGTGTCGAATTCGATGGTTGCTTGAAGGATTGTTGGGGCATCTCAAACTCCCACGATGGCTGGGTGTTCCACGTTTTCGGCTTGTACTGTACCGTGATTATTTGATCGGGATTGTATAGGTGGATAGAAAATTCGGTAGGCATAACGGGTTCGGGGGAGGAGCGACACCGCCGTTCTGACGAATTGCTTCTGCTGATAGGGTCGGTTGAGTCCATTTTGGCACAATCAACACCTCTCCGTATAGCACTTCGGGGATGTATGCGTCGTAGAGGGCGATCGCATAGCGATTCTGGGAGGCGGGCTGGGAGGCATCGAGGCGACGAAGCGTATAGGTGGGCTGAGGTTCATTTCCATGCTGTGTAAATAAGACATTGGTTGTGAGCTTTTTCCCATTAGGACTGATATAGAAAGCTGTTGCAGTCAGTCAGTCAAGTAACCAACTATCGTCATCGTCACACAGGCATGCGTGCGGGGAGCATGACGTACTAGGGAGGTTTTCGTCCAACATGATGCGGGAGTCCAATGAGCTGAAATTCGCCTCATGAAGTTGCGAGAATATGCGCGTGTGTCTTGTCTTCAGAGCAATGGGATGCAAGGAGAAACAGGCTCTTGATATGGTCGCGCGTAACAGACGGACTCCGCCACAGGAGAAAGCCTTACGGTGGAGAGGGGCCACTGCGGCCCCGCCAGCTTAGCTCCTCATCTCTATTTTTAGCGGTCTGATCGTCGCTATTTGCCATGCCGGTTACAATTCATCCTATTTTATCATTACTTTGTTCACTTTATATTTTTCTGCCTGATGTGATGCTGTGATCTACGTTCGAGCTTGAATGCAACAATCTTTTCCGCGTCTTTGATGATCCTGGTCTTGACGTTATGTTTATGATTATGCGTTTGAGTCTGCTCCGCCACAGCTGCATCTTGGCCGGTGTATTGACTGGCTGCAAAGACAGTCCGAGTCTGAAAAGCAAACCATCGAGCTTTCTCTGGAAGGCCAATCGATTTGCTCAATTCTTTTGACCACTTGTGATTTTTAACCTATAAAAAGGGCCTATGCTTGAATGTTGCTGCCTACGCTCAATTTTTAGCACGTCCCCGCTCTGAATGATCCAAAACGCCTTGTACGGAGCCATGCATGCGTAATAACCATAGGCTACCAGGTTTCGAAATATTTCCTTCCTGTCCTGAAACTATATGGATGGTGGCGCAGGTCGGGAAATGAGTTACACTGGGGGTGAGATGAAACTATAAGACGGAGGCCATGAATTAGAGCTTGGCCTATATAGGTATCAATTGACCAGTTGACAATACCACAACATAATACTTGAAGATATTGTCATCAATTCTCTTACCACCGCTTTTCACCTGACCATCACGACTTCTGAATGGATTTGTTGATACAACAGGGGTATCAATACAGGGAATGTCGAGCTATCACCAAATCTCGCTTATTAGCCTGGTCTAGCAGCTGCAGCCGCATCTGATAGTCTTGGACGGCACAATCCAAGGGTCGTTCAAGTAGGCTCAGATAATAATGCCACTTGTTGCTAGGCTGACCACCCGACTGCTGGGTGTCTTGGTTATGGAGATTATTGATTGTATCCCAGGAAAGCGGCATTTGACCACCTTGATCTTCAGACTTAAAACTGACGCCTGGGCCACGCAGAAGCCTCAAAACTGCCTCGTAACCGTTACTCGCCGCCCATGAAAATGGTGTCTTGCCAAAGAAACTGGCGTTAGAGTCTATACTAGCTCCTTTACCTAAAAGAAGCCTCACAACTGCCTCATGCCCGTTACTCGCCGCCCATGAAAGCGGTGTCCAACTGACCCAGTCTTGAGGTTGGAACTCGGCCCCTTTTTCAAGCAGTAGCTTTACAACTGCCTCGTGCCCATTTCTTGCTGCCAATGACAGTGGTGTCTGAGAGACGTGATTCTTAGATTCGAGGTCCACATCTTTTTCAAGAAATAGCCTCACGATTGCTTCATGCCCGTTACTCGCTGCCCATGAGAACGGTGTCTGGCCGCTTAATATATCTTTTGACTCCAAGTCAGCCCCTTTCTCAAGTAGTAGCTTTACTACTGCCACATGACCATTCGTTGCAGCCAACGAAAGTGGCCTCTAGATCTGTCTGTAGACTCTCTATACGCGCCTTGCTCGAGCAGCAGTCTCACAATCCCCTCGTGCCCGATCTCCGCTGCACACCACAATGGCGTTCGACCTAACGAATCATTCAAATTCACATCAGTTTTAAGGGTCAACAGCATCTCAGTCGCTGTCAAAAACCCTTTACGAACTGCTGTGAACAAAGTGTTGTTTCTGAAATCTCCCGCAGCAGTATCTAACATGTTATTCAACGAATTTTTGAAGTGCAAACCAACCCAACTCTCGAGCAAGTAAGCACCTGGGTTATAAAACAGTCCATCAATAAACTTGGAGATAGCCAATATCTGCCTTTTGGTTATAGTAAGCCACTCTGCCTACCGTCGCGCTAAGTGAGTACTGTCGTTTTACACTAGTATCTCGTATGCCAGAAGAAGGCTGAAACTTCGTCCCTGTCATAGGTGATTTTCCGCCTGGTAGAGACAATTTTCGATTTGGGCCTAGGCTAGAAGGACGCCGAATGTCATGAGGAAATTGTACTCAAGAATATTCACAGAGTCAAACATAGGTTGAAATAAACAATGTCGATAAAAGCAATTTATCACAAGAGAAACACTTCATATGATTATATATCAGAACAACTTGTAGATAAATAATCTGTAAATGAGAAGCATATTAGGATATTATATTGTACCTTAATATACATTGTTTGAAGTTTATAACCGCAGATTATTAACACTTATACAGCCAATTAGATGTGATGAGTTCTTTCTTATTACTGCACTCAATCTTAGATCGCAATCATAGAGGTGTCTATAGAGGACTACCTAGTCGCTTAATCCGGAGAACTACATCAACCGACATATAAAACCGTAGAGCATTGCTGTCATTTTTTCATGTTCTCCTTCATTGATGATAGTTACTGCTTCTATTTGAAATATACCAAATCTACTTCTGCTCCTAGGGATTGTTAGGTTTGTTATTAACAATGTTTAATCTTTTGAGTTGTGTCTATGCGAGACCATATCGTCTTTTCGTCTTCCCCATGATCAACCAACCAACACTCCATATAGCTCCATTCATATCTGCGTTCAACAACCCATTTCATCCAACGATCTGATCAAGAATATTCAATTGTCTAGATCATCGATGAGATCGGTATTCTGTATTTTTGGTGGAACACTGTTCGGCGCATTCTTATCGCACAGAGGAGGATTATTGTTGACAGGAGCAGCATTCTGCGTCGCTGGTTTGTCATGGGCTGGTGCACTTTTATCCGACGAAGGAAGTGTATCGTCGATGAGATCGATCGGTATTCTGTATTTTTGGCGGAACACTGTTCAGCGCACTCTTATCGGATGGAGGATTATCGTTGACAGGAGCAGCATTCTCCGTCCTGCGCACCCTTGTCGAACGAGAAGGGTTTATCGCTGGGAAAAGCAGTAATCTGTCGGATGAGGAGCCTTCATCGTCTGGGTCATAGCCCGCTTGAAGAGAGGGCTTAGACTTCTTGTGAGCATCTATCATCGGTTGCACCCGCTTGGTTAACGCTTTCGGCTGGTTTTGGGTGTTCATCTCGTCTGTACGACCACGATGGCGATTACGCGTGGGGATTATATCGGATAGATCACTTGTCAAATAGTTCATTGGTGCTAGACGTAGACTTTTCTTCTTATTATGGTGATCGGTTTGGCTGTCAGAGTGTTCGGCTTTCCGCTTCTTTGTAGGCCCAACTGTCACACATACAGTTTATTAAGGTGGATGGCATAGAGTCGAATGGAGAGACACATACCTTCTCTAAGATGAAACTCATACTTGGGACGCTGGCCGGTAGGAGGGTTTGAAGGACCGCTGATCATGTCTCGAACAGCAAACTGGAGACCTTGATCGTCCTGGATGGGAATGGTCGTTGTTGGGTTTTCTATATCCTCATAATAAATTTCCCACTGCTTGCTCATGTCCAATCCCAGTCGAGCAGGGATAAGGTTCATGGTTTGACTATATGACAATTTGAAGACCAGATCAAGTTCACCCGTGGCCTGGCAGGATTGCATGAGTGCCCAGAGAGGAGTACTCGTTGTCTTAACGTCATTTTTCCCCACGCGAACGGTGAAATTGAAACGGTCATGAGAAGTCAGCTGTGTGGTGGAAGATTTACTCTTCCTTTGGGACTGGATCTCAGAGTCGCTTTTTTCTCGCCGGCGTTTCTTGGGCCTTGCCTCTTTGCGGTGTTTAAAGGCGTCGGACAAGGTAATATATGCCGGTTCGATGACGAAACGCCAGTCATCCTCGTCAAGATTCAGCTCCTTTACCTCGTCTGGCAAGTCATCAGCTTGTCGCAATTTGTGTAGATCTGGACCAAGTTTATTCTGCGTGATGCTTTTGATGCTGAGATCGACGTGACGCTCCGCCAGCCAGGTACGGAGATAGTCACGTATCTGATCAAACACATGCTTGCTTTGCATGAGGCTTTGGCCCTTTGCCTGCAATCGTACGAGGGCGTCGACCTTCGTGTAGGGCATGTGCTGCAAGCATGTCAGTAGCGATATACCAGTGCAAGATTTAAAAATGAAGCTTACTCCGGTTTGGATGTCCAGCAGGGACTTCTGAAGTCAGAAGATGAAAAAATAGTCTGGATAGTCGGGGTAATGCTCTGCAGAAGATAAGAGATATTAGGGAGACGAGGGATGGAAGGGGGAAAAAGTCGAAGAGTTGCTGGGAGGAAAGGGATCTCAGAGACGTGGAAAGAGAAAAATGATGTATAAGATTGGGTACTGTCTGCATTATGCTTCCTCTTTGTCACGCCGTTTATACCCCGCTCCACGAAGGAAAGTGGCTATCCATCGATAGTTGCACTTCTCTGGGAAAGCTGTGTTTGTTGAGCACTCCTGAGAATCTCAGGAATCAGAAATGATAATGGGCCTATCATACTAGAGGTCATTGGTTATTTTCGTATGGATAGTGTATTGGAACTGGCGATCAGGCGTTAGGCTGTGATGGCGGTTATAGAGTATCAAGGAATAATAATGATTAATAGCACTGCTTCCTCCAGCAGGCGATGGTTGGAATGGCTTTAAGGCAATTCCTAATGGGTTGGGTTTGGGGCTCGTAGTGACGGTAGTTTGCTACACATGTTCCGATAATAGTTCGTGATGTCTTATACCTTTTCGTTGCTCACTTCTCCACATCATATGATTATTGGAGGGCTTAATGATATATGGATTATTTGTTAAAAAATTGAGGCTGCAAGCAAGTAGACCCCCATCCTCCTCTAAGTGAGGTCTCGGGTGGCTTGAGAAATTCGCTGAGAAATTCATGGATATGGGTAACAGATCGCATCCCAGCTGAGAGTGAGGATTATTGGCTCTCCATCGTCCAGCAGGCGGATGTTACGTACAAGGTGACGGCGGTAGATAATAGACGCTTCTTGTGTGTGACGTTTGACACGATTGAATTGACGTATGGATGTTGGTAAAAGAAATCGAAGTTGAGGGGCAGAAGGAACGTGAATGATTGATAAGAAGATGAATGCAGAGCTTTGATGAGTAGACCAACTACACGTGTATTGATGCTAGAGATTCCTATCCGTCTTGTATTCTACCGTATGTGTACAGTCGGTGAAAAGGAGAATAACTAGGTAGGTGAGTCCAATGTGACAGCCTGGGGCAGTGACTTGTCATGTGACTGGAGCGCTTTCGCGCATAATGAAAAATTAAAGTTGATAGATGTCATGGTATCCTCTGTAGCAGCAGCAGCAGCAGCAGCAGCAGCAGCAGTAGTAGTAATCAAGGTTATAGTTTTTCGATTATACGAGCACCAATCATGCAGTGTTCTCTTCTCAAGTATTGATTGTCTCCTGACCGTTTCCTGATAGGCAAGGCGCCAAGTGGTGAGCCTTTCTGTGAAATTTCTGACCCCCCTTGATCGTTCCCTGGGTTCATCTTGTCCCAAAGATTTCTTTTTCAAGGAGCCGTAGCAGTGCCTGGGGATTGTGGCAGCTCATGTTTAGAGTCACGTCGGATGTTTTCCCCAACACGGTCTTTTGTGACATTCCTTCGCCAGGGCAAGGGGGCATCAGCTGGAAATTTCGGCCCCGAGAAACTATTCCAAGAGGACAAGGCTGCAGTTGCGTCTGACGGTTTTCTATACCATTTAGAATTTTGTATCGTTTTATATAAGGTTAGCTGAGTAAAGTTTGGTATATGGGGTTGATTTGGAGTTATAGAATTTTTTATCACTGTAAAGTTTTGTTTCCACTGGATACCTGAAGTTCGATGTAGAATGGTCAAATGCTGTTATGCGGGATGCATATTAGAATGTTGAGCTGAAATTGATCTTTTATATGTTGTAAATGGCGTCAAATGTCGAGGATTGCATTGTTCCGTCAAAGAGGCCTGTTACCTCGAGAAATCTTTGTGTCAATTACGATAGAGAATGTTTGGAGACATAGGAATCGCTATTCATTGTTGTATATTAGAAGATTGCCTTTCAGAGATTGAATAGATTCATTATCTTTGTCATATCGAGGAGGCTCAAAGGTGGTTGAGTGTATCAGCAACATGCAGTAGCAATAGAAACAAACCCCAGAAGGGAAAGGAGGTCTAAGAAAGCGTAACATATTCGCTGGTGATCGTATACATAATATTTATTACCGACTTTATTCTAAAACAACGAGTAATACCTTCCCACACATCAAAAGAGGACACAAGGAATTTATAAACCATGTCAAATTTAAATACGACTGCCGTTGACTTCAACCCCCGCACTGACATTGGCTGTCCCCCGCTCCTTTTGGCTGGGTTGTAAGCCTTGTGCATTCCAGCCATCAAGGCCCTTCTTGTAATTTGCTTTCTGTTCTTCTCGTGATGGAGCTTCGGGGCTCTTTCCGCGTCGCGTGCGAGACTCGGGAATTTCAATGATGGTGGCATCGTCGCCGTTGAGCTTTTCGCCATTGATGTCTTCAAAATCAATCTTATCTGAGAAATGGTATGTACGGTATTCAGTGTTACGCCATCCGGTGCCTATTACACGTTGCTATTAGCAAGTGAAACTAATTTACGTCGTACCTTGAAGCGAACTCACCCTGGTAAAGACTGCTATCCTCCCAATCCTCAGTCAGGAAGTGCAGCAACCCTCCATGGGTGACGAGGACCACCTCCTTTTCAGGACGAGCACGAAGCCATTGCCTAACCTCGCGAGCCCGATTCCTTAGCGCAGCGGCATTCGGTGACCATTTCCCTTGCTACATCCCACAAAACCAGTCAGACCAATCCCCACATCCATACGCAATTTGCGCTTTCTCACCTTGCTATTCCAGCCATCCTTCACCAACGATATATCCACCGGTAAACCGCTGTCAACAAACTCCTTTTGCAGCACCGCAGGATCACTTCCGGTGTCGCATGGAACGTCACTTGTCTCCTGGGCCTCTGGGATACAGACAATTTTGAAATCCTTATGCGCCTCGAACACAGGTTGGAAACTGAGGAGGGCAGTACGGATGGTTCGTCTCAAGGGAGAAGCAGCTACCAATTCGATTTTGGAGTGATTGGGGAAGCTGTCACGCAGCTTAGCGCATTGTTGTTCGCCTAGTTGGGTGAGTTCTGGGTCGGGGAGAACGTGGTTGGCGGTGCTGAGGTTGTGGTAGCCCTGTTAAGTAGAATGCGCATTTAGCTGCGAAGTTGCAGCAGGAAAGATCGAATGGAGGAGTGTCTTACCTGCGCATGGCGGACAAAATGGACAATTGGAGCCATGGGTGAGTTATCGTGGGGTAGATTGATAAAACGTCTGCGGGGTGAAGAGAAGAAAAAGTACAATGAATATAAAGAGAAACAGACAAGCGAAATAATCTATTAGTTGTATATACTCTATCAAGAATCGGGAATAGAGATGAATGCAAAGAGACAACAATGGAAAGTAATAATATTAAACAGATGAAAAATATCCAGTCCGGCCTGCGGTGCTCCGTTGTGACGACAATCAATCAAAACCGTTAATAATAAGAAATCTAACAACATGACGAACGAGTTGCCCCTCAGCCTGTGGGCCAATGGATCCAGCATGGGCTGTCCTGTCGGTGGCTTTTGGCCAGAATTAGGATCGGTGGAGAAACCGCATGCCCATCGCATTTTTTTTTTGCCTCCGGGTGATTTTGCTGTCAGGGCCGCGTCTCGGCGGGAGGGTTTCGGAGTGAGTCATCCTTTACTAAGCCAGGGCCAGTCTATTCGAGGAAATGCTTTCAATAATAATGGTTAGGCGGAATAATTATTGAGATGTGTATATGCAGTCGTCCAATATCTACACCCCTGCTCCAGATGTTCTCGTAGCTAGATAATAAATACATGCTAAGAAATCGAGATGCCTCAATAGCAAACAAAACCCTGCCTGAAATGCAAAATGGCCTAGAAATTGCCGAATCCGCGTGAGTTCTTCAGCGCCATGTCTAGATTTTCCTCCAAAGCCTTGGACCCTGTGTATTCTGGCAATAGCAACCGGCCGTAGCAGGTATAGCTGGTTGGAAGGCGCTGTATTGGCGGTTAGCGAGAATTGCAATGTCAAATGTGTGGGATGAATTACTCACGTCGTCTCCTGATCCGTTTCTTTGAATCACGAAGTTGATGCTGGAGATGCCATTGACCGGAATACGATCACTGGCGGTGACAAACTCTAGAAGGCGTGCTTTCTGCTCGCGCGAATACAGCTTGACAATATCCCAAAACGCCATAATCAGAGGATGATCCGCGTCCCAGCCGCCATCATAGGTAGCGTAGCGCTGTAGCTCATCCATATTGTACTCTTGAATGCCTTCTACCAGTGTTCGAAGAGCCTCCGGGGTGAATATCGACAGAGACAAACGGTCGAGGCAGGTAAAGAAGCCCCGAGAAAAGGCTTCGAATTGAGGTCTTATGGACTTGTCGGTTAGCCAGAATATATAGTCTTTGACATATTGCTCTCGATTCTCGTTGGTAACCAAAATGGGCTCATCCGTTTGTTGATAGGAAGGCGTTGGCAATGGTGTAGCATAGGCGGCCCCCTTGAGTATTCCATTTTGAAACGATTCCGAATCATTTTTGCCTTGTGGGACGTTGATATTGCCCTTTGAATATTCTGTTTTAGGGGTGGTAGAGTACTCGGAAGCATTGCTCCGTGTTCGTTCGCGAGAGAGAGGGGCCAACGGCCAATTTGCATCTCGGCCAATTTGTTTCATGTCTACCGCCTTGACACTGCCGAATGCCTCAAAACTAAATTCGTAACTTCTCATAAAAATGTCACTAACATCGCCATCGCTCCATGAAAGAAGACTCTCCAATCCTTTTGCAAGGTCGGGCCATCCATCACGGATATGATCTATGTGCTTTACCTTCAGACCCAGAAGTTTGCGGTAAAAGGCCGTAGGTAAGGTGATAGGAAGTGTGAGACCATTGTAAATAGCTAGTGACATCAAAATGCCAATCAGCTCGAAGTGTTCCAACCCTTCTAGCGAGCACGGCTGGAACCACGCCATATGGGTACGAGTGTCCACTGTGAAGAGTCCATGATCAGGATCAAGTGCCTCAGCGAAGACCAAAGTCATGAACTCTTGTTGCACGCCGCCGAGATCGACCCCTTCTTCTCCCAAATCCATTCCCATCTTGACTTTCAGAGGACGCATCAGTTCCCGCCTCTCGCGACGCCATATTTGATTGAAAGCATCGACAATGGCATGGTTCCGGCGGACGGAGATGATGAAGTACTGTGTCATTGAGGTGTGTAAGCGGGCCAACAGACTTATCTCATCAGCAATTTGTATAGTGCGGTTGAAAGCGGTCTGACTCGCTTGCCGTTGAGCAATCATTCCTGCTTCGTATGCCTTAGACATGGCCGTATAATTGATGGCGCGGAAATATTTTACCAGTGCGGCTGGCGGGAAAAGAAAGGTGAATGATAGAAGATGCAATTTTTTGTTGTTGCTGGCCGTTCTACCAAGCCATTCAACAGGCATCTCCATCGGATCGAGCCTTTCTGACAAGAAAGCAGTATGAAAATCTTCTGCTTCGAGTCCAAGCCGTCTTCGGTCTTTATACAAGGATGACAATATCTGCACGGCTCCACCCGCAGTTCCAGATCTCAAAATTTCAGGCTTGCCATCCCATTCTTTTAGAAATAGTGTGCGAAGCCATTCCACCATAACGGATGCTCTAATGGGACTTTCTATGACTGAAGGCTGAATATTCTGCTCGGCGACTTTTTGCAAGGTCTCATACTGCCCACACAGATTGTTAAATAGTAGTTCTAACACACTCGGAGGCCGTTTCTGTTTAATGTCTGATGCCGGAATGGATCTGGTCTTTGATATTTCGTAGAACGCTAACCGAGCAGCAAGAGCGCGCACAAGACGACGAACAAGTCGAAGGGCTAGGTCGTTTTCCAACTTGTCAGTAGTATCTAGAAGTACCTCGGAGTTGTGAAGAGGTAGTTTTTGCAGTTGGGCGCTAGGTAAAACAATTCCTGCTTCACGCACCTCCTGAATACCTCTCCAAGTTTGTGAGTCAACCTTGGGTAGGAAGGTAATCAAGACAAAAAAGACGACGGTCAGCATATGAGCCGCATCTATGTCGGATAATGGTTCTTCGGAAATCGGTGGCGTTGGCCGGGATGAAATTGGAGATCGATTTCCTGTCATATATTGAGACATACGTCTGCTATTTCGGAGCATAAGCGGAAGGTTTTTAGGTGGTATAAACAATCGCTCTAAAGAACTCCACAAACTATTCAAAATCAGTTCCCACGGGCAAATCTCGTGTAGTTTTCGAAGAGTAGATTCTAAAGCATGCAAATCAATCGTGGTAGGTTCTGTGGTGTCGTGACCTTCGTGTAACGGAGGAAGATTTCCTCGAAATGACTGAAGCAATTGTTGACTGCTACTCAGCCCATAGTATATAGACTGTGCCACGAAAGGATACACTTCGCGTTGGCGAACTGAGGCAAACCGCCATTGATAGTTGTCGGACCTTCCTTGAATATTCATATTATCGACTTCTTCCTTCCATCTTTGGGCATCATCTTCGTTGTCAGCAAGTAATTTATACAAGCCATCAACAATATCCGTTGATAGATGACTGACAGTTTGCACTGTAGACGTTGAATCCGATGTGCTGTCATCATTCTGTCGAAAATGTGGAGGCGTAACATAAGGAGAGAGATCTTCGGATGTTTCTTCCAACTTCACCATTTCATCACTGTTTTCTCTAGTATGAGATAATTCTTTAGGGAACTTAGATCCATCCCAGGAAACTCGTCGTGGGTTACTTGATTTTTTCTGAGAATTATGAATTGTTTGATTGCTTTTCTTTGAACGGTGTTTGAGCGCGGGAGGAGGGAAGAACGGCTGCTGTGATAAGCCTTTTGATGGAGTGGACTTGGAACTCGGTATACGGCTAACTTTTGGCTTGTTCTCACTTGTGGCTCGTGGTGTTTGTAGCCACGGTTCGACTTGTTCAAGGGAGACACGCTTTACTGGCTGACCGGAAACTCTCACCTCCAGGGCTGAGTGCTGAGGTCGCCTTTGGCGGTTGGTAGACGCTTGTACTTCGCTTATGGTGGTATTGCTGATAGAATGTGCATGGGTTCGTTGTTTACCTCCGTGGTCATTGGAGGTATGTTTATAACCTGTCTCATTCGCCGAAAAACTCAGCGGTACCTTTCGCCTTCCATGCAAAGTAGGACTTGCACAAAGGTGATTCTCTGCGGTTGACTGACGTAATGGCAGCCATTCGACCATTCGTAGCGACAGCGTATCAAAAAGGTTCTGTGTGAAAGATTTAGGATCCTTGGCGCGGGACGAATTGGAGAAGAGCGAGCCCTGCGTAGATCTCTCAGTGAGCTCACATAATGTTTCGGAAGATGCATCTGCAGATGTTTGGGATTGAAGTGAGGAAGGGTGAATTTCGCCGCCAGGGGGGTTGGCTATTGGCTGCGCATCAATCGTATTGTCCCTGTGATGTCGATGGCGATGGGACGAATGCACTGGTGGAAAATCACTGGGAGGTCGTGGTGGATTGCGGCATAGTCCCCTATCCGCATTATCCTGGCTTGCTAGGTAGCAGGCCAGTGTACGTGCGCTTAGATCTGTGTACTGTCGAAATGGCCCATCCGTCGCCTTCTTCTGATAACTCAAACAAGTAGGAGTTCGGCATTCCGGATTTTCGCATCCGTAAAGAATTTGGTGTTTATATCTGCGGAGTCAAGACTGTTAGCTAGGAACAGTTGTTGCGAGGTCGCACATTCCTCGTAGTTAGTTCACTCACCTGCGGACTAGACTGTTGAACTGGCGGCGGCGATCATCTCTATGCTGGACAAGAATAGAAGCAGGATCATTTACGCTGATTGTATTCTTGACAATAACCTCCGGCGAGTTCGGTGGCAGTTTCGAAAGACAAGGTAGTTGCCTGCCAACAGCAGTATCGCCAGAGCCGAGAGATCCTCCCCGCATCCTGGTCATGCTACTGTACTAGTAGCATCGTGGGAAAATCTAAAGCGGGTGCAAAAGCGGGCTGCAAATACGGCGAGTTAGATGCCGCCTTTGCACGAAGATGACGATGTGCTGAACGACGCTGGGATGAGTCTGATGGAAATGAGTCGCAGTTCAGCTGCAGCAGCCCATGACATCGCTGCCCCGGACTGGGCCTAATGCGGCAAGGCGCAGGATTACGATTCCTCCGGATCAAAGTATATCCGACGCCGGATAGAATAGTATACATCCAACTACAAGGCTATTTGGTCTGGTTGTTCTGTCATTCTCTTCTTCAATATTACAGGCTAGAATAAAGATGGCTCCTAAGGTGGATTCAAGCTGAAAGGCAGGGAGAGGGGAAAGCAAATGGAAATTAGCCTGTAGTGCGAACTTGCCATCTGCTAGATTGGTGTCAAAGGCTGATATGAAACAGCTCCGTGCGAAATGTCATATTTTCTACTGTCCTATCAAAAGGTCTATCGCCTGAGCTCTGAGACTGTATGGCTATATAAGTATGTAACATGTATTGCGATTTGTACCTAGTCGGCATGGACATAATAATATGACATGGCCCGTGCTGAGTCTCGAAATAAAAATCACGCTTACCTAATTTGCAATTATTAAGAATGAGTAACGAGCTCGATGTTGTAGTGGCAAAGTTCGATTACCAACTATCTTTCCTTTCAAAAAAAAGTGAAGTCGGGAATTGATTAATATCTGTGCCACTTCCAAGTCCCAAACCGTCATTCAGCAAAGGAATCCGTTCTCAACCTACTACTTTTCATACGGACAGCCAAAATCTCTGCCCCGCTCGCCGACGACAACGACTTTTACGAGCGATGGCTTCTGTAAATGGTGATTTACTCCCATACACTTGCAATGCGTGTCTGGTAGCATTCAGAACCAGCGATGGTCAGCGCGACCATATGCGAAAAGACTGGCAGTGAGTCCATTCTTCAACCATCAAAGCAGAATATGCAGTGCCCCTCACTAACCGAATGCCTCGCAAAAATTAGTTTGTACAATGTCAAGCGCCGCGTTGCATCCCTCCCTCCCGTTTCGCAAGAAACATTTACAGAGAAAGTCTTGACGGCCAGAGCGTCTTCATCGGCTGCTGCTGCCAAAGCTTCGTTTGAGAAAACATGCGATGCCTGCCAGAAGACGTTCTACAGCGAAAACTCGTATCAGAATCATACCAAGAGCTCGAAACACAAACTTCGCCAGAATGTCTTGAAAAAGAAGGGTCTGGTAGATGATACGTCGTCGGTCGTGAGCTCGACCTTCTCACTTGGAGAACCCATCAATAAGTCTGTCGCCGGGGATAACGAATCGACCGTCTCCCACGTCACTGATGGATTAAAAAAGACTACTATCCAGGAAGAAGAAAATGAGAATGACGAAGATATAGAAGATGAAGACGCCAGTGAATACCCTATAACACGGTGCCTGTTCTGTTCAGAAACCGCAACCGACCTCAAATCAAATGTCGACCACATGTCCAAAGTCCACGGAATGTTTGTTCCCGAGAAGGACTACCTCGTCGACTTGGAAGGTCTCATTCGATATCTGAATGCAAAGATTGTGGAAAATCACGAATGTATTCATTGCCACGCGATCAGGAGCACAGCCGCTGGTATCCGCACCCATATGCGAGATAAGGGTCACTGCATGATCGCCTTCGAATCCGACGAAGAGCAGATCGAAATCGGCCAATTCTACGACTTCCGCAGCACATACTCCGACGACGAGGACGAGGATGAGGATATGGCTGATGGCGGGGTTCCAGTGACGAGCTCAGATGCGGATGAGGCGGGATGGGAGACTGACGACAGCTCTGTCGGTTCTGATGGAGAATCCAAGGCGTACCGGGGCTCGCAACCTGTTTATCAGACAGACTACGAACTACACTTACCGTCCGGTCGCAGCGTTGGCCACCGAGCTCTCGCGAAATATTACCGCCAGAATCTGCACAGCTATCCTACCGCTGAAGAGCGTTCTGCTCGCCAGCTTGCGATCGAGAATGGTACTGCTGAAGAGGAGACGCCCAAGCCCGAACGCAATCACCACAGGGCTCTTGTTTCTCGCGCAAACGGCGGAATGGGTATGATTGGAGCGACGGAGTATCAGAAAACAGAGGCACTGTCCTCGGAAAGGCGAGAGAGGACTCGAGCCCAGCGGTCGGAGAAGAAGTATCTAGCCAAGATCAACCGACAGGCCAACAGCCAAAAGCACTTCCGGGTATGTCTTGTTTTGTCATTTTCTTTTCAATGTTTGCTAACGATAACTCTAGGATCCTCTTCTACAATGATTGATGTTAGATACATTGAACGAAGTCTACCCCATGACGATTTGCATTCTTCACGATTACTTATTGCATTACCTGGTTATGTTATGAATGACATTTGATAGAGCATGATTCCTTTCCTTGAGGTTAAAAGCTAGATATTTAAATTATGAAGAGGTTTCTATAAAGCTAAGGTCACCACGTACCGTACAGATGCATTATATCTAAAATTGAATAAAATAAATTCGGCATCTTTTTATTGATTTATAGGAAGCCCATAAGTGGTGGAAATGTTCACTAGAGTATACTAACTTTCGAGTACATACCCTATATTCATATCAATGATAGCTTTCACTGATTTTCGCTCATGCTAATCAAGTAAACGTCTAATTGATAGTGACAAATACTGAACGAGAGTATAAAGGCACTAGAACTATCCGATCCGTCTCAGTGCTTTCAATCACGAGTTATTTTGATCATCGAAGATGAAAAATTGTACCGAATAATAGTGGCTTGTCTGAACCGATGCTTCAGGCCCGGCTCAAAAGGCTTTCTTGACAACTAGTGAACGAAGTCTATAACTGCTACTTCTCTCTAAAATACACGCAGAGGTCCATACATTTGGAATCTCGATTGGAAATGGCTGTTAATGAAGTAGCAATGGCTCGCTTTCATGGCCCTGCCCGTCGTTCCTTTTCTTACGACGGCGACGTTTCTTTTTAACTGTGCTGCCGGACCCTGCGTCGCCAGTCTCGGATTCGATGGCTTGCTCGTGAGCCTGGAGCAGTTTCTGCTGATTACTACCTGGAGATACGGTCTTCGGCGATCTCTCGGTTTCTGACGAAGAGTTGCTGCTTGTGGGATGGAGAACGACTTTTCGTATTCCGTTGACGTCGATGATTTGTTCTGTGATGCTCCCGCTCCTGGCAGGGGCAGACAAATGCGACGAACTCTTTGAATATTCTGAAGCCCGCGCGTCGTGCCCGTGAAGACTGTTTGGCTTGCTTCTATTTGGAGTACGACTAGGAGGTGGTCGTGCTACTTCATCACCATCTCCATTCCCAGCTTCGTGGCTAAGGAGATCTGTGCTCTCGTTTACACGATTGGATCCTTCATCAGTGTTGGTTTTGGAAACAGCTTCTGGTGTTACGACTTCATTAATGGTTCCGTATGTTTGTCGTAGTGCTCGAACACCATCCCTCGCGGTGAATGACGGGGAGCTCTGAAGTTTGGGAGCTGGTCCGCTTTTGATGCTACCCACATCTGAGTGTCTGTATTCACCCGAGTATCTTCCAGACTCCGAGTCAGTCATGCCCGAACGAGTAGGGGACGCCCCGGGTGCTTTAATTTTAACGTTTTGATAGCGAGTCTGCCGAGGCCTGCTGGCTAGGTTTGAAGGTCCCAAGTGTTTGAGATGCTCGCGAATTTCGTCCGTGCCTCGTTTTGTAATTATTTGTTCTGGTGCGTCGGGATTGTTTCTCAGACTGAACCGAAGGCCAGGAGGATTCATTACGCTTGAGCTCAGTCTACGCGGCTCATTTCTGGAAGTTAGTCCTGTAGACAAATCGCCGTTGGTGGTATCCTCGGCGGAGCCATTCGGTAAAGTTGGCGGATCTTCTACAATGTGCCCCTTTGGAACCCGGGCTTTGGGTGCAGGAGCCATGCGCCTAATCGCTTTATGGACGTCGATAAAGACATCGGACTCATCGATAATTTCCCTGTGAGAGATGTTAGAGCGTGAATGTAAATCTTAAATTGAGTAGTAACTTACTCGCCGATTAGCTCTTCAATTACGTCCTCTAGGGTAACAACACCAAGCGACCCGTGATCCTCGCCCGGGTAGTCAGATACTAGCACCATGTGAGATTTTCCTTCCTGGAAGAAATTGACGATATCTAAACAGCTGGTCTCGGGACGCGTTTCGGGAAGTGTTGCCAGAGCGAAATCGCGAACCATTTTGCAATCATCCGGATCGTAGGTGATAAGCATTTTCACAAGAAGCATCCCGACAAAGTTATTTTCGTTATCCGGTGCATGAATGGGAATGCGAGAATAACCTTGGGAGAGAATCAGGTCCATCATTTCTTCATTCAGAATAGTATCGGCAGACATGGTGAAGACATCATCCATCGGAGTCATGATACTCCCGACCGTCTTTTCTTTCAAATCTAGACACGCACTGATGATGGTAACTTCATCCGAGTTGAGCTGTTCACCAGCGGCACCCAGAGTTTTATGTAGAGTCACCAATGTTTTCAGACCAGCCTTTTTGTATATGGTGCCGTGATCTTCGCCAAGAAGTCTGTCGAGGAGTTTGGCTACTGGCCAGGCCACGGGTGACATGACGTACATCAGCACCAGGACGAAGGGAGCCATCCAAGCACCGATGGGCAACCCATACCGAACACATATCGATTGCGGGACAACTTCTCCGAAAATAACTATCGAATCAGTTTAGTAAACCGGTTTACTTTGATTGCGGCTGGGATTGATACCGATTAGCACGGTACTCCCAACAACTGCGGGCCAGCCACCACCCAGAGAGCGATCCAGCACGATGGGAAGGGTTTCGTTGGTAATGACATTGCTCAGCAGCAGAGTCACCAGAACCCAATGTTTCCCCCGCTGTAGCAGTTTGAGTACGGCAGCCGCATTCTTTCTTTCAGAACCCTCTCCCGACGTTTTGATGACTTGGAGATAGATTTCGTCCTAGGTGAGACGCGCAAGACGTCAAGACATGGCTCGTAGCTAGCGACGCAAGGGATTGATCACATACCTGGCCCATCAACGCAATTGTCAAACCTGCAAAGGCGCCTCCTCCCAGCACCAGAGCGACGGCCACGCCTAGATATAGCCATAGGCTCGGGTCGCTGGCGGGCTTCCCGTCGTCGTCATGCAGCAGCAGCCATCCGGTCGGGGCGGCGGCAATTGCAGGAAGCTGGGCAACGGTGAGGAATAGAACCTTGGCGAGGCCCAAAGCTATCGGCCGGCTGGCCAGATAGGGATTCGCATGGGCGGATCTCATGGCTGGATGCCTGTTTCCAGGTCTTGGAGATAGAACAACGATCCAGAGCAAGCTGGTAGCGAAGACGTCTGCATCTGCATCTGTCGCCGCCAAGCAAAAATTGCGGGCGCTTCCTCGCTTCCTAAGGCGGCGACGGCCAGCCGCGACCAATGACGTCGCCCAGGCACCGCATCATCATTATTACTGCTTCCTGCAATGCACGCAATTGAGGTGGACGGCCGCCCACCAATCGCGCTGCTTTGCATGCAGAGTCAATTATGTGTATTATATAAGATATCACAGGTGCATCAATCCTCCGCCCCCATCCTGCAGCTGCCTCAGGCAGAAACTCGACCGGCTGCGTGCCCCCGCTCACTCTCGGCTATCCGCGGGCTTGTTTGATCTCCAAGAAACACTCCTGTCAGTCAAAACACCTCGCGCCGGGGTAGCATGTAGAATTTGTTCTTCTTCCCTCAATGCTCCCTCCGACTGCAGTGTGAAATCCCCGAATCAACGGCCATGAGCCTCTTTCATACTGCTGGCCGGCGTCTCGCACGCTCGTCGCTGAATGGCCTCCGATCATACTCGTCCGCCGCTCCCTCGCCAGCTGCTCGATTGAACCTGCCGATTGACTACAAGACAAGCCCGCTCCTGCATCATGCCTCTGCGTCGCTGGCTAGTTCGAAGGAACTGCCGCAGTCGGCAACAACTAAGCGCCAGAACTTGTACCAGGCCATCAACTCGGCCTTACGGACAGCCATGTCCGCATCCGACCAGGTGATCCTGTTCGGAGAGGATGTCGCTTTTGGCGGCGTCTTCCGTTGCTCGATGGACTTGCAGATGGAATTTGGGTCCGAGAGAGTCTTCAATACACCCTTGACAGAGCAAGGAATTGTTGGTTTTGCCATTGGAGCGGCCGCACAGGGCATGAAACCGGTAGCTGAAATTCAGTTCGCCGACTACGTCTACCCTGCCTTTGATCAGATAGTCAACGAGGCAGCCAAATTTAGATATCGCGAGGGCTCTACAGGGGCCCATGCGGGAGGATTAGTGATAAGAATGCCATGTGGCGCCGTAGGACATGGTGCACTGTATGAGGACTCCCGGCTTTCTAGCCTTGTTTCACTTTCTTCAGCCTGCTAACTATCCTAGTTACCATACCCAATCTCCCGAATCGTTGTTCGCTCATATCCCCGGTGTCCAGGTGGTGATGCCACGTTCCCCAACACAAGCAAAGGGGCTATTATTGTCGTCAATTCTTGAATGCAACGATCCCGTGATCTTCATGGAGCCGAAGATACTGTATCGAGCCGCTGTCGAGCATGTTCCCGTTGATTCCTACACCATTCCTCTGGGAAAAGCAGAAATCGTGAAGCCAGGGTCAGATCTGACGATTATATCATATGGTCAACCGCTTTACTTGTGCTCGCAAGCAATTGCTGCCGCTGAGAAGGCAAGGAAGGGGCTGAATATTGAGCTCATTGATTTACGCACAATATATCCATGGGATCGGCAGACTGTGTTGGAAAGCGTTCGAAGGACAGGAAGGGCAATTGTGGTTCATGAAAGCATGATCAACTATGGTGTTGGCGCAGAAGTCTCGGCTACTATCCAGGAGGGTGCCTTTTTACGCCTAGAAGCTCCCGTGAAGCGAGTTGCCGGCTGGACCACTCACACTGGACTGAGCTATGAGAGTTTCATCATGCCAGATGTTGCAAGTAAGATGCCCATGCCCCATTTATTCGTATACTCGAGTCAGCTTTACTAACGATGTACAGGAATTTACGACGCAATCTTACAGACTGTTGATTATTAGCGCTCTTTTATGACAATAGTAGATATGCATTTGTGATGGGGTATTCGAATGGGTTATATTGTTCAGGCCTCGTTATACCAGAGATCAATTAGTAGACATCAATAAACCTTTTCAAACTGTTTAGTCTTTCATCCACAACATGTAGAGATTCTCGATATATTCAAACCCCTTTCTAGTCAATTTCACGCTATTACATTGTAAGGAAGACCGCAGTAGTATCGGACCTAAGTATTGTCGTAAAGTAGACCGCCTCAGGCAGCTGCATCTGAAACAGGGAACTGCCCTCAAAACGCCACCCTTTGTTCCTGTCAATCCTCTATGGAGTATTGTGTTGTTGTTGAAAAACTACACAGCCAATTGATGTGCTGCCCCAATATGTCACAATAGATTGCCCAGCCACTGGAAGCCAGGCCCCACTTTCTAAAGTAGGAAATATTGTTCCTTCGCTCTGTGCTTCTTCCCAAGACGTTCATCGCTATTCTCTGCCGGGCAATGTATGAAAAATGGAGTATCTACTTATAAGTATAGGCGGTGGGTGTGTATTGATAGAAATCAACCGTTTCCAAAAATATCTACCCTCTGTTGACTTGAATAGCCCGGTGGCAATATCGATTCAAAAGCACAACAATATTGATTCAAACGTACAGCAATATCGATGCAAACGTACAGCAATATCAATTCAAACATACAGCAATATCGATTTATCCCGAAAGATGTGATAATATCCGGAGGTCATTCCTCGTTTGTCCGGACTCTGACACTCCTATCACTTCCAACCAACATCAACCATCAGCTTCTTCAGAATTGAGAAATAACCAAGAAATGAAAATGATTCCAGACCTTGGTCAGGAGTCTATAATAAGTAGGGAATATAACATCGTGCGTAGGTAGGTAGGAAATGAGGTGTTGTCATCCGCGAGATTGTGAGCGGTGGAGTGCGTTCGTGTTGCGAGTTCAGGAATTCTCGAACGCGTCTGCTAGTTCTGGAAATTGGGAAGTAATTGTAGCAACGGAGATGAAAATCCATAATGCACCCGTTTGGCTGCCGATGCAGATCTCTAGTTGTAATCTCCTTCCTCGTTTTTGATTTGGCGTTCCTTGAAACTGAACTTGTCCAATTCTGTCTCTGATCTCTTCTTTATGGTCCAATACGGAAACTGGTTTCGGGAAGTCTGTGACAGAGATTTGATGTTCATTGCCTCACTTGCAGGCGAATGAGTCCTCCGTTTTTTCATCGAATATTTTCATGCCGGACGCCTTGATTGAGTACTCCATGCAACACCAACAGGCCAAACGCAGCTTTCCACAATCCGCGTCGGTGTTTACAGTATGTGCGTGTACCTTGGCTGCCTTTGCCTGCTCCGGTTTCTCAGTCACTTTCTTATTCATTTCCTTCAAAGCATTGTGTTTGTTCGTGATCTTCATAATCATGATCAACATTCTCTTTAACCGTTTCCATTTCTTAGCTGGCTTCATGTCGACTTTGTATTCTAAATCGTCGATGTCACGGTATACACATGTTTCTACCATGTCGAATTTTTCGTACAGTTCGATCGCGTTAATATCATCTCCGTCAATGATCCGGCGGTATTCTTCTGTTGGAATTCCACCCTCCTTGCACGCTTCAGTCTCTTCTGGGTGCGGTTGAAATTCTCAACCTTCAATTTCGCTACGTATTCCTTGGTCTGCTTTTTGAAATCATTTTGACGTTTGGTGCGTAAGAGGCGCAGAGAATAATCAAGGAAATCAAAGCAAAGCAACTGCTGCCCATGCAAAAGGGAATGAAGAGGAAGCTCTGGAGATGTCTTGTCAAGTGGGAATCCACACCAGCACATACACCAGCCGAACCCAACCAGTTGGCTGGTCTTATTTTTGTGTTTAAGAAAGGCTGTGTTTGTATCGTCTCACACAGCGCCAACTGGGCCACACGTGCCATTGGGTCCGTGTCATGTGACAATCTTGATTTCTTTATGCGACTTGCTATGATGGCGCACCTTCCACCTTCCACCTTCCACCTTCCACCTCCCATCCTACCACCATACATCATGGATTCATCGTTTACGGAAGAAAATTCTTTCGTCTCTTTTGAAAGGCTGTTCGATGGCTATCAACATCATCGATTTAGTAGTCTGAGCCAGTTAAAAAGTCTATTACGTTCTCGGCAAGCAGCGTTGTATGAGGACAAAACGCGAGAACAGTTTGTTGTGGTCTCGAAATTTCCTCCCTCATCTCTCTCGAAACTCGACGAGAATTTCTTCAAATTTGTTCGTCTCTCATACAATAAAAATACGCAACTTGCAGTCTTCAAAGTTATGTACGGCACCGCCCACGAGCTCGCGTGTCGAGAATTTCTCTATTGCATCTATGACGAACTGACCGCCATGAATGTAATGAGAGAACTTGACTCACTCGGAACATCCACAGTAACTATTGGGAATTGGACAAAGCAGGCGGATGAGTGCTGGGCACCCAAAGCTCAAGATACGAATTTACGAGTCATCTTCGAGATTGGATTATCCGAGTCTTCCCGTCATTTGGCAATGGATGCCCGAGGCTGGCTAGAGACTCAAGGTTCGACAATCGAATTAGCTATCACCATGATTGTCGATCAAAGCAATCCTAGCATCACAATTCAACTTTGGGAAAAAGATGTTCGGCAATACAACATCCGTACTCGAAACCGCCCTGAACAAGCCTATTGTGTTCAAGAGATGACAATCGTTCATCAAAACAATGGCACCATTGTTTCTCAAAATCTCGTTCTACCGTTCAAAGCATTCTTGGGTCGTGATCCACAGGATGCAATTGAAAGAGATCTTATACTAACTCGCTCAAGACTTCAAACTTTGGCTGAGGATATCTGGAGAAAACAACGATTCATTAATTGAGCCGACCGAGCCATTTATTGTTCGACTATTTAAGAATCCCTGCACTTCGGTCTAGATCGAGAGAGTTAGATGTAGTCAGACTTCTGCGGCATCCCTTGATCACCTTTCGGCACGAAAGGCTCCATTGCCCTGTGATCTGAATGCAGAAATACGACAACTGCAGGTTCTCGACGGCAATTAAATTTGATCCGTTTCTCAGCCCAAGAGACTATGTCAGCGTGTTACATAGAAGTTATACCTCAATTATAAAAGTTTGGCTTAATCTGGCACACACAGAAGTAATCAATCAATATTAATTAATACCTAACTCCATAATTTGACCTTTTCAGCTAGAATTAAAAAGCTTAACCAGATCCGACTCCAATTTAATATCAGTCACAAATCTAGGTCTGTGAGACTAGCACATCCCCCGGAGTTGATTAATATAAAACCTCTCAAAAACAGAAGAAAGGTAGTCGGTTTTGCTTACTCGGGATCGCTAACGCAGGTGCCCGAAGGATAGAGGCTAGATCTGTTGGCCGAAGTCCTGGCACCTCTGTGTTGTTGTTACCAGGATATTCATCACGGTATCTTGATTTTATGGAGTCAATATGAATTGCCATGAGCATTTGAGGTGATGAATAATGCTCGAGGAACCATGACCGAAAGACGGAGATTCGTTTCATCATCTCTGTATGCTGTTCCAGGCTAACCTGGCTGCCCAAAGCCCTGTTCGAATACGACGGGTGTTTAGAAATGACCAGGGAAAAAAGGACAGAGAAATTTCATAATCTTACCAGTACCACCTTACAACATCTGTCACGAAGGGACCATGACTATGCCGTTCCTCATATTCGTGTCGAAATTTGTCAAAAGAGTGGTAAGCTGCATAATACCACCCATGGTGCATGAGCTTGGAAAGAAATTAATAAATACGAACCAATGGTATAGAGGAGATCAGGAAAGGAGATGTAGGACATACATTGTAAAGATACCGATGTAAATCTTTCTCCTCAATGGGTGTTGTTTTCTGCCAATCTTCTCGGATAGAGATGGATCGATACGAACATCTGGTCGCTTTGCTAACATCACTGAGGAAGCTTTTCATGGCCTGATGCTGCTCAGCATCATCCTCGCACATAAAGTCGGTTGGATATAAAATTTCGAGAGTGTCTTCACTTATAGGTGTGCGGCCGTCTTGTTCAACTGAAGGGTGTAATGCCCGAAAGACGTCGGGAAATACCTCATCTCTTCCAATCCAGCCGGGCGTGTCCACATCTGCCCATGCCTTGACTAAACCATTGCTTGATATCGAATCAGTTGAAGGACGAAAGCCAAAGATTCCAGTTTGAAAGGCGGGAATTCGAACACTTCCAGTAGCTATTCAGATTTATGTTTAAATAAAAGAAAGTGGAAAAGAGGAATATTTATAGATAGATAGACTCACTGTCACTACAGATTGATAAATCAATCCAGTCGTAAGCGGCAATTGCAGCAGCACCCCCACTACTGCTGCCACCGGTAATTAGATAGCCATCCCCCGCGGATTAAATGGCGCCTGGTAGTCGACACTTTGGGTCGGGTGTTCCATCATCGCAAAGGAACTGAGATGGGTTTTCCCAACAACAATAGCCCCTGCTGCTCGTAATAAAGTCACCACATCTGCAGTATCCTGTTGAATGGGATAGGTTTCAAAATATGCACGGTTTCCAAGCGTTGTATGAGTACCCCTGATATGATAGTTGTCCTTGACAGCAATTCTCATACCTTTCAGGACGCTGAAAGAAGTATTTTGCTTCTTTTATTATCAAATAATTGTAATTTCTCCTCTCCACTGGTGTTGTGGCAAGAACTTGGATTCTTACCTGCCGGGACCCTCGTGTATAGGTAAGGGGAATGACATAATAGAATAAGACCTCGCAGGAATAGCAATTCCATGTGCTCGATACGCATTTCCAGCGGCTGTAGTCTGAATAAATTCACTACTAGCTAGAATTAGAACTGCGTGCTAAGTTAAGGCTAACTTACCCTATCCTTTCCGAAGAGGAACATGTAGCTTGCACAAATGCAAGCTGGCAGTCAGGGTAGACTTTTGATACAGAGTGTAAAAGACCTTTGTGGGCATAATATGGTCCGCTCGAGATATTCAGGTCTCGCTCACAAACCACTTCTAGTGTCGTCCATTTCTCAAAGACTTTTTCGACATCCTTCTCAAAATGGACACTGTTCGAATCAATGCCACCAAATATGATCTGTTGAAGGAAGGCAGTATGGAAAACATCATCCTAATCTAGAAATCACTTTCTCCATTGCTCCAGTATACTTGCATCGATCCTTTGGTCCTTTGATACCTGTAGATATGTCACTAACGTGGGTATTTCGGTTGAACTCTGTAAAATTGGTGACTGAGTAAATTAATCAGGTTTCCATTTGTGATATCAAAAACTGATTGACCGGGCTTACAAAACTTGTAGGCCGGGCGAGTTAGTGCTCATTATCTATCTTAAAGCTGATAACATTGTCCACAATAGCCTGTGTTAGTTCTGCTGTAGGCTTGTGGATTATATTTTGTGGCCAGTTTATTAGACTGGGAAGGTATGTCCCGAGTCCCCAAAGGGAAAAAACCATCGTTTTGTAATTTTCCATCACAATTAGCCACTGTTGGAGAATGATATTAAAATGAAAATGGAGTGTTGATGTGGGAAAAAGCGGTCTGTCGGCGAGGGGGTCTTTTATTACACATTACTGATTGATTACTCATGCTAAACACTCATCTTAGCTATAAAACCGTTTATTAACTCCCTAAATATATATCCATGTATCAATTATTCGATAAGCATCGGATTTCTACAACTTGAGTTAGGTATATTCCGATAGAAAAAGGATTCATTCATTGGCCGCACGGTATTCCTGCATAATGTAGCTACCTCGAACGAAAGTGACAGGATAAATTAATACACTAATACATTGCATTGTGCCTTGCCTTATAAGATTTCTTACTTGAGGCGACACAACAACTCAATGCTGTTAGCCAGTCTCGTGATTCCCACTCAAAGTCCGTCCTGCACATACTGATTCATAGTTAATAGTCTTCAAAGTCCTTCTGTCTTCCAGTGTCATATAGAATTCCTCGTTGAATCCTTTTGTCCGTGAATAATACATATCGGAGTAAGTTGTTTGATAAATTGAAACCATAAGTAAATAAATAAACCGTGTCCTATCATAGCAAACAGCACTCAATTAGTGCTGGCAACCAAAAAAACCGATCATCTTTAATAGCCACTTCATGCATTGTAGTACACCAAAGGTCGGGCCTCGATGTTTTCCAGATGTGGGCCACAGTCGCGTGCCAGAGGGTTGGAAAAGGCCGTATGCGACACACCTATTCTAGCTTTAGCTGCTCCAAAATTGTACAATACTGTGTAAGTAGTTGACGGACCTGTATCAATATTAATGTCTCTTTCCTTAAAACGATGCTGTTGTCATCGCTATTGCCATAATATTAAATACTTATTACCGGGAGGTTTACTCTCCTGCAAACAACCCACTTTTGGCTGCATTGCCATTATCATCAATTCTGTTCAACCCATGCCAACAGCTGTCGGTGCGCATATGAGGTCACATGGCTTTGGTTGCTTTGGCAGTATAAATATACGTCAACTTAGACCGCCTCCTTGCAATGTAGGATTTTTCTTTCCCTTCTCATTATTTTTTTAACAACTTCAAATACAGAGTTAGGCAACACGGGACACTCCTACTATCGTTTTCGATCCAAATATCCATAGTTCATGACTATCGGTCTCAATAAAGTCTATCGACTATCGACGCTATTTCTAGTGCGAGATACTCGCAAGCCCATACCTAAGTGAAATGAACACTCTTGAGACCCTAGAGCAGGCCCTTAAGCAGGCAGCAGCCTCGACCCCGAAGAAACAGCAGTTGTCTGACGCACAGTACAGCGCTGGCTTTGATATTTTGGTGCGAGACTCAGGATGGTTGACATACCAAGATTTCGTCATTCCTCAACTGTCTCAGTTGCTAACCCCCCTAGCCAATTCGGATAATATCTCGGTACTAGAAATCGGACCTGGTCCGAAGAGCGTACTTGGATATCTTCCCAGCTATCTGAGAGAGAAAGTCAAGAGATACACGGTATTCGAACCTAACGACCTGTTTGCTACAAGGTTGACAGAATGGATTGGCTCAGAGTCTCCCCTGCCCCGTCTAGAAAGGCTGCCCAACATTCATAGAACTCATTTCATTCTGGAGGAAAACATAAATAGTGGCACCAATGGCTATGGAAAATGCAGCGAGAGATACGACATTATTCTACTCTGCCACAGCATGTACGGCATGAAGCCCAAATGTGGATTCATCGATCAAGCTCTGAAAATGCTTGTTGAGCCGCCACAACAAGGAATGGTGGTGGTTTTCCATCGCGACGGGGTCCTGCACCTCGACGGTTTGGTGTGCCATCGAACAGCTTCATTCCCTGCCGGAGTCGTTCGAGTGGCAGACGATGATGAGTCACTAGACTGTTTTGCACCTTTCATCGCGGGGTATGTCATGCAGGATGTGAGTGCAGACAAGGCTATTCGGGGCGAATGGCGTAAGCTGTGCCGCAACTTGGGCAGTCGAGAAGAAGCCCACCCAGACCATCTCTTGTTCAGCGCGCTCGACGTAATGCTGGCATTTGCCCAAAACGCAACGAGATTGCCAGAGCTGACAGCGCAGGTGCCATTAGTACAGGGAGAGAGGACGGTGAAAAACCGAGAGGCTCGCATCTTTCGACCCACCGCAATTTTTCGACCAACAGAAGTCCGACACATCCAGCAATGTGTTCAATGGGCACTGAAGCATGAAGTCGGCCTGACCGTCCTCGGCGGGGGTCATAGTGGCCACTGTCTCCGGTCAAATGTTGTCTCGGTCGACATGTGCGCCTTTAGCCAAGTACACAATCTGTCGGCGGGATGGGATGGAAGAGATTCTGGTTCATTGGCCGTCGTCGAGGCCGGCTGCAACACGAGGGATATCGTGCGTGAGACCATGTCGGCTGGCATGACAGTCCCCCTAGGGTCTCGTCCCAGTGTAGGTGCCGGGTTATATCTACAAGGGGGCATTGGACACCTAGCTAGGCTGCACGGGCTCGCGTGCGACGCCATTGTCGGTGCCGTTGTGGTTAGTGTTGACTCCGGCCAGGTTCTTTATGTCGGCTGTGTACCAAGTCAATACCGCCCAGCTGGTGCTATCCGCGCTAAAAACGAATCTGATCTGTTATGGGCATTGAAAGGCGCCGGGACCAATTTTGGTATCGTCGTCAGCGTGTCTTTCAAAACTTACCCGGCTCGGACCTACCTGACTCGAAACTGGGTTTTCTCGCCGAATAACAACCTCGAGGCGCAGCTCAGGCTCAGCAAATTTGATGAAATCGCCAAGAAGCTCCCGCTGGATTGTTCTGCAGATGCATACCTGTACTGGGATGCCGACCAGCTGCATCTTGGGGTGACCATGATCGACTCTTCCGCGACATCCACGCCTATGCCAGAGCCCGTAAGTGACGATTTAGGTCCAGAAAACAATTCCAAGGTTGTGGACGGAGTCGGTTTGTTCGAGACCGAGATGTACATGTCTGGGATGCACGGTGGGCATGGCGGCTGTAAAACCTCCTCGTTCAAGCGCTGTTTATTCCTAAAAGACATAGGAAAAGCAAATGTCGCTCAGCATTTGATAAAGGCCATTGGGACTCGTCCCTCACTACTCTGCTATCTCCATTTGCTGCAAGGTGGCGGGGCAGTCGGGGACGTTGCGGCTGATATCACTGCTTTCGGCTGTTGAGCCTGGGACTTTGCCTGTGTGATAACCGGTATCTGGCCCCGCGACCAAGATGGCACATGGATCGTACAGGCAGTCGTCCAGTGGGTTTATAATGTTGCCGAAGACTTGCTGCCCTTGAGTAGTGGAGTTTACGGCGCTGACCTTGGGCCAGACCCCAGAGACTCAGCGCTGGCTGCTAGGGCTTTTGGACGGAATCAGCTACGTCTGGCCAATCTCAAACACAGCTTGGAACCCCATAATGTGCTGTCTTACGCCTGCCAGCTCCCGAAATTGAAGAAACTGAAACTTACCATTCTTGTTACAGGGGAAAGCTGTGCTGGCAAGGACTATTCTGCCGACGTCTGGGTCTCCGAGTTTCATTGGATACCCCCAAAAGAACCTCACGGCACGTGTAGTTAGCATCAGCGATGCGACCAAGAGAGAATACGCCGCGGCTACTGGTGCTGACCTAAGACTCCTGCTTTGGGACCGTGCTTACAAGGAGAAACATCGGCCAGCGTTGACCAAGTTTTTCAAGGAACGAGAGCGACAATACCCTCAGATACTAGAGGAACATTTTCGGGATGTGGTGTACGGCGCTTTAGATGTGGATGTTCTGTTAATTACCGGAATGAGAGATGAGGCGCCAGTTGCAAAGTTTTCGCCTTTAGTGCCAGATATAAGGGTAATTGAGGTTTACGTCCAAGCCAGTGAGCAGACACAGTGGAGTCGCCGAGGCAATGACAACACGGACAGCAACAATAGCAGGTCGGATATAACGACCTTGGAATACTGCCCTAGCCTCATATTTGACAATAGCATGACTGGAAATGAGGCGACAAAAAGCTTTGCTAAAGAATACCTCCTTCCCTTCTTTCATGAGAACCTGCAGCAACTGAGTAACATGGTCCCCCAGATACCCGATTTCCCACACCCAGGCACCAATTTTCGCCATGTGCTCAACATCACTCAACACGCAAATGGCCTCGCCCTATGCACGGCTCTGCTGCATACCCAATTCACCGATGACTGGGCCAAAGTCGACGCGGTGGTAAGTTGCGAGGCTGGCGGTTTTTTGTTTGCGTCGCCGTTGGCCTGTCAGCCTGGTGTGCCCCCCTTAGTGCTGATTCGTGAAGCCGGCAAGCTCCCCCGTCCAACAGTTTCCGTAGCAAAGCCTCGTTCGTATATATCCTCTGTATCCAACAATTTGAGAGAGGAGAAGCGGATCGAGATGGGGCGGGATGTGCTCCCCAAGGGCGCGCGGGTGGTGGTAGTGGATGATGTGCTTTCCACAGGGAATACGCTTTGTGCGGTCCTGCAATCATTGACTAAAGCAGGTATTGACACTGAGAATGTCCGAGTTATGGTCGTGGCCGAGTTCCCTCTTCACCGTGGCCGGGAACTGTTGCGCACACATGGGTTTGGTAGGATCAATGTTCAAAGCCTTTTGGTCTTTGGCGGTGCTTAAGTAAAGGTATTGGAATCTAGGATTATAATGGAAATACATTATGATAAATATAATCCAGACTAACAATTCATGGACGGCGATACAGAGAGAAAGGCGTTGGGCTACTTGTGGGATCAAAGAGGAAAGGGCAAAGGCCACAAGTAGTAGTAGTGACTGTAGTAGAAGCCAGCTACGAGGTTAAGTAATGGTCGTTTCGGCAGCAGAAATGCATTTGTCTTCTTAAAAATCTCCCCGTAATATACCAAAAAGGCATCCCATTTTGTCCTCAGCAGCCCCTTTCACGTATCACGCAACCTGAGACTAGTTGAACTTTCTCAGAAAGCACAACACCTCCGATACTATCAAATGTAGATGGTAAGTGTTTGGTATTCGGTAAATCCATGTTGGTAATTCGATCCTAAGAATGGGGGGTTTATGGGGATATTTCAGGCCGGACTACTTGTTCCCGTAGCCGTGGGACTGGTTATTGGGGGAGGAATTGCCGGGTCGTTGGGATGGAAGGCTATTTTCTGGTTTTTTGCCATTTACAGCGGCGCTTTTCTATGTCTTCTTATCATCCTGCTGCCTGAAACACTGCGGTCGATTGTCGCGAATGGAAGTCGAACACCATCTAATCCGTTAACGAGATGGCCGCTGGGATTTTATCAGAAAACAAGCAAAATCCAGTGGCAGCAGAGCCTGGAGAGACAGTCACTGCTTGCAACAAAGAAAAAAATCGATCTTCTGGGACCTCTTCGAATACTACTGAGTAACCATGCAGCTCCTATCATCATATTCCTCGCCGTGTACTATGCCGTCTGGCAGATGAGCATTACGGCCATGTCCTTTCTGTTCAAGAGCCGTTATGGACTGACCGAAATACAAATCGGCTTAACCTTGATCGCCAATGGAGTTGGATCCATGGTTGGCACACTGGTGACTGGCAAAATCCCTTGATATCGACTACCGCCGCGTCAAATCCAATTACGACGCTTCATTCGACAGCGAACAAGGGACCATTGTGTCTCAAGCTAGCCGCGAAGATAATTTTCCGCTAGAAAATGCCCGTCTTCGACTTGTGCCGATCTTCACTACTCTGCAATGCATTCTCTATATTCCTGTTCGGCCGGACCATCCAATATTCTCACCAAGTGCATATTGCAGTTCCTATTGTCTCGATTTTTATTTCGGGATGGACAGCTATCTCTACGCAATCTCTTATCGCGACATACCTCGTCGACGTCTTCCCTGATACAAGTGCGGCAGCCAGTGCTAGCCTGAATCTTGCAAGGTGTCTTTTCGCGGCGGGGGGGGACGAGCTTCATTGCGCCCATGATCAATGGCGTCGGGGTTGGAGTGGCATTCACTATTTGTGTTGCTGTCCAGCTTGTGGCATTGATCGGTCCTTTGGTTCAGTGGAAATTTGCAGCTGGATGGAGGAGAAAGGAGAGGGAGGAGGTTGCGCGAAAAGCACAAGAAAAGAATAAATTGTTTCTCTTATCCAGTCTGCACGTCGATAAGATTTGATCACCTAAAAGTCCAATATTTTGGTTTTCAGCCCTTGTCATGAATAGATGGAGCGAAGAGAACGGCAGGGCAATAGATTACGATAATAATAGAAGAGTAATTAATATCTCATATAAGTATAGCTTCGGTCCTCCATGATGACTGGCATCATCGTCCACGCGGCCGTCGAGGCGTCCTGGGGCCGAAATGATTGGTTCGCATTTGGCGCCGTTCATGTAGGTACTGCGTACTCTGTGCTTTCGGTTGGTCTCACAGTAAGAGTCAGTCAGGACTCGCCAAGCAATGTCGTTAGTGGGGTCTAGCGATCAGGATTCAGCTATGTTCCATGCTAGCAGCTAGTCGGAAGTGTGAAGAGGAATACTGTACTCTGTAATTAGTGATGAGTGGGTATGTGGATTTGTACGGAGGACCCCGAGTAATAGGGACCAAATCCGAAACGAGATATGCAAGGGCTATTGTCTTACTGCCGTACGCTGGGGGTTGATGTTTGATGTTGATGTTGACGTTGATGTTAACAGTGTATACCCCGTGTATGGCGCCGAATAGTCAGGGCAACACACAAGCAATATACGAGCAGAGTCGTGATTGATGGAATGGGCTCAGTAGCTGGCGCCGCTAGTCGCGCTAGTAGGTACCTACTCCTCCCGTACGTACTCCGTAATGGGCTAGCAGTGGAAGCATCGTCCCTTCCGCCTCGGCGACGGCTTGTGCCTGCCTCCGCCCGCGTCGCCCACTTGCCTTCACTACTTGGCAATTACCACTCTCTCACTCTCTCCTCTTCATCGTTGCCGCCGCGCTCAGTCGATCTTTCAATCTCCATCCGACCTGCTGTTCTCTCATTATCGAACTATTCGCCGTCGATCCTCCCCATTTGCTCTCCGTCTTGGCTAGTTGTGGCCATCTTGCGACTGGGCTAGCATTCTGAAACCACCCAACCCCTGTCGCCCTCTAGATCGAATGCCAGCCCAGCATTCCCACCCATCCCCAGACATCATCACTCCGCTTGCCGATTCTTCAGCATTTGATATTTCAATCTACGTCGCTGCTGCACACGCTCCAAATTGCGACCGGCAAAGCGCTGTGTCCGTTCGACAAGCCTCTCGCAGGGGATCGACAGACAAGCAACTGAAAGGACAAAGGGAAGGGCAATGTCGAATTGGCTATAAATAAACCACCACGTTCGCTCTCGACACATTCATTGTTACATACACTCTTTCCACATCAACCACCATTGATACCGCTCATTGAGAAACGCAGCTTGTTCACGGCCGGCCCGACGAGCAAGTTGCGCCTTTCGGTCAAGAGAATCGAAACGATTCGCAATCGTACCTGTGTGAAGAAACCCGTCTCTGGCAGGACCAGACACTCGCAAAATGGGTTGCTGCGGAGACCGAGAGAAGATCGGTCAGATGAAGTTGGAGCAGACATGGGACTACATTGTGAGCGGACCGGCCACTGGCATCTGATCAGACGGACACGAACAATACTGACAGTCGCATTTTACAGAATCTAAACGACTTTAAAAGTAGCTCCTGCTTCACAGGTTTCTCCTATGTGATGGTCTGGGTCTTCCTCATCATTTCGGTCGCTGTCTACGCTGTGGATACGTTTACTGCCGTCAATCTACTCGCTTTCTCGCGATGGTCAAGTCAGATCAAACCAAAGATTCCTTTCAACATTTCTCGCTGGATTTTCGCCGGCTGCATTATCGCCTCGTTTGTGTTGCTGATTTACCGCTGGATACGGGCCATCCGCGTGATGCGATCGGGCAGTATCGCGGAGAGTTATCTCGACCCACTGGCAGTGCGCGTACAAAGTATTCGCGTCTTCAGCCAGTCAAAAGGCTACAGGCGATTCCTCGTTTTTGCTGAATTGACCAAGAGTAAGAAAGGCGCCGATTACGTCGCGCTCTTTTCTTACTTCTCCTTTGAAGGTTCGTTTACCGTGCTACTATCTGGTCGAATCATTGAATCGTACTGACCGAAACAGCCTGGCTGCGTATCATTTTCGCCGACGGACCCCGTCAAGTCCTCAATGCCATTACCCTCTACTCAGTGCTGCAGTTGAACCTGATTCCTGAGGGCAACCATGCGGCACCTGAAGGCACTTCGCCTGTAGCCCAATTCTTCATCAACATCAAAGCATTGGCAGAGAAGAACTATCAACAAGCCGTGATTTTGTTTGGTATGCTTTTTACCTTGGTCATCTGGGTATTCGCTGCGCTCAGCTTGTTTGTATCCGTTGTCCTCTATCTCATTTTCCTCTGGCATCACATTCCCACGGAAGATGGGTCGCTGAAACGGTTCTGCCGGCGAAAGATCAACACACGACTGGACCGTATCGTTAGGAAGAAGACTGCTAAAGCTTTGGCCAAGGGCGGTCTTCAATTGAAGGACCGAACGCCTACGATGCCTTTGGGAGAGGGCGAAGAGATGGGTCCTGTCAAGGTGGCACCCACATTGCCCTCTCTTCAAGAATACCCAGAGGACAAGAAACCTATCGTCACCGTCGCGCCGCTCTCTCGACAGCAGACTCAAACTACGCTGCCGCCGTACAGTTCGCAAACGGCTTTGGTACCAGCTGAAGAAGAATCGCATCAGCAGCCTACACTACCGGATCTCGGAGACGATAGTCCCTGGTTGACAAGGACCAATACCCAAAATTCAGCATTCGATTCAACCGCTGAGCCAATGGGATACAGTCCTCTTGACCACAAGCAATCGCATGCGCCGCCCCCACCCATGCCTCCAATGCCGTTCAACCCGAACCAGGGCAGATCATATTCCCCTGCTATGAACCGACCCCCTACCGCTCAGGGTCGTCCAGGGCCAATGACAGCAGAGAGTGTAGGCCGTCGAACACCGGGTCCTGGCTATCCCCAACCTCCACCCTCGTCAATGGGCCGTCGTACACCTGGCTTCGGGCAAGATGACTACCGTAACGATATGCCATTGCCTTCTGTGCCTGGAGGTAACGAGTCTTATGACCGTCCCTTTTCGCCAGCGAACAATCGACCATACTCGCCAGCAAATAACCCATCTGGTCGTTCGCTCCCTCTGCTAAATACAACCGTTCCTGCCCCAAGGACTGACCCTGTCAATCGTAGCTACACTCCTGGCGGAGGCACGGCTTCACCACGTCCACAAAATAACGGCGGTTATACTGCATTTAACCCATTTGCTTCGTCGACGCCTGGCGATGCTCGCTCTCAAATACCTGTTTCTCAGACACCTGTCTCTCGTACACCTGGCCCCCCTACGCAACCGGTGATCCGACCTTCTACGGCTGCGCCGACTCGCAACGCTCCCTACCAAGCCCATGCCCCGAATCTACGCGCAACAACTACGTCTCCATCTCATGGATATGGTCGACGGCCGCCTCGCGACCAGTCGCATGATGAGGAAGAATATGATCCTCTGTCATACTATGGCAGTGCTTAAACCCACCTCGCGCCGGACGCTCACTTAGAACGTACATTACATTTTGGTTCATCCTATGTAATCTAATAATACTTCATGTACACAACTAGCACACAGGATGTGTGACAGACAATTTTGTTTTTGTGACGGAAACGTACGGTAGAGCTGGATCCTTTTGCCGTCATGATTGGGATTATGACAATATTTGATTAGGCACGTACCTGATTTTTTATACCCTTCGTTGATTCTTATTTCTTCTTGGATAGGTGTTTTACAGGTCGGACTTTTTAAACAGCGACTTGAATAGATATTACAACGGCTGATATCGATGCTAAATCGTTTCTTTTTATATTAGAATGTACATCAATTGATGTCGAATCCACACATGCACCGTTTTGCAATCAATTGTATATTTAAAATCTCATCAAACTCTATAGCAGATTTTTGAATAGTTATCACAAGATTTTATATGCGTGTAATGCTGAAACACTCAAAGACTGTATAATAATAACTTGGAGAAAATTTTTGAGTTGTATTTATAAAAGATCATCTAAAGACTTTAAGATTTTCAGCAGCATGTACAAGAATCTAGATTTTGTTCAGTTTTAAAAAGATACATCTGATGTGGTCAGCATAATAAATTGTTTTTTCTGTTTAAAAGGGGCTTGAGGATGGTGATATTAATAACCTTATCTTTATGCTTATAAAATAAGAGTAATATAAGTGGCAATAAGGCAAAGAAATCATCTACAAATTTATTACAAAAACTATGACCAATTTCTAGATAATTAAGAACAAGATTTTTTTAAGTGTTATTTTAACAATTTCAATCTACAAGATCAAGCAAATATTCATAAGCTTATTAATGCAATGAAGCACTGGATTCATGGTAGTCTTGAATGACATCTGACCAGTTCATGGTACCATTCATCCTAGCAAGTCTGCCTAGACCTCCTTCCATAAAGCTGAGCGAGCGAAGTCTCAATTTTTACCAGGTAGGAACTCGCATATATTAGAGTCATATTAGAGTCGATCAACTAGGATCCATGAACGGCAATGAGTAAATTGTCTTGTAAAACAATACCATACAACACAAGAACATTGAACCCACAAAACCTTGCCTGCTTGACTTTTGAAGAAGAAATTACTCAATTTCCAATCTGCTGTATGGTTGAATCGAAATTCAAAATCGTAAGCAAAAGAAAGAACAAAAGAAAAGAACACAAAGGAAAAAAGACAAACCTTGAAAGGGGGGGTTGGTTGTTTTGTGTAGCAGTTACTTCTTGCAGAGCAGAGAATAGTAAATTGTGGCAGTGCTATAAATGTGCCAGCTTACAACACCAGTCCCTGTAAATTACAAACTGCGAACGCTGAATGGTGACACTTGGCGCTTATATGCATCGCAGTAGACGATAGTTTGGTATAGATCTCAAAAATATATCAAAAGTAGATTGCATTGATGGTCTGGTTCAGGAGTTAATAGAGTGCTTATTGTTTTTCAAGGTTGTTGGCAAAAGATACTATGTATTCAAGTAGATAGACAGAGTTTAGATAAATTATTTATTAGTCTCTACAACTGTTGTTGTCCCTGCTCATACATCTTGAAGCATCCATCTCACCGCCTTCCTAGACTAGCCATTAGACCGCTGTCGCTACGAGGGTTTAGCACGGTCCCAGTGGGGCGATGCGCAAAGCGGGCAGCCGTCTTGGCAAGCCAAGATCCGCCGGCAACGTAGATATTGGCGCTGGTAGCGGCGCTAGCGCATCAACCTGACTTTATTCCATACTGAGATAAACATTTTCTCACCCGAAGCCTCCCTTCAAGGACCCTACTTTTTATCATCCATTTCATTGACCTATCATCAGGCACAATAATGTACCTAGGACCTAGGTAGATAGACAAATTTCAGGGACTACTACTCGCCATGAATTACCGATCTTTAATCTCTTACACTGCTCTGGCGGTCTTCGTCGCCTCCATCTTGCTATGGCTTCGCAACTACAACTCGCTCCCTAAGCTTTCAATATCAAACCCGGCACAGCCGCAAATGTTCTGGTTCGCCTTGTAAGTCTCGGTTTAGGCAAAACATGCGGGTGATCAAAAGCTTCGTTAATAACATTGAGTATGTAGTGGTGATTCCTACTCCGCTACAGGTTTTGATATCGGCTCTACGCAACCTTCGGCATTAAACCCGATGGGAAATACTGCTCTCGGTATGTCTCTAATTAGACTTAAAAGTTAACAGTGGTGGATTCTAATGTGCTCTATTTAGATCCAGGCACGCAAAGCGGCGGCAATAACTGGATTGGATACTTGACTACACAGTACAACACTAGTTTGGTTCTATCATACAGCCTGGCCATCGCCGGCGCAACAATTGATAATTCAATAGCCACATGGGGATTTGGTGATATGACTTCCCAAGTAGCCGCATTCCAATCAAATTATGCCTCGAGGCCAGCATCTGCGCCTTGGACGGCAGACAATACCATTGTTTCGTTCTGGGTTGGAATCAACGAGTAAGATTCATCTTTAGAGCATCTTCCTAGAGTTCTCTTCCCAAGGTTCTTATCCTAGAGTACTAATAATCCAAGCGTTTACTATGGCTTCGCGCATAATGACGACCCTTCTATCTTCGTGTCTACATTGCTAAACAAATATCGACCGCTCGTCGAGCAACTTTATTCTAACGGGGTACGAAAGTTCCTGTTTCTGAATTGTCCGCCATCAACTCGCAGTCCGCAGGTGCATGAAGAAAACAATCTACCTGAACAGTTCCAGCGTCATGCCGCGATGGTGACAGCGTACAATGACGGTTTGAAAGATATGGTGCATCATTTCAGCGATGATCATAAAGATGTAAGTACATTAAATTTTACCATCAAACGAGAATGTTGATCTGACCCCTCGTGTGTGTATGGCACGATAGGCAACGGTCGTGTTCTACGACTCGTGGGCTTTTATGACACGCGTTCTTGATAATCCTGCTGAATATGGCTATCGAGATGCCACGTGCATTAACGTCGATGGGTCGAGTTGTGTGTGGTGGAATAACTTGCATCCCGGCTGGACGTATCACAAGTACCAGGCTGACGATATGCTGGCCAGTCTTGCGCGTCTCGGGTGGTGATGTCACCTAAGATTCTTTGTCTGATGCCTACAAAGTATAAAGTACAGAGCACGGAGTATGGAGTAATGACCACTAAGATGGGCTTGGCCGAAGAAATGTTTGCTTCCAAGGTTGATAAGTATCTCATTTAAGCGCTGTTAGCAGGTGATATAAATAATCCACCATTTTCATGCTGAATTGTAGAAAGTTCTATAGTTATATAACTGTTGTAGACCTAATATAGGTAATTATTGTTATATATAGAACCTATTATTTCAGAATAATTTTTCCCAAAAGATTTCTAATTTGTATGATTAGTTCTTGTCTCTCTTTTTAATATATTTTATAGTCTTTATTTATTGTATTATCTTTTCTATATTTTTCCTCTGTTGGATTAGTTAAGTTTTGAAAGATTCTGTGACAGGACGAATCCTGGTATGGTTTGCTTAGGCTACGCTTAATGCTGATCCTCGCGAAGCTATTCCCAATGCATTTAGAGGGGCCCACTCACAGGAGCTTATATTAGGTTGAAGGCGTCATTATTAGTCGAAAAGGTTATATTCTATAGTAAGAAACGTAAAAGGGCCTTCGAGGCCTAGGAGAGCTAGATTTTCTTTCTTTTCTTTCGAATCAAAATTCTTTTTATATTGCTTAGCTCTTGCTAGCTAGTAAGCCAAATCTGTTCCGTGACAGATTCTGTATATTAATTAAAACTCTATAACTGAAGGATATTATTACATGACATTTTACTAGGCTTAGAAGGTAAACATTTATACTTCATACGAAACTGAAGTTATTAGATATTACTATGTCATTTATTAATTTATTAATGTTACAAGTAATCTCCGTGTAGCAATATGGGTTCAGTTAGCGACAAGGGCCTTATAATAAAAGGTGTTGGATTAACAGGCAGATTTAGTGCTATTCCAAAGTATAGTTTTTCATCAATCCAGAGTAGTGGCTCACCAGCCTTAGTATATAATTACTAGTTACTCGTAGGAACCTCTGTGTGGTTTAAAACATTGTACGTTCCTTGACACTGCCAGCGACAACTATAGCGGATCCAGGTCCGTGACACATGATCTCGTCTACTATTATTTATGTAGTTATAGGCGGTAATGTAAAAGTTGAATATTGACACGAAGAATAACCCTAATTATCAAACGCATGCAAGCTAATTTCAAATTCAAGACGGGACGTTATCATTAGACTAGATTTCCTCGCAACTCCTGCTCACGCTCAATTGCTTCAAACAGGGATTTGAAATTCCCAGCGCCAAATCCTGAGAAATTATTCCTTTGAATAATCTCAATAAAGACTGTCGGCCTATCCATAAGATGCTACACACACGTTAGTATCCTAGCCAACCAACCTGCAAAGATTCTAAACATACCTTTGTGAAAAGCTGCAGAAGATAACCACCCTCATCAAAATCAATCAATATATCCAACTTCTTAATATCCTCCCAGGCCTCCTTTGGCATCATACCGGCTTTCTTTAGCCGCACCCACATATCGTCATAATACGTTTCGGGGACTTTGATAAACTCGACGCCGCGAGCGCGCAGATTTGTGATTGCGCTGATAATGTCGTCTGTTAAGAGAGCGATATGCTGGACTCCAGCGCCGTCGTAGAAGTCGACGTATTCTTCAATCTGCGACTGCTTTTTGCCGTGGGCGGGCTCGTTGATGGGCATTTTGACAATGTCATTGGGCGAGGACATGACAATGGACTTGAGCGCGGAGTAGTCGCTGCAGTTGTTAGTAATGGAATAATATCATAAAAGAGGATAATACTTACGTGCAGATATCCTTGTCATCGACGGACCAGAAACGGTGGAATCCGAGGACTTTTTCATAGCTACGACTAGTCAGCATGATACAAAAACGAAAGCATAAGGAAGAACATACTACGCGCACACATCCTCCATCTCTTCCCAATCCTGATTCCCCACACAATGATCAATCCGTCTCAGGTTGATACTCGGCAACTGCGCCGAAATCGGGTCTTTGGGTGCACCGGGAGCTTCAGCTCGATATCCAGGCAGAAAGATACCGGTATAAGTTTGACCACGCTCAATCAACGTGTGGGTAGTATCGCCATACGTGCGGATAGTAGCAAGACGCACCGAGCCATGGGCATCTTCTATCGTCTTCGGACTCGACACTGCTGTGGCACCGTTACGGACCGCCGCGTTGAAAACTGCGTCGACGGAGTCCACCGCAAACGCGACGTCTTTGACAGCATCGCCATGTTTTTCCAAGTGCGCGTGGATTTCTTTGACGGCGTCTTGGTCTTCAGCTGAAAACTGGGCAAGTTTGGTCGGGTTCAGGGAGCGCAGGGGCGAGGTGAGCACGAAAGTGATGTCGCCGTTGCGCACGACGTGTGAGCAGAGGTGGCGACAGCCGGTTTCAAGGCCGCGATAGGCGACGCGCTCGAAGCCCATGCGCGTTACATAGTATGAGGCGGCTTGCTTCGCGTTGCCAACGTACCAGTGCACATGGTCGTAGCCACGGTAAGATGAGAGTGCGTTTTCGTTTGTGGGTAGGGAGGATTGGAGACCTGAGATGGCGGAGGGGGCCATAGTGGCGTTTCTATCTGATATATATGTGAACTATATGATTTATTTCTGGCTAATTCAAATGTTTTCAAGAGGGTTGAAAATATCAAATTTGAGGCCGATATATGTAGATAGTTGATGGATATGAATTACACAGACACAATCATCCCAAATACGGACGTATATATGCTCACAGTCAACCACATTTCTGCATCTCCTGCTGATTCCTGGATCTTCCTGCCGTATCCGGCATCATCCACCCTTGCAACCGCCTCTTCCAGGGAGGATGTTCAAGTGTTGTAGTGAAGAGTCGGCTAGAGGAGGCCAGCCGGATATTTCAGGGCGGATGCTGAGAATTAGCCGGGCCACGATTGGCGGAAGCCCAAGCAGCTGGCCAAGTCCGGGTATTTGCCTGGCACGGACTGGTTCCGCGGTGCGAAAGCGCGGGGTAGCTCCTCCTCCAAGTATAACAGTAAAACGTTGGAGCAATACTCGCAATCCTGAGTTGTGTTTATCAAAAAGAAATAGTAGTGCATTCTCTCCTAAATTTGATAATAGTATGCACAATGCCGACAACACAGTTCTCCGTCCCCGATCCATACGCCTATCAGAATGGCTTCGACTCTTATTTCGGGTAGACAATCACCTACTGTAGTACCGAACTAAAACTGACATACCCAGGTCTGAAGCCGTGCCCGGTGCTCTTCCCATCGCTCAAAACTCGCCTCAGAAACCACCACATGGCCTCTACGCTGAGAAGCTCTCCGGCACTGCCTTCACCGCGCCGCGGCACGAAAACAAGCAAACATGGGTCTACCGCATCCTCCCATCCGCAGCCCATGCCAACTACCAGCCTATCGCCGAGGACACATACCACACATCGCTGAGCAGTGAGAAGAACAGATTACACTACATACCCAACCAACTCCGCTGGAACCCGTTTGACCTGGACGAGAAAGTGGACTGGGTGCATGGCTTACACCTGGTCGCTGGCGCCGGCGATCCAACCGTGAAAAGCGGCTTGGGGATATTGCTGTACGCCGCCGGCAAGGACATGGGTAAAGAGGCATTTTACTCGGCCGATGGCGATTTCCTGATTGTGCCTCAGCATGGCGTTTTGGACATTCAGACAGAATTGGGCAAGATTTTGGTCCGGCCGAATGAGATTTGCGTTATTCCTAGGGGTGTCAAGTATGCTTTCTCTATCCTCGTCTGGACTATCATAATTCATATAATTGATCATGATATTAGATACCGAGTGACGCTCCCCTCCGGCCCTGTGCGTGGATATATATGTGAACTGTATCAAGGCCACTACCAGCTCCCTGAACTCGGACCCATCGGCTCCAACGGTCTTGCAAATGCGCGCGATTTCCAAACGCCCGTCGCGTCCTTTGACGACGAGGAAGACGAATCAGAGTATCAAGTCATTAGCAAATTCAACAACGACTTGTTCTCCGCCAAGCAGAGCCACACACCCTTCGACGTCGTCGCCTGGCACGGAAACTACTACCCATTCAAATACGACCTCGGCCGCTTCAACACGATCGGCACAATCTCGTACGACCACCCTGACCCATCAATCTTCACCGTCTTAACAGGCCCGTCGGATCATCCCGGTACTGCGATTGCGGATTTTGTGATTTTCCCACCCCGGTGGCTTGTCGCTGAGGATACGTTTAGACCGCCATGGTACCATCGCAATGTCATGTCTGAGTTTATGGGCCTAGTTGCCGGCGACTATGATGCCAAAATCGGTGGCGGGTTCAGGCCTGCTGGTGCTAGTCTGCACAATATTATGAGTGCCCATGGCCCGGATTCGGGCGCGCATGAGAAGGCGAGCAATGTCGAGCTCAAGCCGCAGAAGGTGGGTGAAGGGAGTATGGCATTTATGTTTGAAAGGTCAGTTCTACACCGCCTGTATAATTTCATTATTTCTACACCTATTATTTAATTGCTAATACAGTATTTTAAACAGCTCCCTGATGGTCGGTGTTTCAGAATGGGGGTTGAAAACGTGTCAGAAGGTGCAGAAGGATTACAACGCAGAGAGTTGGGTGCCGCTGAAGAGACATTTTGTCAATCCACTTAAAAAGGCTTAATCTATATCCCACTGATAATCCAAATTGTATGTAGTTAAACATTAATATGACCATAATTAGCATTACTCATCCTCTAATATCATCTATCTTACACTCAACCCCACATATATAGATATATATAGATATTATTGAAACTCTTCTATCTCCTTCCTCAACGCCTCCTTCACTATTGCACCACACATCTTCGCATACGGATTCGTCTGCACACTCAGTTGCCTGGCGACTTCATTGCCATACCAGCCGGCCTGGAAGAAATCCTGACTGGCCATTTCCTCCAACTGCTCTCGGGTATCGATTCTCAGCAATTGCTGTGGTCCGCTCAGATCCGTATTCACATCATCCCTCTGTGTCTGCTGTTTCTCCTCCCTCTCCTTCCTGATCTTCGCGGCTTTGAGTAGAAGATAACCCCGATGTGTGTATGTGTTTGACAGCAGACGGGCTTGCGCGGGTGAGACGCTGCCGTGTCTTTGGGCCGGGCTGGAGAGGGTTATTGCCTGGCTGAGATCCGCGAAGAGCGCGGTGGCGCGGGATGTGTGTTCGGGGAGGAAGAGGGCGTCGTCTGATCTTTCAGCGGTTGATGTCTGGATGAGCATCCGTATTGCCTGTGCCCTGTTTGCGTATAGAGGGGGATAGGTTGGGGACTCGGTGATTAGAGCTGTGAGATCGGTGATGGCGTTTTCTATGGGAGTGGGTTGTGCGGATTGGTCTTGGATGCGTCGGATGATGGCGAGTTCACGCTGTTTGAGGGCCTCGAGTGCTGGGCCTTCGGCGAATGATGGGAAGGGAGGGAGGGAAGAAATGATTTTGGCGGATGAGGAGGAGGTGGTGGAGGATTCCGCGTCGAAAAGAGCTTGGAGGACGGCGGTGTCGTTGGAGGAGAGATTTAGGGCTGGTGTTGAGATGGATGTAGCGGTGGCCATTTTGTTGAGTATACCACTGTTGTGTTTATTGAGGGCTGATTATCAGTTTGATGGTATGATTAGATGTATACATGGAAATGTATTGCTAAGATCTTTTGGGCTTCTAATATCTATACAGATATTCTTTTCGAGCCAGTTCAAAATATAGCGCGTAGAAGGTTCGGCTGGCAGCGGGTAAATACCCGGCACTATCCAGCTCCCCGCGGAAAGCTCCGCGCCTGACAACGGCCTCTGGCAAACCGCTTTGTCGATCATGATGTGGCAGGGCGGAATTTCGGTACGAGCTGGACTGTCTATTACTCCGCCGACGTGAAGACGGTGCATCTCTATTTATTCTCTTCTCTATAATACCTAGTGTCACAGTAATATCAGCATCCATCATGGCATCCTGGCTCTCCATCCCTGCAAAGTCACATTTCTCGCTTGCCAACATCCCCTTCGGCATCATTTCAGCCAAGGGATCAAGCACAAAAGTACCTGCTACTGCGATCGGCGAGTATGCACTTGATCTTTCTACTTTTGCGCGGGGGCAAGGCTTCTCTCAATTAGCAGCTATTCAACCGCATCTCGATGTGTTTAGCCAGACAACCCTGAACGACTTCGCTGCGCTCGGTCGACCCATTCACCGGCAGGTCAGGGAGTACTTGCAAAGTGTCTTCAAGGCTGATACCCCATTCCCATCCCTTCTTAAGGATAATGAAAGCTTGCGGAGCTCGGCCTTGATCCCGCTCAGTGCTGTGACGAACCACCTTCCGTTGCAGATTGGCGATTATACGGATTTCTACGCTGGACTGAATCATGCGTACAATGTCGGTGTGCTTTTCCGTGGCCCTGACAATGCGCTACAGCCGAATTACAAGCACCTACCGGTCGGATATCATGGTCGAGCGTCCAGCGTGGTTCCGTCTGGAACGCCTATTGTTCGTCCCTCTGGTCAGATTCTAGCTAACCCGACGGCGACGCCCAAAGTTCCGTTGTTCTCGCCGTGTAAAAGACTCGATATTGAGCTCGAGTTAGCCGCTTTCGTGAGCACCGAGAACAAGCTAGGGCAGCCTGTGTCGGTGGATGAGGCGGAGGACCATATTTTTGGTTTGGTGTTGATGAATGATTGGTCTGCACGCGATATTCAGGCATGGGAGTACGTGCCGCTGGGACCATTTAATGCCAAAAATTTCGCGACGACGATTAGTCCCTGGGTTGTCTTAGTTGACGCGCTAGAGCCATTCAAAGCACAGGGTCTCGAGCCAGGAAACCGCGATAGTCTGCTTCCATACTTGAAGGAGAAGCGGCCAGACAATAGCTACAACATCAACCTAGAGTTTGACCTTAAACATGCGGGCAGTGAAACATCAACCCGCATTTCAACAACCAATGCCACAAACCTGCTCTTCTCATTCCCGCAAATGCTAGCCCATCACACCATCACTGGCTGCAACTTGCGCACAGGCGATTTGTTGGGTAGTGGAACCATCTCTGGCAAAGAGCCTGGATCGCAGGGTAGTCTGTTGGAGCACACTAATGGTGGCAAAGAGCCTATTACACTGGCGGATGGCACCACCAAGAGAACGTTCTTGGAGGATGGAGACGAAGTGACTCTGAGGGCTGTGGCAGGTAGCGTTGACGGTGCATATGTTGGTTTTGGGGAGTGCGTGGGCCGGATTGAGCGTGCTGTTGAGTTTGCTTTTAACAGTTGATATGTAGTAAATAGATATCGATGGGATGATGATAGCACGAATCTTGACAAAATGCAACTGATATTTTTTCCTCCAATAAAGCCTCAAAACACGCAATAGAACAAACAACCCGATCGTTCTCCCCGCATAAATCGGGAGCGGAATAGAAAGCAGAGAAGAGTGTCGTCATGCCACAGATAGCCGGCGGAAAGTTTCCGCCAACAGCCGCCCTCGCAACGTGCTCTATATACGTATATAGCATCTGCTTGAAACACAAGCTTCCTGAAGACTCGGAACAGACTCACACGTAGTAAATTCCTCAGTCGCAGCAATGGGTTATGAACAGCCTACTTACGAGCTCTATACTTACTTCCGCTCGTCTTGCTCCGCTCGACTACGCATCGCACTCAATCTGCACGATATACCGTACAAGGCTGTGTACGTGCACCTGCTGAAAAATGAGCAGCTCACTGACGAGCACCGGGCCATCAACCCGTCATTGAGCGTGCCGGTTCTAGTTGTGCACAAGAGTGCGGAAGACAGTTTTGCCATTCCGCAGTCAACTGCCGCACTAGAGTATCTCGAAGAGAATACTGCCTCAAATTCACATTACCGGCCTCTTCTGCCGAAGAACCCAGAGTTGCGTGCTGTAACACGGACTTTGGTCGCCATCATCTCGGCTGACATCCAGCCCGTGGTCAATTTACGAGTGCAAAGAGGAATCAAAGAGCTCGGCGCTGATCCAAACCCTTTATGTCGGCAGACGACAGAAGCAGGTTTCGCAGCGTACGAGGCCGTGGCATCGAAAGTGGCGGGTGCGTTCAGCGTTGGCGATGATATCACATTGGCAGATGTATGTCTTGTACCAGCCGTGTGGAGTGCTGCACGCTTCGGTGTTAATGTCAATAAATACCCAACTATCGCACGGGTTGCTGCCAGGATGGAAGAAGAGGATGCGGTGAAGAGGGCTCATTGGAGAAACCAGCCAGACACGCCGGAGGAATTCAGACAGCCATAGGAAGCATGCTATTGTCCTGAGTGTTAAAATTAAATGGTCGTCCAAATAATGTGCATGTTCTACACCATACCGAGAGAGAAAAAGGTAGGCTGCCAACCTGCACCAATCCTGGATTTCGGGCCGGTGAGCCAGCCACCATAGTATAAAGCGAGTCAGGTCATGTACACGTATGCACGCGATCAAGTAGTTAATGTCACATTGATGCGTGTTATTATTGAGAGACGGTTGAGAAGTGAGAGAAGTCTCCGATGATCGAGCCAACTTCCCCCGCAGCAAACAAGGAAGGCACCCGCAAGATTAGATAACAACGATACCACCTCGGGATCGACAGGGGCTCCACCCCATTCCTTCCCTTTGCTTTTCACAAACACCCCCAGGTCTTCGACTGATGAGGCTTCTACTGTGCGCCAGACCATCTCTTGGTGCTGGTCTCATCTATCCCAGCTGACTCTGCAGTTTGCACTGCGAATTCTCACCTCCCCTCATTAATATCAGACAACCCAGATCGATGCAACCCTATCATGGAATGGCCTCATCCCCTGCATTGCTCGTTGGATCTAGCCCCAAACATGCAAGGATCGACAGGCACATCCTAAACAAATACAATAATCAGTCGCTCCACGACGCTATCGGCCAAATGCTGCCTGGTGGATCCCAAAGTCGTGCAGACGCGCAAATCCGATTGCGATGTGGTGGTGCTACTATCCACATCTGGTACACGACCATGCCTGTGTCGGCTCTTCCCCGTGCAACCTCAGCCCTGATGGGCAAAGCCTGAAAGGAGGTGCTGCCTTCCTATATATTGTTGCTTATTTCCCCACCGTCTATCGTGCCTGTGCCTGCGGGGAGAAGAATTGTCCAATTTTTCCGTAGACGAGTCGCTCTTTTGCTCTTCTCCTGTCACTCCCTTCATTTTCCGTTAATATTAATATTTATTGGTGGTGGGAACACCTACCATGGCTCGGGCACTCACTCTCTTGTCGCTCGGCTCTGTGCTTAGCTCTCTTGTTCGCGCTGCAGACAACGGCACTTTTGATTATGACGTCTTGCAATATATCGATCCTTTGATTGGGACTGCCAATGGAGGTGCGGAGCATCAATAGCTTCGGTTGCCGGCTGAGACTAATAATTAATCATTCTTTTAGGTGATGTTTTCCCTGGCGCGTCTCTGCCCTACGGCATGGCCAAAGCGGTCGCCGATACCAATTCTCAATCCAACCAGGGTGGTTTCACCCTCGACGGTTATAATATCACCGGCTTTTCGACTCTCCATGACTCCGGCACTGGTGGTAGTCCTTCACTGGGCAATTTCGCTCTCTTCCCATACGCAAGCTGCGAAGGAGATCATATTGATGGGTGTAAATACCCCAAATTGGAGAGACCTGTCTCGTTTGACAACTCTTCTATCAAGGCTTCTCCAGGATATTTCGCTGTCAACTTGACTACTGGCATCGCGGTCGACATGACTACCACTCAACACACTTCCCTTTTCCGTTTTCAATTCCCGGCTGGGAGCTCTTCTGCCAGCCCGCTCATTCTCATGGACTTGACTGATCTCTCAGACTCGCGTCAAGATAACGCCACTATCGATGTCGATGAGTCTACTGGTCGCATGACCGGTTCAGGTATCTTCCTGCCCAGTTTCGGATCCGGCAAATATACGGCCTACTTTTGTGCCGATTTCAAGAGTCCCTCGGGCATTCGTGATAATGGTATCTTTGTCAACTCCCGTGCCACTTCCGATGCCAAATCACTTAAGATCTCTCGCAGCATTAATGGATATCCTCTGCCTGTAAGTAATCGTTGAAAATTCATCTCATAGCTCGCAGTTAAATTGATAATTTTTCCAAGGGTGGTGCATGGGTACGATTCAAGCCTGCAGAAGACACCTCGGTTCTTGCACGTGTCGGTGTGAGCTTCATCAGCGAGAAGCAGGCCTGTTCAAATGCCGAGACTGAAATTCCCGACTTCGATTTTGACGCGACTCACTCGACAGCAGTGAGCTTGTGGCAGGAGAAACTTAGCCCTATCCGGGTTTCTCGCAAGGGTGTCAATGACTCGATCCTCACCAACTTCTACAGTGGTATCTACCGAACGCAAATCCAACCTCAGGATTATACTGGTGAAAACCCGCTGTGGGAGAGTTCTGAACCATATTTTGATTCCTTCTATTGGTATGCTCAAACCCTTCGCACTTAGATTTAGACGCTGATACGCAGAATCAGTATTTGGGACTTGTTCCGTTCTCAGCTTCCTTTTTTGACTTTGGTGGATCCTCAAACGGTCGCGAGAATCATCCGATCCCTGGTCGACACACAGCAACATCTCGGCTGGCTACCTGACTGCCGTATGTCGTTGTGCAAAGGCTTCACTCAAGGTGGATCGAATGCAGATAATGTCATTGCGGATGCGTACGTCAAGGGTATTAGAGATGGTATTGACTGGGATGCTGCGTATGCAGCTGTACAGAAAGATGCTGAAGAGGAGCCTTACGACTGGTCTAATGAGGGCCGCGGCGGTCTACAAAGCTGGAAGTCTTTGAACTATATCCCCGTTCAGGATCTGGACTATATTGGTTTCGGTACCATGACCCGCAGCATTTCTCGCACGCTTGAATACAGCTACAACGACTATGCTATCTCGCAGATAGCTAGTGGTCTTAACAAGACGAGTGATGCTGAGAAATATCAAAAGACATCTGGATACTGGCAGAACCTTTTCAAAGACGACCAGAAGGCATATATTAATGGCACCGACACAGGCTTTACTGGATTTTTCCAACCTAAGTATTTGAACCAAACTTGGGGATACCAGGTGAGACTTCTTCAATCGTGGTTATTGGTTGACTGACTGACTCTTCTTGTAGGATCCTCTCAAGTGTTCTAACATTGATAACAGTGGAAGCATTTGCTCATTGCAAAACTCCGCTGCTGAAACCTTCGAGTCTAGCATTTTTGAATATCAATTGTAAGTTCTCTTCAACAGCTAGATACTCTCCAACATACTAATGAAAGCAGCTTCGTTCCCCATGACATGGCAACGCTGATTACTCTTCTTGGCGGCCCATCCAGCTTTGTCAAACGCCTTGACTATATGCATGATCAGCAAATTACCTACATTGGGAACGAGCCTGCATTCCTTACTGTCTATCAGTACCACTATGCGGGTCGCCCCGCCAAATCGGCTAGTCGCGCCCATTTCTATATCCCAGAGTACTTCTCTACCACACCTGCCGGACTCCCTGGCAACGACGACTCTGGCACCATGGGTGCATTTGTGGCTATGTCTATGATGGGTCTCTTCCCCAACCCGGCTCAAGATGTGTATTTCATCATCCCGCCTTTCTTCGAGTCGGTCCAATACACTTCCCCTCTGACGAACAAGACCTCCACTATCAAGTCCGTCAACTTCGACTCCTCGTACAAGAATATCTTCATCCAGTCCGCGACTCTAAATGGCAAGCCGTACACCAAGAACTGGATTGGCCATAGCTTCTTCACTGAGGGTCAAGAACTTATTCTTACCCTGGGCCGTAATGAGAGCAGCTGGGGGACACACGCTGCTGATCTCCCTCCGTCGGTGTCTACTTAGGTCTCAAGCTTAGGCAGGGTTACCTTCAAATTCAAGTTGATAGTAAACCCTCAATGAGGATGTGGGATTGGGTATCTATATTTTATCCTCAGTATATATTCAGTAAAAGTACATATTTAGCCTTTTCCTTCCATTTTGTCAAACCTAACCCGGTAAATTCCATAAAAAGTCCAACGTCCCCCCATCAAACCCAGACAACTGCCCACCACCAGGTCCGAATGGCGCCATGGAAGGATCGAACGGGAGAGAAAACATCCACTCATCATCGTTTATAACCCCACTATGTTGCTCATTCGCCAGCGGTGGTGCCCCCATATTCGCCAACAGATCATCACCCACATTCTCGTTTCTAGACACCGGCCGCGTACTCGTCTGACTCGCCAGCGATAACGGCGCAAATCCAGACGCAGTCCCAGTAACGGTGCCACCACCAAGAGAAGTAGCAGCCGCAGCAGCAGTCGTACCAGCGCCAATCTTCGCTATCGAAGACGATGATGCCACCAAATTCCTGCGCAACCGCGACACGTGCACTTCCAACAAAATAGCATAGCGCGAGGCCAAATGCACATCATCCAAAATATTCGACCGGAGGGCCTGAATACTTCTATCTAGCACATCAAGCGATTCCTGCAGTTTGGCGTGCCTGACGCCCAGACTTAGCGCCTTGAGCAGGAAAATCGAAGAACTTGTGACGCGCAGAAAGATACGCACCGGCGAGAACCGCAGTTTGTCGGTTTCTGCCAGGTCGATTACTTTTTTCAAAATTTGGCAGGAGCCATCGATGACTTCTTGAATGAATTCGTAGTCAATGGGGTCGAGGATTATTTCGGTGTTGGGTGGGGTTGAGGAGGTGTAGAGGGGTGGGTTGGGGGATTTGGTGGTGGTATTATTATAGTTATTATTATTATTGGTAGTAGAGTTGTTTGTTTCGGTGAGAGCGCGCTCAACGACGGCTTGCATGCCGAATGAGTGAGTGTAGACTCGGACATAGTGGTATTCAATATGGAGGATATTGTAGAAGTTTGTGTTCAGGCCAATAGGCGAATCGAGATGGCGGTTGCGCCATTGGGTTAGCAGGGGACGGAAATGGTCGAGTAACGCTATATAGCGTCCGCTATGAAGTTGCTGTTTTGCAAAGGATGCGGACGGGAAAAGCATGTCGTTGACTGATTTGGCGAGTTTGGTGAGATCCATCCATGAGTCCATAAAAGTGGTCCATTCGGTCTTGATATCTGAGGAGCCTGGATGGTTGTTTATATTGTTGTGGCTGATCACACGGTTCAGGTTTTGGGGCATCAAGGACATGCATCCTATTCGAGAGGCTAGTTGGTTGATGTAGATGTATAGGAGCTGTTGGACACGTTGTTTACGGAGCTTGTTATGCATGGCTAAAGCCAGGATTGCAGTATCAGAGGGTGTTTGCTCGCGCTCTTCCGTCTCGAAGACGCCTAGTTCATGGGCGAGCGAGAATGCTGATCCGAGAAGCATCCAGGACATTCGATCAGAGCGTCTTGCGGGCTCGATGACATCTTGGAGCCATTGGTTTGAAGAAGATGATGTTTCGGACTGGTTTGACTTTGGTATTGTCCCGGGAACTTCTACGGTCATGTCCGAGTCCCAGCCGTCGTTTTCAGGCGGGAAATGTAGAGCTCGGGGGTGCCATTCTGACATCAGCAGCAGTGCTTCTATTGTACCTAGAGTCCGGGTGTTGAGTTTCGAAGAACGCTCTTGCCCGAGCATAAGCCGTATGATCAGATTCTGGCTATGCTGCCATAGTCTGTGGTGAATGAAAAAGCTTCTCGAGGCCCCTCCTATACCGGGAAGAACGTGATGTCGAGAGGAGATCATCAAAATGATACAGCAGAGAAATGGCTCCTGGGTGACAAGAAGGTAGTGATTCCCATGTTTGCGGTAAAAGTCCGTCAGTATTGGGGACAGTGGGGACAAATGTTCGAAGAATCTGTTTGTATCAGTTTAAGTTGTATATTACATCTTGATATCTCCAAATGAGACTTACAGGTCTACGAATGTGACAGCTTCTTTCGCAGTAAACCATCCCATTTTCACAAAACGGCACAGTTCCCACACGGCGAGCGAATTCGAGTCATTGTGTGATATCTCTACCGGAGAAGGGGCTGCGGGATTTGTCCCAATTGCAGTAGCCTCTGGGTTCGCCTGATACTGTCCTTCTGGGGAAACATAATTAGACTGCAGACTGGACCGTCTATCCGGATCTAGATCACTGTTCTTAGAATTAGTATGGGCGGCAGCCTCGAACAGCAGGTTGAGTGCGTCATTGCCGCTTGACACGACATTTCTCATTAGTGAGCTGGTAAGTTCATTCCGAACAGACGAAGATCGCACGTCTACCTCGTCTCTAGATGAAAGGTGAGGATTGTGCTGGGCCCGATCCTCAGACACCCCTGTAGATTCAAGTCAGATAGCTGCCTTGCGGAGATATTCTATATAGTATGATAATACCGTTCCTTGGACGTCTCGCCCACGACCTCTTCTCGCTGAATACGCACTGCCTCTGCTCCCTCCGGCATCTGGCACACGGCGGCCCGGCGATTCCCACGTCGCATTTGGCCTTTTTCTGCCGGCAGGATAAACACGCTTTGTACGCGCGCTGAAACTCCCGGTTGCCGGAAGCCCGGCGCCCGTATGGCCTGACTATGTCTTCCATCGGTGGAGCACTGGCCGGCTTGGGATGGAGAGATTTGTTTATCTTGATACGTGTGCACTGTGGAGTTGGACAGGCATGGGAGAAGCGACTGCGACTGTATTGGTGGTGTGCGGCATAGAAATTGCCGTGGATATCCGGCGCAGCAAGATGCCTCGGTGGCACGGGCCACGGACTCCGCTCACGCTCGCGCGCTCTGTGATTGGCGGTTTCTCATATGCAATAGACTTGATATTATAATCGACACACATATGAAGCTATTACACGTCTATTATTAACATTATAATGGGATGTATACTTAACATTGCCGTAAAACAACGACTAATGGTCTATCCTTCCCAAAGCGGACTAGTGTTGCCGGTTCCGGCAGGCGGAACCAGTGACAGCGGCAGAATGTGGACAAGTCGCCGCTCTGGTTATCTCTGAGCAGATCGTCCATCAGCAAGTGCTAGCCAGTATTTACAGATGCATGCACGCCGCAATGAGTGTTTGACACATCTACCTAATATCTCTTCTTATATGTGTGCCGTATATTTATATTTTTGATAAAGATACCTCGTACCGAACACCCTTCATCCCCCACCGAGACCGCACGTGAGTTACGACGATTCGCCCGATGAGAGTGGCCGACTAAAGATACGCCATGCAATTCTCTGAGACGAATCGGTAGGACCAGAATAGAATGGCACCGGCTGCAGAAATGGATACCCATGCCGGACCTAGCAAAGAACCATCTATATCAAAGGAAAACAGAACAACCTCCAGATCCGTACTCGCAGATTTGGGTACAGGACCCAATGGTTCTGTCTCGGCACCAAGCGGGGACTCGACAACGAGAAAAGCGCATGATTCGGAAGTTCAGCAGGAATGGGATATGGTGGCCCCTTCAATCCAGAAGAACGGGTTGAATGGTGGCGTGGAGGTCAGGGCTCAGACCAACGGAGCGGTGACCAGTGGTAATGACATAACGTTGAATGCGTTGGCGACACAAAGATCATCGTCTCATGGTCTAGGCATTTCCGTGGTTGACTCGCACGAGGCTGTAAGAAATGACAAAGACAAAGACAATGCCCGTTCCGACGATCATCAGAGACCGCCATCTCCTCGGCAACGAAAACAAGACAAAGAAAAAGTGCTGAAGCTTTCGCCGTCCCAGATAGACGAGCTGATGTCCTCCCCGGACTCAATCCCGGTTCATAAGATACCGGAAGCTCTTGATGGAGATGAGGACGCGGCATCGACACCCAGGGCATTGTTGTCAATGGACGAGGCATTGGCGAAGGCGAGGAATAAAGCAGAATTCATGAGATCTATCAGCGGGAGTTTTTATCAGAGACGGAATTCGAAGGGTATTCATCTGGATGATCCGCCTACCTTCCTCATAACTGATGAAGATGCGCCTATGTCTGCTCCGATTCGTCAACGATCGCATGCTCCGCGAATGATTTCTAGCCCTGTCTCGTTTCCGCGGCGCAATTCGATTAGCGATGAACAACTCTTGATCGCTAACTTGGCTCCTCGGACGAAACAAAAAAATGCGCCTTCCCATGTTGATCTTCCATCGCTTCCATCACAAAACAATCTTAATCCCACTGAACTCAGAGATCCGAATCCTTCGCCGATGCCTCAATCTATTCCTTTGCCTCCTTTATCTATTCCTACATATCTTCAGCTTGAATTGTCTTCTTCACGACCTTCACCGCTTTATATCCATCGCTCTGTGAATAGTGAATTTCCATATGAATCATCTCGTGTCAAAATTGAGCGGTTATTAAATTTCCTGTTACTCCCCCCAGCTCTAGAACAAGTCCTGTGGTTTGGGGCTCTCGCTTGTCTAGATTCGTGGCTATATTCATTTACCATCCTCCCACTTCGATTTATCAAAGCTCTTTACATTCTACTATCCTCTTGGATTTCTAACATCGCCTCAGAAGTTCAATTCATCAGCAATTTCGTGGTCAAAGGCATTGGCAGAGTATGGCGGAGGCGGCTGAAATATACGGAAAGCACTTCTTCGGACCCTGTGCGCTCATTACGAATGATGAACGGACAGGGGCACACTCCTAATAATGGTGATGGCAAAATAGATTTCAATTCAGTGTCTCGATCGGATGACAATAGACGCCGGAAAACAACCATTCTGCCAAAACATCGAAGGCAAAAATCCGTTCCCTCCGCGTTGCAGCCAGACGACAAAGCCGATATTCTTAAGGGCCTGCTCATGGTTTGCACTTGTATTATTCTCACATATTTTGACGCCAGCCGAATATACCACTGGATTCGAGGGCAAAATGCCATCAAATTGTACGTCATTTATAATGTACTTGAAGTTGGTGATCGGTTGCTTTCAGCCATTGGACAAGACGTTCTAGAATGTCTATTTTCTCGTGAAGCACTAGAAAGAAAACCAGACGGGCGGAGCAAAGTTGTTCGCCCGTTCTGGCTCTTCATGCTTGCTCTTGCGTATACAACACTTCACGCTACCGCACTGTTCTATCAAGTTATCACACTCAATGTGGCCGTCAACTCGTACTCGAACGCATTGATCACACTTCTACTATCCAACCAATTTGTTGAGATCAAGTCGACCGTGTTCAAAAAATTCGAAAAGGAGAATTTGTTTCAATTAACATGCGCAGATGTTGTTGAACGTTTTCAACTCTGGCTCATGCTTACCATCATTGCGTCCCGTAACATTGTAGAGACGGGCGCATTCACTTCTTGGTTTACGGTAGGCTCAGGAATGGCTGACCACGCTGCATCATCTATCACGAATAGTACGCCATTGACGACATCGCCGCGCTCTTCTACTTCGATTCTTCCTCAGTCCTTTACCTTCTTGCCTTCAACCGCGTTCACTTCTTTGACTGGTGGTGCCAACTCGCTATTGACCCATTTGGCCCAAGTTCTTGGACCTTTCTTGATAGTGCTGGGCTCAGAGATGATTGTAGACTGGCTAAAGCATGCATATATCAACAAGTTCAACAATACCCGACCAGTCATTTACAGAAGATTTCTCGATGTGCTTGCAAAGGATTATTACACAAATGCATTTGCCAATCAGAACCTTACAAAACGTCTCGGTCTGGCGGTGATCCCAATGGCATGTTTATTTTTCCGCGTTTCGGTGCAGACGTATCAAATGTTCCTACAAGCGCTTTTACCAACCAATGCATCCTCAACGGAACACAGCGCCGCATTGACTGCCATACACGAACACTATTCCAACTTACCGCACCCCTCACCCTCCCAGGTGCCTTTCACTGTCAACACAGTTGTGTCGAGCTCTTTTGACTGGCTATCAAGGATGGTGAATATTGTTGTCGAAAACGCAGTTCCATCGCCCGTGCAATCGGTGACGTTTTTCACTATCGTCCTGGTTCTGTCTGGCTATCTCATCCTGCTTACCCTCAAACTCACTCTAGGGATCTTGCTCTTATCATTTTCCCGTTCGCGGTACAAGGCCATGAAAGACCGCGAGCAAGATGAATATTTCAACTCGAACGATAAACCCTCTTCTATCTCTTCTTCCTCTGGCCAGCCACAAAGACAACAACAAAAACCCTCTAGCCAAGGATTCGTCGTCGAGGGTGGTCGGCGCGTGGGTGGCTGGGGTGTCGTCGAAGTCGACCAGGACAAACGGCGCTGGATCTACGCAGATGACCCCGATGGGCTGCGGAAATTGAAAGAACGTGAAGAGCGAGACAAGAATACGGTCAAAGATGCAGGGACTTTGAGTTTTGAAAGCGTGAAGCGATATGAGATGGCGGCGAAGCGGATTTGGTAGAAGACAGCCTTATTTGCATGGTATATATATCATCTAGCGTACATTGCATGTAATTATAAACTTTCTATAATAATTTACTATTGACGTACGATCAAAACGATTGACTAGACTTTGTTTTTTAATATGTCACAGATCGAAAGTCCAGTGGATCAAGATTGAATGAATCATATGTAGTATTATTTCTACTGCTGAAAACAAACTCACATACAGCAGCTATATTGAGTGTAAATACTTGAAACCAAAACTATATTAGCTATCACGTTACATATAGCAGCTATACGAGGGTTTTATAGGGACTTTACGAGGCTTTTTGGCCCCAGATTGGTGTGCCCAGCATGGTTACATGTACCGAATTCCCTATCAGATCAAGTAAACGTCGATCAGGCTACTAGTAACTTCCAAGCCGCTTAATAAATTTAGACCTTGATAAAGAGTTTAGTCTCTGGGGCTAAGGACTCGGCAGGCGTATGTTCAGCGTATATTACACCAATAAGAAAATCCTCTGCTAAATAAGCCTGGCAGGTCACGAGGCAAATGGCATTCTCACCAACATTAAGCGATAGTTAACTTTTCATGCACTAAGTATAACTAAACTTTGAAGATCGTCTACTGAATTCGGGCGCCAAGTCACTAACAGATGGGTACTTACTGCCCGCTTCATTGAGCCACCCACGTAAGACAACATGGGAGAACTTAGTAGGCTTATGTTTTGACTTTATCAATTACCAGTTGACACTGCAACCAGTTGTTGACGAAAATGAGAATGGTAAGAGTAGAAGTGAGGCTTGGATTACCACAACTGTACTTTGTGTTGAATTGCAGTCCTTCTGCGCAATTAGGATCTCGCTACGGTTGTAACTCTATGGAAAATAAGGCACTAGCTTTCCGTATATACAATGTTATGTATACAAATTCATATGCGCGCCAATATTTCAAATATCCTTGGACTGACTATTTACACTACTCTTCACCACGCTTTCATGATCACATCCAAACAGAACACAAGAAATGTTTATCCCCCCCTTCCCCACCTCCCCCATAATCGCAACAGAAGTGTCTTGGGGAAAGCCTGTTCCGCGTCTATGTAGACATTTTGTTAGAATACAATCCTACGTCAACCACCATATCAAATCAGACTCACATCTAGCACCCAAAGAACGACCCACCGTACTTGTTCTGACAACAAGTGCATGGGATAGTTCCACCGCAGCAGTTCATACAATCATGACTAGTATTCTCAACACTGACGGAATAGTCCCCGTGAGGGGTTGAATAATCAATAACAAGAGGGCCGCCAGTATTAAAGTCGTAGCCAGTTTTTGCTTTGGCTGAGTAACCGTGATTACAGTCACCAGTACAATCGTCAATGGCGCCTGAACACGTGAAAGTACAAGTCTTGGTGCCGTCATCAGTCAAGTCGACTTCGAACTGAGTGCTAAGACCATCTGAGACCATCCCGTCGACTACGATGCATGCTTGGACACCAGCAAAAAGGCCGAGGCCAAAGAGAAGAAGAGACTTGGAGGAAACCATTTCGAGGATATTCTGTGCTCGTGGTGAATAGAATCGATTTTAGTATAATTGAAAGAGGTAGATCGGTGATGCTGTGCGGATATGGAAAAGAATAGGAGACTTGAGCCTGTATTTATACCCATCCCAATATCAATCTTATCCTTAACAGTTTTGATATCAAATAACACCCGAGTACTACGTAATGAGAAGTCCTTTATTAAAGCCATATACCCATATACAAACTAAAAATATCTTCATTATTATTGTAACCATACTATCTATTGGTCCATTCCATCGCGCTTCAACTCGGGCACTGCAACGGGACTAACCGATCATAAAACACGAGGCTGCAGGCCGCTCGGGGGGAAAAAATGATGTAAGTGGTAAAAGAGTCTAAACTCTCTTCAAAATAACGAACAAACATCCACAGTTTGAAGATGTAGAATGTTGGCGTTGAGTGCCAATGGAATATAGCGTCTTCTATTGGCGGCAAGAAGCCCAACGTTGCAGCGTCCATAAATATATGACTAACTAGTACAATTCAGGCTGTCTATAACGCCCGACTACAAGTATTGACTCATGACCTATCAATTGGTAACACATTGATCTACGCGCCAACTTATTGCTTCTGTGGGATCATATCTGCGAACACTACAATTGATAACTATAAAGCAAGAATATTTAATAGCTGCGAAGATAGTCAACTACCTCTCGATATGCTTAGGCATCAATATACTTTCTGTATTCTAATTGTGTGATACTGAAGGGTTTAGGATATAGATGTTCCATGAGAAGCAGGATGGAAACCTAGTAGTAAGTTTCGCCAGCGGCGTAAGTGGCTTAATTGGATCGACACTATAGTCGTTGTGAACCAATAAACCTTCGTCTATTCTAATTTAGTGATACGATAGGAAATGAAGAAGTGGGGAATGGCTGATTTGAGATACGGGGATGTCTCGCGCATCTAGAATCCCTTCGAAGTATCTTGGCATTTTTACTAGCTTGTATTGAGGGTTTCAGCCATGTGGCAGCCTCGTGAATGGGTACAAAGTCATTTCCATGGGGGCGAAAATCTACCAACTTGTCGGGCACGGACTGTTTGAAGGGTCGATTACTCAACAAAAATATCCAACCTGCCTATTAAAAAATTGCATCCAACTTCTGGCGTTGTGACTTCAAGATTCAATGAAAAGAGTGATATTTCGCCTATACCAAAACGGACTTGACTAGAATACATCTTACAAGGATCTAGAAAACGAGGACTTAATGACTGGACCATCATACAAATCTTATATACCCAGAGCCATATCTCAAAATCAATGCTCATCGGTGAAGAAAAGAGTCACATTGTTCGACTCGGTAAATTGTAGATGCATGTATTACATAGTTGGCGCAGACTTGGTGGTTTCGATACGAAGAGGGAGTAGATGAGGAAATTCATGGCCATTAGTAATAGCAGTCTGGTTGCGAGTATTGAAAGGTATGGCCGGTGACGCGTTCTCCGTTCTGAGACCCTTGTCTATAGATCTTCCATCAAGATTGTGCATGAAAGAACAAATGCTCTCCAGCGTTTGTTTCATCTCGGAAAGTGACTCTTCAATATTGGCGATTCTGTCGAGTACAGTAGTAACGCATTTTAATTCCGACAAAAGACACCTCCACCATCATTCTCATCAACCTTATCTCGGCCATTATCCTGAGAAAGAAAATCACTCGAACTTAAAGAGCATTTAATTCAAAGAATCAGGGCTTATCATCCTATCGCAAAAATTGCTAGATAAAAGCTAGATCACCACTAACCTCGGCAATTGATCATATTTTCTGAAACGGAAACGTGACTGCCGACATGCTGGGCGAATGAAGAAGGATGAGAGTCGAGAGGATGGTGAGGAAAGTCCTTGGGCCTTAATCACAGAGATAAGGTTGCTTATCATGTCGGATAACTACCACTGATAGAGTAAGATTATCAATCATGTTTTACATCTCTTAGCTATAACTAGCGGATGTTGATTTTACCCTCTATACTAGAGTTCGTTGATAAAAGGGGATAGGAGAAAGAAGTAAGAAGAAACATACGGTGTTGCACCACCTCACGCACGGTTTTCCCCATATAAAATCAATGAAACTGCGAGGGTCCTGGCCCCGATAGCACTTATATATGTAGAGCTCTGCCCTCATATATATATATATTATTCAGTTTGTACGACCGTTCGAGCCTCTGGGCTATGACATTCACGAATTAGTGGGCACTAAGGATGCTTATAGGAAGCCCAACCCTGTAAGCCCTGGACGACTGCCCCATTTGGTGCCTAAAAACATAACAAAACTATTGTGAATAAAGAGTTTGGCTAGTGTCCAACAGTATGGAAACTTGTCGCCTGATCCAGGGAACGAGTCGCTTTAATGCGGTCCTCAATACAAGGTACACATACACATATGTAGAGTAGATAAAGAAAGCAAATAACTCAAAACAAAAAAACGCCAATCTCAGTAAATAATCATACTATATGTAGTAACTCTCTTCTAACGAACATAAGGATAATCAGGTCTATATGAAACTTAATTATTACTCAGTTCTATAGCGGGGTATAGCGAATAGATTACGCACACGTGCAAGATCCGATTCCTATTATCAATATCAACGACTAATCAATGGCTGCTATTTGACAGACAGTGAGTGGCGCTATTTATACTTCACTAATATCAATCGTTATACATTTATGCGCTAGTTTTCGCTGGTTGAAATACCCGAAGTCCATGCAATTGGTCGCTGATCGTCGACCCCTCTCTTCAAGCGGATTCTTCAGGCTTCTGCAGGACCTGATACTACTCAAGCCGTTATTAACTAATAATTGTTCCCGGCTTGAGGGTCAAGTTTCGACTGGGGTTATTAATAGTTCTTGAATTCGACCGAAAAAGTTACTGGAAATTCTAGAATCAGGTTATACTTTTCGCTACTTTTCACATAATTCGGTGTATATATTGTTCTTCTAGTTTATTCTCCACCCCTACTTATCTATAATCCATACTCTGCAACATTGAAAATGACAGCTGTGCCAGAAAACGAGTATTATCTCCTTGGTCGGAATTCTGTAGAGACACAACGGTGAGTCCAATTCTACATCTTTACCAATTCCGGTATATGTTTTTATGCTCGTTGCGATATACACTGCGGTGTGTGTTGTATATTAGTTGATAAAATCACGATCGATGCTGCAGGTTATGAATCCCCAAGAATGTGGCGTTGATCAGCGATTACGGTTATCGTGACATGTGCAGGGCGCATACAACCCCTGCTGTTTGGGGGCCGTCATGACAACCAATAATCAGCCCTACAAATAGTCAATTTTCAAACCCTGTGATACAGTCAATACAGATTACTGATTCGTCACTGTCTTATTTTGGATCTATAGTCTCGATGAGCAGCACAATTTTCTCACCGATCTTTGCGGCGGTAGTCTTATTTCAAAGTCTATATCGGAGGATAAAATCTTCTCTATTGCTGATGTAGCAACTGGGACTGGGTAAACACTTCCATTATGTTGACATAACTCGTTTCCAAATAATATATACTGACAGACAACAGCGTCTGGCTTCGTGATGTTAAAGCACACCTTGATTCCACCCACCCAACAGGTCCGTCAAAACCACGCTACTACCATGGCTTCGATCTCTCCGATGCCCAGTACCCAACTAACCAGGGCTTGGATGGCATTAACTATTCATTGCATGACTGTCTAAAACCATTCCCCGTGGAACATCATAACCGATATGACCTCGTGCATGTCCGGCTGCTGGTTGCTGCCATCAAGGAAACCGAGTTCAAACTCATTGTAGCCAATCTCAAACCCTTACTAAGTACGTCCGCATCTATCTCAATTTTATTTTGAATCACACCCTATAAAAAGCTGTCCTTATAGCTAATTCAACCTAGAGCGCGGTGGCTATCTTCAGTGGGAAGACCTAGACTTAAAGTCCTTCCTCACTTCCCACGAACCCAAATACGACTCTTTCCCAACCATACAAACCCTACGCCTGTGCATAGAAACACAGATCGGATACGATGCAAGCCCGCACGTCCCCGAGACCGTTGCGGATGCAGCTCGGGAAAATGGGTTTGCTGATGTTATCCATATCCTATACAATACGAAAGATCGCCCAGAGATGGCGGAGCAGGTGTTGAATTGGGTGAGCAAGGTGATGGCTCCATTGCTTAGGGCTATCCTAGGACGCACCGGGAGGGCGAAGAATGAGGAGGATTTGCAGGCGCACACTCAGAGTCATTTGGATGGGTTGCGTACGTCGTTTGAGCGAGGGTTGGCGCCAAATGGGGCTATGGGGATGGTTATAGCGAGGAAGGAGTAGGGTATATACAGGTATATATGCAAGTATATAGAGTGTATACCAATATGACTAGTAGTAGATATGTATGCAATTGATCAATCATTACGTTAGCATTGAATGTCATGATAATATTGAAAAATGAATGTATACATGTAGTCATTAGCAGTACTGTGCAACTTTTCAATATGTGTACCCTATATATCGACTATACATGACCTTTTGGATCAATTGACGCATTTCACTATATATTCCTACAAAGAGTATATAATTATAGTATACAAACTTCCGAAAACAAATAATCAAAAAGCAAAGCAACCCTAAGCCCCTCGTTGAGGGAGTTTCTCAAAAACCCGACGGAAAATCTCTCTACTTTTATACAAGTTAATCACCCTCAGCCGCTCATTATCCAAGTGCGCATGGTCACTAGCCTGGCCGCAAGGCAAGTTCGCAGCAGGTGCCGAGAACTCCTTTTCGAGAAACCGGATTGTTGGGATCGAGCCACCTTCGCGGATGTATAGTGGGGTAACTGACTGATTTCTTGATCGGGAGCAGGATGATGATGGTGGCGACGAGGAGAGGCTGGCATGCTTGTTGAAGGCGTGTTGGGATTGTACGGATTGTGTTGAAGGAAAGGGGTCGGAGGCAGCGATTGTTGAAGATGCTGAAGGCAATGTGGATACATCACCAGAGTCATTCTTGGTGACTCCTTTGCTCGAGGTGCTGCCAGTCAAGGTTGATGAGGTCGGTACTGACGTTGCATTAGAAGTACTCTGCTTCCTGCGCTCTTTTGTCTTTGAGGATGTCGTGGTAGACGAGATGATCCGGTCGATGTGCGATGCGACGCTGTCATTGGAGTCGGTACGGTGCAGCTCTGATCTGGCAGGAAGACTGCTGGACGGGGATAAAGGAAAGTATTGTCTTTTACCGTCATAGTCGGGTGTCCAGGCGGCCGAGATGGCTTCTGATAATGTACCGAAGATTTCATTGTCCGGGTCTCCTAGCCATGGGTCCGACTTTCCTGTGATCTCGACCGTGAGCTCGTTTTGCGATTCCAACAAGTCGAATTGCTCCTGTGCGTATGCTGTCAAAGCAGACGCGACTTCGTCGGCATCTTGGTTGGGCACGATTCGCACGGACAAGCTTGCCTTTGCGCGGCGAAAGATTGTTGTTCCTGAATTTTTGTTGCTTGGGACTTCAACCGAGTGGATAGTAAGGGATGGTTCTCGCCAGCGATACATTAGCGACATGGTGAAAGCCTCCCGATCGACAATTTCTGGGTGCAGTGGAAGAAGAGTCGCTGCAATGGCTTCGTATCTCTCTTCTTCTGCCTTTGTCAATTTTGGCACACTATTGTAAAAACCGGGAAAGTTGACATGTCCTTTACGACCAGCTAATGTTGAAATAAGGAGAGACAAGTCCTTGAGAGGTTCATCCAGTAGAGCACTTCCGTCTATACCACTGTGGAGGTCAGGGTGGTCGCTTGTCACAATCAGATTGGCGTGTACGACACCACGCAGACCGTAAGTAAGGCATGGGATATGATCATCCAGCCAGTAACTATTTGCCAGGAGAATCCAGTCGACATTTCCGATAAGTTCTTTGTTTTCGCGCACTGCTTTCTGAAATCCCTGCGACCCTGACTCTTCTTCTCCTTCGATGATAAACACCAGGTTACAGTCGAGGGCTTTACGCCGAACAAGGTCCGCAGCTGCGTAAAGAGCTGCCAAAATGGGACCTTTGTTATCGGAAACGCCTCGACCGTACAAGAATCCATCGACAGAACTGAGTTGGAAAGGATCTGTCCGCCATTTCGCTCGATTGGTATCAGCGCCTACAACATCGTAATGCCCATAGAATAGCAAAGTCTTGACGTCTGATCCGGCCGAAGACGCAGAGAACCTCGCGTAGACGACGGGGTTAGTATCAGCGCCGGTTGGTAGCAACTTAGTCTTTGCTCCCAAGTATGCACAGTGGCGGCGGAGAAAAGCAGCTCCTTGGTTACAATCAACCGAGAACTTTGGGCTGGACGAGATAGTCTTGAAAGAAACAAATTTGGCGAGAGTATTGACCATTTCATCTATAAAAGAGTCAGTTGGGTTCTCTGAAGTAATAACTGGTTTAACTCACCATTGCCAATAGGTTGGATTTCTGTATTTTCCGGATGTCCACTAAGATCCCAAATAGCAACAGTATTATCATTTCCACCCGTAGCATATATGCGCCGATTTCTGAAAAATCCTGCAGCCGAGGCAAGCATGGTGCCCTCATGAGCCGTCCAGGACCCAATCTCCTCGAAATTGGAATTGAATTTCTGCCAAAACTGTCAGAAAGAGAAAATCTAATTCTAGATTCCGGATAGCCTACTTTTACCAATCCTTGCGAGTCTCCACCGATTGCAATACCTTTGATGATATCGATGGCCCATAAGTCTCCCTGATATTCGGTAATCTGCTTGACAAGCTGCTGGGAGTCCAAGTTCCAAATGTTCAATGCACCGCCAGCTAGACCACAGTATAACAGCGGTCCTTCCACAGCTAGAGACAAAACAGCATCGCCTCCATTGTTCAGTTTGGCCCACTGAACCGGAGCCCCATTTTCATCCTTACTCAGTCGCCACAATTTGACAGAACCATCACCAGAACCGGTCAAAAGCACCTCTTCGGATGGCGCTGACTCCACCAATCCACGGACAAGGATCATTGAATACACATATCCATGGTGGGCAAATAGCCTGTGGTGGTCGCGCTTGAACGTCAAAGCTTTCCCTCCATGGCTGGCTGGGTTTTGACTGGAAGACTCCTCTGATCGTGGGTTGATACTGCCACCAGGACCTCGCGAATCGAAGAATCGATGTCGGAGCTTGGACGGATGTCTTGTCACTGTGGCAGCTTCATCTGTCGATAAATTGCACCACTGTCGGGGTCTAGTTAGTGATAGTGATTAGGAGTAAATGATGATAATGATTATGGTACCTGCAGACTTGTGTTTTGCCCTCCGCAAAACACGGTGTCGAGGTCACGCGAATAGACGACAGCAAAGATATCGCCCACGTCATGGTACGAGTAGATGGAGTACAGTCTCTCGAAAGTAGCAGTTGACCAGACCTGAAATACTTAGTTAGCCAATTATTCTTCTAAATTACTTAATAGAAAGCTGGCAGCATACGTTAACCACCGAGTCTCCACCACTAGAAAAGAGCAGACTTCCATCATCGGAGAGAAATAGTCCTAGGACACTCTCTTCATGCGCCCGAATAGACAACGCCAGTTCGTACGTGTCTAAAGACCATGCCTAAAGAAATTCTTTAGCATAAAACATTCATTATATAGATTACAACGATAAAGAAAGAGCATATACCACGATGTCACCTCCCTGCAGACCTGCAAAGACGAATTCCTCGTCTAATGCCAAGGCCAGGATAGAGCGCGCTGCCTGCACCCGGTGGCCGATAGCGCAATCATTGCGTATACTTACCTGGCCTGAAAACGACTGGGGAGGCTTGCCAGAGGAGTTGCTGGTGGACAGGGATACATGAGACTCATTGTCTGATAGGTCATCGGAATCGGCAGCTTCATTATACATGGCGGCGAGTCGCCGCGAAAATCTTAGCACAATGTTCAATCAAAATCTTCAAGACAGAAGGGAGATTGTTTGAATAGGCATATACGATAGTAGATGGATCAAGGAGCGCAGGATAAAAGGGTACAATGACAAAACAGTATAGATGCAAGATTGCTCGCGTGTTGCAGATATTGTTGGAAAGCGTCGCGATTGGCCACGGTGGAGTCCGGAGGCTAGGCCGGCCTATTTTTTTTGGGTCGTGTGGCGGTGCAGCGATCGATCGGAAGACAAGAAAGAAACAAGACGGAGGATGTATGAAACTTCAGATATCTGTTAGGAAACTCACATCGTAGCAGTGGCATCCTTTTCGGCTTCTTCCAGCTGTGTAGAGGTCTGGATTGTTTTTGCCAAGTCAGCGTGAGAGCTTTGCCAAAAGGCCCAATTCACTTTGCTCGGGCCACAAAGGGGCGGTGAGAGTGGAAGGGGTGGAAGGAGTGGAAGTTGATCTGTTCTGTTCAACTCAAGGGTGACCGCGGTGTTATGTCGAAATTGCCTTTACCGCAACGGTGAACTGGATTGTAACAGAAGAAATCTTGGGGGAAATATGAATGTTGGAAAGAAGCGAGAGAAAAGAACACATTGCTTGCCTGGACTGGCAACAGAGGCGTGCTACTGGTGCAGTCGCGTGGGCCATGATAAATGCTGCCAGAAAAATAATAATAGATTACTAGATGCGGCGAGGGCTGATGATGGTGCCATCGAACTGGCAAATGGTGAGATGCGAATCGAGAAGCAATAGTCTGGTCGATCTACCGCAAGGAATTTGGGGTACTTTATGGGGGTCGGGGGCTGTGTAAATGAAGAGAGACAGTGAAGACTCAAGTAACAAAGCAACATTTGAAGTAAGAAATTTTCAATTGTTTGCCAGGGCTTGGTTGGCTGATAATGGAACAACCAACCGCAAGACCAGGCTAACAGATCCCAATTACGACTATCCTTGCTTTTTGTGTCGTTGCAGTCATGTGGCCTTATCCATTATCGAATAGCCTAGTGACTCACCAGTGTCTGGTCTGTGCAACATCGAGGATTCAAATCTAGATATCGGAATACATGGTGCAATGTTCTGAATGACCAACTGCTGGGATAATCTTTCAGTCCACATTTCTATGATTCTAAAACACTGTATATCACTACACTGATGTGAATAAATATTTCAAGGCTATCCAGATGGCCGGCGCATTTAATCTATCAGTTGATATGATAAATATAGTAATAGAATAAAAGAATAATATGATTTTGTATTATTACTACGATCTATCCCTCCTGTTAAACGCCCATGTCAAGTCTACTCACATTGGCTACACACCACTAATTTGGCTATAGGCGTAAAACATGAATTAATAAAAATAATACAAAATCGTACTCTCCGACTTTCCTTCCAATCAAATGGACATGGATTGAAAAATCAGAACAATTAATCCCGGGCCTTGGAAACAAGATCGCGTACCCTCGAAGGCATGGGTTATAGTTCTTGGTATGCTCTGCGTCACCCGTGTGTCAGTCGGCATGCTAATCATTACAACAACTCGGATTAGATGAGTCAATTCCAGAACCAGATGACATGGGTATCGGTTGTTTAACAGCTACTAGTTCTCAAGACTCCAGAGTTTAGTATAGTAGCACACGATTCCCCGGACTGGGCGGAGCGGATAGTTTGGGCGCCGAGAGTTGTTCCAGTTCATTCCCAGGATCGTTATGGCCGTCGAATGGCACAAAGAGAGAATATACGGACGCATTTGCGGCGAGGGAGTTGTCGGCAACATCGTGGCTATTGAATTAATTAGACTCCATAGCTCTTGCGGTTAGCAGTGCCAACATGGTCGCAGGACGGACTGCAACGTGGAACGAAGACCCCGAAAGACCATCATCCGGCGAAGAATTACCGTCCAATCATTCGAGACATTATCACCTAGCCATAAAGGCGGGGAGTCAGTAGTCAGTAGGGATGGGGGAAGAAGGAGTCGCTGGGTGGCAGAGAAAATGATGCCTGAGGTGCTGAGGCACAGAGAGGGCCAGGCTTTGTTTAATATTTATTAATATTTATTATACTTGGTGGGTCTGCAGAGCTGCTGCGTGGCCTATAAGCACAGCTCGTTCGCGGGTACGCCGGGGCTCGGGTGCCTCATACCGCCCGCTATTTCGGGCATGTCAAGGCCCAATTCTATTGCTAGCCTGCTCCCGCCAGCCAGCTATCAAGGCACGCAAACCAAGAAAAAGAAGGACAACAAACGTAAAACGTAAAAAGACATCTGTGTCGGACCAGTCACAGGCTTTTCCGATGACTGATGCAACATGACATCGCCTCACTAATCAGATCCGCGATGTATGCGTACCTGATGCAAAAGGCAGCCATCAACCTCATAGTGCATGCATGCCCTAAGAATAATCCCGGAACACGGCGAGGTGAGGTGGCAGGGGTTCTTCTTCTTTTCCCTCGCCCTTTTCTAGCCTATAAAAAATAGCAATACCTCAATGAAAAACGACAGAAAATAACAACCAAGGGTCACAGCTGTGGCGCATACACACCAGCCACCACGGTGGACCACGGCCACCCAATGGCAGCAGGCGTCACACCGCCTGACAAGTCGTTAAATATTATTGATTGCTCTGACCATCATCGATTACCATGGCTGCAGGAGGATCTTGGATGCGACCACTGTGCTTGACGCCAGCCTCCGCCTGGCCGCTTCACTTTGCGCCAGTCTTCCGCCCTGCAATCATCGTGCGACAACGCAGGTTACCCCCCCGCCGGCCTCCGATCTACTGCGGCATTTCTACCTAATCGCCTCCACGTTGATAATTGGCGCTCCCCTTTACTCTACTGTTCTTGAGCATCCATTTAGCGGTCATGCTGCAATCGTGCAGCCTGCTTGCTGCCACATTGTCGCTGCATTATAGATCGATTTTTTTTAGATCGATTCCTTGGTTGGTGTGCTAGTTAAATGTGCCCCCAGCCACCGCCAGTGCGCCATTAGAATCGGTCGCTCACTACTAAGACTTTTGGAGCTCATTTCCATCATTGTGTACCGCCTGTCGATGAGTTCACGCAAAACCCACAACCCTATGCGCACACTTGAGCGTGCCAGGCGGTAGAAATACAGATATAGCTGTTCTGGACTTCTAGTTGGCAGAGCACCGCAAACATGGCGGCTGTACGGGAAACCATTGCGGTGGTAGACAAGTCGGGGAAGATGGTTACAACAGTAAGTTGAGAACTGTATATATCAAAACGAAATGCTGATTAGTGGAATATCTTAGAGCAAACACCTTTTCGGCGTCTTCAAAGAAGCTCGCAATGCCTACCGCGAACGCAAAGCCGAAATACAAGCAGCCAAGAACGCAGAGAAACAGGCCCGGATTGCGGAACAAGAAGCTCTTCGCGCCATGGCCAAATTCACTCTCGATGATCGACCGTCCGTCACATCATCCAAGAAGTCTGGAAAGTCTCGAAGTAGCCGGCATACTCATCAAAAAGGTGATCGGCCACACGGTCTACACTATGAACAAGACTTATACACCCCCCACAATTTTCAAACACCCAAATCAGTTCGAGAAGTCGGACGGAGACATACATCCCATGAATTGGCCATCAAACAACCGGCCCCTATTGCGCACCGTCATGCAGCGCCTCGATCTCGGTCTGCCACGCATATTGATATGGATCTTGCTTACGGAGAAGCTCATCCATCCGCTCTTGAACGATACAAGCCCGCCGATGAACAAGAGCTCACGGGTCTCGTAGCCAAAGCCAAGTTCTTGCTTGAGGAAGCAGACTGTGTCCAGCATACAGCCACAGCAACGATGTCTCATCTACAAAAGAACCCTGATGCCATGGCAGCTGTCGCTCTTACACTTGCTGAAATCAGCAACCTAGCCTCGAAAATGGCCCCTAGCATTCTAGCAAGCTTAAAGACCAGTGCCCCGGCAGTCTTTGCACTTCTATCAAGCCCTCAGTTCCTCATCGCTGCGGGAGTAGGCGTCGGCGTCACAATCGTCATGTTCGGCGGCTACAAAATAATCAAGAAACTCACCGCAGCCCCAATTACCGTAGAAGCCGGAGCCGTTCCAAAGGAACAAGGACCGACCGCTAGCGCCGATGAGCTGCTAGAACTCCAAAGCGAACATCTGAGCCGTGTGGAAGTCTGGCGACGCGGAGTTGCCGATTGGGAAGCAGACAGCATGGGTTCGACAGTTGATGGCGAATTCATCACTCCAACGGCCGCTATGATGTCAGGCCTCGATCTGTCAGATCCCAATTTAATTCGACAACGAGCCCTCGATAATCTAGATGAAGGCTCAACCACCACATCCTCCCGACGATCCAAGCGTTCGCGACATTCTCAAACCTCGCGACGCTCTGGAACAAGTCGCCGTACATCAAATAACGATACCAAGAAAAGGACAGAAAAACCTAAACGACCCAGCCGCTTACGAATGATGTTTACTGCGTGATACCTTGCTGTTGTTGTATAGCGTGACGATTTGCAGAATCCTATTATTATATATTGCATTTATGGAGTTTTGTTTATATAAAACCTTGTCTTACTGTTTTGAGCGATTTTCTGCTTGAATGCTTTTTATACTTATTATATACAGGAGATACAATACCAAGGCGATCTTGGACCTTATTAATCAATCTCATAATACACAACTTGACTTAAAGACAATTCGTGAACTCGAAGCAAAAATCTATAACTAATCAATTGATTAAATTCCATAATCCCCCTTTAATTGCGCTTTCGGTTCTCTAAACATGTTCAGAAACGCCCTGCTCCGCTTCACTTGTTTACCTTGACATTCTGTATATAGCTCCCTCCTTAATAACGCATTAGCACTCCTTAAATCTTCGAGCAGCTGTACGTGCAGCAAAATTCTCATCTAGTTCTTCCAAAGATCACCCTTTCTTTTCCGGCAGGAAGAGGAAGAAGAATACGACGCAGAGAAAGTTCGATGCAGCCGTATATATCCATATTTGACTCCCTGCACTTGACACCTAGCAATATGGCCACAAACTCAGTTCGTCACAAAAGAAAGTCCCCGAAATTTCTATAATTCTTCAATAAAACCAATTAGGGTGAAATACATAGGACTCGACTATACGATGATAATGTGGCTGTGCTCTGGGTTGCGAGTTGGCATTAACCAGGAAAGCGAAATCAAGAAGCCAGCGATCTAATAGGTAAGCTTCTCAGATATTGAATATATATTATGCACACGGAATAAGAAAGGCTAGAGAAGGCTGAGCCCGAGGACCTTATGATTGGCGCTGCTCAGCCCTCGTCCGGTCTCACCGCTGGCATCGCCAACACGTAAGGCAACTTTGCGCCGTCTTTCTCTCGCTCAAGAGTAAACCCGCAGTTTGAAGAAAAGGGTAAATATAAGGCCGAAATTTTAAAGGAAGGGTCTGAGAGGAGCAGGCGAAAGGAGTATCATCACAACAAGTATACAAACTTCAGCTGTGTTTCAGCACGAGGCTGAAATACCATCATCATCATCAAGCAGCATCTCTGAAAGCTCTACAGATTTTCGAATGGCTGTTTCTGAAAAAGGAAAGAGGAAAATCGTCACTTCTATCCAAATTCAACATCCTACATTCTCAAGAGACAAACCATGAGAACGTTGTTAATCCCTACCTTTGATTTGGCGCACCAGGTCTTATTTTCCGTCACTGGGAGAAATTCTTCGGACAGGTCCCAGCGCAAGCCTTCATTCTGAAATAGGAATTTCTCATATGAGAATTTTAAAAAGCATACACACAGTTAAACCTTGAACTTCTTTCAATAAATTCAGGAAAAGTGTCATTCCTTTGTGATCGAACTCGTTCTTGCAATCCACAGAATGCCACTAGATCCTATCACCGCCTTGGGTTTGGCCTCTAATATCATTCAGTTTATGGATTTTAGCTGGAGACTGCTAAATGACGCTCACGAAATTTATCACTCTTCGACAGGGGTTACTTCCCAAAATACGGAAATTGCGACGATAGCGGAGGACCTATCTCGTCTTAGCGAGAAGCTAACTGGTCCAAAACCAAACTCACCAGCGGAAGAAAAGATTTGGCATATTGCTAATTCGTCTAAACTAGTAGCAGATGACCTACTATCCGCAGTCCTGGTTCTAAAAAGGTCGGACAAAAAATCCCGTCGGTGGCGAAGTTTCCGACAAGCTCTCGACGGCTTCTGGAATAAGGATAAGATTATCAGGCTTCAAAATCAGTTGAAGGAGCTACGTAGTCAACTATCAATACATATAATTGAATACATAAGGTATGAATCTGGAAATGGACCTTCTATTTCATTCCCACTATTCGGCAATGGGGATCGACATAGTTATTATTGCAATAGCTGACAAGACGACTAGCACACGGCAAACATCGATTCTCAGAACATTGGGAACACTTCAAGATCTATGGGCGGAAATTGACTCTAATCAAAGGCAGAGAATCACGCCCCTTATTGAAGAACTACAGACTCTTGTGCAGCATGGCCAGGAGATAAATGAAAGCCAGTTGAATGAAATTAATGATAAATTAGGACGATGTTTTGATGAGACAAAAAGGTTTGACCGAGAATATACAATTCTCAAGAGTCTTCATTTTGAGAATATGTCTGCTCGGCAATCTTCGATTGTGGAAGCACACAGCAAGACGTTTGACTGGATCTACGAACCTCGGAGGTGGCCCTCGTCAGATCCGCGCTCGCAAATAAAATTCCATCATTGGTTGCGTCATGGAGAGGGAATATACTGGATTTCTGGGAAGCCTGGGTCCGGTAAATCTACTCTGATGAAGTACCTCGGCCAGTCTGAAAGGACAAAACATTTTCTTCAAGACTGGGCCAATGGAGCGCGACTTGTTATTTCAAAATTTTACTTTTGGATTGCTGGGACAGAGTTACAGAAATCTCAGCAAGGTCTTCTTCGGCAGTTATTATTCGAGATCTTCTCGGGTTTTCCAGATTTGATACCAGTTATGTGCTCAAAGCGATGGGAGAGTGCAGGAGGATCCGGCTCATCCTTACCGTTGTCATGGTCACATAATGAATTACTTGAAGTATTCAATCGTTTCGAAGATGCGAAATTGCAGGCCCTCAGTACATCGAAGATTTTCTTCTTTATTGACGGATTGGATGAATATAATGGAGACCATTTTGAGCTAATCAGGACAATTCAAACTATCACAAAGCTAAAAAACGTGAAACTATGTGTCTCAAGCCGGCCATGGAACTGTTTCGAGGATGCCTTCGGTCAAGATCCGCGTCACAAACTCTACCTTCAAGATCTTACTAAGGACGACATCGCAAAGTATGCGCGAGAAAAGCTTCAAGAGTTACCAGGATGGAACATTTTAAAAGGCAGCCACTCGAGGTATCAGCAAATAGTTCACGACATTGTGCAGAGAGCTCAAGGAGTATTTCTTTGGGTGTTTCTTGTTATCAGATCTCTGAGAGAAGGCCTTGCAAATGGAGACAGCATTGCCTTGCTGCACGAACGGCTTTTAGAACTGCCATCTGACCTTGAAGAGTTTTTCGAGAGGCTAATCAAGTCCGTCGATAGGGTGTATCAAAAAAGAATGAGTGTTACATTCCAGGTGGCTTTGCAAGCCCATGAGCCACTGCGTCTCATCGTATACTCCATACTTGATGAAGAACAGAATGCCGCGACGCAGTATCCTATACGACCGCTCAAGTCAGATGTTCTCAAATTTGACGGCTTTCAAGAAAAAGAGAAAAACATGCATCGCCAACTGAATGGTAGATACAAGGGACTTTTGGAAGCTCCTGGGTTTCCTAAGCACAAGAAGGTGGACTTTCTCCATCGTACTGTACGTGATTTCCTGGCGACCAAAGGCATGCAAGATCTGTTTGATTCTCAATGCGGAAGATCTTTCGATGCCAACCTATGTGTGTGTCAGGCTCTAGTCACTCAAGCAAGAGTCTATCCCCAAAGTATGAGCAATGGTGATTTGAGAACGTTTATGATATTTGCTCGTAATCTTGAAATTGCGAATGGAAGAACCGACTTGCGTCTACTGGATGAGATGGATTATTTTTACTACAATATAAGGGGTCAGTCACGATTGTCAGCTCACGAAGACTTTCTAGAGAAAGCTATTCAATTTGGTTTAGCTTCATACATCGAGCACGTTATAATGAGAAACCCATATTTTGCTCACATCGATGACGGGAAAGCTCTAACTATAGCTCTTGAGCCATTTTTAATGTTGCCTGACCCAAAGTCTGTTCTGAAGACCTCTCGCAAAATGCTTGACTTGGTATTAGTTCATGGGGTGCATCCGAATCAGAGAAGAAACGACAGCACCATATTCCGCACCTTTCTCGACTCTTATCCTTTTACAGCAATAGAAAAAGATGAAGAGGAGGCCGCACTCCATTTTCGCATTTTTAATCAGTCGCTTTCACTTCTACTCCGCCGAGGAGCAGACATGAGGCAGGCATTTCAAGGGGGAAACTGCTGGTTTTCGAATGTTCTAAATTATATAGGCAGCTTTCAAAGAAATCTACAACTCATTCGAGGGATTCCAGAGACATTCCACGTGTTTCTAGAGAATGGAATGGACATCAGAAATATAAGAGGGCTATGGAGTTCATTGCTTTTCGTCACTCTCACAAGTCAGACCAATCACGGCATAAACGGCAGCTTATGCTTCGAAATGATGAAACTCCTCTTGGAGAACGGGGCAAATCCGAAACGCATAATAAAATGTCACGGAGAACGAATTGAAGGTCACGGAGAACCAATCGACGAGGCGCTTCATTCAGTGGCAACAATCATAGATTTTGTTTTCGAAGAAGACATGCGGCGCGAACTCAATGTCGTACTTGGTCGTGCAATTCGAAAGGAGAGGAAACTTAACCAAGATGATACACGCCACGGCTTATCGAGAAAGCACCGACTGGATGATGTTGTCTATCACGATGACACTTATCGGAAAAGGGCTAAATCGTCCATTAGAACTCATGAAGCCGAGCTTTCTGGAGAAAACGACCTGCACAATGGTAGACATAACTGAATTATTTAATTCATTATCGTTTTCGCAGCTACTGTATATCACTTGAAAAAATATGTTGAGATTCTCCCGATATTTTCATTTCTGCCAAAAGATAGTCACAATTGGATGTTTTTAAAGTACATGAAGTAGGTATGTCTTGTCCCCCAAGTTCAATTTAATTCAGTGTCCACGTCTTCGATACGCCTAGGACCCTCGGAACTCGGCACTATATGGATAGATACTCCTTATCATACACGAGAAGATATTTTTTTAAACATGTCAACTAAAAGCCTGCTGACATATCAATTGATATGTTTAGGAAATACATAGTAGCAAGAATAAGAGAATAGGAACTGAATAGTCTCCACCACACGGAGAAAAGACCGGCCGTGGATCGCCACATTTACGGAAATTATCTCATTATTAATAATCAAAGGACCCCTCCTCGACGCGAGTCGAAAAATGAAGAAAAGAAAAAAAAGTAGCCAAGAATAAAAGAAGAATAGCCGAACAGTCATGAAAACAAAGTGATGATATTATCTATGGCTTAATTGACTGATCTTCATGGTTTTCAATTTGTCAGATCTTTATTTATGACTCGTTCGTAACTTACGATTAACCACCATGGCTGTGAGTCCCTTTGACCATCTAGGGTAGTACATCGGGTATACGGGTTGTGGGCGGGGAGATAGGCTTGTTTCTCTTCTAGATTTCTCGTAACTCTCCGAAAACGAAGACTTTCTTTTAAATTCTATACACTTCCGGGTCTCAGTTAATCCGTTTAATGTACGTGCATGTACTCCATAGTGCACTCTTTTCAATGTGGCGAGGACTAGATGTTGTAATTGCTATGTCGCAATAGTTAGCCGGGCAGTTACCGGACGGCAACGCAAAATAAGTACCGGAACTAGCCCCAGTCAATCCACCTAGTTCCAACATATATAAGCTTGTCTACTTCCCTAGATACTTTATTCGTATTACATCATTACATCATTACCTATCAAAAATACGTATTCCACAGTTGCAATGTCTAACCGTGACAGCGTCCCCGACCTAGCCGTTAAGCCTGCAAAGGGTATCTCATACTTCACCCCGGCGCAGGATCCCCCTGCAGGAATTGCTGCCAATCCTCAATCCGATGGAGCAGAGATCCCCAAACTGTTCAAGCCTCTGACTATCCGAGGTGTCGAATTTCATAACCGTATCGCCGTATGTTCTATCTTTCTTCCCAGGTGATCACTCCTTCTGACCAACAATCCCAGTTAGCCCCTCTCTGCCAGTACTCCGCTGAAGATGGTCATATGAGTGACTGGCATATGGCACACTTGGGCGGAATTGCTCAGCGTGGTCCCGGTTTCCTCCTGGTTGAGGCCACCGCTATCGTCCCCGAAGGTCGCATTACTCCCCAAGACCTCGGATTATGGAAAGATTCTCAAATTGAGCCTCTCCGCCGGGTTATTGAGTTCGTGCACAGCCAAAGTCAGCTTATCGGCGTCCAAATTGCCCATGCAGGCCGTAAGGCGAGTACCGTCCCGCCATGGCTGTCCATGGGCGATATGGCGACAGAAAACGTTGGCGGGTGGCCCAAGAATGTCAAAGGGCCATCTGACATTCCTTTCTCAGATCGCTTCCCGCAACCGATAGCAATGACGAAGCAAGACATTGAAGAAACAAAGCAAGCATGGGCTGCCGCTGTGAAGCGCGCTATTCAGGCAGGCGCCGATTTCGTCGAGATCCACGGCGCTCATGGATATTTGCTATCCTCTTTTCTTTCACCCACCAGCAACAACCGAACAGATGAGTATGGTGGAAGCTTCGAGAACCGCATCCGTCTCGTTCTCGAAATTGCACAAATAACCCGTGAGGTGGTTGGCCCTAATGTTCCGGTTTTCCTGCGAGTATCGGCCACTGAGTGGCTAGAAGAAGTGAAGCCGAACGAGCCCAGCTGGCGTATTGAAGACACCGTGCGACTAGCCAAAGTTTTGGCTGAGCAGGGTGCAATTGATTTGATCGACATCAGCTCTGGTGGTAACAATGCCGCGCAAAAGATTCATGGTGGTCCTGCCTTCCAGTCCCCTTTCGCGATCGAAGTCAAGAAAGCTGTGGGAGACAAGCTTATCGTCGGAACTGTTGGATCGATAAATTCAGCCAAGCTAGCCAACAGCCTTGTGGAAGAGAAAGGATTGGATTTGGTTCTTGTTGGCCGCGGATTTCAAAAGAACCCTGGTCTTGTCTGGCAGTGGGCTGAGGAGCTCGACTTGGAGATCGGCATGGCCCACCAGATACGTTGGGGATTTGCCTCTCGTGGAAATACAAAATATCTACCCAAGCCCAAGCAGTCTAGCAAGATCTGATTTGATGGTTACCATCAAAGCAGGACATCGAAATGAGGGATAGATGACACGCATGACCGTGTATACAACTTGGCCATTTATGGCCAGTATTATAATGAAATAGACGCATTTTATAACTTCAGTATTCAGGTGATTTTCATTGATTACAGATATCTCAAAATAATCAACAAATATAAAATATATTTAAACTTTAATATCGTACTATACATGAAATGCGGGGGATAAACGGATGTAAATTGCACATGTCAACTCGTTGCAAACTTGACGGCAACATTTTTCTTAGAAAAATTGATTACAAAAATCAAGTCAAACACATGATCGGATTCAGAAATTTTCAATAATTATAATTGCTATTCTCGCTCGAAAATAATCTCAAAAATCAACATTAGTATACCGCGCGCTGTGATTGGTTGGCGGGTCTCACCTCAATATCTCTGCTCGGCTGTCGGGCGAACAATCGCGCCAGTCGATGATCCTGAACAGTTTATTCGATCGCGAATAATAAGCACCATCAATGACTCAAATAATTTTTATACCCTACATCTCCCCTCTAACTACCTCATATACCGGAGTGTTGGTAACAACACGATCGCGAAGCGAACGCTTAATGAAGCCCATTACGCGCGCATGAGAACAACCACCTCGAGTCCCTGAAAGCATCTTGGCGACACTAGCATCGCCGTCATCTCACAATGGCGTCCTGGAGCTTAATTGGAATTATCGTCGCGGTGTTGGTTATCAAATTCAAGCCTGAATATTCTGTGCATGAATCGTATTTCCTCACTGTCCCTGCTGCAATCTTGATATCATGGATCCTTCGGTTCATATACAGTGCTATTTTGTATCCGGTATATTTCACGCCGGTTAAACACATCCCCACGCCGCCGGTGAGTTCTCAGAAGTCACCCATAACTCTCGACAAAGACAATTCTTTCTAACAAACCAAATAGAACCGATCATGGCTGAGAGGCAACACCGGAGTCCTCACTCTTAAATTTCCCACAGATCTAGCCACAAAATGGATCAAGAACGTGCCAAACAGCGGGCTAATACGATATTATGCCATTGGCAATCTCGAACGAGTGCTTGTCGTTTCGCCAAAGGCAATTTCTGACCTTCTAGTCGCCAAGAGCTACGACTTCATACGGCCAGATATTGCTCACATCCAGCTTAGCACCATAACGGGTGAAGGGCTATTGGTTGCTGAAGGGGATGTACACAAGGTTGGCCATTCCATCAACTATATTTCTAATCATAGCCAAGAATACAATTTTGACATATATCTAGACGCAACGCAAGACGTTGATGCCGTCTTTTTCCTACCGGCATATCAAGGACCTATACCCAATCTTCTGGAGCAAAGCCATCCAAATGGTAAACGAAATCGAGAAAGGGCTCCCCAAAAACGGCAACACCATTCAGGTCAGCACCTGGTCAAGCAGGGCGATGCTCGATATCATCGGGCTGGCCGGAATGAGCTACGACTTCAACTCCGTCAAGGACCCAACCAACGAGCTCTCCGGCCATTACTCGAACCTTCTAAGTACTCCATCCGGGTATCAGCGCATCGTAGCCACATTCTGTCTTTTCGTAATCGGGTTCAAATACTACACGAGCATTCCAACCCCATACATCAGAGGAATGCTGCACTCTGTTCAATGTATCCGCGATACCGCAAAGCAAATTCTCCTCGAGAAACAAGCCAAATTGAAACGCGGCGAAGATATCGGCATCGATATCCTTTCCGTTGCTATGCGAAGCGGCAACTTTTCAGACGAAAACTTGATCGATCAGATGATGACTTTCCTCGCTGCAGGACACGAAACTACCTCAACCGCATTCCAGTTCGCAGTTTATGCAATGTCCAAACACCAGCACATCCAGACTCGTCTGCGTGAAGAACTGCGGGAGAAACTACCTCTTTCGCTTCTAGTCGAGTCTAAGGATGATGAGGGATACAAAACCGAGCCTATCCCGGCGTCGGCTATTGATAACAATTTCCCTTATCTCAATGCGTTCTTGAATGAAGTCCTTCGCTACTACCCCTCTGTCCCGTTCACGTCCCGCGAGGCCGCCCATGATACGACTCTGGCCGGTCAGCATGTCCCTAAAGGCACCAATATCCTCATTTCGCCGGAAATCATCAACAAAGATGAGGATCTCTGGGGTGCGGATGCCAAGGTCTTCAACCCTGATAGATGGCTCGCAGATGCTGGCACCAACAACAATGGTGGCAACAAAAGCAATGGGGGTGCTATCAGCAATTACGCGTTTGGCACATTTATTCACGGCCCTCGAAGCTGCATTGGCCAGGGGTTTGCTCGTGCTGAACTTGCTATCTTTGTAGCGGTGTTTGTGAGTAAATTCGAGGTTGCTTTGAAAGATCCAGAAAAGAAACTGGAAGTTAGGCAGATTATCACACAGGCGCCGGCTGATGGGGTTGTGGTGAATTTGAAGGTGTTGAGCTAGTATATTCTTAATAGCCAATATATTGTTTAGGTGTATCCATTCGAATAGGTATCGATACAAGAGTAACCCGAAATTATCAGCGAAAGAATGTATAATACACTTTTTGAGTTCGCGAGAAAAAAGAGAGCTTTTTTTTCATCTCCTCTTGTACTTTCTTGGATCCTTCCTACTCATCTTGACTTTATCCCGCGTTCCCTTCCCACCTTCCCAGAACCCACTGCCGGCTTTGCCAACAAGTACATGTCGACAGATACCACAGTCTTCTGGGCGATATATTTGTTCGCGGGAGCAGAAACCACTACGGTACTGTTAGATCACGTCGTTACCTAAACCTAAGAATCAAGGGCAAGGGAAGTTAAATCTTACCATATCATTCGGTTAGCATGTTCGTTAGGATGGTCTGTGGCTGCGTCGTGACATCTGAATGTTCAATAAGCATGAATGTACCAACAGATACATCAATACAGTCAAAGATAAAGCAGCGTACCGGTCACATGGAAAGACCTTTGCGCAACAACTGAATCTATACATTCGGTATTCATTAGTCCATGTTATAAACAAAGAGTCATGATGTAATATAAATCTTACCGAAACCAACGATAACTCTTCCCATAATGAGCACATCTTCCCCGTCGAGGTAATTCTTGGCCTGCGGTAATGCCTAAATTTTCCTTGACCTATACCCAACGAACGAGTCAGACCGACAGATGCCACAGGTTTCACATACTAATATTTACGAAACATACCTTTCTCCGAGGCGCCGCGATTCGATGTTGTGACACTGTAATTTGAATATCAGCGATGTGCTCTGATCTTATGACAAGAACGAGCTAATCTTACATGCAGATGGCCCGATCATCATGAACTTTACTTCAGGTATCTTGAAATCTGTTCACACCAGCCTCAAATTAGTATATTATTAATCAGCGGGAGCAACAGTGGGACTGGAGAGTAAACAGACTCATTTTCCGATGGCACTCTCGGCAGCTTGCCACGACGCTTGTACCACGTACAGCGACCAGTCCGGGGGCAGGGAATGGGGTTGAGCATTCGGAGCAGGTCGGTTGAAAATTGCTTGATTAAGGAATTTCTTCATTAGCAGAAGGACTCTAAAGTAATATCATGCGATCAAATTGGGTGTTATATCGCTTAAAAGGATGGAGTCGGACCTCCCACCCTCTTGTGGAACGGTAAGCTGATGTGTCAACGCAGATTGCGTAGACGGGGTTGGTCAAGGACACGGTTCTGTGCTACCTACCTTGGCAGCAGATCAAAAGCCGTACAGCCTTCGAGATCCAAGTATCCGGCACGCTGGGATGTGGGATGCATGAGTTCGCAGCGAAACGCTAGGTAATCTTTCGTCAGTGAAGGAGAACGCTTTCCTTTCTTGGCAATGTGTTTATCATGTTGAGAAACTTGCTGGCTTATTTCTAAACATACCGATATTAAATGAGTTGGCGCATTTCCTGCACGACTCAACTCTGACCGGCGATACAACACTAGGGTCATTCGTAGGCTTAATGTTCTTAATGTCGGTGTGTTCTTTGCAACGTTCGCACCTCACCGTCACAGACAGTATTTTGGCCTCGAGCAACTCGATGCCGAAGAGTTCGAGACCAGGGAAATTCAGTGCTATACCGCGGGCCATTGAACTAGCGGGTGCAACTGTTTCAGGGACCAATGCACCGCCTTCTTCGTCATCATCGTCTTCGGAGACGTCCTCGTAGGATTCGCTATTACTCTCACTTGTGAAGTCATCGTCAGACTCGGTCCTCGCTCCTGGTCTAGGATTAGACCACTCAGGTGGTCGAGGGATGACTTTGAGGTGTGGTCGGTCAGTGTCAACAGTCTCTACGCCATGCTCTTGGCGTTCTTCATCCGCCAATTCGTTGTCGGTAGTAATACGGTATTCTTCCTGAGATCCCCGATCTGGTATATTACCTGACACTGGGGTGTTGACAAGAACTTGCATATTATGCGCGAGGTAGTTGACTTGAGCCATCAAGGTGACATGAGGTCCCTTTTCCACCCATTTCTTAAATCCAATCTCTACAGCACGAGCTTCAGAACCATCCACTGCTTGGAACTCGACCGAACTAGTTTTCAGCGGATAAAGCGTAGGTACCAGCAGCTTGATGGTCTTCACCGCCCTTAGATTAAAGGGAAGCTGCTCCCGCTTGCCAGGGGTAATTGGTAAAATGTACGAAACGCCATTCGTTGCCCTTTTATACAGCGGCAGTCGATTGAGGCGTGCTTCGAGTTGCCTTGTTTCTGAAGTTCTTGTCTTCTCGGCTTGTGCTCGCTCTTCAGGAGTATATTGTACTGTTGCCTGAGGTACGGCTACGATCGACTGTGAGGGTCGAGCTGACGAAATTTCTGTATTTGTTTCGGCCGGTGGAGCTGATAGTGGCACAGAAGTACTACGATTGCCTGAATTAGCCACAATCTTGATCGTCGGAGCCTTTTCAGCTGTGAGAAAGCGTTCCAAGTTCCTGTCAAGATTGTTCATCAAACCAAGCAAAGTAATTGAGCGCCGATCTTTCAAGGCCGCATCGACAAGCTCGTCAAACCCTTTTTCGACATTGATTTGGAATCCTCTAGGCATGTCAGGATTGGTCACCGTCAATGTTGGTTTTCCTGACGTAGGCCATGCATTAGGAATATGCAATAAACACATCAATTTCGTCAGGTCGAATGGAAAGTCGGGGTCTGTGGGCGCCATTCCAAAAGAAATCTTTGTCCCGGAATCAATTTCTTCCACATTAGGATGAAACCTCCGCGTTAGTTGTCCAATTTGGAAGTTCCTAGGTGAATCCTTCTGTGCCTTGGGAACAGGCTTTGGAACCCCTCTAGATTGAGATGCATAGAGTGATCCCCCAACCACATGGCTTGTGGTGGCAGATACATTTCCAGTTTCAACCGAGGTATCGGCTCCGAAGGGAGTTGCGTGCAAGTAGGGGCAGGCATCACCACTTCGACAACCTAGAGAATGCGCTTGTTAGGAAGTAAAATAAATTAAAAGCATGGCGAACAAGTCACAAGGGGGTAGGGTCAACGGTCGCAACTGAATTACCGCTCATGAGACATGATAAAAAACCATAAGATATTTATCAATAATACAAGACATGCGTATCGATCAAGACAGCGTAATTGAAAAACCACATCGATGACTCAGACATTCATACAATAATGATAATAAAGAGGTAATATTATCGATAGTGAATGTAGCTTTTTCCACTTACCCTTTTTTGTGACATAAAACCGACAAGCCACTTGCCTACGATTTCCATGTGGATGGGTGGGTCTCGTTTCGTGCATTGAGGCTGCAGGATCTGGATGTTCATCAGCGCTTGCTGAGTTGGCAAGCGCCGTCGTGCTCGGCTGGCCTATATTGAGCTCTGTTCTATGGGTTAGCATCTGACCTTGTGATCAAGCAAAATTGCGAAAGGGTACGGGCCGCCCGAGAATCTGACAGGTACAAGAAGTCTAGGCACAAGCACAGTACAAGCTATGTCCGAGGGTAAGTCACGTTGAATGTAACCGCAGTAATGTGGTGCCTGTCGCTTGTACTCGTCATTGTCACTGCTCTATCATCCCCCCCTCCTCTTCTCGCTCAGCATGAAGCTTCGCAGCTGAAGTGGCGGGCAGCCACCTGCGATGCCGCCGATGATACGAGCAGTCGATGTGGTCGATTGGACCAGAGGATTGATTGCTGATGACATACTGCAACGGGGGAAGCATATCAAGCAAGGAGGGCCAGTGACAGGGCAATAGCAGCAGATTAATAGGCGCCGAGGGAACGAGAATGTGACGACAACGAGTGCAGTGACAGTCTCAAGGGGGAAATGCCTTACCGCAGATTTGGGCCCCGGGGCTAGAGCTGTCACTTGACTGGGGGTGCTCCATGGGGGAGGGGCTTTTGCAGCTAGCTATCAGTTATAATTAGCAACCCTGCATGCTACCTCAGTACTTCTGGCCCAAAAACATCAAATTGGAACGACAGAGACGGTCAGGCTGCAGACAGCGGCAACCTTACTCATCCACTGCGCGATAGAAACTCACAGGAACGAATACCGGCTGGATAAGGAATAGTAGTGTCCTATTCACCGATCGAGATGTACCTACCTAGTTAGGCTTGGGGAGCAAGGTTGGTCGAAATGCCAACAAAGCAATCCGGTGACCTGCGATCGGCGCGTCGACTGTAAGTCAGGTCCGTCAGTCACTCGAACAAAGACGTGCGCTGGCAGGCTGCAGTGATCTCCAGGCGACGGGTGTCCGGAGATAGGCGATGGCAAATGTTGTGTCGAATTCTCCTCTACTACTCCGGGCGGCAATACTGATAATTGCTGTTGATTGATGCCGGGCGCCGCTGGATCTCGGGACAGCGTCAAGTCGTCCACGTGAGGCGGATTATTGTGTCAACCACGATTAGTGATGGTCATTGGCACGGCGGTGATTTTAATAATATATTCTTTTTTTAATTCTCTTACAGCCATGGGTGCCCGCAACGAGTGGGTCGCATTCGCCGTCCACCAGCCATGAACATGACGATGCATGGATTGGCGATGAGCGAGTATGACAGACAAAATGACCGCAGATGACTCAAAGTGAGGAGCCTCTTTGTGCAGTGTTCATGTTTGTTCCAGGAAGGCGAAGGTACGGCGTTGACGGGCGCTGATTGGCCCGCCCCGCGATCAGTCATGATGAGTCTACTGCTGCCACGGTTCTCAGGCACCATGGCTACGATGTCCGTTATGGACTCTTACTAATAGAATTAGGGCACGGCGTGTAGTACTCGTTGATATAATTATTATAACGGTAAATGTGAATGATGATGATCTCAAGCCACCGTGGCGCGCTTCTCTTCTCCAGCTGATGAGGCGACAGCGCACCTCATCATTGCGTGGCTATGAAATCAGACCGTTGCAGAAACAAGATCGCGTCTTCCATTCATACTGTACTTTACAGGGTCAGTCCCCCAGCTGTATCATTTAATAAGATGAGTAATAAATTTAGACGTCTAGGAAATTGTGTAGTAGTGTAGCTCGTGAGTAATACTATAACGCACGTGACTTGTCTGTATGTATGGTATCGTATCGAGGAATGGCAATACGCATGATTGATACTGATGTAATTTACCTCGCGATCACTCAATACCGAGTACAGACTGCGCACAGAGCTTCAATACCAGCCACAAAGATGTAAAATGATCTCTGGCGAACCACATCGCGTGGAACCTCGGTAGATACAAAGCCAAGTGCATCAGTTGGTCTTTTCCTGTGCGACCTGGTCACATTAATCACTTGCAGTATTTCAATTAAGGCTGGCTAATGGACAAACAATAACAAGAAGTATTCCCGTGCCGACTGCGATCAATTGTTACATTTTACAAAGTCGCTATACGTCCACGTAAAAGTTCCTTCTCACCGATGCTACATAGGTACGTACAAAGTCGCATAGTAGGGACTAGTTTCTAGTAACCCGCCGGTAACACATCAAGCAAGTATTATTAAGAAAATACACAGGTATCCCCGGATATATCCCTGGAAGGCATTTCCCCACTGGCGCAGGAAAGAGTAAATGAAGAGAAAATCTCAGTCAGAACTCGTGGCCATCGATGATCCATCAGCCACTCCGACAAGGCACCCGGGGACCACATGTCGGATCCGAATGCAACGCTGGAGAACATCTCCACCGCGACGAAAATATTTAGGAGCAGGCGCTCGCAGTATTCTAGTCTCAACCTTAATCAGGCACTGATTTCCGGGTTAATATGAATTATGTGTAGTCTTGGTGGCATAGTTAGATAGAAAGAGAGCACAGGCGCACAGGCAGAAATATTGTTTCATAGGGCAACCAGCGACGGCGGGCGTGTCAGTGTATTTGGAATAGAAATAGTTACTCCGTAAGGTGCTGTGTTTCGCGAGTCTTTTCTCTCCTTACGGAAATAGACTCAGAGTCTCAACGGGCGCCAATTTTCCGATTGGTGGAGAGCTACGCGCGTCAAGAGACAACTCCAAACACGAGTGTCTGCTATAATACTATGCTCTATCGGTAGTTGTGACTTAAACTTTGACGAGAACATTCACCGGCGAGATCCAATGCTGACTTTGTATCGCGTGGTTATGAAGCCAAAAGACAAAAAGACAGATGTATTGCCTTCTCGTAATGATACATACCCCGCGGCCGGAATACACGCCATTATACAACAAAAAATACAGAGTCTCGACTAGGTAACAAAAAATCAGATCATGACATAATTATACAAAAAAGCGACAAATTGATATGAATAAGCGGTTTTCTTTCTGTTAAATTTTTTAATCCCTCACCGCCAACCAAATGCCTTCGCAGGGCTGTTGCCCCTCCTTCCCGCCGTCCATGTAAGCAGGATGTATATATGATGTTTTCTCCCCCGCACGGGAGCAGTCACAAGACAAGTCAGGTTTTTTATCTTCCCCAGAGGCATCCAGTCTCATGTTTTCTCCGAGCCACTTGCAATCGATTGACCGATATGATGATGGTATTAATTACTTGGAAGGCCAATTGATCTAAAGAACTTACGGGAATATCCTTGCAATCCGTCTGGTAATCAAATAAAGTCATTGTGTAATGCTATTGCTCAGGTTGGTCTGGGATGGTTACGTCAAGAGCTGATGTCTTGCTTTTTATCGTACGATAATCTATCACGAGACTAATATAATGCAGTATATGGCCTGAGATCTCCAAACATATCAGATCTGAGGCAAATTTTAATAATTCTTCTTATTCTCATTTTTATTCTGTATACTATTTCCATAAAGGCACACATGCATCCACAACTGCTTCACTACTGCAAGTGATTGGGATAAGGCGTTCACTAGCTACAGATTCACCGACTTTCAGCCATACTTCACGCAAGGACGACTCTGCTCCGGAACGGACAGAACCAGTTTGAGCCTCTCGCGGCTTGCTGGCCGTTCGGTCTGGGCCTGGCATGTGGAGAACCAATGTTAGCACTAACAGAGTTATGTATGGCGCAGACAAGTCAGCCTGCATGTCTCAAGACGCCAGCATGGGTGGAGCTTAGATATATGTAGATGAAGCGTTTTTTCTTGGATGCCGATCACGCGAAAGTTGGAAGCCATAAAGTTTATGATGCATTGCCTTATGTGGCGTGTGGAAGCTTTACGAGAGCTTTGATCTGTATACTTTTATTGGTGTTTGGCGTTTTATTGTTATGATAACGCGTAGCGTACGGGCCAATTGGATGTTGGCGGGGAATTCCCCGACTCTATATGCCTTGTACTCATGGATAATGCTTGAATCGACCTTCTAGCCCATCATGCATCATAAACTAAGCATACTGCATGCAACATCCCATCCCAGCTTATACCTTCCTGATCAGTCGACTATCGTGTTGAACCGATAACAATGAGAAGTCGATTATTAATGAGAATAGCACATGATATTAATAGTGAAGTATCAATCTGATGCTTGATAACAACAATGTACGACAAATCAACATTAAATCATATCGTCACATGCGATTTCCCATCCTGGCGGCAAATCTGGCCAAGGCACTCCTCTGTGCGACACTGCGAGCAAGGTTGTTTCTTGTTTGTCGCACAGATCATCTTTTAAATCTGTAGTTTAAAGCCAGAAGTGAAAGGATAAAGTAGAAAAAGAGGGGTGGGAAGAAAAGAAAATGTACCTCGTGGCACTGTGTAACATGAATGCTTCGCTGTGATTGAGCACTTGTTCCCGACACACACTTACACACCGTCAGTTGCAACTTGCGCCGTATGTGTCACTTTGAAGGTCCGACCGAGACTGGGAGCATACGACAGCCGTGACATCATTGCTGAAGGCTAGCAAGTTGGGGCGAATCTAGATTCAATTACATGTTTTTAATAATATGTAATACTGTCAATAGTAACCCGTTTTTGTCTTTATTGTGATTGGGAGTAACCTGAACGTACATGGCTGAATACGAAAGGGCCTGAGCATAATACATCGATTGATGCCAATAATCGGTATGCCTGCCAGAGCCCGACCGTTTACTTTTTACTACGTATATCCGCACCGCCACATCATCATCAAAGCTATGACTTTACATTTTGAACGCGAATCGGCTGATCTGCGGAATCGAATAAAAGTTTCTTTTGGTTTTCCTATTACTTATTTCCAGTTTTATCGTCTGGTAGCCCCCTTTTCTAGCGCGCTTCTAGAATCAGCAATGGGGACGAGAAGAGAAAAAGAGGCAAAAATGCTCCATCTTTAAAATCGGGTTCAACCAATAAACAGTCACCTCACGCTTTTCTGATAGGTTACCAGTCCATAGTGAATGGCCTTGTTAATCCCCTCCTATTTCCCCTAGCTAGCCATTGGGACGGTGGCAGGTGACTAGACTAAAACAAGGAAAAACAGGAGATTACCAGTCTACCGATCTTGGGTAACGAAAATCGATTGGGCATCAAAATATTTTTAATTATTTACGCTTGGCGCTTTGTTTAGCAAGGACGGCGGCGGAATGTGCTCCGTCAACCGTCTTATCGGGCCGGATGTTTTATGGCACCCACCGTAGCATTCACTCTATGAAAATTTTTCTTAGTTTCGGGAAGCCGACCGACTGCTCGGGTTGCCGCCGAAGCGGTGTGTATAGGATGGTTTGTCGGCATGCTATCCTCCTACATCTAGGTTGGGAATATTAAACATTGAGTATATTCGGAATTTCTATGATAAACCCGACAGCTTGTAGATTTAATTGTTATGAAGACCCTGCGGGGTAATTTGACAGCGATGCTTGAATATCAGAATCAACCAATCCGTTGTTGATAGCTGTCGTAAAGAATCAAACGCAACAAAAATAATCGCTTGCCATCATCCTACCTATCACATTTCAAAACAGGCACGGTAAAACGCGCAAATTCGCCATGGTAAGGGCATATACCAATACAAGCGCATACATCTCACGAAAACGCGAATGCGGTTTCATCAACACCAAATATTACCGGTGAGTCCGGATTTCTCGTGCGGGGAGGAATTTTTTTATTCAGTGGACGCTAGTAGTCAATCTAGTTCGGTCCAAGACGGACGCCCCTGAGGCGCAGTAGTCTGGGTGCTTGCGAATTTATGGAGATCATTTTGTAGCCTAAGTCCTAGACCCAATGTAGTGGAGTTGGAGGATCCATATTAATAGTCAGGTTGTCGCCAGTCCTAGCAAATCAGGGATGAGATAAAGAAAGAAACGTAAGGAATAAAAATAAAATAAAAACTCTACAGTTGCCACTTGCCACAGCTACAGCGATGTTGTCTAGATTTGTTTAGGGCTAAAGAAGGAAGGGGGTTACTGTTTCGGGCAGGTTTGGTTTTGCCGCAATGGGACAGCAGTCGTACTTAGGGCAAGCCAAACATAACATCGTAGTGGCGTCACCAAATGATGTGCCGCTTAATTGAACAACAATCTATCATCGGGAATACTTCGGGTTTTATCTCATTTATAATTAGTTGTATATAGACTCTATAGTTGTAGACTTTTGCATTTCTTAGACATCATGATGTTAGCTCACCGTATATGATATTTGGCTCCCCTAGACGACTCCTCGCTCTTTTCCATATTGCATCACCAATAGCTTTCCGTATTTCTATGCTATGCACTCCTCAAGACCACTAAACAGCCTTTTGCTAACATACCTTTCTCGATATATCTTTCTTCAGATCTTTTTTGCTAACTTTCCTTCCCTGTTTGCCACAGAAATCCCACAACATTCCGTCAACCTCCGATCCAAAGACGCCAAATTTCATCTACAGAGAAAAGTACTACAGCTCACGGTGGCATGGCATCAATCGACTGGGCAGAGCCCATGCTACGTTCCTGAGGTCTAAAGAATGGAATCGTGACAATCTACCTCGACATGGCCCATTCTTACGTGGCCCATCTTTACGGTTGTTATCTGGAAGCCGAACACTTCGAAAAACGCTTGGAGAATCTACAATACAAGCGGTAGGGCGTCGGCATTCTTCAAGACGCTCCATGGGAGGGCTTCGTCAATTTTCCCGACAAAAAATATGAAGTTGCTCTTGCTGCCAGAGAGTGTTACGATGCTTGGCATAAGTTAGAGGGGACATCAAAACATAAAGAGATCACCTACTATGCTCCTGAAGAATGCTCGAGATTTGTGACTATTCAGCATTTGTTTGTCTCCATAGCACCCAGGGCACTCCGTTTTATCAGAGACGTAAAGGAACCGAGAGTTGTGAGTGTTGTGTTGGATGGCGATTATAAGTCGCTGGGGCTTGCTAACTCATTCGCTACGGTGTGCTTCCGTACACATTACGCAGTCTATGTAGTATCACTAATAAGGCAATAACTCTATACTAAATTCCGGTATATCTAATATTATCTTTCTTTTCGTTAGTGCATGTTTTTCGGCCCCATGAACATATACCAATTACCATCCATCAAGTTACCAATTAAACAATTGGCTGACTTCTACAGAGATGCACAGCTGTAACCAGCAGGTTACAAATCCATTAAATTACCCAGATTTTAACCAAATATCTAGTTAATTATACTCAAAATCCGTAATTCCTCCATGTCATCCATTGACCCATTTCAGGTTTTCATCTCATAGTTACTCGTCGACTCACCCCAGTCTTTCCAATATATCAATGAAATGTTAACCAGATAATTAGTCAATTTAACCAAGAATCACATTCTCTCGCTGTCAGTTACTGACTCATTTAATCCTTTCATTGTTGCTTCTTGACTCAACCCAGCCTGTCTGATCTGTCAAATGCTAATCAAGCAATTAGTCAGTTCGATTCAAAATTCGCATCCTCTCTTCTTCATATATTGACTCATGTAACCATTTCATTTTTAGATATTGACTGACTCCAGTCTATCCAATAAACAAATGAATTTCAACTGATTAATCAATCAGTTCAACTCAAAGTTTAGCAATACCCACTTACCTGCTCTGACCTGACTGGGTCTTCCATTTATATAATGAGTCAAGGACGCAATATTTAAACAAGACAGATCTTCTAATTCTTCCTGATCTTTCAACCCCTCAAAACACTATTCATCACCAGACTTCCACTTCGAAATTCTCAAAAGCAACAATTTAACTCGACCCAAGTACCAGAAGACGGTAAACTTCATTCAAAATGGATCAGCAGCAGCTTCAGTATCCAGAGCTTCAGGCAAGTTCCAAAGCCATTCTCTTCTACTAGCCTTAGCCTTGCGTCCAAGTTTACTATGAAAGATGGAACGGTGTGGGAGCAGAGAGTTCTAATATTTAACTTTAGTGGAATCCTCAAGAGGCCGACTGTGGTGTTCCGCCTGGACATGTTAATGTCACAACTCTACCTTACGTTCCTGCTAACTGGAGCGTATTACATTCAGAACCGATTGACTTTTCGGGATTGGGTCAATTCAATCGACACAGTAGTCGTCCCCAGTCCCCATTGGATAAATGGGGAGGCGTGGCACGTGTCCAGGTCGGGTGTAATGCTAGGTGCTGGCAACATCTCGACATAGCTAGTTCGATTTCAGCACCTCTTCGACATGGAGATATGGGTGTCGCGATAGTCACACTCTCTGAACTGATATTTTCCCACATAAAACGTGAGTTTACGCTCACTGAGGTAGCTAGTCACGTCGGAGATGCTTTCCAGCAATGGCGAGATCGGGAACAAGGCTTTGACATTAGGGTATACATCATCGGAGCAAGTTATGCTGTGCCTGGCAAGCCATCAGAGAGCCGTATTGCGAACGCCTCCCGCGTGATGGCAATAACAAAGCAAATATCAAACTTCACAGGTAGTCTCTCCGGCATCAAGGCCAGCATATCTACGGTTTTTTATCGTCATGAGGCCAATGACGAATATGTATCCACTACAGTTCATGTCTTGTCTAGAAGGTGCTATAAAGATTTGAGAGTATACAATGTGGACCGGCAAACAGACTTGTGGATCCAGGGGGTGGACACTAACATCTTTTATGAAACCTTGCATGGGGATTCTTCAGCAATTTATCCTCCTGTGAAGGCGGCAATTCAACCTGAGAAGTACGAATTGGAGGTTATGCGGGCAATGTTCCCGGGATGGGAACCGCCATCAGAGTCGTCAGAAGAGTCACCACAACAGTAGACATACTCATGGGCAGTCTCGCCAACCTATCGGCAGAGACAATTGGACAAGTGAGCAAGCATATATGGCAGAGGTGATACAAACATTTTGAACTCATTTATGTACCAAGTAAGTTCATTAGACTTATATATCCAATATATACCACATATCATTAACAATCTGTTCATACTCAAACTCATACATGTATTAAGCGCATTTTTAGAGTTAAAATTCTAATACATGTAAATATCATGTCCCGTTGACTCTCTGTTAACAGTCACATTTGATACTCAGAATTTGTATCATAACCGACAAGTTATTCGAATGATAACACAATGACTATCTCGTCACATTCATAAATGAGATATTCCAGTATCTGTCTATTACTCATTAATAAGATGAGTCAGAGGACCACCTGTTAACGCGACAAATTTCACCTCCTTGATAACTTTTCTTCTCTTCCTCATCTACTACTCATCAAATCCTTAGTGAGCTGCTCTTTGCCGGATAACTATTTCAAACCCATTACGGAATCCACACACTCCTGCTCAAATCAAGTACAGAAGACGGGAAACTTCATTTTAAAATGGTTAGGCGTGGGAAACTCGGAATGGAGCTACGTCCAGATCCTGTCGACCAAATTCCAAATACAGACTCCACCGCTGCAGTACCATCTGGGTATTATGTCAATCCAGAACCACTACAGGACCCTGGAATTCCACTGGAAGAAATGGTAAGTTCGAAGTTTCATTATTCATACGACGATAGCCTTGTTTAAAAAGTTCAGAGTCAAGCGATACAAAAAAAATGGAAGCAGAATATTCTAACGCAAACTTCCAGTTGGATCCGGAATCTGAGAAAAACCAGCTTGGGGTACCCTTTGATATGCCGACTACAGAGCTGTTGGCTTCTTACGGAATGCCTGAAGCTCAGGAGGATCTTCATCCATTTATCAAGTTTGGTTCATATTGTGTCTCAAATGCCAAGGCTTATCACACACTCAACGTGACCGCTGAGAAGGGTGATATAGCTGTCGCTATAATTTCAGAGACGGCATTCTCATTAGCACATATACCAAGCAAACGAGCTACCTATGAGACTAAATCTATATTCGAAGAGTTTAAAGCTGCATTCAAGGAACCGAATTCCTCACAGATGAGGGCATATGTCGTCAGTGTAGTTGACAAAGGCCGCCAGATATTCAACATGCGAATTGTAGCGGTAGTCGCTCACTCCCTACTTAAATGCGGCATTGAAGAGCGCAATCTACACACTATATTTGGTGCTAGCAAACGTCCTGTCGATGACAAAGATCTTTGGGTTAAGGTTTTTTCTCCTCTAGCTCCAGCGGTTTCCCCTTCGGAGAAAGAGGCGAAAATCAAAGTAGATTTAGCAATTGCTGACAGTCTTGGTGGTAATTTATATGGGCTATGGCATAAACCTGGTCCTCATCGTAGTGTGAAGAAGTTGATGGAGTATATAGGTTGTATAGATCAGGACGAGTGGAAATGGCTGGAGATGATGAGAGTGAAGGAGCGGCTTAAAGAAATAGAGGGGCATGAGAAAGAGGTGGTAGAGGAAAATCAACTGAATGGGGGGAGAGAGCAAAAGCGAACGACCAATAAGCATAAGCAGAGACACCCAAACAGAAATTATCAGCTGGCACAGGAAAGTGGGGAGGAAACTCAACAAGCACAGGAGAATATGGCGACTCCCAAGTGGCAAGGAACAAAGGGGAGGGAGAGGGAACGAGGGGGAGCAGAGAGGAGACACAGGAGACATGTTTAACACCTTGTCAACTATTTTTCTCATACCAATATCAATTCTTGCAGCCCACCAGCTGAGCTGAACTACTAGTATTCTATTGGCAGGTTTTTCATTGGAGTTAGATGGCTAGTTAACACAAAGTAATTATTAATATTCATGACCATCAAGATATTATCAATAATCTTGATTTGATAATTCGCATTCTCATTACGGTTTATTTATGATTGAATACACATATAGTGGGTCAAAATGCGAAATCATTCGGATAACTACACCATGCTTACTGTCAGCTGGAACCGTGTTACATGTATCCTAAAACAGTTTGCTCCAGATATAGCTCTCGAATGATATCGATATTTAGACATTTTCTGAGGCATCAATCTTAAAAATTAAATAATAAGCATGCGTATAAAGTAGTAACCGTGATAGTAATTCATCTTGAGCCGCAAGGAATCGAGATAAATCTATATAGTCGTTCAATTACTAGATAACCTCGAGTCATACATGTACTTTTACCTCGAAAGGCTGAAATACCATTCATTTGAAACGACTTGAGAATTTCATCATCTCCCTGTCCTTTGCCGGCGTTTTTAATTTCCCAAAATTCAACCATTCAATATTTCATTTCTCAAAAACGCTCCTAAATATAGAAGACAGATTGGGAGGCATTGGCAAGATGCATATAAGTAGAGCATAAACCTATTTCTGCTAGTTGAACGCTCATTATTTGGCCTAAAATAGTGTTGGGATATTCCTATGGATCAAGATCCAAACGAGGGGTTCAAGTCTATAAAATATAAAAACCTACCCTATGAAGTAATTTGGGCGTAAGCGGTATTCTGGTATGGGAATTTTCAAGAACCAAAGAGAAGAACGAAGTGAAGGGCAAAGAAACTTTATTATACAAATTGGAGATGTACTGGAAGCCAAGCGTCCCATGCTCTGAGTTGAAAACCGGAAATATATTTGAATAATGGTGATGACCGTAAAGCATTGCTGAGATTAGCTATATAAAGGTGGGAGAAGCAAATTACCAAACTAAATGATTCATAGGTCATCGACGGAACTGTCTGTTAAAGTGCAATGGCGAATACCACACTTTGCGACCTAATAGTCCTAAGTAAAATGTATAGTAGTCGCAGTGACTAAAAAGGTCTCAATTAATAACAAATGTACCCTCCTAGTATTATATCAATGATATTAGGGGTTGATAGTAAAGACAACAGAGATAAACATATATCACAGGTACTCAGGAAGAGTCAAGAAACTGGCCAATATCTTGTCTTCATATACATTATTATACCGGTCTACAACGATTCAGATATACATAGGTGCTGTACCACCCATTAATCATCACCAAGTAATAAGGTTTGTGGTAAATTCTACTTTGATGAATGAAAGAGGCAACAGATGAAATATCTCACATGTGTCATTTCTAGATTTTTCGATCGCCTTTAGATATCTACATGTAGACATTAAAGTTAGCCGGCGCCTGTATTTAACAAAATATTAGTCACTACTTCTAGAGGCTCATAGCAGAAGAGAGAAAAACGGCCAATAAACAAATGCGGCAGCGGGAATGATCAAAGACAATGTCCAGAAAAATATAAAGATGTATGTAGCAATGCTCTTCTGAAGCTATGGATTATCACCTAAGCTACTATACTTTTGACATTATGAATGCAACACCATTGTTTTCCGTATTGCTCTATCCATATGTCGATTTAATTGATATATATTGGCCGATTAAATCTCGATATTATTGCTAAACTGATTACACAAGATACCATCTAGATTTAAACATCAAGCTGGTCGTTATGTTAAAACTACATCAGATCGCCTATACTTTAATATACGTAACCTCCTTACAAAATACATATGCTTACAAAGTTACAAATATTCACCTGGAACCATTAAAAGTTCATCCGATTCGAAGTTCAAACTTAATCATATCTTCGAGCACCGATAACCCTGGTTATATCTAACTTTATAATCGGCTTCTAGACCTTTAGATGATCCAATGATTACAGTTCGACTACATAACGCGCATTCCGGGGCAACTCCCGAGTGGAATATTGGTACCTCGAACTGACATCATCGATTGATGTAGGTGGATATCAGATATTATCTAGGATGGAATAAAGTTAAAAGCAAATCTACGATTTGATCAAACAAATTTACTACTAGCAGTATTTCCATATCTGGATGTATTCAGAAAATAAACACGGAATAAGGGCTTCTGGCCTATCAACAAACCCAATACTATATACTATTATACTATATACCTAGCTTAAAATCAACAAAAAACACCAACCAATCACCAATCCATGCACATCCCATTAACATTGTATTTATGCCCTTTCCACCGAAGGAACACAAAACAGCCCCCATCCCACACCCACCCTCGTGATCATCAACGCATACCTAGCTCTGCCAACGCACAAACCTTCCCAATCCCCTCAATTCTAATGAATTACTTTCCACAGCCGCGACAGCCTCATCATCTACCAAGCCAGGCCTTGTTCCAGACCTCGCTGGTTCGAAGCCGAATGCCGCAAGTGGACGCCGACGCCTACGCCCATCCAGTCTGGTGATCAAACAAACCCACATCGCGTATGTCGCCCACGTGCGACAGCACCCCAAAAAAAAGGGGGAAAGGTACGCTATCTACTGCTCCTAGCGGCTAGCGGAATCCGCCGACCTGCCGGATACGGTAGGTTGATGCTATTCCTTATCAGTGCGACTAACACTACCGACAGTATGTACAGTAAGTAAAAACGACATTCACGACGATATGCAGTGATAATTACACCTTGTTTTCGGTTCTAACTTGTCCATAGTTACATCTAATATTCGATCGGATTATACTTATAGTAAGTATTAATTATGTTGATACGGGGTGAAATTGGTAAGGCGATCTGACCACCATTCCAAACCCCATCACCATGCACCAATACGACTGTCGCACACCTGCATACCTGTAAGAAAGTGAGAGGAATGCATATCTGACTCCATCTTACAAGTTACACATATTCGTCACGAGCTTACTCAGAGCAACGCAATAGTCACCGAATATATCAACATTTTAACTGTTTGTAGTAGCAGCAATGTCTTTTGAACGGTAAAGTTCTCTCCGGAAATTATGTCCGGCTGATTTCGCCGATGGTAATTATCAACCCCCTACAATTAATATTATTACATACGTCAATGCGTTTTGGACAGGGTGTCCTAGTCGACTAGTTGGAGGGTTAAAATGGAACAGTTACAGTTTTCTGGAACTTCTGGAACGAATTTCATTTTATCATTAACACAGACAATTTTGTAAGGTGGGACCGCGACAAGCGCATTTAAATATTAATGATAAAACAGCTAATCGATCGGGCATTGCCGACAGAAAAAGAAACGGTAAATGTGCCATGACATCAAGGACGCATGCGATCTAGGTACTAATATATGTATTTATTATGCAATCTTGCCACTGCGACTTATGCGCGTATCATTGTACTGCCATACGAGTAGGAAGGATAGGAATAGTAGACTAGATTATCACTTTTATTCTTATAGTGTAACAAGGTGCGGATCGCTCCGCCAGCAACATAGTGGTATCAAGGTGAACAAGAACAGTAGCAAAGCCGTTAGCGTGCCAATGGATTAGGCGTGACCAATAGGTAAAACAAACAGCCGGCCGCGCAATGCAGTAGAAAATGAAATGAAATGAAAAAAAAACGCCATGCAATGCTTTCATCAGTAAATTGTACAATGTGCAAAGGATGCTACATCACCATCCCTTGACGTGGTATTCCCATGGTCCGAAGTCGTTGTAGTTATTCCATGAACTGTTTTTTGATGTATCTTTTTCTTTGCCATCGGCGCCTGCGGCATTGGCACCGCTAGGTGCTCCTTTGGGTCCAGGGTATTCTTTCAGATTAGCCATGTCGTGTGCTGTGTGGCGACGCTTGAAGACCGCGTTCGCCGTAGTGCTCTTCTGCTGTCGCTCCCATAGCAGGTGTCGTCGGAGTGACTCGGTCAGCTCGGTCGCCAGCATGTTGCGTCGCGTTGTGCGGGGAGAGTGCGCGCCAGACGTCTGTGTTGGAGGCTTGACAATAATTGGTTTTGATCGAGGCACATCTGGTCCGCGCATTGTGAGGTTATCTCCGTCATCTGGGGAACCGCCTGTCGAGGGGCCGTTAGGAGGCGTGATGCGCGACCGTTGCAAAGCAGGCGTGGATCGCGTTGGCATTCCCATCTTGGCTGGCTGGTGCATCATCATAGTGAGAAGCGACGGTCGAGACACGAGGTTGGGGCGCGAATCGACACGCTGGAACAGTTCCCTGTCGTCGACGCTCGACTGGCCGCTCTCGCTGACCGAGTCCTCCCAGTCTTCGTCATCTTCATCTTCAATGGCACTTTCCGATGGCTCATCCTCATCATCATCCGTAGCAATCGCATCCTCATCCTCGTAGGCACCTTCCTTGATGGGCTTTATCGAGCGTGACTCGACAATTTCTTTGAATGACGCCGTCTTTTTCGTAGCATTCGCAGTAGCATTCGCAGCAGCAGTAGCGTTGGCCGTAGCTGCGCGAACACCTGGTCGACTAAGCTCCTCAGACAGGGAGCTACGCTGAGGATGAGGGGTCATGCGCTCTTCAAAGGAGCTTTCGTCATCACCAGACGATCCTCCCAAGGTGAACATGCCGCCCTTGCGCTTCCCTGGAGAAAGCTTCTGCTGGGGCTGTGTGTTAGGGACTGAATTTTGTTCGGCAGCAAGGCGGGTACTTGAACGGTATGAAGACGAAATCTGGGATGGAGAGAAGCCGCGGACGATGCTGGGTGTCTTGGTGAGAGCAGGCCGGGCTGGAAGAACACCCGAGGAGGAAACACTAGTGTCGGAACCAGTAGAAGGCGCGCGGTCGCTGTCGTTGCCTTCAGGGGCAGTGGTTGAGCAGGATTCGGCAGACTGGATTGCCTGGCGGAGAGGATAAGCAGCAGTGGGCTCTGGCGTGACACTTGGTGGTGATGAAGCGCGCGGGGTCACGTCGACAACAGCAGGGCTAACAGGGGCAGAGGAGGCTGGGAGAGGCTCTAAGGCCTTCTTCTCCTTGATGCTGAGAACCATTCGCTCAAGATCAGATGAGGTGATGTGTTTTCCTTTGCCACACATCATGGCGTCCTCGCCAACCACGGTTGGTTTCAGTTCGACTGGGAGGGGCTTGATATGAGTCTCGATGTGGTCTGGTTCGACCGAGGCAACTGAGTCAACGCTGGCGGACAGAGGAGGGACTTCTGTGGACTCTGCGCGGAGTAGTGGAATGGCAGAGGTATCGTTGGAACTGGCCGGCTCGACGCAGAAGGTCTCGCGAGTCCAGAGACGCCAGGTGAGGTTTTCTAACCGGCGGCCTTCCTCCATATAATCAGCGCATTTTGAGAATACTGTCGCGCGTTAGCTCATTCAATCCAGACAAATATCAAACATGGCCCAACTCACCTAACCACATCCCGTGAAGACTCTGCGTGTTAGCTGTGTCAACCTTGTGCATTTTGGCGGCGTCCACTGTCAGGACGGGGGTTGAGAATTTCGGCATGGTCGAGGCAACACGGGGGTGGAAACGGTCTGGAAAACTAGACATGAAGTTTGGGGTCGCCGTGGTCCCCAAGCGTGTTCGAACGGCGTGCCTAACGCGATGGAAGGCACTTTTCTACTGGTGTCTTTCCCCTTCTCTTCTCCTTTCAATCTTCCTGGACTCGTTCTAGAAGCGCGGGCGCTGGTTTGGCAGGGTGGTACGAGTTGGTTCCTGCTGTGGCGAGGCCAATTTGTGCGACAGTGATGCGATGTTCGTAGCCAGACAGGTTTGCTCCACCAATTCGGCGGCTCTGGGGTTTTCTATCGCGGAATCTAGCTGCAGAGCAGAGCAGGGAATGGAGTAGCGAGTATGCGAGTCTGTGAATTAGCGGTGGCCCGAGTGTGACGAGATCGGCGGGAATGTGAGATGCTCCCGGGGTGGTTTGGTGGTAGAGTTGAGTGCAGGCTGTTTTGGGCGATCGACAACGGGCGACTGGTATGTGGGAGGGAATGGGAGCGTAGGTAATTGTATAGATTGGAAGCAGCAGCAGCACAGGAGTAGGAGGAGTATGGGAGGAAGAGAAGTGGGCACGGAGGAGGTTTTGACTGTTGTGGTCGGAGGTACCGTTCCGCCTGGTCTAGTTTGTTCGGCTGATTGGGGGGGGCTGCCAAAGTGGGAAGGGTGTGCCACACCCTGTACCGAGGGAGCGGAAGGCACACCGTTCGCTGCTGCTGCCCCCCTTCGCCTTTGCATTTTGAACAAGGGGCCCACTCCCGTTCCAGACTGGGCTGTCGGTCCGCTTCCGTCAATACACTCGTATCGATACGCGTATGGTTACCGTCAGCTGTGACCTGAAATTACCTGTCCGTACTGTCGACAATACGCTGTGTGTACTTCCTAGTCAAGTCTTCCACCCTCTTTACGCCTGTACTGTCGATTAGTTACCTGCTCCGTCCTCTTTGCTCTTTATTACCATTGCCATATTATCCTTTTGTTCTTTTCTACTACTCCAAGTTCTTTTTCTTTTAATTAATTTCTCCCTCTTCTTTCTTCTTCAGTCATCTGACCACCCCTCACAAAGACGACGAATCCGTCTTCCAGGACCTTCTCGAACACCCATTTCCTTGGGCCGGCGGCGGTCATGTGATTGCCACTTCGGCTTTTGTCAGCGCGAATAATAGCCGTCGATTATTATGCTTTCCATTCTCCCGGCTTTTGTCTGCTGCCACTGCCGCCATATACCCTGACACCCTACTTGACTACACGTGATATTATTATCACGCTGATCAAGCGGAGTAACCCCGTACAAAACCCCGGACAAAATGATATGATAAAAGGATAATTCAGAGTCTGCTCCGTACAACTACGCGCAATGTTAGAGATGGAGTTGCCAACAGAATTCGTCATGACTACCGAATTCCGTCTTGAGAGTTCAGATCAGACACCTAGGTTAAGGCTAAGGATCTCGCATGTGTATGCGTCCGCACCCAATTCAGTAACTACGGGGGAAAACGGGGGCCGGTGTGGGCGGCGATCGACTAGCATTAAATAGGCAATATTGAGCGCGCCGCGTCGTCGCTGGGCTGAGATTTACAAGGGACTTGTTGAATTAAGGCAATTATTTGAATATTAAAATATTTCCAAGCTCAAATAGTTAAATATTATGATCTTATTATACGATACGGCGAATTATGACCAGTGCCTGTTCATCTTAATGAGGGAATATGCGGCCACATGACCGTTGGCGGCTTGGCAAGGCTTACCGCGGCTGCGCTAGTCGCTTCCCCGACCCGTGGATGCGGATAGTGCTTTGTTATTTGTTAGCGTGGGCGAGTCACGGGACGCCAAGGATAACAATAATGGCTTTGTCGGCGGTATTCCGGCAATGCTCCGGGCCGGCGAATTGGTTGGGATCAGCCGTTTTTCTGCACGAATAATATTCTACTACTCCTACTATTGTATTTATTAGCATTACCTATGCTTTAACCGTGTGTACAGTGTACATTGTGTGGCTGTACGCTGTACAACTGCACTGCAAATACTAAATGCATCCAGCGTGATGAAATTTAGCCGTTGAAGTGCGGATAATGCGGATAAACACAAACTCTAAACTTTGTCGCTCCAAAATCAGGTGCGGGGAGGAAGGATTGCTTAGCGATACATATTGTGTATCAAGGTACATGCACAAACATCGATACCAGAATGAAATATTAATTGTGAATACAATTACATGTACAAGCTATGTGTCTCGACAGTCATCATGTATCACTACCAACCAATGTGGCATCGGCTGAAACTGTGCAGTTGACACTTGGCAGGATATGCACGACTTCATCTGACATGGCACAGACCAAGGCTGCCTGGCTGAGGAAGAATGTGGAGAGACGCTGGAGTACTGCACAGAATCGTATTAATTAACCAGTATTAGCTGATGAACGATAATACGCATCACCTGGATAATAATATTTTTTGTTAAATAAATGTATGTCAGATTCCGTTCGTGATGATCGACCGGTTGCAGGCTAATCAATTTTGCCTGCTACGGCGGGTAATGTCGTTAGTCTCACATTGTACATCCTACATTGTACAGGGAGATACTTCAATAACCAACACTAATCTATCGATGATAGGTTCACTGAGCACGCTCGCAACTTCTAGAATACCGAGGCGCTGCAATTGTTAATTAATACCAATATTAGTATTATATTAATATTGCCACTGCTATCTCCCTCGTCGTACAGTATTAATACTACAATTGATGGGCAGGGCGATTTGGTACCCCACTCGGCGACAGGCTGACAGCTTCAGCACATGGCAAAGGTTACGTTACAGCCCTGCTGTTTCACATCCGCCACACCGTTGCGCTGTAGCATTTGCCTTCTCGAGCACTCTTCTAATTAGTAGTTAGAGGCAAAGTAACCTTCGCCTGACTGACAACTCAGCAAAGTAATCATGCTCGGATACAGCCGCAGGGCACATGAACAGAGAAATTCAGATAGAGGGAGGTACAAGAATAACGAAGGTATTGAATACCCCCACAGCGGATTGTCGGTGAGGTTGTCGGGGAAAGCGAAAAGAGCAATTTTTGCGTGCCTCGTGACGAACAGCAGATACGTGGCGCGCTGAGAGCTTAGCACCGGCTGTGGCAAGATCACGGGATGGCCTCTACTATCATACTCGGGTCTCCGCATCCTATTATCCTTGCCCTATTCAAATGTACATACTCATCCTTGAACAATAATAAATACAAAATATACAGAGTTTACAGAGTATAATGCAGCCTTTGCATGACAGCACGCGCGGCATTTACCCGGTCAGATGTACATTGAGAATTGAGCGTGATGACCATAGTATTGATCGCATTTACAGTTCCGGAGTGGATAGTTCCGACAAGTTGGCGACAATACAACATTAACCTGATCCTGCGAGAATCGCTTCGAGGGGAACAATGCGATGGATAACCCGACGAAAATCAGGCACGCCCAAAGTGCCAACAGTTAATCCCGCGCTGCCATAGGAGCATCGATTGCTCATCACAGTATAATCACACAGCTAGGCAGCCAATCACAGGGCGAGAATTGAAAATGCTGTCCAATCAGCATCGCTATTCGTCGGTTCGTACTTCAAGATACGCTAGAAACACAGTCAAGAGTGTTTACACAAGTAACTATCTTGTACGTAGTAGTTACCTAATAATGCTAGTAATACATAGTGACGCAAGTAGTTACAGCGCATGTGGCAATTCTTTAACACAAAAACAACAAAATAAAGAAAGGCAGCAAATCTGAAAAATCAGATGACCGATGTGGCTGTTGTTTCGAATAATAGAACAAAACTCTACTTCCGGGCCGGTGGCCCGCAAGTACCTCGCCGAATGCGGCAATCGCTATGTGCTTTGATCTGTCCATGGTTGACGGCGCTAATGTTTCACGAAGAGGCTTGAGTTGAGCAGACTCAGAGTCATGGGACTGTCAAATATTTGGTATGTTAAACTACAAGGGATAGGATGTGGGTGCCTGGGGCACCAACATCTACCACGCATAATAATGGTAGAAGCAAGACAATAAGATAATATTCATATTAGTATCACTTAGAACATTGAACATCATGTACTAATTATCTTAGTATCTATACACATTGCTGTATATCGTTAGACTGGGTAATCTTCATGGTCGCTCAACACTAAATAATACAACATTCAATCAATTAACATTATCTAGTAAAATACTATACAACGCCAGGTGTTTCTCTACGTTACATCTGAATTACATACAACCATTATCTACGTTTCAAGACAATTGATATCGAATCAATAGTCCTTCCCGATCTCGTCTTTGTTATGGGCGAAACCTCCATCACTAGCAGACTGGAAATCAATGAGATGATGTCGATGGCGTTCTAGATTGCGCCCTTGTCTGTGTCATCAAGGGATAATACTATCATCTGTCGTGGCGGACGAGTCTGTGGTCTGTGTGCTAGGACCAAAAATGTCGATCTATCACATTCCATTGATCCGCGACTTTGTTCAGTAACAGCTCAGGTCAGCAAGCAACTAAATAAAGCCAATAATGACTCGTCATTGAGTACGATACACCTATTTATTATGCTATGTTGGTAGGGCAAAGTAATCATCGAATTAGGAAATTAGTCTTTCTTTGTGCACTACCATCTGCTACTGATAAACTTAATACTCTGTCTATGACTCCGTGATCTAGACAGAGTGCCTTTGTCTGATAGGAACTGCGGTACGATCCTTTAATTCTCGTACGACCATGAAACTCAATCTGTTTAACGTCGTGTTTAACATCAACCCCAGACGTCTACCGACTTAATCAGTTCCTGGTTCCTGAAAATCCGGGGTGCTAGGTCTGTGCGTGATACAGTTCGCACCAAGTACGTGGTGAAAAATTCCGTTGCCACATACCTAGGCGACTCCGAAAAACAGTACACTCCTAAAATAATATTAAAACTACCCTTGTGGAGTCCCAATAGGAAGGAAACTTAGGAAAGCCTCCCCCGGTTTCCACCCTTATGCAAGGGGCATCTAGAGTGGCCGCGGATGGCGGGAAATGGGGCTCCGGCCAGCTATATCGCATAACAGGTACATATGTAGACTAGGCTACCTATTATTTTAAAAAATATTGTAGAATATGCAGGTATACGTGGAGTAATCTGTTATCCGCATTCCTTCCATGCCGGATGTATGTATAGCTACGTAGTACGTGCATATACCCTATGATTGTTGTTTTCGGGGCCGGGAATAAGCAATATGACTGGGCTTTCTTGCATACTCCGGTCGAGCTCGGGGTGCGTTAACAGCGCCTAGCAAAATAGTAGCTGGGGTAATCACTTAGTTAGTTATTCATAGAGTGAGTCCCTTGCGAGTGTAGATGATAGAACCAAACATATGTATACTGATTTTCCTTCCCATGTTCCTCCTTTGACGCTTCGCAATTTATGGCTGAATCTGATACAAACAGGCAGCTAGTCTCTATCACTTTTTTCGTTTGCTAGACACAAATATTCTGATTGAACTAAGGCGTTTGTAATTCTTTATCAATCTTTGGCAATCCATGTAGGGTATGGATAGGGATTACCAATTAATGCTAGCTACCCCCTAGATATCAGCTATCCACCCCTTGATTAGAATTTCAAATAATCGGGACCCTCTTCTTCCCAGTCCTCTGGGTATGCACGGGTGTCCCTGCGCATGGCTGGGAAACCCACTTGCGCATCGTACCTGCGTTATGGATCGAGTCTGTGCGTGTGAGGTATCTGTCTATCTATAGTAGACTGCCAGGTCTGGGCTTGCTAAATCTGGATGATACTAGTTTGCGCACGCAGATGTAATGGTTTAGTCGCGTACAAGCTGATACAGACGTAGAATACAATAAATTTGCTTTCTTACCTTATTTTTACATACATATCTGAAGTATATGTAGGTGTGGCACTTGGTTGTCGCGGGTCGAAACAAGCCCGAGGATCGAAAGGTAAACATTGGGCCTTGCCCTAACATGCCAAGTCAATGAGCCCCGAACCTATGACCAGATCAATATTAATATGTTCATGTACCAAATTCAAATTCAAATCCAACCGATAGTCAATATCCACAAATACGAACTTTTAATGTCATCAATTGCTAAGTATTGACCAGAGTTAACTATAGCTAAACCTATCCCTTGCAACGTCAACTACTCGCATCGCCTGCCCTAACGGAATTGTGCAACCCCGCGCTTGTGTTGCATTTGATCCAGACTCAACCCCGATGATCAAATATGACAGCAAAGCAGCTCGTAATTATACAGTGCAAACGCTTCCAGTCTGTTTGCTGTACATCCGGCGTTCAGTAGAGAAGCAAGGAAAAAGGGGAAGGTTAAAAAGAAACATTGCCTGCACGGCTAGCCGCTGATCATTTGTCGATTTCAAACCGGGCTGATAAAACATTGAACTATGTGTGACAAGTCACAGCGGTCGTAAACCTATATGGGCTTGATTAAATGCTAAATTGGGCAGAAAAGGAGTTTATTGACAGCACGTGAGCTTTCATTAAGCTTTTTTTTGGGTCATCATTATAACTCTATTTTCTATGTCGATTCGTGTTCTGTCTTCTGACAGGGTCCATATCTACTGCTGGATTAATTTATTTCCGTATTGAGACAATATTCTGTGTTTCCAGTCTAGA